CGTTACGGAGATGAAGATAAAAATGGTAAGTTGTTGATGACTGATAGTGTTCTCCTGTTTGTGACACTAATGAGTGGTCTTGTTTGTATTATCACCAGATTCCGCCCGACGGTAATGGTGGCCCCTTTATTTATGGTTGAAGCAGTATGAGGTGCGATAAGCGCGACTTGATGTACATCTGCTGAAGCAATTTTGTGCAAACAAGTGGCAATCGTTTGACGCGTCTCGGTGATAGCTTTATTTTATTTCTCAATGGGTAAGTCCTTTGTTTTCTACTAAAGGTGCGTTTCCGATAACTCAAAGATAGCTTCGCTATTTTTCATAGTGCGTGAGAGAATCGTCGGCAAGAAATTCTATGATCAGCATGGCGATCGTTCATTATTACGAAAATGATAAGGTAATTAGGCGGAATGACTGGAGTGCATGCAGGTGCTGGCAGCTTATTATCAAAGAGTTTCACAGAAAAGAAAAGGCGGCGCCAATGATCATCGGTCCGAGCAATCAACAGCAACGGAATTCAACGATTGGGGGAGGCTCTGTATTTGGCGGTGATACACCAGGTAAAAATTAAAGTTTCGGTTTTACCTGACAGACTGAGTGCCCGCATCTCTTTGCTGACGATATTTCTCCAAAGGTTAACTTTACGGGTGAAAGTACAAGCCATCTCCGTCTGTTCATTCCTTTCATCGCTGATGACACTCATAGTATCATGGTTCCCAGCTGGCAAATGTATCAAGGCTTTTCCAAAACATTGTCAGAAGCATGAATGCTGGATGGTAAGTCATCGCCATGTCGACCACTTATGGATAGAACATCAGAGACTTACTTGTATCACGAAATAGGCTGATTTGTTTGGGGATGAAGGCATGTCTCCTTGTCATCCCTGGCAATTTTTCCACGGCGGTTTTGGGCGTTGCATCTGTGATTCACTTTGTTAATCCGGCACCCATGGCGAACTTGACAGCCGTTTTGGAGCGCATCTCATGTACCGGTTGAAGAACAGTCCATACAAGATAAATGTATCCCCTGCTGACGCAACTGAGGTACAGATGACTACTGAAACTCAATAAGCTTTCTTTACTAAGGAAAATTCCGTGGTTAGGGCAAAGAAACATTTTGACGGCGCTTTGTTTATTTTGATCAATGTTGGCTTTTGTTTTGAGCTGTCTGTCTATGGTGAGTGTTTTTCTTAACAAAGTCACGTAACGTCGTACTGAAAGTGATGGCTTGGGTAGATTCTGACCGATGTACCACAAGGAGTGACATGTTACCGTGGTGATGACTGACTCTCCTGGTGATGGTTACCATGAAGGACAAGTCCAATGCAAATACCATGAGTATGTTCCGAAGCTTTCGTCGAAACTAGAAAGACATGCAACGAGCGCGCAAGAAATCAATCAACAAAACCAGTTGTTTTCACTGCTGAGTGCAAGGTAAGATTAAGGTTTCTGTTTTACGTGACAGACCAAGTACCCGCACCTCTTACTAAAATATTCCTTTTCAGGTTAACTTAGGGAGAGGTTCCTTCCATTGCTGCTGGTTGCTCACGGTGACATGATTGCCAAATCTATCGACCGACGGAAGCGTCAAAGCGAACTTAAGACATCATCCGGGCAATGAAGGCTGGATAAGATATCATTGGGATATCGAAGGCGTATGGCAACTGAAAGGCTTATTTGTATCACCAGTCAAGCTCTTTTGTTTTGGGCACTTGATTCTTTGTGGCACTTGGCGCTTTTCACGGAAGATTGGGCGTTGCACCTGCCGTTTGCTTTTACGTTTTGTTCATCTGGTCAGCCTGCCACTCATAGAAAAACTTGGCCGTCGCTTTGGAGCATGCACGGGTTGAAAGACAGAGACAGCCTCCCGAAAAGATCCAAGTATCCCTGGTGAACGCGACATAAGGTATGGATGACTAGCGCAACTCGATATCATATTTTTTTTTTTTTTTACTAAAGAGAATCTTGTGCATAGGGTGAAGGGGTACAAATTATTTGAAACGGACGCTTCTACTTGTTTTGGTCAATGTTGACGTTTGTTTTTGATTGTCTATCTGTGGTGAGTGTTCTTTTTTAATCATGGTCGTGTATGCAAGTACTGAAATGTTTGCCTAGGTTTTGACCGGTGCACCACGATGGCCCCAAGGGGTGACATGTTGCCACGGACTGATTCTGCTGATGATGATTGCCATCAAGGACAACCCGATGGAGATACCATCAGCGAAGCTTCCGTCGAAACACGCAAGGAACGCGGAAGGAGTTAATCAAGGCTGGGCCCAAGATTGATTAAGGTTTGTTTTACGTGACATGCCGAGTGCCCGCATCTCTTTACTAATCATTTTCTTTTCAAGGTTAACTGAGGGGGGTGAAGTACAAGCCATCGTCGGTTTTTTCGCTTCTTCTGGCGCTGCTGTTATCCACATAGTGACATGGTCTACCGACTGATGGATGCGTCGAAGCATCACCAAGGTTAAGAAAGCAGGACAAAAGATTATCAGGTGTTGAAGGCGTTGGAAGATCAAAGACTAGTTTGTATCACCAGTCAAGCTCTTGTTTGGGGTCACCTCATTGTCTGTGATACTTGGCGCTTTTCACGGGGAGATTGGGCGTTGCATCTGCCGTTTACCTTTTATCTCTGCTCATCTGGTCAACCTGGCACGCAAGGGAAACTTGGTCGTCGCTTTGAAACATACAACGATTAAACGACAGAGAGAGCCGCCCGAAAAATAGCCCAAGTATCCGTGGTGGACGTGGCATGAGGTACGGATGACTGGCGTCAATCGATATGAATTCTCTCTTTTTTTTTAGTCGTCCCTTTATGGTAAGTGTTTGTTTTGCAATCAAGGCCGCTCATCCTGGTACTAAAATATTGCTTCGCCAGGCTTTTGGCATGTGTCCGGGAACATCATGTCACCCTGTCACGATGAAGATAACTGGTCCTGATGGCGATTGTAACAACGACCAATGCAGTCAAGTTGCGGTCAGCATGCTTTGCAGAAAACTGGAAAGGCAGACAAAGCACCGCCGTTATTTACAACTGGTGGGCGCAAAGCAAGCTGTAACTACCCCCAAGTCTATCATGGCCCTCCGCAGATAGTTGCTTGATCATCGCCCTTGAATTCGATGCCTGCAACGCAGAGCAGACTCTTCATCCGTTGTACCGAACATTGACACCAATATGGTCTTGGCGATTGCTCCGGAAATCGGTGACAGGCTTTCTTGAGGACTTCACTTGTATGGTTGACGGAAATACCAAGGCTTCCCCTCTGGTCGCAAACTTTTCTCCGACACACACTGTATGAGATCACCCAAATCAGGCAACATCTGTGGCTGTATGCTTGCCGACATTTACTTGGATCGTGTCGTTTGCACATGTAGTGTGTATGCCTATTGGGCCTATGCTTGCCTCGTCAACAACGGAAAGGATCGCCAAGACTCAGTATTGCCGAGACTCAGGATCGCACAAGAAGTATGACAACGAAACGTTCTTATGGGGACGTTGAAGTCTTTCGTCACGATGCCATTGGATGATGGCAGAATGTGCTGATACCAACGATGCAAGAAAATTCGGCTGTGCAAACCTCCTGAAATCTGTCTACCTCAGCATTGATCGTTACAATTACTCACCTTGAACAAAATGCAAGGCAGACTGTCCATGGCTTTTATTCTCTCAGCTTTACAGGCAATAAGTGTAAGTGTCGATAGTGCTTTTTGATGATAACAAGGTAAGCGCGGTACAATAAGTAGAAAAGAATCATGCTTCAATTTCGTCGTGAATAAAGTCACATTTTTCAATGATAAATTCCACTTGTACCCAAAATGATATCGTGAATGCTCAAATCCGAAATGATGTTCAGGCCAACCAAAAAAATAAATCAGAATAGTATCCCATGTGAGTCGTTCACCGCAACATGAGGGGTCGCTTTGGACCATCTTAATAACAAAAAAAATCCCCAGAAAAGAAAGGGTACTTATTCATTCGTTTTCCTTCTTTGCTGATTTCACAAGTGTCGCCTTGAGCCTCGGTTGCTATGGCGATGTGTCACTGCACTGCAAACCTGGCTGTTGTGCTTGGTTACCATGAACTGTGCGTCACTTTCTCAAAGTGGTAACAGCTGTTGCCATTTGTAGTCTTCTTGAACCACATCACTTCCACTTTTCAATAAAAGGCAATTTGCCGACCGGTCACTAAAAAGAGAAAGTGAACGGAAAGAAAAAGAAGAGAAAAGGAAAAAAAGAAAAGAGAAAAAGGAAAAGGGAGGGAAAAAGAGAGAAAAAACAGCGAGAGCTTAACCTAAATCAATTGCCTTTTACTGCCCAACCTGCCCTTCTCAGCCATCCAAACAACTGCAAAATTCAAAATTTTCACCCAATTGGGCATATCTGTGTTTGTGTAACGTTACACGAAAATCTGTTTCTGGTAATCCAAACACCGCGCAAACAATGACATCCTGTTACACGAGCACGCGCTTTAGGAAGCACCCTGCTCTTGCCTTTTCTGTCGCCCAAAACTGCCCGTTTTCCCTCTTCCCACACTTGGCTCCCCTTGATTGCAACTCCGACCCTTTTTTTTTTCTCTGTCGCCACCCAACCGTGAGTTATCTGCCACAGTGCCTCATCACCATGCTCTCCATCAATCACACCAATTACACATGGGACATGCAGACAGTCAAGCTATTTTTTTGAAGTCAAAGAAAATGAATGCATCTTGCTGTAAGCCTCCAAACGTGCTGAAGTATGCTCTGTACCGTTTTTCTGCTGAAGCGAAGAATGTGCGTTGAAAACATCCTTCAGCGTGATCACCTGTCGTCGGTCTATAAATCGCATACTTGTCGATATCGGACTATCACCATTCACTTGCGGCCATTACGTTGATCGCCGACAAGAGGACATGTTGTCTTCCCATGATAAGGGCTTATTTAAATCGAGTTTCAGAGAATCGCAGAAACCCAGTTGATGAATGTGATGTCTGTATTTACACAGGAGAAAATCTATAGTGGAAGTTCGGAAATGACGCGTGATATGATACAGCTTTCATTTGAAATCGGAACATATGCCTGCCTACATATGATTTTTCGTTGCCTGGATTAATCGTTATGAGGGATACATTCGACGATGACATCTTCAGGATCAAATATGAAAGAGGAATGACAGTGGACTTACTCATGTTTATGTTATTTATTTGGGATTACCAGTGGCAGTGTTGATGGATGTGTATTTCAACGGTCATTTGATTTGAGAGGGATATTCATCGATGGAAAAACTTGAAGCGCTATTACGGCGTTGTGGAAATCGATCGCCCAATTTGTGTACATGCACTGTCCTCATGCACATATGCCTTTATTTTCAAGTCCTGAACATCGCACCATCACACTTGATTTTTGCTACTTCAGCTTCTGATATTCGCTAATTCACATCTTGATGTCGCTCCCTCAAGCTCTGATTTTGACTCTGGCACTCCTTGATTTCTTCATTCACCTGGCGATACTTGATTTTAGTACAAATATCCAACAAATAACATGGTCAATAACATATCAAAACAGCTCACCTACCAGTAACCCTTAGAAATATTGCACTTGTTGTTTAACTCAGACGCAACGTGTCTTTTTTGCTTCTCCTTTCCTTTCCTTTTCAACGAACGATACGCACAATGACCTGATACATGTTGACCGTAGTATATTTTGGTGCGCTTATTTAACAAATTCGAGCAAGTCCAGCCGCCTTATTCAAACCCGTCAATAACCCTAACAGCAGATAGGAAATTTACTAGTAGTATGAACGGAAGAATAAAATAAACAATGAAATGCAGAGCACAACATGAGGCAAGAGTGGATAACTGGGTGGGAAGAAGACAAACATGTGTGCTTGATTGACAGCGCCATATCGAAAAAATGGAGTCCCTCTCATACATCCTGTATCTGTTCGAATGTTTACTTTCTGCAATTTTGTGACGATTCGTTTTCAATTACAACTACAAGGCGTTCAGGGTCCACCAAAAGAAAATCGCCTTACATTTTTATGCTGTTGCGTGTTCACTGTTTGAAACGCAAATCGCCAGGGAATTTACCTTAATTATGGACTTTTGTCATGATTTGTCAGTCAGATCGTGTCGTCTTTGCATACACTCTTGTATATAGTGCATACTGATTTTTTTCGGTATAAATAATCCATCATCTTTATAATAAATGGTGTCAGATTTATTTTGTTCAACCAATTTCTGGTCACATTTCTTCCTTGTCTTGTCTTTCCCGTTCTCTGCGGAAAGCAAATATCTGCAACACCTCTGTTGACCCGTTGTTAGAGGTATAATCGACTTGAGATAAAGTGACCACCAGATATACTGAGATTGACTTATATCAGATCGTTGTGTGTATCCGTTGTTGGAAACAGGAAATTAAAAAAAGGGAAAATGCAAAGAGTCGGAAAATGATATGAGATAGAAGAAAAGATAGAAATACAATACTCTGAGCGTCGAAAGATCAAAAGAATATGCTGGTATCGTATGTTATTCTGATTTATTCGGATCGGAAACTAAGGGTCCATATACTGAAAATCAATTAAACTAGAATTCATTGAACGAAGTGAAGATTAATGGTCACTAGATGAGTAAGTGAACATCGGAAGGTGACTAACGAATATCTATTGGTGACTTCCACCTTTACATGGTCGGGCGGGCCACTACTCAATGGCTGTGCCCACGGAAGACAACACCATAACCCCTGAAGACCATATAGGTGTTTCACTAGCAATACAAATATGACTGATTATATTAACAAGGTAAATTGTACACTTCGCAAAAGTGATTTCTGTGGACCGGAATGCTCATGTGGTTTATTTAATAGATCTTTGCTCGCAAGATCGGAGGAATCCGCGAGTGGTCATGGGTCATGGAGGTGCAAAATCGTGGATCCCCTCACATTCACACTGTGTTGTGGACCGTTAAGCCCGGAGAAGGTCTTGCACATCTCAACGACCTCTTCGTCGCGAGAATGCCAGCCGTGGACGACCCTTTGTAGAGTGGCTATGCCCGTAAATCGCCGCAAGCGAAGGATAACAAAAACCTTCGTAAACAAATAAGTCATGGTCACCAGCTTCAGGGAGTGATCGTTTTCGAAGAAGGTTTTCGTCTTACGTTGTCTAAAAGCAGCAGTCCCATCCAACGCGCGACTTTCCTCGACCGAGGCTATTATACCAGATTCATTGCGATGAGACCAGGAAAGGTACAAAAGTAAAAAAAAAAAAAAAAAGAAGCCGCATAGGGCAATCACTAATAATAGCTTTCTTGATTTTTTTGGCCATCGTTATGAAGTGTTCCGATCTGACGTCGATGTCACAGAAGATGACTTGACAGGAAAATTTGGGGACCATTGCTGGAAAACATATTGCGAGACGAAACTGACCTACGTTTAAACTGGTATGATGCAGAGGATCTATTGTTTTTGTGCGTACGGACTTTTCTCACACCATTGATAATGCTGTAGGGGAGAATCAGTAGGAGATTCAAGCGGAGCTGTTGTGGGCCAAAGTGGCTTCAAAGTTGACGTGCGAGTCATCCGAGACAATTATAGCGCAGTCAGAACAAAAAGGAAGCGACGCTGGTAAACCTCGGGATGGCGCGCATCGGTGCTTCCGTTGCGAAGGTGACAGGCGATAAAACCAAGCTTTTCATTGAAAGAAAATGTGTCATCGACCGAATTATCACCGAAAGCGAGCCCGAACGACCAGTTGTCCTACCGGCCTTACAATTAACAGGTATGAGGATTAGTACTGTCTAACGCAAGACATATATGATCTTACCGACTATATAGGTTTGACTGCAACTCTATTCCGTTTGCGCTTGGTTGCTCCTGGGTTATACGTTGCCATTAGCGAGGGTACATGCGAGTTACCGAAAGAAGGATGTATTTCTTGTCAAAGAACTCCCAAAAGCAACTCCGCTGAGATAAACTTGAATAGCGGGATTTAACTAAGTAGGAAACATAATAAGGTCTAACCTGCTTGAAAAAAAAAAGTTTCCTGTTCAAGTGGCATCGAAACGCCACTGGGATATCTATTGCTCTAGATCAGTCAAGGACTATAATAAATTTACCATATTGAATCACGTTTATTCCAGAATTCAAACTCGTTTCTTAATTTTTGATACATTTCCTCATACGGCGATGGCAATGTCGGTAGATAAGGATCGAATATATCAAGGGTGTCCGCGATATCAAGGGCTTCAAGATGCTTGAATGACAGGAGGAAGTTGACATATTCCGAGACATCTGTCCCTGGTCGGTATTTGAACCTCAATACACGCAAGTTGGGATACAGGTTGGGAAACTGACGCATAAGTTCGACCGTGATACCATCTACATCCAGTATAAGTGTGTGCAGATGAGGATTCTTCCATTCTTCAAGCGCAGACCAAAGGTCTGTGGCCGTGGATGCATCCTTTATCACGGCACCATCAAAGACGAATTCGGTGAATTGGAAAGTTTTCAACAACTTCCTCAGACCTTCCACAGTGATGGATCCATATCGGAGTCGCAGGGAGGTTAAACCAGGAAAGCGCTCCACCAATACATCAATCACTTCATCCGTCGTTCCGTTAGGACATGTCAGCTTTTTTAGTTGATCGGGCCATATTCGTCTTAACACCTGCAAGAAATCTTTTGTCTTCAACGCCTTGAAGGCAAGTCTTTGTACCCGTCCGACATCGTAGTTGCGAATGTCATCCACATTTCCCGGGTAGAAGCGGTGTACACTGATTTCGAAAGTTTTCAGCCGTGGTGGCAAGTGGTTTAACCCAGTGTTACGCAAATCTGGATGGATTAAGGTAAGGTCTTCCAATGCTTGACAGTGATATAGATATGCGGCTATTTCTTCGGGCCGGCTATATTGCATCCATAACCGACGTATAGATTTGAAGCATTTTGCCAACGTATCGTATCCCACGTGTTTCTTCAGCTCCATGGCGCTTATTGTGAGCGTGTGTAAGTTTGGAAAGCAGTCTTGAAGCGATCGAATATGTCTGCGAGATACGTTGTTACAGAAAAACATCGGCACGTAGTAGAGATTGAGAGTTTTCAACTGTTGCACTGTTTCACGTGCATCGAGAAGACATCGCGCGTCAAGCCCTGTGGCGACTGCCAAATAGAGATGCCGTAGTCCGCGATTATGCTTCAGAATCCGGGTGACCGCGTCATTCGTTAAATTGTGACAATTATAGATATTCAGGGTCTCCAGGTGAATGCAGTCGATTGTCAACCGTCGGAACGTTTCGTCTGTTATCAAGGTGTATTGTTCCAGTCGTGAAAGATCCAGACAACGTACTAGTTGTGCGTAATTGTGTTTTGAGTAAAAGCCGAGGCTCGGTCTACGTCTCTTTTTTGCAGTTTCCTGAAACAGGTTACTGCATGCCTTGAAATGATCGCCATTGCGAAGCGTAAGATTGCGATAGAGAAATGAACTCGCAACGTAAAACCAATGCTGATTGATTGTCAATAAACGTAAGACATCGCTTCTCGCCAGATGAGATATGATTATTAGAATGACTTCGGTGGGTAAATCGACGTTTGGCATAACTCAAAATCTATGTGTCCAGGCAAAGGCTTGATAATTTTTACAGTCTGAAGTAGAAATTGGCTTCACCTGCATTTCATACGTCCGTTTCGAATGTGAGTCGTGCAGAGAATATCGCTCTCCGACAACAGGGTAGTTGGTTGATCGAAATGAAGCCGTGATTGAAACAATGTCTCGCCTGGAGAAATAATGCCGTTGGGGAATCGAAGATAGAAATGTGGTGCACTCTTCCAAAGCCACGCTTTATTCCTTTTATTTTTATAAAATGAAACTGAATTAAAAAAATTTCTCTTTATGTCTTCTAAGCTGTGTAATGGGCATTTAATGCCTCCTCTATTAATATTCTTTTGTCTTTTGCCAAAAGATTCTTCGGTACCAAGTTCTGGGTGATTTCGGTTGTACCACACTTTCTGTCTTTGATTCACCAACAGTGTTATTATCTTTCGTTCCTAACATAATACCTGTTGGATCATTTCCGACATACAATGATGTGGTACTCTTCTCCACAGCTGAAAACTTAATTGTACAATGGCCGAGCGCGTGGCTTGTAGTGGAAACGTTCGGAAGTATCGCTTGATAAATTCCAATTTGCGTATTTTTTGATATCATTCAGAGCAACAATCGTTTTGCAGCTCTTTGGTGCCTGAACCGACCGGAGAGAATGTGGTTTGTATGCTGTAGTGTCAATTTCCAGCCTGACTTTGTTTAATCTAGTTGGTCAGCGTGGGTCGTGCTCGTTTGATCTTGGACCCGTTGAGGTCTTCTTTTTATTTTTATTTTTTCTGTACACAAGCGTAAAATATTATCAAAGCCAAGGAACTAAATAACTACGTAATAGGATACCTCAAGATGTGTCTTGCTTTTTTGACAGTTTGGCGAGTTCCTATTTTAGTTCGTATTAAATCAATCAATAATGGACCCGAATTTGGGCAGCTGGTCAGCCTTTTGGAAGCATGCTGTAACACCCAAATGCACTTTTAATTCGATCAAACCTTTGTCTGTTAATGTCTTGTCTGACATAAGGTCCAGATGCTTCGAACAATCAAATCTTGAGTTCACTGGTTGCGATATACCGTCCCGGCCGTGTTATGCTTTCCTTCCGTCGTCGTCTTGAAACATATCGTTCCTTTCCGGCAAACACATAAGCACTATTTCTACGAATTCGTAGCAGCTTCAAGGGAATGGCAGAGCACCAAAGTTGGGAAGGCCCTCCATTGAGCAAGGTCCAGTCAGATTTGATTTTTTGCTATGCGACCAAGAACAAGACCTCGGCTTGAGATTTCATCAGATGTTTCCAATTTTTCTTTTTGCGCATTTTCAAGCTGAGCTGGTTTTTTTTCTGAAAAAAAAAAGAAGGTACTGTGATCGCAGTAGTTCCAGATACACAGATCGACTTACCATCAAAAAGTGCCAAAGCGCTTACGATGGACGGTGTTAGTATTGCTCGTGTATATGCAGATGTCAATCTGAAGCAACCAAAAGAGTATTACGATTATGAATCGTTGCAGATTCCTTGGGGGTAAGCGAGATTGCCTATTGGGTTTTGCACACTACGTTAATGTTGGTTAAGAAATCAGGCAGATTATGCCGTTTGCCGAAAGATTGGACGAGGAAAATATTCGGAAGTTTTTGAAGGCATCAATCGCTTTAATGGAGGCAAATGTGTTATTAAAGTGTTGAAGCCCGTTAAAAAGAAGAAGATTCAGCGCGAGTTACTGATTTTACAAAACCTCACCGGGGGCGTCAATACTATCTCGCTTCTGGATATCGTGCGTGATAACAAGGTATGAGGCGGTGTATTGGAGTGCATAGGGAAGCATGCTTAGTAGAAATTTCATAGTCCATGGTACCGTCACTCGTGTTTGAATTAGTAGCAAATGCCGATTTCAAACTTCTTTATCCAAGGCTCACTGATCACGATATCCGTTATTACTTGTATGAACTGCTGAAGGTCGGTTATGGAAGTTCCATGCAAAAGGGCGTATCACAGATTGTCTGGTCTATTAGGCACTCGATTATTCTCATTCAAAGGGCATCATGCACCGCGACATCAAGCCACTTAACGTCATGATCGATCACGATAAGCGGCAGCTTCGTCTTATTGATTGGGGTCTAGCTGACTTCTATCTTCCTGGTGCTGAATATAATGTACGTGTAGCGTCAAGATGCTTTAAAGCGCCAGAACTTCTGGTGGGCTTCAGGCAATACGATTACAGTGTGGATATGTGGAGTTTTGGATGTATGCTCGCTGGAATGGTAAGATATCAACGGATCGCCAAATCTGTTGATTACTTATCTCTCTCTATTACGAACAGTTATTTCGTAAGGAGCCGTTCTTTAACGGTGATGATCTGTACGATCAATTGGTGAAAATTGCGCAAGTGCTTGGCACCGAGAAACTGTATGCATATCTGGAGAAGTATGATATCAAACTAGATCCGCACTACAACAAGATCCTCGGAGTATACCCAATAAGACCCTGGAGTGATTTTATCACCGGTCCGACTCAAGAGTACAGCACACCAGAAGTATTTGATATACTGGATAAATTGCTACGATATGATCATCAAGAACGATTAACAGCACGCGAGTGCATGCAGCATCCGTTCTTTGGTAAGCTGCCCAGAAATTTGAATTGCTCTAGGAAATAACACTAAAGTCAGTTATAGCATCTATCCATAATGCATCTACTTAGCTCCAATCTCATTCATATACAGTCTATTCGCCACATCGTTGCAGTAATACTACTTGATAACAGAACGTAACTGCTGATCTACATTGTCAATGTAACATAGTCTATTTTAAGAAGTAACATGGTGACGGCAATTTTGCTTTTTAAGTAATGAAAAAAAAAAGACCTAAAAAATATTCCGATCAGGAACCTTCAGGTCTTCTGTTTCTTGCACCATGTCAACATTCTCTGTCATACAAAACCCTATGCTGGATAATCCTTCACAGCCGCCAAGAACTCGTTCGCGTGTTTTGAATACCCTGGCAAGCATGCCACTGATGCCGGTGCCCTCCTTCCGTAACTTGGTCAATCGATCCTTGTTACATATGCAACAACATATGAAAAACAACAGGAAAATAGCGCCAGTTGTTAGCCAGTCAAAGACAGAAGGACCTAAACTAGCAAAGATAGCTATGGCGGATAGTAAACAAGAACCCGTGGTCTTTTACAATGGCCCCTTTCAGACGTCCGACCAGCTTTCAGCCGATAAGTTATCATGGATCAAAGCTGTGTCGGCCGAAGAACCTGCGCAAAATCCGTTAACAGAGTATAAATGCTCAGTCGTATTTCGAAAGTCTTTTACAAGAAGCAAGACCTAGTAAGCAGATTCGGATAGGATTGGTAGTGTAGTAGACTCATCGCCATGTCAGTCCTATTGCAGGTCACACCCAGTCATATTTGAAGCCCAAAGCCATGTTCTATTTACGAGGTATGGGGAAGCTGTGAATATGCCTGAAGGCGTATACTAATGAGCGTATTGTTAAAATAATAAGTGCTTCAGATAACGGGACAGAAGGAACAGAAGAGTAAGCTACTTTGCCAACTCTCATATGACATGCATTTCGAAAGTTATGATACTGATCATTCATAGATTACAACCTGAGGTGCGTGATCAAGGTGAACGATGAAACGTTCATGGGAAAGTATGCCAAAATTGAAAAATGCGGCAAACATAATATACAAGCAAACTTTGAGGAGACATATCTTGTGTGAGTGAGATCCATCGCTGCAGTTGTATTGCTATGATCATAACATCTTTCAGAGACATCGAGGATCCGACTGTAGTCAGCCTGAATCTATACGCTCAACCCAAGGGAAAAGCTATGTTCAGTAGCGAGAATCGACGCCAAGACAGATGTATCGGATCAGTATCGTTCAATGTTAATTTATTCTCTGAGCAAAAACGTCTACAACGCTTTTCCATTATAAATTATTCCGACAACGATTGTCAACCAACGGGCTATGAATTGCTGGCTGTTACCGGGACTTACGTTAGTTCCAAATCACAGGCTTTGATTCAAAATAGAGCCCTGTACGATGATTATGTGAACATATACATCAATAGCAAGGGCGTGCCGGTAAAGTAGCAAAACCATAAATGCCTTACAGCAACATTCTTACATCTTCTTATAGCGAATTGAACGGTATCGGGCTATTTTACGAGGTGCGCTTCTGGAGTTGCACGATTTCCAGACGCAACAGGTATGAAGCCACGGACCAAATCGAATGATTTATCGCTTATGTATTGTAGTCTTGTGATCCTTTACACGTCATCCCGCTACACGCCTTAATCCATGCTCGCTTGCTGAACGCTGAACAAGATGAAGATTTGGAATTGGGTTTGGGCGCTGCAGCGTTGTTATTGCAATTTTCCAAGCAAGCCTTTGACAGCAAACGACCAGATGCAGCAATCACAGAACGAGGATTATCGTATCAGATGTATTTGATATCAGATACAGTGTCTGGGGCCCTCAAATGGATGGATTCCTTCCAATACGCTATCTCGATTCTGGAAGAGTTACACGATGTGTCGAATCCGACCGAGGACGAGGAAACGGAGTACGCCTACTATGTCGGACATGATAGCGCATCAATGACAACGAAATCTTCCTCATGGATTGAAATCAAGAACCTGCACAATAATCCATCTTGCCCACGATCCAAATATGTACCTCAAAAATTTCTTTGGTAATATCGATTTTCATCATAAAGTTGAAAAGCCAAAGCGTTCTTTTGTTCTTTTTCTCCTATTAGCTCTCTATCTCTTTGATTAGAATTAATTCATTGGGAAAAAAAATTGGATGGGACCATGTAAACACTGATGGGAGATTGTGAGAACTTTCGGAAATAGGCGGTTGATGATATGATAACATGCAATTTTATAACAATCTGTTATTGATTTTAGTTGATTATCCATGGCCTTTCCATTTTTCTCTTCCTTTTATGTGACTGTAGGATATATGAGCAGATATTGCTGCAATTTTGTGTCATTGCAATCATAAACTTTTTTTTTTGTATCGACTTGATACGGCGGGACAACCGTCGCTTTGGATCTCTGTTTCAGTTGCGTCAACGGTAAAGATCTGATCCTCGCCGGATGCTGCTCATTCTTGCGGATCGAGATAGTTCAACGTCCATACTATGTCTCAATGACGTCAACTCCTGGCTCAAATTTATGGACAAGCAGGAGCGATTTCGAGACAACCCCGAAGCCGAACTTTTCAATTATCCTGAATATATCGAAACTGTACCGATTGGGGACAGTATTGGCGACCGGCTACCGTTGAAATTGCCGCTATAGTCCCGAACTATAGTCCCGAACAACGAATGCATTTGTGCATATTCTGATATTACGGTTATGTGACATGGCGGAGAAGAATGAACAAAAAAGATATGGAGAATAAAGTAATAATGGTGCTTATAAAATATTATTAGGCAAAAAGGACGAGGAGCCGGATGTCCAGAAGGAATCCAAGCAAAAAGCTAGTGGTCTTTGCGCAAGACAGCCGCTTATTTCTGTTGATGGTTTTTGCTCTAACCTGTTTGGAAAAAACAGTGTCAAATTCAGACGGCCATCGAGTCGGCGAAACCGGAATCCCGTACGAAAAATTGAAGAGACACGAAGGGCGGAGAACTGCTGGCCGCCATTGTTGACGAATTCTGTCATGGCGAATGCCCTAATCAGTTCCCATGGCATTCTCGTTTGCCGGAATTGCCGAATGATGTGGAACAGAACTCGGAAGGCAGCAAAGAATATTCACAACATCGCTCACAACGTCATCGCTCACAACGTCATGTATGGGGATGGACGCCTGCTGCCCTTTACTCGGAACCCTTAGTTTTGTCTTCTTATATACCCCGTATTGAATACGGTTCCTTTCCCTTTGGCAAGAATTCAGGTTATTACAGTCTTCGCACTAGTGCACACATTAAGCAATGACCACAGCAAATTGTTTCTATCATAACGTTTTTTTTCTCTTTTTTGTGCCTGAAAGTTCACGACCATCGGATGATCACGTTGGGGGCAATGATTGAGAATTACATCATATAAAGTATTGACAGCTTGCGATTTGTTTTAACAACACGTCTCTTGCCGCATCGACCTACATTATCATCTTATTTCAGTTGTGGAAGACATCGGAATGGTAGAAAGCTAGTAATTTCGGAGACTCAATATAATGGTATCATTGGAATGATTCGCTTTATTTTTATTTTTACTTTGTTGCCTTCTTCAGACGGTCGCGAGCAATGAGCATCATATCAGTGATACCAGTCTTCATTTCCTGCTCGGGGTTGTTCGAGGCAATGCGTTGCTCAATCACAGGAATGATTTCAGATCGAGGACGGCCAGCGACGAAAACAACGAATTTAAATCCGTATTTAGCTTCGTATTCCTAAAATGATGCTTTCGTTTAACACTGCCGGCTCGCCACGGGGGATCACTTATAATTTACCTTATTGAGTTCTGCGAGTCTGGCATTAACCTTCTGGTCCTCCTCGGAAACTTCACCCTGACGTTTGTCATAGCCCTGCTCCTTCAGCGACATAGCAGAGAGATTAGCTTTGTTCTCACCAATTCTAGGATGAGCGTTGATAACGTCGAGTTTCTCCTGTTGAGTCAATTCATCGCCCAGGCAGATTTTTTCGGCAGTGTCGATGAGCTGCTCATAAGAGTCGAAGGGACGTGCTGCTAGAAGACGGTCGGCCAAAGGAGGTGCAGTTTCGAATAGTGTGTTGACAGCTTCCAAGAACTTCTCCGGGGTTTCTTGGTTCAATTTCTCGATCGATGGGACGGTGGTCATTTTTTTTTTTAATATTCAGCCAAGACGAACTGGAGTAAGAAGCTCTGTATTGAGGGCTGGCCCGTTTTGCGGTAAAATAATGTTCGACGGAAGTTGAAATAAATTTCACTGAGGTTGAAAATGTTGACCACGTTCATTGGTCGGCCTCAGGTCAAGCGTCACATCGTCGCATCGATTAACGTCGAAGAGGATGACTTTAGTGTAAACCTGTCTGGCGTAAAGCCCTTCACTACCTTTCATATATCAAATTACGGCATGATTATTTGAATAAATACTCATAATAGATTCTTTATCAGAAGAAAATATAACCCGGGGCGTTGCTGTATCTGTGCGATATAGAGATTCGTACAGCAGATTCTATTAGTGTACGTTTCAAGTAAATTGACACGCAGTTTATTTCATTCATGGTATCATATCATGTATTATTGTGGGTAAAATAGCGTGTTCCAACAATAATATTCACCTTCCCAAGGTCACGCAACCCAATTACGCCACATACACATAAGTATCCCGTTCTTGCCTGGCGATAAATTGCTTCTCCAACAGCTGCTCGATACATTTTTTAATCATGATGACGGACGGTGAAAAGCGAGAATTCGCTTGATCGATGATCTCTTGAATCAATTGCACGTGCGATAAAACCTGACGAGATTTCATAATACGCACAATCGCAGCTTGTAGGTACATACGACGATCTTCATCAACCGCTTTACGTGTAGCCTGTGTCTCTTGATGTGTATCTGTATGCGCTGCTGCCGTCACCTTGATCTTCGTACGTTTACTATCATTGAATATCAGCTTCAAGCGCTCAGACAACAGCTAAAACCGTACTATTTACCTCGTAAATGATGTGTTAATGGTCAGTTCAGAATGTGCGTTTAGTGGACCACCGCTTTGCAGGATAGATATATCCACCAGCGGCTAGTAAAACTATTAGCAGACTAGATTGATGGGGAACGACAGAACAAGCTTACCTTTAAACTACGCAGGATATCCGACTTTGATAAACCCGAATGAGAGATGAGTTCATCCACTGTCGCAGTCATGGTTGTGTTGAAGTGTAGCAGTAAAATGATTTGATAAAGTCCCAACTGTAACTCATAGTGCCGATCCAAGTAATTGAGACGCAACTCGCCTAAACAATTTAATCAGCACCATTCCAGGTTTTGCTGCAATATTCAATCATCCTAAACTTGCATGTTGCTCACCTCTTGCCAGGTTCCATTGCCATAAAAGGCGACGGCCACTATGATGACTTCCGTAAAACTTTTCAAAGGAAGAGAGACTCTCCTCGAACTGTAAACAAGACGACGCAAAGACTAATGTTCAATATGCAATTCCCCATATATCCTCATTGTATACGTACTTCGGCTGGTATCTGAATCTTGTTCGTTTCAGGAACTTTCAGATCGTCCTTTTGATTCAGCGGCCATGCACCAGCAGTGAGCACAAGGATATCAAAAGCAGCTAATAAATACCGTTAATTCAATGTTATACATCCGAAAAGTCAATAAATTACCACCCGTTTTCTTGCTTTGCTGCTTTACATAATTTTTGAAGTTCACGTTCAGTTCGGCACTAAGTGACATGTCGGTGAACATCTTATTCAGTTTGCTGGTATATTCGACTCCGCATATTTCCTATATCCTTGGGTTAACCATTTGACTCGACTTTACCATAGTCTCTTTGAGTACCTTTAATCGGTTGATCATATTCAGTTCCAACTCCTCAGAGGAGGACGCGCCATAAATGAGTCGCTTGGCCAGCATCCTGGAATAAAACTTTTGAAAGACGTCCTTGTCATCCACGTATTTGAATAAAGTAATCTGGTCATCAACAAACTCAGTAACAGTTCAGGTTCATAATGCGGAGGTTGATTTACCATTTTTACAAGCTTCTCTTCGGGATCGCCCTCGTTCACATCTACCGTCGCCTTTCGCAATGTTGACTTTTTCCGACTATCAATCGTTGCCATATCCTTTCTTCCAGAGTTCTTTTTCATCATCATATCGCAATATCGAGCCAATGTTTCAGGACCACTGATAGATGTGTGGGGCGCGATATCGTTAATAATGGAACGAAACGCTTTATCGACTGCAGCTGTAAATAAGGGATCGGACGCAAAGGTCTGATGGTTCACATCGTAGTACTTGGTGTGCAAATCAAGGAGTTGATCGACGTAGGCACGAGGGTTCTATACAAATAGGTGAATATAATCATGGCCTGTTCTAGCGAATTAGCGCTTCATCAATACCTTGACCACCACTTGCTCCAATTTGCTCACGATTTCCTTCCCGAGATGAAGGATATACCGTTCATAGATATCCAAAATAGGCTTCAGACCAGTTGGTATATGGCTCAAAAGTTTGTAGGCCAGCGAGCAATCTGAAAAACAATTATATTTAGGAGACAATCGGCATAATCAACGCCAGAGTCAGTTCCACGGTACCTTCAAATCGTTCATGGCGCAACATATTTTCGAATTCGTCAATCAATCGAGCTTGATACGCGGCAATATATTGAGCTTCGAACTCTTTAACAATCCTTCCATGCGACGTAGAATGGCAGTAATAGTTGTTTCGCATTGTCTCTTGTTGCAAACGCGCGTTGGCCTTGTTGCACCAATATAAGTGATTGTGTTCATACCATTGCTACATGGCGGCGTCGTTACCTTTTTCATGAAAGAGCTGACAGTACCTGCTGCAATTTCTCTTGCAGCTTCCGACTCGTAATAGCGCTTCGTGTGAACCAAATATGGCCGTTCAAATTCTTCGATATACAGTTGAAGAGGCTGCTCCGTAAATGAATTGAGCTGCACCAAAGATACCACCACCGACTTGATAGTGCCATGGGGTGCATCATCACCATCCCGATCTCTGCGAATAAGTTCAAAGACTTGATAAAATAGCCGATTTTGGAATCGATCACGGATCGTGAAAAGAACATTTGATTTCCAAAGGTAAAGTGCGAGCTGGAGTAAACCGTGAAGAATTGCAGAGTGAGCCATTTTTATGTAAGACATCTCCTTTAAATTGTAGGCCTTACTGCTTCCACGTTTTGCTTTTTGTATTTGCCACCAGCGACCGTTGCACGGCGGTCGGTTCCGACACCATGATATGTCGACGTGATGATACGGTTAAGATAGCAGCATGTCTTAGAGACACCGTCGGCTGCTAAACTGAATTTTTCGAATTCTCGAGCGTAGGCCGTCACTACATCATCATGGGCCAGAATATGCTATCAATGGCTGTCAATAATTAGACTCCAAAGGCTTTAACCTTTGGCATACCTGGCATATAAGAGTTGTATGTTTATCCAGATACTCGGCGATATTGGTGAATAATCGATCGGTAAAAGGTCGTGGTATCGCGTTACACATATCGTAAACTAAGCTATATAACGAGTCAAGGACAACCATGCATAAATACAGAATAATGAATGTTTCGTGCGCACAATAGTAAGCATTGAATCGTTTGATAAAAATGCTTATAGCTTTCGGCGATTTTTGCAATTCATCAACCTCCTCGAAAGCAATGCCTACAAGTGAAAAAAGGATACTGGTTCATATTCATGCCGGAAATCTCGCTGAGCGCAGAGAATGAGAATATCGCATCAAGCATTTTCTGCAGTTCGGCAAATTTGGCATCGAAATCGATGGGTTTTCTACGAAGAGACATTGTGAATGGAATAAAGGGGTTGGATATGAATGGTGCGAGTGAGAAGACGTGGGGTCCTACATTTTGCTGGGCTTTTGAATGTCGCATTTACAACAAAAAGTCGGACGCAGAATTTAAATCCCGCATGTGCCCTGCTCCAATATTCTTTCAAAGCCCAGGATTTGCCCTTTTACCTGATAGATTCCATCTGAATACAGAGTTTTACTTAGTCACTAGTTAAGGAATGTCCTGTTATTACTCGAGGTACACTCGTTAATTGTGTGGGGATAGGTTGGCAAACGGTAACAGGCGTTCGTTATTGTTTTGGTGCATATGTACTATATAAAAACACGTCGCTAATGTTGATTGAAGTCAGTGATCGCGGTTCCCACAACACACTGTAATTGTTGCATTTTCAGCACGTTATAGATTCTGGGTGAGAATACAAAAAGTTTAATGCTTTATCCTGCAATGTATACGAGTTCCGCAATAACCGATTTATGTTCTCAAGCAAATGAGACCGGTATAGATGGAAAACGAAAGAATATATTGACACTAGCAGGAGATCCATTTGTCCCAAAAGCCCGACTGCCCATATGCATCTGCTCCACATTTCCCTTCATACTATAACGACAAATTCCAGCCCATTTGAACATACTTAGACTCTCCTCTGCTAAACGACTTTCCACCTGCCGCATGCATATGATGGGTTTGCAGTTTCAGTGATCATCTTCCTCACTACCTGGACAGTTCTCTTTGAGATCTTCTTCATCAGCATATTGGGCTCCACACCAGAAACAGTAGAGGTAATTATTCCGTAAATATTCAACCAGTCGCTGTAATTGATCGTCAAGCTATGTGCAGAACGTTAGCTATGGAAACAAAGTCTCAATGATTCAACCAACCTTTAGCGATTTCAATGCTTCGACTTCTTCGGGAGGGTATATTGGTTCCTCTTCCCGTTTTGCCTCTTTTTGATCATCTTCATCGTCTTCAGATGTAGGCTCTTGGCGTCCTTCCAACTGTGATTCGTTTTTGGATGAAAGCAAAGTCCACAGAATATTTGACTACATAATCTGTGTATTTGAAAATGGATCCTGCGTCGTAGTTATGAAAGTTTGAGGATACCTCAATGCCCTATCTTGAATTAGTACTGCTATGAGATTCTTTCAGCTATGCACTTACTTTGACTTGATCTAATCTTTCACAAATGACTGCTGCTGCATGAATTCGCCGGGACAGTCTGGCCTCATTTGCTCTAGCAGCCATAGCCTCTCGAAAATCGTCTGGATCTATTTCCGTCCTTTTGCGATGCTCTTCCTCGGCTTTGACTTCTTCTTCCCGTGCACGTTTCAGACTGGTTGCCATACCCAAGCCGCTACGGCCTAATTATAATTTAGATATAGCATCAACAGAGCTGTCATTGCTACGTTACCAAGTTTTTGCTCGATGGCAATGGGTTCAATCAGTGCTCCTTCTGTTTCCTTTCCAAGGGCCATTCCATGTCTACGTTAGATTAAGATCGGTTATATGCCACCAACGCCATAATCGTCGTCCACGACGTACTTGAAGCCCATTTTCATCAGCATTTTCGCTCCTTTATTACTGGGATCGAGGGTCTTTTTCAAGCCTTCTTGTCTTGCTTCATCTTCCAACTGCTTGCGCGGTTTGATGTAGCCCTTTTTCTGCTGTTCGCGCAACTGCTGTTTCCGACGTTCGGTGTATGTTGTGTCTTTACGTTGTTTTTCGTATTCTGAGGCTTGCTCAAGAAGCCGACTAGACATATAGTCTTCTTCGTCGTCTTCTATGTTACTCATTTCTCCAACTTTTGATTGAGTGATCGCACTGTGTAGAGAATTTGCGGATTTCAGCGCATAAAAACACCCAAAAAAATTCGGCCAATCAAACGGCCTGGCCGGACTTTGCGGCAATCATGGCTAACCAACAGGTGGCAACAAGTTAGAATTGCTCAGCTGCAACTCCGTATTTATTGGCTGATACGCCAGACACGTGCATGATGACGGGTGGACTGAATTCATTAGAGGAAGGAAAGCCAGTGAGGGATAAGGGAAGCTATGTGACGGAGGATGAGGGAAGAAAATATATCACAATGGATGCAGGGCTGCCCCAGCAAGGGAAAAACAAGGGTGGACATGTGGTCAGGGAGATGCTATTATGTTTGTCCAATCAAATGACATTGTTGACGTGTGGTGCCGCAATCAAGGTGCACGACTAAAATGCATGAAGCTCTTTTTTTCGTACGGTGATATATGTCGTGACTGTGTTCGTTAAATACGCTGGATTCGATTAAATAATACGTAAAAAAGGTTCGTGTTGAGTTGGGTGAAAGAATACGATGGCAGTTCGAACTTTTGATAACTCAGTAGTTAGGTAAAAAAAACTGGTCACCCAGGTTTTTGTTGTTGTCCTATGAGCTTCTATTGTCTAAACTAAAATTATCGCCATTTTCGGACAGTGGTCCGGCGAGCAATTATCCAAAAAAAATCAATGACGTAACCACTCAAAATACATCAACGGCGCAGCAGACGTTCGCGTGAATTAGACTACGTTTCCAGTTTCATTGCCTATCAACAAGGTCAACATGGCACCACAAGTAAGCCTCCTTCTCTTAAATTTGCTTATGATTAAATCCGATAAGCATATGTCTGACTGAGCAGCTTGACTATTAGCTGATATCTGAACCCATCTTTTTCGGCGTGATTGCACCGGTGGCTCACAGAGCGGCTAGGAGTACGTGGGATACCTTTCTTCTGCGTACATACGAAAGATGGTCCTTCGATACCGGCTGTCGAGGTCGTTCCCCACGTTGTTTATCCATGTGCGATTATTATTGCAATCATTGCGCATGGGTCAGGTGTCGCTCTGTATGGTTGTTCAGATTGTTTGGGAGTACATATACTTCTGGCTTCTGGGAAACATCGCTTGGGGAAACGTACGTGTACAACCAGTGTGGACCTTAAGATAAGTTGATATACATAGATAATGGACGATAAAGAATGAAGAAACTAATTTGGTGTTTGCCAAGGTCTCTAGTCTGACATTTGGTGTTCTATCGGCCGGTATCTGAACCCATCTTTTTCGGCGTGATTGCACCGGTGGCTCACAGAGCGGCTAGGAGTACGTGGGATACCTTTCTTCTGCGTACATACGAAAGATGGTCCTTCGATACCGGCTGTCAAGGTCGTTCCCCACGTTGTTTATCCATGTGCGATTATTATTGCAATCATTGCGCATGGGTCAGGTGTCGCTCTGTATGGTTGTTCAGATTGTTTGGGAGTACATATACTTCTGGCTTCTGGGAAACATCGCTTGGGGAAGCGTACGTGTACAACCAGTGTGGACCTTAAGATAAGTTGATATACATAGATAATGGACGATAAAGAATGAAGAAACTAATTTGGTGTTTGCCAAGGTCTCTAGTCTGACATTTGGTGTTCTATCGGCCGGTATCTGAACCCATCTTTTTCGGCTTGATTGCACCGGTGGCTCACAGAGCGGCTAGGAGTACGTGGGATACCTTTCTTCTGCGTACATACGAAAGATGGTCCTTCGATACCGGCTGTCAAGGTCGTTCCCCACGTTGTTTATCCATGTGCGATTATTATTGCAATCATTGCGCATGGGTCAGGTGTCGCTCTGTATGGTTGTTCAGATTGTTTGGGAGTACATATACTTCTGGCTTCTGGGAAACATCGCTTGGGGAAACGTACGTGTACAACCAGTGTGGACCTTAAGATAAGTTGATATACATAGATAATGGAGTGATAAAGAATGAAGAAACTAATTTAATGTTTGCCAAGGTCTCTAGTCTGACATTTGGTGTTCTATCGGCCGGTATCTGAACCCATCTTTTTCGGCTTGATTGCACCGGTGGCTCACAGAGCGGCTAGGAGTACGTGGGATACCTTTCTTCTGCGTACATACGAAAGATGGTCCTTCGATACCGGCTGTCAAGGTTGTTCCCCACGTTGTTTATCCATGTGCGATTATTATTGCAATCATTGCGCATGGGTCAGGTGTCGCTCTGTATGGTTGTTCAGATTGTTTGGGAGTACATATACTTCTGGCTTCTGGGAAACATCGCTTGGGGAAACGTACGTGTACAACCAGTGTGGACCTTAAGATAAGTTGATATACATAGATAATGGACGATAAAGAATGAAGAAACTAATTTAATGTTTGCCAAGGTCTCTAGTCTGACATTTGGTGTTCTATCGGCCGGTATCTGAACCCATCTTTTTCGGCTTGATTGCACCGGTGGCTCACAGAGCGGCTAGGAGTACGTGGGATACCTTTCTTCTGCGTACATACGAAAGATGGTCCTTCGATACCGGCTGTCAAGGTCGTTCCCCACGTTGTTTATCCATGTGCGATTATTATTGCAATCATTGCGCATGGGTCAGGTGTCGCTCTGTATGGTTGTTCAGATTGTTTGGGAGTACATATACTTCTGGCTTCTGGGAAACATCGCTTGGGGAAACGTACGTGTACAACCAGTGTGGACCTTAAGATAAGTTGATATACATAGATAATGGAGTGATAAAGAATGAAGAAACTAATTTAATGTTTGCCAAGGTCTCTAGTCTGACATTTGGTATTCTATCGGCCGGTATCTGAACCCATCTTTTTCGGCTTGATTGCACCGGTGGCTCACAGAGCGGCTAGGAGTACGTGGGATACCTTTCTTCTGCGTACATACGAAAGATGGTCCTTCGATACCGGCTGTCGAGGTCGTTCCCCACGTTGTTTATCCATGTGCGATTATTATTGCAATCATTGCGCATGGGTCAGGTGTCGCTCTGTATGGTTGTTCAGATTGTTTGGGAGTACATATACTTCTGGCTTCTGGGAAACATCGCTTGGGGAAACGTACGTGTACAACCAGTGTGGACCTTAAGATAAGTTGATATACATAGATAATGGACGATAAAGAATGAAGAAACTAATTTGGTGTTTGCCAAGGTCTCTAGTCTGACATTTGGTGTTCTATCGGCCGGTATCTGAACCCATCTTTTTCGGCGTGATTGCACCGGTGGCTCACAGAGCGGCTAGGAGTACGTGGGATACATTTCTTCTGCGTACATACGAAAGATGGTCCTTCGATACCGGCTGTCGAGGTCGTTCCCCACGTTGTTTATCCATGTGCGATTATTATTGCAATCATTGCGCATGGGTCAGGTGTCGCTCTGTATGGTTGTTCAGATTGTTTGGGAGTACATATACTTCTGGCTTCTGGGAAACATCGCTTGGGGAAGCGTACGTGTACAACCAGTGTGGACCTTAAGATAAGTTGATATACATAGATAATGGACGATAAAGAATGAAGAAACTAATTTGGTGTTTGCCAAGGTCTCTAGTCTGACATTTGGTGTTCTATCGGCCGGTATCTGAACCCATCTTTTTCGGCGTGATTGCACCGGTGGCTCACAGAGCGGCTAGGAGTACGTGGGATACATTTCTTCTGCGTACATACGAAAGATGGTCCTTCGATACCGGCTGTCAAGGTCGTTCCCCACGTTGTTTATCCATGTGCGATTATTATTGCAATCATTGCGCATGGGTCAGGTGTCGCTCTGTATGGTTGTTCAGATTGTTTGGGAGTACATATACTTCTGGCTTCTGGGAAACATCGCTTGGGGAAGCGTACGTGTACAACCAGTGTGGACCTTAAGATAAGTTGATATACATAGATAGTGGACGATAAAGAATGAAGAAACTAATTTAATGTTTGCCAAGGTCTCTAGTCTGACATTTGGTGATCTATCGGCCGGTATCTGAACCCATCTTTTTCGGCTTGATTGCACCGGTGGCTCACAGAGCGGCTAGGAGTACGTGGGATACATTTCTTCTGCGTACATACGAAAGATGGTCCTTCGATACCGGCTGTCGAGGTCGTTCCCCACGTTGTTTATCCATGTGCAATTAGTATTGCAATCATTGCGCATGGGTCAGGTGTCGCTCTGTATGGTTGTTCAGATTGTTTGGGAGTACATATACTTCTGGCTTCTGGGAAACATCGCTTGGGGAAACGTACGTGTACAACTAGCGTGGACATTAAGATAAGTTGATTTGGATATGCTCAAGATCGCAGAAACTAACATTTTTTTTATCTTCCAGGGTTTTGAAGCTTGTCATCCCTCTCCATCGGCCGGTGAACACATCTTTTTCTGTGTGATTGCGCCGGTGGTTCAGAGGGTGGCTAGAAGTGCATATGATGCTCTCATCTGTACGTACGGAAGATAGACGCTCGATACGGGCTGTCAAAGTCGTTTCCCACGTTGTTTATCCCATGTGCTTTTGGACTGCAATCACTGCGCGCGGCTCTGTACGATTTCTCATATTGTCTAGGAGTCATTACTTATTGCTTCTTTGAACATCTCTCATCTCTTACGGAAGCTGAAGTGTCGACGTATGTGTCGACCCATGTGGATTATAGGATACTGTAAGTTGGTTACATAGATTCTGGGCAACAATGAAACAATAATGCTGAAAATAAATCAAGTTATCGAAGAATAACTGTTTATTTGACTTTGCAAACATCTGACTGTTCCTTAAGAAATGATACACAAACTGTGACCATGCTGTTGTCATGCATCACAGAATCCAATCATCTTAATTGTGCTTTTTATTGCTTGGTATCATTGCTTGGCTTCTGTATCAGGACTTGCAAAGTGGTAGCAGACGAAAAATATGGTGTGTCACGAGAAAAGTAATTGAATTGTCTTTTGGAAAACGGAATAATCATTAGCGCAAAATAAGCACAAGTGATCGATTTGATACAATAGCATTATATTGAAACGAAAAAAAAAAATGTAAAAAAAGCAACATGAAAATCAAAGGGTGATATATCAGTAAATGTAGAAACAAAACATTGAGAAGAAAGCAAAGATTAGGAGAAAACTCACAAAGAGGATTATTCTTACTCGACTTAAGGAGATAACAAAAGTATCGCTTCCGGTCTGATTCTGACTTAGAAGCGTTCAGCCATTACCAACAGAGGGTATTTTGCTCGTCGACCGGTCGCAAGATATTCGGGCAACGGCGAGATTCGGGCATCATGACCTGGGGTATCCAGGTGCGCCTTAGAAGATTCACATTGGACTCCATATAACGTCATATTAGAAAGATTTACACTATGTCAAGCGTCGATTTACCAACAGAAGTCATTCTCATTATCATTTCGTATCTAGCGAGAGAGCATGTCTTCCGATTGCCAACGATTAATTGACATTGGTTTTATGTGGCAAGTTCTTTTCGCTACCGCAATCTTACTCTTCGCAATGACGATCAATTCAAGGCGTGCAGTAATCTGTTCCAGGAAACTTCGAAAAGACAACGTAGACCGACTCTCAACTTCTATTCGAAACGGAGTTACGCGCATCAAGTCCGCTGCCTCGACCTCTCACGACTGGAAAAATCTTCTCTTGTGACAAATGGGACGTTTCGAAGACTGACCACTGACTGCATTCACCTGACCCTGAATATCTATCATTGCTAATATTTAACGAATGACGCGATTACCAGGATTCTAAAGCATAACAGCGGCTTGAAGCATCTGCATATGGCAGAGAACCCCGGCTTGGATGCGCGATGTCTTTTCGATGCATGCGAAACAGTGCAACAATTACACACCCTCAATCTTTGCTCCATGCCGCTGTTTTTCCACAATAACTAGACCCACAGACACATTCAAGCGCTTCACAACTGCTTTCCAAACTTGCACACGCTCAAAATGGGTTCCATGCGCCTTAAGAAGCACGTAGGATACGATACATTAGCAAAATGCTTTATATCGATACGACAATTACGGTTACATAGGGGCGGGGCCGACGAAGTAGCCGCATACATATGTCACTGTCAGTCGTTGCAACATCTCTCCTTGGTCAATCCAAAATTGTGTGACGATACGCTGTCAAACTTGTCACTTGGCTGAAAACTCTGGAGATTTGCACGCCCCATCTCGCTCTGATAAATTCAAATGATATTCGCAATCTCGATGTCGGCGGATACAAACGCTTTCCCTCGATTTTATCTAGCCCGACGATTCCTTGCAGCTGTTAAGACGAATTCGCCCCAGTGGACTTAAAGAGTTGTCGTGCCCTTTCGTAACAACAGATGACATGATTGATGTATTTAGTGGAGCGTTTTCCTACTAGTCTAACCACCTTGCGACTCCGGTCAGGACCTATCAGTGTGGAAGGTCTGAGAAAATTATTGAAGCATTTCCAATTCACCGAATTCGAATTTGGCGCTGTCCCAATACACGACCTTGATATCGCCGACGAAATGTGCTCTGTATTTGAAGAATGGAAAATCCTTATTTGCATACACTTATACTGGACATGGACGATATCACTTTGGAACTTCTCCGTCAGCTTCCCAACCTGTATCCCAACTTGCGTGTATTGAAAGTTCAATACCCACAATTCACGCGAATACACAATTCCGTGTATGTGAACTCTTCATGCCGTTGAAGCGACTTGAAGCGTTCTACATCAATGACGTCTGGGACATGTTCGACGAACCTTATTTACCATCGTTTCCATGGCCGTTTGAGGATAGATATCAAGAGTTAAGCAAGGAATTTTGAGTTTCGGAGGAATTACACATAGTTTGGTAAAATCAATAACTGAAAGTAAATATCTTGGTGTGCAACCAATAAACAGCTAGAGTAAAAGGAAATTATGGCGATTCAAATTTGCGAGACTAGCACATAGCCTTACTGTAAGTATTGATTCAATTGATCAAATATAATGCCTGCAAACCCGAGAACATCATCTACGCGACACGTCCTCCCCAAGTGATATTCCTCCTTTTAAAGAATTACAGTCATTCTATTGATTTGACGATATGGATAAAGAAATGAGATTGTTTCGATGGGATTTAGCATGCAGATATGAATAAATAAAAGAAGTATGCATCAGAAGGAGAAGATTACGAATGGAAAATGATTTTTCTATAAGTCTTCTATCAGATCGTCTCCCTCAGCACTTTCTACCACAACAATGTTCATCTTCAGCTCGGCCTTTTCCGTAGGATAGATGACCTTGACGGTCATTGTATCAGTGCCACCATCGTTTACAAGCGAGCGTTCCGGCACATACACCAAGCTATTCAGGAGTTGATTGATCTTGCTCTTCGTTGTACGCTGAAGCTCAATACTGACAGTGGACAATGGATGCGCGTAACCTTGAATTTCGAACCGGCTTCGTTCCACAGCAACCTCGATGCGGACTTCATCGACAATCGCTGGACCACCCCGAACATATACCACGTCTAGACCATGGAATTTGCCTGGCGCTGCCTGCTGTACTTTTCTCGTCTTCACAAAAGATGGCGCACGATAAATAAACCTTTGTGGACCAACCAATTTCATTGGAACCGACCACGCTCCGTTGCTGGAAATAATTGCTTGAGTTTTTGCATCACGATGGGGTATATCCAAGTCAAATTGCCGGAAGACCATATCAATGACACTGCCCGATTCAATCGGCAAATGATTGGTCATTTTTCCAAATAGATGAATATTCCAACTGTTTGGCATAATCTTTGTCTTCAATTCTTGCTCTGCCAGGCTATTCTTCTCGAGTAATTTGTGGATGTCCAGGTAACTGACGGGATAAAGGACTTCGCGCGGCAAGATATTAAACCCGTTGGCTTCCAGCGCTTGGCGATGCTCACGCACATATGTAGTGATAGCCTTAGGACCACCGCAGTTGAAGCACTGAGGATCGTAAGTATACGCGGAAAATGCGTTTTCTGCCATTTCCCTAAACAGTTTCCATCCACGTTTGAATCTCATCAGACCTTGAGGTAGATACAGTCCGTCCTTGTCCAGGGTCCATTCTCTGTCGCTCCATATGCTTGAATAATCGGATCCAATGAATTCGAGAGTCGGATCTGGCGGAATACGAACCCACAGGGCGTCCATGTCCATGTAAGTGCCGCCATAATTATACAGCAGCAATAACCGGATGTAATCGGTGAGATGCCAATAAAAGAATGATCCCTTTTCCCATTCGTCCCATCCGAGAAGCCAGTCTTTGGTGCCCGAGCCGAAATACCAATGCCAACGTAAGAGATTTTCCTTGTTGAAGTGGACCACTTGAATGTTATAGCCATGTTCTTTGTAGTCACTGAAGAAATCTTGCGATAGGGTGTTCGATAACATAAAGATCACAGCGCGAGGTTCGTGGATCCATACAAGCTCCAGAGCTCGCCAATGCCGATCGGTGAATGTAGATGCATCACTTGTCCAACACACCCAGTATAACAAATGCCAATCCTCAGTATCGGAGTAAACAGAAGTGCTTGGTGATAAAATATCCTTGATAATCCACTCGTCATGCGATGTCATCTGAGACGGTAACAAATCATCTTTGACGGACGAGCCTGACACTTTGGTGAAATCTTTTTGTTGTCGCAACGTAACACCTTTGAAAGGATCACATGCCAAGTTCATCGATCGCCAATCGTCCTTTTTACCATGGCATGGATAGCAAACAGCACATTTGCTCGTATCCAATCCGTTACATTGGGATGCCCCCGCCTTGATGTTGTTATACATTGTTTCCATGAGGTATAACTTTCCATTATCGAATCGTTTCGCCACCTGATCCTCTTCACAGACGTTGATATCTTGAACTCGTAAATCGTGCTGAGGTTGAATATTGTAACCAAAGAGCCACACAGCTAAACTTTGCGCATCGTCGGCAAGGAAGCGATGGGGTGATGGAATGCCAACCGCGTACTGAACAGTATCGTATGACAAAACGATCAAGTTACCCGAGACAAAGGTGGGTAGAATTGGCATGCCGTAATCGGGGTCGATTGCTTTTTCCCTAAACGCGTTTGGTGGCATATTGCTATCAAGTCACTCCGCATTTAGTATATCCCAACCCAATCTAGAATAATCCAATTCAATTTACCGATATGTCAATCCCTTCCAATACGCGGTCTGCGGACCCAGGGTTTGTAATTCGCTGATAACCGTATCCCAACGCACAAACACGTTGTCGTCCGTCTTGATCAAATAATTATACTGATTCTTTGTCGACCATCGTAACGCTTCGAGCAATTTTCGGCCCCTATCTTTTCTGAGATCAGACGTTGGGACAAGAAGGAGATCCTTAAATCGCTGTGATTCCTCTTGCAACGTATGACGCAATTTCAATTCATCTCGAGCTGAAGGTGATTGGCCGATCACGAAACGGTATTGTACGTTTTCATGAGGTATCAGTTTCAAGGATGTCTGTCGCAGTTGCTGACGGCGCTTCATGGCTTGCGTGGACCAAGATGAAAGAATAACGACAATGATACTCGCGTCAGCCGGCAGCTGATCCGCTAGGGCAAAAGATGGATGCATAAGCTGGGTCGAGGTATAGTTTAATGCATCGATTTGGAAAAGGGTAAATAGCATGGTGACACCGATCATGAAGAAGAAAGTTAGTGCTAGCATTTTAGCAGCAATGAGCTCGGTATCAATCTTGGCGTTATGAAGATTTTCCGTCTTTTCGCTGTGTTTGGGGCGTGGGTCGAACCGTAAACGCAGAATATTCGCCACTAGTAGAAAACAGGACACAGTGAACCACACTTTGATGGGCTGATCAACTGAAACATAAGACTGAACAAGCGCTGTAACCAAGCCATTGACAATTATCAGTGTAACGATACGAAATGAAGCATTTGCCACACTATAAAGGTACAGCCAACGTCGCATCAAATTGGTAGTTAAAATCCAGCACCAGTAGCCAGCTAGCACGCACTATCCATGTCATCAGGCAATTAACAAGACGAAGAAGCAGCATCAACCATTACCGCGTTGCCTACCCAGCCATTTGCGAGCCAGTAATCTGTTGCGGAGCTTTGTAATACCAAGGCGCCGCCTGCATCGCGTTCGACTATGCTCCAAGCTGCTTTTGTATTATGGAATACGCCAAACACATATGGTAAGAGGCAAAATGCACGGAGAAGTAATAGTGGGATATGGAAACGTCGGGGCACATTTAGATTGGAAAACGAGTTCCGTTTTTGTCGGAATGAAGGAAGTGCACTGGACTACGAAGAATGCAAGATCAGCCACTAACGCTTCCATTAAGTTTCATCTGTAGTGTACCGTCGCCATGATCAGTCGAACGCACAGGCTTTGGACTGGTTTCCAACGGTTTAAGCCTCAATTATTTTCTATGGCGATCGTGTAGCAACACATTAGCTGACTTTGAAGTTTTTTTCCGGAAACAATATTTGATTCACGGAAAAACTCATTGTTGCACAAGATGGAAACACCTCATTTACCACCCTTTCGGAATGTCAATGAAGTTTTGCACAACATAACACAAAAGGGGCACCTGATCAAGTCGTATTCTTAATGCCTGAAAATATTGCTCTATGTGGCAATAAATTCATGCAACAATAAGTCTTTTTCAAGCTTCCAATGCAGTATTGGACGTTGAATTGCGCGTAATTTAAGAGTCTAACAATCGTCATCAGTCTCTGAAGAGGCGGTCTATTTTATGGCCCTGAATTTAAACAGGAAACAGATAAAGTCCTATCGTCAAAAATACGTTTGAGCCAAACACTTACTTTGAAATTGATGCAAATCTCATGCAATGCTTCAGCCCATGTTTCATCTGCTGGAGTTGCACCAGAACGTTAAGTAAAAATTCCTGTTCTACCTCTCGAGCCAGTCGCCAGGCCCGCACTAGACTTTTGACTTTCACCGGCATGCAGTCAACCAGCCTTTCCGTTTCTAATAGCTTTACCGATTCCCACAAGCACTATGGCTCCTCGAGGACACATCATGACTGAACATCACACATCGACTTACAAGACTGCGGGGATCGCATTTCTCTGTACCCTTTGACAGGGGTTTTAGTTTTCTCCTTTGAATTTTTTCTTGAAACCGACTAGAACGGAGACCTTTAGCCCGCAGTGTCCGTTGTTATGGAGACGAGAAACACTCATTTTGCACCATATTCGAATATTCAAACTGGATAATTTTTATTCCAAGATCCAACTAGGAATCTTCTAGGTTTGTAAGCTTACTCTATTAAACAGCTCGAGAAGCAGATCATCATCCTAGTCTCTGCTGCGGATAGGATAACCAATACCGAGTTACTGATATTGAGGCTGTGCCGATGATTCGATGGTGGATGAAGACTGGCCCGTTAATATGAGATATGATACATGTAATTAGAAAAAAAGATGTTCAATGGTTGTCCTTGCGTTTTTAATCCTGTTTTTCATCTGTTTTGGTATTCTCTGATTCAAAATCCATCCCGCTGGTGTTTAAAAACTCGCTTACGCCGTCATCATCTTGCGCATTCACCATCTCGTTGAAAAGATCGCTACCAGCTTCCTCGCCTCCCATATTCTGATCTTCAAATGTGGTAAACATATCAAGGTCGTCATCTTGCGCCGTTGTGTTTTCCGTCGACTGGGCAAACGCATCTGCAAAATCACCAGGGGCGCCGCCATCATGAGTTTGCATCTGTTCATTCTGATCTGACATTGGTTTTTGGGGCTTTTCTTCTTCATCTTCCTCTATGCCAGGGATCGGCACTGTTCGGAAACCCGTTGTAACATGATCCACTTTCACATCCATCCAACTACTCATGTCCTCTACTGCTTTATCAATGGACTGACATATTATACAGCATCAGTATCTGGCTCTAGCATATTCCTGATGATGATCAAACTACCTCTAATGATTGCGCCTTATTCAGCTCCTCCATTCGTTTCCAGAATTCAGATCCGGTACGTTTGATTTTGGCGATCTTCTCGTCGTGTTCTGTTTGCCTCTGCTTTAATTTGTCCTCCAGCTCATTCTAAAGACGATATGTGAGTTATCATGCTGTGGGGTTTCGGTTGGATTGTTGATTTTACAATTAGTTTCGAGAGTTCTTCCTTATTATGAGAAACATCTATTGGTGGAGGAACGATGGATGCTATTCATTTGCGCAAATTGCACGATCAGCAAACGCTAATTGCGATAGGTTCCAGCTCACATATGATTTACCGGCATTATATGGTGTAAATATTTCTGACAGGTAATCGTGATTTCTTTTATAGCGTGCCATGGCAATATCGCGCGATGATATATCGTCCAACTCGTCTAATACAGGTTTAGTTGTTCGTTGATTCCAGTTTGATGAGGGCAAAAAATAACGTTATACCTACCTCCAGAAGGTTCCTCTGTGTCTTCGACGAGAGGCATGGATTGTCGGGAAGACTGTATAGGCTGTTTAAGCGCAAACTTCAACAAAGAAATTGTACATGTCGCAACTTGCCTTATTAGCGACGCGCTTTCGGTGATCTACCATGGGTGCAGGAGCATTTCGATACGCTTGTTGCATAAAATGACTTTGGGACATGGGCATCGCGGGATTCATGCCACGGCCTGGGATCCCGTAGGTTTGTGGTACATTTGGTGAAGCGTTCGCCGCTTGATTATAGTAATATTGTGAAGGTGTCATCGTCGCCTAATCTTCTCAAAAAGAGCAATGTCGTTTGTCGGTTCTTTTTGACTGTTCCCCTTCCCCCTCTTCGCTTTCTTCCCCTTTTCGTTTCTCCATCGCCGTGACTGTTAAAATTATGTCATCCTTGGCGGAGATCCAATCAGGCACACACGCAACCCATTGTCGAGTAGGCTTCAAAGCGTACGTTATTCTCTCTTCAGTCAACTTTTGCCTGTAAAAACCCATTGAATCATGACATCTATTGGTACAGGGGTAAATTGATTTTAGGTATTAATAAACAGTGGCAACGATATCTGATATATAATGAATAGTACGATCTATCAGTCTCAACATATTCGCCCGATGGACGCGTTTTCCAAGTGGAGTATGCAAACAAAGCCGTCGACAACAGCGGGTACAGTTCACTATATCTCTCTATGTATTCTCAGGTATTAACAGCTGCTTTTTAGAACGGCTATCGGATTACGTGTGAAGGATGGTGTGGTATTAGCAGTAGAGAAGCTTCTTCAATCCAAATTACTGGTCGCAGGTGCCAACAAACGTATTCAGAGTGCGGATATGCACATCGGTATTGTAAGTAAGTAAAATCGATAAAAGAGCGAGGAAACTAAATTGTTATTATCATAGGCGACAGCAGGTCTGCTTGCTGATGGACGTCATGTTGTAAATCGTGCCCGTGATGAAGCCCAGGCCTGGAGAGACATTTACCGACAACCCATTCCCGGCAAGGTAACGAAGGCTTCGGTTAGAATGCCATGCATCACCACTAAACAAGTTTCTAGACCGTTGCAGACCGTCTTGGACAATATGTCTCGGCACACACGCTTTATTCAAGCGTACGACCCTTCGGTGTAAGCACGATCGTTGCTTGTATGACGGACAAGGAACCTTCATTATATATGATTGAACCCTCCGGTATATATTGGGTAAGTTAATGAACTGTGAATAAATTATTCAGGAAAGTTACTTAATATGTAATTAGGGCTACCGAGGATGTGCGGTTGGCAAAGGTAAATCGGTAGCAAAGACAGAAATCGAAAAGTTGAAACTGGACGAGATGACATGCCGTGAAGCTGTGAACGAGATCACACGAATGTAAGTGATATCTGCTGAGACATGTTCTGCTATCTACCTATCTCATGCGAATATGATCTCTAGCATCTATACATGTCACGATGATGCAAAGGACAAAGATTTTGAGTTGGAGTTGAGCTGGATCTGTGCGGAATCGTCTTATGTTCATAAATTTGTACCAAAAGATATCAAGGAGGAAGCAGAAAGATTGGCCAAACAATCCCTGGATGACGAAATGGAAGATTAGAAAGCCATCAAACCTACCGTTGCTTGAATAAATACTCAATGTTTATAACGCTCATTAACTCCTCCCAAATTGCTGTGAATGTCTTTTTATTTTATTTTCTAAACTGCGATATATTGTTGAGCAATGCATTTCGTAACATAAGATCAAGACTACAATCAAGGCTTAACTGCTTATTCTTTCAACTTTTGCAACGGATTAAATACAAAACGCCTGTTTGTATGTTATTAACGGAGTGGATGCATTAAATGAACTGTCATTTCACTCTGTGATTGCATGACACTGCAAAAGAAGGCAAACTGAGCCGCAAAACTCAACCTATTTATCTTCTGCACTCAAGGTTTAATGATGTTAGTCAAACGCAATTCTATGCAGATGGGGGCTTTTTTTACGTTTTCCGTTTTATAAAAATAACTACTATTCAAGGTTTGCTTAACTCCCTTTATGAATCAGATTTTCGGTTGTCGTGAGAGCATCAATGTTACAGAAGAATTTCAGAGGAGAAATCTGATTTTGGTAGTTTAGTGCGACTGCATTATACGGTTAAATGGCGTAGCAAAGACTATCTCATGAATCATCCGATTTTCCGAACAAAGAACTTCCATCTTACTGCATCTTCTTATGCAGGGTAAAAAATTCACTCTAAGACGAGGAGAATAACTGCTCTTTTGTCGATAACACGGACTGACAATTCATAAACATGGTTGACTTCCATAATATAGCAGTTCTATATTGAATAATTGAAAGAAAACACAAAGATGAATTAGGTGTCCAAAGCTAATGTGATATGATTATCTATTATGTTTTCCCAAAAGAGTATGCGTGTAAATGTATGAATGTTTGTGATAACAGTATGCCATGGTTCACTAGAGAAAGACATGGTTTTCTGTTTGCAGAGATTGACAGATATCGTCCTGTCATTAATTGTTTGCGTTTTGATCCACTTGCATCCGATTATCCTCATTTTGTCCAGCTAATCGCTCAATGTTCGCCTATAACATGCAAATTGATAAGCAATTGTAAAGTTTTCCTGCCTCTGCTGCAAGGGAAGAATATTACCTTGAATTCTTCTGCAACGCTTGGATGTCGATCTTGGTGTGCGTCTGAATTTTGTTGAGATATAGACGGACCGTCTTGTGAAGCAGGTTTGGAGGGATCATTTTCATCATTAAACACGCCTTGCTCAAGCGCTAATTTTTTGGAAATCCATGGTTTACTGCGAATTGATTCACTCGATTCTACCTCAGATGTATTGCTCGATACTTCCGATTTCACATGCTGTACCCGTAATGATGAAGCTACATCGTGACCTTTGAAAGAATTGCCAGCCGATTCTACTTCGTGAGCTTCTGTAACCAATTGAATATCCGGTGTTTGAGAAGGCTCCGTTGTCGGCTTATCGTCAGTCGTCTTTTTATGAGACGGTCGTTTAAATGCAGCTGAAGTCCTTTGCCACCATGATCGTCGCCTGGAACCAGGTGTATCTGTTGAGCTCATTGCGACATGAAACTGCGTAAAAAGTAAAGGGAGAAAGCAAAAAGATAGGAAAGGCAAGAATGGAGGGAGATTTTTCTTTTTTGGGAAACACAGGAATGACGCATATTGCAGGGTTTCAATGTTTCACTATGCGAATTTTTCGACGAACATGACCATGGAAACCGGACAATGAATTGCTTGACCCATAAAGGAAAGCCATACTTTGATATAGTTCTCCGTCGTTATAGAGTAGTCGATGGTTTGCATGAGCGCTTCGGTGTTGCACGGGTGAATGTACCAAAAGGGGGTCCCAAGAACTGGGTGCTCCGTTAGGCTGATCGATCCTTGGATGCTGATAGGCGAGTTTCTCAGATTATTGGCTAAAGTATCGGGTATGACGTATCTGTAGAGATCGTCCAGTGACAGCGGCGCTCCGTCTACGGTCACTCAGTAATCCGAGGTTTCCTTAAACATACAAAATTCATACCTGAAAAGGAAGCATTGAAATATAACACTGGCACTTGATAGCTAGTTGAGTATACAATATGATGCTCCAGTGATATCAATTGATGGCTTGCAGTGATATATGCTGTGGCAAGATCGCCGCTGTCTTCATCGAATGACATGCTGTTTAATTCTGCCGCATTTATTTCTTCTCCCTCTTTCGACGATTTATCTGCATATGCTGAAAGAATACTTCGTCGCAAGTAGGGTTTATATTCTGTGTCTATCAGTTCCCACTGATAGTGACGGTCTTCCAGCGATTGTGATTGGCGATGGAAACTTCGTATAGCATCGAGGAATTCGCAGGTTGACAATGAAGACACCATTTTTGTATGACGAGAGAACAGCCCGCTTCTGCTGGCTGGCTGGCTGGCTGGCTGGCTGGCTGACTGGGAATGAAATAAAATTTACAGTGCTCCTCGGTAGGGCAATAGGCAACCGTAGAAAATATTTTTCTCTTGTCATTTTTCCCCTGTATTCCTTGATATTTCCTGAATAATGTTAAACATATCGAAGACATGAAAAGCTATATACGTGGGAAATGCAAAGGAGCAATGACTGTAGCGCTAATGGGTATTGGAACTTGGCCGTTCCCGTTCTGGTATTACAAACCTGCTTAGTGGTTAAAATCCGAAGGACTACACGATGGATACTTAGAAACAAAGTATATGAAACGATGAAAGCTTCGTTCGAATTGAGCAAGGGCAATTGGTAATTTGAGAGCGATGTAAAGATGGAAAATATGAGTAAACTGAATTGCGCCAACAATCAAAGCGGCAGAACCTCAGTTATGATTTGAGGTGCCTTAGCTTGAGATGACTTTCAACGAAACTGTTACTGACTTCTGTTATTTGCCGGATGAAAACCATTTTATAGAGTTGCCTTGACAACAGTTTGCAAACCCATTTCAATTCGATTAATCGCCAACGTCCTGTTGCCATTATCCAGCAAATCAGAGCACTTTTTACATTTGTAGGAATTGGTCATACCTGTAAGTCAAGAGGGACGAGAGAGGAAGGTGAGAGCCTTGAGATAAAGAAATACAGCCAATCAATTATGCATAATCGATGGAGAGTGGTCGAAAGCAGACATTTTGATTATTTGGTTCGTGATATTATGTTTTGAATGTAAAGGTACTAGTATGTATTGGTGAAAATAATTGCATGGATAAAAGGGGTATGATTGCATTTTCATTTCCAAGTTGAAACTTGCTTCGGAGGAGTTCTTATTCATCAAGGAGAAAGTCTTCCATGATGAATTGAATCGCATCCTGTATCCGGTCATCAAATTCGATGGACAAAGTTTGATGAATGTCTTCCAACCAAGTACGGAGCCAATCATCCAGCGCTTGGTGTTCTTGGAGCCATTGATTCTCCGAGGAATGTCCACTGTCGTAAAACCTTTGCTGTCCATCGCTTGCTCGTGAAACTGTAGCTTTTGAGCTGTATGGCAAGGATTGCTGGATGATTAAAGGCGCCGCTTGTTCTGCGTTTATAATGAGCCCCAGTTGTATAGCAAGCCGTTGGTTCATCATGAAAACATCTTCTGTGAGTTCGACAGCAGCAATACGGGCTGACGGTAAATTATAATTATCGTTCTTATTACTCTGGCGAACAGATATAGGTAGATCGGATTCTACTAGTGGACGGATTGAAGCCAGCAAGTTGGAACGCATGAGATTGAGATGGGCGCGAAGAGAATGTACAAAATTTAGTGATGCGCTTGGTTGATCTACTGCAGGCAAAAAAATTTCACTACAACATGCTATGCGTTCAGTCACAGTGGATAAATCTTACCATTGCCGATCACCTCATGGGTTTTGTGAATGGATGTGAATGCTTGTGGAGCAGCCGTAATAATATCTTCGGTGGTGATTTCCATGACTTGATCGACAATGTTCTCATAATACTCGCCCAAGCCGTTGACTAAGACACCTGTGTCAATGAAAGCTGTCGAAGCAGCGGTATTACTGCCTGCATGAACAGATGCGACAGATAGAAGAGCGAAAATCAGAAAAACGAATGAGTGTAGCAGACGACATGGTAAATACATTAGTATATGATAGGCGAAAGGAAAAAAGAACAGAAATTGCATTTTACCAAGAATTAAAAGCTTTTGCGTAATGTGACACGAGTCGAAACCTTCTTCATATTCTTTTCGCATTAGGCGAATTGCGCTATAGTGAATTCACTTGTAACTTTATTTTAGCAGACTTAGGAAATTGACAGCACTTTTTTTTTTTTTTGCTGATCCTACTAGAGCGTTCGAATCCTGACCTTCATTCTATTTTTTCTACAATGAACAAAACGAAAATAATATGAATGTCGTGATACAAGCAAAGCTGTCCTCACGCTAAAATGTTTGCGGCACGTCAGGATCCCCCAATCCAATTTCGTTCATCCAATGAAACACGCCGAATTCTCGTGGAACAAAAAATGATCGACGATTTTTCATCCTTGTTCATTAGTGCAATAAATGACAATGAGCATAAGTGGGTATCCCGTTTATTACATTGCTGGTGACTATGGATCAACCTGTAAACCTAGCGCAAAAGCGACGGGACGAGCAACGGCATTGCCGATGATTCGATGCTGGTCGGCAATGGTACCCACCAACACATCGTCATCCAAAAATCCTAATTTGGCAGTTTCAGACAGCTGTCACTAAGTCACGACTTTGTCTCCCTACCTTGCACACGAGCAATTTCACGAATACTCAATAATCGTGGTTCTCGGTAATGGAAGCAAGGCGATGCTCGTATTCCTTGGTACGTGAAAGTTGTTGTTACAGTTGAACAGATGTCATGTGGTCGAACGCGCGCAAAATCCATAAACCGTCCTTTAGGCCGGTTCCGCCGTGCCATTTTCCATCTATAGATTATGCATTTCTCTTGTTAGTGTTTCAACGGTTATCTTAATTAACATTCAGCATGTGAATCACCTTTTGACAGCTCTAAAACAAATAAGTGTTAGCTAACGGAGGTCGTTTATAAGCGAATCATATGGTTTAACTTACTTGAAGTTTTGCATCTCGTCCGGCAGCTGATCAATGATTGTGTTTAATGTGGCTCCAGGTGGATCCACAGGTAATAGGTCGACAATCATTTGCACCCAGAGTGGTAGTTTCGGTACATGATGATCTACAAGGTCTGTAGACTGCGTACATGTTATCTGTTAGTGACCTTCATTCGATGGTTACCACGTGTTACACATATATACCTTGATTACACCGTTGCCAAGAGGCGGTAAATCATCAATCGCGTCCTTGATGCTAACTTGTGGAAATGCTGTATGCTCTGGTATATCAAAATATGAAGATCTATCATTTTTCTTATTGTCAGTAGGTTGTACGGTTACTGAGCGTTTCCATAATACTTGCTTGACGCCGCTAGGAAGAATGATGCCGTAACCTCTATTAATAATAGCCTTGTGCGAAACAGGTGGCATTTTTGGTAGTTGGTATCCAGACGCTGTGGGCATCAATCGTTTTCAGAACGAAGATCCAGGCAAAGGTATTTGAATATCAGAAGACAAGCTTACCTGCACCCCAAATGAACACGCGGTTTCGTCGCTGTAAGCGTACAAAAAATAAGTTGAGTAAGCATGCGAAGATGGACCGTATTCGAGTCTTACCTGTGGTAAGCCATGGAGTGCAGCATCAACGACTCCCCAGCGGATCTGATATCCTAACTGGACCAGCAGCGCTATCAGATGATTAAATGGATAAATTGCTGGTTCGTCGTCATTGGATATATAACCAAAATTGATCATGGCTGCAACATTTTCCAGTAGAAGAAACTGCGGTCGAAAATATTCTATATATGATGCCACATTTGCCAAAAGCGAACTGATGAACATAATCGCGTTAACTTTCGTCAACTGGAGCAGTTCCAAAGTACCGACCTTTTGCGAACGGAATTATCGTTATCTCGATGAGAGTTTAAGCGACTGAATCCCTGACATGGATTTCCTGCAAGCACAAGCTCCACCTCACCCTAAGGCCATTTATAAATACTTCTTAAGCATTGTCGTATCCCATAGCGAAGTGGAAAACTTACAGGTGTTGGCCAAGCAGGTCGCGGTTTACCAGAAAGGGACTCTTCTAACAGCACATTAACACTTTCGGCAAAACACGCATGAGATCTGGTATGTGCATGCTGATATGTTGACAAAGCTTTTTGGTCCACATCTACTGCCCTATTTGTTGCGACGGATGATTAGCACCAAGGATTTAAAGTCTTGCACTGTTTCATTTTTGTGTTACCATCGACATTGCGCAATGCCAGCATCTTCAATGCCATGACCAAAGTTTCCACCTCCGCAAAAAAGGTCCAACGTCGCCAGCTTTTTGGATCGCTTTTGAAATGGTGGATAGCGTTCCTGAAAATGCTGTATGTCCGTATTACCCATGATTGGCGTGACAACTTTGGGGGCTTTGTGGAGCTCTTTGTTGAAAAAATACTATCATGCATCCGATCAGAAACCAAAAACAACTCGAGTTACTGTCTTGTGAACGGTAATGAAACATACATGATGACCGGCACCATTATGAGCTAAATTATTCGGTAGACGCGTTGTGGGATCCCAAAATTCGAGATGGGCTACATCCAATGTGTCCGCTTCGCTTCTTTCGATAATAGTGGTTAAAGATATTTCCACCATCCAATTCGTATAAATAACTTCGTTAACTAGATGTCTCATCCGCCGAGTGTGTAGCACTGCTGACACGTCACGTAAATCGGGAAACAGCTTTTTCAATTCACTGAACAGCGGGAACGTTCGCAGTTTCACGAGATCATGATCTGCGTCGGCCGAGGGCATAGCCACAATTTCGTACAAGGTGAGATACCCACTTGAGCCGACGATAAGGATCTTGTCACCCACTTTGTGAGACTTGATGAATTTTTCGCATCGATCTTCCAAAGAAGGCACATAGCAACCGCAGCGAATACGCTTGGAAACAAACATGTGTTCTTCTTTCAGATCCTCAAACGTGGCGCGGTTATGCTCATAGAAGCTTTTACAATAATAGTGATGAGGTGCCTCTACATACAGGCTTGATTAGCATTCGGACGACTATAGGTGGATAGTAGTAGAAACTTTACTTTGATTTTTTGTAGATCGGAATGACACACTGATTTTTCGAAAGATGCTCGAGATGGAATTGACGCCATTCTCGCACTCGCAATGATGGGTGTACCATAGCTACATCATTAAAGACGCGTTAGTAAGGGATAGACATCGGGTGCTGGATTATACCAGTATATGTATACCTCGTTGTTGGAATAAGGTTCGTCCACTTCATGCACGTTGGCTAAAATGGTGTCACTGCCTTTGTACAACCAAATGATAGTAATACATGGTTCGCTGTATTCTGTACGCTGAAAAATTGATGTGATACGTCTGGAAGACGAATACGATGAATATCAGAGCGCACTAATCACCGCAAAGTATTTAACTTACGCGAGCCACAATTCATCTTCTGGCGCTTGTAATTGAATACAATCGCCCACACGGATTTCAACGTCGTCAATGACGATGTGGTCATGGTAATGCAGTCCATTTTTTTTTTCAGGCGTTCCTGGGGTGGACCATTTTTGGCAATCTAGAACCTTGTATTTATAGTCATTACCAGGCAAACACACCATCTCATCCGTAGGGATGACAATGGATAACTTCTTTTCGAGGAGATCTTCCAAGCTTTTTTCAGGTCGCACTATTATCATTGAATAAAAATGGTTCTACTGCAGTGTGACAAGTCTTGTCAGCTTACCAGGAGGTTGTATACATCGTAAGAATTTGTGAAACACGGGCTGAAAATATTTGTACGCCACGGGTGTTGCTACGGTTAACTCGTTTTCCCATGCTGTTCGTTCTTTTTTCTGGAAAAGAGATCGCGTCATTCAATCATCAGAATTTCGATGTCAGCGTTATGTAGAACCTACCAATCCCTCATATTTTTGCCGAATGCTCTCAAATGTAAAATCTACAAATATGTACAGAATCAATGAATCAGAAACCTGCAATTGCTGTTTGGTGCACCACATCCACGGTAGCCACTCACCTTTCCAAAAAGGGTGTGACTGTATATAATCGGCGTCTGTGCCGAGGTCAATCTGTGGAAAACGACAAAATAATCAGTCTAACCCATGTCCTGCTATATCTCTGAAGATTGAACCGACCTGATAACAGATTTGCCACATTAGTAGTTTAGCATTGGCAGCAATATGAGGTTGAACATTCTTATGCATCCAGCCTATAATTTTTCTGTGAGTCTTCAAAAAATATTTTGTACGACGGTGGCATTTCTCTTATTCTTACATGAATGCGGGTAACGTTGAGAAATAAAGGATGAAAGCAAACCACCGTATTTCGTGTCTTGAATGGTTGCATGAGGATATTCTTCGATAAAACCACTGTAATCAACGACTTTTAGTTTTGGCTGTGTAGGAATCTTGGTGAAGGTTCACTTACAGTATAATCTTGACCAATTCAATGCGACGCTTGAAATTGTGATACTTGTTTTGGTAATCTGGATTAGGGTGTTCCAGTCGGTAGTACAATTCCTCATGAACGAAGGTACTTTTGATCCAAATGCGGGGTTCCTTCTTCTCGCGATCGAAATCTCCGCAGGACCAACTGTCAAAAGGGACACGTTCCATACGCACAGATTTTGTAGGATCAGTAGGATCATTGATTTCACCATCGACGTAGAGAGTTGAAAAATTTTCAGAGATTTCTGTTGGTTCGTCTCTTGAATATTGATATACGACGAAATCGCGAAGCAGCAGTTCTACCCAAGGTTCTTCTTCGTCGTCCTCATCATTAAGATCGGCATTGTTGGTTCCTTTCGCGTCAGCTAAAAGCATGTTGACTGCAACACTTTCAGGATAACCGTACGTTACTGGCGGTGATATTCTTGGCTTTTTAGGGCTCTTATTTTCGCGTTCATCCTGAGAAGGCACTGGATCCGCGCAAGGCGTCGGCACAGGAATCTATATATTAAGGTGAATTACATTACTACGGCTGTATGGAAACCGCATAGTATCACTTACAACTACGGATACTTTCTTGCGCTTGACAACGGTGAGCTTGTGAGCCAGATCCGGTGCCTTGTCGATGACTGTCATTGCAAGTAAGATAGTTGGTGGCACACAACCTGCTTAGGATGAAGGGCAACTGTGCGTGACTGCTAATTTACATGTCCCAAGTGAATCAGATTTTCAGATCTAACAAAAGAACCAACTTTTTTTCACACCAGTCAGAGATTAAACGCGTAGATCCGAGCAAGGTACCTGCATATCTTAGTAACATACTTGGAGAATACTTAGGGGTAATAAAATGCATTATGACTTGATTTTGGATGTGTCCTACCATCAGCAGCACATGTTTAATATGAAGAGCAGTTGAAACACGTACAGATCAGTAGGCTATCCTCAAAATTGTAAACGCTAAACTTATAACTGGATCGTGATTTGTGTAACTTTGCTAATTCATATGAGAGTTGGATAAATACTACAATAGTATCCACCGTTCAAGTCGAGTTGGAGCCAAATAGTCCAAGTTCGTAAAAGTAACAATGTTTTCGAGCCATTATACAGTAACTTATCTTCCTAGAAGTGAACAGTTCACTCCACTAGGGTTGGCACATATTCTCTGTGCATGTGAAAAAGACACAAAAGAAAATGATTAAAACTACACTACACCAGCTGATATAGCTAATACCATTACAAGAAAATAGATATACGGGACATGACATATCGATACTGTGTCATGGATTACTGCACATTCATGGCTTCTAATATATGAAAATATGCGACTGGTTAACTAAACATCAAGGAATATTCAGAATCACCCATCGGCCATTTCACGGCCTCGTGGAATGGAGGATACAGGTAAGAAGCTTGTGTCACAATCGGATTTGAGCCAAGAAAAATGGCAAGTCAAGAGGACTAAAATAACCAGCTAAGGCAAGCATAAGTAAATGGACGGAGAGGCGTGTTATCTGATCCTAAGATAACCTCGCATCCAAAAAATACTCTGCTTTATTTTTGGCTGTGGACCGCAAATGATTCTGAAACATTGTTTTTATTTTTCATGTGACAAAATCGCGGTTTGAAAGTACAATCGAAATAAAAGCTCTGATTTGGAACTTGACACACTTTCGGCTGCCTCTTCTTATAAGCTCTACTTGTTTTTCCCGTTTTATCAGAATGGAAACAGCTCCAGTGCGTCGGCGACCCACGCGAGTTGTGACGGATAGCGAAGATGATCAATTCGACGGAAGACAGCGGCAAGAACTGACTATCACCAGCAAACGTGTATCAACCATCAGCGAAGAAAAGCAGGCAGATAGGAAGAAAAAACATGCATACTCCGAAAGCAAACATACCATACCTATTCATACCCTGACAAAAGCTTCTGTGTTGTCAAAGGAAGCACCACCAGAAAATTACAGCGGTTTTATTCGCCTTGGCAGTGAGTGTCTTATCGGTTACGTTTCATTACAACATCATCGGGGTCGCGAATGACTGACCTACCATTAGTGCTTGTTCTCGGTGCCAGCAACATTCGTCTCGTCATTGAGAATTGGATGAAGTATGGACTTCTCATCCGGTTCCCCCACAGCTACATACCATACTCCGACTACGGGTTGTTTGTGCTCGCATGGCTCAGTATCCCTATCAGTCTGACGATAGCGTTGCTCGTGGAATATAGTATGGCACGCTTAGCCGCACAAACCAAAGACGCTAAACCTGCATTTCTCAAGAAGCTTACCGTTCTTGAACGCGTGGTCGGCACGACGCACGTTGCTCACCTGCTATTTCTTCTCACGTTTCCCTCCTATATCGTCTATACCAAAATTTATCATCCGCTCGGTAAGACTACAACTGGGAACAAAAAATTGCCACACAATGGGAATTTGACAAGATGAATGGGACTTTTTTTAGTGGGGTCAGCGGTCCTCATTATGTGTCTTGTCACCTTTCTGAAAATGACCTCCTATGTATTGGTTAATCGCGAACTTCGACAACAGTTGATAAACGGCGTCGATGGAGAAATCTACGATAAGGATTCTGCTTATCCTATGAACGTGCACGCTGGAAATTTATTATACTTTTTCTTCGCTCCGACTTTATGCTATCAGCCGTCGTATCCTCGATCACCGAGGTTCAGAAAAACGTTCTTACTTAAGCGTATCGGTGAACTCGTGGTTTGCTTGGTAATGATGTACGTCCTGACCGAGCAGTATGCCAAGCCAACACTAGCCAATTCGTTGCAAGCGCTGGAAGAAAAAAATTATGTGACAATCGTAGAGCGGGTCCTCAAGCTGTCAACAACAGCGGTTGTCATTTGGTTACTGATGTTTTATGCCTTCTTTCACTCTTTCCTGAATGCACTCAGCGAAATCTTGCGTTTCGGTGATCGCACGTTTTATCTCGCATGGTGGAACTCGAGCAATCTTGCTACCTATTGGCGTTTGTGGAACCGGCCTGTTTATCTATTCTTTAAACGCCATGTTTATTTACCTAGTGTACAACAGGGACTTCCCCCTGCGGTAGGACAGTTTCTGGTTTTCCTTGTCTCGGCCATTCTTCACGAAGTTCTCGTCGGCATTCCAACTCATGCGATTACCGGTTTCGCGTTTTGGGGTATGTTGGGTCAAATTCCTTTGATCGCTATCACTCGACCTCTAGAGAAATGGCGTGGAAAGGGTAGCGCTTTGGGAAATACAATATTCTGGTGAGTACAAAAAGGAATGAATCATGTGATAGAGTGGTATTGCGTGATGTTAAATCTCCATTGTTTTGCGTTCAGGGTTACTTTCTGCGTCGTTGGTCAGCCAACCATTGCCTTGCTTTATTATTACCAATGGACAGCCGCTCATAAAACTGTGATAAACCCTTAACAATCCATCCGTCGATATAAATTCGGGACACTACACACTTAAGCACATTTGTAAATGACAATAAACCAAGCATTTTCCACTGACAAGGAAGCGTGATCATTGGTAGAAAAACATTCTTTATGTATCGTTCGAGTGAATTACAGTATGTACAATAATGGTGCACTGTATCAATGCGTTACGTGGCATGCGATTGAATATTCAACCACGCCGGTGGTTCGGGGATCTTTCCGAGCATGACCTTGATGACATCGAGCCACCTTTCACGTTCTTGGGAGGAGTCACAGAAAAATTCAATCTTCTTGCCGCTGTCAAACAACAGCTGAAACGCGTTCTTGACGGGGAAAGACGATAATTCATCATTTAAGAGATGCGTTGAACATCCACTTTTTCGCTTGGTAGGCTCATCAGCGGCAATTATTTTATCGTCTGCAAGTCGATCCAGTTGATGTAGTACTTCCCTGGTTCCATCTTTGCTGTGATGATGGATTTCACTTCGAGTGTCAGCTAGAATGGTGAGCTCTGAAGCAAGAAGAACCGCCCTGGACAGGTCAATAACGGAGGATGAGCTGCGTGTCGAGTCGGAATATGAGTGTATGCAGCCACCTTGAAGACGGAAATACCGTCTCCGCCAAAACTAATGATTAGTTAAGCATACTGAAATTTCACATCACTATGTCGTAAGAAAGTCTCATCTCACCTTGAAATCACCTCCCAGCTGTGACATATAACCAGTTTGCCAAATTGTTTCATGAAACCGTCTGATATTCATTCCATCTTCACATAATTCCATGCTTTTTGGTAAAAGAGAAAGCTATATTTACATGTCAAGCTATGATACAAACGCTGGTTGACATTTGTCTAGAGGCTTACTTTTGGCGAAACTGTGTGAGGTATGAAAAAGAATTGTGCGCTGATCTTGCCTACGGCTTTTTCATGCCTTAAATGCTTCTTCTTGATCCGTGATGCAAGGATACTGGTGCGCTCCTGTCGGTACCAGCCATTTACCAGGGCAAAAGATGCATTACAAACTTTGAGGATGCATTTATCGACGATTTCGCCAATAGGCACCCTGCTTTGACATATCGAGCCGTCTGTGTGATTTGCGTAACGCCAAATCCCAACGTCATGATGTCGTTTACGGTATGCGAATATTTTTTTAAATCGGGCGTCTTCGTACTTTTCGTTATCACTGATTTGCAGCGTAAGAGTGAACTCGGTAATCGGTTTCTTTGTATCGCTGCGATTTTGAATGAGTATATATTTATAACAGCGTTTGGAAGAATACTCACATTTGAAATTCATGGGAAAACCGGATCGTATGTTCCATCACTTGAAATTCAGTCGTGTAGTGTGTAGTTCCATAATTTAACACACATCGGATTCGGTGGTTATCTGGTTTGTCGAGGTTAAGTTGTTTTGGATTGAGCATCAATTATTATATGGTCCAATGCTCACCTTGGTCGATTGGAAAATCGAGATTTTCAGCGGCCGTCACTCTGATATACAAGCGTCCTTCGTTATTGTGATACGGTTCAAGCTTTTTCAGCGAGGTGAGCTACAGATACCCATCGTATGTAATGGTGGTTAGGTCTTACGAAGCACATGCAATTAATGACTCTATTTACCTGGCTACGACTTGATGGCATGTTTTCAGGTGCAAGCACTTCATTCCGTTCACAGGTTGATGGTTCATAAGTTATAACTGGTTTTTCGGAAGAAACGACTACAATGTTCTGCTTGTTTGGGGGATTCGTAGCAAAGATCTATAGGCAACGATTTAGTATCTTTTGGATGTATGCATGAATTCGGAAAGCGTACCTCATCCCCTGTGATGCGCGCAATTTCAGACATCAGTGATTTTCCGAAATCAGAGACAGGATTGGAGACAGCTAGGATACTCGTACCTTCATTTCCTTCTATGAAGTCTTCTTGGCAATCATTGTACTCGTCATCGCTTTCATTTTCACATTCTGATATTTTCGTTGTATTATCCGCTTGCTCTTCTCCGTCCAAAGGCGTGGAACAAACCAGGCTATTAAAAGTATCTGAGGAATGCGACGTTACGGAATTCCTCACAGGATTTTCATCATCGTCTGGATCGCAACCGTCCTCAGTAGTATGAGTATGAGTGTCGTAATTTTCACTGTGCTCTAAAACTGTTGCTTCCGGTAGTGATGATGTAGCAGGATAGATTGGCCCATCGTACTTTGACTTTGAAATGGTGTCTTTGAATCGCATCAGGTCATCCTGATGAGTCGCTTCTTTTCCGCTGTACGAGCTAGCAGTCGCTAGTTTTGCTCTACGGATGGCCTCCAAAATCTGTTCTTCCAAAGGTGTGTTCATGGATTGGTACTGCGATTTTTCGATATCAAATGATGGCGTCCGCGAAGCCTGTGTTTGAAGGCCTGCAATTTTTTGAACTTCTTTCCGTTTCGCCAATAAATTCAAGACTTCGTCACGCGAAATTCGTTGACCTTTTCGTTGGATTGCCAGATTGCTTGCATAAGCTATTGAATCAGTTGTATTAAGCTTCTCCTCCAACTGTCCTGAGGCCAATGGGGACTTGATCGATACACTGTATTGTTCAAATTTGAGCATTAAAAGACAATTGGATCAGTAGGGTGTTTTATTTACCTTTCATCCTTATTCACAGCATGTGTTGGTTCATTTTCTACCAGCGTAGCATCCCAGCTGCTACGTTCGTCACTGCTGCTGGAACTGGCGATCTCTTCGTCAGCGCAACCTTCGGAGTTTTCCATTAAAAGGGCATCGCACCGCTCGATTTCGTAGATAAGCGGTGGCCGGTCGCTGAAGGTGACAGTTTTGCGTTGGTGTTTTTGTGTCTTTTCTTTCTCCATTGGCCGCTGAAGGGCCATAAGCATATTCCGCGTTTTCATGGAGAGCGAGTCCATATTAGGTGGTGTAATGTCGTTTATGGACGATTTCATTTCATCGTTCTCGTAGGGTGGTAAAGCTGGTGTAAAAGGAAGTTGAAGTTTGCAGTTGGTGTGAAAGTCAATGCTTGGTGTAGCTGAGCGAATAGCCAATGATGCTACTTCGATCTTTTTGGATGCGAAGCCTTGCCCAAGTTCATGCCGCGCTTGGGATGATGGGAATGACGGCGGTAAGAAACTGTATCTTGCGGACCCACGGGTATTGGTATCCGGGGTACCGTGTGAATAAGTGGCATTGTCACAGTCGTCTCTTGGTGTTATATACATGGTTGCAATATTTATATTTATAATCGCGGACGGGAATAGTGGTGAAGGTGGTCTCGGATGTAAAGCAGGTACTATGTATGTGCAGATGTATTAATAGACTTTCATAAAATGCTACGACGAATCAATATGGAAAAAAGAGAACTAGGATTGGAAATGGACTGGAGAACATTCAAAAGAAAAATATAATTGTCAGGACAACAGGTTCCCCCGGATTGTCCATCCGATGTCTTCGTGATTGCTGCAAAGCTTTCGTGCACCAGCGACGGAGTGCCAAATTAGGGATTGCCGTCCTTGGTTGTTGTTTTCTTTCCTCATACAGAAATAACTTATGCACGCAAATCCTTTCAAATATGTCACTTGTGACCCATTTGAGACACGAGAAATTTAGTGTCCTCCTAATTTCCAATTACTGTATAGGTATAAAATTGGGATCCATGCGTTGATACGGTCCCTTGTAACATATTAATTTCGATGAGCTTAAGTTTGATGTTCATTTGATTTGAAGGCATGAAGACGACAAGAGGAATGATTTATGCGTGATAGATGTGCTTATAGTGACTCGTCTTGTTGTTGACATTGTTGTGGTGAATGTGCTGAAGAAGGAGGAAAAGAAGAACGATGTCGTAATGTGGACGGTGGAAGTGAGGAGGTATTCATATGATGTGAAAGTACCTATGAAAGACGTGGAGTCTTGATTATTCGACGTCATTAATCGCTGCTCTCTCCGATCGATTGCAGCAGATATTTGGGCAAGGGCGAAATTCTCACACCACTTCGCGGAGGCATCCACGTATCCCGGAGATGTTCCTTTTTTAAATCGTCTGCACGATTGCTGTAAATTAGTGCATTCGATAGATCCACAGAGGCATCCTAATTTTGATTTAGTTAGCCCTTCAGATATGTCTTCATGCTCAATGCGGTTACTCAGCTTACCTTGAATTTTCGAAGCAAAATGTATACTTCCCGCAAATCTCGAAAAGTATCCACAGTTGTCGGCAAGGTACACGAACCTTCACTCACGACGACGTAGAGACCCGGAGCAGCCAGACGAACAGAGAACAACTTTGCATGCGAGCCTATGTTCCGTAAAGTTATAGATGCTGTGCATTGACTAACTACTGGCTGTTGATATACCTATAATTTGCATTGCTGGAACAACCACCGGTCGGTCAGGATTACTATCAATGATTGTGCGATCAATGACGCACTTGCTCTCGATAAACAGGTACGCCTTATCGATTGTAGTTTTTCCTACAGGTTCATTCATATGTGATATTGTCACGTTCCCCATGTGCGATTCTTTTTTATTATTCAATGCAGGGAACTCGTCTCGGACGACTCGAGCTTTCATTCCGGTTCGGCCTTGGTCGTCTACTTCTGGCGCTGAATGACCTGCGGGACCTTCCCTATGGTAATATCGACAGTACCTATAAGCGTCCTACTTGGTTCCGTTACTCTTCTCCATCGTACCATTTTAAACGCAGATCTTCTTCATCGCGCATAATACACTCCAACAGTGGGCCCCAGAGTTTCACAGCCAAGTCATCATCTGTCATTTCAAGGTCCGGTCGGAGCAGTCTTTTCCTGAACTGTAGGATTTTCAAGCTTCCCTAGTCATTAATAAACAGCTCCTTTACTAAATACTATGTATTTTTACTTACTACTCAGAGTACATGTTAAGAAGTGTGGACAACGCACCCTTATGAGCATTTTCCAATTTGTTGGCCTTTAGCCTCGCAGCATTGAGGTCTTTTCTAGCCAGCTTCCCCGAAAATTTTAACGGATGGCGATCGGCGAAGATCAAATCGGCTTTACCTTCTCAATTCCTCGCAAAATGCTATTATTCTCCTCCAGCAGCGTAGTATTGCTCTCGCAAGTTGATCTGAATTGATGTAACAAGTGGGCCCATTGTTGATGGGAGAAAAGCTCTTTATGGACTGAATTAGGCTTGGACAAATCGAGAATGGAATTAGCGCCGAGTCTACATAAAGGGAACAAAACCTCGCGTATCAGATCGCATATAACGTCTGCTATCAGTTTTCGACCTACGCGACCAAACTTTTGTCTTGATCCTCGAGAATTTCGTATCGAGGGTATTTCATTATGCATTCACGCTTGATTTTCGTGCCGACGGATAACTCTGAGCCACTTGGTCGAATACCGTCTTGCTCAAAGAACTACACCTTTCGTCAGCAATCTGTTATTCGTCTTATTATCAACCATTAAGTTGTTTGACGATCACCTTCTCAGAGGTATCCAAGATAAGAGTAGCCGTTTCTGCACTAACGGCATCATGAAGTTCGTTGGCTGCTCTGTTTAATAGTAATGCCTGGGTCCTTCCAACTATCCGATCAACTTGGCTTCTTATTTTGCTGACATCTTGAATGCCGGGGGACGTGGATCTCAACCTTTTGCGAACTGGGGTTGCCTATAAAAAAATAAACAAAGATGCAATCAGTAAAAATAAGGATAAGGAATGGATCTCAAGTTGCAGGTTTACCATCGTTGAAGGGTGCCGATTACAAGTGTGGGTGATGCTGAAGAAATACGGCAACTGGGGGATGGCCGACTTTTTAAGATGTATTTAAACTCAGCGGCTTTGCCTGATGGCGCAGCCCAGCTGACATGCATCCGTGCAAAGTCCGACCGTATTTTTGAACCGACCGAATATCGACCTTGAAGCCGGCTGACTTTTCCACCGACCCTCTTCGATTACTCGACACCGGAAAGTTTTCTTGTACCGACCGGACATCAAATTTGTTTACGGCCAGATCTCCTTCCGTCTCGTCAAGGTCCGGTTGGAACATCATTTTCCGGAATTGCAGGATTTTCAGACTTCTCAAGCATTAATAAACAGGTCTTCCACGGAATATGATGTATTTTTTCCTTGCTACTCAGAGTACATGTCAAACAGAGTGGACAATGCTCCCTTATGACCATATTTCAATCCGTTGGTCGTTAGCCTGGCCGCATCGAGGTCTTCTGTCGCCAGCTGTCCAAAAATTTTAATTGGTTGGAATGGGCGAAGATCAAATCGACTTTACCTTTCGATTGCTTGCAACAAGTTGTCATTTTCGTCCAATCTCGTATTAGTGCTCTCGCAATGTGATCCCAACTTGGATACACTGTCGGTGAGAAAGAAGCCATTGACAATTCTGCATGGACCGTAGTGCTTGCAGGCGAGCTCCACACCATGCGGGTCATAAGATTCCTTGCTGAAAACAATAATATTGGATTGTCTGCTGTGGAAGTCGACAGTGTCACGGATTCCTTCCTTCGATGTGTATAATCTATCTTTCGTGAGGCCATTCTCAGTATCTTTCACAGGTCTGAAGAAAAACTTCCACACAATCGTTGTTGGCAGCATTATAGCAGAACCTTTGTTGTTATAAGTGTTCATTTTTTGAGAAAAAGTCGTCTTTGGAGAATAAAGAAACGAACCAAAATTTTGAAAGCTGCGCCATCAACAATGAAAACACCAAGACGTAATCAATTCTTTGTGACTGGGTGACTGGTTCTGCGATTGGCTTCCCAAATCGATGGGTCGCACCCCCTTTTTTATAGTGCAGTCAATTGCTGACAACACTTTAAAGCATTGACCCGCTTGCTGAGGGAGAGATTCGGCGTTGCTTTTTTACTTTTTCTATATGCGACTGCCGCTTTCAAATGATGCTCACCGGAGTGCTTCAAAAGCAAATGCAAGGGCCGGTAATATTTGTAGTTTTAGCTCTCGTGTGCAATGGCTTAACACTGTACACTTCTATGTCGGTTCACCAGGCCTTCCGTGCCTTTGCCTGTCAAAGCACCGAATCGTGGTAACGAAACATAAGCAATTGTATGAGGAGAAATTGTGAACAGCCAACCAAATAAAACTGGCGCTGTAGTCGGCGTTTCAATAAACTGTAGCTGACTTGAAAAAAAAAATAAAAGTGGCAGGTTTTTGGGCGATGGATATGACAATAATGGCCACCATATTTGATGTTGATGAGAAGTCAACTGACGTTCCTTTCTGCACCTGAAATTTCTCGATTCGTAAAACAAAACCCCGACACTTCGTGTTGGCATCGTTTGGAAAGCCATATGCAAAATTGTCCAAGTATGATAACGCCTCGACGACTTTTCGGAGCATCGTTCAAGGCAAGACCCATCTCCCAAAGCTATATTGAACTAAGTTTTCAACTCGTTTTATTGGTCAGAAGCACAATCAAGCCTTGTTGTATATGATACTCTTTTGAAGGGGACGTTAGGTCTGTGAGACTGTACGTATATTTCCTTGCTGCTGATTGTTTCGCATATGACCATGGAAGTCGGCATCGAGGCATAGTTGAAGGATTTAAAAAAGAGACACAAAAAAGAACTAACAGATTCTGATAAATTAATGTGGATCATGTGATTTACAGATTACTGTATTAATTGCTTATATCATTGGCTTCAAGAGAATGAGCCAACGGATGAGAAAAAAATAATGGAGCAAAATCATTGTGATTCCAGAGCAGAAGGGTGGAAAGGCGCTAGCGTTGAAGGCGTAAAATAGATATTCATTTTGGGAAAAGTTCTGTAAAAAAATGAAAATCGGTTTTGAGATTAGCCGCTGTGAGAACAGCATTGTCAAAAAATGCAACAGCACATACAGCCGGAGCAGACCCAAAAGCTTTGACTTTCGATGGCTTTGTTTGATTGCTTTTGGATGATCTAATGAGTTGGGTAAATATTGAATGATTGGAAAAATGTTAGGCTTGTCGTATAGATGAGTCTTCACACATAACTGGTTGAAGCAGTAGTTCCTTATATAGAAACTATCCATGTCTTGTACAACTATCTCATTGTAAGCCCGATAGCAATATTTTTTATCGTGGCCTAGATATTGTAACTCTCCCTCTTTCTCGCCGCTTGCGCCAGTTGTGGTCAAACAGAGCATCGTGGCCGTTCAAATAAAATGTGGGTAGAGATCTTTTTGAAGAAAGATAATCGATGATACGGCGATCTGGTGTTTTCTTGGCATCATTTAATTTGGTTCTTTTTGTCAGTTATACTGTATATGTCCTTTTAGCGTTTTTTCTTCAGTTTTCAATAATCAAATGATACATGGGCAGATATGCTTCGATGAATGAATTCATGCATGCATCAGTGGGGTGACTATTATTCCATCCATAGGAAATCACATACAGTATTACGTCTTCATTTTTCCTTTAGACTCTGATTTTCTCTCTCTTCTGTTGCCTGAAAAACTCTCACTATCATTGCACCCGCATCCGCATCCATCATCCAGACTATGGTTATTCCGTGTACAGTCAGCCCCCGGTTTTTTCAAAGGAGGATTTGCTGACGATGAATGAAAAAAAATGGGGGTTTGAAAAATTTGAGGTATCGGATTTTATTGGTAATGATGGGCATATATGATTGGACCAAATGCTTTACATCTTTTCAATTGCCGAACAGTCAACCATGCGGTTTTTTTCAAAATCATGCAACTGCAACACAACACTGTCAATAGTGGTCAAGTATGCTCAGCATAAGGGAGACTCTCCATAGGATTAGCATCTTTTTGAGGAAGCAGACCTGTTTCTCTCATATAACATCATTATTCAAGCGGTTCAAACAGCAGAGGATGAAGAGTCTGAGACCGAAATCGATGTTCCACAACCTCCAAAGATGTCTCCGCGCGAGGTACCGCCATCTGCAAGTTGTTATGCACAACCTCGATGAAGAATCCTGGGAGGGCAATTTGAAAAGCGTTTGCCGGAAATTGCGAACACAATGCAAAGCGAAACAGGCTACGTTAGACATGTTTTTTAAGCATAAAATAAAGATATTCCAATAAAATATGATCAACCCGGATTTTTCAAAGAGGTTGAAAAAAACTGAGGTTTTGAAATTCTAGTGCTTAGGAGCGGATCATCACTCGATCCAGAGGAAAAAAAGCGGGGTTTTGAAAAAAAAACTGGGGTTGAAAAAAGCGGTGGCTGTAACCGGTCGAGTCGGTCATCATCAAAAAGGTACCTTTTATGTGATGTGGTTATTCGTATTTCGCGAAGAAGAAACTTGTCTGTCCTTTTTCTCTACCCTTCTTTAGCTTTCAGTTTTATTCGGTTTTCTTTTCGCCTGAAAAGCCATCTATTCTACGACGTTCGATTTTCTCTTGTCATCAATTCATCGAATCTTTATACTTATGTTCGCGCAGCAGATGTGGTAAAACCGGTTTTTGTTGTAAAGGGCATCGTCCGCGTTGTGGCTCTTTTTTTCATCGGAAAACGCTTTACGTGTCCTCCTCAGGTTCCTCTCTTTGGATTGCTTCCCCTGATATCGTCTTCGATATTTCTTCCCGACCATTCTATTTTGTAGTTTCTATTTTATTTGATAGTTTTCTTGCAGTGTTTTCCTCCTTTTTTCCCCAGGTTTTTGGGGGGTCTTTACAGACGCGCCCATTGGTGGTTTTTTTTTTTTTTTTTTTTTTTTTTTTTTTTTTTTTTTTTTTTGGTCTGTGTCCTTTCTTTTATCGGTCGGGAAGATGTCGATATCTGCTGTACCAAATAAAAAAGGTAAATTATCTTATACGAAATTTGAATCAAATCAAAGAGCTTACTGTATTGACTAATTTTTTTTTAAATATTCAACATACCCACACATCATTCTAGAGCTATCATAGCCTGGGCGGGAAGGAACTGAGAGGGTCAACCAGCGCTGCTTTGCACATGTTCATAAACAGGTCATGATGCATGGTATGCTAGAAGGTTGTGATGAATATACCAAAATTCCAAGAGCTCTCGCCCAAGTTATGCCGTATACGCGTTAGGCTTTTGTCTGACGAAAGTCGCTGAATGTAAGGGAGTGACCTCCAATGGCAGGTAGCATTCATTGCACAGCGGGTGTACAGCTTGTTAGTACAGTGATAAATCTTTTTATCGCATACTTTTGAGAGTAAATGCTCAGATAATAATACAATCCGTTGGTCTTCTTCCTTCGAATAATGGAATTCAGCATCCGGTCTAACGTCCCCCGATTGCTTTTTCCGCAATGTGGCTTCTTCGCAATTGATTTGCTCTCAATAAATAGCGCTTGTTAATGGTAAAATGTAAAATAAGTTCGCTTTTTCGCGTTTACGTTCGCGAAGTGACTCATGGATGTGGTATACCTACTACTCGTCGTATTATCCATCCTAGACCAGTGTGGCCAAACAGGAAAGATCGGGTTTTAGACGTGTTTCCATTGTGGGTGAGCTTCTGCATTAGAACAACGATCGAACCTCTTTCAACAATTGGATCTCTCACCAAGACCAATTCATACGGGTGACGCTGTCACATCACAAATGTGGACCTTTCCAAATATATCTTATATCCGAGGGATGTTCACTGATAATGATCAATACCGACTCAAGACTAGAAGTGTAAATAGGCAAATTACACGAATCGAAGATATCCAACAGTCCCAGAGGATTCTCTTTCTCCCTTTTGTTCTATAAGTTCTTCATGCATCACACACTTGCCACTATTTTTTTTTTTCAAGTCGGCTACAGTTTATTGAAACGCCGACTACAGCGCCAGTTTTATTTGGTTGGCTGTTCACAATTTCTCCTCATACAATTGCTTATGTTTCGTTACCACGATTCGGTGCTTTGACAGGCAAAGGCAAAATCGGTCTTTTACGATCTTTGTAAGTATTAAATCCATACAAAACGCGATCAAAAGCAGAATGATGTTGGCTTTTGGTAAAGCGAAGAAAACTTCGGTTGAAAGGCTTCAAGAAGCTTACGATGGAATTTAAGAGTCGGAACAAACTAACGTCTGGGTCACTTCATGCGGGGAACCCGCATGGGTCTATACGCTAAAATTGCTTTACCTATAATATTCGCCTTCTATTCCAGCCAGAATGTCCATGAAGGATATGAAGCACTGAGAGCGGAGTTGATCGAAAAACCATGCGAGCTATTCCCAAGTAAAAAAGACGTCAATACAGAAAACTAGTAAGCATACAGTACGTGAAATGGGTAAAAGCGAAAGTTATTTTCCTGCTAAACATTAATCTCACAGAAGAGAAAACGAAAATAGTTCTCTGTTGAACTAGGTAGGCGATGCTATATATCTTTGAGGCAATGCAAGCAACATTTGCTTAATCATGCTTGAAAAAGCTCACATTTGAGTAGGCTGCCAATCTCACGATACTCTGGCTGATGCATCAAAAATTATCAAGGGTAACTAAGAGCAAACCTGGAACCCGTGCAACCAATGTTATGAAGACTAAGACCATCCTGCCGCCGTTCCACGTCATAAAATCAGTCATTTCAATAATGGATCGGACTTTTGCACGGATGCCATGCCAGCTGGGCTGCGCCATCAGGCAAAGTCGTTGAGTTTGAATACCTTTTTCTATTACAATTGGCGTCGTTGCTTATCAACGCAGGTTTCAGATACCCTCTTCAGCATCACTCACGCTTTTTAATCGCTAATCCCTTCGAGAGGATGGTAAACCTGCAACTCTCAAGAGGCATTGTTGCTACTGTTCGTATTTGTATTCACTGTAATTTTGATTTCTTGTAGACAGAACCAACTCGCAAAAGATTGGGGTCGATATCCAACACTCCGACAGAACGCAGGAACATTAGAAGACAAGTCGATCAGACAGTCGAAGCAATCCAGTCGTCCTTATTACAGAGATCTGCCAGTGAGCTGGAAAATATAATTGGTGCCCCGGCTGCCACAAGCGCTTCCTCGTCAGAAAGACCAAGCTCTAAGAAAAAGCAAAAACCTTCAGTTGCCTGCAACAACGTAAATGAAACCTTTGAATGATTGAAAATATGATTGCTGACGGAAATTTTTAGTTCCTTGAGCATGATGGAATCCGACCGTGTGATTCAGAATTGTCTGTTGGAACAAAAATCAAGCGTGAATGCTTAAAAAAATACCCTCGATACAAGACGCTCGACGATCAAGGCAAGGCTTTGGTCGCGTAAGTCCAAAAAACAACAGCGAAAGTTAAATGCGATCTGAAACGCGGGTGGGTTTTTTTTTCCGTTACGTAGGCTCGGCGCTAATTCGATCCTCGATTTGACGAACCCTAATTCAGCTCATCAAGAGCTTTTCTCCAGCCAAGAATGGAAAGACTTATCACATCAGTTTCGTCCTATGTTCGAGAATAATACTGCACTGCTGGAGGAGAACAATAGCTCTTTACGAGAAATCGAGAAGGTAAAGTTGAATTTGATCTTCACCCATTCACAACGCGTTAAAATTTGTGGAAAGCTGGCGAGGGAAGACCTCGATGCTGCGAGGCTGAAGGCCAACAAGTTGGAAAGTGGCCATAAGGGTGCGTTGTCTACACTCTATGACATGTACTCCGAATAGTAAGTAAAATTACATCGTATCCTATGAAAGGGCGGTTTATTAATGCTTGGGAAGTTTAAAAATCATACAATTCCGGAAACGGGTATTCCGACCGGATATTGACGTAACAGAAGGAGACCTGACTGTCAAGGTCTGGGGTCCTCTATTGGAATGTATAATGCGAGATGAAGACGATCTTCGGTTGAAGTGGTACGATGCAGATGTTGCAAATTTGTACGCACGCTTATCAGTAATTTACCTTCTTGATGATAGGGGCGAGTCAGTCGGTGACTCGGCTGGGGCAGTAGAGGGAAATACAGGCTTCAAGGTTGACGTAAGAGCTGTTCGAGACAACTTTTCGGCACTGCGAAACCGAAGGGAGTCGGACGCTGCCAACGTCGAATTGGCAAGGGTGGGTGCTTCCCTCGGGAAAATGTTTGGCGACAAAATGAAGCTCTTGGTGGAGAGCAAGTGCGTTGTGGATCGCACAGTTAAAGACAGCAATCCAGAAAAAATTGTGGCTGTTCCAGCCATGCAGATCACAGGTATAGCGACCAGCCAGTATTTGCTTGATGCATTATAATCTTATCGAACCTAGGGTTGCATGCTGGTTTGTTTTCTGTACGTCTGGGTGCTCCGGGCCTTTATGTCGCAGTCAGCGAAGGTACCTGCCAATTGCCGAAGACAGCCGATATGCTTCGTGATTTGCGGGAAGCATACGTGTTGCTTCGAAAGTTCAAGGTAAGTTCAGTACTCGCATTGAGCATGAAGCCTTATCTGAAGAAGATAATTAAATCAAAATAGGACGCGTCTGTGAATCTTTCCAACGCAGCAATTTATGGCAACCGTTCAGACCACTCAAAGAAGGATGATCTACGCGACACATGGATGCCTCCAAGAAGTGGCACGAGGATTTCGCCCTTGCCTAAATATATGTTGGAATCGGTCGAAGAGAGTAGCATTTGAATAACTGAAAGTAGAAAGCAAGTCAATAGCGTTCACACCATCTGTCACCTTCTTCCACGCTATTGACTGGTCACTAGCATACATCATCCACAGTACAAACGACCCCCTGGGCTTCTTCTTCTCCTTCTTTAGCACCATTTACTTATTACAACATCGGCTCTACCAACTCGCAGATCACATCTCAGAATGTTGTGCCATTTCATACCGTACCGTGGTTTTACGTTGCAAGTTCATTTTTCTATCGCAATCTTAGATGGCGATCAATTCAAGGCATGCAGTAACCTGGTTAAGGAAACTGCGAATAAGAGACGTAGATCGAGCCTCGGCTTTTACTCGAAACATGATTATGCATACAGTAAACAGTACGTTGTCTGGATCTTTCAGGACTAAAACAATACACCTTGGGTAACAGACGAGACATTCCGACCGCCGACTGATCGACGATCGACTGCATTCACCTAGAAACCCTGAATCCACATAATTGTCACTATTTAACGAATGACGCAAATCACCCGGATTCTGAAGCATAATTGCGGATTACGGCATCTCTATTTGACATTCGCCACAGGGCTTAACGCGCGATGTCTTCTCGATTTGCGTGAAACAGCGCAACAGTTACAAACCCTGAATTTCTACGACATGACAATGTTTTTTTTATAACAACATATCTCGCAGACATATTCGACCGCTTCAAGGCTACTTTCTAAACTTACGCACGCTGACATTAAGCAACACGGATCTGCAGAAACACGTGGGATACGACACGGTAGCAAATGCTTCAAATCTATACGACGGTTGTGTATGCAATATAGCCTGCCCGACGAAGTGGCTGCCATCTGTATCACTGTCAGGCATTGGAAGATCCCACTTTGATCCATCCAGATCTTCGTAACGCTGGGTTACACCACTTGCCATCTCGGCTGAACACTTTCGAAATCAGGTTACACCGCTTCTACCCAGGAAACGTAGATGACATTCGCAAGTACGATGTCGGGCGGGTACAAACTCTTACTTTCAAGGCGTTGAAGACCAAGATTTTTGCAGGTGTTAGAACGAATATGGCCCAATCAACTAAAGAAGCTGACGTGTCCTGACAGAACAACGGACGGAATGATTGATGGATTGGTCGAGCGCTTTCCTAGTCTAACCTCCCTGCGATTCCGAGAAGGATCTATGATATGTGAATTTTTTCCTCTTCAACCTTTTCTTTCTTCTAGATGCTTCTGTTTACATTCACTGCTTTATCCCTCATTCCGCTCATTAACATTTTCTTATTTATTTTATTGCCTTTTTTTCCCAATAATATATCTTTGTACCAATCTGATCACCTTGCGCTTGATTTGCGCTGACGCTTATAATCCTTGCTACTTCCTAGGCCCGAGCTATGAAGCTCCATTTCTTAAACACGGCTTAACTATTTTTCTTCTGCCACATACTTTTCATTTGTTAGCGCTTTACAAATTTTCGATGCACAGTGGCAAGGAAGAAACTGCGACGGTGCCAAAACCCCATTATCATAAGAATACACTGATCTACCAGCTAAAAGTAAAGAAGCCGAAAGTCCAAACACATACAAATGCTGAGAAACGACCTGATGAAATTTAGTTCAGAATGATTCAAACATCAGGCTTTTGGACGCTCGTGGTAAAAGAGAAACCGACGTTATGGATGTGCGTTCTAAGAGGGCTTAAGATGGTTCCCAGCCTAGGAAAGACCACCAAACAAACCAGACCAAAGCGAGGCTAGATGAGCGGATCTGAGCCAGTAGATGTTAGCCTCGCCTGATAGTGTCTAAAAGGCTGTTTAGTTAATCAAATTTACAAATCGAAATATAATATGCTTCCATACCGCATAATAAATAATACGATATCATGGGTGTCAATAATTGCAAAAAGATCGACACACACTTCTGATCGTACACATTTATTGGGCAGAGCTACCATTGTTGCGTTTACAAAGGTCTAAATAATATCAGCTTTATAAGTGGATCAAAATTTCCCCCAACAAAAGTTTTGAAGCTAACTTACTTTAAACCTGGGAAGGAATTCGAGAAAATTTGGGAAGGGGATACGGCAATACCACTTCGATCCTTGCTTGCAGCAAACTTGTAGAATGGGACTTTTACTTTGCTGTACGCCTGGATAGAAAATCATACGATGAACGATATGTATTACGAATCCTGTGCTTTCATCATAGTACATACCTGTGCGTAAACGGCCCAGAAGTCATTGGTTGGTATACCACTTTTCAGGTACAGCGCAAACCCACCCACGCCTCGCCAAATGCGAAAACTGATCGTGTCTATGATGATGGTGATCAAAAGTGCAAAAAGATGATTAACGCAAGCCAATATCAATAAGAATTTGTATCATAACCATACCTGTACTGATAAGCAGACGAACCCAAGGGACCGAACAGCTGGTTAATAAGCTCTTCATGGGAGCTGTTTGTCGGTACACCGACCAAAAATTCGTCAGAAACCGGCAAGACTTCTGCACCCACATCAATGTACGAGGTATTTGGATCGACCTTATGTTAGCCTTAGTTAGTAGAGTTTATTGATATATCACAAAGATGACAGTTACCAAATTCCAGTTGAATCAGTAAGAGAGTCCCTGAATGGCGCTTTGATGCCCATGCACCAGGTATCAAAAAAGAAGTCTCCAAAAAGTGCTTCCAGATCCTGGCTTTCAGCAACAAGTGCACGCATACCCTCAATGAGAGCAGGTGCACTCATGCTCTCGAGCATGGCCGGCTTGGCTACAATTCGGCCATTTGCATCTCTAAGGCGCTCTGACTCGGCTTGGTAATTGAGGCCAAAGTTTTGACACTCAAAAGGAGATGCCAATTCAATCGCGGGCAAAAGAACGCAGTCGACGAAGGTATCCACTTGTAAAGGCAGCACGGTGGAAGAATCACCGAGCAAAGGGAAATAATTGCTGGCCTAATAGGTGGATCAATATGCAATGATCAAGGAAAGTTTTATCAGAATATTACCTTCCAACGCCTTGAAGCCAAATTCAGCCAAGCGAAAGTTGGGAAATTTGCACAGCTCTACGGATTCCTTTAGACTAGCAAAGGAAACGCCAAAGTGATTGGGCTTCTGTAACGTGAAGGAAAAGTTGGCCAGCGTAAATAGAGCCAACGGACCAACGGAAGGGATATGATCCCCAACCAAGTGAGCAGAATGATATTGAAACTCACTTGACCGTTCCGACGCCGGACTGCCGATGGAGGAGAAACCGCGACCACCTGGGTAAGAATCCAGGAAAGCAGCACGGAATAGATTTTCGCCCTGTAAATAGAGCAAAGCTTCACAGAGGTCTTCAAAGTTGACTGATTCGACAACTTCCACTACTTCTTCGTCGATATCCATCGCAGATAGGTGTTGTTGACAAGTTGTCATAGACATGACGGCTACCATATAGTTTCATTTTATTACTGTATTTACTTTGGAAGAAAAGAGTGCCATGTATTTACCTCGCTCATGGGAGCTGGCATGTTGCGCCGATTCCACCACTTCCCGGACTGCATCGAAGCATGGACCTAAAAAGAGTACAAGGAGTAAGATTCCATCTGTGCTTCCACTTGCTTTGTACGATCGTACATTCTACTGTCTTGACCATGATAGCGTTCCCGTTCTTGGTATTTCGTATGATGCAACCGCCAAGTTTCTTCGCTGATACAAATTTCTTCGCAGAGAAACCGCGCAATCCTTGTTTACGAGCGCGTAAACACCTTCACTGTAATTGAGAGGCGGAAGTTTAAATGCAGAGTCACAAGCTGCAATAAAAAAAGCGGTGCAAATTAATTAATGCCGAGTAGGCACATGTTCTGGCGTACTGTGGTGGTACTGGAAGACAGAATTGAAAGCGATTTGATGAAACGAATTGGGTGCAATGTTTTATAGGTGATGTTTAGGTCCTACAATTACCATGACCTTCCGTTAGTATTTAACCATCCTATTATGAAAAGTTGACCTTCTTTATTTCGTCACATGCAAGTGAAATACTAACCGTGTCACGGAGAGAACAAGTGAAAAGGTTCTTTTTCCAAAATGCGGACTGCAAATACTTAAAAGGGCTCGATTTTTTTATTATTTTATTTTGATATTTCTTTCACATTGTAGCAGGATGCTGAAAACTATCCGCTTGGTTTGGAGGGAGTAAGTCGGCTTAAAGCTGTCTGTGGGCACCAGGGTTGATTGGAGATTTGTAAATACTCAATACTTATGGGCCAAGAATAGGATATCATGTTTCCTCTATCAGACCCGCCGAGAGAAAATATGGTCACGACATTCGCCACACCACAACTGGGAGTAATAGGCACATATTGCCGCTGTCGTAAAAGATTCGAATACGGCAATTATACCAACAATAAAAAGAGTTTGGAAGGTAGAGCTGCTGGGACTTTCGAGAAACCCGCGGGTACGTTCATTGGTAGTATCGGCTGGAGGGACTCATACTTCGCGGCGAGTTTTCCTACGTCACTACGGTGGACTAAGGCATTGTCCTCGCTCCCGTCTTGGTTGATAATCGCAAAAGGAGCCAAAGAAAGGGCATCAATGATTTTCAAAGTTCGGCTCAAGTGTTCGCTATTGATGTATTCTTCATTGATGACATGCATGCAGTACCGCTTGGTCGTAGCTTCTACGTTTTGTGGTTCGACGGGTTCGATTTCCAACTCACTCCGGGAAGAACAGGATCAATGACTGGAATTTGTTCGTCAAACTCGGGCTCAGAGTCATTCGAATCTTCTCGTAAAAGGAAGTCAGTTGTTTATCTCCCGTGGATCGTGGACTACGAACCGTGAACGGTGGACCACGGACCGTGGATTGTGGACCGTGGATTGTGGATTGTGGACCATGAACCATGAACCATGAACCATGGACCATGGACGCTGGATGCGGACGCTGGATGCTGGACGCTGGATGAGCTTCAGATGTAGTCACCGAAGACGGCCACTTCACCTCTTTCTCTCCAGCTGCCTTTTGGTAAATGTAGCTCGCGATTACTTTTCTTTGTGTTACCGAGAGGTGTCCTAGGTATGCCGAATCTTGACTGCCAGAGAAACGAATCAAAAGGTACTGGTTCAGGGCCTGATTCTATGAGAAATGCGGAATCTCCTCATACTCATTGGAGAATGGACGCACTATAAGGATGTGTGACTTGGCACTAAACCACATCGCCGCTTTTCCTATGGACACGCTTGGGTTAAACCAGGAAAGGTTTGAGCTAAAAGCTTTACAGAAAATAAAGATTTACCTCTCGACAATGCTTCTTTCGCAGGTGACCCTGTAAGCTGGGCCAACTATTGAGTTGGCCAGGGCACCGAGGACAAGAGTGCATTGTCTCATATCTTTCAATAAGCATACGAGATGAACGCATTTGATCGGCATCTAGTTGATATTGGGACCAGAAAGCTTCACCCCAGCAATATGCAATCTATACAGCTTATAAGTTCCTTGTCGCCAGCCTCAGTAATTTTATGCTTACTTTTGCTGGGGAAACGTTGGAAGCGGTGTAGCGCTGAACAACAGTGCGATACAAAATTGCAGCGTCAGAGGAAGTGACATTGTCGGCAGTGTACTCGCTAACTTTTACGATTCGGCCGCTCATGTTCTCCATGTTGGATTGTCAAACGAATGGCACCATTGGCACGGTCGATTTTGCCCTTGACGGCGGCACGACAGTCAAAGACAGTCATGCGCTGCATTTTCCGAACGCGCTTTTCCGCTGGTACTTGACGTTGCACGCTCACTCCTTGCATGCAGTAAGCAGTGAAGGTAATGATGTCTTGCAATTTCGGATCTTTATAGTTAAACAGGTAATACCGAAAACCGTCGCACTGCTGAACTGCTTCCAAGACGCGAAAGATGATGTCTCTATCGGATAGTGCTTCGATGGTAGGATCAAGAGCGACGATCCCCGTAAACTTGTTTGACGGACTTCTTCACCACCTTCAGATAAGACAACTTGTGGATAAGCATGCACGAGGTCACGCAGAGAAATCATCTCTTGAGCAGGGAATGGTTCACGGGGCGTCTGTCTAAGTCGACAAGTCACACAGGTCTTGTAATTACGCTTGCAGCCGTGAAAGTGGGAAATATCTTGCTTCCTACGACAATCGCAGCAGAACTTGAAAGTGGTTGCAGGCTCCATGCTATGATGTTACAAATTGGGATAAGAAGCACTGCATTTGTTCACCACTTGGATGGATGACAAACGGAGTCACAACAAAAAAAAGAAAGAAAAAATAAAGGAAAAGGTTGTTTAAGGCACGTATTCCCGAAAATTGACAACTCTAAAAATCCCAGTATTTTTTATGCAGGAATTTCGCCAATCATAAAAACGTAAGACAATCACCACCTCCGAGATTCCTTAACAAAGGTGGCAGCTAAGAGAAGGTCTTGGTTCACTGAAGTGTTATGGTAAACCATCGCATTGTCAAGAATGACCCCATCTATCATATTAATCACTTCTTACACTTTGTTACGAAGCTATCACCTTTGACCTCTCACGATTTTTTTGCTGCCACCTTTTGATTTTTCGCCTGCCAACGTACCATTTTTTCATTAAGCGACGTATTACTTTTCATTGACCGGTCAACCGCATGTCATAGCTAGAAATAGCACAACCTCAAAGATATGATTACTCCCATATTTCGATGCAAATAAAATATGAATAACATCTCAAACAGCTCTGGATTTTTCCTTACCAAGATGCCTAACTGAAGCGCATCTTCCCCTTTCGTTTTATTTGGAATTTTAGTCAGGCAACGAAGGCCTTCGACTGCTTTGATTTATTTGGTTTTACTTTATCCTATTTTTTTTTTTTTTTTTTTTTTTTTTTTTTTTTTGCTGATATCCACGAGCTACACGATCTAATATGTATTTTTTAATGGCTCTATGGTAAATAGTCATTGGAACTAAGAATAATTCGATTTAGGGCATCGCTTTTTATCGTCCCAGAGTGGTTGCCAAATGAAGTGGCGACTGACAATAGAAGAAATGCTCATTGTTGATGTAATTTTTTTCACAATAGCAGATACACATCTTCCAGTTGCACGACTATGAGTATCCAATTGCCTCGCTGCTGTAGCAGCAATACTGGAAGCAATTACTAAAAAGTAGATGGAGCAATCTAGACTTCCCCTCATCCGTATAATACGTTTAACATGGTTTTAGCATGCATCCATGCTAACATCCTCATTTATTCTTTCATTGGAACTGGGTGCATTGTTGTAATAGAAAAATTTCTCCGGGGGGTTGCTTATCCAGAAACAGAGTTCGAGAACTTGTTTGTTTTAATAACAAAGTTTCCACTTCAACGATACAAGATCCATCGGCTTTAATCCGTGCTCATTGACTGTCTTCTTCGTCGAACCTTTATAAACAAATTGTCTACTGTATTGCTTGAAATGTCAAAACAAACCGAAAGCAGCGAATACGATGCGAGAACACCACGCGAAAGTCATTCTTTTATTATATATAGTAAAAATGAGACGAGTAAATCCCATGTCAGACAACTGACATCACTCTGGGGCAGCAAGAGTCTTTTTAGCACAACCTTCATTTCATATCACGCGATTTTGCCTTTGAAAGATGTTCAATCGTCATCGAAGCGAATTTAGCGTGGTCGTGGAAAAAGAACATTTTTTTCCCAATGGTACATCTCACTTTTTGGTCCATTGCAGCCCATGCCGTTCTGGATCATACCGGATGACGATCATATTAATGCAACAAACGTTAGGTTTGTATTGGACAACTTAGTATCATTTATCAGAGTCTCCCTGGCTCATTATCGGGGATCTTCAGTTATACTAAGATCATTCATCTTTCTTTGTTGTCACACATAAGAAAGACATGAGACGATCTGCTTTTGTGCCGAAGAAGAGGCATAAAATTCTTTGACTTTTAGTTTTCCCATGTGATACGAAAGGAGTTGGACGCCGCTTTCCTCTCTTAGGTTGAGCCGATTGTGTTGCCCCTTTACCCCTAATATATGCTCGTGCTCCAGTTAACACAATGTTTAGCCGATGAAAAATGTGTTTGAGCTCAATGACATTCAATCAAGTCATGTTATCATTCATATTCTGACACTTTGTACGGAAGAATGGAGCAAACTAGCATATGGTATCCATGACTAGGTAGAAGAAAAGAAATGCCGTGTACAAGTCCAGCAGCTATTAATTCTGTCAGATTGCCTATGGAATTCTCAGTAAGCCGTGTGTCTATTAGTGATTGGTTGATTCGTAGTGAAATGAAGGTGATACACACACATACACACACAGCGAGAGAGAGAGATTAACGTCATCAGGGGAAACCATTTTTTTTAGCCGGAAATGAAGGAGTAAACCGATCGAGCGCCGATTCTGGCAGATACACTGTGTATCAGAGAGAAAGACAGAATCACTTGCCACATGGAGCGATATAAAGCGAAAAAACATGCCCATTAATTGCATTGATATTTGTAACAATTTTCCACAAACTTTGTGGCAATCGATGCGGGATTTAATGTGAGAGGCGTCGTTGGAAAAGAACAGATATTGATATGTAAGGGAAACGTTTGTATGCGGAGGAGATGGCATTGTGCATAACGCGATTAATGTCCCGTGGGAATAAAAGGGTGGCCCAATTTATTACCATGTGCCCATGCATCCACCGTTTCTCAACTTATAATGAAAGGGAAAGAGGAGCAAAAAAAATAAATAAAAAAGAACGTTCCTTTCGCGTGAGTTTAAGATATATCCTGCCAATGATCAACACTTCTATTGCAGCAAATGCCTTCAATGCCTCAAAAGGCAACCGAAAAGATAATTAGACTTGAGTCATAGATGACTAAGACATAATGACGGATCCCTTTAGTGTTGTTACAGAACGGGGAGAGAGAGTCTGGAATAGAAAACTCACTCCACACTACTCAAGAAGAATAAAAAGAAAAAAAAAAGACAAAACGGGGGCAATTGTTTGAAAATTCCAAGTAGCTTTGAAGGAAAGAATGTAGTATAATTGTTTTTCTCATCTTATAGAGATGCGCGCGCGACCTGCATGTTCCGTTGCAAGTCCGGAGTGTTTCCAAAACTGTTTCGTACAAATAAAAAAACAGTGAAAATCCAACGCACATGGAACGTGTCCCGCAAAGAAAAAAAAACCCCCACCCGATGGTCTTTTCTATTCACTGGAAAGCAAAACCAAATAAAAAAAAAGTTTGACATCGAGCCACTTTCCTACCAGAAAAAAAAGCATAAAATGGCAGTTGGTCCCTTAATTACTGATTTTTTTTTTTTCTTATTTAAACATCTGACGATAACAATTCGCTTTTTTTTTTCCCGTTCTTTATCACTGTTATCTTACTCTATTATCCTATGTCGGTGATTAATAAATCAGCCTTTGCACCTTCTTCCAATGCCAACAGCGGCAGTGCCACGACCACCAAATCAAGCTCTACTCCACGACCCTATCAATGTCCGATGTGTTGCAAATCGTTTTCCCGCTTGGAACATCGTATCCGTCATATTCGCACTCACACCGGGGAAAAGCCTCACGCTTGCACTTTTCCAGGATGTGAGAAACGATTCTCACGTTCGGATGAATTGACACGCCATGCCCGCATTCATATTTCCCCATGCAAACGTCGCACCAAAGGCTCATCCGGCAATCGCCCACTGATGCCGCCACCTGCACTGCGCCGCAATTTATCCTCCTTTACAAAGGACCTTTTCCCTTCTCACCTCCCCTCGTTGGCCGCTGCAGGATTTCTCAATCCTAGTCAACAGTCTCCCCGGTTGCCTGGGCCGCCACCATCGTCGTCTTCGTGTTCTTCGGACTCCGAAACTGAATCGTTTCACAGCCCTGACGGCTCACCCATTATCAATCACCTCCCCATGGTTCAACAGAACCACGCCATGATGGCCGACGTTACTTTACCTCCAATGATCATGAAAGTTACTTCCAGTAACAACAAATTGGAGCCCCTCGAATGTAGCAATGTCACATCCTACTATTCACTCTCGCCCAGTAGCTACATTTTCGATCGCCCCTCAGTGATCGGATCATGCCTTGACGATAAGCAGCCGGAGCGTATCAATCTACCATCCATTCAGTTCTTGCTTCATTAACCGGCTCGCATCACACGTCCTCTCAATTATCTGTATATTATCCATACTATGAACGCTTCTACATATGATACATTCTATCTCTCGTTACCAACTACTTGCGAATTAAATTATTTTGCTTATACTTATTTACAGCAGCACATCAAGTCGTTCCGCGGATTACTTCTCCACCGTTGCTTGGTTCATGCTTTACCCCAGTCTCTACATTAGAAAATGCGTTACAAATACTTATACTGCTCATTTCCCCGCGCTGTCATCTACAGAGAATAAAATACCCCGCTTATTGCAAACAAAATGTCCCTTACATGTCTGCTAAAGTTGCTGCATGACGTGCGTTGAGCATACATTTTGCATTGTAGCATTGATAAGCTACCGAAGATCTTTTGCGTTTTTTGTGCGTGCGGAATATCTGTTTGTGGCAACATGGTATAATTTGTATGTATGATCCTCTAGCTTCGGCATAGCGGCAATCAATCACCTCCTTTGCTGTTCTTTTTTGAAAGTTTCCATGTTACTACACACGATGATCAGTAACTGTAAGGGATAACTTCCCATCCTAACGCGATCTAGAAATAGTTTGTCCATAGTCTTAATATTTTTAGTCTTACCACAGGAGCAAAATAGTGTAGCCGCGATCTCATTATTGCATGAATCTTCGTTCCAATTTTCTGAATATCTATTTCATGGTCCGATGATCCTTCATCATGGAAAAAAAAAAAAAAAACCAAGCAAAGAATTGTTCGGATTTTCATATTCCGCGACGGATGTGACTGCAAAAGGACTGGTGTCGGAAATGCAAGGAAAAAAAAGCAGAGCCCTCGTAATATCCTGCCTTATTGTTTCCCAACCTTGTCGTAAGCTATGGCTTCTCAATTGTTACGCTCCTCTCTTCGTGCTTTTGCTCGTCCTGCCTTGATCAGAAAGGCAGCTGTTCCCGTCGCGCATCGCGTCGCTCCTGCTGTGACCTTTGCCCCCATGCGTTCATTCACTGCTGGCGTGGCCCGCATGAACAGCGGTGCAGGTAAAATGGCGAATAGAAGCTTAGCGCGTTTGTTTGCCTGTCAATATTCAATAAGGGAATATTAGTTGATACCGATTTGGCCCACAAGCTGAATGAAGAACTTCAGTACGAAAAGTCCACGGAAGAAGCGGAACAACCTGAGTTTATCAAGGAATTCTTGCAGAATAACTCTTTCCAGGTAACGTGCTAAAGTACGCCATCGCCATTTTTTCAGTTGGAACGTTGACATGACTCTGTATAGCTTGAGGATAAATTGGGCCAAGACGAAGTGAGCTTGATCCGCACTTTTGGCAACGAAAAGTAAGTGCGAGGGAAAACCGGTGGAAAATATCAGCCTTTTTTCATTGACCGAGTCATTGATTAGGATCCGCGTCTTGTTTTCCATTTCTGATATCAACAATGCCGCTGCCGATGACGGCTTCCTTCCCGAAGAGGACATGGTTGAAGAGGGTGCCGAAGCTGACGAGGAAGAAGTGGCTTCGTTCCCTGTTCGTGTTTCTGTCACTATTGAAAAGGTAAAAAACAAATTATGGCATTAATGAAACATGGTGTGACGGAGTAACTAAAAAAGTGGGCCGATCGATAAAGGATGGCAAGGGTGCAGTCACAGTCGACACCGTGGCTCAAGACGGTGAGATTGCCATCGAAAGTGTCATGTTCTACAAGGACGGCAAGGTAGCCACGGAACAATCTGCCGAGGCTGATTGGCAACGTCGTGGTCTCTACATCGGTCCTCAATTTGCGGAATTGGATGAGGTAAGACTAAAAGAAGGCAAAGATATTCTAAACGCTAAACCGATGTCCCTTTAGAACCTTCAAAACTTGTTTGAACGCTACCTTGAGGAACGCGGTATAAACGCCGCCTTGGCCAGTTTCTTGCCTGATTATATCGAATACAAGGAACAAAAGGAGTACGTTCAATGGCTCCAGAACGTCAAGGATTTCGTTTCTGCATAAATAAAAATGATTCACTGTGTAGTAGAATACAATTGGGACATCATCCATTACCGTCCATCTGTTCCACTGTTTCATTTGTTTTGATGGTATCACTAGACGGAAACAAATGATGGCGGGCTTAAGCTTTTACGTTCTAACCTGGTCGGGAAAAAAATGACACGCTCTGTGCGTATGCTTAGCGTTTTGTCACTACCGATTATCCATCCACTTCTCCGCCTTGGCAGATTGCCTTTTTGGGGTTCAAATGATTTTTGCATCATCAGTGCTCGTTTTCATGTGACATTGCAGAACCTTGTATTCGACCTTCCGTCACCGGTTTCATGGCATGCAGTAGACTAAAACCGAAGCAAGCTGACATATTCTAAATTAGAGCAGAGTGTGCGTCATTTCAAATGAAAAAGATATAAATAAACTTTGGCCCGTCACATGATCGCCGACATGATGTCAATCAATCCCCGTTTTTGGCCACTAAGCCGATGGATCCCGTTTTGCCTGCGGCTTCTGCGAGCCTTATAAATAGAGAGGGTTTCTGCATCGACTTGTCTTTATTCTTTCTTACTCACGCAATGTTCTCCTCTCACTCATCACCCGAAGGCACTCTCTCTGTTACCATTATTGAAGCACGCAAGCTTCACGGCGAAGACCTCATTGGTAAAAATGATCCCTATGTGTAAGTATAGAATGGCAGGTGCGCTGTGATACGGTATGGCTGAAACTTTTGTCTTGGTGATGTACAGTGAATTGTGGTTGGATGAGAAGTACAAGCAGCGTACCAAGGAATTGAGCAACACCAACGATCCCGTCTGGAATCAGACTTTCACTTTCCCCATCGAAGGCGGTTCCTCCGTCCACAAATTGTATCTCAAGGTGCTTGATAAGGATCCCATCGGTTCCGATAAGATTGGTGAGGCCAAGTTGGACTTTGCCGACGCTTTCCGCGGCAGCCCTATCGATACCTGGGTGAAATTGCCTGCCAAACTCGGTTTGACCAGCCATGGTGAAGTCCATGTTTACATCCAGTTCATCCCCAACTAAAATGTTGTGATTCGATCAAACCTGTCTACCCCTTATTTGCTTTACCCGGATAAGTTCTATTCATAATAAACATACCTTTGCAGTTGTATCACTCTACTCCGGCGTCTGCGGTTATACAAAGGCTTGCTTGTGTGGCGAATGTGTTCCTGGGTTCTGAAAACATCAAACTGTATTTTTCAGACTCCATGACTCTCCATCATCACACCGTTTTTTTTAACTCACTTTCGAAAGACTGACGCTGAAATAAACAATCAGTACTTTGTCCACGAAATAAGCACTTGGTCCCAATAGTATGTGTTGCTGTAATTAAATCATAAAGCTATAATTCAATGATGACCAAGCCAAAGTGTAGATGGGTGGGAAATTGCATATATTTTTTTGCCAAAGGCGCGATTGTGCGTCATAACAGTTACACGTAAGCTTCCGGATATCAGTGCAACGCATAACCAAAATAAAGGTTACTTTCGATTAAGGATGTAAGCAAGTTCAAATCTCAAAGAAATTTCCTGTTGATCAAAAGGACCGAGCAAGTACTTTGGAATGAACAACCTTCAGGACAGGTTTGGCACAAAGGCTGTGTTGGCAAGGACGCGTATCGAACAAAGAATCAAACTCAGCCAGCCAGTGTTCGCCAAGCTGATTTGTAGTGCTCTTCGGCACCAAAGGGGCACTTTGGGCGTATCGTTCTTTTTCCACGGTTCATCATGCCTGCTGCCATTCGTACCGTTTCTGCTGCTGCTGCTGCGGGTCTTGGCTTGTCCGGTGCGAGTTATTTCTATTACCGAAAACAAGCTCAACCTGAAAGCAAGGAGAAGGAGATTCAGGAATTGGAATATAGAGATTCCCGTCCATTTACTTTGCTCGATCCCACTGAAATCGATACTCGTCTGCGGTCCGGTCAAATAGCCACTACTGTCCAGCAGAAATACATTAAAGCTATTTATACCAATCGTCTTCCATCAAACAATCCCACGGAAGACAACTACAGCGTGAATACCTTGGCAGGGAAACTGTTTGCTGGTGTCTACGATGGTAAATCACTCTTCTATTTTCCTGCTGCCCAGCAACAATCCAGTTCAATTCTTGCGTTACTGTAGGTCACATTGGTCCTGATTGCTCCCGACTCATTAGAAAACAGCTCCCCATCTATGTGGGTCGCGAGTTAAAGAAAGAAATCCCCAAAACAACCAACCAAGTCCAGGAAGCCATTACCACGGCTTTTGTAGACCTTGATCAGGATATTCAGCAGCGATTTTACGATTTATTCCCCAAGAACCTCAGCCGAGTCACAGAAAAGGACGTTCAGAACGCCACCCGCCAGCATGCTCACCCAGAAGTAGCGGAAATGCATATCAAGGAAGCCATCACAGGATCATGTGCATGCAGCGTTTATATTGACGGCGATAATGTATATGCTGCAAACACCGGTGATTCTAGAGTTGTCGGTAAGTGCTTGTCGTTCATTCACATTGGCCTCTTTTAAATAGTCCCTTGCGGTATGGCTCATGGTATATCAATAGTTGTTCGTCAAGAGGAAAATGGAACTTGGACCGGTCGTCGATTAGTAGAGGAACAATCGCCTGCTCATCCAGCTTGGAGAGTCCATATGATCTCGCAGCATCCATCGAATGAAGCGAATAATATTGTGCAACGAAATCGCATCTTTGGATTAATTGCCGTCGGCGGATGTAAGTAGAAAGGCAATGCGTCTTCGTAGTCATGCCATATTAAAAGAAAAGCAATATTATAGCTTTCGGAGACATCATGTACAAGGTGCCAAGAGAATACCAGATCAAGGTTCTCCCATTTATTCCTTACGAGATCTACAGTACTTTTGCCCGTTACCATCATCGCATCGTTGTCAACTATCGTACCCCACCTTATCTTCAATCCAAGCCTTTAGTGTCTCATTATAAGCTTTCAAAGGGAGACCGATATATCATTCTTGGCACTGACGGATTGTGGGACGAATTGAGCTGGGACAATGTTCGAAGCGAGAACGGAGATCAAGTAGCCGCCAACCTCATGAGCGCATGGCCACATAAGCACGAACGTAATCCAGCAACCCACATGATCCGTGAGGCCTTACTCTATGACGCTGTATACAAGAACGTCGGTCAACGAGTTCCTGTATCGAATGAGACTCTCGAAATGTCCAAGCGATTAACAAGAACCCCGTCGCGCAGATACCGTGACGATATTACTGTTACGGTGATTGAACTGGACATGGAAAATGAGACGCCGGCACCGAAGGATTTGTTAGATGTCGGACCGGTGATGCCTGTGGAAGAAGCCGAAGTCGATCAAGCTAGACTGGCCAAACCGCCAAAGGCATCTTGGTTATCTGGATGGATTTGGTCGCGTCTGTAATCATTCTACTGCGATCAAATGAATCCAATTTCAAATTGTCATGTAAATGAAACATTCTAAACACTGATGCCCCCGTGATGTGGAATTGTTAATTGCCCAATAAATTCATTAAATGGTAACTGGACCTATTGAAAGAACAATGTCAAAACAACTTGGGGGGCCGGATTTTTAAGTGGTACAAGTGGCAATACAGTCTTTATCCATGGAAAAGAGTCATTGGTATATCAAATAACCTGATGGAAACAAGAGAATTGAACTGATATGTCTGCGTTCCGTATTTGCCGATGATTGGGATCCATTCAGCCCTTGATTCCTAGAGGGAAAAAAAAAGTCTTCTTGCTCCCATTTACGATAGGTTCAAGGATTTCGATGCATCAGGATGAACCTCCCTAAAAACTGAAAAGGCGGCAAGTTAGAATCGTAATTCTGCAAAAGAAATTGGAAAAGCTAAACGAGCAATGATATTCTTGATGGTATATTTTATGTGAAAGTAGTTTTAAAATAGAATAGATGGGATAATTAAAATATAACGGGAAGAGAAGGGAAGCAAAAGAAAAAGAATGGAGAGGGAGATCCAAAGGAAGAAGTAGAGAGGAATATTCTATATTACAAATTGTTTATGCTGCGAGACAAACGGGCGAAAGGTAATCGATCTGACTTTGCTGTGATGACCATTTTATGAAATGATACAGAGACCTGATTTGCGTTGATCGCTTCTTAAATGGACTAGAACACAACAATGAGTTGGTTAAATTGATCAATGAGTCGTGGAATCCGTCAAAAAAGTGTACCTGACACAGCTACTCGAGCTGCTTGTTCGAAGCACTCCCGTACGCCGCGGTTGTGTTTAGCCGAGCACTCCAAATAACGGACAGCATTGATATTTCGCGCTACTGACAATCCCTGTAACACAAGGTAAATAAGAGGAATAAAATAGTATGATTTTGCAATTCACGGTGGCGTTACCTCTTCGTACATGATGGGAACGTTGCGTGTTGTTGCTGCCTGCTCATCATCCCGCAAATCGCATTTTAAAGCCACAAGCACAATTTTCGCATGAGGACAATGCTCAGATATCTCTTCCATCCAGCGGTTGGGTATATTTTCGAGCGAATCTCGGTTATCGACCGAAAAGCACATCATGATCACATGGGTATCTGCATAGGACAAAGAACGCAGTCGATCAAACTCCTCCTGTCCTAAATGAAATACGAAACGAAAATGTGAGCAGGCAAAAATCGAGGAAAAAAGAAAAGCTGCGTGCAAGAGCGATCCCACTCGTCCAAGGATACGGGCCCCTCGCTCACATCAATCAATCAACTATATCCATCGCCTATTTACCTGCCGTATCCCACAGTGACATTTCGATGTCTTGACCATCAATTCCCATTTCCTGGACATAATTTTCGAAAACCGTGGGTTCATACACCTGAAATATGATATATTAAATACTGTATACAATATGGCAAGGGCTGCAAGACGCACCTGAGGGAAATAACCTCGTGTAAAGACGTTTAACAGCGAGGTTTTGCCACAAGCGCCATCGCCACATACAACAAGTTTTCGATTGATAGGTTTTCCCGACTTTCCACAGATAGTCATCAAGACTGGTTCGGCTGATTGAAGGAACAAAAGGAAATGAGGAAAAAAAAAAAAAAAGCAAAAAAAGAGGGGGAGTTTGGTCTTATGCACTGAGTTCTGTAGTTGTAAAATCAGGGATACGATTCTCTGGCTATGCCTGGATTTTTTTTTTTCTTGGCCCCGCCGAAATCGTCCAACTCCGCTTTTTTGGAGAACTCTTGCGACCATCGGGCATGACATCATCTCCGCGCTGCCACCAGCTATTGGACACTTTTTTAAACTTTGCTTTTTCGAGGACCATTGTTTGCACTGTAATCGTGTGTACAAACGAATCGTTCTTTTTTTTTTTTTATAATGAGCGACATTACGGAATGGTATCCGTCCAGAGTACTTACGGCAGATAAACAACCGACGGATTTTTGTCTTATTGTCCTTAATCAACCCCTCAATTCGCTCGACACATTTGACCGCCTTTGGCACAATGGTACGGCTCCACTCGGAAAGGGAAGCCTCTCCCTCCTCCTTCTTCTTCCAGGCGGGACATTTTTTTTCTTATTTCTTCAACTAAAAAAGTGAAAGCCGAAAAAGTAGTAATCTTTTCTGCTTTATTGCTGTAGCTCGTTATAAATTTTTGGCAGACGGTGGATCCAATCGAGTATACGACGCGTTTAAACACGATCAACAAACCTTGAACAAGTAAGCGCGGCACAAAAAGGGAAAACCACTATATTTTTATGGACACATCGACCGATCAATTTCCATTAGATACATCCCTGACGAGATCAGAGGAGATCTAGACTCTATTAGACCGGATGTCAAAGACTTTTATGCTTCCAAAGTAGGTAATTCTGCCTATAACTCATGCACTCTGTCTCTTACCAATGAAAAATGGAAAATTTCATAGAATGTTAAAATTACAAGAGTCAGCGATCAAGATAGTACAGATTTCATGAAATGCGTTGACCTGTTAAGGGAAAAAGAAGCGCAAGATCATAAAACGGTAGGATTATGAATCACGACAAGAAAAAATTTAAATTTTCATTTTAAAATGCAATTGAACACTCACCTCTCTCTGACATAGTACGATATTGTTGCGATGCCTGCTTTAGGAGGTCGCTTTGATCAAACTATGGCAAGTATTAACTTGCTCTACTTTTTGAAAAATGAAAAAGATCGACGCACTATTTTAGTGAGTGACGAATCTTTGACGGTACTGTTGGATAAGGTATGTGTTTGTGTCTGATATCCCGGACGTCGACAGAAAAGATGACTTATTATTCTGGGTTTGGCGATGGCATTATTTGTTTTTTTTTTTTCAGGGCAAACATCACATTCATTGTCAACCCGAATACGAAGGTGAGTGGCGTCGTTCTGCTGCAAAGTAATATGATTGGATATTCATTTTTACGGATAATTAGGACCAACATGTGGCGTCATGCCTATCGGAGCTCCAGCCATTTTGACGACGAAAGGACTGAGATGGAATCTCGGTGAGTGTTTCAAGTTTATTATGACAGTTTTGTGCATATTGATTTATATGAAATGCATAGAAAATTATGAGTGCTTTTTTGGAGGCATGGTGAGCACTTCCAATGTAATTGACAGTAAACTGATAGAAATAGACACCAATTCTCCTGTTGTATGGACGATTGAGATCAATCTCCAAAAATAATGAATAAGAAAAAGCTAGATGATGATGATGATGATGATGATGATAGGTGCCCTTCTTGATGTTTCTTGCGACTGATTTAATCTCAGATGATAATCGGAGGCCAATGATTCGGCAAAGAGATCCACAAGGCAAAAAAAAAAAAAAAAAAAAAAAAAAAAAAAAAAAGAGGCGGGGAAATTATAGAACCCCAGCTTGGGAAAAAAGACCAAAGAGGATTCACCTTAAACATGAACCATCGGCATGCTGATTCCCAATCGACACATCAGCTTTGCTTGTCTATAGCTCATGATGTTCGGCTCTTTGAGCCTCATGCAGAAGACATACTGACCGATGAAGACCTTCTCGATCTTTTCCGCATTGTGAAGCAAGTGCTTCGAAAAAAGCCTGATTCTGACAAGCTGGCCAAGTTGCTGTTTTGTGTTTCATATGCTCTTGGTGATCATGTCAAGTTTTTCAAACCATTGCATGAAGACAAGATTCTATTCCGAGAAGATGCCAATGCTGTCGTGAATGCGGTTCGGTTGCCTAGTAACAGTTCCTGTTGTGGAGGAGGAGAAAAATGGATGGATTCAACCTCGGTGTCATCCAAATCTTCGGCCGCCTCTCCCACTTCCTCCCTTTCCAGACTGTTATCTGTGTCCTATCTTACACAGCATCAACCGTCCAGTGCAACCTCCAGTGCAGTGACATCCACCGCTTCTTCGACTAACCCGGTGCCAGATACCATGGTCCCCGCAGAGTTGCCCTCTCATCCTTTACTTTCCTCGGCCGACGATACCTCAACAGACGCTTACACTGTACGTCCTTACACTAATTTTAGACCATTGTATTTTCCCACAACCGCGCCTTCACCCGGTCGTACCTCGATGTCTGCCACCACCTCCACCCATTCTCAGCCCCGCACTCCACCTCCCGTTCTCCCACAGCATCAACATCAGCCACATCACCACCTCCACCATTTACCTCTTCCTACCCATCCCATTTCTCAGGAACGCTTATCGCAGTCCGCGTTTAAAAGCCCGGCCGAGATGCGCGCACCTTTTCCTCCGTCGACCGATCTTCATCTACGGAAAACGAGCAATGGAACCGACGAAGTGTTGATGGAACCGAAGCAACGTGGATTTTATTACCAAGATGGCCGTATTGCACGCGAACCGGTTCTTTTGCAACGATACGCTGAACAAGGTATCTTGACGCAGGCGTCATTGATGCGCAAACGTAAAAGGCAATCGACCGATTCCAGCATGCCTTTTGAAGCAACAGCCACCCCTCTTCCCACCAAAAAACCTAAAATACCCCACCGTCACGGTGAATTCGAACAAAGACGTAAGTTACACAAAACCGATTTTTTTCTTTCTCTTAAACAACAAAACCGTTGGCAGTAAAAAGATCAATGGACTCATTTTATTTTGAAAATTCAATTCTTTTGTAGGCGATGATATTATTGCACGCATGCGAAGCATCACCATGGCTGATCTTGAACAAAAAGCCCAACGGGTGGCGAATGATTTTACTTTATCCATAGAAGAAGCGCCCGCACTTCCTGATGATCTTACTACTGTTACCGCCGAACAAGCTGCCGAATTGTTGGATCCGGCTCTAAAAATTCTCACGACGCATTCCAACATGAAACCTCATTTGGATAATGGAATGAATCAAAACGGCATTTATTACAACACTGATTACTTCAGACTGTACCTGGCATTTGAACAGTTTCAGAAAACGTTTGCCGCTCTTTTCCCGAACGAAGTGGTCAAGATTGCCGATGACGAAACATCCGAGAACGGAGAACGCGACAAGGATAGAGAACGTAATGCCAACATGAAAGCCTATCGTAGTTGGATTGAACCATTATTGTCAGAAACCAACTGGGCAGCCTTCCGTCGTAATATCGTCGTCGGTGAACGTATGATGCAACTTACAAAAATTGTTGGCCAGGGCGTGCTGCTAATGACCAAGGAATTGAGCGGATCAAAACTTCACTTGACATTCACGAATAACGAATGGGACGAATTCGTCTCCGGTCTGAGCTCCGGTCGATGGGATATGACCATCAAATGGGATCATGCCATGCCCACTCCTCCGCCACCGGGATCCATTCTCGTCAATGAGCTGCGACAAAAGTTTAATACGCGTTTCTGGTTCTATCCTGACGGTCTGATTGTCGCTCCCAAAGATCGAAAGATGGCCATCGATGCGGCGGCTCTCCTTGCGACCAAACAAGAACCTCTCCAGGAAAATGTTACTGTTGAACAGTAACATCTTAGTTATTCAATGGTCACATGTATGTAATTTTATAACCCCCTTTAAATAATACTGCGTTTATTATCATTGTCGATTCAATTGTAATACGTTTCAGAGGAGCAAACAACCAAAGAGTCGAAAACCCTGATCTTACAATAACTACTAGTTGGTTTTTTGGTAATGAATATAATTCTTTGCAATGTCAATGGCGCTCAGATACGACCAAAAGGACATGACATTGCGAGGCCATAAACCAGTAATTATACCAGACTTGGTCTTGTAAAAGGAAGTACAGTTGCCCGCCCATACCGTTCCTTTCAGTTCCTTGGCCATTTTCTTGGCAAAAGCTTCTTGCGAATCCTGCTTTGCCTCGAGTGCCTGCAAGTTATGATCCTTCATGTAGCGTATGCATTTCATGGCATGATTCACTTGACTGCACAGAAAAAATAATAATTGAGTACAACAGCCCTGATCATCAAATTATACTTTGTTTTTTACCCTTCAATCATCAACACCACTGAATTATGCCCAAGACCAGAATTAGGACCCAGCATCATAAAGAAATTTGGAAAGTTGTGAATACTGGTGGTAGCAAACGTTTTTGGAATAGACATGCTCCACAGTTTGTTCAACTGTACATTGTTGCGTCCATAAACTATAGCCCAATATTAATGGAGATTTTCCCTAATCGTAAACAAGACGACTTACCTTTGACACTGGCGAGCGAACCAGCCACATCAAAACCAGTAGCCAAAATCAAAATATCCACTTCCTGCTCCGATCCATCCTCATGAGCAATGGTTCTTCCATGGACATCAGTAATATGCCCCATTTTCACAACCACATTTTTGCGTGATAAAGTTTCGAGATAATCGTCGGTTCTTACAATACGCTTGCATCCCACCGGATACGAAGGAATCAACAACGGAACCAAATCCGCACGACCTTGCTTCACCAAACGACGACGCATATCCCACGCCAATATCCGTCGTGTCAACCTGGCTATCCATGAATTTTCTTTTTTGAAGGAAGGAAACATGCATTCTTGCTGTAAATCCAATAATGACTTTCTCGTCAAAAGCTGTTACCACAACACATCATGATTTGTGACAACTTACCACGAGGAATAAGGTTAAACGATGAAATTTCATGAGCAAAGGCACCATAGAGAATAGCTTTTTGACCCAGCCCCAGTATCGGTATTGCCCTTTTGGTACCAGCCAAGTCGGCGTTCGCTGATAGCTGTAGAGAGTAGAAGCCACTTTGGCAATCTCCGGAATGACCTGGATAGCACTGCACATATTCCCCCAGTTATAAAACTGTTCATCGACCAACTATTTTTGTTTTCTCAAAAACGCACCTGGCTCCATTACCAATGATGGCGACTCGCTTATTGTTGAAATCAACATTCGAGTCCCATTGCGTCGTATGCACTATCGTGCCTTGAAATCCCTTGTATTCCTCTGGAATATGCGGCACGCGGAGCGGACCTAATCCAGCAAATCTGATATTCCAAATTAGGACTGCCCCAGAACTCCAAAAGATGGTGTTCACCAAAGTACTCACACAATGTCATAGTATGCAACATGGTTCTCTTTTTCATCATCCATCAGATGGCGGTATTCTAGCCGCCATTGATTGATATCGGACAACCATGTGATTTGTACCACTTTTGTCTGTAGCAAGGTATGGTCATAAAGTCCATACTTTTTTGCGATCCCCTGCAAGTAGCTGTGGATCTCGGCCTGTCCGCTGTATTTCTGCGACCAATCTATCCTCCGCCGTCAGTCTTCAATTGGGTTTTCTCCCCAACAATTTCTTTTATCATTGATTTACTTGGATTTAGTTCGAAACTGAGTGAATACAGATGGCTGGGTACATCACAGGCACATCCAGGATACGTATTCGCGTGCCATGTACCGCCGATATCCGAGCTCGCTTCATATAACTGAGCATCGATACCAAAGTTCTTCTTCAACTGAATAGCTGCACATATCCCGCTGAACCTAAGAATAAAACAGAATAGGTTGGTTCCCAAGGAAACGCTGGTACATCCTTGACTTCTCAAGGACCGGGGATCTATTTACCCTGAGCCGATGATGGCGACTGTAGGCGAGTAATTGCTCTTTTCGCCCATCCTTCCAATAGGAAACATGAGCAAATCTGTTAACAAACGAACGGTAGAAAAAAAGGCTCCATTTCCAGTTTTTTATATCGCAGCAACAAAGTCACAATCACCATCCGCTCCAGTGACCTTTGCTGACAAGGTTCCTTTCGATCTTTTTTGGAAAAAAGATTTGGTCAACGATGGGAATATCAACCTTGCGCAGTCGCCCTCTTACCGCCCTTTTTCCTTTTTTTCCTCCTTTTTATTCTTTTCCCTGTTCTATTTTTCCCTTGTTCTTACGTTTATTGCTTTTGCCCTGTCACTCTCTTCATCTTTTTTCTGTTGGAACTATCTGTCTGGTTTTTGATTTTCTGGCAACTTGCCTCGCATCATACCTGAATTGTTACTGTTCAGATGATTCCTGCTAATATTAGCTTTCTTTCTTTCTTTTTGTTAACTTACTATGCTTCAACACATCCACCAATTGAGTGTGGCTTAACCCGGGTACGGTTTCACTTTGATTCTTCTTTTTCCACAGATCGAATGGTTGAATCTCAGTTGCCGTGCAGCAATGCCGGATCACTTACTCCGCTTTTCCCCAGCACATCTCTCAGTACGATGCTCTTTGCCCAGTTTATTAGAGCGTGCTAGGAACGCTCTCGGCATTTTTCAAACCTTTTTATCGGCAAATTAGGAAGCTTGTGGCTTCAATCGCCTGATTTGACTCCAGCAGGATGTTTGCAATCCGACTGTGTTGTTATTGATATTCAATTAATTTTGTTGCTGGTCTCCGCAGAATATACTTCGGTTAGCACATTTGATCTTTGTATCTCGCATATTGAGTTAGATGTGAAAATGAGATGTGCAAACGTTATTATAGCATCCAAAAGCTATCACCATTGCATCACACGCGTCACAGGTGCAATTGACTGAGCAAGCAATATAAATGTCACATTTGTGTTTTTCCAGAATGGTTGTAGTTTACGTACTCCATCTTGCATGAGAATTCGTGATATAAGATAATGGAAGTTTGAGCTATTCTCGCAGTAAAAGTGAACAAGTGACATCTAAAAGGCGATTCGAGAAAGCGGTGTGATAATGCTGGCATTGTGGCCCAGTCCAACATGTTCTGCCTTCAAGCTTTTTGGACTCATCATTTACAGTAGTTGTCATCTTTTGACATAATGGGTCCGTTTTATCCACCGATGTATATATCGTTATCTGGAAATCCTCTCCAACGTGACATTCGTTCATTTTCCTCTGTAGGCAATCATGAATTGAAAATGTATTCGATCGTTATTTGCTCGTGGTGAACTATAATAACTGGGAGAAAACCAAGAGAAAATGATCGAATATCATCATGCTACACTATGGTATTCGTGGCCCCATTTCCAATTGTGGCAGTGAGTCTCGCCCGCAAAAGACTGTATTTAGTTGTTTCCTTTTCGTCGGCTCTCTCGTTCTGCGATGAGTTTCTGCTTTCTTCGAGCCAACAGCTCCATCAGCGACTTGCCGTTCTGAGCTTGAGGGTTTTCACGCTCATTGAGAAAGTATGCAAGAGTGCCTACAGTGACCGAAAATACAATGTCACCCGTCCTAAATCATTTGTCAATAACAATTGGGGATCGCCACATTCGCCCATGGGGCGAGAAATGTATTATATAGTCCATTAAAAGAGCCATCCGATGGGTTACCTTGAAATAAGATACTGGTATTTAATAGGTGCTGCACTGGCCATTGTAATTCCGTCCAACACTGATTTGCTATGGCTGGTCAACAACGATTGCAGAAAAGCTGCCAAAATGCCACACGGAACATGCTGGTTCCGCCAATTCGGAAAATCGCTGTCACAAAAAGGCACAACCGGTTTTGCGCTTTCGAGGAATGATGATTTTATTGAAGGCAAGGAAAATAAGACATTATTTATTACGCATTGCGCGGTCGTTTGCTGATGGATTGTCCTCCAGTACGAGTTGTGTTACGCTGTAAGGAAAGAAAAATAAATACCATATCAGAAATACCATTAAAGAAGCAACTGCGGACTACGAGAGTGATACGAACCTTTTCAGAACTCTTCTGCAAAGCGTCAGTTTCAATCATTCGAATGAGTTCCTCAGGCAAATACACATTTTTCAGCGTCTAAGATGAAAATATGCCTTAAAACTACTGGCCACACGTTAAATAATTAGTAAACGACGTACCTCTGCTTGGATTGAACTGGATGGTAAAGTTCTGTAAATCTTGGATTGGAGGTTGATATGTTTAGGATAGGCATTGAGTGGCCATGAAGCGTTTCTGCATTTGCGCTTGATCAGCAGGCATGCTAAATCACTCAATACATAGGAATTCTGCCACTTTCCACGTTAGATTATGCGCTGCAAGTGCTACCGCTTCTTCCTTACCTGGCTTAATTCATTGGAAACCATATCTGTGGAAGACTTGATCTTTTGTGCAACATGGTAAAGGAACGATACATTGTCTGCATTGGCAACACAACTCAGATAAAATTCAATGTATGGCAGGAATTCAAGAAGCTCTTCTGTAGATACACCAAAATCAGGATGGTGTGCGAGCATATGCAGTAATCGAACGAATGATGTCTCCAAACTGTATGCTTGACCTAGAAATACGGTGAGACCATGTATGTATAAAAACGCAGCACGCACTTACCAGCACTGAATTTCACTGCTCGTTTTTGCAGAAAGTATTTGATCTGAATTTACGGATAGTATCGGTAAGTTTTCCCTGTTTCATTAGGTGCCAATCCGTCCCCACTTACTTGTTTCAGAAGCTCCGTTTCCGGTTCGTGCGCACACAAAAACAGCACCGCATAATAACGGGGATGGATATGTCCCACCTGAAGGCCTTTCATCAATGTTTCTGCCAACTCGGCACGTACAAAATAACATGGATCCTGCAACCATTCATACTCAATATCAGCATTGGTTTTTTTTTTTTTTTTCCAACATGCGCCTTATAACCGCTTTACCTGCAGTGCCAGTGCGATTCTTTCGAATTTCGGTACAGAGAGCTGGTCTTGATACCGTTCCAATTGTGTCAATTTAATGAGCGATTGCACCGCAGCGAGACGCAAATGAGAATACTCGGCAGCACTATGATCACAAAGTCAACACATCTCTCATCTTGCAAGGCAGAAACTCAAAACGTCAACAATTACCTGAAACTGTTGGAAATTGCAGTATCTGAACTACAGTTCATGAAATCCCATGACAAGTTGAAGATTGATGCTGTCAATCGTTCATGCTGTTCACCCTCGGTAGCGGCAGCTCCAATGAGGTAATTCACCAATAGCCGAAGTCCAGTCAACTAATACATAAATGAATACAAGCCCATTCAGAAATACGTGAAGCGATGTACCTTTTGTTTCGAAGTCTCGGCCAATTCATCATATGACATCCATTCGGGGTTGTTGCTTTCATCCTGAGCCGTGTACAACTTTGTCAGTATCTGTTATAACTTCTTGCCCGCGCAACGTACCGCTATCATATTCTGCGTAAAGACGTCGTTTTGCATAAATTCGAGTACATCGTCCATCTGATCACTTAACAATTGTGGAGAGTACAGCGCAAACTGGGATAAACTATTCAAGGACGCCAATAGATAGGGATTGCTCAAGCTCAATTCTGTGCACAAGTTCTAAAACGCATCCATGTTATGAAATGCCCTTATGGCCGCAGTTGACATGTGTCCCCTACCTTGACGAGTTCTCCGCAAACTTCTTCGACTTCTTCGATATTGCTTAAAATGACAGCCGCGTGCTCGGCTCGAGTAACATTGCCTTCTCGAATATACGCAAAAAGACGTCTCAGCGTGACACTGGGAATCCAAAAAATTGTCAGTTGGATGCATTGTGTTCAGTGAGTCGATCCATTCACTTACTCATTATATGTCGATACCTTGGGAGGCGTTCGGCTGATTTGGGCCAGCAATTCAAGGCTATCATCAGCTAGAAAGCAGTATGCCGCATATAAGTAAGAACACTTCAAATAACGACGCTGAAGTCAGTGTTACCCATAAGGCTGCTGTGTTCACTAAGCACATTCTTGATGAGATCTTGCGTATACGTTTGGTACATCGTTGGATAAGTGGCCGAGATTTCCTAGGAGAGCATATAATGTTAGACATTGGGCAAGAAATTGCTAAAAGTGGTTGTCTTTACTTTTAGGAGATCCTGAGCAATTTTGCTGGGCTGATTATGAGAAGTTGATCGTCGGAGCCGCGTGGATTGAAGCATTTTCAAAAGATGTGGAATGCATTCTACATTCAACAGACTAGGACAAGCCCTGTTGAGAATGAGCTCAAAGATCTCGTACAATGCAGGCGACAATTGTTCCAAGCGTTCCAGAAGCGATTTCTAAAATATATAATATACACCGTAAATCGATGATCTATCTTGTATACCTCCGTTGTACAAACCTTGGCGTTGCAGATACGGTTATAGCTGCTGTCGGGGTTGATGCTGCTTTTCAATAATCGAAGAACCTCTTCATCGTCGATTTCCATAAATCGACGCAAGCTGTTGATTGTTCTTGCTCTATCCGCAAATTGCCCTTTTTGAAAACAAAGTCAACTGTTGAGTTATCTATGATCTTATAACTCTACAAATCTAAGCATTTGCACGCACCTGAAATGTGATTCATCAAATCGGCAGATTTACGCTCGGTATCCTCGTCCATCTCATCGTCTTCACGCTGAAATACATAGGTGAATCCTCACTTCTAGATGTTGTCTTTTCGTTTAGTCACTTACTGATTGTTCGCATACATTGATGAATTTTCGCAATACTTCCGAGAAACTAACCCAATACTAGGTCAGACATGACGAATCTCATCCAGCATGATTTCGACTCACATTTTTTGTTTGCGAATAAGCGCTAAAAAGGCGACTCGAGCACGCTGTTCTAGATGGCCAAAGACTGTCACCAGGCGTTCGGTTCTCTCCTCGTCATCTGGATTTTCAGGGAGGATAAAAGAGACCATTGTGCTTTCAACACCAGACCTTTGAGAACGTCCAGTTAGCAACTCATCACATGTCTAATAAAACCATGGCAACATACATGACGGCAGGTTCATCCACGTATAAACATGACAGTATTGTACCAGGGATCCATCCCACTTTTTCAACGACAGGACGGTCTTGCGCAGCACTACAATAAAAAAAATTCTTGATAAGCAGATCAAAATACAGACACACCAATGTTGTGCCTTACATTCTGCCGTACGCCTTGTTGTAAATGGAGCCCAAAGCGTCCATGGCACCTTTTCGTACAGAAGCCTGTGCATCGCATCGCTCAGTATCATGTTGCTCATTACGTATCAATTCATCCAATGGCTACCTTTTTGTCTTTGCATCGTAACGCGAGTTTTTCCAATACTTCTTTGTCCATATGAGTGGGGTCAACCTCGCTATCAATATCTCCAATGACTTGACACGTAGCCGCCCGTACTTTCTCTTCAGGATCGGACAACTTCTTCTTCAAGGAATCTGTGATGATGGAGAGAATTCAGTCGGATGGCATGTCGGTAATATGCAAGGAAACCGCATACTTACCGTTTAAATCTGCGATGAGCGATGGGTTGTTACGGTATAAGGGAACACAATGTTCCAACCACTGAACACGAAGCGAAACCATCTTGTCATTTTGTCTGCAGTATCATGTCATTATTTCCCAGCTCCCGTTGACAAAGATAACTGCAGCATCCTCTTATTTACCTGCGCAGAAACGTTTTCCAGATGGACGGATATTGCTCGTACAAGGTCGAGTTCTTTTCGGCGAGCATATTGCCAATCGTCTGGGTGGCTATTTGTCGAACGTGAACATTGTCAAGTTTCATTTCTTCTTCCAACTGGGGAATGACACTGAGTAATAATCCAGGCACGACACTGTGCACCTTGCGAATCAGTTCATGCACTTTTTTTAGCTCTTCCAATTCCTGAGATGATCCACTATTTCTGCTGACCGCCATTAATGTGTCTGTGAAATACTGTTGTCATTGCAGGAAACATTGTAGTCAGCCTATGATCAAACACGCGTCAGGCTCCAATTATCAACCAAATCAACCTACCTGACATATGCGGCGCTGAAGCACGTCAACGCACACGCGACATAACTCCAAAGCCAAGAAATAAGCTGGTTCGTTCTTCTCCTACATGGGCTGTGAGCAAATGAATCCAAGACATTCATCAAATATTCATTGGTTTACCTTTACTTTATCATCAAATTGTTCAAGCAGTAATTCAATGACGTCCTGCGATAATGGGCCAGCTTCTTCGGTGAGTTGCACGAGGATATCCAGCATGCACATTTGCACGTTTCTCGGTTGATTGGCACTGTAGCATTGTGTTAGACCTCTTTTTGCGTGCATTGATCTCACTGTTGTGTCCCTTACTTGATCGTGTTGAAAAAGAGCATAAAGAAGTTCAGCGTTAATTCCTCGGAATTGCCGAGATCAGCGATAATGATGACACTTTTCACGGTGGAAAGACTCTCCAACAGATAAAAGTGATAGCGGAAATCGCGATGATCGCTGCTCTTGATGAATTGCAATTGTGCGATAAACAGTTCAAAGATTTTCTAAACATTCCATGTTAGATACCATGTATATCTGTTGTCCCATGTTAAGTTGTACCTTTAATTGGGCTTCGGAATACGGAGCATCAGGGGCGAATAGTCTTAAAATATCGGCCAGGCAGCATGCCGTGATAGCTTTCACCGTTGCGTTTTTATGCTTGAGTAACTGTGCATGCACAAGATCTTTCGACACTTTGTCCAGCGACGATTTTACAACATTTTCCTGATCCAGATTTTGCAATTCTTCATGTAGTTTCTATAACAAGGGCATGCACAGGTTAGATTCCTCCTTTCCTTTGCCATTGTCCTTTGAATGACAATCATTAGCTGCATTCTTTTTCCTCACCTGCAAACGTCGTACGAGTTCGTCCGCACGTATAGGCTTTGACGAGGAGGTAACGAGCGTATCGTTAAATGTAAGCGACTGTGGAGCAGTGGAACTATCAACTTCCATCAACATCTCGAAAAACGAACGCGTAAAAGGGCAAAAAAAAAGAGGAGGTCGGTGAAATCGCGACTGTACGCGTTCCCACTCCCCCCCCCACCGGCTCGGTAAACTCCGCCAGCCGCTTAAACCGTCACAAAAAGTGAAGCAAAGGAAATCGTGGGCACGCACTGACAGCCAACCCTGCTCATGTCGTTATTACGTCGGTTTGCAGGGAATCCTGCATGGAGGAATAATGTCTTTGGTCATCCACAGAGACTCTCGCAACAACAACAACATCAGCAGCGATGTCTGAATCTTTGGGCTTTCCAACGACGTCCCCAACGTGGTTTGATGCGCATATCGGTTCGTGAAAAACCAGAGTTTTCAACCAATCCATACGTGGAATCCATGCGTCGACTGAAAGTACAAGCCAAATTTGCAGGCAAAGTGGCAGGCTATGCTCTGATTTCTCTTACAGCAACTGTCACGTTGCTGTGGCAATCGTACCATCTCTACATTGAGTATATGCTCGAAAGCACGCCCAGTGAACTCGGTTACAAATCGCGCAATTTGCTTCACGGAGCTTACTTTCGAGAGAAAATCGCCCCCGACTTTGCTATTGCCGCTGTTTATTTAAGAGAAGTATTGGAAATTGCTTTGGAAGAAAAGAAGCTCGACGAAGCATCGCCCACTTTGATTCGCCTACGTTTACGCCTGGCGGACGATGAAGCCAAAGCAGGCAATCTCTTGGAAGCCATCACGGAATATACACGATCATGGAAGTTACTTTTGCAGCAGTCGTCCCACGAAGAAAGGCAGCAGGCATTGATTCAGACCGCCAAACATTTGGGCGATCTTTATTTGCGGATTGGTCACGGTGAACAAGCCGAGGAATTTTTCGCTTACGCACTGCACGCATCGAGCTCTATCCAACAGCCTAATGATGACCAACGATTTCTCAAAGTCACAACCACCACGTCGCTGGCGAGTCTCTATGCAACGCAGCGAAACTTCAAACTCGCATTACCCTTATTTACTCAAGCATTGAAAGAATTACCGGATGAAAACACTGTCAGCGAACCAAAGTGGACTTGTCTTCGCGCTATTATCATGAACCAGCTTTCTGAAACGATGTATGGTCTGGGCAAACACGAAGAAGCTATGGGATGGGCACAAGATTCCCTGCGCTACTGTAACATGGAGAAGACAACGCGTGACTGTCAAGAATGTGGCGGTGTCGCAGCCAACAATTTGGGCCGATTGCTAGAAGTAATTACATATCCATGCGTTAAACTGTGTAATTGCTTCAACTTATCGTTCCTATTTATATAGCTGAAAAAGGAATTTGATCAATCATGGAACTATTATCAGCAAGCCATGGCGTATGCGGATTCGGCCGGTGACGCTGACGGAAGTATTCGATATGCGGACAATGCGCTGAGGGTGGAATCAATGATGAGTCAACATGAGCTCCCTGTAACCACAACAATGACTGAAGGCTTGTCCCTACCATTGTCAAAGAAAGGTTCATTGGAGGAAGATAATACCAACAACTCATCATCAAAGTCATCATGGAAAAAATGGTTATCAAAAAAATAACGGGTGTAACGGGTAAAACGTTTTAGTATTTACAAGAGATAGACATACAATAAAGAAAGCAATGACAAAGGAATGAATCATCATACAACAAGTGGATGCGGAGAATGCAACGGGTATAATACAGATGATATCGTAAAGATACCATTTGTGATGATATGAATGTAACAAGGCAAAAAGGAAAGGGCATAATACTGTACTATCATAAAAAAGAAACTTAAAAAGCGGGCATAGTGGTATGTAACAAGGCACAGGTATAGAAAAGAAAAAGAAAAAGCCGAAAAGGAAATGGAGGAAACGAAAAAAAGGACAGTATGTCCATTGCGAATAAAGAAAATAGATGGGTGAAATAATAATTTAGGATGTACCACAATCGGCGACCGGGCTACTGGTTTGACTAAAACGGTTTCAAGTGTTAGTCGCTAAACAACGTTGTAAACCTGTGTCTTGAATGTTACCTTGTGGTCTTTCTCCAATGTTCACGGGCAAGTTGCGCTTCTGTCAGTTTGCGTTCCAGCAAGGTTTCGGTGTAGTGCAGATCATGCGATCGTGGCAATTGTCCTTCTCTACGGTAACTGTGGAGTAATTGCGATAGCTGCTCCATTTCCGTATTGAAACTCTATTACACGTTTGAGTTAGCTTGTGAATACAGCAAATTATAAAACTTTGTCAGAGTCATGCTTACTTGGAAAATATCGCACATGTCATTGTACGTATGGTTATAAAGATCGTTCAAACTGTCTAGGTCGTTCTGTTGCAGGGGATTGACACGGCTTATTAGTTTTACAATCTATTTGATCATCCTCACTCAACTTACGGATTTTGGCTGTTCAGCGATCTGGGTAATTTTGTTACCGAGGACTTTGTATCTGTCCAACATGGTTTGCCATCGGTTGCCCATGTGGTCCCCAAAAGTTTCAACGGCAGTGGCGACCTGATCTAATGCTTTGGTGTCGTCAATTGTCGTAGTAGGCATTCTTGAGGCATCAGAAACCATGGAGGAAGAGTCTCGTCTGGAGCGAATCGATGATTGAGGGGCTTGTTGGTGATTCAGTCTTCTTTGAGACGCAAGCAATTCATTGACACGACGGACAATATCATCGTCCTCGTTCAAATCGGATGCTCCAGCGGTGCTGCCAAAATTGTGAGTGCGCGCAGATGCTGCTTGTTGTGACTAATAAAAACGAGGCATGAGCATATTATAAATACAAAATGATAAGCAACAAGACGCGCGTGAGCATACCTTGTAGAAATCAATATCTTCAAGGCTGATAGAACTGCGTGTACTGTGACTAGCCAAAGAGGACATTGTGTTTGTGTATCCGGAACGCGAGTTGAATGAGTGACCATAGCCGACCCCATAGCTGTTTGTGGATGACGAAATAGTACTGCTTCTACTGCACGGCCTGGAGGATCCGTCCGAAGACACGGGAGATGCATCTTTTCGACGCTCACGTTCCGAAGCTAACGCTGCGTAAATAGCCTGGGCCTTGGCGTAAGATGTAGATTCTTTGTGGTCTTCTTGGTCATGCTTTGTGATGTGAAAAAAAAAATTGAAAATATGAGAGAACGAAATGGCAAATAAAGTTTAAATAAAAATTTACCTGGTCCAGGGACATACTGTTCGTACTTCCACTGAAACTACGTTTCACCTAATGGGTAAAAAGCGGGCAACTTAGTTGTGGCCGCTTTAACAGTGTGATCGATAAAAAGGTTACTTACTTGGCCGATCAGACTGCTTTGATATAGTTCCATTGATGTTCTATCGATTGAATAACCTTTGACAATTTGACGTTAGATTTCATGGATGAAAGAATCTCACCTCCGACTCCATGCGGTAACTTACTGTCACGGCGGTAGCTCTTTAGGTCTTGTCGATGCATCATATCTGTGGATGCAGACGTCACTGGCATGTTAAAGGGAAAACCATTGGACGGGTATCGGTGAACCATGGAGTCGCTTTCTTGAGATAAAGCAGAATCAATGCTCATATGTCGCCGGTTGATGAGGTGAGAGATAGAGCGACGCTGAGTTATCGAAGCATGAGGTACATCAAGCGAAGCATCTGTAGGTGTCAAAGTAGACGAGCATTCACTGGTCATACTATTGGCTCTTGACCGGCTGTAGGAATCGCTACCGCTCAACAACCCTGTACTTCTTGTGCTTGAGAAGGAATCACCAATGGAATCGATATCGGGGGCACGTGTTGACGACGACAAGGAAGCCGTCGGGTTACGCGAAGGTGATGATGAGCGTGAACGCATTGTGCCGCTAAAGAACTTGCTAATCTTTAAGCTACTGGCTGAACGCGAACGAGAACGGGAACGCGACCGGCGCTGAAGCTCTCGCTCTGTGATGCTGTCATGCGTGAGTGAAAATGTTTGCGAAGCACGAAGACGGCGCTCGCACAAGATTACTATGGTAACTCGTTAACATTGAATGCTATGCAGTGTAGGGCATGTAACCATCGAAGAAATGGCTTACCATTGTTCCACATAACGCATTCAAAGTCAATCGTCTTGTTGCCGTCCTGATCCGGAGCTTGTTCCTCAGAATCAGGCATAGGTGACATGGCCCGTACCGGATCCCTAATAGGCATCAGGGATGTTTTGCTGGCAATATGGAGACGGAATCCGCGGGGGTTGGCTTGTACAAGGCATACAATCCACGGAGAAGCGCCCCGGCTCTTGAGAACTTCCAAGTTCACATCCGTGCTGTCTTCGAGATACATGATAACAACATTATTCTAGGGATAATGTTAAACTCAGGTTTGTTTAAAAAGACATGATAACCCTGTACTTACTCGGTATTTGGCTTGTCGGTACGTTGTTGGCGTATACAAATTACTGTACACCGGAAGTTCATCCCATTCGCGATGATACACTTGATCTTTTCCACCTAATTAAGCGACAAACAAGCTTTGTCAGCAACGTTCAAAAAGGGAAGGAACTGTCAAAAAAAACGATAACCTACTGTATTGTTTACTGAGAGCCTGTGTTTTTTGGCAGGTGGCGATGAATTCGGCAGCCTGCCGCTCGTACGCGGCTGAAGGTAGATTGGCGTATTCTTTGGGTGGTACAACAGAATACAACCGTGGCCCTTTTTGGAAATGCTTTTCAAAGGAGGTGACAGCAAAAGCGTCGGAATCTTGTTGTTGTGCAGTCGAGGTACGAAGCAAGAAGGAACCTGGTCGATCTAAACACAACAAAAAAGACAAAGTCAGAACGTCAAAATGACATATGGTTGGTAGGATTGGGGTTTTGTGTTTCGTGTGTGTGACCATCCAATGAAAGAATGATGCATGTCATAAATGATGCGAGCATCTCATGATGACACACGAAGCTAAGCCAAATATAGAACGTACCTGCTGCGCCTTGGAAGATTTCAACTTGCTCCAGATCAACCCAACCCCTGAATTTCAAGCTCTGATCTTTTCCTCGTTTCTTGGACACCGATCCCGAGGGGGCCAATGGATCATGATCATGAATCCCAATGTCACACAAGTCAATTCCTTTCACGTTATAGGAAGGGCGGTTGGCCACCATCAGTTTATCGTTGAACAGGAATAAGGTGACAGCTCGAACCGGTTTATTGGAAACACGGTGAATTTCTGTGGCATCCAGATGTGCGACAAAGGATCGCGATTGATTGATTAGAGAACACTATTAAGTCGCCGTTTTAGTAACACGCGATAGGATAGAGTTCATTCGTAAGATACATGAAGCACGTTATACCACTTCAAATATATTGGAAGTACAAAAGAAAACACAACACATACCGGTGAATCTTTGATGGAATGATACAAGCTCATCAGCATCGTTGCCAGTTTCGTAGGGTCATCATCCGCCAGCATGGCCACTTCACTCGCTTTTGCGTAGGCGTTTGTCAATCCGTTATAATCTCTGTGGCTCGGTAATGTGCATTCCAAAATATCTGTGACAAGAGGGAAACAAAAAAAGGGAAAGGGAGTCAAACGAGAATGACCCAGTAGCACAGTTAGTGAATGCGTGCAACCGGCAGGATAGAGTTTGCTTTGTCCTACTTTTGAGCATCATAGCATAACGTGCCAATCGCTGGGCAGGTTCGGCCAGTAAATCGGAAAGTTGCCGCATGCGACATCGGGGATGACCTTTGGCATTGACAAGGAAGCTCCGGTACGCTTGATTGGATTTGAATTCCTTTCCGTGAAATAGTTGTGCTTCACGGCGTTCCAATCCGTACTTTCTGTAACAATCAAAATTCGCCATCTGCAACATTGCACAAGGCAAGGAAAAAAAAAGGGGCCCAATATGCCGAATTTAGCGGATGCCACCCAAAAGCAATTCCATGAAAAAAAAATGGACCAGCCAAAACAAGGACATCAGTCACTATGTCACTTACATGACGTGCACAAATGTCACCAAAACTTGCATTCGAAGTACCATTGATATAGGATTGCAATTCCTTCAAGAATTCCGTGCTGACGTCTAGGACGTGATCAATATTGATAAAGATTTTGGAAAACTTGTAGGCGCTCAAGATGGGCTGCCTTGACTGGGTTTCGGCTTTTAATGGCTTGTAAATAACGTCCATAATCACTCGCAATGTCTCCACATAGTTTTTTTCGGTAAGAATGAATTCGCGGATTTGGTCTTCTCGTTTCTATATAAATTTATAAACATGGTAATTTTTATTCAGTCAGCTGGTGAAATGGGCCTATTTTCGGCTTTATACGCACCAATTCAAGATCTGGCGTCTCCTCAGCCAATCGATCCACAGCTGGCACAGGTAACGGTAATGACGTAGGTGTTAGAGGGGTTATAATTTCGTTGGTATCGTTCGTGTTGTTGTTGCATGGTGAACCCATGATGCCAAGGAATTGCTGCAACTGATGATGTTGGTCTATGGTCATTCATTAACTAGTTATGTCAAAAGCAAAAATGGTGATAAGGCCAAAAGGAAATACTTGCATAGGTTGCGTTGTTTTTCCGCGATAATCACGTCCACATTTTGGCACTATGGAAACAAAAAAAAAAAAAATATGTATGAGATATAGACATCTTGAGCAGGGACTATTTTCACTTACGATAGGTGATTTTGTATTTCGCAGGAGTGTCTTTACAAATTCTTCTTCAAGTTCCTCATTTTCTTCGTCGTATGAAGGAATCTTCTTTTCTTTGTTCAGCTTCCAATTGTATTCGAATCCAAACGTCGCTAATGTGGGTTCCAAGACCTAAATGTTTTGAAATGGATAACGTGCAAATCGTAGTATAAGTAAAAGGTCGTTTGCTTTGTATAAATTGCAACAATTCTGGTATTTTTTTTTGACGTGTCATAAGACGAACCTTAAGACTAGGCATTGTAATCTTAAAGCGAAGGGCAAAGGGCGATGTAAAGATAAAAGGGGATAAAAAAATTGAAAGTATTAAAGATAGAAAAAAGAAGATTATATGAAAGAGGACTAAAAAATCCCAAGTTGAAGGCTTTCATGCATTATTTGTTTTGATTTCTTAAAGGGCGAAATTTGAGTGAAGCAAGGCAAACGAATGCATAGGTGTCAGTGTAACAAAGAAGGGTGAAGATGCCGACGGAATGCAAGAGTATCAGTGATTTGTATTATTTTCCATACAATACATGCCTTCACGCTTCGGGAACACATGGCAACGGGCCGAACGAAAAAGTCAATTCCTAAACTAACAGACCAGCGATAGCCGTATTCTATCTGGACCCCACCGCTGCTGCCCTACGGTTGAACCGGCCATTCCACTTATTTAGAAACTTTCTCGTTTTCTCCATCTCATTCTTCGGCTTCGAACCGAGCCAGTTACCGGTGACGCGCCATGGCCACCCTTGCACGTAAAAATAGTCATCCCTTGGACGACGCTTGTACCCCAATCGGCTAACGACGTCGTCAAAAGAGCAAGGTCGCGCTGACGAAAATAAAACAACTAAAATTAACAAAAAAGGAGCCCTCGGAACCACGGCAGTCGCTCCCGATGACCTATGGCCCTAAACATAACCCGCTTGTCACTTTTTTCACACGCTATATCGGTTTCGATTTTCCATGGCAATCTGCTCCAGTTGACAAAAAATTCATCCACGTTGGATACAGCTGCAAAGAAGTCTATTCCGAAGATCCTCATTGGTTTCTGAGCACTCAGTCCTTCAAAGTATTCCCAAAAAAGTCAAGCATAAAATAGGAGAAAGGAAAAAATCCAAGCTGGTGCATCACGCGACCCTTGCGTGCAAATCGAGATTGTCTTGCCCACTGAGACAAAAAAATTCGATCCGGGCGGGGTATCATAGTCTCACTTGTGTCACAACGATGATGAACTGATATCATCCATACCTCCTTTCCTTTTCTTTTCTAGTTAAAATACATCGGTAATGGGCGAAGCAGATCAGGCAGATCGACCAAACTAAAAATTGAATGTAATCTTGAAAAAGTCACAAGAAACAACCAAAAAAAAAGAACAGTAAGAAACTTGGCAGCAACATGCGCGCAAACCGTTCAGCTGTTTCTTTATTAAATGTATGCAACACATGAAACGATCCATGCTCCTCAATGCTAGCATACCCAGTCTGCTAAGCATTGACAACATGAGCATTTGGGAAATACTCGTCGTCACGAGGCTCGGCTTTATCGGATGCAACCTTCGCTTCGATTGATTTTCGCTTTTACCATATTTGGATAGCCTGGAGATAGGCAAAACCCGAGTTTTATCGAAAATCTCATTTTGCAAAAAATATCGATCGTCGTACAGTAAAAGAAAACAGTTATAGTATATTATGGAGGAAGGAAGAATAAAAAGAACGAGTATGAATATGCTATTGAAAAAAATCTATACACATGCAAACGTCTCAGATATTTCTACATAAAATCATTGTCTTGGACAAAATATACAAATATGTCGGCAACGAGAGACCAAAAAATTGAACGCAAGTTTAAATAAAATAAAATAAAATAAAAAAAAGGATAAACAGAAAAAAAAAAGGTGCGAACCAAGGCCAAACGCACGTCATTTTCCTTAGGCGACACCCTTTCGTCTTCGGTATTCGCTCATGATGGCTTTATCGACCATGGAAGAAGTCGATCCCATGTGACGCAACGGTTTCGCATGAGTATCTGGAATAGTGATAATGGACGAATTCGGGGAATCACTGTTTTGTGTAGGAGTATCGTCTTCGCTGCTGCAACTGAGATGCTCCATGGACTGGTGACCCTGTTCGTTTCGCCGGAAATTGCAGTTTTCCGCAATCGGTTCAAAGGACAGTTCAATGTTGTAAGGTTTGTGGCTGAATAAGTAACTTCGTACACTCTCTGCACCACCACCACTACCACTGATTTGTGAAGATGACAAAATATCCGAGCCAGACATATTGGCAGCAGGAGATGGCTGTGAAAAGAAGTCTCTGCGATTCATTGCTTGCCCTTGGTCTCGAGACATGGATCGTCCTCTAGGTTTGGAAGTAACATCCAAACGCGACGGCAAACGACCGACAGCCAATGTACTGGCTACAGCCTCGCCTTGCACAATACGTAAAAACTGTTGTTCATCAAAGACCTTTAAAGCAGCCCAGTTCGGATTCAGAAAAGCAAAGGTTCTTTTCAAGTTGCCAAGTTGTTCTGGAATAAAAAAAAATAATTTTGAATGAGCTTTATCTGTAACTTGCATTTGCGTATGTTATGAGGACAAAGAAAAAAGAAAAAGAAAAAGTTACTTACGACGACCAATACCGCCTTGCGAACTTTGACCGTGAAGCGGTTTTACCGGCGCTGATATAGTGCCTTTGGTACCTTGACGTAAGGGTTGCTTTCCTTTCTCCATACGACAGATATTGCGTGCAATACATACACCGGCCAAGGTGGCGGCATAGCCGGTTTTTTCTTCATTGATATTGGTCACATCGCCACCAGCGAAAATGTGTTTATATTTCCAATGATCCAACTGAAGCGTGGGTTTCACGCGAATCCGGCTCCAATGGTCCACGCAGGCTTCAAAACCTACATCGCCATCGCCTTGCAAAAGTTGACTACTAGGGGTGGTGCCTGTGGCAAGGTATACTTTATCGTAGCCGCGATAGGTACGGCCGCTCGAACCAAGGTATGTGTTCATGTCGCAGCTGTCGAAATCAACGATTTTTTCGTTGCATACGACTTCTACGCCCAATTTGGTGAGGTATTCGTAAGCATTGATACGACGCTTATCAGAACTTCGGCGCACAAGGGTGGAATGTGATTCGACCAAAGTGACACGCTTCTTCTGCCGGTAAGGTGCAGAAAATGTATGCAATGCAATCTCACTTGCAAGTTCACAGCCCACAAGACCGCCCCCTGCCAAATGATCAACTCCGTGTTAGTTCTGCATGGTTAATACATTCAACTCATGCTGCCCCCTTTTTTTTTGCAGGAAACAACCAAATGGGGTTGACGTACCAATGATCAGCACACTGTTTGCTTTCTTCAATTCGATGTGCTCTGCTGCCAGATCCGACATTCGATAGAGAGCGGATACATCAAACGATTTCAACTTTGATTTGTAGGTGCTTCCGGTAGCAATCACGAGATAATCAAATGGTATCTATAAATTAAACGTTATTTTAAGTTAAGACTAAACCGATCCTATCAAAATGGCATTGCCATGTGATCGATTTGCTTACCAGTTCATCGTTCACTTTGACAGCCGTCGCATCGTTTACGATTTTTTCGGCATAACCGATGATCACGCGCCCGTTTTTGACATACGAGCCATGCCGCACGCGCAGAGACGAAGTCTCTTCTGGACGGACCAACATCTGCAAGTAGAAGATTCTTTTAGTCATTGAACATAATTTTTGTTTTTCATGATTCAGTACAACCGTACCTTGATCATTCCTGGACTGTATTCAAATGAATCTAATCAAAGCATTGTTAGTTCCATTTTCATTGAAGCAATTGTTCTTGTCTCTTGTACCCTTTGTGTCAATGAGAGTGACATGGAAACGGGGCATGGGATCCAGAATGGAAGCAATCGTAAATCCCTACATGCAACAATGTCAGGAACTACCAAGTCATGAAACGTCTGGATAAATCGGGCATACCGTAAATCCACCACCAATAATGGCGACACGCTTTTGATTTTGACGAGGGTAGGATGGATCAAGTCTGGAGAAATTTTGTTTTGTTAATACAATATGTTTCATGAATTTTGGAACATTCATACAAACTTACAAGGATTTAAGGCACATGGCATCAAATTCGGCCACTTTTTGTTCCTGAAATTTACATTTGAGTGAATTGACATTCGCAAAAATAATAAAAAAAAGAAGCGTCGGTCTTACAAGGATAGCTCGGACTTGTAGTTCGGCATCATGAAAGATATCAAGTGCACACTGATTTGACACGATATCCCACTTGTGGGCCTGGATCGCGGCGCCAATTTCTTCCCGATTGGTGATATTGAGTTCTAGAGGTGCACCGAGAGCGATAAAGGTTCTCCACAATCTACTATGATGTCAATGCATGTTGCACAAATGTTATTGTAACAAAAAGGTGGGACGAACTATGGACCTATGGATAACCACTTCGAGATTGCGGTGGTTTTTTTCGTATCGTAGTTGGAATAGGGCTTCGATAAACAGAAGATTTTCGTGGGCTTGAGCATGTTGCAAATAAGTTTCGAAAGCAGCGAGTAACTTTGGAGATGATAGGATGTCCTGAAGTCGCTTTTGCCCGTGGGGAGTAGTGGTCAAGACAGGATCTTTGATGGATAAATCTTGAAGATCTGTTTGGAGCGGTTCTAACATGAAGAAAATATTTGAAGGAGAAACAAAAGAAGCAAGAAAAAGAAAAAGGTATAAGGATTGAACAATAAACAAATAAACAAAAAAAGACAATGGAAAAAAGCAGGAAAAATTAACGGCAAACACCCAGTTTGACAGGTATAAATGACTTCCGAGTCTAAAAGCGGGAAAATATCAGATCGCCTTTTGATTTACGAAGGTAATACTTTGAGTAGCGCATGAAACCCCGCTTATTCATTTTTTTATAGGGATGATGTAAGTCCATGTATGAAACTGATAACATGGACTGGGGACGCTCCATTAAATGAATCAAAGATTTTTAATTCGGGAGTTTTATTAGAAGCTTATACTATATGCAAGACAGTGTCATAGCTAGCTCAGAGATGAGGAGAAACAATCGATGACGAATTTTCTTTGAAAAAAAAAAAAAAAAATCAATGTGTTGGTTTCGGATACCGTTCGTTGACTGGCCAGCCGGCTTTATTTCTCCAGGACATTTATTTAATTTATCCCTCCCCCGGTCAAGTCATTTACAACAAGACTCTAGTATTGTCATAGGCCCTTGGAACTTGGTCTAGGGTTATTGCAAAATTGATCAATGTAAATTAGCCTCGGTTGATCAAGGTGGCGAAAATTTGCAAACTGGGTAATTCGGCTTGCGCACAGGACCCTGAAAAACTGCCACGTTCTACAACGACTCCGCCCATACCAATCAAATGGACCAACTGACGTTCCACGGGAGAGGCTTTATTTTTTTTCACATTGTTTCCATGTACCAACGGGCAGATAACCCAGCATTGTACAGAACCAACGACAACGGCAAAACAAAAGAAAAAAATCGTTGAACGCCAACAAAGTTACCGCCCCTGGGAGCGATGCGCTTCAATGCATGCAGTATTTGGGTTGCTTAGTTGACAAAATTTTATTATGTTATGGCGATGTCCGTATCATATTCATCCAATGAAATCTCTTCCTATTCAAGAAAGTTCTTGGAGATCGCTGGTATACTCTCCTTATTTGAAAATTAAGCATTCATTTGAACGCAATTTGAAGTAGATCGCTTTTATTGTTCCCGCGCTAAACTTTATTTTGGTTTTATGGTACTTTATTAAATAACGAAACTTTTTAATGTGTATACCCGTTGTCCGATCGTTGGTATTATGGGCGATCTTTCTTATGATCGGGATACGATCGCGCCATGCTCCTATCTTTGTGTTTCGTCCTACTTTTTCCCATCACGGTTTTCGCTCCGCTTTCCTAGAGAATTCCCATCGGAAACAAAATGGAAAAATGTTGGACAAAATACTTTCATACCGCTAAAAACAACAAAAGCGATAACACTCACTTCATGCGCGATTTGTGTATTGCTGAGATGTGTACACTCTTTATCATATGTATCATATTAAGTTTCCACTGTCATTCAACAATTTCAAAAAGCCAAAAACCATTTAACGAGGAGGCCTAAGCCGGCTCAGTCATTTTATGGCATCGGCAACGAAAAGAAAAATACGAGAGTATATTCTTCAGTGAAAGATGACGAACTTGTTCTACCGTTTCCGATACCACCCGGCTAAAAATGCTCATCGCTTGTTTTTATGCAAAAAGCCAAGTGACGGGATAATTCGTCTCTAGTATTCAGATGTTCCGGTCCTTCTTTAAAAAAATTTGCACAGTTTGTGCAACAGTTTGAACGTTCTTTTTTTTCTTTCACTTGGGATAATACGAAGTCCACCATATGTACTGTATGCCGATAGCGAATATGATGGGACTGCTTAACTTGAATACGCAAAAATCAAAGAGCCTTTGTATCATCCTATGGTACGCTAGTCATATCATTTTCTTGACGCTTGTAATTGGTTATGGAAAGTTGTTCATCATAGCCGATTTTTTGTTTCATACATTTCCGAGATGAACCACTGCAATTAAAGTATTCATGCAGAGACAGTAAGTGCTGCTCACTCTTAACCATTTCATCAGATCGTTTGAGCGTATTTTTGTATCATTGTTCTGCTGTGATAGTACCGGTTTGTGTTTCCGACTTATCAGTTGGCACATTATCTTACATCGAGCATATGAAATCCAGGCCAAGGGCTTCTCAAAAAACCAGTTTATTCTCCACGTGGCCATTGATCCTGGTTTTTTTTTTTTTTTTTTGGTTTCTTTTCTTTGTGAGATAACACTAAACTACATATTCAGGAATGAAATGGCAAATCTGGCGCGTACACTTGCAAACTCGGTGTGTTAGCCTAAGGACGACAATTGTAGTTTACTGGCAAGACTAACTAAAGCACCCGAGAATGAAGAGGTTACTGTATTTACATCATCCAGCTTGGCAATATTCATTATATTTCAGAGTTTCAGTTTTGCCAAGAACGAAAATTTCCATTGCAGTATGACATTGGGGATCAGAGGAGAGTCAAGCTGTTGGGAAATCGACCGACTTTTGTTTTGAAAATCAGCACCAGTAAAGGTTCCCTCAGACATTTTGTAGGTTTTTCATAGAGCCTTATTGGCAAAATGTGAAAATCCTTATTGTATCAAAAGAATAGGGATTCTGCCTACAAGAATTTTAGCGATACAAATTTCGCCAAGATAAGGTATGCTTGATCCATGCAAATAGGTAAGACATTGCCATTTTTAGCGCAAGCGTTCAAAAATTTCTATCAGTGCCTTATACTTGGCCCCTCGCGCAACCAGCTGAAACTGTTCAACAACGGTATTCTCTATTTGTGCATCACAATGATAAAGTACACGCTCAACACACATGAAAAAAGAGTATGCACAGCTGCGCAAACACTGTTTGTATGTTGAATCACAATGGTACGATTTGTCAGAAGTGCGCCAAGTCGAAAAAGGAAAGCCTGGGGAACACAAGGTGCAATGATTGGATATTCTAACGAACCTGAGCCTCAAATGACTATTTTTGGAGACCTGACATTTCGCTTGCAAACCACGCTTTTCTCTCTATTCTTTGCAAAATGAACGCTCCCCCACAAGGTCCATATCCTCCACCGCCTGTTCCAGAAGGATGGTAAATAGCTCTTCTAAAGCTTTTAATTATTCACCATAACGGAGACTAAAACTCGAAATAGGGTAGCTGTGTGGGATCCCAACTCACAGCGCTACTACTTCATTGAACAAGCTTCTGGCAGGACGCAATGGGAGCCTCCAGTGGGATCAAACAGTGGCCCCGGAGGTGCCGTTGGTGGACTCGCCATGCCAAGTGCTATGCCTAGCGGAATGCCTAATGCTGTACCTAACACTATGCCCAGTGCTATGCCAAGCGGCATACCTGGCATGCCGTCCACCAGTGCCGATCCCAGTCCATATGGCTATCCTGCTTCTTATGGTTCACAACCCTATCCCAGTTCTTCCGGTAGTCCACAAACTTATCCACCCAGCAGCCCTGCCTATCCTCCCGCTTCCAGCCCTGGTCAAGCACAGAGCTATGCCGGCAACGAAAAGAATGCTTACGGAAATCAAGCTTATGCGGGAACGACACCTTCTGGTCAGCAGCCTTATACTATTGAAAATCAGAGCCAACAACCCGGACAAGGTCAACCTGTAGGTCCTGATGGAGAACGAGGCATGGGATCAGTAGCAGGCGGCGCCGTTGCGGGTGCATTACTCGGGTAAATTTGTCAGCCTAGTTTCGAAATGCTATATTTTGCACAAACTCATCGCGATTCTCGTCTAGTTATGCAGCAAATAAATTTTTCGGTCATGATAAACACAAACCTCCACATCATGGCCATGGAGGCTATGCCCAGGTATGTTTCATCATCTACTGAAAAATCACGGGCGTATGAAAGGACTTACCAAAAACCCAATGTAGGGCTATTATCCCCCACCGCCACCTCAACAGCAATCGCCTTTTGGCGCAATAGGATCCTTCTTGTCACCTGGCAAACAGAATAGTTACAACCAAGGTAAGGAATTCACTTGAAGCTTCCCTAAATCTTATATTTCACTAACAAAAACAAAATCAAACCAGGTGGCGGCCATGGATGGTTCAAGTAAAACCGGACAGAGCGAAAACAGGAATTGAAAACCAAATAACAGTCGCTAAACAGTATTCTTCCATTTTTTCTTTTTCTTGATTGATTGACTGATCGATATGCGGGTGCAAATGGTTTGAGCTGCGTCCTCCACCTTCAACTAGTCTGTGTACTTCATTGTGATGTCTATTTATTATTGTTTACAAAGTGATTTCGCCTTCCACAGCTCTAGGCTGCAATCCGAGATTGTCTAAGCATGTCTGATATCTTTCTAAGCTCTTTGATTTCAAGTACTTGAGAAGTTTTGCTCGCTGATGGACCATCAGACGGAGTTGGCGGTAGTTGTGGTTATCTTTGCGATGTTGCTGCAAATGAGAGTGAAGGTTGTGTATACGGACGGTCAAGATGGCAGCTAAAAACAAAGCGATTAAGCGCCAGCACGGGGGATATTCAATGAATCTTGCCATTTTCTTACCTTGCACTTCTGGACTGCCGGTATCACCTTCTTTCCGTTGAAACCATTCAATGGCCTTTTGGATATTCCATAACTGGACTGCCTTTGCGTTACCATTTTGCAAGCTGACGATTTTTTTTACTGCGTCGATTTTGGCTTGTTCATGTTTCAATGCTTCCTCGACACCGTCCACAGCAGCAAGGTGACTTGACTCGATGGTGTCTTTGGGCGTCTGCTCAAAGATGAATTGCTTATCGGCTTGGGTCAAGAAGTGTTGGTAGTCGTCGCTGGAACCGTTGTAGGCACTTTCAGGTGTATGCAAAGTGTTGAAAAAGGGAGCCGACTGAGAAACGATGGGAGAAGGCTTCGTACGTTCAAACTCGGCAGCTTTGGCGGCTCGTTTAGCCAAGTTCTCCTTTTTGATCTGTTTCGGATGCTTCTTGGCACAGGCCACTGCTGATCCGTGGAATTCGTTTCTGAGAATGGAACAGACGGGGGTGCGTATCGCTGTAACAATAAGCCCTATCAGTATCTATATCCAATGTCAACTTCCGAATTTAGCCAAGTTTATACCTAAACGTTCCAATGGTTGTTTGAAGCGAAACATGGTGGAGAATGCTGTGTTCAAAGAAATAGGCAACAGGGAAAATAAAGCTCAACCCGCCCTGTCAACATTTGTTTGTGGATGACCGTGACTGCTTCCTACCTCGAAACGGTCGACTTTTTTTTTTTTTTTTATTATTATTCCGCCATCGGCGCCCTTTTGACATGGACCATTAACACTGGCCATGGGGGTTGATTATGCATTGTCTATTTGAGCTTGGTAGAGCGACTAGTCAGTATAAAGATAACCAAGAATAAATGATGTGCCTGCTATAAAGTAGATACAAGTGAAATATCTCTATTGAAAAAACCCCATGGTGAACAAATGCCGATACACAATAATGAGGTTCATGCTCCGCTTATTTGCCCAACTTTCTTTTTCTTCTTTCTTGACCGTTTAGACATGACCCATCTGTTAGACGACTTTCTCATTCAGGCAAAGCAACACATCACCCGTCCTGACGATACCAAATCGCTCATCATTGTGACAGGCAATGACTCGGCTGGTATATTCTCGACAAAGTGGTTGTTGTTAATAGGATGATACTCATATATTATGCATCTTGACAGATTTGGATTCCATAATCTCTTCTCTATTATTCGCATTTCTCAGTCAGCAATCAGACAATGCTTCTGTGTATATACCTCTAGTGAAAGTACCTGGTGAAGACTTGGCTTTGCGACCGGAAGTCAACTGGGTTTTTGAACAAGCCGGTGTCGACGTGTCAAACCTTATCTGCATTGATAAGGTTGATCTGGACGCCTTCCCTGAGACGACCAAGGTAGTGTTGATCGATCACAATCGGTTAACGCCACCGTTTGATGAGGCGAAATGGTCGAACCGTGTAGTGGGCGTATTAGATCATCATGTCGACGAAAAATATTATCTGGACTCTCCTCTTCGTCAAATTTCGATGGTTGGATCATGCATGTCTCTCGTTATTGTACACTTTATGGATGTGTTGCACAATAACACTCAGTATAAGCATGCTATCACAAAGCTAGCTTTGGCACCCATTCTCGTGGATACCATCGGGTTGCGATGGGAACTGGGCAAGACCACCGAAACAGATGTCGAAGTGTATGACTTTCTCGGTGGATCCGAATTTAAAGCAAGCGACACCATGACAACAAGCAACGATTACTACGATCAAATCGAGACTGTCAAATCACGCGTACAGCATCTCTGCTGCCGAGATCTTCTTCGCAAAGATTACAAAGAATTTGTTGTGAATGGTTATCGTGTGGGTACCAGTTCAATGTCGTGGTATCTGCAGGCATGGACGGAACGAGACGGGATAGAGCAAATGATCGAATCGACCTGGGACTTTGTGAAGGAGAGAAAATTGGATCTGGAAATCATTTTAACCTCGTACGATCATGCGAAAGAAACAAAGAATGGTGTCTATGAGCGTGAACTGGCATTTTTCATCGCCAAGGACTGTCTCTTGCCGATAAAGAAAGAAATGGAAGATATGAAGGATGTTGAATTGACAAGTTTGCCTTTTCAGTACGACAGTGAAAATGGACGAATCAGCTTTTACAATCAAGGAGCCATCAAAATGTCACGTAAACAAATTTGGCCGCTGGTGCAAACTTTGCTGGAAAAGAAACCACATGCTTAAAAATAAACTTTATTCAAAAAGGGATCTTCGTAATGGCGTCAGTGGTCTTATGTATCAATGGTGTTTAATCAGCGATAGATCTTAAAGTTTATCAATATTTCACTATTGGTGCATGTTTCCAAAGTACTAGGGAGGGGGAGGGAGGATCATGCTACTGTTTATCACGCCATCGAACCACGAGTGCAGAGGAAACAGAAAGAATGGATGTGGTGGGTCGCCAATGAATGGGGATCATGAGGAACACAAAATGATTATCTAGAGTGCTGGTCGCTTATTTTTTCAACCAATCATCGTAGCACGTGCCTTGCATAAAGATTTCAAGGAAGCTGTCGCTAATTCCTTGCTCGCCGCATATTCTGCTGCCTACAGCATGATAAAAAATGTACGCAGAATCCCAGGAATAAGAAGTGCGGTTGTGGTCTGTTCCAATTACTACTCCTTCTTTCTCCTTTTTTTTTTAATTCTTTCTGTATTCTATCTTTTCTGTTACTTATTTTCTTCGTTTTCTCAGTTGATTTTATATTCCCATAATGGTGCGTATTACTCCGAAATTGAGAAGAATACCAACTGTTTTCAGATTTCCACGGATGAACGTGCGTGCCGAAAAAAAGCAGTTTGATCATCATGTCGATCCTTTCTCAAGAGTCCCCGAAGAAATTCTATCATGTATCTTTGAAAACCTCGACAATCTCTCTACTATCCAGCAATTCTCACTAACCTGTCGACGATTCCGTATGGTGGCCAAGTCACGCCGAGCCATCGCCTGTTGGGCTATGAACCGGTTCGGCAAACGTTTCGTTCTCTACTATTGTATTTTATCCATGTCGCAACGATGTGACGGTCCGTTCATTCAGCAGTTGCTCAATATGGGCGCGCTGATCCCCCGATGCCTTTTACAAGCCATGTTAATGATTTATGGTAAAGCGGCCACCTCTGCGAATATGTTACCCAAAGGCGGTTCGTTGTTCGTCGATGTTGCCCAGCAAGTTCCATTTTCTGGATATGCCATGCTCATGTATGCAGGGATGCAACATTACTCGCATATTCAAAATAAAGAAATCAACGGTGATCTCAGCTCGTTCTTGGCATCTACCTGTCATGAAAGAAAAGAGTTGATCGACAATCACGCATTTATACCCGCACCGATCCTGGCCCCGATATCACTACGCAGTTTATTACGATACGCATATACCGATCGCCATCACTACATGATCATAGCACCCATATTTGAATTCGATCCAAGTGCTCGACGGTGTTTGTGGGATGCGGTGCTGTCTCTATTGCTCGATGTCGCCTTTGCATCTACACCCTCACAGGATCTGCTAGCGCAACTGAACTCGCTTGACTGGGTCATCACACCAAAGTCACTGGCGGGTGTCCTTCTCAATACCTCTGACCAAGATTTGTTCATTGCCGCTTTTGCCAGTTTTTTTGCCAAGTATCCTGTCAGTTATTGCACAGCAGACAAGGTCGAAAACCTTGTTCGTCTTTTGTTCCGCCATGTTCATCCCAGTTTTAACGTATCAGAAGCCTTGCGACATCTCTTAAGTGTACTACGTATCGAGCTTCGCAATAGTGTTGCCCAGGTCCTGAAGCAACGTGACCGCTCTATCAATGTAACATCGTAACTTTTTTTTAAAAAAAAAAAGAAAAAGTGTAAGATAAAATAATTGTAAAGGCATTGTCATAAAGTATTTGAATAGTAGTTGAATGGAAGTTCCACAAGAAGAGAGGAATGAATGGCTTTTTTTCTTTTAATGAAATTATGATGAAGGAGAAGAAGAAAGATCTACGGTATATGCACTGTACAGTTGAGTCTATTTACAATCGGGCTTTGAGCTCCCGTATCATGCTATTGCGTTCTACGGTGATACCGCCGCCTTGTGCTTCATCTTTTTGTCGCATATCCTTGATTTTTACAACGTTCTGATTCAGCTCATCTTCACCAATGATCACTGCCAAAGGAATCTGATCCTTTTCGCACGCAGTGAACTGCTTGTCCAGCTTTGCTTTGTTTTTGAACATGAAGGATGCATTGATTCCCGCATCCCAGAGTTCTCGGGCAATACGCATGCGATCTTTCAGCAACGAACCGCCTACCGACATCACATACACTTCGGTGGCCTTACTCTTTGTCGCCTGTTGTCGCGCCATGAGGATGGAGAATACTCTTTCAACGCCAATGGAAACGCCGACACAAGGGATCTGCAGTGACGGCTTGCCTTTCTTGTTTGTTCCTGAAAACATACCAACCAGATTGTCATAACGACCACCGGCTGCAATCGAACCAACACCGTCCGTGGCCTCCTCCGTGATGGCCTCATAGATGATGCCCGTATAATAATCCAAGCCACGTGCAAGAGACAGATCGAACGATATTTTATCACGGATACCAAATACATCCAGATAATCCAGCAGCAGTTTCATATCTTGCAAACCTTCCGACGCTTTTCCGTTGTTGACCAACTTCATATCATCATACAAGCGATCCAGCAGTAGATGGTTGCCCTTGAGTTGAACATATTCTCCAATCTTGTCGGCCACTTCAGCTGCCAACCCTTTTTCATCCGTCATTTCCTTCTTTACGTCGGACCACGGTAATTTGTCCAATTTATCCACGGCAGATGAGATACTGCGAATCGAATCGGCAGGCACACCACACAGCTCAAAGATACCATCCAAGATTTTACGATGATTCAGCTTGATCGTGTATTTCTTGATGTCCAATGCATCCAGTGTTTCGCACAATATCCTTAGAACCTCGGCATCGGGAATCATGGGATCATAGGTACCGGCAATATCGAAATCGCATTGATAAAATTCGCGCAGGCGACCTTTGCTCATGGAAGGCTGATCACGACGATAAACCTTGGCAATATGGTACCGTTTGATATTCTGGTATTCTTTTCCGTTCATTGCCAAAAAACGAGCAAAAGGCACGGTCAAGTCATAGCGTAAGGAACATTGCTCACCGCCTTGGTAGGCCAAATCGTAAATGAGTTTGCTGTCTTCGCCGTATTTGCCGGCCAAGATCTCGGTCAATTCAAACACAGGGGTATCGATAGTAACGGCTCCATGGCGTTTGAAGATGGACGCTATTGTCGAGAACATCTTTTCACGGACGGCCATTTCCCTGTCATTGTAATCGCGAGTGCCTTTCGGTGTTTTTAACGCAAAAGTAGAGTTGTTCTGTGAAAAAAGGGCCAAGTTAATCAGTTGCAAAGTGGAGTCTTCCTTGACAGGATATTACAGTTTTCTTGGTTGCATTGTCTTGGCCACAAAATGCCATGGTTTTTTGCAACGACACAGGCAACGATGTCAGAAAGGAGCGATCTGTTGTTCCTCGTCAGTAACAAGATTGAAATAGCCATGCCCTTGCTATAACTTACTCTGACGCAGAGAAATAGAAGATAACATGTAGTATGTTTGCCATGATTTAGATTGTAGACAAGGCCAGGTAGACAACCTTGACAGTAACTGTCGACACACCATGAGCAGAGGATCAGCAAGAAAAAAGGTTGAATTTTTTTTTTTTGGTCCATGCTGCCCATCCTTCTTCCCCTGTTGGATGACAACTCCGCCGAATTCTGCACAGCTCAAAATAAAGCGGCCACAACAGATCCTAAAAGTTATACCAGACTTATGCATCAACTCAAACTCCTTATTTTTAAAAATCATCATATAGTTTAGCTTCATGCAGCAGAAGAATCACTTCCGACGAATAAGCATCATATATGGGGTAAAAATGAGATGCATTTCTTTAGCTGCTATTTCATTGGCGAAATCTACACGGATCCAACAATTTCGTCTGCCTTTTGCAACGCCTAAACAAAAAAGGAGAGTCTCAGCATTCCATAAAGTAAGAACTTGACACCATGATTGATCTACTTACTTCAATCATCTTCTTGCACTCTTTTCGTCTTTGTTGCGTAAATTCGGATTCCTGCAAAAGTTCATCCAACACATCAGCTTTATACAACTCTGACAAAAGTTCGCGTTGAAGTTCCTCCTTTGCATGGCTGACAAGATTGAGCATAATTGCTTTTGGCACCATATCAATCATGGTGCGTTTCACAATGTTGTAGTACGATTGGATCAGCAGTTCTATAGAGTACGATGAGCATTTCAGCTGTTACCTTTGCAAACCATTCTAATCCTAATAGACTTACTGATCACTTCAGTTTCCATGTACTCGCGTTCTGAAAGAGCCCCCGTTGCCTTGAGAGTAGGTGGAGGCTACGAGGAAGAATAAAACCAACCCATTAGTACATATGACTTGACTTGCTACACACATCGAATGCAAATGGGACGGCACATACAGCATCCATCAAACCACCGATTTTCTTGGGTTTCTTGGGACCAGAGAAGAAGCTTCCAAAGAAGGATCCATCGTTTTCTTTCTCGCTTGATGTGCTGGAATTGCTTGTTTGAAGAGCACTGATCTGTTGTGAGGATTTCACCGGTTTGGCATGACGCTCATCGCCGGCTTGCTGGATTTGCTTTGGTCCTTGAATTTGTTCGTTCACAAGGGCAATGGCTTGATGACCATTCAAAAAGTCAGGGTGAGCAGTGTTAATGTAGCACGCCTCCATCCTAAGCATGGCAGGTCAGTTATGTGCGCCAGGTTACTTTAGAGTAAAATGATACGTACGAAACCAGATCGGAAACGAGCTTCGTGGTAGGTGTGAGTGCTTTTTTGAAAAAGGCCAGTACCACCGAGTAGAATTTATCTTTCAGGTTGGGGAATCGCTTGAAGAACTGTATTTCAAATTGATAAACTGACTTTCCAATCATCATTCCATGATTTTATGGGTATTACCTGTTTGTTGAGTAGCTGTCCCAGAATTCGGACAAGTTCGTCGTAGACCATGTTGATACATTTCACACTAGGTTCTTCCAAGCGCTTAATCTGCTTTTTGATAATGACTTCGAACGCGGTGGTGGCTACGAACAATGCAGGTGATGAACCCTGGCAGTTCCATTGAAGATTAGAACAGGAATCGAATCATGTTTCTTTTTTTGCTACGCGGCACTTACCGAAGAATTGTAAAGGATGGTACGAATATCGACATCTTTGATCTGATCCAAGGGGTCGACACTTTTCACACCATTGGCATATAACTCATGGAAAACGAAACTAATACGAGCACCACCAGACAGTTCAAAGCTTGACAGGTCATTGGAATTACCATCAATGATCGTGCGGAATTCCGTGCAAAACTCGGTGATGATGTTCAAGACAAGATTGGCTTGATTACTGGAGCCATCGCCCAATACATCGCCCAGCTGTAAAAGTTCCTGTTGATATTTGCTAAGTGCCGTTTGGATTTTCGCTTTGATCTCCGGCAACGTGTTTCGAATATGATGCATCAAAATCTACAGGAAAAAAAAAATCAAAAGTGAGCAAGGATTTCGTAATGCTTGTGCGATAACGCGAATTGTTACCATGTTCAACTTTCGGGCCAAGAAGGGTGTACCGCAATACTGAGCCTTGCTTCGATAAGAAGGATGGTTTTCGAAATATTCACGTTCAGCTTCAAGGGCCTTTGTGATGGACTTTTTGCTTTCAATATCGCGCTGACCGCGATTGACGACAGGAACATAGCCTAGATTAAAGTTAGAGATCTAAGCAAATATCCATAGGATTTGGCGTTACGTTTTTCTTTTTGCTTACCTAATCGCAAGGGAATCACCCTACCCGCGAGAATATCGATAACATCGGTGCCTTGATCCATCAAATCGATCTTTGTCAAGACACCAATCGTTCTCAATCCTTCAGGGTCCACCTCACGTGCGAGCTTCAAGCCATCGGAATTAGCCAAGTCGGTATTAGCTGCTGTCACGGCGAGAATAATCGCATTGGGTTTCGTGATATATTTCAGAATCATCTCCTTGATTTGTTTCTCGATATCTTTTGGTTGATCTCCCACAGGGACCTGGAACATGAGGTGAATACAAAAGTCATGGGATGCATCCCATCATCATGTCATTCCCATCAAAAATTACCTTTGTCAAACCGGGAAGATCCACCATGGTCAAAGTTAACACGTTGGGAGAAAAGATTCTCAAGTTGATCGGTTGTGGAGAAATGCCTAACCATTTGTTTTGGACAGTTAATTCCATTGTACCAATACGCGTATTCTTGGTCATATTGAGATGAATTACCCAAGTTCTTGCCCGTCTTGAGTTCTGTATCCTTTACAATTTCTTCTCTAATTTTATCAAAATTATGGAATTTTTGACCGGGCAGATGAAGGAATTCACCCCATTCATCAGGGTCTTCGTGGTCATTGGTTTTCGGTGCATCATCGGTAGTGCCATTCGGTTTGGCGGTAGCGGGTCTATTAATGAGTTGAAGAATCTTATCACCAGCAAGTGAGTAAAAGGCATGTCGGGGTATACGGTCTTTCTTTTTTTTTTTCTTTATCATTTCTCGTGTGAAATGGACTTACCAAGGGACGACGAGTAACGATACCAGTACCACGAGGTAAAAAGTCGCGTCCTACAATGTTTTCTAGTACGGAACTCTTGCCACTGGATTGCGAACCGATGACGGTAATTTGTGGCAAGTCTACGGGATTATGGACACCGACGGTCGAGAAAGCGTCCTGTAGCTTGTTGACTGGAGATGATACCCAAATGAATATAAGAGAACATAGATATTGCCACTCCAGCGTTTTTACCTGTCTTGATAAGATGAGAGTCCATTCTGAGAGTGGAATTCGAGTAAGGAAAGAAAGGACGATGGAAACGATCCCCTTCCTTCAAGAAGCACTGCCCAGTCATGACGCAGTGGCGGACTACGAATTCGCGGCTTTCTTGGCTGAGGTGAATTTTGCCAAGTCAACGTGTTTCCGACCCTGGCTGTGCGGGATAATGATTCCACTCTGATGATAAAACCATCCGCCCAACAAGTGCTTCCAACAACGACAATGGCTACGTTTTTCTTTACTACAAAAGCTTACATTTGAGGCGTACCTAACCGCAATACGCGTATAGCAAAACAAGAGCTGACTGCCAAGCGTAAGTGTCACAAACCTTCCATGTTCGTCCACTGGTTCTGGGCAACGCCAGATTATGCAATCATATCAGTTTCAAGTCATGCATATTCGTTGCGATCATCTTCCGCATTTGATAGAAGCACGCTCTTGAGTACTGCCGCTAAATACCAGGTCTGATAGGTAAAGGTTCATACACGATTGTTTCTCCACCTCGACCTTTTCCCTCGTAGGCGTTTCTTATTCCCATTTGTCTACGAACCTGTGCCCTGGCTAACGGTTAGAGAGGTTCCATAATCCTAACAGGGAATCCTACCGCTTAAATCAAACATGCCTTCAGAAAAAGAGATTTTTCACCCAAAGATTTGTACCATCGTAGAAGCAATGATGAACTATGAATTGGTCTCATAAACGTTATAAATGGAAATTTCCTGAATTATCAATGTTGTCAAGTAGATGAATCATCTGGCACAGGAAGATTCATGTGACCAAGGTCATCAGAGCAAGCTATGGGCAGTAACGCATTTAATGTATACTAGCTGCACAAAAGCATAGTAACAACGGATGTTATCAAAGGTAAAAAAACAAAAAAGTTTTCAACAGAAATCGGTCGATGCGCGTTTTTTTGTTCTGAATACAAAATGGGCAACAATAAGCACCGCATGTGAAATTAGCAACGGGCGGGAGTTTATTTTTTGTTCCGTCCCCAAAAAAGTGTGTTTCTGGCTTGTAACGAGGCACTTTTTTGTACTCTTTCTTTTGAGTATCTCTTGCTTTTATTTTTGGTCATGCCGTTTGGTGTCGGACACGATATTGTTGTTCAAATATCTCGAAGTGCCCTTTGGTCCTTCTTTAGCGAGATTAAAACGGAGAACATTCATAATGTGCCAAGCGAAGGCCCTCTTATTGTGTAGGTTGACCTTTCTCTATTGTGCACACTTCATCCCTCGTTTCTTACGACTGTTTTCATAAAGAGCTGCGACTCATCATAATATGATTATCGATCCGGCTGTGTTATCCGTCACATTTCCCGAGAATCGCCCACTCCACTATTGGGCCAAAGATACCATGTTCAAGCATCCCCAAGCCAAACGATTCTTGGAGAATTGTGGAGTCGTCCCTGTCGATCGCACCACGAAAAATAACACCCTATTATATGCCGCCACTTATGAAGTCTTGCGTCTCAACGAAGCCATCGCAGTATTCCCAGAGGGTACAAGTCATACCTTGCCTTGTTTAGGCACCTTCAAGGACGGTACTAGTTTTGTAAGCTTCCCGCCATTAGCTCTCACGTTGAAAACAGGGAAAAACAACGAACAACATTCACTCATCTAGGCGAGTAGGCTGCTCTCGAATATGCTAAACTTGTCACTGAGGATCCTCGTCCCAATGCCGAAGGTAAAATCCCACAAAAAGCGACCGTGCTGCCGGTAGGCATTGTGTATCCCGAAAAGTCAAAATATCGTAGTACAGTCATTGTGAGGTAGGTGGAAACAATAACCCCCAACTGGTTGGGGAGGCAACTGGGAGGGTTTGACTAAGGGCCATCGTGGTTACAGATATGGCAAGCCAATTACCGTCGACTCGTATATGGCCACTTATGCTGAGGACCCCAAAAAGGCAGCCAAGCAGCTGACGAAGGATATCGAAACATCTATCCGTGCCTTGACGGTGAATGCGCCCAATTGGGACGTTCGTGATGCGGCCGAAATGGCTCGATGGTTATTGTTCCCCGGTGAACATGGTATTATGAAGGATTATGTGGATGTGACGCAAAGGTAAACTGTGTCGTTGGGACGTTTCCGGGATCCATGATCATGAATGACAGCCGTGACTAAAAAAGCGTGTTATCGGATAGTCTTATCAATGCCATGATCGACCTCGGTAAAAAGACACCGGAAGTGGAGTCGTTGCAACATAGCCTAAAGATCTACAAACTGGAACTGGATCTGTTGGGCTTGAAGGATTCCCATATTGCCAAGTACAATGAAAAGAACATTACGGCAGCAAGCACCACGATTGAACTGCTTCGACGAACTGTTGCTTCGCTGATTGATTTACCCTTGTTTCTCCCGGGATTGGTCGCACACTTGCCTTTATACGTGGCTGGCTACTTTGCAGGAAAGTTTGAGATCTATGAAGAAGTGCGGGCTCAGAACAAAATCTTCTTTGGTCTGGCCCTGGTACCGCTGATCTACATGATCGCGTTTTTATGGGCATGGTATGCTTTGTTTGGAGGCACCTTCTTTGGATTCTTTGTAGCGCTTGCAACGTTGGGCGTGTTTGTTTGGTACCATGTTGTATCCATTGATGAACGATATGAGGATTTCAAGGACTTGATCGGTCGCTGGCGATTGTTTGACGCGGTGGTTTTGGGCCGAGGCATGTGGCGTCGTAAACAACGTATTTTGGCGCTGAAGAAGCTTCGGGAAGAAAACGTTTCTAACTTGCGATGGATGGTCAAGACGTACAAAGACACCAACAAGGATACACACCATGTCTGGACCGCCGTTCGTGCTCGTGTGCAAGCATTGAATGCTGCGGGCAAATTAAGTGGACGCCGTAAAGCGTTGGCAAGGCAATTTGAATGGGCGTTTTAGAAAAACACATGACAAAAACAGTATCATTTGAAACATACAATGTTTAAAGAATAAACAGTATACAGTAATAGATCACAGATTGTTGCGTTGTACTCGACCCATTGGGGTGTTTCTCCATTTGTACATTGTTTGATTTCATTTCTTTATTCTAGAGATCACATATCTACCGATAGGAGATAATGACCCAAGGTTCAGTTCCTCATCATCTGCTCATAATTTAGTATTGGATATCAGGACGGTGTGTCGACTACGCGTAAGAATTAGCGGACTTGGTGAAGAGTCGAGAATTTTCCCAACATCATCGAGCAGTTTCTACAACATTCGATCAGATGGCATGAAAACTTTTAGCGCCAACTATGTTGGCTCATCCAATGGTTTTCTGTGTTTTCTCAATGTAGCCGCAGCAATAGGAAGGAATACATCGAACCGCAGCAATATTCCCAAGATTTGTGCGAATATCATTCGTGCATTAGGCGGACAGGACAGTCATATGGTTAACTTGGCGGAAATTGAAATGGAGTGTGAATAACCAATCATTTGCTGGACTCGAATACAAAAGAAATTGGAACCGGTGGCAGGATGTGAGTTCCTCCCTTTTCACCGAGCCTTCGACACACAACATGACTGTAAGTACAGTTCAATCCATCGGTTATGCAAAGCCAAAGAGAGAAAACGGATGAAAACAGGACGATATGAATGAAGAGAAAGAAAGATGCACGATGGATGGATGGATGGATATTTTGGATGGATAAACCTTTGGTCCTCCATCCCACCGATCTCCACCCACCCACTTGATGGAATTCGGCAATGTTCCCATTCAGTAACGAACGCAGTACGCAGCTATTCAAGACTTACTACGGTTCTTGACAAAAAAACAACAAGACAACGGTTACTTGCGATTGAACTTTGCAACTCGCTTTCGACGCTCTCTCTCTTTTCATCCGTTTTCTCTCCAACTCGCTTCATTCAATTTTATGGGCAAGGGAGTTCTTTCAGAAACTAAACTTTGAATTTGTTTTTAGTTGGCCGTCGATCTTCTTAACCCTTCTGTTGAACACGAGAAGCGCTCCCACAAGCTCAAGAGACTCGTCCAGTCTCCCAACTCTTACTTCATGGATGTGAAGTGCCCTGGTAAGTTTTAAAATGCTGTCATGTGGACGATTCAAAAGGAAGCAAGTTGATATTGATGTGGATTCGTGTGGTTGTTGTATAGGTTGCTTGAACATCAGCACTGTCTTCAGCCACGCACAGACCGTTGTCTTGTGCTCCTCTTGCGGTACCGTCTTGTGCCAGCCCACTGGTGGTCGTGCTCGCTTGACCGAAGGTTCTTCTTTCCGCAGAAAGGCAAACTAAAAAAGATAAACAATCAAAAATCTGTAAAACCTTTTTTTGGGCTTTTATCGCCTATACCCTCTTGGGGGTTTGGCTTGTGGTTTTCAAGCAAAGTAGAGCATCTGTTAGCCTGTTCTCTGTGAATAGAATTTTGATGCGAGTGCATATAAAAAAAACTGGTGTTTTTTTCCGTGGTCTTTTGAGGTTTAATGTTCAAATCAACAAGTGAAGAAGGAATGGTTCAGGAATTAGCAGCATTGTCCTTTTGGCTTCAATCGGAAGCCTGTTTGTCCAATGTGGACTACAATCAGTTTATTCAGTTGAAAAAACGCGGTGTGATGGAATGCTTTTTATTCAAGGGAATCCCGCGTTTTGGTACTTCTAGTTCAACCTTAAATGAATGCTTTGATCACCAGTCATATATTCTAGTTTTGCTTCATAATATCGTTCAAAATCATATTCGGCAATTTTATTGTTTGCCAACATCATTCATTTCAAGGTTGCCACCCAATGAAAGCTTTAATTCACTAGAGCAAACTGTAACAGGATGTTACGAAGTGAAGGGAATGAAGTAACCGAAAATGTCAATACGTAGCAACTGGCATTTAGTAGTTCTTATCTTTTATTTCCGTTTTTGCACATTAAAGATGATGCTCGAGAATGACACGTCCAAGGGACCTCTCTCACAAAAGCCCTGGGAAATCCTCTCATGCGAAAATGGGTTCTTTTCATACCCATATTTGGTGCAAAAGGCTTAGTTTAACCGTGACTATTTTCCTGCGATGTTTTTTGATGAGCTTTCATTGGTTCAATTCACTGCAATGAAACCTCTAGAAAAACCTTGTGCTTTTGATAAAAACTCGAGAGCATCCATCAGCAGTCAGATACTGCATGCAGGTTAAAAGCGGTAACCAAGGGAAGAGTCCAGAGTTGGTTAACCTTAGAGATGAGCAATTTGATTGGTTAATTCATACCAAGAAAGGCTATGCAAGAAAGTCCAGAGTAAGACAACCCTGGACGTAAGCAATTCGCTTCAATCCACCGGCGTCGTCAGGCCAATGCCATAAGACATACACTCAAAAGTTTATATACAGTTATTCATTATCGTATTCTTCCAATACATACCAAACCATGTGAGCACCACGTATGCCACGCCTTAATCTGTAGGTGAACAAGAAGGTATTTCGTCGCAGGGTAGTCTACCCCAGGATTTTGCCATGGTGAAGGAAACCGGCTTGTTCAAGCAATGGGCGAGATCGGATTAACCATATATTACCAATCGCTAATCTGAATTGCTGTCAACATTAACATTCTCTGGTTCACCGCTTATTTGAGAACGAGCTTCTCCTGCCTCTTATCTTTTTTATGCATCAGTTTTGATTCGTTTGAAACGGTGATCGGTAATGCTACTGTATGATGACAAGCACAGACATATTACTGCGTGGAATCAGTGGCCCATTTTCAGTGTGCCTGGCCACCATGATGATAAACGCAGAGGAAACAATGGCCGCTAGTTTGAGCCCCTGGATCCAACCCGATCGTGTTTTATTCATCATGCCTTGTGCTGTAAATTTGTTGGACGACTGAACCATCACTTGTCCTTTCGATGTGCCGATGACTCAATGTTAGCATTTTAACGACTGTTTCGTCATGGCTTTCACAGTTATTTGCCTTGAATTAATAAGTTTATCAGAAGATTTTCGTGGATATGAGGTATGATGATATCATGGGTAACATTGTGCCTATTTCGAAACCATTGGATTTTGGGCCAATTCCATAATGATCGGGCAGTATTGGTTTATCGAACAACCAACTGCGTGACATTGATGGATGATATCATCATGGCGTCTCAAATTCATGTCACTCTTACTTTTTTGCAACGGGATCCGACGTCGAAACATTTCTTATCATGGGCTATTAGAGTTTCTTAGCATATCCAAAAAGATAGAGGAAGCATAATTTTGGCAAGGCGACCAGAATCCAGAACAGCACAACTGGAGATCAATGGCAAAGGCGTCCAATAGTTTATCACCGACTTTAGCGCTGAAAGTAAAATCAATGATATCCTTACATGGCAATTGATCGGCCAAGTTGACTTAGGAGAGATAGTTAAATCTGTGTTATGACAGTTCAGCGCCCCTTTTCTGGACGTTTTCTTGTTGATTGTCTTTTGCCCTTTTTAGTTTTTTTTTTTTTTTTTTTTTTTTTTTTTTTTTTCTTTTCGAATGCATTCGTTTCAATGTCCGCACACGAAATCCAGGTGAACGGAAATCAGGATCCTCATTATCGTTAAGACCATGACATTTTAAGAAGAATTTTTAGTTCAAAATCAATCTGTGTTTTGAAAGCAAGAATCAATACAGGTTTTCGACAAAAAAAAAAAGAAGGATATGCCAAATAGAGATGATTCCTGACATGGGATCGACGGGAGCTGTATGACCCTGAAGATCTCCATGGTTGTATGAAACACCTCCATCCAGCCATATTGGAGCTGCTTCCAACAGCATCTCGTGTTTCTCGGTTACTTTTGTATTAGAACCATTTATCCTTGTAAGCACTACTTGGTAATGAACATAAACAGAAAAGAAGCAGCAAATAATAGCCCAATCGGGAAAGGAATTTCTCCGAAATCAAAACGAAGCTTGCAAAGTGATTACGTGGGCTTTTGCATGCTGCTAGAAATAGAATAAAAGTAGTATGCATTTTCCGCATAATTGTAATGACATATAAGCTTTTATTTAAGTCCAAATTCCCACGAACAGTAATGAGCGTGTGCACTGAGAATGACAAGTAGCAGGATTGCCGTTGGGTGGTTCCGTATGGGAAACAAAAGGAACAGCTCCCTTATAACCTTATAACGGAAACGCGGTGAAAGCCCGTTCCCCTTTTTTCCCAACTCTGCCCCGTCCCCCGGTCACGCTCGCTCGTTGTTTGCAGAAAAAAAAAGATTGCTATATAAACCATTCATGGTTCTCCATGAAACTCGTGCACACAGAAAACACAAAACTAGCAGAAAAAAAAATTCAAGATTAAAAATATTTATTTTCATTCTTCACTTCATTTTTATCGCTCAAATGTTTGGCATGCATTACCCACCTCCAGAACAACATTCACCCATTCCCGTAAACGATGCATCAACAGAGGACGACGCCACTCTGTATAATGAGAGTGGCATTACTAGTGACAGCACCCTATATAGTAATTCCAAACGTAATTCTCGGATCAATCACTCGCAATTTATCACAGCCATGTTTATGCGGTTGATTATTTTATAGTGCCTCGTATGATGCTGGCTCGTTTATCGGATTCTGGCTATCTGTCACAAAAGCTAGACAAGGAAACGGCCTCCAATAATGAAAGCGTAAGCGACGATGACGACAGCGCTCATGATGAGCCGGAAGATCCCTACCGATGGTTTATCCTATTGGGCGGTTTCCTCGCTCAAGCAATTAGCATGTCCACCTTGTCCAGTTGGTAAGTGAACGGTTTCGAATTTTACAATGCAGATTCTGACATTTTGAAATTGGGATCGTTTGATTAGGGGTAGGTTGAACTATATTGCATAAAAAAAAATAGATCGTGGAAAAAGTGGGCACATGCAGCGGTCAAAAATGGAAAAGCGTGTCTGGCAATTGGGGTGTTCATGCTCGTTCATACCCAACAAGGGGTTAGAGGGGCTGGATCGAGTGATAAACGATCGAAATATCAATCGGTGGAGAGGGAAATGGCACGTTACGTGTATACAGTAATCTAATAGATGTCCGTGCCCAGGTGTCATGCAGGATTACTATGATCGTCAAGTTTTCAAGGGCGCTGTCGATTCCACCCAACTGAGCTTCGTAGGAACAATCGGGTTTACGTTTTGCGGACTAATGGGTCCCATTGGTCAGATAATTACATCGTACGTTGGACCACGATGGGTCATGCTGGTGGGCACCATTTTAATGACAGCAGGATTGATCCTTGCAAGTTTTTCCAAAGCTGTAATTATCATTATCAATATGGAGAAGGCTTTATTACAAAACTGATGCATCTTATTAGGTTTGGCATCTTTACATCACTCAAAGCGTCATCCATGGTATGGGAGCAGCATTAATGTATATTGTGAGTAGCATGAATGTATACTGTTTCATCATTGAACCACATCATAACCCTGCATAGGTTTCCATGTCAATTTCGCCTCAATGGTTTCGTAAACGACGTGGATTCGCAATGGGCGTGATGGTCAGTGGCTCAGGTGTCGGTGGCCTGATTCTTCCTTTCATTATGAATGCCCTCAATGAATCTCTTGGTGGTGCATGGTAAGGATACTGTGCACGATGCATGGTCTTTTGAAGGCAGTGTTGTCGTTGTTGGACGAGCACCTTATAGTGGGCATGTGGTTATTTAGGTGCTACCGCATTCTGGGGATTATTACTTTTGTCATCAGTTCGCTGGCAACTGTTCTTCTTCGGGAGAAACCAAAAACACAAATATGTCCCAAGTCCACCGTACAAATGCGAAATATTGTCGACTTTAGCGTTTGCAAGGATTTCAAGTTCATCATTTGGTGTATTGCTGGCAATCTCAGTATGATGGCTTATTTTATCCCGGCGTTCTATCTTCCATGTAGGTAAATTTGTTTACAATGACCTCTCATGAAAACGGTTATTGATGATGATGGTCAAAATTCTGCTTATTTTATTGCCATCTCTTCTTTTTTTCGTAGCTCATGCAACAAAATTGGGTTTATCACCATCTCAGGGATCCGTGCTCGTTGCCATGTTTTCAGCTGTCAATGTGATTGGTCGCGTTCTATCCGGGTATCTGGGTGATCATCTTGGTGCCGTCAATGTCGATATCATATTTCTCGCTTTGTGTGGCATGAGCTCGTTATTTATTTGGACCTTTGCTGCATCCTATGAAGCGCTCATGATGTTCATCCTCACTTACGGATTGCTGAGCGGCGCCGTATTTTCTTTACGTAAGTGTGAACAACAGATGCTCGGGTTTTTTTTTTTTTTTTTTTTTTTTTTTTTTTTTGGTGTCATGTATTCACGGAAATCGCCTATCGCTAGTGGCTCCCATTACGGCAACAATAACGGGTTTAGAGCGGTATCCATCAGGCATATCACTGTATCTTTTCTTTTTAACAGCGGCACGATTGGGACCGTCACTAGCGGGAGCCATCCAAACGGCTACCAATAAACATTCCTACTTTGCGCAGCAGATATTTACCGGCTTAGCGTTCGTCTTGTCAGCTATTGTCACAGTATACCTCAAATTCAATCTCAAACGGCGCCCGTTAGCTAAAGTTTAAGCTACAATTGACCTCGTGTTATCTACAGTTACCGATATCTGTACGTCTTATAGACCTAATGTGTAATAGTATTGTATAAAAAAAAGTCCCACTCTTCCTCTCATTATATATCAGTAGTAACGATCATTTACAAAGGTATTTTTCCGCATCCCAAAGTTCCAATAAAACCTGACTACAATAGACCATGTGCTGTGATTTCGGAGCTCTGAAAAACCATAACGTAAACTTGATGCCATGAATGCTCAAGTTTTAATCTCCGCTCAATGTCCGTGATTTGTTCGACACGTAATGCCATTCTCATTGAATGAAAAGTACGCCGCAGAATTCATGTGTCTTATACAATTTATTTACTTGTGAATGCAGGAAGAAGCATTCAAGAACGAATTAAATTTACAGGTAAAAAGTAATTTCTGGATGAGATTAACCGTTGATGATATCACCACCGTTGGGATGGAGGACCTGGCCAGTGAAGTAGCTGGCATCAGGACCAGCAAGGAAGACATAGGCAGTGGCGCATTCAACAGGCTGACCGGCTCGTCCCATGGCAGTAGACTTGCCAAACTGTTCTACTTGTTCCTTGGTGAAAGAGGCAGGAATCAAGGGAGTCCAGATGGGGCCGGGAGCAACAGCGTTGACACGGATTTGACCAGCAAGCTGCTGAGACAACGAACGGGTAAAGGCCACAATGGCGCCCTTGGTGCTGGAATAATCAACCAATTTGGCAGAACCACGGTACGCAGTAACGGAGGTGGTGTTGACAATAGCGCTACCCTTCTTCATGTGAGGAAGAGAGAACTTGGTAGTGTACATCATACCGAGAACTAACCAGATTTTCGTTAGCACGATTCTGATATAAGACCTCTTCAAACAATGTCACTTACTGTTGGTCTGGAAAGTTCTCTGCATCTGTTCGACGGGAATATCCTTGAAGTGCTCAGCAATGTGCTGTTCACCGGCATTGTTGACGAGAATATCAATAGTACCGAATCTGTCAACGTGTTTCTGAACAGCCTTCTTCACTTGCTCGACGTCACCAATGTCCAAACCGACAGTCTCGACTTGGCACTTGTTGTTGCCTTCGATATCCTTCTTGGTGTCGAGAGCGTCCTTCTCTTCACGAGGATGGTAGAAGATGGTGAGACCATCAACACCTTCCTTGGCAAACAAGAAAGCAACAGAACGACCAATACCGGAATCACCACCTACAATTGCGTAACAAAGTTTAATCATTTGAATGCGTTAGGTATCCGTCGCGACGATGTTAGTGCTTACCAGTAACGATAGCCTTCTTTCCCTTCAATTTGCCAGCAGCCTTGTATGGCTCCAATTTGCCTTCGTCACCGACCATATCATAGTTGATGGGGTGAGGGTTCATTTCATGCTGCAAACCGGGCTGGTTCTGGGTTTGACCGGGAAAATCGGAAGAAACTTGGTTAACGTTTTGAGCCATGATGAATTTATGTGTGAGCAGGAATTATTAATGTAGAAGTAGAAAAAAAATGGGTTACCCTTTTTATAATTGGTTTCTTTCGCTTTGGAAAGCACTACGTCAGGATTATATCTTTGCTGTGAAGGAGTAGTGACTGTAAGTTTCAGTCATGACTTTCCTATTGCGTGATGCGAGACCAGTGTCATGGTTATGGCAAATTTCGAGACTTTTGCCTAATTCGTCATGAGCAGTCCCATCCTGTTTTATGCGGCGGAAACTCGTTTGCACTCAAAAGAAAAAAAAAAAAGCTGCCATGCCTTTTGAATCCCTTGCCTAACCTCATACTTGGAACTCAGAAGTCTAACTTGCTTGAGTTCCGGACAACAATCATCCGAAAATACTCATATAGAAATCTCTGCAATCTGCATGGCGCCAAATCCATTGTAACAGAATTCAATTAAAGCCAGACAATTTTTTTTTAAAAAAAAATCAATGACCAAGCTAGATATGTAAAACGTCAGATAGATAGATAAGATAGAAACAAAATGGAAATAGAGAGGTAGAATGGTAGTTAGTAAATGTGGATGTTGTCAAGTCACTCTTAAAACCTCACACGATTATCAGTTGCCCGGAAGAACCTGGACTACGCAGTGCCAGTGCATTGCAGGTCAACATGGAGAGCACGCCGCCGGAACCGTCGATGGTCGGTAATTCTTGCAATCCGATTGAGGAAGTCTCAGAGCATCAAGGATAAAAACTCTGAATGTCCCTTATCTTTGAAAACAAAATATTAACATACTAAATCAATATTACGCAATGTCGCACATATACGGTATGCCATAAAATGGACATCAAGTTTTAAAACGACTTCTCTTGACTGAAGAAAAAATGCAATTGTACTGAATTTTTTTTTTTTTTTTTTTTTTTTTTTGCGTGGCTATTATTCCTCTGCATATTATTTATCTTCACTGAACGTCGTTTTATGATAATATAACTCTTACAAAACGAACAGCACCAGCAAAAAAGTATGCATCTGGTGCTGGGAAGCCGGAGCTCGAGCCCAACTGCTTATCTGAACAGTATTCTGGAGCAGTCACACGAGTGTCCCAAATTTTCTGCTCGATGGCGAAAAAAAAAAAAAAAAAAAAATTTCAACTCGAGCTTTTTTGATCTTGACATCAAAAACTCTTTTGTCATGCCTGCACAACAGCGGAAAGGAAATAAGGCGGCACGATCGAAAGCCGGCTCGAAATTTAAAGGCAAAGGGCGTCAATCGAAGAACGAAGTGGTTGATGTGTACGAAGCCGATTATAACGAAAGTTTATCGAGAAAGGGTCATGATCTAGACGAAGTGGATGACTTTGAATACCATGCTGGCGAGATCAAAGGGTCAGATGACGAAGAAATCGATTCCGACGAAGCTTTTGACGAATCCGATGACGAAAGATTTGATCATTTCATGTTTAAAGGGTCCACTAAAGTATGTCATGTTTCTCATTTGGACAGTCCCCCTGAAACAGCACTAATTCGCCTGTTGCCATTTTGTATAGCCTTCGGAAAAGAAGAAACTTTTGAAATCGGCCAAGCGATCGCTTGGAAGTGACGATGATGTTGACGAGGAGGAGGAGCAAGAGATCGATTTGAACGAATCCGAGAGTGACAGCGATCGTGACGACGAAGATGAGGAGGAGCTGGAAGATGGCGAAGGATTTGTCGATTTATCAACGATGCTGGACAATAACGACGAAGATCAGGGCGCTGTCGTCAAGCAACTGATGCCCCAACAAGCCGAAAGCGAAGAAGAGACATGGCATGGTTTCGGTGATCTGGCTGGAACAGATGCCGAAGAGAGTGAAGCTGAGGAGGAGGACGAGGACCGTATGAGCGAAGATGAAGATGAAGACGAACAGGACAAAAAAGTGGTTCGATTTATCGATGCTTTGGAAACCAAAAAGCGCAAGCGAGGCGATGATGAAGACGGTAAACGCAAACGTCCGATTGCCGAAAGAACCGAAGCATATCAAGAGTCCGAGTTCAATTTACCCGTTCGATCCTCTGGAACATCGGCGGTGAAGAAGAAACTGGATTTGGGCGACTTGATGGATTCAATGGCCGACGAAGCCTCTTTTGGTACGTTGCGCAAGAGTCTCGAAGAATTGGAAGGAAAAGGCAAAGGTGTCGTCAAGAGCGCACTCGATGCTCCTCTGCCAAAACGTATCCAGGATCGTCTTGAACGTCAAGCCGCGTACAAGGAAGCCACCAAAGAAGTCAGCCGATGGGACACTACTGTGAAACAGAATCGTGAAGCTGAACATTTATTCTTCCCTCTGCAAGCTCCTCCCTCTGAGAAGTTGTCGAACAAGGTCATGGGGGCCAAGTTTGAGCCGCAAACCGATCTCGAGAAACAGATTCACCAAGCTCTCGAAACCGCCGGCATGAAAGACAAGGAAGTCGAAGCGTTCGAAGCTTTGCAATTGAACAAGTTGTCGGTGGAGGAGGTTGAAGCTCGCCGGGCCGAACTTCAAATGATGCGAGAGCTCATGTTCCGTCACGAAATCAAAGCGAAGCGTTTGAAGAAGATTAAGAGTAAGAGCTACCGCAAGTTGCAACGCAAGGAAAAAGCACGATTGGAACTTCAGGCGAATCAGTTATCCAATGTGGATCATGAAATGTCTCATGAAGATCAGTTAAAGGCAGCAATGGATCGTGCAGAAGAGCGCATGACTTTGAAGCACAAGAATACCAGCAAGTGGGCGAAGCGTGCGTTGGCCCGTGGACAACAAGATGAAGGTACACGCGAAGCTATCATGGAACAATTACGAAGGGGTGAGGAGCTTCGACGTAAAGTGCAAGGCTTGGGATCGGATGACGATTCCGATGCCGGAAGTGATCAAGATCAAGATCTTGACAGCGATAACGACGTATCGAATGCCTTGTCCCAAATGGAGCGTGAATTGGACGAGGATACGCAACCTAAGAAGGGTCTATTCCAAATGAAGTTTATGCAAGATGCCGAAAAGAGAAAGGAGCAAGCGAATAAGGCCATGCTCGAAGAATTTAAAAACGAATGGCTTGCCCCTGACAGCGATGACGATCAGCCAGCAGAATCCCAGGAATCCAACTTTTCCCATGTCCAGAACAATCCTGGTCGTATGGCTTTTGGTGCGAAAAAGGTAAATACATATACACACACTAACTGCAGTATATCTTCTCTCCGACATTTTATCTGATCGAAATGATGTTCTTATTAGAATGAAACTAAAAACTCAGAGACAGAAGAGACAACCAAGTCGGAGAAACGGTCAGTGGGTCTTAACGAGGCTGGTCAAGTCAAGAGCGTATCACATTCAGCATCACATAATACTCGTACTTCCGGTCCCGTCAACTTGAAAAATAAGAGCCCGTTGGCCGAATTGGATGATGATCAAGCGGAGAGTAATCCTTGGCTTCAGAACGATACCTCACGTCTTGCAAAGAAGGCTTCCAAAAGCAACAAAGCCATCAACGGCAAGAACGAAACCAAATCCGAGCAAAATATTTCCAAGATTAAGAAGAACAAAAAGGAAGCACAAGCACTGCAAGATACCGAGGATGTTGAAATCGATCTTTCCAAAGCATTGACCGTTAAGAGCCCAGCCAAGAAATCGGAAGCCAAGGCGGTCACTGTGTCGGTTGCAGAGAATGCCTCGGATGATGATGATGAAAGTGACGATGACAAGGCCGTGGAAAACGCTATTGTGCATTCATCAAAGGTCGCCTTTAGCCAGCGCGAGCTCGTGGCCAGAGCTTTCGCCAATGACAACGTGGTAGAAGAATTTGAAGAAGAGAAGCGGGCTACGATCAAACAAGACGATGATAAAGTGGAAGATATGACGTTACCAGGCTGGGGCGATTGGTCCGGCAAAGGAATCAAGAAGAGAAAACGCACCCGACCGGAACTGCTCAAGAAAACCAAGGGTATCAAGCCCGAACAGCGCAAGGATATCAAGTTGGCCAATGTCATTATCAATGAGAAGCGAAACAAAAAGGTAACTTGTCTTATTTTCAAACATGGCTGTAGCAACGTCATGGGAACTAAACTGATCTTTTTGAATTCAGGTTGAAAAATACCAAGTTACCAAGGTTCCGTTCCCTTTCCAGAATATGGAGCAATACGAACGTTCTCTGCGTGCCCCTGTTGGCAAGGAATGGAATACACGCGATACTTTCCAAAAGATGACCAAGCCAAGAGTCATGACCAAGCTTGGTACTGTCATCGATCCTCTCAGCGCCCCATTCCAGTAGACTTGCATTTATTTGATTTGTAGTATACATCATTTTTTTACTTTTTATTTCCTTCATCATACAACTTTTTTTTTCTCCGTCAACTTCACAATTAAATATTGATCTGAACTCCTTTCGCTACAAACATTTTCAATACATCCATAGCCGCACTTCGTACAGGGTTGACGTTGCAATGCTTAACAATATCTACTAATTGCGAAGGGACGTTCTGCTTTACAAATGCGTTGGCGGCGTCTTTGTCCAGTTCCTGAACCATGCAGCGAATAATTTCGATGCCTCGGTGTTGAATTTCGACATTTTCAGCCTTTTCGATCAGTCGTGCTACGCGTTCGTAACCTCGATCGACCTTGGAGATCATTTCACATACACTCTTACTGTTGGATAGAATCGCCAAAGCCCCTGAAGCAGCTCGGCGTGTGGCCATGTCTTCGTGGTCTGAAAAGATGAGCAAAAGCCGGATCTTGTTCTGCGATTTCGGGTCGCTGTAGTTTTCAAATACGGCTTCGCAAAATGTCATATTGCACACCATCTCTGTAGCTGCGCGCTGGATCATTTCATGGTTGGATAACTGCAGGTTTTCAAAGATCGACATGCCATCTTCATCCACAATCTTTGCTCGTACATCGTCGCTCACAGAAGCCAAATTCGTCAACGCCATCAAACCTTCGAATTGGCGTAGTTGCTTTTCGTCTTTACATAACCGCAGAAACGGTTTCACCAGACTCAGCGATTGCTGGGCCCCAAAGGCCAACCTTGGATCGGATGTAATAGCCAACTTGGCCAATGCTTGGGCTGCAATAATGGTATGTTTGTCCTCTGTATGACTCTCACTTTTGCCGGCTGCTAAAGATAACAATGGCTTGACGATGCCTTGCTGCAACAACTTCCCACGGCACGCTTGTGGGGTAACGAGATTCAGGTACGTTTGACTCGCCACCCATCGGATATTGGCACTGGTATTCTTGGAGAGGGCTATTAATGCTATGGCAACACCGCTGTCAATGGTTGTTTTCACACGAACTTCGACAGCCTTGTTCGTTTCCAAAGGATCATCTTTTGGTACTGCGGTCTTGCTCTGTTTCGCATTGGCTAAGTCGCGTAGTTTCTGAACTTGTTTTTGTTGTTCGTCAAGCACTGGTGGGTACATGGTGATATTTGCAAAAATGGTGCCGATACCGAACAGAAGCGGATTATTCTCGTTATCGTGGACAGCCAAGGAACCTAATGCTTGCATAAACTGGCTATCGCTGACCAGGGCTTCTTTCACCTCGGATTGCAAAGACGAATAGGCCAACCCTTCGACCGCGTTCAAAATAATTGTAGCATCATCCGGCGGATTCTTGACAACCTGTTTCAGTGCGGTCACAAGATCGGCATCCTTCAAATTCATTCTTTGCATGGCCTCTTGCAGTATGGTGGCCGAGTCTTTGGTGTCTGTTTTACCAGCTGATGTGGCATCGCTGCCGGAAGCTCTGAGTTTCGTCAAGGTGGTACCAGCGACAGCCCTGAGACGATCATCCGTTGTCTTGCTTCCGGCCAATTTAGCCAACCATTGACTAGCGTACTGAACAATCGCTTTCTGACAAGATTTATCGGTCGAAGCGATAGCTAGTACTTCGGCGACGGCAATTTGTACGTCCAGCGTTTCAAACTCGACAACGTCGACCATTTCTTCCACCACCCCTTGCTGACTCAAGATCGCTGCTCCGGCCGTCATGCTGGTCTGGAAAATCGCTGACAAGGTACGGTAGGCTAATAATTTGTCGTTGGTTTTCCCCGATCCCACGCAATGCGAGAAACATTGGCCGCATTGCTCGATGATAAAGTTCGTCGGATAATCCGATATATCCGGTGAAGGATTGAATAATTTGGTGAGTAACATGAATGCTACTGTCCGTACTTGGCTCGCATCTTCCGGATTGCCACACGACGTTAGCACTTGAATGAAATCCGGAGAACTGACAAACGCTTTCACATTCTTGGCAGTGGATAGTTGATCCAGGTACGACCGGAACCGATCTACCCGAGGATCCTGCGATGTTTCCAGAGGTTTGGAAGATTGCTTCTCAGGCTCCACTGATTCTGTTGCACTGTATAACTGCTGTATAAATTTTTTCGTTTCTTCGTTGGCGGGATCTTTCTGAACGGCCGTCTTGGCGTCTGCCACAGCTAATTCCATACGTCCCATGGCCTTGTAGACTTCGGCTCGTTTAACCAAAATAGATGCGATCTTCTTGTCATCGTCACGATGCGTCTCTAAGTCTTTGAGTGTGGAAGGCAGTAATGAACATCTGCAATTTCTAGGTTCGGTTCTAGCAAACCTTACCCTTACTGAAGCCTTCGAGTTGGGTCTGAAAGTCAACAAAAGAAAAAGCATAAACGTTAAAGACTTGGGTCGATGGCAAATTTTGTCCACTCTAATCAAACCTGTAAAGATTCTGATAGAAAACCAAGTTACACATTAAATACAGAAATTGTAGTGAATGTATGTAATTACCTTTTGACATGCCGAGATGTGATAGGGGAAAGCTGGGAGAAGGACCAGTGACAGCTCTGCGTTGGAAAATCTTGAATGCGCGCACAGAATTTTTTTTTTTTATATATATATATATATATATATACAGAAGTTCCGTTTTTGGACGCTGCCCAATTTTATATCTTTCTTCATGGCACAATCCGTTGGCACGATCCAGCGACGATTGGAATCGGTCCTTGATGATTTCAAGCAGGCTCGAACTTACTGGCACGATATCAACCGGGAAGGGTTTTCCAGAGCCAACACGCTTGTCAACGCAGTGATTCAATCACGGTAAATCACCATGGCCAATGGGCGAATCCAAACTACGCGTTTAGTAACAAACCGATCAGATATGTAGATAACAATGCTTATTGGCATCCGATGCTAGTCATGGAATTTCCTGATCTTAAACGCGCGTACGATGGGAAAATGAAGATCATCATCCGTCGCCATGAGGAACAACTGTCGGATTCTCTGCGAAAACTGGTGAGCAGATACACTGTACCGTGAAGGGTAAAATCAGAAATTTAACTATTCCAAACAGGCACGGCAACATGATAAAATGCAAGGATACCTTGTGGAATTGCAAGCTATTTATAAGAGGGCCCAGCAGCTATTCGATGCCCCCGAGGTCATGCCGCTTTACCGTACATGTTCACTCTCTGTTTTTGGTAAGTGGTATTGCAATCTTAGTAGACCAAGGCTGGGTACTGATATGTGTCCGCTGCAGTGCAACGATCAAATGATATAGTGGCGATGTATTCGAAAGAGCTATCGACGAAACAGATGATGCTAGGCTTAAACGGTCTCCAGCATGTGAAGACGCGCGAGGAAGGTTTGACATTATTATCGATATGGCTAAATGAGCCCAGAATTCTCGAATCTGTCATTCAGGAATTTGAAGAAATCTGCTCGTTCGAAATGGACACCGTTTCTGCATGATACCCATTACTTCCATATTGGACAAAGACCAAAGGTAGCAACGCCAAGAGGAGAGCCAACCTAAATGGAAATTAGTCGTTGCTGTTGACGCATCTTTTTATCGGTTTAGAATCAACTATTCACACTTGCCCTGGATTATTGCGTCAGTTTTCAAAGAAAAACCACACTTGCCTGAAATCGATGGGATTATACCAAATATCCGGCTATCCGGCTACAGGACGGTGACAGCTTCACAGTGAAACAAACCATCTACAATATATCTTACTTTAGTTAGATTTCTTTTACTAGCGTATTAAATTTATGTATTGCCTTTTTTTTTCGATAAAAGATGAACAAGTCCATGGATTCCGATCATCCCAGAAACGGCAATTCGATTTCAGAGAGCGCCGTGACTGTGACAACTGTCGCTCGCGGGAACGACAGTTTTATGCTGAAGCTGTCAGTTTTGTCATTCTTTTGCTTCGCGTCAAAAAAGCCAATGTTGCCATGATAGCTCACAATGAAGTGTTGCAATGGGCTGAAAAAGTGTATGAGCACTTGCAGTTGGTCGATAAGCTTGACCAATCAATAAATGGGGTGGCCCCTGAACTGAAGAAGATGATCGCTCTCCACTCAATCCATCCTGTCATGCTCAAAGAAGTGGTGACTCAATTCATCAACTGGAAGCCTGATAAGAACTGCAATAAATCGCTCAATGAACTCAACCAGCGGCTAGACGATGTCCTACTAGTGTTATGCGACGGTAACTATGGGATACTTGCCACGAAGAAACAAAATCTCACGTAACTGAATATTTGGGCTATTGGCGCGATAGATCCTGAAGATTCAAGTGATACGCCTGTCAACGTACCGTCCAAACGATCTTCTTCGTCGTCAACGAACTCATCGCCGGTACAAAATAAAAAACTCAAAAACTTGTATAATTCGACACCAACGAACGAACTGCAGCAGATCGACGATGTCAATATCTTGTGCAATCCACCGGAGGAAAAACTTCAATGCCTGGTCGATTTACCCTGGATTATTCTCTTTGAAATTGCACGATTTATAAAAATGTGGAATATCTCATGGGACTATATTACGGTGGACGTACTTAACGACTTCGCCAAAGTCGCTAGGCAACAACCCCGCAACCTATTTCATGCAATGATGCAATGGTATCAAGCTGAAAGTGGCATCGTACCCAATCCGACAACGTACGCTATTATGGAGCGATGTTCAGAAAAGGTGTGGACGCATTACGAAGCTTCGGATACCGAAACATCAGGCATGATCCATTATTACGGCGTCATGGCGTTGACAGCGATGAAACGACCGATCATTGGCATGAAAACTCCCAAAGTAGCCGCGTCGAATCGATTCTTTCGAAAATTTCAAGATCATCGGTTCCTGGAGCTGAAGCTTAACAAGGGGTCACATACATCACTCATTCCCGCACACAGAGAATACTTCTTGAAACCCTTTTTATTCATGGGCCGAACTTACCAATTTTTGTTCGTAAAAGACGACCGGATCGTTTTATTCGCGACAGAAGGCCCGGGATTGGAGACACTCAGCATCCGGCAAGTGGTTGATTGGCATTTGCCCATCACCGAGAACAGCAACATGTCAATATCGAAATATGCAAGTCGCATGCTATTGGGTTACAGTAACAGTATGCCGACGTTGGTGTTCAAGCCGGAAGAAATACAGTACATCGACGACGTGCACGCTGATGCCACTGGTGGCGATGAAACGTGTCTCACAGACGGATCTGGAATCATATCATGTACTGCCATGCAAAGTATTGTGGAGCTGTATCGGTACAAGGACAAGCTGCCATGTGTTATTCAAGGGCGTATTGGTGGTGCCAAAGGCGTGTGGATTTTATCTCCTGATATGGATTTTTCTTCCGGCCACTGGATCAAAATTCGCTCCTCCCAAAGCAAATTTAAGACCGGGTTTCTTCAAAAGGATGGCAATATTGACCCGATCCATTACACATTTGATCTTGTCAAAGAATCTATATGTATCTATCCTTCCAATCTAAATACGCAATTCATTCAATGTCTTTCGGCGGGTGGTGTGCCGACGAGTGTTTTTATCGAACTGCTGAACGAGTGTCTGGATCGCGTTCTCTCCGTGGTGACCGAGAACAACAATATCAAGCTTCTTCGTGATTGGGTCGGCAGAGCAGGCAACATCATGCATGCACGATGGGAAATGGAAACGGTCGATAAAGAAGGTGGCTCATGGAAAGACCATCACTCCGTAGACGACGACCACAGTAGCGGCGTTGCAAATGAAGATGGCGTGGAATCTTCTCGGAAAGCCTCGGACTACTGGAAAATCAATAGCTATTCGGGATTGCCCGCTTCCCTACACGAATCAGTGGTCCGTCTTTTGGATTCTGGCTTTGATCTGACGAATCCGTTTCTCGCCAACAAAATCACCAACGTGTTCCGTGATGTCATGCAGTCAATTGCCTCCAAGTACCGCATTGAGGTACAGCAATCTTGCACGGTTACCTGTATTCCCGATCCCACCCACTCTTTAGAACCTGGCCAAGTCTTTCTTCAACTTGCCAACCGGCGTGTGGATGAACGAACTGGTATCCGTGCAGGCCTGGTATTGGGAGATTTGATCGTGACTCGCAATCCCTGTGGACTGAAAAGCGATATTCAGAAAGTGAAAGCCGTGGATTGTCCTGCCTTGCGTGTTTACACGGATGTCATTGTCTTTCCTGTCAAAGGTGAAAGATCGCTTGCAAGTATGCTAGCGGGCGGTGACTACGATGGTGATATTGTAAGTGGTATCCGGGGAAAAAAAAGGTCACGAAATTAACGCAATTTTTTCTAGGTATTTTGCTGTTGGGATCCTCGGGTTGTTGATCCTTTTCAGTCATCGCCGGTTCCTTCGGAATTGGAAAAGGTGAAAGTTGCGTTTGAGCAAAACAAGGCATTGGTGCATCAAGAAGTGACGTGTCATACGTCGGAAAAAGAGCAAGAAAAAGCGCTTCAAAGTAATTTCATCTCTGTAGCTTTGCCGGATGGAACGCTGGGATTGTACGAGAATTGGCGTACTGTGCTAACCGAGATCACCTCTTTCGATAACCCTGACGTGACCTATCTGGGCCAAATGTGTGCCAAACTCGTGGACGCCTCCAAACAAGGTTTGACGTTGAAGCCAACGGTGGCCACTCGAGATCGACATACTTTTGGTAAAATTCCTCATCCGGAATGGTATATCGAGAAAAAGAACAAGCAACGCGAAAAGGATCTGCGATCCTACTTTGATACGAATCAAGATACGATCCCCGTGAAGCGGCCCGCCAGCACGACCATGGACCATTTGTATCAGGTGGTGATGGAGAAAACCAAGAATTTTACACGGTACACCAAAAGTATATTCAGAGAAGAAGACATCAACTTCAAAGATCCTCACCTTGCGGATCTGTGGAATGACACCTATGACATGGCTCATCGAACCGGTGATCGGCTGTTACAGGCGGACCTGCGGGAGATGGAACAATTTATTGATACGCTGCATGAAAGATTTCTGAAAGATTCACGACAGCTGTGGTTACTGCGGCAAAAGAAAATGGACAGTCGATTCGATCCTGCACGGCCTACGGAACCCTTTCTGGACGATTACAGTCAATTCAATACGGCCTTTGAGCTTGAAGAACATTATGCGTGCGAATTCTCTAAATTACCCAACGAAATGGAATACAAGTCGCCATTGCTGATTTTTGACCGACAAGCCAACCGCAGCCAATTAATTCAAATGTTGAAAGCCAGCTACGCCTACATTCGTACAATCCACTCCGAGAAATACGCCAAATTCGGCTACCTGGTAGCCTATGATACCCTCCGACGAATGAAAGCTGATGCATGTGCCAGCAAAAGCACGGGTTTGGGTGAAAGCGTCGCTCCGAATATGTACACCACCCTCAGCATTGACCGGTTCTGGATCCGAAAGCATAAGGAGGCACGCACAAGCGAAGACAGCAAACCGCTCGTTCGATTATCCGTGATTCCTGTTACTTCTCCAAACTAGTCCATACTATTCACCCATGTCTTCTTTTTTTTCCTACACTCGTTCTTCCATTCCACATAATCTACATTTTTTTTCAATATAATGACGTCCCAAAAAAGTGTCCGCCCGGTCAAACAAGGGAGAAAAACTCCGAGATAGACGAATGTGATGAATGGAGAGAAAATTTGTGAGCCAAACTATTATTTGCTGTTTTCTTTCTGTTATTATCATCATCATCATTGTTGTTGTTGTTTTACAATACATTTTTTTTGTTTTATGCAACACTTGCCTCATTTGAATGACAAGTCAATCAACTGAGCATCGCATGGCGGAAATGGAGGAAACCAGCTCCTCCGCGATGTTGTCCTCTATACCGGCATCCATACCTCCTACATTATCGTCTTATGCTTGTGAAGCTGATCGTTCCACCGTCCCCACCGAACAGGGCGATAACGGTTCAGCCACGGCCATTCACTCTCCTTCCAATCCGCCGAGCACGTACTCGCCACTACCTTCCCTGCAAACATACCCTGAGTCTGAAAACAACGAGCTGCAGGACAATCACTCCAGCAAGATAGCCCCGGATAAAACACGTATCGCATTGTTACTTGTTTCCGGGGATCGACATACGTTTGAGTTCTCACTTGATGATACCGTATCTGGAGCGAAAACATACATATTCCAGCATTGGCCCTCAGGTAAGTGAAGAGAACTACATAGTGGGCTGGATGGACCCAGTTGGAATTCATGCGGTTCTCCTTTTTGGCCTTGCTTTTTTTTATCAGGTTGGTCAGATAAAGCCCCGGATTCACCTGATAATTTGGAGCTCGTTTATCTTGGGAAATTCCTGGAAAACCCCTCAACTTTAGGATGTAAGTTATCCTCAATTCATTGGTTGGAATCATTCGAGCTTGATACCCTTTCCTCACCTTTTTACTTGAAGCTAATCGATTACCTGGTGGTCAAGCAACCATTGTCCACCTCGTTATTCGGCAGCACCACAAGCAACCAACAGACGGTAAATGATTTTTTAGTACCCTATTTAAAAAGGCTGGAAAGACCTTACTGGACAATTTTGAATTAGATGCCGTGGATTCTGATAATATACCTCGATGTAAATGCTGTACTATACTCTAACATCTTCATCCCCATCATCCACTATATACCTTTTTTTTTTCTTTTTTCTGCGCTCTTTATTCGGCCTTCATTTCGTCTTGTGTTTTTTCTTTGTTTACTGTAATACTTTGCTCGATATTCAATTAGGATCCTTTTTGCTGCTCGCGTAATAGATGTTGAAGGCGGGCTCCCTTGTATTGCTGGATAAAGTTCTGGTCAAAAACCCTCACTTCTTTCCCAGCTTGGCATTTGTTTTTCTCCAAGACATTGTAAACTCGAAAGAGGAATGGATGGCCTTGAAGTTAAGCTCCCAAGTCTTTATCAACATGGTATTTGGCCGTCGCCCACGCAAGGACGGCAACCGTTCAACGAGAAGTGGAGGTTGTGGTCATTTAGTTGCTTTTTCTTTTCTGGCGTTTCTCTTCCGCTGTTGTTTCTTTGCTTGTGTCCCCTTTTTTGGACGTATCAATCTTCTCTTTTGAGTCCTTTCTGATGCCTGGGTTTTCTTCGATTATGTTTCCCGCCTTTGTACCACCTGGCTATTGTTTGGCTCTCCAGGTTGCGGACCTCTGGGATGGGCAACCTCCAGGGGTTACGGTAATTTTAAAAATCTCAAGGGTGAACAGTATGAATAGTTTACTGACGCTCTTTTTTATTATCTCTTTTTCTGCTTGCTTTTATTTTTCGGTCACTCTAGTAAACGATCAATAAAAAAAATGCGATTTTCTCAACTGTTTTGAGTTTTTCGTCTTGGACAAGTAATTTTCACGTCCGCTTATTGGATTTTAACGCCAAATCTAATTAGCTACTGTCTTGCATTGTGAGCGATGATTAATCTGTAACTGGAACATACTGTGAAAACACATAAGGAGACAGTACTCGCAATAAGCATTTGTAGCCATGTTCACCTTTAGCGTCATGGTATATTACGAGCTGCAGTTTATGCTCAGTCAAATGCATAACAGTCGATCGGACCTTTAGCGGATATCGGCTGCCAAAGCAAATATCATAAACAGCATTATCCAGTCTTTGTTGTGGTCTTTTGTTAACTGTGACATGCATTGATAAAATCCAACTAATTATAGCTCATTCACAGCAGTACAGTATTTTTACTTCTCGGCTGCAGTTGATTCCCAACTTCAAAGAAAATCAAATGCTCAGCCATATGATACTGCAACATGAACCCTTAAAACCGCAGGGGATCATCAGAAAATAGATCCTACGCAGTATTTGCACTTAAACTACAATATTTCTCACATATTGATTGTCATGACATACAACTTGCTACAAAATGTTCGCAGGTCCATTGGAGGTGATAATTATTCCAAAGACTCTTCCAGAAGCAAACATGACGGCAGACAAAAACGAATTTGCGCGATTTTCGGAATCTTCATTGCATAAGCCTAGGTGAACAAATACAAGAAAAAAATTACGGAACAAGATATGCAATGGCCCCTCTTTCTTTTTCCTTTTTCTGGTCGCTTCTGATCTATAAGGATGGTGCGTGATCCAAATTGAGCAATTTTAAACATCCAAATTCCCAAACTCGGAAACTCAAGAGAATAAAAGTGTGCATAATACAAAAGTACGATAGCATAGCTGAGCCAAAATCGAAATCACCGTATGGTAAATATAGTGCCCTTTTGCTGGACCATGGAGCCTAAATGCTGCATAACACACCAGCATGGCTCGACGATTTTACGGTTTTGCAGTGCAAACAAAAGCAGACGCACCTAAAAGAATATATTAGAACCTTTGTCAGTGAAATAATCAAATTATAATAAGCTTCAAATTTGCAATGACGAGTTTGTATGTATTCAAAGAGAAATATAGCCACAAGTAGAAGGATTGTTTCGGTCTGTATTTACAAACCCTTATGGTATACCTCTTTTCATAACGATGGATTTTTATACAATGCGACATTCATGGTACGCCTCCTATATGATGAGCATAGAATAGCCATCTTATGTAACCGTGTCTTGGCGTGCATAGTCTACGGATGGTCGTTACAGAATTCGGATAGCTGAATATCTGTTTTCCGCTTTTGTGAGTCCAGGGATTTCTGTTGATTCTTGGTCAAATTTCATTTTAAATGCTTGGATTGTCCATTTGCATATTATCAAGTGCTTGAAACTGGTAAAATGATGACAACACCCCTGGCCCTGTCGCGGTAAAAAGGAAAAAGAAAAAGAAAGAAAAAAAAAACCTCCTTTAACTATTCTCTCCCCCCTTACGTACTTTCCGTTACGAGACGGTGCTTTGGCATTCCATTTATTAATCAAGTGCTCTGTGCCACGTAATCCCTGCATCAATTAAAGCAAAGCTCATCTGCGGGGCGGTTTTCTTTTTTTTTTTTTGTTTCCTTCTGTGTGTCTTCTTCCATTTTTTTCTCTTTCTCTTTTACTATGCCAGAAACACTTCCATTGCTATCGTTGATCGATGTTCAAGGATGGCCTAAAGCCAATATTGAATCTTTTGCGGAAGAACTACTAAGGCTGTATGATCACCGTGCAGCGACAATAAAAACAGAAGTATTTATACCCCAAAAGCCGATAATTAGAAAGGTAATCTTTTTCAGTTACAATCATGGATAAAACTTTGGATCCGAGGATTTAATTATGAATGTCTTCTTCGCAGGACGATACATGTACATTACCCAGCTCTGTATACGAACCACTGTCGAATGAAAAGAGCCAAGATAGGAAACCCAGTTGTCGCTTGCCAGATGATCCGCTATCCAGATTTCTTAACAGTGCCATCAATGATCCATGCTTTGTCATGGATTACAATCCCAATGACGACGTTCGTACCACCAAGTTTACAACACAGTCATGCATATCATCACCCACTGTCAAAGATAGTGAATCACTCGGAGAGACGCTCAACTCTGGCCATCGGCAACAAAGAAATATATTGAGGAAATCATCTGCTTTTTTCCGGCAACGAGTAACACGCTTGAAGCTGAAGAGCTCTTTGACTATACTTGAAGATGCACCACACACGATGGACGAGTCTACAGGCCCAACACACTATCGTAACTCGATGCCAGCAAGCAAAGTGTATAGTGTCAACCATTCTAGCGCACAATGGCCACACCACGGAAGGCGAAGTTCCGTTCCTGTAGTGCACAAAAAGAACAAAAAGCGTCGATCATTTTTAAACCATTTCTTATCAAAGTAACGAAAGCGCAGGAGCAAAGCAAGTGTACTACTGAATATTTACGCTAAATAAGCCAACCCTAAGCCTATCATGAACAGTAAAAGCTAAGTTAAAAAATATTGATTTGTATACTCCAGCACGTTGTTGAATCCACGGTCCCCGCAGCCACTTGTATGTTTGGATGTCCATTTTTGTGGGGTTTCAATTATCAGAAGCTTGGCTTAGACGGCTAAAAATTACATATGTGTTCGTTTGTCTTGAATTTCCATGCAAGGAAAAAGTATAGATTTTATAGGGCTTTGATGACCGTCACCTTGGCGCCTAATAGGGAAATAGTCGACTTTGAAATGCTAACATGCCCTTCCTGACAAAGAGCCGTATGTCTTTGCGGTTACTTTACTTCTAATTGATGGTGTGCAGGATGACTGGAATAAAGTGTTGGACAATATAAATGACGAAAAATAGTCAAAAATAGTACCATATGCTTGTAATCAGGTAATGAACAAATCACTTACTCGTCAGCCAAGGAAAAGACGTCATCATGCCCCAAATAATGTGTTTTTAAGGGTCCAATGGAATACGTTTTTGGCTTCATTGATTTACGACAAATCCTTTCGATTGAATAATTCTTAGCTTTCACTTCACCGGCATCCTTTTTCGCAAACATGATTAGTTCATTTTAGTACAGTACAGCAAGATCCGGTTTCTTTTTGGTATGGATGAATTATCCCTTTTCAACCTCTCAGATTACCATGAATTTATGTAATGACGAAGAGCACTGCATTGCTGCTCACCATGACCAGTGAATTTTGACACACGTGGAATCGAAACGGTTTCATGGCATGGAAATGAACTTGCAAATCATCTCCGCAAATTCAGGTTAATGTCTCACCTGTTGAACGTAGGGGATGGACGGACCCCGCATTTTGGGTTTTCTTTATTACTTTGTCATTTTTTTTTCTCATCCTTCCAGCATAATACAGCTTTAGTTGATTAAGCAAGCAAACTACACAATGGCTTTCTTACTCTTCCCGCACACTTTCTTTCACTTAAGAAAAAAATAATAGAAGCGTTTAGTGCCATAGGATTTATTAGTTTTCCGCATATTATAAGAACCGACAATAGACAAAATAAATAGAGATGAAATGAGTGGTGAATCCATTCAAGAGGTTTTTAAGTTTCATACAGTTGGGTAGAAGTCGACCTCAACAAGAGTCTCCCCTTTTTCGGAATGATGTTGCCTTGATTGTATGGTATGCATGAAAGAGTTTGTGAAGTTAAGCGTTGCGGACATAGCGCTGGTAGGCAATGAGACCAACAGAGGCGACTGCAATACCGGCCGAAGCCACATAAAGTGGATTTGCCAACCATGTAGAAACGGTGGGCTTAGTGACATCGTCCGTGATCATGGTTGGCTTGAGTTGCTTGGCATCGGAAATCGCTTGAATTTCGTCAAATACCGCAATATTCAGTTCAAAAGAACGAATAGCTTCGGCAACAATCATTGCTGAAATTGAAGATATCAATATCACGCCAGGTAGACCCACCGACGAAAACAGCACCATGTGCCCAAAAAAAAAACTGACCTTTGGTGCGAGAATTCACCTGTAGCGTATCGAGCCTTTCGCGATACAATGTCTTGAACTGATTATGGTTGCCAATGTTATTGAACTGGTAAAAATGGAGACCATCCTCCGAATCCCAGGAGGCATCATCCTTTTCAAGGTTGAGCACATGTTTCTTCAAACGTCTCGCCAAGATTTGTCCACCTAACCATGAAAATGAAGTTCAGTTTTTGAAGGGCAATACATACACAGCATTTGAAATATCCTACCGCTCAAATCTCCCAAATAGCGGGAATAGCTGTGAGCGACGAGAAGGAGCGGATCGACACTGCAGGCAGCTTCCAATGACTGCACATAAGCCTTCACAGCCGGTGTCATCGAGAGAGGCGAGGTTAATTCAGGGAGACGCTCCTTGCCGTAGTAAAATTCGAGATCTAGAATAGTATCCAGTGAGAAAACAAGATTGCAACCATTATTGTGATCAGTGACCTCATGACATACCATTCAATAAAGCTTGCTCTCGCTCCAATTCAGTAGGAAAACAAATGTTTTGCAGGACAGGATGATTCTTGTGGCTACGCAACAAACGCTCCATGGTGCTACGTCACAAGTACGTCTATTAGTAAAAGCCGCCTATCGCCACCTGCAACATAGATCCAGTTACCTGTAGATAAAGTAAAGTGAAGAAATATACTGTCCATATTCGTCCTTGGTAATGTCGCCTTTGAGAAATTTCCTATGATATGATGCTGGACCGTCAGTCAACTGATCATCTGGACCAAGGGCAAATGATCCAAAGGTTACTTTGTGAACACACTGCTTTCGGCAGCTCGGTGAACCACCTTGGTTCCTTCTCTCATGGCCGAAGCAAGTTCGGGGTTTTCAAGGATAGGATCATCCTGTGCAGCCATACTCTTCTTTGAGACCAACGTATAATGACTCATGATGCTCTTCATTAATCCATCACCGTGGATAGCACTGTCATCTACGAAACAGGGTTTTTTTCAGCAAAAGATGCAAAGCTCACTAAACGATCCATATTTACCATAAACGTTACGCACAAAGGGTTCGTTTGAATGAGCAGTGAACATGTCTTCCATATCATCCTTGGCACGGCTGTTGAAAGGGCAATCGCGATCACCTAAAAGTTCCCCACATTAATGAAGTGTTCCTCATACATTACACTTTAAACAGTATATACCACTGCTAAAAGTGGGACTAATACGAAAAGAAAAGAGTCAATACGAATTGATAGCGAGAATACAATAGCATGGGCCAATATATACCATTGAGAGAGCTGCTCTGGGAGGCTCTTTTGTTGCGGTTCCTCGTGCAAGAAAGGGCATTTACCTGCGGACGAGGAAGAAGTTGAAGTGGCACAGGTCTGCTTGTCGCTCATAGTCAGTAAAAATCAATGGAACCAAAAAAAAAGAAAACAAAGAAATAGAGCTGAGAGTTGAGAGCAAGAAAAAAGAGGGGAGAACAGTAATTACGCGGAATTTTCTGCCGCGAGTTATTTTTTATCAGATTTTTTGTGCATCTTATCAGATTTTTGCTTGTCACGCTGCCGCGATCTCCGCGCAATAACGGTGAGGATTTCAAATTTGAAGCCCACCATTTGCACGATCTGATAATGAAATGGCTTTATTTTTCTCAGCTCAGTTTTTGCTGCTTCCGCGCTTTTTTCTCTTGCGAATATCCGAATTTTTTTTTTATTTTTTTTTTTACTCGCGACCTTTTTTCGAAACCACTTGATCTATTGTAGCTTAATAAATACATCCCTCGATGATCACTTGATCGCTGCTAGGCTGACCTATACTTCATTTGCGTATTGATCCTATTCGATTCTGCTTGGAGTGTTTATAACACTGGGCGCCCTATCTTCAGGTTACAAAGTCCGTTAAACACCATGGAATCAGATGAATTCCAGCGGACAATCAAAAAATAAACGTAAACCCCACAACTACCGACATGGGTCCCAGTTGGATCCCATGGATTGCCGAATGATCATACAACGTTCTTTCAATGACTGAAAATGGCATCACAAGATAGGGAATATGGATGCCAAGGGGACAGTGAACCACTGAAAGTGTCCTTGTAAACTAAAGGAAAGCAACCCAGTGATGCGGCAATTAGAGTATTTTGTGTCACAATATGATCACCAGTGATACGCCGTAAAATGACACCATTTTCCACAAACACGAACAGGGCGGACATGTTGCAGTCATTGGAGAACAGCTGCAACAGCTGAATTCATTATTTGCGCGACCGTGTTCATAGGCCGGATGATATTACTGGCTTCTCTGGACTTGTTGTCTGGCAGCTGGCGCATTATGATGATGAGCAGTTTTACAACCTCCTGTAGTACTGTTGTCTAGAAACGAAGCGTTCATTAGTAAACAAACAAATAACGATTTCGATCTCTATGACGTGAACTGTGATGGAATAAATATTTATTGTATTCAGTCCTTTTTCAATTATCTGCCTTTTTTCGGCCGGCCCATTTACTTTGGCGTAACCGACCGCTTTGACGTCGCTTTGGACATCAAATGAAAATGACCGTACTGCGAATGAGCAAAGCGTTTTTTTTTAAATGAAGTGGCATAGTCCACACGGACGGTAAACCCACTATCTATTTTATTATTCAACCGATAAAAAAGACGAGAAAAAAAAAGAATAATAAAAGGCAAAAACTTTTTTTTTCATTTTACATTTGTTTGGGCGATTAAAAAGCAAGCCTACCGACATACCTTCCAACAGTGAGCACGCTGATGGCTAGTCAGGTGCCCAAAGGGAAGAGCCGGCGGGAACCAAAAAATCCTCTTCAAAGGTGGCCAATCCTTATCATTAGAAGATGGTTTTCGGATTTTTATGCCATACCCGAATGCACTACCAAAAATCGGAGCGTTCATCCTTACCAGAAACCACCAGCCTAGCAGCCTCTGATTCCGAACTGGCACAAAGAGAAAAAAGAATGAGAAAGAACGCCCTCTTTCTATATGTTTTTGAAAAATTGTTCGAGGACCTCCGATTGTGACCTTGTTCTTGACTGCAATGCACCTCATTGACTTGATTCTCGCAACAAAACTCGCGAATTTCAGCATCTCGCACTTCTTTCGATAAGCCATGTAAAGAGGGACTGCGCCATGTCGCTCATGCTGTCATCAACAACCAATGTTCACTACAGTTCCTCTATAGGTGCAGTATAAACTATGATTGACTCCTGATTGCGACATGCTTCAGACTTTACACGTACTCTATTTTATCTTGTTGTATGCCGGGAAGTTTCCCTACCTTTGCCCTGCCCCTTTGTGTCAATTTTGTTTTTGAACCGTGTATTCAATATTGCTATGTCAATAAACGTTCACATATTACTCCACGAAACCAAGAGTACCAGTCGCAGTGTGTCATGTTGCAATGGCAACAGAACACAAAGAGCGCAATCACCAAGGTCGATGCGAGCACATTTGAGCAGGTCCGCGGAAAGGATATTCTGGACTACGTCAAAGCTAACCCTATAGATATGTAAGCGATTTAAACACGCACCAGCGCAGTAACAGCACGTATAGCTTGGTTCTCCATTTGCGATGTGCTGTTTCTTCACGTAAACTTATGATCTGCAGACCAGTGTTATCTCCTCTTGAAAAATTTGAGTTCTCCTTCTCCGCTTCCCTGCACAATAACGAAGTTGGGCCGTTTGTGCGTTGGAATCAATGAATGAATCTTGGCAAGGCACTCAAAGTCATCGCTCGAGTCTGGAATAACTTCCTGGAAATTTCAACCATCACTCTTATTATACGTTGTATGCTAAATAAAATTTGTTTTGGGAATTAACCGATTTAGGCATCAACTTAAAGGCATCCCAAGGTGATTCCAAAATCGAGCGGTGACTGTACGCTTCAGCAATGAAGAAATAGACTCAAGCATGGCGATAGTGAGCTCAGCCATACGGGCGATGCGTATTTGTTCCGTGCGATGATATAAAATGATACTTATTCTCTGACAGTGTTTTATAATCGCATCTGGATTTGTTTGTTAACGTTGAGCTACAAAATGGGACTACAAGCAAGCTTTGGAACTACAAATTGTAAAAGAAATATCTTATAACTAATGTCCCGCGGATCTGTTGGATTCAATATAGACTGCTGCTACATCGATTAATCTACTGCTACAGTAACCACACGCTGCTTCTAATTTGTGTCTAATCGCTGCTTATGGCATAAAATATTGCAGTTCGAGCCATTTCCACTTGAAATCGGAAAGAATAGCTGCCGGTCGCACAAACACGTCAAAGAATCAAATTAGACTTCCCGATTAAGACGAGTCTCTTCACCATCATGGGCAAATCCTAACAGATAACATCCGCGAGTTAACCTTGGTACATCTTGAATCATTGTGATGACCTGCTGTAAGGCTTTCAATTAACACTTAGCTCCGATATCTACGAAAAAAAAAAAATTAAGTGTCATTTGCGGCGATCCCCTCTAGCATAGCTTCTGTTTTGGTGGTTGGGAAAACAAGATAATCTTACAGACGGCTTTGTCTAGGGGAGGCCGATGCGAAATTCGCTTGACTGATGTTGCAAATTGGAAGGTAAAGTAGGACAAGAATGGTTAGCCCGGATATTAATAGAGCTAGGTACCAGGTATGGGCGTCTGGCATCGGGCCTATGTTATTCATCGCCCGATGGTTGCAGGATAATTTCGGATTCAACCCTTTCGTTTTTAACCTGGACCAAAATCGTAAGTCTGACCCTTGGTGAATGTATAGAGCTAGTAAATTAATATTAATTCAAAAAAAAGGAACCAAAGGCCCTGAAATCAAGGGCTACCTCAGGCGGTCTACTGACCAACAGGATATGCCCATCATTTTCGTTAAGACTAAGTATATTGGCGACTTTGAAGCTCTGATAAAGCTTTACGAGACCGGTGAATTGCAAGAGATGCTTCAATAAATACGTATATGTTTGTGCCAAGATTGAAACTAGCTGGTTTTAAGCATGTGATATGAATTTTTAATTGCATGTAATAAAGTTGTTTGTGGACCACTTGCAAATAGAATATGTACTGTAACTGTTACAGTATTTGATTCAAAAGAAAAAACCCATTTCACCGTAATAAGTGACTGACACGGGCCTTCAATTTTCGCCGCCACAAGATTTCGATGGAGGTGAGGCGACAATTATTACGAGTTGGTACCACAGGGTAAATAAACTTGATTCGTCCGAATCGGTATATCAGTTCTCCTTTCGATGTGGCACGCGTTGTCAAGCAAATATAAACGCTGGTAATTTTCAAAGGCTTTGTCTTCCTTGGGCATGGGAGCATAGTAGTCCATTTCCAGGAGGACATTTTTCAATCGGGGCAGCAGAGTGCTTCACCATACCACATTGGAAGCTGACAGGAAACAGTGGTGACCACGGCCCATGCGACCGCATGTGAGAATGTCCCCAAAGAGAATATTCTTGACTACGTTAAAGATGCACTTGTAGATATGCAAACGGTCAAAACGAGCATCAGCGCAGTAACAGCACTCGTAGCTTGGTTTCTCCATCTGCGATCTGCTATATCCTCGCATAAATTGATTGATTTGCAGGATCGGTGTCATCTTCTCTTGAAAATTGAATTCTCCCTTCTCCGCTTCCCAAAATGATTCCAAATCATTTGTGATATTTTGTTGTGAAAATTCATGACAGTAATATCCTGCATATATTCCAAGCAGCAGCATGACATTTTTCCTTTTGTTTCGTTGTCGCTTTACTCAACGATGCAAAACTTCCCTGTTTCTTTTTGGTCGTATAGATAGATGAACCTTTATTACAAGTAAAAGGATAGGTAAATATGAAAAGGAATACTGTATCAAAATGCAAAAGAAAAAAAAATATTATGTAAAACGGAAAAGAAAAGCAAGAAAGAAGGAAAAAAAAAAAACTTGTCTAAGAGAGATCGTGGAAATCGGTGCCAGTAATGGTCTTCTTCACGTAACCAGCACGGATAACAAAGTCACCGAAAGGTTCACCGGCCTGCCGTTCCAAAGCATATCGTTTGATGATGGGTTTGATCTCGTTCAGGATTTCTTCTTCTCGTAAGCTTTCCTTGTACAACTTGTTCAAACGTTCACCCTTATGGCCGCCACCAAGGTAAACATTGTAAGCACCAGGCGCCTTGCCGACAAACGCCAACTCGGCAAGGTAAGGACGAGCACAACCGTTGGGACAACCTGTCATACGAATGGTAATAGCATCTTCACGAAGACCCGCTTCCTCGATAGCTTGTTCCAAGAGACCCACCAACGTGGGCAAGTAACGTTCAGATTCGGCCATGGCCAGACCACAGGTAGGTAAAGCAACGCAAGCCATGGCGTTCAATCGAAGACCGCTGAAAGCAAGGTTATCCATCTTGTACTTGGCCAAAAGGGCCTTGGTCTTCTCGAGATCGGCTTCGGGGACATTGGCAATGATCAAATGTTGATTCGGCGACAAACGGAATTCACCCTTGTGCCACTTGGCAAGTTCGCGCAAACCGGTCTTGGGCTGGAAATCGGGCCAATCCTTCACCTTACCATTCTCGATAAACATACAGAAATGCCACTTGTCATCCACACCCTTGCTCCAACCGTAACGATCGGCGTTATCCTTGAATTCAAACGGACGCGGTTCTTCAAACTTGATACCAGCACGCTTCTCGATTTCCGCCTTGATAAAGTCCAAACCATGGTCGTCGATGGTGTACTTGAAACGAGCATGCTTACGGTTGGTACGGTCACCGTAATCGCGCTGAGTGGTCACCACGGCTTCTGACACAATCACACCCTTGTCAGCAGGAATATAACCGAGCATCGAGGCAGGACGAGGATAAGTCTTCTTGTTACCGTGGGTCATACCCATACCACCACCAATCGTCACGTTATAACCAATCACCTTCTTGGTAGCAGGATCCACAATGGCGATGTAACCAAGATCGTGAGCATAGATATCAACGTCGTTGTTGGGAGGCACAGCAATGACAATCTTGAATTTACGAGGCAAGTAAGTAGGACCGTAGATGGGTTCGTAATCTTGCACAGCATGACCCGCGACCAATTCGTCGGCCAACCAGATTTCGTGATAAGCGTTGGTCTGAGGAGCCAAGTGGACCATGACCTTTTCACTGAATTCTTGAACTTGAGCATGGACCTCGGGAATCTCGGTAATCGGAGTGACCATGATGTTACGGTTCACATCACCACAAGCCGCAAGAGTACTCAGGAGCGAATGGTTGATACCGCGGATGGTGCTACGAAGGTTGCGCTTGAGGATACCGTGAAGTTGGAAAGCCTGACGTGTGGTCAACTTGATAGCACCGTTGGCATACGTATCGGCCAATTCATCCATAGCGAGCCACTGTGCAGGAGTCGACACACCACCGGGCATACGCACACGAATCATGAAACTGTAAGCCTTCTCCAAACCTTGCTTCTTACGTTCTTCACGCAAATCGCGATCATCTTGACCATATGAACCGTGGAATTTCAACAGTTTGCCGTTGATTTCTTGCAAGCAACCCGTCGACTCGTCGGCCAAATCTTCAGCAATGGTACCTCTCAAGTAGTTGGAGTTGATCTTCATTTGGTCATCGGTGAGCTTGGGCACATCGTCTTCGGCACCAACATCCTTCACACCCAAAGCCTTCCAGAGTTCCGGTTGCCAGGTCTGGAAACCGGTTTCGAAACCATCAGCATCCTGATCATCACCCAAGCCAAGTTCGACAAGACGCACAGCACCGAGCGTTTCGAGCTTGGTGTCAAACTGCTTGCCGGGACGATTGTAGAAAACAGCATCTTCTTCACGAGGCCAGTAGTGGCTGTCGCCCAAACCAAAGACGGCATAACGGAGTTCAGCGAGGTTGATATCACCCACAACCAAGCCGTTCAAAGCCTTCCAAAATTCGCGAGAATTGCCCGGCATCTCACCCTGACCGGCCGTCGAACAGACAATGACAAGGTTCGTTTCACCAGCGAGATCCTGGATGTCACCATAATCATCCATAGCCATCCACTTGACTTGAAGACCGCGAGACTTGGCACGAGTGGCAATCTTCTTGGCCAAGGCTTCAGCATTACCGTTGTCGGAACCGAAAAGAACCGTGAGAGGAGGACCGTTCGCACCGCCCAGACCGGCCAACAGATTGGCATAATCTTCGCGAGCCTTGCGTTTCAACTCTTCGTGGCGTTTCTTGACATCCTAGTATGGGGTATAAAAAAATAGCTAAGCAAAAACCATCCATGCTTACTGAGGAATTCTTTTTTCTGTCAACTTACCGATTCCAAGGAGCTCACCAAAAGTTTGGAGATATCAGGCTGTTGGGCAACCAATTGGGAGAAGTGGTTCTCACGCTCCAAGAACTTCTCGAGATCCTTCTTGATACGCTGAGAGTCGAGAGTGAAAGGTTCCTTGCCGGCAGCTTCCAAGGAGGGGTTCCATCGGTAAAGGGGCCACGCACCGTTATCGACACTGATCTTGGTTTCCTTGAGGGTGTCAACAGCACTGTTGTCGGCATTCAACTGAGGCAAAAAGGCAAGCACAATGGAGGGACCTTGGTAAGCATCGGCTTCCATCAACGCGTTGAGCACACCAGTGTAGGAGGAGTAAACAGCCACGGAAGCCACATAGACCGAACCAAAGTTCATAGCATACAAACCAATGTCCTTCTTACGTTGTTCGCGTTCAACCTTGGTAGAATAGGGAATGGTATCGACAATCAACATGTTCACATTTTCACCCGAAGTAATGACATGATGCACACCGGATTGACCAATATCACGAGCCCAGGCATCCGATCCAATAAGCCAGTTGGACTTAACACTCAAGAGATCCTTCTGGGCGAGCACTTCCTTGGCAACGGCCGAGGCATCGGATTGAAGAGCCGCCACCACGGCACTGGCAGCGTCATTGACTTGCTTGGACTGAGCACCGGCCGATTTAACCACGAGCACCCACTGGGACAGAGCCTTGTAAGCATCAGCCGACAAGCCAGCCGAGGTATCCTTGACCGCTTTTTCCACGAAATCGATCAAACGAGCGCGTTGCTGGATCTTGCTCAACAATTTACCGTAGCCGTACTCGGGAGATGCAGTTTCGGGCTTGGTGGTATCGGGAGCCCAGATGGACGCACTGTTGACGGCATTGGCAATTTCGAGACGGTCGGCAAAGACTTGATCGAGCATCTTGATGTAAGGGGTCTCGACGGGCAACTTGCCGGTACCGTTGGCCTGAGGGGTAGAGGAAGCGACTTGAGCACCAGCCGAGGAAGCTTCAAGGGAAGTCCAAGAGGAAGGCACCTGAATCTTGCGAGCTTGGCTGAAAATACCAAAATCACCCTTGGCCACTTGCTGGGCGTCAACAACCACGATCGTAGCTTGCTTGTCAGCGATGGTCTTCTTCACACCGTTGGACAAACCATCCAAGTTATCATTCTGCACAGCCACGAAACCACCTTGAGCAAGAGACCGGATAGCATCGACGGCGGCACCGGTAGTGACATCCAAGAGAACCACAGCCGATGCTTCGGATACAAGCGAAGGCAACAAAGCACCCTTGCGAGAAGAGACACGGAGATGAGAAGCACCATTGACAGTATACAGTTGCACCGTCTTGTTCTGAGCGAGGTTGGCCTGGGCAAAGGAATGGGCCAACTTTTCATCGCCGACAATGATGGCTTGTTTGACGTCGCTGGGTAACACATGCAGAGCTTGCGTAGGTAAAGCATCCACCACGAAACGGCGTTGGAATTCGGATTGCGCCAACATACGGAACACAGCATCGACCATGGCCGGAGTGAAATCACGAGCCTCAACACCATACTGACCACTCACAATTTCCACATCTTCATCCTGAGCGGTCTGGTAGGCAGCGACAACGTCCAAGAAAAGAGGATTCCAGGTGGAGGTGTAATCCTGGGAAGGTTCCAACACAGCGACTCGCTTGACAGAGTTGGGAATCATTTCCAAAAAGTCGGTATCGGACCAAGGACGGTACAATCTGACTTTGAGAACACCGATTTTAGCGTCCGGGTTGGCAATACGGACATGATTCACGGTTTGCTCGGCTACTGTAGCGCCAGCGCCCATAGCAACGACCACATGTTCGGCTTCAGGATGACCAGAGTATTCAAGAGGCAAGTAGTGACGGCCGGTGATGGTGGCAAACTGAACCATGATTTCCTGAATAGCAGCATACACGTTGACGGGTGTCTTGTCAGCCGCCGCCTTGTACTGTAAATAAGCTGTTTGCGCCTGCGCGGGTTCGATGGCCTTGTATGCTTCGAGATCTTCCTTGGAAACAAACTTCAACAAAACCTCCTGATCCACAAGATCCACATTGGTGTACTCATGAGACAGGCGCTTGCTATCGAAGAAATGCAAAATGGGTGTGTTTGTTTTGATAGCCGCAACATGGGCAATCACCGCCAAATCGTGAGCTTCCTGAACCGTGGACGAGCTGAGCAATGCCAAACCACTCTGACGCACCGCCATGACTTTGGAAAAATCGGCAAAAGAAGAGTCGTTCTTGTCGCTTTCGGCCGAGACGTGAATGACCAAGCCTGCTTGAGATCCAGCAAACTTGAACAAGTGAGGAATCGCCGAGATCAATGCATTGGAGGACAATAACGCGGAAGGAAGCGAACGGGTGGCTAAAGCGTCGTGAAGGTGCGAGATCGGATCGTGTGCAGGTGAATGCGAGGATTGGACAGTTGTATTGCCCCAGATATTTTGTGCGGGAGCGGCATGAGCACCCAAAGACCTGTATGCGTAGACATGCTCACTCAATGCTTGAGCTGCCAAAGTAGAACCCGCTTGACCATCGAGAAATCGTGGACTAGACATTATGCAGAGGGGAGGATGAATTTTTTTAAAGAGAGCGAGAGCGAGGGGGGTTGTTTGAATGCTAGTCTAAAATGATGGGATAGTTGAGTTATGTACACACGCTTGGAAAAACTGCAGTGAAATAGAAAGAAGAAGAGAAGAGAAGAGGTAAAGAAAATGATTGATAAGCGATCGCTTTCAAATAATTAAGAGCCATCTTTTTTTTATTCCGTCTTGCCCTTTTAGATCAGGTACCATATCAGTCCTGCTTGCGAACATTGCGTCTTCTAGCACACAATTTCCTCGGACTCTTATTGGTTAATTTAGATTCCGCCATGACTCCGCCAGCAATCTCATCATCGTTTGTCAGATCCACTTCATCCCAATCTATCCAATTATGATAGTTGTGCACTACTCGCAAGCATGCAAGACCGTCAACCGATTTCTTCATAGCACAAGAGTGTCGGAAATGAAATTTATTGGTACCTACATGTCAAAACCGGGGAACAACGTGTTCAATGGAGCCACTAGTTTTTAAGACACATACATAAGACATCATGCAGTAGCCTTGGAGACGACGACAGAAACGACAACTACACATTGCAACGATTCATTCCTTGCACGCGATTCTCCACACATGTTACGTTTTATGAAACAACCGCACCCTCGCTTGGTCGGTCGGATCTCGTCCTCCTCTTTCGGAGCAACAAAAAAAAACTTGTCTGAATGCTCTTGATCGTGAGAAATAAACTTGTTGATTTTGTTTACTACCATCATCCGGACCGGATAACATGATTGTATGCTGAACTGGAAGGATCGCTGAGTGAGCATTGAACATCCAATTTTTAAGTGGGGGAGTCGAGCTTTTTATGCCGCCAAACAAACATATGGCGCCCGTTTTAGAAAGTCAAATAAAATTTTCATAACTCTCTGAATCGAATCCACAGAAAAAGTTGCAAAAATGAAGACGGCAGACGAAGGCGTTGAGAGACTTTCAAAGAAAGGTAAAGCAAAATGAAAAAAAAAAACCTGCTGACCGCTGCAGGTTGACAACAAGCAAAAGAAAACGGCGAACGCCTGAGTTAAAGAAAATAAAATAAAAAATGGACTGTGAAAGCAGAATGTCAAGATGGGGTGTGAATGGTGGTTCAAACAGAACAGAATGTTCAAGTTCAATGCCAACTTTTAGATCCACTTTGGGGAACGCAACTTGTCCGTGTCGGAAATAGGTAAGAGACAATGCCTGAAAGAAGGGCAGAATAGGAAAATTGGGATAGCCATGTATTCTGTGCAAGTGTTGCTCCGAGTTACGATCGTAAAGGTTGTAACGTTACTCATTATTCTTTAAAAAAAAAAAAAGGTAGTGCATGAACGCAACGGGGCTGTATCAGGACGATCTGCCCACTTTCCTTTTGCAGCAGCTGAGTCATCGGCGATAAGGCAGAAAAAAAAAGATGGTTTTATTAGGCTATGTATGCTAAGTTATGCTTAAAATGTCAAACTTTAATTGAATTAAGATAGTATTTGAACCGTTAACAACCCATCTGTGCGGTCATGACTCGCGATGGCTGCGTCCATTTCCCAGATCTGGAAGAGGAACGACCGGTTCGATAGGATGAGTGATATTGCAACGGCTTTCTTTCAATTTTTTTCGGTGTCAAGGTAGGTGTGGGCGGATACGCATCATGGTGTATCAGGTCCTTTTTCGGTGAACGAAAAATACCGGGGATGAATGCTTTTGCCAGTTGGTCAAGCGTTTGCGACCGCGGTCGTTCGGTCCGCTGAATAGGGGTTCGGGTGACAGCATGAGGGAAAGAGGGGTTGTGAGTGGACGGATTTAAATCGTAGTGCGTCTCTGCGTCGTTGGATGGTTCTGGCATAGGTATATCGTGGTTACTGCTTGTTGAAGCTTCCATACTGCTGACGGTGCTACTGCTTATACTGCTTTCAATGGAAGGTACCGATTGATGATCATCGACATAGGCAGCCCGATAGGCCATCATATGAGACAACTCATCTTCAATAGCATTCACCATATCCTATGATTCATTGTTTTAGTTGACAGATGAAAGAACACATGCATTCAATAAGGAGCCTACATTGATACCAAGGATCATATCATCCGTTTTTTGACGGTTGCAAAGCACTGCGGTGGCCGCCTGACGATGAGCTTCCTAAATAGACCCATTGGGCAAAACAAAATCAGACAAACAACGTCGGCGATTAAAAATAAACTCAAACTTTTCCCCACCTCTGCGACACTACAGGGATCCGGTTGATTGCTTTCTTGTTGTAACCGTTCGTTTTGACGCTCTAATTGTAACATCGTCTCCATGGTTTCGTTCATCTTTTCTGCATGCATTTTCGTCAATGCTTGTATCTCCGCTGCATGGCGTGCTTCCAAAAATTGTTGTGTTTCTGCCACATCAATCGAAATTTTTGTTAGTCCAAACAGGGCAAATATTCAATATCGTCATAGCGTAACAACATACCTTGAAGTTCTTGTTGAGCTTTATCGCAAGCCTCTTTATACTGTAATGCTTTCGTTTTCCAATCATGAGCAAGCTGTCTTAGTGTTTCGATTTCTGTCTGGAAAAAAAAAAGGAAGAACCGGCCCATTGTGGCGGATTTAATTTCACATCCTGTATTGATATTGCTGTATTACACACACACCTCTCTTTTTGACAGTGTATACCGTGCGCTTTTCAGTTCGTTATACCACCAACGTTCACGTTCCGTTAATGTGTCGTAATTCATTTGCTGTAATGCCACTGTATACGAAGATGTGGTTGCGGAAAATCGTCTCGACGGATGCATGAGGAAATATGATGATGATGATGCGAAGGATGATATACAAGAAAGAAAAAAGAAAGAAAAATATTGAAACAAACTTATTTTTCTTTTTTTTTTCGCCTTCTTGAAATCGGAAACCTTGTCAACAATCTGAAAAGGAAAGCTTTTGCTGTTTGAGAAAACTACTCCATAAAGATTCAAATAAAAACAAATGTGTATACAACTCGGTTCCTAAAATGGAAATTCTATCTACAACAACGGCGCTTTGACCATAGAAAGGAAAACGCTTTGTCCGACTGACAAAGCTTAATGACAAAGATTGAAAAAAGTAACTTTGCTAGTTATATTATTCTCTCGAGATATCACGTCCTAACAGAGTCTTTCTTGTCCAATCGCTGATGACAAGCCAGCGGTTACGGTGGGAAAACAGATTGGAAATATAAGCTGAACGCCAGAATGCATAAGTAGCCACACCTCCTGATGTAAAGTTGCCAAGACCCAATGGCAAATCAGCAATGGCTTTATCAGAACCAACGTAACTGTGGAAAAAAGAAGAAAAAAGAAAAAAAAACCAAGGGTCAGATCAGGAGCGAACTGCTTTTGTTTATCGATCATTGTGAAGCCTACCAAAGCGATCCCTGATGGGAATAGTGGAATGGTTTGATTTCTCGAAGTTTCTGTAACTTGCGCATGAGTTTCATCTTTTGATCTTCAGGAATTGAAACGATTTCAGCTTCCAATTGTTCGGCTTTGGCCAATTTGTCGAATACGGTGGCAAGATATTTGCCTTCTTGTGATGCAACCTGAGCCGTAGGGGCGTATTTTGTGACCGCTGCATCCCCAATAGCATAAATGCTATCAGAACCTTTCAAACGCAACCAGTCATCGACTGCAAGTCCTTTGCGTTCTTTCTGTGTGTCCGGCATCTTGGCAATCAGTTTTCGGACCAAAGGTCGAGCCGTGTTGCCCGTCGCCCAAACGAGCAAGCCGAAAGGCATCGTGCTGGTAGTACCGTCAGGCCCTTGTACCACCAACTCCTTTTCCTTTACATCCTTCACCATGGTTTTCGTGTGAATGCTGATATTTTGCTCTTTAAACGTCGACTCCGTGTACTTTATCAATTCTTTGGAGAACGCAGGCAACACATTCGGCAATGCCTCCACCAAAGTAATTTTCACTTTGCCGACGAGCTCTACAAAATGGCATCAAAAAAACGGCAGAAAGAAAACACTGAGTGACATTCCCGTGTGAGTATCCTCGTAATAGAGTTTACCTGGATACCATGCTTTCAAATCTTCCACCAAAAAGTCGTGAAGTTCGGCAGCATATTCAATACCGGTGGCACCACCACCGACCACGACCATATGCAAAAGACGTTCAATTTCCTTTTCCGTCTGACCGGGGAAAGCGGCCGTTTCAATGCAATCCATCAATTTTCTGCGGATTTTTTGTGCATCCCACACTTCTTTCAAGAAACAGCCGTATTTTTCCACGCCTTCAATACCGAACGTCTGGTTGGTGGCTCCCACACCCACGACAAGATAATCATACGGAATGGTGTTTTCGGATATTTCGCCTTTAATTTCAGTGGTATCTATTGTTACCAATCAAGGTTAGTATATTATTTTTCTTTCTTCGACCTTTAGAATGATGAGCAACATCCAAGTGACTTGCCTGCAATGGTAATGACTTTCTTTTCAGGATCAATATCAGTGCATTCAGCTTCATAAACTTTGATGGCGTTATTCTTATGACGAGTAATAAATCGGATAGGTTCAATAATGGAACGAATATCGACGGTGCCTACAGTGCAGCTAGGCAATAAAGGTGTGAAGAGGAAATAGTTGCGGGGCGACACTACGACCTAATTGCATCATCAGGCATGGCTGGTTTCAAAGATATTAAATTTTTGTCCGACACAATCCTTACCACATTGTACTTGTCCGTATCGATTGTCTTCAAAAATGAAGTCGAACCCCATCCACTGCCAAGCACAACAACGGTTTTCTTTGACGCAGGTGTTGTTGTCTGTGAGCCAGGATGACGATGGTCATACATCACTGCAATAGCATGAGAATAGGAAACTATGGAATTTTTTTTTAACGCGGTTTCATGATGCTCACCATAACCGTTGTAAGCCACAAATGCAACAGCACCGAATTTCAAGATGTTTTTCGTTGTCTTCCATTTCGAGGAATGTGGACGAGAAGATACGGTGCTTGCGAAACGCACAGCACGTGGTTGGAAGGCAGCAGAACGCAATGCGATATGCGATCCGAAAGTGCGTGCTGTGAATTTGAATCGATTCGAACTGAATACCTTGAAAGATCATTGATTGGACGTTTTGTGTGAGCCTACCTGTTAGTGAACGAAAGCTGCTGTGCATGTTGTGTAAGTTTTGAACGACAAAAATGTCAAAAGCCCAAAGATGACTGAAAAGCAAAAAGACAAATAAAATCAATGCAACAATGCAATTTGAACCCTCATCAAAACAACTCATTACAACCCCGACGGCCCAGGCTAAACTTTTTTCGCAATGATACATGGAGAAAGTTACGTATTGACAGGATATTTACGTCGTTCACTCGGTTTATTTATAGAAAGGGAAAAAGTAAAAAATGGAATTGGTATGCTACAAAAGAGAAAGATAGAAAGATAGATGCGAAATATGATGCAACAGAAGAAAAGGGAAAAAGAAAAAAAAAAGTGGTAAAAAGATGTGAATACCAACGATTCAAATCTATGTGAGGGACATGACAGGGAGTTTACTTGTTTTTGGCAAAGAGAGCGGCTTTTTCGGAATATTCGAGAGAATCGTCATAATCTGCAGCTGCTTGTTCTTGGGTCATGACCTGCATTCCGTTCTTCAAGACACCAACGCGCAGTGTGGTTAACAAGTTTCGTGCACCGTTCGAATGGTTATAGATACCGCCGTTGAAGGCGGTGGTCATATCCTTGCCGAGAGCAGTAGACAGATACTTGACACCACCGGGATGTTCGTGCATAAAGTCTTCGACATCATACAAGATACCTTCGAGCAAAATCCACTTTTTGTTGTCATTCAACACCAAAGACTGGTATTCATCCCAGGTATAGATGGGCAAATCTTCGATGGGGGTACCGTAGGCCAATTTTCGCTTTTCCGCTAAAATTTTCTTTTCTTGCATCTGGATACGACCCTTGTTAACTTCGTTGGACGGGAAAGTCTTCAAATCGTAGGCGAGACCGACAAAAGAAAGCGTCTTGATCAACCACTTGGTAGGGTCATATTGATGGAAAACGATGGCGTTACGGTAGTCTTGAGGAAATTCGTGGTGGAAATTGTGGTAACCTTCACCAAGGGTGGCGAGAGCGGTGATCCAGTGATCGCGAGGGGTATGATGATCATCAAAGGTATCTTCACCCAAAAAGTGAGCAAGCGAGTTGACACAGAAGGTGGCATGATGAACAAACACGAGACGAGCAACTGCCGCGTAAAAGTAACCTCCCTAGACAAATCAAGCCAATCCATGATTAGAAAAAATCTGTTGGGTACTTTGGGGATGGTTGGGAAAAAAATTATGACGGAAAAAAAAACTTACCCTGAAATCACCCCAGCCCAGACCAGCCACCAAAGTGGGTACAATAAAACCCATAATCAAAGCAAACCAAACGTAGTGCTTGTGTTGGAAAGCCAGGACAGGATCCGCCTTCAAATCGGCAACATCAGCATAACCAATTCTGTTCTTGGGACGCTGAACCAACATCCATCCCAAGTGAGAGAAAAAGAAACCACGTTGAGCACTATAGGGATCTTTGTCGGTATCGGTCCATCTATAAAAGAAAAATGAGTAATAGCTCTATAATGATAACCGAATGTAGTGATAAAATATATACCTGTGATGGGCACGGTGACCACGAGACCACCAGTAAGCCGAACCTTCGACAGCACCACTTCCAGCAAGACAGAGAGCAAGTCTCAAGGGCAGAGTACCACGATAAGCGCGATGAGCCCACATACGATGATAACCTAATGTATGAGACCATACCATCGATTAGTTTCATATCATACAACAAAATGAAAAAAAGAGAAACATACCAGCAGTGATACCAAGACCCGTAATGAAATAATAGATGACAGCCCAAATCAAAGTCTTAGTCTGCAATTGGGTGGTGAATAAACCATACAAAGCGATCAATGGCGTGCTAAGCAATAAAATCGACTGAGGCCAGTTAACGTGCTTGTGCCAGTTTTGCCATGTCGTGGGTTCGTCAAATAATGAAGGCATGTGTTGCTTGGGCAACGGCGGCTTTCGCGACTCGGTCTGCGTATACGCATAGACCATGGTTTCCGTGGTCGACATTCTTTTTCTTTCTTGATGTACGGGTGAACGAAAAAGGAAGAGGAAAAAAAAATAGAATGAAAGAGAGTGAAAGAAAGAAAGATGCCTGACTACGCAAGAATCAAAGCTTTTTTTGAGGAGGGGGAAAATAATGGAGTGGTAGCGGTTTATATACTGATGTAAAACTTAGGTCTTCATTTTTTTTTTTTTCGTTCGGAGCAAATGTGATATGAGCAAGTACGATTTCCAGAATACTGGATTTTGTTGGGTTCTGGGGGTAGTGTTGGGGTGATACCATCCAATAGGAGCGCTCGAATGAAAGGAGAAGCCTTGGCCAAAAAAAATTTTTTTTCCAGCAACGATTTTTGATTCGTCAAAGGTCCGATTTCGTCAATGCTTCTAAACCAATTGCCCATCAACACCATTTGGGGAACTGGTGCAAGTCTATCCATTCGTTCGCCCACGGAGTCTATTCTTTCGCCAACACGCTATACTTAATACTACCATTCTGGATATTTTTGATGCGAGACAACAAAGAAAATAACACAGATCAAAAAAACAACTCTGTGCAGTGATTCTTGTCCCACCTCAGCGGCCCCAAGAACCCAAGTTCATGTGATAAATAAAATCTTTCGCCGGATGAGGAGATCACTTTATGCGGTAATGCAAGTGCGCTACATCATATGTCTGGAACCTCGCACACGCTTGTTTCAATGAGCAATTAGTCATTTCAAGAAAAAACCTACGGTAAATGAAATACCAGAAAAAAATGTCTCACACAGCAGGTTTCATATCCACGGCAAACCCCTTCCGTCCCCGAATTTTTTTCCTGTCAACGAGCCAAAATTCATGCAAACCCACTTCTTTCCCTATGTTGCTCAAAAAGTCGTTGTTTATATTATTGTCCATTGTTACACTGTGTCTTTTGCTGCTTGTTCCCGATACAGCAGCGCGAGGTAATCTGCAAAACCGAGAGGCTGTAATTTATTCTGATCTAATGGCTAATCGATTGGATTTTCTCCTACAGTGAGCACCGTGGATGATGTTTCCTCATGGACCAAGGATAAAATTGACGAATATTTGGACAAGTACAAGATTGCTTACAATAACCATGTGGATCAGTCAACTCTCGTGAAACAGATCAAAGCTTACAAAAAAGCCGTCGCAGCCAACGTCGTCCTCTTCGGAGACAAGATCAACCATGTCATGAAAGATCTGAAAATCACACTCGACAAAGACCGTAAATTGACCAAAACGGATGCTGACCTTCTGATGAACGAGATTCAGTATCATCTGCGTCGCTTGGAACTTCAAGGCGAATTAACTCAAAACCGAGTCAAGAGTACACTGGGTAGAGTTCACAAGCATGTCATCAAGCAGAAAATTATGGATGAAGCACGGTGGCAGGAAATTCACAACCAGGTGCTGTCGTCCTTTGAAAATCAGGGTTGGTACCAACGTGTGTTATCTCGCTACCCAACCGACGACACCACATCTTCCGCTTCTTTGAATCGTTGGCTTCACGGTGTAGCCGAACGTCTGGACCACGTGAAGGATCTGTCCGAAGATCAAATAACCAGTGTCATTGATCACCTACGACATTCCATCACGTCTGTCCCGGATATCACTCGCATTGGTGATCCCTACTGGCGTGAAAAATTCGCTCACCGCCTCGAGACACAAACCAAGTTGACGGGCGAGCAGATCCAAAAGGTGCTCGACTCGATCGAGCATGACGTGAATGCATACAAAATATTCGCCATGGACTACGTGGGCGAATCGATGATCGATACAAAAGAATGGATGCATTCTGTGAAGGAAACCATTCGACATGGCTGTTCTGCTGCGGTGGATAAATTCTGGGACGTATTCTACATGATAGACAGGAAACTCCGTGACACCTTGGCCTTGCAACACCACGTGGACCAGAACCCCTACCAGAGGGCCACGAACTCGATCAAAAGTGTGGTCAGTTCGGTTTCCAGTGATTGGCATCGCTCGTCGCAGTCGGCTCAATACTCACGATCGGTCCATTCTGCCGTTTCGGCCGCATCCGAATTTGCTGCATCGGCTACCGATAAGCTGTCGCACAAAGGCCATGGCGATTCGTGGCGGAGCTCATTTTCTCACTTTTGGGCTGACCAGGAATTGGAGGCGTATCGACGGTTGGGTTACACAGAAGCCCACATTCAATGGATTCAGGACTATCTGAAAAAGACCTTAACCCCTCATAAAAAAGGCTCGTCCAACTCTGTCGAAAATATGTTCAACAACATCAAGCATTATCTGATCGATGCCAAGGTCCAGACTGAAGCACAAGTGCAGCGCGAAGTTGACCGTCTCAAAAAGGAATATGAAGCATGGAAAAAGCGTGCTCATGCCTAGAGTTGTCTATAATATCGTAGTTGTCCAAATCACAAAAATAAAAACCTTGCCAGCTCCTTTGGTACAGTTTAATTGAAAAAAATCTGGGTAAAAATTTTACAAATCAAATTTTTTTAAAAAGCAAAATAATGTTGTTTTAAGTAATCAAAAAAAAGAGAGAAAACCAAAGGACAAAGATATAGAAAAAAAAAGATGGATGCATTAGACAAGCCACACTTACTCTTCCTTGTTTTCACTTACAAAAAAACTGTTGTCACCACACTGTGGAAGCCGCCACCGCACACCGCCAAGGCATGGGCTTTGTTCATCAGTTATCTAAACTACACAGTAGAATTACATAAAGCAAGTGAGTGATTCAGCATAACATTCAAAAAAGAAAGGCCACTTGAGCTATTTGTGGAGGTTCAGTCGTTGATAGCACAGTTGTAGTCACCATGAGTATACGTACAGGATAGTTAAGAATAAGCAATAAAAAAATATATGGCGCGATGAATGGTTTTGCGAGGAAAAGAAGAAAGAAATGGGTGGAAGATGCGTCGTCTTTTAAAGACATGAAAAAAGAGGCGATCCCTCGTACTGTAGTTAAACCCTTTATTGCTCCATAATGAAGCAGGAAAAAGACGCCATGTGTCTTTTCTCATCGCTTCACGTCATATTTATCCTTTGATGAGAGAGTGTGGCTTCATCGCATGAAATCGCTGCATGAAGTAGTCTCAGATAATGTTAGAGAGAGGTCGATTGGGATGCCTTTATTCAAGTGTTCTTATGTTGGCTGAGCGGACACACAGGTGCGCATAACTTTGGTACCGACGTAATGGGTGGCTCGTTAAACTACTGTATCTTTCAACTCGTATTATACATTTTATTGAAAAACAGTCATCCTCATGAAGATGGCCTCTCTTTGATGAACAAAGTCGTCAGTTTCAGCGAATTTCAATTCCCCATCAGGATTACGCAGGTTGTCTACAAGGTCAAATAAAATATGATGAGATCCTCCACACTCCCCGCCAATAAAGGACCAAGTCATGATTTTTGCTTCCTTGCAGCTTATTTCATTATTATTTCTTCATTTCCCGAGAAAAATGAACTGAAAGATGAAAAAGACATTGGGGAAGTCAACATATTCATCAGGATTACAAATTTTTTTTTGCCCCCACTACGCACATACTGTACACATCGATGTTGCCCGTACATTTGAGTGTGTTCCTTTTCAGGCACTACCGAACCGATCATCATTATACAGTAATACTCAACTGCTTCTGAGCAAAGTTGATTTCTTTAAAGTTTATGTCGGTAGCGCTAGGGAGTTGTGCCAAAAAAAGAAAAAGCCCCTGTTTTTATGGCTGCTTATGACAGGCATCAATTAACTTATTGCACTTACTGTACACATATTTTTTTCCGTTTGCTATGAATGAAAATGGAAGGGCAACTTTTAATTTTGTTAATGTTGAAAAAAATATATTCCTGAATGGGTTGTATTCTTCTTTTAAAATGTGACGGAGGTCAGACATTAAATTTGGAAAAGCTAGATTTTCGACCAAAACTGAACTATCCTTTACTCTATGAATATGGAAGGCTATTTATATGTTTTCTACTATTCTAATGCGATGCACTATCGCCTTAGGTGGCGTAGTCGTTGCAGCTTGGCTGCTGCAGTGTAGTTGCTGCGTCGTCTGGGAATTCGATGGTGACGTTGGTGGGTTCGCAACACAATCATAGCCGTACAAAATGCCGGACTAGTAAATAGCCAAATAAATAAAGGGGCACCTGATAAGACCACCAAATGTAAACCACGAGGCGTGTTCATTACACGGATTGAGGACCAGAATATTGCTGGTCTCTCTTGACCATCGGCCAAAGTAGCTGCGATTAAATGAATGTTGCGACTGGCGTTGACATCTCGCTGCCATAGTGTGTTACAGCTTTTGCAACGCGCACACTATGCATCGTTTCGTCGCCATGCAGATGTAGCTGCTCCAGGACTTTCAGACGATAACGAAAGCATCCTGAAGGCGATCGTTAGTATGTCGCACTCTTTAAACTCGTTGCGTTCGTACCTTTGATGTGTTGTATTCTGGCATATCTGCAATTGCTAAGATACCCTGGAGCTCCGCCCTTCGCAGCAGTTGTCGGCATCTGTTGGCAATATCTGTTGGCTTCCCTCTCATGCTGCTGTAGAAACCAGTATCCCTAAAAGCGATCAAGGAAAACCTTGAGACCGGGTTGTGGTCTGAATTCCACCATTTGCTGTCGGGTTTCGTTATAAACGACCGAAGCAACCAAGGAAAGGCGCATATCGACTTCCTCTGTCAATCTTGACCTGCACATCTTGAGTGAGCAGTACACTGGATTCCGCCGTGATCCCCTGCCAGCGCAGCTTCACGTTGAGTAACGTCAGTTGGACTGACAGGATCCAAATGCGCTAGCACGACATCCGCGTCAACGCCAATTTCTGGTCAAAGCTGGCTTTCATCTCACTATCCACAGCAGCAGACCTACTCGTGCTCGTGGATCTAGACCAGTCGGTTATTTGCTCAGGTGGTACATTCCAAGAGTCCATGTGGACATATCGGACTCTCGTAGCAGAATCTGGAATTCTGATAGCATACGCAAATCAGTATAAATCATCATAATCAGGTTACTGGTGGAAATCTACCTCGATTCCAACGTTTGCAGAATTTGATTGCCACCATGACCCCAGCAGATATCGCTGATCGCCATCCTTTCTTCGTCAGAGATTGTAGCATCACTGGGCCACACCGGATACAACCAGGCGGTACTTGTGCAGCTCAACAGCGGTCTTGCGTTTCCCTGTGAGCACTTTGCTATGAACATAGACAGCAGTGGACTTGGGGAAAATTGGCGGCCGTATCTGTTTCATGTGTAATTTGCATGTTCCCACGCCGTTGATGTTGGTCGACTTGATATTAGAAGTTGTCAGCGATTATTTGGAAACTGAATGTCGACTAATTTACATACCGGCGCCCCATCTCGACAGCGTGCAGCTGCCAACATAAAACATTTTTTTATAAAAAAGTTTGTCATGGAGGGGGGGACAAGCAAAATATAAAGGATTGTTGGCCCATCACAGAGCATGTAGTAGCGCCAAATTGTTGACGTTTCTTCTCAGGAGAGAATAGTATTCGGCCAGCGTCCTCAATAGTTGCTGGATTAAAAGATATTGAACCTCCATTTTCAAGCAACGTACAATGTAAAATAAACAAAGTTTACCCGTAGTGAACTATAGGCAGGGCTTAACAAAGTTGACAGCTTGATTTTGTGCGTTGTCGTATATTTCAAATCCCGGATCAACACGAGTGTGTATCGTTTTGACGTGCTAGGTTCTGCGGCGCTCATGATGTTTATCAACGTATGTAAAAGAAATAGTGTGGTGGTAAAGAAAAAAGAGTGAATAAGATGTAAAGAAGCAGAGAATATTAAGCTGTAGTGTCGGATGATCCGAAAAAAAGGAGAGGAGGGAGAGGGGAGAGGGGATGACGAGAAAATGTCAAAAAGAGAGAGGTTAACAAAGAACTCATCAACTACATGTAAAAAGTAGTCACACTCTTTCAAACTTAAAATGTGCATTAAATCCGGTCACTCTTCTGTTCTTCCCCATCCCTCATGGCCAAGTCGAAAAGAAGCATTAATCCAGCAGATGCCTTGCGTATGTTTCCTGAATTAACGTACCATATTTTCCATAGAAAAACTCATCCTTATATATATAAATAGGCAAAGCGCAGCATAAACGAGACTTGAAAAAGGTAATCACGATTCGATCATTCCCCGTGATCGCCTTGGTGAAGCTAACCCGAATATAAAAAGAGAAAAGAAGAGCGTAAACAAGCACGGGAATCAGCCTTGACAAAGAAAGATACCGGAAAACTACGTCAAGAACTCGCCAGACTTCAAAATCTAGGTACTTGCCATCATGACGCAAATCTACATCGACTCGAGTTAATCAATGAACTTATTTTCACAGCTCGATTAAAGCAACTCGATAAAAATGGCCAAACAAGAATCACTCAAATTGAAGCTGAAATTGCTAAAATCGAGAAAGCCAAAAAGGTATGTTCTAATGGTGCTATACGCTATGAAAGCGCCCTAAACTAAGGCTAATAATATTTTCTTTTAGGCCCAAGGACTTACTGGGTGAGTATTTTATGACTCAAAGGAAGAAAATAGCCTCTCGCTCATTGATATAATGTATTATGGAAAAAAGTGCGCAGGCTGCATTAGCTGCAAGACAGCAACAGCAGGAGCAGCAGCAGGATTCCCGTAAATTGGTGTATGATCCCAAGTCTGGAGCGTTTGTTGCGGTCAAAAAGAAAAGTAGGTTCATCAGAGGAACTTGGTTAAGAGCGCGTTCACGATCTAATGATTTTCAAAGGCAAAAAGACATCCACGTCCGAACGACATGACGAAGCATCAGCGGACGAATCTTCTTCCAGCACTTCTTCCTCGGATACGGATGATACGAGCGATGAATCCGATGAAAGCGACGTATCAGATGCCGAAGAGGTCCCATTACCGCCACTGACCGAATCCGACGATGAATATGAACTACCACTTCCGCCGGGCCCACCGCCACCTCGACCATTCGCGGAACAATTGGCACCCATTGCAGCTATGCAACAAATACAGCAAATGACGCCGCCGCCTCCGCCACCCCCGCCCCATCCTTCGATGCGACCGCCTCATTTCATGGTTCCTCCACCTCCACCGCCCAGACGACATCCTCAAGCACCGCATATGTATCCTTACCCACCACCTCCTCCTCCGCCAAGAATGATGCCTCCTCGTAAGTGTTTTTCTAATTTTTTTTTTTTGTAAATATGATTTATCTTTCTAACTTATAGTTATTATGGGTCAGGTCCATATCATCAAGCACAATATCCGCCATCCGCGCCAAGGCCGGCACCTCATTACGAAGCGTCTCAGACCGCGACGCCCGCGTCACAGCAAGAGACCATATCTGCTGCTTTGTCTGAAGAGACACCGGCTGTATCAGCGCCAACCGCGGCACCTCAGGTGATCATCTCGGCCCAACCCCAATTGAGAGACCTTCAAAAGGAACTGCTCGGTTTCGTACCCGCTGCTTTGCGGCGGAAGCAAGCGCAGCAGAAAAAGATTTCTTCTTTGCCAAAAGGAGCACGACCGGCATCCATCAACGCTGCTCCTGATATTGATGATGATGACGACGAGTTGCCCTCTCCACAATAGAAATAATGCATACAAAAATGTTCTGACGCGCAATAAACTTGGTATGATAGACATGTTACTGAAATACAATATGACAGCCGGTATGATGAAAACAGAAACACATTCCATTGGTGAGTGCGACTATCATACTGTATATCAGTGCTCATTATGTAGAATATCATCATCATCATCTTCGAAGTAATGTCAATCAAAAAATGAGGTTTTTGTCAAGACCAAAAGTGATATCGTGGTGAACAATGTGGTGCGCGGAAATCGCACGACGATGCGTGGATTTGTGGACATGACAAATTGTGATACAAAATTCATGCATTCAAAAAAAAAAAAGTTAAACCTGACTCAAAAAGTAACTACCGGGGTAACTGTGGTTTAGATTGATCGATCGATAAAGATAAGAGTCACGCAAGGCCGCATGAGCAGCCGAACGCATTAGACAAAGAAGATCCGACAACAGATTGTTCAAACTGCATGATTTTGATTATGTACAGCGTTGCATAATGTTTATTCAATGAATTTTTTGATTTTTGGTATATACAAAAAAGAGAAATCAAAATGAATTGATAAGAATGACACAAAGAAGATTGAGGGAGGAATATTTGGACAAAGATACGATATAGAGGGGAGAGGGAGTATAAGTGAAGCGTAAAAAAACAAGGATGGTATGATCTTATTTTAGTTTTGCAGGATAGTGGGTGTATGGCCAAAAGAATCGGCGCAAAAGCAGTACTTCGAGATGAGAGTTTGATAACCTTGTTGAGACTCGCTGGATGCGTCGATGCCTGTGGTTAGCAGAGGCAGCTGATTCACAGAAGGCGTGATTGGACTCCAAGGTCGGGCTTGACGAGCGGCTCCAAAGTTGTACCGAGAGCTGAATGCCTGAGGATCTTGAACCGATAGTGATTTCATACGTACCGTGACCTCTTGGTCACTAACATCTTCGTCTTCTTCGTCTTCCTCTTCCTCGCTGCTGCTGCTTATTTCGGGGCTCGTGTTCACCGGTTTGGTTTCGCCCAGAAGATGGCGCCGAATAATGCTGACGGGCTTCCTCATATGCGGTTCGATTTCAACAGGGTTTTCATGTTCGACAAGGTCAATTTGATAGTTGCGACCGGAATTGTTGTCCCAGTATTCTGTACCGTTCACAGTGTAGCACAAAGCAAGGTATACGGTTCGCACGACCTGCTGGCTGACCAAGGGAATGGTAAACGAAAATCTGTCCCACGTGCCATTGGCAATGGAGTCACAATATTCTGCATCGATCTCAACAAAAGAGTTCCAGTAGTCAAGGGAATAGCGAACGGTCACGTGCTTCTTGAATGCAAGATTGGCGACACGGCAACAACCGACCAAGGTTGGCTCCTCGCACATATCGGAATGCGTGAGTTGAACCGACTCTAGCTGGACTTTGGCATCTCTTGAAAATGTCAAACCGGGAGTCCAGTTCAATTTACTAATTCTCCAAGTCGGCGGTAAGAACGGTTTAGGATCGCTGTGAACCGCTGCAGGCATTTGGGACTGAATAAAAAGACGAACGTCGCAAGCATCGCGGAATCGAACCGATTTCTTGGGCTGCGTGCGGGCTTTCAAACTGTTGCGACGAGACGGTGAAGAAAGCGACGACAGTGAGGGTGTTCGTCGCACGGTCGTTTTCTGCAACGAGACTCGACGGTTATAAGCATGAGGAGAATCACGCTGTAGAGTAGCAAGTGGCATGGTAAAGAAAATAAAATTTGGTAGACCAAATATAGCAGTAATGAGTTGAACTCTGGAGAGAGAAAAGGCAGGAAATAAAATGAGCAAGCACTGTTTTTATTTGTCTCGGAGGAAGAAATATTTTTTCCTTTTTAATTTTCTTTTTTCTTTGGCTTGCTCAGACATTTCGAATTTCTATTGCCGGCTAAAACTTTCACATCAGATACGGATAGATATAGGCTAGATTAGAAATGATGCCTCTTTCTTTTTGAACTAAAGAGTCAATTTACATTAATCGCAACGCTAGTGCTCCACCTATACCATGTTTGTACGTTTTATGATATTTTAACATTGAGCAGGCCTATTGCTCGTTTGGAGCACAGAGAAACAGGGGAGTCATGTGGTACAGATTCCCAAAATGGCAACTAGAGCTGGACTTGCCGCTCGATCCGTTACACTTGATTCGATGTTGTGGGGGAGTGGGGAAATTGATATTCCCAGTCAGCTTTTCTCTTTCTATTGTTTCGCTTTTTGTACTTTGGGTTCACTGACGTTGGGTTTTATTCCTAATTTTCTGAAGATCCCCTTATTATGGTCATTATGATATAAATTTCCGTGACGAAAAATCTTTTGGTTATACAAGGGGAAGTGGGAGAATATTTCAAATGAAAAGGAGAAGATATAAAAAAAAGCTTAACCTATGTATTGTTATTGCCATGGAATCCATTGGTTTCCTCGGAAACCGACCAAGATTTAAGATTTCTAGGACATCGTCTGACACTGCAATCGGATTAAAAGGAAAGTACTGTCCGGGCATGAAAAGTTTTCCCGCCCTTTTTTTTAACTTGAAATTTTGAACGCGTGATCATCAAACTAAGCTACATCAGAGGATAAAAAAAGATAAAAAAAGAAGATCTAGAACAAATTGCATCATCTATTTAGGTTATGATATATACACAAAGGAGTGGGATGAAATGAAGGGACAAGAAAAGTTCCCGCTAGGTGCACGGAAGAGGAGCAATCACCAGAAGTTGCGGATGCCGGTTAGCTCAAAATTCATTTCTTTTTGTCTGTAAAGGAGAAACGGGGGAGAAAAAAAAAGGCATCATGTCAGATTGACATTTGTTGACAATCAATACAAGACTGGATTCATATTTACTTACTATGGATACGGCTGTACTTTGTTCGTCTTCTTCGTTTCCCAGGCAATGCCACGGAAGGACCGTGGTTGTCTTCTTGCTGAATAATGAGCGGAAGAATACGGCGACGAGCATTTATAAACCAATTACTAATCTGATTCAGGGTCAATCCGGTTACATGTTTGAGTTCGTCCTTTTCATCCTCGGTAGGGTAAGGGTTATCACAATGATCGATGAGCCATTGTTTGAGGATCGCTGTCACCGGTTTAGGAAGGTTGCCTCGACGTTTTCTCGGATGATGTGATGTGAAAGATTCATTGTCCTCTTCGGTTGTAGGAGTGCGGAGTGGAGGGGAATAGGAAGAAGAGCGTGGCGAGGGAATGTCTGTCCAAATATGGCTACGGGTCGATTTCAGCGCTGGAGGTTTGAAAGAATCGTCTTCATTTGCGTGATGTGGGTATTCATGAAATAAGATAATTGGACTGAAAATTCGAATCTAACGAAAACATCTGTTAGAAAAACGGCCACTCTTTCGCTTGACAGTAACATCTCCAGTGTCAATCTTTTTGAAGAATAAAGGTCTTACTTTGGTGGAGTGATAGGGTTGGATATTTCGAAACATGATGAATCAATGAACTATACAGAAAAAAAAAGAAAGAGGAAAGACGGAAAAAAAGAGTGCAAAAATACAGCAGTGACTTGAGAAGAGGAAGTCAAGAAGAAAAAAAAGAAGATGAAGAGAAAGAAAATGGTCTGTTTTGGCGCATGTCTTTTATAGTGCATTCGTTGTGGAAATGATCAGCATATCATTGATTTACACGTTGAATTGATGGGCTGTTGGTAATAAGTTAGTCCTTGAGAGCTGTCAATAGAATAAGGAAATGGAAGGCATGAACAGCAGCTCTGGCGGCATGATGGCCCTGGATGATTATCCATGTAATTTATCACCAAAGTCTCGAGATCTGCTCCAAACAAAGTTGAAACCGTAATTGCAGCAACGCTTATCACATCAAAATCATAAAGAGAATGGATCAATGTGCCATATCCCTTTTTTTTTGGGGACTCTTTGGAGAAAAAAAAGAAGAGAGCTTACAGTAGCGCATACTGTGAATAGCCTGAAACTTCGATTGATTGGATAAAAGCACATGGATGAACTTCCAAATAAATGAATGACCATGACACTCGATGCAATCAGAAAAACGTGGATAAATACAATAAATCAAAACACACAGTATCCCAGTACCTGAAGACCAGATTTAGTTTTCTCTCTCTCTTGTCTCTCAAGATGCAGTCGGAAACAAGACTGCCTGAGTTTCGTTTAGGTCAAATGAGCACAATAAAGCGATCAGGTGCAAATCCCTTTTTTGTGTCATGTCCTTGGTTTCCAGGAGTACAGATCTTTTGCGGTCCTACCGCAGTGATTGTAGTGAAGAGAAATCTCGCATGCCCCATCATGTTACAGTATCTCACTATGTCGCGTTTTCAGAGAGTTTGCATTCATTTGCTCGAAGAAAAAAAGATTTCAAGCTTTTATCATTATCAACGATTCTCATGTTTTCATTACATATGAAGCATCGAATGTGTCTCAAAGAATGACGCATCTTTTTGGATAACTCGGTTATATTTTTCCATCTGCAGGGGGGAATTGGGTACTCCGCCAAGGATAAGGCTAAGCATTGCCCGTCGCAAAAGCATTGCCGTATTTTATTTAGATTGTATTCAAGTATGCATTAACGTCTATTTTTATGCTAATCTCTTCTTGGCCAAAATCCTTCCAAATCCAACTTTTTTTCCAGCCGTGTAACAGATGTCGATGATCGCCTAACTCTGATGCGTTCGGATTATTATTTTACAAAGCAAACTTTAATGGGTGTTTTAATTGTCGTCAATTCCCCAAAAAAAAGAGAGAGAAAGAGAGAGGGCAGCTACAGAATGCAAATCAATGTGAATTGCTGTAAAGATTTGGACTAAGCTCAAGAGTGGTAAACATCATTATTAAAGCAACGACTGCTAAGGCATATTTGCAAAAGGCGTAAAAAAATAATAATGTAAAGCCATAAAGGAGGTGATATGATTTTTGACAAGAAACAAACCTTCATTATCGCATCAGTGTTAGAAAACGGGTATTTTGTACCATCTACCATCCGTAAACCGTGTCATATTTGACAGACACACTAGACATATAAACATTTTTTATTATGAAGTGTTTATTGTTCGATAAATGTCAAATAGCACATGAGAAAAAACGGCACCATGGTCTGAAGGAAGTAGACGATCGCCTTTACTGCTTTACCGTCAGACCGATTTTTCGGTTACAAAATCGCTTTCGTTCATTGGACAATTTATTGAATTGAAGCGCAGTGAAATCATGAGTTCCCAAAACAAAAAACTCTTTCTGCACACGTCACGTCCAATCAGATACGAGTATGGGTTGGTTCTAGCCAAAAACAGTTGCGCGCAGACTGTTTCGTCATTGGGGGAGCCAAAGGAAAAAACACCATACAGAAATTTTTTCAACCTTTTCTCTTAGTGTAGTTTACACATTCCTCATGGGTAAAAAGAAGAAAAGCAAGCCCTTGCGACCTTGGTGTTGGTACTGTGAGAAAGACTTTGAAGATGATAAAGTCTTGGTCACTCATCAAAGGGTAAGTGCAACATAAGACATAGAAAAATAAAAAGCCTCCTTCCTCATCTGACACTTTTTTTTTGTATTCAAATAGGCAAAACACTTCAAATGTGAAGTCTGTAACAAGAAATTGAGTAAGTGATTTTGACTCTTATTCTTCTATGAAATGTTCGAATAATATTAATGCCATCATTAGCCACAGCAGGTGGTATGGCTGTACACGCGCAGCAAGTCCATAAAGTAGATATTCACAAGTAAGTAATGTTTTTCGCGTCTCTTACCTTTTTGTCTTTTGGGTTATTTCCCACTAGCATTTTTTTTGGGGGGGAAGGAATATTTTTCCTTTTAAATGATGCTGATATACTCATTGTGGCGAAATGATAGAGTACCCAACGCGTTACCTGGAAGAGAAACTTTGGAAGTGGAGATTTTCGGTATGGAAGGAATTCCATATGATGATTTAGTAGCGTACGAAGCCAAGAAGACGGCTGGTAATGCCAACAAACGTGCACGTACGGATGCTGGATCAGGCCAATACGGCGAGTTAACACCAGAGCAAATTCAAGCTCAACTTGCTCTTCACAAAGCGGGAGCCACCCCAACCGCTGCTGCCTCTAGCGCTTCGCCAGCTACCCCCGCTGCTGCCGCAGTAACAGCAACCGCTACTCCTCCATCTTATTATCCTTCGGCACAACCGTATCCTCCACCGGTAAGCGTTCCACCTCCAGGTATGCCAGCACCTTATCCCGGTCAATACAATCCATACTATCCAAATCAAGGAGCATATCCACCACCACCAGCATTCACATTCCGTCCACCAATTGGGTAAGCGACTGCTCCTCGCCCCTCATTTTCTGCATCTTGTAACAGTCAGATCACCCAAAAGTTGACTTTATTTTATTTTATTTCATCCTCGTCCCCCCATGAACAGTGCTCCACCTTTTCCGGGAGCGAATCATTGGAGACCAGCCCCTATGCCTGGTCCTTATGGCGCTGCTCCTCCTCCGTTATTCCCACCGTCTTTGCATTCGCCATCTACGCCTACCTCAGCGTCACCTGTTGCGTACAATGCAGGATCACAGGCCTCACCACCTACCGCAGCCGCAGTCCCTACTCCGAACGCTTATTATTCAATTCAAGATCCATCTTCGGTTGCAGCCGGTCAACAAACTGCAGCTTTCGATTACGGAGCGACTCCAGAGGCGGCTGCGGGACAGCAAACTGTTGCTGAAACACCAGTGGCTGCCCCTGCAGCAGAAAGCGGTAAAAAGAAGTCTTCCAAGTCTGTATTGATCTACAACAATAATGAAGAATCACCTGTAAGTCCTCCTTTCAACCAGTGGATCCAATTCTATTGCGGTACAATTCAGTTTCATCTCACCGTGCGTTCTTTTTTTTTATTTGTTTAGGAGGAACTACGTGCACAACTGGAAAAGCATAGACTCAAGGTCTGATTGATTTGAAAAAAAAAGAAAGGATGAACTGATGATGTGACTGACCCGATGCAGCGCTCGGATTCGGTATCGTTCTCAACATAATGGATATATATTTTTTCTCTTTCGTTGATACTCATGTGTCTCTTCCGGAATGGTCGGATATCCATGCGGTTTGTAAGGATCAGATCCGGTAAGGCGGATAAAAACATCAAAATGTGGCCATCTGATGGTGTTCAAAAAAAAAAAAACGAGTAGAAGATTTACAATAAAACACACACGCAATATAAGCTTGCTCAAAGACGTGTACACTTTTTCTTTCTTTCTTTACTTTATCAAAGCAATTGTTCAACGTCTTTTCGTCGATCAGCTGAAAACATCGCAATCCAAAAGAGTATTAATCGATGACAAAAAGTGATAATGAAGTGTTCCGCAAGACAAAATAAAGATACATCCATAGAGTCGGAAGCAATCAATTGCCAGTGATCACGTTTCGGCCGTGTAACTACAGCAAGAAGAATGTAAAGGTTGAAGGGATCACTGTGTAGGCGTGACAGTACCAGAGTCAACCGCCTCCATCACTCCGACTAAGCTACTATTTTCCCTCAAATCGGACGTGGCGATTGCATTGGTTGACGGGTCAAAGTTGTGACATGCTTTCCGGAATACGGTGCCGTACCGGCAAAAGGGCAGTAACTTTTTTTTTTTTTGAGACTGCATCCTTTTTGGATGTGATATTCAAATGGCGACCAACATTTTTTCAGGCCAACAGATAAGCGTTTTTTTTACTTTAAACTCAGCGTTGCTTGATGATTTGTTCCTTGGTTATGAAAAAAGAATCGACGCAATGAATGACCGCTTCAGCAATTTTTTTTATCTGTCAGGGACGACGGATGTAAAGATTTTATTTGTTTTTTGTTTTTTTCATTTTCCCTCTTTCAGGAAACTGGTCTGTTCCAATTTACATTATTTCCTTCTATGGTTAAAGAACAGCAGCGCAAAATCATCGCCGTCGATTTGGATCAAACGTTGGCTCGTACGTTGGAGGCGCTTGCAGAATGGCATAATGCTGTGTACGACACAGACCTTTCTGTGCACGACTTTCATACTTACGACTTTTCTCAAGTTTGGGGCGGATCCAAGGAAGAGCAATACGACAAGATTCGGAAATTCTATGAATCCGATCAGTTCCATCGCATTCTGCCCATTGACGATTTCGCTTTGGAAGCCCTGAAAATGCTAAAAAGGCGCCGCTTTCAGCTTATTATTGTTACTTCACGTCAACAATTTATTGCGGAACAAACAAAAAAGTTTGTCGATCGTCACTATCCGGGTACGTTGCAAGTTTTTAAATAATTGGCCAACTGGAAGCCATAGACTGTTACAGCGAAAAGAAAGAAAGAACCCATGAGATGCTGATGGTGAAATTGTCATGACTACTTTAGGTCTATTTGAAAGCATCTATTTTTGTAATTCCGAATTGACGGTGGCGGAACAAGTGGAGTACATATCGAAGCCGAAATCGGCTATTTGTCAAGAAGTCGGTGTGGATGTGCTGATTGACGATTCATTGGAACATGCACTGGATTGCGCGTCGTTGGGTATTGAGGTGTTGTTGTACGATCGGAAAGGCGAATATCGGTGGAATCACCCCACGGTGACCAAACCGTCTGGAAGACCGACACTGACTTCCACATCGCGTCACCTGTACCACAAACCTATTACAGCTTTACCTGCCAATGTGAAACGAGTGACAAGTTGGAAACAGATCATTGAATTGTTTCCTAAACCCACGAGCCCTTTACGCCATTGCTCGTATCCAGAAGATTTTCAAGCGGAGGAAAATGAAAAGGACAGCGCCGATGAAGATGAGGATATGGGCAAGGGAAGAGAAATACTCCTGGATCACCGCATGACGTCTGGCATGAATCAACGCTGCTACACCTATGAAACAATAGAATTAGACGAGTTGACAGACGAAGATGATGCGGAAGAAGACCATGATATGGAAAGGGAGGATTACATCAACAGTAAGAAACGATATGATGATGATGCCTCTTGGTCCAATGACTCCATGGTTTGGGTATAATTGATCGATAATCTTGTACAGTTACTTTAAGCATTCTTTCATTTTTTTATACCCATTTGTACATCTCTTTCTTTTTCAGCATCCACATAAAAACCGCACTGTTCGTGTTACCACGGTTAGAGTTTTTTTTTTTTTTTTTTTTTTTTTTTACTATACAATCCCCCTTCCATGTCTCCGCATTCGTTTCAATTTTCCCTTTTTTTCACGAGGATTTCCTAGCAACCAAAAAGAAAAAAATAAAAAAGAAACGACCCCTTAATTTTTTTTTTCTTCAAACTTACACGTTTTCTCTCTTTTATTTCTTTTCTTTTCCGCTTTACTTTTTTTTTATTTTTTTTTCTAGTAAAGAAAAAGGAAACTTGTATCTGCTCCTCTTTCCTTCTCTATTTTCTGCTTTTGTATACTTGACGGCCACTGTCCTTCGACTTTTTACTTTTTGGCTTTCTTCATTTCAACACGGTTCCTCATTTCTGTCATGGCACTGTGCACCACTTCTTCAAAACCCGCTTGCACTCATAACCCCGCCATGGACACTGCTTTTGACACAAATCTTGAGACTCCGAGTAAACTGGCACTGGCGCTTGACACACTTTCTTGTGACCCCGCTCTTTATGCACCTCATTCGCCAGACCCGCCTTATCCAGGACCTCAGGTACGAGCCTATTCCGTTACTGCCACACCCACAGAGCTACAAAAGACGGTGCAACGTCATCAACAACGCAAACAATATCGACATACAGGCCAGGATTTACCATGGTGGCAATATTACTATCAGCTCTACCACTATCATCCACCACCAGGACGAAAACCCACCGTCTTTGGATCTTATCTTCTTTTACAAACCTTGGGGGAAGGCGAATTCGGAAAAGTCAAGCTCGGCATTCACATGGAAACCGGTCAAGAGGTAAAACTACATTATCTAAAAAAAAAAAAAAATACCACCGCCATCACCATCACAACGACAAAAACAACAACAACAAGATACAAGGACGCAAAGAAAAGGAAAAAAAAAAAATAAAAAAGATAAGGGAGGCGCTTCCTGCATGAACATATGTTTATTTATAGTTTTTCTTTTTTTTTTATCTATCGAATGCCATAGGTCGCAATAAAGTTGATGAAAAAAGACAACATTGATTCATCGACAAGAATGACCAAAGTGGAACGAGAAATTTCAGTATTAAGGGTAATGATGCAAACGAGGGAAAAGAGGTCCATCATTATCACAGATTATGCAATCTTTATATCTCAACCATTTTTGAAATTAGACCGTACGCCACCCCTACATCGTCAAACTCTATGATGTGATTGAAACAGAAAAGTACATTGGTATCATTCAACAATGTGCATCAGGTAAAGTTCTCTCCCCCACAGACCAACAAAAATAGTACTTGCTTTGCTTATCAACATATTTATGAAAAAAGGCGGAGAATTGTTTGATTACATCCTGGCCCATCGATATTTGAAAGAGAAGGATGCGAAAAGATTGTTTGCGCAGCTGATAAGTGGGGTACATTACATGCACCAAAAACACATCATTCACAGAGACCTAAAACTCGTAAGTCGGACATGCACCGCTTCGAAACCGGAATCATGGCACAAGCAAAAACAATACACAAAAAAAAAATGTGGCAACTCCCATGGGACGGGACAGTAATAACAAAAAAAAAGAGCCAATATGATTCAAGGAGGAGTATTATCTTTTTACTGTTGTCACTAAACTGCCTTTATTAGGAAAATCTGTTGCTGGATAGACATCGAAGTATTGTCATTACCGATTTTGGGTTTGCCAACCAATTCAACTCCGCACGAGACGATCTCATGTCAACCTCCTGTGGATCACCATGTTATGCCGCGCCTGAACTGGTTATCAGTGAAGGTCTCTACGTTGGTTCAGCCGTTGATATTTGGTCTTGCGGTGTCATCTTGTTCGCGATGCTGTGTGGCTATTTACCGTTTGATGACGATCCTGGGAACCCCGAGGGAGACAATATCAATCGACTGTACAAATATATTCTAAACACAACATTGACCTTTCCAGATTATGTCGGTGACGACGCGCGCGACCTTTTACAGAAAATGCTGGTCCCTGATCCGTCGTTGCGTTGCACCATGAAAACAATCATCGATCATCCTTGGCTCACGTCACATCGTCCTCTTTTGGAAAAATCCGTCCAAGAACTGGAAGCCGAAGCCATCAGTTCAACGGAACTTCGTATTCCACGACCGCCAACCGACCACGAACCGTCGACGCCTCCACCCATTGAAGAAAACATTCATGCGGATCAAACACCTTCGCCGGTCACGGATTCCGACAGTACCGCTTGTCCCGATGACACGACTCATGACGACGAAAAATTGACCGACGCTACACCAACCCATCCAGAAAAATCATCCATCACCATGTCACATGTTTCCCACGAATCGTTACCCAAAGACACAGCCATCGTTCCTGCAGAGCCTGACGACGTTTCATCGACGGAACCTTCCGTATCTGAATCCACCCTCATCAAGGGAACCATGGCAGCCACAGATGATGCAGCCGTGCCGGATATATCATGTCTCGAATTGCCAGCTTCGGCTCATCCCGATTCGTGTGAAGAACCAACAGACCAAAAACCATCGTTACCGGAATCCTCGGAAGAACAACCACACAATGCCGTCCCTCATCCCGAAATCACGCCTCGACGGCCTGTTTCTGTCCAACCCACCTCGGACCACCATAAATCACACCCCCGAGAAAAATTGCTTCAGTTCCTTGCAGGCACTCCTGGCCCAATCTCTCCTCAGCCAACAGGTACAGCCAGGTTGAATGCATCCGTGCGCCCCATGTCCATGGGTACACAGGGATTACCCACAGGGACCGGCTCCATACTGCAGGCCAAATTTATCTCCAGCATGCAACGACGAGTCAGTATGGCGAGACAACATGATAACAGTAAAGGAGAGAAACCCGCTCGAACCGTCAGTCTCAGTACCCCTTTCTCACTTCGACCCACCAATTCAACCACTCAACCCACAGTGTCAACAAGCCAAGTACGACCGATCCCAGGCATGTCACAGCCTGTTCGCGGCACCCGAAGAAAAGCTCTCAGTTTGCTGGTGGGATCCATGTCCGACTACATCTCTTCCGATAACAAGCAACCCAAAAAAGCGGCGACAAATATCACACAAAGAACAACATCTCGCAGGCGTGCTCAGAGCGTCCAGCAAACACAGGAACCACAAGGTTTACAGCATTGTCGGACAAACCAACGTGACACAAACTCCATGGTGGGGTGGAACAACGTTCATGCCATGCCGTCCGTATCAGAGCAACCGGTTACTCGATCACGGCGATCCTCCGACAAGGACAAACACCGCAGTACTGGCAAGAAATTGATGGATTGGTTCAAAAAGCGTCCTTTAAGTAAGTAACATAACTAACGATTGAAGCCGACCATCTTTTTTTGTTGGACTTCTCTTTTTTTTTCATTTGGCTGATTCTTTGAGCACTAGGCACCCGCGATAGGACATTGAACCATTCAGCTCATGGTGACACATTGACACCGGGCCGACCACTGAGCAGTCTGCCTCCTGTACGAGCCAATGCCAAAGGCAAATTGTTGGGCATTTATGCAGTTGATTATAACGATTCCAAATTGCGGATCCACCAAGGCGCCGTAGAACAGGAAGCTTTGACCTCGCGATCGCCCCAAGATGTCATTGCCGATTTGAAACAAACGTTGAACACCATGGGGATTGATATCAAGCGCAAGGGCGAATTTAGACTAAAATGCGTACGACGAAAGCGGGCGACCATGGAAAAGCATGATTCTTTTCATCGGATTCCACTGCATTCAGAAAAACTAAAAAAGATTGGCAACGGCGTTCCATTCCGTATGCTGCTACGACGATCGACTCACTCTACAACAGCTTCTTCCGCCAATAGCACAATGGAAGCCACCATTTATGGTGACCCGGTGGTGGATCCGGGCGAAGAAGTACGTTTCAGTGTTGAATTATGCAAAATCAAGAATTTACCGGGATTGTATATCGTGGATATTCGCAGACTGCACGGTGACATCTGGGCATACAAATTTCTCTATCATACCCTTTTGGATACTTTAAATCTAAACGGTAAAGCAGGTCGATATATGCAAAATTTACCGCCTTCCACCGTTCAACGATCGCCCACTTCCAGCAACCATCGCATAAGCTCCACAAGCAGCGGCAACAGCAGTGCTTTGGAAGAAGTTGATCCTTGAAAAAACTTCAATCACCGCATTCGCACAAACCGTCACAATATTTTTGTTCATAAAGTTTTTATCACTCAAAATTTTTTAAAAGCCTTCCCTTTCTGTAAAAAAAAAGTTGGTACCAATATGGTCGCATAGTAAGTTGTCTGCCAATTCAATATGAATTACACTTTTTTTGCTTGTTCTGCAGTCCCGTTTCTGAATGGCAAAACGGACGAGATTTTTGCCAGCATTGTCGTAATTTATGATTTGCATTGGTATTCATTGACCCATTTTTCTGCTATCTTAGCAACGTTCCTACCGCCAACGATGTTCTCGTTCCCGAGACTCTCTTGAAGAAGCAGAAGAGCGAAGCCAAGTCGGCCGCTGACTGTGCCGCCAAGAAGGCCGAGCTCCGCAAGGCAAGTAGATTAGTGACATGGGGTCCTGTTGTTATAATGGCGTCCATGAGTTGTCATCCATGGAAAGGATATTTGTGAATCGACAAGCAGACGAAGGGAAAAAAGCGATTCTGTTGCAGGATTGTTGATGGGAAATGTTGAAACTTGCTGCTGAATTTTGGAGGGAACTGGGAGAAAGATAGTGCTGTGTGTGTGCGTGTGTGTCTCCAACGTCTTTGGCAGCCATAGCAGGGAGATCAACAAATGCAGAATCACGTGCTTACCGACTATTTGGTTTCTGTCATGAACAGGCTAAGCTCGCCAAGAGACGCGACATCTTCAAGCGTGCTGCCAAGTACCACGCCGAGTACAAGTCTGCCGAAAAGAACGAGATCCGTCTCCGTCGTCAGGCCAAGGCTAACGGCAACTACTATGTTCCCGCTCAGTCCAAGTTGGTGTTCGTTGTCCGTATCCGTGGTATCAACAACATTGCTCCCAAGCCCCGCAAGGTTCTCCAGTTGTTGCGTCTTTTGCAGATCAACAACGGTGTCTTTGTCCGCTTGAACAAGGCTACCGCCCAGATGCTCCAGTTGGTCGAACCTTATGTCACCTACGGTACTCCCAACTTGAAGACCATCCGTGAACTCATCTACAAGCGCGGTTACGCCAAGCTCAACAAGCAGCGTGTTCCCATTTACGACAACGCCGTCATTGAACAGGCTCTTGGCAAGTACAACATCATCTGTGTTGAGGACTTGATCCACGAAATTGCCACCGTTGGTCCTCACTTCAAGGAGGCCAGCAACTTCCTGTGGCCCTTCAAGTTGTCCAACCCCAACAACATGTGGCGTCCTCGCAAGTTCCGTCACTTTGTTGAAGGTGGTGACTCTGGTGACCGTGAGGAATTCATCAACCAGTTGGTTCAATCCATGAACTAAAAAAATATAGCAGTCTTTTTGGAAGCCAAATATTTCAAATAAAGGTTCCTATGTTATTTTGAAACCTCATATTCAAAAGCTATAGTATGAACACTGTACGGTACGGTCGGTACAGTATAATAAGCCATTCATATTCGATCGATATTAAGATGAGTTTTTTTCTTTTCTTTATACAGTTCAGAGGGGGGGGTGGGGGTGGAGACAGAAGCTGCAACACGGATCGACCATCGAGGTTTGGGGTAAGGGAGGGAGGGGGAACAACAGGTTAAAGTATTTTTTTCTTGGCGCGCTTTGAAAAAACGGGCTCTCTTTTACTTTCCCAGCATTAACTGCTTTCTATTTTTGGTCAACGCTTGGTACACTCCAAAACCTTCTCCAAATTCCTTCAAGAAACAATGAATTTGCCAACACACGTCATCATTTGCCACGCGTCTCCTTTTTTCTCTTGCTTTCGAGAGGCCAGGCGAGCTGTCGCGTCCTGGGCATGCGGCCTACAGCCGAGAACCGACTATTGGCCAAACAGGCAATGGAATCATCGACACCAACAATGGTAGTTTGCCATCATGCAATCTTGGACCACGAAATGCTATTGTCACCGGCAAAGCTGTACAGGAAATGGATCCATCCACGTACATAGAGTATAATGACACAGAGGATGAAGAAGAACAAAACGATCCGCAAGCAAATACCGATCAAAAACAATACGTGCCATTCTATAAAGAGGCAGTGCTGCACGTCCTCAAAAATGACGCTTTCATTTGCAAAGCCAGCAAACACGGAACTTTACACTCAAGAACTTGTCGATCGTACCGTCTTGCGCTCCCTTTATCCAAGGATTTTCACCCTCGTGCGATTTCACTGTCCACTGTGGAACAATGGGTCAGCCCGGGGAGTTTGTCGATTTTTACGTAGCGGAGTACGGCGACGTCGTGGTTGCTCATCCACAAGTTATCCTATCTGAAGGGAGTGATGAAGTTCTTCATCTCAGCAGTGTGACGATTTCCGATATCACCTGCTTAACCAACAAGATTCGGAAATGCAAAAGGTGATTACCTTCACTGTCTATTGCATGCAAGGATAGTGTCATGTTCGTGTAATAAAATAATATATTTCACATACACCCATTCCTCTTTCATTGTATTATGTACATGTCCACCGTTAAATCTCATACTAGATCAATATCTCATAACGTTCGCAGCAGTTCAAATATACCGAGTTATACCATACTCAAATCCTAATCAGTGAAGTTGAACCTCAGGATCATTTTTATTTAGAAACCGACCTTTGACATAAAACAATCATGCGATCCACATTCACAAACTCACTGTCTCTTTGTCACTCAAAAGTCACAAGGACGACCATATCCTCTTGTCATTCGTCCACAGTACATTCAACGGCAATATATACAGGATAAATAATTTCTTATAATACAATCAATTCAAATAACGATGTATCAGCAACTGTATAAGCAGACGTAGAATGAAGAATCGATCTGGGCCTTTTTTCCCTTCTCTTGTTTCTCAATAAATCAAAGTCTCAAAAAGATCCCATGTTTTCTTTGTTTTTACATTTATTTATTCATAAACACCACGGAGAGGACGTTCAACGTCAAGCACCAACAGAAGAGCGCGTTCGACAAGTGCTGCGCATGGATATCTTGATTACGTCCGCCAAGGGCAAACTCGACCGTGCCAATGGTGTCCTTCCTGTGGCAACCCAGTATGAAGAACATGAGCCCCAGACCCTAACAGCCAAATTGCGATGCCTCTACCGCTTCCGACGTTTTTTCTAGCATAAATAAGCAGCAAAGATACTAACGGCAAGGATCTTACTCTCAGCTACTTCAAATCGGATAAACTCAAGGGACACATCGGATGGACCACGTTCCCGTTCTGGTGGTCCCCGTGGCCGCAACCTTGGATTTTGAAGCCCTGCTATCGGAAATCCTTAAGATATCCCATTTTATGAAGCTCACGTTGCCTCCACGAGTTATTTAACCGTTGGGTATAATCTTGTGGGGAGCGGGTTAAACCAAATGAGCGCTTGGGATCTCTCCAACAAATGATTGACAAGTTGATGTCCCGCGGCCTTTGCAACACATTTTCGTATCACCTATTTGCAACGCATCCGACAAGTTGCTGAATCGCGACAAGTCGGATGAAATCGAGGAAATTATGAGCCGGCTGGAACGTGTGTCAGGCACAATGAAGACATTGATAGAAGAACTCACCAGCGACCATTCTCCCACCAGATTAGTGATCCTTGATTAAGGTGGCCTGTCGTCAAACAACGGTGATATTCAGCAATTTCCGATATGTTTCCTCATCTCACGGAGCTCGTCGTTGATAGAGATTTCATGTTTGAAATGTTAACACGATATATGATCCCAGATGATTAAAATTTAGCCATCAAACTCCAATAAAAGGGCACATCCAAACGAAGCTGTGCACCATTTGCATTCTTTATGATTTCCATTGTAATAATCTTTACACGGCTTCCTTTTCTCCTTGTTTTCCCTTTGTCTTTGATATCTTTACTGGATCTTGATTTTATCCGGATTTTATTACATTTCTTGACTGCGCCTTCCTTTCATTTGACGTCGTCGCCTTATCTTCGATATGTCTTTAGCTAATGACCGTATCAAACAAAATAAAAATGGTGCCCATTAAAATGAGCATAAAAGACAAAATAGCAACCTGATATGGACAGCAACAGTCAGCGTGAGGAGGCGTTTGACCTTCAATTCTTTGACTTGGCAGAAATTAGACAATGAACCTGATGCTTGGAAGAGCTTGACCAATGAGCAAGGCAATCAATTCTTTGAGCCTTGGTAACCAATTCTCTTTTTTTATTTTTAGATCACTCGACACTGTTGCTGGAACAGGCAATCTTTTTGGTACGATATCAAACTACAAAATCAGCGACTTTACTTTCTGAATGCCTGTAAAAATCGTCTTAAAAAAGACCGAGAATAACAATAAATTTCGACCGCTTGTCCCCTACAAAAATAAAATAAATAAGACTCGAGAATAAGCTAATTTCCTTTTTGTCGATGAAAGCTTCTATATTTAAATCTGTTATCGATTTTCGGTTTCGCCACCGTCACTAAGGTTGAACGTGATTCAAAGGCTCATTTTTGTAGGACGATGGCTATTTAGGCTTTTTTTTTATACCAACATAGACACATGCACGAATAAGGGCGATTGATTGGATAATGCATGTTTATTATTTTAGTGATTGCCTTGGTTGGCAAACATCTTCCATTGACTGTATTTTTGGTATATACAAAAAAAAACGAGGAGATATAACAGGGAGAAAATGGTGAAAGGCTCGTCTAAAGGGATAAAAGGAGAGGAATGTGGGTATGCGCAAATGATGGAAATGGCATATAGAAATGCACCGTTGTTATATAAAACAGGAATATGTAGCAGGAAAACACAAAGGGAGCCGAAAAAAGGAGAAAGACGGCATCAGACCCAAAAGTCTGAAGAAAAATGGTGATGAAGAAGAAAAGAGTACGAAATACAATGGAATATAATACAAAGGGATAGTTGAATAAGCAATGGTTGGCAGAAATCCATCACATCATTCAGCAGAAAAATATGGAATACAATACATTAGGCCCTTGCGAGACATGCAAAATGAGAAAAGAAATCATTCGGATGGTGATCATAACTGACAGGCTCCGTTGCCAGGTGAAGCAATCGATCATGAAGTGTATCGGCAGAGGCCGTCTCTTGGTTTTTGGTTTCTTCCGGGGAAGGTTGATATTTCCATGGCAACACATCCAGCGTTAACCGGCTGGTTTCGCCCTGAAGAAAAGCCGAGTTGAAATAATTGAGAACGTCTTCGAGATCCCTTGAAGTGTGCTCGAGTAACTCTGGCAACACTTGTTCATCCAATGTTTTGAAAATGTGCGTCAGGTGATAGGCGATGTATCGATCAAATTCGGATGACAGCTGGACAGCTTTGGTTGCCAAGCATTTCGAGTCGATGTGATCGGCCGAGTCGGCGAGTGGGTCCTCTTGCTCGACATCCGAACAATGGGTAATCAGTAGTTTGCGAATGAACGATTCGATCGCTTGTTTTCCTAGTCGGTCGGCTAATCGATCCCAAGCCAAAGGCAGATTGCCTTCGGTGTGTGCCTGTAAAGCACCAAATATTTGTGCCTTCAAAATTTCCACATCCATAGTGTCGATAGAATTAAAGCTCGAGGACTGAAACACCTCCTGCTGAGATGACTTCACATTAATTTGAACATGACGTTGAAACTGAGTCGAGATTTCTTTGTAAGTCTTCGAAATAATGGAATCGAGATGTTCAAACTGCCAGTGGGTTGCGACAAGTTGAGCAAATGGATCGATTTGGACCGGGAATGGAGATTCGGCGGCGATACAATCTGTCAGTGTGGCGCTGCTTGTCGTTGTCGTGCTGGATGTCGTCGAGAGCAACGGTAAAGCATGCGCTAGGGTAGGTAAAAGAAAGGCGAACACAGGCTGGAATTTCATTCACGTAATTATTTGAGGTTGCTGTTTTTATCTTGTAAGAATATAGAAAAGAAACTGCTAAACAAGTATGGTCGTTGTTGCAAGATTAAGTAAGAAAAGGGGACAAAAAAACTGAAAAAAAAAGATCCACATTATTTATAAGGCAGGTTGAAAAAAAAAAAAATTTCAAGTCTATGACGATGAAATTTTCGATAAAAAAGGGGTGATGCCTATTTTTGGCAACACAGATTGGTTTCAAGGCGATCAACGGAGTTTATTTTGCCAAGACGGGCCATGACGACGATAAGCGCTGATTGTCAATTAAACGAACCGGTTGTTCGCGATCGCTCAAGTAAGGCCAGATCACTTGGGTCTCCAAATACTCGTCGCTGATTTGCATCTACAAACATCCATCAAACCATTATCATCGCTGTCCATTTTTTTTGTCGATCTCTCCTTGTTCAAATCCTTCTCTCTTTCTTCTCTTTTTCCCTTTTTACATTTTTTTCTTTCAACTTACATGGTGTCCTGGGCACACGAGAAACTCTAAACGTCCTTCTTTTTCCATCACCTGTAATCCTAACCAATCGTCACGATACAGAGCTTGTTGTTGGAGTGGTACGAGGTCGCCGTTCAGATCATACATCCAGAACCACTAAGCCTTCGATGTCAGTTCAACCATGGCCTAGAATCCGCAACCCAATTTTTTTTTCTGTCCACACTATTTTCTCCGCCATGTTAAAAAGCCCTTACCGCTGTTTCTGCTGGTTTGATCATCGTGTCATCCGAGAATTTGATCAAGACAATTTTGTCCAAAGATAGCAAGTGTTGTTTATAGGATATGTTTTTGCCAGAGTGTTCATTATTCAGATCCGGTAAGAAGATATTTTTCTGCAAATAACCTAATTGTCCTGTTGAGTTTTTTTTTTTTGTCTTGTGCTGCGCAGACTAAAAAAAAAGTAGCTGAGCCAGAAAAGTGCTGCTGCTTTCATTTTTGGTTACCTTGACTGTTCACCCGATCTTTAAAATACTGGGCTTGTACAACATGATGCCGTACGTAATCGGAATAGACGCCACGCCGTACCAGGGTTCGCATTAGTGCACAGGTGAAATCCCTGGAATTCATACAATTGGGAATGTCGGATACACCTTTAGGGTTATTTTTTTGTTGCATGTCAAAAAAGTCATGAATGAAATCATTGCATCATCAACAAAAATACAGGCTATTTCCTTTTGCAATACCTCCGTGCGGCGAACCAAAAGTGATCAGCCGATGAACCGGTGGCGCGTTGCACCGCTCGATGTATGCTCTAAATATTCGGTCATTCACTCTTTTCTAGCAGTTTCTTGACGTTCTGTTGCCAAGCGTTTCCTTTTTCCTTTACCTTAAAAATAAACCGCCCTAAGCAATCGAATGTACACACGGGAAAAAACAGTTGAGAAAACAACAATAACAATAACAATAACACCATCAACATCATTTGTCGCGTCCATCGCGTCCATATCCGCACCGTTTCTTACCTGAGAGAACCCAATCGCGTTAAATCCATTCGCCAGTTCAGGTATAGCTGCCAGCTGCTGACACGCCAGATCGATCTATTATTCGTAAGACGACATCAGAATATCGATATTCACGGAAAAAAGGAGTTCCATATCAAGAACAAAACCAAAAAAAAAAAAGACGGGCTGAAGAAAACAATGGCTCAGCTTGTACACACATGGTCATTTAAGTTCCCAAAGAATCCCGCTTTATGGTCCTCTTCCAAGTCGCTTCCGATTTGGATGCTGTGGACGAAAATTCCCGGTAAACGATCCTGCAGCAAAGCTGTTACTCTACCCATGGACTCGGGGTTACAACATGTATCCCCCATTCCATGCCACAGAACAACTGCACTCGGGAATTACATTTACATTCATAGGAAAACCATGTTGCACCAAGAGACAATTTACCTGGACGATAACTTGCTAAAATGGCCACATGTTAGTTAGACCGTAGTTTACAGATTGGCTTGCGCAATGACCTCACCATGAATGCCACTAGCATATAATAGACATGCTAACCATATGAAATACATCGTCTTCATGGCCAAGATTTCGAGAGACAAGAACAGTTCGAGTCAAATGACTATGGATGTGGTTGCACGTGGACAATCAACGTCACAGACAACAACTCTATTGATCTTCAAAATAGAAATTTTTGAGTTATTTTGAAAGCCTTACCCGAAGGCTTTCCCGAAATAACACCCAATGTTTGTTTACATGTTGGCACTGGCCTATCCGATTGTGCAGCTGCAAAAAATTAGCACGGGACAGATGTTTGACCTCGCTTTTATGTTGTCAGTTTGCTTTTGTCTTTGGAAGCCGTGGCGGGCATCAGCAGCTGTCCGCTTGGTTTCTTCGTGGCCGTTGAATAGATGTTTCAAGAATCTCAATTCACAAAGATACTGTTGTATAACGCGATACAGCTTTTTTGTGGCGCCACGACTGTATGAAGCAGGATGTCACTGGATTAACCGGGAAACTTTAAATGGGGATCTATCTAAGCTTACTACATCCAGGACATTCCCTGAGTAATATTCTTATATCTCATCGGATTAACTACAGTTCTGGGTTCACACCAGAGCAAGAGATACTTCTTCTATGGTAACTGGGTGCCATGTCCTAAACTTCTCAAATAAAATGCTTCAACATGTCAGTTTCTCATTCATGAGATAGCAGTCTGCCCTTTTGATCCTGAACTGGAGTTCAGTTTTGAACAAGTGTCGCCTTACTCTGCCTCGGCGATTATCTTTTTGCTATTTTTCATTCCTTTTATCGCCTTCTTCTACAAGGATTCGGTTGTCTCGTACTCGCACTTTTTGCCATATCCTCATCGGGCGACACCTCCATATGATGGGTTATGACTGTCTTCTTGGCACAGGTTACTGCTTGCAGAAACTACAGGTCATGGATCTTTAAGTTTTTTATGGCTTATAATATTCTTATTGAAACTGATGATGGGTTTTGAAATCACCGATTATCTGACTGCGGTTCCAATAAAAAATAAGTCGAAGAAGCTTTTGCAAAAAGCTTACTGAACTAATGAAAAAAGCTCGTGTGAAACGAAAAATTCCCTGGAATAAGAAGAGCTTCGCACCATTTTCTGATGAAGCCGCAGCCGAGTTTAGATAGAAGCCAGCTGTATAGCCCAATGTAGCGTATATTTTCCTCAGGCAAACAGTATTTGGCTTTAACAGATATTCCCGCAAACCTAGATACTACGGCAATTATCCTGACCAAGCGCATTACAGAATATCAAGGGATGTCAAGGAAAAGCAAGGAGCTCATAGGCTGCAACGATGTATGATAAGATAGGCACATTTGATGTGGTTGATTTCCGCTGCAAGTTATGTCATAAGCCACCCATAATTCCTGCATTCAATTCCCAGAATTTCGAAACTATATTCTTCAAGACCTTTTAAACCGACATTGTCTGACTAAACGAAATGATATGCGCTATTCATATCATTTTTATTACTAGAAACCATACAAAAATCAGGGTTGCTCGAGATGACAGCAGTCGCTTTGAAGGAGAGGAAGGTGCAGATTGCCAAAAAGCGAACGTGGTCCGGCAAGTCCGACAAAATACGCCCGGAATGCCAAGTTCAAGACCCGACGCTCCTTTGCTGAAATTTACTTTTCACGGTGACCAAAGTCCATCCTCTTTCTCTGACCATCTATATATCAACCATGGTGGTATGTATTCACACGAGATACCATCGATACACCTTACGACGAGATTGGCTAGTGGGCGGAGGAGAATGGATGGATGGATGGATAAATGTGATATGTCAATAATGCCATCGAGTCGCTGTGGAAGCGAGAAGAGGAGGGGAAAAAAAAGGACACACACATCTCGAGAACTGGAACTGGCTAATCGGGTGTGAATGGATTACGGGCATTAGTGTTTGGATATGACCCATGCTAACAATGCTTTCGTTTTTTCTCTCTTGTTTATGCTTTTTTATAGCAAGGTGCTTTCAAACGTCAAGTCGAAGTTGGCCGCGTTGTCCTCCTTAGCTACGGTGCCGACAGCGGCAAGTTGGCCGTCATCGTTGATATCGTTGACCACAACCGTGCGCTCATTGAGGGTCCCACCACTGGTGTCAGCCGCCAGGCTTACCCCTTCCGTCGCATGACCTTGACTCCCCTCGTTGTTAAGGGTCTTCCTCGCGCTGCCGGCCAGAAGGTCGTCAAGAAGTACTTGGAAAAGAACGAAACCATCGCTGCTTGGAACAAGACCGCTTGGGCCAAGAAGCTCGAGCAACGCCAAGTCCGCTCCAACTTGTCCGACTTTGATCGCTTCAAGTTGATGAAGTTCAAGGCTCAGGTAAATCGCGCAGTTCACATTTGGATACATGATGAACGTTGTTGACTCACTCTTTTTTTCCTCTTCTAGCGCCGTTTCGCCACTCGCACTGCTGTTGCTCAGGCTAAGAAGCAGGCTGCTTAAATTTTCCGTTACATACAATCAGCTCGCTTCATAAATAAATACTACAAAAAAAGCAAGGCAGACAACTTGAACCTTCATGTGCATTTGATATACTCGACGCTTTGATGCTTGGATTAGGGTGTTTTTTTTTCACTTTTTTATAGTTTTCTTGTGGTGTAGGAAAAAAAAAAGGAAAAGTAGGACATAATCTATTAATCATTATTTAACGGGGTTTCGTTGGAGCTTTCGGGTTCTTCTTGTGGTGTGTTCTCAGCGTCTTGCTCCATGTCTACCGTATCATTGGCCGCAGTTGGGGCGGCCGCCCGTCGACGCTTATAGAAAAGCAAGTAAGCTGCATTGGTCTGTAGATACTCGTTCGTTAGTTCAATGGCGGAAAGAGCCCACAGCGGGTGTCATTATGTATTTACCTGTGCATCAGTTGCGGTGACTTTGCTAACATGTGAATCATCAAAATTGTACCAGTGGCCGTCATTGCAATTTTGGGCGTAAGCAGTATCTAGATAATCAACGTTGTTAGCCGCAAACTAGGATATCCCCCAGCTCGTTTCATCCAAACTTACAATGGCCACCACCTAAACCTCCAAAGTGATTATCGACAGCATACAAGTCGTAAATCAGCTTTTGGTCAATTTCCTTGCCATCTTGCGGCGGATTAAAACCGAGAACACGATCGGTAAGGTCAAGACCTTCAATGGGGAAATCAATATACGCGTCAATCTTGTCTCGCCACGTTCTCGAATGGCTGAATCGCTTCAGGTGGACCACAACAATTTCGGGCAAATGCCAGAGGTCAAACTTCTTCCGTGCTCGCTGATGCTTCTTGCATTGTGGACAATACCATAGATCCTCCTCGCTGAGCTGTTCCTCCTTGGTAAATTCATCCAGACAGTTACTCAAGCTCACTTTTTTCTTTTCTTCGTCAACATCATCCTTTGCATTGGGATCACCGATATCTCGTACGTCTTCAAAACCCTTATCATCAATACCGGACCCATGAGTTGCTGTACCAAAGAACTGACAAGCCTTGGTTTTGCTCCATTCAATGATAATGCCTTCTCCTTGACGAAGAATGCATCGTGGTTGACGACGCAATTTCTTCTTTGGCGGTTCCACAAGCTTGGATTTTTTGAACGGTCCGGGCAAAATCATGCCACTGTCTGTGGATCCACTCTGGAAAACAGAAGCTGCGTCTTCCACAACCTCGTCCTCATCATCGTCGTCCGTCTGAGGACCTTTGTCCTGATCATTATGTTCAGGGCTTTGAGCGTTCATCATCTCGTTTTCCTTTTCTTCCGGTTTTTCCTCGTCCGCCGCAATAGCCATGGTGTCTGTGTTCTGTTCATCGGATGACGGCACAGATTCCGTGTCGGGTGCAATCAGTTGCTGTTCCTTTTCTTTTTCGTATTCTCGCTGCAATTCCGCTTCTTTGGCAGCACGCTCCGCCAAGTCAGGAAGGCTACTTGCCGACATGTAAGGAGTAGACAGAGGCAGAAGAGGTTCGGAAGAAGATCGGTAATAGTTGGGTCTTTCAGTGAAAACTCTCATGGTAAACATGTTACGAATGGCCTTCATTTCGCGTCCGCCAGCTGCTATGACCGCGGCAGGGTTGTGAATCGGTACAGGAGTAGTAGCTTCATCAATATCCATGGACGCATCATCTTTGGCGGGAGCAGGAGCACTAGTCACCTCGTTTGCGGTAGTGGTGCTTTCCTTGGATGACTCTTCTTCCTCGGTTGCTGTGTATTTGACTTCTTCAAAAAGTTTCATGATGGTATAGCGTTCCATATGCTGCGAGATCAGTTGATATACATTGTCCACTTTGTCCGCAGCTTTCCAAGGAAGACTCAAAAAGATGGGATAACCGAAGTACTGAGATTTCGAATAGCCTTCATCGGTCATTGAGCAATAGACAGGGAAGATAATATGACGATCTTCATTATCTACATCGTCCATGGTATCGTCTTCATCATCCGTGCTTGAGAACGCCGATCCGTTTTTCTTTGTTTTAACCACCCCTTGAGGAAACGAAACCGGAAGCTGGTACACTCGTACATTGTCTGTCTTGTTGATGCTACTGACAGGTTCATACAGAGCGAATTGCTTGTATATCTTGTGATCAAAGATTTCTACAGGGAGTAGCTGAGAGAGATCATCATAAGTATACTATATAATAAAAACGTATGCGAACCATGCTGCTTACTGTAGATGAATCCTCGATCTCCATCATCTTGGCCACTTCGTTCATAAGATGTCCCACACTCTTGTCTTTGTTAATGGTCACAATCATAGAAATAGCTTGTTGCGAAGGATCATAAGGGACGTAGGTGATTCGGATCTTCTTTTCCCTTTGAATCGGGAGCGGCAACGATAGATACATAAAGGGATCAAAGGTTACAGAGACCTAGCACAAACGAATAAACGACTTCATTCCATGACTGACAACCAAACTTGTCCACGCACCTTTTCACATTCGTTACAGATCAATTTGCTTTTGAACTGTCCCTGAAACAGGTCAACAATCACAGAATCATTACGAGCCTTGTGGTAATTCCAGCTCTGCTGCGCAATTTCATGATCCGGCATACCGACAAAATCCGGAAGCTCAACATACGGTTTTTTCAGGATGCGGTTTAGATCCTCATGCAGACCATCCAGCAAGAACGCCAACAATTCCTGTGAATCATGTTGCTGATATCCATTGAAAGCGTGATTGAACCGTCCAATCGTATACTACAATCATGTAATGACTAATGAGTAATGATGCTTCAATAGCTCCAATACGCCTTTTTTTTTCATTCTTTTGGTCACTGACCTTGAAATCTCTGGGGGCAACGCTGGCAGTGTGGCCACTCCATAACTTGGCAATCAGATTACCGTACGCTTCAGCGACTTGGCCTTGCATACCCAACGGGTTGTCTCTATTCAAGTCCTTTTTGTCGTTTCCCGCTGAGCAGAATAATCAGTGATCCATTGAAACGATCCTTTGGTCACGTCCGATTTATCACCATTTCACATACCCAGAAACCATGCAGTCAATTGAGGTGTATTGCTCAAACATTGAAGAGCCGAGTTCATAAAGCATGTATTGCCTAAATTGGACAGGCCACACACGCCCTTTTCGTACATGGGTGTTTTGATTTTCGAGGCGTCATCTGCTGGGCCATTGGGAACGGAGAATGGCGGGGTACCCGAGGATGCTCGGAGGTTGAGGAACTCGCGACTCACGCGTCCACTCGAAGACGAAGACCACGAAGTATGACTCGAAATTGAACTGGAAGATGATGATCGTCGTCGTCGAGATGGCGTCGTCGAGATGGGTTCCGCTTCGGGCACAGTAGTCTCCATGACACCTTTTTCGGTAGGGTAAAGTCCATTGACGGAGTCCTTTATTTCTACGACGTACGCTCCACTCGACAAACCCATCACCTCCTGTGTTATGGCGTCATTTGACACATCTATCAATTGCGTCGTCTTGACTTCCTCAACGGCAACGAACGGTGGAAAAAGCACGTCGGGCTCTGATTCGATAACCCACACTCGAATTTCAGCGGTCGATGGCAGCCCCAAGACATCCACAATTGTCGCCTTTAACTGCTTCTTAGTGGCTTGTTCGGAAATGGCAATCGTAGGACATTCGCTCAGAGTGAGAGAGGGGCAAGGTGCCATTATATACAGCTTGAGGCGAACCAGATCGGTATCGTGACTTGATCTCGCGTCCGAGATGATATCCGTTTCTGGCATGCATGGCCCACCGCCTCCTTGCCTTTTTTTTTTTCATTCCATGTTAGTCTTACAGCTACAGCCACAATAAAAGGAAAGGAAAAAGGTAATATTATTTACCATTGGTACAAACAATCCCACAGTCGAGCCGGCAGGACAATATAGTCGACATCTTTTTGCAGGCCGTTCTTGAGAGTCACTCCATCCGCTTCCAGTAAAGGCATGTTGTCAATCGTTCCAATGTTGCGTCCAGCAGCGGATGTGTCTGTTTGTTTCGTGGGATCGCTTTCAAGGTCCAGACATCGCCAGCGGTCATACCATTCTTTGTGGAGAAGATACCCTGCGGAATGCTCGTTGTCGACTTCGGCTTGAGTCAGTCTCGATTCCATATATTGTCTTTGCTCGACAGGATCCAAGTTAGGCACCGTATATGACTCTGCGTTTATGTCCGTGTCGGGAATATCGCGTAATGACACACGGGGCCAATTCGATCCCGTCGTATCCTTGTCGACTTCCATGGCCGTTGCGTTGTTTTCGACCGTCTCTGCGGGAATATCCGTCGAGGCGTTTTCCACTATTGACGAATTCCCATGGTCCATCCGAGCATTGGAAGAAGATGCTTGCTCCGTCGACATGTCTAAAGTTTTTGTCTTCGTGATTGGAATGGGCTGCAGAGGGATCTAAGAGCCTTTTTTGTTGCAAAAAATATCGTCAGTGCACGTGACTTTTTGATCCCTTCCTCCCAGATTTGAACATGACATCAGTCAAACCCCCATTTTTTTTTCTTTCCCAAACCCGCCGATCCGATCCGTGTTTTTTGCCACACATCAAAAAAGATGTGCGATTGATTGCCGGTTCCTGCACTTTTCTGCCTGCGTTGGAGCGTGATTTGACAAATAAAGGGAGCATCCGACAAATGGAACCAGTGTTTCTTGGAGAAACAATCATAAAAAAAGCCTTTTGGCATGTATGTTTTACAGTTGTGAAGAAAAGATTTCGAGACCTGCTAAAGTCAGTTCCGTCATTATTCAGCACCATTTCTTCCATGATCATTGGCTTGAGAAGGTACTTTAAAGAAGACTCGATGCTATTTATGCATGAGCACACATCCAATGGGGTAGACGGGTAAAGATTGAGTCACTGTGCATCAAACAAACAACAACAATCGGATATATGCGTCAAGCAGAGCACTACGTGACGCTTTTCAAACGATTCATTGGCCTGATTATTATACTCAGTCCAAGGGCACATATCAAACCACACCGTTCACCTTTGCTGATTTTTGCATACCCACAGTCATACTCAGCCCAATCATACGCATTTTGCAATCAAGAGACAATTCCAGAACACAAGGCACACAGGATAAATACTTGGGTTTTCACTGTAAATTATATTGAGAAATGATTACAGTAAGAATATTTAAGCAGAAGCTTCAGCAGCCTTGCGGGGAGCACGGTTGTCACGGCGGGGACGACGCAAGTCAGAGTGGGCCGAGGCAGCGACGGGGTTGGTGACCTGGACACCGGGAACGTTCTCAAAGTTGAGAGACTTGAGGAGTTCCTTGGTATCGGGGTCGATTTCAATGACGGAGGTGTCCAAAGCAGAGAATTCGGGAACGAAGTTGTCTCTGCGTTCACGTTCTTCTTCCTGCAACTTGAAGGAGATACCACGGACGGGACCGCGAGAGATACGCTTCATCAAGTGGGTGGTGAAACCGGCGATCTTGTTACGGAGACGCTTGGACTGGATGATGGTGACTTCATCGCAGATTCTCTTGTTGGTCTGGAAGTCCAACGTAAGACGAGGATAGTACTTTTCGATCAAGACGCGGGAAGCCTTCTTGACGGTCTTAGTTCTGATGACAAAAAAGAAAATAGGAAAAGGGTTAAATGAGCATCTACGAATCCAAATTTTCGTTTCATTGACATGTCAAAGCATGGACATCCGCATGGGAATGCCATATCCTCAACGATGCCAGTTGAATTATGTCAAATTACCTGACGCGACCCTATTGTATCATAAAAATTAGTCATCCATCGTAATCTAGCACATCCTGACGTTTTGTTGCTACGTACCATTGTATCTCTGTTGGATGGATTAAAAAGGAAGAATCCTATGAGGCCACCTTACGACGTTGTGATATTGCAGCCATGGGCAACGGCTCTGAGAATCGCTATCCGGTCCGGAAATTTGTCATCTCGGAACACCCAAATTTTTCACACTCTTCGGACCGGAAAGTTGAAGCGGCTAATGTTCCAGGCGCACCTTCACCGTATTTGACTCGACAAGAAAAAAGTAACACACACTCTCTCTCTGATCACAGTCATAGTCAAGCTTGTTTATTCTAAACAACTTTCCAGTCAATTACAAAAAAAAAGATGCTCTCGATAAATAGAGTTTTCGGCGCTGCCGATTTTGCGTTTGAAAAATCAAGCGAGCTGCTTATTTTTTATTTTCCCAATGATTAAGGGTATGGTATTCAAGTGTGATTGTGCACTTGGTAGGTTATGAAGAGCTCTATTTGCAATGTTATAACTCAAAATACATGACTTGTGCAGGGCGAAAAAGCGATCAGAAGCCACCGACCTATTTATTTACGCCAACACAGAATTCAAAAAGCTTTTTCATATTACACCATGTCAGGGGTTTCATTATGGTTACATGCAAATATTATCGTGGTAATTTACAGTTTGTGATATGAGTTGAATTGCAATTAAAAGTATAAAGATATTTTATAAGAGTTTGGTTGTTTTCATCAATATCAATACAGGGCCATCATCGCATGTGAAGAGAGGCAAAGAAACTGATAAATATGTCGTACACGCGTTGTTGGATGATGAAATGGTAAGAAGGGAAATATACGAATTTTTTTCCGTCGCATTTTTCCAGCTACGGACGTGATGCAGTATCTCCCCGTAAAAAAGTGGCACATGAACTTACAAATTTTTGAACGACATTGCCTAGTCACTATTAAGTACTATCTACCTGCCCAATAAACCCCTCTTTTTGGTTGTCGACGTCTACACAGAACATGTTCTGCATCATGAATAAACAACGGAAGCATAAAAGCCATGATGAATAATCGAACCATTGACTGGTGTGGTGGAGGGCGAGAAGGGGAAAAAAGTTCAAAAACCACAAGATTTGCCACCTACCATCAACTTTACGTCATAAAATAATTTGGCCCGCAAAAAAAGTGTGCATATAAAAAAACCCCTCACCTAATTTTTTCTTTTCTACTCAATTGCAGTTTTTTAACACTTCCTTTTCCTCTACTATTCATTCCTCTTTTTCTCCCTTCTCTACATAAAAAACACCCCCCTCCTCTGGAAAATGCTTTCCACAAAGGCTTTTACAAAGATTGCCAAGGTACGTGCATGGAAAGAATCGTCCGCCAATTTTATCCTATGCAATTTTTGTTAACGTTATGAAATAGGCCATTCAAAAAGATGTGCCTTCGCGGTTCTATGCTCAAGCTTCAACCAACTGGGCCAAACAAAAGGTGTCCATGTCCAACTTTGAAAAGAATAAATACATCAATTACCAGCGTATTGAAGATAACCTGCAAATCGTGAAGAGAAGGTAAGTTGAATCGCCGCTGGAAATTTTTGTTTGCTTTCTGCATATTGAGAAACCTGGGTCTGCAGATTGAATCGGCCACTGACATACTCTGAAAAAATCGTCTATGGCCATTTGGATGAACCCGAAACGCAAGACATTGAACGCGGCAAATCTTATCTCCGCCTGCGTCCCGATCGTGTGGCATGCCAGGATGCTACAGCTCAGATGGCCTTGTTGCAGTTCATGTCCGCCGGTTTACCGACCGTGGCCGTACCGACTACCGTTCACTGTGATCACTTGATTCAAGCCCAAGTGGGAGGCGCTCAAGATCTGGCACGCGCCCTTGAAATCAATAAGGAGGTATATGACTTTTTAGCCACCGCTACAGCCAAATACGATATCGGTTTCTGGCGTCCAGGAAGTGGTATTATCCATCAAATCATCCTTGAAAATTACGCGTTCCCCGGTGGTCTGATGATCGGAACTGACTCGCACACCCCCAATGCGGGTGGTTTGGGTATGGTGGCCATTGGTGTAGGCGGAGCTGATGCGGTCGATGTCATGGCCAACATTCCCTGGGAACTCAAGTGCCCCAAGGTCATTGGTGTCAAACTTCACGGTAAACTCCACGGTTGGACCTCGCCCAAGGATGTCATTCTCAAGGTCGCTGGTATCTTGACCGTAAAGGGTGGTACAGGTGCCATCATTGAGTACCACGGCAGTGGTGTGGACTCTATCTCTTGTACCGGTATGGGTACGATCTGTAACATGGGAGCTGAAATCGGAGCAACCACTTCCCTGTTCCCCTTCAACGAGCGTATGGCCGATTATTTACGTGCGACCAACCGTGACCAAGTCGCCAAATACGCTGAAGCTTTTGCACCCAATTTGCAAGCCGACGAAGGTGCCCAATACGATGAACTGATTGAAATCGATCTGGACAAACTGGAACCACATATCAACGGTCCCTTCACTCCTGATTTGGCGACGCCACTCAGCGCCTTCAGGGACGCTGTGAAAGAAAATGACTGGCCTCAGGAACTCAAAGTGGGTTTGATCGGTTCGTGTACCAATTCGTCCTATGAAGATATGACGCGTGCCGCTTCCGTGGCTCAGCAAGCGGTGGATCACGGTGTCAAGGTCAAGTCACAATTCACAATCACGCCTGGTTCCGAGCAGATCCGCGCAACTATTCAACGTGACGGTATCATGGATGTTTTGACCAAGGCCGGTGGTGTCGTCCTTGCCAATGCTTGTGGTCCTTGCATTGGTCAGTGGGATCGAAAGGATGTGAAAAAGGGTGAAAAGAATTCCATCATCACTTCGTATAACCGCAACTTCACCGGTCGCAACGATGCCAACCCTGCCACTCACGCATTTGTGGCCTCACCTGAAATTGTCACCGCCATGACGATCGCCGGCGATTTGACTTTCAACCCTGAAACCGATTCGCTCACGGGAGCCGACGGTAAGCCGTACAAATTGAAGCCACCCACCGGTGACGAGCTTCCTCCTCGAGGCTATGATACCGGTGAAAACACGTATCAGGAACCTCCGGCCGATCGATCCAAAGTGGAAGTCAAGGTGGATCCCAATTCCAAACGCCTGCAGCTTCTGAAACCTTTTGAAAAGTGGGACGGAAAAGACATCAAGGACATCCCTATCCTTATCAAGGTCAAGGGCAAATGTACAACCGATCATATTTCCATGGCCGGCCCCTGGTTGAAGTACCGTGGTCATTTGGATAACATCTCCAACAACATGCTTATCGGTGCGGTCAATGCCGAGAATGGTGAAGTCAACAAGGTCAAGAACTGTTTTACGGGTGAATACCACGGTGTACCTGAAACGGCGCGTGATTACAAAGCCAGACACGTACGGTGGGTGGTGGTAGGTGACGAGAATTACGGTGAAGGTTCATCACGTGAACATGCCGCTCTTGAACCCCGTTTCCTCAACGGTGCTGCCGTGATTACCAAGTCGTTTGCCCGTATCCACGAAACCAACTTGAAGAAACAAGGCATGCTCCCATTGACGTTTGCTAATCCTGCCGATTACGACAAGGTGGAACCTACCGATAAGGTCGATATCCTTGGTTTGACAGATTTCCAAGAAGGCAAACCCCTCACCATGCGTCTGCACAAGGCCAATGGTAAGACCGAAGATATTGAACTTAACCATACCTTTAATTCCGGTCAAATCGCATGGTTCAAGGCCGGATCCGCATTGAATTTGATGAGGGAACAAATCAGAGATGCTTAAAAAAAGTACACATATTATGCCACCACATCAAAATAAAAAGGAAAAATGGAAATCATGATGAATGAAATAACTACAATTGCAATGTAACATCATGTCTCGCTTTCCGACGGCCTTGATAGTAAATTCTTGTCTATCGACGGTGATCGCCAGCTTTTTTCACGTGGAATGAACATGCTTTTGTTTTATGGTTTCTCTATATTTAGAATGGATTGTAAGGGCACAGTTCTGTGAGTTCTTTGGCACTCCCATAAAGCTTAAATACGTGATAATCGCTCTGCCAGCACATCGCCACTATCGCTTGTTTGATTTGCGTGAGTAGTGAACACGGACCCGCTGCAATATGACAGGAACCAAGCTCGAGCAAAACTCAATCGGCATGTGTAAATTCATCGTTTTGGCTATGAAATATAACAAATTGATAAAGATCCGGCAACACATATGGCAGCACACAGCTGTAGGCTAAATCTTATAGAGTACTGTAATTCGCGTACAGCGAAATATCAGATAGGAAGCATATGATAGTGATTGCATTGAATGTACAAATCAATATATTGCAATCGAATAGAGATATAAAGACGTGATCGGGTATAATGTATTTCCTGTTTTCATGTTTCACTCACATGGTGCCTCTGAAAGAAAGACCGGGCTTCTCCGCAACCTAAAAAAAAAACTCAGGCACTCAAAAACGGCTGGGCCAAGGAGTGCTATTATTCGATTGTTTTCTTCTCACTTAACTTCGTATATATGGAAACTCGTATCGAAAACGATCACAACGAGACCATTGTCGGCATTCTCGTGGAGAAAGAGACTTATCCCAAGAAACTGGTGCTCATTGCTCATGGTGAATTCGGTATGACACTTTTTTTGCGAGAAATCCTTGTTGCCGATCTTGAATGCTAATCCTGACATACATTTCCGTCGATAGGCGATAAGAATAGCCTGTACCAACCATTATTAGCGGAGCAGCTTCCTTATTCCACGTTTCGTTTTGATTTCCGTGGCCATGGAGATAGCCATGGTCAAACAGGTTATGCTAACATGGCTGTAAGAGTGGACCTGGATCACTTCGATCCCAAAAACCCGAGTATTAATTCTCCTTTGAATTCAGGAAGATGTTCAAGATTTGCATACCGTGGCCGATTATTTTGAAAACAGGGGATATGATATCATGGCTGTAATAGCCCATTCACGTGGTAAATACGAAATTCAATGAACTTCCAGCATCCAAGGGATACGTTAAAGTAGGGATGATCTCCTTACTCGGTCGACTAGGTTCAACGGCTGGGTTGAAATATGCAACCACTTGCGATAAACCCTTGTCGCATTATGTGAACATTGCCGGACGATATATCATGAATGATTACGGTATCCATATGCACTCTCCGGAAGTTCAAGAAGCTCTGAATCGTCAAGTAAGCATGTTTATAATGCGTCACGGCGTTGTATGGAAGCAAAATTCAAGTTCAAACCGTAATTATTTAAGGGATTTTTCGAATGGAAGACGAAGCAAAATGGAAAGACTTTTGTTATCAAAGTGACAGCAGCCGATCTTGAAAAAATCAAACAATGGGACAGCTCTCATGGTACGGTTCACAGATATTTCACATAACGACAAAAATTTGCGATCGACTTATCATCATTACTGCCAAACGTAGTTTCTCGCATGCCAAAATCCACCTGTGTTCTCACTTGCCATGGTCTCAAAGATACTGTAAGTGTAACACAAAGGACACACACGCATGAGCCAACTAAGGGAACTTGACATTAGGTGGTACTTCCTCATAATGCGGCTTTGTTATCCAACAAAATCAGTAATCATACACTTCGTCTGGTTCCTGACGCTGACCACGATTTCACCGGCAAACATGAAGAATTGGTGCAAACGATTGTGGATTATTTCAAAAAGCATGAAAATGACAGCTTCAGAAAAGCACAAGCCATGGGACAGCATGTCAGCGTGACCATTCCTCGGTGGATCGATGTTCAAGGTGTTAAAAATTTCCGTGACATTGGTGGTTGGCCAGTTAAAGATGGAAGCGGATATATCCGAGAAAGAGTCGTGTTCAGATGCGGGCAGTAAGTCACCCTTTCTTTTTTTATGGATGCCGTTTTTTTTGGGGGGGTTTCCCTGACAAATTTTCCCAGTCTGGTGAATGTGACGGAACAAGGAATCAATACATTAAAACAACTCAATGTCATTGCTGCTTTTGATTTTCGATCCGATCCTGAAATTGAACGACAAGGTGTCATGCCGTATGTATTTGGAACAGGCGATATTAAAGATGACTAGGCGCTGACATCGGTGTTCCAATTAGAGATATCCCCAATTTGATCCGATACCCGTCTGCCATGTTCACCAAAGCGGATTACTCGCCGGCTGCGTTGGCCACTCGTTGGAAAGGCTATTTTGAAGGGCCCTATGGATTTCCAAAAGGTAATGTGATGGGGTATCTTCCTCCAGTTTTCATTGCAATGCACACTAAATTTTTGGATCTGTGCAGTATACAATATCATTCTCGAAAAAGGCGGTCAACAGTATCGAAAAGTGTTTTTGCATATGCTTGAACATCATTCCCGCCGTAGCACGAAATCGCTTATTGTCCATTGCACGGCCGGAAAAGACCGCACGGGAATCTTTGGCATGCTGTTGCTAAGTCTGTGTGGTGTCGACGACGACATTATCGCGCATGAATACGCGTTGAGTAACCTCGGTTACTGGGGTAAGAAAAAAAGAATGGATTGGGTCGTGACACCTGTTTCATGCTGATCACTCGCATTTGTACAGAACCGGAGCATGAGTTGGAGAAGAAAGCGCAAATGCTGGGTGTAACCGTAGACGATATGAGAATGGTCATGTCGGCACCGTAAGTAAACGACCCTGAGATAGTTTTTGATGCGATGCGAGTTGAACCTCTGTTGCGTAGATATCTGGCCATGAAAGAGACCATTCGACTTACCAGAGAAAGATACGGATCAATCGAACAATACATCCGCGACGAGTGTGGACTGACAACGGAACAAATGGAAGGCATCCGCAAGTTGATGATTGTACCGGTTCGTTTCGAGGAACGCCAATTGTTCCAACCGAAGATGTAAATGAGGAGAAGAAGAAGCTTTTCCCGGTTCATGCTGCAATCGGGGATATTTTTTTTGTCTGTTAATATTTATCGTTCATTTATCTTGATGAAGGAGAAATACATAATGAGCAGGATTTTTTTTTTCTTTATTTACACTGCCAAGGCAGAAAAGAGAAAAAAATAACTGTAGAAATTCAAAAAAGCAAAGATTTCGATAAGAATGTGATTAACAAGAGACATCACGGACATTTTCGCCTTTTTCTCTTTTCTCGCCTCGTTCTTTATTCTTCTTTATTGTATTGCTTTCTTTTCTTCGTTTTTTCCCTTTATTTTCTTATTTGCGTTCGGTTTTTTTTTTTTTTTTTTTTTGATCAATATGCGTTACATGTTCAGACGTCAACCCGACGAATCATATCATCCGTCGCATCTGGCATTGCAATTACCCGAAATTGTCAGCCATATTTTGTACTACCTGGATACATACAGCACCGTTCTTCCGAAACGGATACCGGACAACACCCTTCTCGAATGTCTCCTGGTCAATCATCTCTGGCATGACTGTGCGGCTCGAATCGTGTGGCGAAGCATCTCATTTGACGATACTGATTTCGACTCACTGGTAAAACTGGGGTCAGTGTTGTCAAACTTACCACCGACGATATCCTCCATGACATCCGCAGCGTCGGCGCTGGCCGTGGCCGCCCCTTTTTGTTACAGCACTTCGGCCACTATCTGTACAGACGATGAACCAATGGCACTCGAGACGTACGGCCAGCCACAACAACTCCCTCCACCGCAACCTCAACCTAATAAAACAGCAGCCCTTCGATTGTTTAGACCGTTTACAGCATCGAGATCTATCATGCCTTCTCTAAGCGGGACCACCACCCGTTCTGCCTCCGGCGACAAACTTTTCTCTGCCAAATCATCCCTTCCAAACCCGTGGTCCTTTTCGTTTTATGAAGAAGATCGAAACGAAGATCCACTCTCACGCGGCCAATCGCGAGCTACCATGGCTACATCCATGTATACAGTGGCTACTCGTGCTCAACGGAATACCCATCATCTCGATTTGTATCGATCTGCTGTACGTTCGCTGACCTTGCGAAAAATTAAAGAAAAGGCAGTGAATGAGCCATTGGTACAAATAGGTCGCTATGCGACAAAAGTGAACAAATTGGACCTGTATATCTGCGATTATCTCTCAAATGAGGTGCTTTTCGGCTTTGCTGCGCACGGTACACTCACTTACCTTTCACTGGCGGGATGCAATCGTATCACGGATGAAGCCATACTTTACGTGGCCCACCACTGCCGCAACTTGGAACATCTGGATCTGCGTGCTTGCGGGCTCATCTCGGATAAATCGATCAGTGCCATTGCCATGCACTGTCCGCAATTACGGCATTTGAATGTGGGTCGTGTGCGTGATCGTGAGCGTATCACGATCAAATCCATTGGCTTGATTGCGCAACACACGCAAGTCGCTGTGCTGGGTCTGGCAGGCTGTGATATCACGGATGAATGTCTCATCACCCTGGCTATGTACAGAAACAATGGCCTGGAACGGATATCCGTCAACAGTTGCTATCGCATCACCAATAAGAGTATCCGAGCGTACGTCGAGTATTGTCCCCGATTATCTGTATTTGAGATGAAAGAATGCCATCAGATCAACGATTGGAACGCTGTGGCGGACCTTGTGCAACGCAAAGTATTGCTGACACTATGCGATCAGCAAAATCGAGCCTGTGCAGAATGGGCAAAACGCATGGGTCGCGTAATTCACGTCAAAGCACCTTTGAAATAAGAACTGGCGATATCTCCCCCCCCCCATAGAGATGTTGAATGAATTCCATAAAAAAGGCGGACAGTGGTGGGAAACGACATAAAAACCAGCAGCCCGATACTGTTCACATCCTTTTGTTAGATTGACCTGTTCCGATTCCATACATAGAACATCTTTTAATAAATTTTTCCCAGACAATTTACAGTGGCAAGCTCCTTTTCACAGTAAACGGATCATTCTGGATACTACTCGCAAACGACGATCATCAGCCAAAATTTATCGACCTCGATCAGGGCTTATTCTGATAGTTCGAGCAAAAAAAAAAAAAAATTGCAAAAAAAGCAGCCATGTTAGCTGTTAGACACAGGTAAAAGGCATTTAACGGCGAGCTTGACCTAAAAAGTGATTCTTTTTTTTCATATGATGCTGCTTCGACGCTCACAGTGAGGGAATTGAAGATATTTGCATGAACTGAATTTTTTGGAATTCGGGACTTTGGTTGGTGGCCAGGAACGAGTCACACGGCAGAAAGAATTGTCACAATCATTTGGAAAGCAGTCATTCGCAGAAATGCCTCATCCGGGCTGAGAGTGAAAATTGCAGAAATGCCGGTCCGCATTTGCTTGTCCGGGCAAAAGTGACCGTCAAAGTAAAAAGAAATTGGGCTCATCTATAAGATATAAAAAGGCACTCTTTTCGCGATGAAGAAAAAATTCATCCGTCACGTCTCTTTTGGACCTCTGACACATATTAAAATTGGAACGATACAGAGAAGATTAGCATGGCCCCTGCACAAGGATGACACTAAACTTCTGAGTTGGATTGGTTCTCCGGAACCGTTTTTTATTTATCAAAAAAAAAGGGAAATGAAAAAAAAAAAAGAAATAATTATTTGTCTTCTCTTGAGACTCTGCGGCAATAGCCCAAAGTCTTTTTATTTATAAAACAAAAACAAAATGAAAAAAAGATGTCTGTGACGAGAGTCAAAGGGCTTTTAAACACTGTTTGCCGTGCTGCGCCGTTCACAGAAATAAATGATAATCTATTAGGATATGTTAGTCCATCCATAGTTGGTTTGTCCGGACCCTTTGGTGAGTGTTCGCGTTCAGCGTGCCCCGCAGCCAAACTTTGTACGTGTCCATTTCGTTGGGCACACACATATTGTTTATAATGTATTTCAGAAAGCCTAGTTAATGGAAACGGTAGCCCAATAAGGACCTTTCAGCACCTTCCTGAACTGACTTACAGTTGTGCACGTCATTCAAACGGGAACTCTATTCATTTAGCCATAGCCAAAGCGCCTCCAAGACCTGATGTGACTTGAAAGAGTATGCAATGAAAGATGTTTATTTTGAAGGCATGAAGATTTGAATAAAGATAAAAAAAAAATAATCTACTCGTCATCAACGACAACAGTTTCCAAACCTGAATTTGCGAAGCGCCAGGATGATCGATGAGGGAAATATACAAAAAGGAAAAAAACATGGTTTTGGTAAGTAAACAGTCGCTTCATCGATAGGAGAACCTAGCCAAAGCTTGCCAGATATCAGATATCATGACAAACTCGAGCTTTTCTCCAACCTTTTGCGATCTCAACTGCTGGAAGTCAGCGTTGTCATTCCAAAGGAAATGATCGTGCTTTCTACCAGACAGCGGTCGATTGAACTGCGATGACTTACCCTTGAAGTTGGCGGTGGGCACATATGTCACGTACGAGTAAAGCTTGTGCTTAGCATCTTCCTCATCGTTTCGCTTGCGGGAAATGCGGACACGGATGCGATGGGGAACGTTGCGAACACCACGAGCCCACAAAGCCTTGTTGAGGGCAGTATCGATACGAACATCTTCAGTGCCCATGGCCTTTTGAGCAAAAGCTTTAATACCCTTGATGGCAGCGGGAGCACGCTTCTTGAACGATTTGCCAAAAACGAGCTTGTGAAGATGGATAGTGTATTCGCGAGTGATAACGTCAGAAAGAGTGGAACGCTTTTGGGTAGTAGTAGCCTTGACCATTATAGATTATTGCAACGGTAGATGATGGATGAATAAAGAGAATAGATGGATGGATGGGTGGATTCGAGCAAGAAAATACTTCGCGGATCGGTCTCGAAAAACTTGACGTGCTTTTTTTCCCTTTTTTTGTATGTGCCAGAATAATTCAATTGCCGCAGTGAGGGGTCACCATTCGACATGTTCGAAACGCAGAGCTCAAGCACGTTGCCACAAAGCAAAAAAGAGTAGTTTATGATTGTATGTATTTTATTTGGTTGGTAAAAGTGTTATATTTTATCTACAGAACCATGTTTTCGTCTGCCCACAACTTGAATGTTCGATCAAACCCTGAAGAAGCGATATACCGTCCATCTACAATAAAGTTTTCATCAATATCCCTCCTTACCAGAACAAGTGCTGGATGTAACTTACCGGAAGATATATCTACACCCATTACTTTGCCTTCATGTCCTTCCAAATTCTTGATCAATCGGTAATCATCGCCCGACCACAGTTTTACACATCCGTCGTAGCCCACGGTAGTCAGATAAAGACCGGAAACTGCGTCTGTTTGTTTGCTGAACTTCACATCGGAGACCAGAGACTGATGTGCTGATATAGTATATATGTTACGTAAAGTACGGATATCCCAGATTTTAACCGTGTTGTCGGCGCTAGCTGTTGCCACATGATAGCTAATTTCCCATCAGTAAACGTTAGTGACCATTGTAGTGTGATGGACTTTTGCTTATTATCCTTACCCATTGGGTGACCAGTCCAATCCAATGATGTCTTTGACGTGACCCTCTAAATTCATTGCCGATCGTCCAGTTCGCATATCCCATACTCGACCTGTCGCATCCAAACCTCTGCACCAAGACGTTAATGATCCCATTGATTTGCTGGATGTCAATTCATTCGCTTTACCCGCTAGCACACAGACTGCCGTCGCATTGAAATCCAATGGCATATACTTCTTTGGAGTGGCCTTCTTGCAATAACAGTTCTTGCGATGTTTCTACGTCCCATAACCGCCAGGTACCGTCGAAACTCGCGCTTCCCAAGTAGCGTCCCGAAGGATGAAATGCAATACGAGCCACGCGTCTTGCATGTCCCTCTAAAGTAGCGATGGGTGTATCCCTGATGATAGAGCAAATTAGTTGATGAATTACACGAAGATATTGCACTCGTTACATACTTTTCCAAACTCCACAAATGAATCAGACTGTCCGCGCCACTGGAAGCGAGGTTCAGAGCACTTTTTTCTTGACTGATGGTGGCCTGTGGATGAAATACAACACCGCCAACTCGATCGTTGTGACCTTTCATTGTCAAAATTGGCTCACATTGAGGCACGGACCAAATGCGGCATAGACCGGACCAAGCACCAGTGACCAACATGGATGAATCAGGGCTAAATGTACATTGCGCTACAGGTCGTTCATCCGCAATTTGTGATGCCCAGTTTGTGTAATTCTACAATGTCGACATTCTTAATCCCCATGTCCGAAAAAAGACACACATTTTTTCATTTGTCTATTTACCTTTAACTTTGCGTGCAGCTCCTTTCGACCGGCCTTGAGTTGCACCAAAGGTGTTTCTTGTTCAGCGCGTTCTCGCTGGATTCTTTCTTTGGCTCTGTGCTACGGGGTGAGTGGCTCGAATATAAACACAACACACACCACACCATCTCAGAATCCTACCGTGGTAAGGAATATCGTGTTATCCATTTTCTCGCTTCTAATAATTCAGGTGTGCCAGGAGTAAAAAATTCTTCTTCTTGCTGAAATAGATAGCCGTATTAATGTTAAAGAGGTCCTCACTGCAAATGAATAAACAGAAATCAATGCACGATTTTTTTTTTTTTTTTACCTCTTCTTCTTCTCCTTCTTCTTCACTTTCTGAGCCTTCCTCAGCGCTTTCAATTTCCACGCCTTCTCGGATGGATAATAAATAACGTAAACGATCGCGTCTGTCGCCAGGCTACAAAAAAAACGAGGCCGACGGTCAGATCACAGGGTTCATATTGAGCGAGATAATAACCAATTACCCCTTCTGCAAAAAGACATTGCGGTTCACCAATTTCTCTCAGGCGCTGTCTCACGCGAGTATCATCGGTAGGGACGGCGATTTGTCTTGCTCGTTTTCTACGTTCAAACTCTTCCAAAACTTGTTTATCCGCGCCAGCCGCTCGGAGCGTATCGGATAAATCGTACTCTTTACTTTCAACTACATAATAAACAGTAAGATTACGTGACAGCTTGGGACATGACAGGGAAATCTAGTGAAAAAAGTTACCTAACGCATCGAGATCGATGCCGGTATTAGATGTCGATACCACATCGGTGGCTGTTTTTAATCGTTTAACGGATTCTTGGTCTTCCAGTGAACCGAAATGAATACGAGGTTTCCCCAAGAGCTTTGAAACAGTCGAGCCTTCTTTATCTGCCATCAACTAAAGTGGTTCCAGTGGATTGCAAAACGGTTCTAATTGCCCAAACTGTGGTTCGGAAAGTGGGTAGACCAAAAACGTGACGGTTATCACTTTCGTTGCTACATGATTGGCGGAGTTGAATCATGCAATAATCCATCCTTTCTTTCCGTTCCTTTTCTCTTTTTCTTTGTCCCTCATCCCCGCGCCATGGCCGATCCTAATCTAAGGCATCGTCGTGCCTATCCTGAAGATAAAGCGGATCATCTTCGACAAGACGAAACGTTGGTCGACGTCAAAAAGGTAAGTGTGTACTTCCACCCACTCCAACTCGCATTTAACCAACTGGGCTGTATATGGGAACCCCAGTCGCGATGGATGCGTTCTCCCGCACGTCAAGCTGGTGTTCACAAAGCAGGCCTCATTGTCGTAACAGTTCTTGGATTTATTACTACATTTTATAAAATCTGGTATCCTGCTGAAGTTGTGTAAGTATTTCTGAGCATCGTAGTGGGGGCATTTTTCTGACAGTAGCTACTGTTACAGTTTCGACGAGGTACACTTCGGCAAGTTTGCGGGTTATTACTTGCAACGGAGCTACTTCTTTGATGTACATCCTCCTTTGGCGAAATTAATGATAGCCGCGGTCGGATATCTTATTGGGTATGACGGCCATTTCGATTTCGCCAACATCGGGGACAGTTACATTGAAAACGACGTGCCGTATATCGGTCTTCGAAGCTTACCGGCGACATTGAACGTGCTAAACGTGGCACTCATCTACAGTATCATGAAACAGTCTGGCTACGTACCAATAGTATGTTTCCTGTCCTCTTGCATGTATTTGCTGGGTAAGTTTTTCCGATCTCAGGGTGACATTGACATGGATTTTAATCCGGACTGGATCTTGAATTTTAGACAACGCTATTGTGGCCCAGCATCGACTGATTATGCTCGATAGTATGCTGATCTTTTACATGCTTGCCACCATTTATGCATACATCCGCTTCCGCAAAGTGCGACACCAGTGAGTGTAATTCTTCTTCAAGAATGGGTGGTTCAAAGGATCACTGAGGATGTATCTGTAGGGAGTTTTCTGGTTCCTGGTGGTTCTGGCTTTTTGCTACTGGTACCACGATGGCACTGACACTGAGGTAACCTATTAAAAGGAGCATCTGCAGCGAAACAATTAAGAAAAAAAAAATTAATACGTGAATGTAGCGTAAAAATGGTCGGTTTGTTCCTCGTGGCCGCCATTGGTATCTCAGTATTGGTGGATCTTTGGGAATTGTTCGATTTGAAACGCGGTTTGTCCATGGTAATTGAAAAAAAAAATAGGTACATATGGTGACGAAGCACAGAAAGTGACGTTTTGAGTAGAAACATTTCATGAAACATTTCTATGCCCGTGCGGTGGGGCTCATTTTTATCCCTATTGTCATCTATCTTTTCTGGTTTCACGTCCATTTTGCTGTCCTCACGGAATCCGGTCCAGGTGATACATTTATGAGTGCAGCCTTTCAGGAAACGTTGCAAAACAGCGCCATCAAAATGAAATCACTTGGTAAGTTGCACAGTGCATAGTATCCAGTATTGTACATCAGCAAATGGAAGCTCATATCTGTCATCAGAGATTGCTTACTTTGACAACATCACGTTGAAGCACAAGGATACGGACGTTTACTTGCATTCGCACAATTTGCACTATCCTTTACGCTATGATGATGGACGTATTAGTAGTCAAGGTAGGTTGGAAGGCATATTTTTCTGGGTGATCACTGTGCGATATTGACAAGGGTGATAATATATTAGGACAACAAGTGACCGGTGTAAAGGAGGTCGATGATAACTGCTATTGGCGGGTGAAGCCTACAATAACGCTAGACGATGAAGATGAGCGCGTGTATGTGCGTCACGGTGATATTATTCAACTTGAGCATATTGGTACCCAACGAATCTTGTTAACGCATGATGTGGCATCCCCGTTGATGGCGACGAATGAGGAAGTCACCACGGTGGCTGAAGGAGAAAGATATAATGAAACCTTGTTCCAAGTGTTACTGGATGACCATGACAACGGTGACATTTGGCAAACCCACATGAAATCTGTGCGTCTTTTGCATATGGATACCAAGGTCACCATTTGGACTCACGATCAAGCTCTGCCGGATTGGGCTCTCGGTCAGCAAGAAGTCAATGGAAATAAGAACATTTTGGACAAGAGCAATTACTGGATCGCTGATGAAATTATGGGCATGAATGGTAAAGTGTCTCCTTGTTTTGGTCATAATAGCGATGTCAAACAAATGATTAAGGATAGAATGAATTGATTGTTCAACGATTTTTTAGCTACGGAGATCAACATGGAAAAGAAAAAGGAGCTCCGTCGAATGCCATTTTTGCGCAAATTTTTCGAGCTTCAAGGACGCATGCTGAGCCATAATGCCGGCTTGACCAAACCCCATCCTTATCAATCGCGACCGATTGCTTGGCCTTTTATGATTCGCGGTATATCGTATTGGTCAAAGAATGATACAAGAGAACAAATTTATATGACGGGAAACTTGTTTGGATGGTATATTTCGATCGGTAGCTTGGCCGTGTTTGCAGGTATCATACTCGCTGACACGCTGGCTCGAAGAAGAGGCATTGAACCTGTCGATGAACGTAAGCTAGTCATTGAAAAAATATCATGATAACCTTCCTTCTGATCGTCCGACTCCTCGTGTAGCTCTCCGACACCGTCTCATCAATTCTGGTGGTTTCTTCGTGATCCTGTGGTTGACCCACTATATTCCTTTCTTCGCTATGGGTCGCGCTTTGTTCCTCCATCATTATCTTCCTGCCGCTGCTTGCAACTATTTGGTGCTTGGGGCCATTTTCCAGTTTATGTTTGTTGATGGTGTGGATTCACCGGTATCAAGTTTGCAGCGAAATGACAGCGCCAAAGAAGCGCGATCGCAGTATGTAGTGCGTCAAACCCCCATGAAGGCCTATCCCACTACGAAGACGTACGTGATGGCCGGAATTTTCATCCTGTTGCAATTGGCCGTATTTCTGTTCTTGGCTCCCATCACCTACGGAACGCCTGGGTTATCGGTGCCTGAAGTTTTGAAACGTAAAGTGTACAGTAGCTGGGATCTTCAATATGGTAAGCCAACATCAAATGGATCAAGCGTTCCACATGAGGATATATATTGATCAAAATTGTCCCTTTGATTCTTTTGTAGCCAAATAATAATGGCAAAAATCCGTATCTTGCAAAAAATAAAAGAAGCAATAAAAACCAATCCAGAAAAGCAGCCATCCATAGAACAGAAGAAAAAACAGATACAATTGGTCATTGAATATTGGATGGGATATGGTTTCAAAGAGGTAGTTAGGGTGATGTGGTGAGTGCACTTATTCGCTGTACGAGCTCGGTCATTCGGGCATCAATGACTTGAATATTCTTATTCACCGAATCCTCGTTCTCGCTCAAGCTCTTGGATAGCTAGAATGTTGTGTGGTCAAAATACCTCACAGTGGTTTCAATTCCCAAGATTTGTGACTTACCGTTTCGCAGGTTGTTTCCAGGCTCTTGAGTTCTTCTGCCATTCGAGTTTGTTCAGTGGAAATAATCTTGATCGAACGTCCAAAAGTGGCAGCTTCTGTATGCAATCCTTGAAGCGCCTTGAGACGAGTTAACAGAGCTGGCGTCAAATGGATCAAGGGATCGATCTTCTCCATCGTGCTGAACAACTGGTTGACCTAAGAATATAATATTTGTAATCAGAAAATAGATGGTGCGAGATTTTGCAACCATTGAGGCTCGTACCTTGTTCTCTGCTTCATTAGAAAGCGGTGCATTCTCTTTGTTACTGGTATCGTTTGCAGCAGGAGAGGCTGATAACCCGGTGAGGCCGGCTGAATAAGCGGAGGTGCCTGAGGAAAGGCCAAAGCCAACTGACGTCGAAAGATCCTTGCGGCCTGACTTGACTTCATTCAATCGATCCATTTCGCTACTCAGAACTTTGACTCTTCGAGCCACGGCTTCAAGATGTCTCGGTTGGGATAAAATAGTAATCTGTTGTTCTAGTTTGGTAATAGCGCTGATAAGCGACGAGGCGGCCAAGGTGGGAGGCTATAGAAAAGCATGCACATCAGGGACCTTACACAAGTTAATTTTCCGTATGTAGTGTGACTTACCATGTTGTCTAGGCCCTGTCCAGCACTGGTGCCAACTAATTTCTCTATTCTAGCAATACGTTCATCAAAATCGGAGACCTGGTTCTCTTTATGCATTTTGGCTGTTTGAGGGCTGTAAAAAAGCTCATAAGTAACAACATCGCCCTTTTCATCAGTGTCAACAACGACGGTATCGTCATTCTCGGATTTCGGACTGGACAAGGACATGTTTTTAAAGGCTTCAAGTTGTTTGATCAAACTTTTGGCCTCTTCGATGCGTTTTCCATAAGTGAGGTTTCCATCTTCGTGCTCCGTGTCACCCAGTTGTTGATGAAGATCGGCGAGTTCCGTCTGAAGATAGGATATTTGAGACAGTAGATCGGTTTGATTGATTGCCTCTTGCATTTCCTGGGTCGCTTCCTATGAAACCGGGCAGATCAGATCAGTCTATCGAATCCCCATGATTTTTACCCGCATGTTCTTTAATAATACCTTTTCATTTTCAGTTTCTTGCTGCAGTTCCTGCACTTCATACATCAAGCGACGAAGCTTTTGCAATTTTGTTTCTTGCAAAGCAATGCCTTTGGGTAGAATTTCGTATTCGTTGGATTCAATGCCCGGTGGTCGACGTACATAGGCACGGTACATAGCCTTTTTTCTACGTGTCAACTTGTCCGAGAAATCTGAACACCAACAAGTCAGGTTATGGCCAGGGAGAAAAAGAAGAACTACTCGCGACATGACTCACCTGCATTATCTGCATCCACCACCGTATTCTTGAATCGTTGGGTAGCTTCTTTTACAGATACCGGCGTTCGAATCACGTTTTCGTTACCGTCATCACTTTGCTAATGGTATGAATGCGCGACAAGGACGCAAGACTTATTGCTCAGCCATTGACTTCATCTTGGTTTCACGGATAATCACGCAGTACCTGTCCATCATCGCCAGATACGAGATGCGTTTCGTCAGGTACGTCGGGGGTTTCAAAAACATCTGGTTGATCGTCCTTTGCAGACAAAAGCGTTAGCCGAGCGACGTTGTAGAATGACTGAGCAAACGCAAATTGTAAGAAAGATAGGGTGACTCACTATGTCTGGTAATGCCGAGTATTTTGAACTCATGGGTATATGTCAAACTTCCTTGGATGGAGCGGCAATAGGTCACTGAAAAGGGAGGCTTGCAGAACACGCCTCGGTCGATGTGCAGTGAAACTGAGAAAATGCCGGAGTGTGCAGCTCATCACCCAAATTTCCTTGCTTGTCCAATGAAATTTTCAGCTCACGGTCGGTAAAAGTACAAGCACACCACGGCATTATCTCCTCTCATGATCCACAATACCATCAACCGCTTTTCACGTTCATTAATGGCGGTAACGGCGGTAAACGACAGTAGTTTCAAATAGTATATGTACTTATACATGAATTACCTTGTTTCTGGTTCAGTTGCCTGCTCGATTGATGGTCAAGAGGGAAAACAAGTTCCCTTCTATCCTTGATTGCAAAAGCCTTTATTACCAGCATTTGCAATCGGCTTGCGGGAGTACCTGGTTATAGGTTGGGCTTTGATGCCGCAAACAGACAAAATACGTTTCTTTAATCACATGATGGTATTATTCATGCCACGGTTTTTTTCATGAGTACAGACTATGACATGAGGAATTTAAAGCACAATTCCACCCACTTCACCAAGTGAAACCATCTGGCAATGATCTGATATGATATCTAAACTTTGGGAAATTAGCGATTTTGTAGATCACATGATCTACACCAAGTTATCAGGACCTGTTAAACCTTTTTTTTTTTATCTTTCAACCATGCCTCGCTACCCACTTCCACGGTAATAGGCGAAACAATCAGCAGCAAGATGCCGTTTGCGCCAGTTGTGGTCAAACAGAGCATCGCCGCCGTCCAAATAAAATGTGGGTAGAGCTCCTTTTTGAAGAAAGGTGGTGGATGATGTCAATCTGGGTGTTCTGTAGCATCATTTAGCTTGGTTTTTCTGTCAGTTATACTGTATATCATATGCCCTTTGATTCTCTTCAGTTTTCGATGATCGATGATACATGAGCAGATATGCTTCGATCTATGAATTCATGCATTGACTATCGTTTCATCCATGGGAAATCCACATATTTTTGTCTTCAATTTTTTCTTTGTCTCTGATTTACCTCTCTCTAGAGTAAGGCTTTCCCATGTAACTGATCGGACGATATTACTCATAATTCATGCATCGGTAGGTGACTATTGTTTCGTCCACGGGAAATCCATATATTTTGTCTTCTTCTTTTCTTTTTTTTTCGGTTTTCTCTTTTTCCGTTTGCCTGAAAACCCTCACTATCATTGCATCCTCACCTGATACGCATCCATCATCCAGACTATGGTTTACCCGCGTGTATCTGTAACTGGTCAAGTCGATTAAATATCAAAAAGGTAGCTTTTGTGTGATGGGACTATCCGTTTTCGACAAGAAAAAACTCACGCTCTTTTTTCTCTATCCTTTCTTTAGCTTTTGGTTTTCTCTCCGGTTTTCTTTTCGCCCTGGCAAGCCATCCATCCCCCCAAATCTTTCTACTTTGTTCGCTCACCAAATGTGGCCAATCCGGTTTTTGTCGTCAAAGGGCATCGTCGATGGTTTGACTCTCTTTTCCATCGGAAAACGCTTACCCGTCCTCCTCAGCTTGACTTCACCTGGATTACTTCCCATGGTATTGTCTTGATATTTCTTCCCGACCATTTCATTTTTGGAGTTTGTAGTATGCATATTTGTATTTTATTCGATAGACCTTCTTGCAGTCTTTTCCTCCCTTTTTTTTCCCACAGGGTTTTTAGAGGGTTTTTACAGCCGCACCTATTGTTTTACTTTTTTTTCATATTTGTATCGTTTCTTTTTTTTTTTCGGGTCGGGAAGCTCTGGATATCTGCTACCTCACATACAAAGTTAAAATACCTTGACGACATTTGAATCAATCAAAGAGCGTACTAACACATTTTTCTTAATAACCAACATTCCCACATCATTCTAGATCTATCATAACCTTGGGCGGAACGGGACTGAGAGGGTCAACAAGTGCTGCTGCACACATGTTTGGAAATCATGACTTTACGGTATGCCAGAGTATTGACATTAATATACACAAGTTCCATCAAAAGTCTCGCCCAGGTTATGCCGTATTGCGTTAGGCTTTTTGTCTGACGAATGTCGCTCAAAGTAAAAGGGCGACGTCCAGTAGCAGGTGGCATCCATTGCACAGCGGGTGTACGGCTTGTTAATATAAGACACATTCATCGACATTTCTGCGGAAAAGAAGATTTTTTTCTTCCAAAGAGCAGTAGTATAAGACATCTATTATTATTTGTTGAATCGCAAGTGGTATTCAGATCATTTTAGTGTGTATGCTCTGGCGTCACGTCTCCCGTGTCTGTATGCACTTCGTTGTCATCATTAGGTTCAGTTAATGGAGCTTCATCGTCCGAAGGCGTTCGACTACTGGCACAGCTGCTGTCTGCACTTCCGACAATCAGTTTGCCTTTTCGATTACGTGGTTTCCAGAATTTATCCTACAGCAAACATTGGTCAGACGATCCCAGTCTCCGGGATCCGAGTAACACAGGCGACTTACAACCACATCTTCCGCACCAAATAGACTGCCAAAACCTCGAATAAAGTCGTGACTTCGATCTTCCCAAATAGTCATAGTGTCCTGAAGCGTGGTTTTGATGGTATTTCGTAAATCTTCTATGGATTTCTTTGTCTTGATCTTGCGTTCCTATACATTCATTGAAAATCAAAAAAGCGCTGTCAGGAACAAACAACGGCGATAGATCCCATATATACCAAGAGGTTTACCTTCAAGAATGAGATATTTAATTCCTTGGCACTCACGCCGCGTTCCAAATTACGTCGAAGATAAGCGTCGTAATCTCGCACAATCCGTGTGATAAGATCTGATGTGGAAATGCCTTCGGTACGTTCGGTGGGAAAGAATCGACCTTGTTCTTTTACAAAAGCGTATACATCGCCTGACTCCTTGCTCTGGTAAGGTTCGGCATCGTGGGCAACATAGTCAATACGATGATGATCCAAAAATTCTTGATCGACAAACCAAGGAGCGTCCCGCACTACTTCGTCCACCCATTTACAATGTCGAACTGCCTCATATCGTTCAATATCCGTCATCACCGTTTTGCCTTTGCGTTTGTGCGTTTCTCGGTCACTGCATACTGTAGTTCCGTATTCCGTATTTTCAATATTTTTGCCGCTGTTTCATGATGATGATGATGCCCGTCATGGCTCATATTACTTTACCTCCTACCAACAGGTACACGTTGGGAAACGCCTTTTTCGCTTGTTCAAGTGCTTTGGCATGACCAAAGTGGAATAAATCGTAAATGCCGTCGCAATAGATACGGACCGGTCGATCGGTGGGTGGCTACAAATTGTACAAAAAAAAACATAGAGATACCAATATTAAGCATGATGGTTTTCGTTGATGGCTAGTGGTATTGTCTATTACAGGATTGATTTTAAACCCATACTGCTCTTCGATGCCCGGTGGAAGTTCTGTCACAAGGGGGGTACTGATGGCTGGTTCGGTATCTTCGTAGGTAATGGTAACTTCTTGGCGTGGTCGTTTAACAAGGGGTTCATCATCGTAGGAGGTGGACGAGACCATGCCGGCTGGTACAGAGGAATCGGTATTGTCTTCATCTACGCATTTCAATATGGGTAAAGCAGCAACAACGGTGGTCTTTAAGCGAGTGACTCACCCGAAGCGTCGCGTGAAGTAGGCTGGTCTTCAGGTTTGCCTGTAGTATCCAACAGCTGTCTTTTACGCTTATTCATTTTCTGGCGAGTGTCAAGAAAATCGGAAGGGTCCATAGCGAATAAGCGAATAAGATACAGAAACGCTGTTTGAAGAAAAAGGAAAGATGGGTCGCTTCTAAACTGGTTTTGAAACTTTTTTTTATTTTTTTGTGTTGGTTGGGGTGCCATCAATCGGCGTACGAAAAAAAATGATCATCCGCCCATTGCTCACTGTCGATGAAAATGGCCCCTACAAAACCCTAGATAGTCGAAATAAAGGAAGATGTACCTTTGCTTGTTCACGTTTACATTCACGCTCACTCATTCAATGCAAGCTGTTCTACATGGGTTCATTTGACTCTTTTAATCAAGAAATCACGCTAATAGAAACAACTCCTGTTTTACCATTTTCGGCACAGGCATCCTTTTCTCTCGCATCAAATGGGTTGGTGAGAAAAGTTATACATATATTGTCCAAAGTTATCAACATTAGGTATATCAGAAACAATTCCTAAGCAATTCCTAATTCACTGGATCATGAATCTATTACATATTTTCAGGAAGAATAAAAAAAAAAAGAGAACATAAAAAATTGTACAAAAATGCAATTCGTTTTGTGATAAATACATTAGCCAATCGAAGGCCGGCCCCAGATTCGTATCCGACCGCGACGATCGGTCGTGATCACAGCATCCTCGCGGAAGAGTATGTCAACGCAAGGGTCCGCATGGATCATTTGAGTGGCCGTAGGCTGTAAAATGGAAACTTGACTTTTGGGTGGAGGCAAATGCAGCGTTGGCAACGGGACTTGACACGCTTCGTCTATGGACTCGGCCATATCACTCATCGTAAGACTGCCAAAGACACCGCCGCTGCTGCGCGATGGTCGTTTGCGGAACCGGTTGAACGACGACGGAAACCCGTAATTTGGGTTGGCAGAAGAGGATGGAGTCGTCGTATCGGTCGATCCGAATTTACGAATGGACAGTTGTCTAGATTTTTTCATATCGGTGGGTGGGGATGGTAAAGCTGTGAAGCTTTTGTTCTTTGGGCTTTTTGGTGGATGTAAGATTGGATCAGAGATACCACGTCCCCTCTGTTAGAATACCTCTCCGTCAGCCATCTTTGCTTTTTCCTATTATCATCACTAAAAACCACTTGCCTGCTTTGGTCGATGAAGCGCGTTGAATGAGAAATCCCAAAATATGAGCTTGCAATCATCGCCTACACTACAGAAACGGTATACGCGATCATCGCATCGCCAGGGATCAAACGCGACTCCAGTCACCTGCAAAAAGAGGAAAAAAATGTTTACAAAACCAAATTTCGAATTTGTGACCAAAGTGACAACGCAGACTTACCCATGATTTATGGCCTTGACAACGAGCAACGATGCGTTGTTCTGGGAACGCCCAAATCGTCACCAAGTCATCTTGTCCACCCGTCTATGAAAGGTACACATAGGGTTATTATTATTTATATTCTTTGCTGCTCACATCCAACCGTAACCTACCAAAAGATATCTGCCATCGGGACTCCAGGCCACGCATAACAGTTGTCCATAATAACTTCCAAACACGTCTTCTAATCTGCACAGAAAATGAATACCAAACATTGATCCAATCGCTGTCAGAAAATAAATGGTCTTACCTTTCCTTTTGATAATTGATGATACGCAGTTGGCCATCCATGCCGACCACCGCCACATGTTCACCATTAGGTGAAAATTCAAACGCTACAGCAAATGCAATGAGAACAATGGCACTATCGGTAAAAATATGAACGAGGCAAAATGTACCTGATACTCCTTTGGTATTGACGCGCCAATGGGACACAGGATTGTATTTGGTGTTTCGGTGAGGCTTACTGGCTTGAAATCTAATATAACGGTGAATAAAAATGACCAGGTTGATGATGATAATGATAATATCAATACTCACTGATCTGACGTCCATGATGATACCGAGGGAACAGAAAACGTTTGATCTTCTTTTTCCTTGTCTAAAATCATGATGGTCCCGTCACTGAACGAAGCCATGAAAAGATCTTCTGACCCTGGAATCCATTTCACGTTCGTCACAGACGAACTGTTCAAAACGCCCTATATTATCCATGAGCATCTGTGTCTCTTTTAATCCCTATTGCAGTTTCGACCTACCCCTTTGTTCAGTCGTATATATCTTCCGCTGAGTGGATCGTACCAGACGCAGTCCCCCGAAGAAAATCCAATAATAACATCCAAGTGATCATTGCACCGTGTCAGCATATTTACATCATGACAAGTGGGACATCCTTTTGTAAACACGATTCGCGACAAAGGTTCCTAGGAGCAACAAAAAAAAAGAAACACTGTTAATATATTTGGTCAGCGTCCCTGATAGAAAGAAAAAAGGAGCTTTACTTTGGATCTCTGGTAGCCGTCCATCCAGACAAAGCTCATGCCAACATTATAGAATAAGAATGGATCGTTGGCTGATCGCGCTTGTAACTTCTTCGACAGCTGTTCGTGCATAATGATTTGGGCCACAAAACTCGATTTGGTCTTTGCCAAATTATTTTTCGGTTTCCGCGGATGACGCTGGCCATTACGATTGAACAATGACGACAATGATCCAACACTGCTACTGGCCATCAGTGACGAAGCCATCTCGTCATTAAAGGTTTCTACTGTTGAAGACAGGGTTGCCGAGCCGGAAATATCATTCACGTTGGTATAGCTGCCGTTACTTGGAATAGGTTGCGCTGCCGACGGAGCATTGAGCCAGACGTTGGGCATTAAAGGCGAATTAGGATACTGCGACGTCGTGCCATTGCCATTGGTGCAGTTGCGAAGCGATGATCCAGACACATGTCGCACGTGTTCAATGCTGGAAGAGGATGATGATGCCGCGATGGAGCGACTCGATACTCGACGTTGAGCGTTTGGTATAGGAAGAGCAGACACCTTCCCCTGTGTGCCAGAGATAGAAGGAACCGATTCAATGGTGGCGAGTCCTTGGCCTTCGTCTTCCGAGGATTCAATAATCGTATAATCGAACTTTTCGGTGGACGATAAAGGCGTGGTGGTATTTTCAGATACAGAAGAGAAAAGTGAAGAGGATTTGGTGGAAGGGATCGATAGATGTTGGGGATAAACGGACTTGACAGTGACGATGGAAAGATGCGTGCCCACTGAAAATTGAGGTGGGATGTTTTGGAGAAAAATTTCTTGGATTAAATGATACGCGCCCTCTGGGGTGTGAAACTCATCGCAACGAAACTCTCTGTTCGTTGATGGATAGGGTTGTATGACCCTGGTGATCTGGTTGATACCCGGACGGCTGTTATTGATACTTTGGGATATAGCATTGGCTGCCAGGGTCTAGAAACAGGATACACCATTTTCTTGATATTAGCAACTTGTTATTGTCCGTTATTGTTCCCCCAGCTCTCACGTTGCACGGACGATTATTTCGCATAAGCAACCCTTTTTTTTTTCTTTTTTATATCTGCGCGACGCTGTTTTTGACGTTAGACCTTACCGATTGAAAATAACCGTCCATAAGTCAAAGTACTGTAGCCAAGTACAGAGTCACTGTACATTAACTTGCAACGATGATTCACAATGGAATGTCGGGTAAGAGGGGATGAGAAACTGTCGGAAAGGGGAACTGAAGTTATTGCAATGCCCCAAAGCTGCCAGTCACAAATTACAACATGGCAGCACTTTTGGAACAAAAAGGTGCAAAGGCCAATAAAATAAATGAGTTGCCCCTGTCAATGCATCTCTATATCATCCATTGTCTCCTTGCATAAACCCTGAATAAAAAAATAGTCCACACGGCTTACTAATTATAAACTCGCACGTTCATAAACAAACACAATACACCTGAACAAGCTTTACTTCCCCACACAATAAGCTATTTCGTCACCGTGAGAGTTCAGCGATCCGCCCTTTCCCTTTTTTCTGAAATCAATATGTGGCGGAGCTTTGAGCGGACGTGGTCATGGTTTCCCATCGCCAAGGCAAATTAATTTATCCGTCACACGTTACATCATCGGCTGAGGCAAATCTTTGATGAGGTTCACTAATGGTAACAGATAGAATACAAGGAAGACAAGTGTACATCATCAATGTTCAGTGGCTATGTATCAGCTGTAATAATTCCCTTTGACAATTTTAACAGCACATAGGATGAGATCATATGTTTACTCTATATCTTGCAGACTATCCCTAAAGAGTGACGCTATAGCGATCTGCAGCTAGCTCTTTATCATCAAGAATTTGGCCAGCATAACATATCCCAGAATCTAACCGCTTCACTTGTAAATTTGACGTAGCAGCATGGCCGATTTAAGATGATAAAAATGGTCTCTTTTCTTCTGGAAGGCGGTCCTGCAAAATCAGTCTCGCCAATGCATGGCCCTTATTGGCTGTGCTGTCCCGTTTTAGCACCGACACTGGCAACTCACTCATTTCACCTACGCAGTGCAAGCTCATGCCGCAAATCATGAATTGTGATAATTAGCAAGATTCATTTGAAGAAAAAAATGATGCCATGAGCATAGTAGCTTCAGACATGTCATGTCAGATTCTGTTTATTCGAAATTGAGATAAAGGGCGCTTTAGACCGTGAAGTTCGCAGACGCATATTTTTCTGGTTCGACCACTTGAATAAGAACGACCACAACTTTCACCCACAACATCAAAAGGAGTTGCAACAGACTTTATTCCGCGGTTCAAGACGTGGATCCTAGTAACTGTTCCGTTTGCCTTTCAGAATCCTTTTAAAGTAATACTCGATTCAGGCATGCGGATTGATCATCTGTTAAAGTAAAAGTATTCCTTTTTTACCTCCCCTTTAAAGAATACAAATGTTGCTAATTTAGAAAAGGATATGATGTGATATGGCTCTTACGCCTACGACGGTCCGCGATTATGCCTAGAATACAATAATGTTGAGCCTTGTAGAGGGTTGCTCACCCTTTACGCTTGTTGATAGATGTTGCTTTTCGGCCAGGAGAGCGCTGAAAACGATGGCGAAGAGGTGTTTGATAAGTCCATCTCCATTTTCGATTCCAGCTTAACATTCTGTGGTTTCCGGCTACAGGGTGACACAAATTCAAAGGCTTCATTCACCGGTGATTTGCCATTATGATATTCCAATCTATGTTCATGATACGATCTAGCGTGAATCCTAAACCTGGTATATTTGATTGTTATTGACCATTATCAAACATACAATGAGAATCGCAAAAAAAAATGACGTGACACTGGATGGCAGTCACCAAGTGCCAGGTTTTCAATGATTCACTGCGAGATCAAGAAATCCATGTTTGTATTCGTTAAACCAAGCGGTCAATGACAACCACAGTGAGACCGCAGCACCCGTCTGTGGGCAATTCTTGGTCAAAGCAGACTTCTGGAGATCGAGCCGCTTCGCTTACCCCGATTGCCGCAGCTGCGTTGTTTCAATATAACTGACCGATGTCCCACCGCGGGGAAATCCCCATCAGAAATTCACTGGAAACATGTCAATTGCGCAGCAGGAAATGACTGCTTTTAGATTCTATTAAATGCCGGGCAAACCGCGAGCGCTTTTTCCTTCACCAAGTCTTTTGACACGTCTCTCATTGTCCCTTTCAGCATGCCGCTTCCTACCGGAAACTATCTTGAAGCCATCCGCACAACTTCCAAGGAAGTAGTTGCAAAGAGTCCCGTAAAGGTGAGTACTATCAACAGACGACGGGAATTCTCGGCTCCTCATGGCCATTGAAACTGATCATCATTCATCTTCCCAGGTCTCTGAAGAAGGCATCAAGAACTTTTTGGAAAACCTTGACAAGCAACAATACGAGGAATTGTCGATTGATACTCCTATGCGTATGCCTGTCAAGTTTGACAATATTGCCGAAGAAGTCAATTTTATTGCTTTGATCGATCTGCTCAACTTTGGTAGCGGATACCGCGTACCACTCCACGAGTTGGCCGGCAGAGGGTAAGTGATCTTGTCCAAGTATAGCAGGGGATCGGCCCTGTTTGTGATATATGTAAAAAAGTGCCAGTGATCCTAACCATGAGTTTTGTTGTTAACAGTGCATTCGATACGATCCGTTTTGGAGCCATGTCATTTCATATCGGTGGCACTCCCATGACGGCCGAAACCTTCAAGAACATTACGGCGTTTGAGGTGTCTGAAATTTTCCAGTTCCCAATCGATCGCGAAGTCCAAGCTCCCAACATGCCTGGCGTGACAATCGGTGAACCTACGCCGTTGAAGCCATTAGCTCAAGGCATCGCCGACGTGCTGAATACCACGGGTGAATTTTTGGAAAAGCACGGTTACAAAGACCTTGCTAGTTTCATTCTGGATGTTACCAAGGGTGGAGACTCTACCGCCGCGAAGCTCGTAGAGAACCTTATCAAGGCGTTACCCGGTCTTCACGATTTCTACAACATCGATGGTACGGAAGTGTACTTGTTCAAAAAGGCCCAAATTCTCGTATACCATCTGTGGCTATTCTTCAAGGACCAGGATCCCGCACGATTCGATTTCAAGGATATCCACGAAATGACCATTTTCTCAGATAATGTAATCCCTACGATGCTGGCTCATTTGGGCGTTCTGGAATTGCCCCAATCCTGGAAGGACGATATTACGGCGAACGTCGATTTGGGCGAAACACGGGCCACTATCCTTCGCGCTGCAGCCATCGTGGCCTGCGAAGACATCATCCGAGCGGCACCTACGGTGGGACCCATTCCCAATATGCATGAAGGTGATTTGGATGTGTACCTTTGGCGTTTAGGCAAGATCGGTGATTATCGCAAGGTGCCTCGATTTGAGCTGAGAGACACTGTCATGTTCTGAAGAAATCATTCATAATATTATTAAATCCAACAGAGAGATAAAATAACATGATAACTGGTTCATTTGTAACTTTGTAAATTAAAAAAAAAGGTGAACATTTTTGTACAAAATTGTCATGATAAAATAAGAAAGTAACCATGGAAAACCAAAACTATGAACTTGAAAGTACATGATGTATATGTAAGTGGGCAGCGTAGAGAGATGATGTAGAATAGGAATGAATTGTATGTTTTTAAATAGACATCGCAGAATTAATGAGAGTGCTGCATATTTAGTATCAAAGGCAGGATCATGCCACCCAGAATGGAGTATACACGAGGACGATCCATTGCACCGTAAGATTGCACTTCTTGCAATGCGTGCATTGCCACATACAGAAAAGTACCACCAGAAAAGATGAGTAATATCCCCGTCCAATATTCCAAGCTCGCTGATGCTGTATTGAGTGCCGAGGCATAGAGCAGTAAGTAGGTGGTCAGAGCGCCGATCGGTGCTGACAGCGAGAACATCAAAAGATGCTTGCGGATCTGGATTCTCGAAAGCCCTTCGGCGAGCAGAACGGTGGTTAAGGCAAATGCAGAGGGAGCTTTGTGTAACATAATGGCGAGGAACACCACCATGGAAAGTTGGGGATGCGAAGCGGATGCGCCCAGCGCAATACCATCGGCTGCAGCGTGAATAATCAAGCCAATCGTCGGTGTTAGTGATTGCTGATGGGAATGTGCATGATGAGTAGATGCTTCAGGAGCTGCTTCTGGTAAGTCGTTGTCTAAAGCCGTTTCCGAGACAAGAAGGGTATCGAGCTGGTTATATTCCGTCGCATCGGCGTTTGCGGCATTGGCAGATGGGGAAGGATGTACGTGAAGTGAGCTCAACTGATCAATGACGAACATTAGCGCAAATCCGATAATTAAAGCCAAGCCAACCGAGGCGTGCAATGAGCCATGCGATTCCTCAATGTGAGCCGGACGACTATCGGTGGTATCCGTTGAATCCAGAGCATCGTATTGATTGCTGTTATAAAGAGTTTCCACACCTTCTGGCACAATGACAACGAGAGCTGTTCCGACGAGTAACCCGACACTAATAGCGGAGAAAATGCGTAGCTTTGACTCGGAGAGTTTGGTTGCAAGAGGTATACATCCGGCAAGGAAACTGCCTATTAACATACATAGGCAGAGTAACAGTAGCCAGACAAACGGATTCAACATGGAGAAGTGGATGAACAAGGGAGTGGAAAGGAAGGAGACAAAAAACTTACTATCGCAGTTTCAATGGCAGAAATTGCTGAATTTGCCCGTCATTTTACGGAAATGAGTGGCGGTCCAAAAACGGTGTCATGCTGGTGCGCCACTCAACGTCAGATCAAAATCCATTGGATGTGCCACCACACTCTGTCTGTTTTTCTGTCATGCGCTTGCGCCTTCTCCATGTATTAATTCTTATTGAAAACGGACCATGATGGGCTGCCGATATGACTTTTTCCAAATTGTCATCGCAGTGAGAAAAAGAGAACTCATATTTATTTGTAGACTAGTTTTTAAGATGCCCAATATGATACAAGGTAGCATATCATAGCAACGGTTGACGGCAGCGAATGGTTTCATCTGGTCGTACCCACAACGACAAATGCGTTTAGGGACATTGAATATCCTATTACAGCTTATGTGCATAAGTTGTGCAGACAGAAACTTGCAGTATTAGCGCCCATTAAGTGGGAGGTGCTCTAGGTGTTGCGGACTTATTTCTTTTTTCTTTCATTATATGAATCGAGTAGGCACAAGCGCACAATTCTTCAATGTAACACATTGCCGAATTGCCAGAAACAAACGCATCCGAACGACGAATGTAATAACCAATTAATGCGATCGGCGGTTCAAGTCGAGATAAAGTGGAGATGGCGTTTTTTTTTTGGGCCTTGCACGTTGCTCCAAATACAAACAAGAACCACCGATGCAGGACAAAGCACATGGTGCTCACTTGTGTTCGAAACCCCGCCTTTTGAGCCATTTTTGTGAACGGAAAAGTGACACGAAAATAGCCTTTTTTCCTTCCTGCCGGCAGTTTTTTCTCTTCTTTTTTTCTCAACTACCTCCAACTCATTAGTGCATGCCCATGGGATTGACGGGAAAGAGTCAGAATGAATTCTACATTGACTTGCATGAACATCGTTTCTACTTTCCTGGCGATGTAATAAAAGGTACCGTGGTCAGGCGACGCTTTACGACTTCTTTTTTTTTTACCTCGCTTATTCAGATATATCGTAGGCGACGTTGTCTTGGATTTGGCTAAACCCACCAAGACAAACCATATTAGAATAACCTTTTCGGGCGATATTCAAACCAGTGTTGCTACGATCCAGTTGTTTACCAAAACCATGCACTTGGCAACTTCGCCCGACGGAGACGGCAAATCTCATTATCTTGAGGCGCAAAACCATCGATTCCCCTTTGAATTCAAAATCCCCAGCGACGAATGTGAACTTCCCAGCAGTATGCAGGTAAAACGAGGGCGGGAAACGACATGGCTATATATCCACAATGGACTGACTAACTGACTGGGGATTTGGACCTTACCAAGTTGGACAAAATCGTCAAAGTCAAGTATCAGCTGGTGGCGCTTCATGACAGACCCTTGATTTTGGATCAATTTGCACCAAAAACGGAAAAGAGCATATCTATTTTGGAGCGCCTCGATGCCAGCTTGCCCGAGTACAATATCAAAGGCGAAATGATTGAAGCCATTCGATTAGACGGTTTAGACGATCCCCGCAAAGCTCAGGTCTCCATGATCCTACCTAAATTCGCCATCGTTAGAGGTAACTTTTCATCAAGCCGACGCTCCTAACCTTATCATCACCCAATTTACTGCAGGATCAACGTTACTGATCTGCTGATGGGATAATTTTTTTAACAGGTGATATTTTACCAATTATAATTCACTTGAAACATTTCCACGATTTTACGCGTAAGAGAGCTGTGAAACTGCAATTGATCAGACATGTGTATGCTGGGAAAAGCAAGTAAGTCGGTTCGCTTGATCCTGCACCTTGTTTGGGACGCTTGAAAATTCACCTACTTTAATGCTTGCCTGTGTTTTTGATAGAGGAGAATGCACACAGAAAGCCGCCATCATGTCGCATTACTTGGATATTGACATCCCTGGCCCTTTACAGTTCTCGCAGCAGATCCAAACAAAAATGCTCATACCAACATCGACACCACCTACCGTGGCTGAAAGCGGACGTATCTTTTCTATTGAATATTCCATTCGAGCTATTATCAACCTGAATGAGAAAACCGATGATCCCGAGCTACCTGAGCAATCAAAAAACATCATTTACATGAATGCACCCATTGTTATTGGCACATTCCCTAAACCTGATGTTATGATCGATGATGACGATGAGGAAGAAATTGTTCAGGCACCAGCGGAAGCAGAAGTTTTGGAGGAACAATTGCCGGAGGAAATGACTGACACTGTATCCACGAGTTACCATGAAGCAGAGGATGAGTTGACTCAAACATTGAACAATCTTGCCATTAACGAGACTGAGCAACCCAGCGACCATGCCTCACTTTATCCTTCATTAACCGATGCGGATGCTCCCCTTTGCCCGGTTGTAGACAGCTTGAGTCATGCCGCACCGTTACCTGCCACAGAACCGACAGCATCCAACACACCTGGATATGTCAAAGAGTCGATGCCAATACCTGCGCCTGTACCTTCGCACTCAAATCGAGTCAACCAAAACATGAATGAGCAGTCGTTGATGAGAGAGAATAGTGTTTCCAGCAATTACAGTGCTGATACTGGCCCCTCTCAACGTTACAAGCCGTATAACGCGCAGCAAGAAGTCAACCCGACTTCGTCATCACCGTACATCAACCATGCAAGATACGATTCGCTTTCCAGACATTCAACTGTTTCATCGACCGCAAGCTTTGGAAGTTCCACTCCCCCTTCGTCCTTTCAATCTCCTTCGATATTGACGGCTCCAACTAAACCAATGGTTATGCCCGATGCTCGTCATTATGTTCCTCCACAAGAGCGACCCTTTGGACCGAGTGAAACATCAAGCCCGGCATTGCATCCTACATATTATCCTCAAACCGAAAACTTACATTTTCATCAAAATCGCTCATCTCCGTCGACGTCATATCATGATGTTTATCAACCTCCACCTCAATATCCTGTAAAGTACTCGACAGCCAATAATATTTCAATGCCGCTGCCATCCATGCCTGTTCCGTCTATTCCTATGCAATCCATGCCAATCCCGTCGATGCCTACACCTTCCATTTCCACACCTTTGATGCCTTCTGTATCGCCAAATTTTCATCCACCGCCAGCGTTCCCCATCCCATACAGTCAAAATAATAATTACCCTGTCAACTCGGATATACTCTATCCCTCCGCTTCCTCTTATACTCCGGCGATGCCGATAACCACACGATCCGGTTTTGCATATCAACCCGCAAACGATCCAGTGATTCCACCTTATTACTCCTGATAAAAATACCTGTATAACTTAATAAAACTATCCAAATTAGACACTGCAATTGGGGAAAGGGAATTTTGGCTAACAGTGAAGAAAAGGAAAACAAAACCAATGGAAATGTCTCACCTGACGGAAAGCGTCCGTCACAGCGTTTTTGCGGGACAAACGTGAATTTCCGAAAGCGGGGTTTGAATAACGAAGATTACTTTTGTGGAGACCAAATTTTTCTCAGTCTTTTTTTTCTCCTTCGTTTCATCCACACACAAACAAATTTACCAACAACACAACCTTTTCATTGTTTGTTCTTAATACACACCCTAACAGATTACCATGAGACTCGTTACTCAATCCGAACAAGACAGTGCTAGCCGATATGCCATGAAAGGATTTGCCGTAGGAGCCGCCCAATGGGCCGGTGTGGGTTTGTTCGCCTCGGCCTTGGCTTACTCCTTTTTGCCTTGGTACCGCCGAACACAAACAGTGAACAAGGTAATGTATCATTGACATGGAAAACCTTTTTTCTTTACTAGGTGGGTGATTTCCTTTTACGCTAACATGGGGGTCATTAGTTTTATATTGTCATGTGTTTTGGTTTGGGTGGCGGTGCTTACAAGTCCGATCGCTATATGGTCAACTACGAACGTCGTGGCCGAGCACAGTTGCTGGACGAAGCGACTCGTTTGCGATATGAAATAATTTACGGTGAGACGGACAAAGAGCGTGAGGAAGCCAAGGCTGCTTTGGAAAAGAAGAAGGAGGAGCATCATCAACAACAACAACAAGCGACTCAACAAGCAACAACAGAACCCACCACCTCTACCAGCTCCGCTTAGACCTCATTTCTTTTTCAATCCCTCCCCTGTCGAAACACCACCCCTTTTGTAATAAATGCGATATATTAGCCATAGGCGCCGTAGAGGGGCTAATATTGTGTATAAAGATATGATATTTATTATATGACATCATACACAGGCTGTGTAGTATAGATCTGATTCGAAACAATCGTATTTTGCAATGTTGATTGCGGGAAAGGGGTGGATGAAAGATTTACATCCATGAATGTCGGGGACCAAAAAAAGTAGGGTTTCTGTTTTTCCATGCTTGTCAAAATCGAACCACTTTTTTCGGACTGCTTTATTTCTCCCAATTCTGCAGGCTTTTTTTTTTTTTTTTTTTGGAGTTTGCTGAGAGTTTGCATATCTGGAAGAAAAATGGGCCATCCTCGACTTCTTTCGTTTGCATTTCATCATGCTTCTTCAATCATCAATTATTGCTTTCATTGTAGAGGAATACACCAGGTTGTAGCTGAGCTATCCATAGTCTAGCCTGATTTGTCTTCACTGGTATATCGGCAACCCGTTTTGCCAGTTACTGTGTTTGCCAAGGAACGAAAGGCTTAATACCATCCATTGTAGGTGAAAGTAAATGGAACCGATTGCACCATACTATCTGTGTCGAATATGGAATGGAAGCGCCAACATAGAGACTATGTTTGGTAAACGTATGAAGGAAGGTTGGCATGTATTCTAATAGAACTGTGCTACGTTTTTATGCTCAGACGTTTTAAATGAGCAGTCCCATTATTGCCAAACTCAATGTGCAGACAACGAAACCCATTTTGGCTTGAAGATTCGCTGTTGTCCAGATTCTGCTTGTCAATGGATTTGTTTTCGACATGTTCATCCATTTTCAAGCGGTATTTTACTGACCACAGGCATTACCTCCGAGATTGCGCTTGGAAAAACAACCAGAAATCAACTTGGCGGGCATTTAGCGTTTCGTTGCGTGGTCTTACGCCGTCCCCACAGTAGCAGTATGGGCTGATGAGAAAAGCGGTCTGATGGCTGCAAAGTCTTTGTAACAGGCTTTTGAAAGCTGAGGTGCTCTTTTGGATAGCAGACGAAGTGGATGACACGAATAACTTCGTGTTACGTAAAACCTTACACAGCTCATTCTGAAGCAACGAATAATAAGCTGACATTGAGTTTGGATTGACGTGATATTTTAACGAAACGGTCTGCCAACAAGCAAGAAGAATAATGAATGATATAAGGTCATCATCAGAACGGAACGATCATGTAAGAAGATCGTTTCAAGTATCGGTTAACAAGGTTGTTTGTGCTTGGTCGATTCAGACTGTTGCTGGTGACCGAGAAAAAAAGAGAGAATATCATGAAACATGCGACTAAATTATAAAATTGGCTTGGATGATCTTTTTTGTTTAAAAAATTATGATCAGATGTCTGATCAAGCTGCTGAAATCATGTTGAATTCATGATGAAAAGCTTAACGCATGCAGGCATGCATGCATGCTATGAAAAGTTGACACGGTCTGAGTTGACGTTGACTGGTCAACCCCCCTTCTCAAACATTGCCCAATTTGGAATTCCGCGGACAGGCGGGAAGCAATAAAGCAGAAAAGCTCAATCTGATAGGTCGTTATTTTCTTTCGCTTTGAAGTTTTCTATTTCACGTCTTTTTCGTTCTTGTAATTTTTCTTTTTCGCGACACCATGGAGACCAAGCAGCATGCTTTGAGATTTATGACTTTTAATATTCGCCATGATCACGGCAAAGACTCACCCTATGAACCATTCGCCGCTCCCCCGGAATCCCCCACCGAGTTCAGCCATGAGCAACCATGGGCCATTCGCAAATGGAAGATCGCCGACACCATCATACTCTACTCGCCGGACGTTGTAGGGTTACAAGTAAGTCGACGTGTTTGCTTATCTGCGCAGTAGATACTCATCGAATATTTAGGAACCCATTCATCATCAATTAGTCGACCTAGAGGCTTTATTGAACGAGGAATATGAATGGGTGGGTGTGGGCCGAAACGACGGCAAAGAAGAAGGTGAATACGCCGCCATCTTTTATAAAAGGTAAGCACCGGGACATCCCGAACACACAACTGAATGGCTTATGAAAATGCTTAATATGACCTACAGAGAATGCTTGTCCGTGGAAAATCACAAGACCATCTGGTTGTCCGAGGTAAGGAGAATGGGTGGATGGATATGGCTCGGCAAGAAGGGGGAGAGAACACCTCTGTTGACCAGACATGCGCGTTCTGTAGACACCTGAAGAAGTTGGATCGAAAGGATGGGATGCTCACCACCCTCGTGTTGCGAGCCAAGTGATGTAAGTATGATCGACAGGGTGGTTTGGTTTTGGCGGGAAGATGTATCGTGCTGATCTGGTACTAGGTTCAAGCGATTAAGTGATGATTCTACATTTACTGTATTTAACGCTCACTTTGATCATATGGGCAATGAAGCACGCCGAAATTCTTCGCAGTTATTACTGGATTTAGCAAAAGAAGTCGAAGGCGTCGTGATTTTAATGGGCGATCTAAATTCCCCCGAATCGGATGCCGCGTACAAGGTATTAACTGGGTCAGCATACGAGGACATGGACAAGAATGCCACGCTGCGTAACTTGACCCAGTTAAACGACGCCATCACCCAATCCTTTGTCAGAAGCACCGGACGCCCTGTACGTACCACCGAAAACAATATCACCTTGCCTACCCACCGTGTCTTCCGCCCGAGCCAAATTTTGAGCCGACTGCAGCAAAACGGTGAGACCCAACAAGTTCACTTCAATGATACACGTTACGAGTTAGTGACACCCTTGACCGACAAGAATCATACGGCCAGATATGCCAAACTTAGCGGTCCTTACGGTGACACCAATACTTTCACCAGCTTTGGCGTCGGACCTGAAGCTGGTAAAGGTCCTACTCGTATTGATTACATTTTGACCCTGAATACCGCACCTGTCGAAGTACGACAATTTGCCGTCCTTAGTAATCAGTTTGACGATGGTTTGTACATTAGCGACCATCGTCCTATTTTAGCCAAATTGGCATGGTAATTGGAAAAAGAAAACGAGTAAACCATATATGGGTCATACCGTTTGACAACTGTGTGCAACCACTTGTATTTATCATATTTCCTTTTTTCCCATTATGACAAAATCCCAAGAAACCAAGACACTCAAACATCTATACAATCAAACTATCATAGAAAAGATGCAATAAATGCTAATAGTTTCATGGTCCATGTCCATGTGTGCAATTTTGTGACTAACTGTGACCTGTTATTTGCTTACTACATGATGTGACCTCTTTGTAGATAAAACTCATATCAGTATGCCATACGTTTGAAAAACCGACCTCATAGGATAATGCTTGTTTCAGCTTGTGGTATTAGAATACATCACGGTCCATGACTGAAAGACACGTTTCTTAATTCAAGTAATATGTTGGAAGATATTACTTGACCTTTTGACGAGACATTTTTAATTTGATATGATACGCGGTGTGGCAAAAGAATACAATTCTTTGGGTATACACGGTAGATGATAGGATATGCGTTGTGCTCGTGAAGGGAAAAAAGAGCGGTAGATCTTAGAAATTCATGAGAGGCGTATGAGTGGTACCTTTAGGAAAAACGATAAGAGTAGCAAGGAAAAGACCAATGGTAATACCTAAAAAAAAAAGAAGAGGGAAAAAGCTCTTAATTAAGCATGTCCATTTGGAATAAAATCATAAAAAAAAAAAGGTACCGATGGAGCCTTCAATCATGGCTAATGCAAAGCCAGCACCTTGCGTTCCAAATTCACTGGTGTTTCCAAATAAGCCAAGCGCAGCTTTCAGACCTGATGGTGTTTGTGATTTTTCATTGTTATTATAATTATTCGCATCAGGTTCAATCAAAACAGAGGGTTCAAAAAACAACATCAGACTTACCTAAACTGCTAGGCACCAGATAAAAGATCTGTAAAAAAATAGAGACCATACCAAACTAAGATGATATGTTTGAGATGGCACAAAGAATGGCAGTGACTTACCCCAAGTAACATGGCATCAAACGACATATGACCCGTAAATTTGGTTAATAAGTTTCCGACCAGACCTAACCAAAAGGAAGGTACCACCTGCATCACCTGGGACGGAGTGTGGGCCCAACAAGCGAGTGCATAGTTGATCACATATCCCACCACCGCCACCGGAATCATCACCAACCATCGCGGGATCTTGGCTCTGATAAACACACAAAAGGCCACAGCGAATAATGGCACCATCAAAAAGTTGAACCACGGTGACTCGTTGCCAAGACAGGTCGAAGCGATGGAAGCACGCTTGCATACTTCTGGCTGCTCTTGCAGGTCACGAGTATCAACAGTAAGGTATAGTTCGGATCCCATCGATACACCGTAACCGAGCAAGAACGAATAAATAATAGCATATACCATTCGCACCACACCGCTAATCAGTTGTCGCGATACCAGCTCAATGATAGCAACCGCCATCGTGTATCCAGGCAGCATCACAATGAAGGCAGAAAACGCAATGGGAGTAAAGCACACACCGTATCTTGTGAGAGCTACCATCATTTTACCAAAAAAAAAAAAAAAAAAAAAAAAAAAAAGATAATTCGTTAGTAGGATAAACTACCTAGATTATGCATTCCCTGGGGAAGTATACTTTACCACGAGCGACGAAACCAATGATAATACATACTGTAATCTCCCAAATGGGTTGGAAGCTAAGGATGCGCCCGGAGAACACCTCGTACACCGCGAATACCACTAGCCATATTAAGACAAATGAGTGGAAAGAGTCTAGCATGGATGCATGTTAACTACTTACTTCCCAATGCAGCCGCCACACCGGCTTCTTGCCATCGCCCACCAAAGAATAAAATACAACCAGAAAAGGCAGCGAGGGCGTATGCGAACGGATTGAGCCATACAGGATAAATGGGTGGCAGTTGATACACCTTGTCGATGAATTCCAATGCTTCGTCGACCGACACTTCGCCGTGCGAGACCAGTTTTTCAAGACGATAGATTTCGCCCAAACGATGCATCTCAAATGTCTGAGTTTGACGAATAAAGTGGGTTTCGGTAGTGTGGGTGGTTGCATCAAAAAAGGTGAGAAACATGACGTTCGGCATGTATACGTATTCGGCATCCACGCCCAAGGTTCGCGATACCTGACGCATAGCATATTCTAGACGATGGGCTGGACATCCGTACAGCATCAATGATTTGGCCAACTTTTTCAAAAAGTCCTGCTTTTGCAAGATATTGGCGATTTCAAACGTGATGCGAATACGGTCTTCAAGAGTGATCGGCTCAAACTGCGAAGCGGTCGTGAACGTACTGTCGGCCGAATTTCTCCGAGAACAACTGGGAGCTGTCTGCTTCTTCCGTTTTTCGAGTGTTGGCACCAGATGCTGGCTGGAGGTGGCCGAGGAAAGCCAACTCTTGGGTCGATTGACCATCGGTGGTCGTTTGCGCGGCTTTCCCTGAACGTCCGAAAACTGCACATCGCTGGATCGTGGAGACAAATTATGCACATGCGACGAAGACGATCTTTTTGACTAGCAAAAGCAATGAGATCACTAATTATGTGGTTTCCCCCCAAAATCTTGGGCTATACTTGATCCGAAAAAAGCATCGTTTCGAAAATCTTTGTTACCTTTGCATTCTTCTTGTGTGAAGCCCTCACAATACTTTGGCGACGTTTGGCTTCGAGCTTCATCAAGCTGGCGAGGACGCTGCCACTGGCAGCAGGGCGTCCAGAACGTATATCTTCCTCATCAATTATACTTTCGGCTAAAGGAATACTGTCGATGCTGGAAGTACGACGGGCAAAAGCGGGGGTCCCTAACTGCGCGTTCACCATCTGTTGTACCAGCGCAGCGGACTCTGCAACATGATCGTGAAACCGAACATGGCGATCTCTGGCGCCGGCCTGGTCCATCACTACTTCTACCAACGTATTCATAGAACCGTCATCCAGTGTGTTGGATGCCAGTTTTTGTGAATCGCTCATGTCTTTCTCTTTGACGTCAGTGTATAAATCACTGTCATGATGCTTTGGCTTTTCGTTTTCTTTCTCTTTTTCCCGGTCATCGTGCTCGGTATGGCTGCTAAAGTAAGACTCACGAGTCGGTGGCTGACTTTCGATATTGATGGTAGGATGATCGCTTTCGTGGGAGATAGGAGTGGTGCTTCGGATACTGCCTTCGGACGAGAGAACGGTTCGTGAGTTTTGACTGTTGATCAATGCGATCTCTGGTAGACGAGGCCAGGAATTGGCGGTTTGTAAGGTAGGTCGTACGGTGAGGTTTGTGTTATTGTTGTTTTTTTCGGTGGGATCGTCCATGAGAGCAAAAAGTAGGAAGAATGATAAAGATGGAAGTTCCATCGCAGCTGTGTAAATTATAAATGATCGGCTGCTCAAACAGGCAAGCGAGCCGGAAGATTTATTTGGGACATTTTCTGCATCCCGCTTTTGCAAAAGCAAGATTTGAAGCGATTAGATTTTCTGCAAAACGTTAAACGAGCATCGCTGGGTGAGGTAGCGACTAGTGTCATTGTACAAGACGCTTCACAATACAGAAAATTCTTCTTTGAGTTTACATCTTACACACTTCGGCGTTGGAAGGGCCGCGATCCTAACAATGATCTATCAGGGGATTCCTCCTTTGTAGCAGTTTTGCCTGCATTCAAGCACCGCCCCACCAATGAAAGCACCTTGATCCTACTTTTGGTGTTCAAATATAGTGTTTTTTTTTTCTATCCTGAGTTGCCGACTACAACCAAAGAATTGCACAACCCCACTGTGCAACAATGGACTACCATACATGGAACATCAGGGCCCGTTGGTGGTTAATAGATGGTATCACGATTGCGCCGCCAACCGCTTGCTATAATGCCAAACCAAAACCATGATGGGATGGCATCTCGTTTAAATTTCCTAATATTCGGCCTTGTGCAGCCTTCTATAGAGGGACCTTTCATCCAGGCCATGATGAAAACCAGCAGATTTCCAAAATAAATAAATAAAAGTCCCAGCGGCTCGGTCGGAGTCCCCACTATCTGCGAGCTTTGGGCGAATGTTCTTTGTCCAGTTCTTGATACCGCCGTATGCAACAGACGTCTTTTTTTCTTTTGAAAAAGCTGTTGATCTATTGATAGAATCAATGTCTGAATACAAATTTTTGATGCAGTTGTAATGAATGCTTGTGGATACATGAATCAATAAAGCGCAATTTAATCTGACAAAATGTTCTATTTGCGGTCTGACCTGCGTTTGATCTCCATTTACGACAAAACAAGGTTTTTGGAAACATGCAAACATATCAACTCCAACTCCAAAATATTGTACTACCTTTTTCTCTGATACAAAAGCGGTAACCATGATACCCCAAGTCTCGATGTTCGAAACACTCCATTAACGAGTTGTCACCAAAAAGATATATACTTTGCGTACACACCATGAAGATAAAAGTATATTTTAAAAAAAGGATTCAAAGCATATTGGCATAAGCGCACACACACATAAAGCATTTACAGTAAGTCGGGGCCAGATCCAGAAAAGAAAGATGGGAAGTGTTCAAAAGATGAGGAAAAAAAGTAATACAATAATGAAATTAAATGTTATACAAATGCAAAAATAAAAAAATGATGAATGAAGAGATGAAAAAAAAAAAAAAAAATACAGATGGAATTACAAATTATGTAGTGACGAGATTAGCCTGGGCCCGATATTGTGACAAGAATTTTACGAATTCTACCACAAACTAATTCCGTCGTCATTAGTCTTTACGAAACGCAGTTCAAGTCATGACTGAAATACGGAAATATACACTTACTGTAACGAAGGATGGGGGTCGAAGAAAATAACCAGCTTCGAGACTAAAAAAGAAGATGAACGCAAATTCTTTATACACACAAGGCAGAATTATAGTCACTGGCTTACACTGAGAAGAGAATCGGGTTACAGGCGGCAGGTATCGATATTCATATTTACATAAGGCAAAAAAAAATTCCGGTAAGCAATGCAATGGATAATCTACGTGTTGTGAACTTGGGTTTGATCTGCATAATACCAAAGAGAAAGTAAGGACACGGCGTGGTACAGGTTCCAATCAATGCAACGTTATTGTACCTGAGCTGAATCATTGCCCACCATCGCTTGATAGATGACATTTTTTTTTCCACCATCAAGTCGCCGGACGGAAATGGAAATCATAGCAGGTGGCACAACCGTAAAAAGGTTTTCCGCCAACAAGTCGTGGTTTGCTGATCCATGAAACTCGAATTTCCTTTCACGATGATGATCATCACTTATGCAGCGCATGCAGTGTATGCTACATTGATCAGGCCATGGTCGATCTGTACAAATTTTACAAAGGGCCGTCGGTGACAAGATAAATGACTGATTAACTACTTTTTTGTTTACAAGTGATTGACCGCCAAAAAATTTCTGTAAAATGCAAAATTAAAAGATTGAAGAAAAGGGGGTTGAGTATGAGTATTGTATAAATATCGATGTAAAGGAAACACTTGCATTTACCTTGTTTTTGAGGTGGTCAGCCCACTGGGTCACTCTCCATTGCCACGCACAAGTTGGCATGAACAAGCTTGCTTGTTTATCAGTCCTTATCCAGCCAACCTTGTGATTACTCCATCCTGACCTGGTCAAGAAAGGGGGAAGTGCCAAAGAAAAAAAAAAGAAACAAAAGTAACTTTAACACAAAGAACACTTTATATAATGATGCCAAGCGTTTGAGAATAAAAAATACAATCATATGCTTGCTTCCATTTTTGTTTTTTATTTATCTGAAAAGGATAAAACGAAAAATAATAAATCTTTTATTTACAACATAAATAACACCCTCCATGTTTTTGTTTCGGCTTTATTTGGATTTGCCAGTTCTTGAAACAAGTTATTTACCATCTATAGTTAGATGGCCGCCTCAACGACGACAGTTGGGTGTTTGGCGACGTAGCAGGAGGTGGAGGAGGACATGAAGGTGTCATCCCCGGGGTTCGTTCACGGTATAAATGAGCCATTTCAATTACATCGGGTCGATCCAGTGTGAGTGGATCATGCCATCGATAAGATCGGCCGGCCACAAAGTATTCCATATCTCTATTATGGTAGAAATTGTCCGGGCTTTGCAGTATTGTTGATGCATTTGCAGAAGATTGCATGGATGGATGCTGCAGAACACTTCGTTGGTCTTGGAATGCGTCGTCTTCCTGGCCTTCTTCTTCTTCCTCTTCATCTTCATTTCCCATGAGTGGTTGATCATCACTGTATTTATTCTCTGGTTTGTTGTTCTTCTTCTTTACTGCTAAAGACGAGATCGGAGTAGACGGCGTTACGCATGGCGGATTGTCTTCAAACTTGTACAGCCCTTGAACGCCTTCTGTGGAATCATCCAATTCAAGCTCCGTTTCCGCAATGCTTTGAAACTGGATCGCATGTCCATTTTTCCCCTCCAGTACCGAAAGATGTCTCACGCTTTTTTGTCGTGTAATATTGCTTTGCACAGTTTTCGCTGTCGTGTGATGGCGTCGTGCTCCGTATAATCGAGGAATAAGGTGGCGTACACGTTCATGGATCATTGGGATGGGCAATTCCGCAAAAAAGGCAGGATCGCCAAATCGTAAACCGGCTGCATGCTTGCTTTCATTCCATTTTCTGGATGGATCGACAGACGACACGTGATTTTCGACGCTTGGCATGTAATAGTAGACCTGAGGATCAAACCGTCGACGGCAGTACCATTTGAAAAGGAGAGTAAGGATGGGTAAAGGCACTGTGATCACCGACGGCACGCGTGCTCCTTTCAGGTTCAGAATACCAATCATCACAATCTGATACAGTAAAGTGGAGGCCAATAACCGATTGATCAAAAGACGCCAAATCTGACCTCCTGATTCGATCTTTGTAACAAAAACATACCTAGAAAAGGCATGGATTGAGTTTTTTGCCGATTTTCACGATTGAGAAGCGTGGCATACATGAGCAAATATCGGAACACCATTGTCGCAAGTAATAAATACATCAAGGTAAACGGCAATACCAAAGGTGCAATCACCGAGTAGACCAGTCCCACCGTGAAAAAGAAAATAAGTACATTGTAATATAAAGGATAATCAAAAGCTGTCGGACGCGTAAACTCTACAATAAAGGTTCACGTTCAGTATGTTGGGAGCGTTATTTTTCTTACGTCATTTTCACTTCTTACCTTGCAGTTGGCGAGGACTCGGTCTGGTAAACAATTTCCTATTCTGTCGTGAGCCCCAAGCTGTGGATGAGATATAAAACATCATTTGCTGTCATTGTACCTTAGCGTTACAGAGAGCAATGCAAACAGTTGAGCGAGTTCCATGATCACACCGAGTCCCTTTAATGAGACGTAATTGACCCAAAATTCTGATACATCTACAAACATGGATACATGCACGTTTACCGTCCTGATCTTTTGTTGAAATCCAAAGCATTTTTTGTTGTCCATTCATCGAAGGTCTTACCACTAAGATTTTTGGCAATCTGGGTTAAATTATCGCCCATGGTGGAAAAGAATTCTTGAGCCGTCAGCTCTTGTTTGCCTTGCACGGCTTTGTGAATTTGAGAATACATGGATAACAACGTCGACGAGACAGTAAACACCAGCAGGTTGTTGATGATGAAGAAAATGTAAAGTTTGGCAAGCACTTGTCGATCCAAGCTTGTTTCGGTCGTGTAACCTTGTTGCTGGGATAACAGTCGTAGCATTTTTGGAAGAATGAGAAAAAAGATGGCCATGACAATGGGCGTAAACCAAGAACTCATCAGGGATACGAAGGTATGATGATTTTCAAGAAACGTGTCTGAATCGGGAAACAGTCGAATGAAGTCCTTGACATTCGACGAAGCGGATAGAAAACTGGAAGGAATAAACCACAGAAATACAAAGCCGTAAAACACAATTGTGGCGACTAGCTGCTTCATTTTTCGTGCGTATTCATTGAGAGACAGGTTATTCCATACAATGTCCTTGGGTTGAGGCGCAAGTTCGATGCGGATACGACTGTCGGTGCCAAATACCGAAGAGCGAGAAGCCAACTGTTTCGCATTGGCATGAGCCCAACTGACGTGAGAGTATGAAATCCAACCGTAATTGGTGGCTTTGCTGGAAGCGATGTGGGATCGGATATTGTTGATCTTTTCGCTCAACGTTTCCACTCGTTCGGAATAGTACTCGATGGCGTCGACTTTGGGTTCGCCTCTTTTGACGCGGATCATTGGCCGTTTTCCCATAATAACGGTACCATCTTTTGAGACAAGGGTTTGATTTAGTGGGATAAGAAAAACATCAGCTTGAACGAAGATTGGTACCTTTGAGATGATTTGATAGCAAAATTTCCAGCTTTCGTACGGCTGCATCATGCTGTTCCACGCATTTCGCCAGTTCATGATTCCGCCGACCAATAAGCACCTGTTGCGGTGGATATTTCAGGCCCAACGTGTCCACCCATCGTGCCAATGCTTGATCAGATTGAAGAGCAGCAGGCACATTGGTCACCATGAGGGTTCGTGCATGCGTCGATTGCTGGTACTCATTACTTTCAAAGTAACGCCGCCGCAATTCCACATAATCTCGGTAATTCGTCCAGAGTGACCGATAGATCAGCAAAGAAAACACCCATGTCGCCAGCGCATGGACCCAATACCACTTTAAATTGCCGTCCGAATGAAATTTGCCGTCATAGTAATTGATGGTTGATATGGATAAAAAATCCAGTCCTTGATACGGCGGCCATTCTCTGCGAACAAACAAACAAACACTGAGTCTTGCAAAAGAGACGGAAGGAACGTGTTATCCGTCCACACAATGAACACCTCGTGGAGCAATATCCTCATGTATATTTACCCTGTGAACGACGTGGCTAAAACATTGAGAGGAATGAGCACAAAGACACCAATTGCAGTCATACTATATAGAAGTCGCCGCAGCATCCGCATGAATCGTATGAATAGCACTACGTCGAACCCCAGTTTATCCAGTAAAACATCGTCTTCTGTCTTCATGACAGGTTTAAACCATGCAAAGAAGCCAGTACCGATGGCTGGGGGTTGCTTGCTGCCAAGGAAAATGGGTTCAACGTTACATGTTTTTTGCTTCAATGATATTAACTCGCCGGTTGGAAAATTTGTGCTTAGCTGAATGGATGCTGATCCCACTTACGATTTACTGGAATATTTGTATTTCGGAGCGTAAACCACTAGATTAAAAAAAAAAAAAAAGGCCGGGAATCATGTTAATGGATACTGTGAAGTCAACCATCAGACAGATCATGAAAAAAGCGGATTTTAATCCCTACACGAATTATTGGGTCGCAGGATGTTGAAGGCCATCAACACACCAAACGACATGGCACAATTAATACCAAGCTGCGTAGCGAGACCGGTCAATCCAAGCTTGGCGTCCACCTTTTGCTGCTGCCTGATATCATCCAATGAAGCCATCGACGACGAATAAAGGGAAAGGATAAAGAAAAATGAAAGGAAACCAAAAGAAAAGAGGAAGGGGGAAAAGGGATGGAGTTGCATTGTGCCAATTTTTTTCTGACCGACGGTGTAACGGAGCAACGTTTATTTCTGTCCAATGAAATCCACCGTTCCAAGCTGGAATCCGCCATTTCTCGTTTTCCATGTCCAAAAGCAATTGGGGTTTCTTGGTGCAACTTCCTCAAAAGGCAAAATGCTGGATACACATTCTGTATGAAAAAAAAGAGAAAAAGAAATTGACGCCCTGAATTGTGCAACTCGAGGTCAAAATTTTCATTCAGGGCACACCAAGGTTTTGTCAGTAGTTTTCATTATAATTGCCGGTATTAACATCAATTTTACCATCATCATCAATTCATGCTTTAAAGTAAGAGTAGGTACTCTGAGCAGTCCTTAGAAATGAATCAGCCCTGTGTAGATCCGAATTATCCGGTAAGAAATAAAGCGGTTAAAGATGAAACTCAGTTGACCGAGTAAAGCGATATACAGTCCGCGAAAGCGACATCCGGCATCCGTTTTCGGCAAAGACAACTGCAGTTCGGAAAAGACTTTATCATTGACATGATCAAATGACGTTTTGAGACATCCACATTGATCATTTAAGAAAAGTAAGAGATCGCGTAATGGATTTCGGTTACCTGTAAAGGTGCAGCATCTGACGCCGAATCTCCCAAAAATTGCAATCGTCTTTGCTAAGAATGAAATGCTGACTTTGATATGAAATTATGTGACTATCATCAGATTTTCTTCTCAGGAAAAAAAAAGTATTTATTCTAGTATGCCTAGTGGCGGTAAAGAAGAAGGAACTGGTAAGGTATCTTTCAGCTTGTAGCTTTGATCATTGGCCAGTTCAGCGCATTTCGCTATCCGGACTTGGACTTTAAAAGAAAATGTATAAACTGCTTGTGACGTACTACAACAATGCGCTTATAAGTTGCTCCGACAGCAGCAGGATCGAGCTCGCATCAGAATTATCGGATGGATTCCCGAAAACCACCTAAAGCATTAGATCTCTGATCGTTGACTTCGTTGTGAGGAATTTTTCTTTTCCAGTTTCAGTTGTATTTCCTCAGTTTTAATGAAGACAAGCGAGTGTTGAAATTATTTTAGGAAGCAGGGAAGCAAGCAAAACTGCGGCGGGCCTTTTCTCTCGGGTTCTGATGAAATTTTTATCAATGTAACCCATGTTCAGCTGTCCCTGCGGGTAGTCATCAAGGGCATATCAACTATTGCAAACATCAAAAGAACACGATTGTATGCCGCCAAAAAATAAACATACCAAAAGGAAGACTTAAACATTATTGATAATGATATAACATCACCTTTCACATGGAACGGTACCTCGTTATCCCTTTGATAGTTCCTGCCCTTTTTCTTTGATGTTGGGCGTGTTCAGGGCATTTCAAGACACATAATTCTCTAATAGCAAGAGCATATCCAGCTGTAATATAAATGTGATTGCTCAGCATACCAAAGAGCGCAGAAATCCACCTTCCCACCCTCACCAGTGAAGCGTTGGTGAGGGTAAGGCAAGAGATTTTTTCGTTCAGCCAATCAGGAGATTCACCAGAGTCACCGGTGAGAATCCCTTCAGCCCATCGGGTGTAAGTATCCTAACCTTCTTCTCGAGTGTTCCTGAATCAATTATGCGCGGTTTCACTGGACGCCTCATCCGGGTGGTGCGGAAAGCTCTGTGCTTCTTATCGTTCCCTGAAAATGGCTTTTATGTCTCCAGTTGCCGTAAGAACCGAAATGTAACCAAATTTAACGGCTGTAGGCACGACTACAAGGCCTGCGCAATTTGTTGCCAATGGCAGACGCCTTGTGAACCAGTCATTGTTCAAGAAATGGTTTCTGGGCGACCTTGTGGATGCTTATTCATCAAGTAGTCCCATCTGAAACTGATGATGAAGTTACTTCACGATAGCGTTATAGAAGCTTTCGGTCTTGTTCCTGTGGAAGCACTGTCCGACAGACAGAATATTAGCGGCTTCGGAGCGCTTCAGCAGTGCGACGGTTTTCGATATTACCTGCTTCACCAAACAAACTCCCGGAATGGCAAGAGTGATTTAGCTTCTCCGCCTATTTGCTTGCAAGGAGTGGGCGTGCAACGCCAAATACCAGCATAACGTAATCGTACTTCTTCATAGACCAAGCTTCTGGTCCCAAAAAGTGGCAGCCAGCAGGGGCGAACGACGCATCTGACTAGAAGAGGAAAACATCTTAATAGCTTATAGGAACGCCTCCTTTTCTGGAACAGTGAGGGGAAAGTTCAGTGCTCCCAACAAGTCGATCGTGAAAAGGTTGAGGTAACTTTCTTGTGATCAGAAGGTAAGAAGACTGGGAATATTGAAAATGAAAAGCGAACTCATGAGACAATTAAATAGCGTCGTGTCCGTGTCGTGATGATTGACAAATGTCTGACTTCTCAGATTTGTCCAACTTGTCAGACACGAACACTGGAAAATAAGCGAGTGGCATTTTCATCGGCCACAATATTGGAGCTATCCAACGAAACAAGAGTCTTAGAAAGAACAGAAAATAAAGTCGATAATGACTTGCCGATGGGTGACCTTCGAAGGATGCTTACAGGAAACCAGCCTAGCCATAAACGGATGAATATAACTGGAAGAGAAATGGGCTTCGGACAGCGATCGCATATTGCAATCGTATAGTGACGGGATTCTAGGCCATGCATCATAGTAAATATCAAGAAATAATAAGACTAATTGAAAGCACTTACAATCCAGTGATGGCGCGCACAACGCACTGCTCATACTCGTTCAACGTTGCACAGAGATCAAGTAATTGAATGATCGCTTTATCCTCGTTGATGACATTGTCGATGTAGTTCTAAGGAAGAATATGAGTACGTCTAAAAGAGCTATAAAACATAATTTTTCAATGAACATGTAATCTTACCGCGAGGATATTCTTGATTCGAATAAGATGCGCAGAGTTGAACGCATCCATCGCAAAAGCTCTGGCGCAAACAAATCGGTCGGCAAGACTCGATAATCGAAGCGCTTTTGGAGAACGAGGATTCCGGAAGTGGAACTATTTAGAGAATAAAATTAGCATCGCATAAAAACAAACAGAAGAAAGCAAATGTACAGCAATTCATTATAATTCTCGTCAAGGCTAAATCTGTTTACTTCCACGCATCTCTTGCGGAATTGATCAAATTTAAGCGAGATGTCTTGATCCTTAACAACCCACCGATGCGTTTCAGGGGGAAGTACTGGTTGCGCAGGTTGATTTCCACTATACCAAGATATGAAATCAGTCTTTAGCTTTTCATATTAAGCAAAGCATAATTACATGACATGTGGCTTCGGCTCACATTTGGCTTCTTAGAGAGACTATCGGCTTAAAGTCGAAGGAAGTTTGAGGCAATAACAGGTCTGTGATGCCCTTAGATGTTCTGGGCCGCACGCGCGCTACACTGATGAAGTCAGCGAGTTTTTTATTCCTTGGTTGGAAAGTCTGGGTAAACTTTTGAAACTTCATCGTGCTGGGGATAGAGCATTGCAATTATTGCTCTTCAACGAGGAATTCCTAGTAAGCGCAAGTCATCAGCTTGCGTTGATTACGTCCCTGCCCTTTGTACACACCGCCCGTCGCTACTACCGATTGAATGGCCATAGTGAGCATATGAGATTGTTTTCGGCTAGTTGGCAACAACTGGCTTTAAGCGAGAACTAGGGCAAACTAGACTATTTAGAGGAAGTAAAAGTCGTAACAAGGTTTCCGTACGTGAACCTGCGGAAGGATCATTAACAAATGAGCCTAGTACTGCGTTACTACATGATTTGAGAGCTGCTGTTTATTGTCGAACGTTTCAAGGCACGAGAAACAAGCGATGCAACAGAGGCATCAGGGTGCTTTGCAACATCGGCGGCAGTAAATGCTATGAATTCCTTGTCTCGATTACCCTTTGTTCTTGCAATCAAATGCATGCGATGTGTTCGTGAAACATGTCTGCGTGCTGCGTAATACGAATTAAATGATCCATCATAGAAGGGGCATTCTTTTTTTTAGCAGTATAGTCAGGGTTATCAGCAAACGGGAAAGAATCTTGACAGAAACGAAAAAGGTGTCTATATCGTGGTGACTGAAGCTGTTTAAACGCAGATTGAGACTGTTTCTTATTTTGTGGGAAATGCGGAATCGCTGCATTACCTATGACAGTTGCTGAGGCATATCAGCCCATATAGGCCGGTCATAAATAGCTCCCCGAGAAAACTTTGGTTATGTAAATTCTGTGCCTGGTACTTTAATATCACTCTTTTTATTACCGCACCAATTGTTTCACCTATTTTTTTTTCTAGCGAGAAAGACGATGACCGTTTTTTGGCCGGCCAGTTTATTGGAAAATTTTGGTTCAGCCAAATGGGCCGAGCATTCAATCACCTATCTATAAAAGAAAAGGGTTATTACACGACTGAAAGAGTGGTATAAACTCCCCTGTCTTCCGCTCTAACAACTTTTCGTACTGTTTAAAGCTGGATTGAAAACTAAGGATAGTCGATGTGTTCTCGTCGATATCCTTGCCCTAACGCATACAGCAGAAGCTAACGGAAGATGCGATACAACTTCTTATTCGAGTTACCAACTTTAGTAACGGTAAGCACGGTTGGATCTACGAATCAATCTTATCTCTTTAATCGATGTCACCAAATATTTGCAGGTATGCTTTTTTTGATACCACTTCGACTTCTTTTTTGGTAATGGGTCAACAAAACGGCGCCATGATTTGTGGAACAATGAGTTAGATTTTTCATCTCAGGAAGTGCCAATTTATAAATAATCAAAGGTTCACTCCAATTGCCACCATAGAGGCTACTGCTGACCCCAATCTTAATTCATGATATCAAAGCGATAATTTTATATACAAAAAAAAGGGTACGCATCGTTGGATCTGGTCCATCTGGTAGAAAAGTCACAGAACTCAGTTTCCGAGTTTGTGTTATGCAGTCCGCTGAAACAATATCCGACAAACTCAGTAAGGACCATGTCGATGGACCCCAATGACTGTACACAGTTTGCTTCGACTATATTTTCTACTATTGGAAGAAAAAGAATTGAGTATTTTTGCTTAATCCCAACAAATTTAAAATTGTAACAACCGGTGAATCGTTTTTTGACACTGTACCTGGATTTCCCAGCATTGCTTAGTAGCAGCCATCCAGCTCATGAGAAACATAGAGCCTTGCATGGGGTAGATTTCCGAGGCCGAATTTTTGATTCGATTTGTTTGTTTCGTGGCATTTTGGCGTCACCTTTAATGTTTTATTCATACTCTGACAATAGATACGTGATGTTGGAGGGGCTGTTGGATTTGGGGTTACATTTAAAAATATTAGACACAACTCACAGAAAAGATGCATAGAACTTCCGTAATAGGAAATTGGGCGACCAAAGAATGGAATAAGTTAGGTTGTTTTGGAACCCATCTGATTAGTTTTTTTGATGTGAGCGTGATACTGTTGTCGCTGTCGGCGCAATGTATAACCGCATCACTGCTGCAGATGGTAAGCCTCCTTGACTTTTGCCAACCTTCAGGTCCGGACGACGGAAATGCTACGATTCGGTCTGTGAATCGGAGACACAACAAACCAAAAAATGTTTAATTGCGATAAACCTAAATTTTTCATCTCCATTTTTTTTCTTCCGCTTTCTTTTTTCTTTCACGTCTATTTTATTATGACTACGCAGCGAGAGGAGAGTCGACCTCTTCTCGGGGAAGAACGTCCCAACTATCATTCTTCTAGTCGCAGCAGCACCAGCAGCCTGAGTGACGGCCATGTGACAATTCTCACTTCTAACCCACCGTCCATTCTCAGCAAAGATGACGATCCGATCAACCCATCTTCCTCCACAGGAACATGTAATATCGCTGAAGAGGACTTGGTCAACTCCAGACTGAATGGTGCATCACTCTACACCGTGTTATTGGGGTAAGAAAGCGCCGCTTTTTTCACGAAAGGCCGTTTTCGATTTTTTTTCTCATCACAACAAATGTGCATTAGTCTTTGGATCGGTGTTTCGTTATCTTCGCTCGATTCTTCCATTGTTGCCACCATTTATGCTCAGATTGGCACTGAATTTAAAAAGTGAGTTGTTTATCCCAGGGGCGAATTTGAAAGGAATTTGGTAATGCAGTCTTTTGGTTTATTGACGAATGGGTTCAGATCAAATGAGATTATTTGGATTGCTACATCTTACATGCTGAGTTATACCGCTTTGCAGCCATTGTGTAAGCATGAAAGTGTGACCTGTCGCACAGATTTTTCGCTTTTTAATTTTTTAAAGCGTTGACGAATGGAGTAAGCTGAATTTGGGCCACCATGAATTTTTTTTTTTTGTTAGATGGCCGCATCTCGGACGTTTTTGGTCGCAAAACCGCTTTGATGTTTGCTACTTCGGTGTTTTTCATTGGATCCGGGCTTTGCGGAGCTGCGAACAGTCTTTGGAGTCTCGTTTTCGCACGTGCCGTTGCTGGTATCGGTGGTGGAGGTATTAATACGGTAAGTGTCAGGTTGTGTGCCACCTTGTCACCGTGCCATTGGAAAGAAAAATATCACTGAGAAACTAAACGGCTTCCCACGATGTTTTAGATGACAACGGTAATTACCAGTGACCTTGTTCCTTTGCGCTACCGAGGTACTTACCAGGGTTACGGAAACATTGCATACGCTGTAAGTGTTAGGTTACGAAAAAAAAGAGATGCACGACGGTTTGGATTTTTAACTCAGCTGACCCATTCCCGTCTGATCGTTCCTGTAGGTCGGTTCTGTGGTTGGTGCACCGCTGGGCGGATTTATTACTGACACCATTGGATGGCGTTATTGCTTCTACATCAACTTGCCTTTTCTTCTCGTGACCATTTATGTGGCTTCCTGCTTGTTGACCAACTACAATCTCGCGGAACAACCCTCGACCACCCTTTGGGAAAGATTGAAGAAGATTGATTATCTTGGCGCTATTACAATTGTTCTGTCAGTAATTGCTTTCTTATTGGCGACGTCTCTCGGTGGTAATCTGCGATCATGGACGGATCCTCTTGTCGTCGGCTGCTTGGTGGCTTCTATAGTGTTGGCAGTTTTGTTCTGTATCATTGAAGCCAAGGTGGCGCTGTATCCGCTTATGCCCTGGGAAATCATTTCCAGCCGCACCCCTTTGGCCTGTTCCATGACAAACCTCTGCACTGTCATGAGTTCGACTTCTCTCATCTACGTTACCCCATTATATTTCCAGGTAATTTTTAAGGTGATAGATGGAAAATGTGCATTTCTATTCAACTGCGTTTTGTAACTCGCTAGGGATTGATGGGCTACTCACCTACTCAAGCTGGTTTGTTCTTTTTACCTAAAATTGCCCTTGTTTCCACTGGATCCGTACTGTGCGGTATGTGGATGTCACGTACCGGCGAGTACCGCAATATTACAATTGTGGCGGCTGTGATGTCTTTTGTATCCATGATCGGATTTACCTGCTGGACAACGACTACCCCGCTTTGGTTTTTGCTCATTTGTCTACTCATGGATGGTTTCTCAATGGGTGTCCTTATCACTACCACCCTTATTGCCATGCTATCCTGCGTTGGTCAAGGTGGTAAGCATTCATGATCTGATGACTTCGATCTGGTAAAAAGGTGAAAAGCTAATCATGAGGTTTTCCAGAAATGGCTACTGTCACGTCGATGTCTTATCTCTTCCGTTCCGTGGGCGGTGTTATTGGTATCTCCGCCACTTCGGCTATTTTCCAGGCCATTGTGAAGAGCGAATTGAGCGAAAAGATTACAGGTCCCAATGCTGACAAGGTAGGGATGATTTCAAAAAATATAGAAGCAGGGGAGTGGGGGGGTTGAGATGCAGGGCTGGAAGCATGAAAAAAATCGGATATGTGACAAAGAAAATGGATAATGACGGTGAAAAAAAACCGATGCATCAGAAAGAAGAGAGGGGTGGTTGCGTGGAGAAACGGAGTCCACAAAGAGTTAGGGAGAAGAATCTGACGGATATTGAACCATTTCAAACAACAGTATATCGAGATTGCCCGTAAATCCATGACCGAAATCCGACAGTTGCTTCCTCAGGATATCTTGCAGATTGTCCTTGAGACTTACCAAACCGCCCTTCGATACACTTTCCTTGCATGTGTTATCATTGCCGCATTCACCGTTATCTCGACTCTTTTCATTCAGCGATTTGAGTTACATACCAAAGTTAGAAAATAACGACAATTGATACCTTTTCCTAATTCAGTCATTTCTTTTTTGATTTCTTGTTTTTTCCTTTCTTTATCTCTTATCATCATCACCATAGACAAAAAAAATGTTAATAAAGGATAAAACAAGATGTATTCTCCATAATTGTTACGAAAGTAGAACGAGGTTGATCCAGGCTCGTCCTGTTTTTTGAATCAACTTTTTTTTTTATTTGTAACTGTCCAGTTTGATCCTTATGTCAATAAACCGGAAATCGGGCTTACGATCTTGTCAATAGATGACAGGATATATTACGATACGCCGTTCCTTGTTCATACATGATAGCCCCTTATTGAGTTGATGCTACTTTACAAAGCAACAGCGTTGCAATCAGTGTAAGCCAATAAACCAAATAGCATGAGGTACGAATAACATTCGATTAGAACATATTTCGATTTACTTTCTTATCTTTGCGGTTGATGGCAAGGAGAAAAAAAAAGCATGCCGTTTTCAAGTAATTGAAAACTACAATCAATTGAAAAAGGAAAGGGAAACAAAAAAAAAAAAAAAAAAAAAAAAAAAACCACCTGCTAGGAGGATTGGATTCTTGATAACAAACAAGCCGAAAATTGTGGTAAACTTTAATCTTGTTCCTTTTTGAAACTTTTAGTATGTACGATGCATTTTTGAGTATGTGGTATGATAATATACAAATAGAAACAAAAAAAAAAGTAGCAATTCTCCTAAACAGAAGATGTGACATTAGAATAATAGTGGTAAATAGTAGTTGATTATGAGTGAATAAAGTTCATTAGAGGAAAATGATGGATGGCAATCTCCACTGCCGTATCTTGATGCTTATTTCGGGTTGAAGCGACACTGTGGGGGTAATCGGCTGAGTCGATGGAAGACAACGAGGAGCAGGATGAAGAGGAGTAGGAAGCGGGTGTGGGCGGCGTAACAGGGGCAGGCACAGGCACAGGGGGTAAACGTGAGGATGGTGGTGGGAATGCTGGTGGAGGAACGGCTTGCACTGAAGACCGGCGAGGTTGCGTGGAACTGTGAATTTTGAATCCACGCAAACCCACGGCAGCTGTCGGCGATGCAATACAGGGTTTGACTGGACAAGGAGAAACGGTGGTTGCATGCTCGATTTCATCAGTGTAATCGCCAACGTAGTGAAGCATGGCTTGCGCAGTGGAATGCGTGTATTCCATGGACGGTAGCGCTGGATGCATGGTCTTCGTGGTTTTAGGCGATGATCGGATAGGGCGAGGTAGTTCGGTCAACAGCTGTTGTTCCTCACGAGTAAATGAACGACAGTGAAGAATGCGTAACCGAAGTTCAGGCAGTGATATACGAAGGGCCGGATCCAGGCAAAAGATGCGCGATAAAATGCTGTCGAGTTCGTCAGAGATGCAGGGTAATATCTTTTTGAAGAAACAATGTGGGTTGCGAACGTAGGCTGCAAAGGTGGTATCCTGCATATTGGCTCGTCTCCAAGGATTTCGTCCAGTCGTAAAATTAATCAGGATAACACCTAAACTCCAGATATCATTCTGTTGTGTACTGTAACCGCGAATACGCTGATGACCACGTATCATCCCACCCTGACATTCTATTGACAACGTGCATGTTGGATTAGTCTCACTGTTTTGGGTCTCCGTTTTGCTTTTCGCTTTTGACGTACCAGGAGAAAAGTAAAAGGAAGATCCACAGCCAAATTCTGCAGAAACCAGCTGTGACGTGGCTAACCCAAAGTCGGCAAGCTTCACTTGCCAGTTTGGAAACATGAGAATGTTCTCCGGTTTGAGATCGCGGTGAGCAATTCCGTGTTGGTGGCAGTGTTGTACGGCATCGATAATTTGAAGGAAGATATGTCGAATCGCTCGATTGTTACCAGCCAACCCATGAGTCGGGTGAACAATGGCGGCAAAAAGGTCGCCTTCAGGGGCGTATTCCAAAACTAAAAACGTCATGCTTCCATCACGAACCACCTTGTCGAAAGATAAGACATTGATGTGACTGGACAGTCGAGAATGAAGTTCGATTTCTTGCTGGGTGGTTTTATTGCTGGCTAGCAATTTTACGGCATAAGGTCGACCGGTGTAGATATGACGACCAAGGTAAACAACACCGTAGGCGCCGATACCAAGGATCGACACGAGCCCAATGGTTTTGTGATCTATTCGTTTACCCAATAACGATGTGGGATCGACGGTGGCGGTGGGATGGGTGGACGATAAAGCGGTATTCGGCATCATAGAGAAACAAAGAACAGCAAAATTAAAGGGAAAATGGGCGAACCGAAAAGCAAAAAAGCTTTGGTCTATTTAAAAGCTTTTTCGAACCTCATCACCCCCACCAAAATTGAACTCGGTCCGTGTGCCATTGAGAAAAGCGACCCTCTCCTATGAGCATTCAACCAAAAAGGACGCTCTCCCTCTCTTACCCTACTGGTCCCCCCACCTCCGACCCCCCAACAAGTAAAAGGAAAACCTCCCCTTCTTCCTTCTTATCTCCTCTATTTTTCTTTCGTTACTTCTATTATACTTTTCCTTTCTTATACCTTGGCTGCTAGCTAGTCGTTGATCCGGAAATTCCACCCTTGTCCTACCTTTTTGTCGCTTTTTACTTTTTCATTTCTTACGTCTTTATCTTTTTTCTCGTCCTTTTTCTCCCCTCTCGTGCTCCTTCCTCAGCAGGAAAACCGATGCTGCCTTGTCTACTCATCTGAATTTCTTTGTACGGGCCTGTGTTGGCAGTTCAACGGATATTTACCTCTTTTCAAGGTGAACTCTCATATCATTGATAATGTAACTCATTTACAGTTAATAGATCATCCTATTCCATTGTGCTCAGCGAAATCTGGCTCCTCATTTCCCCCCCTTGTATGCCACAGACTCCCTGGTTTCCCACCAGTGATTTGGTTTCCACACAGACAAAAAAATTCACAATGGACTTCTACGCTAAGAATTTCCCCATACTATCCATCCCTTTGAAATTCCGCGACATTTCGCAATATAATCGCTTTCCATTATTCGGGAAACGGTAACATCTCGAGACTTCCATTCACCTTTTCCTAGGTAGATAATAGATTAGTAATAAGCCAAGATAATCACTACCTCATGTTCTTGGTCATTTCATGTATCGATCATTTGTATTTGATTGCCAAGAACCTCACGAAAATATAAACATTCTATCCAATGAGATCGACCGTAAGGATAATGAACGAAACCCGCCGTTTCATGTATTTATGGACAATAGCTACTATAAATTGCATGGTTAACGTGTTCTACGTCCATCTCCACAGATGCCAAAATAGTGATCATCGTTAAACTCTCTGCCCTAGTATTTAAAATGAAACGCTTTATTGTTGATGATGCAGGCTAGAATACGCTCCCTACAGAAAAAAAAGTTCAGTGAGGCCGTAACTTTATATGGATATTCTTCTCCATGTCGGTTTCTTTGTTTCATCATGGGCATGATTGGGATTGGCTGGTGGTGGGTGGTACAGTAAGCTAAGATCGCTTACTCTTTCTGTAATCAAAAGGGTCCTTTATGCATACCATTGCTTTTTTTTTTTCTCTTTGAACAATTGACCTGCATATTTTTCATGGTGGAAGCGTCCACGCTCTGCAATCTATTGTCTCATCCCGTGCCTGTCTGTCTATTTTGTCCAAGTACCCTGCCATATTTGGCAATGCTACCAATTCTGCATTTTTTTCGTTCTTTCATTTTTCCTAGATGTGCTCACCGAGATACTATCATGAGACATACCGTTCAAAGACAGATCAAGAAAAAAAAAGTTGGCGAGGACAAAACAATGGCAATGGCGAATTTATAAAGTAAGAACAGTTAAAAATGATTCATGTGGGTGCGTGTGAGGTTGGTTGGATGGGTGTGAGAGAACTATGCAGTTTTGTCGGTCGGACTATCTGGTATTTCACCTTCTTCCAGTATATCCATGGGCTCTTGTTTTTCCACCTTATCTTTCGGTTCCTCGGTATCCACTTTCGGAGACGCGGGTGCTTCGGTGGTACTCGTGGTGCTGATCGTCTCCTTGATTTCTTTGGGTGCCGGTGAAGTCGACTTGTGAGAAACCACTTCACCCTCTTCTTCACTGTCATCGACGGCTTTTCTCTTGGCAGACGTAGGCGGATTGGGTGGTGCAATCGCAGATGATTCAGATTTCAACGCATCAGCTAAAGAAATTGACCACATTACTATTAGTCTCATACACGGCTAATTCGGAGATCAACCATCAAATATCACGATGCCATCATCTTTTTCTAAATTGGCTCATTTTCCGCCAAAATCAAATAGCAGTAAAAAAAAAAATCGTACCTGAACCCCCTTTATCCGCCGACGCTGGTTCCGTGGAGGCTTCATCTTGCTTGGCGGATTCCGTCATCGTCACATCCTCGTCCTCTTTTAGTCCATCGTTGGATTCCGTTGGCTCCACCTTGACCTTGTCATCCAAAAGAGCCTCTGCAATTTGTCTTTCTTCATCTTGAGAAATCTCCATAGGCTGCTTGTCATCGATACTCATGGAGGAAGCTCGTGTGTTGTCCGCGGACGGTGCTTTGCCGTTCGCTTGTCCACCATCGCTCTCATCTCCGTCATACTCATGATTATCGTCATCATAAGCTTGATAATGTCGGCTCTTTTTCATCCCGGGTGTATTTTGTGTTTCTCCTTCATCGGAATCGTAATATTCATTGTCTGGAACAATGCGACGATCCCAGAACGACTCTAAATAGTATAATTCATTGTTAGAATGGGATGTGATAGGGCGCGTGTCCGTTGTACATACGTGGATATCGATCGTTGGGATCATTTTCGTCTTCATCATCAGAGACGATGTGATCGCCAGGTACCTCTAAATGTGATATTTAAGATATAATGAAATTTCATAATTAACCTGGGGACGGGGGGAGGGACAAGGAACAATGGGAAACTTACCCTGCATCTGAACGCTAGGAGCAAATAATGTCCTTGAAAGATTTTCATAGACCTGCATCCTTTGGGTTTTGCGAGGAGATGACGTTGAGAGGAGGATCAGGGTAAAACGCATATTTTCGCCAAAGCACACACTTACTTCATTTTCTCCAAGTAATCGGGTGTGTTCATGTTTTCCATATTACTTGGACGCACGTCAAGTTTGTAATCCGGTCCAAAATACTCATAGTAATCGTTATATGGCATATCTACGAAAAAAAGCAAACGGTGAGTTTTTCCTACACTCACTTGGCACGGATATCGCAAAAATAAAAAGAACACTACGAACCAGGACCAATTTCTTGACCGACTACCACACCCGTTTCATAGGCCCACGCACGTGCCACATTGCGCATAGTGTAACCTCCACCACCAAGCACCAATGTAGGTAGATTAAACTTCTTCACGTATTCCACACAGTTGGCATGGCCTGGAAAAAGAAAAATTCGATTTTACGTGAGTAAAGCTTCTGGCCTTGATTAAATCAAAAGTGAGCGTTAATAAAGGATCCTTGTCTTACCTTTCATTGACAGATTGAAGCAGCCCAATTTATCACCACTGAGCGAGTCACCACCACATTGTAATACAACAGCAGAGGGACGGTACCATTCCATCACTTTCTCAATTACCTAGGTAAGTCAGTGTTAAAACTTGTTGCAACCGTGGTCCATTAAAGATTGTAGCTATAATACTTACTGGCTCAAATACAGATTTGTAGCTTTCATCATCAATACCATCCCTCAAAGGAAAGTTGACACTGTAGTATTTGCCTTTGCCTGCACCAACATCCTAAAGCACATACGTACAATCAGCACCTGTGCCCCCTGTGTTCGTAACAGAACCAATTGTGCAATTACCTTGAGTTCACCTGTGCCGGGGAAAAATTCACCATACTTGTGAAAGCTCACAGTCATGACGCGATCAGTAGTATAAAACGCTTCTTCCACACCGTCGCCGTGATGCACATCAATGTCGATGTATAACACACGAGCATAGTATCGTAACAGTTCCAGAATACCAAGAACAATGTCGTTTACATAACAGAATCCAGACGCTTCGGATTTCTTAGCATGATGCAGCCCTCCAGCCCAATTGATGGCGATATCACATAACCCACGGTTCAGTCGAGCCGCTCCCTCTACATACAATCCGCGTCAGCGATCAATTTTTGGGCGTTTTGCGTTCTTGTCAGCTTTTACCCATCGATCCGCCAGCACTCAAGCCGCAATATTCAAATAAGCCTTCAAATACAGGCGAATCATCACCGACGTTGACTATCAAGGATGTGAGAAAAATAAGATGGACCATGTTGCAAAATCATGCATCTTCTTACATTTGGCTTGCTCTTTCTGATACTGATCCATATTCTCTGGTGTGACACGCGAAAGGAAATCGATGTACTCGTCAGTATGAAACTGGGTCATCTCCCATTTGTTGGCGGGTTTGGCACGCTGAATAAATATACAACAAAACGAGTCGATCAGTTTTTATCAAGGCACCACAGTGAAGGGAGAAATACGAAATGCTTACATAGATTTCCATCTTCTTGTACAAGCCATAATTCATAACAAGGCCATGGCACATTCTTATACGGTGGGGTCGCATGGGATGACCAGGGCCATAATGGTAGTTGCCAACATTGGCTATCAAACAATAGGCAGCAATATCAGTCATTTCACGAACAAGAACAGTATCGATCCATGTAGATGCTTAATAATAGCTTCCGTGGATGCAACATCGTCAAGATAAAGCCCAGAATGTATACCATCATAAAAGTAGCAGACACGTCGTTTTTGTTCCATGGCCAAGCAGCTATTCTTGATTGGCTTTAGCTTGTCGTTTTCACGTTGGCTGGTTTTGGAAACCCAGAGTGCCAATCGAAACGGCAAGCCGAGTGGGAGTTGCCAATAAAGCAAGTCACAATTTCTGGTGTTGTATCAGAGAGAATGTGATCCCCAAGGTCACGGTCAACTGTATAACAGATCCATGTATTTGAAAAGACAACAATAAAAAGAAAAGATAAACGAGGGAATACAAGGATGATCTACAATTCTTTTTTCTTTTCTTTCCATGCGATTGATTTCTAGTGTATCAACTTTTTTTATCTTTTTGTTATCTATTTTATTGGCCGCTGCCGAGACCGTACTTCTCAATAACCTTGTTGACATCCTTTAAGCCACGCAAATCGCCCTGAATCACCACCGATGCTTTGCCACTGCCACCACTTGAAACACTAACTGCACCACGAACGATACGGCTGGCTACTCGTTGCAGTTCCGCCAGATCCACGCGATCAATATGATTTAACATTTCATCAATGCCCGTCTTCTTGCCGTGCACCTGAACCTGTCGACCCAAATCTTCCAGTTGTACCATACGACTTTCCAGGTTCATCAACAGCGAGCTCTTGAGCTGGTTCTTTGCACGTTTCAGCTCCACGTCGGACACCGACAAATGAGGGCCAACGTCGTTACGGGAGACCAAATCCAACTCGCGGCAAATGACTTCGACAAGAGCGTTGGTGTATTCAGGTGGACATGATCCAGAGATACCAAAAAGACCAGAATCTGTGTAGCAATGATTGAACGCCTGACATGATTCAACCCAGTAATGCTGATTTAAGACATGGGTGAATAATCGAGAGTACATGCCCTTGCCAGGACCGCCCGCCGAGAAGGATCCGCCACCGCCTAATAAAATCTGCAGCGTAGCTAGGGCGTAGATGTCGTCATCGTTGATCGATAAACCTTCAAACGCGATATACACATGGTTCAGAGGAGATTCACGTCCACCGTCCATGAAATGCGTGCCGCCAGTATAATGAGAAGGTCGGGTTGCCAAGTCGTACGCTGTAGGTTCAGCGGACGAAGCAGTCGAGGCTCCAAACAGGGATTTCACCAACGACGATTTGTTATTTCCCGCTTTTTCGCTGGCTTGTCGTTCCAAGGCCTTGGCGTGAGTTTTAACCGAATCAAGATCTTCCTCTGATTTGGGTACTTGACCGAAATGTTTAATCGCCAATTCCACCACTTGATCATGCTCAGCACCACAAGCCGCAATGACCATACGTTCCGGGCGATACCACGTCTTCATATATGATTTGATTAATTCCGGCGTCATCATGGCGAGATTTTCAGGAGGACAAAGCAATGGATTGCCTAATGTATTGCCTTCGTAAGCAACGGTGTGAAGGATTTCGGGAAGCACCATTTCCGGCTTTGACCAGATATCTTCAATTTCATACAGCGCGGTTTGACGTTGTTCCTCGACTTCCAGGGGTTCAATGTTGGGACGACAGATAACGTCAGAAAACAATCCTAGCACCCGATTCAAATCTTGCGAAAAAATGGCGGACTGGTACATGATCGATTCGCGCGAAGACGAACACATAATATTGCCACCCAAAGATTCCAGCTCGGCCACCACTTCGTCGGCATTTTTATTTGCCGTGCTCTGCAAACCGTAACCATTTTAGCCTCACTGGCCTTCCTCCAACTTATTGGTATGCATACCTTGAAAGCAAGACGATCGAGAATATGACTCACACCCCGGGTATGCTCGGTCTCGTACCGACTACCGGCATCCACGTATACACCGACAGCGCCAAAATGACCGGGAGTATTTTCCGAAGCTACACGGATGCCGTTGGGGAGTGTTGTAATTTTACAAAGGCCAGTAGACGCTTTCGAATATTCCTGAACAATGGTAGGTAGATCTCGTCCGAACTGTTCGCAAGAAATAAGAAGATCTAGCATTTGGTTGCCTGCCGCAGCGGAGACGGGTTTACCTTGTCATTGTAGCTTATGGTTGCTTCATTGCGTTTCAGCAAAGAGGTGATGTTGCCGTACAATTTATTCTTTCGTAAGGCTACAAGCGCATTTCTACCTCCATGGGAACTCAATTGAAGAAGACGAGACGACATTTTGTAGCTTTCAAAAGTAGAGAGCGCCTCATTGCTCAAAACCCTAATTCTCTCTTCAGGGCCTCTTCGGGCAGGGACGTGCCAAAATCATAGTCACATATGACACATTATTCTCCGCTTAGTCAAGACCCAATGAAGGTGCTCGGATGCAACGCCATCGCCACCCTTGTTTTACCGTAAAGGCTGTTCTACAGTAGACATCGATGATTTTCCTCGTAGGTATAATAGAATATAACATCACTGGCTGGAAGACATATGTGAACGTTTAATCGATGAGTTTGCTGTATTTGGGTGAACCGATGTCTGCCATATTTGTCCCTGTAGCCCGGGTCACGGTTCAGGAAGACAAGTTATGTATCGATTAAACCACAAGCATTTTTGGGTCCCCATGGCAGCTTTGTCCAATTTATGATAAGAGTGCATACTGTTTATTTCAAATAAAACTGTGCTGTGCAGTGACCAAAAACCATGCTATATAGTGTCCATTGTGCTTGAGAAAGTAACATGCTCTTTACTGTATCGCTTTCGGTCTTTGGCGGTTTTTTTTTTTTTTTTTTTTTTTTTTTGGAGGTTAACGCTTGATTGCCACTGGTTTTACGAAAAGGTTGGAGGGAGACATGCAAAAGTTTAATGGAGAAAGGGGCGAGATCTCATACGATGTGTTACTCGCGCTTGGAATCCTGTCACATGTCGTATGAAGTGGCTGTGCGTCCTGCGATAAGGCAGCTATCACGTTTATATTGTCCCTTCAAATTGTAAGGTTGTTAACAAGAATGAGTTCATCAAGTTGACGAATTATTTTCATTGAAGGCAACCGAAAGTCGCATCGGCCATCCGCTATCAATTCAGGCGCCGCCACGTCATATAAAATCCAAACCCAAATTAACATAGAACGGTTCGTGTAAGGAAAAAGAGCGCGCCTTCTCTGTGAAAGATATCATGACTCGGTTTCTGCTGTTCGCCACTGCCCTCTTTGTCTGCCTACAGTCCATTTTGGCCGTCAGCATTGACATTGGCCCTCATAAAAAAGAGTGTTTCTTTGAAGACCTGAACGTGGGCGACAAACTCACCGTGACATTCCAGGTAAATATTATCATGTCGAACAGTCATCTCGAGACCCAAAACGGCTCATCCTTATTCTTCTATTCAGGTTGGCGAAGGCGGTAATCTCGATATCGATTTCTCCGTAAGTCGTGCTGTTTACACACAAAGGTGGAATGCGTAAAAGACTGATAGTGTGATATTGCAGATTGTCGACCCACAGGGGAGCCTTATCAAAAATGAACGCCAGATGGCGGGCACACACGTTGTGCAAGCAAATAGAGAAGGAAGATACGTTTATTGTTTCAGCAATGAAATGTCGTCTGTTACTGCCAAGTCTCTTAGCTTCAATGTTCACGATATGGAACGACTTCAGGAAACTGCACAGCGTAAGTAGACCTGAACACATAACCGTCATCCGTCGCAATGCTTAGTCGCTTTTTCCCCCCTAGAACACATTGATCCCTTGGAACGCGAAATTCGTGAATTAGCAGAAAGCATCTTTGCCATCAAATCAGAACAAGACTTTTTCGAACAACGTGAGAAACAGCACCGCAATAGTAAGTGATATTACTCATTCTCCATTGCCTACTTTGTCGAACGGAAAAGTACTAATCAATCCCGAACGATGTAGCTGCTGAAAGCACCAATTCCCGTGTAAAATGGTGGTCCTTGGGTCAGCTATCGTTGTTGGCTGCTGTCTGCATGTGGCAGATCTACTATCTGAAGCGCTTTTTCGAAGTTAAGCGTGTTGTATAAACAAAAAACAACTAGATTTGGCCTTTATCTACAAAATAACAGCAAACGGAGTATCCAATCCTTGCATTCCAACCGGTTTGAAATGATCATAAGCTATATAAGACTTGTTTGCAGTGTGGATAACAATGGGGGATTGGGAAAAAAAATGAGGATGATGATACAGATGATGTAGAGAGTGCGGGGATGATATGTATGGTTAAAATTGGGGTGATGACAGTCCAGCAAGAAAGAGCCAGTCTTCTTCGTTTTCATCACTGGACCAAATCTCAGGCGAGTGAGTGACTGGAGGCGATGGCGTATGCTTTCGTTTCCCAGGCACAGTGGTGCCAGTGTGAGTCGGATCAAGCGTGTCTTGCACGTTGTCTAGAAAAGTAGATAGGGATGCTTCGGATTGGGAATCGGGCACAATATCACCCGCCACTTCTTCTATCATACGATCTCCTGCCGATAGTTGCGATGGTAGTTGAGAAAGAATTTCATCCGTCAGGAAACTTTGATCCCACACGTCCTTCTCTTCTTGTTCCTCCTTCCACGATGCCTCCGTTCCAGGTTCAGTTGGTATTGCAATGTTTAACGATTCGCTGGAAGGCGCCGGTCCTTCGTCACCGTCTATATCGGAAATACCATGATCCTGTCCTTGATCAATCAGTGACCGAATATTCATCAAAGATGCGTAGATTGACGACGTTACCATGATTGTAAACGGCGTAATGGGTTGAGCCGGTGGTGGTGCTGTCTTGAACAAGTATGCATATCTGAGAAAAAAGTGAGTCAACAAGTCGAAAGCAATCCCTAATCTTTTGCGATAAGCTTTACCGTTGATGACGTTTGCGATAAAGAAAGAATCGATGCGCGCACCAATGCCCCCATGTGATACCTAGTATCATTGGGTAGTCAGTATCCCATCAGTCAAACTTTATGGATAGCATTGCTTGTTACCTAGAGCCGGTGTCCATGACGAATGGATACGATCTGTACTCACATGATTCGTAGCTACCACCTGCACTTAAAAGTTAAGAGTCAGAATGCAGAGACCCGGTTTTCACAACGAACTTACAGCGATTCCGTAGTTATTGGCAGACTGTACTAGGGATTGAGCGACAAAATTTAATATACCGGTGCGGACGCGTGTGTCTCGCACGTTCACTCTTAAACAGAACGTGATGCTGTCGATAATCAAGAGTTTCGTCTATCAAAGCCGTTAATGGATAAACCAACAGAATAATTACGGTAACGCAACGATTTTACCTTTGGATAAGCTTCCATGATTTCAGGCAACTGTCGAATCAAAGCTACCAATTCCACGTGGTCAAATACACGAAATACATGAATTCGTGCCAGTACAGCATTGACATCTGGAGAAGCGTATCAGGGATATACCTCTATCTTTCATGGTTCACAAGATATCTAACCTTTGAATGCAGATTTTGCTATCATTTTTAACCGTGCAGGCACACATCCACCTTCGGTATCTATTTTGAAATGCTTTAATCGCCGCTCGTGACACGGGATCAATGCCAGTTCTTCACCCACCTATATAGACACATTCGCCTTCCAAACCGCCTTTCTCTTTCGGTTGTTGAACATTAACGGCCAATTGAAGACTTGAACCACCTTAGCATCGAAAAAAAAAGTGTAATCCGTGTGCTTGTTGCTTACCACAATTGGGTTTTGCCAGTGCCAGATTCTCCGCAAAACTCGGTCATTCTCGCTGGAGGAATACCGCCAAAATTCTCCAATTGTCTGTCCATTCTTTTGCACGACAAAGTGATCCCTCGCTTCTCTTTCTCCTCCAAAACCCGCTCGGCCGCTGTTTGAGTTTGCGGAAGAGGCTCTAAAAATCATAGTTGAGCTATTCCCGATCACACCGTAACACACAGGAACAATAACAAGGCTTACTTCCGCGAATGCATTCCAGCAGTATGGATACCTCTTCCTTGGAAAGATCGATTTCTATCATTTTAACGACACCATTGGTTGAGCGAAAAGAAAAACCGATTGACATCGTGGCATGGTCTTCTTGCTGCGTTACCTTTGACGAGATCGATCACACCAGTTTGACGCAGATCTTCCAGCGATTCATATCCTAGCCACTCCAGCTTTTCTCGCAAGGCAACGGAAGAAATTTCATTTGCCAGCGACGATGGCATATTGAATGAAAGAAAAAAGAAGACAACTAGACGACACTTGCGATCTAACCTGCTCAACTGTGCCACGGCCGCTGCGCGCGGAGCAAAAAAGAAAGGTCGTTGTCGTTGCAGGAACACACAGTCACATGCATTGATTTCAACGATTCGGCTATTGCGCGCGGGTTGTGAGCTCATATGCTTTTGTGGTTTGAACCGTATTTGTATAATGTTGAAACCAAAAGTCATTGCTCAAGTATTGCGTCAAGCAACCCATAATGGAGTCCGAGCATCATTGTAAGGGATTGATACACCAGCCAACACGATCATAAACAAGTGCACATGCTAATATCAAGGGAGCAGACTCATGACCAGCGAAGGATCGCTATTAGCATTTGCCGCCGATAACGATAAATGCGCCAAAACTTATGCAGCCATTGCTGCCAACGTATGGAGTACCTATAAAAAACAACCCGCCATCGGTACTTCGCTTGATAACAACATTCTCGCTACACCAAGATTCTTGCTTTTACAATGCGAGGTATGGACACTGTCGCCAAATTACCTTTTTATTACTCAGACTTATAAAGATGAGATAGGAAGGAACCGTGTTCGTCACTTCCATTGGTGCCATGTTACTGTGCTTGGTAGGGGAAGAATCCGTTGATCTCGGTTTACTGAGAGCCAAGGTATAAATTATGCTCATCCCGGTTATTTGTTTGTCCTTTTTTTTTCAACTATGATCATTTTTATAGGCGGATGCGCTAAGAAACCATTTGGATGAGCCTCTTCAAAAAGTAGCCTCATATCAAGACTACTAGTATATATTGCTCCTTGCTTCGATATTTTACCATTAATTTGTAGCCTGATACGATACCAAGACACGAACATGCTCACTGCAAGTATGATGTCAGCCAATGTTCCTTGTTACACCCTATTCGTACGCCAGCGCTAGCTCTGGTACGGCGACGCTACCTTGCCCGTCTTTGGTGATCTCTAGTTTCACTGTGTCCACATTAACTATACATTACACAATATACATAAAAGCACGCTGGTAGTGGTAGCAACGGAGCCTTTGTTAAGCTTGGATGTTATTGGAAAATCAGCAGTTAGCGAGAATGGTTCATGGTACTGAAGGAAATATACATTGATAACGGTATTCAGCTCTGCGAATAACGATAGATGGATCGCGGCCCCTGCGATACGGCATATTTTTATTGAAGAACAGATGGATGAATGTATTGGTGATAGTGTTTCTCGGCATTATATGAATAGTTTAATTATTGTTGACATTCTTGTTTGGCTAACCGGGAAGCAGCATCCCACAATTGATTGATGACCCGTATATGACGTTCTTTTCTGGATTTGCCATCTTTTGGTTCAAAGACCAGTTGGCTAAGCTGCGTTGCAAGCTGCGCATACGGTGAGGTATCCTCAGTGGTGTGTGACATTGGCTGTAGCGTGTCGGCCTCTTTAATGTCTGTTGCCAGGACATCCAAGATCGGATTCCGTATGTCATTCACAGATGATGATACGGTGGTGGTTGCTTCATGGCACCCAGCACTTTCATTACCTAGCTCAACTTCTGTCAACTTTTCAGATGCAGATGGACTGCTACTATTCAATGGTGCAGCTTGATCGTTCGAGGAGAATGGCGTTGATGCACATTGTGTGGTAGAGCCTGGGTTTTCCTTAGACGGTGATGCCAATACATTAATTAAATGTATCAGCTCCTTTTTGTTGTCGCATGTGATTGGGGCTTCTTTTTCAGGGACCATGAGCACCGGTTCTTCAAAGGCAGTTTCAAAGTGTACGGTACCATTTTGTGAAGATGATCCAGAGGTTGAGCGAATGGTCCTGGCATCAAAATCAACTATGGCAGAAGGCTGAGGCCCTTCCAGGGACGACACAGATGGCTCCAAAGGGACATAAACACCGGTAGGATTCCAGAAATGAGGGGCTATGGCGCCATTTTCTTTGGTGGTGGACAAAGGTGTCAAAGACGAGGGCGGGGTATATGTATTTGTACTGGCGATTTCAGGTGAATCCTTTCGTAATAAACCCATGCCAGCAGAGGCAAGATTGGAGAGAAGCCAGCCACCTGTTTGTTGCAATGTGGCGGGCCATGACGGCTGCACAGACGCTGATTCAGACAACGGCGGTGATGGTTGCAGTGAGGGATACAAAAATGGTTCGGACGTAATCACCTCTGGATCAGGATCTTCCAGTGTCAAGGTGGAAGTGTGCGGTAAGTTGGGTTCGTTAAATTGATCAATTGAAGGATAGATGGAATCAGGTCGATGGATATTAGCAGATAACTGCTCCAACCAGTTTTGTAAGGTATGTATTTCGTTGGATTCTGATACGGGTAGTTGTCGCGCTGGGTCCAGGTTGTCGCTTATGACCGTAACGAGCGAATCAAGCCGATCCATCATTTCTACAGATTTGCCCATCTTGTAAATATTAAAAAGACAAGAGGAAACCTTCATGGTTTACCTGCGTCATATTCGGGTAATAAGGGATTTTCATCAATGATACTCATGACAAGATCCTGCAAAGGACTTGATGATTCAATGGGAGGACTATATTCTGAAGAATTATCCAGTGCTTTTGTGTGAACGCTGTCTCCCCGAATCCGGATCCCAGGTTTATCATATTCGGTATCAGGACCATCATTATTATCCGGACTGTAAAGGCTGCTTTGCCCAGAGCTTATGTCACTGGTTGTGAACAAATCTGACATATCGGAAGAGTCAGAAACACTGGACGCCATGGGCGTGACGCGAGGTGGGCTGATGTGAGACTTGTCATGCGAATCAGATTGGCAGGAAGAAGGCGTCGACTGTTGCGATGACGATAAATTGGGCTGCTTTGATTTACGACGTCGTACTGCTTTGTAACCAGGCTGATTGCTAATCAAAGATGCTACGCAAGAAATGGTTGAGTCCTTGAAAGTAAAATACGGCATATCACTGTTGTTCTGTACCTTTATGCGATGCTGTATGTATCCTTTCATGCTTTTTCAAATCCTGCGGCCGTTTAAATGGCTTTTTGCACGTCTGTCATTAGGATAGCAGATCAATTAACGTCGGGATTTCTTTTTCACATTACAGAAAAGGTAAAAATACCAAGCATGTGTGTGCTAAAAAGCATATCGTTAGCAATTGATTGTTTCACCCATTTTCTGCCCTAAAGATACATACGTTTAAAAGGTAAATGAACTCGTAGATGACTGACAAGATGGTCTCGCTTAGCAGCTGTTGTGCCGCAGTTTTTCCATTGGCATTTCAGGCACAAGTTGTTGGTGATTTTGCGACCGACATGTTGGTCAGACAGATGCTCGTAAAGAGATTCGACATTGGCGAATCTCTGTGAACATTCGTCCCACTGGCACCAATAGCGCAAAGAAAGTGACATGAAGTGGTGAGACCAAAAATAATCGGCATTTCCGGGATTTTTACGTTGGACTCTCTGTGGGGGGAAGCAACTTCATTACCCCAAAAGCATATGAAAATTTGTATCACTAGTCGGACTTGGAGTGAGGATACTTGGGTCCATATCACAGTAAGGGCGTGCTTGAGGCGGTTGCAAAAACAAAGTTTCGGCAAGCGATGTGGGCGGCACCGTTGATAAGAGTCTTTGGTGTGGGCTGCAACAAACAAAATACTTGGTAACATTTGAGATATCTAAAAGGCGTGGCCATTCATGATTCTATTGAGAACAAAGACATAGTTGAATGATAAGCTAAGAATATTAGTCGCCCTCTTTATTGATTCGATGACGGCTTCTTTTTCATTTCGAAACTAGCATTTTCGCTCTTGCCAGGAAAAGCAGGCAGAAGCGGGAACTCCCAAATGGCGGCGCAGCCATGTTCACTGTAAAAAAGGCCAAAAAAATCGCTGCGCTTAACAGGACATGCGGCAGACACCCTTCAAAAACCAACTATGGATGGACTATTGTTACTAACATGTCCTAATAGATTATCATTTATTTCTGTGAACGGCGCAGCACGGCAAACAGTGTTTAAAAGCCCTTTGACTCTCGTCACAGACATCTTTTTTTCATTTTGTTTTTGTTTTATAAATAAAAAGACTTTGGGCTATTGCCGCAGAGTCTCAAGAGAAGACAAATAATTATTTCTTTTTTTTTTCATTTCCCTTTTTTTTTGATAAATAAAAAACGGTTCCGGAGAACCAATCCAACTCAGAAGTTTAGTGTCATCCTTGTGCAGGGGCCATGCTAATCTTCTCTGTATCGTTCCAATTTTAATATGTGTCAGAGGTCCAAAAGAGACGTGACGAATGAATTTTTTTTTCATCGCGAAAAGAGTGCCTTTTTATATCTTATAGATGAGGCCAATTCTTTTTACTTTGACGGTCACTTTTGCCCGGACAAGCAAATGCGGACCGGCATTTCTGCAATTTTCACTCTCAGCCCGGATGAGGCATTTTGCGAATGGCTGTGGCAGTTCTTTTCAGCCGTGCGAGTCGCTTTTTTTTATTACTGAAGCAAGTCCAATTGAAATCCCCGATTGATTTTTCCATTCAGTGATTTCCTATGTTGGGAATGGCCATCATGGCCATCACAAAGCAGTGAAGTATTTGCTACGCAGCGACACGTTGATACTTTGTAACATAGCATTGCGGATCATAGGAGCTTACACCTGCAGTAGCGGTACTGAAATTATTTGAGCGGGTCACCAAACCTGCGTACCTTTCTCCACTATATTGCAGAAACTCTGAGGGACTAACACATCTTACGCATACCAAGTGCTCAGACGCGGAATAAAGTTGCCGCCTCTCCATTTTATGGCATAGATGAATGTTGTGCAAGTGGTTGAATCATAAAACATGCCAGTACCAAGCGGTCGCATCTTCAAAGCCTATCGTATGAGAAAATCATGCGACAGTTTTATTTTCGTAGATTACGCCTAGACTACCCTTCATTGTATAAATAAAAGTTGGCTTGTTATTTGAAATGCTGTTAAAAAAATCAGATACAATGCTACAATGATGTGTCGATGAGGGATATAGTGCGATATGGATTTTGGAAGATAGTGAAAAACATGCGTATGAATATGATGACTACTGCGTTGATGAGAACAGGGAGCTGGGATATTTGAAGAGATTATGGACGTAATCGTTGGGTGCGAGGTCTTGATCGAACAATGGATACTGGGTCTAATAGATACATGTGTAATCAGGCATCACGTCTATCCGGATATTCCCGTGGCTATCTGTACCTTCAATTCTGCCATGGCTTTCATGAATTGGTCATCATCGATTTGACGTTGCAGGGCTTTTACCTGACTTGTATGCTCCTCAAGCAATTTCTCTTCGCCTAAAAACTGGGCTTGAAATCGTGCATTTTCCTTGATTTCCGGCTCCAGCTCGTTCTGCATTTCCGCCTGTGATGGAAAAAAACGTGTGTCAAGTCTGTTATCAAATAAATACCCACAACAATTATCGCTCTTACATTTCTGCGCGTGAGCTTTTCTTGATCAAACATCTTTTCGCGTGCGGTGGACGGGATAAGTGTGCGACCGACTTTTTTATCCACAAGTTTGACAAGGTTGACCAGCTGCCGTTGTGTCTCTTCGTTCGTACTAGGCTCAACGAGTCTGATAAAGTAGAGTAAGCAATGCAGTTCAAGTCCAACAAAATATAGGTATACATACGAATAAGCGGATGAAATCATCTTGCGAATGTGTTCTCGTGATCTCGCCGACACAGGCACCCAAATGATCTTCTTAGCTTTGCGATTAGCTGCAACAAATGTATCAATAAGAGCCAAGGTATATCAACACGGTAATATTGAACAAACCTCTTGGGTTCAAGGCACTTTCAGGTGGTTGCTCAAAGGGAAGTTGTAAAGTCGAGGGATCATCGACCAGCGGTTGTGAGTATCTCGTTGGCACCGACGGCTGACTGAAAGGCAATTGTGAACCAGAGGGCAGGGGACGAGCATTTTGTGATGATTGGCTGTTTCTTGTCGACGCCAACGTCTCCAGAGATGGTGGACTTTCTCGCGTGTCATGGCTTCGTCGACGTTTGCGCCTGTCTGAAGGTCGCACAGTTAAGCGCTCCAGTTCTTGTCGTCGCCTTTTCAGCATGATGCCAAAATAGGAGCAACCTGCACAGTCTGGCTTCTAAGGAAATCAATTTTACTGAAAACCCGTCACCGTCGGAATTTTTGGTGATCCGTTTGGGATCATACGAAATTTCACTTAGGATTGAAAAATAATAGCATTACAAAAGGGAACTGTACAAGTGAAAGAATAGATTATTCTACAAGATGCGCTGTGGAAAGGCTAAGATCCAAACAATAGCTATACGGCATGACACTTGTCTGTCATGCCTTCGGGTCCCTGCCATAGATTAATCATGACGGCTGTTGCCAGGATAATGGCAAATCGACACCAGCGCCACACAGCACGAAAGATACGCTTGATCAAATACAGAATACGACCATATATGCTACCTGGTGGCTGGGAACGTTTGGAATTTGCACCAGATTTTGACGATGGGGTTATATAGGTATCGGATACAGGAGGGTATATATCATACGAAGCGTGAAGATACTCTTGGTCGAGCGGACCAAATAAATCGGAAAAGTCCTTGTCTTCATTTGCCGTACGATTAAAAAAATCCATAGCATTATTGAGAGCGGCTTCATCGTGCATAAGGTTTGTGGTGGATAGAAAAGTTTTCAGTGCATAGTCTCCCGGTGCATTGTAAAATGAGGTCAGGTTCCGTTCGGTCATATTGGCGAATTCGCGAAGTCTGGCAAATGAGGACGAGCTGCGAAGTCGTGGAGCGTCGGGTTGGCTGCATGATGCGTTGGAACTGGTTTGTTCACTGTGACTCGCCTGCATTCTAAGTGAACTGCCTTCTTTGTGCCATGCCTGCTCGAGTTCGTCAAGTAGACTTTGTTTTGAGGTTGTTTTGCGGATGGTCCCCTGTTTCCATGGGACATCAATACGTAAGCTTTTGCAAGACGTGTCGTCATCCACAGACGGCGGTGAGGAAGACTGCGGTGTCCAGAGTCCTTTGTCACGTAATTTCATCAATACGTTACGGTGTTCTTCTAGGCTTTCGTTAAGTTCTGCAATGTGTGTAAACTGGCGCTGGTACGCTTCTTGTAGATCGACGTATCCTTGCTGGGTAAACTGAAACTCCTCAAACTGGGCGCGTAAGCAACTGAGATCGTGCAATGTGTTGATCAATTTTAGCTCCACTGCTTTCTTTGTTTCAAAAAGGTTGTGATTTTCGTACTGCAAGTCGAGCATACGTTTGGTGAGTTCATCGATCAGTGCCTGATCCTCCAAGTGTTGTTCTTCAAACTCGGCCAAATTCGTTCTTTGATGACGACTTTCATTTCGAAGACGATGATCTTCCAATTCTTGGATTTTCTGAGCCGCCGAATCCAAATGGTGGCGCAACGATTCGATTTCCGTCTGAAGTTTTCGTGATCGTTTTTCTTGTGCTTCTTTTGCTTTCTCCGATGTCTGCAAAGCATGATCCAACATTTTTTGGGTGTCGGCGTTTTTCCGTTCCAAAGCTTCAATCAGGGCTTCTCGCGCACATGGGTTAGGTATTAGCCGCATACTAACGCTGTCATCATCAAACTTTGAAGACCGATATGAATCATAGTCCATCGTGACCAGATCAAGGTGGTCTTTGAGCACTTCTTTGGCCGCTTCAGATTCGAGATCTTTCTGGCATATTTGTACATGTTGAAGCAACGTTTCGTATTTTGACTTTAACATCATGTTGTTTTGCAACAAGGAGTTACCGAGCTCTGCTGCTAGGGTCAGGTCTGTGTCATGAAAGAAAAAATAAATAAAAAGATATCCATCGTAATACAAAAAAATAGTGGGCGGCAAATCCTGAATCAGAAAAATGATCGGCTGGGCTGGCACCAATCCCTTCTTACAGAATGTCAAATCACCGTGGTTCCTCCTCTTTTCTTTTCTTTTATTTGTATTGTTTGTTTATTTGCTTCGTTTCTATTGCCAGCCCAGATGTCAACGCCAAGATGAGCGACACCATTTGCAATCATTTTTCTGGTTGCTCCTGAATTTGCTCCTATGAGATTTTATGCATTGACATTTACCTTTCTCCTTTTCCCGTAACGCTGCATAGGTGGTTTTCAAGAGTCCCACCAATTCTGTAGCTGATTTTTCGGCGGCCCATGAAATGGAGGACATGAAGGATGTCGTGGACTGGGTGGGCGAAGCGGGTTCCGTACCCTTGAATGTCTCAGTGATAGCATGAGTTGAAGGAACATCAATCTTTGAAAGTTCCGCGAGCCGTGCAGGCAAAGGGTGGTTTTCTTTGTGTTTTGTAGAAAGCATCACAGACCGGCTGCTATTACTGATCAAGGAGGAAAAATGAGGAAAAAGTACAGAATACAAGAAAATGTGAACACCAAAACTAAAGCAATAATAATGAAAAAGAAGGGAAAAAAAAGGGAAGAAGGAAAAGCACCAGTTTATTCCGCACAGTTAACGTTTGCCTCTGCGTCACACAAGCATGATCTATGTCCAATTAATGTTGTGGAGTGGGTTCACATGACCTTAGATAGACTGCTGCACACCATATTGATCGCTCCCTACCGCCATTTCACTCTCACATCAAGTTAAAACTACATCAACCTCTATCCAAATACAACCAACCTCCAAGGAATTTCATCCTCATCCATGAATCCTCCGCTTCCCCCCCAAAAAAAAACTCGCGAATGCATCGATTTATCAAAGATTTCTCCATGCACTCTTATATTTATTTCTATTTCGGTTGCTGTAGCGCACTGTATATGTCCGAGACATTTTTCTGCAAAAGGCAATTTTCTTGGAAATCAGGAGTTCTTCCCAAAACAAAACATCTGTCCGTTTTCAATCGTTTCAGCATTTTTTTTATGTAAAATACACGTCTTGTTTTTTGATTGCATGGGATTGTACAATGTGTGAGAGAGAGAGAGATCCCCCACTTCGAGATGGTTCATGATAAATGTACAGAGAGTACCAAAGGTGGACGGTCTATCGTGATTATGCCGTTGTGAAATGGTGTGGACTGAAAGAAATTGGTAGTGAGAGCAGCGAGTTTCTTTTGCAAACGTTCATATGCATTGTTAATCAAGTTCAATAACGTTGCTTAGAGTCGCTAGATCTTGAAAATCATCGTCATCGCTTTCAAGTACGGCGGTGGGTTCTTTGGCGGCTTTCGAGACCGTTCTGCCCTTTTTACGTGAGGTCGTTTCAGGGCTTTGCAAGAATTCAAGTTCTAATTGAACACGGGCGTTGCCATGCTCAATATCCTCTCGATGCAAGCGATAAAGTTGATCGGCACGGTAACCTTCAACGACATAACTACAAAATAGAGTGCGCCCATTCATACCAACTCAAACCAACCAAGCCACACCGCTGCATAAAACTTACGATATACTGTTGTAAGGCGTAAAATGGAAATCTTCATTCAGGTAGCCGTGGATCAGTAAGAAATTGACAATTCGCTCCAAATCCTAGTACGTTATCGAAGAAAATGAAAAAGAGAGAAGATAAGTATGCAACAATCAGCGGCAGTTGCTACGCACGGTACCTGGTTTGAAAAAGAACGATCAGCGGGTAGGGCTACATCGGTATCCTGACGAAGCGATTCAATCTTGGCCGCCTTCAATCCACGCCCTTGCCATAATTGGATGAGCTTCAACATGGTGACCCGTTCATTGACCCGTTTCAGGGCTCGACACAGCCGCACCAGTGTCATACCCTCCAATGTAATGTCTCTTCGCACAAGTTGCATGGCGTCGTCACTGTGGCGCGTACAATTATCGCAGATACCACATGCTGTGTCTGGCGTCACCTCGTTTATCACCGAATCCGATGACGATGAACCCGAAATGATGGAAGGATCGCACATGAAATACTTTTCGAAAATAATCTTTCGACACGTTACATAATCTTGAGCATATCTTATCATCGCGTACACTACATGCAGTGTAACCAAACCTTCAGCTGCAATGTTTGATCCCTTTCACACGGCCTGACTTACAGTTGTTGCGACCTTGCACCTCTGTAACCACAAACGCTGACAAACGAGAAGCTACAGAATCAACCCTTAATCCATGTTCCGTCCCATGCAATCGATTTTATCATGCCCCCTACCGTCTTGTCCCCGATAATACAAAATGCATTCGGCCTTTTGCCCATCTCGACCTGCAAAGAAACAAAAAAAAGAAGGAGACGTTATCGATATGCACGAGCGATCGACCATGCATGGATCGGCGAATTTTTACCCGCTCGTCCACTTTCTTGGTAATAGCCTTCGACGGACTTTGACATGGAATGATGGATAATGAATCGCGTTTCCAGATGATTGATTCCCATGCCAAATGCAATGGTGGCTACAATGATTTGGATTCTCCCACTTCGCCATTGCTGATGTGTGTACTCCTTGTCATCCTACAGTTGAATTTCGCACAGCGCGAGATATTTTAGCTTATCATTTCGTTCATCCTATCACTGAAACCTACTTCATCCATGTCGGCGTGATAGATGGCGCAGCGAAGACGACCTTTACTAGCTTCATTGATTCCCACCGCTACCGTTTGTGTATCTTTTTTGCTGAGAACGTAAATGATGCCAGATGATGTGGGGTAGTTATTGAGAATCCAATCGGTCATATGTTGCAATGTAGCGACCGGTGTATCGGGTTTGGTAAACACACGATAAACGAGGTTCGGCCCTTGATATCATCAAAAATTCAATAAACTACCCCCAAAGAGAATGACTGTCACGTACTACGACTTACTGTACAGAGGAGCGCTGTAAAGCAGACTTCCACCTTTCAGCTGGGGTTGTTTGAGTCCAAGAATATTCATGACGTCTTTCATGACATTCCAAGGACAGGTGGCTGTCAGTGCCATGATCGGGGTATTGGGAAAAATGGTCTAAAAATAAAATAAGAAAAAAGATTGTTTGATATAAAATAGGCCCCCCTATTCTATAGATAGTTACTCGCAACAGGTTGAGTTGTTTGTAATCGGGTCTACAGGTGCACACGGACCGGTTAGGTTCGGTCATCAAATAGGCATTTCTTGTACCCAGAATTGAATTACCTGAAATCATGGCCCTGTTGAGAGCAGCAGTGCGCTTCGTCAATGACAATACGCGATAATCGTCCAGCTTCGTAGGCTTGATCGAGCTTGGCAACAAAACGTTTACTTTTGGCAATCTTTTCAGGCGTGACGTACAGTAACTTGAATGCAGGGGCTGTCGATTGGGAACCTTGTGCTTTGGGGACCATTTCATTTTGTATTTCTGTCACTTGCTGTTTCGGTGTGGTGGCGGTCAACATGGCAGCGGGGATATTTGCCTCGTGAAGATGAAAGATCTGGTCCCTGATCAGTGATACAAGGGGCGAAACCACCAACGTAAATCCATCCTCGAGAAGAGCTGGAAGTTGATAGCATAAAGATTTGCCTCCACCGGTGGGTAACACCACGAAAATATCGCGTTTTTTATCGAGAGCAGCATTGATGATAGGCAATTGAAGCGATCGAAAGTTGTGGATGTCCCAGTGCTCCTTTGCTAATTCCCGCATACGTTCTGACCAGGGAAAGGACTCGGAAGCATAGTCGGGCAATGTAACGCCGTGTTCCTGCGTTTGTTGTGCAAGATTCTCCTGCAGCATCTGTCTTTCGTACAAAAGCGATCGCCGTTTCTCTTTCAATGCCGCCATTTGTTCCTCGATGGCCTCAATTCTTTCATCGATGGCGCTCAACGATGACTCTTGCGCGTCCATGACGAGACAATCGCTTCAATGGTAAGTAGTATGCTTTATTGTATTCACACTGATCTATGCAGATAGGCGAACCAAAAGTAAAAATAAAATAAAAAATGGCGGAAGGGAAAAAGGGAAAAATCGCAGCAACAATCAATTCCAGTGTATCCATTCTTTTTTTTTTTTTGCAGTGCTTGAATTCGAACGATACTTTTTGCTACAAAGCCTATATTCGATATACAACACTGGTATAACGGATATTAAACGATATATAAACATATACCTTCTTTTTTAACATGTTTCCAAATGTGCAATAATCACCAAAACAAGGAAGGGAAACATATCCAAAAGGTGGGATTAGGAAAGATTGAATGAAATGAAATTTTGATTGTCCTTCCTCGTGTCACGAAAAAAAAAAAAGAAAAAAAAAACCGACCAGCGTGGGCCTCACATCGCACAATAAACCAGCTTTTTTGCTTTTTATCATTTGCTCCATATATATTCACACCTTTATGGCATCAAAGTAGTCGCTCCTTTCTATTCATCTCTCGTTCTTTTTTTCTTCCATTCCTTTTTCCAACTTCTCCCTCATATACCATGACCCCACCGATATGTTCATCCCCCGGATCTTCCGCTCATGATGATGATTCAACCATTTCCAAGAAACGCACCCGTGTAACTCCATCGCAACTCATCATACTGGAAGAAACCTTCAGTGTCACCGCTACTCCCGACAGCAAGATGCGCAAACGATTAGCAGAGAAACTGGATATGCCCGAGCGCTCCATACAGATCTGGTTTCAGAACCGTCGTGCCAAAGTGAAAATGCTGCAACGTCGCGCTCTTCTCAGGGAAGAGCAGAGTCGAGTGCACACCAATCTGGGTCCCGAAAATGGGCCATGTCCTGCTAATTCTTTCTGGTACCCTACAATGTCATTTCCTTCCAACTCCTTATCATGTGCCAAACTTCCGCTTCATCGTGCCTGGAGCACCGATAATATTCATTCCGCTTCCCTGCCTTATCCTCCGCTTCCACCGCCACCACCGCCGGCATCCTTATTCCCTTTTTCCTTTGAGTCCCTTTCCATGACGTCGCACGTTCCACCCTTGGAAGAAACCCACTATGGAACCTACAGCAACACCGTCTCTCCCACTTCCACTCCGCGTGCCTTTTCCGATCTGGATCTCCAACGCACAGGTAACGTAAAGAATGAAACATATCTGGTCTTGGGTATCCAGGAACACGGACTCATCGCATCACTTGCACTTATTTTTTTTTCTTTTCAGCGAGCGATATTGTGCCTGGTGTTCCCAATCCAGCAATGACTGTGATGACGCATCCAGTGCAGAAGCCGAATAATTCTTGCTTCATCACAGCCGGAGCGTTAACCATTGGAACGTGGCATCGGATGAAAATAAATCAACAGGACTTGCTTTGCTATTACAGCTTGCCGGATAGATCATTCACCTGGCACATTTGTGACAGCAACTACCATTTTAAGATGGCAGTATCATCTGATGCCATTGCGGCTATTGTGTTGAACATTTTGGACGACGGTATCTCGGCGCATATCGATATCCACCTGACCGCACCTCCCATCTTCTTCATGAAAAATCAAACTCCCACAGGTGCAAATTGGATCCAATGTAGTGATTATACAGAGGGTATGCAAGCCACCTGTATCATGCAACATTCGGTACAAGGACTGGCTGTCGATCTAAGACAAGAACTATTAGCCATTGTCAGCGTGGATCAGCAGTTGAGTCGTATCACACGATTTCCCATGCAGACTCTACCAGGTCCTATGACGATGTCCATCCCGACTCCCAGTTCTTCTGTTTTTGACCAGTCGCTTCTTTTCTCCCAGTTCATTAGACATCAGAGTCTTCCTGCAGCTGGCGATACCCAATGGCTTCAGCCCACCATGTTCTGATCCACATATAAAATTGAGTGCATCCCCGCTATTCCTTTATACATATATATCCTTTGTCATCTATATCTTTTTTGAATGGCCTTTTCTATACTTGCGTTTCCCCTCCTTTTTTTTTCCTCTTTTCTCTTGTTTGTGTCCAACATGTATATGTTATTTGTCTCATCGGCCCGTTATGCTTTTCATCTATAGAACTTATTTATTCTTTTATCTGCTACCTTTTTTTCCCCATAGAAGCTTCATTCATCTTGAAATAAAATAGACAAGAAACCACGATTCATGGATTTCACAAACAACAAAAAATTTCTTGCACAAATGAAAAATTTTAGATCGTTCAGTCAAACAAACTCACTTCCAAGAACGCTGCATTGTGCACATCCACCTGATCTACTCTCGTATATATACGACTTTAATGCGTACGCGCTTGTTTACGGACAGACACAGAATGTTATATGAATAGAAACGTGTCCCTTTTTTTGTGTTATGAATAATCAGATGACAAAAGGCCCGAAGCAGCTGACACACTTGAAATCGATGCGCGCGATGTCCTACTGATCCGTCATTGACTAATTGCCAATATATAAGTCTGAAATTTGTTGACCGAAGAAGAACCATTGACAAAAATAGCCTCTATCAAAATGTTTGTATATTCTATTGTCCTCTTTTTCACAGACGAAAATGTATTTTGCGTGTATGACAAGCAGATATCCCGGATGACGATGAAAACAAGGGCGTCATTCTATACGAATATAAAAGGACTAAAAAATATCTACTCAGTAAATGTTGGACGTTATCTGAATGATTTAAACGCAGGAAGACGATAACAATCCTTGGATATAAGAATAAACGAGATCGATAGGAATGGGTTTGGGGCGAACCGAGGACAAAGATCTGGATTGTCATGACATCCCAATTCTGTTCGCACTACTGTAACTGTACAACATTCAGTTTATTCAACTTTGAACTCACAAACAAATAAAAAATTGGAGAAGCAACAATGAAAAATCAGATTGATAAAAAAAAGATTGGGAAATCATCATAAGTCAAAAATTATGGGCAGATGGACAAAAAGTAGGAAAAAAGGGCCAAGTCGATATGGCAGTATAGCAAAATATTGAATGCAGTTGGCTTACCTGTAAACATATACAGGCCTTCGTTGCCCGGAAAAACCAACAAATGGGCCCGGACGGAATACGCAGTACTGTGGCAAACGTGGAGAGCACTCGCCGGGACCGTCCGATGGTCGATCAGTTGAATAAATTATTATATAAAATCATATTTAGTATACAAACTTCTATTCTTTAGGAGTAACAAGCTTGAGTTCACCTTCAGCTCAATGCAGCCATAAAAAAAGACAATGTCGGAGAAAAATATGATCTTGAAAGGTATTTGAAAGGTTCGGGGAAACGGAAGAACTTTGACAGACGTGGTGCGGTGTATAGACTTTTAAGCCTGTCACTTCTGGAGAATCATCGCATCAGCTGCGAAGTACAGAAAAAAAAAGGGCGGTAATACAAGAAGCAATCGTGTATCTTTGGGTTTTTTCCTGCGATGCACAGTAAAGGAACAGGGGGCGGTAATAGAATACAACCCCAAAGAAGCAACAGAGAACTTTTGATGTCTTCCAATCAAATGAGAAGGACCGTGAACCGAGGATCGGTACTACAAGAAGTTTTTGTGGCCTCTTGCATTCCAATAAGGAGGTCTCAAAACATCTGCTGCAATGCACAGTAAACAAAACCAAAAAAGGGCGGGCAAGGAAGAATCGACCTTACATAGGAAGGTGTGTGTGAGCAACGTGGACACAGAGGCTCGTCGAGCAAAGCATGCGACGCTCACGAAAGGATCCATGTTAGTAAGCTTAAACAGATCTTATTCATCAAGATTTTACTGCAATACATCTCTCGAAATACGAGACATTACAGAAAGTTGTTAAGCGCTCGTGATCTTACCTACCTTGGATCGTTTCTTTTATGAATCATTATCTTTTGCGATTCCCACTGTATCACCATTTCCCCCTGAAATCCTCTACGATTTTTCATTATTGGCAGGGGAAACCTGTCTTTGGAAGGCCGTCCACAATAATGTGTCAAATTATATTTTTACGTGGTCTAAATACAGTTTTCACAGACACACGACGTAAAGTAGTAAGAATCGCCTATCGACTAGAGAGTACAAGTAGAACAGATGAAGTCCTCCATTTGCTGACGCTGAGGTTCTAGATTTTAAAAGCAGTAAACGTTGTTGACAATTCCCGAAAAGGGAAGCACCAAAAAAAAATTTGAGGCACGACAAATGGGACATATCGCCTTGGGACAGTAAAATGGACATATGAAACTAGGAAGTTGGACGCCCTTCTAAGTTATGGGACACTGTGCCCTGGGACAACGAATGGGCGTCGAACTGCAATAAAAATATGGCATCCTATGATAAGAAGGTATCGACCGTGTGAACTAGTTAAAACAAAACATTTCATTGTCTGACGCAAGTGACGCAAAGGGAACGCCGCAGCTTGATACAGATAATAATAAAAGCATCTGCACCAAGTCACCAGAAAAAAATATATTTAATGGTCGTTGACCGAGTGTGAGGTGGTGAGGCTATTGCTTCTGTTTTTTACTTTTTTGCTTCAGAATTTCCAAATCTTGTTCCAACATCCACCGTGATCGATTTGAATTTGATCCGCTTTCTCGAGCATACGTTTGTTGGGTTTGGCCGAGAAAGAACTTGAACAAAGCGGAAGCTGTAAAAGGCGGTGGTGAAGTTTCAATAAACAACCAATGCATGAGTTTTTTTTTGGAACTGAACAGGTCGCGCTTCTGATTCTCATTGAAAAAGGTATTACTTTTAAATACTGATTCTTCACAATTTTGAATATAGATTATGACTCGTCCCAAAGCACACATTAAAGCTAAGATAGACGCTATTGTGCGAAGCAGCAATGGACGTCTTGCAAAGCGTTCTACTAATGAAGCAGTCATCGAGAAAGACTGGGAATTGTTGGGTCTGTCTGTCGAATGGATGCAGCAAGTTATTGAAACAACTCGGGCGCAGATTCAAGAAAATTCGCAACAGGCCCGAGCTGTGAATAATGTGTTACCTCCGAAAGACAAGAAGAAAAGAGATCCGTATAGCAACACGTCTAGAACGACGAAATGGCGTACAGGACGGAATCCAAGAAAATCGATCCCAGGGGTAAACTCACGAGCTTCGGATTGACGATCAACAACGAGCTGCCCTCATCATCTGCCAATGAGACGATTCAGCTGTCCCACACCAAACAGGAGCACCTGAAAATCGAAGAGGCGATGTAGTCCGTTGAAATCTTTCGTCCAGCCTGATAGCGACCTGCCATCATTATGAAGTAGGCCACCAATTTTTGGTCCGTCGCCCCATCGTGGTCAGGGTTGTCACAGCAAGAGACAATCCTTCCTCAGTGAGTCGGATGTGAGCACGGAAGACTTGCGCTGATGGCTTCGTTATGATGGTAAGGAATTAGCGACGACAAGTTATACCTTCCGTTTCTTGGAGTAACCGGGTCCATCAGCTTGACAACAATTGGCCGATATCTCCATGACTGGGTGAGGGGTTGTTGGCAATATCGCAAGAACAGCAAAGACATTCAATTCGACGGCATGAACGCGGAGACGTTGTCGATACAGCAGTGGATGGGCAAAACGTATGGTCGCCCACGCGTAGACCTTTACGCCATCGAAGAAGCGGATGATGTCCTTGGAGCGAAGTTATCAAATGGTACTCAAAAGCTTGTTCTTGTCACTCATGATGAGAGCACCTTCTACGCCAATGACGGGAAGGCTGACATATGGCGCGCCTCAGGCGAGAACATCATTAGGAAGGAAAGTCCCGGAATGTCTATCAAGGTCAACGAGTTCCCAACGCATCATTGAATCTCGTTCCCAAATTGCCAATAATGCATGTCAATACTTGATAAGCAGTCGATCGAAAATACCTATCGATGACATATGCATCAAGTACATACCTTTCAACCGATATAAGCCATTCGATCGTGCTCCCTGTGATGTATTTTTGAATTCTCGACCTCTCACCCAATTTCCTGTAATTTGATTGCCCAATGATTCACAGAACTAGGGCGTTTTATGATATAAAAATAAGAACAGAAATAAACAATCTGAAGCAGTTTTTCCCGAACGACCCAGTTATTGGAAGATCAAACGTCTAGCTATTTCACTCATCTCATCGAAACCCCTTTTTCACAGCGCGTTATATGAACAGTCGCGACATGTATCAACGGTCACAAAAATTTCGACTCATTACGATCCCAGCACAGCACATCATAGGTTTTTTTTTTTTTTTTTTTTTTTTTTTTTTTTTCCTTGTCTTTCCCAGTTTTGTAGTTCTCTCTATAGTTCATATTACCTCGTGCTTGTACCGCTCATTATGACGTGTACAGCAAATAAAAACACGAATTTGTCAAATTTTGCCGCGTTGGTGTCATCGAACTCTCCTACAGTCCATGGGATTCCCCAATCCTACTTGTAAAAAAGAAGTACAGTGATACTGTTTCGTAGTTGGTTAACGAAATTGAATAAAATTACCCGTAACGATACTTACCCAGGCTTCCGTACTGATGACTTGCCTCTTGTATGCCATGATATAACGAATTCGTAATGTTTTCCGGATCTATAATTTCCGCTTTTAAGATGAGACGAGTTGATACAGTATGGTGAACAATCGGCTTATAGTAAGGTTCCTTGGCCGTCTTGACAAAACAGTATCATTCCGATCGATGGATCTTTCATGTGTTGACCAATCGTTTTATTTGTCCCAATTGGTTGGACCTCAAACTCTTGCTGTAACCATAGATACGCACTGGTTTCAGCTCACCAGGCTATGATCCACGTCTGCCATCGAATGCAGATAGACATCCATCTTCCGCGTCATCTACTATCTTTTTGATTATCGTTTTACTACACTTCCATCTTCTTTTTTTTTTCCTTTGCTACCCTTGTCTGTGACCAAAGATCTTATGTCATTATGTGTCATTGGATCGCCACATTTTCGTCCATTGAAGCTTTATTTATTCTTACCCGCTATTTTTTTCCCATAGAAACTTCATCCATCTTGTCAGCAAATAAACAGAAATCCGAGTTTCCCAAAACAGAACAAGGGGCCCCACAGAAGGCAATGTTTGTGTACGATCTAGTTCGTATAACGGAAATACCTTTTATGGTTGTTGTCACAAACAGAATAATCAGACTCATCCTGTGACTCTCCATTTTGCTATTCATTCTTTTTACTCTCTTTTTCTTTTCATTCACGCATCCATTTTTATCACAATACCAGCCCATATACCACCTTTGTTCCCCCTAGCTTGACCTTTTCAGTCGTATTCACTCCACCACGTTGATCATGCTATTCTGCTATGTTCTTCTGATAACTGTCATTGTTTCGTTCCTGAGATTCCTTTGGTATAAAGCGGAACCTTTGATTTTCCGTATACAATTCAGCCGTCGTTCTATATTTCACATATATCTCCACCATAAGCGACTGGGATGGTCGTTCGAGTTATCGAACCCCCACTTCCAAAAGTCTTCACGAACCGTCAGCCAAGCGTCGAGAGTCATCGTTCACTTGCCGAAGCTTGTGGTTACCATATCGAACACTCACGAAACACCATCGTCTCGAACAGCTACAAGCAGTGTTCAACCGAGCATTTCTCTGTTTGATCATTATGTTGATACAGTTTATTCTTTACCATACGTAGAAAGGATTGCATCCACAGCCATAGTGATAAAACATCTGCTGCACAACCTCGCGGCATTCTGTATTCGTGGGGCCATTGTTTACATTGCCCAGCATGTTGAGGTGCTTGTCGTCTCATTCACCCTACAGTTGCTCGATGTCAATCAAACCATATCGCTGCGAAATATCCAATTTGAGTGCAATCATGCACAATATAACAATGATCATGACGCCATGGAGAACACTCACAAATCGAGAGTGGCAAAACACGTTACTTTTAATATTGGCATGGACTATCTGCATTGGGAGATCCGTGAGCGGCTGTGCGCAATTTTACCACAAGGGCTGCACGTATCGATGGTAATGGCTATTGGTTTTCCAGAATGCACCCCTAAAATCGTCGACTCGACCGCCGAGATACATGGAATTCAGATTGATAAGGATGTGTTATCGCAGTATGTCAGAAGTATAAAAACCAGATCCACCGCAGCAGCAGAAACAACTACCACCAATTGCAATTCAGATATTTTCATTGTCTCCCCGCAGCAATTTTGGTATCTGTCCAACACGTGTGGACTACGGTTTTCTCTCGGCAATATCGATATTTTCGACACCGGCTCCAAATGTCACATCGACTCATGCACGGTTGTAGTCCATCCCCAGTTTACGGACCAATTTGCGGAATTTGAAGCAAATATTATGAATGCCCGATGGCAATTGACGGACGGAAAAGATGATTGGGATTTCATTGTAATACGTCATGTTCAATGGCAGGGTATAGTCGGGAGTAAGCTGTTGCTTGACGACACGGGTTTTTTGCCGACGCAGCGACAACAACGAGAAGCGTTGATAAACCACAAAGAATGGGGTACTTTATGCCACCAAAAAGTCACCTTTTCAACGACGACCGCAATTTTGACGGATCCAACCGTCAACCTCCATTTGGCACGAGCGGATTTTATTCAACGTCTTTTAATGCAGCAAGTGACTTTAGCGGGGAACACATCGTCATCAGAGACACTGCCACACAGTTTTTCGATTATGATTGCTCTGACGAATACCACCATCTCCTTCCACGATGCTTCGGTATCATCAATCTCCGACAATATGAATTTACAAACGATACAACTACAGGGCGCGGGACGGTATGCTCTTCTCAAGCGACATCCGAATACAACGCAAGTAGAGTCCCATCCTCGGGAATGGTGGACCAAGCTGTTAAGACGCAAGAACATGTCCCAAATTATGGAAATTTGGACGAGTACGTTGGCATCTACAGACTGGGCATATACTGTACGTCTCGCTTTGGATATCGACAAATGTTGTGGCAAGATAAAAAAGACGCCCATTTTTCACGTAAAGCATATCCATTTGGGCACACAAGCAAACTTACGCATAGGAACCGCAGGCCTGCATTCAATACCCACGTCTATCCTAGGGCATACAAAGAACCCACCGCTGCACATCCAGGCTACAATCACAAATCCAAGAATGCATTTGACAAACGACGTCATTTTCCATATCGAAATGTATCAACAGTGGATTAGCAATGTTATGAAAGGACTGACCTCTGGCGTCAGTCTAAATGAATCAAGTGCACCATCATCTCAAACGCCATCGGTTTGGGTTTTGCTATCCACAAACAATGTGTTGAGCTTGACGATTGTGGATGCCTCATTTAGTCTCTCTGACGTCGACAAGCGGTGTCGCCAAGCAAAAGAAATACCACACCTTTATGTAAACAACGCGCCTCAACAAGATCTGGCATATATGGCCCTACTTTCTGTGGAACAGTTATACATTCATATCGATGGAACATCTGCAAAAAGTAAAACATTGTTTCGAATTAATTCTGCATGTAAATAGACCTAACGGAACTTCAGTAGATGAACGGAATTCGATACCCGTGATGCAATGTTGCATGCAAGAATTTGCTGTCACGCACAGAATGGCTAAATGGGAGGACCAGGCCCAGTTGGAGAAGAGTGAGAAAGACCAGTTACTGTTATGGATATCAGACATCACTGTCAACCTTGCGACCCAGAAATCAGAAGCTGACCAAGGAATTACGATCGAAGTTGCCATGCCCCGTTTAGGATGTTCTATCTCCATTGCCAATATTTATGGTTGCTTTTTGATATTTCATTTTACCGAAAAGCTTTTCTCACAACTTACAAAGTTGCGTTCCCCGTCGAAATCTACCGAGATCCCAACCTCAAATGGAATGATACTACGACGCTTGAGCTTTTACGGTCAGTACATCGATGTCCGCATTTTGCTCCCTTTCAACAAGCATCTCCATGTGCAAACCTATGACTTGAGAATTCGCCACCGTCGCAGTCTCGAAAATAATGTCACTGTCAACACCACTGTGAACAATTTTGCGTTGCTGGGCACGGCACCTGGTAACTCCAAATTATGGGAACAGCTAATCGGTATGCAAGAAATCGCCATAGCCAATGCGGATGCCCAGTTTCCATCTACCGTATACAGCTGTTCACTGGAAAGCTTGCAGTTGAGATTACCTTATGGATATGTCGTGGCCGATGTGATTGACAGCACAATCACCATGATAAAATCCTGCAAAGTATTTTGGCAACGATTTATGGATCGGAATGAATTGACGTTTATGGGCCCGGTACCACGAAATGACCCTCTTCTATTGCCTCGTATATCCGTTCATTGCAAGAATTTTACAGCTCAATTAGACGACAGCCCATTTGAATCAAGACTTCGACGCATTTTGCGCCTGGGGCTGCAAGAACAGATAAAGCGACTGGAAAGCGAGCAACTGTTCGATAAGAAAGCCCGGTCCATGACGGAACTGAACTCACTATACAACGAGCAATACCAAAGCACTGAGCCAGACGATCTGACTCCATCTTCCGATTCGTATTTGTCTTCATCTTCATGGGGTAGGGAGAAAAGAAGCAGTCATTCATCCAGCCACTCCAAGCGATTATCTTTTACCACGTCTACTCAAGATATCTGGAATCGGCTACAGGAACATCATGCTCAGTCCTGGGTACTACAGATCAAGGAAGCGATACAAGCAGAAGCCAAAGCGTACATCATACCGATGCAGCAAGCTCAAAATTTCATTCACCAGACCAGAAATAAAAGCAAAACAGCAAGTGATTGGAGCTTGTGGTTCCGCATACGCATAACACGATCCAACGCATGTCCACCCCTGGTTCGGCTACAAGTATCTCGGTTACAAGTGGATGTCGCTGCCTTTGATGACGCAACACAGGATATTCGCCAGTTTATGCACGATATTGGCAACGGTGTACCACCTCACATCGATGTTGCGCTGCTGCTTCCATTTTTCGTCAACGCGTCAGCCGGAGAAACATGGGTGCGAGTCCGAGACTATCCGCTGCCGCTCGTATACATACCTACCAGCAGTGCACCTTGCGACAGAAGTGATGAGTTTGTTCAGGACAATGCATGGAGCCTGTCAGCCAGTTGTGTTGTAGCAGATGACCTGGGTACGTCTGACGGCGTTCGATGCGTTCCTCTGGTGCTTGTACCAGAATGCTACACGCTTCAAGCCATTCGTGTAGCTTCGCCTTTAAAGTTCTATTCCAAGATCGAATGTAACGTTTATACGGACGGCTTATCAACTATCTGCTGGTCTGTATCCTACCATCCTGCGATTCAGGACATGGTTGCCATTTTGGATACAATGCTTCCCGCTTCTGTAGACCCGTCGCCAAGCATTGGAATCTGGGATAAATTAAGACTTATTCTTCATACGCAAACAACGATTCAATTCCCCGGCAATGGCGATCTAGCCATTGTAATGAAAGGCACTTACGATCCATACTCGTTGGACCTCTGTGCAGCAGGAATGACCAAACTTTGGAGAGAGCACATTGTGGTTTACATAGGAAGCAACATGCGGGCCTGGGTAAACCATCCTATACCGACCATCCCGGCTGATATGATGAGAGAAGGTGATATATTGCAAATCAGTAGCCGGGAATATTATTTCGGAATCCCAGACATAGCAAGAGGTGGATATGCCTATTTTACGGAGCATAGTGTCATATCTGTGCAAGGAAAGTATCAAGAATCACAGAAATACCGCTTTGCAAAGATGGTTGTGAAGCTAAGTGGACCGCTGTGTATGAGCATTGGCTGCGAATTAGAGCGCACCAAATGTACTGTCAATGGTTCGCAAGATTCTGAAAGGGAGATCCGTACCAAGGAATTTCGTAAGCATTTTGAAATCACCTATAAAACGGTTGACAACGTCAAGAAGCTCACAACTGACGGTCAGGTTCGTTTAAACTCGTTTTGCATCATCATTGTGTCGGTAGAAAGAGCTCACAGGATGATAGGTTTATGATGCGTTTGCTGGATTTCGATCGCAATATATCCACCTGACTATTCGTATTATGACACTCTACGATCGACGCGGACGGGGCATATCGCCCAACATCATGTACCTAAATCCTTATTGCGTGGACCACTTTGGTGTCTGGTTTGGTCTCTTTCGTAGTCCAATCCGGCTTCCCATTCGGCATGGCGCCCTATTTTCCAAAGCAGCCAAAGATGACAAGAATTCGGCAGGATACCTCGACTCGATCAATTACTGTGTACAATTGCAGCCTTTTCTGATCAGTTACTTTTACCGTGATGAATCGCTTTCACTGGTCGAAGGAACGAATTTGGTCGGTTTAAAGGCTCTGATGGAAAGATTTGATTTGCGTGTGCGGCAACAGAGGTCACAGCATGTAGAGAATGAGCAGCAAAAATTGGGCCTTTCGGTTCACCAGGTGTATTTAGAAATGAAGACTGTCGACCTACGCGCTATCGATGTTTGGCGGCGTATGGCAGGCGAGAAAAGACGGCGGAATGGGCAGGAAGGTGAACATTCATTCATAATGAATCCGACAATGAATGACTGGATTGACGATCATGATTCGGTTGGCTTCCATGATTTTAACGAAGATCCCAGCCATTGGTGTGCGACAGCAGCTCAAGTCCACCGATTTGTTTTTTCACCCTATATTTTTTACCAAAAAATGATGGAAGATTCGACATCAACCTGCACAGCATCTCCGGGTCAACCCCCGAGTTATACAGCAGACGCAAGTGCTGGTAAATTTGACATAACCTCCCGTATTCGTGTGACTAATGATTGTATATTATGGTTAGACACCTATCTCATCCAAGTCGAATTGCTGAATGCTCGCCAGCGAAGAAATCAACAGCAATGGCAGGCATTGGAAAAATCCCTGGCACATATCGAGAGTCAATTAGCAAGCCATAAAGACAACGAGATGTTACTGGAGCAGGTGAGCACGACATTGCAGATTCGACATCTTTGAGGACTCAAAATTTAACATGCACGAATTTAGCGGGCGAGCATTCTTGAAAAAATGACAATCGTCAAAGGGAAAAGTACCCTTTTCGAAAAGTATCGTGAGACATTATCCACACACTCGGCCTGCCCTGTCAAAGATTCGACCAACATGTTTCAACCTACTGATCACAAACGTGAACCGCATGAAAAGTTTGTCGGAAGCTTTTTGCGACGATTCATCGTTCATGATTCGCAAATTATATGGACGAATGCAATTCGCAACATTATTTACCGTTATCTCGATCTGAGAACACATTGCCGGTTTGGATCTTATATCGCCACCACAACAGCGTTGCGAGCCATGGAGAATCTTTTAGATCAATCATTAAACGATACACCGTGGAAGCCACAAAGTCCATCGACAGGTCATCGACTCGACAAAGAGACAGTAAACCAATTAATTGAATCGCTGCTGGAAACCCAACATAACGCGGCATCGATCGCTGACAATGAAAATGGAAACGAGCCCGCAAATGAAGCGAGAGGGATGGAATTTGTTGCTGGTGGTAAAACGAGCAATGAAAAGCGCTCAGAAGAACAGTTACCTGACGGATATTACATGAAACAACGCTATCTGGTCGAGTTGCTTAACCCACAAATTCATCTAGACAATGGCACAGACTCTGATTATATTTTATTGTTGAGCAGCCAAAGGATGCAGATCGAAGGGCTGGATATCCTGGACGACATGTCAAGAGCCGATGTGGAGCCTGTCAAGAAACGTATGGTCGTCGACAGCGGCGATTTGCAACTTTACCTTGCAAAGAAACAATATTTATGTGGATCGGATCTATTCTTGGGTGATACCTATCTGGATAAAGTACCAGAGGGACAAACATCGACGTGGTACACTTGGATTTCTCCCGAAATTCTCCGTTTCAGCTCGACTGCGATGCTGGATGATCGATTAACTTGCATTACCCGTCATTTGACCGGCTCGTTAACATACGATAAGCACAACTACCTCCACATTAGCAAGAGTAACAGCATACCGCGTCATACTGCCATCGAGGAAACAAGCGATACTGTCGATATGCAATTTCCAAGCGTATCGCTCGTCGCCGATGCCCTGTGTTTTAGAGAGGCACGCCGTATCTTGCTGGATCTTGTACCTTACAGTGATCCCAGACGAAAAGGTCGGCTAGAAAGAATTCAAGACATGATTCTATCCAATGATCAAGCCTGTCACGGTGAAATGGTATTGCGAATGACTCAGCTCCATTCAAGGATACGACATTTGCTACTACACCAACAGCAGCTCCAATCAATTCCTGTACCAATGCTGGATTGGAGGCGCTATCGACGGAACAGTCGAATGATTGAGCAATGTAAAGACGATCTTTATGTGATGATGGAAGCTGTCAAATCTATGCAAAGTCAGATTCATCAGCAAAGACGTAAAAATGTGGGAACACGTCTACGGGTAATCTTCAATGCTAATCACTTCCTGTGGCAAATGAATACCAAAGACGATCAACCACTGTGCCATGCAGCTTTAAGTTTTGCCCGATACACTTTTGCCGCGAACAATAACGGAACCAAAAGCCACGTATTTGAAATTAACGATTTGGAAATCCAAAACCTAACACCCCAACCCACCTTTATCACTGTCCTCGAGCGCAACAAGGTTTGCGATCAACCCTCTGCCTATTCGTTGATAAGACTGCATTGTACCCTGCTTCCTCCGGTGGGCGGTATTGCTATTGTCCAGCATCTCGAACTCAATCTTCCTTCCTTGAAGCTCCAGTTCACTCACTCCTTTATATCTGCTCTCGTTGCCTATTTTGCTAATTCAGGCACCAGCACCATACCACAAGCAAGCGAGCAGCGCAAATCCTCATTGGATAGATCCATCACGCACGGGATGGTGGTGAGCCACAGTGAGGAGGCATTTTCGGAACGAGACACTGAAACCTGTTCCGATTCCGACGAAGGAATTTGGTTCGGGGCCTCCAGAAAGCGTCCACCATTTTCAACGTTGCCAGGGACAACAAACCGCTCACAAGAGCTGCAAGATGATCAACTTTCCATCATGAAAAGTCGTGCTAGCGCGAATTGGACGTTTCTCCTCGTAAAAATTCCCGGCAATAAGCATTGCCTCAGTTTTCAGGTATTTTGACATCGTCTACAAGAGCAATGACCATCATCACTCACCCGGGCTTATCAGGGTCCTAAAAAGCGAAATTTATATGATTTACGTGAATTTCGGTTTTTCCAACCGTCGATCGAGTATCGCAATAAGGCAGGTACCTGGACGGAATTGTTATTGTCCATCAAAAAAGGTGAGTCAAGTAAATCAATTCGACGAAAAAAGGCCCACACTGATGGTGGTTATTGCCAGATTTCATACGAGCGGCTATTAGAGCCAATGGATCGGCAATTCTCAAAGAAGCTGTACGCCAGGTAGCTAGACGAGCCTCTAGCGAGAGTTTTATAGAAAAGAAAACGACCGACTCCGGTAGTCAAGAAGTCGATGTAGATTCAGCTTCCCAGCTGACATTAACAGCCACCACCACAGCAGAAGAGCTGATCACGTATCTGGAAAATCTGGCGGACAGCTCGGATGAAGAAATGGAATCCCATAGCGTCCAAGGAGACAACTACGAAGATTACGATGACGAAGAAGCTCTGCAAGACGATGCAGTATCACTTCACTCTGTTGATATATTATTGCGTGAGACCGAAAATGAAATATCCGACGAAAATACTGATATCAACTCACACCCCGGCTTGATACGCAGGTAGCCGAAAAAAACCCTCTAATTAACAATGTTTATCTTACACTAATTTTCTAGGTTCTGGACACGGTTACGCAAAAGACCACATATTGTCAAGAATTCAAGTTGTGAGCCGCCAAGGACGTCATCCGATGAAACTCCTAATACAGCGAGTGATGAAGAAATTAACTCACTGCGACGCACCAATAGAAAAAGGAGTTCCTCCAGTGTAAAAAGCCTGGTGGTTCAGAAAACCGATATGACATATTTGGAAAAAGTAGCTAAAGAAGAGTATGATATGAAAGCTCGGATGCTCTTGGGAAGAGGCTACAGCGGATCAAGAGCGGGGATACAGACGCAAACGGACTTGGAAAAATGAGACGCGCCGAAGCCAGGCAATAAAATAAATGAAATTTTTCGCGATGCCAGACGCAGTAGCCTTTTTTTTTTTTTCAATTCGCGTACCATGTCTTTGGGACAGAGGAAGAAAGTGGCTCGTACAGCTTACTTGATCTTTACAAAGAAACATGGTCTGCATGTGCAAACGGATGCCACTCGATTCCTTGAGGAACTGTTGCAGGACGATCCCAACATTCCCGAGACAATGGAAAAGATTGTGAAATCGTACAAGAAACGCTACGCGGGTTCGTAAAGCAAATGTAAACCTTTCAAAAGTGCAACATTGGTAATTGAAGAAAATATTACTCCAGATCAGCAGGCTATTATTGTGGACAAGGCGTCTTTGCAAGCAGTCGTCACTTCTCTACAAACGTCAGCGGCTACGGCCGCAGTGTTGACACCATTCAACCGCGAGGATCAGATTCAGGAATCACTCCAGGACATGACCATTAGTGAACGTTCAGAACCCGTCAATGTCCACGACCATTTCCACGTTGTAGAAGCCTTTGATATGCCCAAGTTGCAATACGATTACCACAGCAAAGCGTTCATCAAGTGAGTTTGCCGGTTCTCCCATGCCTGCATAGATCGCTTAACTAACAGAATCATGACATGGTGGACGTTAGAGCTTCTCAAAAACCGAGTATACTGGGATCAGCTATTGATAAAGGCGACATGTACCGCGATCGGTTCAATTTAGTCAAGCAGCGATTATTGCGAAACGAGAATTTCTGCCCTTCTTCGATGCATTTAATGGAGCAGGATGCGTATCTCAAAGTAGGTTACACGATCCACCACGGAATGATTCTACGGGGGGAAGGGAAAAACTCACCTGCAGCCAAAACGTAGATCACTCCGATTAAAGCCTTGATTGGTCATGATGAGGAACGGTTCTTACTTTTCGGCATGTTGACGCAACTGGAAGAAGGCAAATTCTTTCTCGAAGACGAAGACGCCAATATCGAATTAAACCTTTCTCAATGCGTAAATATCTCTGTCATAGGGTGTCATTCTGTTTGTTGATTTGGGGCCATTGTTTTTCACATAGGCTTACGGTCCCGGTTTATTCACTGACAATGCTTTTGTGCTTGCGGAAGGAGTGTTTGGCGAAGATCATGTATTTCATGTAAACGATATTGGTTTTCCTCCTGCTGAACGCCGCGACATGTCCGAGTAAGTACACTTTATCACCTCAATATACCCAACAGCAATATTGACCGTTAGAGTAGCACATTGTTCTCGCACATGGATTTTATGGGTTTACCAAGACCATTGGTAGAACTAGTAAGTACCTTGAGATTCCCGGGGCCGTAGACATGTACTAACAGTGACGGCTAGGATTTATTGAAAGATGAAGAAGAGGCACACAATGAAATATCGTTTGTGATATTGTCAGAACTATGGCTTGATCAACCCAAGGTGAGGTGACAAAAACAAGGAATGAATCATGGGCAGAAAGAGTTAATCATGAAGCCTCACGACTCAACAGGTGATGAGCGCATTATACCAAATGTTTGAAGGATATGCGAATGAAAAAATTCCACTGGCGTTCATTCTCATTGGTAATTTTACGAGCCAAGCAGTGACCGCCAATGGGATTGAATCACGGCAATACAAAGGTAAGCGAGACGGTGGAGATAACCATGAGTTTGTGAGTGCAGTCCTGACCAATGTTCGTTCACCAGATAATTTTTCGGCGTTTGCTGATATGGTGGCGGAGTTCCCTGCACTGGCCACTCATTCCTACTTTGTCTTTGTTCCGGGTTCGCGAGACCCTTGGGGTGGCAACATCCTGCCGCATCCTCCTATTCCCAATCTTTTCACATCGCGTGTCAAGCAGAAAATTAGAAAAGCCATCTTTACAAGCAATCCATGCAGGTATGTACCTTGCGTATTCATCTCGCGTGAGACAAGTCCCATGCAGTTGAATACTCATTAACCTACTTTGCCAGGATCCGATATTGCACGCAAGATATCGTCATTTATCGTGAGGATATCCTGAATCGAATGTGGCGCAACGTCCTTTTGCGTCCTAATATCGAAGAAGAAAGCGATCCTGCAAAACATGTAAGTGCTCGAGCGAAAAAAAAAGCGGGTGTTGTAACCGGGCGCTGATGTCTCGAGTTTAACAACAATAGCTTATCCGTACACTTCTGGACCAAGGCCATATGTGTCCTTTACCCCTCAATATTCGTCCCATCTATTGGGCGCATGATCACGCCCTGCGACTGTACCCACTACCTCACACGGTAACTATCTTATAAAATGGACGCCAATCCTTTAATGACGATTATAAACTTCTTGTTGCATAGCTTGTTCTGGCCGATCAATGTGATAATTACGGTATGACGTATGAAGGCACTCACTGTATCAATCCAGGCAGTTTTCCAAACTCTGATTTTGTTTGGAGCGTCTATTATCCCAGCACACGAACCTCCGAACGACGGTAAGTATAGAACAAGCGTGAAAAATTGGGCTCCAAGTATCGATCATTAAATGCATGATTTCTTTTTTACATAGACAACTATCATAAGGCATATTTCAGTACATATCGTGATCATGTTTATTTTCTTGTAAATAGAAGTTTATTTCATCAATAAAATCCTTGGTTCTCCTACCATGGAGCATTTCTACAGCGGAACCATGCGTCCAATGAAAAGCGACGCGGTTAAGCTTTTTTTTATTTTTTTGTCATCGCCTGACTTTTTTATTTTTTTCTCCACGGACTTTGGAGGAGTTATTTTTTTTTTTTTTTTTGCTTGGCTGCCAATCCTTTCTTGTGTTACGTCCGGTATTTTTTTTCTCTTCTTCTCATTTCCTCCTTTTGCGGATGTCATGTTGTATACGACGGAGGACATTGCTCAGCATAACACGAAAGCATCATGTTGGATCGTAGTGGATGACAAGGTATACGACGTGACGGACTTTGTGGGCGATCATCCCGGTGGAGAAGACATTCTACTGCAGTTTGCAGGCACCAACATTACTTCGGTACTCAAGGATCCCCAATTCCAAGTCCACTCGGATGCAGCTTATGATTTACTGCAAGAATACTGTATCGGCACCGTCCATCCTGATTCTGTCACCATGAAAAAGGTGGTGGACAAGCCGATATACACGAAATCGAAACAGGACCGCGAATTCTTGGATCTTCGTAAACCGCTGTTTCCTCAGTTATGGAACGCCACTTATTCCAAAAAGTTTTACCTTGAACAGGTCCACCGGCCACGGTACACACCTTACTATGTTCCTTACTTCCCGGATCCTCTGTTGGATGTCTTATCGCGTACATCATGGTATATGGTACCAACCATCTGGTTACCGTTTGTCGTGTATCAACTATACTGCTCGCTGCATGCCCCGTTTGGCGCAGTATCCAGCACATTCACTGCATTTGCTGGAGGCATTCTGTTCTGGACCCTGTTCGAATACGTAATGCATCGATTTTTATTCCATCTTGACGATTTATTACCGGATCACCCTATTGCGTTATTACTCCATTTTACTTTGCACGGCATTCATCATCATATGCCCATGGATAGGTAGGCTTACGACGGCTTGGCATGGGAGACCAAGGCAGGCGGTAACCGTTTGTCTATTTATAGAATGCGCTTGGTGATGCCACCCGCGTTAACCGCCATCTTGAGTATTCCCGTCTTCAGATTAGCCCATGGGTTATTTATTCCCACCATTGCCTATGGCGTGGTAGCCGGTGCTTTCTTTGGCTACGTTTGCTACGACATGGTTCACTATTACCTTCATCATGCGCAGGTGATCGAGACGCACTTCAAGGAAATGAAACGATACCATCTCGCTCACCACTACAAAGACTACGAAAGTGGATTTGGCATCACGTCAAAAATATGGGATTATATCTTTGGCACCGTCTTGGTTTATGACTAGCAATATCCAAGAAAAGATGATCATCCATTTTGGGTTGAAATCTTTCTTTGTGAACGTTTCTCTTTTAATTTCCTGTATACTTTTCAACGACTTTTTGCATTATCTTTCTGAACAGTTTTTCCATCGTTATCTCCCTTCTCTTTGTTTTTCGCCAATCATAAATAATTTGTTTCAAAACCGCCGTCTGCGAGTTCTGTGTGGATCCACAGAACATGCATGTTGTGTCACGTGGGTTCTCAAATCGGGCGCACTGAGATAACCGCCTTTGGGGAAAGGGTGGTTGCTTAATCTAGTCTCTTTGAAATCGTTGCCATTACCTGATCCATGAGTTTTGACCACAATCCATCAGGTCCTACTGCGAGTAAAAATGGATCTTTACGAGCGCTGCAGTCATCCATCCTGAATGAAGCCAAAGATCGATGCGATTTCAAAAAAGCAGAAGAATTGTTCCTAGAATTGGTTCATCAACTCGACATACCGTTGGCGAGGCATGCAGCGGCGATTGAGCATCGGGAATACACCTTTGGTGAAATTGTTGCATTTCAGAGAAGTATAGCGACGATGGTGCGTTATGCTCCGAATGCGCAACGGGCGATTGATTACTTCACTTTTTTGATGCGACAAAGAACGACGGCGCTCCTTGACGACGACATTCTGCAGACATGCAGCATCAATATGATTTACGTGTATTGTCATGCGGGCGAAGAATACATGGGAAAGGCGAAGGAAATACTGGAACTGGCTTTGGCTTCCTTCGCAGCCACCAAAGCAGAAAAATGGGACGATCAATCAGCCACGGAAGAGGTGCTCAAATCCGTATCCATGCCCGTATTGAAATATTTTAGGTTGAAGATATCGTTTGACCGATACGAACTGCAACCCTATCGCCCACCTCCACGCTCATACCAATCCACCACGTCATAAATCCTTGTCCCCACAGACCCCTTGACCAATTTGCGATCCAACATTAGAATATCATCTCTCCATTATACCTGCGCTTTTACATATTCAAAAAAGAGACCTTTTCCATGCATTTGTGATATCTTTCTGCGTCATCATGTTATACCAGCCGTGCTGTTGATGTATGGACTCTGAAGATGTTCGCTACGACTTAATATCTTGTTTATTCTCTTATGAATTATTGAATCTGGACTTTGGAACAAACGCTTGGGAATGCAACAGCAGTATACTCCTAGCAAGCCGTGCCCACTTGAGCACTATCAAAAAAAGAATCACTTGGTTACTTTTCCAAACTGTATCTGACTACAGTATCAAGCTGAAATTACCCGTTTGTGAAGAAGTGGATACCCGATCCTAATAGCACATACAATAAGCGCACCATGACCATTATTTAAGGTGGTCGAGATGCAACAATCAGGCCTGCACTAAATATCAGATCCAGTATTGTTATCATAATCAGTTCGTCCAGCAAAAATTCTTGCACTGTAGACCATCAGGCATGAATTACTGTTGATTGGGAGAGAACACAGTTTGACCAAGCTGAAAGGAAAGCTCACATGTGTCAGAAAAGAGAGGGAATAAGCAACCCACGTCAAACCAAAAAAGGGAAGGCAAAACCGGAATTGGGGCATGCAAAGAAGACAAATAAAACATAGAAGCGAAGAACTAGGGTGCACTTGTCAAATGGAACATGATCTGGGAACTATCAGATATTCAATGCCTGCTTTGAATATAGCATACGTTTTCTTTTTCTGTTATGATAGGCTATCAGTATGACTCGATTCATGCCATACAAAGGAATCAAAGGAATATTTTGCAGAGTGAGATCAACCTCGGATTTATCATGTTTATCGTCATTTCAATTCAAAGGGTATACATTTTGAAGACTGATTATTTTGGGATGTTTATTTTACAGTGTTTTCTTCTCCCTCCCTCCCTTCCCCCCAAACCTATCTTGGGGTTTATGGTTAAAAATAGCTGGATGATAGCATATGCATTTGTAGGCTTTTTGTTGAAAGAGCTTCATCGGAGTTGTATCCAATGGGTTTTCTTTCTTTTTTGTGCGTGCCCAAAAAAAAAAAAAAAATGAACCCACCAAAGCACAAAAAAAAGGTCGTGTAACTCTGGCCACGTTCACTTTCGTTGTGACTCCCCCGTCGTGAATTCGGTGTGTTCTCTTTCCCTTGTTTAGTGACCATGACCAAAGATAAATCGTCCACACCAAAATTCTGGAAGAAGCTGGGTCTGGGCAAAAACAAGACGTCGCACTCTGGTATGCAATACTTGTAGACTCGATAGCCCAAGCTATATACAACCTTAACTCATGATTCTTTTGTTCCAATATTGTCATTTGAAAAAGCCAATGCGTTACCCACGATTAGCTCAACGCCCAATATGCATTCGCCTTCGGCGCAGGCCGCAGATAGCGAGTCGATCAAAAGCAAACGCTTCAGGTACGGTTTCAGATTGTCACATTACTTCATTGGACTTTACCTATCCACATGTCAGAGCACTAATGACCCACTTGTACCCCGACTCCCTGCCCGCCCGGGATCCTACAGTACACTATTTCACCCTCAGAAACGAGCCAGTACCCAGTCGTTGCGAAAACAACGGAGCGATTCGATTCGCCCGCCGTTGCCCGTGTCGATGAGCACCCCGGATATCGAAAATATAGTAGCTCAAACGACGGGCAAAGAGAGTGATAATACGATTCCGACAGATATACCAAAACACGTGAAGCAATCTGACAATGGTACGTTGGAATTTCCTTAATTTGGTGATGCAGAACGATGATCATTGACTGAATTTTAGTGCCTGACATTGAATCAGCAGCACCACCGCGTAGCACCTCGAGTGCTACTGAAACTCCTTCAGGGCCACAGCCCATGCCATCCAAAGATGACGCTCATAACCGAAATTTACAGAATGCATTATCCATGGATCAGCTTCCTCGATCTGTTACACATACTTCCGTCTCTTCATGCGCCGTCCCAGATTCTTCAGCGCCTAACAAGTCACTGAATCGAACTCAAAGTTCCGCTACCTCCATCGATACAACTCATACCAAAGCTACCACTACCTCTTCATACCATGAACCCACCCCTGAAACGGAAAAATATAATCCAACAGAATTCGACCATGACGACGACGACACCGTCGAACAATTGAAATCGGAACTAGAAAAACAACGATACATTGTCCGTGTATTACAAGGACAAAAAGAAGGTATATTGATCAATTGACATCCAAGATTATATTATACATTCGGCTCATCCATATAAACTTAGCTGTGACCAAAGACCTCGACTATTTCAGCCAAGTGATTGACGAAATAACAGAGGAAAAAGAAGCATTAACAGAAAAGTATAATGAAGAAAAAGTGAGTATTGGTTTACAATGGTATCCCAGCCCTATTAACTTAAAGATTGTTGTGAAAAATCAAGTCGAAAAATCAAACAAAGGAAGAGGATCTGAATATTCTGCTTGAAAAGTTAAAAGCGAGCAATAACAATGCACGGGAGAAAGCATTCGAGGCAGAGCGATCGAAACTGGCATTGGAGGTAACTGATTCAATACATCTTGCACGTTCAAAAATATTGACATGTTTGGATGCAGAATGTACAAGCGGAAGCTCTTAAAGAAATGACGAATTTAAAATCGCAACTGAAAGAGCGTGACTCACAGATCTTAGAACTCAAGGTACATTATCGATTTTTATACCGGTCTTTATGCGAGATGATTCACTAATTCATTGATATATCGATTTTGATTATGGGTTTATTGTTACAGTCTGAATTAGGTCGAGCACAAGATCGCATACAGATGCTGCAACAAACAATGGAAGCGTTACTGAGATCCCAATCACAGCGCGAACCGTTGGAAACGAAAGAGAATGCGCCGGCTATCTCTCCAGTGCAAACTATTGCAGCGGAAGAAGAAACCCCTACCTTACAACCGCCGACCTCTGAACACGGTCCAAGAGAAGATTTATCAAAATCGCAAAAGTCTTCATCGAGATCTCTGTCACAGCCAACACCAACTGTTTCTCATCAGGATGATCTTGACGAACAGTTAAAGCTATTAACCGAAGAAAAAGAAAAGGTAAGCTTCAATGCATAGCGAAGCGAAGTGAATCGAGGAGGCGATATCTGATGATACTGGGCATAGTTACAAAACGTGTACAGCAAGATTCCGTTATCTGGTGGCGGCCCAATGTCGCGCAGAAGAAAGGAAGAACTGGAAGAAATGCTCGATGAAGTAGACTGTCAACTGAGCAAAGTGAAGCAAAAGATTCGAAGATCCTAGACCTGTCTGCTCTGTCCCTCAGCACCAATGAATACTGTTTTTTACTATCCTGTGTTTTTTTTTCTTTCTTTCTTTCTTTCCTTCTTTCTCCCATCACTGCATTTTCCAGACAAAGAAAACCCATATATACACATATCATATGTTTTATCCATTTTTTTAAATCACACAAAAAAACCACATGCTTTCTCCCAAGGCAAGCCCAACAACATCAATACACACAGATCAACAATTCATAAAAACAAAAAAGGCCACTGGCATTTGTGATGACGATTTTTAATGGATGATTGATGAACAATCCCTGACTCAATGACCAAGAGCAGCAATGGAAGCGTTGACGTCCTTGATGGCATCAGCCTTGGAGTTGACAGCCTTCTTTTGGATGGCAACAAGGGCAGCCTTGCGCTTGTAGTAGGCAGCGGACTTGGCCAAACGCTTCTCTTCGAGCTTGGCAACGACGTCCTGGTACTTCCAGCCGACTTCGTGAGAGATGCGACCGAGGGTGGTGTACTTGCGACCAGGCTTGAGTCTCAAGACACGGAGAGCATCGGGAACGACCATGCGCTTGACGCGGTCATAAGGAGGAGGGCAACCTTCGAACAACTTGATGCGGTCCAAAGCGGCAGCACCACGAGCGGTCTTGTGAGGGATCATACCGCGGATAGCCTTGTACAAGATGCGGGAAGGAGCGCGGAAATGATAAGGACCCTTGTTGGGGTTAACAAGACAACGCTTGTGAAGGTAGGCATGGTACTTCACTAATTTGGAGAATCCATAATTAATATTGTCCTGATATTCTGATCTCTTTTTTTGACCCTCCCTGTCATAATATTTTTTTTAGTTTTTTTTTTTTTTCACTTACACTTGTTGCGGAAGAATTCGCCCGAGACGTTGAGAGCTTCACAGCGAACAACGACGACCTTCTGGCCATTGAGAGCCTGCTTGGAGATGATGGAAGCGAGACGACCGAGAAGATGACCCTTGCCATCAATGACAACAACCTAGATACAATAAATAAAATATGAGCAAAACTGTATTTATAAGAGGGAACAGGAGTTTTCAGGAATGGTGGCTGTTGTCATGGGGGGCTTGGTAATGTCCCATGGACAAGAAAAGCCAAATTTCGTCGTTGGTGAAACGGAATGACAATGCTGCATTCCATCACAACAGAGTGGAAAAACCGACAACGGTAAGTATGGGAAGAAAGTCAAGTACCTTTTCAAAAGTCGACATTTTTCTTGTGAGCAGGGAAAGAGAAGGAACTCTTTCATTTTTCGGCCAACATTGTTTTTTTTCTGTCTCCTCGGCACTCGGTGGCTTAGGTCATTCAGACCTTCACCCACCGCACACTTTTTTTTTTACAGTTTTTTTTTTTTCTTTTTTTTTTGCGCCTCCGCTCAAATGTCGGTCGATTTTGTAAGCCCACTGACCACATGATCCGATCCAAATTCATGCTATTTTTCTTTGACAAGATAATGATGTGTCGGTTGTTCTTTCGATCTTAAATATCAGGAACATATTAATAACGTAGTCTCTTATTATTATCGCCAATGTTAAGAGTTGGGTTAGAGGACTGTTCATATATTAGCGACCAAAACGATTGTAAAAACAAAAGCATGTGAACAAGTTATTCCAGCCAGTTCATTGGTCATTATCCAAAGCCGATAGGGCAGTTAAAGCAAGGGGGGAGAGAGGCGTGAGCAAATGGTTTGGTTCGGGGAGAGGGAGAAGGGGTTGATGCACACAGCCTATGGACAGCGCTTTGCACCGGTCGGATCCAATGAGCTGAGCAGGAACCAAATCAATCATCATGAGTGTGACGGTTTTTGTCTTTGCTGTTTTTTTTTTTTTTCTGGCGCATGCGCCCACCACTGGTCTCAATGCTTCCCTTTTCCAGCTCTCACCCACAGAAAAGTAAGACATTATTAAAAAAAATTGGTGAATTTTTTTTTTTTTTATCTTCCTTTTTTTTTTATTACTTTTTCTTATATTTTTTATTACATTGTTTTTAAGTTCCAAAAAACCATGTTTTAACACGAACGTGCACTTGCTTTAATAGTCAATACAGATATGCAACGACAGAGACCTAGTCCACCTCCGAATAGTAACCAAATCTCTGCTATGGATGCACTTAGTTTGGCGTCATCGTCTTTCTCCTCATCTCATCCGCAAGGCCCTTACTCTCAGGTCATGTCCGCCACTAATAATCAGACAAACTACGGCCATCCAGTCATGCTCCCCCATCCTCTGGTAGAACACTATCAACATCAACAGCAACAGCAACCGCACCCTCATCCTCCACCTCCACCCCCGTCCATCCAAAATCAGTATTCAACACCACCCAATGACAACCGTAAAATTTATGCCTGCCAGCAACCCGGCTGCAACAAATACTTCAATCAACCATCAAGTCTGCGATTACACGCAAGGTTCGTTTCTGCTCCTTTACCGTATTTTGTTTTGCAGTCTGGGCCTGGCGCGAATACAGCACATCTTTTGATCACTCACATTTTTATGCTGTCGGCATTTTATATGTTTCGTAGGACGAACCATGGATCTGAAAAATTACCCACCACTTCCGCTCGATCACAAAACGGTGGTGGCCGTCCCTATGTAAGTCGAAATGATCTTAATGCAGGAGAATTTTTGCGCTGAAGACGATCGTTTTTAATTCCTGGAAACTTGGCTCTGTTTTTTGTTATACTTACAGATATGTCAATACGCCGGATGCGGAAAGTCCTTTACACAATTCGGCAATCTCAAAGTACGTATATGGATTTTTCGATGTATCGGTGTTCCTGTCTACGATCATGTCCAAGTAATTAATGCTAATTGGTCGTTATTATTACTTTTTTATCTTGTCACAGACACATTCGAGAAAACATACTGGTGAAAGACCTTATCAGGTATGTTCTTGGTTACACCCCCACAATGTGGAAGAAAAAGGGGGATGGTGCCATTTCTTTTCTTGGGACGATGGGAGAGTGCACAAGCTCTCGATGGAAAGGACGATGAACTGAATGTCCATTGTTACGGATAGTGTTCATATGAAGGATGTGAGAAAGCGTTTACACAACTGGGCAATCTCAAAACACATGAAAAAATCCATTGGGCTGTAAAACCTTATTTGTGCCATTTCCCAGGTTGTGGTAAAGGTTTCACACAGCGGGGTAATCTCAAGGTATGGTTGAAAGGCAAAGAAGAAGAAGAAGAAAAAAGAGTTTGTGTATTCATGTGGATCCAACTGTCATCTTTGCAGACCCATCAAATCAAGGTGCATCAATACGAACCATAAAAATATTAAAACGCCCGTAGCAAATTAACCACGAATTTAACGACGTAATGAACATTTTGGATATACCTACTTAACCTACTGCACACCATGCTAAGCAACAACAAGATGCCCTCACTTAGTGCTGGACACTCCCTTTTCTCCCATTTGATAATACAGCGCAAGGTGGTTCTTTTTCTCTCTTTTTTTATACATATTTCATTTCTATTTTTCTTTTCGTTTCTCATTCTCTTTCGTCGTGCATCATTGGTCTTTTGAGGAAGTGTTCACAAAACCCAAGTAAAAAAAAACCGAAATATTCATTTTATTCCTTATTTACTACTACTGCTCCATTTCTTTTGATTCGCTGCCAACATTCTGTTCCTTCAACAGAGCATCAATTTCAGCCGGTTTGTATAATTCATACTTGACTTTGCCGTCAATCAAACGAATCGTAGCGAATTCCACTGTATAACCAACCCGCAATAAGTTAGTTTTTCGCATTCATTCTTGGTTTTTGTCAAAGATGCTCCCACTGCAAGCGAGAAAACAAGAAAAAATGATGGCCCCATCCTACTTACATTTCTCACTGTTCAACGTTGTGCTATCCATTGTCTTGCTTAACACCTTGACAGCAAGCGCCTTGGCTTCCTCCAACGTCATGTCTTCTTTGTGATCTTGCTTCAAGATACTCGACGCGCTCGCATTATTGGCACCGATACATGTTGCTTTCCATCCACCATAGTTGCCAGATGGATCAGAGTGATATAATTGGAAACCGTAATGTTCATCATAACCCGCAAAGATGAATGATACACCAAAAGGACGTAGACCACCGTACTGGGTATAGCCTTGTTTCAAATCGCACAATCGCTGAACTAATTGCTCTACCGGAATCTCTTCGTTGTACGTAAATAGATATCGCTGTGCGCTTGCTCGGGCCCAGTTGATCAGAATGTTGGCGTCAGCAGTAATACCAGCTACACCACAAATCATATTGCTACAAAAGAAAAGCCACATCATTAGACCCATTAGCCGGCACAGTTTCGTGTTTTCCATCCACGATTGGTTCATGGGTAGAACTTACTCGTTCAACTTGTAGATCTTTTCCGACGATGTCGTTTGCTCCAGCAATTTAGACGTCACCTTCTTCTCTGCTGCTAGCACAATACCGTCTTTTGACAGAATACCGAGCGCAATGCCGGCATGCGAGATGGCCTCCATTGCATATTCCACCTGGTATAAACGGCCTACACGTAACTCTCAGAGTTACAACACGAAAATATGCCACATGCCGCAATCTGTTTAAAGTACCTTCAGGTGAGAAGATAGTCGTCCTTGAATCGTATCTGCGAGACATCGTTACAAAGTGTATATAACGTAAAAAGAAACCGAAATAACTGAGAATTCAGCTGACAATGTGCCAGAAAAAAAAAAGGGCCACGTCGCCTCTCAACTTGGAATGGTGACGTTATGGCCATATTTCAACTCCCGCCACAAGCAAGCGGGATTATTCTTAACATGAAGTCTGCACACAGAGTGATTGATGTTTTCACTTTTACCGACTGTCGCTTCGATTTGGATAACGAATGCATAAATAACAAATGCCATGAATCAATGTGTAGTGTAGGAAAATGTGATCCTCAACCACAGATTTATATTTACAAAGTACAAGTGAATATCATATACCAACAGGATGACCGGGCGCAAACAAAGGTTGCTCATATTCGCTTGAAAACTCGCGTCACTCTCCCATCTTGATAAAAACTGAAGTCTGCAGAACTTTCATCAAAATAATGAACAGGTCAATAATGGACCCAGTAATAGCATGCCATTAATATTACCGCTTGTTATAGAGTCTTGTTGAGTCTGGTTGAGTTTACGGCACCAACAAATTAGACCTTTGTTTAGACCATCATACTATGTCAACTTACAGCTGGTGATAAAGCGGTTCCCAGTGAGTCGCTGCTCATTTCACAAGGAAGAGAAGCCGTGCTTGCGGTGATCTTGTTGGTACTTCGAAATACGTAAATATAAGAAACTCTGCCAATTAAGTGAGGGACGGAAAATAGCGAGGTGATTTTATTGACATGATTGGGTAATGATGCTAGTAGTCTACTCGTGTCTTTGATGGATAGCGCACATGTTTTGACCTACTTTTGTCATAAAGATTTTTAAGGGCGGTTCGGAGGATGTTGGTAGAAGCAAATATTCATCTTCTGGGGTCAACGGTGACGCTTCCTGGCTGCTACAGGACGCATCGTCTCTGGCAAGGTCTTCGTTGCTCGACGTAGTAATTCGAGGCGGTCGCTGGATGAGCTCGTCGTACTTCTCTCTGTAACTGGCCGAAAAACTCCACTCATCTATTGAGCATGAATGTCATGAGAATTGACAGGCTCTTTTTTGTTTTCGATCGCCTGCGCCATACCTTCACTTTCATTACTGTCAAATGAGTTTCTGTAATCGTAATACTGCTGCTCAGAGGTACGCTGCAAATGTTTGCGTATATCCAATTCAGGCCTGGAAGCTAGGTAGCGTGCCAGGTTGTGTGGGCTAGCTGCTTTTCGGACAAAAGGATGCGCCAGCGCTTCTTGTGCCGACATTCGGGTCTCTGAATCTTTGATCAGGCAGCGGTCCAAAAAGTGATGAAAGTTGGAGGACCCAAGGTACGAACACCCAGCTTCACTTAAAGTAGGTGCCGGATCGTCAATAATGGCAGTAAAGATCTACATAAACCGAACACTTAGATCATCATCATTTCTCATTTTTTTTTCATAACAAATTGTCCAATTACTTTTAATGGATCTTGATAAGAAAATGGTGGTGCGCCCGAAGCCAATTCCAACGCGGTAATTCCAAGGGACCAAATGTCAACTTTGGTATCATAAGGATGGTGTAAAAGAATCTCTGGAGCCATCCAACAAGGGGTACCAACAAATGAACGTCGCGCTGCCTTTTTGGTCTGCCGAGTGGCGCCCGAGGCCGCATCATCTGTCGAATACGTTCGTCCAGGAACACGTAGATAGGAATTGCTTCCTTGTGCATCGGTTATTTCTGTGAATGTATCGATAGGGTTTTCTTGTATTGTGGCGGGAGAAATATGAACCGGTGAAGGGAATTCGTGTTGTTGGTGGGAGGCAATAGGAACCAAAGAGGGCAGGAGGAGCATGGACTCGAACGAGTCATTTAAAGACTCAATAGAGTTAGTGAATATTTTCGAGCGGTCCGATGGACGACGATCTGAGGGACGACGAGCGATCCTATCGTTTTGAACCGGCGAATACATCATTAGCAAATGGTTGCTGACACCGAAATCCGCTAGCTTCACTACGCCAGTGTCCCAATCCAGTAGCAGATTGGCCGCTTTGACGTCCCGATGAACTAAACCGTTTTGATGAAGATATTCCAAGCCGAGGGTCACTTGTCTTACGATGCTACAGAGGATGACGAGTAGATTATCAAATGTGAGCATCTTTGACACTTTTTCCTGAAAGCAAAGCTTGTGCTACTGACCATGCAACCAAGGATTCTGCTAAACCTTCATGGTACGAGCGGACTAACAAATCCAAGCAGGACCCTACATTTGGTGGTTTAGTATCGATGATTTTGTATAACCCTGCACAGTTACAGTAATTCATGGCAACTAATCCTACCAGCTGACATGATTGGTGTAACAATACATAATTGGGATGAGTACACAAAGCTTTGATGAACAGGCAGCAGATGTTTATGGCGGCATAGGGTCATGATCTGGATTTCTTTACGAAGCGCTTCAAGGCGAGCATCCCCATCCTCAAACCCATCCAACCGCTCAAGGTTCACGGTCTTGATGGCGATCATTGACCGCGTGGGTTTATGGATGGCCGAGAAGACACGAGCCGTGGCCCCTGAACCTATTCTTGAATGTTTAGTACACAGCTACATCGCCCAATGTCTAGAGAATTTATGTCGGGACGATATCACACCAATGGTTTTCACAATCTCATAATCATCCATCGATGAGGAAAAGTCGGACGTCAATGGGGAAGGGCGGTGGGGTGAAGCACGGAACGGCAGAGTCCATTTGGAAACGAGATCAGATAACGACCGCTGCCTTGAAAGTGCGACAACCGGTCTGGGTTCGCCTTCCGTGCCTGCTGAAGTGGTTCGTCTGGCTCGTCGTCGAATAGCCGACTGGAACATCTGGTTCAATGATTTTTGTCTCGAAAGACTAAGCTCCCCGTTGGCATGCACATGCTGAATGGATGATGAAGACCCCGCACGACTCATCCGTCAAAATACGATAAAATGAAAACTTGCGACAAAAATGTTCTATATAGAAAACGGGAAAGAGAGACGAACATTGCTATACAGCAAGTTTTATAGATGATAAAGTGTCAATAAGTAATTTATTGCTGGCTCCAAATAAAGTTAATTAAGATCAGAACTCAAAGTGGCATTACCAGATGACGAGACCTTTTTCGAAAAGGAGGGCCAAAGTCATACGATGAAAACTAGCTCATATCAAGGCCAAATTAAGGGGAGGTCGAATCCAGCACTTCATTCGCGGGGAGCAATGTCGCTTCAAACGAAGAAAAAACTCGTTCCTCCATTGAACGAACAACGGAAAAGCATAAATATCTAGTTAGTGGCTGAACCAATTTTCTTTTTGACAAGGTTGCCGAATTGGTGCGTTTTTCAACCACAGGATCTGGTGTCAATTATGTGCGTTTCAAAATCCGATTCCCACATCATTTGACAGACAACCTACATTTGTACAGAAACGGCTAGCTGTACGTTACCCGATGGGTCCATGCTACGGTAGCAGGATCGCAGTTCTATTTTTGTTAGACGTCATAGTCAGACTTTTTTTTCTTTGGTTCCATTCAAAGAGTGGTATGAAGGACAGGACCAGTGGTCTGGATTTTGGGTCGGCGTTTTCATAAATTACAAGTAATGTCATCTATAATTGACGGTTCCCATTAAATAGATCGGCAAGAGTACAAATTTATTCTGGACCGTGCCATGCTTCCTTTTGGGCCGCCGTGGTACTATCGAGCTCAATAGGTGCTACGCATGTCGATCCTTTCGGTCAGTGCCATTCGCCTACGTTGTGTTTCCGAGTTTGCCGTAGCTTTACGCGGCGCTTCTGGCAGCACTAGAACTCTGTCGTAAACATCCTAGTAAAGATTCAGCTCATCCTACCAAGATCCCAAACGCTATGCTCCATATAAAGATCCAGAAACCATGTCTCCCTTAATGAGTCGCTGTGGTCTTAATTTGACGTTTACTTGATTTAAGGAGATGTCTTATTTCACAGCGTACCATTAACTTCCTCTCTTCACAGAACTTGCCTTGGTTCACCTCCAAGTAATAAAAGTATTTTTATTCTTCAGAAATCAAATATGTTGCACCAACTATATAGTGAACGTCCCATGGACCTTCTAATCTGTTTGCTTTATTTAACTTTTGATAAAACCTCGAATTCTGGGGTTTAACCAACGATGTAAAGATATGTAAATAGACTTGAATGGGTTTCAGCAAATTTGTTTGGGATATTCATATCCATCAATTACAGATTCTGCAAAAGGTAACTTGAACGAAACCTACTGCAAGTACATTACCATATGAAAAGAAATAAATTCTGGTATAAATATCATATAGTATGGTATTCACTTCAAGGCAGAACCATCCATCCTTTCCATTCATCGCTACATGGAAAACGATGATTACCACTCATTTGACTGAGCATATGGAAGATAATCACAATACCCATCTAATACAAAAAGACATACCTTGTATGCACTTTGACACTTGTACCCGGGCACAAGTACGCTTTGGCATCATTGGCAGAACAATCAGCGACAATTTTTGTGAAATTGATCGCTGAAAATGTTAAAGCAGTGAATCTTTCGATCGTTTGGCTTCGAATTATGAAAGGTTATTCAAGTAAGGTTTGCTTTCCCATGCGATTCCAAAATACCATTCATTCACACTTTTTCAGAACCTGCTAAAAACGAAGGCCGAGAAAATTGCTCGTTATATTCATGATATCCAATGGTCTTGAAAGCTTGCCTGAGCGGCCGTCATCATCCGTTGAACGCACAGAATTGCTCAGTTCCACCATTGTTCGCGACTACCTTTTTTTTCCCTTGCCAGATGCTGTGGCCTATATTTTTTTTCACGATAAAGACTGAACAGAGATACAGGAATAAACGTCCAATAGGGGCGATTTATCGCAAATGCAGGATAGGAAGGCTAACACAGTGAACATAGACAATCTGAAGAAGAACTGGACAATGGACACTTTTTTGGATCATTAAATAAAAGGGATGCCAGCACTTCAATTTTTTTCGTTCTCTCCCTCACTCTCTCACTCTCTCTTTTTTTCACGCACAGTACTGGATACAATGCAAAGGTCTGGCGGCCTTTGTACAAGGAGATGAGATTATGGTAATAGCCGCAAGGAGGGACAACATAACACCATCGATAAATTGAAACATCTACTTTTTTTAGCGGACAGCGCAACGTTTCCACAGAACAGAGAGCGTCATGCTGTTCATCAAGTACAATCGCGCAACTAGCGACCTTTTAGCTCCTATGTGAAATATTCATAAAGAATAAAATAGAGTGAAAGTCCTAGAAGTGTTGTTTAAGTGAGTTGCGTTAATGATGTCTTTGAATAGCTTATGGGTTGTCTTTTGGTTTTTACAGTATATGGTTAAAAATTGATATTGAGGTTGAAAAGCTTGTGTTCTTTGCAAGTAGGAGGCACACACCACTTCGTTGTTTGTTGAATTTGCTTGGGAAAACGAAAGGCTAAAATGAGCAATAAAATTAAATGTACAATGTCACTTTCATCACACTTCCCCATTGGAAGCCATGGGTCGCGACGTGGCAGCGGCAGCCACACCAACACTGACACTGACACTGACATTGAGGACGAGAATGTGAATCACCCATTCTTTGTGTGTGATGAGTTGCACGGACGCTGACCTCTTGATGCTACAATTTTTTGGATGAGCAGTTCGAGAAGCTCTGAAGGATCGCGAGGCGGCCGAAAAAGGAGACGGTCTACCCACTTCTCATGCTGCAAGAGAGCAAAGCGTTGCTGATTGTTATGAAACTTTAGAATAGCAACAGCAATGAAACACAATGAAGCAGATAACTTGGTGAATCATCCAGTTCTCAGAAGGTCACAGTCCTCAGCCCACGGATTGCCTAATTCAAGTAGACGGTATAATACATTTGATCGTCATGTCGAGTTCTTAAACAGGCCAAAACACTGGTCAATTACATTATCATTATCATCCATGACAATTAGATGTGCTAAATGTTGATTATTTCCTTTGTTTTAGACCGTGAATGCAATCAACATAAAGATGGCAACTACCCGCTCATGAACCTCCTGGAACGCGCTCTCAGCATATTAGCTTGCCGCGTAGGTTAAAAACGGCTGAGTGATACGACTAAAAAACTGGATATTGCGGCTGGATACCGGCAGTGACCCTGTCAAGAAGCGATACGATAGCACCGATCGTAATTTGGCTGCGACTGTCAAACAGCTGACGGATCCATGGGCCAGGACAGACAGAACGATCATAGCTGATTCTTGGTTTGGAGCTCCGGAAATGACATCCATGCTTTTGGACCGTGGTGCTTCTCCCCCAAAAAAGCGGCCTCTCCTCTCTCGCAACTTGGCGTCCCATTTCCCTCATCAATACGGATGCCAAAATCTTTACGCGACTTATCAATTCTCGACTGATCACCCATTCCGACTCCCTGATCCACCGATATCAGACAGGGTTCTTACCCATCTGCGACATCGCCGACAATGATATACTGGTCCGGGTAATCATGGATCATGCCCTACAATTCGGTTCTTCCGACATCGGGCTTCTCCTAGATCAGGAGAAGGCTTTTAGCCGTTTTCATCCGGACTACCTCAAGGCCCTTCTTCATCATTTCCAAATTTCTTCCAATTATCATTTAACTGTATCCTTCGCCTCTTATCTTCCAGTCAATGGAGTCCCCGAATAAAGCATACGACAATACTGTATAAGTATGAAGGGCAACAACTGTTGAAGCACGCTGCCATTTAATGTGTTATTTCTCATGATGTGATAAAGCGTCGCTATTTTTTTTTTTTTTTTTTTTTTTTGATTTAAGAATATTTCTGGTCCATGGACCAATGCCAATATCCGATTTTTGGAACAATTTACAGCTTATACTGTTGGGAATCCAAAAAGTGATTCTTAAATCGAGAGAGTATTCTTAATCAAGTATTCCTTAATCGAGTGGTGACTGTACCGTCTACGTGAATGATGCGATCCGTGGGCTGGGGACGTGACCTTCTGAGAACTGGATGATTCACCATGTTATCTGCTTAATTGTGTTTCATTGCTGTTGCTATTCTAAAATTTCATAACAATCAGCAACGCTTTGCTCTCTTGCAGCATGAGAAGTGGGTAGACCGTCTCCTTTTTCGGCCGCCCCGCGATCCTTCAGAGCTTCTCGAACTGCTCATCCAAAAAATTGTAGCATCAAGAGGTCAGTGTCCGTGCAACTCATCACACACAAAGAATGGGTGACTCACATCTCGTTCTTGTCCTCATTGTCAGTGTCAGTGTCGGTTTTACTCCACTGTGTCATGAAACGCTTCACGAAGAAGAGTCATAAAAGGCAATTTCATTAAAAATCAAAACAGAAAAACATTTATAAATGTTTATCACCAATTACTGACAAGAATGAAGTCTCTAGTCTATCTTCGGATAAGCAATCTCTGAGATACGCATCACGAGATCGAAAATCATTACACACTGCCACTGTGACCCCTGGTTTCCAACGGGGGAGCTAAGAGGTTGCTGCATTCCCGAATGTGGTTCACCAGCAGCTGGGCGCTCTCTGCTCTATAGATGCGTTGGCCTGCCCGCTAAAAAACAAAAAGAAATAGATGATTTAGTTTAATTGATGATGTTATGTTGTCCCTCCTTGTGGCTATTACCATGAGTTTTGCCTCCTTTTATAAATGCCGCCAGACCTTTAAATTATATGGAGTCCTGCGCGTGAAAAAATGAGCCATGGTTCATTGTGTACACATGAAATACTTATAATGATCCAGACTCCGTCTTTCTATGATAATCCAATTCATAGACAAAACGAGACCTCCACAAGTTGAACAGGATTGTAGAATTAGTGATAGCGGCACTAGTGGACCAGAAAGGCAGCTTGCTGTTGTGATTGATGAGGAACTCCTGGAAGTTGGGTTGTTCAGTAGAGGAAACGTACGCTCGAAGTTCTGTAAAATAGAAAAACAGGCAGATGTGAGAGGATGTATCACGACAATCCATTTTGCTAAGCAATGTTTCATGATGACCAGAAAAATTCATCTTCATGGTTTATAGAGAAAAAGAGAGAGTGAGGGAGAGAACGAAAAAAATTGAAGAGCTGGCATCCCTTTTATTTAATGATCCAAAAAGGTGTCCATTGTCCAGTTCTTCAGATTATTTTTTTCACCGTGTCAGTCTTCTCCTATCCTGCATTTCCGATCAATTATGCCTATTGGACGTTTATTCCTGTGCCTTTGTTCAGTCTTTATTCTGAAAAAAATATAGAGCACGCCACCTGGCAAGGAAAGACAAAAGTAGTCGCGATTTGACAATCGTGGAACTGAGCAATTCTGTGTGTGCAATGGACAATGACAGCCACTCAGACGAGCTTTCAAAACCATCGGATATCATTGAATATAACGAGCAATTTTCTCGGTATCCTTTTTAACAGTTTCTGAAAAAGTGTGAATGAATGATTTTTTGGGATCGCATGGGAAAGCAAACCTTACTTGAATAACCTTTCGTAAGTCGAAGCCAAACGATCGAAAGATTCACTGCTTTAACATTTTCAGCAATCAATTTCACAAAATTGTCGCTGATTGCTCTACCAATGAAGCCAAAGCGTATTTCACCTGGGTATAGGCGTCAAAAAAGTGATGTATGTGGACGACGATTGCATCTTCTTGGTAGCATTGGGTCATGTTTTGCTATCTTTCTGTTGATATTTGGTGATTGTCCCTCTCTATGGATAAATTGTAGACCTGCATAAAAAAAGTCTTGCGAGAATAGAATTGGGGGGACCTATGGCTATCAAGCAAATCTAAAATGGTCTATGTCGCAAAAGCTTGAGAATTGAGACCTGATGCTCAATGATGATGTGGTCTTGCAATAGTTGTGCTTCCTGGTTCTTCCAAGTTCAGAAAAGTGACGAGCCTTATCTGCTCGACAAAATTGGTGCGATCTCTTCCGAGTAGAAAGTCAAGATGCTCTTTAGATGAGACGACGTCGGAGGGGTAGTGTCGCGATCGCCATTAAGAATGCGGTTCTCGATCTTCATATATTTCGTCTGCAACGCATGCTGAATAGCGCTTCGAATAATGAACGTTTGATGGCGCTTTTGTTGCTTTTTGGAACAAGGATCATCGAGGCGGATCACCAGGAGCTATCTGTGCTGAATCTTGTGGCACCTGGCCTCAAGGCAATGTTTATGAAGCACGGTTAAGGTCTATTGGACCCGCTGTGTCATGTTAAGCAGAACCCATGTGCCTTTGTAAAAGTTGGCGACTTTCTTCGATTGCTCTTTGGATCATACCTTGTTCATCACGTCGTTTTTCATCGCTACACTGTTGACTCAAAAATGGATCTGTTGCACGCTGCTTCCTAACAGAGCATTTTACTAATTTTTTGCACTATTTGATATTTAAACTTTTTATGAACAACGTCTAATGTAGTGGTGGCAAATTGACGTTTTTATTAAAGATGTCTAGAGGTGTCGCTGACGTCTAAAAGGCGGTGATCATTCTTTGCGATTACGTCTCATGAATAAAGAAAAAACATCGGATCGAATATCATATTCTTCGCAGCCAAGACAGCTCTGTTCTTCAGTTTATTGCGTGTTTCGCAAGAATAGAGCATAGGGTACTGCAATGGCACCGCTGAAGAGAATAACTATCTTTGATTGGATCCCTTCATGGTCCGTAATTGTCATTTAACAATCCCAAGGACAAAGATACGTGCACAGGATGTCACAGTACGCTTGCCTTTGACGAACTATGTCTTCTGTGATACCCATAGCAGTGGCTAATTATTTGAGTTAGTAGCTTGCTACACAGTAAGCATATTAGCCTGCTAAGGATCACCAATATCGGCAGCGGTTTTGCAGTTCGACAAGTTATTAATGCCGCGTCCTCGTTGATTTCTTTGGCAATAGGTCCGGCCACCACAGCAGAAGCAGCAATGGATACAAGGAGGAGCAAAGTTAGGAATTTCATGTTGAGCTCGTGGATATATTGTTCATCGTGTCGAAGTAAAATATATCGTTTTATACTACTTCTTATGAGGCATGTGTATCCGCTATAGTGCCCGCAAAATGAGACATGGTAAATAACATGTAATGAGATTTTTATGATTACATTAGTGCGAGAAACGTCGACTTTTTAATTGGGTTCTTCCATGCGGCATCGAATATAGCATATTATTCTGACCCGGCCTGACGCATTTGTTTTTTTCTCTGAAAAGCTTTGTGGGATTCGGCAATGCGGTAGTCTAGGTGGACGGATTTTACAGCGTCTTGTTACAGGCTAGTCATTTGAAAAGCAGGCAAATTATAAATCAATTTCTATGAAAGCCAATAAAGAAGGGAGGTGCGTTTCCATAGCGGTTAATGAGTTATAGTTCGCATACACAAAAAGAATTACCGTCATTGTCGCATCGACGCTGTCAGATCGGCACAATTTGTATATGAGTTAGAAATTTTCCTTTTGTTATGATATTTTATCTATCCGGCAGCGCCCTCACAAATAGACATGTACGTGAACCATAATGCGGGATATGAGACAATCCTGACCGCTTTACTTCGGGAAAACCTGCATCTGAATCAGCTATCCCCTTCGGCTTTGATACGATAGCTTATACTGTAACCGTTATATGGAATGCCTCGACATTCCTTCTGCGATCTATATCCGATCCAAAATATATACCGTTATTAAAAATATATCTGATATTGGGGACATTCAATACGTGACCATTGTTATGCTCTACCATGGATTACTTCTTTCAGAACTGGCCAAAGTCACAGTGAAGTTTCTTTTATTCGATCAGCAACATTTTTAGTCTAAAATCTGTCATAGAAGGGAATTCTAAAAAAAATGTTACATTTATAATTGTTTTTGAAAATGGTGAGTTCGCGTGGTTTTGCATTGCAACGAACAGCAAGTTCTTCACTCTGAGCCTGCGAAACGTTTTTAGTTGTTCAGAAATGCGACATCTGAAAATGAAGCAGATGGGGCGCAAAAAACAGAAAACTTAATTTGGTAGCCAAATTCGGAAACCATTGGTCAGGCTTGAACCGAAAAAAAATTATTTGTGCAAGAGCAGTCACGTTACGCCAAAAGCATTTTATAACTTTTTTTTCGCACGGTGTTTTCCGCTCCAACGTTCCACTTCCCCTTTCATCACTCAATTTTACCACGATGGTTTCCCCCGCTTACGACCAACATAATCACATCAAACTGTGAGTAGAGCATTTTTATTCAAAAGATATCCAAATCATTGGGATGTAGGTTTATTTATTATCAATATTCTGCCCTATATTTTCAGTACCCCTCGCCCCAAGATCCTCAACACCATCTTGGACAATGTTGGTCGAACTCCTCTTGTCCGAATCAACAAGATTGCCAAGGAGGAAGGATTGAAGTGTGAACTTTGTAAGTAGTTTTACGAGGACTGTGGCTCGTTGAATGTCATTATTTATCCCTGGTATGTTTTTTTGATTGACAGTGGCCAAGTGCGAGTACTTCAATGCCGGTGGTTCCGTCAAGGATCGTATCGCTTTGCGCATGATTGAAGAAGCTGAAAAGGCCGGTACCATCACCCCTGGTGTGAGCACCATCATTGAACCCACTTCGGGTAACACAGGTATGTAAAGAAGCCTCACGAGAATTCTTTTTTTTCTTTTATGGCGTGATGTTCTAAATTTTTTTTTCCACACAAACTCAGGTATTGGTTTGGCTTTGGCTGCCGCTGTCAAGGGTTACCGTGTCATTATCACTTTGCCCGAGAAGATGTCCCAGGAAAAGGTTGATGTTCTCAAGGCATTGGGTGCCGAGATCATTCGTACTCCCACTGAAGGTAATCGTCATACCCTTGCATTCATTTGCCACAATCAAACTGATTTTAGAAATTTGTAGCCGCATGGGATGCCCCCGAATCTCACATTGGTGTCGCCAAGAAGCTCCGCGACGAAATTCCCAACGCAGTGATCTTGGATCAATATGCCAACCCTTACAACCCTGTTGCTCATTATGATACCACTGCCGAAGAAATCTTGGAAGACTGTGATGGAAAGATTGACATGTTGGTGGCCGGTGCTGGTACTGGTGGTACCATCACTGGTATTGCTCAAAAGCTCAAGGAAAAATGTCCCAACATCAAGGTAAAATAATGGGGTTTGGAATGTGCGGGTGTGCTGTTATAGGCAGTCGACTCAACGTATTATTTTCAATAGATTGTTGGCGTTGATCCTCACGGTTCCATTCTTGCCGTTCCCGAATCCTTGAACACCGCCAGTGGTTCGTACCAAGTCGAAGGTATCGGTTATGATTTCATTCCCGATGTTCTTCAACGTGGTTTGGTGGATGAATGGTTCAAGTCGGAAGACAAGGCATCCTTCTTGATGTCTCGCCGTTTGATCCGTGAAGAAGGTATCTTGTGCGGTGGTTCCTCTGGTACCGCCATGTATGCCGCTGTCCAGGTGGCCAAGCAATTGAAGGAAGGCCAGCGTTGTGTGGTCATCTTGCCTGATTCCGTTCGCAACTACATGACCAAGTTCCTGAACGACGACTGGATGAGAGATCATGGTTTCACAGATGAAAAGTTTGAATCTCAGAGCTTCGAAAACAAGGCACAAAAGGACTTTGGCTCCGCCACCGTGGAAAACTTGAAACTGGCTCCCGCCGTCACGGTTGACAGCGAGGTAAAATAATAGAGATTGGCCTGTTGTTACACAAACTTGCTGGATACTGATGGATGTGTGTGTGTGATTTATGATTTTAGACTACCTGCAAGGAAGCTATTGAACTGATGGAACAAAATGGATTCGATCAATTACCCGTCACGGCTGGTCCTCACCGACGATTGAAGGGTTTGGTGACCATGGGTAACATCCTTGCCCGTATGGCGTCCGGTCGTGCTCAACCTACCTCTTCCGTGTCCGATGTCATGTTCCACTTCAACGAAGGTCGCAAGTTTGAGGAATTCACCGTGAAGACTCCCTTGACTCAGTTGACTCGCTTCTTCGAGAACAACTCCAGTGCTTTGGTCACCGAAAAGAGCGATGATGATGATTTGAAGGTGAAGCACGTCGTCACCAAGGTCGACTTGCTCTCCTACCTCGTCAAGAACGTTAAAGCTTAAAAAAAACCAGCACTGATTCACCTATAGAATTACATTTGCATGATTCATGGCCTCGTATACACAGCATCTATCTATAATTCCATTCCTATTTTCATTCAATATACAAACCTTATCCCATACAGATTTGCTATCCGAAAGCTGCACTTGAGCACAAAAAAAAAACATTACTTTGCATGGCACTGTGCAGAGGCACATTTGAAATGATTACACATTTAAACATTCTTTTGGATCCCCATTGTCGAAACAAGATGACGCAACGCAGTGTAATCGTAGTATGACTGATCGTGAGCGTCGAATTATGGTGGAGTTTTATATACAAGTGGTTGAATGATTAGGTAATACGGGTATGATACATTGATGATGCGAGAGACACGGTTGTTGAGGGAAAAAAAAAGGAAGTAAAATAATGTTATAAGCGACGTGTCGACAAGTGGTGATGGACTTGTTGCTGAGAGTCTTTACAACGGACGCAAACCGGAATGGATTTCACCCAGTCATCGACAAGAAGGTCGCTTGAACTAATACGAGTTTGCGGATTGGGGTCGAGCATTCGGTACAGGAGTCGACGGAGATGCGATGGGAGATTTTTAAAGTTTGCAAAAGAGCGCGACTGGAAGTGTTGCAGGTAAGTTCGGAAGGCACGATCGACCGTCCGTTGAGCACGGTGCCATGCAAGACTGTGAGTCCACAGACAAATGGCTACAACCCCGACGGACCAAACATCCGCTGCTGCGCCCCAATACACATGATCTGGTTCGAATGCTTCCGGTGCTATATAGGGTTCCGATCCAACAAGTCCTCGCGACTGATGAGGCACCGATTCCCACGCACAACGATACACATCGGCTACGCCAAAATCGGTAATTTTAAGCTTGCCATCCATCGTCAACAGGATGTTTTCGGGCTTGATATCACGATGAGCCACGCCCACCGAATGCAGATAAGCCACGCCTTTGAGGATCTGTTTCAAGCTACAAGCGCGCTCCACTTCGGTCATATGACCATCCATAATGCATGAGAATAGATCACCGCCAGGACACTACAAATAATGAATCCGGCATTAAGATGACAATCCAATGCATCAGGCCTTTTTGGTATTAACATACGTATTCCATCACCGTGCAATAGCGTTTCTGATCGTTGAGCACCAGATCAATTGTTTCCACGATATTAGGATGCGAAAACGTGGATGAGATACAGAATTCACTGGTCAATTTCTTCATGTAATCCTTCTCTGATTCTTTCGCCGAGCGTTTTCGGAATTGTTTGATGGCGTACAACTTCTGGCAGCCGCTAACTTGCTTGTGACAGACAAGAATCTCCGCCGTTGATCCATGGATAAGGCGTCGAAAGCTTTCACCGTATTCGTGCACGCTGCCTGTATCTCGACGATACTTTGACAGACACGGTCTTGAGGCGGACACCGAAGAGGGAGGCGTAGGCAGATCGGCAACAGCTACGTTGGATAAACCTGCCATGGACGACCGATCACCACACGCACGATCAGTGGAAGCCGATCCTGCTACCGATGATCGGGCCGATCCAGTAGGAGATCGTTGGCGGTCTTCTCTATGAGTAGAATGCAGAGACAACGAATGGCTTAACGATGCCAAACTGACCATCACAAAGAGTACATCTATGGAAGAAAAGAATTTTTTTTTTTTCAAGCCTTTTTATGAAACTGATTGGAACTGTGACTTCCAATTTCGGAAGTTTGCTTGATTTGGTGATGGCATGCAGACGTTTTTTTTTTTTCTTGAGGGCGATCTCCGCCAATTTTGGCTAGCCAACAGAAACATGCCATCTTTTTTTCAAAAAGCGAGACAAAAGTAACGTAATTGCTAAAACGTGGCTTTCATTGAAAAAGGTGGGTTTAATGGCATCATCGATTGTACTGGCTTAAATATAACATCGACAGTTTCAAAGGGACATTTATACCCATACAATTAACATTACCCCAATTTGTTCAATAGACTTTGCCAATGTGGTCTCGACTGTCATACAAACAGGTGAGCCACCTAAAACTGAGGCACTGAAGCCAAACAATCATGTCATACCGTAAAAGAAAGTTAATTATTAATCCACCAATTTAGGAAAAAAAACCATTAGGGAAAAAAAAATACGATGGAACTCCGGGAAGTCTTGGCTTTTATCATGGTGGCTTTGAAGACATCATCACATAAACTAGTGCCAGTGGGGTTCGGCTACAACCATTGGCCGCTTTTTGCATGCATGCCGATATATGTCCTTACGATATTCGGCTAGTCTGGGAGAGAAGCGTTTTGACCAAGAAATCATATCGAACGTCACAAAGAATTATCATGGAAAATTTTATGGAGCTATTGCTCATTCTTCAAATGAAAAAGTGCAGTCCCTATTTCAGTAAGTGGTACCAATAGAAAAAACCACTCATTTATTACATTCACATGATCTTTTTGTTGAATGTAGCTTGTTGGTGGGCGCTGTCATTGTATAGCTGGCCAAACTCAGATGGGATAAAAATTTGCCACTGGGGGAGGATCGGAAAGTCAAAAATTCCATTGCTGGAACATCAGTCGAGCGTCATCGGACGTTTAATGAGATACTGTCGCTCCCAGACCGCTAAGCTATGTCCCTGGCGAAACGGCAATACATTGTGACGGGCTGGGTCAGAAGGATCTCCTGATGAAACCTTCCCCGCTGCGTGGAACCTGACATGTCTTTCTTGACAAAAAGTCAATCCGCTGTAATTGTATCGTAAAATGTAGGAAAATCAAATAAAATAAGGATATATGACAATAGTAAAAATATGTACAAGAATACGTAGCCATGAACCATCATTAGAACCCTAAATAGCTGTATTCACCGAGATACTCAGGTGATGCATAATCCGTATCGGCGTAATAAGGAAACTGACTTGCCGTTCGAATGGCTTCAAAAGGATGGTCGGTAGAATGATGATCTAACAAGTAAAAAACCCGTCAGTAATCTGGAAATGAGTAAATACGCCAGAATCACGACAAACCATTGGAAAACGTTCCGGCCGCCATGCATTTACTGCATAAATCAATTTCTTCGCTCACATCGCACACAGTGCATTTATACCGTACACCAACAATAGGTTCTATTCCGCAGCCATCGCACTATGATCATTGGTAAGTTTACGGCGTACCGAAAAAGCGCTTTTTATCATTTTACGAACCGCATAACCCTCATGAATCGCTTCACTCGCGGCAGCATCATTCATGGTGGTATCCAAACTCGGCACGCCAGTGTTATCCTATGTGGACATACCCATTAGTCGTACCGAAAACGAACCATGCCTGCCCGCGTTCAACAATACCTTTTTCCCAGAATTTTTTGCCACATCAAGCATTGCTTCTTTAATGTCCGTATCTTCTTCATCCGACATGAGTAATGCAGGCGGAGCCTGAGAGGTAGAGTAGTATCCTCCGGAGATTCTAAAAGACAAGAAGCATAAGCCAATTCAATTTTTTTTTTTTTTTTTTTTTACAAGTAGCAACCATCCGTTTTTTCTACCTGCTATTTGTTAAACCGCCTGAGACAAAGGCATTATAGCCTGAGCCGCCTCGACGTACAGCTGGTCGTGCACGATTGCCAGCAGCTTTGGATTTCGGTTTGGAAATTTTGCCGTGGCGAGACTTGGCTTTATGACTTCCACCGCGATCCGATTTTGGCAAACAAGAGGGCTACACATTTTGACAACGGATTAGCACCTCATAGATTTAGAAAATGGATCAACGACGTTTTTACCGGTATAGTAATTCTTCCAGGCACAGGGAGTCCCAGCTTGGCCAGTTTGATAAAATATTTTTGAACGCGACTCGCAACTTGTCGCGGCGTTCGTGTACCAAGCGCAGCCGAGATTTTATTGAACCGCTGCGCTTGAACAGGCTCATCAGGATAAATCTCGAGTAATTCTTCCAAACGACGCTGCCAAAAAAAAAGGACAAAACATTAATTTTGCTTATCTCTACTGCTCGCCACGAATAAAGCTCAAGAACGGCGTCCTCTTACCTGTTCTTCATCGGACCACGGTAGATTATGCGTAGCCAACTTGTTGTCGTCCTATCATATAATGAGTTTTTCAAAACATTTGGAACGGAAATTACTCTTGTCCTTACGGTAGATGATAATTCTTCAGAAAGACGTGGTTCAATTGATCTGAAGCGGAAAGAAGGCGCTTTTTCATTGTATCGGACATCATGGACCGGTGACTGAGGAGCGAGGGGTGATTGGGTTCCATTCTGTGCCATTGACGTGCGGCGCTTGCCTTTGCCTTTGCCCATTCCACTTTGCACAGACTGCTCTTCGTCAGACTCTTTATCTGATTCCTCGGATACAGATCCTGCGCGAGAGGGGACTTGTCGTAACGCTTGAGTTGCTCTAGCTAAATCGCGACTCAATGCTTTCGCCGTAGGAGTCATGGTCGGTGTAGTAGCCGTAGGCGTAACGATCGTATCGAGAGAATTCTGGTACAGTATTAGACATTCTTGTATGCCCTGACAGAGGATGACAGCAGCAACTTACTCGGAATAATTTGGGTTTGTTGTTGTGGTTGTATTGTTCCGATAATGCTGCCAGTGCAGCTAAAGCAGTAAAGTCATATGAATAACTAGGCATTGACATTTGCATCATTCTTTCATTACCTGCTTTTTGTGCCAACCGAGTTTCGGGTATAAATCGATACTTATTCCAGTCGATTTCGGGAACGCACACAACACGTTGCAATTGTGGCACACGCCGCTGCTGATTCTAATTTTTTTTTCCCTTATCAGAACAAAATATTAAAAAGACACCTTTTACTATCGAGTTGATACCTTGTCGCAAAGATTGGATACAAACTCAAAAGGCTCTTGCATAGCTTTCTCTTTCAGACGGTTGAGCGTTTCTAAATCTTTGGTAGCTTGCTTCAACTGATGCCGGAGTACATCGAGAGCTTTAAGCACCGTTTTAACACTGTAACAAGCGGATCAGAAATCGATATACAGTTCCATAGTAACTATGCCCACCATACTCTTCATTATCATTGGCGTCTGTGTCTTGACGAGATTCCTCGCTTGTTTTGTCGGTCATGGTTTCGTGTTCTTTCAAGTCACCATTGCTGTCAGTGGGTGCTGGAGATGCGACTGAGAACTTTCTGATCTCATTGGGAAGCGATGGATCCGATGGTAATGCATCATTCGCACTTGTAGGTGTGACATTCAACTCTGTGATCGCAGGCATAAAATGTAAAACGACGCAAAACTGAGTTGATTCGGGATCACTCAATTTTGACAAGGAAAAAAAAAAAAAAAAAAAAAAAAGAACGACCGCAAACCAAAAATGGAAATCGGCGTTGGTTGGCAGCGGACAGACCAACTGGTGAAGCAGCGATAACTTGTTTAAATTTTTTTTTAGCAAGCATATTATCGACTCCATATTTTCTTGAAAGTTTCAAAACTTGCTTTAGCAGGATATACATAACTGATTATATATTTATAAATTAGCTTGGCGGTTGATTGAATACATCTACATAGCGGGACCGCATAGGCTTTCTACCGGCGCCTGTTCGTCGGCCTCCGCTGGGTGGAGGAGTGGAGAAGGTTGGTGTTACTGCAGTAGGCGGGCTGTTGGTAAGACCAGGACTAGTAGTCGCTCGCGCAAGTCCAGGAGGAGGTGGCAAACCGGCACCAGACGGTGGAGCCGTAGCTTGACCCATGGACGGCGGTGCGGCAGGCGATAATGCTCGCGCCGTAGGAGTCGATGCAGCTTTAGGTGGAGGTGGAGGTGGCGCTGGAGCAGGTTGCGAATCGGCCTATAAAGTGACGCATGTTAAAATATGGGATATTTTCTCTCTTTTTTCTTGGATGGGGCAAATGATAACACGTACCAGCTTGTTAACCCAGCGCTTCTCCTTTTCGTCATAGTAGAAATGACTCTCTTCACCAAGATTGGCCTTGACGGCTTTCTTTTCCTCCTTATCATCGCCCGAAGACCGAGAGAACAGGGAGAATAAGCCCCAGCCTTTTCGAGCTATCAAAATAATTGACAATGAGTTACCATCATCCTCGTATTTCAAAAGAAAAAAAAAATTTACCTGGTGCCGCTTCCTTTTTCGCCTCCTCCTTCTTGGCATCGGCCTGGGTCGTGTCTTCGGTCGGTTTGGAAGCATCTTCCGATGGTGCTGCAGGTTTGGTTTTGCGTAAAGAGGAATTACCGAGGCCAAGACCATCATCCTCATCATCCAAAAATGACGTGTTGGCTGTGGTACTTGGCTCGTAGCTACTTGGTTGATACGATGTCGTGGTCTCTGTTTCTTGACCCGAAGGATCGATATGAGATTGTTCTGCATGAGACTGCCATGTACCGTGGGTATCGGCTTGATGCACTTGTCCCGCACCGTTAAAGTAGCCGTAAGCGGATTGCGATGTGGTCAAAGGGGGTCCTTGTTGCTGGAAAGGTGACTGAATACCGCGTGGAGGTGCTGCAGCGGCGGTATCGGCGGGAGCCGCAGCAGCAGTGGTATCATCCGTATAATTTTGATTGGAGCTGAGATCTCCGTTGTAACCGTATTGATAGCCTTGACCATAGCTCGGTTGATACGCCGATTCTTGGGTCTCTGCGTAAGCATTCTGGGTAGGGACAACAGCGTCACTGCCGGTAGGGCCATAACCGCTTAACGGAGTAAAAGGTTTAGGGTAGTATCCTTCGGACGCCATGGAGGCCGTGGGCGTAGCCGCACGTCGCATGGCTTCGGGACCCACACTACTTCTTCCGTTACGGAAATCAAACGCGGACATGCTTCTCGTGGGAACACCTTCCGCCAGAGCATCGTATGGACGAGCAATGATTTCTGTCGATTTTCTACCGGGAACTTCGGCGGCAGGCACATCGTCTTCACCACTGACAAACTTGTTGAATTTGCCTTCGAGGGAACCCCATAAGGAGTCCAAGGAGCCCTTGGAAATCTTGGCCTTCAACCATCCACCCGCATCAGCGCTGAAAAAAACAATGACAAGCAAAAACCGATTGTTAGATTCTCTGGTTCCTCAATCAAATACTTTGCGAAATAAAAAATTGAAGATACAAACCCAAAGCTGTTACCACTGGCCATCTCACACAGTTGAGCGAATTCTTTCAGCTTCTCCACCAGATGCTGATGCAGATACGGACTTCCCTTGGTATACGTCTTGATACCGTTGGCAATAGCTTCGCAGTAACGCTGAGCTTCCCCAACGCAACCCATATCAGCTAGCCATAACGCGTGAGCAAATTTGTATCCTTGCAAGAAGGGCAGTGGTACGGGGGACGATTGCTTGGTTGCCAGGGCAAATTCGTACAGTTCAGTAAGATATAACGCATCCAACTGGGTATAAGCGTGTGGTCCTTGAGCTCCGATCAGCGTGAGACGAACGTTGACTGCATCGATACCCGAGTGCACCGATGTTTGCGGCGAAAGCAGATAACTAGAAAGCTTGTCAGTTTTATGTTGCCACTTTCAAGTGTTTCGGTGCAAATTTTTGACTATTTACCAGAAATGAGCAGCTTCAATCCATCCTGCGGTTTTGAGAAGATCGCCAATCGCGGTAATTGCCTCTGCATCACGTGCAGTCCTGTTGGCCAGAATAAGTCCCAAAGTCTCTGTCCAGTGACTCAACTGATCGGGATCAATCACAGGTGCTGCCGTGGCGGCACCGTAAGGCGTATTAGGACGTTGTAACGGCTGATTGCGCGTTAATTCTGAGACTAAAATACATCAGTGCATGTTAGAACCGTCCACCCACAAAAATAACCCGATACCTGAGCAATCCTTACCGGCCGCCGCTCCTGATCCGGCAAACAAAGAATAGAGCACACGCAATGACTGTTTATCACCAAGCACATGTTGATACACCCGGCTTTGCTTGACTTCAGGTGTTACGGCTAGTTCTCGTTCAATGAATCCTGTCACAACCGTTTTCCACAGATCCTTGTTGATGCAACTGCTCAGGATCAAAGCATGCGCCCACAAATCTTCTTGCATAGCATATTCAACGGCACCGTCCCGATCACCATTCAGAAGGAGTCGCTGCAACTTGTCGAGAATAAAGGTGGATCGATCATCGTCATTTTCCGTGGAAGGCAATTCTTGTGCATAGGCAGGCACACTGAACGTGTTTTGCTCGTCTTCGGTGACGGCAGGCAGCTGCAATAAACCACGAATAGCGTTGTCCATTGCGCTTCTAAATTAAAATAAAATGTGAGTATCACGTCAGTGAACGACGCCAGATAAATAAAGGATTTGATAAGCTTACCCATCACCAATGTGTCCTTCGTTTTCGATGAGAGTTTGAACAAGCTTCCACAGCAACATCTTATTTTTCATGTGGGTGTGTTCATGCGATCCTTCTGCCAGTGTGGATAATGTAACGTTGAATTCTTCAATGCGCTTGTGCATATACGCAATGACCTCTTTCTTCTTTGACTTCACATTCATCTTTGAATCCATCAGCACGGGTCCGACAAATTCAGACAAGCTACTCAAGGCAGTGTGTTGATCCCCCAGTACAGATTTGAGTGACTTGATTTGAATAACGCTCGGCATACGTTTCGTGATCGGCGCTCGCTGTTCATAGCTCGTATTGGTAAATCGCTGAACCGTCTGCGGGAACATGACACACAGCTTGCCACCGAAACCAAACGATACAAGCGGACATCCTTTTCCACGTTGAAGTGGGTCAGGTGGAGCCGCTGAAACGTCGGCCGCAGAATACATGTCATTGGACACCCCTTGTTGATCCATCACACCTGGCTCTTGAGCTCCATAAGCGCCGGTTTCCTCCATGGTGGCTGGAACAGTTGCAGGCTGATTTCCGTAGAATGACGCGGCCGCCGTTCCATATCCAGCGCTATACTGAGAGTTGTCTTGGTAATAGGAGCTGGTTTGTCCAGCGTACAGATTGGGAGCTGCGCCATTCGCGGTAAGGGAGGTATCATTGGCCGGAGCATACATACCGGTGGCGGTACTGATGGGCGTGTAGGAACTGTAAGGGGCTGCTGGAGGTGGAGATAAGGCCGTTGCCGGAGTGCTGGATCTCGAAAAGCTTCCCAAGGGCCGACCACATTCGCAGCAGAATTTTGCTTTGGCTTTGTTTTCACCTTCACAGAGTTGATCAGGACAGGGGTAAAGCATTTCCGGTTGCGGTGACGCCAATCGTTGGGTGATGGGAGTCATGACGCGTTCAACAGGCGGTGGCGCCAACGAAGGAGTCGGTTGTCGTTCGGGAGCCGTCGTGCTACGGTCTGCAGGTGCGTAACGAAGTGCAGCCACGGATTCCTCCGTTGTCATCACGCCACGATCGATCGATCGTCTTGGCTCGGGTTCGGGTTGCTGCATGGTATCAGGCATGTAGCTGGCTTCAAAAGTCGCAATCTGTTCATTTTGCATCAAGTTTGTCACAGCATTGACATCGTGTCCATAGCCCGGTTCCTGTGGCGGATGTTGCGTCACTGGGAAATCGTCATGAGCTTCAGTCTGTTGCAATGGTTGATACACGGATGTAAAGTCATTCTGAGCTTGGTCCTGCGGCTGGTACATGTTGGACACATCAGATATTTCGTGTTGTGTCTCTGGCTGATATGTCGCGCCATAGTCATTCTGAGCTTGATCTTGCGGCTGATACGTCGCGCCATAGTCATTGTGGGGCTGATACATTGCAGAGTAATCTTGATGGTAATGATCCTGTTCTTGCGGTTGGTATTGAGTCAATGGCTCATTTTGCTGCTGCAAACCGTAAGCATGCGTATAATCGGACTGTTCGCCGTAGTGCGGTGAATAGCCTTGAGTGGTAGGACCGTAGGGTGCATATTCTGCTTGCTCATCCGAGGCCACATGCTCAGGGTAAACCAGTTGGGCCTCATTCGTACCTGCATCCCCTGTTTCCTTGGTCGTCTGCGGTTGGTACATACTTGTCAGAAATTCCTGCTCGAATTGCTGCGATGACGCCTGATCCGCATCTGGAAGATAGCTCGTTTGAAGATCGACCATTCCACTTTCAGGCTGATGTAAGCTGTCTTGAGCTAGCAATTGTGCTACGTAGTCTGACTGGGATGCATCTGGTGCCGTTACTGGTGCCGCATTTTTCCCCAAGGCATGATGCATCTCTTCCTCCCCAGCTTGCTTTGTGTCTCGCGATACTTCTCTGTGAGTATGATTCTGATCTGCCAACCGTGTTTCCTGTGGTGGTTGCGGCTGTTCGGTTCCCTTTGTCTCTGCCAAGTCTTCTGTTTGTGCAGTCTGCGCGTTCGGCTGTTGCACGTCCGTCAGACCTTGTTCTTTCGATGGCTCCAATTGTTCTGATCCTGCTGATGGTTGCAACAACTCCGTTTCTGTCTCCTTTGGATAAAGAATATCGTCCAGCTGATCGGGTTGATTTGCCTGATATTGTCCATCTGATGCCAATGACTGGTGCTGCTGCACTTCCACAAAGTTTTGTTCTTGTCCCTGAGAAGATAATGCCAAAGGTTCATAACCCTGGTAAGATGCCATTTGCTGTTCCGATGGCTCGTCGGCTGGTGCCGAGACGCCTTCAGTGGCTGCTGCTGGGTACACCTCGGATTGGGCAAACGGATCGTAGGCAGATTCGGAAGCCAAGTGGGATGAAGTATCTGCCTGTTGTGGGACCGGCTGTTGTTGTGCCAAATCTTGTTGTACTGGTTGTTGCTGCTGCGTGAATGCTGGTTCGACGGGTGCCAGTGATTCCGGTGGCTGTGCGGCATTAGGAGCATATGGATCGTAACTGGGTTGCTGCATGTCGTTATTTCCATACATCATCGAAGGATCATCGAGTGGCTGTTGCTGCAGTTGTTGATGTTGTTGCTGACCGTAAGGGTCATAGCCTTGGGATGCATAGTAATCCGTATATTGTTGAGGATCGTATTGGTCCTGAGTTTGGTATTGACTATAATACTGACTCATGTCATATTCTTGGTTCGTATTAGGATCATAATAATGAAGGAGGCCTTGTTCATCATAATAATAATGGACGTTGGGATCAAACTGCTGCCACTGATTTGGATCATACTCGTATTGCTGTTGCATATAATCCTGCGACTGATAGGATTCCATGTGGTGCGGGTCGGTGTTTGCAAGTGCGTGTGGATCGTATCCTTGGTGACTGCCCATCGCGTTACTGTGTAACTCCTGTGTCTCCTGTCCCTCCTGTGGCTGCTGTGATAAATTATCGAAGAAGTTGTCAGTGGTTTGCGAATGCTGGAATATGGAAGCAGCCGAAGCGTCATTGTGGGCTGTCATGGGGACCTGCGACGACGGTGGGTACTGTTGTCCCAGGTTGTCAAAAAAGTCATGAGAAGCGCCTTGCATGGATGAATGTTCAAAAAGCGAAGCGGCTGAAGCATCGGCTGCTTGCGAGTGGAAAGCCGTGGAAAGAGCCGGGACATCGCCAAGGAAAGGATCGCCATCGCCAGTACCGCCAAACAAAGCACTCGCATCGCCCGCGATTGGATTGGTCTCTTTCTCATTGGTATCGGTTGCTTGCACACTCTCTTCCGCTTCTGTTGCTTCAAGCGTGGCGGGTTCGGCTTGTGGGGCAACAGGGTCAGGGACGTTGCTTGCGGAAGCCGAAAGGGATGTTGGTGTCGGTTCGTGTTCCTTGTCACGATGAGGTGATGGACCAGTATTATCGTCCGTGCTTGCTTCCTTTACTGAAGCCATGTTGGACGCAAGTAGTGGAGAGGCAAAAAGACAATGACGGAATGCTTCTTCAGTCCGTCAAAAAACTTTAAAAAAAAAGAAAAAAAAATTCAACCAAAAAAATTCAGACAATGGAAGGAAATGAACCTCTCAGAGGTTATGCGCATCGGATATTGAATCAGTTTCGTTGTGGATTTCTGGGATTGGCTGATGAGATGTTAGGGTGAAAAACATTGGATAAATATGCATTTCTCTTTTTTTTTTATTTTGTTACAAATTACAAGAGTAAGAGAGGGTGTATGGATGCGTGGGGGGGATGTGCATGTAACTGCGGATATAGGTTCAAATCAATAAACTTCTTTTTCCTCTGCCAAAGAAGCCAACCTTCGCATTCGAATAGAACTGGCCAACGCTCTGGAATTACTTCGTGACCGTGATCCTGTAGGCGTTGGAGGGTCTTCTTCGCTTTGGATATGCTTTAGTAGGTCCTCTGCTTTCATGACCATGGATTCGCTTCGCGTACGTCGTCGCTCTCGGGTAGACATTCTTCGGCTTCTACGTTTAGACGCTGTTGACATCTCTCCTGACCGCAATTTCTCCAATAAATTATCCATGATATGTTTATCCTCTTGATTTTCGGATGAACCAGCTAAATCCAAACAAGTAAAATACATACATGTCAGTAAGACTTTCAAACGGCAATACTATAATTCCAAAATTTACCACCATTCATATCATTTTCTGATTTTGCTTGAAGTCGTGCCCGTCGCTGTTCCTCAAACTGCCGCGCTTTTTCAAGTTGCTCTTGCTTCTTTCGCTGTCCGATAAGATCACTCTTGGCGCGCTATTTTTAAACGAAGAAAAAAAAAAGCAAGAGCGTGAATCTCCATATGCACACAATATACCGTTCAACACAAACCTCCCAACTGGATGTAAAGGTTTTGAAGATACCAAAGAATTCATCGGGTTTCATGTCACTGGGATCTTCGCCAAAGTAGGTCACAACATCCTTGTACGCGATATCCATAAACGTGTAACGAGCTTCCAGTTGATCAAACTTCTCAATGGCAACGTCACGGAATTCGTTCATGACGTTGGCATATCGGTCTCCTTCGCTGGCCTCATAGTCAGCTCCATAATGTCGGTCAAGCTCGTGAATCATGGTTTGCAAACCAACACGTAACTCGTTGTAATCCTTGATTAAATCCTGAATGGTCACTGGAATCAGGTATGAGTCACTGCATTTTCATTTGATGGAAATGCCAAGATAAAAAGCTCCTATTTTACCTCTGCAGGCTTCGCCGCATAATTTCAGATCATCCAGCAACTTGTCGCCAATATGTGGGAATTTTTCTTCAATCATTGTGATCAGGAAATGTAACAAGGTGGTATCGTTACTGGAAGCTTTGGTATCTACAAGCTATTGAATAGTCATTTGAGGACTTTTGCCGTATCCATCTTGTGTTTGTGAGCGTTTAATCTTATCTTTTTCGTCATACCTTGTTAATACTTCCAATATGGATACCGAATGCACCACCTTGGAAATTGGTGCCATTCAAAAAGTTGCCGACCATCAATATCAACTATTGAACGTGTCAGCCAACGTCAAGATTCTGTCGAGCCATAATTGACACATTTCATTTCAAGCTTACATTCAAAAACTCTTTGAAAGCCTCTGACTCTTTGAGTGAAGTCGACGCGTCCATGACATTCATCATATTCTAAAACCACATGAATTCCAATGTTAATAATGACGGATGATAGCCTTGATATTCAGCCGTTTTACCTTGTTTAACTGGGCGATTCTTTCGGGGAAAGTCACTTTGAAGAGCATATTACCGACGCGTTCTTTGAAACGATCAATGGTCATGATTTCGGCGCAAAAGGCATCCGCTTTGCACAAGTTCTCGAGATCTTCCTCCGATGCAGTCTTTATAAAGACGGCCAATTTTCCCATCTCTTCCGGCGTGGGAGCGTTGGCATATAAATTGCGCAGCAAGATTTCCGTGCAGAATTTTTCATCCACAGCGAGAATCTTTTTCTTGAATTCTGCAAATGTCATATGCTTCGTTTTAGCCAAAACAGCTATGTCTACAAGACGAAAAAAAAAAAGAAACGTAGCTTCAGTGGAGGCGTCACAATTTACCCGTGCACTGTTGTGCCTTACTGATATTGTTTGCTTTTCGGGCGTCAATGATGCAGATCTCCTGTTTCTTGTCTTGGGGGAATTTCTTTTGCGACTTGACAATTTTCTGAGCAAACATCTCTTCCATTTTGTTAAAGATACCCTCCGAATCGAATAAAGCTTCCAGAGCTTCATCGTCTAGACTATTGGATCCCCAGATGGTCGATTTAATATGGTTTGCGTTCAGTTTCTGCCATTGAAGTGCACGAGTTTTCACGGAAGGTAAATGATTCATGGCTTTGCGTCGCAACACGTTGAATGGTGGTGGTGGCGGTTTCGGAGGCTCCGTCGATGCAGGAGCAGAGGATGTTGCCTGATTATCATTGGAGGGCAGTTGGGGACTCTTGACGGAAACATGTGGCGAAGCGCCAGATGTTGATGACGGTGGTGGTGGTGGTGGCGGAGGAGGCGGAGGTGGTGGGCATGGTACTGCCCCCTTTGTAACAGGTGCAAACGAAGCTGGTGGTGGTGGCGGTGGCGGTGGTGGAGGAGGTGGCGGCGGTGGTGGTGGAGCTCCCGCTTCATTCGATGCATTATGTGGTGATGTACGGGTATCTTGACCGTCAAGTATCGCTGCTGATGGTTCGAGGCTAAAATCATGTAGTGCAGTATTGTTGTCATTTTGAGGGTCTTGATTCTCTTCTGTCGCTAACCGGCTTTCATCATTTATCTTCCAAGTCGGGCTGCGAGTACTGTCAGCAGTCTCCACTTCATTTCTGATCCAATTGCAAATACGATCAGCTTGTTCTGCCTTTATCGATGTTCGGTTTACATCACGATCATTTTTCACGTACCTATTCAAGAATGACTGGGCTTGCTTGCTGACAAGATCCGCAATGGATCCAAGGGATTGAACAGAGGAGCTTTCAGTGACCTCCGAGTCGTTCCGCTGGTGTGCTTTGGCGGCCCTTCGACGACCGTTGCCGGATCGATTGACCGATCCCATCAAAGGTTTGGTCCCCGGCAAAATGAAATCACCAAGGCCACTGCTGCTACCAAACTGCATGGCCAACTGGTTTTTGAACTCTTCTGATAATCCGATAGCCATGGACCGGTATCGAGTTTTGTCAATTTCGGCGTCAGGGTTTTCTTTTTTCAGCGAGGAACCGTCCTTCCCTCGTCCCTCGAGACTTTCTTGTGCTTTCATCCGACCAACCGCTTTGGTGAGATCCTTTCGTCGAATCACAATTTCTGCGTCTTCATTATCGTCCGCATCCTCCGCTGTCTCAATGGCTTTATAAAAGACATCAAGTTTGTTCTCCATCTCTTCAATGTTTTTCTCGTAATCATGTTGCAGATCGCGAAGTTTGCCCTGGAGCGTCGAGATCGTATGACGAGACATACGTAAAAGATCCTCAAGAGATTCGATTTTTTCTTTCAGCTGAATCACGGTGACGCCGTCTACATAACAATGTCAAAGGCCGTACATCAAAACGAAGAAAACTTTGCGGGAAAGGTTACCTCCTCTTTCGGCTAGTTGTTGCTGAAGACCGTCCCGTTCCACGGTCAATTCATCGTACATTTGCTGCAAATGTTTAATCTCTTCAAAGGTGGCCTGGAGCTGATCTTGATCTGCAAACTTTTCTACAAGATGTCGTACGGAAGTGCCATAGGATGATGAGAAATCCTCTACCAGCCCTTTGTGATCCAGGACCACTTGGGAGATGAGATTGTCGATGATTTGGAAATATCGTGACTTTAGTCCGCCTTCTTCATGGATCAGTAGCAAATGCTGAAGACAACTCAGGAAAAAATCGTAACCGCGGGTGCCTTCCACACTCGCCAAGACACATTCGAATACATCTCTGGGGTCGTTGAGATCGCGTAGCACTCGATCGTGGTACATTTCCATAATTTCTTCATGATCATTTTCTGCCAAGGCCTTGAATTCATGGATTTGCCGATCAATGTGTTCGCAACCAAACTCCGTCATTTTTTCCACTAAACGATCCAATCCACATGCATTCATTTGGTTTCGCACATGCGTTCTCACTTCAGGATCGTCCATCACATTGATTATTGCATTGACCAAGATCATATTGTATAGCTACCGTAATTCGCATGAGAAATAAGCATGTGGTTACACTTGCATTCGTCTCTGAAAATACTTTACCGCATATTCCGTTAATTGATTATCAGGAGCACCATTTGCAGCAAGACGCTTGAAATCTTCGCTCGCACCGACCATACTACCCATTCGGCCTCGACCGCCAATGGCAACGCTCAACTCTTTGAACCATGCATCGAATCGTCCGTATCCTTTTTGCGCATTTCGTAACTGATCCATCGCCTTTAACACCAATTCTTGGCCTAACGGAACGTCAAAGTAACACAAAAAGACCAAGACTTCACACACCAAGCGTCGCGTATTCATTGAAGGTGACGTCAAGCAATAGACAATTTGTTGGATACACTGTGGATTTTTGATAGCTTCTCTTGCACCAATCTAGAAAAAAAGTCTATCTTATCAGACATTATGCTTTTTTCAAAGAACATAATGGAAAAAAGGTACATCAGGGAGCCCTCATCCATGGCAAAACACCTACCCTATTGTTCAACAACGCCTTGAAGCATTTGAGAATCTCGCTCTCCGTTTGGGTATCGGCTTCATTTCTGCAGTCATGCAATTCACACGATAAAAAAGATGAGGTACACACGATCATGAGCGATCATAATAATACAAAGAACAAGAAAGAAAAAAGAGTTCAGCCAACTTACTTATTTTTCATGTTATTAAGGAAGGCCAATGCATCGGTCATGATCTGCAATCCACGCATGTCGATAAATTGCCGCACCCAGCTATCATTGACATATCAGTAAGTGTACGGACATGGAGGAAAGCAATAAATAAGGGGATTTTCCATTTTGACATGAAGGGGGGTGGCACAGAAGAATAGGACACAATAGAATAACCAAAAATGGCGAACCAGTAACCTACCTCAATGGTGTCGTGCGTAAACTGACTGATAGGTGAGCCAGCAGTTTTCCGTTGATGCCTTTTGTCGCGACATCGCCCATCTTTTTGACATAGTATTCAGGCCCACTGTTATCTGGTTCCTTGGCCGTCTGCGGTCCACCTCGTCTTGAAACGATATTTGCCACTCCGGCTTCCGCTTGAATATCCTGACATACCATCAATCGTTTCTTCTCGACGGGAAATGCCATCATGACGTTACGTGCACTGGCGTCGTGAATGCCACGACGTATCTATGCAAATATGTAGTGAGTTGGAATGCATTCCGCCTCACGCGCCAAAAGTAGCAGGGAAGGAGAACGGTAGAAGGGATGAGAGGAATAGGGACCAGGTGATAGCATTTGACGTACCAGCATCTTTTCGAACAGTTCTTCAATTTCGTAATCGGATAGATGGTCGGGATGGGTGGCATCGCTGTCAGTGCTGGGTATAGAGTAGGATATAGAGGATTGAGAACTACGTATGGATGAACCATCGCCGATGCCTAAGGTGGGGAGTGAGACATTCAGGGGCATCGTCGGTTTTTATTCGTGTAGAAAAAATTACAGCATATTTTTTATTTTATTACCAGAAAAGTAGTCTTCTGCCGAAATACTCGAGGCCATGGAAGTGTAAGCGCTATTGGAAGAGGCCAATTGAGAACCATGGCATTGGTCAGAAAGCGAATGCCCACTCGTTTGAGAAGATCGCTGCGTTGCGGCGATTGAAGGAGCGGGAGCATCGGGTCGTCGTTTCGCTTTTGCTTTGCTTCGTCCAAAAATGTCCATGACGAACCGATGGAAGGGGACAAAGTAAAAGTGAAGCGACTTTTATGGTTTTACAACAAGGAAAAAGGAAGGAGAGGAAGAAAAAAAAAAAGAGGCACAGACAAAAAAGTGAGTGAACTAAAAGTATCCAATAAAAATGAACAAAGGAACGGAAAGGGTGAAGAAGAGGCCACCCAAATAAGGGTGTTTAATTGTATGGCACAAAAAAAAAAAAAATCCGTGATAAAAAAAGCCCGCAATGGATTTTTTATAATTGTATTTTTTTTTTTTTGCTAGTGAATGAATGGTCTATTTCGTTGCAGATGGATCTTGCTGCTGCATCTTTTCCTGCATGACATTGATAATGGCTATCAAGAAGAGGGGACGTGATGATAAATAAGCACGCTTTTACAGATGGTGCCGATCATGGATGAATTTTACCTCTTAAAGTGCTTTGTTTGCTGGTGATGGATTCTTGCAATTTCTCCAAATTCTTCTTTACGAATTCGGTCTTGTTGTCGTAAAACTTGGAAGCATCCTCGACTGACTAATATGGACGGTGCGGATTCAATAAAAAACGAAGGATGTACACGGACCATGTGTGAGTTTACCTTTTCCACATAATAACCGGTACCAATATCCACAATGACTTTCTCAACGTTACTCAGCTTTCCGGGAACATAGAGGTAAAATCTATTCGAGTTAAGCATAATAAAATAACACACAGACAAAGAAAAATTGGATGGTCATGACAACACGTAGATGAAAAGGATATAGATGATGTGAGGGGCACAAGGATCGTTTTATCTTACAAGGACAATTGGAACCATTGTCAATTTCAAACTGAGTTGTTCCGCTTTATTACGACTTACCTTCAGGTTTTTCTCCTTTCAGGGCATCGACACTTTCACGACAGTCGATGAAGCGCGATTGAGCACCTTTGAGTCGAGAGTAGGATTGCGTCAAGTGGGACACTTCCTGTTAGGCATATCATCGGTTAGGCGTCGCGTTATTATGTATTACACGAGTTTAACATGCCTCTTCTAATTGCACTTTCACTTGTTGCAGTGAAGGAAGATCGAGATCGGTGATATTGACTTGCTGTGGTTGAGCCATAACGGTTTTTGCAGGACAGAAAGCTGAGCAAGGATTTCAGGAGGCGAAAGGAGGTCACCCAAACTTTGTAGGGACTGTTGGCGGTGGTTCAATTTGAGCGAAATTGTCGTTGTCTCCAACAAGGGGAAAAACAAACTATTGAAAACAACTGTGTACAGAAAATCTTCAAAAGATGCGGTTTTGCAAGTCTTACATTGTCTTTTTACGAAGCACTCGTAATTTTGTAATCTTTTTTCCTCTTTTATTCAAAAGAGATCATAAATTCGAGAAACAATTTGTATCAAAAATCTTCATCCCAGGAACGGTTGGCGATTCGCCAGCTCGCAGGTAGCAGAGAAAAACATAATCATAGCTTGACAGATGGATAGAGTCAATGAACCAAAGACGACCCATGCTAAAGGTAAAACTAGCCTGCATTATACAGGCGTGATGGCAAGTATGGTAGAGTTTGGATGTCTAAAAATTGAATTATTCGAGCCCTGTCATGTGACTATTACGAAAACAATAACCTTGCATGGCACAAACAAAAAAAAAAGAATTAACATGGATCAGTTATGGAACTTTTTGCATGTGCATTACTGTTTGTAAATGATTAGGAGCTTCAATCAATGATTCATACACACAAGGCTTTTCTTTTTTTTTTTCAATTGATCTCTATCAAGTATGCTGTATTTATTAAATAGGTGAAAGGAATAGCCAATGCTTAATCGTGAACAACATAGCCCTTGCCCTTGTAACCCTCGGAAGAGATACCGGTGATGGGGTTGGAGTTCTGGCTCTTGAGGTATTCGTTGGTCTTTTCCTCCCATTCCTTGGACATGGTGTGAGGAGTTTCCTTGGCTACATTGAAATAAACAAACACGTCATTAGCCATCATGGACATGTAAAAAAGGAAAACATTTAGGGAACATAATGCATACCACCAAGACGCATGGCATAGAAAAGAGCGGCAGAGGCAGCAAGAACACCAGCAACACCACCAACGACCTTGGCGGCATGGCCAGGCTTGGTCAAGGGTTCGCGGGGACCGTGAGCACCGAAAGCAATGTAGTCTGTTCAATCAGGAAAAAAAAAGTTTAATGGGAGAATGAACGGGACCAATCATCTCGGCCAACCACATGAAGGTTGGTTGTGTTTGTTTTTTGTTCACTTACAGGCAGCCTTCTTCTCATCGGCAGAGAGGAGCTTCCAGTCACCGGCCTGAGCTTCTTCGAGTTGCTTGGCGATGGTGTTCTGTTCGGCACTGGACAAGGTCTTCCAGCGAGATTCCAAATTCTGGACGGCAACATTGGTAGAAGCATTGCGACGGCCGACGACGCGAGCAACGGTTTGAGAACGAGCAGCAGCAAGTCTGAACATGTCGAAATGTAACTAAACAGGGAAAAGGGAAGGGGAACCACCGTGACGGACTGCCAATAGTAAAAAAAAAAAAAAAAAAAGGCCGGGCATCCATTTTCCCAGCCCAAAAATTATCGGTGGCTGAGTTTCGGCCACGCAACTCGCCCAAAACACTGACTGACAAACAAATATCATATGCAAAGTAGATGTTGCATTAATTAACAAGCCGTACACCCGCTGTGCAATGGATGCCACCTGCTACTGGCGTCGCCCTTTTACTTTGAGCGACATTCGTCAGACAAAAGCCTAACGCAATACGGCATAACCTAGGCGAGACTCTTGATGGAACTTTGGTATATTAATGTCAATACTCTGGCATACGGTACAGTCATGATTTCCAAACATTTGTGCAGCAGCACTTATTGACCCCCTCAGTCCTGTCCCGCCCAAGGTTATGATACATCTAGAGTGATGTGTGGGAATGTTGGGTATCAAAAAAAAAGAGTTAGTAAGCTCTTTGATTGATTCAAATCGTCAAGATATTTTTACCTCTGTTATTCGATGCAGCAGATGTCGAGAGCTTCCCGACCGAAAAAAACAGAAACGATACAAATATATATAAAATAAAAGTAAAACAATAGGTGCGACTGTAAAAACCCCTTAAAAACCCTGTGGGAAAAAAAAAAGGAGGAAAAGACTGCAAGAAGGTCTATCGAATAAAAGACAAATATGCATACTACACACTACAAGAATAAAATGGTCGGGAAGAAATATCAAGACGATATCATGGGAAGTAATCCAGGTGAAGTCAAGCGTAAGCATTTTCCGATGAGGAAAAGAGTCACACCACCGACGATGCCCTTTGACGACAAAAACCGGATAGGCCACATTTGGTGCGCGAACAAAGTAGAAAGATTTGGAGGGATGGATGGCTTGCCAGGGCGAAAAGAAAACCGGAGAGAAAACCATAAACTAAAGGAAGGATAGAGAAAAAAGAACGTGAGTTTTTTCTTGTCGAAAATCGAATAATCACATCACACAAAAGATACCTTTTTGATAATACTCGACTTGACCGGTTACAGATAAACGCGGGTAAACCATAGTCTGGATGATGGATAATGGATGCGAGGGGATGCAATGATAGCGAGAGTTTTCCAGGCAAACAGAAGAGAGGAGAAAACCAAAGAAAAAAGAAAAAAATGAAGACAAAATATGCGATTCCTATGGATAAAACACAAGTCACCTCTTGATGCATGAATGATAAGCTTTACAGATCGAAGTCTATCTGCTTATGTATCATTCGATACTTGAAAACTGAAGAGAAAGATTTTGGGCAACGACGACTTGTAAAGCGCTGATGATTGTTACCGTTGCAAGGTAGGCACCGATTTCATAATAGATTTAACTACAACTATTTATCACTGAAATATTCTATCACACTTTTTTTTTCCGTCTTTAAAGAAGAGAAAGATGAATGAGACGCAGTAAATGATCATCCAAAGCGTCTCGGGTCCAAACCAAGTATGGAATGTTTGATGCTTTTTTATTGATGAGTGTGGCATCGAACAGACGAATTGCTGTATGCCTTTTTCTTATTTTTCATGCATTCTACTGTACAAAATAGACCTTTTTTCTATGTTACTTTATTGCTTGGTTTCGGGTTCAGTTGCTTGGTAGTGATCGACGTTCATATCGTTCAACCCCAAAGTTTCGTTGGTTTCCCAATCACGTTCGTACTCCTCAATGGTCATTTCTGGATCGTCATCCGGTGCATAGAGATTCTAATTGAAAGGGATTCCATCAGTACATCGTCTTTTACTCACACCCAATGTATCATTCATCCACTTTACCTGAAGATATGAGTTGGCAAGAGGATCGTCAATGATTAAAGTGACAGGAATACGCTTGCCGTCAGCCACTTCTTCCAAATTGGCCAAGAACTTTTCCCATCGGGCTCGGCTTTCGGCCGTGGTGGAATCGCCATGCATGAAAGGCACGCGCTCGTACAATTCTTGGTGGACCTGGCGCAACAGACCTTCCACCGTAGTGAAACGACCACCCAAAGTACCGCGGGTCACTTCAAGGTCAATTTCGGGAATCGACAAACCGCAGGTTTCGGATTTCAAGATATCGCGGGACAAATCTTCCGGATCGGTGATCTTCAAAGTGATACGCTTACCCTTGGCAGAGATAGGGCCACCGGCCTTGACTTCGTTGCTCTTATAGCCACACTGTTGGCAGTTAGTAGCCATGATGACGACTTCCTTGAAATGGGGAATATCAATCAAATGCATGTTTGTCTCGCTGGGCGCATTGCAGTGAGAGCAGTTGGCAGGGAAGGTGAGCACTTCAGGCACTTCTTCATCGCCTTCCGTGGCGGTGGGGACAGCAGGAGTAGGATTGGTTTCCTCGCTCTGAAGACCCAAAAAGGCGTTTTGTTCAGGGGTGCGGTTGTACCATTTCATCTTGAGCTGAGGATCTTGGGCGGGTAAGCATCGGTTCTCAATGTAAGAGTTGCCAGAGGGATCATCGATGGTGAGAGTAAAGGATTCAGCACCTTCCTTGTACGATTCAAGCTTGTCAACAACGGCTTGAATCTTGTTGTAAAGATCTTCATCAGTGTGCTTGCGAACGGGTTGGCCTTGCGACAAGTCATCGACAGCATGATCCACCAAACCTTCCACTGTGGTCAACAGACCCCGACGGTTGTTGGCAGGAATCTCGACTTGCAGTTCTTCAAATTTGACGGAAGCGAAATCAGACTTGACCAACTGACGATCCAAATCTTGCTTGCCCAACACGTGGCAGGAAACAGTATGGCCCTTTTCATTGAAAGCACCAGCGCTTTGCAGTTCATTGTTACGGAAGCCGCAGTGAGGACATTCGAAAGCCATAATGATGATTTCCCTATAAAAAACAAGTGTTAACAATTTTTTTGGTCCACTCGAGTGATACAAAAGGTGGAAACTACTTACTTGAAGTGAGGAATCTTGGTGAAGAGCATGCGAGTGGTACCCTACACGAGACGACAAAATGTTAAACAAGACTCAAAGCTAGCCACGGAGAAGAAAGAAGCGACATTCCACTTACGTTCTCACCGCATTTCATACACAAGCTCTCAATTTCAGCAGGCTTGGAGTTATCGTGAAGGTCCACAAAGAGGGGCTCGTTTGCTGGTTGTTCAGACATGGTGACAAAGATGAAAGATTATGCCAGAAGAAAAAAAAAAAAACTGAATTCTAAAATAAGCGTTGGCGGACGGGAAGTAAAAAAGCAGTCATGAAATTCATTTGGTCCCCCCCCCATTCATGGCTTTGCAAAACGAACAAGTGCAGACACACCATTAAAGATGAATTTAGTGGACTTTATTTTCTACATTGAAAGCGTAGCAATCGATCTATGATTGTGAACATGTATTTTCTATCATCCTATAACAATTGGTGTCCATACCGATCAATAAGTTTATTCAACTAAAGAAGTCTGTTTGAAGTGCGCAATTCAAAAGTAAAGACGCCAACCAACACAGTCAAAACGATGCTTGAAGAAACCGTAAATATATGGAATTCCTCATCAGGTTCGTACTTGTTATTCCAGTCAAACATAAACATATTTGCATGAGGATTTGACTCAAATTTAAGGCCAGGTGACTTAATTTCAGCCTTTCGAGGCGTGACGGTCTTTCCTCGTCGGCCGTTGTAAAAAAATACTGGAGCTTTTTCGAGATCGAGCAATTCCCGCTTATCGCAATACTCTTGTAAAATTTATCTGCAGTATGGGAGGAGTGAACAACATCAACAAAGGTATGTCGGATCAGACTTTCAAATTATATTGGCAGTACACTAAACATATATCTCTCCAGTCAAGGGTGCTTGTATTGAAAAGAAGCGACGCATGGACAAGCGTCGAAGCAAGGCAAGACATGGCGCCATTGCTCCTGCTGTGCTTACCGTCAAGACCATGTCCAAAAAGAAGCAGAAACAATATGAAAAAGCCCTTCGCAATGTAAGCATTGAATCTACTAGTTAAAGCAAATGCTCTTCATCGGTTGCTCATTCAGTTGTCTCTTTTTTTCCAGGAGCGACGATTATTGGCCAGCAAAGGCATCATTCAACTTGAGGAGGAAATGACAGGTAAATCTCGGGGTCATGCCACCATTCCTCTTGTATGATCACTAACGATGGGACCATGGAAAATAGATGTCGTTGATGAACCTGCCAAGAAACGCTTTGTCACGGTCGAAATTGCCCCTGAAATGTTGGCTGCTGCTGCCGCCGGTCCCGGCACCGTGCTCGGCGCACCACAGTAAAAAAAAAAAAAAAAGAGTCGTCTCATTGATGGATCACCCTTTTCAACTTATTCCAGAAAGTTCCTGCATCATTTCTTTTGTTTCCTTTTTTTTGCCATGCTTCATTAAGAGTCTTCATTTTATTTTTTGTATATATAAAGCGACTGTTCTATTCTATCGTTTTTGGAACCAGTACATATTAGTGTCATGGGGAAAGAAGAAGCGACCTTGCTCGTCTTTTGCGTGGCCAAAATTAGGATCGTCCAAGACAGCTTCAATTTGTTGCCGCAGTTGATCCTTCTTGTCTTGAGGAAGCACCGCCACAAAACTCAAACTGTGAATGCGAGGCCAAATATCCTCTCGTGCAAGGTAGAGATCGTTGGTATAGAAAGCGTGATTCATAGGCAAATTAAACAGTTTGCCGGCTTCGGGTAGTTCGAAGACGTTCTTCCAAGTGCCTTTACGGTATTGCGGGGTGTTGCCTTCATGAACTTCGTAATAGCTGATAAAAAAAAAGCCAAGCGCAATCATGTCAGTTTTTTGAAACTCCCCCATCTCTATGTGGAAGAATGCTGTGCTTACTCTCTCAGCTGCGCTATCATTGGACTGCGTTCTCGGCTTTCCTTATTCCAAATCATGAATACGAGCCCATTGGGCTTGAGTACACGGTGAACTTCTCTAAGGGTTTCAATATCATCGAACCAATGGAATGCTTGAGCCATCATGACCGCATCTTGGGATTCGGGAGAAACCGGAATTCTCCAAGAAGTGCCCTCTAATGTGTTGATGTGAGGTAGATCTTTGGCCAGTTTCTGTCTCATATTCTCGACGGGTTCGACGGCGGTCACCTCATATCCAGCCTGGTCAAGGAGTTTTGTCATTTTCCCTGTTCCTGCAGCAAGGTCCAGCGCTTTTTTCTTGGCTGGCAAGATCTGCTTGATACGCTCGAGTGCTGCAGGTGGATAACTCGGTCTTGCCTTGGCTAAAATAGAAATACATCAAAATCATAGCCCTTCAGCTCCGGTGGCTATCATTTTACCATAAGATCCAGCTTGCAGCTGAAAACCAGTCGCTGCCACTTGATGAGCCCGTCGCAGCATAGTTTAATTCCTCAAAAGAAGAATAACAACATAAAGCAGCATCGGAATTTCTAAAACTTGAATAAGAAATCACTCAGCTCCGCACCGTTGCGGAGAAAACCGTTGCCACTGAGACACGCCGTATCTAAAGTGCAGGAACATAGCAACGAAGAACAGAACATGATGTCTTGCTCTGCGATGTCAAACTTTAACTTTAGTCCGCGCTGCATTGTTTATTTTTTTTTTCAAACTTTCATGTCTTGCCTCCTGCGAGAAAGATTCGAACAGAGAGATGATAACCAACTTGACGTGAGGATGGCAAAAGGCACAATGAGATAACGTTGGTCTCTTCATGTTTTGGAGACTTTCTATCACACGGATCCACGCATAGCCATTTAATGAATAAATCAGCTTTCTTCAACGATGGGCTTTCACATCGATTTGGTTGGTCTCATTATTGAAATGGCGCTTGACTGTTGAAAAATGTCAACTTTGAATAAAGAAAGACTCTCTTTGATTGTTTGATACAGGATCTACAGGTTGAGGCCATGTTGCCATGATATAAAACCGTGACAATATAGTCTAGTGAATCTTTGTCATTATCTTCCTTCAACTTGCTTTTCTTTTCTTTTCTTTTTTTTTTGCTATTGAAAAAAAAACCTTGTTTTTTCGACACAGTAGCAAGATGGCGAAGAGCAAGGCATCTCGCGCCTCCCAAAATGAAGCGCGTAAGGATTGTGCTGCTTCACTGAGCGATGGAGTGTGTCACTGCCCAAAAGTACTAGTGAGATGTGAAAGCGTTTTCACGGAATGCGTTGAACGGCCATCAGAAGCAGGAAAGACCAGAAAGCAGCCATCGCTTGCTGAAAGAGCGTGATAAATTGAGGCGTTATCAGCACAGATTTTCAAAGAGGGAAAACTCAAAGAATTCGCAATTAAAAAACTGTACGTCACGGTCCTGATTTTTTGGATAGAACTACCGAAATGACCCAAGCGCCTTTTTGTTCCTATTCTTTTGCTTCCTTTTTTTTCAAACTCTGCATGCCAAGCTCTTCAAAGCTCTGGCGCTTTCATATCCATCGTGAATTTGAAGAGACATTATGATGACCGATTTAGCTCCTGTTACGAACCTTACCAAACAAAAAGGTACACTCAGCTTGCTTTTCCTCTTTGGCTTTGCAACCGAAAAACCCCCCTCCATTCTTACCATCTCTCATGTTGCCTTGAATATATAGCGCCATTTCTACAACACAAGACATCCTCACCTCGACTTCCCACAACATGCCACACACTTATTCTATTACCCCATAATAGTCACTTTCAAACAAAAACCCTGGAATTACGAGACAGTGTCCACCTTACGATCGGGCGACAAACCAATTCTAAAACGGTACCTGGCGCTCTCAATGGTTACTTTGATTCAAAAGTATTGTCCAGGACACACGCCGAAATATGGAATGACAAGGGAAAGGTATTCACTGAAACTAGTCTGAATACATTTCCCGATCGTCCCCTCACCTTTGGCCACAGATATATATCAAAGACGTCAAATCCAGCAACGGTACCTTCTTGAACGGACGTCGACTGTCGGCTGAATGTACGGAAAGTGCACCCACTGAAATAAGAAACGACGATCAACTAGAATTCGGTATCGATATCACCAACGATGATGGATCAGGTGCGATTTGTACTCCGTGGAGTCCCGCAAAGAACAAAAAGAAAAAAAAAAAAAAAAGGGTCAACAATAACCAACCTCATCGTTCTTATTTTTTCACTGCGTAGTCTTATATCATAAAGTATCGTGCAACGTTCGCTTATTTTCAGTACCTTTATCCCAAGTCGATCCAGCTTTTATAAAGGATTTGAACCTCGATGGGTCCAACGGGATGAATATGCAGCTATACCCTGATTCACCTGTAAGGCCGATGTTTTATCATATGTCTGCTGCGTTTGAATTCTCAGACGGATCTTCCATTTTAGCTCCAGCGAAAATCTTCCACGCCATCGATATCCACCATCTCTGCGTCTTCCTATTCTTCTTCCAACAATTTATCTGCATCCTCATTTACCGGCAGCGGAACCTTTACCATCGAGAAAAGGTCGAGAAACTGGGAACACGTGTTGAACAAACTCCAGGTAATTTATCGATAATTTCTTTTTTATCTTATTGTTTTTGCCACGTGCAAATTTGTTCTTATCCCATCGACATCTCCTGTTCTTTCCTTTTCACTTTGATGTACTTCCCCTTTTGGCAGATGATCGCAGTAGTAGCTCATTCCTACAGAAATCCCCTTTTGTCCTTTTTATACCGTCACTCTTGTTTTTTTGAAGGATGGTGATTTTGTATTGGAATTTTGTCCTACTTTGGGTATGACAAGCACCCTGTCATATCCTACGTTACTGTCCAATTTACGCATCCATAGGGCTGAATTATGATTCTTAGAATGAACTACAAAGGTCACAAGAAGTCGAAGCGGAGTTACGATCCATGAAGGACTCTATACAGAATGTGGAGCAAGTGTACAATGACGAACAGATCAAAAATTTGGTAAGTGTTACTATGCAGGATTAGCGTATGTGACGATATGTGACGATGAACTCATTTTTTTCTCTCTTTCAAGAGTACACATAATGCGGCACTGCAAAAAAGGTGGCAGGAATCGCAGCAACAAGTCGCTTCTTATGCCGAAAAATGCCGCCACCAGGATCGAGCGATTAAATCAGCGCAACAGGAATTAGTACGATTGCAGAAAACCATCCAGCAGTTACAAACTTTACGGAAAAATGATGAAGAACTCAACAACCTAAAACACGAAATGGAGGCTCAGAAGTTAGCTTTTGAGGAAGAAAAGATTGAATTAAACAGACAGCTGCATGCGGAGCGAGCACGTTGTATCGAACAAGAAGATGCTTACTTGACACTGGCGAAACGGTTAAAACATGCGGACCTCCATTATAAACCTGGTTTTATGGACGCTTTACAGGTAATAAGAAATGGCTTCGATCTCATGAGAAAGGAAGATGATATTGAAAGAAAATGGTGTGTAGATACGAGGGGTCCAGGTATTATTTGGTATCTTGCTTGGCATTGTTTCTGCATTGTTGTACAGTCTGTCCAATTGGAGTTCGACAAATTCTGAAGTAATTTGTCCACCGTAAAAAGAAAGCCAGAAAAAAAAACCAAAAGAAAAAGGGTTGGACGGCTGTCAATCGCCGATGAAAAATAACATCTATTGACGTGCTTGGTCCCTTTTTGCGCTACACCAGCGATCTGTCATATGATATGATGCCCATGTTGTGTCGCCATACCATCATTTTCTTGACCTTCTATCATCCACTTGTTGCTTTTTGCATTTTAATGAATAATCTTTATTGTCACACCGAGAAAAAGTGTTCTCTTCCAGGAAAAAAAAAGCGTTTTTATACTCTACATCATCCAGGCAGCTGCAGTACAGTATTTGCGTTTAGCAAGGAAAGTCGCGCCCTCTTCCCCCCCCCCAAGAAAAAAAATCATACCCATTTATAATAAAAAAAGTTGCAAGATGATGAAGGATACTAACAATAACACAATATACAGGTAGTCAGCAATAATGTACTGTATATAGGAAACGATCTTCATCTCTTGGAACACTGCAAGTCCAAAACTTTTCAGATCTGCTTTTTGATACAGTGCTTTGAATTTCTTCAGTTACAGATCTTGGGACAGTTGATATCATGTTGTCAATTTTAACGCCCATGCATGTGTTTAAGCGTCAATGAAGAGCATATTGGTTGATGAGCTGACTTCCAGATATCAAATATTACTTGTCATTATAGTATACATTTGCAAGTGGTAATTTATGCTCTTACCAAAGATGCAAGGAGACTATCATCCGCATCTCGAATTTGGAGGCCTTTTCCCTGGATAACATATTCACAACGCTTTGGAGGCAATACTTTAAATTATTTACAGAGCATTGCCTCGTAAGGTACTTCACGAACCGTATATATGCAAACTGGGTGAAATTCTTGCATTTTATTATTTATCAATACGCGAAACACTGTTGGTCGCATCAAGTTTTCGAGTCAAAAAATAAATATATTGTGCCGGAGAAAAGCCGCTCTTCCCTGTCAGACCAGGTCCACGTGGCTTCCGGGAATGATCATCAAGATACTGTATCGGTCGACGCGGTTGCAGTGTACCTGTGCGTGTATTTCATCGATCATACTATGTCAATCTCACCGTTTAAATTTCACTTGGGGGCTGCTGAGAGCTACCTGATCATGAAACCGGCTCCCCCGAATACAGACTATTCCGGAAGGACGGATGTTCATTGAATAATGGGAACCAGATCATTTTCGAGTTCAGCTTATGTATTTGCCGACGTGCTGTGCAACCCAAGCGCTTGGAAAAAGGCAAGTTGTTATCGTCTGCTCTTGCATCATGTCCCGCTTGGCCAACCAATGACAACTTACCATTAGTTGGGCCGGACCGGATCTGACAAAAGAGGTTTACAGTTTGTGTTCAGAATGTAATTTGCAAATCATTTTTAGCTATACAATATGTTTTAATAAAGGAAAAAGCGACCAGATTGCGAAATAATGTACAGAGAAAAATAAAATAAAAAGATCGTACTAATCAGAAGAAGAATAATAAATAATGTAACCGGATCACATCGGTGAAAAAAAGGAAGACGGATTTCGCGTAATTACATACAAAAATCTTGGTTGGACAAACATTTTTTTTTTCTTTTTGACCATGCAGAAAACCGCTAAAAGTCAAGAGGTTGATTCCGGTAACAGAGTTGGCGATACAGTAGTTGGAGAACTGGATTACTCAGTAAATATCGTTGCTCTTCCAAAGGTCTTTGACTGAGCTGACATAGTTTGTTTCACTAGGCCATCCTCGTCGATAGTGGTAGTCGTGCAATAAATGCGGTGAGTAGTTTCCATAGTAAGATCCACTATTGCCGTATCGTAGCCGATTAAAAAAATTTCGGAACATGTTTGGGGATCGATATGGGCTGCCGTAATAAGAATTGTACCATGGGTAGTAGCCGTTACCGTTGCCGTATCCACCGTAATTGTTATAGTAATTCATGCCGTAACCTGGATATGCATGTGGACTGTACAAGTACGGATTATGGTATCCTCCTCCGAAACCGTAAGGACTATAATCTAATAGGGCAGGAAGGACAGTGAGATGTGGAAAATTCCAGAAAGTTAAATAATCCCAAAACTAATCTTTCAAGAAAAAAAAGAGAAGCTTACTTGAGTAATAAGCAGACATGTTTACAGGAAAGAAAGCATGACAAAAAAGTAGAGGGAAAAAGCTCTTTTATAGATGGGAAAATTCCGTTTGCTCTCCATCTTCAAACCCCACTTGGGGTGGTTTTCTTCCACCAATGAAGTGCGCATCACATGCACTTGTTAAATTCAATAGGGTTTATTATTCGGTTGTGATACAATTGCCAGTCATCCGTGAAAAAAAAAAAAAAAAAAAAAAAAAAACAGAGGTTACAATGGCGCTTAACCTTTTTTCATCTTTCTTATCTGATAGACAACAAAGTCCCCATATGCAAAGTTTTTTTTTATTTTTTTTTTCTTCACAGGTTCATTGTTGTTGGAGCTAAAATACAGACTGTGTAAAAACCATGTATGAAACATTTTTCACCTTTCGCTGTCGTTTCGGAACACCCGAAATGTCGGCAGTTCAGGAGCAAAGTTTGTGTAACATTTTCCGCCCATGCAGAACCAAAAGGAAAAAGAGAAAGAAACAACCACAGTGAAAAAGCAGCATATGTAAAGCGAGTGCGTTTTTTTTTTTTTTGTTCTTTTTAGCCGTGAATCTGAACCTTGATGGTACCATCACGTCCTTCTTTCACGTGTTTGAATGCTTCGACGGATTCCTCCAGCTTATAGGAGTGGGTAATAAGTGGCTTCACGTCAATGGTGCCAGAGGCGATCATCTTGACAGCACGCGGATATGTGTTACAGTATCGAAATACGCCCTTGATATCCACTTCTCGAATACCAATTTCTGACACAGGAATGGATTGAACAGGGGCTCCCATGCCCACCAGTACAACTGATCCTCCATTTCGCGTAATCTATAAAATACGGCGCCAGTCATTAGTGTTGAATCTCACCCACTTTCAAGGATGAACGAAACTTACATAGATGGCGGTTTGGACACTGGTTTCGGCTCCGGAGCAGTCAATGACGACGTCGGCCAATTCATGCGATTCCAGGATCTTGTTCGCCATGCGCTTGGAATAGTCAATGTTGGGTTCATTGGGGTCCGTTTTTTCCAGAAGCACTTGACTGTCCGTGCAATATGTTTTGGCAAAATCGAGTCTCGATGCGACGATATCCGCAATAGTGACATGACCAGCTCCCGCTGCTTTAGCTGCCGCGGCTGCCAACAATCCGACCGCTCCAGCACCGAAAATAGCCACACGATCACCTGCTTGCACTTTTCCACGCCGCACCGCATGAACTCCCACGGACAGAGGCTCAATCAAAGCGCCTTCTTCCAATGAAACATTCTCCGGGAGTTTGAAACAAAAATCAGCAGCATGACGATAGTAGTTGCAGAGGGTTCCATCATAAGGAGGTGTAGCTGCACTGAGAATTCATATGTATTATTATTTCAAGCTACCGAAAAATCATCCCCCGGTAACATTGATCTACTTACAATATCATTTCGGGACACAAGTTGTAACGACCATGCTTGCATTGATCACAGACTCTGCAAGGCACACCGGGTTCAAGCGCGACACGATCTCCTACCTTGAGATGCGTGACTTTGTCTCCCACGGCAGCCACGACGCCGGCCGATTCGTGGCCAAGAACCATGGGCTTTTCAACGACAAAGGAGCCAATGCGTCCCTTGGTCCAATAGTGGACGTCTGAACCACAGATTCCAGTCACCTTGACATTGACCAAAGCATCTACACAATATCAACGCAGGCTGAGCATGCTGATAACTATCGATTCACGGGGATGTGATCGTGCTGCTTTTACCATACGGCCCGATTTCTGGAATAGGACGATTTTCCTGGTTGGATTGTTCTTGGTGAGCATAGTTGAGGACACGGTGGCGTCTTTTGCCGTCAAAACTTACAATGACAATTTCTCCCGGCTTTTGAAGGATGACAGATAAATTGGTATTGCTTGCCATTATGCAGATGGGAAATAAAAGAAAAAAGAGAAAAGAAACAGGTGAACAAGGATGACACTATTGCCGTTGAATTTTTAATTTCTTTTGGACGTTTTTCCCCAATTTTGCGGAAGATCTCAACTAAAAAAAAAAAAAGCCAATCAATGAATAGCGCCTTCTGAATCCAGTCTTCACTAAATCTTACTTCGGAGACACAGTCAGACGCGAGACAAGCACTTGTTGTTAGACATTAAATTGGATATTGCCATGAATAGCAGCTGCCTTCATTGTTCAGTCACCACTCGATTTAGAATGCCCGATTCTTAGAATATATCCGATTAAAGACTCACCTTTTGGTCTTTTGATAAATGTAGACTGTAAAGTAGTTCTCGCAGTTATCACTCTCTGGAGCAGGAATAAGCTAAATCATGCGTAAAAAAGATATGAGGCTGGAGAAAATCAATCCCCCTCACCGTAGCTAATCTGTCATGTAGCTAATCTGCCGCTTGTTGTATGACAAGAGAAACGGTCTCTTGGTTTCCGATATCCACTCTTCGCTTTTGGAACAAAGGTTTTACATTCAAGTTGCTGTGTTGGTTCATTTCAAAAGTACCAATGCTCATCGCGGGAGTCCCATCATTTAGAAAAGGTGCAACGTCAACTAATCGCTTTTGACCCCACATTCTGCAAAACATCACCACGCCATGTTGGAAAGATTGGCGGACTGTGTCCCTTACACAGCAATAACTCTCTCCCCTCTACTTCCCTCTCTTTTTATAGTTTAGCAAAACACCCCTTTAGCAGTTCTGTTGATCTAGCCGCCAACTACTTCCTCATTATTCATCGCATTTTCCGGTCCACAATTGTGTCGTTTTTGACGCCAAGAGCCGCCTCCCTCAATTAGGAACGAACAAACAATAACACACTTAACCAAGTGGATGTATACCAGGTTAACGAGTGAGCCGCCCCAGGCAAACCATAAAGGAGGACGGATTTTGGGCAAGAGGATTTATTGGAAGTCTTTATTGAACAGAGGGATCATGGTACAAGTAAAACAAAGAGGTCTATCCTGTTGTATCTCTTCTAAGCGAAGTTTTTCATTTTATTTTTCTTTTTATATGAAGTGGCGTGTGGTCGTCCACAGGACATTAAGCCCACTTTTTATTTTATTATTCAACCCACAAAGGGCTGAGAAAAAGAATAATAAAGGCAAAAAGCCTTTTTTATTTTTCATTTACCTTTGTTGCGATTAAAAAGCAAACCCACCGACATACCTTCCACAATGACCGCGCTGATGACTAGTCAGGCGCCCAAAGGGAAGAGCCAACGGGAACGAAAACAATCTTCTTCAGAGGATGGCCAATCCTATCATTAGAAGATGGTTTTCGGATTTTTCGCCATACCCCGAATGCTTTACCAAAAACCGGAGCGTTCATCATTACCAGTGACCACCAGCCTAGCAGCCCCTGATTCCGAACTGGCGCACAAAAGAAAAAAAGAGATGATAAGAAACGCCCTCTTTTTATATCTTTTGGCGGACCTTCGATTTGTGACACCCCACGATCCCAGTCAACCGTATCTATCTACCTACAAAGACACATCGGCTATTGATTACATATTCATGCCTGATATGCTACGCCATCTTAGCTCTACCCCAACCACCCCTATTCCTAAACCCCAGTTGGACTGACCACTCTTTGATATCCTTCACCTTACATTGGCCTCAACCTGTTGCGGGCCGACGAGAGACGGCGTGCCACCCACTTCATGCCCGCTCCTCCGCCTTTCGCGCCAAAGTTCACTATGATCCGACTCAAGCTCACCTCAAACTTCTTGCCCAGCATATCCCCCAGGCCGCTTGGGATCGTGCCAAAAAAAGTAATTAAACAGTCATGCCGACAGCACGGTCGTTATGAAGCTACCCGCCGTCAACGCTTGGCACGCAACCTGAAAAGCCAACGCAACAAGATGCTGCGCGCTCGAAAACGATTCAATGAAGCACCGCCCCAACTGACAGACATTTGCCGACAACTGGCAGAAGTTCAATCCGAGATTGTTTACATCCAGTCTCTCAAAGCCAATATGCGGTGGCGTGAACAAGGAGAAACTTCCGCGGGCTATATCAAACAAGCAACCCACTAACGAGTAGCTCAACGCAATATCCAAGAACTTACACACCCAATAACCGGCGAAACCAAGTTCACCTTGGAGCCTTGCGCCTTTTACCAACAGTAATATACCCCTGAACCTGTCGATGAGGTGGCAACGAGCGACCTGTTGGAGAACCTACCCTTTTCCTGTGGCCTGCCTCCCGCCCTTCGCGCTTCACTGGTACAAGACATCACCTTGGATGAACTCTAAACAGCAGTCAACCGATCGCCCCGTCAAAGCAGCCCCGGACTCGATGGCTTACCGTATCCAATACTGGCGCTTCTGATTCATCATCCTTTGTATTCTGGCCTAGCTGTTCAAGTATATAATGCTGCCCTCAAGGAGGCCTGTTTTCCACGTTCTTGGTCCAACACATGTGTGCGTCTTCTACCGAAAAAAGGGCACTTAACCTCACTCTCCAACTAGCGTCCGATCGCTTTTGATTAACACGGGGACGCAAAGATATTTACCAGAGTCCTGAACAACCGAGTGGTGTTCATTGGGCAGCACATCATCAGTCCGTTCCAAACCGGTTTCGTCCCGTGCCGCTTCATTGCCCATCATGGTATGGCCGTTAAACTCGCCATGGACCACGCCTCTCGCTTCGCCTCCAGTGACATCGGTCTGTCATTAGACATGGAAGCCTATGACCGAGTTCATCCGTCCTACTTAAACCGGTGCCTCGATCGCTGGGGGGTTTCCTCAGACCATTATGACTCGCATACAGAAGCTGTTTTTTGGCACGACGATCCGTATCAACGTCAACGGTGCTTTATCACCTTCTATTCATTAACAGCGGGGTGTGCGCCAAGGCGATCCATTGTCACCCATTCTCTTCAATCTAGCGCTCGAGCCCCTGGTTCAACGCGTATTACATGACCAGTCCATCCAAAGCTTCGCCATTGATCGACCATTGCCCTCACTAGATAATCGTGAAGCACAGCTAAAAATCCTCGCCTCTGCTGATGACTGTTTCATTTCCTACATAACACCGCCGACATCGAACGCCTGATGACCCACCTCCGAACATATATGTAAACCCAATGCCAAGATCAACCTTGATAAAACATATGCCATTTCGCTTTCAGGTCAGCCGTCGTCACAGTGGTGTACGAGTCTCGCCACCTACGGCATCCATTCGTGGTACGACCGTTCAAGCGACAGTCCTCTAATCTACCTTGGCTACCCATTGTCATCCACGCCCCGTCAACGCGATCACTTCTTCACCGCCATCCTTCAAAAAGTGGAGAAAGCCTGCCAGCTTCAATGGCAACGGATACTTTCGGTTCTAGGTCGAGCCACGGCATTAAATGTGTTGATTCTATCCACTTTGCGGCATGTTCTACGTGTGTGCCCAGTACCAAAGTCCTTCATGGATCGCCTCCGATGTCTTAGTCATGGTTTCTTGACCAAGGGGATGTTTCCTAGAGTTTTGTATCACACTCGTATACAACAACGTTCTCACGGCGGACTAGCTGTCTTACACCCACCGGCCCAAGCTTTAGCCTGGCAACTACGTTGGCTCCAACCACTGTTCGATCTGCACCATCCACATTGGTCCTACATACACAGCTGGATTCTTCACCATCTCCACCACTGGAGCAATGCCCAAGACCCTTATTTGTGTTTGTTATACCCTCGCCTGCGTCGACAATTTTTCACTACCCCTATTTCCATTGTTAGTAACCTAAGCGCTACCATGGATCTTTTTCAAGACAACTTCATTCAGGCTACCATCGATCCCAAGATCATCTTACAACTACCCCTGTTGGATATCATTCTCAAACCCCCACAACCACACACTGCTCCCGTGGCGTCTGTGATTGCTGCAGCCTCTCGGCAATGCATTTTGGTGTCTGATGTGCTAAGTTTTGATCCCACTAATAACTGCCTTCGTCGAAAACATCACAACAAGCTTCCTCGGTGTCGACGCGCCATCACCCAACTCGTGAAGCTATTGAACTCTTGGCAGATACTATTTCGGCCTTTCGTGATCAGTGCCTGCGCTCCTGCCCCAACCACCTCAGACGAAGCCCTTGTCGCCTCGACGACAGCTGATGCCCAATGCTTGTTTTCATGGCGGTCCTTTGGCCCTCTGAATCTCATACTCGTTCGCCCTAGAACGCTTCGACGGCAGATTCTGGCTGCCAATCATCCCCATGAGCCTCCCGCCACCACCTTGACACTATGGGCCCGCTTTTGGTCTATCTCTTTAACCTCCGTCACCCGTAACTTATGGTGCCGAATCCTGCATTCGAAGCTACCTAGTCGCACGTTCCTTCACCGACTGCTTCCGGCCGTTCACATCACCGACGAATGCGCTATCTGCACTATTTCGACTGACACACCCATCCACTTCCTATACCAATGCCCCCTTAAACGAGTGGTTTGGGAGAGTATATGGCCCGATCTACTGCTCCTCCCAGTCAACGAAACACAGATCCTCAAGGCTCTCTATCAGCTCAATTTCCCTCGAGATCCTCCCGACTGTAAGAGTGTTATAATCATTTTTGCATCCTTCACGGGATTTGGTCGGCTCACTGGGCCTTTATCTTCCGTCACACTGTGTTCAATCCTGAAGAGGTAATCAACCGCATCCACAAGTTGATCTCGCGACGGATCGTTGAATTACAGCTACCTTCCCTCTAAAAGTAATTTTTCTTCGCCTCATTCCCTCCACCTCTCCTTAGGACGTGGTTACGAATAAAAACTCGACGCACATTGCGCGCCTACAAAAAAAAAATTCTTTCGCGTAAGCGATACAAAGAGGGACTGCGCCATGAAGCTTATGCTGCCATCAGCAATCCATGTCCACTATAGTCACTCTATAACGTGCAGTATAGCCTGGGGTTGACTCCTGATTGCGAAATGTTGAGACGTTGCGCAGTCTTACCTTTTTCTTTTTTTTTATCTATGTTGTATTTTTATCTATGTTGTAATGATAGGATGTTTCCCTACGTTGCCCTGCTCCTTTGTGTCAGTTTTATTTTCTGTAACAGTGTACTCAGTATGGTTGTGACAATAAACGCTCACGTATTATTCCACGAAACCGAGTTGTCCGTCTCAGGTGGCCTTGTTGTAATGGCAACAAAACACGGAGAGCGCAATGTCGGACCCATGTGAGCATGTCCGCAGCAAGGATGTTTTTTGCTTGCGTTGAAAATGTTCTTACAGATGTGCAAACGATCGAAACATGCAGCAGCGCAGAAACAACACCTGTTTTCCGTTTGCGATGTGGTATATTTTGGCATGAACTGATTCACCTGCAGGACCACCGTTATCTCCTCTTTAAAAATTGGTCTTCCTTCTCCGCTGCTCTGCACAGTGACAAGTTGGACTGTTTTATGTTCGATAAAACGATGCTGTCGTTTGTGCTTTTGATTCGAATGAATCTTGGCAAAGCAAGAAGGCACTGCTCGATTTTGCGCTCACTTTTTTGGAATTCTCCATCGTCATTTTTATTAGACAGCAATATCGCAACACGTGCCGTAGTAAAGATGGTTGATGTTACGTTAAGATCCCACATACACTTCAAGGTCTAGTAAGTAAACCAACATTTGTCGACTTCATATTTGCCTCAACTGTGCTTTCTCCGAAGTAAGTTTGATGAAAACTGTATTCCAGACACTGATTGGGTTTTTTACTCTGGGTAAATAGCAAAATTAACGGAAAATCTTACAGAGCGAGTTCGATGTGAGCTGGGATCCAGATGATTCTCACCCCCATGGTTTTCAGCGACAAAAAGAAGTGAAAATGCATGCGTCTATCGTGTCCTCTATGTCATGAACCATATGAACGATGACCTTCTCTAATCGTTGCGTTTGGACCGACGTTTTCTCGCTTTCTCCTGCGGTAATGCCGGGGAAGCGGTAGTGGTAGAAGAAACGGCGGGATCACGGTCTTCCGGAGTTCTCGTCACCTCCTCACGTACGTTACCACCCACTTTCCATGATAATCCAACCACAGCAATGAGCAATCCGGTTAACAGCCCCACCATGCCCCACGGAGAGGTTTGCGTCAACCATTTCGTGGCTTTACCGATATAACCGACAAGGGTACCGCTATTCCACAGTATGTATGAGTCTGTTTGCATCCATCATCAGGTTCTCCTATTGTCACATGCATTTGATATACTTACAACAGGCTGTAAGGAGATAATAGCCCAGATGAAGGCTTGACGTCTCTCCACTCTTCGTTTTCCAAAAATTTGACAATCATATCCGGCATACGTGCAGTGACCGGACGAACTTTTTTTTACGAAAGTCAACCTCAGTCGATAACCTTTTTTGAGAAACAGCAACCCATGAAGCATACCTTGGTGATCCTTAATGTGCACAACGGTCGGAATGCGTGATACGAAAAAGCGCGCCGACAATCCTGGATTTTGACTGTAGTCGATGGTGCCGAATTGTGTAGGACGTCCGTGAGAGCTCATGATACGTTCCACTGCTTCAAACTTGGGTTGAAAAGCTCGGCATGCACCGCAATTTGTACCAAAGCTAGAGATTTTTCGGTCAGCCATCGCGGGCCTTGTCCCAATGGACCCACACCCCACTTACAATTCAAGCACCCATTCGTCGGATTTTTTAACAAGGGTATCAAAATTCTCGTCGGTTATCTGTACAATATCAGCTACGGCCAACGCCGCGCAGGCAAGTAGAAGAAAGCAAACGAAGCGAGCAATATTCATTGAGGAAAACCACTTGAACCTGAAGTCGCATTTTTGAAACTACAAAACTGGTTCTTCTCAATTATTTTTAAAACACCGCACACAGCTGGACGGATTTTCATTGTTCATCACTGCAAGAAAGAAAGCAATGTAAGCGATGAAAAACAGTCATTGGTAGCTCACCCATGCTGTCATAGTAACGTCTACGCATTGCTAAGGAGCTCATGATGCAATACATGATATGATTGAACGATAAACTGACGTATTTACAAAATGGTCACGCTTTCTCTTTTAAAGAGGGTTTGTTTGCCTCGCTCTGTCCCTTTTTGTAACATACTTTTTTCGTCTAGAACAGGATATTGTATCGATGGTACTGTGATAACACGTTTACTACCGTAGGGACTGTACAAAAAGCAAGCTGCTATTTCCCATGGAGCTATGAGCCATGTGTTACCAAGATAGGTCAGACAATGAAATACGATCAGAATGAAATATGGACAGGTTTGGTAATTTATAGTGGAGAATGATGGTTATGGATTATTTGGAAATTCCAAAAACAGAATTGAGTACAGCTAGTTTAGGCTAGAAAGGGAAACGAGCGATTATGAAGTAATGTTACAAGTGAAGTGATATATATAAAGGAAATGGGATAATGCAGGTTGTTGGAAACGGAACGATTGTAATATAATGGGAAGCGGATGGATGGAAGGACGGGGAAGAAAAAAAAAAGTTATTGAGATTGCACTGCCCGGTTACTGCAGGCACGTCGCGTACATGTCTGGCAGCGAAGCAGATGCGATACACTGCCGGGTCGCAAAATAAAGTAACCTCGTGATAAACCGATGGATTCCTTGTCCAGCATGGCTTCATACAGTGTTCGCGTATCTACCCAAACGCTAGGATATTGATCACGGGCTACATCCATAATAAGGGCCATGCCTTCCGTAGCGTTGTATCCGCCAATGGGGCTAAAGTGACTTTCACCTGGCTGGCCAAGACGGGAACGGCTGTAGTTGATCACCATTTGCGAATTGGGATTCGAAGTGACGTATTGCAAGTCCGACAGGAATTGACGGTAACCAGCCGAGCTGGCTCTTCTTGCATCCACATCACAATGTGCTTGAGCTAGACACCGAAATTCGTCGAAGGGAATACCATGTTGGCTAATAGCTTCTTTTGGAGAACAAGTCTGCATCTGATCACCAGAGAACCATCGCCAGTTGCCTTTCCAGATTCGTTTGGGATCGATCTCCAGTGCATTCAGAGACATGGCCACTAAATGATAAAGATCAGTGTGAGTCTTTTGAGATGACTTTTTTACAGGCCACGTGAAAAATAAAAAATAGAAAAAACTTACGTGAAGTCATCCCAGCTTTAGCCGGTGAAGACTGCGCCGAAAAGTTGCCCATTAATTTAAAGAAGCTTTCTGCTCGTCCTTGGTCCATGGCGCCACGAAACAGTCGCTTTCCTTCTGCGGAAGTGAAATTCACCAGTGATTTTCTAGGTGTTGATGATGGAAGGGTATGAATGATGTCCTGGACTGGATGTTTGAGACTGTGCACTGCGGTGGTGGCCTGACGGTAGGCTTGGGAACCTGGAAACCAGGTCCGGGGTAACCTGCTTGATTTCAGGGAAATGCAAGTATCAAAGTTTCGACGAGCCAAACAAAAGGTACGTGAAGCCATGATGGAAATAAATGAAAATGATGAAGAATGCAAAAAGTGAAAAAAAAGAGAAAATGATTGTTTATCAGATGAAATAGATTTATAGTTTCGACTGGCGCAGTGATTGGCGTAACATCTTATCAGATTTTTTTCCCAATTTCACAATTGGAACTCCGTGTCCATTAAAATCAAGGGAACAAAAAAACTTTTTTCTATCTCAGATCCATCTGATAAAGATCGCAACTTCCCAAAGGGCAGGAGCCCTATTTCGACACAGTGCGTTATCAGATTCTCCCGATAATATTTACCCCGCTTTTCTACTTCTTACATGGCCGCTTTTGATTTTCCGCCTTGGTAACTTCTATTTTTCCGTTCAACTAGACTAAAAAATCTCTGATATGGCAACTTGGAGAGATAAGAAATAAAGTTTGTATTGAAAAAGGCAAGTTGAAACCTTGTGCGTCATGTGTACTGTGCGTCATGTGTACAGAGCATCCTTATCCAACATTTTTGACGGCGGCTGCAATTGACACGAGTGATGATGGCAAGACCCATCAGTACACAGTTATTGACATGTGTCGAATCCAAACCATGATCGGATATCGAATATCTTTTTTCTCTGATAAGACTGCTTTTAGGCAAGTTTATCGTCCGAAGGAAAACAAAGGATCTAATGGCGAACTAACCAACAAGTGTGTCTGAGCAAGAAAATTTACGTGTCTTTATCATCATACAAAAAGGCATGTCAAGCTGCTTCTGCAGAATAATGACATTTTTTTTAGCAATCGGATGCAACTATTTTTACAACGTACGATGAACGAGTGCGCAGCTAGAACATGCAGAGACGGTGTCACCATTGGAACCCCTGGTTTTCAAAAATGGGAACAAAACATCCCATATTATATCATCGTGTGCGTTGTTAGGTTACAATACTGTAGTGCAAAAAATCGGTAAATGCTCTGCTAGGAAGCAGCGTGCAACAGATCTATTTTTGAGCCAACAGTGTAGCGATGAAAAACAACGTGGATGAACAAGGTCTGATCCGAACAGCAATCGAAGGAAGTCGCCAACTTTTACAAAGACACATGGGTTCTGCTGAACATGACACAGCGGGTCCAATAGACCTTAACCGTGCTTCATAAACTTTGCCTTTGAGGCCAGGTGCCACAAGATTCAGCACAGATCGCTCCTGGTGCTCCGCCTCGAAAAATCCTTGTTCCAAAAAGCAACAAAAGCGCCATCAAACGTTCATTATTCGAAGCGCTATTCCGCATGCGTTGCAGACGAAATATATGAAGATCGAGAACATTATTCTTAGTGGCGATCGCGACACTGCCCCTTCGACGTCGTCTCATCTAAAGTGCATTTTGACTTTCTACTCGGAAGAGATCGCACCAATTTTGTCGAGCAGATCAGGCTCGTCACTTTTCTGAACTTGGAAGAACGAGGAACACAACAATTGCAAGACCACCTCATCATTGAGCATCAGGTCTCAATTGTCAAGCTTTTGCGACATAGTCCATTTTAGATTTGCTTGATAGCCATAAGTCCCCCTAATTCTATTTTTTTTACGCAGGTCTACAATTTATCCATAGAAAGGGACAATCACCAATACCAAAAGAAAGATAGCAAAACATGACCCAATGCTACCAAGAAGATGCTAATCGTCGTCCACATACATCACTTTTTTTGACGCCTATACCCAGGTGCAAATACGCTTTGGCTTCATTGGTAGAGCGATCAGCGACAATTTTTGTGAAATCGATTGCTGAAAATGTTAAAGCAGTGAATCTTTCGATCGTTTGGCTTCGACTTACGAAAGGTTATTCAAGTAAGGTTTGCTTTCCCATGCGATCCCAAAAAATCATTCATTCACACTTTTTCAGAAACTGTTAAAAGGATGCCGAGAAATTGCTTGTTATATTTATGATATCCGATGGTCTTGAAAGCTTGCCTGAGCGGCCGTCATCATCCGTTGAATGCGCAGAATTGCTCAGTTCCACCATTATTCGCGACTACCTTTTTTTCCCTTGCCATATGCTGTGGCATATTTTTTTCACGATAAAGACTGAACAAAGACACAGGAATAAACGTCCAATAAGGGCGATTCATCGGAAATGCAGGATAGGAAGGCTAATACAGTGAACATAAACAATGTGAAGAAAAACTGGACAATGGACACCTTTTTGGATCATAAACTAAAAGGATGCCAACTCTTCAATATTTTTCTAACGCATATATGAACAATGTCAAGTATCGCTTTGGACAACATTTGCGGAGCCTGGTTAATCTCCTTCTTGACATCAAAAACCGGCGAAATAACCGGAAAGTACAATTGCAAAACGAGGGCTTATCTCAACGTGAAATATCAGCAAGACTCACAACAGAAATCTACGAGCCTGCTAAGAAGTTCAAGCTTGATATCGCTAGAAAAAATTCGCACATTGATTCTCCACTTCTACCACACTATGATTTTTTTCAGCCATTTTTCAATCCTGCATTTTATCGGTTATCGTGCTTATTTTCTCAACGAGGTTGGCGCTCCTTCACCTGCTTCCCGATTTGTACTGCCTGGTCGCCGCGGTACATGCTGATTGACACGCAGATCCTATATACGTAAATTCTCAATTTGAACCAAAGAAGCGTTGAAGGACTAAGCAACCTTGATCTGTGGAGCCGGGTCGTGGTCTCGACAGCAGACCTTTCAAGCAAACGAAGGGCAAAGGTTTGTCATTTTATGGAACTCTGCAGACTGATGGCGTAGGGGTGAGTGCCATCAAGCAAAATTTTGCAAGTCGCAAAGGAGGCCGGGAAAAAAAAGGCGAAGGTTCTCGGACGAAGATGTACCGTACGTTGACTCGCTTGCTCCAACTCAGCAACGATGCCTGGAGGGCCAGCAGTGTGTTGGTCGACCCAGGACGAAGAGATTTGCTTTTCTGCATGCACGAGTACTCCGAACCAAACGCAAGGATCCTCTATCGTTACACCTCTTGCCAGAAGGGGAATGAATTGAAGACGAAAAAGTACAGAAGGATCAGAGAAACATTAGTCAGCCAATTCCCAAATATCAAGATTGCCAAGGAAAAATTATCACAACATCCCATTTCAGTCAATGACCTCGAGACGTATTGTCAATCTACGGGAAACAGCAAGCGTATCTCGGGTACTATCGAATTTCTATGCGAACACGACGTCAAACCTATCAGGATACCCTCTTTTCCGAAAACTGCGCCTCTCAGGCTATTTCAATCAATGACAAGCAGATTCTCGATTGGCGAGAATCATAGATTTGTGCTTTGGGTGGGACCAGGCTTAATCATGGGAGATTGGTCGGCACCAAATGTCAAGTTCCATGAGCCGATCAGAGGTGTAGGCATGCGACGGATGCTCAAAAAACAAGGTTTCGAGGTGTACTTGCTCGATGGATTCAAAACGTCCTCGTGCTGTCCTGACTGCGGCGATCCGTTGGAAAATTTCAAGAAGGTGCCCAATCCCCGGCCATACCGACGAACGAAGCAGCCAGAAGTATTATGCCATGGTCTGTTAAGGTAACCAATGAAATTGGATTTGATATTGAATGTGCTTGCGCACGCTTATTCTTAGATGTACAAATCAAAAATGTAAACATGATCATGGGTATAAGTTATGGAATCGCGACTTGGCTGCAGTCCTTAATTTCCGCAAGATCCTGTTTGGCCATCGAGAGAATAACGAAAGGCCGATACTTTTCAAGAGGAAGCGGGCCGAAGCGGGAGCCTCGAGTAGCAAGATTCCAAAACATTCATAATATCATCCAGATCAGTTATCGCTGTTCCCACACCTAGATGCCCTAGGGGTAAGTGGATTATTTATTTCCAAAAGTTTGCCTCGCATGATGACTCATGCCTTGGTTTCTATTCATAATCTACTAGTAACAGACTATGATACAAACATACTGCAATTTCGCCAGTTTCCACATGAAGAGACTAAAATTGCTTGTCCTTGACCGGTCCATTTTACTCATGATCAAGTTACGAAACCCCATAACAATACAATACACACAAACCCTAATTTTCAAAAATCCAAATAAAATAAGGTTGTGGCCGGTTACAGATAAAATGAGGCGCCGTATGATGAGTATGAGTAATATACATCAATGGAAGAATAATACATGCCGCGCAAGAAAGACAGTGTATTTTATTATCTCGTAGGCCTTATTTACAAAGTAACAAAAAATCAGTGGCATCGTGGATTCGGCCTTCTGCTTGTGTGCCAGTGACATCATATGAAACGTTTTTGTCTGACCTATTGTCAACTTGTTCCATGATCGTCATCAACCGAAAATGGAAGAAAAAAAAAGTTGGTGTGATTGACAAAAAGTAGCACGATTATTCAAGGTGCAATGCAAGATGATGTGATGATACAGCGTTTGCCAGTGAATCCTGGCTAGACTGAAATCAATAATAACAAAAAAATTTAAAGTGCATGGAACACTCACTCCTGATCGCCCATTTTGGTAAAAGAAGCTGAAAACATGGATATATGGGTTATAAAAAAAGATTGGAATTTTTTTTTTTTCGAATATAACAATAAGATATAAATAAACAAAAAGTAGAATCATAGAAATCAATGTGAATGAGGACAGGAATTGAAAGAAGTGTATTATTTGAGGATGTTTATGGACAATTTTGCGGTAATAGAGAGAAAAAAAATAAAAGGGAAAAAAAGAAAAAGATTGAGGGAGAAAACGAAAAAAACTACATGGTGAACACACCGAAAGGCGTCTTTCCGTGACTGGTAGCGGTGACTTGATATTTATCACCAATGATACCTACTGAACGTTGCTTGAGGTGGAGGGGAGAGGACGAGAAATCGTGTAATGATTGTCTCGATGACTGTTGCTGGTCGTAGTTGAGAAGAGAGTAAGAGGGCAGAGGGCGATTGGAAGAATCATCTTGGGGCATGTCCACGTTGGAGGAGGATGGCCAAAACGGGGTTTGTTTTTCCATGCTGGGATTGGACACGTTGCAGAACATTGGTTTGGCGATAATTAACGGATCTTGTTTGACGGGTAAAGGACGATATGGCCGGTCCACCGTGCAAGTCCAGGGGGTCTGTCTAGCCCACAAAGAGCCCGCATCCGTCAAATCGGTCACGCCATTACCTTCCCAGCGTTTCCAACCGCCAGTCCAGCTGCGTACAAATTCAAGAAATCGGATTCTTTCCTCTTCCGAGATCACTGAAGTGGCTTGCGCGGCTTTGGCCAGTTCATTGTCGCAGGATCCCTCACGTGTTTGGGGGTCATCGGTGGTCGTGGTCATCATGGTATTTTCAGAAAGGCTGGAGGTTTGCGAAGTGGAGATGGAGTGTTCAGAGGTGGTGGGGGAGGTGGAACGCGGCGTCGACGCGCCAGAGAGCGAAAGATCGATCGAAGACATGGGACGCGATCGGGAAGCAGGGGAAATGGTTGTATGACGATGATTTCGTAGAGCGCTGTCGGCTTTCGACGGCAAAGAACGGTTGTAGCCATCGAGACCGCCTCGCAACGAACGATTGGTATCAGCCCCCGTGGATTTTGGACGGCCGTTGGGTCGTTTTTTGGTCTCGACTTTGGGCACCAAAGCTTTCAAACGTTCGATCTCTTTCTGGTAGTCCACAAAAGCGTCCATGCCCGCAAAAGGATCGTTGGCGATTTTCTTCTTGGTAGTCACATCGGTCCAAATGGAAGAATTCTTTTTCTTGTCATCTTCACCCGAAAAATCGTCCTCGTCGCTATCCATCTTGGTGCGTGGCAACCCCTTGGTCGTCCAGGGAGACGAAGGTTGCGGTGGCTGTTTCTTTAAACGAATACGACGGTCATTGGCATCAGAAGAAGCCAAGGGTGTCTGCTTGGCAGGTCTAGACATGAAATCGTAAGCAGGAGCCATGGCGGTCGTTGGTAACGTGGAGGTAGTAGAAGAGTGGATGATGTGGAGGAATAAAAAATATTGCAGAACAAGTAGAGATACGACAAAAAAAGTCTATAGATTATATAAAAGAGGTGGAAAGCGAAAACCAAAAAAAAAGAACAAGTGAGAAAAAAAAGAAAAAAAAAAGCGAAAAAATTAGACGAAGGACGAGGATGTGTGAGTGAGTCTGTGAAAAAAAGAGGTGTAGGTATGTACAGCGACGTTGAATAGGAATATGAATAGAAGTAAAGGAAAACCCAATCAGAAGACGAGTGAAAATAAAGAGATAAGTAAGATGAAGACAATGGGAATTAACAGGACATTATACAATGGGGAGGAACAACCACCACGACCAAGACGATGTTCACGGTGAGAAAAAAAAAGAAAAAAAAAAGGGTGGGGTCACCAATAAAGCAGGAGCGTTCAAACAAAAGAACACCGCAGCAAAAAAAACAAAAAAAGCTGTCAGCTGGCCAAGCCACCATAAGATGACGTCAAGAGCCAGGAAAAAGATTTTTCCGAAAAAAGAGTCGTTCTGAAAACGAAGATCAGCATCAAATCGAGACTATTCCGCATCATCAACATTTTGTAGGAACGAAGTATGCGTGAAAGTGTTAATTTCTCTTTAGAATAAGCGACAATAACCAGAAAACTTAAAAGCTTATGAAATGACAAAATTTGTTGAATAAACTACCTCTTGACATCCTCATGAAGAATGATTATCTATGTTTTCAGTAGCATGCTAAATACGTGCTCCCTTGTAGATCTAGCAATGCTGTTGCCTGCTTTTAGATAAGTTAGTCGTTCCCAATTTCTGGCTCATGCATGATCCAAAAGACCTGGCAGATTGGTCATTGGTCGCCCTTTGAATTCTTTTGGAAGATCATGTGACTGTCCGGGAGGTGTGAGCAGAGGGCTTGCACCGGCGCGGCTACATGGTGCTGGCCTTCATCGTGGGTCAGGCAATCCTCCTCTCTCTGAAGCGTATTTCCCCGTAAGGTATGATGCGATCCACAGCAGATTGACAAGAAGAGAGTTGGGAAAAGCGTAGATGCATCGAACAAAATGGGATGATGAAAAAGGAGTGGATGCAGGCGAAGAATCGAAAAAGATGGATGCAGTGATGGATGGAGCCACGACTTTTTTTTTCTAGATCAACACGCCGATTATTGACATTTCTCTCTTTTTTTTTTCGTGCATTTTAGTCGAGCATACCATGGTTAGATACGCTGCTACCGCTGCCAACCCTGCCAAGGGTAAGTTGGGTTGAAAAGAAACGCTAAACGACGAGACATGGAAAAACTTATGAATCGGTTGAATATTAAATTATAGCTTCCAAGTCCAGAGGCTCTTACCTCCGTGTTCACGTAAGTGATTTCCTGAATGGGCCCCATGTCTGAATGCACTGAGAATACTGGAGGCTAACGTTATGAATCGGTAATTTACAGTTCAAGAACACCCACGAGGTCGCTGCTGCCATCAAGGGCTTGAAGTTGAGCAAGGCTTACAGCTACCTGAACAATGTCAAGGAGCACAAGCAGTGCATTCCTTTCCGTCGCTTCAACGGTGGTGTTGGCCGTACCGCTCAGGCCAAGGAATTCGGCACCACTCAAGGTCGCTGGCCCGTCAAGTCTGTCAAGTTCGTCCTTGACTTGTTGAAGAACGCTGAATCCAACGCTGAGGTAAGGATACGAAAAACATGATACTCCATGGAGCAATAGCACTAACGTGATTTACTTTTTCTTTGTAAAAAAGGCCAAGGGTTTGAACGTTGAAGAGCTCTACATCTCCAGCATCGTTGTCAACCAGGCTCCCAAGCACCGCCGCAGAACTTACCGTGCTCACGGTAGAATCAACCCCTTCATGACCTCTCCTTGCCACATTGAAGTCATTCTCAATGAGAAGGATGAAGTTGTTCCCCGTGCTACTGACAAGAAGGTCGTCCGCTTGAACGCTCGCCAGTTGGCCCGCAAGAACCGTCTTGCTCGCGCTTAAACATAGATAAATGGTTTGGCTCGGGAAGCATCATAATAAACTTTTATGTTGTAAAAAAAAAGTGCTTGGTGTTTTCTGTGGTTACTTGATGTAATGTCATAGATCTTTTTTTTCCTTGGTGTTTTCTGTGGTTACTTGATGTAATGTCATAGATCTTTTTTTTCCTTAACTTGTGCTTGACCGTGATTCTGTAAAGAAATTCCAAACTGGTTGCCGTCTGTAACCATGGCAAAGTATTCGTAGCGGAGTAACTGACCGAGCGCAACACGTTCACACTGTCGACTTGCGTTTCCCCGTGGATTAATTGATCGTATTTTCTGAGCCTCAATGGAAATATCACCAATTGAATTTTTTATGATTTCTCGAGTCACAAGGTTGTGTGTTGTGTGTAGCAGGTATTTCTGTTATGGAAACTCAAATCACTGAAAAAAAGCCTCGCGTGTCCATCGAGGTAATGGTCCACATGTCAGATAAGCAGCCTGTTGAGACAATCTCACGCTTAGTTGTAGTATTGTCCGAAGTGCCGTTGGTTGTTACGTGCAGGTAACGTACGCTGAGACCATAGTGAACGTGGCACTTTTTTTGTTTTTTAACTGAATGGTGACCATGGTATCAGCATGGCTGGCACAGGAACTCTTGACAACGTTTGAAACTGTGATTGGCGAAGTAGCCCTTATACCGGGCGATGTCGGTGTGTTCCAGGTTAAAGTGGAAAATGGTAATAAAATCCTTGCAAGACGGTTAGACACGATGGTTGACTCATATATATTGCTTTTTGCGGTTATTTTAAAGAAATCGTTTGGGATCGAAAGACAGAGGGACGATTCCCTGAAGCAAAGGAGCTGGTATAGTATCTCTTTCTTAGTTGGGCATGTGCAACTAAATACGGCAATAACTGACACTCTTAATGATCGTTTTTAACTAGAAACAAGTCGTCAGAGATGTCATTGCACCCGGAAAATCCCTCGGTCATTCCGATCGCAAGGAGCAGCAACCTGCATCTTCCTAGAAAAACTAGTCCCACAGAAAAAGGCAATAAAGGGCGGGACACTGTTGCTGTATCCGTGTGAGATCTGATAACAAGCTGCAGCGTACATTGCGTTGATTCCTATAAAAATGTGATGTAACCCACCTTTTACTTTCTAATTATGCCGTATTGTTGGAACATGCGAGCTGGAAAGCATGTTCGAAAATGCTTCTGTTGGAACCAGTCGTTCTTCGTAGTAAACGATCGATTTGCAGCATTTACAGTCGACACTGTGGAACTTTGATGAAGACTGGTGATAAAGAACAGTGTTTTATTTTAGATTTTTATGTTAGTTTCTAAACAAAAAGATATTACATGCAATCTTCTTCTCTTTTTTTCTTGTCTTTCTTTCAATGGGCGAAGCTCGAAAGGATGATGGATTTTTCTTTTTACTCATTCTTGAACGAGAAGCTTGGCGCGCCAGGCACAGCCACTTCAGCGGCCTTGGTATCCTCTTCAGCACATCCGTCGCTCTTGAGAATGTGGACTGTGTGGAAACCGAGCGAACGCTTGAATTCTTCTTCCGCCACCTTCAAGGTCGACAATTCGTCAAAAGTCAAGGCACGGTCAAACGCGTCAGGACCATTCTTTTCAACCATCTTCTTCTGTTCCTGCACAAAAGGCATCGTCTTCTTGTTCTTCAAAATACCCTGGGCACCCAACTCGGCACGGATCTTGACATCGTCAAACTTGCCTGTGCTTTGATCATAGTGGGATTTCATCACAGCAATACAGTCTTCCTGCCACTGAGGGAATTTGGCCGACACGAAAATCTTGAGCGACTTGGGTTCCGAAGGCTTGTATTCCACTTCCACAGCTTTGCCCTTCTTCTTCTTCTTTTGAAGATTCAGTTCCGCATCACGCACCGCCTTGACGGTACGGCGGATGTAGCTGCTGGCGTCCAAGAGCGACTCATCAACTGATCCGCTCGGTTGAGGGAATGCGGCATTGGTCACAGAACCGTCCTTGTGAAGAATGTTGCGCCACACGTGTTCAGACCAGTGAGGACACACAGGAGCAAGAAGCAAGGCTTGGTATTCAATGTATTGCAACACAAGGTCCTTGTGCATGCCCTTTTCAAGGCAAGCCTGCTGGTAATAATCTCTGGCCGTTTGGAATTCAAATACACCATACTTGAGAGCTTCACGGAAGTAGGTGGCTGCATAACCCTTCTCGGACAAGCCAATGTTCTTTCTCATTTCGTTTTCAAACACGCGATCGTAAAAGTTGAGTTCGCCTTCACGAAGCTTGTCGACGTTCTTCATCTGTTCCTCGATCCATTCCAACAAAGTGTAAAGACGGAGAATGGCCGCGTTGGCGGTAGCATCTTCAAAGTTGGCATCTTCACCGGAATCACCGGCATCAGCAAGAGCGAAACGGGTAGCGTCCGCACCGTATTTGACAATGGCATCGTTCATGCTCATAAAGTTACCAGTCGACTTGGACATCTTCTTGCTGTCAAGCATCAAGTGACCGTTGGAGCGCACGCTACGGGGCCACATTTCCTCGGGGAAGATGGCGGTGTGGTTGTAAAGGAAGAAGGTCAAATGGTTGGGAATCAAATCCTTGCCGGACACACGGACATCCAAAGGATAAAAGTATTCGTACTCGCGTCTCAGACGGTCCAAGGTAGCTTGAGCTACACCGCAGTCGGCAGGGTAGGGACCCAACTTGAACACATAATCCCAAACCGCGTCGGTCATCTGCTCAGCACGGATACCGGCAGGTCCGGGAACAGCACCATTCAACGAACCCTGATGCAACAAATGAGCCACAGTGTAGTAGGCCATGTAAATGGTGGAATCCGAAAGCGATTCGACCAAGAATTGAGTATCCCAGGGCAACTTGGTACCCAAACCGAAGCTTCTGGCGCAAGCCCACTGGTTCAACCAGTCCAAAGTTTGTTCAAACTGATGGCGAGTTTCGTTGGTGTAAGTCTCCATTTGCGCCAAGCACTTTTCAGTTTGTGCTTTCCATTCTGGTTCGCCGTAATCGAGGTACCACTGATCCATCAAAGCCACTACGCACTCATCACCGGAACGCGACATGACAAGACCCTCGGGTTCGTTGTACACGAAAGCTTCACCAGAGTTGATCAGCTGTTCCTTGATCTTGAACTTGGCATCCTGCACCTTCATGCCCGAGAATTCACCAATGCACATGACACCTTGGTAGAAACCTTCCTTGTAAGCGATTTCCTTGGCTTCCGCCAACTGAACGCGATCCTTTTGAGAATGGATCTTCTTGAGCTCACACAGTTTAGGGGCAATGAGGTTGCCGTAAGTAGGCGTTTCGATCACAGGCACCACATCGAAATCGGCCCAGGCAGCATCAATCTTGTAGTAAGCCGCCTTCTTCTTCAAATCTTGCAAAGCAGCAAAATCGTCGGGCGAGTCGGAAGGCACCGAAGTAACTACACCAGTACCCTAGTTTTGCAAAATTTCCACGCTCTGTCAATGTTCCGAAAAATCCACGAAAGCTTCGTGTGGTTTAGCTTACCTTGGTAGCGAGCACATTCTCCATGGGGAGGACGTAGACAGCGGGGTACTGACTCAAGGGAGCCTTGATCTTGGTACCGACCACGAGATCACCCTTGATCTCGGCCAACTTTTCAATGTGTCCTTCCTTGTCAAAGATCTTTTGGAAAGCCATGTTGCGAGCAGCACGTTCCGTCACCAAGAAAGCTTCCTTATCGTTGACATGGAAAATACCATAGTTGATCTCGGTGCCGACGAAACAGTTGGTTTGACCGTACATCGTTTCGGGTCTCAATGTAGCTGCTACGAGGTACACCTTCTTGCCCTGGAGAGCAGGCACACTGTCCAAAGCTTCTTTGGCTTGCTGAGACCATTCCAACACTTCCATCTTAATACCGGTGTATTCTTGAGGACCGACGCCTTCACCAGACTGACGATCGTGATCCATGCAAGGCTGTTGATCAATCACCGAGTAAATCGTGTAACGTTCGCCGAATTTGATTTTCTGCATCGCTCTCAGCTTGTTCATCTGCCAGCGAACAAAAGCGTCGTAGTAAGGGTTGGCATCTGTGGTGATGAACGAACGACGCCAATCAACCTTGGCACCAAAAGCCGTCATGTCACTGATCGTCTGCGGGGGGAAGTACTCGGTCCAGTAGTAGGGATCAGCGAATTTATGGATTTGCTCGCGAGGAATGCCCAATTGCAACATGATCTGGAACTGGTAGGTGACGTTACCGGTCTTGGCGGCCACCTTGCTCTTGATGTTCTTGGAAACATCGGTCTTTTCCAATTGATTGGCCAATTGCATTTCCTCAAACTTTTCAAAGTTCTTGCCAAACATGCCAATTTCACGAGTAAGTTTGTCCGCGCAGGCCTAGAGTAACAAACAAGTAAAAGAAAAAAGTGAATGACCATTCATCACAATAGAACCAAGCAAATCGGGCTTTACCTTGATGGGCATACCGGTACAATGGAAGCCCTGAGGAAGAAGGGCACGCTTGCCCTTCATTCTTTCGTAACCAACGGCGAAGTCCACCTTGGAGAAAGTGAAGGCGTGACCCAAATGAAGACGACCGTTCATGTAGGGGTATGCCATACAAGCCATATATTTAGGATAAGCAGTATGCAAATCATTGGAATTGTTGTGTTCTTCAATGGTGGGAGCATTGACTTCGAATGCTTGAATGCTGTCCCAGTACGAACGGGCGGGACCTTCAAGAGCTCGAAGAGCATCGCGTTTCGCGGTCTATCATTTTCCAAGAGAACAAAAGGTAAAATTGTAAGAAAAAGACTACACATAAATTCTCACTTTTGCAATTCCTTTTTTCTCTTACCTTGGGAGCCTCAGATGTGGTAGCCATTGTCACGAATTGAAGGAAGCTAGAAAGAACAGTCTACTTTTTAACGAAATTTTGTTTTTTTTCTCAGCGGAGCGGCGATTCAATTTAAAGCACAAATGAAGATCAGTGGCTTATCCGTAGATGAATCGTTATCATGCAAACCATTTGTCCTTAAAATTACTTATAGAGAACCAAGGTGATGGTCTGCGAACCCATGTTATTGGAACCTGGACTTCTAAACAAATATAAAAAAGGGAATGGCTGCCATTGTCCGTTAAAGGATATCATTTTCAAAGCCATCCATAATATCAAGATAGCCAAGGTTGAAAGCCAGTTATGTGATCCTTGAGTCTGTAAACTATATCACTGTGTATGTATGCATATAAAGAAAATGGTGCCAACTTACCAGCAGCATCAGTGTCGAGTTTGATACGAAATGCAAAACGTAAATATTGAATGATTTTTATGATTTACATGCTATCTCTACGGTCGAAAATATATCGCAATTGGAGTATTTGTGTCATCTATCTTATTCTTGATCAGCGGGAGTTGATGCAGCAGCAGCAGCATCAGAATCTGAGCCTTCACTCTTTTGTGCAGCCTCAGCTTCCAGACGTAATTGATTGTTAAGTGCCTTTTCTATCAGATGGGCGGGAGTGTTGGCAGGTGTAACCCCAAACAATCGCTGACAGAGGGATCTATAACCATCCTACAGATCAGCAAGAATTTCCAAAATATAATACAGGCTCCCACTATTTACCGTTTGTCTTGCTTGTTCAGCAAAACGTTGAGAGACGCTTTGCCTCTCCATACTGGCATCGATAACGGCATGTGGAAATCAGGACTATGCATAAGAGGGAAATAAACAAGGTCAGTTTTGATTCACTGCCAACCATAGAGTGAACTCATAGCTTACATTTGAGTCTCTGCTTTGGACATGTCAACGTGGAAGATACAGCAGCCCAAATCTAATGAGAGAAACAAAAATATCAGTCATTCCAATGAATAAGACGTATCCGGTTTTTTCTTTTACCCATGCTTTGGAGTTTGGTGCGCGTTGCCTCTGAAAACTCTTCGAGTTTGGGGAATGCTTCGGTCAAAAGCGTCTTTAATTCGTCAACAGTGATATCAACACAGCGACGGTCCGAAATGACGTTTTCCAGCATCGGTAAACCTTCCGACGTGAGACGGAAGGGCGATCCTCCTTCCATTTGGGAGCCTTGACGAACGAACAAGCGAACGCCAGTGTTCACCGTATGAAGACGTTCGAAATCGTGAGCTTCCAAAACGGCTTTCACGGCCTTGGAGATGAAATAAATGCTGCGGTTCTTGGCATTGTCTTCGGATCGCAGCAAGAATTGATCGCGCGGGAACTCGGGATCCAAACCATAAAACTCTCTGATCTCATCAATATCAGGGTTATCGGTCTTCATCAACTCAAACGGAGCCTCTTTGATGCCGGGAACATCCTTCTTTACTTTCTGAGGAGCACTCGTTCCGTCGTCGGTCTTGAGTTTCTTTTCAGCCTCCTGATCTACATCGGAAGCCCGTTTGGCGGGAACCGATGCTTCCGCTGGCTGATCAGGTTCTTCGGCAGCCTGATTCAGAGAATCCACCAGTTGCTCATCCTGTGCTTCTGCTGCTTCAGCTTCTGAGGATTCCATCTGTTCGTTCTTTGCTTGTCGGATGCGGTCCAAGTTAGTCATGGGCTTCACCTTTTCGAAAACAGCCACAAAGAAACCTCCGGTGTCTTGCTGGTGAGGATAGATACGTAGACTATTTGCAAACACGTAAGCCCAATCCGCGATTCTTTTTTTATATATAGCCAAACATACCATCTTTCCAAGGGGAACTCGTCTGGGTTGGTGGGAGGGAAAACCGTCTTTGGGAATTTGAATCGTTGACGACCGTCCTCAATTTCGTCAACAGAGTTGATATACTGGCCTTCTCTCGTCATCACCTGCATAGAATTCATTAGTATCGCTTTATGGCAACGCTTGATTTGGAAAAACAGCAACATACCTTCCACGTCTTGATACCGGGTTTGCGCTTCAACTTGGGCAATTGGTCGGAAACGTCCTTCAATTCAAGAGCACCTATCCAGACGCATATTAAAACCACGATTTGTCGACTCGTCACCATGCATAAGATTTACCATTGGTCAATCGTAACACCTCTGCCACAACGGCTTCGTTCTCGATAGGATTAAATGAACATGTAGAGTATACAATACGTCCACCCAGTTTCAACAATTGCGCACCACGAAGGAAAATCTGAACTTGGGTACTACAAGCCGGTCCATGCATGAGAAATCATGCTGTGATATAGGAAAATGGAAGCAAAGCAAGACTTACGTATGCAATGATAACGCACTGTGTTGCGTCCATTCTTTCCAAATTTTCTCGTTCTTGCGTAGAGTGCCGTCGCCACTAACATTTTCATTCAGCTCGCAATTCACGTTTTTTTTTTTTTTTTTTTTTTTTTTTAGGAACGGCGTATCTACCTGCATGGAACGTCGCACAAAACGCGATCAAACTGCCAAGTGTTGACTTTACCCTTCTCGCCAGTCTATTCACCCGTCATGTTAACTGGGATACGCATCGCAGGACGAACATACAAAAAATTTACCGGAACGTGGATGTTGGGAAAGTGTGCGGCATCATGGTTCGTCGCCATGAAACAGGGCGATTGTAAGCGTTTCGATTGATGGACGAGCATATGGCTTCGCTTATAATCCGCATCGTTGGCGACCACAAGACCGACTGGACAATCACATATATGAGTATAAATATTTCAGAAAAATCACTCTCTTGCGACACATACGAGGCATTTCATTCAAACGATCGTTGGCATGGACGGCTTCAATAATCTGGGCGGTTTTAGATCCGGGTGCGGCACACATATCCAAGACCTGATTCCACATGAGTATGATCCGTTTTCTTGTAAAAATAAAGATCTGCTGGCAAGCTTACCCATTGATGAGGCTTCACATCCATGAGCAATGGAGGCACCATGCTCACGGCTTCTTGACGGCTCAAGTTACCCTAATGAAACATTTGTTCAACAAAGTGTCTTTGCACAAGACGGGTGGGTTTTTTTCGCTTACAGATTCGTTTTCAGCCACGATGAACTTGTGAAATTTCGAGAACTCGGCTGAACGTTTGAGAATGGCACGTGGAGCGTTCACTTGCCATCCAAGTTGATCCGGATACCACTCGAGAGGACGAGGAGGTTCATACTTTACGTCGTCAACCACCACATTCTGCATGCTGGGCACATAGACCTTTTCAATCAGTTCGCGGATGGGCAAAGCATTGCTAGATAGTTGTTAAATCAAAAAGGTCATTAGCAAACTGACTGTTAATCGGTCAGGGATCGATGGACCAATACCTTCTGGTACCCGTAATACGAAAGGTGCTAGGCAATGGGGTCTGCAAGACGCTGTAGAACGTATCAAACTCTTCTTCCGAAAGAAGGTTTTGGCTCTATACAAACAGTAATCAGCTACGGTCACACAAAAACTCGCACAGGCTTAAGTGTACCTTGTAGTAATTTTCGAAATTCTCATTTTTCTTTGGAATGTCAGTGTAAGCCTTGTCGGAAGGACCGCGAGTATCGCGATCGATTTTCGGCTGCTGTACGGAAAAACCCAAGGTGTGAGTATGACGGAAAGAATGACTGTGCAATGGAGCAAATATCGCAATTACCGCTGCCTGGTTTTTCTTCTTATTATGACGACCTCCTTTGCGAAATCCCATGAGAAAAAGGTTTCTTTGCGATGAATATCGTTAAGCCGAGAAAAAAAAAAGTGCATAGTTAGAAATCGAGACAAAATCGGTTATGCGCCGTGACTCGTTCTCTTTTTCGATTTCAGCAAGCCACTCTTCCAAATAAGGAAGCCCGGTCGGAGGTGTTAACGCGCGTCGCGTTCTGGGGCAAAAACGCGTCCCTTACTTTTGCACCGGACATTGGCGAAAATTCTCAGCACGGTGGTGCCCCCTCTTACCTTTTTCTTTTTGCTTTCAAACCAAAGAACACCTCATGGGAAGACTTTCACGCATTGAAGTTGACAACTTCAAGTCTTACAAAGGTCACCAGATAATTGGTCCTTTTCATGACTTTACCTCTGTCATTGGCCCCAACGGTTCAGGTAAAAAATGATACTCCAATAGAACCGGTGTCCAAAAAAGCCCAAATGTCACTGACTCTCTTGTTTAGGAAAATCCAACCTCATGGATGCCATTTCCTTTGTTCTCGGTGTCCATTCTTCGCATTTACGATCGCAGAATTTGAAGGATATGATTTACCGCTCCAGCGCCTTGAAATCCAATGAACAAGGCGCCGCTTCATCATCCACGGAAACCAGTCGATCGCCTCGTCGTGCTTCTGTCATGGCCGTTTACCAGGACGATGACGGTAGAGAAATCAAGTTTATGCGTGTGGTTCAGCAAAATGGATCATCGGAATATCGTATCAACAATCGCGTCGTGCCTTATTTAAAGTACAATGAAGAACTGGAAAAGCAGAATATCTTGGTCAAAGCTAAGAACTTTCTGGTGTTCCAAGGCGATGTCGAATCCGTGGCCAGCCAAAACCCCAAAGATTTGACCCATCTCATCGAACAAATTAGCGGGTAAGCTGACTTATAACTCTTCTATAGAGCGTGTTCGATTGACCCATCACGTAGGTCATGGGAGCACAAGGAGGAATACGATCGTCTCAAACTGGAACAGGAACGCGCCATCGAAAACAGTGCGCATGCTTTCAATAAGAAACGCGGTGTGACGGCGGAAATCAAGCAATATCAAGAGCAAAAAGCCGAAGCCGAGAAATTCGAAACTCTAGTACGTGAACGTCGCGAACTGGTCGTACAGTATCTGTTGTGGAAATTGTTCCATGTTGACCAAAAAACCGCCGCTTTGCACGAAGAACGTCAAGCCAAAACAGCTCAGGAACAAGCCGCTAAACATGAAGAGGTAGTTTTTAATGCCCGAGATTTTTTCTCTTGATGTTACGTAGGTTCTTGACGTTTCTTCGTTGTGTAGCTCGCTTTGAAAATGAAAATCGACAATGCTTGGAAGGAAAAGGCTCAGATTCATCTTCAAGTTGGAAGAAAGGAACTTCAACTCAAAAAATTGAATAATCAGTTGGACGACCAGGTATACAGCGAGAAAACGCCTGAGAGAGGGGAGTTGAGCCAATGACTGAGCTAATGAATTCGCATCTTATCCAATAGCGACCAATTATGATCAATCTCGAAGAAAAGATCAGCCATCTTCAAAAGAAACTTGCCAAAACACAGCAGACTGGTAATCGCTTGAAACGTGATCAAGAACAACAGGTATTACGCGATACAACTAGACTGGAAAATGAGACAGTCTGTTGATATGTTTTACTTCATACTTAGCAAGCTGTGGTGGATGGTTTGAACAAAGATTTGGAAACCCTGAACATGACAGAGCACAGCTACAATGGTATGCATATCATGCGATGGCGGTTCGTGTGAAAAAAAAAAAGGGTTGATTGTCTCATATACCCTTTGTTAGCGTCCATTCCGGAACCTGCATCCGTCAGCGGTCCTTCCTTGACACCCGATCAACTGGCAGAATACGAGCAACTGTAAGGATGACAAATCTTAACAAGGAAGCACACTATCTGACCGTGGTTTTGTTTTAGGAAACAACAAGTGAGTGTGCGTGCGGTGGACGAACAACAGCAGCTTTCGGATTTGCAACGAAAGTATAAGCTGGCGCATCAGAACCTCGAATATCAAGAATCCAAGCTTCACGAATATCAGAACAACGAAGCCCAGCTTTTGCATGATGGACGACAGTTGGAAGAAACTATTCACGATCTCAAAGCCGAAGGACAACAAATGACGGAACAACTTGAAGCTCGTAAAAGCGAATTGGCCTCGCTCGAACAAGATCGTAAAACGAAACAGTAAGTACTTGTCATCGCAGTTAGACGGCGTTCTACTGACCAGCTTCAAACATTGGATGAAATGTATAAAGTCAGCGTGAAGTGAAATTGAATGAAGATCTTCAAGAAGTGTTGAACAAGCTACTGAAAATCAAGGCCGATCAACAAGAGACCGCCAAAGAAAGCAAATTCAAAGAAAGTTTGGTCATGATGAAGCAGATCTATCCAGGTATCTTTCGACTTGATCCATTTCCTCGCTTGTGAGAGCTTCTTAATGTCCTTTTGTTGTACATGTAGGTGTGCATGGCAAACTGGTGGATCTATGTAGACCCATTCAGCGAAAGTATGATATTGCGGTTTCTACCGTGCTCGGTAGACATATGGATTCCATTGTGGTAGAAGATCAAAAAACCGCCATTGAATGTATTCAGGTAAAAAAAGGAGATGCGTGCGACTCGGCGCTTTGACAGATGGATTTCTGACGGTAGTTTTCCATAGTATATGCGAGAACAGCGTGTGGGGACAGCTACTTTCCTACCCATCACAGGTCTCAAAACATCCAGCATCAATGACCGTCTTCGCAACTACGTCCGAGGAGCTCGTCTCGCATTCGATGTCATCAACTATGACAAACACTATGAAAATGTCATGCAGTTTGTGTGTGGCAATACTTTGATTTGCGACAACTTGCAGATCGCCAAACAAATCTGCTTCGAAAAGAAGGAAGACCTAAAGACGGTGACCTTAGATGGAACGGTCATCCATCGTAACGGCTTAATGACCGGTGGTCAAAGCGGATCTGACGAAGGAAGACGATGGCAAGAGAGAGACGTCGAAGGTAGGTAGCTCAATTCTACTGTTGCAAATCGATATGCTTACATGATGGACCGTTTCCCAGGATTGATGCGTACGCGTGATAAACTCTTGAGTGAATTGAACGAGCTCAGTAAAAGTAAGCGCATGGGCAGTGCCGAAGAAATCGCGAGAAGCGACTGTGCAGGTTTGGAAAGTCGCATTTCCGTGCTTCAGGACGAGACTGTAAGTAGCAACTCGACAACCCGAAAAGAAAATCAAGATTATTAATTGGATCTGGTATTTTTTTTAATAGACCACCAATAGCCGAAAGCTGGAAGGCATGGAAGGATCGTTGCAGGATGTACGAAGCAAGATTGCAGAAGTCCAAGCGGCTTACAACCAGGTATTTTGTTGATTTTGTAACCATCCTTCATTGATAATCTCCTTAACGAATCCGTCTTTTAGGCAAAGGAAAATCTGGATGATGTGAACCAAAAGATCCGTGATTTGAAGCAAAGCATTGCTGTGATTGAAGACCAAGTATTTGCTGATTTAAGCTCGCGAATTGGTGTTGCCAATATTCGAGAATATGAAGCGGCGCAATTTGGGGCATCGGACGAAGTCCTTGAGCGTCGTGCTCAATTTGCAGCCCAGCGTTCTCGACTAAACACCCAATTGGCCTTTGAAGTCGAACAACTGAATGAACTGATTGAACGTCTCCAAAAGCTGCAAGTAACATTCGACAATGATCAGGCGGCCGAAACGCGATTGCAAGAAGAATTGACCGGTTTATCTGCTAAACAAGAGAAAATCAAGTCGGATATTGAGGCGTACAAGGTGCAATTGCAAGAACAAAAGGAATTGGAGACCAAAAAACAAGAAGAATTGGATGAAATTCGACGCACGCACGAAAGTAAAGGAAACCTTGTTGTCGCGTTTATTAACGAAAATGCGAAATTCGATGCTGAACTCGACAAGGTGCATGCTGAACGAGTCGCGCTTTTCCGTAAATGCAAACTGGAAGACATCGATCTGCCTCTACTAAGTGGTAACATGGACGATGTGCTCATGGATGACGAAAGTGAACTTGTACGTTGGAACTCTATGCGTTGATTGATAGATTTTCTTACTAATCTACTTGCACCAGAATGACGGCGATGCTATGGATTTGGACACGCCGTCCCAACGATCAATCCGATCCACGGACTGGACGGTGGAAATTGATTTCTCAAGATTGGGTCGTGAACAACGTGCTGACAATAGCGCACGTCTTGAGAAGGAGTTCCAAGACGAAATTAAGCGCCGTGGTGAAGAAATCGATCAAATGGCGCCGAACCTCAAGGCCATTGATCGCTTGGAAGGCGTTGAACAGCGGTTACGAGAAGCCGAAGAGGCATTTAATGAAGCGAGAAAAACCACAAAGTTGGCCAAAGAAAGGTTCAATACCGTCAAGTTGAAGAGGCAAGTCCCTTTTTCATGATCTACTTTTCGGAATAGAACAGCATGAAAGTAACCTGCCTACACCTGTTTACAGATATAGACGATTTTATGATGCGTTCAGTCACATCTCTGAGAAGATTGATCAGGTGTACAAGGATCTCACAAAGAGTATCACCTTCCCACTAGGTGGTACGGCGTACCTGAGTCTTGAAGATTCCGAAGAACCGTATTTGGAAGGCATCAAGTATCACGCCATGCCGCCTATGAAGCGGTTCAGAGACATGGAGCAGTTGTCGGGTGGTGAAAGAAGTGTGGCGGCCTTGGCGCTTTTGTTTGCTATCCACAGGTACGTCTCTCAGGCGGCGATGCCGTAAAGCAACGATAAACCCATCTGACTTTTTCACGGGCAATTTTTCTAGTTACCAACCGTCGCCGTTCTTTGTATTGGATGAAGTGGATGCGGCTTTGGATAACACCAACGTAGCCAAAGTGGCCAACTATATCCGCGAGCATGCCAATGCCAATTTTCAATTCATTGTTATTTCCCTCAAAAACACACTCTACGAAAAGGCTCAAAGTTTAGTGGGCATCTACCGCGATCAGGAGTTCCATTCCAGCAAAACACTGACGCTCAAGGTAAGTGATTAAACACGCATGGATTTTTAAGATTTCACTCTCAAACACAATCGCTCTTTTTTTTCTTTCCTGTAGCTCGATCAATATCAGGAATAAATAGAGAAATTGCATCGCCTGTATCTCTATGGAGGGTAGATAAAAGCATGTAAATATAAAGAAAACCACCTATTGCTTCATTTACAAGAGGACTACAGTGCATATCGGGTTTTATATGTGAATGGCCTATGAATGAACATGACAATGACAGTGGAGTATGAAATATGCAGGGAATGTCGGATTAACTGTACATTATAATCTATGAAAGGATGTTTTTTAAAAATTAGCATCTAGGAAAAGGGAGGGGAGGAGAGTTCACGTATTTATCCAAACTTTTTACGCAATCGATCATAGGCCAATTTATCCTACAATAAAAAAACCGGTGTCAGCCCAAATTCAGCGACAAGCATGAAAAAATAACATACCTGAGGCAATACACTAGGGGATACTTTCGAAAACGCAGTATCAAAATTTTCCTTTTTCACATAGACTTCCTTGACACTCGCGTCCACACCGGTCGCCGCAATTCCGCCGCGATAGAACGTATTTCGTAACGCTGAAACTGCACTTTCTCTCACCAACGAGGCCAAATCGGCACCACTGTATAGAACCATAAAATCAGCATTCTGAAACAGAATGTGCACTTTTTCCAACGCAATGATAACGGTACCTGAAGCCCTCACAACGAGAATCATTCGCCACCTCTTCCAATGAAATATCGGCCGCCAACGGGGTGTTCTTTGTCAGTTTGGTAAGGATATCCAAGCGTTCACCAGGAGTAGGAAGTTCCACATAAAGCAGTTTGTCGAGACGTCCAGGACGTAACATGGCAGGATCAATCATATCTGCCATAAATTGAATGAGATCAGCTGCGGCAAGACGCCATGGCTAACAAACTTACCAGGTCGATTGGTAGCTGCAATGACATACACTTGGGCACGGTTTTCCACACCATCCAACTCTGTCAGCAACGTGTTGACAACGCGTGCAGACGAATCGGTCTATATACAGTTTAGTAAGAACTTACGTTACGATCGTCGATTTCCACAGTTGACCCCTTTACCTGTTGATCATCACGTCTGGAACACAGGGCGTCCAATTCATCGAAAAAGATGACACAAGGAGCAGAAGCTCGTGCTCTGGCAAATACCTGACGCACGCCACGTTCACTTTCACCCACGTACTAGAATGGAAAAAAGGTCGGAGATCAATAACTATTAGAAAAATGATGCAATGACCATGTCGTACCTTGTTAAGCAGTTCTGGGCCTTTGACAGAAATGAAATTGGTGTTGCTCTCGTTGGCCACTGCTTTGGCGAGCAGTGTTTTACCGCAACCTGGAGGACCCCACAGGAGTACGCCTGCAGGAGATGAAATACCCACGCGTTCAAAGAATTCAGGATGGTTGATAGGTTCAACGACGGCCATACGTAACTCGTCGCGCACAAATGACAAGGCACCAATATCCTCCCAGGTCACATCGGGAACAGTGGCAAAACCTTCACGTTTGGAGGACGGTTGCACCTTTTTCAAGGCATGCTGGAAATCTTCCTGTGTGATAGCCAAGGATTCCAGTTGCGCTGGTGAAAGCGGTTCCTTGTGGGCCTGAATGAAATCGGAAATCGATCTCAACTGTTCCAGCGCCGATTGATTCTCAAATTCTTCCACACTGGTCGTCTGGATCGGTGATGCGTCCATACCATCGACTTTGGTCTCGTCCACGTCCATTGAGTTTTCGTTCACAACGGGTGCGGGTGGCGGAGGTGCTTCGATGGCTGTGCGTAAATGCTTGAAGATGCGTTTGACAGCAATCACACCCGCCGTGGTAATCAGTGCCTGAAGATCGGCACCCACGTAACCTGGCGTGGCTTTGGCGAGCCCGCCAAAATCAAATGTACCTTCCAATCTCAATTTGGCGGCCAATACCGTCAAGATCCTAAAAATTCTTAATGAGTATCTCAGGCGCGCAAAATGACCGGTGACCCATTTTGGCATCTTACTTTTCGCGGGCCTTGTCATCGGGGACACCCATGCTGATTTCTCGATCGAAACGTCCAGCTCGTCGCAAAGCGGGATCAAGCGAATCGGGACGATTGGTGGCACCAATAATCATTACAGGCTTATTATCGGTTTTATCCCACGATAAATCTGCACACAAAACTGTTAATACATCACCGTTGCCTCATGCACAATTCTTCAACAAGACTCGTACCATCCATGCAAGTCAGCAACTGAGCGACAATACGACGTTCCATTTCTCTTTGCGCAGTTTCACGTTTCGGGGTAATGGCGTCAATTTCATCAATGAACAACAAGCAAGGGGCGTTGGACTAGAGACAACAACTCGTATTAGACTTTCGACTTTGTATAAATTAGTAGTATCGATTGATTTACCCTAGCTTCCTCGAATACATCGCGAATCTTCTTTTCTGATTCGCCAGACATGCCTGAGACGATCGACGGTGCGGAAATATTGATGAATGGTATATTGAGTTCCTGCATATGAAACGTCGTGTCAGCCAAAGATAAAAACACAGCCACAGCAAAAATCTTTCAGCATACGTACACCTGCAATGGCGTGAGCTAATTTTGTTTTACCGCAGCCGGGAGGACCGTGAAGAAGCACACCTCTGGGCGGTTGCACACCGGTGTGAATGTACACTTCGGGATGCGCAAGTGGCATAGCAATGAGTTCCATAATTTCCTCCACACAATGATCAATGCCACCCAGGTCCGACAATCTAGCACTGGGTATGAACGGCGCGTCTCGTCCTTCGGCTGTGAGAAAAAAAAATCTCAATCAATGCGATCCTGATCCCCATTGTTATCTATAAATGAAACTTACTTTTGGCACGCTTGGTGGAGGATGCTCCATCTCTGGCTTTGGAACGTTTCTTTGTTCTGGTTTCGGGCTTCTCTTCCGATTTCTCGTCTGGCTTGTCTTCGGTGGGCAATGCTGGCATATCTTCCGTCACTGGTGTATTAGCCGCCGATGTGCCTGGGGTGGCTACAACGCTGGAAGGAGATTCTGCGGAGGCTTTTTGCAGGTTCCATAAACCCGTTACTGATTTATTCATGGCATTGTTATCTTGGGCGGGCTTTGGAGTTGGATTAGCGTCTTGCATTATACTCGCAGGTAGATATCGTGAAAGCCACGCAGCATTTCTTCCACTCACCAAAGCGTATTCGCCTTCCTCATCCGTAGAAACCGTAGTTCTGTACATTGTCATTAGATCCCCTTTCTACAATGTTTGTTATTTATTAAAAAACGTCCAACGCGATACTTACGAATCAGGCTGCTCTTCGGCCATGGTTTCAAAATTGGGTAAAACTAAAAAGAATTACAGCATTAGCTTTGCAATGAAATACGTCAGGTTATTTCGTATACAATACCTTTTTCAATAACCATTTCAATTTGACGTTTCTTGACTCTCCTTAAGGACACATCGACTCGTTGCACGTAATCATAAAGCGCAAATAGGCTCCAATCGGTGTTGCCGGCATTTTTATAATCGGTCAGATGCCTCGAAATCTTGAATTCTAGAGATCGTGACAATCGACTGTACTGTCCACCACCTCTTGCTCGGTTCATCGTGCTTAAAGTTACAAGAGGTTTATCTGATAACTGGGTGTAATTTTTTTTTTGATCTCATTGGGTGCTGTGGAAATTTTATTAGCCACCCGAGGTAAGACAGTCCCATTCAGGTGCGGGCCGAACAAATTCGCGGCAGAGCCAATTGAATGAAAAAATATTCAGAGGTGAGGGAGACCCAACCAGGCAGTGTGGGGGGGAGCGAGGGCTGCCAAATCGGGAGGTGACTAGAATACTAATGGATCCTTCTCTTCTCTTTCTTCAAGGCAAAGATGGCTAGAGTAAGTAAGAGCTTGATTAAACTGCTTGGATGCAGAACCATCTTTGAAATTCTCGATGGATTACCCGCCGATGACCTTCGCTTGACCCTTTCATTCCTTGAAAATTCGTCGTCTTCATATACAAATTCATCCGTTCTATCGGCGATACGACACCTCCACATGACCAATGCTCGATTCAAAAGTACAACGACGACGCTTTACGGACATTGCACTCGTTGTCAAAACGGTTGATACTGACGCTTTTTGGACTTCGTTATATGAATTGGCCCGGAAAATTCGAGATGGTTCTGCATCCTGCGTCTGCCACTTGCATTCAATGTTTTAGATGATGATCTTAATCCATTGTTCTCTTTTAACAGTTCCACGAATATCAAGTGGTTGGTCGCAAGCTCCCTTCTGCTCAGGAGGTTGCTCCTAAGCTCTACCGCATGAGAATTTTCGCTCCCAATGTGGTGGTTGCCAAGTCCCGCTTCTGGTACTTCTTGAAGAAGCTCCGCAAGGTCAAGAAGGCCGCTGGTGAAATCGTTTCCATCAACGAAATCTCTGAAAAGCGTCCTGAACAGATCAAGAACTTTGGTATCTGGCTCCGTTACGACTCTCGCTCTGGCACCCACAACATGTACAAGGAATACCGTGAAATGTCCCGTGTCGAAGCTGTCGAAACCTGCTGTAAGTTGATCCAGTCGATAACATTTGCGAGGGACATTCAGGTTGATGGAATGGAGTACTGATGATTGAATGGTGTTAAAATAGACCAGGATATGGCTGCTCGTCATCGCGCTCGTTTCAGCTCCATCCAGATCATCCGTGTTGCTGAGATCGCTTCTGCCGATGTCCGTCGCCAGTACATCAAGCAGCTTTTGACTCCCAAGCTTTCCTTCCCCTTGCCTCACCGTATCCAACGCGCTGAGAAGGGTCACCGCTCTTTGTTCGTCGCCAAGAGACCCTCCACCTTCTACTAAACCTTTGCTCTTTAGTATCTTGCCTTTGTTTTGTCCTTGTTGATGAGACATGAAAAAAATAAATAATACAGAAATTTGTTATTCATTGATGGTGTGGTTTCTTTATTGTTAGTCATGGCGATAAGCGTAACAGTTGCATAACACGATCAAACATGGATCACCAAGAAAAGAAAAGGGCTCTTGACTCGACGTTACTGAGCAGTCACCTTCGTGACGTTCATGTCGCGTCCAGAATTCGAAAGGCTCGAAAAAAAAAGTTGGACGCGTTTCGTTCAACAGCTGCACTTTTAAACATAATCACACCTATATTATAATGAGCAGCTCTATGGATATCGATGCGAAAGCCAAATCTGAAGGCTATGTGTTACCATGGTATGGACCATCTCAATTGTGGTCCTAAAAGCGCTCCGAGCTAAATTTTATTTGACAGGGTCGAAAAGTACAGACCAGTTTATCTCAAAGATATCGTGGGCAATGAAGACACTGTTTCACGATTACAGACCATTGCACGCGACGGCAATTTGCCTAACATTATCTTGACGGTAAGCTGTAAATCCGTAGTATACAAGACTCAGTGTACTCATACCCAATTCAGGGTCTGCCTGGTATTGGTAAAACAACGAGCATTCTATGCTTAGCCCATGAATTGCTGGGCAGTGCTTACAAGGAAGCCGTTTTGGAATTAAACGCCTCGGACGATAGGTAAGAAGAATCCACACGCTCATGCCGTTCCCTTGGAAAGGGCTGACCCAACATTTTTTGTTCTCCCAGAGGCATTGACGTTGTTCGAAACCGTATTAAAGCGTTTGCACAAAAAAAAGTAACATTGCCTCCTGGACGTCACAAAATCATTATTTTGGACGAAGCCGACAGGTAAAGAATGCGATAGACAAGTTGCGATGTTTCCTTTTTTTTTTGGTTTACTTACTGGAGATCACAGTATGACAGGCGGTGCACAACAGGCACTTCGTCGCACGATGGAAATCTATTCGAGCACCACACGATTCGCGCTGGCGTGTAATCAGTCCAACAAAATCATTGAACCTATCCAGTCGCGATGTGCCGTTTTACGATATGCACGACTCAGCGACAGTCAACTGCTCCATCGTCTCATCCAAATCTGCGAGAAAGAAAATGTGCCTTACAATGACGGCGGCTTGGAAGCGCTTATATTCACGGCCGACGGTGATATGCGTCAGGCCATCAACAATCTACAATCTACCTTTTACGGTTTCAAATATGTCAGCGCAGACAATGTGTTCAAAATTTGTGACCAGCCTCATCCTGTCGTGATTCAAAATATTCTGCAAAACTGTGCCGACGGCCGAGTGGATTCGGCGGTGAATACCATGAAGGAACTCTACGATTTGGGTTACTCTGCGTTAGATATCATTACCACCATCTTTCGCGTGGTGAAAAACTATGTGCAACTGGACGAGCAGCTCCGGCTAGATTTCTTAAAGGTAGGCGAGAAATGGATGTTACGCGCGATAAGTTTTTCCCCCAGACTCATCCCATTTGTTCTTAGGAAATCGGCTTCACACACATGCGCATTATCGACGGTCATCAAAGCTTAGTACAATTATCGGGGCTTGTTGCCAAATTATGCAAAGTCTCTATGAAACCCCATCAGCAAGCATAGCTCTACATTCTCTATTCATTTTACAGTTGGATTGAAAGAAAATTCAGCGATTCTCTTTCATTAAATCTTTCAGCGGGTTTGCAGACATTTTTTTGACCCCACTTTCATAGAATTTACCATGCGTCCCTGACGAGAAGGGTTTGACAGCAGTGAAAACAATTTTGAGACACTCCAGCTAAACAATTAGATACAGTGCGCAACAATTCTGGGATCGATCACAAAACTTGGGGATTCTTTTGGAAATTGATAAGCCCAGGTTACACTGGATCATTTTGCCAAATTGGGTCGCTAACGCGAAAGCTGGATAATACGCGCTAAGATGCACACTTTTATTTCTTCTCTTCTTGCTATGATTGTTGTAGCATTTACGTCCCCATCCATCTTTTTTCATCCCTTGCATGGCATCTCACACAAGCTCCTTTCCAGCTTTCTGTCAAGATATATATATATCTCTAAAAAGAAACTCTCAATACTTGCGGTTGATTGATATTTCAATGGCCAGTGGGATTTTTCCTCTTTCGATCTTTTCGCTTGTCAAGCAAAAATGCAATATGCGTCGCCAAGAAGGAATCCCGATGCCCGGACGAAGTGTGAGCATCACTGCTTTGTTTACAATGTGTTTCGGGAAACGTGAATGACATTTCTAAGGCGCGCAGGTTCGTCGGGTACGCAGGCGCCTCTGCGACAGATATGGGTGTTTGCACGCAACAATTCTGTCATGGCGTACATACCATCCGATTGCAGCTTGATCAAATAAAACACGATGGAAGGTGCTAGGAAATGGATTACATTCAGCGTGGTTTTTTTTTTTTTTTTTTTTTTTTTTTTTTTTTTTGGAGCATATGCTCACAAACCTACCGACAATGTATATACTGATATTGCCACCAAGATGATGATCGCCAATGGCATTTTTGCCGAAGAACGCCAGGCACACCAGATCCCAGTTCATCAAGTAATGGTTGCTTGCCATAGAGTTTTTGGATATAGGCGAGTATCATGGATGTCGCAAAATTGGTCGCTCGTGGTTTCGCGCACCGTAAAATACCGCAGCTGGCAGCGAGTTTTTTCGCGGCTGACGAGCAAAGCGAGCTGATCGATCAGAGACAACTGCTGGATGATGCGCAAAGGTTGGCCGTCTTTCGCAAATCGAGGTATACTGCAATGTGGGCATTCCCGTGCGTTATCATTTTTCAAGAATTCATGTAACATCCAGGCTTGCACATCGAGAAAACATGCGGCTTGATGGCATAGCTCTTGCGACCATGCATTTTGGCGACATGATGACTCCATAGCCGCTCAGCACGATCACCGATGTGATGATTGATCCGCTTCACCACGACCTCGTGGCGCGCTAAACTGCGTGAAGTACTGTGACATGTCAATGCTTGCTGCGACGCCCTCATCCTTCTGTTCGTATTTGGGCATCACGTCGATAACTGCTCATCGTCAACGCTCCCATTCCAGAACCTACTTTGTAATGGTTGGAAAACAAGTCTACGCCAGGCGCGAAATCAAAGCAGGAGAAAAATGGCATGCAAGACAAATGATGATGTGAGCTGGCAAATTCATTGTTTCTCGATTTGCCAAAAGAACATCTGTTCGAGGTGCTCCAGGTGAGTGACTATCAGAATTGCCGCGCTTGCTGGAGATATAACAATGGGTGGGTGCTTTTTTGTGTGTTTTTCAATTTAGAATGATAATAAAAAAGAAAAAACGTAAAATGGAATTTCTTGGCAGGTCTATCAGAGTTTTCATGGAAAGCGCCGAGTCTCATTCGTGTTGTATTTTATTATCGGTATATGCAAGTTTTGGATATCACGGTACAAGAAAATAGAAAAAGATAGAAAAACAACATCTCAATCGATGATACAAATAATGGGGACGAAAACAATCAGTGAAATAAAGGTTTCTCAGCAGTTTGTCGTTTTGTAAAGATTGGTTCAAACCGTGCTTCATCCAGCATCGTTTCGTTGCGGACACATTGATCCACCCACTCTGTGGTGACAAAGCGCGGCTGCAGTTGACCACGAAAAGCTTTGGTAAGCTGCATTAAGCGTGATACGTCTTCTGCGTCCATGATAATGTGAGTTACACCTTCCTTTGGTTTATCCACAATCTGTCCGCCTCCAAAGGCTATACGTTGGGAAACGAGTTTTAGCTTATCACGAATCCGCTGGTCGTGAACCCACTGCATGGTCATGTTTTCGATATCCGGTTTGTTTAAATCGATGCTGGGCAAATCCACATACGCCACGACGGTTTGAAACAGCATCCCGGGAATTCCATCCTGGAAATATCGCCGATGAATTTCACCGACCAAAGCACGCGCATTCTTCATACTGATGGGTTCAACAGGGACATTTGGAAGAACCTACAGAGTCATGAACATTGTTAGCCGCACCTAATTTTCTACTGTGCTTCCTATGAAAGGTACCTCGCGCAGGCTTTTCTCTGTAGCTTCCACCGTATACGGATCTCCATACTCGTCCATTCTGTTAAGAAAGTCATGTTGTGTCTTTTCCGTGATGAAAAACATGTATCTAAGCCAAGATGGATTAATATTCACACCGCATCATGGTGGAGATGCTTTTCCTGGTTACCTTGGCGTTAAAGGGACCAGGTCGTGCTGATCTACGCAATCAAGTATCCACTGCGGCTTGATAATATCATGTTTCTTGAAATGAATCATACTATCGACGCGCACATCTGAAGCAAGAAAAAATACAGTTGAATTGTGTGCATATCCTGGTGAACGTTCGTTACTGATTACTTTTTTTCCCTGCAATGACATAAGCACCGTCACTGTTCTGCTTGAAATCGCCTCCGTTCTCAATGATGAGCTTTTCCAGGTCGGCCTTGCTGTAACCAGCCTCTCCGTTGATCACATCTATAGATAAGAAAAGAAAGATAAGCTCAATATTTCACTATGGTCAATGGTACTAAACGTACAAAATATCATGTCTTCAAATAAAAGACTCTTTTTCTTCAGACCCGCGGTATTAATGCCTTGCTGCGTTTCCAATATTTTATAGGGTAGAGACTATAGATATCCTGAATAAGCATCCCTATCTGCATCACTTGACGTTCGCACTTACGGGTCGAAAGGCTGCCGGCTTTTTCGCTCGTTTGCTTGGCGAATGGCCACTGGTACAACGTAGGTAAATACACAGAGCATGATTTCGGCAAATAGACGAAATAGAGACTTACAGGAAATCAGCTTGGGACGTAGATTCTCGTTTTTGAGAGGCATTCACTTTTCCCTCTCGCCGAGCATTGATCATTTCTTCATATAAGAGCGTGAGCGGCCGACAGTGATTGGCTATCCACTTGCCAAGCACATACCTTTTTGCGTCATGATATCCTGCCATCCTTTATCTTTTCGAAATCGAACGAATCGTGGAAAACGCAGCGTGCTTCCGGCGCCAAATTGATCTGAAACATGAAATAGCGATTAATAAATCGTGCACGATGGGGCCCCTGCGATTTAAAAAAAAAAAAAACATTACTAGTCCAAGTAATTTCGGTTGCTTTCACTTCTACCACAATTGAACTAACAAGAACAATAAGTGCCAAAGAGCGACGAGCCGTGTTCACAAGCTGAAGCTTCTTACTCTGCGTAATCGATAATCACATCTGGTACTTCGCTTGATTTCGGAGGATGAATAAGCCAAGGAGGTTGTTTCTTGCTATTGTATGGCTGGGCAATGGGTAATAGTTTGCTACGGGAAAATACGCCGCTGTAAGCTGAATGTACGATAGGATATCGAGGAAATAGTATGATACGGTCTCACTTTACCTAAATTCCTCCAGTTCTTCCATCGTATAACCACTGCCCAGCATGGCAAACGTAATAAATCTGGTGCAAACGTCAGTGCTGTGGTTCCAGGTACCTCGGAAATAAGAAAAGATGTGAGGGGATCTTACTTTGGACCTTCAGCTTCTGGGACTCGATCGTCGCGTATAGCACATAGAAACTGTGCTAGTCGGTTGCCACGTCTTCCCGTGCCATATTTTGCCCCTAAAACATCGTCACACTTTAATACGACAACCACAGTAAACAAGGCATGCATAAGCCGATTATTACCAACCACGAGTAGGTCACAGTTATCGTGTATACTGTCAATATATTCTGGTTTTAGTTTGATCCAGTTGGGGTTTCGAGCACCAGGCTCATAGATAGAGCTAGGGTTCTTCACTACGATGCCTTCTTCTCTGTGATCGTTGGACAATCGATAGTTAGTTGCATACTTTTTGAGCGAAATTGCAAAAGTTCTACAGTACCTGTTTTGAATGGCTTTCTCCAGGGCATCTACAATGTCTTGCAAGGTAGATTTTTCGAGCCTGGGCAAAAGATTCAGATGGCCACGGTTCTCTTTTACCACAGCATTCAGTGTTTTGAGGCGGTCCACCAGCGGGTAATTGACCATGGGTGTATTGTTACAGTAAACGATATCAAATACAATGACTATGTTTGCAGCATAAAATTGTCAATATCCGTAATCGAGGCAGAGAAAAAAAAAAGGGAAATACATTACAGCATGGTCTCGCCTTGAGCGGGTTCGTGTCCAAATCTGCTCACAGAGTAAGTCCAGCATCCACACTATTTGCTTGTCATTTAACATACCTTTGGCGGACGATTTCAATGTACCAAACGGGAGATAAACATCGAGGTTTGGATCATATGCCACCATTTCGCCATCGAGAATCATACTAGATTATATCAATAATACAATCCATGAAGGGCCACGAATATGTAACCCACCTGTCCGCTCTCAAATTTTTGAAAATAGCCCCAGCCAGTTTGTCAGGTATTGGACTATCGCCGTACATTTCCGTATAGTCCGTCGCTTTTCTACAAATCCGTTTCAGAAATCCCTCTGTGTATATTTTTGCAATTACATCGGTTTTACCTTGTCCACCATCGAAATCTCTGTGATCTTCTATCGAAATGCATTTGCATACGTTCGCCGTCGATTTTTTGCTCGATATAAAAGCGACCATCCGAACTGAATTTTCGAACATTTTTGGGAACTTCCCTCAGACTCAGTTGCGGTTTGAAAGGCTGGAACAATTGGATGCTCTACAACAAGTGGGGTAAGATGATGGTGAGAACAGAGAAATTCATCACCACTTACGGTTTGGCCAACAGCGATGAGCGGGTTTTGTAGGTCCTCGCACACTTTTTGGAGGTTACTGCAGACATCATAAAGCTGGCGTGCCTGATGATGATAAACATCAAAGATGGAATTTTCAGACATGCCGATTTTTAAGTCTTACAGATACGTCGATATTAGACGATCGAGCAATCGAATGAGGTGAATGGATGGCTGTCTCACCTTTTAGGATGATGCGGATGATCCACTTTTGCTCAAAGGCTGTGTAATTATTTACGATTTCTTTGAACAGTTCTTCCTTTTTTTTCTCATTGCTAAACAGCATTATTGGTTCATGCTCAGGTGTGTGCAGAGTTTGGTATTTTTACCTTTCAGAGTGACTGAGGCGATCCAGCATCATGTTCACGTCGTGTACAGTTTGCGTCGGGGTCATGACGGTGGAACGACTCTTGATGATCTCGTAAGCAACTGCGGCAAAGTCGCCCGAGGATTTCTTGACGATTTTGTAAATAATGCTATTTATCTCACATCCGTTCCGTTTCTGAACCAACTTACGGTATACTTTGATGTGGATGGCAATTTCCAGTTGGTCAAATTATAAGCGTCGTCGGACTTTTTCCCCAAGCCTAATGCATCTACATATGCCTTGGCCAATTTGGCTTCTTTGAGGTTATATCGTCGATTTTTATCGAGCTACCCATTAAAACAGTGGGAAAAAGGCTGATAAATATAAATGATATTCAGGCCCTAATCATTTTACATACATGGGGAAGAAACAATCGCATGGCTTCATAGAAATCATCGCCATAATCGGCTCGCCATTGATATAAGTAATGTTGCACCACTCTCTTTTTTTCCTGAGTGCCACGAATACTGCTAATCTTTTGGAGTACCATACACAGGTTGGTGAACAATGGCGATCGAAATGTACTGCTCGACATGATTTACGAGCGACTGAATGGATCTGGGATCAACGCGCATTCTTTTTGCGTACAAAACCGGTCGTTTCACTTATGCAATTGAATATTGTGACTGTTCACCATTCTCAGGGATCCACAAAAAAATTCAACAGTTGTCGTTGAATTATTCAACGGTGAAAGTACCGACAGCCACTCGAATATCTTTATCAATGGTTGTTTCTTGCTTCTCCATAGCCAAAGAACTCATGTGGCAGGCACATATTAGATTCGCTTAACTATTGCATATTGCATGAAGGAAAGCAGCACAATTTCACTGTCTTCTGTTCAAGTAAACTTTTCCTTGGAAAATGTTTCAGTTCCCTTGATCCAGGTCTCTCGTCGGAACGTTGTAATTCACATCATCACTCACGTTCAATGACAACATTTGATCGATCTAATTCAAATCCCGCAATTACTGTAAAAGGACGAAATCAAGGATTGGGAAATTTCTCGGAACTTTCACTGGGATCGATGCTGCGAGGTTACACGAGGCATAAAGTAACAACCACACAGGCTGTTATCGGTGCAATCACGCTCCTGGTGGTGGCAGGGGCTATTTACTATCCACGGAGACGCGGGCGTCGACAAGTGTCTCAGAAAAAGTCTCGGGGACCTGCTAGTAACTCGCAGGAACGGAATGACGATCAAAAGGAGATTCCTGAAGAAGAGGGCACTTCCGTCCTTGACATGGCAACAAGTATTTTAGAAACCACCAGCCAGGCGATTATAGATGTGGCCATGCCAGCTGCTAATGACACCAACGAATTAATTGGCAAGTTGTTCAGTCTCGACTACTCATTTTCGCTGTCGACAGTGTCCTTGGGCATGCCGGAACTCCCCTCTGTTACTGACGTCAACGATCGTCTTTACGACGTGTATGTGTCGCAGCTGGAGAACCTGCGTGAAATGTATCTTCGCTGCTGGGAAATCCTATCGTTGCAAGATTTTCGAAAGTTGGTTGAGGAGACTAGGCTGGAAGATCAGGATGCGTCGGTGCATCCGGAAGTGGAGTGGGATGCCTACGTGCGGTAAGCGTCAACAGCTTTTTGACGAGAAAACAAATCCACGAGCTAATTGACGAATAAATCATAAAGTGAGGGATCAGATTTGCCAAAGGAGGAGTTGAAATATATAAAGTTGCGAAAGGAACGGCAGCGGGAAGCGTTTGCCCGATTCATTGGCGTCGATCCTTTAGAAGTAGATGTCCGAGATATTCCTGTCGTGGGAATCGCTTCAAGGTAATAGATACCGACTGACACTTGTACGATTTGCTCACATGCAAAATACTCGACAGTGGTGGCGGCTATCGTGCTATGGTAGCGAGCTCTGGTTATTTAAAGGCAATGAAGGACGAAGGTCTGCTTGACTGCGTGATGTATATGGCAGGTAAACAGTCTACTCACCTATCCTCATACCATAAGACATGTTGTAACGGTGGGAATATTGTGTTTGTACAGGCATTTCCGGATCTACATGGGGAATGGCGCAGTTGTACAGCTCTCTTACGGATGCTTCACTGGAGACATTGGCCGATCATTTACGGAGTCACATCCACACGCATATTGCCAATCTTTCGAATTTCCTAACGGTGCTGAATGCTTCAAATCACAACATGAAGATGCTGATGCAAGGTATCATTCAGCGGTACTATCAACAGAACGGAGCGATTAGCCTTGTCGATATTTTTGGCGCACTCTTGGGTGGCACCTTATTGACCAAAAAGGAGACCATTGTGCAAGCTGATGATAACAGCACACGTACCATGCACAAAGAGTATTCAGAGGAAATTGAACGTGAGGATATTGGAGAGCAGAGCCGTGTCAGTGACGGCACTTTGGAAGATGAGGATGGGGCCAAAATTCGACCGCGATTTATGGAAAGAACCGATGTCAAACTCTCCAAGCAACGACGCTACATCGAGGATGGTTCCATGCCGATGCCTATTTACTGCGTTGTACGACATGAAGTCAAAGAAATTGAGCAAGCAGAAGATAATCATAATCCTGAGGATACGGAACGTCAAAGGGAACATACAAGCGATGAGGAAGAAGAGGATGAAGATAACGATCGTTATCAGTGGTTTGAGTTTACTCCGTATGAAATGGGAAGCGAAGAGTTGGATGGTATAACAAAACCCGGGTTTGAAACAAAAATGTTCTTTACTGACCTCGTAATTAGTATGGATCCCTGTGTGGGCTTTTGGCCGCAAGTTTGAAAATGGAAAGAATACAACGAAATTACCTGAACAAACCTTGGGTGTTATGATGGGGTGGGTTTATTTTGTTCATGGCAATGCTTCACTGGGAAATGACTAATGTTTTTGTGATACATAGCATGTTTGGCTCTGCTTTTGCAGCGAGTCTTTCACACTTTTACCAGGAAATTCGCAATTTCCTACCCGAGGCCGCGCAACAAAAGATGGATGAAACAGTCATGGCATACGAGTACGCCATGTCCACCATGCATCCTATTTCTCCTGCTACTTTTCCCAACCCTTTCTACAAACTGCCTCCGAAAGAAGACGACGATCCGCGCGGCGTGAAGCGAACCGAGTCTTTGGTGTCCTCGGAACAGTTATGCTTGATGGACGCTGGTATGGACAACAACCTTCCATTTTATTCGTTGCTGCGGAAGGGTCGGAATGTCGATGTCATTTTGACACTGGATCTGAGTGCCGACATTGATTCGTCCGATTATTTTGAACGCGCTGAAGGCTACGCGAAGCGTCGCGGTATTGAAGGCTGGCCAGTTGGAGCGGGATGGCCTAAAACCAGTATCGAAAAAGCAGTCGAGACAGCAGACGGAGGTGTGGAAAAGGCAACGTCCGAATTTCAAGAAAATACCAAAGCGTCCAATCCGACTGGCGAGCCACAGGATGACAGCTCACGACGTCGCTATGAGTTACCCACCTGCACCGTCTTTGCCTCAACGGCATCGGAAACGGTGCATGTGAATGACAAGGAAACGAACAACAATGAAAAACACACGGTTACCAGTTATCCTGACCACATGAACCCAATTACAGTTGTTTATTATCCACTGATTGTAAACGATAACTACGATCCGGAATTCGATCCACAGACGGCCGAATTCTGCAGTACGTGGAATTTTGTCTACACAGCAGAGCAAGTGGCGAAACTGTCAGATTTAGCAGAAGCCAACGTCAAAGATAACATTGACAAAACCAGACAAGTGTTGAAAGCTGTTTGGGAAAGAAAAAGAAAAGAGAGAATAAACCAGGCGTAAGCGTTTATCTTCATTGTTGCTGTTGTTGTTTCTGTGGTGGTGTGTGCTCCAATTCGTGCAAATGCTTGACTTGCTCAGGTGTACCCTGATTCTCTACTTGGCGAATCTTGCCAGGATAAAGATCCCACTCATTGTAATCCTGCGATTTTCTTGGTTCGTTGGAATGAGGCGGTAAGGTATCCTTGAATGTCTTTTCATTGCCCTTGTTGAGTTCGCCTTGATTCTTTTCTTGTGGATGGTTCGACATCGGTTTCATTTACTTGTTGACAAGGGAGAAGAAACCAAAGCCACTTTTTTTGAACAGCTTTTTATGCAATCACAGGCGTGGAAAAAAAAAGATTTAAGACATCATGACGCATATGCATAAACTGAGTTGCTATTTTTGGTAATCGGAAACTGTGACGAAAGTGGCTTTCGAGAAAAAGAGTATTGGAGAAATCGTGAACCTGGTTAGATGGGAATAAATATGGCCAAGAAGCGTCACTGTAAGCATGGTGCAAGTTACGAATAACAATATGCTGGCTTGTAACACTTTTGGAATATAATTTTGATCGAATGCAAGGTTAACTATTTAAAGTACAGGTTCGGGAGGACTTTTGCACTTGACCTTGATCACAACCATTTAGAGTACGGCGCAGAGCTGTAGGAGCGTGCAATAAAAATAATGGCTTCCTAGCAAAAGAATATTTTTGCAGAAAGCCTACTATCACCGTATCGCTGTCGATCAGGCCAGAAAATGGCCTTTTCAAATCACGCCCTATGAACTCATACAGAGGTTTCTGAAATACGCTTCGGATCGGGGTACGGCCATCGATTGTCACCGTAGGCTGAAGGCTAATATCGAAAGAAGTTAAGTGTTCTTTATCTAGATTACGTGCGAGACGCCTTTCTGACCCGGTTTGGTTTGGAATCATGATATTCGGCTTCTCAATTTCTTGACGCGACATTCCCAATTAAAAAATGTCATAATGATGTTCATCTGAAACAAGGATTTCCTATTGAAGCGAATCGAATAAATTTTTGGACTCTTGGATTCGGCAACCCATCACTATTCTCAAATGCCGCCAGCACATTTGCTGCTGCCTGTGGATCGATCGCGAGGTGATTAATGTACGCTGTTTGTATTTCGATATAGGAAGCATTGTCAATAACCCTCGCAGATACGTAGTCAGCGCTATAAGGTTGTATAGAATGAGAGCCCAGATAGGACTACAGTAGATATTTGGATCGAGAATTTTTGTGCCTTTTTGCCTGTGAAAACCTGCCACTCAATTGACTGTTTGTTATATACAACGCATAATTTCGGATGATTCAATCGACATCTTTTAAGGTGCTCACCGGAAACGATTTCAATCCGTAAGAGGAGATCATTATTTGCCTTAAATCGAGTGTTCAATCTAGCAAGCTCAATAAGCATATTTGTCGTTGATTCATGCAGTGAAATGTGTAAGATTGACGGGCTTACCGGCATATTGAAAACGAAAAATCGCGCACCAACGTGGTCTTTTCCCGATCAAACCGTTTATTTCCAAAATTTGGCCTCGATCTGTGAAATTTTCTGCAAGTTGGTTACTCTTTGAGTTTTTCCTCATCAATTTTTTCAGGGGTGGCAATTTTTCTCCCATCAGTGGCTGTTGAGAAGGCTTATCATGCATGAGGGCTTTCCAAGGTGTTTCGAACAACGGCTGCCCATCAAAAAATACCTCGGCGGACTTGAAATCATCTGGCTGGGCCTGAAAGTCTTCTAAGTAGGGGAGTCCACGGCCGAAGCAAGTTAACAAAACGTGCATTCTATCGGTCAAAGTTCAATGCCGACTATTCATATCCATGAAATCAATAGATTCAAACAATCAAAAGGGTCCTGGATCAAGAATGACTGGTGATAAAACTAGTCCTTACGGTTCTTACCGGCTTCAGAATTATGTTAATTACGGTTTTTTGGGGGTGAGGACCCAGCCATGGCTGTCATTAATAATGTGCAAACTACGACAATCATATGTATTCATCAGAGAAAAAGTTGGAATCATCTTTTTTTTTTTTTTTTGTATTTAGTAGCATACGATCTTGTGCTGTAACATGGGCTGATGTTGGATTGAATCAAGTTGTTCCGGTAGCTGGAAAAGCGCGTCCGTCTGATTACGTGAGGTGCGCCACTTTTTCATGGAATGTAAGACAAATGGTATTGGATTTTCTACTATTCTTGGATGCAGGGAAAGATATATCTTATTCGATCATGATCAATAGATGAAATCCAAGCCAGCATCCATGGCTGAATTGATCCCCAGATAAGTTTTGTACCTCCTATCATAATCCGAAGCAAGGTATTTAGCGGTAAAAAAAAGTGTCAACAAGGGGGCGAAAGACATGGATTGAGACCAACGGTGATCTGTCGCATATATCACTGGAAGCGATTTTCTTTAGAGTAGCGGCCGAACTCTGACCCGCGTTAATGGAATTGTTACACGATTTCGACTTGTGAATTGTTTCTCATTTTCTGCGTTCGACTTTGTGGGTTCACTTTTTGTTGATGTTTTGAACGAGAAGAGGGGGTATAAGTAAACAGTAAACCCCTGAGCTTCAGTGTCGGCAACAATGCGATGTTCCCCTTACAAAAAGGGACAAGTAAAAGCGGCCTGGAAATACGCTAGGGAGCTGAACACCAAAAACAAGGCACACAGGCCTTCTTCGTGTTGTGCAACATCAATAATAAAAAAAACAGCAAAAACTTGAACAAGACTTTATTTATCCTTTTCCCATCGCTCCCACTTACCCTTCTTCCTACTTTCCTTCATAAATTCACCTCCTCCTCCACCGAAACGAACGTTTTTTCTTTCGTCACTTTCCCCCACACATTCCCTATCACGTCAGAATTTTGATATTCTCTTTTACTTTTTGTCGCTCACTTCGCAACTACTATCCTTCAAAACTTTACAATCTCCCTTTCGCCATCTCGCTTTTCTTTTCAGACGTTAAAACAACACCATGGACGCCACCTATCCTAACTTTGGTTTTGATGAATATATCATGCCCACCACTTACGCTGCCTCGCTCAAGTTGGAACCTTATGATGCCCAACTGTATCCTACCACTGGTAAGTCCCAGCCCGTGACGTCACGAGATCTGTAAGCTAATTTTTTTTTCTTATCGTGTGGCTAGGCTTCGGCTACTTTGGTAATGATGCCGTGGGTTTTGAGTCGATGGCGATGACTCCTGCTCAGCAGCAGTCGTCGATGGTTATGATGCCTCGCTCAACACCTGTGTTTGATGTCTATGGCAAGCAACAACCTTCGAGCCCAGAGTCGGTGTCTTCCCGCTTTTCGTCTTCTGCCACTCCTCCGCCCCTTTTAAATTCTCCTCCCGCCACCGCAACTCCTACCCTTTTATCCTCCACGTCGTCGTCAACTATTGCCAACTCTATCACGGAGAAAATCGCCAAAGTGAACAAGCTTCCGGAATCGTTTTTGCCCGAATTTCATCAGTACTCGAAGGAGACGTACGAAAACGGCAGTTCCAACAATAGAAAGAGAAGACGTCAACATAAGAATCAGGACGACGACTCTTCTTCCGACCAGGAAGATGATTTGGATGGTGCCTCTGCTGCCGAAATCCGTCGTCAAATCCATATTCAGTCCGAACAGAAGCGTCGTGCACAAATTAAAGATGGTTTTGATGAATTGCGCCAACACTTGCCCGGTTGTGTTAATAAGAAGATGAGCAAGGCCGCTTTGTTACACCGCAGTAAGTAATCCTATTGGAATAAGGATGATCAAATCAGCCCATTTGTAGACTTACAAAAATTTCAAACCCACTTCTTTTTTAGCGGTGCAACACATGCAGCATTTGAAGAATAACCAAGCTTCTTTGCTTGCGGAATTGGAACGTCTCGCTGCTGAAAACGAGCAATTGAGAAAGTAAGTATATTTTTTTTTTTCGATGTTTTGTTTGTTTTCTTTAGTTGGCTAACCCAAGGATGCTTTTGTTCAAGGTTCCAAGAATCGGTTCTTCAAAAGCAAGCGCTCGAAAGGATGTATCAAATGGGTGCAATGTAAAAATGTTGCACTTGGATGATCTGTTACATTAGCTGTTTTTTTGTTTATTTCCTTTCATACCCTTTTTTCTTTATCTTCAAGCAAGTTTCTTCTATCTAATCTTTCTTTTTGTTTTCCTCTTCTTATATCTGGTTTGTGATACCTTTTTTTGTGATTTTTTTCTGTTTCTTTTTTACTTTTTACCTTTTCTTCTGTTTGCACTTTTTGGGCATAGACATTATATGTCTTGTTTCATTGCAATGTCACTTGCACATAGTAATTTTGTGTTTATTTAAGGCTCCCTTTTTTATTTTTATTTTTTCCCTATGCTCAATGCGTTTGTCTTTTTTATCCAGAGACGAACGTGAGATTTTCAAATATATGGCAAAATTTCCACTCTGAATTTCTTGATAATTTTTATAACCGTGATACTTGACGCTCAGATTACTTATGGCAAATGGGTAGATCGTGTAGGTTTAATAGAGTCCTGTAAAAATGGCATCCCAATGTCGGTGCTCATTTGGAATCGTTAATTGGTTTTGGGAAAAACCGCGCCATTTTTCCCCCCCCCCATCTGAGTTGGAGCGAATGTGGGGTGGAATTTGAGATTCCGAATCTCATGACAAAACCTGAATAAACCCTCTACCGCCTTCTTTTCCCTTCCTGGTCATGCCTAAACAACTTATTGTGCAATTCACTCCCATTCGTTCCTGTCTGGTCAACCTACCAGCACAATGGGTGAATGCGCTTTTGGACCAGCGCAAAGTACGGAACCATACTTGACGAACCGCTAAAAGCGACTTCCTCTTAATGTTCTTTTTATCCACTATTACAGGTACCGCAAAACGTTATTCTCGAGATTAGTTGGACCAACAAAGGTTCGGAGAACCCAAAGAAAACATACTGCGGATGGTCCGGAGAAGCATCCAAATCTCTACCTCCAAATTCCGTTTTTACAATGGGTCCTAATGGCAAACTTGATGTCCTGGAAATGGATCCACAGTTGGGTATGGCCATTGGTCTAAGTGAAGGTCAAAAGGTAGGGTTTGCTTTTGACAAATAGCGTATTCTTACAATTAACCAAATTTGTACGACTTCTAGATCAATGTCGAATTTTGTCGCAACGTGGCTGACTGTGTCTCTGTGCATGTCGAACCGTATACCGAGGATGACTGGGAAATTTTGGTAAGTGTGGCAATGGATTCGACCCCTCGGTCAGGAGAAAGGATGATTAAAAATGGCTTTTAGGAATTGCATGCAGGCTATGTGGAAGAGAATCTATTAAGTCAAATCCGTGTGGTGTATACAAATCAATTAATGTGTGTGTGGATTCATGGAAGAACATTGGTTCGCTTACGCGTCGGTATGTATCAATTACCGTGAAAAAAAGAGGAAGATGTGACAAAGCGAGGGAATCTCAATGTGCGTATTATAGCTCAATTGGATCCGCAAAATGGTTACGTTAAGCTCAATACCAATTCCGAGGTGATTGTCGCCCCCAAAGTCAGAAAGTCAACCAAACCCGCCGATATTGCTGCTCAACAATTGTCATCTGTAAAACAACAAAAAGCGGCTCCCTCGGTTTGCTTGCGAACTTTTCCTCAAGCCATCCCGGTTCCTGGTCTCCCGGTCACCGATATCCCCTCTGTGATTATTCATCCAGATTCTATGGGAGAAGTCGCCGGCCACACTTTGGCACGGATTACAAAGGTCATCCCAGGATTCAGTCGTCGCGATACAAACAATGAAGAGAATCATGAGACAACAGCTGAACCAATCTTGCAGACAAAAGCCGTGTATGTATCTGTCATCCCCTCCAATGCCGTGCCGATCGGTCACATTCTTGTTGCACCGTGTGTCCGCCAAACGTTGGAGATCAAGGACTTTGACTATACCAAAGTGTCGGTCGTGACCCACAAAAAGTCCTCGCCTGGTGCTCTCATCTTGAGACGATTTGTCACTAGCACTACGAATCCCTCGTTAAAGATCGGATTGGATGCACAGAATCAAGCTCAACAAAAGGCTGCACGCGATAATCAGTTCATCGAGAAAGTGCAAGAGTGGTTGTCATCGGTCCCTCACGAGACACTGGTGTTGACCCAGGGCATCACCTTGACGTTGCCTGGCGATCCGCAAGAGCAGTGTCTGATTCAATTTGGTCAGAAGAAGGGTTTGTTTTCCTCTTCTACGAACAATACCGCAGCACCTTTAGAAGATTTGACCGAGGAATATGCTGTGATGTCGGTGGCGCAATGGAAGAAATTGGCCCTAGACATTGGCGAAGATATACCACAAGCAAGCGAAAATGCCAAAACAAAGAGTGCTGCAAGGTGAGTCATGATATCGGCAGAGATTCGCCAATGTAAAATGCTCATCATGTCTTCATGACTACAATTATTAGCCACGATATCAGCATGGGAGGCGTACAGAAACTTTTGGATAAGCTTCGTCAATATACCATCGCCAATGTGGCCGAAAAAGAACTCAAGGATACCTTATCCATTCCATGTAAGACCGACGTTGGCTTGTCATAGGGGAAAAAAAGGACAAAGACTGATCAACGAAATTGTCCATAGCATCGGGTGGTGTTCTGATCACAGGTGCTCACGGCTCCGGCAAAACAAGCCTCGTGAAGAAATTGATCCACTCGGTCAGTCATGATCCTTCCGCTTTGATTTGTAAGTCACTTGATTAAGACGCGTTCCATGGATGATTGACTAAATCAAAATCATCAGACGCTTTGGAGATCAACTGTGCTGAAATTGCCGAAGAAAGAATTCCCACTTTGAAAGACATGTTGCAGAAATGGTTTGACGAAGCAGCATGGCACGCTCCGTCTGTCATTTTCTTTGATGATTTTGACCGTTTGATTCCAGCTGAAGTCGAGCATGCGGATTCCACTCGTTCACGGCATCTTGCCGAACTTTTCTTCCGCTTAGCATCCACCATGACCAAGCGACATTCCATTGCCATCATCGCCACATCCCAGCAACAGCAGTCGGTTCATCCGTCGCTGGTCACCAACCATGTGTTTAGCGAACTGAAACATTTGAACCCACCCAACCGCGATGAACGAAAGGAGGTAAACATCTGCAAACACAAGTTTTAGTATGATAAAAATTGAAGTTCAATTGATGTGCTGCAGATTTTACGTTCCATTATGGCGGACGGACCTGAAATCCTGACGAAAAGCTTACCACGAATTGACCTGGTTTCAGTGGCATCCGAGACAGAAGGTTATCTGGCGGCTGACCTTAAAGCGCTTGTTGAACGGGCCGTTCATGAAGGAGCAGTCCGCAGCATTAAAAAAGATTTAGACGCGGGGTTAATCGAACAAGAGCACACTCCGACATTTGAATTGAAGCAAGAAGATTTCACAAAGGCTCGGGATGGTTTTGTCCCTTCCTCCTTGCGCGGGGTAAAATTGCAGAGCTCCGGTGTCCAGTGGTCGGATATTGGTGGTTTGAACGAAACAAGGAAAGCCTTGCTGGAAACTTTGGAATGGCCAACCAAATATGCAGCGGTGTTCTCACAGTGTCCCCTGCGACTCCGATCAGGGTACGTGGAAATTGTTCCAATGAGTTTACTTGGCGTGAGCTCCCATATTTAACAAAAAACTGTAGTCTTTTGCTTTACGGCTATCCTGGTTGTGGCAAAACGTTGCTTGCCTCCGCTGTAGCCAAAGAATGCGGTTTGAATTTTATCAGCGTGAAAGGTCCCGAGATTTTGAACAAATATATCGGTGCGAGTGAAAAATCGGTGCGTGATTTGTTCGAACGGGCCCAAGCTGCAAAACCTTGCGTTCTTTTCTTTGATGAATTTGACTCGATTGCGCCTCGCAGGTATGATTGGATTCCTTATGCACGACGGCATTTTCGGGAAACTTTTTTAGCTTATCTTATGCAATGTATGGTAGAGGTCACGATAGCACTGGTGTAACCGATCGTGTGGTCAACCAGATGCTGACGCAAATGGATGGTGCAGAAGGCCTAGATGGTGTTTACGTTCTTGCTGCCACGAGGTGAGCAATAGCCCACTCCTGAAAAAAAAAATGTTATGCGTTATTTGATTGATTTGACCATTCAATGTTTTAGTCGACCTGATCTTATTGACCCTGCCTTGCTTCGTCCGGGTCGTCTGGATAAAGCTTTACTCTGTGGTATGCCGAGCTTTGGCGAACGTCTAGAAATCCTGGAAGCTCTTTCGCACAAGATGACGCTGGCGTCGGATGTGGATTTAAGAGTGTACGCTGAAAAGACGGAAGGATTTTCTGGAGCCGATCTGCAGGGTTTCTTGTATAATGCACATTTAGAAGCGATTCACGGTGCGATCAATATCGACAGTTTCCGTGACCAGCAAAGCAAAACCAAGGAAGCTTCCAAAAACGAGGACAAGAGTGATTTCATCATGATTGGTCAGGTATCACCGTCGTCCGCCAAGGCACCGCTCACACGCGCCGAGAAGGGCCAGATATCGCAAAGAGTAAGTGAAAAAAAAAACCTAGTAACCGCCTTGTCTCAAGATTTCATGCGTTGAATAATTTTTTCTCTTCCGATTAGTTGGCGATGATCAAGAAAGGCGTGACCCGTCCCGTGTCGTCCAAGAAGCAAGACTCCAAGCAGGACGAGAACAACAAGCAGGCACCACAGCAGCATGTGGCCCAAATTACTGCGGCTTATCTGGAAAAATCACTGAAAGCAACTCGACCCTCTATAACGGAAGAAGAGAGACAGCGATTGCAAGCGATATATAACGAGTTTGTAACCGGGCGCACAGGAGAGTTGCCATCCGGAGAAGGAGCCAAGGGTGTCGGGAAACGAACCACCCTAGGTTGAAAATGACAAAAGCGGAAAAATGGACTAAAAATAGAACACTATAAAAAAATTATATTTTTATTTTTTTTCGGTGTTGGGGACCTGACCCTTTTTTCTCCTTTCTCCTTCCTTACGTCTCTTCCGTTTTTTTTTTTTTTTTTTTTTTTTATATTCTCCTCCCTGAGCATAGACACTTAAAAATAAGAAGTATTTATTTTTAAAAGAAAGTCTATTCCAAAAACAGAAGCGAATATCGAAGTGGGTTCTTTTTTTGCATTAGCCGTCCCAGTGCACCTCTTTTTTTAACCATCGTCTTTTTTCTGTCATTCAGAAATGGGCCGCAAAAAGATCAAGATTCAACCCATTAAGGACGATCGTAACCGACAAGTAATTTTCGAAACCTGTTTTTCTTTCTTCTTCAGCTCCATTGATAATCTTTGTTGTCGTCACTCTAGGTTACGTTTCTGAAACGTAAACATGGTCTCATGAAGAAAGCCTACGAATTGAGCGTGTTGTGTGATTGCGAAGTTGCGTTGATTATTTTCAATACCAATGGCAAATTGGTTCAGTATGCTAGTACTGAAATCGATAAAATATTAATGAAGTACACCGAGGTAAGTGAAATGCGATAACGAAGTTTTAGCGTGCATCGCTGCCAAGTCGTCTGACCACTCTTTTGTATCGTTAGTATAACGAGCCTCATGAAAGCAAGTCCAACCATGATGTAACTATCGGATACAATCAAACGAATTTTTCTTGTTTGAAACGCGCCATTAAATTTTTAATTGAATAGTTTGCTAATGCGGCTGATCAAGAAGAAAACAAGTTGGATGATGGAGATGACGAACAAGGGGTGGTTGGCTCGGATACCGATCACTCACATCCAGCCATTAAAAAGGAAATGACCGCGACAACTGTACCAACGCAAGTAGCACAACATCATCCACGACCGGCTCCACCGCCAGGTCCTCATGTGGGTCATATTCCGCATCCGCAAAACGCTCCCATGTTATATTATCAACAACAGCAACAACAGCAGCACCAACATCAACAACAACAACAACAGCAACAACAACAACAACAGCAGCAGCAACAACAACAACACCTTCGGTTCAGCGGATTTCCGATGCATCACCACCCACATCATCCGCAGCAGCATCCCCATTTAGCTCAAGGCATGCCGATACCGCCTTCAGGATACGAAGTATACAATTTACCGCAGCATCAACAACAACCAATGTACATGGTTCACGTAAGTACCGGGATTTGCTTGGTTGTGTGACTTTTTTGGATTATTTGGACTGATGGATGGAGGGAGGGGATTGAAAGGAAAACCAGACGACTAAAGGAAATATCGGTGTTGGTATAGAATGTGGGAGGTGGTCCACCTCAACCGACGGCAACACCACCTGCTGTTCCATCCATGCATTATGCACCGGTGGTCGATCACTCATACGCTCAGATGGCCGCGTCACCTTCACCGCAACCTTCGCACAGTCGACAGCAATCGGCTTCGTATCCGTCCCCGTATCCTGCGCCTGTTGTTTCGTCAATGCATACGCCTACTCACAGTGGTGTGTCTTCACCTAATTTCGCCAATGCCAGTCCGACGGGATCTTCCAACAGCAAGAAACCGCCTAAACTTCGCGTGCAAATACCTACGGAAAGCGAGACGACGACGGCTGCGCCTCAACAACATCACCAGCGAAACCAATTATCGGTGTCTTCCGTGTCATCGACGGGATCCAACATTCAAGCTGATCAACAGCAACCTTCACAGCAACAACAAGCATCTAATCAGGAAACGTCTGCCCCGGTCCAATCGTCTACGGCAACGTCATCTTCTACGTCATATCGTAATAATGAATCCGGGCCGCCTTCCGCTTTGCCATCCCAATTTGCGCAGAATTTGCCGTCACCGTCAACATTTTATCCTGAATTCTATCAACAGAGCGAGCTTCCGAGTCCGTTGAACTTTTCAGCCACACCCACCGTGAGTGGCGCTCCTGGTGGCGCTTTCCACTGGCCCCCGCCGCCGCGCGATTACAAACCATCTCCACTGGCTAAGCTTGGAAGGTAAGAAAACAATGGGGAAGCTGGGTGGACGGGAATAAAGTAAAAGACTAACGTATTGAATAGTGATAATTATAACAAGCGACCGGCTGAAGAGGAAGAGGAAGAAGAGGACGCGAAAGAAGCGAAAAAAACGAAAACTGTGTCATAATGCATACCCTCATTTTCCTGTCATTTTGTCCTCTTCTTCAAGTTCTGTACATATAGACTTTTTCAATAACAACAGCGTTGTGACAAAGCTTTTTTTTTTCTCTTAGTGTCCTGGAAAAAAACTCCAGGTTTCTCAGCATTTTTCGCAATAAAAACTCTTTCACCGCGGTGCGCTTTTTTTGGTTGGCAGCGCGTTCTTTTGGATTGCATATAAAACAGAAAGGGGGAGAAGAAAACAACTTATCAACAAAGTGATTCATCGATGTTTAAGCAATTTTACTCGTCCGTTCCATTGAAGGTCGTTGGTTTCCTAATGACCCAAATGGATTATCCCATTTTCTTCAACAATCTACTATTTCCATGGTTATAGTCATTGTGCGAAGCCAAAGGGAACATCAACAGCAACTCCGTACAAAAGGATCATTTTGAGGTTTTTTACCCTGTGTGCTCATTGCGAAGCGATTGAAGCATCAGACATGCTTTCATCAAACATCTGTTGCCTTGGTTTCGCTGCTCCATGGAGAAAAGAATATGTTTGGCTGGTGAATCCAAAAAGTAACAACTCACCATCAACCCTGCGAGTTATTCGCATATTGAAAGTCCACCGCACTCTGTCTAAATGAGTTTGGATGAATGGCCCAACGATGGCAAGTTCTACAATGCATTTGCCGAGAAAGCATTAATTTTTCATATGTAAGATATAAAGATTGTGAAGTTTCCAAGGACGGCAAGTCGGCACTGAAAAAATCGAGACCATAGCAACAGTGTGCAGTAATTGTCTCCCGATTTAGTAGAAATTAAACGTTTTTTTTTGGGTTTTTTTTCAACTTGCTTTGTCCTTGTTTTGCAACTATGTGGAAACGAGCCTATACCACGCAATGTGCTGCTTCCATCACAAAGCCGCTTAGTCAACGCCCCATCGGTTACCTCAAGTTTGATCATCTCATACCTTATCGTCAGGGTCTTGCGATCCAGGAATTTCTCGTTCAACGACGCCATCGCATAAATCAAGAACGACAGCAAGGGATACAACATGAAGAACCGGAAGATGTTATTTGTTTCTTACAACATCCGCCTACTTATACTGCCGGTAGACGCATTCGCGGTCGAACGGAGAATGCAGAAGAGAAGCGATTACGGTCACTGGGTGCTGATTACTTTGAGGTAAACATTGACGGCAGTGATAAAAGTCGGGTTGAGACATGGCCATTAACATGAGAACCATGTCGCAGACAATGAGAGGGGGTCAGGTTACATTCCACGGGCCTGGACAACTGGTCGCTTATCCCATCTTGGATATACGGGAATATCAGGTAAAAATCGGGCGTCTCTAAAAATGAAAAAGCATATCCATTGATCCACGTTTTTTACCAGATCAATGTCCGGTGTTACGTATCAAGGCTCGAGAAAACAATCATTCATGCTTGCGAACAGTATGGAATCAAAGCAAACACGACCGAGAATACCGGTGTATGGGTTGGAGAAGATCATAAAATTGCCGCACTAGGTAAAATTTCGAAAAAGGGAAAAAGAAAAATACCTCGGCAACGCATAATGACGCAGGACGAATCTATAGGTGTTCATCTTCAACGCTATGTCAGCAGTCATGGTCTAGCACTGAATTGCGACGTGGATCTTTCATGGTTCAGGAATATTGTTGCCTGTGGATTACCGGAAAAAGATGTCACAAGTATATCGGAGCAACTCGGTCGAGATGTACCAGTGAATGAGGTGATCCCGGTCATGGCTAGAAGCTTTGCACATCTGTTTGGAAAACCCGTAGTAGAAATAACCAAGGAATCATCCTTATCCCAACAATTAGAACATATCCTCCAGAAAAACGAAGGAGTAGAAAGTAAAATTTAATGACTTTTTTTTTTCTTATCCAGACAGTATATTCCTTATTCAAAGGGGTTCTACCGAGTTAAAGGTTCTTTAAGAATGCTTCAAGCATATTGGGATCCCAGGTAACGTTGTCTGCAGTGAAACTTAGAGGAGGGTCATCTTGTTTGGGCGACGGTAAGCCGTTTGGTATATCACTTTCCATAGCATTCATTTTGGAATTACCCGGGGGATCGAATTCGAAAAATTCTACCAAAAACGTGGAATCCGTCAGGGGCCTCGTGCAGTGGTTGAATACATTGAACAAAACGCTAACTTACCATTCATATCGAATCCACCACTGTCCTGAGTAGGCAGTATTGCTTCTTGATTCGGCGGAGTTGAAATAGACATGCGCGCAACGTTGTGATTGATACTGTGCATATTCAAGAGGACTTGTCTGGCGTTCTGCAAACGTTCAATGAGAGTCGCTTTTTTCCCATTCACCGGTAATCCGCGTTGTCGCAGCATTTCTTTCAATTCGGTCACTGTGATATCATCGAAATTGGCTTTCAACAGTTGCTCATCCATTTCAGCTTGGTTGAGGGTAGCCGGTTTCTTGGATGGTGCTGGTCGATTGATTCGTTCTATCGGTACAGGAGGAGCAGGAGGTTGATTGCGTCGATTGGAACGTGGCGTGGGATCGGTTACTTGCAGTTGTGCAAATGTGAGCTGCGGAGTTGCATTCGCAAGAGGGTAGTACGGTTGATGTCGAGCTTCAACGTTTGAAATGTTCTTGGCATCCATAAAGCTGCGGAACGTAGGCGGAACTGAGGATGATCGCCGGCGACGCTTGGCCGTATTCGACGAAGATGTGTACATGACTGCATCGTCGTATAAATCTGGAAATAGAAACGTTTGAGGTGGAGAAATGAGATTGGAATCGGTGGAAGTGGTGGATAAGGGAGAATAAGATAGCGCCGGGTTCTATTGAAAGAAGTTTTTTAGTATTAGTAAAGAAGCAACCTATACATTTACACATACTTCTTCGTAAACCGAGGTTGGAATAGCTGGTGGTTTCAAAGATCCGTTATAAGGAGCCCTAAACATGGACATATCAAAAGACGAACTTCGCCGTCGGTTATATGCCGGTGGTGGATTGACAGTAGCGGGAATATCCCATGGTGCAACGGGCGGTTGATTATACATCAGCGTATTATATAACCAAGGAAGAACAGAAAAAAACAGAGTATGCAGTTCTTAGGAAAAAAAAAAAGAAAGTTGCGAAAAAAAAAAAAAAAAAAAAAAAAAAGGTTTAAAAAAACCCCCAAGTTCACAAAGCGTGCTTTGCTGGTTTTGGGAAATGACGCTTGACGTTGTTTCACAGTTTTACTATATTTGTCAATCTGAGTTGCTATCAAGTTCACGTCATTTTCTTGCATTGTTTCGTTGCATCGTATATCCAAGTGATATCATGTAAAATAAACGGCCACTAAATGGTTTAACCTTTTCGCTATAACAACCACCTTGGAAAAACGAGATATGTCCAATTTGACTAATACAATGGAGTATCTTCTCCCACTGTAGAAAAAAAAAAAAGTCGGCAACCCCATCGCAATACCCGCAAATGAATAATCATGCCTAAAACAGATTCAATTAGTATGGTAACAAAAGCATTCTTTAATGTATTGGCAAATGGTTTGGTTCGAAAACAAAGAAGAAAAATATGATGAAGAGGGATGAAAATTAATGACTAGCAATATTGCCCCGCAAGAGCGCACTGGAGGCTTTCTGAGCTTCAATGCCTGCTTGACCAGTGCAATAAGAGTTGCGAATAAAGGAACGGCAACACTTGTAACCCCACTTGCCATCGGCCCAATAAGAACCCCATGTTGATGTGTGGTTCTGGATATGCACTGTAAAATACAACAGACCGTCAGTAATCCAGTTACCAAGCAACGTTCCACCCATTACTTACCATCTTCCTCGTATTTTGATTTTGTTTTGGCTTTCTCTTGACCCTTGATCACTCTTCCTGTTCGCGAATACTCCACATAATTTTCGGTTTGTGCCAACAGCAGTTCCTTTGGCGGCGCTTCCAAATGTTCGGCACCACCGTACTTTTCCAAAATGCTCTTTTGAGTGGAATCTCGCACGGAATCCTTCTTGGACTCGTATTCTTTGTGAAGAATGGCGACTTGCGTAGGATTGGCTTGAAGATGAACATCGTTACCACGATCAGCCGCCTGCCATGCAAACATCTGTACTTTGGCCATTTCAGGAGCATCGCCAGTGTATCGAAGCACATTATCACCGCCGAATTGAATGTCTTCTTCTGTTTGATCAGCAAGCGGGTTATCACGCATCGAACGAGTCTTCGGATCATAGTACGCTGAATCGGTATCGAGATTAAGGAGATATTTAGCTGTATCTTCACGAATTCTACGAAAAATGCCAAGACGTCAATAAACGTTGTTCTTTCCTTCAAACTATTTTTCGCCGATAAAAGAAAAAATTCCAAGTTACCTTAGGTTACGGATCGTTGTTCTTGTCTTTTGATTCACATGTTGTCCAGGCATATCTGCTTGATCCGCATATTTATCTTCATCGTCATCTTCCTCGTCGTCCGACAAACCGGCGCCGGCAATCTTTTTCGCTTCCGAGGTAGTTGTAGGACCTTGCTTATCAAGTTCCGAGGCTTTAGCCGCTCGTCGTGCTTCTTCAATCTTATTGTACTCTTCAATGACTTTATCATGATCTTTGGGATCGTAGCCATTCCAGCGATCACGCTTTTCATCCCAAGCGAGATCCATATCTTGAACAACCTCATCTGCTTGAATGTTCTGTCCAGTCCATTTCGCTCCTTTCTTGCGAGGTCTTTCAACGCAATCTTTGGTTTTGTGGGTGAGCGCACCACAATTTTCACATGCGCCTTTTCGATACTTGGTAGCTGCTGGGCCCTGTATGGAATATATGCAAGGTGAGCCAACCATATTCGACAAGTAGCAAAAACCAGAATGCTCCACCAGTTACTTACCGCTCTTTGGCCTCGAGCATACCACAAGCTTTGCTCCAAACCGAATCGTGTAGCTTTTCGCTTTTCCGGTGCTTTTTGATGCTTCAAGGAGACTTTGCCGGTGTCGACGTACCATGGTGCTTTCAACATAAACTGCGGAGTATGTGGATTGATCTCATTGCCTTCTTCGTCCACTTCAGCTGGTGCTGTACCAGCCTTACGAGCGGCATCAAGATCCTTTTGTTTACGGTACTCCTCCTTGGTAAGACGATTCGACTGCATTAAACCGGACATGATGGTAGGAAAGAAGCAAAAAGCGTCGTCAAAGATTTTAACTTTTCCCAAAAGAGCAGCAAGAACTGTGTGAAGACGAAGGGCACTTTAATCTGGCAGTCTCCCGGCCGGACAAGTACGTCACAAGTCCGGCTGTTGGAAGTTTTTCGACAGCAACCCACACAAATTGCCCATCTGAATTTCGAATTTGACGACACAAAACGAATAGCCAGCAGCGAAATAAAAGCAATCTGATTTGCCTCGCATTAATCCCGAAAAAATATAAAAAGGCACATGAGCTCCCGATATGGTAGCATACACTCTAATAATATTATCTACACGCTCTTTTGGACCGTAACATCATGAAGAAGAAAACGGTTGTACTTTTGTAACCGTCCTACACGTTGTTTTGAAGCTACTACGCATGATGATGATTCGTTATCCAAAGACGTTAGATGGGGGCCATAAGAAAAGTTCAATGTGGGTAGAGCTCTTTTTGGAAAAGGTGGTTGATGGCACGGCGGTCTGGTATTTTGTATAGTATGTCATTTCAAAACAATGATGGACTTGCTTGGTGCTAGCCATTCTATTCGAATTTATGTCTTCGTATTACTGAGCCTGATGTCTCGAATATCTAGTCCTGTCAGCATAATATCGCCTATACGACGCTCGCTCTGGAAACGTAACCATCACAAGACAATAAATTGATCGATATTCTTGAACCTGGTCAGATTGACGTTTGATCATACTATAAAAAACGCCATTTTAAGCTTCCATGGAGATTGTCATCCATATCCCTGAGCTGTTGTGGTCTCTTTGCATCGTTTACACAAATGTAGGAACGAATTCAGCAATGAAGCTTATTTATCGTGTAATTTAGGCTTCAAGAAATGTACGACCCCTCCTTTAGCAATTTTTTTTTTTTTTTTTCATTTCATTTTGTCGTTTCTTATTTCCTTGCTGGCCTTTTCCGGATACAGTTTTCACAGACGATAGATATAGCAGAATAAAAATAAAGAACAAAGAAAGTGAGAGGGTAAAAACTGTTTGTTTATTCATTACATGGGAGCCGATATTCATTTAATTTTGGATATTCTATAACGATTGACGGCTATGTATTTTCAATCCAAAGGCTGGGCAACATTCAAAAAGGGATACTTCATTATTCATTTTCTTATTATTTTCAATTTCATTTTTTTTTTTATAATGATAATAACTCATCCAACCACCCACCGCCATTCCCAGTGACCCCCAGTGAACTGGGCAAGCCGAAGCTTGTTCCCCTATCCCACCCCTGAGACTGCGATGAGCTGCCATGATACCGATTTCACCTATGAACCACCCACCAATATACATTCGTTTCCCGACTTCGTGCAAGTTGTGGGTTAGGGTCCCCGATAGTGCAATTTCATAAAAATCTCTTTTTTCGTGCAAGTTGTTCTCATTTTTTATGCTTCTTTTCTTGTTATCCATGTTGTAAGAGATGCTATCTAATGGATCCAACCAAGTACAATCGCTTTTCATCTCCTTTTTAAAACGGAAAAGAATGATAAACTAATTGGCAGCGATTTTGGCGGAGTTAAACGTAGGTGGTCGCCGTTGCCGAAAGTCAAATATCGGCTAAAAGATGGCATGTATAGTTTTTTCTTTTCTATCTCCAATGACAACGCATTTATTTTAGCAACTATGTACCTTACTCCGTAAATAAATAAATAAACTATACATGCCATCTTTCAGCCGATATTTGAGTTTCGGCAACGGCGATCACCTATGTTTAACTCCGCCAAAGTCGCTGCCAATTACTCTATCATTCCTTTCCGCTTTAAAAAGGCGATAAAAAATGACTGTATTTGGTTGGATCCATTAGATAGCATCTCTTACAACATGGATAACAAGAAAAGAAGCATAAAAAATGAGAACAACTTGCACGAAAAAAGAGATTTTTATGAAATTGCACTATCGGGGACCCTAACCCACAACTTGCACGAAGTCGGGAAACGAATGTATATTGGTGGGTGGTTCATAGGTGAAATCGGTATCATGGCAGCTCATCGCAGTCTCAGGGGTGGGATAGGGGAACAAGCTTCGGCTTGCCCAGTTCACTGGGGGTCACTGGGAATGGCGGTGGGTGGTTGGATGAGTTATTATCATTATAAAAAAAAAAATGAAATTGAAAATAATAAGAAAATGGATAATGAAGTATCCCTTTTTGAATGTTGCCCAGCCTTTGGATTGAAAATACATAGCCGTCAATCGTTATAGAATATCCAAAATTAAATGAATATCGGCTCCCATGTAATGAATAAACAAACAGTTTTTACCCTCTCACTTTCTTTGTTCTTTATTCTTTCATTACTATTGTCTGTGGAAAACGTATCTGGAATAAACTAGCAAGGAAATAAGAAAACGACAAAATGAAAAAAAAGGGTTACAGAAGTCGTCCTCTCTAGAGGCTAAAGTGGACATGAGACATGAGCGTCGTTGCTGTCTTCGCGCAAAGTGATGCAAAGATCCACAACAGCTTAAAATGTGGTAATCGAACTGCCATCGTCCCTGCAACAGTACCTCAGTACAGTACTCGGGCAAATTTTTAGACCAACTTGTTGCGTAGGTGATGTATATTTAATCGATGCTGTAGCACCATTTAATTTCGGGTTTTCTGTCCGTTACAGTATACTGTATATGCCCCTTTCATTTTCTTCAGTTTTCCCTGATCGGATAATATTGAGCGAATATACTCCTATCTGTGTAGCTGGTATAGCGAACATTACTCATCATTCATACATCAGTGGGGTGTGTATTGGTTCATTCATAGGAAATTACCATACTTTGTCTTCAATTTTTCCGTGGATCTTTGGTTTTCTCTCTCTTCTGTTCGTCTAAGAAGCTCCTGGTATGCATACTACAGTATTTCATTATGTTTCTAGCCGCATCCATAATCCATACAGTGACCTCTTGATTTAAGAATCACCCCGGGAGCCACGAAAAGTGATTCTTAAATCGAAGTATTCTTAAATCGATGTGGTAACTTTTATGCAATAGAATACGGATCATAAATTTACCCGGTTGTGACAGCGAGACCATAACAGGAGTCAGTAGAAAAATTCAGTTTAACAGGGCTGCGATCAAGTATCGTCAAGGAAACTTGGCTTGCAAGTTTGGTCAAAAGCATGCGATGGGATTTACTTGTGTTGCCAGGAGACCAGGTGAAAAAACAACCTTCGCCAAATGCTTAAGGCATGACAATTCTATAATTGCTCATCGGTTGCAGATAACGAGGTACAAGAAAATCGAACGGCAACTGATCATAGTAGATTTCGACTATCTTCAATACGATATTGAATTTAGAAGATGAATCATAACCTGTGCCAATCATAAGAGCGGAGAAACATTTACTCTGACAATATGGGATCGTGAATGAACTTACCTCCAGCCAATGAAGTCTATAAGCAAAGCATACGACGGTATAAAGTATGAGGAGCAACTAGTGTTAAAGCAAGCTCCAATTAATGTGATATCTATCATGATATAATAAAAGCGTGGCTATGAGTCTTTTTTGATTTAAGAATATTTCTGTCCCAGGGTGATGACTGATGGCTATATCGAATTTTGGAATATTTTACAGCTTACACTGTCGGGAAATCCAAAAAGTAATTCTTAAATCGAAATGTTCTTGAATCGAGTATTCTTAAATCCAGCGGTCACTGCCATGGTTTCCCCGAGTAGCTGACTCGGTTAAATCGCCCATTATCATCAAATGGTACTATCCGTTTTTCGTCGATAGAAGCTGACCTTCCTTTTTCTCTATCCTTCTTCAGCTATTCGATTTTCTCGAGTTTTCTTTTCACCAGGCAAGCCTCCATCTTCCAAGCCTTTATATCATTGCTGGCACAGTCGATTGTTTGGAAGGACTTCGTTTCAGTAAGCAACATCAGAATTAGCAGCACAGCACCCAGAGAGGTACTGTCTACCGTCAACTGAGGCTACAATCCCACAACCGTTTTGAAAGACAATCAATCACCTGCATGATGACAAGGAGACATGTCGATTTTTTTCAATTATCCTAACAACTACAGCAAGTTATCGATTACATATAGCCTGAAAGTAAAAAGCAATATGGTATGTCCAATGCCCAATTTAAGTAGGAACATTTCATTGTCCTGATAATCATTCCAAATAGCTACTTTTCAAGCTTCAGTTTCCTTATCCATCTCATTCTCTAACTTAGATTAATAGCTCTTTTGTCTCGGGATATTGATAAAGAAGATTATGATTTACGTTGATTCGTTTTTGCTGTAGTTGCGAAGCTCTTCGATAAATCCTGAAACGGTAAAATTTGAATACACTTGTAATAAACAAGCAGACATTAAGAACGCTTGGAAGTCTTGGATGTCACAGATAAAGAGGCGCATTGATGTTTCAATGGAGAAGCTCCCCGGAGTGATCACGTCAAATTCCAGAGCTTTCCTGTCATGGAACACCAATCAAAGATGGATCATACCGCACGTAGTAGATATAATCGAATGGTAAAGCGCTTGTATCATCCATTTGGCGTTGACATCGCCCTTCTTGCCGAGTGTGATCATGGCATCGGCGATGGGTTTCCTTTGATACAAGCCTTCTTCATCCTTATTTTGATGTCAATAGGGCTGTTTATGCGCAAACTCGCTGTTACGGTGAAAGCTTGACATTCGGATGATAAGGGGGCATTACATTTCAAGTCCAAACTCAAGCCTTGAGCAGAGTCTGTGAAATTAGCAATTTGGACTAGTATCAAGTAAGGGGACTGAGCTGTTTGTCAGTGTTGACAATGTCATTCAGAAAAAAAAAAAGTTATTTATTCGCTTTTGATGGGCTAAATAACAAAGTTTGAATGGGTAAATGCAAACTGGTACAAAGAGAAAGTGTAGCGAGTGTATTTTATGGGGCGGGGCAGCCGGAAAGCAATGGTCGTTTTAGGGTTGGAAACCACAGTAACAGAAACCTTCATAACAAACGACTCTTAAGTCCTTGTCGACACCAGAGTTACCGCATTTTTTTGCGCATGAGTCGTCTGGGCAACCCATTTGACAGTCGCGCTTCGCAAATGGTGAGTGTACGTATACATGGCCTTTGGCTTCAACATTGACCGAGACAACGAGCAGGAGACCGATCGTGGCAAATAATACTTTGTAGCCGAGCATGATAAATTGTAGTGACTAAAAGAAAGCAACTGTTACCAAGAAAAACGTGCATTTATAACCAGTAGCAACGAAAGAAAAAAAAATTAGAAAATGAGGGGATATGTTCGAGGAGCAAGGAGAGCACGGAATCTTTTGTTTTGCCCACTCAGGAGCTCTTTCACCTCTGCACCGGGACGTTGCTTCTCCTTTATGAGTCTCCTTGCTAAGCATTATAAAGTTTCTCGAAAAGCTGTTTGTGTCATTGAAATGAATAGTCCATTTTATTCAGTCCAGCTGTAGGTGCTTATTGGGGCAGCATCCCTTCCTCCAAGATTCAAGCTAAGGAGATCGACACAGTTTGTGATGTTCTAGATGCCCAGCAAATATTTTTAATTCGCACAATGAGCTTCTTGTGGTAATAAAAACGTGCTTTCCATAGCGCTATACAGGTCACCAATACCACGAGTTCCCCATATCGCTTGCGAGCAAGCTCGTATTACCTTCAATTGAAGAACATATGAACAACATCAGTTCCCACACATTAGCCGCATTCAAAAAAAAAGACGTAGAAAAAAACTAAAGTAGATGAAAGAGGATATGGGTATACAGAGATTATTACATGGAGAGACACCCGGCTATTAGTTTCTATAGCATTGTGATCTGCCGGGCTGTGAAATGCTTTTTAAGTATGGAGTGTTGTGAAATGAGATCGATCGGACTGAAAATTGGTAGCAGGTAAAGCCGAGGTTGATCGGTCATCAAGGATCGCACTTTCCATCGCCAGCAGTTCTTCGTTCGACAGGGCATATACAGGGGGAGCAGTGGGTGTATAGGCAGGTGGAGGGATTTCAGGTGGTGATATTGCGGCAAGATGATGACAATGGGAGCAACCAGTGTGTGGATCTGCAGACGCACTGCTCGATCCAGTGCCGATAAAATGGTCACAACTGTCTTCGAGGTCTTTTGCAGTCGGCGCTGAAGGCATGGTTGGCGCGGTTTGCATCGTCATTGATATGATGTGACGATCGTGATTTTGCATATTGTGATGGGTGATTTCCAAAGCTGGAGGGGCCGAAGGTTGTAGTGTGAATATTGGGTTGTGGGAAATAGCATGAATTTCGGGATCTGATCTTGTTTCATGCTCCGGCGTGTCCGGATGCGTACTTGTATCGTCGTCGTCAACGTCGTCGTCGCCATCTTCATCTCCATCGTCATCTTGTTCGCTCTTTTGTTCTTTTCGTTTCCGTGATCGTATTCGCGAGATAACTACCACCGTAGCCACGGCAGCAACGACGGCCAACCCTCCTACAAGGGACAAGATCATGATCATTCGTTTGAGAGCGGCCTGATCCTCTTGCAACTGTTCAGCAATGGTGCCATCGTCGTTGTCATTGTCGTCCTTTTTATTTGGATCAGATACCGATTTGTCATTGCTGCTGCTGTGTTCTTTCTGCCGAGCATAAGGTTCATTATCGTTATAGACTTGATTAGGATCAGAACTAGGCATAATTAGAATGGTCGTGGCACCGCTATACACGGTAGTTTCTGCTTTATCGTCTTTGCTGCTTTTGGTGCTACTTTTCTCATTATGGGATTTATCGTCCTTATCCTTCTTCTTCCCTTTGTCGTCGTCGTCGTCGTCTTTGTCGTTGTCACGGCGTTGTATAACTCCTTTCGAGTCGAGATTGCCGACCGTCCGCATTACGGCAGGGTATTTCGACAACGAAGTTAATGGAAAAGGGGTCGGTTGTGCATGGCATGCCGTCGACGATTTCAAGAGTGCGACATTCAGTAACAGATATACAGTACAGTATACAATGATATACCGTCGCATAAGTATCGTTTCTCAGTCAAACTGGGATATCTAGAATTAAGAGGACAATGAAAAAAAAGTGCAGAACGGCCCAGACAAAAAAAAAAAAAAAAAGGGACAAAAAAAGCAATATGGTGATTTGCCAAAGACGGAGTTCATAAAACTCCCATGAAATCAGCGATTTTGTATTGACTTCCGCCTTGCCTGAACGTCGAGTCATTCTTTTTGTGTGTTGCACACAACGGCAATTGGTTCCAGCTTTCACCGCAAATTCCGTTCCGATGAATATCATTTCCCAAGAATGGTATAAAAAACACTGTTATTCCCGGAAAAAGACTTTTTAATATGCGTTCACAAATCTGAGTTTTTTTTTTTATGTTCTAATCATCCGTGAACGCTTCCGTCTGTGGACGATCTCCGCTTCCATTAGCCACAAACACTCAAGTTCAGGTTGCATATCCATTCGAGAGTCCAGGAAAAAGAATAATGTAGCAACATGGATCCATATCCTGGTAATTTGACGTGCGCCAACCTTCGGTTAACACGCAACAGACGAACCGGTAGACAAACGCTGCCCTCCCTTGCTGGCCAAAGTTTCTGATCGATGCAGATCAAGGCAAACGAGAGTGCGGGCACCATTTGATGCGGCGCTGGTTGCTGGGAAGTCGAAAGACGTCATTGTGATTTCAGGAACGTCTTTATTTCCGACTTGGCCAGCTTCGCCCTGGTACCGTGGTCCCCTACATCAGAAATAAATGGGTCGCAATTGGAAAATGGCCAAGACTTCACTGGGCTATTTCAGAAATTCTTTAAGATGATAAAAAAACAGAGAGCGGGGTCATATCGCAAGGGCAGACACCATGATGAATTTCAACTTCTTTATTTTTAAATAGATTGTATAAGGTTGTCTAGCAAGAGTCATCGAGCACTTGAGTGTTGGACTTAGACAAAGATGTTGAGTAGTCGTTGGACGACCTCAGATATCTGCAGTTTGCCTTGATTATAATTAGTATCCCGAACCAGTACAGATAAGGCATACGCTACTCATGATGGCCAATACACACGGAAACCAATATGCATAGTAACTCTAAGGCCCAATCATTTTCACTCATGGGCGCCAGGGGACTGAACCTCGCGAGGCTACTACAAGTGGACACCTTGGCCGTTGGATCGTTGAGAATGGAAAAATATAAAAAGATCTTCATGGCTAAGTAACTTTCAATCAATGTTATATCTCCAGCAAGCGCGGCAACTCCGATAGTCACTCCACCTGGAGCACCTCGAACAGAAAAGTGGTGAGATGTTCTTTTTGGCAGATCGAGAAATATGATTTGCCAGCTCACGTCATCATTTGCCATGCATGACATTTTTCTCCTGCGTCTGCGCAGACATCTTTCGTTCATTCATTGCGAAGAAAAATCAGAACGATCCTCTGCCTATAGTCCAAGCAAGAAGGAAGGCCCACTTTGAAATTAGAACGGCGGCCTTTAACGCAAGCAGAGGGCGGGAAATACTTCGACGTTCTGTTGGAATTTTTTCGGGTTTGGTGTGATGTGACGATGCCGAGGCTGGCCAACTTCAAACGGCCAGTATGTACCTGATATGTTTCCCATTCATCCTACTAATCTTTGAACATAGAAAATTGCAATCGACACATTTCATGAAGAAGCAATCGATACACTCGCGACAGCTGGACACCCTGCGGGACGTAAACTGCGCCAGCTGATCGACCCACTTGCCGTCGCAGAAGAATCCATTCGAGCTACAATTGATAGCAGACGTGATGCCGTGGCTCGACAATACATCTGGGTTAACCACCGACTATATCGACGAACCAAGGATGTGGAGGAGTGTCGTCAGGTTATTCAAAAAGGCGAGACGTTACAGCTATTGCAAGAATGCCACAACCACCTACTGTCCGGCCACCAGGGTGTATCGCGAACTTTTCAACGCGTCGGATGTCACGGATCTGCAAGTGGACTCAATATCTGAAGACGTATCCACCAACAAGCGATAGTTCGCCACCATTGCACCATTACAAATATCGTTACGGTTACGAGCGCCTGGTCGTGATCCCATTCCAAGTTGACAACGCATGATATTTCATTGAAATTTCATCAGATGCAAGAATATGTCTTTGATTTTGTCGGTTCCAACAACTTGACACTAGTACAGTATCTGACATGCATCTCATCATTTCATTGATTCAATTCTTCTTCTTCAAAACAACAACCGCCTTCACAAAGCAATGGTTCCATTTTTCGGGAACAAACTGTATATCCGAAACCTTTGAACAGAACCTTAATTCTTGGAACTCGGCAAGCAAGTTTCCTGGTGACATAATTGCCCAAAACCATCGAGATTGCTCAGAGCGTATATGACATGGCAACAGATCGAACTGGCGCGACCGGTACGGAAGAGGGTGCGGAGGGTGAAAAGTTCTCGAGGACGATCGAATCTGGTCGAACGGAAGCGTTGACGATGATGCAGTTATTGATGTGACGGTCAAATACGAACAGAAGGATGAGGGCATCGCAGCAAGCATTGGCATTTCACAGAACTTCACCCAGTTCAGCGCGCCGCGCGAACTTTAGGAGCTCGTGTTGAAGCGGATCAATTATCACATCGGTGATCGTGCTGAGCGGCTATGGAGTCATCATGTCGCCAAAATGCATGGTCGCAAGAGCTATACTGTCAAGCCGCATGTTTTCTCGATATGCAAGCATAGATGTTACATGGAGTCTTAACAATGATAACGCACGGGAAGATCCACATTGCAGGATACCTCGATTTGCGTATGACAGTAAACCTTTGCGCACCATCCAGCAGCTGCCTTCGATCGATCAGCTCGCTTTGTTCGCCAGCCGTGAAACTCGTTGCCAGCTGCGATGTTTACGATGCGCGAAACCACGAGCGACCAATTTTGCGACATCCGTGATACTCGCCTATATCCTAAGTCCTAGTGTTTGCGCGACTCGGATATCAATCTTTCTATGGACCTGAACACCGATGACTTCAAACCATTCAAACGTAACGTGGTAAGAGTATCTCAGCGACTCTTGTTCATCTGGTTGTCTCGGATTTTCCACCGCAAACCTGAACCGAGCACAAAAAAAAAAAGATGCAAGCTGCTGTCATTCCTGGCTCCAAATCTTGCACCTGGAAAGCTTCCTCGCCCTGTTAATTGGACGATCTACATCGCTTAGCATCTCGTATCCATCCTCTACCTGACAAGCAATATGGATGATAATATCAACAAACGCCTGATCGTGCCGGCCGTACAGCTTCTGCAGTATCTTCTCATGGATCCCATCAACCCCGATATCTCAGAGACTACCCTGATCACGAGATACATTGTCCCATTACTGCAGCCTCGGATTGGCAACGACGACCTAAAGGGAATGGGCAGTTGAAATCTGGTTTTGGAATTGAGGCGCCTTGTCCTGCCAAACCATTTGGGTACCATAGTATCAAAGGAGATTGTATTGCATCGGCTTATTTTACTACCACTTGTTCCATTTGTGACGCTTGGTCCGTTTCTAACCTCTGGTGCACGCGCATTATAAATAAATATCCATAAAAAACGTTCGTAAACGAAAAAAAGCGTACTATATCTGTACAGTTGCCTTAATAAATAATGAAGCGACGTAAACAAAATTGCACAGCCAAAAACGGTATCCCCTGAAAGATCAGAATGTGTTAATTGTCAAGTATTCGCAGGCACCATGTCGCCCGCCAGATATATCTAATGGGGCAATAAAAAGATCTCACAAAGACTGCACGGTTTTTTCAAAAATAGACTTTTATTTTGCCAATTGGCCGAAAACCGAAAAGGGTTGGAAATAAATAAGAGATTATTCGGTCATGGCGTGGTCTTCGGGTTTAGGACACCATGGGGACCCTTCTGGTCCCCCTTTTTTGGCCCGGCCTTGGCCTTATTTCCCGGCTTGTTGTTCTGCGCTTTTGGCTATTAGGAGAATTAATTTTCAGATAGTCCACATTCCATCATCTGAAAAGGTCTGCTTACCCCTCTTTTGCCATAGCGCTTCTTTTGTACGCCTCCGTTTCTTGGTCTGAAGGAGGCGTCGCGTGAAAATGGATATGAAAAACGTAAGTTGCCATTGAGAAAAGTGCTTCTTTTGCATTGCCCCGTTTCTTGCCGCGGACGGGGCGTCGCCATGAAAGTGCACTGAAAGATATAAGCGCTTTTTATGTATCGCTCATTTCTTGCCGCGGACGGGGCGCGGCGTGGAAATGGGTGTGGAAGATATAAGCGCTTCTTTTGTACGCCCCCGTTTCTTGGTTTGAAGCGGCATCAGCATGAAAATGGATGTGGAAAACGTAAGTTGACATCCAGAAATAGTGCTTCTTTTGTATGCCCCGTTTTTTGGTTTGTTGTTTGACCGCCATGCCAAGCGCGACATTTGGTCTTTTCCATTCGGACGCACTGATTTCGACGCGCTGTTGTTGCAAGTTCACAACCGTCAATAAATTAACTTTTCGGCTGTATGCGGTGGATGACGATTCCAATCGTCATACGCCTGATTCATATCTTGGCATCCTTGGTGGCGCTATATACGTGTTCGCCATCCGCTAGCTTGACAGTGGTATTGCCAAATCGAATAGGGAAGCGACGCAACGATCCTCGGTCAGCTCCGAATCGTGGTGCTCATCTCATAGCTCCAAATTTTGTGCAGTCGTTTCGAGCATTTTGGTCGCAATGTACATATCGCTCCGACGTTCGCTTTTTTCGCACATATGATATTCGGCTTTGTGCATGGTAGCCAACATTGAATCGATGACGCGCGGCTCGCCTTTGTCGTTCATGGTCATCGTACGAAGCGTCGTCAGTCGGTTTTCAATCAGGCCATGAACATTTGCCGCCCAATTGTCTGCAGTGGTGCGGAATATGAGGGGCGAAAAGCGCTTTCCGTCTCGTCAAACACGTCTGACGGAAACGGATTGCAGACAGAAGATAGGGCCAGCTCGGTCACCTGCTTGTCATGAATGGTTTGCTTTTCATTGTCCATCCAAGAGCCTGCCTCTGGCAATTTCGTCAATGCTGTAAGGCAGCCTTCGCCGTATCATTTTGACTTTCTTCCTCATGGCTGACCGACGAATATCCAGTCATCTTGTGTATTCACATGAGCAAATCTGTGTGTAGTTGGCATGCTGCTGGTCAATTTTACGAATTTTCCGCTCCAAGGTTCGGACAATGGGTTTCGAACAGAATGCAATCCTCTTCCTGTCAGTGTTCCTGTCCTCATTTCTGCATTTGTTCAGAAGAAGATGCACTTTGGCAACAAGTTTGCGCCTGCCCCTCTTGAACGCGTGACTTTCGCCTTTCCCCTTGAAAATTTCCATTTTTGGTGCCCAAACAAAAAGAAAAAGATCCTCGAAGGGGTCCCAACGTGAAGACGCATAAGGCCCCAACCAGTGTTTCCTTTCGGTCCGTGTTGAGTAGACTCTTAGACTCCTTATATCAGCATTGTCCTTGCTTCCTGATGTAATAGGCTGGTTCATTGTCGGTCTCTTAAAAATCCGGCCATGCCCTTCCTAACTGTCTCGAAATGACTCTGCCCGCGAGAATGATATGACTATGACCAACAGATCTAAAACTGCACAGGCAACAAAATTCCCAAATTCAGCGAACAAAAGTTTTCGTTATGCTTAAGTGTGGACCACAGACGATGATTATTCGTTCTTTGTTTTACAAGGACGGAGCAACCCGAAAATCCCCCAGCCCCCCTTCTTTTAGCCGTATGATATATTTAGATGTATACCGTAGAACAATCAATACCACAGACAACGACGCTTCTAGCTGACTTTATGAGGCGCAAAAAAAGAGACTGAAATGATACAAAAAAAAAAAAAAAAACAAAAAACAAAAAAGCTAATCATGGATTTATAAAGTGGTACATGTGTATACATGATTTTAGATATGCGTGTTTTTAAGTTGCTTCACCAACTCATCTTCCTCGGCTTTATCATCGCCCTTTGATAGCGGCTCTTTTTCTTCAGCTTTTTCAGCTTCTTGAACAAGCTCATCCTCTTCGTCTTCTTCTTCCTCCTCTTCTTCTTCTTCGTCGCTGTCAGGCTCTTCCATATCGTCCAGTTCAAGCAAAGCATCTTCGTGATCCCAAGCCGCTAACGCGTCCGTTAATGTCTGCACAACATCTGCCTCTGCGTCAAATTGATTGCCGTTCATATCCATGTGCACCAAATCCTTCAAATGACTCTTGACAGCCGAAGCGAGTGCCTCTACTGCGTCTGCCTGGATCTCGTTATACTGGAGATGCAAATGCGTCAAATTCTTGTTGTGACCCTGTTGCAAAGCTTCCGCCAATGCCAAACCACCGCGCTTCGACAAAAGACAATCCCCGACATTGAGCACTTCCAACTTAGGCCAGTTGACTAACGCACCGGCCAAGGCCTTGCTACCTTTGGCGGTGAAGGTATTATCCTGCAAATCGATGTGACGCAAGCCCTTGCACTCTGCCAAACCGCCGACGATGGTTTTAATGCCATCCGGACGAATACCGTTCTGAGGCATACGAACGACTTCCAAGGTACCATGTGACGCAAAAGCGGTTGCCAAGGCTTTGCTGCTACCATCTTCCAAGCGGTTGCGACCACAGATGATTGTACGAAGAGAAGAAAGACGGTTTTCAGCACGAGCCTTATCAGCCGAAGCCTGTAAAGCTTTAGCAATCATGGTGCCGCCACCGATGCCGAGACCATTGTTGTTAAGTCGAAGAGTTTGCAAGGACTTTGAGTTGGACAAGAAATCGATCAAGGGTTCAGCGCCGGCAGGACCAAATGCGTTATCTGACAAGTCGAGTTCGGTTAATTCGATTTGTTCAAAGGCATCACACAGAGCTTTCAATGCCAAAGGAATTTCCGACAGTAAGCGTCCAGTGAAGATGTCAGATAAGATAGCCGTCTACAGGAATCGTGAGTGGGCGCGCGACACGACTCGTGGTCAACCAGCAAAGGGAAAAAACTAAAATAAAAAAAAGATATACCTTCAACTTGGTCTTATTCTTCAGTGCCGCAGCTAAAGTTTGACTTGCTTCGACACCTAAAGTATTCCCGCTGAATCGAATGGTTTGCAAATTATCCATCTGGTTGATGGTGTCGACAAAGGCTTGCACATCATCGGCGGTGTTGAGTTTTAAGCCTTTGCCTTCAATGGAAAAGACAGTATTATTTTCCAGTGTATATTCGTTGATCGGAGCGGCCATCGGGTGATAGTCAAGAGGCTTGGATCGAACAATAAAAGCAACAGGCAACTGATGCTTTTCGGTGTTCTCACATCAAGCGGACAACGCGCACCAAAAAATTTTGCAGTCACGTGAAAAAATTGCGGAGCTGGGTTCGTGTTCATCCAATTGCAAATGACTGGATTTCACCAATTGCCACACACAGAGGGGAGGATGAGGTTTTCCTCCATGCTGTAACACAACAGAACGAGCTCCTTCTTTGTTCCCTTGGAGCTATGTTACCAAAGTTTGGACAGCTAAGTTCATTTAGCTTACCAATGACCACAGACCGGGGAGCGCAATATGAAACGTGTACACATTCGGCATAAGATGCACCTCTTTAATTTTTTTTTTTTTGACAATTTACTTGGGTTGCAAAGTGGCTCTTTGTGGCAGCGGTGATATTTAAAGATGGGAATACCATGGTGTCCATCCTTATTGCTTCATTTGTTGACATATTTCACTACCTAAAAGAGACGACACGTGGGGTAGGGTAGTCATCTTCATTCGCTGACAAGGGAAAGCATAGAAATGACAGCTGACCATGTGCGATAAAATAAGAAAGTTGAAGCCTGGAAGTAAATAGAATGGGCAAGAAAATAGCCTGCCCCAAATGACGAGAGGATAGCTTGAAAAGGCAATTGCATATGCATCTCACCGGCACATGAAAGGAGACATAAATTGTTGCCAAATATCGAAAGGCAAATGTCGCTTTTCCAAACTTTTTGATGTCTTCATAAAAACCCGTTCACTCCATTTTCAAAGCCAATAGGTGTTCGGTTTATCAGGTTACTCGGCAATTGCAGCTGATAGAACTATAAAACAAAAGTGGTATCATACAATTGTAGGCGGACGTCTGTCATACACACACGGTTTTCTTTGGGTTGGTATAAACCTAAAATGTCGGAGATATCAGAAGAAGGTAAGAAGTCTGGTTCACAGCGGTGATACAGCCTCCCGCGAGCATGTAATATAAAGTTTTGTGATCACTGACTCTAATTTGTATCATTCAAATTCTTTTCACACTTTTCTATTTGTTTATAGTTGGAATTGTGAACAGTGCTAAAGTGAGTATTTCCGGTTTATAAGTCTTCTAAAAATACTAAAGTTATCGTCAGAACAAAGTTTATTGGGGATATTTATAGTTAGACCCGTGAAGTAAAAATCTGGATATTCAGACAACGAAGAAAAAAAATTTGACAGCTCTTTTTTTCATGAATTGGGACCATGCAATTGTGTGATCTATTTGTTCTGCTTATCGGCAATTGTGAAATCTTGATCTCATCATGATTGCATGGTCTTAAAAAATAAGGAATTGTGAGAATACCCGGTAATCACACCAAAAAAATCAACAGCAAAAAAGAAAAACTCTTCCGCTCAACTACACTCTCTGAGAATGATGGTCTTGCTTTTTCTTTTTAGTTTCATCATTAAGTTTGTAAAATGGTGTTAGTATAAGTTAATGATCTGGGCCTCGTTGAAAAATTTTTGGTTCTGCAAAAAATGCACTGTTCTGGCTGTCTGCAAGTGAAACTCATCCAATCACGGGTGGCAGTGTTCACGTAAAAGGTCAGGCACGTGGCCTTGCCTATCTTCGAAAAAAGCGCGAATACAAAATAAGTTCTGGGACGGAAGATGAATAAATATTCTTCTCTTTCACTCAGCTCTTCCTTTTTACCAATTCATGTTAGATGAATGGCTATTCCCCTTACCCTTCTAATCCCACTATTACACACCTTGACGATCCATCAACACCTACACCTACCACTCATCAATTAAAACGAACTAGAGCCAAACGTAGCTGTGATTTTTGTCGCAAACGTAAATCCCGCTGTGATGCAGATACATCGATCCCTTGTTCCAACTGTAAAGCGGTAAATACATCATCTATCAAAAGTTTCCCATGTTCATTCGATAGAACTAACTCACATCATTCGATAGTGGGGTTACATATGCGAATTCCAGACGGTGCGCAAAAAGCGTGGACCTCCTAGTGTGTAAGGAAACCCCGCCCCCACTTTCGGTCGATTCATTCAAGTGTGAACAAATGCTGATCTGAACCACTAGCTACGTAGAGAATCTTGAAAAGCGCTGTAAAAAGATGGAAGCTTTATTAACGCAATTGACCCAACTATCGATCAAGGAATTGGAACAGGATGATTTCCGGTTTCACGGCCAAGTCAATCTAGCTGAACATCTCGCTTTCGGAGATGAAACATCGCATCAACTCATCAGTAAACGACAAGATCACCATGGTCAGGACGACCTGAAAGGTGAATCTGCGCAGGATACCGATGGCGATCATAACGACGTCAACGAAGAAGACGAGGAAGAAGAAGATGATGATGATGACAATGACAATTACAGCGAAGAAGAAACCAACCAAAAAGACCCGCATGCTGCCGATAGATCCGTAACGTTGGAAGAGAAACTGGCCGATCTCAGTATCGAAGATTATGATTCGCTCAAGTACGCCGGGAAATCCGCCGGTCTGAATACATTACTCGATGAACAAGTGTTCAAATCCAAGTCTTACATAGCATGGCCGGGCCGTGACGATGTGGTTCTGCAGAGGATGTCGCAGAGCGAGTTGATGATTGTACGTACGGGACGATCCGCCTCTGGAAAATCTGGTACACGATTGAATGTCGGTATTTCCATGCGTTCGGGTGTCTTTGATGAACCATATTCACACCATCGTTTCCCAACGGATACTCTAAAAAAACTGAGCAAAAATTTGTCCAACAGAATGATTACTCTGTAAGTCATCGATTTTTCTGTCACACCAACTGCTCGTACTGGGGATGTCGCATTTGTATTTATTGTTTTTTTATTTTCTTTTGGCGATATAGTTACTTTAGCCATATCCATTCATTCTTGCCTGTTATTAACAAGCCACGATTCCTATCTCAGTTTCACCAACCCACAACAAGCCCTGCGACGAACCATATTTTACTCCATGCCGTTTTAGCCTTGTCCTTCCGGTTTGCCTCACAGCACTTTCCAAGTTTGGTAGAAAGTGCTTCCGATTATGCTAGTTTCTATGCCGCCAAGGTATTCAAGCGTCTTCGTAATACTGCGCAATCGCGGCTCTGTCACATTCAAGCGGCTCTACTGATGACCCTGTATCTTGATTTGGACGATGGTGATGTGGATTCTTTTCAATGGTACCTTCTCGGAAGTGCTATCCGGATGGCACAAGACCTCGGCTTACATCGTTCGTGTGCCCATTGGAAGCTGCCCGCCTCCGAAATTGAAACACGCCACCGCGTTTTCTATGCTTGTTACGTAATGGATCGTTGGATGAGTGCGCGCGCAGGCAAACCATTGACGATATTAGATCGCGATTTTGATACCGAGTTACCGTCTCCTTACGAAGTTTCCGACGCAGGCTTGCCAATATTGGAAGAAAGTACACCTATTTATCATTCGTTCCTGCTTTTTATCAAGTTGTCGGAAATTCTCGGTCGTGTACTCAAAGCACTTTACGCACCGAAAGCAAAGCATGCCAACATCAACGCGGGTCTAGATGATCCCACTATCCTTGTCGTTTTTGATCGCCGGTTAAAACAGTGGCGAGCATCACTGGACGAACCCCTGAACGGGGTCGAGCTGTCGTCAGCCCAGAAAGGTAATTTTTTTGATTCGCAAAATAAAACCAAGGAAATCTACTTATCAAAATCGTACACACGTATACGTACATTCATAGTTCCGTTACTCATCTTTTACCATACTGCGGTAATATTGGCACATCGTCCTTTCCTTGAATTGACCATGTTGCAGTCCATCAACGAACAGAATGCCATTGAAATCGCGTCGTGGCAGCCTTGTGCAGATTCCGCGGCCAGTTTGAACGATATTATCAAACAAATCCCGAGTCTCAAGGCAACCCCAGAAGTATACTCATCGTTCTGCTTGCCGACATGCTTTGTGTATGCGATGTTCCAGTCTTCACTCGTGCTGCTGAGTGCTCTGTTGAAAGATCGTGCATCTTCCGAAAAACTGACCGCGTTGCAGCAATCACTAGCCCTCATCAAACAACACGAGACACTAGCGCCAGCGCGTCAAGCTTATGAACTATTGAACATGATGATCATTGTTCACGACATCAAGCTAAGCAGCGCTGTAGGCAAGACGGCGATAACGAGTTCGAAATTTTCACCGTTGCCGAGTACTCAGGTGGCGTCGTTGCTCAATAAGCGGTCGCGCAATATCACTCGCCATAAATACTCTGCTTCAGAAGAGATACCGAAATCGAAATGGTTCCAACACACGCCACATCCATCCATGTTCAACACGTACATTCCACCAGGAACGCGACGTCAAGTAGAGTCCTTGATTGCTCACGAACCGCTTGTCAACCGCTTCATGTCCACCCATTCCGATCCCTCCGGAACCCTATCCGATCCACTCGCATCACACTGGCATACCATGCATCGTCATTCCTTTTACACAGCTCCTCCGTCGGATATTTTCGGCCCAGTCACTCATTATGCGTCCAGCCCACTTCCCATGACCGCTTCCCCTTTATCAATCACTGCTTTGCCTCCAAGATTATCATCTTCTATGGCCTCGAGTTATCACAAGAATATCATGGCAACGCCTGCCTCCATCGAATCTCCAATGATGGAGCAGATATTATCGCCCCAACCCGTCCCCTATATGGCCACGGAACCGGCACCGATGGTCTCGGCGGCTCAGCTGCAGCCGAGCAATGTCAACTGGACAGACTGGAACATGTATCTTCACCAGCAGCAATCATTCAGTCCGTCAGTCGTGCCATCACAGGCCATATCACAACCGCAGCAGCCATCAACCTCGGAAATGCCGTTTCAGCATAGTCTATATTCTACTATTCCCTCCTTTGACCGTGCAATTTAAATCCCTTCATACATTCCTTCCACTTGTATATGTTGTCCATACACCATCATGAAATCTCTTGCCAGCTCTTGTTTATTCTCTGTACCTTTCCATATTCCCTCCTTATCCAGAGTTTACGCTATACATACAGTTGGGGCCGTCTTTCTCTGTATTTGATCTTGCATGAATAAATTATATGAAATTGATAGATATCCATTACTTAATTTATTTTGTTGGTTCAACTAGCTCGTGAAAGTAACAGGTCATGATATCAAGTACGGTCGCTTTCAGCTGCGTCGTTCTCCGGTTACCTAGAAAAGGGAAGTACCCTCAACTGGGACCAAGGGAAAGCCAATCAGAATCAGGGATGTGATTGAGTCCCTCTTGCCGTTTTCGCTTTGTTCCAGACCCCAGGTCGTGTGTCTTTTAACCACCGTAACAGATTAGGTAGGCATTCGTGGCTTCTGCTGAAATATGATGGAGTTATTTTTAGATTCAAGGATACGTCGGCCAACATCATTCTTATAGAATGGTTCATTTGATGGTCTTCTGCATTTTCTACTTGTAGTCTTTTTGATCTGTAAAACCCAATATGATAGTCTAACCGAAAGGTTTAGAAATGTCATCATGTGGTTACTGTTGGTTAGCGTTATGATCTGTATTCAGACGCTGTGATCCTGGTATTAACCATGCGTCATTCCCGCAGAGAAAATTAGGCTATTGCGTGCCATTGCTTCTCACAGTGTGACACTGGTTCTATGAAAAAAAAGTCCTCTTATCGCTTACGCAATGGCTTTTTGAGCGATGCAATTGTATTTTACAGGTTGGAAAACCGATTCATGAGACAATATTGCCGTGCGACGACAACGACTGCATCAAAATAAGTTTGTAATTCCTTCACTCCGCAACATGACGCGACAATCCCGTTTTTCCGCATGTGAACCGGTCATCAACCCCACCTTTCTTTATTTTTGATCGCGAATGATAGAAGACAAGACATCCTCATTTTAGGAATATTTCTCAAGACCTGTATTGGATAGTAATGTTATCATTCGTGTAGCATGCATATAGTATCCTGGATGGGTGGAAGGAAATGAGATCATCTTTATTGAGGATATCGTGAGACAAAACGTTTTCTACTGGCTGATTAATGGTGTATTACGGTCCGCGTTGTTTACCTAAATCTACGGCAATTTCCGAAGCAAATGTTGCACCGCGCGATAGAATTCTCTTATCGTTGATCTGTGCTTCCGGAAACCGAGAAATTCCTGGTTTCCTGTCTCGGTTTGCTCTTGGAGCAACCGTGTGCGAGGACGTCACACCTTGTCTCTTGACTTTTTTCAGATGTTCGTTGAGATTTAGCCATTACCATATCTGAGATATTATGGTCTATAGATTTGCTGGAACAGCATTTTATGAGGAAGACGAACGAAGTTTCGAGGAATTTACTCTCGCAGGGGGTGTTCACTAACGACCTCTCTCCAGCCGAGAAAATACTGAATATACCGCATCTACATCATTTCTCAATAGCATCACCTATATTTTAACACCAGCATCATGCTATCACAAATTGCAGCGCTTCATGTCACTTGTCTATCAAAGTCGAAGTTCGGAAACATATTATCATCCACCGTTTGATATTGACAAATCCGTTGCTAGTGCGAGCTTGCTGGATTGTTCTGTAGAGATCGTATATTGTATTTGACTCCCTGAACATTAAACAATGTGGGAGAAAGATTCAATCGCTTTCACTTGTTTATACAGTTGCAGAAATAGTAGCTCGCAACTCCAATCGAAAAAAATCAACATCAAAACCATCAGATGACACCACAGTTGCCATAGAACTCCCTGGTTGTATAACAACGAGCATTAGCAAGCGCTGCACCTTTATTTCGATATGAATTTCAAACCAAAGTTTTTCAGCGGGCAACATCATTTGCCACATCGGAAATCCGTTATTCGGAACAATAACCTCATCAAGCTTTGGAAGCCCCAATACTTTCTCATCGTCGGTTAAAAAGAGTGATAACCCATCGATTGATAACATAGTAACGACTCTGAACAATTCAAATCAATATGCGGTTAAGGATACATTTTCCCGCCTACCTACGGTGAAGGTTCGAATTTCGAAAAGTGCTCGGGGTCTTAATAATAATTGCTTCTTGCCCGACAAGCTTTGTTAACTCGCTGCACATCCGCTTTCGACGCATTGGTGATCTCAGAATACCGCCAAAATATGAAAATTTTATTATAAAGACCACCGAGTTATCTTCCATCAAACGCTCAATAATTGCTGCAGATCGAAGCAAAGCCCTTGCTGGGAAAACATTGACTTTTTCAATGGGACCCGTTTGTGTCCTGCATGCTTATCAACCATTCTTGTGCATACGGCAATACTAAAAAACACATAATTCCATGTTATCGAAGCAACCTCATGATTTGGCCATCAAAATCCTTGTTTGTTTGTAGGGAGATGTATAGATGCAGACACTTTTATAAATAGGATAATCATTATTATTATACTCTTACTGAACATAAGGAGATAAATATATGGTAAAGATAAATAAATTGCTTGCAGTATGGTTTAGCAAGCTTTCCAGGAGACAGGAATGCGGCCTTCTGTAAAGTCACCCACTTCACCAAATACGGCTGGAGATAAATCGAGAGATCCTCGTCCACAACCCGGACACTAGATCATAAAGCGTCAATCAATCCACTGTCAAAGACATCATTGATAAAACCTAGAATGTACCTGATCCTGAATGGTTGCTTTGGCGCTACCCAAAGGGCCCGTGACAATAATGCATTGTCCACACACAGGACTGTCGTTGGGGTTAACATACTGACCATAATCGATCTTATTCTATAATAAAAAGTGCATGGGTTAACCCATATGTCCACGCGAGAAGGAAGCTATATCACGTACTAGAGCTACCACCATTTCCTGAGCTGTAAATAATCCGCCACATGCAGTTAACCCAACCCCAGGATCTATAGCAATAAGATAAGCATTCAGAATTCATCGTCAGCAGTGATTCAATTTTTCTTTTTATCGAAGAAATTAGTGCTCTGAAAACGAATGCTTACCGTAATATGTTCCATCACCTTTCCCACCCATATCAAAATTAGGTGTTGCTGAACCCCAACTGTCACCTTCATACTTTGTTTTACCGACGGAACCAAACCCAAGCTTTGCGCGGTAAGTTCGGTTCTTTAGAATGCCGAGTGTGCCCAGCACAATGAACATGACGGTAAAGACGCCGAGCATTCCCAATCCTAAGAGGATCCACCGACCATACCGATATTGTTCAGCGAAACGGGTCCATATGGTAGGTGGAGGATAATAGCGCAGTGGTGAATCGTGTTTTGCCGGTGGTAGGAATGAGCTTAATCGAGGGTTGCTGGTACGCATGTCTGCAATGCTTGCGTCAATGAAGGTGCTCGCTCTACTAGGTTGTGGAGCCGGCGTGTCATTTAGAGGGGGGCCATTTTCCGTATCTGTGTGAGCCATGGTATAAAAGGAGGTAGTCTCTCCTATTGTTGTTTCTTTTTCTCAAGCGCCTGCGCTTATTATGTACGATTTACTCCTTGGTGCAAAGGTAATAAAAAGGATTTGATGATCGTGTCACCCGTGCTGAATGGCCAATGTCGTACAAATGTTTATGGTTGCTGTCATTCAAAAATGTCTGCAATCTAGCCATGGTCGATCTGATAACTGATATCTCTGATTTTTCTCCTCATCTTTCCTTGTTTGAGCATTTTTATCACCAAATGATCAATTCATCCAATCTCTGCTTGCTAACAAGGAGGCAAGTTGTGCTGTAGATCCGGTGCTGCATAGGTGGAGATAGATTTTAACTGAGAGTCATATGATGTGGCTCAATGGTTGTTATGGTATCAAACAACAGTGATTTATTTACGCTAAATGAACCGAGGAAAAATGGAGAACAAGAACGGTATTGGTGGACCAGCAACCAATAAATATCTCATTCTATCGGTATATAATATTGAGGATCGGTTAAAACGGCCAAGTATGAGGGCTGAAATTGTAGGATGTGGGTGAGTTATGGGTACAGATTCATCTTTTGAAAGACGGCTTGAAGGAAGGATTTCCGCTTTGCTTCATACATGAGACGATCTTCGGTGGTTGTAAACATGGTTGGAAGCAATCTTCCGTCGATGGACAGTATACTGTATTCCGGATGAGTGGAGATGAGGACAACATGGCCAAAGCCTCTTTGACAATAGATGGCCGCAGCTGGACACGATGTTTCGTCTGTGCAAATACCACGGTCCATAAACCGTGCTAAAATGTCCACGCCCTCGTACCGATCCGCGTGAGCAAAATAGCCTCCTCCATTGTAGTACGTAGTTACGGTTTCTGGAAGGTCAGCAGGGTCCATTTGGTTACCACGGAAGGCTTCCTCACAAATTTGCATCTCCACCGCTCGAGCTCCATGTTCAGTGTTGTAGACAAACCCAGGAAACATACTTCCTCGAGACAGACCGGGGAAAAAACCCAGCTCACGGCTGCCACATACTTCCATATACGGTCGACCTTTTTCGAATTCGATGGTCGCACATCCATAATAAGCACCCGCACAGATACCTAAGTAACGACCGCCTTGTTCCACATAGTGACGAATTCTGTCGTTCGCTTTGCCGTCGAGTTCTTCGCAATAGGGTAAATCTCGGCCACCTGGCATGACCAGCATCGCACAGTACTTTTCCCAAGATTCCAATCGCAGCAATCGAGCGTCCACTGATCGGATATTGTACGTTTGGCCGAACATGGTCTTGATGGTGGCAAAAATATGGTGCACCGAGTTGGGCGAGGTCCCTGGTCCACTGTATACTAGAATATATCGGCCGTCATCCGACAAGGAACATGCATCGGTCACCAACATTGAGAATTCTCGTTCAATAGAAAAATAGACTGTAAACTATTAAAGAAAATAGAAGAGCATGGAACGGAGCGGAAAACCGATGGATCGCTGAAATAGGAACCTTGCGCCGGGCGGTCAGACGAACAATGGGGGATCATCCAACAAAAACCTTAATGCACCTTTATTAACAGTCACATAGCACCACTGGCCATGTGGAGGAGTTGTATTTTTTTTTCCCATTGCATGCAGCATTGATCTTCTTCCGCCCTTTATCAAAAGTTCTCAAAAAGTTACTATACCACCGAATTATTTTAGAACCACAATGAGACGTATTTCCATGCGGGATTATGCGTGACGTCCGTACACGACAGCTTTTTTGAAGGCGTTGCCTCATCTAAATTCGCAAGTCACAGTTGTGACTTGAAACTTGGCCACAGCTCAAAGCAGCCGTCGGAGTTCTGCGCGCCGCCCAATTCAAGAAAAGAAAAAAAGAAAAAAAAAAGTTTATCTTAGTTATACATCGCGACGTTCATTGTCATGGCAGCTGAAAAGAAGAGACCTAGAGGCTTGAAGAGCAGCGCGGCTCAAAAGGCTGCGAAAAAGACCAAGGTGGACGAACCCACGGAATTGACCGAGAAAGACATTCCCGAAGGAGCACAAACCGTCGTGTTAGACAAAGTCGTCGAAGAAGGCGACGAGATTGGTGAAGCTGCCGCATTGTATGAAAGCGCTGTCGAAAAGTTTGGTAAAAATTTTCGTGTGCAAAAAGCTGTTGCAAAAGAGGTTGGCAAATCTGACAGTGGGTGTAGATAAGGATCCTTCGGCAGCCCTCTCTTTATTGCGTGGCACGGTCCATGAATCGGATCGTATTTTACGCAACTGGGCTTCCGAGGAAGCTTTGCCACTTTTATTCTATTTGACCTACGGATCGGCCCTATATGACTTGGGCCGTTTCACTGAGGACGAGGAATTTGAGCCTTATCTGGAAGCCGCAGAGGAACGCTTGGAGAAAGGTTTAGAGAATTACGAAGCCCTTGACGAGGAGGCCAAGAAACAGAACGCCGCTGCAATGAATAAAATCAAGGTGGCTTTGGCCAAAATCTGGATTGCCAAGGTAACTAGGGTTTGTTTTACGACATCTATGGAATGGGTTCATTTTTTATTCATGCATTGATTCCCATATCCAGGCGGCTAGCTCCGTATCGGAAGATCTTGCAGAGATTCCTGATCTTGCGGTGCGTGCCTTGTCAACCTTGGATGAGGCTTTGCCGGCATGCGACTACCCTGCCAATGTAAAGGTAGACTTGGCAGCGATCGTTCAAAACCACGGTGATTTGTATTCTGGATTGTCCGCTCGCGATAAATTCAGACTGTGGTCGGAGAGTCTTTTGGAAACCGTGGTCAAAGGTAAATAAAATAAGCTTAATTGGGGAGGGGAGGTTAGCGAAGACAAACAAGACCAAGTCCAGTTAACCGGTGACATCCAATCCAGAGGAAGAGGGAAATGCCCGTGCATGGACAGAACTGGGTCTGTGCAAACTTTCATTGGCCAACTATTGGTTGGACCAAGTGGAGGATACTGAGGGTACCGATCCTAAGCTCCAATTGACGGAGGAAGAACAAAAGGCCTATGATGCCATTGTTGCTAGTAAGTTCATGTTTTATGGCAATGGTAAACGAAAGCCCATAATGAGAGACTCACATTGCGTAATGCGTAGGCAAACAATATTTCCAAAAGGCACATGATGCGCTTGAAAAGACCGATCAGCTTACACCCTACGTATACGCCGATCTTGCTGAAGCTACGCTCAACGAAGCAAACTTGGTATTGGAAGAAGAACAACAAAATACGCTGTACAAACAAGCTGTGGAATACATCAAGGCGGCTCAAGAAGTGGCCCAAAAGGCTTCATTAGAATATACTTTGCCTGAGGGCTTGGCAAGCTTTTTGGAAGATTGGGAGTCCGAGTCCTCTTAAAAAGAGATAATTGCAAACAAGTCCGGATTCTCACGTCGATGAAAAGAATCAGGGGCCCAATAAAAAAAAAAAGCTGGTTTCGTCATTGCTTCTCTTTCTGGTTTTTTTTTATCAATCTCTCCTTGTTTCCCCATACTCTCTTGCGTCTTTCATTACGATGAGCGACGAAAGAGAACCACTTCTCGCCACTGAACGGGGTGAGGAGGGCACCAGCTCGCATCCTATCGAGTCAACTGAACATCCACAACCAACGTATGCGGCACCATCAAGAGTGCGTTCGGGAAGATTTACCTTTCTGGAAAAGGTGCTATTCGCCTTGACCGTTGCATTCTTTATTCTCCTGTGTGTGTTTGCCGGTTTATATGCCAGACGCGTCTACGATGAGCATGATAAGGTCCCTGCCCCAGAGCCAACTTCACCACCCGATAAACCTCGTGAGAATATTACCGAGGCAAGCCTTCCCACCCGTCATGGCCATTGAGTGATGAGAATACTAAACCAGTGATTGTTCAATAGCCTCTTTGCTCCACGCCTCAATGTGTGTTGACTGCTTCGCAAATTCTGAAAGTAAGTTGGTTGTCTTAAGATGGAATTGGCATGGTGATTCACTAGCGTCACTAGGATATCGACATGACGGTGGATCCTTGCGAAGACTTTTACGCTTATACTTGTAAGCCCTGAAACTCTTGCGGAAAAAAAATGATGCTCACAGAATGAGGTCACCTTCTTTAATAGGCAACAATTGGATCAAGACGCATGATATCCCGGAAGCCAAACCATCTATCAGTTCTTTTGCTCAACTGGCTACAGACAACAAAGAAGTGTTGCACGGTATCCTCACTCATGACTTCCAAGAATTTTATGAACGCACGCATGGTTCAACGGGCGGTTTGCCTGACCCGGAGAAACTAGTCGATAAGCAGAATTTCAACAAAGTCAAGGCGTTGTATGATTCCTGCATGGACGAGCAAGCTATCGATGCACGTGGAGCGGAGCCCTTGCTTCCCCTGTTGAGAGAACTCCGCCGTTTGTATCCTTCGGATTTTGCAGCCGTCAATGCCGACACCATGCCAAAGGCCACAGAAAACACTCAAACCCTCACCCAAGCCATGAGTTTCCTCTTCAAGCACAATGTGGGCGCCTTGTTTGAAATTATGATTGACGCGGTAAGTCATCAAGCCGTGCGATTGATACGCAAAAAGCTCATCATGCTAATCTATCACCCAATTTAAAAACAGGATCCCAGAAACCCAGAGAAAACCGCTTTGCAGTTGTATCAATCTGGTTTGACTTTGCCTTCAAAGGAATACTATCAGGAGGAGGACATTGTTCAGACCTTGTTTGAAACTGTGGCAGATACCATGGATGCTGTCTTTGGCGCGACCAACAATGAGTTTGGCTGGAACCGATGGAGCGCTAACACCACTGCAAGATTGGTGGTGGACTTTGAAAAACGCTTGGCCAATATCAGTGCGCGTCCGGAAGAGTTGATGGATCCCGATGCTACCTACAATCCTCGCTCTTTGTCTCAGCTGCATAAACTGGCACCCACTCTTGACTGGGGTTTGATGATATCGGAATTACTCCCGTCCACTGCGCCTCACGTGGACATGTTGATTGTCTCATCGCCCGAATATATTGAAAAACTGCATACCGAGCTTTTGGATGCGTCCACTACCCGGACGGTTCAAGCCTACTTTATGTGGCGATTGATTCGATCTTATTCCGATGCCTTAGCCGAAGATATCCGCAAGCCCGTTCAACGTTTAACTGCCAAATTGCGCGGTACCAATGCCAAGGTGACCAAACCACGATGGGAGATTTGTCTGGACGAAGTCAATGCTTCGCTTGGATTCATGGCAGGCCGTTACTATGTATTAGACAAATTCAGTGGCAGTTCAAAGAAACGAGCAGACGAGTTTGTGCAATCGATTGAAGAAGTATTTGTGGACCGATTACCTGAATTGACCTGGATCGATAATGTGACCCGTGCTCGAGCGGAGGAAAAGGTAGATGTGAAAATCACCCCAATCTCAATGTCGGCCGAGTTTGACTCACAGGCAACCATGCCAAATTCACTAGGTCGATAATCTCATGCTCAAAGTGGGTTTCCCTTCGGCTTATCCTGATGTCATGTCGCCCGTCTCGCTCTCTGATTACTACTCTGAGCTCAGAATGGAGCCGGACAGCTATTTCAAAAACTATCTCAAGAGCCGAACATGGGATATAGTGGAGCAATGGCGTCAAGTAGGCAAACCCCCAAACAAGTCCAAATGGCTCATGAATCCTCAAGAGGTGAATGCTTACTACAACCCAGTGTTCAATGAGGTAACTATCGCCATACATACTCATGATAGCTATGCCAATCACTCATGATATCGATGGACTAATTTTTTTTTTCCTTCACAGATTGTCTTCCCGGCTGGTATTTTGCAAAATCCTTTCTTTGGCAATGAATATCCGGATTACCTCAACTATGGTGGTATTGGTGTCGTGGTGGGCCATGAACTTACGGTAAATGGGAAAAGACTGGCAGTGATAAGAAATAATGATTAACGGATCACGTATGCGTAGCACGGTTTCGATAATTCTGGTCGCCATTACGATGCCGAGGGACGTTTGGTGCAGTGGTGGACGAATGAAACATCGAAATCATTTGATGAAAAAGCGCAATGTTTCGTTGATCAATACTCGAATTTCACTGTGGAAGGCAACAACGGAAGAGTGGTGCATGTCAACGGCAAACTCACTCTGGGCGAAAATTTGGCTGATAACGGAGGCTTGGGTGAAGCTTACTTGGCATGGAAGCAACGTTATGACAGCGACCGTCAAAGCAAAAAATATAACAATGCACGTTTGCCCGGATTGGACAACTTGACTCCTGAACAGTTGTTCTTTGTTAATTTCGGTCGCATTTGGTGCAGTAAATCAACCAAAGAACAAGCTGTGCAAAGCGTAAGACCCGTCTTCTTTTTTTTAGCCCTTTACATGGCGTATGATGAATTCTGTCATATGACTGCTAATGATGATATATGTGATATAGGCGCTCACCGACGAGCATTCTCCACCCAAATGGCGTGTCAATGGCGCTGTGCAGAATTCCAAACATTTCGCTAATGTGTTTCAATGTCCGGTTGGAACAGCTATGAATCCTGCCAAGAAGTGCGAGTTGTGGTAAAACTAGGTCCTGCGTAACAAACAAAATAAAAAAGCAAAACTGTAGGAGGTGAAAAAACAAAAAGTGAACCTTGAAGCATGGAGTGCAGGAAAGGAGACTTGAGAAAGCCAAGAGTATAGCCATGGAAGGAGCACTCAGAGGAGACTAATATTAGCCATCAATGACAGAAACGATCGCGATATCTTTTTTCAGTCCAATTACTCTTGTTGTTTTGCAATTCCAGGAAAAAGCGTATTTTAGGCGAAGAAAGAGAGCAGGGGATAGAAAGATTAAAAAGATTTATAGTATTATGCAGCAACCATGTGGTATAATATATGCACAGGAAGTGGGCTTGTGTCCATATGATATGATCATTGAAAACCAGTCGTCTTGCATGCAACAGTGGCCTGTCAAAATACAACATCAAGAAAATTGCCATGGCGTTCAATTTCTTACCATGGTATCATGGGACATTCGCGGAAACAGAAAATAAAGGGAAATGGGCAATAGTCCAAGGATGGGATTTTTGATGTCTCCTTTGTTCTGCCTTGCATATCAATCTCTCACGCTTATTGACATGTCTGTGTCACTCCTTCAACATGGTGATCCACCCAGCCAATCACAACTGCATAGACCGTACTGCGGGTACTGTATGCGGTTCTCCACTTGCGATCCGCTCTCTCTTTTTTTTTTTTTTTTTTTTTTTTTTTGCTCTTGCCCTTTTTCATCAACGGATCGTCTATTGCCAACTGGCCCCTTTGTTTTTATGCTTTCTCACCAGCCACGCTGGATCATCCGAAACTAAAAAAAAATAATTATAGAAAAAAATATCGCTGCTGCATGGCACTTTTATGCATCATCCAAGTCGTTGTTTATAGGCTGTGCTGCATGCTTGATCACAGTCATTGCATAAACCCACGTCGTTTTAGATTCAGGGGGGGAGGTTTTTTGACATTTGGATACCCAAAAGAATAATAGATTAAGTTTTGACCGAGATGCAATAGCCGCATGAGAAATTGAAAAAAAAGACACTTTTCCAGATTGGCTGCGCAATGGCTGAGATTGGAATGATTGTCGTGTAGTATCAACGAGATCCATGAGTGAACCTTGTCTGATTTATCGTCATGGCTTTGGAATGAAATTATCATGTGACAGCATCGATCATCCGTCTCCTCTTTTTTTCCCCATTTAAAATTATTCATAATTAGGGAAAAGAAAAGGAACAAAGCAGGCCAAAAGGATGGTAACCGAGCCGTTTCTATAGGCAATGAAGGGAAACAACACAGGGATGAGTGAGATACGGATGTAATTTGAAGAAGTAACAAACACAGCAACCCCCCCCCCAAGAGGAGCGAAACCATTTGACTGACTCCCTATGAAAGGCCTACGCGTTGACACTATATTGGCAAGCAACACACGGTTTCCGAGAATAGATAAAATAAAGTTTTTGCTGACTTTTTATCTTTTTCATAACCTCATTCAATAGAGGAAATAATTTTTAAACTAATATATAGTTTACATTCAACCGAGAAAAACAATCGAGTTGCAAATAGAAAATAAGAAAAGAGGGAGCAATATGAACAGGAGAAAAAAAAATGAGATAGTTGTGTAAAGGTAATATGATCCTATACATCGTTCCTTTTTTTCGGTTTCCCCTGTAGGATTCTGTAAACACCCATTCACGGAAAGTTACATGTTCACGTCCATTCAGCGCGTGCTTCCTTCTTCCTTGTGAAGGGGCGACAGTGTGGAGATGAGAAAAGAGGGAAATAGAAACAGCAATGGATGAAAGGAGCGGTGCACACCAAAAGAAAAAAAGGGGAAAGCCATGGCTGTCCACACACAAAGCCTGCAAATTACACTTTTTTTCACTTTGCATAATCAATACCTCGTGGTCCGTCAACGATTGGTCGCAGGGTGAAAAATGCCGTGATTTGGGCTTTTTGGGTCACATTTTTTCTTTTCCCGTCTGCTGTGTTTGTGTTGTATTTTCTTTTTTTTTTTTCTTTCTTGTTTTTCCAAAGCCAGTTGCCCTTCATCGATCCTATCCTTAGTCTCTCATCTTTCTATCAATTTGTCTTTTTTCTTCTTCTTATTGAAAGATTTTGGTCTACCTGCTGCAGCCATTGATTCGGTTTTGTTTGTTTATTCTATACCATCATTTTTGTCACTTATTCCGGGACCATGGCAACTCTACGTTCCGAAGATACTAGTTATTTATTGCCCCCGGCTCGAGACTTGTTACTATCGTCCGCTCATCAACCAATGGACAGAATGGAGAAGCCAGGATTAACAGAAGACAAAGACATGGATAAAATGGTCCTTGATGAACCCTATGACACTGCGGAAACCTCCTTCACCGGTCAAGGTACGTCAAGTTACACCCCACGGAGGGCGCTATCTGTTTTTTCCATAGTAACAGTGAATGTTTCAATGAACGAAATGCATTGTACTCACTTTGACTCTTTTTTCTTTTTCTTGTTATTCAGAAGCCTTGTCGAAACCCCATTTACCTTCCATCTCGAACATGCCTTCGTATTCCCCTGTACCTCATCCTCACACGGTTTCGTCGGCTCATCATACTGTAACACCGCAACAAGCAGCATCGGACGAGTACCTGCGTCATCGCATGTCAGATATGAGTGTCTCATCCTCTTCAGCCATGCACTACCGATCACTGCATAGTCCGACCGTGGTCTCGCCGAAACAGGAGCCCGCTACAGTTGCACGCACATTGTCCCCCTTGGAACCCAATTCTCAACCCTTTTATGAATCCTTTTCACGACGAGGATCCGTCGCCGATCCTAGTTTACACTCTACTCCGGATTACCGTCGACCGTCTATTACCGAGATGAGTAACCTCCCCCTACCGACCTCTACGAATCCGAGCCGACGAGGTTCGGTAGCCCTGGATTATGACCTCTCCTCCCGATCGCCATCCCCTTCATCGTATGCTAAGCACGGATCGTCCCGTTACAATCACGAGTTGGAACCGCCGACGAATTACTTCTCATCCCGCAGAGATTCGCTTCCGCAACAGGCATCACTGAGTGGAGGCAATGCCTACGACCCTTTTCACCGCCGTCATTCCATCGCTACAGCCGAGCCTTCCTATCCTCACGCCTTACCCAGCGGTCGAGGATCAAATTATGGGAAGCATCAACGTGGTAAGTTGGACGATCTGGGGAAAATCCCCAACATCCCCTTATTATCTCTCTTTGGTGAGATATCCCGTGTTAAAATAAATGATATGAATGCATTGTCTTGACAGCTTTTCGATTTCCTGCGACCATCCATGAATCACCGACGCACGGACCATACTCTGCACCTTCCAGTCCACCACTGGTGCCGGCCGTGGCGACGGGACATGAACCGCCATCCACCGTGTCCGCCAAACCTACCGAAAATGCCAGATACCCTCGTCATGCTGTGCGATACACAGCTTCCAATGGCAATGAATACCACTACCCACATTCCTCCTCACAACGACATTCGGGTCATCCTTACGCTGGCAATATGTTGCGTCGTCGATCCATTTTGGCCGAAGAGATGGATAACCCAGTGATTGCTCGTCGTGCATCCATGCCTGTCGTCACCACGCGCAGCCCCAATGGCGAAGTTCATCCTCATCATCATCTCCCGTCTACGGCCACTGCCGCCGCCGCCTCCGCACGCCATATGAGTGATCACCGCGATCCGGTGTATGCAAATGAAGTGTATGGTAGTCTTGGCAGGTTGCAAAATAGTACGGGTTTTCACCAAGTCTGTGATAGTGGTGATGGTTACGGTTTCCGAGAAGAAGAGAAAGTGGTCCGCAAATCCGATACCCCTTATTCTCGCAGCCCCGAACTCCGTGTAAGCCATAAGTTGGCCGAACGCAAGAGACGCAAGGAAATGAAGGAGTTATTTGATGAATTACGGGATTCTTTACCGGTGGAAAAAAATCTGAAGACAAGTAAATGGGAAATCCTTACCAAAGGTAACCAAAAACAACAGATGTGGATATTTTTTTGCGGATGATCATTGTTTGGTATTAAATCTTACATTTTTTTGAATGACAGCTGTGGAATACATCTCTCTCTTGAAACGACGAGATTTTGAAATGGAAAACGAGATCAATAGCCTACGTCGGGAACTGGCCATGTTGAGTCGTGACAGAACGTGAGTTCACTTGTATCTGTTATACTCCCATTAATCTCACCGTAAACCAACTTTGTCTGTCCCTTTGTATGGATCGATTAGTGGTACTAACTATGGATTACAATATTAACGAAAACGCCAAGAGCATCGAAAAAAAAAATAACCAACAACAAACGCACATATTTTTGCAGACCAAAACCACCGATTCATGCTTCTGTATTGTGATACCCCTTCTTTGTTCTCCTTCTTCTTGTCCTTTCATCGGATGTGGAAACATTCAATGAATTTTTGGTGATCCTCCCTTCATAATTTAGTCCTTACGCCGTTTTCTTCTTTTTACTATTTAACATCTTCTTTTTTATTTCTCCTACTATTCATTCTTCAGTTTACCCTTGCGGTTATTTTCATTTTGGATAATCCTGATGTTGTGCATGTTTCCATAAAATAGTACGTCGTAATAAAATTTACTCCAAAAGATGCCCTATCTCCAAGTGGTTCGTTATATGAAAATGGCAGCAATGATTACAAAGCATGATATTGCATCAATGCACGGGCAACTTGTGGTATAACGTCAGCTTATTCTCTTCGCATGTGTTCTTTTGCGAATAGGCGTGTTTTTTATTTGACATTTTGTTATTATTGTTACAAAGGACAACAGTGTATGTTTCCTGCAATCATTTTTCTCCAGTTTCCATCTGCACATACGGTTTGCTATATTTTTATACAAGGTTACGTCAGGCCACTAAAGTGGCTCTCTATTGCGCCTGGTCGGAAGTTTCTCCCCCGCTATTTTCGCTGGACACCGCATCTGACGGTTTGTCGTCCCCATTGAATACCTGTCGCGCAGCTGGGGTCTCGTCAGGGATATGCATTTTCGCGTCAGTTGGCGAGACAAAGGATAACTTTTCGTCTGTATTGGCGTGAATATCAGAGGATTCTTCGGTTATATGCACAGCCTCTTCGTGAGTAGTAGTGACGAGCGCTGGTTCGCCCGTGGTTGATGGTGTGACTGATGTGGATACCGGAGTCATTGGATGATCTTCGCTTTCAACGACTGTCGATGTTTGTATTCCTGTTGATGTTGAAACTTCCATGGCTTCGGTCATCGGTTTGTCTTCTTGCGGTGGATCCACCTGCATGGGGTCCGGCTGCTGCATAGCTTCACTCACTTTGACAGGTGTGTCCACTATGATTGTTTCCTTGACTTCGACCGGCACCTTTACTTCCACGGGTTCCTTGACTTCAACCGGTTCCTGCACTTCCATGGGTTCCTTGACTTCGACTGGTTCCTTCACTTCTGTGGGTTCCTTTATTTCCAAAGGCTCCGTCGTTTCTACAGGCTCCTTCACTTCAACGGGTTCCTTCACCTCAACGGGTTCCTTCACTTCAACGGGTTCCTGTGTGTCAACGGATTTTTTGACTTCTGCGAGTTTGCCAGCCGGTGGGGTTTCGGAGGAAGTGCCAGCATTACGGTTCATTAGTGCAGCAAGATGGGCTTTCTGCTTTGTAGCGATAAGCTTGAGTTTGGTATTGGTTGACGTTAATGCCGATATCTTTTGCTCCTTTTCTTCAAGCTGATCTTGGTATCCCTTTGAAGCCGCTGTGAGCGCTTCGAATTTCTTATTGAGTTCCTCCATCGCTGCTGTCGTTGTGTTCAGTTTAGTAGTCAGCTCCTGGGCTTCGGTTTCCCGCTTCTTGGCAAGTGCCAGCGCTTGAGCCTAAAAAGCATACCGAGTAAGTGCCTGCAAACAGCGTCACCGAGCGATGATATCCTGCAATAAAAAAGTAACTTACGCCTTGTTTGGCTTTGTTGAAATAGTCGTTCACCTTTTTCTATTTTCATACAAAACGATAACCGTGTAAATATCATCAACAAACCAATCTCCCTTTTGCCTATCCGTACCTCTAACAACTCATATTCACCCATGCGTTTTTCCAACGCTTCTTCTGCTTTGGATTTTTCTTCTTCCGCTTTCTTTTTAGCTTCATCCGCTTTCGCCTGCTCTTGTTCCACAGCCGTCAGCTTATCCTGAATTTCACTGAATTTTTTCTTGTAGACTTGCGCAAATTGTCCGTTGCGCTTGGCCTAGGAACAGAAATCGTGTGAGCAAAAAACAACAGATAGAATCCGCTTTTTTCCCCCAGCTTCTTACCTGCGTCATGGCCGCTTCCAGCTTGTTGTTCAGATCCGCAATTTCCTTTTCTTTTTCACCCACCTATAGTTTGTTTAACAACCACTACCGTCGTGAAAGCGGACAACATCAGCTACTTACATTGGCTTTGGTTGCCAAGTCCGCTGATTTCAACTTTTCTTCTTCGTACTGCTTCTCCAAGGATGCTTTGCTTTCATTTGCGGACGTTAGCTGTGATTCCAAAGCTTTGATTTGGTCTAAAGTAGAAGAGTTATTCCACCTTTGCTCCAATATCTCCACTTGTTATGAGTAATTAAGGGTTTACCTGATAACTGCACCGTCTTGATCTTCATCTGATTTTCCAGCTCATGGATACGTTTTTTCTGATCGATGACACTGGTTCTTAGTTGCTTGTTACTGTCCTTGAATACTGCGACTTCATTTCGGAGTTGGGACAGCACATCTGCATGGTTTTTCAGATAATCGTCCTTCTCCTTTTGAAGCCCATGAAGCGCTGTACGAGTGGTAGCAAGGTACTGCTGAAGAGAAGCGAGTTCCAAATCCAATGCATCATATCGCTTTTTAACGTTCAGATACCGCGCTCGCCATAATTCATTATCCTCAGAGAGAGTGTTATTGACATCGCGTAACTGTTGCACAAGGTTGGCTCCGTTTGGATTCTCTTCAGACACTGATGCAGAGACGCCCGCGTTTGCATGAAGTCCAGTGAAAGATTGACCCAGTAAGGTTTGGCAGGATTGCTGCAGTTTTTCAAAGCTGGACAACACGATGAGATGGTGTTGAAAAAAGTCGCATAACAAATGTATTTCTTACCTCTCGGACAGCTCTTTATGGCTCGTTTCCAGTGTTTCTCTTTGCTTGGTCCACATTTCTTCGGCGTCTTTCAGGTCATTGTGTGCCTTGGTCAATTCCGCCTCCTTATCGTTGAGTTTCTCTGTTAGCTTTTGAATTTCAACGCTTAATTCGGTCTTTGCTTTCTCTCCCTCGGACCGAGCTTTCGTTTCTTCTTCCCCTCGTGACTCCAGCTCTTTCACCAAAGTCTCCTGCTGTTGCACCTTTTCTCGCAATTTCGTCAGCTCATCAGCGTTTTCTTGGTCCTTTTGCGTTAATTCCTCCACTTGTTGAGTCAGTTTTGATTTTTCGGTGAGCCACTCGTTCTTGCTTTCAGCCAACGACTTTTCAGCCGTCTGAACAGCTATCAATGAGCTCTCAATTTGGGAGGTATATTCGTTCAGCAATGCGGCGTTGGTGGCGAGTTTAGCCGTGAGCTCTTCTTCATGCTCTTTTAGCTGTGCTACAAGAGCCATCTGCTCTTGCTCGGTTTGTGCGGAGGTTGCTCTCTGCTTCTCCAGTTGGTCCTTGTACTCATCCACCAATTTTTGGAGCGTGTCGATTTTGGTGCGAGCTTCAAGTAACTGTTGTTGAAGAGACCCGTCATCTGCGCCTTGTTCTTTCACTGTCGCAGAAGGTGTGTCACTGGGAGGTGCTTCCGATGATTCGGCGGTCGCTGATGGCACAGCATCAGCTTCGGATGCTGGCACGGGTGCCGACGCGGGCCCCTCCTCTTCCTTTTGAGTAGCCGATGCAGCTTCCTCCTTGGACGTCTTCAGTTGGGCTCGCAATTCAGAGTATGTGGCGTTCAAGCGACGTAATTCGTCTTGTGCTTCGTTATACTTTTGTTCCCAAGACGATACGTCTTCGTTCTTGAGTTTATTCAATTCGAGTTCTGCTTTGGATAGTTTCTCGTGGGCGTGCTTCAACTGTCGTTTCTGTTCGTTGAAGCGTAACTTCAAATGTTTCAACAGATCGGGAGGTGAGATCTTGGTGAACAAGGTGGACGTCATTTGGTTCAGGAGATGCGTCAGCTTGGTACGATCCTCAAGCACGCACTTGTAATCTTTCATCAATGCGTCGTACGCTTTGGTACGGGTATCTAAGGATGCCAACAATTCTTTCTTCTCGTTTTGAAGCGTCTGCAGTGATCCCTTCATCTCGGTGACATTTGTATTGGATTTCCACAATGACACTTCGCGTTCCGTAATCCGTTCTTCCAGCTCGCTATTCTGTGTTCGCAAAATGCTCACTTGCTCGTAATGCTTATTGTTCGTATCTTCCAGTTGACTGTATTTTCGTTTTAAGCGGTCCAGTTCCACTTGCAACTCATCATGTTGTTTTCGCATCTCAGCAAGTGCGTCTCGAGCTTCTTTTAGCTCGGCATCGTGAGTGGTCGCCACGCCCATTGGCTGATTGTCCGTGGAGGCTGCCGTGTTGTTCTCCTCAATCTGCACCGTGTCCGTTTCGGATGGCTTCTGCTCCAATTGTGCTTTGTAAAACTCGTTTTCGGTAGTAGCAGTGGACAACCTGGAATAATCTCTCAGCTTCTGGGCATACGCGATGGCGATAAGGTTCCTACTTACTGCAACTCCAACAACTTGTTCTTCTTATTCAGTTCTCGCAAAGCCAGTTCGGCTTCCTGCAAAGCTGAACCCCACCTTGATTCGACATTTTCTCTCTTTTGCTTTTCGTCCTCACATTCATTCGACTTGATCTGTATTTGCTCTGTGAGTTGGCGAACATCTTTCAAAAGTTCCTGGTTGCGCTGCTGGAGTTCGTTGATATCATTGAATACCAATTTTTCCTGATCGATAAACATGACATCGGTGGCATTCTCCATTTGACGGCGAACCTCCTCCGGCAAAACTGTATCCTTGTGTTGGTCTTTGCTGAGTAGATACTTTAACTGATGAATAATTAGATTGGACGATGCACGAAGATCGGTGTTCTGTTGATTAATTAATTGCAAATCTTGTTCTAATTGTTGGATCTAAAAGGAATTGGGCACAAGGTTATTACTTGAAATCTAAGTTTTAATAGAATACGCCTTACCTTTTCTTTTTGCGTGGTATCGGTTTTCTCAAATTCCGAGATCTGATTCCATAATTCGTTGGCTTCTTCGAGTAATCGAGCAATTTCGGTGTCCTTTTTATCGTACAGCAATCGTTTATCCGTCTGTTCTCGTAAGAGCGATTGGTATGTTTTTCGCAGTTCTTCGTATTGTGTAGCGAGTTTTTCGTTATCTTCTCGCACGTTGAAATAATCTTGATATACACCGTACCAACGCCGTCCCAAACTTTCGTATTTTTGAATGAGCTGCAAAAGACTGGTATGGGCCGTCGTCTGGTCGGGACGAGAATCCTCCGTTTCCTTTGGCTGGACCAATTTTTCGGCGTACATGTGCGACACTTTGAGCTGATCCTCCATTTGTACTAATTTCTGCTTCATTTCTTCCTGGGCTTTTTCTGAAGTTTCTTTCTCTGCGCCAAGTTTCTTTTCCAACTCGTTGATTTGCGATTTGTATTTTGTTCGTTGGGAATCGTAAACTCGTATTAATTCATCATGCGCCGATTTGGTGGTATTACGACTATGTTCAAGTTTGGTGCATCGATCTTCTGCTGTTTTTAGTTGATCGGTGGCCGTGGCCAAATCTTTTCGACATTGGGTCAACGTGGACTGGAGTTCCTCGTTTTGCCGTTGAAGTAATTCAGCTTCGCGAGTCGACGATAATTTACGATGCATGAATTGCTTCGCTTCGCTGTACTGTTAGAGAAAAGAGTAAGTCCCTGAGGGCATTTATAGTGGTATTAGGGATGGGTCACTCACGCTCTTCCAATGAAGATCGTCATACTGTTTTTCAAGCTGGGATAACTCTTCTCTGTATTTCGCTTCACGGGCAGAGGTAGTCCTCATTTGCGACTTCAAGTTCTCGTTCTCGAGCTAGATATGTTCCGATAAGTAACTGCTTATTCCCAACATCAGAATTGTGTGGTGATGAGCATCGATCGAACCTTCAAAGCCATATTTTCAGCCATCATTCGTTCTTTCTCCGTCACGGCCGCAATGAGGTCCAAACGCATTGCGTTTTCTGTGTCCTTGACTTCCTGAATATCACCTATGTTCAATGTATTAATAATTGAAGATAGTAACGCCAGCGTCGTAGAAAGCAAAATGAAAGGGAAAGCATTTTTAAGCGACAGGTCATGCCGACGATTCAAATGGTTACTACAGGTTGCGCAGTAAAAAGCCATTTTGGCTTTTCCCCCTGGAAAGAGGCTTTGCCTGTGCGCAAAAAAAAAAGAATAAAAAAGAAGAGTAGTAGGTGAGAGTGTAACCGTACCATCCATGATTGATGTCATGTTCGGGAAGGGCTGTACGGTGTGCGTCCGTGAATTTCGTAGGTCCGCATTTTCAATGAAATGCTCTCGCGCATTTTTAGCGAGTCCATGTGACTGTTGTCTAATTGCTCACATTTCATTATGCGCGTTGTCAATGATTATCATGCTTGTAAATCCTTTCTTTTCCAGTACCAACCACCCAACGGCATAACTTGAACCATTGATGGATCAATGGAGATTTTTCATACTACTTTTTATCTAGAAAGCGATAAAATTCTACGTCGCAAGGGGACGCACCAGACTCGTCGCCTAATAACATGCGAATACCGTATGCACCAAAGAACTCGTTTGCTTTTTGAGTTCCAGTATGATACAAAGGAGTCACAAAAAAACTAATGTAATTTCACTCATACCGTACGTTTATTCACTGTCGAGTTATGGAAAAAACGCTGTTGACAAATGAGCAACTGCTTATACATAAGCAACCTTAGAATTCCCTTTTACTGTGCACATCTTGCATCGTTATTTGGATATAGTTATCCATGTTTGTTGCCCCAGTAGCATTTGTCAGGTATTATGAACTATGCGTGATAACTTTTTGAGTATAAAGTTCATTTTTTAACGTTTACATTTCCTGCAGTCCCCTATAGTATTCTCAAGTGTCCGATATCATCGGTTGACGACATCCTGGCCAACACTGGCTGTTCAGGACATGTATGACAGAATAAACCTCACATCTAGCTGATATTTTCGCCAATGGCGAATAATCCAAATCAAAAATCCTCAATGCATATCGTTCTCCCATCGAATCAAGGTTCTGTCAAACATTGAATGTTTCCTGCTGCGACTGTTCTGAAGTCTTCTTCTGAGGTCGCTTTTTTTTTAACAAGAAGCCCAAGTACATTAAATCCGTCGTCAGTTTTCTCGAGTCGTACAGGCACACAGGGTACCTCTTATTGGAAAGGTAATTCACAAGACATAACTCAACATTCTGCATGGCTGGTGCTGATAGTTCCAAACAGTGTTGATTCATCGATGTCACTGGAATTCTTCCTATTGAAAACAGTAAGGGACGTTTTTATGCTCTAGAGCGAACTCATGGCTTATTGGCATGAACTCGAGTTTCGGTTGGATGAGGTCCCAAGGTTTCTTGGCATATCATTGGCTGGTGGTCCGAAATTCGCAGCCACCAACCATTTTCTTGGATTGGGAAATTCGGTGCTTGCACTGCTTTACGTTCTCTGCGCATTTCTTATCATCGATTCCTTTTCCAATTCTTACCATGAGCGAAGCCAATGTAAGTGTTTAGATCCATCGGATCGGGAATGAATGAATTTCTAATCAGCTGTATAGAATTCACTGTTTGAGGATGACGATAATTACGTTCCTTATGTTCCGATCAAGCAACGACGATTGGAGAAACTTCATAAATATGCAAAGCAGCGACGACTAACGGAACCAAGTGTAAGAGACGATAATGAGGATGACGAATCAGCAACTCAAGGTCCTCGAGCGGGGATGAGTTTGCTCGATCAGGCTGTCGAGCAACGAAAATACAACGCTATACCAGGTATGGATACCCGACTCTCAAAAAGGCGGGTGACATGACTCGATGGCTAATCCGAGTGTGGATTTGAACAGAAAAGACAGAGGAAGAGAAACGTCTAGAAGAAGAAAGAATGATTGAGGAAGCACAAGCACGTCATAAGGCGCTTGTTTCCGTACAAGAAGCCGCGGCGGGTGTCGTATACTCGGAGCCCCTCTCAACATCGTAAGTTGATGAATAATGATAGATCTAGTGAATACCCGCCGGGAAAAAAAAAGGAGACTAAAAAAAATAATCCATAGTTGGAAACCTCCACGTCATATTCGTGAAGCCTCCGAAGAACATCATGAAGCCATGCGGAGAAAGTTTCACATTATCGTGGAAGGCAAGGATCCCGTTCCACCAGTGAGCAATTTCCGGGTACGTTGAGCCACTCACAGTCAAGAAAACAGAAATAGGAGTGGCAAGTCTCATGCATCTCAATTAGGATATGAAATTTCCACAGCCCATATTGGACTATCTCAAAGAAAAGAAAATCAATAAGCCTACGCCTATCCAGATTCAGGGCTTACCCGTTGCGTAAGTCTTTTTTTTTCCAATCCATACCAGGACTAAAAACAGGAGAAAAAGGTCCCAAATGACGCCATGATATTTATGCTAACCTCGCGTTTTAGTTTATCGGGTCGTGATATGATTGGCATCGCGTTTACAGGTTCGGGCAAAACCCTGGCCTTTTCCTTGCCTTTGGTTATGTTTGCATTAGAAGCCGAAATGCGATTACCGCTCACACGTGGTGAAGGACCCATTGGCATGATTCTTTGCCCTTCAGTAAGTGATGGTTATTATATTGGTTAGCCCGGCTAAAAGTTATTCTCGTCTGTGGGCTAGTCAAAAGAGAACACAACAGAAAAAAGCTTATTTTCATATGTTTTTTTTTTCTTTTAGCGCGAATTGGCAAATCAGACGCACGAGGGTTTATGCCGCATGGCAGACAAGCTCGCCGAAAATGGTTATCCCCGCATAAACTCGCTTTTGTGTATTGGTGGTATCAATATGCATGACCAGGCTAAAGCCTTGAACAAGTAAGCTACATTAAACTAGGTGCATGTTATTAAAAATGGAAACTCATGACAAACCTTAGCGGTTTCCACATGCTGGTGGCGACACCCGGACGACTCATGGATATGCTGAAGAAGAGAAAATTTAATTTGGATATTTGTAAATATCTGTGCATGGATGAAGCCGATCGAATGATTGATATGGGTTTTGAAGATGACGTTCGAACCATCATGTCTTATTTCAAGGTAAAGAGAACAAAAAAAAAATTCTTTCGTGCCAGGGAATTCAGAGCAACTGACAAAAACGTAATTTTACCCAAAAATAGTCTCAGAGACAAACGCTATTATTTTCTGCGACTATGCCTAAAAAGATTCAAGATTTTGCATTATCCGCTCTAGTACAACCGTTGGTTGTCAACGTGGGTCGCGCTGGTGCAGCCAATTTGGATGTTATACAGGAAGTCGAGTATGTGAAACAAGAAGCCAAAATGGTGTATTTATTGGAATGCTTGCAAAAGACGCCTCCACCGGTAAGTGAGAAAAATCGAAAGGGAAGAACGCAATCGCAAACTGTGGACTCAATCGCGTTTTCCGTGTGGTTCCGGTGAGATAGGTGTTAGTGTTTGCTGAGAATAAAAACGATGTGGACGACATCCACGAGTATTTGTTACTGAAAGGCGTGGAAGCGGTGGCGATCCACGGTGGAAAATGTAAGTCTAACCGCTTGTGGCAAGCTTTAAGCGTCATGGCTGTGTAACTGACATGGTTCTTATAATTTAGCTCAGGAGGAACGTGAGTTTGCTATAAGATCTTTCAAAGAATACAAGAAAGATGTGCTGGTAGCCACGGATGTAGCATCGAAAGGTCTAGACTTTGCCGAGATTCAGCATGTGATTAATTACGATATGCCAAAAGAAATTGAAGACTATGGTAAGTAAAAACAACTTACAATGGATGCCGAGCTTAAAATTTTTTTTATTTTGTTTTTTGGTGTGGGTTTGAAAGTGTATTTTAACTTTTTATTGTTTTCATCATAGTACATCGAATTGGCCGAACGGGTCGTAGCGGAAAAACTGGTGTTGCCACCACTTTTATCAATCAGCATTGCTCGGAACAGATTCGATTGGATCTGAAGCATTTGCTCCGCGAAGCCAAACAGCGGGTGCCACCGTTCTTGGCTGCAATGGAAGATCCCACCGAAAAATATGGATTGTCTGGAGGTAAATTTCGACGTTTCCATGCATATCTAAAAAGGGAGCGACCAAAAAAAGAAAAAAAGGAAAAAAAAATGGAGGACGATCTCCCAAAAAAAAAAATTCGCACTAAACGTTATTTCTCTCTTAGGCTGTACTTTCTGTGGTGGCTTGGGTCATCGTATTAACGACTGTCCTAAACTGGAACAGCAACGTAGACAGCAGATGAGCGCTATTATGAGCAGTCGTGATGCCGGCGGTCGAGGCGATTTCTAAAACTTCTCCTTTTTATTCTATTGCCACTGTGGAAGTTCTTTAACATTCGAGAAACTTCTTGGACATTCCTGATCGATTTTTTTGTTGATATTACGTCATTTGTCTATATGAGATTGGACGTGGCTCTAGACACACAGATTTTCGCGGACTGATATTACATTATGTCATGGATAAAATAAGCTATTACCAAAACAGGACATCCACCCTATTTAATACAAAGCATGCCTAGTCTGACTTATGTTTTCTCCCATTTCATCACTTTTCATACAGCCCATACTATTTCACTGATTCCCTTCCTTGAAAAAAAAAAAAGAAAAAAAAAAGCAAAAAAGTACTCTTATTCCCCGCTTTCAAAGAAAAAAAAAAACTTCATTTGTATTTATACTTCCCTTTTTTACATAACATTTGACCGTTTCTGTCACTTTAATATTATTACCTTTACTATATTATGGATACCTACGCATCAATGAATTTTACACCCAGTATTGATGACGCTACCCAATTTGACTACAACAATGCCGGCCATCGTGATGTAAAAGGCTTTCTGAATCGATGCCAACTGCCTCAATACCTACCTGCCTTTATAGCCGAAGGGTTCGAATCATTACAATCAGTAAGTAGAATAATTTTTTGGGATTTTCCTTTTTTTCTTGCGGAAAGTTTTTCTTTTTTCTTTTTAGTTTATGATTCTGAGAAGAAAGTGTGATATGCAGTGATACTTCTTTTGTGGTCTTGATGAAATTGAACAATTTAAAATCAAATCATCAGAACCGTCTCACTCATGCGCTTCTTTTCCCCTCCACCTCTTTTTTGCAGGTGTATGAAATCACAGAAGACGATATGATTGTTATGAATGTCAAACGCGGTCATCGACGAGTATGTTTGCCCTTCACAAGATAACAATTTATATTGGTATGGTTCATTTCACTAACGGTCAGTCTTTCTTTTTTTTTATCTGGTCTTATCCTTTCTGTATCTCTTTTTTTTCACTATCATAGATTATCCAGCGAGAGGTGGCCACTGCCAAAGGCATTCCACGAAGTCAATCCCTATTTATTAATACCATTGCCCCCAGTACGTCTTTCTTCAATCTTCCACGGAAGATGTCGCATCTGTCGACCACTGATCAACCATTAGAGGAACCGCCACTCTACCTTCGGTCTCATTCCGTGTCAGCACCTCCGCCAGCGGACAATGCCAGTGGGAACGCCAGCAGCAGTAGCGGAACGACGAGCGCCGAACGAAGTGTACGAAGCAACAGTACGAGCGGTTACGCTTCCATGTCGTCCAATGTCCCCATGTCCAACTCTGGATCAGCATCAGGCAATCGCATGTCTGGTAGCGTCATGAGCGAACCACGAAGTAACAGTTTTTCTTCCAACGACGAAGATTCTACGGACGCACAGCTCAACTCGGCCCCCAAACGGAAATATCGACGTCATCCTAAACCCGACAAACATGCACCCATCAAGCCTCCCTCCGCCTACATCATGTTCTCCAACGACGCACGAGCCCAGCTGAAAGATCAAAACATGTCGTTTGCTGAAATCGCCAAATACGTAGGCGATCAATGGAAAAACTTGAGCCACAGCGAAAAGCAGGCATACGAACGTACGGCCATGCAAGCCAAAGATGAATATCAAGCCGCTTTGGAATCGTACCGTCAAACACCTGAATATGAGGTGGGTATTCCACTCTCAAACAAGAACTAAGAAAAAAAATCGCTCACATGAGTGGTTTTGCTCATTGTTTAGAAATATCGAGCGTATTTGAAGGAATTTAAACAGAAACAGGAAGCCGCGAATCGACTCATTGGCCGCGCACGGAAACGAATGAAACGAGATTCACCCAGCAGGTAAATTGTTAGAATCGTGAAACCTTTTGCCATGGCTATTGATATTCATGATGCAGTGGTAGTTTGGCGGATTGCAGTTCCAATGGGAACGGAAATGGGAACGGCAATGGTAGCTCTGCCAGTGGTTCGGCGGACGGCTATGGCGAAATGGGTGACCAAGGTTGTAACAGTGAAGGAGCGACTGCTGACGTGAGCTCCAATGCAAATAGTAGCAACGGCAGCAACGGTAACGACAGTAACAGCGGCAGCGGTAACGACAGTAATGGCGGCAGCGACGGTGTTAACGACGGCAGTAACGACGGCAACAGTAACAACTACAGTAATGGCAGCAGCGGTAGTAACGGCGAAGACAACGATAAAGAATCGCGTATGCAAGCGCCCATTCCCACCCATCTGACCACGACCGAAACCCCGTCTGCGTTCAGGCCACGACAGATGATGGACGGCAACAACTCGTCTGAAGAATCGATGCGACCCACGAGCGAGGCATCGTATGTGCCTGGAGAAAAGTCGGCGTTCCAACTTTTGCAACGCACGAACCCAGATTTTCCTACGCGAAGAACCGAAGGAGAGTATGAGGTTCGAGGCGTACCTACGCCACTGCATCCATCTCATCTTCTTGGCTCAACAGAGTTTCCCTCCTTGCAGAACTCGTATAGTAAATGCGACGGTACACCGGACGGCGTGGCCGATCACAACGATGCTCAACGTGAACGCACCCCTCTTCCTCAACGACGGTATCCGACTCGATCTCAAGGTTCTTTCCCTAAACTTCCTTATCCGAACACCCTATCCGAGTCAGCTAGATTACCTTCCAATCCTTCCAGCAATCACCCATCATCCAGCTAATACAGTACATCGTCCAAATAAGATCCCCGTAAGTGTAAATAGGCAAAAACTTTTTTTTATACATATGTCACTCTATTCCAAAAATTGTCTGCGTGGTCAACAATTATGCGTCTTTTTTTCACTTGGTTTTTTTTTATTTGATTTTTTGGTCCATTGGTGCTATCATTTTCAAAATAAAATATTTTCGTTTGCACATTTTTATCTATCGATGACATTCATCTATTACGATCTCACTTGAGGTAAGCATATCGGCCTGAATGATTTTAGACCTTATTTTTTGCAGGAGCCTAATCGTTGCTAGACTGGTAAACGTGTGTTTTTTGGGTGGCAAGAGCTCACTTTTAGATACTGTCATTCATTCCATATGAGACTACGACGTTTAGCATATTTACAAGGTATTTATTTAGTAGATTGCGTTTCTGGCCATAGTGAAATTACGTACGCATATTTTTACGCTAAAAAATTTAACTACATGAAATGCACTAAAATAATGATCTCACCGCACATTGCTAAAACCATGCGGCATGAATAAAGCAAAAAAGGCCGGAGAGAGAAAAAAAGAAGTTGGCACGCGGTTGTGATGTAATACCGCACCGTGCACTTTTACAAAAGTAAAAATTCGCAATGGAAAAAAAAATGCAGCCAAGTGAGAAAAGAAAATGATCCTATCACTGTTTTTCGCAGCAGCAAAGCAAAGCCATACGATGTTAATCGGCCAAACTTCATTATTCACAAGAGATAAACCTGAGAGGCCGATGAAGGCTTTCGGTGGAGCATTCACCAAATCGTAATACTGCACACTTAGCCGACACCTCGGCTCTCATATTCGCAGGCCCAGTATGTCTCCTTATTGCCATTTCTTGCACCATCAACGGGTCTCTTCCATCTTTCTCACTTTTTAGTTTCTTTGTAGCTCTTTTATGTTCCAGTTCCTTATTGCTTGCCTCGCTTGATGCCCAGCTCTCGCGCCAACGCCGCTCCAGAAAGCGCCGACCGTTTAAATATAGATATCTCATCCGTCATCATTGAATAAGCCTCAGTATCAGCATATTCTCCATGCCATCTTGCTATATCCTGTCATGTTCCTGGCCTTGATTTCCACCTAACATTGCGCTCTTGCCTTTCGCAGTATGTACATAAAAAGCATGTATTTGGTTCTTGCCTTCAAAGAAATCATTTTTTACCAAAACGAATTTACTTTCTGACTGCTTGTATGACGCGAAAGCATGGATCCGAAAAAAAAAGGTCGGAAATCATCACCATATCCGGTTAGCTTATGTTCCCATGCACAACAACTGTTTCTTAACCTTAACTTTGTACGAAGACAGGTGAGGTGTATGCATGGTAATAAAAAAAATTGAAGCATCACCACATTCACTGTAGTGCATTGACATTGTCTTTGCCATGCGACGCCGGATAATACGAAAGGAAATACGGTCACCCCCCGTTTACACCTCACGGACTGACAAGCTTCATAAAATTATTTGTCGTTTCCTGGGGCGGAAATAAGTCCCTTACGCTAGCGTGTTTGTAGAAAGTTCTGTGACGCTGTGGAAACATAGCTATTATCTTTTGCTTATGTTGAATTATATCTTTCTTCAGAATCATTGCAAAAACCCGAATTAAAGACTTGCCACTGACCTGATCACCCTTTTGTTCAAAAAATAAAAATAGCGCGGAGTTAGAAAAACGACAAATTGTTTTTTTATTTATTTCGTGGGTATGCAATTTTTTAAGTGAGGAATGCGAAGGAATAAGTTGCATGCGCGCAGTGCGTAGATCGGGTTGCCAAAGTAAATGGCAAGTAGTTTGTTCCATAGAATAAACCAAGCACGTACCAATGCTGTTTATATTGTTTACAATACACAAGGAATACATCATGGTAATACGGTTGCTCTTTCCAAGCTTTTCAACGTAACACATTCTGAGATGTAACGGAAATAAGGGGTTACTTGCTCATCAAGTATGATATGAGGTTGTCTGCCCTGATGGTAGGTTTTTTTTTTCTGTTATCGGCTTGGCAGTATTGTGTCCTTCCTCTTTCTCTGCTGCACTATGCTTTTCTAGCCCGTTATTCCTCCCTTGTCGTTTATCTACTTTCTTTTTCCTTCTCTTCCCTTTTCTCTCAAAAGCTCGCGGTTCATTTTACCGCCTCCATCAATCCACTTGTCCTCTGTTTGATTGATGATCCATTGAAAGGGTCTTTTCTGTTATGAGTTCAAAAACCACCTTGCCACCCTCAATAGAAGCAAATGAAAACGATCCACCACGCAATGTGTCGCGGTTTCGGCGACTATTTAGACGAAGAAAAACCTTGAAAGAAGAAACATCCGGCTTAAAGTGTCCTGCTATGATGGAGGACATGCACAACTTGGCGCCTTCACAGAAACAAATCGATATCATTCGCTACAGCTGGGAACGCGTGTCTGAAATCCGATGTGCTGGCGATGACCGCAATGTTTCGTCTGCTCACGCATTTGGTTTGGTATTTTACGACGCTCTATTTGAACTGGACCCGGATGCAAAGAAGCTGTTTCCCAACGTCTATAAACAAGCACGCGCATTGACAGGTATGATCTCCTATATTGCGAGGGCACCGTCCGTCACGGCCCCCAATCTGATGGAAGGTGCGACGATGTGTTGCCCAGGAGACAAAAGTAAAGTATACACGATACGAGAAATCAATGCCATGAAACGGGCCCGGGATCAAGCTTTAGCCAATCAGACGGTCGACATGCCAACGACGGTGATGGAGGAGTATGACGAGGCGGACCCAGAGTGGCTTGCCCACCAAATGCGAGAATTGGGCGCCCGACATTACTTTTACGGAGTTCATGCACATCATCTGGATTTGGTGGGCAAATCGTTTGTGGAAGCCCTGAAAAGAAGACTAGGAGATGAGTATACGGATGAGATTGGTGATGCTTGGCTCAAGGTAAACGGGATTTTGGGTGATAGAAACCAAAGACAGGAGATATAGTGCGCTGAGGAACCCACCCAGAGCTAACGTTGGATGATTTAGGGTCACGCCTATACCACGTATCATATGCGCATTGGTCTGGAAACCCAGCGAATGTGGGAAATGGAGCGCCGGACCGCCACAACACAAGCAGCATCGAAACCGGATGCATGCTTGATTCAATAATCCCTTTTACCCCCAAACCAGCCAACCAGGACCTGAGAAACCATTCCACCGAAAATCAATTTTGATTGGAGGAATTTTGTATTTGTCAGCATTAGCAACCCATTTTTTTTATGTCCCATTTTTGGGAAGAAATCACGGCATCGAATTTTTCCACCATTTTTTTTTTTTTTTGAGCGAGAATTTCTTCACATTTACGACTCTCCGTCTTGCTTGGTTGAATGCAGCCAGTCGACTTTTTGATATGACCCAACCTGTGCATAATAAACTTCAAACTATACGGTGCAAACCGTCACCGCATCGGCCCACTGGGTTCCGTCCTATTGCCCCATTGGCTAGTCTTCCGTCCCCCGCTTCCGGCAAGGATGAGACGGAGAAGAGAAAATGGGAAGGCATTGATGGACCCTCGGAATATGGCCAGGCATCGAAACTACTATGTACGTCTGTTCATCCACTGTTTTGATGGTTATATTTATCATTCTCAACATCTTTGAATACTAATAGTTAGAAAAGGTTCTTCACCCTCTTCCGATGGTGGTAAGTTATGCCTTTTATCTTTTATTTGTTTGATCTGTGCCATTAAAAATGTGGCTTAAGATCCTAGTCTGTCCGACTTGACGGCCGACCAGAAGCAGCGAAGAAAAGAACAAAATAGGGCAGCCCAACGCGCGTTTCGGGAACGAAAGGAACGTTACGTCAAGGAATTGGAAGATCAGATTCGAGCCATGAAAGCGTCGCATGAAGAAACAGTAGCAAGATTGCAACAAGAGAACATTGAATTACGAGCGCTTCTTAAGCGAGCCACATCGGGCGAAATGGACAGTGTCAATGACGCTAGTTTGGCAATGGATTTGTCCCTGACGAAATTGCAGGATACCGACGTTGACATGCCGACTCTGAAAGCGGAATCCAACCGGTCCAGCCGGTCCAATCCGCCTCCGGTGGCCTTGCCGACAGGTTTTTCTCAGCCGACCATGGTGGAACCGCCCGTACGGCAAACGTCTTCGGCGGTTGCTTGTATAAGAGATAAAGATGGTGTTTCCTTTTGTGAACGACTGAAAGAGGAAGTATGCTCCTCTGCGTACAATCAGCTGTTATCGGAGCCCCTCTTTGATGCTTCCGGTACATTGAACAATGAATCGACCAGCCACCCCATTCCTATTCTCACCGAACTGCTGCCGGATGACGAAAAAGCGAGAGAAACACATCGAATGAATATGATGGATCAGTTTGACAAGTTTGCAGCATCGCTAAGCGGACGTTTGGATCAACACCCACAGGTGGATAATTTTAACAGTGGCGGCGCGTTGCTTACCTGTCGCACTGTATGGGAACGAATCAATGCCCATCCAAAATTTGATCGGTTCGACGTGGAAGAACTGTGCCTGGAACTGAAGAAGAAGGCCAAATGTTCCAGCACAGGACCCATTTTCCTGGAGGAAGAGGTGAAAGAAGTGCTTGCTTTGATGGACCGGAAATCATGATCCGGATTGCCTCTTTTCAGGGTTTACCTTATTTTGTATTATTTCCGCTGGATGACTGGCTGTTTTGGTGGTTACTGGTTGCTGGTTGTTGTTTTTGTTTCTTTCATGCATATTGTCTTTTTTTACACTTTCGTCATACATCATCATCATCATCTCTTCATTTCGTTACCATTCTATCCTCTCTTTTTCCTCCACGCCGTCTCCCCCGCGCCCCAATTTTATTGATATTTTCACTTGTCCTATTTATGATTGAAAACCTGTATTGTACTGCTATATCATTTATCCCTTATTTCTTTTTCGCTTGCATCTGCTTTTATATCATGTCTCTTATTCTTTCCTAAATAAGAAGTAGCTGCTTCTTAATACAAAAGAGTAGAAGACGTTTTTAATCATCCTCAGCCACGTGTCTTGTTTCATACATGCTACTTGGCGAGCCGTGATGCCATGACACTAACAAATTGGGAGGTCGAATTTTTCCTACCAGTACTTAAGCTTCCGAAAAAAAATAGCCGTTATCTGAGAGAGCAGAAAAAAAAACCTTGGTTCCAATTTCCCCGTCTTCCCTTTTCGCCCAATTTTTTTTTATCGAATGAGTTTCTCATCTACAGGCGCTTTTTATACCCCAACAGGAACAACCATGGTACCTCCTTTCTATAATACCACATTCTCTGACATCCCACAATTGGCACCGACTTTAGCGCGCCCTTATCGAAAAAGAGGATCATGTGTGATGCCTTCCGTATCCGAGGATACAGAATTGGAATCCGGTAATATGGTTCAGTCTAACCACACGATCGTGTCTGACCCTGGTCGTCCACCACGACGTCCTCACCGTCGACAGAAACGACGCTCGTTGGCGACGCCCAATGACGATAACATCCCGCTGGCCATGCTGGCTTACCGAAAAGGGTATACACCGTTCATGAAAGAGCCCGCTGCTCCATCTGCATCTGTGGCGTCGGTCCAGGTTAGGAAAAAGGGCATTGCAGATCGTCTTTCCACTTCAGGCTCCAGTTCCAGTTCCTGCAGGAACACAGCCACATCCACTCTCTGCTCTCCGACAGAGAAAACCGGCGCCACGATTCAAAAAAGCAAGCCAACCACTGGTGGGATGGCAGTACCGGAATTGGAAGCCGAACAAGTAAAACTCGAAGAGCCTCCCCTTTTCCATCGACTGAAACGATGGTTTGCTCTCCACCGACAGCAGGACTAAGAGACCTCAGCAGAAATCCCTTAATCACGTCAAATCTGTCATTCCCCAGTTATGAATTTGTCACACCCGATGTGCAGCATTGGTTGTTTATCTTTTCGATTTTTTGGCAATTTTCCTTATGTATAAAAAATTACACTATAAAGTGGACCTTAATGAACCCAGAGAATAGTCTATGTTTGACAATAATGAACATCATGATTAAACGTAACCCGAGGGCAATTCCGTAGCTCACACGGTCTTCATTGTCAAACTGAACTATCATTTATAGCTAGTGGTTTTTTTTTTATCTCGCTTGCTTTCTTACTACCTTGTTTTGATTATTTTTTTTTTCTAAACAACAGTGCCAAGACAAAGGTATCGGCACATGGTTCAAATAGAGTTTTCCAACAAATCCCGTCATTCTTCATTCATTACGCCGAACATCCTCAGGGATTTTGCTTACAATAAACCTGAAAAAACTGCCCTTATCTCTACCGGTGATTATTTTACAGTAATTTTCGCAAATTCAATGTGGCATTCACAGCCTGAGATACCCTCAAAAATGTGAATAATTGTGATTTAATTATGTTTGACAGTCGAACGCCAAGTTGCATGCTGAGCGATTTTTTATGCTCACATGAAAACATCGTTACCACAACCCCTGATCATACAAACGCGCGAAAATCCCGCGTTGACAGAGTTTATGATTCTGTCTATACAACGTCTGACTATTCCATTATATAGTAATTATCTTACATACACGCATATGACACTGTATGATATAATGACAATTTTTGCAATACTGATATTTCAACTCTGTTACGAATTGCCACTTTGCTTACAAGCGCGCATTCTTGTGTAATATTCATCGTACTTGCAACTTTGAGGCGTCTGGTGAAACCAAACCAGGCAAATTACAATAGAGTGCTGAAAAGCCCAGCAAGTTTTTGAACGAATAACAGCCATGAATAGATTGCTCGAGTTTCCGATGGTTCAATTTATATTGTCGCGCTACGGTGACAAGTGAATGTATGCTGACACAAATCGATACCGAATAGCGTGCAAACCAATATGGCATTGTTTTAAAATGGCTATTTTCAATAACGATAGCGATATATTTCTCAGCATGATCTGATTTGCAGATTTATTCATTTAGGCTAAGTTCCTTGGATATGAAACTTGTTATTTTAAGCTTGTGCTTTTTTCAGAGTGGTATCTTGCAGCCAAATTCTATTAATCCTTCCAAATGAGGCCGATTTAGATGCCGCGGCAAACAATGATTTATGACACCCATTGTAGCTTTTGCCAAAAGCATTGAACTGATAGGCGAGTCAGATGAGACGAATCCATCTTAACTAGCGACATTACCCTGCAATTACTGTGCAACTTTGCGGAACTAAAAAACCCACTAACGATTAGCTGAGATTTTTCTGTCGATCTTTTTTTTTTTTTTTTTTCTTGCCTGAATATTAAAGTGCTCTATTACTTTCTTTCTTTCTTATTGACATATACATAACTTCTACTTCCATTTTACCTACAAAATAATCTAGTTATTTATCCTACCTACTCGATGCGATCTCTTTCTCTTTTAGCCGCCGCCCTTTTACAAGGTCTTTGGATAGCTCATGCCCAACAGGACCAATCGCAGCAATCCGCAAATTCATCCGCCAAACCAGAAGTCTTAATACACAGCGATAGTGATTTCTGTCTTTTCTTGCCTCCTCAACCGGGACTTGACGTGGCTACCAACGAAGACAACGGTATTCCCTTCTGTACCAATCCAGACAATGTGCCTGGTTCCAAACCTTTCCCAGAAGGTACATCTTTTTGAAAATGATTGATGATATCGAAAACTTACCACGAAAAAAACATCGTAAAATTAGGATTCATCACGACCGCTCACTATCAAAAGAACGATACTTATGAGCAAATTACCGGTTACATTGATGCATCTAAATATCAATTGCAGCCAACCGATGGTGGCGGTCAATACGATTCGCACGGTGATGGCAAACCCAAAGGTGCTTCTTGCCAAAATTACGATTATTTTGTCAGTTTGATTGAACCAAGCGACAATCGATTCTGCATTCGTTGCTGCAAGAATGAGGTACGCTTCTCTTTATTATTGCCTTGCCTGCCATGTCAGTAAAACCATTATGTCCTAACCGAATTGCTACAGAACGATTGTCCCACTGGACGATCCGGTTACGGATGTCTTCGTGTTGTACCCGGTGACTATTCGGGAGCTCCCAACGGTGGTGATCAGCAACAGTCGGGTGATGGTCAACAACAGCAACCTGGCGACGGCCAACAACAACCTACTGACGGCCAACAACAACCTGACGACGGCCAACAGCAGCCTACAGATGGCCAACAACAACCTACTGACGGCCAACAGCAGCCTACGGATGGTCAACAGCAGCCTACGGATGGTCAACAGCAGCCTACGGATGGTCAACAGCAGCCTACGGATGGTCAACAGCAGCCAACTACTGGCCAGGAACAGCCGGGAGCTGGAGGTGACCAACAACAGCAGGCTAGTGATCCATCCGGACAATCGTCCCCTGGAGACCAATCGCAAGTGCAACCTCAAGTTCAGTCTCAGGTTCAATCTACTTCTCCCGCCGAAATCCAGTCTTCGCATCCCAATACTGCGTTTGCTAGCGTGTTGGACGGTATGGATCAGCCTGGTTTTGACAACAACAGCAGCAGCAACAACCAGTCCTCGGCTTCTTCCAGCAAGCAGAACATCATGGACAGTTTCCCAGCCGAAATCCAATCCTTGGAAACTCAGTTATCGTCTCCGCAAGCTAATCTGGAACAGGTCAAGTCGCAATGGACCTCGTTTACTGATGGTCTTGCCAAGCAATTCCCTTCCGCTGCTTCGGCTCTTGACAAGTTGAAGCATTATCCCGATGATTATTCTACTGCTGATGAGTGGAACCAGTTCCTCTCCAGTTTGAAAACGAAAGTGACCAACACTACTGACCAATCCTCATCTGGAGCCTCTTCTGCCTCATCGTTGCCTTCAGCGTCTTTGCCTCCCACGGCTTCGGACGCTAATCAATATCAGGCAACATGGTGATCACGGCCACACCGCTTTTTCTCTCTCTCTCTCTCTCTCTCTCTCTTTGCTCTAAAAATAAAAACGGAATTATCATAATCAGCTGTTTTGAATCTCATTAGACCCAAAAAAAAAAAAAAAATTGCAGACACCGCGAATAGTAAGTAACAAGTTAAACTAGTGGGTAAATCTACATTGGGAAACTCGGATGGAAACGTTGAATGATGATAAGCAATAAGTTGCAGCTTTTATTATTTTTTTCATGAGACTATTATTAGAAAATCAAAAACAGTTTTTTTTTTGTAGTTCTATAGAATGAAGAACACAGAAAGCAAAAAGAAAAAGGGGAATGATATGAATAAAATAAAGGACCATTTCAAGACTTGATACAGGTGCCAGGTTCGGGGGCGGCGGTGACAGCAGGTGCCGAGGTGGCAGCAGCCGGGGCAGCACGGTTGTGAGCCATATGAGCTTTCACAAGATGACCGGCAGCCAAGGCGGCACAAAGAGACAATTCACCGGCCATGACGGAAGCGCAAATAATACGGGCCAAACGCTGAGCATTCTTGCCAGGTTCGGTGGGATGCGGGCCACGAACACCGAGCATATCCAACATGGATTGTTGAGGAGGTAAAATGGTACCACCACCGATCGTACCAACTTCAATACTGGGCATGGTGCATGAAATATGGAGATCTTGTCCATCGTTGATAGCCTTCATCAAGGTAATACAGTTGGAACTTTCGACATTCTGAGCGGGATCTTGACCGGTAGCAAGGTAAATGGCCGTCAAGATATTGGCGGCATGGGCATTGAAACCACCCACGGATCCAGCCATGGCCGAGCCAATCAAGTTCTTGCTAATGTTCAGTTCAACCAAGGCAGCCACGGTGGTCTTGAGCACCTTTTCAACCACATGACCAGGAATCACCGCTTCCGCGACCACGGATTTACCACGACCTTCAATCCAGTTGATAGCAGCCGGCTTCTTATCCGTACAGTAATTGCCAGACAATGAAATGACTTGCATCTCGGGGAAATGTTCACTGAGCACAGAAATGGCCTTTTCGCAACCTTTCGAAATCATATTCATGCCCATGGCATCACCTGTGGTTGTAGAGAATCGAATAAATACAAGTTTGCCGGCCAAAGCCACCTTCAACTTGCGAAGGCGAGCGAAACGGGAAGTCGAGTTGAAAGCCGCAGTGACGATTTCATTGCCTTCTTGTTCGATCCAGCGTTTGCATTCACCCGCCATGGTAATGTTGGGGAATTCGACACAAGGACCACGGGTCATACCGTCAGCCGTAAGAATGGTTCGAGCGCCGCCACCAGCATTGATGGCTTTGCAGCCACGAGCCGCTGAAGCAACCAAGCAACCTTCGGTGGTAGCCATAGGAATGTGGATACTTTCATCATCAATCAACATAGGACCTGTACACAGACATTCGTTAAAAAATTCAATTGTTGAGACACGATTTTCTGGAATGATGAATAGAACACTTACCAGCAACACCGACGGGGATCGGCATGTAACCAATGACATTTTCGCAACAGGCACCCATAACTTTTTCATACCAGTAGTTTTCCAAGGGCAGAGCACTGGATTCGAGGGTCTTGGTAATAGAGGCACGGGAGATGAGGGCACGACGGATACTAACAGCACGTTGCAGATCACCCAGCATCCTTTCAAGGGCGTAAGGAGCGATCTTTCCAGCTTGGACAAGGGAAATAATCTCCTCATTGGTTAATTCATGAGGCGTGCGAAGCAATGTCATGCATTCCTCGATGGGACGAACGGTGTCACTTTCAGGATAGCGATGAGGATGACGATGAGCAACGGAGCGGACTTCGGTCTTGGCGACCGGGACGGCTTGGTTGACGGCGACCTTTTGCTTTTCGGAAAGCTCGACAGTAGGAGAGACCTTGGTGACAACGACGGTATTCTTTTCGGGTTGAGTATGTTCGACCAACTGCTTGGGTTGCTTGGCGACCTTGAATAAATAGGTATTAAGAAACAGAGAAACGAAGAGAGCCAGGGTCAACCATTTGCTGATGACAGGGTGTTGAATGTAGACAGCACAGATGTTAAACAAGGCTTCCAAGGGTTCTGAAATGGCGGCAGGGAGGAGCCCCTTATTCCAAGAAGCAACATGGAATGGGAGCGGGGGAAATACTTCTACCACAATAGGCAAGGACGACTGCAGTGAGGATCGGTGCAGTTGCAACAATTGGGTAAGTACACCTGCTACGGTGGGGTCAGCAATGTTGACGCGGGGACCAGAGGACTGGAAAGTGGAGCAAATCTTGAAAATATGCATGCCCACAAAACCAACAATCTAGAACGCAGTGTGCAGTTTAGTGCGTTGTTTACCCATCAACCCATTCATTCTCCGTCATTTCTCAATGCATGTCTATGCTGACCAAGACAACAGGTTGCGCCCCATGATAAAAGGGAAAAAGAAATGCCAACCAAATTCGAAGAGCTTACCATGAGCAATTTGATGCGGCCAATGATTGGATTGTCCACTTGTTGGTTCGGGTTGCGTCCGGCGGCACTATTGTCACTAATAGCACGAAGCACGGTGCGACGGATGTAACCTGTATTGGCGGGCTTCTTTTCCACCGATTTCGCGGTGGAGCTATTGATCTCGCGAATACGAAGCAACTAAAAAACGGAAATTAGAAAATAAGAATCAATGACCGGCCCATATGCGAAAAACAAAGCAAGTTTTTTTTTTTTTGATGATGTATATGTACGTACCTCCAACTTTAAAGCCAAGACGGCAGTATACCAGGTGAACATGATGATCAAGTCATAAGCCAGTAAAATGGCGCTCAGCAAGCAGAATTCCTGGAGACCGGAAATGCCAGACTTGGCGCCCAGAACAAGAACGGTGATTTCCATGAAACAATCACGGGCAATCGGCAAGGCGACGGAATCCACAGCACGAACAATGGTCTTTCTGATCTCTTGCTTGGTCAATGGGGTCTCTCGGCTGTATTGAAAGACACGTTTGGTTAGGGTGAAGGGACGTTCAAAACCAATGGTGACAGCCAAAAAGGGAATTGCCTCACTAAGCAGTAGTAGAAAAAACTTGTTTTTTAGTATGATGTTGTTGTTGCTATTGACGCCATGCATGCGAGTTACTTACGCCAAAACTACGGGATACACACCCACGCCCAAAGCGTGGACCGTCAACAAGGCCAACATAAAGGAGAAGAATCCGTTGAAAACGACCGCGGTAGCTTAACACAAAAAACATCAAAATAAGTATACATGCATGTCAGCAAGTTGATAATTGCCAAGAATTTTTAGGTTACCTAGCGTGTAACGGGAGCCCATGGCACGCATGTTCATGTAAAGAGAGACAAAGGTGGCTATCATCATGACATAGCCAGCCAAAATAACGATAATGTCGATATTGTCAGCCACCTAAACATTTGGACAATGGAGCGTCAATAAAAAAACATGGAAAAAAAAGCCAAACCTCCTTTCTTTTTCAAAAAGTTTACCTCGATGAGTTCCTTCAAGCGAAAGACGACATTGCGGGTGATGATAAAGAGCCAGCTAAAGACAGTTTCTTGTTGACCAGTGTTGGATAAGGAGACCAAATCTGCGGGAGGCAGAGTGGCGACTTTATGACTCCAGATGGCATTGAGTTGCTGACGATAGACGGAAGAGGCATTGAAAGCATACGAGAGGACGAGGGAATGCGTGGAAGAAGTATCGTATTGAAGATCTTCAAAGATATAGTTGGCGGTGTTTTGGTTCTCTTTCAAGGTGGCGAGGAGATCGTTGTCGGCTTGAAGCACCTCAATATCGTTGTTCCAAAATGCCAAGGGCGACTGGGTGAAACACATATTGGGGCGGTCGTGGGTCAAAGACACTTTGTAGCACAAGTCGTGATTGTAGGCGAATCGGTTAACGGCGGTGTTATCGGGTACGTAAATTTCGTTCTCGATCAACCGTTGGAAATGAAGCACAGAAGATAGTGTTTTTTGGTTCAAAAGACTCCGATGAGGATCCGTGACGAGAATCTGTTTGAGGTGAATTTTGATGGCATTTTTGGGCACACTGTCCATGGACTCCACCACACTGAACTCCTTGGCATGACCATCTGCATACGCAGTCGTGGGGTATAACCGTGTCACCGTGCCAGAAAAGATATCCGACGTCCGTGCCAGGTTGAACAGATAAAAATAGCTAAACGAAGCCAAGATGAGAATGGCAACAATCATCTCGATCGGATTACGAGACGACATCTTGCTCGCACGATGTACGCCTCTGCCAATCAGACTAGAGATGGATCGGAACGCTGTGGTTCCAGGAGATGATAAAAGAGCCATGGCGCGTTTGGCTCAGATGAGAGAGGGGCCGGTAAGAAGAAGAAAAAAAAAAGATGGGGGGGAGGAAGGAATTAAGTAGAAACAGGAAGATGAATTCAGTCTTCTTCGTCGTTCTGAGGAAGGTTGGTGTGTTGAAACAACCGAATAAATAGTCAAGTAAATAACTAAGTAGAGGTAATGCTACAAAAGAAAAGAATACAAAAAAAAGCAAAGGTTAAGTATCAAAAAAGAGTGTTTCTTTTTATATATAGCTTTTGCTTTTCATTGTCTGCAGCGTTTTTTACCTTGTTGGAAGGGAATAGGGAGAAAAAACAAAAAAAGCAAAAATGTAAAACTGGTATATAAAAAAAATTATCCTCATATTTATAACTCCGCCATGTTACCGTGACACACGCTCGTCCCCATCTGCCTTACAGTCTGCTTTCTTCGCTTCATCAAGGAGACAAGCAGAAGCATGCATTTTCACCTAAATAACAAAAAGCCCCTAATTCCACATGCTTAGATGGCTGACAAAGCTGCATGTAAAACGACGGGTGGACCGTCGTCGATGTTAAACGAATGTCTTGGGGAAAATATTTTTCATCTTTTTTGACGCCAAAGCCCGAATTCAGTGGAGACACCGAATCGCTCATTTTAGAAATGACCAGAAACGTGCTGTTGTCAAATAGCCATATGATCCGTGTGCAATACGGAATACTAACAGCAAAAGGGAAGATAGCCCTCGAGTATGTAAAAGAATCCTTTCAAAAATCAGAATGCTTTTCTCACTCAATGACAAAACTTATTTTAGTGAACATCATGACGTAAAAAAAGCGGGGTATAAGATAGATAAACATGGCCTTGCTGCATCCTTTCCCGAGAACTTGACCACTCAATATTTTACAAAGAAGAACTTGGTAGGAGGCTATGATAAGGTTACGGTTGACGCCAGACAGATTGCTTTGCCTTCATGAATCATTTTATTCAGCATGTGGCTTTATTTTCGATTAATTTTGCCAAGATGGACGATGTTACAGTATGCAAGAGCTCCGAATACGTTTATCTCGTTTGTCAAGCTTGCATTTCGTCTTTTGTTGTTGCTGTTCGTTAAGATGTAAATGGGTGCTTGCAAAATGACAAGTCGATGCAAAGATAGAGTTAAAATCAGACTTTTTATCATATGTTCGACGGCATCTGCGCGAAAAATGTGCAGTCAACAGCATCGCTTCATGCTTATTTAACCTTTTTTTTAAGGGGCACCCTTGTGCATGTTGCCACCGAAAATAATATCGAAACGCTCTAGATGCAAAGTCGAGTCAAGATCCATCTGTATTCGATAATAGGCTTGTTTTTTACTTGCAGTACAATATTTCCGAAAGCTCGTTCCCCGATTCACCATCAATCACAGCACTGGCCGTCTCAAATTTGTTCAAAAAAAGATTAGGTAACAATGGTTTTAATTGCATAAATTTTTGTGATCAGCTTGGCTTCTTTTTTCCAGTGGCTTCTTTACATTTAGAGAGAGAAAGAATTTACATCTTCTGTTATAACAAGATGAAGAAAATCAAAAAATATTGAATCAGCAGAGACTATGCGCAACTGTGCCACCGCGAATTGTAAAAGACGCATGTTTCTAGTGCCAATGGGTCTAATTCATATCCACTTATCAAACTGGTCTTGATATTTCTTGTAGATGCATGTCAAGTAGATTGCATTTTCAAGTCTTAAAGGTCGATACTCCATTACAGTACAAAACAATGAAAAGTGAAAAGGAGCTACATAAATAGGGACACTTTGCTTACTTGACAAAAAGTCAAGAACACAATATTCGTCTCTATAGATCGAGTGTGTTAAGATCAGAGCTGAGTGTTTAAGCCTATATAATGAATGGAAACATAAGCTTCACATCAGCTTGATGTCTAATCTAGTTCTTTGTTTATAGAGCCAAAAGTATCTGCTAAATCAACTATCTGTCCGGTTTGAACGCCGATAGCTTGATCATGTTGAAATAGAAAAAAAGAACAAAAGCACCTGGAGAGATGGATAGGTTCACTTTTCACTTGATAGCCCTTTCAGCAAAATTTTAGCGGGACCAACGGGCCGACCTCTTGTGAAATAACTGTTTCAGGTCATGGCTGACCGAGAATCATCGAGTTGTTGTTGAAATGGTGGCACAAAGGGAGCGTACAGCCAAGCCCAGGTCCGACCGGGGCGACGTCAGCGCCATATTAACGAAATTTGCGTTACGGCGGTCGGTCCGCTTTCCCCAATTTTTATTTGGCGGTCATCCGCCTTTGTGACTCCGCTCCTTCAGCCTTCTTTTTTCTCTCGTTCACTCTTTTTCTTTCAACAGTTTCGGTCCATGGCTTCGCAACGTGCTCCCGTCACTGTTCCCTGTAAATACAAGACAGGAAAGGTCCTTGGTAATGGTACTTATGCTACCGTCAAAGGTATGTACAAATGGCACCTCATTGACCTACAACGATCCACTGAAAACTCAACTTTCTTTTCTCTCGATGCAACACTTCTGTACCAAAAAGAGGCCATGCACGTAAGTCCATCCTGTTTGAAAAAGGAACACTCTAAACACATGGCTAAGACGAAGGTGATTGTATTAGATTGAGACAAGCAAATTCTACGCTTGCAAAATCATCAACAAAAAGTTAATGGAAGGTCGTGAGCATATGATTCGCAACGAAATCAACATTTTGCGAAAGGTGTCGCAAGGACACAAGAACATATTGAGTTTGGTGGATTACTTTGAAACAATGAACAACCGTAAGTTTTAAAAGATCGGCGTATATTTATATACACATGTATCTGTGTGTGTATACGTGTGAAATACTCAAAACGACGATCTCTTTATAGTTTATCTCGTGACGGATCTTGCACTGGGTGGTGAATTGTTTGATCGTATCTGCCAGAAAGGCAGTTATTTTGAACGAGATGCCGCCAACATTGTACGCACTGTATGTGATGCCGCCGCTTATCTTCATGATAACGGTATTGTTCATCGTGGTAAGTTTTCTTCCCAATCCCACACTGTGATGTTATATTCTACGCTCCAGGAAACCAAGTTAACTCATTCATCATGCTAGATTTAAAGGTATTTTTTATTTCTTTTTGGCGTTTCATGACCCAAATGCAGTTCGACGGATCGTAGTGTTCATATTTTTTCATAGCCCGAAAATCTTCTCTTCCGAACTCCCGATGAAGACTCAGATCTCTTGGTCGCTGATTTCGGCTTATCACGTATCATCGACACTGAGAAATTTCACGTGTTGACTACCACCTGTGGTACACCCGGCTATATGGTACAGTTCATCTGGCTCTCTTATACTCATTGGTGATCCGATCTCGCCTAAACCCTTTTTCTCCCTTTATTTGTATTTTAGGCACCCGAGATCTTCAAAAAGACGGGTCACGGTAAACCAGTGTAAGTGACTGATTGGAATCGTGCGTGGTTGGGACGGCAGCTGAACCCTTTGTCATAGCGATGTGTGGGCAATTGGTGTCATTACCTATTTCTTGTTATGTGGTTATACACCGTTTGAGCGTGACAATAACATTGACGAAATGAACGCTATTATGCAAGCCGATTACACATTTGATGAACCTTATTGGACCGGCATTAGCGATGAAGGTGAGCGCACTGCAGTAGTGACAATGTGTTCTGGTCTCGCTGTAATTCATACCTTTTGCCTTTGAATTAGCCAAGGACTTTATTCGTCGATGCTTGACGATTGATACCACCAAGCGAATTACCGCACACGAAGCACTTAAACACCCCTGGCTGACTTCGCCAAGCAACCAACCGACCTCGCCTGTCGAAAATGAGCAGGATCTGTTACCCAACTTGCGCGAGAATTTCAATGCTCGTCGTACTTTCAAAAAGGCAGTAGATTTAGTTCGTTTATCATATCATCTGGGCCATAAGCACTCGATTTCCATGACAGGCGGACAGCCCGAAACACAGGGAGTCAAACCTGTGAATGAAGGCATCGAGGAAGTCTTGAATACAGACATTTAATCCATTTTGTAAGCACTTCATAGCGAGACTCTCTGTAAATGTGTCTGTTTGTTTTATCGTGTGTGTGGGTATGCTTTCCACAGTGTCACCGGACTGAACCAAAGGACAAAGCTTGCTCCCATGCATCAAGGAATGTAATTTACAAGCGAATGAACAGAGGTACCACTTGGTTGGTTGTACTGTATAAAGACTAATAACGCTACAGTGAATTTAGAGAGATATTACAGTACCTTACGCGCTATAGCTTGTTTTGATACGGTACAGTGGGGCTGGACGTTGCTGATAGTCCATAGCACCTTCGGCTATATCATAACTGTCTATTGTATGATAGAAAGTAAAATCCACGAACATGTAGCGATGCATGAAATGAACCTTCTCATGTATGATTCTTTCGATTATTTAAGTTTGGTCACGTTTTTAACATGGCACACATTTGCGACCTACTGTAGTCGTTAATTGCTTTATTCACAGCATTGTTTGAGGAACAGTTGTGTACAGTATGCTCCCATTTGAATTTCAAGACTCGCTGGAAATTTATCCTACAGCAGAGTCATCATATAATAATGCGGCAAAGGCTTGTTGATCTTCCGTGGCAAAGGAATGATTAGTATGTTACCAACAAGGCAAGCCCGTTACACCGTCAACAACAAGTGGCGTTTCACGTGGCACCGAAACAGGTTTCAAGAAAAGGAATCCTCCTTGATAAAATGTAACTGGTGATCAGGTATCATAGCGTGAACAGGGACGATGCAGCAGCTATTTTGAAATGAATAAATGCGGGCGAGAAACTTTGCTTGCCCTTTGCTTCCCTCTTTTTTTGCGGTTTTCAGTTTCACAAGAAAGTCCTTACAGGGTCAGTACCGAATGATCCACATCGTCTTTGTTAGCCTTCCCTAGGCAAATTTTTGAGTCAGTTACCAATTTTCACAAACACATAATGAGCGTCTGCTATAGCTGGTTTGCATTTCATTAGTGAAGGGAGGATTTGCGGCGTTTCAATCAAAATCTCGCCCTCCCGTCGTCCGAGGCCCTTTGTCTTCAAAAATGGGGCCTGCATATTGATACTTTATAAGCAAGCCATGTAACCTAGAGCATTATGAGCTTTGTAAGAGTATGAAGCTTTGCGGTATTGAGCATACTAGCCTATGTGGCAGTGAAGGAAAAGGCGTTACTGTTCAGCCCGAGAAAGAGCTGTAGAGAAGGGGAAACCCTGACTTTGAATTTAGAAAGTAGTCACACTCTTCCACCGGCGACGGATGGCTTAGCCGTATTCTCTAAATAATCGGTAGACCAATCGACGGCCCATTCTTGCAGGTTGTGCTGTTCGGTTTGATCATGTCGGATAACGAGGAATACGAGAATCGGGAGTATGGTCATTGCTATTATTTGTGTTGGAATGGGATTTTCTAATGGTACCTTCATGCATCTTGTAGATTCGATGTAAGTTTTTATCCTTTAGGTTGACATGTTTAGCTTTGAGTATTGCCGAGTCAGACCCTAATCGACTTTTTAACCGCAGTATGCGGATAATACCGATTTGCTGCCCGATGAGCCGCTTCCTGAAGAAGGCGAAGAAATGATGGACGATGAAGGAAATATCGTCGCGATCGATTACGAATCCGCCCGTTACGGACAAGATATGGAATCCATCAACGAACCTTCGTCCATGGCACGAGATCCAGCACGATTAGTGGAAAGAAAAGAAAAGGTCACAACACCTTACATGACAAAGTATGAAAGAGCAAGAATCCTGGGTACACGTGCACTTCAGATCAGGTAATTAGGAAAACAAATAGAAGCTCGAGCAGGACTCGTGGGGCTGATGGCTGCTCGTTTGTTGTGTAGCTTGAATGCACCTGTGCTTGTGGAATTGGACGGTGAATCTGATCCTTTGGTGATTGCCATGAAGGAATTGCGAGAGAAGAAGGTTCCCTTGATTGTCCGACGATTCATGCCTGACGGTACGTACGAGGACTGGAACGTAAAGGACCTGATCATGGAGTAGTAGTGGTTCTTGTACAATTGTAAAATCTTTTTTTTTTCCATATTCTGTTTATATCCTGAATTTGTCTCTTTTTTATTTTTCGTTACAAAAAATGAAAGCGAGTGTTAATCATGTCCCATCATTCTTCTTTGGCCAAATATGTGCAAGCGACTGAGACGAGATGGGATTTAGGGAAAAAGGAAGGTGATAATGCATGGTTGGAAATGATAATGCAACAAGCATCCAAATCAGGCGAATGGGAAAACACTGAGAGAATGGGTCGCTGCAAGTATGGTTTGCAAAAATGAACGAGAGGTTCCTAGATGTGTGTTTGGACGGCTTTTAAGGTCGAGATTACTGTTGTCTGTTATAATGGGGGGTGTGGTAATTTATGCAGCAAGTATTTACTGACGTCCATCTGTCTACTGTCAGACGCGACATAGCCATAGCTGACATGACTGGTTGGTTTTTGATCACCATACAAAGATAGACGGGATTCTAGGCATAATCTGTACTTTCCAAAGTGCTCCCTTTGTAGATGCTGAACTATTGAAACAGGGGGACCAATTGACAGTACACATATACGCCACTCGCCGCAACGGTCTTACCTTCCGAATATTTGTTATCGAGATCCAATTGGTCTCCAAACGCGACCAAGCGATTTCCCACAAAACTAGTTTGTTGGAATGCGGTGATGGTCGTGTAACGGGATTTAACGGCTTTTCGGAACTCAGCCACCGCACTCTGCGAACTTTATCAAGGGCAAGAGACGACAGCGATGCTGATGTGAGGTTCGTATCACCCTACCTCAAGTTGCGTGTATTCCGAATTGAACTCGACTCCCGCTTCGTCACACCAGCTCTTTCCGTCCCGGCATCTGCTCTCGCCGAGTTTCGTCGGATAAGAATTCGTCGAGTTGCAAAAGATAGCACATAAGATTCATTAGCCATGGCAAAATAAGAACAAACATGCCGAATCAGATAGCATCAGATTATTACTGTAATCCTTTTTACTGTTGCTCTGGCGAATAGCCGATATGGATAATCAGTTTTATGTTTGCCCGCCCCAATGTCGGCCTGCAAGTGTGTTGATATGAACGTGTATATTGCTGCAAAGATATGCTTTCATAAGACCCCCGCAACATCTTTTGGTTACATAGTAGGAATGGCCTTATTATGTTGATGTGTAGGAAGAAAATGACTGGCCGAGTGACTTGCCCTTTGTATTGATGAATTTGCTTAGCACAGATTATCAACTTATCATAACACCCGATTATAATATACTGTAGTTGCTGCTCACTTTCCAAAACCAGCCGGAGAAGACGTCAGTTGATGAATACTCAAAAGGTATAATAGCACGATACAAATGCTGAAGAAGCCTACCGCCTTGATCATAACAAGTGGTTTTCGAACTAGTTGCATTCGAGCCATCCGCCCATGATATATCTTATTCCCATCGACGAGGGATACGAAATACAATCGTAAAAAGTTGCGGAAGAGATTTGGTAAGGCTGTTATCAACCATCGGTAACTGTTGCGAAATGGGGCTTTTTCTCATCGAATAACTGACAGTGTTTAATGGACAGTGAAGCGTAAACAGCACACGCGCAAGATAAAGAGATGCTTTACTATTGACAAAAACAAAGAAGTATAGTATTTAGGCGATGAGTGAGTCTTGCTTAACATGAAGTTCACGTCAGGAGTTCGCTAACATTTCTGTATTAGGAAAAGCACGAGAAGCTGGAAGAAGGAATTTAAAGAAAAAAAAAAAGGAACGATTCATGTGGCAAAAAAAAAAAGAGCATGCGACTCTTTGATGGTACTAAACCTTTTTGTTTTCTTGACGTTATTGTCGTTTGTTGTACTTGACCATATGATACCAAATGATAAACATGACACATGATGTTTGCTTCGGTGAATCATGACCATGCATTATGCAGCCGCCATTCATTGAAGGACAAGATGCTTGGAAAAAGACACAGGTTATTGGGATGAACGATGGTGCATGCTGTGTTTCTCAGGCTATTTAGTCAGGCGGAGCAAAAAATTTAGGAACTCAATACAATGTCAATACACAACTTAGTTTCCCTACAATTTATTTTTGGTAAGCCGAACCGTTGATGTCTCCAAGTCATGGCATCAGGAGATGGAAAAAAAAACAGATCACGTGGACCAGAAGTGGGGGTGGACAATGACGAATCTCTTCAAGAGTGTGTGACTCCTTCAAAATTTGACCATGCAGTGGAGGTGAATGACAACAGGACCACTAGGAATACCGTTTTAAAATTAAGTTTTTGAGTATAGGATTCTATCCATCTCGCCGTTCATTACGACACCACCAGTATGAAATAGGCTGAGAACCGCAAAATGTATTATCTCTATTACAAAGCTTTCATCCAATCATCGCGTTCCATCTCATTGCGTCCGATACGTTCCACTGATCATCCAACAAACGATCAAGGCGCAAAATGATGTCTAATCAAAGACCGGGATTAACCGTCAAACCAATGTCACCGCGAGAACAATGCACGTATGTAAAACTGTTATTTTACATAGAGACTTGCGCAACTTTTTTTCGCTTTTGTTGGTATGGATGAAAGCCAGGAACGGCTTCGATGGGCGTCAAGTGATTGCGGCAATATATATATATATATATATACACAAAATGTAGTTGATCGGCAAAGGTCCGCATGAAAGTGGGTAAACTCCGCTGCACTATCAGATTTCCATTTTAGGCATGCCCCATGTAGATTTTTTAACCTGCTGAGAATGGTGTAAAAAATCGAATCTCAAATACCTGGCTGTGCCATTGAACTAACTAGTCCAACTAGTGCGAAGGAGTACTTTAGGAAATAAAAACACTCATTAGTTTGGGTATATCTTTGATTCATAGAAACCGTTTGACATGGAATACTCTTAAAGCAAACACGACGCCGTCCATATGAGACATAACCGATCGGTATAACGACACTGTTGCAGAATAAAAAACAGTTGACCGAGTTGAAAGCTGTCTGCTCGATCGACAGATATGATGGATTTAGATGAAAAGATCTTTTTGTTGACGTGTCTTGACATCTTCCAGTGCGAATCAAAAATGTGCAAAAAGATAACACAAAAAAGAAAGATTAATGAAGGAATAAAAAGCAAGGAAAAACTAAGCACTCGGAAGTGATTCAATATAAAAAAGAAATAAAGGGTAAAGAAGATGCAATAAATGAAAGGATGGAAAGGTAGGACTGATAAGTCCGAAACAGGGATCAACGCGGAAGCGAACCATGTGTTGAATCTATGATGTGACGCTGATGATAGGCGGAGTATGAAATGAAAGAAAGTTTCTTTTTGTTAGGGTTCGACTTCTTTTTTTTTTTTTCGGGTCATGGAATGAACGACGTAATTTGTTTCCCGACGGAGGTGCGCAAAAAGTTTCTGGAAAAGAAGTGAACGGAAGACCGGCACAACCAAATTTGGGATCTGGCTGGGTTTTTGGGCAATCCAAGGAGGTGCTTTTTTTTTGCAGATGCCAAATTAGGTTAGTCTTCAAGATGCTCTGAAAAATGACCTGACTCGGGGCCGCTTTTTTTTTTTTCCTGTGTACAGACGAAAAAAAATGCTTTTTCTATGTGTGGTAAACATATGCGCCGTGCCTTTTTACCCTTTTTTTTTTCTTCTTCTCCTTTTGACCATCTGAATCGTCGGCTCTTTTTTTTTTTTTTTTTTTTTTTCTTTTTCTTCCCCAGCTTGTGCTCTACTTCAAACGCCTTTTCACTATTGTTGTCCTTAGCGAGAAAGAGGTGAGTTTGTCCCAAAAGTCGCTGTCAAACCTGCTGGCCAAACGGTACCTCCGTGTTTGTTGTCATTCGTTGATGTCGCCCTGGAAGGCGGTTGCGTTTTGGCCGTCATGATGTAGCTTAGCAATGGTCACTCATTCATTTTTTGTCTTATTTTCACCTAGGTAATACCATGGCAGCAACTGTACCTCCCCAGCATATCACGACTGCACAAAAATTAGCAGCCGTCAACGAACAAACATGGATGACGATGGGTAATGAAAAATTAAAAACTTGAATAATTTAAAACTGTAACGGAGTGGTAAAAAAAGAGGACCTTGACTCACCCTTACCTTAATTTTTTGTTTTCCCTTCTATTTTTTCTTTCTCTTTTGGGCTGGTTCGCTTTTTGACAGGCAATTTGGCAGAAATGATGACGGATTACGATAAAGCGATGAATTGCTACGAATCGGCCTTGCGACATAATCCTTACTCGGTCGTGGCTCTATCGCAAATCGCGTCCTTGTGCAGAGGACGAGAACAATTCGGCAGGGTATGCGACGCTCTCGTTTTGATGTTATTTCATGCATTGGATCTCCACTCTTTACCTGATGCTTTTTTCTTCACATGGGTAGGCTGTCGAGTATTTCAAGCGAATACTCGCAATACAGGAAAATAACGGTGAGACCTGGGCTGCGCTAGGTCATTGTTATTTGATGATGGACAACCTTCAGGAAGCGTACCATGCGTATCAACAAGCCCTGTACCATTTATCCAACCCCAAGGTAAGCAAATAGCTACGGGTGAAACGACGAATGACGAGGACTGGGGATGCACACCAAAGAGGGGATGGGGCAGGGAAAAAAGAGAGAGAGAGAGAGAAAGGGAAGGGGGGGCGGCAAAAAAAAAATTGGGGGAGGGGAGGGAAGATCTCATGATCGGTTGACTGATCTGCAATGGGTTCAAACTTTATAGGATCCCAAGCTTTGGTACGGTATTGGTATACTTTACGATCGATACGGCTCGTTGGAGCATGCGGAAGAAGCGTTTTCGGCCGTGATGAAGATGGATCCGAAATTCGAAAAGGCCAACGAAATTTATTTCCGCTTAGGTATCATTTACAAACAACAACAGAAATTCGATCTCTCTTTGCAGGTAAAATTTGGGAAAAAAAAAACGAAATTAATTACCCTTACGAACATTTTTCACTTACCAACCGAGTTCATTTTACCCCAGTGTTTCCGTTATATTCTGCACTCTCCTCCCCGGCCATTGACCGAATCCGATATTTGGTTCCAAACTGGTCATGTGTATGAACAACAAAAAGAGGTAAGTCAGAACTTGAATGGCTGGGATCCAAGCGAACAATGGGCGAGTGGAGCGGATGAAGTGACGGATATGATCGATGTAGTATGAACTTGCAAAGGAAGCGTACGAACGTGTGCTTGCTGAAAACCCCGAACATGCCAAAGTCTTGCAGCAATTGGGATGGCTTTATCATCAGCAAAACACTTCGTTTTGTAATCAGTCGTTGGCTATCCAGTACTTGACACGCTCTTTGAAATCCGACAGCAACGACGCTCAGTCTTGGTATCTTCTCGGTCGTTGTTACATGACGGAACAGAATTATAACAAAGCGTACGAAGCGTACCAGCAAGCCGTGTATCGTGATGCCCGTAATCCCACTTTCTGGTGCTCCATTGGTGTTTTGTACTACCAAATCAATCAGGTACATATACATAAAGCCGTTGATTTCTATCTATTGGCTCGCAACACCAAATCAAGTGGCAAATATTAATGGTAGTCGGTGCTTCTTTTTTTTTTCTTTCTTTTAGTATCGCGATGCGCTTGATGCTTACAGTCGCGCGATACGATTGAATCCTTATATCAGTGAAGTGTGGTATGACCTCGGAACATTGTATGAATCATGCAACAACCAAGTACAGGATGCTTTGGATGCTTATCAACGCGCGGCCGAGCTGGATCCTTCCAATCCACACATCAAACAACGATTGGAATTACTGCGTAAATCGCAAGCCCATTCTTCACAAGGGTAAGTGGGGGTCCTGATACAAGAAAGAACAACCAGTGGAAATGGTCCCTTATTCATTCTTTTCTTCTTTCCGCAGAACCGGTAGTGCACCAGTTCCTCAAGATGTGAGTAATCCTAGTCAATATCAGAATGCACCCAGTGCGCAGCCGCTCAACGGCGCACCTTATGGTCAGGTAACCTGGAATAATAATAGAAAAGGGTGTTTGCTCTGTATGTCTGTCTAATCGATTTTTTTTTTATTCCCACGTTTCAGCCTCCTACTCCCGAAGCCGGACCCAACGGTATGGCCGCTTATCATACGCCAGCTCCCGGTATGCCACGACCGGGTGAAGATCGTATGCCCCCACTTCATCTGCCAATGGTACGTTCTGATTTAGTCTGTGCAAAAAGTTCGCGAGGGAAGGACTTGTTCACTGATTTACATTGTGGTGCTTTCTTTTTTTCTTTTTTTCTGCTAGCATGCTACATCCCAAGCCGAGCCCGCATCTGGTCCTGGACGCGATTTGCCGATGCCAAGTGGTCCTTCGGGACGTCGTTCGCCTAGTTCGTATGCTCCACAACCGTACCAGCCTCCTCATCCTGCTTCGCGAGAAGACGTTCGCATTCCGGATATTGGCAGCAATGGCGGTCGTGCCCCTACGCCCTCCGATCGTACGCAAATGAATCCTATCATGCATGACCATGGACGACCTCACGGTCAACAATCGTCGCCGGTCGGTCCACCTATGCATCAATCGGCGGCCGCACCATCACAAGGCAATCTTCCGCCCATGTCGATTCATCAGTCTCCCTATGCAAAGCAGGAAGCGGCAAGATCACCGAATCTGGCCAATGCAGGCGAAGCCGTTCATGGCGCACGCAATGGCCCTGCCCCTATGGCTCCGTCATTAACTTCACGACCGCCCTCGCGAGGTCCACCCCAGCTTATGCAGGGACCCATGCAATATGAATCTCCTTCACAGCATCATATGTCTCCTCGTGCTGAACATGCTGACGCCTATCGTCCACGCTATGATCAACATGGACCTCATCCCACTGGTCCACCACGCACCAGCGAAGCTCCACCACCGCATTACCCCAAAATGAACCATCCTGCCCACCATGAACCTTACCGCTACTCGCCCAAGCCCAAACATGAAGAGGCTCAGCTCACCTCTCAACCTGTCTATGGCACCAGTCCCTATGCCAACGGGCCGAGACCGGCGTCACCGAGGGAAGAGAAAATGGCCTCAGAACAACCGCGGGCTTCTCCGGAGGAACCGCTCAAGAGTGCAGGATCGGAACCGGCGGCAGAATTACCGCCCATGTCAGAACAACGTCCTTCTCATCATGCCGATTATCATCCTTACGTTCCGACGCCTTCCAACGGTTCATCAGAAGAAAGAACTGTTGCCAAAGAGGACACGTATCCCAAACGTGTGGATGAACCCGCAGCAAATCAGCCGTCCAACCCCTCTGAGGAAAACGCGACTCGCTCACCCGTGAGAGATGCCGATAAGCGACACGATGAGAGTGCGGCCGACGCGCTTTTGAGTATGGGGCATGCAGATCATTCGCCGCGTGGCAGCAAAAGGCCTCTTTCTGCCGATGACAGCCAGCCCGAAGAAAGTAAGAAACCGAAACCTAGCGAGACGGGTCACAGTGATGAAGTACATCGCGGTTCGTCCGAGGAAGCCCAGCGACCAAAAGGTAGTGACAGTGGTCCCAAAGAAGAGATGCAAGTCGATGAGGCGCAAGAAACCATATCACCGTCATCCACCACCGAAGATCGTGCAGGTGAAGCCAATGAAATGGGTTCGGACACATCCGCCAAAACCGAGAAATCCCCCACGACTCCGCATTCACCAGAGAAAACCGACGCAGCGGCTGCTCCTGCTGCTCAAGAAGAGGTCGCCGCTACTGCAGGATCAGCGTAAGTGAGCGTAACCTTGGACACACATCCATAGAAGACAGCAGACCCATTTGCCATGTTTTGTCCCAAAAAAGTTTTTATACTATCATTTTGTAACCTCTTTTTATGTCTTTTTTTTTCCTTTCCTTCTTTTATATATATATATATATATATATATATACTCTCCCAATCATCATTCATGTAATCTTTCTTTTGGTCTTGATGGTTCTTTTTCTCTCTTTATCTCCCGTTCATACAATCATTGAAAAAAGGAAAGCACTTTAAACAACAATCATCCATTCGTTTTGCAATTCGGGGCGTTCACTCGTTACGCATCAAGAGCACTATTTTGTTACTGTTTAAAGTTTCTCAAATGCATCATCATGATCATCGTCGCCAAAAATAAAACAAGAAAGGATTGAAGAGGGGAAAAAATAAAAAACCATTATTTACGGGTGGCCATATTGTACATCAGCGAAGAGAAATGATAAAAAAAGCGAAAAATATGAATTTGGTCTATTATTTGGTGCTGTTATTGTTGTTGTTGTTGTTGTTGTTGTTCCAAGCCGTGCTGTTTGATAATGTTGGCTTCGTACGGATGTTCGCTGCCTTCGAAAATCATCAAACGGTTCAATCGTACGTCGCGAAGTCGGTTTTTCGGAAGCATGCCTGACACGGCTTTGCGAATAGGCTGTAAACCACAAAGAGAAAGCATAACAAACAATTGAGTCCCTGGCATGTCCAAATACCATTTCGTTGAATCCGGTTTACATACCTCTGTGGGGTTCTTCTCTTTGAGGGTTTCGTAGTTGATTTCCTTCAAACCACCAGGGTAACCGGTGTGATGGCGGTACAATTTCTGCTCGGCCTTTCTGCCCGTCACCAATACATCCTTGGCATTAATGACCACCACATAATCACCACAATCAGCTAATTATGGAAAAGACAAATCGTAAGCACTTGAGTTGACTGCATCATAGAAGGTTCGACTTACAGGCGGGATCATATATAGGCTTATGTTTTCCCATCAGGGTAGTGGCCACACTCGTAGCCAAACGGCCGAGCACTCGCTGTCGTGCATCGACAACATGCCATACTCGGGCATATGCAAGAGCAGTCTAACAATATCAACAGTCATGTTAGAATGTGAACAGTAGGTGCAATGTACCTGGATAAAATCGTTCTTACATTGCCAATCGCCTGCGACATGTTTAGAATAGACGGGTGATAAAAAAAAATAAACAAAATCGATCAAGCAAAAAGCAATTCGACTGGAAAAACAACAGGCTCCAGTTCCGACTGTGACTGTCTTTCTCTTTGGCCTCCAGAAATTTCAATGCATGGTCCCGATCGCTTATCAAGATCACCCCATGGCTATTGTCCGCGATTTATTTGGAGGAGCTATTAAGCTTCCCGTCAATAATTCCTTTCTCGATGCAAGGTAGCTTTTATTGCGGTGTTATTCCCACCTCACCGTATTATTGACACGTCTGTTCTAGCCAAATTCGTCAGGTTCCGGATAATCAAGAAGTATTTGTCGACATGAACACGCAGCAAAGTCTTATTATCGAACTGCTCGAACCGGTAGAACATGAGCACGAGGATGCTGCAAAGTGAGTTAAAATGTACACTGGCTTTATTACAAAGTACTCATAGTTAATCGTCCATTCCGCTAGATTTCACTTTCAGCAGCTGGCCGAAGACAACGATGCTTTGAGCTATGAAGTGCACAGCATAGAAAGACTCAACCCTGTCACTACCGCTCCTCACCTCCCGTAAGATGAAAGAAAAGTGTTTAATGCTGGTTAATCTCGGAGGGAAGCTCACATAATTGACAATACAGATCGGAAACGACGCTCGTGTATCTTTTGCAAGGTTCACAGCAAGTCGCCAAGTTCAATGAAGCCAAGGAAAATGCGTACAATACAGTGGCTATCACCATGATGGTGATTCGGTTAAAACAGGTCACTACTGATTTGGTGATTTCCATGAATGCACCTGTGGCTGTCGCACCGGGCAGCAGTGAACAGCCGTCAACGACGAATGATCTGACCGCCGTAGCGCAAGACATGATGGGGATGATATCACAATTGAAAATTGAAGATTGGGGGCTTTTTGGTGCATAAACTGGGGTTTGTACCGGTGTCCAATTTGATACCACGATATGGACGATAATGGACATCTTTTTTTCTCTGTACATTTTCAATGCAAATTTATTTATTAGTCGGTATGCGGAGAGTATTCTGGAATAGAAAGACAAGGATGCTCATCTTGTGATGCAACATGAATTTAGTCCGATTGTGATTTGATTTGCGCCTTGAGTTTCTTGATATGCATTTCCAAGACGACCACTTTTTGTTCCTTTTCCTTCAACCTTGTTCGTGCTTCCGCCGCTGCTTTATCTGCGGTCTCTACCTTGGTCTTCAATTCCTCTACCTGGCTCGTCAGCGCATTCACTTTATTCGTGATTTCATGGACCTCGGCCTCCTTCTTTTTCGCAATCGCCAAGAATTGCACCTAATTTTTTGATCCATCAGCGATTTTCCATGGAGAGACACACATACACACTCATATCAATGTCATCACTACTTACTCCTTGTTTGGCTCGATGGAAGTAATCGTTGGCTTTTGTCTGTGAAATAAATGGTGAGTTTGTGTGGGGCCACATGTTGGATGCTGTATGCGTTCGACTTTGCTTACCTCTAGTGCTTCGTATTCATTCATTCGCTTTTCCAAAGCTGCCTCTGCTTTTTCTTTTTCGATTTTAAGCGTTTCATATTCTTCCATCTGCTTCTTTAGAGATGCATCAAGCTTCTTTTTCTCTGCCTGCAACGCCTCATAGTTCTTTGTTTGTTCATCCACTGCGGGCGAAGTAGGCGAAGCAGGCGTTGGTGTTGGCGCTGGCACAGGCGCGGTCGGCGTTGCTTGCACCTCTTTGAGCGCCGTGAGCTGGGTATTAATTTCAGTATATCGCTTTTTCAGCATGGCAGCATATTGACCATGCTTCTTTGCCTAAGCATCCATTCGTCAATAGCTGTGACGGAAGAATAAAACCGAACGCGTTGCTTACTTGTTCAATTGCTGTTTCCAATTTGGATTTCAATTCGGTAATATGGGCTTCCAATTCTTTAACGCGTGCTTCATGTTCTGTTGCACGAGCTTGCTGCTCCTGCAGCTGCGCTTCCTTTTCTTTGAGACCAGCTTCTTGTTCTTGGGTCTTGGCTTCAAGTTCGGCAACACGTTCTTTGCTTGAATCATCCACCATCTTGACATCCTGAAAAAATGGCGTACTTGGGTTAGTCTTTGACATAACTCAGCCCCGCTTAAATTCACTTACTTCTGAAGCGGAAGCTGCGGCGGCCTGTTCACTGCTGATCTGGGTTTCCAAATCAGAAATGCGCTTATTCAGCTGAAGAATCGTGCGTCTCAACTGATCGTTGCTGTCTTTATAGGAAGCGGCCTCGTTACGGATATCGACCGATTCGGCCATCCGTTGCTCCACCAATTCCCGGTTCTGAGATTGCACATTGGCCAACTGACGACGAACAGAAATCATTTCCACCTCGAGCTCCTTCATCTTCTCAATGGTTTCATTGTATCGCGTTTGCCACAACTCGTTGTCACGTGTGAGGGATGCGTTCAAATCACGCAACGCTTGTGCTTCGTCTGGTGTTACCATTGTACCAGTAGTGCCAGCACTTGAGGTAACCGTGGAGTCATCGACGATCGGAGCATCGCGACGTTGGGCAAGCTCACTCTTGAACTGTTCCACAAGGTTTTGGTAAGTTTCCCATAATTGTTGTACACTAGTATAAGGAAAAAAAAATATAGATGATCCCATCAGCGATCCAGCTATAGCATTTGATGCGGTCCAGGCTCATGACAACAACCGCTTTTTACCTTTCCTTGGGCTCAGTGGACGCTGCAACTGCTTGTTCTGTATCGGATGTGGAGGTGGTTGCTTTCAATTCTACTTGGGCTAATTGCTCCAGTGCATTTCTCGCTTCGGTTTCTTTGGCGGATAACTCTCCTGCAAGATGGTCTATTTCGGCTCTGTATCTTGCTTCGACTTCTTTGGTGTGCGTATCGATTTGTTTGAACCCTTCTTGCAGACTCAACAGTTCGGCTTCCGTTTGACTGGCACGATCGCCAATGGCACTGTACTCTTCGGTCAATGCGTGTTTCTCGGCTTGCCATCGCTGTTCCGCTTCCGATTTCGCCGTCTGCGCCGCCTCCAGGGCTGCTTTGGTCTGGTTCAAATCGGTCTGCTGAGTGACCAATTTTTCTTTACAAATCGTTAATTCTTTCGCCAGTTTCTCGTTGGTGGATTTCATTAGCTGGGCTGCGGCATGATGCTTTTCGGCCATTTCCGTGAACTGGGCTTCTTCTTTTTCCATGCGTTGACGACACTCAGCAAATTCGGTCTCCAAAGCTTTTACTCGCGACTCAGCTTCGGTCAGTTGTTGTTTGTATTTCTCTACCTCATCCCCCGCGGAAGCGTCGACTTCTCGTGCCTTGATGCCTTGCTGAAGCTTTTGTTCCAAGCTTGATACCTGGTTCTGAGCAGCGAGATGTTCCTGTTTGAGATCTGTCAACTGCTTCTCGAGATCGGACCGGGTCATCTTCACACTTCTCAATTCTTCCTGACTTTCAAGATACAAGTCTTGCCAGCTGCTCTTGTTTTTCAGTTTCAAAATGTCTAATTCCTTTTCCTTGGACGAAAGCTGATCCTCTGCTTCTGTCAGCTTGCGTTGCGAGTCGTCAATGATCGATTTCAGTTCCTCAATGTGGCGTGTACTTTCCTCTGTCGATGAGGAAAAGTCCTTGCTGACAAATTCCAATGATTTTCGCAACTCGATTCGTTCAGCCAGTACTTGTTCATAGTTGCGCAATAATCGATCGTGGGCTTTATCATTGCTCTTCAGCTCTTCCATCAGCTGTGTATTCTGTGCAGTGAGATTCTGGCTGAGCAACTCCAGTGCAGCGATCTTTTCCTGCGCTTGCTGTAATGATGTCTCCAAGGTTTTCGCATTCTCTTGGGCGAGCCGGAGCTGACGTTGGAGCCCATCCATTTCTTGATCCTGAGAGACGTCCGACTGGGAAAACGCAGAACACGTCTGCTGCAAATGTTGGATCTCCAGCGTCGCTTTCTCATAGTTGTGCTGCAACGTTCTATAGGTTTCTTGCTGCGTCGTCAACTCCTGTTCCTTTTCTGCCAAGGTGCGTTCAAGGGATTTGATGCGATTGCGTGTATCGGAAAGCACGGATTGGTAAGCTTTATCGAGAATATTCTCATCCTTTTCTGGCGACAGTAACTGGTCCGCAAACTTGTCGCGTTCGTCGGTCACTGATGCAAGGCTTGATGACAAAAGGTTGGTGAGCAAAATCGAAGCATTTTTCTTTACCGCTTGCAGCCTTACCTTGTCTGTAATTCCAGAATAGCTTGCTCCAAGTTCGTTACACGGTTGGCGGCATCCTGAATCTTGATCTGGCAAGTGTTCTCCATTTCAGTGGATCGCCCTTTCTCCTCTTCCAGTTGTTGCTTCAACTTTTCGGTAAGGATCGTGTAGTGACGTATATCGGCAAGCAATTCTTGGTTTTTCTCTTGCAATTCGCGAACATTTTTGAAGACCAGTTTTTCGCGGTCAATGGTGACGGCCAACTCGGCGCTTTTCACCAAGTCTTCAAAGTTATTGATGTTTTCCGGGAACGGGTCATTGCGACTTTCGATATCCTGCAGAATATGCTGTAACTGGTATGTTGTGTTCTTTAATCGATCGGAAAGTTGTTCCATCCGTTCTTCGGCGTCCCGTAACTCGTCACGTAATGTATCAGACTAGTCTGATGTTAACAAATGTGTTCCCAATATCCTGAGATTATAATGAATATAAGTATTACCTCTTGCTTGCCTGACCTCAGGGCGACTTCATAACCCTTGATTTCACTGCGTAACCGTGATGTCTCCTCGCGTAAAAAGTCCACTTCTTTACTGACGTTGCCGTAATAGAGAGCTTCATTGACATGCTCTTGTTTGAGTTGTTCATAGAGTTGTGTCACTTGTTCTTTTTCAGCGATTAATTTTACATGAGATTCTTGCAACTTGAAGAAATCGTCGTAGACATGATTCCACGTCTTGCCATCGGATTGTGCGGCGATGACGACGTCAAGAAGATCTTTCTTTTCAGCCATATTATCATTGGATGGAGCGCTTTCTTTGGTGGACGTTTGATTCGTCAGTTGATCTTTGACCATGGACAGCTGCTGTTTGAGATCTTCATTCGCTTCCTTCAATAGGCGTTTTTCCCGTTCCGAATCCGCAGTTCGCTGGGCCATTTCCTGCTTTAATCGTTCAATCTCCTCATCGCGGGTTTCACGTTGACGTTCAAGGGTAGCAACAATGTCGTGATGAGTGCGTTTCGAAGCTTCGCTATCAAGTACAAGTTTCAGATATCGATCCTTGGACTCGTCTACTTGTTCGTTGGCAGCTTTGACGTCCAATTGTGATTGTAACAGGTCTTTTTGCAGATCGGCATTGGTCTTTTGTAATTGGTCAATTTGTCTTTCAAGTAGCATCTTTCGATGGTGTTGTTCTTTGGATTGTTGCGTCTAGGTTGAAAAAAATAAATAAAAATAAAATAAAAAAAAAAAAAAAAAAGGAGTGAGCGGATGAAAATCGACCAGTTCTACGAGCGCAGCTTTACATTCTGCTTTTCCAAGTAGTTGTATGCAATCTGCAGCCGGTGAAGTTCTTCCTTGTATTGTGTATCACGTAGTAAGGCGGCTTTTAAGCGTGATTCCAAACCGCCACATTGTGCCTACAAAGCAATGAAATTGAGGTGCCATAATTTGTGCAAAGAATCAACGAATGAAAGTACCTTGAGGGCGATATTCTCGCTTATGGCTCTTTCGTAATTATGGCTTGTCGAGTGTAAATCATGCTGTAGTACGTTCTCTTTTTCGCCGAGATTCCGTGTGATATCTGCAGACAAGATTAGCAGGTTAGATACTCTTGACTTATTTGCCAACTCGGAGGAAAACCCAAGTCACGGTGGGGCGCATTATGAGCCCATGTCAATGCCTGACACCATTGTGTATTCCATATTATCACTTGCAGCTTCAAAAGCTTGCTCATGAACTCCAAACACCGTTCATGGGCACTCACCGGTTATCTCTGACGCCATCGCTGATACGTGAACAGAGGACAAATCTGCAAGGAAATTCGCAATACGGCAAGCTCAAGTCCCGCAGCGAAGCGTGACTGTTATATTATCCCGCGAAGCACTGTCAGCATGAACGCCCATCAACACTGTTCTGCCCTTTACATAGCTTCAATATGTGTAGCCAACGGGGGCTTGAGGAAGATATTCAGTCAATATAGGATGAGTTAATGACTGAAGTCGATGGAATATGTATCAAAAGAGTACACACGAGTGAGCAGAAATATCGGACAGGCCAGACAAGACATGCCATTTCGGGAAACGCGTCACAGATAGCTCGAATTGGATAATCTCATGCGTCGTAACCAAAACTCCTTCCCTCTTGGTTACCCGTTTTCCTTTGAAAAAAAAAAAAAAAAAAGTCAATAATGAAGGTGGTTATTACAGGTGCTTCCGGTCTTTTAGGACGAGCAGTTTCCCGACAGTTCAAGTCGGCGGGACATGACGGTAAAGTCATGGCACGAACCTCACGTACCCAATGGGTGCTTACTTCGTATTGTGTAGTGGTTGGTACGGCTCTCAATCGTACCCAAAATGGTCTTGTCAAAGTATGCAGCTGTCACATTTTTGCTTCATATGCTCTTTGTATACTAAGTGCTCGTTAGTTGAATCTTTTGGACGGCAATGCCGTGGAAGAGTTTCTGAAGCAAGAAAAACCTAACGGTATGTAAGACGTCCATTTTGAGACGCTCCAAAAAATATAGTCTATTGAAACTCTGTCCTTCTAGTACTGGTTCATTGCGCCGCCGAGCGCCGTCCCGATGTTGCAGAGAAAGATCAGGACGGCACCATGCATGTAAGTTGTTTGAGCTTCATTGGCGAAATGACAAGTCTATTGTATTCATAAGGATTATGCTATCGTAGCTCAATGTTCAAGTTCCGAAGCATTTGGCATCGTTTTGCAAAACAAACAACATTATATTGATTTATATCAGCACCGATTACGTGTTTGATGGCACGGCGCCACCTTACGAAGTGGACGCCAAGCCCAATCCATTGCAGTTCTACGGCCGCACCAAATTGGGCGGAGAACAAGCGATTCAAGAAGTGGATTCTCAAGCCATCATTTTGCGTGTACCCATTCTGTAAGTAGGCTTGAGTTGAAGTTCGGTACTGCCTTATTCACTTTCTCACAACGCTTGCTTTTTCTAGTTACGGTGCTACCGAGTTTTGGGGCGAATCGGCTGTCAATGTTCTCATAGAAGCAACTCAGGTAATTCATCCATAGCCAAATGAATGGTCGGAAAGAATTCAACAACTTGCTTTATCTGTTGACAGGACAAGAGCAAACCAGTGGTGATGGATAACTACTGTATCCGTTACCCAACCAATGGTAAAAGAAAGAGGTGCAATACAACGTTTTTCCATCGACTCACTGCTTTTTAGTGGAGGACATTGCTCGTGTGATTCAAGATTTATCATGTAAGCTGATCAGCGTGCCGGTAAAAAAAAGAAATGGGCTTAACGGAAAAAATATCCAGTGAAACGGTTGAATGGCGACAAGTCCGTAGCTGGCATTTTCCATTTCAGTGGTGAAGAAAAGTTCACCAAGTACACCATGGCCAGTAAGTGATATGCTTGATGGAGAAATTTGGGACCGTGCGCTTACATGAACCCGCAGAATTGTTTGCCCAGATCCTCAATGTGTCTCAAGACCACTTGGAACCTCAAAATGAAGTGTCTCAATCAGCCTCTGGTAAGCAAAGTGATGTAATTGTTGCAAAAAACGGTGTTCACTGACTGATGCTGTCTATTTGACCCGTTAGCCACGAGACCGCATGATTCGCATTTGTCCAACAAACGTCTCCAAGAGTTTGGAATTAACACCGACTGTATCGGATTTGAGAAGTGGTGGAGATCGTATCTGTCCAAAAACTAGAGTTTCTCTGAATAAAAAAGTGACACTTTGTGACAAAAAAGGTGGTCGTAACCAGCTGCATGCATACAAACAGTAAGTCTGATCAGAATAGCACGGCTATTTATTTTTAGCATAGTGAGATTATATCCACAAAAACTGACATGAAAGTTCAGGATGCCATCAACCACCAATTTAATACTTTGTATAATCGTAACCACATTTCTACATCGTCATCAAATGAATATGACTTTTCTTTTGTCAATATGCTGTTCCAACTCCCCCTGAATGATCTTTTTACTGTATTTAGTCGGCGCTGGCGCCACATTATCTGGTGGTAAGCAGAACCCGGGAAAAATCAACTCCATCCAGAATATTAACCTTATTATATTGTTATTGCGTGTTATGGAAATTTTCACAATGCTCTCTCAACATTAAAAAAAGGCTGCTTCCATATATCAAGATTAAATATGACTTAAGCGACTTTCAGTGAATTATTCTTAGGTGTCGTATAATGACTTGGCGGGATTTCAATGCCATAGTAAGCTCGGATCGTCCTGGAAAAAGTTATTACTGAATGCAAATCAGCATGATATGGCCGACCGTAGCGAGGAAGTTTAGGACAACGACGAAGACCAGTGATGTGGCAAATCCGATGAAGCCCAAAGAAAAATGGTATCACTTTTTATTTGCAAGTCACGTTATCATGTGCACCACTTGTTTGTTAGAAAAGGAAGGTGCGCCGACGCAAATGCATGGATGTTGTCTTGAAACGCTTTCGCACTCCTTGTTTTTTTTCGAATTCTCCAGTTGTCATCCCGCAGCCAATCCTTTTTAGCCTTGTTAAGGCGACCACCTTTCCTTCCTTTTTCTGCATCTGTACCTTTTGGTTCATCGTTCACTGCGTCGTTGAATGGTAGTTCCTTTTCAACCGGAGTCCTGTTTATATTTCCCTTTTATTTTCGGTTCATCAAGTTTATATATAGTCGTTACCCACGTGCTCCTTTGCCCTACTTTTTCAGTCATTTCAACATCAAGAAACATAACTGTCATTCATGTCATCCCACTTGATGGCCGATCTGTATGCGCAACATCCCTGGCTGCCAACTGCGTACAGAGACGAGCCTACGAAAGACCGTTCAACCTATCAACCTATGCACACTACAAAGATGCCCAAAGACCTTGCTACAGCCAATCACCCTATATCAACAGTCTATGATACCTGCTCCGATCAGAGCAGTGCAGAAAACCATATATTTAACTCCAAATCCAGTAAGAAAAGAATGCAATCATTATTATAAAAAAAAAAAAGGTCCATCGTTCTCATGAAATTCATGGCTTTTTTTTAATCCAGATCATTCCACCACTTTTTCTGCGCATGCCATCGAATCTCGGCCATCTCACGTTAGTCTGGGCAATGATTCAATCTACATGGCCTATCATTTAGATCCTCCAGCTGCGGTAAGACAACCACTGAAAAAGCGAACTCAATCGCTGCGGCAGGATCATGGCCATCGTGAGGTGACGGACGAGAAATCATCCAATATTCCCTCCATCTTACGAAGACGTAAAAGCGAAACCCAAGAACGCAGTAAACTCCCGTTACAATCCATCAAACCCAAACCATTCAACGATACCACGAAAATACCGACCACTGCCCCAATATTGCGGCGACACGCTTCTTTGCGGAATTTTACCCCTGCATTCAGCGAAACATCATCCTATAACACCTCCACCTTGATGGCGTCACCTATGTTACCTACATTAGGCAATAGCATAGCTGACGCATCAACTTGTCTTTCCCCTCGCACTACTTCTATGCAACAATATACGTCTGCATTGCCGCTGAATTCCAACTTTCGGCATGACGCGTCACAAACCTACGTTCCCGGTGGCCGATCTGACAATCGGTCAAAATACGATCACCGATCGACTGTCCGATCTGTTGATATCTCGACGCAAACCGACGACCCTACTATTTGGCGTATGCCGCGATCGAAATCGTTACGTGAAACAGCTTACCTCGACCTTAATATCGAGAACAGTTTCAAAGATCAAGATGTTGCCGGTGATCCGCTTTCCTGCCACGGCAATACAAGATCAAGATCTCGGGCCTTCAAATCACCTCCGCCTCCTGTATCGAACGATCTGGATGAACCGCCGTCTGTACCAGAGATGAACATGCAACAGCGGATGCTGAAGGCCAGTCTTTGCCATGCTCTCCCTTCGATCCCTGCGGCTAGATGTGACAACACAGACGAGACGAGTACAACAGCACGGTCGCAGGCTACCGTCCGTGAGCTTGATGTCGTTAATAATATGAAGCGTAAACTGAGCTTGACCAAGCAACGATTGAAAGAAGCCGAGAAGGCGCTCGCCGCGGCAGACAGCAAGTTGAGTGCTGATCTTGGGGTACCGACGGACCGAAGAAGCTTACCTGCCGCCTTCGCTGCGCGAAAAAAATCCATTTCTTCCTTGCGTATTACTTCGCAAGGAACTTTTCCGGAGCCTTCAGAAACCAAAGTCAAAAACCGGATCACACCCACGCGCACCGGAATCGCGGATTATTCCGGTTACTCACGCACCACCATGGATGGATCACGTCGTCGATCGGTGGTGTATTCACCGCCACCCTCTCGTTCCAGCACGGGTTCTCGGCACGGGTTCAAGGAGAAGCATGAGTCTTACCCTTCACTAGAGGACGACATTGAAGACAGTGCGATACCTCCTGTACCTCCTGTTCCCAAAAAGCACTCCATGAAAGCATCCATCAAAAGCGAATGTCTTGATGTTCATGCTTCACTTCTTATCGGAGCCACACCAAAGACCCGCAACGAAACGGTTCCATTGATTCCTCAACCGCGAACTTCTTCAATTCCAAAGCCATCCACGAAAGCGTCTACAGCCAATACAAGCTTATTCATTAACCCCACCTCAAATTCTTCACGTTCCACGGTAAAACCTGCAACTACCTCCGACAGCAATAGCGAGCGAATCACCTCATCTCAAAAAACGTTCGATACCACAGGTGTTGTCGGCCTTACTAGTTCTTCCTATCCCGTTCCAGAAGATGAATCTTTCATTTCCGGAAGCGAGGAAACCAAGAGTACGAATGCGAATGCCAAGGCCAAGAATAGAAGACGTGGCAAGGTAAGTCATCATTGGAATCAATAGTATGGCCGAAAAAAAATTTATACACTTGAATATATCTAACTTAGATCATTGATTTTTTTTTTAGACACTTCCTGGAAGTTTGGCTACTCCACCCGCGATCCCGTCTGCACCACTGCCGCCGATGAAGGTGGAACCGATCAAATTAAACATGCCAGCGACCAAACCTTTGCACAAATCGTCGTCTTTGCGTGGCATTGCGTCTACACCTACACGTATCCCGATGCCGACACCAAAAATGACGGTGTCAAGGTCCACACCACGCACGAGTTACAAGACAACGTCTGAATCATTGACTGACGGTAAAAGCAGCAATGAGAAAGACACTTTACGCCGTGTGAAATCAAGAACGCGAGGTCATGCTGACATTCCACAGAGAGGCTCATCACTCAAAAGACCGTCGTCTTTCAAATCCAATACAAAGAGTACAGCGGCGTCTGTTGAACGTAACCCCAGTTGGAAATCCAAAACGTCCAAGGCGATAGATGCACCAAAGCGAAAACAGTCATTGACAGGCACAGAGCCTCTGGAAAAGCCTGACACAATGCCAATGATCACACTCCGTCCAAGTGTCAGCGAGCGGACAAAACCCAGAGTCGCAGTAACAACAACCACTATCAAACGTAGCCATTCCGGACGTGCTGCTGCCAATGGAGAGAGCCGTGAGTGATATTTTGGAATTGCAAATATTTGGGTAGAAAAGCTCATGGATATCATAAATTAGGACTCCAACGGACTTCATCTCATCGCAAACCAACATTGGCCGTATCACAGACGGAATCAACCGAGCACCACCGACTGCATGGTGACCGTGATTCATTACAGGTGAAGCAGGGTCATATGAATGCTTCCTCCGAGAAATTACAGCCTCATGGGTCCTTGAAATCCTCCATTGAGGACCGACCTGGACGATTGAGTGGTGGGGAATTGGGGGCACGTCTACCAAAGAGTCCCGAGACTGCGCTCAAATATTACGCACAATACCTGTCTCCCTTTGAACAGTCCGAGATTCGTCAGTATCCCGAGATTTATTTCATCGGTCCGCACGCCCAGAAACAACAAGCCACGCTGGATGACCCGACCAACAATTATGGCTACGACGATAAAAATGGCGATTACTTGATCACTATGCAAGATCACTTGGCGTATCGATATGAAATCTTGGATATCCTCGGTCGTGGATCGTTTGGCCAAGTGATGAAATGTTTCGATCACCGAACGGGCTCTATTGTGGCCCTGAAAATGATTCGAAATAATAAACGATTCCACGCACAAGCGGTCACCGAAGTCAAACTCTTGAAAAGACTGATTAGCTGGGTAAACACTCTTGAACAATGTCAAACATGACGCAACAAGGTGTTCACTTTTTTTTATTTTCATTCCAAACCAGGATCCCGAAGACAAATATCATACGATCCGCATGCTGGATTATTTTCATTTCCGAAATCATTTGTGCATTGCATTTGAATGCCTTAGTATCAACCTTTATGAATTCATTAAGAGCAATAATTACCAAGGGTTCAGTCTCAGCTTAATTAAGAGGTACACAAATCATTAATATCAGGCAGCAATTGTAGGCGAGAAAATACTGACTTGATATACTATTACATCAGATTCACGATTCAACTTTTACGGACGCTGTGTCTGTTGCAGAAGCATGGGGTTATCCATTGTGATTTGAAACCCGAGGTAGCCTTCATGAAGATGCTTCTGGTTTTCTTTTTTACCTAGACTAAACCGTGTTCTATGTGCAGAATATTTTGCTCAAACAGCCAGCTAAAACTGTGATCAAAGTCATTGATTTTGGCAGCAGTTGCCTCGAAAGTCAAAAAGGCGAGTATTCGGTGCTGAACAAAGTAAAAAGGCGCGATGCTGACATCTCTATAGTGTACACGTACATCCAAAGCCGTTTCTACCGTGCTCCCGAAATTATCCTGGGTAAGGAAAAAGAAAAGTATGAATATCGCAATTCCTCCAACTTATTCATCCTATCTGCAGGCATGGATTATACGATTGCGATCGATATGTGGAGCTTGGGATGTATTTTGGCCGAACTGTATACGGGTAAGAGATGAATGATAATTTTCGCATGTTCACTCTCTGTTTCTTACAAGCACAACAAAATAGGAGTACCGCTCTTTCCCGGTGAGAACGAACAGCAACAACTTGCTTGCATTTTGGAGATCCTGGGACTACCGAAGCATTACCTTATTGAAAAGAGTTCGCGGCGACATGTTTTCTTTGGTATGTCGTGATTGGGCAAGGAGTGGATGTGGATCAAAAAGGCTGATTTTTTTTGTGATAGACGGGTTTGATCATCCACGCCTGATTGCGGATTCCAAAGGGCGAAAACGAAGACCGGGAAGCAAGACATTGTCGGACGCACTACGTTGCAACAACAGTTTATTTGTGAACTTTATCGAGCAGTGCCTTGACTGGGATCCCGAGACGCGAATGCGACCCAATGAAGCCTTATATCACGAATGGTTGTGTGAAAGCGCGTGATCGGGTTTGCGTAAAACCTTGCCGTGAACATGATTTTCACTATTCCTTCAATGTGTACACATAAAAGCAATTTAATTTTTCATTTCATTATTGTTGTTTGTTAATTTCCTTTGATAGATACCATTCTTTATCAAATGATACAATCCTGATTATGCTTCTACCCAAATTTGGGACGAAACAAGCTCGAGATCGAGAAAAGTTCATGCATCGAGGGCTCACTGCATAAAACTTCTGTCACAAATTTTTTCTTCTCTTTTTTTCATTTTTTCCCAACAAAAAAACCACTTTCTTGAAGTTACTCTTTGGTGATTCTTTTTGCAGAAAAGGGTACAACACACAATGTCACGGAACGATGAAGAAGATCTGTTGTCTCAAATGAAAAATATCTATATTTCGACTGCCGAGGAAGTGCTTGCAGCTGATCTACAAAAGACCCACATTACGAATGAGCGCTCGCCTGTAACACCCAAACCGCATTCCCACACAGCCGAGCCATCATGGCAGCCGAATGCCACGGCTGACATGCCCATGGAGAAAAACGATGAAGATGAAGGTTGGGGTGATAACCCTCCAGCTTACACTGCCATCTCACAAGGAACCTATTTTGGCTTCTCGTCACTGCTCGGCGATGCGTACATCACCCCAGCCTCCGACACGCAACTCCAGCCACACCAGCCTTTTGCTCGATATCAGAACAAACCCATCTCCTTTGTCTCAGCGGCCAATGCACATAATACGAACCCTAAGCTCCCTTTCCAGTCGCGTTAGCATTCTGTTTCGTTTTATTCTGTTTTGTTGTTTTCTTTGTATTTTTTTTTTTTTTTTTTTTGCTTTTGTCCAACCTTTTGTCATACCCTTTCAGCCCATTGTCGGATGAACAAAACCGCAGCAGATTTTCATTCTCCGGTTCTTTTATTCCCTTTCTTTTTTTTTTTTTTTTTTTGCAAGGTCGTGGCGCAACCGACCTGAGTTTGACGCTTTAACCATCATGAACCATTTGAGCATTCCGTTATTGAACATCAAACACGTAGAAGATCATCATGTAATAAATAGACTGTATGAGCTTGTAGAAAAAGAACCCAGAAAGTTGCGCAAAAAAACATGCAATGTGAATGGTCAGCCATGGACGAGTTGGACCATGCAAGAACACATCTATAAGAAACAGCCCGACTGTTACCCCACTCAAGCACGAGGCCTATTTACAACTACTGTCGATGATCAATATCGTATTATGGTGCGTGGCTATGACAAATTCTTCAATATTGGCGAAACCAAAATCACTCAGGTAAGTGGGTTGTTCCCAGAAGAGACTTGGGAACCTGCATGAAATACTGATCCGTGTCGTACGTTTCGCATCGTAGTGGGAGGACCTGGAAAAAGAAACCGTCGGACCCTATGAGGTGACGGCCAAGGAGAATGGTTGCATTATCTTTATTGCGGCTGCCTCCCCTGACGCGGTGGTTGTCACCTCCAAGCATACCATTCCAGATCCCAAAGATGATGCCAATGCTCACGGCGGAGTCGGTTATCGATGGCTGCTACAGCACCTAAATTCGGTCAACAAATCCGAAAGCGAGCTTGCGCAGTGGTTATACCAACATCAACTGACATTGGTAGCCGAGGTAAGATAAAGCTTGACGATAAATGAAAAATAACGAAAAAAACAATCACTGAATCTAATGCTGTTACAGTTGTGTGATGATGATTTTGAGCAGCACATCTTGCCGTACACAAAGAATGAGCGCGGACTTTATCTCCATGGTATCAATTACAACACATCGAAACTGCATACCTTGCCGAGCGACACGGTGCGATCGGTAGCCAAAGAGTTGGGAGTGCACCCCATTGATTACGAAGTCCTGCCTAATCTGGAGGCTGTGAAAACTTTGTCTGATACGGTGCAGAAATCTGGTTTGTACCGGAACCGAGAAGTGGAAGGTCTGGTTGTGCGGTGTAAGCGAGGGGGCCATGATTTCTTCTTCAAGATCAAAAACGAGCAATACCTGATTTTCCGAGACTATCGCGAGGTGACGAAAGCGCTACTTGAGGTCAAGGATGGGGTGGTGAGCACGCGAGATCGACCATTGAGATGCCATTATGAAAAGACAAACTACTACGTTGCATGGCTGCAAGAGCGTGTCAAGGACCACCCCGAATGGTTTATAGAATTCAAACAAAACAAGGGCATCATTGATGTCCGCAGACGATTCGAACAATTTTGGGAGCAAGGAAATTTAACACTCCACTCAGAGGAACAATAAAAAAAATTGTGCCAGACATAAAACACATGTTGAATGCGTGAGGAAATGAATCGTCCACCATGACAGAATACCGATTGCAGTTATTACGTGCTAAACTTGCCCATCAAGGCTTTGATATGTCGGATCGAATGAAGCAGGCCATGAGCAGCACCGGTCAACGTGAGCCAGGTAAGGTTTTCGACATGGCATGGCTCGTCGATTCCTTCATTGCAGTCATGACTCAGTGTCGTGTTTAACTCCCTTCTTGTGTGCTAGTGGCCAAGCCGTGGCTCTCTCGTATGCCTGTGGGCGATAAACCTGTGATTATATCCTTTTTTGATACCATTGAACCTAGTGTGACGTATTTCGATGCATTTCATATAAATCCTTGACCGACGGATATTACGTCGCAAATGGGATAATTCCACCTCGACGGAAAAGGCAGCGTACTATGATAGGAAAGGCAAATGATACACATTCCCAAGGTAGATCTTTTAAAATTTTATGTGCATGTGAACGTGGACGAACTGAATCTTATTGACAAGTTATTAGACGAAGCATCTGAGGAGAAGCTGCCAAGAAATTATGATACGCTTCAGCCTTTGCTGACAGCTTTACACCACCTGACCCTTCCCAATTCGACCCATGAAAACAAAGGTTCTTTCTTACTCCAATTACTCGAATTACCGTACAACGATGTAAGACAAAAAACAATCGAAGAGTCATATGTATTGCGTCGGGCGATCCTCCTTACATTCAGGAACAAAACATGATTCGTATTCAATGTGTAGATGAAATATGTGTGTGAAAACGTGGATTTCCAACTGTGGCCCGCGGATTTGCTTGCGGATTTATGCAGTGCTATTCAGGCGTCCAAGGATGTGACCCATCCATGTATGACGATCCTGATACACAAGGCAGTGTACCCTCATGTAAGTGGAAAGATTTCGCGATTGAGAGACCTGAATGGCTCATTGTTTGGGTTTGAAAATTTTGTCCCGCTCGGTCAAAAAAACCAGATTTTATCTCTGGATTCTTCATTATCGCGCGTGATGATGAATCCTCTGTTATCCATCGGTCAAAGCATGGGAAAACCTGTGCTGGATGGCCTCATCTTGCCACTCTTGCGACATGAAACCATCGGTAAATTATTTAGACTATCTCATATCACAAGTCTAACCGGACGGAAACCGAAGAAAAAGAAAAAAAAAAGTTGGACTGACTCAATGTTTACTAGGGCGCATTCAGTTGGATGTGGCTAATAAATTGGTCACTCATTCGTTGTCACCCTCCATTCGGCTTTTACTACTAAGGTAGTAAAAACTTTGATTGATGAATTGTGTAACCCGCTATTGATCGGTCGGATTAGAGCTCTCGCCACCAATGAATTCAACGGTCCTTTACCTGAAAAAAGTATAGCATTGGATGTGTGGAACGATGACATTGCACAGATTATCAATAACGTCTTGAGTACGCCGCCGCTCCTCGATTTGGACTCAACGTTACTGCTTATGGTGATACATAAATTGGAACGAATGGTCGATAAGGATCCGAAGAACAAGAGCGGTATGCAAGTGTTACTGGTGCTGACCAGCAAATATGGCCAGACAGTGGCCGAAACGGGCTGCATTGAAGCTGCAGAAATGGTGGCAACCAAAAGCACCATGTTCCTCAAGCGGTCGATTCTCGGCAAACTCACCGGTCTGAGGAAGAAATTACAATTGTTTCATGTACAATAAGCAACGGGTCGACGTCCCGAGTTGGATTCAACATGAAACGAGAACAAATCAAATGACCGAATTTAACCGCAAAATGAGCAATGACAGTATGATGCTGTGCATGATGTCCATGCATAGCTTCCTAAAATGTACCCAAAGAAAAAGATGCATTGCGACAGAACCAATGGCGCCATTTTCGCTTAAAGAAGCTTTTTTGTCTTTTTTAATTTCGTCTCAAGTATAATGACCGACTTGTATCATCTCCTCCCCTTTGCCCATTGTTGCACGCGAACGCCATTCCCCCCACGCCTCACCCCCCATCCTTAATCCGTCTTTCTTTGTATTTGTAAATTCTCTGTTTTTTTCGTCCTCCGCCATAATACTCGAGAAACACAAATTTTCAACCAAGCACTTGGTTGTTATGGTCACACCAAAAGGAATAAAAAAAAAAGACAGGCATGGAGATAGATCAATTTTTGGGTTAGCAACTAAAGAAAACCGGTCAATACCTTTGATCCATTCGCGTATATAAAGAAGTTTGCCTATTACTACTTTTTCTCTTTCAATCTGTTTTTTTCTTGTTCTCCGCTCTACCGGCTATCCATTTTTTGTATTAACAATGGAGGAGAAGACACTCGACTACAACGTTGAAGTCCCCAATGATGCCAAAACCGTTGTGGATATGGGCGGCGAAATCAAAAAAGACCGAGAAAAAGATTCGTTGAACTCCATCTCACCCACCGCTACCTACCAGAACCTCGCCACCATTGATTACGTCGCTGATCTCGAGTGGACAAAGGAAGAAGAACAAAAAGTGCTCCGAAAAATTGACGGATATTTGATGGTCTTTATTTTGCTCATGACGTTTGTGCTCCACATGGATCGAACCAATATCTGTAAGTGCCATCCCAATTATTTCTTTGCAGAGGACTTCCAAGAGAGTCTTTTTCTTAAAGACATATCGTATTCGTTTTTGGTTTTGTAGCAAATGCTATTTCCGACAATATGCCTCAAGATCTCGGTTTCGGTATCAGTGGGGTCAACATGGGCACTTTGGTGCATTCTATTATGTTTACCGTCTTTGCTTTACCAACCAATGCTATTGTGAGACGCGTTGGAGCGCACTTGTGGATTCCTATTCTAATGACTTCCTGGGCTATCACGACGTGGGCAGTTATTTTCCTTAAGGTGAATTTTTTTTTTTTTTACGAGAAAAATCTTGGCGTAAAAAAAGGAGCTAATCTCGTCCATCATCAGGATTTTGCAGGGTACATGGTCATTCGCGTCTTTATTGCATTGACCGAAGCTGGATTTATTCCTGCCGTCTTAACCTACATGACGGGATGGTACAAAACTAACGAGTTGGCGACCCGATTGGCTTGGCTTTGGGGTATCCAGAACTTTGCGTCGGCGGTTTCCGGTTTGATCTCCTTTGGTATCTTTCGCATGTCCGGTATTGGTGGGCTTCAGGGCTGGAAGTGGCTGTTTCTAATTGATGGCGCTTTTACCCATGTGATTGGCTTTATCGCTTTGTGAGTAACATTTGACCTATGCATACGGCGACATCGGGAGCTTCCTACTGACTTTTTTTTCTGATTAGTGCCTACTTGCCTCGCACACCATCACATACCAATATTCTGTTATTTGGCAGAAGAGCTTGGCTCTCGGAACGCGAGCGACAGATTGCAACCACTCGTATCATTCGCGACGACTTGTCCAAGAAGGAGCAGTATGAACGTATTACTTGGGCCGACGTGAAAATGACCGTCCTGGATACAAAGTTATGGGCGCATCTCCTTATGACCACGTCTGGGTAAGTACCAAAGCCGACAAAACTGATAATTTCCCTTGGCAAGTGAGCCATAGACTCATGTTTCTCTTCTCTTTGCACGTCAGACTTATGCCGATTGTGCCTGTTACCACTTATTTGCCAACCTTGATTCGAAACTTTGGATTTCCAGTTACGACGAGTAACCTGCTGACGGCTCCCTCTTACATTATTAATCTTATTGTGTCGTGCATTATTGCCAGGAGTGCTGACAAACATGGAAACTACGTTTTTCACATCATTTTTGGTTGCGTGTGGTCGATTGCCGGTTTCCTTGCATTGCAACTGTTACCGGATAACGCTGGTCGTTGGAGCTTCTACGCTGCGGCTCTGGTCACTGCCGGGTCGCCTTCGTGGCACGGTTTGCAAATCGCTTGGATGTCATCCAACATGGCTCCTGTCGCAAAACGTACACTTGCACTCGGAATCATTGTCGCGGCAGCCAATGTCTCTGGTGTACCAGGTTCTCAAATTTATCGTAAGTAATCAACGAGAAATTCTATAGTTATTGAATAAGCCAACTGATTGGACCCATGGATTTGACAGAGGACCACGATGCTCCGAGATTTCATACGGGAAATTGGATCAATATTGGCCTTATTGCAACGGCAATTATTTTGATGCTGTTCCAGCGCACACGTTACGACTTGACGAACCGATGGCGTTCACGCAAATGGGATCAAATGACCGAGTTTGAGAGGCAAGATTATTTAGCCACCACCAAAGATAAAGGAAATGATCGTCTCGATTTCCGCTTCCGATTGTAATACCCCCGTTTCTCATTCATACGCTTGCAAGCCTTTTCTTTTTCCTTTTACCATTCTTTTAAATCTCTTGTATAGTTTAGTTTTGATATCTACTCCATGCGCTCCGCTTTCTTTTTTTTTGTATTTGTAATATTTTATAAATGTACTATAACGTAGTAACCAATTCTCTAACTGAATAGAAATGGCAAACTTTGTTCTCTGAAAGTGACTGTTTGTACAGTGTTTTTGAGATATAACAGTTACTGTTTGTCAAATACCAATCATAGAAAACAACAACAATGGGCTGATATCTTTCTATTTGTTATTATTGCCCAAATAAATAAATAAAAAAAAAGTCTTTTGGGCGTTTTGCATTCTCGTTTAATACCTCACAAACATTCGTATTTGGTGCTTTTGTGTGGAAGAGACTTTTGACTTGGATTCTATTTCAATGATCTTCACTGAAAGATAACGTTTCATGTAGGTCAGCATGGGCATTTCCAAATAAAGTAGCCACCATCGTCCCTGGCATACCATCCGCGCATTTACAAAAACAGTAACTATTTTGAAACAAACAGAAGCTTCAGAGTGGCTCCCATGTGGATTAGGCTTCATAACAGAAAAAGGAATACACTTTATCAGCGTCCACTGAAGTGCATTGATTTACAAATTGACCGCATGAAGCTGTTTATGTCCGCGAGACACCGTACGTCCTTATCTCTGCCTATGCCTACGTCCTGTCCCGTTCCGTCCAGTCAGTCGAGCCTTGTTTGCTTTACTTCATTGTACATAATGTACTGTACTTGCTTCTTTATTTAACTCACATTAAAATCATTTCATCATGCTGCAGAGTACTCTAATATTATTTGTCATTCAATCTCTTGACATTACAAAATAACACTCATTTCAATTCATGTCCGATTTCATCACAATAATGTAAGCAGGGCGGCTATCATAGTCGGAAATTGCTATCTCACCTTCTATAAGATGAAAATGACTTGCAATTACAAATTACTGCCAAAAAAAAAAAAAAAAAAAATTATTCCATGCTTTTTCTGGAACAAAAAAAATATAAACAAAAAGCAAACCAGCTCTGACTGTAAGCAATATTCAATTTTCGGCATAAAAATCATAAATAAACAATAGTTAGTTTAAAGAAATGGTCTTGTATTTATTTTGCTGCAAAAAGGTGTGCTTCAATTTATCATCATTGAAGTACGTACTGTGTTAAATTCCTTTTCTCTTTGCGGAATAAAGTGGCCAGACGAGCACCAGTTATGCAAACACATGATCTGTTCATCTGATGATTGCTAATGAGAACTGTCATTTTCTTCTACAAAACTGCTAAAATGAACATTGAGATGTCGGTTATTTTTACAGTGATATGATGGACGACAGCCGTCGAAAGGATGAAACACATATCATGTGTCGCCCTGTGCGGGGTACCTGGCGCGGTTTGAAATCGTGTGGTCTGAAGCGTGAAAACGAGGACAACTGGCGTGAAATACATGGTTTACCAACAAGTCGTTTGGCGGGTACTTGGACGCAGCAGCAGTGTTTGAAATAACATATCCGGCTCCTTATATGGTTAAGGGTAAACCAACAACGTAATCGATGAAGGCTCGATAGTAAAAAACATGGCAGATGCGCAGTCCTTCAATCTCCTATCATGCTGTCTCCCGAACTGTTCCACACGACTTTGTCTTTTTTTCTTTTTGTTTTTCTGCCTTTTTCACTTTTTTTTTTGCTTACATCCACTTTAAAACGCGTCACGTATAGGATTGCTTTGTTTCGAACAAGCACTCAGTAAGATAACGTGAGTCGTTCTAAAGACAATGTTTGCAGCCCCCATCTGCGGCTGTGCACAGCATCTCAATGTAAGCATGGTCTCAACTCACAAACAAAAAAAGCTCGATCGCCCGCTAACTACGGGTTTCGCCTTTAAAAAAAACCAGCACCCGGTCCATCCCTTGGCCGTAAACGATTGCCTTCGGGAAACGTGAGTGCCTGCATTCGGTTTCATTGGGGTTGTCACCCCATTCTCATCATCTGTTTGTAGTTGGCTCGATGCTGCTCTTCCCGTCATCTTTTTACTGTTTTCTGCCATCATTAATACATGTCGACGATACCGCGAGTGGCGCAATGGATTCTTCCGTTTGCCAGAAAACGACACGGACGGATTACGCTTACCTCTTGCTCGTCCTTACGTTCTTTTACGTCGAAGCCTTTTGTTGCTCGTGTTTTGTTTGCTCGAAATAAGCTGCTGGGCATTTTTATTTGCCTGGCGGTTGGAAAGTGCGATATTGGAGCGAGATAATGCAGAATTACACAGCAGTAATGATGCATGCAGCACCCCACTCTACCAAGTCATTGATCCCTCCGTCGCGCTCATCGCAAGGGTACGAAATCATGGTTGACAAAATCATCCACGTACTCTTTTTTATTTTTCGATCTAACTTGGCTTGCACAGATTTACGTACTTGTATTGGTGATCAAATCGTTTACTACCCCCGCCGATCCAGTCATTTTGTCAAAGTTGACAGTCTACAATCCTCACTTTCTCGTCTTTTATTCGCTTGCCTTGTTGTCAGCCGTCGCACGCATCTTTTCATACTTTGTTATCGGATCTCAAACGGAATGGCTCACCTCATCCACCATTGAAAAATCGTTTGCCATCATTGATCTCGTGATCTGTATTATTCTGTGGTTTGTCAGTGCCACCACGCCGACCGAACTCGACCCTCGAGAATTGATGGATTTCGAAGATGATGACAGTGGGGTCCTGGTACTGCACGATGGTCGAACGGTACGAAATGTAAGTTCGTTATGGTCCGAAAATTAAGCTATATCTAGTAGCCGATTTCTCAATAAGGACATATATTAGGGACGGATTCTCAGTATGGAAGCTACCGCTTCTCCTCTCTCGACGGTCACGTTTAGCTGGATGAATGATTTATTGGAAAAGGCGAAAAAGAGTCCCTTGATGGCCGATCAGTTGTGGGCCTTACCACTTCGATTGCGCGCCCAGGATAATTACCGCTATTTTAAACGATTTACTAGCAAACATCTATTGCATCGTCTGATCAGGGCCAATTTGAAGACTATCATTTATCAATTTTTTACCGCGGTCGCGGCCGTAGCATTTCATTATGCCAATGCATTTTACTTGCTACGGTTATTGAATTACATTCAAGATCCGCAAGATCAGCCGAAAGAAGTTGGCTACGTCTATTGTGGTGCGATCTTTGCCTGTAATGTGATTGGCACCCTGGTGGCGTCCCAAACTCTACTGTGGGGACGACGATGGCATGTCACTTTATCTAATATGCTCAACTCGGAAATATATGCGCACGCGCTGCAGTCATCCAATGCGAGCAATGTGTGGAAAACCGAGACCAAACACAACGCCGAGACGGATCCGACGACGCTGGAGAACCAGCAGGCGACCTTGATGACGCAGGATACAGAACGCCTAGCCGAATTGGCCTCTTATTTACACGTAAGAAACTGTGCGGGTTGGAAAGGTTGTGATGTGGAATCATTGACTCAAGTCACAAGTTGTGTAGGTCTTTTATACCTGTCCACTCGAGATTGCCGTCGGAGCCATCTTTTTATACAAACTTCTTGGCAATGCTTTTCTGGCGGGGTTGAGTGTAATGGTGTTTGCCTTGCCTGCCATACATTACATCAGCCGAAAATTGACCCACGTTCAAAAACGACTGGCAGAAGCCAAATCATGGCGTGTTCGCTTACTGACCGAATTGTGCAACGGCATCAAAATTACGAAACTCATGGCCTGGGAACAAAAATGGGAACAAGTGATTACGGTAAGAACCCCATTTCGCATGGAAGAGCAAAGGGTCTTGCCCGTAGGAAAGAAAAAAGTCGCTGATTTCTCTTTTTTTTTATTTTTCTCAGAGTGCGAGGGACGATGAATTAGTAAAGCTAATCAAAATGTATACTCAAAACACCATGCTGAGTCTGATCTGGTTCGCTGCACCGGTATTTGTCACCACGGTTTCTTTTGCATGGTACACACTGGTGGAAAGGAATACACTTGATGCAAGGCAAGTAGGATACATTACATCAAACATTGTCATCATACTTTTCGCTAAATGGTATCTTTGCTTTTATTTCGATGTTTACAGCACTGCGTTTGTGAGCATTGTTGTGTTTGGTATGCTTCGTGATCCTCTCAACGTCATGCCACAAGCCCTCATGGCGTACAGCGACGCAAAGGTCAGCTTGGGTCATATCACCACATTCTTAAACTCGGGAGAAAAGCACGCTGATACCGATTCTAGCCCTCTGAACGACCCGAGCATATTGTCTTACAAATCACGCTCCAGAACAGGATTCGACAGTGGCGTCTTTGGATGGCCCAATCCAAACACATCCAATCCAAAAATGTCTTGTACTCCTCATCCCTCTGGTTCTCATTCATTGTCACGAACCGATCTACCACCCTCCAATTACGGTTCAACGTCAAACCATGGCGCGCCGTTTGCTTCCGCGGGCTTTGCATTGATGGTGCCAACATTTGATTTTCCCGATGCGTCCCTCTCTGTCATCGTCGGCCCATCCAACAGCGGAAAAACTAGCTTATTATTCGCATTATTGGGAGAATTGGTATCAAATCATGGGCGTTCCTACCTTCCTTTGCGTTTTCTCAGTCCCCGTACTTCCACGATTCGCGATGAACACCAGCCCCATCTTTACGCCTATCGTGTGGCCTATGTGGCGCAGATCCCCTGGATTCAGTCAGCCACCGTGCGTGAGAACATCTTGTTTTCCGAACCTTGGGATGATTCCCGATATCGTGCTGTTCTGTACCAGTGTGATCTAATGAAAGACCTGGCCGCATTCGAGAATGGCGACTTGACATCTGTCGACGATGGCGGCACATTTATTACAGGTAAGACATGATCTCGGGTTCGTTGTCACTTTTAGCACGATACACTAAAGCTTTTACCGTTGTATATTTACGTAGAGACGCAACGACAAAAGATATCATTAGCCCGTGCAGTGTATTCGAAAGCCAAGACAGTCATCATTGATGATATTTTTTCCACCTTCAGTCAAGCGACGACGCGGTCTTTATACACCAAATGTCTGAATGGTGAACTCATGCAGGGACGCACGATCATTTTGGCATGTCAACGGAGGGATGCAGAATGGTTTCAGGATGCCAAACTGATTGTCCACATGGAAGCGGGTCGGGCGGACATCTGTGAGACACCCGAATCTATTCTCGAATGGATCCAAACGAACACGGTGCCAAGCGATCGAGACACGGTCTTGCGCAACGATGATCATGTAGACGCACTATTTGAATGCGGGCCCGCCCTTGTCGAGGATGATGTATTCGACGAACGATCAATCATGCGTGAATCTACACGTTACACCGAGGACGATCGTGGTGGTCATTTGCCTCATCAATCGCGCGATATGGCGTATGCCACGTACTTTTCTGCTTGTGGTGGTTGGCGGTTTTGGATGGCGGCCATCGTGCTCACCATTCTTGCCCGATTTGCGAGTATATTGGAAAGTTATTGGCTAAAGGAAGGTAACATAGCCAGAGACAACAATGACAACAAAGCACCCTGATCGAAGCCTTATACTTGTGTCTTTTTTTTTTTATTCTCATCTCGCAGGTGTGGTCCATGGCCTATGCTCATTTGCGAATTCTTTTCGACAATGTCGGTTCGTCTACCGCCACCACTGCCTCCATTGACCCTTCAAAGTCGTCAATGAATCATTACATCATTGTGTACCTGGGAATTTGTCTCACGACCGTGGCGTTCAATTTCATCCGCACCGTTATTCAATACCGTGGCTCGTTAAGAGCATCGAACCGATTGTTTCTGCGCTTGCTCCAGGTGACGTGTCGGCTGCCTTTTCAGTTCTTTGACAGTGCTTCACAAAGTTACATCATGAGCCGGTTCAGCAAAGATATTGAAGTCATTGATGGTAGTATTGGATGGCATGTCAATTTTCTACTGCAAACGTTATTTGGCGTGGTAGGAATCATGATTACCATTGGATTCATTCTACCCGAATTTTTCATTGCCAGCGTCGTGGTCGGTAAAGTATCCTGCATGGGCGACAAATAGAGGCCTTTCGTAACAGTACATGGATATTTTCCTTTGATATGTAGCTTTCATCTACTTGTCCATCGGTATTACCTACATAAGGGCATCAAGAGAACTGAAAAAGATGAATTCTGAGACGCGGATCCCCATCTTTTCCTTGTACACCGACGCGTTAGCTGGGGTCTCGACCATCCGGGCTTACGGTCTGGAGTATACGTTGCTGAAGAAAATGTTTTATCATCTGGATCAGAATATGCGACCCTTTTACACCTTGTGGACCACCAACCGGTAAGCGAGACGAGATCTGAAAGCAAGCGGTTGTGATCTGTTATGTTGTTGATTGACTTATTGAATTTTGTTTGCCTTTGACTAGATGGTTATTTGTCCGTGTGGAATTACTGGGTTCTTTCTTGTCGTTATTTATCAGTGTGATGCTCGTTCGCAAGATGGATACCATTGATGCTGGCTTGGCAGGGATTGCATTGACATTTGCCATTCATTTGCTGGAATATATTTACTGGCTAATGCGGCAATCGACCACGGTGGATATGCATTTTGAAGCCGTGGAACGCATCAATGAATTTGTAAACCTTCCACAAGAACCGCCCGGCATTGTCGAAGGATGCCGACCACCTGCAGCCGTATGTTTTTTTTTCCTTCTTTGTCCACAGTAACACTGGGTAATGATGTAGAGTCTCAACGTGTGTCAATTGCCGTAGTGGCCGGTGACTGCGGGCATTCAGGTACGCGATTTGACTGTCAATTTTGGTCCGGATGAGCAACCCATGCTGGAACATGTTTCGTTCAACGTTTTGCCTGGTGAGAAAGTGGCCATTCTCAGTCGTGCCAACGGGGAAAAGGAAGCATTGATTGCTTGCTTTTTCCGATTTGTCGATCCGCTACGTGGCTCCATCAAGATCGACGGTGTGAATATCGCTTGGGTAAATATAACCTGACGCTCACGCAGTTCTCTTGGACGTCTGATTAACCTGGCGTTTGACCTAGATTGGCGTCCAAGATCTTCGATCGAGAATGACTTTTATTCCAAAGACGGGAGGAATGATGAATGGCACGGTAAGGAGATAGAGAGCGCTTAAAACGACCAGGGTCTGACAACGAAGATTAGATTCGCAGTAATTTGGATCCATTCGGTGAATACGACGATTATGAGCTGTGGCAGGCTTTATACCGCGTTGAGCTGGCATCGTTACCTTCTTCTGAAACTACAGATAATAACAATGGTAACATCATTGAAGACCTGGATATGGAAATACAAGAAGACGATGAACGGCTGTCCATCGGGACCAGGCAACTCTTGTGCATGGCGAGAGGCATTCTTCGCGATTGCACAAGGCTGGTTATCATGGAAGAGGTCGACCTGACCGATGAAATGAATCACAAAATTAAACATATTATCCACCGGGAATTTGAAGGATCAGTAAGTGAAATGACCTGAAGCCAATGTGTTAGCTCATCTCATTTATTGTTATAATGATTATTTAGACCATGTTAGTTATTACAAATCGTCTTCAGAGTACCCGCCATTATGACAGGGTACGGTGTTATATATTCGATCGAGACTCGATGAAAATACTGATTTTGTTTTTGGTTAGGTGTTAGTATTCGATCACAGGATAGTTGCTGAAGATGATACACCGGGGGAATTGCTTAGCAGTCAAAGTATGTTACGATCGCTGTTTGAGCGAGCCGGGATTCTAACAGAAGAAGAGGAAATGGAAGAAGATCTAGAGGAATAGAAAAAAAATGTAATGATAATCGAGGATCGTCATCCTTTTCTTTCCCTTTCTGCCTATTCCCCATGTTCATGGTTCCCCTGTAGTTTTCTAATAACACATAATGGCCCGTACTGAACCTGGGTTGTCTGAATGAACTCTCATTAAGATAAAGGTTGTTGGCCTACTTGAAAGAGCCAAAGCAGGTCGGTTTATTTTAGCAGTACAAATCACGGTTCACTCTCCCTTGGTTGGAGAGGGCGAAATTTCTGTTATACATTTTGTAATATACTGGGAGTGTAATGACGTATTTGCTTATTGCTTATTGCTTGTTGGCTTCGAGCTTGGCGTAGAATGCATCGCGACGCTGAACGTTGGGAATGTGGTAGAGGTTCCACCAGGCGGCTCCACCAATGGCACCAAGACCGAGAGCAATGGAGATGTCCTTGATGATCTGTCTGCGGAATTTACCGGTAATGGGAGCAATCATGGCGTTTGGGATTTCGAAGAGTGAGGGGAGAAGGAAAAAAATATTGGTCACTAAATGTTTTGACTGTGTAGAAAAAAAAATCCAAAAAAATCAAAGTCAGCAAATACGCAAGGGGATAAACCAGCTGAAAACAAAAAATTTACATGTAAGCATGAGCCCGTGACGTAATCCACTCAAAAAATCTCGCATCGCGCCATCCACTTGCCACTAGCACTACAAAGTCATGCCTTGAAAAAGCGCGTATCTATTAGTAAACACGTATGCATCACTTTACAGTCCTCTACTTTGTTTGGAATATCATCCTCTCATATCAACGTCTGTGTATGCGTGCTGGTTGTGGCGCGCGTGTGTGCCTGATTTAGCTGAAACGAAAAATACCTTGGGTCCTACTTCAGTTGCGGCTGGGGGATGAAATCCCGAGTGCCTCATCCGATCCATCGCGTTATGATTGTGCGCGATAACTTTATTATGGACGGATTGAATAACATTTTTTCTCTCAAAGAGACAGCCTAAATCGGGTTTCCCGGGCCATCCAATCCGTGGCACTTGAGAACATGCTGCATCTGGATCTGAGAAAATTTGGTTTCAATCGCCTGGAGTTTCTCCTAGGAACAGACGAACTTTGCTTCGTACAGAGGGATCGCATACTCAGTTGCCATCGTTGCACCAACTCAACCAAACTTTTTTTTTTGAGGCACCGCCCATATTTCAACAGGTTGGCTTTTTTTTTTCATGGATGGCGGGTTCTGGAACGGGCATTTAGTGTCAATGCTTTTTTCTTTTTGGAGGCTCTCCTTGTCTTTTTTGTGGATTGGATCCATGGTTGAACCAATGCTTTTTCGGGTTCCACAATCCATGAAAGGGTCGGTTCCAATCTCCTAACAGCCTCCTCACAACTCCGCAGATGCAGGCCAAAAACGCGCGTACAAGAGGGGATATGAAGCAAAAATCAATCGGATTTGAAGACATGGTGTTGTTTTGGGTTTGACTGTTGCTTTTTTGTTTGCAACAGCATCGTGGAAAATGGACGCATCCATTCACTCACGCATTTCATGTAACGCATGGTAATTGTTCAAGGATAGGGAATAAATAAGATATATGTATTGGATTTCTGCGAGTCTAATAGCGTGGTGGTGGAGATTGAGGAGAAGGAGGGGAATAGGCGGAAGAGCTGTCGATGTGAAATGAATCCAATTTATCCCGATTTCCTGTATTGGCGATTGTTGGTGATTCGGGAATAATACGATCCGGTCGTCCGCCCGTGGCTTGCTGCATCATCATCATATGGTGTTCATTCTCTCTTTCCAGCCGTTTTCGCATACCTTTCACGCTTTTAACAATATACCAGATCAATAATGCCAGGAAGAGTAAGCCGAGAACAATAATAAACACAAATCGGTTATGTTGTTTCAGCCAGCTTTCGTCTTGTTTTGGTAAAGGATTGCCGGAACCATCAAACCCACTGTTTTGACCTGTCGGTGTAGAATACGGTGTGAACGAAGTATTGGATACGGACGGAACCGATGAAGAAGGTGCGGTTGGAAACGATGAAGGAACAATCGAACTGTTGAGCGATGATGATGATGATGACGATAATGCGGAAGAGGGACTAGCCACAGGAGAACTGGTGACCATAGTGGAGGAGACGGTAGAAGAGATATCTTGCGCCAGCGCGATGGAGAACAGGGCGGCTACTAGTATTAGTGTAACCATATGAGCGGTTGGCATGATACGGATGGTGGGGAGGGAGTGAGCACCGTTCAATACAGTTGGCAGAAAAACACAAATGGCCACTATTCTAAGTTTAAAAGGAGTAGCAAAGGAACGTTCCAAGAGAGAATCAAAAAATAACTTTTGAAAACAGACAGAGAGGGAAAACAGAAAGGGAACAAAAAAAAAAAAAAAAAAAAAAAAAAAAAGATCGAACCGAATTGGATTTCAGCCGCCCCTATTAAGTTTACGAAGAAGGGAGGCTTTGAAGAAAAAAAAAGTCTGGATCGTTTGTCCATGCCCTGAGTGTTAATTTTGTGCACTTCACTTGGTCAGTCCGTCAGACCGTCACCAGCAAATGGTCCATGTAAACTTCAGCCAACGTGAACGGTCTTTTTTGTAGGTTTGTGAAAATGCAGTAATGATCTTGCTCTTTCTTTTATTTTTATTTTTTTTATTTGGACGAGCTTAATGGCCATACTTATATTTTATTCGACAATATACAGTTTTCCAGAAAGGAAGTCGCTGGTTTTGAATTTTGATGTCGTGCAAAAAAACCTTGGTTTGGCTCTTCAAGGGGAACATGAATAACGAGGTCACCGTTCCGGCAAGGTTTTTCGACTTTTATTGCGGAATAATTCTATAGCGCTGAATTAGAAAAAAAATAAGATTATTATCACCATTATACCAATCGAACAAGATGATCTATCCATATCGAAGCATTATCATTCTTCATCTGCATATAGGTATCATTTTGTCACGGTAGAGAAATTGGCAGATTGGTGAAAAGCGAGTGAATGGACAGAAATTATTCTGACATTAGTGAACGACTTGTTTTCTTTTGAGAAAAACCCGTATTAGGAACCCTATTTCGGCTGCTTATCAGTCCATCAGCGTAGATTCTGACTATAGGTCGTCATTGAGACCGATTTACTTGTCAAAAACTTTATGCGTCATGACAATCCTCCAATAACAACATCCGATCCCTTCACTACAACTCGGTGCGCTGCTGTGTATGTGAGAAGAGAGCCAAATAGAAAAGAAATTGGATGTTACAGTGAGATTTGGCTAAATAGGATGCTGATTTGTGTATTGGTTTGAAACTGCTATTGTCTTGCGTAACACGAGCATAATCATCAGGTTTGGGGACTGGGAAGAATTTCAAGGACAGCAACCGGCTGAAGGAAGGTTTTGATCCAGTCGCTCAATGGAGCCAGCTGTGTTACTGTTGCCATGGTTTTTTTTTTTTTTTTTTTTTTTTTTTTTTTTTTTTTTTTTTGGTAGGAAACTATTGATCCAAGCTACTGTTGCCATGTGGCTTTTTGTAGAGGACCATCTCGAAAATTTATTTGAGCGAGTGTCTTGTGAGTGGCTCACCCAGATTAGCTAAAACGGAGATTCAAACTAAGGGTTTTAAATTGTCTGAACAAAAGGGTATTCAAAAAGAGTTCTCGGGCGATCAGTGAATATATGTGCTGCAGATGTTCTCATGATGAAAAGGAACGCATCAAAACTGAACTTCCAGTGGGCCAACCAGCGACTGTGACAAAAGGAAAGCAACGGTCAAGGAACAGAGAAAAGGGTTAAAAGGAAAGGATAATCTGTATAGCGCGGGTCGATGTCGGTGGAGGACGGGGTCGTGAGAAAAAAATCAGACCATACAGACGGACCACACAGGTCATTTCTTAGGACAAACTTCTTGCATTTATTTATATACAACGGGTAATGGATATTGCGGATGGTGAGAAGTGACATCTTTAGGTGTGTCCAGATGGATCCAGAAAGAGCTACTAGAAATTCATATTGGCGTCCAGTGAAGGTGGAATAGTCTGAAAAAGTTTTTCTCTTTCTGTGGGCAGGACCTGCTGGTGAATTGTCTAGTCTGGGAGTGTCTTTTGGGATATCGTTTTTGGAGGAAACCGTTTGTCAGTCATCCTGTGAGATAGCCGCACCCTGTGAGGTCAATTTTGGCTGTTGCCTAAGATCTAACCGGGTCTTGAAAGTTAATTCCGTAACAATAAATGTGTGGACATTCGTTTTTCCCACATACTGTAGTTGAATGTTCAACTATACCATCCACTTTCTACACTTTGATTAGCTGTTGCAAAGTCGATTTTTGCTTATTTTGGTATTGACAGATAGATTAAAAATTTTATTTTGATTATGTCAACGAAAGAACTACTGGCTCCGGTGTCTACCAGGGCTCACTGACGTACACTCTGTACAAGAAGGAGAGAAAAATTGTGTCAGTGTCCAGTTTGTGAAGTTGTTTTGGTACGGTTACATACCATGTTTTTGGAGATTCAGTTTCTCCATGTTGACTGGCAACAGAAGGGACTTAGGATTCTTCGGTTCTGGCTGCTCTGTTGGCCACACCACCCTTCTTCTTGGCGTCCCAGTACTCTTGGCAATGGTGGCCGGGAATAAAATAACCTCTAATGTGGGAATCGTAGAGGATGCGCTGGAGGAGGGGGTTCCAAGGCCAGATTGAAGAGTAGTGGGGAAAGAGGATCACCTTGGGGGACACCTCGCCGTTGGCATACGGAAGGAGAAATATGGCCATTCATGTTGAATGCCATGGTTGTGCCGAATAAGAGGTGGAGAATAAACTGACCAAGTGAGTCCGGGAAACCCCAGTGTTTAAGAACGCGTTCGAGGTAAGCTGAACGTACGCCTTTTCTTAGTCTAGTAGAAGGCTGCCGCAGGGACATCATGACGGGAGGCATGGTCCATGATAACTTCATCAGCATATCATTGTCCATAAAGGTGTGGTTGCTGGTTTTCTTCGCATCATCTTTTTGCACTCTAGAAACCTTGCAGGGCGTAAGCCGCTTCGGACGACCGTTTTGCGCTTGTTGTTGAGTAGCATTTGGTGAAACATGTCCTGTGTTTCGGCCAATTGGCGTTGCATATGGTCAAAATCTTGGCGAGAGACGGAGTCAGACGTAACAGTTGATAACAGAAGAGGACGAGATTGAGGGGAGGCGATAATGGCGGAGAACGGCCTGGAGATAGTCCGGATAAAGACGGCCATAGGCTTTTTCTTGGTCCAGGAGAAGGCCAACTGCGATGAGGCGGGCGTTCAGTAGGCGAGCAAATATCTTTGCGTCTGTGTTGATAAAACTGATGGGTCGCCACTTGGTCGCCTTTTTTTGGGAGTGGTACCACGCATGTCTAACACCAGAAAACGGAGAATAGGGTAAAGGATAAGACCTCGTGATATAGAGAGTAGTAGAGCAAATTGGTTCGCATAAAACCATTCCAACGGCTTTTGAATGCTGAGTGACCCTACTGACTCGGTTAGCAATGTGAAAGGCCCCCAAAGCTCCGGCGAGGCTGGGTCATTACTTTCCACAATGACTTCCGGCGACTGTGGGTCCAGTCAACGGCTCTCAGATGGCCAGCTTTCGACGAGATGTCACGAAGCTCCCCCGAGAAGTCTCCGGCGCATTCAGTGTCTGGGACTCCGCCATATACTGCCCGATTCGAGCCTGCACTGTTGGAGGCAGATACAGCGAGTTCCCGTCTTTACCGTATGCGCCTTGCAACATTTTCCAAAACTGCTTCCCGATTCCTAAACCGAGAAGGTGCATTTCGTCGATTGCGTAGAAGAAGGGGCCATGGAAGGAGGACAAAGTCGCCAACGGAGAGCCGTACAGGTTTCTTTGCTCGTCTGTCGTCGGCATATACGCGCGGTTCGGGCGTAAAAGCGACCGAGCGACTGGGTTCAACCCCTTCTGCAACGGCGAAAGGCAAATGACGATTGTACATTTTGTCGTCCTCAATCTTCCTGCTGTCATCCGCACTGAAAGCAGGTACATGTTGCAGACTTCGGTTGTGCCTGGCCGGTCGCAGCCAAAAGATCTCCACAGCTTCTAAAGGCCTGTACTTGACGCGTTACGTCTCCTTGGTGGTTCTGGCGTAGCCGTCAAAATCCACGACGGCCATACCACACCCCTCAAGGCGATTCTACTTTTCGTTGGAGGAGATATTCCCGCGCAAGCAAAGATGTGCAGGCACAGTGGGCATCAAGCGTATTTTGGATGTCGACTGTGCGCTATTAAGGGCGAATGGGAGGGAACGAGGGTGACTGATGTCTAGTTGTAATACAATATCAGACCACTTTATACAACTTGATGGGACGTCCTACGCTGAATGACGTAAGATATCGATCAATTACACATCAAGATGTATAGTTTGCTCGTCAGATCGCTGGAATTGCCTTACTGTTTTGAAGGCCTGGCCATCAAACACATCTTGCTGGACAGTCGATACGCTTTCGTCGGTTGAGGGTGAAAAGCAGCTCACGGATCGGACGGTCGTTGAACATGAGCGCAAGCTGCTTGGCTAAGGGAAGGTACGTCATTTGTTGCAGCGGTTGCAAACGCGCCGTGGTGTGACCTCTTCGCCTAAATCGCCTTTCACCGCAGAATCGGCACTGCTCGTCGGGACCAGCGGTCGTCGTTGGGGAGCCGGACATCTTGCAACGCCCAGGACACATGTCATACCGAACAGGTGTCACTGAGTATTGTCTCAGTAAATTTGACTTGGCCATGTAATTGCTTGGCAACAGGGGCAAAATGGTCGTCAAGGTAATTATTGACCAGCATGATCATCGACTCCATGAATCGACGGAGAATTTTGTGGTCTAAAGCAAGCTGGTGCAAGTCCACGTCGCGCTTTTCGAGCATACAGGGCGAGCAGTTGCTGAAATCCAACACCCTGGAAGCTCCCTGGCCGTAATGTCCATGCTGTTGCAGAGTATACATCTCCTCCTCCTTGTCCTCTTCTTCCGAATCCTCGGACGACTTCACCTGAATCCTCAACATCTCAGACTCCGCATGAGGCTGAACCAAATCACCAATGGCCTGGAATTCAACCTCCTCCATGACTACGTCTTCGTAATCAGATCCGGCTGACTGATTAGGGAATTAAGTTCTATAATATGTTCATATAAAAGTCTAAATCTTTCCATAGATAGACTTACATAGCTGGATTCACCATCAATGAACGGACCAAACTTCTTTCTGGCAATTTTTTCGCTACACTGGAGTAATGACGGCGTGATGGAAACGTGCACGGCAAAAACGAGACGGGTAACTAAAACTTTTGCTGAAAGCTTTAACAAACTATCTTCTCATGATGAGTCGTGCAATAGAACAGTGGTGAAAGAGGATGGAAAGTATGGCGTAGGGCAGTCCGCCAGGACCAGGACTGCCATGGGCAACGGTGTACGGTTTGCTGTAGTTCAGTCAATGAAAAAGGAGCTTAAAGGCAAAGGTTGGGAAATTACCTTTCAGAGCAATAAGAAGATAAAGTTTTTGGTCCGGCCTTACTGCTCGTTCTTTGTTTTACTTATTTGAATAACTTCATTTAAGAATGTACGGCTTTGACTACACCTTATTCAAGCTGAATTAAGTTGATTGTCATTGTGTCAAGTGCACCGAACAATTGCCTTCTGGTGAATTGCGGCACCAGCAAAGGACACGCAAACTAGCCGGTGCTCATATTCGCGAGAAGAACCGCATCTCACCTTTGCTTTCCGTTAAAGGTACTGCAAAATCGAATAATAATAATTTTAGTCATTGCTAAAACTTGCAACGTTATAGAACCCGTTTCCAAAATCCCGCCTTCTGGAGCTGATATAGATGTTGTTAAAGACGAACGTGGGAACATTCCCAGCACTGTGGATGACGCTGTTCTCGGTAAAATATTAACAGACAATGTGGGAAATACTCTGGACACAGAAGGCAACGCCCGTACTACGTCTCAGAAGATTTTATGGAAGGAATTCGACGATGAGCGCATATGAGATGGACTCTAGGAAGTAGGTGGCATAATTTCGTTCGCTTCCTCTTTTTGGCCTTGAATGTCGATTGGTCTTAACCGGTCGATACCGACCGCGATCACCAGATCCAGAGTAAAACAAGGCCGAAACCCAGTTGATATGCCTTCTTCAGGAGATCGTGCCACTGATGGTAGCGACCCTCTAATAAAATCCTTCGTACTGAAAGATTCATTCATTATTTGCGACCGCTCGTTGACGAACTGGGATCGCTTTACACTGGCGTCGTTGTCGTGATGGACGAATTCGCGAAGCTTTGCTGATGGTCTCTTTTTCGTTGTCTTTATTCGAAAACCTCATTCACCTCTCATCCATTCTTTTCTGCCGCTATCTCGCTCTTCGCCTCACCACAACAAGGGAAGATCATCCACGAGGAAGTAAATCTGGGCACATCCCAAAGTCGAGATACTGAGTAATGTGGTATCAAAACAAGGACTCAAGACCAACCCGCAGAACGTCGCAAAATTCCAAAAACGATGAAACCACTTCAATGATTTACGAGAAACGGTAGATAAACTACGCTTTGGTCTGGAAATATGCTCCAATAATGTTGATTCTTTTATATCGGATCCTCTGTTCGCGACAGAATGTGCCGAGCATCTTGTTGGTCATTTCATCGACGAAACCACTCACGATTTCCTTTGGCGAAGCTGACATGTGGCGTAGAAGAAATAGCCGGCGAATTCCCATGCTCATTCCTGACGTACCGTATACCATGCCGACCGTCTGTAATTCCGAAGAAAAAGGCAAGAAACAATGACGCACCAAACCATGATGCTCTGTGGATGCCAGGACGCCCATGTCACAAGGGATGGTTTGGTTCATAGTCACTTACTTTACGTGCACGACATCATCGACGACAGCCGTATGAACGTTTTGCAGATAGACTTGGCAGTACTGAGTGTTTAATCACATGATGCAGTCGCGATCGTTAGCCAAACTTTGGTGGGATCGTTGCCAGTTGACATCGCACCCCCGCTGCATGACTTACTTGGAGCAGCAACCCAACAGAACTACAACACAAAACCCTTGTCTTGCAGTGCTTGGTAACAATGGCAAGACCAGTGTCTGATATTGGCCATCTTCAACATAGAAACATACAGTTCCCAGATGTCAGCTTCGGAACCGACGGAAATTCTGATTCGTTCCCAGCAAGCCAAATAAACCGGCATGAAGTTGACACTGCGCCCGGACGACGATTGAGACATGTGCCCGATTGTCACGCTGTATTTTTTTACACAGAAAACGAACGAAATCCGCAACACTTTACCGGCAGTCCATATATTAATTCTAACCTATTTGGAGCACGAAAACCAATTACCTCGGTCACACCATCAACGATCGCTAATGGTTTAAATCGATACAGTATACTCCCGTATGATTCGCGGGCAGTACGAATGCAGTCGAGCAATCACATTCAATTGAGGCAATCCAGCAACATGCAAACAGGAGCAGCAACTGGGCAACTGCAATACTTTCGAAAAGTATTACTATAACCAACACAGCAAAACGATCTGCTAGTACAAAGGCACCAGCTCAATTCCGTTGGTGGACAACCATATCATACCACGTTGAGGGATAGAGGGGAGTCAAAGGGCACTGTGGTGGGAACGCGTACCGCATTTGTGCTTCGTCAAGTTCGTCTTTGAACTTTTATTTCCAATGTACAGTATCATATACTGTAAAAAGAGTCTCTCTTATGCAAAGCGTCCGATTCATCTTGCCAATTCTTTTCTTGCGGCTGTATTTTGGCAAAGGCTCGTTTCGCCGAACGGTTAAATTCCAGTGCAAGCGACACGATATTTTGTTGCAACAACGTGGCGGGAAAGTTGTCAAGGGAAGAATTCATCTTTTACCACAACCTTTCATTGTTGGTGCAAATCACATCGACGGCATTTACCAAATCTTGCCTTTGTTGAGTTTCAAACGCAGAACACTCCACGGCGAGCCGATAAGGGTTCATAGTGTAGAGGGTCAGAAAGGGAATGTTCATACAAGGTTGAAGATTGTCAATCAGACACATTGAATGCCTGCAGAGGTGATACATCGTTCAGATTGACTTCTTCGTACGATAGCTTGAACTTGAAACAAGATAGTAGCCCTTCGTCCAGAACTGGGCGATACAGAACACACTGCATCCATGGTTTACCAACGACAGGTGTGAATTTGGAGCTGAATGTCGACGGGAGAGTTAACCAATGCAAAACACCAGCACCAACGGATAGGATTTGCACAATTGTGTAGCACTTTGACTGTATCTGACCAATTGTTGCATAAAAGCTTCATTCAATATGGACTGCACCTCGACCAGAATTGGTGGCAATGAGGTTTGAGTGCCCAGACAAGGACATATACAATATCAATGCGCGAGCCATTGTCCCATTCGGTGCTTGAGGTGGTATAAGTTCCTTTTGAGACATTCAACAGACCCGAGGTATGATAATAATATCAATTGCAGTTGATATTCTTAGGATGGATTTGCTCATTTGATCCGTTCCAGGCAACTGATCCGGTGGTAACCTGCACGTATGAAGGTCGTCAACCACTACAAAATAAGTCAGGCGATTAGTGAAACTAAAATACCAGAGGAGGATATAAATTCAGAATATCCACTTACTCTCATAATCTTCACTGTCTGGCATGCAACACGGCAACATTTTGTTGGAAAAACTAAAAAAGTCGAAAAAAAAAAGCCAAGACATGAAGATAAATAAAAAATCCAGCACACTGCATCATCATTGACAATGCACCGCTGACGCCAATGTTATGGAACCAGTCACAAAGAAGAATGGACTAGCTGCCTTTTTGTTCTCGCTTCCAAGTAAATTCTCTTGGGAACTTCCTCCCCCCTATAAAATTATTTCGACTATGATAGCTTCAGATCCTGCAACAGAGTTCGTACCACCGAAGGGTCCCCCCCCCCCCTCCTTATCGCCCCTGTGAAAAATCTGTATCCGAGAAACTTCATCATCCCAACAACTTCACCCGCGGCATCAGCTTCGTCCCGTCGCCTCTTGCATTCCAAGCCTCCCTGGCTTGCGGAACCCGAACCTGCTGCTCATTTTCTCTATGCTTGCCCCAAGAAACGGCCTTGTAGTCATCAGCTGGTCTGATATAATATGTTTGTTATTAATTAAGCTTTTTTTCATTGTCCCCAAAAAGTTTATCATATTTAATAATTTTTGTTTTTTATCTTATTTCTCGTCACCCATCGAAATTGATAAAGCCGTATAGCGTCTATCCTTTCTGATCATGCCTTCCACGGTGCCTTTCTCTGTTATCGTTACTGGCATTCTGTGTGGCCTATGGAGCGCACAGGAGGAAGCTATATTTGATACAGTTCCCTTTGACGCAGAATCTTTGTTAATCACATTGATGTCTATGCTGGCTTCTAGGCAGAATCTACGACTGATGGACTGTGGACTGATAACCATCCCAAAAAGGGTTTCAATACCGTTTTTCTCAAAGAAACAAGTCGCTTATGTCAGAATATTCTGTCGCCGATTTGCAGATTTTCCTACCGTTACAAAATGAACCATATCCATTGTGATAATAGTCTTTTTCTTTTCTAATTCAGCACATTATACAATTATCCCGCAATATAGTCTAAAATCTTGGCCGAAGTGGTGACCTCGCTATTCATGTTCCCCTTTGGCGAAGACAGAGAAAAGTGCCTGATTTTTGTCTCAAGACACTGGTGTGGGATTGTGACCGTCAAATCTCTCTTTGATGTCATCTTGTATTTTTAAACTCAGCATTTGCTTTTGCGTGCCGTAGGGCGTGGTCCGCTTGTTATTGAAGAAAAAATTGTTATTTTTCCTTGCTTTTCTCACATAGAAAATCATCATGTCGTTGCTCGGTAGCGTTTCTGGTTTCGCCGCTTTCGGTGTGCTTGTCCGTACATACGCTCTTGGATTGCAGAAACGCCCTCTCTTTTCCAGTAAGCATCATGTCCCCTTTATTTATTTATTTTTATTTCCTCGTTGGTCGATGCATGCCAACTAATCATGGGATTCGCCGACTCGTGTAATTAGACCCCAGTGGCCATGCTATTGCTGCTGCTGTGTTTGGCGGTTTCGGTTACTACGTCCACGGATTGCAACAGCGACAGGAAGATCTCATTGAAAGCAAGAAGGAGGTTCTGTTGAAGAACAGAGCACGCGCAGAAGAGATCGCGAAAAAGCAGGCAGCATTCACACAGTAAAAAGAAAACAAATTTATGATAAAAAAAAACCCGCATACTACCCGAACACGTCGAAAGGATAGATTTGAACAACGAGAAAATATACATTTATTTTTAGCCCATCTGTCACGGAAACAGAACAAACGAATGATTGATATGCAACAGGAGGGCGACATAGAGAGGGGTGGTGGGGTTTCGTTTTTATATGATACAGAGTAACTTGAGCCACTAGCAAAGATGGTATTACAGATGAACATCAGCGAAAAAAGAAATCCTTGATTTTTATGCGTCCCATTTTTGGCTTTGTTCCAATTCTTTCTTCTGTTTTTCTTCTGCACGGATGCGTTCGACGTTTTTGCGCAAGATGGAGGTCAGTTTGAGAATGTTCTTTTCATAGCGGGCGGACACGGGAATGATGGGGATATCGTTGGCTTCGGCTTGTAAACGGAAAAGATTATCTTTGGCGGTTTGCACCAGATCTGCCTTGTTGGCGACAATCAGTGATTGCCGTTTGGTTAAACCTGGTCGGTACGCTTCCAATTCGTACTGCAAGGTTTTCACGTCTTCCCAAGGAGCAGGACCGCTGAGATCGACGACATAGACCAAGAGTTTCGCTCGTTCCACATGGCGCAAGAAGGCGTGTCCAAGACCGATGTTACGATGTGCCCCACGAATCAGTCCGGGAATATCGGCGACAGTAAGTTGGTACTGATCGGCGTAATCGACCGTGCCCACAAAAGGATGCAGTGTAGTAAATGCGTATGCGGCTTGTTTCGGATGCGCATTAGAAATAGCCCCTAATAAACTAGATTTGCCTGCATTGGGGAGTCCCACAAGACCAATATCAGCAATGGTTTTCAGCTCCAACTCGAGAGATCGAGTTTCGCCTTTACGTCCACGAGTCGCCCATTTCGGTGATCGGTTCTCGGTGGTGAGAAAGTGAGGATTGCCATACCCTCCTGCACCGCCACGGCAGACAATTAATTCCTGTCCTGGTTCGGTCAAATCGGCTTCAATGTGTGCCACTTTTTCCGTACGTTCGCGCCATCGCAAATACCGATCCTCTTCATCCATCAAGCGTTCCGCTTGTTTGAAAAAGTCGACGCGTCCTGCCACGGGCTGCGGTTGTTCGGTGCGAGGAAAGTACACCCATCGTGCTTCACGCTGTCTTTCTAATGCGTCTTCATCACTTTCCTCCTCCTCGTCTTCGTCGGTTCGCCGCTTTTCCATCGTGACTTCACGCACAATGGTGCCTACAGGTACGTTGATCACCAGATTCTCACCCATAGTGCCATGGCGACCACCTCCCATCCCGTTTTGTCCACGCTTCGCGGAAGCGACGTGGCCAAGGTGACGAAGCGTACTTTCATCCGCCGAAGCTCTCAAAATCACACTACCGCCACGGCCTCCATTACCGCCATTCGGTGGTCCTTTGGCCAAGTATTTTTCCCGATGAAACGATACGCAACCATCACCCCCATCACCTCCTCTGGCCACGATGCGCACGAAATCTACAAATTGTCGTCCCTGTTTTGATTTTTTTTATAGACTCAATTAGCGTCGAGATGGCATAGAATCGATCTCTTCAAAAGGATGCTTGCCTTGCCACGTAGCTTATACTCAATCGATGCCGGTGATCGTGCTCTGGTTGCAGGATCGGAAGGATCGGAGGTGAACCACCGTGTTGCTATGCATTGCCAAGACACGCGTTGCCATGTCGTTTTTGAGCACGAGCGTATAACGTAAGGTTGTGAAAGCACTTTAGTCAACATTGAATACCAATTAAGCGATAAAGATCCAAACGAATCTTTGCTCTTTTTTTCTCTGCTCTGAAGGTCTTTTTTTTTAACTCTCTTTTTTTTTCCCAAAATGGTGGTCACAGTTGGACGCGAATATAAGTAACTAAAGCATCTAGGCTGTTCTCAGAATCAAGTGGACGCCACTGTCGGTCCACACGGGTTTGCTCAGCTCGCCGACTTGGAGGTTAAAAGTGGCGTCCTCAAAAGGCTTCTGCATTTGCCCGCGTTCGAAATAGCCAAGATCACCTCCCCGTTTGGCACTCGAACAATCGGAATAATTGGTAGCCAAAGCGGACAATGTGTCCTCTCCAGCTTCGATACGTTTCTGATACTCCTCAATGATGTCTAACGCTTCTTCTTTGCTACGCGTAATATTTTCCTGTAACACAGTGTGAGTGGCGGCGCGAACCGACAGCGGCATCTATTGTGTACCTCTCTCCATGAACTGGGTCTCCTGGAACCAATGTATTTCACTAGAAGATGACTAGCGCGCACACGTTCGGTATCGTCAGCCGGAGGAGCATCCCATCGGCTTTCTTTGGTCACCGTGTTGAAATAGTAGTCTTTGTTGTAAGTTCGAGAATGGCGAATAACCCAATTGGCTGGCAAGTCCTACAAAAAAAACCATCGTCATTGGTTTGACGTTCTTCTCTCTTGCCATCTTTTTACCTGGTTCTGCTTACCATGATGTTTCAAAAAACCAAGTGAGAGAAGAAGTAACTGTCAATTATGAGTGCCGATGACGAGAATTCAAGCTCGACGGGTTTTTTTTAGTGGCGAAAACGGCTGTATTTCCGCAAAAAAAAAGGGTGTCACATGGTATAAAGGGAAATGGCTATTTTTGGCATTGGTTTGTGTCTGCTCCTTTCATCACTCCGAAAAGAGATTGTCCAAAAATTGGTTCTTGTCATCTGGAGTTTAGTCGAAATAGTCGAACATGTATTTTAGGGTTTGGTAAACCGCAACGTATTTCATGAACTGCCATATAACTACCACAGTTTTATCTGTGGAAAGGAACAGCGTAGCGATGCGAGTTGGGTACAAAAATGGTTTCCAAGTAGCTGATCTCACTGCAACTTATGCCGTCGTTGATGGTTCAGCCTTCCACATTGTTTAAAACGTGATAAAAAGAAAAGGTTTGGATGCGCGAATGATGCTTAAAATATTATGCACATACTATGAAACATCGCCGTTACTCCAGGAGAGGTGCTTAGAATTGTTTTTTGCAAGGCTATCATAGGGGACTTCAGTAATATAGGAAGCAGTGTACATGTGTGTATCAAGTAAAAGCTTTACGAATCAAATGAAAAAAAAGGTATCCTAGTATTTATTTATACATGCATCGTGTACTTTAACAAGAAGATATAAAAGTTCTTCCTTTATGATATATCGCAGCGGACAGCACAGAGGCCATTCTTACTGTCCTTGCCCTATAAAGAAGGCCCATGGTTATCCATGTAGGAAATCATTTGTCCAATTATAAGAACGAGTGAGTGAGTGAGTGTCAGGGTAAATATTATTGTAATCTTCGATTGAGATTTGGCCATGATAAACAATTTGCTTGGCAAAGCCGCCGACAAGTATTTCATTCACTATGACCCCCGCTGCCAATTTGCCAATTTCTTATGTTCCCGTTGCCATTTTCCTACTATTCCGCAGTCGCTTACTGTATACTGTACATATAAAATCATAGGAATATATCATTCTCATCTTATCTCAACGAAATTAAGATTAGTTTGATAGGCAAATTTCATCAAAATTACCTTTTTCGCAGGATAGCTGTTGATTAAGTAGATATCACAATGGGTTTATGCGATAATATTAGCCATCTCAGTACAAAGCGATGGACGGGTAGAAAGACAAAGATTATCATACATGAGTCGGTAAAAAAAATTCAAGTCAAGGAGATGAAGAATAATGGGTAAGCCAATAAATAACAATCCACGGTAAAGTGTGACTCCTGTAAATCAGATAAAGGTAGCAGTAGTGAAGAGAAAACGATGTATAAAACAGGAAACATAATTGAGTTAAATTATGATGTTTGAAGGCTATCCAGAATAGCAGGCACGACGGCTCTCTTGTTCTGCTTCATAAATCAGGAGCCAAAAGGTCAGCCAACACCATTGCGTTCCTGCCTCGGTAGCTATCCCCGACGATGCGGATGTTTGTGTGCCGTCCCTTGTAAAGTTGCAGGTCGGATTTACCCCAAAAAGGTGTTGGTTCATAAACAGCAGGACGATGACCAGGGAAGCTGGAAGCCGGTAAAAATCTCACTTGCTGTCCAATTTCACAGTACGGAGTGATATTTTTTGCTTCAGGTTTGTCCGCCATCCGCAGCGCCTCCTCGTATGCACTTTTATCCAGAAAGATCTGGGCTGTTGCGGCTGTTTCGTCCACCACAAATTGATGGGTGTTCGGGCCATACTCTGGTAGGGTTTGAATATCGAGACGCATTGAAGGTGTGACGAGGGCATTGAATGCGTTAGTGGCAATGACAAGTTTGCAAGTAGTGCGGGTTCCGTCAGCTTGATAGAACTTTTTAGCCCAAATGGCACGGTATGTTGTACGCTGTAAGGGCGGAATGGATGACAGCCGCCTGGGAAGATTCCTCGGTTCAGGATGAGATTCGATGTCAGGGTCGCGCCCATAGACCTCCACGGAGTTCACCAGCAAACCGGGATACTTAACCGGATCAATTAACACTGAACCACACAATGCTTTTGCAGCAACGTAATGATAGTGTGGACGAACGTGCCAGTCACAGATCAGCTGTTCTGAGAAAAATCCCTAAATTTTTCCTCGAACTGTTCTCGCCTTCTGTGGATAAAGACCCAGTCCCTTCAAAAGCGTCGGTACAACAATGATAATGTCTTCGTCTGACATCTTGACACTTCTGCGTAGGCGGTCCACAGATTTTAACTGTGAAAGCAGGTTTTCGTCTGTTCTAACGTAGAATCGGTTGGGGCGGTCCATATACGCATGCTTCCTCCATTTCAATGTATTGGCGTTGGTCGATAAAGTCTTTAACCACCCCATGCAACGGGAGATCGCTGATTTGCTTGACTGTGGCTGACCAAGGTGGCGTGTGGCATGGCTTTGCCGGTAACGATAGTGTAAAGGGAGGGCGTTGCAAAGATTCTTGGAGTTGTGGCAGTATATTCGGTGACATGAGAAAATTGGTTTCTGGGCCACGGGAATCTGTTAAAGCAACTGGAGCTGTGTCATATAGATCCGTTATGAGCAAAGGTCTTTTCTTCGAAAGTTGTTGCTCTTGTAAGGCAAATAAGATTGCCTCTTCATACGATCGCTTGTGCCGTCTTGTTTTATCGCGGTGGCTTCCACCTGGCAGTGTACCAGTCACCGAGCGTTTTACTCCTCGCTTATGTCAGAAGGCATACAATTTTCTGGCTAGTCTTCGTTCTTCCGACGCTTTTGGGTCATCTTTCGGAGATAGCTCCTCTGGTCGGCTGTGTCAACATTCCTGCAAGCACCTCGGTGCTTGCAGACGAACTTCTTCTGTAGGGGCTCGAAGCTTGAACGTTGAAAACAGTATTAAAGTGTTTGCTGTGCAAGTTGAGAGCAACTCGGATATCCTTCCTCCGCGCATGCACTCTGTCCTTCGGGATGCCATTCTCAGTGTCTTTAACAAGCCTCTTGAAAGCTTCCACGAGAACATTGCTGGCATTAACGGAAATCTCGTTGTGATAGGTGTTCACTTCTCGAATCATATGTTTGGAATAAACCTCGGGATAGCTCGATAAGAGAAAGATTCTGTTAACAAATCAGTAAGCAAGCTTGAATTCGAGTGTACGTCACCAAATTTACTGGTTCTCTTGCTTACTTGTAGAAGCTTTCCAGGACCTGTCAATGCCCGGGAAGTTCGTTCCATTCTTCTACAGGAACTCACCGGTACTTGACTAGGGTTGCGATAGCTTTTCTTATTACATGACGCTTGGCAATCGGCATGGCCAATGACAAGGGAATCCCAATCCCAGTTCGACTGGATGTGTGGGTCAAGTTGGATTGACTCCTATGAAGACGAGGGCGCAACCGTACCGGATCAAATCGGCGATGGTATAGCCGGTTTTACTCCAAAGTACTTTGCGATTTGCGCCGCTATCGACTGACCATGTTCAGCCGAGTTTTTTGACTGTTGTTGTTCATTGTTACGACGGGGTTCGGACCGGCCAAAAGCAATGAGTCTTGAAGGATCCGTTGGGTCTTTTGCTGAACCATGTTGAGGATGGCGTCATTAAGGAGGTAACCGTCAGAGATCATCTGGGCAACATTGTCAATGGGGACACGTTTGGTTCGCTTGAACTCGTCCAAACGGTTCATTTCTGGTTTTGATCGTTCACTATGGTACAAGTCAACCGCAGGTCTTCTGTGGTTGAGATATGGGTCTCGTTGGTACATAGACTGTATATTGGACGGTGTGGTCTGGCATTTCATGTTCATCGTTATGAGATTTCCAATAGATTCAGAGGATATTCGGTGAACTTTTGATTGGTCTTTTCCCGGTAGGCCATGTCTTGGTCCTTGTGCTTGTAGTAAGTCGGTGCTTGCTTGTGATGACAGATTATATGCGCTGTTGGGCAGCATGATATCGTAGAGGCGGCTGTTATTCTTGAAGAAAGCCTCCCAAGCATGAAGCATGCATTTGGGGAAATTAGAGGGCAAGTGCTGCCAAACATCTGGCATTCGTTGGTTATAAATTTTCGTTGCACGAATCATGGTCTACACTTACTTGTGCGCGCTCCATAAGCAGGCGTCATATTCCGTTAGGATTAAGGGTAAGGCCCGAGAGGTCAATGAGCGTGATGATAGTAAGACTCTCTGGATTTATGAAAGGTGTGTATTCTATGTCAAAGGAGAGATCGGATTGGTGATGTCCCTGTGTCGGATATGTGATTGATCATCTTGAATACAACAATGTGCAGAAAGTCATGGTAGACAATTGACCATTGAGGGCAAGAATATCCTAATATGAGTGAGCTTTGGAACATGGCATAGATGATTGTCAGAAACAAACCTTGAGTTGATGGTCTAAAAAACGCCTCAAGATGTGGCGAAGTCGTTCTCCCGTGATTTAGGTTGTTGCCACTGTGTTATACAAAGACAAGACTTTAGCGAAAATGGTCACAGAAACCCTTATCATAAGAGTCTACCCGTTCTTGGCCTTGCTACAAGAGCTGGCGACCAACGCATAGCACTTAACCCAGAATAATTGGGTGTTGATTGGCGGAAATTCAAAGGAAGAGCAACGATCGATCCAGCGCAGGACATGGAGCTGGGCTTAGTTGCTCGCATCGCGTCGGAGCAGAGAGTGGTTTTCAGCGAGTGACTACAGTAATTGCTGTAAGATCAAGATCAGTATATCTGTTTGCCACCGTAGTCTATTTCTTTTTTATATACCCGGCGTGATATGTATTTGGCTTTTTAATAAGGCTGACAGTTTTATCTTGCGTGTTTTCATGTGCTTGAGATCTCTTATCGACAAGGCGGCACGCTGGCGCTGTGGTCAAGTGGCTTCTGCTGTGCACATCTTTTTTTCTTGATCAAAACTGTCAACTGCTCGCAATTTTTGAAGAAAAAAGAGAAAGAGAAGCAAAAAACAAAGAAAAAGGACTTGTGACTAAAAAAGTTCAATAAACTATACGCGTCAGCCGACCTGTTGTGTCATTTTTCAAATTCCGAAATAGGGAAATCCCTCAGATTTTTATTCCTTTTGCATGGAACTATGCATGGTGTCTGTAAATAAGGCTCAAAAACAGAAGCAGTTTTTATCCTCTGCGAGAAATTAGTTGTACATGTTTGTAGGGTATCTTGCAACGGATATGCTGCTTGAGTCCAAATAATCGAAGGGTGGCTCCATGAAACGATCTGTGATTGATTTACTAATTATGACGATTAGTTATAATCTTTTTCGCGGATTATTCAATTTGATATTGATGTTGTCAACAGCGATGATCAATCTTAGACCATTTCATCGTCTGTCTCTCAATGCAGTATCAGGGTTTGTTGGTGGGCACACTGCTTATTGCTTTTTGAAAGACCGTCGATAATGGGGAAAGATCAAAAGATCGTCTTCTGACTTTTAAAAAGCGAACAAAATTGAATTGGTGTGACTTGTTTCTCGGGGAGCTGAGGGACGAGGCACTTTTATTCATCCGGGATCATCCTTTTTGGGAAACCCTTTCTTCAACTGTCATCTTCCAAATCCCATGTTACGCTGTGTCGCTGCTTCTGCAGTACGATCGCGTTATCGATCGTCGGCGCTTTCTCAGTTTAAACATATGCCAAGACTGGCAGCGCTGACGACGCCATGTTCGCGAAGTCCATCTCTGGTTGCAAATGCCGATGCACTGTCCAGGTTGGCAGGACTGCGCATGACGAGTCGTTTCTCGACTTCCAGTATCCGTCGTGAAATGGAAAAAAAGGCGGTTGAAAATGCAGCAAAACAAGAAGCCAGCAAGCTTAATTCCACTGACATGAGAGATATGAAGCGCCTTTTCGCTCTTGCTAAACCGGAAGCCAAGAGTATCACGGGTAAGTGACCCAGTTAGTCACCGGAAAAGAGATACGTGGATCCTGACACGTTGGACCTTTTTTTTTGCAGCGGCTATTGGACTTTTATTGATCTCTTCGGCCATTACAATGGTAAGCGCAAGGTTACATGATGGGAATAGAACCCAAGCGTAAGGCGGAAGGGAAAATGTACTCATCTGCGGACACCATCTAGTCGGTACCATTTTCGATGGGCAAAATCATCGATATCGTGACCAATCCTGAAATGGAGAAATATATGGGGCTGACCATGCCTCAATTTGCGGCTCTGCTGACCGGTGTATTTGTCGTGGGTGCCGCAGCCAATAGCGGTCGTGTTCTGCTCTTTCGATTAGCCGGTGAACGCATCATTCAACGTCTCCGTAACGATCTGTACAGAACCGTCTTGAAACAAGATATGGCCTTTTTCGATCAGAATCGGACCGGTGAGCTCATTTCGCGATTGTCCGTCGATACCGCCATTGTGGGCAAAAGTGTGACAAACAATGTTAGCGATGGATTAAGGTAGAGTGCGATGAACGAAGAAGGATGGGTCGGTAGCTGATCTTTCTTTCTATACTAGAGCACTAGCCACAGCAGGTGTTGGTTCCTCCATGATGCTTTTCATCAGGTATGGAACGGTTACGTTCCCAATCGATATTGCACACTTTTTAGGAGAGCGCTGACCAATTGTCAATGAATAGTCCAAAGCTCACAGGGATCATGATGGTGGTTGTACCACCTGTGGCGCTTTTTGCCATTGTGTACGGTCGTTATGTAAAGACGCTTTCAAAAAAGACACAGACCGCTTTAAGCGAGATCACCAAAGTCGCCGAAGAGCGGATCAGCAGTATTCGCACTGTCCAAGCATTTGCCAAGGAGAAAGTGGAAGGCAAGCGATATCACATGCGTGTCATGGATGTGTATGATCTGGCCAGGAAGGAAGCACTGGCCAGTGGCGCTTTCTACGGTGGAGCAGGGCTCTCTGGTAACCTGGCGGTCTTGGCCGTTTTGTGGTACGGCGGGCACATGGTGATGAATCATGCCATCACCATTGGCGAGTTGACCTCGTTCATGCTCTATACCGCATATGTGGGCACATCGTTGGGTGGTACGTGTACAAACAGACTGGATGAGACCATTCGTGTCTTACTTTGTGATGGCTCGATTTCTAGGCATGACGTCTTTCTATTCCGAGATTATGAAAGGTGTGGGTGCTTCAGAACGGTTATTTAATCTGTTGGCTCGAGAAAGCCCTATACCTCTGGACGGTAAGTTGAACCGTCATGACAACTGCACAATGAATGTATAGACTTACGAAATGGCATAAAAAAAAAGTTGGCAAGAAATTGGATAACTTGCAGGGCAAGATCCGATTTGATAATGTCAGTTTTACCTATCCCACCCGACCGCAGTCGTCCATTCTCAAGAATTTCTCGTTGACCGTTAACCCCGGAACAGGTAAACTGGAAAGACCAAAGGAAAAGGAGGCGATGGAGACATGATCATGATGCTAAACCACATGAATTAGTGATTGCTATTGTGGGTTCGTCTGGATCGGGCAAATCGACGATTGGATCATTGTTGTTGCGTTATTATGATCCGAATGCCGGTAGTGTGTATGTGGATGATACGAACCTGAAAGATATCAATTTGAATTGGTGGCGTGAGAATGTGGGTGTGGTCTCCCAAGAACCTATGCTGTTCGCTGGAACGATCGCGGAGAATATCGCCTACGGACGGGAAAATGCCACCATGGAAGAGATTATGGAAGCCGCGACCAAGGCTCACTGCACCAACTTTATTCAATCCTTCCGCGATGGGTATCATACCATGGTGGGTGAGCGTGGTATCAGTCTGAGCGGTGGCCAGAAACAGCGGTAAGCTTTGTATACCATCAGTTGTGATTTTGTATGTCGACCATTGTGCTTATAATCGGACTATTACAGCATTGCTATCGCTAGAGCGTTGCTCAAAAATCCGTCCATCCTTGTGCTTGATGAAGCAACGAGTGCCTTAGGTATGCCCTTGTTGTATGAAAAATGCTTTAAAAGGGCTCGATGAACTCACAACGCTGTTGATGTCGATAGATTCGGAATCGGAACTCTTGGTCCAGGATGCTTTGAATACTTTGATGCAAGGACGAACAGTTTTCACGATTGCGCATCGCTTGTCTACCATTCGCTCGGCTGATCTGGTGGCCTGCTTGAGTGATGGTCGTGTGGCCGAATTAGGCACTTACAATGACCTTTTGAATATTCAAGACGGTGTATTCCGACGCCTAGTGGAATTGCAATCGCTGGGCGGATCGGCACGGTTGAACGAGACCGAGACGGATCTCAATGAACAATAACTCTTCTGTTACCCCTGTTATTTTTTTTTATTCATAGACATACTCTTTACAACCACTCACCACTCTTGAACATCTGCCATATAATAAACCACTCCTCATCATTAGATCCCTAGAAAGAATCCAAACACAATGAAGTAAATTCGGATCAAGCGGCAAAAAATCACTTGGAGAAAGGTCAAAGGGTATGAAAAAAAAAAAAGAGAAAATTTGCCAATTAAAAAACAAAAGAGTAGAGTTCTATGTACAAGCAGGATGAATAATGGGTGAAGAGATGATAAGTTTAAGGACCTGTGAGGGAACGGTAATAAACTGATTCCAAATCATAAATGGTCGACGCAAGCTCATTTCGCATACCAATGAGGGTATCTTTTATCTCATCTTTTTGACGCGTTAATTCTTCCGATCGCTTTTCCATTAACCGTGATAAAGTGTTTGTGTCGTTGAGCAGTAAATGTTGCTTCAATTCCGTGATGAGACTCAGCAGTGATTCGGACGAACGTACCTATAACGTCCGGGATGAGTTGACCATCGATATATGTCAAGTCCAATCGCGCCCACTTACTATTTGAGCTGCTTGGCTTTCAATTTGATATCCTTCTTGAGCCACTTTGAACTTGTCCTTGTCTTTGTTCTATCATCAAAGATTCAACAAATGGCTGGTTAACATCGTGGAAGTAAAAAATTCTTGCCACCGTAAAGACATGGGATTACCTCGCCCACTTTGACAATATCGGCAAAGCAATCAACTAATTTCGCTACATCGTCGTCAATTCGTTTGTTGTACTGGTCTTCTATTTGAAGTAGCATGGGTCGTGCAGCGGTGGCCGTCGGATTAGCGAAAGGATTGGCCATTAGTCTTTTTACTTTGTACACGCAGTAAGGAACCGAGTCTGCCACAGGAACCCTATTTCATTCAACCGACGATGAAACTCCGGGACAAGTCACAAAAGCGGTTCAAAGAAACGATAGCACAACAGACACAAAAGATAATCCTCACTTGATGTTTTGATAAAGAACATTATAGATGCCAGCAAATATAATAAATCTTTGTTATTTGTTCTATCCAAGAAAATGATCTTTGTTTTTTTTGGTTTCTTTTTAAAAAGAGGAGGGAAAATGATTGGGATATTACGCTTTTTGAACAAGGTTAAGAGTAATTTACAACTTGGAGATAACAGCCTTGGTGAAGTCCTTGGTGCTGCTGTTGCCGCCCATGTCAGCGGTTCTGGCGGCACCGGTCTGGATGGTTTCATAGACAGCGTTGGAGATACGGTTAGCATGTTCGTCCAAGTTCAAGTGTCTCAACATCATGACGGAAGAAAGCAACAAGGCGGTGGGGTTAGCGACGTTCTGGCCACCAATATCGGTACCAACGTGACGGCAACCAGGTTCGAACATGGCGTATTCACGACCAATGTTGCAACCGGGGATAACACCAGGACCACCGATCAAACCAGCACCCTAATATTTTGCACAGCATAAAACCATCAGTCCGAGAATTTTTTGTATGAAATAAAAATAAAAAGAGCTTTGGCCCACTTACAATGTTGGAGACAATGTTACCGTACAAGTTGGGCATGACCATAACATCGAACTGAGAGGGACGAGAGACCAACTGCATAGCAGTGTTATCGACGATCATGTCGTTGAACTGGATACCGTGGTGTTCATATTCCTTGGCAACGTCACGGCAAGTGCGCAAAAAGAGACCGTCGGCCAATTTCCTATAACCGTATATATTAATACTTGGTCCTCCCCGCCTGCCAAAATTAGATAAAAACTCACATGATATTGGCCTTGTGGACAGCAGTCACCTTCTTACGGTTGTTCTTGATGGCGAAATCAAAAGCGAAACGAGCAATGCGTTCGGTCTTGGCACGGGTGATGATCTTCAAGGATTCGACCACGCCGGGAACGGACTGATGTTCCAAGCCAGAGTATTCACCTTCGGTGTTTTCACGGATGATGGCAATATCGACGTTGTCCATGCGGGCGGGAACACCGGGAAGGTTCTTGCAAAGGGAGAGAGAAGCATAGATATCGAGATCCTTACGCATGGTCACGTTGAAGGACTTGTGGCCCAAGCGAGAGGTAGGAGTGAACATGGTACCCTTGATACCGACCTTGTTGCGGCGAAGGGAAGCAAGCGATTCCTGGAACAAGGCTTCGTCCTCCGAGGTCAAGCCAGACACATCGTACTGTTCAAACTCGACGGGAACATTGGCAGCCTTGAACACATCCTTCAAGGAACCGGCGATTTCCTGACCAACACCATCACCGGGAATCAAGGTCACAGTGTACTTGCCACCGTACTTCTTGGGGTGAATCTGGTTAGCGACAAATAAAAGAATAACGTTAACCCATACGCCCACCGTCAACACGTCGATTGTTCCGGCGAATAAGCACTTACGTTCTTCTGCTCAGCAGGTGCAGGGGTAGGAATCTGAGAAGCGAACGAGCGGGTGGAGATCTGGTGGATGTTAATCGAGATACAAAGCATGGAAACGGTAAGTATCTCGAGAAAGCAAGTAACAACAAGTCAAGCGTAGTGGCTATTACCTGCTGGATGCTGCGCAAAGCAGTGGGTCTGGCAATAACCTTGAAGAGCATGGTGGAGGTTGAAGGAGAAAGAAAGTATAAACAACTGAGCGGAAGACGCGGGAATTACCCTGAAAAAAAAAATTGTTTTCGAGTTACCCTGTACCTCCAGGGATGACGCTGATTGGCTCAACTTGCTTCTCCACGTCAGCAGATAGATATGGAGCCGGGGCTTAAACCTTTTGCCGCCGGTTCTTGTTGGTATATCTGCTTTTCTCCGGGACCCACCTGGCCGGCAAAAAAACATAATCTTTTGAACACAAGGAACTGTGCTTAATACCCACACTCTATTTTTTTTTTTTTTTTTCAATTACCTTACACATCTCTTTTAATTTGAGGATCCGCATGGTGCGAAAGAAAATGATCTCAAAAATGGAGGGGAAACGAGACGCTGAAACATACTCTGTTTTTCATTTCCAGTCCGTCTCATTGTTTTTCCCCTATTCATAAAAATGGATGAAAAAATCGACTGACTGGATTTGGTGATATACTTTGACAAGAAGTATAATGAACCTTAAAAGTAGGTATGACACCTAATATAGTGTTCATATTATGCGTAGTTCATAGGGGAATTCAAGGTAATAACTTTCATGGCGCACAAAAAGATGGTGCCTATTTTTGGCCGATAATTTTACATTTTAGCCCGGATTTTTTGAATACCGGGCCGGACTGCCTGGCAAGAGCAGAGAACATTTTTGTGATCGGTCATGGCAACGTGATTAAACCACTTTCTGTTTTTTGCTTTGATACCGTCGTATAGAATATGGGTTTGTCCTTGCTACTTTACATTCTATGGAAGATGAATGATATGATAAAGGCCGCCACTATGGAACTCGACTTCAATGCCGAGAAGTTTTTCTCTTGGATTCTATCAACAAAGGTCATTTCATGCTAGATGAAGCACCACCAAAAACGTTGTGGCATGATCAAACGATATGAGAGGCAAAGGAACTTTTCGTCATTGTAAAATTAAGTATTAGTAAATTGACTGGGGTGGTTGTTGGAAAAAGTCATTCAAAAGCTTCATATCTGAATTTGCAACACGTAAAGAAGCTGGAGGATCTTCATTGGATTTAATAAATTGGAAGAATGAGCCCAAGATAAATCCCCACATAGTTCCTCATATCATGGTTTCCTATTCTCCTATCATTCAATCTTTTCGATTTCTTATATCAGGATCTGCTAACGTGTTCCATCCAATTGGGCGAATTTTGTAACAGGAAGCTTTTACTTGATGAAAATAAATTTCAACAAGGAAAATTTTATAGACGAAAGATGAGAACTAGTCAGAAAAGTGCATGATCATTACAATGTCAACAAAGAGACTAAGGCGAAGCGAGGGGTTAAAGAACCCAATGACGTGTTCCGCCTTCGGCGACAGAGATCGCGAATGCAAATAGAATTAAAAAAAAAACATGCAAAACTATCTACGGTACCGTATCTCTTTTATTGGATGCCAGCACTGGGCAAATTGGACAAATCGTTGAATATCACCTCAAGCACCGGCTGAAGTCACCTTATACAAAAATCGTTGGCTAGATACACAGGGCCCGAAAATAGCAATTTCCTTTTCGATCCAGTTTCTGTTGGAAAACACGCAAAATAATGGAAACACTGAACTCTGTTTGGGTGACCACGTGTGGTTCCTTTACTGTTTTTATTTTTCTACTTTTTGTGTCTTTTTTTCTGTGAAGGGAGTATCTTTGATATCGTCTGCCGAAAAAAGAAAGCATTATTTTTTATTGTGCGGATCATCTTTCCTGTTTGGAGTGAATACAGCAACTTGTGGTCATTTTGAAGGGGTGATTGTTTGCATTATGGGCAAGTCAGAAATTTTTTAGATCTGATGGTATCTTTTTTTATTTTATTTTCATCAAGGAGAAGCATTGACGTGAGTAGATCGTTCCATCAATTGACAAAGCTTACGATTTTCTGCAAGAGTAGTTGTTAGTCAACGCGAACTTGTTGGATACTCTGCGTATTGAGCAACTGAACAGAAAGAAAAATAAACCAACCATTCACGATCAAGCGTGGATGCGAATTAATATCAAAGAGCATAAAAAGTTGCTTGGGATGCAATAGATACTACTGATATGTGCAGCTGTGACGCCATTTCTACAGCAAATTTCAGACGTCGTGAGCGTGCAATTCCCGACGGGGTTCTTTTTTAGAACGATCGACCATGGATCGGATCTTAAGTTGGTATTACATATCAATAACAGAAAATCAGCACAGCGAAAGGTGGACGTGTTACGATGAGAAGATTTATCTAATGACGATGTAACCACCATCGAATGCAGGCACCCTGTTCGTTCGACGGTTGCCTTTTTGTTTGTCTGGAACGAACTATGGTTTGAGACATTCAGAGAATGGAGCGCTAATAAAATGGTGCAAATTACTATTCTCGGCAACTCGCCTTGAGTGACCCACCAAAATGCGCTTGTTATCGTGTTACCTTGTCATATAGACCCATCCGATAGATGTAACCGCTTTTGTCTCCCTTTTCCTTTCCCTCGCATCTTCATCTCGATACTTTTCAAAACGTACCCGCCCTTAATTTGCACGTTTGGATTCCGCCGATCTTCCATCCTTCACATATAAACCTGTCATTGCTTAATTCACATCATGTCTACCTTGACCAATATTAATCGATATCCCAATGGTAGGTTTGCCAGCCAATGATCGCGCCATTCTTTGTTCATCGTTTTTATTATTGTTACTAATAAATAACCAAAACCGGCTGGACGTCTGTTTCTGGTGCAAAAAGAATGGATGAGAAAATTACATATTCCTAGTCGAGTAGATCGTAAGTGAAAACCAAGTTTTATTTTTGGTTACCCCACGGTGTTGTTATTGGATGCACAACTGAAACATGAATGGGCTTTTGGGGCTGAATCGTTAGTTAATTTGCAGCGACCTGCAGCTGAAGGTTCGTTAAAGATCGAAATTGAGGATATCCCTCCTGAGCATCTGCCAAGCGTCTCCTTGCGGGAAAATGAGACTGCTTCAGTTACTAAACCGTCTGCTCACACTTTACCCAGGTTCGTATTCAACCTCTAAACCAGATCTTAACAGGGTCTTCTCGCTCATTGTACCTTGATTATTTTACATATCTTGTCTCTCGAATACTAGTCGCGCTTCCCCACCAATCAATCCCAACCGTCCTATCACCTCCTCTACGACAGATCCATATTTATCCTCATTATTGTCTTCATCACCTAAATCTGCCATTGATCAAAAGACGGCCGCACCATCATGTGATAACTCGCCCAATTGCCGCTGTTTTAAGTGTCAACGGCAACGTCGATGGGCAGACATTCATAAGAAAACCATCCCTGTCGCGCCTGCCAATGCACCACTAACGCGATCCAGCTCGGTTCAGCTTCTTCAGTCCAACCGTAACGTTCATCCAACCGCGTCTTCTACGAGTCATTCCTCCTCACCCACGCATCCATCCTCACCTCTCACCACGCTGCGAAAATCATCTTCCATATGCCTCCGCAAAACGCCGAGCTTGCAATCTTACAACCGACATCTTCCTCGACCGGTGTATTCCGAAGCGGACAGCATCTACCCTGTCGATCTAAAAACGATGCCGTCACCTACAGAGGTAAAAAAGCCGCCTTCCACCACCAGCAATGAAGAGAAGAAGCAGGGTGACGATGCATACCAGATTTCATGGAAGGATGACAGTGGCAATGATCTCTTATCATCCTTGCGCACCTTTCAATACATTTTTGACGAAAAGACGGACGATAACCCAGAAGGATTATCTGATCTACTGGAGGAACGTGCCAAAGAACTGCGTATTAAATCGTCGAAAAAACATGAACAAGAGGAACCAAAATTACCGCCACCACGAGAAGATTGCTTAACACTAAGTTATCGCAGTGGACCGCCTCATCAGCATCTGACCCTGTATCATACTATGAAAATGAAGAAATCTCCGGAACGTACCGCAGCTTATGGTAAAATTGGTGAAAATGGATCCATCATGACAGGGTACTTATTAGGCTTTTTTTTTTGCAATTTAGTCAAGGCATTCAATCATTGTGTAAAGGCAAACAGCGGCATGTCAGGTTGGATACAACGACAACGAGCACAAGAACCTCCAAAGATGATGTCGGGTAAGTTTACTGAACAGATCACTGGAGGAGCCCTTTCGATCTGATCATCATCGTTCTTATGATAATAGCAGGTTATGTGCCATTGTATCCGAAGAAGCACACCCAGAAACGGTCTTTATTCCATCCAATGGCGAAAAAAAACAAATTAGCAGAAGACCTATGGTTCAGAACAACATCATCTTCCATTGCAGATTCTGCCCAACGAACGGCACAACAGGAACCCCCCACCTCCATCCCGATGGATGTCCTATCCGCAGCCCATGCTCTTCTTCCCAACAATTCTGTACCCGTTCACCAGATCATGAATCGCACCGATAAGGCTCAATCTTACAGTCATATCGATACGCCCCGTCCACCTCAACAGAGTCGAAACGATCCTCAGGTGAGCTCCAAGTTGGAGTGATCCATCGGTTTTCCAATCCTTGACATGTTCAAGATTCTGACTTCTTCTTTTTTCTTCCAGACCTGCTCCGTAGCTCAGGATGCCAGTAGCATATCGTCAGGAAGCATAGATGAATCCTCTGCGACAAAGTCCCTGAAAGCAAGTCGGTTCTTTTCTTCTCTCAGCCGTCGATCGTTATGGGCTCACAGCGAAAGTAGCACATCTATTCATTCGCTTGAAAAGGTAAAACAGCCTAATCTGCATCAACGGAAGCGTCTGGGGCTTACCATAGCAAACGTAGGGTCACACGCCGGTAAATCGACAGACACCTGAAGGGCCCGTAAGTTTGGAAGATATTACGGCACGGCTTAATGAGGAAAACAATCGAAAAGCCCTGGATAATCTGCGTGAGATTTTGCCTCATGTCGCTCCCAGTGTCTTGGAAGAGTACTTGCATAAAGCGCAGGGCGATTATCGAACGGCATTACAGTTGTGCAAAGAAGCCGTCGCGGCGGGTACTTTAAAATAAAATAAAAAAGTAAACGAAAAATACATGTCTATTTAGTTGTATTCTTTTTTATAAATGCTACTGCACATCATTATCACTTTACTTTTGTTACTTTTTTTTGCAATTGCTCTATAAAATTACTATCCATACATGAACAACACAATAAGGGAAAAAAATAAACATCAAAAAAAGCAAACTATAACGCCAAAAAGAAAGGAAAAAAAATTACAAGGGAAGCCGGAGATAGTGTTGTTTATCGTCGAATGAGAGTGAGGAATTCTTCTCTTGTTTTTGGGTTGCTTCGGAAGACACCCATCATACAACTGGTGATGGTTCCACTACCCGGTTTCTGCACCCCTCTACAATAAGCGACCAAAAAAGGGAAAATCAACATCAGTGGGCGGACACTCAATTTAGAATATGAAGAAAAGGAAAAAAAATTGCTCTCTCTTTTTTCTCCAATCCATGGTTCCGTTGATCTTACCGCATGCACATGCATAAATGTGAAGCTTCCATGACGACCGCCACACCCTGAGGTTGCAAAATTTCCATCAATGCTGTAGCGATTTGTTTCGTCATGCGTTCCTGTACTTGCAACCGTCGGGCAAATTGCTCTGCAATACGAGCAAGTTTACTTAATCCGACCACACGGCGATTGGGAATATACCCAATACTGATTTTGCCCGTAAAAGGAACCATATGATGTTCACATAATGAGAACACATCCACATCCTTGACGATCACCATTTCGTCATGATCTTCCTCGAACACCGCTTCATTGATCACATCTGCAAAACAGGTCCACAAAAAAAAAAAAAAAAAAAACCATGCGCTTATCAGACATCCATCGATATGGATCACACTACGCACCGATTGTGTCATACATACCCTGAATATTCTGCTCATATCCTTTGGTGAAAAATAGTAATGCCTTGGCATACCGCTCCGGTGTCTTTATTAATCCTTCTCGATCTGGGTCTTCACCGATAGCCGACAAAATCGTTCGAACGGCATCAGCGATCTTGGTCGTTCGGTCCACCTTGTCTTGCTCTGTTTCATCTCGTCTCTTCTTGGCTCCGATACCTTTGTTTCCACATGATCATTCCATGTTACTCTCACCATGCTCAGGTCTGACAAATGTGACGTAACTCTGTGTTCTCTAAGAACGACACTTACTCGGCCAGCTCATGCCGTCCATATTCACAGGGGTATCATGTCGGACGAGCACTTTGGGTCGTGTGGTAGTTAATGCTTGCACCGGTGAGGACGAGTCCGCATTGAACGGTGAGGATGAATCCCTTTCGGACGACATATGAAATGAGTAATATAAAATAAAATAAAAAGTAGAGAAAAAGTAAAAGAAAAAAAAAAAAGAAAAACTGCGCTGGAAAAGATGTGTCCTTTTTGTGACAGCCATTAATTTTTGACTCACGGCATCAGTCTTTCTGCCTTGTGATTGGATTAAACAAACACTGACAGTTCTCACGATCCAAATAAGGAAACATAAATGTGTGCAAATGCAGCAATGTGAAATGAGATAATGGTTGTGGTCGAATGGAGCAAAAAAAACCGGATGGGGGTTAGATAACAAAGAGCCATGACATAGAATAGGAGAATCTCATGATGATGACAGAAAGCAGCATTGGAATTGAGGAAATCGTCATTGTTATTTTTTTTTCCTTTTTATTTTGCTATTCAAGTCATTTTTTTTTTCCTTCATTCTTTTCTAAATTGCGTTTCTTTCATTTTGAACTTTTTTTTTTTAGTTGCTCCTCATTTTCATGCTTGTTCAACTTCCTGACGAAATACTTCTCTGTATCATTCATCACTTAAAGTCAGTTACTTGCATTGATCTAATATCAGTGGCAAGGTAAATTCTCAGACCCTGTTCGCAGTAAGAAAAAAAAAAAAAAAAAAAAAAAAAGAGATAAAGAAAACAAGATCATTGTGCGACGATTTCAAAGAGCGACCACTGATGAGATGGCCTCTCCCGTAGCACATGTCGGCGTTTGCGACATCTCGTCGGCGATTGGACCTTGTGGTCCGACAACATCAGCATAACGACAGCACATGCCAGCAATGAGATGCTGGACATCCTAACGGATATATTCACCGATTCATCGCTTCGACGTTATGGCATAAAAAGTTTGGCCATGATCATCAATCGAAATGATGCTTCCGTATGTCAGTTTCTCGCTGCTTTGCTTGGTCAACAACAGCACGACATCACTTGTTCCAGCCTTCGTTTCGAAGCCCCATGGACGGTTCATGACCAACTGCTAGGATTGCTTTCGCAGCAGGATGCCGGCCTCAAAAGTATTCGGGAGGTATCGGTGAGTGACCCTGACCAGGTCTTTTCTACGTTGAGCGATATGTCAAGAAACCCTGTGATGGATTGGCTGGTCCACTGTCAGTCTAGTTTAGAAATATTCAATGTGGCCTCGTTACCAGCAGACTGGCTACTGTATTACATTCCTCGCAAGGATTTGCAATTCCCTAAACTCGCATCCTTGACATTAGCGCTTCGGTCATTTTTCTCCTTGCCAGCAACTGAGGAATCACGGCAATGTTATTGGCAACAGTTCAAGCACGTGTTTCCGAATTTACGACACTTGACTTTGCATGTTGCACCAGACGACGCTACCTGCCTAATTAAAACTTTATTGCACACCAAATCTCTGTTCCCCTGGATCCAATCCATCACCATCGTCAGTCCATCGGATCTGAAGCAGGTATTCCCTCCCGCAGAACTTCGAGCCATCTTATCCAACTTGACCGGGTTGACACGGGTCAATGTAGGATGGGATATGATGCTGGTCTGCTAATTTACTTTATCACTTATATTCTCCCGCCATAATGTCACAATCCCTGTCACTCATTAACCTAATGAAGGGAAAAAAAAGGACAAACACGCCATAGACAGTAGAACGTTTTCCTCCTTTTTTGTCAATCCCTGCATATTTGAGTAAAAATCATCATATTGCTTCTAATTTCTCTTTTTGAATCTGGTGCTCATGCTTGTATGAATCTTTTTTTTCTTGGCTGCACAGCTCTCCATATAACAGAAAACTTATCAAACATGATGTCATGTGTAATCTCCATCATCAATATTCTTATATTTGGTTTGTTGCTTTATAAAGCTTGACACAGCCAATTTTGTCAAGAGATCACAAGCCATTATTAGGTGGATGGTCAAAAATAACGGAAAGAAAAAAAAAACATTGCATCTACTGTACAATATTATCATGAATTTGAACTGTAGATACGGTATCATTAGTTGCAGAATCTCGAGCCGGCAGTCTCCTGACAAATAACGCAATACTCATTGACAACAGCATCAATATCTTGTGTAGGCGATCTGACATGGTAAATTTTGACAGCTGATTCAAGGCAGATAATGCGCCTATTCAAAAAGTGATGACGAACACGATAGGATGACACAATTTGTTTACAGGAAGATCATTTGTACAGTTACTGTCTTTCAGAAAACATTGTTGGCTCCAGTGAGAAAGACTTCCACTTTTGTTACTGCAATGCAGTATCCATGAAGGTTTTGCTTTGTTCACACCCCTTCTCCGCAAACTCTAATGGTTCAAAAAGTCAGATGGCTGGACCAGTGCTGCAAATAAGCACATGACTAAGCATAAAAGCGGTCATGGAAGACAGTCAAGATCACCCGGATTCTTCTGCTGCTCCCTAAGCAGTTGCATGATTTTGAGCTAGTTGCAATTTGAATATTGTTGAAAGATGTCCATCGCATGACCTGTGACGACACCATACTCACTCGCCAATTACCTAGTTTAATCTTATCTCGTTGACTTGAGACTCACCTTTGCGCAGGAAGCAGATAGTGTTGGTCATGTCATACATGGATCCATGTCTGTGCTGCATACTACAGTATACGGTCGTTAAATTACATTCTAAAGAGTAAACAAATGTCTTGTGCCTTACATATCGCGGAAGTTTTCCACTTTATTTTATTGTCTTTTTTCTTTGGCGCAGTTCATTTTCGGTCACTCATATCCTAGTCCTTTCAGAGCATACAGCCATTATCGGGTGCTTCGATTCTGAGGCTTGTTTCTCATGATTACAGAGCCTATCAGGTATTTTAGACGAAAACCCCATCCGTTATTCTACAGACAAACCTTTCCCGCTTACGATTTTGACCAAACACGAAAGTTGGTGTCCACTGGCCTTGATTACACCATCCGGGAAATTTTAACCCTTTTAACAAGGAAAGAAAAAAAAATTAATCTAAAATATGCTCGGCATTGACGTTTCCTCTCCAGTTTGTCTGCTTTTTGTTTGATCATTTCTTTATTCTCCTTTTCTCTTTTTGATTATTTTTTTGTTTCTTGCAGACTCGTCATTAGAAATCGAAAAAAGAGTCGATCTTCAATACTGGTACTTTCTTCGGTTCCTCTACATCTTTTGAGTGTTCCTTTTTGTTTTCTGTCACCTTGTCTTGAAGCGTCGCTGCGCAAATCCAATTAAGTCTCCGAACATCATCCAACATGACCAAACAATTGCTAGCACAAACTATCAATGCAAACCGATCGCCTACTGAATATGCAGAAAAAACGTATCTTCCAGAAGACGAACGGTTACCACAATCCCCATCATTGTCTACCACGAATACGTCAGATAATCGTCATGCTGGTAACGTTTCCGACACAGCAACTGCCAATGACTTAAACCCCATATCTACCGCATTGTCACCCATTTACGTCAATAATGCTTCGTCTACTGCCTCGACACCAAGCCCGATTATGATGGCCAACTCCATGATTTTAATGTCAGCCCCGCCTCATCCAATGTCTCAAAAGCTCAGCAACTCCACTAGCGACATGAACAACTTTGCGGCTCATCAAGCGGCTGCACGCAAAGCACAGATGGATGCGGCAATGGCAGGTTTCATTGCGGCCGCCAAAGCTTCCAGAGCAGCTACCGTCGCCGCCGCGGCGGCGACGGCGGCACGAAAACAACCCCACAATATCGATGCCGTCTTGTCGGCTCCCGTATCTGGGCCAACGTCCGATTATTTTCATCCTGGCGACAAAGTGGCCGCCAAAAAGAAGCACGATGCGATAAAAAAACCAAGAAGCATTACCATTACCACTGCGAAATCATCCCTTGACATGGACTCCTTGTCTGATACTGTGCCGTTGCATCGGAAATCTGAAGACAGCAAGGTTGCGGAAACAAAAGAAACGAACAGCTCCACCAAAGATCACAGCGACCGATTTATTTTGGGTGGACCTCTGTCCCCGCCTGGACTCAATTCCTCTTCGCCTCACGTCGAAGTCGATGACACGACATCGTCTAAACGGAATAGCAGTGCCAAGATGGACATGAATTCTGAAACGTCGTCATTGAACGAATTTCGACAATCCTCCAGTGACATTACTCTGCTTAGTAAAGCCGTTTCCAGGGATACCGTGCGGTCGCCAGAGACGCAATCCTTGGTATTTGCCTCTTCACACAATCCTGTTTCGGTGCTACTAGGGGATCACATCAATTTTACCGAACGGGATGATCCTTCGATGTTTAAAATCTCCCCCGAGACACTTGGAAAGGCCATAGTCCGCATGGTCGATACGCCCACGATTCAAAAGATTGTAACCATGACCCTCGATCGCGTCTTACCGTCTCCACATCCCTTGAATATGGGTTCACAAGACCTTTTCCCCGAAATTACCGACAGTATAAAGACGGTCCTTTCGGAACGGAATGAAGCAGGGTTAAACCATTTTGCCACATTGCAACTCAATGAAAGAAGCCCACGCCCCCACGTGGGTACTTCGCAGATTTATGACGAGCAAGAAGAACCATCCTATGACAACACGCCTAATCAGTGGGACGCCCTGCAGCAACAAGAATGCAGTTCCTTGGAAGTGCGACGATCCATTCGACGGTTAAATGCACTCAAAGAGCTTATGGACACCGAAGAAACCTATGTGCGTGATTTGAACATCCTTGTAACGGTATGAATAAACGTCAGTTTTGACGACAAGTCACTTGGATGTGCACCATGCCCAATGGATCTAACTAATTTTTATTTTATAGCATTTCTTTGCTATTATTCAAGAAGCCGATTGTATCTCTGTGGAGGATCGAAAACTGCTTGTGCGTAACGCGTTTGATATTTTACACTTCCAGGAGCAATTTTACGAAGCGCTCAAAGAAGCCCATGGCGAAGATGGCCCAAAACGTCACGGAATCCAGTATCGTGGTAACCTGGGCAAGATTGCTCGTTGCTTTACCGAGTGGGTAAGCTACATGCTCTGTCTTATTTCATCTCAGGATGCTATTGTCTTATCCGTGAACACCCTTCTTTCTTTTAAAGGGACACAAGTTTGAGGTGTACGTCGATTACTGCATTCATCAAGATCGCTCCGTTCAACTATACAATGAATTACTGCGAACCAACGAAGCCTTTGCCAACTTGATCGAACGTTTACATACATTCTACCGCGTATCATATGGTTTCAGTCGATTGAAGTTCGATGATTACATTATAATTGTAAGATGGTCAATGCTCATGGACCTGTGCCGTTTTAAATTAACAATTTTGCCTGCTTAGCCTTTCCAAAGAATCCTTCGATATCGTCTTATTCTGCAATCCATCATCCGAGCCACCCAAAAAGATACTGCGGAATACGAAGAGTTATCCAAAGCGCAAGATATTATGCACGCCATTGCCTCGAGACTAAATAACGAAAAATCAAAATTGGAAGCTGAAAGAAAAACATCCTTGTTTTTATCCCGCTTGGATGCCGACTGGGTACGGACAGACTGGATCAATGACATTTTTGTATGGGTTCACTCACCGCTTTCTTTTTTATGTTTCTTTTTTATCGCAGAGTTTGCCTAAACGTTGGTACAAGAACCTGGGAACGTGCTTGCTTATCGGTACGCTGGAGGTCCGCTACGCACAGCATGGCATGAAATCCAAGCGTTACGGCTGTGCCTTGTTTAATTCTTACATGATTATCGTGAAAGCCAAGAAACATAAACAGTACGAACCGCGTTACTGGTTTCCTTTGCGATTATTTAATCTGGAGAATATGCACGATCATGAAGGTAAGATATTCAAGAGAAAACCACGCAGCTTTTTTTTTTTTTTACTTTGTGTAACTGAATTTTGCGGTGTTATTCGATGTCTACTACAGCCGTCTCTTGTGGCTGGATTTTACGCAACGATAATCAGATCCTGGAATTTTCTTCCATTTGCGAACAGGAAAAGCGAATTTGGATGGACACGCTGGGCCACGCCATTGAACAAACCCGAAAACAACACAATGAAAATGACAGTGACCCCGTGGAAAAGTTGTTCGTCTCATCTTTTGACCAGTATACCGCACAAGTATCCACTCCAATGTCCGCATCCACATCGTATGCCAGTTTCCAAAGTTCGGTAGCACGACAGGACTCATTACAGGGAACGCCGCGATCGTCCACGATGCCAAATGCGTTGACCGACGATGCTTTACTAGACAGTGAGGAAAAGCAGACAAAGAATCGATCATTGAGCGCAGTGTACGATAAATCCGCGGACAGTATTCCCCCGCTAACCAGCGATCCCTCTTCGTCCAGCCTTCGCGCGCGGTCGAGTGTCAGTGATTTTAAAGATTTTTTCTCGGCCAACATTACGGAAAAATGGTCCCACCACAAATACAACCAGTACCATGCGCGACGATTATCCATCGATATCAAATTTGAAGATGTCTGTACGACGCCCATTCTCACTGCACGATCGCAAGCACGCCAGGATTACGGAAGCTCTTATGAACAGTGGCGACGACGAAGCCAGTTACCAAAGACAGCATCCATGATGTCGTTCAGCGATGTGTACGATTTCGTGTCACCTTCCTCATCGAGCCCGTCTCCTCATCATACCTACTACGGATCGACTTCGAGCAGTCCCCGATACCATTCATTTGGTGATTCTTTGCTCAATGTCGTTCGTCGCAAATCGTCTTTACCGACACGAATCAATGGAGATTACTATGACTATCCTTCACATCCTTCGCATCAACGGTCTCTTCCTATGAGACGCCTTCAGGTACCTCCTCCTTCAAGATCCACCCTCGATGGTGGTGTCTCGTCTCTTTCACCATTGCATCCGACCGACAGTATGATTTTCCGGCTCTCACAACGGTCGCAGGACAATCTGCAGCCATCGAGACCGCATCCTGAAGCCACCCTGCCTGCTGTGGCCAATCATGCCACCCTACCGCGGTCATCTAGCCATTTCTTTGGCAAGATGAAGGAAAAGTTTGGCCACCTCAGCACACCGAGGGGTGTACGTCGCAATGGACTGAACGCCCCTACTGCCGTACGTGTACCGAAAACAAATGCAAAAAGTGGAAACATGGCGGCTCCGTCGCCGTCCACGTCAGACCATCGGGTAAATGAGCTGCGACAGTCTGTAAACAGATCATTGTACGTAACAAGAAAATGACATGCTGACGTGTTGATAGTTGACAAAGAAAGCCACGGACAAGCCCTTAATGATGCATGACAATTACTCGGTACTGGAGTTGCCCAAGTACTCGACCGAGGTACTCAATGCGCCAGTGGTTGAATCCGATTCTTCCATGAGTATCCCGAGCGACACGGATAAAAGTTCAGCACTGTCGATTTCCGTCGATTCGGCCGATCTTCGAGAGCGACGATTTCGTGGTTTCAAAAGTCGATTGAAGGATTTCGCGTCGCCTCGTCTTAAACGAAAGCAAACCCCTTGAATAATAGTAGTATCCTCTTGATCGCTTCCTCATTTGTATATATAACTATGTGATGCAATTCTGACCATTTCGTATATAAGAGACTTGATGAACAAAAAACAATGAACGAAAAAAAAAATAATGAGCATCGTACACACACAACCCTTTCCGATCATCCGTGCCTTCTTAATTTGGACATACCGAACTGCCAGTGCATGACCTTGATCGCTTATCAGATCAAGCGATCATGTGGGCAAGTGTCGGCCTGACAATTTTGAAAATCATGGTGTCTCATGCAGAATTCCTTTTTTTCTGCGATGATCCGTTTACTATCAAAGATCTCTTTCCTTCCCCGCCCACGATTTATCTATTTCAATGACGCAGCGCTTCTCACGCAATAGAACTCCTATTTCTGGTATATATGCATCTCGCTTTCCCATCAAAGTCAGTGAATGAGTGAGTAGACTGGGTTCATTTCAGATGTTTTCATTACCGTGAGGCAGATGAATGAAAAAAGAATCTGATAAGATTTGATCGATTTGAGAATTCCATCTCGGTTGCACAAGGTTTCACCTGCACGAAAAAAATGAACCAGAATGGATCTCATCGAAGGCGATGAACATTCTTGTTTCCATTTTTTTTTTTTTCTTGCTGGCGTGGGCTATTTCTCTATATACGGCTTGAGAGTAGACATCGTCCGTAAAAGAGAAAAAAATCCAAACTTCCAAGAAATCCAAGAACTCCATGACGCGTGGGGCCGTGGCGCTTATTGACAGATATAAAATGAGCGCAAAAACTGAAAGCGGTCTATCCATCATCATCATCATCATCATCGTCCAGTCAAGGATATCATTATAATGGTTCTTTTCAACTCTCTGCTTGCTTTTGCCGCCACGGCCCTTTTGGCTACCCAGGCCCAAGCCCACGTTGGTATGACCGTCTTCACCACCGATGTAAGTAATCCAAAGCATGCTGGTTGATACGTCGAGAAGAAAAAAGTTATTAAATCAGATAAATGGCGATTTACAGGAAGATCTGTACTTGACTACCGGTATCCGTTTACCTCACGGTTGTCGCAGCAATGGTGCTCTTGCTCGCGCGGTGGTGGTGGAAATTCCCAACGCTGTGACGCGCCTCCAAGTGCAGTGGATCCCTGGCTGGAATTCGACCGTGAACTACAGACAATTGAACCCTCCCAGAGAAGAGAATGGCAAGCAAGTCACCCAAGCACCTTCCAGCGTGCGATGGGAAGGCGGTCCATTGCCAGCAGGCCACTTCCTCGATTTTAACATGCGTATTCGTATTCCTGACATTGAAAAGGACCGCGACACATTGTACTTCCCTACCTCGGTAGAGTGTGATGGCGCTCGCGATCTCTGGAACCAGATCCCGGATACACCAGGTTACGATAAGGACTCCGAGTTCCACGCTCCCCTGATCCACGTTGGTTCCGCCGTGAACAAGATCGATACCCCCTGGGTTGAAAGCAAAACACACAAGGAAATGGCATCGGCTGGTACGACGCTCTTTGATAAACGTTCCGTGGCTGCAGGTCTGGCCGTCTCGGCTGCCGCCGCAGTGTTCCATTTGGCTTAAATATCTTTATAAACCAACTATTGATTTCTTACTATTACTAAAATAAAAAAATAAATATCTGAAAATTTTCTAATCCAACTTGAGGTCATCCTCCAACAATATCTTATTATAAACGCGTGTGACAAAAGTAACTTCGTATTATCAGTCTCATAAGTTATATGTGCCTTTATCTTTTCTCGCCATTTACATATATGTGTAGGTGAGTTTCGACATGTTCAAAGACCAATGCACAGAAAGCAAATATTTAACGCATAGTATCCACAATGCAAAGCGTATATCGCGCTGTGATTGTCCCATGTCCCAAAGAACAACATCCACAATAGTCTAGTTTTGTCAGTTGCCTCCCTACCTACACGATTCTCTATAAATTTTTTTCCACAGTTTGGCAGACATCGAATTTGTAATGTAGACCACGTATATATTGTAGTTTTACTGCAAAATGCCATATATATTATACAGCGAAGAAACGATTCAATATTTATTTGTTCAAGACAATACCGTCGAACTAGAAAAGGATCAAAAGAAATAAGAAAAAATCAGTAAATGGCATTCAACTTTCCCCATTATCATTTTTCAGCACAAAACTTACACGAGACTTGAACCATTCCATGGATTCTTCCTTCTTGATACGGTGGTGGGGGCCGACGGTGGTCTTGCAGTGCTTGCGGCGGGCGACACGGTTACCGGGGCGACCCATGACGACGTAGTAGTCCATACCGTAGATACCGATGGAAGGATCGTACTTGATACCCAAATCAATGTGCTCGTCAATACCGAAACCGAAGTTGCCGGTTTCGGAGAAGTTGCGGGCACGCAATTCGTATTCCTTGACCTTCAAACCACGTTCCAAGATTTCCTCAGCCTTGGCGCCACGGACGGTAACGTGGACGGCAATCTTTTCGTTACGACGGATACCGAAAGTACGGACGGTGTAACGTGCCTTGGAGTAGACGGGAGTTTGACCGGTCAATTGTTCGAGCACCTTGGCAGCACGAGTAAGTCTGTCACCAGACTCACCGACAGAGATGTTCAGCACAAGCTTCTCAATGTGAAGGCTGCGCATGGGGTTGGCCTTGGACTTCTGAACTTCAGCGCTCTACAAATAAATCCCAATTAAGTAAACATTGACCAATGTTCAAGCATAATGAGAAGTCAATGGAGGATGAATGCTAGATGATCGCTGGCAGAATGCACATATGTGGTGACCAAAATGACGATGGATTCCAATGGAATGGTTAAATCGAAAATGCTGACACGGAACTCTTATTCCTTTTATCTTATCCCTTGTCGGCAACAGAGATCCATATACTGCTGCAAATCGTATTCATCCATCGTCGTGCCGGTGTAATCTATCATTCATCCTCCATAGTATGTGAATATCAATGGATGAATCCATACCATGTCTGACGATATCGAAGCAAAAAGAGGAAGTATAATAATTCACCTTGCCATGACCGATCAAAATGCCTCCGGGGAGGATCGAACACTCAGGAGTCCCACTCTGCCCTTGTGGTCCGGACCGGACATCCAAAAATCCGGCAGCTTAAAAATAATGATTTCATTTCGCACAAAAACCAAAATAAAAAAAAGCAAGTGGCATCTGCAAACAAGAGCGTATAAACCATGTTGAAAAAAAAAGAATAATAAAGCTGGGATTATAGAATTTTATGCAAAAATCGCCTTTATTTTCAAGAAGTGTCCATGTGACTCAATATGAACGTAAACGAGAAAGTGGGAAAGCATGCTTAGTGCTGCTTCTTGGACTGTAAATAAAAGAAAAACGATAAATATTTTTGCATATTCATCAACGTTACTGCTTATGAGATACTTTACCTTGATCTTCTTGATGTAGAACTCGAGTTCCTTGCCTTCAAGAATGTAACCATCGCAACGGCCAGATTGACCGGGACGGGAAGCAATGATGGCATAAAGGCGACCAGCAGCGAACTGATCATCCAAAAGAGGATCGACAGCAGCCTTGGCCTGACGAGCCTGGAGCTTCTTCTGGACGCTGTTGGACTTCTTCTCCTCCTTGGTCTCAGTTTCCTACAAGAGCAAACAACAATAACAATGAGCACCGAGTCGTACACTCATGGCACTGGCTCACAAAGGGTGAAATGGACGATTTACTTACAGTGGTCTTGGCCTTCTTCTTACCGAGGGGAAGAGCGTAGTGAGACTCGTACCACTGACGGAAAGGAGTGGCATCGATCTGGATGATGGCACCCTTGACAAGAGTGTTGGTACGGACCAATTCGTTGTTGGAGGCGTTGTAGACAACGGTCAAGACACGGGTCTTGCGGGAAACGCCTTCGGAACCCCACGAGAAGTTACCAGCTTCAAGACGAAGAGCACGCTTCTTGTAGTTGCCACCGCGGACGCGGACCAAGTGGATACGCTTGCTACCAACCTTGGTGCTGGCGGGTTGACGACCCAACTCGAACCTTTACAAGTAAAAGAAAAAAAATAGCAAATCGTCAGTTATCTGGTGAACAAATTTCATGAGGAATCCACAGCTGTTCTTTTTTTTTTCTCGTCGCTCGCATGAGAATAGATTTCATGTTGCTGAAATCCTTCTGTCATGTCTTTTGTTTTGGATACTCTGCAGTGTCGATAACGCATTCGCAATGGGCAAAGGGAAAATGATGCTTACTTTCTCTTCTTTCGGTATTGGTCACGTCTAGCACCAGTGGCGCTGCGCTTGTGGCGAGAATCACGGCTGATACCTGATAGAGGAAAATGGATGGATCATTAGCCCTACGTTCTGATAGTGTGTATGTAATGATTGATGTATGGATTCACGATGAATCGATACATCTATCGTACGGATGCATTACCCATATTGTTTGCAGAGAAGGAACCTCTCAGTAGGCAGATTCTCGATCAAGTTTTACCCTCGCTCCGGCGGATCGAACGGCCGTGACGCTGAATGCGGAGTCCGGGTGTGACTGCGAATGTACCTGTCGGAACAGGCTCTGTCTTTTTTATGCTTTCGTGCAAGTCATTCAATCGCTGGGCATTGGTTCATACATTGATATCGAATAGTTTTTTCCACGGTATGCTATACATTTCTAGTAATTTATTTAATATGAAGGATAAATAAATGAGCATTTAAGAAAGCTCTCTTTTTCTTTTTTTACGATTTAGACGTCAACCAGTTGATGTTTGGCCTTGGCAAGTGCCAATAAGCTGTCGAATTCACCCGAGTTTTTACACATGCGGAAGAACACCGACTCAACGTTTTTGATAAGTTCCAAGGGGCTATAAATACAAATCAAGCGGATTAAGTGTGACGTTCCTTTTTAAAAAGGGGCAAATTAAGTAATAACTGACCTTGCGAATTCCACAATCTTTCCCTGGTCCAGCACGAGAATACGGTCGTATTCAATTACCGTGTGCAAACGATGCGCGATGCACAAAATGGTGCAATCCGCGAATTCAGTGGCAATGGTCTTTTGAATGGCCTTGTCGGTATCAAAATCGACGCTGGCAGTAGCTTCGTCCATGAGCACAATACGTGTTCGTTTGAGCAAAGCGCGAGCCAGACAAAGCAATTGTCGTTGACCTTGAGAGAAGTTTTTGCCTCCTTCGCTGACGGGTGTATCCAGATCTTTGAAAACGTTGGAATTCACCCCACTCAATTCAACTTCATCCACAGCGTTGCCGGTAGGCAACAAGTGAACGCGACGCAGAGCCATAAAGATATCTTCATCGGTGAATTGATCAAATGGATCCATATTGGAACGTAGTGTGCCAGAGAACAAGGTTGGATCTATGGAGGAAAAAGCAATGCATTTCCGTTACTTTTTTCAATCGCATGAAAAAAGTCGCTTTCGATTTTTTCTTACCTTGAGGGATAATGGTCAAATTGGCACGCAAATCTTCTGTGCCCAAGTGCTTGATGTCAATATTATCAATGAGAATTCGACCCTTGGTGGCTTCAACAAATCGGAAGAAAGATAATGCCAACGTGGATTTGCCACTGCCGGTACGACCCACCACACCAATCTTTTCTCGGGGGTTAATGGAGAACGAAAGGCCTCTCAACACAGGGTCCAAATCCGCAGCATAACGCACTTCGAGATCCTGCACTTCAATGCTGCCTTCCGCGGGCCACTAAACACAACATGGCATCTCTTTTAATTCGTGACCCGTTAAATAATAGACCATGATGAAACACTTACAGCAGCAGGAGGTCGGACATCGGTGATGGCCGGGGCTTCTTGTTCCATTTCCATGAATTCCACCACACGTTCAACCGCATTAAAGCTCATTTCCAAGCTGGTATAGCGACGAATAGCCCAGAACATCTAATGGCACGATTCAGTTATTCAGCCAACGATTGAATAAATTAACTTTTTTCAATTACCTGATCCGTGTACTGCAACACAAAGCTGAGAATAAAGCCAGCAAGCGAAGTATTCAGACGGCTCAAGCTGAGCAGAATGATCAATCCTGTAACGGAATTGATGGTGGCACCCATCAGGGCGTAACGCAAACTGACCCAGCGATTGATCACCCAAACGTAATAAAAGGGACGTGCATTGGTGTCGACGCGTTTCAACATTTCTTGCAAGAATTGGCGCGTGGCACCAAAAGCACGAATGGTCGCAACACCAACGATGGTTTCGGTAAAGTGACTGAACAGAGGCGAACGTGATACGGAATCCATGCGTTTCAATTCCCGCGAAGTCGATACAAACATCGCACCCAAAGCAATATTCACAACGGCAATAAGCACCATTGGCACGATGAACACGGGCATCACTATCGATACGGACAAAATGCTGGAGAAAATCACCAGCCATTGGATGACAAAGTTCAGCAAATCATTGGGAATCGTGGAGTCGACTGTTTCGAAATCCTTGGAGAAACGGTTGAGGATACGACCAATGGGGGTGGTATCAAAGAATCGGAGAGGCGCACGGAACACGCGATGCAATAACTGAGCATACAGCTTCTTGCTGGCTCGCAAGGTTCCCCAGTAAAGACCGGCAAATCGCACCGTGCCCACCAAAATATTCGACATGGTGATTAACACATACACACCGAGATAAAAGTTCACACTGTCCGTCTTTGAACCATCGCCCATCACTGTCATGGATGGATCGGTACCCATCGCAGCGATATCCGCGGAGCCGTTCGAATCGGTCATTGGCATATAAAGACCACCGTAGGAGTTGGCAGAACGTTGAGGCGACATATTGAACATGTGGAAGGCCGTGGCACTAGCGCTTCGGTCCTGATTTTCGTAGGATTGAGCCCATTCCTTGATCCACCAGCTGTCCATGATATCCAAACCACGAGCGCCAATAATGAATAGTGCCATCATGAACCAGTAAAATGGATTGCCGACCATATTCAGATACAACTTGTACAATCTAAACTTGACCTTGCCGGTGGCACGAGCTGCAAGAAGAAGAAAAAACAAAAAAGACACACGTAAGACGACATTCTTCGCTGCACGCATTTTGCTATTTCTCAAACGAAAATAGACTTACTTTCTTCCTCGACCAACACTTTGGGTGCCTTTTTGTTGAGATCCACCTTGGTCACTTCTATAGCAGGTGCTGTCGCCTCTTCGATGGCTTCTTCTTCATCTTCCGCTTCTTCCTGACCCTTTTCTTCTTCCAAGATCGTGGCCAAAGATCCCGACTGGCGCAAATCTGACGGAGAACCGAACAAATTGACTTGGCCGCTTTGAATGTGGACAAGGTAAGCAGTACCACCGAGACACAGTTTCACATGATGCGTGATCAAAATACGCGTTCGATTACGCATCAAAGGTCCCATCAAGCAAGTATCATACAGGTGTTTAGCGGTGTGAGCTAGATCATGGAGACAATGAGCCAGGATGCCTTGTGATTTTCCGAACCCATCAAAAAACTTACCATCCACGGCGCTGAGTACATCATCCATCAACACGTTCTTGGCACGAGAGTACACGGCACGGGCCAAGGCAACGCGAGCTTTTTGACCTCCAGACAAAGTGATTCCCTTTTCGCCAATTTCCGTCATATCACCGTCCTCCAAAATCGTCAAATCTTTATCAAGGGCACAGGCCGTCAACGTATCCTTGTAACGCTGCTCCACCATGGGAAGACCAAACAGAATATTATCGCGAATAGAAGCATTTTGCAGCCAGGCTACAGGAAACATGGACGTTTTAGATCCTTGGTAACGCAGTGCATCTTTTTTTTTTCTTACCTGTTTGAGATACGTAAGCAACAGCATGATCGAGAATCCAGGCTTCTTCAGGGATTTCGTCGCAGATGGCAAAATCCGCACTGACAGCAGTAGCCACAGGCGTGCGGGGACAATGGACTTGACCACTCAGGATCGTAGCTTCACCCAATAAACTAAGTATCATCAAAGTTTTGCCTGAACCTGTTGCGCCGCAAATCACACTCAATTCACTGTTGGGGAAGTGAATATCCACATCCTTCAAGATGAAACCATCGGTAGGACCGGTTGCACGAGTTTCTTCGGATGCATCTGTTAAAGCAGGAAGTTTCCAGCCGATGGTAGCATGGTCGAATCCAATATGAACTGGCTCGTTAGGATTGATGGGCACGGGTGCAGTCACCTCCTCCTCGTTAAGGTAGGTTTCAATACGACGGACACTGATATTTGGTTAGATCGTTCATCCCAAAAGAAACGAAAGAACAACAAGGTGATGCACGAGGCATCCAGCTTACCTGATAAGCGCCTGAAGCCATTCAATGAACACTTCTGGGAGAATATTCAAGGCAAAACGGAGTTCAGTAAAGACGGTGATTGCTGTAAAAGCAATGGGGGCCGTCAGTTCTTTGCCTTCAAGCTTGGTGAAGGACCAGAAAGAGATGATGGTGACCAAAATAGGGGATCTATCCAAACAAAATAAACCAGTGTCACATTCAGAAAAAAAAAGATCAAGCGTGAAATCAGATATTGAGATGTATCAAACGAACCCTTGCCACAAAATCGTAAACAAAACTTCGGAAATGTAGGACGTCCTCAAGTGTTTGAGTTCCAGGCCTCGCGCTTCCATGATCCGTTTTTCCCAATTTCTTTCCCAAGCAAAGAACTTGATCTGGCGAATGCCTTGAAGTACCTCATTCATCAAAGCGACTCGCTTATCACGCGACTCCATCAACTGATCTTGGGTCTTTGCAAATAGTTTCGCGTTGTAATGATTCAAGGGAAGCGTCACGATCATTACCAGTAAACCTAAGAAGCACGAAAGTCCAAGTAATTGATACAGAAAGTAGATGCCAATAGCGAGCTCCGTAGGAGCACAAATGACCGACATCCACCAAGTGGAGAATTCCGAAATACGGTTGGAATCGGTGCTCATGAGATTGACGATCGTACCCGTAGAAGAGCTAACATCCTCCGTCGATTCCGAGGCCTCGGTTGTTTCGGCATTCGATGATTCATCCTTCTCTTCCCCACCACCAGCGACTGCCGAATCCATACGATGCAACGTTTTGCGATAGATTTCAATGTTCAGCATGGATTTAATACGGACCTGGACCGAGGAAGCAGCTATAAAGACACAATAAGATGACAAATTAAGCAACCATAGACATACAATACAGTTTTCCGCCGACCAATATTTCGCAGAAAAGCAACATACCGTAATACCACAACTGGCCCACGAAGATACCCGTGACGAAGATGGAGAGACCAAGACCGCCCACGACCAAGAACCCTTGGGTCAGCATTTCACGATTATCCATTCCTCCTTGAATATGCTGAATAAGAACAAGTAACTGGTTCAAGAAATAGGCGGGAACATAGTATAAAAGCGACGTAATAAAAGCCAGGGTGACCTGAATAAGGATGGCAGATCTGTTGGCCTGGTATATCCGGTACAGTAACGACCGATTTCGATGTTCTCCGAAAATATAATACAGGTTATAACCACGATAGAGAGGCGGCAAGGTCGGTAAATCATCGTCCACAAGACTCTTTTTTCGGTAGGCCGTCTTGATCAAAGGTGTAACCCAGTTGAAATAAAGAGTACTCCAGATCGATGACACATTTACCGCTGAAACCGGTTTACCATTTTCATCCAAAAAAGGTTGACCTCGTTCCACCGTCGCTGTCGTATAAAGGAGATCGCTATTTGCCACCACGGCGATCAACAGAGGAAGACCGCCTTCCCACGATACGAAAGAGTACTTGGTGAACACCTCCCATGCCGCGTATAAAGACATACACCAGGCCACAAAATAAAAGACGCACAGATGGACGTTGAGTTTCCATCCCCATTCGTTGGGCAGCTTGTAGCGGCCCGAAAGGCATACCAAAGCCAGTGCGTATAGCCACGAAGCCAGCATCAAAGTGTAAGCAATCACCGTAGCAATGGCGGCTTGCGTATGCTGCTCAAGGTGGGTAAATTCTCGAACTGTGGTGTAGAGATTGTAGACAGCCATGGCTGTCATGACAATGGTATCAAAGGTCATTCGAGGTAAGCGATCATTGTCGGCAAATGGTACTTGAAGATCGCGTTTGTCATCGAAGCGCAATTTGGATGCGGACGCCGATGCTGTTTCTTCGGTGGGTTGCGTTTTCTTATGTTGCAATCCACGTTGTATCGATAGAATGACGGCACTCCCACATACTGTGAGAGTCAAGCCTGACGAGAGCCATAATGCACTCGGTAGGCTAGACATCCTTTTGGAGCAATCGATAATTGAAGCGTGGAAAAAAAAAAGAGAGTTCGAATTTTTTTTTATTTTTTGATGTGTGCGCTTTTAATGGCAATTTCGGGCGATGAAGTATGCTGCGGCAAACCGGGGAAGGCAATTTTTCAAGCGGCATCTGAAATAAGAATTCTGAGGAATGGAACACTGTGCCGCACTATCATTGTTCGGAAAACTCTCGGCACCACTGACATCATAGACACTCATCATCATCGCACTGTACAGCATATAGACTTTGTGGCCGCACAGTATCCTAAAAAGTTCAACATGGGGCCCAATTGCGTTTGGTAATACTATGCTGCCGGCTGGTTTCTGGGATCTTATCATTGGCTAAACATTCAACGGTCCGACCTTTTTGTGTTTGTTTATCATGACAAAAAAAATTATCATTTGCCCTTTTTGAGTCATAAACTCCTTTTTCTACACGTCAACTATGGTTTCACACGATGCACTTGTAACTTGCGGACTATTTGCTCGCAATGAAGGCTTGTAGTCAACTTGCAAACCGACAGACTCTCATCATTGCCTTGTTCTTGGGATAGTTATAATTACATGGTATGGGCGGGGTAGTTTTACTCGGTATGACTCATTTGCAGTAATTATGCAACCCGGCGCAAGGCCCTCATTTACAATTTTGTTTCCAATCGCAAAATTACTCTGGAACTACAGTAAATCTGTGCTTCTGCAAAAACACTTGTACTTTTGTAGCACGAGTTACGACCTACAGTAGTCCTTGAATTCGTGAATTCGTTACAACGCGCGATTCGTAGTTTCGTAGTTCTTCAAGCATCCGGTATCTTTCCAACAATTTATTTTCTTATTCACAACTTGTTGTTAAGCAGAAGCTGCTATTTTCTCAAAATGAAGATCGTCTAATTTGGCATTTACGTCTTTTTCTCGAATGCATTGCATACCGCATCAATGTGGATGACAGTAGGGTTGACTAAAAAGGTGCGAATACTGTAGGTGTTTTATGGGATTCATTTTGCCAACCTGTCACCATCTTTTTCCCGCTGTTAGCTTTCTGCCATTTTTCTTCTGTTACCAACAAGTTATCTTTAGCCCTTCATTCACCCCAAAGCATTATACTGAAGGCTATCATAATAACGCGCAAAGTAGCACGAACCCTCCTTATACTATAACGAGCTAAGGAAGATTTTCTCAGAGGTTATCCGACAGCGCGCCGGATTTACATGACTATCATGGCCGGTTGGTCAAAACAACACAGTAAACTCGCTGAAATGAATTTAAATCTTCATTAAAGGAAGTCTTTATTTCTCCCTTCATATACGATCGCTTGATTACATGAATTAATGACATAAACCTCCAAGATACAAGTTATATCGTTTGCCCAACTGTTTATTGATTTATGACAACAGGTCACATAAGAAACCATTAGTTGGCTATTCCGTGTAATCCAACCATGCATGTGCAATAGAATAAATGCAACACTGTGACCCTTCATGCGCGCAGCTGCACATAGCTTAAAACCGCAATCACCCTCACGTTGCTGCGGCGAAGGGCACGGGTCTCTGATAGATAAGCCCGTTTGTTTATATTCCTGGTTGGCGCAGCACCATTGCCCGTTCTGGAGTGCAAATACAACACTCCCAATGAGCGCTTGCTCCTATTTGAAGCAGGAAAAACTTGTTATGGACAAGTACTTATCTTTCAGGCTGTTTTGTATCATATTCAAGAGTCGTCATATGTCATCACTCAAATAATAGCTGCGTATTCTTTGAGGAAAAATTCTACGGATTCCCAAATCCAATAAGCACCATGAATATGTGATGCAATACATAAAAGACAAAGCAAGTGAAAAAAAAATACAGATAGCGAACCAAAAAAAAAAAAAAAAAAAAAAAAAGGAAACAGCTCTCTATGACTGAAGTATTCTGGATGATATATCGAGAAATGATGGATCTATACTGTAGACAACATTTTCTGCGGATTTGATGATGATTCTTTATTTGAGTGATGAGTATGTATCATTCCCCCATAATGAAAGCTTTCTCATTGCTTGTCACAGTTTCTGATGATACATCATTTTATTCAATTTTACGTTAAACGTCACTTGCCGCAACTGCTGTCGAGTGATTGATCCGTGCCTGGTTGCTGAGGTCTCTGTCCATCATCTGCTTTAAAGTCTGCTCTTAAAAATAACAGATATTCTCTCATGCATTTTATCAACGTTAAATGGAAACGCGGGCGAATAAATTAGATGATGTGTCTGGCATTTCAAAATTTAAACAACAGCTAAAAAGGTTTATGAGGGTATAGTCGAAATAAAGGACCATAGATAATATTCCATCTTTTCAGATTAGGTAATACCATACTCACCTACCACCCATTCGCTATCCTCAATTTACTAGAAATTAACATTGGCACTCTACATTTGTCAGCATGAAACATAAAGAGAGGGATTCCCAACTTTGCTGTCAGAACCCGTCACAGTGGGGGAGGGAATCAAAAATGGCAACCGCAGCAGGATTGGGTTGGTTAGCGGCTTTATCAAGTTTTCTATACTAATGAGTAAAAGAAAGATTGAAGGTGGGCAACATTACAGCGTTTGCTGTCTATGCTCACAATACTCATACAGAGATCTGCAGATACTATTAGCGATGACGATGAAGATAGTGATGTTCAATTGGAAGAAAAGTTGCAATTGAGACTTTATGGTAATTCTTGATAATTGGCTTTGTCATTTCTTTCGTATTAAATACGCATTGGCTTACATGAACAGTTCCCAAGAATGCCAATCTTGATATTTCGTCTCTTAGCCAATATCATGATCAGCATGGAGAAGCGAAACCTGACTTTATATCACACATCTTTGGCAAAGAAGACTATACATATCTGCCCTTGAAGAAGGATCATCTTTCTCGCCCTCTGTGGATTAGCCCAGAAGACGGTCATATCATTCTTGAAGGATTCTCTCCCATTGCTGAGCAAGCTCAGGATTTCCTTGTCGCCATCAGTGAACCTGTGAGCAGGTGAGTGATTGAAATGAGTTTGAGAATGTTGTGCGCACAATGGACTCATGTTCCATGATTCTTGCATTAGACCGGCCCACATTCAAGAGTACAAGTTGACACCGTATTCACTGTATGCTGCGGTGTCTGTCGGTTTGGAAACAGAAGATATTATTGAAGTGCTCAACCGTTTATCAAAAGTGCCCGTCCCAGATTCCATTACGCAATTTATCCGTCAATGCACATTATCGTACGGGAAAGTCAAACTTGTATTGAAACACAATCGTTACTATGTCGAGTCGTCCCATCCAGATACCTTGCAAATGCTTTTGAAAGATCAAGTCATCTCTCAAGGACGTATCGTACGAGACGAAAATGATCAGATCATCAGCGCCCCTGCCGGTGCGACCCAATCGCTTCTGGTCAATAGCAAACCAACCGGCAAAGATTTGCCTATTGCCGGTGTCAAGGACAAAACAGCCACCGAAACCGCCGAAGAAGAGCGTAAAAAGGAGGAAGAGAAACTCTTTGGTGCCATTGTAGGCATTGACAAAGAAGATGAAGAAGAAGATTACGCAGGCGAACAAGTACACTCATTTGAAATTGCCGCCGATCACGTAGAAAATATCAAGAAACGTTGTAATGACATTGATTATCCCATGCTTGAAGAATACGATTTCAGAAACGATACCGTCAATGCCAATCTGGAAATCGATCTTAAACCCACCACAGTCATTCGTCCTTATCAAGAAAAGAGTTTATCAAAAATGTTTGGTAACGGGTAAGTCGACCTTTCATCAGATAGTTCATTCGGGGAATTCGCTAACACAATGTTTTTTCAGACGCGCACGATCTGGCATTATCGTGTTGCCTTGTGGTGCTGGCAAAACATTGGTCGGCATTACTGCCGCCTGTACCATCAAGAAGAGTTGTCTCGTGCTGTGTACTTCTTCGTAAGTTTTCAATTATTGCCTTGGGTATCAAGGAAAAGTAAAAGGTGCTAACATGTAGTCAAACTAGTGTATCGGTCATGCAGTGGAAACAACAGTTTCTTCAGTGGAGTAATATCAAAGAGAATCAAATTGCCGTATTTACTTCGGATTGCAAAGAAAGAGTAAGTCCGATGACACGCCACTTTGATGCAATAGAGAAATTCTCACCCTGTAATGATAGTTTTCTGGCAATTCCGGTATCGTTATATCCACCTACTCCATGGTGGCTAATAAGCGAAAACGATCGTACGACGCGCAAAAGATGATGGAATTCTTGGAGTCTCGGGAATGGGGTTTTTTACTGCTGGATGAGGTGCACGTTGTGCCTGCCAATATGTTCCGTACCGTCGTCACTACCATTGCCGCTCACGCCAAACTCGGCTTAACAGGTAAATGGATTGATCGTTGTCTATAGACGAAATGTGTTACTCATACCCCCTTTTTCTTTTGTCTGCAGCGACTTTGGTGCGTGAAGATGAAAAGATTGATGATTTGAACTTTTTGATTGGACCCAAACTGTATGAAGCCAACTGGTTAGATTTGGCCAATCGTGGACATATTGCCAACGTTCAGGTAAGCGTGAACTACTGTGGGATCGGCACGTCGGTCTGTGTTTCAAGTATTTATTATGGTTGATTGCTTAGTGTGCCGAAGTGTGGTGTCCCATGACCCCCGAATTTTACAAAGAATATCTGTACGAGAATACACGAAAGCGAACGCTCCTGTATGTCATGAACCCTAAAAAATTCCAAGCGTGTCAGTATCTGATCCAATACCATGAACGTCGCGGTGATAAAATTATCGTGTTTTCCGACAATGTTCATGCGCTCGTGGTACGTATGATGATGACAATCACCCTTCGGCTGTATAAGGCATATTGACCCCAAACCGTGGATAATAGGAATATGCCAAGAAGCTCGGCAAACCTTATATCTACGGTGGTACCGGACAACAAGAACGTATGCGTATTCTTCAAAATTTCCAGTACAATCCCGCCGTCAATACCATTTTCCTTTCAAAAGTAAGTATCATGAACTCAGTGGACCATTTTTGAATTTTGACTCAAAATGAGGGAAAATGTGTAGGTTGGTGATACAAGTATCGATCTACCAGAAGCTACTTGCTTGATTCAGATTTCGTCGCACTATGGCTCTCGACGTCAAGAAGCGCAGCGATTAGGTAAAGGAACTTTCCTAATATATTTATCCATTGTTTTCTATCTAATACCTGTGCTTAGGACGTATTTTACGTGCAAAGAGACGTAATGATGAGGGTTTCAATGCTTTCTTTTACTCGTTGGTGTCTCGGGATACCCAAGAAATGTATTATTCGACAAAGCGACAACAGTTTCTGATCGATCAAGGTTACGCTTTCAAAGTGATTACCAACTTGGAAGGCATGGATAGCGATCCAAATTTGGTGTTTAGAACGCACCAGGAACAAATGGACCTATTGAAATCGGTGCTGTTAACGAACGAAGCGGATTTGAAGGACGAGTTGATCGACGATGTGGATGATGTCGGAAGAATTACCGATCGTCGTGTGGCTCAAAAGGGCCGTAATGGTTTGGTGCGACGTTCCGTGACCACCAGCAAGACCTTGGCGGGTGGTGATAATATGGCGTATTTGGAATATGCACGTAATTCTGGAGGTCAGTTTACCAGTCGAGGTCGTGGCAGTGGATCCGGCGGCGGCAAAGAACATCACGCTTTGTTTAAAAAGTACATGGGTCGCAAGTAAAAAAGAAACGTCGGCCAGTGAAAGCACCGATAAAAGAAATCAAAAACTCGATTTTTGTTGTATATATTCGTTATTTTTGGAAAGTAAAAGAAAAATGCAAAACAACTGAAAGGGGAATGATAATGTCAATGTGATGGGATTGCATTGAGCGATGATACAATGAATGACCTTGACTGCAACAATCAAGGAAAAAAAGGCAGTGCGTTTTCCCATTTGCGATGCATTTGTCATAGCTCAAATGGAATTAACAAGCCGTACACCCGCTGTGCAATGGATGCCGCCTGCCACCGGAGGTCGCCCTCTTACATTGAGCGACTTTCGTCAGACAAAAAGCCTAACGCATACACGGCATAACCTGGGCGAGAACTCTTGACGGAACTTCGGTATATTAATGACAACCTTATGGCATACGTTGCAACGTGATTTGTTTCTGAACACGCGCAGGGCAGCACTGGTTCCCCCCCTCAGTTCCATCCCGCCCAGGCTATGATAGATCTAGAAAGATGTGTGGGTATGTTGGGTATTTGAAAAAATGAGTTAGTAAGCTCTTTGATTGATTCAAATTTTCGTCAAGATATTTTACCTTTGTTATTTGAGTTTGCAATAGCCATTGATTGCTTGACATGACTTGGATTATATGACATTGAAAATTTTTTGAATTAGTATACGTTCATTATACATCATAGCAAAGGAAAAGAAATTGGACTTGCCTTTGAACCAAATGGTGAACCGGACAAAAAAAAAAGATGATACGGACCGCCAGGTAAGCTTCTTCTTCGGTGCGGAAAATAAAATTGCTTCCAGGGACAGTTAAGCGATGGATCGGTGGTGTCAGCTTGAGCAGGCAAAAAATATTGACGTGGCCAGAATTGACGGTAATTTCGAGTTGGATTCCAGATATCGAGAGTCCCCCGAATGAAAAGAAAGAAAAACAAATAAAGTACATGATGATAAAAAAAACAATGGTCGCGTCAGTAAAAACCTCATAAAAAACCCTGTGGGAAAAGATGAAAAGACTGCGAAAAGAATATGTACATGAAATATAAAATACAAAATACAATAATCGGGAAGACATCTCGAATACCATATCAAGAGAAGCAATCCAAAGGAGAGGAACATGAAGAGGACGACGCGTAAGCGTTTTCCGATGAAAAAGAGAATTACACCACCGACGCTGGCCTTTGACGTCATCCTGTTTCGCCAGATGGATTGATGGATGACGAGAGAAAGTCAACTTGTAGCATCCAGAACTTGTCAGGCGAAAAGAAAAGGAAACCGGAAGCTGGAAGAAGGATGGAAGCAAAGGAGAGGTGAGTCTGTTTTGCCGGAGCAAAATCGATGGTGGACCACTCGACGCTTACCTTTTTGAGGATTGTAGTCGATTCAACCAAGTTATATACACGGGATAAGAATGGTCTGGATAATGGATGCGGATGGGATCTTGATACAATGATAGTGAGGGTTTATCAAGCAAACAGAAAGAGAGAGAGAAAAGCAAAAGAAAAAAGATAAGATTGAAGACAAAAATATATGATTCTCCATGGATGAAACAATAGTCAACCCTACTGATGCATGAATTCATAGATCGAAGCACGTCTGCTTATGTATTATTCGATTCATTGAAAATTGAAAGAGAATGAAAGGACATATACGTATAACTGACAAAAAAAACAAATTGAATGATGCTACAGAAAAACGCCGGTCGTATCATCAACCACTTTTCTTCAAAAAGAGCTCTACTCACATTTTTATTCGAAAGACGACGATGCTCTGTTTGACCATAAATGGCGCAACGGCATCTTGCTGCTGATTGTTTCGCCTATTATTGTGGAAGTAGGCAGCGAGGCATGGTTGAAAGATAAAAAAAAAAGAGGTTTAACAGGCCCTGATAACTTAGTGTAGATCATGTGATTTACAAATCGCTAATTTCCCAAATATTTTTATTATATAGAGACTAGTAGCGCCTGTTGATCTTAAAGATCACAAAGTTATGCTCTTTCGGTCTGTAGTTTGTTGATAATCTGAGGCTAGTGGGAATAGTAGCTGATTAAAGATGCGTTTGGAATGGGATACTCCATTTGCAATATTCAGAACTCCGCACTCGAATTTGCGTATCCAAAGGTCTCGCTGATGGTGTTCTCTTAACTCTAATGTTTTGTCAATAAGCGGTTGAACTTTCGGCAAGATTTAGTTGATGTGCTCATAATCTTTGCGCATTCAATGAAGCTCAGTCTCTTTTCCTTTTTCCCGCGGGGCTCGCCCCCCCCCCCTGACGTACCGCCACATAGCGATCATTTTCTTCATCCACGACAGAGGAACAACAATATGTACACAAAGTTAGGAACAGAAATAGTCAGACAGCGTATAATATTAAATGGAGAGACAAAAATAGATAACAGAAAAAATCGTACTCGGGGAAACATAGCATAAGGATAAAATCAAAAGGAACATAAGGACAAAAAGCATACAGTAAAACATAAAGGTGAAGAATAACTTGAAAAATCATAGCAAAGGATCAAATCAAAGGAGCATAAGACAAAATACATACAGTAAAATATAAAGGAATAATAAAAACAACAATATAAGGGTAAAGACGCCACCAGGACCATCAACAAAGAACAATCGGGCTGATTCGTTGCTTCCATGCGTGACACTCTGGAGAATTGCGTGGTATCGGCATGTTGATAACGGTTTAGGTACTCGTGTATTTGGGGAACATTGGTCGAATTGTTCTCTTACCAGTCTGGGCTGACGGCGAAGTGTGCTTATGCCAATTTCTTGGCGATCAGGAAGAACAAAGCGATCGTAATTCAGCAGTGAACTCGATTGGCGGTTCAGCTGCTCTTCAATGTCCAGCAAAGCGCGATCGTACACGATTTGGGGCGGCTCAATTTTGATGATCTTTGTCTTGATTTTGATTGCTCCAAAAATGGAAATAGTCTTCTGCTAAATGCTGGCGGAACTGCGTCCAAAGCGCAAACAGGTCAGGAGCCTGACATTTTCTGTCATTGCCGGCATGATACATTGCTGCTGCAGCACGCTCGTGGTCCTTGTAAACATACTTGTACAGGTATTTGACGCTTTCCAGAGAAGTACAGATTTCGACGTTAATGTGAGCGTTATATCTTGCACAGAGGTATCGATTGTGGGGAACAACCCATCTATGTCCAACTGGACATGGTTCTTGACCACAAAATCACCATTGTTGCGACGACGGTATAACGGGTAACCACTGTGATCTTCGATAGTAGCTTCATTGAAGGAGCGCGGGTAACGCTTTTTACATGAGCCGTTTTCCATGCAGGGAGACCTCGGATGCGTTGTTCCACAAGGACCGTGCATCATACATCTGCTGACGGTGTCGTAGAGATCAGGAAATCTCTCACTGTCCGGAAGTTCGGCACACACGATAGGATCATAGTCATCAAGTGTTCTCGGCTTATCCTCCGGAGTAACACCAAAAGCAAATGAAGATGCAGTAAGCCTCGCTTCTGAAACTCCACCGTGTGTACATGGGCAACGACTCTTCCCAAAACATGGTTCTTCTTTAGATCTTCCATCAGAGCTTTACGCTTCATGTTATAAATTCGAGCGCAAAGGTCGGGCCGATCAACAGCTGTCTGGTTTCGTTTCAACCAATCATATATATTTTTTTTTCAAAAATTACCCAATCAAAGCCGACAAATGTAGCAAAAACCCAATGTGACTGTCTTGTGACTGAAAATTAGCGCGCATAACTCCCAAACATTTTAATAAGGTTGAGATTTCCGGAGATAAGCAAAGACTAAATTTGAAAATTAGAACAGCTGGACCTGATGGCAAATGACCAAGCAGGTGTTGTGTTCCCGGCTTTGCCGGATGCTGCACTCTTTTGCGGGCCAACCGGCAGAGAAGCCTAAAAAACTTCGAGTTTAATATAGAACTGACCTGTCTTCGAAGCGCTGGCATATTCTTCACGCTTTATGATTGTCTGTTTCCTGTACACGATAGATATCCGAGACTACAAAGGACATAAAGAACAATTTTCAGACCAGGCTCCACATTTTGCACGGTAAAGTGGGAAAGGGATGGACTTGAAGGCTGAGCGTTACTGCTACTATCCTTTTGTAGGCGACGCAAATAGCGTCGATGCATTGCAGGAAAAGCGAATGTCATAAAACGAAATCATTTTCAATAAAGGTCAAGGCTTTTACAGTATATGGTTTTTTTTTTTTTTTTTTTTTTTTTGGAATGTCCATAAAGTATAAAGGCACACATCCTTTCGGAACTGCTTGTAATATCCAAACACATCATGCCAAAACAAAAAAAGAAGACCTGTTTGTATGATAATGAGCATTAAGCATAGAATTTAATTTAGATTCGAGTGTCTAGTGCTGGTGCCTTGCGTAAAAGGCACTGGATGATACATATTGTAATCATAAGGACTATCCCGTATGCTCGTACAGTTCACCATGAAATGATTCCGACTTGCACAATATAGGTATCACGTTTGTCAAGAGCACGTTATGCATAAAATTTTAAAAGGTTGCCTTTTTTCTTTAAATGCGAGAAATCTATCTGCAACTATGTCATCAATATGATACGGTGTAACCTTGATTAATAGGGAAGAATAAAGTGATCCGAATCACGAAAGATAAGAAGTGAGAACCAAGGAAAAAGGATGATAAAAAGCATGGACCATTAGTTTTTTGATGTATGCTTGCTCATTGGTAGATGGTGGGTTGTCGTATGAACTGTAAGAAACATTTTCTCCCGTAGATACCGTATTATCATTACAAAGATAATACAGTAAAACGGTTGGGAGAGCAAGGATTTATTTACATAAAGCTTGGATTGCAAAAAAAAAAAAAAAAAAAAAAAAAAAAAAATGGATGATAATGATGAATATCCGGGTCTTCTTTGTTCTGTAGAATCTGCTTCCAAAATGGATGTGATCATTACGATAATCCATGAAAATACAATAGTAGGTTTGATGTGATTAAGAGTCACTATATTTGGACCGCGGTTTATTCCGAGTATGATGTTCTGGAACAAGCTATGACGAAGGTTCGATATGTAAACTTTTAATGATGTGATAACAGGGAAATGATATGGTAGAGTAGTAATTCATTTATGCTGTCCGGTATTTTGTAACCATCGACCAAATTCACAATTTTTGAGACCTCGACTTGTTATGCCGTGCTTTTGTGTGTGCGTTTCTCAAGTGATGCAATTGGTGCGACGTTTTTGTTTCCTTGCTTGTCATGTCAATTAAACCCTTTCACCCAATTTAGGCTGCTCATTGGTTCCGAGCCCATCATTTATTTGTAGCTGTTTTTAGCACTTGTCAGGTACTTTGCCTTATTAACATGCCCAACGGCAACAATGATGCATATTTTATAAATAAATAAGGGAGGCCTTTTTTTTCCTTGTGTTTTTTGTTCTTTTTTTTTTTTTATTGACAGTTTTCTTATTATTGCTTATTTTTTTTCTTTTAATTTCACCTGCAAATGACAACAACCACCTCTCACATAGCTCAGCTTATCCATCATTCTCAGTGGATACTCCGACGATTTATCTCAATACATACGTCCACGGAACAAACAAAGAAACAAATCGCTTCTGATCTCCTTGTCACTGCCGAAGATTGTTTATTCGGACGTCATGGTCTTCGTGTGGATCGATTCAGAGCGGTCGCTTTATTGCGCCAAGCTTGCGACTTCGAAAGTGCGGATGCTCAAGCCGTGCTTGGGTTCTGTTATGAATTTGGTCTTGGTCTTGCAAAAAATGATAAACAAGCCGAACTAGCCTATCTACGTAAACTTAACGACGGTCATGCTGAAATGAATGCTTATCGCATACTGGCCTTGAGCCGGATGCTCATGTTACGGCGCCACGGCCGACCCCACGTTGAAATGAATCTCGTTGAGGCGCAATATTACGAAGAACAACTTCGAGGTTATCACGTGAATTGGATTGCGCAAGGAGCACAACAGTACGGATGTCCCGCCTGCCAGTACTGTTTAGGCGTGCTATACCACGACGGCATCGGCATGGACAGAGATTTGGACCAAGCATTGGAATGGTATCGGCGCAGTGCCGACCAGGGTCACTGTCGTGGACAGGGAATCCTAGGTTACTGCTATAGTGAGGGCATTGGCGTGGCAAAAAACGAACGTGAGGCACTGAAATGGTACCAGCGTGCAGCTGAACAAGGAGAAGCTGCAGCGTTGTACAATGTCGGTTACTGCTATGAGTGCGCCATTGGTACAGAAAAGGATATGACGAAAGCTATGGAATACTACCATCAAGCGGCTGCTGAAGGGAATGCCATGGCACAGAATGCGTTGGGATATTGCTATGAAGACGGATTGGGAGTGACACCATCGTACCGTGAGGCGGTGTCATGGTACAGAAGATCAGCTCACCAGGGGTACCCCTGGGCGCAATGCAACTTGGGCTATTGTTACGAAAACGGACTGGGAGTGCGTTCCTCCACAACACAGGCATTTCATTGGTATATGAAAGCTGCATCTCAGGGGCATGCCAGAGCGCAACATCACGTCGGGGTTTGTTATCAGCATGGCTACGGCGTGAAGAAAAACGGTAAAACAGCCTTACAATGGTACAAGAAATCGGCGGATCAAGGTCACTTGGCGGCGTTCCATTCCCTTGGTCACTGTTACCAGTACGGCATTGGTGTTTCCGCAAAACCGCACGAAGCCGTTTATTGGTATCGTCAGGGTGCCCGTCAACATCACCCTCCCGCTCAGCTCGCTTTGGGACATTGTTATCGCAACGGCATCGGAGTTCCCAAGAATAGAAAACAGGCAGTTGCATGGTTTAAACGATCCGCGAAACAAGGCAACGCCATGGCACAGAATTCCTTGGGATTTTGTTACGAGGAGGGATTAGGGGTAGCGCGATGTGAACGAACTGCAGTCCGATGGTATATGAAAGCCGCGACACAGAACAATGCATGGGCGCAATGCAATCTTGGTAACTGTTATGCCAGTGGGACGGGATTCCCCAAGAATGCAAGCATGGCAGTCTACTGGTACCAAAAGGCGGCTCAACAACACCATGCGAGGGCTCAAGAGCGGTTGGGGATGCACCTTCAACTCGGCGAAGGCATACCGCAGGATCTCGAGTTGGCGTACTTTATGTTTCGACAAGCAGCACAGCAAGGTCAAGTGACAGCCCAATATCACTTGGCCATGTGCTACGAAAAAGGACTCGGCGTGCAGGCCAATATCGAAGAAGCGCTTGCATGGTTCGAAAAGGCTGCTTTGGTAAGAAAATGGTTCACTTTTTCACTGTGGGTGTGCATATGTGGTCTAAACTGGTGGGATTTATGTAGGCTGGATGCCGCGAAGCCTTTGAACGCAAGAGACAATTATTGCTACGCCATTGTCTGGAAGCTTCTTCTCTGGTCGAAGATACGTTTTCCGATGATGTATTGTGCTGGTTGCAGCGAAGCAAAGATCATCCCGTGCACACAAGTTACAAACACTGTGCGCCTGCAGCCTAATTTTTTTTTGCCTCATATACAATACCACAATATCATTTTCATGTAAATAGACAAAGCATATCATCTAGAAGAATTCACAATAATAAAAAAATGACCGGATTGCATATACGCTTTTTTATGATTCTTCAGCTTGAAAGGAGCAGCTTTAATTTTTTTTTTTTTTTTTTTTTTTTGGGCAGCTGCCACCCAGAAATGGCCGGCCAATGTCGGAGATTCATTAATCCGGCGGTGGGCGGACGGTTCAAGGATCCGCGCCAAGGGTAAAATGAGGATGGCCAGGTGAAGCCTGGGATCCTTCCTTTTTTTACGCATTGTGTACGTATCGTCACGAAGAGTCAAGATGGAGAGAATGGAAATGGGGAAACTAGAGGGATGGATGGCATGGGAAAAGTGATGGTTGCGATGGATGAGTAGGATGGATGGTTTTCGATTTACTACCAGGATCGGAAATGTGTATTTTAAACGAGACGCAAAGCGAATTCAAGTTAACAGACGAGCATTTCACTAACAAGACATGTTTCTTTTTTTTTTGTCTATATATACTTACACCTACCCCAATTCGACTCGATATTGAACGACGATGTGGCTTCTTTTTTTTCTCATTATTTTGCATGTTCCAAAACAGCAGACGATATGGCTTCCAAGATCGCTAAGCCCGCTGGTGCCGCACCCGCCGATGAATTTGAAATCTCTGTTGCCCAAGCCCTCCTCGATTTGGAGAACAATGTGGCTGAATTGAAGAAGGACTTGCGTCCTCTCCAAATCACCGCTGCCAAGGAGGTAAGCTTCGGAATTGACTCCCCAGGACAGACTAGCAGACACCCGACGATGTTAACTCTTGACTTGTTATATAGGTTGAAATGGGTGCCGGTAAGAAGGCTATTGTCATCTTCGTTCCCGTTCCTACCCAGAAGGCTTTCCAGAAGATTCAGGCCAGGTAAATTCTTTGACTAGATGGCGAGAGTGTTATCAAGAATAAGAAAACGAATCGGCTAATGCCACGATCCGTTGTATTTTTTTGTCAACAGACTCACCCGTGAACTTGAGAAGAAGTTCTCTGACCGTCACGTTGTGTTCGTTGCCCAGCGCCGCATCTTGCCTGTTCCTGGTCGTCGCAGCAACCCCAAGCAGCCTCGTCCTGTTTCCCGCACTTTGACCTCTGTGCACAACGCCATCTTGGACGATCTTGTTTTCCCCACCGAAATCGTTGGCAAGCGTCTCCGTGTCAAGGTTGATGGTTCCAAGACCCAAAAGGTCTTCCTTGATACCAAGGATGCCACTTCTTTGGAATACAAGCTCGACACCTTCTCTGCCGTCTACAAGAAGTTGACTGGCAAGGATGTTGTCTTTGAATTCCCTGCTGTTGTCGACTTGTAAATTCAAAAAACTACATGGCCACTACCTTTATTTCCGAGTTGCACAATTAAATAAAAAAGAGAAACTCTTACAGACATTGGTACCATTCCAAATTTAGGCAGGCGGGGATGAGGTTAGTAAACTTGCAGGACAGTGGGCACACCGGAATCCGAGAATTCTTTGAAATACAATAGTTTCTCGCTTACCTTGACTTTTGTCCTTTGGTTGTCTACACATATTCTCTTTCCGTTATCTTTTCGAACATGCGCATCATTTTGGGGTGAGTTTTGTACGTGATTGTTGATGCAGAATGGAGCATTTTATATTCGCATTTTGCACAGTACCGCAAGCATGGGGAAACAAGAAGTTCCCAATATTGTTCACAATGCAGACCAAGTGAACACCATATTGGACGCTTTTGCTTCCTTGGGACACTCGGATATTGGTAGCTAGACATTTTTTTGTGTGATGTACCTCTTGGAAACGCAGAGCTCATAAAAATAATAACAGACACAGCCCGTTGTTATGCTGATGGTACTTCGGAATACATCCTGGGAGAAGTAAAGGCGGTCACTCGATTTCGTATCTCCACAAAGATCCTCGCCGTCAAACCGGGGGATCACCGACCGGAAAACCTGAAAAGACTCGTGCATGAATCGCTTACGGCGCTTCAAACGAACAAAGTTTCTATTCTTTATTTGCATGCTCCTGTAAGTCTGGACTATCTAAATATACCCACTTTCCACTGAGTCATCCATCCGTTTTGCAGGATAGAGGAACACCATTGGAACTGTGTATGCAAGGCATCCAGCAGCTTTATGAAGAAGGTCTATTTGAAGAGGCAAGTAAGATGAATCGCATGGCCTAGACAATGGATCTGAAAAAACTTTTTCCATCCCAGTTTGGTTTATCCAATTTTTCGCCAGCTGTAGTCAAGGAAGTATGCGAGGTGATGCAAAAAAACAATTGGATTATGCCATCGGTATATGAAGGGCTGTACAATTTCCTTTCTCGACGAGTCGAAGAAGAATTGTTCCCTCTGCTTGATCAGTACCATATGCGCTTTCATGCCTATAGTCCTCTTGTAGGAGGTTTTCTTGATCCAAAGCTGCGACATGGAAATGAACAGCTTATTGTCAAAGGTTCCCAATTTGACCCGGAGTTCTTTGTTGGCAAAATGTAAGCCTAAATCGTAAGCAGAAGCAGAGGTATATGGTAGGTATTGATTGATTGGTGACTTTCTTAGGTATAGAGAATGGTATTGGCATCCTTGTTATTTTGAAGCGGTCGATCGCGTACATGATACCGTGCAGCAATTTGGTATGTCGGCTTTCGAAGCAGCGATGCGATGGATTGTTTTTCATTCAAACCTGGATACTGGACGTGGAGACGGTGAGTGGCGTGACCCTGTTCCATTATGCAGTACCTCATTCTCTTTGGCGTTTTCCATAGGTGTGATTATCGGAGGCTCTACTTGCGATGAGTACTTGCAGAATTTGTCTTGGACAACCGCCGGCCCTTTACCCGAGGTCGTCCTTCAGGCAATGGAAAAAGCTTGGACCTCAACATCCGCCGAGTGCCGTTCTCCCTGGATGTAGCATTTGCTCGGGGTAGTTGCAATAAAGAACTTGATCCAATTAGTCCAACGTCCTCATCCGTAAAGTCTTTATAATCGGGGATTTTCTTTTTAATATTTGTCATTTCAGTTTTCACTTAAAATCATTAACATCCCACGGCACGCCCCGTTCAATCCATTTCTTTCTTTCTCGTTATATCATATGACACCACAACAGTGAGCCAAGGAACCCAATACAGTTCGTTCAAATAGATCTGTTATTATGCCATGCAACAACTATATACGTGTATATGACTGCCATTGCATCTTTGATTCTTTACTTTCTTCTGTTATGGACCATATCTACGGGAGCTGATTCTGTGAATGCATTGCTAGCAAATGTATCTTCGATTTTTGCAGCCACGGGCTCGAATCCTTCTGGAGTCATTTCGTTCATCGCATGTAGATCGCGCTCGATCGCGCTCATCTCACGGGAATTGATACCATGGCCAAAACTGGCATTTCGCCTAATCGCCGGTTGCGATACTCTGCTTGCGTTTACAGACTCACGACGTGGTCGCTGCTGTTCTGCTAGCTCGTCTCTGGCGATAGAAAACTACAATGAAGGGTTAACGGATATGCTCGATTGATTCCAGGGTTCAAAGATGGTTTACCTCATGTTGTAAAACATCATACGCATGGCGCATTGAATTCATGAGATTTTCATGCCGAATTTCATACTCGGCTTGAATATCTGAGAATTCTATGATTAGTCTCGAGAGCCAAATGAAGAATGAATTCTTCTTGTATTGATATTTACCAGCATATGTACTATCTTGATTTGGATTCATTTCTGGTTTTCACCCTAAAGACCAGTATATTTTGGCAATGCTTGGTTTTTATACTGCAGCCGTGTTTTACAAGGGCTTGCATTGATTTGAAAATTTCAGATCTCATTTGCGAACAGAAAGTGACAATTCCACAAAAGGAAGGTGCAAGGACCGCTCATGATAAAAAGTCGACCAATTGGCAAAATCCTTGAACAAAAAGGAAAATCTGACGAACCAAAACGTTGATGGTATGCTTTTGTGCCAATTCGATATTTGGTGTTACGTCGTTACGAGGAAATTGCAACGCTACTGCCACCAATCCTACGGCAAAGCTAACGACCGACGAACCGTGTCTGTTCTGAAGGACAAGGCATTATGCCCTTCGCCTTCACGTTGTCGTACTTGGGAAGTCAGCCTATGTTACCTACGGTGACTCGTGCACGTCGATCGAGATATACCCGTTGTACCTTGCCCAAGCGAATGAGTTAGAAGGCTCCACTTTTTGAGACTTAGTGTGTCGATGGCAACCAAGCCTACCACTGCCAATCCTCACACTGACAACGAAATCATCAAATTTGTTGCAAGCCGCATGTATCCATTATTGCGTATTTTCGTCATTTTTTCCCTATCATACTTATGTATAATTGCCAGAACAATGTCACGTTGTCGCTCTTTATACCGCAGCCGACAAGCGCCAACTATCACAAACAGATACATTGATGGGCCCCACTATTTACTATCTAGGATCTCCGAGATTGGTTATGACAAATAGTTTTGTAACGTCGCTGTTTTTGAATTTTGACGAACATATGATGAATTGATGTGCAAAGACGCCAAATTTTCTTAATACAATTAGACATTTTTAATCAAAAGTAAAAGGTAGGATATATATCATATATTACTATACACAAAAAAAAGGTGGATGCAAACGAATGAGAGATGGGAAAGAGACAACCACCATAGGGTGAGGATGAGGTGGGAAAAATTAATTAGTAGGGGAGGACGAAAAAAAGTAGAAATTACACATGAGAAGAGGTTTATACACAAAGGATTAGCGTTGTTCGTCGAAACTTCCACTGGAACGAATGGAAGAGTCGGTCAGCAAGGAGGGAATATCATCTTCCTCAAGAGAAGCGGCAGAACCGGTCTCGGTCTTGGTGAGTCGAACGACCGAGGGTGTGAAAAATTCGTGTTGTCCGTGGTTGTAATGAGTAGTCAGGCAATCCGGGCTGGGAATGACGAACGTTTCCGATTCTTCCGTTTCCAACCAATGATCACGCTTGCTATCTTCACAGGGAGAGGGTGGCAGATATACGCCCGAGTCATTGACAGTGGACAATTTGAACACTTCGTCTTTTCCGCTTTCCCGTAAAGCGATGGTCGGCATATGCTTCGAGAGTCGCTTATTGGAGGTGGGTGACGAGGTTACAACGATGGCTGGCTTTTCTTTGGTATAATCATGGGTGATAGCCCCTTCATCAATATTGCTGTCAGTGGGATTTTCAGCCGTCTTGCTATTGCGTTGCCAGAATTTTACGGGCTTGAGCAATGACTTGTATTTGGATTCATGAGCAGGAGCAGAAGTAGGTGTGGCAACAACAGACATGATTCTATAATGTATAATGATAATGAAAGAGAAGAAAAAGTGGGGTCAGGGAACCAGTTTATTTTATATTGGATAGTGGGAGTTTTTTCTTCTGCCCAGAAAATGGGTTGCTGTTGAATGAAACTTTACCAATTACGCTATCGTTTCCATCTTGAGAAACCATATCGTCTTATAAAATGACGTCAAGTACCTTCCAAAATGGAAGGTACAAACTAAAAGCCTCATTGGTGATCTTTTGAGGATAGTCCGTATCCACGTGGTTTTATTTCGCTGAGTTCGATCTACAGTAGCGAACGGATAAACATATAGAATAGCCGAAGTTGGCTCGCCAATCAACTGTGTCAAATGCTTGATTCGTTATCATTCCCTATACCCAGATGTCGCATTCCCAAAAAGGTGTAGAAAGGAAATCGGAAGAACATTGAAAATATCAGAAACTTGAGCAAACGTCAAAAGGACGGAAGAAAACCTGATATAGCTGCCTCGTCATGGGTGGTACATTGTCAGCAGAGCTTTTGAATCTTCTGCATCTGAAAACTGAGAGTGTGGCATGTCACATTTGTCTTTACTGGTTATTTGATTTTTTCTTTTTTGGCTTGGTAGGCCAGTCCGCTAAATGGGTGAGCTTGAGAATGGCACCATGACTTATAATCATTTCTTTGATCATTGCGAATCAATCCTTGTTTCTGCGGCAACCAAATTTCTAATTGGACAGCCTCTTTTTGGAATAAGTTTTTGAACCTGTCAATAAACATCGACAATTTTATTTATCCATTATAATCTGAGCGATCAGAGCAAGCTCAAATGTAAAATCCTTGGCTGGAAGGCCTCAGTGACGCTCAGCGTGTCAAAGTGTCTCATTCAGCATTTACAGGCCCTGAGGAACGATGAGGGACCTATCGACTCAATACCCGGGAAAAAAAGGAGTACGCACAGAGCGAGAAATTGATGCCAAGAGAACATTGGAGTTGCTAAAAGTGAGGGAAGTCAAGAAAGACCGGCTTTTATTGTTGGTCGATCTCACCAACAATCTCACCAACAAAATTTCCAACCAACAAGTTTTCTCTCATACTGTTCAAATATTGTCTTGTATCTGTACACCGATTGAGTTCTGGGCTGTTGTTCATTCAACACCACGCGCCTGATCCACAAGTTCGCGGATGTCTACAGTATATTGCTAGCTTTTTGCCACGATGAACGGAAGTGAATTGCATCGAAGAGCGATAAATCTAAAATCGTAAACACTCAAAATGAATGATCGTCAACATCTCAGGAACACGTCTATTAAGCTCAGAGCATCACTTTTGCGGGCTGAATTGTGAAATCTCGGAAATTTACCCTATTCTGTTATATCATGTGAATGTTCGAGATTTTATGGCCTTTAGTAAGCAAGCCGCACACCCATTTCTGGCTGCCGCCTCTCACTAAAAGTCATCTTCTTACACTGAGCAACTTCCGTCAGACAAAGTCTGCACTTTGTAAGGGATAACCTGAAAGCGGATTTGATTTGTTAACCTCAATACTTCCTGTATCCATGCGATTGATTTGTTTCTGAATAGGCACAAACCAGCACTTATTGACCCCTTCCATCTTTTCACGCCCAAGTGATGATAGACCGAGAAATTAACTTTCGAATGTTTTAAGTTTTCGAGAGCCATTGGTGATTTAACATCATTTGTATCATATGATATCGACTAGAATCAATACACGTTCAAGATATTCGTAGCAAAAAATGATTTCTTTAAACGAAATAGCATGCCGAAAGGTTGGGTTGGGTAAAAACGCGTAAAGACTCTCTATGGTAGGAAATAAGAGTGTCTGCAGGTACAACTTATCTGTGCAACATTCAGTGTCGGTGGTGCAACTTAACAAGCGGTCCATCACCGGTAATGAAAAAAGCTAGACGCACTCCTAATGCATGATGATGAGCGATTTGGCCGGATCAGCTACACACATCAGAGCATATCTGTTCATATATCATTCGATCACCCTTTTGTCTTCCTGTTTACAAATATGTCGGACACCCCATCATGGCATGCTGGCAACGGATGGGGAAACTGCAAACATGTAGCATGGCTTGTTTATTGCTTATCCAAAAAATAGAGTTAGAAAACGCTGTATATGATAAGAAAAATAGCTGTGCCAATTTCACCCGGCAATATAAATCCGGTTTTGCCCATTTTACTGTATTTGTTCGTCCCTTGAAGCATCACGATACAAAACAGTAATTGCTGTAATGTTTGCAATCGCTCAGTCAAAATGACGAGTTATCTGGCTCTTTTCATGTTCTTCCAGCATAGCATAATACATTGAAAATGATGTTTATCGACATCAGGTCGAAATCATGATGTCACGATGAAGAAAAATTTCACAGTGCTCATTTTTCCCATTTTTCCGCATCAGTAAAAGCCTACTCCAGTTATCATATCTGTTCATTGTCACTTTTGTCGTAGTGAAGGATCCTATATTTAGAAGCTTGTAATGTCTAAATTTATATTAGCGGTTGTGGAAAAAAATTTGCGTAACTCTATTGATGTTGGTATGATTTCTATGATGTGAGTATCATCTTTCCTTTAGGAGGATGACACTTTTTTATCCTGTTCGATGGTCTTGTTCAAACTGATTTCCAGCAAAGTGTTGAGACGCGTAATCATTGAGCGAGGATCGTCCAAGACACCGGCAGCACACAACGCATTGTCATAAACCTGGGTTGGATGGGAAAATAAATAGCGTCAGAAAATCACGGATTACAGAAATGCAAAGCATACGTCAACTGTGTTACCTGCTCAGCGACCATTTTGGCCAGTGCAGGGTCCTGTTTACGGATGTGGAACAGTCCCTTCATCACAGCATGATCGGGATTGATTTCAAGACGCGCAGGAGAAGGTGGTAATTCTCCCAATTTCGCTGAGCCTTGCATCATTTGCATCATCTTGCGCATGGCAGGGCTTTCGTGTTCCAAAACTGCGAGGCAACCACAACAACAGCAGACGATATTAGTTTCCATCACCAACAGTATCTCATGGTATATTCCACCACTTACCAATGGCAGGGAATTTGTCCAAACGGCGTGAAACATCGACTTGTTTGACAGCATCGCCGCCCAAGGTGTCCTGGATCCACGAGGCCAGATCTTTGGCATCGGCCTCGGACAGCACTTGGCTATCACCAGCATTGGAAGCCGAATCATGTTGCAATAAAGGATCCGCAGCCGCTTCGGCGGAATCGGCAGCGACAAGATCATAGCCTTGGAATTCACGCAAATGACCCACAACAAATTCATCTACAGTATCATACAAGTAGAGCAATTCCACGCCCTTCTTCTTGAACATTTCGGTGTAAGGACTTTCTTCGGCATAGCGACGCTTCGGGGTCAAAAGGTAATAGATGCGTTTCTGATCGTCCTTCTTGCGGTCGGCATATTCCTGCAAGCTGACCATCTCACCTTCCTTGGTGGCCGAGGTTTCGAATCGCAACAGTTTGGCAATATCACGCTTATGCATAGAGTCCGTGCAAACACCTTCCTTGATGAACTGGCCGAAATCCAAAAAGAATTCGTTGTACTTTTTGGCATCCCGCTTGGCTTCGTTGTCGAGCCACTTGAGCACACGCGAAGTCATGACCATACGTAGACGAGACAAAATATTGTCTTGCAATAGTTCACGCGACACGTTCAAAGGGATATCTTCCGAGTCCACCACACCTTTGACGAAACGCAACCATTCCGGTAACAGGCCTCTGGACTTGGGTTGAATGAGGACCTTGCGAGAATACAGCGACACACCAGGTTCTTGGCGTTCACCCAGCGATTCCATGTGACGTTCAGGAACGTACAAAATGGAAGCGATAGAAATAGGAGCATCGGTCTTGAAATGCATGGTGTACTGGGGTTCGTCCCAAGCGTTGGCAATGAAGCGATAAAACTCCTTGTGTTGATCGGTCGTGATGCTATTCTTATCCTTAGTCCACAAAGGTTCGACAGTGTTGACAGTTTTGTCGTTCAAATAAATAGGGAAACCAACAAAGCTACACAAAGTCAATAACCATGCATTAAAATGACATGAGAGCATGTGCAAAGGACAACTTACTTTGAATATTTCTTGATGATCGATTCCACGGTCAATGGAGATGAAAAGGTCTTGCAGTCATCGCGCAATTCAATGACAATCTTTGTACCAACGGCCACATTCTCTGCTTCAGCCACGGTATACGAGCCTTGACCATCGGTGGTCCAGCAATAACCCTTGGAGCCAGGTTTGGCCGAACGAGTATACACCTTGATCTTTTCACCCACCATAAACTATGTCATAACAAAAAGAAAAAAAAAAGGTATGAGACCCGTCTGTTTGTCGTAGCTGTTGCCCAAAGCTTTTGAAAAGATGATATCTCAGAGCCACACTTACAGTCGAGTAGAAACCGACACCGAATTGACCGATGATGTTTTCACGGGATCCGGAAGAACCATCTTTTTCGAGCTTTTCCAAAAAGTTTTTGGATCCAGAGCGAGCAATGGTACCCAAATTCTCATTCAGCTCTTCCAAAGTCATACCGATACCGTAATCCTATACAGATTACTCAACACATGGTTTCTCAGTAGAAGGTGGGATGGTAAAACTGTACCTGAATGATGAATTGCTTCTTTTCATGATCCAAGCTGATGCGGATTTCAAGCGGCTTTTCAGAGGCGAGATCAGTATCGGTCATCTGGCTGTGACGAAGCTTTTCCAAAGCATCAGCAGCGTTGGACACCAATTCACTATATCAACACATTAGCTTCTCATTGTGATGCACAAGACAGACTGAAAGAAAGTTTACCGAACAAAGATCTGTCAAATAGAAAAAAGCATCAGTAAAACCATCATCATCGGGAAAACACAGGATCAACGGACTACAGTACCTCTTTTTCAGAGTAGAGCGAATTTGCAACAATATGAAGGAGTTTCTTGGTTTCTGTTTTGAATTCATGGACCTCTTCTTGACCAACCACCACTTCTGCAGGATCGGTTTCCTTGTTCTGCAAATAAATCAATTATCCAGCGTAGACAATGCGGGAGTACATACTATAATACATACCTCGATGGTGGTTTCTGTCGAATACATAGCGTATTGCTTCCACAGAAACTGCTGGGTAGCAGGTACAGTGCATCGCTTGACACCCGAGGAAATCTACGTTTGGCTTTCTGTAAGAATAGGAAAGGTACCTTGCAAAAGACGAATATAAACGTACCAAGAGTTGTCGAGTTTGCTGAGCCTGGCGTCTAGCTTGACGTCTGGCAGCAGCAGTGATGTGGGGAAGCGATGAGCGAGCCACTTGTCTCAACATGGAAGTGAGAAAGCAAATAAAGGTTGCAAGGAAAAAATTAGGTCTCGAGGAACAGTGGAGACAAAAAGAAGATCCTGGAAATCATGAATGGGCGGCGATTCAAATTTAATGTGTGACTTGAAGTCCTCACGGAAGCCACCCTGGTCCCCCACCGCCCCCACTGGGGATTAGGCCAAGGGCACTTTTTTTTCTTTTGACCATTCGACCCTGACATTTTCGGCGTACAACACTGTCATCATGAATATGTCTGGTGCCAAGATTATCAAACATTTACTCGCAAAGAATGGTCCGATGACCACGAAAGCTTTAGCAGAAAGTATCCCTCAATACAAAGACCAACTGGTTTCCAAGCATCATATGAAAAAGCGCATTCTGGCCTGTCTGGAAGGCGACGGCACTCTTTACAAACAAGTCCATCGAGACACAGCAACGGCAAAACCAACCTGGCGATGGCATTTCGCCAAGGCCGAAGACATGGAGAAGCATAAACTGTTGGAGCGTAGCGCATAAATTCGAATTATAGACATCTTGGGTAATAACATTCACATTTCATTTCTCTAAACAGTACTACTGTTAGGCCCCGAGTCTTTCTTTTTATCTATTTCACATATTTTTGCTTTTTTTTTTGTATGTATTTTCGTTCCTTTTACGAAAATGGGGATGCAGTATATTGAATAAATGAAAAAATACAGAACCTCATGAAAAAAATATCGGAAAGAAGTGCAAGACATAAGAAAAGAAAAAGAAAAGGGAAATAGAGAGTCAACAAGGACAAAGAGAAAACAAAGCACAGAGGTTGTAACAAAAGGCAAAAGATTGAGAGCGAGATAGAGAGAACGAGAGAGAGAGAGAGAGAAATTGTGAGAGAGAATAGATAGATAGAGTGTGTGTGTGTGTGTGAGACAGAGAGAGAAAATAAAGACAAAGTAAAATAAAAAATAAAAAAAATAAAGAAAGAGGGAAAACGGTTAGACAATTGAAGGTCAAGTAGTTTAAATACATGCTAAGCTTGTTGCATGACCGTATCCTCCGCTTCTGTATTTGTGGATGACGGGTTGGGATTGGATGATGGTGGTATCGTTCGGTGTTCTGGTTCGGTAGCAGGCTTATGATCAGGCACCTTTGTATCTGTGAACAGCGCTTTCCAGTTTCTCATCAATTGTTGGCAACGCTCTCTAATATTATATTCATTGTCCCCTTCATAATTGTACGTGCATGCAGCTTTCACCACCTTGCCAATCTTTGTATGCTACACAATCAAATTTTTTAGTGACACCCATCATCATGACACCAGAAAACTGCGATAACAAGTTCCATCATGTTCTTGGCTCTTCCTTTTCATCTCCGTTTGATTCACAACAAAAAAACCCCCATCCTCTACTTACCCGTAACAATCCATAAGTCATATCCAGATCTTCAATTTCTTTGACCACTTGTGCAATTCGGCCATACTCCTCACGCGGAATTTCTCCCTACAAAAATAAAATCAAGAAAAACAAGCCCACACAAAGAAGGCATTCTCATTTGTCAGTTGACATGCTCTCTTTCCATCAAAAAGTCACGCCATCCCTTTCCCTAATCCTTACCGGCTTCTTATCATATACCAATCGTTGCAATTTATGTCGAATATGATAAACGCGTTTAAAGTGTTGCTGATATTCGGCCGTCTGTTGATAAGCTTCCAAATCATCCACTCTCGACTTATCATGATGGTTTGCTGATGATGCTTCCGGTTCCTCCGACTTTCGAGCCAACAAAGGCGATTCACTCATCCGTTCACGATGGTCTTCATCATTTTCCTGGGACATGGACTTGCGCTAATTTGGCCCCGTTAATTTTTTTTCCACATACTCCAAATCCAAGCGTGTCTTGACGTCATTTTACTTACTCTCTTTTTTCTGTCCTTTGGCGAAGGAGCCTTTTCACTGAGCTTTCGCGACCGTCTCTTGTTGTTACTCACGTTGGCCCTCTTTTTATCCTCCTCTTCCTCTTCTTCCGATGCAGGTGCGGTCTTCTTTCTGGCGTTGGTCTTCTTGTCTGCACCCTTCTTCTTGGCAGCCTTATCCGCTTTCTTCGCTACCTCCTCCTCTTCTTCGTCTTCCGGTTCTTCTTCTTCCTCCTCTTCCTCTTCTTCTTCTAGTTCCTCCAACAGCGAAGGATCCAAAGCTTGACGCACCGCTATTTCCAAGTCCTTTGTTTTGAATTTTTTGGCTTTCAGGTCTCGCTCCACGGTGGCACGGTCGAAAGGACGAATGCAATCCGGTCCAAAGAACCCACTAATGAAAAGAAACGGCAATGTTACATTACCCCATCCCTTGATTCATCCCACGGTTCATCTCATGGCAACACTTTTTTGTTCCCTTCATCCTACTTACTAGTCTCTGGACCCATAGAAGAACACCGTGAACAGCGGATTCTTTGACCTTGACCTTTGCTTTAATACTTTAGCTGGTACATCTTGATCAGCTTCCACCTAAAAAAAAGAAAAAATAGGACTGGGATGAATACTTCATGTCAACATAACTCACCATGTGGGTGTGTGAGAAAAAAAATCACACAAGAAAAAGGAAAAAAAAAAGAACCCCAAACTCACTCTTGCAGGCCACCACGGATAACCTTTCAGCTTTGCAAACACGATTGTCCCAGGAGGGTAGTCAACAGTGTCTTGTGAACGCATGACTGGAATGAAAAAACTAGAAATGGAGAATACAAGAAGAAAAGAAAAAAATAATAATAATAAAATAAAAAAAAAGGTTAAGGAGAGAAGAGTGGAAAGGGAAAAAAAGAAAAAAAAATACAAAAATACAAAAATAAAAAAAACACTGGGAAAAAAAAATTATGGAATTTTTTGGCTGGTAAAATTTGTGGTCTCTTTTTTGTTCCCTTTTTATTTGCCATCAAAACCGTCATTCCAATCCATGAATTTTGTTTATCCTTTGCGTGCAAAGCTACGAGTGAGGGTGGAAAACACGCTCATTAAACGCTGACGTCGAGAGTAGCCTACAAGACCTAACAGTCCAATCATGGCACAACTGAATAGTAGTCGTTTGGGTGCTATGCCGCGGGATTGGCTGACAGATGGGTCCGATGGTGCATTTGGAACCACCCTTTCTTGCATTGGCTGAGATCGAATTAGTCGGCGGTCCTGGTCAAGGACCAGCCTTAAATGTCGTTCTTGGCCACTGTAACCTCCATCCTGACGCTGCGGTCCCTCATAACCCTTCAAACTCTCGCCACGGTCACCCTGACCAAAGAATCCCACGCGGTCCAACCGAGGCAAGTAGAGTTCGTAAGCCGGCATATACGTGTCAACGAACGCACGCACCGCCTCATCCGATAGCCCTTGCACATTGCGTGTCTGCTTCATATGGTGTTCCTGCTGCAGTCGCCACTGATATACCTGCTCCAGATCCGTCGGTGATAAATGGATGAAAATATCCATGAACGGGTATAATTCACGCTCATAGGTGACTAATTTATCGTTCAGTTTTTCAATATGGGCCAATGGGTGCTCTGTTAGCTGGTTCTTGTGTCCTTGTTGATTCTCTTGTGACTTTTGACGATACACATGCTCCAGTTGTTCGTTCAGCAGTGGTTTGAAGCCCAACATCCATCCTTCAAAAAGAATGACATCATACGGCGGATAAACTTGTTTCCAAGATGACTTTGGCAATCGATCACCCAATCCTCCAAATAACGATTTGTCGTAAGACGGTATGGCCACCGGTACATTCGATTGCGCATTTTTATCCAGCAATTTTGAAAATATCGATCGCGCCAGCGCCATATCATGAGACCCCGCTTGTCCGCGGTACTGTAAGAGTCGATTGCCAGGATTCGCTTCGGCCAGATGAGCTTGATCAGCTCGTGTAAGGTACAGATCGTCCAATGAAAAATTGACCACATTCATGTTATGCTCCTCGCGCAAAATATGGGCCAGTGTATCGCACAAGGTCGTCTTGCCGCTGCCTTGACAGCCCGATACACCCACCACCAGAGGCCGACGGCCAAGATGACGGTCTGCACGATCCTTCAAATAGGCATCTCGGTGATGAAGAATATGGTCGAGCGAAGCTTGAGCTTGAGGAAGCATGGCCATGGATTGATAGGTCATGGTGGTTTCAAATTCTTTGGAATGAAAAAAAGTGCCCTTCCAACATCCATCAATGAATTTTAAGAGGGACAAAGATGGTGTCACATGATGTAACTGCCCCATTTTCAAAAGTTGTTGTTACCAATGCTCTCTCATAAAGAAATATGGCTACTTTTTTTGTGATTTGTATGAATAGTATCACCATTGATCACCTTTGTGCATAAATTATGATCACAAGATGCTTTGTATGGCGAAAAAATAGGCTTCCATGGATGCATTTTGGATGGATATTCTCCAGCCAGCAGCTGACACGTGTTTGCGGGAATTCAAGTTCCTTTTTTTTTTTTTGCTTGCAGGACATGCCCAAAAATGGGGAACGCGTTTCTTTGGCCAAGCGAGCGAGCTCACGTAACTGTTTGGACAACCATGTATTTGCCAGCGATTATTCGTAAACCTGCAGTGTCCTTGATTGGAGAAAAATGCTACGTTTCGCTCATTGAAGACCTGAACTTTGCGGATGTCGACTGCATAAAGTATTCTCTTTCAAAGGGGCTCGGTTTTGGCATTGTCGCCGGTGGTTGCATTGTCAAGATTCCTCAGATTTTGAGCATTATGGGCAATCAGTCCGCCCAAGGCCTGTCACTAACGTCCTACTTGATGGAAACGGTGAGCTATGCCATCACCTTGGCCTACAATTTCCGACAGAACAATCCGTTCAGCACATTTGGAGAAATCTTTTTCATTCAGTTGCAGAATATCGTCATTACCCTTTTGATCTTGTTCTACGCCGGCCAGCATGCCAAACTACTCGCTACGTTTGCAGGCCTCATCGGTTTGACTTACTGCTTGGTAGACCCGACCATGGTGTCGCCTATGTTAATGGCCAATCTTTACGCAGCTACCATTCCGCTGAACTTGGCCAGCAAAGTGCCTCAGATTTACACGAATTTTGTCAACAAATCCACCGGTCAATTGTCCGTTTTTGCCGTCGTCAACTACTTTGCAGGAAGTGCTGCACGCGTGTTTACCACCATGACCGAACTCGACGATCCACTCATGCTCAGCGGCGCCCTGTTAGCCACCGCTCTCAATGGCATTCTCTTACTGCAAGTCATCATCTACTGGGGCAAAGGCGGAAAGAAATCCATCAAAAAGGAATAAAATCATGTAATCATGGTATTTGCCAAATAATAAAAATCTGGAACCGATAAAAAATAGCAATATTCAAGTTATTCAACCGTAGCGAAGCGAGACCAAAAAAAAAAAAAAAAAGAAAGGTCGCTTATATTCTGTACAATGCGAATTGGATCTATTTCTCCCCTATAAAGATGGATTCCTTGATCTAATCCGATAATCAAAAAAAAAATAACAGATGAAAAGAATGCAATTCGTCGAGACAACCAGGACATGTGTATACAAAAGGGAAAGACGACAAGTATATGGTAGAAATCATACGAACGATTTGGATTTACTGGGGGGCAGTGGCCGGCCGGCGTGACGAGGTGGGCACCCAGTCATCAGGAACTGCGCCCTCCCGACGTAACTGACGAACGATGGTTTCAAAGGTGTCTTCATAAATGGTAAAGTGACCGAGCGCCATCATTTGATCAGCCAATCCAGTAACCATTTCAACGCTCTGTTTTCGCTGTTCTGTCTCTTCCTCTGTCAACGGTTGTTCCTGGGCCGCAGCAGGGACGGTACTCTTCTTCTTCTTCTTATCCAAGAGCTTCTGCTTCCACGCCGGAACTTTTTTGGGAACGCCCGTACCGAGTTTCATGAGCGTTTCACGGACGGTTTCCCCCGGCAACATGTATTCTGCCAGCATCCTGAATACATCCGTCTTTGTCTGTGGCATCTCCGCTTGACGTGACGCTTCTTTTAATGCTTCCGCCTGTTCGCGTCGTTCCTGTGCTTCTCGGGCACGAACCATGTCCTTTTTGGAAATGCCTTCCATCCAACGGTCATGGAATGCTTGTGGGTCGGCTTTGTTACGGATAAAGTTACCCGACGCATCAAAACTTCCTTCCTCCATTTCCTCTCGCATATTGAAGGCGGTCAGTTTCGGTTCCTTCTTATTCCCTTCCTCATCTTCAGATGCATCGTCATCGGTATCCCGATTTTGAGAATCGAACTCTTGACCTTCGATTTCGTTCAATTCTAAACGTTTTTTGCCCTTCTTTGTGGCTTCGGCCGCTGGTGCCGCTGCCGGTGCAGAAAACATATCGAATTCAGCATTCGCTTTGGGTGGTTCTTCTTCTTTCGCTTCATTTTCCGAATCCGATCCGCTGCTGTACACACCGCCGCCCACTTCTTCTTCGTCACTTCCGTAATCGGTCCTGACTCCGCCTCGTCGTTGTCTAGCAGGCTCTAGTACGTCTTCATGATCGATTTCAAAATCGGTAGGTGACTGCTCCGATCGACGTGTATCGTTGAACCGTACACGTTTTGAAGACGAACTGCGACCAAACCCTTCGTCGTCGTCAAATGATCCCTTGAATCGTTTCCCACTTGCCATGTTTAAATAATAAAAATAAAGGCTTCACTTGCAGTGTCGAGCTGAGCAGCGACCAAAAAAAAAAAAGAATGGACGGACTTTGAAATGCCTGACGTATAAAACGATGGAATGAACAAAGCGTGCAAGTTTATGCGTTGATGTTCTGTAAAAAGCTAACATCGACATGAATAATGATGCAGATTATCAACTCGCATGATGCATTTGAATGATTAATAATGAAAAAGAAGGATACCACAATACGCAAAATGTATTCCATTATGTCTCATAAGCTCAAAATGTTGTAGATGACAAGCGCAATTCTCCAAGCAAAATTCTGTCGCGTAAAGAATTAAGACAAATGTGTGATTTTTTTTCCACCCTTAGTTTGCTCAAATTACAGTTCCTGCACGTATACTCAAGATAACCAGAATTATCAACAGCCTACACCTCCGCATCCAGCTTGCGCACCGAAAAACTTCTTTTTTCTTCTCTTTTCTTTTCTTTTTTTTCGAAAATCGCAAATGTGCTGTGCCCAAGTACAGTGCCTTGCGTTTCGAATATTGTACTGCATCACTCACCGACATATCCGATTTATAGCTAAAATATGTACAAAATCTATACCATGTTGGTGTGAGGCGGCCCCACAGTGTGATGATAAAAGTTTTCATTGGCAACTGAAAACGAAAAAAAAGAGTAAGTCGTTTTTGTCGAAGGAATCTTTTTTTTTTCAGGTCTTTTTCTTTTGGTTTCTCTCTCCGTCCACTTCAACAAACTGTACATAGGGGGTGATCAGGATTCAGACAAGGTGATATAATCGTACAGCTATTTTAATACAAATAGGCAACCGCAAATGCTCTGGTTCAGACTGTCATTAAATTTATACAATGTCACTTTATACAATGAGGTACTTCCATCCTTGACGACCACCCAGCATAATGGACATGGCCCACGAAAAAAAATGAAACTTGCAGTCACGTTAAGCCGATGCGCCCGATGAACCAGCATCGCTTAGCATGGAGCCCACGGAAAGTGTCTGTTGACTTGTTGTTTCACATTGACACAGTATGTTGTCTTGGCAATCTACACGACCAAAATAGGCATTTTTGATGGCGTGCGATGCGTCGAATCCGAAAGTACAAACCGTTTTCCTCGTTTAGCTGCAACAGCAAGTCCATGACAACACGCTCAAAATCACATCAAAGTTCACGTTAGACTACTTTATTGGACCTGAATGAATATGGAAGTGTAATATCTCATCAAATCCGATCTTCCGCCATGAAAGCGCTTCCTTGATAAAATTTCATTCTCCCTCGGGGCTTGGCTACGGAAACATTTTATGACACTTCCGTTGTTGGACGGCGAATCTTGGCACAGCGGCATAATATATTCTCCGTATCGAATAGGGCAGCTCACGTTCCACGTCGACGATAAAGAAGATACTGATTTGTTTCCAGGTATGTTGATTTTCATCAAGGAAAAAGAAAAAGCTTTTCTATTTAGTGTGTCGGTTCTATCCGGTGATCGCGTAATTGCTTCCATGGATCGACACAAATTAATTTTCTCTAAATGGCGGAATTTGCCTTTGCATCGTCATGTCCTGAGATACTCGGGTCAAAAAAACAGCGCTGAGCCTATCACCAAGCGGCAAATCCCCATCCGTCTGCTGTCTGTGACGTCAGGATTGCCTTTTTAGGGTGAAGCCGTCGTCGCACAGGGCACGGATTCAAAACGCTATAGTCCGTCGCCCCTATTTCTTGCACAGAAAAAGGGAGTTTTTGATTCTTTTTTCATTGGAAAACCATGATTGCACTGAATGAAGATACTCAACAGATACTGTCGAGGTTGAATGACGAGGACGAAGAAATCGAATCGTCCAGTCAACAAGTCTCCGATTCCGACAGCGACGATTCAGAACCTGAAAATGCGCAGCAACGACTGATCCCACAGCAGCAACGGCAAGGACGACGACAGCAACGACGTCAACATGGACAAGGCATGCGGCGATCGTATTCGGCCGAAAGCGTAGTCAGTACACAGTCGGCCCCGCCACCTTATGAACTGTATCCACCGGCAAGATCCTTTCTTGGACGGGCGTACAACTGGTTGCGCAAGATACCTCGGTTCGCCACCCACCAAGCCATTGCTTTGCCTATCCTACCGGTGCATCGTCGACCGTTCAGTCGAGCCAACTCCACTTCAACGTTTACTGCGGATTCTGTAGCAAGCTCGGAATATGGAAGTAACTGCTGTTCTTACTATTACCGCTATGTATATGATAGATTACCCACCTGTCCACGGTTGACCTTGCCACCCAGAGTGGCCCGTTTTAGAGGCGTGATGCTGTGCATCTCTTTTTTTGCCCTATTTTTATTTTCATTTTTATTGTTTTGTGCCATTTTTTTCTCCCCCGCATCTCTCCCCTCGCCCACGGTACCCGACAAAACCACCGACAGCCATGCTCGTCTACTTACCCTCAACATCTTCATGCGGCCGCCTGGCGTGAAGAATAACTGGTCCGATTACAAGGATGACCGATTGGAGTATATCATGGATTACATTTTGCCAGAGTATGATATCATTGCATTCCAAGAAGCATTCGCATTTGCCTCGCGCCGGAAAGACCGTCTTATTCGCAGAGCCCGGGAACTCGGATTCAATTACCATGTGGAATCACCGAGACATTATCCGTGGGAATTGGCGGTAGATGGCGGTCTCTTGCTTATTTCAAGGTTCCCCATTCGGCAATCAGACACGATTGAGTTCCCCAGAGGAACACACAGTGATTGGTAAGAAATCAGGCAACCATTCCAGCCAATTCCTCCATTTTCGGAATTCACTGGGAAGAAAAGAAAAAAAAAAAAAGAAACAGAAAACACATAAACAAAGGATTCTTTTACTAACTTTTGCTTTTGGATGTATCTAGGTTGGCTATTAAAGGCGCGCTTCATGCTTTGATTGAATTGAATCCATCTCGATCGCTTCACGTTTACACCACCCATACCCAAGCTTCATACGATTTGTTCAATGTGATCAATCAGGGCGACACGGAAATCCGTCTGAGTCAATTCGCTCGGTTGCACCAGTTCATGAGTGATACGGCCGGAAACGATGGGTTCCCTGTTATGGTGATGGGAGATCTCAATGTGGACGCTGCAACACACGGCGAAGGCATTGCCATCACGCAACCCTCCAAAGAAAGTTCACGTGAATATCGAATGTTGATGGACGTCTTACGAGGCACCGGGATCCATGGGCTGACGGAGAAAGGAGACATGTCGACTGCGGTGTTTGAGCATCCGTGGAAACTGGATTTGACGGATGTTATCTATGACCATTACGGATATCACCCTGTAACCTTTGGGGATTACGAAATGGACGACCGTGGTAACCTACGCCCAGCAGAAACCGTCCTGACAGATTCGGATCAGCTGATGACGGTCCAAAACATTGATCGTATGTTATGGGCGGGCCGGTCCACGCCGGTGCAAATCGTCGACCCCAAAGTTGAAAAGTTCATGGTCAAAGATAATTTGAACATGGACGAAGAGCGACGTGCTCGTACAGCATTCACACAAATTTCAGGTAAGTTCCTTACCTTGACGGCAAGGAGAAGGGGAAGGAATGAAATTCTTTCTTTTTCTCGTTACGTTTTCCAGACCTGGGAAGTGCTGATTTTTTTTTTTTTTTTTTTTACCAGATCATTACGGTTTAAGTTGCGTCATGCAATTGAATCCATAAAAAGCATATGCAAGTCGCATCAGCGCAATCAGGCCGATTACCGTTCGTGTTACCATTACCGTTGATGGTTGCTCAAAAAGTTTATAATAAACAAATTCTAGAAATTCTTGCCTTCTCGTGGCGGATGATTCAAACAACAACAAGAACAACAACATCACACATGCATCCTTTTTTGTCGAACCCATTGAGATATGGGGCTTTTGATCTATTCCAATCTATTGAAAAGGATTAATAAAGAGTAACTCTTTTTCTATAATATGCGCCTCATGCGCTTTTTTCATGTTATATGTAATGAGGACTCTGAATAAATTTTTGATCTGAGACTCTAGTCGTGGATGAAAATGAAGTGGCAGACTTTGCCGTCTTGGAAAGAGAAAAAAATTACCATTGCAAATGATTGGTTCATTGAACATCTTCACAGTGATTGGATGCTTTTCAATTCAGCCATCTTGATACGCCCATGGATGATGCTTGAAAAGGGCACTAGGGAAATGTTACCGATGCAGTTTTGTTGTTCCCTTTTTTTAAAAACTGTGTATCACATTGTTTGGTATCCGTCTGAATAATTCATTTTATTTGATCCGGAAAAGACAACCAAAAGGCTGTGCAACAAGGAAGTTTTTCGAGAAGATGCGTGTATTTGGATCCAATCATATCCAAAGTTCCAAACGGGGAAATTTTCTCGTGTTGGACAACCAACGTCAGTGACACTTCGTCATGGAAAACTGGATATTAAAAAAAAGATATATAAAGACAAATCTTCCATTGACAAGAGGTACTCTACTTCGCATCAATTATTTCACTTATATCTACAACTTTACAATATCAACATGCCTCTCTCACTCGGATTGACTCAAATCAAGAGAATGTTCAATTGCAACACGGTGGGAACCGCGGACGCTGTTCCTGTATCTGCTCCTCGTATGCCGTCCACCACCATTGGTAATGCTACCTATCTTCGTGATCCCATGCGCTGTGGTGACTATCCCGATTACGTTGGAAGTTTCTTTGATCCAATGACCGTGCGCGGCACATACACATCGGGTCATGATGTTACCAATACAGGTGCCTAAGTTTGTAACCCAAAGGAAATGGCTTTCTATGTAATTTTGAACGAGCGTTCATGATCAATATGTTAATAGTATATCTTTCCCTCCTTTTAAACGTTTGTAATTAGTTTTATCCATATATTCTGCACATAATTTCTTCTCTTCACTCTCTCAGGACACTGTATTATAAACTCGCAATAAAACTTAGGCATCCACTCATTTCACTATATACCGATCGCTAATATTTTTAATTTTTTTTTAATTTTTTTTTTTTTTTTTTTTTTTTTTTTTTTTTGCTTTTAAAAAAACGAAAACAAACCCCTTGGAATCATTACTGTATCGATGGTACCTCTTTGTTTCGCCTTTCTTATTTATAAAACCGGGTACTTGTAGCGTCATATTGTTTGCAGTCCCCTGCATTTCCTCGAAACAGGAGGAAGTTTTTTGGTATCATCGCTGTATTGATGGCAACCCTATAAACCAAATACTTGTGGCGTTATATTGTTTGTAATTTTTTACGTTTCCTTTGGAAACAGAAGGAAGTTTTTTCGTCCCATTACCGTATTCATGGCAACTCCATAAACCGAATACTTGTACGTATTGTTTGCAGTTTTTCAAGTTTCTTCGAAATAAGGGCAAGTTTCACGAGGAATGGGTACCTGATGTCGGTTGGGTTGGCGAAACAATCCTTCAATGACATGTTTGTTTTTCTCATGCTTTGATCCGTTGGGGTGGCAAAAAAAAAACGTCATTTTTCTGGTAATCAGGCCACGACGGGATGGAGAAGAATCTAGATTTTGTTCCTTTCTTGCTTAACAAATCTGAGAACGTGATCATTGGTTACTCAATTTGTCGTACTATACGGCCTTGTCTGCGATGACTGTACAAAAATAAACCCACGCATCATCATTATAACGACAGGGTGTTCCCATTCTTTGCTAGGTTAATGCATCGGTTTGAGAAAGATGGATAACTGGCCATCATAAGCGAGAAACGATGGAGCAACTTGCTTGTAATTCAAAAATCTTTTCCCTCTCTGCTCTCTGGCCTGCTGGAGAACAAATATTTCGCCAGCATATCAAAGTTTTCTCATCATGCGTTTACCGTGAAAGAATATTTTGCATTCTATTACATTGTACTCTCCCAAGTTAGCTTTCAATGACTTGATTACATAACTTCCACCAAAAGTGAAAACAGATGACGTTGCAAGTAGAGATCGGTCAGACAGTGGGGATGCCTACATACAATATCAGATCATATCATTATGAAACGATCACAAAGATGGACCGTGCGTCATAAAAATGTTCCTGCCAATACTCATATTTTAAATTCTTGATAGCAGGTATATTAGGCAAAAACTTTATTACATCATTTGCGAAGATCTCTGCAAGCGGATTTGTATACAAAAGATCAAAGCCGCACAACGTTTTCGAAAAGAGGTAATAGCAAGCATTTGGATACCGTATAAAGCACTTTCCATATTTTTAACGTAAATATGAAAATAGGCACTAAGATAGATTCATCTTGCTAATATGTCATGGCGATTTTGGCATTGAAAACAAGCTGGAAGCGGTGCCTCACCATGAATTGGGCGTTCTTTCACCAAAATTTTCCAGAAACTGACCTCTGATTGGAGCGGAGCCGTGATGCCATTTTTCAACCACAACGGTGAACGGATGGCGAAAAACCAGTCCACCTAGCCGATTTGCTTTTTTCGCCTATTGTTTCTTTAGAAGCGAAAAACAAAACAAAAACTAATCATTACCAATGGTATGATAAGCAAAATGTCAAAATACAGCACAATTAGAACCATATTACTTATTATTCAATAGGCTTTACCGATCGCTACGTCTTCTTCAGAAACAAAAGATCTTTTACGAATGGAGCGCGTTGGTAATTAATCAATAAGATCGCCCTTCACGCCAGACTGTCGAGATTCACGCCATATTTTCTTCCTACCACTTTTTTAGGCGCCCATTCCCACATTCGTGGTTTGGGTCTCGACGATGCACTTGAGCCTCGCATGTCCTCGCAGGGTATGGTGGGTCAACTCAAAGCACGCAAGGCCGCCGGTGTCATTTTGCGCATGATCGAAGCCGGTCGAATCGCAGGCCGCGCCATTCTCATTGCCGGCCCTCCTTCCACCGGTAAAACCGCTATTGCTATGGGTAAGTATCTTGGCTACAGAGGCAAATGTCCAAACCAAGAATGGCGAAGCTTACTTTTTTTTCTTTTTTTTTTTAGGCATGGCACAAGGTAGATTGGCATTAGTCGACAAAAGTACAATACGACGGACTCCCTAATGACATGTTATTACTTTCTTTTTTTTCTTCACCAGCTCTCGGTAGCGACGTTCCATTCACCATGTTGGCTGCTTCGGAAATCTTTTCACTGGAGATGTCAAAAACCGAAGCTTTAACGCAAGCATTCCGTCGATCGATTGGTGTCAGAATCAAGGAGGAATCGGAGATCATTGAAGGTGAAGTGGTGGAAATTCAGATTGACCGATCAGTCACTGGGGTAGGTTGAACTGTCCAAGTTGTGTGTATGTGGAAAAATAAGTGTATCGTCAGAACTCACAGGACTCTTTGTAGGGATCGAAAACGGGTAAATTGACGCTCAAGACAACGGACATGGAGACCATTTACGATTTGGGTCACAAGATGATCGAATCGCTCAACAAAGAAAAAGTGATGGCTGGGTAATTATTGGTTGATCGATGCCTGGCTGTGATATTCCTCATTTTTAACATGCATATGAAACAACTAGTGATGTGATTACCATTGATAAAGCTTCTGGCCGTATTTCCAAACTTGGCCGTTCTTTCACACGAGCAAGAGATTACGACGCCATGGGTTCGGATGTAAGTCAGCAAAATGAAAACAAGTGGCAAATGGCAACTGGCGACGCATTTTTTTTTTCTTACCGTTGCCCGATTTAGACCAAATTCGTCCAATGTCCTGAAGGCGAATTGCAAAAGCGTAAAGAGGTGGTTCATACAGTGTCGTTGCACGAAATCGATGTCATCAATAGCAGAACACAGGGTTTCCTTGCACTATTTTCTGGCGATACTGGTGAAATCAAAGCCGAAGTGAGAGATCAGATTAACGGAAAGATTGCCGAATGGCGAGAAGAAGGCAAAGCCGAAATCGTGCCAGGCGTAAGTTTCTTGGGGCAAAAAACTCATGGTTCACCTAGTCCATCACACTAAAGTCTCTCCGCCCTCCCTTTTTTTTGGAATCTAGGTTCTGTTCATTGATGAAGTTCACATGCTTGACATTGAATGTTTCTCCTTCCTGAACCGAGCTTTAGAAGATGATATGGCACCTGTGGTCATTATGGCTTCCAATCGTGGTATCACCAATATCCGTGGTACCAAATATAAATCTCCTCACGGTATCCCCGTCGATCTGCTGGATCGTATGTTGATCATTTCCACAAAAGCTTACGAAGAAAACGAAATCAGACAAATTTTGACCATTCGGTAAGTAATAATGACAAGCGAAACGAAAAAAAAAAGCTGGGAACGGTTGACTGATGGTATCTTGCTTAGATGTGAGGAGGAAGATGTTGCCATGACAGACGATGCCAAGGATGTTCTGACAAAGATTGGCGTGGAAACCTCGCTTCGTTATTCGATTCATCTTATTACGGCGGCTAATTTGGTTTCAAGGAAGAGAAAGGCAGCCATGGTCGACATCCAAGATATCAAGCGCGTGTATTCACTGTTTTTGGATGAAAAGCGATCCGTGCAATACTTGAAGGATTACCAAGATCAATACATGTTCAACGAACAAAACGACAAAATGGCTGTCGACACTGCCATGGAAATGTAAAAAGAAAAAGAAAGTGTCTCATACAAATAAAACATTGTCACATTCAACCCAATTCCCATCACCCCGGAGCATTCTCTGTTTGATTTTGCATAGCAGGGTTGGACATACTCGTAACAACTTCCTTGTTTTCCAACCTTTGACATACATACAATATAAACTTCTATAGCTCGGTTTAACGACCCGGTCTAATGATAACTTAGAACACGGTCATCATCACTGCTGCCGTCAACAACACGGCAAAACCTGTCATGGTAACATGGGAGTACATCGACGAACCAGCGGAGCGTGAATGGGTCGTGGAGGAAGGGCGATGCGCGGCAGAAGTTGTCGCCGCTGCAGAGGCCTTGGAAGAGGCAGAAGCGGAGGAGGAAGAGGTCGCGCCGGATGATGGACTTGCTGAAGCGCTGGCAGACGACGCCGACGAACTAACCGCATTGGCAGCTGGTCCATCCTCGGCAGATTTAACGGTAGCCACCACTTTGCCAACGCCCCATGGTACCTTTTCGCCTATCAAACCGGGTTAATAAACGTAAAATGATGAACATATCTTGCGATTACCATTGGGTTGTGTGGGATGTTCCGGTGGCGCCACTTTTCCATCAGCACCGACAATAGCGAAACGGGTGGTCCAGGCGTTATCTCCAGCCTCTGTTTCGAATTTTAAAAACGTTATTAGTCATCGGTCGATATCTATGCAAGGCTTGAGTTACCATTGGTAAACATGAGGAAATAGATGGACGAATGCGGTTCAACGTCCGGAGCGACCCACTTGTATGACATGGAGTTGGCGGTCAAGTTCTGTAGGGATCGGAATTGTTTGAGTGGCCGAAGATATCATTAAAGAAGTAGATCCAAATTATACTTAACTGATACCACATTGGCCAATAACATCTGGTCGTCATTATCACCCGTCATTAAATCTACTCTCCCAAAAAAAAGTACATGAGTTCTATGATTTCAGTCTGTCGGGTTCAGTGTGAAGCAGTATTACCGATTCTAAAGTTTCTCCAGGCTTCAGCAATGGTAGGTTTGGTATTATCTTCGTCTTTGGGGAGTCATTTTTTAAAAACAGATCAATCGAGTCAGTTTCAGCGACAAAAAAAATTCTACCATTGCAACATCATTGGATCGGTAGTTTTACCCCAGAGAATTTCGTATTCTTTGCCTGCTGTCCAAACCGTGCCTGGCTCGGGATAATTGGGAGCCAAAGTACAATGCACAGTTGCCAACGTTGTGACAAGAACAGCGGCAACGGCGGCTGGAGAGGAAAAACGCATTGTAGATGATTTCTTCTTTTTCTTTTTTTTGTGTGGAAAACAAGACAAAGAGGGTTCGGGATATAAACAGTATTTATTGGAGGCGGAAAAAAATAGTCCGGATCACATTCCCCAGGATCCCATCATTGCCTTGCCTAGTTAAAATCTCCATTTGCTCTTATTCTCCTTATTCAATAGAATTACAAAGAAACATCAACTTGATCACAGCCTGATACGTTTAGTGTCATCCGCCCGCGGAAACTCACGAAAAGTGCTTTCACTGCCTCGTTGGTGATATGCTTGTTGTATGATATGTCTAAATGCTTGATGAAAAGACGGCCCGTCCTTATCGCTTCCAATGTGGCATCGGTGATCCATGTTCGGTGGAGTCGTAAAACCGATAGGTGGCCTTGTTCTTGAAACATACGTCGTATGTTATCGTCGGTTATCTGTGATCCCGCCAATTCCAACTGATCCAGTGTTCCACCAATTTTAGACGAAATCACCGTACCAAGGTCTTTGGTCAACCGGCGGCAATGTAAGATGGCCAACGTTTCGATATTCGGTCGGTTTTTCAAGAATATCCGAAGCTCGTCTACGGTTAATGCATCCATCTTTTCCAGGCAAACGTGACGAAGCGTACGGGTAGGAAGCGTATAGAGAGAGTGGGCCATCAAAGGGGTGGTGGAAAAATGGATGGTGTGCAGTTGCTTTAACCCCGAAAAATCACATTCAAGCATAAATGGCCAGCTTTCCAAACCGCCAATGTTGAATGTATGCAGCTTGCGGCAGTATTTCGCAATCAATCCAATGGTATCTGGCTGGACGCTGGTGGGATGACCGAGTGTCATGGTGCGAATATTCGGACACCGCCGGATCAATTGAGATACTCGCATATCGATGCCATACTTGTTGACCAGGGTCAAGTCGATCGATCGGATATACTCGCCGTACCGCAGCACCCCGCTCGGTTTGGTCACCGTTTTGATGAAATCAATGAATGAAAGATAATTGCGAATAAGATAGTTTCTAGCAAATGTGTTACATGCACGTCCAATGGTCCTCATAGAGCCCCGTGAAATTTGCTTACCGGTAAAGGACGGTGCAGACAAAGTGTGCCCATTCCTTGCACACTGTCATGGCAACAAAAGCGAATTTATCGTCGCCACGAGGCCCAATGCCAAACGAACAGATGATCTGTTGAATGTCCGAAGGTAATGTCCTTGCCATGCCGTTGGCCAAAGTCCTTGAAAGAGACCAATGAGCACCACAATGAATCGGGCTTCCCGCCAATGTATAAGTGAAAGCAACAAGAAAAAAGCCTTGGAGCAACAGAAAACTGCAAGATTTCATATTGGAGTGGAGCAAAAACTTGGCCTATCACAGTACACAAAAGCCAATCGATGTTTCAATCCTACTGTTGCCGCTGACAGGGCCCAATGTATGCTGTAATTCACCCTTCCTCCCCCATATTTGCTTTGCTTCTCTTGTTTTTACGAGAAAAATGATAATGCATTCTTCATCTGAAGGGAACCAGTAATGTAATCTCTAACGAAATTGTTGATCGCCTTACAAGGATACGGTATTCGCAATGGCGTTTCCTCGTCTTGCAACAGTTTTGAGTAGCTGAAGTAGACCACAGCAATGCCATACTTTCTCATAATTCATGTGGTAATTTATTTTTATTTATTTTTGCTACAGTTCTGTGATTGCTAGCATGGATATTCTTTTATATGAATATGCTGTAAGCGGTTGAATATCGGATGTATTACATCTCGTCTTCAATAAGGTGTCTCTTACTGATTACAATGTGGGCTTCCAATAATGGTTGAGACGAGTTTCTCATCAAATATGAATCCTTGTGTCTACTTTGACATCCTTTGCAGAGATATACGCTGTCAATTTGTTAAATTGGACAATGCCAGCACCCTACACAAGTACCGATGTCGCTGATGTTGATGCATAACAAACACATAACTAGAACTCTGTATTTCCTGTGATCGATGCATCAAAATTGTTGCTTTCGCTGGTGTCATTATCCGGGAATCACTTATTAGAGGCGGCCATTATTTATCGTGGTGCACCTCCTAAAGAATCGTATGACTGAAAATTGCCATATTTTCGACGACACCATTTGCAAACCAAAAAAAATTGGCACTAACTTTACGCGTGAGAAATATCACGGTGCGACATATGATAGATATGAGGGCAAAATGTCGTCCCATTCATTGATCAAATACAAAATTTAAGATTGATGCGTTATTTCACTTGAACTACTCCGTTTTCTACCATAGTATCGTGTAAACGATGTTCTTGTTATCATACAACGGGAGCATTATTCATTTCTCAAAGAGAGAGAGAGGATGGGTGCTGTATATATTACTGGCAAGATAAGACTGCGAGCGATTTATGCAGCATCACCGGAACAAGTATAGTCGGTTTGTGCCACTATCCCAAGATGGTACCGACCCAGCTCTCATGGTGAGACATTGGGCCCTCTTATTTGCTAGGACAGTCCGACCAAGCGATACTGTCGACCATCCAACCACTTCATATCGGAGCCGAATCTCCCAGATAAGATTCAAGATATATTGCAAAAGCAAAAAAGACAGGCAATATTAAGATTACCTGTGCCTCAACGTTTAGCCGTTCCAACCTCGTCATTCTGCAATCTCAATGCATCTTACAACACTTTATATCTATGAACAAGCGATCGTAAGCTCTTTATCATCGCCAAAGACAGTTCCATGAACATTGCCAGCACTTGTTATCAACCACTTTTCTATGACTGACAAAAATAGAACCCAAGTACCTATTCTCCATATGGATAATTATGAATCGGTCAGAATGGAGTTTTGCCAAAATAGTCAGGGACGCTGTCCCACTCTTTTCGGCGCCATTTCATATTTGTCAACTCTATCCATGAACAAACCCATCATGGGATCATGCCATTGTACAATCGAGTTGCTGATAGTCTCTCCTACGTTATTAGCTTAAGAGCTAGTGCTGCATAACGTACGCGGGTGCCGTAACCATCTTTGTCAACTGAAATTCTACAGCGGATAAAGGACCTGTAAAAAAACTTGAAATTCAGCCGACGAATTATACGAAAATAGCAGGCTATTTTCATTCGTGATTTGATGGCAAGAGGATTATGTTTCTTGTTCATTGACGGAGAACGGAGGATGATTGCGATCGGATGTGATCTCGTGATCTATGCACTAGAAAAAACAAAAAAGTAGTAGTCGTGGTTACGCTCTGGACGGGTTACCCCGGATCAAAGGGCTCAGAAACCGATGGCCCAGCGACAAATAGAGTTTGAGTATGATGCAATTTTATCAGGCGCGGTAAATGTCATTCGATAGCGTCGCTGCAATTGTCGTCGTCAAGGCCAGTAACATTCAGCTCGTTTGGGCGGGATCGAAAATTTCAAGTCTAGTGTCGAATGGGTCCCCTTCTAGATTACTATTTACGGCTACCGCCATCGATTCCTTCCTGTCAAGCAAAAATGGCCCGAGCCGGACAACGACCTGAAAGAAATAGTCAAGAATGCCCACCGCACTCTATTTCATGTATTGCCATGCCCTATTTTGGATAATTGAATGGATTGTAGATTCTGATTTCCCACCGCCTGTCGATTGGCTGCATTGCAGTAGTGGGATCAAGAACATTATGATGCTAGTATTGTCCATTATTTGGCATGTATCATGACTTCTTCGGAACGGGATGCTTTTTGATCAATAAAGATGGATTAAAGATAACGATGGCAACCACGTTGAATCTTTTTCTCAGCTCCGCTTGTCAACGTCATGGACCATGGACTACGGAATCTCAGCAAGATGATCGGAAATCGAATTCGCGTCTCACGATAGCCAGTTCAAGGGGCACCTCTCCACACGTATATAAAGGCCACACCCCGCACCCTTCATTTTTTTTTTAAAGTTATCAATTCCCAGATCAACAAGAAACAACTCTACTCTATCTCTCTATTATCAAACATGTTCACAACTCGTGGTGCCGCTATCGTTCTTGTTCCCGTCAGCTCCTTGGCTGCTTACAGCTACATCCGTACTACGGCTCAACCTGGTTTGGCCCATTCCCATATTATGACTCTTCGTGGCTCCGACCACTCCGGTTTGGCTCAGTGGCGTAAAATTAACAATGGCCTTGGTCTCGTCGATGTCAGCCGTAGCGGTGGTGGTCTGTAAAAATATAAGACCCCGCTCTCCCTCAAAACTATTTATTTCTATCGGCTCGGTGGCTAGACCATACGTAGCCTTTCCCTATCTACCATCATCACTTATCATTTCTGTACATCACCATCTTTTTTCGCCTCTTCGTCCCTTTTGTTACCCTTTCAATCAAATAAAAATAAAAGAGAATGCTGGTATCATGATCTAAAACTAGAAACCGTGTAGCATGTAAAGAACACTTTTATTTTTTTATGAGAGTTATGGCCTCATTGTTGTCCCGCATTGGACGATACAGAATAATCAATCGCTTCCGGGTTGAATGCAAGATAGGGCATTGCTGTTGCTTGCATAGGATATCTTGCATCCCAGGCGCCTATGAGGGGAGTCATGACCTGACCATAGGAGAAACTGGCCTGATAATAGCAATTTTGCATCATGAGTGATCGCATTCGTGCTCTTTCATGGTGTACCGTGTATCCCATATTTGGAGGAGCATAAGGCGCTTCACAAGCCGTGGTTCGGTTGGGTAAATTGTGGAAGCTTCTTATTACGTTTGATCCCTTGTACGGACTCGCATCACCGTTTGAGCAAAACCTATGCTTTGGCCGGGAAGTCGGGCGCGTTGTGACGGGTAATGTGTTGCCGTCGTGAAGGTGACGCTTGTGGTTATTTCCAAGCGGTGGAACTTGCTGTGGGTGGCGTGTTCGACATTTCCACTGTCCGGAGTTGTGATCAAACGTCCTTGGCATTGGATGTTGATGCGATAGCTTATTTTCAGTTGTCATGAGCTTGGCATAATCTCTCAGCAGTTGCTCCACCTGGGCCAGTTGCTCAAGCAGCATCGCTTGCTGCTTCTGCAGCGATTGTTTCTCGATCCGAAGCGTGTTTCTCTCTCGCACCAATTTTTCGCACTTTTTGTTCAGTTTCTCAGCAGTTTTTTCAGAGGTTGACCAACCATCATCGTTTGCTAGGCAGTCGGGGTAACCAATACGTGGAGAAGGCGGTGGTTCAGACATGGAACAACTGGCCAAGGTCCGCCTACGGCGAATAGGGTTGGTGTGGATTGTCATGTTGCGAAAGGGTGACTCCAGAGACAGTGACAACAGATGGTTTAAAAAGAGATACAGAAAGAAGGAAACAAAAAGAACACTTGCTTCCTATTTGTCCTGGTGGGCTTATTGTCGACTGAATCATCTGCAGAGTCAAAAAAGAACAATGAAGGCAAGTGGTAATTTTAAATCTCCGATTCCCGGTCCGGGTGGAACAGTGTTGCCCGCTGCAGCCAGTGAACTACCTCGAGTGATCGCTCCAAAAGAGAACTTCCTCTTTCGCCTCCCATCAGACCGTTAACGATGAAGTACGTATCCGATGTATCCGATATCCATCGCCATGGATCCATCACGGGACGAAATGGATGACGCTCGATTCGATACTCTTGCCCGGTTTATTTAACATTTTTTTTTCTTCTTCTCCCATAGGCTTGAGATTTGTTCCTTCTCCGGCTACAAGATCTACCCTGCCAAGGGTAAGACCTACGTCCGTCTTGACAGCAGGTGAGTTCATTGGATATGGAAAAGCAATGTGGGATTGGAAAAAAGAAAGAAATGGCTTATACTAATACATTTATTATAGAGTAAGTTTGGAGAATCGGCCTAACGAATGCCCTTGGAGTTGTGTGGTTGACGGAGAAATGCTTACCTATTTTTTATTTTTATTTTTTCAAATAGACCTTCAAATTCATTAACGGCAAGGCCGAATCCTACTTCCTTCAGCGTCTTAACCCCCGCAAGATCAGATGGACCGTTATCTACCGTCGTTTGAACAAGAAGGGTGTTACTGAGGAAGTCGCCAAGAAGCGCACTCGCCGCACTGTCAAGCACGAGCGTGCTATTGTTGGTGCTTCCTGGGATGCCATTCGCGCCAAGCGTAACCAGAAGCCCGATGCCCGTGCTGCTGCTCGTCAGGCCGCCGTCGCCAAGTCCAAGGAAGCCAAGAAGGCTGCTGCCGCTGCCAAGAAGTCCAGCGTAAGTATTCAAAAAGATGCAATGGAGAAAAAAAAAGGGGGGGGCGCTACGGGAATGAGGAATTTGGGTCGATGCTGATGGACATTGTTTTAAATAGGGTCCTGCTCAGGGTGCCAAGGTCAGCAAGCAACAAGCCAAGGGCTTCGCTCCCAAGGCCGCTGCTACCTCGCGTTAAATTTTATTTTCACTTGCCAATAAATGAAAGAATATGACGCTTCATTGTATTCACACGATCCAATCCGGTGGTGTGACCGACCAAAGGCTATGATTTGATGGGTGTTGAGATGGTGTGGGCATCATAAAAAGGCAGAACGGAGTGGCCCGAGACCAATCTGCTTTAAAAAAAAATGGGGAAGAGGGATCGTGAACCCGAAAGTCCTTAATAATCGTTGGGTTGGTGCGCAATAAGGTCGCATATTGGTGTTTATGCATTCTCTTATTTATCTTTGCATTGGACAAGACGACTTCCCAAAAAGGCGGATATAGATTTCGATGCAACTGTCTAGAAGTAAAAGCTGCATACCAAGTGATGAATCGAGCTGGCAATCTCGCGAAAGAAAATGTCGCATCACTAATATCATGCGGACTCAGAATGTTTGTTGCAAAACTATTTTTTAGCGAGCAGAGCCTGGTGGCAATGTTGTCGCCTAGGAGCAACGTTTGTGAGAAACGCGGGTGGTGACAACCAGTGTAAACCCATATGCGATTGGGACAATCATACGATCACGGAGGATGCCCAGGTGAGACACGTGACATCCATTTGTGACGGTGAACTTCTTATCCACTCATGGAAATGATCGTGGCTCAAAGTTCCGTCAGGTACTTTTTTTTCGTCCTTGAAACCATGAACGACATCCCGGCTGAATCAAGTGAAGGCGCTGCCGCTAATTTTCTCGCACAAAAATCGGCCTTGGAAAGGGTAGGCATCAAACTTTAGTTTCTTTCCCGTCCCAGAGTGGGAAGTGTATCGGAGCATTCGCGGAACAGCTTGCTCTGTGCGGAATGGCCCGTTCTGGCCAAAATGGCGGTCTCCACCGGCTTATTGTTTGTTGACGATGAACTAAAATTTCTTCTCTTGCAGCAATTCCAACACTACTTGGATCAATCGACACCTTACACTCAGTATCGATGGATTGGCACGGTCGTGTTGATGCTTTTGTTCTTGCTGCGTGTGGTCTTTGCAGAAGGATGGTACATTGTTTGGTAAGCCCTATTTCAGGTTTCAGCACTACGGAGTGGGCTTGACTAAACTTTTTTTTTCTTTATCTGTTGATGACCATAGTTATGCTTTAGGTATATTGCTAATTTCATTACATTAACTATTGTGCCAAGCATGCTGACTTCGGGGTATTTCTGAAATAGGCATCTATATATTGAATCTGTTCTTGGCATTCCTCACGCCCAAGTTTGATCCGGCTATGGAGATGGACACGCAGGAGAATGAGGTTGAAGAAGGTCCCACACTTCCCATGAAGGCAGATGAAGAGTTCAAGCCTTTTATTCGAAGGCTGCCTGAGTTCAAATTCTGGTAGGTCGCTCAGACAACTCGGATGATGAAAAATTGGGAAGATATCGTTATTTTTAACTGACGGAGCGAATACTAGGTATTCTGTAACAAAGGCAACAACCATTGCGTTTGTATGCAGTTTCTTCCGCATCTTTGATATTCCCGTGTTCTGGCCGATTTTGTTGGTCTACTTTTGTATCTTGTTTGCCATCACGATGCGACGACAAATTCGACACATGGTCAAGTACAAGTATATTCCCTTTGACCTCGGCAAGAAGAATTACAGAAACAACAAATAAGCCTTCATCATTGGAGCGTAAGAGAATCATGTATTTTTATTGTGGAGCAAAACAAACACAAGACAGAATAGATATTGCTTGCCACTGTTGAAGTTACGACACGATTTGAGATCATAATGAAAGCATCACTTATCTACTCATGCTATCCATATATATTTTTTTTAAAAGAAGAAATCATGCCAAATAAATAATGTAATGAAAAAACATCAACATGGTTACATTGTATCTTGAACAAAGTGATAACAGCCAGTATCTTCTCGCGCATTTTCATTCGCCCCGATATTATTAGACTACGGTAGATCTGGCGAAGGATGGCTTCAATTCTAAGCTACCGCTGCGAAAACTTCGTACTGTTCGAGGGTGGAATGGAGCAGAGTTAGGAATCATAAGTTTTTTGATTCTTCCATTTTCAACCAGTGTTCCCGCTTGCCATCGTCTTCCATTAGGAAAAGATGGCAGATAGATTGCCGAGATCGTTGAAATGAGCAATTGAAAGACTTTGTCTATACTGCTTCCCCGTAAACCCAATGCTGGGCATCGAAGCATTCCTGTATAAAAGCTCTATTCTCATACTTTGAATAAGCTCCATCAGTTACAGTATCTTGTCTCCTAATTCGTCCATCCTTCGGTCTATCCTTTTTTTCATCGTTTCAATGACCAAGATTTCTTATAAACGGGGGACCGACACTATAGAACTTTGATTTTCGATCTTCTGATATGTCATCTTGTGATTCAGTTTGGATACGCTTCCATAGTATCTGTGCAACTCGACTACACTTGACAGTTGTCCAAGCAAAACTTCCAACAGACGTGAATCTAATATGCGTTTGGATTCAAGAAGATCAGCAGCGTGTTTGTTGCAAAAGAACATATCTCGTTGCTTCTGTTTGTCAATCTAGCATTGTGGAAGTAGCACCAAGGGCAAGAAAGAATCATCCACCACATGATTTCCCCCCCCCCCCCCAAAAAAATGCATCCATTTACCATAGTCCACTACGACCATCACCTGATCGCTTGACGCTGAATCCACTCGGGGCACAGGCCGCGATGCTGGATACATAAGAACATTTGCCTTTTTTTTCGATCCGCGACCCTCGTGCCTGTAATGCGGGTACAGTATGCTTAACGCATGTACCCCCATTCAATATGGTTCCCGGCGCGTATCATGGTACAAACATGAAGCATGTCATATTGGTCGATCGTCATCACGCGAAAAGTCTCCATAGATTCTCATCACCTCTATGCGCGTAACAGGAATCCAAGGTAAACATGACTCATCCCACTTGAAATATAGTCACGCCATCTGTTCTCTCTGTGGTGTGCTTATACTGAGTCAAAGAATTGTTTGCTTCATCAATAAAGTTGATCACATTTTAGACAGCCAATGAAGTTCATTAATCGAAAGTGTGGTTGGCAAAAGTACGCTCGGTATCGCGGATTATGATAGCATCTAATGCAAGATTTACGTATCTACCTTGCCAATAGTACTAGAGGCTTTTTTTTTGCACTACCTTCAGAGGCAGCTAAAGTCCAAATTCTTTGCCAACCTCAACAACATTGTTAATAATGATGGATTGGACCAGCTTCTTTTGATTTTAAACAAACACAGGAGGAAAATTCTGCTTTGAATAATATCAGCATTCGGAACGTGCAAAGAAGGAATAAAGCGGGAAGTTACGAGAAAAAACCGATGCATTATGTCTTAATAATAAAGATCGTCAATGCAGCAAATCATATAATGGGAGATCGCCAAACAAAAGGCAGAGAATGGGTACGTGGCACCAGAATGGAAGAGAATTGAGGAGCGATTTTTATTCTATCTACCAGCGATAAAATGGGCTAATAATGCGATAATAATACACGGTGGTTACAGATAATTGTGTGTCTAGAATTTAGCTTTGGTCATAGCAAAAGATTCCTTGGGAACAAAGAACCCGCGTAGCGTCTTGAGGCTCCAACGCAGTGGCCGTAGCAACTCTTTGAGGGACCGCGAAAATTTTGAGTTCATAGGTCCCTTTGGATAGGGCTTCTTCTTGTCTTTGTTCTTCATGGATTTCCAAAGAGCAATAGTAGTAACGGTAATGATAAGTAACAGCATGGTTTCAAACGTAGAGAAAGAAGAGGCGATGAAGCTAACGCTCATTAGCATTCGACTTTTGACGCTCCTTATAAACATGATAAACAGGTCCCAGATGGCGGGGACCGTCACATGATCTGATATGTGATCATCTCTTGCTTCCCAATTTCCAGAATACACGGCCTTGCCCGACACGCTTTTCAACGACTTGTAACAGAAAACAGTAGTTGACAATATCACTACAAGCTCGACAGGATATGATATGTTCAATCCAACAAGATCAGTGGTGGCCGATCACTTTCGGCGACTTAAGAGAGCTATGACTTCACATTACGATATTTGCCATATCGGAATGCGCCGTTGCGAATTCTATGAGGAAAAGCACACTAGTTTCGATGACAATCTTTATGTCATCACTTGGTGAACGCATCGCACAGACGATTCATGCGTAACAGATTCCATTGGGTTGGAATGAAGACGATGCACCGCTTATCGTATTCCAGAAAATATTCACTGGCAGGGGTTCTTGATTTTGCAGCTTTTCAATAGTGCTCGGATCGCCGACAAACTAATCAAAGATCAAAGTAAGTTTTAGGGAAGCTGCATGACCATGCTTCTTTCCTAGATGCCCTGGATAGTTCATTTGCCAATTGCAATTCGTGGTTCTGTTGCCCATGATAAGCCCTCTTTTCATGATCTGATCCCGAGAAACTATTTTTCCTCTAATAAGTCTATGGACAAGCACTGTATGGACAAAACAGCAAAATAAACTGCTGGCTGCTATCATCCATTCATTAACCTGATAGAGAAAGCCAAATTTTATGAATGACACTTTTGTGAAATAAATTGTGGATGCATGTTCGACACCCCTATTAATGACAACTAATGACATACTGCACCGTAAAACATTATTTCAATGGTTACCGTTACCAGTTCAGTATGATTTCGACGCACGTATGAAGCAGGATGATGATGGTATTTTCTATTTCTCGGTCGAAAGAGCCGATGATCTTACAATCACAACGATATGCACAGATAGGCTTCTGAAGAATGATAGGCGAAAATAGCCAATGCAAATATCTACAGATAATCAACCCGCCAGCGTTCGTCATTTTAGCATGTCAATGTGGAGGATTCTGACCATGACTGTGGAAGAGGGCGGCAAACGTTATTTTCAAGACAACTTACAGCCCCTCATGCAAGGTGACACCAATCATCGGTCTTTGATATTACAAAAGTAGTTTACACCTTCCAGTTGTTTTATACAGCTCTTTTTGGGTTTGAAACGGTGCTTTGGCTCTGATGACAATGAATTGCTATCTCTCGGCCGATCAGGTGATATGCCGGACCGTCTCTTTTGGATAATCCACTTCTAATATTCACCCTTGCTGGATCCCTTTTATAATTTTATCGGGCTCTGGCAGATAATAATTACAAGACTTCATTCATTTTATATACTTTACCCTTTCAATTTTGACAGGGTTTATAATGTCACACAAGAGTTGGGAAAGAGATAAAATGCCTCAACAAGTGTCCAATAATAAGCTATTCTTGTGCTACTCAATTTATGTTGCACATGACAAAAGTTGTAACAATGTAAAATCCAAGTATTGACATATGAGCGTTCTCAAGGCCGGTCACTGAATCCGTTATTCACAAAGACGCTGACCGTTTAACTATTGATAAAAATTAGATAACGGTCTCTTCTCGTAGAGCAATTGTTTTTGTTATTTTTTGGGTATCCATATATGGTCAAGAGCGCATTATCAAAGATTGAAGGATGCTAGTTCGTACAGCAGGGTCCTTTTTCTGTGATTATTCCCTACCAAAAGATGCATACTTTTTATTCTTTTCTGCTGGCTGGCGGAGTTGGCAAAAATGCCGCACGCCGTCATAGGATCACTAGCCCCTGGATGACAAAAGGCAACAGGTGGGGGGAGATGTATCGCGATCCACGGTTCATTCGTTTATAAAAGGGGGGCTCAAGTAGTCACAGTTGTGCGTGCTACCAGTATAAGAGACCCTTTTATTTTTCTCGTGCCGCTTGCATACGTTGTAATATAATCAACGGCATCCATCCGACACGGCGAGAGTAATGCTGCAATGATTAACTTGATTATTCTGCATGTTGTTAAAAAATGTGCTTGTTAGCCACTATATTGTCGATTTCTCTCTTAAATCAATTCCCAACATGGATATAGACACGTCGGTTTCCATGTGTGCCACCATTCTTGGTGGGTTTATTGTGTTGTATGGCCTTTGCTCTCTGGTGATCAAAGAGCGACTGTACATCTCTGAAGCATGTAGGTACTAAATATTTTCAACATGTCATTTCCATTGTGCATTAAAAGAAGTAATATACAGTTGTGGCTATTGCCTGCGGTATATTATTCGGGCCTATCGGCTTCAACCTTTTGAACATCGATGGCTGGGTATTGAAGGAGGAGTTGACTCGTCAGTTTACACGTATCGTAATAGCAATCCAGGTCAGTAGATAAAACAATCGGTTGCTGCTATTGAACAGCAAGTGGGTTCGCTAAAGAAGCATACATTTACCCAAATGCTCACGGTCGACCTCGGCTTTAGGTGATGGCGGCAGGAGTTGCTTTGCCTAAAGCTTACCTCCGTACCGAGCTATCATCGTTGCTCATTCTCCTTATGCCTGTTATGATCTGGATGTGGCTCGTCAGCGGGCTCTGTGTATGGCTGTTTATCCCCGGGTTAACTTTTGTAAGACACATATGGATGACGGCAATGGCTTGCGTATTGGATCCATTAACTTACTTTCACATTAGCTCGAGTCACTTATGATTGCGTCCTGTTTTACACCTACCGATCCAGTAATTTGCTTTTTCCAAGATTGTGGCTCGAGAGATGGTTCACACTTTTTTTTAAACAGGTCCTAGCAAATTCCATAGTCCAGGGACATTTTGCCGAGAAACATGTGCCACCCAACGTTCGTAATATCATCTCGGCTGAAAGGTAAGCTTAATGTCTTCTTTTTTTTGGATATGGAAAGCAGCGGATGATAATGCCAAGCAGCGGGGCCAATGACGGTTTAGGGTATCCTTTTTTATTTCTGGCCATCTACCTGATCAAAATGCCCACGGCAGCAGCTGTCACAAAATGGATGACCGTCGTGGTTCTCTATCAGATCTGTTTTTCGGTCGTCATCGGCTTTATTGTAGGCTACGTAGCTCGTAAATTACTCCGATATGCAGAGGAAAGGTCAGTGACTGGAGATCAATTGATCTGGATAATCTTGATGCTCACTGGTTTCTAGAAAATTGATTGACAATGAATCTTTTCTGGTATTCGCCGTAGCACTCTCCGTAAGTATATTATACTAGTGGTGAAGATGATAAGCGATTGACCTTTTTTTTTTTTAGCTATTTCTCATGGGGAGTGTGGCGTTGATCGGCAGCGATGATCTACTAGCGTGTTTCATTGCTGGCAATTCATTCACGTGGGACGATTGGTTCCGAACCGAAACACGGGATTCCCGTTTGATGGAGGTAAAGACGAGCAAAGGGTCGAGATTTGCCACGCGTTATGGATGCTCATTACAACACGGATGGGCTACCGCTTAGGTCGTTGATATGCTACTGAACCTCAGTATATTTGTATATATTGGCATCACAATGGTACGTCATTTTTATTTTTGCAGGAAACAAAGATTAAGGCTGTTATGGTATCACTTGGGTAGCCATGGTCTTCCATTCTTTATTCAATGGATGGAGTGACGCCATGGCGACTGCTAGGATTAGCTGCGGCAGTTTTACTGTTTCGGCGCCTTCCCATTATTGTAGCTTTGTTCCGATGGATCCCAGCGATACGTAATTGGCGTGAAGCTTTGTTTACGGGTTGGTTTGGTCCCATCGGTGTAGGTGCCATCTTTTATTACACGGTCGCGGTCGACAATTTCGATATCGATGGGCCTCATGAACATGCAAGACAGGTGATTGAACCAATCATTTATTTCATGGTGCTTTCATCCGTTGTGATCCATGGTATTACTATTCCATTGTTCCATTTGAGTACCTACGCCACAAGGACACTGACGCGTTCCAGCATATCGTCCAATTGCAGTGACAGCAACCAAAAGGTAAGACTGAGAGCGTCTTGTCGCAGCTACGGAGCTCCATGATTAATCCACTTTGTTAGGGTTTTGTCACCACACTTTATGGCTCTCTTCCCATCGCATATATTCGCAGTCGTGATTGAAAGACAACAAGTCATCGTTCCATATTGTTAGCTTCAACCATTCATACGTCGCCCCTTCTTTTTCCCGCCTGTAGCCTTGTGTCCACTTAATTCTATGCAAACTACATACCGTTCCATAATCAGTGCCTTTATCAAATAGAATGTTTTATTGCCATGACATCCCAATATAGCCAATGGTTGGTTGGTTGGTATCAATGCTGTAATCTCCGTGACGACTTTTTTTTAGTCTTTTGTCAAACGGCGGAAGTGCTGGCTTTTCGCCATTGTGTTTCCGTCCTTTTCTGGCTTCAATGAAAAAGAATGCGAAACAGCAAAACGTCGCGACCAGTGGAAAATATCCACGTACGAACTTGAATAAGGGAAATTTCAGCATGTCGTGGTATTGATACGTGCCTTTTATGTTGTAGGTCAGTCGCCATTGGCCATACCAGAGTCCGGCGGTTCTCCCGATTATGCATTACGACCTAACCAGGCGGCTCCTCTCCAGGCACACATGTCGGGAAATCTGGCCGCTCTAAGCTTATCACCAGATAGTGAATCCGTTGTTGTGGCCGGAAGAGAAGGTAAAAAGTTCCCACAAAGTGTAAATGCAGCCGCCCATTTTCGTTAACACTGACTCTTACAATTTTTATCTAGTCCTGAAAATCTTGTCTGTCAGTAAAACAGAAATAAGGGAAACCCTCAATTTACGAAGTGGAAGTGATTTGAATCTGAATTATAGCAGCAACGATGTCAAATGGGGAAACAACGGTACATGTTCTAGACATGACCATCGCGGGATGGTGGACTAATATGGTTATCGGTAGCTACGAGGCACAAGATAGCCACAGCAGCAGCCAATGGTGCTATCGTTCTGTGGGACCTGAACAAGATTGGGCGGAAAGTTGGTATGAGCATTGCTTACGGGAAAATTATCGATACGACTTGGGATCTAAATCATGGATTGGGCGTGACATGTAGATCGGGTCATTACTGAGCATACCCGTGTGGTGAATCGAGTCTGTTTTCAACCCGAGAACGGCAATATTTTGCTAAGCGCTTCTCAAGACGGCACAATGAAATGCTGGGTAAGCATAATGGATGATAGCAGATTGGTTGTAGCAATGACCAACCTTTGGTATTTCAGGATCTGCGTGAGAGCAATCGTGGTTCTTGGCATACCTTTGAAGGCAAATCGGAATCCGTGAGAGATGTTCAATTTAATCCCGTGGTTCATCATGAATTTGCTGCTGTGATGGATAATGGCAATATCCAGGTAAACTGCCTCCTTTTATTTTCTCAGTGCATTTGATCTAATACCTTCTTACATTTTGATACGATCCAGAAATGGGATATGCGAAATCCAAAAGGGATGTATGACAGAAAGGTGAGCGCCCACAGTGGCACCGTGCTGACCGTGGACTGGCATCCCGGTGGCAGAATGGTGGCTACAGGCGGAAGAGATAAAATGATCAAGGTATGTATGGCCCGAGAAGAAAAAGTCGATTTGGTATGATGAATTGACGTTTTTCGCAAGGTGTGGGACATGAGTGCCGACAGTCGACGGCCTATTTATACTATCAAGACGGCCTCGGTTGTTTCCCGAGTCCAGTGGCGGCCAGGTCATGACTATGAACTTGCGTCGTGCGCTCTTATCAGTGATACCAAAATTCGTATATGGGATACCCGAAGACCGAATCTTGCAAAGTATGCATTTGGCACTCATGAACATTGTCCTACCGGTAAAGAATCTCTCTTTTTTACTTTTTCGCTTTCCATATGTGAAGCCTAGCTCACCCTTGATGCTGACTCGCAGGATTTCAATGGCTTAATGCGGATGTATTGTATTCATGTGGCAAGGACCAGTTATTCATACGTCAAGAAATACAAGAGTCGTATCGTCCGCATGATTTGTTGAGAAGAAATGGCATGGGCTGGAATATCCAAGGCGATTTGTCATTTACTATCGACAAGAGTTCAAGGCACCATTTTGTGGACGAAAGGTAAAATCAATGACACTCAAACGGAAAATTGTTTGTGCTAAAAGAAAGAGACATTGTTTGTTCGGGTGGCTAGCGTGATGCCTTCGTCTGCTGTGAATGCGTCCAAGCGCTGGAAGCGACCTACAGCCAAAACCACAATTGATGAAGAGGTGAGTGAAAACGAATGTGTATGCGTGTGTGTACGTGTTTCGGAAAACCATACTGACATGAACATGTGTCAGCTTACTACTTACATTCCTCCTCAAATTTGCGGTATTGCGCACCTTCCTTTGTTTGACTTTGAAGCGTTCTCAATGTTTGCTGAACATTACAACATCTCGAGTGAGAATGTCGTACTCGCTTGCGAACAAAATAGTGCGGTAAGTCGGCATCATATGTTGGTTATGGGAAATCGAAACTACGGCCTCACTGTTGAATTATTTTCTCGTCTTAGCTTGCATGGGAAGTGGGTCGGTATCGTACGGCTCAAACCTGGAAAATTGTTGCGTTGCTTTTCGCTTCCGACCCAGAGAGCGAACCAGGTACAGACATCAAGTTACATTATTAGAAGCACAAACGAAACTGATGATCGATGATTGCATAGACACACAGGACATGACTGAAAGTAAAGAAATGTCACTGGAAAGTAGCGGTGGGAACGCGTTGAATGTAAGATAACTTCTCACGAGATATCTTCACAAATCGATTCTGAGATCGTTCATAGCTCATGGAGACGACTCATTCAAGAAACCTGCCGTTGAATGACAGTGATTCAGAGAATACGAACGAATCCACCAGTTCTGATAAAGACAGTAGCGAAAGCCTGTCTAGCTCGCCATCGTCCGACCAAGCAGAGCTGTGGCCGGTATGGCAGCATGAGCATACCGTCACTGAATTGCTGGATTATTATACGGAGCAAGTAAGGTTCAACCTGACTGTTATTTTGTGGCACGTCTTTTTTACATTCGATCCTCTGTTAGGGAGATGTTCAAATGTGTGTTACGTTGTACCTTGTATTGGAAAAATTCCTGAATGTTCCGGAACACCGCATAGAAGATTGGTTCACATCATATATAGGTAAGATTCTTCTTGTCTCCCCCCCCCCCTTTTTTTTTTTGGCAGGGTCATGGGATTCTTATATGACTCTGTAAACTACAGATCTACTTCATCGATTCAAACTGTGGTCGACGGCGACAGCAGTGGCCAAAGCGTGCAAAGTGTCCCGTGTCCGTGAAATGAACGAGGTATAAAGGGTTTTCCAGTGTTTAAACTGGACTCGATGGTCGGTACTCACATGTGTCATTCTGTGATAGAATTCCACTACATTTAATATCGCTTGTAATCATTGCTTCAAGCTCGTTATCGGAACCGTACGAGGATCCTGGGCTTGCGATAAATGCCATCGATTATTGAATCCATGTTCCATATGGTAAAAAGAAAAGGATCATGAAATTTCACATGTTATCGGTTGGTCTAACAGTTCTTTTAGTCACCAAACAGTGCGAGGGCTGTATGTATGGTGTCAAAGTTGTAACCATGGCGGGCATTTGGAACACATGCGAGACTGGTTCAAGCATGAAACGCAATGTGCCACAGGCTGTGGCCATACATGCGTGTTGACCCCTCTGACCACCCTTCCCCAACAATAACAGCTTGTATTCGAAAAAAGATACACACGCGCACACATCCTGAAAACAGAGCACGTCAACTTGCTGGAAACGGGAAACTTCAAAAAGTATTAGACAACCCGCTGTCTATCTATATTCCGTCGGATCCATCAACCGATAGGTTAATGTGTGATGGGCAGCAGCAGCATATTGATATCCTATCCATTATTGAACACAGATGGAAATCACTGTACATATCAAATTTATATAATGTATAACCCTTCTCATTTTGCTTGATTCCATTCTTGTGTTGATGTGGTAATATATCTCTCAGTTTTGGGTGCAAAAACCCCGTCCCACTCTCTCCTCCGTCCATTTTTTTGGGTTCATCCAAGTGACAGCGGTTTCCTTTTCGGGGAAATTTTGCATCCAGTTTCCATCCATCTAGTTTTTCTGTCCAGCTGTCTAAAATTGGGTGTGCAGAGACTAGGTTGATCTGTGACAATAATATATAACCAACGGAGAAGTATGTATTCGCCGAATACCAGCAGCAATACGACGACGAGTTCAGGATATACGACGAATGCAGCAACGTAAGGACCTTTTCGCCTCATTGCGTTTTGGACATTTCGCGACCCGAACCGAAATAATAAAAAAATAACCGTCATTATGCTGGTAGACCATCCAAAAAACGATCCAAAAACCTTGCTCGAGAACTGGACCACCTCGTCAATTACAATGGCAAACGAGGTATCTTGAAACGACTCCCTAATTCACTGGTGTACGACTTTTTAGAGGAATACTAAAAAATAGACTCCCTTTGTTTTTTCTAGCCAAGCGTGATTTACCTAAATGTCCGGTGTGCCAGCAACGCATCGATATCGACCATTGGGCCGCCCATTACCAGTATGAACTCTCTCGACTGAACGAACCGACGTCGGAAGTATTCTCGGATCCTTTAGATAAAACGTACGCAAATATTCATAGGCATGGGGAAAAGCATGGTGGTAACTGATACTGCGGAATAGGAAAGGGAAGCGGGGTGCGGCTGTGCATGCCCGGCAACAGCTGGGACGATGGACCGGCAAGAAGAAGACAAGTTCCGTGTATGAGGAGACCCTGGAAAAGATTCAGAAAAATCGCGCAAGTCGCAAAGAAGCAATCAAACGCATGGACGCCCCTCGAACCGTCGAAGAAGCCTTTACAGCCGACGATGAGTCGTTTGCCCTAAGTCAAGGTACGACCGCCGGATGATAAAGAGATAACTGACGTATGGATAACTGATTGTATCGGGTTTCTGTTGTTAGCCATGTTGGAGGATACAGCTGTGCAGACGTGCTTTATTTGCAACGAGACGTTGCATGGCGATTCGGAAGCGGTCAATTTACACATTGATCATTGTCTGGCGAATATGGGGAACGAAGCCTCTACAGAGACCGAGCAAACGAGTGCGAGTATGCAATCATCTGTGTCGCCGCCGCCGGCGGAGAATGGCTGGGAAGAGTATGAATGGGCTGGACAACGACGTGTACGTGCGACGGCCATGATGGAAGGCGGGTACGGCGGTGCCGGTTTTGCCACTACCAGTAAAGGAGACGACGTGGATGAAGACCTGGATGTGGAAGAGGATGATGACGACCAGTACGGCGGAACCCAGTATACGGAACGAGATATCGTTGTGAACGATGAGAATGAGAACGAAGAGGTTTTGGCTCTGCGAGAAATGGTGACGAGCGGAGTGACCAGTGGTGTGGCAAGAAGTGCGGCAGCAGTGGTAGGTTCCGAAGAAACCGATTCTGTTCGCAGCGGGTTCGAAGAAACGGTGTCGGATATTGGCTGGGAAAGACATTTAGCCCGTGAAACTGTCCTCGACAGCGGAGGTCATGCAGGTTCTCGTCTGGTCATTGAGTCGCTGAAATCACGTATCCATCAATTGGTAAGTGACATGATCATTATCATAAGCACAGGGATACTGAATATGGTCTTTTGTTTGTCTGTTGTTGCTTTTTGTAGGAAGCTGCATCGCGATCGGCTCCTCGTTGTTTAATATGCCTAGAGCCTTACAAAACACCCGTGGTCTCAATTGTATGCTGGCACGTCCATTGTGAACAATGTTGGCTGCAAACCTTAGGGTCGAAAAAGTTATGCCCACAATGTCAAAAGATCACCACCCCTGCCGATCTTCGTCGTATTTATTTGTAAAACTTTCCCCTTTTTTTTCTCTGTTCTACTTTATCATTTTTCTGTACATTATTCACATCAAGTTCCTTGTTTTTCTCCTTTTTTTTCTTTGTTCCAAAATCTGTAATATATTACTGCGCAAAGACGATACCAATAGAATTGAATTTTTTCCAATTGTTCGTACTTAGGTTATAAAAGACCGATTTTTTATTGTAAAGAATGAACCGAGGAAAAAAGCACTTAAGATATTTTTTGACGACCCCTTTTACTGCATCAATCGTGCACGAAAAACCATGGCATTACTCTCATCTTTTTGTTCTTCTGGAACACCTTTTTGTTCCGCAACACTTTTTCCTCTCTCTCTCTCTGTCTCGCTCTCTGTACAGAATTTATTTATTTGACTACATGTTCCATGCGAGGCATTTTAGCATCCACGGCGACTTCCATCTATAGCATAACAGTCAATAAAAACAAACACTTCAGAGAAAATCATTTACGGGTTTTCTTTTCTTACCTCATCTTCGAGTTTGCGCTTTTCACCGCTTGTACCCACATCCGCCATGATTTGATCCACGTCTGCTGCTGCATTGTCTGCGACCAGCGTACCACTTTTCACAGCATCGGCATGGCATGTGGCATGATATATCTGCGAGACAAAAAAAAAAAAAAAATAGATAAAATAAGAATAATAAGGACAATTGACAAGGCCAGTGTTGTAAGATGCACTCCATCCCTTTCTTTACAACAAGATGTTTTTCTTTCAATCACTAGGTAACCTACCGTATTATCTATTATAACAGCATTTTTATACATCCATTCTTCTTCATCGTCATTCCACGTGTCGACAAACTTTTCACCGCAGATCGGACAAGGTTTTCGTTCACCTTCGGGCATCACCACCATATAATCATCAGGATTGATTGCTTCATCTCCAGGATGAGCGGATGATTTTTCGGTGGTATTTCCTGAACGAGTTCCGTGGTCATTCATAAACGCTGGGGCTACACGATCATAGTTTTTCAGATTAGCGGGCGAGTGAACAGGCAGTGATGATGATGATTATCAGTGCCAAGCCGCCACTGTACCTTGATGACTGGTTACTTCGCCTTCGGAACCACTGATCCATTCTGCTTCAGTGACAAACCAGGACCTTGACAGGCCTCGTTTGACCCTTTCCTTCATTCTTCGATTTTGCCGGAAGTGGAAATCCAAGTGAGCATCCATTTTAGCCTGGCCCTCTTCAGTTTTGGGGTACCGAAATCCGCACTGTTTGCATTGAAGAGGAAGTTGGCCATAGAGTACCTCAATTGCTCCTGGTCTTGGACTATGTTTCCAATATAGAAAGAAAAAAGAAGATGAAGATGAAGGGAAGAAAAAAAAAGAATAAGAATAAGAAAACGCCTATGAATAAACTCGTCTATTCTTATGATGCAACGGTGTCGCACGTACATTTGTAGATCCTTGCTGTCGAGACGGATAGAGCTTATATTATTAGCCACATTGGGGGTGGATTTGACGGAAGGAGGCGTGGCCGGTGTTGGGCTCAGGTAGCCCATGGAAGCAAGACTTTTTAAAAGTTCATTTGTGTTGACGGGGGCGGACGCTGCTGGCAGGGTGGGTGTTGCTGAATGTGGCGCTTGTGCGATATGACTGACGACAGGAGAGGCGATCGAGGTTGGAGGAACGCTCATGGACACCATGGCTGGTGAGGCAACGACTTGGGAATACTGTACCGGTGGGGTTGATATTGCCGAGGCTACCACAGAAGGCGTTGCAGATGCGACAGGTGTTGACGCCACCGTGGCTGCCGAAGGCGTAGCAGCAATGATCTGTGCCAAATATTGCTGTATAGGAGAGGCTTGTGCAGGCGGAAGAGTGGGTAATAGAGCTTGAATCTTGAATAACAAAGAAAAAAAAGAAGTGGCGACAGGGTGAATACATGATGGATCGTTCGTATCCAGCGACCTGATTATGTTACCTGATTTAAGATCTGGGTGAATGCATCAGCGGCAGGGGTACCGGAATTGGGCGCGCCCGCTTGTTGTGCAGTGAGCATGGATTGAAGTTGAGATATCATTGGATTCGACAGATCGGGTTGAGCAGGCTAATCGTCAAAACAACAACAGTGAGAAACCTCATCTACCTAACAGAAGCAGGAAAAAAAGTTTCTTTTCCTCGACTTACTTGCGATGCTGAAGGCGTGGGATCCTTTCGTTGTGGTGATTCATGTCGAGCACGCGCTCGGGGATCTCTGGGATCACGCTAATGGAAACGTGAATTAAAAAAACATTGATCCATCAAGCAATGCTCAAGGATTGAGCAACAACGGGGACGTACCTTTGTTACAAAGTTGGGATTCACGTGGATTTGCGAATTGCGAGGGGACATGGTGGCCATGGGGGATGCTGTAGGATAACGACGAGGGGAACCTTGCTGATGTTGTTGCTCGCGGATATAATTGACGGCTCGTTCAATCTGCTCAATGACATGCCTTGCAAAGACAGGGGCACCGTTGGGCATGCCGTTTTTCCAGGTTTGCAGCATGCGTTCGAAACTCATTCGAGTCGTTCGATCAGTCAATGTGTAAGCGTCCAAGTAGATGGACACAATGTTCCTTGCAAAATGGCTAATGTAGACTCCTCCTACATTCTTACAAATGGAGTCAATCAAATACAGAATCGGTAGCTTCTGGCCGGGCGCATTCTACAACGAACAAGAAATTAATAGGTGTTCCTCTTCGTTCCCATGTGGCAGCCTTCGAAAAAAAAAAATAAAGAAATAGAGCGAGATTCACGGCAAATTTTCCTATTTGTTTCTGTGCCTGTTGGGAAAAAAAAAGAATAGAGATGAAGAAAAGAGAAAGCACACCAAAAAGGGCAAGCATCCGCTAGTATTTTTTTTATTAAAATAACTGTATTTCACGCAGTTCCCATGGTGTGGAAGCGTAACGGGAGTCGTAACCAAGAAAATTCTCCCCTTTGCCGTATCATCATCAAGAACATACCACAAGAACGAAAAAAAAAAAAAAAAAAAAATAGCGTATGAAATACCATCCGTTTTAACTTACGTTTCTGATTTGTTGTTCAATTTCGCGAACAATAACACTGGCGGCGTGTTGATTTTCTTGAGCCAAGATGGTGAGATTGGTAATGATGGGCTTGCTGTTGAAGGTCAATTCAGAAAGTGCGGCGTGGTAATTACGTCGCACTGTCTCAACATCGGGCATGGCTTGCCTTTGTTGGCTGGGGTGCTGATCCGTGTATCCATTCATCGGGACGTTGTGCAAGGACATAACAACAATAGGAGCAGAATAACCCACAGAAAGCGAGATTGGTTCTTTTTCTTTTTTGGTCTTTCTTTTTTATTCTTGCTTGGCTCTTTTTTTTTGTTTCTTCTCTTTTTTTTTTCCTCTTTCACTTTCTCCCTCCTTTTTTCTTTCTTTTTTCTTTCCTCTTGGTTCTATTATATGCTGTGCGTGAGATTTCTAACCTTGGTCTCACCCAATGAGTTCAATGACGAGAAAAAACAAGTACCAGAGCCAATGGCGTAAAACGAGGAAATCAACCAAAAAAGAAAAATAACACAAAAGAGAAACAGAGGTGCCAAAAGGACTCACCGCTCGTGAATATTTTTGAAGCCCTGACGTAATGGGACTGCTCTTTCGCAGTCGCAAAAAATTTTCCTTTTGAGATTCTAGGATTGGGGGTCTTTGGAAGAATTGAAGGCATTTTTTTTCAGCGTGCAGTTCAACGCAGCACTGAGTTATTATATCCAGTCTTCTGCATTCGTGGGTGTAGCAAGATTTTCTTTATTAGATGGAACAGAGACTCTCATATTGTACATCCTAGAAATAGCAGGTATATACCACGTCGTACCAAGGCAAGTTGTGTAATAAAACGTATAGATCGCATATATCCATTTCACAACGTTACCCTCCAATGTCCTTTGTTTGGACGTTTTACATGAAATAATAATAAAAAAGTGCATACCATGACATAATAATGGAAAATCAAAATGACAGAAACTTCAAGCATTCCCTCATTCAGCATCAGTCCGAAAACGCGAAATAAAAAAGCTATACCCCATCGGGTGATGTCATATGCCAAGTGGAGGGGTTTCAAGCTAAGGAAAAAAAAGCTTCTGTCTAAAAAGTCAAAGCTTCCTTTCTTTTGTCATCGTTCTCAACCCAGGTATTCGACCTAATTCCATAACATCATGTAAGCTTGCGTTACAAATTTGAAAAAAGCCCAACGTCAAACGATGTTCTGACTCTCCTCTCGCGCTGGCAGGTCTGATCCATACGACCCTTACCCACCTAACTCGCCGGTCCCAGCTCCAGAAGGACAGCATAAAACCGGCCGTGTGCAGCAACAAGTCGATGATGTTGTTCACATCATGCAAGATAACATTGATAAAGTTATGAAGCGTGGTGAACGGCTTGATGATCTGAGAGGAAAGACCGGTACATATCAAGATCCCAGCCTGTTTCGGCGCTGCATTACTTATTGTTTGTTTGTACCACAGAGGATCTCCAGTCGACGTCTACCCAGTTTCGACGAGGGGCTAATCAAGTGAGAAAGCGAATGTGGTGGAAGGATTTTAAGTGGAGAATTATCATTGGTGTGATAATTCTCGTGATCCTTGGAGTCATCATTGGTAAGATCTACTTTACGCTGTGACTACAATAACAAAACATGAGATTTGACACTATTTCTTTTTTTTGTGCTCTATTTTTTTGTGCTTTAGGTTCCATTGTTGGCACCCAGGTAAAAAATCAAGGGAATTCTTGCCCTAATTCGTTTAGTATCAGGCTTGAGCTGATAAACGTTTTATTGTAGGTTCACAAGAAAAACCAGCAGGATGATCAATCCCAAGATCAGCAGCAGCAGCAGCAGGCGCAACCACAGAATCAACAACCACAAAGCCCGCAACAAAACGTGCCACAAGATTCACAGCCAGAATCAGCCCCCGATCCAGCTCAAAATGCGCCTCAACAGTAACGGGATTTTCCCTCAATTGACAGGAATCCAGGCTTCAACCTAATATTCGGTACTCACATTACTTACTTTATGGATCTTTTCTTTGTGATTTAATACACTGTACATATCTATTTTCATGGAAAGAAAAAGAAGCGCGTGATCAGTTATCCTTCAAGCCTTTGATATATATATATATATATATATATAATGACTAGTGAAAAAGAAATAGTGCACAAGATTGCTCATCCAATAGAGTTAGGTGCTATGTGAGCTAATGCACCTTCCCAACTGCAGGACAGCATGTAGAGACTTGATACACCTTCATTTAAATGTTACGTCAACATGGTCCATGTATCCGTAGTGCGTCCACTTTCATATAGTCATCAAGCTCTTTTTTTTTCTTCAAGTCTAACTGGGTGATGATTGGGGGTCATTATGTTTCATAAATGTCATTAGGAGTATCGAGAATTTTTGGCACGGAAATGTTACAAGTCTTCGGCATCTTCAAACATTTGTCTTTCCATGGTTTCATGCTGGATATTTTGTCCGTCTGCGAGGATCTAAAAAAAGGTTGGGGACGGAGGGGGTCATAATAAATCGTAACATGAGCTCATGACTTGTGGTGTGCGCGTGGTAAGCTAGAAAAATGATGATTACCCGTTGCATGTCCATGGCTGGTAGTCGTAGCAACATGGTTCGGATTTCCGATTGTTCCAAATCCTCAAGATTCTCGCGTACGTTTCTCAAGATAGCTGAAAGTTTCCCATCATCAATTACAACTTACGAGATGGAATTCTTTTTCTCCTCTTTTTTTTTTTTTTTTGTTCACACAAACCTAAGCAGATGAAGGGATGGAGATCGAAGGGATCAGGTATCGAAAAATATGAATCTGGAGACGGTTTTTTTTTTTGGTGTATTTTCATGCGAATGAGCAACGGACCGCTTATTGAAAATTTTTAGAGCTGCGCCGGGATACGTACCCCATAAGCGGACGAGATTGTCAAAAGTCATTTCCTTTGATAGCAGATTTTGTAACCACGACGTGACCCACTCATTCAGATCGACTTCTTCTTCTTCAAAATAATTACATCTAAAATCAAAAAGAAATAAAAACGCTCACGTGAGATCACGCGATTCGGCCATTTTCACAAAACATATCAACATGAACACATACAAATCCGGTAGCACATAACGAAAGAGGGACATGAATTGTGCCATACACTCTTTGATCGGATTCTGGGTATAATATTCATCTACAAGTGATCCTGATGAGCGAGCGGATCGGCAGACATGCTGTGACACCACACGCTTACCAATGGCACGCATTAAATGGTCAAAACAATGATAAGCGTCGTACTCGTGCTCCATGGTGTAAATAAAGGGTGCACACAGTGGAATCAATGCAGGGTGATAATCAGCATCTCGATTGGTCGTGAGATACGCCGTGATCACATTTTCCATCTTTCGTGCAAAAAAATTCCCTGAAAGTTCGGGTGTTCTACGTTGATATCGAGAAAGTTCTCCGCGAATACGTTTACCGATCTCTGGCTGAACTTTGTCTATCTGATGATATTCCTCGCTTCGCGCTCGGGAGCTCGTCAACTCTTTGGCTGCAAAACTCATCGTGAATCAACAATACCACTTTGAACTCCGCAGCAAACCCAGGTCCAACACTTACAGCGATCGGCTTCTTCCACCCCGAGCAGGTACTTCCAGACTTCCTGTATCGATGGCAACCTCATTTAATATGACCATTCGTATAATTTAAAACGTAAATAAAACAGGGAAATTCCATGGGTTGTTGCATGAGAACAACCATACAGAAAAAAAAAAAAAAAGAGAAAATGACTATTTTGCTTCTCAATAGGGCAAAAAAAAAAATAACTCACCCCGCGCAACTGTCGTGGAATACCGTGTCTTGCTAACAGGCGCAAGCGTTCCAAGTCAACATACACCTCCGACTGCAAAATCTCGCTAAAGTCGTTGAATACTGATTCGGCTTCGTCATATTGCATGTTGGCATTCCCAGAACGAGTAGAGTTTCTCTGAACACTGTCCAAGGCCGTCGGTTGACTGGAGAGTTGGAGCATATAGTGCCACGGTGCAAACCTCGTCAACAAGAAAGGAAAGAAGAAAAAAAATAATTAATCGACCCACTAACAGAAGGAACCCTTATAAAAATAAAGTGGCCGCTGCTTCAATTTTATTTCGTCCGCAAAATGCCCGTACTCCCCGAAGAGCAAGGGAAACAATTCACCTCGAACCATCCCGCTCGCCCTGCCAACAAACCGTTATCGTGACTGTTTCGATGACGTAGAGTTTGGAAATAATATTATAAAAAAATCTATCCTTCCACCCATTTCACCGCGGCTGGCTGTCTTTGAATAACACGCTTCCAAAGAACCCATCAGAATGAGCGACACCATTCAAAAGTAAGCGTCAAGATCACAGCTAATCATATCCACTCCATTGGCTGACAGTAAGGATAACAGAAAACGCAAGTGGGATTTGGACGATCACGGCAAAAGCCGTTCCGAGAGTTTAAGCCCAGCAAGCAAGATCAGTAAATTGGACGATGCCTCTGCTAAGACTCCCGATGCCAGTGATGCCGATGTGGATCCCAGCAAAGCCGCAAGTAAGAATCACTTTAATGACCAAACTCGGTATTTGCTTCTCTGGATTGACTTGTGACTTGCGAACAAACAATAGGCATTGCTGCTGCGAAAATCAAGGCCATGTTGGAACAAAAAGGCATTCCTTTAACAGAGGACAATAACCCCAGCAACAACCACAGCGATACCAATGGCGAGTTTGTCCGACCTAGAGAAAAAGGAGATGCAGAATTCTATAAAGATATTATGATCAACGACCTGAAAAATCGATACATGTTAACTCGCGGTGCCACACAATCACAAATTCAACGTGAAACTGGTGCTGGTAACGTACCTTTCTTTTTTTGTTTATCTCTCTTTGGTTTAGCCGGTCAAAGAAAAGTTGATGGACTGACGGTTGTACAAAAGATGTCACAACGCGCGGAAAGTACTATCCCGACAAGAATTTAGCCACAGACAAAGAACCACCTCTTTACCTTCACATTACCGCGTCGACGCAGCAAGCCTTGGATGATGCGGTGGCAAAAATTGAAGAATTGATCCAAACCGCCCAAGTTCCATTGCCAGGCACTGGTTACCCGCCAAGGGAAGAACGGCGGCCCGAAGTAAGTGTTCAATTATTGTACTTTTTAAATGTGGTTACTTAATTTTTTTTTTTTTTCAGCGTAAATTTTTCGATACGAAAATCTATGTCGGCATTGAAAGTAGCCCTTACTTTAATCTTCGCGCCAAAATCGTTGGGCCTCAAGGATCTTATGTCAAACACATTCAAAATGAGACCGGCAGTAGAGTGCAACTTAAAGGCAAAGGATCGGGATTCTACGAAACTGACACTGGAGTTGAATCCGAAGAAGATTTGCATGTCCACATTTCGTAAGTCGATGTTTTTCTTATAAAATGCAAATGAGTTATGTCTGAACTGTTTTTATTTTTTGTTTACAGTTGTTCACGTCAAGAAGGCCTTGATCAAGCGGTCAAGTTGACTCAAGATTTGATTGATACTGTTAAACAGGAGCATGAACGTGCGAGTCAATACCCTCATTACGGCCGAGGTGGCTATGGTGGCCATCACGGTGGCCGAGGCGGCTACCGCGGCGAGTACCGAGGCGATTACCGACACGATTACACTGGTGTAAGTTGGCATTCTAATGAGTCACAACAATGAAAAAAAATATTCGTGAATCTTACCCATCGGATGTAGGGATATGGTTACGGTGCTTACGGCGCAGTGCCACCTCCTCCAAGTGCTAGTCCTCCTGGTGCTCCTCCAGCAGGTTCACCAGCGTCCCAGCACACGTCGCCTCCAGCTCAATCACCTGCAGCACCTGGTACTTCGGAATCGCCTGGCAATCCTTATGGTGCTTATGGAGCTTATGCAGCCGATGCGGCTGCTACGACTACTTCTGGCTCGCCTGCGGCGGGTGCTCAGGCTTACAACTATGATTACAGTCAGTATTATGCTTACTATGGTTATGATCCTAATTATTATTATGGATATGGGTATGCAACGACGGCAACACCACAGCCCGGCAGTGGTCAACCCAGTGACGCTTCGAGCCCATCACAACCTCCCCCTCCTCCTCCGCCAGCAACATCGGATCCTGCTCCTCCACCACCGCCCAGCACCGATCCTCCTGGCAGCCAATCGTACAATGCTGTTCCTCCACCCCCTCAGTTGTAAAAAGGGTGACGTTTTTGCATGTTGATTCACAGAGCATGATCTGAAAATATTGTCTTGACTGGAGTTAGGGAAGAAAACGTGGCATTTTTTTGATCTAACAAATACACGCGTACTTTAGATACAGGCAAAACAGATTGGTCGCAGTCCTTGTAAAGTAACCATTCTATTATATTTTTTTCTCTCTCTCTCTTTCTCTCTAACAGTCAAATACCTATGCTAATGGAAGCACATGAACGAAGCTCACAAACTATCTCTAATGCTTTAGGTTCGCAAAGGAATGATAATAAAGAAAAAAAGAAAAAAAAAGTTATTCCCCAATGGAGGTAGAACGCCGTGTGTTACATACAATGTTTATTCATTTGTTACATTGTGGAATCGCAGGGAACCAAAAATCGCTGTTTTGATTTGCAGGTGAGAAAAATTTCAAAGGAACAAAATTACAACATTGAATGGATGATCGTTTTGTATGTGAAAACTGCCTGTGTTATGAGCCTTGAAGTAATGATAATGTAAGGAAGCTTTCCATGGATCCCAACTTTGTAACTGGTGCTATATCTCTTTTAGGCATCCAAGCACTCGAAATAGAATGTTCTTTGCAGCATGACACTTGAAGGAAACGTTTTTGATCGGTCCACTGAGGTATCTTTGGAGATTAACTGACATCGATCTTACATCAGTGGATAGCAGTGAAACTGTATATGACTGTCGATGATGATCTTGTTAGCTACTTCAAGTAAACCTTTGGATTTTTTTGAACAAGTGGGTTTTTTTCGTGTCGCTGCATAAAACTTGCCCAAGCATTCGACTTAGTAAGGCATTGTGAAAAATAAAAAAATAAACGAAAAGCGCAGTTCCAAGCTATCTTTATCCAGAAATAAACGATGGAATGACTTCATGAAGAAGAGTTATTGTGTTCTCTCACAATATTTAAATGTATGGGTCACACTGATGATGTTGGGAGATCTCCATTTTTGAGTTGCAAAATGTTGCGCGCATTTGAAAGTGCGTGTCACACCATTCTCCTGACACCCGATTTCCCAGCTTGAACGAGCTTTTTGGACTTGAATATTTTCCTTTTACTTTTTTTTCTTCCTTTTCTCATTCTCCACTCGAGAAGCTCCCTGAAGGACTTTCCATTAGAGTGATTAGCACTTGGTAAAGACGTTACAGTCATCCATGTATTAGGTTTTTTGTTACCTTTTAAATGGCCACAGACCCATCAGAAGCTTTCCAGACAGCGACGGATATACCACCGGCAAAACCTCATTCAAAAATAGCGTACGTTACCGATGACGACGAGGAAGCTCAGTCTTCAACCGGAATAACCCTCGTAAACCGTTTATCAAGAACTGGAAGTGCCACCGTAATTACCACCATGACCAATGCACATTCTCATGGGAATGCAAACGAACATGGACAAACCGCTGTGGCAGCCGCCGCCGCGGTCGCCGCCGGAAATACAACGCCTTGTGTAGCTGCATCCGATACATCATCTCAGGAAGCAGTGGAAGAAGTAAAGAATGATTTAGCCACCGCTACCGGGTCCAGCGAAGCCGTTGAATCGAGCCATGATACTGCCACCGATCCAATTACCCACGATGTGAAGAATCATGTTACAAATAACTCCGTCCAAGATACCGATCAGCAATGCCATCACAGTCGGGACGATTCACATGAAGAGACTCGAGATCATCATCCAGGAAAGCAGCCCAGCGCCGAGAGAGATACAGAGCCCGATTCGGCTAGAGTGGATGACCCTCGGGGAGCTGATGTTGATGATATCGGTGATTGTTTGATCAACGGTGAACAAGAGGATGAGGGTACTGAAGAGATTACAGAGGGAATGCGTGGCATGTCTCTTGAAGATGAAAATGCAAAAGACGATAGTTTGACGGAAGACGGGTCTCAAACAGTCATGACGGAAAATAACGGTAGCACCCTTGGCGAGGATGAAAATGAACAGCAAGAACCACCTGCGTCAATGAGTAACCAAACAACAAACGATGCATCTGTTTCCGAGTTGCATGATCGTCTTTCTGAATTGCATGAACCGTCTTCAGCGACAGGTCAAGTACCATCATCACTGACATCACCGCAACCGCCGCAGCCGCAGCGGCCATCCCAGTTACCATCACAGCCGCAGTCACCGCAACGACGAAAGGTGTGGGAATCCGATCGTCAAGCTTCAGAATGCAGGCGTTGTGGCAGGAGATTCAATTTTTTGGTCCGACGACATCATTGCCGGTAACATTGGAGGACTGACCTTTTTTTTTTTTTTGGTTGATGTGGTAACAAGAAAAAACTTACGTATTGCTCTTGGCGTTAGTCGATGTGGACAAATTGTATGTGACAAGTGCAGCTCGCATCGGGTGCGTCTACCTGCGGATGAAATTGTGGAAGATCCAATGGTGTCTACGGCTCATTACACTATTATTGCAATGCAACCGCAACGTGTGTGCGATGCATGCATACGCCTTCCTCTCAAGGCGGACCCTGATACTCGCAGTTCGCATCCGCTGAATATCAGGAATGCCATGAAGCGCACATCTAGTTCTCAGAGCCTGATGAGTGAGTGTCCCGTGTGTGGGCATGATCTACTGGGGATGCGCAAGACAGATCAAGAGCGCCACCTACAACAATGCTTGAACACAGGCAGTCCTCCAGTTCATTTACCACGCTACATAGGTGAGTTGACCTCAATAAACATATACTTATCTCAATGTATACTCACTCTGCGTCGGGGTCATAGTGTATAAATTATCGGCAGACTCTCCGCAGATCAATGAAGAATGCCCCATCTGTTTTGATGAGTTTCAAGTTGGTAAGTTGATGCAAGTGATGATTTCCAACTCTCGTTAGGATGATAATCTGATTATTATTACTATTATTATTATCATTATTCTTTTTTCACAGGGGACAAAATTGCTCGTATGGTTTGTCTTTGTTCATTCCATCATCAATGTCTGTCGGATTGGCTGCAACGTGGCCGAGGTTGTCCTGTCCATTATGATGCCAGTTTTGCGTCGTGATATCATCATGCATTACATTTTTCCCGTTCCGCCTATTACTTCTCTCTCTTTTATATCTATTGTCCCCTGGCTCCCTTTTCACATTATCCCAATACCTCTATCATCTCTCCTACTCTTTTTTTCTCAGCCTTGACATTATCCGTTTTTACTTTTGTGTACTTGTTCCTGTTTGCACGACAGACAGCTCAGTGAATTTGCTTACCATAGCAGATTCTTTTTAAAGATTCTTTGTGATACTTTTTTACAGTATGTGTTTGCTTTTGGCGAGAAAGGATGGGTGTACCCTCATCTAGTTCATGTATTTGTTGTTTTTGTCTCATTTTTTTCTCTCACCATAATATATTTTTCCATTGACTGATACTTCTGAGCCTTTCTTCTGTTTGTCGACCAAAAATTTTTTACTCACTGCATGGTAGTTTCCTCTGAGAATATCAACCTTCGCAACATCACACCTGAAAACATTGATCAAGTGCGATCGCTTCACCTCGCTTTGTTTCCCGTGCATTACAATGACAAATTCTTTGATCATCTACTTCAAGTGGGCGAATTTGCTAAATTAGGTACGTTGTTGCGGCATGTTCTCTAGCACCACTGTCATTGCTGATCAGCTGTTGCTTTGGTTAGCCTATTGGGGTGACACTTGTGTCGGATTAGTCTGTTGTCGCTTGGAGAATGACGGATTGGACCGCTCTAAATTGTACATGATGACTTTGGGCGTTTTACATCCTTATCGACACCGAGGCATAGGTGCGTAGGGCAAATCGGACGATAACTCCGGGAGGGGCGCAGGGGAAGAGAAGGAAGGACTGTTGGCTTTTTGACTTACACATGTTTTGACAGCGCATCGGTTGGTGGATCATATTTTATATCAAGCTAGTCTCTGCGACTATATTTCATCCATTTATCTCCATGTGCAGACCGTCAATGAGGCCGCTCTCTCATTCTATCGCCGCAATGGATTCGAAGTGATCGGCTATGTAGAAAACTATTACAAGAATATACCCGACAAGCACGCCTACATTGTATCAAGGCCAAACCGTCCTCGTACCTGACTCTTGGAAACCATTGATCGGTTCCACCTATGTTCCCATTTTTGGGGCCGAGCGTGATCCATCTGTCCCGCCCATCATATCCCAACCCCCAAACCCCTGATACTCATACGGAAGGAAGATATCGAATGTAAATGTTTTTTAATAGATCTATCGTTTCAAAAATAGGCTAAAATGTGTGCTGCATTACTGCTCGTCAGCTTTCTCGCTATCGTCCTGAGATACGGGTTGTTCTTCTGTTGCCTTGGCTGCTGCTGCTGCTTCTTCCTGTTCTTCTTGCATCTTCTTTTGCAAAGCCGCAATCTTTTCTTCAGCTCGCTTCTTGTTGGCTTCAGTGACCTTGGGCTGCTCGGCCACATAGTAAGCCTTTCTTTCCTTGAGTTTTTCAAGAGTGGCGGGAATCTCCGAGATCTTGGTAGGCACGGTCACCTTGATATCGAAAAAGGCTTCCATGGTAGCCAAAGGCAACTTGAGTGCATCGGTCTTCTTTTCCTTATTGGCCTTGTTGCCACGCTGCTTCTTCTTGCTTGCACCCGAGAAGAATTCTTCATCATCCTTCTTCTTCATCACCACCATACCCTCAGGTGCATCAGGAGCATTGGCACCGTTGTCGGTGCGCTGTTCCTCGGACGATCCGCCCGCCACAAAGCCTTGCAAATATTTGGTAAGGTTCTCGCACAGGGCAATTTCACTTTCAAAAGCAGGCAAGGCCGCTTCTTCCAATTCCTGTTTGGCCGCTGCCTCACGCTTCTCCTTTTCTTCCTGGATTTTACGAAGACGTTCTTGTTCTTCCTTGAATTCACGCAACTTGCGCACAAAATTGTAATATTCGTCATTGGCCTTGCGGTGTTCGTCACGCAAGGTTCGAAGCTTGGCCTGTTCCTCGTCCTTTTCGGTTCGGACTTTAGTCAGTTCGTTGAATAATTTGTTGCGGGATTCCCACTGCTTGTTCTGTTCCAAATGCAAATTCTTGAACTCGGCATCGAGTTCTTCGTATTGCTTGCTGAGCTTTTTGGCTTCCTCTGTATCAATGTTCTTCTTCAATTCCGCGTGGATGGCTCGTTCGCGGTCAATAGCAGCCTGCTGCTCATCAACATCCTCTACAGCATCACGGCCACGCTTCAATTGAGAGATTTCCTGAAGAATCTTCTTTTCTTCCACAAGACGTACACCGCTTTCAATCTTGCTCTCAAGTTCACTGTTATCCACCAGAAAAATTGCTGTGTGAGTTTTACCGTTTTACTTTTTGCCACGCTTTTCTCCCTCGCCCTTTCTTTCCACTCCTAATTCCGAAACTGCTTATTTTGTATTAGCAGCTAAAACTTACGCGATACGCTGATCCACCTCAGCCTTGGTCTTGTAAGGAACCTTGTTCTGGAAAGATTTGATGTTGTTTACCTAAACACATGACGCACACACACAATTAATCCCTGTTTTGAAACGCGATCAATCGATCAAAGCGCAAATCACCCAAACTTTACCTTTTGTCGGATAGACTCCTGAAGAGCATCCAACTGTTCATAGACGGCTTTTCGGCTACTCTTGATCTCGGCCTGCTTTCTACGAAGCTCTTGCAACTGAGCCTTCACCTCTTCCTGACGAGCATTCTCCTTTTGAGCAGGCATACTGTTGATCTTATCCCAAATCGTGTTCTATTTGCAGGGCAGTAGTGAGCACACATGGGTATCAGGGGAGTCGCCACTCCATTTTCCAATCGCTGGATAGAGACAGGATAACGTCGATAGGTTTCGACGAACGAGCCACAGTGGAAGCGATGGACCGAGAAATGGCTCATCATCTTATATTGCTTGTGGCACGCCATCATCCGCTCAATAAACAAAGATAAAAAAGTAAAATACTTACCATCTGCTTCTTGAGTTTCTCGATGCGTGCAATGCTCTCATTGACCTGCTTATCGAATTCTTCCTTGTTGGGTTTCTTAACACCCTTGGGAAGGGTAGGAGGGGCCAAAGTGTCTGCCATTATAGAAGCTTCAAAAAGATGAACAAAGAAGAAGGGAAAAGAAAAATGGTTGGAACGTCGAAAGCTTTGTGCTGCCAAGCTGAGGAAGAAAACTGGTGCACGTTTCCAGCCAATCAAATGGCTTGCAGTTGCAGTGTAAGCCACCGGTCTGGCGGAGCTTGAGGATCACCGCTCTTTGGGAATCTCAGTTGAATTTGGATTTTTTTTTTCCCTTGAATCTCGAAAAAAAGGCTACCACCGATTCTTTTTTCCTTTACTGGTCGCACTCGTCATGGGAAAGAAACCTTTTATTGATCGCAAGCAAGCAAAGCATTATCATGTCGTCCATCGATCGCAAAAAGATCCGCTTGTGAATGATGATGAAGCTTCGCAACGAGTCTTGAGGGAGGTTGTACCCTCGAATATGCTAAAGGTAGGAAGATCCGGTCAAATCAATCATGTTTAAAGTGACAAACATACTTATTCCCGGGTCTTTACAGCACAAAACCAAGGAAGAGCTGGCTGCCCTTAACAAAAAGCCCGTCAAACTGTCGCAAGACGAAATTGATCAGTAAGTGATTTGGAGCCGTTCAATACCAAGTAAAAAAAAAAAGCATTCCAAATTGGCTCATCGGCTAATGACCATATAACAGACGAGTGGGCAAAGCAGCTTTGTACGGTATTTACTTTGATGACAGCGAGTACGATTATACGCAGCATTTGAAGCCTATCGGTGCCACCGATGCCGTTTTCCTTGAAGCTCCCGCCGCCAGGGAAAAGACAAAACCCAGCAAAACCGGCGTTGCTTTCCGTGATGAATTACCAGAAGATGGCAAGGACCGTACTCTGATTGAAATACCGGCAGATGTGCTTCCTTCCGAATACGAAATGAAAGTCGGTGTAATGAACCAATCCACAGGGTTAGATGGCGGTTTGCAGCCCGATATGGATCCTCGTTTGCGCGAAGTTTTGGAAGCATTGGAAGACGAAGAATTTATCGACGAGGATTTGAATCCCGATGACTTTTTCACCTCCTTGGATGCTGATGGGGAAGTTTATGTTCCAGAAGACGACGAAGAAGAATACGATGAAGAGGAAGAGGAAGTGGAAGAGATCTTTACAGATGAAGGCAACTATGACTGGCAAGCCGCTTTCCGCAAGTAAGTATGCTCCGTCGCCATGCCAGGACAACTCTTTTTTCTAAATTGGTCTTGTTCTAGTTTCAAACGAGAACAGCAACGTGGTGATTCGGATGATGAAGACTTTGATGATGATGATTTCGATGATCGACAATCCAAAGGAACCGGGTTTTCCGTTTCGTCTTCAATGATGCATCGTAATACCCAGCTACGTTTATTAGACGATCGATTTGATAAGGTACGGTTCATTCCACGATCATCTGGGGAGTGCGTATGTGTCAAGGGGATGTAGCGCAAACTAACTTGCCAATGACAGATTGAAGAAGAATACATGGAGGACGAAGACGAAGATGAAGAGGAAGATTCAAATGATGAGGCGTTTGAAGAGCGTGGTGATTTCGATTCAATCCTTGACGAATTCTTGGAGAAATATGAGCTTGTGGGAAAAAAAATGGAACCGAAGCTTGAAGGAGAAACCAGCGGCGACAAATTGGATACCATACGACGAGCTTTATTCGCTACCAAGCTGGAAGATAACCAAGAAAAGAAAGAATCGAGCAAAAACAAGCCGAGAAAAGAGGGCGAGTTTGAAGATTTATTTGCGCGACCGGAACAACGACAGAGAGATACCTGGGATGTGCAGAGTGTATTATCCACTTACTCCAACCTCGAAAATCATCCACAGATGATTTCCGATCGCGGCAAACCATCCAAGAAGATTCGCATTGATCCCAAGACGGGTTTGCCTTGCTTGGTCGAAGTGGCAAGGAAGCCTAGAAAGAACGACGATAGAGAGTCTGCCGAGAATGGAGATGACGATGAGGCTGGTGAAGAAGAGTCCGATGACGAAGATGACGAAGAACGAGTGAATCTTGGCGTAGCCCGCTCAAAGAAGGAGACAAAGGAGGAAAAGAAAGCACGAAAGTTGGCTGTCAAAGAAGCCAAAAAGGTAAGTTAGATAGCGTATCCTCTATTTGAAAAAAAAAGAGTCACTGACGTTTGCATTTCTTTGTATTTAGAATCGACGTGAGGAAAAGAAAACCATGAAACAAGCATTTAAGAATGAAGAATCCCGACAAAAACAAACGATGGCTCAACAACGCAAGACCAAAGGCGTCAAACATATTCCTTAAAAGACAAGGCCAGCATTTCATCTCAAATTCCATCATGAGCGTGTCCTCAACACTCTTGTCCAATCACTGTGCATATAATAACCAAGTTTACTTTTTTTGATATATTTTCGTCTGTTCTGATTTATACGGTATAAAAGCTTTCATTTTGCATCGATCACTGTGAACTCGCTTTTGTTTGCCATCTCCAATATGTAACATTTGATTCATGGCATGCCATGGACCATCATCTGTGCATTGAGCCGTTTATCCTTTGCATTTCTTGGGGCCAAGCTTGATTTCTACTGTTGTGTAACAAATGTTAATTAAATGATGACGATGAAAAGCTCGCATTAAATCACATCTATTGATGGCTTGGCATAATTTACGAATTATGTATCTGGTAAATAATGTTATTTTTAGGTTGTGAGAACAGGCATCTCATTGCTCAGCTTTTGGCTTGTCGCACGGAAGTATAGAACATAATTGATAATTCCGCGCCGTCATCTCCCAAACGGTGTAGGCGAAGCCCGGTTAGGACCAAATGGCAGCATCCTGAGTCAATCTCGGGCTGTTTGGCTGCACCAATGAAGCTCGTTAAAAACCATGCAGGATTACATCGGCCCGTGAGAATAACCGCCGAACATTAGAATGGTTCCAATTATCCACCACTTCATTTTGGCTAATAAGGATTGAATGTCAGCTAACAACAGTAGTGTGCAGAGGATGGTTCAATCAACTGTTTCACAGTTCAAGAGAAAGTTGTAACCACACAAGAGAATTACTATTTTTTTTATTATCACGCTCGGTCATCCAACTGAAAATACCAGAATTACACAATCAGTTGAACCAAATTGTCTGTCAATTCATTGGTTGAATTCAAATTGCCAAAAAGTTTAAAAAAAAAAAAAAAAAAAAAAAAAAAAAAAAAAAAAACCTGGACGTCATGGATGGAAAAATCCCAACAATATCAAGACAATTTAGGTTTCAGTTCATTTCGGCAGAAGAAAAAAAAAAGACGCCCCAAACACACGGATAAACAGTTATCAGACTTAGATAAAGAAGTATGGTGATGCAATTTTTGGTATAAAAAGTTTCGTGCAAACTTGGCTGCATGATGAGCTGTAGAACACAGAATCTGCAGGGAAGTTCCTAATTCTGAAAACAAAAGGGGAATACAGGGCAATTGCCCAATACAGGCTAGCCAAAAAAAAAAAAATTGGGCTCTACATATTGCAGCATCTCTTCGCATTCGTTTTTCATCATATTTCGGTAAAGAAAGAGCCATGACCCGTTGATATTTGGGTTTGGGTCTTTCGGGAATCGGTAAAATCTGTAAAAAGTTGTCTGCGATCAAACAGCGAGTGCTGAGGCTGGTGCCGAATGGCCCGCTTTGGGTTCCAAAAAAAGTAATTTTCATTGGCCGAAAATGCTTTCAAGGTAACCCAAATATGGAAATTGCAAAAAAAAGAACTTTCTTAACAACTGCTCATGGTGCGCCTTTTTTCTTTCATTTCCTTTCCCTCTTTTTTTTTAGATTTAAACATCATTTGATATCCCTTATTTCTACCAACTAATGAAGATACCATTATCGTTTCCGGCGCCTCTGTCGCCTCGGTCATGGTCTATCAAGACATTGCAGTATCCCCTTTTCATGATCCTGCTCGCATTCGACTTTTATGTGATCCAAGTTCCATCGTTATGGATTCGATGTCTCTTAGCCGTTGCTCTGGTGGCATCCTTCTTTATACCATATATTCGTCGATTTACGATCGCAGCCATGCCGATTTTCGTTTGGCTTATCACCTTCTATGCTTGTCAGTTCATTCCCGACCATTGGCGACCACAACACATCTTTGTAAACATTTTGCCCACCTTGGAACGAATCCTCTATGGAGCCAGTCTGTCAGAAATCATTTCGCAGCACCAGCACCCGGTTCTTGACGTGCTTGCCTGGATCCCTTACGGCATCATTCATTTTTCCTTCCCCTTTGTTTTTGCCACACTACTGTTCGTCTTTGGCCCGCCGGGATGTGTGAAAGTGTTTGGTAAAGCATTTGGATTTATGAATCTCGCCGGCGTGCTGACCCAACTTCTTTTTCCTACGGCATCACCTTGTAAGTCACGACGCTTCTGATTAGGGACAAAAAAAAAGTCATCGGGTAAACGATCCGGCTAACGTGAGCAATGTTATGTTCCTTAGGGTACGAGTTAAGCTATGGCTCGGCTCCAGCTGATTACTCCATTCCAGGTCAACCTGGCGGCCTTGCTCGTATTGATGACATTCTTGGATTCAAGTTGTACGGCAACACCTTTGGCAATTCTCCACTCGTCTTTGGGGCCTTTCCATCCTTGCATTCGGGTTGTGCGACCATTGAGATGCTATTCCTTGCTTATTTGTGTCCCAAACTCCGAATTCTGTGCATGGCTCATGTGATGTGGATGTGGTGGTCGACGATGTATCTCACGCATCATTATCTAATCGATCTGGTCGGCGGCTCGATCTATGCAATCCTGGCTTATTTTATAGCTCGTCCTTACCTACCACCCATTCGCAAAGATTGCAGGACACGCCTAGACTATCTCAACATCAAATCCGTCAGCTTTATGAGCTTTTTATCCAGCATCGAAATGGACGCTCCGGTGCCGGAAGCCACCGATATTGAACAGCCTCAAGAAGAATACAAAGAAGCAGACCTCGTTGCTCACGTCGCCATTACCATGAACGAAGATCCAGCCACGGTTCGCTTGCTGAAGGAGCCGCCCTATGAGCTTCCGTCCCTACGTATTGACGAACTTGACCATATTACGACTGGCAGCAGCAGTTTGTATTCATCACCTGCATCACTAACCTCCGATGGCACATCCACTCCATCCTGGTCAGAACCTTCCTCACCTCGATCACTCGAATCGTTTGAACATTTTCCATTTCATACTAACCAAAAGTAATTCTTCCTACTGATCTGAATTGCTTTTGGACTAACTTTCTACCCCCACATACTTGTAATTATGTATTCCGCATTTTACTACTTACTCTACTACCACTTACTTTGTAATTCCCATAATAAGCCTACTGTTACATTATTAGACAATGTTTGTTCCCACCCTAGTGTTCAAAATTTGACAACATCAAGCGAGCGAGCAAGCAAGCAAATAATACCACTTTTTAATTCTTCATAGTTTGCAATTTTCAAATGAGATTCACATTCTTATTACAAAGTGAAAACGTGAACAGCTGGCAGAGCGTTCTCATACTTGGAGAATTAGGTAGCCCTTGGTTAGTATCCTTACTGTGCTGCGTCACAGAGAGAAATTCGCTTTAGAATCAGTGGTTGCATTTTTGTTTGTTTCCAGAGTGCATGACGTTGTCTGTGAACGCATGTGCAACCAGCGGGGAGGTTGCAGTTGATTGGATCGTGAAACGATTGGATACTTATGCTGCTTATTGCCTTTTTTGACCTTGTGGCACCTTTATCTTCAAAGTTTGAACGATTTGATCGCGAACATTTCCTCCACCGTAACGCTTGTGTACTTTCGATAATAGGTTTTTCTTTCCTTCTGAAAGCCTATGTTTTCCTTCGGGGCGGGTGCACAAGAAGAAGAAAACCGAAAAGAAAAAAAAACGAGGATTATTGTTTGTTTTGAACATCCTGCATTTGGATATTTTTTGCTATGGTGATGCAAAAGCGGAAGAAATATCACCATCTTTTGCACCCGATCGATCGCAGATTTTCCTCATATCTATGGGTAAATTAGCGAATCCTTTTAGCACGAACGAAAAAGATCATGACATATCAATCATCAATGCAGTTAGGATGACACTATTGTACGATATATAGTAATAGTCTACCGTCATCCAAAATGATTGATCACTAACGGGAAGTACAGGAACTTTTCATTCTCGATATCAGTCATTTGCTTCGCAGTAATCCATTCAATTGTGAGTTGTACGGGGACTGTGCTTGCATGGATTGATCGAACCTGCAGGACTGGTAAAACCATCTCCACTTGAAACTGACCTCCTTCCTCCCGCTTGAAGGCTATGTTGTGATATACTGCAATAGTGGTTTGTGGTTTGGATTGTAGTAGCAAAATCATTATAAAAGGGAAGTCATTTATGTAGTTTATACGTTGGTAAAATCACTGGTTCCGTATATGCTTTGGAATAAAGATTTACGAGGCATGAAGTAAAGTAATCGTTAAAATTCATTCCTGCGCTTGCAGTTGTAAAATCGCCGCATGAATTGCATGAATGATTATGTAAAATAAGATTTAACCAACGAATATAAAAGGTGGAACAAGGTTATAAAGTGCCACGTTTTCTGACAAGCAAGTTTAAAAAACCTGGATAGTAGGATAACATGCCTCAGAGTCACTAGTTGCTGCTCATATAATCTGTACAGTGATTTCCGTCACAGTAAAAAGCAGCAGGAGACCCAATATTTTTCATGTTCACCTCGCGTGCAACAACACCAACTACAGCGAGAATGCTACTGCTTTAAACCAAGCTACTGTAAAAGGTCCCTGTGCTAGGAAGCATGCGCTTTGACTGATTGCAAAACTTGCAGTAACAGTGGATGTGTCATACATCTCGTACAACCGAAGCGTGCTCCAGTTGAATGGTCTCCCGATGGGAACAGCCACGTTTATTGCAAGGCTCAAATACTGATCGGTTCAACCGCTGGCTTGCACGAAAGGCAATATTGCGTGGAACACTGTGGCTAATTGTTGCTTGATGTTTCCCACTGCTTCAATTCTTTTTGGGAGACTTCGAGATCCAGCCGTTGATGCAAAAAGTTAGAGTAAAAATACCACAATAATGTCTAATAAAAGAAAATGCTTCACTGACGTTGAGAGGTGACCCTTGATCGATTTCGAAATTCATCAATATAAAATGTCTTATGGTCGAGCTCAGAATGTAAACTCATAAAGGACCTTTTTGATGATGGGCGACTTGGATTTTCATGCTTCACAAATATATCGATAAAGTGCGATGTTCCTAGTGGCACGGCGGGGTGTGACTGTGAGCGATTTTGCAGCAGGTTCCATAATTTCGGTGTGAAGCCCAAGGTCGTCCCTGCTCGATTACCATTTGACCATGTGGAAAACGGCTGCCTCTATCGCTACCAGACACTGCCGTCGATCTTTACCAGCTTTCAAGGCTGTCGCTTTAGTCTGCCCAACGCAGTCGCGCTTGTCTGTTCTCCCTACCACTTTTGCTTGTTTCCGAAAGGCGCCACAATCGTTTTTCTCCACAAGCCAGGCGAGATGGAATGTCCAATACTCTATTTCGTAAGCCATCCATCGACTGACGCTCATGCTGTGATTCTTATCTGTACCATTTTAGTGAATTGACACCCGATAACTATCACCGCATTTCCGATCGCACCATGGATCGCATGGTGGAAGTGTTGGAAGACATTGGCGACGAAACCGATATCGATGGTTTTGACTTGGAGTATTCAGTAAGTCCGAACTTGTAGTCACCACGTATTGCATAGTTAGGCTAATCATTAATTTGTCTTTGTTTACCATAGCAAGGAGTCATGACACTGAAGCTCGGTGAACACGGTACCTATGTCATTAACAAGCAACCTCCAAATCAACAAATTTGGTTGTCATCACCAAAGAGGTACGTATACACCTGAAAGATGGTCATAAGGGGGATCAAGTACTGACATTCTGGGAATTTACAGCGGACCCAAACGTTACGACTATGATGCTCAACATAAACGCTGGTTCTATCATCGAGATAACCATACGCTGGACGAGTTATTGAAGGAGGAGCTAAGCGAGATTTTGAATAGAGATCTGAATCTTCTAGAGGACTTGGATGTGTAAAAACAAAAATAAAATAAAGATAGCACTAGACAACTCTATGGTTGATAAAAATGAGGTTGGTTTGTGTTGGTTGGGGATGACAACGTAGCGGTGCACTTGTGCTTCCCCGGTTTGGGAGCCTGAAATTTAAAAAGATTCAGTTTGCAGGAACAAATAATGTGTATTTCTTTCGTTTCTTATCTCTGGATAAATTCTATCTATTACAATCGTTGATCATAATCGAGTCGTTCCTATGAGTACGAATACAGGAAGCGATACTCGTCATCGAGATCTTCCCATTGGTTCTGTTCGGTCCATTCATTCGACATCTGGTGTGAAGACAGCCACACTTCACTTGGACAGAAACACCCCGATTCCCGCATCCGATACCACTTGCCATACTTCCGTTGAAGCTACTCCCGAAACCATTCTTTGCACATTCGATGTTCCCGCCTACATGTCAATACCCGACTTTCTCAGCTATGTGGCGCCTATTAGCGATTCAGTTGCCCATTATCGTATCGTTCGGTAAGCAAAAGGTTCGCTTGCCAAATTGCTCATCGTCGTTCACTAAAATCATGTTATTAGCGACGCATCGCCTGACAAATATATGGTGCTCATGAAGTTCCGAGACTCAAAACCAGCTCATGATTACTACCAGCAGTTCAATGGAAGATCTTACAGCTCCATGGAGGTGAGCCTTAAGAATGCAATACAAATTGAAAGGGGAGCCGCATCTAACCCTGAAGGTTTTAGCCAGAAAAATGCCAAATCGTTTACATCGAATCATTCAGTATCAATTCCGTTTATATACCACCTTATACGTTCCCATTTCTCGATGACCCCGCCAAACATCCAATCTCTCTATCCTCTGCGACCCAAAACGACTCCCACGCATGGAGCACCTGTCCTGTATGTTTGGAGAAAATGGATGAAAAGGTCACCTCTCTCCTCACCATTTTATGTCAACATACATTTCATTGTCATTGTCTCAGCAAATGGGGCGACGGAAGGTACGTAGTAATTCGTCGTAAAAGCATACGCGTCCTGGAAAGGTCTAAGCAATATGGGCTTTTTTTTTTATCCTTCCTTACCTTTTGGTGCGCAGCTGTCCTGTTTGCCGATATTCTCGAAACCCCAATACTGATAAAAACGACCCTTCTGCGATCAATGGACCGTCATTGCCATGTCACGATAGTCCTTCCTGCAATGATGATCCGTATCACAGCCAAGACGGAAATCAATGTTTGGAGTGTAATGCAACAGAAAGCTTATGGTTCTGTCTAATATGTGGCCATATTGGATGTGGACGGCAACAACATGGCCATGCCTATGATCATTATCGAGAGACGAGTCATTTATATTCTCTGGAAATCGAAACACAACGGGTCTGGGATTATGCTGGCGATGGTTATGTTCATCGGTTGATCCAAAATATGGTGGACGGTAAATTGGTGGAATTACCTGCTGCAGGCGATCAAAGCAATGAAGAAACAGGTTACTCCGGCGCTTCCGAGGTACGGCGTTTGCTCATCTTGCGGCATAAAACATGTTCCAATTTTACTGCTTTTTAGGATAAACTCAACGCCATCTCCGATGAATACAACTATTTGTTATCATCGCAACTGGATTCACAGCGGCTCTTTTACGAGGATCAGCTTGAAGAAATCACAGCTCAACTATCATCGCTTACTTGCGAAAAGAATTCACTTACAACTTTAATGCACACATTGGGGCGCAAGAACGATAAGCTTCGCCAAGAAAGCGAGACATTCGAGAACGAACTACAAGTCAAACAAAAGTTTAAAAAAGAAGCCGAGCAAAAACTGGAGAACTGGAGAACCAAGTTGGAGAAGATCAATGGCGATTTTCTGGAAGAAAAAAAGGTATGCTGTCATCTTTAATAGACATTGCAGAATTTTCGATAATTCATGTCATTTTTATCAGTTGACGGCTTCTTTACTGTCCACCAATGATGGTTTGAAAACCAAGATCGACGAGCAAAAAAATATGATTAAAGAATTAGGCGATCAAGTACGGGATCTCATGTTCTTTCTCGAAGCACGGGACACAGTGCAAGGAAACCCGGAAATGGAAGGCGGCAGTGTACAGATGCAGCAAAGCAAATCATCACGACGACGAGGCGGGCGCGAAAGGCGATAACTGCTATTGTACATACATACATACCTCCATTAATCGCATATAATTATTCTGTGATTCTTTATGCCGTTCTTTCTTCGTCTTTTCATACTCCATTCTTATATATGTACATTACTCGTCATTGCAACAAGCGGTTCTGTCAAAGAAAATGCCGAATCTAGACAGAAAACAACACAATCAGATTTTTGGTAACTCAAAGCACGCAGAAACTTATAACCAAGGTTACGGGCTTTTGGAACCAAGGCACGCAGCACAGACAATGAAGCTCACTGCATGATACGACGGGCCCCTTTTTCAGATGGAGTTGTCTTTACCTTTTCAGACCGTAATACGCCGCAAAAGCAAACTTGGACTTCAAATACATTGCGTCACACAATGTGTTCTCGGCTGAGCTGGTGAAAAAACGGCACCCAAAGATGGTTGTGTTTCTGCGGATTTTATCATAGAGCATCTCTTGGCAACTTGGAAGCAAAGATGTCTCCTTCGGCACATCGGCCGGCGTCCGTGTAAATTTTTGCTGCTGAATATTTCCTTTGGGGGTGATACTCTAGGTGTACCTTGGGTCACATTGCCCTTCACGACGATGGCTGATGTATTTTCGTTTGTGTTATTGTATCTACGTATTCAAAGTTGACGATTCATTCAAGTCAATACATGATGTCCCACCGGTATAACAGCATCTTTTGCATCACATAAAAAGTGCCAAAGGTTAAACACACATAATACTTGTTAGAAAGTTAAAAAGAAGAAACAAAAAAAAAAAAAAACACTTCGGGGTGTTTGGATCAAATGACATTTGCTGACTGTTTGAATAGGGAACCGTGTTTTCGGATTTCGAACTGCGATTCCCATCAAGGCAATGATCGTCCGAAAATAGATGGATACCGTTTCTTTTTCTTTTCTTCTTGTTTCTCACTTGATTTCTAATGATCAACAAGCTATCCAGCGAAGCCAAGCGAAACGTATTTCGATGCAAAAGATTTCATCGACTGATAATAAGCGTGTTGTGTATTTTATTGGCGACACTGTGTTTCTTCAACCTATCTAGTATGTACTCGACGTTAACCACGGAGAATGCCAGCGGGGTAGCCGAACAAGCCATGGACAAACCAATTTCAGCGCCATCCCCATATGCTTCTTCCCCACACTCTAACAAACACAACTCCATACCTCAGCTATTCTCCGATGATCCAAAGGACGATATCGTGATTAATACGTCGAATCATTATACCTATTTGGTCATTGTCGCTTCCACCGCAAATTACACAGCCCGACGATCTTTAATACGAGAAAAATACTTTGGACTGGCCGATAATTTACTTCCTTGCATGCATTACGACACCGATACCCTGCACAAATTTTGGATCTACGGTGACCTCCCAACATCTCACACATCTACATACCGTCAATACGAGGCTGAGAAAATGGAATGGAACGATATAGTGGAGGCACCAACAGGAGTAACTTTTGAACAGAGTCATATTTTGTATTGGGTAAGAGGAGAGAAGAAAAAGGAAACCTTTATGGTTTATTATTAACTCTATTCACACGAACCAAAGGTCGAAACGAATCTCCGCCACTCCGGCATCACATATGATTATTTGATTTTGCAGGACATTCACACCTTTGTGCGACTGTCCGATCTGAAGCGAGAACTGGATTCCGGCGTGATTGGTGAAAATACCGACTCACCTTTCACTATCAACCAGAACGAGCCACTGAACTTGGTGTGGAGCACTTTCACGGGTGACCGACGTGATAAATACATATCCATTGTAGGGTCGAAAGCGGTGCACATTGCTCTAGAAAAGCAGACGGACATTGATCGGGTGAATGGTTCCTGTCCGCACTTATTGACAAATATGTATCATTACTATCGTTCGGTCGCGCCTTTTATCATTCAGAAAGTGGATGCTCAGTTGGATGCCGAAGCTGCCGCAGAAGAACAGGAACGGATGATCCCCGACTTTATTGATGAAGACGAAACGGAAAAGGAGCATCGAATTCGTCGCTGGACCAATAATATTGAGTCGATCCGTGATCATCATCTCGTGGTGACTCACGTTTTCCAAGACAACGAGTTCCTCGATTTGACGTATCGGTTTAAACTAAAGCCTCTGATAGTCTGTAATCAGCGAACATCGGCATTTCGGCACGGACCCCTAATAGTCGAATCAATTGACGATGACCAAGATATTCACAGTGCCTATGAACGTGATCATGATTTGCATGTCACGCATTGGCAAGCAACCGGTGAATCTATCGCTATTGCCACACCTTCATTTATGCAGGATGAGTGTGGTAATGAGTCCATGACTTTATGGGCTGAAAATAAACGAAACTATGCCTTGCGACATGGTTATGCGTTTGTAGCTCGGTCCGCCGAATTCGACCAACACCGGCAGCTCAAAAACCGTGCCATTGGCTATGCAAAACTGGATGTCGTCGAAAAACTCTTGCCGAAATATGACTGGGTTGTATGGATGGATGTAAATACCGTGATTATGCATCAGGATCAATCAATCGAGCAATTGATTCACAAGCTGTCACGTCAATATCCGGACGGACCGCAACGATTCCATGAAACAATCGATTTTATTCTTACCCGACCTCACGAGGGCAACGCCAGCAATTCAGGCATCTTCTTGATACGCAACGCCAAGTGGACCATGGAATTTCTGCGTAAATTGCAAGAAATGACCGAATTGCATGATGGTGCATCTCCGTATATCCAAGATGCAGTTTATCATCTTATCAACAGAGTAGGCGATCAAAGACGCATTCTAATACTCGACAGCAACAATCATGCGCTGCAGACATCGCCAGAGAAATACGTGCCCAAAGATTTTGTCGTTCATTATGACTCCATGTTATGTCCAAGCACGGCCGCCAAGAAAGGCTTAGCGGCTGCCAAAGCGATAGCACAAGGCGAATTCGTGATCGCCTTGTCAGAAACCCCAAATTGATTGTTTCTTTAAACATTTTTCATACCTATCCCCTTTCCCTTTTGTACATTATTTCATTCTTTGCTAGACACATTGTCATCTTTGGAATTTCTGACAAAATCTCTCCCTTAAGTGCTCCATGGCGTTAAATACAGATTCAAGTACCGTTTTATAGTGTGCTGTCAATGATGGCGTTTCCAGCAGTTCCTCCCTGAAATCTACATAATTAAAATACAGAAGTATGCACCAAGAACATTGTCTACCGCGAAGTGTTTGACAGCCAACAGCTGGATCGTTAAGTCCTTGAATCACGCACTGCGCTATGGTCCTATTTTGTATCCTCATTTATGTATTTTATGTTTCTTTATGCCTTTTATTTTGTGTTTTTCATTATTTCAGTACGTTTTATTGTATGCTTTTTTTTGCCTCATGTTCCTTTACTTCTATCCTTATGTCTATGTTTTTTTCAAATTATCCGTTACCCCGATGTTGTGTTTCTATCATTCTTTTATGTTTTACTGTATGCTTTTTGTCCTTATGTTCCTTTTGATTGGCAAACCCCCCCCCGGGGAAAAAGGGAAAGAGACTGAGCGTCATTGAATGCGCAAGATTTATGAGCACATCAACTAAATCTTCCCGAAAAATCAACCCCAATGGAAGCTTATTGACAAAAGACTAGAGTTAAGAGTGTCGTATAGGTAGGGTCCATATACCACTACATAAGAATTACCTCGGTTTAAGCAGATAAGAGACACTAGAGTAGTTACACACTATTTGTACATTCAAATCCCGATACCAGTTATTATCTTTGAATACCAGATACTAAAGAGATCATCTCTTTCGCGAATAAACAACAGTCTCACCGTACTCAACGTCTCTATCCATCTATATCACAAAGAGAACACCATCAAGCGAGACCTTTGGATACACAAAGAGTGCGGAGTTTTGAATATTGCAAATGGAATATCCCAAACACATCTTTAATCAGCTACTATTCCCACTTCCCTCAGAGCAACATCCCTACTACACATCCAAAGAACCAAACTTTGTGATCTTCAAGATCACACGGGCAACTAGTCTACATAATTAAAATCTTTGGGAAATTAGCGATTTTGTAAATCACATGATCTACACTAAGTTATCAGGACCTGTTAAACGTTCTTTTTTTTTTTATCTTTCAACCATGCCTCGCTGCCCACTTTCACGATAATAGGCGAAACAATTAGCAGCAAGATTCCGTTTGCGCCAGTTGTGGTTAAACAGAGTATCGTCGTCTTTCGAATAAAAATGTGAGTAAGCTCTTTTTGAAGAAAAGTGGTTGATGATACGACTGGCGTTCTTCTGTAGCATCATTCAATTTGTTTTTATTTGTCAGTTATACTGTATATGTCCTTTCATTCTCTTTCATTTTCAATGAATCGAATAATACACAAGCAGACGTGCTTCGATCTATGAATTCATGCAACAGTGGGGTGACTATTGTTTCATCCATGGAAAACCATATATTTTTGTCTTCAATTTTATCTTTCTTCTTTTGATTTTCTCTCTCTCTTTCTGTTTGCTTGATAAACCCTCACTATCATTGTATCAAGATCCCATCCGCATCCATCATTCAGACCATTCTTATCCCGTATATCTAACTTGGTTAAATCGACCACCATCCTCAAAAAGGTAAGCATCGAGTTGCCCACCATCAATTTTGCTGCGGCAAATCAGACTTACCTCTCTTTTTTTTCCATCCTTCTTTTAGCTTCCGGTTACCTCTGTTTTCTTTTCACATGACAAGTTCTGGATACTACAAGTTGACTTTCTCTCGCCATCTATCCATCCATCCATCCATCTGGCGAAACCGGATGACGTCAAAGGCCATCGTTGGTGGTGTGACTCTTTTTCATCAGAAAAACGCTTACGTGTCCTCTTCATGTTCCTCTCCTTTGGATTGCTTCTCATCATATGGTATTCGAGATGTCTTCCCGATTATTTATTTTGTAGTTTATAGTTTGTATTTTGTATTTTATATTTCATGTACATATTCTTTTCGCAGTCTTTTCCTCTTTTTTTCCCACAGGGTTTATTATGAGGTTTTTACTGACGCGACCAGTGTTTTTTTTATCATCATGTACTTTATTTGTTTCTTTCTTTTTATTCGGGGGACTCTCGATATCTGGAATCCAGCTCGAAGTTACCGTCACTTCTGGCCACGTCAACATTTTTTGCCTGCTCAAGCTGACACCACCGATCCATCGCTTAACTGTCCCTGGAAGCAATTTTATTTTCCGCATTGAAGAAGAAGCTTACCTGGCGGTCCATATTCATCTTTTTTTCTTCCAGTACACCATTTGGTTCAAGGCAAGTCCAATTTTCTTTTCCTTTGCTACGATGTATAATGAATGTATACTAATTCAAAATTTCTTCAATGTCATATAATCCAAGTCATATCAAGCGATCAATGGCTATTGCAAACTCAAATAACAAAGGTAAAATATCTTGACCAAATTTGAATCAATCAAAGAGCTTACTAACTCATTTTTTTTAAATACGCAACATACCCACACATCTTTCTAGATCTATCATAGCCTGGGCGGGATGGAACTGAGGGGGTCAATCAGTGCTGCCCTGCGCGTGTTCAGAAACAAATCACGTTGCAACGTATGCCATAAGGTTGTCATTAATATACCGAAGTTCCGTCAAGAGTTCTCGCCCAGGTTATGCCGTGTATGCGTTAGGCTTTTTGTCTGACGAAAGTCGCTCAATGTAAGAGGGCGGCCTCCGGTGGCAGGCGGCATCCATTGCACAGCGGATGTACGGCTTGTTAAAACATTAATTTCTCATACTGTCAAGCAAGCACTGCTTCAAAGAAATTTGAAGCGGCAGCACAATGCTATCGGGAAACAATACAGACCAAAAATAAGCATTAAATAAAAGCTGCAAAAGCAACGGCACAGGCAAAATGGCGATCCCCTAGACAGAAATATTTCTTACCTTACTGAGCGAAACAACTACCAAATAAATGTTCAAGACTTGTGAGGGTATGAAGCTGCATAGTATTTGACGATCTGACTCTTTCGATCAAATTTGAATCACCTCTCACGATCATTTAAAAATTTTCCTTTGTATAAGACTGTGGTATTCAAAATTTTATAATTTTTGCATTAACAATTGCATGCGTTTTGGGAAAAGAACGATTTGGTGCTTCATACCCGGATCAGATCCTGGAACTTCCGAAAAGTGAAGATCTTTCAGAAGAATAGCTAAAGCAATCTTCATTTCTGCCCATGCGAACCGATTGCCAATACAGAGATGAGGTCCGGCCAAGAAGGGCATGTAGACGTAGGGATCAATCGCGTTTGCAGGCGCTTCATTCCAACGAGAAGGACGAAATATATCAGCATCATCGCCCCACCACTCTTGCTGGCGGTGAGTTATCATAGGAGCAAGCAAAACGAATGTATCCTTTGGTATCAAGTGTTCACCTACAAGTGTATCCTCTGTCGGTGTACGAATGGAGACGGGGACGGGAGGATATAGCCGAAGTGTTTCTTTACAGATATTGTTCAGTATTGGTAACTGTATAATAATGTCGTACGAGGGGACTTCCATTGATTCGCCAGCTGATGCTTCGATCGTGGAAGTTTGGGTTACTTCAAACGCTTGTCTGATTTCCTTGCGTACATCGTGCTGAATATCCGGATGCTTGGCAAGGAGCCATAACGCCCATGACAATGCCGAGGTCATTGTTTCGTGCCTGCCATACATTCGTTAATAAGGGATGTGCATTGAAATCTTGCCGGTGTTACAGGGCTTTAACCTACCCAGCATGTAAAAAGTTCAGGCATTGGGCTTGCAGTTCTTTGGCTGATAATCCGTGACCGGTGTCGTGATTGATTTCCTTGGTCATTTCACCTAATACGCCGTCGAGCTGATCACCGGCATTCTTGCGCTGCAATGCTTCTTCGACCATGGCCATGGTTTCTTCTTGTATAGTTGTCAGTGTATGTTTGATCTTCTTGGTGTTCTTCATCGGAACGTGATGAAACCAAGGGTAAAGAAAACAAACCTGAACTAACCATGGTGGCTCCAAAACGTGGAGAGCCTCGTACGCTTGCACAAACCGATCTCCTCTCTTATCATCTACACATTGGAAATCTTGACCAAACCCTGCACGTGCAATGACATCTAAAGTCATGGAATGGAAGGCTTCCAAAGCATCGATCGTCATGGTTTTGTCGGAACCAACTTTGCCCAACCACTTGTTTCGTAACTCGAGGATCGACTGTGCCATCAATGGGAAGATTTGGCGCATAGCTTGGACAGAGAAAGCAGGATTCAGCATTTTCCGCTGCTGTCGGTGCACGTCTCCTTCTGCAACAATCAGGCCATAACCCAGTCGTCTTGCCAGCTCTGTTCTCGCATCCGAAGCCTTGACAAAGATATCATGCTTCTTCCCCAGAATCTGCTTCACTAGTTTGGGATCCGTGATTACAATATGCGGTTCGTATCCGAGAATACGATAACGAAAGATATCTCCATATTGCTTACTCCATGAAAGTAAGCAAGTAAGCAATGTGTTTGTCGCGATCTCCTTCAAATTGCCTGAAAATGGGATCCATTCGGTGGGCGGTCCGGGGAGCCTATTTGCGGGATGTAGGCTCAGGCGATAAACAAAACATCGATAGAGCCATCTCAGGAGGGGCGCAGTTAGTAGGATGGTTGCAAGCCGATTGTATGGTAGGACGGTCGCAGTATTCAGAATCACTCGCCAATGTGAGCCTACCGTACTTTGAAAATATCGTAGACTTTTCGGACTCATAATGAAAACGAAGCATTAAGACCTGGTTCCTTCTCTAACATGGGACTTTTTATTCTTTTGAAAAAAAGGGACAAATACAAGACATCATGCAATCAGCCCCGCTTTTTTCCCTCGTACATGCCGATTTGTTATTCAGAAAAGTCGGCTCGCGGGGTTGATCCCGACGCCGTTTTTTCTCTTCCAACCTCGGCACACCCTATTTTGGGAGCTGACTGTACTGGATTACAAGTCGTGGTGATCTACCCAATGTACTGAGTCAAGCTAATGAGGAAAAAATGTCAAATAATGTGTATCCCATGGCTCAGGTTTATTGATATGGAACTCGATGCAAACGGTAAATCGCCTAGGCGTCTGTGCATAAGATCAGGGGATGTGTACCCCCGTACTGCAGAAACAACGTCCTTTGGAACTAATGTACAGGTCTTTGCGTTTCCACTTAACATGGCCATTCGGGTTTATGGTGCGCCCACAACACCTTTCAGAAGCTGAGGGAATGTCTCCAAAGAATGACATTATCACTAGGCAAGTCCTGCATATAAAAAGCTGATATGCTATGTTCCGCTTGTTGACATCAAATGACTTTGTCTGGTCCTTTTTGGCCCTTGAACTTAAGTGGCTGTTTTCGTTGCTCTTGCCTTTTTGGATGAATTCACTCAACCTAGGTGCGCTGTAATTTAGTCGCTTCTCTTGTCTTTTTTCCTATCATCCACATCTAGCTATTCATAGAATCTAATTGCTTTTCTCCATTCGTTTTTCTGACGTTGTACTTTTAGATCCTTTGATCAAAAGCTTTACAATCGATTTCATTCTTACCCATCCTTGTGGTAGCGACGCCAGTGATTCAGGCATCTTCCTGATACGCAGCGCCAAGTGGGCCTTGGAAATTCTGCGTAAATTGCGAGAAAATGACAGAATCGTTATGATGTTGCATCTTCTTATAACCAAAGTGCACTTTATCATCTTATCAACATAGTGGACAAAAGACGCATTTTAGTGCGGTGCAACAATCACGCGTTGCGAAGATCGCCAGAGAGATACGTACTCAAAGATTTCATCCTTCATTATGACTCCAAGCTGTGTCCCAGAAAGATCTAACGGTTGCCAAAGCGATAGCACAAGGTGAGTTGGTAACCTCCCTTGACAGAAATCCCAAACTGATATGCTTGTTTAAACATTTTCCGTCATACCTATTCCCGTTTTCCTTATTGTAGACGTAAAATAAGCACTCCCAGTTGTAACATGAGCAACCTATCGTATCTTGTGAAAAAAAAAAAATTATCCAGGGATTCCAAATCTAATCTGTAATATCATCGTTTCTTTGATCATTTTCCTGTGCAAACTATGTACAGTATGGATGAATGCTTAAGATTTGCGAGAGTAAGCTACATAGTATTTTATTGTATGACTCTTTTGCTCAGCTTTGAATCACTTCTTATACGACCATTAAAAATTTTCCGTTTATAAAATACTTAAGCTTTATGACATGATATTCAACATTTTTATAACTTCTGCATTAATAATTGCATATCATATTTTGGGGAAAGAGTCACTTGATGCTTGATACCCGGATCAAATCCTGGAACTTCCGAAAAGTGAAGATCTTTCAAAAGAATAGCTAAAACAAGCTTCATTTCTGCCCACGCGAATCGATTGCCAATACAGCGGTGAGGTCCGGCCAAGAAGGGCATGTAGACGTACGGATCAATCCCGTTTGCAGGCGCTTCATTCCAACGAGAAGGTCGAAACATATCGGCATCATCGCCCCACCACTCTTGTTGGCGGTGACTTATAAAAGGAGTAAGCACAACGAATGTATCCTTTGGTATCAAATGTTCGCCTACAAGTGTATCCTCTGTCGGTGTACGGGCGGAGATGGGGACGGGGGGAAATAGCCGAAGTGTTTCTTTACATATATTGCTCAGCATTGGCAATTGTTGAATAGTGTCATAGGAGGGGATTTGCATTGATTGTTGAGTTGAAGGTTCGACCTTGGCAGCTTCGATCTCTTGAAACGCGTGGTTGATTTCCTTGCGTGCATCATGCTGAATGTCGGGATGCTTAGCAAGGAGCCATAAAGCCCATGACAATGAGACGGCCATTGTTTCATGCCTGCCATACATTCGTTAATAAGGGATGTGCGTCGAAATCTTGCCTGTGTAACAGGGAATAACCTACCCAGCATGTAACAAAGTCATGCATTGAGCTTGCAGTTCTTTGGCTGATAACCCGTGGCCCGTGTCGTGATCGATTTCCTTGGTCAATTGACCTAACACGCCGTTGACAGGATCGCCGGCATTCTTGTGCTGCAATGCTTCTTCAACCATGGCCATGGTTTCTTCATGTAAAGTTGTCAGTGCAAGTTTGATCTTCGTGTTGTTATTAGTCGGAATATCTAGAATATGTTGAATCCAAGGGTAAACACAGCTAAGTCGAATCAACCACGGTGGCTCCAAAACGTGAATAGCTTCGTAAGCTTGCACGAACCGATCTCCTCTCGTCACTTTCTTATCATCCAGACATTGAAAATCCTGACCAAACCCTGCACGTGCAATGACATCTAAAGTCATGGAATGAAAGGCTTCCAAAGCGTCGATCGTCATGATTTTATCTGAGCCAATTTGGCCCAACCACTTGTTTCGTAACTCGATGATCGACTTTGCCATCAATGGGAAGATTTGGCGCATAGCTTGGACAGAGAAAGCAGGATTCAGCATTTTCCGCTGCTGTCGATGCACGTCTCCTTCTGCGACAATCAGGCCATAACCTATTCGCCTTGCCAGGGCTTTTCTCGCATCCGAAGGCTTGACGAAGATGTCATGCTTGGTCGCCAAAATCTGTTTTACCAGCTTGGGATCCGTGATCACAATATGCGGTTCGTATCCAGGGAGGCGGTAACGAAAGATGTTTCCATATTGCTTACTCCATGAAACCAAGCAAGAAAGCAATGTGTTTGTTTTGATCTCCTTCGAATTGCCTGAAAATGGGATCCATTCGATGGGCGGCCCGGGGAGGCTATTTGCGGGATGCAGGTTCAGGCGATAGATAATACATCGATAGAGCCACCTTAGGAGGAGGGCTGTTAATAGGATGGCTGCAAGACGGTTATATGGTAGTACAGCTCTAGTATTCAGAGTCGCTCGCCAATGTGAGCACACCGTATTTTGAAAATATCGTAAATTTTCGCGACTCAGTAATGAAAAACGAAACATAGAAGAATGGATCCTTCTCTAACAAAGGACTTTTTATTAATTTTTAAAAAAAGGGAGCCAAATGCAAGCGATCATAACGTCAGCCCCTGCTTTCTTTCATCCACATTTCTCTTCGTCTGGATCGAATCCGTTTGGAAGCACTGCAGAATTTTCCAGAACTCACTTTTTTTTTTTTTTTTTTTTTTTACTTATCACCCGTATTAGCCTCTTTGGAAAAATCCGCGGTTATGACATATTATTGTATATCTGCACATATGTTTAAAAAAGCATATCCAACGTTGCCTGCTTTGCTTCGCATTGTGTTAGCAATTTCCGGCCCACATTTTTCAGAGCATCCTCTCAAACTACTTTTTCGTCAAGGTTGTCCATCACAAGCTGTAAGGTGATGAAGTTAATTACGCGGAGATGCCTTCGGAGGTAGCACAATGTCAATATTCAGACTCTTGGTCCTGAGCCTTTCGAACCGCTTGAATGACTGTGGCGTAAAGGTGGTTCTTCTTGTTCAGGAACGTTTTTCTAAAGAGAAAGACTTGACCCTCATTGTAGAATATGCTTGAGTCTTGTTGACAGCGTTGTCATGTAATTGTGCACCCTTCAAAAAAAAATATCTATTGGTGTCCATCCATATTGTAAGTTCGCCAATTGAAGCTTTTTGAAGTGTTTGTTTCTCCAATCACATATGCCGGTTTATTATGTCACCAAAATCGACTCCCCGGGTTATTCCGAACCCCCGTTGATTTTTAACCAACCTCGGCACATCCACTTTGGATAAAAAGCGGGGGCTGACTGTAATGAACCGCAAACCGTGGCGATTTACCCAATGATAACTAAGGAGCCAAGCTAATAAGGAAAATCGTCAAATGAGGCTTATCCCCTGGCTCGATGCAATCGGTAGATCGACGAGTCTGTTTCCGCATAAAAAGAAATTAGGGATTTTTTACCCCGTAAAAAATAACAATTCCTTAAAATTATTGAACTGGTCTTTGCGTCTCCACTTGACACGGTCATGCGGTCTATCGTACGTCAGCAGTTTGGACATTTTTACAGAAGCTCCCTGACAGTTGAGGGAATGATTCCCAAGAATGGCCATACCATTATGCAAGTCCTGCATTCAAAAAAGCTGATGTTATGTTCCTCTGTTGACGTGAAAATGGCTCTCCCTAATTCTTTGATACTTGCAATGAAGTCTCTGTTCTCATAGTTCTTCCCTTCTCGGATGAATTCTGTCAACCTGAGCGTACTGTAACTTAATCGATTCTTCCATCCTTTTTTCCTATCTTTTCAGCTCTATCATAGCTTTTCATACATCGATTTACTTTTTTTATTTGTTTTTCTGACATTCCACAGCCTTTTTGTAATCTAGATCAACTTGCTTCATATACAATACTGTGCAGTCCTTTTGTAGGTTCGACTAGTTTTATTGATGGAGATGACGATTAAAGAATTTTAGAAAAAAAGTTGTGATGCTTAAATAATGCCCTGTCGTTTCAAGTCTTCATAGGTCTTCTTGTTATATACGTTGCCTTCGCTGTCCTCATACTCCTCCATTGTGTCCGCTTTAGGATCTTCCGTCTGACCTTCCTTCTTTAATTTTTGATAAACTGCAAGATCAAAGCAAAAATGTCAATTTCATAAAATAAAATAAAAAGCAGGCCCAAGTTGATCGTATTACTTACGTGCATAGGCATCGTCGATTTTAGTGATTTCGTGAAAGTGTCGTGTGTTTGGAATACCCAGACATCGCATACCGTGTGCATGACGCCATTCTTGAAAGTGCTTATCGAATGCCTTGCGACCCATATATACATAATTACCACAAATCTCACAAGGATATTCGACACCGAGACCATGCAATTTGTAAAGCCAGTAGGGGATCGGCTTGCCATCCCAACCCAATGGCAGTTTAAGAGGGTTATATATTTTGTCTTCATCATCTTCGTCTGAGTCTTGATCAGCAATATCGATTTCATCTTGATCTTGCTCCAGCTACAAAATAAACCAATTGATGAGGACCAACTTTGTTTTTCTTCTCCCAGTATGTATGTAAATATCGGTCTCAGGAATCACTTACAGTGCGCTCTTTATCTGTCAAGGCCTGCTTTCTTTCAATGTTGGCTCTGGTCTCCGCAAGGAAGTCGGACAAAGCTTCCGCATATTTGGATATCAGAATTTCCTTCCATGCCACTGCTTTTCGTTTATCTTCTCTGCCGTGGCCATTGGCTTGTGCATCTGCCCCACCATTGCCATTCGGTGACTGATTTTCCTCCAATGCTTTCTGTGCCTTGATGTGCTTTTTACCCTTCAGATGGGCATCATAAACTGATTGCTTTGCAAACTTTTTTTGGCCTAAAAAAGAAAAAAAAACAGCACCCATTTAGTTGAGCTCATTCGACATACACCGTCGGCAGTCGTGCACTTCACTTACAGGCCACACAGAATAAACTTTCATCAGCATCATCGGTCGCGACTTCTTCCCAACCGGGGATTTTACCAGCGGCCCAATTTTCATCCAATTCTCGCTTTGCCTTTTCTTCTAGTTCGGTGAGGTTATACAGAGGGTTGGCACGACGGAAGAAACTGTACAGATATTGTTTAAAATGGTCGAGGTAATTTCGATACGGTTCGCTCATTTTGATATTTTTGGGATACACGGCCTCGAACTTGTCAAACTCTGAAAGAAATTGAAGATAGTCCATCTTTCTTACGCCTTTCAAATTAACGTATTCCGTATACAGGGTGTTCAGATCGAGATATCGACCAAAGTTTTCTTCACCTGAAAACAACTTTTCAAGCTCTACAAACAGCAAAGTTGGAGATCCCATAAGTTGAGTACATGCGACATTGGGACTAGTCACCCCCAAAAAAACGATGTGGACATACCTTCATCATCGCCTTGGTCTCGCTTTTGATTGATAAAGATGAATTCCATTTCCGGTGGTTCGACAGGTTCATTGGGATATTTACGGTGATGATCTTTAATGACTCGTAAACGTTCGTAGAATTCGCTGAATTCGGAAGATCCTGAAAGCGCTTCAATTTCGGATTGACGAAGGCTGTACAAAGAGAATTGAGAAAAGTCAATTGAACTTGCGTATTAGAAGATTGACAAAAAAAGATTGAGAGCAAACATTTACCCAGTTTTATCTTCATACATGTCATGGAGCTGCTGACTTTTATCGACAATGCGAGTCAAAAACTTGTCCACAGTGTGTTGATTCCATAATCGTTCCCTATGTGTTTTTGTTTCTTGCATGAACTGATCCACAATGGCCTGTTCAAGACGTTCAATGTCTTCGTGAGCACTATTACCAAAAACAAAGACCCATCGGCCGTTAGTTTGTATGTCATTTTTCCAAGGAGGGACACTTACGCTCTTTGTTTCTCGAGAACGTTGTCCATGTTGCCGAAGGGAACCTGAAAGTGTGAAGGCGAGAAAACAAAAAAAGGTGTGTGCCAATTTGAGCTGCAAAAGGGCCAGCCAAAGCTACTTCAACTCAGCCACCGTCACAAATCCAGTGGGTTTAAGTCTCAAAATGGAAAATGGACGGAAATCGCTGGTGTTGTATAGACCTGGGACAAAGTATGGCAGAGTCACGAAACGATATTCGAGGTATAACCACCGAGGACATCCTTTGACTAGTCGATCCTTTACTGAGAAGTCTACGCTAGACTCTATATCCAAGCTCAACATTAACGTTCCCGACGAAGAGTCACCGCAGCCCACCATTCCCCCAGATTATCTCTTGCCTCCATGGAAAGACATTACCGCTTTTCTTGATGATGCCACCAACGGTATGCAAAATTTACACCTTTGGAACTTAGTGGGACGAATACTAAGTGGCTTTTTGCTTGCAGATTTTGACGTTGGACAGCTCGTTCACCTAAAGTCGTTTTCATTGTTCGACGCCATGTGTGCTATTGAAATCATGGATCCGCGGATGGACACCGGGATGATTGTCCCCGGCTTGCAACCAATATCATTTGACTTTAAGCAGCATCTAAAAGGCCAACAAGTAATGTGGGTAATGGACCGACTTTTGAGTTATGAGGTAACACACATGGAAATCGGCGCGAGGCTCGGCAGAGAAAGAATAATACGGGTTCATGTAGATGGCATGGTTATCAGGACATGCTTTATCGCAGACGATATATACCTGTATCTATTACCATCACATCCGGGAATTGAGAGATATTCCGATGCCATCAAAAACATCGTCATTGGAAGAAATCCTCTATGGTGCTCTGAAAACGTACATACTAGTCACCGTCAAATGTTGCTGGTATGTGTGGACCGAGATGACGTCGCAGAACATCTTTGAGGTAATTGTTCATATGGAACGCTGCATTTTCCTGTCCTTTTCCGTCTTACATATGGGCATTATTTAGGAAGAGGATTTTACAACCAATCTTTTTGGACTGTCGCTTTTTGAAGAGCATGAAGATGGACTATTGATGAATGATCTTGATACGGCGATCGACCTGTTGGATCATGTTAAGCAGGAATGCAACCCTGGTAAAATGACAAATCAATCTGGATATGTTATTTCAATGAGTATAATTATGTTGGTTGTTTTTTTCTTTTGAAGAAATCGTTCAGCAACTGGATGCATTAATAGACCGTATCAACATCCGCAAGCATTATCTGTTGACTCTCATTTATGCATCGCACCCCAATGGCGTTTATTTTGCTCAAGCCCGGACCGCACTAGCTAATCTTGAAAGCATCATGCACAAAAATGGGCCTGGATCCATCACGGCGACCGTGGGCACCGGCGAAGAAGTGAAAGGAGGTAGGTAACAGCATGGCTGGGTGCGATCGGATACATGATTTGAACTGATGCGTTCGTAGTATTCGATCCCAACATCAATCGGAAATTGATCTCTCAAGCTCCGCCACGACCCATCACGCTTGAATCGGACACCAAGGTGAATAAGACGTTTTTTGAGGAAGATCATAGAAAATGCTGACCTATCGAGCTTAGTCCTTGGAATATTTCCGTCTATTGCTGAATAGATTAGAGACGATATGCAATGTTCAAGATTTCCCTTCCGTTACATCACTCACAGTATGACTTTACACGCCACCTGTCCTCCAACAGTATGATGGTTAATTGACGCATATTTTCTACAGAACTTTTTCCTCAGCTTTGGTGCTACCCAACCTTATGCCGATGCATTTTCAAGGTCCAAGCTTAGTGTAAGTTTGACTCTTTTCTGTCGGTTTTTGGCAAGCCGTTAACTGAATTCTTGGTTCTAGACCATCTTCTATCAGGATTTGCGCATATTTGGCCAGCTACCTGCCATGATGGTGCTTCGAGCCGTGACCGAGTTTGCACAACGACAGAGGCTGTGGGATACTGTCAGTACATCGAATCAATCAAAGTTGGAAGAAGCCAACAAGGCACTTGATCGGTTCTTGGATAAAGCATCTTTGGTAAGTGTATTGTGCTTAATCTATCCTCCTTCTTGGATCATTAATGTGCTTCTTTCCTTTGATATGTGGACAGTCGTTTATCGATTTTCATAAAATTCAATGCCACAATCGATCACGCCAAAGAAGAATTCTACGCAAAGTGCTTGGTGAATGGGAGATGCTACAAGACGAGGTAACACATAGCAATAGTGCGTCACTGGGCATGGAAGCTCATACTATCTTGTTAGGGAGCCATCGTTGATGAATTGTATTATACCTTGACAGTAAGAAAAAGGAATTTCATGTGATGCCAGCTCATTCTCATGCTGAAATATGTATTTATGCTTCCTTTTTCTATATAGGGTGCTCCGCAAGTCTCGTACTATCTGTGTTCATGGACATACCATCAGAAACTATTTATCATGGAAACCATCTTATTTCTGGGTTTTGAGCTTGAACTTTACGGCGTTCATGAATATGTCATGGTTTACTGGTAAGTGAGATCGCTGTAAAACCTTTTTTTTTTTTTGTGTTGCTACGAATCTCACCCGCGGAATGCAAAAAAAAAAAGGTATCTGTTGCGGATACTGGACAGCCATACGCCGTATCCCATGAGTAAGTAATTAAACCGCAAAACAAGTGAGTTCAGTGCTCGAACGATTGCTCAATCTCTTGCATAGTCTCGGAAGACGGCACTCAGCAACTGGAGCCTGCTTTACTCCCTTGCCCCAACGCAGTCCAGTATATGACTCAGGCCAAGCGAGAATTATCTGCTGGTGTAATGAAGATTTGCTTGGTGCTGGAAAAGAAAAACCGGTTATTATCACGGCCATTGAGGTTTGACGATGAACGCACACGCTATGACCATCGATTCAAAATGTTTGCTCCGCTCTGTATGCCTCCCCACCCTTCCTACGACAGCTATCGACACAGTATCAATATAAAAAACCTAACCGTGGAGAATTTGTTGAATGCTGCTCGTTTGCATTTTGATGCTGCCAAACGCACTCTGAATATCCTCAAAAATGTTCCCGCCAGCGAAACAAACATGGAAATGTGTGAAGATTATTACCAAAAGGTATGTGGAATAAGATTGAGGTATTTTTCTTGAATTCAGCCAAAATAGAACCATTGACGTTGATTTTTTTAGCAAATAACGGATATGCTGCGCGTCTGCGTCGCCAATACGCTGGCCGTTCGGTTCTTGGAAAACGATAATCCTGTCGAGATCAGGTTCAAATACCACACTTGGTGGCCTGTATTCGAACGCCAAATGAAATGAAAAACTTGAAGCATTTTATAAATATCCCACGTGTACATTATTATATCATCTTAGAGTTAGATACGAAAAAAAAAAAGGAAACTACATATATTCGGGAGAGACAGATGGTAAATCAACAGTTATGGCTCTCTTTGACCTCTATTAAGCATGTTTTTATTTATTTATATTCTTTGGTTTTTCATGCCTTTCAGTTTCGTTTGGTTTGGTTCGTTGTTTTCCCTGTTGAATTGTTCTTAGGCGGTGGCGCGCCATGCGGCATAGATTTGGAAAATTGAAGCAAAACCACCACAGACACCAACAAGCACATCAGGGAAAGTGCTGTGCTCGAGGGACCAGTGGACGGTCAAGGGCAGATAACTGAAAAAAAAAAGATGGAAAATCCAATATCAGTAAACAACATCATTATCCGGACCAGCATGTCACTTACCCAGAGTTGATCAAAGTGTTTACAATCATAGATGACCGCTCGGCCTTGATGCTGGCCATTTCCGCCTCGGGATCGTCGTTGGAAGCGATATCACCCGATTTGATACGTTTCAACAAGCTCATTTCCCGTTTTCTTAAATCACGATATTGCTCGAACAATCGACCATATTCCAAAACAACGTAGGCGGCCCAGAAACGACAACTCCACATACCAATCTTGTTGGTCTTTTCTTCGGATAATGGGATGATTTGATGTGCGCCGAGCCAGTAGGTGTGTTCAAGAGGGTAATAAATGACGTTGCACCAATTCTGGATGCGTTCAATGGCAAGGGCCAGCTTGCTTGCAGGAGGATGGAATTCGAGATAGTTCATGTATTGAATCATGGGTAACAAACCATAGTAACGGAGGAGGATACGGAAGTCACTGACAGGACCGGCAAAGTTTTTAATTCGTGTCGCCAAAGATATGGCGCCAGCGGAAGCCTTTACGATAGAAGCCGATCTTTTCCGTTGAATGAACCAGATCAAAATCTTTGACCAATATTGGATGAACTATACTCAATGCATCGTTTAAGAATTGACAATTAGTTACACATGCCATTTTGGCTTATTTGCCAGTTCCCACAGCAACCCATTCTTCTTTTTTCCTCATTAAACCAAACTTACCATGAGCACTTTGTCGGTTCCGCGCACCGAACTTAAAAAGCGAATCAAGTGATCCAAAGTAGGCGTGGATGGACCGAGCACTTTGGCTATAGCCAGAGGATTCAACGTTTCTTTGGTCTGCTTAGGCTTCTCTGTCATGGTATGTGGATTGTCCGTAGTTGTTTTGGTGCGGGGAAGAAAAAAAAGGGGGTTGCCCGACTGAAAGAGGAAGTGGAAAATAGACATTTGTAATTTTCTCACATGCGAAGAAAAAAATCCCGAATAACCCAAAAAAGGCAACTTTTTGAAACTTATCATTCAGCATCGAAGAACTGCCTTGAAAAATATTCAATGTGTATGTATCAAAAAAACGAAAGGACAGAAAAATCTCATCAAAGTGAAATGTTGGTTACGCATGAATTACCATTTTCAGGAGTACAAAGCCTATGTAATTCAGGGAATTCGGGTGCCATCGTCCTTTGCTGGAAGCGGAACGAAAGGCATGCCCGCTTTATATTTTTCAAACGAGCAGTCACGCTAATACAGATGCGGTTGGTCGATCTTTTTGCGGTGATGAATTGCTTGTTCTATGATTGGCTCATCGGATTTAGCGAGTTCTCCCTTTTGGAGAGCTCACATCTGTGCGCCTCAATAGAATTTTCAACGCTATCTTAATATATGCGACACCAGGGTTTTCATATTGGCTTAGTTGCAAATAGCCAAAAGAATGATAACTATTTAAATATCTGAGATCCAAGACCTTTACGTGCTGTAGATCTGTGTTACAAGGAAGTTATGCTGGACTCTAAACCCCGGCGCTCCCACTTTCATCAGTCAAGTATAATTTTTTTATTTGATATTGAATTTATGCATCACTGATTAGAAATGAAACTGTCGATCAAAAGCAAACAGAAGAATTCGCTATTTGTTCATGATGATCTTAAATGCCTAAAGCAGATGGTAAGTAGAAATGATATCATGATGATCAAATTAACTTCACTTTTCTGATCGGGACTAACAAAGTAAACGAGAAAGGAACCCGGTGTTTGCAAGATTTTTTATATGAAGAAAATATTGCGTAAGTTATGCAAGGCATGGGATTTCGCACAGAAAATAATGATCGACGATGAAGAAATGAAAAGCACAAAAAATTCGGTGCTTTCAAATGAGCCGAGAAAACAAGGGTCCTTGATCTTGGAGCAGCAAGTTAAACTTCATTCATGCGGAAAACAATATAAACTAACATACGTATTTTTCCTATCAATCAGTTTTAGGCATTGTAAACCTTGATTTAACTTTTATACCACAAACTCTAAGCGCTTCACACTTGACTTTTATGCGTAATATCCATGAGGTAAGATATGCAGAGAATTTCTCTCTTGAGTAACTGTTGGATAGAGTCATCGGAACAAAATCATCCGTGATGTCAGTGAGATCTGTGATGCAATGCTTAATAGCCTACCTACTGTTTTTCTCTTGCAAAAAGAATACACCGCATTATGACACAATTCTATAGATAAAACACATTTGTTGAAGCTGGGTTAAGTGACAGAGCTGTTACTTTTTTCAGTATGCGGTAAATCCCGTACGCTACATATGATGGATTGGTAGATAAGAAGAGCCACAAATGACGGACGGAAACGCTCTCCGGCGGTGGATGGAGTGTAAAACGAAGGCATTCAAAAATAATCCTTCCTTTGTATTGTTAATCGTAGATTCCAAGGGAGGATTTTGAATAAATTTCTATGAATTCGATCAACTGAAAAAGTCATCGAATGGCGTTACCAAAATGTATTGCATCAAGCAAACAAGGAACATGGATCGGGGTTTAAACTACGGCAATCGCTGTAATTTTTTTTTTTTAATTTTGAAGAGTCGTACACCGGCTGCTTGCTATTTTTGCTTTTCTGTTTTTTCCTTTATCTCTTTTTCTTCTGCTTTTCTCTTCTCTTAAGCATCACTTCATTTCTACCATGGGTCAAACACTCAGTGAACCAATTACCACCAAATCCACGACATCGGGAAATGATAAACGTGTAATGTACGGGGCATCCGCCATGCAAGGCTGGCGTATTAGTACGTATTTTTGCTGGTGACATAAGCGAGAAAGAAACAAGAGAAAAGAGGATAACACCAAAAAAGAAAACGGCATGGAGTTGAGAATGGGTCGCGCACAAAATGGCATGATGATAAGGAGCATGAGCTAACGATTTGCCGCGAATTCTCTAGCCATGGAAGACGCACACACGACCATTCCCGAATATACAGACACAGGCGCCAGCTTTTTCGCAGTGTTTGATGGTCATGGTGGTAAAGTGCTGTTACTTTCTTATTGTTTAAAAAAAAAAAAGAAAAGAAAAAAAGAAAAAAAAGGGTAAACTCGGTCAGCTGACATTATCTCTCATAGGTTCAAATGTGGCAAAATACAGTGGCGAGCATCTGCAGGATCGAGTCCTCGACTCTGATGATTTCCGGCAAGGAAAAATTCGTGAAGCGTTAAAAGCGGGCTATCTCGGTATTGACGAGGATTTGCGTAAAGGTAACACATATTGAAATACGTGAAAACTAGCGACCAGCGAATAGCGGCACGGCCGGAAACAGCAAATTCATCCGGGGTCTTTCTCCTTTAGATCCTCAATACGAACATGAAACATCCGGCTGCACAGCCGTAGTAGCATTGTTGACCAAGGATAACATACTTTATGTGGTAGGTCATCCGGTCTTTGACGTCTCGAAAAAGATAGCTCACAAGTAACATCATCGGCTAGGGTAATGCGGGCGATTCTCGTGCGGTGATCAGTGCCAATGGCAAAGCCATTGCCTTATCACAAGATCACAAACCAACCAATGCCAAGGAAACAGCACGTATTGAAAAGGCAGGAGGACATGTTGAAGCTGGACGCGTCAATGGTAAGCAAAAAAAGAATCTTTGATAGTGATATCATAATGTGCTTTTTTCTTGTTATTGTTGGGCTTTTTTAACATGATATTGCAAGGTAACCTCGCCTTATCGCGCGCTCTTGGCGACTTTGAATTCAAGCAAAACGACAGCTTACCAGCAGAAGAGCAAGCGGTCACGGGTATGTAACGTGTTGAGCATTAGGCATTTATCTGTAACCGCGTGAGACCACTGACACGACCATCTCCACGTTAAATAGCCAATCCGGATGTAACAGATCATAAACTGACGAAAAACGACGAATTTATCATCGTTGCCTGTGATGGTATGTACATTTTATGGACGAGGCATCACTTTCACAGGCTCACTGTCAATATTAGGTATCTGGGATTGCTTAACAAATCAGGAGGCAGTCAACTTTGTGCGCAAAGGGTTAAGCAACAAGAAAACCTTGGCAACAATATGTGAAGAGATGATGGACGAATGTCTTGCTGATGAAAGTGACTTGGGAGGTGTTGGCTGTGATAACATGACAGTGATCATAGTAGCATTCTTGCACGATATGACACCTGAAGAGTGGTATGACTCCATGGCGGGTAAATTCGTGAAAACCGGTGCCGTCGTGGCTCGAGATTTGGAAGAGCCCGAACCAAAGAAACCGCGCGGAATGAAATCCGAATCGAAAGAGTACACGGTAGAAGAGCTAAGAAATGCCGGTGACCTTACTTCCTCATTGGATGCGGATAAAGAGACTGCTGCTAAAGACGCGAAGTGATTCATAATTTACCAGTAAAAGAAAAGGAAAAAAACAACTTGTAGCTTGTAGTTATCACCATTTTTGTGTCACATACATTCCATGTAATCAGCTTCACACCGAGCAGCATAATTCAATGGTTGACAAGAGAGAAAAAAAAAAAAAAAAAAAGGGTAAAAAAAGAGAGACAATTGGGATCTTCACAATAACTCGCATCGGTGCATACGCGGCCAAGACGCACGGACGTGGCTACGTTGCACAACACCTACTAGTTTGATTAAATCAATTTAACAACTCATTTATTGACTCATTTGACTAGATAAATTCTTTTTTTTAAACGTCTCTGGAAAAGGAGATGGTTCATAGCGATGCCACCCGTCGTTCCCTCATAAAATGTTGAACCTTCCTTCCCCTTTATTTAACCTGGCTCAAATCAAGGGATGCGGATGGCAAAAAGTGAGTGAATGGAATACGCGACATGGATAGATAGACCTGCATCTGTTTCATGTGCAGTTATTTACTAAATATATCAGAATGGTTCGCTGTAGGCACAAAAAGATGGCGCTTTTGAGAACTTTTTTTTTCTCAACATTTACCTTTCGTTCCAAGAGGAAGACGACGTTTTTCGATGTCCGATATTGAGGACCTTCCATCGAAGCAACGTAATGTACACCCATGAGCTTACAATGCGTATTCGGAAGTCAAGAAGGACAAAGGAAAAAAAATGGTCATTTCCAACTTTCTTAAGTCGTATACCAGGAAGTAGAGGGCGTTTGAGAATCTTTCTGGTATGTTGCTGCTGTTGGTTTTTTCGTACCAAGAAAAAAAAAATAAGAGTCAATGATCGACAATATCTTTAGCTCCAACCTAATTGGGGCCGACGAATGACAGATTCGTGTTCGACGGATTAATGTGATACAAAATGATAAAGTTTGCTCAAGGCGCCATTCAATGATGGAAGAATCACCGGTTTCGATTTTTAGTATTTATCGATAGCACATGCTTCGTTTTTAAGCGTCAAACTTAAATCACTATCGGCTGCTACTTTGGTAAACGAGCGCCTGGCCATTTCTTCTTTCTTGTTCCCTTACCATCGTTTTTCTTTACCAATCCTTCATTTTTGTCCCTTGTTATATGTCATTCATTTCCATCCGTTCCTTAAAACGAAAACGTTCCTTTCGCAGACTCTTGCTTTTCTTCACATGCCTAACTCTTATTTACCTTGTTTTTTTATACCGTACCTGGCGGATCTCACCCGACCATCAGAGTATGCGATCCACGCACCACAAGCAACTCAATCATTTAGATCGATACCATCCCGAGTGGTATAAAGCCAACGTGAGACGACCAGCACGTCATGAAGATGAAGAGTTTCAGCTGGATGTGACCATTCCGAGACAGGCCGTTATGGACGCGTTACGACAAGCTCGAAATGGCAAAAAGCCAACACCACAACAGCAGCCTACTACTACTCTGCCTTCCAACCCAGGGAAGCCGCGCCTATTACACCACACGGCAGCCCAATCCTCCAGCATGTCCTCGGAGGATCTTGTGTACGCCAAAGAAGAAGACAACTATTTATTGCCACACGGTGATGGACGAGATCCTCAGGAGAAATATATGTCCTATATTCCACATTCCGGGTTCCATAACCAGCGTATCGCTTTAACAAATGCATTAATGCTGGCTTACCGTCTCAATCGGACCTTGCTGGTCCCTCCCGTAGTATTAGGGAACCCTATTCATTGGCGCAAGTACGATTCACTGGAATCGTTTCACCGAAAGAGCACAAAGACCCATTTGGGCCACTGCCAAGGGTTTCTGGATCAATTTGGGCATCTCAACACCAACAGCGGAGATGAAGTTCCTCTCGAGTGTCGATCGTCATTTCGTTACACATCGTTACGGTGGGACAGATTATTTAACATGACTAGCGTGAAAGAACGTGTACGAATACGATATCGTGACACCTATGCGCGTACTTGGTTACAGGATAAGTACGGTTTAAGTAAGGACGATACCTACGCTGTTAAAGACGAGTTATTGTACGATTACCGAATTGCCGACAAGGAAGATGTGCCTATCGGAAAATATCAAAGAGACATCCTCTTGTCGGATCTGCAACAAAGGCCGGAACGACTTATTAGCTTTGGATCGCTTTTCGGCCACGGACGCGTGATGACATCGACAAAGGAAAGCAAGGAACTCCAGGTTTTCATCATGAAACAATTCGTGTTTTCCCCTTCTGTTCTGCCTGAACTGTTTACCGAAGCCAACCGAATCATTGCCCAGTTAGGAGGGCCGCAAACGTACATTTCAGTTCACGCGCGCGTCGGTGACAGTATATTTGAACGTTATTCCGACCGTGTGATGGCCAAACTGTGGTCGGATCTTCGAAAATACCTCCCTCTAATCAAATCGTCACAAACCCCAGGAGGGGTGGCCGACGCACCGGCCAATGCTTGCTTTCAATCGCCTAACAGCACACTGGCAGTCGATCCCAGAAGCCGACGGTTACTTCAAGATCGACCTCTTGTTCTTTTTATGGCCACGGACGCCCCTCATCCTCGGCAACATCCAACCCTTCAGCGCTTTTTCTCCACGTTTCCATGCGTTGTAACCTTGAACGATATGTATGATTTCCCGTCGTCATCACTGGCAACCATGGTGAACCCGAGCGACGGTGTCAATTTTGGACAGTTTTTTGTTCCTTTCCTGGACGGCATTGTGGCAGGGCATGCCCAAGAGTTCACAGGCTCCATGTGGAGCACTTTCAGCTCATACATCCGTTTCTTGCATACACAATTTGTAGAATAACGTACCGTGCTATTCTTTCTTTTGATTTGATTTCCTAATGCATCCTACATTTTTCTTTTTTGTTTTTCTGTTCTTTGCTCACCTTTTCTGATTGAAAAATTCTCTAATAATAATATGCATGTCTACCACTGAACATTTCAAATTACATTATTTTTCAATGCCTTGGAACAGCTTGTTCGTGGTCACCGCCGCAAGTGTTTAACAAAGTTCACGAGCGGATCAAACAGATAAGGGCACAGCACCATGTTAGCATATCAGTTGCACTATTCTTCCTCCTTCAGTCCCCAGAAAAAACTATAAGTACAACGAATATATAAAAGCAAGCAATGTTCTGTCATTCGTGATTCATTACCGTATGTCGTACAAATCAGAAACTTGGGTGCTTATATATAACGCTGCCTTGGGTGCCATCATACCGACATCCGCAGCCATACGCCGCAGGAGGTCCACTTATCGAATCAAAACAAATGAAACCAAATAAAAAAATTGCTCCGGTCGGCATATGCATTTTTGTGATCTGCTTCGTTAAGATTTGGATACAATGAGGCTTGTCTCCAGCCATGGTAATACTCACTACGTTTGATCATTTTTGTTCCAATAAGCTTATGTTTACTTTGCTGCTTATGATGATTGAAGCTTGTCTTTTTTTCTCAGAATAGTGTTTCCGGAAGAGGTCATGTGATGTTTGTTGGCGCTCTTTTCTGTTGCCCTGGAGCTCTCCCGCCCCACTTTGCCCCTTCTACCGCTGCACAAAAAGGACGTTTCTATCCCTTAATACAGTACATGGGGTGAACCAGCTACTACCCTCTGGTTGCCTCCCGTAAATATAGAGTTCTTTCTCGCATCTTCAAATTCAACACTTTAAAAATCGTAATTGGCACCATTCCTCATGGGCAATGTCAACAGTTCCGAAACTTCCGACAAAAACCAAGGTAACGCCACAGATATTGATATTCTTTTTTCTTTTATTCTCTTTTTTATTTTGTTTTATTGGCTACGGTAACGAACTGACGGCTATCGATAGTTGAGTTATCACATTTTCGACCGATTAAAATTATAGGCAAAGGGTCCTTTGGCAAGGTAAATATCCTTTAACTATCTATAATCTGCTATGGATGTCGGCTAATACAATGATGGCATCGACTATCAATTGCTTGCCTCTCTGCTTTTTAAACTGTCTTTTAGGTCCACATGGTGCAGCATATTGAACGGCGTGAACTGTATGCGCTAAAGAGCATTAACAAGGAGCAATGCATAAAAATGAAGGCAGTGTACAACATTATCCGGGAACGGACAATTCTGGAACAGCTCAATCACCCGTTAATATGCAACATGCGATTTGCTTTTCAAGACGACAAAAACATGTACATGGCGATGGATTTGATGTAAAAAGAACCTAATTCTGCAAATGACGACGGTTTTGCGCCTTGTGCAACTGATCATCGGGAATACATAGGCTAGGCGGAGATCTCCGATTTCATTTGTCGCGTTCCCAGCTTTCCGAAGAAATTGTCCGTTTCTGGATGGCTGAATTAACGTGTGCTGTCAAATACCTTCATTCACAAGGACTGGTTCATCGGTAAAATTGATTCAAATCAGCCTCCTGCTATTTTAGTATTGCACCAGCACTTACTGTTACGCGTATAGGGATATTAAACCTGATAATGTGCTATTAGACCAGGAAGGCCACGTCCACCTAAGCGATTTTAATATTGCGTGTCGAATCCCTCGGCATGGGGTCATGACATCTCAATCAGGCACAGCTGCTTATTTTGGTAAGGGATTAGAGAGACCCTTTTATTCAATTGATGGCTGTTAATGCCATTATATATAGCCCCGGAAGTTTTCAAAGGATGTGGATACACCGAGGATGTGGATTGGTGGAGCGTTGGGATTACATTTTATGAATGTATCTACGGAAAGGTTCGTTGCTTGGATAGGTTCAATGCTTTGGAGACGTTTAGATTAATCTGCCTTTATCAGCGTCCGTGGCGATCTCATGAGCGAGGAAATGATTTAAGGAAAAGTGTACTGTACGGTGCCATCGCCTATCCTCAGAACGAGCAATACCCGATTTCTCCTCAATGCATTTCAGCTATTAGCGGTGTAAGTGCCTTGAAGCTACAGTTGTGCCTGTTGTCTTGTCTCACTGGTAGCCATAGTTTCTAGAGCATGATCCTAGGAAACGTCTGGGCCATGGCACGTTGGGATGGGCAAGATTAATGCAACATCCTTTTTTCCAGTCCGTTCCGTGGCAGAGCATCAACGCAAAGGAATGTGACCCGCCATTCAAGCCATCTTCCAGCGCGCCCAACTTTGACGCTTTTTATGAGCTCGAGGAGAATGTCATCGAAATATGTTCAGCATATCAGTCGGAGCCATCGCCCGAGGGGCTGTTTGGATGGCTGTTCCGTGGAGATCCCAAGAAGACGGGTGACGATGGATTATCTCCGCAAAGACGTGAACACGACAGACAATTAATGGAAGAATCATTCCATCCGTTTGATTGCACTATCTATGAGCAGTATGAAGGATTTCTTGATCCAGAGCGTTTAACCGTCGGCCCTCCTCCGACGTGGGTGAAGCCTGCATTTCGAAGAGCCGATAACGGAAACATTCCATCGATGAAACAAATTCCTTTGGCCCAGCATGCCACGGTAAAGTATCATCAACTAAAACCGTCTTCTATTCTGTCCGAAGATATATTGGCAATGGATCACGTCAACAGTAAACGGGCGAGTACTCGGTCTGTAGAAGGTGCACGATCTCCTTCGCGAGCCGATAGTGCTTGCACTTTAGGATCGACCATCGACGAGTGCAAAAACAAACGTCGCTCAAGTTCCCAAAGCTTTAAAGAAAGAAGAGAACGTGACCGACGACGCAGTGCGGGCTACGTGTGCAAAGAAGCCAACGGTATCATCGCCACCGCCGAATGAGCCAACACCAACGAAACCAAGTTCATCATCTTTCATAAAAAAACATGTATTTAAAACGTCATCCACTGTAAATATGAATAACGTAAATAGCTTGCAAGTGCAATATCTGTCTTTTTTTTTTTGGAATCGTTGCATCGTTGAGTATCAAGGCTTTTCCTAGGATCTATTGTGCATGAAATGGGAGCGCCCCCCCTGGATGCTTTAAATTTTTTAAAACCTCGACAGATTTCTATTTCTGGCAAGTGACTGACAAATTGAGAAATATGGAAAAAGAAGACAGCTTCGATTCCACTTTCTTTTCTTTTTAAATCAACAGTGTGTCATGCCGCTACCTCTTGCTCGCCCTGATCCGTCTTCTGATACCCCTGCAACCGCTGCTCCGATACCTGAACCGGCCAATGAAGGCTTGATTGCCGGCATTACCTCGAATCCTTACTTTTCGGCAGGTTTTGGTTTGATCGGTGTCGGCGCCGGGTTGACGTTGTTGCGCAAAGGCACCAATCTCTTGGCCTCTTACACTCGTCGACGATTATTAGTGACGCTTGAAATTCCTTCCAAAGACAAGTCTTATCTGTGGTTCCTTCAATGGATGTCGCAGCAGGCTCCAAAACGCAAGGTCCAGCACTTGGCCGTCGAGACATCGTACCGACAACACGATAACGGCAGTATATCCACCACCTTTGGACTGGTGCCTGGTCCCGGTACTCATTTCTTCAAATGGCGTGGCATTTGGATGCAGGTGCAAAGACAGCGCGATGGTAAAATGATGGATCTGACCACGGGTAGTCCTTGGGAAACAATCACCATTACAACATTATCGCGAGATCGGCACATCTTTACCGATCTTCTTTCTGAAGCACAAGAAATGGCTTTAAAGAAGCAAGAAGGCAAAACAGTTATTTATACATCGTACGGTCCGGAGTGGCGGCCTTTTGGCATGCCTCGTCGTCGTCGTTTACTTGATTCGGTCATTCTGGATTCCGGCGTCAAGGAACGTATCGTCAAGGATGTAAGGTCATTTATTGGCAACGGAAAATGGTACAACGAACGAGGTAAGATATTTGTGGATTATGGTCAGCCTGACTCTGGATTTAATGGGATTTAATGATTATTATGATAGGTATTCCATACCGAAGAGGTTACCTTTTATATGGTCCACCTGGATCCGGCAAGAGTAGCTTCATTCAAGCTCTAGCTGTAAGTTTGAACCTGCTTTGCATTTCAAAAGTGATGAGTTACTAACTGGTACATTGTTTTTTTTTTCAAATGCGAACAGGGCGAACTTGAGTATAATATCTGTATTTTGAATTTGTCTGAACGTGGATTGACCGACGATCGCTTAAACCACCTACTGAGCAACGTACCTGAAAGAAGCATCATGTTGCTGGAAGACATTGATGCTGCTTTCACCAAGCGAGCACAATCAGACAATCAAGGGTAATTTGTCAAGGTTTATGGGGCGGGAAGGGGAGAGAGAGAGTGAATAGGGTGGTGGGTTGTAAAGAAGATCTATAATAGCCGTATGAATATTTATTTTATGTTTTTTCTGTGTATGCAGATATCAGTCAATGATCACATTCAGTGGCCTTCTGAACGCACTCGACGGTGTTGCTTCTGCAGAAGAACGCATCATTTTTCTAACCACGAATCACATTGAAAATCTGGATCCTGCATTGATTCGCCCCGGTCGTGTGGATATGAAGGAGTTGCTGGGTAACGCGACAGAATACCAAATTCGTGGCATGTTCGAACGGTTCTATGAGGGTCAAGGCAAACTAGCCGACGAATTTATCAAACGATTAGAAGGACGACCCATCAGCACAGCCAGTCTACAGGGCCATTTTGTATATTTCAAGGATAGACCGCACGAAGCTGTGGAGCGAGTGGACATGTTGTGGAACCAACTTTAAATTAGATAGATACAATAGATTCTTACTTTCCCTTATTTTCGATAGGGTATTGGGACAAGTTTTTTCTGAAGTTGGCATAGTCGTTTCTCGTACATTAATGGCATGAAGAGGAAATCTCACATGAATCTTTATTTGCGGAACGCTGTCTTTTCCTTTGTTATTGTGACTCTTTTATGCTTCACCGGAGCGAGCGGAGGACGGTTGCTGTTCTTTGGTATGGATGAAGCTGATCTAGGGTAAGACATAGTAGAAATGCCGGCTCTCTTTTGCTATTCTCAAGAAGAACGCTCGCCTTAATTATTAGCCTGCTAAAGATATTGTGAAAAAGGTTCAAGAGTCTGAGCAGTGCCACATAAGATGGCTCATATAATTGGGAACATCGACGTCTTGCGGCAAGTCGTCCAACTTGAGAATTCCCAGGATGTCATGCTGGTTGTCCAGTGCTGCTTCAGTATCTTCATCTGGTATTCCCGGAATGGATGCTATCGTAAACTCTCATAATCCTGGTCGCGTTGTTGTCTCTGAGATCGGAATTATTCTGCGACGTTATAAGAGGCTTGGATATCAACACTTCTATACTGCTCTTGGTTGGTTATAGGTTTCTCTTTGGATGCATTGCATCCAAGAAATCGAGAACGCTATACTTGCTAACTTTCATTTCTAACATATGGGATAAACATCTCCAGTTTAGCCTTGTCGCTCTCTACCAAATGAAGAAGTACTTACTGGCATGCGTGAAGTCATCAGAATCGGATGTGTCTGAAGCTATAAAAAAATAAAAAAAAATAAAAAAACCACATAACAAACAAAAAAATAGCTGAGACGACTAGGCATCAAAACGATGCTTTTATAAGTTTGCACCCAATTGTTGCCTCTGTTTCAGCAAGGTCAACGGATGACAGTGTTGGTGATGAAATGGGCGTGTCGGGATATCTTTGGTACGTGAATGGATCGCGTTCCACAATCTGTTTCCCAACAGCAACAGGTCTCGTTCTCCCCTCCGCAGCTGTGTAAACCACTTCAAACGGCGTCTCTGCAACAATAACTTTCAATAGAGCCTGTAAAGATTGGTCACCAGTTCGTCTAATATCATGCAGGATGCCTGCCCCTTTGTGATGAACAGATTCATTTGGGTTAAGTGAAAAAAAGGCGTTCACGGGACAAAAAACGGGGCCAACATTTGGCACACTCGAAGATTTAACTCCAAAATCGATTTTCTGGACCGGTAAAGTTGCTTTGATAATGCTCCCTCTCCATAACGCAAGACAGCCTCCGCGTCGTTCACATGCCGCAACCCTGAAAGGACTCCTAGAGAGCGTCGAAGAAAATGGCATCTTTGGCTTGCATGACGCCACCCTCGTGATTCAAAACAGGTCTCTTCTTTCTTGAAAGATAGGCATGAGGTTCTTCCGATTCTTCTCCGTAATGATTGGACAAACATGGCTATGCAAGCGCACAATTAAAGCGAGAAAGAGAAGAGAAAGAGGAAACGGAGACAAACATGGATACGCAAGCGCACAATAAAAGCAGAAAGGAAAAAAAGAGACGCGCGGCAAAGGATGACACGCTGGCGAATTCATTGTTTCTCGAAGGAAATTTTGGAGCCTGTGAATGCAATACAGCATCCGCAATAATCTCAAACGTACACAACTTTTGACTGGTCATTCGACAACGGTTAGCTTGTGTTCCCACACCGGACCTGACAAGTAAAAGGCTATTTTCTTCATACTGTAGGTTGTTCGCTTACCTTGCAGGATTATGTATTTTTGACAAAAGAATTGCCTTGCAACAACAACAAAAAAAAAAAACAACCTGTGGGGTCACCAATTACATCTTGTCACTGTCCAGAAAAGCTGTATAGAGTTAAGTCCACGGTTGCAAAATACACGCAGTTATACAGTACTCTCGATATTCAATATAATTACGTTTTTACTCGTGTATGTGTGTGCATTACCTGGTATATAATGGCGTTTTATGAGAAGTATTTACCCATTTCATCGAGAATCATCTGTAAGAAAATAATTGTGTCGACCATACAGTTCCTGAGCTTATATTTATCAGCGCTTCCTTTCTTTGCGGAGATACTGTTTGCCGCTGACACTTGTACTGCTGTGGATACAGATATCAGTCGCTTAAGCAATCTTCTGAACGCATTCCACGGCGTTGGTTCTGAAGAAGAACATATGATATTTTTAACACGGTCCGCATTGGAAGCCTTGATCCTGCACTGATCCGACTCGGTTGCGTGGTTACGAAAGGGTTGCTGGGTAACGCAATAAAGTACCTATGTGACAGCTTTGAACGGTTCTATGAATATCAGCGTAAACTGACCGACGACTCCATCAAGCGGTTAGACCCATTAGCATGGCCAGTCTACAAAGCAAAAGCCATTTTTGTATATTTCAAGAATAGACCGCTCGAAGCCGTGGACCGAGTGGACATGCTGTGGGGTTAACGTTGATTGGATAGACAAAATAGGCTTTTCAACTCCGTCATCAGGTTCAGTTATTTTCAATAGGGTGGTTGGGGCAAGTTTTTCTCACATTAGCATAGTCGTTTCTTGTACATTGATGGCATGGAGAGTAAATTCACATGGATCTTCATCTGCGGCCTTGCTGTCTTTCTCTTTGTCATTGTGATTCTTTTATGCTTCACCAGAGCGAGCGGAGAACGACTGCTGTTCCTTGGTATGGACGACGCTGAGCTAGGGCAAGGCATAGTAGAAACACCGGCTCTCCTTGCTTCACTGTCAGAGGACGCCCGTCTCAGTTATGAGCGTGCGAAAGGTATAAATGGTGAAAAAGGGCTCAGAGGGGAAGTGGAGGGAACGTCTAGCGCTGGTGAAGTGGAACATAAAAAAATTTAGCGAGGGCGAAAAAAGCGAGATCTTCATGCCAATAGGTGTGTTTGTGTAGTTTTTGAACAGCGCCATCCTCCTGACAGCGTTCCGACCGACATCACTTTATCGCAATATGTGTCGATTCTAGAGAAGGGCGTTTCGGCTTTCGAGTTTGAATGGGATATGGAATCCAATGTTTTTGTATCTGGTCGTACCGAAATCCAATTTTTTGATGGCGAAAGCTGTGTACAGACAAACTTGCCTTTACCCAGAAATCAGGATGTGTACTATTGGGAGGTCGGAAGGATGGTCCTTTGATGGTGACGGTATTCGATTATTGACAGATTGAATAGGCCAAGATGTTTGATATGCCGGCTACAACCAAAGTAGCCGTGGGTGTTGCAACTAAACCTTACCCGCTTTGGCGATTACCAGGTAAGGGAAGCGAGAACAAAAATGATTCATATCAAGGATAATAGGAACCAATCAAACTTCGATGGGGAACTTGTAGGTTGGAACCGTCATTCTATAGCATACCACAGCGATAACGGACACAAGTATTTCAACAATCCTTTTCGCAGCAAGCCTTACGGATTGCCTTTTCAAGAAGGGGATGTGGTTGGGGTTGGTTATCGACATCGATCTGGATCCATTTTTTTCACACGAAATGGCCGCAAATTAGAGGAAGCATGCACCGGCTTGCGCTGGAACTTGTTCCCTACCATTGGTTCGAACGGGCCATGTCAGATCCACGTCAATCTTGGGCAAATGGGTACCGTATTGCTAGCCACTGAATCCACATGATTTCCAAAAGTGAATACTCCGAAAATGGGGATCCACTGATGCGTTGATAATCATTTTAGGATTCGTATTCATCGAAGCCAATGTCAAGCGTTGGGGACTGGCGCCCATGCAAGGCACCTTGGCTCCACCACCAGCCTATGGTTTTGAAGCAGGCTCTCTTTTGCTAGAACGGGGATACAGTCATTCATGCTCATCCACCTCGTTGGCCGCCAGAACTTGGTCAGATAACGACCACGAAGAAGATGACGATAATCAGCCTTTGATCCAATTCCAGCGATCGCCTATTCGTACTTATGGATATCCAAATTATTCCCCACCCCGCTATTCCGATCCATCCTGGCCATCCACCACTCCTTCACCTCACTAACTACTTGTAAATACCCTTTTTAAACTCGTTTAATCATTTTACCCTCTCGTAGAGTCTCTGTTGCACAGATACTCCTCATAAATCATATATGATTTATCTCGGATAAAAAAGATCCCACAACCTTCTTTGTCCAATGCGTTATCGACCCGATACTTTTCTTTTTTTTTTCATGAGCACGCTTGGGAATAAAATTGGATCAACAAACACATTTTGACACTTTTTTTATTACGGTTAGAGATTAATATAACATAAGTTTGTAAGCCAATTCCGACATAATGAACGAAATGAGGTAAAACGGTGGGATTTTAGTCTTGGAGCGGGACGACCTTCTCACCAATCTTGACCATCTTCTGCTGAATAGCGCCCGATTGCTTGCGAACCTTTTCCTTTTCCTTCATTTCTTGTTCGAGCTGCTTGGCGCGTTGAGCGGGAGAGAGCTCGGATTGCCACACACTCTTGTTAATGGTACCATCGTTGCTGGTCATGAATGCGTTGCGGTCAGCGGTGGGACGTTCAGACGAGCTGCTGGATCCAGAAGCCCACGAGTCACGAGCGGTAGCGCCAGTAGTGGTGGTTTGTCCGACGTTGCCCATACCTTGCTGCTGAGCAGCGGCAGAGAGAATGTTTTGTTCACGTTGAACTTCGCTGCTGATCTTTTGAGTATTGATATCTGCCATTTTTCGGATTTACGGTTTTATGAGGGAAATAGAGAGAGAAATGAAAGTTGTAGCGCGAAAAAAAAAAGCCAGATATGGTGTTTATAAAGGTAAAACCTGTAGAAAAAAAAACCGACACAATAATGATGCATGAGCGAATCGCCTAAAATGGAAATTACCAATTGAATTCATCTGTCAAATGTCTGACACGGTGAGGATTTGAGCGGGTCCTCAAAAAATTTCTCCACTGCATTACGACACACAAAGTAGTCTACGTTTTACATTCGTCTGAGTTTGATCGTTTGACGCCCAAATGAACGCATACTTGGCTTGAAGAGATCACGATCCTAGTCCCGCTATGAAAACTGGGATCAGTCTACTAAATTTTCTCCGTATACAAAAGAAAACTGAAAACTAAAGAATCGAGGAGGGTTTAACAAACGCAGACACATGATATCTTACAAAACTTGAGACGGGACAGACCGCTAGGCAGACAGTGTTGGAACTGTTTTATGAGTCGGTATAACATGGCACAAAATACACCATCAATATCAGGGTCCGTGTAAGGTAGCTCTATAGATCACTAAATCTTGGCATGATATGACGGGCAAAAGTTCAAGAAACTCCAACCAAAAGAGCCTCTCTACATGTGAGAAGAAATCGAACATCACAAACCCAAGGTCATGAAACGTTTCGGATACAGAAGTCATACTTTGACAAGCTATAAAAAATATGTAGGCTAGGCATAATTGAAAAGGATAGGTCTAATGCTTGCTTTGGGTAAGCCAAACCTCATGGTGATACAAGGTTAAGTTGTATAAGGATGTGACCTGTGTCGCTGTGGAGTGAGGAAGATAGAACTATCATAACGGCTCGTAAAGTGAGTAAATATGCTTGCCGATGAGGAGAGTGAGGCCATATCAACAAGGTGATAAAAAAAAAAGACGACGCAATAAATGCATGCAAAGTTGTGATTAATGGTTTTATCAATATAGTAGTTTTAAACAGAGTATCAATGTACTGTTTTCCTTTTGTTCTGGTTTATTTGCTTCTAGTAAAGTATAGTTTTAAAGTTGTACACAAAAATAGGGTCCAGACTTTTGTGCTGATCGTCTACAAGTGAAATGGAAATAGCACCAAAACCGCTTCTTCTCACGGCAACCTTTCTTTGTTAGCGCAGTCCATTCCGATTTTCATTTCGTAACAAAAAGACCGATTTATCTTTTAATGTGTAGATGATGATTCATAGTGTTTTCTTCAATTTGCCTTATCTAACACAAGCTTCCAAAGGCAGTATTAGGATTAAGGATACAAACCAAAGAATGGGATCTACAATAATCCAACACACATGACATGTATTGGATTGCTGCAAGACGCACCTTCGCCATGGGATGCAGACCGGCATGCATATTATCTCATTAAATGACGGCCAAAACATGCATTAATGATTTCTCCATGTTGACGTAACAACCACGGCTAGTCAAACTTGTTCTCACCATGGTAGAAGCTCTGAAAACATTACTTGACTATCTTTATTTCAATAGTCATCAGCAAAACTAAGCGACGCTGAGAACATTGAATGAAATGACAAGATGAAATAATTTATAAGGTGAACGTCACTGATTTGAAAAATCGGGTGTAAGCTGATAGCGGGAACAAGAGAAAAGTCGCCTTCCGTATGAATGAGACAAATTAATAAGTGTCGCTCGCTTTGGCCCCAAGAAAACCAATGTGAATGTGAGAGTTTTTTGGTTCTTTTACATGGCATAGAACGATCTGATTTATGGAGAAAGCACGTGGGTATAGGGGAACGCGCATTGATCATCTGTAGAATAAATCAAAACTAGCTTGCACCCGATGCGGGATCTGCAAATCGTCGATCGCATCTCTAGATAGGGTTCTCAAGAATGCTGCAGTACCCCACTTGCAGCCCGTCTGGTCAAGGATTTTAGCGTGATAGATATCAACTCGTTCTCGGTACCCTAAACTTCCAGAACTGTTACATTAAAACGAACCACCTTAAAATAGTGCAACCCTCATCCCATGATATAGGTCATATGGTATTTCTATACCTGGTCGATCTCTTTTCTCTTTGCCTTTTTACAAAAAACAAGCGATATTCCACAATGTTCTTTGAGCCTTACTGACAACATCTTGCATGTGTGTGTTTAGTTTCCAGAACCCTTGATCCCCTGACAGCTGCCGCTTAATAGTATGACTCACGCAGTAACACTTTTTGGACGCAAGCGATCGAAATGATCAGCTTACAGCACATGTTTGCACAAGCTTAGCCCTCCGATTCCCATATTCTATAAATTCGTCATGGGTATCGCATATTTTCTTGTTGGCTCCACCCAGTCTTGCGAATTTTCTTCCCTTTCTTCTTTTCGTGATCATTTCTCGTCATCAAAGCGTATAACCAAACCATCACCCAATGGACACTGGACGTTTTACTCTGCCTTCGATTCAAGATATGTTTCAACCGGGAGCATTTGCAAAAGGTATGGTTATAGCTGTAATTGCCCGTCGCCAATCCGTTCGCATGCTTATATCATTTCGGGTAGATAAACAACAGCATATTATTCCCTGGATCCATGTTGACCCCTCGGTTCTACACGAATCGAGATCATGTCACCCTTGGTCAGATACCCATATGAGAAAAACCACCAAATTATCGAATGATGCCGTGATATCGCCCGCTGCAAGTTCAGCACAGGCACCCAAGGATCAGCCACCATCATCACCATTCGAATTGCCATTGCATGTGGAGCCCATCACTCCCGTGAGCCAAGGTAACCCATCCAATCGATTTTCGCATATGCGATCACTCTCCGATTACTCTTTATCGTATGCGGCTTCAACGTCGACGCAAGCCCAATCGCGAAAGAATGTATGGCCAAAGGAAGCTCACATCCATCAAGACAATCAACCCCGCCCACACCATCGTCGCACAGCATCAGCAAGCAGCAAAGACAAAAGATTCGGTTCTCAACGCTCGCCTTCCACTGTTCTCAGCATGTCCAATTTGTCGAGTACTATGGTTGATAACACTTGTCCCACCGACTTTATGCAGCCCCGCGGACCAGCAACTCAGTCATCTCATCGATATCAATGCACCCAGTGCCCAAAATCATTTTCAAGGCCATCTTCTTTGAGGATCCATATCTTTTCACATACCGGCGAAAAACCTCACGTATGCTCCCACCCAGGTTGCGGGCGTCGATTCAGTGTTCAAAGCAATATGAGACGCCATTTGAGAGTTCACTACTATTCGCCACAAATATCTCCATCACCACAGTTGTCACCACCCTCTTTCGCCGAAAATGGTCAACCGGAGCCAAAGACCGCACCCGACCCATTGCTCGCTCTGCCCTCTTTCAATACGCCGATTCATTCACTGTACCCTGCATTATATACCCGCTGATGAAAACCAACCGTCCTTTGTAAATAGTTCGCTTCAGGCAATACGAGCAATGTAGATACATACGAAATGCACAAAAAAAATTATCGATTTATAGAATCCCCCTCACAAACATGCAATTGAAGGGTTCCATTGTGTGAAATTTTTTCCTTGATATAAAAAGTCGAATCGGTCAAATTGACATAAAGGATCCCGTAGTGATGTATTATGCATTTATAGTCGAAATATGGGCTATACACAATGGAGATGAACAAGGGGGTTTGGATGCAAATAAATGATTGGATTGAAAAAAGGGTATGCTGAACGATGGGATGCATTACAAAAATGCGCTCATTTGGGAAACATGACTACCGTTTTGGAGTTGCCGTAAGCATCGAAACGCTTGGTGATGACGAGTTGCTGCAGCAACTGCTCAGCGGCGTCGTTGAAGACGAACGATTCTAGCTGTGTGTTTTCGATCCGCGCCAAAGCAAGGGGTGTACCACTACTGGTAAATAAAGAAATGACATCACGAGTAAAGTGACGATGATGAACTGTAGCGAGCACACCAATGGCGTTATTGCGATGCTCCGCCATGGCTCCGATCAGTGAGCGTAAATGGTCAGGGGTGCAGCCCATTTTGGTATTTTTACATTGCACAATGACATTAGGCTTGACTCGCTCCAGAGGCCAAATGCCTCGAAGATCCACCCCGCCATCGCTTCGACCGCCTACATGCTGTAATTCCATGCCAATGTCAGAAAGGGCTTCCAGAGTTTGTAGCTCAAACATTTTGCCGCGGAAAGTCGTGGAAAGTTGATCCTTATCAGTCGATTGAGCCAGGAATGTCTGCAAATGGGATGGAGCGCGTGCCGCTCTTGCCGCGTACCATCGCACCCTGATCCCGTAGGGTACCGCTGAACAATATCGGCTAACGCCTGAATACATCCGTCAGTTGTGACAGAAAAGCCGTCGGGTAAACAAAAAGAGCCGGTGGGCCGTGAATGTCATTTGTCCTGGGGGGTCTTTCCAAGCCAATCATGTGAACACAGAAAAATCCCCTTTCGGACATTCAAATTGGAAAGTCGATCGAAACGAAGCACAGAAAACTCGATCGTTTTCCCCAGTTCCGCGGATGTAAAGATGGTAAATGATGTGTTATGTCGACCACAGCTAAAAGGGTACATCAGTTCTATTTATGGAATGAGCGAGGTGGAAAGTGTACCGTGTGCCACCTGCAATGGTTGGGACAACGTCCCGATAACGTTTTTGGCGGGAAGCCGCTTCTCTTTTTTAATCCTCCGTTAGGTCGGACGTTGGAAGACGGTGAGAACTGAAAACTTTCCCAATCATTCCATTTTTTAAAAAAGTCACGCTAGCTTGATTCCATTGGATACTGCGGTCACCCGTTTTCTGTCCATTCAGGTCTATATAAGATGGCCCGGTTTTCGACCATGCCTCGCCATTCTCCAGTTGTTTTACCTTTTTTTCCCGATTTCCATTTATTTACTACCGCTATGAAAGAAACCCTCACCAATGCCAACTTCCCTCGCGATGCCCAAGGCCGTGTGTACCATTTGTCCCTGAAGGAAGGTGAAGTTGCTAACCGTATTCTGACCGTGGGTGACCACGTTCGTGCTCGTGCCATTGCCAGACACCTCGACACTGAAGAGGAATGTGGTCACAAGATCTTTGAAAATGTCAGTCAGCGTGGATTCACCACTATCACCGGTCGTTACAAGGGCGTCCCTGTTACTATTCTTGCCATGTAAGTATCTCGGAAGGGGATTAACACCCGACTATCAAAAAACGAAATGGAACGAAATCACTCATATGATCCTATCTCTCCCTGTTCAAAAAGTGGTATGGGTAACCCTATGATGGATTTCTTTGTGCGTGAAGTGCGTGCCGTTACCAAGGGTCCCATTGCTATTATCCGATTTGGTTCCTGCGGTTCTTTGAATGTCAATGCTCCTCCCGGTTCCGTGGTGGTTCCTTATGGCGGTTACTGTATTCGTCGCAACTTGGATTACTTTGCCGAGGAAAAGGTGACTCCGCAACTGGACAAGCCCTACCTTATTTCCGGTGTGTTTAAGGCGGATGCCGAAATGACGGCGACCCTTGAACGTACCATGAAGGAAGCTTTGGCTCCCGTCACCGCCAAGAACGATATGGTCGGACCAGTGGTGGCTGGTGGTCTCAATGCTGACGGCTGCTCGTTCTACTCTTCCCAAGGTCGTTTGGATCCCACCTTCTGGGATGATAACGAGGAAGTGATTCAGGATGCCCTCAGTGTTCATCCCACCACCAACTCGCTCGAAATGGAGACATCTATGCTGTTCCATCTTGCTCACTGTGTTAAAGATACCGACCGACCTATCCGCGCCGCTGGTTGCATGCAGGTCTTTGCTGATCGTGTGAACAACGGATTCATCTCGCCTGACGTTGTGGGTCTGTTGGAACCTGTGGCCGGTCGAGCCGTGCTTGAAGCGTTGATCCAAACCAAGATTGAGGAAGTAGATGAGAAGGGTACTGTTTGGGAACGCAAGTAGATTACACGGATGTACAAAAACGTAGATTTTTCTGTGTCTGTGTGCTCTGGAAGTCACAGCTCTGTAATATGCTTTTTATTTGTTCATTTTTATCTTTGGAAATGCTCCCCTACTTTTGTAAATTAATTCAAATATATCTTTGTTTTGGTATCGTTCAATCACGGTCTTCAGTTGCCTGTTTGTCGTTTTTTTTTCTCACACCATGGAACTAAGGTTATTGCGGCAAGATCGCAATTATAAAAAAAAATGTTACCCGCCAAATCTTGGGTTTAAATTACCGCACATGGTCCAAAACATTCGCCACAATTCACAAAACATTCAAGTTCGGAGCTGAATTAAGGACGACCCTGTCCACAAAAATCCCGCAATGGGGGGAACGCAAGCGAATCAGGTTCGGTCGTGATACAGCAAGGACTATCTTGACATTTTACATGTGTGCGAGCACAAGCTAATTGTCATATTACCAGGTTGACGCGTCTCTTTGGTTAATCCATCCTTCAGGAACCCAAGGGAGCTAGATTCGAGTGGCGCTGTAAATTCCCACCATCCTGCATTCAATGGCACGAAGATAACTCAGCATTGGGCCCTCATTAGCGGAAATAATGGCCATCTTATTACGTGCATAACCAAGAACTATTTTCCATGGCTCAAAATTTCCAGCAAAGGCAATGTTGCTAAAAAAGCAGAGCGAGTTTAGCCTTGTCATCAAATTCCGATTTATCAAATAGATTAACTCAAAGACGTGCGTTTACTCTAAAAAAAAAAAGAACGTTTTTGAACTGCCAATAAATGGAGAATCCCTGGATGGACTATGCGACAGAAACATTCATTCTGCATAGCTCTTGGTAATGGCCATTGACAAGGCAGTTCTTTAGAAAAAATTATCACAGAAAACTCATAAGGCGCTGGAAGCTGATTGTGTAACGAGATCACGCTGGTCGCTCGAAAGGGTACAATTGGATATTAGAAGCACTTGTTGAACTCTTGTGACATTATAGATGCCTAAAAAAAAAGTGGTGGCAACTATTGTTGCATTGCACAAAGCAGTATAATACAAGAATTTTATAGCTGCATTCTGTCATTGAGGATACATTTGTAACAAGTCCAGTCCAAGAATAAATACTCCGCGTGAATATTTGTGCAGCGTTAGGTCGTACTCAATTTTCGAGATATTTTTGGGGCATCTTGATCTCTTATTGCAATGATGCCAACCGCGCGTCAAATGGGCAATCATTCTATGAATGTGGCTGCAATGGATAACGATGTAAGCAAAAGTTTTCATGTCCAAAAAGTATTTGCTTGAGGGCACGCTCAAGTAAAAAAAAAAAAAAAAAAAAAAAAATACAACTTGTCCATGTGGTACTTTGTGTGCCGAAACTGGGAAAAACCAATCAATCACAGCTCAGGCATAACCTAGTTTTGAATCCAGTCACTGCCCGATTGCGCGGACAACGACATCTCAGAATATTAGCATCCATTATCCAAGCCAAAGGGATCAAAAGCAGGGTCGTATTGTGGCTAATACCCTGCAATATTTTCACAGTAACCCGTGCTATAAGAAAAACACTTGTGATGTTGCCTGGTTTTGCGACAATGAGGAAATCATAGAAACGCATGTCACATCAGAAGGATGGATTATAAGGACAACCCTCCCATTTGCCTTATTGTTGACATCAATCATATGCATCATATACAATAAAAAGCCAAGCACAGTATGTCAAGAACCTCGGTGCTCAATAATTCTTACCCAAGACAATCGGTTTGAACGTGTAAATTAGAAAAAGCCTTTGTTTCGAAGTCGGAAACATATTTTGGAATGGGCAAGGTTTCTTTGAGTTCTTGAAGGTCTTATTGTTTCCTTTTGGTTTACTATGTAAGCTATTTACGAACAGAAATAGGAAATTGCTTTCGCATTTTTTCCTCTGTCGTCAATTCATCAAAAGCTGCCGCTCTGATCCGCCCCGCAACGAGTCTTTTTTATTTACCTACCAATTTCCACTCTCACAACAGCCCTGCGCTGCGTCCGATCCAAGATGATATGCGCCTTGACTGCGCAAAAAATTACATGGGACAATCTCAAGCTACCTTATACATTTCACAGCTTCGCTGTTATGGCATGGATGTCAAAAGATTCCCTGTCGAAACAGAAGCTACGTAGCTTGAGATATCATGCTTGTATCTCTCAAAGACAGGATCAAGGTATGCGACGGCTTACTAATATTATCAACATTTTTATTCTGTATCTGGCTTGATCGCAATTGTATTTTAGAGGACGTTGCGTTGTATTATCGCAGCCAACTCCCAATTACATTACCATATTAAAACAAATTTGAAGGTCATCCACGGTTTCGCAAAAGCATATGTCAGTAGCTCATATTGTTTTGTACCAATTTAGATTTTTAAGGGAATCTCTACTTGAAGATAATCAATAGTGAATCTGGAGGAGGCAACTGTAGTTGAGGTTGCCTTAGAAAGAAGATTGTTGCCTTGAAGATTGGGCAAAAATGTGTAGGCGGAGACTAGCAGTCACAGGTCGCGAGTGTGGCAGGCAGAGTGAGGAGCGCCGTGAATAGGCGAATCCCAGAGCGATAGCAAGACATCAGGCCAAAGGTCCGAAACGGTTTCCTTCTTTCCTGCAACCATGAAGTTCAGTGCTGGTGCGTATAGAATGTAGATATAAAGGGAAATGACCACGGGGGAGATGGATGGATGGATGGATGGATGCAGCAGATGGGATATTTTTACACCCGATTTTTCGAACATGTGCAAAATGGTCGATTATTTCCACCGAGAATTGGGCATAGTACTTTCAATGGCACCGAATTGCAGTGCTAATGAATGGCTCTGAATTTGTTAGACGTTAGCTCCTCGCGCAGAAAGAGCAGAAAGGCTCACTTCACTGCTCCCTCCAGCATTCGCCGCAAGATCATGAGCGCCCCTTTGTCCAAGGAGCTCAAGGAGAAGCACAGCACTCGCGCCATTCCTGTCCGCAAGGACGACGAAGTCATGGTTGTCCGCGGTACCTACAAGGGCCGTGAAGGCAAGATCGTTCAGGTCTACCGTAAGAAGTGGGTTATCCACATTGACCGTGTCACTCGCGAAAAAGTCAACGGTGCCACTGTCCCCATTGGCATTCACCCCTCCAAGGTTGTCGTCACCAAACTCAAGATCGACAAGAGCCGTCAGGCCATTCTCGACCGCAAGGCCAAGAAAGATGCTATGCAGCAGGTAAAGAACTTAACTGCGGCTCTGCAATAAATTGATTAAGACTAACCACTTTATTATCATCGTAGTAATCTTGTTTTCCGATTCGTTCCCCACCTCATCACGATATACAAAGAATAAACACATTGAATTTCAATATCACATTACGATCTTCTCACAATAAGCCTCTTGTGTGTTTCATGAGAAACTCGGATTATATTTTGTACGATACAAATGTACGATCATGGAATAATTTCGATAATGTAGGACCTATCTGTCCTATTCGGCATATTTAGCGCGTTTGCAATCACCATTTGGAGAGACCGGTCCATTGGAAACAATGATATGCGGTTAGAAAGACTGGATAATCGGAGCATGCTTTAGAATGGTAGTATCTGGTAATTGTGATAAATTATTACGAGGAGGATGAAGGCGGGATAAGAGTACAGTCAAGACTCAATGTTCGTGTCTTCAGGACGACCTCTCCTTTGTTTGTTTCTTTGTCAGCTCGGACCGCTGTGGTTATTGGAATAATTGGATGACGATGCGTGCTTAACAACTTGATGCTTATACCGTGCTACTGTTGCAGTCAACTGGCGCCAAGCCCAGAACGATCCGTCGGCGATATCTCTATAGAAGCAGATCACTTAAATGATGATTCAAACGGTGCTGCATAATGCACGTCGGGAGTCGATTTGAATATATGAGTGGAATAATACCATGACAATGCTTGGTGTCCTGAGCTTCATTAAATTTCTACTGTATGCAGATGGTCCCTAGCTACGGATGGTCCCATGTATCGCGTGATGCATTTTGGCAAGTGGCAATCGCGCTACCAAGTCGCGGGTAATCATTTTTTTCTTCCGTTCAATGAAAAAAGAAGGTTGCAAGTTTTAAAGTTCAATATGCATCATTTTCAAAAAGTGGACTATTACACTTTTCCTGCATTCTAGTGCTCTGAGTGTTGCATTATCTCCTTTTTTGTCCACCATCACCCTTTTTGGACAAGTGATAAAATTTAGCAGCTACACTGAAAACGTCTCGGCTTTGGTTGATAGTGTATGCTTGGCTGAATCGCCACCATACCCATTATACCCTCCGTGACCCTTTTTTTTCTCACATGGCAACGGAACGTGACAATAGCTCCCTGGAAACGACCAGAATAATTTTCATTTACAGTCGTAATGACAGGTCCCCTATGACTATCAAGCATCAATCGTTGCGACGGGTAGCAGCAAGTTGAAGGATGATACGTGTCTTCCAAGCGAAACGCAGCTGATGATGAAACCATAGGAAAAGCAGCGAACCGTCCACCCAACCATAAATATGTCGATCTCCGATCGTTGTCATAACAAATATCCTATCCTCTCACTAAAATATACCTTGCGGCAAAAAAGAGAACTACGTACACCCATTGAGTGTACTCTTATTTTATTTTCATTTTTGTCTGGATGCTTATATTTTCGAGGCGACATAGTTTCTCCGCCTTCCCTTGTCTTCAAGAACAGACGTTTCTGCTGTTGCTGTGAATGGATGTTGCGGATATCAAATGAAATGAATGACTCATTGGGGAAAATTTTGCTTGTTCCAAATTTGGCAATTGAGATATGAAGCGGGAATCAGAAATCTGTTAAAATAAACTGTTATGGGCTGAAATGTCAAGCAGTCTGTGTGGGTGGATAGGTAAAAGATAACATGAATTCATATAAATAATTACGTTTTGGTGACTAACGATCTGTTGTGATACATATTCTCGATCGGGTGTAGTGGAAAATAACCAAGCTGTAACGGCGAGTAGATGCGATCGGATTATGATACTGCCCTGGTTGCTTTTCGGGAACTGATAGTATTGGTTCCCGGGTATGGAAAGCAGTCCACGTTTTTCGTGATATATTACTTTCTTGCTACTCGTCTTTTTCCCTCCGTTCTTTTTCCACTATCCCAACCTCATGTCTCATCAAGCACGCATTGACTCTGTCACGGCAACGCTGGCCAAACCTTCTCGTGATGTTGAGTTTGCCAAAAAGAACGGCCGATTGCAACCGGTATCCGAGATTTTTGGAGAAAACGTCTTTACGTTCCAAGAGATGTCCAAACATTTACCTAAATCGGTGTTCCGAAGCTTCATGAAGCAACTCCAGGGCAACTGCACTTTGGACAAAGTGACGGCCGACGCCATTGCTCACGCTGTCAAGGTGTGGGCTCTTGAACGTGGTGCCACCGACTTCACCCATTGGTTCCAACCTTTGAATGATTCCACCGCTGAAAAACACGATTCTTTCCTTACCTTGAAGTCCAGCTTCGCCAACGGTTTTGGAGAGGTAAGCAAATAATGAAAAGGGGTCATTTGACAAATTTGCCTATTGTTGGAAAATAAGGTTTATTTTTGGGAGGGCGTGGTTTCACTGTGTGTTTTTCTGTTTTTCGAATCATGCCTAAACTCATTTTTTGTCTCTCGCCTTTGCCCATGATAATCAGGTTACTGCCATTGATACATTCTCGGGCTCTCAGTTGCTTCAATCGGAACCTGATGCTTCCTCATTCCCTTCAGGTGGTATGCGAACAACATTTGAAGCGCGTGGTTATACAGTGTGGGATACCAAGAGGTAAAAGCCGATAATGGATGCGATGGGCCTGCCTATCTGATGTATTAATCATGATCCTTTTTTTTTCGTTTGTGTAGCCCCATGTTTATCCAAGATGGTCCTCACGGTACCGCTATTCTTTATATTCCCTCTGTTTTCATTTCATACAATGGTGAAGCGTTGGATGAAAAGTCGGTTCTGTTGCGTTCTTCCGAGATCTTGACCAAGACGGCTTTGGACGTCCTTCGTCTTATCGAGCCCACGGACGATGAAGGTAGGTCGCGAATCATTGTTAAACGATTGGCAAAGAAGATGGCTTATGGTTCCTGATATTTTAGATCGTCCTCGCGTGAAAAAGGTGGTCAACACCTTGGGCATTGAACAAGAATTTTTCTTGATCGATCGCGCTCTTTACACACTCCGCCCGGATTTGAAGATCACCGGTCGTACCTTGGTCGGCGCGCTTCCCCCTCGTCATCAGCAATTGGAAGATCACTATTTCGGCAAACTGCCTACGCGTGTGCTTGCCGCTATCAGTGAATGTGAATATGAATTGGCCAAATTGGGTGTTCCCATCAAGACTCGTCACAACGAAGTCGCCCCTGCTCAGTATGAAATGGCGCCTATTTTCGAAGAGTCCATGTTGGCCGTGGATCACAACTTGCTGACCATGGATGTCTTGCACCGTGTCGCGCATCGTCACAAATTGAAGGCCTTATTCCACGAAAAACCTTTCCGAGGCGTGAACGGTTCGGGCAAGCACTGCAACTGGAGTTTGTCTACGGATTGCGGTGATAACTTGTTGGAACCTTCAGCGACTCCCGAAACCAACTATCGTTTTCTTTTGTTCCTGTTGGCGGTGCTCAAGGGTCTTTTGGATCACGGTGATCTTCTTCGTGCTGGTGTGGCTTCGGCTTCCAACGACCACCGTTTGGGCGCCCACGAAGCTCCTCCCGGCATTATCTCTGTTTTCTTGGGTACCCAGCTGAACGAAGTGTTGAACTCGATCGAGGAAAACCGCCCTGTTAATGATGATATTGTTGGTGGTAACAAGATGACCTACGTCCGCGTCAAGGGCACCGTCCTCGATATCAAGGTTTCCAGTTTGCCTAGCATTTCGCGTGATTTGACCGATCGTAACCGAACCTCGCCTTTTGCCTTCACCGGTAACAAATTCGAATTCCGTGCAGTCGGTTCCAAGCAATCGGTGTCATTCCCCGTCACTCTTCTCAACTCGGTCGTGGCCTCGGCTCTCCAAGAGATCCGCGACGCCCTCAAGAAACAAATGGGTGATAAGAAGGTGGCTTCCACCGAAGATCAACTGGTGGTGATTCGCGAGTTTATCAAGAAGACCAAAGCCATCCGATTTGAAGGCGATAACTACTCTCAAGAGTGGATCGAGGAAGCGGCCAAGCGTGGTCTTCCCAACATCACCAAGAGTTCCGACGCTTTCTCGCGTATTCTCAAGACCGAAAACGCTGATATGCTGAAACGTCTGGGTGTGTTTACCGAAGCTGAATTGCAATCGCGTTATCATATCTTGATGGAGAAGTACGCCAAGGATGTGACAATTGAAGCCCAAACGCTTAGCACCATGGTTCAGCAACAAATTTTGCCTTCAGCTTTCAGCTACCGTCGCAACTTGGCAGAAGCCGGCTCGTTCATGAATGACATTGGTGTGGACAATGCACCGGAAAAGCAGCTCCTTCAAGAATTGGGTCCTGTGGTTGGCCAATTGCAGCAACGCACGAGTGAATTGAACACATTAATGAACGACATGAACAACTTGACGGAAACCACCGAAATGGGTATCTTTGCTGCCAACAAGTTGATTCCTGCCATGGAAGCTGTCCGTGCCCAAGCCGATTACTTGGAACGAGTGGTCGCCGACAACTTGTGGTCCTTGCCCAAGTACAACGAGTTGTTCCTTAACATGTAATTTTTTTGTATTTCTCGCTTTAATATAATCTGTTGTTTACGATGCTATTGCCTCTTTGTATTCAAAAATATCATGCATTTATTTTACCATTTTGAAAGAAGAGAAAAAAAAATAGAAATAAATTTTAGAATGATAAAGCCCATGGACGGCATGAATCCATCAGTACATATTAGTCGGGCTGCACTTTTTTAATGGCATGAAGAGATCACGGTGGCAGCTCTCCAAAAGCGAATGCCGGATAATTCAGATTTTATGACGATCACCATAGCAGATGGTTATTGCATTATTTGTAATGATGAATAAGGCGTCGGTTTGAGGCTTGCCTTGACCGCTGTTGTCCAGAGAACTTCATGCAAAACGTTAAAGATACGCCAAAGGCTATGTAACTGATCACGAAACACCCTACCTCTAGAACTCGAAAGTTGAAAGATCGCATTATGATATGTCCCTGATCATTTCTTAACCAGAAACTGATCATATCGATCTCTAACGAGAAACAAGTTGCATCATGGCCGCCAAAACAATTCTGGCAACCAAAATCATTCGGCGATCAGTTGATCATTTACGAATACTTGTTCTGAACTTAAAAATAGCGTGCGTCATTCCCAATCGATGCATGGCAGGAAAGCTGTTGTCCAATAGCATAGCTCTGAATGTTTTTTATGTCAATCCCGAACTATGTTCCATCTGATTTTGTAATTGGTGCATAAAAAATAAGCTAATTGCGCTCCAGTGCCACAGGTTACATCCCTGTTATTATATCAAGAGGATATCGAGAAATCAACTGAATACATGAGAAAAGAAGTGTAGGAATTAGGTTCAAAAGCAAGAACAAACGTAACAAATGATATTTTGTAAAGTTCAAAAAATGTTCATCGATTGAGTTGTAAAATAGACCCAAAATGGCACGCTGGTTAGCAACAAGCAAAATGGTTCGACTTGCAAGCACTTATTATTCATTGACTGATCAAATGGAAGCACCAAGAAATGTTTATCACCGGGTAACACGTGCTACTGTCAATTGCGCATGGTCACTAATGAATAAAACATGCGCAAATCTTGTAACTGTCGCTCGAGTCTTCCGACTGCTTTCTCTGTCCTTATTTTACATGCTTTTTCCTATTAACTTTATATAATTGTTGCCTGCAGTATACTGTAATGATGCATTTGTTCTTTTTCACTGCCCTGCAGTCGTTAAACATTGTTAGATATGACGTGAAAAGTGAGTTTTTTTTTTGCCATGGATTAGGACAGTTGACCGTGCAAACATAACCAATCAAGCTATATTTAAAGTGTACCGGTAAAGGAGATCGAAAAATTGATCAAGACCATTGCCTGCGATTGATGTCATCCGCAACTAACTCTCACGGCGGCCATGCGGTTTCGGTTGGAACCCCTTCCATTTACAGTATTTCTGAGCCAGCAAAATTTCATGCCGACCTTTATTTATATTTGACACTAGCGGGACTAACCGTCATGGTTACGCTGAATGCTGTCACTATTGCGAATCGATCATCCGGGTACCTCAAAATGGTTATAAAAAGGACACTTTCAATGTACTGACAAAGAGGCATTATTCAAACATTTAAAACATTATTCAATATGTCTTCTCAAAGCAACAACCCTGGAAATTTTGCTAACCGCTCCAAGGAAGAGGTCCGCAACATTGCCAGCAAGGGCGGTCAGGCCAGCCACTCGGGTGGTTTTGCCAACATGGATGCTGAAAAGCAGGTAAGATCTTAACGTAACCTCTTAAAATTGATTCTTTTATACTTAATCTCTTTGTTTAGCACGATATCGCCAGCAAGGGTGGGCATGCTTCCTCTGGTTCCTTCCAGCCCGGCAGCGAAAGAGCAAAGGAGGCCGGTCACAAGGGCGGTCTCGCTAAGAACCAGCAAAACGAATAAGTCAATGCTGTGCCATAAGCCATAACTATGTCTCCTGTAAATTACTGTATGAACTTTTGTAACTGTATGTGAAATATATGATCCATTTTTTTCTCGATAACGTATGTGTTGTGCGGATTTTTCTCGATTGTTCCATCGGAATCCGGGTATTTTCCGTAAAATAGCCGACACCGCGTTGTATACTGCGTATGTCTTCATTGTGCATATGCTAAGCAAGCGTGGGGTCCTTCGGATTTGTGTGCTTTTTGTCGGTCTGATTGCAAAATCACCTTCCAAAGCGTAGACATTACGCAAGAATACTCAAGAAGCGTTAAACAGGTTTTCGGTGCTGGTTTCGAGGCTCCGATTTCGTCACGGAACATTGGGTTGGGGAAGGTCAACGCTGCAATTGATTGGGCTAGTTTGATCAAAAAGCTCCATGAGCTGCTATGCCGCGCTGAACCGTTTTTTGTCTTGGTTCAACTTGATAAATATATTTCTGCAATTCTAAAACCACTCCGGTTGACAGAGCAAACTATTATTGAATCGGATTGCGAAGCGCAGCACGATGCTGTTTCTTTTGATTGATTGACAATGTGATGAAGTCCGATTTGAATGGTGACAGTCGACATTGTTTCTTGGGCCACAGTATCTTAGGCCGGATAGGTACATACAGTTACAAAGGAAGGAACTATGAATAATAAATAGGGAAACCGTTGGTTGTTTTATCGCATATCGGCATAGAGCTTTCGCATTTTAGGATCCATAAATTTCTTGTTTCTTCGGCCTTTGCCTCTTCCGCCCGCCCGCCGGATGCGCACACTGCGCCTTGCAAATCTTCGTGGAGTGACAGATAAATTAGTCTCATCTAACCTTTGGAAAAAACGAATACGCCTCGTTATTCAAAACTACCTCGTTGCTAGTAAAGCGTCCACTTCATCGTCGCACATGACACAGCCTTGGACCGGTTCCTTGTTCTGATTTTCGCGGAATTCCGCTTTAATAAGTGCACTGCCGCAGTCGCACATCTCGTTCGATATCACCACATCTATTCAAAATGGTTAGGACCATCCCATAAAAAAAAGCGACACCTCCCATAGGATACCCACTTTTAACTGTGTCCACAAAAGATGATACAACGTTGCATTCGTTGCAACTTAGTTTCCACCGGGGCGCTGACGTGGCGTCAAGAATGAGTCGACCGTTGCAAGGATCTTTCTCTCGCTCAGATTCAGGACAGGGGCAAATCGCATTGGTTACCATGGAATGTGGGCATGTGGGATGGGGACAATGATTACAACTCATGCCTGAAACGATTATATCAGTGAACACGTTTGTATCATGTTGTGGCACGCCCATAAGATTGATTGTCCATTTACCTTTCGCGATGTCTTCAAAGGGCGGATTATTGTAGCAGTAAGGGCAGATAGGATAGCCTGTACCTTTGGATCCAGTAGTATATAAAACCAGTTCAAAATCATCCAATGGCTAAGATAAATGAAAAGAAAAAGGAGAGCCGCAGAGTCAGAAGAACGTGTCATGGTGCTATGTTTCTTTGCAGGGACATACACATCGCAGCTCCTTGTAAAGTTTGATGTTCCCATTCAACGGCAAAGAGTACGTTTCATCGCAAGTAGCACAATGTAATCGATTCGGCTTCAATGCGATGTATTTCATGTATCTAAGTCGATGAAAAAGGTTTCAGTATTGATAAGAGCGATGAAAAAAAAAAAAAAACTTAGCCAGCATCTTACCTTCTGCATTTTCCACATTTAGAGAGCGGTTTGCCTGTAGCAGCCAGCGGCGAAAACGTGGCTTCGAATAATTCATCCATCGATTCGATCTGCCAAATAGGTTCGCGTTGAATATATATTCCAAATCTCCTCCCACCAGAGATGCTTACTTTCTTGACAAAATAGGCAAATTTACGTTCAAAAATATTCAAAAAGTGATTCAACACATCGTTCTGTGGTGCTTTGCCATTGGCGATCAGATTCAATTGCTGTTCCATATCCGATCGCATGGTTGGTAGCGATAATTCGGGATCAATTTTTTCTTAAAGGATGGGATGAGAAAAATAAGTCGACCGCTGTCATTGGTTCAACGCACACAACTTACGATAGCTGCCATTCATTGTTCTCAGTACATTATATGATATCCAGTCATGAAAGTCAGGTTTACTTACCCATGAATAAGCACGATGCCGAGATTGGTTGGAATCAATCTTCGCGAAGTTCCAGAGACCTACAAAGAACATTATCAACATGATCATGTAACGTTTCAACTGTAACTGAAGGGCCACGTACCTGCACATAATTACGCTGACAGATATTATTGATGTGAGTGGGAATGGAAGCATCCGTACCGATGCCATTTTGTTCCTAGATATCAACTTTCAGAATCCGATACCAAAATCGATACACAACATCTAATTTTACCATCAAGCCGATGAGTTCCGCTTCAGTGAGATAATCGGGCGGGCTACTCTTTCCCTCTTGGATACTTAATGCGGTGACCGGCAATATCTCGCCTTCCTTGAAATCGGGAATGTATTCATCCGTTTTCGCCATCCTAACCCCATCAACTTTAAAATATCATTTCAAAGTAATCAAGGGAACATCATGCTATTTACCAATGCATCACAGTGGCAAAGCCAGGTGACACCACTTTGGAGCCTGCATACAAGAGGGTCGTTGGGTTATCTTTTGCTTAGCAACGGGTTGTTCGTTTCCATACCTTTGCATTCAAATTGTTCACCGCCGATGGAAATGGAAACTTGGGTAGAGAGATACTTTAAGCTTTTGCTAATGGAGGCGATAAATGTGCGCGTAATGAAATCATACAGTCGCCACGTATTGCCAAAAAGATCTTCCTCCACCGCCATTCGCATAGGTGTGCTGAGGTAAAGAAAAAGCGGTTTAACAAATCGGTTCCAGCTTCCCTATTTGTCCATGGACTTACATTGGCGGATGGTCTCCGATATCCTTGCCTCCGGATGGATGCTTGAAGCCTTGTTGCAGTAAATCTTTACAATAATCGCCCCTGTGTAAAGTTGGTTACTGGCACAGCGATACATACGAAAAAAAAAAAAGGTCCTCGAACATACCACAGGGGATGCTGCGTTTGCTCGGCCACGATAGACTGGATGTCAAAATTTTCTGGATATTTTGAGGTTTCTGTTCGTGGATAGGAAATATAACCTTGCATATACAGTCGCTCGGCAATGCTCATCTAGAAATACGAATGAATAAACTTACAAGTTCATCAAGACGATTTCAACGCTTACGCATTCCGACGGGCTGATACCGAGAGATGCTGAACCGTGCTTCAGCATCTCTACCTAACGTGCAAATATGAGAATTTCGGTGGCACTCCAGTTATCGCAACTTGCTTCAAAAACACCCAAATTACCGTATTCAAAGCATGAGGAGGCGACTTGGTCTTGGTCGTCACCGCCACTTTGGTCACTCTGAGACATCGAGTAAGATACGCAGATCATCATGCCTGTTGCCAATGATTTTCTAACCTTGCACCCTGGGCTTTTGCATCTTCCACGCGACCCATGAATAAATTGACGACCTGACGATCAAATACGCGCTCCCTCTTCCAGGACAATTTGATGGGAATATCGGCTTTTGTCACTGTGGCGGCAATGGACCAGAAAGACTCTGGTTGGAAGCTTTGAATGCGATCATGTCGTTCCACGCAAAAGGTCAAGGTTGGGGTTTGACAGGGACCGTAACTGATAACGGTGGAATCCAGATTGCCATACTTTCCTTGGAAAAACTTGGTCTGAAATCGAGTAAAAGCAACGCCCACCTTGAGATCGAATTCTTGTCGAGCATCGACAGCTGCGAATTGATGGCCATTCAGTTGTCTTGTTCATTTTTATGGAGATCAAATCGATGGATTCTTTTTACCTTTGGCTTCATTCTCATTGGGTTTCACAAGATTTTTGAAAGCTCTTCGAATGTCCTCAGCAGTGATAGCTTTGCCAAGAGACGTCAATGGATAAATCCAACTTATCTACAATGACAACACACTTACCTGAAAACCGTGCTCGAAAGACATTGTTGTATTTACTGCCTTTAGACGGTGGCTTCATGTACGGCACGGTGTTTTCCATCACCTCAAAACAGATATTTTCTCCTTCACGATCGCAGTCCAACCACAGCACAAGGTAGTCGACGCCTTTCGCCTCATTCTGCAAATGACGAACCAGATGCATCTTCGGATTGGCTTCATTCTTGACGGTGCGTGCCTGGAACAACGTCTGGGGATCAATGCTCCATGAATTGTGCTCGCTGGTAAAATCGATATTGTAAACGTGTCCTGTCACAGAAGTAAACTTGAACAAAGCAGGCTGATCGCGGAAACTGCCCTCCCACTCGTGCACGGGCGTTACTCTTTTATGCGTGGCGAACTGGCATTGGAAAATGAGACAAAGACAGTGGTGTAAATTTGACAAGGCATGACTTACGTGACCCCCAGGGGCGAGTAGTCTGCTCAACGATTCTGCCAGCGATGGCTTCTCTGCCACCTGCAAAGAAAAGACTACAGTTAAACATGGATCGTTCATAGATGGTACACGCAAATCTTCAAATACCATCAGTACTCGGCATGGCTGCTTTGTTTCCATAACTGTTAAGATTTACAATGAACAGAAACGACCGTGCTCGCTTTATCCAGACAGTCACTAATTGAAACGACATCATTGAAATGCACCCCAGAAAAAAATTCAAAATTCCAAACTACAACAGACGATTTTCAACAAATGTGAGAGCATAGCAAGTAACCTAGGCGACGAGGCATTCGCAAGATTATGTGAAGTTGTGAAATATAAAGCTCCCCTACGACTCACTGGGATCACAACAACGTTGACGCCATTTTGATCTGTTATTCTTTCCCGTTAACAAAGTGAAGGGGAGATGCAAAACTTTTACGGAATAAAAATACTTTTTCATCAATTTCTGTCTATTCGTATATTAGGAATATCAACATTTTTACAGGCTTACTGAAATCTTCTCACCGATATGTAGTAAAAAAGATCGATCCATGAGGTGCATTATGTATTATTAAGATGATATCGATATGTGACTATGCATGGCCGCCATGCTCCACCAAGTTTTGCGGATCAGGAAAAAACAACATCATGTCAAAACGCAGGATAATATTGTGGAACAATCGCTGATCCATTCCATAGTCTTGGCTCTCCGTTTGTGTAATCTCCCTAATAGGTTGGCTTCATGTTACGATTAAACATGGTAACATAATCTTATTCTGTTGATGATCGCTCAAGCTGAAATTGATGTGTCACCACGTTCACTTGCCCATGGATATCCTGCGAAATCACGCAAGCCGACTGGACATCCTTCACATCAACCGCTCATATGCCTGTCTCCTGCGACAGCGCCATAGTTCACACGTCATGCAGCAACGATTCCATGTGCGGACCTCGTCCCTGATCATTGACCGCAAAGATTTTTTCTATGCATACAGAGCCGTAAATTGAGTAAGGATTGTGATACGGGAAAAATGAGCACTTTTGTGGCTCATTTTCTGTACGCTTTGCCTGGCAGATCATAATAATGCGTAAACTAAAACAGAGAAACATCTCGTGAATTTTTTTCAAGGCTCCACAGCAGCTAAACCGGTTTTGACAGAAAAAGGGAATTTTCTTGCGGCTGTGCAATTGTTGGGCGGTCTCCATTTTGTGCTGTATCACTCCGAACATGATTAGCGTATCCATTGATAGTTAGATGGCATGGCTCCGCTTTACTTCTGAGCTTGTTCTCAAGCATCACAGAGATAGTCCGTACAATCTCACCAACGCGCTAAAACATTTTATACAGTTTTCCAACGAGGCGCAGCATAGTCCAAATCCAGGGTCACTCACTCGCATCTGCCGTGGATCCGATAAGTATAAAGATACGCCATTTTTCCGATCCGACTTGCCCTACATCTTTCTTTTTGTTTACTATTCAAAAGATGAAATTCTTCACTTGCCTTCTCTTGCTGATCGGTGTGATGGTCTCTCAAGCCTACTGCTGGGGATTCGACTTCTACAGCAAAGCCAACTACAAGGGTAAACACCAGACCTTCTACAGCAATCAGGGCAAGAACGACTGCTTCAATCTTTCCAAGCAAATGACGGATGCCAAAGTTGGTTCTTTCAAATGGTGCACTGCTCGCTTCTCTGACTGCTCTGTCACTCTCCATGACGGTCTCGGCTGCACTGGCAAGAAATTAGGCGCTACTGGTGCCAATGCCAAATGGAACAAGCCCAAGACCTCCGCTGCCGGTAGCAAGGTCAAGAGCTTCCGCGTTCAAGGCTGCAAGTGGAAGATTGATCAATCCAAGGATTGTTAAATTGCCCAGTAACCTTTTTCTCCGCCCATCCGTGTCAAACCCAATCTTATTAGAGTCCAAACGACGATCGGTTGCACCAACTTATTTTCCTGTAACCATATATGATAAGCAAATAAAAAAGAAATTCTCCTACTATTACATTACATGGAACTAGTTTATGCCAACTGTGTCACGTCCTTATGTCATGAGGATCGTTTTCTCATTCACAGAGAAAAAGAGACTGTGTGTGAGAGAGGCACAGGTATATAAAAAAATGTTTATGGTTTTGAAGAAATACGCTAATGAACGGCCCATCAGTGACGATCGATTTTCAAATGGCGAACAAAGTGATGTTGTCAAAAATTTGCGTGTCATGGATCACCAGCAACGAGATGTGATGGAAAAAATATTTCCAGGTTTCATTCTGTTCTTTATCCGCAGTGGTTACATATGAGACAATCTGATAAAATGAGGATCATATTATCGCGATTTTATTTGCTTGTTACAAACTGATCCAAAAGAATATTTGTATCATAGCAATTTACAAGATGACAATGCTGAGTATCATACAAACATAAAATGTATCCGTCTATGATAGAGGTGGGGGCAAATATGTGTAAGGTTTACTGGACGGTGAGAATCCAAGCGATAGATAATTCAAGTTGTTCGCGTGAACTGCGTCCGCATGCTTCGTGTTGTCAGGTGCCACGCTTTTAGAAGTGCTCGGCAACGGGGGTAGGTCTGATTGATAGCTTGTAATTTGGGTCGGATATTTCGTCCTGGTTGGTACGGGAATCTGTAGAGTTTCTCGCAAATGGGCAGGTGCGTAAAACAGTACCGGCTCCTTGGAGTAGGTCGGGGTCAGATTATCCGCTCGATCTGCTAATGATTCAGAGGAAGACAGTGACGTTAGGGAACCGTTATCGATGGACAGCAGTGAAGAAGGTGACAGTGACGACGAAGAAAGGCTGGAATGAAGCGAAGAAGCCGATGTCATGGTTGGATACAGATGAGGTAATCGAGCCCCCGTCACAATGGGCTCGACTTTCTGTGCCGAAGTGGACGCTACGCGTGCAATAGCTGGCATTTCCAGCACTGGCCTGGACGGATCGTTCGGAATAGATATGGTTGACTGGCTTAAGCATGGCGGCGAAGGTGGCAGTGACATGTGATAAATGCTAGATTTAGGCGCATGGAGAGATTGCTGAAACTGATTAAACACGAAATTAAGTTCATCCATTTTGATAACGGTTTGATAATCCTAAGGTAGAAAATACGTAAGAAAACGTTGATCCTTCCCAGTCACTCTTATTTGCATGAATCTTACAATTAAGGATAAAAGTTGCTTTTCCATAAGGTTTACTTCCCCCAGTGAGAAAAAGATGGCATAGCGTGTCCAATGTTTATTCTTTGGTGACGTATCGTGGATCGCTTTGGACGTGACGATAAGTGTGGCCAGAAAGATACGATGACATGTGCATGACATGCCTTTGGCGATATTGGCTAGCCTTTGTTGCAGTCGATTCAGAAACACCAGACTTCCAAGCAGTGTACCCGTACGAATATTGGACCGTTTCACGAGCACGGCTATAAATGTTGCCAGTGGTGGTAAAGGATCTTTTCGTCGTTTGTTGTCAGTGGCCGTTTCATGACATGGAATAACCAGTGAAGCTTGATGAGAAACGTATGCCAAAAATTCGGGATTGATGGGTTGTTGAATAAGATCCACGAGCTTTTCATTCACGCCAATGGTTCGCATTCTTTAACATGGATGGTGAGACGCCAAGATGGAAAAACGTATAAGGATCAAGATCAGAAAAAAGTAGAGGAAGTCAAACCAAAAAAGTGGATTGGCCGATAAGTAAAGGAGTGTTTTATTGGCGTTCACAGAAATTGGACGGATTAAAATGGGCGATAAGGTTGAATCTAATATCCGCGGTTGGTTTTTTAGCTAAAGTGGTATGGAATAACAATCGTTGCTGTGTTTTTTGTACCTTAAAATATCATAGGTGTACTCGCGGAAAAAATAATACTTTTTTTCTTTTTTTTCTTATGCTTCTTGCTTGTCATGTCGAATTTTTGGGGGGGGGATGAGGAGGGTTTTTTAGGCTTATGGAATTTCTATAGTCCAGTTGAGGTTCTCTTATTTCGTTTTGCCCAGCGAAGACCGCATGCATTACATAAACTACATCAAATCACCACAAGTTAAAAAATCTATTGCATGGAGTGGAGCGAGAAGCTTTTCGTTTGACTTACGTTTTGGGACCGTGAGGACCTTTGCGCCATTCGGGTGAAGACGTAGTACCGCAATCGGTGCATACATGATCATGTTCTTGTCGGACTTTCTAAATAAATTCATGCAATTCACAAAAGTTTCAGAAGGTTGCGTACATTAACGAATGAGATATTTCCCCCAACTTACCTTTCGTTTCCATTTCTCTTTTCGTAAAGCGTCAGGACTTGTTTGTAAAGTAAAGGACGATGAAAGGAGTGAAGGATGAGGATTGATAGAGTCGGATGAATGGATGGCTAAATGGTCCAAGTCGGCCGACGATAACGTGGCAGCTGAAGAAGGAGGGTTGATGCGATCGTCTTCCATAAAAATCATACTTCCGGAGGATCGTCGGGATTCGTCCGGCGTTTTGGAATAATCAGCAAACATTGAGGTATCCAAGGAGAGCGACATGGATTGTTGACTAGGTAATTGATCGGATTCGAGATACGCAGAAGAGAGGTCGTGCAAACGTTTTCGGAGCCATTCATTTTCCATTTTCAACTCTATAAATGAATCCAACAGCGTACTAGCTTTGGTAGAATATGGCTGGGCAATAGCGAAAAAGCAAGGCGAGGCGTCTTGTTCCGTATACGCTTCCGAGTGTCCGATAGATTCAAATATAACAAAGGTATTATCTTTTTTTCGAAATCGGAAATATGTTTTCATTTGTCTGCATTGTTGTAATGCCATATTGAAACTTCGAATAAATACATCAATGTCATCTACGTGTAAGAAATCCGTGAAAATTCGACCAGTAACTTCGTCCGGCCGATATCCCGTCAGATGGTAAACCGAGTCTGAGCAGTACAAAACCTTGGCTGTTGGTGATAGCACATGCAAAAGACCCGTGACATCGCCCGTCACTCTTTCCGACCAATTTCGTCGTCGAGTAAAATCCATACCGGTGCGTCGGGTCGACATTTCCGGCGAAACGCGACTGGTCGTTAATGGCGCATGAGGGTCATTGGAATGGGAATGGTGGGAATGAGGATTCGATGGCGGCGAACGATCGTCGATGACCATGGACGAGGACGAGGGCGGTGGCGGCGGCGGCGGCGGGGGAGGTCGGTCGGATGGTAAGGTAGGATCGGGACATAGAATTTCGCGTAAAGGTTCGGCGATAGTCATATTTTCTTCCAAAAGGAAGTTATTGAACTGGTCAGAGGGCTGCATAATTTTTAATCAATGGGGGACTATTTTTTCTTGAAAAATAGTAACAAAGTTGAAAACGAGAATGAGTGAAATGCAATGGAATGGCGATGCACAAGCGTAGTTCTATCCAAATATAAATGATAGCACGGACACACCGTAATGCTAAGTTTACGTAAACTCTATGTAAGATGATGTGCCTGAGAGTTTAGATCTAAGAGCAGATAAAAATGAGGAAAAGAATACAAAAGAAAAATGATAGCTTAAAGCTGTCAAAATAGATTCAACAAGAGGGAAATAAAAGAAGCGTTAAACCATATGAGGCAAGGCGGACATACAATGCAGTATAAATTAAAATCCTATCTTTTTAAATGTTTAAAACAAAAAGGTCGTGGAAGCAAAAAGAAGGACATCTTGTTGCGGTTAGAATTCACAAAGGGTGCGAAATGCATGGTCCATTTCCATAAATGGTATACGCTTCCGAAATGCTGGTGGACAGCGGAGCACTTATGATAACATACTTTCCATATTAAGAAAGAGTCGCCTTGCAATATGACGTAGCGTGCATCAAGATTTTAGGTTATTGCGTCCGGAGAATGAGGGGCAGGATTATTGGGGGGAGCGATGTGGGGGAGAAATAGAGGTAAACGAAAATCCTTTTTTTTTTACCCTCAGTTTTTTCGACAAATGTCGTAATCAACATTTACCTATTGTGTACATAATGTTGTCGATAGCTTTCTCGTCATTGCTACTTGAGATTTTCCCTAAGCAGTAAAGTCAATTTGACATGATCATACGATAAAGTTGAAACCTCTTCTTGTTGATGATTGCCAATGATCTTACATAGCATCATCTTTGTTAGTGTTATCATCATCATATAATTGATGGTAAAAAAAAGTTTAAATGAGGCAATAACGTTTGTTTACCAGAAAGTCTAAAGTTTAGCGCATATACGTGTGTTTTTTTTCTCCCCATCAACTACATCGCAGTAATAAGCTTGGCATCCCGTGCGCGCCTACGAGACTTACAATAAATTTGATGCAAAACTAGCTCATTTCATTTTTCAATACCAAATCTCGATACGTACTTGATGGCATGGCACCCTATAGCATGAATTGTATGAAGTAATAGCATGAGCGCATGGTTCACGACATGTGTCCTTTTTTTGAGTTTGAAAGCATGTTTAGGCCATTTTCACATGGTTTGTAGATACGTAATATGAACTAAAGACTTCCATGCATGAAAAGATAAGGTATGGGTCGAGGATTTGCAATAGGGGTGGCGCGACCGGCCCCCGAAAAACTGGTCCATCCCCTCTCAAACTAACTGTCGTATAATGATGTTAAAAAAAAAGATTCTCTGACTATTCGGGGGTGTCTGCACTTTTTTCATGGTAAATTAGAATTTCGCACTAACCTTTTTAAGGAATGATCATCTTCTTTGACAGTGGTGCGACTTGGCTCTTTTTTTTCCCTGTCCTTTCCCTGTCACCAATATCTGAGCCAATAAAATGAATGTGGCTGGTCAATTGAAAATGATGTCATGGCAATCAAATCAAATGCGAAAATACATGTCGTGCTTTGACGGACCACCACGCCGCTGTGTTCAGAATCGTGTCACTTTTTCTTGTAGGTTTGAAAAAAAGATCAATAACATTGAAACTCAATTTTTTCTGCAATTCACCTCTTCACACTATTTTTATTTCACGATGTGCATGAAAATATTTTGACAAGCGTGGGCATCTGTGGTAAACCCTAAAACTGGTTTCTGTACTAAAATAAGAAACCATCAGGTACATGAATGATGTTATTTTTGTCAAATTCAAAAATATCATAAGAGGGGCAGGGATAGAAGCCTGTTGGAGCCTGGATGATGTGTCATCCTTGTTGCCGTGAAAAAATGTGCCCGATCCGTTGGTACCCGAGTCGAAAGGGGGCATCGGCGATTTGGAGGAGACTACACGACCGTCCCACACAAGGAGTTGGCACGCACCAACACGGACAGAGCACATGAATCCCTCTATCGTCGTCTACTGACGCATGGAGACATCGCAAACAAGCTGTTGAGAAATGATCACTTGAAATATATATCAATAACCGTTACTGGTCATTGTAGCTATGATCACGATTGGCTCGGTCAACTTCACTACATCTTTTTATTTCCGTTCTAAGCAACAAGGCAGGAAAAAAAAATATGCACCAATAAATAAATGACATCAATTGTCTTATTTTGGGAAGAAACGGGCCTCAATCGATATATCTGTCTCTCACGGACGATCCACACACATACACTCCCTGTTTACATCCTCCGTCTTACTCGTCGTCTTCGTCTTCCTCGATGCAGCTAATTTTTAACATTAGTGCCGTCGACTTTTCGTTTTCAACGGAGGAAAATCTGCTAGCTAATCGTAGCCTGTAACTAAAAATATCTAGATGCAGCATATACGAATGAATAGCAAGATCATGGTCACCGCACTAATAATCAGGGACATACACAAGAAAAAAAGTCGGAACTCCCATCTAATGTCTGAAAATCACGCATTTTTCCGCAGTAGGGTGGAGGTTCCCTTACTTGACTGCTTGTCACAACGCGTGGTAGCATACTTTCTGTAACGTATAGTATTATTTTACAATATTGATTTTATTGTAACTGGGTTCTGGATCGCTTCTCTGGATTGTAGGGAAAGCAAATGATAGTGACCAGCCAACTGGAAAGCAGACATTGTTTATACATGTTCCATGAAAGATAAATAAGCTCAGAAACTCTGACTTTGGATTGTATGCGACCATACACCTGTAGATTATCTTTTCTCTCTAGAACTAGTTTCATCCCGAAAAGGCCATTTTTTGTGTTTGTCATTGGAGTGGTTGAAGTTTTAAGCCGAAACACCCAAACAATTGTGGTCTCGCGCTGCATCAGCTGTAAGCCACCAATGCTCATCTGGCGTATATCTGTATCAGATATTTAATAATAAAAAACGACCGCCTCGCGTGGGTCTTCTTACTTTCAATATTGTTTTTCCGTTACAAAATATGACGACCAAAGAAGACAAGTACAAGCAGGTCCCCTGCGATGACGAACAGGACGGAGATGAATGGCTATTCAAGGGGAAAGATGTGGTGGAGCTGTTCAGAAAGTATCGGCAACAATTTAACGGTAAAAAACTCTCATCTAATTTTCAAGAAGTACTCGCCCAGTCGAACGTTCTCTTTATGGTCCCTTATCAACACAGCCAAAGAAAAGTGCGTGTCTTTGGTTGCCAGCTGATTGACTCCTTACGCCAAGCCACCATCGATCGATTCCTGGGCAATTTTGAGGTGGAATTCTCGGCGGAAGAAGTATCGGATGTGGCCACCATTGTCTACAACGTTCAAACCGGCAAGAGATCGATCATTGACGCTAAAATGGATTTCTGCGCGCAGCTAAAAGTATGGATCCTAAGAAAGCCGCTGCGGTGTGCGGCATTGCAGATCTGTAAGTACCCATGTAAGAAATGCAAGGAATAAATACGACAAAAAGCAAGAAGCAAGCACACACGAAGAACCATACTTGATCACTTCTCCGTCTCTCATCTCTTTCACCTAGTGTGCCTAAACTGCCTGCCAGAAAGCTTGTTAATATGGAGCGCCTTAACGCCACAGAACTGCAGTCAACTTACCTCGACCCCATCTTGGCCTCTCTCTTGTCCGACCCCCAAAAGAATATTATCTTGCACTGGACTCACGAGCTTTATGATAATGTCGAACAGGAATATGTCGACAATGAAAAGAAGTTTGAGAACTACCCTGGTGCTATTATGTCTACCATTGAACAATCGAGATCTAAACTCGCTGTAGGCTATGGGATGCTAACCGGAGGAGCCGCAGATCCGTTCTCACGGCACAGGGACACCATTCGACTCGCCAATCTGGCCAAATAATCTTTGGACCTTAACGGCGCCGAAACGTTTCTTTTATTCCAGAACAATGGTACGCCTTCGCAGCAATGGTAATAAATCTAGAAACTAATCATCATTCATTTAGGGCTACAAATATCGTTTTTCGTGCTGCATTGGCAAATTGACTTGTACATCATGGCTGAAGTTGCGACCATTCATATCCCCAGTTCCCTGGATACACTAGATACGTTGATAACCCAAAGGCACCTGACTACGTTGGCGCGTGTCAGCTCTTTGTTTTGGTCCACCGTATAATATCGTCCAAGACGGCCAAGTGTCTCTTACACCGCGTCCACAAAACTCAACCTCGCATCAATAACTTGCAAATTCTACGACATCAATACTAGACCATCATCCTGGCACTAGCGTAAATAACCACATCGACCTCCTTCTTTTATTACATATATGGCTTGAAAGTATAGCATTCACCCCATTCTTCTGCTTTTTATTTCTCAATACAGGCATTGCTTATTAACTCAGAGCGCCAAAGAATTCTTATCCAAATGACTTCTAAAAATAGTCAATTCAGAGCAAAATGGGCAATTGGTATGGGGGTGAATCAGTTTTTGATGGCTTTATTGATCTCTTATTCGTTAAGAGGCTTTGGACCTAGCCAATGTCAGAGTGGATGAAATGAACCTTGGGGTTATATTTATATAAACTATCACATGGCAATTACACAGTAAGCACCAAAATCCCTCTCCAGAATTTGCTGCGCCCGACTCTGTACATTTAACTATGAACCGGATCCGTTTAATTGAATCGAATCGAATTCACCAAGTTTCAGATACGATTTTGAGCCATGCGTACAAGCAGTTTTCACGATATAACCCAGTAATGATCCTTTATTATCCGTATTTTGACTAACACTTTTTTTCGATGTGCTAATGCCTGGATTAACTTGCATATAACAAATTGGCCTCTTTTTTAGCGAATAGCTCTGTTGAATTTTTTGGCTTCACATACATGCAATGTTTAGTTTCGAATCATTACCGCACTGTGAAAGGGATAAAGTACGGCAAAATGTTACTTTACGTTACTGTGGAGTATCCTATAAAGTTTAAGGATAATTACCAACGGGTATCACACGACGGCTGATAAAATTCAATATTTTTAATCTTGACCATCAAACTTGATTCTGTAAATTTGTCATGGATTAGTTTTTTTTTTTTCTTTTTTTGGCGAAATAAATATGTGTCGCCCAACCACAAGTATCCGTTTTCTCTCGAAAGTGAAAAGAATCGTTATAGAACAAAACGGTGCCTTTTTTGATGGGAAATTAATTTATCCATAGTGCATTCTTTGTCATTTTTGGGCAAAAGAAAACCATTGTATTGTACAGCGGTTGAAATGCAAATCAAAAGAGCGGATGCACAAGACAAGCATCATGTGCGTTGGATGTGTGGATGGATCTGATGGTTTTGGGTGGTCGAGCAATGAAATCTTTGTGTATTTTAGGGTAATGAATGAAAACCAGCGAAAATCACCATGTGGCTATTTAACAAATCAAATTCATAATTTTATTCATGACTTTGACTGATTGGATTCTCTCTTCTCCTTCTCCTTCCTCCCTTGATACATGGCATCGGATCTCCTTATTTGAATAAATAGGCTTGCGGATTTGTTTCTTCCATTCAGTGCTTGCTTTTTCTTTCTCTAGACCCTGCGCAGAGAAAAAAAGACAAGCCCGTTTTTATTGATATTTCTTCCTTGATTAAATCCCAGCCCACGGCAAATGGAGAACGTGTACGCGACATCGATTGAACGATCGGAAAACGATTCTTCGGCATGGCCCAGCAGCTATTATGGGCTCACGCGACGTATTGATTTGGCCAAATTATACCACGACATCCTTTTAGCGACGCAGACCAAACCCGTCTTCAAACCGACGAGAAAATGCCATGCAAGGAGAGTCAGTTTTTCGACTGATCCGCCCACTGTGCATGAATACGAACCCGAAAATGATGGTCACCCTTTTGCCCGATTAGATCGTCTCCTGATGGAGTGCTGGCCTGGTCGCCAGACCGCTCCTGAACGGTCGCCATCGTTGCACCGGATCGAGGAAAATAAGCAAGACATGGATACGGATCACCATGACGACGATCCCGAAGGTGATTTCTGGGTTTGGGACAAACCACTGACGAGCCAACGCAATCATTTGTACGTTCGAAGGCATCACTCATGGTGCCAGCCTCACCCTCCTTTGGACCTTCGTCCTATTTTAAATGATGCATTCAATGAGAAATTCAAGCACCGGCTATCGTTACCTTCCGATGCTATTTTACCGCCCTCACCTCCCGAGTCTCCTACCGTGTCTTCTGCGTACGATAGTGACGATAGCGAGAAACAGGCTATCGTCATGAAATCGTCCGATCCATCATCACAAAGTACTCTCGCCCAACGCACGTTAAGACGCATGTGTATACCACCCTTTCGATCACTCAACAAAGCTCCATCCATCGCCACGTTACGCAAAAAACTATTCTAAAATGTAAATAGCCATATTTTTTCCCTTCGATATGCACATTCTCTGATTAATAGCTATGCATTTTTTAGCGCTTTCCCGCTTTGTTTGCTTTCTTTTTCAAAAGAATAACCACATCTAGCACACCACATAGAACGTCGATTGTGTTGCCCTCGTCTGTCCTGTACCCAAGTTTCACTTGATTTCAGATTCTTTTCGCGGATGCATAATGAAGCAATGGCGGATCAGGGGAACAAAAAAGAGATGCTTTCTAATCGCCACCGTAGCAAATGGTCTACCATCACTAAGCAGACGAACTTATCGACTTGCATAGCATTTGCCGAACAACGGAATCGCGCTCATTTTGAACGGCTACAAATTATTGGTCGGCTTTTCCAAATCGCGGAACTTCATACGGACTGAGCCTCCATTCAAGACAAAGAATGGATAAACCAAAAAAAAAAAAAAAAAAAAAAAAAAAAAAGCTCAAGCGAATATTTAAATTCCCTTATATTACGGCTCACAAATTGTATTATGTAACTTTTTACTCAAATATGACAGAAACAAAAAAAAAACCTAATGTATATAACAAAAAAGACCCTCTGCAAAAGCCCGATTAATCAATACAATCACCCTTTTTGTTATAATGCAGGGTATATTTGTTCAATGAGGAATTGGGTGGCTGGTCCGTTTGCCCCGTTTGATCGAACCATCGACATGCAACCACCATTTCGTCAGCATTGGCAAACGCTTCCGCAGCAGTTTGCAAGAATTCGATATTCCTTAAAGGCTGTTGACTTTCCAATAGGCGCCCAAACTCGGCCACTTTTTGACGAAGAAGATCAAACTTTTGTTCAACTTGTTTCGCTTGTCGCTGCTTTAGGAACCGTAGTTGTTGTGATTGTTGCTGCTGTTGCTGCTGTTGTTGTTGTTGTTGCTGTGAATGTTGCTGCTGTTGCTGTGAATGTTGTTGTAATTGCGGTTGCGATTGTGATGGTTGTTGCTGTGATTGTTGCGGTTGCTGTTGTGAGTTTTGTTGTGCAGTGGATGGACGTTGAGTCGTCTCAATTCTGTTCATCAATTGCTGCTGTTGTTGTTGCTGCTGTTGTTGTTGCTGCTGTTGTTGTTGTTGCTGTTGCTGTTGCTGTTGCTGTTGATGATGGTGGTGGTGATGATGATGATGCACGAAAGGTGGATGAGGATGTTTATGAATCAATGTCACATGGGCCGTTTTCTTATTCAAATCGATAATGATCGTTAATGCGCCTGCGCACTCGTAGCGATTTGCCATTTTCGGGGTTTCGGCCTTCCTTGGTTTCGCTGTGTCCGCTCGCTGAGAGCAATAGTAACGTAAAGTTGAAAGAGTGTCAGGCGCTTTGGTAGACCGTCGACGATCTTTCATGCTGTAAAAGACAATCAGTCATTCGTGCTACGCTTTTTGTTTTTGACACGCCCATCCTAGACTTTTATCCATCTTACCTGAAATTGAACGTTGTTCCCATCAATATTCGTTCGCAGATTGCTCGTCCCAATTTCGTGAATCCAGCCTTGTCCCCCATGGAAATAAGCAATGGATTGATATCCACTGTATACTGTTTCCTGTCAAATTCGGTCTCTTGCTGCAACGCCGTCACGAATCGTTCAAGCGAAATGATTTCCTGTGATCCACGATCGTGGCTCGTCGATGGAGACGAGGTGGATCGGATCATACTAGCATTCATCACCGTAGACACACTGGAAGCGTTAGGTAACATGACCGGCGCGGCTTTCTCAGTGATGGATGGAGATTGTGCAAGCTGATGCTGTTGCGGCTGAATAGGCGACATTCTCTTGAGCTCATGCGACAGCTGGGGATGCGAAGGAAGCGGGGAAGGCTGTTGCGTTGGTTGCGGTTGCTTCGGAGGTCGTTGGTTCGGTTCCAGCTGTTGTGGTATAGGTAATGGTAACGACATGGACGGCTGCACGATCTGTTTATGCATGGATTGAATTTGTGACTGAGGTCGCATCGGCGTAACTGTGTAGAATTGCGGCTTTGAACTGGTGTGCAAAGGCTGGGCGGATTGCTGCAACGTAGGTATCATGGAGGAGGCCGAGATTGGGGAGTTGGAGAAAGGGGAATTTTTGATCTGAGGGGAAGGTGGAACGGCCTGTGATGATTGGCGGGGCAAGGCCAGTGACGAGGGCGTTTGCAGCTGTGTTTGAAGGAATTGCGGAGAAAGTTGATGCATCGGTCGTTGCTGTTGCGGAGATGGGTACTGCTGGGGTGGCTGTTGTTGAGAAGGATGAGGATGTTGACCGTGCGAAGCCTGCGACGGGTGCTGCGGTGGCTGCTGCGATCGAGGATGTGGTTGTTGTTGCTGTTGTTGTTGTGACGTGGCTTGCGCTTGAGCTTGATACTGGTGGGAAAATCGTGCTTGTTGCTTGTATTTCCGTTGCTGCTCCTCGTACATCTCATACCGCTCCATTTGATGCTTGCGTTTTTGAAAATCGCGCGATCGACAAAGATCACAAACGTTGTATTTCAGGTCTCGTTCACCGTAAAAGTAAGAGACATGGCGAAATGACTGACAGCTGTTGCAATACAACGATTCGTGACTGGTGCCAGGCGGTTTCGGTCCACTGTGAGGCGCTCCTTGACCTCCTGCTGCACCGACGGCAACGGCACTTGACGCAGCTAATCCTTGTGCGTGATTATTATGCAACGGCAGGGTTGTATGCGGCATAGCTGTCGTAGCTGCCAAGGCTTGAAATGCCTGTTGCGAAGTCGGAATCGGATGGTGATGCGATTGTGGGGCAAGATTAGTGGGACGCATCGAAGAATAGCCCAAAGCTTGAAAGGCACGCGGGGGCCCGTGAGACATTAGTTGGACAGACGCACACTAAATAATAATAGAAAGAAAAAAAAAATAAGGCGAATAAAAAAGGAAGAGAGATAAACTGCTGGCTTTTTTCTCCACACTGAGAGAAATACGCTGCTTAGGGCTCGATAAATAACTCTTTTTACAACTGATAAAAAAAAAGAAATAAAATTCGGAACCACTCATTGGTGATATATTTTGACTTGCGACGTCATTGATTTTTTTCGTTATTATTGATTGTCCGAACCTTTCCAAACCAGCGATAGTTCAGTTTGGGTATAAAAGCTAGCGAGTAAGCAAATAAACATAAAAAGCAGTTTTTTCTCTGACGATCCAGTATTGAAGTTTGAACGACTTAGTGTATTCTTTTACTCAACCCAACACTCCTTTTCATATACTATTTACTTGATTTCAACGTATTTTACGAACAACAGTCACGACATATATCATTGGCGAGAAGCTTGATGGCACGCTCTTTTCCAGCGCACGTCATTAAATTAGTAAAAATTTGTTACTGTTTTCATTTTCAATCACAGCTTACCAAATGGGCATGCAAGAGAGAGACTCAACGAAGGAGCAAGTTGGCGGCACTTTGACCGCCGAGCACACTTTGTGTGCTGCTTGGACGACAAAGACCAGCAGGGCGAGAGTTGATTTGGCAACGAGAGGTTATGTACGCCATGAGAATTTGTCTCATATTAACAGCAGTGTTTATATTGCGGTTCCACATCTAAATGAATACAGTCAATATTCAAAACATCATAGAGTTTTTGTTTTGCCTCACCAATCCTTTAGAGTTATCATTGCCGACTTGCATTGAGGGCACAGTCGAATCGGGTAAATAATACTCTGCCAAGATCGACCTGCTTACTATGTTAGCCCCGTTGTGTTGTTCAATAAGCAAAATGACTTGCCTGCAGTTCTTCTTTGATTACAAACTGATGAATAGGAAATAACGTTCCCTCGTCATCTAGACATCGGCTTCGAGGCCTTTTGTCGACATTTTTACGTTTGAAAGTCTTTTTCCTATTATCACGGTGATGTTAGTTTTTGGCAATAGAGCCCATGGTCCTTTAAAACTCACTTGTGGCTGCATACGAGGATCTGGTCATCCCGTACTTCCATAGTCTCCGAATCGCACCGATTGCACACCTTGCTGGTTCGATATTCGTCAACGCACATTACCAGTGCTTTTCGAGCAAGGACTTTCCGGAACCCCTAGTGACTCTTTGATGAACAACGTACTCTAGGATATATCTTGACCATCATGCTGTACCTTGATCGGGACGGGCGCATGTCGTTTCATCGGTTTCAAATCCGCGTCCCCAAATGCCACTATCGCTTGACCCTCGGGCCTGTGCTCATTCTTGCGGGCTTTTCTTCGGCGGCGGCGGCGGCGGCTTTTTCGAGAGTGTTTGTACACCCACTGTGGGGCCTATCGAAATGTGCATTACTCCATTGGGAAATTGATCATGAAACCCTGCAGACTCACAATTTTTGATTCGGCAGGGTCGCCGAGGAGAGTGTCCGCCATCTTGTCCTGAACCATTTGTCTTTGGGAATACAGTAACGCACGTTTTTCCCGATGACGATAGCCACAATTGAAAACATGTAAACTATAGATGAGACCAAACTAAGTTGGCATCATACCTTTTTACACTCTCTTCTTACTTACCTGTTGTGGATGCGACTAAGGGACTCAATATAAGTCTTGAAAGCCTCCATGGAGGGCACACTGGGCGGCGTCCCTTTGAGTTCGTCATATAGCTGTTGAATACCAGCCTGCTTTCTGTTTTTAAGCTCCATCTGGCTTGACCAACGGAACATACTCCGGTCCCTACAATATATCAAATAATGGATTACACATTTGGAGTCGTTCTGATAAATATCCAACCGTTGTACTAACTGATAGGCAGCATTTGTGATGCTGAAAACAGGGCTTTTTCGCTGCTCGTCCAAGTGGAGGTCTACATCCGTATCACAACTGGTGATTACCGACCGAATCCCTGTCATATCATTAAATCGTCGCTCAAACCGCAATTGTCCCCTTCATAATCAAGACGGAAATACAGAAAATTTCAATTTTAGGCCCAATGTGGCTCGCGATCCCAATGTCTCGATGCCAAATCTTCATGATGTAGGAGCCATGAATGTCATCTGCAGCCACTGTCAAGCCCGAATGTGGAGTGGAGAAAAAATTGCTGGAAGTACTATGAATGATCCTAAGTCCCAGCTCTGTTGTGGAAATGGTCAATTTGTACTTTCTCCTCTCAAACCCACCCCTCCTTTGATTGCCACGCTTTTGACAGGGACTGGGGCGCAAGCAAAAGATTTCCGGCTCAAGATCAGAGCTTATTGTAGTGCTCTCAGTTTTACTTCTCTTGGTGTAAATTTAGACAAAAGTGTAATGAATGGCAGACGGGGCGCTTACTGCTTCCGTATTCATGGAAGTGTTTACCACTTGATGGGATCGCTACTTCCTGCTAATGGCCAACGACCTGCATTTGCACCAATATACGTCCATGATACTGACAACGAAATATCAAATCGACATGCAATTGCAAGCCATCTCGCGCGAGACACCTTGGAAGTACTTCAGCAATTAATGCATGAAACCAATCCTTTCGTCCATCTTTTCACGACAAAGGCCCAATACATAGAGGATAATGTGCTTCCAACATCAGAATGATTATTCGAGCTGACGATGCCCCAGATCCACGACGCTATAATGCACCAAATGCTTCTGAAATTGGTGTCATTATCGGTGAAAACGCGGAGGCCTCTGGAAGGGATATTGTGATCTGTACGCGTAGTGACCAACTGACATCAATCAGTGAGATGTATCGCCTGTATAACCCACTCCATTACGTGCTGATGTTTCCTGAAGGCGACCCTGGGTGGAACATTGAAACTCGATCGACCAGAAACGACGAAGTCACCGTGATGAACTACTACAGTTTCAGATTGATGTATCGAAATGATGGACACCACTTGCACCTCTTTGGCCGACTCTTTCAGCAGTATATCGTAGATATGTATGCCAAGATGGAACAAAACCGCCTCAATTACCTTCGCCTCAACCAGTCCCGACTGCGTGCTGATGTGTATTCAGGCGTACAAGATGCTCTCCAACTTGACGACAACAATATGAATATGAATTCCATCGGCCAGCCTGTCATCCTTCCGTTGTCATTCATTGACAGCCCTCGAAACATGCAACAGCTGTACCAAGATGCAATGAGTATCGTCAGATGTTTCGGAAAGCCTGACCTCTTCATTACATTCACGTGTGATCCAAAATGGCCAGAAATTCGGATTGAGCTTCTTGCTTCACAGACAGTATCTGATCGGCCAGATTTGACAGCACGAGTTTTCAACCTCAAGCTCAGAGCTCTTTTGAAGGATCTAACAAAAAACCTTGGAAAAATAATTGGCTACGTTTATACCGTCGAGTTCCAGAGAAGAGGATTGCCTCATGCGCATATTCTACTCATTTTAAAAGAAGCTGATAAACCTGTGACGCCAGAGCACTACGATTCTATCGTATCGGCGGAGATACCTGATCCACAGCAGTTCAAATGAACATTTCACCAAAAATATAGTATATCCTGAAGTCTACCAATAAATATTCCCAATTCTGATCTTGAAGATCACGGGCTCCACCTAGTATAATTAAAATCTTTGGGAAATTAGCGATTTGGTAAATCACATGATCTACACTAAGTTATCAGGACCTGTTAAACGTTTTTTTTTATCTTTCAACCATGCCTCGCTGCCCACTTTCACGATAATAGGCGAAACAATTAGCAGCAAGATGCCGTTTGCGCCAGTTGTGGTTAAACAGAGTATCGTCGTCTTTCGAATAAAAATGTGAGTAGAGCTCTTTTTGAAGAAAAGTGGTTGATGATACGACTGGCGTTCTTCTGTAGCATCATTCAATTTGGTTTTTTTTTGTCGGTTATACTGTATATGTCCTTTCATTCTCTTTCAATTTTCAATGACTCGAATAATACATAAGCAGACGTGCTTCGATCTATGAATTCATGCATCAGTGGGGTGACTATTGTTTCATCCATGGAAAACCATATATTTTTGTCTTCAATTTTATCTTTCTTCTTTTGATTTTCTCTCTCTCTTTCTGTTTGCTTGATAAACCCTCACTATCATTGTATCCTGATCCCATCCGCATCCATCATCCAGACCATTCTTATCCCGTGTATCTAATTTGGTTAAATCGACCACCATCCTCAAAAAGGTAAGCGTCGAGTGGTCTACCATCGATTTTGCTCCGGCAAAACAGACTTACCTCTCCTTTACTTCCATCCTTCTTCCAGCTTCCGGTTTCTGTTTTCTTTTCGCTTGACAAGTTCTGGATACTACAAGTTGACTTTTTCTCACCATCCATCCATCCATCTGGCGAAACCGGATGACGTCAAAGGCCATCGTTGGTGGTGTGGCTCTCTTTTTAATCAGAAAAACGCTTACGTGTCCTCTTCATGTTCCTCTCCTTTGGATTGCTTCTCTTCGAGATGTCTTCCCGATTATTGTATTTTGTAGTTCATAGTTTGTATTTTGTATTTTATATTTCATGTACATATTCTTTTCGCAGTCTTTTCCTCTTTTTTTCCCACAGGGTTTATTATGAGGTTTTTACTGACGCGACCAGTGTTTTTTTTATCATCATGTACTTTATTTGTTTCTTTCTTTTTATTCGGGGGACTCTCGATATCTGGAATCCAGCTCGAAGTTACCGTCACTTCTGGCCACGTCAATATTTTTTGCCTGCTCAAGCTGACACCACCGATCCATCGCTTAACTGTCCCTGGAAGCAATTTTATTTTCCGCATCGAAGAAGAAGCTTACCTGGCGGTCCGTATCATCTTTTTTTTTTCCGGTACACCATTTGGTTCAAAGGCAAGTCCAATTTCTTTTCCTTTGCTATGATGTAATGAACGTATACTAATTCAAATTTTTTCAATGTCATATAATCCAAGCCATGTCAAGCGATCAATGGCTATTGCAAACTCAAAAACAAAGGTAAAATATCTTGACGAAAATTTGAATCAATCAAAGAGCTTACTAACTCATTTTTTTAAATACCCAACATTCCCACACATCATTCTAGATCTATCATAACCTTGGGCGGGACGGGACTGAGGGGGTCAATAAGTGCTGCTGCACACATGTTTGGAAATCACGACTGTACGGTATGCCAGAGTATTGACATTAATATACCAAAGTTCCATCAAGAGTTCTCGCCCAGGTTATGCCGTATTGCGTTAGGCTTTTGTCTGACGAATGTCGCTCAATGTAAGGGGGCGACGTCCAGTAGCAGATGGCATCCATTGCACAGCGGGTGTACGGCTTGTTAAGTAATTAGTTGTATTCAGATTGACAATAATTGCCAATAGACTTACCCGGGTCGATACCGATTATGCGCGCTTCGGAGTTCAATCCAGTGGGCTCCTTTCGCAGATGATACAAGCCGCGCGTCCAGTTGGACATGTTGGGCTTTCGAGGAAGGAAATCGATTCCTTTTTCGACGATGGGTACGGCTCTAATAAAATGAGTAAGAATCAGTTGAATACTGGGAAATACAGATTTAATCATAAGAGGCTTACAGCGGTCCCATCGTTTGCAAAATTTGACGCTCCTCATCACGCCGTCGGTTTCAATGGCGTTAGCAAATTGAGTGTGTTTTATGGAGCCTCCTGTTTTTTATCGCAGAAATGTAGCTAGTTAGTAAGTTTTCAAGGTACGACCAGTCGTTGTAGTTACCGGTTTCCAACTGAGAGCAGCGCAGCCGCTTAGGACACACTCTGCCCAAGTCGAAAATTTTTCCCATAGCTCTTCTTTATATAGCTGACTTTGCTACGATTTTTCGAGAATGGTCCTGGCGATGAAATACTCCTTTGGTTCAATGTCGAAGCGTCCACGTTTCAAATTGCTATGTTCAAAAACTTGCTTAGCTAACTCACAGAAGGTTTCAATGTATCGTTTCCTACCTTTAACATGGGAGGTACGTCGTGGCCTGCCATCCAGGCTTCATTCAAGAAATGGAAAAAACCCTGGCCCACGATTCGAACATACGCTGCAAATGTATGCTTAACACTACAGCAAGGTGTTCTATGAGCCAAATATCTTACCAACTTGATGTAATGCAATTGGAAGAAGAGTCCATTGTTTTGCTTCAAAATCGTGTGCTTTTTGAAGAAGCCAAGCGGAATAACGGACTAGATTTGCCGTCAATGTGGTTCCAATTTTCTCGTCGATCGCATCGGCGTTCAAGCCAGCAAATTCTTGATTGCGCTTATGCAGGTTTTCCCTATCATATTATTCATGGTGAATGGTCAGCATGTATCAAATATGGAAATTTGAACCGTACTGGTAAAAGCGTCGAATTTCTTGGACGTCGCCAGGGACATCACTCCAATCATTGACAACGAAAGGCTCGAGCGAAACCAACTTGTGAACAGTCTTTTTGCCTAGATTGCTTGCTTTTTTAAGAGTCTGGATAATTAATCAGACACTCAGCTTAACTTACCGAGCGTTTTTGCACTTGCTGAAAGTGTAACGTCATTTCGCTTGCTGTAATTTCTAAAAAAGCCCTCCCAAATCCGCAACAAGAAGCGTGGATGATTCTTTAAATGTTCCATTGCATCTACACAAATGGTAAGTAAATTCTAGCTATATCAGGTTAGATAAGACGTACAGTTACTTTTATGGGCGCTGGAAGCGTATGGATCGGCAAGGGAGAGGAACACAGATGACCATTGGGGATAGTTATATCCTGTAATATATTTTAGTGTTTCTAAATGTATTTCGCCTTCTTTCCAGCGTCATACCTCTAGTGGATGGTTTGAAAATGGTGTTAAATGTGTACCGCAGGTCACGTTCCCACGCGGCTCTGGGGAGCATCTATACAGAGAATTGATATGGATACAGTAAGCAAAATTGAAACTACTCCGTTTGTTGAGAATAAGTTACCGGTTCTTTCGCCTCTCTGCATGAAGACGCAATAAACCTAAAACACTTCTTCCAAAATAGCTCTGTGTTTATGGGCGGAAAAGAGAACGAATTGTTGGATTCCGTCCAACGCAAGATATGCAGTAGGGTCAGATTATTAGCATCCCGCTTCAATATGGTATAGTTTTCGGCCAGTCTTCGTAAAAGTTGCTATTTTTTAGGAGTCATCAATAAAAAAATTCTTACGGTGGATTATAGGGACGTCTCACCCTGTAAGATGCGTATTCTGGCTTTAAAATTGTGGTCAATTTGATTTTTCGTTTGTAGATTTAAAATCTCTGATTGATAGCGCCGTGAACTGCCGTCCTGAGGAGGAGCCTTCGGCGGTGCTCATCGTGTGGTAAAGCTCCGGTCAGAATATAGTTGAGATATAGATGGAAAAAGAAATAAGATATATAAAGATAAGAAGAGAACAGAGATATAAAGGGAAGAAAAGATGAGATAAAAAAAATTTTCGGACGTCGTATTATGTTTGCTGACAGGTCAGCCACGCACATACAATTGACCATTTTCTGCCATAATTCACTATGCGACCAATCGATCTTTTGGAAATATTGTAAAGTGAGTCAATCCTGATCCCAATCAAAAACGCCCAAAAGAAAACGTCCCTTTGCCTTGCGGCGCCCTCGCTGACTGGAATATTAATTTTAATCGTCGCTTTAACTTTATTTTTTATTTATGCGTCCTCATGATTTCATGCATGCACTTGAGATCGAACTCATATAAGCCCAAGCAATCCATCTCAGGCTTGGTGGAAAGAATTACAGGCCTGACATGGCAGTGAAAGAACTGGATCATAAGACTGATAAAGATGATGCCGCAACATTGGAGAAATGGGTTGTCTCTCTAGAGAACTGCAGGAAATCAGTTCTTTTTATTTCGAAAAAGAGCATACATGAAGATTGTATTGAATGCTTGAACTGTTAATGTGACAAACTTTCCTCCAGCTGCTGTAGGCTCACAAATGCTACCAGCGATTGTTCGTGATTACCACATTCAAAACGCATGAGATGGGTGTATTACAGAAACGTTGCCTTGTCTCAAGCGAATATCCTCGATGACATTGTCATAAACCATATTCTTCTTCTTCAAAAGTCTCTGAACAATAACATGTATAGCCAATCGAAAAGCTATGAAAGGAAAAGAGCTTCATTGTCCAGGATCTATACATGCGATATCCAATACTTAGTTCCTCAAGGACACGTTTTCATTCCAAGACAGTAAGTGTCCAATGACCTTTCCTTATTTATCAGTCGATCGAGAAGACATGTCTAAAGGTGCACCTGAATATGGAGGTCGAAGGAGTTTGCATCCTCTGCTTGCATTTAACGCTACTATGTGACCCAAAGCGGCCTTCTTCCTTGTTTCGACTATAGATAGAGGTTCGTTCCGAACGAACATGCCTACGCTAGGCGCGCATAACGTGCCAATGGCATAGCCACACCGAGCACGAGGATCCAAAGACAGCACCGATGGCATTTACTCCGTTATCATCATTGTCCATCATGATAGCCTGTGGGTAAATGCGGTGGTCGACCTTCAGCCAACGGAGTCACTCCGCACAGGAAACATCGACAAAGCACCTGTAACCATCCACGCTAATGTGACACCTTTGCCAATCACGAAAACTTGGCCACGATTGTCTTCAGACAGAATCTTTTGTCATTCACATTCCTAACCGTGTTATGCGTGGCGTCCATACACACAATAGCACAGTTATTCGTCAAAAGCTATACCGAGTTTATTTTATTGGTTTGAAAAGAATAGACTGATCTTAAACTATGATAAAAACATGATGCTCTTCCACTTACCTCGATCTGCCATGTTCTCATAAAGGCCTACATGAAGCACTTACCATCACCGGCATCGTACTTGCAGAAATGACCAGCTTCTTCGATACTCACTTGCCACAAACGCAAGCTCTCATTCACATCATCATGGAGACGCGAGTTCTTCTTCAGAAACCTCTGAATCGCGTGGTACACATGCATGTACCCGGATGGAGACTGGATGAGGGCCTCACCATTCCACACCTTAGTAAGAAATATGATGAGTATGATTATTATCTCGTAATGATATCCATAATATACCTTAGTCAAAGGTGTCACTGTTCAAACGAAGTCATCTCATTGATCCTGGCCCAAGTGAATTGCGTTGGCTTTGTTCCTCAATCCAGTTGGAGAGACGCTCAGAGATGGGGGCCCGTTCTCAAGTCCTCCAGGCTGCCCGGAGTGTGGCCAACGTGTCTCCAATAATAGGTTATCTTGATAAGCCCCCTCTCAGCCTCCAAAGAGGAGACCACGTTCTGGCTTCACATCCACAACGAATGGAAGGCTGCACGCGCCGCTTTTTCGCAGTGGAGTAGTAGCTACCAGCGCGATGACAAGTATATCGCTCGCGAACAAAGAGAGCGCCAGGCAGAGTAAGTCTTTTTTACAAACATACAACAATAGCTACAAGACGTATCAGTTACCTAGACATTGCTCATGAAGGGAACTAACTTACCGCTCTTCTTCCTCCTTGATGAAACGAGCAACATCATCTTGCGGATGGGTCATAACAACAGGGCACTCAACGGCAAAGGGACCGACGTGCTGAACAACAGCAGCAATCATTGATGGCTTGAGGGATGGACATGATTTATGTTACGTAGAAACGGATAGCAGAAAGAGAAAGGGCGATATAGAGAATGCGTACTTGTTTATTACGATTTGTGATGCCTAAATTTAAGCTGGAACGCAAAACTGTGACGTGCAGATATTGATGACGTGCACGGCTCAAATAAGTTTTTCAAGCTTGATGCGGTGTTTTCGGGGGGCGTGCTTCGATTGTGCTTTTCCACAGTCCGCTCAAGCCCTACCAAAAAAGCTAAAAGATAGCCTATGGTTCACACACTACTGTCGTAATATGATTTCTAGCCACAGTAGTCTCTGAGGATAATTTACTCAACGCGTTATCGCCAAAAACATCAAGCATCATCGACATGGTTAAGAGATTTTTCTATAGAAATTTCTTGTGTTGCTGATGAATCTGCATGATCCCCACAAAGAAAAGAAATTAAAAAAAATAGCAGGACCAGCTTGAGTAATATTCACTAATGAATAAATCGGCAGGGCGTCTATCATGTATACACTACGCCCTATGGATGGATCACAATCCCAGTGGACTTCATGACCTGAAATTACGGAAATATTGCTTTTTTTTTCATGATCTACAGCCAAGACAGTCTCAGTCGTCACATAATGTCCGCAGAACAATTAACTGGGCAACCAAGCGCTACAAATGGTCCGGTTCATGTGTAATTGTGATATCTGGGTTGTCTCTTTTCGTGGTTGAGGTGTGTGGTATCGTATGAACAGGTGGATTGGATTGACTCGGATTGGATCGATTCGGATTGGCTGCTCTTGAAGCTCGCTGATAGATAGCCGAGTCCACAATAGTTTTGTAAGAACGAGGGCTATAAGGGTATATACATCCGTCACCGATACCGCCATACAAGGGTACTGAAGAAAGAGTAAGTAATGTGATATCCCAGCAAAAAATGGACCAATGGCTACTTACTGAACCATCCATAGACCTGTTTCCCCATCACAGCCTGCCAATTAGCACGAGGACCAAGATCATAAATGCGTTCTTCAGGGACAAGCGAGATTACTTCAAAATTGCTGCCACTGGCGTCAAAGTCAATACGCACAATCTGCGGCCGCGTAGCTAAACTCTCAATGGTCGTTCTGTTGTAGTAAACATAGTAACCATGCATGACCGCAAATCCCGTTAACATCAATCCAAAAACAGCCGCACTATTCGGTAACATCAGCTCCATTGGATCAACAATGAGACCAAAAAAAAAAGAAAAGATTCGGCACTTACAGAACGACCAGAACAATCCAATGGACATTGAGTTCTACATTCTGTGAGGGGAAAAAAGCGCATGTTGTTAGGAAGGCTTTTCCGATGTGATTATTGCTCGACCCATCGTTTCATGATCCGGCAACAGTGTCATCAGGATCGGTTGAACAGGCGCTTTGCAGTTGATTGGTAGCCTACCTCGACTGTCATGGCTCGTACTGCCACTGGTATGGTAGTCGCTAGCACCCATAATGCATAGATTGCCGTGTAAAGGACAAATAATAAAAAGAATTTATAATTTCCGTGGCCTACACAACCGTTGATCCTATCATTCCATTGGTGAACCATTGTTTGTCCTTTTTTTCACTTTCACGTCACATACCATGGACAATGACTATATCATTTCAATGGAAAGAAACTTGTTATTAGACAATCGCGTACCAAGATCGCACGAAAATCTCAGCCAACTTACTGATCCATTTTCAATATGCATTTGTTGCAGTCTTTGCAATGGTGAGACCGATCGGGCTTCAGACAGTCGCATATATTGCAGTAACGAGGACGACCATTGGGCTGACTCGTCGAAACAGCTGGTGACATAATCGACGTCTTGGACACTAGCGGAACGGCTCGCATTCGGGATAGATCAAACAAACTGGGGGAGAAACAATACCTCGGCAATTGGGAAGGGTCGGATGTGGCAGTATGTTGATTTGATATGGGGCAGGGAGGTAATTCCTATTCGTTGGCAAAATTTATCAGATTAACCTGGTGATTTAGTATTGTTGAATTTGGATTTTACCTTGACTGGACTTCCTGGGCAAGAAAACAGAACGCGAAAGTACGATAAAATACTCAGCAACCAAAAGAAACATCCAAAGACCAGGAACACAACTATCGTTTCGTAAGTCGCGTAATGAAGAAGCATGGGAGCTCAGCTTTTAGAGTACCTAATTGTGGTAATCGATGGGGTTCGTTGTACATGAGGGTGGACACTTAAGGTCATTTAATATTTCTGACAGTGCACAAGAGATGGGCTGGTGATGCACCTACTCACCGCAGACTTCAAACACGTAAGCGTACCAGGTATATACCAAAATAGCGAGAACGATCACCGGTAATGCAAGACCAACAATGGTCATACCCAAACGGGAGGACCACATTTGCAGAGGTGAGCAATGAAAGATCAACCCAAAACAGGCAAAATCAAAACTCTCATATGGAGCAGAAATTCATGCGGAGAGCTCCCCGTTTTCACATGAGAAATCGAGATCCATCACCCTCTTGTTACACAAGGCTCACAACTTTATCTCTGGCATCAGCTTTATTAAACTCGTTGATTATTGTATTATCTGCTGTTCTCCAACGTAAAATTCTTTCTCTGCACGGTCTTGAATAAATTGATTGAGAACCGAAAGGCGATCGCCAAGATTTTAGCGGAAAAAATATTAATTGACTGTTGAAATGCAATTGCCACGATGCAAACAGCTTTCAGCTTGTTGACTTGTCCTGTTTTCCTAGCATTAAGTATGCTGCTGCAGTCCGATATCTCAATCCAATAAAAGGGTGTAGGATTTTAATAGAGCGCAAGACGACTTTATAACGCTTTAAATTAAATGAGTACAATGAAAGAATGAGCTTTATACAGACATTTTCATGTCGATTTTGCCGTGAGGATGGTAATTTTCTAATATGAAATCTTCAAACTTAAAGTCATCAATGGATTCCACTTTACGTGGGATTCGCAAAGTTGGGAAGGGTCTAGGCTCACGCTCCAGTTGTTGCTTCAAAGCGTCAGTGTGATCCACATACACATGCGTATCGCCCATGGTGTGGATAAATTCACCCGGTTCCAAATCTGTCACATGGGCAATCATCCGTGTTAACAACGCGTAAGAAGCAATATTGAATGGGACGCCTAGTCCCATATCGCAAGATCGTTGATATAACACACATGAGAGTCGTGCGCGACCACCGTCCGCTGGAGGGGACGATACGTAGAATTGACAGAAAGCGTGGCACGGAGGAAGGGCCATTTTTGGAATATCTAAACAATTTAATGATACAGTGAGTTACGTGGACTCCCTCACGTCAGTTGGACACCGAAAATCCATACCAACTGGATTCCAGGCCGACAAGATAATGCGGCGATCGGTAGGGTTGTTCTTGATCTGATGAATGACATGCTGAAGCTGATCCACGCCTTGACCTGTATAATCGGTATCGCAGTCAATGTATTCGGCACCAAAGTGACGCCACTGGAACCCATACACTGGACCTAGATCGCCTTCCTTGCGATGACCCAATCCGATCTTGTCGAGATACTCGCGCGATCCATTGCCGTCCCAAATCTTGACGCCTCGATCGCTTAAATGCTTCGAATTGGTGTCACCGCGAACAAACCAAAGCAACTCTTCGACGACCGCGCGATAAAAGACACGTTTCGTTGTCAGCAGTGGGAAGACATCATCTTTGAGAGAGAAGCGTAATTGTGGTGGGGCAAAGATGGCGACGGTGCCTGTTCCTGTTCGGTCGGCACGATGCTCGCCTTCGTCCAGAATACGTTGGATGAGTTGTAAATACTGATATTCTTCGTGAACCTTGGCTTTATCGTTGGTCATGGTTTTTCCGTCGCGATAAAAAGAAAAAGGAAAAAGGGAATAAATGGTCAATGAAGCGCGATTTTTGGTGATTTTTTCACTGTTTGACTGTAGAATTTCTCGCCAAAAGTCAACTCCGATGGTTTAATTTTCACCGTTGTTCCTCTTCACTTCTTTAATATACCAGATCACGACACCCTCTCATGAATAAAGTATTCATCCCACCTTTTCACCTAATGCTATAATACGTCATTATCTAAAGCGCCTTATAGGGCAAGGGCATCTCCACTTTACGATCCTCTTTATTTTCGGATTCCGTGGCAGAAACAGGCCAAGACGAAGACTTCCAATGTGTGTCACTTGATTCACCCAAGTCGATCGATAGTAATATATATACTAATGTCTAGCTAGTTACTTTTACTCCCAACAGACCAAACCGCCATTATGCTTTTGATTCTGTAGGTACGTTGATTTTTTAACTCGGTTCTCTTTAATTGCTTGCTTTTGAGTCTGATCAGGGATCCCACGCTAGGTTCTCAAAAAAGGGCCCGAACACAGAATTCGATGCGTGATCCTCCGATAAAAACAAGTCAAGACACCGAACCGGACCTGATGGAGTATCCCAAAGTAGAGGAAATAGAGGACGAACCGCGTTCTTGGCCGACGTTGGCGACAAAACGACCACCAAATGAACCCGTCCATCGACGTTCCAACGACGCATTGTTGGAAGAAAATAATCGATTAAGGGATCTAGTGAAAGAAGTAAGCCAAGAATTTTTTCATGCGCGCAAATAATTTTGTGAAAAGAGAGCTAATGGCATGTTCGGCAAAAATAGCTGGAAAAGCGGGCAGATGGAGCTGAACAGGCGTTGCAGGAGTTGTCCCAACTAAAATACACACAAACAGACCAATTGTTTGAACGGTATAAAGAAGCTACCGACAAACGATATCAAGGTATGTGACAACATGAATAATCAGACGGTGGTTAAATTAATAATTATCGGATAGAATTGGAGGATATAGCGCAAGGACTCAAACAGTCCAATGAACTGTACGAACAAGACAATCAAGCATTAAGGGCCATTTTGGAGGAGAATCGGAAAGAAATTGTCATGTTAAGATCCAATAGACACGCCATCACATCGCATATCACTACAAAAATTGAAAACGCGCAATCACAAACGATACCAATGGAAACGGCCTCGATCACCAAACAAGCTACAGTAATTAACGATGACCGCGAACAGTTACGAAACAAGATCAAAGAGCTATCATCTTCAGGTAAGGCTTGCTATGAACCACACGCAACCGATCCAAAGTGGTGTATTGAGTTTTTATCACATGTGATAGTTCAATGGCTGGAGAAGGAAAAGGATACCGCGCTGTCAGCCAACAAAGACCTCATGGCGAAACTTGCACAGGCTTCCACAAAGGGGATTGCGGATGAAGATCAGAAAAATCTGAGGCGAATAAAATTCATATATGAAGAGCTGACAGGGCTATTGATCACGGACATCAAAACGACCGAAACCGGGAACCTTTACAACTGTATCCAAATGGGAAGAAATGGAAGTAAGTCAAAAGGCTCAGGGCGCTGGTGGATTTTTTTAAAGGTGAATAACTGACAACGGGGTATTAGCTATTCATTTCAAACTATTCCATCCATCGGCACCGAACGAAGATATGCACTATCAACCTGTGCTTGACCGACGGCGTGATGCCGGTCTTCTATCCTATCTCCCAGAATATCTCACCAGCGAAATTGATTTTAGCAAAGAAAAAGCAAGCTTATTCCTTTGGCGCCTCAACTCCTTCCTGCAATCCTCAGAAAAAGACAAGAAAGTCAATAAATAACCCCATTCTGACTGTCTTTGCAACCTTTGTTTTTTTCCTTGCAAAAGTTCCCAAACGAGGGCTTTTGCATTCAAAAATCGTTGCCGCACTCCGGAAACGCAGTAACACTTTGTTTCAGTCCGGCCCGGACTTTTTACAAAGTTGAAGTATGTGTTAAAACCAACTCTTTTTTGGTAAGTTGTGTCGCTTTGGCGGAGTGGTTAACGCGGTGCCCTGCTAAGGCATTGTCCTTTGGACGCGCAGGTTCGAATCCTGCAGGCGACGCTCTTTTTTGCCCAGTTAAATTAAACTTCAGGCTGGCCAATCAGAGGTGGGTATCACTTATTTTGGATGGACCCTTATTTCATTCGTTGCCAAAACATCACATATGCTCATTTCTCCTTGAAACTGGCATTTTATTATTATTATTGTCAGATTTGTACTCCTTTTGAGTTCAATTTAAATCTGTAGTCTGTTCCTTCTTTATTTCTACCATAACATGGTCATATTTATATTTTCTATCAAGATCATTTTTATGTCTACAATCTTCAGGAAGGTTCTCGTCAACTTCCTGCACAGTTTTCTATTATTCCGAAACATAACCAATCAAGAAGTATTACGGACCACTTTAATGCTGAACGGATTCGGTCTATATTTCTTCCGTTTTCAGGCAATACCTTTGGTATGCCTCGTTCATCCATTGGTCCTTCATACCTTCTCGAAGGTTCCTCCAGACATCGATCTGCGGACGAGCCAATGCGCTGTCTTCCGTATTTGCTAAACTTTGGTATAGCAAATCTAATCGGCGCAAAAGAAGAACCGGCGTAACTGACATTATGATTATTATTATTATTATTATTATTGGATTTGTACAAGAGTGTTTTTGATTATTTGAGTCTGTCTATAGCACATAGCGGTAATCTGGGTGGCGATCACCGGCCAGGTCTACACCGCCATATGCGAAAATTTCTTGCTCCTTGGCTTCGGGGGACAGTTGGTCCCGGCGTTTATTCTCACGGGCAAGAGTAATACGTAAACCGATGACCAATATAGTTTGGGCTACCATGCAAGCAAATGCAATCATACTTCCCGCAAAGTAATGAGGAGGATCTGTGTAATAGTTTGACAGTTTAAGATATAATGTTTCGTTCAGTGTGGATCCTACTTGACTTTTTTGTTGCTCTTACCAAAATAAATCTGCCCACCAATAGCTCCACCAATGGTACCCACAGCAACAATGGCTGCAGAAGCTACGGCTCGTCGTGTCAATCCGCCACTAAATTAGAGAAATGAGTGACACTGCTTCGACCGAAACGAAATAGAGGTTGCTCGACTTACAAATTATTGTTGAACCATGCCACCTTTACAGTGACATTGCTGTAAACGGCCATGGTGACGAGACACGCTCCCGCATAATGGGCTACAACATTGTCATAGGACACAAACATTAAAATCGTAAACCCTGCAAATGACACTAGATTGACGGCAACCAAGTGAAGAGCTCTTTCAAAGAATTTGTCAGAGCTGTAACCGATGGCGATGACAGATACAAAAGCCAGGACATAGGGAGGGGTGGTCAAAGCTTGGGCGACTGGAAGTGACCACTCTCCCATACCAGCAATGATGGAAGGAAGAAACAACGTGACGCCTTGAACCGCGATGGATCCCAGAATGTAAATAGCCATATAGACGTAGGTTTTCCAATCACTAAATACGGAAGCGACCTGTTTCCATGACCATGAATGGTCATTCGCCACACCAGCATCTATAGAAAAGCAGTACACCAGAAAATGTTTATAAAGGATGATCCAGATATAGTCATTGCTCCACTCGGTGCAGGTAGGATCGTACCTTCTGCCAAACGTCGAACAGCAAACTTTCTTTCTTCGTCGGTCAAAAATTTGGCTTCTTCCGGTTTGTTTGGCAAGTACCATGCCGCCAAAACAGACAACAAAACGGAAGGAGCGCCTTCAATGATAAAAAGCCTGATACCCTGTCATTAGACGAACACTCTGATGGATTTTGTTATCATTAACTCACCACTGCCAGGTTGCAACGGTATGCGTGGGAATTTGACTGATACCGTAAGCAATCAAGCCACCAAAGGCACCTGCGAGGGAACCAAAGGACCAAAAAAAGCCTACACGACGTGCGTATTCCTTACGAGTATACCAAAGTGACATGAAATAAATGACACCAGGAAAGAAGCCTATCACATTGCAGACGAAAGCCATTAGAAAGGGGCTGTCTGTATTTCTTCCAACAGCGTCATCTTACCGGCTTCAAAAGTGCCAAGCAAAAACCGGGCAATTGCAAGACCAGTAAAGTTACGGCATGCGGCCATTGCAGTGGCTACTGCACCCCATGCACTATATTTGTAGGGTTACTTAGCGTGGCAACCTGGCTGCATGGCTAGAATTTATACGTACCACATCAGTATACCGAACCAGTAAGATGGACGCCAGCGTCGCATAATAATATTCGACGGCAAGTCGAAAATAACGTACCCAAAGTAGAAGATGGATAAAGACCACTGATATTCCGATTGGGTCAAATCCAAATCTTTCTCCAACCCGCCGAGTTTCGCATTTCCGATGTTCGATCTGAGTATTTATTTCGTTCAGTAACGTCGCTCATGGTTTGAATTGTCCTCACATAACGTACCGATCAAGATAACTTAGTAAATAGAGTAAACACAGCACAGGAAGCAGATGGTAATCAAATTTTCTACAAGCAAAAGAATCGGTTGGTAACGATTACGTTTCCTAGGAAAATTCACCTCGTTGTGCTGCAAGAAGACATCAGTATACCTGACCAATCTACCGGTTAAGCGTGCTTCATTTTGCTTGACATCCTCATGGTCCAGCTGCTGGATTTCAGGAAGCTCTTTTGTGACAGCCTCTAGGCTCAAAGATTCCATGCTTTGAGGCATTGGAAGGGAAGAGAAGAAAAAAAAAGATCAATAAAGAAAACAAGAGATGAGATAACAGGATCCATATATTTATATACTTCATGTCGAATCATGCAAGGAAAAAGGCCGCAGTCTTGATTTAGTAATCTCCAATTGCCATATCTGGAGCAGAACAATAAAATCGATTGAATGACCCCCACATGCCTCAGCACAGTGAGAAGAGCTTCAGCAATGACCACCTGTAATGAATGCTAGTTTCTTGAATTTGTCTCCATTGTTCGAGGCCTAAAACTCCATAAAGGTGCAATATCAGCGGTGGGAACAGCCGAAACCGCTGCTCTCTTCAAGCAGTCTCGTCTTTTACACATGTTCGTTATTACATTTATCCCTAAATAAGCGATAGATCATATTACTGATTTAAATATAATCCGGGATTATCGAGCGGCTCAATCACTGCCTGTTTCAGTTGCTGTCTAAAGAATATGTCCAAATTGAGCATATTGTCTGGCTATGCATCAGCTTGATTCCGACGACATCGCACACCTCACCTTGACACCTTAAAACCACGACCTGCTTTATTATCATTCAAAGAAGAGATCGTTGCAAGAACTGGTAACAATAAAAACTGTTATAACATCTGGCGCCGACAGGTTCTGCCATTTACAAAAGGAAGAGCCATTAAGCCATCAATCTGGAAGTGCGAATGAGTTCATATTATCGAAATCGATACAATATGATAAATCAGAGATATGTTTGTCCACATGTACAAGACAAATGAGCCGAACTGCATATGCACGCGACAGTTTTTCGCTCAGACCACGGAGATAAGCTTTAGAATAAGGTCAAACAGAGAGAAATTTCTACGCACGGGTATTCAGCTGTCGCCAACACTTTCAATGCACAAAATATTCGGACATCTTTTTTCCTTCCTCAATGCGGCATGACTTTAATAAGGTAAAAAATTAAAGATCATAGCTATTATTGCACTTTTGACGATTATACTGCAGTTGGCTCTAGATGAAACAGCTTGAAGAAAACTGAATGTACCGCAGTTTCTGTCATTCATGATGCAGAATCCAAGCATTTCTTGAAATCAGAATAAAAAAACACGACAATATGCATTAATTATTTTACAAACAGCTTGTATCGAATGCGATTGATTTTTTTCTAGGAGATATAGCCCCTAAAGAGAAATTCATAAATGGGGTTGATCCTACAATTATTTTTTTCCTGGATTCAATAATAGGGATAGATTAGACTACTTCTTAGTGATTCCTAGCAAGCGTCCCTTAGACATGCTATAGTAATATATCTGTTGCATCATCTTCTATAGATTAATGTTGTTTACTATATGGTTTGCTGTATTTTGGATTTGAATAGAATCACATGCAGAATATCCGTCCTACGACTCAAAAAATCTTATCAGAAGGAGCCAATAAATTTTCTTTAGCTGGGACATTGCTCGAATTATCAGCTTGCACAAAAGCTCGGCTGACCAGATAAACCTGAAAATTCCTACCTCTGCTTCGTCATGAAAAGTGGTGTTTCCAACAAGAATAATTACAAATCGATCCAGTCTTTTTTCCTTTTTGGCATGGATGTATACATTCGGCATATGCTTATTTCTGTGTCAAAGATAATTCCAAGGACAGAAACTTGTCAGCAGCAAGTACCAGTTAATTAATTTATACCGATTACCTGCAGCTCACTTTGAACGCTTTATGCAGCCAGAACGGGATTTGAACTTCTGGAGTTTCGCCTTGTCTCCATGTAAAAAGGCGTAGCGATCGATTGATTCAATCTGGCTGTCATGGTCTACTGCTAAGACCTTTGCCATTCTACATGCTCTATGAATCCGTATGAATAAAAAGTATGTGAAGTGGCTTGTTTTCATTTCTCTCTTACCGCAGAAAAGATTCCACATCATCCGGCCTGGTTGACAGTCCAGCATACGATATTATGCAGAGCTGAACATTTTTGGTTGTGTGTGTTAGGAATTGCAACATGTCTTGTGCGTTCCCATCACATCCAGTTAAGTTTGCGACTATATTGGCGTTTCGCTTGCTGATGTCGAAATCTCTTTCCATGATGGACTTCGTTGACTGGCTGTTTGGAGAAGCGTATATGCGGGAACAAAAACAACGATTTTGCAGTTTGTTGATCATTAACTGCAATAGCCTTGTGGTGTTTTCGTCGGACTCTTTTGTGACCGATTTTCGCACATATCCCACAGTTATCCAATTTGGGCCACGGTTCTCCAGCTCTTGTCGAAAGGCTGATGTAGTTTCGTTGATTTTGCCTGCTGCACTATCTTTGATTTTATAAAGGTGGCGGCCTTTCACCGGTTTATCATCCAGACGAACGCAAGTTCTGGGTCCAAAGTTGGCATCTGTGATCCATTTACTGAAAGCCGTAAATTTTACAAATTCATGCAACCGAGGCATGTGTGTGGTCAAGTCATCATACATCTGACGTGCGGTGTAAAAGCCGTAATCAAATAGACCCTTCGTTCGAACTTCTTTGAAGTAGAGAGAGTTCAGCATCGTCATGAGGGAAGTTCGGCTATAGTTTTCCGTAGTTTCGGTACTGGAAATGCTCTCGTTATCGTCAATGACGACGTCCTTTTCGCCATTGTCATCGTTACTTTGGGAGTTCATGTCCCCCTCAACATCACTGAGGTTGTTTTCAGTTGTCATGGCCGTTGATATGTTGGTTGTTAATCGTGGGTATTTTAAATAGGTATATGGACGCTTTGCAATTAATGATTTTCCCATTTGCATATGGTTTCAGAGGTCCGTTGTCTCGATCGTAAAACGACATCGACCTTGTACTTGTCGAACTCTTCGCTCGCTTTTCGTTGATTGCTTTCGGTTGGTTCAAGGTCGAGCACAAGACATGCCGCTTTACCATGCGTGATTATATGATTTTTACAAGACATGTCGGCGTCAGCTAGAGTGAGATCAAGGAAGGAAAAAGTTAGAGAGTGTACATACATCGACCGACAGTCGCACGACCATAGTTTCCCACACGTCACATTTTTCGCGTCTCTGATTTAATTGGATGTCACAAGCAAATACGGCATGCGTTCTCTATATCCGTCTTCTCTTTCTGTTTATCCATTCGTAAGTAGGGATGTCCATCTTTCACTCTCAAGCCAACAGTAGTATCATTGCTGCCATTGTTCGGCCCTTAGAGCCCTTTGCCGCAGACTTCCTGCTGTCACCATGCTTCCGCTAGACGAGATTTCTTGCTTCACTAAGGAACAAGAAGATCGGTAAGTTATTTCCTATTAAAGCTGTGTGTGCAGGTAACTGATATTCTTGTAGCTATTATTGTAAGCTTGTAAGAAAGTGCTCCTCTGATTCTGGCGCTCTCTTTGTTCGCCAGCATTGTACCTACCACTCCGCTTCCGCTGCGGAAGCGAAGAAGCGCCGCGTGAAGCCTTCTGTTCGCTGTGCCTGTGAAGCGAGAAATCTGTGTCTTTTCTTTTTCGAGGCTGACAATGTTTTGCGAAGGTAACCTACCATTAGAAACAAGTGCACACACACCGGTCAGCCTGGAGGACTCGAGAACAGGGCGCATATTTGCGCATTTCGAACCGGAATGATGAGCAAGTGCAGCGCAGTTCCCTTGGGAAGATCAACGACATGCTTTGGTTAGGAAGCGACACTTTGCCAAGGTATATTATGAGTAACATTGCTTGATTATAATTATACTCATTATCATTTATCCTGTATTCTTAAACGTGCATAGCAGATTGATAACAGGTGAGGTGGGTGCATCAGCATTGTGAATCGGAGGGTGTTCGTAAGAACACAAAAACATCATCCGCGTATGCAAGGGCTTCGAGGGGACAGAGCGGCTTAGGAACGCTTGTAAGGATGGAGCGTGTTCTGGTTCGATCCCATTGGAAGGTAAAACCGTGAATAATGCTGCATAATAGAGGTCCCATGGCGAGGTTGAAGAGAATGGACGATGCCGTATCTTCTTGTCGAAGCCCCGATGTTGCCGTATGGAAGCTGCTAAATAACCATCGATGTTAAATGAAAACGAAACAGGTTTCTACGTAGCAGCCCCACGGTCCTCCGAAGCACTGTCTTACTTTATTTTCTATTTTGAATAACAACAAACACCCACAGACAACGATCAAACGAGAGGTGTGCTGGTGATTGGACACACCTGAAAAGGAAAAGATATAACTAACCAAGGCCAGCTCTGGATTTCAACGATGACGTTTTGGTACCGTCAAAAACGAGTCAGCTCTTTGGCAAGTTGGATTTGTGGTGTTTGTGAATAAAATAAACGTAGAACCAGAGAAAACCTGAAATCTTCTGAAACTCTGATTTATCGAGAAACAAGAGAAGGGAAAAAAGCGATTATTTCATGTCGAGAATATTTTCCTGAATAAATGCAATCATGACGTTCACCTTCATGTATTCGGATTTGAGTGGAATAAAGCTCAGTGTATCTGAACTGCAATCATTCCAAGGTTTGAGATCAGTATGCGTTTTTCCGTGAACATGCACGTGAAGTGATGAAAGAGGAACAGATGTATGTAAAATGCAGTCAGTGCTAGATTGAAGAATCACCCCGGGAGCCACGAAAAGTGATTCCTAAATCGATTTGATAACTTTATGCTCTAGAATACGGATAATAAGTTGCCAGGCTTTGGCAAATCGAGACCATAGCATGAATTAATAGAAATATTGAGTATAAGTGGGCTGCGATCAAGTACCGTCAAGGAAGCTTGGCCAACATTTACCAATTTGTTCAGAAGCGGGCGATGGTTGTCACGTGTATCCCCTGGAGACAGGTGAAAGAAACACATATGGCCAAATACCTCAGGCATAAACGATATTTCCGGCAGTGAGAATTCTATTGCTGACCGTTTTTAGATAATGAGGTACAAGAAGATCCAAGAGTAGCTGATCATGGTAACCACTAACACAATGATTCAAATACGATTTTGAATTTAGAGGATGAATCACCAATGGGGAATGATGAATCATAACCTTTGCCAATCATAAGGGGCGGAAAAGATTTATCTGACAATCTCTTGCCCATTGTGGGACCGAAAATGAACTTGAGTTCCACATAATGAGGCCCATGAGCAAAGCATACGATACCCTACTGTATAAGTATAAGCAACAAGCGTTAAAGCACATTCCTATTAATTTAATGTGACATTTTTCAAAATATAATAAAACTGTAGCTATGAATTTTCTTTCGATTTAAGAATATTCGTGCTCCATGTTGATGGCTGATGCCTACATTGAATTGTTCGTCGTTCCTAAAACCGAATTTTGGAGCATTTTACAGCTCACATTATTGGGGAATCCAAAAAGTGATCGTTAAATCAAAATATTCTTAAATCGAATATTCCAAAAGCTAAGAGTGACTAAGACCTCATCTTATATTACCGGCCACGACAGACATTAGGCGAGGGCTTGTAGACACCAGCCGGTACTTTGTAGACACCAGCCGGTACTTTGTAGACACCAGCCGGTACTTTGTAGACACCAACCGGATATTTGTGGACACCAGCCAGTAATTTGTGGACACCAGCCAGTAATTCGGAGACACCAAGCGACACTTTGTAGAGACCAGGCAATGGGTGATGGGTACTAGTCGATGGCGTTTGTAGAGACCTGGTGATATATATGTAATCATTACTGGTATTTGACTAAGCAGTATCGGAAAACTGATCATTGAGTAAGCATCATGGGTAACACACTTTATTTTGTCACGAGATTGCCACATTTAAAAATATCCATCTAGTATAAAAGAGGTGCCTTGTATCAAATACCCACTCCTAGTAATTATCCTTTTCCTACTATTCCCACCGACTCTCTCGAGAATAAGAGGAGCCTCAAATATATTATTGATTTACTCGGTTACTGCTAAGCGATTGCTCGATAGACTCCCAAACGCTGCGGTACAACCTTGCAATCTGTTGCATTCACTTCACAATCTGTTGTAGTCACTTCGAGATCTGTTGTAGTCACTTCACAATCTCGCTGCAGTCACTTCGTAATCTAGCTGTAGTCACTTCGAAATCTTTTGTAGTCACTTCACAATCTGTTGTAGTCACTTCGAAATCTTTTGTAGTCACTTCACAATCTGTTGTAGTCACTTCGAAATCTCTGTAGTCACTTCGAAATCGTTGTAGTCACTTCACAAAAAATCTGTTGTAGTCATTTCGAAATCTTTTGTAGTCACTTCGAAATCTGTTGTAGTCACTTCGAAATCTTTTGTAGTCACTTCGAAATCTGTTGTAGTCACTTCGAAATCTGTTGTAGTCACTTCACAATCGTTGTAGTCACTTCGAAATCTGTTGTAGTCACTTCACAAAAAATCTGTTGTAGTCACTTCACAATCTGTTGTAGTCACTTCACAATCTTTTGTAGTCACTTCGAAATCTTTTGTAGTCACTTCGAAATCTGCTGTAGTCACTTCGAAATCTGTTGTAGTCACTTCACAATCTTTTGTAGTCACTTCGAAATCTTTTGTAGTCACTTCGAAATCTGTTGTAGTCACTTCGAAATCTCTGTAGTCACTTCGAAATCTGTTGTAGTCACTTCACAAAAAATCTGTTGTAGTCACTTCGAAATCTTTTGTAGTCACTTCGAAATCTGTTGTAGTCACTTCGAAATCTGTTGTAGTCACTTCGAAATCTTTTGTAGTCACTTCGAAATCTTTTGTAGTCACTTCGAAATCTGTTGTAGTCACTTCACAATCGTTGTAGTCACTTCGAAATCTGTTGTAGTCACTTCACAAAAAATCTGTTGTAGTCACTTCACAATCTGTTGTAGTCACTTCACAATCTTTTGTAGTCACTTCGAAATCTGTTGTAGTCACTTCACAATCTGTTGTAGTCACTTCGAAATCTGTTGTAGTCACTTCGAAATCTGTTGTAGTCACTTCACAATCTTTTGTAGTCACTTCGAAATCTTTTGTAGTCACTTCGAAATCTCTGTAGTCACTTCGAAATCTGTTGTAGTCACTTCACAAAAAATCTGTTGTAGTCATTTCGAAATCTTTTGTAGTCACTTCGAAATCTGTTGTAGTCACTTCGAAATCTTTTGTAGTCACTTCGAAATCTCTGTAGTCACTTCGAAATCTGTTGTAGTCACTTCACAAAAAATCTTTTGTAGTCACTTCGAAATCTTTTGTAGTCACTTCGAAATCTGTTGTAGTCACTTCGAAATCTGTTGTAGTCACTTCGAAATCTTTTGTAGTCACTTCGAAATCTGTTGTAGTCACTTCGAAATCTGTTGTAGTCACTTCACAATCTTTTGTAGTCACTTCGAAATCTGTTGTAGCCACTTCACAATCTGTTGTAGTCACTTCGAAAGAAATCTTTTGTAGTCACTTCGAAATCTGTTGTAGTCACTTCACAAGCTCGCTGTAGTCACTTCGTAATCTAGCTGTAGTCACTTCACAATCTGTTGTAGTCACTTCACAATCTGTTGTAGTCACTTCGAAATCTGTTGTAGTCACTTCGAAATCTGTTGTAGTCACTTCGAAATCTGTTGTAGTCACTTCACAATCTTTTGTAGTCACTTCGAAATCTTTTGTAGTCACTTCGAAATCTGTTGTAGTCACTTCGAAATCTCTGTAGTCACTTCGAAATCTGTTGTAGTCACTTCACAAAAAATCTGTTGTAGTCACTTCGAAATCTTTTGTAGTCACTTCGAAATCTGTTGTAGTCACTTCGAAATCTGTTGTAGTCACTTCGAAATCTTTTGTAGTCACTTCGAAATCTTTTGTAGTCACTTCGAAATCTGTTGTAGCCACTTCACAATCTGTTGTAGTCACTTCGAAAGAAATCTTTTGTAGTCACTTCGAAATCTGTTGTAGTCACTTCACAAGCTCGCTGTAGTCACTTCGTAATCTAGCTGTAGTCACTTCACAATCTGTTGTAGTCACTTCACAATCTGTTGTAGTCACTTCGAAATCTGTTGTAGTCACTTCGAAATCTGGTGTAGTCACTTCACAATCTTTTGTAGTCACTTCGAAATCTTTTGTAGTCACTTCGAAATCTGTTGTAGTCACTTCGAAATCTCTGTAGTCACTTCGAAATCTGTTGTAGTCACTTCACAAAAAATCTGTTGTAGTCACTTCGAAATCTTTTGTAGTCACTTCGAAATCTGTTGTAGTCACTTCGAAATCTGTTGTAGTCACTTCACAAAAAATCTGTTGTAGTCACTTCACAATCGTTGTAGTCACTTCGAAATCTGTTGTAGTCACTTCACAAAAAATCTGTTGTAGTCACTTCACAATCTTTTGTAGTCACTTCGAAATCTGTTGTAGTCACTTCGAAATCTGTTGTAGTCACTTCGAAATCTTTTGTAGTCACTTCGAAATCTTTTGTAGTCACTTCGAAATCTGTTGTAGTCACTTCACAATCGTTGTAGTCACTTCGAAATCTGTTGTAGTCACTTCACAAAAAATCTGTTGTAGTCACTTCACAATCTGTTGTAGTCACTTCACAATCTTTTGTAGTCACTTCGAAATCTTTTGTAGTCACTTCGAAATCTTTTGTAGTCACTTCGAAATCTGTTGTAGTCACTTCGAAATCTTTTGTAGTCACTTCGAAATCTTTTGTAGTCACTTCACAATTTGTTGTAGTCACTTCGAAATCTGTTGTAGTCACTTCACAAAAAATCTGTTGTAGTCATTTCGAAATCTTTTGTAGTCACTTCGAAATCTGTTGTAGTCACTTCGAAATCTGTTGTAGTCACTTCGAAATCTGTTGTAGTCACTTCGAAATCTTTTGTAGTCACTTCGAAATCGTTGTAGTCACTTCGAAATCGTTGTAGTCACTTCGAAATCGTTGTAGTCACTTCGAAATCGTTGTAGTCACTTCGAAATCTGTTGTAGTCACTTCGAAATCTTTTGTAGTCACTTCACAATCTGTTGTAGTCACTTCACAATCGTTGTAGTCACTTCGAAATCTGTTGTAGTCACTTCACAAAAAATCTGTTGTAGTCACTTCACAATCTGTTGTAGTCACTTCACAATCTTTTGTAGTCACTTCGAAATCTTTTGTAGTCACTTCACAATCTGTTGTAGTCACTTCACAATCGTTGTAGTCACTTCGAAATCTTTTGTAGTCACTTCACAATCTGTTGTAGTCACTTCGAAATCTTTTGTAGTCACTTCGAAATCTGTTGTAGTCACTTCGAAATCTGTTGTAGTCACTTCACAATCTCGCTGTAGTCACTTCGTAATCTAGCTGTAGTCACTTCGGAATCCGTTCTAGTCCCTTAGCAATCTGTTGTAATCAATTTTGTGCGATGGATGTTCTCAGTTTCGGTATGTGTAATGACAATAAGTCAAACATATCATTTTCGCATTAGTGGATCTGCTGTAAGGTCAGCGTCAATTTGAATTTGTATCAAAAATGTTCTTTTATCATGTGTCGGCGTGCGTTATGAAATGTTTACAAAAAGAAAAGAGAAGAAGAGAAAGAAAAAACATTAAAAAAAAAGAAAAAAAAATTGATCGCATGGTTATGTTATGAGGGTGGATGCGGGTTGGCAAGGAAGAGCTTTTTTTCTTGTTGTTTTGTTGGATATCTATACATCCATTAAAGTCTTCCTTGCAAGATATATTCAATGTTCGTGTTGATAAATTCTTTCTTGGGAGTCATATCACATCCAAAGAAAGCGCTCAGTTGTTCTCGAACTATAAAATAAAATCCAAGTGAGTTAAAATGATCATAGTCATAAATATAAGAGGAATATTTACCTTGTTTTTTGGTGATGCTCATCAAATTGGCTGTTGCCAAAATATTTTTGATTTCGAGAAGGATTTCTTCATCGGTAGGGAAGCCGGGGGTGGACATGGGCTGCATGACCGCACTCTGCTGCATCACCGACCCTGCGTAACCTCCCATAGGGCTTCGTGAACGGCCGGTCATGGACATGTTGGTATCGCGATAATAATCATAGTCGCCCATCTGACTGCCTCCACCGTACATACTTCGCATGTCGTAAATAACCGAGTTATTGCCGCCACGCGAATTATGCGATCGATAACTGTGATAGCTGTTACCCGTGACCCCGGTTTCGCGTGAACCGGTCGATCCCATTTCCCATAATTCTTGCTCGTAAACGCTCCATTTCTTGAGTGGGATCATCTTTTCGTCAAACTTTTCATCGTCGGCCACAATAATCTTCTTTTGCTTGTTATCACCCACGACCACACGTGTGTTACCCCACGAGAAATCGTCAAAGTGCCAGAAGGAATACACCGGTAAAAAGAAGGAAAAGACAGGAATCGCCAGAATGTAAAAGATCATCCATCCAATGTGCTGCCATTGACGTTTCAGAATGAACAGTAACGCTTGCAAACCGTATACACCCGCTAACATGGCCAGAGCCAAAATAGGCATCGGACCGGTGCCGGAGGCAATGACATAGATCAAGTAGATCAAGTAAACCACGGTGACAGGGAGAGTCAAGGTACCGACCAAATCGACCAAGACAACAAAACGCATGGAGAAACAGCAGAAACCACAGAGATCAGGCAACAAAACGACTTCGAACAAATTGTGAATCGTAGAGTTAATCCAACGACGACGTTGCGACAGTAAGACCTTCCATTTATCGGGAGCCACCGTAGCACATTGAGCGTGAGCGGTAAACTTCATCTTGTACTGAGGGAAATGTTTCATCATGAGCGTCGTCAAGTATCGATCTTCACCCAAATGAAGCAAATTCTTCTTGTGCAATGTGTCGACATGGTTGTCCGAATAATCGGCAATCACCTTGGGAGAGATGATCAAAGGTTCGTTCTTGACGGGGGTGCGAATGCGATACATACAGAAACAACCAGGCAAACAAGTGACGGATCCAAACAGTGATTCGAAAGCCTTGGCCAAATGATGAGAAATGTAGTATTCGTAGACCTGAATCATGGTCGTCCAGGATCGATCTTCGTTGGATAATTTGGTTTCACCGCACAGACCAATGATGCGACCGTCGTGAAGCATGCATGAAATCATATGATTCAATGCATTGGGCATGACCTCGGTATCGGAGTCGACCATGAGAATGTATTCGTAGAACGATGGGTTGACACCAATCACATTCTTGATTTGATGGTACATTTCCAGTTCCAAAGGCGTCATTTCGCTGTCAAAGTGGACCTTGTTCAAGAAATTCATGCAAATCATCTGCGAATCACGCTTGCCACGATTGCCGGGTTTAGCACGTTCCGAGGCCTTGCCGACCTTGGCAATAACAACATACGGGACAACGTGACCTTCACATTCATAAAGACCAGAGTATACCTTGCCATAGTTCAATTGCTTGCTACCTTCACCGATGGATTTGAACATGAGAGGCTCGGGATCGTTCTTCGTATCGTAACCAAGGACGTCGAGCACAATACGCGGAGTAGGTCTGTCATTACCACTACCCATAATCATACCGTCGGCAATGATAAAGAGCAGTTTACGCTTGTCATCGTAGTTCATCACCGTCAATGAGTCAATGGTCTTTTTCAACGATTCTTCGTCTTCGGTGTAACAGGGCACTTGACAGATGACGAACTTGTCGTGATCTTCGGGGGTTGGAGCACCGCCAAATTGCAAGGCCGCCAAGAACTTGACCACGATGACCAAACACATCAGAACAGCAAACGCTAACAACAGGTAATTGGTAAATTCACAACGGGGGGTCTTGCGAACATCCACGTCGCCGATGTAGAAAAAGTTATCCAAGCAGTTCATGTTGGCGGCTTGTTCTTCAGGACTCATCGAGCCTTTGTATTTGTCCCAGGTTTCCGTAGCATCGGTACCACTGAACTTGCTAAAGATTTCTTCCACGGTCGGTGACAGGTAATGGTATTCGTTGCCAGTGGATCCGGAATCGTGGATTTTCGCGGTTGACATGTAATCGGTGATATCATACACTCTGCCGTTGATAGCCAGGGCCAAACGTCCCCACCCTTCAAAGTCGGACCGTAAGAGATCGACAGGATGCACCAGGGTTCCCTTCTTGTACAGATTCATGGTGGGTAAGAAGTAATTGGTGTACCAATCAGGGTTTTTCATCTTCTCCAAAGTGGGGATCTCAAGCTGATCACCGGACCAATGAGTGAATGTGCCTGCAGCCGAATAGGTGGTATTGGGAGTCACTCGAATGAGAGGGTTGTTGACAAGGCCTGCACAGGCGACAGTGAGAGGTGGCGGGATGACGCTGGAAACGTCGAAACCAGCCAAAGGCTCCATGGTATCGGTATTGGCAGGATAAGCGTTTGTACCGTGTTTGCTTCGAGCGAAATCGGTGACATCGTAGACAACACCGCGGACACTCATGTACATATCGTTGGCCAAGTTGTGACTCTTTACATTTTCCGTGGAATACATGGTGCGAGTACCAGGACAGATGACTTCACCGAGACCGACGATACAAAAGATGACGATGATGGAGAAGAAGAAAATCAAAATACACAGCGTCACCTTTTCACGCCAGGCCATTTGAACATCCTCACGTTTCATTTTGCCGATCCATCGTAACAAAGGCGACGGGATCCACCAAGTCATCAACCAAACGAAGCGTACCCACCACACACGCAGAGCGGTAATTGGCACTTCTTCAATGTTTTCAATCTGGGGTGAATGGTAATCTTCAATCATTTTGCTCATATCCATGTTGGGACCAAAGCTGAAAAAAAAGACGGCAGTTGAGTACATTGTTACAACCTGGCATAAAAAAAAAAGAAAACTTGCTTACCCTTCGGCAAGACCTTTGATACCCCATTCGGATTCGTCACCCCACTGACTGCCTTCCATGCCTCGTTTCAAGCCATCCTCGCTGCCGTAGTAACTTGCACCATCTTCAAAGACTGAGGATCGAGCCATCACGGCGCCACCAGCCATGGCAGCGCCACCAGCCATGTAGCCTGCAGGAGGTAGAAGCATATCGTTACTGTCGTGGTAATAACCTGCTCCCATGCGCTGTTCTTCGTGAGGCATATCGCTCGCTCCATCTTGATGCATGGACGCATCCATGGCCTTGTTACGCATACGTTCTTCCTTTTCGGCTGCACGTAGGCCGTCTTCAAGTTCTTTCCAAACTTCATACGACAGCCAGATCATGGTATGGCCCAGACATGCCTGGGCTTCGGTCCAGTTCATGATGGTAGCAATCACTTGCACTTGCTCCGCTTCTGTTTTGGAGTGATCAACTTGGAGCGAGGTAGCCAAACTATCGTACCGTGCCAAAAATTCGCCATACGTGTAGTAATTCGCATACTCTCGGGAACAACGCAAGGTCAGATCGGGAAGCAAAAATGCGCGAATCTGCGACTTGACTCGTTTGAAATCAAACATATCAGGCATCTGAGTGTCGTTGGGACGGATGTGAATGACATTGTAAATGCGGGTATCAGACATGGTAATGGATAGATCACGCAGGGTCATAAACAATTGATCCATGACGGTGGTGACTTGCATGTTTTCATAGGCTTCCTCGGCTTCCCGGATCATGCGTTGTTTCTGAAGTTCCTCGGCTTCCAGTTCGCCGTTTTCGGGAATTGGATTATTGTTGAGGGAATTCTCGGGCATTGGACGACGTTTGTTGGGACGCTTCATAGACGGGGCACGGGTAGGCTTACTTGTCAACTGAGCTTTGACAATGGTACGATCGTCTTTGGGATGGGATTCAGTAGCCATGGCGGTACTTTGGAACAGGGTGGAAACAAAAGTATTGGAGCTATTCTCGCGCAACAAATTGACGAAATCCGGCGACAGCGCATCCAAATTGCGATCCAAGAAATGCTCCACTGTGTAATGAACTGTTCCAGAAAAGTGATTGATACCGAAAGCAAAGGCGTAAGACGACTTTGAGAAGGATGAGTGACCGTTGTACTGTTTTTGGACGTTGGCGAGAAAGTTGGCATCGGTAGCATCGCTTGCACCCGTTTGATACTTTGCACAGTCGCGATCGAGCACACCCACCACACCGGAAAGACCGAGAGCAGCGGATTTGCTCACTTTTCGTTCTTGATTTTCCTTTGTTTTGCCCACCAAGAGTTCGATGCAACCGGAATTGTCCATGGTGATCACCTGAGGTAAGGGCACACCGTCGCGGACCATGACCGCGTTCAGACCTTCCTGATCGCTGAAACGCTGATTGATAAGGAACTGGTGGATGCGTTCATTGGCAAAATTGGCACAAAATTCTTCGAAACCGTTTACTTTGAAGTTTTGGAAGCCAAACTGGTCAAGAATACCGATAAAGTTGGCGGGTTCACCATCGCTGAAACAGATCTTTGTGTTGATCGATTCGACGATCCACAGGAACAAGACTTGATAGAGAGCGCGGGCCAAAGAATCTCGTTGCTCCATAGCCCCCTGGGGGTTCAAAAAGATGGTGCACAGTTCCTTGCGAATGAGACGCAGACGGTAAGTGAGCGACTGCTCGAGCTTGGTAGGAGAGACACCGAGCATGACGGAAACGATATCGAGAACGTCACTGTTCTTCACACAGCATGCTTCCTGGGTACTGTTGCCGGTTTCATTGTTGCCAATAAATTGGAGATTACCAAGGTGCAGAATGGCGGCCAAGAGTTGGAAGATCTGAGTGACTGTTTTCGCTTTGAAACCACATGCTTTGAGTGCGCTCTTGAGATCACCAAAAGCGATTTCATCGTTCATGTCCGGAACCTGGATACATTTGGATTGATTGAGATAGAAAAAGTAATCTGGAGTAAAGTTGATATGCAAGGCGTTCTTCTCATCCACGGTGGTACCAGCCAACAAGGAGTAGAAAACATGGAAAGAGCGTTCGTTGGGCGGAACGGCGGTGACTCGCGATTTATCAAAAGCGTAGGTCAATGCCTTGACACCAAGAATGCGACCTCGTTCGCTGAACTGGACCTCTTGAAAGATACCAAATTTGGAGGCGGATCTATTTTGAGTGGTACGAGCGTGACCGAAAGCTTCGAGAACAACGAATGCGTTGCGAATTTGTTGCTGAAGTTTGGCCTCCTTTTTGCTGTGGGTGGAGAGCAGCAGGAGTGTCTCGAGAAGATGTGTTCGTGTCGTACTTTTACCCGAGCCCGTGATACCACTGCATGTCAAAAAATGAAAGGGAGAAAAAAAGAACAGATTCGGTCAGTGCCAGGTAGAGAGGATGATCGAGGCCATCTTGGGTAAGAAAAAAAAAAAAAGAAGACACCGAAACGCCCAAAGGTGTCATCTTCAATATGGATGTAGACCCTGACATACTATCCTTTTTAAACCGCTCTTTCTTTTTTTACCTCCTCGAACTTTTTGCGAGGATATCGAGAGCTAGTTTTTTTTTCTTTCCCCTCTCTTTTTCTCTCACTCTCTCACTCTATTTCCCTGGGCGTTATCTGTCTCCTCGGCCAAATGATCCATAATTTCTCGGTTGTTTTTTTTTTTTGTTTTGTTTTGAGACCATACCTTAATACAATGCTTTGATCTTCACCTGTCCTTCGCATGTGGAAATATATTCTTGTAGCAAGATCATATGTATGGGGCTGCATGAATTGCTTATATTCGGAGACGTCACGGTAACCAGCGTCCGCGTAGGATTGAAGCGTTGCATCGTTAAGAATTTCTAGTGGCTGATAGGGGTTGACGACGACGAGATTGGAATGACCAGCCGAGGTATATGGTTGATTCCGCTTGTATCTGCTTTGAAGCAGATTGGCGATACTGTCCTCGGTGGGAGGCTGCGTTGCCGAGGTAAGGAGACAGCCCAAGTCTGTACGTGAATCACTTTGCATAATGAAGAGTAAAAAGAGACTTGGTGATGTGTTGATAGGCTGGTGAACGGGTCACCCAAAGAAAAAGATTGACAGAAGTTAAAAGATCAGGGAAAAAAAAAAAGAAAGAATAAATAATAAATATGAAAAACTAAGCCCGGGACGGGAGATGAAGGACACCAGCAAGAGCAAGTTGTTTGTGACAATTGCTAAAGAACTATGGTGTCGGATGATGAAGGATGATGAGGGGCAAGCTTTTGAAAGGGGCCTTTTTTTTGGCTGATGTTAAAGAAGAGAGAAAGAAAATCGGGATTCGCAATAAGGAATTGTTATTTTTTTTTTTCTTCCTCGTCTTCACTGTGGAACCTGAATAACTGTAACTATTTTTAAATCCCCTTTTCTTTTCGTCAAGCTCTTTGAGAGGCTTCCCAATTTTAGGCTACCGTTTTAAAAATAAATTCCGCCAATTTTCATTGCATTAAGTCAAACTACAAACCATCCTACTCGGGGACGTGTTAACAGTGTTACTTTTGTTCATTGTGTATAGCATATGGATACGGTTGTTAAGTAGGCAAACACGCCAAAAAAGACACAGAGCTTCGACCGAGGATATTCTGGGACCACGCATTCCTTTTTGGGAATGTTTCATTGTTACCAATCAGATGGTGGATTGACACGTCTTTTTGCAGGGCAAAAAAATTTGGGTCGGTGTTTGGATGGCAACACGATCACCACATCAAAATGTACGGAACCGTGTTCCCTCATTTGTGCTTAATTTGCACAAAACGTCGGTCCGCCATTTTTACATGTTTTTCGAAGCCTCCAGCCGGCATTTTTAGATGCTTTTTGAAAAAAACATAATCATTGGATCAAATTCATACGAGTTTCTGCAACACGCATGCCATGGATCTTCATCTGTTCTTTTCCCCATGACTACTGTTTTGTGGAGTTCACAAGACCTCGCAATAACATGGCGTCAACTGTCGGTATAACATCATTTTTTGGTACGTTGTTGTAACACGTCAGTCATTTATAGTTTGGCAATTTTTGAACCTTTCAAAAAAACAAGCGCACAGAAAAAAAGGGTATATCATAGTTTTAGCACGTTTAAATTTCGATATCAGCAAGAACGGTTTGGGCCTCTTTCAATTCCTCGGTGTCAGCATAAGCAGGATCCTGAACCTTGTCTTGCAAATCTTCATAAGCTTTAGCCAGTCGCTTCTTCACGTCAGGAATCATGCATAAAGTCTCCTCCAGCACTTCTTTCTATAGATGACAGGGTCAATTCTCGCCAACTTTTTTTCTTTCTTTCTTTCTTCATTCCACCCCCCCCCTATTTATTTCTCGTTTTGTGGATCTTTCTTGCCCGTCCCACTTGCCTGCTTTCGAACATCCGCTTCATCGGCCCCGTTGGCAATGAGCTTATCGATACGCTTCTGCTGATCTTGGGCTTCTTTGCCGTAAGCGATCTGTTCTTTGAAGAGTCTGTTGGGGAAAAGTGTGAGTTGACAGCGAACCATGTCAGCTCATCAAGACGTGTATTTACCGTTTAACGACGTTGGTTTTGATCTTGAGTTCGCGTACAGTCATTATGCAAGTGGTAAAAATCAAGAATCAGTTGTAAAGAAAAAAAGCAGGAGAAAGCAAAGAACCGTGCAGCTTTTTTTGCTCGAGACACGCATTTGGCTTGTTTTCAAAGAACGGAGTATCAATTTTTATTTTTATTTTACACAATCTTACAGCATGGAAGTCTTTTCTTTGGGTGGAATTCGATCCAAATCACCTTCTGTAAACTCGGTATTCATCGCTTTGATCCAGTCAATCTCGATGTCAAATGGTCCCTCTTGTCGATCCATTAAAGATATACCGACAGTTTTCACTTTTTCTCGAAACATCTCCACTTGTTGCTCTTGTATCATGCCATTATTCGTCAATATGAAATCTCGGAAAGGAATCTGATTGTGGAAAAATGTTAGCATTTGAGTTGATATGCAGCATCAATTTTTTATCTAGTGCAGTTCGTTCAAATACCAGATGTGTACGTACCATGACTGTTTCCCAGTCACCGGGTGTTCGTAAAAATAATCGATGCTGATACAGATCGGTCTGAATGACTCCGTCGGTTTGGATATTAACAAAGTATCGTCGGCGATCTCCACGCACACGCAAGGCCAAGTATCGAAAAATGCTGGTATCCCAACAAGGCGTGCCAAACATGGACGATGGTTGGGCTTTGGTGCGAATAGCAGCATAGCCGCTTTGTTGAATCTCGCGATTGGCAGGTAACTCGAGGGAAATGTGGCCGTGAAAGCGACCTGTGTTCTGCGGCGTCACGTCTAAATGAGCTTCTGAAAATCCACCAATGTCTTTATCGCAGCCAATGGCCCAGAGGTCGAGATCCTGCAAAGTATTTAAGGATGCCATGGGCAGTTCTCTTTGCCATCCCTGGAGACCCTCCATGCGAAGCGCTGTGCCAAAAGATATCGGTCAGTATCGTTTGGTATTCGCATCCGCTGTGCGAGTAATTACCTTTGGCGGTGGATTCGGCAGCCACACCTGCTGTTCGACGCAGAAATGAGAACATGGTGTATAGGAGTATGTGGTTGAACAAAGAAAATACCGAGTGCTTTACATTGCACAGCGATCGAATTGAAAAAAACCCCGTCACAGGTGAAATTTGGCACTCCCTTCATTCTGACCTGCTGCGGATCACGATTCCCGAATTTCCCTTGTTCACTTGAACGCAAGAAATATTATCGATCGACAACAAGTATAGTTGAGGCTGAAGATACAGTGTGATGTAGAGGAAAAAATGTAAAATCCTGAAGATGGCCCTTGCTGCGACGATATAGCTCGTTCTTTTTGAGCATTGAAAACCAAAGAAGTGTATGCAACAAAATGCGGTTAACACGTATGATGACTGTCAAAATCAGGTGTGATGGAACACTAAAAAGCATATCGCGGAATGTCTCCTGCTGTGAAAGATAATGATATTTGCATTTTCTATTGTTGAATATGCATCAATAACAATTCAAGATGATGTTTATCCAATTTTTGTGCAAGGATGCCTTTTTTTTTTAAAAAAATAAAATAAAAATAAAATAACACAATCAAAATGCACATGCATCATTAGCAAGCGATACAGAATGAAAATAAACAAAAACAGAGTATAATGTTATCAAATAGGAAACAGCTGATCTGTTTTCCGCCTTTTTTTTTTCTGCTGCCGCTTTGGAAGGGTGGCGTGCTTTGCTCAGCGACTCGAACTGAATCCTGTGACAGCGATTCAAAGCATCTTTCATCGCGCCTTCTTCTTTTTCTTTTTGTTAAATGACCAACGATACATTTCCGTCTACGAATGGCTTCGACGATGAGGAACCACACTTTTCAGAACCTACGGCGCCGCTTTCGGCCTATGTCGATTACACACCTCGAAGGACATTCACCTTCAGGCACCCCGATCCCATTCTGGAAGCTCATCCCAATGATCTAACTCTGTCGCGTCAAAGTCGCGCTTATTACTTTCACCAATTGGCTATGCAAGAACATATGCATGCCACTTCCCCGGATCGTCATCCCAGCGATCTTGCTTCTCAAAGTTATATGGACTCGCCATTTGTTCGCAGAGATTTAGGCGTCAGCAGTGATATTGCCATCTTTGATAAAAACGAGTCCGAACTTACCAGTAAGCTCAAAGAACGGTCGATGCTGGAAAATAGGTGAGTAAAGAAACAATCCACTGAATAAAGAGAGAATGGCTCAGATAGTTGGTTAGGTCCAAAGAGTGGACGGTCGCAGATTTCGATGTGGGTGAACATCTCGGTACAGGCAAATTTGGTACAGTCTACGTCGCTCGCGAGAAAAAGAGCCAGCATATTGTGGCTCTCAAGATATTGAAAAAGGAAGAGATTGAAAAAGCCAAAGTGATCCGCTTTGTGAAGCGCGAAATCGAAATCCAGTCGCATTTAAAGTCGGTTTGATTCTCGTGTTTTTATGGTAATTGGCACATACTCATCTTCTTTGTTTTCGCAGTCATCCAAACATATTGAGACTCTACGGTTACTTTCACGATAGAGACCATGTATATATTGTACTCGAATACGCAGCTGAAGGTGAATTATATACCAAATTACAAAAGCGCGGGCGCTTCACAGAACCTACAGCAGCAAAAGTAGGTTTCCTCTTTTTTTTTTTTGTACTACGGTTAATAAGCTTACCATTCAATCTAACTATGCAATTATTAGTATATAGCACAAATTACCAATGCATTGCGATATCTCCACAGTCTCGGTGTAATTCACAGAGATCTCAAACCCGAAAATGGTATGTATCCAATTATCCTTGTTGGAAGAGGTCGCCGTTTATTGACGGCTTAACCAATGTGTAGTCTTGATCGGTCGAGACGGGCAAGTGAAATTAGCGGACTATGGATGGTCCGTTCATGATCCAGCGCCTCGTCGACGTACATTTTGTGGCACATTGGACTATTTACCGCCGGAGATGATTGAGAATAAGCTTCACACCGAAAAAGTCGATGTATGGGCACTCGGTGTTTTGTGCTACGAACTCCTCGTGGGATCTCCTCCATTTGAGGATTTGGCCGGTTATGTCGAAACCTATAACCGTATTATTCGAGCTTCTTACACGCTGCCGGACGACCTGAGTTTGATGGCGAAAAACTTTATTGCAAAGGTACATCATCCCCCCACAAGTATATCGCCATGCTGCCATAAGAAAAACTTACGTCTTCCTCCCTTCTCTCCCTCCCCTTATTTTTTCCTTTAGTTACTGCAAAGCAACCCAAGTAAGCGACCGTCATTGGCAGAAATCGAAGACCATGCGTGGATCAAGAGATATACCCATCGTGATGGAAAAGCATAGTAAAGAAATCTTTAGCTTTGATTCCATGCAAAAACGTGAATTCAGAATACAACAAAATTTAGAAAGCAAGAATAGAAAAAAAGGAAACAACCGAGGAAAAGAAAAAGACTAACAGATAGGTGACATGGGACAAAGGAAAAGCGCGTACATGTTGTTATTTACATTTACATGATGATTTGTGGTTCGGTAATATTGGAAGAAATGCCTTTGTGAGGAAGAATCGATCCACCGTTAACATAGATCTCGTCATTGATGGTCACATCGTCACCGAGAACGCTGCATCCTTCCAATCGTGACCAACGACCGACCGACGAATGCCAACCGACAATGCTGGAATGCACCCAGGCGTAATCCTTGATCTTGGCTCCTTCCAGAATGACACATCGTTGCAAACGTACACCATCACCAATAACCACATTGGGACCAATCACGACATTGGGACCAATGCGGCAATCTTTGCCGACTTTAGCAGTAGGATGCACCATCACGTTGCCCTTGTATACGTAATCCATATTGGGATTGGCGAGTTGCTGAGGTTGCTTTTTCGCCAAATGAGACAGATAAAGGCATGTGCCTGTTAAGAAATCCTTTGGCTGACCGACGTCCATCCAAAAACCGTCCAAATCAAATGTGTGCAATTGACCATCCTGAGCAATGTAGGGGAACACTTCCTTTTCGATCGAAGTAGGCTTCAACTGTTGAATGAAAGAAACACCAAAACCGTATAAGTTTTCCACACAAAAAGCTCGGCTTCTTTCGCAATATTTACCTCGATGCGGTCCAACACCGTGGGATTTAAGATATAGAGACCAGCATTGATCTTGTTGCTGATGAAAATCTTGGGCTTTTCAACAAAACGTTCTATCCGACTTGAATCACGCTGATTGACAATCACACCATATTTGGAAGGATCGTCGACTTTCGTCACCTAAGGAAACACACGTCCACAATGTATAAGATATGTGATGTCTCAAAAAACAATCTTTACGCCCTGAAACAATGCGAGCCATCATTCCCTAGGCGAATGACACCGTATTGATATTCAACACTTACCACAATCGTGCCTTCATTTCCATGCGAAAGGTGAAAATCTCGGAGTTGTTCAAAAGGGTAATCGCAAATGACATCACTGTTTAAGACAAAAAACGGACTCTCATCTTTTCCCAGAATGTCACGAGCAAGAGCCAATGGACCCGCCGTGCCTAGAGGTTCCGTCTCGACAGAAAACGTGATTTTGACATTGTATTCCTTTTCATATTCCTTCAATGCCGCCACCATAATTTCAGGACGATAATTGACAGCCAACACGATATCTGTCACACCCGCCTATGTCAAACCAACAAAAATGGAAAATAAGAAAAGAAAAAGTGGCCCAAGAATTTTTAGTCTTTCAGCCGTGAACCCAGAAATTGATCGACCTCAATTGACGATGAACAATACCTTGGCCAATGCTTCAATCTGATGAAGAATCATGGGACGATTGGCGAACTCCACCAAAGGTTTGGGCAGAGTGAGCGTTAAGGGTCTGAGGCGGGTACCGAAACCTGCAAAGAACAGATGACCGTTTTTAAGGTCCATTGCCACGGTCAGTCACTTGAACACTAACATCCGGTAAATTCACAAAACGTACCTCCAACAAGAATAAGGGCTTTCATAGTGTGTCAATGTAGAACGGGAAGAGGTGGGTCGAGATGAAGGAAAGGAAAAAGAAGGATAAAAATAAAATAAAACTGCGATGGAAACAAAAACGCAATTTCCCAGCTGTTGCACACACCATGCCCAATTGAGTAGGATTGATTCGCAGACAGCCAATAGGAATCGTTTACGGCATCATCCCTGTGCCTTTCTCCCTGTGATGAAATTTTTTTTTTTGTTGCAGATCCCTTTCCATACATCATCATCCAGTGACTGTTCAACACGGCGCTACACTTTTTTGTACCATGACCACACGAGGTAAAAAAAAAAAAAGAAAGTGGTGCGCATTCACTACATAATGTCCATGTCCCATTTCACACATTACCACTAGAACAGGACAATCTGCAAGCTACTTTGAATGTCTTGAATAAAAGACTTCAGTTGGCACAAGAACAACTGGGTCGTGCCGAAACGACTGTAAGGGTTTTATCTTCTTATCGTCTTGTCGGCCTGTTCGGTTACTGAGCGCGTTAGCGGTTTTATTTTAGATCCATATGAAGCGAAAGTTTCTAAAAAAAACCCGTCACACATTGGAAACCGAATTAAAGAACACGTTCTCTTATGATCGCTCGCTTCAACGGCAAAAGAAACGTACCTTACTGCTACCACCACCGGGACTGGTTCCTTTGCTGGATACATCATCTTCTTCTTCCCCTATACCTCATGATCCGATGGATACCAGTGACGACGGAGCTTGTGAAGTCTTGCGAATTACGTCGTGTATTGGCTCCTTCCGCGGACCTGACGAAGATCGTCTCTGGTTTAAAGTCCACGCCAGGAACCTTTCTAGGTTAGTCATCTTAGCAATCGTGCTCTGTCTCTCTCTCGAGTGGCATAACAGCATTTCGTTTTACTCATTTTGGAAAACAGTCAAATCATCATTTGCGAAGCATATCTTTATATGGACACTGTTCAACCAGTAGATCTATTGCCCGAACAAGTCTCACGAAATACCGTGTATACCATTTCTCCAGGGAACGAGGTCACGCTGTATGCCGCTTTCACATCGCTGGTCGATGTGTTTCCCGCCGATTTGCAACAACATCTCCGCATTGCTTGCCGATACGCTATCGACAACGATGATGAGTGGCATGTGACCCAGTACGCTCCTATCCAGTGGGATCTAAATCTTCAAGCGAACTTTTTCCACGATTTCGGCAAGTGGATCTTTGATGTTACAGCTGAAAATGGGATGGATTCGTTTCCAGAAAAATGCTAATTATAGACTTATCGTTTTCGCAGCCTCTGTATCTGTATTAGCGCCTATTTACTATCCTTCACGGATACGACTGTTAATGCAACTGGCCGATCTTGCTCAATTTAAAGATCAACTCCACTTTTTACACACCGGTGGCCTTCAAAATGTGCTGCACTCGGAAGATCAGACGCTGCTGGTGATTGGCCATGCCGATCAGGATATTCATCTGTATGGATTTAACGATCGGTCTCTGGCACGATGTATACGTACCCTTGCTCCGGTGATCCAGAATTTCAATTCCTTAATTTACCCCCAAGACAAAAACACGACACTACAGCAACTCATCGTCGCCATGGTAGATGAAGTAGATCACATCACATCCACACCAGACGACGATCCCCTTGCCAAAGTTCGTCAACATCAAACCATGCTGGCGGCTAGAGAGACTACCGTCACATTTTTGGACCGTTATTTGAGTCAATAAGATGGATAAATGCGCATGACTTGATTTCCTTTAATTGGTATCTTTGTGCTTTTCATGAAATAACATCCAGTTACACAGATTTGGTTGTGCTACACATTTTTTTTGTGTCGTTCGATAGACCCAAGTGGAGCTGGATTTTATCCTTTCTCTTTTTTCCCTCTTTGAATCTTTTTTCGGGTTTGCTTCTTTTCATTCTGTCGTTAAATTACCCGTCGCTTTTCTAAACGCCTCCAGCGCTCGCTTGGCATTTCCTGACAGAATGGATTCTCGAGCTTTCTGTACGCCTTCCTTGTAATCGCTGGCAATACCGGCCATATACAACAGAGCTGCCGCATTAAGCAAGACGAAATCCAGGATCGGATCGTTCTCTGGCAATTCTCCATTCAACAGTCGTCTCAGGATTACCGCATTTTCATGACAATCGCCTCCCTTGACATCGGACAGTGGATGCGTTTTTAAACCAAAGTCGCGCGTAGGATGTAAAGTACCAGTGGTGATATCGCCTGAACCATGAACCTTCCAGAACTGTGGGAAAAAAAAATGGAAATCAATACTCCGGTCACAGTAGGATTCTTTTTGGTTTGCACTCACATTGGTTTCACCAGCAGGGCTGATCTCGTCCAGCTTTTCTGCACCACACACCACCAACGCTTCCGTTACGCCCGTCAGTTTCAAGGCGTTTGCCATTAAGCTACCAATTTGTGGTGAGTGAACGCCGACCACGACACGAGCCGGTTTCGCAGGATTGCTCATAGGCCCCAAGAGGTTGAACACGGTGGGCACTCCAATTTCTTTACGCAATGCCGCCACATGTTTCATAGAAGGATGGTATATTTGGGAAAACAAAAAGCAGAAATTGCTTTGCTCAAGAATACCAGGTACTTGCTCTGGTTCAATTTTATGAATATGGCAACCTTGCGCTTCCATGAGATCGGCTGATCCTGATTTCGACGATGCCGCCCGGTTACCATGCTATATATATATCCGAATGAGCGGTGAGTTCTACTATACGATTCCTCAAGCCATCGCCGTCTTGATCGTCCTTCTTTCGCTTTTCCTTTTTTTTTTTTTCCTTTCTATCTTTAGATTGGCAGTTACCTTGGCTACTTTGGCACCTGCACCTGCTGCTACAATGGATGCTGTAGTAGAAACATTGTATGTGTTGTGACCGTCACCTCCTGTACCGACAATGTCAACCACCGTGCCTTGGATATGTTCATAATCACCATAGGGAATCAAGCGCGCGTGACTACGCATGGCGGTGGCACATGCTGCTACAATAGTCGGATCCGCATCCAATTGTTGAAGACGCAAAGCGACCAAGAATGCTGAGATTTGACTGTGAGAGGCACGACCGGCCATGATTTCATGAATCGCCGTTTCAGCATGAATAGGTTGGAATTGGGAAGGCTCATGAACCAGAACCTTCAATATAGATTTTATGTTGAGCACTTCACTGTGTCCGTTGACTTTTGACATTGCGATTGTCATGAATGGTTGGTGTATAGTTTTGAATAAGTGAAGTAGGAAAAAAAAAAAAAAAAAAAAGAAAGACGACGGGAGGTGAACGTGCCTGATTAACTGGTAGTAGTTTAATAGTGACTCATTCTTGTGTGTCTTAGATCGAAAAAAATTGGCCTGTGTGACTGTGATGCGTTTGGACCTCATTTGATGTGCATGTTCCCAAATGTACGACCTTCATGTGGGCAAAAAGCTTACATAGGTTGCAATAATTGTATTGCAAACCGTTTACCATGCATTGTAAAAATTTCACTGAGTCGGCTCACCTCGAGTATGAGATCTACTTCAGCGGATGTATTCATCAATGATGCAGACACGGCGAAATGGTATTACCACTTGTTTGTAGGTTATTTGATGTTATTACTTGCAAGATGAAGCGGCGATAAGAATGATGGTGTTCCCGTTATGCATGAAAACAACATGGAAATCAATTTGTATCACCATACAGATACGCCATTGTACGGTTGTTCAGTCACAAGAATTGAAATGACTTGACCGTTTTAAGATGAATATCCGATAAAACGACTGAAAATTAATACCATTTGTATGGCATATCCGAAAACATTTCTGTTACGGATTATCTGGTGTAACCCATACCGCCCTGTCATTCCCAGGTGTGTATATTTGCATTGGTGATAACACGAATCGAGTCCGCAATCAATGCAGATGTAATAGCTGTAACAGGAAAAAATCCAAGTGAACTGCAAGTTGAGTGAAACGCATGAACTTGAAAATACCTCGAATACCATCGTGTGTTAAGAGTCAACACTTTCAAAAGCATGATGTTATATTTCCCTGATGAAAGGACAAAAAACTTACATGTAATAGAAAACGACCGGGCTGAATTGACTTTGGGGGACGTGCTTTACCATTTTTGAAAGCTGGGCCATACGTGAAGCATCAGATTCGAGATTTAGACATTTTAGAGTTGAGCCCGGTGCTGTGTATAAGCTTGTAAGAGATCAGTCGTAATTATAAACGAGTTTATGTAGACATATTACAGTGACGGCAACAGTTATTGAGAGCCTGCAATGAAATTTGAATGAGTCCTAGAATGATCTTTTTGAAAACACGCCTTATCCAGCGTTACCAGGCTTCTGTTACAAAACGATAAAAGTAAGTGAGAAATTAGAAATCACACAGGAAAAAATTAATTGATGTCATGTCTGAACAGCAGATGGGGTGAAATGTCCCCATTTTTGATGATTGGGTGTCTTTATTTGCGATTGGCCTGAACGCCATTTAAATAATTGTAGTCCTTTTTCCTTCTTTTATCTATGCTGTCTCGATCCGAACAAATACCCAATTAGTACACAGAGCAGCAAACATAATTTTATTGAAAGGATATACAACAATACACAGCATGCAAAGCAAGGATCGGTTTATGCTACGCTGCAACGACGTCTCCACCGTGGTATTTCACCCTAAATGCCACGCCCATTAAATTGATCGCGTCTGACCGCTTCTTCACTTCTTTGCGACCAAAACCAATCGGTTGGGCCCCAACTGTACACAAAGTATCGACGGAAAAACACTTTACTTTCTTTTCCCACTTGTACGGCAGATGCGTTACTGGGTGTTGCCAAACTATATGTAAAGCCACGTAGTATCATGATTTCTATCTCGAGGAACAGCTTACTCAAGGCTAGCTGTCTGTAAATCATGAAATTGGTTACGGTTCTACCAATACTGATAAATAGATGGATGCTCATAGTAGTTTTCGCAACATTTGACTTGTGATCCTTTATTCTAGGGAAATGGAATGGCGATTGACAAGTTTGATTATGGCTACGACGAACTATGATGCTGACGATGCCGTATGAGGTAGAAAAAAAGTTTATCGTAGCTATTTTTTTCTCTTTGCCAAATCTCTTGTTTTCGAGGATAAAAAAAAAAGAGTGAAGAAGAAGCAAGGAAGCTGGAGATTAGGACGAGGATGAAATCCAACAATACAAAATAAAGGGATGCATGAAAAAGGTGAAAATGATCAAATCAAAGAAGCGTGCAGCGTCAAGAGAGCTGAGCAAAAAGATCGCGATTCGTGGATCTAAAGTGATAATAAAACAACGACGGATGTAAAAATAGCCACACCGAATGCGGTTGCAAGGGGTAAGAATGTCTCTCGAAGTGTGCTGCTTCCTCCCAGATAGCATGTCGGACAAAACATGGCTGTAACATAACCGCAGGAAATCAGTATTCAAAGAAAAAGAAAAGGTTGACATATCGCTTAACAGTGTGTCATGCCAATGTTTTTTTCTCTTTTCTTGCTTTTTATCACTTACAGTCTGTTCTTCCCACGTACGCTTCTGTGCTATACATGGCTACGACCAAGCGAGAATCGGGCATCAGCCATCCAGGGCTGGGGAAAGCTTTAGGTCCTCGTTGATCGTACACCCATACAGTGTAATAACCGACCATCAAAGGTGAATTAGGTGGCAAACGGGCGAGATCCCAATGAGCAGAGGTCGCCGTTCCTGGAACAACGGCCGCCGTAAAGGTCTGCTTTTGTGGATTGGCCAACGCTACGGTGATGTTTTGAGGCTGGACTTTGAGCACCTGAGGATCGACCGTCCATTCAAATGTAATATTAGATACACCAATCTTATACAGTGGTGGAAAGGTTTGATTGGGGATCGGTTTTTTCCATGTTAGATAAGCTGGCGGGATATCGTTGCTAAACGATGCCGAGGTGGGTTTTCCGATGAATGGATTGTTATCACTGTTCACTATCGATTGTGAAGCATTTGCTTGAGAATGGATTCCCGAAGCTGAAAGCGTTGGTGCTGTATTGATGGGTCCTGTCGGTGCAGCTGCGCTGGGGTCTGCATTGCTTGCCACCGTTGCAGAAGGCGCTGGCTGAGCTTGTGATGGTTGAGGTGCGCCTATGTCGTTCCATAACAGATTTCTTTACGTCTCAATACTACATGATAGATGGACCCCTCTTCATCGTTTTCGTTCTTTACCTGACACATCGGCTAATCAAGAAAACAGACGTCAGTCATTATGCGTCAACGTTGTCATTTTTTCAACAAAACACGGCATCGTCGTCTTACCTCGTTTTAATAGTGAAGCATGGCCGGAATAGATGAAAAGAGTCAACAGCACGAAAGAAAGTTTCATCCTTCACACTGTAGAATATGATTAAAAGGGAGAAAAAGCCAAAACGAAGCTACGAAGGGAAAAAAAATATCAGAACAAGGGGAAGAAAAAAAAAAGAAAATAAAACCGATCATAAAAGCAATTGTATAATCATCATTTTTTTTTTTTGGCAGTGTCGTTCTTCGCAGTCGAAAGGAGGTAAGGAGATGCATCGGAAAAAAGAAGGGGAGATCAGATAGAGGAGGGGGGGGGGGGAAGACAAACAAGAAGAGAGAGGTGCAAGAACTTGGATTGGACCATCTACAGCGAATCATTGAGTAACAAGCCTCAGCTAAGAGAAAAAATGGGGCAAGAAAGCTCAGTAGAAGTTTTGAGCGCAGGCAATTTAACGAATCCCATGATAAACAAGCTTTATTCACAGTAGAATGACATGTCTATTATGATAACAACTCAGCTTCAGCAGTCAATGAACACTCAATTTTCTGTTATTCTGGCATTGGTGATAAATTCAATGGGAGTTAAACTTCACTGGCAACCGAAAAATGACCATGGTAATCGGTTTATCTTTTTGACCCCTATTTATTCTTTTTTGATGACCTCTCCTCGTCGTCTATTTTTTTTTTTTTTTTCGCGTGGTGGGGTGGCTGTATAAGAAAATAAAAACAATCCTTCCTTCTGGTGTTTTTCTCATTTTAACTCTTTACGGTTTCCTTGGCAACTATAGAATAGAGAGTCATAGCTTGTTCAGAAAAGGAGGAAACCATCAGCTTGCTCTTTTTTGGCTTTCCATCTCTTTCTAAACAGAAAACAAAATCATGCCAAATCAGCCAGAATTTCAAAAGATCAATACAATGACGCATATGCATGCATTGGCGCTCTACACATACTGAACAAGATCAGTTTTCCTCCATTTCTTCTATTTCCTCTAGTTCATAACATACGTCCATTGCATGATAAATGGCACAAGACAACCAACTATTTTGTATAAAAAAATAGTTTGGACACACAGAATGTCCAGGCGGACATGGAAACCTCTTTGGGGAACACGGTCGCGTCTAAGGATTCCTGTGAATGGGTGTATGAAACCCTGGCGGGGTGGCTTGGGCACCCTATTTAAGCTCCGACATGGAAAGGAAAAGAAGGCACTCGTGCCGCACTTGAACGCTTCCCTCTTTCACACTACTCTCAGTGGAACCTAATGTCATCTCCCATTCCACCACCTCCCAATATACGGTAGAGTGACCCAAATGTCTATAGTTCAAGTGCCAGTGCTAACAACTCCATTTTTTCTTGTTTCCTCGTGTTCCCCAACAGACCACCGTCAGGTTCACAGTCCTCTCCGTCTATTCCAGCCGCATCTCCTTACTCTCATCATCTTCCACCGCCCTCCATGACTCCAACGAATTCCTCTCAACCACTTGCAGCACCGGGAATCTCATTACCACCCCCCAGAGTCAATGAAATGCCGTTTCCACCTACGTTACGTTCACCCCCCACTTCCACCGCTTTCGCTGGACCTACTCCACCTTCCGCCCCTTCACTACATTCAGTGTCGCCAGCCAGCAGTTTACCGCCTGGTGTTGATACTAACAATCCTGCCATTGCTCACAAACCCGTCTTACCGCCCATTCCATCGTCGCGTGGCACTGCATCGCCATTCTCCGACCATGCCAAACCTCCCGCCAGTATGTCGCATGCCACTTCTTCACCACCTCCACCTCCGCCATCCACCGCTAATGCCGCAGGTGCATCGCAATCGCAGACATCTCAACAACCTGCAGGTGCTTCAGCTTATCGACCACTCAACGTTAGAGACGCTCTGACCTACCTGGATCAGGTCAAGGTGCAGTTTGCTGATCAACCTGATGTCTACAATCGCTTTCTGGATATCATGAAGGATTTCAAGAGTCAAACGTGAGTCTTTTTTCTTTTCATTTGCAAAGGCCTTACTTTTTATTGTTTTTTTTCTATCCTATATTTATCATTTTTCTTTCCGTAGCATTGACACACCGGGTGTGATTGAACGCGTATCAACATTGTTCAAAGGTCATCCTGGTCTAATATCGGGGTTTAATACATTCCTACCTCCGGGTTACCGTATCGAATGCTCCACCGATCCTCATGAGCCGGATCTCATTAGGGTCACTACCCCCAGTGGTACTACTACCACCACAGCGGGCGGTGGTCGCTACAAGTTGGAACCGGAAAATTCTATGCACCCTTCCTCCATGAGTCAGTCTTATTATCATCAACCGTATGGTCATATGCGACCTCCGCCTCCAGGCCCGCCCATGCCACCACCACCCTTGTCGTCCGCTGCCGGTCGTCATCCTATGCATACTTCGGCACCGCCCTCTCCGCCCATGGCACAAGCACCTTATATGCCTGTCTCTGGTCCTTCACGACCACAGATGCTTCCTCCACAGCACGCGCCTCCTCCCATGGCACGTGCACGGTCTCCACCACCCAATGAGAAGCGCGGTCCCGTCGAATTCAACCATGCCATCAACTATGTCAATAAGATCAAGGTAACTTGCTTTCACCTAACCATCAACAGTATTCTCATGAAAACTCACTCTATTTTATCTTCGATTCTATCCAGAATCGGTTTGCCAATGAACCCGATACGTATAAACAATTCCTCGAAATCTTGCAGACGTATCAAAAGGAGCAACGACCCATTCAAGAGGTAAAAAAAAAAAGAAAGAATAACCAAGAATAGAAACGATGAGGATTTGTGGGTTCCATTACTGATGTGTCGTATGAGGATATAGGTGTATGCCCACGTGCAATATCTTTTCAACGGGGCTCCTGACCTTCTGGATGAATTCAAACAATTTTTGCCTGATATCACTGGCCAGCCTGCATCGGCCTTGTTCGATACCAGTAGTTCGCCTTATTATGGTAAGTTATTCACCCAAACGAGTACTTCTTTCGATTTTCATAATGTACTAAAATGATCTGATGCCAAAAAAAAAAAAAAAATAGTCGGTCATAAACGCGGTGTACTCGGTGGATCGCCTCAAACGGCATCCATGGTACCGGCTGCGAAAAAGAAACGTACCACTGGAATTGATCGACTGGCTGTAAGTGATCTTATTTATGAGAAAAAAAAGTGAGCTTGATATTCATTCATATGTAGACGGGCAAGCGATCGAAACTTTATCACAAGGGTGGAGAGATGGATCAGAGCAGTATGCGTGAGGCCTATGCTTACCCGTCCTCCCCATTCGATCCCGAGCGTCCTTCTGTGTCTGTCGAGGAAGTCGAATTGTTTGAACGTGTGCGCAAACATATTGGCAACAAGCCTTCGTACGAAGAGTTTTTGAAAACGCTCAATTTGTATACGCAGCAGATCATTAGCATGGATACTTTGATCGATCTTTTGACGGTGTTCCTTGGCAACAATAAGGAACTGTTTGACTGGTTCAAGAATGTGATCGGTTACGAACCTTCGGAACGTATCATTGAACGACCGGCTTCCATTATTGCGAAACCGGATTTGATGCATTGCAAGACCGTTGACAGCAGTCCCAGTTATCGTTTGGTGCCAAAAGCCGTACGTATTTTTTTTATTACTCCGTCCAACTGTACTCTGATAATTCTGATTCGACTTATTTCCTTTTTTTCTTTTGTTGGTTCTTCAGTGGCAAAATCAACCTTGTTCTGGTAGAGATCAATTGGCATGGGAAGTACTGAATGATGAATACGTGTCGCATCCTATTTGGGCGAGTGAAGATGATGGTTTCGTCGCTTCGAAAAAGAGTCAATATGAAGAAGCGATGCATCGCTGCGAAGAAGAACGGTAGGACAATATAATAACAAGAGAAGGATGACATCTGAACAATGGGCTGATGATCTTGCGAATTAGATATGATTATAATCTCAACATTGAAGCCAATCTCAATACGATTGCTTTGTTAGAGCCTATTGAAAAGAAACTGGAATCCATGGCTCTGGAAGAAAAGCAGAATTTCCGTTTGAAACCGGGGTTGGGTGGGCAATCTGTCAGCATCTACGAGCGTATCATTAAAAAGGTGTATGATCGAGAACGCGGCATGGAGATTATCGAACTACTGTACAGCAACCCTGCCCAAGTCGTCCCCGTGCTACTTAATCGCTTAAAGCAAAAGGATGAAGAATGGAAGAAAGCTCAGGTAAATACGGGTTTAAATAGGAGAAATGAAAATATGGAGGCTATTTGTACTCAACTGGATTTTGGAACCGTAGCGTGAATGGAACAAGATTTGGCGCGAACTGGATGCCAAGAACTTTTACCGATCACTGGACTACCAAGGCATCACTTTCAAGAGTAATGACCGTAAAGCCATTGCTGTCAAAGCCCTTGTGGCTGAGATTGAAACCATGCATCGCGACAAGCAAACCAAGGATGGCGATCATTTGACATTGAAAGCGAACCATCAGTTCATTTTCACCATGAAAGACGAAAGCATTTTCAAGGACGTCACACGATTGATCTTTTCTTATATTGATCGACAGAGTGGATTTACTAGCAGTGACAAGGAAAAGATTCGAACGTTTATCGGCAGTTTCATCCCACTGTGTTTCCACGTCGATAATGTGGTGGCAGAGAACCTGAGAAATTATGCGGATGAAGCGGATGATGAGGATATGGCTGACGAAGAAGAGGACGCACAGTCTACTGTGACAGAAGAGTCCGAATCGGATATGGGCCGATCCCCATCGACCCGACGACAGCGACGTAATAATCAAGAAGATGATCATACCATGGATCTGCTCCGAGATGTGTTGACAAAGAACCAAAGTGCGCTGGATGAAACGGCGGTCTTGCTTTCACGCAAGCGATCAAAGTCACCTTCAGCGCCTACAGAGGGAATCGTCGATACAGGTGAAGATAAAGCAGTCAAAACGGAAGATATGGCGGACGTCGATATCCAAATGCTCGAAAGCCAAGATCAACCCCAATCACGCGAAGCTTCCCCGGTGGCCGAAAAAAAACCGGCGGAAACGGAAGGTGACAAACTGCTTGCTGCTGCAGCGGCGGCTACAGCCCCCGGTTTCCGCAAGCGCACCATGTACAGTTTCTTTTGCAATACCACTTTTTACTGCTTTTTCCGTTTATACCAGGTAGGGGCATGGTAAAAGCGAAAACATGAAAGCATCGGCTCATTTTTTCAATAGATGATTTACGAGCGTCTTTCGAAAATGAAGCAACTGGACGCTGAAGCCAGCGCTCAGGGTAAATTGGGCAAGAAGACAAACAAGGTTGCTTTGGAGCTTGGACTCTATTCTACACGATTCGATGGTAAGGACATGTTATAAGGGTAGTTTGGACCAGGTCATGGACTTATTTTGTGCATCCTACTAGATATTGACCTCAGCAAGGGTTACTATCAAGCGTTATTGGATCTCATTGATCGGTTCTTTGACGGTGAAATGGATCAACAAGTATTTGAAGAAAATGCTCGCTATCTGTTCGTCACAGATGCCTATGTCCTTTTCACCGTGGACAAATTAATCCACGCTATTATTAAGCAGGTAGGCTGATATTAAAGAAAGAAGAAGAAGAAGAAGAAGAAAAAAGCAACAAACATGAACTCAATTTTGCCATGTCACATCATCAGATTCAAGCGGTTACTGTGGATACAAAGTCGGTGGAATTAGTACGCTTGTTCCGTACCGATCAACTTCTCGAAAACATGTCTCCAAGAGTCATGTCGGTTTACCGTTTGAGAGCAGAGGATACGGTGGGACCAGATGAAAATCTGTACAAGATCAATTTTGTAAGTGCGTTGGCAAATTTATCACCAAGCAGCCTGCTGACAGACCAAATGTTTATTTTCGCAGGATATTGAAGCGAAAGCGATGAGTATCCAGTTACTGGACAAGGATGATTATATGCTAGAACCTTCTGCTGAAGATCGCTACGAAGATTACGTGGCCAACTATATGGACTGGGTGCATACAACCGAAGGCATTGATGTATCCGCCATGCGACCCACGTTTTTGCGTCGGTAAGTGTGACATACTTTGACATATGGTTCGTCTCATGTTGTATCTAATTTTTTTTTCCGTTGATTATTTACAGAAATCGATGTCCGCAAGACGATCATTTGAACCAAATTTTTGTACAATCCAGATTGCAGTATAAGATCTGTCAAGATACCTACCACATGTACTACATTGTCGGTTCAGAGGACATCTTTTTACGGCCGCATGCGTCGTCTACCCTATCGGAAGCATCAAAACCTGGCGGGGAACCGGCCCCCTCCAGTGCATGGCGAAATTGGCTCGAATCCTCCACCACAGGGTGGTCCAAAGGCGTTGATGATGACACGCGTCGAACGATGGAAACTGAGGCGAAAAAGCAGCTTCAGCTTCTTGGTGAATCATCATCGCTTGCGTAACTAAAAAGAACAAAAACCTCTCTCTTTTTACCTCCCTTAAAACCCTCTCTTTCCTTCCTTCTTTCTTTTCTGTTTTTCTCCTGCTTAAAACAAACTGTACAAAGAACAAATTTCTAATAAGTCTTTTTTATTTTTGAAAAAAGCTCTGCTGAATAGAGCAACCGATTTTTCCATTTGTGATGTTTATTGATGTTTGACGATGATGCTGTCCTTTTGGTCAGCATATTCTGTCCAACTGCCATCATAGACGGCCAAATGCTTAGCTCCCGCTCGTTCCAAAGCAAGGTACAAGATAGAGGCGGTGATGCCACTGCCTGTAAGACGAGAAAAAAAAGGGGGGGGGGTTAGATGGCAGGAGAACACGCAATTAGAAATGCCAGCTATTTGCGTTCTTACCGCAACTGGTAACAATGTTTTTGTTGAGATCAATGCCCTTGCTCAAGAAGAGGTCGCGCAGTGCGTCTTCAGGGAGCAATTCGCCGTTAGCGATGACTTCATTAAAGGGCACGCTGATGGAGCCAGGCATGTGGCCTGAGCTCAACCCGGGACGAGGTTCAGGAGCTTCTCCTGTGAATCGTGCATGAGGACGGGCATCCAGGACCTGAGCGATATCGCCCAACGAGGCTTGAGCGCGTTTTGCATTGGCCAGAACAGCCTGAAAATCACGAACGAGATCCTTGTTCAGGGTAGGTACTTTATATTCTTTGGTTTCGGTAGCCTTGACGGGACCCGATTCGGTGGGACGATTTTCCTTGATCCATTTGGGTAAACCACCGTTCAACACCGACACATTCTGATGTCCAAAGACCTACATGAAACCATTATCATCCATTCCATTGATCCTCTTAATCAGCGGTATTCCGTATTATTTATACTTGCTTTGAAAGTCCAGTACACACGGGCAGCAGAGAATACACCCGCCGAATCATAGACGACGATCTGATCATCGTTGGAGATACCCAGCTGACCTATTCGCGCCCACATTTGAAAATTGAATCAATATCTGGACAACCGCGACTACACGTAATTCAACCTACCAACTGCGTTTGCAAAGACTTCAGGAGAGGGTAACATATGAGGCAAAGGGTTGGATGTGTCCTTGATTTGGTCAATGCCGAAAAAGCGAGCATTGGCGATGCGTTTCTCGATAAACTCTTGATAAGGATCGCGATTGGCATTGGGCATATGCCAAGAACCGTCGAGAATTTTGACCTTGTCTAACGATGAAGCCAGCTCCTCGGTGGAAACAAGACTGGCAAAAGACCGCGTACTCAAAGTGGACATGACTAAGGCAACGTGAAAAGTGAGGCAAACCAGTCAGCATCGGCTGTGGTTTACTCTGTCATTTTTCCGTCACCACTTACTTTTTGTACGTGCAATGGAAGAACGATGGAGAGTACGCAGACCGGACACAGATAACATGTATGCAGGTGTCAAAGATAAGGTAAGTACCAAGATGCGGTGCACCACAGTGGGGGTGGGAAATGCATCTGGTTCCCAAATTCCTTATATGGCAAATCACGAACCCGCCAAGTCCGCCCATCAAAGCATCGGCAAACTATGATCCAATCCAAAACAAACTTTTATAAGGTGAGCATTAACAGCGATATCCTCGACTTTTGGCCTTTGCAGCAAAGTTCTCTTGTCTTTCTAGAATGTTTTCGATGACGGAGGATTTTTGTTCTGCTCTCCTGCATCACACAATCCTTTATATCGCTCACAATGCGGTATATTATCAACTAAAACTGCCGATCACTCAGTCACTAACATGTCAACAGAAGAAAACGCCTATCCTTTACAAAACAGGCAGGTGATAAGGCTATAAAGGCTAGAATCATTGCCACATTTTGTTTGTCTTGTTGTTCAGACACACCCCTTTTTTCCAAGGATGAGTGCAAAGATTTTTTGCCACAGCTGTGAGGGATCTTTTGATTCTTTACGCTCATGGCACGCCCACAGACAGTCTGTCCATACAGAAGCTTCAGGTCCAGTTAAACAATGTAAACGTTTAGCCTATACGAGTTTATTTTGTTCCGTCATTCCCTATTACTCACGTACTTCTTTCTTTTGCTTTCTATTCTAACAAGCAACACATCTCTTTGTTTTTGCAACTTTCACAGGCGTGCAGTGCATTGAATGCCACATGACTCTGAAAACCATACATTATTTCATGGATCATCTTCGCAGATTTCATGGGGTCACAGTAGTGCTTCGGGATGACAGCTCGTCGCAGCCATATGTTATGCGCGTTTGCTCTACTAGTAATCTTACCCACGCTCAGCTGGCCCTCTGCCCTTCTTTCAACGCGCGGGAACAGCTCACCTACGATGACGCCATATTGGCAGCAAGTGGTTCTTTACAAGCTGATGACAGAAAGAAACGAAAAAAGCAGATGCTCGCTGACCTGGGCCAATGGGTGCCGCTATCTTTGACTGTCAATGGTAGACAATACCACTTCTAGCTTCGGAAGACGTTGCTGCCAAAGTGATCCAAGATAACCCGCAGCAAGGCTTTTGGTACAAGCCTTCACCGAGTTCATCATCCTCTTAAACCAAACAATGGAGCCGCACCGAATCGATCATAAGCTGTTACTGCCCAACGCCGCTTTATCACCGGGAAAGACTTGCGGGGATTATCAAATTTATCAATAGTCGGCTCACATTTAACAACCCATATGTCTCTATTCTAGCGTATATCAATATTCAAAGCATCCAAAGAAAAAGAAACAACACTTTGTTCATTGGACCGAGTTATTGGAATTAACGCTCACATGAATCGAAAAATTAGCTGAAACCTTTTGGTTTCTATATATATTTTAATGAACATGCTCAGAGCTTTCTTTTTAGCTGCGACGAATGGACTTGATATCACTGATGCAGTAAGCATAAAGATTGAGCATCCCATCATCTATGATCCCGCTAATTGAAGCGGCGCAAAAGAGTTTAACGGGCACAGGTGTGACTGTATTTTTTAAAATTTTTTTCTTTTCCAGATGGCCAGACCCCACTCTCAAATACTGTGGCTGTCAAAAAGTGAATATTTCTCGTTCTTCCACATTCATACATCATGGTAAGTTTTGGCAGAGTTTTGATCACTGATATGGCCTATGTCTTTACTCACTGTATTTTGTGTGTCTGTTCTAGTCTGCCGCTGCTGTTAACCCCAAGGCTTTCCCTCTTGCTGATGCCGCTTTGACCAACACCATTCTCGACCTCGTCCAGCAGGCTTCTCACTACAAGCAGTTGAAGAAGGGTGCTAACGAAGCCACCAAGACTCTTAACCGTGGTATCTCCGAATTCATCATCATGGCTGGTAAGTGACTCGAGTGCTTTATTGCATTCTTTACATTCGAGATCTTTGTCCATCGCATCGAATTGGCGACATGCACAGCACGATAGTTTATGTCCAATTGCAAACGGATCATTCAATTGAATCGTTTGGCCATGAGCCCATTCAGCTTGCTGTTTGTGACTTGGATCTCGGCCGTCTCAATGGAAAGACATGTTTAACTAATTCCCGTTTTCTCTTATTTTATTTTATTTAGCTGACACCGAGCCCCTTGAAATTTTGTTGCACTTGCCCTTGTTGTGTGAAGATAAGAACGTTCCCTACGTCTTTGTTCCTTCCAAGACTGCTTTGGGTCGCGCTTGCGGTGTGTCTCGTTCGGTCATTGCTGCTTCGGTTACCACCAACGAAGCTTCCGACTTGAAGCCCCAGATCTTGTCCATCAAGAACCAGATCGAAAAGTTGCTTATCTAAGCACACTTTTTCGTCTCACTCTTTCTTCTTCATTTCATATCATCATTCTTTTCTTGATGATCCCAGTTGGTGCTGAAGACCCCCCTCTTATCATATCATATTGCACTTTTTAGAAAAAGGTTAAATGATGCGCTGACAAGAGAAAGAAAAGTTACTTGTAACATGTAAAACATAATCTAGTCAGTGTAAATAGAATTTGGCATTTCTTATATTTTCCGATGTTGGTTTTTTTTTTGTTAGTCTGTGTCTGCATATGGTAGCACACTTGAATTGGAGCCCAAAAAGACGTTGTAAATATCATCATGCAATGTCTGCCGCGAATGGGTGGCTTGTGCTATTATTTGACAGCGTAACCGTCGTTACGCTGCGGATGGTTACCATAGTATTTGTTGTGATGATGTTTTATTATTTCCTGGGAAGAGCCTGTGCCATGGAGCTTAACACTTGGACACGGGCCACGTCTCTACTGTTAATGAAAGCTTCCAAGGGGATGATGACTGGTCCGATAATGATGATTTTTTTTTATTTTTCCACAGGCCATGAAGAAGTGCGGATTAGGCTATACGATCTATGTCAGCCACTTTTTTTTATGGCGTATGATTTTCATTCCAACTGTGTCGCACCAGTTGGCCTGGTTACTTCGGCTGTAACTCCTGCAGATCATCAACCACACGAGATGGTCTTTTTTTTTTTCGCCGGAAACGCCAGAGTAAAAATAGCGATCCCAACGTTTCATGCATACATTTTATACCCGCATCCAGTGCCCGCGCAACGGATAGATACATTGATCAAGTCATTACTTTGAGTAGTTTAACCCTGCCCAAGAGACTGGCCAAGATATAAAAAGCAAGACGGCACACATGTAGTGCATCTTAATGTCCCAAATGTGTGAACGATAAATACGCATTGTCCAATGCAAAAGAGACGTAGACTAATTTTCACATGCACAGCGCCATGCACCAAATAGCGTTATGCAGTGCCTATAAAAAACGATAACAACATATGAATTAGGTCATGGAGATCAAGAACCATGGCAAAAGAAAGTGAATCAGTTTAAATTGTATGCCACGTTGTTGCAAACATGGTACCTAATGTGGGAAGTTCCATCCATCCATTCTGTAAAAGCATAGGTGAAAATAAAGAAAAGACAAGGTCGAAATCACAATGGATATGCAACGACGTGAGAAAAGAGAAAAAATCATGCAATAAATCTGACGCGGATCAGCATCACAGAGGTAAATAATAATAAAAAGCAGACTAGACCTTTTTTTTATGATTTGGCCATGACCATGACCATTATCATGTCAACTTGAGATGTGCAAAGGTTACATGAACCAAATAATGGCGCACCAATGGATCCACTTTTTTTTTTTCGATAACCAGACGGACCATGATGATCATAAAAATAAGACGAACATGAAGCAGCCCATTCGTCGATCCATGCGGCGAGCTGGCATGTGGTCCAGATTAAATGATCTAGCCAGTCATGTTTGCTGCTTTTAATAATAAACTTTTTTTTTTTTTTAGAAAAGGATCCGTCCTTGCTATACGCATTGATGGGTCAACCCCTTTCCAAGAATAAAACATACATACAATGGAGGTAGATCTCCTTCTTTATGTTTTTTTTTTGGTCGGTCTCGTCTTTTCTCCCACACCCTAATTCCATCCCCCTTTTTTCTCCTCTTGTGCAAGATCCATAACGCTGATCTGGATGCTGTTGAGTTTATATTTGTTTGATTTGATGCTTTGCATGTTTACGAGATGAGGTCTTAACCCCTGCTGCTGATTGGTTGCATCGAATTGTTTACACACTTGGCTCCTTGTTCGCCTCGTTTGGGCTCCGCGCATATCTGATGCTCTCTTGGGCCTATGTTTTCTCCTTTCTTTCCCCGGATCTTCATCGAGTGCACAAGCAGCCTAAACCTACTGTAGATGGACCAGCCATACTTTTTTTTTCTTTCGCGCATAACTTATAAATAAAAGGACATTGTGACAGGATCTGCCTCTTTTTCTTCTTTTCTTTCGAACCAAAAACGTCAGAATAACAATTTTTTTCAATCATCATCATCATGAAATTGCCACTCTATCTCGCAGTAATTACATGTCTTACCGTGCATCACATCTCTGCCCAAGGTATACAAGTGACTACCAATAACCAAGAAGAAAAAAAATTGTATGATAAATAACAGTCGTGGAATAAATATTGATAAAAATATAATAATTAGAGGCCAATGCGGGCACACCAGATACTGCGCCAGCGGCGTCTATTCCGGCCGGCGTCACACCTGCTGCTACTGATCTACCTGGTGCGGCTGCTAGCCCGGACGTCAACGGATGGTCTTCTTTAGCGACAGGAGCTACACCTACGCCTAATGCGGCGAGTTCATCTGACGTTGATACAGCGGCCACTCCGACGCTTGATGCATCCGCCGATGTTACACCCACCAATTCGGCTTCACTCGATGATGAATCGTCCACAACCAGGTCCCCCAGTGGTCTCTCAACCGGTGTTGCTAGTGGTATGTAAAAAGAAAAAAAAAGAACCTTTTTTTCTTTTTGTTGTGTGGGTGTGAGGATTTATCACTTATTTTATCGCTTGGTTTGTATAGCCTCGTTGGCGTCTGGTTCTTCTGGTTTGGCTTCAGGCACTCCATTGGCGAGCGGATCCAATTCCGTTGCGGCCATCCCACCACGTTCTTCGGTCGCTGTGGCGGCTAGCTCTGTAGCGGCTTTACCACCCAAGAATAGTGTTGCTGCTGTTCCACCTCGCGTTCCTGCTCCCTCTTCCGAAGGATCACAGGTATCATTAATGTCGTCTACCGCGTTTGCTTTCACCATGATGATGATGGGTGTATGGTATACCTTGTAATTTGCCTAGTCTAGTATTCTTATAAACATATATTTTCTATTTTTACATACACACATTGTTTACCAAGATAAGAAACTAGGTGGAGGATCAAAGGATCGCCTTTGTTGGTTCTTTTCTTTTAATTTTTATTGTTGTGTAATGCAAAATGTACAAAAGGGAAAAAAGAAAATATTTCACTTGGATAGATTGGGTTATCCCAAGTGGGAATCGCGGCTAAAAATAACCTTTTTTTTTTTTCGTCCCACCTTAGATATAAGTTGATCCTTTCATCCCCCTTTTCCCTAATTTCGCCCAACCGACCTTTAAATACGACGAAGGTCGCGCGTTTTTTCTTGTCCTTTTCTCTGGTTTTCTTTTTCAATTCATTCTCGTTGCACCTTTTTTCTTTCTCTTTGTCTCTTTCTTCTTCTTTCTCTCTTTAATAACATGAAGTTCCTTACTTTGGCCTCGTGCTTTATCGCCACCGTGGCAACCGTTACGGCTCAATTGACGGCGCCCATGAAAAATTACAATGTGACAAGTCCCGTCAGCAATGGTCCTTATGTTGTCGGACAAATTCTGCCCTGCACCTATCGTTTGTTCCAAGACATTGATAGTTCAAGTAAGATACCCGTTTCTTTACTTAAATGTCAAAGAGAATATATATATCGTCATGTTATCATTGCTAACCATGTTTATCCCTTAAAAACCTTGTTTTTTTCTTTTTTTTGCATCCGACGAATTCGCTTTTTTGCTTAGTGCTGAGTCTGAAGATTACACTGGAACCCGCCACCAATGCTCCCCCTGGCACTCCTACGAACGCTTCCTCTGTTATTACGATTGCTGATAATGCCGATGTGTCCAAGACCGATGCTTCGGCCAAGCGGGACGGCAACACCACCTTTTACGAGCATTCTATCAACTACCGCATTCCCGATACCGTGGTGCCTGGCAATTACAAGGTTGTTTTCAAGGATATGTCGACCAACACTGATTTGCCCGTGCCCATCTCTATCCGTCCTGCCGCTCAAGCCTCGTCTTCTTCGCCTGCTGGCAGTGCTGCCACTCCCAGCAAGTCTGGCAGCATCTTTACTGCCGACTCGGCCGCTATTGGTGTCAGTGAAAGTCTCACTATGAACACCATCTTGGCCTTGGCCGTGGTGGCCGGTGTAGCTTTGATGCTTTAAACCGAGGAAAAATACCCCAATCCCATTCTTTCTAAAGCGCACGTGTTATAATAGCTCTCCTTGTTCATATTACTGAAATTCTCACTCATTTAGCCGATGTTCTTCATCGTTCTTAATTTTTCTTCTTTTCTATTAACCATACTTTCAGTCTTTTTTCTGTTGTTGTCATTTCAAATGTCTTTTTAGTCTCAAAAACCGTCACCCCGTAATACATGCGTGTTCAGCACCTCGTCCGCCAATAAAAAAAAGTTTATACACATCCATTCTCCTGCGCACCGGGATTCTTTGTTCTTTCAATGCGCCGGTCTCCTTGTTTCTTTTTTTTTTTTTTTTTTTATCTTCGATCGAACGAGTCGGATCATGGGGAAAGATTTCCATTGGTTTTCCTTGTGACACACAATAAATCTGAAGCTCGTCAGTGGAGGATGTTGTGCTTCCTATTTTATTCTTCGGATATATGTTCTATTCAAAGTCAGAGCGGTGTGTCCCCATTCTCTTCATGTCGCACACTCATTGTGAACCAGAAACTGATCATGGCTTTTTTTTTTTTCCTGAATAAAAAATCGTTCAAATAGGATAAAAAGAAAGAAGAGAGAAAATCACCCGTAATACCCGACATTTAATGGCTCGGTATTTCAGTAATTTACACAGTGGACTGTTGTCATTCTTTTTTACTGCATTCATCTGGCGGACTCGCAAACGAATATTTGCTTGTTCGCATCGAAGCAAGCAATAAGCATAGGCGCACACAAAATTACTCAGTGTGAATACCTACAACAATATTCTTCCTGAATCACACATTTGGTAGGATTACTGTATGCCAAGAAACTCTGTCTTTTCGGCGCGACTTGTGGATGATGTAGCAACTGTTTTTGCTTTGCCATTGGTATATCGCCGAGAAAACCATATTTTTCGCAACAGGTTTAGAGTTGCAGATTGAAAAAAGCAGGCTCACTGTAAACGATCGGGTGTCTTAGATCCAATACCTGACGACGAGACACCAACACAACACATTGGAATACGTATAAATATAAAGTCAAGCTTGTGTTTGTCTTTGGCAGTAAGTAGCCCAATCGCATCCAAGCAATCTACCCGAGTGGATGGTGGTGACCTAGTCGCGTTTGCTGCCAAGATTTCATTTTGAGTCCAAGTTACATGCGGTGAATTTTTGTATTCTTAACATCAAGGAACGTCAGCATGTTTCCCAGTTTAGAAAATCCGCGCACTCCATGCCAAAGGGCAATTACTCTGATGCATTCAACCATATTCATTGGACTTTATCGACGTTTCCCCCCCCCCCTTCTTTACCCATCCATATATACACAACACTTTTTCATAGGTTTTCATATTTCAAAAAGTCTCTAGATGGAGTTTATTTTTCACAGGGTGTATAGAAAAAAAATAGTGTATGGAAGAAAATAGGACGTCTCTGATCGTTGTATGATTTTTTCTTCATCCACGAATCTTGTAAAATACGAGCGCGACATAAAAAGCGTGTGGTATGTCTACGTCCATTTTTGCAACACGGTCATGGACAAAAAAAAAGCTGTTCAGGCCAACTTATTCTCTGGTAGGATAAGTCCACTGATCTTTAGGTGCGGGGGTCTCCAAAGGTTCCCAAGGCTTCCATTCCTCCATTTTGCCAACCAATTTCAGTTCGTCCTCGGCTTGCAAAATCACTTCTTCAATCTGACCACCGTCGATCTTTTGCTCGATTTCGTCAATGTTCTCGGTGGATTCCACAATCGATAGACGTTGCTGTGTCATGGATTCAGTGGCTTGTCGATACACGGCATGGCTAGGCAAACGCGACAAGGCTTTTAATGTGTTGTTGTAGGTTTGGATCAAATGCGGTCGTGGGTTGGGATGAACGGGAATACCGGTCAAACCAGTGGAAGCCTAGGATTCAAGATTAGGATTTAGACATTCTGTAGCTTGCGCCCGCCTCGTCCATTTGACTAAAAAAAGCAAAGTATATACCTTGGTCACAGCTTGGAAAAGAGGGCGGGAGAAGAACATGGCAAGGTCAATGTAATAAAAGCGAGGCGTCTCCACTTGCTCACAAAACAGCCAAATCAACTAGGGGCCAAAAAAAAAATTAAAAAAATTCGTTGACGTCACAAATTTCCCCAATATAATTTTTTTGCGCTTCTGGTTTTACCAAAACGACACCTTTTGTATGGGATTTTGACCCCGATATTGGATTAACGTGTGTTAAGTAGTGACAAGAAAAATAAAGTACATTGGCGTGGAGCAAACAGTGTCCACAAGCCGGATGACGATAATTACAAATTAAAAAAGTGCCTTGGGATCAGTTGTTCTAGTTGCTAGGTTGTAAAAACGTTCTACTTGGGGATAATGGTTCGTTCAGAGTCCATCCACGATGATTCCGTAATCACGTCGTCGGTTTGAAATCCGACACGTAAGCCATCAAAAGCTGGCATAACACGCAGATTCTCGTCAGTTTCCAGTGACTTTAATTGCTTTACTAGTTCGTAATGATCCGTGCGATGGGAGAACCCTACGAGATATGTTTTGATTGGTTGGAATTCTCTTGCCGCTGCTACAGAATCATTCAGTGCAAAATGGGATGGATGAGAAGATCCCACTATGTTATTCGTCAGTATTAGCAAGCAGCCATGGTAACAGTCTGATTCCTTTCTTTTCTGGTCATCTTACCACGCAGACAATCGATAATAAAAATGTCGGTTTTCCCTTGCATCCGTGTTTTGGTGTCTTGAGGGATGCGATTGGTATCGGAAATGTAACTGACACCGGCAAAGTTGAAACCGTAGCAATAATATGGTTTAGATGTCGTGAAATAAATACCGTGATGAACTGGTGTGACAATGCCTCTTTACAATCAGTAATCATAAACCTACATTACCATGGAGTTTCTTTTTTTACCTGGCAACGGCATGAAGTCTAGGCCGTAGATACTAAAAGGTGCATTGTCCTCAAAAATGTGGTATTTGAAGGTGGCAACATCGCCACCGCCTATGGCAAGTAAAACAACAAGTGTCAGTGACACCTAATCCTTCTTATCTGAGGTTCCAAAGCATTACCTGTAGCATTAATGGCATCGACTAGAAAGGGAAAGGTGGTTTGCACAGTGTTCATTGTTTCGGAAGCCAAGTAAATGTCGATCCGGTTCTGGATAGCCCCGTTGAGCGTCCACTGCCGCAAATCATCCAAGCCGTAACATGCATCAGCGTGTCCGTGTGTCAGAATAACAGCATCCAATTCACGTATGCCGTATCGGGGAAACAATTGTATTGCGCTTTCTATTTGACTGTCAGCCATCACTCATGTCAAGCATTCTCGTGCTTTGCATCCCTTACCATAAAATGTCTTGCCGCAGTCAATTAGAATATTTCTGTATAAGGGATTTCCAGTGTCAGCATAGCGGTTGCTACAGCATCAGCATTATAATATGAAGAGCGGGTTATACCTTGGACGCGCACCGGGCTGATCATCCGGGGCTCGGAATCGGACGATGAGGGAAGTGTTCTTGCGCATATTTTTTCGGCTTTGATCGGTGACGGCCGAGAGGCACACATGACAGGATTGGGCGGGATCCGTCAAGCAACTGACATTGGGAACACCTCCGGAGGTTCCGGTACCGAGAAATATGATTTCAAGCAAAGTGGCCATGGACAACTTTGGAAACCAATGACGAGAGCGCAATGACCACACAATGACCTCTTTGTCTTTTGAGGTGTAGCGGTCGCTGTCGGGGATGTAACCTTTCGCAGTGGAGTTTTGATTTATTTCAGCGGCAGCCAGAAAGATCGCCGCTGATTACAATGACCCAAGAAAAGTGTCGAGACAGGAGCTCGGCTTGTACCCAGTCAACGAAGGAAAAATGGAAAAATAGCCATACGGCAAAGGTTCTGTGTGCTTGGTTGAAACACATGCTGGCGGTTTTCCTTCTCCTTGTGTCATACCTTCACCAAAGATCCCTTTGATTGTTGTTTGCTTTATTGTGCATTAATAATTTGAGAGGAAGGACACTACATACCAAGTCCAATTGTACACGGCGTAAATAGGCATGCGATGAAAGACGCGATCTCTGGGATGACATGATAAAAAAAGTAATGTATTATTTCGTTTCATGATGTGGGGGGGGGGGTATGTATCTGTTTTAGGTGGGTCTTTGCCACAGACTAATTCGTCCGCGTTTGTCTGTCGTCACGATCATGTCCTCACGGAAATAGATGGCAACACATGGATCTGCATGGATGGTCTTGACCGCGGTGGGTTGCAGGAATGCCACCTCGGTTTTGGAAGGAACAGGATGGACATACGTCGGACGATCAAGCATAGCGCTTACAATGGAAGGTGCAGGCGGTCCATTCATGGACGATACAGACGCACCACGGTGACGCCCATTTTTCTAACAAGAGAACACATCAAAAGCCTGGTCCTCCGTTCTGCAATCAAGCCAAGACTTACTGTTTTTGGTCGGTGTAATGCATTCACTGAAAAGTCCCACAGGATCAATTTCGCGTCCTCACCTACGCTTCCAAATCGATACACTTTATCGTCACATCGCCATGGATCAAAAGCAACACTTGTCACCTAGTGAAAAAGACAACACCCACATATAAGTATCTATCCCACAAATGAATTGGTTGATAATAACGTACCCAGGAGCTGTGACCTTGACACCGTGCAATAATGCGCTGTTCCCGGAACGCCCAAATAGTAACAAGATCATCTTGACCTCCCGCCTAGAAAGATCACATTGTCAAAAAAAAGGCTTAAAAACCATACAGTGCATTATATCACGTTGTCAAATGTTTACCAGAATATAACGTCCATCAGGACTCCACGCTACACATGTTAATCCGCCGTAATACGTCTCATGGACATCGTATAATCTGGAAGGACCGGTTAGGCTTAACTTGATTCCACCTTGTTTGATCTTTGGCCACTTACTTTTCGTGAATAAAATTAATAATACGCAGCAGACCATCAAGGCCAACCACCGCCACATGCTGACAATCAGGGGAGAACGCAAAAGCTGGATTGTAATACAATTTGTTTTAATACGCATTTTGCATGTCATGAAACTGTGAATGGCGGTTACCTGTAATAGATTTATCAGACAGCTTCCAGTGCGATACGGGATTGCATTTTAATGCCATTTTCGGTGCTGTTTTTGATATTCGAAACCTACGACAAAAAGAGATCAGATGACAGATCCAAACTTTTGCAGGGTTCAATGACGTACATTTTCCGTTTATCTTGAGGCTGACCGTCAAGGCCGTTGTGATGGTACCAGCCGTCACTTGCATGACCGTTGAGTTGTGTGCTTCCATCACCGGGATGGAACGGTTCATCTTCCTTTTCCTTGTCAAAAATCATGACAGAGCCGTCCTGGAACGCCGCCATGAACAGATTTTCCGAGCCTTGCAACCATCGGATCATGGTGATCTGTGACGAATTCATCACACCCTTTTTTGTTTTATAGCGAAAACAATATCAATCACTGTGTCCCTTATTTTCAGTTACACCGCACGAAAACACATACTCCCTTGTTGATCCGTCCATACTTGTTGCAAAGAGGATCAAACCAAACGATATCACCAGAGGTGAATCCAATGATAATGTCCAGATGGTCCGATCCGCGCGTTAACATGTTGACATCGTGGGCAGTGGGATACGCTCGAGAAAAAATGATCCGTGAAAGCGGTTCCTGGAAGAAAGAATCATGCATGATCCATTAAGTACCATTTACAATGGGCACCACGCATGAACCACTACTCACCTTGGGTTCTCCTGACGCGTCCATCCAGATAAAACTGGAGCCGCAGTTGTAGAATATATTGGTATCTTCACTGGTGCGTGCGATCAAGATTTTGGCGAGTTGATCGTTGGTGACGATTTTCTGCACAAAGCTCGAGTTGGTTTTGGTGATGCTTGTCTTTGGTTTCCGCGGATGTTTTCCCAAGGTATGGTTACGAGTGAGGAACGAGAGTGTGGACGGTGTTTGACTGCTCGAAGGCGACAAGGGCAAGAAACTTGAGGACCCTTCGAGGGAAGCACCGAGTTTGGGTATGGAGATGGGCATGGACCCATTGTGTTCTTTGGTCATGGGTAAAGGTATTTGCATGCCTTGGGTAACGGACGTCTTGCGACTCGAGGTGCTACTGGAAATAGACGGCGTGCGAAAGATGGTTTCGTCGTCGGAATCGGCCATGGTGGTCATGCCGTGGTTGGTGAACATGCGTCGAAAGCTGAGTGCGCCCGGTTGCGGTTCATATCGATGCAGATGATTATTGGTGGTTTCTTTGTACTTGATACACACGAGACTGGCGGTGGTGCCTACAGTATACAGCGGAGCGACGGAACGAAAGAAGATTTGATGAGCTAATCGATAGGTGCCCTCGGGAGCACAAAACGAGACACACTCGTGATCAGGTGTGGAAGGTGGATAAGAAGGTAAACGTAGAATAGTTTGCGATTGAGCTTCTCCCGTTGATTGTCGTCGAGTGAGGAAGCTTCCACCACCAAATGATCCCGGCTAATCAAAAGCCCACATGGTTAATGGAAAAACAAAAAAGGTGGGCAAGTTTTTCTTTTCTTTTCACGGTATGCCGGGTGACTTACACTATCGGCCATAAAACAGCAGGGGAAAAAAGGGACTCGTTGACAAGGAAACGAACTGCGAAACGGTGGCTTCTTGTTGGCCGGTTAGTTGGCGAGGTGATTCACCTGACAGTTGGCGAACAGACGTTTCGGATAAAGAAAAAGGAGGATGGGAAAAAGGCCCTTGTTCCCTCGCCGCGCATTTCGACCGTTGCGGGTTTCCACTTTTTTTTTTTTTTTTTTTTTTTTTTTTTGTTATGGCCTGGGGAGCGGGGTTTCTTTTTCAATTAAACATGATGGAAGAAGTGCAAAGAAGCATTGTATGCCCCTGGATCGCCTTGGTTTCCGTATCTATTGCATGACTCATTTGTCAATGGCAAGACGACGGTGCTTATTTATTTAAGCTTTTTATGGCGAAAAAAAGGTGCACGGCAAGGCCAAATGTTGTGTAATTTCATGAGATGCATATCCCTCTTTTTTTTATTCATCAGCGATCAAAGAGAGTGCAGATAGTAATTAATGCTCCTTAAACAGTAGATATGGTCCCAAAGACAAAGACAGTTGGAGGATTCACAAATAGATCGATCGAATTCCCAAGTACTTTAGAAAAAGCATATTTGTCAGCCAGGATGGGTTGATTTAGCCTTTATCTTTTATCCGAGAAGCTTGTACCCTTTTTTTTTCAGCCACTGTCATGCCTGCTGGCCTTGCATCACGAGGACTACCGTTTCTTTTACCTCGAATAAGAAGCTCGGTGAGTTGGCGGATCTGTGACTTGATACGGATTGTGTGTGGGCAAATCTTGACGAGTCACCCATGCAAACAAAAGACGTTGACCAAAAAAGTCAAAGCCCGACTAATTTTGAAAGACAGCTGGTTCTGTCACTGTTTCCGGTGCTTTTTTTTTTTTTTTTTTGTTCTTTCTATTCTTGTTCATTTCGCCTCAATTTCTATCATCCGTGGACAATGGATTCGGTTTCCACTGGTGATCCCCTAGGCATGGAGCACGTCCGTGCCACCGATTCAACGGTTCAGTCCATTTACCGTGCGGTAACTTCCATTCCGGGCTCTCATCTTGTCATTTCCTACATCAAGAATTCATACCAACATGATCCCTTCCGCATCGTCCTGGAACTATTCTTGGTGTTTTTCGCTCTCAAATACATGCTCTCTAAGAAATACAAACCTCACGATAATGCAGTCAAGCTCACGGAAAAGGTAAGCTTATTCCGTTCCGTTCACCCATATGAAAGCGGAAGCGTCAAAAACAAGTTGGCGTAGGACAAGAAAAAAAAGTGTCAATCTGGACATGAAGAAATGGATTCACGATAATTGACGAAAAAACCACAAAATCTATAGGAAGTCGATGAATTAGTGGAAGAATGGCAAGCGGAACCGTTGGTTCCCAAACTCAACTCGTTTGACAAGTTCAATCTGGAAACCACACCGGTCATTGTGGGTGCTCAAGCGGCCAAGGCCAAAGTCCAGGGATATACCAAACCGTTGATGAACCTCGCTACCACCAATTACCTGAATCTGGTCGAATCGGAATCCATCCGTGAAAAGGCCATTGCCACACTGAAAAGCTACGGTGTCGGCTCCTGTGGCCCTCCCGGCTTTTACGGAACCATTGACGTGCATATGGACTTGGAACGCGACATTGCCCGGTTCTTGGGCACAGACGAAGCCATTCTTTACTCTCAAGGATTCTCTACCATTTCTTCCGTCATTCCCGCTTTCTCCAAGCGTGGCGATTTGTTGGTCGTGTAAGTGTGTCCGTGATAAAACTTTTTTGAAATGGACCACTTGGCTCACATATCGTAATATTTTTTTTTCTTCCGCATATCAAGGGATGAAGGCGTTAATTTTGCAGTTCAAAAAGGTGTCCAAATCTCTCGTTCCAATGTCCGCTGGTTCAAACATAATGATGTGGCCGACCTCGAACGTGTACTTCGTGACATCCAAACCGATCAACTCACCGTACGTAAACAAAGACAATCTATTATTCCTTGACGACCATTGATCATTGATGCCTTTTTTTTTTATCTTTATAGAACAAGCGTCCGTTGACACGCCGTTTCATTGTCACTGAAGGTCTTTTTGCTAACCATGGCGATATTGTGAACTTGCCAAAAGTGGTAAGTAGACGGGTTCAAGCATAGAGACAGGGTCTTGGAAAAATAAAAAGTACGGTGGGCTAACTCTTTTTTTTTTTTTTCGCAGGTCGAATTGAAAAAGAAGTTCAAGTATCGTCTTATTGTTGATGAAACTCAATCCTTTGGTGTCATTGGTCGCCGTGGTGCGGGTGTGACAGATTATTATGATGTCGATGTAAGTCCTAATCCGGTAGAATATCAAGATATATGCAATGGATACTAATGTTTTGTGATTAGGCAAAGGAGGTGGATATCATTGTGGGCTCTTTGTCTACGGCACTTTGTGCTTCGGGTGGTTTCTGTGCTGGCAATATGGAAATTGTGGATCATCAGCGTCTTTCCGGTAGTGCTTATTGTTTCTCTGCATCGATGCCGGCCATGTTGGCAGTTTCGGCTTCGGAAGCGATCAAGATCATTGGTCAGCAACCTCAATTGATCCAAGAGCTCGTGGACCGTGCACGATCGTTCCGTCAAATCCTTTCGCACAAGTCATTGGAGCCCTACGTTCAGTTATATTCCGGCGACGCACAGTCCCCCGCTCCATTTTTCCACATTCGTGTCAAGGAGTCGTTTTTGGATAGTCAACATTCGGCGATTTCTCGCGAAGATGAAGAACGATTGCTCCAAGCCGTGGTGGACGAGTGTGCTTATCAAGGTCTGCTGATCACTCGTGCGAAATACGTATATGATCAGGAACGAGTGTGTCCCCGGCCTAGTATTAAGGTCTTTATCACGACTGGTCTGTCCAAGAAGGAAAATGACAAGGCGGCAAACACCGTCAAGTCCGCCATCACCAAGGTCTTTTCCAAGTGGCGAAAATAGACCTGATTCGATTCGATTTTGCTCCTGTTACCTGTTAGTAGATTGTTATGTACTCGTTATTAATTTTTCTTTTCTTCATTCCTATACTCTATTAAAGCTCTCATTTGAGTTTTTACTGTTTCTTGGAGTATCTCGGCTTACGAGCCGTTGATTTGGGGTTTCCCCCTGGTGATGGCCTCCACGGCTTTCTTGACCCAGTTTTTAGATGAGGGTCAAGATATTGCATTTCATCACATCGGTATCTGGATCATTTGTTTTTAGCAAGTTTTCATCACGCTTGAAAGAAATCAAGTTTACTTGCATCCAATAAAACAAGTGACAGTGGGAAACAAGAATAAAGGTACGAAAGTCCAACAGCAGTTACCCTATCGAGTAAGGCATCGGATCGAAAATCTGGAGTTCTCCGTCAGTCAGTTCGACTGTATGAAATTGCGAACTGTCATCGGTTAAGGCTTCTCAAGATCAGGTCATTGTCCAGTCAATAATCCTGAATTTCTCTTGCTGCCCTTTGGCTTGGTAACGAGTGTTTATTAAACGTGTCTCTCATGAGAATAGCAATCTTGAGGAGACCTGCATCTAACGATTCTTTTGAGCGAGCGCCATCCCAGACACTAACTCATAACCCATATTCCTATTAAGCAGCTGTTGGTCCCACCTTCGATTCACTGTTTAGCTTTTTTGCAAACCTGTTGCTTTATGCTCACAACACAAGCATGATGTCCTAAACTAGCCAACACGATGAGGACAGGTGCCAACAGTTGTCTCCACGGCGCCAGCGAGTGGCTATGTTAATCTTATAATGCCCCCATCACAGCACCTTCCTTATTGCTCATCGTGCTTGCAGGTCTACAGTTCTGGCTTTAATAACGCCAAGAGCAGCCTCCCTCAGTTAGAACGAACAAACAATAGTCCACAAGACGTTAACTGAGCCAAGTTGATGTGAAGTACCAGGCTAACGGATAAGCTGAGGCAGGCAGACCATATGAATAAGAAGACGGTTTTTGGGCGAGAATTAATTGGACGTCCTTATTGAATAGAGGAATCATGGTACAAATAAAAAAAAAGAGGTCTACCCTGTTGTATCTCTTATAAGCAAAGCTTTTTCATTTATTTTTCTTTTTATATAAAATGGCGTCCACAGGACATTAAGCCCACTTTTTTATTACATTATTCAACCCACAAAGGGTTGAGAAATAAGGCAAAAACCTTTTTTTTTCATTTACCTTTGTTGCGATTAAAAAGCAAACCCACCGACATACCTTCCACAATGACCGCGCTGATGACTAGTCAGGCGCCCAAAGGGAAGAGCCAACGGGAACGAAAACAATCTTCTTCAGAGGATGGCCAATCCTATCATTAGAAGATGGTTTTCGAATTTTTCGCCATACCCCGAATGCTTTACCAAAAACCGGAGCGTTCATCATTACCAGTGACCACCAGCCTAGCAGCCCCTGATTCCGAACTGGCGCACAAAAGAAAAAAAGAGATGAGAAGAAACGCCCCCTTTTTATATCTTTTTCAAAAATCGTTCGAGGACCTTCGATTGTGACCTTGCTTTATGACCGCGAATGCACCTCATTGGCTCGATTCTCGCAACAAAACTGGCGAAATTCATAGCCTCACACTCCTTTCGCGTAAGCCATGCAAAGAGGGGACTGCGCCATGTCATTTATGCTGCCATCAGCAAACCATGCGCACCACAGTCACTCTATAAGTTTCAATAAAGCCTATGGTTGAACGCTCATGCGACATGATTCAGACTTCACGCACTCTTGTTTTATTTTTATTTCTTGTTTACGTTGTATGCTAGTATGTTTCCCCTATCCTGCCCCTTTGTATCCGTTTTGTTATTGAAACCGTGTGTTTAGTGTCGCTGTGACAATAAACGCTCATGTATTACTCTACGAAACCAGGGTATCAGTTTCAGTGCGCCATGTTGCAGTGGTGACAGAACAGGGAAAGCGCAATGACCAAGGGCGATGCGAGCCCGTCTGAGCATGTCCGCAAGAAGGATATATTTTTTTGCCAGCGTCAAAATTCTCATACATATATGCAAACTATTGAAACATGCAGCAACGCAGTAACAACACCTATAACTTGGTTTCTCCGTTTGCGATGTGCCGTATTTTCGCATGAACTGACTGATCTGCAGGACCAGTGTTATCTCCTCTTGAAAAATGAAGTTCTCCTTCTCCGCTTCCCTGCACAATAGCAGGTTGGGCCGTTTGTGCGTTGGATTCAAAGTATGGATCTTGGCAAAGTATTAAAGTTATCGCTCGATTCTGGATAAGTTTCTGAAAATCTTCAATCATCAATATGCTGAATCAAATTCATCTTCGGGATAGTTCGATTTCGGGCTTCCCAAAATGATTCCCAAAATCGAGCGGTGACTGTATGACTTACCAAAAAATGAATTGCGTCTTTCCAACTTCAGTACGGTTGATTCCATGCCATACGATAAATGACGCGCTTTTATGGGATATGTTATTTTAAATTTCACTTTATTGATGTGGCAGGTCAAAAGCTTGACAAGAGAACTCAGATTATCATATTACTGAAAGGAAAATAAAAAGAAAAGTAATGCGACAAATACTAACACAAGGACACAAGGACACAAGAACAAAAAAGGATAAGAAAAAAAATAAAGAGAAGTCAAGTTGTGAACCAATAAAGCGATTCGACTAAAATGAGCCTATGCCAAGACTAGGTTTTTCGACAGTGGAGGGTAGATAAGGAAGTTTAGGTTGTGACAGAGGTTGTTGTTGCGGTGACAGTGGTTGCTGTTGACTTGCTAAGCTTCCTTTCCGTCGTCTTTCCAAGAAGAGCGGTTTGAATGAAGAGGGAGGTGGGGGTGTCGATGTTCCCGAGATCGATCCTTTGGTCGTGGCGTTGTGCTGTGATTCGGCCGTGGTGGTGGATTTTGAAAGGCCAAGACGACGACGGGGAATCGGTGGAGATGAAGGAACAGGACTAGACGATCCACTAGAAGAGGTCTGGAAACTAGAAAAACCACTGGAAATCGCCGCCGCCATGTCTCGCGTGTCATGGCTCAATGATCGGACCATGCCGAGTTTTTCTGGTGTTCTTTTCGTCGAGAAAGGCGTCGTCATTGCGGTGGTGGCATGCGGTGATTGAGGGCCACTCAGAGTAGGACTATCAGTGACTGGATCGGCTGCATGTTGCTGTTGTTGTTGTTGCTGTTGTTGAAGCATTTTCTTAGCATTGATCATGACGCGCAAAGCACGCACTTGCAAAGCTGTACGACAGGTAAGCGCCGCGGTTTCGTACACCATGCTGGCAGTGGAAATCGTCAAGATTTGATGTAATGCGTGCGTGGCAAGTTGGCCCAGACGGTACATGTTGTACATATCCGCCAACAGTAACAGCCGAGCCAAAACTTGCGGCTGATGCTGCTGGACGGTCATTAGATCATCCGTGTAAATATATTGGAAAAAGGCCCAGGCGACAGGATACGGTTCGGGGAAGGAAATGGATTTGAGATGAAGCGATCGTTTATCAGGTTTCTGTAAATATTGAGCAAAATAAGGCCATCGGCGACCGACAATGGTGGAATTCACAGGAATGGGTCGACTGTCGGCACACAACACCTCCATATCGGCCATCATGAGTTCGCTTAGCATAGAAAGTCCAAGTTCACCCGACACCGGCAAAGGCGCTTTGCGGGGTGGAGTGTAAATGCCAAAAGCTTCCAAATCAATGACAGCTGCATGATCGAAATTTAGCTGTCGGTGATTGTAGTCCTCCAATAAATCTCGATCCCGGTGACCGAGAACGTAAAGACGATTTTGATCGCGGTGAAGCACTCCCCGATTCCATGAACCGGCGGACAAGACGGAACCGGTATCAATACGAGTCCACACTAGATTGCCCAAGTCAAAGGCCCAAATATGGAAACTGCGATGATTCGGGGTGAGATAGGTTCCGGTGAGAACCATGTGATGACCAATAACGTCGCCAATGGGAAAACGAAGGCCAGGTGGTAAGCAAGGTCCGACCATCTGAGAAGAATGATCGCGCATTTTGGAAGTGGAAGCACGCATGGGGTGAAAGGATTGCAAATCGCGAGCGACATCGGAAAAGTTGTAATTGGAATAAACGCAAAGCGATGGATCCTCGTCATCGTTGTTGTCTTTCCAAAAAGGGTTATCAATCAGTCGGGAATCCTGCGGTGAGGGACAAAACGCGACAGCTCTGTAGGCTCCGTATTGACGTTCCAGTGGTGCTCCCTGAATCCATGTGAACGAATTGAAATCGAAAACATTCATTTCGTTGACGTATTGATTCGCCATATCCTGGCCTCCCATGACCACCAATTTATCGTGTGCACAGACAGCGATGTGGGCGTATCGTGCTTTGGGCGAAAACAGACTGAGACTGATATCTCGGCGGATCCAGCGCATCGTCTCGAGGTTAAATAGACACAAATCATCCAGAGCGCAAAGATCCTGCTGAGCGGACTCTGGGTGGACGAGACTCATGCCGCCAAAAAAGACGAGATACGACTGGTACACATTGGCGGTATGAAAATAGCGTGGTTTCGGTGGAGATGGAGCGTCGGACGATGCGGCGTATCGAGACCAGGTCATGGTGGGAAGATCGAGAATGTACAGTTCGTTGCTCATTTGACGAGACGATACCCATCGACCTCCAAACACATACATTTTATCCCCCACGATGGTGGTGGATGCACCGACTAATGGCGGTGGGATGTGGCCGTGAGTAGGTTTTATCTCGGTTGTAAGATCAGCAATGGATTGAGCACCAGGGGTCATGGACATTGTACAAAACAGCAGACGGGGGATGGAGTGTCCAAAGGCCGGGTATGGATTTTTTTTTTTTTTTTTTTTTGGCAGGAGCAAAACTTAAAGGAGAAAGCACAACAGCAACAACAACAACGAAAAAAAAAGAAGGAAACGAACCCTCCTTAAGACGCCTGTGCGGGATAAAATAAAGATGGAGATTGTGCTTTGTGTTTCCACGGTAATGGTTGAACAGTAACCGAAAATGTATAAACTCTTATCGCTCTATTTATTGTCTACTTACAAAAAAAAAACCCTTTTCTCTTATTCGCTTTCCATGGTGTGTAACCTGACTCAATTCGTGCCATTGTGGTTGCTCAAAGATAAAAAAGAACCGATTCAGGGCCCATTGGCAACCAAAAAAAAAAAAAAAAAAAAGCCTATTTTCCTTGTGGAGCGGGATTTTTTTCTTTGGTTCAATCAGATCCGGGGAAAATGATCAATCTGCGGTTGACAATTATGGCAGGCCAATAGAGATCGCCCCGATCCTTCAGATGCTCAATAAATCGTTCACGTAGAATCTTCGGTTCGACAGCTTTGTTTACCTCTATTTTTTTTTTCTTTATCTGGTCCTGTTTTAGACTGATTTCGTCTTCTTTATTTCTCGTCTCAGTTCATTAGCTCTCTCTCTTTCCTCGTAATTGATCCTCTCTATATCCGTTTTCTAATGACCGTCGGTGTACGTATCTCTACTCATTTGTTTGGCCGAGTACGTAAATACAATGAATTGGACCTGTACGTTCCGCCCAATGCGAATCAATGCACACCGTTGCTCGTATTTATCCACGGTGGCGCCTGGCGTTCCGAAGATAAGGCCGATCACGCTCAATTAGCCATGTATTTAGCAGTTCAGGGCTACACGGTGGCCGTGGTCAACTACAGGTACAACAACGGTGTTTCCCAATAGGGCAAAATTTTGTCAACTTTTTTTTTTGTTGATAACCAACATGGTCATGGTCATTCACAGATTAAGTCTTCGGAACCACCCGCATGAGCAACCGGAAGTGCAGCATCCCGACCATATTGACGATATTCTTGACGCGATTCACTACTTGATACAAACTCCACCACGATCGGCCGTGTATGATACGACCAATATCCATCTCATTGGTCATTCCTGCGGGGCTCACATGGCCATGATGATCATTCTGGATCCCGCTTCATGCTTAAAAAGCATTCGTGGAGTCATTGGGGCCGATGGCATTTATGACATTCCATTGCTGCTTCAAACGTTTCCCGACTATACGGATTTCATTGAACAGGCATTTGGAACAGACACTAGTCAGTTTGTCCATGCTTCGCCCATTTCGAAATTCGCGCAGCACCGCTTACCACCCGTATTGATTGTGCACAGTTTGGAAGACTCACTTGTGGATCTCGGGCAAGCCAAAGTGATGCTTCAACATTTACTGTCGCTTGACGCCAAAGTGCAACTGGATACAAGCGCCCGAGGCGATCACTATGATATGCTAAAGACCCCGGAGTTTATCCGTGCTGTCAAGCGATTTGTATGACTCATCATTATCTGTTCCAACTCATGCCATCTTTTCTCCTCATTTTTATCCGGATTTCCTATATTAAATCCAATTAGACGCTTTTTACTTGATTCATATGCAAAATAACGCTCGCCTACCTAATGAAAAAACAAATTACCTTCAAATCATCGCTTTTAAAAAAGGTTAAGCCCTGTCAGCCATGTGGCCCATGAAGCTTCAAACTTAAAATTGACCTTCATCCACATCTCATTGGGCATATTTTTTTTAATGCACGGCAAGCAAAGCAATGCCTGCATATGCACTGCCCGAGTCTATAAATTATTTAGACTTTTACGAACCGGCATCGTGCCTACATGAAACGATTCATATTACAAATACAGTACCGAGCTCGAAGCAGCCCTGACCTTTTTTTTCGTGTAACATGTCATTTGCGCTCTTTTTTTTTGTTGAAGCTCGGCGGCATTTAAATTTCGCTCGACCGTATCCAGGTGATTCTTCAAAGGCACTTTTTGATGCCGCCTTGAGCAGCTCATATTAAAGATGTTGCGGTATCTGTATAGCCTCCGATGAGCTTGGCAAGGCTTTTGCCAATAGTCGAACTACGCTTATAGGTTGATTCTGAGTATAAAGATCAGGTTTTTTAGGAAGACTACGAGGGTATGATGACGTGCTGAACAGCATGTACTCGATTAACAAAATGGCACCTATCTTCTCCAACTGTTTCTGTGAAGAAGAATTTGATGGCCTGACTGAAAAGTTTTCTGCATTTTCCCACTGTAGAAGATGGCAGCAAAACTTTGGAGGTTCTTAAATTCGCACGTGACTGTGACTGGATTTTTATTCGGCTTCTGATTGAAAGGCTGAAAAAAGTTGACGCTGACGCTTGGCTTCCACCAGTTTTCCCCTGTGCGCAATGGCTTCTAACGAGGAATTCTACGTTCGTTACTAGTGAGTCATTTACCTACAGTGGCGTAAAGATGGCCGAATATTAATATTATGGATTTACACAGCTCAGGACATAAGGGTCGTTATGGCCACGAGTTTTTGGAATTTGAATTCCAAGACGATGGTCTCTGTCGATACGCCAACAACTCAAACTATCGAAATGACAGCATGATTCGAAAAGAAGGTAACTATGAAGTTTTGCCGATATTCCAATAATATTACGCCCCCCATCTTACACGTCTGTTAGTGTACGTAAGCCCCGCCGTGTTGCAAGAATTGAAGCGTATCATCAACGAGAGCGAAATCATGAAGTATGTTTTGTGTTTAAGTACGAGGATATAAAAAAAAAGGTGTCACTGATGTTGTTGGGCATTTACAGGGAAGACGATTCACAGTGGCCGCAAAAGAACGTGGTTGGTAGTCAGGAATTGGAAGTGCGCATCGGCAACACTCATATTTCCTTCGAGGTAAATGAACGCTCTGACATGGTTATACTCAATCGGTCGTGGGATCGTCAAAGACTGACATACATGTATCTTACTTTTTTATCAGACATCCAAACTGGGCTCCTTAATGGAAGTACAGGAAAGTCAAGATCCCGAAGGTCTGCGTATATTTTATTACTTGGTGCAGGATTTGAAGGCCTTGGTGTTTTCGCTGATTACACTCCACTTCAAGGTAAGTCCCGATACATACAATCAGTGCTATAAACATATTTCTTACTTTATTTTTTATATATATATATCTATAGATTAAACCTATCAATTAGAAATATTTTGTACGGAAAAAAGAGGCAAAAAAGAAAAAGAATGTAGCATGGACGGACGCATAAAAAAAACTATATAAAAAAAAAGAATTCAAACAAGCTGTTGGCAGTTCAATCGTGTGATTTTTTTTCAAGAGGTGTTGGAAGTTTCGGTCTTTACTGGCGAACCCATTTCTTCATCTTCGGTGGGGGGATTCAGTTGAGGGGAAGACATGGTGCTGGTTTGTTGAGAGGTGGTGGAAGGATGGAGAACAGGGCTTGCGGGAATACTTTGAGGCGTAGCTGTCGCTTCTTCATCTCTGGATGGAGCAGCCGAAGGTTCTTCTTCGTCCTCATCATCTTGAAGCATATCAATTTCCTCATCATCTTCCGGTGCTGTATCTTCTTTTTTCGGTGTTTGTGCAGGCGTTTCTTGTGAAGAGGAAGTTTCGCCTTTGCTAGCTGCTGCTGCTGCTGCGGCGGCGGCGGCGGCTCCCCCGGCGGCTCCTCCCGCTGCAGTGTAGGATTTCATTGCTTCTTCATATTCTTCCTGTTCTTTTTTATACATATCGTAATATTTCTGGTAGCACATGGTTAGTCAAATTGCATTTTTTCACAGCCACAAAGACAACACTCACCTTCTTCTCGTCCTTTGTCAAAGCTTTCCATTTTTGTCCCAGTAAACGGGTGACATCTCCCAGGTTTTCGCTGGGCACCTCGTCCTTGATGTTATCACGTTCCAAACGACAATACAAAAAGAAGACGTTGCCAGGACCTTTGGGTGCATTCGGATCTTTTTTCTTGCGTGGTGTAGGGGTACCACGTTGGTCTTCGTGTTTCACCACCCCACCCTTATGCCCACGATGCGATTTGGACGAGGCCACAGGCATATCCGACTGCGTAGGATTATTATCAGTATCAGTATCCTATTCCCGTTTTATACAAAAAGCTCAAAGCACGACTCACCTGAATCGATTCGATATCCGAGTCGTCAGAAGCATCACTGTTGGCCATGCTGTCCAATCCCTTTCGTCCGTGGCGATGACGTTGATGGCGGTAATCGCTCAATTGGTCGAGCAGCACACTATGTGATATGAGTGAGTGAGTGGACGGTTGGGTTTCTTAGCCGTGGATCCATGGCAACTCACAGGCGTTCGGTTCGTAAATGCTTGACATGACGATTCACCTTGGCAAGCTTATGGGCCATGGCGTCATTTTCCTGTTGGCAGACAAGGTGTCAGTTGAATTTTGCACACCATGACGCAAAACTGAGTAGGTGCCAGTCGTTTTACCTCTTCTATATCTTTGACCCGTCGTTTTAGCTCTCGATATTTTCGAAACAATGCTTCATCGTGTTCTGTACGTAACATTCCAAAAATGGTAAATAATTAATATCACGTTGAGGCAGTTTTTTTTATATTCCCTTTCTTTCATCAGCCTACCCTCTTTTTGTTCGCCCATTCAAAAAAAAGCACTTTTTTTTTCGTCAATCGATATCGGAAGTAATCTGTAGAAAAGAAAAAGGCGAAAAAAATAAATAAAAAAATAGCTATTTTTTGCCGCTGGTTTTTTTTTTCTATAGTCAACAAAGCGCTTCTTTTTTTTTCCTTTTTTTCTTTTTTTGTTTGATGATACGATTTTTAACTAAGCTATGGCCAGTTCATTTACATACATGTATCGTGAAAATGTCACATATAACCAGCGAAACCAAACTAATTGACTAGCATGCTGCCGCATGGCTTTATGACTTATAAGATACGCACCGGGAGGAGCCAACATTAACAAATGATGATGCTTGTTCAACACTTGCTGGACAGTAATAGGCATCAAATCGGCCACACCAATATATTTGCGTACAAGAGGAATCGAGACCAATTTGTAGAGTTTGAAAGAGCCTTCGGAAGCTGCTTGTCTGTTTATTCAAGCAAACGATCGCTTGAGTTGTTCTGCAACGACATCATACAAAAACACTGAATCTACTTACTTTGCGCCGTTATAAGCTGCAATATGATTAGGATGACCGGAAACACCATGATCATCAAAAGTGATCACCTATTTTTTTCGTATGGCTTTTGATTTCAGTACTTTTTTTTTCCGCGTTTCCATATTTTTTTTTAACTTGTCCTTACCGTATCGATTTTATTCTTGACGACGTAATTCTTCACTGCAGCAGCAACCACACTCGACGACCATGTCTGATTCATTCCGTCTTGCAAGTCTCTGTAGTCACGTATTTTCTTTAGTCACGAGGTCAAGGTGTAGGCCGTGAACTATCGACTGAAAACTTACGGATGGTCTAACGATTTGACTTGCGCGGGTTGAATGCCCAATACTTGGCAGCTTTTCACGAGTTCCTTCTTGCGTTGCGTTCCGAGCCCGTCGGCATTACCTTGATGACCAACGAAGGGTTAGGCTTTTCTATTCGTGATAGGACAGTGGTGAGTTTGGTGGGATTTTACCAGTCGACAGGCACAGCAGATGAATGCGTGTTTTCGAGTGCGATCGCAGCGCAGCAATGGTGGGACCGAAAAACATGCATTCATCGTCCGGATGCGCGGTGACAATGAGCGTGCTTCGACTTTGCAATGCCGGTGATTGTTGAAAGTGGGCTAAACTGTGGTAACTGTAAACCAGCACCGACGCGACCAAGAATACACAAAGTAGCACAATCACCATGAATAAATCAAAAAAGGTTTTAACAAAGGAAAGAATGCAAGCTGTAGTTTTTTTTTTTTTCAATGGTTTGGAATTACTTTTTTTGGAAGAGTTCAATTGAAATTTTTTTTATGACAAGGAGGAAGCTTCATCTTCTTTCAACAATTCATCCATATCAGGTGAACACACAAATTTCTGTACAATATGGCCCAATTCAATGGCCTTTTTTGTCTGATCACTGACGGTATCGATTACCATGACATTTTCCAAAAACGTAGATCGCATCCCTTGGTTGATCTCCAGCATGACGTTACCCAGTTTCATCTTCATCCGTCCGCTCTTATACACATACACTTTGCCTATACAGCCATCAGGCATGTCCTGCAGTTCCAGTGATGACATGGCATCCTCTAATGACGTCTTCTTTGCAGCTGCGGGTAACGGTTTGACCTTCTCGTCCTTTTCCTCCTTGACTGGTTTCTCTTCCTCATCTACATCGATGGTCGGCGGCGGGGGCTTTTCAAATTTGGGTAAAATAGATGGCAATTGGAAACATAACAGTTCGTCTTCCGCAATCGAGACCACCTTGTTCTATTGTAAACCGGCACCATTCATATGTCAGCACTCTGTCTCTGTGTTGCTAACACTACTGATCCGGGTTTTCACCATCACACTTACATTTTTATCCACACCGAAAATATTCCGTGCGGCTGAATCTTCATACATGTACCACGGATCTGATTGTGCCGGTGCTGCAGTCGTTGAAGAGGTTTCCGGAGCCACCGTAACAGGTTTCGCGTCGGGTGATTTAAGCTTCTCTTCCACCTCGGACTCCTTTTCATTTTTGTCGACATCCATCTCTTCCGTGTCCGGTTCCGTCTTGACCGCTAAATAGAAAAGGTCCGTCAATCCCTGATCAAAAAATTATACAATCATCATGATCACTTACGAACGGGGGATTCTTCATCTTCCTTGGGCTCGGGTTTCTCGGCCGGGGTTTCTTCGGGTGTATCCACCACCAACCATGGCACTCTTCGTGGCGTGATGGAAAGATCCAATGGATCAAAATCGCTAGCTAATCGTGATACGTGCGGGAAAACCACCGGTGTATATTCGTCATTGGTATTCCAGAAGAGCGCACTCATGTCTGTTTCTTCATTGCTCTCTGCTTCTTGTCTCGATCCCGCATCACCACCATATGTTGCGTAACCACCACCAGGCATATTTCGTGAACGTGCTACACCATAGATGAGAAAACCGTTTCCCATTGCACAAAACAGTGAGACTTACCCATAGCCGAAGGACCGAGCGAAAAGATACCCGATGCGCTTGATTCTTCAACGAGAATGATGCCACGACCTGGACCTCCACGACCGCGCCCTCTTCCGCGTTCTCCTCGTCCTCTTCCACGTCCACGCCCACGTTCTCTGGAACCTTCGCCCCGCGTCTATATAAATAGAGTATTTAGCAGTCTAAATCACCTTAACACTTCCAGTTGATGGCCTTACAGAAGTCAGCGCTTGATCAATGACCGACGATGATCTATCACCATATTTTAAGCGTTAGTCTATCCATTCCTCCCTGTCTTTAAAAGGGATTTTTGATTGTATCCAACTTACGTTTCCTTTTTATTTCGTTTGGCTGGAATGGTGGGCTTGAATTTCATCTAGATTGGCTAAAGGTGAGTCATGCGGATCAAACGGCGAACGTATGGAATATAACTTACTTTCATGGCGCCACCTCGTGTCTTTTGACCATCGTGCACGCTGGGCAATCGTCCTTCGGGTGCTGTTTCTGATCGAATGTGACCTAATTCTTTGGCTGGAGTACCTGCACTAGGCGCCGGCGAAGGGGAAGGCGTATCGCCAGCCGATGTGGGCTCTGCTTTGGGTGTGGCAGCCGGTGATGCACTGGATCGAGCACGACCTCTCAACGTAGGAGCGAAACGTCGAACTGCCTTTTTAACACCAGGCGTAATGGGTTTATCCTGCTGATCCGACATTACTATCGACGCTTATTAAAGATGTCAAAAAAAAAGAATGCGCAGTGATGGACAATTTTTTTTTTTGCTTCTCTCCGGGTTGGCCGTCACAAATTGACCTTTTTTTTTATGAACGGTTGTGCCCTAAAGTGGGGTGGTTTGCATGTTTACAACAACTGATACTATAAGTTCCAACAAACCGACGAAGGCCTCCTTACAGGAATACAATTCCACTGTATTGCTTTGAACTATTTGATTTTCTCCAGTTTTTTGTTGGCAAACTTTAGCTTGGTGTGTGTTCGTCCTACGTCGCCATCCAGTTCGTCCAACAATTGATTCTGTACATCTAATTCGTCGCCAATCACTAATCCCAACTGCTTCTGGCGAGCCAAGATCGCGCTGAATTGGGCTACTTGGTCATCCTGTTCTTTCATGACTTGTTGCTGGTATTGAAGTAATCCTTCGTTGTCCAGTCCACGTGTCACCTCCGTTTCTGTCGCCAACGCTTCCTGCTGCTGCTGGAACGCCGCCCCAAAAGCTCGTCCGGCACTGATGGTTTTATTTCTTCTCACTGGATTACTTGCTCCGTGATTCGCTGTACCCGCAAACGACTGTTGACGCATGGGTTGGCCTTGCAAAGGTCTTTGAGCTGAAGCCATGGAAACAGATTTGTCTCCATGCATTTCGTTCACACGCATGGCCGGCCCTGTGGGTAGTGACTGGTACAATAAGTCTTGTTCCTGACGACCGGATTGGATCAGTCGCATTAATCCATCCCTTTCTTCCTTGAGATTGCTCAACATATCTCGACGTCGGCGGAGTTCGCCACTTGACATGTCTTCGCTTGCTACACCGGAAAGGCCGGCATCGAGACTGGACAGCCGGGAAGAGAGCGTCATGAGCAGCTTTTTAGCTTGCACGCTACAGTTGTGGGAAGCTGATATCTCATTGCGAGCAATATGGGTGGCGCGACGGTTGATCAGCGAACGGATTTCTCGTGCGGTGTTGGTCATATCATTATACTCATCCAGCCAGCTTTCGGAGCTGTACAGAATAGAGTTATCGGCTGTGCGACTGGCGGGGATGGCTAAAAATTCCTTCCACAAAGACGTTTGTCGCCAGCGATCGTCTCGACTACTGAGGATACCTCTTAAATAGGTCTCGAGTCCTCGTCGCCGGTCGTCAATTTTTAGCGGGGTATCAAAGGTTCGCGTAAAGAAGCTTTTGCTGGGTAACTCTACGGGCAACGGGTGTTTTGGGAAGATGGCCTGAAACTGGGCATTCAACTTTACGAAGTCAGTGTATCTCTTCCACACATGCCAATGACGGACGGCGGCTTGCACTTCAACTTTGTACTCAGTATGAGGTTTGGGCTGCAATCTTGTTTCCGTCTCTCGAACAAAGATGGCTTGAATCACCTCGCTCATGGCCCAAAAAAAACAACCTTTTTTTTGACGGTCTAAGCAATACTTGTTGGTGTTTCAGAAAAATGAACAGCACCAACTTGGAAAGGAAAGGAGAAAAAAAAAAGGAAAAACAAAAAAAAACGTCGATTTTCCTGTCACGTTTTCATGCAGTGTCCGTATGACAACAACTTACACAAGGAATGGAATACACTGTTCAAAATTGGAGAAAAGAAGAAAAGCGCAGCTCGCTTTGCGTAAATGATGGCTCCTTTTTTTCCTTTTATTTCCGTATGACGCCCCCACTAGATGTATAACGAAACGTTTTGTCGTCTCAGTGCGTTGTAGCACAGTCATCAATTTCCTTGGCATGCGTTACAACTGCCTATTTGAAGAGATCTTCCGTGATCACCGGTAGCCAGAGGTGACACAATTCCTTTTTGCTTTTCAGGGCCACGACGCACTGAAGCACTGAAGTTCATGCACTATCTTTATGTTATGATATTCATCTTATCAAATCCATCTCGATACAATACCGTGACTACCAGATCAACATTTTTTGGTTTATATCCAAGGAAAAAGGTTACAAGTCACGTAATCTTCTGTTTCAGAGTTGCTCGGTCAAAGACCAGTTGTGGCGCGTCGCGAACGTTGACAGACCGGCGATCAAAATTGACTGTCATACCGTTCCTTTATCTTTTGGCACAAGTTTGATCCGGAGTTTTTTTCAGAGGGGACAACGTGCTGTGCGAGCTTGTGGCGTTGTCTGCGTTTCTGCATCAAGTCTTGAAAAATAGCTTCTAGTGGCCTTTCACCAATAGTACAGAATGATGCTCAGTGAAAAAAAGGGACCACACAACGGTAAAATACCAGCTATAGGGTGCTTTTATCGTACACGGGTAAGTAGATGAATAACAAACTGCAAGCTGCCTAGAATGTTAGCGTCCTTTGCAGATGTACCAAGAATATTCCCCTTTTTTGGTTCTTTTCTTATATTCGCGCCGGTTGTCACGGCGGACACATTTTTTTAAACGATTCGCAAATCGTACTGGAGCACACCTTCAAGTCGGCGTTATCAATATTTTCTGTGACACTTGACTGCAGTTTCAACGTACTTTGGACAAGGTGGCTCTTTGGTGTCTTGCCGATAACTTGGGCGGTCTTGGCAACGCGTTTGGGTGATTTCCAAGACCCTGGATTCATATTTCCCTTGGAGGGTATTTTTAAAAGCCGCTTCGCGATCGTTCCCGTCTTGGCCGCCATGTCAGCACCATTCATTCCACACATCGTGCAGTTTGCAAAGTTAAGCTTTTTCACAACGGTCAGAGTCGTCATCGTTTTATACAGGTGCAGTGCGAGTGCGTTTTTCAGGAATACAGAACAAGAGATAAAGTAATTGGGTAGGTTTTCTGATGGATCTTGGGGCGTGCGCCTTTTATTAACAGGCACTACGCGCTAAACAAGTATCAAATGTTTTCCTCGTATTAGTGCTTTTTACAAAGGTTTGTTACCTGGTACGGCTTGAGCAACATTCAAAGTAATAATGAAGCAGGTTGAGGGTACGAATACAGTTTATTTACCAATTTTAAGAGCAAAACAAATAATTGGATACAGAGAAGAGTGAATTGGGTGTTGATAAAAATCAAATTGAATGTGCATGAACAACAGCAAATGAAACGTTGCCATTTGTCAGCCCCAATATTTATGCTGGGAAAACAAGGACGAACCATCGGCCACACGGGATAGTGCATGGTACATCATTCGTATTAACCAATCATATTCTGTAAGAATGAGCAAACGGGGAAAACAAAGAGCGTTGACGGCCAACGATTTAGACCTATAAGGCTGATGTGAAAGGTCAGGAGTGCATATATAAAAGACGTTTCGCTGACCAATATTACACTCTGTGAATTATTCGGACAACATGACCCACATCATTCTTAGTTTATGGAAAATTACCTTCAACTCTGTCGTATATTACTGTATGGACGACGTTTTTGATGTAAATACTTGTATCATGCGTTATGAATTGGAAGTCGAATCGCTTTTGCTGAATTGGTCCTTTATGGTACAGTGACATGCAAAATCTTCAGGTGTTGACGCGTATATCCTGAAAACGAAGGAAAGAGAAAAATACATCATGTCCTGCATGTACAATGAGTAGGTGACGGTGTAAAAGTTTATGACAAAACCCGTTGTTGAGAACGATGACGCTCAAAGGAAGCAAGGATCAGCTCCTTCGATCCTTTGGTTGACATTTTTTTATTTATCAAATGTCAAAAGGTACGAACTTCATGTTGGAGAAACCATAGTGGATAAGTGGTTTTCTTCAAATGAACGTGTAAATATCTTTTTTTCCCATATGCCCACTCTGAAAATACTGCGAACGGTGCTGTTCAGCTCGATCTGGGATAACTCTTGACGGGCTATCATGAACGACGACAATGGTACGCCATATTCGTGAAAAGGATAATAAGGTATATAGCGTATTCACAACGGTGTGACGCTCCCCATAGCCTCTTGTCAAATGTTGCACGGGAGCCGTACTCATCTATTGCAAAGGCCATCCTTCCAGGCATAAATGGTCTCAGGTAGTCTGGCGTGCAAAGCCAAGTTACAGGTGTGATTTGGCAGAGCAAAAATTAGAGTTTCGGTGTTCCAAAGCAAATTGTCACCGATTTGGAAGCCAAAAATGTTGTGAGACTCTGATAGTGTTGCACATGAGTATGGACCTTCAAGTTTTTTCGCTCATGCTCAATAGACGACGCAGCATAGCAATACATGACGTGTAATAAGTGTCGAAGCCTCCATATACTAAAAAAATAGCAGGAATGTCAGTACTGTTGAAGAGCGCTTAGGATCTACCTTCACGACTAATGTAGGACTAAACTCCAGTGAGAATGGGTTCGGCTTTGTCAGACAGAGTTGGGGTTCTCTAAATGGGATGCAGAGTTCCAGCAAAACAATGAAATCATGCGTACGCGTATATACACGTTCGATTTTTTTGTATGCAATCTAGAACAATCCAAGCAACTATTGCTACAAGATGAATCGCAGAATATACGATACCAGAAGAATAGCATTTAACCTTGGTAACACGATCTTTTAATTCCTTTCATTTTGTCTCCCTTCAATTAGTTGATCCAGCTTGAGGGAAAAAGATCAAATGTTTCGATAAACCGAATCCACGCAATGTACTGGCCCTATCGACGGCGAAAAAACAAGGTACGCAAAGAATAAGAATGATTACCCTAGAATGAAAGAAAACAAAAAAAAAGGCCCACCGTTCATAATGCATAATTTATACAAGTTTCAATGGGGGCACGAAGATCTTTACATAAACAGTCCACCTCCTTTCTTTCTCTTTAATGGAAAATCGAATTAAAAAAAAAAAAGAAAAGAAAAGAACCAACAACAGCGCTATAATTATTTCAGTCACATTTTATGGTTTTTTGGTCCTATATTTTCCATGAAATCATCCATCGCTCTCATCATCTGCATTCCACTCGCCATGTCGAACAATAGCCAACCGTTGCTGAGACACGCGTTGTCTACTGATCAACTTGGGTGTTTTTTCAGTCTCTCCAAGATAAAAATAGCCAGAAACATAATGCACTTTATCAAATAAACGTGCAGCACATCCATACGGCTGTCCATACGAATGTGTGTAAAAGCCTAAACTATCAAAAAGGAGCTGCGGACGCAACCTTTTTTTTTCATCTTTTTTCTACCACCTGTTTTTTGGCTGTCACGTGAAAAGATGAAATATAATTGGCGGTTGATAAGTTCGAAAAAATTCTGCGGATTGGAAATTTGAAACCTTGAACAGTTCAAGGGGAGTGGGAGAAAATGAGTTGTGGCTTATTTTCATTCGATAGGTGGAAAACTTTGCCTAATTTGGATGAATCATCCCAAGCTAAGCCACCGGAGGAAAAAGATATAAATAGAGGCGGTTTTTGTGCGCATTCTTTTTTCTTGCAATCAGCAAAAACTTAGTGGCCTCTTGGGTTTCGTTGGCTTCTTCCGTTTATTTATCTTCTTTTTACCTATTTATTACCATCTATCCGGTTACCTGTCAACCTTCGTTTTCGATTGCCGTAAACGCACATACAACCCACGTACAAAAACCCACCATCATCTTCAGTTATCGTCGCCATGTCCGGATTTAACATCGCCACACCTGCTATGGCAACCCCCGCTGTACAAACCCCTTCTGTTCCTACCCCCCATCACAATTCCACACCATTTGCTTTGCCATCGACACCTGCACCACTCGATGTCCCCACACCTAGCAGGGATCAAAATCCCTACGCTGTGGCGGGCATCACACCCACCTTGCAGTAAGTTGCCTCCCCCATTGACCTTGTTGAGGGAAAAAACAACCGATCGGACTTACCCTTTTTTTTGTTTAATAGAAATATTGTCGCAACGGTTAATTTGGATTGTCGGCTGGATCTGAAGACCATTGCGCTTCATGCTCGTAATGCCGAGTACAACCCAAAGGTACATGTCTGACCAGCAAAAAAAGTAAAAAAAGAAAGAAAGGGAAAAACAAAGACATGGCTGGATATGGGTTGGAAAAATCAGATCTAAATTATCCCCCTTTGCAATTATTAGCGTTTCGCTGCTGTGATCATGCGTATTCGTGATCCAAAGACGACTGCTCTGATCTTTGCTTCGGGTAAAATGGTGGTGACGGGTGCAAAGTCAGAGGACGATTCCAAGTTGGCTGCTCGCAAATATGCTCGTATCATTCAGAAATTGGGTTTCCAAGCCAAATTCACCGACTTTAAGATCCAAAACATTGTGGGATCGTGTGATGTCAAGTTCCCCATTCGTTTGGAAGGTCTTGCTTACTCTCACGGACATTTCAGTTCTGTAAGTAGTCTTTATTTTTTTTTCTTTCTTACACCTTTGAAATGTGTTTTTGGGCAATGTGGTTGACCATCACTAGTATGAGCCTGAATTGTTTCCTGGTCTCATTTATCGCATGGTTAAGCCCAAAATCGTGCTGCTGATCTTTGTCTCTGGCAAAATCGTCTTGACCGGTGCCAAAGTTCGAGAGGAGATCTATCAGGCCTTCCAAGCCATATATCCCGTACTCACCGAATTCCGAAAGCCCTAAACTCCATTTTATTCCACCTCATCTTCATATTCTCTTCGACAGACCCTTTTTTTTTTCTCTTTTATGGAGAGGAAAAAGGTAGGTTTCCATCTTTGTCCATTTTCAACGAAATCCGTATACGCGAAAAAAAAAAACCAGAAAAACAACAATATCAACAAGCAACAACAACAAAAAATTGGGAATCATTTCAATGTTAACGATTTCGCTTAATTCATTTCCGACTCACATTGGCCGTCCAATCTCCCCTATTCTCATCCTATGATGGCCTTTTTCTATGTACAAAGAACTTTTAGTTTTCGTTTACATTTTCTATTATTTCCCCCCCCAAACACTTGTGTAATATATAAAACAATGCATTTAGCCCTTCTTTGTGGTCTTTAAAAAAATCAACAAATTGACAACCATTATATAAAGACATTGACTGTTCTATCCATTCCACCATGCATCATTCTTTTGCTGGAAAGTTGGCCTTTTTTTTTATGTGCAGTTCAATGCATCCAACGCATGATCCAAGTATCATCCGCAATACATCTTTGTTTGTTGATTCATTTAAAGTTTTCATCAAGGCAAAGACGGACTTTATCGGCAGCATAAATGACAACAAGATGACAGTTTCATTTATCCATGTAAAAACAATACAATGCAAATGGCTGAGCCAGTTATTCTGCGATCAAACGCATGGAGGACAAAGAATTGTTGGTCTAAATTTTCCTTCTTTTTTTTTTGTTTATTGTGATGAACTTATTCATACAAAACCTTCTTGGCGAACTGGGGCAAGACGAAAGCGGCCTTGTGGACTTCCGAGTTGTAGTAACGGCAAAGCTTGTCTTCCTGTTCGGGAGTGAACTTGCGAAGAGGCTCACGGAGGTTAGCCTCGGGGTTCTTGGAGCAGAGGATGTGACCGATCTGACCGCTGGGGTAGGTGGGGATGGAAGTGTATGCATATTCGACCTGGGGATAAAGGTTCTTGCAGAAATCCTTGACCTTCTTGATAAGAGGAAGATGGAGCCACATGCATTCACCCTGAGTGCTGAACACACCATTTTCGGTCAAAGCATTCTTCAAAAGCTGGAAGAAGTCGGCACCGAAAAGAGATTCGGCAGGACCTGATGAAACATGAATATCATTATGCATAAGAGAAAATGAAGAAAAAGGATCGAGATCACTCACCATCGGGATCCGAGGAATCAGTGATGATAACATCGTATTGGTTGACCTTGTCCTTCAAGAACTCGAAACCATCACCAATGTGAACTTTGACCTTGGAGTGAGCGAAACCGATGGCCATGTTGGGCAAATACTTCTTGGACACACGGGGAACGGCTTCATCAATATCGACGAGAGTGGCTTCAACAACACTCTCGTGCTTGATGACTTCACGAAGCACACCACCGTCACCACCACCAATGACAAGGACCTACCAGATCCTGACTCAATATCCTGCATACCAACCATCTCCCACATTCTAGTCACGCAATTTACCTTCTTGGGGTTAGGGTGAGAGTTCATGGCAAGATGGGTGATCATTTCTTGGTAACTGACAGTGGACGAAATTCACAATGTCAAAAAAAAGAGGTCGAGATTGGAAGTGGTATATACTTACGAAAATTCATCACGCTCGGTAGCCTGAATAACACCGTCAAGAACAAGGACGTTGCCATAGTTGGAGGATTGGAAAACGAGGACATCCTGGAACTTGGACTTTTCAACGTGGAGGATCTCTTCCACCTTGAGAGCCATGGCTAATCAAACCCGGCTTTAGGACCCTATCACTGTGTACTTGCTCCTAGATTTCTCAAGGAGATCTCAAATGGTTGGGATGCTTACCCTGACCGGGCCACATGGTGGACTTTTCCATGAACCATCCGTCCTTGATGCTGGGGTGAGTCAAAGGTGCAGCCATTATGTAATATATGCCGAGAAAAAGAAGGAGCAAAAAAATTTCTTTGATGCAATAACAAAAACTTTTTTTTTTGCCACCCAAAAAAAAAGGCTCGTGACGTAGGTCTTTTAAATTTTTTTTTTTTTTATTGTGAAAGATGCCCATTGAAACCGTACTTTTCAACATGTACGAAAATGCCACATCAACAAAAGTTGATGGAAAAATATTGATATTGTTTTATTGCTTGTCATTTCTCTGGTTTCAATCATTTGTTGATACAATTGATCCTTTTTGAGCTTGGTTGTCATAACACTTTACGGATAGTTGTATCACCTCTTTTTTTATTGTGCACCAATTTGTGCCCGAGATCTCCCTTTTCTGTAAAGTTTTGCTGTTTTTGTACCGTTAAACGGACATAGCCTTGTTTAGCATCGAGACCGGGCCTTTTTTTATATATTTATGGTGTAATTTTGATTCAATTCTCACGCTATTGTTCACAAATAACACAAAGGTTTATCGGAAAATCTTAGAGCGAAAAATTGAAAAGTATAATATCATACTTACACTTGCATAGCCTTTCCATTCAACGATGGGCTATTTTTCTTTCATTGTCTTTTGTTGGTTTGCTACTAGGAAAATCTCATCATTCTGTTTCATCAATAATATTGATCGGATCGTGTTCAAACAGTCCATACATATCTCGCTATAATCTTTGATTTTGAGTACTTGCAAAGTATTCGAGTCGTCCGCATGCCATTGGCAGAAGATCCATGCTTGATCAGATTTTCCATTGCAGTTTTTGTTCCTAAGAACTTCTGTATAATAAGCGCACAAGGGTCGCTGATTTGATTCGATACTACAGTCAACGTCAAAACACACTCAAGCACTCGACACATGGTGTATGGTATGTGGTGAGGTGATGACATGCTGGAGCTATCTGTTTCTATTGGAAATATTACAAATTGAAGCAATCTTCCCACATATTTCCGCTTCATCGCTCCAAGAAAGTCGATCGCTAGAGCTTCGGGTTACAGTCTCCATGCTTGGTATTACTAAAAGCTTGCAGCAACGAATATCGAATACATTGTCCACTTTGTTTCATTTCCGTCAGTATGTAGAAGGAAAAAGTACGACCAGCAAGCAGTCACCGTGGGAAAATATATCAACGGGCAAGTATCGGGATGTCAGGCAAGCAACATTCTGTCATGATTACAGAGGTCGACTGTGAGTTAACTAGCAATACAACGCCATCGCCCATGGACAGAAAGTGGCAAAAAAAAATGGCAAGTGTGGTAAAAGAAATTTAACCAGAGTTTAATATCAAATTAAAGGAGTATTTGCTTGAAAATACTGGATAAGCATTCCGTCAGTGATGCCGCTCGAGCCAAGTCATTGTGCCGCTTGTGTGTCCATTCCAGCTTGACTCTAAATAACAAAGATTCCCTGCGTTGCGCAGTTGCTATCACTAATGTAGGGAAGGGACAATAAAATCCCAAGAACCGCGTATCAGTCGTTGACAAACTGACGGTGTGCCTTAACTAAAACAATCGAGCTGTCAGACAATGCCCATCTATGCTCTTCACGACTCGAATATAATAACCCGTCTGCGCAGCAAAGGAATGAGTGGACATGTTTTTTTTCATTGTCCGCAGGCCGTTTGGGCCAAGTGGATCAACATGAAAAACAAATCACTCAAAATGACGGACAAAAAAATGACTTTAATCATACATTCTCATCTGCACTATAAGCCATAATTTTGGCTGATGGAAATCTGTCTCGTAATTACATGCAGAAAGATGGTTAAAATAACAAACCTATTTTGGCGCTTGGGCCTATCGATCTGTAAGGCGTCAAAAAAACGATAAGCTGTCGTCTGGTTTCCTGAATAGGCAAGATGTTTGGGGCTTTTCAACTTTTTTTTTTTTTTTTTCCAAACCCGGTTTCCTAAAATAAATTGAATGGGAATCTTCTCTCCATAATGACCTTTTGCATTTATATGATAACTTGTGGACAAAACCTCGTATTTTTGATATTTCCGAATCGTACTACACCAAACTTCATCGTTATCCTCCCCCAAGTCACTTTGCTTACAATGTTAGGACAGCGTGACTTGAATTGAGAAAGACGATGCTTTATAAAAATAAGAAAAGGTTGGACGTTCGCATCGTAAGAGCAATGATGTCCTTTTTACCTCAGCATACGGCCGTCTACTTATTTATTGTATATACAATACTTTATCACCAGTTGAGAGCGCTTTTTCTCATGTTTCAAGTATATTATAAGGACTTGCAGCGGAAGGCTCTTTTTATTTCTTTTGTCGGGATGACAACAGAACGGTATAGCTCAGACTGACTAAAGAGTGGTCTCGTACAACGTGATCACAAGACTAACTTGATTTTGACAAGCGTTAATAGATAGCAGAGCGATTGAGTGGTTTTTTGTATTTTTTAAAATGCGTTGCCATGGTTAGATTAGCAAGAACGCTATGCTCGACCTTGGAGAACTTCCACCATGTTGACAGATAAAATCACGAGATCTGCACCATGCACGCGGATAAGAAACATAAATAGATGATGACATATCATTGCAGCTTTTGAGTATGTTGTGTCTGTTTCCTGCCAAATCGTTCTCTTACATAATGATCGGCAAATAAAGAATAAGTTTGCATCAGTTTAAGCAGATCGCAAGTTTGTCAATCTAGATTCTTCTACAAATCAAGAAAAAACAAAAGTGTTGACACAAATTAACATTTGGTTCCTTTCCTTTCTTGTCCGGTTGCGATGATGACGAAGTCATCTTTACTAGGAAATATCAGAGAACGCGTGTGTTTTGGGCTTCGTGTGTTTCCCTATTACATGTGGTTTTGTCATTCGACTTACCCATTGGCCGTTCAATGGTGCTGTTTCAGTCAAGACCAATGGTGTTCTAGTGTTGGATATTCTGATTGGATGAATGGGAAATTTAAAAAAGGTTAGTGTGACATGAGGAAGGAGGCGGGAATCAGTAGAATGGTTTTTTTTTTTTTTTCATTGTGCTTTGGGGGACTTATTTCCGACGGCGGATTGGGGGGATTATCAAATAACAATCACACCAAGGCCACGGTAGCACAGATGCTGTGTGATGTCAGGGCCAACTCTGACGGTCAACGGTAAACAAAACATTGAAAGGCATTGAACTGCATGTTTTTTTACGTGAATTCCCAATGTGCTCATTCAACCCCGTTGGCTGCTTGCTTGCATTCTTTTACGGCGATTTCTTTTACCGAATGCCATTGACGACATGAATCTTCATCTGGATTAGTGGGAACAAAGAAAATGCCCTTTTTTTGAAATTCAGTTTTAGTTTATCGTAACGTTGGTGATTTTTTTGATTTTCATTCACTTTGGTATTGTACAAATTGACATTCACGGTGAGAAAACGAAACCCTTGAAATAGCAAGAGAATTTCCGAAATAGTCAGTGTATGCATCGTTAGCTCATTTTTTTTCTGTTCACGCTTCTAGAACATCGACTTGTCTACAAGTTTTTTTGAGAAAAGGAAAAGAGATGGTGTAAAATCGGAATGATCGGAAACTTTAAAAAAATCATATTCCGCTCAGGGACGTTGATGCAGATCTGGGTATTGAAATTATTCGTTTTTATTTTATTTTTATTTTTCTGTGATGTTTTCCATATTCTTCAAAACTCATCATACCTTTTTATTTTGTCATTGACATGCTTCAATGTCCGATGGAAAGCCGGTAAGATCGCATGTTGTGAAAAAAAAAAGTCAAAGTTCTCAAAAGTTTAAATGTTTCATATAACCTTGGTGTGCAACCACCCTCTTTTTAAAGAACCGTCGTTTCAAGTAGTAAACGGGATGAGCAAAACTAGAGTCAAATAACATGAGATTATCCAAAATCTCAGAAAGGACTACTGCTTAGTATACTATTCAAAATGGCATGCCACTGTCGAAAAGGAAAGAAACAAGAGGGAAAAGAAAAAGCTTATTTCTGCGCTGCGGAGCTTGAGCATTAGTGGATTTCGTCATGGTTGCTCCATTTGAAATCTCGTGGCATTTATCCTGTAAAATACGTTCGGTGGATGATATCCCAGCCATCTGAAATGAATTAATGCAGCTAACCATGTTTGGAATATGGAGCTAAGATGATGCGGATGGCTGGTTTTCAACAGAGCGTCATGGCATCCCACCTGCGAATGAAGCCACGGCGGTCCGAATTAGGCATGTGTACGTCATATTATCCAAAAACAGTCGATTGTTCAAATCCCACTCGCACCCTAACAGTTTTGTTTCGTGTGTGTGCGTTTTTTCCCTTCAATCCTCACTAGTGTCCTTTCCGAGCGTTTTCTGGCACTCTAATCTCTTTCGGTTACTGTCAAAATCAGCTTGATCATTCCTTGATCAGTTGTTTTCAATCGGTCAATCTTTTCCAAGAGTCTATACTGGTTTCTGCTTTTTTTTCGTTCTTGGTTTTTTTTTTTTTTTTTACCCCTCCCCCTTTTTCCATCCTGAACACTCACCACCACCTTGTTCTCTGTGTCGTACACGATCGGCTCGTTTACTACACCATTCGTCTCCCGAACGTCACTTACCGTCGAATTTACGCAAACTTTCACTCATTTTTTACGTCCTTGTCACTCTTTACACCATTTCTAATAACGAGCAGTTGCAACCTGGACGTTGAACTGCGCTGATTCCGCTCAAATCCTCTCTGTTAATTCGCATACGAACCTTGGCACAGAACCAAAATTTGTCCTTGTCCCACTTGTATCGCGCATGACTAGGTAAGTGGTGTATAGACAATTCCATTAGATCTATCCATGATATATATGTATATATAAAAGGGAAAAAAAAGGGAAAAGGTCATGGAACTAAATTTTTTTTTCTTTTCTTTTCGTGATCCCTGGATCGGACGTATAGTGCCAGTTCTTCACCGGAAAAATCCATCGACGCTTCATCGGCAACGACCAAATACCATGCTCAATTGTATTCTGGGCAAAAACAACTTCAAAAACGTCAATTACAACAAAAGGGACGACAGGAGGATTCGTCCCACCACCATCCGACGTTGAGTAACGGAAAACCGGCCGGACCGCCTTCTTCCCACTTTGGGGTCTTGGCTTTCGAGCCACCCAATTTGTATCGTACCTCGCTCCGACTCACCACGGAACGGGATATTCACCCATGGTGGACGACCCTGGTCGATATCTTGTCGGACTCGTCCTTTCACGCGACACGCATAACGCTCAGCATACCCCAAGATCCGGACGATCCCTATTCGACCCCGTGGGGATTGAAAGCCGTGTACAACAAACGACATCCCACCGCGCACAGTGACGACAACAGTGATCATCAAGCTCGTTCGGAAACGTCAGAATCGTCTGCCAATGAACAGAATGAGGGAGATTACTTTCTACACAATCATATTGCTCATGAAAAACCTGCAGCGTCATGTCATATCCCATGGTGCTTTGACCGTTTGCAGCCATTTGAGTCTGAACCGGAACCATTGATTCACAACCCTAGCGTGCAGCGCATCCTGAAAAGAAATGCCACGGTGATCTTATCAAGAGAGTATCGACAACGGTCGCAACATCCGAATTCGCTCCAACCGAGACCTCTTTTAAAATCCTTTGCTCAGGAAGACGGGCATGAGATGTTTCGACGGGCCTTGTTGGAACAGACCGAAAAGTCATCCCGAAGACAGAATTGGAATCCGCCAGTGATTACGACTCCGTGCTTGCATAAACTCGAAGAAGGCGATGGCAACGATCTGTTGACGGAATCGGAAATCCTCGTCGATGCGTCCAAAGTCAATGGTGGCATGGAAGACGGGACGGCCACCACAGCTACCACCCCTGAGGTGGGATCTTTCTTCATGTACGATTACGACGAATACGAACAGCAGCAACCTTCACCGTGGTCTCAGTCACCTGCTCCTTCCCCAGCCATGATGGATCCCGATGTGAATCCTTTCTTTCTTACTCCACCTGATATAGACGATGATGCCTTCAACCCTGTATCGCCAGAAACCTACAATAATACGTCGATACCATTCCCTCCTCCTGCTTCCAACGTCCATTCCGTCGTTCACATTCCTCTCGTCCGTCCTTCCGATGCTGACCTCCATGCCTCTTCCGATCACAACAGTCATCGTTCATCGTCCGTTCATCGTAGTCCCTGCAGTATTTCACCTCCCATCGCAATCTTGTCGTTCTTGACCCCGGTCGTACCATACCCTCCCGTTCTGATCAATAGCTTAAATTCGCTCTCCCCTTTTATTGCCAATAGTTTCGCTAATGCCATGGAAAATAGTCGCATTTTAAAACAGAATCGACTCTACCGTCATCCATCGGCCACCCGTCAACGCACCCGTCCCAGTGTTTCGACGACGACCACCGACTCCCCCGCTACGACGACGATCCATTCATCCTCCTCTTCCTCCTCCGCACCCAAAGAATTGGATCCCAACGATTCAAGTCTACCGAAACCGACGCCCGGAACAGACACCGATTCAGCCATGTCCACGCCCACCGTGGCCGCGTACGCTTCCAACGCCAATTCATCGGGGCCCACTTATTTAGCCCATACATCTCATGTGATGCGAAGTTCCCTCGAGACCGTCACTGAACATAATATAGATTCTCATCGTCGCTCCATCCCTCACAGTATCAATGAACTGGCCAATGACGACGACCTTCACACAACCGGCCATTCGTCCGATGTTTCATCGTCTTCCTTTGATTCGGCCTTCTCCGTTTTCTCCGCTCCCGCCAGTTTCTCGGTCACCCACGCATCGCAACCTGGCGATCCTGCCAAAGATCAACAGCATCCCATTTATCGGAAAATCGCCCGTCAACTCGCAGGCCAAACGACCATGTCGTCGACATGTCCTTCGTGCGGTCAACCCAGCTCCACCTTGCCTGATGCTTGGGCAGCCTTGTCCCCGTCGTCGGCAGCTATCCTGGAAGGTTGGGATGCGATTTCACCTACCACAGGATTACCGATCCGACCTTCAATTCCGCCGCGGTCCATGTGCAGCAAAACGGGCTGCAGCGTTAGTCATCGGAAACCCAAACCGTCAGAAGTCTGGCCCTTGTCAACTGACCAAGGCCGGAAACCGTCCCGGCAAAACAAGCATACCTACCGTAGAAAATCAGAAAATTTACCGCAGGGGCGGTCTTCGAGGCCGGTCATTCGAAAAAAACGCAAAGGCATTTCTTCTCGACCGTCACATCGTCGTTCGGCCCGCCAGTGGCAAGATATTGACGAGATATCCGAGGACGATGGATTTCACTACCATCACAGCGTGCCCATGAGTCGTGAAAATTCCAATTCAAGTTCAAAGAACGACGGGTTCGAGCCTTATTTGGTAGCTCCCAAATCGAGTTTGCTTCGGCTCGTCATTGACGGCATTCCCATCCACGTGTTGTAAGTCTTGTGTTTTTATTTTTTGGTTGTTATGGTCATCCCTCATCTTTTTTTTCATGCACATATTCATCATTCGTCGTTTCGTTGTTAATAGCACATGTTCTACCGTCACTGGGCAGGTTATCTGGGTCAATAATCGAATTTTGCAGTATACAGGACGCTCGCTGCAGGAACACTTGGGTCCTCACTGGCTATCGCATATGCACCCGGACGATCGTGAAAAGTGTCAGAAAACATGGGACACGGCGTTTGAACAAGGCAATGGATTCGCAGGCGAATATCGTCTTCGTCGTTTCGACGGTATGTATCGATGCTTTTTATGGCGCATTGTCCCCCTGCGCAACCTCAAAGGCCGTATCATCCATTGGTTCGGTTCCTGGTAAGTGTAGAAACAATTCAACTGACCGTCTCCCTTGCATCTATTGACGCACGGATTTTTTAATGAAAAAAAGTACGGATGTGCATGACCAGCATATGGCCCAAGAAAACAACTTGCGACAGATCGAGACGGTGAATAACGAACGTAAATACCGTCTGTTGGCGGAAGCGATTCCTCAAATCGTTTTCACGCTCCTTCCCGGGATCGGGTTGACGTACGCAAATGGCAACTGGGAAAGCTATTCCGGACAGGATCTCGAAAAGACTATGGGACTAGGCTTCATGTCGCAAGTGCATCCTGAAGATCGACAAAAACTCCAGTTGCCCGATCTTGTCCCGGAGAACATGGCCGGCATCGCGTGGCACAATGAAGTTCGTCTTTTGAGCAGCCAAGGCGATTATCGATGGTTCCTTGTCAAATGTGTTTCCGTAGATGAATCCAATACTGGTGACATTCGCTGGTTCGGTACTTGGTAAGTTTGATTTTTTTTTTTTTTCACTGGCTCGGATTATATGAGTTTCCCATATTCACATTGATTTTTGATGATTTTCGATATTTTCGATAAAAGCACCGATATCAATGATCAGAAACTGTTGGAGCACAAACTGAAAGAAGCCCATGATGCCGCTCAAAAATCCACGGAAAGCAAGACCCGATTCTTATCTAACATGTCGCATGGTAAGGATTCCCAAGTAAAAGGCCATTCAACCCACGGGGTATTCACGTTTGTTGTCGCTGCTAATAGAAATTCGTACGCCTCTGATTGGTATCACTGGTATGCTGAACTTTTTGCTGGATACGGAGCTGACGGCGGAGCAAATGGACTATGCCCACACCATTCAACAGTCGGCGGAATCGCTGCTGGTGGTGATCAACGACATTTTGGATCTCAGCAAAGTGGAAGCCGGCATGATGAAACTCGAGTGGGAACCGTTCAGTTTGATGACCATGATTGAGGATGCCAATGAATTACTCTCCACACTGGCCATTCAAAAAGGACTCGAATTAAGTTTCTGGGTCGATGAAGACGTGCCTGATGTAGTGATCGGCGACCGCGTACGGTTACGTCAGGTGCTCTTGAATTTAATTGGCGTAAGTGGGAAATCTTTTCTTATAGATTCCTTGCAAAACTCAATGATACTGATACTGCGTTTGTAATGCAGAATGCCATCAAGTTTACGTCGGTGGGTGAGATATTCACGCAGTGCACACTGCAAAAGACGGAAGGCCAAGAGGCCATTCTGTTGTTTGAAGTCGTGGATACTGGTGCTGGATTCGATGCTGAAGGGGAAGCGGTTATTTTCAAACCGTTCTCTCAAGTGGACAACTCGGTAAGGAAGAAACACCGTTGTACAGTTTTTTGGTCGACAGGTTCCTATAACCTTTATTCTTTTGGCAGAGTACGCGGAAACACGGCGGCAGTGGTCTTGGCTTGGTGATTTCTCGCCAACTGATTGAATTGCACGGAGGACGAATGAGTTGCAAGAGTGAAAAAGGCAAAGGATCGACTTTTTATTTCACCGCCAAGTTTGGCATTCCCACTGGAGAAATGCAACCTCGGCCACACACGCCTCAGCACGAGACGAGCAATGATCCCTTCTTTAGAACGAACAACGCGTATGCTATTACTCATGATGCTTCGCCCGTCCATCCTCTATCGCAGGAGAAATCCGATTCCACCAATTTGACCGCGTCACCTCTTGCCCATTCGCTGAAACACTCGCAAGCCAATGGTGCGCCAAATTCGGTCGAGTTGTTACACGATGCTTTGATGAACAAGGCCGCATCCATGCGTCTGGTGGTGCCGCCGGCTCGTAACGGCAAACTGTCACCTCCAGTCGCTGAAAAGGCCAAGCAACGGAGTCAAGAGACGAAGAACGGGTCGCTAGGAAATGGTGAGGCGTTGTCAAGCAAACCGTGGCCCAATGGGTCTCTCATATCACCGAATATGATGTTGCCGCCTCGCACGCCACTGGATGGACGCACTTCGCGGGTCTTACTCGTGTCGGAATGGCCGCATGCTCGTGAAACGTTGGCGAAACACATTCGATCGCTTCTCGGCAACATGACGACGGTATCTGGACGTTACCACTTGGATGTCATGACCAACCATTTAGAAACGATCCAGTTTCTGGTGGATCCTCACACGGCGGCGTTTGATTACATTGTGATCAATTTATCTTCAGAACAACACATCCTGACTCTGACCCGTAGTATCTGCAGCTCATTCTCACAGCAAGAAGCGAATGTGGTCATTGTCACGACACCTATGCAGCGTTCGATGATTGTGGAAAAATGCAAAGCACTGGGCGACGGGACTATGCCGCAAAACTGTGCTTTTGTATTCAAGCCTATCAAACGAAGCAAAATCAATTGGTTCTTTGGCATTCGTCACGGACAATCCGGCAAAGATCATCAGGAGACAACGGCACCCCCTGACGCTCCGCAACGCAGAGCGGCCACCCAAAAGGAAATTTTTCGCAAGATGGAAGCCGACGTCGGTGGTCGAGGTTTCCGTGTCTTGCTGGTAGAAGGTAATGTCATATATGGATGTTTGTGTATCAATTCAAATAGTTGGCTTATGAATACCATTCAATGTTTCTTTTTTTTTCCGTTAGACAACTTGGTGAATCAAAAAGTATTGACGCGATACCTGGCCAGAGTTGGTTTGGAGGCAGATGTTGCTGCTGACGGCAAGCAGGGACTGGACATGTTTTTAGCCCACCCTCATGACTATTACTCGTTAATTCTGTGTGATTTATTCATGCCTGTCAAAGGTAAATCCAATGGTACAGAGGGAGATGGAGTGATGTGAATGATATTGACTTGAAACGATTTACAGATGGATATGAGACGACCAAGGAAATACGAGAGTGGGAAGCGGAACATCTCGAGACCAATACCAAACGGATTCCTATTGTGGCGCTATCGGCCAATGTGATGAGCGATGTAGCGAGCAAGTGTCTAGCGAGCGGATTCACTACGTACATATCCAAGCCTGTTAATTTCGCCGTACTGAGCGATGTAATACGAAGCTGTTTGCTTTGACAATAGACCCCATTTACCATTTGATATATTGTCACTTCCTTTTTTTTTTCCTCTGTTGTATGCTGTGAGATGACAGGAAAAAAAAAAGCGTACCCGGCACTACCCACCCTATCCTGTAATATGGCGTCTTTTCCCCTCTCTCCTTTTTTTCACAGTAAGTTTAATTCCATTTTTCTCCCATCTAATAGTTTTTCGTTGTTGCATATTTTTTGTACTTTAAATGTATTTTCTTTTGACCATGGATTCCTTTTACATTGAAAGCGCGGAATAGCATGGTTTTGTCAAATAACACGTCGATAGCTGCAAAAGACATGCATCGATTTTCCATTGTCCAAAAAAAGAGACGATGATATTTGTCACTGGAAATGAATCATCAAGATTCCCAGGCGCTTTCTCATTTTTAGTGGGGAAGAGCGGGGATCATTTTGTGAGGCACGTGAAAATGAGCGAACAAATGAAATCCAAGTCCTTTTTTATATGCTGAGTTGTTCTCCTTACATCCTGCTATTTTTTGGTTGCCACATTTTCGATACATACTGAATCATGGCATCTGTAGCTACTACGCAAGTTTTCAAACAAGATATTTTTGCCGGCAAAGTACTGCTGTGTACCGGTGGCGGAAGTGGCATTTGCCGTGGAATGACTGAAGCCATGGTGCGTCATGGTGCGAAAGCTGTCATTGTGAGCCGAAGGTAGTGCATAAGTAGTCATGTTGTCTCTGCTGGTGGACTGATGGGATAATGGCCTTTGTATTATATACAGCAAAGATAAATTGGAACAAGCAGCAAGAGAAATGAGCCAAGCTACAGGAGGTGAAATCATGTAAGTATTTTCTTTCCATTGCATGGCGTGGCCTATTTGAGGCGTCCGTATTTGTCTAATGATAATTGAATGGAATCGTGAATACTATAGTGCTGTGGCTGGTGATGTGCGCAAACCTGCAGATGTGGAAAATGCAGTGAAGCAAACCGTTGAGCGGTTTGGACGGATCGATTTCTTGATCAATGGTGCGGCGGGCAATTTCTTGGCGCCTTTCCAGAATCTGTCGTACAATGCGTTTCGCACCGTCATTGAGATTGATCTTCTCGGCACATTCAACATGACCAAAGCTGCGGTGGAACACATCAAGCAGGCCAAAGGTGCCATCATCAACGTCAGCGCCACCTTGTATTACACAGGCACTCCATATCAACAACACGCAGGATCGGCTAAAGCGGCCATTGATGTAAGATTGATGGGCACTGGCCATACTACGACCTTGACCTAAATATCGATCGTTTTTTCTTTCTCTTTGCCTCACTTGTAGGCGTTAACAAAGCACTGGGCGGTTGAACTCGGTCCTCATGGCGTTCGTAAGTTAAAAGACGGTTTCTACCTAATCAAGGAAGAAACGAAATGATTTAACCTGATATTCGGGTGTTGACTGATAGGCGTCAATGGTAAATAACCACTCGGATAGTACTCGTATGATAAGCTACTAAAATTTTCAAATTTGTTCATCTGTCAACAGGCATTGCCCCTGGACCTATTGTAAGTGATACATTGAATTTTGCGCGAGCCATTTTATCTAAATCAGGATCATTTCTAGGGAAACACGGTAAGCTGAGACAAAGTGGCGCAAAAAAAGGGGGACTGACAGATTGAAACAAAAAAAAAAAAAAAACCAGGTCGGTATGGATAAACTAGGCCTTGGATTCGAGGTAGAAAGCATTCCGATGCAGGTAAGTTTTTATGCCAATGATCCATGAAAAGGAACCTCTGTATTCAAAGAGAAAAAAATATTTTCGCATCAGCGAATGGGTGATGTCCAGGATATCGCGCAATCCACTGTATTTTTATTTTCAGAAGGTGCCAACTGGATTACCGGTGTGACATTGGTTGTGGATGGTAAGTACGCGGATTTAGGGACAAGCAAGAAATCAAGCAAAAAGACCGATTGGGATTTTTCTTTCTTACGTATACGGCTAATAGGAGGTCAATGGATGAATCCCAACTATATTGCTTACCCCGCCATGGTCCTCACGCCTCCTCAAGGAAAGCTCTAGAGCAACTTTTTGGATGTATAAGTTATAACACATGTGTATCTATACGGATTTAAATATATCAACATGTTGATTGTATCCGGGTGACTTTGGTACATATATGACTGTTTCCTCCTCATGAACGGTACTTAAGAGCGCGCATGGCTTCTAATGGAATGTTCCAACAGGGCAGGTAAAAACTCAGGTAGATCTTTTTCTTATTCAGACGATCATTTTTTTGTGTGGCCGTGGACTAGGATAAATTGAAGGATTCTGATACGGCAGCAAAAAAAGCGTATTTTCGTGTTTGGCCAATGAAAAGCGAGAGTTCCATCTGATAGATATTTTGTATTCCAGCCGAAAATAAGTGGAATGGAGTTTTTTACGACAGGTGGTGCGGGTAAAATAAATTATACCAAATAGGCATGGCCCAGAGAAATACCAAAACGTGCCGGTCCTTGATTACCGAAATTTGCTAAGTGACAGAAAAGGATATTTTTTTCTTCTTGTTTGTGCGACCATAAAGTTTATTTCAATTCCTGGTGTGGCTATCATGGTGCTTCCCCGGCATACAGCCTCATTTGCCGGTACAGATGATTCGGCGTGACAGGACCCTTTGATTTGCAAATAAAGCCATGCTTTTTGAATGAGGTGTTCTTTATCAATGCATAAGAAAAAAAAGTTTAAGGAGGTGAAAATTGGTCATCTTGAGTTTGAAGTGAAAGGAGAGGAAAATTGAATACCAGACTGAGAAACACGGTCCGTGGATGAACGTTGGTTGCTGCACAACCCCAGTCGTTGGCATGGTAAAACAAACAATAAAACGTGATATTCATCTCCAGCAGAAATTTTTGGCCCACAGCCATGGAGAGATCGTGTCGCATCCTTATCAGATCTCGAACACAAATTGTTCAACTACTGAGAATTAAAAAAAAAAAGTCAAGGAAAAAGGAAAAAGTTTTAGCGCTTTCTCCGCACTTGATGAACGGAAACAAAGTGGAGTAAAAAAAAAAAGAAATCCAGTTACCACGATAAATGACTCAATGTGATCTTGAATTTTCAACCACATTACCTATGATCTACTCTGGTTAATTCACCCAAGTTGCATGATACTGTCCATTTTCATCCATGGAGAAAAACAAAAATCAGGAAATAGAAAAAAAAAAGTAGGGATAGATTCCCGTCGGTAATAGAGAGCGCTCTATTTTGACCTTGCTCTGTTTTGTTTTTACACTAGTTTACTTTCAAACCATCCCAAAACATGCACCCAGTCCGAGAACCCTTCCCACTTGAATGATGTCAATCCATTGGATGCGTTATGATGGATGACAAGATCCAAAAAGCACGCAAAAAAGGACCAAACCAGCTGACGATAACACAAAAGAAAAAAAAAATCTTGGTATAAAGAATGATGGACGACGCCTTGTTGAAGATGGTTTGACTTATCATGGAAACGTCAGTCGTACAATAGGTCAACTCCGCTTAAAGCTCCATCGTCCTTTTATCTGATCTTTTTTTCGAGTTCCTCACACTACTTTCCGACATTTCTTTCTTTTTCCGTCTCTCATCTCCAGCTTTTTTATTTATTTATTTTTTTTCTTTCTTTCTTTTTTTCGTAATCTAACAAACCAGACTTCATCCTTTCATCATGTCAAGAAGAGGAACGTATCATTCCTATGAATATCTGCCTGCATGTCCAGACACGCCAATGATCCAAAAGTAAGTCTTGTATTTTTTTTAATGGAGAAAAAAGTGCAGAGAATCTTACTTTTTCATTTTTTTTTCCCTTGCAGTCAGTTTCATCTCCAAATGCGCCAACAGCCAATTCAAGCCCGTATCAGCACCAACAACGAAAAAGGTATTTTCCTTCACCCATGCTTTTTTTTATTTTGACCGTGCCATGTTCAACTTTTTAGCTTTTGTTTAGATCGTCGTGTGATTGATCCACCCCCCATCATACAAATTCGTCCAAAGATAACCACCCTGCCATTTTCACAGTATGTTTTTTTTTCTTTTGTTTATTAATTTTTCTGATATTGAAACTCATTTTATTATTTAGAAATTTCCTCCAGAATGCCTATGTATTCATGTGTGCCAACCTTGCTCATCCCACCAATGACGATGAGATATACACGCCAAATCATAATGCCCTTTCAGGACAGACCGTGTCATCCATGTATCGTCTGAAAGATGTCGATAATCATGGTAAGCATCTAACTTCGTTTTTTTTTCACTAATGTATCGCGCATCCATTTTTTTTTGATAAGCTCAATTTTTTCTTTCTTTCTTTGTCTCTTGCAGATGGTGGCTTCTTCATTTTTGGCGATTTGTCTGTCAAAGTGGAAGGACGGTTCAGACTAAAGTTTTCAGTGTTTGAAATCACGCACACTGGCGCGGTGTGCTTGGAATCCCTCTTCTCTGAACCATTTATCGTTTATTCTGCCCGAGCTTTTCCCGGCGTGCTTGAATCCACCTTTTTATCACGCTCCTTTTCAGATCAAGGCGCTCGTATCCGTATCCGTAAAGAGAACCGCAATCGATGGTATGGAAGTAACCACTTTTATATTCCCTTCAATCTATTGACGTTTTCATTTCTTGCAGTGTGACAACATCCCAATGTCTCAAGCGACGCTTATCTGCCGCCAGCGATGACCATGACCTTCAACGTCGACATTTATTACCGCAACCAGTGTCACAGATGCCCGCCCAACCGATGCAAACGCAATCGATGCCAACGCCGCTTCACCTGCGCACGGATAATATACCGTGTGCCAACTCTGGCTGGCATGCAACTACTTCACCGCCGTCTACCACCCCCGTCCCAATGATTGCCAAAAAGGAAGCGTCGCCCGTCATGCATCCTGAACGACGCGACAGTCTCGGCAGTACCGAAACAGACAGTACGTGCGACGACCACAGTCCTCGGTCGACGCATTTCTCTTTAAGTGCTTTTCGTTTGGCTAAACCAGTGACCCCTACGTTGAGTCTCGAGACGCCATGCCCCGTCTATACGTGCACGGATCGTCCATTCGCAAGTTACGGCCAGGATCACGGGTTACTTTTCTCTCCTCTGCCCAAGCAGATGCATTCATCACCAGTATCTATGCCCACTGCTCCTCCTCCTTCATTATTCAGCAGTGTCAATGAAGTGCGCTTGCCTCCCCTTCGTCATATTTTAAATAACCAGGAAAAGCCCGTGGAACACGATGCAGCCGCAGCCATGATTCAACTGGCCAAGCCGACTCATGCACCTTTTGCCGAAGACATGTTCCACCAACGTAAACTGGTTCCCTTTTCACAGCTGTCCTGTTCTTCCAAGCCCTCCAGCCCTGGAGTGATGGTATTCCACTGATTGCAGGATCGATCGTTTTTGCATTCAAAAATGTTTTAAGAAACACCATCCTTTTTTACCTTGTATTTATTTTATTCTGAACTTTCCTCACTCCCCGCTTTGCACTCGGTTCTCTCCATCTCCCCGCTCCCCTCGGACTATTTTCTGATGATCTCCTCCCTCACTTCTACTGAAATGTCATCCTCTGTATATAATTTGCCCCAGTTCCCTATCAATACAAAAGCTCTAGTTTTCATCGCGCAAAGCACATTACTGCAACTAAATATCCGCTTTTATATTCACCCGACACTCGCTCACCCATCATTGCAATGAATGATAGGTACACAATGGATAGCAAAATTACATCTGAACGGTTTCAATCGACCAATCGACCAATCGTTCAGAAGTATTTATAAATTATCGATCTAAAAAAATGAGATCGTTTCACACCATCTGATAAGCCAACTGTGTAACTTAACAAAAGCGATTTTAAATGTAGGGAAATGAACCAAAAACTTCTGTTTTTTTTAAAAAAAAATATGAATGACTAGGTTTGCTTAAGTGGTAGCATCAGTCGCTCAATTTCTGATAAAGAAGAAACCAGACAACAAAGTGGAGTCCACCATGTTAAATAATAACGTTTTTATTGTGATTACTTTTTCTTTGATGATGAGATCAAGATTCGCTTAAGCAGAGTGAAGGGTTTCCAAGAACTTCTTGGAAGCAGCAGTGCTGGCACCCTTCTTCTTGGGCTGAACCTTGGAAACCTTGCCAGAGGCGCGCTTCTCGGAAGCCAAGATTTCGGCGCGACGGAGGACCTGAGCATAGGGGTTGAGGCGGTTCATGACACCCTGGTTGCGAAGAGGGTTCTTCTTCTGGGTGTAAGGGCGCTTCTGGATCTTGGAACCAGCAGGACGTACGACAGACTGGATTTCGTCAGAGTTGATCAAGCGAGCGACATCAGGGTTGGTCATGATGTGAGCAGGCAAGACGTAGTTGCTCTTCAAGGTAGCGGGGGTCTCGTAGGTACCGTAGAGTTCATCCAACAAGGCAAATGCGCTCTTGGTCCAGACGATGAAACGGCCCAAGTGACCACCGGGAGCCAATTGCAACAAGTTCAAACGACGGACATTGACAAGTTCAACACCGGGCAAGTTGCGGAAAGCCTTGACAATACCGTTGTCTTCGTTGTAGATGACAAGGGGACCACGGCGCTGGCGGTGACGACGGTTGCGAAGCTTACCGAGACCAGCACGGAGTTTACGGGAGTTGGAGACCTTGACAACGTCAGCATAGGCATTGACGGACTTCAACAAGGCAACGGCCTCCTTGGTCTTGGTCAAAGATTCGATACCGTTGTCCAAAACAAGAGGAACTTCCTCAATCTTCTCCACGCGATGACCACGAGCCATGACCAACGAAGGAAGAGCCGAAGCAGCCAAAGCCGAAGCAGTGGCAAAACGCTTTTGGTTCAAGTTGGTCTTGATGTGCCACTTGCGCCAGGTCTATTATTTTTTAAAGGATCGTTAAAATCAGATTCTTACTGCGCCACACAGTGTTGAATCCGTGCATAGAACGAATGATCTTGTCCAATGATTTTTGAGTAATGAAAGTTACCTTGGTAGGAGCGAACATGCGACCACCACGGCACATGTTACCGAAAGCAGCCTGACCAGCACGGTGGGTACCGGAACCGTTGACACGGGGAATACGGGCCACAGCGCGACCAGTACCCCAGGATTCAGCGGAAGTCTGGTGACCAGCCTTCTCAGAGACAGCGTAGGGCTGACGCTTGTTCTTGGCCATGTTGGTGTGGACAAAGTTGACAATGTCGGGACGAATGGGGGCCTTGAAAACGGCAGGGAGAGGCACGGTACCGGCAGTACCCTTACCGGACTCGGCGTATACGTTGATGACAGGTCTAGCAGCAGCGGACTACATCAATAAAAGAGATAAGGGATGTCAGATGAAAAGCGTAAACCGATTATCGTTTTCTTATCGACCCATACCATGGCTGTGGGATGGATGGATGGAGGAAAAGGAAGGATGGATGGATGGACCACTTCTTGTATTTTATTGCAGCTCCGCTCATATCAAGTTACAAACTGTTGGCCCAGTAAAAATTTCAACCGAGCATGAATATCATGAAAATTTTTATTTTCAGAATCTCATCTGGCTCATGATGAGTTATAGGTCGTAGTTGAAAACGAGCACTAAAATTTTCCCTAGTGGATACTACCCTCTTGGGTTGAACAGCGTTTATTATGACAAAAAACAGGCTTTCATTCCACTTGCATGGATACAGGTCAGGTCATTGATCTTGTGGGCCACTGACTAAAAGACCGCCTGAAAAAATGAGCTCGGCGGCCATTATAGCTCGATTCCACACGTTTTACACGCCAGTACAGCATGGTGCTTAGGTTCTTCCTTCGTTACTGGCCGGGAAACTGCATTGTTCCTGACTCAACCAGTGGTTTTGATATTCAATTAACAGAATTTAAATAAACGAATCAGTCAGGAAATAATGTCGTTATACAGAAGAAAAATGATACAAGGAGGAGGAGGAGGGTTATCAAGGCTCTTGACTGTTACTCATACTCATGCCACTCTGTCCTACTTCCAAGCTACCAGTTAGCAGCTTCTTTACGGCTAAGAGAGTTTGGAAAGTCAGGAAGTAGGCATTGCTGAGTATGCTATATATGAGAAGGTCAAAGGAACCTAACTGGGCTTCTTTAAAGTATATTTTCTTTTTTTTTTTTTAAAAAAAAAAAAAAAAAAAAAAAAAAAAAAGAGGGGAAGAAAGAAAAACTAATAGCCAAAAGCAGCATGAGAGCGCGGGATTGTTATTTTTGCTCCCAGTGTTGTTGTTGCGAGAACCCAAACACTTGCAAGACAGCCCTGGTTCAAGTAGTGGTTGTGATAAATCAATTAAATAAATTTTTAAATAAACAGACCAGTAAAGATCAATGATACAGAGGAAGAATGCTACAAGGATGAATGATGTATGACAGAGTGAGAGGGCTCTTTATGTTTAAAATATTAAGCCCATTTTCCTAGCAAAGACATAAGGCCTGCCCCGATGTACATAGCTAAAAAGCAGGCAATCTTGCGGTGCGTGCAAGTTTTTCTAAAGTCATGGTTGTGACTAATTTCCATGCTCATAAGAGAGACGTAAGCATTGTAGAGAAGAATACCCGCCGAAAGAGAGTCCAGGATGGCGTTCGCGAGCACCGCCGAGTAAGAACCAGGATTAAACGAACTGTGAATGCCGATACCAATGGCAACGCCAATGGGTGTCATGATAATATAAAAGAAGCCCATGATGACCGGCTTGAGGCACCCTTGGTAAGACAGCTCATTGATACGTGTACCAAGCGCCATGCCTTCAAAGAACTAACACAACAGCAATATTAATATTAGATGTCAGTCATAAAAAAGGCACCCGGATTTCTTTTTCCCAAATGTACCTGATGGAAAACGAGGGCAATCAAAAGCGTGGTAAATTCGCTGTTGCCCGTATTGGCGAGGGTAATACCGATGAGAATGGAATGCATCATAATACCGAGCTCCAGGATATAGGTTCCCACATGCTTAAAGGCATCTTCTTCCATTAAGCCTCCAGCGTGGGCGTGGGCATCGTAGTGACAGGTATCGTCAGCGTGAACTGCCGATACTTCGAGATCCGTTTTCTCCGAGATGGATGAGTTCATGACCGTTTGGCTTTTCCGACGGAGCTTTTCAAGGTGGGCTACCATGGCGAGTTCCAAAAGCTGAAGAGCAAACGAGGCTAGCATGCAAAAGACACCGGCAAAAGCACCATACGAAAGCCAGCCTCCTGTAAGACAGGGACTCTCGAAATTCTCCATAGCCTCAGGCAGCATGTGAACAAACGCCGTTGCCAAGATAACACCCGTGCCAACTATTACTGTGATTTAGCAAGAAGCATAATATGCGTGCCAGTGGAGGTAGACGTTAACAACTTACAGAATTTGCCAATAGCCAAGACCCAGTCACGGATAGAGCCTTCAGAATAAGGACTGGTTCGGTGCAAAATCATGGGAGCATAAACGCCTGTATTATTTTGCGATAAAATGAGTGAGATGAATGCATTTTTTTGTCCATGTTGTGTTGGTCCAAACTTTACCTATAGCGCTAGTGCCCAGGATAATAAAAAGCGATCCAACACGCATACCCATGTCATAATTTTCAATCAATTCTTGACTGCATTCATTAGCTTCATCTTCTTCGCCTGCCGGTGAAGCTACAGAAAGAAAGGGGCGTTTGTTCAGAATCCACAACATCTGCTTTTTTGTTTTTTTTTGCACATACCTTCTTGGGCTTGCACTTGGAGGGTCCAAAAAGCCATCCACAGAGCAGGAATCCACCATTTCACTTTCAACGCTGGCATACGACAAACGACTTGGGGATCTCGGAAAAAAGACAGAGAACTTGGTTGAGGTTTCTGGCACGTACCTTTTTTTATCTGGGAATTCGCTCCCTTTTTGTATGACCCAGGTCTGAGCGGGAAATGGTATGAATTTGTGGACCTTCCCGGTCACTGGTTGCCAGACCTGTCCAATCAAATGCAAAAATTTCTATTAGCAAGTCACAATAACCGGGAGGGTACGCAATTTTTTGGAAAATTTCGCTAGAAGTGGGCTTTTTTCAAGCTCCAATCCCCTCGAAAAGGAAAAATGATTAAATGGGATCATTTTAGACTCGGGAATCGCGGTGACATCAAAATAACAACTACTGGATACCGTAAGAAACCTTCCAATTCTTAGTATGGACATTGAAAATGGGGAGCGGGCATTCATTACTGCAGAAAAAACATCCCAAATCAAGGCATTATTCCTGCTAATTTGGTAAAATTTCTTACAATCTTGAACTTCCACAGGGATGTGACACTAACACTCGTTAATGCCAGTCTGCTCTTTATGGAATTTTTATCTCCATCAATCTAACACCAGTTGAAAACAAGCAATAGGAACAATGATAGCGGTTTGTGTGTTCAAAAAGGTCGAAGTGGATATTTTAACGTCACTCATTTGTTAGCACAGTTACGGTGACCGTCTCGAAACCAAAAAACTCAAGGAACTTAACATTGGTAGCTGGAGTCAAAGATACCTTATCTTGATCAATCAAGAAAAATCAGATGCACATCACTTTAGAAACATTTTTCCGTGCCCAATGAATGCTCAACTTTATGCGCACCAGAAACTAGCTAATCATATTATACGATATGATATGTTATGACCATTAATCCAATGACTTTTTACCATCTGATACTTTTTTCGTTTGCTTTTACTCGCCAAAGCTCTGTCGGAAAGACACCTACCTACCTTAACCATATAATACAATACTCATGAAGCTAGATCATATTTCATCCTTTCACATTGCGAGTGATGAAGGAAACGAACCAAAGAACGATTTTTATGTATAATATATGCATAATGAATGCATATATATCAAGTCAATTTGTGATTATACAAAAGCAAAAAGGAAAAAAAAAAAAGACAATGGATTGAACTGTGGGAAAAAAATGATTTCAATGTTCGAGTTGAAAGGAAGAGAAAGAGAAAGAAGAAAAAAACGAAAGGTACAGAATATTGGGAGGATGAACCGATCCGATAGGAAAGAAAAGATCGGTTTCTGTTATTTTATGGGTTCCAACAATGGACCAGAGTGGAAATGGTGGAGGATTTCATACATGTTCTTCCTCTTCCAAAATGTCCTCTTCGTGCATACTGCCTCTCAAACGGCGTTCCTTTTCGTGTTCAAGTTGACCGTACAGCAAGTACAATGCGCGTTCGTTTGATTCGGCGGTGCCTTGAATGGTGAACATTCTTTCGCCGGATTCGTCATGAGGTACTTTGGCAATGGAGATACGTGATCCCGAAAGTCGACGAATTTCACTAATCTTGGATCCGCCCTTGCCTATGCACGTTAAGTTACACATTTTTAATATCTTTCCCGAAAACTTTCCCGTAACCCACATTCGCGTCAATTGTGTGCGTCTTACCAATGATACATCCGACCATGTCGCTGGGAATGGAGATGTTTTGTGTGCGGATATTGGGGTTATTGAGAAAATTCTGAGACGTGGCGGAAGATCGGCGCTGGGGCTGATAGTCATTGCTAAAATCGGCTCCGTTGCCGGTACGTGTAATGGAATTTCGTCGATCGGTGGTCACGGCCACTTTGGTGGGATTGTATAAGATGGTACCATAGGCTCGGTCCTTGTCCTCAATCAAGCAATGGCCGATTTCCAGGATGGCCAAACGGATCGATTCAGTCGTACCTCGCATCTCCACCACACGTTCGGTACTTTGCGGTAATAAGGTTTTGGATGCAATCATGCGAACCCCCGAGGTGTCTTGGATGTGTTTGATTTTTGCGCCTTGACGACCAATCACGGTACCCATCAAATTATGCGAAATCAATAATCGAATGGTCGCTACATTGGTCGCGGGAATATTAGCAACGGTAGGAGAGGTGGGCGGGGAAAGAGGTGAAATGGGATTGTCCAACAAGGTTTGAGCGATCAACGAGTATGCCTAAAACCCGACATTGTCATGGAAATGTAAATACGCGAAGCATGAAAAACATGGAACCATGACGCCAGCCCCCTCACCAAATTTCTCTTACCTGAGCTACATCTTCCAAGGAACCACTCACTGTCAACACTCGATCGTGAACACCTTGAACGACTTTGGAAACACCAGCCTTGACACCCGTTGAATATCTCAATTCAGCCACGTTTTTACCGCCTAAAAGCAAACTCGTAATGTCAACTTTCCAAACTCCATGTCACAACACAAAAGCTTGCATCGTGGCGCCTTCCATAACACTGTTACGTGAATTTTCAGTGTTACCTTTGCCAATGACGACGCCTGCTTCCTTGGTGGAGACCAACGCGCGCAATGTCAAAGCATCATCGCCGTCGTCGTTTGCTTCGTGAAGGTTGCTGTCCTGATGGTCCGGCAAACGGTCTTCATACTGTTCAGAGGTCGTGGAATTTTGGGACATTGATCACTGGAAAAACAAGAGGGCATACGTTAATTTTTCACGTGTTCCGAAGTGAGAATGCAACATTGAGCTGGAAAAGAAACATACACGGAGTAAGCGTGGAAAAGAGAAAGACGGAGGTGAAGACAAGCGTCGTTGAGAAAGAAAAAAAGGGAGAGTGTAAGAAAAAAAAAGAGAAGCGACGGTAAAGAAAAAGGAGGAAAAGGTTGGTGACGAGGAACAAGAAGCAAGAGCAAGAGACAAAGGACTCCACACTTTTTTTTCCCTCGTAGTGAGGCCAACGTCACACCTATCAAACAGGCCAGTTTTGGACCAATCTAAGCCTAGATCTGTGAAACTCGTCCGTCCCGGATTGTAGAAAAACCCCGATTTCAGCTCACTTTTTTTTTCTTTTCTTTTGGCTTTCTGACAACGCTGCCTATGCTTTGTTGCTTAAATTGTCATTAGTTTACAACTATTCATCGATACCATGGCAGCTATGGTTCCGACTATAATTACAAGATTCACGTGTAGTGTTTCAGACCCTAGTGAATATTCAATCACCATATCTACATCCATGTATGATTAATGGTAATGCAAAGTGGGTAGGAGAGAGTTTCAATCCCAAGATCTATAGACTTTGGCAGGATCAAGCAAGGTTGCGCAACACCTTTGAGTTTTAACTTCAATTATAATTTTGCAATCATGACTCTTCTATATGCATATAATGATGAATGGTGTCTTTCCAGCGTACCCCATTTGACGCGTCTGGTCACACTATCTGTATATATCTATGAAATGTATACGGTAAATGATCAATACTACCTATAGTATATCTGCACGTCACTATGCATTAACTGTTGAATTTTAATTTTCTTTCTTTTACCCATTGTGGTTTGGAAAATGATGATGACCTTATCACGTCAAAATGAACTGTTGCTCGGGAAAAGTTTGATCTCCGCATAATAAATTCATGGATAAGAAAAGAGTCACAACCATTAAAAGCCAAGCTCTCTTTGTTCATTGCATTCGACCATGGGACACCTGTAAGTTATCCTACAGCTCCTACTTGGTGGAGGAAGAATCTACATACTTAGTTGGACCTTTAATACAGTATTACTGTTGCTACCTGTTCGCTTAATCAGTGGGCGCTGGATTTCGAAGGCAATCTTCAGCGCATTCTCGAGAGTATCCGCATCGCGAAAGAGAGAGGCGCTAAACTTCGCGTGGGTCCGGAACTTGAAGTCACGTAAGTTACTTTATCATTGAGATACATACCAACAACATTGGAGTAATTGATGGTATGTATTTAGAGGCTATGGTTGCCAAGACCACTTTTTGGAAGGTAAAAACTTGAAAGAATTAGCATGAAATTTGGAAGCACGATATTCACGGATGGAAAAAATTATAATCGTTTTTTCCCTTGCAGGTGACACCTATCTTCACGCTTGGGAAGTTCTTGCTGCTATTATTACAAGCGAGGAAGCCAAGGATATGATTCTGGATATTGGCATGTATGTTGAGAGCTGGCAAAAAAAGACGTTGCCACCGAAAATCATGCTGACTGATTTGCTAACTCGCACATTTGGCAGGCCCGTCATGCACAAGACTGTAAAGTACAATTGTCGTGTCATCATTGCGAATGGCCGTATCGTTATGATTCGACCGAAAATGTTCTTGGCCAACGATGGCAACTATCGTGAAATGCGATTTTTTACACCGTGGATGCAACACAAGGTAGAAGAATACTACCTGCCGCGCATGATTCAACGTTTGACCCAGCAAGTAAGCATTATGGATTCTCCGTTTCCAAATCGATATCGTCTTCTGATCAGATATTTAGGAAACTGTCCCTTTTGGTGATGCCGTTATCAGCACGAGGGACACATGCATTGGTTGTGAAACATGTGAAGAGCTGTTTACTCCCCAGAGGTATGGATGTCCTTTTTAAGTGCAGGCAATTTGGAAGTACGCCTGCTGATGAGAATCCTTTTTTTTTTTTGTAGTCCTCATATTGGTATGGGCTTGGATGGCGTCGAGATCTTCACCAATAGCAGTGGTAGTCACCATGAACTTCGCAAATTAAACACTCGTATTGATCTGATGAAGGCGGCCACACAAAAGGTAAAATACCTCGGCTCAATCAAAACAACGGACGACGGTTGCTGAATGGGAATGTGTTTCTTTGTATCCAGGTGGGCGGTATCTATCTGTATGCGAATCAGCAAGGTTGCGATGGCGATCGATTATATTACGATGGTTGTGCCATGATTGTTATGAACGGTGAAGTCGTGGCCCAGGGCTCCCAATTTTCATTAAAAGATGTGGTTCGTAGCGCACCAAAAATAATACAAAAGGATAGGACTCTTTCCGTTACTGATTTTTCTTCTTTCCTTCTTTCTTTGCATTTTGACAGGAAGTGATTACAGCTACTGTGGATCTTGAAGATGTCCGTTCTTTCCGGGCGCGTATGGCGAGCCGGGGTATTCAGGCAGCCCAATCGGAAGCGTACCGACGAGAAAATGTCCCCATGTCGTTAACCCATCCTGACATGGATTCGGATATTTCGCTCCGTCCCACCAAAGCACGCGAGGTGTCGTACCATACGCCCGAGGAAGAAATCGCCTTGGGTCCCGCTTGCTGGTTGTGGGATTACTTGCGCCGGTCCAAGACGGGCGGTTACTTTTTACCTTTGAGCGGAGGCATTGACAGTTGTGCTACCGCCACGATTGTTGCTTCCATGTGCCGTCTGGTGGTCAAGGAAGCCGGCAAGGGCAACCAACAAGTCATTGAAGATGCTCGACGACTTGCCAATCAAGGCGACGATTACGTGCCCAAAGATCCTCGTGAATTCGCCAATCACATCTTTTACACATGTTACATGGGTACTTCAAATTCGAGCGACGAGACGCGCAGTCGTGCCAAACAATTAGCGGAGGTCATTGGCAGCTATCATACGGACCTCAATATGGATACGGTGGTGAAGTCCATTCACTCCTTGTTTTCGTTGGTGACTGGAAAAACTCCGCAGTATCGTGTGCACGGCGGTTCCACCACCGAGAACGTGGCATTGCAAAATATCCAAGCCCGTTTGCGCATGTTGCTTGCCTACTTGTTTGCGCAACTGTTGCCTTGGTGCCGCTCAAGACCGGGGGCCTTGCTGGTGCTTGGCAGTGCCAACGTGGATGAAAGTTTGCGTGGTTATCTGACAAAGTATGACTGCAGCAGTGCAGATGTCAACCCGATTGGTGCTATCAGCAAGCACGACCTGAAGCGGTTCATTGGATATGCACAAAAGGAATTCAAGATGGAGATCTTGGGTGAATTTTTGAGCGCGACACCGACGGCCGAATTGGAACCTATTACAAAGGATTATACGCAATCGGACGAAGTGGATATGGGTATGAGCTACGATGAATTATCTCAATACGGTCGTCTGCGCAAAGTTGAGCGTTGCGGTCCATTCTCGATGTTCTCCAAACTGGTGCATGAATGGGGCACCATACTTCGACCATCCGAAGTCGCGGCCAAGGTGAAACGGTTCTTCTTTTACTACTCGATCAATCGTCACAAGATGACCACCATCACTCCATCGTATCACGCCGAAGCTTACAGTCCGGACGACAACCGATTCGACTTGCGCCCGTTTTTATACAATGCCAGTTGGAAATGGCAATTCAATCGTATCGATCGTGCCGCTGAAGCTTTGGAAGCCCAAAGTAATGATCATGCGGCCAATTCAGCCGATCAATAGATATACATGTTTATTATGCTGCAGTCTATACAAAATGAAATTTTCAAGCGATGCGATTTCCTTTCTTTTTTTTTTTTTTTACATATAATCGCCGGCACCGTCACCTAATAACGAAAAAAAAAAAAAAAAAAAAAAAAAAAACAGTTGGTCGTGTTAGACTGAATTTGCGTTTTTTTTAAACGTTGGATGGTCAGGAACACGTACCGTCATCATCATCCATGTCTTCACCTTCGCCATTATCAAAGTAAGTTTGGTTATAATCATTATCGTCGACCAGTTCCTCTTCATCTTCGTATTCTTCTTCATTCTCTTCGCCTTCGCCTTCTTCTTTCTCTTCATCGTTGTCTTCTCCGTCGTCGTCTTTGTCTTCGGCATTGAGTAATGCTTCCAGTTGACCGAAATCGTCCTGGGCAACTTGTTTCTTTCGTTCTATTCATGTGTCCATGAGTCAGTCACATATTTGTCATCGTTACTAGATTAAAGTTGAGGATGCATACTCTTTTTAGCTTTGCTTGGATCGATAATGCTCATCAGTTCTTCTGGGAAAAAGTCCAGATCGGTGGATATATCTCGTAAAGATCGCTTTTTCGTTTCAGTGGATTTGTACTTATCAGAGTAGCGTTCGATATCTGGAAAGCAGTAGAGTGGCAACAATGTGTAAGTATTCCCAAAGAAGAACGTCCCAGATTACAAGCAAAGTTTTTACCTGGTGGAGGTGGAGGTCGTTGAATGTGAAAAGGTGAATTCTTGATGAGGGTAAGGTATTCTTTGCGCAATTTCCACTGCGTTTCTTCAGTGGCTGTAGACTTTCGAGGGATAGGAACGTCCATTTCCTAGTGGAGTAAGGAGACAAGGCATTAGAGATGGGTTGCAAAATAACGGGTTGCTACTTGCTACCGGCCAAGGCAACCACGAAAACAGAAACGTACTGGAAATAAGGCGGTTTGAACATTGAACAGACTGCCTGATCCCAGATCTTTCAAAAGATCAAAGGAAACAAGCTGCATGGCCCCACTTTGGGCGCCTCCTCCTCCTCTTCCAAAACCTCCACGACCGCCACGCGACATTTCGATTCAAATGAAATGCTGCAAAAGGGTGCAGAAAAAAAAGTGACAAGACCGCCAGCCCATGCACCCGAACAGCGCGAACACTAAAACCCTCTTCCAAAAGCCACCCAAAATCGGCGCTGAGCATGAAAATTGGGGAAATTCCACAGGCAGCCAAATTGCATTGGAGTTTCCAAACTCTAATTCATTACTGTTATTTTCGTACGAGCTAACTCAATAAACGTTATATGTTTTCATCCACGGCTCATTCGGCATTACCAATGATCCTATTTCACTAGAGTTCTTACCGGGGCCAATGAACAAAAGTAAGGGTAGTAGAAGGTTTACTAATGGTGTCTGCATTACCAGCTTACCCATTGCACAACTTTCACCAGCCATGGGGGATGGCAAAAGCTGTATCAAGCAAGCAAAAAGGACCCATCCAGCCATGATAAACGTATTGCGCAATAGGGATCACACACAAATGAACGATCTGTTTCTATTTTTTCCGCATTGGGGGCCCAATTAATGCTGGTAGTCACATTTCATTCACCGACACATGGAAGCGCAGCAAAGAGAGAAAAAATTAGCCCATTGCTTGCCTTGCATTTTCTTTTCTTTTCCTTTTACATCATACCCTTCTTTTTATTTTCCTTACTTTCCTTATGAGCGATCCACAAGCGCTTGCTTTAGCCAACCACATGTTGGCAAGTATTCAAAAAGATCTTGCCACACTAAAGGAGAATCAATTTTTGAATGCTCAGACGTACAACGAAATATGCGGTTTATTGCCAAGCCAATTCACCGACAGTCAGCAGCATATAAGGCCACCACTTCCGTCTCGCAAGTCGGGGGCATCGCCATCACCACAGCCTCGTGAGTTGCCTTCATTTCCCAAACTCCCAGCTCGACGTCAGACCCAACAGACACCGTCATGGCAACCATCACAGCCAGCCCCATCCCCATCCTCTTATTCCTCGCATCCACCACCTGCATTATCTCCTCCATCCCAGCAACCTACACCCACACTTCGTACTGCTACTCCTTCATTTCCTAAAGCTCAGCCAGCGTCCGAGGCCTCACCTCCCCCATCGTATGCTGCCGTTGAACCTGCTTCCATAGCGACAGCCGAAGCTTTATATGACTATGTAGGCGACGAGCCTAGTACGGATTTGTCATTCCGCAAAGGTGACATTATCCAAGTCACTGAATATGGTAAGATTCTGTTTGAAAAAAAAAAAAAAAAAAAAAAAAAAAAAAAAAAAAAAAAAAAAAACGCTATTTAGAGTTTTCTTGATATTTATAACTTGTCTTATTTTTAATAGTCAACGAAGATTGGTGGCGAGGATCCTTAAACGGTAAATCGGGTATCTTTCCGCAGAACCACGTCAAAAAGATCCCGTAAGTTCTTTGATGAAAAAAACAAAAAAAGTTGGCATAATTTTTTCTGATCAATCTATCATGTCATTTTTGTTTATTAGGACGTCGTCTTTGGCAGCCAAGCCTCGAGTTCCTCCCGTGCCTTCACCGACCGGCAGTTCCAGTGTGAAATCTGCCATGCCTTCCAATTTACCGCCTTACAGCTACCCTGCTCCACCCACCGCCATGTATCATCAACCACCACCTCCGGGTCAGCCTCCGGTCGCACAGTATGCACCTCCACCTGTGGTGGCAGCTCAAGAAATATCAGGTGCACCTAATCCCGACGGCGAAAACAAAGTGCACAATATGGCTAAGAAATTCGGAGGTCATGTTGCTACAGCCGCTACTTGGGGTTTTGGCGCAACAAGTAAGTTTCCACCACCAAACATTCAAATAACCCAAAACTTATCCTTTATCAACCTTTTTTTTCCCTTTAGTTGGAAGTCAAGCCGCCAATGCCATTTTTTAATACTATAAACGTAGATAAACACAAAAACAAATATATGAAAATCAAAAGTACTTTTTTTTTTTTGTATGCATTATGCTCTGAAAGAAAAAGAAAATGGGTCAGAACGTGATGATTCAGCTATGTCTTTTTCTTTTCCATTTCAGTACGTCAAAGAGAGAAATAAGGTGATCACGGATCTTTTGAAATCGGCGATGTCATCGGAAGCTCCTGTCATGCTTAGAAACCCTTCTTGTCGGTTCAAAGCCACGGGAACCAAATGACATGGCTTGGCGGTTGACTTTTTGTGTATTGTACACTTTTACAAAAAAAAAAATTGGATGGATGGATGGATGAATGGATTGCCAGACTAATTGGTGGTTGCATAAAACTGAAATGTCAGCACTGCAAATAGGATGGCCATTGTCAGCAAAGCAATAATTCTAACGATCCAAAAAATGATACATGATGATCGCTTCTCCAAGGGCGGAGTGGGCATAAACACAATGCCCAGCAGTAAACCGGCAATAAATCCGCCAATGTGAGAAAAGTTATCGACACTTATTTTTTCACAGGGAATGTAAACAAAATGAAGTGTGAACCAAACTGTGTCTACATGATGTCGCATGATATGGATGATCACTTACCCTGGTATAAGACCTAGTACAAAACTACAAGCGGTGAACACGATCAATTTGATGATATGCCGGAAAGGCTGACTTGATTTTTGCCAGTTGAGACCCACATCCACAAAGAGACAAGCTTCCAAGCCGAATAAGGCTCCGCTACAGCCCATTGATGCTAAAGGAAACCAGTGAGATTCACGGCTTGACTGAATCCACGTTCTTTTTTTTTTTTTTCTTTTCAAATGACAGACACTTACGTAAAGTGGAAGAAGCAAAATTGGCACCAAAGATATTTCCAAAAATACCGGAAGCAAGGTAGACCGCTGATGCAAAGATTGACGTTTTGACCATGAGTGTCTTTTTTTTTTCCTTCTCGTGTGAATTTTTTTTTCTGTTGGTTAAGCCGTTGATTTACCTGCCAACTTGATCGGGTTGAGGATCCGTTCGAGTTGTACGCCGAGGATCATGTGGGCGATAAAGTTAAAGATGAAATGCAATAAACCGGAATGAACAAAAAGTGCCGTCAGGAACCGGAAAGACTGATCGGGCACGCTGGCATTGTAAAACCCATCTACCCCACAGATATCCTCAAGAGAGCACGTATCGCGCGGTGAGTGAGGATCGGCGAGATCAATGACCGCCATATCCAGTAATGACAATCCTCCCGCCGACGTGGTATTCAAACATACGTAACGTTCGAGTGGTGGCATGTCCGTCGTATTTCGCATACATGGCGTGAACCGAGCGCCGCTTTGAACGAGTATCTATGAAAAATGAAAAGAAAAGAAAAGAAAAAGAAACCCCATTCATCGTTTCAATATTTTGACGTAAAAGGTACGCTTCAAATGTTGCTTTGATGCTTACTTGAAGCGAGGGGCCAATCATTACATTGAAAGGATCCAATTCAATAAATTCACCTTTGGGAGGGGGTTTTTCGACATGTTAGCAGCGGTTGGTTTCATCATACAATAGGATGATGCTAGTTGCTTACCTGACACATCCTTGTTCATCAACAGTTCACCTGAAAATGCTACAAACAACAGCGTGGCCATAATGTATGTGAACACCACCGGCCAGCCGGGGGCCGTGAGAGGTTTGACACCGGTCATAAAGATAGCTATCCAGCCATCGTTGGCTTGAACCTGCTTCTGAGAGGGTTTTTCCTCTGGATCCATGACGGTGGACATTGTGGATGGATAGGTAAGTGATATGTGAGGGTATTTTTTAGCTTTTTCTGCGAGCAAGGAAGCGTCGCTAAACGTGCTGTCACTCTTATGACAAGCAATGATAGGAGCCGGTCGAGGATCCTTGTTTTTATGGTATACATAGCTGGGCAGGCGTTCGTGCCGTCTTGTGTTGGTATGGCCTCGACATTGAATGTCTTCTGTTATGGTGTCGTCATCTAGCAAAGTCATGACAAGACCAGAATTTCGACTCGCATGAGATGATGGGACGAAGAAAACCCAAGCGAGTGAGGTAAAAAGGAAGGGTGAGAACAGAGGGCAAGAAAAAAACAAAGAGAGAGTAAAGAGAGACTGACAAAACAGATGATGTGCAGTGAGCGTCTTTTTATGGGCTAGATAAGGATAGGTACGCAAAATTGGCCCATTGACAGCCGTGTGCAATGTGCAGTGTGGTAGGTTGTAGGAGCAAAATGGCAAAAGTCGTGGCAATGGCTCATTTTATGCATCCCTGTGACCCAACCCCACATCACCCCTTACTCTCTTGCCTTGTTATCCTTTGGGATATTCGGTCTTTTTCGCTATCTTTACTTATTCACCGCCATTCCAACACGACCAAATTCAAACCTGCCTGATTCAACAAAAACTTTTTGAGCCAACCACTTTTTCACTCATTGAACACGCAACCATCACAGACCATCGTCGCCATCTAATTGGCATGTCACCCCACCATCATTGGAAAGGGATAAAACAAAGGTCAAGAAAATGATGAAGGAAAACACAAGTTATTAATGTGGTAAACATACAAGCATATACATTGGAAAGAAGAAATGAATAAGAAAAAAAAAGAGACACTATGTACATCGAATGACAGATGGGAAAGAATAAAGAGTAAAGAGGGGAGGATGGATCATCAGAGGCGGGCTAAAAGAAGAATTGCTTGACATCGTTGATTCCAAAAGATTCTCCGCAGCTGGGACATCGACGTTGTCGCGTCTCTATTCGACTATCGAGACATGATTTGCAGAAAGTATGCATACAACGCATCAGTACATGAGACTTTAACTGGGTTCGACAAGAACTGCAGTTCAGCAATGCCTGGTTTAAAAGGTAAAAGGAAAGATACAGTAAGTAAAGGCAGAACCCAGTACCAAGATGGTCAGACGAGGTTATACATACGCGATATTCTTCCTTTTCTTTTCGCAACTTCATCTCGGCGGGTTTTTCTACTTTATTGGTCGCTTCAAGTTTTCGTCGCAGGAGCTCACTATTTTCTTCCAATCTGAGACGTGCATGAGCTCCTTCTTCGATGGATCGAATCTTTTCCATGATAGATTTTTCAAGCTGAAAAGAGAGAGAGAAAAAAAGGGGTCAATACGGGAATCAACCAATGACTCACACACGCACCACTTTCCAACTTACCTCTTGAATCTTTTCCTTGGAAGACGTCATTTTCTCTTGCAGGAAACTCAATGCAGTCTTGGCTTCCATACTTTTTTGACGATAGAGTTCCAGTGCTACATTATTTGTATTCAATTCACGATCCAATACTGTCTGTAATCAAGATTGTCATGTTAAAATGTTATTTCTTCACCAAGTGCAAGTAGCACGTCCAACAAGAGCAACTTACTATCTGAGCCGTGAGATTCTTCTCTCGTTCATTCATTTGTTTGATATGCGCTAGCTGCTTCTCAATCTGCTTCGTAAAGGCATTCGCAACCATGGCATGGGCGTCCTTGGATTTGTTCAAGGCCGTGAATGTTTGATTGTATTTGACCCGCTAATGATGTCATGAATTAAAATTGCGAGCTCAAGAATCATGATCCCCCCAATTCGGTTCACACACTAACCTCTCGTTGCAATTGCATAATTTCATCTTCGACTTGTTTCAATTCTTCTATTTTCGTCATGTTCTTGCCTTCCAACTCCGGATACACTTTGGCCAATTTATCAATTTCTTCGAGTACTTCGTTTTCCGACTACAAATAATAGAAAAGAAAAGACAAAAGGAGAGTAGGTCCCATCAGATGATGTTCCCATAACAAAATGAGTCCATTCATCGTTTTGCAAAAAACAACGTAATGAATGGTCATGGTCTTTTATTTTCCCAAAACTTACCGATTCCTGACTCTCCAATCTTTCAACATGGTCGGCGATATTCGTCTGCAAAGTTTGAATTTTCTCTTGCATGGCATAAATCACGGCATTTTCATCGACGGTGTCCGAGGCCGTGAATCCGTACTTGGATTCAAATTGGCTCAAATCCGCTTCCAAGCGCTGAGCTTGCACTGCCCAACGAAGCGTCTCCTCCAGGGCCGCCTGGGACTCGTCATCCATCTGATGTTGTGTTATCAATGTCGATTTCAAGGCCTCCATATGTTCCGTCAAAGTGCTAAAAATATATCAATCCGTTCAATCAACCATTTTGGTTTATTTTCTGCTTTCCATATTTTTGAAAATACGGGCAGACCTACCTTAATTCTCTCTGCATAGGTTCAAAGGTAAATTCTGCATCTTTAAGGATGGTCTTGGCCTCATAAAAATCGCGATGACCGGTTCGTGCCATATTCTTTCGTTGAAGTCGGGACAATTCGGCTCTGAGTAAATCGACGCGTTCCTAATCATCATAAAAAAGAGATTCACCCCCAATATATTGTCAATCAACCCTGTTTTTTTGGCCCATGCGATGAAAAGTTGGGATCCACTTACGTTTCTGACGTCGATGATGGTCCCGAGTTCTGCCACGGAGGCTCGGCTTCCTTGATTGCATGCTTTTAGCACCTCAGTGCCGACCTGTAATGCATCACGTTGGCCGCGGATACGGGTCAGATCCGATTCCAACTTGCGTAACTGATCTTCCAGACCTTTGATGTGATTCCCCTGTTCCACATCCAGATCATCGAATAACTGTCGTCTTTTGCTGTGCATTTCATCCAGTTCTTTCTGCAACTTGCGACACAGCGTCATCATGTGGTCACTTTTATCCTTGAAATAATCACAACTCTGAGATAATTGACGGCATAAAGACGATCGGTAGATACGCGATTCCGGAATATTGGCGACGTCAATTTCCAACTGAGCTTGTTGCTGTTTCAATTCGATTCGCTGTTCTTTGATCGCATCAATCTCTCGAAGCTGCTGATCCAATACTTGTTGAACACGAATCAGAGGATCCTCTACCGCTTCTTTGGTGGCCTATTGAATCGCGGTTCCATTAGTCAATCCACTGTAATTTTTGTCTAGTATTTGAAAAAAAGGGAGACAATATTTACATTTGCATGACTCGTCTCCGCCGCTCCTTGTTCGTCGGCATTGGATCCTTCTTCCAATTGCATCTCATCCTCCTCCGATTTGGTCGTAGTTTCCTTGTTCACTTGTAGCCTATTTTCAGCATTGACAAGTTCTAGTTTGGCTTCACGCAATGCTTCTTCCAATGCTGATAATTGTAGTGTCGCCAATCCCAATTCCTCATTCATCATAAGGAACTACATCCAACTTTTAGTGAATATTAATTGCTCTTCCCTCTGTTGAGCTGATGCTGCCTACACATACCTTTAGGTTGGACAAACGGTAACGATTTTTAATGTCGTACAGTGAACGTTGCACTTTAACCCACGAGGTGATGGATTCGTCATATTCTTGTCTTAGGTTACCCATGGATCCATTATCTACCCACCGATCCTAGTAAGTATGGCATATTGGATCCATCCATTCCGTGATATGATGATGTCTTACTTAAATAGCTGTCCAATCCTTTGGCAGTTTTTCTGCGTTTCTTTAACCACAGTTCGATGCGTTGGATCAATTGCGACAAGGTAGCCTCTGGCAATTGTTCGCTTTTCAAAGCAGCTGATATGGATGTGGTAAATTCGGTCGTCCATTCTTCTTCTAAAAGGTTGGCGTACTCTTCCGCTACGGATTGTAAAAAAACCAGGATCAGATCATCCGTACCACCTTTGCATATTTCCAGTTCCTTACCTCGTCCATTCACAGCCAGAGAATCCAATTCCGGGTCCAAGGCTAATATATCGTCGTGAAGCTAAAGAGAAACAGTTAACGATGTTCATCACCGGTGGATTGATTCCGTGTGACAGCGCACCAATGCACTTACTCTTCTGAATTGCCCGCTCCACACATGAAGTGATTGCTCACTACTGCGATGAGTGCGTTCCAACTTATCGATACGACGTTTCACTCTCCTTTCCAATCTCTGCATTGTCATGTCAATGGACTGAGTTGATTCGTGCTGCGATCTTTAGACTTTCTTACCTTGTATTCATCCTCTTGTCTAGTAATGGCGTCTTTACGATAAATATCGAGGGATTCCTTTAAAACTGCTGGATTAGCAGTTGTATCAAATGAACAAAAAGAACGGCATGCACGGTTTTACCTTGAATGGTTCCATGGATTCGTCTTGATCATTATCGGTTTCTGAGGCGGGTGTGTGGGTCGGGGAGGAGGACCGTGATGAGAGGAATCGCTTCTTGGGAGGGGGACGACGTCCAGAACTGGAGTCGTCGGTCTCCATATAAGGCTTATTACTGCCTTCACCCGAAGCCATCACCGAAAATGAGAGTGGTCCGTAAATATGGAGTTTTCTGAGTATAAGAAAATAAAAAATTCGGAGCGATTCTTTATTCCTTGAAAGCAAGAGCCAGCCGTCGCCGAATGTGACGTCACACACGACTTTCACAATTTGGGATTTTGCGGACTTCTGCTTGTTAAGCATCTCACTCGCACCGGCTACTGTTGATGCATCTCGCGACCTACCGAGAGCTTCATTATGTCAGAGAAGCAGTCATTAAATTGATCAGTTGAGTAGTATAAATTATATTTTTCATCGCCGTGTTTATCAGATAGAAGCACAAGCATGATATTCTATAGTTTTTGTTCTTAAAAACACTGTAGCTATAAGTGAATAGATGATAAATAGAAGCAGTCATATTATGTGAACAAAAAAAATATATGCATTGGATGTACGGTAGTGGCTACTTTTTTCAATCACTGTCTTCTAGCAGGTCGACTTCATCATCATCCGCCCTTTCTTCCTCTTTGATATCCTCTTCATTTTCGTCGTCGTTTTCTTCTTCCTCGTCTTCCTCGTCTTCATTGTCTTCATGCTGTGAATCCTCGTCCATATCACTTGCATCATTGTTGTCTGCGTCTTGATCGTCTTCAGATTCGGCCGAAGTGTCATACTCAAGAGGATCATGGTCTTCATCACTCGGTTGAAAATCTTCATCTTGTTCTTCTTCATCTATTTCGGCTGGATTATCGCCTTGCTCCGACTTCTTGGGCTTGGGTTCCGGTGCTTTCTTTTCTTCGGACATGCTCGTATCGTTGATGTTAGATTTTTTGATGTAGGCATCGATCGCCGTATATTCGGTTTGTTCAATCATGGAGAATTGGACCGTTGCTTCCGTATAGCTGCCTGACCCGAGCGCGGTGCACCCATCTTTAAGTTTTAACGTCAAATCGAATGTTCGCTGAGTGATGTTGGTGATTTCGGTGGAAGCTAAAGAGGCCAAAGGGAAAAAGAGGGTAGGCTTTTTGAATCCGAAAAGAATTCCTCCTGGAAGGAAAAATAAACTGCCATCCTTTGTCTTGAGATATGAATTAACGTGGTATCGCTCTTCGGGTTTGCCGGTGGTGGGTGAAACGCCAGAGGAGGCAAAGCACTTTTTTTCAGGCCGAGTGATTTGGATGCTGGCGTGCTTTTTCAACAGCTGGCAGATGTATTCGTGCTTATTTTCGCCCAGCGTCTGCGCTTGACCGGATTGTGTTACAGAAATATCGCCTTTGTCCTGAACGTTAAATACAATAGCATCGGAGTCTCCATTGAGAAAAAGGGCAAACGTGAATGATTTGGCTGTCTTTTCAGGCGTCGGCACACACACGCCCATGCGTATATCCGCGAGACTAAAAGCGTGTTCAATCAGCTCGGTTTTCGCATGTGCCAATTGCAGTTGAGAAGAGGTTATAATCAGTGTGTATTTCTTTCGTGCAGGCAACTGGAACGAGATTTCAGAAACTGTGGCGACTTTGTTCTCTGATTGGGATGGATCGATCTTGCGTCGTTTACGTTCGCTTTCGCTCATTGTCATGTCCGTTAGCGTCATCAGCTTTTTGGCATAGTACTGCAAAAGATCGTCAATAACCGGTTTGCTGTCGGGATAGGACGAAATAAGCCGTCGAATCGACTCTTTCAATTGGGAATCATCAATGCTCTCCATGAATGACGATGGATGGATCAAAGATCGATAACGTAAAGAAATCGGCAATCACTGGAAAATACGCGCTCCGCCCCCCCCCCAAAAGAAGAAAATAAAAACCGCGCTCCATAGTGCCCTTTTTTTTTGGGCTGCCCTATCCTGCAAAAAATAGCAATCTGGCGAAGAAGAATGAATATACCCAATATCTGTTCTTTCCTGGTTCTCTTATATTATGTCGGTAACTATTTTATAAGTACAAATAGGTATACGTTAACTTTGCCAAGTAGACCAAGGGCACATAGGGCAATAAGCACAGCCAGAGTTTTAGGCAGTCAATGACAGGATGCTGCAGCTGCATTGGCACCTTGAAGTTGTTTCGCTCGCTCAAAAGGGCATCCCCTTCTTTACCTTCGACATACCGTTGGGTAGCCTGGTTGAAATTAGGGAAACGTCCATGCTCGTAAAAATGCGTCATCATATCATCTTTTTCTTTCCATCGTTCATAGATCCATTGGGAAAATGCCTCAGATTCCTTCGGAACCGTTTCAACTGCATAACGACGGACATAGACATGAATGTCTTTGGGCCCTTTGCCTTGACCAAAGATCTTGCCCAGAGTCAGGACCTCTTCTGGAATGTCATTGGGCATCACACCAGGGTAACCAATCGTCAGGTCATAGATCCAATCAATACCGTCGTCCAGCGTCTTGAGACACAGATGCATGCCGGTCGATCTCGGTAATAACGTAAACCTGTTGTCTCTCTATCAATACAACCGTATCAATTTATCAGAGCACCCTAAAGTCTCGACCGATTAATTCATCCAAAATTTACCAAATGATTTTTCTCTGCATAAGCTTGTGAGCGTTCTCGAGCATTTTTCGAAATGACTATGATTGAATATGAGCATTTGGTATGCACGATTATCCCAACGTGCTCTGTTTTAGTGACAATAGTACCTGTGCCTTCAGGAAACAGGACAAGCCATAATGGCCGATTGAGTTTTTTTCTTCTTTCTAAATTATGAACAATGTTGCGTTGGTCCTGGGCGATTTTTCGCTTCAAAAAGATAAAGTCGAAAAACTGCATTCCCTGCAAAGGATATGAGTTTCACCTTGTTGCATAAAATTTGTTTATGCTTGGATGTTTACCCTAGAAACGAGAATCATAGAAATCCGGAATGAATGATCAATCATCTGTCACTCAGTTGGTTTTGATTTTTTTTTTTCTTCTTCCTTCTTTTGCACGAGAATTACTTACTGGCCATAAAACGGTAAATATTTCAGGCTGTGTTTCAGCAGGATTTTAATGGCGCCGTGTGCCCTGGCTAAATAAGCAACAAACCAAATATACATCCAGTCTGCATAGATCTGCACAAAAAGGCCCAGGTTGTCAAGTGATGTGTTACAAATCAAACCGAATCATACGGAACAACGAGCTTGCATAGTATTTTTCACGCTACCTGATGGTTCGCAATGATAATTAGCTTCTCGGGAAAATTCAGGCCCGAAATCACCCCAGCGTCATTGCGTCGGATAATATTATCCATATCTTCAGGACGCTCACAGCAAGAATCGTCCAGCGTGAGAAGAAGATTACTTGATGTGAAGAAGTGAATTACAGAAATCAAGTTTTGCGACCACATCCGCATAATATGTGCATTGTACAAATGATATAACTGTTTCGACCATGGCCAAAGTAACAACGATGGTAACTGCGATGCTACAGTGACCGCAGTCTGAAAGGTCAATAAGAAAACCATTAGAATAGTTCGTACGAATGTTCGTATACTAAAAGCCATGATGTAGAAGGTAAAGAAAAAAAAAGAAAGGCAAAAGTAATTAAAAGCTGGAAAAAAGAGCTCGAGAAGATCCGCAGCTGTCAATTTGTAAGACCGAACAAAAATGAAACTTCGTGACTTGCTTCATTTGGACAGGAAGGACTTTTTTATATTTTTTTTTATTACACTTGCGAACAAAAGAATACCCGATCCACATTGCTTGAATAAAGCCAATCCACCAACATGGTAAGTGGCGACTGCCCGATCTTCGCTTGATTCCGTTCGGTAGACTTATTGCTTCATGCTAGCCGAATAATAAAAAACATACGCTCAAGGCCATCAAAAACCGAGATGCTGCCCATCCTTATTCTCGCAAAGCTCATCAGGTCGAACGAGCCTACGCACGCAAAGAAAAGTTGGCCCAAAAATCAAATGAGCGAGCAGCGAATAATCCCAAAGGTATTCTATTGGAAATATATGCTTGTGTTTTGGAAATTCAGGGCGATTCACACATGGACGGTTGTTTAGTGGAACGCTGGCTGTGGTTCCGTTTTGCTTTAGATGAAGCGTTGCCGTGCGCCACCAAACCGCAGATCCACGACCTTATTGCAACCTATTTGGAGCGTAACGACGAAGAAATTGAGAGATTGGAGAAAGAACGTCAAATCGGCAAACGACCAAAAACGACTCGAGAGCAATTACTGCTCGCTCTCAGAGACAGCGACAATGCCGAGTACGTCTCAGGTTTTGGTACGTAGTCGTATTTACCTACTCGTAAAAAAGTACGAGTTTTTGCCAAACCCTTCCAGTCTTTACTCACTGATTTTTCTTGATTCAGAATTACCCGATTTGACCAATGTGAAAAACGTAAAGGCATTGCGTGATTGGAACGGCGATAAGAACGCCATCACCAAGATCCGTTCGATGCGTCTGCAGAAGCCTTCGACATCGGATATCAAAGATAACGAGGTTTTGGCTGATGTCAGCAAAGAAAAAGCCGCCCCATCCGCAAACAAGAAGGTGGACAGCAAAAGCGATACCATGGACATAGAGTAAAAAAAAATTAGAAGTATCAAAAGCATATCATCGAAGCATATCTCCTGGTGCATTGTATCTCGACCCCTTTCTGCATAACCATCATTGTTACACTCTCATCATTTTTCTCACTTATAGTTCTAATGAAGATCAAGCTTTGAAAACTTAGACTTTTGGGATAATAATATCTCCGTTTCGGCGGACTGACCGAACCATGGACCTAGTTGCACACTGAAGAATAAATTACCCGTTATTCTTTTGTATGGTCACATGTGTTTACAGTCATCACTCGATTTAAGAACCACCCCGGGAGCCCCCAAAAGTGATTATAAATCGAGAATATTCTTAAATCAATTATTCCTAAATCCAGTGTCGACATGAACACCGCTCGGTGTGGGATCATCCTGGGGAAGCACAAAAAGAGATGCCTAAATCGAACTTGATGTAGCATACAACCTATAATAAAAGTGACGATGGAAAAATTCCAAAAAGTGAATGTAGAATCGAACGGTGTCTTCATGCTTTGCCAAGATTCAATCAAATTAATGCACAAACGACTGCAATATTTTATCCAACACACAGAGAAGCGGAGAAGGATAACTCAATTTTTAAGAGGAGACAACACTGGTCCTGCAGGTCAATCACTTCATGCGAATATATAGCACATCGCAAACGAAGACACCAAGTTAGAGGTGCTGTTACTGCTTTGTTGCGTGTTTCACTTCTTTGCACATCCGTATGAACATTTTTAACGCAGGCAAAAAAAAATATCTCTCTTGGGGACATGCGCATCGGCTTTGTTCATTGCGCTCTCCGTGTTCTGTCGCCATTGCAACATGATGCACTGAAAAGTAATACCTTGGTTTCGTAGAGTAATATCTGAGCGTTTATCGTCGCAGCAACACTAAGTACGTTTCAGAAATGAAACTGATATAAAGAGGGAGGGCAAAGTAGGGACAAACTTCTTAGTATACAACAAGGTAAAAAGCACGTGCGTACAGTCTGAAGCATGTCGCATCAGCGTTCACCATAGGCTTTACTGCAAATTATAGAGTGACTGTGGTTCACATGGGATGCTGATGGCAGCATGAATGACATGGCGCAGTCCCCTCTTTGGATCGCTTACGCGAAAGAAGTGTGAGGTGTTGAATTTCGCGAGTTTTGTTGCGAGAATCAAGCCAATGAGGTGCATTGGCGGTCAAAAACAGGGTCACAAATCGAAGGTTCGCCAAAGGATATAAAAAGAGGGCGTTTCTTCTCATCTCTTTTTCTCTTCTGTGCGCCAGTTCGGAATCAGGGGCTGCTAGGCTGGTGGTTACTGGTAATGATGAACGCTCCGATTTTTGGTAAAGCATTCGGGGTATGGCGAAAAATCCGAAAACCATCTTCTAATGATAGGATTGGCCATCCTCTGAAGAAGATTGTTTTCGTTCCCGTCGGCTCTTCCCTTTGGGCGCCTGACTAGTCATCAGCGCGGTCATTGTGGAAGGTATGTCGGTGGGTTTGCTTTTTAATCGCAACAAAGGTAAATGAAAAAAAAAAAAAAAATGTTTTTGCCTTATTTCTCAACCCTTTCTGGGTTGAATAATGTAATAAAAAAGTGGGCTTAATGTCCTGTGGACGCCACTTTATATAAAAAGAAAATAAATGTAAAAGCTTTGCTTAGAAGGGATACAGTAGGATAGACCTCTTTTTTTTTATTTGCTCATGATTCCTCTATTCAATAAAGACGCCCAATTAACTCTTGCCCAAAAACTGTCCTCCTTATCCATATGGTTTGCCTGGCGCAGCTTATTCGTTAACCTGATATTCCACATCCACTTGGCTCAAAATAACGTCAAGTGGGTTATTGTTTGTTCGTTCCAAATTGAGGGAGGCTGCTCTTGGCGTCAACAGCGACAGAATCCTAGACCGGCAAATGTGATGGATAATGAGGAAGTAGTTGGCGGCTACATCAACAAAACTGATATAGGTGTACTTTGCTAAACCATAAAAAGAGAGGAAGTAGAGAATAGGGGGAGTTATTACTGAGGAAGGGACACAGTCCACCAAGCTTTTGAACATGGCGTGGTGGTGCTTTGAATGTGAGGCCAAATGCGCGATGTTCAGGTTGCACTTTTGTGAATGATGGGACTCTCGCGATCAGCATTTGGTACTTGAGAGGAGCCAACACGGCAACTTGGACGTAAAACCATTTTATTTCTAAGGCGACGATTAGAGACGGGAAACAAGAGACTGTTTCTCTTGCCATGCAACAAGCGGCAGAGATCAGCTAATTTGAGGGGACAAGCTTTCTCCGGCCTCCTTTTTTTCTCAGCACGGTCGACTTTTTGCCAAGATTCCTGCTAACAGTGAGGAATACTTACAGCCTACATTATCAGCGAACCCAGAAAGTGATTCTCAAATCGAGTACATTGAAAAACCGAGCATTACTAAATCGAGCGGTGACTGTATGCACCGAGTTTTGATTTGAGCTGAATTCCAGCTTGAAACAGTAAAAAGGATCATTATTACAGTGCATTGAAGATACAATATGATAAAGTGAACATCCTAATGCACAAATAGTAGGATGATTCTAATCTGACGCCTCCAATTTGGAAGGGGAGTTCCATGTTCTGCGCAGCATATCGACCGTCTGGGCGAGAGCCGAATCGCCTTCTGCTTCGAATTGCGGAAGCGCCAGTAAGCCGTGATCGGTACCCAGATATCGAGCGGCAACGGTCTTAACACCGGCCAGCTTTAACCGTTTTGCATATTCTTCGGCTTCGGAACACAAGACGTCCTTTTCGCCGGTGAGGATCAAAGCGGGAGGAAGTCCTTTGAGCTGTTCATCCGACGCCTGTAAAGGTGCTACCGTATGCAACTTTCGTTGTTCAACCGTAGTATAAGCATCCCAAAAGTATTTCATCATCTCAGGGGTCAAGACTTCGCTGTCCTTGCTCTAATGTACGAAGCACTTTCAAAATCAGCGTTGATCACGGGATAATACAAAAGTTGGCATTGGATGCCATTGTTGCCTCGATCTTTCGCCAACACTAAAAAAGTTACGGTGAGACGATTGTTATGTGACGAGCAGAAAGGAAAAAAGTACGAAATGCCTACAAGGAAGAGCGGCTGCCAAATTTCCACCAGCAGAGTCACCGGCAACAGCCAGTTGAGTGGGATCGACGTTGAGGTGGCTGGCATGCGCACATCAAGTGCATGCATTATCATATAGTCTTCGGAGTGTTTCAAGTATTTTTCACACACTTTGGACTTTGCACTTTCACAAGCATTAAAACACAAAACAATCTTAAAGGGATTTGTAACAATCCTTTAGAGATACCTTGTTGATTTGCTTCCCTCTCTGAAGGTGGTTTCTGAATGGGTTGGAAATGTAAGCAATTTTCTGATCTTGGAACTAAAAAAAATCCTCGTATAAACCAATATGCCAGCGAATACCGTTGTTTTTGTTTGGGAAATTGCATGTGCGGTCTTCTTCTAATCGACAAGCCATTGCAAAAGCCTGATGAACATATCGCGCAGGGACTCCCCTTCGTCACATACATCAAAGCTTTTGTTTAACAAACCATTCCTTGTCGCATAATTGATACCTATAATTCAAGAAATGTATGAAGCCTCTAGTACCAATTAGAAAGATAAAGATCAAGAGTCGAGAACTTAGCAACAAGAAAGCAAGTATAGAGCAAAAAGTCCGATGCAGCTATGCAACAATGTTGTTTGCGGGTGGTGTACATGTTCTTAATCATGTAAGTGTCAAGAATTGTTGTGTCAACAAAAGCATGTACCCAGCAAGAGTATTTGCAATTTTTTCTGACAAAGGTAAAGTGGTGTTGGTTTCTACAGCTATCATCATCATTGTTTTAAAAAAGATAACACACTTCCATATCAGCCATTGTAATTGGTATGCATGATATGTATTATAGGTTGTTGAGCAATTTTAGAAGAATGACAAGGTCAACGTTGTAAACCTTGGAAATTAATTGCGTCGCATGGCCAGCAAATAAGGTACAGTATCGCTGAATCTGCATGTGTTCCATGTTGGTGTAAATACTCACATTGGATACCGGGATACATGACCAACCACAGTCCAATCTCCTCCCCAGCCCCCTGCCTTTCTTTCATGCTCTCTATTAGCTGCGAGAAATCCCCCCCCCCCTTTTTTTTTTCTTTTAGCATCAAGAAGCACCTTTAGAAAAAAAAATTCAACGTCAGCATCGAGTTCATGCGCTTTTACATGATACATAATCTAAAAAGAAAATAGTGGGTTGAAGCAGGAGGTAGGAGGTATCGCACATTCAATCAAAAACGAGGAAAGAAGAAAATAGCCGAGAGGAGAATGAAACGCCCTTATCATATCATATCAGCAACGTAGATCGTCATATATTTGGAGCTTATCTCTGACGCGCCTTTTTTGATAAGATGCTTATTTTTTGCAACCATCCAAAAACATGAGATCAATGAGTCTGTTTATCAGGAGTTACAAAATCAAACAAATAGGTCGAGAAATATGCAGGATGGTGGGGAGATCATTGTCAAGTGGACAAATTTGGATTGAACTCTAAAAGCCACGTGTTAGCCAACCATTTCATCTCTGTCGATTGGTCCCGGATCGCCTGCAACTTAAAGTGGCAAATCCTACTCTTTCATATTCAGGACCATAAACAGGCGTACATGTACGGTGTTATTTTGACATGTGTATAAATACAGCTGTCAGATCGACCGTGATTCCCACTTTTTCAAACACATAAATCAACTCATACAAAATCCTATCTTTCACATATACATACACATATACATATACTCTCGATGCTGTCTGTTCGATTAAGTTTCATCCCTTTTGCTGCTTCTACAAAAAACTCGATGGACATTGACCGTGCATCTGACTTGACGGTAACACCTTTGGATACGGACAACATGGGGTACACCAATTCTTGGTCTTGTCTCAGCAGGACCTCTGTATTGACAGATCACACTGAAACACCTGTGAAGCCACGAAAACAACACGGTTGGCATATCAAATCCACTGATAACAAAACACGTCCTCCTTTCCGAAGCCAAACTGCGACTGGGACCGGCAATCTTCATCTCGTTCCGCTTTTATCCCGTATGACTCGTTACTTTCGCAAGAGAGCCGCTCCATCCGACCCTATGCCTTCAAAGCGTCAACGATTTTGTGAATCCACACCCGTTTGGTTCTGTCAATATTCTGTGATGCCCGTTCCATCACGTGAACTCACCATGGCCGTTTGTATGCAACGCTGCTGATTATTGTCAATCACCTTGTATGTACGCGCGCACTATGATTTCCAGACTCTTTTCTTTTGTACATTCTTCGCATCTTCACAGTCTTTCTGTGAAGCCTACAATGTCATCCTTTTTTTTATATATGACAGTGCTTGTGAATACCGCATTCTGATAGAATGAAAATAAATAATCTCATACAACTGGATTGTATAAAAAACCGAGTATCTCAAATAACAAAGTTAGCATCGCTGTCACGGTAACAAGTACAATGATATCATTATGTTTGGCGACTGAGAAAGCACAGGTCCTTGGTATAATCGAAAGACTTGCCGTTCATATCAGGAGACTGATTTCTGAACGTTTCCATCAATCTATAGTCTAGTAGTTCAAGTACAAAGAGCCACTGTCATGCGAAAGAAAGAAGAGTAGTGAATTCCGTTTTGGAACGGTCGATAAGTTTGAGAAGACAGAGAAGAGGAAATTTATTGAAAGACGATAATGATGGGCAAAAGATCTAATTCCACATAAGATACTGTGATAGGAAAATAAGTTCGGTTAGTCAAAATTACTTTAGATCAACTGTGGTCGTTCCATTCGCTTACCTTGGGAGTACTGGAGAATTTCTGATATCCCTTGATCACCTTATTTACGGATTCCAAAAAGTCCTTTTCCGTTGCCACCTATGATGTACATGCTAGTGTCAGCCTCACTGTGTCTACAAGGTGCTTTATTATTGCACTGACCTTTCTTCTCGCACGAATGGCAAACATGCCAGCTTCTGTACACACACTTCGCAATTCGGCACCGGTGGCATTTGGACACAATCGTGCAATAAGCTCGTAACGGATATCACGTTCCACACTCATGCTCTTTGCGTGAATCTTTAAAATATGTGCACGACCCTATAAGCGCAAAAACAGAATATACCGTTTAGTTAAAACCAAGACTCCACAATTGTCCTTTTAACAGCAGATTGCCGAAAAAGAAAATAAAAGACTTGCCTCAAGATCAGGTAAACCGAATTCTACTCGTCGATCCAAACGACCAGGTCGTAATAATGCGGGGTCCAGTGTATCGGGACGATTGGTGGCCATTAGTACTTTGATATTGCCTCGAGGATCGAAACCATCCAATTGATTGATCAATTCCAACATGGTACGTTGCACTTCATTGTCTCCACCTGCACCATCGTCAAATCGTGCACCACCGATAGCATCTACTTCGTCAAAGAAGATAATACACGCCTTCTTGGTTCTTGCCATTTCGAATAATTCACGAACCATACGTGCACCTTCACCGACATATTTTTGAACAAGTTCGGAACCAATGACACGGATAAAAGTGGCATCGGTTCGATTGGCCACTGCACGTGCACACAAGGTTTTGCCAGTACCGGGGGGACCGTACAATAACACACCCTTGGGAGGATCGATACCGAGGTTGACGAATCGTTCCGGTTGAAGCAAAGGAATTTCCACCACTTCACGCAATCGTTCAATTTGTTCTTTGCATCCACCGACATCGCTGTATGTGACATCGGGCTTTTCCTCCACTTGCATCATGGTCACCGAAGGATCGATTTTCGGGGGCAATGGAATCTGAATCTGGTATTTTGTACGATCGACACTGCACAAGAAAAAAAACAGTGAGAGATTAGTTTCATTCGATGACTCCCTAAACGCATTTCTGCAGCCCAGTCAAAAAAGAATAAAGTGCCTACCCCACACGCATGCCTTCTTCAATATCGGTTGGTGATACGTGACGCACAAGTTCCACGACGAACTTTGCAATTTGTTTAACGTTGATGATGTATTTCGCATCTTCGTTATCACCGCCTTGAATGATTTTTGTACAGCGTGCGACCTGCGAACCATGATGGAATATTGAGTCATCCGAGGTCAACGCCGCCTGGAAAATACGGTGCATTTTTTGTTTACCTGAAGTGGTTGTTCTTCTTGCATGCGTTGTTTATCAGCAGGAATATCCCACAAGTTCGGTGCCGCTAATCCTGTGTCTGATTCCTTCACACCTGTCGATTTGTTTCCATGTCAGCCACACGTCATTCATCGAGATCCGGACCATGACAACAATGACTCACCAATCTTTTCATTGACTCGTTTTTGCGTATCTTTGATATCTTGCTCTAAGACTTTGAGTTCCTTTGCGTACGGACCTTGACCCTGTAACAATCGAAAAAACGTCAGCTCCTTGCATGTCGAGTGCTTCCATGCCACCCGAAATACTTGCATAAGTTTTGAGCAGTTTAATATCGCCTTCGTCCAATGCTGTAGCCAAAAAATAAAATGGTGAGCAACCAAGAAACAAGAGGAAGAACTGGTAGAATCGTCGCCGGTATACTTACCAACGATTTTTTCATCCTTCTCGTTCTCGTCAATGGGCTTGTCGTCTTGAGGAACAATGGAGGAATTAGCGATCGAGTAGGATGCCGATTGTCTATTGACGTAGAAACCTACATTTTTCCCAATCTTCTTTTGGTGGCATGATGATATTGGTTTAGGAGTATGTGTATGTGTGTGCTTTGTGCGATAAAAGCGCAATAAAAAGTAAGGAAAGACAGGTTAGAAAATGTTACGCGTCCGAGTGTCGTCACAGGCAACATTAAAACACCGATAAGCGGCTCATCACCAACCAATAATGGTTTTTTGTTGCAGCAGAACCCACTTTCAATTACGGACACAGAAACCAATGACGCTTATCCTAAAATTTAGAGTATAGCTTGTAGGTTATTTAGTAAATGTCGTCTGCCAAAACTTCATTATAAAGAGAGGCAGATGCGCTTACTAGGCTATCCGCATTAATGAGGCCAACTATCGCTCGTTGGTCATTGCACGTTGCCCCTTTGAATGCGAATTAAAAACAGACGAAAACACCTGAGTTTGCTCAACTGAAAGCGTCACATCATACATGAATGGTTAGTGTACATGCTGAACAAGCCAAGCATAATGGTACCATTCATTCTACGAGTTTTTTGCAAAAAGAATGTTCTTTGCACAGTTGGGGAGGCCAAATTTTAGCTGATTGCGCATCTGTAACACAGACAACAAAGGAGCAACCAAGGCATTGTTCACTAATTTTTCAATAATTGTAAACATTATTTGATCAGAGGGAGTAAAGTTATCTTTATACAGCGCGAGGGAAATGAAGTATGATGCGAACAAACTTCATCGAGTTACCCGAAACAAAAAAAGGCCAAGAGGATCAGACGCGGAGTTGTAAAATGGTTGTGACTTTGGAAAAATAAATAGGAAAAACAAAGGTGGAATCGGGGTGGCAGAGAAAGGGCCTTGTTTAGCGGAACCCGTTGTTTATCAGCTACGAGCCATGTCCAAGAGCATCAAAGCCCTCAGCTTGAAGGGCAAGCAGAACTGGGATACCTCCATCTTTTGCTTTTCGCGCAATGCACGTAACAACTTGTTGTGGGAGAAGGACGGAGCGGCCAAATCGACCCTCAAGCACTACTTCCAAAGCCATCTCACCTCTACCCCGTCTTTCCACCATTCGCCTTCGCGTGTCACCATTCAAATGTTCTACTATGCTGATCCCAACTATTCCACACTGTCCACATTCAAGCTGGAACCCTTGGAAAAACTGCTCAGCACCTTGTACCCCAACAAATACGTTGATTTGCGATTCGTCCGAGTTCACTATCCTTACATGAATGCCGAAATTCTCGCTCAATACCTTACCATCAATGCGGAACGTGTGGGTTGGTCTATCGTCACTCGTCGTTTCATGAAACAGGTGCCTGTAGTGAAGCCACCGTTGCCTACCAACATGCCATTTGCTGTGCAATGGCAAAATCTGTTGCCTCATTTGAATAATGGCCAATTGACCTCGGCCATTCAGGGTGTTAAATATCAAGTGTCCGGTCGTCTCGGTAAGAGAAAGGGTGCAGCCAGAACTCAGGTCATCCGTCGATCTCTGGGAGCTTTCCGTTTCACAAGTCATAAATCGTTGGTGGATGTGGGTCGTCATACCTTTGCTAATAAGAACGGTTCCATCACTGTCAAAGTATGGATCTCGTCTGCATTGTTCGGTGTCGGTGCCTTGGCCAACAAATTAGGTAGAAAGGCGGCGAATGCTGCCAAGTTGTAAAATTGTTTCCCCGTTGTACCTTTTTTCTTTTATCCCAAAAAACATATTTAATATAGAATGTCTGATTTTGTACAAAAAAGTGGCTATGCTTGTGATAGTGTGGCAATTTCTGTGCTAATCCAGTCCAGCTGCTGCACAAGCGTGGTATGTCGCATATGATGCCAAGGTTGTGTTTTTAGTGCGTCTTGAATGTGCCTGAATAAGAAAACAAAGAAACAAAGAAAAAGATGAGAGATGATGATATGTGAGTGACCTTGTTCCTTGGATTACAGATGTGCCTCTTTTTCTTCTTTTTTGCCCAGCCGCTGGAATTTTTTCTATTAAATTATTCCCCACATCATGACAAAAGGTGGCAGATACGTACCATGTTACTTCGGGGGCATTGTTGGTATTTTGAATACGAATTGTGCATTGAACATCTGGATAGTCGTTTGGAATATATAAATGAAGAATGGCCGAGTTTGCGTGCTGAGGTAAAGCGACTTCAATAATGGTATGGTGATTGTTCGTGCTGTGCAGAAGAATGAGCAAGCCATGGTCGTCACAAAAATAAAAATAAAAAGGGAAACACGAAGTGGTTACCTGATCTTGCGGAATCTTGATTTGTATTTTTTATGGAGCTGATTCATTTCTAAGTCTCGAATGGCTTTTTGTATGGAATTGGAAGGGGTCGGTAACGCGTCATCGATCATGTCGTCGGTAAACACGGCATGATGCTCATTACGTGGGGTGCCTTGCATGGGAAGTAAATGTGCAAAAAGACATTCTTGCCCGGCACGACAGATCCCCTGAGCAAAGAAGCGACATGGGGTGGGAAACCGTTTCCGTGGCGATGGGCTCGTGAACATATAATAAAATTGCAATAAAACGCGGCAATAGCGAAAATTTGTCGCACAAAGAAAAGTTTGGGTCTACATCCACTGTTGAAACTCCTACCCTATTTCCCTCGTTCTTGGTTTCCCTCTCAACCCTATTAAACTCGTTTTAGAAGGATTGAGATGCTTTCTTTTTTTATTTATTTTTTTCTCTCTTTCCTATCTTTTCACTTTTCCCACTCAAAAAGGATACTTCACCCACTTCTTCCTTCATTTCTCTTTTTTCATTCTTCCCTTCTTTTATTATTGCTTTCTGACCGCTCATGGAAACTCTGGAACATCAAACTGCCCCGGAAAGCACTCGCGGATTATTTGATCCTCCGGATTCACAGGTAAAAAAGAGAAATATATCCAATTCAACTCCGAGATTGGTTCCATTCCCTTTCCCTTTCTGCATATCTCCCCATGTTCTCAAGAAAGAAAGAAAAGACCCCATATACCATGCAATAAATGATCGCGATCCAAAAAGTGTTCTTTATCCATACTATTCGCAGAAAGGGAGCAATATGATAAGAGTAAATAAATAAAAAAGAACAAGAACCGGGGTACTGATACTATGGAATATTAGCCTTCAAGACATAGCACAGGGTCACACAATCGTCGGTCGTTTCAAGCGTTGCTAGACAGCAACCATGTTTCCAGGCACTCGATTCAACCGGTACCTTCTCAACCACGCCAGAAACAGTTTCGTTCTCGATCAGCCAGTACGTCGGATATGTCCTCGCCCCAAGGCATCCCTCGACAGTTTGGTCTGCAGACACTGGCGGAAGAAGGCTCCGGTTTGGAAGCCACCGAACCTCGCCAACGAGAGGAACCGGCGATTTCCATGGCTGTCGATTCGTTGCAGGGCATGATCGATTCTCTGCGATCGTTACCTCCTATTACTCCGGGTGAGAAAGGACGCCGTCTTGGTCACCGCAAGCAGCAATCGTTGTCATCTTTAAGCTTTGTACCACCACCAAGTAATAAGCGATTATCTTTCGGAACCGACATGCAGAGTATGGTGCAGAGCACCGTCGAAGAGTTGCGCCACATCCCCGATCGCACCGAACGCAGAAGAAGTCGGCGGGCCAGCAGTATCAGTGGCCATCAGGATTCCGGCAGCGGACGTGATGCCGCCCTGGCGGAAGCCGAGGCCAAATTACTCGGAACTTTCGGAAACCCTGTGGGAAGCAATGATCAGGGTAATGGAATGGTGGCCCCAGGTAACCGACGTCACTCGACGTCCCGATATTTCAGCTTTGACAACAAGGATATGCAACAGCGAGACTTTATCAGAACGGCGGGTCGTCGCTACTCCGAATCTGCAGGCAGCAGTTTTGATCGACGTACGTCGTTGCAGATGCCTACATTGACCGAGAATATGGAAGCAACCTCATCGAGTTTGAAGAGACGCATCCAGTTTAACAAACCGTTGAATTTGGGCATGGACGATAACGAACGTTCCGGCGGTGGACACAGTCGACGTTCATCTCGGAACTTGGATTATGATTGGCGATCAGGTAGATCCTCAAATTTATTAGCTTTTTTTGATGAAACGCTATTTTTAGGTTTCGATGATGGGAAATGGCAACCTAACCATGGGATATGTTCTTTTTTTTTTTTTCATTGTAGGCGCTGGCAGCTCAATGGTATCGCCCAGTTCACCCACCCCTTTCTCTTATCGTTCGTTCAACTTGGTCCCATTTACTCCGACTCGTGTGAGTTTTGCTCGAGATGATGCCAATCCTCATCAGCGGAGACTACTTTTTATTGCCCATTTGCCTTATACGTCGTTGACACCTTTATTCCGCTCCCGACAATTGGTGCGTGGTCTGCTGCGAGTCAATAAGCGCAATCGAAACGATGCCTATGTCTATTGCGAAGAACTGGAAGCCGATATTTACATTTGCGGATCACGCAATCGCAACCGAGCCTTGGACGGGGACGTGGTCGCTGTTCGATTAGTGGATGTGGAAAAAATCCTGCGTGAGAAAAAGGAAAAAGAGGAAACCAAGCTGATTCGGAATGGCGGACAAGCTCGCGTTCGTTTACCTGACGAAGAAGATGAGAATGAGATCATCTTTGGTGGTGATGACGAAGTTGATGTTGTCCAACCTGAATACTGTGGTGTCGTTGTCGCTATTCTGGAACGAGCTCAGAATCAAGTGTTTTCGGGGTAAGATCATCTCATGTCAGAAAATGAAAAGCAAGGAATGTGATTGGTTAACCTTGATGGCTCCAAAAAAAAAAAAAAAAAAAGTAATTTAATGCTCATGCGTCCCAATAACAAACGAGCTCAAGAGGAAAAGGCGGCCGAGGAAAAAGGTCTTAGCAAAAAGGAAACACCTCGCATTGTGTGGTTCAAATCCATGGATAAGCGTGTTCCCTTGATCGCTATTCCTATCGAGCAAGCGCCCGCCGATTTTGTAGAAAAGAGCCAAGAGTACGCTAATCGTCTGTTTGTGGTAAAGTGTTGACACCTTATAACACACATGGAAGGCATACAAATCTCACTCCTTTTTTTTATTTCATGGGATTTGTCCACAGGCTTCTATCAAGCGTTGGCCTATCACTTCGTTGCACCCTTTCGGCACGTTGCAGCGAGAAATTGGATCCGTGCTGGACGTTGATACTCAGATCAAGGCCATTCTTGCCGATAACAACGTAACCGATGTCGATTTCTCCGACGCAGTCAAGGATTGCTTACCGCCCATTCCCTATGATTTTGCCGATTGTCCGGATGGCTCACGTCGTGATTTGCGTAATACACGCCTATTTACTATGGATCCAGCAAATTCAAAAGGTATATATGCCAAGCAGTTAACGTTGATCAAAAAATCAGAGAATTTGTATCACTCATACGAAAGCAATAGTGTTGGATGATGCGCTGAGCATTCGTGTTTTGGAGAATGATTTGTACGAAGTAGGAGTGCACGTAAGCGACGTGGCTTATTTCATTGAGCCTCATTCGCCACTTGATAAAGAGGCTCGTGCTCGCAGTGTGCAAGTGGATCTGCTTCATACATCTGTGCCCATGTTGCCCCCTGTATTGACAGAGCAAGTGACGAATCTAAGCCCCGGACAATCCAGGTACGCATGACTTTAATGTCTGTTCGAACGACGATTAAACCTCTGCTTCTCTTTTTTATATATATCAGATTCGCATTGTCGGTTATCTGGAAGATGGATGGGTATGGCAAGGTTCTCGATACTTGGATTGGAAAAACCATCGTTCGGTAAGCATAGATCATTGCAATGTCGTTTCGTAAAAAAAAAAATTAAATTCTAACAATTTGCATTTACATCACAGGTCATCAGCGCAGTTGACGTTTGATGACGTTGAAAAAGTACTTGATAATGCGCCGTGGGATGCTATACAGGATCAGAAACTAAGCTCGGAAATTGCGCAAGACATTCGACTGCTTCACGCTATTGCTACAGATATGCGTCAGACCCGGCTGCAGGATGGCGCTATGGACCAAAAGCGAGAGATTGTGGAGTTCCAGTTTGATGGTCGCATGAAACCTTTGGCAATCCACTCCAAAGGAACCTCCTCTCCCGTTCAACTTTTGAAACAATTCTTGCGATTGGCCAACATCAGTGTGGCACAGAAAATTTCGAGCCACTTCCCCGAGCAAGCTTTATTGCGCCGTCAAGCAGCACCGTTACGCCGTAAAATTGTAAGCGGAAACCCCAATTTCCTTCAAAGCTACAGGAACTTGAGAGCTTATTTTTATATTTGAAAAGCATGAGCTGCAAAAGTATGCTGCTCAGGATTTAGGGGTATCGTTGGGTGTCAGCAGTGCTGGTGCATTGCAGCAATCTGTGGAATCGATTACGGACCCTGTCGTACGAAAACTGGTGTCGGTACTCATTTTGAAGACCATGCCATCGCCAAAGTATTTCTGCACAGGAGCAGTGGATATACTGAAATATTCCCACTTTGCACTCAACCTTCCGCTATTTACCCATTTCACCGCTCCCAGCCGACGTTTCGTTGATCTTATTGTTCATCGTCAATTGGAAGCAGCACTGAACCATGGTAAGATTTCAGGCAACGAAAAAAAAAAAAAAAGAAAGAACGATCAATTGTGAACCATGTTTTTAAAAAATGAGAAAACGGGGACTTTTAGATAAGAACTTTTACCTGAACAGCGAGACAATCCAGAAACTGGCTCAGCATTCCAACATTAAGAAAGAGGCTAGCATTTACGCGGCCGAACAAACACGCACACTTTACCTTGCCTTATACCTATCCAAAAACATGACCCACAATGTCGTTCGTCGTGAAGCCACCGTGGTTGCTGTATTTGATCAATTCTTTGACGTGATGATTTCGGAACTCAACATCGAGAAGCGAGTGCATCTGGCTAGCTTGCCCGTTTGGAGATCCAACTTTAGTTCGCAGCAACGGACATTAACACTGTTCTGGCGCAAAGGTGTGGACACTTCTACGGGAAGGGAGCGTCGATACAGCATGTCAGACGAAGATGATGAGGACGACGAGATTGATGAAGATGCTCTTCTTGCGGACATGGAAAATTCAGACGAAGATGCCAATACGACGGTTCATCCAAGTGATATCCACAGTGCCGATGCTTCGGCTAAAGAAGGAGAACAATGTGACCAGGAAAACACGAAAGAAGGATTTACCAGTGGTCCGGGTTCTTCCACTGGATCTGTTACTTCCACACGACGGCTGAGTAAATCGGCCAGCCGCCGCGCGTCGATAGCCAAAGCTTGTCTTTCAGAATGCACGGGATACAGCACCGAACAGGGTTACCAAACGATCAAAGCCCTCGATAAGATTCAAGTGGTGGTCATCATCGAAATGGTGAAAACACCACCCGTCATTCGTATTTTGGCCGCTAATCCATTCGCATAACTCTTTTGATCTACATAGGAAAGAAACCACCTTGACAATTTGTACGCGTTTTCCTTTCACCTTCAATTTTCTCTTTTTATACATTATTAAAAATATCATACCATCTGCGAGCATCTCTTTCAATTGTATGTACTCCAAGATAATTTTTTCCTCAGTTTTCTCGCCATGTAAAGATACGATCGAGCCATCCGCCATCATTGGTTTATTATTGCACGATGATACAACTGTATAAGACAAAACATTCATTCACCAGAATTCCAAGCCTTATTTCTAATAACGAAAGCTTGTGTGGCATAATTTTCAAAACAAAGCACTATCTATTGTAGCTTTTTGCATATGGACAAAGGCTGAAACATGTTGCACGTTCCATTTGCTGAACTGTAATTATGGTTTGCATCCGAATTACTCATTTCAAAACTTTAGTTGTTGACCTCTCTCGTTTGTAGGAACTGATACGTAATATAAACTCGAGTAATAATCAATCGGCCCTTCGACATTGCTTTGTATAAAATAAGGGATATAAGTTGTATCTTTCCAGACCCCAAAAACTACCCATGTAACCCCCCCCCCGTACCTGTTGTCGCTCTTCTCTTTTCTGCATACGATTGTTTTTTGTAGACATTGTGTTTTAATTTACTGATGCATAAATATAATCTTACCCTTCTATAGTATGTTCGCAGAATTAATTTCGCATAATCTACAAGTATATGCCTTGAAAAAACGTTTCTTGTGAATCCTGTCAAATAATAATTACAGTATGTTGCTACAAAAAAAGGTATGCCGCTTCTCATTTTATTGTTTTGTTTACGCCCATGGGATTCAAGCTCTCGTATCGTTTATGCCGAACTCTCATTTTTATTCCTGGAAAATCAATATGAACTGCCAGAAAGATGAGAACAAATGCGACAATATGAATTTTATTATCTGTTGATTTTTCGTAATGGTATTGTAAAATTTTTACGTTAACCAGCGATAGCTGTAAGTCTGCTATAGCATTGGATCAGATTGCAAGCATTGGTACCTACAGTAATTGCACACCTTCTTGTCTTTTTTAATCACTACTAAAAAATATTACAAGGGTGCAGTACAACATGTCGTTTATACTTTTGGCGTCTGGGATTCGCCCTCTCGATCATGATACTGTGTTTTTATGAAAAAAAATTATCATCAATTTATTGGAGACTTGACGTTCTAGCATTTTCGTAAAGACCGTCCGCCTATGTAACTGAACATGGTGATATCGTATTGATAAATTGTCATGTGAGATGTTACTGATAATACCACCATAAGCTTATTGCTTATCGGCAATCGTATCTTTCGCAAGCCACTTTTTCGGCAACTTTAATCGTAAGATCCATGATGCTGCTGTCAGTAATCGTCGGGTAAATAGTAAATAAGGACAAATATGGCTTCATCTAAATGAATGACACCATATGGCTGATTATGGCTAATGGCTTGGCAAGCATCTTCGAGTAGAGCTCGTGATTCCAATCGATTCATTGTGTTTGTCAATGCTGTTTCTGCCTATAGCTACACTAACCATTTCAAAATCGAATGGCTCGATCACACGTTTTGGTTTTCTCAAAACTGTAGTTCTGGCACCCAGGATTTCCAGTATTTCCCTGATCGCAACGAACCTGTTGTGGTTGAGCTGTCTCCAGAGGTCGCCTGTTTCAAAATGCGGTAAATGATGGGCCAAAGGCACATGAAACATCGGTAACGCAATTAATTACTATTGTCTAGGATCCATCACATAACCTACAACATTCGATTATGTCGTAGATACAGTAGTGTGCTCGCATTTTCCTTGTGGATCGTTTTGAAACCTTTAACTTCCCGATCCATGTCCCAACCGGAACAGATCTCGCTACTCCAAAATAAAAGAAAAATATTACAGGGATAATGGCATTCACCTTTTGCCGGCTTTGTTTTTTCCAATCGGTGTTCCTAGCGTACAAGATAACAGTTTCCATGGGAAAAAAAAGTGGGACAATCTTTTGTATCAGTGACTCCGTAGCCATATAGGAAGCCACAACAACACGTCTGCGTAAACCGATTTTTCATCATGATTACATCTTGGCCATCGGAAAAACATTTCGATGAGTCCAATATCTTCCCTGACTTTACCGATGATGCCCTGTTCATTCTGTGTGGAAAAAAATAAAAAAAACCATATACAGCCATTTTCGAAAGAGACAAATGATCTAAAAGAGGAAAAATAATAAAGTGAGGAAATATTTTAATGTCCCTAATTGGTTAAGCGCCAAATTGGGAAACAAAGGTACAACGGAAAGTAGCGTACTAAAAGTAGCCTGTTCATCAGTACTGTAGATGGGGGAGCCATAATATACCGGAAAGGGTGAAAACTGTCATCATTTCGAGACACCATGGTGATACGGAAAATCATGTGAGACTAAATTTTTTTAAGACGTTGGACAGTTACCGGGGGAGCGGGAAGAGGATGGATCCAACGATATGATGTGGCGGGTAATTTCTCCAAAAGCGGGGGGAAATGTAACGGATCAATGATGCGGAGAAGCAGATCTGTGGAGAAATGCGGGGACAAGACGATTGGCTCTGGCAAGAGCGGGGGAAATTTGACTTGGACTGGAAATTTTCAGGTGAGAAGCTGTAAATTGGTAATGTACCACAGTGGGCTGTAAAATACGTTACCGAATCCAGCCTTTTTAAGTGTTACCAAAATGGTCGGTTTTAATAAACTTTTAGCGTCCTTGACCTGCTTCCATCATCATGGAACCACGCCTTTTTTCACCTCATTAGGGCAATGCTAATACGGGAGAACAAAAGACCATCACTATAAGCTAGACCATTTTAATTTTTATGTTAGTTTCATTTAAAAAGTAAAAATAATTGAAGCAAGAAAAAAAAAGCCAATGAAGCATGGAAGTGAGCCCGAGTATGAAAGGTTGTTGTGGGTAACAAACAGCAGTATTGTACATCCGTAACTGTTGGGTCGAGTACGACTTGTATGGGAATTAGGAATCTTATCGTCAATTCAAACGGTTCGGTCCACATGTATAACGAAGATTCAAAGAGAGATCGTGTGGGCCCCTTCCATGATAATAATAACATTTTCTGTATGGCTCTGCCAGGGATCCTTTTTCCCTGTTGTCTATTGCGACAAAAAAATGGTACAAGCATTATATCATAAGGAGGGTATTTTTTGACCTGTCATTGGAATTATAGTTTCCCGCTCTGTCTTTTTTTTTTCTTTTTCTGGCGAATTTAAAGGCACCGCAATGAGGTTTTACACTAGTAAATTCCTCATTCGTTACAAAATCACCATAAAAGGTCAGTTTTTCACCGTTGCTGTTCCACCAAGACTCGATACCGTTATCGGGAGCACATTGTGTTCAACCCGTTTCCCCGACCGTTTACTGATCTACCCACGCAACCGGGAAACCTGTCATCTGACGGATGTCCAAGGAACGCAGGGCTCTAATTTTTTTTTTATATATTTTTATTTTTGGCGGATGCCATTATCGTTCAGCGAATATATAAAAGGCAGCTTTTGATCCAGCTTTTAATCTCTCATCCCAGTTCACCTTTATCCTTTGGAATTGCAATGAAATTCACCGCCACTGCCTTGATCTCCGCTGCCTTGCTCGCTGTTGCCAGCACTGTCACTGCTGCTCCTCTTGAAGCTCGTGGCAACCACCACCACAACCACCACAAGGGCAACCACATTGTCAAGGGCAAGCACTTTGACCGCGTTATGATCATCATCTTTGAGAACAAGGATTATACCACCGCCAAGAACGATGCCTACTACTCCAACTTGGCCAGACTTCACAACGGTGTTGCCTTGACCAACTACAATGGCACCACCCATCCTTCCCAGCCTAACTACGTATGTAAACAAGTAATGAATTGTGCAAAACAGTTCAATGATCTCATTATGGATCCTATAGATTTCCTTGATCAGTGGTGATACTGAAGGTACCAACGGTGATGACGAGTCCAACATTGACCGCAAGAACATTGTGGATCTTTTGGAAGCCAAGGGTGTCTCCTGGAAGGCTTACCAGGAAGGTTACATGGGCAACTGTGACAAGAGCATGAGAATTGGTACCTATGCCCGCAAGCATAACCCCTTCATGTCCTTCACCAACATCTCCAATGACCCCAAGCGTTGCTCCAAGATCGTCAACAGCGCTCAATTGGATATCGATATTGAAAACGATGCCGTTCCTCAATTCGTCTTCTTCACTCCCGATGTAAGTTGATTTTGTCAAGCTTTCTTTTTTCGATGATGGTATGGCTAACCAGCGATTCTTTTTTCTTCTTCCTCCATAACAGATGAACAGCGATGGTCACGACACTGACATGACCTATGCCTCCAAGTGGCTCCAACTCTTCCTCGAACCCAGAATTACCCGCAAGGAATTGAACAAGAACACAATGTTCGTTGCTACCTTTGATGAAACCGATGATTACTCCATCAGAAACCGTGTCTTGACTGTCCTCTTCGGCCCTGACTTCAAGCGCAGCTCCAAGAAGTTGGAAGATGATACCGAATATGACCATTACTCCCTCCTCAGAACCATTGAGGACAACGTAAGTAACATGAGATTGACTGTCTCATTTTCATAATGTATATTTTGCTCATTTCTTTTACCTTGTTTAGTGGAAGCTCGGTGATCTTGGTCGCAACGACACCATTGCCAGACCCATCAAGCTCTAAATAGTGTGCTGTGCATATTATTTTCTATATAAATGTATATTTATTTTATCGAAACTTTATATATAAACCAACTACTCTGAGAGATTTTTATCACCCAGTCATTGAGGTCATTCAATCATCAATCGGCTTTTCAATGGTTTACGTAATGGTCAAAGGAAAAGCAAGTTCATCGCTTACAAGTATTTTTAAATCAACCGTTTTCAAAATCGGTCTCTTGCCTGGTTACGTTTATCCTGCGCATTATTTGAAAACAAGTAAATAATACAGTGGAGGCTTAGCCTTGATCATGCTTTTGCTTGAAGAAGTTTTCGAGCTTGATCACTTACTAAATTGGCTACACTTGTGAATATTCTGTAAATCGGATTAAAAAAATGCGATTGCTTTGATAGATGGTCTCGGGGCCAAAGAAGACCAACCTGGAGCCCTCGTCGATAAAAACAAAGAAAAAAAAAGTGGACTCTCGTATTCTCGTATCTTATTCCTCTCTCTTTATTGCCAACGTTAAATTCTATAATTTGGTAACAAAAACCAATGCACCGTCGGTTCGTACCGAGCTCACTACCATGCTGCCAATTGAATCCTGTTATTGGGAGGTTGAAAAACAGCAGAAAATGGCAAGTCAGAGGAATCGATCCTGATTATGAGCAACTAGTTAAACTTTCAATGCAGAGTCGACCTCATCGCTCAAGACCGTTAAAACCCATAGTATATTCATTTCAATATCAAATCGCCCCACCAAACTTTTTTCCTTCCCTTCGCAGCCACTGTGACAAGCGCGTACAAGTTTGGGACTTTATGGTATCTCGTTCTGTGGATCGATCGATACATCTATGTTGATCTCTACGTAAGTATTTCATTTATGTTTGATCTGCATCTCTTCCAATTGTTGCAACACATCATAAATACGCGCATGACCTACTATGCAGAGCAGTAACCGCGAGCCAGCAATATCTCCATATTCCCGGCATTGATCGGTGTAAATTCGGGATGGTTTGACTGCTTCGTCATTCTCGTTCTCATAGAGCACTTTTCTGATCTTATGATCTGTCTCTTCTTATGCCGTTGGCGACAATGGACTCTATTGAAAGCATTTTGAGGCCCCCGCATCGATATGTTCTGCATCGATAGAGAGCCTAATCACGTCTCAGTACTATTATCATAAGTACTTGAATATGAGTTGAGGCAAGGTATGTAAGCCCCCTTTTTATTTTCTAATCGACCTATTTCAATGAAAACTGGAAGGTTGCCACACGTGGCGGTGGATGATTGAGTCATCTACGTATTGCGTCAAATGAATCCGCTTCATTGGCTGGCCCTCATAGAAGGTTAAGCTTACGATGATCAAACGGAGATACAGAAAAGCTAATCATGCACCAGCTACGACACGCACGCGGCATAACACATGTAAGGGTTCCTTTGCTCCTTACCTGCTTTACACTCGACGACGCTGTATCTAACTGTGAAGCGTAACATTTGACAGTATTGACATTATTCTATCGGCATACACGGTTTTCTCGGACCTTTGGAATTATGGATTGGCAATGCCTTTGAACGGATGACACATGCAAACTTTGCACAGGCTTATCTTTTGCTGATGAAGCGATATGAAAATAGAAGGCTCCAAGAAAACAACTCGATATCCCAATGTAGTTTTTTCTTAATGTCTCTATGTTTTTAGATTATATGTCTCCGGTAAGTAGCAGCTTAAAAAGCGAGTAAAGAAAACTTGTTTGGTCGATGCTGGGAGAGAAGCTTGGTGGATAGCGAGTTGCTTTTTTTTGCACTAAAAAAATGTGATAACAAGAGGGGCTTTGATGACCAATTGTGGTTGAAATCGACGACTTGGTGAATGACACTCATAAGTTCAGTATATTTAATGTTCATTGTGCTTGTGAGCTTCGGTTTCGGATGAAGAGTTCGGCTTTTCTGCCGTATTGTGCTTCTATATTCTGTTACTTGAACAGTTGTGATTCCTCACAGGTATCCACGCGAGTAGAGCCATGTAGGGTTTGTGCAAGGACCTAGGCGGGATGCGTTGTCGTCTTCCTTTTTATTACTTTTCTTTTCCGAAAAGAAACCAAAGAATGAGCTCAAAGACGGTTGATAATGAAAAATAAAGAAGGCGTATCCTGATGTTTTCAAATAACAGTTTATGATCCACCGACCATCGATTGTTCCGGCGCGTGTTTGGCATGTTGGCACGCTGACCTGCGTTGCATCGCACTGGGTGAGCCTGTGCTTCTCATTTGGTCGTTTCTCCGGGTAATCAAGGCCTGTTGAAGCTTTTGCTTACTGCATACACATTTCGCTAGACTGACTTGCTTATTTTCCATAATTTTGACTCATGATTTTTTCCAAATCAGTTTGTCTTCAGACTATTTTCATTGCTGCTTAAATTTTTGTCATTAGACCTTTTTTTTTAATTTTTGTAACTTGGAACTTGAAAATAAACTGTATACAGGGTTTTCCATCAAAGGAAATGGGTATTTGGTGGGATTTCATTGGTCAATGATGCTTCCGACGGTTGAACAACATGGGCAGGCAGTGTATGTGCTACGTTGGTGGGCGGCATGCTGTGATCCGTTCCGACGTCATGCGTTCGTTCGTGTTTGCGTAAAGATCGTAAGTGATAATAAGCCTTGCCGCAATTTTCATAGGGACATAAATAGGGACGAATATTCGTATGGATTTTCATATGCGTTGTAAGTGAATCTGGGCGCGAGAATCGTTTGCTGCAACCTAAAGGGAAAGGCTTGGCTAAGACGTCGTGTCACACAAAAGACAAACGTAAAAAAAATAAAAAAGTTTTTTTACCTTCTTCGGTACATGCAAAAGGTCGCTCTCCGGTGTGAGTTCGGAGATGGTTATGCATCTTGTGCCGTTTCGAAAATGGCTTATCTTTACGATGACAGTCTCTCCAGCCGCAATAATACAGTGGCTGTGCAAGCAAGAGCGAATCCAATGAAATGCATGAGTTTTCTGGCGGGTATTGCCTTTTTTTTTTTTTTTTTTCCTTTGTTCCTTACCTTGCCACTGCCAATATGGGCTGTTTTGACATGATCGATCAGATCGTCGAGTGAATTTAACTCTAGCATACAATCTTCCCATAAGCATTGATTTTTATCTTCTTCATCTTCATCATCTTGGGTTTCTTCAAAATTTATAGATGATTCGCTGGAAACTATAGAAGAGGGTAACCAAAAAAAAAAAAAAAAAAAAATTATTAGCTACCGATTGACTCTGATCACAATAAACCAGGCGGGTTTGCCGGGAACGGGTGCTTACCTTTGCGATCCATAGCGGGTGCGAGGGCAGCCTGTTTTTCCTGCTCCAATTCTACCACCCGTTCCAGCAATTGTTCATTGGAAAGCATATCGAGTTCTGCTGAAAGAGGACTGCATACGGAAGGCGAGGAGGTTTCGGCTAAACGTCGTTCATCGTGCGGACTCGGTGAAGGCGGGAGTTCCAAGCGGCCAAGCGATCGATGTCGTTTTGCTTTCAGATACTTTCGGAATTTAGCTTGGGGTTGTTCGGGATTGATGGTAGTGGCGGGGTCGATTGGGTCTTTGGCTTTGGCGCTGTAAGGGGTGGAAACAGTGTGACGTCTCGGTAAAGAACGCCGCACTTTTCGCTGGTCATCTTTGACGGGTATCGCATTGTCATCTCTTACATTTGAAGGTACTACGGGTGTGGGAATCGGAGTGAAGTTTGGCTCGGTAGCTTGAACGAGGAAAGGCATACCAGAAGGGTAACCGAATTTGAAAGCATCGTGAGCCTGTTTTTTTCCCCATTCAGGATCAGTATCCATTCCCTCATGTCTTGGCATTTCCTCGCTCTGTCCTTTTAATCATTTACCCTATCACGGTGACCAGTTTCCTGGAAAGGATGGTTAAACATTGAAGGAATATTTGCATACGAAAGGTTCGTATTCATGGTTCCAAAATAATCCATGGGAAGTTGATTGAAATCCATCAGGTTGGAAGAAGCGCTCGTTGTGTCCAATAGCATCTGGTCGGTTCCGGTCATGGATTGCGTTGGCTGTTGTTGTTGTTGCTGCTGCTGCTCCGCTTCATGGAAATGCTGATGGAGAGTGGCTGAGGCTGGTTGTTGCGGTTGTTGCGGTTGTTGTGATTGCGATAACCATGCCATTTCTGTAGTTGGGTTATTTACTTGATGCATAGGAGAGGCAAATGAAGCGGTCGGGTCAAAGTCCGTGATTGGCGGATAGGTAGGGGGCAAGGGAGATTGAGCCTGAGATGAAACGACCATGGATGGCTGCATAAAAGACATGGGGGTGCTAGGACCGACTTGACTCTTTACAATGGGAGTTGGAGGCATATGAAGATCCACTGGATTGGCGGGCATCATGTAATTCGCGGCAAATAGAGCTGAAGCTTGGCTTTCCACCAAGGGTTGCTGGAAAAACTGGTCGCTGACGTCCATACTTTGATTCGACGGAGTAATTTCCATTGTTGTACTGCTTGGGTACGTTTGTTGTTGCAAATCTAGAGATCCCATTGTCGCCACATACGGCGGCTGAGATGGTGTAGGCGTCAAAATATCTCCTGTTCCATTAGGCTGCTGTGATTTTGGATGATAACGAGATTGGAGTTAATCATCAAGCAATTATGAGTAAATAACATGAAATAAGCCAAGCGACACCCCCTGATTACTGGACCATGGGAAGCTTTTTTCCACAATGAGGGGCTTTGATAAGCTCAACTTACCATATGCATTTCGGAAGAAACGTAGTGGTTAGAAATGATCATGTCGGAAGACAGAGGGAAATGAGCTGTAAATGAAAAAGGGTCGGCTCGGCTGTCAGATAAGGACATTTCGCAACTGTTGCCGTCCATTGTAAACTATGTTTGTCTTTTTTGTTCGTCTGATATTGTGGTGTCTTGTTCCTCTCGTTTTCTCGAAAAAATAAAAAGGGAAAACGGTGGTGATTTTTGACGTATTTCTCGATGAGAATAGTGGTTGGTTGGTGCTATGAACGGTTGTCGTTTATATTCAAGTGTTTATGCCGGGGGTGACGATCTAGAGATGAGGCCAATGAGTGTCATTGACCTTGGCAAAGCAATTCCCATGGAGATCTTTTGTCAAACCAATAAGAAAGCCAGCTTACGTGAAGTAAAGAGTTGTTCACACTGTGAGTTGAATAAAAGCAAGGATAGAAGAATGGATTCAAATGCTTATATTTTTTACGTGTTGTTGGGATAAGCGAGCCGGCGCTGTATAGGCAACAGTAACTAGGATGCCAAGAAAAAAAAATTTCAAAGAAAGAATCGATGTGACAAGAAAAAAAAAGCTTGAATAAGAAGATCAGGATATTTTCACAAAAAGAGGACAAAGAAAGGAAAAAAAAAACTGTCGAAGGAAGGATATGGTAATATTTGACAAAGAAAAAAAAAAAAGGAAAATCTTATCAGGCGTCAAAAAAAAAAGAAAAAGTAAAGCGTGTTTGTATTGAAGAACACCAATCCAATTCTGCCAAAATGAAATAGTCAAAAAGAACAAGAAGAGAAAAAAAAAACATCTGTGAAAGAGCAGTCTTTTTTTTTTCTCGTTCTGTGTTGCTTTCCGTTTTGGCTCGAGTTTATTTTTTGCCAAAGGTTTTTGTAAATGACACTGCGTGTGTGGTGTGTGTGTGCGTGTGTGCGTGTGTGCGCATGTGTCGATCTTTAAAAAATTCTCCTTGACCCAAAAAATGCATTGAGTGTGAGTGACAAATAAGAGCACAGCGGTGGATGGTTTGGCTTCAAACTCCACATGTTCTCATTTTTCGATTTGGCTCCCTTTGATCATTTATGGTATAGCGAACAAACAACTTCAAAAGCGATCATTGTGCCACCCTATCTTCCCTTTATTCTTAGCACACTTTATTCGGATGGTAGCACTTGTGATGCTTCACCCCATTTCTTGTGTTCTGTAGCAGGTCCCATCAACAGGGTGGATGAAGTGTTGAAATCGCTTATTCACGGCTAGCTGATCTTTCTTATCTTGATGTGTACCCAAATGGAAGGTTCATGTGGTCCATTTTTTAAACCATCAGCTGCTTCAATTGATGATAAAGTCGGCTTTTAGGTAAGCCAACCTAAAGAAAGCAAAACAGAGTCAATATATGCAAATGAGTAAACAAAAAGGCGGTGTTCCCCCAGACTCAGAAGCAAGCTGGGACAAAAAAACCAGACGTACGACATACCACATTCCAATAATCGCCGTGAATCCATTCCACAAACAGAGATGCCGTGCCTTGAATGCCGTAACTACCTGCTTTGCCAAATGGCTCACCGCTCGCAATATCTACATGTCAAAAAAAAAAAAAAAAAAAGGAAAAAAAAAGAATAATAAAAACCGTTGATCAGTCCGGCTTCCTTTTTTTAAAAGCCCGTTTGTACTTGATTGTATCGTTTTTCTTTGTTTTTCTTTATTTTTACATGCAGCCATGGTATCTGAGTCAATCTCGGAGAACTTGACCCGAGTGCACTCGACAAAACCCGTTTGCTTGACCTCAGAGTCGGACTTGTATATAATGTGAACACCTGTGAATACTTGGTGTGTCTGACCGCTCAAACGTTGGAGCATGGCCAATGCATGCGCCTCATCTCGCGGTTTCTCCAATACATCGTTGTCCATGACAACCACAGTATCTGCGCCGATCACAATATCCGCATCAGGCAAAGTAGCATCATCCTATCAATGATTCAAACATATTAGCTCCCCACAGCACAGAAAAAAAAACCAGGTGCCACCTGTCAAATGTGATATGACCTTGCCCCTTTTTTTTCACTCCTCCCTCTTTTTGCCTCTGTTACACGTGCCTGACAACGTTCGAAAACTTCGCGGGCTTTCATTAAGGCCGTATCTGCAACATAATCAGACGGGCTGGCATAGGCAAGCGGGTTATTTGCGTCATCTTCGAAAGTAGTTACCACTTCAAAAGGAATGCCCTATCAATGAGACGAGTCATGCATGCCATGAGTGCGACTTGTCATTTGTTCTGGTCCGATATTCCTTTTCGATAGTTTACCAAATCTGATAAAATCTCACGTCGTCGTGGTGAAGCCGAAGCCAAGACGACTTTCTTTTGACTCTTGTGTAGTGGCAATAACATCGTCCAATGACCAGCAATCAAAGTGCGAATATATTTTTGCACTCAGCCCACGCACAGCAAAATAGAGAGCGTGATGTATTTCAAGTGCGACGTCATTGATTCTTTTTTTTTTGAAAATTGGTTGTCCAAACTTTCACGAAACCAACTATAGTTTAGTTGAATATAAAAACTAGAGGAACAGAGTAAAAATAAACTTCTTAAGCAGTTTCCTCCACAATACAGTTATTGGAAGTTTGAGCGGCTCCTTGTATTCTTTTACTCAACCTAACGAAACCCCCTTTTTACGCATTATTTACTCGATTTCACCGTATTTTAACGAACAACAGTCATATACATCAAGGGCAACTGGGAATTTAATCCCCGCAATCTCTAACATTTGTGACGTCAGCTTGGGGGACTGTGGGCCTGGGGCAGTTTTATGTTTTTTTGAGGCCATCTTTGATTTTTCCTATTGAACAGTACCTACATTACTCGAGATGGTATAGTCCTAGCAAGACCATTCACGTCTATAATTATACTAATGTCTCTCCTTTTTACCTGCAGCCCGTCCCCTTCGAAGCCCTTATTCCCTTTGGCCTCATGGCCGGTTTGATTACTGTTTCCGCAAGTGGTCTCTCCATGGTCAAGTACTACGCCAACGATCGCAAGGTAAAATAGTCAAAATCGACAAACGAAAAACACGAAAAACACGAAATTACGACAAGGAAAGTTGACATTGTTACTTTTAGCCTCACAGATATGGTCTTGATAACTGGGAAAAACAAATGATGGAACGTGACAGACGCATGACAGGATCTCTCCGTGGACAATTGGTATATATACCGCGTGAATAAACATTCGGCATTCTTTGTACTCACATATTATTATTATTTTGTATTTTTCTCTTTACAGGCAGAACCTACAGCGCCAGCAGCATTTGCCACGAATAGGTAAGACTAGAAATGGTGTATTGACACTACGATGCAAGGCGAGGCTCACTCCTTTTATTTTTTTCTTGTTCAATAGTGTTTGGTATTTGGAGACACCAAGATCGAAATAGACGCAATAAATCAAGTCATGTATCATTTTTCCACAAAAAAGCAAAAAGAAAAAAAAAAAAGGCTTACAATACAAACGGAACCCGACGTCCAAAAACAAACGTGTCATGTAACGAAGGAAGAAAAAAGAGAAAAAAAAGAGAAAAGTAAGCGCGCCATGAATGCTGTGATGCTTATGAACAGAACAATGCAAAAGCGTCATCCAACATCAGAAAAAAAAATGCGAATACGGAGCGAAGCGGAGCATTGTTGATTTTACGTTTTTGTGGTTGTGATTATTATCGTGGTACGGAAATCGAGGAAGGATGCGTGGAAGGGTAAACAAACTGAGTGATTGTAAAAAAAAATGAACAAGGATACAAGGAAAAAAGAAAAAGCAACAACGACAGTAACAAAAAAGACAGCAGGAGGATGGAGGACTATCATCGGATAGAAGTTTTACAGTGGATCAAAATCGTGGAGTTCAATAGCGGTTTGTGTAGTTTGCGTAATGCCATCGTGCTTGAGTCGTTGCATGACTACGACGGCTTTGGTGTCATTGAATTGCAATTTCCATACCGTTTTAGCCGGCTGTGTGAATGACCGAATCAGAGACCCTGTTTCCAAATCCCATAGTTTGACAGTGCCATCGTTTCCGCCACTTAGGATTCGTTTATCGTCAAACTGTAAGCAAGCGACAGAGTTATCGTGAGCCGAGATGCGGTGCTTGCATTCATAGTGATTGAGGTCCCACAGACGTAGGCAACCATCGGACCCCCCACTGACAAGTAGAGAGGCATCGGTAGGCGAGAGTTGTAAATGACCGACAAGTGAGGTGTGACCATGCAAAGTGGCGAGACATTGGCCTGTAGCAGCTGACCAGACACGAATGGTAGAATCCAAAGCTCCCGTAATGACGCGCTGACCATCGAAAACAATGGCATAGATTTGCGAATGATGACCCACAAATACATGCAAACACTCTCCTGTATTGGTATCCCATAACCTTGCTGTGGCATCATAGGAACCAGAAGCGACTCGATGATCATGCACATCAAGACAACGTACGCTTAGTTGATGGCCGATGCATACATGCTTCAATGTACCATGCTCGATATCCCAGATTCTTAGAGTGGTATCGCGAGAACCGGTAATCAAGGTTGTAGGGTTCAAAATTTTTAGGCACCGGATGGTCGACGTGTGACCACGTAGGACATGACGTGTTTGCCCTGTAGCGAGATCCCATACACGAGCTTCCCTGAAGAATAATAGAAAACGAAACGAGAGTCAGTGAATTTTCGGTCCCAGCAAGTGATTTTTTCATTTTTCTTTTTCTTTTTCTGGGTCATTTTTAATTTCTGAGAAGATGTTTTAGTCATTATGAGGTAATTTTTTTACCTGTCGCAACCTCCGGAAACAAGCATATGATACTCCTGTTGAAGTTCCGGATCCAGTGTTCTGATGAATTGCAATGCCCACACCCCACCTTCGTGACCCAGTAAACTTCGGATGTGTCTTCCGGTGGTACTGTCAAACACTTCGATGCGGTTGTTGTCGCATCCAATGACAATGAATTGTTTGTCGAGCTGCAGACTCGTCACCAGACCGGAATCAACGTGGTTAGTGCAGGTGGTGATTTTCCCAGTGTTTTTTCGCCAGGCCATTTCAATGCTGTGTTTGTGTCGAAAGTATTCTCTGTAGGATATCGGTTGTTGAAATTGTAATGAACGACGACGTCGATGATGTTTCAGACACAGCGCTTTCCAGGTAGTTTCGTCTTTGAGTAGCTCATACCAAAACGACGACACTCTGGAAGCCCGTACGAGTGTCTGTGGATCGTCAATAAATGATAAAACGTGCAGAGCCAGTTCAATAGGGAGCTGTTTCAAAAAGTCGATCTTGAGCTTGGGAGCAATCAGGGTATTTACAAAAGCCAACAGCTGGTTATCGCAACAACTGAGCAATTCAGCAATGAACGTCTGTTGTTGTCGTGCACTCAGTCGTGTGAATATACTCTTGACATTGCTAATGTAATTCAACCGATCGTCATGGATGAATGACGTTGCCAATGGAGAAGCATGGGTATCCACTTGGAGTTCCACAACTGACGGCGGTTTCGATCGCTGTGGGGAACGGTAACTGAGGGTAGGAGGTGTGGCCGGCGGTGAAATCTCTTCCATGATACACGGATCCATCGCAACAATATTAATAAGAAATTAAGAGCAAAATAAAATAGACAAAAAAGTAGCGCGCACACACACACACACACACACACAAAAAGAGATGAGAGAGAGAGAGAGAGAAGAGGAGAAAAAGGCTGTAAAAAACAGAGAAAGGAAGGAAGAAAAAAAAAGAAACCAGGTGCAGTTGGTGGGAAAAGAAAGGGGCAAAATGTATCGGCTACTTTTTTTAGCGTCGTTAAAAAGACCTTCAAAACAGTGATGGACTTTAGTAGAGCGAATAAAAAAAAAGAAAGAAAAGCGGCGCTGGGTTGACGTACGTCTATGCTGTTGTTTCTAATGTCGAATCGACACAGAACAGCAAGGGGTAAAAAAATAAAATAAAAAGCTTCTTGGGTTTTTTTGTCATCGTCGGTTTTTTTTTTTTCTCATGTCCCCTCTGCAGGTGGATGCTTGGTCACTGCAGAAAAGCAAGACAGGGGCGAAAAAAAATATGGGGGATGTGTACGCACGGGGTAAGATGTAATAAACAACAAGAACCATCAAAGAATCTGGTAGTGGAAAAGGGCGCTGCTTTAAGCTGGGAAACAAATTGTCCTTTGTCCGAATGAACCGTTTGCATTGTGCACAACATTCAAGACCTTCCTTTTTAGGTAATAAAAATGACTGCGCGGCGGAGAATGAATTAGGTGGGGCGAGTTCCCTCAGAATGGATTTCCAACCTTATCCAATCGAGATATCCGCTTTTGTTATGGCGCCGCTCTCTATTTCTAGGTTTTCTTCTTTCTATCTTTTTTACTTTTTTTTTTCAATATATAAACCCTGTCGGATCTCATTTTGTTTGTGGTTCCGGTTCCTTTTGTTTCTTTGAAAGCATATACTATATATCACAACTGAAATACCCGTCCTTCATCGCTTCATATGGTGTCACCCAAAGATACGACCAAGAGAAGTAGTATGTTTTTAAGCCGGCCTCAATCAACCCGTCATTTCGTTTCAAGAAAAAAATAACTCACGGAATGTTTCGTTTCTCGTTAGGCACACCTTCTTCTCACTTTGACTACAGTGACGAAGATGACGACGACATGTTGCCACCTAATGTCCGTGCTTCAGAACGAAGTACGCTGTTGTCGGTCGAGGATCAAATACCCCGCTACATGACTGCTTCTCCATGTAAGTTTGTTTCGGTCCAAGCGACTGACTCTCATGCAGGAAAACGGAACGGAGATAAACGACAAAAGGGATCATTAATAAAAAAGGCGGGTTGGCAAGAGGATGGCAGAGGAAGAGAATATTGGAAAAAGTGATAGATTGAAAGCGAGTGAAGTAAAATGAATTGTTTTTCAGAAGGAATTACATTCATTATGGCCTGATCATATAATTAGAACATGGTTGTTGGAGGATCTAGACACTCACTTTCTTATGCTTCTTTCGTATTTTTTTTTTTTTGTCGTCCGAATCAAAATAGTACCCTCGGCAAGGTTACTTCATCAAGATGCCCCCAAAGATACCTGGAGTCTTTTCAAGCTTCGATCAAAATACTATTTACCCATCCTCCAGTGGCTTCCACAATACGATCGTTACATTTTCCTGTTTGATCTATTTGCTGGTTTGACACTCTCCTGTCTGCTCATTCCCCAAGGTCTGTCGTATGCTACCGCTCTTTGTAAACTGGAAGCTATCCATGGTCTTTATGCCATCGCTTTTCCGGCCATCACCTATGGCGTATTTGGCATGTCCAGGTAACTCAGAATGACCCCATCCCAACCACTTGCCAACGTGACACCGGGCGCTTACCGAAAACAAAAAAAAACCTTTTTTGGTCCATTTAGGCAAATGTCCGTAGGACCAGAAGCAACTTTATCCCTTTTGGTAGGGTCCTCCATCGCACAACAAGCACACCTGCAAGCAGAAGGCGTCTCACCCATCGATCCTCTTGCATGGGCATGTCTGATGACTCTTTTTGTGGGTATTTTCACCTTCTTGTTGGGCATCTTCCGTCTCGGATTCCTGGACAGTTTGATGAGCCGTGCCTTGCTGCGTGGTTTCATTACCGGATTAGCCCTGGTTGTTTTGCTTCAGCAAACCATCATCTTGCTCGGTCTCGGTAAAATCAGCGAGGAAGCCGGCATCTCGGAAGCCTCCACCACAGTGGCTCGTTTCATTTTCCTGATCAAATATTTCCCCTATGCTCATCGATTGTCGGCCTATGTATCAGCCGTCTCGGTGGCCATTTTATTGGCGATGCGCTTTGTCAAAGCCAAGTTGGCTAAATTCCGATGGGTGCAACTATTTCCCGAGGTGCTATTGGTTGTGGTCGTGTCCATTTTGTTGACTTCCTATTTTGGATGGGAACACCAGGGTTTGGGCATCTTAGGCGACATTGAGAGTTCCGGTATTCCGCTGCCCTCCATCCCTGCCTTCCCGGAGAACAAACACATGAAAGATCTCCTCGTCACCTCCGCCATGATTGCCATCATTGGTTTTGTCGAATCCGTCGTGATTGCCAAAACTTATTCCACTCGTCACAACTATTCTGTCAGTGCCAACCGTGAACTCGTGGCTCTCGGTCTTGCCAATATGGCAAGTGGTTTGTTTCAGGGTATCCCTGCCTTTGGCTCCGTAAGTCTTTTTCTTTTCTCCCCCCTTTTTTGTTTGTTGTTGATTATTTATATTTCCTTTGGATTCCTAATCAAACAAAACGCGATGGCCCAATGTTTGAATCTGCTTTTTTTTTATCCATTTTGCGGAACATACCCCTGACTGAATGATTCGGTTGTTTAGGTGGCACGTAGCAAGATCAACGACAGGGCAGGTGCACGAACTCAGATGGCATCCATGGTAGCTGGTGTCATTGCGTTGCTGGCCATCCTGTTTTTACTCCCTTACTTTTATTATCTCCCCAAAGCTGTCTTATCAGCCATCATTTTTGTTGCCGTGCTCTCGCTCTTGGCCGAATTGCCGGAAGATTTACACTTTATCTTCAAAATTGGCGCTTGGCGTGACCTCGGGTTACTCATGGTTACTTTTTTGGCAACCATTGTGATTTCCTTGGAGTTTGGCACCATGCTTGCCGTCACACTGTCACTTCTCCTGACCATTAAGGAAACCAGCTATCCCCGCATCACCATCATGGTAAGCTGGAACTCAATTTGACCGGTTCAGCTGCAGTGAAACACATACCCTCCCTGGTTCTATGCTGACGCGGCTTTCTCATTCTTTTGAATAGGGACGTGTGAAGGGCACTCATAACAGATTCCGACCGATTCAGGATGATCCCAATGAAGTGGAGCATTTGGAAGATGTGCTCATTGTTCGTGTTGAAGAACCACTGTTCTTTGCCAATACAGGTATAGACCGAATAACTCTCTTTGTTTCCTGATCACACATGTCAACTCACACGATCGATGAAAAATTAGGCCAACTCAAGGATCGATTACGCCGTCTGGAACAGTTCGGTGATATGGCCATTCATCCCTCGGAAAGTCCACGTTTGGGTGATTCACTCTATACTATTTTCGACGTCGATCACATGCCCTATGTTGACGCGAGGTAAACACTTTCGATGCTCTATTATGATTGGCAGACATTGTTCCTTATGCGTTTTTTTTTCATCCATGACTATAGTGCGATCCAAATTTTGTGCGAGATTGTGGAAGCATACCATGCACGAAATGTGGCTGTGTATTTCGTCCGTCTGCGCGAAAAACCTTTGGCGCTTTTCAAACGGTCCGGCTTATTGGATGTAGTTGGTGAAGATCACATCTTCCGTAAAGTATCGGATGCCATTGAAGCAATCGAGAAAGATATGGTCAAACGTGGCGTGTATGAATCATAAGTTGAATAAAATTTGGAGCCCTTGTTTCTCACAAATAAAAGAAGGTGGGACAGCGAACAATGATTAACCCTGATGATATGATAAGGTCAATGAAAAGAATAACCATGTTTCCGATGATGCAAGAAGGGAACCAAGTCAGGAGTTCTTTGGTGCATAATAAGGATGCCTGTATATATCGTCATCGTACGACAGATGGCGGCGCTATTCCTTTTTCGCTATCCGATGGTGAAGTGATATGAACAAGTTAATTTTTTCAAACTTCAAAATTAAAAGGATTTGTTTGTCAACATCGCCCAAGGATACAAAAAAGATTAACAATAAAAAGAAAGGCATGCGGGACGAATTGCGCCTGTTCCTCACTCGACATCGGCTACCGTACTATTGAAAAAAAAAAAAATACGTCTTGTGGAATTGATACCCTGCGACCATTTCCCTGTGTTGCACAGCAAGTTTTATGTTTACTATCGTATGTGACATGAGCACAGATAAGATCGAAAGCGATTTTGATATATCGTAACAAACAGTTCTACTTTCATTGTTTTATGTTAATTTTATTTGCGCAAATGATAAACAGTGAAAGCAAACAACTTGGTATTTTAGCTTAGAAAACAGAAATATCTGAAAGTATAAGAGCGAAAGCGACGAGCATTATATATCAATTGGTGTCGGCGCGAAACCAGTTCCGGTGGGGTTGTGATCGTCTTCTGATATAGGCATGGGAGATGGTGTGTTTGGGTATGGAGGCGGTCGAGGGTTTTGTGGTCGAGGCTTTCTCAGCTTTGTATAAGGTTTCGACATTCTGAAAAAGCTTTATTATTTTGTGATGAAGCATTGTCAAGAGATGCTAGTTTACCTCACAATAAGTAATAGAAAAAAAAATGAATCCAAGTGTACTTGCAATTATTATCGCGTGCTCCTGATTTGGTACGTTGTAACGGTAATGGGATCATTGACTTTATAAAGACGTTCAGTTATTGTTTTTATAGCTGGTAGAAATTTCAGCGGAATGGCAACCCGGCTGTGTCAGCGATGACAAAGAAAAAACCCAAGCACACAAAGACGATGGGAAACCAGGAAGGGTGGATCTTTTTTTAGTAGGGGAAGGAGGCAGAAAAATTATCATTGTACACAAGAGTACGCGTGGCTATACCCACGCAAAGATGACGAATGGCCAACATCAGTGCTCGATTTTATTGTATAATGATTTTGTTAAAAGGGGTTCAAAACCAAAATTTCCAGGAACATGGCGCATGAATATATTCAACTTTCGAACTAAAAACACGTTTTTCCATGGCAGTTTTACACCGTCATGTTCCAACGTTGGTAGGAGAACATTGCAGGGAGAGAAGGGTACCCAAGTTTTTGTTTCTGAACGCAAAGTCGAATTCCCACTACTTAACTCACAACCATTCACCCTCGGATGCATCAGTTTCTACGCGGTCATGGTGACTGTAAAAAGGGAATTTTCGCTCCCTGTTCAGACATGCTACTGGATGAACTTTCAGCTTCACAACGCGTGATCCTGGTATTGGCGCCAACTTACTACATCTCCATCAAGGCACATACAACTTTAGTAATCCGTGGTGGTATACGTTGTAGGGCAAGAGACGCCTATCCAATGAAGGGAAATAAATCACTTTTTAGAGAGATCTTCAGCCTTTGAATTCATGCCGATCAGGTGTGATATCTGTATTTCTGGCGAATTCTTCCATGACTCTTATTGCGTAGTGACTGTTCCGAATCACTTGCGCATCGTCATTTTGTGAGAAGGCTTCCAAAGAATGAGTTACGTTCAAGTTGCTGCAGTATTTATTAGCCGATATTGCCACGCCCTTTCGCTTAGATGTTGCAACACCGGCGTATGATAAAGTGGTTTTCTTAGAGGCTAAATATGTTTCCCAATGAAAATATGGAAACGAACAAGTGGGGAATAAAGGCACTGGCGGGATTTAGCTCATGCTACGAGTCAAGAGCGTAATTAAGCGAGTATCTACCGCAATATCAACGTCTGAGATCTAAAAAGCTGTAGTAAATGAAATTTGGAAAAGTCTGGGTGATTGTCTGCTCAAAATCACCTTTTTCCCTCTTCTCCAGCCAAAGCTTTTAGATACGGTTCAGTCTGTGCACTTTCAAAATACGCTTTTCAAAGAAGCTACCTTTAAAAATAACATTTTGGTTTGAGTTTTGTTTTTATGCTTGTGTTTATAAAGTGAAAGGCTCCAAAGTGACTGGAAATTTTGGAATATTAGAGTTCGCAAGGTATTACGAGAGACCGGTAGTAAACATAAATAAGGATGCACTTTTTGGCGTTTGATTTCTCCATTTGAGGAAGGTTTCTGATGGATCATCCGTTCTGCCGTATTGGACAATCCAGTCACTACTGTTTTGTTTCGCTTATTTAAAACCTGCCAGCTCGCCTTGTCCCATCACCTGTCACCCTTTTTATTCGTTGACTCACCTATCATGGTTCTTTTCCAAGCGGCTCAACCCTGTAAACCTACTCCTCCTATCACTTACCATGAAATGCTGTTCAGCAACAAGCACCGAATCCCGGCAGATCAGTCAATCTACGTTGATGCGGCTACCAAGCGAACCGTTACTTATGGGGAGCTTCAGACTTTGATTGGACAATATGGTGCCGGCCTGTACAAGCAAGGCATGCAAGTTGGCGACGTGATTGCAATCTGTGCCCCCAACTCGGTAAGCTCTAGTCTACAACTTTTTTCCTTTTTAGATGATAGTCCGCTAAGCCCAGATGTATCCTCTTTAGGTGGATTATGCAGTTCTGTTCCATGGTATTCTTGCTTCCGGTAAATCTTTCTAGATGATATGGTTCGGTAACGGAATGAATCTAACTAATAAATAATATCGATGCGGGTGTAGGTGGTATCATGACAGCCCTTGACCGTGCCTCGGATGAGCAAACTATCTTTGAAGACCTTGAGACGGTGAATGCCCGATTTATCGTGGCCCATCCTTCGACACTTGATAAAGTTCACCGCGCAGCGACACGGCTTGGTATTCCAAAGGAACGTATTTGGGTTCTTGGTGAGCCTTCTTCGGACAGCGATTTCCAGTCGGTCTATCAAGCGTTGCTGGATCACGATGACTTCTTGAAAAAGTTCCCGACTTTTACCCCAGAGGAACTCAAGGTTACACCTGCTATGCTCTATTTCACCTCTGGTACAACGGGAAGGAAAAAAGCTGTCAACATGTCGTAAGTGACGATCCTAATCGCACGAAAACCGGTAAAAAGATTGACATTTTTTCTTCAAATTTTGCGAGACATCATGTTGTATGCACCGGTTTCATTCAGCGTGATTGGTGGATGCCTGGGAATCCCAGTGTCTCCTTTACCGAATTTCACCACGGGTCGGCTTTGATGGTCACTTTTTCATTGACTGTTTTCAGCGGAAATCCAACTTATATCATGACCGAGTTCGATTTCGAAACCTTTTGTAAACTAGTGGAAGAATATCGCATCACTTTTGTGGCTCTGCAAACATGGATCGCGGCGAGATTGGCCAAGGATCCTATTGTAGATAAATACAACCTGTCATCCCTCCAGCGTGTGCTCTGTGGTGGTGCGACATTGGACCCTGCTATTATGGAAATGGTTTACAAACGTCTTGGTATCAAGATCCTGAATTTGTGGGGTATGACAGAAACTCTGAATGTCCTGTTATGTACTCCGGACGAGAGCGCGCAAGGATATACGGGAAGATTAGCTCCAGGTTTTGAAGCTAAGCTGGTATCCCAGGAAGGCCAAGGTTGCGTAGGATAATGTGGTTTACGGCGAAAGGTGTACTGCATACTAATGAGATGTCGATCCTTTCAGAACTTGGTATTGGCGAGACTGGTGAATTATGGGTCAGAGGCCCTTCCGTTACACCCGTAAGTCCCACCTTATTGACATACGTACAGCGGCGAACCAATCATCTTATTTTTAGGGATACTATCGAAATCCAGAGGCTACTGCCAAGGCAATTGACTCGGACGGGTTCATGCATACAGGCGATATCTTTACGGTCAATGCCGATGGTTACTTTACCTTTTTGGATCGCCAAAAGGACCTGATTAAACATTACGCATACGAAGTAAGTGGGCGCTTTTTGTTACAAACTTGTCCAAAGGGGTAGTTATACTAATTCCTGCTGTAATCCTTATCAGCTTAAACCATCCGAAATTGAAAGTGTCTTGGTAAATATCGCAATCGCAAATAGATGAGCAAAAGGATAGGACTTACACTGTGTAATCGACTAGATCAAATTGCCTCAAGTGGCCGATTGTGCTGTGATCGGCGTGTATTCTTCCGAGTACGTAACGGATCTTCCACGCGCTTATATTATGCTAGCGAATGGTTACGAATATAAAGAGGGCATGGAAAAAGAGATTCAGGACCATGTGGATAGCCAACTTGCTGACAGATACCATCTTCGCGGCGGGGTGGTTATCATGGACGAATTACCACGCACCACTTCCGGCAAAATCAGTCGACCAACGTTGCGTCAAATGGCTCGAAAGTTGACCTCTGCTGCTTGAGATCACAGTCGCCCACAAAAACACACCATCTCCTGTTGCTGAACCACTTGCCATATATCCAGAGTTTTTTCCAGTGTTATATATTCATATATGTAACAGAATCAGTTTATTGTATTATTTCTTCTTCAAAATATACAGTCGTAACCCGTCTTTTAAATACGCATCCTGCTTCGCATCATTTTCACCCTATGTTAATTGTCGTTAGAATCATGGATCTGAACAATGTTATTCCATCGAACTACTGACCTCATGGAGAGTAAAATGTTTCCGTGCCATTTGGAAAAACCGTTTATCGGCTTTTCTTCGTTTTCGGTAGCTCATCAAAATCAAGGTATCCTTGGAACTCAATTCCAAAAGCGTGTGAATAAGCGGCTCAAACGCCACTTCGAGATAGACGCAGTCAGAGGCTAAAATGACATCCACCGACCCCGGAGCTATGCTATCTGGTAATGGCTCTCCCCTACATGTCAGTCAAAAAGAACCACGACACATAAAAGAGCGATAAAAAAGAAATACCCAGCAAAAAAGTGACAGGAAAAAGAGTGAAAGATGCAATGAGTATCAAGAATCATGAAAGAAGCCACATGCGCCTAGGCGCATATGATCTGCACGTCTGCAAAGCATAAAACAAACAAAAGAAAAGGCGGATGCTTCTTTTGGATGCATTCCCTTTTTTTTCCCTTTTTTCTTTGTGTGTGTGTGTCTGCATTGGCCTACCAGTTAAGAACGGAAGCAGTTGTGATGTGAGCTACGTCGTTGAGGGCTATATTCTCTCGCAAAAGATTCATCAGAGGTCTGTTTGAAAAAAAAAAAGGACAGAATACGGTCAGTCACGTTGTCATGGCATTGAACCATTCGATCTTGTCTTCCATGCTTACTCTTGATCGGTCAGAATCAAGCTTTTTACATCAGGGTATGATTTGGCGACAGCTAATCCGACGAGACCAGTTCCACTACCGAGCTCGAGAATGCGTTTATTTTTGAAATCTTGGGGATAGTCGACCAAATAGGAGATCATCATATTGGCGGCTTCCCAGATCTTGCCGCCGCAGCCGCCACTCATGTCTTGGGCCAGACGGATCGTCCATGGCACCGTGTCCAAGGTGAAATCCGAGATGCCTTTTTCGACTTCGGCTTTCCGCGTTTCCAGCTCGAGGGTTCCAAAGGGATCCTGGTAGAAATCGTCTTCACTACTTTCGACAAGCATCATTTTTGCAATAAATGAACTAGAATGTGTAATGGGTATAGTGTTGGAATGTGACATGGAAATGATTTAGGGAAATCTCTCAATAAAATTGAAAAAAAAAATATTCGGAGCTGGCTCAATTTCATTTCCGCTCGCCAAGATGCGATCCGTGCCTTCCGAGATGCACTATTCGCATGCAATTTGTTTCACCTTAAGTTTAAGCTCACAGTACGCCTGTAGCAACTGATTACGTAACAAGAAGATTGCCTACACAGCATTGGCATCTGACGGACATCTTATTGCATATATACGAGCTTATCTGGCAGGTATGCGTGCGACATCTTTATTCATCCTCAAGGCAACGTTCAGTCCACACTCCGCTAGCAACTAAAAAAGATCCTTTCAAAATATCCTCTGTGGAGAAATATTCGATAGTTGGGATTTGACAGATACAACATGGATGATTGCAAAGGGAAGCAATATTATTAGAGGCTGATGATCAAATTATGGGGTAGTTTTGGAGGTACCCCTGAGATGATTCCTAAGAAACGCCGCCAACTCATGGTGGTACTAGATCCATGTAAAATTATCAAACCAAAATGATTTGCCAAGACGGACCAGGCATTGATTTTGATTGAACACAAAAACAAGCAAAGTTGTACAGTTTCCAACCTTGTGGGTCAAAAGCTTTCACGGCTGGAACGGTGTAAAAATACAGCTGGATGACCCAACCAGTGCGCTACGCTAACTGTAGGCGGGGATATTCTAAAAACTCGATATCAAATACATTTCGAGGAAATAGACCAGCAAACGTATTACATTTCATGCAAATTCGTCGTCGGTAAAATTTACTGGCATTCGCCGGTTCCGCCGCCGTATCACAATTGTGCCCAATATCATTGGCCACTTTAGCCTTTATTTAGGTTGGCAGATGTCCGGTTGAAACTAGCATTCACTCTCAATAAGCACTGTAAAACCTTTTAATGCATCTTTTTATTGTGACAGTAGCTATTATACATATGCAATACCTGTCGTAGGACGAAAAAAAAGAAGAAGAAAGCGGTAAGTTATATGATGAAGCACGAGCTATACAACCACTGTCTCGTTGCGAGCTATCTCACGCAATGCTGATCGATTAGTTTTGCCAGTGGTGGTGCGTGGTAATTCGCCCATGATAACCACCCCGCCACGAAGGTGATATTTATCAGCAAGTTGGCTGTCCACATGCTCCTGAATCTCTTTTTCCATGCCCCCTTTATAATTGTAACCATCCTCCAGCCTAATATAAGCGCGTGGAAATTCCGTCGCGTTCTCGGAAGAATACACGCCGATCACAGCACAATCGGCCACTTGAGGCAATTTGATCTAATTGATTACACAGTGTCAATACTATCCCATCACTGATCTACATGTCATTGTGATCATTTACCAAAACACATTCAATCTCGGATGGTTTGATCTAATAATAGATTTGGGCAGGAATTAGTATAGATGTCCATTTCGGCAGACTCGTAACGGAAGCCGGTACTTACATGGTACAAATGATATTTAATCAGGTCCTTTTGGCGATCCAGGAAGATAAAATAACCATCGGCAGTGACCGTAAAGATATCGCCTGTATGCAGGAACCCGTCCGAGTCAAGTGTCTTGGCAGTAGCCTCTGGATTTCGATAGTATCCCTAAAAATAAGATGATTGGTTCACCGCTGTACGTATGTCAATAAGGTGGGGCTTACGGGTGTAACGGAAGGGCCTCTGACCCATAATTCACCAGTCTCGCCAATACCAAGTTCTGAAAGGATCGATATCTCATTAGTATGCAGTACACCTTTCGCCGTAAACCACATTATTCTACGCAACCTTGGCCTTCCTGGGATACCAGCTTAGCTTCAAAACCTGGAGCTAATTTTCCCGCATATCCTTGCGCCGACTCTTCCGGGCTACATAGCATGACACCCAGGGCTTCGGTCATACCCCACAAATTCAGGATCTTGATACCAAGACGTTTGTAAACCGTTTCCATAATAGCAGGATCCAATGTCGCTCCACCACAGATTACAAACTGGAGTGACGACAAGTCATATTTGTCAACAATAGGGTCCTTGGCCAACTTAGCCGCGATCCATGGTTGCAGAGCCACAAAAGTAATGGCATGTTCTTCCACCAATTCACAAAAGGTTTTGAAATCAAACTCGGCCATGATGTAAGTAGGGGTTCCGCTGAAAACAGCCAACGAAAAAGTGATCATCAAAGCCGATCCGTGATGGAATTCGGTAAAGGAAATATTGCGAGTACCTGGCATCCACCAGTTACGCTGAGCGATAGCGGTGCATAGAACATGATGTCTAATAAAAGTTGAAGAAAAAGATCAGTTTTCTTGCCAAATAAAGTGACAGTTTCGTGCGATTATGGTGGTAACTTGCGATAAGTTGACGGCTTTTTTTCTTCCTGTGGTACCAGAGGTGAAATAGAGCACAGCAGGTGTGACCCTGAGTTCCTCCGGGGTAAAAGTCGGGAATAGTTTCCAAAAGGTACTATGGTCCAGCAATGCTTGAGAGACCGACTGGAAGCCGCTGTCCGAAGAAGGCTCACCAAGAACCCAAATACGTTCCTTTGGAATACCAAACCGTGTCGCTGCTCGATGGACCTTGTCAAGTGTCGAAGGGTGGGCCACGATAAATCGGGCATTCACCGTCTCAAGGTCCTCAAAGATAGTTTGCTCATCCGAGGCACGGTCAAGGGCTGCCATGATACCGCCTGCATTTGCACAGATATTATTTATCCGTTAGATTCATTCCGTTACCGAACCATAGCATCTAAAAAGATTTACCGGAAGCAAGAATACCGTGGAACAGAACTGCATAATCCACCTAAAGAGGGCACATCTAGGCTTAGCGGATCAAACGGATCATCCGATCCAAAAGCAAAAAAGGTGTGACCTCCACTTACCGAGTTGGGGGCACAGATGGCAATCACGTCTCCGACTTCCATGCCTTGCTTGTAGAGACCGGCAGCGCATTTTTCAACCAAAGCCTGGAGCACACCATAAGTAACGGTTCGACTGGTAGCCGCATCAATATAGATTGGTTGATCTGCCGGGATTCGGTGCTTGTTGCTGAATAACATTTCATGGTAAGTGATAGGAGGAGTGGGTTTGCAGGGTTGAGTCGCTTGGAAAAGTACCATGGTAGATGAGTCAACGAATAAAAAGGGTGGCAAGTGGTGGGAGAAGTCGAGCTCGCAGGGTTTAAATAAGCGAGAACAATTCAATAGTGGCTGGACTGGCCAAAATGATAGAAAGGATTATCCACAAGGAACCTTCCTCAAAGGCCAAAAAGTAAATGGAGAAAAAAAAAAGGGTTCGATGAGCCACACCACCATCACTAAATAAGAAAAGTAATCATTGTTTGTGTTTTCTCCCAGGCTCCTGTGATGCCATCGGACTCCAACGTTCCACAATTTCCAGCCATTCTAAAGCCTTTCAGTTTGATAAAAACATAAATGTCGAAATGTTCTTTGAGAGGGTTTTCATAGTATTATTGGGTTAATCTTTTAAGTTTAAGTGTTCGGAAAAGCTTGTCTGTAAGTGCTGAAAGTTATTCGTGTCTCAAACGTTTGACTGGAAAAGAGGAAAAGAGGCCATTTTGCAGACAACATTCAGGTCTCTCCAAAGTACTATACCTTAAATCAAGACATCGATAACGTGATAGTTGTTCGCTTAGTTAGGATCTTACTTGTATGATAATTCCCAGTAAATTTCCACTCATGGAGAGGTCTGCAGGACTGATAATGGTCAAGTGATGATTCGGACAAGTCATTATGTAATATCGAGCCACGGAAGTAATTGCCAGAAATACAGGTATCAGACCTAATCTGCGTGAATTTCTATCGCATGAATACAATGAAAATGCTGACATTACTCGAAACAAATGAAGCGACTGGTTCTCGTGCAGGATTCAAAAAAAAATATCAAGAGAGAATGAGCGGTGCAATGGCCTTTCAAGCCACTCACGTTCAGATGGGTGGCTCATCTTGATAGAATACAGTACGCATAATAACGTATTACATGCACATACAGTAAGAATCTCCCGGTAGTCGCCGGTTGCGCCGTAGTCCCAAAAAACACCACCAAAAATGGTTCCAGGTTATTGGCTCTCCAGTGAAGCTAGCTTTCTCTCTAGCACTCTCGTCCATATGAATACAGTATCACTCCACGGTAGACAAAGAGCTTTGCTTGTAAAGTCCAAAATCAAGAAATACATATCATAAAATAAACACTGTGAAATCTTTTGATACATCTTATTATGGTAACATCATAATATATGCATAATGTTGTAAGAGAAAAACGTAAGAATGGAGGCCAATTAGGTAGCGTCAGTTATACAGCCACTACTGCCTCGTTGCGAGCTATCTCACGCAAGGCTGGTCGATTGGTTTTGCCGGTGGTGGTGCGTGGTAAGTCTTTCATGATAACAACACCGCCGCGAAGATGGTATTTGTCCGCGAGCTGGCTGTCGACATGGTCCTGAATCTCTTTTTCCATGCCCTCTTTATACTCGCAACCATTCGCCAACATAACATAAGCACGGGGAAGTTCCGTCGCTTGATCCGAGTTGTAGACGCCGATCACAGCACAATCGGCCACTTCAGGTAACTTGATCTAATCGATGATCTGCATGTCAGCCTTACCCATCGCTTATCCCTGTGCGAATGTGATAACTTACCAGGACAGTTTCAATTTCAGATGGTTTGATCTGATATCGATCCGGACAGGAGTTAGTATCACTACTCCTTTTCGACTCACACACATAATGAAAACCCGTTACTTACATGGTATAAATGATATTTGATTAAATCTTTTTCGCGATCCATAAAGACAAAGTAACCATCATTGGTCACCTTGAAAATATCGCCTGTATGCAGGAACCCGTCGGAATCAATTGCCTTGGCAGTAGCCTCTGGGTTTCGGTAGTATCCCTTAAAACAAAGGTGATGATCGGTTAACATATGCAGGCATTTAATATATCACTACCACGGTTGAACTTACAGGTGTAACTGTAGGGCCTCTGACCCATAATTCACCAGTGTCACCAACATCAAGTTCTGAATGATCGGTATCTCATTAGTTATGCATGGTAAATTTTCATGGTTACACGTTGTCCTACAAACCTTGTCCTTCTTGGGATACCAATTTAGCTTCAAATCCTGGAGCTAATTTTCCCGCATAGCCTTGCGCCGATTCATCCGGGCTACATAACATGACACCCAGGGCTTCGGTCATACCCCACATATTCAAAATCTTGATACCGAGGCGTTGGTAAACCGCTTTCATAATAGCGGGATCCAATGCCGCACCAGCCGAAAGTACAAAATTAAGCGAAGACAAGTCATGTTGGTCCACAATGGGATCCTTGGCCAATTTAGCCGCGATCCATGGTTGCAGAGCCACAAAGGTGATGGCATGTTCTTCCACCAACCGACAAAAGGTTTTGAAATCAAACTCGGTCATGATATAAGTAGGGATTCCGCTGTAAACAGCCAACGAAAAGGTGATCATCAAAGCCGATCCGTGATGGAATTCGGTAAAGGAAATATTGCGAGTACCAGGCATCCACCAATCACGCTGGGTGATACTGGTGCATACAACACGGTGTCTGGGAACAAGTTAGATTTATTGTCATCCATTGCTGATGTCTGCTTGTCACTTACGATAAGTTCACGGCCTTTTTTCTTCCGGTTGAGCCGGATGTAAAATAGAGCATAGCTGGTGTAACATCGAGTTCATCGGGGGTAAATGTCGGGAATTCTTTCAAAATGTCATCATGATCCAGCAACGCTTGATTGACCGACTGGAAATCGCTGTCCAAAGATGGCTCGCCGAGCAGCCAAATACGCTCTTTTGGAATACCAAATCGGGTTGCTGCGCGGAGAACTTTGTCAAGGGTCGAAGGGTGGGCGACAACGAATCGTGCGTCCACCGTCTCAAGGTCATCATAAATGGCTTTTTCATCCGAGGCACGGTCAAGGGCTGCCATGATACCGCCTACAATAAACAAAACGGTTTTGGATTATTGCTACATCACTCCGTTGCCAATCAAGGCATTGTTAAGTCTTCCTACAAACAATAAAAAAAGACTTACCGGAAGCAAGAATACTATGGAACAAAACTGCATAATCCACCTGAAAGTGACACATATGAGTTTCATCGACCATCCGATCCAAATAAGAAAGAGATTGTAGACTTGAAGCTTACCGAGTTGGGAGCGCAGACTGCAATCACATCACCAACTTGCATGTCTTGTTTGTAGAGACCGGCTCCGTATTGTCTGATCAAAGTTTGAAGTTCTCCATAGGTAACGGTTCGCTTGGTAGCCGCATCAATGTAGATCGGCTGCTCTGCCGGGGTTCTGTGCTTGTTGCTGAATAGCATTTCATGATAACTAATAGGAGGAGCAGGTTTGTAAGGCTTAGTCGCTTGGAAAAGAACCATGATGAATATAGTGTGAAAAAGTGTAACAAGAGTAACCGATTGGAAAAAGCCCGCTAATTTAAAGATCCCCAAGCTGCACTGTTTGAGATAATTTAGCAGAAAAAAAAATTAATTGCGGAGATTCATTGGTCGATCCGGGAGAACCGAACACCCGTGGAAAAAAAATTACACCTGAAAAAAAACCACTTGCTCGTTTGTATTGATGAAAGCGGCTCTGCAAAGCAGACAGCTAATGACGTTGCCAGCAAGAAAATATGTCTCAAGTTGCTGCCAGTGTCCCCATTCCCATTCGTCAAAAAGCTCTCCACCTATCATGTACTTTACGGTGCGCTTATATCAAATATCCACCAACCAATTAACCTAACATTGTCCACCAACAAATTGAGTAAAAAGGTGTATTTTTGAAAATGCGCTATCCTCTGATTGGCCTTTTTACTAAAAATGACAAAAAAAAAACCGCAAAGAGATACACATTTTTTTTTAGATACAGAAAAAAAAAAGAAAAAAAAGGGTGAAAAAGAATGAACAAAAGAAATGAAAAAAAAAGCATCATTATTAAATTATGGTGATTGTCTACCAATCCAACTTTTGCTTCTTGGCTGTGCCGATGGCCTTGACCTTGGTCGCGGAGCCGGTGTAATCCTTGCCATCCAACCAGGGCCATGAATCCGAGCGCTTCGATTCAAACTGTTCAATCTTTTCCTCCTTTTGCAGGGTAAGACCGATATCGTCCAGACCGTTGATCAGGCAATGTTTGCGGAAGGCTTCGACTTCAAAGGGGAATTCAGCATTGGGAATACGCACAACCTGGTTCACAAGATCGACTTCGATTTCCGCGCCTTCCTTGGCCGCTTCAGCTACGATTTCCAGTTGATCTTGAGGAAGGGTCAATGGGAGCATACCGTTCTTGAAGCAGTTGTTGAAGAAAATATCGGCGAAACTGGGAGCAATCACGCAGCGAATCCCAAAATCGTTGAATGCCCATGGAGCATGTTCACGGGAACTGCCACAACCAAAGTTGGGACCGGTACAAACCATGATGCAAGCCTTGCGGTAAGGTTCCTGATTGAGAACAAAGTCGGGATTTTCCTTGCCGGTGGCGGAGTCGAATCGAAGAGCGTAGAACAGGGCGCTGCCAAGACCGGTACGTTTGATTGTCTTGAGGAACTGCTTGGGAATGATCATATCCGTGTCAACGTTGGCAATGGCAAGAGGAGCAGCATATCCTTTCAAGGTCGTAAACTTGGGCATACCGGCAGCCGAGACAGGCGCACCAACCGAAGGTGTATTGGCAGGAGCATCCGTGACGGGATCGGCCTGTTCAGCGGCTTGTTCATGCTGTTCCGTCGATTCTTCTTCGACCTCAGGTTCTACCTTGGGAGGCGATCGGGGCGATCGAGGCGCAACAGGTTCTTCGGGGGCTTGAAGCAATTTACGAACATCGGTCAAATAACCCTTGATACCGGCAGCGGCGGCCATGGCAGGACTCATCAAATGGGTACGGCCACCTGCACCTTGACGACCTTCAAAGTTACGGTTGCTGGTGGAAGCACAACGTTCACCGGGGCTCAGCTGATCAGGATTCATACCCAAGCACATGGAACAACCGGCTTCACGCCAATCAAAACCGGCCTCCTTGAAAATGCGGTCCAAACCTTCACGTTCAGCTTGACGTTTGACCAAACCGGAACCAGGCACCACCATGGCATAGACCCAATCAGCTACATGTCGTCCCTTGACAATATTGGCAGCATGACGCAAATCCTCGATACGCGAGTTGGTGCAACTTCCAATGAACACCTTGTCAATCTTGACTTCTTCCATGGGTGTGTTGGGTTCGAGACCAATGTAATCCAAGGCGCGCTGCATGGCCGCTTTCTTGCTGGGATCGGATACCTGAGCCGGATCAGGCACTTGTCCAGTAATGGCAACGACGTCCTGAGGACTGGTACCCCAGGTCACGGTAGGAGCAATGTCAGCCGCGGCAATTTCGACTTGAACGTCATACACTGCATCAGGATCGGCACGAAGCGACTTCCAGTAGGCGACCGCACGTTCCCATTCTTCACCCTTGGGAGCAAGAGGACGATCACGCAGGTATTCAAAGGTAATATCGTCGGGAGCAATCATACCTGCACGGGCACCGGCTTCAATGGCCATGTTACAGATGGACATTCTCGCTTCCATGGAAAGCGATTCGATGGCTGAACCGCAGAATTCAAGCACACAACCAGTACCGCCAGCAGTACCAATAACGCCAATAATATGAAGCACAATATCTTTGCTGGTCACACCAGGCGTGAGTTCGCCTTGCACACAAATACGCATGTTCTTACTCTTTTTCTGTAGCAAGGTCTGCGTAGCCAGCACATGTTCCACTTCCGAAGTACCGATACCAAACGCCAGTGCGCCGAAAGCGCCGTGAGTCGAAGTGTGGGAATCACCACACACCACGGTCGTACCGGGAAGAGTGAAACCTTGTTCGGGACCAATAACGTGCACAATACCTTGACGATCGTCCTCCATGCCAAAATATGTCAAACCGAAATCCTTGACATTGGCTTCCAAAGTCTCGCACTGAGTTCGTGAGTCGGCTTCTTCGATAAAAGTCGTAATGGACTTGAATTTCTTTCGGCTGCTGGTCGGAATGTTGTGGTCGACAGTAGCCAGTGTGCAGTCGGGACGACGAACGGAACGTCCGGCATTGCGAAGACCTTCGAAAGCTTGAGGACTGGTAACTTCGTGGACCAAGTGTCGATCGATGTAAATCAAACAGGTACCGTCGTCTTGACGATCGATGATGTGATCGTCCCAAACTTTATCATAAAGAGTACGAGGGGTGGTATTAGAAGAGAGCATTGGGGAGATTGGATATATTTCAGAGAAAAGAAGAGTGGGGAGAAAAAAAGAAAAAAGATTCAAATGAATCGATTAATATAGAGAAGAAGAAAAGCTTGAAGAGAAAAAGAAGAGAAGAAAAGGAGAAGAAGAAAGCGAAAAAATGCGTTGTAATAAAGACAAAAGGTGAGTAAAATCGATCCAAGGTGAATGATAGGATAAGCGATTTTAGTGCGGGACGTGAGTCAATGGTGCCAATTCCTCCTCATTGGCAGATCTCCATCCTGTAAAATGCCACCGGTCAATGTGACTCAATTTTTGATTGGCTCCCACCCCATCAAATTCAACTGACGTAGATTTTTCCAAAATAGGGTTAAAATCCCCCTTTCGCCCTACTTTTTCCGACGGGGACTTTGCATACAGTATATTTCATTTCTTCACCAACCATTATTCCCACGGTTCAAAATGATTCAAACCAAGGAATTAAAAACGGAATGCCATTCTTCTTTGCTTTTTCTTTCTTTTCTTTTTTTGTACGAGACCATCTGTCAGTGAACGAGCAAGAAAAGGCGGAGATTCAAATAAAGATGGAAATTCAATAAGGGAAAGACCAATTTTCCAGTGATCAAAAATATGATGGAAGGTTGCCGTGCTAGAAAGGAACCGCGTCAAAAATAAACTTTCAAAGTAAAAGTACATAGGAACGAACAGGGGAAAGATTAGGAAAGGTTGAGCAGTGGAATGGGCAGAGTTATTTTCGGTGGAAGAGAGACGACACAGGCCAGAAATGTCATTGTTGCTTTCGAATAAAACTCTTATCAAATTGGTGATCTCTTTACACATGCATAAACTGCTTATCTTCTCCTTTGTGTCTTATCGTGTTTGTAATTTATATAGTAACATATTTATTTAAACGATGATAATCGTATTTCAGAACGTCTGATAAATCCGTAATACTAATCCAATTCCGCCTTGCGAAGGTTTTTTCTTGAAACATGACACAAAGTTGAAATAGCCTTTGACCCACAGACCAAAATCTGTGCAATAGAGTTAAAATTTTGATGAGTATGGTCGCAAATACACACAATAAATATCCTCTTGCTTCGATGGATTTTTGAATATTCTTTTCTGGTATCATATTTATTGCAGCATTGTCCATGACGAAATCATGATTTGACGTGACAAAAGTTGCAACGGCGCCGATGATTCTCGTTACTTTTTGAACGGGTTTGGACTTGTGTAAGTGGTTGGAGTCATTACTGTAAGCGGCGTCGCTGGGTCCCTTCCATGAGCAAGATAAAAATGCGTGTCGTGAATAGCTGGGTGATAGCTGGTGTTGTAAAGCCAAACGCAAGTGTCTGATGTGTGTGTCCCAGTGTCTTTCTTCCGCGAAAAACGAGATCATACGTATGTCTCGCATTTGTGCTTGCATCACTTGGATTCTTTCTTCATCTTCATTATTGAGACGGTGCAGGGTCGCCATTTATTGCTCCAACTGCAGCGCTCTTCTTTCATGATCAGGAACTTCGAATTGTGGTAGCGATAGTTGTTCTGCTGGTTCATTGTGTTCTAGAGCGTCCACAGCTTCTGAATCGGCTACTTCATCCACTTCTTCATCACTAGAAATGATGATTATATCGTCTGTTTGCGTTTGAGGGGTTGGGTTGGACCGGTTGTCGATCAATGTTTGGAAAACATTCTCATTCGGCTATATAAAGAGGTGAGTAGGGTGTTAAACCTTCGTCTTTTTTTTTTTCTTACCTGCAGACGACGAACAAAAGGGGAGCTGGACTGACGCAAAACAAAGATTGGCGAGGTGCTATCTGTCCATACCCTCTCTGTGCAACCAAGTGCTTGCAAAGCAAGAAGCGATTGTGGGCGAACGCAGGGCATGTGCATATCCAATTACGGTACAGATATGCCCATGCGTCAGCAAGCTCATTTTCCACACAGAACCGGTAGACTTCGGAAACACATCGCTCGTGAATTCCGTCAGCAGTACCTGGATGCGAATGTATTAGACGAAAAAGTTAGTTGCGTGGTTTTTCTTTTTTTTTTTTTTTGTTTGTGGCAATTACCATGCGGGATTGCGAGGACACTATTGATAATGCCTTGTGATCTTTTCAATAAGGCATGACGTTTGTCCAGAGGGCAAGTTACGTCGCTTCTCATAGTGATGGATCGGCGGAAGTCGATGGACAGGAAGGGTAATTCTGTATTTGCTTGTCGAGGATCGTAGTACGTATTTGCGGTTTGTGCCGGTCTAACTTTCGATTCATGGCACGCTGAATTTGGCAGAGACATATCAAACGCGACAGGCTGACTTTGGAAAAAAACTGACAATGAATAATCACTAAATGTGATGTGTGAATTTTTTGACAAACGACAGTTTCCAAAAAGGGAAACTTTGTCACTTTTGCAAATAGAACCAAAAATACAAATCACAACAAAGCATTATTTTAAAGTCATAACCAAAAGTTGAAGTTCTGCAGATGGTGGGCATGAAAAATCTGTAAACACAAAAGCTTTTTATTTTTCTGTGGATCTATAGGAGGTGTGGGAAATTAGGAGGACATTCACCTCCGGAGAGCATGCATTTGTGTCACTGTCATTACAACAAGTGGCGAATCATGCATACCGAGAGAGGGGAGGAAAAAAAAATGATGTGATTGTTATTGGTTGATGCGAAAATTTTAAGGTTTTTTCTTCTTTACAAACGTTCCAAAATGGGAGTCAAAGCTTCGACAATCTTATCACCGACTTCGGTGGTGGAGGCAGTACCCTTGAGATCGCGAGTACGGACGTTATTATCCAAGACTTGTCGAACCGCGGTTTCGATAGCCTGAGCTTCCTGTTCAAAACCAAGAGAGTAACGGAGGAGCAAAGCGGCACTGAGGATGGTGGCAATGGGATTGGCAACGTTCTGACCTGCGATATCGGGAGCCGAGCCGTGAATAGGTTCGTACAAACCAACACACTTGCTCTTACCATCGGGCAAACCGTTAAGCGAAGCTGAAGGAAGCAAACCAAGGGAACCAACGATGACCGAAGCTTCATCGGACAAGATATCACCAAACATGTTTTCCGTTAACACCACACCGTTCAAACGCTTAGGGTTAGCCACCATGGCCATGGCAGCCGAATCCACCAAATGATGCTCGTATTCGAGTTCGGGGAACTCCTTGTCCAAGGTCTCGGTGACCACCTTGCGCCACAAACGCGAAGTGGCCAACACATTGGCCTTGTCAATGGAGTGAATTTTACCGACGGGGTTCTGCTTTCTGGCAAGCAAAGCAGCGAGACGAGTGACACGCTGAACTTCTTCGGCCGAGTAAGGAAGGGTATCATAAGCTAGCGGGCATCTGAGCTTAGCGAACCATGTCTCATTAAAACCCTTCTATTTTTATTTTTTTATTTTTACCTTTGCCGTCTTCACCGGCTTCTTTGCGTTCACCAAAGTAGATGCCACCGACCAATTCACGAACAAACACGAATTCGGTACCTTGCACGATGTGATCCTTCAAAGGCGACAAACTGGTCAAGCTGTCAGAGGCAAAGGTCACGGGACGCAAGTTGGCATATAAATCGAGCGATTTGCGCAACTTCAAGAGACCTTGTTCGGGACGAGGACCGTTGCCGATCTTGGCACCGGGCAAACCACCCACAGCACCCAAAAGAATAGCATCAGCGGCCTTGCATGCCTCCAGCGCAGATTCAGGCAAGGGTTCACCTAAAAATGACATGGCCGATCAGTACCTCGGAGAAACCCCATTACAATGGTCAGCCTATCTTACCAGTCTTTTCAAGGGCGGCAAGACCAATGAGTTCATCGGTAAAATCAAACTCGACGTTCAATGCTTTGGCGCGGATAGAAGCAATCAACTTCAAGACCTTGACGGCCTCACCAACGACCTCAGGGCCGACACCATCACCAGGCAAACACACAATGGAAATCTTCTTAGCAGTCATGATTAGATAAAACGGGAAACCGATGAAAAAGAGAAAAAGAAAGGGTGGGAAAACACTAAAACCTTTTGAAGAGGATGAGGGAATGGAGATGTGAAGAGGAGTCTGAATATTTAGAGTGAGGTTCGATGATTCATGGCATATTCATCCAATGGCAGTGCTTCCAGGATGGAAACGTCTGATTGGGTAAGTCATTATCGTGATCGGGTGTCAGACGAAAAAGAACCATCTCAGCGGGTTCCTTATCCTACAGTAGTGATGATTGAGACGACCACTGCTCTGCTCCATTCACAAAGAATTTAGAGAACCCCTCGATCATAGTTCCGTAATACAAGGATATTTAGTGACTTTAGTCGTCAAAAAGATTATGGCAAAAAAAAAAAAAAACGAGAAGGACAAGATTTGGATGATATTCAACAAACTTTGATGGTGTTTTTATTTTCATTTTTATTTTGAACGACCTTATCCGTCAACGGAAAAAGATACAAATAATTGAAAATAAAAAAAGTAGAGTTGTGAATCTTGTTCTTTTTAAGAAAAATGAAATCCAACGCTTTTGACAAAACGTTGTAATGAAAAAAAGGGGAGTACGAGATGAACATGGATTTTGAAGCTTTTTTTTTTCTTCTATGATGAGGGTGGATCTTCTTTTTTATATCTACCAGTGAACACTGCTTCTTCTTTTTTATATTTGAATGTTCCGCTTAGTTCTTGCCAACGTTTTCAGGTCGAAGTTGACGGACAGTTTGACCGGCTCTCCAGATCTCGGATTCACGGATTTCCTTGAGTTCCTCTTCCAACTTCTCACGGTAATCGGGTTGAGAGTTGCGGTCGAGGGAACGAGCGGTTTCATCACCATCCTTGACGGACTTGTACAATTGTTCGAAAACGGGCTTGGAAGCCTTGTGGAAGGGTCTCCACCAGTCAAGAGCACCACGCTGAGCAGTGGTAGAGCAGTTGGAGTACATCCAGTCCATACCGCGTTCACCGATCAAGGGGTAAAGAGACTGAGTGGCTTCTTCGACGGTTTCGTTGAAAGCTTCCGAGGGAGAGTGGCCATTGGCACGCAACACTTCATATTGGGCTTGGAAAAGACCCTGGATGGCACCCATCAACACACCGCGCTCACCGAACAAATCAGAGTACACTTCCTTTTCAAAGGTGGTTTCGTACATGTAACCAGAACCAATACCAATACCCAAAGCAATGGTGCGGTCACGGGCCTTACCGGAGGCATCCTGGTGCACAGCAAAGGAAGAGTTGATACCACGACCTTCCTGGAAGAGACGACGGACAGTGAAACCTGAACCCTTGGGAGCGACAAGGATGATATCGATATCTAAATCAAGCTCAGATTAATATCTCTTTGTCGAAGATAAACGTTTCCTCAACACGACAGAACAGATTGGATGACTTACCCTTGGGGGGAATAATGTTGGTTTGATCCTTGTAGACAATGGAGAAACCGTGGGAGAAGTAGAGGGTCTTGCCGGGAGTCATGAGAGGAGCCATCTGGGGCCAGATTTCCTTTTGATAAGCATCGGAAAGCAAGTTCATGACAACGGTACCCTTGTCAACGGCATCGAGGACAGGGAACAAGTTCTTGCCGGGAACCCAGCCTTCTTCAATGGCTTGCTGGTAGGTCTTGCCTTCACGCTGACCAATGATGACATTGACACCGTTATCGCGCAAGTTCAAAGCCTGACCGCGACCCTGGGGACCGTAACCCAACACAGCAATGGTGTCATCCTTGAAAGTCTCCAAAAGCTTCTCTCTGGGGACATCCGAACGTTCATAGACGGTTTCCTCGGTACCACCAAAGTTAAGAGTCTTCATGCCGCGCACTTGAGTTGGAATGGCCTGATAACAATGGAAAATTTCCATACGATAAGAAACAAAAACTCATTAGCTTATCTGCGAAAGAAAAACTTCATTGACCGAGTCATTTATCGGTATTATCATAAAAACATAATGTGCCAAGGATACTTACGACAGACTTGACAGCAGCATGCTTCCATTGAGCAGCGGCCATCACACCAAGGGGACGGACGGAAGGACGGGCAAGAGCGCGCGCCGCGGAGCGGGCGGCAGTAGCAAAGATTCTCGCAGACATGAGAGAAGAAGGGAAAAGGTAGGTAAAGGAAAAAAGAAAAAGAAAAAGAGTAAGAAGAAAAAGAAGAAGAGAAAAACGAAAGCCCTCGGATCCGCGTTGTCTTTATTATTTTTTTTTGGTGGGATGTTGCATGTAACGCCATCTGGCTAAGACGTCGAGACAAAGAGGAGATTAGAATTTTTTGGACAAGCAACTATGACTACCCAATCCACTCCGACTCCGCATTTCTAATCTATTTTTTTTTTACCGCTCCTCTGGTACAAAACTCATCGTTATGCCGAACCGATGGTGCATTGGAGCCATTGAAATTTAACCCTAATTAAACCGATGTTTTCTCGCAATAAAAATGTTTCCTTATTTTCATATGTCAACTGTCATGGATTTGTTGTCTTTTGAAACCATGGTGATTTCAGCGCGAGTGCGTTGGTCGGTTGATCCGTCGTTTTTTTGATGGGCCCTAGATTTCCTATTTTTTGACTTTTTGGTGCGGCACGTCAAAAAAACCCAAAGCAAAGATAATGCTTGGTTGTGAGCAATGGAGATTCATAGTGGTATATAGCCAATCAGATCAAGCGATGGAGGGGCCTTATCAGTCCAAACAAATCCCGTCATCCCCGATCGGCGCTCTGATTGGTGTGAGTCATTTCGTATCCCTAATGCAGCAAGAGAAATGGCAGATAATCTATTCACATGTCACTTATTCTGGCCCATCCTCACCCATTTGGTAATTACGATTTTTTAGCATTGGTATGGACCTCTTTTCATAAGAAAGTGTTATCTGTACATGGATCAACATTTTAAATAGGTCCATGGCACCTATGGTGCTTATTTTTGCTGTCAAAAGGAAACAGGGGGCAGCAGAAATGACGCTAAATATTTTCTGTTGACTCATTGTGTTCACACTCCGAAATGAATATGATTCGCTGCTTCTGAACTTGGCCCTTCCTATTCAGCATTTCTCCATATTTATTTAATCGATCCCATTCGACTTCCCTTGTTATCAATTTTTTTTGTTTTCCTCTTTTCCGTTTAACTTATTTCAATCCTCTCTCCAACGGATTTTCCAAAACGTAGTTCCTTTCAAAAAACAAGTTAACAACACAATGCTTGCATCAGCCACAGCAAGAAGTCCTTCCAGACTATTCCATCAAGCCAATGCTCTGTATCGTCGACACGCCATGGCAGCATGTATGATCCATACCACTCGAAAATCCAAAAGTGCCGCTGGAGCCGCTGCCGCTGCAACAAAGTAATGATCTGGATGTTTTTCATTTTGCGTCCAATGCTATATGAAGTTGATGTCTTACCCCACTTCCTTTTTTTTTTTTCCTGCAATTTTCTTTTTGGATGATCTAGTATCGCAGCACATACGGGAATTGGCGCTGAAGAAGCCGCTCAACATGTGAAGCCTACCAAAGTGCAACCTCTTTACAAGAAGAATGCCGTTGCCATGGATGACTCCTTTGTTGGCATGTCGGGCGGTGAAATCTTTCATGAAATGATGTTGAGACATGGTGTGGAACATGTCTTTGGATACCCCGGTGGGGCTATTCTCCCCGTCTTTGACGCTATTCACGAATCGGAATACTTTAAATTCATCCTTCCTCGACACGAGCAAGGTGCCGGTCATATGGCTGAAGGTTATGCGAGAGCCACGTATGTAACCCAACAGAGAAACCCTCTTGATGACAGACAGAGAAAAATACTGACCAAATCCATGTTTTATTTTCTATTGAATTTTAGTGGTAAACCGGGTGTGGTTCTTGTTACTTCGGGACCAGGTGCAACCAATGTGGTGACTGCAATGGCTGATGCTCAAGCCGACGGTACACCGCTGGTTGTTTTCAGCGGCCAAGTTGTCACCTCCGCCATTGGCACGGACGCTTTCCAAGAAGGTGAGGACTCGGCGGGAGTTTTTACTTTATTTTTGTTGGCCGTATTTAGTAACGTCCCTTTTTATGTGTCTGTGTGTAGCCGATGTTGTTGGTATTTCACGAGCATGCACCAAGTGGAATGTGATGGTGAAGGATATCTCTGAACTTCCTCGTCGTATCAACGAGGCATTCACCATTGCAACGAGCGGTCGACCGGGTCCTGTGCTTGTTGATCTTCCCAAGGATGTTACAGCTGGTATTCTGCGACGTCCCATTCCTACCAAATCAATGATTCCCTCTCGTCCCGTTGCCATTCCCAACACCGCCATTGGTGCATTTACCGAAGATTCATCGGCCGAAAGCGCTCAAATCATCAAGCGAGCGGCGGAATTGATCAACAAGGCCAAACGGCCCGTTATTTATGCCGGTCAAGGTGTGCTGGGTCATGCCGATGGACCTAAAGTGCTGACAGCGCTTGCCAACAATGGTAATATTCCCGTCACCACCACTCTGTGCGGTCTCGGTGCGTTTGATGAACTCGATCCCAAATCGCTGCACATGCTCGGTATGCACGGTTCATGCTACGCTAATTTGGCCATGCAAAACGCCGATGTGATTATCGCTCTGGGTGCTCGTTTCGATGATCGTGTCACTGGTCGATTGGATGTGTTCGCTCCGGAAGCGGTCAAGGCGGCCAATGAGAACCGCGGTGGTATCTTGCACTTCGAAATCATGCCCAAGAACATCAACAAGGTCGTTGAAGCCACCGAAGCCATTGAAGGTGATGTGACGGAAAACCTCAAGGCCCTCCTTCCCCACATCGAGAGCTCTGAACGCAAGGAGTGGTTCGACACGATCCAGGGATGGAAGAAGGATTATCCTTTCTACTATGAGCCTGCGACTTCCGATGACAAAAAAATCAAGCCTCAGCAAGTGATTGCGGAATTGAACGAGCAGACGCTGGATAAGAAGGATAAGGTGATCATTACCACAGGTGTGGGTCAGCATCAAATGTGGGCTGCTCAATATTACCGATGGAGACATCCTCGTACCTTTATTACTTCAGGTGGTCTGGGTACCATGGGTTACGGTCTCCCCAGTGCTATTGGTGCCAAGGTGGCGAAACCGGATCACATTGTGATTGATATCGATGGCGATGCTTCGTTCTCCATGACGGCGATGGAATTGGCCACCGCGGCGGAATTCAACATTGGTGTCAAGGTGTTACTGCTGAACAACTCGTTCCAGGGTATGGTCAAGCAATGGCAAGACTTGTTCTATGAAAACCGATACTCTGGTACCACGATGAAGAACCCCGACTTTGTCAAGCTGGCTGAAGCCATGGGTATCAAAGCCCTTCGTGTCAGCAAATCCTCTGAAATATCTGAAAAGATGGCCGAATTCTTGGCTCACGATGGTCCCGTCTTACTGGAAGCCGTGGTGTGCAAGGAAGAACATCTTTTCCCCATGGTCCCCGCCGGTCGAGCCTTGCATGATTTCATTGTCCATCCCAAATTGACCAAGAAACACTAAAAAAACAAAAAGATTTCTCCAAAGCGTCAGGTCCCCTTTTCGAGGATCAAAACAAAAAATGAACATTCTATGCTATTCATATTTCATGTTTTTATACTTTTCTTTGCATCTCTTTTTTTTTATTTTTTTACCCTGCATAGCAAAAAAGGAAATAGATCTGCTTTTTTTTTCCACTCTTTTTCCGTTCCATTTCATTGTGTTTCTTGTAATTTTTCCGCTCATTTTCCCCAAATTTTCCTAGCACTTCTGTTTCATCACGTTTCTCAAGCAATCAAATAAACACACAGAAAAATCAGAATCACATCAGCCTGTCCTTTCCCGTCGTCTGTATAGTCTAATGAAATTTCTTTAATGCGTAATACTAAGGAGGTTGAATGCGAAAGACGAATCGTTGAGTCATATAATATGTATACAAAGATAGTTTTTTTTTTACTGTCTAGTTCTTGCTGTGTTGGACCTTCCAGGCATCAAGCCACTGTTTGACCCGTTCTACGTTACTCTCCATATCATCGGTGGTAGTGCTCTGGAGTTCCACCACAATTTCTTCAGCGTACGATTCACGGGCAGCTTCCAATACAACCTGCATGATCTCGCACTCCATATTTTCTTCAATCTTGCGCTTATTGTAACCTCTGCCGTCCGAAATTAATTCCGTCAGTTACATCACAAATTGGTGCACACAAAGCCAAACAAAAATTTCTTACCTCTTTTCCATACGATCATACAAAGTAGCGGTATCCGTTCGCAATACCAATATTAAATCAAACCAACGCTCAGGGAAAATTTCGCATGTATGAAAATCAACCACTTTGCCACCTTCTTTCATGACGTCTTCCAATTCATCCAAAAGCTAGAGTAATCGAAAATCAGTCACACTTGGTCAGCTGTGTAAAGAACAATAACATTGCTCAAAAAATCATACCTTGTCCTCATCCAACACATGGGTATCAAATTCTTCCAAATAACCTTCATGCAATTGATTTGTCTTGACAATCTCACCGACATTGACATGCTGCAATCCAGTCAGTTGAGCAATCATTTCGCTGGTGGTAGTTTTGCCGGTACCGGGAGTACCAGTAACAAGAATATTAGGTAAATCTCGCTCCATAGTGGGAATAACGTCTGAATCAGAATCGGATGCGTATGCCATGTAGGTAGGGAACAAAAAAAAAGATTGTAAACGGCTCTTTGATGTGATGCTCTTTTTTTTTTCTCTGTCCGAGTATCGGAATATGAAAACTTTGGAATAACCAACCACATCAAGCAAACCTTTATCAGCCGCACCGCTGAGCCATAACAAAGACAATGTCCTTCCATTGATATGATTAAAACATGTAGGCAAAACCTATCAATGTATTTACTTTTACTGCTACCTGTTGGATGGTATCATATATAAAAGGAACAGTTCACCTTTCTGAAGGTGGCAAAAACATGTTTCCAACGGTCCAGCAACAGGGCGTTTTCAATAATAAATCCTTCATCCTTGGCGCATCTTTTTTTTTGTTTTTTTTTTTTTTTTCAGTAAAAGAAAGGCACGAAGCACAGGTCAATAATAAGCTTAACTGTATAACATTTGGTACTACTTTCAGTCCTAGCACACTGAACTTGACGTATTCCCTCCACTGAAAAAAAAGCCTTATTATCAATAACAGACTTGCCGTTGGGAAGCAAATTCCACCACTGATAATCTGACTGGATTCGTGCTAACTGTGTACTGTCAATAGAATACACCTTGCACAACTCAGCTTCAAGGTACAATAAATGCTATTGCCAAGTTGCCAAGTTTTCCAAGTTCTGTATGAAGATGGTCGATGACATCGTTATTGAAAAGCCGCTTATATCATAGGGCAATAGAAAAAAAAAAAGTGGGAGCGCCGGACCTTGAATGTGGGATTCTTGCCGAAAGTCTCTCATTTTTCTTTCTCATAACCTTTTATCTTCCTTTTTTCTATCCCGACAATAGACTATACAAACCCACTATGTCTATGGCAGTGAGTGAATTTATACCCTCCAAGTAGCGAGATGACCACACAATCACTCACACCTGTTTCTTGACAGAGCCTTTTCGGTCTTTCTACCCCGGTAGAAATAGATGTTCAGTTCACCAACGAAGACTCCAGAAAGCATGTTGAAGTCAAGCTCGATAAAGATGCACGTGAGAACTACCCTGTGTATCTAGACGGTGAGACTGTGAACGGCAAGGTCAGTATCCTCACGCTGCCAAGCCCCAATGGTTGGTGCTGAACATTAAGATTTTGCACAGATAAACATTCGATTGAAGGATGGCAAAAAGTTGGAACACAACGGTATCAAAGTGGAGTTCGTCGGCAGCATAGGTAAGTTCTAACGAAGAAGTGGGAAAACTTGGGCCAAGAGAGCGTAGGAACTTAATACTGGGCACGTCTCTTTTGTATCGTCGGTTTGCAGAACTCTTTTACGATCGTGGTAAATCGCACGAATTTTTGGCACTATCGCAGGAATTGGCGGCACCGGGCGATCTCCGTCAGAACACGTCGTTTGACTTTGAATTCAAGAATGTCGAAAAGCAATATGAATGTTACAATGGCATCAATGTCAAGCTTCGATATTTTGTACGGGTCACCATTGCTCGTCGTTTAAACGATGTCGTGCGTGAACGCGATATCTGGGTTTATTCTTACCGAATGCCGACCGAAGTCAACAACTCCATCAAGATGGAAGTCGGTATTGAGGATTGTCTGCATATCGAATTCGAATACAACAAGTCAAAGTAAGTACAGCCTCCTAGGCCTTTCTATGAATATAGGGATTGACTTGCACCTGCATAGATATCATCTGAAGGATGTCATTGTTGGCAAAATCTACTTTTTGCTCGTTCGTATAAAGATTAAAACCATGGAACTCTCAATCATTCGTCGTGAAACCACTGGCGCATGTAAGTGATGGAAGTGTGTATACCAAGCCGCCATTCGACTTATTTAATCTGTGTATATCCGTTCAGTACCGAATCTGTATAATGAAAGCGAAACTATCACTAAATTCGAAATTATGGATGGCGCTCCAGTAAGAGGTATGGGCTTTCTTTGGGATATTCAAACGAAATGAGTGAATTGCTAATGACCGATTCTTTGCTTGTAGGTGAAACGATTCCCATCCGTCTGTTCTTGGGAGGTTTTGAGTTGGCACCAACATTCAGAGGTAAAACTTCAAAAGAAAAGGTTCTGTGTGTGTTCATGCTCTCACTGTGGTAACTCGTTCGTTGCCAATAGATGTCAACAAGAAATTCTCCACCAGATACTATCTGAATTTGGTGCTGATTGATGAAGAGAATCGCCGTTACTTCAAACAGCAAGAAATTACCATGTATAGACGTAAAAGTGAGTAACAAGCTTCTCCTCAACATTCTCGCCACACTGTTAACATTGTTTTTCTACAAATAGTTGATGATGGTTATCCAGCCGACGAAGAGTAGATGCAAGTCATATAATTTGTGCCCCATGTTCTTTTAATGTTTGTATCAGTATTATTCCCTTTCTGTCCTTTTTGTCTCGGGTTTCAATGTGTGCGCATCAAGTACTTGCAGATGTTGGAAGTGATACAATGTAGGGCAGAGAAATGGTCCAATTTGCCTACCGCTGTGAGGCGGATTTATTTCAATGAGAAAAACGACATGGCATGAAAGTATAACTCCCTTGGATTCCAGGGATGTGAAGAGTGGGGAAACATGGTGGCTATGATACTTGATAAAAATAGCTGGCTGATGGAAAATCCGTTCCTTAAGTTTGAACTATTTGGTGTCATTAAGAACAAAGGTTATAGATGTCGACTCAAGCATCTTGATCTTCAAATGTCTTGGCTGATAATGTGGGACTTTTTTTTTTTTGTAATACATTGTATTATGTCTTGCTGCTTTTGGTTATCGCTTGTCGTCATCAAAAGGATCCTAATGTCGAGCGACGAGGAACATCCGTGATACTGTGGTTTTCTTTATAGAAGTTGGTTAAATTTTTCGGGGGCGATAGTTAATCTCGCATTGGGTGACATTTTATTGACATGGTTATCAGGGAACGAGTGTCGACTTGGACACCGCTCGGTTTTAATATCATTCCGGGAAAGCACATACGAAGTAGAATAAAAGTGAGGAAGGGAAATTCCATAAAGTGAGTAAAATCGAACGGTGTCTTTATGCTTTGCCAAAGTTCATTTGAATCAAACGCACAAACGACAGCATTTTTATCGAACCTGTTATTGTGCAGAGAAGCGGAGAAGAAGAACTTAATTTTGAAGAGGAGATAACAATGGTCCTGCAGATCAATCAGTTCACGCGAAAAACAGCACATCGCAAACGAAGATACCAAGTTACAGGTGCTGTTCTGCGCTCATGCGTGTTTCAAACCCTTACATATCTAAAAGATCATCTTTGACGTAGTCCAGAATATCCTTTTCGCGGACATGCTTACATGGCTCCGCATCGGCTTTGGTCATTGCGCTCTCCGTGTTCGGCGCTATTGCAACGTGGAGCACTGAGACTGGCACTCTGATGTCGTAAGAGTAATTGTACGTTCTTTATTGTCATAGCATTATTGTTCTGCTATGTCAGATGAAACAAAAACTGAAAGCTAAGCAGCAAGGCAAGGTACGTGAAACGCAACTGTCTTACAGGAAGGGGAAAAGCCAAAAAAAATCAGCTAATTCGCAAACCAGGTCAGCTATGCCTTATACACTACACACTCCAGGTTATATGCAATGCGTAATGGTGATTCTAAAAGCATGAGTGACATGACGCAGTCCCTCTTGCATCGCTTACGCGAAAGAAGTGGGAGGCTCTGAATTTCGCCAGTTTTGTTGCGAGAATCGAGCCAATGAGGTGCATTCGCGGTCAAAAAGCAAGGTCACAATCGAAGGTCCTCGAACGATTTTTGAAAAAGATATAAAAAGGGGGCGTTTCTTCTCATCTCTTTTTTTCTTTTGTGCGCCAGTTCGGAATCAGGGGCTGCTAGGCTGGTGGTCACTGGTAATGATGAACGCTCCGGTTTTTGGTAAAGCATTCGGGGTATGGCGAAAAATTCGAAAACCATCTTCTAATGATAGGATTGGCCATCCTCTGAAGAAGATTGTTTTCGTTCCCGTTGGCTCTTCCCTTTGGGCGCCTGACTAGTCATCAGCGCGGTCATTGTGGAAGGTATGTCGGTGGGTTTGCTTTTTAATCGCAACAAAGGTAAATGAAAAAAAAAGGTTTTTGCCTTATTTCTCAACCCTTTGTGGGTTGAATAATGTAATAAAAAAATGGGCTTTATGTCCTGTGGACGCCATTTTATATAAAAAGAAAAATAAATGAAAAAGCTTTGCTTATAAGAGATACAACAGGGTAGACCTCTTTTTTTTTATTTGTACCATGATTCCTCTATTCAATAAGGACGTCCAATTAATTCTCGCCCAAAAACTGTCCTCCTTATCCATATGGCTTGCCTGGCGCAGCTTATTTGTTAACCTGGTACTCCACATCCACTTGGCTCAAATAACGTCAAGCGCGTTATTGTTTGTTCGTTCCAAATTGAGGGGGGGCTGCTCTTGGCGTCAAAAGCGACAAAATCGTAGACCGGCTACTGTGATGAATAATGAGGAAGTAGTTGGCGGCTACAGCAACAAAACTGATATAGGTGTGCTTTGCTAAACCATAAAAAGAGAGGTAGTAGAGAATAGAGGAAGTTATTGCTGAGGAAGGGACACAGTCCACCAAGCTTTTGAACATGGCGTGGTGGTGCTTTGAATGTGAGGCCAAATGCGCGATGTTCAGGTTGCACTTTTGTGAATGATGTGACTCTCGCGATCAGCATTTGGTACTTGAGAGAGGAACCAACACGGCACTTCAATGTAAAACCATTGTTCCTAAAGCGAAGATTGGATACCGGAAACCATGGATTTTTTCTCTTGTTATGCAACTGACGACACTCGTCTTTTGAAGATGATTTTGCCAAAATTCCTGCTCCAGAGTGATCACTGCGAGCATTCCAGAAATCGCGCGGTGACTGTACGCAACAATTATACTTCATACCACCCAGGCTTGCCACTCTTATGATACAGTTCTAGTTATCATCACCGTAATATTTATGAAGAAAAAAGACAAAAACAAATATGAACCAGCCATTGAAAGATCTCATCGTCTATATTGACACCTGTTCGTTCAAAGGATCGAGCAGCAATACCCTTTTACTCGCCCGAAAGGGTGGCAAATGCATACAATTCAAAAATTAATTAAAAAGCCCGCTTGCACAACTTACCATATTTACATTGAAGTGATATGGAGGTCATTTTAAATAAATAAAGTTCTTGGATAATATGAACCGACCTTGGACAGAATAATTCTGTCAAGAGCATGGTTCAGAGTGAAAGGCCAAAAAAAAAAAAAGCTTGATCGACGGACATTGAATTTTCAGAGGCAAAATTGAGCCAAGCCACCTCGCCGCACACACCGTCCGAATGGAGGGGCAGTGAAAGTGGCCATGAAAGCTGCAACCATTGGATCCCTTCTCTTTCCCCCTAACCAACTGTTGTATCTGGTATGTATTCAGCATCGAATCAATGAACTATCAAGATGCATGATGTGTGTGGTGCATGGATGGATGGATGGATGTCCTATTGAAAAGCGATGAGCGATACTTCTTCGGACGTAAAGCTTTTAATTTTTTTTCTTCCATAAGGACTTGGTTGGGGAATTCCAGATTTGGGAAGCCAATGGCATGAGACCGTGATTCAATGTAGTTAACGTTCTTTTGTTGGTGATATTAGGGAGCTTTATTACCATGAAGGATATCTACAAGGACGACGAACTCACCATCCCCGAAGGTGTCCAGGTTTCCATCAAGGCCCGTAACGTCACTGTCAAGGGTCCTCGTGGTGAATTGAGCAAGAACTTGCGCCACTTGAACATTGAGATCAAGTTCGAGGGCAAGGACAAGCTCAAGTTTGTTGTGTACCACGGTAACCGCAAGCACGTCGCCTGCATCCGCACCGTTCGCTCGCTCGTGAACAACATGATCATTGGTGTCACCAAGGGCTTCCAGTACAAGATGCGTTATGTCTACGCCCATTTTCCCATCAACGTCATCATTAACGACGGTGGTAAGGAAGTTGAAATCCGCAACTTCTTGGGTCAGAAGGTTGTCTTCCGCATCAAGATGCGCGAAGGTGTTATTGTCGAAGCCTCCAAGAACGTCAAGGATGAATTGACTTTGACCGGTAACGATCTCGAAGCCGTCTCCCAGTGCGCTGCCGATATTCAGCAATCCTGCTTGGTCAAGAAGAAGGATATCCGTAAGTTCTTGGATGGTATCTACGTCTCTGAACGCAACGTCCTCGAGGCCTAAGCGCTTTTCCATCTTTAAAAATCTTCAAACCTTTTTGTTGTAATAAAAAAGAAGGATGCATACACATACTTATATGACCCCTTTTTGAATATTACGGGGCTTTTTACTTTTTGAAAATGCATTTCATTGTTGGGTGGTGAGGTTTGAGCGGATCAAAGATCCTTCAAGAGATGACACAAGCCACCGATCTCGGATGCGATCAATCAGCGACTCGGAACGCACCATGTCGATCAGATTGTTGATCATGGATTCAATGTCACAGCACTTGCGAATGGCACCGGCATCATAGATCAGACATGGATACTCTTTTGATCGTCTCTCATTTTGAATTATTACGACTGTAAAAAAAAAAAAAAAAGTCAAAAAAGCCTGTTGCCATACCCAGCTCAGCCGTCTCTCAACGACCGTGGTATGCGTGCGTGTGATTATTGAGAGATTCTCGCGGTTTATTATTGGAAACGAATGTAGTTCCAGCAAGATAGATCATGAAACAAGTCATTAGACGAGTTTAGTACTGTAGAGTTTAGATATTGAATTGAAAGGGTTGCTATGATGGAACGAGGAACAACCTTTTTTGTATAATGATACATTCTAAAAGATATGAGAAGAAAGAGAGTAGAAAAGAAAGACACAGGGTCAATGGAGAGGTAGTAATAAGATGTATACTTGAGTGCTTGACAGAAAAAAAGGAGAGCAAGGGGATTGTGAATTAGACAGGTTCCATGTAGTTGCCGGGAATTAGTCCAATCTGTTTTCGTGACGGATCTGTCAACTCGGCTTCCCACCAACCATCACTCTGTTTTCTGACCACAGCCATTACATCGCCTGCCATAAACGTCATTTCAGAGGGAATCTATTATTGAGCAAATACGATAAGTTCCCTCGTTAATGAACTCTTATATTCTTTCATCTTACCGAAGCTTCAAATGGCCATATAGCGCGTACGTATTCGATAATAGGTCGACCATCGCTGATACAACCCTGGTGGCTGTTTCTCGCCCCATCCTGGGACGGCCGATGTTCCGTAGTAGAGTGACGAGGGTTCGGTGATGATATCGGAGGTGGTGCGGTTGCTTTCTGAGCACCAGTTGCAGGCATATCGGCCACAGCCTCACGCTGATGGATGGATGGCGTCGATGCTAACAATAATCTGGTAGGTGATGGCTGCTGCCGCTGTTGTGATTGCGGCTGCGGTTGCGGTTGGTATTGTTGCTGCTGCTGCTGCTGCTCAGTTTCCTTTGAACGTTTCTCTTTGTCTTTCTTGTTGCCCAAGAATCCCAAGGAAAACCGGCTACCTTTCTCCTTGGATTTGGAGGGAGGTGGGATCAGATTGCTCTGTTTGGAAGTAGGGTCGTTCGGTGTCTTTGCCGGAGAGGGTTCATTCGAGGAAGAGGATGGTTTCAATACACCTTTCATGAATTTACCAAATTCTTTGGAAGATTTTCCGTTTTTGGGTGTATTATGTGTGCTTGGATTATCAAAATCGAAATCTTGACGACCCGAAGGTGGTGGTGGTTGATGATGATGATGGATATTACCATTGATGTTGCCGTTGACATTGCCGTTGGAGGGATGCAAGTGAGAATGCAGCAACTCGGAAGGAGGTACGGAACTTTCGGGACGGGGAGCACGAGGTCCAGTGACACTATTGTTGCGGTAGAGGTTGGATGCGGCAAAGCGGTTATCGTACGATAGGTGTGGGTTGGACGGCTGTTGCATCATGTTGGATAAAAACGAAGCAGGTGCTGCGCCTTGCATGGGTGGCATGTGATCCTGCGCTCCCATTGAATCATCTTGCCACGGTGGAGCACGGATACCGGGGTTATCCGAGCCATCAAAACTTGGATGGCGGTGAGACTGAGAGTAATTGGAGTGGTAGGACGGTTGGTGATACGCTTGCTCCTGCCAAGGGGTTTGGAAGTCGCCCGTCAATGGTTGGTTCTGCGACTGGGCACGTCCAGCGGCAATCACTTCTTGAGCTGCTGTTCGAGCATTGTTGGGTTGAGATGCTGCTGGATTTATCGCTGGGGCCTTGGACGAATTGGGAATATCGATCTTTAGACCTGGACGTTGACGATTCGGTTTGGTGGTCTGCGTGGGAGCGTCAGGAGATGAAACGGGAATGGTGGGATCGGAAGGCGTGGTGTGATTTGATGGAGGCACGGCGACCTGGAGCAAGTTTGCACGTGGAGCCGAACTGTGCCCGTTCAAGGAGCCTTGGCCATGGTACATTTGCGCATTTTGCACTCTTACAGGTACCATTTGCGGCCGACGAATAGACGAGATGACCCACTTTTCATCTTTGGGTGGAGGCGCAGGAATCGCATAATTGTTCTCAGATTCATCATCACTTTCCGTTTGACCATCGGCGTCGCCAACGGTGAATCTGGGAACACTTATTTGCGACGTTGGCTTCTCCGTATCATTCTCGTTTTTGACCGGTTCCTTCACATTCTTATTAGCTTCTTGAGGATCCGCTTTGGCATCCGCTTTTGCATCTATTGCCGATTGAACGTCGCCCACGGTCAGATCGGTGACCGATCTCTCGTTGGATGACGATGGCGATGCTCGATCGACGCTGTGCGTGGTAGTAGGTGGCTGGTTTTCGGTGACTGAGGAATCGTCGGCAATGCTGCGTGGACCGGATTTGTCGATGTGAATGGATGGTACAGGCGTAGGGACAGCGGCGATATCTCGCGAATCAGATCCAGTTGGCTGCAGCTCCACCATGGAGGAAGGTCGCTTCTCGCCTTCTTCAGTTGGAGGACGGGCTTCGCTCGACTCATAAGAAGATGCCCGCTTGGCTTCGATTTCTTTCTTTTGCATTTTCTTGAACACAGGATTGGGCACAGGTTTAAACCGTTCATTCTTTTCAGAACTTTGCTGAGATACCATCGATGCTGGCCGTCGTGTTTCTTCTGCTCCTTCAGATCCTGAGGCTGTCGCAGCGGCAACAGCGGCTACAGCAGTGCCGGCGGCCAGAGGGAGAGACGCATTATCTGGTTTTGGTACGGGTTCCTGAGAGGCCTTCTCACCATCATTTTTTGTGCTCTGTCCATCATAAGAACTCTCGCTGCAAGGAGACACCATCATCATCACGGCCGATGCATCTTCCTCATCCTTGCTTCTATCTTGTTCCTCTATTATCGCGTCCGCGTCCGCTTTCGGCTCAGCCGGCGCATTTTCGTGGGAAGGCGTCGTTTCGTGATGCGGACCATGGGCGTTATCTTCGCCAAGCATGTTTTCGATCTCACGGAATGCGTACGAAATCGAACGTTGTCCAGGGGAGTCACGATCGGGTGACTGGGCGAAATTCTTATGGATCGATACGGGGGTGGTGATCTGGGAGGGTTCAATGTCATTTTTGGGGGAGGGCGAGTGATGATCCAGTTGTTGGAGCTGATGATCAATAGATTTGAGTTCTTCGTCTGGATTGGTGGCCACCGCTAGTGGAACCGCGGGCAAAGCCTTGTTCAGATTATCCATCGACTGCGATCTTGTTTGATTCATGTTTACAGACGAATCCAACGACGACTGTGGAACCGGCGCTGATCGAAGAGAGTCGTTTGCATCGTGGATATTGTCAGCGTATAGGCGGTCTACCATGACATCACATCAAGTTACACGACTCGTTCTATTTGTCACACCATTCACTTCCCTTCCAAGATTCTTACCTGGCGAGAACGAGCCTGTGCCATAATCCCGCAGAAAGGTTTCAATATCCTTTTGCACATCCGTCAACTCAAGGGCAGTTCGGATACGTTCGCAGCACTAAAAAAGGTCTTTTTTGTCAACACATCCTTCCCACAATTACCAGGAACACCCGCCCGCTTTACCTGATCATCAACGATGTAGACACTCGACATCATATTGGCAAACCTTTGATCACGTGCGGGTTAGCATGCCAAAGCCGGTTGTCTACTGATTTGATCGTCAAGTACTTACGCCCACAAACTGCTACGTATATAATGCATCCTCTTTTCTTCGATTTCCTGGAAAACATCACAAGTGGCACGCCAATCATCGATCCATTTTTCCGAAACGGTCTTTAACACTTCCATAGCGCGCTGATAATCTTGCTCTAAGAAGATTCACCCATATGAGTGGTTGTTCATGCATACCCTATTCCACTTGTCGTTAATTCTACCTGCAATAGTCGTCATTTTCCGACTTTCCTCAATATCTTCTTGAAGCTGTGTCAAAGTGCACCGGAGGTGCGTATGATATAAGTCCATCTTTTCTACGTGAGATTCATGCTGTGTCACTCGTTGGTTACCTGATGTTTTTCATCCTCAGACATTCCATTTCCACGTTCTCGAAGATATTTCTCCATGCCAGCCAGTTTCATACATTCACCAGTATAGAAATCCTTGGCCTACAATGGTAGATTTTTTTTTTTGAAATTAAGCATGGCCAAGTCCTCGTGGTCCATTGTTTTAGCATCAAACTTACTCGTACGACGTTGGTCTGATGTAATTTTTTGAGTTGCTTGGAATTTTCGATCTGCTGCTGTTGCTAAGTAGACAATAAAAAAAAAACGGGCACAAGGATGCCAAGCAACGCAGTAGGTTAGTATCATGATCAATGCCAAGAATAAGAAAAGGATCGGTTAGAAAATATAATACCGCTTTTCGAACTTCTCGTTGATCTTTGATGAAATTATCTAGCGGCGCTTCAAGATGATGTTGCAGCTGTTGTGCTAAATCGATGTGAGCACGAGCTGTGGTTTCAAGAGCACTGGGGATATGCGATATGGACTCGGCAAACGTTCCTTCTTCACTTTGACCAACATCCAGTTGCGATAATTTGAGTAGTCGTTCGCCATAGTCTTCCTCGATTTGCGCTCTATCGTCATGTAATTAGGATTCACTGAATGGAATCTCGACAAAAAGGTACCTGGATGGATGCAGATCGACATGTACCTTATTTGATAGAGCTTCTTGATCTCTTCACATGTCTGTTTGGATTTCCGCAGTTTTTGGGAAACGACATCGACGCCATGGTCGTCATTGTCCTAGTCAAGTCGAAAATTACAAAAAGTCAATGACCAAGTCTTGGCGTTTTTTTTTTCTTTTCTTTTTTTTTATCAGGAATCGAACAAGTTACCCAAAAGGCGTCTGCGAAACGTAATTGGGGCGTCGGGTGATTTAGTAGGCCGGCCGCCATGGAATAAGTTCGGATTGGCTTGAAGTATCAGTTGTAAGCTGAGTGAATAAACAAACGGTGAAACGAGAAAAGCAGCAAAGAAGAAAAAAACTAGGACAATAGGCTCGAAAGGGACCATTTCCTGATGAAATTTTAGTGGTCGGTGAGTGGCTGCCTCGGCCGGTCGGAGTCCATTCCAATTTTAGCAACGTCGTCCTTTTCCATTGTCTTTCCTCATGATCCAAACCTCGTTCCAGCGATATGCCGACGCCACTAGTCCAAGGTACTCCATATAAACGCTTGCCTTTTTCTATAGTGGATGGGATGGTTATATACAGTTGTTCTGAATGCAAAAAAATCGATAGTCCGCGTTATGCTTACGATGTAACAAAAAATCAGCAGCAAAATGATCTCAATGACATAGTGGAGCATGCATAACAAGCCGGTTCACAGTAGGCTAATTTTTCTTCAATAAGAATCAACACTTTTGGAAAGCCGATCTGCTTATTATCCAAGCCTTTTCATTCTAAAAGCAAAAAAAGACATAGTAATAATGGTCGCCTTGAGACGTTCACCAAATTTCGATAAAATGAAGTAAAACAAGGTTTCCAGTAACCTTATGCGGGGACGAAAAGAAAAAAAGAAGTTGCTGAATTAGGTTTACCGTATTTGAACATTTAGTATCACATGACAGCCGTAGCTCGACATTGCCAAGGTTTAAAGTTCTGTCTTTTTGTTCAAAAAGCGGGGATGAGTCAACTTTTAGGGTTTTGAAGTATAAAAGGGATGGGTCGCGGCACTTATCAGCCCATTTTCTCAGCTTGCTTTTACGCGCTGACAACACAACTGACATTCGTGTTGTCTCTTTTACAATCAAGCTTTTTTCTTGAATGGAAAGCAGTCCACGAATTGTACCGGTGTGCATGAATACTAGTGATTTACAAAACGCGTACCCGGCTTTATATCTTGGAAACTTGAGAACCTGCTGTTCTTGAATGTTGTCAAGTTTTCATTGATCATCCTGTTTGAACGGCTATTTCATCGCCTCACAATGAGGTTTTTTACAGCGAGAATGTCTTCAGCAGAGAGCAACCTGGTTTGCATTGTTGGCTTACTGTGCCAAATACGAATTGTCTGCAGAAAGTTAGAACATGCTAATACAGTATGAGCTTTTGTTAATGCGTGCAAGAGATGTAAATCCCAGGGGATAAAAACTCACTTTCAATAACAAAACCAAACCACTGGAGTTCTTCTCGTTATGTTTGATGCAATACATGATGAAGCATTCAGTGGGCTTCCAAAAATATGCAGCTACTTGCCGCTTCCCTTCAACACGGCTATTGGTTTGTTTGTTTTTCAGTTCCCATCGATGTGTAACTTTTTTTTTCGTGTGGAATGTGCATTTCTGTCGACAAAAAATGTGTCATGTTGTTGTTATTCTTGGCATCCCCAGTTCAGTTCATCACTCCGGCATCACATTATTAAACTCGCTCGTTTTTCCTTGTCTCCGGAATACATTTTTTGATGGTTGGGCTTTGCTTTTTTTCTGTTCAAAAATATTACATTTGAATCGTAGAGTATGGTGCATAGTAATTCATTAGACTTATATTCCTCAAGAATTTCTTGAGTTACTTGTTTGGTCTTTACGCATCGGGCAACGGGAAAGGTCATCCATCCAAAGTCCCGATATAAAACCTTTTTCCGCGGACAGGCGTCCGAAATGGGTCATTGCGCGCATAATGACTGAGAATCGGCTTATGTTATTCTCGGCCCATGGAATCAGGCTTAAAAAAGAAACCACTCTCCATTGTAAATGGAATTCGATCATATAGCCGTCCACACTATTCATAGCATTTTCAACCCATCACCCGTTTTTTTTTTTTTTTTTTTTTTTTTTTTTTTTTTTTTTGCATCCCCATGGAGAAACCGCAACCACATCATTAATCACTGTAAAAAAATCGTCTGGTTAAAGGTTTCTAGTTTTATTTTGGTCCAGATCCAAGCGTCCTTTGTGCGACTTGGTAATAACCTCAAAGAATACTAGACTGATCGGTTGCCTGATGGGTCCACCGCGGGACAGTGCTCAACATAAAACAAAATATTTTTTCACAACTTGCATGACTCGCTGCCTCTTTTTCATGTTCACTCATGTGATATTCTTTTTACAAGATTCCAAGAAACAAGAAGGAGTTCGGTAAACGGGGAATTTCTTTTGAGGCGTAGATCATTTCGGGTCTTCCCAGCCTCCATCAGACAAGACAGTGTTGGGGAGCCTGTCGTCATTTCATCAACTCCGCAAGCTTTCAAGTTGCAGAGTTCAAGGCAATAGTGTCACTGACAAAAAATTTTCATTGGCTCTTTTATTTTTAGTATGAGAAAGGTAAAACGTGGGGTAGTATTCAGCCAATGAAATGGTCGAACTTTGCATCATTGTGGGTGAACTAAAGTTTTGTCGCACCGCATCGACCTCCCTTTTTTTTTTCTCATAAATAGGCACCCTTTGCATCGGGGTTTTTTGCTCTCCATCAACTACAACTAATATACGCATATTTCCTCACATCAAATCCCTTGTTCACTATGGATCCTGGATACAAGTTACTTCAACATATTAAGACCGTTCCCAACTTGATCAATGAAGACCCTAGCATTACCACTCCCAAGAACTCGAGCTTTATGGATCTGCCTTGGTCCCAGTTCTCCACTCTGCTGAATCGTCGATCTTCCGATTCCAGTGCTTCCGTTGTTTCCGGTTCCAGCACGCCATCTCTGTCAGAAGACGAGTCCGTCGAGGATGTGTCCCTAGGTAATTGGGATTCCATGACCGGTTACCAGGACGGTCAACATATACCTATGCTTCGCTAAACCCCTGGCTGGAGCTCGATTGACCATTTCATTTGACTTTTTTTTCAAATTTTCGTGATCAAATTTTCGTTATTTTTTTACTCTATTCTATGTCTCATTTCCACTTGAATCGTTTCTTTCATCACAAACCTTGCATATCATCTTCCACCAGATAAATTGTTAGTTCCAAATAAATGAATTGATACATACAAATCTCATTTGGGAAATTAGCGATTTTGTAAATCACATGATCTACACTAAGTCATCAGGACCTGTTAAACCTTCTTCTTTTTTTTATCTTTCAACCATGCCTCGCTGCCCACTTTCACGATAATAGGCGAAACAATCAGCAGCAAGATGCCGTTTGCGCCAGTTGTGGTTAAACAGAGTATCGTCGTCTTTCGAATAAAAATGTGAGTAGAGCTCTTTTTGAAGAAAAGTGGTTGATGATACGACCGGCGTTCTTCTGTAGCATCATTCAATTTGTTTTTTTTTGTCAGTTATACTGTATATGCCCTTTGATTCTCTTCATTTTATAATGATCGAGAGGTCGGTGTTCATCTTGTTTTTTCCGGTACACCGTTTGGTTCAAAGCAAGTCCAATTTCATATAATCCAAGTCATGTCTAGCGATCAATGGCTATTGCAAACTCAAATAACAAAGGTAAAATATCTTGACGAAAATTTGAATCAATCAAAGAGCTTACTAACTCATTTTTTTTTAAAATACCCAATAACCTTGGCCGGGACGGGACTGAGGGGGCAATAAGCGCTGCTGCACACATGTTTGGAAATCATGACTGTACGGTATGCCAGAGTATTGACATTAATATACCAAAGTTTCATTAAGAGTCTCGCCCAGGTTATGCCGTATGCGTTAGGCTTTTATCTGACGAATGTCGCTCAATGTAAGGGGGTGACGTCCAGTAGCAGGTGGCATCCATTGCACAGCGGGTGTATGGCTTGTTAATAGATACGAAGTCAAAAACACAGTCCATTCTCATGCGTGCTGGCCTCAAAATTCCTTTATCTTCCCATCTGCATTTTCTTCTTTGTTTGGCTTGAAACTTTATTTTCTCTTCCTTTTATGTTTGTTCCTCGTCGCGCCCACAAAACGCGAAAGAAACGTTATTATAAACATGCATCCACCGATTTTCTGGATGATCCTCTAAGAGCATTTGAAGATCGTATTCGTTATTTGCTGGCCACCGGGGAATTCGATCATCATCTGGAGCGTCAACTAATCAGTGTCCTGTCAGAGGTCACTGCTCGCTTTGAGAGAGATGATCGTTATAAAAATAATCCTCGCTTTGTAAAACTCTGGCTAATGTATGCGGCCTTTATCAAAAACCCTGTCGCTATCTACCAATATATGCAGGATCAGCATATTGGAGAGTACGTCGCTGCATATTATGAAGAAGTCGCCCAGTATTACGACCAACAGCATAGGCAAGAAGCTCACCCACTTATTTTATGGCATCCGTTTGATTAATCATGATGGGTGATTTTTTGGGCAGATGGAAAAATGCATATGACATGCTGCTGTTGGGCTTGCGCAAAAATGCTCAACCCGTTTCGCGCCTCCAGCAGCTTCAAAACAAATGGCATCGCCGTCACGGAATGGGCTTCGCATCTCTACTGCAGTCCGGAAAAGCACCAACTCATGCATCAACGCATGAAGCTCCGCAGCAGAAGCAAAATACGTATAGTATATGCATGCGCACAGATCCGGGTTCCTCGGGGATGACGGCTACCATACAAACGCAGTTGCCAGCTACTTTTGATTTATACGAGAACAATCAATGGCGATGTCAGTTGCAGTTGGCAGTAAGAATTTTTATTCGGTCAGATCTACGCTTTGCAAGCAGTTGTACTAATCAGGCTTGTCGAGGCGGTACTAGATGGAGTCAGATGTCACTGGCAAGAATAAGTTGATGGTCAAGTCAATACCCGCCAAGGAGAGTTCCTATGCGAAAAGGGCCGTCAGCGAGCGACAGCCTGACATTGAGATGATCGATGACCCCACCTTACTGCTTCCCATTAATCAACCTTTGTCTTCCATCCTGCAATGGTTAGAAGCCCGGATCAACCATGAAGGTCGAGTCGCCATGCTTAGGGAATGTTATCGCTACAAAGAAGAGACATCGTTCGAAGAACTTCGGCTCAAATATGCTCAGTTCCGTAAACGTTACAAGAAACCAAATTACATCCATCGTCAAATCACCACCGTCGACTGGAACGCTCGTCCATCCTATGAGGTGCCGAAGCAAAAGGCTCGCACTAGTCATCCAGTCTTATTCACAACTTTTCAGGCAACGCCTCCCATCGCGTCCCAACAGCCTGTTCCTGAATGCGAAAAGCCAGCCACTCCAGAGCCGCTGCAGGCTCCACCTTTACCCAAACATGATCTTGCTGCTCCAACAGAGGACGTCGTCGAGATACCTATTAAGAACTACCGTCAGTGGGAAAAGGTCACGGAATGCTTGCATCATCATTCGTCTTACCACGATGTATCCTCTCAGACCACCACCGAACATCAACACTTGTCCCGTTATGCCTCCCCTACCATTGTTCTCTCCCGTGTCGCATTCAAAGTGGAAGCCAAACTGGGTGAAGGCGGCATGGCCAAGGTTTACCGGGTGAGACAACACCAAAAACAAGAAGCCGTCGCTATGAAGATCGAAGCCCCACCGAACCCATGGGAGTATTACATACTGCACCAATTATTCCATCGATTGCCAGATGCCCAAGCCATTATTCGACCACGATCTTTCCTACACTACGGGAATGTGAGCTTTTTGCTGCTGGATTACCTACCGCAAGGCACCTTGTTGGATTGTCTTAATGTCCAACGCCATGTACACCAGCAATCCGGCATGCCTGAACCCTTGGCGATGTTATTTATCATGGAATTTCTGAATATCATGCTCGGGATCCATCGAGCAGGCATCATTCATTGTGACTTGAAGCTTGATAATCTTATGCTTCATTTCCCAACCACGCCAACCACCGATATTGCGGAATGGCGTTCCATACGTGTCATTGATTTCGGGCGTGCCATCGATTTGACCCTTTTCAACGAAAATACGACATTTCTGGCAACATGGCCTGCGGAACCTAATGACTTGCGCGAAATTATTGAAAAGAAACCTTGGCTGCCCTGGTCCATTGATTACTGGGGAGTGGCAGGGATGGCTCATTTATTGCTCTTTGGATTACCGTTATCAGTGAAAAAGAATCGTCGGCAATCCACGTGGGAGATACAACAGACCATCAAACGGTATTGGCACAAGACGCTGTGGACTCGGTTCTTTTCGATGATGCTCAATCCTGGAACGATGGGAGATTTGCCGATTACAGACGCGATCGAAAGCCTCGTGACAGATATGAAGGACACTCTGACAGCTGAATCGAAGCAAGCCAATAACAAATTATCCTTATTGATGAAACAACTGCAGGAAACAATGATCACGTAAACGATGCTGAGGAATACGGTGTATTTCATGGTATGCATGGATGTCCTTTTTTTTCCTTCTTTTTTTCTACTTTTGTTTTTATCAACTACGTTCGAATATGGAATTGACCTGCTTTTGTTAAACTGCGCACACCCTATTTATTGAGAAGAATATATCAGCCCCACAACGTCATTTGTAATAGATACCTCTTTCCCTTTTACCTTGTATGGTTTGTAACCTTCATGGAATAAACGTAGCGTATCGATCTTCAACCCAGATACGGCATACATTGTGATTTGAAAATCGGCGCCGATCGTGATGCCCACCTCTGGATTCGATTCGCTATGGACCACAAAAAAAAGAGCATCAGTGTCTGTATTTGCTGAAAACGCGTCGAAACCGTCTTACCTGCTGTTAAAGGTTCCCGAAAGCATCGGTGCACGTTCGCGTTGTTGCAGTTTTGAAATATCCCATTTGATGGTCTGTCAAGATGGATGAATATTTCGCTGCCTTTTTGGGGGTCCAAATGTCAATCATGAAAACATACCTTGCTTACGGGATCATACATATACTGTCCGATATTGCACGTTGCCGTGACACTCGTCGTCGATCTTGGCATTGGTATGGTAATAGTAATATGTTCAACAGGTTTTCCGTCACTCGTACGCGGATGGACGGAAATATCGAATTTGCCTCCGTTCTTTGACGGTAAAAATTGTGGCTTCACTTGAAGCGGCATGGCTTGGTAAGGTGACAGAGCAGCGCTGGCAGGTACGGTTTCGGTTAAGTCTTTGTTTCACCCTTTTTTTTTCATTTTTTTATTACATGCCGTCTCCACACTCACCGGTAAGACATGAGTTTGAATCGACCATCGGGAGGCACAAATGACAACACCTTTTCGCTTTCCCATTTTCGATACCTGCCATCATATTTCCCGCCCTTTTGGTGAATCTATGCGTCATACGGCGTTGAAACGAGATACACATTGCCTACCTTACGCACGGATGGAAGCTGACATCGTCAATCACCCGTGGATTGACAAAGCTCAATGTCAAATCAGGCATACCTATCAAAATCACCCAAGCCTATCAATAACAAATCCACCCACTATCTCTGTTGTATGCAATTACCCGAAAGCTTGCTTTGTGCGACAACGGTACCGTGGGCTTCGCATGATACCACAGATCCAGTCCTGCAAACCGTTTCCCTCATTGTCAGCATTCTCGTCTGATGAGCATTTTTTGATCCTGAACTTACGCTGTAACCGTAGCATCGATCTCTTCAATGATATCAAAATAAATCTCATTCTGTGCGTACTTGACACCCGCCTTACGCCAAGGAATATTGGACATACTCTGTGGCAACTTGGGCGCGACGCTAACGGGCACCGAACATTTAAAAAATACTCTTTCACCCAAATCCTTTGTTAGACTTACCCTGTGGCTGCACCCACCGTGGACATGACTTTGTTCATAATGGTAGGCGGCATAATCAATTCTTTCAATGCGTTTGGTTCCGTTGTTAACGGGTATCCGTAATCGATCATTTCTTCCAGCAACTACAGAACCCATAACAAAAAAATCACATGAAGGATGAGTCTTTCATTCAAACTTGACGAATATTTTTGGATTTCCTCGCTGACCTGATACACTGTGACAAAGTTTTCTCGTATTGAGCTTTCGGACACTTCACCGAGATAGTCCGTCAAAATATCGATGATGCGGTGAATGAACTCGAAGACCAGCATAGGATCCACTACATACCGTGAACCAAGTGGCATCAGTACCAGTGTTCAACCCGCCAATTTGACTGTATATACCTTCCCGTTCCACAGGACAGAGCCATGTTAAATCGTGCCGTAACACATTTAGCAACCAGTACTTGTTCGTTTCCAAAACTGGGGGAACATCGTCTCGTGTAAAATATGATTCCTTCAAACCAAGTCCCGTTTTATCGTCCAAAGTGCCAGGCGCGGTATTCATAAATTTGGCACACTCATCGTTGAATACGTCGACAATTTGCCGGGAAATCATGCCACGCCAATGCTTCTCAATAATAATCTTTCTGTGGAAAATGGCCAAATGACAATAAACCAATCGTTACTCAATGAGAATAACATGGCAGTCAAACAAGCATTTTAAAAAGTTACCCTTGCGCATTGAGAACGAATAGTGAATTTATCATTGGGGTGTATAACACAAAGAAGAGAGAGGGGTGAGAGGTGCCTTGCAAAAAAGAAAACGGTTACGCTGATGGAAGCCCGAAACGCGCACCTTCAAATTTGGAAAGAGAATGGCCCAACATCCGAAAAAGTCACGACCAATCAGCTGATTAGGATCAGTCGATGCTTTGTGTGTGGATGAATGCCCTTTTTTATACTTTATTCATCTTGAGATTGGGTGGTTTATGAGCGTTGGAAGAAAATAAAAAGAAAACAAAAGCAAGCAACGGGAGAATATGGTAAAAAGAGATGTGTAGAATAGGAATGAAAAAAGAGTACGACTTATAGTGAGAGCAAGGATCGATCATCCGACGGCACAGGATATTGCAGTTCCTTTTCCGACATGGCGCCAAGATCGGTTATGTGATAGTGTTCGTCGACCAAATTGGTGCTCACAAACTGTTGCAACTGTTCGGGAGTCAAACCGTTATTGACCAATCCTTCGATGCCGCCTTTTTGACTGATCTCCTGTTGTAGTAAAGCCAACGTCTTTTTTACAGCCAAACGTTGTAAAAAGGAACGTTCACGTTGCTGTGAAATGTATTCCAGTTCGTTCTCTAAAACAGCCTCCAGTTCCTGGAAATGATTCATCTTCAGGTCCAATTTCTTCACTTGTGTATCCACTACAGCATGCACCAATCGTTGGATTTCTCGTTCTTCGATACTCGCCAAAGATTTCGCTTTCGCGGCCGCTGAACCGAGGGCAACCGTGGCCGCCTTTTCCAATGCTGTGCGAGGCTTTTTATTCGATTCGGTCTCGGCACCCGTGGTAGGTTCCTTGTCGACGTCCATGTCTGTTGATTTACGCTTCTTTGCCAGTTGTTCCTGACATTCAATAGCCGCTTCCGCTGCCGCTGATACAACGTCCCGATCCACCGCTGAGGCGAGAAATGCCAGAATCGACATGACAGGGTTATCGGCCTGAGCGAAAGGAGCACGTTTGTGTTCAATCGCTGTGGAAGAGGGTAACGTCGAACGATATGGCTCTTCGATAGGAAGCTGTAAAAAGTACATGATGCATTGCTCCCGTGTACGTGTGCCCACATGTTCGGCGATCGCATTCCAGTCGTCATCAAACATTTCAATCGCTTCCAATAATAGCAACGTCTCTTGGTCACTCCATTCGTCATCTTCCGCGTGTTTGAACGGTGCGGGCTCGCATTTGATGAAATCGCTACTGTATGCCGACGAAGGGAACCGGCCTTCCTTATAACACACCGGACACAAATCCATATGCTTGGTTTTCAGACTGTGATATCGTTCTCTTGTGCAATCGGCACCACAGGTGGTACAGAAATACTGCTTGGCGGCCGTTTCACTCGCTTGATCGAATAATTTCTGACGAAGTTCGACATTCATCCCAAGTTCCCCTTTATTGGCGACCTGAGGCTTGATATTCGGTTTGAACGGTTGTAATCCTCGTGGGGTGTCTGCCGTCACTCGAAAATGACCAGTAAACGGAGGTCCAACCGCTGAAGGCCAAGTCGAAGGGTCACACTAAAAACAAGAACAAACCCAATATAAGGATTTCCATCGGCAACTATTTTTCAGGAACCCATTTGTCCACTAAATTCGTACCTCACTGTTGATTAACCCCCATTGTTCCAAAAAGGCATGCACGCGCATGATGGCACACACGTCGCCTGCCAAGTTACGTCGACATGCGGTGATGGCAAGGTATTCTTTGGGATTCAAACGGTAAGTGCTGATCATAAAATCGCGATAATGTTGATAGACGGTGGGTGTTTTTGACTTGTTTTTGCCGGTGAAGAATTCAGGCAATGCCACGCGCTCAATGTTGTGAATGGTGTCCATGTTGAACCATGCGGCATGTTCAGGCACCTTGACGTCTTTGGTTTGTGCCAGCAAATATTTCCTTGCCTCCTTTTCAATTTTTGACCGCATCTCTTCTGGGTTTTCCGTGATGGACGGTTCAGCAGGCACTGGCACGGAAGACACTCCTTCCATGGGAGCAGTTGTATCTGCTTCGGTCTGTCCACCATCCTTGTTCTCGTCTTTCTCGTCCTTCATTACTTGGTCTTCTGCCGGTTTGGGCTCGCCGTTGTCGACATTAGGTTGATCCGGTGACGGCTCCATTAAATTTACATATACAAACAGCACTCACACTCAAAATCCACGCGCCGAAAAAGGACAAGAAAAAAAATCCTTGTGTTGGTGATTGGCCAAATTTTCGCTGATGTCATCAAGTACGTTCGTGTCCGGCCCGACTGGCATTTCGGTCCGAAGCCATATCCAGGTCCGGCCTTTTTGGCCATCAGCAACGAACAAGGAAGGTGATTAGTTGATTCAGTCCCTACTTGAGTCTATCCCGCAACATAATCAAGTAGATAGGCAAATAAATGGCATGCAATATTGAGTGATACAGTACTTTTTGTCCGACTGATGTAGTGAGCATGTTTTTGGCTGAAAGTATCAATCAAATGAATTTAGTATAAACCGGTCCCTGCTGCTATGATCTACATACGGTCAGACAAATAGGATCACAGAAGACTAAAGTTTCTGAAAAAGGCGCAAAGCCTTCTTTTTCAGCTGGGTTATTTCTCGTCTTGTCACTGCACCTGTGATTTATCTTCTTAATTCAGCTACTCAGTGATCTACTATCACAGCACAACCTGATACGGCTCAGCCCATTCTGCATATCCTGCCAGAGAAGGATGGCAAAACCCGACATCTCGTAAATGTTTCAGTACATCCCTCGGCACCATGGGACGGTGAAAGTAAGTCGCTGTGGCAAAAATAATGATGGTTACTCTAAGTGAGCATCGGATTTCTTGAAGAGGAACCCGAATTTCATTTCTTGGGTGTCTGAGTGTTAATCTTCGCTGACCGAAGCTGAGTTTCCCTTTGACTCGACGCGTAATTAAAATCGGGCTAGTTGCCGTCGTACGTTCTCAAAAGATCGAATTCAAGATTTCATGGGCCTCTGTACCGGTGCACTAATCTTATCTTTTAAAGGTTGGGCAAGTCGGTGGGGTTGCTTCTCGGACCGATTCAATGTCAATCTCCCATTTGCGGAATAAGTCGTATTTTAAGAAGCGAACATATTGGATGGGACGCCTGGAAGAAGAAAAACGATGAATAACATGTAAATAGCATGATGCAATTGTTATGTATAGCCAGTTGATTGATATTACAAATCATCAACTTTCCCAATCCATCGTGTAGAACCACCATGGATAAAGGATGATTGTTGATTATTTATGAGCCCCACATACCCAATTGGTATTAAATTTTTCACTGTCGGATCGGCTTGATAATAGCCAATTGGGTATCACCGTATGAACGAGCCCGTACAACACCTATTCTGAGATTTGCTGTCGATCGTGAACCCGCAACGGCTCCGTTGCACGTTACTATATTTATCTGCCACCGTATCTTCATAAATGGAGTAATCTGTGTCATGATAATTAAGCTGTTTACGGTATGTGTGGGTGACGCTTTAATTAGATTACCAATGGTGACCGTCCAGAGAAACGTGTTCATATTTTGAGCGATCATGAAAAAAAACCAGTCAATGCGTTAATCAACCACATGGTGATTGTCTATCCAAAACATCAGCATTGAGATATTGCCTTACAGTTGCAAAAAATTGGTCCATAACCTGGACAAAAAGGCTGTTACTACTGCTGTGCTACACCCTGAATATCTTTATAAGTTTGTTGGCTGCGCCATGCTGGTAATAAGTATTTATCCATGGCGTTATTCTCTCAATGAGAGCCATGCTCTAACACGAGGTGAACAGAAAAAGACTGGCATGTCATATGACGAGCTTTGGTGAAGAAATATCGTATGACCGTGCCATCATCCGCAGATGAGGATCTTGGTGCATTGTTGAATGATGTTGTGCTAAGCGTTGCCATGTCGTTTGCAAAACAATGGTCAAGGCAACGGCGTATTCAGTTGGGCTATTTTTGGAAAAAAAAAAGACAAGAAAAGAATTCAGAAATCGCAGCAGCAGGCTGTGTTTTTGATTGGCGATAAATGACATATATTCTCAGACGACAATTGAAGATAAACATGGCGTGCACAAGAAAACAAGAAAAACTGTAACAGCATTTTCAACAGATAAACTTGTGATAAAGGTCAGAATGGCTTGTTTTTTATGGAAAAACAGAAAGAAAAAATAGAAGCAAATTTCAAAAAGAGTATCGGCTCATATTTTACAAGGTAGAACACTTTCGGGATGGGATTGCCATGTTTGGGATTTTTGTGTGGTTGCATGGATGCGATAGCAAGGCTGATGGTTGCTGTGATTGAGGGAAACACTAAGGAGTCAGCATCTTTTTACTTTGGAAATTTCCCAGTGTGACGATAAAAGAAAAAGAGGATGGACAAGGTAAAATGAGTGAGAGCAGCATATCATTGTTAGAGTATCCTACAAAGGCAGGTGTAACACAATGTGTCGAAGCTGTCATGCTGTTGCTTTCCAACGAGCCTCCACAGGCGACGACATCCTACGGACAGGAAAAAAAGCTCGTGATACCAAACGAAGCGTGGTGGTACAAACCCATTCAGTGTTGGGACCTAAAAACAAAAGAAAAAAAAAACGAGGATCTAGAATCCCCCTTCCACAATGGGGAGCTGCTTTCAAAAAAAAAAAAAAAAAGAGTTATAAATACAGTGGAGACGAGTCATTTCCCTGCTTTTACTCGTTTCTTCAACTCAGTTTTCATCAACAATTCTCTTTTCCAAATCACTGCTTGATTCTTCCAATTAACCCAATCATGTTTCAATTCTTGGTCGACTTAAAACGAAGTTCCAACAAAGCGACTTCCACCTCCTGTCGCAACCCCGAACCCGAAACGGCTACATACGATCAACAGAACTTTGTACGGACAACCTCATTTAATTCCGTCCTTTCGCAAACATATACCTGCAGTATCGATCTGCACAGTGACAAACAACATTGGTCCTTTGAAGAAGATTATACATCGTTTCCAAGTGTGGAATCCGAGATCATACCTTGCTCACCGTGATAATCTGCTTCCCGCTTTTCATATTCTATTTTGTATTTGCATGAACTTTTTTTTTCTTTTTTCTGTACATTGTAATTCTATTCGTCTTTATCATTTTTTTTATTGTATGTTTTGCTTTTAACTTAAACTCGTTCTACGTATCAATCTATTTGTCCCCTCTTCCTCCATCCAGTCCTCACTTATTTTTCTTCTCTTCTCTCTTGTTCTATCCTATGCTCATCACCAGTTGGAATGTCTGTTGCCAAAGTGATCAATCACCAAAACATTCTCATTCCAGCAGAAATAAATTTTCACACTGCATGTTTCATAACATATTCCAAGTTAACCAAGAGACTCTTTAATGTCTCGGACAACCAGACATAATTCGTCATACCATCGTACTATATTTTTTTTCCTTTTATTATTATTGTAGAAGGATCAGTAAGATATAATCGTTCTCATGTGCTATCATGATGCATTGGTTATTACGGAAAATAGCGCAATTCATCACCAGTAGGAGTGGCCGGCTATTGCAAATGCCTCATCCCGCCCTACATTGATTACAGTAACCTGCTCAGGAGCTCTTGCATTCACACCACCAATCTATTTGGCTTCAACCCGGACCAAATGAGTATAGAGCGATCTATTATTAGCAAGATCGATAGTGTCGAGTTTCTCGGCGTACATCAGCCCTTCTGGTACTTTATTATCCTCTCCATCTTATTTTCTCATATGACGGTCGGCCGAGAGCAGTGAGATCTCCTGTGTCAGCTCAAGACCGATTTCAGGGTGAGCTAAAAGTGGGAAGGGGATGCTGATCTCTCTTTTTTTTCTTTTATTCCAAGCACCCTTTGAATTGCAATACAAGCTTTCTGTTTTCCCTTATTCCCCTAATCGGTCAAGATAACGAGCCACTGTTGCCAACGGTCATCGGAGATGTAAACAAAAAAAAAAAAAGACCACTCTACGATATCGATGGTCGGTTGCTCAGGCACCCGGTCTTTCAATGACTGATGGTCATAGAATCACAGAAATAGAGATATAAAAATGCGATCATCAGATGATAAGGAACAAGTCGGGTCGGGTTCACGTCTTCCATTAGCCGGAGAATGACTTGACGCATGACTTGCCAAATCCAGCGTGCTTTTTTGGCTCATGACCATCCATCTTCTGGACCAATGATAATGGGCAAGACAGAAACGAATAGATGGCCTTATAATTGCGCTTTTGCTGATCATTCTCCTAATTTTGCAAAATAAGTATATCACGTTGATTATCTCGATGTCGGTGGCGTGAAATCCTTGATCTATGTCTTTTTTCTGATAAAACCAAACAAAAACTTTCTTTTTTTTTTTGGTGGTCGATGGATGAATTCTGGACTTTTTTCCGTATAATTGGACGAAAGCACATTGCCTTTTTCCAATCGAATCAGTGACAGGTGACGCGACCAAATGTGAGACACAATGATTCCTTTTGTTCACAGACATGAGCACAGACCTACACAGAATACCATAGAAGTAGAAAGTCGTAGATTTTCCTGGTGCCGAATTTACACTCTCTGTAACACCCACGCGCTGTGAGAATATAGAGCCATTTCCAAAACTGAAGTCGCAGATTTTGCGTTTTATCCATATTTCTTATCTCCAGACATTTTAATTGAGTCCTATACGCAATTTTCTTTCCAGACAATTTAAATGTGTCCTGTATGCAATTCTTTTCGGAAAGATGGCCAGGAATACTTTATTGGTAGGAACAGAATTTATCTCATGGATTTTATTTCGATGAAGAGTTATCCTTTATCAACAATAAACAAGTTCTGCTGTGTTCCTGTTATGCATTTGGCTGGATATGAAATGAACAATGCAGATATTCACATGAAGTTCTCTTTGATGAATACATTAGAGTACTAGATTCTTGGCGAGTGCCATAGGCTTCTGCTGAGACTAACCCTCAGTACTTGTATTTAACTCGTCGACTGAGGAAGGCGGTTAGGAATATCAAAATATAAGCAGATTGTATCAAAGGCATACAGAATGTTGGGAACGAATGGCTTTTTGACGATAATGCTGGGAAAGATCTTGGATGGAGTCTAGCGATTTGATCGCTGCGAGTACAGTAAATAGACCACATGGGTAGCAAAATGACAAGCATTTCCGTATCCTTTACTTCTTTCCGCTTGAAACCCAGAATATCGGTAATGGAAAGGCCAGGCTGCTTGTTGAATACTTGTTTGGTCTCTTAATGTTAATTCGTCGTCCAGGGCAAGTATATATTTTTGTCGGGATCGAGAAACTTTGAACAGGAATTACATTCATTGAAAACCTCTCATCGAGAGACACGGCTGGAGAGGTTGAATCACGTCAAATGTCTGTAACCAAAAGAAGGCTTGGAAACGGTGATAATGAGTATAAGTGGCTGGCGATGCCAGCCTCTTGGAAGGCGCAGAAAAATCATCATGATATCCCAGGGATAACGTCTAGAATGACTTGTTGCTTTCATGTAGTCGACACCAGCGGATAGAGAGAAATGGTGCACGTTTATGGAAAAAGGACCGGATATTTGTGACATTGATAGACAACATTTGATTTCAACCGTTGAAGGAAAAGTCATACCAGCACCAAGCGCCAGGTATCGAGCAAGTGCAGTTGATTTTGCTCATCTCTCCAAGTGATCGCCGTTTGCTTGACATTCCACTCAACTCAACAGTTTGGTCCTCTCAATTTACAGATGGTCGGACAAAAATAGTTTTGATGCATTCAAACGTTGAGTATACCACAGTTTTACGCGATCTACGTCAGCTAGCGTGAGGTTGCTCTCATTGATTTTTCAGTCCACTTTTGGTATCCAACGGTTTCTCAGAATAGCAAAGCTTCATATTTTAGTTCTGTGGTCTGGAACGATATCGGCTCGAGTACCTGGGCTGGTTGGCTCAGTTCCAGAAACATGTTACGAGTAGTGATACCTCACGATGGTGCGTTTGATCTTTCACGGAAACAGCGTATGATGAGACACCGAAACCTGGGTGCTTATCCGGTGCCTGATCAGATGGATCTAATCAAGTCAAATGATCTAGGCGCATACAGGAAAAAATAGAAAAAAGGCTTTTTCTTGTGTGCATTGCACTGGGTAAAATAAGAATATTGGGAGCTCCGATCATTATGATCCTCGCAGTAATTGAATTCTGTAACTCATCATGCACCTCTCATATTTTGTAACATGGTACATTATTTCTTTCAGAATCCATGGAAATAAAGAAAAACGTTACATAGAAAATAAATGTTCATCAAGATTCACGATGACTTTTTATGGGAATTTAGGCGAAATAAGCGAATGCATGTCCAACTGCAACATACTGTGCAGCTATGCACAATAGAAAGGTCTTTCTTTATCGAGGTGCAGATCCGTCGTTTGAAAATAATAGTTGAATAAGAAGAACGACCATACTAATAAAACATGAATATTGGAAATATAAAATTACGAACATTAGTCAGCCGTAATCCCTTTTTTTTTTGTTCACTTCCTTTTGAATGTGCTGCGTTCAAGCCAATACAATACGCATAGTAAATGAGAATCAATGAACGCGCTGCCGTACTGCAGGACGACAAAAGCGAGATGCTTGCCTCATTTCTAACACGAAGAATTCAACCGCATGGGCGGATCCTGCATGTGAATGTCTGTCTCAAAGGCAGGAGGAGTACCAATCAGGGTAGTGGATAATAATGCTTCCGAACCTTTGGACATCCCTTGATCGCCTGAATTCCCGGATGCGTCATTGATAGCCACGGCAGAAGCGATTGGCGTGCTGTCGTTCCCTTTTTGCACTGGACTATCCTCCTCTGTGGTGTCTTGTTGCTGTTGCGCTTCATCTCCCTGTTCTTCATCGTCACCTTGCTCTCTGTCCTCCTCCTGGATGCTTTCAACTCGCTCATTGGTTACTATCTTGGGCAGTCCTTTGTCACGGCTTGCATCGCCGTCGTTCTCTCCTTCAATATCTCCGCCATCTTCTTCCGTTTCAATGATGGGACTGGGATGACCCGTATGAGATGTGGCATGAGCATCGGAAGAAGAACGGGATGGGTCAAGCCCCAGCATCTCCATGACCTGAGCCATTTCCAGCGCCACGTTGGCTTCCAGGTCGGAATAGTTGCGGCACAGAGGACATGAAAATCCCGGATAATTTTGAGTCAAGATGGGCCGCAAACATCGGTAGTGAAAAATATGCGAGCACGGCGAGATAAACAGAGCTTGGAATGGAGCCACGGCGTACAGACAGATGCAGCATTCTTGAATATCGAGCGACGATAAGCTCTCTGACGGGCTGTGATTATGATCGGTCTCACTGCTTGTACGTCCCTTTGATCGCTTCAAAAGTAAAGAATCGGTGCTCACCAGTTGCCGTTGCAGCTGTTGGAACGCAGAACGAGTAAACGGCATAGAACGTTGCTGCTGCCCTTGTCGGTTTACTTCCAAACGCATCCTTACTGCGCGGTACATGGACTCTTGTCCACCTTTATAATCAACCCCAAGCTGAATAATATCGCCATGAATGATTTCATGTCCGGCCGTATTGATTCGACTTAAACGAGCACGATTCACAAACGTGCCACTGGATGAACCGGCATCTCTTATGTAAATCTTGTCATGTAGGACAAATTCAGGAAAATTAATCACTTCCGTTCTTTCTTTAGCCCACACAACAATTATCCCTTTTACAGTGCCGCTGCGTCTTGCGTCCTTTTTTCTTTTACTTTTGTATTTTTTTTTCCACTTCACAGCACTTTCAACTCACCTTGCCATCCTCCATCCAAAGCTCCGCATGCGAACGGCTCACTACTTTGCTCTTGAACGATAAGCGATCCGGGGTGGTCTTTTTGTCACTGTAACGGCCGAGTTTCAATATCGTGCCAGGTAAAAGGGTCCGTTCAATCACATCAAATACAAAGCAGTAGTGGGACACGCCCACATTCGGCACCAGACGAATTTGGAGGCCTTGGTCGTGGTCAATCCCATTGACTGGCTCCGTATTTTCTCGGAATGCGTCAGTATCGCCTAGAGGCAGGTTCGTGGCTGAAGGCGATTCATTGGACGAGATTGAATTGGGCTCCCTATTTTCTAATTCTTGATTCTGCTGCATGATTGAATCATGAAAGGGAGGAAAAGGGGATATGACGACGGTCTGCAGACCTTGAGAAGCAGTATCGGGGCTTAAGGGACTGGAAGTGACCATGAAAAAATAAAATAAAAATAGGGGATGTATAGGGGCTAAACAGACACAAGCGCAAGCACACGCATACAACACACACACTTCTTTTTTGATGTGGTACGAAAAAGAAACAAAAAGAATAGCAGAAAAAAAATACCGGAAAGGATGATAATACAATTGCTTGGTATGTTTGATGTTTTTTGAATAACATGGGCTTACTTTATTGAAAAGCCAACCATTGGTTTAAAATCCTAGAATTGGGGAAAACAAAAGATCATCAGAATAAACAGCTTCAAAAAAAATCATCATCACACAAATCCCAACTTACCGTATTTACTCTGTGTCTCCCGTTTGGTTCTACGATTCTGCGCATATTGCTCTTCTAATTTGTCTTGCAAACTTTGTGCTTGGGCAGCTAACGCCATGATATTGTTTTTCTTCAATTGAGCCTTGCTGGCCGTCAACTGGAAAAAAAAGGACCATGTCAATGACCGGAACCCATTCCAGTGCTTTGAACAAATAACATACCGCTGGACCACTGCTGGCAAATGTGGGCGCTGAAGCCAAGGCTTGAGCTCGCCAAGTGTCGGACGGTAGCATATCCTGCTGATTGATGGTTTTGATCTGAACACCGGCGCCTTTGGCACGTCGACCACCCAATTGGTGTAACTGTTACCATGAGCAACGGTTATCAATTATATTCGAAAACTCGATGACTTCTATACTACTTACTGCCGCTTCATTCAGATCGCCTTCAGCTGTCTCCAACTTTTCATTTTGCGCCTCTTCCCACTCCTGCTGTTGCTGGTAGTACTGGTAATATAAGGATGGATCGGTACCGTAAGCATACATTGCGTTGGGATCCTCGATGTATACAGTTTCGGTATCTGCTGTTGTAGGTTCTGTACTTGACGGTACTGCTTCTTCTGTTGTTTGATATGTTTCGACTTTGGTGGTCGTTGATGGATATGATGGTGCAGCCGTTAAATCGGATCCTAATGTACCATTATCCATTAATAACCAAGCGATTTTTCATGCGTACTGCTTTTTTTTTAAACTGTACCAAGACGGAAAAAGGGACCAGAATGTTTAGTAACGGAATCATCGACTTGATCTTCTACAGTTTCCTCTTCCACTGTGGATTCGTCAACGTCAGGTGTCGCATTGATAACGGGCTTCTTCGGTGTAGGTGTCGGGGTGGCCTGCTTTTGTTTATTAATTGATGCCGAGAGGGAGGAAGAGGAGGAGGCGGAGGAAATGGAGGGTGTCGCTGCCTTCTTAGCCGCCGCTGCGGCCAGAAAAGAGTTGGCAGAATGTTTCGGTGCTGGAAGTAGATCGGCTAGATCGCCGGTGGTTCTGGCCATTTTCGGCTTTTTGTTCTTTTTCTCTTCCTCGTCCTCGTCATCATCATATAATCGTTTGGGAACATCAACGTAAAAGACGGGTTTCGACTTGGACGGCGAAGTTGTTGAGGTGGCAGTCGAGGAAGAAGTGGAGGAAGCAGTCGTTTTTTTCGGTGCAGGCAATAACGAAGCTAAAGAAGACGACACGGAGGAGGATTTCGCTGGTAACTTGTTCGTCGTTTCTACCACTGATTCCTCCTCTGAATCGGAACTACCGTAATCGGGTACAAGCGACATTTTGTTTACTCGGTGAAAGAATAGTGCAGGCGCAAATCGGGTGGGTAGCAAAAAAAAATCACAAACAAGAAACGGCTTTCAAGAGTATCAATCGATTCACGTGATTTCATCTCCGCCGCGTTTTTTTTGGGGACCAGCACGACTGGGTCGGTTCGTTTTGAACCGTGCTTCATCTCGTCTGCTTCAACGAAACAACGCCATGGCTTCTGCAGGTATACACTGCTCCACGCGAGTTTTTTGCTCGGTGAACTGCACCTTATGCTGACGATGGCCTTTAGTATTCATTCTGGATCTCAAGGGCAAAGTACTTATTTCCCGAAATTACAGGGGAGACATTCCAATGAGCGCTGTCGAAAAGTTCATGCCACTGGTAATTGGGAGCGTTTTCCAACTATGCAATGAGTCATCGAATTATGGTCATCAACTGAACCTTTGGGTTGTAGATATCCGAAGCTGAAGATGAACAAGTTCCTTTGCCTTGTTTTACCCATGAAGGCATCAACTACCTTTATCTCAAACACAGCAATCTCTATCGTAACGTATCCCTCTTTTACGTGCTCTCTCTTTCACCGCGGCTCCCGCCTAACCTCATCTTTCTATTTGATAAAAATATATAGTGCTGGCATTGACGAGAAAAAACACGAATGCTGCTGCTATTATGTTATATTTGCATAAACTGACCCAAGTATTCGCCGAGTATTTCAAAGAACTGGAGGAGGAGTCGATCCGAGATAATTTTGTCATTGTATACGAGCTGTTAGACGAGATGATGGATTTCGGGTACCCGCAAACCACCGAAACCAAGATTTTACAAGAGTAGGTTGCAAGCCAAAGCAAGCCCATGTTTTTCACCCCACTGATCATGCTTTATTTCAGATATATCACCCAAGATGCACACAAGTTGGAGGTCCAAGTGCGACCGCCCATGGCTGTCACGAATGCCGTGTCATGGCGTTCCGAAGGTATCAAATACAAGAAGAATGAAGTATTTTTGGATGTCATTGAGAGCGTGAATATTTTGGTAAGAAGAGGGAGGACGCGATCAGTCGATCAGAGCAAGCAAGCAAGCAACGCGGGAGTTGTTGGTTCTGACAAGGCGTTTTTGCACAGGTGAATGCCAATGGCAATGTCTTACGAAGCGAGGTATTGGGAGCGGTCAAGATGCGATGCTATCTGTCGGGCATGCCTGAACTTCGATTGGGATTGAACGATAAAGTGATGTTTGAAGCAACTGGTCGAGGCAATACATCGGCCAAAGCCATCGAAATGGAAGACGTCAAATTCCATCAATGTGTTCGTTTATCTCGGTTCGAAAATGACCGAACTATCAGTTTCATTCCCCCGGATGGCGATTTTGAACTGATGAGTTACCGTTTACAAACCAGTGTGAAGCCTTTGGTTTGGGTCGAAGCGGTCGTGGAAACATATGCTGGCTCGCGTGTAGAGTATTTGGTGAAAGCTCGAGCTCAATTCAAGCGCAAGAGCACAGCGAACAATGTGGAGATTGAAGTACCTGTGCCCGACGATGCAGACACGCCTAAATTCAAGGTGAGATTCATACTCAACCGTACGTCCAAAAGATACAGAGACTGAATATCCCCCTTTATCGACGCTTTCAGAGCAGCAGCGGTTCCGTCTCGTATAAACCCGAGCGATCATGTCTAGTATGGAAGCTTAAACAGTTCCAAGGCGGAAAAGAGTTCATTATGCGAGCACACTTTGGTCTGCCTTCCGTGCAAGCAGGTACGCTTAAAGTCGGGTGAAAAAGGAAGTGTGGGAGTCGGGATGTCTGGGGCGCCTGAGACGTTGGCAAAATTCTCAGGAGCTGTGTGAAGGATACCAAGGAAACGAAATGGGAATGAGAAGAGAGGAGAGGAAAGGTTGGGCTAACTGGATACTTACGCGGAACCCGTATTTAGCTGAAGAAACGGAAAAACGACCACCGATCAATATCAAATTTGAAATTCCCTATTTCACTGTATCCGGTATTCAGGTTAGATATCTTAAGATCGTTGAGAAGAGCGGCTACCAGGCCTTGCCGTGGGTTCGCTATATCACACAGAATGGAGGTAACGTTATTCGCGCCAAAGAGATGGGGAAAGTCAATGAAAAAATATTTAACTGCCCTTACTTTTTATAGATTATCAAATGCGTATGCCCGAAAGCATCAAGGGCAATAAGCAAATTGCCTCCTACTGATACCTACCATCCTCCTCAACTCGCCCACATAATATCGGTTAACAAAAAAAATAATCCGCTGCCTGAATAAAAAGAACCATACACGCCATCTGTGTTTTTTTTTTTATGAAGCAATCTTCACCACATTCTCGTACCCGTTTCATCTGTGACACTTGATGTTGATACAAATGAGTCTCAACACAGAAGAATGGCCTCTTATATGCATCAGAAATACAATTGATGAGATCGGAAATTGAAAATGCCTCGCACATCTTAGCTTTGAAGTTATTTGCAAGAAAGAAAAAGGACAATAATATTTCTTAGCTGATGTTCGAGGCCTCGACAATTACTGTAACAAGAACGGAACGGAATTGTTGCCGATCTATTCGCCATCATCGGCTTTTCTGGGTGTCCTACTCTCTTGGCAGCCATCCAGAACAGCCGTAGAAAATCCAGGTTCAGTATGGAGGTGGCTGGCAAGACTACACGACATCTAGCAAAGCTAGGACTACGGCATTTGGGTAAGTTGAAGTGCCCCATATTTTCAAATACAGTCTGGTTATCTTTGCAAACTAATATACTGTCAGTAAGAATCATTCTATTTTAAGGGACAATATCGAGGAATATTATGACCGATTGGGTAAGCTGCGGATTCAAAAAAAAAAAAAAAAAATATTGTTATTGAATCGCGCCGTATCTTTCGCGTAAGCTGTCTATCGGTGACTTGTAACACAAGTGGTTGTTCAAAGGGGCCTCGGCCGCAGCATGGAAGAAGGGCCATGAAAAGCAAGACGACGTATAAAGCGAATGACATGTGACTTGCTGCTTGAACGGTCTCGTGACGAACCCGCGCATCATTTTTTGATTTTGTTCAGTGTGCTTGTTTCTCCAATGGACTCATGGGCCGTCATTATTACTGATTGACCCATTTGCACTACATTACTTGTTTTTCTATCATTCTTCAAAACATATAAAGAGAAAACAACGCACCATACTTTTATTTCGCTTGTATATAATCAAACACCATGAGCCAGTGCCGACTTCCGATTTCGTCGTCGAAGCCAACCACAGCGGAGAGCCAAGAGTCGTCCCTGGCGCCGCCCGCATCTTCGTCTTCTTCTCAAGGTTGTCAATTTTCAGACCGTTTACCGCAACCTCAGAATAGCAACCATATCAGCACCGCACCGTTCAAGGACAAACTATTAACCAACTCGTCGTATTTGGCGGCAGAGATTCCGCTCAAGCTGGGTCACTTTGTCAACCATTTATGGACGTCTGGATCTGAATTATCGAGCTCATTTTTCCTGCAGCAACAGCAACAAGGATGTGACGATCCATCGCTTTGGCTCTTGGGTCGTCGATATGAAATGTCCAATATGCATCTCGATATGCAAGCCGATATCCTCGATGCCCAGAAAAGCGATATCTTTAAACCACCCACTGCCAATGAACCAGAAGTCACGCCCCGTCCACCTTCCGAAACGACCCAAAACCAGGTCCCCACTTATGCGCTGTCGGTATTGTGGCCACCCGATTTTTACGATGACTTTACCTCACGTATCTGGATGACCTACCGATATAATTATCCGCCTATTCGTCCTTCCAATCATAAAACCGATATCGGCTGGGGCTGCATGCTCAGAAGTGGTCAAAGCTTATTGGCCAACGCACTGCTGACCCATTTTCTCGGAAGAGGTAGTAAACCTTTTGAATATACAAAACAGGATCACCATTGACAATCTTGTCGTTTTTTGCCTTAGATTGGCGTCGTTCTCAGTTAAAAGGTGCCTCACGACAAGAATATCGCAGGGTATGTACCTAGGGGTGCAGGGGAAGAACGAATAGAATCATTGACAATCTATTCCAGATCCTTCACTGGTTTCTCGATGAATTATCTCCAAGAGCACCGTTCAGTATTCACCGAATCGCATTACTGGGAAAGCAGCTAGGAAAGAACATTGGGGAATGGTTTGGGCCGAATACCATCAGCCAAGTAATACAGTAAGCCTTACGATAAGCAACCATGGAAATCGTTTAAGAGGACTCAAATGGTTCTTATCTAGAGCCTTGGTATCAGATTTTCCACCGGCCAACATGGCAGTTTACATCGCGACGGATGGCGTGGTATATCACGATGATGTGCAAGACGTAGCTCGTGGTAAAAAGTCTCGAGGTGAATTCACTTATTTCCCTACGCGCACCGCTAGTCCGGAAGCCGACGGTCTCGACGAAGCTCGCAAATTATACACAAACTCAAACACAAACGTCCCAAAGCAGAGCGTCGGTCCCTTCAAGCCTATTCTTATCCTGATAGCCATCCGACTCGGTATCGATAACTTTCATCCGCTGTACCATGCCGCACTCAAGGCAAGCTCTTGTCATCTAATGTCCTTGTTATTCTGTTTGGATGGACATTGAACTAAAGCTGGCTACGGTTCCCATTAGGCTTATTTTGAATTACCCAACTTTGTTGGTGTTGCTGGGTAAGCAAAAAACTGGCATGTCGACCCATGAATGATATCTTATTCCATTCTAATAGCGGGCGGCCAAACTCATCACTGTATTTCATCGGACTGCAAGGGGATGAACTCATTTATTTGGATCCTCATTTTTCTCGCCCTGCGTTGGAAACCAAAAGTCTAGCAGAATACACGGAAGCAGTAAGTCACAGAAATCCCATATTTTCGATATATGAGTCTCATCTCTACGTTTTTGCAGGACTTTGCTACCTATCATTGTACAATCCCACGTAAAGTCCATATTTCGCATTTGGATCCCTCCATGATGCTAGGCTTTTATTGCTCGAATGAAAGTGAATTTCATTTATTCTGCGAACGCATATCAGAGGTAAAATGGGTGAAGCGTGGTTGATGCCGTAGGCTATTGGACAGAATTTTCATTGACGAGGTGGTTGTTGTAGATTGCGCGACAGTGTACACCCATATTTACTATTGAACAACGAGCTCCCGAGTATAACGAGGATGTCAGAAGTGAAAATGACTTCGGCATTGTCAGTGATGATGAACCCGAGTTTTCCGAAGACGACGCATTGTAGTGATGAAGATAGATATAAAGGGAGAATGGAGTATGTCTATAGTATGAATAAATGAAGCAACACGTATTTTTTCAAGATGACGACGTCGTTGTGGATGGGTCGGATGAATCTTGCAGTGGTGACAAGGCCAGATAGTTGTCCAGTTGCTTTTTCTTGGTGGCGAGTGTTGCTAGTTCTCGTCGTAATATTTCCTCTTGTTCTTCTTTTACATATTGTAATCCTGGTAATTCGTTCAATACGCGTCTGGCATTTTCGAACCGTTCGTCCAATTGAGCTACGGCCTTGCCGACTTCGTACTGATGATTGCCTGTCAATACTAGGCCAATGATCTGATGGAGGTCATCAAGGAATGAAAAGTCGGATTTCCTGAATGTCGCCGAATCCACTTTGGTTTCGGGAGCCACAGTAGTGGGGGGTATCGTACTAGGTGACTGATTCATCGTTCGCAATGTGTTGTAAAAAACAAAAGCAAAAAAAGAGGACGCCTAGGCGAAATGAAAAAATTCAATCACCCAGTCAGTGCTGCTCCGTGATTGGCCAATATCCCACCCGTCGCGGTGGTCATTCGTCCCATATTGGTTTCATCCATGGTATTGACTGACAAGAAAGATGGTGAATTCCAACAAAAGCGATAGTGAAACACACTATCAAGTGCAGGTAAATGATTAAGCGCTTTTCAGAACTCCAATGATGTACTTCTCATTTTGGAGGCGCTTTTCGCCCTGCTCATTGCATCGAGCGGTCTTCACGCAGTGTAATTGGGCCCATAAATTGAGCCATAATGCAAGTGTCTCCTTTTATATAATCAAAACGGTGACTTGTGCGAGTAACGCAAAATATTCAAGCAGTAATTTATATATTCATTGACGATGACTGATTGCTATTGGCAGCGGGTGCGAACAACTGCTTGGCACGGCGCGCAAGTTCCAAATTACGGGAACAACTGCCATAGCAGCTTTGTTCCCGTCCTTTCGTTTCAGTCTCTTGATAGGGTTTAATAATCAACCTCGGTCTGGGAGACTTGGCATCATTTCGGTCTCCAATAATCTTAATAAAATTCTCTGGGTAGGCAAACTCGAATAATACCTGGTGTCCCAACACAAATGCAAATCGAATAATTTCCATGGCCGCTTCATTCTATCAATGATGAATTGATAGATGCCTCTTACCGTTGTAACATTTGAAAAAAGGCGATGTTTATTTTAAGTATGATGAGATTTTGAAGTGGGAGCTATTACAAAACCAAACACAACCAACTACACGATACTATGGAGGACTAATCAGGCGGCGACTTGAGCGAAGGATATTTCTTGTATCCAATAGAGAGGCGGAACCAGAGAGAAAGCAGCAAGCAGTGGGCGAGAACGTTGATGACAAGCGATGACAGAGAAGAGAAATAAAAAGATCAAGGAAAAGACAACTTATCAAAAGAAAAAGGTTAAGGTGACCATGAAAGGCCGAAGTCCTCAGGAAGCAAAAAGCTCAGGAAAAATAGCTCAGGAAGTCCAACTCAAACATTCCAAGTCACCGGAGGAGCCAAATGGTCATACATCAAGGGGATCTTGACGGTCGCAAAAGATCTTGACATTTTCTTTTTTGAGCCTTGAGTCTTGAGCATCAACGGTTCGTTGTCACCAGTGAACTTCTTAGTTCACTACAAAAAAATGCTTTTCGGTCTGTTTTGGTGCCGCCGCTACCTCTTCTCGCTATGAAGACAATAACGTCTGTCTGAGCGTTGTCGAAAGTTGTTCTTCCAGTCAACCGACTGAACGTAATTGATGTGAAGGCAAAACTAATTCAATCGTAACGAAGAACTCCAGCGATCGGCGTTCCGAGGGAACCGAAAATAACCATATAGTGACACGACTGTGAATCAGGAACGTCCATGATCATTGCAGAGGTGGTTGCTTTCATGCATCTTTTTTCTCTGCATAATTATTTGAAGCTTGGGCACACTTGTGGAAGGGGAAGGCAAAGTGACTTTGCCTGCGACATGCAGAATAAAGATCTTTTGCGACCGTTAAGATCCCCTTGATGTACGACCCTTTGGCTCCTCCGGTGACTTGGCGTGTTTGAGTTGGACTTCTTGAGCTTTTTTTCCTGAGCTTTTTGCTTCCTGAGGACTTCGGCCTTTCATGGTCACCTTAACCTTTTTCTTTTGATAAGTTGTCTTTTCCTTGATCTTTTTATTTCTCTTCTCTGTCATCGCTTGTCATCAACGTTCTCGCCCACTGCTTGCTGCTTTCTCTCTGGTTCCGCCTCTCTATTGGATACAAGAAATATCCTTCGCTCAAGTCGCCGCCTGATTAGTCCTCCATAGTATCGTGTAGTTGGTTGTGCCTCGTCTTTGTAATATTATACAGCTCTCACTTTCAAATACATCATATGTTGACACATATGTTATTTTTTGCTTCCGATAATTTCTGTAATGATAAGCGACTTTAGACTTGATTAGTTGTAGTTCCAGTATATACATCCAATTAGCATCCATCTGACGGCACACAGTCGAGTAAACACTTTATTTCAAACACTTTATTATTCGGGCTTGAGAATGATGATACACGTTTCTTCGCCCTTGCAGTCTGCGGCTGATTCAAACTAGTTATTGACTGCAAGAACCATATTTGGTCATTGGCGGGGTACTACACTATCACATATGGAAAAAAGTGGAGCATAGCAAAGCAGGAAAGGTAAATGAGTTTTCTGCTCAACGTTGTTGTCCTGAGGAAGCGCCATTTAAAGTCAGCGAGCAAATTGGGTCTTGGTCATACAGTATATCGACTTTATATGAAAAACCGTATCATGTTCCTTGGTAGATCGATGCATTGTATTGCCACGGTTGATAAATCTAATAAAGAGCAAAATAATGCCTGAAGAGGCATTGGCGTTTGGGGTGATTGCTTCTTACGGGAACATGGTAAAGTCACGGAGCAAGAATGACAGAAAAATGCTGACAAACCCCGTCTGGCTTGGTTGCACCTGAACAGAATGATGAACTTGTCGGCGACATTGACACAAATCCTCCAACTCGATCAGCAAACCGATCCTGTTCAGAGCACATGGTACATTATTGCTGTAAGTGTGAAAGCATGCCGATGCCTTGGAGCATGTTTGCTATGGCCTTACTCAAAAAAAAATTCTAGGCAGTAATTCTCAGCACATTGAATCGTCCCAAAGACATACAAGCAGTCTACCGTCATGTGGAATCTATCATCGACGACACAGAAAGTTCGGACAAAGAGAAAGAACAGCAAAAAGTTCTTGTTGTTATGAAGCTGCGCGAAGCTCTGTTGAAAAACTTCATTGCGGCCGGGTTCCCGAAGGTGGGGTTATCCTCATGTCCGCCCAAACATCATTAACTAATTCAGGGCCACAATCTTCACAGTCCATCAATGCTCTTCGGGAGCTAGAATTGGCCACTCCCGCAGTGATAAAAACGAAGTTACCAACATCTCCACTAAGGTATAAAAAAATGGGTTGACGCTCACGCAGGAAAGCAAGACTGACCATCCCCTTAGAAACGAAGAGACTTGGAATGAGGTAGTGGAACAACGTAAGCGCGGTAGAGCCCTATTTGGAAAGATCTACGATCGTCACACGCAGCGGGTCTTGGATCAAATGAGCTCCAGCCATCCGGATCTGGCTCAGGCCGCATTATACCAGCTGTATGGACCTATTCTCTCAAACACAGCCTTCATTTCCGCCCGCGAAACAAGTCTGATCATGGTCGCTAGCTTGACCGCATTGGACTTACCGGCACAACTGCGTGGACATTCGTTTGGCGCTCTCCATAATGGAGCTTCCAAAGAAGACTTGGCCATGGTAGAAAAATCAGTCAAGATATTTATGCAATACCATTTGAACCTCTCCAAATTGTAAATGGGCGGAGTTTCATTGTTTTCCATGGTTTTCCTCCAAATTCCTGCCTCGACGATTTCCGTTTTCTGTCAATTTCTTTCCATTGTTTTACCAAACGATTTGAGCTTCCGCTCACTCAACGTCATTCACCATGGCATCCCTTCTCCTTCATATATTGCCTACTTGATAGTAATAGAAGCAACTTGAAAATAAACGTCAATAGGCTCTTTTTATCAGAAAAGAGATTCACTGTGCAAATATCGGTGGTTACGGGCCCACCTCGCAGCAAAAACCATCAAGCAACCAATGCGGTTTCAGGTAAGATTGATGAAATGCAGAACACTCAAGTGTTTTCTACGCATTCGAAATTCTATATTTTTCAGAGTTTTCTACTCTCCCTCTCTTAAGCTTATTTCACTTTTTCTACATCTTCACCCACCCCCCACAGCATGACTAACAGTACGGATGCATGGGATGAATATACATACCAAACTCCCGTCTTTCGATTCGCATATCATCAGTTCCTTTCCTTGAAAAAGGTCAACATCGCTTTATCGATCTTGTCCGTGGTCGGTTCAGCATTGATTATTGTCGCTTTTCTGTATCTATTCTTTCGCGAACGAAAACGAACGAACCGCATCTCACTACGGTGCGTCTTTTTCTGTGCCATAGCAGACACGTTGAATGCAATGCTGGATATTGTCATCATCAACTACCGTGGCAACACCGAGATTTGCCGTACCAGCGGCGTAATCATTATCTTCACCAAGATTATCAGTGCAGCACTCCTTGCGATCGTTGGTATCAACTTTGTCCTCATCTTTGTCCTGAATATCAAACAAAGGGATCGATTGGAATACTATTACTATGCCGGCACCCTTGTCTATAGCACTGTCACGTTGATCTTTCCCATCATTGCCGCTGTTCGCAACGATAATCCAACTCAGTTGGATAATTTCACATGCTGGTAAGCGTCAAATCGTCTTTTATAATGAAAGCACCTGACTCAAGATTTATCCACTGTTGATAGGTATCTCGTTTACATCAATGATCGCACCCATAATTACTGGTCATGGGTAAAGTTGATGACTTCCAGGAGTTGACCAAAAGTGGATCCCACTCACGTGTTTTTTTTATTATGTAGATGTGGTTCTACGGCTTGCTATTCGTGATTATCGTGATTGCAGCTCTATGCTCACTGTCGGCCATGTACAAGCTTGCGATGGAGCAACACCGAATTTCCCAGAAAATCAAAACCTTGAGGGAACCGGTGGCAAGCGAACCGTCACCGAATCGTCTGGCTCTGGAGAAGGAAGAGCAGCCACTCTCGCTGGACGAAGAAGACCAGCAAATGTCTCGTCGGGTTGAAAAACGACATTCAACTACGTTTACCAAGGTAGTCCTCCGCTGTATTGTCTATCCTCTTGGTAAGTGAGAATCAAACGAACCTCAAAAGAACTCCTCATTTATTGTCCATGCAACTTGATATGCTGACTCGTATGAATATGATTAGTACCGGTTATTGTGAATATTCTTGGATTTATCACGCAAATGGTGATCAGTATGCCCAAAGCAAATCCTTCTTATGTGCTGGCCATGCTCGATATTGTCTTTTCCAATCTCGAAGGTACCATTTTTTCAAGCGGAATCATTATTCGTGGCTTGTATCTGACTCGTCTTCTTACCTCCTATTTTTGTTCTCCTCCCGTGCAGGCTTTCTTACCGCTATTGTTTTCTTTACGGATCCCGCCATCAGAACGTACATGACCGAAGAGCTGAATGATTGGCGCAGTCAATATTTCAACAAATACAGCCGTATTGAAACGTATGAAGAAGGACAAGGCATTCGATTTTCATTGACGGAAGGCGCAAGTTCACTGGTTTCAGCGAAATCCACTAAAAAGCAGGGCCACGCACCAGTGTCATGCAAACATCACTTCATTGCCATGTATCGCATGAATATACCCTCTGCATCATACAGCCGTCTGTGCCGGAATCCAAAACACCTTGTAATCAGTACAGCATCATGCGACGATGGCTGGTCCAAAACGGTGATTTGTCACATGCGTACCAAAGAGTGCAATCGCACATTCTGCTTCTCGGACGACATTACCGACGAGATTTATATACCCTATCGCTTTCCTCGTCTGGTCCACTTTGTCCGCTCCGCCTGTAAATGCCTTCGATTGGCGCCCTCCAAACCTATCGAACCATCGACGCCCATATCTTATTACGCGCAAACCAAATCCTTTGACGATAACAGCTGGACTGTATCTTCAAATAACTCTTGTGAGTCGCGTCACCCTTCCGAGTTGTAAAATCCATAGCTTCCTTATTTGTGTAAATTTCTCTCTAAATACATTACTTCTCATGAAAATATCATGTCGTTGACTGCTTAATCGCTAATATCAAATATTTGATACAAGACCGACAAGACTATTGTTTGCAAACGCTTGGTTTTTCATTGTTCAAAGGGGGAGGGGACATTCGAGAACCTGCAAAATTGGGGTTTTTAATTTTCTTTCTCCGGTACAAGTTTCTAGACTCTTTGCAGCTGCCATTTTTTCCTTTGGTTTATTTTATTAGCATGTCAACCATACCACCATCCGAAGCGACGCCTTCCCAGTTGGAAGAGAATACGTTTACCTCCGTTCCTGCTGAACAAACGACAACAGATATCCAGTCCACCACCCCAACCGGGTCTCCGAAACAACCAGTGGAGTCATTTACAGTCGTCGATAGTGATGAAGACATTTTAACTGCTTCAGCACAGTCCTGGCAGGAGCGAGAAGATACAGCCCCCCGTGCATCGTCACCAGCGGCTCAGGAAGCGTCAGAAGATACTCGTTTCTTGCATTCCAAGGTAACCCAGCAACTCCAATCCGACACTGATGCATCGTTGTCTTGGCATCCAAAAGTCGTTGCTAATGTAACTGTTGCTGTATTAGGGTTTCGTCAATGTGGGCGATTCCAGCGAAATCAAGGACTTGACAGTTTCCGGTCAGCTTCCTGAGTGGTTGAATGGCGAACATTATACTGTCGGTCCCGGTACGTTTGATATCCGATACAGTCGCAAGATCGAAATCGACGGTTACCTGCAAAGCGCCACCGCTACATTCACTTTTGGTCATTGGTTGGATGGGTATGCATCAAATGTTTTTCTTTTATTTTTCGCATACAAAAAAGAACGATGAAGAAAAAAAGGTGGGACTTACTTGTGAATTCTCTTGTCAAGGTTACCGCTTGTTAACCGATTTGATCTGAACGGACAACGAAATACGATTGCGTACCGCAACCGTCTCACGAGTCGTCGACTTATTGAGAAAATTCGGGATCATCACGGCTACGCGCCTTGTCATCCTGCCGGTCTTTTCAAAACCGACAGTAATCAAACCGTACTCATCAAATTTATCAAATCCGCAGCGAAAGCCAATAAACCCGACGGCGAACCTTGCGGTGCTCGCATTCTCACCACGCTTCCGGGAGTCGACGGTCGACTATTCTGTCAGAATATGGCCAATCATGTAGGGACTCTTGGAGCAGATCCACATTGTATTATCGTTGTTATGGCTAACCGGTTTTTAATACAGGTTCAGGAGTTGGATCCATTCGACTTGAAACCTACCCGGATTCTCACTTGGGACGAGATCAATCCCGCCTTCAAGGGGTACAATTCGTGTCCCAATGGCCAGTATGACGCGTCGACGGGCGAATATATCAATTATACCATGGAAATTGGTTACAGAACAACCAGCTACCATTTCTTCTCTCTCACCTCGCAAGCCCCCAAAGGCAATTTGATTGCTTCCGTCACAGCACCCACAGGCTATGTCAACAGTTTTTCACTCACGAAAAACTATATTATTCTGGTAATTACACATTTGAATAAGCTTGGATTAAGAGGATCAAGTAGAATAATATATTTTTGCTTAGGTGGTGTTCCCTCTTTTAGCGAATTCAGGCGCGGTCAAGTACGCCTGGAATGAAAGCATCATGGACTCCTTCTCGTTCTATCCTTCCGAACCTACCTTGTTCTACGTGATTTCAAGAAGCAAGGGTCAAGTGGTGGCCAATTATCGATCAGATCCTTGTTTTGCGTAAGCAGTTATCAATGAAATGGGGTGGTAGTGGGAGTGGTGATGGTCGTGCTGCGAATCTTACAGAGGCAGTGCTGAAAGGGGGTGATGGCGTGAGACTGAACCAAAACACTTTGTAGATTTCATCATGTGAATGCTTTTGAGGATGAGCGCGATAACGTGGTGGTGGATATGATTGCTTATCCCGACGATACGATTGCTCACCAACTGACCGTTGATAACCTGCGCCATCCGGAAAATATGACGCCTTCATCGCTGACGACATCCGAATTTAGACGATATCATCTAGCCAATTTGTCCCACGCTAGCACGGTGTACACTAACAACAACGGCTACATTCCCACCGCTTCCAGTCTCACCGGTCGCATCTCGTCTTTGTATGGATACCTTCGCGGAACGACGACTCAAGATATCGGAAAGACGATCCCCATGGGGGCTACAGGCTGGGCGTCATGGATGCCGCAGGCCACCTTTACGACGTGGACCGACCCCGGTATTGAACTTCCTCAAGTGAACTCCAAATATCATCGACAGCAATATACCTATCTCTACGGCTTGGGCTTCTCTTCTTCATCGTCAAAGACAATGTACGATACCATTGTCAAAACTGTGAGTGACTTTTTGTGTATGACAGCATGCTTGGGATTTTCTCATTGAATGATTTCTTTTACCTGCAGAATGTGGAAACCAAGTTGGTGGAAGCTTCATGGCATGAAGAGGGATGTTACCCCAGTGAAGCCGTTTTTATTCCTCGTCCTGATATGGACAATATAGAAGACGATGGCGCCCTGCTCAGTGTTGTCTTTGACGCCATTCGCGAGACTTCATTTTTGCTTGTGCTGGACTCGAAATCGATGACGGTGCTTGCTAAAGCCGATTTAGAAACCATTGTTCCTCCCAGTTTCGCTCATGGCTCCTACCGCTTGCGAACGGAAGCATAAGAAATTTCTTGTTTCCATCCACCTAAACTCCATCAGCTTTTTTTATTCGCTTTCACGCTTGAATGTTGTGAAATTTTACACACCGGATAATTGGCTGCGATACAACAAAGCATTATGCACTTGTTCTACTCAAAATTCCTTGTCCATATCCTTGTTCGTAGAAATCAATAAATCAAACATGACATCCTACATTGTTCAGGCTGCTTTTCAACGTAAACCAACCAGTGGTTTGGGATCGGAAACAATGGACTGGGGGAATGCTTCGTGGTGTGAATGTGACTTGCAATCAGAGGATTGCGGTAAATGCGTCGACCTAATGGCACGACCTGCCACTGGACGGCCTGAGTTTTTGACGAGTCTGTGTCGGTTGCTGCCATGAATACGAAAAACGATCTCAAGGCAGCCAGAGAGGCCCTTGGTCATAAAAAGTTTGATGAAGCCGTCAAAGCATGCAAACGAGTGCTGCTTTGGGAAGGAGAGAATTACAACGCGTAAGCAATTTCCACCCTTACGGATCGAAACGGTGAAATTAGTTGGGCCCTAACAGTGTTCATAGTTGGGTGTTTCTGGCGGTGGCGTACACCGGCCTAGAAGACGACCAAGAGGCCGAGAGTGCTTACAAACGAGCCCTCGAGATTAATTCCGACTCCATGTTGGCATGGCAGGGATTGATCAGTTTCTATGAAAAACGAAGTCGCTGGGCCGAACTCGAACGCACCATTCAGCACCTGCTCCCTCGCACGATTGAAAGGTAGGCTTTATCCCCTTTTCAATCGGGAGAAAAACGCACCAGCTAACAATATGCGCAGCGGAGACGGCAATCGCTTGGCAGACTATCTGAAGAAACAGTTGGACATTTACGAGAACAAGATACCAAACGAAGAAAAGGTTCGCAGACGGATGTCGATGAGACCAGACACCGGGCATATTCACAGATTTTCATTTCTTCATAGTTTGTCGACACGCTGAAAAAGTTTCTTCCGGACAGCCCAGTGTACGATCTGTTGAAAGCCGCCTCGTCGGTGCCGTCAGCGGTGGAAATTTGGACGAAATTAATTCGCATTACAGAAACCAACGAAAAGCGTCAAATCGAAAAGGAAGTGCATTCGCGACGGTTTCGTGTCAATGCAGGGTCACTAAGTGAAGTCCAAGAGGAAGTGGAAGCGGAAGTGTATGGCAAGTCCAACCTCGGTCATATGTATGAACAGCTGTTGGGCTTGGGCGAATCCAGCCCCGAGCTCAAAGTCAAATTGCTGCACTTTTACCGACGACGATTACCGGGAGTTACCGAGAAAAAGGAATTATATGAGAAAATGATGCAGCTCGCCACCACCCTAGTACAAGAACATATTGATGACATTTTACCTTACGAATTGATGATTGAAACCACCGATACGGATGACGTTGGTAAGTACAACAACCTCCTTCTCCTTTTTCCTCTCTTCAAAGTTTGGGATTAATGAGGTGTTGGACTAGCTTCCTATGACCAATCACTACTCGATTACATCAAGCAACACTTTCCTTCCAGTGGATTAGCTAAAATTTCCAGCGGCTACGACGCCTTCCAGCGCAATGAGATGGATGAAGCGTTTGATCTTTTCGGGGTAACCTCTTGGGTATAAACAATGTGGTGGTCAGCAACTCATTGTTGCGTTTATAGGAAGGATTGGATGCTTCACCAGACAGTCCATTTGCTTACCAATGCCTGTCATGGATTTATCATGATTCCCAAGAATACGAATCGGGATTGGAATACGCCACAAGAGGACGGGATTTAGTACGCAAACTGAGCCAAGAATTAGGCATTACACTGGACAAGTAAGTGGGGGAGGGGAGGCTCATACGTTACAGTGATTATAAAAGATCCAAGCTGATCAGTGATGTGTGGTGCTCGCTGCAGAGTTCTGCTGTCGATGGAATTATGCATGGCCCACTGCTACCGCCAATTGGATGTCCGCTATTATTCGGATGCCATGGCCATTTACAAAAAGGTGCTCAGCCGAGCACCCGACCAAATTGGCGCCCTGGAAGTAAGAAAAGACTTTGCCTATGCAAATTACTGTTCGCATCTGTATCGTTTGCTGATGATTTCTAAATGTCAATTCAGGGCATTGGTGTTATCCTAGTAGCTGACAAGAAATACGATGAAGCTCTGTCGTACTTTGAAAAGGTGCATGGCATCAATCCTGCACGGCATATGACCTTGGCGGAAATTGGCTGGATTTACTGTGAAAAAGGTTCTTTTGAGCAAGCCATTGAATACATCACTAAAGCAATAGAAGTTGCTGGCAAAAATACTGCCGAATACAGCTATCGTCTTGGTCGTGTCTACTGGGCCATGGGCGAAACACATCAGGCGGAAGCATTCAAGTATTTCCTTCAAGCGGTGAAAATCGACTCCCAGTTTGCAAACGGTTTTTCGTACCTCGGACACTATTACCGTATCGTTCAAAAAGATGCAGTTCGAGCCAAAAAATGTTATCAAAAAGCGTTTGTTCTTAATCCGATGGATGTGGAAGCAGCACTGCATCTCAGCGATTACTATGTGTTGGACGGTGAGTCGGCCAATGCAGAGACGGTATTTCGTCAAATCACCGAATTGTGTCCCAAGGTGGGCTGGGCCTGGCGTCGTTTGGGTTACGCCAACATGGTAAGAGAGTTGAACAGACATAGCATGCTCCTTTGACAAATTCATTGACGCTGATTTGGTGGTGGTGATCTTTAAAGGAAAACAATGTCTACAATGATGCGATTACTTGCTTCCAAAAAGCGTTGCGAACAGATACCAACGATGTGCGATGCTGGGAAGGATTAGCGGAAGCCTACAGTCACGAAGGACGATACGTCGCGGCTCTCAAGGCGTTTGGTCGAGCTACCGATCTGGATCCCAGCTCCGTTCACGCGCGTCATGAAAAGGCGCTGGTGAAACAAAAAGTGGGCATGCTGGACGAAGCGATTGCCGAATTCCAGGCGACGCTGGAAATTGCTGCGGAACAGGGCAAGGCCAACTACATGCCTTCCATTAAAGGATTAGCCGACACGTACCTTGAACGAGCCAAAGAGGATTTCCAGCAAGGTTTCTTTGGACGTGTGGCGGCAGGATGTGGTAATGTCATTGGCACCGTCTTACGCGGATTACAAAAGGATCCTACATTATTGTCTCTGTGGAAATTGGTGGCCGATGCCTGTATCATGTATCGTCAAGTGCCCAGTTATCTTTACTTGTGCGCTTATCGTGAACTTCAAGAGGTCATGCAAATCATGGGAGACAAGAATCCTCACACCCAACTGGGATTACCGCACGACGCTACATCCCAGCTCATGGACGAATTCATGCCGTTGGATGTGTCCGACCCCGATTTTGATCTCCCTGCGAAAGCGGCCCTGGATGTGATTTTCGCATGTGCTAGTTTTGCGTACAAGCAAGCGTTGGTGCTCTCCAAGAACCACGGGTCGGTGGCCCCGGCGTTCTGGCATGATTTGGCCCTTGTATACCACTGGATGTCGGAAAACAACAACAGCGAATCCACCGACGAAACCAATCCGTTGATGGAGACCGCCATGAAATGTGTTCATATGGCTCTGAAACTCAACCCCACGCAACATCACTATTGGAACACTTTGGGAGTCATTGCCATGCAACAAGCCCCCAAAATCAGTCAATATGCTCTTGTAAAAGCTATGGAATACAATAACCGGGTAAGTATTTGTTTTCTCGGATGAGATTTGCCGCCCCCAGCCTCTGCCTGACTCTGTTTTTGCTTTTGACAGAGTGCGGTTCCATGGACCAATTACGGTTTCCTCTGTTTACTGCGAAAAGACTACGAGTTGGCCAATCAAGCGTTTGAAACGGCCCATGCATTGGACCCTGAATGGATTTCTGCGTGGACAGGCCAAGCCTATGTCGCGTCCCTATGGGGCACCGATGCCGCCGCAATTTTCCAACATGCCTTTGAAGCCAGTAACGGATCTTCGGTAAGTAGCGCTTGGTTACAGATCTCAGTCGCATATAGATTGATTGATATTTCTTTTCTATCGATAGCTGGATGCTAGCTACGGCTATGCGGACACCGTGTTTACAGCACTTTCTGCATCGAGTCAGACGGATAGTTACACATTAATTGCGCCTGCATTTGCTTTGCAGAAATTGACCGAACAGAAACTGAATGACGCAGTGTCGTTGAATTTACTGGGTCTCTTATTGGAACGATTGCGACAGTACGGACGGGCCTCGGAAGCGTTTGCCAGTGCGATCTTGGCCTTGGAAGCCAAGGCGGAGCAAGATCAAGTGACACAAGAAGAATTGGGTCATCGTTTGGCCAAGGTGCATGCCAATTTAGGCCGAACCTTGTGTGCAAGTGGTGACTTTTCAGGTGCCATTGCCAGTTACGAGCATGCTCTATCCAGTGCAGCTTTTGAAACAGGACCTGGACGTGTGTACTGTCAGTTAGGATCCGGGATTGCCTACTATTTCGAAGACCGACTGGAAGAGTCATTGAGTATGTTTGAAGCCGCATTAAATGAGACTGAAGCGGATATCGATTTGCGTCAAGATGTAGTCGTTCTACTCAGCAAAGTCCTATGGGCGCTCGGCGGAGACGAACAACGTTCCGTGGCCAAAGATCAACTCTTTTCAGTGTAAGATTCGTTCATTCTTTTTTCTTCAAAGTTCTCTTCTTGGCCTTTTACTTTATTTTTGGGTTTTGCTCGGCTGGGATGCCGTCGGCAAAAAGGGAAACTTCAAATGGAGGCTAAAACTCACGAAACGATTGCAATTAGGATTTCCGATAATCCGAATTATTTACCAGCCATTTTCTCGCTATGCGTCATGGGGATCCTTGGTGATGATGGCACTTTGACCCAGGCGGCACTTCAAGAACTTTGCAATGTATCGCCCGATATAGCATGTAAGATTAGCGTTTTCTGTTTCGCTTTTTTTCTTTTTTTTTTGTGAGGAGCGTCAATGAGGATCAAAAAAAGTACTGAGTTTTTATTCGTATGTTGATGATTGCAGATACGTCAGACAGACAACAATGGGTTCCATGGCTGATTTCAAGGTTCCACAAATTGCAGGTAAAACTATTATTAGGCGGCTTGCATAGCGGTAAAATGGCATAATCACATGGTGTTCCCCCCTATTTTCCTATGACAGAATGAACCCACTCGTTCAATGCGAACGCTTGTCAACAGTATTCATCAATTGCCCTGGTTGGCCGTGTCATGGGCCCGGCTGTCAGCGGACATGGATGTATGCGGAGATCAAGGTGTAAAAAAATCCATGACTTCAGCGGCTTTGGCGGTGGTGGTAGACAAGGCGACGACGGCCAACGAAAAAGCACATGTGTATGAATGTGCATCCAAAGCGTGCAATGACCGATCAGAAGAATCGCTGAAGGATGCCCAGCGAGCCATTCGGCTGGCTCCTTGGCGTCTAACTGCTTGGCAGGCCTTGGCCAACGCCACATCGCTGGCTTAAACGGGATGTTTCAGATTCCTGATTCAAATTTAGAAATTGAATACGTTGCACAATGACTGCATTATGATATCATCGGCGGTGGACGTGCCCAAATTTTTTTTTCTCTTCATGTGCCTATTTTCATGATCGTCCGTATATAAACTCCTAGGATTTTCTATTCTTCTTTTTTGGTTTTATTTCTCTGACAATCAAATAATCATTTTCTGTTAATACACAATGGCTTTCACCTGTTCCGATATCTGTAAAATTCTTTTTGGTGAGTTTTGGTTACGATAGCAACGGACGAGATCATAAAGACAAGATGGACTGAACAAGGTGTTTGTTGACAATAGCCATCGTTCTCCCTCCTTTGGGTGTTTTGTTCGAGCGAGGTTGTGGTGTTGACTTGCTGATCAACATTGCGTTGACATGTCTCGGATATATTCCTGGTATCAGTAAGTAACCCATGTCCTGATCTTCCTTTGTTGATCATCGTCTCATCTGTTAATTTTTTCAAACAGTCCATGCACTTTACATCATTCTAAAGTATTAATCACGCCGGAACCGATCAAAGATACCCTGCAACTACGGGAATCTAGTGTGTGCGTGTGTGCGTGACAAACGTGGGACCATGGAAACTCTATGAAAACCCTTTCGAATTTTGTATATGTAAATAACCCCTACTATTATTATTTTTATTTTATTTTCTCTTTCTTTGATGGGTTTGGAATCTGTCTGTTATGGAAAAAGGGTCCATTCGCACAAAGGTGTCAAATATATCGAGATATGTAAACAAACCATCGTGATGAGGCACCGATTACCTGTATGATGATGATACATAATTAATTGAATGGGTGTTGGATACGCTCTTGTTTTATTTTATTCGAGACACTCAGGTTGTTCTTGAATGATCATTTGATACATGGGCTGGAATTGGAACCATCCGGACGTACTGGTGCCAATATTGGCATAGGTGGCTCTTGCGACGTCGTCACGGATCACTTTGAGGTTTTGCACTCCTTGGACGGCCGCTTCCGCTAGCAGCTGGGTTTGGCAGCATCTCTCCATGGAGATGAACCACCAAATCGCTTCGTCGACGGTTTTTCCTGTGGTCAGCAGTCCATGGTTCTGTAAGATGAGCGCTTTTCGATTGCCCAAAGCACCAACCAATCGTTGTCCTTCCGCGTGATCGAATACAACCCCGCCAAAATCATCATAAATGTTATGACACTCAAAGAATGCACAAGCGTCTTGTGTAATCGGTAACAAGCATCGACCCAATGCAGAAAAAGTGCGACCGTACATGGAATGGCTAGTAGAAACATAAACAACATGCGGTTTCGAGCAGAAACCTTGGATGACTTACGTATGAACTGCACAGTTCACGTCTGCACGAGCAGCGTGAATTGCCGCATGAATGACGAAAGCGGCCTTGTTAACCATCGAATCCCCACGAACAATTTGACCTTCATGGTCGACGAGGACTAAATCGCTGGCTTTGATATCACTAAAGTGCTGACCGAACCGATTGACCCTGGGAGAAACAATGTGTTGGTTGTTAGGAGAGGTGGTACAAAAAGAAATCTTACTCATCAGATTTGTGGATGAGAAAAAAAAAGATTGTGGATTGACATCAGAAGCACTTACCAGAATAGTTCCGGATACTCTGGATCACGCACCGTCATATGCCCAGCTACACCTGTAATTGTTTATGAAAGGTTTTCACGTTAAATCCATCATGTACATGCGGTTTGTATGTTGAACTGTCACTGATCAAAGCACAAGGGCAATTTACCTTCGTCCCAGCCAAATTTCGCCAGCAGACGGAATCCTGCTGCCAATTTTTGCTTGACGTGCACTCTTTGAGAATGGACGTCTTGGAACACGGGTGGCTTTGGAATAACAATAGGCGCTTTTTCGGCATCGTGCGCTTCTTGTTCTGTTTCTGTTCCCGTCAGAACTATATGACGCTTGGAACGCAACGTAAGAGCGTAACGATCATGATCAATCGAGTCACTACTGTAAGTAAACACAATATAATGAGCGTCTGAACCGCAGCTTATCGATACCAAAAAGCGCACTTACGTCATGCTGAAGAAGGTAAAGACAATCAATGAACTGAAAAAGAAGCGAGGAAAGAAAGAAAGAAAGAAAAAAGATGAAAGTAAAGGTGGCTTCAGGTGCAGTGGCTTTCTCGTTTATAAATGGGATTTAGGCGTGAGAGTCAAATAAACAATGCGCGTCCACTGATTTTGTCCCTGGCGGATATTCAACTTTAAAAAAATCACCGTCGAAGCACCAGTGCAGTTAATGACAAACAATCGACGATCTATCTCCTCAATCTTCGCAGTTTGAACTGAAGAGATCGGTGCAGCGCAAAAAAAAAAAGAGACCATTGCGAGAATACGGACGATTATCATACAGTAGAACTTTATTAACTGCCTTTTCCAAGATGCCGAACTTATTACCTTTATTTCCTGTCGGAAAGATATAAATTGCATCAAAATGCAATTGTCTGTTATGGTGTATGTATGTCAAATTATAAAATATGGTCTTTCAATTATCGTATCTGTTGGCATGCAAACCTTTGGTATCGCGAATCTAACGTTTCCCCTGAATCAGTGGGTTCATCATAACCATCCCAACAAGCCGTGTGTGACCATTCTTGCATCAACAGTAAAAAAGATTGTAAATTGCAGCGATTGACATACAACTTGGCCCAATCTACTGAGATAAGAAGCAATGTTCTGCGCTTTGAACCGAGAGCGTCAGAAGATAACGAAAATAATATCATCGACAACAACAAAAAAGACTGTCGGAGGAAAGAAAATGGCTCATAATGTAACCAGGGCGACTAACACCTCTTCTTTTAATTTCCCAGCGGAAGTCCATTAAGACGCAGACTCTCTTTTTTCTTAACTTCGCCTGAACGTATGGAAATTCATCCTTTTTTGGCCAATGTGGCCTGTATATCCTATACCATTGTATATGTGGGGGCACTTTACGTGTTATGCCCCAAGAAGCTCGCTTCTCTTCCCCGCGATCATCCCAGTGTCATGGCTTCTCGAATAAAAGCAGTCAGTTTGGCATCCTGCCTCACATGCCTGACCATTTATGCCTTGGTCATTCCCCATGTATGCGCAAACATCCCTCTCAGCAAGTGGAAACCAGCTAATTAAGCATCTGCGCCAACTGATTGTCACATCTAGATCCCCGTGACACAGCAAATCGATCGCTTCAAGACCATTCTTGGTTTGCGATGGTCGGTCCACGAATTATACGCCGTATTATCGCCGTTACTCTTGGTCATATTTTTGTTCCTCGGCCCTCTAAGTATTATGTATTTCGAGAAAGTACTGCCTTTCCAAGCGAATTTCAGTTTCCAGCATGACGTCAAGGACGTCTTTTTCTCGTTGCTCGGGCAGCGAAATTATGTCGTGGTAAGGGTCGGCTGTATAACATGGGCTCATAAAACAACACATTGGCTTATCTTGGAATTGGTGAAAAAAAATTACAGGGTCCTATCACCGAAGAAATTGTCTTTCGAGCATGCATGCTGGCCACGCTTTATCATGCCAATTTTTCAAAAGGATATCTCATCTTTGCGTCTCCTCTCTATTTTGGGTTGGGTAAGTCGACCAATGACATCAGGCAAAACATTATGCAAATGACTCTCCTACGTCCTACCAGCTCACATTCATCATGCGGTGGAAACTTATCGGCAAATGGGAGGCACGAGAAAGGCATTGCAGCAAGCCATCATCATGTCAGGTACGACTGAGGCAAAATGCTATGAAAACGAAGGGAGAAAAAGGAGAGGGGTTGGTTGTGACTCAATTCACTGATCTGACTTGCAAGATAGCATTCCAATTTGCTTATACGACCATATTTGGATGGTATGTTAGCTTTATTTTTCTACGAACGGGAAATTTAGTGTCTCCTATTGTGTGCCACGTGTTCTGCAATATCATGGGATTTCCTGATCTAAGCGGTATGCACATGCTGAAACCAGTCCAGCAAAAGGGTAAGTCGATCGACTTGGGTGCAGCCAGCCTTTTCATTCATGCATATCAAGGTAACTGTTTCCATTAGTGATCTGGGTGTGTTTCATTGTCGGTATCGTACTATTTGGAGCGCTTTTGATTCCAATGACCAATCCGTCCGTGGTAGGCGATTCCATGTATTGGTCATGATGAGAAATAGAAATAGAGATATAATTTTGTTGCTTTTTGATCGTAAAATAAGACATGGCCCACGAATTCAAAACTGTTTGCGTGGGAAAAAGGGCGATCACTCGTTCTTATCATCCTTGCCGTTGTTATCGTTATCATCTTTCCTGTGGTCGTCATTCGATTTTCGTTTGCTACTTTTGGTGGCATTTTCAATGATGCGTTTTGTACTGTCTCGAATTTGGCGAAATGCGTCTCCGCGTTCCACACTTTCCCAGAATCGTGAAAAGAAGGTGGCCTGCGTGCCGTCTTTCCAGGATTCAATATATCGCTTCGTCAATGCTTGCATCGGTGTAAATGTCCTCGCCAACATTCGTTTCACTGTTGGGGGAAAAACACCCTTTTATTCCAATATGCCGGCGTCGTCTTTCAAGCGGTTCCACACTTACCATTCTCTCCCGACTTTTCCAACTGCTTCCCTAATTCAATAGCGTGATATCGATTGCTGTTGCATTCACATCGTTCTTTTTGTTTAGCAAACTGGTCATTCCATCTCAAAAGTGCCTATTTTACCTGTTACTCTCTACAATTGTTTTACCTAGAAAGAACGCTTTGCATTAACATATATAATTTCAAGCATACCTCCATCATGGCATCCATGCCTTATTGCAGTGCCAGCCCATAGCCACTTAATACGTACTTTGTAAATGCTCCAGGCAACCGGCCTGGGTGACGGCTGTAACGATCCACTTTCCATAAAACGGGTTCCATGTGTTTGCCTGGTTGGTTTGTTCCAGTTTGTTACGAGTGAGAAGCGGATCCTCTTTGATGAAGCACATGAGACTACATTTGGGCGAATTCTTTATTCGTGCAATAGGGTCGTCTTTGGCCGGATCCTGTGTTTCCCCCTTTTTGTACGCTGTCATGAGTGCACACCATTCTGTCCACACATGCTGTTCACCAGCTTTCTGGCCGTTAATCTGCTCCTCTCGAGTGGCAGTGCGACGGAACAGGCTAATAATATGACCGTTCTTGGATCCTTTGTTCTTTTCTGGAGGAGGAGCTTCCGGTGGTGGTTCGACTGACCACCACGGCGACAGTAATGCGTTGGAATCCTCCGGGGTTTCTGGATAGGGTGCAGGCGGCGGTGGCGGCACTGTCGGTGGTATCGGTGTGGGTTCGGGATCGTCCGTTCCCTTGGGAGGTCTGGGTGGCGGAGGTGTGGGTGTGCTCGATTCTGCGACGGCCATGAATGAACACACTGAATTAACTGTAGTTGGAAGAAATAATTCAAAGAAGCACCAACAGCTGCAAAGAAGCGCCCAATTTTCATTCGGAGCAAATGTTGAAAAAAAAAAAGCGGGTTGTCGCCGCATTAAAAAAAACAACGACTATCCGGATAGATGATCTTGTGTCGACACTCCCAAAGTAGCCATGTTATAATTCACCTTAAGACATCTCTTTTTGTGCATGCATTTGAAGCAAAAAATTTATTCTGTCCTTTTTTTTCGCTTTTCCTTTTGGGTTAGGAGAACGCCTCTTATTCGAGCATATCCAACTAGATTGAACCAATTTAATATCTGCTGTACCTGAACGATGGTGTAAAACTTGCAGTAAACGTACCAGATTGTCGGTATCCATGTAATCCGTATCCTCCTTCTCCGAACTAATCGCGGGAGCTGTCGTCGTTCCCGTGCCGCTCAAGAACTAGATATATTGCAGTGAGAACCACATTATCTGTATATTAAGGGTTCCTAGACTTACATTGTCAGCATCCTCTTTGGTCACGTTGGCGACGTCGGCATCTTTCGACTCATCCTTTGTAATTAGCGTCATATGCTGGTCTTTCATCTGCTTCCAAAAATCAAGTCGTCGCGAGTTGGGGTTGTTGATATCGCATTCAGAACGAAGTTGATACAAATGTTGATTAAACGCGCCAGCTTCATCTTCCTGTAAAGCGACGCAGCATAGAAATCGTGGTAATGATAATGTTAACATACAGCTTCAAACTAGGCTAGTAGCAAAGTTACAATTTACCTCGGCGGCGGTGGAACGCATTGTTTTCAAGCAATCCATGGCTTTGGAATAGTATTGATCGCCAAAAGAGGTGGTCACCAACGTAATAACCATCTTGCCCATCTTATCAACAGCTTTTGTTATATTGCAAGTGAGAAAGTGCACTAGTTTCTTGTAGCATGAATCATAAGTCAACCTACCTTCCGTGACCAGATCTTCGTTAGTGTTGGCAATCATGGCCTTGAAATCAGCGACAGGATTCACACTGGAAATATCGCGAACGTCTTTCTTGAGCATCGATTGCATAGCGGCATCGTAAGACGCTTGGTCTTCCACTTTAACTTTCTTGGTCTGACCGTCCACTTGCGATGAAATAATATCTTCCACTGAAGGCATACCCGCGCCTTCCTGTGGCTGCGCACCATCCCTTTCTCGTCCAGCACCGTAACCGCGCTTCTTGGCCGCTTTCACATCCACTACAAGCAGGGATATTAAGTTTTTTTTTTCTGGCATCTCGCCTCTATTCACCGGATAAACCTTACCTTTTTTGATCTTGAAGAGCTCCTTCATCTTTTCAATGTGGTCTTTATTCTTTTCTTCCAGCTCAGGCACCATACGCAGCTCTTGAGCTAATGTGGGATGTGTATCAGGCACTGGCGCGGCTTCGTTCAATGCACGCATTTTAATGGCTTCATTCAAACGCCACGGCGCCGGATTGTACGTATCTTCCGGTACAAGGTATTCTCCATGTTCACTGATATAAACGAAACGTTACACCATCTTGCGTTAATGTGCTGTATAAAGCGATGACTAGTCACCATAACTTACCCATTTTTCTGAGGCAAGTCCATCAGGCTCATGTTTTGAACAAAGGTTTCCATCGAGTCGAGCATGTCTGGGGTGGGAAGCAACGGATGATCTTCCGTAATAACTTTCCCCGAAGCCATGACGATCCGATCCAGTGAACTGTATGTAAATTGACGTATATCTTCTGCAAAAGGTACCTGTGACAAAAATCAAGTTCGTCACTCTTCAAGCGTTACTCGCTGGCAATTTTATTTTACCTGAGCAAAGTGGAGAACGTGAATATCCGGTGCATGATAAGGCATCAGCACACCTAGTTTGGGTGCAGAATTCGCCCGCGAAACGTAACGTGCTAGAGCCACGGCTTGTTTCTCGTACAAGGCATGGGATAAGGCCGCAATGGCAGTGGACGCACTCTCTTTATTGTGAGCACCCGCAGTGATCACGTAAACATTGGCCATGAGGTAATCACGGGGTAGCTGCAGAGACGGGGATCAGTGGATTATCAATCTCGAATCAACAATCTTTTTTTCTCTTGCCTGATCTGCTTTGAAGAATCCCAAAATGGTCATTCCCGGTTCCGTTTCCAGCTGCAAATACCTTTCTTCTTCTTCAGACAGTTTCAACACGGTCTTGCCATACATGTAAGCTCGTTCAAGGTCTGTTTCCGCCACTTCAGCACCTGGTTCGTCTTGTTTGCTGGTATCATTATCAGTTGATTCCTGTTGTCCTGCGCCGGATGCTGCCGGTTCGCCTTGATCGGCTTCATTATCATCGCCGTCGGCGTCCGTTCCTTTGCGACCGGTGTAGTTGGAAGGTTTTAGCTTGTATCTCCTTTCCATCGTCACTTGATGGGTGAGTTCTGAGGCCGGTAGATCTTCGGCGGTATCCGATAACGCGGACCATTTCTTGGCTGAGGGTAAGCGGTATTCATAGGTGCGAGCGTACATGAATACACTGATGGCTAAGCTTGTATCAGGGTACTGTTTGGGATCGCCCAATTGCAGAAAACCGCGAAAGGCCGGCGTCGGACGAACTTCTTTGGTGCGGAAAGCACTAGCCGTTTCGTAAGCTTCCTCCAGACTGTAAATGGCCCCTTGTTCGGTGGTTTCCACCAGTTGTTTCCACTGTTGCTCGTTTTCTTCCTGCAAAAACGCGTGGCATCCCGCTCATCAATACTGTCATCCCTTGGGCCGAATTCCAGTTACCTATCTCACACTTGCCTTTACGGACTTGTTCTCGGATTTCACCGGTGATCCAGCATCCGCACGGCTGACGATATCCAAAATGAGCAATTGGGGAAGCGACAAAGATGATTTTTTGATGCGCATTATAGGACTTACATTACGACCAGAGCGATATCGTTCGTTTTCAACATTTTGCTCACTTCGTCAAAGTCTTGCCAGTCAATAGGATGGTCAAAATCCGTGAATACAACAATTTGCTTGACGTATTTCAAATGTCGACAATGCTGCACAATGATGTGTACGCCCAGAATTAGAGCATCCAACACTATACAGTTATCCGGTCATTGTGACGATCGGAAAGCCAACTCCAACGCAACTATCGCTTACTGTCCGCGGCCGATTTCTTGGAATCAGTTGGGGTCACGTTGACCAGTTTTTTCAAGAGAGCCAAATCAGGCTGCGACATTTCGCTTAAAGTGGTGATGTGCTGGTATTGACCTGGCGTTTCCGCAGCGAGCTCGTTATCGCTGTCTACGAAAAAGGGCAAGTAATGCAATGAATGAGGTTGGGCTTTATGCACTAGTCCTGATGGTATGTGTACCTTCTGTTCCTGCTAGAATGACGCTTGTCATGTCCGTTTTGCGACCTGCCAAGACCTATGTAGCGATGAGCATGGAAGACGTGAGTCCAGGATTCGCGATAGAGGACACGATACCTTTTCTTCCAGTGAATTCTTCAGCACGTCCAAGGATTCCTGGAAAGCGTCCTTTTTATGACCTTCCAACTGAACGGCCATGGAAGGCGAGACATTAAGAATGAAAACTGTAGCTTTCTTTTGGTATGCCATGCTTGGAGAAGAGACGAAACGGACTGTCAAAGAAAGGACGCATGAAAATTGAAAATGACTGAAATTGTAAGACGTCCGCCACTAATTTGTACTGAATACATTCATTTTTTCCTTTTTCTTTTAATGACACGAAACGGGGAATATATAAACAAGTTGACAGAAATTACAAAGAAAGAGTAAGATGAGTGAAGATGAAAAGAAAGAGGTAAGAATTAAGCGAAAATGATGACAGAAAGGGAAAAAGAAAAAAGAAATAGCAATTGATCCATAATCTAATAAAAGCATGCAAAAATTCCCTCTTTTCTCTTTCTTCATTCACCAGTTTACCACAATTCTCGTCTTCTTTGTCTGTTCTTTGCAATTAATTGACGTCTGTAACCCTGTTCGCTGCTAGTATCGACAACGGCGGCGGCGTTGGTGGAGCGTTTGGTCGTAGGTGCCACGATGCTGACAAACAGATCGGAACAGTTGAATTTCTTGGCCAGTGCCTTACGGGTCCATTTGGCGGGATCTTGGTTTCTCAAACGACGCATTTCTGCAATCTGATCTTCGGTAAGATGACGTTGCTTTTCGTAGGGAGCGCGCAATGGCGGTGCGGTGGCCTGAACTTGAGGCTGGACAGGTGGTTGGCGGGTGATAAACACACTGCCATCTTTTAAGCTTTCTTCGACCACAGGAACACGAGCCGTCATTTTAAGGTTGGTGGTTTTGCTCTTAGTGGCATACGTACGTACACTGCTGGCGAATCGCTGGACAGAAGATGCAGAACGAAACATGGTGACCAGATATGTAACGTACAGGCAAAGGTTTGGTGGAAAGAAAACAAAAATCACAAATAGCAAGACGGGGGGCGAAAAAGGCACCGTCTTCCCCCCCAATTGGTGTGACAGGCAAATGGCGAACCAAGCCACTCCATGCCCATCTGAGACCCATCTGCGAGTTCTCAGCTGAGTAGGTGTTTTCTTTTTTAAGCCTGCACTGTCCAAAACGTGGGACAACGTATGTAACATGCTCTCTTATTTTATTATTCAGCGAGTTTTTATTACTATTTAGTGAGTTTTTGATGTTCTTCGACGAGTTCTTGAATGGCGGACAATTCGGGGCGACCTAATGCTGCTTTGCGTTGGTCCCAGTCAATGACAAAAGGTCGTTCTAGTAGAGCGGGATTTTTTTCCAACAGGTCGTAGGCATCGTTCCAGGAATTCACTTTATTCTTGGCTTCAGGACGCATCAATAGATCCCATGGTTTAGTAAGTTCGTCCTTGGCAGTTAAACCTAGAAAATCGGCCAACTGCTGAATCACTTGACGGGAAGGCGGGTCTTTCTGATACTGCACCACTTCTAAATGAAAACCTTCCTGCTTTCGCTGCTCTTCAAGGAAATCCAACGCGCACTTGGACTTGGAACAACGCGGATTATGAAAAATTGTCAGTCCTGACATGGTTAGTAAAGAAACAAGTAAAGGAAAACAAGAAGCGCAGGAATAAAACAAGCAAACCGACGGCTTCAAGTCAGCGCATCTCGCCTTGCCAATTTTTTAAATCTCCGCGTTTAATTTTATAAATCGCAATATCCCATGCCTGAGTGTTATTTTTGACAATCCCTTTTTCTGCAGAAGCAAAAAAAAAAAAAAAAAAAAAAAAAAAAAGTATTCAATATGACTATTGATGTGTATTGATGAAAGTTTGTATGATGAAGATGCTTTAATGGTTTTTTTGTTTGTATAACTATTGGTGGGTTCTTTTTTTTCGTTTTTAGAACAATGATGGCTACACGATGGTAGATTAAAGGGGAGAAAAGGCTTTCAAAGGTAACAGGAAAAGGGAGAAGGGGGATTAAAAAAAAAAGAGAGAAAAGCATACAATAAGTGACAAAAGTAAAACAATTATAGTAGAAAAAATTATGTACGATGGGAAATTACTAAGAACACATAAGAGTAAACTTTCGCGTTGCAGGCAAGGCGAAACCCCAGAAAAAAGGGAGAAAAATATTCATAAAAGCTCAATAATTGCGAAAATGCTTAGAGAAATAAAAAAAAAAACGTGAATGCACAAAAAGGGAAAAAGGAGAAAGGGAAACAAAGCAAAAGAATGGAACAGGGTTCAACAATGATATAAAATAGAAATAAAAAGGAAAATAATATGAAAGCCGAAGCGCAATCTAAATAATATGGTGAAAATGTATAATTAAAATGGGGAAGAAAAAGTGACTAATGATGCAAGAAAACAGAAGCAAGGGAAAAGGTAAATAAAAAGAGAACAATGGAAAAAAAAAGCTGGAGAGATGGAATATTAGGATGGAAGAGAGGATGAATGGAGACCTTTTTTTTCCTGTTGATTAGATGGTATTTAGCCATGGATGGGATAGAACTTGATAGATAGTTGGTCGTCGTTCGGGATGTTTTTCCAGCATCCAAGAAATGAGGTGGTAACATTCGGGGGACACTTGTGTCCGTGGTGGGACAAAAGAATAGTAGATTGTTGAGGGAGCGTCCTGGAAAGGTACTTCGCCAAACAGGATGGTATACAGCAGCACACCCAAAGCCCAAACTTCGGCGGGTTCTGCGCGGTAAGGCTGTTGAAGGATGATCTCTGGTGAAGCAAAAGACACGGTACCATAGAATTTGTTAAAGTACACGGGATGTTGCTGTCGCTCTTCGTGACGCGGGAGCAGGACCGTGGATCCAAAGTCAATGATTTTCACACGATACTGGTCATCGATCACGATGTTTTCATCTTTCAGGTCCCTGTGGCAGACCCCGAGTCGGTCAAGGTAGCCGACACACTCGGCGATCTGCCGAAAGATGTGGCGTCCCAGAGGTTCGTTGAAACTGCGATGATGTTCGATGCACTCGAACAAGTCGCATGACGTCCGTCGGACAAATAAACGTGGGTTGGCGTGCACGTCGATATCGGGCCATGCGCTGGTGGATGTTGACGATAGCGAAGAAGAAGAGCAGGAAGAATCATCGGATAACTGGGATAATGCAGGTGAAGGTGGAGCAGGAATCGATGCCGTGGAAGGGGAGGAGCTGGTGGTGGTGGTAGCGGCTGCGGCGGCAGCTGTCCATTGTGTACCGTGCAATTCCATGACAAGATACAGGAATGTAGTGTCTTGGTAAAAATCGATATACTGAATAATATTAGGATGGCTGACATTCTTTAGCACAAACACTTCCATGGGCACGGTACCCAGCTGCGTGTCAAACACCCATGCATGGGCAGGCACCCTGTGACGTAGAATGAATTTGACAGCGCGTTCCACACCAGTTTGACGTTCGTACGCGGACACGGCAAATCCAAACCCGCCGCTACCGAGTTCTTCACCGAGTGAATATTTGGCCGCGAAGTCCGGATGCAGAGGGTAATTAGCTAGCATGCTAGCCGCCACGGTCGGTGGTTGCTTCTCTTGAGGTGTGGTTGGTGGTGAAGGTGGCATCAGAGCCTGCGAATCCAAGGGATGAATATCGATTCGTCCAATCGTAGACGGTTTGTTGACTCCACATGGTCCATCCGAAAAAGTCGTAAATGTCATTGCGCTCAGCTCAAATTAATGGTGATGGAAGGAAAAAAAAAATAAAGCTAGTCCAAAATTAAAAGATGATAAAAAAAAATGAAGACACTTGACGTATTGAAAGAAAGAAAAAAAGAATAAAAAAAAAAGAGAAAAAAGAAATGATATTTAAAAAGAACAAAGAATGGCAGATCGTCAGGAGGAATCAAAAAAATAGAAAGTGAGAAAGAGAACTATTAAAAGAGGGGAAGGGTTGCATGGATCAGACAGGCGTTTCGGGATATTACAATTTGGAATGGGGAAAATAGATAGATGAAAAAGAAATGGCATCTCCTTAATCTGGAATGAACTACAATGAGTTGTTGTCTTGTGGGGAAAAAAAAAGAAACTGAAAAAAAGGACCCTTTTTGCTGACCTGCATTCCCTAAACTGGTCCACTCACTGGCTCATTACAAAGAACCTAATCATCCATACTGATCTATACCATGGCTGCTGAGTTCTCTTTCCCCCTCTCCTCCCTTCTTGCATGCCAAAAAGGTGAGGGTCGTGCACACGCAAGTTGATCGCCTAAATTTACCGACAGCTCACACACCTTTTTTTCAACGTCCAATGGAACCAGTCACTACTATTGAACAGATCTCATTTTTCTTTTTGTCATTTTATTCTGTATGTTTCTTTTTTGGATTGGATCGACGTTCCTCAATTAGTCACGTACCCGATGGCCGTTGCTTTCTTTATTTGTCATGGGAACCTCAACGGCCGCTCACGGATTTGTTATGGAAAAATTCCAACGGGGCAACACGATTTTGATTGCCGGTAGGCACGATCGACGGGTGAATCCGGTTTCATTTTCAGTGGATCGACTGGCACCATCGATCAGAAGAGCGTGCAAGCATGCAAACGTGCAAGCGTGGATGTATAAAAACGATATCAAAAAAAAGGGTCTCGATAGGGAACACGGAATGAGCGGGAACAGGATCGAAACGCATACTCGAATTCATTATCCATTCTTTGTCAGCTAAACCGAACTGGTCTGATCGTCCCACTTGGTTTGGACATCACAAAGGGAAAAAAAAGGGAGATGATCGTATCACAGCATGGACCTCCTTTCTCCCACTTTGGGCGTGCCATGTTGCCGTTTAGACAATGAAATAAAATAAAATGACAACTGTTTAATTCAACCACGATCTTGATCATCGCCTCCTCTCACCCATCCACTTGCTCCCTTTCTCATCGCCTCTCCCTGTCACCCGTACCTGTCCATCGTTTTCTAAAACCCTTCATGATCACTCTATTGATTCAAGTTAATCCACCATAAGCTATTTTGGGTCACTAAACGATGCTTTGTCATGTCATATTACGGAGCTGAAATGACGTGATTAAATAATACAATGAAAAAAAAGTTTTTTTTTGGGACCCACTAAATAATGAACTCCATCCATTCAAAGAAAATAAATACATAATACATGTGTATACAGTATACCAATTTGCAGGTTTTCCCGTTTTGGTGAGGTCGGGCGAATCGGCTTAATGCCGTTGACTGTATTCCCACAAGGCTTCGTAACAAAATAGGAATTGACTGGACGCTTGAACCATGGTCGAACGTTGATCTCGAAAAGCGTCCGTCACTTCGTAGACAAGGTCGAACTGGTTCTTATCCGTTTGAAAAACTGTGTCCTTTTCCCGCGTCGCTTGCGATATAAGTTCCATGCCACAATCAATTAGACAAAAGGTACCTGTCCGTCCGCATCCGGCACTGCAATGCACAATCATTGGCGGTGGTCCGGTGGCCTCGGGACGGGTATGCAGTGATTGATACTGGTTGGCCAGGCCAATCAGTTTAAATATTTGATCCGCGGTTTCCGGCACGCCGTGATCGGCCCATCCCAAGAACTGCAATTGGGTCACGGTTTGTGAAGCGAGCACGCGCGGTTGTAGCTGGTTGCCAGTTGGGGTCTGTTCGATGAATTCCACGAGAATCCGACGTACAATGCAGCAGGCATCATTATCGGTACGTTCCGGTTCTTGGTTGCGCAGTCGAATTATTTTCCGAGATGATGCATTCACACTGAACTGAGGTCCACTACCACTGGTAGGAAACTGGACTTCCACTTCCTGCGACCCCGTAGGCCAGTATCGCGCGCATTTCTCCATTCCGTTTTCTTTTTCTGCCGCCAAACAGACAATCACCCCCACATTGTTCTCCACGACCATGCGCCAAAAATCGATAATCGTTGAAGGAATCGGGCCTTGTGTAGCAATGTACCGTTTGTTTAGTTGGAATGGCGCATCGATCCAGCTCGCATTGATGTACGTGTTCGGTTCACCGAGATCCGGGCGATTGAGGATGACGCGGTTCCGATCAAAAGGAATGATATCGTAGTAACGATTCTTCTTACTCGCCAGAGGACTGCGCGCTACCTGCATGGCGTAAGGGCTCGTGCGATTCTTAATTTGCTCGAGCCGCCAACGCTGTCGTCGATTAATGAGCTGCCACTGATACGACACGAATTCCTGAATGGCCTCGGGCGCGCTGTTGAATATAGCTCCGAGCGTGCGTATGCAGGCGTTACCAATAGCAGCATGCTGATGTTTCAATTCGCTGGCCATGTTGTCACTGTACAAAAAAAAAATCAAGAAAAAGTGTGCATTTTACAGAACACACGCCCTTTGACAACGAAAAATGCAGTGTTTCCCAAAGTTTGCAAAAAGGGAAGCCACTTTGTCAAAAAAGGAAATTGCTATTTTGAGAAACCGCCATACGACATTTGGCCAACGGTTGTTGGATTTTCTTGGTGCGCGGGGGAATTGTTTCCTTGTAGCAGATCTACCAGCTTGACTGAGTGAAGGCAGTAGGCCTGGCTTATTCCATGGATTCTTCGAGGCAAATGGTTTGCATATTTCGACTTGAATTCAGGTCTGTTGCAAATCTCGTACTTTGAGGACGCGGAAAAGTGAAGCATTATTCTGCCGGCTCTCTTGTAGTGCCTTTCTTTAGAAGTAAGCAAATGGATACGATCCCTTGAGCATAAACGGGGTAAACATGGTAGTGAATTTCATGTTTGTGACTTTGGGACTATTCATAGTGGGCTCGAGTTCTAGCTCATTATCAGAGTGTTCGCTGACCGTCTAAGATGAGTACACTACGATGATCGGAGGCGAGCGTTGTATTTGCATGTTTTTATTCCTCTAAGTTTCAACCTTCGATACAAGTAAAGCACAAGTTTGGCTCTTAGGCAAACTATTGTCTGTGAAAATTTTCTGTATAAACCTTAAGCATTCGTGCCCAAGTTTCTGTACGCGGAGCCCTAGTACGAGAGACTGGAATTTATGTATTTTGTATGTCTGATAATTGGTTTATAATGAAAATAGTTAGAGATCGGCTTACCAGAAGGAAGGAATCAATTTTTTAAAAGCGGCGATGCTTAGCATTGCTGCTGTCCTCGGTCTTGCAATATGCCAATACGACCATTTACCCTACTGAAACTTCAAATGACACAAAGGCCCAGTTGGCGCAACTAACGTCACCAGTTGGGTATCTTGGAACAACCCGCAAAAGCGAATTAACTATATCCATTCTGCCACGTTCCCAATTGCTTTTTATCGTTCCGTGCTAGATGCCAGAAATCCTTGACAATTCCAGAAGTGAGTGAAAAATCGAACGGTGCCTTCATGTTTCGCTAAGAACCATCCGAATCAAACGCACAAACGACAACAATTTTTAACACAAAATGGCTCAACTTGTTATTGTGCAGAGAAGCGGAGAAGGAGAACTCAATTTTCAAGAGGAGATAACACTGGTCCTGCAGATCAATCAGTTCACGCGAAAAAACAGCACATCGCAAAAGGAGACACCAAGTTGCAGGTGCCGTTGCTGCGCTGCTGCATGTTTCAAACGTTTGCAAATCTATAACAACATTTTTAACGCAAGCAAGAATATCCTTGTTACGGACCTCCTCACAAGGCTTCGCATCGGTGAGAGTCATTGCGGTCTCCCTGTTCTGTCGCCATTGCAACATGGCGCACTGAAACTGATACCCTGGTTCCGTAGAGTAATACGTAAGCGTTTATTGTTACAGCAACACTAAGTACGTTTCAGAAATAAAACTGATACAAAGAGACAGGGCAAAGTAGGGACAAACTTCTTAGTATACAACAAGGTAAAAAGAACGTGCGTAAAGTCTGAATCATGTCGCATGAGCGTTCAACCATAGGCTTTATTGAAAGTTATAGAGTGACTGTGGTGCGCATGGGTTGCTGATGGCAGCATGAATGACATGGCGCAGTCCCCTCTTTGCATGGCTTACGCGAAAGAAGTGTGAGGCTATGAATTTCGCCAGTTTTGTTGCGAGAATCGAGCCAATGAGGTGCATTCGCGGTCAAAAACAGGGTCACAAATCGAAGGTCCGCCAAAAGATATAAAAAGAGGGCGTTTCTTCTCATCTCTTTTTTTCTTTTGTGCGCCAGTTCGGAATCAGGGGCTGCTAGGCTGGTGGTTACTGGTAATGATGAACGCTCCGGTTTTTGGTAAAGCATTCGGGGTATGGCGAAAAATCTGAAAACCATCTTCTAATGATAGGATTGGCCATCCTCTGAAGAAGATTGTTTTCGTTCCCGTTGGCTCTTCCCTTTGGGCGCCTGACTAGTCATTAGCGCGGTCATTGTGGAAGGGATGTCGGTGGGTTTGCTTTTTAATCGCAACAAAGGTAAATGAAAAAAAAAAGGCTTTTGCCTTTATTCTTTTTTTCGCAACCCTTTGTGGGTTGAATAATAAAATAAAATGAAAGTGAGCTTAATGTCCGTGTGGACGCGAACTACGCCACTTCAAAAAAAAAAAAAAAAAAGATAAATGAAAAACGCTTTGCTTAGAAGAAATACAACAGGATAGAATTTTTTTATTTTGTTTGTTGTGGAATCCGTCCTATTCAATAAATAAAGACGTCTAATGACCCTTCTCGTCCGAAAGGCCATTATCTGTATTTATCCTTTCTGCTCGTCGCAGCTCATTCTCAACTATGCCGTCCACAACACTTGTCTCTGTTCCAAGTCAAAAATCGTATTGCCGGTCGACCTTTTTTACAGTGTCCGTATGTAATGCTGCTACGGCCAGAAACAGTGGACCGGCAACGTCAAGAATCATGGGTTTACTGTACTGCTTTGAGAGCAACAAAAAATGAGAGCGATGCTTTAAGTGGATCCTCTGGTAGTGGTCCTCACAATAGCTGGCATTCTTTAGGCACATTAGCTTGCGATGAGGAACAAACATGACAAATCTGCAAGTGCTTAGCCGAGGTTTCTGATGGTCCCATTGCGCCACTCATAAAGGAATTAAACAACAGTTGACTGGGTATAATACATCCTTCAGCTTTATCGGATACGGCACCGCGTGTGAAGGTTCATCATATGCACTTGTCATAAGGGTTGTCGTTTTCACACTTTTCTGTTTTCCGCAATATGACCATCGAACTCAATATAACCATCTCGATGAGGTATCGTATGTCTCACACCATAGTTCCTTCGACAAATAAACAAGCAACCGTCGGACAGAAAAGGTGCGTGAATTCCCTAGTTGCACTGTCATTAAATTGCCATTCGTCATCGTAAAACGTCCATTAGTCCCTGTGCTTGGTTACTCTAGTGATGCCATGATAGCAAGTGAAAGTTTTTTTTTTCGATCGCTCTGAAGTATTAATACTATGTACATTGGAAAATGAGTGGGTTTTTCTGTCTAGTTCATTGCTTGAACGAGCTTGTTGATGTAATCTTCCCGATCGCCAGCATCACCACCTTCCACATAGTGTTTGAATTTGCGAGGACGCCAACTGTCTTTAGCACTGGGATTGTTCAGCTTGAACGGCCATAAAAAGTTGTTCACTTCTTTAAAATGGGTTCCAAGGGTGTAGATTTCGTGGATAATGTCTTCCACACAGATCACACCGTATTTGCCCAAGTTGTCTTGAATCAGTGCGTTATCCGAGATAGGGATACGCATACCATTCACTTTGGCGAATCCACGTTTGTAAATGAGCTCACGCACCGTCTTCAAGTTGGGCGGACCGTACGTCACATAAGGTTCGATGATTTGAAGCATTTGCGAGGTTGCCTTGTTCAGTCGCACAAACACGCCATTGTTGATTTGAAGGAGACGAAACAGTTGCAAAATCTTTTGTACTTTGGGATGGATATCGTTGATGCCCTTGATGCGAATGACGAACAGCAATTTCGGTTGAGCGGGAACATACAGATTGCCGTGACTCTTGGCTTGACGTCGTAATCGAATCTCATCCTGCTCCTTGGACCGATATTCTCGTACATACTGTTCCGCCCGCTTAAAAATAGCCTGACGCTGAATCTTTTGTGCCTAAATAACCGTAATCAAATATATCAATCGGTGAGCCATGTCTTTGCCGCAATGAGCTTCGTCACTGTTGGCTTACTTTGCGCTGAGCAGCTCGTTTTTCCGCCGCCACAGCAGCTGCCTTTTCATCTGCTTTTCGCTTTTTCAAATAGGTCTCTGGCACCAAGACCTCGGCAGCACTAGGCACAGCTAAATGTGGGTGATCATTCGCCATGCCACTGTGTCAGAAGAAAAAACTTATTGTTGGGTTGCTGCACAGTGGTTCGATTTTCTTTTTTTTGTTTTCGCTCATAGGGAATTCAAAGTCCGGTGACCAAAAGAGGGGGCCAATATTAAATGGCCAAACAAATACATTATATTCAACTTGTTTTTGGTAAAACTCGTAAGCACCGACTTAAATGATAGGTCGCATTGCACACACATACACGAACAATCACATGTAGTAAAAAGCTAGTTTGATAGGGAAATATTGCAACGATAATCGATGGTCGGTTACTTTATGGCACCATCGTCTGCACCGTGGCGGAGTGTTTGCAGTGACGATAAATCAGGTAAATCAGGTTCGTGTTTCAAACATTCCCGTTTTCCGTGACCGGGGCTTAGTGCAACAGAACGTTTACATGTCAATGCTTACGTTACAGCCATCAAATAATACCGACGGATCGTCTATGCCACCCGTTGGGATCGGGGCTGGAACGACCGATTTGGATTTTTGTTGGCACTGACCATCGAATGATAGGAGAAAAACTAAGCAAGAAAGGCGGTTTTCTTTGATCAGTCGACACAGTTGCCAAAAAGTGTTTCAAATTCATCCATGATTTGTCATAACAATGTGCATGAGTCACAATCGCATGTAAGTAAAACTCTTTTATCCGGTTTTTTTTTTCTTTTGTGACTTTTTGGCTAACACAAACCTATCTTGCCTAAGAATCTGTATTCTGGAACGCATTTTCAACTTGCCGATAACATCCATGCATTGCCCCCCCTATCATTTGATTAGTGCAACTTCTGTGCAGACATGAGGTTATCTGTTATTGTTATCTGTCACTGCTGCTCATGTTCAGTGTTCAAACACTACAGATTATCATCATGAGTCGTGATCATTTAAAAATCATTTTGACCACAAAATCGAACGACAAAAAAGAAACCAAATAAGCACCCAACTGGAAATTTGCCTCGAGATCGCATCATTTGATAAAATCAAGACACCTAGAACCATAGCAACATGATTATCTGATGGAGGACGTTGACAGTGAAATAAGAGAGAATCCTTTTTTAGCCGAAGAATCCATCTTTTTTTTTATTGTTGTTGTTGTTGTAGATGGCGTGTATTTGTGCAATCAAATCGCGGTCGTTCCGATCCACGGAAACTAGGGGTCACATTTCCTTCCGAAAAGTGTGACCTTTTTGTAAATATGCAACAGCTTTACTCGAATATTCTCATGGGAAAACAACAAACGATGGCCTGGTCCATGCTACGCTTATCTGCTTGCATTTCCCCCGCTCTTCAAACTTTGGAATCTCTGGAATCTGACTGAGCTCGGACAACAGGAAAGAGAGAGGCCCTGTCTTTTTAAAACAGTATGGTGGTGGTACCCTGATATTTGTTTCCTTCCATTAAATCTTCCAATTTGCTGCCATGGATTTCATCGAAAGCACAAGCTCTTCTGGATGACAAAGAAACACATGCAGTTCTTTGTCTGATTCTCAGTCAAATGGAATAACCAGATCGGCGATCCCTCGATAACACGATTCGATTGAACTTGTGAAGAAGATGAGGAGGCAGAGGTCCATCATTGTTAACAGAATCAGATTGTGTTACACTACGTTGAACGCGCGGGAAAGGGCTCGTTGCAGCTTTTTTTTCAATATGGTTGAATAAAGTAAGGCAGGTAACTCAAAAAGCATGTAATCGAATCTCCGCTTATAGCAAGGTGTGTGCACACCTGTGGGGTTTCCGCACAAGTCAAGTTTGCCATATATAAATAATTCAGGCGACCATTCTTTTTTTCTTTTTCTTTTGGTTTCCTTTTTGTTATTTTTTTTTTTTTGTTCTTTCTTTTCTTCATTATTTTTTCGTAGTGCACGTTGCATTTGAAACGTCAAGATTTGATGAAAGCTCATATTTGCGTCGATTACCTGTCTTACGACTGGACCGCGCCTGAACTCGTCCGTGCCCACCGCGAAATACATTGCCAGATGGCCGCCACCACGATGAAACGCAAACTGTCTCAGTCTGTCCCACCTATCAACACTCGAACCAAACAGAACAAACTTGTTCGATTGCAAAATGCGCTCTGGAGACAAATGGCACGGACGTGCACACCACACCTAAGCAAGGACAATCCAATGGTCGATCCATCCGTAGTCAACTGGTATAGTACTCACAACCAAACAATACCACAGCATGTGGTTTATGGATCCCTTTAGTGACATGGATATACTGAATACTCACATTCTAGGCAAAAAGAATCGGATATTACATGTAAGCAAACAGATAGTCAATAGATGGACATGAAAACCTAGCTCAATGAGAGATAAATTCTCAAGTTCTCCTTTGTTCCTTTTGCTGATAATGTTTTCTTTCTCAGGGTTATTTGGGCCGTTGTTTTCTGATGATCCTCCTCCTTCGTTGTCGATCCAGTCGTCGCATGCTGGCCAATCCGGGCTAAAGTCTGCACTGAAAAAGCGCAAATTGTTGTCAACTTCCCATTCGCTCGATGACCATCTGGATTTGATGCTTCCACTGGATACCAATCATCACGCGATCTTTGAACAACCAGAATATCGGCCGTGGTCTAAATGCTCTTCAGATCCTGGCACGGCTTCTTCCAGCGGCGTGCGTTTCAATCCTAAAATCACCCGGTTCAAGTATTTACCAGAGTTGCCCGTGTCGGAGCCCTTTGAACAGAGCGAGCTGGATCACTCGAAACCGTATTTCCGAAAACATCACGAAGACGCTCCACCAGAAGAAGCATTATGGACTCTTTTGTGGTATTTGAAGGACTCTACCGTACACTACATCGCCAATCAAGCCCACTATCGCTGGCTCGTCAACCTGCCGTTATTAGCCATGGCTTCCATGTCACTCATCAAATCCATCACCTCCTTCACCACCACCTGGTTCATCGCTTCACTCATCTGGGCCATAAAACGGTCCTTGCACCTCCAAAAACGGGATAAAAAGCATAATCTAATCGCATATGATCGGGTCGCTCCCTCATCTGATAATTTGTTATGCGTAAAATAGTACGTGCCACAAACAACCCTGCTAACCATCTCTGCTCTCTCCTCTCTATCTCTATCTCTGTCCCTCGCCCTTGTTTCCGGTTTTTCCTTCTTTATTTTTCAACGCATGCATATCACTCATTGTTATTTTGTATAAAGTCCATACTTTACATTCCCAAGCAATTCATCAGTTCATCTTTAAAGAACCTTAAAGAGTACCATCAAATGTCCTCCAATCATTGTTTATCTGGAACTCCGGGGTCATTCATCGACGGTGAGAGCGAAAGTTCAATCACCTCATTTCTGTAAGAATGGAATTCAAGCCATTTGTTTAAGCATACCATAGCTGTGTGTTGTGGCGACTGTAAAATTATCATCTGACAATAAAACTTTCGATCATCTACTGGGCATGATAACAAGACCATATATGTTTATCTGTATTACAATGGCTAATGTTAGATGGTAAAGGTCTGATTGACGTTCGATGTCTCGTTGATAATATCCAACAAATGTCATGTCCAATATCACACAATGAAAGGATCATCGTGCCAGTACCGTTTGTAATGCCGTAAAAAAGTTTGCTTCAAAGAGGGCCCGCTCTCGTTCAACGACACAACACATCCCCGGTAACTTTGATCTGAGATTTTTTGCAAACATTTATGAAGGATTCTTGATTACTTTGACAGCTGCGCTTTCCTAGAGATGATTGTATTAAAGTTCGCTCACAAACAATGAGGGATTTTGGTCGAATACACCATGTCCTCACCTGAGTACTCGCCTCTCGCTTCGTAAATGGATGTCAGATACAAATGATATTTTCCATTTTTAGTATCAGGAAAAAATGGCTCACAAGGATATCAAGCTGGTGCTCGACAGATTTCTCATTAGGAAACAGTCGTCTTAAGAGGGAAAAAGATAACATAAAATATCGGGAGAACGAGAATGTAGTATGGGAGGAATCGTATCTAACGTAGAAAGTATTGCCTTGACGAGGTGGAAAGAATGTAGATATGACTTTCAATGAGGATGTTGAACCTAACGGCGGTTGAAGATTGAGGGAGGAGCGAGAGGTTGATAAGTGGTCCGAATTTCAGCCGCTATTCGGGATGTAGTTAGCGTGACAACGTTTTTTCCCAAACGGCAAGTGTTGGCGATAAGCTTCTGTTCCCGGATCAAATTGAGTATCTAGTGTGAATCTACCCATCAAGTTTGAACTCAGGGTTGTACGGAAAGAAACTGAAATATTTGTATGTTAAAACTACTGAATTCCACCACATGCGAAAATAAGGGGATGTGAGCATCAACATGGAGGACAGGCAATAATTGATCTATCAAGCATTGTGCGTCGTGCCTAGCACAATCCTTGTTGGCTTCACTCCGTCTTCCAATGGGGTATTGGCTCTTCTAGCCGCGCTTTATTCTCCGCCTACAGTAAAATATTCTTCCTCTACCTAATTGCTATTCTTCATATCTTTTTCCTTATCTACTCTCTCAACTTTTTTCGTTTTTCTTCTTCTTTATTCGGGAGGGACCGTCAAGCTTGAAACAAGCGTTTATACCATGGGGCTGAGCGTACTCCATTGTTCAGCTTCGTTCCGCCAACTTCCGTAATAGTGATCTACACGCTCAAAAGGTAATTCTGGGACGTTCCTTACTCCGATTTGCATTTCCACTCTAAATTGCGGTGTTTGTGTTACTGAAATCATTAATCTACCGCTGCATGCAGAACGATGAGGTGCCCTGAGAAAAAAAAAATAAGGAAAGATTGGATGTAATTCTCTGAAAGCCATCGACGCAGTCGCCAAATTTGACTCAATAGGTTTAACTGGCTCTTTTGATTTTGGGCAAAATGACGGGCCAAATTGTTTTGGTTACATTGACAGCGAAACTTTTTTTTTCAGTATGCTGAAAGTAGCCTTGTTTTCGACCGGCACCGGTATGAAATGTGTGACTCGTTTTCCGGGATGCATTGGGCCATTTTATCCGTTGCTATCTCTCCGCTTTTTCCCCTTGTTTTTCCTTTTTTTTTCTTCTTCTTTTCTTCACGCCAGAAAAAAAAGGTTTCCGTTCCCATGCAACCACAAGAAAATGAGACAAAGGCACTACCGTCACTGGCGAATGTGAAGCTCGTTTTCACGCCTGGAGACCCACATCCAACGGCCGCGACGACGCCTTCGACGAACAAAATGATCTTGGATTACCTCCTGTATCTGTCAATCCAATCCAGACTAAAACAAGCTCAAATTGAATTGCTGGAATTATCGATTCCTTTACCCGAGGACAAGGACGATTCCGTTTTTATACGTCAACAACGATGGCAAGATACCGCCACCAAAGCGGAACAAGATAAAAATGCGGTGGAATCCATTGTAGCAGGTAAGATCAAAAAAATAAAACAAGATCACAAAACAGGACTCGATCTGATCAACGTGATCTTTCGTTGTTAGGTATTTTATCAGGTCATCAGAACAAGAAACCAGGTTTCCAGGTCGATTCCGATTTTGCACAACGGTTGCATCTTTGCCAACTTACCAACCTTGTTTTTGGTCGATTCGATGCTACCTCCACTGGCCAACACGTCATTGCTCACAAGTCGGCCCGTCGACGAAGGCATGAAACCTACATGACCTCGGTCATTGAAGAAGATACCAATGAATCCACCCACATCAAGCGACGACGCCAGTTGTATTCACAAGCCATTTTGCCTCCATTCTGCAGACGCCATCGCCGGCAAAATTGTTACGGATGTCGAGCCGATTGCTCGTCATCATCGGCATCCGATTCAAAGCAAGCGGATCAGGACACCTCGGATAAAGGCAAGCAGTGTGCGTCGCCACCGCCTGCAGGTCTGATTGAAGCGATTCCGACGTTCTTAAAGACGAGTGCGGATATGCTACGGCGGGCGCTGGAATCTGAGGAGGAGAAGGATGTGAAACCAATGATCTTTGCAGGACAAAGAGTCATGGGCGGTGGTATGCCTCCTCGCTGGTACGATCTGTTCTTGGAACTATTGACCCAAGCTGCAATTGAAAGTTACTTGTGCGATACGCAAGCTGGCCTGGAGCCAATTTTTGAGATTTTCTCCTATGGGGATGTTGAAGACGAGGATGAAACCGACGAAGCAGAGGATCATGAGGAAGAAGTGGCAGAGGATCAGGATGATGGCGAGGATCATCACGACGTGGAGGACGACGACGACATGGATGAGGAAGACGAGTGGGGAGTGCAAGCGGCCGACCATCATTTGCTTTTCCCGAAAACCCGCACGATGCATCTATTCAAGACCCAAGTCCGCGAACGAGAAAAAGAGGTGAGTATTTGTAGATGCTCCAGTTTGTGGCTTTGATGCTTCGGCGATACGATGCCTCAACGCATACAATACGGTTGACTGACCTGGCAGCACACCCAATTTTTAGTTTCTGATTGTGGAAGGCGACAGTTTGGAAAAGCATTATGAGAAATTGGCGCAAAAATTCCCGCTGGAAACGTTTGAAAAAAATATGGGCGAGTTCATTCAGATGATCTTACAAACCATGGAAACACCTGCACTGGACAAGGTAAGCATCGACAGATACCAGAAGTCAAACCGCAAGTGGCTGATGGGAACGTAGTACGAAAATAGCGAGCGAAATGACGCGAATAACACACCGCACTCAATTTCTCTTGAAACGGTATCTTCACCACTGCCATTGGTATACAAGTACCCTGGTGATGGCTCCTTACTGATGCCGGAAATTCCCGACGAAGAAGATAAGGATTCGGATTCTCATGGTGTGAAACGCCTTGCAGACGGTCCACTCACAAACAATCCTCCCCCAAAACGCTCGCGATAATATCCCTACACGCTTGTATTTTCACGCATGCAAACAAAAACTAAAAAAAAAAAAAAGAGGAGGACAGATACATTTCATCACATTTCCCTTTCCACATCGCTCGTCCCTTGGCACGGCGTCACATACCATAAAATTCCCCGCCCCTTATTCCTTGTAATTCTGATTGTTACTGTTTATGTTCATTTTTTATATAGGGCCTTGTATTATGCCCGCCTCTTTCTAATGTCATATAAACGCTTATTATTCCTAATATCCACTCTGTGAAATAACGTGTCAGTCGGCTTACTGAGTGTATTTTCGTGTTGTGGAATTGATTGACCTGTGCGACTGGCAAATATAAGGATAGATCTCCGCACGTAAGCGCGATACGACCCAAGGAACAAATCAGAGCTCAAACCGATACTCCGAGAAGGCGTGCTTTCAAAAACATTGCTTTATTTGCTCCAAATCTCTGTTCAAGGACCTTTGATCAACCAATCTTGCCCTTTCGGGCATTGAACCTATTCCATATTCTGCGCATAACATCCAGCTGACACCAACTTCCTAGGCAATTTATAGGCATGGCAATGCGTGCTCCAAAACTGGCTTTCACATTGGTTTGAATTTATCGTATTTAATTGACACTTAAATGATGGCAGTCTCTTTATTGGCCGAGGGACTTTGTGAACCGACATTGTCGATTTTTTGTGCGTCAATAGTCGTACTCAGCAAATGCTTTTTAGACATCGTAAAAGCAACCTTGAATTAAGAAATTGAGATAGAATTCAAAACCAATATCTCCGTATATTCCGGATCACAAGACAAATGATGATAATGCAGGGATCGCGTTCGCGCATATACTATCTGCAACGCCAAGATCCGTTGTAAATATACAATTTTTGCATGACAATAAACGAAATTGCCTTTATTATTGTTTTTGAATACATTCCATTAAGAATTGGTATGAGTATGATAGACATAGTTTGGACATGCATTCATCCGTACAAACGAATTTGACCGACCATGCAAGAATTCTTCTCTATAATGTAGATCACTTGATATAAGCTTGCGATCGATCATCACTGATATGTGACTCGTATGTATTTTCCTGCTAATCACAGAAATCAACTCTATCCAATTCAAAGCTCTTTTCGATCATTGATAAAGACATTGGACGCTATAATTCTGCCAAAGATTAATACCAACCTATTGTGAAAGCTAGTTTAGTGTGGCTGTAAATGTAGTAAATATACCAGAGTATCATCCCTACGTATGTTGAACGGGAAACAGTGACATTAAAGAAACAGCTATTGATTTCAGGTAGCAATAACCGCACACATGATATCCGAGTTCTTTACGCTCACCTCGAAACTCTAGTAGGCACAGGTTGAAAATCATCCGCTACTGCTGCAGGGCCTCGGATAAAGCTCGCAAAATCCCTTTTCCTGTCGGTAAAAAAAAGCTTTGTCATTACCTATTTTTTGATCAAGCATGCAAGCCATTGGTGAGAAATTTGCTTGCTACTGGGATTCATAATTTGCATACAGTCCCTGCCATGAAAGAGAGACGAGAGGAACCCAAAGGCAAGCAGACGCAGGGCTCGGGCTCGCCAATCTAGAAACCAAATATATCGTCTTATTATTCAGCAATCGGAATGGAAATTAAGGGCTCAACTTCGAGCTTTCTTAGTTTCCGCCTATTGTTATAGTGCATAAGTTGCCCACAGAATGTAGTAACGGCTGACACTGCTCGGTCGATGGTGATATAGTCGACTTTTCGTTTCCTACACGTTGCAATGCAGGTTCCACTAAACCATGCTTGCACGCTTAACAAAAATGGGCATTAAAAATATAGATGATGCAATTACCATGGAAAATGACGCTGCATCCGCAACAACAATGGCATAACCACTGTATCGGATACCAGCCGATGAACAGGAAAACTACCTTGGGATCATTGACCGGCATACCATTGGGAAAATGTATCATGGTGAATGATATCCCATTTATCAAGCAAGTCAGATGCGATACCCCCGATCGGCTGTGCTCTTAATAAGGAGAGTCATGCATGCAATGGCGATGGCGCAACACAAATTCCTGTTATCGCACTGGGGTCAAGATCCCCTTTCACTCACGTGGAGAGCCCACTATTTTTTTGATTCTCCGGATGAATTTAAACCTGCCAAAGTTGGCAATTTTTTCCCTACATCCTTTTTATCTCTCTTCTTCTGTTATCTCCACCTCTCTATAGTTTTTTCCCAATCGTCTAGTCATGCCAGCATCCAAAAGTGCCTCGACGGCCCTTATTCTGGTCACCGGCATGCTTATTAGCGGTAACGACGACAAGACAACCCCTCCTAAATCTTCCGAAAACTGACATGTCGTCATTTCAATAGGTGTCTGTAATACCATTTTGAATAAATATCAAGACATGCAGTGTGTAGGCAATTGCGATGATCCCGATCCTTCCAAACGACGTTACTTTGAACAACCGATATGGCAAACGTAAGTAAAATGACTTGTTGCCCTAGAGCCGTCTTTTTGTGGTTACATAGTGTGGTGTGTGCATGTGTGTGACTGCAGATCAAATGTGTTGTCAATGTAATGAAAAACGTTTCGCAATGGGTAGATTAAATATGTTTGTGGGTGAATCGGCTGTATGGATCGTCTACGTTTATCAGTTATGGCAAAAACGGCGCGATCGACGAATGACGGTTCCTTCGGCTGTGAACCAATTGGATGCTTCGAGGATTGTGGATGATATCGATGATCAGCTGAAGCATCAAGCGGGGGAACGACCGGCTTGCGACGGGTGGAAATCCTTCCTTTTCTGGATTCCAACTCTGTGCGATTTGACAGCCACAACGGTAAGGGAGGATGACTCTTTGGGGAATCTTTTTTTTTTTTATTCGTCACTTGATACTCATCTTAAAATATCTAGGTGATGAATGTGGGGTTAATTTTGACCTCAGCCAGTGTGTACCAAATGTTGCGAGGTGCGGTGGTGATTTTCACGGGGCTTTTCAGCTACTTTTTCTTGAATCGTCGTTTGCGCCCGTATGAATGGTTTTCTTTGGTGCTTGTGGTGGTGGGTGTGGCCATTGTGGGTCTGTCGTCTGTTTTGTTTCCCCAAAATGCGCCGGGTCAATCGAGTGAAGATACCGGTTTTGATCCTGCGTCGCTGCTGGGTGTTGTGCTGGTTCTCGGCGCTCAGTTGTTCACGGCTTCGCAATTCGTCATTGAAGAAAAGATCATGCTTCGTTATCAGGTCACGCCTCTTCGCGCGGTCGGACTTGAAGGTACATTTGGCCTCGTGTCCGTTCTGGCTGCCATGCCCGTTCTACACGTGTTACTTGGAAAACGTCATCTCTACTTTGACGTTGAACAAGGATTTCACGACTTTTTTGATCACCCCGCGGTGTGGCAAACCGGTCTTGCCATCAGCTTGTCCATTGCCTTCTTCAACTGGTTCGGTCTATCCATCACAAGCACTATCTCGGCCACCTCACGCAGTACCATCGATGCATGCAGGTAAGTTCTATAAAAAATCACAGCAAGATGTACCCACTCATTTTTGATGGTAGAACATTGTTTATTTGGATGGTTTCGTTGTCCTTGGGTTGGGAACAATTCTCTTGGATTCAGGTGATTGGTTTTATTGTGATGGTGACCGGTACCTTTTACTTCAACGGTGTTCTTCGTTGGCCATTCCAAGACACCGACGCCGAAGACGAAAGAGCCCCGCTGCTTCGTTCGACAAGCAGAAACGAAAATGATGTCGAGTAAAAAAGGTCAGCTGCGAATCATCCTTCTCGCTCTTTCCTATTCTTCTGTGATCGTTTTTTTGCACTAGGCTGTTTTTTTCTTTGATTTGGGAATATTGGTTGTTTTACGGGTTTCTGGTGGATTGTTTGTTTCTTTGTGATTTTCATTTTTGTATGTGACGACTTATGTTTCGTCATCAAGCTATGATAATTGTAATAAATGTGATCCCAATGTGAATTGTGTGATTGTGGAAAATGAAGTGATGTGAAAAATCAAAAAAAGCTTAAAAAGCTTAAAAAGCTTAAAAGCGAATTCCCAACCATTGGCACATCGGAGATAGGAAAAAGAACTTGCTTTATTCACACTGGCCTTTTGGTCTACGAACAACGGCCGTACTTTGTCGGAAGCGTATTTCGACCCACGATCAAGACGCAATTGCTCCTGTTATTCTAGGACCTGGATAGTATTTCAGTATACATTAGAGCTTGCTTATTAACCTGGGCAACGACACAGACAAAGGTTCCTTTTCGGGCGGGCTATTGTGGCTGGGATTGAGTTGTACATATTGGTGAAAAAAAAAGAGCCAATAGTGATATTTACTACGCAGACTATTGACAGTGATCTATTCGTAAATCTTTTTCCTAAGCTATGGAATACAATACAAAACTGTATGGTTCTTATTGCTCCATTTTTTCCAGCGTCTCTCTTGTGTCAACCTCAGAAGCGCGATAGATAGAAAGAGATAGATAGACAAACACACAGAGCAGTTTCAATACTCTGTACAGAACGCCTAGAAAGGGAACCAAGAATTTAATCATTTTTTGAGTTTAAAAAAAAAATAGCAAGGGTCATCAGATCATCATATACATTTGAACAAAGTCAATCTAAAGGGAAAAGAACAATGGTTCTTATGGTATTGTAAGTAAACAAGTACAGGAGTAGACTTCCTGTGTAGGGGCTATGCAAAAGGCGGGTGATAGATGTGGGATATATGGAAAGCGTTCTGTTCTTCACTGAACTGGCAAGAGGCGTGATACTCGCGAAGGAAAAATGATTAGGATTTCTGTAGAATGATAATAAACAAAGCGGAGAGTGCGGTCAAGGTGGCGGAAGAGGTGACAAGAATGATGCCTCGACTGGCAGGAAAATACCCATTCATCATGGCGACTTGGGCATGGAAAAACCGCAGGAATGCAAAAGCCAAAAAGGCGATGCCTAGGATAATAAACACCATCCCCGTTGGTCGACCCCAAGTTACCACATTTGGATCGTGAGCGACTGACTTGTCGAGGCGGAATAATTGCGTAATAGCTAAAATGTCATCCACATATGTTACGGTGATTAGGGAATACAATGAAAAACTTAAAAAAAAAAAAAAAAAAAAACTTTAAATGTTTACCAACACCGACGGAAATCGTCGAAAGGCTTGTCCGCATCCATGCCAAAAACGTTCTTTCATTAGCTGTAGGAAAAAAACCCATAGTTAGTATCAATGGTGCAAAATATTCTGGTATTTATTGTTTTTATCGTGAATAGGCTTACCTAAATGGTCTCTTGCTACACTGCCTTTGTTTTCTAAGTAGACAGAGGTGGAATATTTATCAAATAGATCTTCTATACATCGTATTAACGTGCGTCTTTTAGAGTGTGACTGTCGCTCGTTGGTTTGGAGGGTGGGTGTTGGCGACGTGGAAGATTGAATGGTCTGGTAATGAACACGTTCAGAAGAAAGCAAATGTCGAGATTCGGACATTGCACAGCACAGCTCCAAAGGGAGAAGAAGAACCAAACGGCTGGAAGTAGGGAAAGAAGGAAAAAAAAAGGTCGTCTGTCCGTCCGGATGATTGGCTCTTATTTCTTTTTTTTTGCATCAAAAAAACCCTAATATCCTGTAATTCAGGAGCCGACCGAAAACTTTATCATGGGCGACCTTATGCGATTTGTTTTTGAACCTGCCCGCATGACCGTTCAATACTAAACAGTGATTCCATCTCACTTTTTACAGCTGACAGACATAACATTCAGGAAATGACAAGTTACAATACAAAAACCGGACTACTCCACTGGTTGGGGTACCTGGAGGAAAACGATAACAATGAAAAATTGGCGCTTATTGAAAAAAGAGGCCACATCGGGAGTCAAGATGTCTCCTTTTGGCATGACAAAAAAAGCTGTAACAGTTTTTTTTTGATGGTTGATCGTCACCTCGAGTGACAATGGCGTGCTTGTTGAAATCTGTACAACATGTATCAGATATGCGTTTTATATTTGTGTAAAACGAGTGTGTAACCCATTTCAATGGTTACAAATGCCAAAAAGCAATATGAAATCATTGTTGAAAAACGAAAAAGAAAAACAATAAAAACACGCGTCACATCTCTGTGCCAAACACTTGGGTCCATAATGCACTGACCCTTTTTTTTTTCCTTGGAATTATGCAGCATGGAAATTTTGGAATTTCGTGGCCAGCCTCTTTTTTTTTTTTTTTTGCTTGCGTCATTCTCCTTTTCCCTGTCGCCTTTCCTTCCTTTATCTGATTACTGCTTGCAACTGCCTTACGTGTAAAAGTCAAACCTCATTGAGCATTTGGCAGCTCGCCCCCTTCGTTTCGTTCCCATCTCCGCTCGAAACCCTCCTCATTGACCATGTAAGTCCACAATGTTGCGAAATGGAGGGACTCCGGTAATAACCGTGTTGTTTCGCTTGGTTGCTTTTTCAGGTACTCCATGTCTGATATTTGGAGGTCGTCTGGATACGATCCAGTTTCTCGACTCACTTTGCCCGATTATGATACAGAACCTGGGCTAGGTAGGCAAAAACCATAAAGAGCCTGATTTAAGGGGTCCCCTTTTTTGTATCATGCTAACCCAAGCGATAGACTTTGACGCAATGGTTGTAAAGCAGCCAAATGACTCATTCTTTTCGAATAACAATTCAAGGGAAACATCTGATATATCTTTTATAGATATAGTGTTGTCCAATTCTGCGTTTGCCGAAACTTATCAACCACCTCGTAGAATGACTTCAGTGACCCCATTGAATGCACCACACATTGTTCCGTCTGCTTCGGTTTCACATCCTTCTACTGCTGATTTCACTACCGATATCGATCATTTGTGTCTCTTGTTCTCACCGATACTGACCGTGACTTCGTTACTCGGTCCGCTCGTGAACCCCACTTCGCCCACAACGATCGGAGCGGTGGCGCAAGAAAAAGCAAAAGCTCAACCTCAGCGGAGCTCTTCTGATGTGAAGTTTACCAAGCCTCCACCGTCTGCATTGATAACACCGTCCAAAAGCACAAACATGATCGTGAAACCTTCCAATTCTGTCAAATTACTTGCAGAATCCTGGAATTTCTCATTCCTGGATGAATCCCAGAAACGCCACATTGAGAAAAAATGGCCGGTTGTCAAGATTACCAACGTAAGTCTATCCCTCGATACTGTCACCATATAACACACAACTCCTGATATCCAGTTCTGATGATGGGCTTTTTTTTTGTCGTAGATTCCTTGGAGTATTTCGATGGACGAGGTGAATAGCCTTTTAGCAGGCATTGCTGCACCTGATCCACATGTAGTGTCACAAAACGTGCATGTAAGTTTGATCTGCACGATTATCTTGGTGGGGTTTATTTGTGTTTGAATTGATATTAAACTCGCTTTTGGATAAAAATAAAAAAAAACAGATTCTCTTGAACAAGTCAACGGGCAAAACGCTTTCGGAGGCATACGTTGAACTGGCGTCCGAACAAGACGTGTGCCAGGCCGTGGCCCTCACAAGACGCACGATTCGCGGACGCAGAGTTTTTATTCACGCCAGTTCCCAAGACGAATTGTTAACGGCTCTCTTTTCTCAGTGGCCTGGAACATTCAAAAATGGAAAAGCCATCATTTCCTCGGATACAATGTTACCTCCACCGTTTACTGCACGCCACGAACTTGAATCACTCGCGAGTGTTTGCCGGAATTACAAGGTAACAAATCAACGTCACTTGTTTTTTTTCCCCCACATTACTCACATTATTTATCGTTAGCTTTGCTTTTCTCGAAAATGTGGTGAACGTCCATTCGAACATTTCATTTCTCTTATGACCAAACTCCCTGTGGATCAATTTCACGCCGTTACCACATTGCAGAGGGATCATTTGTACGAGTATTACAAAAAAGCGACAGGTGAGTCATGATAAACCTTGTTATTTTGATGACCTTTGATACGCTGATGTGTCTATTATGTTTTTTGTTTTTTTTCAAGGCATCTTAAAGTCTCACATGGCCAAGCCTACGAACCATCTCCACCCCACCCTGTTGGAACGCATGGTTCGAGCCGCGCTTCAGTTTCCCGGTTACACTGTTCCCCAGAAAAAAGGCATCCTTACAGCCAGGTAAGTCCTTCTCTAATGCCCATTGTTTTCATTTCTGACATTGACTTGATATAGTGGCCTTCAATGTCCGCACGATCTTGTGCATGTGCTCAAACCTGTATTGAAGGACCCCTCACTTACCTGAACAGTGAGTTTTCAAGGAAATCTGTGCATACATATATCGTATGCCAGTTTATGTTTTATTGTTGTCTTGCTTAGTATTTACAGCGTTTGCGCGTGTATGTATGATATGTAAGTGGAGAGAGAGGGAGAGGAGAGAGTTCAAAAAAGTGGCCGTGGATCATCTGGGAAAGTCCCCGATTTCCACAAAAGGGCAAAAAATAAATAAAAAAAATCACCCAATTTCCCCGAATTATTTTGTTCCGGGCCGGAATAACGAGAAGAATGTGTCGAAGGTCCGGCCCTGTCGAGTGATGGTATACGTCGCTGGTCGGCGTGCAGAGGACGAGTTCTTTCTTCTTTGACTATTCAATAAGTGAGTAACCATCCATGGTGGCAATCCATCATCGGGCCATCCATATCATGGACTCCATCCCTCAGCAACTTGCATACTCATCATCAATCTGTTTCCTTTTTCAATAGAAATGGCTGACTCTGCAACGGCCGGTACTCGTGGTAAGCATCACCGAATGCTCTTCCTCAAAGCAATAACAGATCAGCCCTCCCACCTTGCATCCCGCATGGACACTTTTCTTCTCCCCAAAGCTTCCATGTTCATGTCAACGATGACCGATGGCATAATTCTACAAGTGTCATGACACTTGCAGTGGCGAGAGTCACACAATGAGCGAGTCTGTACCGTGGTGTCAGCCAAGGGCTGGGAGCTGATCAGTTTGCACATCGCTACGGCAACAGTCAACTTACCTGTATACCTTTTTCCCTTACCATAGGACGTGGCGGTTTTGGACGTGGTCGTGGTGGCCGTGGTGGCCGTGGTGGCCGCGGTCGTGGACGTCGTGAGGAAAAGAACGAATGGTAATTCATCGTTTTTTTTTATTTGACCTTTTGCTTTGGTCAGCTTGCAATTTATTGATTTATTGTTTGTTCTCTGTTTTAAAAGGGTTCCTGTGACCAAGCTTGGTCGTCTCGTCAAGGCTGGCAAGATCAAGTCTATGGAGGAAATCTACCTCTTCTCTTTGCCTATCAAGGAGTACCAGATCGTCGATTACTTCCTTCCCAAGCTCAAGGATGAAGTTATGAAGATCATGCCCGTTCAGAAGCAGACCCGTGCTGGTCAGCGTACTCGCTTCAAGGCTTTCGTTGTCATTGGTGATTCCGATGGCCATGTCGGTCTCGGTGTGAAATGCTCCAAGGAAGTTGCCACCGCTATCCGTGGTGCCATCATCTTGGCTAAGCTTTCTGTCATCCCTGTCCGTCGTGGTTACTGGGGTACTGCTCTTGGTGATCCCCACACTGTTCCTTGCAAGGTCACTGGCAAGTGTGGTTCCGCTCTTTGCCGTTTGGTGCCTGCTCCCCGTGGTACTGGTATCGTTGCCGCTCCCACTCCCAAGAAGGTCTTGCAGTTGGCTGGTATCACCGATTGTTACACTACCTCTCGTGGTTCCACCCGTACCCTTGGTAACTTTGTCAAGGCTACCTTTGCTGCCATTGGTAACACCTACGGCTTCTTGACTCCTGACTTGTGGGAAGAGACCGAATTCACCAAGGCTCCCTTCCAGGAGCACACCGATTTCCTCTCCCAGAAGCAGAGAAAGTAAATGCAATGCGGATTACGTAAATAAACGAAAAAACAAAAACGACCATTTTGCACCCATTGAAAAACTATCGTCCTCATTTTTTTCTGTTATTTTTGGTTATTATTCTTTCATTGAAAGGGCTGGCTTGCAACGTCTTATGTTCTGATCTGTTAAGATTTAGGATCTAAGAAATATTGATTCTAATAGGGGATACCGTTGGTGAGTTTCTGGAAGTAATCATAGAGGACCGTGCGTTGGTTTTCAAACGAGTCCTTGATGCGCATCATCATAAAATCGGCCGCCACACGTTCGGATTTATCCAACTGGAAACGTGTGCGCATACGTTTGATAGTGTCGCCCTTGAAGCACGGTAACCCGGATTGGAGCATCAATGTCACCAACTGCATAATCACGTCAGCGTACGGACGTGCCGCCAAATAAGCCTTGATCACGAGTTCCGAGAATTGCTTGAATGCCTGCTCTTGCGCATGGCCGCCCATCACTTGAATCATTTCAGCCGTCAACTTGAACGGCGAACTCTCAAACGTGATGCCGCCCGGAGCAATGTCAAAGATGAAACCAAAATCTACAAATCAAGATTAGTCGTAACGTTTATGCAGTGGAGCAACCACAGGAGAGGACTCACCAATATGAATGATGTGGCCATCATCGTCAAGCATAATATTACCGTTATGACGATCTTTGATTTGCAATAGATAGGAAATGACAGAGTAAGCCGCTACACTTTGTACAAAATTGGTACGTGCGCGTTGGAAGGCGATGGAATCGGGCCCGCCATATTTGGCAACAAAGTAATCGTACAGGCTGTTCACCTTTTCACGGCCCAGTTGATCGCGAGAAATCGATTGCGGGATAACGTCAATCACACCTCGTCCTGGAGCGGTTGCCACAACGCGATACGGGTAGACGTATAGATCAAGACCAATGCTGGTAAAGATATTCTTAAATACCGCAATCAGCTGCAACGCAAGCACGTCTTGGCGGCAGTCATCGCCCACTTTGAAGATGGCCGCCTGCCATACTTGTGTAGTGCATAGACTGCGAGTCTCCTCCTCTTCGTCTTCGTCCGCGTCATGGTCCGTTTTCTTCTTGATCAGATGCTGCTCGAGGTGGTCCTTCTCCACTTGCTTTTCTATCTTGAAAGTAGCCATGAACGGCGCCTAGGGAAATTCAAGGATCAGCGCGACAGTCCAACAACGTTTAGACAGCGGGACTTTACCTTGGCGTGACTCTGCAGAGGACGACCCGAGGTTCGATGGATATCAACGACTTTGCCGTCAGGATTGCTGGGTAAATATACACCCACATCCACCTTGATCTTGGCCAATTCTTCATCCAATCGTTTCTGGATATCACTCTTTGTTAATAAAGAACAATTCAAGAAACACTTGTTGCGTGTATACCTTTTGCAATGGCTTCTTTTCGTTTTGACCGTACTTGATGTATTCCTTTAGATAACCAGAGATGGCCGTTACCTCACCAAAGAACTTGAACTCGCGTTCATAGAAAGCACGGTCGGCTCCTGTAAATGAGCCCACCAGATTCTCGATAATGCGTTCCAACGTCGGCTTCAGCGGATCAGGCTGACAATACAACAAACAATAAAGCAAAATGAGCATTCACATGCTACATGAATTGATCTTTCACAAAGCTTTTTCTTTACCTTTATACATTCCTTGTCTGCATCGATAAAGAAATTGGCTTGCATGTTCCAGATAATCTGATGAGCAAACAATTGCGACACTTGACCGGCTTCCATGATGTATTTTTCGACGTAACCAAGTTCATCGTAACGTAACGCTTGCACGATCTGCGGGATGTAGAAGAAGACCGTTTCTACGGGGTAATACTCCAAACTGCGCATCGCATATTGCAAAATTAGAGGATGGTTGTTGTACGCCGGTAAGAAGTAATTGGTCGCAGTAATCGCCGGAACAGGAGCCCAATATTGCAAATGCTGTTTATAAAATAATAAAAGGAGAATTCGTAAAGTGAGCCAGTCATCACCATGTTATAGTCAATAAATGAAACAACATACCTTGAGATCCAATTTAGCCGTCGACAAAATTCGTTCACCCAAAAGAATGACGAGGGCTTCAGGTATATCGACCACATCCAACGTATTATTGGCAATCAAACGATGCAATTCCCTGTGTACAATAGGCACGACGAAACGAGCTTCCATTTGCACCGCTAATCGTGGTGACATTTCCCAAGCAAAACGCACAATTTCCTTCCACTGATCCTGTAAATCGCGAGGGAATGTTAATTACTAGAATGAATTGATACCACGCATCTATTGATTAGCGAAGTAGGTTACCTCGGTGACCATGGCGCGTTCGGTATTCCCAGTAAAACTAATTGGCTGTCCTTGACCGACTGCATTGAGTGGGTTGCACCAGACGGACAATCTAGTCAACTCGCTTTCCATGAATAGCATCAACAGCTTTTTCGCAAGCTGGTACTGACGCATCACATCGTCCTTGGTTTTGTCTAGGTAGATATAACCATCCTGTCAGTTCCTTTTGATTACAAGTTGGGAGAATAAGAAAAAGTCAAACTTACTGTCCAAGAACATGTAGATTCCCGCGGCTGTCTTGGAGCTGGATTGTTTGGGTGGAGAACTCGTTACGAGGTAACCAAGATTAGGTGTATCTTTGGAAACCGCCGTTAGCAGATCGTTCAAAAGTTTGATCTCTCGTAAAGCCAAGCTCTTGTTTGCTCCATAGTGCCATCTACATAATCCGTTTAGTATTAATCCTGCTGCATGGCTGCTTTCACTCCATCATATACGAACTTTGGAGGATTGGAGAACCAGTCAAAGGCAGCATCGTACACGAGCGATCGAAACTTGTGCTCCGTCAAAGCTTCCATCCGCACCGATTGCAAGACTTTGAGCCCCAGTTGGAGCAACTGATATCGGGGTGAGCCAGCCAGCGTATGGGTACTAAAGCATGAAAAAAGCTTGGTTTACAATGACGATCATTGATGTACTTTTTTTATATTTCCAAACTCACCTCATTAAGCGTGCGTTGCCAAATGTTTCTTGCAAGGTACGGACAAACAAGTTGACCAAGTGCTTGTTTCGATGACGAATAGCATAAAATCGGCTGCTTAAGAATCGAATCCATGTCTCATGCGGGGAGAACAGTAAATGCGCAATACGATGCGTGTTCTCGCGAACGACCTTGTCAGAAGGCGCATAAGTCATCTTGGTTGCAAACGGATGTTTCACACTAGAAACATGAGGGTCAATCTCAGAAACGTTATCATCATCCTTTTTTTGGTGTTGAGATCCTTACTTTAGTAGAGGTGAAAACAGGCCCTTGCGATGTTTCTGAGCCCAATCCCACATGCTGAAAATTTCAATCATCAGACGTTTCTCCAAGTCGGCTCGTTCGATCATGATCCAGTTCCATACAGAAGTGGCCAGTTCCAAAGACTTGGGGGTGAACAATTGGACAGGAATACGGACAATGTAACGCAACAAGGAGGGTTGCATGGAAGGCAATGCGATGGTGTAACCTGCCGCTCGATACAGTATGCGATGCAGTCTTTCGTGGCTGACCGGCTGCTTTTGCTTGACCGCCTCGAGTAGTTGACTCAGCGTCTCCAGCACCAGCGGCAACTGAGCCAGCAATCCACTGCCCGTGCTCTGATCCGGCAACTTGTCTGTCATCCCAAACTTTTAGAATACACAATAAAGCTTCCCGGCATGAATCATCATTTTACCAAAACCGCCGCGGAGTCCCGCAGAATACTCGAGACCACTGATTTCACCAATGTAAAACCGTCGCGAAGTAAATCCATTCACAAAGAGAGACGATTCATCCAAAGTAATACCCGGAATTTTTGGCACAAATTCTGACGGGCAAAGTTCCAGTTAGTTCGTTGTGCACCGGCGTTAGTTACAGGGAAATCTGCTTCTTACCTGTGGACAATTGGTTTCTGGCCGCTGATTTGCCGATTTCCAGAGCCAGTGTGCGTCCAAGGTGGACGGAATGAGAACTGACATCAGCGGTAAAACGGGAACAATCAGCCAGGTAATCTTGCAGCAGACCGCCAACTTCCAAGGGCGCACGATCAATGGATAATTGAAGCCACTTTTTGGCACTCTCGTACAAATGCGTGCATATCTTTTGACGATACGCATAAGAATCACCCAATTCCAAGGCCATGCCAATATGGCTCGACGAAAAGTGGAACTCGGGGCAATACTGGAATAAAGAGGAAAATGACGGTTAAACAGAGATAAGCGCCAACGACGAAATTCAATGACGAAAATGACATCGTACCTCGTCGCGATATTCGGCCTCGCAGCTGAGCCAAACCAGTTGGATCAATTCGAGCAGTAAGGTGATGAGCGATTTTTCGGCAAACACCTGAGGAAAAGCCGTAACGATGCGATCCACCGTCTTGACAGCCAGCTGATGCACTTTTTGCAAACGATGACAACACAGTTTCAGAAGGCTCGAGACTTGATCGGTAAGTCCGCTATTCAATGTCTGTACTGAAGCTTTGGCGGCCGCGTCCTTGATGAAAGCCGAGATCACACGGTCGGCAATGGTTTCCAAGCAGTTGGATAGCATGCTGGTATTCAAGCCGTCGTTGATAAAGTAATGCAGGATAAAACTGCAATCTCCCATCCGGCTGCGCATCATTTCGATGTGATAGACTGTGAGGGCAAAAACCATCTGGGCAAACGAAAAGTTTTTGATTTCATACGCGAGCGAAGGAAGGAAACTCGTCAATTTTTGACGCATCGATGTCATGTTATGGTCGGCCGCTTTACCGCCGCGAAGCACCGAGTTGTACTCCAAATCGCTGTCAAAATAGCTGGTAGCGCTGTCAATAACGAGCGCCGGTGTCTTTTTGGCAATACCAAGGAGATCATCGTGCCATTCGCGAATCCATATAGGTTCGGTCACAAATCCAAAAAGCACACAATGGAACCACATATTTCTGAATAAAGACACGGTTTCTTCGCTGGGATCGAGGTGAGGATTGAAATCATCATGATCGACCAAAGTGCGAATTGCTGGCAATAAAGAGCCCAACTTGGAAGCAAGATAAAACTCGGTAGGTTCTTTGCTTTTAGCCATCGTCCGCTGAATGGAATTGCCATTATCAATGAATAAGCGCAGAAGGCAATCAAGGTAGGTCCCATAGTACTCTGGTCGCTTTGACAGTCGTTTGGCAATCCCTTCGAGTGCATTGAGGATCTAGATAACCAATATTCGATGAGACAACCATACCACAATGGACGGAATGGAGCATAGGAAAGGATGAGGTTTACCGAAGTTGAAAGATGCTTATTGTCGGTGAGCAATGATTCACGATACATGGTGGCCAAGAGCTGGATGGTATCCAGGAACACGCCCTGAGGGCTCACCAGAGCTAGGTCGACAAGTTTTCCCGTAAGCGAAATCGTCGTCGCGGTCGAAAATCCTTTGCGACGAAGCGTGAGCATGGACAAGGCTTGAGCCATGACCTAAATAAAACAAAGATATGAGCGTCAAATACGAGCTTGTTTTAGCGATCCCAATGTCTTACCTCGTCATCCTTTAGGTAAACAGCCACACTGACAATGGCAGAGAGCGTGTTGGTGCACACTTGCTGCTTTTGCTTTTCGCTCAACTGATCAATATCCGGTGCGCCAGCGATTCGTGCTTTGCTATCTGAGAGACGGTGGCGTTCCGTCGAGGATGCTTCCTCTTCTTCACTGTATCGTGTAATTTCATTTAGTAATGCATACAAGGTCGAGTTGGCGGCTTGCACTAATTGACTTGGCAACTGACTCTAATGTACGTAAAGGTCATTGCATTCAATACCTAAAGTCGTTTCTTTTGCTAGAGGGGTACACTCCCCTTTTTTGTTTCACAAGCAATTTTTACCTGGACACATTGCGCAAGGCGTATGGTAGCAAATTCTTGCATCGTTACTGTGTCTTGGCCAATATCTGCTTTGAGCTCGAATACAGGCGAAGGCGTAGCCAAGAAGCGACAAATGACACTGATCATACTCTGGTTCAGATGAGTAAAGCTAGATGAAGAAGACGTAAGATTTCAAGACCTTTTAAACGCGACATTTGCCTTTGAATAAAGGAACTCACTTGTTTGCCAACAAGACCGCAGCATCCAAAGCTGCCATATGAACCCAAGCGTCAGCCACCTGAGGTGCATCGAAAAGACAAGCGGTGATGTGATTCACCAACGTATCATCCACTTCATGCAAGTACACGGACGACAAAGCCGCCAAATGCTGAATCCGGTCAATAAAAGAGCATCCATTTCCATGATGAGTCTTCTTTTTACATGTGGTATGACATGGTGTGATAGAACACCATGTCCGGATGGGTGGATTCACTTACCAAGCTGCCACCCATGATTTCTTGCATATACGCATCGAGAGCCCATTTTTTACCATCTTCGGTGCTTTTATCAGCATATTTGCGAATGTCATCGTAATAGCCCAAACTGATCACGTAGATCCCTCTCAAGGTACTTGTCAGGGCCTCGTCGTTCTCATTGTGAACGTCTCTTCGTTCGCGGAGTAAGGTAGACCAGGGTTGATGGATGGTTTGCGTCAAATGAGCCTTCTTCAACTTGCTCGAAGAAAGCTCCACGTTTGTTTCCGACGTGGCAAGGGATCCCACTAACACACGCGCAGTAACGTTGCGTAGAATAATAACCAAATCATTGACCACACGGTTACTGCTTAAGGGGATGCCGTTTTCCCAATATCTCGACAGCGTACGGCGACTGGAAGCGGATGGATCATGATCGCGCAAACAGGTTGTAATAGCATTACGAATATGTTCCAAAGTTGCGTCCTGAAGGAGTGGTTGCATGTTGCGATAAAGTGTAAGCAATTGGCTCGATCGACAAAGATATGGCGTTTGCTGAAGCGCACGCGATAAACCGGCCAGGGAAGGAAGGATAAAGGTCACGGTGTGTTCGGCTGTCATTGATTGTTAGATAATTCTATCAACACGAAAAAAATGGATCGAGATTGCTTGCTTACCATCAACGGGTAACTGATCGATCAGATGGGCCGCGTAGCTCCAGAGGACCCCCGTCACCTGTTCATACAATTGGGATTGTTTGAACGCAATCTCCAACAACCCCATCGTAAGGTTATAAGTAATTTCATCGGGAAGAGGCAGTTCTATGATGGATCCACAGTTTAGAAACCGTTAAATGAATGGAATCAAGTTGGGAATTTTACCTTTGGTCAATACAGATACGTCTTCCCAAGGAAATGCCGGTAAATGGCGTATGTAGGCCAATAATCGTGGCAACAACCGCATCTGTTGCTCCCCAGATGCACGTACAGCGTATTTTACCAAAGCAGCAATCGTTTGTCGGCTTCGTTCATTCTATAAAAAAGCGTCAGAGGAAGGGTCCCTGTAAATCGCACGATGAATTAAGCGCGAACAAATTTTTACCATCGTTGCCAAATTAGGAGCTTGGTCTTTGGTGACGATAGCAGTGGTGGATTTTCCATTGTCGATAGGCACCGGTGGACTTTTGCTGATGAGTCTGTCAACTTCATGGCTGGAAGCTTTGGCTCTTGAATCGGCCAATACTTCGGCTAATCCGAACAAAATGCGCGAATGGAGATCAAAGTCGATGCTAAATCGGGCATTAGAAAAAGAAGGGCGGCATGATGATTCTGCGAACCGATATACACACCTGCTCATTTCGCGGTATGATTAGGCAACAAAACCGGAACTGTGATAACAGTAACAACAATAAAAAAAAAAGAGTCGCTGAAAGAAGGTTATTGAAAGCTTATATAGAGAATGGTGACACCAAGCCATGGCCATCATCTTTTTTCTTCCGTTTTCGGCAACCGTGCATATTTTAGGGTTGATTTTCTCAGAGAGTCGATCATTACAGGTTTATTCTATATCAGGTTACTAACATTTTCATGTTCTCGTAGTACATCAACATTGGGTTTTCTCCACTACGAGTCGTGGTGCGCTCTACATCGCCATACCGTTCGCAAAACTCTCGGTGGGTCATGACCTTGACACTCTTATCGTTGCCAGATCCACGGCACACCAACAAATACATATCTCGTAGCAGTTCGAAATTGGTAGGGAAGAAAATGTCAAACCAGCCTGGCTGAACCATGTAAGTGGAACACGGAACCATGGTGCCCTTGTATCGTGTCTGTACAACGGGAGCATCCACGCCTTCGACAGCGTCAGGTAAGGACGAGAAATCGGATAGAATCAGTCGATGTTGAGGGAAGTAAGTCTTGAGCATTTGAAGTAGCATGAAGAGTTTGGTGGGAATGAATTCTGGGGAGGTCATATTGGGGGCAATAGGAAGACTTTTCAAGAACTTGTGCCATAGTTTCCGGGACAGCACAGGACTGAGATACCGTGTTTGCTTTCGCGTCTGCAGATACTGTTGGATCAAGTTATCTTGTAATGGTTCGTATAATTCGGTATAATCGCCTTTGCTATCGATGCTCACAATGCCCTGATACGGCTGTAACGTCTCGAGATCATATCGGATCAAATCATGCGCAAAGTTATCCTATACATGCCTGTCAGTCAATACGGAACCCCTGGCGGCCCGCCATTATTTGTTGAATCCCACTTACAATGACCTCCATGCCGAGGAAAAAGCACTGATCAGGGACGGTGACGTTCCAATCAAAGATACTCTTGTTGATCACCTTGACACAATCATGTCGCTGACTAACGTCGCGCATATCCTGAAGTCCCATTTGCTGTTTCGCCAACATGTCTGAGATTTCAATGATATTGTATTGTGTACGTTTGTAGACCGAAGGTTCGAATTTCTGAATATAGTCGAGGATATTCAACATGAGAGTACCGTTACCCGCACCCATTTCATAGATGATCAAATCCTTGTGCGGATACAGATTCAGCTTGTATTCGGAGACCATGTACTTTGCAATGGCATAACCATACCAGGGCTACAAACGGTTTTTTGAAAGCAAAGATGTTAAAAATCAATATGTTTGGCGACGGATGGGTTGGTGGGTCAGGTACAGCTTCTTTTTTCTCTAAGGCTTCTTTACCTTGAAAAGTTCGGTGGGTGTATGCCATACTTGTCGCGCTACGTCGTCTACTTCGTCGGCCTCACCTTCCATTTCTCGATAAAGACGTGCCAAGACGTTCATGAACTCCAAATGGTCTTGCATGGCGTTGAAGTCAAAATCAGTTTCTGGCGAGAAAATGACGGCTTGCTTTGAAAAGTAACCGTACTTTGGATTATAAAGCGAATCGTCAATAAAGTCTCTCACGAGCATTTTGGTGCGAGTGGGTGGAACGGTTAATTTGCTGGTGTCTTTGGCAGTTTTTCGTGGATAAAACCGACGAGCTTTGACTTCTTCTTCGTCATCTTTGGCGAAGAAAGGAGCGAATATACTGGTAGGTCGAAGCGTGGTTTCTGGTGCATTTTTGGCATTGGTAGCCAAGCAGCGGTAACTCCACGGTCTAGTTCTGCGTAAGCAGTTGCGTACTGTGGCTAGATTCATGAGTCAATTGGGAACCCTATTTCAACGCCCTTTTGTTTTTTTCTCTCGTCAGTTCCTGCGCCCGATCCCCGAAATTTTACGAGTCGCAGCTGACTGTCAAAACAACAAAGAAATGTATAATTGAATAAATCTGAACCAAAAATTTTCTTCCCCACCACAGATCCCTCCCCTCTCTTGCGATCCATCATACAAAATACAATAGTTGAGAACAGTCTATGTACGGATAGTGAATAAACTTTACTGTATTACGTGATCCAAATCGAGATTTCAAAAGTAAACGAAGCAGATACACGGTGTGTACGAGCAATATTACTGAACAGACACGTTATTCAGTAGTACTATAAGATTAGAGAACGCCATGATTAAAGCAAAGACTGCTAACACCCTCTCATATTCAATATCTTCCTACTCTGAAGAATGATTGCACAGGATCGGATGGAAGGGTGCAAGTAAAATGCGCTTGTAAGCTGTCAAAAAGGCATTGGGAAAGCGCGAAAAAAAAAAAAAAAATTATGACCGAGCCCATAATCTTATTTTCTGCTATCCTACCTTTTCACGCTATATGATAAATACCCGAAGACAAAATACAAAGCTGGTTTTCCCTTGCATAGCGTCATTATGTATTCATTTCATACAGGTGAAAAAAAAGGGAGTGATCGTCATGTGTCGTTTGCAGAACATCAGATAAACCAAAATAACGATGTTAATCGAGATATTCCTTATAACAAATAGAGAACATACGATCGCCCTTTCTGTCGAAAGCAAAAGCCACGAAAACCCTTCCCCCCACACATAAAAAAAAATAAAAAGAGAAAAATAGCAAACATCCCTTGTTTGCAGATAAAAGTGAATCGTAACAAATCAAAGAAAAGAAAACCCTTTTATTTTCCGGGCAGGGAGGCAGAATCAGAGACAAATGACGACCAGTGATTGCCTCGGTTTCAGAACATCAATCGAGCAAGAGTTTGTTGCAATCGAGAGCGCAGAGAAAAAAGGAAGACACAAAAAAAATAGCGAGCGTTCTTTTTTCGTTTTTTCGCTCTTTTCGCGATTTCCCGTACTGTTTTGATTTTTTCAAAAACAAAAACAGCCAAAGAAGTATTGGTAAGTCTTCTCCTTTCAAGACACATGTCCGTGTAACAACGCGGTGGCAACGTTGTCATCGGAGTGCATTTGTATTAACCTTTTTTTTCATAATTCCAATTCCCGCTCTCGGTTGCTCTTCTGTTTATTTTTCAACCTTTTCAACCAACTCTTCTCGAATCACGACACGAAAACCTTCTCATATGCAATCCACTTTTTTCCTACGATCACTTACGATTATCTTACTGAAATTACGCATCATGCAGTACCTATTCTCCAGCGTACTACTTGTTCATCACACATCCAAACCATCCCGTCGTTCGCTTATTGTTATTTCGCTTAATTGCGGGGCTTCAAGTTGCAATGTCACAAAGTAATGAGCTCTTTCTTCCTCTTCTACATTTTTTTATTTCAAGCAATGGCGATCGATGGCATCATACGGGAGAACTAATCCAAGCCGTTTTTAGATTTTGATCTACGTTCAGCCCCGCAAGCCGAAGACCAAGGTCAAAAGTCACAATCCAGTTCGTCGCAAGCAATACGGCAATGGATCCCTCAACAAACAACGAATCGATTTCCGGCACCGAGGATCTACGAGTACGGGCCTCAGCAAGTGCAGGAAGGTGACACGGCCAATGTCGGTCTTTCACTCGTCAATGTCGAATTAGCGTCCATGTTACGCATCGCTTTTGGCTCTTGCGTCCTACCTACCCGCTATTTCACTGTCAATCCTTCGTCCAACCTAGTGTCACTGACAGCTCTCGTGCCTAATTGGCAGCTGACACAGACGGCTGACGGATCCCGTGTTCCAGTGTTTGTTGTTGCATGCAATCCCTCGGACGGGCAGGAGGTTCTCGATAGCTGGTTTGCAGGTCACATTGATTATTATATTTCGCGGAAACGGTCCTCGGCTGAATTCAGAGTCGATTATGATGCCTTGGCAAAACGAACTCGATCCAACGAACCCATACCAGGTTAGTCCCTCTTTCCTTTTTTGACCTTGCACACTTTCACCTTTGCTCTTTTCTTTGCTTTCCGAAAATCTCCTCTACCTCAAAAAAAAGAGACACAGATAGGGAAAACTTTTTCTGTTTTTGTACTCTTTATTATTGTTTTTCAGCGTCGATGGGATTTATCGGTTCTTGCTTTCTTTCTTCCCCCTCTTTCCCTCTTTTCTTCTCTAATTGGTGATCTTGTAGATCCTACAGGAGCCGCCGCCGCAGCAGCAGCTTATATGGTACCTGGGTACTCTGGCTACTATGGTTTGCCACCGTCACCGTATATGGGTATCCCCGCAGCTCCGCAACAATCGTCCTCGCAACCTTCAACGCGGTATGACGGTAAGTGAAATCACTCATCGGAAGCTATCCTATTTATTCCAATTGCTGACCAAAACGATCCTCATCTCCGTTGATCATTGGCACCTATTGTTCTCTACCGACCAATCAAAATCCCTTTTTCCTTTTACGCCATTTTTTCCTGTTGCGCGCTTTTTTTCTTTTTTTTATTAGATCCAAATGTCGCTTCGGCACAAATGATGGGTTACCCTTACCGATCTACTCTTGGATCAGAATCTGCGTCAGGATTTGGTTACGGGCAACCGGATCTCTCTCAGACCTTATCCACCGATATGAGTTCGCTTGGAGGCGCGCCGCCGCCGCATTCATCGCTTGAATCCTCCACTTCATCCTCGTACTTATTACCCCAGCAGCAACAGCAACCACCGCAGCAAACATCACCCCATCTACAACGCCATCCCGGGCCTCCTCCTCACCCATCCAATGTATCGCAATCCAGTTACATCGAACCGGCCGTTTCAGCCGCATCTCAAATGTTGCCTGGCATGGGAGTCATGGCTACGACGCCATCCACCTCCTATTACGACCCATTCGCCAATATACTGAACAAGGCTAATTTGCGCGTCGAAGGCAATCTCGATGATATGGTCCAAAACTGGTCCGCCGAAGAATGGGAGAATCAGCGTCGCCTTGTCCGATTCTGGCGACGACAAGAAGGCAACGAAGTCATTTGCAGCTTTGCGCCGGTTCAGCTACCCCCGGACAAACGACAACACCCTCAGAACATTATTGTCGTCTCGTGCATATATTGGAAAGAGAAGAATGACTATTTCATTACGTCCGTCGATTGTATCTATCTCCTCGAGAGTCTTATAGGAGTAAGATTCACCGTCGAAGAGAAGAACCGAATACGACGAAACCTCGAAGGTTTCCGGCCCTTGACGGTGAGCAAGCTGAAACCCGACAGTGCTGAATTCTTCAAGTTGATCATGGGATTTCCGAATCCCAAACCACGCAACATTGAAAAGGATGTCAAAGTGTTCCAATGGAAATCATTGGGCATGGCACTGAAGAAGATTATCAGCAAATACACCGCCAGCTACAGTAGTACGGCCAGTGTCAATCTCGAAACGCTGAATGCTACCAGTAGTCCTGGCCCATCAATGTCACAACCGTTACCAGCCGCATCAGCATCGACAGCGACGGCGACTTCTGCCGCACCGGTATCAGCAGCACCCACCACCACCGCGCAGCCTACTAACCAGCCCACCGCTACTTCTCCTCAACCTGCCGCCACTACCGCCACCACTACTACCGATGAAAACCCACCAGAGTCCTCACCGTCTTAGACCGTTCACTACCCGCTTAAACCTAGTTCTTATTATATTAATCATTTAGCTTTTTTTTTCTTTAATCTCTCATGTACATTTATATCTGGAAGGTGCTTTGTAAGATAATGAAACCATTATCGGGTAATCGACCTCATTCAGCAAACACATGATTACAATAGAAGTTATTTTCTACATTGTGTAACCTCTCGTTTTATGGAATGACGTTTCCTCTAAAGTGAGATGGCCCGCTAAGAAAAGGATGACATGATCTAACAAACCGAATTATCTTGATTTTAATACAATGCAAATATCAATTGCGTTTCGGGTGATTCAAGTTGAAAGGGAATAATACAATCCCCTGAAGAAAAAACTGTGTGGATTCAACCTTGTAATATATCACTCTCAAACCGAGTGAGACAAAATCGTCCGGTTATCGGTGAATGTGAATTGTCAGGCTAATATATCAGTCTATAGTTAGGCTACCAAAATGTCAAGGATGCGTGGAGTGATATAGGAATGACCGAGAGGAGTATTGGAAAAATCTAGCCTGTATCCTAGAACCTGGCTTTCTTTCAAGGATGACGACAGTGTTATTACGGCCTTCATCGAGGGCTTGTGCCCCGCATCATGGATATTGACAAAGGCGCCGTTCAAAGGAGAAAATATTTTTTATTCAGCTTTGTAATCTGACTGCACCGTATGTGAAAGAGTCGAAGGGTCATTAAACTACGCAATATGATCTCTCAAGGTGACTGGCTGGGAAAATAATCGATTTAAAATGTAACACTGCCACCCTCAATTATGCTTTTGATGCGGAAGAAAACTTCATAATCAAGAGAAACCGGCAGAGCGATTTTCAGTATACGGGATTCCATGCTCGATCTCTCTGCGGCGACTTGGTTTATGTGTTTGGAAGGACACCATATCGGTCCTTTTTACTACCGAAGGCTTCAGAATCAGCAAAAGATGACTTTTACACTCATACCGCTCCTCTCATCAACCGTATACACCTATGCAGCCAGTTTGATTTTTGTGTAGCCGTGTTGAAGTCGATTGCTTTGCGGTCAAGGTGGCCAAGCCGTATAAATTTGAATTCCATTCTTGTGAAAAGACAGAAACGAGTGACAACCACGTTCGCCATCACGAACAATCACATTTGTTATGGAAACTCCATCCTACATCCTGTGCCAGTTTGTTTCAATAAGAAATATCTTAATTTATTCTTGAAGAAGTGTGCTAGCGACGTTGGGAACTTTTGGAGTTGTAGTTGGAAGATGATCATGATCAATATCGAGATCCTCCGCAAGTGTAGATTGTGGGCACTGAAGATAGATCAGGTTTTTATTCTTGCGATTTTGTGTATTTATAGTTATTAGCTGTCTGTTTTGATCATCGGATAACATTGCCTATTACGGCTTATACTCTGTGGCGGAACGCCGCCACAGAGGATGCAGCGATGGAGCCGTATTCTTTATCCGACATGGTAGGTCTTTTGCTCTCTTGGCGCTGTTGAGCTTTATCAGCTCCAGAGTAGTGGATGCAATATTTCTCGTAGCATTGTAAGATTGCTACTATATCGTCAATCTGACTGTGATACGCGAGAAGGTCGGCAAGAAAAAGAAGGCAAACGGATAGGAGACTGTTTCAACAATGTGTGCAGCTCCGGAGATAATTGTATCGCCATGTAAAATGTTGCTTCGAAGCACAATGTGTAAGAAACAAGTATAAGCCATTATTCCTTTCTTTTTATTCTCTGAACGCCTTACCGACAATTTGAATTGCTAAGCAACCTTGAATAGACCATTGATCGATTGCGTTCTTTGTCAGCATTTCCAATCTCACCAGATCCTTTGATATTGCCTGCTTGTTCTTTTTTCTGCGACAATGGCTTCACGTCCCACAAATCCAAGAGAGGCATCAAATAAAGTCCGTCCGACTCCAAGATGCGGCAGTCGAGTGCGTCTGCATAAAGACTCATTCAAGTTCATAAATATGGAATATTGATACTTACCATCGAAACAGTACAGCTTCGACAGGGTTATCGCAAAGTGGTGATAAGAGCGTGCCAGATATCTGTGGCGCAATTCTACTTCCATGATATCCTCCTTGAGTGCCTGCTCTGGGAGTTTCAAGTGAAAGAAATGCATACAATGCTGAAGTTGATCGGATGACCTTGGCTTCAGTGCTTGTTGACTTGCGAGCTAGCGAAAGACAGGAGGTCGATCTGGGCATCCAAACGTGTCGCCTTTCCCCGTCTGATGTTGTATTCCGACGTGATCATATCCAACACGAACATCATCAATCCGACCTCTCATTTGACATGGAATACTCCCTTCCATAATTCCGGATATCTTTCTATCGACCATCGTCTCCTCCTCAGACTAAGACATCGTTCTTCCTATCGGCAACTCGCCTTAAAAGAGGCGATTACTCAGGGACCATATAAATACCTATCAATGTTCATTGTGAATAAAAATCATATTTTCAGTCTCGTCGACATTTTGGCTTTACATTCTTTGACGGATATATCAGTTGTCTCCACCAAAAAGGGCTCTTCATATCTAGGTGCCAACGATCATCTCATACAGATAGAATGCTGGATAATGCCCTTGAAAATAGGATAGGTATATGAGAAACTCTGTCTTTCGGCTACTTCATTTGCATAGACATATTGACTCACAAGATAAGTTGTCCATGTTCAGTTCGTGTTGATTGATGATAGCCGTCATTTAAAATGCATAGAACAACATGCTGACATCCACATCGCCAATGTGATCACGGTTTGGAGCTGGGCATTGAATCTTTGGCGCCGCATTCATCACATTCGTTGTATGCATCTCGCCCCGTGGTGGTATTGTCTCCGTAATGTTATTGTCCGATGTGGAGCTGTTATTCTCAGTAGTGTTGGTGTCTTCCTTGTGATGTTGTCCCCAAGGCTCTCATGTACATATTTCAAAAAATATAGTACTTGACACTCCGGCTGACTGCACTTACATCTCTTTTGGAGATAGCTGAATCGTGTTGAACGGAGCGCAACACGCCTTGGTCACATTCTGTACTTGATGTGTCCATGACTTGGAATCCCTGTAGCTTGTCCTCGTCCTTATTCCGACGCTAAAAGTAAAGTATAGCACACATTGAGCACATGAAATGCATGTATGAAATTTTTCAACTTACGACAAGATCAGCATGTTCAAAGATATCACTCCATAGCTTTTGATCGTAGTTGATTCTATTGAAGTACTGTTAAAATGCTTGGTTTCAGCAATGCAATACCGTATGAAGAAAATACCTAGGATTCGACCTTGACCATATCGGGTATTAAACGCCGTCTTGGGAACGTCAGAGGCTTGGATCCGCACTCGGTGATACCACTCTTCAAATCGAGACTTGTAAAGTAGGATGCTCCCGGAGTTGCTCTAGGCACCCATCGATACGTGGGAGTGGTGCTTATTACAAATATCTCTTGTCCTCCCATATCGTCGTGAAACAGTTTTTCCATGCAGTGTACGAAGTACCAGGGGAGTTTAAGTGGATACTTGCTGCCCACACGCCATTGTCTTTTTTGTCAGTCTTTACTAACTCGTAGAAATCAGCGCGGGTAGCTTTTGTGGATATTCACAATGTTGTTCGTGACCGGGGTACATTGTGAATGCATGCAGAGCAGAGGAGAAATGCCGACGAAGGACTTGTTCACCTTAAGAATGTGTCCTTTGAGTTTATCAAATTTCACGTAACTGAGAGTAAGTTTCTTACCGCTAGTCTCTATATCTTTTTATGCCTACTTGTACTGGGGAAACGTCGAAAGCGGTAGAGGCACGGCAGCTTGACTGTTACGGTCCGACTGCTCACGTTCTCCAGGTTGAAATTGCCAAAGAAAGGGCACCACTTGCACGGCCGAGTTTGCCCTTTGAGGGCGCGATGAAGACACCCATGCGCAGCACTTGCCGAACGCGCTCTTCTGCTCATATTTGACGTTGCACGCCGTCTCTTGTATGCAATAGACAGTAAAGGTAATCAACCCTTGCAAATCCAGGCCACGTTGGTCAAGCAGGTAATATCGAAAAGCGTCGCATTGCTGAAGTGCTTCCAGGACGCGAAGGATATTGTCTCTATCGGACCAGTGCCTCCCTGGCGAAATCAAGAGCGACAATATCGTAAAGTTATAATAAAAGAACTTTCATCATGGCCTTCAAATGGAATAACTTGTGGATGAGCAACCACAAGGTCGCCCACAAAAAAAGAAGAAGGTGAAAATTGACAACCTAGAACACTCGCACGCCTTTTTTTTTCTTTTGCCATGCCTGATACTCGAAAAATGCTCCACGCTTTGAGGAGAAGGTCGAGCAAAATGATTGGACAGAGAAATTCGGAGCTCATACTTATTAGCCACATCGCTCAACGATTGTTATTTTTTCTTCTCTCTCAAGTCACTCCGTGCCGTTTCACACGACTTCTTTTCTTCTTCTTTTTTTCTCCATCTTTTTTCTGAAGAAAGTCAACTATTTCTTAGGCCACTAGTAAAGATAACATCGACTGATGGATCCACGTAATCGCCACCGCTTTGCACCGTATGATACACCTAATGGAGGTAGACCCTCATTTCGCGCGCCACCGATGGATGACTATTATCCAAACGAACGCCCAGGCTTCGCTCGAGGCGGAGGAGGAGCCCCGGGTCCCATGATGAGAGAACCGCCACCTTCTCACCTCTACCCAGGGAGAGGAAGAGGCAGAGGAAGGGCAAGAGGAATGAGATCTTATGGCTCTGATTCTTTTAGAAAGCCTTTTCGACCCAATTATAATGATGACTACTCAGTACCTCCTCCATCTTCTTTTGGTCCTCGCTCGCGAGGAAAGCAAGGCATGAGAGAGAATGGTAAGAGAGAACCACTTTAAACCAGCGCTTCATCGTCTGTTTAGATAAAGAGAAAGGAGAGAGAGTGAGAGTGAACCGAAACCCCAACCCGTGCCCGTTGAAAAAAGAGAGAGAATGAAGTACAGAAAGACCAAAGCAATTACAGTACATTTTGGAGCTGGAAAAACCACACAGAGTCCATCTTCACTACCGAAAGCCATCCAACCTCCCACATCATCTTTGGAGAGAGAGAGAAAGAAAGAGCGCGCATCAAAAATCAAAAAACATAACAAAATCCATGATGAATGCTCTCAGTCGCGTTCACTTCCAAGTTTACCCTACAGCCGTCGCTTTTAACTGACTCAATTGTCTTGCGTTACTTGCTACAGTCTTTTTTCTCTCGCTCTCTTACTCTCCGTATTATCTCTTGGACATTGAATGAACCGAATAACCATCCAAAGGAAAAAACTGTGATCAACCAACCATTCTTCACTCTAGGATATGAGCGCCATAAACCCCGTGCAAAACCTCCGCATGAGCCAACAAAACCTCCATATGAAAGACCCTGTCGAACGCTATTCGTGAGAAACGTAGAGGTAAAAAAAAAATTGCATATGTGTTCCGCACATCTTCTACTTCGTTCTCCTTTTTGTTATTCTCATTCTAAACCCGTTTTTATCTACCGATGCCAATCTCACTCTCGATAGTATACCATCAAAGCCAACGAGGTACTTGAACACTTCGCCAAATACGGTGAAATCAAGGATTTCTATGACAGAATTGAGAGTCGCGGCATGATCTTTGTTACCTATGTAAGTAAATTTTAAAGGGTTTCTTTGCTGAGATCCCAATGTTTTTGACGATGATGTTGTAGTATGATGTGCGAGCTTCGCAGCAAGCCAAGGAATGCATGCAAGGGACCGTTTTACATGAACGTGCGATTGATGTTCATTATTCCCTACCGAAGGAAGAAGAAGAGGGAGAAAAATGCACTCGAGAAAAGAACCAGGTACTTTGAGGAAGAAAAAAGGCCATGTCAGAGATGGTTGAATGAAATACTGAACCCATTACTGTATGATGTTTTCTCTTTCTCTTCTTGTGATGAACAGGGCACATTGTTGTATACCTTGAAAGACACGAATATCGTTCTGCAAGATGAGGAACTTTATGATTACTTTGGTCAGTTTGGTGATGTCAAAGTGATTCGCGATGCTCATTTCAGAAAACATGATGGAAGACAGCATGCTGGACGGTAAATATGACAATGACATTGGGGTAATGTTTTATTACGAGTGACGGAGAGCTCATGAGATGCAATCATTAGACAAAAATTCGTTGAATATTACGATTCTCGCGATTGTGTTCGAGCCTTTGATCACACCCACAATAAACCTTACAAAGGCGGGCACTGGGATGTCAGCTTTTTCTGGGATCATCCCAACAAGTAAGTTTCACTGTTCTCCTTGATATCATTTATTTCAATTGTGTATTTACTGTTGATGGTAGGGATCGACATGAGGCCATTGCCAAAAGAAAAGGAATTCAGCACGACCGACAGCGACAGCGTCCTCCTCGTTATTCTACCGATGATGATTCGAGATCGATAGGTTCCAGATCAGGTTACGGTGATGTATGTACACAGAACTTGTCCTTTTTTGTCCATAACACGGATGATCTTAACCAAGATTGTCATTTTCATCAGCCGGCCAATATGAATTATGGCGCACCTGGACCTGCTCCTCCCGTGTCATCGTATGGCTCCGTGGCCCAACCTCCTACTACTGACCAAGCCTCAATGCCTCAGCAAGCCTCGGCGGCTCAAGTGCAACAACTTTTGGGCTTATTGGTAAGTTTGATGGCACAAAGGAATGTTCCATGCCAGAGATCCAAGTATCTAATGTTGTTCTAGACGCAAGCGGCTCAACTGCAACAACAGCAGCAACAGCAACAACAACAACAGCTGCACCAACTACAACAGCAGCAGCAACAACAGCTACAGCAACAGCACCAGCTACAGCAGTTACCGAATCAGACAGTTTCTCCTCCACAGCAATCGATGCAAGCTCAACCACAAACGTCCTATGCTCCACAAACGTCCTATGGTGCGCAATCGTCTTATGCTCCACAGTCGTCTTATGCTCCACAACCGTCCTATGCTCCACAAACGCCTTATGCTCCACAAATGCCCGTCTCGTCGGTGAACTATACGGAAGCTCCAGCCCAACCGTCCATGCAACCTGGGACTCCGTCTTTAGCCCAATCACTGGCGCAACTGGCAAATGCAAACCCTGTTCAGCCAATGACAACAGCACCACCAGCGCAGCAACCTGTTTCTCAATCGATGCCAAGCATGCAGACGGTGGCGGCGTTAAGTCAACTTGCGCAGCTATTGCAGGGTCAGCAGCAACCGCCATTAACTCCACCTCAACAAACCTCGTATGCCTCTCCTGTGGGTGGATCGGTTCCTGCTGTAGCGCCTCCAGCGTCCGTGCCAGCTCCAAATCCGGCACCGACGAGCTCTTCACCCCAATCTACTGAATCCGGTCCTGAATCGCCAATAATCTATTATTTTGATTCCAAGCCGTCAATGAAGCCGTAAGATAGATCATGTATAATTTTTAGCCCAATAGAAGCATGGGAATCGCTTGGCTTTTTTCTGCCCCATCTTCTTCGCGTCATATAATCTCCCTTCTTTTTTCTTTTTCCGTTTGAATGTCTTTGTATTCATTCTTTGGTTGTTTGCTGATTGCGTATGGCCCAATATTGTCTATTTTCTTTCTTTATATTGCACGCAATGCACGGCATGTATTGCTGATGGTTGCAAGGTAAAAGAACTATTCTCATACACATGGCTCTCATGCTTTCATTTTGGATCGGCTAAACATGGTGCTTGGCAGCGCTTTTTTCTGTCTCATTGCGCTACTGTTATCCAGCGTCATTTGGTACTTTGCTAAAGCGACGCAGTTCAATCATGCTGTAAGCATTGTGTACAGCATCACCATCCAGGAGTTACTTCGGTGGTGCTTCTTTAGATTACTAATGTGAGTCCTACATGGCATATGGGACGATCGCATAAACAAAAAGAGACTAACAAAATCCAGTCGCGCCGAAGCCGGTTTGAATATAGTCTCCGTGAACCCCAAGTCTCCTTTCAACCGATCCATGTTTGCCTTTGGTAAGAAATTGATACGCTGCTATACCCGTCTTACACTTGCAAAACAAAGCCACAGTCTAACTAACCCCGTCTCTAGTATCTGGGTTCGGGTACGCGTTGATGACTTCTTTGGTAAGCTACATATCACTCCTTGTTGAATCCATTGGACCAGGAGTGATTATGTGCCCTTCGTGCCCCCAAGTTACTGTATTCTTTGTCTCGGGTAAAGTGTTTTTCAAGTCAAAGTATACGATGTATTTGGATCAGGATTAACGCGGGTATGATTCTAGCTATTACTACCACTTTATTTTCCCTATTACATATGGCGTGGATGATGATAGCTTTTGAAGGTTTCGCCAATATTACCCGATGGCGAGGAGTTCTTCAAGTCATCTGGGTGGTGGCTTCTCATTACGGAGCTTCTTACGCGGTAAAAATCATGGTTCATTCGCGGATTTTTACCCTGTCTCATTATTGTTCACAATCATTTAGACTATGATGAACGGTTCCAGTACCATTTACCTCGGTTGCGTCTATGCCATCATCGTTTGTATGGTGCTACTTTCTGTCTCTGTGATGATTGTCGCCAAGACGCTCAAATCCCGGTATAAACTTTTGATCACATCCATTCAATAGACTTTCATGACCCATATTTTGTATTCTAGACTTGTTGTAAAACTCGATTTAATTCGTTGATGACATTGACTTTCCAGTCGACCATCTTTATCCCTCTCCTAATAGAAATCTCGAAGAAAAAAAAAGAAATTCTGTGGATATGTCTTGTAGGTAGAAAAAAGAAGTGTTGTATATATATATATATATATGTATATGTGTGTCTTGTGTGTATATATTGTTTTGTGGGGAGACCGCCTGGACTCGGACAATAAGCAACCGATGAGATGAGAAGTGAGAGGATTATAAAACTGTATAGGTGCCCTACTTTTTTTTTTTTCTCTTAAATCTTTTTTGGTTTTCTTTTTGGCGGAACAGGTTCGATTAATCCAAGTCTAAATCCATCATGTCGGTATCACTGTCTGTATTGCGTTGTGATTGATCTTGCTCTTGTCGTCTTGCGGGACTCATGCGCGATTGTCCGCCCGGTCCCCATGTGAATGCGCCAGGGATACTGGTAGGCCATGCTGAAGGGGACATGGTCGATGGTCGTTCTTGTCTTCCGCCACTGAACCACGACATGGTAGAAGCAGGTGAGTTGACGTTGCTGCTGTTGCCATTGTTTGCTGCGGTTGAGTTCGTATCTGCATTCATAGGCGATGAGGAATGGGTGGTAGGACCCTGTCCTTCCTGCGACGATGACTCTGGACGAGAAGATGGTTGTGACTGATGGGCTGACCCTTGCTGCTGGTCTTCTGACGGCTGAGTTGTCGTTGTCGGTGCCGTCGTTTCAGAAGAGGGAGGTCTAGTTGGCTGATCCGAGGAGGCTCGAGGCTGAGACGGAGAGTGAGAGGATGGATGAGGACCGTTCTCGTTATTGTTGTTGTTTTCGGTGCCATCATTTCCGGAGGTATCTGGGTTGGGTGAAGCGGCGTTAGGATCCACGGCGTGGCGGCTATTTTGCAAATCACTATGTTAGTCACCGTGCTCACTTCATAACCGTCCTTCCCGAGTGTGCGTAGTATCATAGTAACTTACCATACAGGACAGGTGCCATTCATTTTCAACCACGGTTTGATACAATCTTCATGGAATATGTGTTGGCAGGGTAACTCGATTACTTGCTCCACTTTGGCAAACTCATCTTTACACACTGCGCAATCTGCCTGTCGACCTAATATATCCCAATCTTAACATTTTCCATTCTCTTTCTGTGTGTAATTCTTGTTCCTAAACTTTACCTATCTCCTCTTCAGTCAAACTGCGCTTTTTTAGGGATTCAATGACTTCATCGGATGCAGGTGGGGGAGCGGATCGACTGAAATCACAAACGAGGATTTTTAGTATGGGGTCCTGATGAAGGAATCGATGCCTGACGATCTTACCCTGCTGTTTGTTCCATCAATTGTGTGATAATGTTGTCTAGTGCATTCTGCGAGAATACATAATCGTTGGGATTGCCAACAAATCCGCTCGTCATTGGCGCCCCCGTCAGTGCACCGAGGAGTTGGAATATGCTGCAATCAAATCAACACAACTTTTTAATCAGATAAACCCCATCACTGCAATTCTTTGCCCAAGTGTCCTTACCTCTCCAACCCAGTCGGTCTTTGTTCATCGTTTTGTTCGCCGCCTTCGCCTTCGCGCTGCGGCGCTTGGTCGCCTCCTTCCTCTGTACGAGTACCCGTGGGAGTTTGTCCGGGTGCATTCATTGGCCGTAACCGCATATTGTTGTCCATGTAGAAAAGCATCGGTTGTCGTTGGACGCGTTCTTGGCCCGGTTCCGCATCGCCGTGGTCATGACGACCGTCTTCTCCCGTATCCATGGGTTGCGAATCGCCGAAGGTTGTAGTAAACGTGGTTCGAACATCCGCATTAGGTCCCAGCATGTTGGTGACCAAGCTTTGAAGCATGCTGCCCAAAGGCCCACCGACGGTCGCTCCCATGCCTGCCATGCCGGCGGTATTGTTTCTCTCGCCATTATCAGGTGTCTCGTTTTCGCCGCCTTCCGTGGTAGGATTGCGATTGCGAGGAAAGTATCGAAAGATATCGTCTAAATCATCGATGTCTTCTCCACTGAATCGGAACAACGTAGGGCCATCTCCCATATCTTCTACGACGGTGGGTCCTTGGTTTTGGCCGCTCAAGAATGCCCGAGGATCGTCGTTGGAATCGTCCATCTATCGACCGACAGAGGAAGGCGCAACCTTTCTTAGTCACTTTGTCCCCCCATACCCACGGAAAATGCCGTCAAGCCTCGGAAAAACGAAAGCTTACCTCTTCAATAAACTGTTCATTGCACCGCTGACAAGTCGGGTCAGGTGCCATGTAGATGGGCACCTCGTCTTGACATGAGTAGCACCAATACCGCGCTGTTCGGTTCGACTCGGCCATGGCGTGTTTAGTAAGTAACGGTACAGAAAGTAGACGACAAGGTAAAAGGAGGATAAAGAAATAGGAAGATAGAAAAAGGAAAAAAGAACCAGGTCAGCAAATGTGCCAGACGATGTGTCTTGTGAAAAGAATTGGGCGTTGGGGTTCGGTTGACGTATGGGAGAAGTGACTCGTCTTTTGGAGCTAGATGTGAACAAAAAGACGAATCCCGCCCGCCCCGAAGGAAAAAAAAACCAGAAAAGAAAAAAAAGAGACAATTGCCCATATAGCAGTTAGCAACGATAAACGGTGATATCCAACCAACAACGACCTACCTCGTCTAACAAAAGATAAATAAGAAAAAAGAACAAGACAAAAAAATGTATAAAAAAGATCCACAAAGATTTGATAACTTCTATTCCAAGGGCTTTTAATTGGGCCTGTGGTTGGTTGGTTTTTTTTTTTATTTCCTCATTAGCAAAATTTGGGCAAGTCAGAGTAAGCTGACCCGGCCTTTCCATTCTTTCACAGTAATCTGTAACGTGTCATCTCCCCGCTTGATCAAGAATCTAGGCGGCTGCTCCCCGTCATCATCTGTCTGATTATTCTCTACGTTTCAGCATCATAATATCGTCGCCCCGTTTCGACCGATCTTATGCCAATGCCATGACAGCCAATAACATAGCTCGCCGTAATTTCCAGGATCATCGAAATGGCCTAGTTGATTTCAGATTCCGTTTACAGGGAAAAGAACTACGTTGCGCCTTCCCTATCACACAAAGAAAACGAACGACATCCCCCTTTTTACTTGGCTGCAGTACCGTACAGGTTTTACTTAGGAACCGCTACAACTAAAGGTATTCATGTTGATGTAATACGAATTTGCTAAATAGGATAAAAAAGGCACCTGATGCACTGTTTGTATGTCTTTATGATGCGATGATACTATTTTATACGTATGACCAATCAATTAAATTATCAAAAATTGGGGATGAGGGTTATTAACATAGACCCACACATTGATAATACATTCAAAGTTTTATTTATTTGATTGTTTAAATCATTCAGTGCATCAAATAGGGGCCATTTATCAAAAACCCTGCATAGACATCATCTCAGCCATGAAAAAGCAAAAGCAAAGAAAAGGAACATCTCTCATCAAAATTATGACACGATGTCAAGAAGTAACATCACGTTTCCTTTTTACGTCTCTTTTTCAAACCTATTTATTATTTATTTTTATTTTTCACATGACAATAGGACAAGTCTATTCCCACTGCAAAGATCTGCTAATTTGCATATACGACAACACCGCATCTTAAACATTATGTCGACGTGTCGGCATGCTAAAGTCATTTGAAAACCAAAAGAACGGCGCCGTCAAAATGTCTCATACATACAGTAAAATGATGGTACTACAAAGGCAGATTGGTGGGACGACATGAATAAAATTTTCCACGAGTTGAATAAAATGCTTCAGTTTATGTTACACCATGTGCTTGATTCGCATCGATCTGCATGTGTCTGCCATCCACTCAATTATCATTACTCTGCAAATGGTTATAAAAAAATATTTCTCCGATGTCAACGCGTCTTCTTGCCGACAACAAGTCCCCTCTTTATGTTGACTGTGAATAAAAGGCAACAAGCCCCCTCTCAGCAAAACAGATGCCCATTGCATCGATTCGAATCCGTACATATTTCCATGTAGGGACAACGCGCGTTAAGCTACGGTTGAAATCGTTAGAGTGACTATTTGCATGAACGCATCCTTTTTTTTCTGAATTAACCAGGTATACCTTGGCAAGGAGTTCAGATCCTAATTTCACAGCATTTTCTTTGCTTCCAATGCATATTTCAAACGACTCTGACCTGAACACGCTTTTCTTTGCTTTTGGTTTTTGCTTTTTCTATCCGTCGATCTTGGCATGGCAATTCGGCAATCTATCGGCACCGGAATTTTATGGACACGCACTTTTACCTTGCTGTCATCCATTGGCATTATCATTGCTTCGCTGAGTGTTTACAGCATCAATGCGATACCTGTTGCTTCCATTTTACGAGCGCATAATCATGACCATCTTGTCGTGAAGGAGATGATCCAGGATAGACGATTGATCTGTACACTGGTCGCAGCCCAAGTATCGGTCTTTTGTCCACTTTACATGCTCGTTCAGCAACATCCTCCTCGACGCACAATTTTGGATGTCATTTGTCAGTTTTTCATGCCAATCGGGTTAGCGCTGAGCTGGATTTTTTGCATCTTATTCGATCGTAAAACCGCCCTTCAAGCAGCCAAAGGCACATCCGCGGATTGGTTCAGTTGGTTCACTGCCTACGACGTTTGCTTACAAGCCCATGGCACCGCGTGCACGATGATGCATCTGATTTCCGGATTCAAGCATGCGATAGCGGCCGTCCTGATCGTGGAAGTGCTTCTGATATGGCTGGAATTACTAGTGAACGTCGTCAAGCCTGCGAAAATGCCATTGGCATGCAAAGAAGTCAACGACGAAGAAAAGCAGCGACATGATTTGGAATATAGTTCATCTTGAGTGAAGTAGAGTTTAGATTCTGTAAATAAGGAATTCGCAGTAACTGTGTTGCCAATGGTTGTCACCGCCGCATTCGAAAAAAAAAAAATTGAATGGAATGTACCATAAAATATGATCCCTTCTTGGGATCGGCTCTATTCGCCATTCGTGCAATTTTTCTTCTACATCGCCCTTTTTCACTTGTCAACACCGATTCAGGATGAAGAAACAAACGCTTCATCCCTTGACTCTTTCTCATGAAAATCAAAAACCTTCACGCAAAGATGCTTGCGGACCCGGCCGGTCACAAAGTCTGCGAAAATCAGGGAAGAATAAAGTCGCCCCTGAACCAAGCCAGGATTTAGTGATCCGTAACAAAGTGGCACCATCCTCATCTATGCATAAACCTGCGCACGGATTTAATTCTCTATTTCGACGTCTTACACGTACTTCTGTCAGCAGAATGGGTGCCAGTTACCATACTCATGCCCATGATCCTTCATGGTTAAGGAAAAAAGGGTTTGCCATCTATCTCAAATCTCCTCATATCGTGGCCGGGGGCAAATTCTCCGGCACAACCGTCATCCCAATTCATCCGGCCGTTCCGCTTGATGGCCTGAGTTCACTCTCACTAACATTAATCGGTACAGAAGGTAAGGACGGCGATGGGCCAAAATAGATGGGCGATCCTTTTTGAGTTGATGAACCGTCTGATTGTAGTGGTCACCGATCCGTCCCGCTTCAAGCCTGACAGCCATACCTACGAATTTCTCAACGATAAATTATTCACCAAAACGGCGAAAGAGCTCAAGTCTCTACGCACTAAAGATAAGATTACCGTGCCGTTTACTGCATACCTGGGAAAGGAATACGGTAGCAGCTATAAGGATAACAAGGCTGCTGTTCTATATACACTGAAAAGGTACGCGAAGCGAAAAGCATAAAATTGATCTTGGTTTACACCCTAACCAACGTGCATAGTACCTTGACTTATACTGCTGTTAATCCTACCACCGGGGTCGAAACGGTGCAAACCAAGATCGCTGAACGAACATTGAATGTGTATGAAAATCTCAGTATCCACTCGCTTTCCGATGCATCTATGTATTCTCCGATTCACGAGCACTGTCAGGCATGGCGATCCTCGTGTAGCCAAACTTGTGTCAATGTGGACTTCAGCCTAAGCCGGAATATCTGGATCGCCGGGTCCCCCATCTATGTCAGCACCAAGCTAGACAATAACACGAATCACAAGGTAGGTAGCTCGTTGTGTGTTTGTCTGTTACAGGAGTATGTGACTTTTTTGGTATTTTTCATTGAAACCTTAGATTTCCGGCATTAAGCTTGAATTGATCCGATGGCAAAACACATTTTCACAAACGGGACTCATTGGCAGTTTTGAATTGATGCCCGTCACTTCCACATGTGAAGTGGTGGCGGAATCGTCTCTCGCGAATTCCGAGTGGTGGAACTCATTGGATGCCTACAGCGCCGACGATGCCTTGCTTATGATTCATGCCCCTGCAAATCACGTTTCAATTCGCCAGCAGAAACTGATGGATGTCTCGTACTCACTACGTCTCATTTTATGCTCTTCATCCAGGTGAGTTTGGATTGGATTTTTTACGCGTACGACAGTGTCGAATAGATGCTGAATTTGTCATTACATAGCGTGGATCCATTGGCAGAGGTACCGATCATACTGGTGCATCCAATTTCGATGGATCCTCCACCCAATCATTATCTCACTCGGCGATCCGTTAATCACGAACACCCTGCAGGTGTATTTCTAGAGAATTTTGAACGTTTGCACCAGGGAGACCACGGTTCTTTGGAAATCAATGCTTCAAGAAATTCAAGTACGACCATCCAAATATCCAAACCCAAGCCTATTCGTCCATTGGCCGCCATCCGCAAAAGCTTGATACGTTGGAGCCGACGTTTGATACAGCGGACAGCTTCCTTATCGTCTATAATGTCCACGCCATCAACTATTGCATCTCATTCGACTCCATTCCAATTACGCATTGGCAATTCCATGACACCCAGCAGCCTCCGGCTCTCCCATCAGCAGACTACCACGCGACCCCTGTCCGCTGTAGCGGCTTGCACTGCCATGCCGTTGCGCCATGGCCGCATTCGCCCGCCCAAGCAATTCGGTCATGAACCGGGAGCATTGCGCAATGCAGGACTAGATATTCGCACCAAGTTGGACGTTTCTACGGCTCGCGAAGCGTGGGAAGGGTTTCAGGCAGAAATACATGACATCAATGGTTGGAAAGGTAAAAATTGTCCCAAAATAGCAAAAGGATTCAGGGCCTAAAAAAATTTACACTCTTTCGAATATTGGACAGCACCATCTGAAAAGTGCGAGATTGACTATAAAAAATTGTCAACAGCGTCCGCTATCCCTGAAGACGGCAGCAGTTTACATTCTGCTCAAAAGGGTATCCTCTCCCCTACGCAAGCTGCCAATCGTCACCGCGCAAAAAGTGACATTGTCAGAGTTTAATACTTTCAACCAGATGAAAGAAGCTAAACATCTTTTTATTTGTATGCTCAGCATTTATTCAAGCTTCTTGTGGTTCTAAATTATAATGAAAATCCATATTTGGCTGAACCCATGGAATCACATCGCTTCAGCTCCCCACTTTCACTTCCATTTTTGCATGAGAAAAATTCCACAAAAGGCAGTCGATGTCACAAAGATGACATCATCATTACGTTTTTATTTATGCTATCTACATTATTGAAAACGAAAAAAAATATCAAAGGGGCTATGGCCAAATGGATAAGGCGCCTGACTACGAATCAGGAGATTCCAGGTTCGACCCCTGGTAGCCTCGTTTTTTTGTTTTGGTTGAAAACACCAAATTTATTTTTTTTGTTTTTGTCGCTCACGTTTGTTCATTGATGGCGAACTTTTGTTTTCGTCAGCTTGAGCAGAGTATTTATTTTGCGGTGGATCGTGAATGGCATTTTGAAAGCCTTTTACCTATGATTTTTTTCGAATCATCGACCATAAGTCGCAGGATTATTATTGCACCGGACGTTTAGTAACAGAAATTTTGCATTTATCGTATGTGATGGCACGAACTCTCTTACAGAAAATGACGAAAACTCTAAGGCATCCATGTACGTCCGTAGTGACTTTTTTTTTGTGAACGAGGGCATTGTTTTGTACGGTATATAAAGAGGCCAATGTCTTGTTTGGATCTGCTGTTTTAGTAATAGACAAAATGGATAATCTGTTGGAATATTTGGATGTGTAAGTGAAGAGTACATATTATTTAAAATTTTCATTACTGCGTTATTTGGCGGAATAAGAATGGGATAATTTAACTATGTAAGGCCTCTCTTTGAAACGCTTTTGTTTTTTGTTTTTTTTTTTTTTTTTTTAAAAAAAAAGAAGATTGGTTCGAAATTAGGCGGTTTGTGTAGAAGGATTGGAGTTGGGTGGCGTAGTAGAAGATAAGCGTAGTGGATCATGAAAATCGTGATGGGTGGTCCGACTACTGCTTGTGCTTAGAGCAGCTTCAGGTGGTCTAAGTAGCGGGGTCTGAGACGAGCCGAGGTGGTACGCGATGGATGACGATGTCGAAGATTCAGCATAACTGGGAGGCGGTGTCGTCAGTGGCAAAGTAGACATGGGAACGGTGACCGCGTCCCCGAGCAATAATGCCGTTTGGTAGGATGGCAAACCGTCGTTGTGGTCGGCGAAATAGGTGCCAAGTTCAGGATCGAGTTGAGCGAGTTCGATAATTAGGCATAGTCGTGCCGATCCGTATTGAGAAGGGACAGCGTCCTCGGGGGTGGGTCGACGAAAAGACCAGCGTAAACGACTGAGTGAATCTGTTTTCGTGAATTCACGTAAAATTTGCTTCAGTGAACGTTCAAACTAGGCGTCATTATCCAAAAACAGGAAAAATAAGGAGATAAGTGTAACTTTAAAAACAAAAACAGTGGAAATAGGATAAAGAAAGACGTGCCTTGGCGCTTACCTCTTTGATACGGACAAGCATCGTCGACCTTCGACGACTGGTCCAGAAACTTAGTAAAGCTGGGATCAGTAATAGAATTAGGGGATACCACATCGATATATCGGCCGAACGAGCGATCAATGAAAAGGCCGCCGAACATATGATACAGGATATAGCAAATACGAAAATGTAGTAATCGATATGATTCGATGGGCATGTGGTTCGGACAAGTACTTGCAGCTGTTGCATCCGATCAAGATACTCCTCCTTCGACAACTTTGTGTTTAAACGAGATGTCACAAAAGTACCAAGATAGAGAAAAAAAAAAAGAGGGAATATATTCCGTTTTTCAGCAATGGTATTACTTGACACATGCCATGATTCTCTTTTGTTTTCCCCTTTCCTTGCTTTTTTAAGCATGCTTTCACTTGAAAAAACTTTTTGGAGAAAAAAAAAAGATGCTTACAAGATCTGTTAAGCCTTCCAGACGTTCGTATTCTTCGCTCCAAATTTTTGGAGGTCGCCATCGCAAATTAAGAACTGAGATCGTCGCCAGCAAAGTCATCAAAATAAGGAAAAATAATGTCAAAAAGAAAAATCAGACAGAAACGACGAATTGTTATCGTGTATACAAAAACAGATATAAGAGAAATTGAGAAATAAACAAGAGAGAGAGAAAAAAAAGGAAGAGGAAAGAAAAAAAAAAAGAATAAGGAAAACCGAAAAAGGGATAGAAACAAGGACAAAACGATGATTCAAGAAGACTAGGGAACAAGGGATAACTTTGGGGTAATAAGCGGTACACACATAAAAAAGATAGGACATGAGAGAAGTATAAAGTAATAACTAGCCCAAAAATTTTCTTTTGACCAAGGAAAGTGGTGTAGAGAAAGAGAGAGTGTGAGTGAGTGAAAGAGTTGCAAAGGGAGTGAGGAGTATCAAGGGGGAGGAGAGAGGGAAAAAAAAACATATATGGAAGATCATCTGGTCCATTGCCATTTTCGTTTGTACTTTCTTTTCTTATTCCAATATGACCCGTGCTGGTAGAAGTACCGCTTGTTCTTCATCAATGAACAGCGGGCTGACCAGTAGTTTGACCATTTTTGATTTATCCGCGTCCTGATCACCGATGACGGTCATGATTTCTTCGTTGTAAGGAGTGCCTTGGGGAATCGCTCGAGCAAACACATCTGTATCACCCGCATGAATCTCCAGTGAAAGGCCACTGCATAAGTCCAGAATATCCTCCCATTGTTGTTTATGCTCGATGTGGCCCGCACCCAAGAAATCTTGTAACCATAATGTCATTTCACTTCGCAATAGTTGAAGGTACTCTTTTGTAGCGTGGTTAAGGAATAACGATTGCACCGTTTGTCGACGATACCATTTGGCGAAATCTGGACCAAGCGTCGACTGAAATCGGCGGATTTGATCTGCATACGCCGTGTTTAACAGGTGTTGATTTTCGGTGCCAAACGGAAGCGCTTCAAAATAAGTCTCGACCAAGCGGGAGAAAATGGCCTGTTCAATTTGAACAATATCGTCTGTCCAAGCAATATCCCGAGCGAAGCAAGTTAATCGTTCGGCCAATCTCGCCAATTGTTGGGTCAGTGTGCGGGTGTTGACAATAATGTAGGGTTCACGTTTCTGAGCATGGTCTTGATGTGATGACGGGGTCAGCACGTATGATTCCATGTTCACATGTTCATAAGGGCCTGCTGCACTTGCATCGGGTTTCAGCAGAGCACGCAAATTACCAATGACTTCTGCTTGATGCTTGGAAGCCAGTTGCAGACCGTGAATCTGTTCACGTAACTCTTCGTTCTCTTCCAAGAGCTCAGCGTATGGCCTTGTGACGGAAGCAAAGCTAGGTTGTGGTTGAGGAGGAGCGGCAATTTCATCGTCGACAACGACCGGTCGGTCAAGATCCTCGTCTTCATCACTGCTGTCTGATTGGAAGTCTGCCTGCGAACGAGCACCGTCATCACCGCATTCAGCTGCCACAGAACGAGGATACTTGTCTTCGTCCGTAAGTATACTGGCACTGTCGTGGAATGAGCGAATATCCATTTCACGCAGTGACTCTAACGGAAGACTGCTGGCGTCGTCCGTCATGAGAATGGGGTATTGCGCATGGCTGTTGTTTTCAAATCGATCGTCGAAAGTGTCTCTCGCGGCATCCAGAGGAAACCGGTGAGCAGTGACATTTACACCACTGATGGACCCATTGCCTCCGCCACCATGGCCACTGATAACAGAGTCTTGATCGTCCACCGTTGCGGCCACGCTCCACGAATCGGTGTCGCGCGATCGCACAATGACATCGAGTGTGTCGAGAAGGTCGGTTTTACGCAAGTATGAATATCGCGGCGGAAGAGTTTCAAGAGGCCGCGGAAAAAAGGCGTCTTTCTCACTACCCTCGTGTGAAGAAATGGAACTCATGAGAATATGCAAGGAAAAAAAAAAAAAGGAATAGAAATCAAAGACCAACGCAAAAACAGAGGACAACCTGGTTTCAGTTGCAAAAAAGTCTTGACACTAGTCGGAGTTACAATTCAAATTTAAGCTATTGGATGCAACAAACGTTGTCTCGTCATTGACAAAAAAGAAATAACCGAAAAATTCTCTATGACGATAACGAGAAATCCAAAGCCATTTCCAAAGGAATGTTGTATGAGTTGGGTAGTAGGACTTTCCACCCGTTTCATTATAAAAGAGGCGTAGTCAAAGCCAGAAACCTAGCTGATTTGGATCGGCGAAAGATCACACTGGGAATTTGTGTTTCAGCAAATTAAAATATAAGATGGCGATTTGGGATGGCAACAGTTGCAGATACAATTCAAAATAAATTCATCACTGGATGAATGTTCCTTTTATTACAACACTTTTTACACACCGTAATTATATGGTGACCGTTGAAGCATTTTTTTTAGTATTTGGCCATAATGTCCTTCATGGTCGTGGCCGAAGCTTGAAGTCGATCTTGTTCTTCCTTGGTCAAGGGGATTTCATAAATTTCTTCGATACCGTTGCCACCAAACTTGGCTGGCATGGAGAGAACGGCACCCAAATTGGGAACAAATACCGAAAGAGGACGCACTTGCATCTTGTTGAAGAGCACCGATTCACATAAATCAGCCACACAAGCACCAATACCATAGTAAGTGGCACCCTTCAACTTGATGATCTCATAAGCTTTGCCAGCGATCGTCTTGCGAGCGGCTTCCTTATCCATCTGTTGCACCTCAGGGAACGACAATAGAGGTTTACCAGCGACCGAAGCCGCATTCCATGCAATGAACTGAGAGTCACCGTGTTCACCCAACACGTAAGCGTGAACAGAGGTTGCGTTTACCTACGAAGAAAATTTTCGGTTCATCAATATTCCCGAGCTCTGGGATTTTTTTCCGAAAAGGGAATCACGCAACTCACATTAAGCGTATCAGCCAGCATGCTACGAAGACGAGTCGAGTCAAGATATGTGCCCGAGCCAAACACTTGGCGTTGAGGAAGACCCGAGAGTTTTTGAGCAATATGGGTCAAGACATCGACGGGGTTGGCGACAAGGATGATGATCGCATCTTTGCGAATAGGTTGCATACCGCCAATGACCGACTGAAGAATCTTGTAGTTACGATCGACTAACTATGGGGGCAGTTTCAGTCAATGTCATGCTTCTCCCAAGAGGCCTTACTTGCTGCATGAAAAAACTTACTTGAACGCGAGATTCGCCTTCTTTCTGGTTAGCACCAGCCGTGATGACAATAATATCGGCTTGGCCGGCTTCTTTGGGTGTAGCCACTCGTGGACGTGTGGAAGAGACGCAAGCGGCGTCACTCAAATCAAGCGTTTGACCCTTTACAATGTCGGGAACGACATCCACCAACAAGACTTCGGAAGCAACGTCTTTCAACATTAAAGCATAGGAGATGGAGGCACCAACGGCACCGGCACCAATAACAGCAACTTTAGAGTGAGCGACCATATTGTACAAAAAAATAAGTTCAACAATCAAAAACTCATATAGGTCGTGGCTCTTTTTATATTGGCACCCCAAAAAACCGTAATGCCTGTTTGACAGTTCTCTCTTTCGATTGGCCGCTTTTCAAAAATCCCATGCAATCGACTGAAACATAAAAACACAATACTTGCAAAATGGACGCCTGGGAGGGTCATAGCTTACAAGATCCATACATCATTTTAATACCTTTCCAGCTTCTTATAACATGAAGCTAATGGAAAACTATATAGTACGCTGTCATAAGCCGTCTTTATGCCAAATCGATTCAAAAATAAGAATCCACATCGCGCATCATTCTGTGCGCATGAACCATTCAAATGTCGCTCATACCAGAAAGAATGTCGCGCTGTGGGAATTTTTTTTCCAAACTAAAAAATCTGGGCAGCACATTGGTGGAGATGGCTGTGAGCTGGCCACTGCGGATAGACAGTGTCGAAATAACTTCTCTATTGGTGGTTCAGTTGGATACCAAACTGCAAGCACGTAAGCTCTTTATTTTTTTGGGTTCCCACGGATTTATGCAGAATTTCACAGCCAGAGATTGACAGATGCAAAAGTAAGTGAGTTTATTTTATATATACAGATATTGAAAATGCGAGAACTGAAAGTATGAATTTTGGGAGTCAAAAATCTAGTACTTGGAAACGATGGCCTTCATGGCTTCAGCGGAAGCCTGGAGTTGCTCTTCTTCTTCCTTGGTCAAGGGAATCTCGTAGATTTCCTCAACACCGTTGCCGCCGAACTTGGTGGGCATGGAAAGAACAGCGCCCAAACGGTCGACAAAGACAGAAAGGGGACGGACTTGGTTCTTGTTCAAGATGATGGATTCGCAAAGATCAGCAACGCAAGCACCAATACCGTAGTAAGTAGCACCCTTCAACTTGATAATTTCATAGGCCTTTCCGGCAATCTTTCTGCGGACCTCTTCCTTATCCAACTTTTGAATTTCAGGGAACGACAACAAGGGCTTGCCAGCAACGGAAGCGGCATTCCAAGCAATAAATTGGGAGTCACCGTGTTCACCAAGGACGTAGGCGTGAACAGAGCTGGGGTTGACCTGTAGAATATCTCGATTAATTTTCCTTTCTTATGTCGCCCACACTTTGTTCAATTCCAGTACTTACGTGAAGGGTATCAGCCAACATGGTTCGGAGACGGGTAGAGTCAAGGTAGGTACCGGAACCAAACACTTGGTTTTGGGGAAGACCGGAAAGCTTCTGAGCAATACGGGTCAAGACATCGACGGGGTTGGCAACAAGAAGCATGATAGCATCCTTGCGGATGGGTTGCATGCCACCAATGACAGACTGAAGAATCTTGTAGTTACGGTCAACCAACTATAGAGAAAGGGAAAACAAAGGAAGGAGTGTCAGATCACATATATTCATCACACCAATAAAACAATTCAATTTCTCTGAGAATAATTTGCGTACCTGAACACGGGATTCACCATCTCTTTGGCCAGCACCGGCAGTGACGACGATAATGTCGGCTTGACCGGCTTCTTGGCTGGTGGCGACGCGGACACGGGTGGAAGAGACACAAGCGGCATCACTCAAATCGAGAACTTGACCTTGGACGATATTGGGGACAACATCCACAACAAGGATTTCGGAGGCAATATCCTTCAACATCAAAGCATAAGAGATAGAAGCACCGACGGCACCGGCACCAATGACAGCGACTTTAGCGTGAGCGACCATGATGATAAATTAGTGAAATATAAAGAGAATTTTGTATTTGATACAGGGGGGCTCATTCATTGCTGTGCTTTATATATACTTGTGTGAAAAAATAGAAAAACGTCATGCCACTGTTCGATAATTCTTCAAGATTTTTCTGCCCACCGAACATTATCGGCGGGCTTTGATTTGTAATTTTTTTTGTTTTTGATCAATGTTTCGCTTGGACCCTTTGCAATGTCCCATGTCATTTAGCACAAATAACCACTTAAAACCACATCGGCGTGCATAATCAAAGGTCTTCTCGGACTGGTTATTGCACCGATATATGCGCTGAATACCGTGTTAATTTTTCTTGAGAGAAAACGGTAAAGTGGCTGCAAACCTCGAATCATGCCACCGTAGATGGCCAGCGATAACAGGGCAGATGATAATTGATACTCCGAAATGAAGCCACGTTCCAACATTGGAAGAATCCCAGAGTCACTGGTGGGTCAGACAAACAGAACAAACAGGTTGTTGTGAGTAACAGTACATAGAGAATTTTTTTATTTTACAAGAATAGAATGATTTGAATTTTCTTTTTTTTTTCGTATCATGCAATATTTTTCAAAAACAACAAAGTGATGAAAGAAAGCCAAACGTACAACTTTGATATCAGTGGGCCGATCGCGATGGAAACAAAAGAAAAAGAGAAACATCGGGATGTGGGCGATAATAAAAAAAAATTGTTTTTCGATGGAAGTTTATCGCAATGCAGATCAAAAGCATAATGAAACCTTTTGATTTTTATCGGTCGTCCAGGCCCAGGGTTGGGTTGTGCATTAGTTTCTGATCTTGAGTCTTTGAAGGGGATATCTTCGTCGCAGCCAACTTCGTACGGGGCCCAAAATTACCAATAATTCCCAGGCGTTCGTAGCGATCATGTTACCAATGGAATAAGCCCACAATTGATATCTGAACGGTTTGGGTAGTACATTGTGGCCCAATGGATTGTTGTAGGGTTCAATGTAAAAATCGGGCCGTGGATAACCAAGCGATACCAGGACATCCGGGTTGCCGCAATTCAACCGTACAAGACATCCGAATGCATTAGGATCTAAATATGCAGTCACCCACGACAGAATAATTTTTTTTTTTTTATCGCGTGGTTAGTAAAAATAAGAAACCGGTTATTTCCATTTTTGAACTTCCGTCTGCGAGGAACTTACCGGCCAATTCCCAGAAACTCACAATGGCCACAAACAGCGACCAAAAGAATATCAACATGTAATTGTGATACCACCGCTTTCGAAACGTATAGCCGTAGTTGAAAATGAGAGCGGCATTGACAAATTGATACAGTGAAATAAAAGTCAATACATCGGCTTCGAAACTGTCGCCCAGCAACCACCATTTCGAAGCGTCCGTGGCACGTGCATCCCATTCATGGCAGCGGAAGAAATCGTCGCGGGTGTAAAGCCAAATGTAAGCGCCTACAAGAAACCAGATATTGATAAACAGTTGGCCGACCACCGAAAGCAGAACTTCAGGGCCAAGAATCTGGGCGGTAGGACGATGGTACGATAATTTGCTGGCAGCCCCCGCTTGTGTCACCGCAATGGCGCAGAACACCGTGATAAATGCATCCACGAGAATAAAGTTCCATTGCGAAAAGGACATTGTATAATAAAACGTGAGGAATTTCACCGTTGCCATGGTCTCACCATACATGATCAGATATTTGTAACTTGCAAACGACGTTGCTAGAGCCGCGCGGCCTTCAATAAGAAGATCCACGCAGGATTGCACGGACCGTTTCGGGGTACTGAACGGACTGACTACCGACGCTTCGGCTTCCGACATGGCAATACCAACGTGCGCTGATCGCAACGCACCACAATCGTTGCCTCCATCACCGCACATGGCGGTAATGGCCCGTTCCATGAAAAGTTCCACACATGCCATTTTATCCACGGGTGTCATTCGCGCAAAAATGCGAGTGCAGAACAGGTAATCTCGCATCCGTTCCTGGGCCACCAACAATCGAAATGCTCTACCAGTCACGGCAAGTTCCAACGATGTGTTTGGATCGGCCAGCGATTTGTCAATATCCACGGGCTTATTGGTCTCGGCATCCACCCAGACAATGTGGTCTTTGTCATGGTCGATCACATCGCCTACCGCCACTCTGGCTTGAGAAGGGACCAATCCACACGCTTGACCAATAAATACACCGGTCAAAGCGTTGTCACCGGTAATCATGACAGTTCGTGTATCTCCTTCTTTCAATTGGCGGATAGCATCTGCAGTATCGGGCTTTAACAGATTCTTGAAAAGAACGAGACCGACAAACGACAGGTGGGATTCCAATTGATCACGCGTCCAATTCTTCACCGCATCAATATCGACATCGCGTCCCAAATCGCGGTGCGCCATGGCCAGAACGTAACAGCCTTCACGGGCCAAATGGGAGGTGCGTTGGGAAAAGTCCGAGGGAATCGAATCGGGTCGTGACAGTTCCTGAATACGTTCAAAAGAGCCTTTGCAAAACACATGGACGTGACCGGTGGCACGATCGAGGATAGCGACGGACATTGAAGCCCGGGCGTGCTGGAACTCGAAGCGTTGGATGACTTGGACTTCGTTGGACATTTGACCCGGCTTTTCGATGGCGAGGCGGATAATGTCGTCATTTTCGGTATTGCCCAAGGTCGCTTGAGTGGCTTGAAACATGACAATATCGACCGGGTTACCGATGTATTCGCTGCCAAGCGTAGTGACGGAATGACATGAAGCAATCCCTAGTTGGAGCACATGGTCGGTCGGATTCTCGGTTTGCAGTGCTTGGTAGTCCGCCTTGAAATCACCAAACTGGGCTTGTTCAGCCGGGTAAGCACCGTAGTATTCCAGCCCTTCTCGTGTCAGCGTGCCTGTCTTGTCAAAACAAAACACTTGCACTTTGCCGGCCATCAAAATACGTGAAAGATCCACACAGAAAATGCCTTTGCGCTTCAGCCGGCCAGCAGCGACCGATTGTCCGACCACCAAGATAGCTACAAAAAAAAAGTTAATAAGTGACCGCAGGAATCAAACTGAGTACTCTGTGATTAATTTACCGGGAAGTAAAGGATTCATGACTTGAGCGGCGCAAATGGTACCATAGAACCATGCCGTCATGCCGGTGCCACCGAGCCACCATGAGCCGATGCCCAAGAGGAATAATGCATAGCACAAGAGAATGCAGAAAACGAGTTTCAGTTGCTCGTGGAAAATGAAGGAAACAGGTTGAGGATACAAAATCTTTTGCACAAGTTGGCCTTTGTCCGTGTTGGTACGCGTTTCCAAGACCAGCGCCACCGCCGAAGAGGAAGCCTGTTTGATCGTGGTGCCTGCAAATAAACTTTGGATTTTACCAGCCACCTGACGATCATATGGCTGGCCATCATCACGCAGCGGGAATTTACGAATCGGCAAAGGTTCGCCCGTCAACGAACTTTCATCCACGACAATATCACCTCGCAAGACTACCGCGTCGGCAGGAACCACTTGGCCCGACAAGGCTTTGAATACGTCCCCAGGGACCAATTCCGCGGTTGATTCCTCAATCCATTCCCCATCGCGCAAAACTGTACAAGTGTCCACGTGTTCGGCCATGGCTTTGATACGATACTCGGATCGCAAACGCACAATGACCTTGATAATGGCCGCAAGTAAAATGACGCCCGTATCCGAAACACCAATTTGCCAGTAAGCCAGATAAAAGTAACACCACAAGATCATGATTTGGTATATGTAGAAGAATCCAGTCAACCTAAAGGATTGTAAGGAAGAAAAAATCTGAGGCTCATGCATAGGTATGGCACTTACTCTTCCCAGAGGGCTTGCACAAAATGAGGGACTTGGACGGCAATAAAATTCGGACCAAGCATTTCCATGCGTTCGTTGGCAGTTTCCATGGATAAACCGGCTTGCATTTTCAGCAAATGGGCCGGGTCGGTGCCCAAGTCAATGGAGGAAGGTTCAAAGGTACACAACCTTGTATTGAACATGTAACGTGTGCTTTGGAATTCGAAGTAGCGATGTTTCAAGGTCGTACGATGGACAGGCGAGGTAACAATAAACATGTCAAATTTGAGATGACGTCGTATAGCCGATTCGATCGATTGCAATCGTTGCAAAGCAGGAGATGCATCTGAGCCGCCAGCATTCAGCATATGCAAGACTTGGCGTGGTTTTTCGATCTGCACGACCGTTGCCACATCCAGGGAATGTCGAATTCGAAAGAAATTTCGCAGTTTCGACCGCAGCAGGTTCAGTACAAGATACCAAGCGGTAGAAAGAAACCATATCAAGCAGAACGCTTTACTGGACAGATCGTAAGAATCGTAGAACAGTCCATAAGGGATTCCATTGACCTATCCAATTGCCACGCATTATTATCAAATAAAATGTTGGTCTTTTTAAAGACAAAAGGAAATACACTACTTACATAACCGTAATAATCCAAACTGATCACAAGCAAAAATATGGTCCAGCCAATGGAAGCCAGTGTAAGGTACGAAACCATGAGATTTCCAAACCAGTCATTACAGTAGCCTTTCAAAACGAGTGTTTCTGATAAATCTTCTTCTGAGACCTCACTCTCCGCCGTTTCAGTTACTTTTTCTTTTTCCTTGGCAGATGGATCCACGTCCAAAAGTTCGACAGGATCGATGAGTTCACTGCTTTGGTGATCAAAAGGCTGAAATTTTCGTGCGATTAGGATTATAAAAATCACTTTGTGAAAGGAATTACAAAGCAGGTTTACCTTTTCCCGGTAACGTTTATACAAGGTCCACAACCCCAGAAAAATGAAAAAAGGGAAGTACATGGCGAAGAAGCTGATCATGAAGGGGGCTACATACCATGTGAGTATCCCCATCCTTGCACATTAATTTATCGTAGTTTCTTTTTTACGCCATGTTTTACCTTTTGTTGGGAAATTGATACCGGCCGGAGGCGCGCATACATTCCATACGCTGAATTTCGATGAGGCTGCGGGTTGAATATCGGCCCAAGTGGGATATCCGGTGGGCACGTTCAAGGCCGCTGCGCAGGCTTGGTAGGTTTGTGTATTGGCATTGGAAGTATCATAATGGGGAATATCAACCACTTGCGATGCTCTGCAAGCCTGCAACACGATGCCGGGCTGAGACGGACAGCTACAGATATTGACGACACCATGACAATCACCGCGACACGAACCGTCGCCGCATAAAGATTGGCCGGTCGGGCATGATTGAGGTCCGACGGCGGTAGGACAATCACTCGTATTGGTGACACAGAGCACAGGACATCGAACGTTGTACTTGGTTACAGCAGGACATGTTGTTCCGTTGTAATAACGACCATTCACTGATTTGCATATACAAATAAACGAAAAAAATAAAAACGTTTTAAACCGGATATTCTTAAGTAAAATGGTTCTTTTTGAAATTATTTTACCAGTGTGGAACCGTGGTAGCGCCTCCACAGACCAAAATAAAGACAGTCCCACTAACAGTGTAAAGACAATCTTGAACGATCGTTCCATATTCTTTTGTGCAAGAATAAAAAGAGAGAAGAAAGAAATCAAAAAGTGCCACTTCAAAATTGAAAGCCTTTTTTACGACACTGACAAAATATCAACAAAAAGTAAAGAAAAAAGGAAAGAAAAAAGATTGATTATTTTAGGAGAAACGCAAACAGAAAATAAAAAAAAAAGAGACGGTGACCCAAAAAGCCTCACACCGATGGTTTTTAATTTGGATCAATAAGCAAATGATTGCACGGGCCCCCCAAAAAGCCACATGGAACTTTTTTGAAAGCTCACGTCAAATTCACTCACTATTATGACGTTTTCGTTTCTGCCAATAGCGATGCAACAAGGCCATGATAAAGTACATACTCAAGATAACGATAAGCACCTTCATGAACAGAGAATGACTGCTCGCTTCTTCATGTGTAGGGACCCACGGAGAAGGTTCCACATGAGGCATCGGTTGTGCCACTTGAGACGGTACTGATATCGCTTGCGAAGATGGTAAAGGTGGTAGTTCGATAGTGGATGCGGGTATGCTGGTGGATGGAAACATCGATTTTCCATGGAGTTTTAGATGAAATGCAGTTTCGGGGAGTATATGAAAATTCTCGTAATCCAACTGTGGATCGTCGAATAAATAAACAAAATCATTCGGTACTTTTGCGATAATAAACAAATAGCCAACGACTTACCACAACCATGCCCTGGACGCGTAGCATGGAGGATGAAAGAAGGGCATTGGAAGGTCGGAAGCGCCACTTGGCGGTGGTAGGCCATGATTTTAGTCGGGGGTCCATCTGTCCAAGTACCGCCACGATCTCGTCGTCACTGTAGCTACCGTCGTCATCGTCACAGGAAACAGGGCCAAACAAACTTTCATCAAAGTCGATAAATTCACCTATCGTTTGATTATTTTCATTCTTGACTTGCAACAACAGGCCTTGATAAGGTTCTGGACCAGTGATACTGATGGTAATCGGGGTCAGGTCCACGATCTCCTTGGGAAACACATGCACTTGGTAGCAGTCAGCACAGGTTGATTTGGACGGACCATGGCCCAAGACGCTCATGGTCTCAATATCACACTACAACACCCCGATTATAAGCTTTAACGTTCTCCTGATCCACTGATCTCAGCGTTTCGACATTTTGTGCCTCGTTTTGGTTTTGTCATGACGACACTTACAGTTCCAGGTGTACTGGGATAACTGACGACTGACCATGGTAAGATGAGGAGTGTCAATAGTAATCGAAGTCCATGGAATTGGCTGAATGTCATGGATAAGAGATGAATATCGTCGGTGTCTTGTCCTGTAGCCTTAAAAGTCACAAGTGCACAGACTATGGCACTTGCGGAGCGTCAAATTCGCTCGACGAAAAAGCAACAGCAGAGTCTCAAGATGGCAATGATGGCAACGGTATTATAATGGGTATACGTTTTTTCATCTTTGAAAGTAGAAACGCTTTCAATGTTTCGATGAGGGAAATCGGTGTGAGAACAGTGAAACGAACATTTATTGTTTTTAAGTTTTTGTAACCAGGTAAAAAAAAAAAAAAAACCACTTGATCCAACTTCTAGGAGGGTCTTGAAATGGATTCAGAGTGCTGATCCATGAAAAATACAAGAGAGCAATCACCTACAGGAGAATACAAAGAGAGACATCTAACGCATGTTAACTCGGCTCTTCTCGCTTTCGAGTCGAGCGTACAGCATGTACAATGCCATTTGGTTGCTTTCAGGTGTGCCTGTAATGGTGACAAGACGCTCGTTGTTGTCGCCCTGAGGATCGGCGATTTTGATATGACTGCCGCTCATTTGTCGAATTTCGTTGATCTTGCTACCTCGTTTGCCAATAATACAACCAACCTAAACAGTGAAGCAGAAAATAAGATAAAACGGAATTTAAGTGTCAGCGAAATGGATGTAAAGGATAGCAAGACAACGAAAAGCTTACCATTTCGTTGGGGATAAAAATTTGTTGGGCATGACTACCGACCACGCCGCTCATGCCGCCCATACCGTAACCAGCTTGTCGAGGATTGACTGGCATGCCACCGTAACCTGCTGCACCTTGTTGGGGGTAGTAGAACTGTGCCGCGGCCCCATTCATCGGCATGGCGCCCATTCCCATCATACCATAACCCATGGCGGACGCGGCAGCACGTCCCATGGGATGAAATCCTCGTGTCGGCATGGCTTGAGACTGCGGAGCGTAAGGAACATGGTGTGGGGGTAAACGAGTATCGTTGTGTTCCAGCAATACTTCGCTAATCTTCTTCACAGCTACTTGAATACCTTCAGGGGAACCGGTTAAATAGATAAGTCGCTCAGTGGAAATCGGTAATGCCTCTTCGGAAGCTTTAGCATTGACACCGCTTTGTTCTTTGATGGCTCTGATCATGCTTCCCCCTCGTCCAATGAGGGTTCCCATACGGCTGTCAGGAATGATCAACCGAATGGTCACCTTTTCGGGTTCGGAGTCTCCCGCCTCATTAAGTGGTGTCTCTGACAAGATCTTTTGACCCACCAAAGCATATGCCTGTACACAAAAAAGAGTAAGGCGTCATGCGCACTTGCATAAACATAACAGAGGATGACGACCCTCTCCCCCAAAAAAAGAAACGGAACTACATACCTTGGCAATAGCATCGGGACGACCAGTGACGGTCAGTATACGTTCTACGGCACCTTGGACGATATCGGAAATAGTGACCTTAGCTGTGGATCGTTCACGGATGTCACCGACATTTTTTCCTCCTCGTCCAATGATGATTCCCGCGTCCTTGGTGCTCACAAGTGAGCGAATGGCAATTTTGTTGGCATTATCGTCCACCAATTCGGCAGGAGCTGCCACTGTAACGGTAGCGGAAGCTGCTTTAGACGGTTGAGACTCGTCGTCTAGCACAATCTGTAATTCGTCTTCGACATCTGAATCCTGCAAACCGGCTGTACCATCGCCGCGTTTATATCGTGCATTTCGGTTATCTTCATCCGAACCATCGATGGTGGCACCAATGAAATGAGGTGCTTTGGTTTCCGGATCCGGCACCGCTTGTCGTTTAGGATGACGATCGTCTTGTGCATCTTCATAATCCGAATCCCAATCCTCCTCTTCGCGGCGAGGACGCTTGGAACGATCAATGGGAGAACCAATAATATCTGCGTCCGACATGTTAAATGATGTGTTCTATGTACGTTTGATGGATGTGGTTTGTCTAACGTCCAGCATGGGATGTGAGTGTTAAAGTGATACATTTAATCTTTTGATGATCATTGATGGGTTCGGGACGGGTTTACCTGTTTTGTAATGTCCGCGTTGGCTATCTTCTTAACAGCTGAATAAATATGGGGAAAGACAAGAAAATGAAATGCAAATTCAAATCAAGGAAACATTGGTCAATGGTAAGGCAAAAAAGGCAAAACGGGTATTGCAAAGATAAGAAAATACGGAAATCAATGGTAGATTACGTACAAGTTATTTTGGTGATGGATGAATGAGTACGGATTTGAGTGGTGGGTGCAGGTAGATAAGCAAGCGTACTGTGAGAAAGCTTCTGATGCGGGTACGGGAATGTGATGTGGGATGAAAGGGAAAGGCGATGTGATGATTTCTGTGAGAGTAAAAGGGTTTAGAGAAATGGCTCACGTCATGAGGAGAAAAGGTTTAGTAAAAACAGAAAAGAAACAAAAGAAAATAAAAGCTGTCATTCCATCATGTATTAGCTATACAGCCACAAGAAATCATTCAAAGCCTCTGAATCAGAAGCTTCTAATCCGATGCTGACAATGGGAAATAACATGAAAGGAAGCAGATTTCTTCAAAAGATAAACAAACGCACAAACAAAAAAAAGAAGTGAAATAAAGACAGGAAAAGGAGAGTATACCAGTAGAGTATTGCGAAAAGGTTACGTGGATGACTTGAGTATGGAAAGAAGCTAAATATAAAAAGGTTATGTGGAAGAACCTGGAGTGGGATCATCTCCCTTCATCCTTCGCTCCAAGTTTTTCGATGGTCCGTCGGAGAGTAAATGTATCACGCGCATTCAAATCGAGTGCTAAAACTAAGCCACTAGCACAATCCGACGAAACATCTGTTATTCCCTCCGTAGAAACTCTGCAACAGCAAACTCTCATGAGTTGGATAAATAGCCTTGAAGATATGTTCGTCTTTGAGCTAATGTCAGGAAATCATACGGACGACATAATCATACGAAAAAGACTACTGCCATTAAGTTGTTTTATACGGTCAAAATATGTGATATCGAAATATAAAGTCAAGGTGTAGATAATCTAATGTTTTGAGAACCCATCAAGGCCGGCTTTTGATAATAAAAGGCACAGATTTACGTTTACATTGATTCTGCATAACGTCTTTTAATTATGGTTGATCGAAACAAGACAATAACAAAGCTTCATCAGCTTCTGGCATTTTTAATTTATAAAAAACACTCGGTGAGCACTCGGTGATGTTTTTGACATGTAAACTGGAAACAAGCTATATGCGTTACCGAATACAGCATTTGGTGTGAGCTAAAATTCTTATGCCTAATTCAACTTGACTTTTTGCAGAAAGTGGGATACATCGCCAGAGCAAATGTATGTAATGATTATTGGCTTCCGGTTTTTTAGGCGATACGTTCCTTACAGTAGGGGTCCGACCGAAGCCACGCATGTTTTCTTATCTGATCGAGCGTCAATCTTCTGATAGGATTTTTCCTGAGCATACCATCCAGGAGATCAGAACAAGCGTCGGAGATGGGGGCCGCCGAGATTTTAGGACGCGCACTCAGGACTTGGTTTGAATCTCGATAAGGTATCTGACCCTCAAGCATTGTATGTAGAAGGACGCCCAATGACCACACTTCGGCTGGTTCCGGTTCATAGATAGCGCCACGTAGAATTTCCGGAGCGGCAAAGGTCACCGTGCCATGAAAATGATGGAGCCAGCATTTGCGTTGTGATTTTAAAGGTACACGGATAGCTGACCCGAAATCGATCAATTTGACATTGAATGATTCGTCAATGACAATGTTTTCGTCCTTGATATCCCGATGGTAAAACCCGTGTTGTCGAAGATGGTAAACGCATTGAATCAATTGAATAAATATATGCTTTGCTATCGCTTCGTCGAATCGCCCGTGTAGCTCGATACATTCGAATAGATCAGATGATTTCCGCCTGACCGGAAGGGACTCCACTTTTGCACTTTGAGCACCAGTCTCGATGGGCAGAAGTAATGATTTATCAGGAATATGGCCGGAATCGTGCCATGAGGTTCCATGCAGTTCCATGACAAGATAAAAATAATGCGCATCCTCAAAGAAATCGATGTAACCGACCATATGCGGATGCTTTATCCGTCGCAAGATGAAGATTTCCATCGGGATCGGGCCTAGTTCGGCATCTCGTACCCATGCATTCAATGGGATCTTGACTTTTCTGATAAACTTCACAGCCACTGGCTGCCCTGTCACGCGGTGCACTGCTGATATCACGAATCCGTAGCCTCCTTTGCCGATCTCCTCTCCTGGATTATACGTTTGAAGGAATTGAGAATCAAGTGTATCGAACTGCAATGATTGATTCGTTGGTCCTATATAGCGGGGACTGTTGCATGCCGCATCTTTCTTGCCGTGCGTGTGTAATTGCAAGCTGGGAGCGACATCGGTTGACTGCTTGTCTGATAATGTAGCGGTTAAAATATCCGAGAATTCGTTTGTTGTCGTCTTGACAAGGACCGTGCGTACATTGGGCTTGACGGGTTTCCGGGATCTTTTTGTTTTGCTTGAGCCATGGTGAATCGAAGACCGGCTCGTTGCCGACTCCATTATTCTCGTGCCAGACATTAAGTGGTTGGCAAAAGAACGGAGTGGGTAAAAAGAGGCCATATCATACAATTGGCACTGGAAATAAAAAAAGAAGCAAACTAAAGAAGAAGAATGCATTAAAACCAAGCTATGGCGCTATTTTATAGAATGGCATTTTTTTCATACGACTGCCCAGGTTAGCTAAGTGCGTTGCGAAATTTCCCATGTGGTCCAAATTATCTTGCTTGTTATTTTTGTTACTAGTGCACGACACACACACCCTCGACAGGTACAGTCATCTTACATCACACACGCGACAACTGATGACAGGATACGTTGATTGAATTTTATTGTACGGATTACTGACCATTTTGTTTCTCCGAGATATACTGATGATACTATTTTGGTTCTTTTTAGATTCCCTTTCACAACAACAACAATTTGCTTTTTCCTTCCTTTTTGTCGTGCTGTCAGGCCCATTATTGCGGATAAGGATAATTGGCTTCGGGCCGTGGTGGCATAACGAAACCACCTGTAGTTGGCGCATTACCGGATGCCGGGGGTGGAGGTGGAAGAGATGAGTATGTCGATGAGGATAAAGGAGGTTTTTGTTGCACATGCAAATGATAGCCGGCTTGACCAAAGAGAAGCTTTGGTACGTCCACGAGGTAGCCCATGGTGCCTTTCTTTCCCACTTCCTTTTCCGCTTGGATCCAAAAGTTCATCTTGCCAGTTTCCTCATCCAGATAGCCTGCGCAATAGTTGCGCATACCCATAAGTTTCTTATTTTGTCTCTATCACCGCGTCATTCAGGAAGATATAAATTTAGATCAATCAGTGAAGATAATATCCAGGGTCATGCTTCGACTTACGGTGTTGCCATTAGGAGATCGTTTGAACAAATTATACATGCGCTCTTCTGTGTTGCCGTTGAAGGTGACAAAGGACGAATTCTGATTCAAAATAGTAAGAAGGGCTTGAGGCGGTGGTCTACACACGAATTGATTAGCCGGGAACAGGGTGGTTGACCGACCGACAGAAATAGCCACTTACACATTCACAATGGCACTAGAAATGATTTGAACCATCAGGAAGGGATCGCCTTCTTCCTTATCTTTCATGTCCTTTGAGTATAGTTTGCCTGCACCACAACAATGCACCTGATAACAGACTTGCATCAGCTAAAGGTGCTCTATTCGATAATGACCACGCCCTTCACTTACATCGCCTCCTAAGAATGACACACGGATAGATCTGTCACGTGCATATTGCTGCAATCGCTCGATGAAGTTCTTGCGCTCCACCTCGTGGTTTCCTGCGGTCCAATCTAAACAGAGAGAAAAAAAAAATCGCAAATGAATGACTCGTCATTTTTAAATACATCACATCAGTATTTCTTGGGGGGTGATGACATACGATCGTTCATATCATCCAACAATTCTGGATCACCGTTCCATTTGTTCAATTGGCCACTAATCACTTCACCCAAGGCTCCTGTCTTGCCTACCAATGTGGCCAGATTGAAACCGGCAGCACCATCCATGGCCTTTTCGAAAAGAGTCAAACGAGGATAAATCAACGGCACACCCGTCGCTATCAGTAAATGTTTCACTGTGGGAGGCATTTGATTATACAGGGCTTCAAAAACACCATCATACGTTTTTGGTCGACACACATCAAATTTGGTGCGTTCACCGCGACAATCCAACTGAACCAAACCAATGCTGGGACCCAAAGTCGTAACAATGCTATTGCAGGTCGGCAAGGTTCCGCGTAACATGCCATGACGAGGAGCTAGTTCAACCGTGGTATGTTGTTGGAACAGATAATAGAATCGACAAGCGTTGGCAAATAGTACTGTGAAAGACGGAGTCAACTGTCACTTGGTGCTATTCGAGGCCAAGAAAACATGATGTCATGTAGATAAAAAAAGGACATACCTTGGAACATGTCAGCTCTCTGCATTTCTGCAGGATAAGATCCATAACCGTCGATAATATCCTATTATAGTTGATTCTATCAGCCGGCTGAAGCAAGATGAGGTCATATAAACAATGTAGTTACATGATCGTCCCACATATTGACAGATGGAATGGAAGCAAACGCAAAGGCTACCACGGGGTTATCTTTGAAACTATGACAGAGAATGAGAAGCGCCATTGGCAAAGACGAAAGCGCTTTTTTTCACCCATCACTTTTTAACTTACCCAAAATTTTGCACGTAATTCCAGAAATAGAAATGTTCGAGGCCATCGCGCATGGTAGCAGGTAATTGCATTGCCATACGAATTTTTGGATCCTTTTCTTCCCGCCAGGGTTTCATAAAATCTTCCTTCATAAGCCGATCTTGATATAACTGATCCCCACCACCGATCATCACGTGAAAAGGCATCACTTCATGTCGGTCCAATACATCTTGCCAAAGTGGGGCGGTTTTCTCTCCGAATTTATCCTTGAGCTCCTGTGGGATGTCCGAGAACCCGTTGCATGAATAGAACATGAAACGCATGGATTCCTCCACAGTCGGAAGATGGAATGAATATTCCTTTTGCACACCGCTGCAAGAGTAAGTGGCCACCTGTGATTCGTTGATGAGAGGTAGACGCAACTCAAAACGCCAGAAACGGTACTGATGACGGAATGTATCCAATTCCTCACCACGACTTTGAATGGTCTGTGTTCTACCCGATGCGGATTGCAACTTGACTTGCATGGAGGGCGTGTGACGTTCGGTGGACACCACGAGACAAGATCCGCGCCATGTACGGGAACGATAGTCGATATCGATGTAACGCAAAAGTGGACCACATACTACTTCAACAGGTTCATTGTGGCGATGGAATGGTGAATGATTGCTGAAGGATGGAGCGTGGAAATGAGGAAAGTGGGGGTGATGATGCTGAGATTCGCTTAAATTCATTTGACCGAATTCGGCTGTAGGCACGCCACCGTAATTACCGGAAGGAGGTGGAGGCGGATATCCTTGAGCTCCTTGAGGATGTGGAGGCTGCGCGCCACTTTGCTGTGGTGGTTGATTAGGGTAAGGATACATTGCCGAATACCTGAGAAACCAGTAAAACCGTGTTAAAAAACAGTGTCCGAAAGAAAAAAAGCCCTCGTGGAGACACTTTCTGAGCCTGAAAGTTTCGGGGACACGAAATCTTTTTTTCTGCCTGCGGAAAACCGGATCATTGACCTTTGACCGTCATGTGCTTTAGGCAAATACCAGGTACACCTCAAACATTGGTGGATTGCCTTTTTCATGTCATTTATAACAAGTGGACACACTTACAAAAGGACCAAGCTGCCGTCATTTTATGCATATCGACGTATTCAAAGGATGTAGCGACAGCACTGCGTTCTCTGGCATGTTTTCGGAGGGCTCATGATTGCGCCTCTCCCCCCAAGGTCAGTTATAAGTGATGTAAAAAAAGGGAACTTGCCTATTTGTGAATTCTTTTTCCAAATTAACCATTTTCCGCGGTCAGCCAAGGCACACGGGTCGTACAAACCTCGAGCAAAATGATGTCGTAATTGCCAAAAAAGGGCTCTGCGAGTAGAAAAAGCCGAGAAAACCGCGCCACAACGGTTGTTTCCACTTGTGTCCTCAAGCAAATTGTGTCAATTGACCATGATAGGCTGAGTTTATGAGAGAAGTATCGTCACTATCGAGGAGTAAAGATTAGACAAGCTACCCATAAGATCGGTCGAATACCAAATATCAAAGATAATTTCCGCTGTACCTATTGAACAGATTAGATAGCTGGTAAAGAAACATGATACAAGTAGAATCTCCATAAGCTGGTTTGTTATTGAAATAAAGTTTCTGACCAAGGAACGTTAGAAAGATTTGCTCTGATACTTTCTTCGTTGCGTTTACACATTCATTTTTATTTTACTGATAGTTCTTCCTGCGCGGAATAAGGCCAATTTAAACTTTCGAACATCATATACTGTACTTCGGGGCCAGAGCAGCGGGTAGACAGCATGTCTAAATGAGTTACTCCTAGTTTAACATTATTTCGCGATCATAGCTCAAAGTTTGTTCCGAACTTAAGTGCGCCTTCAAGAGACTGCCCGATGGTTTGCTATTGCTTTCAACGCGCTTCAGTTTTCCCTTGCAAAGACCCCACAATATTACTTCAATTTTATGCCTCTGTTACGGGACAAATTTAATATCGGAAAGGTTTATCTCTTTTAAGTTGTCAGCAACATCACCACATCTCGATTTAGTGCGGAGAAGAAATGGCCTGCGACAATTCTTCGTACTTCCCTTTGGGTCATTCCGCCAAGACTTTGAGCGCTTCCTAACACCTTTTGCGTGTATCTTGAATATAAGATATGCTTATCGGTTATGAACCTAAGCCACATCAATGCCAAGGTGGCCTAAAACGGTAATCTAGATTGTGCAAGAGTTGTTCAACTTGACGAACAACATAATCTGGGTAACAATTCCACGCATCGAAAAGTATGTGCGTTTCAACGAGACATACAGATATAATCATTGAGTTTCGGAAAAGACATTGCAGAGTAAGTACAGAGAGGATGGAGATTTTGCTCCAGTGTTTTTTTTAGGTGTGTTCGATGGTATTTCGTTTCCTTATAGCAGACGTGATCCGATCTTTGCCTGCGCAAAATTAGGAATTAGGGAGGGTGGTTTGGTGTTTGATATCGAAAGATAAACTTCAAATGTTAACGTGGAGGCACATCAGCAAGCCACGCTGGCATGATCGTCCGTGGCACGATCGCTCCGCAACACGTTAGTCGATTTTGCCGATTTACCGTCTCACCACCCAAAGATTCGGGGCTTTGTTTGCATTTGTCCAACCAATACGTGAAGCCTATTCTGTACCTGTTTGGTCGGACAACAATATGAGGCAACTAAGTTATAAAGGATATTTTCTTCAACACCTATGGAATGTTTGGCACCGAGATTTATTGCTGTTATATATGATATATGATGGTAAGGATAAATAAAAAAGAGACTTGGTTTGGGCAAAGACGGATTACGTCTTCTCTTGAGTATAAAGCTATAGGGTTCCTAGGATATGTTACATCGACGAAAGCTTGAGCCCCTGGATGATTGATAATGTACAAAAAAGTATTTGTAATTGTCACCCTGAGATAATCAAGCAAGGATTATCTATTGTGTGAAAAGTTGTGAGGAGAAGCTGCTGACGGCTATGGTACCGACATCATAGGGGGCTTTCGACGAAATTTTCATTAACCTGTAACACGGTTCCATTTAGAAAGCGATCTGTCGTCTAGATCGTTTTAATAAAGTGAAAAAAAAGCAGATAGGCAGAGTGATTCTAAGTGGATCATCCTTCCGTAAAGATAAGTCAGCGAGAATGTTAAACGTGTCGATTGTTTTAAAAATAACATCATAAGATAATGCCATTATCATGCAAATTCCAATATGGTCTGTGGTTCATGCTGTCACTTTCTGATTTGACGATGGGAAAAATCAAAACGGTCAATGGGGGGTGATCGTCCGGAGAAAAAGTGCGATTTGCACAAACGATAAAGCCGATAAAGCCCGCTTAGCGGCCATCTAAAAGTTCGACAGTTCATGTGTGAATTCCGCAGTGAAATAGATCACGAAAATCAGCCAAACCCTCATACATGGAGACTGCTTCGTATTGGTTTTGCAAAAAAAAAAAAGTCGTGTATTCAAGTGCATCGCTTGAACTTGAATTACTGCGCCTCCGGGCTTATTTTCGGTTCGCAGTACAACTGAATTATGTCGTAAGCATACCGTATCATTCAGCTGACTACTCAGAAAGAAACAAATGATGCACTACCACGTACCTTGAAAAAATAGCTAGATCAAGCTTGACCATCCAGCCGTTATACATTAAAAAAAGGCCGCCAAGCGAAAAGTAAAAAGGTGACGTTGCAAAACCGCGATCATATTTCATTGGTTGCTGCATCTAAATTATCGCGCTACGCCATGGCAGAGAGAAAAAATAATAACTTCGTCCGTCCCTGGGTGTGTCTGTCGTTCATCTTTTACTTCATCTTCCTCATACAACATGGGATTAAGCTTCTCCAAACTTTTTTCTGATCTCTTTGGCAAGAGAGAGATGCGTATTCTTATGGTCGGTCTTGATGCCGCCGGTAAGACTACCATCTTGTACAAATTGAAACTGGGTGAAATTGTCACCACCATTCCTACCATTGGTAAGTCATCAAGACAACAAGAAAAAACGCTTTGAGTGCACATCATCTTGGTACTATTGCAAAATATTCATATGGCTCTTTAGGTTTCAATGTCGAGACCGTTGAATACAAGAACATTTCCTTCACTGTCTGGGATGTCGGAGGTCAGGATAAGATTAGACCTTTGTGGAGACATTGTAAGTATACCGATATTCTCATTTTTCTCTCTCGTGGTTTGCCTTTGTTATGTTGTGGAAAATGCATTATTGACTTCTTTTTTGTCATTTTTTGATGGAAACGAATATCGTTTAGACTTCCAAAACACTCAGGGTATCATCTTTGTGGTGGATTCCAATGATCGTGACCGTGTTGCCGAGGCTCGTGACGAACTTCAACGTATGCTTAGCGAAGACGAACTTCGTGATGCTCTTTTGCTTGTGTTTGCCAACAAACAGGATCTTCCTAACGCTATGAACGCTGCTGAGATTACGGATAAGCTGGGTCTTCATTCGTTGCGCAACAGACACTGGTATATCCAAACCACCTGCGCAACAAGCGGTAAGTAATCTGACATGAAAAGAGCTGAGTGTGGTAAGAGCCGAGACTGACTTTCTTTTATTCTTTTATGATGCAAATAATGCATAGGCGATGGTTTGTACGAAGGATTGGAATGGTTATCCAGCAACTTGAAGAGAAGATCTTAAACGTGAATACGACAGAGTGTTCACTATCCTTTATATTTTGTTGTTGTTGTCGTTGTAATGGTTTGCTTAATCGTGCATTAGTAAAGGCTTGCACATCCCTTATACAATTTCCTTTTCTCTCTCTCTCTCTTTTTTTTGTACGTGCCGGGCGATAAATTATGGCAAATTTGATCATTCTGAGATCTGATCATACTCAATCCATAAGAGAAGGATGTTTCCTTCATTCACAACGGGCGACGGTATTCAGCAGACGTGCACATGAATCATGGATACTACGAACATGAGGTTATGTAGAAAAATGTTCTATTCTGTGGCAATTATCTACAGATAAAGCTCTTGTAACGGAATCCCATTTCATATGACTAAGTATTAAAATTTAGATAGTGTTGAACGGAAATCTGCTTATTGCGAACAGAGAAATAGCGGCATGATTTAGCCTATATCGTGGCCAAAAAGTCCATGGGATAAATTCGTGCCTATGGAGATTGGACACGTAAAATAACAAATCGCTTTGGTGAGGATTAGCTATTCGGCTGTCACTGCATATACGCGCACCTGCAAAGTAAAAAGTGCCTAAGTTGCCTGATACAAAATTCACATTACACGATTAACCCCCTGCCGCACGAAAACCGTTCGAACTAAAAATACCAAATACGAAATGGATTTCATTGGCACACGCACCACAGCGTCTTGCCTTTGTGTTCCAAAAAAAAAAATCGCGTGTTTACATTTGTTTTGAAGATCATTTATTGGATAAGATAAATGCTATACTAATCAGCAGCTGCCCTGGACAGAAACACTGTCAACAAGCCCATTTATTTAAGCATATGCTTAAAATATCAGTAACTTGTATACCCACTCGCAAAGAAATATAGAATATCCGTTTAGTTAATTGAGCCAAAAACGACGTCAATACGATTGTGCCAGATAAGATTCAATACTAATAATTTGTTCATTATTAGTTCATGTAATCAAGATAGACAAGAAAAGAAAACCTATTTCCAAGCCGTAGATGATTGCATGCAATGACTCAGATAGGAGCGAAAGACTTAATTTCTTTGTGTCAACATATAAAGGATAGTAAGTCCCATTCTGTTGAACTATGCCATATAGCGGAATCATCATGTTGACATTGCACGTATCTTGACATCCTGACAGCTGGAATAGGCATCATATGTAAAATAGAAAAAAAAGATATTTACCTTTTGCGATGTGCGATAGATCAAGTGTCCATCCATCCATCCATCCATCCAACCAAGATCAAGCATCCATCCATACAGAAAATCCCTCGTCCCTCCTCCATCCACGCAGTAACCAAAAAGTAATTGCCGGATGGATGAATAGAAACGAAAAGATCACTTACCAAGGAAAGATATTGTTCATGTGTGCTTGGCAAGTTTGGACGCACTTTTATACTTTCCAAACGCTCTTCGGTGCGGGGATCGTAAAGTTGAAAAAAAAACCAAAAAGGCAGTCACGCTCTGGGGACGCGTAGCGGAGATCTCAATACAGCCAATAAGTGATTGCGAATTTCGGACTTCCAATGAAGCCCAGGTGACTTGAAAATACAAGCGCCAGGGACCTGCAATTACCGCGCTTACATCCTTGCAGCATGTCAATAATGTGGCTGGTCAGTTTGTGATCGGCAATATCGAATGAAACAAACGTTTCAAAAGCAGTGACACGTGGTGGCGTATGTATACAGCGAACATTCACGGTAGAAAAGTTGAACACTTGCAGCTGACTCGCGTATCGTTGACACTTAGGACCGCAAAAAATGATACTTTGTCTATTTCATTTATCAGTAGATCGCATAAAGAAACCTGATATAATAATCAAAACTGTAGAGAATAAATAATGTACAGCGATCTGATGAAATCGTAAATTTTTGCTCTGAAAACCAGCTGGCGGTATCAACGACTGAGAATCTAGCGTGCATTTACCGATATGTGTCTGGATGACTAGAAAACAACATCATTTAGATTTCTATCGTTTTCCCACATTTACCTTGATTGACTTCCGGATTTTTATCAATTCCGGGACTCAGCTACTGTAATACTTCTTGGCAATTGATTCAATCATGAAGGGACCACGCGACACACACCTCAGATTCGATTGTAAATGCTTATAACATCATTGTACTACACCTATACAGTATATAGCAGATATATTGCAAACCTAAGCAGTAGTGTGAAAAGATGAACATTGCAGCTCGTCCAAGATTTGGTCCTAGTTAACCCTAAGCGCCATATGAATTATCGGAAGGTATGTTTTTTGCCGTACTGATCGCGAAAGATCGCAAAAATACAAGCACTTGGTTTTGTCTCGCAATATCTGGAATAACTTCATAGAGAGACAACCTATTTGATAAACAAATGAGTGAGAAATGCCACTTAAAGAAAAAAAAAAGAAACTTGGGAGCGCAACTACAAAATAATTTGAGCAGATGTGCATGTCCGTTTTTTCAGTTCATGAAATTTATGGTTATTCATCGACCCTTTTTACTATTTCACATTCCCTTTCGGCAATCGCAGTATTGTGGATGAGTGCATTATCCGTCGCAATAGGATGAATCTTTATGTTGCTGTTTCTAACGAATTCACCACATCCAAGGTATACTGCGGACCTATTTCTTCCTGCTCAATTGCGATTGCTTATTTTAACCCCATTCTTTTAGTGTTTGTATGTTTGAAAAAAGGTGATGATTATTTTTTGTGGTTAGAGAACCTGAGATGAAAGATGAGCAATTCTTCTTTTTTTTTTTTTACGGATTCTATCTCCGGAAGACCCGGCGGCAATAATAAAACGTGAAGTATCTGATTTGTGTCTCCGCTATCGATGTGGGTGAAAGCCAAAGTGAAAAAAGAGCGGTGCTGTGGTGTGCTTGGAATACGATAAAGTTTTGCTGTTTTAAGGTTGTTCCCAATTATCAATGCGTACTGCATCTTGATTTTTCTCCCTCGTCTCATATCACAGGTATGTAACGTAGCAATCACTTGGCATCATTTTCTGATATTCCTTTTGGAAATGATGGGCATCTTTTAAATATAGTATTGGGGAGAAAGGTCGCGGAGACGTTACCAAATACTGCAATCAAGCCGTATTATACCTTGCGAGCACCCCCAATCCAAAATAAGCCCACTTGTTCCCCGAGTCAAAAAAAAAAGTTAAAGCCAGACAAAAGTTAATGAAATCCATATGCTGCTTGCAGTATATAATGCCTCTTGCGGTATTTTTGCATCATCACTTTCTGCCCAAAAATCATCATTACGGAAAACAAAAGAAACGGAAAACATGGATGCTCCAGGGGTCACTGTTTTCAAGCAAGATGGAAGCCACCAATTTTACTGTCGATGGACACCTGAAGAGGATCAGCTGCTGTGCAAAGCTGTTCAAGAATATGGTTTGAAATGGTCCAAAGTAGCTCGACATATCAATGGAAGAACTCCCGTACAATGTTCCACTCGTTGGCTAGGCGCTTTAAAGTAAGTCATTGAAACCAGAAAGGTCGTTTCAGATCTGCCTTTAATAAATATTGTTTTCTCTTTGCATTCTTTCTTCACACCGAACAGTCCAAACGTGCATAAAGGTCGATGGTCGCAGCAGGAAGACCAGATACTGAGAGCGGCAGTGGAAGCCCAATTAAACGCGGGAGTATCAGCGACCTCATTGCCTTGGTCGAAAATAGCCCGAGGCATATTGAACCGTACAGGAATCCAATGTCAGGCACGTTGGACAGAGGCCTTGGATCCGAGTGTACGTAAAGGCCGATGGGATAATGAAGAAGACCAATTATTGATGGCGGCTGTGGCGCGTTTTGGCACTTGCTGGATTCGAGTGGCAAGCCAGATCCCAAGTCGAACACAGCGGCAATGTCGTACACGATGGAATCAGATCCGACAAAACAAAAAATCAGCAGCAACAGCAGCAGCAACACAATCTCGTCGTTCGTTCCAGTTTATAGACACCCCACTTCCTGAAGATCCCAAAACTCCTACTCTCACGACACCGCCGCTTCATTTCACGCCATCTTCCATCCCCACCGCAGAGAAACCTCGTGCTTCGGTATTTGGCGTCAATTCGTTCTTCTATCCTCCGGAATCCTTTTTACGCTTTGATCCCGACTTACCATCCCTCGTACTAAATGATGAATGTCTTTTTGACCTTATTAGTCCTCCTTTCCCACTCTAATAGCATTTTCATTTTTTGATTTTTCATCTTGTTCACACTCTTACACTTCTCTCATCATTTCCCAAATTTTCAATAAATCCTTGCATTAGATCTTTCCCTTGAGTTTAACTTTATCATTCATACTCCCTTCTGAATATCATTTGAGTCACCAAGCCTATAGAGTTCTGCAACAAAAAGCAGATAGAGGGCAAAATGAAACAGACACAAAATCAAAAAGAAAATCAACAAGAGTCAATCGGGCGGGCGCAAATTAGAATTTTCAAAGTCACGATTTTCCTATCGGGCACAGGCAGAGAGACTGAGAGAACAAACGCTTGGATTGATTTGTGACTAAAAAGGTTTGGGACTCCTTCTGCTTGCAAGTATCATGGCGATCGAATCACCCAACTATCCAAAAGACCAGCAGCAGCCACGAGATGCCAGAATCGTCTCTTTAATTTTACAGTCACTGGGCGTTCAAGATTACGATCCCAAAGTGGTGCATCAGTTACTAGAATTCGCTCATCGTAAACTATCCGTCACTCCAAATGCTTTGCATTTTACCTTTATGTTTGACCTCTAAAATCGATCCTTTCCTCCTGTTAGGTTATACCTCTGATGTATTCCAAGATGCTCTAGTTTATGCTGAACATGCCAACAAATCCGATATCGATCTGGAAGACATTCAGTTGGCTATACAAGGTCGCGTTAATCACTCCTTCACTACTCCTCCACCCAAAGAAGTAGGTACCCCGTCACCGTCAAATTACATCATCATTCATATTCACTCGCTCTATTTACTTTTTTTCCCTTAGTTCCTGCTTGAACTAGCTCGCGAAAAGAACAAGGCACCTTTGCCATTAATTCCAGAAAAATACGGAATTCGTCTTCCAGCTGACAAACATTGTTTAACAGGCATCAACTTTTCGATTGTTCCTGATGTAAGTCACCTTTTTAAGTATTGACCTGTTTTCAATATGTGACTAAAAATTGGCTTATTTAGGCCCCACCTCCACCTCGAGCGGTAGTTGACAAACCGGCGCCCGTGCACGAACCCACTTCCGAAACCGCTGATGTGACCATGATACAAGCAGCAACGCCACCATCACAATCAGAAGCAGCATCCAAACGCAAACGACACGTACCAGAAGAAGACGATTATGATATTTAAGAACCTTGCGCCCCCAAAATGTGTAAATAGCAGACTGAGTAATCACGATTAAAAAAAAAGCTTAAACATATCAAAGCCTATTCACTCTCAAGAGTAATACACAGTTTTGATGGACACAAAAGTAGGACAATCTATTTTGACAAGCGTACAAGCAATGCGAATTTGAGAAAAGCAATCTTAAAGTATTGGCGCATAAAGAAAGAGGCATCGGTTGCATAGTGAGCCTGATCAAATGTGATACTTCAACGCAAATTTCGCATTATAGAATGCCGATTTTAACTTTAAGCCACTCGATCGAAAACTACGGCGTTTTTCTTCTCAACCATGGCAACTTCAAAAGATCAGACCACCAACAAGCGCGTCCTTGAAGAAGGAGGAGACAATGATGCTGCCAACAAAAAAACTAAAACAAGCTCCAACACGATTCCTATCTTACGCGGTCGTTTCAAGCAAAAATGGCTGACAAAGCATTCCAGTCTCATCAAGCGATCGGACACCGCAAGTGGCGTGATGGTTTCTTGTGGCGTTCACTCCGAAACGAGAGCATTGGTATGAACATTAGACATGGTGTGCCGTTTTTATTATTATCCCGTTTTGTATTTACCATCTCATCTCAGGGTCAAGTGCAAAACTGCCTCGAAAAATACGTGCAAGAGCTGTTCCCCGATTGCGAATCCACTTGGACTCGTTTTGAAGGCGATCTGGACGTGGAAGAGACAGACGATAATAAGGAAGATACAACTGCAGTGGATGACAAGCGTAAAGAAAAAAAGTTCCAGGCTGTTGATGCTGCCTGTGGTGGTCTTGTGTTTTACCGATTCCGTATCAACGTGAAGCCTACCGAATTTATCGATAAAATGATGGGTAATGAATCACTTCAATTCTAGACGAGGGAAACACAGTGCTCACCAAGACAATATTCATAGATGCTATGTCACAATTGTCCAAACCAGAACTTGAAGAGCTATTACCCAGAATTCGCCACACAGCTGTAAGTGTATTATCAGGATAACCATCCAGCAAACCTATTTGTGTAATGCTGCTAACCCGCATTGACCAGCGTTGGATTCCACTCGATTACATATGCCCAGCTACAACGGAAAGAATGGCCAAATGCTTTGAACGTCTCCGGGAAGACCACTTTAAGGAAGTATCCGACGACGACAAACGTACTGTAGCCATCGTTACCGAAATTCGTAATAATATCTCCTTGAAGAAAGAAGACATCATTCAGACCATCGCTCCCTTAATCCCGAAAGGACTAAAGTAAACCAAAGACAAGAACGTGAAAGGCTATTTAAACATACTGATCTCCTATTTTATAGGGTGGATTTAAAGAAACCAACCGACGTCATCTTTGTCACCGTGTTCAAAAGCGTTTGCGGTATGACGGTGTTGAAAGATTATTACGAAAAGAAAAAGTACAACATCGTCGGTCTTCTTCAGGAGAAAGCCTCTGCGGCATAAACTGTACAAATATTTATTCTTGTGACTGCAACATAAACCATCGTATTTAATAGAAAATATCTTGTTTCAATCTATATGAAAAATTTGTGTGAATGAAACTGAGCAACAACCCATCCTTACATTCAACTTACTCTGGGGTGATGAAGAAATATGCGAGAAGGTACCTATAGATATCACCCGCAAACTATCACCACAAAAACAAGGATTAATTCCATTTACCCCTGCCAACACAAAAACATCCTTCCATACCTCAGTGAGCGGAGGAACGGTGTCCGGGTAATAATAGCGGATATACATGCAGAACATGTGGAACAAGATCTATACGGTCAAAGTAAATTGTGAATGAGCTGACTGAGAATGAGATGAAATGGGACTTTAGTCCGTACTTCGCTGTCAGATGGCAGGCCTTTTTCGCGTGCTGTGTAACGGAAAGCTGCCAGTTTGCTTCGTGTGATTTCTAACCACAAACATAACCAAGGTTAAGAATGATGTCGTGGTTTTTCCTAGCGGTGCTTTTTTTCTACCTTTGATTCGACGAAGGATGTGTCTGCGTGCTGAACCTTGCTGATATTCCGGCATGTAAATCATATTGTAAAGTAAGCTGTGAGGTAAATCTCCACACTAAAGACAATGAAATTAGTGGTAAGTTTTCGATCCAATGTGGTGAATTAAAAACGACAAGTGGTGCTTACAGCTGGAAGGTTATTACTCATTGTAAGAGAGACATAAGCAGGTACACAATCCTCCAGGACCTTTCCGTCCTTTGAAAACCAATCTTCCAGTTGACGAAGGCTTTCACCCAATCGACCAAGTATTTTCTCGTTGAGCCACTGTATATACAGCCGATGCGTTAGTGAAACGGAGATGATCTCGTAGCATGATTCCCACTATAACTTACCTTGCGAAGTCTTTCATAGTGCACTCTGCAAAGGACATCGTGAAATGTATTCCATTCTCGCTCCAGTTCTCGGGTCTGCAATACAAGTCAAGAAGGAAAAGAAAACGAACATGCGTTAAAAGTTTGTTTATATGATATCAAGGCTGCACGAGCTACCTGTTGTCGACGGAAAGCTTCAATGTTTTCAGCAATTGGCCACAGGCGCCATAAACTTTTGTCTTTAATTTCTTCTTCTTCGGGTGAAAGAAGAGTTGAAGGAGGAGTAAGCGTGCATCGCTTGTATTTGATGTGAGGCACGGCCGAGTCTTCCTTGCGGCCCTCTTTCTTTGCTTTGCCTTTGGCTTCTTCGAATTGGCGCCATGCTTCAGGGACTGCTTGTTTGCCAACGAAGGAAACCGGTCCAGGATAGTCTTCTTTCGGACGGTTAAACGTGAGGCGAACGGAGTGTCGATTGACGGTGATGTTGCGTGGACCAAAGCCATAAGCGCGTTGCGGTTGTTCGTCAGTTGGTTTGGGTTGAGTAGTGGTAGGTTCTTGTACGTAGGATGTAGTCACGGGGATAGCTTGTTTTAAGTTGGGCGCACCCAAGAATTGTCGTACAGCATTGATGACGGGATTAAATGGAAGTCGTAACAGAGGACAAATCACGTCGTCTTTTATCACCAGTAATCCTCGCGTAACGGGACCAGTTTCTAAACAAATTCAAGCGTATGCGTTAATTCTACTGCGCCATTTTAACGTCATTGTTCGCAAGTATAATGTACCTGCAATATAATCGGCCCATGGCGCTTTGCCATTTTCGCCAAATAGAATTCGAGCCAATTCGTCTTTCACACTGTCCCACATATTCTGTATACATTGTTTTAAAAAGAAGAGACCTACCAAAATAGTCAGTTATTCTGTGCATTTATGTTAATTCAACATAGGTTTTTCTTTTTTGTCATACCAGCAAGTTTGCATATCTTCCATTTGATAATGGTGGATACGACTGGAACGTTATAAGCGTGAAGTGTATTGTAAATAACATAAGACGCCAACAGCAATCCGAAGTTCGTCCACCAGACGTACGACTTCCAGGATTGACACAGCATTGTCAGAAAGGAAACGGCAATTTTTTGTTTTCCCTCCTAGCTGACCTTTTTTGAACGCGATCGTGTGACTGCACTTTCATACGGCACACGGCGATGATATTGTCGGCGTTTCAATATCCAATTTCACCTTTGCAGAAACGAACATTCAGCATTGATGTGCAATAGGGAAGCAACGGCTCTAGTTCACATCACAAAGACCACGCCTCTCAGATGTTTTCGATGTACTTGAAATAGACACGCTTCTTTCAATAACTTTTGTATATCGCAAAAGAAAGGAAATGCGAAGACTCAAAAATCTCCTGAGCACAGAAGGAAACTAAAAGTGGTTCAGAGCCTAGCCATTTTTTTCCGTTTCAATTCAGCAGCCTGTCAATAATTATTATCATTGACCTTCTTTTGTTTCGTTCGAATGCGAAATATGTCTACCGAGTTGTTATTGAATACGGTTAGCCTACGATCCCTACATCTGGAGGAATTGCAGGTTGACGACACACTATCAATCATAACATCATTCGCGGAAAATTGGAACATCAGTGCCTCAGAATTAATCATCATGTAGCAATCCAACAGAAAATATGGTTAAAGATATTTATTGAACAGAAAATGTATCAAAATATATGACGAATATATGCCGTGGCATTGGCTTATGACTCTAATTGGCAAGAGCCAGCGCACCCATAGGGTCATAGGCCGGCAAAACGGTTGGCGTTGTGTCCAAGAGAGCCACCAAATCTTTGGGTACAGCCTTCTTCTCCAAAACAACCTGGTAATGTAATATCTGTTTAGCCAACTCTGTTTTCATACGAAGATTGACTGTTTCCAATTACCTGGTAGACAAATTCGGTGAACCAGTCATCCGACATTACCCAGTAACCCTTATCACCGCTGGTAGCACCCCAGGAATTCTCGACACGCCAGCGCACAGGTTGGCCATTCTTATCCAAATGAACCCCTGTAAATACCATGGCATGGGTCATCAGACTTTCGCCGTAAAGCAGGCGTTGTTCTTTTGTCAAGCCAAAGTCGACGTTGAAAGCCAAGCTGTAATCAAAGATGTCCGTGTCCATGACACCATACGCGTTGCTGGAAAATTGACCTAAACATACCCATCAGTAAAACCTTGGAACTAAAACGGCTCTCGTCCCAAATAATATGCTTACCAACATCGCATCCAAACCACACAGGGGCACCCGACTTCAAAACCTTGATGGCGAGTTGCTTCATCTTGGCCGCCGAAGTATTCACATAGCGCACAGGTGAGCCACCAACGACATTACCTAAGCGATCCACCGTGTAAAGTTTGGATTGGTCGTTGCGAGGATCGTTGATCAATGACATGGTCTCGCCAACCTAACAGACAGGGGGAATAACATGTTATTGGATGCTCCAAAACATTTTTTAGTCTGGAGAAAAACATTGAGGTACTTACCGGATAGCCTACAATGTCCTCAAAGAACTTGCGAGGGGTCAAGGAATGGATACCGATATATTTTCCTGACTTGTCAGTAGCTTCCCAATCGAATTCCGATGGGGGTTCACCGAGGAAGATGACCATAATACGATAGATATTTTGCATCATCGATTCTTTCAAAACGCGAATGGAATTGACCGAGGCACCATGTTCAACGTATTCGCGGATCTGCGCAGCATACTCGCGAAGCTTGACAGTGATGATCCAGTTGAGACGACGAGAGTTGGATGAAGCATAGGTTTCTGGATAAACCGATTTGGGTACCTACAATGGTGTGCATGAATACGTCATATCATTTTCACAAAGATAGAATAAAGACTTACCACGCCGTACTTGTTTACGATATTAACAAACATGTCCCATTGACCGCCATCACCAACAGGCGATTGAAGCAGATACTGGACGACACGTGAATTGATATTCTCATCGGCCAGGTCAATCATGTTTTCAAGGAACCAGTTGGCCTTTTCCAGCTTATCTAAGAAAATGATTTTCATGTGAGAAGTCGAGCTGTCAACATTGATTTTTGTGTGCGTATGTGTGTATTTGTTTGCAGTAATCAAAAGATTAAGGTTATCTATCTCCTTACGCCACTTACCATAAAAGAACAAGTAGCTTTGGGAAAGTTCAAAATCATCGCTGAGATTGAATTTCTGAATCACTTTTAAACGTAACACATTGGTGCCTAGATAAGAGAAGTGTCAGTTGCAGCGTTTCATTTAAACACCCAAGTGTTTCATTCCCCCTTTCCCCCTCCCCAATTTTCAGTAACAGTACCAGCAAATAACCAACAGCGTCCTGAGGACTTTTGGTTGGTGGCAGAACCTTCGAGGTCAAGCTTGACATTGAACACATGTTCGTCACGCAACGTAGCATTGCGATTCACCATGACCTCGGTGGGATCATTGGCACGGACGGCATTCAAAGCCAAGTGATTCTTGCCGTCCTTGTGGAAATCCTTGGAGAACTCCGAGAGATTATCAGCGGTAAGAGCGGCCGACCCCACCTTGAACGGATTGTCATTGATATCAAGTGACAGCATGGAAGCACAGAGGTGCTTTTCCGACGACGAAGAATAGCTCTCTTCTTGCGCATGTGCCCGCTGCACTAATTTCTCATTTGTATGCAGAGAGGATTCTTTGGATGGCTGTGCTCCCATGATTGTCAAGAGGTAGAGAGAGAAGATGATGAATGCGAAACCGTGGGGCCAACTTTCGGTTTTTCAATCACTCACGGCCGTCACGCGCTCACATGAGTATCGCAATTCTGCATCCTATTCGATATTTTCCTTCTCGCGGACTCTGAACTGACGACTCATCTGATTGAAACTGATCACCCAGTCAGTGAGTGACAATCGTAATACAAACACTGTAATGATGCTAGTTGGCATGATTTATCCTCTTAATGGCATCATCTTGAAAAATTACATAATGACCAAAAAAGAGTGATTTCGTTAGGCTAATGTATGTATTTGTAATTGTTTGTTATGCTAGAAATGGTGTAAGCGAAAAAAAAAAGATAGAAAATAATAAAGATAACTGTAAAGTAAATATCACAGTACGGTTATTTAGATGTTTGAAGAAACCAATGGGATATAGAAAATGCATATGGAAGGAAAAAGAAAGAGCTGCTATGCAAAGCACGGTAAAAATGCTCTGAGAGAACGATGCATGTCTCTCCACCTTGACGATGTTGTGGAGGTCGAGTGGCGTTCTTCTTCATCCATCGACTGATTGGTAATACTGCTATCCATACTATAATCATCTTCGTCATCGTCAGGACGACAGGATGCCGGGCGATACCCTTGTTCTCGCAATATTTGATGAGTCCACAACAGGTATAATCCTTCGTCGTCATCATTGGGGCTGATGGTCGAATAAGGCGGAGTTGAAGGAACTTGATCGTTTTGATCGGAAATCGCCGAGCCAACATCATCTGCAAATGACGTCAACATGATCGTCAATCAGGCTCATGCCTTTCAATGAACGGTATGAAAAAAGCACGAAAATAGTCTTACCTGATAATGAAGATCTACGAATCGATCCATACGACCTTGAACGAACTAAAGTCCATGGATCAGTAACAGAAAAAAGCGCACAAAAAGAGCAATTGCAGTTCGCACCTGTTCTCTCCATGTTCAGTGGATAACCTGATTCATCCTTGTACATCATTGAAAAGGAAGACGATGAAGGTGTGGGAGGGAGATCAAAGTACTTTGACGATGGGACCGCATCGTCTCGAGAAGGGATATCGATGTTGGCCTTCTTATCATGCATTAATTGGGATTTCTCCTTATCCTGTTGCGAAAGGGAATTATGGTTGATGTAGGCGTTTAGAGTAGTAGGCATGGCTGACAATTTGGCAGATTCAAGTCGCTAAGCAACAGACAGAAAGAAACAAGTAGAATGATGAAAGAAAAAGAAAAAGAGAAACAGAAAAAAAAAGTAGGCGAGATATAAGAAACTAATTGCATGCGTGTCCAAATCTCCATTTTGGAAAGCGGAGGCAAGGATTCAGATCCCTTTAATCGGAACATAAAAAAAATGGGTATCACAGACGATAAATGCGGGCAGCGTTGCGTCGAAATAATTTGTCCCGAGCTTCTTCTGACCAGCCTTTGACAATCTCCACCAATACTTCAATCCACGTTTGCCACGGCACAGCTGATTCGCATATAGACCAATCCCCACCAAACATGAGTCGATCCTCCCCAAAAGCAGTCAAGGCCACTTCAACAAATGGTTGCAATCTCTGGACCAGGCCGCGTGAGTCTTGTTCCTCGGTTTCGGTCACTAGCCCGGACACCTTGCAGGCAACGTTGGGATATTCTGCCAGGGCGATCAGCTGAGACTTCCAGAACTCGAATTCGGGTTCACCCGGGGAACGGTCGCAAGGTGGCTTGGCCATGTGGTCCAGTACGAATTGGACATGCGGACATTGTGAGACGAGAATCTGCAGCGGCGGAAATTGCTCGGGGGCGGCATGGCAGTTGATGTTGAGGTCAAAAGTTAACCCATATTTTCCCAGCATTTGAACTCCTTGCACAAAAGAAGGGTCTGTGACTCGCCAAGGATCAAGGGAAGGATCTTGGATAAGATGTCGCACCCCACGCAGCTTATCGCCGGCCACCTTGATGAGCATATCAATGTAACCTTGAACGTCCTTGCCGTGGTCCACAGGCGCATAGGCGACAATGGCCGAAATCCCCCCAAAAGCAGCTGATGGCTTGATTTCCTCACTGTACCTTCTTATCCAGTCAGCTTCCACCAGTCCGTGCACCGGATGAACATCGGTTTCCACATAAACTGCTGACGACACTTTCACTTTCTCGACATCCAATGCATATTGTTCAGCATCCAATCGTTTATTGAAAGCCGTATTTCGCATCCAGGGAATATACACCTGATCAGGATGCCAGAAATGCACATGTGCATCGATGATGTTTTCGGGAAGTGGTGACATTATGATGAGCAAAAAGACAAAAGGAAAGGAGAACAAAAAAGAAGAAGCAAGGAATGTCGTCGAATGGTCAAATAGCAATATGCAGCACTTTCCCAAGAAAGGCAAGATTCGCATTGAGGTTTAATCATATCAGCCCGAGACTGGTTTCTCTGTCGTCTTTTTTTTTTCTTTTGCCATCATGCATTGAACAAACATGCATGGAGCTTGATGATCTCAATATTTTGGAGTTGCATAATCTTCACTAGTATGTCGTGGATTGCATGCATTCACCTGTCCAATTACAGCTTTAAAAAAGCGGTCTTGTTAAAAAAAAGGATGACCAAGACATCATGGCTTTCAGGGAAAAACGAGTTTCGGTCGCAAGATCGCTTTTGTTGCACCTCATACTACATTTAATGATGTTTGTTAGAAGATGACATTGAACAAGAATATCATGCACGTTGAAACAATGCCGAAGAGTTTCATCGCTTTTTCGATGCCGTCTTATGGTTTGAAAAAAATTCAATAAATGTAACGCAAGTAAATACGTTACGTGCATTCTAAACAAATAAACAAATGGCTGATTAATAAACCGTTTATTGAACTTTTGTAACTGAGCCCAGTGAATGCTGTAGTATAGAGTCACTACGCCAAGATTTCTATCGAGAATGACTAGATTTGCTTATAAAGATGACAGTACACAGATGCGGTTTCCCACGGGAACCTCATATGAATTCCCAGACCATACTTGTGGGAACATGAATTGTTATCAACTGTTACAGTTATTGTTCTAGATAAATTAGGGATAGGAAAGCTAGTCGACTATACCAAAGAAGATTCTCTGTGAGAACGAGTGGGATATATTGCACTAATTAGCCAGTGGGACGACTGGGATCTCTCCCGAATTTTTTCCCATTGAAGAAAACCAGACATGTAAACATCAACTGCTATAAAAGGTAATGGTTTATTTTTGGGCATGTGGAGGTTCGGAAATTTTTTTTTTTTTTATTGACTGGGAGTGCTTTATATAAAATTTATTTTATGCGACCATGGCACAGATCACAGAGATGATACCAAGGAATAAATAGGACCAACCAAACGAAAACTTGGTTATGGAATCATTGAGTTCAGCATCAGCGTCCGCCTTGCCTTCACCATCTTCTTTGTGCAGAGCATTGGCAGGCTTTTCCACGGCCACCTGGCCAGACTTGTAGCCGGGCGATCCAAAGGAATGTTTATCGCTCACAAATTTTGACGAAGCGGCCGCTTTTGGTTTTGTTTGAGAAAAGAAAACAATGTGAGGATTCCTGATAGTGACATTGGGCCTGGGCGATGATAATTTCACTTACACTCCTTGTAGGGCTGTTTGTCGTTCAAACAACCATCCATTCTGACCATGGTGTAACCTGAGTCGTTAATCACACGGACGACATCATAAATGGCCTGCCACGATCCGGTATCTGGGATATCGTACTGCATGGAAATAAAAGAGCCCTTGGAGTCATACGTATCTAGTTGTTTCTCAAACGTCGATTTGTACAATTTGGCAATACCATCCGGATCTTGCTTGAAGTTGTAGTCTTGCGTATCCAAGTTGTAAGCGACCAAGGTGTATCCCATGGCGCGGATGATGTTCTCAAGACGGATATCCTCCGGTTGCGTGTAATGCAAGCGTATGTATTTTGGTGCCACACCGATCAAGGTTTCAATGATTTTAGCGGTATTGGTCACATCCGATTGGATTTGTTGGTCTGATAATCCATTGGAAGAATCTCCCGGGGCTCGATAGGTCATACCGATCAAGTGACCATCATTGTAAGCACGCTGAAGAATCATCGCATATTGCTGAGTGTAGAGCCTTTCAAATGGATGTGTTACGGCGGCTTGCTTTCCCACACGTTAAATATGATTGTTCAAATTACCAGGTAGCATTTACGAAAAAGTTGGCTTTGGCCTGAGTTGCTTTGAGCCCATTAAGTACCTTGGCCGTTACGTCACTGGGACCTTCATTCTACACAAGGATACATTTAGTATTGTTGGTTTCAATTAGGAATCATTGCAGTTATTACATATGTCACGGCAATCTGTCCCGGGTTGGCGCAAGCGGTGGCTTGAGGTGCAGGTGCATCTTTATTCACCGCCGTGGGATGGTTCCATACGGGCAATAGCAAGGCTTCTGCAATGGTTATTGATAACTTAATGATCCCATTGAATTATATAAAATTAGTTGCTTTCCACCTACTCTCCTCAGCATAAACAATATGGCTGAATATAAAAATGCATGCTGCAATTCATTGATAGTTGATAAATAATCATGCATCATCCTATCCGGCATAGTGGAACCACGCTTACCTAGAAAAGCCAGTATTTTGGACGTAGATTTCGGCATATTATGAGTAATGCAGCAAAGCAAGAATGAAATCGACGATAACACGTCAAAATGCAGCTCCAAATGTATTATAAAATATGGCCAAAAAAAAAAAAGACCCGAACTGAGCATTCCCTTTACTGTCGCTGGATGGCGGTTGCAACATAAATATTTTTCAAGTTCCAGTCGCAAATCTGACAATGATAAAAAAAATATTGGAAGACAAAATTTGACCAAAAGAGTGGCTGATAATGATAACAACCTATTTGATTCTCAAAAAAAAATACAACTAAAAACAACGTTCTATACGAAAACAAAAGACGAAGGAAAAAGTTACTTCGCCAAATGGTATATGGAGTGCGGGTTGTACGTGCAGGTGTATGATAAAATGGATGAATATGCAAATTGAATATGCACCATATTCTTTTTTTCTTTTTTCTTTTTTGGTGGCGTTGACATTATATGATGGTATTTTTTTTTCTCTTGAAGCGGGTTGTGTTATGTATCATCGTCGTCCTTTTCTGCTTTATGACCCATGATTCGTGGCGGTCGCATGAGTGGTATATGTTTGCGTGGGAGGTCGACCACTGTATAAGGAGGGTTAGATGAATAAGATTCCCAGTCAGTTCGTTATGCATGATGGATACAAACCAACTTTGTTGCGCATCCGATTATCTCGACATAATGAGCTACAACACCACGGCTGACTCGATGGTATGTATTCTTCTGATAGGCAGTGATGGTGATACGCGCGCGAGCAACCACCGTCACACGGTATCAATGGATTATCAATGGAAGATTCGGGTTCTTGGCATGCGACACAAAACTGTTGCACAATAGGTCGACGTCGTTCTTCTAATGGTTCTTCAGCATATTCGGATAAATCTAATCTTGGCAATCGACTGGCAAGTCCGTAACCTTTGTAATCACACCCATGCTTGCTATACAATGATGAAGTGTGAATACCTCAAACTCTATTGCAAAAAGGAATGGACATGAAAAGCTGAATAGGCTTACTTGCACAATGTTCTTTTGCCCCAAGGTCCAGGACGCCAATTCACGCCTTCAGTGGTTCCGCAATAGCGGCACCAGTCTACGCCGGATTGGGTTAAATACTCAAAGACAGTCATGTTCTGATTCTGGTTATCCAAATAAGTGGTAGTGGTCGTCGAGGGACGCGTGATCTTGCTGCTGCTGCTGCTGCTGCTATTTGTGTGTTTCTGCTTTTTGCGGTATCGTTTGTTCTGCTGTCGATCGAACGGATAGCTGATTTTGTCTGTCAGAAGTGGTCGTTTTCGGCTGAAAGCCAGAGGCAGAAACTCGGAATCACTGCTGTCATCTTCATCTTCATGGTATGCAGCGTCTTCATATTTTGGTTCCCTTTCCTGCATGGCCTCTTCTCCTTCTTCGTCGTCCTCTTTTTCGAACAGATCCTCAAAATCCTCAGATTCTGAGGTGGTGGTAGGGGCTGGGGTTGGGATGCCATGGTCCTCCTCTTCATGGAAATCATGTAATAATTTATTCCAATCCACATCATTTGAAAGCTCGCATTGTTGTCGGATTTCGATTGGTGAATTATCCAGGGGAACAGATAAAGGTTCATTTAGATCCTCGATGCCATCAAACAGAGGTTCATGGTCGCACAAAAAGTCCGATGGGGATGTAACGGGGGATAAACAGGGGGTGGGCACTTCTGCCGATGCTTGGGATTGATTATCGCTAACATGGTTGGATAACACTGGATACAGTTCAGAGATGGCAGGTTGAGCAAGGAATACGTCATCTTTTACTAACAGACGTGGGATCATATATCTTATGGAAATGTAATCTGTGAATACAAAAAGATGAAAGGGTCGTATCAGGGATTCGTTATCATTGTCAGAGCCCCTCATTGGTAAGGAAGTGAAAAAAAAAGGTGCTACACTCGTGACACCTACCTGCTGATGTCTCGTTTGGCTTAGCAATGGCTTCCAATACATGGTCTCGTTGGAATAGATAATCCCAAGAATACCGATGGGACGACGATGGTGGTAGTTGTGATCCGTAGGTGGGAGAGACCGCTGACCCTTTCACCGGTGAATGACCGTTCTCTTCCATCGATCCCTGTCGATTCTCGTTCTGTTGAATGTTTTCTTTGTTGCCATCGTCGTTATTTTTGCGAAATTGCATAATGTTTGTATCTGAAGCCAAGGCCCAAGTCGTCGTAGTCATGATGATGAGTTGCAAGTGAGGATGAAATCAAGAAACAATGCTCAGGAAAGGAAAAAGAGAGAAAAAGACATCCTGGAATCCCTGTTTTCATGATTAAAAATAAAAAAAGAAAAATACAAGTCGCAGAAGTCTAAAAAGGGGAACAGCCATCAATTTCCGCTAAACAGTTGCCACAGAATCATCTCTCCTTTTTTCATCCACATGGCCGTGCTGCCATGAATAACGTCAGTGGCCTTTCTTCATGTAAAAAATCCATCAACCCAACAAAAGCCATTACCCATCATCTATTTGCAAAAGAGAGGCTAAAAAAGAAAACAACTCGCATCCAGCAAAAATTAGGTCACCCTTGCTCAATCGTTTACCGTGGACTCCCGTTTTTCCTCATTTTTATTTTTTCATGACATGACTTTATATGATTAGATTCGTTTTGGATGTTATTTTTTTTTCTTAAAATAAGAAAAAAAAAATGATGCACGCTATCTCGTGATTATCGTTTTATGCCAAAATTCGTACAATTGCTTTTGCACGCTTCGTTTTACAGTCCTCTTGCGTGGTTGCAGCCTCCGCAGTGGAAGCTGCAGGTGCGGCCATGCTTGCTTTTGCCAACAGCTTTTCGGCGTCAAAATCATCGTCATCATCCATCACCGTATCCACTTGAGCATAACTCGTCAGGTTTTGACTCGTTCCGGTCGCTTCCTGAAACACTTTTTGCGCTTCTTCGAGTGTTTTCTTTGAAAAACAAAATAAAGACCGCACAAAGAAAAAAGGGGTTATGAAGAACCGCATGAGAAGATGATGAATGAAACGCATAATTGAGATCGACTGCATATTTACCGCGCGAGCTGATCCTTGGAGATCTTTCAGGTATTCTAGTAACATATCGAATTCTTGATCGGTCATCTGTAGGTTTCCATCCAATGTCAGTATTTTTTTCTCTTTTCACCTTCTATATCACTGATGCCAAGTTTGGCGGAGCCTTTTTTTTTACCTGTTCCTCATTATACATATGCTGTAATAACCACACTTGCTGAATTTTGCGGAATTTCCATGCTGTACGATCGTTGTGGAATTGTTTTAAATAGTCAATGGCCTCTGATTTTTTAATGGATTAGATGGCTGCTGATAATACGTGCATTTTTTTTTCTTCTAGAATCTCATGCAGATCATGCGTGCTTACCTGAACGTTTGGACTCTGCTTTTGAATCCTCTACTTCAGATTTTGACTGCTTTGCTTTCTTAACACCTTTCTGTTTTCGTTTTTTCGGTTGTTTTCCATCATCTTCCTTGTTATCCTTGTTATCTGATGTGTCTGCTGACTTTCGCTTCTTTCCCTTTGATTCATCCTCGGTATCTGCAGTAGCTTTTTTGGTCTCCTTTGGTATTTTCGAACTCTTGGCTTTCTTTGTGTTGGCCTTGGACTTTTTCTCCTCCTTCACCACTTTTTGTTCATTTCCTTCCTCGTCAAAAGTAACATGAAGCGTTGGTGCGGCCCCCTTTCTCAAAGCCGCCTGAGCCGCCTTTCGTGCCGTCATGGATTTCAGCAATGCTGCTGCTGTTGTCAATTTCCGTGGGGCTGCCGGTGCCTTTTTAGTTTCGGCTTTGGTCGGTTTCTTATCGCTTTTCGTCTTGGAATCGGCCATTCTTGTCAATTAAAACTTAGTACTTTTAAAAGCCGTGATCTGATCTTCATTCATCTTTTTTCCCAAAAAAACTTCTTTTTGTTGTGACGTTCTTCAAAGCTCCGCCAAAAAATGCCCTTAATCGGGTCAAGAAAATATTGCTCAGTGAGTTTTTTTTTTATGCATTGGACAAACACATTCTTACCATGTAGAACTACCCCTCATCATATCATTTTAACATGCTTGGGAAAACTTTGGTTTATATGTAAAGTCAATGCTCACTTGCGCTTGTTTCTAACCATTAGATAACGGAGCTTTTGATGTATCCTAATCGCAAGTGACATATACTGCTCATCAAGTCGTCAACTATGATTCATCAAAATGGGATGTATAATGAAAACCAAAGATAGAGATACTCAAAGACAACAGTGGCGAGAATGGCCCAGTCCGGTAAATTAACTGGATGATCTGCAATTCGAATTCATGATACTAACTCCAATTGAGCCGGGACGAATAATTGATGCTCATTATAACTGAAGCGTGCTGTTACAGTTTTGCTGAAACATCACAATGGGTGCAAGATATAAATATCAGGATCACAGTTGCTACATCATAATAAAACTGTAATACTCATCATATTTCATCGCAGCCTCAACATCGGAAAGATGTGGTGCGCATCCTCTTTAAAGGCAGCTACAATATCACAATTCGGGTTTAATGATCATTATATTTCATCACAGCTTATCACAGGTTTTCATCAGCTCTCATCAGTAGTTAATGGTGCTGCGATGCGCAATATTGGATTGATTTTCCGCAGCGTATGATATCGGAACGCAGAAAAAGTTTTTTTTTCTGTCCCATCCATTGGGATTTAAACGGAGTTGACCCTTCTATTTGCTCAGCAATACTAAACAAAGGTAGAAATTGGAACTTTTTTCAACAATGAGATAGGATTACTAAAACCCTGGGTACCGATGACGTGTTGTCACTAACGTGAGATAATACATCACTACAGGCAGCACTAATAGATATGGACATCCCGTTTTGCGGCGCTGGCTGGAAATATGCGCCATGGTACGGCATGGGCGGGTTGAATATGATTCATACCACCACTCGAACTCTGTTGCATCCGACCCCTGTGTGCAGAATGGGCCAATAATACTCGATGTGTTAATTGTACTATAAACACCAGGAGAAGAAATAGGTGACAATTTGACATTGCCAGATGCGGTAGGGATCCACCAAACTTTATACAGCCGATGTTGATATTAGTGCAAGTGCATCCGGAAAGTTCGTCGCCTTATATACTGGGATTGTCAGCGGTTGAGCCATTCTGCAAAGTTTCGAGTTTACGTTGAAATTATTAGTCGCCCGCGGTACCGCTGTCATGACCATGTCACACAATTGCCCTTTCCAAGGTTCGTGCTAGGTCTTCCTCTGATCCGTGTAACTTTTTGTATAAAAATCCTTAATTGACGGACAATGTCGCAACTTTTTCTTAATTTTACTTTATTCTACTTACTCTGATGATACGGCTGACAAGTGCAATCGTCGGCCATGTTGCCTACTTTATTCTTCTTGCAATGGCTTCTTCCAAACTCGTTTACGCTGAAAGCGACAGTCCTCAAGCTTATAAGATGGGAGACCCTGTCCCTGTAAAATTTAACAAGTTTATATCATCATACAGGCCGTTGACGTTTGCATATGACGATCTTCCATTTGTCTGCCCACGATCGGCCTCCAGCAAGAAACATGAAGGGCTCAATATCGGCCAAATATTACAGGGCGACAGTTGGACAACTACCGATCACCAGGTAACTAATTCCTATGTTGCTCTAGCCGCGACGGGTGGTTGATGTAATGACGTGTCATGGCGCCAGATTTTTATGGGCAGAAACGAGTCGTGCAAGACTTTATGCACGGTGGAATTGATACCTAAATCGAGCAAGAGATTGGTATCAATGGCGCTCGATTCATATAAAACCCAATGGTAAGCGTGTATTTGGCTTTCCAGATTCATACCTTACTTGACAAAAAAACGTAATAGGATAATCGATAATGCTCCTGTTTACTATAAGCTTTTGAATAAGGACCCCATTCTAATCCCTCTTCCAACGCCGTTTGTTCCCTTGGTGCATACTCCACACCTCTTGGTACGTTTCCAGTACGACCATCCTCCCACACGCTACATAAAAATAACTGAAAGCTTATATGTTTTTGAAGCTAAAAAATAGTGATAATCTAAGCGATGTGCAAGTGCCGATATTGAACCACTTGTCGTTTTTCATTGACTATCTGCCTGATCCGGATGATCATTTGAAAGCTTACATTGTTGCAGTGACTTCAACGGCTATATCGTAACTATTAATCCACATGCTTAATATACACGAATACATTTATGGTACTTATCTTTAACTATCTGAAAAAAAAAGCATCGAGGATCCAAGTCAATGTACATCACCAGCAGCGAGCGCCTCCAATGTGCCACCAAAACTACTAAGGGCGAATGAAGCGACACATTTGACCTATTCGTACTCGGTATTTTGGCGTGAAAGCGTAAGTAAGTCTGCATGAATATCTTTGTTGACAGACTGTATAACATGCGGTATAGTCCAATCACTCGCCGAGTCGCTGGGACAACTTGAGTGGACCTTACATTCACTGGCGTTTCATTTGGAGAACGGTGTATATTTCAATCCTTATCACCGGTATTCTTGCTGCCATTATGGCCAAAAAAGTGCGAATGGATATTCAAGATACTGGTGATAGCGAAAGTAGGACGGCTATTCCCGGTTCCTTTGTTCTCTACGTAACGCATGGTGCATGGAAGTCCGTCCATGCAGACGTGTTTCGATCTCCGCGATTCACGACGTTGTTGATCGCGCTACTGGCTTTCGGTGCTCAATTCGCGTGCACCTTGACTACCCTGGTTTGTGAGTATCATAGCTATTACAGCTTCTGTTATATACTTTTTTGTGCTGATGTACGGATTCTAGTGATTATGATGTGTGGTTTCCTGGGTCCGGCATACCGTGGCGGATTAATGACGATTGGTTTCGTTCTGTATCCATTTTTCGGGTAAGGAATCTAGCAAGAAATTGATGGTTAACTTAAAGATCCACCACGATAAACGCGCTCTACCGTAAAATATCAGATTGGTTTCTGGTTTTGTAACAGGGTACATGCACTCGCTACTTCAATGTCAGAGGTCATTGTTATATCACACTTTTCAGGTAAGTCTTTGTCTACGTTTAACAGAGCATTTGGAGTAATGACTCGACTGCAAACGTAGTCCGTAGTATTGGTGCCTGGATTTTTACTGGCGACTCGATTCACGATAAGTTGCATTGCGTGGGCTGATGGATCATCGTTAGCTATTCCTTTCGGTACATGGACGGTCGTGGTCATTGTTGCTTTTGGGGTCAATGGGTTTTTCACAATGATGGGAGCGATCATCAGCCGCCGAAAATCCTACACTATACCAGTGGAAGTTTCCGACACGGTCAGAGAAGTCCCGCCCAGGCCATGGTTCCTGAAGCTCTATGTTACGTAAGTCATTCGGCAAGCAGCTCAAGCGGATGATTGCAACACTAAAAAAATCGATTTTCTAGCATACCTATATGCGCACTATTGCCTTATGTTATCTACATGATGGACTATACTACGGTGGTATCGCATCTGTGGAGTGACGAATTCTATTGGGTTTATGGATACCTTGCTTTGATAACATTGATGACATTCCTTGTCTCCATCGAATCAACGTTGACAATAACTTATTTATGCCTGAATTATGGGGTATATGATAATTTACGATGTTTGATTGTCATATTGGCTCGGATATTCACGTACAATGGTAGGATTATCATTGGTGGTGGCGCTCATTCATCCACTCGGCTTCTTCCGCTATTGGAATCATGATGTAAGTGGGACGTAAAAAATAAGAGAGACATCATTAAGCTTATTGCACCGTATACCTGTAGCATATCTTCCGGGGATACTTTTTCGGGCGGTGTCGGTGAGGCGTTGATGATTTTCGGATACAGTCTGATGGGTACTGTGCTATTTGCTGTTTTGTTGGGCACCCTTGGTTTTCTGAGCACATTCATGCTTCTCCGCATTATCTATAGCTCTATCAAGGTAAATTGCAATGATGATTTCCCGTTTTGTGTGCAAAGATTTGACATTGTTTGTCTCATTTATTAGAGCGATTAACCACAGCTCTTCTCTTTCACGATAGCCTACTAGGGTACTGTTATATTGAGATTGAAGCAAGCGGACAAAAAACACTCTTTCCATTATAAATATGGCTCAAAAAGTGAATTTCGGCTTTCTTAACAACCTCGTAGGAGATTGAGTGCAGAATAATAAAAATAGATGGAACCCCAGTCGATAGAGATGCCTGGATACAATTTCCAGTCCCCGTGCCGAATCGAATCATCTGACAACCACTGATTCCATATTTAGTATAGAGCGTTAAACTGCGAGAGGATGGATACGAATCAATTAACGGAACCGATGCGATTTGTTCCTGTATTTGCATTCCGAAAATGCAGTAAATGTCCCTTTTTTCCTGATTCTTTTTATTATGCGATAAAGCATTGGTTGGGACGTAAATATATATGGTTGAATGGCTATGGTTTACTGGCCAGGTAATATATCTCCGTCATTGGATCCTTTTGCGACCACACAGGTTTGTCGTTGGACCATGCTACGGCCGAAAAGTCAAACAGGCTAAAGAGACTCTTACGGTCAATATCGCCAACAGGTCGAGAGCTGGTCTGTATCACGATTTTTCTACGTTACCGTGGATTTTGAAACGAGGGGACGTCCGCCGTTACTACGTTGGGACCTGGGTTCACTTTTGGGGTCCGTGGATTCCATTGCAACTTAGTATTATTAGAAGATGGATCGGACGATCTTGGATTGAAAAATGTCGGCATGGGATGACAACAAGAGAAAGTAGAGAGAGAAAAGAAAGAAGGAAGAAATTAGACACAAATGCGGAATCTATTATCATGAATGAGCCGATGTTCTCGGGTTTCCTTTTAGGAATTTTTTTTCCAATGACGATTGCAATGCCTAAACAGATGATCATATTATTTTTTCTGGTATGTTAGATAAGATGCGAAGCTGGATCCTCCCGGTATAATGTTCAATCATCCTCCGGTTGTTTTAGCTGTGGACTAGGAACCCTACAAGACAAGCATCTAGCATGAACTCGGCGTTTACCCAAGAATGGGTCAGCACTGTCACCCCAAAATTGATCCGTTAGAATATCTTGGATGACTGTTGCTTCCCCAACAACACCTACTGAACAATTTCGTCCCGTCTCTTCCAGCAATGCGCATCAGATCTTTTACACCGCCCGGATGGAATTTCATGTACGGCGTAATGTTATAAATCTTTCCCTGAATGACGGTCCAAGCATCGTCTAGGGTTTTGTGTTGCTTTACGTCGTCTAAAGTATATCGGCCCAACTGAGATACGCCCTGGGTACATGGTGCATTCCTGATTAGTACCGAAGCAGAATGTGAGAAGAAATGGATTGCTTACTCGCAAATTCTGTCCTGAGCTTTTGAGTCGGGCCCAATCCAACGGAGAGTGACCCGGTTCCAGATGAACCTTCTGTCGCCCGCGTGGTTGCCGTGTGGCTGCAGCGACTAGTCGCTGTGGTCCGTTACGAGCGGGAAACTCGGGAACATCAAGATCTTGATCTTGTGATGAAATAAAAAAGAGATTTAGTTATGTGCAATCATCGGACATCCGATGGATAGTTACTGGCAGGATTGCGAACGTTGATGGTGGGACTCGGTACTCCTAAAGCGTTATCCTTGGTATTTCGGTTCATAGGCAACAGGATCAAGCAAATCAAGCAAAAAGTCGATAGTTTTTATTGACCGCAGGTGCCAAAAAGGGAAAATCAAAAAAAGTCGGCCCGCAATAATCACTCGTATAAAAAGTCACACACAGTGAATGACTGACTAATCATGCTTTGAATGGACCATCGCCAGCCAGATTATCTGAGGAATTTTCTTCAACGAAAAAGCAAACGATGCCTTCCTATTCAAGTTGCTATGCATTGACAACACCTGATCCATCGCCGTAAGGGGAAATTCATAGGTTATTGGTTGCACCAGCAGATCCAGGAACAGACTCTCTCCAGAAATACACTTAGCATAGATACTCTATGTCAAAACGGATCCGTCGACTCGAAACTAACTATAAGCGCCCTCCTAGGATCCGTTGAATTTGCCCAGCAAATCTTGTCAGAGCCAGTCATTGAAATAGAGTTAAATAACCATAGCCTTTCAAGACGGAGCAAAGCATTTCCTGTTTGGAGATCTGTTTTCGACATCATTTAAGCAAGAGTATACAGATGTTCCAAGTTTCAAGAATTATGACCTTTCGATACAGCATATTACATCGTCAAGTACATTGTAGGTTGGACAGCTCACTTTGTTAAACTTTTTGGCCGATGTATTGTTATTATGTGGCAGTATGCACCATTGGAGAAGATTATTAGGTCCATTTCACTAAGGAATATGTACTGCTGTGATGACCTTTATTGTAATCAAGGGACATACGAACTCGCAATCGTAAAGTATGGTTTGAATCTATCAGGACCTGTTGTAATGCCAAGGAAATTATTGCATAATTCAGTGTATCGAAAAACTGTCAAGGAAGCCCGATGCTATTCAAAAGTTCGTCCTCTGATCTGATTGTGAATTTCATGGTGACATGCAGATCAAATATCAGTAACAACACGTGAAAAAAAAAGAACATCTATCAATGAAACTAACAAAAGGGTAAAAAAAAGTACGATATGGATATAATATACGAGAATAGCGGATGGCAAGATAAAAATAAAAGGACGCCAACTATAATGTTTGAAGTATCAAATAAAGAAATAAGAAACAATTCTAAAGAATGTTCATAGAAACGATGATGAAGCCATAAAAAAAAGGTGACACAAGAAAGGGACATTTCATGCGTAAGTGCTCCAATCAATGGAAGGTTTGTCGCTTAGACCGAGGCACAAGTCTATGTGGGATGAAGAAGGTCGTCTAATAACACTTCGAATCGCTTGATCCAGTGGGAAAATCCGCTCATTCTTGGCATCTGATATAATGATTCGTTTCCCAGGTGGGGGAGGTCCCGTCATATCGATTTCCGCCAGCAGATTTCTGAACGTAAAATCATCCGTAATTGCCAAATTACGTATATAATACATCGGTGGAGAACTGGGGGTTGTGGCCGAACTTTTCAGTGACACAGTTTCAACCACAGTTGTATGTGGCACTGAGGGTAAATGAGGCGATAGCGCTGGATGCTGTTGTTGCTGCTGTTGTTGTTGTTGTTGTTGTTGTTGTTGCGGTTCGTGTGTGGATTGTGGCGGTGGTTGCTGTTGATGAGGATGATGTTGTTGATGGTATTGGTGTTGGTGCTGGTGCTGGTGTTGGCCTGGTGATTGCCGATTGTATCCTGAAAAGTTATCTGAAAGTTGGCTTGACTGTTGCATAGTCATCGGTAACGATGACAGTGATGAGGTATGTGTATGGCCTCGTGAATGCAAAGGAGGTAATTGGGATGGAAAACTATCTACATGTTGTTGATGTGGTTGACGAGTAGGTGGTGCTGACGAAGAGGAAGCAGAGAATGGATGATTGGTTAATAAAGGGGTCATGCCAGTTGCATAGAGAGGCGTGGAAGCGCTTGAATGCGGGGAATGTTCCATGGACGAGGGTCGACTGATACACTTTCTCTTGTTCGAAGTTGAAGGAACCACGAGAGGAAAATCGGCCGAAGTGGACGAGTCGTGACGATGTGCGGCATGCTGCTGATAAGAAATTTCTCGCACTTTGGCGGCTAGACGACCACTGCCAAGGATACTGGAGTGAGCGGCGGCATGATAAGGATGATGATGAACCGCATAAGGATCCATATAAGGCGATTGAGGATGATGTTCTCGATCTTCTGCCAACTCCATGCCATTCGAATCGGCGGGGGAAGGCGGAGCCTGATTTTTGCGTTCGTGCTTCTTCTTGGCACGATAGAGTGTACTACTGTGTGCCTTGCAAAGTGACACTTCCGCCAAGTCACGTAACCCAACAACATGATCATTTTCATCTTTATAAATAGGGTGAGCATGTTCTGACAACCATCTCATTGAAAAATCATAGTCTTCTTTATCTTGAGGGTGCAATTTCTTGGCTCGGGAATCCAAACTGCCCTCCGGTAAGTTTTTCCCGCGTCGAGGTTGTACTTCGTGACATGTACAATCCGTTCCATAAAACTGCCACCGTAAAAAAAATCAGCCACTTGTCATCCAATTTTACTATTGACCTGTCCATACTTACTCGAGAACACGTGAAGCATACACTGCACACAAGACAAGCATTCTGTTTCGTAGGCAACCCAAAAAATACGCCCGGAGTATGGATAGGAATATCAATTTTGTTTTTCGGTCAATGGTGAGAAAAAAAAAAAAAAAAGGGGGAAAAAAAGTAAAAGGAAAAAAAAAAAACGATAAGAAACCAAACCACACACGTTGTTGCAGGGAACTCAAAGTAAAAACTCGAGCCCACAGACAGAACAAAGAAGGTTGTATCCAAGTACCTTTCGAATAGGCAGTGTGCGATGATGGGTCATACCATGACCGAGCTCTCGTCTTCCTTGCGAAGGGTGATGCGAAGCATGAGGTATAGGAAGTTCGGTAATCACTTGTGCAAACTGAAACAGGTTATTTTCAGACATGCACTTGGTATGTATAGAATGAAAACAGTAACAATCGACGAGACAGCTTCGAGATGAAGGTCAAGAAAAGTCCAAAAAAGTATAAAAAAGTACGAAAAACACTGGTGGACGAATTCCGCCATCAAAAATCCGTCGTTTTTATTTTTTAGTCCTTTTTTTTGTTTTTTTCAGCATGCAACACTCAAAATTTCATCTCCTCCCCTTTCCCTTTTCCCCCCTCATTTTTTGAAAGAAAAAAAATGCTACGGTTACAAGCGCCATTTCCATTGGCGACGTTTCACCCCTGTGGGTCTATCCATGCAACTTGGGCAACTCGAATTTTTCAAATTTTTTTTTTATTCTCGAGAAAAATAGACCGTTTTTGTTTCTTGTTCGTTGCCTTGGTGCGAGTCATCGTATTTATTTTACACTTCTTTTCGGTTAATGACCCAGGTTAGATGAGCAATAGCTACGGTATCCAGCATGCGGTCTTTGACAACAACCAAGGTTTCGATTTCTTGTTGTTGCTCGAGATCACTCGGTAAAGAAAAATCGGAAGAAGCCGTCAGCAAGCCACGCGCCTTTTTCTTGTACTAGATCACACAATTAACCATCTATAACCTGTTTTCGTTTTCCCGGTCGATCTCAAGTGTTGTTGTCGCTAACGTACCTCAATTTGGAGTGACTTCAAGGTCGCTGTATCTTTATCTTGCAGGGTGCTGACCAGCGCTAATTCGCCCACGGTTTCGGAAAATGTGGCTAAAGCGGATGCATGGATACTGTAAGGGTTGTCATATCAATATCTGTCTCGTTTCTCGGCGTATACCGATTACAACTCTTTTCTTTTTGTCTCACCTTTTGAAAGAGTCCCGATTTCTGTGCCGATCCTATGTACATACCGGTTGATATCGATTCCCCCAAAAACAGTGTATGTAACCCAACCCCCCACTCCCCCAACTCAGTAAAAGTAACTTACCCGCATAATTCCCGTACAAAATCCGCGTGAATATGTTGAGACACGCATATCTATTCCCGTCAGATATTTTTTTTTTGCGTGAGTTTATATTTTTCATCATTGCTCTTTTTTTTTCTTCATTATAGTTTACCGATGGATCCGACATAGGGATTCACATTAGTTAATAACGAGGCGAACATTCTCGGTCGGAATAGTTTAATGAGGGGCTTATTCAGTTTTTCCCACACTACTAGTGGCCGTCGTGAGTGACGAAGTGTCCATCCGAGGTAAATGACGCTGAATAATGTGGCTACAATGACGCCAATAGTGAATCGAGTAAAGATGGTATATTCCAGTTCCAAGGCAACGCGAACCAACTGAATCGTTGCTTCCACATGCTCATAAAAAGCATGCTTCAGCAGTAAAAAGGATTGATCGGATGTTGACATTAGAGCAACACAAACCGAGAAGGGAAAAAGACGAAAAGCGAAAAAAAAAAAAAACGGAGCCGTGACAACTTCGACAACGCGCAACGCCCTTTTTGCGGGAAACTCAACTCAACCTCTTTTCCATGAAATTATGGTGACTGCCGAAATCTCTGCTATATCGAACTTGCCAGAATGACGCCATGGGTTTCATGCCTGGTGAGGATCTTTATGTCTTCATTACAGCCATTGTAGAAACCATCTTCTGCTTAAATTATTTGATGAGAATGCCTCTGACATAATCGCCAGTCATGACAAGAGAAGAATCACATGGAAATAAAGCATACCACGTTTGTGTCACGGTGCTACCTCCAGCATTTGTACAAATCTGATTGTTTGTGATAAGTCCAGGCATGGCATTGAATTTCTGAATATCATACGATTCATACAGCATCGAAAAAACCATATCTGAATACAGGAATGATGACTGTTGCAAAATTACCATACCATCAAAAAAATTATATATATAAAGATCGATCGGATGATCATTTGCCCTTTGAAAGGAAACAAGCACAGTCTATAAAATACAAAGTTTATATAGATTGTCGCATTCTACAACGTCTGATCTAAAGCTACATAGTTTATGGTGTAAGAGCGAACCGTACTGAAGAAGAATGGCTTCATCAACTTGAGATCGTACGTGGCGATTTCGTCACGACCTTCCTTCCGGCTGACATATTCTATCCACGTCAATTTGTTATGACGCCCTCGATGCGTGCTCTTAATCTTGAGATACATTTCAAAATGTTCAAACGGTAAATCTGGATCGCGCATCCGAATATCTATTTCGTCTCCATCGATCTGCCACCGTCCATTGAATACCTGTTTTCGACCAAAATTACCATTGATCAATTTCACCACCTGCGCCGGTTCGTCCGTGGAAACATGCTTCACCAGTGTACCGTCAGGGAAAAACCTTAGATAACGGTAATACGTGACAAGATGCACAGGCTGATTCCAGCTGCTGTCTGAAGTACCTGGTCTGATACAAGAATTCAGTTCACTGGATGTATCTGAAACACCTTTTTGCTATTGGCTAGAAACTCACCTAATATAATGACAAGTGGATATGTAGATCCCATCGAACCGAATACGGGGTCTTTCAATGAACATACGCATCCAGTGTCCGCCGTATTTTTGCACATGTTCCAATTGTTGCTGCTTTGATACTTCGATTGCAATGCCTGGTATTCGAAAAGCATGTTCACAAAGAAAACGCCACAAGGAAGGCGATCTTGTCAGCAAGAAAAACTTTTTACACACAACTGCAAATTTGGCAATGGACGACACCGATCGCAGAATCAAACGACGTAAAATAAGTTGCATGATTTCACCTGTAATAAACAATCGATCAGTTTCATCTTGGCAAAGTTGAAGGCTATGAATGGGAAGCAAGCTTACTTGGTAATTTGGCAATCAGGACTGGTTTATAGTCAACAGCGGGTATGTATTGAAGATCTTCTTCCGATAGTTGCTGTATTAATCCTTCCAACGGATCCTTGCGGAGAGCAGATGGTGCCACGTATTCGTTGGAGATAGGAATAATGTGTCGAAAAGTGTCATCTGGTGCCTCATGACCGTCTTCTTGAACACTCGTGCGGCGTTGGACAGTTTGAGAAGTCGATGCCAACTGTTGCTGTTGAAACTCTCGCTTGTATACAAAATCAATGTCTGGATCTAATTTGAATGCACGCCGATAACTGTCCAGCGCTAATATTTCCATATCAACAGCCAACAATATCGTCAAGGTCAAAATTATCATTCATTTTTTCTTTGGCACTCTTTGCACACAATCTGTCAAATAGCTGTCTTTTACCTTTTCCCAGTTTTCCTTGTCGTTCGTTTTCTACTGCATCGACATAATGATCCATAGCCGTGATTTCAGATTTTCTCTCTGGAGCCTTAAACGGCATCTCTTTGGCGGCAACGGGGTCTTGGAGAGACAACGACGCCATCGATTCTACTGGAGGTTTTGCTGATGCCGATCCTTGCGGCATGGGTTCCGTTGGCGGTGCGGTTGACGAAGTCGCTGTCTCCTGAGAAGGTTGGCTGACTTTCCGATGTTGCACTTCTTCTCGCCATTGCTTTCTAAAGTCTTCAAGCTCTTGCTGATTAGCCGTTGCGGGACTCTGAGAATCCATAATGAACACCACCGAGTCGATAACGCAAGACAGCATCGCACTTATCCGCAAAAGGGAGCTTATGCTGCGGTCAATTCAAACCCCGACGGTAAGATAACGCACCGACAAAAGATCCATATGCAGTGCTGTCAAGGCTTGCATAACATCATGGGAACTTGTTCAGCTGAAGAAGGTTTTGAATATAATAGATGGATTGAACATGGTATCCGTAAGCGTTATGCACGGGAAGCAGTTTCCTTATTTCATGGTTGTTCAAGTATCATCGTCATGCATTAGAGAGTGGCTTAGCGAATTTCGAGCTGCCTTTCAAGGTTCGCACCGATGGGCTGGTGGGGCAGACTTCCCAAAGCTGCAGTGTTACAGCACCATGGCCAAGTCACCGCAGGATTACAAAAAGACAAGCCAACAATTTCACTCACAGCTAGAACACTTGCATCGCCTGTTATACTCGACCAAACCGTGTCCTTCAACGGCAACGGCTATTATCAAAAGTATCAATGACGCCGAAACTCCTTACAAGGCTGTCACGGATCAGGTAGCATAACAACTGCACGCCATCCTCATTCAGCCTAACTGAATCTTGTTTTCTTTCCCCATCGTTTAGCAGATCATAGATATATTTGTAACTGGATGCAAAGCGTTAAAGTATACGGACGACGCTTGCCCGCCATTTTTGAAGTTCATGTTCAAGCAATCTTCGAAACATGTGCGTGGTTAACTTTAATCTCGATATATTGAGGGCTAGGAGTGTTTATGGATGTGGTTATTTAGATTCGTATTACGAAACTGCGATCGGCACAATTAGAAACCTGTGTTACGTTTATCTTGGATGGACTGGATACGGATATTGATGCTGAATTACGAGTCGATCTGCTTCGCGCCTTCAGCGCATTACTGTTTGAAAATGCCGCTAATACTGCCAAGGTATGTGTACAAAGGCATCCCGGAGCCAAATCAGATATTAACAGGCAGATATGTAGTTTTATCCAAGAATTGCAAAGACTTTGCTACGGGCCGCGGATCGATCGACCACACCACTGGAAGTTCGGCGGATGGCCATCAACTGTATCGGTAACACTTGCGCTGGCGCAGGGTCCAAGTTACAGCCTTATTACAGCGATTACTACGAAGTCTTGCTGTCCAATATATGCGCGGTGGATCATACCTCACGCGGGACCATGATGGTTGCTTCTACTTCCTTGGACTTTGCCGATCCAGCTGTACGAAAAGTGGCTAGCAGTACATTGCGGGCTTTACAATTTGTGCTGGGCCAAGACAAGTCCTTGGTCACCAATCCTTTATGCGATATCATCGATATCATCCACACCTTTATTTTTATGCATGTGTCTGTCCAATCCTACAATTCAATTCTCGCGGCAATGAAAGGTACATCGGAAGTATAGATGCTATCGTTCGAACACGACCATGAATTTCATGCTTGGCGTCCTAGATATTGAATTAACCTCAACCGCATCCTCACCTCACCGACTTGCCCGTATTCGTGGCGTCATTTCTCCTCCGCGTTCTCATTCTTGGCGACCCAATATGCACAAGTTTGTTAGCGCCACCAGTTCCGATTCGGAATTGTCGGATTCGGATCCCGTCAATTTGAATCCTCGTCGACAGTAAGCCCATGAAACGACCAAGTAGAATGAGAGCGCTTTTTAATCAATGTTTCTCACACAGGAGAGACGATGCCAAAATCCGTATCAACGCACTGCTGTGCCTTGCTGCGGTTGCCAAGGTAAACCCGGATTTTGGTCACCTTGACGGTATTGAAGAGTGTATTGATGTCCTGTTAGACGTCATCTCGCGCATTATACCCGCACTGGCAACGCTTTATACCAGATTCCTTTACTATCTTCCTTAGCAATAATACGGATCCTCTCTCTGCTGCGAAACAGCCGCTTCATCTATCGCCTGTTTTACGTTCCGACAATCAACCATTCTCATTGTTCACCATTTTGCTCTACGATCCCATGCCCACTGTACGCACCGCCGCTTGCAACGTGCTTCTTTCCATGTTTGATGGTGCGAAACAGTACTTGAGCGTTGCATCCGAGAGGTATGAGTTTTCCTGATGAAGAAGTATAACGTGCAGCTTGACACTGATGACGATCGTCATTTTAAAGCGACGCAAAAACATCGTTTACGTCTTTATCCGGGAAGTTGGCATCTATCCTAAGGGATTGTCATCAAGGTCTGATCTGTGTTATTGAAAGAGAGCAGGACCCGCGGATCTTGGGTCTTGTTATGAAAGTGGCTTGCACCTTGGTTGCCAACTGTACCTATGATCGACTTGCCACGGGTTATCTTTCTCGGCTGTACCATACTGTATTGAAAAGATGGCATTCGGCTTGTAAGTCAATCCTGCGGTAGGAAAAAATCAAATGATGTTATTAACAGACGTTTTGCAGCCCTTGAAATTCGAAGCTCAATTCTGCAAGTGATATCTGCTATTTTGGAGGCATTCTCCGGTCACCAAGAAGTGGCCGCACTGGTAGAGCAGCCCATCGACGAAAATGATATTTCTGTCGACAATCTTGTGGTTTTCTTTTTGGTTTCCATTGCCGCAAAAGAAGCAGTGACTGATGCGAATGGATATAAAATTGAGCTGTGGCATACTTTTGCCACGCTGGCCAAAACCCATTTTGCTACCGTATGGTACGTCGGTATCTCGCCGTAAAAATCATACGCGATTATTGACGGACCTTCTTTTACTTTCCCGCGTTTAGCAAGGCATGGACGGATATTAGCGATCTTTTTGAAAAAGAGCTGAACGACAAGGATCCGGCCATCCGAGCTGCGGCTCTCAAATTTGCCGAATCGTACGCTTATGCAATTAACGAAAGTTTTGATATCACCCAAGACGTGCTCGTTACGGTAAGCTTTATTTGGTGAAAAAAGACAGACCAAGGCCGATTTTTAGCATAACGTTATATTCATCGATGGGATCCAATAGGATAAGTATGTGAACTGGTGGACAGTTATGATTGAAAAGTATATCCAACAATCGTCGCTGGATGAATCGCCTTTGGTACGAACCATCACAGGAGACTGCATGGCTAATATGTGCAAGGATATTTTCGAACTAATTGACGTAAGTTTTCTGCCGTTTCGACTGTTTGTTTTCCTTGAACTTACTCGATATGTATATGACGTAGGGTCGTCATCAAATGCTGGCATTGACGCTCATGCTACCTCTTCCTATGGATGATGATGCCAATGTCAAAGCAGCTGGATGTCGCGCATTGGGCGTGTTCATTTTATTCCCTTCCGTGCGGCAGGTAAATCTTCTTTTGCTCTTTTACTTGGCCATTGAGAACCTACTAATCATTTTGTTGGCAGAATCCTTACTTTGTATCTGACATTATCACCGCTGTACTTGAGCAAATGATGGATAAATCGTTGCTTGTTCGCGTGCGAGCCAGCTGGGCCCAAGGCAACTTGTGCGATGCCATGGTATTGCAAAGGTAATCACAAGTTTGGCTACTTTGTATGCGTCTTCACAGATGATTGATCATCCAGTTTATCGTCAGAACAAGCGAGGAATTCTGTTTTCCGGAATGGATTTCTGTGGGTGTCTGGAGAAGCATAATGACGACTGCCACCAATGCTTCGATGGATAACGACAAAGTAAGTTGATGCATGATGTTTATTAGTTTAGTACAACATATTGATCCGTCCATAGCTACGTTCAAATGCTGTGCGAGCTATGGGTAGTTTGCTGCAAATTACGCCAAAGGAGTATTTTGCCGACGGTCGCAATATGCAACTTATCAAGAGCGCGATGGGTGAACTGATAAAGAACATGGAAACCGGTGCGCTCAAGGTATATCGTAGTCCTCCCGTATAAAGTTTGGGCAACCAGGTTAACACCGCTTCTTTTTTTTGGGGGTCAGACCCGATGGAATGCTTGTCACGCGGCAAGCAATCTTTTGAAAAATGAAGACTATCCTATTGGGTATATGAGCGACGGCGGCATGTACCAGTGGACCGAAGGCTTTTACCATGCATTGGTGCATTCGCTGAATTCTTGTAAAAATTTCAAAGTCCGTATCAACTCCTGTCTTGCCTTGGCCACACCTACAAAACGAGAGTTTTATGGCGATCAGAGACTATTCAATAAGACAGTGGAAGGTGTCCTTAAGGCTTGGGATGCATGTCAAGACGGCGCAGAGACAGAGTTCCAAGAATATCGTTACCGAGAACAATTGAAACATCAGGTAAGACACTTTAATTCATAAGGGCACCAACAGAAAGGGCGATCTCTCACTGTCTTTTAAACTAGTTGATGATCACTCTGCGTCATCTGAAAGACTGGATGTCGAAAGAGGACTTGGACAGGACTCACAAGATATTGAACGAATCAACTACAATAGAATAAAATCGGCTTACGGTCACCGCTCGTTTCTGAAATACTCGGTTTTTGGAATATATTCGAATTAAAGATTCACTTCTCTGAATTTTTGATAATTGTAGGCTATAAAGTATTCCTCGCAATGATCACTCTGGAGCAGTAATTGGCAGATCATTTCAAAAAGACAGATGGCGTCGGTTGCATGACAACAGAAAAAATCCATGGTTTCCGGTATCCAATCTTCGCTTTAGGAACAATGGTTTTACATTCATTCAAGTTGCCATGTTAATTCATTTCAAAGTACCAATGCTCATCGCAAGAGAAAAAGATGCAACCTGAACAAGTCGCAATCGGCCTCACATTTTGAAAAGCACCACCACGCCATGTCCGAAAGCTTGGTGGACTATGTCCCTTCCTCAGCAATAACTCCCCCGATTCTCTACTTCCTATCTTTTTATGGTTTCGCAAAACACACCTATAACAGTTCTGTTGATCTTGCCGCCAGCTACTTTTTCATTACTCGTCGCAATTGAAGGTCGACGATTCTGTCGACGCCAACAGCAGCCTTCCTCATTGGAACTAGCAAACAATAACCCACTTGACGTTAACTGAGCCACGTGGATGTGAACTACCATGTTCAGAGTGAGCTGCGTCAGGCAAACTATATGAATAGGAAAATGGTTTGTGGGCAAGAGTTAATTGGACGTCTTTATTGAATAGAGGAATCATGTGCAAATAAAAAAAAAAGAGGTCTATCCTATTGTATCTCTTTCTAAGCAAAGCGTTTTTCATTTATCTTTTTCTTTTTTTTATGAAGTGGTGTAGTTCACGTCCACACGGACATTAAGCTCACTTTCATTTTATTTTATTATTCAACCCAGAAAGGGTTGAGAAATAAGGCAAAAGCCTTTTTTTTTCATTTACCTTTGTTGCGATTAAAAAGCAAACCCACCGACATACCTTCCACAATGACCGCGCTGATGACTAGTCAGGCGCCCAAAGGGAAGAGCCGACGGGAACGAAAACAATCTTCTTCAGAGGATGGCCAATCCTATCATTAGAAGATGGTTTTCGGATTTTTCGCCATACCCCGAATGCTTTACCAAAAACCGGAGCGTTCATCATTATCAGTAACCACCAGCCTAGCAGCCCCTGATTCCGAACTGGCGCACAAAAGAAAAAAAGAGATGAGAAGAAACGCCCTCTTTTTATAACTTTTGCTGATCTTCATTTGTGACTCTGTTTTATGACTGCGAACGCACCTCATTGGACGGATTCTCGCAACAAAACTGGCGAAATTCAGAGCCTCACACTTCTTTCGCGTAAGCCTGCAAAGAGGGGACTGCGCCATGTCATTCATGCTGCCATCAGCTACCCATGTGCACCACAGTCACTCTATAACTTGCAGTAAAGCCTATGCTGAACGCTGATGCGACATGATTCGGACTTTTACGCACTCTTTTTTATCTTATTGTATGTTAGGAAGTTTCTATACCTTCGCCTGCCCCTATGTATCCGTTTTGTTTTTGAAACAGTGTAGTTAGTGTTGCTGTGACAGTAAACGCTCACGTATTACTCTAGGAAACCAGGGTATCAGTTTCAGTGCGCCATGTTGCAATGGCGACAGAACAGGGAGAGCGCAAACCAAGGCCGTTGCGAACGGATGTGCGCATGTCCGCAAGAAGTATATTTTTTGGCCTGCGTTAAAAATGCATATGTGGATGTAGGAGCGATTGAAACCCGCAGCAGGGCAGTAACAGCACCTGCAATAGTTTTTCTCCGTTTGCTATATTTCGCATAACCTGATTGACCTGCAGGACCAGTGTTATCTCCTCTTGAAAAACTGAGTTCTGCTTCTCCGCTTGTCTACACAATAACAGGTTCGGCCATTTTGTGTTCGATAAAAAGTTGCTGTCGTTTGTGCGTTTGACTCGAATGAATCTTGGCAAAACATGAAGGCAACCTTCGATTCTTGCAGTCATTTTCATGAAATTTTCCATCATCACTTTTATTATACGTCGTATGCTATATCAAGCCAATTTAGGCATCATTTTTTGTGCTTTCCCAGGAGATCCCAAAACCGAGCGGTGTCCAAGTGGACACTCGATTTAGGAATATTCAACTCAACAATATTCTCGATTTAAGAGTAATTGGATCTCAAGAATCACCTTTCGTGGCTCCCGGGATGGTTCCCTAAATCGAGTACTTGATTGTAATTTTAATAAATCTCAACGAACGGCACAGCCTCCTGCTGACAGTGGAATAAAAAACATGCGTTTTATATAGGACGACTTGTATTTTGAGATACTTTCATAGACCGCTATCACTGGAAACAGCAACGTTTGTGTGGAGTTCCGTGAAATGGACTGCGCCGCATGGGAGGGGGGAAAGCAGGCATATCGATTAAATTTGAGTCTCCGCCGGATTGTCCGGTGTAAGCACGTGACTTTGCGTGAGCGAGGAAGGCCTGTTTCGCTGTGAGGCTCGCTTCCAAAATGGAACACCGAGCCACCTGAGTGAAGACCCTTCTTTTCCCACATCCATAGGGTATGTATACATCCATCATAAAGAAGATGGATATCCGTATCCATAGATACGACGAAAAAAGTCAGCGGATGAAGAATACTAATAATGACCTTTCTCTAAATTTCTATCCATCTTTTTCATCGTACCGTCACCATCATCGTTCAACCTCCATATTCACCATCGTTACCATGTCCTCGATTTCGACCCATTTTAATTGACCTATAAAACAGAATCATCGCAATGGCTCAACGTCTCACCTACAGACGCCGTCTCTCCTACAACACTCGTTCCAACCGAGTCCGCATTGTCAAGACTCCTGGTAACGATTCGTTTTGACACCCATTTCCTTCAATTGAATCGGCGGTCAACGATAAGCTAACAACACCTCCTGGCTCCTTTTTTTTTTTTTTTTTGGTTAACTAGGTGCCCGCTTGGTCTACCAGTACGAGAAGAAGCCTGTCAAGGCTCCCCGTTGCGGTGACTGCGGTGTCGCTTTGGCTGGTGTAAGTAGACGAGAATTGAACCAATGTCGAATTCGAATTCGTTGCTAATTGGTGGCATTTGTGAATAGCTCAAGGCCTTGCGTGCCCGTGAGTTCGCTACTGTTTCCAAGACCCAGAAGAACGTCAGCCGTGCCTATGGTGGTTCCCGCTGCGCTCACTGTGTTAGAAACCGCATTGTCCGTGCTTTCTTGATCGAAGAACAAAAGATCGTCAAGAGAGTCCTCAAGGCCCAGACCCAGAAGAAATAAATCAGCTGTTTCTTTTGTTTCTAGCTGATATTGCCATCCAATAAATCGCACATGCTACGCTTGTTTGCAGATAATTACTATGGAGGAGACAACGTCCGGTGCTTAGTTTTGTACAACAAGTGGATCAAACGAGGAGCAATCGAAAGGGAAAAGCATAGAGTTATGTATTAAGGGTGGCAGACAGAGAAAAGAACGAATCGATTTGGTATCGGATCAGTTTTTGTGCAATGATTGAGAGCTAGCAAATAGGCGGAACAGTAAAAAAGGAGAAGGGGGTATATAAGGTTGGGATCGGCGATGCGGGTTGTGTTTTATTTATGGGATGCAGAGAAAAGAAAAAAAAAGGGTGCAATATAACAACAAGTCGCGTTCTTAGATATGAAAAAAAAAAGCAAGTCGACGAAAAAGCGCCTAATTATTCCATAGTTGGCAAGACAACGGTCAGTCCGGGTCAATAAGCACCGATAAGTTTTGCTCGTGGTGGGTGGGTCTCGCACCCAGCAATTCCGACTTAAGTAAAACAGCATATGTCTGAAAGATAATTTAAACCCCTTGTACACGATCGTAGCAACGGATCAATCACCTGATCGGGATGAAGAATCAGGCACAGCGATACTGCAAAAGAAAAAGCCTAATGAATACAGATTTTCTGTGCCGAGGAGAACTGGAGTCGGGATGCAAGAAGGGTCGTCAGGGGTCTTTGTGAATTATTTACTATTAGGTCAACATTTCATAATGGAGTGTTTGGGTGCGATCTAATTTCTTTTTATCCCAGCTACATCATTGGATATTGTCGAAAGCCGTTGTGCGACACGCTTTCGCTTGCCATATTCATCATGCAAAAAAAAGGAAGTTGAAAAAAAGAAGGTGTCTAAAACAATGTACTACTCTTTTTTTTTCTTGGGGTTTTTTCCTTCGTATTATATTGCACGGTTTTTCTTTCAGTCGCCCTGTTGCTTATTGTTTTTCTCGGAGACTCTCACTAAGGGTACGTCTTTGGAAAATGTCACAAAACACGCTGGAGCCGTGATGCTCACGGCATCACCATTCTAATGTCCGTGCACCTACCGATGGAATAATAACCTTAGACGCATTTCAGCCCTTTTTATTTTACGTTATTGCCATTACCATTTTCTGATTCATCACCATTGCACCTTCCTTGTGTTTTCCAACTTCTCGCAACGTGAATTACTGAAATGACCGAAACATACAACAACACGCCTGTTATCCGCTTACCAAAGAGCAAATCCAGTTCGATTCGTCCGGCCGCGCAGCCGTTTTATCCCTTATCGATGTATGAACCGGATAGCAGTCTTGTTACGGAAACGTTGTATTTTGATCAACTGCCTGATGGCATTGCTAACGAAGATATCCGGTCGTTGTTGGGCTCTTGTCAACCGATTGAGTAAGTTCATCATTCAAATAGCGTGAAGAGAAACGATTGTCTTTTTTTTGTATTTGTTATTTTGGAGAAACCTAAGAGGAAGAGCTAAAAAGAGAATCCACACATGTTTTTAAATTTGATAGGATTCACATTGGACCGAAGCGTGGTGAAGGATTTTTGCGATTTTCGAGTTCCAAATTAGGTATATTTCAAAATAGGGAAAAAAAACGGGTCTGTACGGATGTTGGATGCATACTCACGTCTTCTGATGGTTGGATGATGTTTCATGAATTAGCCGATAGGGCCTTCTCTCTTTATAACGGATTCACATTTCTTGACGGAAAGAAGTTGCAGTTTCGGCTTTACCATGATGGTGCCTTTGAGCCCAAGCCTGAAGCGCCCATTTTACAAGTGAAACAGTTGCCGGCGCAAATGAATAGTGATGGTTTATATGATCTATTTCGTCCATTTGGACCGTTGGCACTTTGTAAACCAATAGTGGAAGGAGACGGCTTTCGAGGAACGGCGTTTATTCAATACTTTTATCAAGAAGACTCTGATAAAGCACAGCGGCAATGGGTATGTCGTCACCTGATAGATCACCAACGTGATTAGAGGAATGAGAAGATGATATACTAATAGCATGATCTCTCCAGCACGACCAAACATTGCATGGGCATACAATGTGAGTAGATAAGGGCGCGCATGGATGGGTGTGAAAGAGAAAAAGCGAAAGAGAGAGAGAGAAGAGAGACAAGGAGGAATGATATTGATGGTGACATTGCTTTGTATGTGTTCCAAAAAAAAAAGCTACATACAACCGTTTTCGCCTCGTGGTCCAATGGAGCCAACCAACAAAACTGTAAGTTGTCCATTTCCATATTCTATTTTTCATCTAAACAAAACAATTACGATCATGCTAATATACGTTTGCAACGCGTCACTTGTTCTCTTCTTGTTCTTCTCTCTTACTACTTCCCCTTGCTTTCTACTGGTCTTTCTGCACCCCTCCTCCTCTTCTTCTTCCTCTTTCCGGTGTGCCTCTTTCCGTTTTCGTCACTGGTCGCTATGCTGTCCAATTTGCAGTCATTCTCTCCTCCGTCATCAGTCAGCGACAAGACGGACAACACCTTTGTCGACTATATGAATCTCTATGTGAAGAATCTGGACCCTGCCTTAACAAATGCTGATCTGTTCAATCTGTTTCGCAACTTTGGCCGCATCGTTTCGGCTCGAGTCATGAGCAATCCTGCTACGGGGCAATCCAAAGGCTACGGCTTCGTCAGCTTTAGTAAGCCCGAAGAAGCTCAGGCAGCTTTGCGTGAAATGAACAATAAAATGGTCATTTCCAAACCGCTCATCGTGGCCTTTCACGAACCCAAGAAACCTCGTCAGGACAGACAAGTCACGGCTTCTTCCCCTACTTATCCTGCTTTCGCTACGCTTCGGCCTTCTCCACCCAGCACCACCACCAGTAATAATGCCACTTCCACTTTCGGTTCCCCGGACTATGGTATAACCAACCATGGAGCACCTTATTACCCTCAAGATATGAACAGTAAGCAGAACATACAAAGCATAGGAAACAAAGTGGGAAAAAGCAGTTTCACCAACTCCAAGCAACAGTGCCACTAGGTATGAATAATAATAACCCCATGACCACGGAACCCATGGATCAGTTAGCAATGCAGATGCATCTCAAAGAACTAGGGATTGGACAGCATCATGCCCCACCACCACCGTCGGCACCACAACGAAAGGTTGGTTTACTTATTGCTTTGAAAGAAATGAAAAAAGGGCCTCTGGAAAGCGGGGATAGGCAGCTCATCATTTTCTTTTTTCAACAAAAAGTTATCTTCAGGAGACCCTGCTGCTTTTCAATCCAGCTATCCCCGTATCATTCCAACGTATTCTTCACCCATGTCTACGTCCATGTGGACAACCAGCGCTCCTTCTTTAGCAGCGCTTGCTTCGGGACTTACCGTTCAACCGCCTCCAGCCAACGGCCACACGTCTGAACGACCCTCCGAATACAAAAATAATGTGAATGGCCGACCTACTTTACGGCGCAAAAATTCGCTCGAATCCGTGAGCTCCGTTATGACAGCCACCAGCGCTTCACTGCAACGTCAGAAAATGACAGCCGCTGTACAACGCTGCGGTGACTATGGAAATCATTTGTCGGATATTGTCGATATGCTTCTGACACTGAAACGCATGGAACGGTCCCTGTGTCTATTTAATCGGGATTTTCTGATGGAAAAGATTGAACTTGCTCTGGAAGCCTTGGAAGCTTTCAGCGAAGATAGCGACAACGAAGAAGAAGTTCAATTGCACAAATCACCGTAAGTGGCGAGTTAGCGATCTTGACCGATCGTACCATGCATTCTACACTGTTTATTTAGATCGACATCTTTTAGTCCCAGATCACCTTTAAAAACAAACAAGCCTGCCGAGATACCAACATCACCTAAACAGCAGGAGCAACTATCCCCCTTGCCAACCGTATCAGCCGTAACCACACCAACAATATCCGCACCAGCCGCGGTACCAGCAGCCAGTTTCTTAACGCCCGAAAATGAAGAAGCGGTCGCTGCCATCATTGCATCGTTGGAGGGTAAATTGGTCCATGAGCAAAAGCAGCTCTTGGGCGATCATTTGTTCCCCTTGGTGAAGGTAAATAAGAAAAAAAGCTGCCATTGTGCTCGCTTACAAGTAACTGATCCATTCTGTGTACTTACTTTTTCCTCTTTGGCGGTGTATTAGAGCACGGGCGTGAAACAAGCGCCAAAGATCACCATTCGCTTATTGGACACCATTGATCTGAAGGAATTGGCTCGTCTCATGTTTGACAAGGCAGCATTGAAAGACCGAGTCGATGTCGCATCCTGGGAATTGAAATAATACCTTTGTGAAGTTACCCATTCTTTTTCGGTTTGATTACTTTTTCGGGGGGGAGAGGGGAAGAGGAGGCGGCGGTTTTTGTTTCGATTGTTTTTATTACTACTGTAGCTGGATCCATGTGGTCTTTTATACCAATCACTTAGAATCTACTTTTGCCACTGAAATAATAATTTCTGAACTATTTGAGGAGTTTTCACGCACATCAGTTCAGTTTTTTTTGTGCTATTTGCAATGCCTCGGCAGCTTGCTGCTCTGTCTTCTTCTTGTAGTAGGCACGGGCGCGTTGCAATCCTTTAAAATAATTCACAGGCATATGGTCTGTGATAAAGAACGGATAGATCTTCTCCAGAAGATGGATTGGATTATCGTCTCCGTATCGCTTAGCCAGGAATTGGAACCATGGCTGAGATTCCAGCCGCCTGACGAGTCGTGGCAACGGTCGTTTAGCTACCTGGTCGTCCCGCTCTTGGGCTGATTGAACCAGGTCGTTCGTACAGTCGTATTGCTCCTTTTCTTCCCGTGTTGGATCCCATGCTCCCAGCACAATTTCCACTTGCATGGTAGGCTGATAACTTGACGGATACACTCTGATAGGCTTTCTATGCCATCGATGTTTGATGTGAATCGCGTGTCCGACGTGTGAGTAATTGAAAAAATCGGTGCTGCTCATATATTGCCCTAGGTTATACAGGATGAGATATACATGCTCTTTGGTTTAATTTTCCTTGAATTTACCTATGGTGCGATCGTCATATCCTGGTGGCAAATGGCAGAAAATGTCTTGCTTATTCATGACACGCCAAAGAACCGATGAGCGTGTCACTGGTACGTTGTTGTAAGACGAAAACATGGAGGCAAAGTCATTGTCACCGACAGCTGGGGTACCAATTACATAGGCATCACGTAGTTGGCATCGTGACGACAGATCTTCTGGGCACTTGAGCCATCGAGCAAATAAAAGCGAACTCATGGCGGCACCAAGAGAGTGCCCAGTGATCCACACTTGGACAGGAGAAGTTGTATCCAAGTTTTCCTGGATCTCTCGCGCTTTTTCATTGACAGCATGAAGGATAGCACCGTATGGATCACGTGTATCTTCGCTTGCATAATGCGTGGAGGGAAACACGGCTTCATAAAAACCTTCGTGGACCGAACCATAGAGGAAAGAACGAGCATCCATGCGCTGAAAGGTGGCATCGACCAAGAACTCTTCATAATTGGTAGGTGTCGTTCCTTTGAAAGCGACAACAATAAAAGGGTGACTATCTGACCAATAAATACCACAAAAAGGGCCACCGAGCGATTTCAGTTCTGAAACGCCAGCAAAGTTCAATCCCCATCGTGCTGTGATGTCTCGGATCGGCCGTTCGGATTCCGACAGTAGCTCCTTTAAGTGTTTCTCTGCTGCGGTTTCGATATCATCATCCATGTTGATCTCATCCGGCTGAGAGATCATCAATTCGTAGGCCTCTCTCACTTTTTGAGCATGTCGTTCATATATCAATGAGGACAGTACGGTGAACGTTTGAGCAATGGACAAATCAAAGGTGCGACGTCGAAAGCCAGTCACTGTAGGCTCCCTATCCGGCTGGCCCAAAGAAGGTATTGTTGTTCGTACAAGGTCACGCGTCTCGTCGCATAAGAGAAGATTCGGCGAACCTGATTGAAAAAGAGATCAGCCTTTTTGCCTCTGTTAACTGGTAAAAAGCCATTGACCAAAGCCTACTGGGAGTCTACTTACCCCAATTAATCGCACCAAATCCGGATCCGTATTTCTCACTGATGTACTGGAATAATTCTGCGCCGCCCAAATACTCCATGAAAATCTTGAGTCCAATTTCAAAAAGAAGCAGTAGGATGCCAAGAGTCGGGTATACACTGACGAAGGCGATGGAGGACAGTGGCGCAGTAAAGATCATGGGCCAATTGAAATAAAAGGTAAAGAACAGATTTTTGTATGTGTTGAAGACGAAGCTCATGTAAGGTGTTTGCTTGACTCGGCCTGGTTCCAAGATGCCTCTGGCGTTAAGTCGCCAAGGCTTGTGTCCTGCTTGGTACGCTTCATCCTCGCTCGTATCTTCCCCCTCTCTCTCCTTGCGTTCTTTCCGTCGTGCCGTTCTGGCTAAATTCTTGAGTTCTCGAAAATGATGTAATCCTGTGCGAGTATGCATTCTGTCAACACGCAGTATATGAAATAGAGAAAAAAAAAGCTGATTCGGTCCCGCCGCGGTCTCGTCTGTCCTCCTTTTTTATGAACGCTCCGACCGAAACCTATTTCGTCACTACCCAAAATGGGAAATCAACTTGCCAGAATGGGTTTCCATGCTGACACATCCCACGCAGCTGAATATCCCTCGGTGCTGAGCCAACATCTACCAAAGTAAATCGTCCGAAACTGAGAAAAGTAAAAGTCATTATCGACAGCTTAAACCTAAGCAAAAAGAAGCTGTGTGGCATTAGTACAATCTGGCAGAGTTGCCCAGATAACTCTGAAAGATACGCGTCTGTCTGCAGATTCCGCGGAGCTAACAAATAAATAAAAAGGATCAACCCAGAAGAAAACACGAACACAAACGACGCATTTAATTGCATGTTGACGGGATAAATGCTTACAAAGAGGAATGATGACATGCAAGCCGTTATGGAAAAAGGCGTGTTAACATTTGGTGGATGATCTGATATGTTGAGCATGGTCTATACCGAAAATATCAAACAAGTTGTACCAAAACAAAAGAAGAGAAGTCCTTTCAACATTAGCTCTTTCGAGCATCCAATAGTATGAAATCTATGCTGCTGTCAAAGGTCAAAATAACAGGCCTCCTCGGTCACTGACATTATCGGGGGTCATCACATGCGGCGGTTATGAGCAATTATGGAGTTCATGCAGAACGGACGCTGATATGTGGAGTGAAATCCTATCTACACGAGATGTTGACTAACCCAATCTCGTTTGAGGTCTTACAAATAGTTATTTCTGAATTTAACTTGATTTTATTGCTATGGATCGAATATCATCGCGGAACACCTGGTCTATCCGCACACATGGCTTCCTTTTAGCAGATTCTGTCTATTACATATCAACTTCGTATGCGAAAGCGATCATTTGGGCGTGAATTGGTGGATGTGCCACCCACGTGATGCAACAGTTTCACTGTCAACCACTCTGTGGTTGGCAAATCCGTATTTGTTTGGCAGTGTTGCAAAGTCAAGTCACTTCAAAAATAACATGCTAGGAAGCGATCCACAGGTATGATTTCTTAACGCCACTTGCAACTCCATCGCAGGGAAACTCATGTGTATCATTTATGCTAGAAACAACTGGGAAAGGCCTCGACTCGATTAGCAGCTTTCCTACAAGAATGCCTTTTACTTGGAAGTCTACGAGTAAATGAGAGACTAGAAAGTGGTTTACTGATGAATATTCAGGATAGCTAAATGGAGCATCAGGGATTCAAATACTTTCAAGTTCTACTCCGTGGACGAGAAGAGCTACTACTGGCTGTGAGCACTATGCCGCATAACGAAGATAAACATGGCCTGTATGTGAAACTGAACTGGAAAAGTGGTGATCGAGCACCTGGAACATAACTGATACGATCTACATGCGTAGATCAAGTCACAGATTAATCTCACCTCTCGATGAAGATCTCGAAAAGGTTAGAAAAATGTATGCTACACGACTCACGAATTTTAGTTAATCCATTATTTTGGGCCCATGATAGATGAAAAATCGCATCGTATTTCTCATTGCGGGCTATGCGCGATATCGATGTCCATATGTCTGGGTATGTATTTGTCCAACCGCGTTTTGCCTCGGTCTGCTCACACTGCCGTAGCTGCGGACGCAGCAAGATAGTTTTCTGGACAACGATTCCGAAGCCGGCGAAACTGCAGACAATCCCTTGCATTTAAAATCAACGATGGACTGGAAAGTGAAAGGTAAAAGGCTGTGATGGGGTAACATGACAATTGCAAAGCGTTGATCAAACATGTTAGATATTGCCTTGTGGGAAATTGTCTGGGAACTGATCTCCATGGTCACGGAAACAACCATCAGCAATCCTTTCAAAGTAGATTTTGCATACCTTGACCGATTACCTGAAAAAGAGCGAATTCTGTGCTCGGGTGCTCTTTTAAGTTTCTTGCAGCAAATATGGATCCAAAGTGAGCCGAGTTTGCCATTCATCGATGAAGGTACGGTGCGCTTAATAGAGAGGAAGCTAAATGTTGTTGCTGAGAACTATTCATTTTTTAGTATATCAAGACATTGCAACATTACATAACAAGCATATGACGCTATTATACAGCGAAGCCAAATCCATCACTCAATAAAGCAATCTCGTACAAAAGAAAAAAAAATGAGACATTGCTACGAACATACCCGTCTGAATTTTTTCCTGTTCATCATAATTCGGCTATATTTTATCTAGTAATGTAAAGCCCGTATCAGTCAGTAGGATAAATGCGAAGCGAAATCACCTTGCTTAGTAGACATAAACCTATTTGCCCGAGTTTGCTGGTCTGGGCGAAAGAAAGAAAAAGTACAAGTTTCAACTCCGATTTGCTTGTATCGGAACTCCAGCCAAGGTGCCCGTTATCTTCAAAGCCTATTTCATATCCCCTTTCACCATGAGCTCCAACGACGCAATTGACCAGTGGTTTGAACAAGCATATGATTACCTCAGTAATCACAAGGTTAACGTGTCCAACGACAATAAACTGAAAGTAATATTGGCAATCCTCCCACGATGCTATGCAGATCCGTAAACGATACGAGCGAAGCCATTGACCGTTTACTGATTAGCTATATGGTCTCTACAAACAATCCATTTTCGGCGACTGCAATATACCCAAACCAAGCTTATTTGAGTTTGTTGCCCGTGCAAAATGGGATGCCTGGAATTCGCTCAAAGGCATGCCTATAATGACCGCACGCGAAGGATACGTGAATCTCGTGGAATCACTCAATGTCGGTTGGTCTCGCCAAGGCGAATATGCATATCAACCAGACACGGAAGAGGAAGAGGTATGTAAAGAAGAATACAAAGAATTTGTTTTGGTGAGCTATTCAGCTATTAACGAATGTGTTTGACCCGGTAGGAAACGGGAACTTTTGGTAACTCGGTCAGCTCCATGGTAGCCGTGGCAGGGCAAGACGAAAGGTAAACTCGTTTTGGTAACATGGAAAAGATCGTCTTGATTTACCGTAGATATGGAAACTATAGTGACACAGACGATTTATTCGGTTATGCAAGACAAAATAATTTGGACAATGTAAGAAAACTAATTGAAGAAGATCACGCATCCGTGAACAGTTGCGATGCCGATGTAAGTTCATCTTTGGAAGATGTTTAGCCAACAGTTTGTTTACATTACTTGCCTTGCAGGGAATCACTGCCTTGCATTATGCTAGTGACCGTGGTCATATGGACATGGTCAAACTGCTCATACAGCTGGGTGCAGATATCAATGCTCGCAGCAATGATCAAGAAACGCCTCTACACTACGGTAAGTGTTTTCGGATCTCACCCAAAGACATCAACCTAGAGAACAAGACCATTTTTACTTATTCCTATGTTGTTCTATCAGCTTGTATTTCAGAACAGCTGGAGGTGGCGGAATACTTGGTTCAACAAGGTTGTGACGTGTCGGCCAAGGATGCCGATAATCAGCTCGCCATAGATCAAGCGGATTCAGCATTTGTAGAAGCGCTCAAAAGCAAATGCCCTCAGCTTTAATCAAACAATTCATCGCAGGTCATCCTGTCAACGGTCATTCCCGCCGCTCGTTAAAAAAATTATGTCTCTCCAACCCAACAACGGGACCATTCTGGGTACAAGATACAGCAAGTTTTGGATAATTTTATTACAAATTATGATACAGCATTCTGGGTGGAATAAATAGGGCGGATAAATTAGTATACAGTCATATGAGTGAATCGAACGGTTAGCGATCCGTTGCTTCGTTCTACGGGTTCAGGATATAGGAGCGACAAATGTTCCATGATACGACACAAAGCATAGAAGTAGTCTTTGGAGGGAGGAAAAACCCATTCGATTTGCAGGCTTTGTAGGTTTGGTAGGCACAGTAACAAGGCTTCGATCGCCGCCAGATCCGTACGTTCGTCCAGATAGCTCAGTTCCAAATGCTGTAGATGATGCAAATCAAGCTGGGTTAAGTCTAGAATATCATGTTCGGTCAAAATCGAGTCGTGGACATCACCGCATAGCGACAAAAGGGGTCTTGCTTGCAGTCGCAGATGCCGTGTAAATGGGAAAAGTGTCAGAATGGCGTGCAAAAAAGCAGTGTCTCCAGGAAAATAGTTGAGCAGACGCAGCGATCCGTTGAATCCCGTCTTCATGTGCGGTCGGATAAATGTGAATCCATCGTGGTCATTGGACCGCAAGCTGTCACGGATGAGGTCCGCTTCCAGTTCTAGACACGATACGTTGGGGAACATGAGGAATAAGCGACGAGCGAAGTCGTATACATTTTCATGACTTTTTTCATGGCTGGAAGCATCGCCGGCGAGAGCCGTCATCTCCTGATAGTCGACGCCTGACAGTGTGTGACCAAGGAACCTTGCCAGGTTCATTTGCGAGAACAGTTGCTTGTCATCTTTTGTGAACGAGATGGTATGAACAAACTGCTCCGCCCGCTGGGACCACACGTTATTCAGTTGGAAACGAACGGCTAATCGTTGAAGATGCTCTGGTTCGGTGATACACAAGTAGTTGTACACAACGGGCAGCGTCGCATAGTAGCAGTGACGGCACGTTTGAGATAGGGCGGCCGTTGATTCAGAAGGAAGATGAGTAGCGATAGCCGCTATAAGCTCGGCTGGAAGAGTTTCAAGCATAGTAAAGATAAAAACGGAAAGAAGTCATCAAAGTTGTTTTCTATGACCCTGCCTTTCCATCTTTATTTTGTGTAATTAGAATGTCGGAAAATGAGTCAGGCACCCCGCAAACAAAACAACGTCATTTTGTCCACTTTTAATATCATTCATTGGTGCATTTTACCTATGCGTCGCCCGGATCAAACTTCAGGAACAACCGTGTCCACCGGCCAATTTTCATTGTCCGCCAAACAAACCCTCCAAAAAAGGCACTCAGCGATCTTGGCGTGATCCAATGGTCATGAAATTTTTGTATATTGATAACCTTTTTTTTTCTCCGCATCTTTGATCCTCGGAAGAAGCTGTTATGAGCGATAAAGAGCCGTTGGGCAATACCACCGAGTAACAAATTGATTCGAGTAAGAAAGATAATACTACAGTCGACTACTATGCTGGGGTTCCCATCCCAACGCGGCTTGATCGTACGGGTCAAATGCGGCCTGAACGACTTCCCAAATATGCTTGCAAAAGACGAAATGGATATCGTTACGAATGGTTTTGGGCACGTCTTGCATTACCTCTTTACGATTCAGTATGGGAAGGATGATTTTTGTGATGCCTGCTCGATGCGCCGATAACACTTTTTCTTTGATACCGCCTACGGGTCTCACTTGACCTCTGAGTGTGATTTCACCCGTCATAGCCGTCAACCTTGGGACGGGTTTGCCTGAAAGAAGAGAAATGATTGAAGTGACGAGTGTGACACCGGCCGATGGACCGTCTTTGGGCACAGCTCCATTGGGAAGATGAATGTGGATATCAGTTTCTTTGAATAAGACGTCGGTAGAACAGTTCGTCAAATGAAGTGCATACGCATTCGCCCTCACCCAGGAAATCGCAATAAGCGCCGATTCACGAATAACTTCACCAAGAGAACCTAATATTACCAAGAATAAGCTTTTTTTGTTTCAAAGTCCACCAGCTGTACCGATGTGCATGTGCCCGGACGAGCTTTGTTTGATTCACTTTCTCTGTTTTACCTGTCAGTTTTAAATCACCTTGTCCTGGCATTTGGTTTGTTTCGACCTGCAAAACACTGCCAATACCACTGCGGGAATAGGCTAATCCGTTCACCAAACCAGGGATGGCCTCCATATCCATGATTTCATTTTCAAACGGTGCGAGCTGTTGGGTTTAATGAGTTACTCACCTATAGTCATGATTCCGTTGATTGCCCAGTATAAAGCACTTACTCCTAGTATTTTCTCAATGTCATCGAGATTGACGTTGGTATCAAAGGTTGATAGCATATTTTCCTCTGCCAAATTGGCATATTCACGGCACTTGTAGCGGCACACGCTGGCTATCCTACGATCAAGCTGTCGGACTCCACTTTCTCTCGTATAATGCTCCACTAGGTGCAGCAGTACCTCATCAGAGATATGCAAACCAGCATGGTTCAATCCGTGCGCCGAAAGTTGGTTTGGTACGAGATGGCTTTTGGCAATGACGAGCTTCTCCTCAAACGTATATCCATGCAGATCAATCACTTCCATACGATCCAACAATGCTTCGGGTATTGATTCAATCGAATTGGCCGTAGCGATAAACATCACTTGAGACAAGTCGAATGGAATATGCAAAAAATGATCGGTGAATGACGAATTCTGTGCTGGATCCAGTACTTCCAGTAACGCAGCCGCTAGATTTGCGTAAGCTTGTCAAAACTCGCTCGTTTCACTCATGGAGCTGATGGATCTCTTACCTGGATCGCCCTGATGTGTACCCTGTACGATTTTATCAATCTCGTCTATAGATATATAATACGTTATTTAACGTAATGACATTTCCGTCATACGTTCTTTGCGGCTTTTCAGCACTCACCAAGTAGGATCAATGGATTATTGACGCCACATTTTTTCAGGCTCTGAATAAGCACTCCTGGCAGAGCCCCAACATACGTCCGTCGATGACCACTGTTGAACACTTTAATTAGTGGGCCACAGCAAATACAGACACGCACACATCGAAGTAACCAAATCCATATATGCATATTCGCTTACCGAATCTCGGCTTCATCCCGTATGCCTCCCAGGGCGATTCGGTGAAATTTGCGTTGTAAAGCTGTCGCTATGGAGATACCCAGCGTCGTTTTACCTACGCCTGGCTTTTCGCCATCAATGCGCAAGTCAGGTCACTCATTCCGAAACACATACCACGAGCACCCTTTACTTCCCCAACTTACTGGACCAACAAAGCAAAGGATGGGCGGACTCAAATCTTGCTTCACTTTGACAACGGATAGATACTCCAGAATTCTTCGTTTTACGTGTCCCAATCTTAACCAAAAGAGCATAAAATGTTAGCTGTCGGATGGTAAGTAAGAATTCGGTGAGATGAATTTACCCAAAGTGGTCGTGGTCCAGTTGCTTTTCAGCAGCTCGTAGATCAACGATATCGGAGGTCGCTTTCTTCCAGGGCAAGTCCGCCACCCATTCTAGATAAATCCGCAAAACTGACGATTCGGCCGAAGAGGGGGGTAATTTCCGTAACCGGTTGACGTCGCGATGGATAGCAGAACGAGCATGGGCAGGCAATCGGGCCCGTTTCAACTGATTCACAAGCTCTCCAAACTCGTCATCATTATGATCCATGGAGTCGTCCATCTTAAAATCCTCTGTGACGCAATGAGTCGACGCTGGGTTACTCTTGGATTCGACAAAATGAAACTAGAGATATGTTTTCCGCGAATGCCGTGATTAGTATCATGTAGTAGCAAAGGTAAGAAGAGAAAAAATCAACCTGTTGTCGTAGGCAAAACTCTCGACGTTTACGGTCGAGTTTTTCTCCGATGTGTTGCTGGATATCTTTGGACGCTTTAAGTAGCTGATTCCAAGTGTTTTTGGAATTGTTTTTTTAAGGTTCACACTGTATTTACGGGAGGGCTGAAAGTCATGTAAAGTACCTGCAAGTGACGGGTGATCATTTGGTTGATACCATGCAATCTCTGTCTAAAATCGGTAATTTCCAAGACGTGCAACTTCTCATGGAAAGACGATTCCGTCACGCATAACAGAAGGTTGGCCAAACTTGAAAATGGACACCTGTCAATTAATGCACTAAATTGATTCAACATCGCCTCAGGAACGCCAATCGCTTGCATGTTTGCCACAAATTCCCAGCACAGGTTGCGGAAGGTTGTCAGTAACTTTGCGTCAATAGCACCGTTCACTTCCGCTTCCGTCGGTTCAGGGTAATGAACAAGCTTTGCTTCCAAGCACCGACCATCAAACAAGATATCTTCTACATACGATCGACAAACACCTTGCACATGGAAAACCGTCGTGCCCGCCAGCGATTCATCAACTTCAAGCAATTGTGCGACACATCCAAAATGGAATAATTGACTGATATCGGCTTCTTCTCGGTAGTGTTCCGCCTTGGTATTGGATGAATCATGAGCCAGCACTGGCATTGCCGCTGACGAAGGAGGCTTTTGCAAAACGCCACGCTCGCCAGGATTCAACGGGATACATACAATAAACGATACATGTCCTCGATCGATTCGACACTTTCTACTGAGAGACTTTGCCTCGGAACCAGTGACGACCAGTTTCGTGATGATGGATGGTAAAAGAACCTTTTCTACCAAAGGTAGGACTGGAAGTGTATTTGGAATAGGAGCCATCAATTTATTTCTTGGCAATAAAGAGCAGCAATTCCGATTTTTTTCTTTGATTTTTTATAGCGAGGGAGTGGCGAAACGAAGAAGGGAAAAAAAAAAGGAGGCGCCCCAACGGATAGTACAAAATGGCAATACGTACGGTGTACCAAAATCGACCTCGCATTGCAGCAAGAAAATTCTTGATATTCCACAAACAAATGCATGTAATGAAGAATCAAGATAGATCCTATGAATAATAATCTGTCTTGTCAACTACATCACAATATGAACAAAGGCAGACGTATACACTAACGAACATTCTGTTCTTGGTGTCAGTGAACTGTCATGGTGAACGGTGTTCATTCCTGCGGCCTATCCAAAAAGTGATTTTCACCTTTATTCATCTGATTCATTTGCTATTGTCAAGATGCATGTGCAGCTCACAAATACTTGATTGTCTGTGTAGAAAATATTGGTCACCTGAGTGATCGCCCGACTTTGCCACGAATAAGCAGAGCTGGATTGGTTCCGGCTTTTTCATCAGGTTTTTTGTTGCCATGGGACTTGTCATAAATAAGATCAACCGTTACATACAGAAAAATTGAGTACCCCGAGCACCTTTAATACATGTAGCCTTATTAATCTAACGATATGGCAAATGCCGTTTTGCCACAATATCTCATGGCACTTCAAGGAATAAATGAAATCGTCATTCATTAAATGTGCGACCTGTTCATGATTCATTAAAAATTATCTCGTTTGCCAACCATCATAACAGAAGTCATGCTATAAAGGTCCATTCTAGTAATCTTGTGGATATCTGAGCCGATTGCAACTGAAAGCCTTACAGAATGTCACAACCAAGCGATCCAAAACTGGCGGAATTTTTTTTTTAGTGGGGGCAGCGAGAATTTGTCAAAACGGCCTAGGTCTCTCGGTGTCCAAAAGTTTTTTGTATTTCTTTAAACTTGACACATACTGCACTCATGGGGGAATCGTCACGTCGTTCATCAAGTAGCAGACATCGACGATCGGAACGATCGCTATCACCTCGTCCGCGTTCTGAAAGGAGAGATCGTTCACGATCGCCTCACCGTCGCCAACGACGTGATTATCGTGACGAATCCGATGATGACCGATCCAGAGAACATCGACACTCACGACATCGCTCGCACCACAAGTTAGAATAAACATCTGTCTCCATGCACAGTAATACCCATTTTGAAATTAGGAAACATCGTCGGTCCTCGTCATCCGAAAGTTCCTCATCGTCAGACAGCGAAGACGAAAGACGCAGCAGAAAACGTCATAAGCACAAAAAAGAGAAGGCGAAAAAACATAAAAAGGACAAGGTAAGGAACAAATACAATGGATTGACGGGTGTCGTGCTTATCAAATACCATTAGAAAAAATCCAAGAAAGAAAAAAAGCATAAATCTCGTGCTGTTGGTGATGACTGGGGCAAATACGGTATTATTCATGAAGCAGAGTAAGCATTAAAGCTTTGAGATTTGTATACCCCACACTACTAATCTTCTACCTTTTTCTTTTAGCATATTCACCAAAGAAGCGGTAGGCATCATAATACGAATGGATGACGCTTGAAAAATATACGATATTTAACTGCTATGGATTTAGGAATTTCAAGCATGGCTTATCGAAGTGAAGCATGCTGATGTGGAAACGCTCAACAACATCAAACGAAAAGAAATGTTCTTGGACTTCATGGAAGGTAAATCTTTTTAATTTCATATCACCATGTAGAAAAAATTGGCTCATTCAATCTCTTTCAGATTACAATACAGCGACTATGCCACATGATAAGTAAGTTTCGTTGTGAACATTGAAGGGGAAAGTACGATCATCTTACTCGTCTACCAAAAAAAAACAAAAAAAAACCTATACTTCATAGATTTTACGATATGAGCAAATGGGAATCACGTCAACATGCTGTCAGAATGGGAGACCCCCTTCCTCCCAGCGATTCAACTTTTAATTTTGCAAATGACGAAGAACAACTGAGGTACGGTTTGGTCGTGTTCGTACGAGGTTTTCAAAAGGCACGCTTTTTATTAACCGATGCTCATTCATTATCGCAGAATGCAACACCGCATGGCAGCTCGTATGGCTTCATCGAAAAAATCCTCGCTAACATTATCGCAAGAACAAATTGAAGAATTGGCAAAAGTAAATCGTGAACGTATCCAAGCCGAACGTATGCGCAAAATGGGTCTCGTTCCCAAAGGAAATATGGGTGTACGCTACGAATACGAATAAAAATACATTGACTCAATAAAACTCTATCAACTTCCAAAGAAAGGCTTAGTATGTTGTACTTTTTATAAGTTGGGAGAATTCAACCATCGACCACTTTCCAGTTTAAACGATGATGGGCTTTTGCCGAATGGAATCCTGATTGGTCAACTTTCAGAGGACTGCATTACGTGCACGTCACAAAGCAGTCACATTAATTGCTGTGTATGTATTATTGGTTTCAGCTTTCATGAAGCGCGGATGGTTAAGTGGTATAATCTTCGCCTGCCACGCGAAGGGCCCGGGTTCGATTCCCGGTTCGCGCATCGCTTTTTGCCCTTTTTTGTTCAAAAGGGTGTTTTTTTTTGTCTTTGTTTATTTTTTTTCGCATCTTGCCTTTGAAAGGATGCTTTACAACGCGTATTGCTTTTTTGATTGATGGGGGTTATAAAAGGTTGATTAATTGATGTGTAGGAGAACTATTCTTTTGTGTTTGGAAAGAAAGCATAATTTTTTCGGTATCCATATAAAGGTAAAGTAAAGATTTATTAAGGATGTATGAGCACACGTCCGTCGCGGGCTATTACTCGCCCTTGGGATCTATGGGACAAGGGTCTATAAAAAACAACACTCGAAAAAAACAAAGGTGATCTTAGGTCTCTTGCCTTGATTTTTGGCTTAATGCGAATGGACTGGGCCGGGAAGACAAAGTGTCCATGAAACAAACGGGAAGATATTCGTCGTATATAGTTCTTGGGTACAGATCGATTGTCCTGAATAGTTATTCTTTTTATGTCTCTTCAAAGGCCAACATACCATTTTGTTCGTTGTATTTTTGTGACACTTTGAGTGGATATTAGTCTGCAATCCTTCAATGTACAACACTTGCTCCTGAAGGGTCAATGCGTGAATGAATTAAGATAGCAATGGCCGAGACGTACTACATTTAAAAAACAAGACCAAAGAAACGGATAAAAACATAACTTATTCAAATCAAAAAATATTTATATAACGTGTTATAACAATGTTTTGATAATCTGACAAAGACTTAAATGGTAAATGCATATAATTAAAGGAATTACTGGCTGTGATAGAACAGACGCAGCAGGACATAATCGGTAATGTAAAGGGCATAGGGAATGAATAATGGGAATAGAGGAGGGTTCTAGTACTGTGGCAAAACGTGACCGAGGAATCGCACAAGCTCATGCGAGGAAGCGCAAGGTAGAAGGTTGCTCTTGATGTGTGCATCAATTTCCTGTAAATAAAAAGAAAGAGGCAAATTAAGCATCAATTCGATACAACGGAAACTTCGTATATATCACTTACCATGAGCACATCCTTGGCGCATGGACGGACAGTAGGATCTTCGTCCAACAGCCATGCAACCAAACCTCTCATGTACATCGATGGATAGCTGTAGGTGAAGGTAGGGCTAGGTTCGGTGGCAATGATATCGTATAATTCTTCTTCATCCTTGATTTGGTAATGAGGAGGAACTCGGTCCATCATTTCAATGACGGTAATACCAAGAGACCACATATCCACCTTTTCATCGTAGTATTCTTCTCGAATAACTTCGGGAGCCATCCTACGTAAATGTCGATGACCGTCAATACCACAGATTCTTGACAGGTCTACATCAGATTGTTCGAATTTTACCATTTGGTGGTACCGAGACGTTCACAGTTGCGACGACTGATACGAGCTGCTAAACCAAAATCGGCGAGTTTGACTTCACCGTTCCATCCGAGCAAGAGATTTTCGCACTTGACATCGCGATGCAAGTATCCCTTTCCGTGAAGATAGATCAAGGCTTTCAAAGTTTTGCAAGCAATATGGACTGCAAATTCTTCAGGGATTCCACGCTGACACAGAACAGCGAAAACGGAACAACGCATCAAATCCATGGCCATCCAAATGTCGTCACGACAAATAGTGACTTCTCGTAACTTGATCAAATTGGTGTGACCACTGGACATGATCTTGAGTTCGCGAAGAATGGCGGCACGGTATTCGGGATCGGGATCAAGTCGACACCGCTTGATAGCAAGTTGAACATTGGGCTTCTTGCGGTAACTGGCTCGTACGACCGCACCATTGACACTTTTTTTTTTTTAGAAACAAAGTCAGAACCCAAAAATGTGTTGTAAAAAAAAGAAAAAACGTGCTAATCATCATAAAAAAGACGACACACGTTGGAAAAAAATAAATAAATAAAATAAATTTACCCAGTGCCAATTTCCTTAAAATCGCAATAACGGTTTCTCGGATCGGAGGATCGTACGCAAGTCTTGGGCAGCATTTTTCGCATTTTGTTCTCGAACTTGTTTTTAGGTTTGACAAGCGGTGGCAATTGAGGAGCTTGATAATGAGGACTAGGAGGATACCAAGGTCGCTACGGGGACAGATAATGAAGGGGGGGGGTCAAATTTTTTTTTTTCCAGTTGCTGGTTAGAAAAAAATTCGAGGAGAACAGAGAGTTAAGGGGTTAGTTATAAATATAAAGACTACCTTTGTCACTTGTTTGGTAGGCTCAAAAGGTCGAAGAGTAAGAGGAATAGTCGGGCATGGTTTCAAGTAGGCGTTGCCGAGAATATCGGGGATCTGGTAACATCCTGGAGGTCGCCAAGCGGTCTAGGTGGGAAAAGGTGGATTAAAAAAACAATTAAAAAAATTCACGTCATCTGAGTTTGATTCTTTTAAGTACCTTTGAATGAAGTGATTTCAAAGTCGATGAACGTCTCAAATTTCCCGTCGATTTTCGCTTCGGGATGGCGATGTTCGAAAGTGTTGCATTGGCTCGGATGCAGTTGGGCTCAGATCTCGATTTCTGCATTAAATTCACGCTCGGCTGCGAAAAAAAAAGAAAGAAAGAGAGAAGATCGCAGTAAGCACATGAAGCTACATAAAAAGCAAATAAAAAACAGCAAACATTGAGTATCCGTACATTTCTAGGTTGCGAAGAGAAAGGTTTGCGGGTAGCGACGGTGATATTCATTCTTCTAATGAGAGGAGAAAGTGAAGGTCAGGAGGAAAGAGACAAAAAAGTGTGATGGTAGGAAATTATATCGACAGTGTAATGAGTGCTTGTCGACTGAAAGTAGTAAGAGGTTGGAAAGGAAAGGGGGAAGTAAAAGCGGTAAGAGAGAAAGAGAAAAAGAGAAAAACTCACATGCGTGCATTTATGATTTGGAAAAATGTCGTGTTGTTGCCTGGCTGTGCAATCGGAGCTTCTTTGGGAGTTTCAATTCAAAGAAAGTGAACGCAATTCATTGGCCGCTCATCGTGCTCCACTGGCAAATCGTTCAAAGTGTGTTTGCCCAACTCACCTTTACAGTTATTCAAGAGGCCATTTAGAAACGCTTGCAATCGTTTATTACCGTCATTTCATGAATGCGAGCCTCCAATTTCGAAAAGGGGCTCTCGAACCGAACGTTGCCCATGCCAAGATGTCCTCGTGAGAGCAATGTTAGTCTTGTTCACTGGTTACTTTATGGACTTCTAGTGGGCTTAACTCATCACTCCCAGAGTTATGTCACATACAGAAGAAAATCCTATATTGTTTCTATTGCAGATTTGTTATGAAAAGATACAGTATTCACCTGCTGCCTGGCTAAATCAACTAGGACCAGGCAGAAAGAAGTCGACGTTATCCAGGCATGATCTGATAGGCCCACGGATCGATTATCTTGCAATAGAGATTATAAGGCAAGCGAAAGCTTTGGAATTCCAATAGAGGTCAATATATCTTTGGAAAGTCATTGATACAGATAAGGTTACCTGTCGGCCTCGGACCCTTCTGTGTAGTCTTCCTTCGCTCATTGGTCAGGTAGCCCGATCGGCCGATTTTGCTACTGCAATATTCTGAAGAATATGAATGGCATACAAAATACGCTCCAAGATCTGAAATGAGATAGTTTTAATATAGTAGTACTTGATACCACTTGAGAATATTTTATTCATTTGCCCTTGGTCTCCTTTTTTCTTTTGTTTTGTCTGTGTGAGAACGTCCGTCCATTTCCGCTTTCGTATTTTGCTAAACTGATTACATAGAATTATTCTTGTCTCCATCGCATAAAATTATACCAGTATATCAAAAAGGAGATAATATTTTCAAAGGGAAGATTAACTGAGAAAATGTGGAAAGGAAGCATACATCTTGACTCTTTCTGCAAAAAAAAAAGAAGCCACTTCAAGAACGCCGTCACGCTTCGATTGAGGCCGAAGCTTATTGATTTTTTTAACTTTTTTTTTTTTTTTTTTTTTTTTGAGCATTCTCATATTATTCATACACCATGAAAAAGAAATCGGCACCTGGTTTACTTGCTGATGTTTTGCTCGGCGAGAAATCGGCCAGCGTAAACAATGAACTTGATGCGCTGTTCAAGAACAGTGTATGTTGATGCATAAATATTGATGGTTGTGGATTTGTTCATCTGATCCTTTATCACCTAAATAGGCCGGTCCAAGTAGCGTCACGATCCATTCGACCGTTCCAAAGAAACCCGTTGACTTGACCGAGAAACAAGCGAAAATGCAGGCTCATAAAGAACTGGAAGCCATTAAGAAGGCGCAAGCCTTGGGTGAGGCCATGTCAAGAAAGAGAAAAGCCGATGCCATGGACGACGAAACCGATGCATCAAATAAGAAATCCCCGGAACAGATCAAGGCCGAGGAACAGGAAAAGGAGCAACGTACAGTTTTTGTTGGCAACTTGTCGGTGAAATGCATTGAAAAGGTAGGTTTCTGCGACGCATATCTGGCAGCAGACAGTAACAGGGTCACTCACATTATTGATTTACAAAAAGGCTGGCTACAAGGCCCTGAAAGCCAAGTTTCAAGAATGTGGTACGATTCAGTCCATTCGTTTCCGCTCGGTGGTATGTCAATTTTTTCTTCTTACCATGCGTGTATGTTCAATTCCTAAAGACTCGAAATATAGGCATTAGCCATTCCGATGAACCGTAAAGCAGCATTTCTCTCGGGAAAGATCCATTCTAGCCGTGACGTATTGAACGCCTACATTGTATATAAAGAGAAGGAAGCAGTCAATAAGGCAGTAGCTATGAATGGTCAAATCTTTATGGAGAAGCATTTGCGTGTCGACAGCGTTGCAGCACCCAAGGTATGTTTTTGGATCGGAATCCAGATGTTTTTCAGGACAAAAGGATTAACTGTTTTTTTTTTTAGCCTCATGATCGAAAGAGATCCGTTTTCTTGGGTTCATTACCGTTTGACGTTCAAGAAGAAGAATTGTGGGCGTTTTTCAAGGATTGTGGCGAGGTTGAAAGCGTACGCGTTGTTCGTGATAAAAGCACGAATATCGGTAAAGGCATCGGTTACGTTCAGTTTGTGGACCGCGATTCTGTCGATACCGCGCTGGCGCTGGAGGATAAGCAATTCCGAGAGAAGCACAAGATCCGTATTCAGCGCTGTAAATTATCAGTATCGGAAGGTGGCCAACCGTCGGCTCCCCCGAAACAAAACAAAAAACAAAAGACTTCCGGTAAAGACAACCGCAAGGGTGGCAAGCCCCAAGGCGCAAGAGGTGCGAAAGGGGCTGGAAAGGGTGGAAAACCGTTACCAGGTTTGAAGCGATTTGAAGGAACTCGTGCGACCAGAGATACCGGCAAGAAATTCAAATTACAAAAAACCAGCAGCAAGAATAACGCCGAACGACGCATCAAGAACAAACACTAGACAAAAAAAAAATTGAATCCTTATGGGGTGGCCGATTCGATTCCATTGCTCACATCATACTCTTTCTCATTGTAATGTACGGCCTGTACAATACTTTGCTCATTCTTTTTTTTTTTTTTTTTTTTAATCTCCAGTAATCTCCAGCTCATTTTTACAATATTCCATAAAATCATAGCAGAAGTTTCCATGTCACATTAGACATTACTTGCACATTCTTTGGGATGGGATTCGCACTGCTTATATTGTTTTGTATTTTTGATGCTTACATGACTCACATAACAGTCTCTTTCCGTGCTCGAATGCATGATAAGGAGGAAAACATTTCATAATGACGTAAAAATATAGTGGGATCTCAACAGAGGAATCGCTTCCAAATGGAGTCCCGCCAAAAATTTCCAGATAAAAAAAAAAGTTTGCATTAAATTCACCATATCCTTCAACGCCGCAGTCAATCTACACAATGGTCGATCAGAAAAGGAAAAAGACAGGTCAGACGTCGTATCCATTGACGCCTTAATGATTACAGTATTCTCGCTAACATGCAACGGATCACAGTGAAAAGACACGTAAAGCCAAACAGTAACCAGGTGGATCCCATTCAGGAGCAAGCCTCATCAACGGCATCACCGAAACGCCGTCGAGTGCAAAAGTCTAAACAAACGTCCAAACGATCGAAAAGCGAAAGTGACGGTTCGGAGGACTGGGCTGAGAGCGATCAAGAGTCAGTGGAAGGCGAGGTGACCGCCGCAGCACAGGAGGATATGAAATCTGCGGTCATTGATATTCCGCGTCCAAAAGGATCACCGTTCGCAGACGCGCTTTCACCTGATACGCTTGAGTTCATGGCACAACTTGCCGAAAATAATAACCGTGATTTTATGCAGTTAAATCAGGTAAGTTTTTATACTTTCTCGCTCATATCCTTTGTTTCCTCCTCATCAATGATATGATGCGTATTTTGTCGTGGTTACAGGAACGTTGGCATGCAGCCAAGCAAGATTTCACCGACTTTGTTGGCCTCATCATTAAAGAGCTTCAAAGCATGGATCCCACAATTTTGGTAGAAGAACCCAAGGCAGCGGTTTATCGACAAAAGTAAGTGTATCCGATAAGCCTATGTAGTTTTTTTTTTATTCCACTAATATATCGCATGGCAGTCGTGATCTGCGTTTTACCAACGATTTACGACCCTATAAAATTTACTTGTCCGCCTCTTTTTCACGAGGTGGAAAGAAATCACCGTTTGCAGGCTATCACATTGCGGTAGCCCCCGGTAACAAGACCATGGTAGCGGCCGGGATATGGCAACCTTCGTCTTCAATTCTTTCCAGGATGCGGACTGGCATAATGGAAAATGCCTCTTTAATGCGAGAAGCTTTATCAACTGACGCGATCAACGACATATTCGGAAAGGGAGGGCTGGAGGTATTGGAATCATCGGACAAACTCAAGGTGGCGCCCAAGGGCGTAGCCAAGGATCACCCTGAAATTGAAATGCTACGTTTCAAATCCATGGTGGCTTCAAAATATTTTGACGATGTCGACGTCGTTTCAGAAGGATTCTTGGATAAAGTTTTGGATGTTTTTGATGCGGTGGTGCCGTTTGTAGCCGTTTTAAATTCATGGACCGGATAAAAAGATAGTAATACTTGCCTGTAAAATATACATATCATTGCCATATTCTTTCTATTGCTGTTTGTAATGCTGTATATCGCCAATAAAATTTTGAGCATCGAATTATTTTTTGAAATACTTGCACGGTTGAACATTATTTCCAGGCTGCACGCCAGGGGCGTATTCAAGCAAAATATCTTGATTGTTCGACGGTTTGGTACTAGGATGTAGTCACCGCTTAACATCCGTGGCTGAAAGTGTGAAATCATGGGATAATATTAATGTAAAAATGATTTTGCCTTGACTGCAGGGGCGTTCTTACGCCTTCTGGGAGGATAAGTTTTTCCCTCTCGCCCTGTATAATGAAGTGTGGAGATTGGAGAAAAATTTAAGAATAACTTGCCTTTTTAGGTGATAATGGCTCGAAGATGGTGAGATGTCATTGCACCATTGTTGTCGGCCAGTCAAAAACGAAATATACTGCATTTCCCAGTTCTCACACTCTTTTCTCGACGCTATGGCAACAGCAAAGACATTCTTTGAAACCGGACGAAAAATTGTGGCGATCGGTCGCAATTACAGGTACATCATCTACATCCATGAGGCCATGGGATCCACGGTCAACTGATTCGCGGAAATGACCATCCAACAGTGAGCATGCCAAAGAACTCGGCAACGCTATTCCCAAAGCTCCCTTCTTCTTCTTGAAGCCAACTTCTTCTTATGTCGCCAACGATGGCACCGTAGAAATTCCTACAGGGTGTGAAGTGCACCACGAAGGTATGTGCACGGCCAGCACAAAGTATGATTGAAAATTTCGGTAACCGACATGGATGATGCATAGTGGAACTCGCGGTGGTCATTGGTAAAAATGGTCGTGACATCCAGGCTTCCGAGGCAATGGATTATGTTGCAGGTGATATATGAAGCTCAGTCGTTATAACGGAACAAACCAATCTGATAAAAATCACAATTTAGGCTATGCACTTTCCATTGATATGACGGCGAGAAATATGCAGGTACGCTGTGTTGAAAGCCTCAAACGCCGATGGTTCGTAATACTTACGCCGTTCATCATGTATCATAGGCTGAGGCTAAAAAGAAGGGTTTGCCTTGGAGCGCTTCCAAGGGATTTGACACCTTCACCCCCATCAGGTAACACCAAATTAGAAATTAATACAAGTACCCAATGAAATGATACTGATTTTTAAAAATCCCTCATAGTTCGTTCATTGCCAAGGAGCAGATCCCTGATCCGGCCAATGTCGATTTATGGCTCAAGGTAAGATGAAAATTGGAAAGTGTATATAACGCACAGTTGTAGTGATTGACGGGTTTGTGGATAGATCGATGGCAATGTCCGGCAACAGGGCAATACTCGGGACATGATGTTTAGTGTCCCTACTTTGATTGAATATGTATCGTCTATTATGAAGTTGGAGACTGGCGATGTCATCCTTACAGGTACACCCAAAGGTGTAGGTCCCATTCATGCTGGTGAGACAATTACTGCTGGATTGAAGCCGGGATGTTCTCAAGAAGAATTGGTCACATTGAAGTTCAATGTGGCCGATCGCCAAGGCAAATTTAGATATGAATAAATCTCAACCTTATTAAAATGTTTGCCTCTGAGTTGCCATATTTGGATATATTCCACCGTCATATTTGTTTGCCGACAAAAGACCGCTGATGATTGGGTACTTTCAAACTCAATGAACGTTGATTGGATAAAACTGTTGTAATTACATGATTTACGATAAGGATCTGAGCGGATGTTGAATTATGGCTCATGATTTGTGCTTCCTTTTGTGAATAGATAGACCGTGATACATACACGGATGCAAGAGATCGTGTTGCTTTGCATTATCCAGGCCTGTTTCTTTCTTCTTTCTTATTCTTCCTCTGTAAAACTAATTCAATGTCATCTTCAAACGTTTATTGTGCTTCTTGCAGTTTGCCAGGACATGCTCGCTCCACCAACCGCAACTGCCCCAACAACCCTCGACGTGCCCAACAAAGTAGAATTACTACAACCCGAGGACCAAGCGAAGTCCGTTGCAGAGCTTGCCAACAACTGGGTCACCAGCGTTCCAACCATTTCGCTTGCCCGTTGAATCCAGCAAGATTGGCTATGAGGGTGGCTGGAGAAAGTGACACTACGGAACGTATTCGTACTTTACCTGCGCCCGTTGCCCAAGCAGATTTCGACCATCATGCTAATACGCTGTCAAGTGAACAATCAGGAACGCTCAACAGTGGCCGAAATAACGAGTGGGAACTTCCAGAGAGACATACCTTGGGACGCATGAATGTTGTCTGCGATTTCTGTCAGGCACACATGTGGGCCAAAGAAAGCTCATCTGAATCGAACTCCAATCCGCAGTTCCAACTCTGCTGTGGCCAAGGTTCCGCTGTGCTTCCATCTTTGGAGCCTACACCTCCAACCATCGCCCGTCTCCTTCGTAGCGACAATGAAGAAGGGCAAGATTTCCGTGAGCAGATCCACGCCTATAATATGAATTTGAGTTTTACTTCGGTAGGCGCCCAAATAGATGAATCCGTGGCCAACAATCGCAACGGAGCCTACTGCTACCGTATCCAAGGTGGCATTTACCACCAGATCGGTGGTCTACTACCACCAACCGAGAGTCATACCCCTGCGTTTGCCCAAATGTACATTTATGATTCCAACACACAACTTAGACACCGGCATGTTGTGGCACCCTATCTGCAGAATGCCACCCTTCTCATTCTACAAGATCTGCTTACCGAAGTCAACCCGTTCGTGCCGTTGCTGCAGTCGATGGCCCAGGTCTTGCGTGAATCTGAGGAAGCCGTAGATGTGAGGCTACTCATAAGTGCGGAAAACACGCCTGATGTTCGTCGTTACAATGCACCCACAGCTAGCGAAGTTGGAGTGATCCTGGTAGACAGTACGATCACACCAAACAGTAGCCGCGATATTGTGCTCCGATCGAGAAGCTATGGGCTTCAACGCATCAGTGAAATGCACCAGTACTACGACGCGCTCCACTATGTGCTCATGTTCCCGCATGGTGATCTCGGGTGGAACATCCACTCACGCTCGCCAAGCGGTCGAAGCATTACCGTCATGCAATGGTATAGCTACCGTCTGATGATGCGCGATAACAGCCACGATTTGCACCTGTACGGCCGATTGTTCCAGCAATATATAGTGGATATGTATGCAAAAATGGAACAGAACCGACTCACGTATTTGCGGCTAAACCAGGCAAACCTGCGCACGGAACTGTACCGAGGTATCGTAGATGCGGTAGAACTCGGCGACAATGACCTCCAAAACGTCGGGCAAAGGGTCATTCTCCCATCCACCTTTATTGGCAGCCCGAGACACATGCGCCAACTTTACCATGATGCGATGAATATCGTACGTCGATGCGGGCAGCCGGATCTCTTTATTACTTTCACTTGCAATCCTCAGTGGGTGGAAATTCAGGACGAGTTGGCTCCACTCCAGACAGCCGTTGATCGGCCCGACCTTTGCGCTCGAGTTTTTAACATGAAGCGTAAAGCTCTCATGGAAGATTTGACCAAGAAGCATGTTTTGGGTAGGGTAGTTGCCCATGTCCATACTGTGGAATTTCAAAAACGAGGATTACCGCACCTCCATCTGCTTTTGGTGTTACATCTGGACGACAAGCTGAGAACACTGGACGATTATGATCGCATTGTGTCAGCTGAACTTCCGGACAGACAGAGATTTCCTGATCTCTACGACACCGTCAGCAGATGTATGATGCACGGTCCGTGTGGAACCATGCATCCGAGGTCTCCGTGCATGGAAAACGGCTCCTGTAAGAAGCGTTACCCGCGCTCCTTCAACGAAGCTACCGTCGAAGATCACAGGGGTTACCCTTTGTACCGTCGTCGCAACCAAGGTTCATCTTTCAACCATGCCTCGGTCCCCATCTTGCAACGACAACGATTATCAGCGCTCTACAAGTCATGGTTGCCCAAATTTCTCTCCACGAAACACTTCCACGAATAATAGGCGAAACAATCAGCAGCAAGATGCCGTTTGCGCCAGTTGTGGTCAAACAGAGCATCGTCGCCGTTCACATAAAATGTGAGTGGAGCTCTTTTTTGAAGAAAGGTGATTGACGATACGACGATCTGGTGTTTTGTAGCATCATTTAATTTGGGTTATCTGTCAGTTATACTGTATATGCCCTTTCATTCTCTTCAGTAATCGAATGATACATGGAGCAGATATGCTTCGATCTGTGTAGCTCATCATTCATGCATCAGTGAGGTGACTATTGTTTCATCCATGGAAAATCACATATTTTTGTCCGAATTTTTTCTTCTTCTTTAGTTTTGCATCTCTTCTGTTTGCCTGGAAATCCCTCACTATCATTGCATCCATCATCCATCATCCAGACTATGGCGTGTATCTGATCCGGTCGATTCGATTATTATGAAAAAAGGTACCTTTTGTGTGATACGACTATCCGTTTTTCGACAAGAAAAAATTTACCTGTCCTTTTTCTCTATTCTGTCTTTAGCTTTTGGTTTTCTCTCCGGTTTTCTTTTGCCTGGCAAGCCATTCAAGCCATCCATCCCTCCAAAACCTTTCTACTTTGTTCGGGCACCAGATTGTGGCCAATCCGGTTTTTGTCGTCAAAGGACATCTTCGGTCGTGTGGTTTTCTTTCTCATCGGGAAACGCTGACGCGTCCTCCCCAGGTTCCTCTCATATGGATTGCTGCCCGTGGTATCGCCTTCGATATTTCTTCCCGACCATTTTATTTTGTAGTTGTAGTATGTATTTTGTATTTTAGTGAATAGTCTTCTTGCAGTCTTTTCCTCCTTTTTTTTCCCACAGGGTTTTTAGGGGGTTTTTACAGACGCACCTATTGTATTTACTTTTTTTTTTATATTTGTATCCTTTCTTTATTTCGGTCGGGAAGCCCTCGGTATCTGCTGCATCAAACATCAAAGGTAAAATATCTCAACGAAATTTGAATCAACCAAAGAGCTTACTAACTCATTTTTTTTAAATACCCAACATTCCCACACATCTTTGTAGATCTATCATAACCTTGGGCGGGACAGAACGGAGGGGGTCAATAAGTGCTGCTTTGTTCATTAAAAGTGTTTCATGGTATGCCAGAGTATTGACATTAATATACCAAAGTTCCATCAAGAGTCTCGCCCAGGTTATGCCGTATTGCGTTAGGCTTTTGTCTGACGAATGTCGCTCAATGTAAGAGTGCGACATCCAGTAGCAGGTGGCATCCATTGCACAGCGGGTGTACGGCTTGTTAATTGGATATAATGTATAAAGTAACGGAATATCTATACCTTTGTGTGTTTACTCTTGAGTTGTGCGAGATTAGGCACCACGAAAAAAAAAGAGATGGATCATCCATCTATTACCATGGAATTTCTAAAGTCAGATCCTCACATGCTTTCGGTTTCTCGTTGGTTTTATTTCGTCCAGACACTTGTAAAAGATGCAGCTTCGTGAGAATGCACCATCGGTAGCTGCTATTTCTTTTACGGGCGGCAAAGATTGTGTTCTGGCCTTGCATCGTGTTGTGGAACAAGGCGTCAAAGTAGTTCTGTTGGTGACATTCTGTCCTGCAGCCGATGCACCATTCAAAGCTCATCCATTGACAGTTGTCAAGCAACAAGCCAAGTCGCTTGGCATTTCTCACACATTATGCGTCATCGAAGGCCCTGATTACCTCGCGAGCTACCAGAAGAATCTTAAACAGCTGCGAGAGACATATCACATCGATTCATTGGTTACAGGCACGTCGGAGCATCCGATCACTCAGCAGCAATGATCAATAGAGCTAACCGTTCTTTTTGCTTGTTCTGTATAGGGGATATTCTGCCTGTGTGCAGTAATTTTATGGAACGGGCAGTGGAAGGCACTGGAGTGAGTCTGGTACGTCCGTTATGGCAGGTCCCGCGGCAGGAACTTTTGGACGATATCTGGCGACGATCTTTTGAAGTGATCGTCTCGTGCATCAATACCAAGAAAATTACGTCCGGCAAGGAAGCCTTAATGTTAGTCGGTGAATGCATGACTGAGGCATGGATAAAGAAAATCAATCGGCAACAGGATCAGCCCATTGACTTGGCGGGAGAATTTGGCGAATTTCATACTCTTGTGTTAGATGCACCATTATTCAAAGGAGGAAGGATAGAAATAGCAACAAAGCTTTTGCAGGATCAAGAATATGCTTACTTGGAAGTGGAATCGGCCCATCTGGTCAGTAAAAACTAGCCAAATATATTTGTTTTATATCCCCTGGTTTTCGATCATTCCGCATACTCGTCCGTGAATATCATGGCATCGACCTTTCAAAACCCGGAAATGGGTATCAACTGATACAAGATGCTCGATATAGGAACTTAGTTGACGAGAGGTTCTTATTAAGATGGTTTTTGGTCATGCTGGGACCATTTGGATGTGGGATCAAAAACTATTTTGGATGGTCTATCCAATGCATAAAAGTATGGCCACCAGATGAGTTTCTGATACATGATGTTTACCTGTCATGGTATCAACTGCTGCTATGGCTTGATTTGGTCAAGCTCGCTTTTTATTATCATTAGCAAGTATATGGCAATGCTTGGCTCAAGAGATTCTGGTCTTGATATGTAAGTGAGGGGTGTAGTAGCATCAGTCGTTACTTGATGAACCAATTAAAGAGGAAAATGTATACAGTACAAGTCGCGCTGCGCATATTCCTATACAGCATTATGAATGTGGAAAATGGTACCCTCATCACAGCGCCGAATAACACGCTCATAGTGTCACCTGGTGGACACATGAACCTTTGATCGAGGCACTAAGTGAGGTTGACAGTATTTTGGACCTTCCGAAACGCACCATAGTACATATTTCTTCGCATCAAATTCTGGGCTACATTTTTGGTTGCTATAGTTCATCTTCCGTAATATGATGCAGAGGAAAATAGACCGGAAGAATGGGGATGATTCACAGCGGCTGTGTAACGATGCAATTGGTATGACAGACACAAGCATTGTCATCCAAACGTTCAGAGATATGCAAGCAGAGCGGAACAAAGAAACAAGATTCAGATAAAGAGAACTTCACATGCAGACATCAGCCATTGATGAACAATGTTTTTCTTTTTCTTTTTTATATTCGCTGCGCTGATTCGCTAGAGGACCATAATACAAGATTCAACCCTTTCGACTGTGGAGTGGCACGCGTGAAAGTTTAACAAGCTTTGACGCTTGTACAAATCGCGGCTCACTTGCGGAAGCGGCGGTATCATCAGGGTGGCACGAAAAGGAGGATCGCACCGGGATGAAAACAAAATTCACGAGCCAGCATAGGTGAATGATGTATCTGCTTCAGGTCATGTAAATCCAGTGTCCCTTGACGAGAATGGTCTGACGACACAAGCGGATCACAGTACAACTACTTTTTAGGTTATACCCAAATTTGTCCATTGCCCAATACCATTCAAAAAGAGCGAAAAACAATACGATGTTTATATCCTTTTTTCTTTTACACTGTTGTTTAACTTTTCTTCTTTTTCTTCTTCTGATCATTCATCTTTTAGTCTTTGGGCCAAATTTCGTTTTCATTCTTTTCTAGTTAGTTAACTGCAGCCCGCTTGACCTAACACGCACAAGGGCACACTCACGTACTTGGTGGATGCCACATACCTCAGCCAAGTTTTTGTTTCGGTTGCACATACATCTTTCTTCCCACATTCTTTATTGAAGGGCACTTTACACATACTGTAAGAATATATCTGTGCTCATTTGTCCTGGACCTTGGAGAGCGATGAAAACCAGGAGCGGGCTTGTAGGCTGTGAAGAGACCATGGATATCACAGAGATGACTTTGTCAAGAAAATATTTACGCGCAAACAATAACCACGTTTTAACAATTGAAGACCAAGGCCAGTTGACTGGTTCCGATGTATCGCACGAAAACTCATGTGATTCATCCCCTGACGGTCTTTTGGAACTTCACTCGGTTTCATCAAGCAGTACTTGGTCAAGACCCCAGCATGCGTCGCTCCACTCTGCACGTTCCGGAAGCCGGCAAACGCAAGCATCATCGATGGCAGAATCTGCAATGTCCATCCGTGCTCAACAATTCTATTTCGGTACACCTTCGAGTCACCGTTTTACGTGTCCTTCTTCACGCGCTACGACTTCGTCTTCTATATGCATGTCCGAACTTTCGGAAAGTAATAATGTGGGACCTTCCGCAGCTGTCAAGAGTTCTTTCCGACGGCTATCGTGGCAATCCCAGCAAAGTCGGAAAAGCGGCAATAACGTGAGCTTGCGAAGCGGGTTCAGCAGACTCACACGACGATCCTGGCGTTTACGTAGAATGGAAGTGCTGATGGACCAAAACTTGCCTGATTTTGAAACTCAGATATTCTGTTCTTCATGTGAAAAATGGTTGCCATCTCGCATTCGATACCGTTCGGGCGCCTTGGTTTGGCTCGTAGCATTTGTACTGTAAGTTGTCATTGGATACTGATTGGAAAGTCTAATATTTACTGGTTTATTATTAGGTTCATATGCACGGTAATTCTTTTCTGGATACCGTTTTACGTCAAGTACTTTAAAGGTGGGATACGATATTTTTGACTGGTTGCATCTCACGTAATCTAACTCCGTAGCTAGACGTTGTCCACTACTGTCCCTCCTGTGGCGTCAAAATTGGTCGACACTTCAAACTCTGAAGGCCGAATGTGACTAGTATTTTTCAATGACCAATGACGTAGACGACAGACCCGCCCAAGAATTTCTAGCACGTTCGACGCACTTTTTATTTCATAGTTTTTTTTTTACTGCGCCAACCTAAACCTTTAATCGTTCACCTTCACAAATCTATCACCATGTCTGGTATGTGTTATTCATTCAGTGCAGTATCCATTGTGCGGTAAAATAAGTGTGCTTACTCTCATTTGTTATATTCTTGCAGATTGGGATTCAGTTACCGTTCTCCGTAAGCGCAATGCCGAAAAGGCCAAGGTTGCTCGCAGCCAAGCCGAAATTAATGCTGCGAGAAGAGTATGTATTGTTGCCATAGTAATGAAGGGTAGCTCGTTCATTTTCTAACCTTAAACTTCTCTATCTAGGCCGGCGCAGCAATTAGCACCGAAAAAAAGAGCAGTAAGTATTTTTTTTAAGAAAGAAATTGGGTGTAATAGTGGGCCAGTTTTGCATAGGATTAACGAGTGATTCTTGAATTATAGCTTTGACCAATGCAAGCCATGCTAACACTGATCATCGTCGTATTGCCAAGCTTGACCGTGAAAACGATGTTGCTCCTCCACCCAAGGTGGATGTCTCTGTTGGCAAGGCCATTCAGAAGGGTCGTCAGGATAAGCAGTTGACTCAAAAGGATTTGGCTCAAAAGATTAACGAGAAGCCTCAAGTGGTAAGTGACGTTGTCATGGTATGGGTGAGGAAATGTAGACATGGAGATTTAACGATGCCATTTAATTTTTAACAGGTCAACGAATATGAGGCTGGCAAGGCTGTTCCCAACCAGCAAGTGCTCGGAAAAATGGAAAGAGCGCTCGGTATCAAGCTGAGAGGCAAGAATATCGGTGAACCTTTGACCTTTGGAAAGAAGAAGTAAAAATACCATATGTTTCACATCCTTGTGTCGGTTGTGCTCGTTTTTTCGTTTTTGCCTTTTTGTTTATTCCGCTGGCGAATGTAAAAAAGAATAAGGGGACGAGGACAATTTGTTTTTTTTTTTATGTGTTATGTACTGTTTTTGTTTTTTTTTCATATCTGTATGTGCATTTTTTTTTTAATTTGCTTATCAAGTCCTCATGTTGCAATAAAACTAGACGTTTATGGGCATTCAATGGATCGGGGTTTGCAAGGATAGAGGAATAGATTGTGTTGAAGAGTTATAGGTGGAGCACGTGTATTGGAGAACGTCATTATCTCCCTTCCCGAACATGGACATCATCTTGGCAACCAGAAATAGTCTTCGGGGTTTTTAAAGTTTTAAACACTGTAGCACCGACTGACGATGTAGCGATCTACAACCATGTTTCAAGCGCCGACAGTGTTCGTAATAAATGGCGTTGGCCAATGATCAATTTTCTAGTTTCTTTCCTTCTCTTTTCTTCTCGTTTGCTCTTTGAGACACGGCGTTCCCCAGATTTCTCTTTGTGTTTACTTGCTGTTAAGCCCACTTATCCATCTCTTCATTTGAAAAATGACCGTCGTAAAGAACATTTGCTGTATCGGTGCCGGTTATGTCGGTAAGTACTTGTAAACCCCATCTTGGGGGAATGACTTGTCATCTTTTTCTCGGTTGGTCCATCTTGTAACACTCATCTTGTGCATCAGGCGGACCTACCTGTGCTGTCATTGCCTACAAGTGTCCTGACATTAAGGTCACCATTGTCGACATTAACCCTACACGTATTGCTGCTTGGAACTCGGACAATTTGCCTATCTATGAGCCTGGTCTGGACGAAATCGTGTTTCAGTGCCGTGGCAAAAACTTGTTTTTCACCACTGACGTCGACGCTACCATTCAAGAGGCTGATCTGATTTTCGTTTCCGTCAATACCCCCACCAAGAAGTCCGGTATCGGTGCCGGTATGGCTGCCGATCTTGCGTAAGTTTTGTTGGTTTTTTTTCTTTCATTTATTTTTATGTATCTTTTTTTTTGTTTTTGTTTTTGGTGTTGCTGGGCTGTTGCGGGTAATGGGCATGGAAAACAAAGAGTGACAATCTGAACTCATGTAAACAAATATGATCGATTTTTGTTTCTCTTTTTACTACAGCTTTGTTGAAAGTGCTACGCGTCGTATTGCCGAAGTCTCAAAGAGCTCCAAGATTGTGGTGGAAAAGTCAACTGTGCCTTGCCGTACTGCTCAGAGCATGCGTACTATTTTGGACGCCAACTCTACCCCCGAAATCCACTTTGATATTCTGTCAAATCCCGAATTTTTGGCTGAAGGCACTGCCATCACTGACCTTCTCAACCCTGACCGTGTGTTGATTGGTGCCCTGCAAACCCCCGAAGGATTGAAGGCTCAGGAGGCTTTGGTCAATGTATACACACACTGGGTTCCCCGGGATCGAGTGATCACCACCAACTTGTGGTCTTCCGAACTCTCAAAGTTGGCAGCCAATGCCATGTTGGCTCAACGTATCTCTTCAATCAACGCCCTTTCGGCGATTTGCGAAGCTACTGGTGCTGACGTCGATGAAGTCGCTTATGCTTGTGGTCGCGATTCCCGTTTGGGACCCAAGTTTTTGAAGGCTTCTGTTGGTTTTGGTGGTTCCTGTTTCCAGAAGGATATTCTCAATTTGGTGTATCTGTCCCAGCAGCTGAATCTGCCCGAAGTGGCCGATTACTGGAAGCAGGTGGTGATCATGAACGAATACCAGAAGAAGCGTTTTGTGCGAAAGATCATTTCTACTTTATTCAACACCATCACTCACAAGAAGATTGCTGTTCTTGGTTTTGCGTTCAAGAAGGATACCGGTGATACCCGTGAATCGGCGGCTATCACGTTGATCAAGGACTTTATTCAGGAGAACGCCAAGGTGGCTATTTACGATCCCAAGGTTTGCCCCGAACAGATCTTCATGGATTTGTCTGAACCCGGTGTGGTTGATAACCGCAAGGAGTTGGAGAAGCAGATTCAGATTTGCGCAAGCGCTTACGAAGCAGCGGAAGGTGCTGATGCGGTGGTCATTGTCACGGAATGGGATGAATTCCGCGATGATCAAATTGATTATACAAAGATCTACGACAGCATGCACAAACCTGCGTTCCTATTCGACGGTCGCTTGTTGGTGAACCCCACTAAACTTCGGGAGATTGGTTTCAAAGTCAGCGTTATTGGCAAGAATGAGCTTGCTGGCACGGCCTAAAAAATTCTAGATCGTTTTTTTTTTTGTTTCTCGTTTCCCAAACTTGCATTTTTCCTTATTTCCCTCTTGTCCTTTTTCCAACTATACCTCGTGTTCCCAAATTGAGGCTTTATTTTTGTTTCCATTTTTATAAAAAAAAACCGGCATGAAGTATAGATAAAATAAATAAACTGCACGCAAACAGCTTCCTTGCATGAAGATTTTTGTGAGTCGTTCTACTATTTTTGTTGGTTTTTTTTTTATTGGCAACAACCCGGGAACCCTTTTTGATTTCTTGGAATAGTTCGTATGACATAATTGCTCCGATGGACGTTTGAGATTATGAAAAATACGCAGAATTTTAATTGGGTATGTCTATGCTGCAACTTTAGAAGCACGCTCAGCGGTGATCTCTGAAGAACAAAAAAAAAACAAAAAAAAAGAAAAAAAGACGCTAGAAATGCCACGTTTTTCTCGAATACATTTCCTCTTTTTCATGGTTTGCAAAGTCAAAACAGTTTGCTAAACAAAATTACCGGGATTTCAGCTGGCTTTTCTTTTGGGCGAGCGACCTTGGGGTTCGAAGCAAAATAGCAAGTGATCTGAGTACAACAGCCGTGGCAATAAACTTTGAGTGTCACACAACACTCGTGGTTCAATAATACAGCACAAAAATCATGAGTGCCAGGATTGCATGGGCTCATTTCTATTCTTGACACTTGAATTTTAAATTTAGATTGACGGTCCAGTTTCGGTATTTACATTGTCATTTCAGAAAATAAAGTCGTTTATTTTGAAGCTGATCTCGTGTAATGTTAGAACAACCAATACTTCTTATCTTAGTTTCTTGTTCTCCTTGTCCTTGTCCTTGTCCTTGCCCTTGCCCTTGCCCTTGTTCCTGTCTTGCCTTGTCTTGTCTAGCGGAATCGATTCCATCTTCAGCGTACTGACGCAGTCTTTTGCGGGACTTCTCCGAGCAATCTTTTTCACACTTGAGAATTTATTGAACTGACTCGCCATGGACTCGCTAAAAGACTCGGTGCGTCGGGCTAAGTCATTGGTCGCGCATTCAAAGCTGTTCTGTATATATCTTGAATATTCGAATCGTTTCATTCATCCAGCAGTATAATGTTCCTTCTCTTGAAGAATAAGGACATACACCAATGCAATCCTCGGATCAATAGGGAGCTGTCAATGTGTTTCGCAACGGGAATCTGCATTGTATATCTGGGACTTGTTTCGCACATGATTGGCAAGGATGGGCGTAAAACGGATTACGGGCTGATTTGTCCAATGCAGCATCGCGGAGCTTCTTGCTCGAGAAACCATCAGTGTTGATCACGACTGATAATGGCAATACCTTGGTGCCATCAAAAATGTTCAAGCAGTACCGAATGGCTCGACAAATATGCGTGGTCCACTTTGTTCTGTATTTCGACAATGACAGATGCAAGGTCGCGCGCAAACTTCTTGAGCGGTAATAGGTCATATCAGCTCGCCGACCATCAAATTGTTCATTGGCACCGACAGAGTATGTATCTCCTGTAAATTCCATTTCCAAAGACTGTTGATCTCGCCATAAATTCTTGCTGAATAAATCAGAAGCGGATCAACGACTAAGTATCAATGACAGGATACCAAAATTATCCTCGGTTATGGTCAAGTCAGGGATTTGGTGCTGACTGTCGTTAGAAGAAATAGGATCGCCATCTTCGTCACTTGTTCATCGTCTGCATAATCCTTCTCCATATTATTGCAAATGCTGTTGCCAAATGATTCGTCTACTTTGCTTCATGCGGGCGCCATTATTCTACGCGTTTTCTTTTCTCGCTGATATAGTAAGTGCCGGTACAATAGAAATATGCATATGACAGCGGCCTCTAAAAGAGACACGCAAAAGATGAAGCTGCGGCATTTTACTCATCCAACTTGACGCCACAGAAAGTCAAGTGAGAATCAAAATTGGAGAAGCAACCAATGAAGAATCAGATTGTGAAATATCCCAATTCAAATATGGTGGTCAGGATAAAAGTAGGGAAAAGAGCAAATCAATATGGCAGTAACAGTAGAATGTTGAATAAAGCTGGCTTCCCTGTAAACCTCATACAGGCCTTCATTGCCCGGAAGAACCAACCAAGTGAGCCAGGGCGGACTATGTATTACTCTTCGCGCTAGCCAACGTGGAAAGTATGCGCCGGAACCGTCGATGGTCGGTTGCGTCGAATAAACTATTATATGAAATTATTTAGTATACAAAATTACTTCTTCAGGATCAACAGCCTCGAGCTCAGCTTCAGTTCAATACACCAGAAAAAAAAGGCAACTCAGAGAAAAAGACGACCTTGGAAGGTGGAATGGAGATAACGGGAAAAGAGAAAAAAAAGCTTGACAGACAGACACAGTGGGTGTCCTTTTTTATAGATTTCCATGATAGACTGCCGTTAAACCCGTCTTTTGCAGGAGAATTCTCGTGAGAAAGATCATTGCATCAGCTGCAATACACAGTAAAGAAAAAAAAAGAGAGCAGTATTTAACGAAAAACAGGAAGCAAGCAAGATTTGTGGCGAATTTTCATCCGAAATTGAAGCGTTCAGTCATTAATTAAATGGAACGCACAATTAAATAGGGCCGGTGGCCCAAGAGGTGAAAGATCGTGACTCCCGTTCACTCGTCTTCGTCACTGACGTTATGAGCTACATACTCCTGATAGACTGTATCATTTGTTGTCCAGCGCACGCAGTTTATAGTTAGTGATATTTCACAGACTATCGTGACAAACTCAAAGTGTTACAACTATAAAAATGGTTGAAAAATACAGAACAGAAAAATGCATGACGGTTCACACCGTCAGGTTCCAAGAAAGCTGAGAAAGAAGGAAACTAAAAGTTTTTTGCCTACGTTCAGAAAAAAAAAAGGAAAAAAAAAAGCAAAAGAGTATAGTAATATTATCCTCGCAGAGACAGAAAAAAAAAGCCACGACATAAGATAAAGTAAAAATTGCAGCAACAATGCCATTAAAGAAGAAGCGAGTTCCAAAACAAAGAGTAAGCGCAACAGAGATTAATTAAAAGCAAGATATTGTTGTCATTGACAAAATATATATATATATATATTAAATAATGGAAGGGATCTTCCTTGTTGCATCGAAACAGAAAATGTATGAAAGACATAATCTGAGGAAATGATGCTGATCAAGGTTAGATGGAGAAATCTTCCTTCTTTATCCGGAACAGATCATGTATGAAAGAGATGACTTGTGGATTGGACAAGAACAAGATTATAAAGTGGTGAAGAGCAGTTGAGTGTACAGTGTGTGCCGGTATAAATACCATGCCCGAAAATCCCCGGTATTGCTTTCCAATCCCTCTAGGAAAACTGCGCTACAGCCCCCCTCTTAGTCTACTTGCAGCGCCTATAGACAGGGGTAAAAGAGCCTGATCCATCCTCGCGTGCCGCATGCTCCGATCCCCTCGTTTCAACCGACTACCAACTGGCAAGACATAGTATTACCTAACCTACTTGCTCTGGCAAATCGACCGAACTGCATGTGGCCTACCATAGACACAGTTACAATACCGAAAAGAAATCCTCACACCAGTACGATGAAACTAGACGGAACCCGACATCCCACTCAAGGTCTACTTGTTGAAAGAGCATGCAAGGTTCCCCCGAAATGGAAACTTCCGGCTTCACCTCGACAAGCATCCCGAGAAAATTCACAACCCTGTGGAGAAGAAAGTGTGGGACTGCGGTTGGCTCCTTAGCGTAAAGCCTCGTAATGCGTTACCCGATCAAGGCAGATGCCAGCTCACTAGATGTTGCCCTTCTCCCCAGGCGAAAACAGATCCAGAAACTGACACGGCAACCATGATGAACATTTACGCGATCTAGCTTCGGTGGATGTCCAATACACGGCGATGCAGAGAAAGCGATGCCGACTGACCTTGTCGCAAAACCTGCATGTGATTATTCTCCAATCAGGCATGTCTCGTACGTGGGAGTGGCCGCCCGCCTCTACCCTCGGTACATTGGTAGCGAAAGCCGCATCACATTATGTGCCGTGGAGGGAGACATTCCCGCTCTTCATCACTTGCAACGGTTCGGCAATCCATATGTGTGTCAGTCATCGGATCATTTGGCAATGAACAAAGTAATAATAATAAAAAAAAGAAGAGTTAAAAAAGTGCTTACCATTGTTCATCACGCAAAGGCGAAAAAGGATATAGACTGCACACTAAATGGAACCAGTTCGTCCTTAGTGCATTTGCAAAAAGAAATCCTTTTTGCCCCATGTGACGCAAAGGAAAAGGGCGGTGTCATCAGGCGTGACATATCACAGCAAAAAGGCGCCGGCCAGTTAAAACGAGTTATCAATGACACCTGTGACGTGAAGGACGGGTGATAACTCGCCACCGAAAGACGGAAAAAAACCAGTTCGTTAAAGGGCTAACGATTATATGACAACCCAAGGGCCATGCCTCCCGGAGGACTACATGGGGCGGGGGGAAGTAAGAGGGAGGAAATCGTATCGTATCGTATCGTCTTGAAGTATTCGAGGGCGGTATCGTCGTTTGTAGAGACTTGCGTAAGTAGAACAATGGTTGAAGAGGTGTCGTTCTTTGAGAAGAGAGAGAGAGAGAGAGAGAGAGAGAGAGAGAGAGAGAGAGAGAGAGAGAGAGAGAGAGAGAGAGAGGGAGAGAGAGAGAAAGCGAATAAAGAAGAGAGGACGGGGCCTTTTTTTTTTATATCTTCCCTCATGTTAAAACCTCGCAATGACGATAATGATGACGCGTTTGTCGCCTCAAGGACGTCTTTCTCAGCAGCTTGAACGTGTCATCACGCGCTTTTGATGTGAGAGGAAAGATCTCGTGTTTGTCCATGCGGTTTATCGAGTCTGGCAAGCCAAATATCGTGCTTTGAAGTTGTGTAGCTGGTTCATGCCAACTTTTTATGCGGCGAAATTTTTACTGCGACATTTTCAACCAAAAATTTCTAAGGCACCACATCACTTATGCTCATTCTCTCACTTTTACGCAAGCTGATGCAGACTCACTCTTTTTTTCAAGCATAAGAAATTACGAGTATTTTTACTACTTTCTCATTACCGCGCAAGGGGATGGGATAAAGTTGGAGTAGCAGGGGAATATGCTATATGGCATGCCTATCGTGCAACCCTCGCATAAACAACAGTAAATCCTAGAAACACCCCATGGCAATAAAAAAATGTGAAATAACTACCAGGGCAACTTGTTTCTTCACGCAGCGGTATCTACGTCAACGACACATTGTTACGGTTCCTTGTGGGAAACAGGCTGGTGCGGCCATGCGACATTTTCAACTACGGTTAGGTTTGACCTTGCTGACTCTGATGCACAAATCAAACCGTCGGTATACAGATCTGACGTTCATGCCGCTAAGTTGGTGGTTGTAGCTGCGTCGGCCGTGCTCGAACCACCTGACGTACTTTTGTATAATAAAAGCGTTGAAGACGAATTGACAGAACCGGCTTTGTCATTTTGTACAAATCAATCATTGGGCTTCAATAAACTGTGTTGCAGGATCCAAAAGGCTCTGTATTGAACCGTCTTGACCAATTAATTTTATCCAGGAATAACATGAGCAGGATAAATAAATGGTTGCTTTTTTTTTGGTTCGTTAGATCAGCATCATCGATACAGCATTAAACAAATGACAAGACCTTCGTCTCTTTCATTATAATCAAGGAAAAACAGCCTGTAAACAACATTAATATAATCTTTTAAATATCAAAGAACAAAATAATAACAATAACATATATCATTAGATAGAAGAGGAAGGAAACACGGTTTGGAATAAAGCAGGAATAGGATAGGCGGCCATGAAGCCAATACCTGGGGTGAAATAAAATAAAAGATACAGTGAGCTCAAGGAAACTGGATCAGTCTCATGTTGTTTGAATTTACCTGCATAGACGATCAATTTGGTGACAATATCTACATCGTAGCGCAGAGGAGCATCTTCCATGATAAACATTCGGGTATCATCATCGCATTGCTGCAAATCATCGGCGGACATATCAACGCGGGGAGCACTGCTGCATTTCTCATCCAAGGAGTCCCGTAAACCACCACGGTGTTGCAATTTGGCTCCTTCCGCCACGCGTTTCTCATGCAAATCAATCCCTGATTGAATACCGACGTGTTCAGCTTCAGCCGTGGAACTCGCTAATCCTCGCAAGTCCAGCACGGAAGGAATAGGATGGATACTCTCTTGATGAAGACTCTTGTAATTTCTAGATCACCGAACCTAATTTAGCAACCAAACCAAACAAAAACATGGCATCCAAGCGTACCTAGCACCAATTTCAAATTTGCGATGGGGAAGATTAAATACACGATAGATGGGAGGCAGAATGACATAACACGCTCGCTTGCATGCCATACGCCATATAAATAAAATGGCGACACCTAACCAAAAAGTTGATTAGAAAAAAAGTGACCCACAAAAACAGACAAGATTACTCTTTGGGCAAGGACGTACCTAGGATCACCTTGATTAAAATTACAATCAATGCAACGATGCTTGAATAATGGCTCGTGGCAGCGGTACTCAAACCCAAAGTACAATATTCTGATCGATAGCAAAGCCAGCTACCAGGAAACAATCCAATGCAAACCCCCATGAAACAAACACTAAACAAAGTGTCAAATTCGATATCAGTATCAATCATGGTATTCAAGCATCACTTTTTCACATTGTCTGTGAACTCACCTGTCTTCAAAGCAAGGGCAGCGTTCAATGGGATCGGGACTATATGCGCAATCTTTAGAACCTCGCAGTATCAAACCGCTTCCGAATAATGACTTACTGTAATCCCACAAGAATGAGACAAAAGGGAATAGAGAGAAATACTAGAATCGTTCTCTAATCAGTTACATCGTGTCCCATGCAACCCTCCATCCCTATGAGCTGTGCTTACCAAAATAGGAGTCGCTAAGGAACATTTCATTAAATTGGTCTTTAAAGGTCCATTGGACCCAAAACAAGACATAGGCTAAGAGAGTACCTCCAATCACGTCTTGAGGCAATATGACCACGTTAAAATGATGCAATGGAAATTAGACACACCCAAAAACAGACGAAAAAACGTACCTGTTATGCTGTGCATACCGCAATAAATTCTGCCAAACACCACGCTTACGGCATAGACAAAGGATCCAATGATACATGCCATTCGTGCAGGCGATTGAGGAGGAAGATCACTTTCACATGCCATTGCAACCATGTACAACGCAACGGAGATCGAATTGGTAGAGTGCGTCGATGGGAAACCGTATTCCAAAGCTGCTGAAGGAGACATGGTAAGACGGTGGACGGGTGGAGAAAGCGGTCGAGGAAGACACATGAAATCCTTCAGAAACAAATGCATATTGAGAAAACGCCAATTCAAGCAATATGCATTATGTATCATAATATGAAATGCTGGGAGCTATTTTATCTTACCTTGAAGAAACCAGACCAAAAGACACCAAAAGCTGTCAGACATGCAATACTAACAAAATACAGTTTGAGTTGAAAGGGACCACAATGATATAAATGCTACTGAGGATAATCTACCTTCGTCCCAAGCCGGCATTACCGAACCAGACTAGCAAGGGTAAAAAGATCATAAAGAACGTATGCGTGCCGAGATTAGCTGTCCATACAAAGTACGTATCTAGAGTCGGCGTCCTTATCCGTTTCTAATTGTCAGAGGCGAGGGGTGAGATCCCGCATTCACATGTATACCAAAAGAAAAAAAGGTCGGAACAATTACCTGCATAGCAGCGAGCCATGGCGTTTCACTGCGTACTATAGGTAAGAGCATTTTACGCAGTTTGGCACGCCAGGGGTGGAATGCTTTGTCGTACAGACGGTCATCGTGTGTACCAGCGTCAACATCGGAGGCTCTGGACTTTACTACTTTCTTGGGCATCTCGGCCAAGAATGCTCTCGTCTGGCTTTGCAAACCGAAAAGAAAAGGCTTTTTTTTTTATATATAAGAAAAAGGTTTCGCCGGCGGAGCTGAAAATTTCAAATTTCAAATGATCCTAAAAGGGAAATACACGATGGGATTTGTGCAAGTATAAAATGAAACGTTCAGCAAAAGAAAAAAAGTAGTTCCTGTTACAGATATCAAGGCTTATATACGCTCTATCAATAGGTAAGGAGTAAACCTGCATGAATTCACGTTGTAGGTGGAGCGATCGCTCGTTGGAGTGTACTATCAATTATTCATGCGACGAAATAAAATTGGCGGGAAAATGAGTCTATTTCCCAACATTGAATTCATCCCTGAATGTTTCATAAATCCCGCTTCACCTGTTCCCACTTTGACAATAAACAAAATAGTGAAGCCGACGGCAGTAATGGAATGAGATTATGAATCTATTTCTTTATGTGCAATAGGTGTTAAGCAATTTTTTCAATGGCATCTGATACTATATTATACCGTTATTCCCGTCAAGTAACTCTGTACCTCGTGGCTCATACAGTTTCTTATATTTGTGTCGACGAAAAAAAAAGAAAGAAAAGGTGGGGGAGGGGGTAACCATCTATTTACGATGCATTTATCTACAGAACACCTTTGGTGCTAGGAATATCGTTGGTTCCGGTTCTTGAAATGGCCTCTTTGATGGCCACAGCCAAAGATTTGAATGCGGATTCAGCACTAGAAAAAATAACCTCCAGTCAATACAATCATGCCTCACTTTCCCACGTTCCCATTTTTCAAAATTTACCGATGATGGTCGTTGAATCCTTTGAGAACATCCACATGAAGCGTGATTCCTGCTGCGGTAGCAAATGATTCAAATACGTGAGGAATCATCTCCGTGGATAGTGTACCAATCATTTCTCGCTTCAGGCCAAGATCGATGCAAGCATAAGGACGTCCGGAAATATCCACCACAGATCGGGACAAGGCTTCGTCCAAGGGACAATAAGCCGAACCAAATCGCTTAATGCCTCTCGGTGTACCCAGTGCTTGCTTGAATGCCATACCAAGCGCAATAGCTGTATCCTCGGCCGAATGATGATCGTCAATGTGAAGATCGCCATCGCAGTGCAAAGTAAGCGACCAGCCACCATGCTTGGCTAACGCATGATACATCTAAATCGTTAGAGGGAGAGTGGATTCAGTTCCATGTTATGCACAGATCAAGAGCATGTATGGATCTTACATGATCGAGAAAACCAATGCCAGTGTGCACTTCGATTTTTTGATCAAACTTGGAATCGAGGTTCAGGGTCAGCTGAATATCGGTTTCATTAGTTTTTCTGTTGACAGTGGCGGTGCGTGCTTCTTCGGCCATAGTGCAAGGTAAAAAGAGAGAGGGCGAAATGGGAAGAGAAGGATGTAAAAAGCTCAAAACCCGATGGATGAATTTTTGTGCCAATCAATGATGTGACTCAGGTTTGCGCATGGCTGGGTTCAAGTGTCCAATGAAATTGAAATAAACACACGCTAAGGCGAATTCTTTTTCAAATTCTCTGGCATTTTACGTCCTAAAAGACCAATCGCAAGTCGAAATTACTGTAATAAACGGCTGCAACTGTCAGTATGACTTTAATATCATTGTCCTATTTTCCAAATTACATAACTTTGTCTATTTCTTATCATCGGGTCTATAATCATCCTGCAATCCATTGTCAAGGTTTTATGGAACTTAAAAAAAAATGAGCACAAACCACTCTACACCCCTGATGTACCAACAATGCTTTATCCAATACATACAAATGCGACCCTACCCGTATCAGATTATTGTAAGCGCAGAGATCGCATACTCATATTGAATTTAGCGAAGAGAAGTGGTCCGTTGACTAAATTCGTACAGCCGACAGTAAATTCACCCATGCCGTAAATATCACCATCATTACGATTGAGGAAGTATTTTATTCTCAATAGGATATATGAAAATGAGTACATGTTATGATAATCAAACAGAGTCACGTGTTTGAGATTGCAAGAGAACAAACTTTCGGTGAATGCATACAGGTTACTAAAGTTTCAAGCTCCATTCACTGAGGGAAAAATGAAAAGTGGAGGGTGCCAAATTAACCTTAGTAACGAGTATTACGAGGCTGGTATAATTTTTCGATATAGTGTCGAGTTGAATGGCGGCGATGGACGCTGGTTGGCTGCAACACCACACTCCAATGTCAGGTCGGAGCGGAGTTTTGCCGCGGTGGATTCTTGCTGACGAGATGGGAATTCGGTTTCCACGAATCCTATAAAGCTCTGGGATTCTCAACTTCCCGCAAGTTTCTCTCAGTTTTTATTTCCTTTTTCTCATCTTTTTTTTCGTTATTTTACATAACCTACCATGTCTGCCGCTAACGATCGTTTGAACGCTATCAAGGGTCATTTGTCTGGAAACTTCCCCAACGGTTTGTTGGCTGGTGAAGTCGCCATTATCACAGGCTCAGGGTAAATTTTTTTCATCCTTTGCAGAGTTTGGCAACTAACGTTGCTTCGTTTTCGTTATTCAGCCAAGGCATTGGCAAGAGCTGTGCTGAAGTTTTCGCCCGTGAAGGCGCTATGGTTGTTGTCACAGACATCGATGCTGGTAACGCCAACTTGTGAAAAAAAAACAATCAGTGCATATTTGGTAGATTAATGTTTGTTTGGGATCCTCGTTATGTAGCCAAATCAGACCAGGTGGCAGCTGATATCAATGCCGCTGGCGGCAAGGCAATTTCTGTTCCAGGTGACGTTCTCAGTGCCGATTTCCCTGAACGATTGGTTGAAGAAACTGTCAAGTAAGTAGGAGAGAAAAGGGGGCGTCTTTTTCTGCATAACAAGAAACGAGCAAACCTTCTAAACTTATTCTTTTCAGGAACTTTGGCAAGATCAACCATATTGTAAACAACGCTGGTTTCACTTTTGACGGCATGATCCACAAGATTACTGATAAGCAGTGGGATTTAATGTTGGCTGTTCACAACACGGCCCCTTTCAAGATCATTCGTGCGGCTGCCAAATACTTGGTATGTAACCATGCAATTTTCCCTCACGTAAACTCTAAAAACAACCAGAAACTGACTTTAAAAAATTTACAGCGCAAGAAGGATGGCGAAAACAAGTGCATCATCAACGTAGGTTCATCAAAGGAAAAAAGTAATAATGGATGGCTCTGTTAACGCTTGCCTGTATTCATAATAGATCTCCTCCACTTCTGGTCTCCACGGTAACCTCGGTCAAGCCAACTATGCTACCGCCAAGGCTGGTGTGGTCGGTCTTACCAAGACTATTGCCAAGGAATGGGTGAGTGTTCACAAAACGGACAAGTGAAAAATGGTTATGTGAATCATAACATAAAATGCTGTTAGGGTGTGTTTGGTGTTCGTGCCAACACGGTTGCTTTTGGATGGGTGGATACTCGTTTGACTCGTGCCAAGGAAAGCGGTGCGGCTATTGAAGTTGGTGGTCAAAAGGTCGCTTTGGGTATTCCTACCGGTAATAAGGCTGCCGGCAAGGTCAATGCCTATGCTGACATCCCTCTTGGCCGTGCTGGTACTGCCGAGGAAGTCGCTGGCTCCGTCTTGATGATGTGCACTCCTCTTTCCAGCTACATCACCGGTCATACCCTCGAAGTGACTGGTGGTCGCGGTATCTAAAAATTCTATTTTTTTCCAACCTTTGAACGCTTTGCAGATTCCCCAATCACATTTGTACAGAACCTTTCGTCGCTTTTCTTCCAATGAAATAATAGTCCCATACAATAAAAAAAAACTTTTTTTTTTTCAAACTAAAAACAAAACAAAGGAACCGGAACCGACATGGTTGATGTGGATGATGAAGGGCTTATCTGTATTATTTAAAAAAACCCGAATGCAAACTTGAAATATAAAAAAAGAACACTACACATGACAAAACTCTATAAACTATACAATAAGAAAAATATGATAACGAATATGCAGGATATTTTTCTCTACTCATGACGATCAGCCTGTTCGGTATGTTCCTATAGAAACAAGTAAAAGTGTTTGTTAGTTTTCGTATCCCTGGTTGTCGCTTTTAGTATCATCATCTCAAACTTACAAAGATATCCAATGCATCCCAAGGATACACAAGCCATTGATCGGGCATCTCCACGGCAGCGTAATAATGTTCCATGATCTTGGGGGGCAACTCACGCTTCTTGGGCTTGTCCTTGTTGTGGAGAACAAACACACCCATCTCCGTTTTGCTTTCACCCTTCTTCATACCATGACGAATTTCCTCGGCTTCGATATCCTTCAAAAGCTCTTCCACGGCAAAGGCGAGCGTCTGACGAGTATCATCGACTTCATCAACGATAAGGATACGGCGGCCCAAAAGGGAGATCTCCGAGTGAGAAGCACCAAAGTTAAGCCACTGGGTCTTGGTGACTTGAGGAGGTGCCGAAGGAGTATCTTCCTTCTGGCTCTGGGCGATCTCGATTTCCTCATACAACGACAAACCGATGGCCTGGATAGGGATGTTTCTGTTGTTGCGCTTATGAAGGAAGGTACGAAGAATACGCGCAGGGATAAAACCACCACCACCGATAGCAATCATCAAATCAGGCTTGAAGTTCTCATTGATGCCAAATCGCTCCACTGACTGACGGATAGAATCATGGATCTGATTGTAGCTGTATTACATTGAACAAAAATTAGAAAAAACTTCTGCTTTGTGATACTCGCTTGCCAGGGTGGATAAAAAAGTATAGACGTTTTTTTTTTCCCTTTTTATTTACCTGATGTGCAATTTCGACATGGTGTGGAAAAAGGGGAACGACTTCGTGAGAATGGAAGAGGAAGAAGACCAATATTTTGAATTTTTCGATTGACAGGTGGTTTTACTTTTTTTTTTTCTGATAGTCCTTTTTTTGGTCACACCCCGACGAGTGGCTTGCAACCCTTGCGCATCGGGTGAATTAAATCGCCGTCCACCTATGGGAAAGCGTGCATTGTCTCGCTTTCCGATAGCCATTCTCACGAATGGCAATAAATGAATGATCGCTCGGAATGACTTTCCTTATTGGGCCGCTCGTGCACTTTTTTCACAAGCTTTTTTGGCACACATTTTCCTCAAAACAATGGGCACCAGAATGACACATATCTGTGGAAACAAGATTGGCAACAGACTTTAGCAAAACAATTTAGCATACATTTTCTCTTTGCTTTCCTTTAGCCTTTTGACTACCATTCCCATTAAACTGCGTGCACTGTTTACAGGCACAAGTATGCATCTTTAAAAGAACAATTTCGTATGACGATGACAAAGCGATGAAGTACCCCGCAAATCGATCTCGAGTTTCAAAATAAAGTCGGAAAAATTTAAATGACAATCACAAAAGCTAGATGATATCTTTTTTTTTAATTTTTGAAACCATGGCGTAAGTTACGCGTACACTTTCAGCACTTGAGTATGATCCGAGGAGATATTCCTGGTGACCATACTTTGAGATTCAGGCAATTCAAGCCTTTCTGATGACTGCGAGGATGCGGAGTCGTCCGGCAATTGGCTTTGACTTTGTCGTTGTAATGAATGGCTTTGTTGCACATTCGTTTAATTTTGTGTGTTGGCTCGTTCGATTTGAGCTGGTCAATAATTTTTTCGAACTGCCGCTTTTTTGTTGAGCATATGGTATCCACAGCCGACTGAAAGTTCTGCTGATATGTTTCCTGTGGGTAAATCTCTGATATCGCGATCTTAAAAGAGAAAATTGATGGTCGGATCTTCGGAAACAATGTAAAGACAATCGTTGCTCGAAAAAGAAGAGCGCCACAGCAAGAAGGGAGTTCAGCGGAGATCCATGACCACCAGTGTCGGAAGTAGTCCCCTTGGAGATAAGGAAACTTTTCTTCGCCCAGATTAGGGAAGGGATTCTCAGTAGCCATGGTTTCGTTTCATCCGCCTTGAAGTCCAACAAAAGCTTCACCGGAAACGTCTAAAGGCCAATACGACAGGGAGGGGCATCATAGGTTTTGACAATATTTAATGCGTAGGTGATCAGTCTCCTAAGGAATGCCTCGTTGATGGTGTTTTGCACTTTGATCAACATAGGGGAGAATGTCAAAGGCAGCTTGAGCGCATAAAGGACATCGCACCGAGTACTGTTCCAATCGTACGATAGCGAATATCGAAACCGTATTCCATCGAACGGACAGGCCATCGCAATAGCTTCGGCGCAGTCTTGCTCGGCTTGAAAATGGAGGCAAGAATCGAATGATCGGTAAACAGGACGAATCTCCTTCCCTTCAAGTAATGGCGGAAAGGGTCAACTCGAAGAGCTTCCAAATGCGTCGCCGCGTAATTCTTCCCGCTACCACGGAGACTTCTTGATGCATAGGCAACCACATGCTCATTTTCCAAAGTCTTCGCATCTTCTACCTACGATAACACCGTGCCCAAACCAGGAGTACTCGTGTCCGTGGACGAAACTTGCACTTTTCTTATTATCAGGGAAACCAATAAGGAAAACTCCGTCAGAGCCTCAATAAGCTTGCGGAAAGCATCTCCCTGATCCGCCTCGCAAAACGAACCATGCGTTCTTCTTTAACAATCTCGCCAATGGATCAGCAACCATCGTCTTCTACCAACCCCCGGTAGTAACCGGTCGGACCAAGGGAAAGAACCGACATCGTCGCAACTCGCAGGAGTAGGGAAATTTCTTGGCCTTTTTGATATTATGATCATCAGGTCGCACACGATCTGCTGTCACCGTTTGACCCAAGTATTTGACACTCTGTTGACACAAAATGTCATTTCTTCCTTTTCAAACGTAGGTTTGACCGTTCGGACATCTCGAAGCGCAACGTCGAATGCAGTTTGTGTTTCTCCAACGAGTTCGAAAACACTAGGACATCGTCCAAGAAAATGATCAAAAACGGCTTAAGTAGTCAGCCAGGATTGATTGCATCATTCGTTGGTAGTTACTAGCCGCTGTGGAATTGCCCAAAGGTAAGATGTTGAGCTCGAAAGTTCCCCTTTTCGTCACGAAAAGTGCGCCCAGCATGCCCAGGATTATAAGACCAACTGGTGATCTCCAGAGGTACAATCGGGGCTCGAAAAATACTGGTTCACCGCTTGTGGTGTTCCAAAATGTCGTCAATATGAGGCAGAGGATATGCGTTTTGGTTGAGCATCTTGTTCAATCTTGATAGTCTATCGCCAGTCGCATAGTATCGTCCTTCTTCGTAATAAAGAGACAAAGATTCGCCCATCCTCCACCTAAAGGTTTTGACGATATCAAGCAATTCCAGCGTGATAAGATCAGCAACAAGTTGATGTTTAAGCACCGTTCGACTCAGTGTCACCACCAGTTATGTATTCTGATGATGGAATCACTGTTACATGATTGCGGGGGAAACAAAGAAAAGATAAAGAGAAAAGAAAAGGGACAGTATTTTTTTCTTCTCGAAGGCTCTAATTTTCTGCGTCACATGACACGAGCCAAAATCTTCAGGGTTGAAGGCCCCCTCTTTGTCATGTTCTTTTCCTTTGTTCTTTATCTTTTCTTTGTTTCCCCCGCAATCATGTAACAGTGATTCCATCATAAGAATACATAACTGTGGTGACACTGAGTCGAACGGTGCTTAAATACCAACTTGTTATTGATCTTCTTATCACGGTGGAATTGCTTGACGCTCCAGAATGGTTCCTATACCTTGACTGATGGCGATTGGAATAATACACGGTACAATGTCCTTTATGTACCCAGGTTGCCTTTGTCATTCTCATACGTAATGACGGAAGTGCAAGGCACAATCAACGACGAATTCCTTCGGCGCTTGATTATCTACTCGGCGCAGACTATGGAAGGTCAGCGCCACTGTACAAGAGGCTGGTGCCAAGTGCTTTCGCAAGAAGACAAGACAAGGACAAGGACAAGTACAAGACTTCTGTAGTATTGGCCTTTGACATTAACAAGATGTCTCCGGTGAATCTGCTGCTGGACTTTAAGGCAGAAACGAATTTGCACCAAAGTCATGGGTTACAACGACAAAGTCAAAGCCAAATCGTTGGACGACTCCGCCTCCTCGCAGTCATCAGGAGAGCTTGAATTACCTGGCGCTATGCCCATGGGACCGCGATCAGTATCGAGGCATTCAATGACTTTCGAAGACATTGGTTTCCTTCAATCTTTCAAGAAAAATCATCCTAGACGCATGAACTGGGAATTATGTCTCAAAGCTGGTCATCGAGGCAATTTCCTTATGCGCCACTGTCATGGGAAAAGGCCAAAAAGCATCGGAGGCCATCAAAAACTCTTTCCGCGATTTTCCAGCATGATATCAGCGTACTCAAAAATAATAAAAAATTAAAAAAAAATTACATCGAGATCATCTAAATATTGTAAATGGCATTTACATGATTGCGGAATAACTTCATTTCTGTGTCTTCGTCATGAATTTTTTTTAGCAACAGCTTATAGACAACAGAAAAAAACATAATACTCAGCGCAGTCAACAGTCTTGAAAGAACGACATAGTCTGCAAGTGACACGAGAATAAGAATCAAAAGGTTCCTTTTTAGGTAGTAGATATTCTGCACGGTAATGCAATCCATTGAATTGGATGAATCTCTCCAAACATGTCCAGATTTATTATTTCCCATGCGTCTATAAACTCAAGTCCGTAATGGCCATTTGGAACTTTGTTCGTGCGCTAGACTCTCTTTGTGCGAAAAGAGTGCAAAAAGCTTATTTGCATGTCGAGAGATGGGGACTTTTGATTGGCCCATTTTGGGGTATTTCCATTGTCACGGCGCGCCTTTGAGGAAGTCCAGTTCCTTGTCGTCCCGAATAAAAAAGTATTCATAATGGCGTTCGAGAATCTCTTGCAAGTGGTGGCACACTGCGACAAATTTCCTTATCATATTGATTTGGAGCACAAGGACGAGATACATCATGTCGTGCCTCTTTGCCTGGGGCCTCATGTGATTGGCAATATCTTACCGAGCGTTCTGCCCCACTTGAAGCAGTACAACGACAGCCAATCGCCCGCCCCTTTTGTCATTGCTTCCAATGTAACCTTTGCTTCTTGGGTCGACTCTTTCGAAAAACGCACTCAAGTCGTGAAACAACTCATGGACACTTGGCGCGCACAAACGGTCTTTTCAGCTCTGGCAGGTACGGAATGACCCTGTTTGGTCTCGCTGATTGGGAACAAAGACTTTCAGGGAATGACAACGGCATTTACTTTTTTTCTTCTTCTTTTTTTTTTTTTCTCCCCGATTCGTATAGGATGGAGAAACGAGTTATATCCAGTATACGGTGATTCATCACGGGTGGATAATGTGGCGTTTGTTATGGAGCGTGCAGCTACCCCACTGTTTGGCATATCGACGTTTGGCGTCCATCTGAATGCCTATGTGCGGGACCAAGATAACGACATTAAAATGTGGGTGGCTCGTCGCGCGCTGACCAAACCGACGTGGCCAGGTTTACTGGATAATTGTGTGGCCGGAGGCATCAGCTACAAGTATTCCACCAAAGAAACCATCGTCAAGGAATGCGACGAAGAAGCCAGCATCCCAGCAGACCTTGCTGTCAAGGTAAAAGCAGTAAATTTATCCATATCGAGCTGATGATCCTTATTGCATCTTGTTTTTTATCAACAGGCCCAAAACGCTTCTTGCGTTTCCTATTACACCTACACCGAACACGGTTTGCAGCCAGAGACACAGTAAGTTTAATGACGATGGGCATCAATTGGCCAACGAAAACTGACGGTCCTGTTGTAGATACATTTTTGATCTGGCCTTACCTGCTCATTTCACTCCTACGCCGCGAGACGGAGAAGTACAATGTTTCTACTTATGGCCCATGGATAAGGTTTGACTAGATCTGATTTCTTTCTCGGCATGAACTTACAAATTTTGATAGGTGAAAGAAACGATCCTGAATGGTGAGTGGAAGCCCAATTGCGCCCTTGTAGCCATCGACTTTATGATCCGCCACGGAATGATCAACGCCGATGAAGAACCCGACTACATCGAAATCAGCTATAGACTCCATCGTCGCTTACCTTTTCCTACCCCAAAGAAAGGAGCTCAATAAACAGCATTCCTCTCGTACCCTAATTTACTGAGTGGTATACTTTGGCATATCGACGCCAAATAAACATATTCTTTAGGACGCATATTGTAAAGTTAGATTGGAGCGATATAGTGCTACAGAACTTTCACAAGAGCTAGAAAGAGTGGAATAACGTCGTGAGTTTGGTCGAATTCTATTCAACGTGAAGTGAGCCTCTCTTATATGTCACTCGCGTTATTGTAGGTGGTCACGGCAAGAGTGAGTACTGCGTAAAAAAAAAGGGGAGGGGGGAATGAGGACGTTTACCTTTCTTTTATAATGATGAAATGAAATAGTATTTTTAGTCTATAGTATTAGGTGATGAAAATAGCGTAGTTTTAGATATGAAAAAGGTAGATAAAGTAGGATACAATGTTTTTTTTGGGGGGGGGGGAGAGGGGAGAGGGAAAAAATGGAAGAAGGACGAAAGGAGCAGCCAATCGAGTAACAAGAGCAACAGTTATACATGGACGGTGTCTCCATCCAATGCTTTGAGCTTGCCTTGATCTTCTTCGCCAAAGGTGCCTCCACTCGCCATTTTCTTGTCACTCGCCGGTCGATCCAGAGTATCGGCCCAAGACTTGATAGCATCCAACATTTCCATCATTTTTTCCTCGTTGCCACTAAATACATCTACAAAAAAATTTCCATCATTAACCGCTGAAACCGGGGTCACAACAATCACAAAGCAAGATGCTTGCCTTTAATGGTGTATCGGCCATCGACCGTGACGCCTTCTCTTCCCATAAACTTGAAAGCCGCCACGATATTATCCAACATTTGCATACTAACGGACGTGGTGTTGGTGGTGGGCGGTCGTCGGACTTGCTTGCCGCTGAGATTTTCCAACAGATCAATCAAGATATCACCTGTACGAAGTTCATTGAGATCCGTGATCTTGCTGCTGATATTTTGATTGATCCACGACAAGTAATCTTCCACGGTCCAGGAATGATGCCAATGTTGACTCAAGTGACTTTCTTCCGTCAACCGACGCAATCCCCCCGGTCTTTGCACGGCCAGAAGTTCATCGTGATGAGGATCAATCAAGTCTTCGTCTTCGTCAGGACTGAAATAATCATGTGACGTCTGTGACACCGATAACCGGTATTCTTGCGGTGCGGGTCTCGGTTCCTGTGGAGCGACATCATTGGGCTCCGGGGTCGCATACTGACTCGCCAGTGTAATTCCCGACTCGGGTGTTTGCGGCAACATGTGAAGTGAAGTGCGGCTGGTGTCATCTGATATGGAGGCTCGCATGATGGGTTGAGAAAGCTCTTCGCGCGACGCCGAGAACGGGCGAGTGTCAATAGGCGTGGGGCGATATGATGTATGATGTGCCTGGTTCTCTTTGTTAGAGCTGTTGCCGTTGCCGTTGCCGTCTTTGTTGTTGTTGTTATACAATAGTACAGAGGGTGGTCTTGGTTTCATGCGACGTGCGACTTCCAAAGGTACGGTGGGTATGGTGCTTGAAGACATCACTGGGGCTTCCATATCTCGGGAAATGGTAGCTTTCAACAAAGCCGAAATCCATGCTTTCAAACTAGCTTGATGATGCGTGTAAAAGTAAAACGTGCGTTCGCGTTCATGCTGGACCTTGAAACAATATTTTCCGGGATAAATCGACTCATCAGCCACAATCTTGTAGCCTCGAAGATTGATAATGCCCTTCATGCGCACATCCTTTATAGAAGAGTTAGAGAGTTAGTAAAATATGAGAACTACTAGGAGGGGGTATGACATTACCTTTGGACTCTTGAAATAGAATAGATTGGGTCCTTTGAGAACGAACCATCGCTTATTCCAAGTTTTGTACTTGTCACTCCGCTTATGCAACCAGCCTTCCATATCCGGGGTGACACTACCATCCGAAAATCCCATCCGTTGCGCAACGTAATCGGCGGAAGCTCGGGACGCCACAGGAAGAACCGTCTGCGGCCGTGAAGTTGACATGAGCAAGCTCTTTTTGAAGCTACTGTAACGACTGCAAGGAAGGATCGATCAGTCACTATGCCCTGAAAAACGCATGTATATCTGAGACGTATTCACTTACGATTTGGCAGCGGAAGGAATGGACGATGGAAGATTGGACTGTTCAAAGAACTAGACATACATCGCGTTAAAAAATAGCGAATTCGACTCATTTAACAGAGTGGTGCCTTACTGCACTGGGTAAACTAGCTGTTGCGGAGGGATTTCTATTGGATGTCGATTTTTGTATAAGCGTAGTGGTGGGACGGTCGGCGATAGGATGATGTACAGGTGGGCTGGATGTAAAGGATTCGACAGAATACGAGTAATTGGGACGACTGGGTTGATCGCTTTGAATGGAGCCTGGACTGGTGTAAGTCCGCGGGTAGACGGGCGAGGTCGGTCGGAATGTCTGTGTTGAATTGCGAATCACCGTGCTGTAATCCGAAACCAGATCATCGTCAGCATAAGGCATCAATTTTGGCGATGCAAGTCGGCTCGTCTGAAGCTTCTCATCATAAACTCGCCCCGAATCCACCTCACTGTGATCGTTCAAAGGTCGCTGCGCCTCCGAGCTCTACCAATTGTGCCAATTCGGATTTTAGTGGTCCTTTTTTTCTCTTTATGGTTGTAAAACGTAAAGGCTTACATTACTCAATGTGGGCGTAGTAGCCAAAAGTGGGTTGGACTTTGATGCGTGTTCTCTCGGACGATTCCCACTTGGATGATTTACGGTTTGATGGTTCACGTGGTTTCGAAGTGCACAAATGGCATTATGAATTTTGAATCGTTTACCAAAAGTTTTAATGTCAAGCTCTTTCAACGAATCGGCCGTCAACTCTAAAAGGATGTCGCCCGTAATTTCCTGAGCTAAAAAAAAAATATAAACAAAAACAAGGTTCATTTGATTTAGTCCAGCCAATGAATAATCCGCGAACGCCTGATTAATTTACCTTTAAAGTTGTCAGCGTGATCTGCGAACCCCATCGATGATAACCAAAAGGCGACTTGATCCATGGACCAATCCTCAGGCGCAGTGTGACTCAATGTGGGTAATGACAAGGTGATCTCAAGGGTTTGTTGCATAGTTTTGGAAGGGGCGGTGGAATGTGGCAAATGACGAGCGGAAGTTGAATGAGATAAGGACGACGAGTCGAGAGAAGAGAAAGAATTAACACGTGGTAATGGATCGCGCGAGACTTTGGTGGAGGAGGATGTCGAGGGGGTAGGAAGATGATGAGACGTAAAAGATGTGTGAACCTTATCAGCTGAACCCAACTGCATTCGGTAAATGTCGTGTTCCAATGAATCGATTTTGTTCTCTAGTGAAGGGGAGCTGTCGGGCGTTTTGGTGGTCGTATAGTTCATTGGAAATAATCCAATTTCTCCCCGTACGTTACGTCCCTATTAAAATTGGAAAAAAAAAGGGTGTTATTGAAACAGTCAATGATTCCAAAACTTTCAAGCAAACCAAGGTACCTGCCACCACCCATCATTGTAGCCATCGTCTTTTTCAAGGACAATGATGGGTTCTCCTACTGAAAAAGCGATTTCATCGTCGTTTTCTGCCTCGAATGCGTGTATGGCATATACGGTTTCTAGGCCAGCCATATGTGTTCTATAGATATATATAGATCGGTGGCAATGAACACTGACAATGGACAAGAAACCAAAAGAAAAAAAAATAAAGGTGAAATGAGAGGAGAGCAAAAATAAAAGTAAGGTATAAAATAATAAGAGTGTGGTTTCAGGTTTTCCCAAAACCTCAAGTTCTCAGTGAGACAATGTGACCGCCAATTGCCTTTTTTCTCATGGCGGACATTCTGGCGGTGATTGAATTTGTCGATCGTTCCACAGGACACAACAATAACCCATTAAACTTGTTGATGATGGTTGGGCCTTTGAATCGTCTCTTTACTTGGAAGGATAAAGATATCGCATGTCGGAATGGTTAAGTAAGCTGTGTGACATTTTTGATTCTCCATTACCGTAAATGGTGTTTTCGCGCGCATAGTCTGTTATGCAGGAGGTCAGAGCGCGCCAACTTTCGGCACCTCGAGACCGTCAGTGGCATGCGGGAAGATGCCACGCATTAGTATCGGAGTCCCGCTGGACCACTGAATGCCAAAGAATTATCTTTGCTCTACTGTATGGAAACAGAAGCTACTTATACAGGGATGATAACCGGACGATGCTTTTCAGAATTTGATGCAGTCTTTTTTTTTTGTTCTTGTTTAGACGACGATGATTGTATGCAGACTCAGGCTGCCGGTGTCCTTCCACGTTAGAATAACGACAATGAATTGTGCATACCCGCATCAACCAATTTTGCACAAAAAGGGATATTCTGCAGGTGCCACCACTACCACTGGTGCAACGTGCTTCATTGCAATAATCGACCAGAAAAAACTCGTTTACGCAAAATGCTATGGTGGACTCCATCTCTGGTTCTAATGTTACACAACGATCCATATACCATCTTTAGCTTTTCACCGTATTCTCTAATGTAATGACCCCATCTATCCAAGCAAATGGCTCGGGAACAGTATAGTGGTTCTCATTTTTTTTTATCTATCCGAAGCATATGTAAAATTCATCATGGTAAGTGTCATTTTGGCTTAAATTCATGATGTGTTCCAATTTCACTACTTTGTTTTTACACGGTAAGGCTACTTTTTTTTCCCTTCCCTTGGCCTAAACGTGTATGCGTGTATGCATCGGAACTGACAATATATGCCCGGTAAAAATAGGTCTTTTTTGCTATATCGTATAAGGCATTCGCATACATTTAAGATGGAGAAAAAAAGGTTGGATAAGAGCAAAGGATCGTCACGGTTGAATCATATAAGAATTTTTTCAATCACCGGTTCGACTTGAAATGGAGGACATGGAAATGTCGGCTGGGGTTATTTCGTACGACTATCCTTTTTTTTCCCCTTGGATTACTTCCATTATGCCAGAGGTAAGGGACATTACTGCTATTTTGGTTTCCCCACCTTTTTTTTTAAGTAGATTGCTCACTTATGGATGATTACATATGTTAGACTCCTCCATGTCAGAAATACGGCAAGTGTTCCTTTCACCAAGTGACATACGAATGACGTGGTTAACGTTTTTAGTGTTTTATTGGGTTGCTTTTCTATAGCTTGCGACATTCAAGATTGTCTCCAAAAGAACAATTACCAGGAATCGAAATGTGAAGCGCAATTGGTTGCCCTTCGAAAATGCTGTGAAGAACTACTGGATAACAATGGGTCAAGCGTGTGCTGTCCCGTCAAGAAATACGGGAAACAAGCGCGAGAAAAAAAGCAGTAGACCAGAGAAAAGAAGGAAAGCTTTTTAGTCCCAAGGAGAATTCCGAAATTACGTGATAGGATGATGAATCAAATTGTTTGCGATTGATTTGAAATTGAATTCAGAACTACAAAAATAAAAATATAGAAAAAAAAAGACTTAACCTGTTCCCCAGCAAATATAATATTTCTTTTATCTCGCTCTTTCTCTCCCATCTTTACCTCATCCTTTTTTTTTTTTCTTCGCTTCAACGAATCCATTTTTTTCATTGCGTGGTAGTCTTCAACTTTCACTTGCTTTTTAGTGTCGTGTCCTTTCCGTCATGTCCGGGGCTTCCGTGATACCGTCCAATTCACCGTTACCAACTGAACTTTTACTAGCCATCTTCCTTCACTTGGATGGCGCCACCCTCGCGACGTGCGCCACAGTATGCCGTCACTGGGCGCTGGTGGTTAATCACTACGATGATCCGATCTGGCGAACCATGGCCAGTCGTGATTTTCAAAAAGGCATTCGCCGGTTCTGGTCGCTTCAGTTTCCTGATCCCCGCATTCACAACGACATTGGATCGCCGGTTGCCAAAGAAAAACTGTGGCGGACATGGCAGGATATGTATCGAATCACCCGAAACTGGTACAACGGCAACTGCTTTGGTTATGCTCCTGCCATCGTGGAACGGTCTCAGTTACCTCCTCAGAGCTTTCCTTACGCCGTTGTCGGGTCGCTGCAGGAACAAACCTTTTTCACCGATCTCACCGTGGCAGCCAGTGGCCTTATTGTTCGCTCCAACCCTACCTATCGAAACACGCAGGGGCTTCACAGCCTTATCCTTCAGGATCCCCGCACATTGGAAGAAACCTATTTCGATCCTATCTTACGAGACGTCTCATCATCCAACGACATTCATGCCATCGTTTGTCAATACACCCATCCCACTTCCAAATGGCTCGTAACAGGCGGTCTAGATGGATCGGTCGCTCTGTGGAACATGAACACTAAAAAACTGGCAAGACTGTGGCATGGACATCGTGGCCGAGTCCTCTGTGTGAGCATGAATGACAAAGGTGAGTGACCCTATCATCTGGAAAATAGACCAGTGTCACTCACATTTAGGGAACATAGTGGTTGTCAGTGGCGGTTCTGACAGTATGCTTCGTGTGTGGGATATAGAAGACGAAGCGGATGCTCCTTTGCTGAAACCCACAGTGCATCCTGCGATCCACACATCACGGCGTGGCACCATTGACATTTCTTCCTATCTCTCTTCACGCAGCGAATGGTACCAGGGGGTTGGGGAAGTAGCCGCCAATGGACACTTGGTCGCTTGTGCTCCCGATGCATCGGGTCCCATTCTACTGTTTTCTCTGTTGACTGGATCCTTGGTGTACGAGCTGCGCACGATCGATGCGACCTTTGCCGCCGCTGCTGCCACAGCCACCGGGGCCGAATGGGATCCATCCATGGAAATTATCACCGCTTTCACCAAATTATGCATGACTCCTTTTTTCTTGCTCGCCAAAGGCAAGTATATACCCGGTCAGGAAGGTCCGCCTGTATATCCCGTTGCCGCGGATCGATCCTCCAAACCGTCATCCGGCTATGTCACCCCACTCAGTTCCCACGCTTCATCCTCTCCGTCGCCTCCTACCGCCCAAATGACTCCCTATCAGCTTTATCACTACTATCAATCGTTGAACGCAAGTAGCGGCTCCTCGACGCACGCTACCACCGCCCCGTTATCCTCGTCTTCCGCATTGAATTGCATTAATGTTTGGGATTTGCAAACCGGCAAAACTGCATTTCGGCTTGCTCCTGTATTTGACGAACCTCAAACGAACTATACCATCACTGACATTCGTGTGACGCCTGATTATTCAAAGGTACTGGCGTGCGTTGAGCTCCGGTCTTCGTGCGAAGAGAAGCTTTACTGCTGGGATTTTGGAGGCACATGCGTTCGTCAAGATCAACACACCACCGATGTGGCGGAAGCGTTTCGCGTCAAAGCCGTTCAAATTGATTGCTCTCGAAAATCGCATATCCATGGCGACGATGCTCAGACAAGAACGCAACGCAGAGCGGGACAAGTCATTGGCCAATCGTGGGCTTGTTTCATGTAATTCAAATTAAACTGTACATAGTGTTCAAATTTTTTTCTTTTTTTCGGTTGTATCATAGACAGTTGGTAGGCCACACCTTTCAAAACCGCATCATCTACAAAACCAAGCTACAATCGCATGGTTTGAATACAATTAGGAAGGGGACATCCTATACCACTTCATAAAAACAAAAAAGGAAAATTAAAGAAAAAGGGTATCATATTGATTGCTTGACAAAGAAAAAAAAAATTGGATGGAATAGAAAAACTATGGGATGGTATCGTGAGGTTGTCATTGTATAAGCGTAAAGAGTAAATGCAGGGAATCAATGAAAAAATGGTTCACAGGGTGTTTAAAGGATTCTAACGCCGTCTTTTTCGGGAGAGTGAACGCGCAAACTGTGGATAATCATGCTGACGCGGCCCTTTTTGGATTTGTTCGAGGGCTTTTTGCGCTGGGTCTTTTTGCCTGTATCGCTGGAATCGCTGGTTTCTGGTTCGTGATCCCAGTGATTAAAGGCGGTGAGCGTGGTCATGACGGAACGAATGGATTGCTGGCTTGATAGTCCTCGACGGACATGAGGAGCAAGATTCATGGTTGGGCGGGTCTCTTTTCCGGTCGCATTTCGGATCCAACGGTGTTGCAACGCTTCTTCTGCTGTAATGCGTTGACTCGGGTTGTAGGTCAACAATCGATCCACGAGATTCTTGGCCGCAGGAGAAATCTCGGACCAATAAGCATCATCAAACTCATAGCGCCCGGAAAGAATACACTCGAATAAAGTCGCCTGGTCTAAACCCCCCAACCCCCCAATGTTTCTTACAATAAGTAACCTGCCCTGTAGCCAACCATGTGAAAAAATAAAAAAATACCATACCTTCACCCCAAAAAGGTGTGTAACCACTTAGTAACGTGAACTAAAATCCGATGCATGAATAAGATTAACATATGAATGACCAAAAAAAAAGAAAAATGGAGTTGGAAAATTAGCTTACCATAATGACGCCAACGCTCCAGAGATCGACCGGTTTACCATAGCCTTTTTGCTTCAATACTTCGGGGGCCACATAACCTGGCGTACCACATGCTGTGGTCAGGATGTCATCATGATTTTTGAGGATTTTTGACAATCCAAAATCGGTAATCATCAAATTGGCATTGTCAGCCGGGGTATGGAATAATAACTAGTCGAAACAATGAGCTCGTCAAAGAAAGAGTTTGACCCGCTGGTCCTTGTATTCATGTTACTTTACGTTTTCAGGCTTCAAGTCTCGATGCACAATCTGCAGAGCGTCATGCTTTAGCTTTAGAAAAAAACAAGCAGGAGGTTGGAATAAAGCTGGAAGAACACTTACATCATGCTCGTGAAGGTAGGCTAATCCTTCCAGAATTTGTCGAACCAGTTGGGCTGCGTCTTTCTCTGTGTAGTTGCCTTTGTTCAATAACTGCTGAAATAATTCACCGCCACCAGCAAGGTCCGTAACGATGTAAACGGCGTCTTTCGATTCATACAATCCATGCATAGAAACGATGTTTGGGTGCCGCACTTGCTTTAGAATATCTGTCACAGATGGCCATTTTGAATGATGATTTTTTTTCTAGGAGATATTGAGTGAAATGATCTTACCCAGCTCGCTATCCAGCATATGCTCCTTTCCTATAGGGCAAGAAAGGGTTATATTTCCATGTGAGCGAACTGTTTCGTTGACCACGGCAACTCCGCCCGATGGGAACTGAACGCCAAATTTGAAACGGTACCTGCAATTGCTTTTTTAAGTATGATCTTGAGAGCAAATGGTTGACCCGATGTGCGATGTATGCATTCCTTTACAACTGCAAATGAGCCTACACCCAGGGTGCGCTTGGTGACCTTGTATTGTTGAAGCAAGTCGGAAGGATACTGCGGCGTCTCTGGTTTCTCTTGAGTTTTCTTGAATAAAGCCAAGATTCGCTTCACAAACGGCGAGGTCTTCATGGCAACAGGGTCAATCAGAGAAAATAAGGTGGTTCGGCTTTAGCAGAGGCAAAAAGGAAAAAGGCAAAAATAGTCAGGTGACAAGAAAATTGATCAAGCGTAAACAAGGATCAGAAATGAAAAAAGAAAGAGTTCCGTACCTTTGTTTGCAGAGTGAGGAGTTCTGACGTTGAAAAGGCAAGGCGGCCAAAAAATCCCCCATTTTTTTTTTTTGTTTTTTGTTTTTTTTGTAATCAAAAATGGCTGGCATCGCAACTGCAGACTATGTCACACTTCGCTTCAGGATCAATGCAAAAATTTATGAGAAGGCAACAGGATAAAGAAGACTCCGAACGAAACTCCTGACAGCAGAAATGTTAACTTTCGCTGCTCATTCGACATTAGCCTTTCAACCGTTTTCTGACATGGAGTAGTTTTGTGATGACAGCAATCATATGATGACGTTTGCAATCAAACTCTTTTCGTTGAGCCTTCAAAACGTTGGGCTGTAGCTATTTTTGATGGTTTGAAAGATCAGACAATAATTTTTGGTGCTCGATATCAATAGAGATGCACGTTTTTTGTATCATTTTCCAGAGTCGCCACAGACTTCCGCCGAAATTATGACTTTTTTCAATGAAGCTCACTTTTCTGCTTCAATACAACAATCGATGAACGGTAAAATCGAAAACAGGATCGCTCCACTTGTATACAGCCCATTGGATCAAGATAGATTGCTTCATCTTATGCCTCCCTTTTTTGGTCAATTTACTTTTTTTGATCCAACCAATAATTGAGAAGGGAATTGAATGCTGCTTTTGATGTGTAATGGGAATCATTTGGTTTTTGATTTCTCGAGCTCCCTCCCCTTGATGACGAGTCCGATTTCAATGCGCGGTTTCTCATTTGTCATTGGTGTGGGTTAGGCGGAGTTTTTGTCGCACTATTGTGACTGTTCGCTTATTTCTCGGCAAAGGAAGCCAAATAGCCGACATTTCCCAACCAACGTCTTTTTGCTGTTCACAACTCTTAAAAAACAGTTAAATCAGACTCTCTCCCTCCTCATGTCGTTTGCCAGACTTGCATTGAAACAGTTGACCCGAGCCAGCGCTTCTGGTTTGCGCTGCGCCTCCGCACAACAAGTGCAGCGCAGCAGCTCCCGTATGTTAAAGAACGGTCTTCACAGTGCATCGCTTCCTTTTGCTCGCCGATCCATGGTGGCCAAGCAGACCATTGCTTTGTTAAGCAGACAACAAGGTAAGTACAGGGGAAAAAATTATATCCTATGGATGCTTTGCAGGTATTCACCGATTTTCCCTGTTGTTTAGTGCGCACCATGTTTATCCAGACGGAGCAAACCCCGAACGATGATTCCCTCAAGTTTATCCCCGGAGTGCCTGTGATGGAAACCGGCACGGCCGAATTCTTGGATGTGCGTGAATCGATGAAATCGCCCTTGGCCAAGCAATTATTCCAGATCGACGGTGTCGCGGGTGTGTTTTTCGGCCCTGATTTTGTCACCATCTCAAAGAGCTCCAGCAGTGAATGGCAATTGATGAAGCCGGATATCTATGCTGCGATTATGGATCATTTCTCGTCTGGCCAGCCCATTGTATACAACGAAGCGGATTTGGCAGCAAGCGACACGACCATTTTACCGGACGATTCCGAAGAAGTGCAGATGATCAAAGAACTGCTCGATACCCGTATCCGTCCTGCAATCCAGGAAGATGGCGGCGATATTGAATTTTGCGGTTTTGAGGATGGTATTGTCAAGCTCAAATTGAAGGGAAGTTGCCGTGGATGCGACAGTTCGGTGATCACCTTGAAGAATGGTATCGAGAACATGTTGATGCACTATATCCCCGAGGTCCAAAGCGTGGAACAAGTCATTGATGAGAACGAGGCCGTGGCCCTCCAGGAATTTGATAAACTTGAGAAAAAGCTCGGTGAAAAACAAGCATAAATAACGAAATTCCCCCCAAAAAAACGATAAAAGTAGACCAAAAACATGAACAGCCCCCGCCCATTATCCGTCATATAATAAACTATAGATCCCTTAATACAATGGCTGCAGAAATAGTAATTGACAATGATTGCGCAATAGCTTTTTTCGATATGTTGTTCTTGATTTTTTGTTTTCATCATGATGTTCAATATCTTTAATCCTTTTCAAGATTGATGGCATTACCGAATTTCGCATAAAGGTTGCTTTTGAGTTCATCCATTTTACCATGAACGGTATCAATTTCGGTGCGCAAGTTTTCCAAGTCTTGTTCCAGCTTTTCTGAGTCCTTGGCCACCCGTTCCAGTGCTTCCGAGACAGGAATGTGAACAAACGCATCGCCAATCTTGTGTCGAATGGGTTCATCTTCATCTGCCAATTCAAGCTCCATTGACACGTCGTCCAGGTACTCTTTTTCTTGCTGTTTTCGATATGGAACTTTTAGCTATGACTGTCGTCTCAACCAACGCTTTTTCTTTACCTTTAGTTTCTCGTATTGCTCTTCGAGATCTTCGATTCTGGCATTGTATTTACTGAACTCGTTGATTTGCTTCTGATCTTCCCAAGACACTTGGACATCGGCGTCTCCTTCTTCGGTTTTATCAAGCTACATACAACTGAGAGTTTAAGTCACCGGTTTTACTGGTGCATGTCGTCTTCAATAGCGTACCATACGAATATTAGACATGGTGTATTTTTTGTTGGTATATGTTACGGAAGGAAAACGTTGGACCAGTGTTGGGTGCCCACCGCGCCGCATTCGCTGCAAACGCACTTTCCCAAATTTCCTCCAGCAACGGACACATTTGGAAGTCCGTCATCAGCCACCCCTTGGCCCAACTGTATACTCTTATTTTTTTTTAATTTTCTCCATATGTTGAAAACTGTTGCTAACCACGTAATATCATCATTTGTTCGTTGCGTAAAACGCTTATATTATCTGTGCGCGCTCAAGCTATGATGCTTTAGGCAAAAAAAGGCTTGAGAATATCTGAAAGAAAGCAGTACAAAAGGCTGTCGTTGCTCGCTGTCCACGAGAGACCACACTATTCGAGCATGGCTTTGAAAAGCGTCGATGGCTATCCCCCATAAGTATTCCTTAACATCAGGCATATGGCGACTGACAATGGTAATATTGGCTATTTCAAAAATCTTGAAAAATAAGTGGATGCTTTATTAGTTCTTGTAGTGATGTAGGATCCCATGGTTTACGTCTGATAACCTACTGTATTCAAATCAAATGGAATGATATGGCAAGTACTGTAATAACGATTTAGCTATAGGTACTCGGTTCTTCAGAAAGATATACCTTTTTGTAAACATTTTATCCGGTTGTTCATTTATTTATCATGCTATCTATCCTATGATGGGGACTATTCCAAAGAAGAGCCCCAAGAAAAAAAAATGTTTGTCGAAGAAAGACGCACCGATGACAATCAACTGTAGCAATATATCATAGTGATCTCTTTGAAAAAAAAAAAGGTACTATGTGCTGCTACTAATGCGTGGAATAACGACATTCAGATATACTTGAGCTTTGGTTCCAGTATATGACGTTTATCATTTGGTTTCTCTTTTGCAGCCAATGTCTGTACTGTATTCATATGTTATTTATGAAGAAGTGTGTTGAGAAATGAATGGAGAGTCGTAAACAACTCTGGGGGGGGGACGATATTCTACTGGAGTCGTTCTTTTTGTGCTTCAATTCAATCCACTGTGCTAATAAGTTGAAACCCTTTACACTTGGAGCAAGTGGTGTGTATGATCATAGATTTTAGCAAATACATAAGGTGAGACAACGAATGGCAAAAAGGCGAAAAGGAGAATAGCAAGTCTACCGCCTCTGGAGGTAGTATTTCAATGGCAGGGGTATTCCCATAAACGGGTCCAGAAACTCACACGTCTTGGATTTCCAAGGAGTTCCCGATCCTCCCAATTTGCTGGCGGGATTGTTTCAATGGCTACTGTATCACCTTTCGGATAATGACTGATTTTGCCATTAAAGTTTAGGCATCTTTGATCCTATCTCTATAGGAACGATTTTTTGGAACTCAGAACCGTAACTAGGCCCATCCTACAACCGACGGTGATGGCCATGTATTTCACGTAATAGACATCAATATGATCTTTGTAACAAGAAGTTATGACAAAAGTATGGCAGCTAATCTGCATGATGGCTGCGGTATGGTATCATACAAAAAAAGTTCCGACAAGTGGCATTCCTGGTATTACATCGCCACAGATTCATGTGAAATGATAATAAACCCATAAAATAGAAAAAAAAATAAAGACGATGGATGATGCATAACGTAATGATTGCATTCATATTCTGTTGCATTGTTCACTTTGTTTGTTTGTGACAAAAAACATAACAAGTAAAAACAAAAAACGAATGTACCGAGGTGTGTTCCTGAACTCGAATATTTCGGGAGTTCATGGTCGCTTTGCTTGCTTGAAAATCGACCACTTCCGGTATTCAAGCACCGTCCAAAGATAGACTACTTTTTCCTCGTCCTTCGTATACATCTTAGATGACTGGCTTTCAAAGAAACCCAAACTTCCGGAAGTCGCTGTATCAAAGTTAGTTGACTTGTTTTTTTTTCAACGTCAGTGTCTCTTGGGGCAAACAGCTGGTCATGACAGATGCACAACGTCTCAGATTCTGTAGAGCAGAAATTAGGATGTCTTTTGGGTACATGATGAACGTCACTTTACAACAATGTTTGTTGATATGGTCCCAAAAACAACAATATCGTGTGATGATGGACAAATCGAAAACGGTAAATTTTATGATGGTAAATGGGTCCTGCCGATGGCAGTAAACTCCACGAGTTTTAGAGTCATTGTTGCTAAACTATTGTCGGAGGCGATAACTGTTTGATAAGACCATTCCACAGACCAAGACGATATGGTTCTGTTGGGTTGGATGGACGGTATTTCAAACACAAATAGGCTATCAGTCAATCCAATGTCGGATATGCCCAATATCAAGGAAAATATTCGCTTTTTTGACACACTTTTATGACGGTTCCTGTTACCGCTGGTACAGTTGATGGCTATCAGTCAGGAACGATGAAGTTTTGGGGGGAGGAACACGACACATGGCTTAATGCAGAATTCCTGTTTTTAGAGACAGAATCTGACTTTGTTGAGTTGGGGGAGGGGGGACAAGGCGGACAGCATCAATGAAAGTTGCAGGGGAAAAAATGCAACACACGGGACTCGTGGATTTGAGTCTCAGCAGAGGGCTCAATTGAGGTCAGACAACTTAGACTTCTTTTGGTGATGGCGAGAAAGCCATACTTCTGTTTGATAGGTTCAGCCTTGACGACGTGGGATGACCCTACCTAAAAAAATTCGGACCTGAAAAAGTTAAATCACTACAGAAACTCGTCCAGTTTGAACCAACGATATTTCTACACACCTCGTCACCAGGACATCTTGACTCGGCTGTACCTCAAAAATAACAGGCGCTTGTACTTCCTCATGAAGTACAATAGCGTCAGTGGTCTTAGGGAACGGGGCATGCCTCTTATTCTGAAATAATAAAACACCCAGAGATTCTGCGTTGTGCAAGCGTCGCACAACCCAACTTCCATTTTCAAAAAGGGAACAGATTCAGATCTCCTAAAGATGTAGGCTAGACTTCTTTTATTGTCAAGACCATGGTTAAGATTTGACGTTGAGATTCGATGGGACAAATTAGCAACAAAAGGAAAATGCTTTCTTCTTCTTTCCTTTACCGTAAATTTTCCCATTTTTTCAGCCTGTCCAATCGGCTTGAGATCGGCCCTTCTTGATAAAGTAATGATCACTGAACATGCCTAATATCTTATTGTATCAATAAACGTCTCATATGTTTGTGCCACTTTAACGAAAAAGGAGACTAATGTGCTGACATTTGAATGGACTTTTTGACTTCCAAAACTACTGCATTAAGAAAATATCCAATCAGATACCCCCAGAAAAAGAAGATTGGCAAGACGATAGAAACAAAAAGGGTTTTGTAAATTCGTTTTTTTTTTTTTTTTTTTTTTTTTTACGAAAATGATGATATTTATTAATGGGGCAATCCCGAAGAATACAGCCCCGAAGAATACAGTAGAAAAGGGAAAGGGAAAAAGTGAAGATCATAGATGAGAGGAGAAAAATGGTCTATACACTTGGGCGAGCCATGTTGGATATGATGCAAAATGCATATTTTAAATACTATATTACAAATTTTGTTCCTTTTTTTTGGTTTTTTTTCGTTGTTTCGTCTAGGCGTTTAGGCCTTGCGGAGGGGATTCCAGCCCACTCGCATGACACGGACAACCCACACAAGAAGACCACCAAAGACCATGATAACACCGCCAAAAATGATGGCATAGTTGTAAGTCTTTTCGGCGCCATTGTTGATGAGAGCGGAACAGATGGGTGATCCGAACAGACCACCAAAGAACCAAGCAAAGAACAAAAGACCATTGGCAGATTCGATATCTTCCAAACCCACGACCTGTGCCAGCACAGCCGGGGAAATGGACAGATAACCTCCTCCAAAGAGACCGAACAATGCAGCAAAGGCCCAAACAGCGGCAACGTTGCTGGCGGTCAGCCACAGTGTCAAACACATCAATCCGGTCATGGTAGTGCAAATAAATTGCATGTTCACACGACCAATGTAATCACCAACAAAACCACTGCCAATTTTGCCAACAATCATGACACCCGATAAGATAGCAGGCATATTGCTGCTAACCCAGGATCCTGCATGCAAAACGTCGGTAGCAAAAGCTGTGAAGGGCGAAAAAATTCATTTAGTTCATGATTTTTCTGTAATGCATGACACACGGGCATTTCGGGTCTTGAGAATGGAGCAGATGATACTTACAAGGCAGAAAACCGGAAGGAACGTTGAAGGCAAAATTGCCGAGCAATTGAACAGTGAAAAGAAGGACGAATTGAATGTTCTTGAAAGGTCTCAAATTGAAAACGTTGGTGGATTGAACGGAAGGCTTATTGAGAGGTCGGACAAGAAAAGCAGCGACAGCCACTAAAACAAAGGAGATCAAGCCGACAATACGAAGGGCCCATTGATAGCCGAGATTCTCAATAGCAGCATTAGCGACATTGGAAAACACGAGACCACCAAAGCCTGATCCAGAGATAGCAATTCCTACAGCCAAACCTCGACGCTTGGAGAACCATTGTTGAGGTGCACTGATACAAGGGAACCATACCAGACTGGCTCCAATGCCAGAAAGAACACCTTGAGTCAAATAAAGTTGCCAAATCTACAACAGAAAACCAATCACCGTTGAATATCAAACTCTCTAATCTCCGGCATCAACCGAGACGTTCCCGGGTGGCTTACCTCATTGGCGAAACTAGCGAGGATCAGTGACAGGGAGCAGCAAAAAACGGCAGCGACCAACATCCATTTGTATCCGATTCGCGCAGCGAAGAAGGAGAAGAAGGGACCGACGATATTGGCCAACGCCAACCAGAGCGAACCAATCCATGACAGTTCATTCATCTGGTCGATATATATATGGTTGTTATAGTATTCGAGGTAGATACCCCAAGTGTACTGGTATCCTTGACTACAGAAGAAAAAGAATGTCAATAAGGGAAAAAAACTTTTTTTTTCCACAAAGGACCTCCAAGAGGTCAATAGACGTATGATATCTTACGTGCAGAATAGACCCTAGAGAAAATGAAGAGAGAGGATGAGATATTTGTGAACGGTCGAAAACCAACATAAAGAGGGTGCGTGTGTGTGTGTGGGGGGGAAGGGGGTGCGGGGGAGAAAGAAAAAAAGAATGATTGACGTAAGTGATGAGCGAAAATGGAGAGAGACTTACACAAAAGCAACCCAACAACACGAGCCACGCCTTTCCGCCATCCGGTGGCGCTAAGAGGACAGGTTCGTTTGTCTCTGATTCAATCGAGATACGGCTTTCCTCTTTGGAGGGCTGTTGAACGACTTTTTCGCTGAATTCTTGCTTTTCTTTTTTGTAGCCGATTTCCAGATCAGAGGCAGACATACTTGGTAAACGAGTTGGTAAACAAAAGGAAAAAAAAGGGTAAAGCGGGGAATATGAATAGAAGAACAAGAGAAAGGATGAAGTGAGGAAAACAACACAAGCTGCAAGTGGCAAAACCGAATTATATAAGAAAAATCAGAGTTAAAGTTTGAATCCGCGGTCCCCCAACTAAAAATGACATCCGAAAAGAAAAAAAATGGTGGGACACAAAGCCAAACTCCTCCCGTGAACCGTCTGGAGCGTCCTTTGAACCCGATTAAAGAACCGCTTAGCCAACTGTAACGAGAGTGGTTCTGTGTAACATTCTTCTACGGGGTGGAAAATCATCCTATCCAAATTAGGCAATTTTGGTTACACGTATGATGAGGGGATGGTTACTTGCAGATGCCCGTCAACGTCCCTCAAACTGGGTCATCACGTCAGCGATTCAACCTGTCCTAAAAAGACGTCTTTGAAACCCACCTCTGGACAAAATATCTGTCTCAAAGTTCAAGAAGTAGAGACGATCTGAGAAATCATGAAATGATCGCATCAAAACACATCAACCAACAAGCATAAATTGGATCTTTTCACGATTTGTTGGATTACGATTGGTGCTGGAGAAACAATCAAGTCAAAAAAAAAGAGCAATTAAACGGGAACTGTACTTCGTCATACTTCTTTTTTGGTGCTGTTTACGTTATGAGCGTTGTTTAAGGCACTATTGCCTTAAAGGAGTTTTCGTCAAAAGAATGAGAAAAAAATCTCAGCTGGGAGGGTATTTCGGTCTCAGTCCGAAGGCCGCAACAGCATCATTTGTTCGATACCGGACCTCTATCGGTCACGCACGTGACTCAACGTCATTCATTCCACTTTGGGCAATGTGCTTTTGTTGGTTGGCTGGAAGTGAGGAGCGCTTCCATTTTGTGTTTGTGGTCTTTTTTCTTAATATTTATACGGAAAAACGACGTCGTCATGGACAAGACACAAGAGATAATATGCCGATTTCTTATAACGGAGTACTTGATTCACAATTGTTACAAAGAGACGGCGCACACATTTCTTGAGCAATCGCGAAAACTGGATGCTTGCCACGATTTACCAACTCAACTGCTGGACAGGAATGGCAACGTCTGCGGAGCATCAAATGGTAAAAAGTGATAAGAAAAGATGCTCCTCTTATTGGTGGAAGCATCATCCAACTGAGACATGCATTTATTCACCCCAATGAGTTGACAGGCCACCGCCAAGATCCAATAACAAGAAGCGATAGAGGTAAAGCAAAGCTTTTGGATTTTTCTTTATTTTCTTCGGGACATTCTCACCAACTAACGGATCACGATATTATCCGATAGCCTCTTCGAGTTACGAACACTGTATTGAATGGCCTCTTATCGATGCACGGAAAGGTGATACCAAAAGTCCACGTTTTTTTTTCTCTTGTGCTGTTATTCAACTGATTGCCAAAATGACGTAGCTTTGTACCATGCCATTGTCGATGGGGATATCGCTCAAGCCTTTGACATCATTGATAAACATTTCCCTGCCCTTTTGGAACAGCCTATTGACGATCGATCAGCCACATCAACATCATCATCCCCGCCACAATACCAATACATCGTGTTCCGACTGCGGTGTCAACAGTTTGTGGAAATTATACGATCTTCCAACGTAGTGGAAGCGATCAAATTCGCACACACGCATCTTCGATCTATGCATAAGATGTTTCAAGATATGACCAATGAAGTCACGTCGCTCATCGCCTATCCTGATCCACACAATTCCCATACCCGCCACTTATTACAGGAGGAACGTCGAGTCGAACTGGCAGAAGATGTAAATAGAATAGTGCTAGGTAACCGTCACCGTCTACACCTACTCAAAACGCCAAGAACCTTACTCTGTAAAAGGAACAACCATACTCATCCCGCTCTCATGTGTCTTTAGAATTGTCCAATTTACCCGTCGTCACCTCCCTTCAAAAGATCAACCAACAACTCGCCACTGTGCAATCCGAACTGGAACAATTGAAAAAGACCGAAAATCAAGGCAGTGATAAATCCATACAAGATAGAGTCTCCATGTAACATAGAAATAAGGTCGCAGTTTCCTCGATTGATTCTTTGATGATTGTTTTTCTTTTTTTTACTTGAAAACAACATGATATGCACCTTTTATTAAGCATACAAAAATGGCGTTTAGTTCTTGATCTCATCCACAACGAGAGCTACAACAAATACGAAAGAAAAAGGAAAATTAATATCAAGTACTCACGAATGAAGCACCATCGGGATTTATCGAATGGGAACTTACCAGGGGGGAGAGATTGTCTAAGCTTGTTAGCCTTCTGCTTGTCCTTGACAACAAGGGTGTACAAGTAGCGAGAGCATCTGACCTTGAACTTGACGGAATCCGAGTTCTTCTTGATGCGAGCAGCTAAATTGAGACAAGAGAAATGCAAAGTGTCAATCAAAACAAAAATCACGGGTATTCGCGAAACAGTTGTCACGGAAAACGAAAAAAAGAAATGCTTACAGGTGGCGTCCTTTCTGCGGGCAATTTCGAGGAATTGCTTGATGTCCTGAATCTGCTTAGGCTATCGTCGTAGAAATAGAATATAATAAAAAAAGGAAACATCGTCAGTAGCTGAATTCTTCCACGGTCGTTATGTATTTTTCACGTTGACGTTGTCGTTGTAGCAATTTTGAATGATCAACCATCCAACATTATATCGGGTCGTCCTCTATCCATTTCATTCATCCATCCATCCATCCATCTATTCATCCGTCTTTTTTCGTCGATCTCTTTTTCTCCAATGGAACGTTTCCCCCCAATGCTAACATCAACGCTTCGTTAAGTAAAGTAAGGAAATATGATAATTACCATGTCGAAAGACGATCAAAGGATATGGAGGAAGAGGGAGATCTTTGGTCCTTGCGGGCGGATACCCACCTTTTTTCCTGGACATTTAAAAGTCCGCCCTTCTTCCCAATGAAATGTCGAAAAATGGGTAAATCCATCCTTTCTTTATTTTATTTTGTTGAATTCGTCTATCAATGCGTAGATTACTCTTTGTCATCGATCAGCTTATTTTCAGCGTAAAGGCGCAATAAAGCTATTTTTGATTGTTGTTTGACTTTTTTGTGCTATTTTTTTGTCCTCGCTGATGACGTGCTCCAAAGTTTGGTACGCATAAATTTGCATTATTACATTTTAAGAAAAAAAAGTTGTACCCGAAGGTTCACATTCTAAGAGATCATACTTTGTGGGTGTTGTTGTGTGTGTATGTGTGTAATTAGTCTAGTGGAATGTAGGATGATATAAAATAGCGGGAAAAAAGTATATATGTACAAATGCATTGTTTTTAATCTGTGACAGGTGGGCCGACTTTCTTGGGCAGCAACGGCATGCCGAGGCGTTTTCGAACGGCCGGGATTCTAAAGGTCACATTCTGGATCACACTGTACCAGCTGGAGGTGACCCAGTAGAGTCCAAGACTCGTCGGTGCTTGAGCGGCAATAGGGAAGAAGGCCACGGATAAACATCGGAACACATTGGTCCATATCTTTTGCGATCTTGTTCGCTGCCCTCGTGTGAACCAAGCATTCAACTGTCCCAGACCACGATCAGTTAATTGAAAAAAAAAAAAAACCGGCACAGTTGTTATTAAATTTGAAAAAGGGCTTACCTCTACATTGAGAAGATTGCCTGCGGCGATGAGAAAAGGGAGGATGGCGGTGGAGTCTGTGGCGGTGAGATCGGTGAACCACAGCAGACCACCTTGAGTGAATCCTTCCGTGGGCAGTTCTTGCAATTGACCAAACCACGGAAGAGGATAAGCGGTCATATGGCGAAGCGTGAGCGACATGGATATGAACAAGGGAATTTGCACCCAAGGAAGCACCAGCAGTTTCCAGCGAGCACATCCATGCTGTGCATAGATTTCATTGACTTTTTTGCGATACTGTAACCGGGTTCACGCGATTTATTTCGTTTGTTCAGGAACGGTTATGTCAATTTTTATATACATACCTGTTTCTGTAGTTCGGATTGATATTGTTTGTAGTCGTAGGTACCAAACTTTGATTCCTTGGCAACGTGTACTTTTAGAGTTTCTCCCCAGCTCGTGATCATGGGAGCCAGTTCGATCATTTTGCCCAAACTACGTTGTTGATAAACGGCAATGGGCAGCGTCAATGTCGATCGCAGTGCAAAGGTAGTCGCAACAATCGTGGCCCACCATGGCAACCCGCTGTTGTGAATGCCATTGAGAATGGCTTCATTCGCTGAAAGGACAGCAGGCAACGAGGTGTCGGTCGTATTCGGATCCACCCCAGTCAGAGGCATGGCCAGCCATACCGGCGGTTTGATTGCTGTTGTAGTAGGTAACGATCCACTCGTCTGAATCACACACGGTGAGCGATGTTTGGGCGCCGTTAATGGTCGCCACCGCCGAACCGTCGAGCGTAGCATGAGATGAAGAAAAACAAAAAGTATACACACCAAAAATTAAGGTGGGGCAGTTGAGTTGTGACTTTTTGAACACCCTTGAAATGCCCTTTTTCGACTTTCTGCATTGGCGGAGATCCACTGAGGCGATGGCCCGCAAATCTCGTTCAGTTTAATTGTGTCCGCTCCTCCAGTGCTCCACTGATGAAGATTTACACCAAGACAGGCGACAAAGGTAGATGAAAGAAAAAAAAAGACAAAGAGAAATGATCTCTTAATCAGCCTACATGACGCATCCACAAAGGCACCTCCAGCCTCTACAATGGAGAGCGACGTGACAAGGACGACATGATCTTTGAAGCCCTAGGAACCACCGATGAACTGTCTTCTCATCTCGGGTAAACCAAGCAACAATATTGCAACATATTAAATAGGATACACATATCAACAGAGCAACGTTTTAGATTGGCTCTGGAGTTCCTGGAAGAATTGGAACAGCATGATCTTTACGAAAAGATACAAAAAGTAAGGGACATTCATGATGCGGTTTCAGTATATTCGCAACTCATCGCTGTTACTTGTCCCTATCAGATCCAGTGTTTGCTTCAGGATGTCGGATCCAATATCGCCACGCCTCGAGACCGTTCCAACGAGGTTCGTTTAGGTAAGAACGACACACACACACGCACCTCGTATGTTATTTGACTGTTATTTACAGAGCGAACGAAATTCAGTCATGTGCATGCCACGGCTTTAGAACAATGGATCGACGAAATGGATGCCGAGCTGCCTAAACTGACTCAATTTATCTTGCCTGTAAGTTTTTTGGTGGGATACCAACAATATTGGTTCTGGACTCATTGTGTGGCATCTAGTCCGGTGGCAGGGCCAGTGCGAGTCTACACGTTGCACGCTCCGTGTGTCGTCGAGCAGAACGACGAGTCCAACCTTTGATTCGCGAAGGTCTCTGTGACCCCGAGGTTGGCATCTTCTTAAATCGGTATGTACTCTCTGATCACCCCCCTTATTTGGAAAATCAGCTCACTGTTGGTATAGTTTGAGCGATTTCTTGTTCAACTGCGCACGCTTGGCGGCCAAAAGACAAGGCAAATCCGAGATTATCTACAAGAAACCATAGAAACATTCTTAATTTGCAATCCTTTCCATTTTCGCTCGTTATCATTGGCAAGCTGCAAGATGGTGATCAACCCATATAACACAAGCAAAACAGAACAATAGAATCACCTGTAACCTCACCATTTGTTTTACGTGTCTCCTTCTTTGCTCCATCTCTTTTGTCCGAAAACGAAAATTATACAATGTACGCATTTGTGATCTGATAGATAAAAATAAAAAGAAGATGGGTGCCACAATGAAATGATGGTCGCGCAGAGAGGGAAATATGATACATATTCAATGGATTTGTTGACAAATTATCATCAAGCAAGAACGTTTAATTCATTTGTGTTGACGATTTACTATGATTGCTGCCAATGGGATTTCTTTTTTGTGCAAGTACGCTAAATCTAAAATGAAGGGATCACAGTGTGAGCATCCTCATAAATTCTTCACAGCTGATTTTCCCGTCGCCATCGATATCAGCTTCTGCCATCATTTGGTCTATTTCCTTTGGCAAAACATAGTCTCCTAAAAGGTGATACAAACGAATTAGGCTGAGCCTTACGAGCATGAGGATGATCTGTACCCGTTTCGTACGGTTACTTTGTTTTTTTATTTTTCTCACGTTACCTAGAATTGTCGTCATGGCCTGGTGCAGTTCATCAGCAGAAATGTAACCGTCGCCATCCTTATCAAACAGTTCAAACGCCTCTAAACTGACGGTCTTGTCCAACAGTGGCTGTCTTTTTTTTTTTCACAAAAGAATAACCAGGATGAATTCATGCGCCTCATAGCAACAGATCAATCCATCTGCATCCATCATCATGGCAATGCAAAATACCTGGTCAACAGGGCTAAAAATTCACACAGATCGATTCTGTTATCGCCATCCGCGTCGGCTTCAGCGATCATATCAGAGAGCTCTTCCGGTGTCGGATGACGACCAATTGAATTCATGACCAGCGCAAGCTCGTTCACATCGATGTAACCATTGCCGTCTTTATCGAATAACTGAAAGGACTCTTGCGCCTCGTCCATTTTCATAGTAGTAGAATGTGACTCGAGTTATTGTTATTATCTTGACAATCAAAAAGATCAGTCAACTTGCAAAAGGCGGAAAGAAAAAGGAAAAAGAATCCGCTTTTCTTTGTCCAGTCCTTTTTAAACAAGTAGTCAAGGGGATATATTGGTTTTGATAAACACAGTTCATCTGCATGAGAACTTTTTTAGTAAATTTTTTTCTTTGCAAGTTACAAAAAACGAAACAATTTTTTCTTTTTGAGGAGGGATGTAAAAAAGCAAGGCGGGTGTGTATTTTTGTTTTTGTGTTTCCTGTGTGAGTGGAAACTGGTGCACGTTCTATTCAAGGGTGATATTTGCGTTCTTCATCATCGGAGCTGTACAGGGATGAATTGGAAGACGAGGAAAGGACGGTGGATTGGGGGAACAGTCCTGCATATGGGTCGAGGGCATCATTGCCAAGAAAAAAGTTGCCGGGATGAACAAAACAGCCGGGACAAGCACATGCGCTTCCACAGTAACACGTAACAAACCGAGTCAAGGTTGTGGTTGTGGTTGTAGAAATCGACGTCATTTGTTGCTTGTTCATGTCGCCCAATTTAGGAAGCGGCGTAATGGTAATCACCACCGTTTCACCTTGACTGTCAGGGCCAGCAGGACAGCAGCTGTTGTGAGGATTCAGACTACCACAGAACCCTACCTGCGTCTTTTGTGGCGATGAAAAAGGCAGGGATGCCTGCTGTTGCTGCTGCTGCTGCTGTTGTTGTTGTTGCGACGAAGGTGGTGTTTGCGAATGATGTTGCTGCGGATGCGTAAAGTCAGCTGCATCGACAGGGGCGGGTTTGGAAGCGACAGTGTTTACATGTGTGCAAGTGGCAGAAGATTTATCGTTCAAAACATTGCGGAGTAATCTTGAAAGCTCATTCTCATCTTCCGGCAACAGCGAGCTCGGCGGTGATTGTTGAGATTCGACGAACCGAATCGTCGGATCATGCGCCAGCGTCCCATCATCCTCTGTCAACGCACTTAAATCATAGTCCAACGACTGTAAATCAATCAGCATATCATTGTTCACTTCCGTCGCCAGGGTCATGGGCACCTGACAGGTGAGGGTGGATGAACTGAAAGACGTGACTTGGGCAGGCGATAAAGACCGATGGCCTTTGGTCAACGATAAACGGCGTCGTGGGCTTCGGGGACGGCCTTCCAAGAATCGTGTGGACGTCGGTTTCTGGAAGACGTATCCCATGTTCACATTTTCATCGTTGATACGTTTCGGGGTACACGTTGGATTGATTAAAGCCCAAGAGTAAAAGTCGCTGGATGACACGGAAGGAATGGGCGACGTGCGATCAGGCGAGACAGATGAAGTCGACGGCGATGAGGATGTCTGAATACAGGGAACCTCTTCTTTGGTTCGAAGTCTCAGACTGGCTTTTTCTGGACACGTACATCGTTCTAATGTCGCTGCTGGACACCGATGGCATGACGACGACGCTTCAGCTGGAATTTCAATGCCACTTGGATTCAGTCCAACCTCACTCATTAACAAACTCCGAAAGGAGAATCAAAAGAAAAATACCGACGACTCACCTTTCTTTTGTTGTTCACTGCACACGCATTTGATGTGGATCTGCTTGGTTTTTCTCAGGTCTCTGCAATAAGAGCACTGGGTCACAGGACGTCCTTTTCTACGAATTTCGAACAAGGGCCGATCGCCATGGTTGCACTGCGAAGAACGATGACCCTAAAAAAAAAGATAATCTATGCATTCAATTCACACTGTTCCAATCGTATCGATTTGGGAGGGGGATGGGTTGCTATTTGGAGTACATACCTTGATACAGGTGGCGCAAGCATACTTGACACCGTTGATAAACATGGCTTAAGATTTTTCGATGGGCTGATAAGTTGACTGGAGACGATAAGGGATAGGTATGTATAATATGAATGTATATATGGGATAGAAAAAAAAGGGATGCTCTTTTTTGGGGTTTTTGAGGCGATGTAAAGAATCGAGAGAAAAGAAAAGGGACTGACAGAAAGCTCAAAAATGAGCTAAGCGTCGTCCAAACAATAATACTTGCCAACAAACTGCTGAAAGTCTCTAGAAGAACGGTTGCTACTATAACAGACGATACAATGACAGACAGAATCCATAAGACAGAAAGAAACTACAGTACAGAATTTGAGTTTTTCTTTTAAAAAAAATATTACGACAAAAAAAGAAGAAGAAAAAGAAAAGAAATAGTGAAAAAAATACAAATATCAAGAAAAGAAAGAAAAAAAAACCCCCAAGCACGCCCAAATGAGAAAAAAAAAAAGAGAAAAAAAGCGAAAAGGAAAATAAAAAGGTAAGCTTGGTCAACAAAAAGGCAGGAAAAAAAAGGAAGAATGAAAGAGAGAAGGGGAAGAGGCAAGCTGGTTAAATTGATCTCCTTTTTTCTCTTTTGGATCCAAGGAAAAAAGAGAGAGAGAGAAGAGAGCAACCCAAATAACCAGTGTGATGAAAACAGTCCGAGTCGCAGTCCTCGTTCCTCATGCTCAGGGGTGCAAAAAAAAATAAAAGAAAGGGCCGACGCTGGGATACTATGTCCTAAAGTCGTGTCATCTGTCTACAACAACCTTCGCCGTTCTCCTTGTGTCTATCTACATGCTTGTGTTTTTTTTTTCCTGATGCGCTGAAAATGCTATTGAAGGAAAGCCAAGCGGAAGGACAAAAAAAAATTACACGTCCCCACCCCCCATCATTCATCTCCGCCAAAAGTTTGAAAATTGGAATACTTCCAAAAAAGGGTCATTTCAACCCAACCAGTCTCAAAATTTCAAGAATCTCAAATTCTCAAAATAGGCAAATTGTTGGCAACTCTTTTTCTCTTTGCGTAACTTTATAGATTCACAAAAGATAAGCAGCAGTGGTGGAATGAAGCGCCACATAGAATACTCAACCAATGGCACCCACCCAGTGATTGATCCAAGTGACACAATTTTTATGAAATCTTCTCATCGAAACGTGGACTAAGTCATAAAAAAGAGTGACTTGAAAACATTTGTATACAGTAAAGGGCAAATTTATGAAGTCTATCCCAACGAAATACCTTAATGGAATCATTTAACACCGGTGTGAATGAAAATCATCATAAAATCACTTTTTGAATCCAGCCAATGACAAGGCCAAGAAATAATACGGGCTGCCCAATTTTCAACTGGTACTCCAACCTGCACACCATTTGCTATCCACCTGTATTTCCTCATTATCGACAAAAATCCTCTTGTTGCTACATCATCAGAGTTTTTTGTCATGGTATCATCGCGTCGGAATCAGTCATTACACGTTATATGTGTGTAGCCGATTATAAGTTATCTTCTTGTCATTTGATTTTTGGCTGGTTCCTTTTTTTTTATGGGAGTAACAAATCCTCCTCGAACAATCCCAAGCAGTGCTCAACATGTTTTACAGACTAGTAATTACGGTGGACCTTTCTAACTGATCAAAAGATATCGTTGACGAGAGGACAGGCCTCCTTCAACGGTTAGCCATCGTAGCATGCAAAAAAATCTGTATACTTTGAAACTCATCTGCCATTTCATCCAATGGAACAGCGTCCATTCCACCATCAGCCATGAAATTTTGCCTTCCATTATCAAGGCCAAGTGGCCAGCAAACATTTATTGCGCATGAACCCAAACCGTTCCTTTCTACAGCTGGTCGCATCCTTTTTTTCATTTTTCTCCAAGTTTGCTACAGGATTGAATGTAACAACACTGTGTAGTCACGGTGCCATTTCAATGCAAATCGTCGTTTGCCAGAGAAAAAATAGAAGGACTTGCAAGAAGAATGAAAAACGCTAACGGCGACCGAACGGGGAAAATGATTGTATATATGTGGTTGGTAATTGGTAATAGGTGGATCGGTGTCAAGTCTCCCTTATAAGACGCTCTATCGCCGTAGCAGGCTTTGACTTCGGATGGGGTGTGGCGACGCTTATCAGCAGTCGCGGGGTTGGGATAGAGGAACAACTTTGGTAACTTGCCCAGACAACTTGTTGGTATGAGGGTAACCGGGGCTGGTGGTATCTGATGATTTTATTAAGAAAGCCTTTTCGCCAAAAATCGAGCCAAAAAACCGACCAATAAAAAAAACAGTAGTTGTGATGCTTCATTCATGCAAAAATCAGCTTGTTAGCCAGACATTGTTGTGTTGAAAAAAACACCATTTTAATCCATTGATTTTTAACGGACAAGCCGTTTTTAATTCTGGCGTCTCTGTTGCGTATGATATACCCAAGACCGCTCACTCAAACTGGCTCCTGCAAAAAACAAGGGCCATGAGATGATGACTTTAATTGAGCCAATAAAAAATTTCATGGACCGGAGAAAAAACGATATCCTTGCGAAATAAAGGGAAGGCTTTATTTTAATTTGATAAACAGCGCTCTTGTTCATGAATCAAAAAACGAGATATGTTTTCTGCTTTCATTCTGACCGATAAGGTCAGAAGGGTGTGGTTGGATGATGCGTTATAAAAAGAAGTGGTGGCAGTGATGGCAAATACGATGATGGCCGGCAGAGAATTTCAAGTCCATCCATTGGCTACGAGAGTACGGGTTTTAAATTGACGTGACGAGTTCAGTTTTTTTTTTTTTTTCCTCTCTCTCTTTGCGCCGTTTCTCACCCCTTCCCTTGCCGTCGACTTCTTCAAGCCCCGATTTGCATAAAAATATGCTTATCACATTGAATAACCTTCAAGCCGTACTGGCCGATTTGACAGCTGTGGTCCAGTTTTCCTTGGCCCTCCTCAGTCTGTCCGTTATTCTTCTCCCTGTGCTTCGAAGGACAGCCCTTTATTATAACCTTATTTACTGTCTCAATATCTTTTGCGAGGCCTCCGGCATCTATCGTCTTTTAGCCATCTTTATACCCGACGATTATAGCCGATTGGCACAATTGGAAGGTACTGTCAATTGACGACCAACACTGTATATTATACTGTGTTGACTGATCCATTGTCATAGGCACTCTGATCACCGATGTATGCTTGTCCGCCCAATTCGAAGACAAGGTCGCTTTTGTATCGGGTCTAGTCAATACCGGCAATTCCTGCTTTCTCAATTCAGTGTTGCAGGTAAGCGACTCGCAGTTGGCCCAGCATGAAGTCAAAATGATTGACTTGCTGTTTTGTCAAGGCATTATCGTCTTTGCCTAGTTTGCATGTGTATTTGGAAAATGTGAGCCGGTGTCCTGGCCGCTTGCCAGTGACCCGATCCTTGCTCAAAACGATGCGCATGCTGTCGAGACCGCTTCGTTGGCGATCTTCTTTTCGACCTCGAGAAATGGTGGCGTCCATTGCGTCCAATCGTCGTTTTGTAAATCGTGAACAACAGGATGCTCACGAAGTGTTTCAGACCATTTCCAGCGCCGTGGAAATGGAAGGGCAAATGGTCGTCAAGCACGGTTTATCCACCAAGGACGGATTAAAGGGCTTGTTGGGCGAATCACGCAAATTTTGGCAAGCTCCCATGGAACGAAAAAAGTCGGCGGGGTCCACAGTGAGTCCTTTCCTCGGCCTTTTGGCAAGTCGACTGTCCTGCATGCGGTGCGGTTACACGGTGGGTCATCCTCTTTAGTTAGCATGTGCGCATGACGGTTGTTAGATTTGGATTGCGAATTGGCGACTAATGAAAGGACGGATCATCACTAGGAAGCCATCCGGCACTTTTCGTTCAACAACATTCAATTGAATCTTCCGAATAAGGTAAACCCGAAAAAAGAAAATTGGGGTCGACGATCATATACCTGACCGACCGGGAACCTTTTTTTTTTCCCGCTCCAGTATACAACGACGTTGGAGGAATGTCTAGCGCAGTTCACGTCCATGGAATATTTAAAGGATGCATCCTGTCGGAGATGTTCGCTGATGGCGACGGTGCGAAAATTGAGTACGGAAATGGAGATGGCCAAGGTGCAAGCCCACCGCGCCAATACCACGACCGAAAAAAAACGCAGTATATTAACGGCCATTGTGCAAATGGATAAAATGAAGCGGCATCTTGAGCAACGGCTTGCGGAAGGACGTATTGAGGAAGAAGGCACGGACTCGATGACCGTTCCTATCCAGCGAGTGGTGGGGCAGTCCACCAAACAATCCATGCTGGCCAAACCACCCAAAATCTTGTGTCTGCATATTACCCGGTCCGCATTTCACACGTCGGGCGCTATTTATAAAAATCCATGCCAAATTCGATTTTCGGAATACCTCGACGTTTCCCCTTACTGTACCAACGGCACCCTCAGTACGCGAGCAAATTCACCCATTTCCAGCGTCGTGAGAACGGGCGCCCCCTTGCCTGCCACTTACAAGCTGATGAGCGTCGTGGTGCATTACGGGAGCCACAGTTACGGCCATTACGTTGCCTACAAACGACGTGTGACCACGGCTCACTGCACTTGTCGCCAATGTCGCGGAGACCAAAGTGCATGGGAATCGCAGGATAAATGGTACCGTATCTCGGATTCCAAAGTAGATCCATGTACTATTGGCGATGTACTTCAAGCCAACCCATACATGCTGTTGTACGAAGCCATGGATGAAGTTCATCACGATTACATCCACACACCCCAAGTTCCTTTAGCTTCCATCAAAGAATCACCGGAACAAGCGCAGCGACCGTTCCCCTTACCGAGCTCGATCTATGACCAGTATGCATTAGCCACGGAAGCGTCTTTGGAAGCGTTGAAAGTCGCGACTTCCTTGTTCCAGAGCGATCACGCAAAATCAGACGGTGATGATGGCATGGAAACCGACGACGACGACGATGACGGTGATGCGGAACTGCAGGCAGCCTATGCATCCTTTCATCCCAATCATCCTTCTGCCTCTTCAAGACCTCGGTCCCGCTCCCCTTCTCAATCTCAATCTCAATCTCAATCTCAATCTCAATCTCGGTCGCGGTCCCGAGAACCCAAGATCCTGCCCACAAATTGGACAGGCAATCGTCGATCAAGCCAACCACTAGCTATTTATTAATCCTTCATTTCCATCTGTTTTTTTCTTGATATATTCATACGATTTCCTATTTGGGTTTTGAGGCGTTGTCCCGGTGCCACGCTTATCAATTGGATGGTCATAAAAATGGGTAGACATATACAAAGAGTTTATATCTATTGCCACTGTTGTGACAAAAAAAGTAGTAATCAGAAGGATTGATCCAAATCTTGTTGATGTTGCAAAACCAGTTTGGGCAACGGAGTGAGAAAATGGGTGCATTTTCCGCCGGAACTCAGGGTGCGAATCTGGCTGTGTCAGCAAAAATGCCAATGGACCAGTCATGCCAAAGTGGAGTATAAATTCCAACATGACAGAAACAGCATGATCGATTTGTTTTAAGACTTTCCCCTGGTCCCATTTTTTTTTTCTGCATTATGCCTGTTGAAGGATTCAAAGTAGACGTTTCCAAAGCAGTTGGACACGAATTTTCCCCGGAAAAGGTGGGTTATTTTCATTCTCTCGGTTGATCTCAACATCACTCTCTGACAAGGTCACACTTATTGTATTGAACAGGTCAGCTGCAATCGCCGCGATTTCTTGCTTTATGCTTTGGGCGTGGGCGTCAAGGAAGACGAGCTCAAGTATCTTTATGAACTCGGTAGGCATTCTCGTAACTTTTACAGTCCATGATCGCCATTCATTCTTATATTGACGGGTCACAGATGCCAACTTTGGTCCTCTGCCAACCTACCCCTTGGTGCTGACACTCAAGGGTGACAGTGGTGATGTCAACTTATTCAAAGAACGAGTACAATCAGGTGGCGCTTTGCCGGGCATGCCGCGTTACGATCCCAACAAAATCGTGCACGGCGAACAGTCACTTGAGGTCATTAATCCTTTCCCTCTCCAAGGTGGTGACTTCACGGCCAAAAAGACTTGCACTGGTGTCTATGACAAAGGTTCGTATCAGAAAACCTCGAGCATAAATCGATTTGATTGATTGTTAATTCTGTGGCGAACTCCAGGTTCAGGCATGGTGATTGAAACGACGATTGACTTGTACGGCGTTCAAGATAACGTGCATTACACTCGCATGGTTTCGAAATCATTTGTCCGTGGTTACGGCGGTTGGAACGTAAGTCAAAACTTATAGAGAAAAAAATGCCATGGAGATATTGATTAGCTAACGTGGGAAAAAAAAATCTCTTGGATGATGACAGGGACCCAAAGGACCGAAAGCGGTGACCTATGCACCTCCTAAGCGTAACCCTGATGCCGTCGAAACGTTTGCCACTGCGGTGAACCAGGCACTTTTATACCGGTTATCGGGAGATTTCAACCCCTTGCATGCGGATGTGGAGCTGGCTCCCAAGGTTGGATTCCCCAAGCCGATTCTGCACGGTCTCTGCACTTATGGTGCATGCGGCCACGCTATTCTTAAGGCGCTGGCCAACAATGACCCCAATCGATTCAAGTCCATCGAAGCCCGCTTCGCCTCTCCCGTGTTCCCCGGCGAAACCGTGGAAATCTACATGTGGAAGGTCGACAGTCAAGATCCAAAAACCGACGGCGTCATCTTTGCTGCCAAAGTCAAAGAACGCGATGTCGTTGTTATCAACAACGGTTACTGTCAACTCTACAAGGAGCCTCGTGCCTCCAAATTGTGATTTTTGACTAATCTAATAAACTTGATTTTACAAAAACGTGAAAATTAAGTGGTGGTCATTCATAAGCAACGTTGTGGTCGGCCGTTGGGGCCTACAAGCATATGGTATTTTGCATCCTGACAGCCTCATGGTGTAGGCTCGCTGGATGGCTTACGTGTGTAGTCATTGATAAAGCGTATAGCGCAAGTATGTGGTGACCCAGCGCTTATTTTATGCCCGCCATTCATACGAATTGGATGCTTGCATCGTCATGCGATTATCAAAAATAAACTGCAGCCCACTTGGAAGCTGATGTAGTAAACTCGTTGTGCCTTTTTTTCCTGCGACGTCCACTTTTGCAGGTGAGGTTCAGGTTGCTGGGTTGGGAATTCTCGACTGTTATTCATACTTTCAGTCAACAACAAGGGTGGAAATGATAGGAAATGTACTTGTTTTGTGTATATGGACTTGAAAGCTAGTAAATAATGGGAGATCGTTTTCCTGGATAAAGGATATGGTTCCTGTATTTACAGTATCGTTTTTTTTCCTGGTGATACAAGCCTTGCATGAAGCTGACATTGGAATTTACCGTGCCTAAAAACTTTTTTATTTTGGAGAGATTGTATTTTCCCAAAGCAGCAAGGCCGTGATATAATCAACATTTTAGGTATTATCGTTCAGAATGGTTTACGAACCCTTTTTCACGGGGTAATCAAGAGTTTATTGAATAGGATGAATTGGGCCATTTCCATTTTTGTCAACTTGGTGATCAGTTTCCCACGGTGAAATGACAGGATACCGTTGTTGTGAGAGGCCGATTTCTATCCTTGATCCTGCTCTCAATTTGGACAAGCTAGTAATGTACCTTTTGCACTTGTAACAAGTTTGAGCTTAGAATGAATAGTAGCGTACGATTGTACGATTGTATCGTGACATGATTGGATCACTACGGAGCCAAAGCTTTTTGGTTTGAGAGCGGAGTTTGCATTTGTGGACCCTTCCACCACGCAGTCTTTTTTTTTTTTTCATGCCTTTGCTCTGTTGCCTTGAATAGCGCTCCATTGCAATTGAAGACCGAGAATAAATACTGACGAGTTAAGTAATTACAGTGTACATTGATGAATCTCAAAAAGTTGTTACCAAGTAATTGCAAGATGGACAAAAAAAAAGAAAAAGTACGAGTGGATAACTTCTTCGGAAAAACGTATATACGTCAATGTTAGTGATTCGAAAAAAAATTTTGTTCTTTTTCATTGTTGGTTGAGACTTTAGCCTGGGCCTGAAATCTCGTTTCTTCGGCTTTCTTTTTGTTTCTCTCCGCTCTCAGTCTTTTAACGTGCTGGTCAGCTCGTTGTTCTGCATTCCGCTTTTTACACCTTTTCTCTCCTTTTTTTTTCTTCAAAAGAAACATGTACAACTTGGCCAAGGTGACTCGCTCTCGCCTCTTCCCCGCCATTACCCGTAACGTAAGTACCTTGCACTACACTGTTTCTTCCGACACCATGTCGAATAGGTCCCTGTCCTTGTTGTGCCCGATCGTTAACCTTGTGTGTTCTTTCTTTTCTTTAGCATGGCGCCATGGCAACTATGGCTCGTTCTTACAGTGCCGGTGTCAATGGTCCTGTCATTGGTATTGACTTGGGTACTACCAACTCTTGTGTTTCCGTCATGGAAGGCAAGAATCCTCGAGTGATTGAAAACGCTGAAGGTGCTCGTACCACTCCCTCCGTTGTGGCTTTCGGTAAAGACGGTGAATTGCTCGTCGGTCAAGCTGCGAAGCGTCAGGTAAATTGTCAAGACAACGATCCATAAGTGATGAAGTGTGGCCCGGGCGGGGGTTGGGTGTTTCAACCCTGCTGTGCCACCCTTCACTTGGGAGGGGGGTCCAAGTCTCTTTCTCATAACCAAAAGGCATGAAATTAATGTTGCATGAAATAGGCTGTAGTCAACTCTCAAAATACCATTTACGCTACCAAGCGTCTGATTGGTCGTCAGTTCAAGGATTCGGCGGTTCAGGCGGATTTGAAGGCCGTGTCGTACAAGATTGTCCCTCACAGCAACGGTGATGCTTGGGTGGAAGCTCAGGGAAAGAAGTATTCGCCTTCGCAGATCGGTGCTTTTGTCTTGGGTAAGATGAAGGAAACCGCCGAGGGTTTCCTGGGTAAGAAGGTCAAGCAAGCCGTCATTACGGTTCCCGCTTACTTCAACGATGCTCAGCGTCAAGCTACCAAGGACGCTGGTAAGATTGCCGGTCTCGAAGTGTTGCGTGTCATCAACGAACCTACCGCGGCTGCTCTCGCTTACGGTCTCGACAAGTCCGGTGACAAGACCATCGCTGTTTACGATTTGGGTGGTGGTACCTTTGATATCTCTGTGCTCGAAATCCAAAACGGTGTGTTTGAAGTCAAGTCCACCAACGGTGATACCGCCCTCGGTGGTGAAGATTTCGATTCCCATTTGGTCCGTTACGTGATTGAAGACTTCAAGAAGGAATCCGGTTTGGACTTGTCCACCGACCGCATGGCCATTCAGCGTATCCGTGAAGCCTGTGAAAAAGCCAAGATCGAATTGTCTTCCACCGTCCAGACAGATATCAACTTGCCCTACATCACTGCCGACGCTTCGGGTCCCAAGCATATCAATAGCAAGCTTACACGTGCCAAGTTTGAAACAATTGTTGGCGACCTCGTTCAACGCACCGTTCCTCCTTGCGAAAAGGCCATGAAGGATGCCGGTATCTCCAACAAGGACGTTGGTGATGTGATTCTTGTCGGTGGTATGTCCCGTATGCCCAAGGTCATTGAGACTGTGAAGAATGTGTTTGGCAAGGAACCCAGCAAATCGGTCAACCCCGACGAAGCTGTGGCCATGGGTGCTGCCATCCAGGGTGGTGTGTTGGCCGGTTCCGTCACTGACATCTTGTTGCTCGATGTCACTCCTTTGTCTCTCGGTATTGAAACCCTCGGTGGCGTGTTCACTCGTTTGATCAACCGTAACACCACCATTCCCACCAAGAAGGCTCAAGTGTTCTCAACTGCTGCCGACGGTCAGACTCAGGTCCAAGTGCGTGTGTTCCAGGGTGAACGTGAATTGTGCCGTGATAACAAGCTGTTGGGCGATTTCAACTTGACGGGTATTCCTCCTGCTCCCAAGGGTGTTCCTCAGATTCAGGTTGAATTCGATATTGATGCTGATGGTATCGTCAATGTCAGTGCCAAGGACAAGGCCACCAACCGTGATCAATCCATGACCATTGCTGCCTCTTCCGGTTTGAGCAACGATGAAATCGAGAACATGATTCAGCAAGCTGAAGCCAACGCGGAAGCCGATCGTGCTCGTCGTGATACTATTGAAATGGCCAACCGCGCCGACTCTGTTATGAGCGAAACCGAGAAGGCTATGGAAGATTTCAAGGAACAGTTGGACAAGGCTGAAGCTGAAAAGCTCAAGGAAAAGATCACTGCTCTCCGTGGTGAAGCCATGAAGGCTCAATCCGGTGATGCTTCCATCAACCCTGAAGAATTGAAGAGCAAGATTGACGATCTTCAACAGAGCAGCTTGAAACTCTTTGAAATGGTCTACAAGAACCGTGCTCAACAATCCGAAGGTGGCAACCCTGACTCGAACACTAACAACCAACAGTAAAACTCAAAAAAGTAGCTTCGTCATCGTCTGTGATGGACGAATTGTAGATTTCATTAAATAGACGATTTTACTATTTTCCAAAATACATGTACATCTGGTTTTTTTTTATATCAAAAGAAGGTCTTAGGCATTGTTTGTTGCAGAGAGGGATTCATTGTGCTCATAGAGAAATGAGAGAGATTGCCCGATCAAGTCCATTGTTCTTCGACTGGTGCCGCCGCACCTTTCTTAAGCGAATATCATTGAGGCACAATGATTTGTGGGGGAAACGATGGTTTTTTTTATAATTATCATAAGTATATGCAAAAATCGCAAACTAGCAAAAAGGGACAAAGTAAAAAGTAATGGGATCAAAGAAGAGAGGAGAGAAAAATGTCTACACGAAGCGCGTACAGACAAGTAATAAGAAGATTAGCAATACTATTTTCTGGATCAAGGATTGGTTACATCTATTTCCCAGTTTTTATGCGACAATGGCAGCTGGAGTGGGAGTCGGTGCTGTGGATTGTTGTTGTTGTTGTTGTTCGGTGGAGGTCGACAAAGGCGAAGGTGCCTCTTCAGCGGTTGTCTCTTGCGGTGATGGTTCAGGATGTGCCGCGGTGACGTTCTCTTCCTGTGTGGGAGAATCGGCCGATACCACGGTATTGGTAGTGGGAGTCGGTTTTTTCTTGCTCTTGGTGAACAATTCCGTCAGTCGTCCCAAAGGTGAAGATGGACGTGCAGGTTTCTTCTCATCCGTCACCGTCGTAGCCACTTCTTTGGTAGCTGTTTCTAAGAATAACCATGATAAAAAAGAAGCATCAGTAAAAAAGAACACTCCTTTCTTTTTCGGGGTTTTCCCTCCTGAATCTCATGCTTTCTCTCTCTTTTTCTTTGTGTGCGTGTGTGTTTCGAATAAAGGGGAGGGGGGACTGTTCTCTTCTGCCTCCGATCCAAAAAGGGACCCTTTTTTTTGTGGGGGGAGGAAGAGGGAGAAATAAGAGGGACAATTATCATGAAACGCAAAAGAAAGTATGTGTACGTCTGCCTCCAATGGCAGCAGCACTTTTTGTTTTGCATAAAAGACTCTGTAAAATAGATGGAATATGTACCTTCTTGTTCGGGAACTGGAGTTTCGTTGGGTGATTCCTCCGGCTGAGGTTCTTCTTTGGGTTCGGTGGGTTTTTCCACGGGCTCCTTCTTCTTGTTACCACCACCAAAGAACTTGCTGATGAGCGAAGCACGCTTGGCGGCCGGTTGATCCGAGGCTGGTGAGGACGCTTCTTCTTGTGAAGAGGCTTGGTTGGCTTCTACAGGTGTTTCGGTGTTTGTTGCTACGGTCTCGTCATGAGCAGTGGTGTGTGCGGCGACGGCTTCTGTTGCCGCCACGGTAGCAGGGTCGGTGTTGGCCTGCTTATCTTCGGAACCGGCCGTTTCCGTGGCAGCGGTACCTTCATTCTCGGCCCCTTGAACAACAGCTGACGTTTCAATGGGCGATAAATGCTCGATTTTGGGTAATTCCACAGGTTCAGCGGGTGCTTCACTCACAGGAGCAGCCACTGGTTCTTCAGTCTTGGTGCTGCTGCCCTGTAATGATGTTCAGAAACTGGGTTTATTTTTCAATCCAACGTCAATAGTTTGTTGGGTGAGCCTTGTCTTACCTTGACTCGGTTGAATAAGCTACCAAAGCCTTTTGATTTTCTCTTGTCGGCTGTCTTTGTTGTGGTGGATTCGACGGGTGAGGAAGGGGAAGAAGAAGCTGGCTCTTGTTCTTCATTGTTAGTGGGTGCGACTTCCTTTTTCGCGGGTTTCACAAAGGGGTTGAAGATTCGCTTCTTGGGAGAAGCAGGTTTAGCCGTGTCAGCTGCCGCCGTCGCTGTATCGTTTTGATTCTCGGTTTCTTGATGTTCATCATCGGTGGGTAAACCTGCGGTGGAAACAGGGTTGGCATCGGCGGTAGCATCATTGGTGGGTGCATCCTTCTGAGGAGCCGTCGCCGATTTATCAGTGTCTTGAACCGTAGAATCAATGGCTGGTGTTGATGCAGACACAGTATCTTCCAGTTTAGCGGGAACGGCAATGGCAGGAGTGGTATCTTGCTGAGGTGTTTCAGATGTTGTCATGATTGTTTTTAATGGAATCCAATAGAACAAGGAAAGAAAAAGATCAAAAACTTTGAAAAAGAGATGCAAGACAAGCCAACCATTTATATGGTAAAAGATGGGCAACCCGTTTTTCAGCACGAGCACTTTGGTCGGGAGGGGGGTCGGCTCTTTTCAGGGGGGGCTTTTTTGAAGGGAAAAAAAAAGACCAGAGAAGACAGGAGCGGGCATGATTTTAGGTTCTTCGCTTCGTGCGATTAGCAATGTCTGTTCATTCCAGATATGGGCTGTACCTCTAATGTATCTAATGCCATCGTCTACATCGAGCCAAAAAGATTGACCAAAAAAAGACAATGCTACGACCTGTTTTTTTTTTCTTGATCGGTTGCCACATCTTGTAAGGAGAAGGGCAAATAAAAATGCCAATCTTTTTTCATGTAATAAGCAAAGCGTTTCACACAATAACAAATTCATGAACATAGGAGAAATCTGGATGAAGAAGAAAAACAAGAAAAAGTAGGAGCGTCATGATTCGTAGTTTGACCTTTTCAGGATTCTCAGATGCTTCATTTTTTTTTTCTTTTTTTTTCGCTTAAACTATACAGTGCATGATGTCTTTCTCTTATTTTTTTTCTACCGATATTATCAATGACTCCTCCTAGATGGGATTTTTTTTCTCTCTTTTTGTTTGTTTCCGAGGAGCCATTCATGCACGTTAAAGTTTGCAATTACATCCTGCTTTTCCTAATCCAGAAGCATCAAGGCACGCAAAATAAAACCCCTCTCCTCCTTGAGATACGACCGTGGTTTGATTGGAGTAACCCAGATTTACGAATTTGAATTTTCTCTTCTTCCAATGATTGGGCATGGAAAAGCCCTAAAAAGCGGTATCGGATCACGATGACTAAAGAGGCATGGTTTTCCGTGGAAAAAAAGAAGTAAAAACGTCTTATTTCGTCGGGTTCAAATGCGCGAGGAAATCGATGATGACATTCAATTGCATCGTTGCATCTCGGATAACACTCTCCCTTAAACGGTGCTCGCATCTTCCCTGGGACGGTTTTTTTTTCCTGACCTCCCATGGATTCCCATGCGCCGAAGATCCACCATGCAACCTAGAACGGATAAACCTATCTTCAAGACACGAGTAGAATTATTCTAGCTACCCAGCGTGCTTTTGTACTATTGGAAATTTTCAGATTCCTTTTTGCCACGTTTTGTAGCAAACATCTTGGATCGAAGGGACTTTCTTGTTCATTTGAAACAAAAATAAGAAATAAAGTGAATGTAGGGATAAGTATAGGATGTAAGAATGAATGAAACGATGCACTTCCCATCTGCTTATCGCTTGAATCAAACACAAAATTATATGATATAAGGAGAAGTCTGACGCTGGAAAAGATGGATAAGGATTTGTCAATATAAAAAAAAAAAAACCATGCTTCGTTCCTGCAGCCGATAAACCAACGTTCTGTGCATTTGTTTATTTACCAATAGAGCCACGCTTTTGTTTATTTATGAAAAAAAAGAGAAAAACAGCCTTTATAAGAAGATGGATGAGCTAATCCGTGCTTGTTTTTTTTATTCGCGCCTGCAAATGCATGAAACCAAAAATAGCGTTGCTGCGTTTCGAGTCGAGGTCGTCGTCATAGAAAATACAGCGAGCGTCTGATTGTTTTTCAAAGCCAGCACAGGATGCGACGGAAATCAAGACCTGAATACTTCTCATTCACTATCGCAACCATGTCACAACCATCGCTGGCTCAACTGTTAAAGACTCACAACCAGCACCAAGCAGACAAAAAGCGACACAATGGTAACGTAGAATATACGTTGTTACCCGTTCCTTTTTCATCTTGCTGATCAATTTGTCGTCGTCGTACAGACCAACTGAAGAAAGACGCAGCACATGCCGTTCACGAACTGACCGATGCTGTATCACTGCATGTCAATGAAGGGTAAAAACTAACTCGAAATTGCGGCACGGAATTAACATGCAATATGAACTGATTTTATATCGGTTGACAGCATCTCGGATATCTTTTTACGTCAGAAAGAGTTGGAGCAAGAGTCAAGAAAGCTCGCCAATCAAACAGCCAAGTATACCAAACAAACGAATCAGTGGCTTTCACTCGTGGACAACTTTAACAGCGCCCTTAAAGTAATGTTCATGTCTACATGTTTCTAATGAAACTGGAATGGAGCTTATGCAAGTAGAACGGCGTTACTGACGTTCCTCTTATAGGAAATAGGCGATGTTCGGAATTGGGCGCAGATCATGGAAAACGATATGCGAGCTATCATGACGACTTTGGAGTTTGTTCATCAAGGTTGGTTAAGCATTGTTTTTTCACAATTGTAATAATGATACTAAATAATATAATAAAACATAGGCACCATTGATGGAAAACCCGTCGAACGAGGGAATGATCATCATACGAACGACACGGCTGAAAACGCGTAACCTATTCTATCTATATCCCCCGCCGCCCCATCTGTAAATATGCCTTTCAGTAAAATCATAAACCTTATCTTTCCACAAAAAATACGCGTTGCAGCTTGTTATTCTTAGCCGGTGTCTCTGCTGAGGCGACCCATCCAGCGAAAAGCAGACAATGTTGGTACAGTCCCTTCACGTGCAATCAGGCTATATACCATTGGCGGATCGATTTGTATAAGTTGACGAGATAGAGTTTATCCTGGAAAATCACCCGGATTTTTCTGTGATAGAATATGCGATTTACTAGGCATTGGATGGAGTAACAATGGATTAATGTATCATCAACTGCTTAAGGCCACGAAAAAGAGAAAAAAAAAAAGGTTCTATCGTTGATAAATATAATAACTGTCTGAAAAATACAATCTATTCAAGGTCTATACAAGTTTCATAACCATAATAAATCTTACAGAAAAAAAAAGGAAAAGAAAAAGGTGGAAGAAGGAGCTACCTCGGAAAATATATCGGTGACTGCAAACGAACAAGGATGAAGAAAGGGTAGAAAGAATGCAAGAAACAAGTAAGAGCACAAACGGAGAAGAAGGAAAATCATGATTACAGAAGGAGGTGCACAGGGTATAGGACAAGGAAAAAGGATCATTGAATTGTGCACTGACAATATACAGGACCTGCCCCATCATGCGTTGTCCATTGAGGTGGCGGTGGCGTTGACGAAGTGTCATGAATCAAGTAAGGCGTGGAAGAAGAGGATTGGTGTGGCCGCAGCGAATGACCACCATAGTTGGTCATGGCCACAGCAGGCATGCTTGGGAATTGTTGATTGAATACACTCTCACTGCGAGTGGTATCCACGGATAATCGTAGTTGTAGATTATCAACGCCGGCGTGAGAATGATAATCTACGCTTTGACTGCTCGTACTGGTCCGTTTGTCGTCCGCTGAAGAAATCAATGATAAAAAAAAAGAAGAAACTTAGCGCATGTCTCGATTGCTTTGGGGTTGATTTTGTTCTCCAACTTACTGCGACTGGTAGAAGATTCGATATCGCCCAAGGTGGATACGCCGGAATCATGAGTGGCATTTTTACGGTTTTCCCATCGTTTTAGGTTACTTTGCATGTACTCGAGAGCGAAATTCATATCGGTCATCACTTCGCGCACACTTTCAAAGAGGTTGACGGCAACAAAGCGAATAAAGCCGATCTGAGAATCTTCCAGAACGACCTTGTTCCGGTCATTGGTCGGTAACACGGGCAAACCCAGTTCGCGTTCAAGATCGCCTTGACAAGCGAACTCTTCACATAGTAATTCCGCCCATTTAGCAGCACGCGTAAACGGTCGTGTCTAAAAAAAAAAATAGATGAATTTCCATGGGACCAATGACAATGAAAAAAAAAAAAGCCAGAACGCCCCCTTCGCCCCCCAAAAAAGAAAGAGTTACATACCACGTTACTGATATCAGCGCATTTAATAATGGCGCTGCAGATCAGTAGGCGTTCTTCCATTTTGGCCGGTTCCTCCAGAGAATGGAAATCGCAATTTTTCAGTCGAACGGCTTGATCTTTAATTTTGGTGACATATTCATTGTGCAATGACATGTCTGTTGCCAAAATCGTTGTCACGACCGTTTTACGAAATTCTAAAATGGTAAACCATAAGTTTTTTTTTTTTTTTTTTTTCATGATTGACTTCATTCTTTTTGGTTTAAAGCGAACTACCAAAAAAAAAAAAAGCCAACCCCACGGATGACCGTAAAACAGCTCTCTTTTTTAAGGATGATTACCTTGATAATCGGCTGCGCCCGTGCCTCCAGCATACTGATCAAGGCCGTGTTTTTTAATGATCTGGAACAAGGTCATGGAATGAAAACTTTCAAGGACCGACCGGTCATTGTACAACAGGGCGAGCGGGGTTGCCGAATTAATCTTGATTTGTCATTGAATCGGTGATAGGTGAGTGGGTAGATCACACTAATCTGTCGAAAAAAAGAAAAAAAAAGGGCCAAGCTTACCAAAAACATATTATTGACGCCTGGATGGGCAGCATCATGACCTATGGCGGCAATTAAAAGCGCGAAAATGTCTTTGGGTCGTAACAGGTCTTGTGGTCGCGTCATGTTATGTCCCGTGACGGAGGCTAATTCAACGTGGCGATCGGCAAACGAGACCAGTCCCAGTTTGCAAAGGAAAAAGTAGGAACACTGTAAAACGTCGACGGCATGAGCAAAGTTATGATAGGGATTTGCATCATGATACACGCTGGAAAGCTCATCAATAAAGTCGTACAGCTGGGCTAAATTAAAAAAGAAATATATGTAGAAGAAAAAAAACAGAAATAAAGGTTACGCAGAGCCGAAAAATAATGAAAATAAAAAAAGGACGCGAGTTATACCTTGAGACATTTTGAGATGGGATAATTCGGGGAAGCGTAGTACTTGATCGAAAATTAGACAAACGCAGTGAATGAGATCGGCGTGATCTAAATCAAAAGGCGAGAAATCCCAGCTGGATATCCGCGTTTTCAAGTAGTTTGTCTGGTCTCTGAATGGAGAATAGATCAAGTCAGTCGGATTCCATTGGATGTGGCACAAACGAATCAAAAAAAGAAAAGAAAAAGAAAGACAAAGAAATTAAAAAAAAAAAAAAAAACCGAGACGGCCATTCTACTTACACTGTCAACGTATGATATTTACTGGATCGCGCATGGGTGTTGTAAGTGTTCAAACAAGGCGATTTGGACAATCTATTCAGAGATGAGATGTTGGCGTTCAGGTTCTAGGAAGAGGAGTTTTCAAGGTTCAGTAGACATACTGTTGATGGTTATCCTTGATGAATATTTCTTGAACGCGGTGATGTAATCCATCCCACAAGGTGGATAAATTGACGGTGGATGGTACGGTATGGACGGCAAAGGGTTGGGTTGGCGAAGCGACGGTGGGCGAGGATGAGGAGGAGAGAGAGGAAGGTGGATTGATATCGTGGGCGATGCGATGGAGTTTCTTTTTGAATGATGGTTGGTAATGATGATGAGAACAGGATACATTGTTTCAAAGTGGATGACAAGCGGAGCTTACCAGAAAGAGGGTCTTAATTACGTCTATTCTGAGTGGTTGGAGTAAATAATCGGCAGCACCGGCGTGGATGCAATGAAGCATAAAATTGGGATCCTGATTGGAAGAACAGACTAACAGAAAATTTTCAGTCCGAGTCCTTGGAACAGATCATAAAGCCAAAAAAAGAGCGCCTCTTTTTTCTTTATAGTAAAAGGAGGTAACAAAAAAAAAGAGGGATCGACTTACCAACTATAGTTGCATTAGAGGTAATGAATTTGGTGGAGAGATATTTGATCCATGCGATACGAGGGTCGGTAGTGTCCAAGGTGCAATCGAGGGAACAAGCATTATATAGAGAGGAATGTTCGTTGTGATGGTTGTGATATTGATGGTGAGGAGGGATTGCTCGAGGATCAATGGTATCGAGATCAATGAGTAATATACTAGGAGAACAGGCATGGATGTATTGTGGGATATCTGCAATACTGTGTTGTATAATCACTGCAGGGGCGAAGGATCACCACAAACGAAAAAAAAAAAAAAAAAAAGGTTGAAAAAGTGAAGAAGAGAAAGAAAAGGTTTTTAATTTGCAAGAAAAAAAAAAAAGAAGTTTGTGAGTATGATGATCTTGGGTTTCTTGCATTTTTTTTTATTGGTTTTTACCTTGACCAAAGACTTGACGGAGTTGACCAAGGTAAGAAGGAGAATCATCCTCTAAAGTATCGTCTGTGTAGCCTTCGACGAGAAAAGGTCGTGGTTTAGGTTGATATAACACGATTATGGAACAGCGTAAGGGATCCATCATGGACACACACACACACGAAAGTAAGAATTGACGATGAAGAAAAAAGGAATTGAGACAACGCTGAACTGACAAGGTCCAAGGTGGGATTCCGTTTGCAAATCGACGAGATTGGGAAAACCGAGATGATGAACCAAAGGATTAAAAAAAAAAAGAAAAAAAGAGAAAGAAGAGGTACCAAAGGAAAAGAAAAAGAGAAAAAGAGCCAAAAAGCAAAAACAGTAAAACTCAAAAGGAAGAGAAAAAGCCGCCTTTGCTATTTTTCGACTCTGTTTAGAAGCGTCAGTTTAGCATTTCATGGTGCCACCAAAAAAGATTCACAATACAAAAATCATTTCCCAACTACTTATTGACATTCCTCCCAACCAATGGCCTGTAAAAACCCTCACATCGTCTTTTTCTCAGCTGATTGACATTTCTATACCTCTTTGTATTCCTTTTTTTTTCTTCTTCTTTCAGGTAGGCAGGGAGTACTTGCCGGAGGCCCTTAGGAGCCTTTTTGTTACCGCTTGGTAGGGAAGCCGAACCCGAGATGGCACCCGGGTCCCTTGCCAAGATCAGGTCCAGCACGTGGATGGAAGGACAATGGGGAAAAGTTGAATCGCTCCGTCAACAGTGTTCACGGCTTGCTCCTCGTCTCTTTTACTCTACCAATTTCCTTGGCATACTTGGCAGAAGAAAAAGGTTTGGGCAAATCGAGTCTCGCCGACCCAAGTTCAGGTACTATGATACTGCACTTGCATGAATCATTGTTTCACAATTTCAGTTGATTGTCCACTTTTGAATTTTCTGTCCTTTTTGTCAATTAAAACTTTTGGCCAAAATAAAAAAGCGAGCCAATATGGTTAAAGGTATTGAGTTGGTGCAATCCACCAAAACGAATGATAAAGCCAAGTTCATTCTTCAATTGATTCAGCAAACCCATTGATTGTTTTGAAATCAAAAAAAAAAGCTCACAATAAAATTCGCATGCATGCGTGTTTCATATATTTTGGAATTATTCAAATTCATAGTTCAAAGGTCATTTCTCCGATTTTTTTTCTTTGTCTATTCACTCTCAATTTAAGCAATTTGCATAAAAGAAGAAAACTTCGGGTTATTTCCATTAGAGTTGGTCGTTATTATGATCTATACAATTATTCAAGGAAAAGAAAAAGGCAGACAGGAAACAAGAATTTTCTTGAACCGTAACAGATCATATTATGCATGGGATCCAACGCGCTTACCCCAAATGCTTGGCAATAAATTCATGGGCGTTCCTTGCATTTTATTTCCTTATTTTTCGCTCTCTCTTGCCTTTTTTTTTTTTTTTTTTTTTTTTTACAATGATCATGTCTATTAATAAAGATGTATGATGGATTGACATGCTGTTGTTGTTGCATACTGTAGCTATTTTTGAGAAAACAGTGTAATGGGGAAGAAAAAAAGGTGGGAGGATACAAGGAGGCAAAAGGACAAGACAGCCAGGAGAATGGGGAAAAAAACAAGAGACAGAGAGAGAGAGAGAGAGAGAGAGAGAGAGAGAGAAGTGTGCGATTCTCAGGCGAATGGTATGCGGAAAGGGAAAAGAAGAGGATGGATTGGGATAAATCGGTATTGTAGAATACACGTTGTTTGAAAGAGAGTGGGTGGGTGGGTGATGTTGTTGTCTCTTTTTTTTCCCCTTAAATCAGAGGTTGTTCAATTTGGCTTAGCCAACCACGCACTCGTCCGTGATTACGATGTTGCAGATCCTCTTCTCGAGGAACCGGTGCAGGTGATTGGATCCGTACGCTTTGAAAGGCAGTCACCATATGATCTATGGACATGTCGGCTTCTCCTCGCTGCACCACAACTCCACGTTGGCTCAGACCAAATGCTTCGGGAGACACGGGAAACGCCGTATGATAGCTTTTGATCGACACGGGCGGAGAATTCAGACTCACATCAACACAGATTGTCTGTGTTCCTACACTCTTTTGTTCTTCCTTTTTCGCCAGGAGAGACGCCAGCGCCAACTCCAATGATTCCACTTGCTCGTTCCGTTCTCGTAATTCATTCCATAATTTTCGATTCTAGATTTTTGCATAAATCCCGAATTAATGCTAAAGTTAATATATTATCCTTTCTTATCGCCGTTATCCAATTCGTTTTCCGTTCACTGTACCTCTTCTTCCAATTGATACTTGTCGAGATTTTCCTCCACCAGTCCCTCCAAATGATACAACTGCAATTTCAGATCAAAATTTTCCTTTTTCAGATCGGTGATCATCTATCAAAGGAAAATCCATGCACGCGTTAGTGTCACCATGCTTAATTTGGAGAATTACTTTTTTTTTTTGGCGCATCAAGGATGACAACACATGCCTTTTGCAGTTCTTTCATTGGGGCTGTTTTCTGGTGGGTAGGTGTAGAGGCCGTCTGTTGTGGCTGAGGTTGGGGCATGGAGTATCGATTGGTTTTATTGTTTCTCGGGCTATTGCACAGTCCCGGTGGTCGACCGAGATTGGACGCATAAAATCGTCGGGAGTGATTGGACAGTGATAACGATAAGTCGGTAATACACGAACGTGTTTTGCGAATGGACGATGCCGAAGTAATGGGTGATGACGAAGGACTGAGTAGAGGAGATAAAGGCGGTTCCACTGTGTGGTGGGCGTCGCTGTTTCCGTGAATAGCGCGATTCGGACGATAGTCGAGACCGGTTTCCGAAACACTGACGCCCAATCCTCCGGACGGAGAGTCTGTGTAAGGTGGAGCGGGAGGAAGTTCTTTGGTCAGCAGTGAAGAAGGTCGCGAATAAACCGGAAAAGTCATGTGAATAAACAAAAGTAAGCAAAGTGAAGAAAAAGAGGGAAAGAAAAAAGATAGAGGAGGATTAAAAATTGTGTTGGCATTCTCGGACCCAACTCAGTGAAACGTTTCCAATCGCCACTGACCCTATCTATCCCCCATAATTTTTTTTTCTCTCCCCCTTTATTCGAATTTTTTTTTTCCGATGTGGAAGAAGCGAGTGTTTGATCAAATAAGTAAAGACATCAGTGAACATGCATCTAAACGCCATAAACCCACTGACAACGTGCACCCGCACTGGTTACACTGCCCGCAGTGTCAACTCGCTTCACTGCAACCCTATCAAGACCCCACTTTTCGCGGACTGACATGCCACCACTGTCAATTGCGCATTCCCCTCGACTGCACTTTGGATCTCTCACTTGACAACATTGTCACCATGCTCAACATGGTGCAACAAGATCATCTCAGGTAAAATTTCGTCCAGACTCCCATTTTATTCTTTTTTTTTTCTGCATTAATGAACACACCCACCCCGTTCCGTTCCAGATCATGTTCGGATAAACCGCTGTCCGGTTCAGTTGCCACCACCACTTTTCCGAATCAATCTGACGTTTTTCTCACGTGGACTTGTCATCATTGCGGTGCATTGGAGATCATTTTATGATGAATGACAATAAAATCATACCCTCCAAAAACAAGAAAAAAAAAACAAAAGATCAGAGAAATTCAAAAAAAAAATTGTGATGGAAACAAGTTACAACAGGGAAAAAACAAAAAAGACTAAAAAACAACAAAGAAAACAAAAAAAAAAAAAAACGAGAGACAAACTACCATGCTGGTTCACCATGATGCGATTGTGAGTGACTTCCGATGTGAAGTGCATTATGACCTCCGCTGGGGGTCATGGAGCCCGTGTAACTTTCACTGAGGATACCGTCGTTGGCAGGATTGTAAGTAAAACCTGCAAACTGTTCCTGCATTGTCTTGGAAATATGCGATTCATCCACCACGGATTCCATGGGAACTTCCGACGTGAACTCTTCATCAAAATTCGTCGTGTCAATCGCACCTTCCACTGACGGCTTGAATGGGGGCTGCATCTTCTTTTGTATTAATTTGCGCCAATCAATGCTGGCAAAAAATGGATGGCTTTTAATCTCTTCTGGTCCATTGTTTCCCAGTCGTTGCGTCGGTTCCCGTGTTAATAACTGGAATGGGAAATTTAGAATTGGAGAATAAAAAAAAAACCATGTGACCAAACAAAACAATAGCAATCCCCCCTACACACACAAACAACTCGTTTTCTCTTTCTTTTTTTTTCCGCCCCTCATATTTTGTACTTACTCCACGTAATAATGATTGAGCTTCTTCCGCCATATCTTCGGGGAATCGAAGTTCGTCTTGCAAGATCTTACGGTACATTTCATTGGTGTTTTCATCGTAAAAGGGTGGTAATCCTGTCAACATTTCGTAAAGGAGGACACCTAGTGTCCACCAATCCACCACTTTTGTATACCCTTGGCCTAGGAGCAATTCCGGCGCCAGGTACTCGGGCGTACCGCAAAACGTGTTGGTTCGTTCCGTTTCCGTCATGTTCACCTTGCACAGTCCGAAATCACACAGAGCAATGTGGCCGTTGTAATCGATCAAGATATTCTCCGGTTTCAAATCCCTGTGCCGTATACCCGATAAGTCAACCCAGCCTTATCACAGTGGCCAAACGACACGCTATATACACTCACCGGTACACGACATTGAATCCATGCAAGCATTCCAAAGCACACAACAGTTCGGCGGTATAAAATCGGGACCGTTCTTCATCGAATTTGCCTTCCACTTGAAGATGGTGGAACAATTCACCCCCGTTGATGAACGCTAATACCAGGTACAGTTTATCCGGGCTTTGAAATGCAAACTTTAAAGGCACAATAAACGGGTTCCTCACTTCAGCAAGCACAGTTTTCTCGGCCATTGTATGCGTCACCTCGGATCGAGAAATAATACGTGATTTTCGCAACACCTTCATAGCATAGATTCGATTGGTGTCCTTTTTACGTACAACATACACCTTGATACACAACAGACATATGGATTCCAATGAGCTTTCTAGGATGCACAAATCATCGCTCCAACTCGGTGCGCCTTACCTTGCCGAAACTGCCTCTTCCAATGACTCGTAAAAGATCAAATGAATCGAAAGCGATGGTTTGACTTTGCTGTGGTGATGGGTGAGTGAATGGATTGTGGGTTGGTGGAAAAAAAAAACAGGGGCTTTTTATTCCAGTGGAGGATTTTTATACCTGCTGTTTCTTGTAGCAAAGTTGAATATGCATGGCGCCGGTGCCACCGGCGATGGGCAAGACTTGGTCGTCGAGTTTGTTGGAATCGAATTGGGGCAAGAGTTTGACATTACCCAAGAAGTAATCCTTGGTGGTGGTAATGTTGCGAGCAGGGGTGGTGGGATGGGTGGGTGGTTGTCTCATATAGATCGATATGGAGACATCGGAGCTGCGTGATACATCACTAAAACAAACCCCAATAATAATTAGTCTTAAGGAGAAACACGCCAAAAAGAAGGGAAAGGGGTGGCCATCAAAGAATTGGGAAAACAATGCAAATAAAAAAACGTAACTTACAAATTCGCTCGATACTGATAAATGGGATTCATGGTATCGCCACCGAGGGCATCGATGACAATCTCGTTCTTATCAAATTCAAGCACAACATAAGGTAACCACCAATGCTGCTTACGATTAAACGAGTCCCGGTTGGTTCGAGGCATCGGTTGTTGCGTCGCTGTACTGGGCAACTGAACGCCTGGAGGTACCGACAGTCCTCGGGCTTCGCATATGCGAACCATCAGTAGGCCCGACTTGGGTTCGTGCTGCTGTGAAGACGACGCTGATAAGGACGGACTGGGTCCATCCGATGACAAAGATGAAGCATGCGTCAACGATCGTGAAGCCGTTGTCGTGGCATCCTTATTTTCTGACCAAAAACCACGAATCGCTTTATTTTAACGGACCGACTTGGGGTGTGGCGCGGGGATGAAACAACACTTACTTTTAGTGCCAGGCAATTTCCACGAATTCATTGCAGCGAGACAAGAAGGAATGCAAAGAGCGAGGGAAAGGGTAAAGAAAGCAACAAGGGGAACTGAAGATGGAACTGGAGGCAAGAGCCGGTAGAAGAACAAGGCTCACACCCACAGAGAAAGAGAGAGGGCAATGAAGACGAGGGGCAAATGAACCTTTTCAAAGTCAGAAATTGGTTCGGTGGTCGTATCTGCCTCCTCTTTTCTCGTCCCGGCGGAGTTTTAAGCTGGATCATGGACTCTTAAGCTTCGCGCTCCGTGCAGCCTTATTTCATCCTCTTTAAACCATCCAATTTTGGCTTGCCAGTAGAGAAAAAATGAATATTTACCTCAATGGTATGAAAAAAAAGGAAAAACTATTTTGAAGGAATAGGTAATATATACCGGACCAATAAAAATTTAGCAAAAATAGCAGCCAAAAATACACAATATATCACGATTATTGTAATTGACCGCAATAGACGAATCAATAAATGACCCAAATACAAGAAAAATATGTGTGTACCTGACCCATTATTCTGTGGGTCAAAAGCACAGGAATCCAAACTGTAAATCATCCCTTTCGCCCGATTTCAGTCCAATATAGTGAGTTTCATCGCTCCACCGAGTCTCAGACGACGGTACGTCCATCGAGAAAGACGGATTCTAGACCGTGTCTATGATAAGATTAAATTTCAATGGGGAGTCGATCCCCTTTTCCTAACGCGTATGTCTCAGAAATCTCTACTTTTTTCCCTTGGTTCTCCGCACGAAAACCCCCCAAAAAGGTCCAGTTCCGGGACGGTGGAAGCATAGATGATCGTCGCTCGGTGATGGATCGCCCATTGAACGGTGCACCTCAGAGGCGGCACAGTAGCGCAGCTTACTTGTTGTTGACAAAACTTGTAGACTATCCAATAAAAGATCCTTAAGCTTATTCTGTATTGCCCGACAGCTGTAAGCACCTTTTTTTCCGAGATACTTGCGAAAGATGGTCCAGCGGTAAGCATGATAGCGTGTCCCAGTTGTTTGCAGCTATATATTTGTCTCGTCGTCACACGGTCAATTTGCTAATCGGATGCTCAAGTCGTTCAAGCGTGTGACCGACACAAGTAAAGTCCTAGTTGTCGCTCTTGTAATTAAAATTAGCACGACGCGGCACATGAACCCTCCAGTCGCCATGCGAAAAATATGATTTCAAGCCGCTTCTCTTTCTGATTCATCGGGCTCTCACTTTCTGTAAAAAGTCGGTTCAAGGTAATCACAACTGAACGATCAAACTATTACATTCATTTTCAGTAATTACCTTGCTGAAGTAGACACGGCCTTGGAAAACGTGCATTGGCATTTTTTTTTTTCTCTTTCTCTCTCTTTCGGCTTGCTCAGTAGTTATTCAGGCACGGGGAGAATTTTAATGTGATAAGCTGCCCGAAAACTACTCATGCTAAAACACTTTTGAAAACCTCCACATTTGCATGCCTCAAAATGTGTGAAACAGTATTAACAAGCTGTTGTCATCTTGGTGGAAAGACTGATTGGCCGTATTTAGTTGAAAAGAAACTTTCACAGACGTTTTACTATGTAGGAGTTGCTGACGAGAATCTTTCCAGACATCTTTGAACAGATGGTGTCCACTTGAAGCCAAGATTTTAAGAGCATAATGCTTATTGTTTATATTACAATACCATTCATTCATATTTCAAACCTGTATTTATTCATCCTTTTGCCTGGCTGTGCCCAGATCGGGAGCGACCATTCCGATTCCAAAGGTGGACCAGCCAAAATAACTTGAAGCTTGGCTTCAAGGGAAACGACATGAGCATAATGAAACTACATAGGGGATATAATGGGTTAAAATCAATATCTATCGAGCTTCCACGCGTTTCACGAGTTACCAGAGCACCTGTGTCTGATAGAAAACTAGGTCAAGAGCGAATAATGTCATGTTAAATGAATGAACAATGATGCATGTCACATAAATCAAATAAAAACATATTCAATGAAGGTCAAAACTGCCCATTCAGACTTGCGAAACCAAAGCTTTGGCCTCGGCCATCGCATGACAGACACATGTATATTTTTTTAAAAGAGGTTGCCAAGAACTCCTTGCCACAAAAACAAAAAATTGTTTCAAGTCCTTCTACATTCTCTGGATGCTGTCATCGATCAAGACCAGTCGATCCTCAAAATCAAAAATAAAGAACTAGTCTTCTTCTGCTTAACGGCAAGGATGGGCCCATTGGTCACGGTATAAACCAGAAGGGAACTTGATTACGATCCTAAGCCTAGGTTCTTCTTACGGATCACCGCTTCAATCGGTGCAGTAATGCCCGTATTGTTTACACCAAGAGCATCTCCTTGTCTCCACCTAAAAAGCGACAAACATAACAATGGAACGATTAGTCTCTGTATCACACTTATCCCTACTCGGTGACTTACCCCATGGCGGCAAGCATACGGTGACCACGGTTGCCTTCATCAATAGGTGCCACGCCAGCACCCACCACCGTACCGTGAGCTGGACCGGCAGGAGCTTTCGTATCGTCTTTCTTCTTTTTCTTTGCATCGGATTTCGATTTATCCTTTTTCTTGCCATTCTTTCCGCGGCGACCGTCGTTGTTAAATGCTAGATACGATTTGGCGTTGGTTTTCTCGCTTATGCGTCGTTGGTCGGCTAACGTGTCCTGGGCCGATTGGATAAATCGGTTGATATAGCGTCGGTCCGTGGGTATAAAGGTACGCTCGGTTTTGCTAATGACAGGGCTCCTAAAAAATGGATGTTCCGTTAAAACTGGTTCTTTTACAGAAGAGAACAGCATTCAATTACCTTTCTACTCCTGTACCAATACTGGAAGATTTCAAGTTGTAGGCACTTGCCAGCAAATGAAGATGCCGCCTGCAGTTCTTATTCATTGGTGCAAATTGGTAACTAGAGTGTGATGATGATGAGCTTCTAGTTTCCTTCTCTTGCACACCCATCTGTTCATTCGCTTACCTTGTGATAGTATCATCATCCAAAAATGCCAATATCCGTCTACGTTTATCCAATAATATTGTCGTCAGAAACTCAACCTCACCGTGCTTTTTCTTTCTCTTCCTTTCTGATCTACTCACGCATCAATCTTTTCCAAAGATACATAATTGTTGCTGTCTTTTTTGTTCTTTTTCTCGAGTTTTCGCTCTAGTCGTTTTTGCTTCTTTTCGGCTCTTTGCTTCTTTTTTTGCATCTTTTTGTCATTCTTTTTCTCATGAGAAATCCAGTTCCGCATGCCTAATTGTAGGATCGATTAATACAATCGAAGAAAGCACGGAATCTGATCGAGTGACAATAATTTACCAGGCTTGAGGCTGGGAGGAACATCATTCATCGCATTTTGGAGCGACTGACGGAAAGCGTCAATCGATATTTCCGCATCCTCGGGATCAAAATCGGCGTCTTCCAGTTCCATCAGCTCGTCACTGTCATACTCGCCTTCTTGAAGCAATAAACGTTCCTCTTCCTCTAAATCATCTTCGGCATCATCGTCAAAATGATCCATGACCCAGGGATCATCCTCTGAGCGGCTCAGAATACGCGCAATTTCCTCATCGTCCAAGGTGATATTCTCAATGTAATCACGCATGAGTTCCAAATCATCTTCTTCGTCAAAATCATCCTCATCAAATTCGGCATCGTCGTCGTCGTCGTCCTCCTCTTCCTCATCTGACAATGAATCCAGGTGGCGATTATCTTTGGAAAATCGATTCGCATCCAGTAACTGATCACCACCTTCTTCTGTGCATGATTCGTTATCGCATAATAAGTCTTTGACCGAGTTATTGTCTTGGTTGTGCTGATCACTGGTGGTATTCGAGGAGATGATGCTTTTGTTTTGAGCGATGTTGCTGGTTACAACATTGGCTGACGATACCGTTGGAGACTCCCGATCCTTCTCTGCCACTAATATACCCAGATGATTTAAAATGATGATTCTGATTTTTTTTCCACCGCAAGTCAACCTCGTAATTACGTACATTGTTCAGGAGGATCCATATTCAAACCCACAGATGATCGAGTGAAAGCAATGGTTGTCTTGTAGCTGGTGGACTGAGATCCATTTTTACTGCGGCACGGTTGCGCAGCAGCGGAAGATGAAGCGCCCAAACCTAACCGAGAGAATTCCTCTTCCAGCACAACACTTTCTTCATTAACGACCGTATTCGATGCGGGAACAAAAGGCCGATGATCCAAAACTCGGCGTTTGGTCTTTGCATGTCGTTTTTTACCTTTTTTTTTTCAATCAAGAAATGAGTTCACCTCATCCATGGGCAACACGAATCAAAAGATCAAGAAAAAGCACTAACTCTTTGATTTGTAGACTTGCATGTCGTCGTCAGTTTCTGATTCTTCATCACTGGTAAACTGGCCAAAAATACGGAAATCGTCTTCCAAATCGTCGTCTTCATAGGTGGAGGTGGGTTGATACACATAACCCACAGCGGTAGGGAATAACTGACGGTTGCGACCTCGTCCTCCACCACGAGCTTGTCCACGGCCACGTCCTCGGCCACCACGACCACGACCTCGGCCCCGATATTGCTGTTGATGGCCACGTTTTGGGTATGATCCGCCTCTGTTTCCTCTAGGCATGGTACAAAATGGGAACAAGCTGAGTGAGTGGATAAAAAAAAACTCAACTGCCTACTTTATAAATCAGTGCAAGTGGCTTTTGCTATTGGTCCAATGTGCACTCCGCAGCATGCTATTGCTTTCAAAAAAAAAAAAATCTTTCGCTTGTCCGATAAACTCCCACAGTTCTTTCGATGTCTGGTGTACAGCAGGTGCATGTGTGCAGTGTGTGCATGCCTGCTATTAGCAGTAAGATCATTTGACTTGATTTGATCCTCTTTTACAAACGTTGTATCCGTTTCCATGTCATAATTCGACCATAAAAGTTTTGATAGATTAAACCAATAATGAATGTGGAATGTTTCATATGCCGAACCAACGTTAGCACTTGGTTTCCCTTCTGAGCTTATGATGTGATGATATTACTGGAAATATTCAAACACTTGGTGTGTTTTCTTGGATTTTCCATGATTTATGCTTTGGTTTGGATGTATTTTGTTGGACTATTTCGCAGTTCTCTTGAGGAACCTTGAAGAATTTGTTACTGCTCTTATTTTGTGTGTTTTGATTTTTTGATATTTTCTCCACAGAAAAACTAGCGACCACAATAACAAGATGTTCGTCAATGGACTAACTAACCTTTAATAATCATAAATCGAGCAATCATTGTATACAGTACAGAGAATGTTGCTCTTAAGAATTCCCCACTTTTTCATCAGCATCATCGATCGTCTGGGCCCTGCAGCACGTTTGATAATGGCCGGATCATTGACTGCGACATGTTGATACACGCGTTTCATCGGTAACTCTTGAGACCTGACGTGTCGATGGGTAAACCCAAATACGCAGCCCAGTAATCAAGAATGAATAATACTGCCAGGCTTTACATATTGCCTAATGACAGAAAGCAATGTTTCAACCGTACGATGAGGAACAGTACAAAGATTTCCCGTTCGTTCTTGGGGAATGATAAAACTCGCGGAGAGAGAGTCTGTTATTTGCCTTGCAACATGAGATCATCACATAAATGTATATTTTAAAAAATCATTTTTAGATGCACACGTCTTAACAAGCCGTACACCCGCTGTGCAATGGATGCCACCTGCTACTGGATGTCGCACTCTTACATTGAGCGACATTCGTCAGACAAAAGCCTAACGCAATACGGCATAACCTGGGCGAGACTCCTGATGGAACTTTGGTATATTAATGTCAATACTCTGGCATACCATGAAACACTTTTAATGAACAAAGCAGCACTTATTGACCCCCTCCGTTCTGTCCCGCCCAAGGTTATGATAGATCTACAAAGATGTGTGGGAATGTTGGGTATTTAAAAAAAATGAGTTAGTAAGCTCTTTGGTTGATTCAAATTTCGTTGAGATATTTTACCTTTGATGTTTGATGCAGCAGATACCGAGGGCTTCCCGACCGAAATAAAGAAAGGATACAAATATAAAAAAAAAAGTAAATACAATAGGTGCGTCTGTAAAAACCCCCTAAAAACCCTGTGGGAAAAAAAAGGAGGAAAAGACTGCAAGAAGACTATTCACTAAAATACAAAATACATACTACAACTACAAAATAAAATGGTCGGGAAGAAATATCGAAGGCGATACCACGGGCAGCAATCCATATGAGAGGAACCTGGGGAGGACGCGTCAGCGTTTCCCAATGAAAAAGAGAGTCATACCACCGACGATGCCTTTGACGACAAAAACCGGTTTGGCCACATTTGAGCGCGAACAAAGTAGAAAGATTTGGAGGGATGGATGGCTTGAATGGCTTGCCAGGCAAAAGAAAACCGGAGAGAAAACCAAAAGCTAAAGACAGAATAGAGAAAAAGGACAGGTAAATTTTTTCTTTTGTCGAAAAACGGATAGTCGTATCACACAAAAGGTACCTTTTTTCATAATAATCGAATCGACCGGATCAGATACACGCCATAGTCTGGATGATGGATGATGGATGCAATGATAGTGAGGGATTTCCAGGCAAACAGAAGAGATGCAAAACTAAAGAAGAAGAAAAAATTCGGACAAAAATATGTGATTTTCCATGGATGAAACAATAGTCACCTCACTGATGCATGAATGATGAGCTACACAGATCGAAGCATATCTGCTCCATGTATCATTCGATTACTGAAGAGAATGAAAGGGCATATACAGTATAACTGACAGATAACCCAAATTAAATGATGCTACAAAACACCAGATCGTCGTATCGTCAATCACCTTTCTTCAAAAAAGAGCTCCACTCACATTTTATGTGAACGGCGACGATGCTCTGTTTAACCACAACTGGCGCAAACGGCATCTTGCTGCTGATTGTTTCGCCTATTATTCGTGAAAGTGGGCAGCGAGGCATGGTTGAAAGATGAAAAAAAGGTTTAACAGGTCTTGATAACTTAGTGTAGATCATGTGGAGCCCGTGATCTTCAAGATCACAATTGGGGATATTTATTGGTAGACTCAGGGTATGCTACCATGGGTGTGGTTAGAGTGGCATGAAGGTGTGCCAGTTCTAACGTATGAGGTAGAGGGCGCAGGTGGAGCCCGTGATCTTCAAGATCACAATTGGGGATATTTATTGGTAAACTCAGGGTATACTATATTTTTGGTGAAATGTTCATTTGAACTGCTGTGGATCAGGTATCTTCGCCGATACGATAGAATCGTAGTGCTCTGGCGTCACAGGTTTATCAGCTTCTTTTAAAATGAGTAGAATATGCGCATGAGGCAATCCTCTTTTCTGGAACTCGACGGTATAAACGTAGCCAATTACTTTTCCAAGTGTATGGTTTTTTGTCAGATCCTTCAAAAGAGCTCTGAGCTTGAGGTTGAAAACTCGTGCTGTCAAATCTGGCCGATCAGATACTGTCTGTGAAGCAAGAAGCTCATTCCGAATTTCTGGTAATTTTGGATTACACGTGAATGTAATGAAGAGGTCAGGCTTTCCGAAACATCTGACGATACTCATTGCATCTTGGTACAGCTGTTGCATGTTTCGAGGGCTGCCAATGAATGACGACGGAAGGATGACAGGCTGACTGATGGGATTCATATTCATATTGTTGTCGTCAAGTTGGAGAGCATCTTGTACGTCTGAATACACATCAGCACGCAGTCGGGACTGGTTGAGGCGAAGGTAATTGAGGCGGTTTTGTTACATCTTGGCATACATATCTACGATATACTGCTGAAAGAGTCGGCCAAAGAGGTGCAAGTGGTGTCCATCATTTCGATACATTAATCGGAAACTGTAGTAGTTCATCACGGTGACTTTCTCGTTTCTGGTCGATCAAGTTTCAATGTTCCACCCAGGGTCGCCCTCAGGAAACATCAGCACGTAATGGAGTGGGTCATACAGGCGATGCATCTCACTGATTGATGTCAGTTGGTCACTACGCGTACAGATCACAATATCCCTTCCAGAGGACTCTGCGTTTTCACCGATAATGACACCAATTTCAGAAGCATTTGGTGCATTATAGCGTCGTGGATCTGGGGCATCGTCAGCTCGAATAATCATTCTGATGTTGGAAGCACCACCATTATCCTCTATGTAATAGCACCACCATTATCCTCTATGTATTGGGCCATTGTCTTGAAAAGATGGACGAAAGGATTGGTTTCATGCATTAATTGCTGAAGTACTTCCAAGGTGTCTTGCGCGAGATGGCTTGCAAATGCATGTCGATTTGATATTTCGTTGTCAGTATCATGGACGTATATTTGTGCAAATGCAGGTCGTTGGCCATTAGCAGGAAGTAGCGATCCCATCAAGTGGTAAACACTTCCATGAATACGGAAGCAGTAAGCGCCTCGTCTGCCATTCATTACACTTTCGTCTAAATTTACACCAAGAGAAGTAAAACTGAGAGCACTACAATAAGCTCTGATCTTGAGCCGGAAATCTTTTGCTTGCGCCCCAGTCCCTGTCAAAAGCGAGGCAATCAAAGGAGGGGTGGGTTTGAGAGGAGAAAGTACAAATTGACCATTTCCACAACAGAGCTGAAACTTAGGATCATTCATAGTACTTCCAGCAATTTTTTTTCCACTCCACATTCGTGCCTGACAGTGACTGCAGATGACATTCATGGCTCCTACATCATGAAGATTTGGCATCGAGACATTGGGATCGCGAGCCACATTGGGCCTAGAATTGAAATTTTCTGTATTTCCGTCTTGATTATGAAGGGGACAATGGCAGTTTGAGCGACGACGATGTCCTGTTTGACCACAACTGGTGCAAACTGTATTTTGCTGCTCATTATTTCGCCCATTAGTTATAGTAGTGTTTCGTGGAGAGAAATTTGGGCAACGACAATTGGTAGAACGCTGGTGATCGTTGCCGTTGCAAGATGGGCAGTAAGGCATGGTTCAAAGATGAACAAAAAAAAAGGCATCAATCAAAAGAATTGAGATTCTAATGAAAAGATATTAAGAGGTTCTGATAGCTTAGTGTAGTTGAAGAAGAAAAGAAGGCATCAAAAAAAAAGAAAAGAATAATAAGAGGTTCTGAAGAGAGAAGGCACAAAAAAAAGGTTCCGATAGCTTAGTGTGCAAGTCATGTGATTTACAAATTGCTAATTTTTCAAAGATTTTAATTATATAGAAATTCAAACATTTTAATAAGGTTGAGATATTCTGCAATGTCGCCTGTTGTGAACGCAAATTTCAGAAATTGTTCCCGCAACTGTTTTTCGGCATACAAAACTTGCAGGTTTTTTGCCTTGCGTTTTCTCGGAGCTTTCGGTTTTTATGCGCCAGAGACAAACTCATCCAACTGCTCGCTGTGACTCCATGAGGTTCGGTATTTGCAAAGCAGCATCGTCGAAAGCCGTACAGGTACCTTGCTCCTTCTCGTCCGGACCGTCGGAACCTGTTATACAATTGGATATGGGTATCGTTTGGCTCGACAGTCAAGAGGTGTTGATGGCTATTACCGCATCTTCGATGGCACCTCACCGAGTGTAGTGTAGTTGGCGATATTGGGCATGACGAGGATGCGCAAAGGACAACATGTTACCGAAAGGTAAATGGACCGGAGGGCGCTAACTAAACCAGAGCAACGGACTTTTGTCGCTCCTCCAAGTAGGGCGAAACATGCGTCCGCCAATGATGCAGTCATCCTGGATGATGACTATTTTTTTATCAGACATCAAGCCACACACCAGCAAAGTACGTTGATAACGCTGCACCACCCACGTAGTAAGGACTCCGTGGCGCCCTTGACATTTGCTAAAGTGTTCAAGAATAAGTTAAAATCAGTTAAAATAGTGAATGTCAATAGAAATACTCACGTTCGTGCGGCGGTTTTTCAACTTTTTATGCCAGCTTACTGCTCTCTAAATTTTTCTTCTTCAGCTTGGCGTGCTGTTTCTTCGAATTCAGGTGCTTGCGCACCCTCCCGGACTACGCGGTAGGTCCACGAAGGTTTCCGCACCTCATCCGGAAGCTGAATGATAAATTCAATCAATTCTTTTGCAACTGTGAGGTTTGTGGATTCATTGAAGAGGGCATTCAAATCCCAAGAGAGCTGCTTCTATTCGACCAAGTATTTGTAATGGTCACGAATCTTTTTCTACAAAGAAAGCAAGATAAGGATACCATCTCCATAAATGCTATATTTTCGAAGCTAAATACGTTCATGTCGAGATCCTTTATCGTTACAGGAGCAACCGGCCTCCAGTAGGCACGGTTCTGTTGCATTCTACGGAGTTGCCGCTCCAAACTTCGGACCATGGCAGTAAGGGAATCAAGTTCCTGTCGAAGAGAGTAGATTTCCTCATTCTCACCTCATTCTCATGTCTACGTTTTCCGAGCAGAGAACTCGTTGTGGTTGACAGTGGGTGGCTGGAAAAGCATGTCAAATGTAAAATGGGAATTCTACTGCCAGGCTACCAAATAAAAAGTTTTATCGAGATCCTTTTGTCTTGCTTTGTAACACTATACCTCCCAAAACCACTAGATTGATGATTTCAGGCCTTGGGAGCATCAGTTTGCGTGAGAGGTTGGTTCCTGGCTTACAGTTAGAGGAACGAGCGAAAAACTCTAGTCGCCTGATAATCATCAGCACGGTTTTTTCTACGATACTCTGCTTGGCGTGTATCAATTTGAAAGAAGGTACGGAATATCCCACTTGTCATGTCATGATGGCGCCCCTCATTGTTTTTTATGCAATACATACCAGGCATGTGACACTTGGCTCAAACCAATGAAGTATTTTGACCATAAGCGCATTTTTTTATGCTGTTTGCACGACATAGACGAGGAATAATTCGGCAACCAGGTTGATGTATATCTTGAGAATACGCTCATGTTAACGGCAGCGTTGAGATCCCGGTCCAAATCTTGTACAATAAAATAATATATGGTGATGACCAAATCAGTTCAGGTCCATTGTTTTTACTTACCAGTGCTTTGAAGTCACTATTGGCCGACTTGCATTGGGGGCTCAGTCAAATCGGGTGAACGACGCTCTGCCAAGATTGACATCAGCACTATATGACTTCAATGAGCGTCTTGCCTTAACTGCGGCTCTTCTTTGACAGATTTCTGATCGATAACAAAGGATACCAACATCATCCAAACGCCTCCTCGTGGACCTTTTATCAACGTTTTTCCGTCGCTAAATCTTCTTCCTATTCTTACGGCATTGTTAGTACGAACATACTATCGCTTTTTAAAGAAAAATTACTTGTCCAGTAAACTGCCAACATCCATCTGATATACAGCGGCTGTGTATATATATATATATATATATGCATTTTATTATATATTTTGCAGTGACAGAGACTCTCTCGAGAAAAACTTGAAACTATTCTTTTGCGTTTCGGGTTTTCACCGATTTTTGTACAGAAAAATAGCGAATATTATACCAGAACAAGACGTTCGCTGGTACCTGAACCAAACATTTTTGAAGATCATAAATCGAGCAATCATTGTATGCAGCGGATATCGTAGTGAAAATCCCCGCATCCATGCATTGACTGTTCTTTCATGACGACAAATGTACGAAAGTGGTTGCAATAAAGATATTGCAGAACCTTTGCTTTCACTGTTTCAATGTTTTGCTTTTTGAATAATGCCAATTCTCCTTCTCCAATCTGTCCAGCTATCATAGATCAGATACTGTACGTACAGTATGTGGTCCCTGCTGTTGGTTCGTTCTCTTTCGCTAACGCGCAATAGTTGGCGCGCATTGCTATATGAGCTGCCGAAACGCTTACGTAGATCCGTGCACATTATAAATTTTCAGTGCACTGTCAAAGTTGGCGACTACTGTAAAGAATAGAACGTTATTACCAAGATTTTATACAAATACATGTGATCCACAGGGACTCTGTAATGCTTTGTGACATTGATTCAGCTTCATGGCACGCAACTGCTGGACAACGACGTATTGCACGTAAAAAGTGAAATAACATCAGCTCATATAATCACAGTGAGCATGTGCGACACCAAAACAATTGATGATAGAAAAAATCAGCAAGTGCGGAAAATTTTGGTTTTTTTTTCTTCAACAAGATAGTCCATGTGATTCAGCGTGCCTCCCGCTTATTGGCAGAGTTACACCCGGGTCTTAGTTTCGGCATGTGGAAGAGGTCGCACTGTAGAAATATAAAGACAATGCAATCCGTCATACTATTAAATGACATGTTGTTCCTATGCCTTGCAAGACAGCTGCAACAAAAGGATATCAACGGACAGTAACCAGGGCAATTTTGGGGACAAGGAGCGTCTTTTACACAGAGCCACCAAACCATGTCCTGTGTGTGCCTGAAATTGTGCGGTCGGCATCACAGACAAGCAATACGTCAGACAGCCAAAAATAGAAATGTTGTTCATAAACTAGTCGAAACATTGGGGCCTTTCGCAGAAGGATGATTTGACCGCAGTTCAGAGCAGAGCACCAACAGCAATCGGGTCGGTGCATGGAAAACTGACAATCTTCCATGATATGATGGATTCGTTGGTATAGCTTGTATCAAACATACAGAGCCATATCACACGGACATCCAAAGCTGAGCAGTTGTGAATGATATGTCGGATGAACCCACTTATCTATCATCCTTACCAGCACAAGAAAAGCCTTTAACACAAAATATAATCCAGATCGTACCATGGCTGGGACATCCAGGAAAGCTTCGGTGGAAAGACGGGGTTTCAATGTTGGATGCAAGTTTGGATGATTCAAGAGTTTCTTCATTTCCTCACCAGTCCACGTCCGTTTCCTTTACCATGCCCATCCCTTTGGAACCTTTGAGTCAGAATACTGTATTTTACCATTGAGAACACCATCTATTACTACAGTCGATCGGTGGGTTTTAAGAAAGATAAGAGGGTTATGCTGGACGACGTTGAAACCGGAATCGGAATTATCCGGGGAATCGGTGGTTTAAAAATTTTTGTTGTTGATGTTTGTCGTTTTTCATTTCCCGCAAGTACGACGGGGGTGGGTGGGCGGTCTCAAATATAAAGAAGGCGCATCAAGTTTGTTTACCTGAATTCTTTTCCCTTTTTTCTTTTCTATCCAAACCCCCCACTCAACTTATCTAACAACATAAAAAATGGCTGGTGACGCTAAGGCTGGTGCTAAGCTTTTCAAGACTCGTTGTGCGCAGTGCCACACCGTCGAACAGGTAGACTTTTCGTCCTTCTATTATTTTCTTACCTGTCAGTGATATACTCACCCAGCGATCATTTATAGGGTGGTGCCCACAAGGTCGGTCCTAACCTTCACGGTATCTTTGGCCGCAAGACTGGCCAGGCCTCTGGTTACAGCTACACCAAGGCTAACCAGGATAAGGGTATCGAATGGAACGAAGAAACCCTCTTCACTGTACGTATTTAAGCACATCCAACGCATTTTTTCATCCTTCGGACACTAACGCTGTTGTAAATAATAGTACCTCGAAAACCCCAAGAAGTACATTCCTGGTACCAAGATGGCCTTTGCTGGTTTCAAGAAGGCAAGTTATTTTAGTTATAGACAGTATCCAAAAATGTCTGCATGTTTCTAACATCTTATTGTTTCGATAACTTACAGGAGAAGGACAGAAACGACGTTATTGCTTACTTGAAGGTATGTCGTCACCTTGCATACGGTTAAAAATTTTTGATACAAGATATTGACGAATTTGTGTTTATTTTATTTACAGGAATCCACTGCCTAAACTTCCTCTCGCATTATATATATTTACACTTACAATAAAAATTCACTCTAGACGTACCGAATCACTGACTTTTTAGGGGAACAAATTGGCAAAGATGTGTGGTTTGATGGAATATGGTCCCTTTACCGTGATTACCACTTGTGGTGGGTTGTTTGGACAACTGTTTGGAAGCAGAAAAAGGGAATGGACAGACCACGGTGCAGCCTTCCTGATAGGGTTGGAGGAATGGGAGGGGTGGTTGAGGGCAAATTTTTTGATCTATCGGATTCGGTGGCCGCATCAGCCACCCAATGTGTCAATTCTGGGTCATGCTGCTGAACCTGGTCCGAAGAACGTCCGGTTACTTCCAAACTTTACATGGTCACTATGACAAAATTGCCTCATGACGTTATGAACCGTAATGACATGGATAATGCAGTTGATTAAATCTGCACCGTGGAAAACGGCTGTTCTATTATCACCCTTTGGCCGTAAAACCATTAACCGACGTGACATTCGAAAATAATCGATATCGATCTTATTTCTTCAAAAAGGTCAATATTACGTCGTTTTCACAAATGAAAAATAACAAAAATGACGTTCCAAGGAAAGCCAAGTTATATTTGTCTAACGGCCATTGGGCTGAAATATTTAGACAACAGCAGCTAGCTATTCTAGAACATTAACTTGTCTATCAAAGAAAACAATTACCAGCGACGTGGATGATTATTTTTCACAGGTCATGCTTGTGGCCCTCCATGGCCAAGCTTTCAAAAAGCTAAAGTGTAAAAGTTTACGAAAGTAGTGTGAAAGATAGGTTTAATAATCACATTCTGTTACTTCTCTTGGGTACAGTTACAACAGCTAAACACACAGGGTAAAAAACATTCGATCGCTTAACAAAGAAAAAACAAAATCGCATTCGAATACACAATGAAACCTCCATCATTTTGGTATCAACAGCTCCCTAAAAAAAGTACACGGATAAAGAAACAAGGGGAATACGATGAGCAGACTTGATTGGATTTTCCACAACAAAAAAAAACGTAGTACCTTTGGGGTGGAGGGGGGGGGGGAGATTAACATTCTCCGAGTTTCTGTAAAACGGGCTTCATGCCGCCATAAGAGCCTTGAGAAAAACGTTTTGCAGCCATGTCGTTCCCGAAAGAACGACGAGAACCTTGCTGCTGAAAATTTCCTCCTCCAGAGGCTGCCGCCACACATGGATCAATAAAGAAAAGAAAAAGAGAAAAACGGAGAATCCTACTTTATGAAGCAAACTTACATTTCAAAAAATCAGTGGGGCCAGCGTAGGGTCGTATTTTCGCCAAAGGGTTCGATACATTATCGATGTAAGCTTTCTTGGCTAATATACGCATCAAACAAGAGAAAGATCAGTCATCGTTATCACCTTTGTCGGGAGGACCATCATTATTTACCGGTGGCGGGATGTTCAAAAATAATCAGGGCACGCGTATCATCGACCCATTTGATTCGATAACCGCCACGCATATGTTCATAGTCTCTAAATATGTCGTGAAGGTGATGGGTCTTGAATGCCGCGGGAAAACCATGACAATCCAAGATGACCGTGGGCTCATCGACAGCTGGGGCCTCCACTGATAATATATGTTGCATTTATTTTAATGTCAACCGATCGAACTTGGTTTTCATCAAAGCTTGACAGGGATGGCACGTACCTGCGGGTCGGCTCAGAGGATCGACGAGATCACTGTATCGTTTCCCCTTGGTGGAGGGCGTACCGTTGCTGTCACCCACTCGGTCGTATTGGCGCAGCAGTTCTTCCAAATCCTGTTTGGGGGCATTTTCATCGTAGGCGGCCAAGTATTCCAGAGCGGCACCGAGTCGATCCATCTCTTTCCGCTTGGGATCCATGTAACCATTGTAATAAGAGTCGGTGGCGGAAAGACGATGATGACTGGAAGGAGTAGGGGGCACACTCACGTCAGTGGCCACATCGGAGTCGTCATCTATGGTACTTGTTTTACTGTATCTATTGCGGCCACCGTTAGACCAACCAAAGTTGCGCGAAGATCGTCTAGAGGAGAAAGAGTCAGAGGACATGTCCATTGGGCTTGGTATGGAATGCTCATCTTGTTGTATCTCCATGGTCTCCCGATGACCTGTTTCAAACTCCTTTCCAGGTCACATTGTCCTCTTGCCATTGGATGCGCTTTTATGACGACGCCGGTCATTGGCCACTGTCCATGCAACCTTGCCTGCCTTTTGCAGCATCACGAAATGCGAATTCGTGCCAAAAACAGTCATCAACGGGTTTCCAAGTCAAACTTTATACAAGCCGAGCATTTTTTGTATTGTAAAAACTGCATTGATTAAGGAACCGTTGAAGAAAGATGCTTGCCAAAGGTGAACAGAGAAGCCCTTTTATGCACCTTTTTTATCATCAATCAAAAATAAAATATTGAACAATCTATCAATGGGTGGATATCCCTCTATTTACTCCCCTCAGCCCTGATCAGCCTTCCATTTTACCTTATTGTGGTCTTCAAGCATTGGCCTCGTCTCATTTTTCTTTTCACCCACCCTCATGTTAATAGAAGATCAAGTATTCTGAGGTTGTTGCTTGGAGAGATTGTGGACAATCAACAGTTTATATACCATCTTTTGCGAAAAAGAGTTTCTTTCACAACAAAGCCATATTATCCCCCGACTTGGTGATGAAATCCGATGAACCCAAGCAGTAAAAGATCTTGTGGGATATAACAAAAACGAAAGAAAAAGGATAACGCATTAAATGGTCAAGATGTGTAGATGGTCATTTTGTGATATCATGCATTCCCAAGATTTTCCCTCTTTTTTTTTTCTTCTTCATCATTTTATTTACACTGCCTATTTTTTATGTCATGTACTGTACGATACGTCTAATAAGGCGAGAAGAAGCCTCTACCACGGCCTCTGTAAAAAAAAAAAAAAAAAAAAAAAAAAACCAATTTCAATATATATGAAAACCTGTGACCATCTTGTAATGTGATGAACTGTACCTTCCACCGCGGCCGCGGTATCCAAATGAAGGTGAGTGACCAAAATAAGGGTGAGCACCACGGAATCCGCCACGGAATCCACCTCTGCCACGGCCTCGTGCTGCAAAACCAGGTACGTTTGTTCGCTTTGCCGAAACCTAATACCATCACGATCCATTAGATATACAGCGATCTTTACAATAAAGGGTTCAATCTTGTCGCGTACCTTTAACAGTCGTCCACGGAATAAGCTTTCATTGAAACTGACAGCCGCGCTTACAAATGACGGTTCCGCAAATTCAATGTATGCGTATCTAAAACCCAGTTCTCATCAACATTTGCCCAGAATTTGTTTCGACCATGGCCTCCATTTGCAAAAGAAATAAAACGTACCCTTTCGGATGACCGGTAAACTTATCGCACAGGATGGTCACTCGGTTAATCGTGCCGCAAGCTTGGAAATGGGCTTGCAGTTCTTCGGGGGTTGCACCGTAATCGACCTGTATACGTTGATTCTCGTTAAATTTCTGTCATTGTCACCGTCCGTAGATTATCACCCTTACATTGCCCACATAAACGGAGCGGTTATCGACGGTTTCTTTGTCTATCAGATGGTGTTCAGTCAGCTATCATGGTGCCTGGGGGCATGCGTTGAGTACAGTAATGGTGTACCTTCTTCAGTAGCCATAGACTTTTCCACCTCTGCTTGCATATTGCGCAGTTTCGCAGCTTCATCTTCCATCTCTTTTACTCGGCTCTTCATTGCTTCCAATTCCTGCCATAGAAAATGACGGTTTTTAGTGAACGGGATCACGATAATAAAAAAAGAAACCAGGACGGCCCGATCGCAAAAAAAAAGAGAGCCCAGCTTACTTTGTCTACTTCAGCATCCGATACGGAGGCTTCTTGGTATTCATTAGGATTCTCGGCAGTTACCGCAGCTTGAATCTCGGATTCACTCATGCTCGTATTATATGATCGTGCGTGTAATAGAGATCTCACCCTTATTTCCCAAGCATGAAATTCTAAGCCGTCAAAAAATTCCTCAGCGGAACCCGCCTATCTGACGTCACAGACCTGGCGCCGGTGGTTGGCTGGGTCCACATTGGCATCGAAAATGGGGAAATATGGGAGGGCGGGGGAATACAGCGAATTTAAGATCAAGGCAATAGAGACTCTGATACATAGTACTGGTCTTTGGTTTAAATAATGTATAAAAATATCATGCCACCAGATCCTTATAGAAAAGCTAATTATTTACGTCCCAATTAGCAAACGAACGGGCAAAATCACACATTCAGATTCCCCAAAGTGGCGGCTTATATTTATTGTAAACGGTCTGTCTAGTATAAGAGTCAATCCATTCTGCTTACCAGGTTTATTACTCTATGCCCGTGCGTTTGTATGAATATGGTGCTGAAAAATTTGCATACCGTAGCTGGTTAAAAGCATGCTGCAGCCGCCAGTTCTTTTGCTTCTGTTTGTAAAATACTTCCAGATCAAAAAAAATCCTATTAACGTCATCCGTTTGTTCTTACGAGTGTTCTACACAGGAATTAAAAATGCACTAATTTTTCGCAGGACTTCTTTGAATAGTTTCAATGCCTATATTCGGAATATTTGTAATGGATACATTAATCGGCATTAGTGGAGAACCAAGGATGATTTTTCGAAAGTCTTACTTTCGGCAAATCACAAAGCATTTTATTTTGGTCGCGTTTTCCATGTAATCAAAAAAAAAGATTCCCTGAATGTCTAAGGTTTATTCCGAAACCGCACCTATTACAATCTTAACAAGTGGGATCGTGGAGATGAAGGTGGTTTCAACCAGCCATGCCAACCCGAGATTAGGCATTTAAAGTCCGTGAAACTGAAAATCTTGCGATTCCTTTACCAACGGATGAGTTTCCCGGCAACAGAATCGCACGTGGATTGCCTCGTGAGGTCTTCTGCTCCAATGGCATGGTAGAAACATTCAAGAAAGATGGAACCCAGCGTCTTGAGCCGTTATGAAATTCCACAAGAAGGGCAGTTTTGCTGGAAAGAGAGTTATTGGCATATTTTTATTTTTATCGGGCATTTATGTTGGATGCTGGAAAAACCACCTAATGTGATAAAAAACAGGATTCGCAATGGAACAAAGGGTGGGACGAATAATGTAAGGATGCTGTGCCGGATATATATAAAAAAAGAAAAAGAATCCAAAGAATTAAGGTCTTCGTTTTATCGTACGGGGTGGCTCTCAGCGTATAGTATGGACGGACGTGCGACCGTCGAACCTATTTATTGGCCAGATTTCACCCGTCGCTCCACTTGCTCCAAGTTGGTTTTTCCATGCAGAAAACCAACTTGGAAACAAAGAAGAAATCAGAAATCTCCAAAGAACGATATAAAAAGCAGAAACGACAAGCGCAAGAGAGAAACGAAGCCATTTTCCCACAAATTCAATTTACTGCACTTTTCACTCTTTTCTAAACGTCTGTTTTTTTGACGCGCCCAACCACTTTTTATTCTTTGATCGCCTTTTTGAACGCAGAAAAAAATGATGCAAATTGGTGATTACACCTGGATTTTCGGGGTCGGTATGGTGATGGCGTTCGTGGACGCTTACGGTATCGGTGCCAACGACGTGGCCAATTCGTTTGCCAATTCTGTCTCGGCAGGCTCCTTGACACTGGCTCAAGCTTGTGTGATTGCTTGTTTCACAGAATTCTTTGGTGCACTGTTGCTCGGTTCGCATACCACATCCACCATCAAGGGCGGAATCCTGTCCGTGTCTGAATTTGTCGATAATCCAGAAATGCTGATGCTCGGTATGCTTTGCGCTATTACTGGTTCCGCCATCTGGGTGCTTTTTGCTTCACGCAACGGCTGGCCCGTGAGCACTACCCATTCCATTGTTGGCGCTATCGTTGGTGTGGGTATCTCGGCGTTTGGCGGTGGCGCTATTACCTGGGGTTGGACGGGTATTGCTCGTATCATTACTTCCTGGTTCATCTCTCCTGTTATTGCCGGTCTGGTGGCCGCTGCTATCTACACCTTTACCAAGTATGCCGTACTCCGTCAAGTCGACAGCTTCAAGTGGGCACTTCGTCTGGTCCCCTTTTACGTTTTCTTCACCATCGCCATCGAAGCCTTCTACATTATCTTCAAGGGCGCTCCCGGTTTGAATGCGAGCAGTCTCCCCATTGGTGTGGTGATTGCTATTTCCTTTGGTATTGCCACCTTCTTTGCCGCCTTTGCTTGGTTCTTTTACTGCCCTTGGGCCCGTCGTCGTATCCAGGATAAGGAAGATCTTCGCTGGTACCACTGTTTCGTCATTCCGTTCATTGGCAAGCGTCCTACGTTGCAAGAGCGGGATCCTGAAATTGTTTCCATGGCCGACAGCCAAGCCCAACGCACCCACGATAATGTCAATGAAACGATCGATATCCATGAGAACAAAAAGTTTGCTGAAGAGATCCCCGAATCTGATATGAGCGAAGTCCCTGTGGCTGGTCCTTCAGGCTGGCGTGCCAAGGCGAATCAATACAAGACCCGGGCGGTGGACATGGCACTTCACGGTATCCGCAAAGATGTTCGCAATCTGGAGAATGAAGACTTGAAACACATTCACGCCGCGGCTGAACTGTACGAAGATGAAGCAGAGTATCTGTTCCGATCGCTTCAGGTGTTTACGGCTTGTATGGCTTCGTTTGCTCACGGTTCCAACGATGTTTCCAATGCCATTGGTCCCATTGCCGCTATTTTCGATGTATGGCAGACCGCTCGAGTCGATGTCGCTGGCAGCGTGGGTGTGCCTGCATGGATTCTCGCTTACGGCGGTGTAGCCATCGATATCGGTTTGGCCACTATGGGATACCGCGTGATGCGCAAGATGGGCAACAACATCACCTACCTTACACCTTGCCGTGGTTTCTGTGCCGAACTCGCGGCGGCTTTGACCGTCTTGACTTGCTCCAAACTGGGTTTGCCCGTTTCCACCACCCACTGTATCACCGGTGCCACCGCCGCCATTGGTCTCTGCAACGGTCGCTTGAATGCCGTCAACTGGAAAATGCTCGGATGGTGTTTCTTTTCTTGGATTCTCACTTTGCCGTTTGCCGGTCTCGTTGCTGGTCTTATTTTCGCCTTTGCTTCCAACTCTCCCACATTCTAAAATCACAATCTATCCTCCCTAATTTCTCATGCATATAACCCATATCTCTCTTGGAATCAACCCATGAATTTTATAATTCTCTATTTTTTGTTTACTTCATCATCAGTCGTGGTAATATCCATGCCGAATCCCGAAATTCGACGCTTCTCATTCTTCTTTTTTGTTTTTTCCCTCCAACCACATAATAAACTGATCTATTGCATTACATTTTATATTTCTATTTTCGTCTACCACATTGAATGGCATGTACCTTTGGTCAAGTTTATATCATAGATATCACAGAAATACCATACAATACAGTATGATTGTGCCCAAGTTTCCCATGATAGAGCGTTTGTTATTCTGTGCAAGATCTCTGTGTTACATCAGAAGACTGACGAAATGCGTTTAAAGAAAAAATTGGGGATACTTATTATGTTGGTTTTTCATATATGTACTGATGATTTTAATGATACAGATATAAAGTCATTGAAAAAAAAAAATACAGCATTGGAATGAGTTTTAGTTGGTGGTTGCTTCTCTACGCTTCATGAGCAATTTGAAACTGTTCTTGGCCACGGTTAATGTGATGAAATGACGTCGTTGTTCGGCGTCTTTGAGTTCCTGAGGAATGGGCTTCATATCGTACAATTTGACCAACGTGGCAATGGTGATACGCATCTCTTGCAGAGCAAAGTTCTTGCCGATACAGTTGCGGGTTCTAAACGATCGAACATATTAGCTGTATGAACAATACGAAGTGTCCGTACGAAAAACACTTACCCAATACTAAAGGGAAAGAATGCGTCTGTAGAAGGTTTGGGAACAGCGTCCTCAAGCCATCGTTCAGGCTTGAATTGGTCAGCCTCGGGCCAATATTCGGGATTCAGCTGAGCATGCTGGACCTGACACAGAATGGCAGTCTGAAAAATGAAGAAAAAAGATGAGTACGGACTGCACTGGCCTATCATCAATGAAGCGTTTTGCTTACATTTTTAGGCAAGACAACTTCTTGTCCCAGAGTGGTCTCCTCTGTGGTGACACGCTGGATACCGTTGGCAGCAATCGAGTTTAATCGCATGGTTTCGTTGATGACGGCGTTCAGGTAGGGCAAGTGTTTGATTTGATCGTGATGGAAGACTTTTTGGTTCTCGTTCATCGGGACCGAATCAATTTCCTCTCTCAGTTTAGCCAACACCTCGGGGTGGCGAAGTAATTCGACAATAGCGAAACCCGTGGTATTACTGGTGGTTTCCGAGCCTGCAATCAAGAAGAGGACCACTTCGGAAATGATGGCCTCGGCCGTTAATCGATCTTCCTGGTCTTCAGCATTTTGGGTATCAATGAGAATCTGAAGAATATCGTCACGGCGTGTATTGGTGTGCAGACGCTCAACAATCACGTCTTGCATAAACTACCAAATCAAGACCGTCAATCAGCTATCCAACTATCGGGACGTACCGTACGCACTAGTTATATATATTACCTTTGTCAATTTAGGGTCTTTATCCATAGAGAGGAGTCTCGCAATGGTACCGATCCAAGGGTAATTAACCATCTATTGTTTTTTTTATTAGGACCTTGAAAATCGTGTGAATGCCCGACCTTGATAGTCCTTACCATGGATGCGAAGCGCATACGTTCTGTGATGGTGACGGGAACAAAGTGACTATTGTTCTCAATCATGTTAAAGGTTTGACCAAACGCGGTTTCACCAATGATATCCAAGGCCAAGCATTGGAGCAAAATCCAGATATCCACTTCGCCCGATGAGTTTTGCTTAATATCCGAATCGATCTTGCGAACCAACGCCTCCGTGGCTGAGTCCATGAACACTTCCAAAGAATTCAGATATTTGACCGAGAAAGCAGGCGACACAATTCGTCTCTAAAAAAATGCAACGAAAATGAGCCACAAAATATATCATGCGGGGTCAATGGATTCCAAATTTCGTACACGTTGCTTATGGAACACCTTATCTCGGGTACTGAAAAGGGTTGCTTTGCCGCTACCTACAGCCGTGAGAAATTTAAGATCCACAGAGCGAGTTTCATATTTGTACAACTTACTTGGCGCGAGCAGTTTATACAAAGGGCCTTTTGGAAGATCCTGTTTCTGCAGAACCTGGTTGATCCAATCCTTGTCGGCAATTTGAACCATGGTGGGACTCACTCTCACAATCTTTCCATATTTGTCATGGAGCGTGAGCAAATTTTCAAATCTAGATCGCGCGCACTGATGAGATGACAGATCGCAACCAACATACCGGAAAAGAAAAAAGACGGTAACTTACAATGTACCGGAGGGTCGGTTGTAGAGGAACTGTGGCAAACCCGTGAACTTAGCAATGAAGGGACCTGGAATGCCACTTAACGGACCGAGAAATGCATCGTATAATTTCTGCAAGCAAAATGGTCATTGGCATAAGCCATACAGTGAACAGTCAAAAGTAGACGGTAAGACCAATTACCGAGCCAACATAGTACACGGCGAAACCCGCTGCTGCCACTTTGCCAATATCTTGCAGCTTTTGCTTGTCAAGGTTGGCAGTAAATGTTTCCACCTTTTTCACGGCTGTAGAATAGTCCATAGACGCCAACGTTTCAAGCTTTTTCAATGCTGCGGTTGAATAATCCATTTTGATCAGAATAAATATAAAAATCAAAAGGGAGAAGGAAAAGATAATTACTGTCCAGATTTAAATACCTTCCTTGTTGATGTTTTAAAGTTACGGGCTTATTGTTGCTGAAATTACGGAGTTTTTAGCATGTAAGCGGCTTCCTTCCAATTGTGGCAAATTGCCTCTTACATCACAAAGCATTTTTGTCAAATTATTTTCGGGTCATCTATTTTTCCAGGATTATGATTGGCTGCCGGGGCACGGCCCAACAATCCGCCGCAGCCTTTTCGGACATGGCATGGAACCGCAGGTTTGACAACAGGGCAAAGAATCTGGTATCTTTCGGGATAACTTGAGCTATTTTCCAATAAACCTGCTTTTTTGGGAGTTTATTCCCCGAGCATCAATGCAATACAATAACGCTCGCTGACACCGTAGTTGTTTTTCCGCACCGTATTTTCTTTGCATCGTTATTTCCTCTATACCTTGGAATGAAAAATGTCCATCTTCTCTGCTTAAGTAATACGAGGGACCATTGTCTCAAAATGTTACCAGCGATAATGAAACGGCTTATCAAACTTTTCTATATTTCACAGCAAGTATGTATCAAGACATGTATATTGGTGGTAAAGCTTTACTACATTAAATTGAGCATAAACAGCAACAAACCAAAAATTCCACTTTTATGTAGCAAAAATGGGCCAAAAATAAACTATAGGCTATTACGCGGTATCGCTTGAAGCCATTCCTATCACATCCAACATGCTCTTCTGTAAAAAGCATCGTTTGCAGTTGGTAATTTTTTTTTTTTCCAGTGATGAAGGCCAGCAAATGGAGCTTCTTCATTCCGAAATACCTCACTCCCTTCCAAATGCTAAGCCCTCGTCTATGTGAGAAAAAGGTTTCTGTAGAATTGCTTAGCACTGGCCATAAATGTTATTGAAACTCTCCACAGAACACCCCGTGCCTGAAGTTTGGCTAGATTCAATTTCCTGATCTGTCATTTTTATACCGAACTTTCACCGAATTTGCCAAGCCCAATTTTTTCATCCCAACATTATCACCACCTGATCATCAACACCAACGTGTGGTGACAAACACGTCTCAACCATCTCAAAACCAAATGATTGGCCCCTAATAGTTTCACAGCTGTCATCCATCATAACGCACAAAGAGAGAGAATGTTTAAAGTAAATGCCAAGTGGGCAGTATGAAACGTTTTAATAAAGCAAAAGTGCATTGATTGTCGAAAAAAAAGGAACGAAATCAAACACCCACTTAACGGTAGCGGCGGAGAGACAAGGTGTTGCGTCTCTTCCAGTTGGAGTGACGACCGGCACCCTTGGTCTTGGTGAACAAGTGACCCTTGCCCTTGCCACGGGACTTCTTGCCAATGGCGGTGAGACCACGAGCTTCGCGACGCTTGTGGACGGGGTTGACGATCCAGTTGATGCGGGGATCACGACGGATGGCCTTGTGGGAGGGATCGACGAGGATGACTTCAAAGTACTTGTAAGTAGCATCCTGGTTGATCCAGTAAGAGTTCAAAACACGAAGGTTAGCACACTTGCGACCGACACGTTCTTCGGCGGTGGAGCGGAGCGAACGCTGGTATTTGAGCTGGTTCACACCCTCGTTGACGGGCTTGCCATAGGTGGCACCCTTGTGGACGGGTCTCTTGCGGCCACCACGACGGACACGGATACGGTAAATGACATAACCCTGCTTGGCCTTGTAACCCAAACGACGAGCCTTGTCAGGGCGGGAAGGACGAGACGCACGATGAATGACATTCATCTGTCTGAATTCCCAGCATCTCACGCGAAGCAAGAAACGGAAAACATCCGATTGCTTCTTCTTGTAGAGTTCCTCAAGATACTTGTATGCACCCATGACAATCGATTAGACTCTAACAAAAGAGAGAACAAAAAATAATAAATTAATTGGCTGTTCTCATGCTTTTCAGTTGTTCCCAATGTCCATTCTCATGAACCCCTCCCATCCACCCCGCCGAGCAGCCATTCCCTTTTTTAAACAATCCATCCATCATCCATCCATCCGTCCAACAGACTCTTTTTTTTCGTCACTTCTTTTTCATCATCCATCGATATTCTATAAAGTCGACCCACACAGATGTAAATGAAAACGTTTTTGGATGATTCAATATACCTTGTGAGCGGTGTGTCTGATAGAAGAGGAGGCTGCCACGATTCTCTTGATCAACGAAATCTAAGGCGGCTCCGCCAGATCGAGAAATTCCTCACCCCGCTCACGGATAGCAGTCACACCCGTTTGCTTCTGCACCGAGTCGCTGGGATCATGCATTGGTCTTTATTGGACCTCAACCCATTCTTCAATTTCAGTGGTTGATATAAACAAGATCTGTAATAGCTAGCTCGTAATTAAGTTGGCTTGTATCGGGAACTCTCTTGGGCCCCAAGGCCTCCGTGAGTAGATCTGATACTGTGCATGCATGCATGGTCAACTGCCTGCTATTTTTTCGGCCGTGTTTGCTCTTAAGTTCTGCGCTTTCACCTACCTGCCAGCTATCTATACCGAAATGTGTCTGCATTAATTTTTAAAGCCCATGTTCCTCCAGGAAGGATCATCTTCGTATGCACACAGTTTGCGAAGCAAAACAAACAAAAAAAAAGAAAGTTCAAGCACTTTTGCTCCTGTCGGCGTTTAAATTGTTGCGATCTCCGCCAATCAAGCGAGAATGGAGCGAGGAAAGGCAAATGACAGCCCATGGGCAGCGAGTTTCAGCCTTTTTTTTCGTTTTGTGTTTAGTGCGAATTTTGTGTTCATGGTGGAAGAAGGCCATTCCACGCTGATCAGCTTCAATTTTCATACCGAGGAGCCGAATGTGGACAATGAAGGGGTCTTCTCGAAACTCTTTGGTAAAGTCAAGACAGCCGTGTCTGGCCAGCATGCTCCAAATGACGACGATTTTGCGGCGAGTCATGACTCGGTCGCTTCATTTCCATCGTCCAGAGATATTACCACCATGTCCACCGCCTCACTAACCAGTTCAAATAATGTATCCGAATCACGGCTTCCCGAAACTAACGACCAACGATCTCTACCGACAGTCAACGATAACGTTGACGATGTCGGAAGCGTCGACGAAAGTAAAGCAACGAGTATGAGAAACAACAGCTACAGTGCTCCCCGATCTATCCAAGTCACATCCCCGTCTCCTCCTACTTCCACTCCGGTTAAGGATTCCGTCGTCATCAATTTTCCCGCCCCGTCTCTGCATTTTGATATCATTGCTCCACACACATCATTATCTACCAAGCATTATCATCAACAACAACATCATCAACATCGTCATAATCATCATACGCATACGGATGATCCGCATCCTTCCGCCAGTGATTTCACTCGATCCAACCTTCAATATCCACTTTCCGTCAGCAGACTCTCACAGGCCGACGAGAATCAGTCCATGGCCAACAAAATCGATCACTTTTTACCAATGAAAAAGACCGCGTCCATTGACAGTGATTCACAGTCCGTGGTGACGACGTTTTCGATTTCCAATACCAATTCATTGAACCGGATTCTCGCCCGGCTTCGTGGACAGAAAAACGATAAAGAGTATTGGATGCCCGATGAACGGTGCAAAGAATGTTACAAATGTCGCAAGCCATTTACGTTGTTGCGCCGCAAGCATCACTGTCGATCATGTGGTACGTATAATTTTTTATTTTGTGGATTGGCAAAGGGGTAACACCATGGTATCTCACAAGGGTTACACATTGTTTTTTCCAGGTCAGATCTTTTGTGCAAAATGTGCTTCCCACATCATCCCACGGAAAATGTACAAACAGAAAGGTCCAGTGAGAGTGTGCAATTTCTGTTACGCGGAGCATCACACCGGACAGTCTACTCGCGATTCATCTAATTTTGCCTACATGCCCGACATGGCCAGTTCATCGTCCGTGGTAAAAGAGGGACCGTCCACCATCAAACACAACTACGCCCCGGTCATACCCTCGCAAAAACCGCCTTCCGAAGCGCCCAAGATGCAAATCCCGACCACCGCCTTGAAACAAGCACGGATCACTTATGGTGATACCGATTCCACCACGTTTGCTTTGGAACTTCCCGCCACAGAAACCGATGCGTTGATGCCTTCCTCCTACCATCTCCACGATTTTGGTCGTCCGCAATCGCCGCGCATGACCTCGGTCAATGCCCACAGCGTGCCTTCCTCAAGACAACTGATGACCGTCGCTTGGGACACCGACAAGCCGACTCATGCAGAAGGTTCCGGTACAGGTTACACGGATGTGAGCCTGAAACGGCTGTTGGACGCTGGTACGTCCCTTTTGAAATCACGCCCTCGCAGCAACACCTCATCATCCGCCCCCCTCGAAGATACCCGTCATTTGCAACCGTCCGCGGATGGAACCTCTTCCCTACCTTTCCGCGGCAATTCCCCTTCGCCTTATATCGGCACCATGGATCGCGGCGGTGGCACCGTGGTTGAGGAACACCAACTTAGTCCCTTTAAACCGCACGTCCTGGATCAGGAACAGGATGCGGATTCCGACAATCACCTGTATGATGTATGGAACCGGCCGACAGGACACAACGTGATTGCTTCTTTCAGAGGTTCGCGAATGCGCATGGGATCCATGCTGCATCGCCGGACAAAATTGGTAGAGAGCGACGATGAAGCTTACGATACAAAACTGCGAGTGAAACGTACGGAAGAACTGCGGGGCAAACCCACCACCCGAGAACGATCGTACACTAGCTATCGACGACTGGATACGCCGGAAAAGGACATGGACCATCGAAGACGCCTTCATCGGCAACCGAGTCATATTCAGATCAATGTCATGAACTTGCCGCAGCCAGACGTTTCGCTGTTGGGTGGCGAAAACTGGTCTCCGAATCCCTTTTTATCGCCTTACAGTGCCGGTACACCTGAAGATCCGTTCAGCTCGTCATTCCAAGATTATTCCGCCGTGAGGAACCGTCTGCTGATGCCCAGACAGCGACGCATCTCGACGCCTCCACCCAATGTTGAACTCAGTTACAGCGCGCTTCTTCACGCACGCAATATCTTGAAACAGTTGATGGACAAAGCCGACTTATCCGAGTTGTCCGCCAAGAAACAGGAAGAATGGCAGGATATCATTATGAACTTGTTGCTCAAAGTGACGGACCATGTTCGGCCGGATGTGCGTTCAGGTGACGACATGGATGTTCGTCATTACGTGAAAATCAAGAAACTTCCCGGTGGGTTGCCGTCCGACAGTTTTTACGTGAAAGGGGTCGTCTGCAGCAAAAATGTCGCCCACAAGAAAATGGTCCGCAACATCTCGCATCCGCGTATCCTGATTTTGTTATTCTCTCTGGACTATTCTCGCGTCGAAATGGAAAACCAGCTTCTTTCCATCACCCCCGTGATTTCGCAAGAACGCGACCACATCAGTAAACTGGTAGGCCGGATCATTGCGCTTCGTCCGTCGCTGTTGCTGGTCAAATCGACGGTTTCTCGACTGGCATTGAAATACTTGCTCGACGCTAATATCCCGGTGATCCACAATGTCAAGTACAGTGTGATTGAAGCAGTGGCGCGTTGCACCCAGGCCAGTATTATCCCGTCTGTTGATAAACTACAGCTTGGCGGTTTGTCGTTTGGTCGTTGCGGTTCGTTTGAGATTCGGACCCTGATGCATGAATGGATCCCAAATCGACGCAAGACGTTTCTTGTCTTTGACGATTGTCCACCGGAATTGGGCGGCACCATTGTCCTGCGAGGCGCGACGGAAGACACCTTGCGCACGATCAAGCGATTGATCGATTTCATGGTCTTTGTTGTAAATAATCTTAAGCTTGAAACTTCGTTGCTGCGTGATTCGTTTGCTAAAAATCGTGGCGTCGAACAACTCACAGCAGCAGAGAATGCGTCAGCCGACAAACAAGAGGACACCGACCCGGCCAATGGATCCACCTCAGCGCGTCAATCGACCGTCATGCGAGCTTCGGAATCAGAACGGACCGATTCGACCTTAATCACCACCAAGGATGCACTCAAAGACGATGCGGCATCCAACGCCCCGAGTGATGGGATCGACGGCTCGTTCAAGGAAAAGGACGGGGAAACCTCACTTTCTCAGTTGATTGACATGTATCGGGATACCATCCTATCTGTCTCTCAGTATGTCACCTTTCCACCGCCGTACTTGTTGATGCGACTGAAAGCTACCGAAGATCGATTGGCGAAATTAACTTTGGCACGACGACCCTGGACTGGCAAGGCACAAGAAATCTCGGCGCCATCCACGCGCAGCACCGTCGAGCCGGCACTTCCATCCATCGACACAGAATACGAACATTTAATTGCCAAGCACTATCAATTAGCTCGTGCTTGGGATGCGTACGTGGGCCAGGATCCCGATTACATTAGCCCTTTTTATCATCAAAGTATCGTGGTACTGTATTCCAATGTGTGTACCGTGACCACAGTGCCGTGCCAGGGTCCACAGATTCGTATTTTTCAGTACTACCGTCATCCGTCCGACATGCCTTTGGGTCAATACGTGATTGAGCTATGTGCCGATGCGACGCAACCGTGTCCTTCGCTCATGTGTGAACATTCGATGCTGGACCACTATCGTTCGTATGCGCATGGCAACGGTCGAGTAAATGTCATGATTGAGAAATTCGAGTGTCCACAACCGGGCATGGCCGATAAGCTGCTGATGTGGAGCTATTGCAAGGAATGCGATCGTCCCACCCCGGTCATTCCCGTCTCGGAAAACACCTGGAACTACTCGTTCGGAAAGTTCATTGAACTTTCCCTGTATCAGACCAATGTCCATTGTCGGGCCGATATTTGCCCTCACGATATCTCTCGACACCATGTACGCTATTTCGGGTTCATGAATTTGGCGGTCCGGTTTCAATACGAGCCCATTGGGTTGCTGGAAGTGTCTGTGCCTCCCATGAAACTGTTCATGCTCAGCCAGGTGCAAGCGAATCTCAAGGAAGAAGAGACCAAGAGTCTTCGCCACAAGATCAACAAATTTTATCAGTCGATTTCCGAACGTAACAAAGGGTTTCCCTTTGATCTGGTCGATCCTCGCAAGCTGGACGCGTGTAAAGCCGAGCTTCAGGAGATGTCAAACCGAGGGGTCGGAGAAAAGAAGCAGATACTCCAGGTTCTTCAGAATATCTTTGCCACCACTGAAGCCAGCGATACGCTCACCATTAACTGGGTGCGGCGCATTCTGTACCAGCAGTGCGTGCAATGGGACATGGAGTACGCCGATCTCGTGAGCATTTACTTGCAGCCGGAACGTGAGCTGCGCAAGTTGACCACGAGCCACCTTCGCAAAATGTTCCCGACAGATATGATGGAACCGGCCATGACCAACATGGACGATGAACGCACCAAACGTGCCACGGAGATCACCGATCTGCCTTTACTCGGTATCGCACTCGACAGCCAAGAAGAAGCCAGTGTCATTGGTTACTGTTTTGAGTCATCCGATACACAAGAATCTCCTTTCACCATGTCATTGACCGCCCAGCCGGAACTGTCCAGTTCGCCAACCGACACTGCCAGTTTCAACACGAACCTGACTGCAGCGGGCACTTTGGATCACCCGACCGAATTGGATGTGTCTAGCGGCGAGATGGAATCAAAACAGTCCCTATTGAAACCTGACATTCGTCGGCAGCTGTCCTTGGATCTTCTTCATAAACTCGACGCCAAGGGTCGCGGTACGGCCTTGGATAGCGACAGAGATCGACAGTACCTTCGACGCCGACATACCGGGCCCAGTGCGCATGCAGGCTTCTCACCTTCACGCATCCCGGTACCGCATCTAGGAGATTACAAATCCAAAAGCTCCTACGCGACTCCTGTTTATGAGCCTTACACGCCACTCTACCATTCTATGAAATCGCCGGTAAAAGCTCAAGGAAAATATCGTGGGCGTCGAAAAGTGGCTGGGGCGAATCCTCACGGTGAAGCATCCACGCACAGAGCGCCGATAAACGAACATGCACAAGACAAGGCGCCGCATGAACGACGAAAAGCGGAGCGGCAGTTCCGGTCTCGATTGCCTCGCAAAAAGACGTACATCCAAGTGTACACGCAAGCCAACGATCTTGTGAAAGAAGACTTGGACGATGAATTCTTGACGCACGATGTGGACGATCAAGGAAATGATGAGGACAACCGATGTGACGAGGCGGTAGATATGCTACGGTATCGTCGTCGATCGACGGGCCAAGGTTTGAAACCGCCCCGTCTGGACCTCTTGTCGTCCAACGATGATGAAGAAGCGGAAATGGACTACTTTTCCCCTGTTGCTCCGTATCTGTACAACTTCCAAGTTCAGCCCCAAACTGTCACTCGAGTAACGTGCCTAGAAACGGTCGATTCTCCGGATGAGCCTTTGACCACGTTCCCCATGACATTGGGCGCGAGCGTATCACCACCGAGCGACTTTTTCTTGCCACCTGCATATACATTACTGGCTTGTGTTCCTGCGGCCGACGGAGATGAATCCGATAAGGTGCCTTCACCGACCGATGCACAACAAGAACGTGCTAGAGCTATGGCCGAAGCCTTGGACAGTTCGCGACAATCGCCCGAGAAGACTTCCTTTATGAAAACAATCACCAATTTCTTGACTGACAGCGGAGCTACCAATCTTTTACCGCTGGAGAATCCCATGTAAGTTGTCCATTTATTTATTTTATGCGGGTAGGCGGGTAGGCGGGGAGGTGGATTGGGGGTTGGGGAATCATCATGAATCATGCAATGGTTTCTTTCTTATCTTAACTTTTTTTCCACAGCCATTCCACAGAGCACATTCTTCCTGATTCTTTTGTGGTTGTTCGCGAGGATGAGCCTAGCACGATCATAGCGTATACGTTGAACTGTGAAGATTACCTTTTAAAGTTGAACGATATCCAGGAAATGGCAGCGGATGATACTTCGTCGTATGATGCGGAGAGTAGTACCATTTCTTTGGCGGGAATGCCACTGGATGCGGAGGGAATAGACCCTGGCGAATCCGTGACATCTACCGCCGCAGGCATTGAAGAAACGCTACTAAGAGAATCGGGGACTCACATGCGCTACAGTAAGGACTCTTTTGCAAACGCGACTGATGTCGCTGCGTGGACTTAATTATTTTTTGTTGCCTAGATTTCTCGGATGGGACAACCAAGTTTTTCTGCAAAATTTTCTTTTCTGAGCAGTTTGATGCGCTACGACGCAACTGTGGGTGTGATGAAAGCTATATCCTTTCTTTGGCCAGTTGTGTCAAGTGGGATTCGTCGGGCGGCAAATCGGGATCAGCCTTTCTGAAAACCAAAGGTACGCATGCGAAGTAAAAGCAAAGAATGTACCGTTCTCATCGATGTTTGAAACTGTATTATTGCAGATGATAGGCTGTTGATGAAGCAGATGTCTCGATACGAATTGGATGCATTTTTAAGATTTGCTCCTGCTTACTTTCAATACATGTCCGAAGCATTTTTCCGTGAGGTAAAGGTCACTTGGTTCATTGTTTTTGCACAGCACGCTAAAATCCATGCACCAACAAATCAGCTTCCGACCGTTCTGGCCAAGATTTTTGGTTTCTATAGTATTGGTTACAAAAACTCGACGACCGGCAAATCCATGCGGATGGATGTCCTGGTCATGGAGAATTTATTTTATCAGCGGAATATAAAAAAGGTACGTTCCTCATAAAAAAAGGGAAGAGTAATGTTTGCACAACGGGTTGTTCATTGTTTTCCACAGATTTTCGACCTGAAAGGGTCCATGCGGAACAGGCATGTCCGTTCTACTGGCAAGCAAGACGAAGTATTGCTGGATGAAAACCTTGTAGAACGTAAGAAGCACATGAACTACGACGGCCATTTATTTCCCATACGAATATTATGCTCACGGTTGCTTTTCCATATTGCTAGTCATTTACCAGTCGCCACTCTTTATCCGCGCACATTCCAAAGAGATCCTTCGAAGCTCGCTTCACAATGATACCCTTTTTCTGTCAAGCAGAGGTGTGATGGACTACTCGCTGCTAGTGGGTATTGACGAAGAACGTCAAGAGCTGGTAGTGGGTATTGTCGGTAAGTTATCCACGAGTCATTAGAGAGGAAAAAAAAGATGATGTACACAAGATTTTTGCTCATAAAATACCACAGATTTTATCCGTACATTTACATGGGACAAGAAGCTGGAAAGCTGGGTGAAAGAATCTGGCATTCTAGGTGGTGGTGGCAAAGAGCCGACCATTGTGTCGCCACGACAATACCGCATCCGATTCCGAGAAGCCATGGAACGATACTTTCTCATGGTCCCTGATAAGTGGACCCTGATTCGACAAAATGGCTCTGCCACTCATTCCCAATACCGTTATCAGCCTGAATCCTCTCAACTGCAAACAGAAGAATAAGCTGTACATTATGATATTTAAAACTGTATATAATGAGGAAAATTATTTCTATTTACTTTTACTATTTCTATCGCGTTCTGCCATTAATGCTTACATTAAAGGCTGCTTTTCCTCCGAATCACTGATGGAAGTTCGATATGTATTTCATAGTTTTCTGCCTCTTCCGATTATTACTGTTCGTCAGCTGTGCAAAACGCAACAAGATTTGCAGCTGAAGCACTATGTTATGGTCCTCTGAATTTGTAATGGGGATTATCTGAACAGCTCCAGAGATCCAAGATCTCGAAATCACGGTCAAGCCTTCGAGAAAAGGACATACATGGTGAAAAAAGAACATGTTTCCTAAGTTGCTATAGGTTTCAAAGCAATATCCAAGTGCTAGCGCTTGAGGTACATCCGTAGGATGTCATAGTTGCGGTATCTATGCCAACGTATCGAATCCCACTGAGGTCACGCGAAAGAGAAAGGCCACGAATCAACTGCCCTTTCGAGTAGTATGAGACAGATTATGGTATCTTGAGGCAAGAAACAGCGACCACATGCAAAGGATATGGAGCTCTCAAGCCGGACTCATTGTCGTCGTTCGAGCGCAAAGTCCGCTGACCGAGAAATCGTGAACACGGACCGCACAACGCAAAGATGACAAACGGATATGTTACTAAGCTACTCTTCGTTCACGAAAAGTCGACTGCATGGAGCCATCGATATGGATTGCAGGTACAAGACCAATAGATACCGAATACCGCTTTTGCAGATTGTCGGTACCAGTGGATCAAACCATACCTTTTTCCCTTGCTTTGCATTCCTTTGCGAAGAAAAGTACAAAGATTACGAGTGGGCCTCGAGACAAATAAAGGAAGTAGCGACCGAAAGCAGACCTTGCTCATCTGTAATCGTTACTGATCGTGAATTGGAATTGATGAACGCAATTGACCTTGTGTTTCCATACACCGAAGGACTTTTGTGCATCTGGCACGTCGAAAAGAACGCGCTAGCGAAACTGCGGAAGTTCTTTCGTACGGATGAAGAATGGGAAATGTTCTGTGGTGCTTGGAACAGCGTTAGGAGAAGTCGATCCTAGCAGCACGTGGCAACGATCGCATCCGGGTCCCTCACCAGCTGCGCATGGACATTTTCAGCGCCGTGACCGGACAAATTTTTGGATATGCTTTGAAAAAGGCACACGGCCGTTACTTAGAGGCGAAAGAGTACCACTCTCAATGGACCGCTTGACGCCTTCAAGTCGGTTTATACAACCACTCTTGGCATATCCTGCGCCCATACCATCAAAACGAAGCTGGATGGCATACGCCACTTGGACGTGCGGGATTTCCACCCGCAATGGCATTGGCAGAAGTTGTCGAGCCCTGGCAGACGGCTGTAACGCAAAGTCATGACATTAGTGACTATTACAGCAACTGAATAGCGGGTACACACAAATGGTGCCGCATCAACAAGAAGCATTGATACGAACATCAACGCATCGGTCGGTGGTGAACGGTCAAGAAGGAGACCTTGTTTGACCCTTCCCGACAGTTGGAATATTTGGGCTTCAAAACCGATACCTCCACCATGGAAACGGAACTCCCCACCAAGAAGCTCTGCGACTTGCGGAAATCCCTACAACAAATCTTGAAGAGACTCCTCGGCGCATTCACAGTCTCACCATGCGAATCCGGTCAGCCTTCGTTACTTGCACCTGGAAGGGGAGTTTACCCAACCCATCGATGTATGGCAAGCTCTCGCGACGCTCTTCTCATCTACCAACGAAACGCTCGATAATGATACGCTGACCCACCTAGGCACTATCTTCACCAGCCTTTTGAAATATCGTTGGCGATGTGTTCTGACAACCTCCCTTGGTGTCCACAGACGGCGTTCAATCTGTTTCAGGCAGATCTGACTAGTTTACCTTCCACACGTAACCATTAATCTGTCCATCCACCCCTCGGTGAAATTGAAGTTTTAAATATAAAAGTCACCACTAATATAAAAAAAAAAAAAGAATTATCCAATAAACCTCAGGTTCTTTTTTTCCTCCATTCTGACTTCACATTACACTTTAGGTTCTGAGGAGAGCGCAACTATAGGGCCAATAACCACATCCTTCGTCTCGTTTCCCCAACTGGGCAATTGTGTTAGGACGAATAAAGCAAATAAAAATCAGCATGTCATCCTGTGCTTGTCAAGTAAGATGACAATGTGGATAACTCTATTGATAGACCATTCCAAAGAAAACATTGAAAATAGAAATAAATTCACATGATGATGCATCACAGAATTCGATATTACGCGAGCCACTTGGTAATGTAACCAACATTTCCATTTATGGTAAACGGGGCAAGAAACAGTAAAAGTTGGGGGGAGGTGGGTAAATAACACCTATTGTCATATATCTTAACGAGTGACATTTAGTCATCTGGCAATGTTTCATAAAAACTTAAAATGTGTCTACATTACGTATGAGTGTAAACTGCGGAAGAATCCCGGCAAGTTGAATGGTAAATTTAAAAAGATTGACGTGCATCAATGTTAGATATGATGAATGGTTGCATAATGCCAATCTTTTCCACAACCGGAAATATGCTCACTTTTCGCCGTAGAAGATCCTTGAGGAAATTGAATTTTGTAGTAGATAGTCTGCAGAATTAATGAAGCATTCTTCATTTTGATATCAAGTGAAAATAGTTGTTGCTGAAACCGGGTCAACAATGCTTTATGATAAAATGCAATATCTGTGAACAAACTCTGGTTTGAACAATGGACGCCCCTCCACGCGAATTACGGAGAGGTTCCGGAATTTCCAGTCGGCAATATGACGTCGTTGCTAAGCATGCTTTTCGAATGATCTATATATTACAATAAGCGAGAAGACCTTCTTTCTATAATCAATCAGCGGTGACTTTGACGTTGTGTCGATGTGTTACAGCGCATACTTTTTTATTTTCATGTTGCTATGGTGAACGTTGTAGAGTCGATTCGTTGGAGCAAACGGCCATTTTTAATTTCCCAAAGAGCTTGACTGTGATAACACCATCAATGATCATGTCAGACGATATCATGTCAGACGATATAGGTAGATCTGCGCTGTCTCATTGTTGATGTGGACCGAACGGTGACCGCATTTTATCAATTACTTTAATGTGATGCCAATGTCTGTGAAACTTTTGATATTTATGACAATGTTTGGATATAATCCGGGGTAAAGAATCATCTGACCACCTTGGAAGGATTGGATTTTTCGATAATTCTTGGAAATTGCGTATGTTTTTTAATGACGCTGAGACAAAATTGAACCGTTTTGATTTCCCCTGTCGGACTTGGGTTTTCCGGAAGATGCTTATTTGCAAGTTTGACTTTGAGATAGATAGGCACTTTCTCTTTAGCTGCAAAAAACGGGCTGGGTTGCTTCAATGGCGAACCCAGCAGGTTACAGTGATAAACTTTAAAATCTATAAAGCCATCTTCCCAGATCCTTGATTACTTAATCGTTCCGACCGATATAAAAGGCATGTCAGCCAATGGTCCCGAATTGAAAATAAACTGTCTGACTTGCAAAAATCTCGAGGATATGATGTAAATACGACGCTTCAAGGCTGGGATCAAAAAATTCCGAAATTGATCCAGTCATAAAAAAATCTAATCAAAAGGTGCTTTAGCTCCATTTCATCCCAATGATAACGATTCTTTTGGGTCAGTTAATTCCGTCGGATTTTTCGTACTACCGAGCGGCGGGAAGATTCTGAACGAAATCAAGGGTACAAATTCTGTTTTTTTCAGGGTGCATTGCATTGGAGCGACATCGGAAACCGAAAATGCAGAGTAAAAAAAAAATAGAGATGGAAAGGGGAGCCTTGTGGTTAAATGAATGACGTCCAGGATTGGTCGAGTCGTTCCTGTAGTGTCGCCCTGGTGTGAAATCATCATGTTTCAAATTTTTTTTTTCTGCGGTTAGTTGGTTTAAATAGAGCCATCGGATGGCGCGGGGGACCTTGTCTCCCTTTTTTGACTCTTTTCCTTTACTTTGTCATTATGGATTCGAGACATGCCGGGCTTCGTCCCTTTGTCGTTTTCTGCGTTGTCATTGCCAGTTTAGGTGCGATGAACAATGGTTTCAATACAAGTTCCCTGAATATTCCCGCTTCCGCTATTCGAAAATGTCCCGGAGTCCCCGAGGGGCAAGTCACCTACTATCCCAACTCGCCATTGCCTCAGTGCTTGCCCATGGGCGATTGGATTTGGTAAGTGAATAATATAAAAACGAAGTATCTACCTGTGGATCAAAAAGTGTCTCATCATTCCATGTGTTCAGGGGTGTGGCAACCGGTATGTTTGCCATTGGTGGTTTACTAGGTGCTATGATGTGCGGTCCCATGTCTCAAAAATTTGGTCGTCGTGATTCCATGATTATCATCAATATCAGTTTCTTTATTGGTGCCATTTTACTGTCTACTTCCGTTCACTCTGCTCAGTTTGCTATTGGTCGTATTTTCGTCGGTATTGGTGCTGGTTTCATGACCGTCGTCATCTCCATGTATATTGCTGAAACCTCGCCACCAAAATACCGTGGTGCCTTGGGCTCTTTCTTGCAGTTGTTTGTCACCCTCGGTATTCTAATTATTGAAGCCATTGGTCTTGGCTTGACATCTGCCGTTGGCTGGCGTATCGTGGTGGTGATCACCGTTGTGCCTGCCATCATTCAAATGATCTGTCTTCCTTTCTGTGCTCGTTCCCCCCGTTGGCTGATCAACCATAACCGCATCGATGAAGCCCGTCTTGAACTACTGCGTCTCCGTAAAGGCGATGTGGAAGAAGAATTTGCCGACATCTTGCTCAACCTTTCCAAGGGCGGAGGTTCCAAGACAGCACGCGAAAAGCAGCAACAACAAGGAGAACAAGCCCATCCTTCCAACGATTCACAAGTCTATGCTCAGAATGGCCGATCCGACATGCAACGCAATGATCAATCCCAGCAAAACCTTTCTGTACCTTCTTCCAATGCTGTTACCAACACCACCTCTCGTGGAAGTGACGAAGATTCCGCGGCCAACTTTGACAACAAGGCAGACAAGACCGAAGCCGCCGACGAGCCTTACGAGAGCGAAGTGAGTTTGACATTCTGGCAGGTGATGTCTATCCGCGTGTTGGCTATCTTGACGTTGAAGATGATGGTCGTCCATATGGCCGGTCAGCTCACGGGTATCAATGCTGTCATGTATTACTCGACCTCCATTTTTGAAAATTCGTTTGGTGACGATGCCAAGTATGTCACTGTTGGTGTGGCTGGTCTGAATGTGTTTATTACCCTCATTGGTCTCGCTTTGATCGACAACTTGGGTCGCAAGAAGCTGTTGTTGATCTCTTCTACGGGCATGTGTATTTTCGCTACATTGATTACCATTGGTTTGCGATTCAATGTCGGTCCTCTGCAGGTAGTGTGCGTAATGCTGTTTGTCGCATCGTATGCTGTGGGTCTCGGTATGGTTCCTTTCATTATCACTGCTGAAGTGTATCCGACGTACGCTGTGGGTGCAGCTTCTTCCGCTGCTCTGATGGTCAACTGGCTTTGCAATTTCATCATTGGTCTCGTATTCCCCGCGCTGCAAAGCGCTTGCGGTCCCTATGTGTTCTTGATCTTCACCGGTATTACCTTTTTTGTTACCATTTTCATCATCTTTTTCGTCCCCGAAACGAAGCAAAAGTCCATTGAGGATCTTGGACGTGAGCTGGGTTGGGCTGGTCTTGATACCCAAGCCATACTGGCCAAGGCCAACAAGAATGATCATCATAAATAATCCCGCTTAAATTCTTAGTCATATAGATAATCTCGTCCCCTCTGTCACTCATATGTAAATTGTAATTTTCCATTTCTTTGTGTTATGATAGTAAAAAGAAATAATTTAGAACCGCCATCGTTTCATTGTCATCATGTGAACTCGCTCATCGAGAAAATGTTTTTATCATTTTGTCATTCGTAGACGAATAATGTTCTGCTCCATCCCAAACAAGGATGATTTCATGTTCATGATGGTGCTACATAATATGCTGATACAGTAGCAGAGTAAATTATGCGGTGATGATGATGGTAATGTTACATCTTCTTTGGCCGTCGCATAATGAATCGGTTTCACCACTTAAACTGGACTTCGATGCTATATAAAATTACAAGCTGTTTTTTTCAGACCAGCTTTCAGTCGAAAAAAATGTCATCCAAGCCTACTGAAAAAGAATCTGGTCAAGAACTCCAAGTCGGCCCTAGCGTCGAGCAACCTGGAAAGCAACCCACGGAACCTTCGCATCCCAATCGGCAAACGACGGTCTACATTGCCGCTTCGCACCGTCAAGATCGCTCGACAGAAGCCAAGATGGAAAGTGCACGAAAGGCTAGCTTGAACTACTCGGAAGGTAAAGAACCCTAATGACATTTTTTCTTGGCCATTGAACTTGACAAGCTAACACGCCATGATGACAAAATAGAAACCGGCCAACCCTTGTATATCAACGAAGCCGGCGAAGCGATCAAGCCTGAAGATGTGGCTGAGGAATAAAAATATCGACTTCTTCTTTGTACTGTAATCTCTCGAATGCAGAAAATTTAAGGAAACCCCAATAAAAATGATTAGCATAGCGCAGCCCAATTGATTCGCATAAGATGTGGTTCCAAAAAGGGAATGAGGTTTTTAAAAAGCAAACGTTGTATATTTTTTGATTATCAAAAGAATGAGTATGAGTTATGCTTTTGTTGGTTTTTTTTTGTTGGAGAGGAAAGGGTGTTGATTTTTCTATCCTTGTCTTTGACGGGGAGCACATCGAATGATATCGTCAACTCTGAGGATCATTTCTGCTGCTTCCGATGCCGACAATAAGACTTGTTTCTTCAGTTTGAATGATTCTGTGATTCCCAATTCTCGCACATCCGCGACGACACCATTCACCATATCAAGACCACTGGTAGTTTTATCTTCATAGTGGGCGGCCCTTAATTGAGCAACCAGTTCGGAAGAATCAAAACCGGCGTTATCGGCCAAAATGGTAGGCATTTGACGCAAGGCCTTGGAGAAGGCTTCGGCGGCAATGGCTTTCTTGCCGGCCGTCTTGGCCGCCACTTGATCCACGGCACGCGACATCAACATTTCCGAACATCCACCACCAAGCACCGTGCGAGGTTCACGCACCGTTTGTGACAATACGGACAAGGCATCATGAAGTGATCGTTCGGCTTCATCCAACAACTGCTGTGTCGCACCACGAAGCACAATAGTACATGCTTCACCAGCAGCCACACCCGAGAATTTGATGAGCTACAAAGGAAAAAAGAAAATTCACCGTTTGAATACATCTAGGCTTCAAACTAAAAATGATAAAGTAGGTGGATGGACTTACTCTGTCTTCACCAATGATGACTTCTTCAATCACATCACAATGACCCAACTTGACCAGTTCAGGATGATCAAAAGTAGATGCAATTTCACCACCTTTTTGAAAGTTTGAAGAAAAGTTAGGTCCACACATTTACCCATATTTCCCATCTTACAAAAAAACTTTACGATGTTCGTACCTGTGACAAGTGCTAATCTTTCAACACCTTCGAAGTCGGCGTGTTCGATGGTGGCGATACCGGCATCGGCTAACAATTGCTCGGGCCAATTGTAGATCAACTGACGATTGACAAAGCAGTTGATACCGTGAGCTTTGATCTTGTCAACCTTTGCCTTCATCTTATCACGTTCAGCACGTTCTAATTCAGCGAGTTTGCCAGTAGCATCCACGCGGACACGAGCACCAAAGATTTTGATTTTATCGGTATCCATGGCTTTAAGAAAAAAGAAAAAGAAGACGATATGAGTACCAGAACATTGGATCACTCTGTATTCTTTTGTACTTACGGGTGTTGGCAATCAAGATATTGGCATTTTCAATTCTTCTTGGGCAGTTGACGCCAATCTTCTTGTCCAAGATGAAGCCTATAAAGCGGTTTTTGGATTGAGTTACCGAATAATTGGAAAAAAGGGGTCCATGATCGAACATGGAGTGATTGAAGTTTAGGTGAATCAACTTACCTTCATCCAAATAAGAATCACAGAGCTTGCCACCGGACTTTTTGATGATTTGGATGTTTTCCAAGTTGGTGGAACCTTTCAAACGAAGCACAGCATCGACGGCTAGTTTAGAAAAGTACTCCTTATCCTGGGACAGGACCTTGGAGCTTAATGTAGTGCGGGCGATGTTGATAAGATCTTCTCTGAACTTGGCTTCGTCTTGGCTGTTGTCGACGGCGCTGTTTTCCAAGGTTTTGTAAGCGGCCGCGGAAGCCAGACGATAGCCCTCAATGATCGTTTGAGGATGAATGCGCTGATTGACCAAATGTTCGGCTTCACGCAAAAGTTCGGCTGCCAACACACACACCGAAGTTGTACCGTCACCGACTTCGTCATCTTGCACTTTGGAAATGTTGACAAGCACTTTAGCTGCTGCATTATCTAAAGCGATCGATTTCAAAATAGTCGCGCCATCGTTGGTCACCAAAATCTCGCCAGTCGAAGCCGATTGCAAGATTTTGTCCTGGAAAAGGTCCAAGGAAAAAAAAATGTCATTAGCCCCCCGAAATACCACGTCAGCTCTAATCACTCATCTCGCAACTCTTTTTCGACACTTACCATGCCCTTAGGACCTAGTGTGCTTTTCACAAGATCGCCCACAGCGATAGCACCGATAAACGAGGACTAGTCGAAAATAGATTAGAAAAACAAACTTTGACAACGGGGCTCAGCTGTCATCCGGACTTACCAATCGTGCGTTTTCAGCTCGCTCCTCGGTTGCTTGATCTTGGAAAATCTGAACGGGTGCCAAAGACTAGAAAAACCGAATAAATAGTGTAAGTTAGAAAACGGGGTTGTTCACTCAAGTCATGATGTTTCCAGTGGTCATTTACCATTTCGTTGGGTTAGATGATGAAAGACTGTCAAAAACAACGCGTGCACCGAAATTTTTGTGTTTGCTTTTTTTCTCGGCCGTTGAAATCCGGCCAATCAAACAATCAAGACAACCTCCGTTCAACCCATCATCACTGTACCTTGACCCCGAAGTTTTCGCTTTCAACCACCAGGTCCAAAGAAAAAAGATTTTCAATATGTAATTCGAGACGGAAGATGTTGTCTCCATAATTATGTATAGTTAGGTACAATGACTGCTTGAGAGTTGTAAGCATCTCTTTAGTGAAAAGTTTTAATAGAAAAAGACGCTGTACGTCATCCGCTATTGGGTCCGAGCTGCTACATATTGAGTTTAATGTTACTTGGATATCGAAATATAAATATGACAAAGGTAGGGTCGGTAATGGAAATGCAATGATATTTTCACCTAGGAGGTTGTGACAGTTGCCATTGCAAACAAGGCAATGGCAATAAATGACTTATTTACTACAGGAACTACATCTAGAAGAGATAAACTAAATCACAGTGGAAGTAAGAGGCAAGTACGAGGGACAGTAGAGGCACCACAGAGGTCAATCGGGTATATAAATTGGTAAGATATAGATGGTATGTATCACGTAACAGGTTCAAGCGCATCGAGCGTCGAATCGTTTCAAGGAGTGGTAGTTCATTTACGACGAAGGGGTGGTTTGGCAGTTGCGGAAGCGCTAGTAGGTGTCGGATCTGCCTTTAATTTTCTCTGAATGCGTTGAGGAGGCCCACAGTTGGCCAATGTCACGGGTTTTCTTATCCGACCATTTAATCTTTTAGGTGTGATGGATGTGAACCGGTATTTGGGTCGTTCCCCGGCCGCTCGTTTCAAGATTTGTGGTGGCCTTGTCGTAGTCTCGCCCGTAATGGTGTTCGTGGTGCAGCGGCCTATACGGTATGTTCGCCGATGAAAGTATTTATAAGGCCGTTCGTCTACCTTGTCGCTGCTTTTCTCAATCACTTGGCTTGGTTCGCTTTTTTCACTATGTTCACTACGTTCGCACTGTTGACTATGTTCGCTTCTTTCACCGTCATTGGTATCGGTGATTTTTTGCCGTTTTCTGTTCTCTTCATCATTTTGGGAGATCGCATCATCGGATCGTTTGGTTCCTTTTTGAACAGGTGAGTCTGTATCTGTTGCCTTGTCGATTCCACCAATCACTGCTGTGGATGGTATGAATTCGTTCATTTCTTGAGATGCGGTAGCTTGGAAGACAGGGGATCCGAAGGGTAGCTTATTTTCCGTTTCTGTTGACAACGACGTATGAAGATTGGAAGCAAGCTCGTTTTGACTGTCGCAAGCAGGAGACGGTACGAAAGGAATATCAATGGCGGTGCTAATGCCCGTTTCTGTGGTATCAGGGGATGAGCCCGTAGTTGCTGTATCGGCGTCTTTTGATTCTTGCGAGCTGTGTACAACCGAAGTGGGTGGTTGCACGTCACCGGTGGTAACTGCATTGGTGAGAAGAGGTGAAGAGGTTGGATAAGCTGGTGTTTGCTCGTCGTTAGTTGCTCGACTATGTGAGACGGAGGAGGTTGGTTCCGACTCGGGATGAAGGGTTTCTGCGGATGTAGAGGGGATGTTCTCCTTATTGGCGGGATGGTTACGTGATCGTTCCGAAATTGGAGCAGTGGTAGGTTTGGGTCCAGCCGTAACATGAGTGTTTGGTTTCACTGCCTTGGCAGCGGTGGTATTTGCGTGAGCGGTTGATCCTTTGGCGGGGTTGGGGGTGGCGGCGAGCGATTTGCGTACGTCGGCGGGAAGTTTGGCGTTAAAGGTCGCAGATCGTTGCGGTAACTTTTCACAAAAGCTTGCGTAGAATAGCCGTGCTGCATTTCGTACTTCGGCAGCGGGATCGACAGCGGCGGTCATGAGAGCGCTTTCAATATTTTTGGCGTAACGTTGGACGTCGCGTGGAGCGTTGACCTGGAGGAGTTTGGCCAGGCACTCGTTGACACATTTTCGAACGGATTTGTTGGGATCCTTACGGAGGAGACTGTCGCAAAGACGGGGAATCGATTTTGGAATTTTGGAATTTTCAATCACGGCTTTGTAACATTCCAATGATCGCATATTGGTCACTTTGTTGGTGCGAGCGAAAAGACGCAGTAAGGTGGGAGCAAACAGGTCATGGATCTTTTCATAGTCTCCTTCCATCGCACTGGACAGTTTCTTGAGCAAATCAATAGCTGTACCCGATAATCGGGTTCGATCGGTTGTCATCTATAAATAAAAAGTGAAAGCTTTAGCGGTTCTGATCGGATAAAGGGCTTTTTTGAAAAGAAATACATACAGCTCTGATAATGGGTCGCTGAAGTGCTTTCATATGATCCACAAAGCCGGCGTATTCATGCACGCGATCTTGCTCAGCCCACAAAGCGATGTTTTGAAGAGCTCTGTCAAAGGCTTCCCAAGTCTGATCCGTTTCTGCCTGCTTGAAAAGAGCCTCTGCTCGCTTCATTTCTTTCGCCAAGTCTGCCTTGGAATAAATCTACGACAAGAACACATTCAGATCAACTAGTTCAACCAGCCTACTTTATGGAAGCTACCCTGATCGGTTTCTTTGGATAGTTCATCAGTTGAAGAGATGTACAGAATTAGCCAAAGAGTTGAGCCAAATGAACAAGGAAAGGTTAAAATTCGCGACGAAAAAGCAGAATCAGGGAATCCAAAAGTTGTGACCTTTCACGTGTTTTACGCGTCACAGAAATACTTGCCATTTCGGGAAATCAGTAAATCCATTTTTTATATTGGTTGAGGAGCTCAAGGTGGGGTTACCGGTCTAAGAGGTGTTGTAACGACAGAACACTTGATAGCGTATGCATCTTCGACGATTGAGTTGCAGGTACTTTGTCGTGGTCATTTTGTAGTTTATACGGGTAGCCTTATATGTTGGTTTTTTTTGTGCCCGATTTTATTTTGGCCTAAAAGAACACTGTCCTTCTTGGTTGCAATGCTTTCTTTGGTATACTGGTATGAATGTCTGAGGAGAGTTTTATTTCAAAAAATAATGTGCAGATAATTCAATAAATGTAAGTTTGCAACGTTGGCTACGCTACTGCCTCCTGAAGCTTTTGTGCAAGCGAGAGGTCGAGCGCCAAGTCAATAACCACGGCTCGCACTCTATGCTGGCTGGATAATGGCAATTGCCAAACATAATTTAGTTACAGCTGCTGCCTACGATCAAGCTTGGCAATTCGTTGTGTTGGTATCTGAGGATAAGTGGTTGCATTGGGTTGACTCTTACAGAATGGGTCAGCCAGGCTGTCAAAAAGACAGTCACGGAATGAATTTCTTATTGCATGCGAGGCAACGAATTTAAAAGGAAAAAAAAGAAGGCACTTGCAAAACGACGTTCTCGGAATCCTTTATGACGGTCGACATTACATTCAAGCAACTGTACGAGAATTCAAAACTTCTTGTACCGTCTTCGCATTCTCGGTCGTTTCCGCTGCTAGAGCGTGGTCTGCAGCAGATCGAAGCCGAGCAACAGGCACTGGGAGCCAAAACGAACCATAATCAGGAACTCTACGCACAAGCGTAAGTGACACGTCAGCTCTTTGACCTACGCGTTTCCGATCGCTAAACCCTTTGGCGTAGAGCTTATCTCTTGGAGCAGAATGGCATCAATAGTCAGGAATTTTCCCAAAATTTGAACGCCATTAGCGACACGGCGATTGTCTGCGAACCCGTGGAGATTATTAAAACCACCGATGTCGAAGTAAATATATACAGCACCATTAACTCTAGTTTTTTGTGCTCATTGCTTTCACTTGCTTGTAGAAATTTCTTCAACAAGTCCACGAAAACAACATTATCGACATTATTGAGAGTGACAGACAACAAGTACGGAACGATCGATCGTTTTTTCTTTTTTTCAATGGCACGACCTTGATTCGCTTATTGCGTTTTTTCTATGTGTTAGACAAATCAAGACTTTGAAGCGCTCGTCAAGCAGTGCACGAACCGTGATTGGAAAGACCTGGAACAGCAGCTTATTGTAAAGAAGGATGAAATAACGACACCGGAGGCTAGCCGCCCGATACCAAAGAATGATATTAGCGCACTGGTATGTGGAGCGTGTTTTGATGAATGATTGCAAGGCCAAAAGCTCACCTTCATTTCCCACCTTTATCGATCTACAGTCACCCGCTGATCGTCAAGCGCTGCAAAGACGCGTATCACAATATACACCCGTTGTTGCCGACCTTAATCAAGCACGACTGCAGGGTCAACGATTTCCTTTAGTGGAGAGCTTGCAGAAGTTGACGTCCGCCGAGACAGCGGTCAGCAGGGTACGTCGAAACCTACGTCAGGTCGCTTTCTTTGATGTTTACTCATGCTTTTATTTTTACAGGAACAGGACAGAGAACAGGATGCCTGGCAGCTTGTGGCCGAGATTTCAAAGGAAATGGACCCGCCCAGTTTGCCACAACAGACAGGAGGAAATTCATCACGTCAGCCGATCGATTCCACCAGCAAAATGCAACGCTTGTTGGCGGCTTCTAAAAAGTGGCTCGAGAATCAGTGAGTATTTACGTTGGATCCTTGAGTTATGGGTGATATTAACTGTCTTTTTCTTTGCAGGTGCGTCAAGCATATTGATCAGACACTGGTTAAATACGCACACAAAGCACAAATAGGTGGTCTATCGTCCTTTACCCATCGCTTACAGGCTTACATCAACCTCATGTATAAATACCACAATAATTGGATCGACGCTCGACTAGAGGTAAAAAGCAACTCCACCATCAACATCCCAATGCGACAACCTTGATACTCACTCAAAGGTACTAGATTGTCAATGATATGCCCATTTGGCTGCTGGTTTATTTGCTTTTACGGTGTGGCCGACCCAAATCCGCGCTAAAATACATTACAGAAACCTATGCGAATTTTAGCGACTGCCCATTGTTGATCACCTCTTTACAAGAATATGTCAATAGCGCAGACCAATGGTGAGGAACTTTACCAATGCAACGATATGATCAATCGATGACTCATTTGGCCCCATAGTCTAAGCAAAAAATCGCGAGACGCGGTAGTGACGCAGTATCAGCAATTTGCTTACGGTCAAAATACCGTGGATCCTTACAAGCAGGCCGTATTCAAAATCATTGGACGATGCGAACTCAACAAGAAAAACTTGGAAGTGACCCGAACTACTGAAGATTATTTGTGGTTACAGGTAACCTTGTCGCCGTTTCGACCCGTGCGTTTTCATGTTACTGAAACTAACTGGGCTAATGTCTACACAGCTTACGCTGATTCGCGAAAAAAATGCGGAAGAATTTGGTTATGAGCGTTACCAGTTGCGCGACTTGCAAGCGCTCATTGTCGAAAACGGACCACAGCCGTTTGAAGCCCAGAATAGCAATCCATGGGTGTACTTTAAGGTCTTATTATGTACACTCCAGTTTGAACGGGTAAGACGGCTTCCAAGCAAACAGTCAAATTTTATATTAAATCATGGTACTAAATGAATGATTAGGCGATCCACTACTTATATAGTAAACCGACCGCGCAGGTGGAAGCTGTTCACTTTGCCATCGCATTAGTTTACCATGGGCTCTTGAACACGAATGCTGACCCTGCTCCCGCCAAAGACGATTTGTGTAAGTGTATTTCGAATTAGACTTGTGTGCACTGTCGGTAACTTATTGCGTATGGGTTCAGTTTCGGTGAAGGAAGATGGCAATGCACAATTAGATTTTGCCCCGCTCATTTATCAGTATCTATCCAAATTCGACCTCGGCAATGTACAAGCAACCCTACACTATTTATATCTCATCACATTATGCACGCGCCATCCTATCGATCCTCGAGATGCGGTCACCGCCCTGTGTCACTCGTACATTCGCGAATTATCATACACAAGCAAAGATTTCAAAGAAATTCTTGGTACCACCAGCTCCAGCTTGGGGCGACAGGCGGGACTTTTAGATCAGTACAAGTCTCTCATCGGTATCAGCAGCGAAAAGGAACTCATCAAACGGATCCTGGTTCCGGTGGCCGATCGGTATCGTCAGAATAGCCGTTACAGCGAAGCGATCTATGTGTTTGAATTAGCTTCCGATTACGATCAAGTCGTCGATATTCTCAACAAGCAGTTGTGCGACGTTTTGGAACAGCCGCAACCTTCGCAGGAAACGTGTGATGCTGTCATCAAGTTCTCTACCGACACACTTCGCCATTACGGAGAGCAGCAGCACATCAGTGAAGTGATAAAGGAATCAAAGAAGAGAACGCTCCGCGTGCTGGCCTACTTTGTGCAATGTCGGGCCCTGTATCATGCCGGACAATATGAGCAAGCGTTGCAGCTGATTCGACAGTGCGGTGTCGTGCCTCTCAACGACGACCGAGGCCAAGTACAGCAGGCCGCCGATCAGTTTATCATGTTTGAAGAAATGGTGGCGAAAAATATTCCCGATGTCCTTTTGATGGTCATGGATATGCTGTACAAGATTTGGCACTCTTACATCTCGCAGGCTGCACTACGGCCCTTGATCGTTCAAGAAATTTCACGAATTGAAGAGAATGTACGCGTGGTGTTGGCTTTTGTCGGTATGATTCAATTCAAGATCCCCGCAGATACCATGGTCAAACTCAACAGGTAAAAAGTGGAGTGATAACAAGAGGAATGAGTTTTTGACTTTGTGGGCTCATTTCAATGTATGATAGGGCCGAAATGACCATGTCAAGTGATCGAGATCGATTAATGTTACGATGATACAACAAGTAAAGCAGCATCCCAAAATAAATAAAAAAATTACATTGAAAAAAAGAGTCAAAATGCCAAATCATATTACAGGTGTTTTTCTTTTTTTTGCTTTTTCGCTGTGTGAAGATCTATTGTTCAAATACATGTGGTTTTCTTATGCGTTTCTTCGTTTTAAAAAGTTACCCAAGGGGGTTTGTTCGAATTGCACGTTTCTTAAGAATGATAAGACGTCGTCCACCTTGGATGCTGTGTACTCTATCGGTGCCCGTTTTTGCTCAATGTAGTTCTTGTGTGTTTCCAATTTCTCAATCAGCGCTCGCAACGATTTTGCAAACCGCGTGCCTTTCATTCTCTGCTGCTGATCTTTCAACTATAGGGACACAAGAAAAATAAAAAGATCAATATCGTACTTTCTTCGAACATTCTCCGCGTGAATAGGTTACCTTGTCAATGGCGGGAATGGCTAGTTCCGGGAACGCAACGGATAAACCAAAACAGGCATAGAAATCAACCAGACCATCGTAAACGGCCTTGAATACCGCATCTTGGTACACTTTGGTATGCATGTACTCTTTCGGGGTCTTCAAGTGCAAATCCCAGTCAAACGGTTCGAGGGACGCGACATCAGGCTGGCTCTTGAAGATATCGTTTCCGAAGATCTCGAAAAGATGAGGAGCCAATGGAATATAGTAACCGGTGGCATCAATGATATTTGTCAACATCTTGAGAATGTGAATGCGTAAAGGTAAAAATTGAGCAGTGGGATTCAGTCTAACAAACAAAAACCATCAATACACTACATTTTTTTATCCTCCCTGTCCACGTTGTCTAGCGCTTTTACCTCAATGTGTGCAGTGCCACTTCGATCAACGGATACACAATGGCCTGCATCGGTGACTGAGCACCAGAAACAGGATCGCATGTAACGCTTAAAACATTGCCCCAGAATTCAAGACAATTGATAAATTGCCAGGTATAAATCGCCTTGAAACTGTCGATGGTAGATGCCTTTTTCGCATTCTTCAGATGGGTCGCGAGTTGACGGACATACACCTGAGCATGCACGGCACTGTTCTTGGTGTCGATGGTGTAAAAGTCGGCGGCTTCCTCCAACATTTGCTGAACGACCGGTAAGCTGGCCGCATTGATCTTGACCGCCCGTCGCGCGAACACGAGGTAAGAGCCTTTCAGCACATGACCGAGGTAGCTCTTTTTTTCCGCATCGATGGCCGTAGCAGCAAAGTCACGAATCGTCTGGTATACCTTTTGACGTGTTTCGGAAGACAACGTTGTGTCGGCCCAACGATCCAGCAAGACACGCAGGTATTCTGTTGACGCCTTTTGGAAATATCCAAAGTACGTGGCAAGCGGTTGCAAGTGACTCACAGCCCACTGGATCATGTCGTCCTGGTCGAAGTCTTTCAAGAGACGTGTGGCATTATTCAGATAAAGCTCCACCACAGGTGCAATTTTTGGCCAGTATTTCGTTTTGCTCGGATGGTTATGTTTTTTCGACAACACGATATGTTGACTCAAGATGGCGTACGTGACTTCAAACGTTTTACGGATCAACTTGTTGTACACTGGATTAAAAGGAGCAACACGTTACATAAGTATATTGATGCTGACTATTGTCATCAGGGCTTTCAATATTACCTTTATGACTGCTTATACGATACGATGGTTCTTCAATATCCTCATCTGATCTGGCAATCGCTCTAAACGCCAACAAAAGTCTCTTCAACGCTTGAGGTGATTTTTGATCAGCTTCACGAGACCAATTTCGGAACATGTCCATCGTCACGATTTCCCCATTAGCGTCGTCGTCTTCTTCACTCTCATCGTCCTCGAGTTCGTCATTGCTTTCCATTAGTTCCTCCTCTTCCTCCTCCATATCCTCGTCGTCTTCCTCCTCATCGTCCTCCGATTCCGGTTGAGCATCGTTAGTCTCTGCTTTCACTTCATCGGTCTCCATAATCTCGTCATCGACAACCGCAGTAAACTGATCCAAAGCATTTAAATCGGCTTCTATATCGTTGTTGAGATCGAGCGATTCTTCGGGATCGAGCACATAGCCTGCGAAAAAGGCGCTCACGTCGCCTTGGTCATCGCTATTACAAAACAGTTAGCGATCTACCGTTTAAGGTGTTATTTTTCGCCTTCAACTCACGTTGTTTCTTCAGAGTCCTTTTGTTCTGCTGTCTCTCCCTTTGGTTCAGCTGATGCTAGAATACAAGAATGGTTTAAATAGGGTCCATGGGCTCTAACAAGGATGAGTCGGTTTGTACCTGCGGTTTTGTCTGGGCCGCGATTGCGTCGAGCTTGACGGCGAGCTACTTGCTGCTTGAATTTGGTATTTTTCTTCCGTCGCTCTACCGTCTGCTTGAGCTTATTCTTTTGAAATTTGATGGTGGCTTTCTTTGCTTTGGCCATGGCTGATCGTTTAAAGTAGATCAATTTCTCGGGCGCTTTTCCCTCCCTTTTTTTACCAGGAAGTTCTCTGTGACACGTTTTCGTAGATGGCTTGGCTGTTCATGCAAAATGGAAGGCCGCAGCGAAAAATTTAAAGCTGCGTTGGTTGCTTCAGCCTTTGAGCAATTTCGAGCAAAGATAACGGATCCCACGATTACCTTTAATCAAACAATAAATTATCATAAAGGATATGCTCACTAGAAATTTTATGGAGTAAGGCTCCATTCTATGTGCATATCGTAACCACTTTTTAGAGAAGAGAGCATACGCACCAGCTTTACATTTACAAGAAGCAACTAGCACAAACATTCGAAGAACTACACAAAGTTTATTTTACGCATGGATCTGGTTACTCCATTTTCATGGCCTCTTTACAATGTGGCACTTTATTTTCACCATCGTTTCCCTTGCTCAAAATAATGATGGGTTCCCCACTTTCCGCATCTTTTTTCATCGATATGGGAGCTCGTTAGAACGATTGATTTTGCTAGACGTGCCTTTTTGGTAACCGAGGACCCAGATCAAAAATCGACGGTAGCCAAATTTGGGCCGTTCGTTGTAAAAAAGAGGGATAGGACGTTATCGACACTATGGAATGTACAGGAGCAAACTTCATATGAAAAAATTTACTTTCAAACAATGACGGAAAACGATGAATGATAAGCCGAAAAAAGCGCGTTTTTTTTTTTTTTTCTCTTTTAGCTACCAACTGAGAGATGATGGATGACAAGCATTGATAGCACTTTTTTTTTTTTGCTACATCCGTTTCAGAGCATCCTTTTACTGACTTGGTCTTCATTTTACAGTAGGTCAGCTAAATCTCTTTGGCAGTGTCGGTGGTACAGCAACTCTTGGCGGTGCAATATGAGGTAAGTGAAGTAAGGTAAATGAAGTGTGTGGGTTAAAAGAAAGACACTGCAAAAAATAGACCAGGCGGACAAAACGCGAGGAGGGAGGAAGAAAAAAAAATGGCATTGCCTGCAGTAAAAAAAAAGCACCGCCAGGGAAAAAAAAAACTTTGGCCGACAAAGGAAGAGGAAAATGGAAAAAAATTGGAAATGAACGTGAAAGTGGGGATTTGGGATGAGGTGGATGAGGTGGAGAGGAAGGTATGGGAGTTGTGTGGGGGTGTGTGTGGAGGAGAAGGAATGGTGGGGGCGGTAGCTGACCTTTTTGTAGGCAGACAATTCGAGCCGGTTGCTGTGAAATGGTAAGTTTCTATTTTCCCTTTTTTCGGTTATCATTTTGCTTGTCATCCATCATCCTCCGTCGCTGTCTGCCTCTTGCCCTTATTGTATGGAGCGTTCCATTGGCCCAAGTTCCGCTTCTGGTGACTGTATAGTGTAGTATAGTAGCTATTGTACTTGTGATATGCTTGCACTGGTTGGATATGTATAATAGATCACTTGCAAATAACAATGCTTTATTTTTCGTTTTCACTACCCATTAATCGCTAACGAAAAATCAATTGTGCATGGTAAATTGATGAACAGTATCATTTGATTTATTGTAACTCGTTTACAGCATATGCAGCGCATTTATCAATTCCATCAGTAGTATTCGTTGGTCTTCTTGGGAAGACATGCTTGATATCCGCCGCTGATGCATGGCTGAATTTTTTCACAAATCTCCCGACCTTTTTTCAAACCGCGCCATAACAAAAATGATTTGGTTGTGCCAAGGTCAGATCTCGACTTGTCTAGATCATGAGCGATTCCATCCGATGTCTTGAGTTCTTTTCGGGCATTGGCGGTTTGGTAAAGCAGAAAAGATATCTTATAAAGATTGAGCTCCTCTTTGCTTACTGTACTATAGCATTATGCAGTCAACATTGCTGGCGTGGACGCCCAAGTCATTGCCGCCTTTGACGTCAATGAGATCGCTAACAAAGTGTACGAACACAACTTTAAAAAGAAGCCGTTGAATGTAATTTATTCTGTTTTCATTCAACTCATCACATCCGGATCTCACACTCTATTTTAGAAAACGATTGAACGGTTAACACCCAATGACATTGCGAAGTAAGCAGGAGAATAGGGCCGTGGATATTGACGTTATTTATTCATTGGCCAATAGATACAAAGCTGACTGCTGGCTTTTGAGCCCTCCGTGTCAAGTAGGTGCTGCTGCAGCTGTAAGCTAAAGATTGCCATTAACCACAGCAGTACGGTAGCCTTATACACAAGGCGGCCGCGAAAAGGATTGCGACGATCCCCGTGCCAAACCATTGATGCATTTGATTGATCTGCTTCCACGTCTTGCTGATCCGCCCAGATACCTGTTCCTCGAAAATGTCAAGAATTTCGAATCATCGCAATCAAGACGCAAACTGGTGGAACAGTTGGATGCCCTTGGTTACGAGATCCACGAATGTCTTTTGTCACCCATCCAGTTTGGCATACCTAATCATCGTCTCCGATACTATCTCACCGCGCGACGTTGTCATAACACGCAAGCGAAAAACGACGTTTCTGACAGTTATGTCGATCGGTGCACCATTAACACAACTTGGCCTTTCTCCGAGGAAGCGCACTTTGAGCTACCAGAGTTGTCGATATTTTTGCAACCAGAAGCGGATGACGATGAGCGATACAAAGTACCTTTCAAAGATCTGAAGCGATTGCATAATTTCCGTTTGGATATCGTTCGACCGGATTCTCGAAAAACGTCTTGTGTCACCAAGGTAAAATTAATCTGAGCACGAGAAATTTAGTGTAGAATGGCAGAGGAGGTAAAGAGGGTAAAAAGTTAACGCAATGGATGTCTAGTCGTACGGCTCACATCATATCATGACGAGTGGATCGATGATGCAAACGAAAAAGCTGGAGGTAAGAAGGGACAGCAAAAAATCAATGAAGCAACGGAAGTGTGAATGCCCAACTTTGCCTAGATCACCGAATACGACTGGAGCAACTCAGAGTCGTTGACGGAGCTCGGTCTCCGATTTTTAACGCCTACGGAAATTGCCCGTCTACATGCCTTTCCCCTTGAAAAGTATCATGAAGGTGTGATCAGTAACACGACATCCGTGATGGGTGGCTGCCGGCCGTTTATCGGACCTACGGTACAACCGTACCTTGAGTTTCCATCTTCTGTGACCATTGGTCAGCGATACCGGTTGCTTGGCAATAGTTTGAACTGTTGGGTGGTTGCGGAGTTATTACGATGTCATCTCTTTCAAAGATAAGCGCCCGCACATGGAGCAATTCTGCTTTAAATTTTTTTTTATTTTTTTTTTTCATAGAGATAGACTGATGAAGAGCCATTGTTGGTCCAAACTGTAATGGGATGTACAAAGCAAACATTATAAAAAAAAATTACGACAAAAAATTATGATCGTCCATGATCGGGATGGCCAACGGTCCTGCTTTCTCAAGGCGTCATTTAGCGCAGTAAAATGAGCAAGAGGATAATTCTTCAGGAGAAAAAAGCAGTAAAGTGTGTGAGGATGCATACAAAATATGCATGAGGAGGTTTGAGATGAGAGTATCAAGTTTCCGTCTGAAATTCTTCTAAGTGGATAATAGCATGGCATGTGGGCAGAATGAGGATTGAAAGACGTGCTGGGAATGCTCCATCGTCCATTCTGAAATACTCGGGTGTTAAGATTTTATAAAAGCTGAGGGATTCATTCGTTGCAAAGAAACGGCTTTGCTTTAACCAGCTTCATTTATCCCATGAAATTCATTGCATCTGTCGTTGCTGCCTTCTTCATTGCCACAGTGGCTGCTCAGGAGGCCGCCCCCTCAGTTTACACTACCCGCACTCGCATTGTCAATGGAACGCCTGTCGTCGAAGCTTTAGTCGGTGTCGTCAGCACCGCCACCGAAACTGTCACAAGATACTCTACTGTCTACGCAGCCACCGTCCGTACCCAAGAGAACCTTGGTACGTTGTTGATGACAAAGCTATTTCAAAGAGCTTACAAACCATGAAAAACTAATATCAGGGATTTATATTTTTTTTGTTGTTGCAGTAAAGGGCACAGTGCCCAATCTGTCAAGCATTGTCATCGACCACGGTATTCTTAGCGTTCTCAACACTCTTCGCAGTACCTCATTTTCCACCTTTACCACCACGATTCCTGCCAACGCACCTCTCAGACGACGAGATCTTGCTGATGTTGAAGCTGCTGCCCCCGTTGCCTCCGCCACCGTTTATCCTCAAGCCAACTAAAAAAAAAAAAAGAAAAATTCCTTGGCTAACTATATATTATCCATTAACCTCCTGAAAAAAGAAAAAAACAAAAACACCCTCCCACAATAGATAGTCTGACTTGTATAGAAAATGCTTTCTTATAATGGCTCAATAAAGCTGAGAGATATCGAAAGCTTCTGGTGACATGAAAAAAAAAAAAAAATTGGAAAACAAAGCAAGCCAAAAGGGACATGGGTTTCACTTTCAACAAGCGGAACTAACGAAGATGCAGATGGGTATGAATAGGATATAAGTGATCGTTTTCCTCTCACTTGACTCTTTCATTTTGTTCAACTGAATTTTGCGTCAAGATGAAATTATATTGGTGGATATTACCCTTTTACTATTCCTTAGTGATCGGCCAAGATACGACGGAAAACAAGGGCAGCACAACGTCGTATGATATTGGTGTTTTTACCAATCTGCCTTCTTCACACTTCCTGGATAAATTGCGATTTCGGGGAGGACAAATCCCACTTCACAACGATCCAGTCTCGGTGATGACTTTTGACGATAACCTGCACATCGTCGTCAACGAAGCACCATCACCGGAACAACGGCAACTACTGAAAGACCATCCCGATTGTGCTTCGATTGAACAGAATCGATTAGTTCATGCAGCCCAAGTAAACCTAAATACTGATCCATCTTCTTCTTCTCCCTCTTTTTCCACGCCTGCTGCTTCGCATCTTGCTTCACAAGATCATGTGGCAAATTGGGTACTGAGAATGAATCAATAAAAATATCACTTTTTATGCGTTGAATCATTCTAATTAATTTCTTTTTTTTTGCATGGTCCAGGGTCTGGCTCGTATTGCTCAACGCAACCTACCTCTAGGCTCTACCTTTACCTATCCGGACACTGCAGGTGAAGGCGTTGACATTTATATCGTTGATAGGTGGGTGCTTGATGGTGAAAAGAAAAAAAATGCCAAGATTCTCGGAATAGCAATCCATCTCATTGTTTTATCATTACTAGTGGCGTTAACATAGATCATGAGGATCTGCGTGGTAGAGCGTACTGGGGTATTACAACGATTGATGAACCTGACACCGATACGAATGGTCACGGCACATTTGTAGCTGGCATTGCAGCTGGCACTCAAAACGGGGTTGCAAAGAAAGCGCACATTATTGCGGTAAAAACGCTCAACGCCAAAGCGGCCGGCACGGTGGCGGAAATTCTGAGAGGCCTACACTTTATCAAGTTGGCCGCAGAACGGTCTGGACGAAAATCCATTGTCAAGTAAGTGCCCAGTGATTTCCATATCAGATTAGAAAGAATTCTCCGATGACAACGCTGGCTCCGATACCAACTGTGTTTCTCCTTGTATTGCCAATTCCAGTTTATCCGTTTTGACAAGCAAAAGCGTTGCTCTGAATGAAGCCATCGAATCCCTTACCAGAGCAGGGTTGCTGATTACCGTAAGCGAACTAACATTTTGATTGATCCTACAAGATGATGACAGGGGCAGACGGATCATTGACCATGCGTAATTTTACAGTCCGCCGCCGGTAATCATGAGGGTGAAAACGACGATGTGGTAAGCTGAAAAATCCTTTTTTACAGAAAGAGCTTTATCTGCTGATCCATGTTAATTTTGAAATGAAGAATGCTTGCCATTTTAGTCCTGCCAGTTCACCGTCCAGTATCACCGTCGGATCAACCGATAAAGAGGATGTCATGGCCCAATTTAGCAATCGCGGTCCGTGCGTGGACATCTTTGCACCTGGTGTGAATGTGGTATCTGATAACGCATCGAGTGAAAAAGACACCAAAAAGGCGTCGAGTGGCACTTCATTTAGCTGTCCGCATGTTAGCGGAGTAGCTGCTTTGATGTTTGCAGCCGAGAATATCACTGCTCAGGAGGTCAAACGACGTATCTTAGCAATAGCAACAACCAATACCATACGCCATATTCCAAAGGACGGAACCCCCAATGTCATGCTTTTCACCGGCATCAGCTCGTCTGAATCCGGGGACAGTCCAGTGTATACGGCCATGGCCCCCGATCGCTTGCTCAAATTTGATTGGAAGTCGTTCTTCATGCCATTGGTTGCGTTACTGACACTATTGCACTGATTGGTCCATTTGTCAAGTCACGAAGCTATTTGAATACCCAGAGGCCGCAGCCATTGTCAATCGAAAAACCAATCTTTGGTGAACTCTCCATGCCTGCATTGAACGATCAATCCAAAATTGACAATGAGCTGAAGCACCTATTTCAGATACCTTTGATTACAGACGCAGACACTGCGGATCAGTATTATCAGGCCCATTTCGATCGAATTGCAAGCGCCATGCTGCTTGACTACGATTTATGCATTGGGGAGAACCGGTACAACATGTTGGAGGTGGAAGGCTACTTGAAAACGCAACCGGAACACTTTCACGCCGATCCTTTCTGTCACGGGCATCCTCTGCAAAAACGAAGCGGTGCATGGTTCTTTCATCATGTCGGTTTATCCCATGGATTCCGTGGCGGCAGTCGTAAAGGGGTTGATATCACGGTAGGCGATGCCAAAGAGGGCAGTGCAGGCGGTATGTTGATTCGGGCTATCCAAAACGAGTCGACAGGCCAGCTTATCGAAGGACCCAGTCTGGTGGTGAATGAAATCCTGTCTGTTTTGGGCGAATCCTCGATCAAGAATCTTGTGGAAAGCCACTGGCATGATCATCCTGGCTGGTCGTATGCGGAGGAAAGCCGCTTCTATTTGGCTCCGAAAAAAACGATTCACAGTGGCGTCAAACGAAAAGCGTCCGAATTTGAAATCTACAAATCGCCACGAGTTGGGCTCGGTTTAACGAACCATTCACCGAGCATTGAAATGAGGTTATCCTTTGTGAATCGCCCCTATCGATTTGTTATTTCACCATGGCTGCTCAAGAAAGGGCGAGTTTGGACCATTTTCAACATGTTGGAGACGGAGGTCGACCAGGAAGACATTGCCACCCTCAACGATACCAAGAGCAACATGGTAGCGAAATACAAAGTTGAATACGACCTTGGAAAGGACCTTCCGGTAGAGACGATCAAGTCGTGTCTCAAGAACAAGGATATCGTCCACGGCGGTGCTTGGTGGAAAATTAGAGTCATGAGCGCTATTCAGTGGTGGGCATCCCAGGACGACCCTGTTCAATTTTCATAGAAATTTTTTTTTTTTTTTTTTTTTTTTATCTTTTGTATATTAGAATGTGACATTTTTTTTTGGAAAACATAAGGCTATAAAGCATATGAATGCGGATATTTAGAGTGTACCTTTTCCCAAAGGTACTTTATTGTGTAGAAAAGAAATGAAATAATAAGGTGTTGTTAAAGATTAAGGTCATGCTGTGGGTATGATGCTACTCATCCGGAAGCGCAGCTGAATGTGATGGGGATGATTCAGCTTTGTCCGATGTCTCTGATATGCTTAAAAGTTGTCGTAATGCTGCATTTTCCGCCTTTAATTGTGCCACTAAAGTATTGTCTTTTTCTGGAACATCGCTGTCATAGGCCTGGCGTACAGCTACTGCTAGCTGTTGCAATTGATTCTGCAACATGGTATTCTCGATGAATAATGCCGATGTTGTGCCCTGTTTTTTCGCAACCCATCATTACCGATCATTCCACACTGTTTGTTCATGTCGTCCATACCTTTTCCGCATCCAAGAGCGCCTCATACTCTCGACGCATACGTAGTTGATTATTCATAAAATTGCCCTATGATTTATGTTAGACAGACGCATTTCTGACTGCATAAAAGTAGACTACGCACCCCGTAATTCCTCAGTTTCGAGGCAACGGTTTCCAAGCCGGCTTCGTATTCCCTCAGCAAGGTTTTCAGCTCGTAGTTTTCTGCTTGAAGCTCCTCATTATGGGTCATCACCGTTTGGTGCTGTTGTAACAGGTCGTTATGCTTGGCTAGAATACAGGCCACAGCAAGATCGGCTGAGACGTCTTGCTCCAAGTGATTGAACATTGAAGAGTTCACGTTCTCCTGCTCTAAAGGTTCATCATAATTTCCAGTGAAAGGAAAAAGTCAGTATCAAGCTCCCATTTTGTCACAATTTATGGGATTCTTGAAGAGACTAACCAATACCTTTGGTGGTCTGCAAAGCATTGGCTCGTTGCTACTCAAGTAATCGAATGCATAAATCAGTGTCTCGTCTACCGTCAATAACTGTGTGGATGAGGTGAACCTTCAAGTCGGATAATTGAGACCGAATGTCGGAAGCCATCTCTTGATTCGTCTGTTGCTGTGATGCTAGTTCATTAGTGAGTTTCCATATTTTTTGTAGTATTTCATCGTCAGGCATGATCGCTGAAAAGTTCCTGAGAAACGAAGTATTCCGAATAGAGTCTCCATCGAGAAGGAGGACCCGATTTTGGATCAATCCATTCTCCGCCGCAGGAGTAAATTGCGAACATTCAGCAAAACGAGGGCGGGATGGATCGGTTACTTATCAATACACAATAAAGATGGCAGGTAAGTTGAGCCCAACCTATCTGATGTTTGTAGTGTAATTCCAAGTCTTGCACTATTGACTTTACTCGCGAGTAACCCTTGCGCAACATGAGTATTTTCCCTGTGGCATCTATGGTTTAAGAATCCTATAGCATTCACATAACAACAGAAATAAATTGTCTTAGAAGAAGTATTTGAAACGAATAGTTTGGACAGGTGAGACCAGGCGTTTTACAATTTGTTTTGTTCACATTGTAGTCACGACTTTTGACTGTTTGATCTCGCCAAATGATACTGTTTTCCTCACTATGCCTGCAATTGATGAACTGGAGCCTATGTCACCCTGTTCATATGATATATTGTTCACATAGCCTGACATATGACGCAAGAGAGTATTTATATGCATTGCAATTTGTACGGATATGTCACCGAGAAAGGTTCAATATAAAGACAATGATGATAATTTCGTATAAAAATTGCATTACGGGTTTTTATTATTTATGATTGAGGGAAAAATGCATGGGTAATATGTACAGAAACTTAGAGTTTGTTGCCGGGGCAGCATGAGCTTTCTTTGGCTTTGTCAGCGTTGGCGTGAACAGATTGGTTCATCTTTTTGTTAGTGGGCGCGATATCCAAACCGGGGTTGGCCATGAAGAAGTTGAAGGGTTTCATGATGAAACCACACATATCCACGGGCATCACGGGGAAGTCTTCCACACGAGGCAAGTGAGTGATACCAAAGGTGAACCAGAGCACGATGTCGCGGTTGTCAATAGGCTTGCGTTCCTTGGCCCACACAGGAACACCATCACGTCCGTCTGATTGGTTGCAATAAAATCCACCAGCGAACATTTGCTTTTCATCATAAGGAGTGACCCATAATGCCTTCTTGGCAAAACCAGCACGCTCACCGACAATGGAATCATCCTGAGCAAACAAAGGTGTCTGATGATGGGATACCAGCTTCCATCCAACAGGCGCGCGTGTGTAAGGATGCACACGGCTTTCGTTGATGATCTTCCAGAATCGTGCTGATTCATAGTTGGGGTTCGTGGCACCTTCAAGCGTATCCTTCAAAATGGTCTCCTTGGCAAAGAAACCGTTACCAAACTCGTTTCTTGGGTGACCGGTAGGGAAAGGCGAACGATGGGTATCCACTTGAGCCACCGAGTTATTAAGACCATCAATCATGGGATCGATACGCATGGTGAAGAAGTGTTGGTGGTGCTGAGCATTGATCTGAGGAGCCACCATAACACCATAGTCACCAGGGGTTTCGTCTTCAGCCAACACGTGGGTATTTAATTCACCAGTAGCCTTGACTTCATATTCAAAGGTACCATCCTGGTAAAAGTAGTAGTACAAGCCGTAATCATAGTTGGCCACTATTTAGAAAAAGAAAAACGGGTCTTAATTCACCTGCCAGAAAAAAAAAGCGGCCTCTGGAATCCCCTCCGGATTTTTGTGTAACTTACCAGTGACGATTTGGGAAATGACAAGACGGCGAGAACGAACAGTGTGGGCACGACCGTTGCGGTAATCGGTGTGCTTGAACAAGATACCGTGGTCTTCTTCGTGCATACAGACAGCATTGGGCACATGGAAAGGCTTGCCGTTGTGATCGTTGAAAACGGCATCAAAGTAGTAGATGGAACCAAGACAGTCGCAGCCCAAGGTCAAGGAGTTGGTGCAAAGGCCAAGACCGTACTCACCGACATCAAAAGCATGCTTACGGTAATGAGGAGCGTAAGGGTCGGCATAGGGGACGACCATTTCGGAAAGGGAGATACGGTAGAAAAGAGGACGCTTCTCGGGACCGTCCTGGTACGAAACATTGTGGATAACCAGACCCTCACGGTAGTTCATGGAGATACGCATGTTCCACTTTTGCCAATCAATCTCATTACCCTTGACAGTGAACGAGACACCTTGAGGCTGTTGAATAATGATAGGCTTCAGATCCTTGCGAAAGTTCTCTTCACCAACAAACTCGGGAAGGAAGTTGTGCTGTTGCAGAGGGATAGTAGGACGAGTGAACTTGCTGTCTCTGGGACGGATATGCTCGATATCAATGACCTTCATCAAACCCACATCTACAATAAAAAAAAAAAGCACGAATTGCATGAGCACGCTAGTCCCACCTACGAAAATCATTCCCTTGACCTGTTACTTACCAATGATAGGAACAAAATCCAAGGGATGGGCATACTGGTTGTCGTCTTCACAAGTGCGCATATACATCAATGCCTGCATCAAACGTTTATCGCGACCCTTGTGGGTGACATGGCGGGCAATGGCCCAGGGATCGGCAAAGACTTGAGACATGTCGTGGATACCCAATTCTCTGCATTCGGCTTGCACGCGGGGATCCTTGATGACCAGTTCTTCGACTTCGAACATATCATCCATGGTCAAAATAGGCTGAACATCGGGCATGTAGGACCACGACTTGACGGTCTGGCTGTCAAGCGAGACCACGGCCTCGTAACAACGCATGGAAGGCTTCTCAATAGCGACCACCAGGGCTTCACGTTCAACGTGTTCAATGCGAGGACGAGTGCGATCCCAACCAAGGTAAGACATCATCAAATACTTGGGAGGTTCTTGGAGAGTAATGGTATTGAAGATAATGTTCATGTCGGATTTCTCCTTGCGAACAATATCAGCGACCAACATGATTTCATCACCGGTCAGTTGATCAAAGGGATGGACTTGCTGATTCGTTGCAGCAGTAACGGTCTTCATTTCTTTAATAGCGGCCATGATAGAGTGCAGGTAACGGGAAAGGGAGAAAGAATAAGATACAAAAATTCAAGTACTGGATCAGTCGACGAGCATCACGGCCTTGGGGGTCTATATATATCTTTTTTTTCTCAGTTGAAAAAATCGGTGACAAATTGAATCAGATGCCGCCGAAGAAGTGTTATATCAGACGGTGGTTGGACGAGTAGGAAGTGCCCGATATGAGAAAGTTTGTCTAGTATTTGTCATTACTAGCCTCAGACCAGAAGCCTATTAAGAGAACTTTTTCATCGATGGGACTTTTGGGTTGCTACTTCCAAAGCCCCGGATTTTTACTAGGTTGAACATGCACCAGAGATCTCGGGAACATACCTATAGGATCTACGATAGCCAAGGTAGCTTATTGTTATGAAGGTTTGCGGACCTTTTAATCCTTACTAGACGCATGAAGGGGTCAAAGGGGCGAAAGACGGCCAAAGCAACGAGGATCTTTCTGGGCAGTTTAGTAACGACAAACTCCGCGAGACGTAAAGGACCGGTTTTGACAAATCAAGACCGTGTAGTTTACTTTCTTGCGATCGTGCGAAAATTCCCAGATGACCGGAGTTCAGCAGCTGATGAAGCCAACGTTGCAGCTAACCAATAGGAAAAAAGAAAGCCGTTGTACTAGGTGCACAAATTAAGTAATGCATCCATTTTCTGTTTTCTTGGTGTTGCACGTGGGAAGCCGTCATCCTCACTAGCATCACCGACGCTCCTCCATCTTGGTCATTTCTGATTCAGCTTTGAAACATGGATAATAACAATAATCTAAACAGGAACCCCATTTTTCCCAGATGCCTTTACACCTTTTGTTAGATTTGCTTCTAAAGGCAACATGGCCACAACATCATTTTCTGTCTTTCATATCGCGAACTTCAAAGGCAGAAATCTTGTATGCAGCTGCCGAGATTTATGAGCAGTACTATGCATAAATAAACTACGCAATAAAAGAATGTTTATGGAAACCCGTTTTTGGTGATTTCCCAATGTAGAAATCCAAACAAGCAGCATGCTAAGGTCAATGATGGCATAAGCCTTTTTTTTTCGTTCCTGTGATGTGTAACTCTAGACCAAGTGAATTTTGAGCATTGGAAGTTTACCTGACTGGCAGCCTAAAAAATCTTATTCGGCATTAGGATGCCATTATTCTACAAAACTCGAGCATATAAACTGTAGGCGACCTCTATGATACTAAGATGGAACAGAAAATCTTTTATTTATTATGAGTTTTGATTCAAATATTCTTTTTTTTTTTTAGTTATTTATCAATATGAAAAAACTCTTTCTATGCTACCGATAATTGTGGTACTGTGTTTCTAATATTTTCCTAATACACATTTCCATCTGGTTATGATATTAAATGTTTAGTACCTGCAACCGAGAAGATTGAAACCATTCAGAGAACCAAACTTTTACTTGGAGGAAGATGACAAGAACAAATATTAATCTTTGATCCGCTTGCACCCAAATTCATGTATTTTTTTAAACCGAACATGTGATAAATAATAAAGAGACATGATGATCATGCAATTGTTTGTCAAAAAATCGTGATTTATCAATGCATATTGATATCATAAGATGTTTCTGGAATTTTAAAACGACACTGTTTGACGATGGAAAAATAACTGTCAGATATCATAATTGAGGCCTTCTTACTGAAAATTTTAAAAAACAGCCTCTCACCGGCTATGTAGGGAAAGATGTTGATTGTCTGTGCCGACTGCTTGCGAAGTTAAAAGGACTCTCTGAGGGAAAAATGAGAATTTTTCATTTAAGAATATTCATAGTTGACATTGAATTATTTCAATGTTCTTTGAGTTGGAACTGTTCATGCCAAAAAAAAAAAAAAAAATGACAATGGTCTTTCCAAAATAGAAATGCCAAATTTGTCCACAGCCATCCGATTAGACTTTTTGAAATTTTTCAATTCTCCTTCGTGTATTGCCAAAGTTGATCGATCATGTCTAATCAAAAGGAGTCTCATGGTCAGATTCTCTTTTTTTCAATTTTTGAGTAGTGGAAAGCATGCTCTAAGCGTATTATAGTGAATTGCCCCATTTGCGGAAAAACCATGGCCGCAGCAGAGATCAATGCCCATCTCGATGCCAACTGTCAAGCAGCCACCGGAACCGCCACCACGCGTTCGGTTCAGAGCCACTTGAATATGGGTGGAAAAGTAACGCCAAATACTAAAGAGACAAAACCAGCATCAGAGGTAAATGAGACTGCTATACGAAATGAGTACACATGTCGTAGTTTTCGCGTAACTGATCATGGTGAGCGTAGACACGGATGGCACCGCTATTTCAGCTGAAATCGCCTCAAGCGACACAGCCTAAACGTCCATCGACTAACCCAAGTTCCTTCAAAAAAGAAGATCATGCGATCGCTACGTCCTCAACACCACTAAAACGACAAAAGAGAGAGGCAGCCCAGGAAGCCATGCCGCTCGCAGCAAAGGGTATACAATAGTCCGGTGATGATATTTGGACATGGCTAATGAAAACCATAGTGAGACCTCTGTCACTTTCGGAATTTGTGGGACAAGAAGAATTGGTCGGTGAACACGGTGTGTTGCGCCCTCTCATGGAGAGTGATCGCATTCCCTCCATGATCCTCTGGTACGTGTTGGTTGATAAGAGAGACACATGTTCAAGGTCGCTTAATGAATCATTTTATCTAGGGGACCACCTGGCTGTGGCAAGACGACCATGGCTAGAATCATATCAAAAACGACCAAAGCGAGATTTGTGGAACTTAGTGCAACCAGCCACGGATCGTCCGATGTACGAAAAGTGTTTGAAGAAGCCAAAGGCCATTTGATGTTGACGAATCAAAGAACCATTGTGTTTATTGATGAAATTCATCGATTCAATAAAGCACAGCAGGATCTATTGCTGCCTTTTGTGGAACAAGGCATCGTTCATCTTATTGGCGCAACTACAGAAAATCCAAGGTGAGTCCAGTCATTTCCATTGTGTCACGGCATCGATGTTCAATATAGCATATCCTTTAGCTTCAAGGTGAACTCGGCTCTATTGTCGCGATGTCGCGTGTTTGTGTTGAAACAGCATACCGAAGACGACCTGTTGGAAATCTTAAAAAGAGCCCTTGGCCGCTGGCGGCAAGATAATAAGACCGAGGATTCTACCGCAGCACCCCTGACAGACACAGAAAGCGAAGCCTTGCGAACATTGGCGATATTCAGCGACGGAGATGGTAAGAACAAGCTGATTATTGTAAGGTGGCCATATTATTAACTGCCGTTCCAACAGCTCGAAATGCGCTGAATACACTTGAAATTGCTCTAAGTTTATTACCCAACAAAGAGTCACCACTACTCGTAGAAACCGTCAAAGGTAAAATTCGGTTATTCACTGGCTTTGCGCAACGTTCATTGACATTTTTTTATTTGATTTTTAGGGGCATTCCAAAAATCACATTTACTGTATGATCGAAATGGAGAGCAGCATTACAATATTATCAGTGCGCTACATAAAAGCATTCGTGGGAGCGATGCCGATGCGGCGCTTTACTGGTTAGGACGTATGCTGGAAGCTGGAGAAGATCCACTTTACATCGCACGGCGACTCGTGCGTTGTGCTAGTGAAGATATTGGTTTAGCGGACAATACAGCGTTGCCACTGGTAAAGCATTCAACTCTATTATTGTCCGACTATTTTTTCGGTTGCTAACAAACCAATGGTTCCATTTTTCTAGGCAATGGCAGCTTATAATGCTTGTGAAAAGATTGGTATGCCAGAGTGTGATACGATATTGGCGCATTTGGTAGTGCATCTAGCCGAGACGAAAAAAAGCGTGCGATCTTACAAAGCTTACAACCTTGTAAAATCGGTGATCAGACAAGAGCCGAATTACCCTGTACCATTGCACATACGAAATGCACCCACCACGTTGATGAAGGTAACTATTTCATGTATAAAAGAACCTAGGTCGCGATCGCTCAGTAGTTCAACGGTTTTTTTTTTATCCTTCAGGGTCTAGGGTATGGTGCAGGCTACAAATACAATCCCGATTACGAAGAACCTGTCGAGCAAACGTATCTCCCGGATGCACTGCAAGGCCGCAAGTTTCTTGATGCAGAGAAAGAGAGCTAGTCGTATTTTATTGTTATTGTTATGATTCATGGTTGGGGGATGTAATGCGTTTTATATCTTGTACCCGTTGATAAATGGTGTCAATAGCGGCTGTCCATATTTCTAATTCTTTATATTGGCCCGACACAGAAGCTCTAAAGGGTATACTTTTAGTCGTCGTCGGTGCTATGCTTCCCACCTTGGCCAAGTAGTGAGTATGATTCCGTAATGCCAGTTGAACGTCCTAAAAAAACCACCATGAGAAAACTGGCAGATGTAAAAGTATAACCAGGGATAACATGGAGCTTACATTCACAATGGAAAAATATCGCGACGCTAAATTGCGGAACACTTGTACGCGTTCTTCGATTGTATCGTCGGTGCTGTTGTCGTGGGGTCCGTCCTCGGACAGCACGGCCAAAGCTTCTCCTGCTGTTTCCAGCAGCAGTACCAATTTCTACAAATCGGTGAGTAAGCGTGTCCATCTCAACATCATGTAGTGTATCATTCGTACTTTTTCCGCTTCGTGTAAATCTTTGATTCTTGTCGTGCTTTCCGCTATTTGTTGTGAATGTGAATCGCTCATTAGGGACAATTGGAGAAATGAAAAGAGGACAGAGACTGAAAGATTTTCTGGCTTTCCAGATAAGGAAATCGTCGGCTCCGTCGAACTGACCACTGAATATTTTACGCGCTTGCCAAAAAACCGCCAATATCGTAGAGCGAGAAAAAATGATATCATGGTCATATTATGACAAAGAGTTCAGCATTGACATAGCCTTCTGTATATGTGATCACTAGATATGGAAAACACCAAAAAAAAAAAGAACAGTTCTCGAATGTTCAGATCGTCTGTTTTTCGTTGCACCAGGACATGCATAACATTAATCTACGTGATCTTTTTGCGATATTGGAAAGTTTTTACTTTATCTTACATAGAAAGCATGATAATTTGTTTTATTCATTGGCATGAAATACTCGCTTTTTGTCGACCAATCTTTGAGTTAAGTTCGATTTCGCCGTCATTTCTTCGTCCAGGACGTTGTAGCAGATTCTCAATATCCTGTATTCTATGCATTGTTTTCGTATAGCATCCGCCGTCATCTAAAGTAGCAGAAAAGAGAGAAAAAGGTAAAGCTAACTATGTCGCTGTATGTAAAGTAAGCTTACATAGCTAATTTGTAGGTATTTTAAAGCGAGAACTAGCCAATTAACAACAGAGCTGCTTTTAGGCCGATATTTTGGGTAGGTCTGAGGAATCGAGAGTTCGACAATGTACCAAGAATGAGACGGGTACAGAAGTCGTATAAATATCAGACGTTACTTGGATTACTTATTACAAAGATGCATGATGACTATATTGTAAACAGTGAACATGAAAGGCCGAGTTCCCCATGCCAATATCAAATATGAGATATGTTCGGCGGGTGTTAAAAATCGCGCCATGATATTAAAAGAAATGGCGGGCAATAGGCATGATCACAGACTGTGCATATCATTATTCGGTTTGCAACCGGCTTGTTTTATGAGCCCATTGAAAAAAAAAGTAGATACAAGTGATGATTTTTGATTTGAAGAGCTTAATAACTTATCCCTTCAATTCAATCTGACGTTGTTGCATGATCTCAGACAGAACATGACAATGCTCATAGTTCCGTAAAAAGATTATCCGAAAAAAATAGAGCAGAAGCACACCAGTACTTCATTATTGTTCTTTGATCATCTGATTACTATACATGCGCTCTTTGCAACCAGTGCTGTTCTTGTATTGCTTACTTGAGCACGTTAAAATGGAATCCAAGTCGTTGCAAGTGGGTTTACTGGTTTGAACAATGTCGTAATTGAAATCCCGCCTTATTATGTCTTTCTGTTTCAGAGGGAGAAAAGGACCCAAATTCTTGTTCCTTCACCTTTTTCGTCTTTTTGTATTCACAGTGGGTCGACTTTTGGGTAATAAACGTAACAAGGATTGAACCACTGGGCTTCATCTTGCATGCTTTTGTATTGTGCAGTTGACATTCGGACTTGATAAACCATTCACACTCCAACTTCTCACTTCCATTTGTTTATATTCATTACCCGTCTATACCTTTTACCCGCCTTTTACTCTATCTTTATTTCACCCTTTGGTTCTCTTGCTTAGAGTTTTTATACATGCCATGGCTGGTCCTGACATGATGACTCAAAGTGACAATATGCCGTTACCCTCGTTTGGTTCGCAAGTAAAAAAGTTTGATTTCCAGGGCATCGCCATTGACACGGCATTAAGGTGGATATATTTAAACGAGATAAAATACTTCTGTAACGAAAATAATCACCACTCATCGTCATTCGCGGTACATATAGGAAATTATTATCTAAAGTGCATCTGCCAAAGGAAGCTCAACAAATCGATCGAGCTATGGAAGATTTTGCTAAGCAATACCATGCATGCAATCCAACGTTGACGGATACTGCAGGTAATAAGTAACCGATAACGAAGGAACGATTAGAGAAATACTTATGCGGGGAACATGGGGTTAGATGCGGTATATGCCGTGGCATTTTCCATCCTATTATTACATACCGATGCGCATAACAAAAATGTGCGGCAAAAGATGGCCAAAGACACGTTTGTCCGACGTACCAAGATCATCGAAGGAGGCGAAAGTGTTCCCAGCGAAATTCTGGATGTAAGTGGGGCTCAACCATACAATTGGCCGAAAAGCCTTGATCGATTAAATGATTGCCACCCTAGATTATGTATGACAATATCGTCTACTCCGAATTCACGTACGCCGACAACAACACCGATCCATTTGGAAACCATAAACTCGTCTCGGAAAAATCGTCATCATCATGGTTCACAAAGTTGAAAGGCGACACAGATCTCAGTATGCAAATGGTACGTGTTTTCACAGACAGTCAACTACACCAAACACGAACCATGTTCTTAATTATGCTATATAGTCTCATTTAACCATCGACCTTCAGCCGAAAATGGAGCAATTAATGCCGCCGATCAACACATTCAAATATAAAGGGAGCGAAGCGCCTATCAATATTATGGATGTGCATTTAGCATTGATCAAATCACGCTCTTTATGTCTTGGTGGAGTACGAAGTCGGCAACACGCAGAAATGCCGGGAAATAATACCAATACATACAGCGTGCGTGTAACCAAGGCCGGTCTGTTGGATCGCAAGTATGATTTGCAACATGGCGGGAAGCGAGCTTCAGCTAGAGGTTGGCGACAATTCGGCATGATCCTGAGTGGCAGTCAAATTATTTTCTTTGCCGACATATCATCGTTTCAGTCATGGTTTGGAAGTGATCCAACGCCTACCGTGGCTGTCACCAGTATGGACGATATGAATGCGAATTACACCTCGCACGCGATGGCCACGCCTCGACGTAACAGCAGCTATCCCATGTTCACTCCACCCACCCACGGTCAAGGGAACCGTCCAACCACGCCTACCGATTCTGGTCATGCCACCACCAACAACCCCACATACCCTTTTCGATATCACGCGTCTCAGGGATCCACTTCCTCCACGCTCAGCTCCGTTGCGCCTACCATGTCCTCCTTTTCTTCACTGACATCCTCAGTATCATTCCATCCTGCCCTCGGAAACTCGACTTTTTCTTCCGTCACTTCGCACGGCACGTCCATCCTTCGCCCTGTACAGATTATTTCGCTCAACAATGCCATCTGCATTTACGACGAAGCCTACACGAAATATCCGCACGTTTTCCGCTTGATCACAGCCGATAAGCAGCAGTTCCTTATCCGAGCTGAAAGCAAAAAGGACATGGAGGATTGGATGCTTAAGATCAACTATGCCGCTACAGTAAAAACCACCGGCGTTCGTTTCCGGCCTTCCTCAAGACAACGAAGGGCCACGCAAGGCGAGACTGATCATCCGATACAGAATATAACGCGAGAAGAAAAAGCCAAAGTACGTATAGGATCGGCTGCACCCGGCTTTTGACGGCTGTCAAAATAATGTATATAAAAAAAATCGGACTCATGATTGAAATCTATCCTAGGCAAAGATATGCGAATTGACGGATGCAATAACCAAAATTACCCGTCAGCTGGATCGGGAAAATCAGTTGCGGGAAAATCTGATGGTGCTTACCCCGTATCAAAAGTCGACCAAAGACCGTTTACTGATGTTTGCGGAAACGGTGGGTAAACGGATACAGGAGTACAGAGTTGGATTGCAGCAGTATACTTGTTATCGAGAATTTTTAAATTGCGAATTGGCATGGTGGTCTTCAGAACACAAAGTTCGAAAGCTGTCTGCATCATTACCGATTTGCGATCGCGGGTCCATCATGCTTCAACCCTACAGTTCTTCTGCCATGCTTCGTATTTCATCGACTTCACCGTCGGTTCCTGTACCTTCACCGGATCACTTATTACCGGGAAATGAGGGCAAAGACTCGATTCACATTCCTCGTCGCACATCAAGTTTGTTCAAATTCAATCCTTATTCATTTGATGATGAACCCTCCTCCATCCACGACGTTCCGTGCTCCGAAAAACCGTCGGCTCCACCAGCAACACTGTCAGAACAGGAAGTGGATCCACCAAACGCGGAACACCGACGATTATCTTTACCCCACGTGGCGCCACTGTCATTCCCCAAACACTTTATGGACAAACTCATTGGAAGCAGTCCGGTGGATAAGAAATCGGCGGATAAAGACAGTGCTCAGGAACATGTCCGATCAGAAACCCATTCTCCACTGTCGCATAGCGATGATGACAAAAAACTACGACCGCAGAAAAATTCGACTACCAAAGTAGCCGAAATGGAGAAATCCATACGAAGGCGTAGTATGAGCAATCCCATTGTTCCGAAACATTTGATTCGCATGATGACAAGTCAAAGTGATACGGTGAACAAGGCGAATTTATTGACGATTCCAAACATCAAACCAAACAAAACCGCGAATCGCGAACGAAGTAGCTCGACCGCATCTTCTATCCGTGATGATGATGACAGCGTGATTATTGTTAATGAATCCGAGGAAGATCTCACGGAGAAAGTGCAACAGGAGTAATCACATTTTTACCAAGAAGCACAAAGAAAATGCATTTCGAGTTTGAAGATCACGGCTGTGAACTTCATTCTCCGATGTGACTTGACACAATTTTTCGCCCCACAACCCCCCAATTGGCCCGTCAACAAAAAACTGCCTGCCTGCCGTTTTTAAAAAATATCCCCCATTTCCAATCGCCTTCATTCTTCCACCGCCTGTATTTTATAGACAACCTGTCATGTATTGCATGCGATATTTTGTCCCGCTTCTGTTGTTACCATTTCCAGATGCACCACCCATCTTTGTGATTCTATTCCTTGTATCATTCTTTCTACATCAAAAACCTTGGTAATTACCTTTTTTAACACAGTGACGTTGTCGACCGTGTACGGATCGATTTAACCCTTCTTTGCTTTTCTTTTGTATGGTTTCGATGGAATTTAGTATCTATTGCACATTGCTGCTGATCGCTTTATTTTCGTCGACGTGTTACTGGGGACAAGGCCGATGTTGGATTGATCTTCAACAATTACGATTATTCGATGCACGACCAAATTCGAATGCAACGTTTGGCCAGGGCGATGGTTGGTGGAACTGGAAGGTGACATTGCCGATTGGTCAGATCGCTTGATTGGTATAGAAAAAAGAAAAAAGTTGGTCCTGGATACCCTCCCGTTCGTCCCCGTTCGTCCCTGTTCGTCATGTCATTTCGTCTCTTTTTCATCTCTTGTCTTTTTTTTTTCAAAACCGTCTCCCTTTCCCCAATAAACATTTTGTAGATAGTACATTCACATGTGGGTGATACAAGTGGGATCAATCTTGGTCGCACCAAATACACCTAACACGATAAGATTGCGTTCAACCACTAATTTTTTTCATTTTCTTTTTTATTTCACAGAGGGTGACAAAAGAACAAAGTGCCACTCTTTTTGCTTTTACCTTCTTTTTCTTTTTTTCGTTGTTTGGTTAAATTTTGAACGCGCTATTGTGTTCTTTTTCCTCTTTTTCTTCTTGTTTAAACTTAACTCGACTGAACACTTCTGTAAAATGAACGGGATTCGTACAGCTTTGCGTAAACTTCCTCCAGGCACGGTGATCAAAATCCTTCGAAAAGTATTTTCGCTTCCTGCACCGGCAGCTCGTTTAATTCTCAATGATGTAACTCGTCCTCGGCAATCACACCGTCCCTGGATCCACAAAGTCGCCAACGACGATTGGAGTGGTTGTTGGATCGGTGAAGGCGTGCGAAAAATGTCTGAAACCCAATTAATGGAATACATTCACAGTTGTGATGTAGTGATTTTCAACGTGCACGGTGAGTTCTTTTTTGGGGTTGCTTGACAAAAAAAACCACTCTTTTTCCCATGCTTAGAGATTTTTTATTTTTAATTTATGTTAGGTGGCGGATTTCGAATCGGCACCAGCACCATGTATATGGACACTTATATCTCGTGGATCACTGTACTAAAAGAAAAAGGTCTAAAGTGCTGCATCATGTCCATCGATTACAGGTAAATCGGCTCTTTCAAAGATATCTTGTCTGTAACGATGATTTACATGTCTACAATGTTTCGTTCAGACTGGCACCCGAGTTTCGATATCCTAGTCCGGTGGAAGACGTAGTCAAAGCGTATCAACATCTAACAATGACATTGGAGGTGGAGGGAGCAAAGATTATTACTGCAGGCGACTCGGCAGGCGCCGCGCTCATTTTGGAAATGCTGTTTATTACGCATGATCCAAGTATGTTCGAGATCGTCACGGATGATCCGGAGCAGGAAAGCAGTCCTGGGAACACGCTGATGGAGTTGCCACGACCGGCCGGCAATGTTCTTATCAGCCCTTTGGTGACGGATGAAACGACGTCGGAATCATGGCAAACAAATGTAAAATACGATTACATCACACAATACACTGCCAAAGTGATTAAGCGCGATTATTTCGAACCTATTCGATCATCCAAAGACGAAGAACCACCGGAGCCCAACCAAGTGCTCGGTATCGCTAAACTGCAGACAGGCTTCCGAGCGTTCCTGAATTCGCACGTCCTCATGTATATTGGTCATCGCGAAGTGTTACGAGACGATGCTTTAGATCTAGCCGCTAAAGCCGAGAACGATGGAGTCGAATGGCAGACCGTCATGGAAGACTGCGTACACGATTGGTTTTGTGTACGTGAAGTGGTCAAAGATCGTAGTATTCTGAAACGAGCGGACGAGACGTTTGCGCAATTTTGCGTTCGAGCACTTCAACATGAACAAATGAGTGTGCCTTCACTTTTACGCACGAGTGCCGAAGGTCTGGAAGCCGTGCCTGAGGAGAAGGACGAAGATGAGGATGAAGACGAAGACGAAGATGAGGACGAATTTTATGAAGCGCTATCCGATGATGTAGTGGAGAAATTGGTGATGCAGGACCTGGCCGATGATAAACGTGCATCGAAGCGATCCGTCATGACAGTCTATGTCTAATTGACATTTCCTCTCTCCCAACCTATTTATTTTATTTTTGTTTTTTTACCTCTCTATTTTCTTGTACCTAATACCCAGTTACCCAATTACCGATGCTCGGTTCTTTTGTTTCTCAAAATCAAACCTGAAATCAACTTTTTACACCTTTTCTTCGATTGGATACTGTAGCTTAATGTATGGTCTGACGTGGTCTGACGAGCCATTTTCAGTGAATCAGAAAAAAGCGTTTGACTTTTTTTTTGTAACAATTTCATAAGGAGCGACTGGTTTCTTCTAATCAGGACAACTGGACCTGCAATGCATGAGCGTTTGTCTTTCCTCAGCTTATGATCACTGTGTGCACCTGCTGTGGAAAAAAAGACTCATCGTTTTTTACCGCATCCTCAAGTGCATCAAAATCCGGAACCATGACGAAAATGCAAAGCCTTGCCCATGCCGGATTTATGGGACAAGTCAGGCTTACTGTCTTTACCCCTCAAACTGATGATTCTGTTATTGAAGCAAGATAACGAATAAACCCCTCACGCGCCAAGATTGTCCAATATCTTTGGCCAAATATATAAAGTAAAATACCAATTTTCCTTTTAACCACGTGGTACTTGCATCGGAAGCGTTCATTACACGGCATGCATTAAGCAGCGTTTCCATGTACTGTATTTCGAGTGCTGATAAACAAGCATACAATCATTTCGAACAGTAATGGCTTGCATTGAAAATAGGATCCACTGACTTTCAATACCACGACCAGTCGCACGAGCGGCAAATCACCGCTTGATCGAAAAAAGCCAATAGGGATGATTAATGCAACTTCAAATTGACCAATTTTAAAGGACAATTCACTACAGGCACATACCGTAGCATTACAATACGCTGATCAGCATCTCATTGTGCAACAGTCCAAGTTTCGAGCGTCATACATCTTTTTAAAGACGACCGACGTCATTGTCAGAAACCCTTCACCTGATACAAAATAGATTCTCCCTGTTCATCCATACAGGAAACAGAAACGGATACTGAAAATGATATAGATGGCTTGTATAACCTTATTCATGTCATTGGTCAGTGATGCGATTTCCGTATATCCGCAGAGACTCGTTACAAGGTTGGAAAAAGAAATCCCATATACTGTAGCTCATGCTGAAAGTGCAGCTGCCTTTGGATTGGGGGGGTGGGATCTCTCTTTCTTTTCCAGCCATGTCGCACGAAAAAGTAAGATTTTGGAGAATGATCGTTTGGGTTTGACTGCTTGGGTTTAAAGTGAGGATGCCTTTTTTCCATGCTAAATCGGAGCAGATGAGAGCCATCATAACATTTTACGCAAAATGTCGTTATTTCTGCCGTAGCACCCGGGTCAGCGCCATCAGCGGCACCGGTTAACTTTAATTATTATTTTTTTGATTGCTTTTTCAGTAACAGGATCCGTTACTTTTTACCTTTTTTTTTCCTGACACTTTGGCCGATTTTTGGAAATTTTAAAAGGACCAAACCTTGCTTTTTTTTTAAGGTTTCCTTTTCTTCTTATCTTTCTTTTTTCTGCCAACCAAAACAGCCTCAATCCAAAATGGATGACGAGGATTTCTACAGTTCGTCACGAAAAGCCGCATCAAAGTCCTCTTCCAAGCGAAGACGGCCGCCCGCACGACCCCATAGTATGTCGTCACGTTACGGCTCTGTCTCCGTCAATGACGATATGTCTACAAATCGTCCAAAAAAGAAGAGCAACAAACTAAGGAGACGATCTACCGTGCGTAGACGCCATCGAGTTCAGGACTATACAGATGAGTACCATGATTCCGCCGACAATGGCCACGATTCCGCTTCCACCAATACCCTTCAGTCAGGACCGGATGAGGATGAAGATGACGAAGAAGCTGACGAAGACGAGCTTGAAGAACAAGACACTCACCGCAGTCGCTTGGTTCCCACCGATGCTGACAGCGACAGGTCATCGTTCAACAGCATAGAAAGGAAAAATACGCTCAAAGACCGACAAGATGTAATATGACAAGCCCTCTTTTTTTTTATTCTTGTATCACATCTGCAAACATTCGACTGAAAAATTCGTCAATGCAATTTTTTTCCCTATCAATAGGCCATCAATAAGCAACATCCATTTGGTTTACCGCTTTGGAAGCCAGCCTTGTACAAAAAATCGCGATCGGTGGTACGCCGAGCCAACAACGCCTTGCATTCATCTCCGTCCTCGTCTCCTGAATTATTCCTCAATCCTGGTAATATTTTATGGCTGCTGCTGTTTGGATGGTGGCTTGCTTTGATCGTCTTGATCGTTTCTATTCCTGTGTGCATCATTCCTCCCGATGGTCGCATTTACGGTCTCGTCTTGCGCGAACTCTCTTTTTATCTGCTTTGGCCCTTTGGTCGCTACGTCGAACGGGTCGTTCAGATCGAACCCACCCAGTTGGAAGAACAAACCAATGCCAGTACAGAAGACGACAATGATGAAGAAGCATGTCTTTTGCAACAACAAAAGTCTAAGCGCCAAGGGCGACCACTCAAATTAAAATGGCTACGTGCCATTGTCGATACCATCAAGACAGGTCCCACCGGATGTGTCTATTATCTCTTTTTCTTCACGATCATTGGTAACGTGATGATTGGTCCAACGGGGATGATCAAAAATGCTCATGTGGGCAATGCCCGATTCCTTTAGCACCGGTTCTCATGTTGGTCTCTGCCATATGCTGGATGTGTGTAATTACGATTCCCATGGCCAAACTAAACTATATTCTTGTGCGTCACTTGCGCCGTCATCCATTGAGTCTACGCTTCCGATCGACTTCATCGTCCCAGACTCATTTTGCCCCGGTGGGGCGTCATCAACCGACCGTCATTCTACTATGCACATACCAAGCGTTTGGATTGCAGTACTACAAGTATACTTATGACGGTATCAATATCATGTTCATCAATCTGTTACCTATCGTGTTCTTTGTCATCTTGGACGATTACATTCTCAAGGATCGGTGGCCCGAGTCCATTATTGCCGCTCCTAGTTTTGTATTTGCAATGTCATTGGCATCGGTCATTCCGCTTTCCTATTTTATTGGCATGGGCGTCAGTTCCGTTTCGGCTCAAAGTAGTATGGGAGTGGGTGCGGTCATCAATGCCACCTTTGGTAGCATCATCGAAATCATCCTGTACGCCGTGGCCCTCATGAGCGGTAAAAGTGCCCTGGTGGAAGGTTCCCTGATCGGTTCCATCCTTGCAGGTGTTTTACTGATGCCAGGCATGTCCATGATCAGCGGTGGCGTCAAACGAAAGGAACAAAAATTCAACGCCAAAAGTGCAGGTACTGTCTAATTAAATCAGTATCCCAAGATCTAACTCGACTGAAAAAAAAAATTTCAAACATTTTCAAGGTGTCACATCCACCATGCTTATTATGGCCATTATTGGCGCTTTGTCTCCCACGCTGTTTTACCAGATGTTTGGATCGGTAAGCGCTCAAATTTCATGAGCATCATGGTGCAAAGATCTGACATTTAACCATTTTAATGCATAGTTTGAACTTCGCTGTACGGGTTGCCCGGAAAGTCCAGCGCCTGGAGGTACCATGTCTTGTACACGCTGTTACTATGATCAAATGAACCCTACCATCGATCCAGTATACCAAAACAGCGTGAAACCGTTGATGTGGCTTTGTGCCGCCATTTTGCCTTCGGTAACGTTTTCAGATCACCCAATTTAGGGAGTATAGGTCATTGTATTGATTCGTTTTTATTTTTTGGCTGGTTAGGCATATATCATTGGTCTTGTTTTTAGTTTGCATACCCACGTGGATATGGTTTGGAAAAGTGAGCCGCCCAAATCGAGTGCAAACAATCAAAAGATGTCTGAAACCGCCCCTACCCATCACCAAAAATTGATCCCGACACATATTATCTCGCAGCTCATGCATACCAATCCCACTTCAACCACGTATCAGCGTCCTCAAGGTGTATCAGGTAAAGTTTAGAGAAAATTGAACTTGATGCGTTGATGGAGACTCAATGGTATCATTGGCATGATACGGTAGAACCCAGCTTGTCCATTTACCGTGTGAGTGATCATCCCTCGACGGCGGGTGAGTCGTCGACGGATGCAGTTGCATCCGTGTCGAAACAACATCAACAGCAGCAGCCCCTGACCGCCATCCATAGCGTGGTTGCTTCTCAATCGCCACCAATGGAAGCTTACATCCACGTTAAAGAACCCGAAGAAGATGAAGACGAGGAGGAAGCGGCCGGTCACGATTCCCCCAATTGGAGCAAGAGCAAGAGTTTTACCATTCTTTTTGGTTGCACCCTACTGTATTCGTTGATTGCCGAAATTCTTGTGGATACAGTTGATGAAGTCATGGAAGGAATGACCATTGATGCCAAGTTTCTGGGTCTGACATTGTTTGCACTGGTGCCCAATATCACCGAATTTATGAATGCCATTTCATTTGCTCTCTATGGCAACGTCGTACTCAGGTATAAAAAAAAAGGGATTTGGAATGCATTAAGCTGGGTCAGAGAATGCGCTTTAACTGGGTTTTGCTTTCTTAGTATGGAAATCGGTTCAGCATATGCACTTCAAGTATGTCTCTTGCAAATCCCGGCCATGGTCGCATTCTCTTTGTACTATAATTGGGGCAAGGAGGAAATCGCACGTTATACATTTAGGTAAGCTGCCCATGTCTTTTTCTTTTCTCTTCTTTTCTTTTTCGTTAGAGTTTCTTTTTGGTATGATCTTTTTGCTTTTTTTTTTTTTATCTTTCGGGTGTTGTCGGTCAAATGGCCCCTGAGACAAGTGTTGATTTACTCGATTTGGAATACTCATCTTTTACTCTCTTTTTTTTCTGTGTTTCTCGAATTTCCTCCCTAGTCTCATCTTCCCTCGCTGGGATGTAATTTCGGTGATTTTCTCAGTGTTCCTGTTGACGTACACCTATCAGGAAGGCAAATCGAATTATTTCAAGGGCTCGATCCTGATCTTGACGTATTTCGTTCTGGTCGCTGGATTTTATTTTGTACCTTCTGTAAGTGATGCCACTGTATTGACGACGACGGTCATGGCACGTTAGTTATCAATGTATAATAAAAGCACGCTATCTATCAAGCGACCTTTGATTTACACGTAAGGAGAAGGAGGCTGCGCAATGTTGATTGGGAGAAAATCTTCACTCGTCCATTCCTCACCTTGACTTGCTCCCTGCAGTTCTAAAAAAGTCATCTCCTATCATATAAGTTGTCTACTTTGCTCTTCTGGCCAACCCCTGCGATTAAGATTATTCGTTTCTTTGACCTTTTTTTTTTCCTCGATCTTGGCTTCTTTTTTGTTCAAGCTATTATTATCCGGTCAAGTGGTTTATTTTGATCCCTTTTTTTTCTTCTCTTTTGCTCAATTCATTGTGAAGTGGTTTACTGTATGACTTCTGGATCTGAGCTTTATTTATATTAATTCTTCCAACTCTTTACCCGATATCATTTTGCAAAGTCACAGAGCATGGATTCTTTCATTGATCTTGCTCAACTCTCTAACGATACCGGTAATAACAGCAATGAGTCCATTGCCGCCCTCTTGCATGCACGCTACAAGCAGGACAAACCGTACATACAGCTTGGGCATCATCGACTAGTGATCGTCAACCCTTTTAAACCGCTCGATATACTCAACGATGCCGCTTTGGAATACTATGCCAATAAAGGTTACAAGGATTTATTGGCCGCCGATGGTTCGCTTGATGAACCTCACGTATATGATTTTGCGACTCGAGTGTATTTTGTCATGCGCCGGCAAGGCGAAGATCAAGCCATTGTCCTGAGGTAAAGCCATTATTTTTTCATACAGTGCACAGCAAGCGGTCATTGAACTCATGTGTGCTATTTGTCAATAACAGTGGTATTTCCGGCTCGGGAAAATCAACGACCCATCGTCACTTAATGAACGAATTACTACTGCTGTCAACACATTCGCAACGAGAATCAAAATTACGGCAACAGATTCTCGGCGCTCAAATCATCTTGTCAGCGTTTACCACTGCATCAACAATACAGAACGATCGAGCCAGTCAGTGTACTCAATTACATACGTTACAATTCAATGAACGTGGCCGGATCGTAGGAAGCCACATCATGGTTTCTTTACTGGATAAATTCCGGGTAGTTGGCGCTACGGACGGAGGCAATTATCATATTTTTTATCAGTTGCTGGCAGGCACATCGAACGAAGAAAAGCAGGCGCTTCACTTAAACCATACCGCGGATCATTTTGCATACCTCCGACTGTCGCCGGCGGTATTGGCAAATGCGGCGAACAACGGTAATACAAATGTCAACAGCCACGGATTCAGTGGCACCAGCGGAGTTCGCGATGAAATTGCATTTGGCGATCTTAAAGCGGCATTGAAACAGTGCGGATTTAAAAGCAAGACCATTGCTCAGCTGTGTCAGCTATTGGTCGCCATCCTGCATTTGGGCAATATCCAGTTTGTAGGTGGCAGCAACGGCAATATCGGAGGAGGTCAGGAATCCTGTCGAATCAAAAACAAGGAAACTCTGTCCCTGGTAGCCGCCGCTTTGGGTATCGCTACCGCCAAGCTCGAAACGGCTCTCACTCACAAGCTTAAATTGATTGGCAAGGAATTCTGTACCGCATTTCTCACCATGGACACCGCCGTCGATCAACGCGATGCTCTGGCTCGGTCGCTTTACGCCATTCTTGTGCTGTGGATCGTTGAACAGCTGAACCGCAAATTGAACAGCTCACGTGCGGTGACGGGGATCAGTATCTTTGATCCTACCTTGGGCAAGGACAGTCATGCAGCTATTCAGGCCGCCACGTTCCACGACCTTTGTATTCATTTTGCTGCGGAAAAAACGCATCATTTCTTGTGGAGCACATTATTTGATTCGATGGCCAATATCAACGTGGATCGCCGGGAAGATGGTTTTCCCCAAACCCATCCATGGCCACCTATATCCACCTCTCTTCCGTTCTTTCTCGGCACCAACAACAATAAGTTTGCGATAGTTCCTTTGCTGAACCGCGAATCGGAACGCTACGAAGCTTATGCCTTGGATGCCACCGATGTGAATTTGGTTTCGACTTTGTATCAGAAAAAGAAAAGAGCCGAATCGTCGCCCTCGGCTCAAAGCGATGATTTTCGGGCCTTTCAGAACCCATCCAGTCCATCCCACAGTTTTGCCATTCAGCATCACTTCTCCGTTAACCCAGTCGATTACTCGGTGGCGGGATTTCTTGAACGGAACATCGATGCCGTTTCGCCTGATTTTGTGCATTTATTTAGATACAACTGTACCAACAGCTTTATACAGGATCTTTTTGAAAGCAGCATTCTCGTGACAGAAATCCATCCTCGCGATGAACGGACCATTATCAAGGCACAACTACCCAGTCAGTACCCGAGCCAGCTGTGGACCGCAAAGCAGAACAAAAAAAACATCGATCAGTCGCCAACTGCGATTGCGACCGTCATGAACCAAGTTCACCGCAATACAAACCAGCTGCTGGATCGGCTGGCTGGTGTTCGTTTATTTCAAGCCATCCATATCAAACCGAATATTCAGCAAAAGCAAGATATCTTTGACGCCGCGACGGTGGCCATGCAGCTTCAAATGCACAGCATCCCCGACATTCTCCGTCAGACCCGACACACCGACTGGTACAGCTACACGCATGAGAATTTCTTATCCCGTTACCGACAATTTGTTCGCACTGTGAGCGGCCCCGACGGGTCCAGCGACTGGCAGCAAATCGAAACACTGATGCATATCATGCAATGGACACCGGAGCAGTGCCAGATTGGCAAGTACAAAGTATGGCTTGCTTTTGATATATGGCGAGATTTGGAAAACCATCTGCGTTTACTCGAAAAGGAAGCGCGAGCGCAAGAACGTGAACGACTGGCCATGATTGAAGCAGAAGCAGAAGCCGCTCGCAAGGAAGCCGAAGCCGCTGCTCTAGCAGCACAAGAAGCGGCCGAAGCCGAAGCAGCGGCCATGGAAGCAGTCGCTGCTGCTGCCGCTGCCGAAGCCGAAGTTGCAGCTGCAGCGGCCAATCAAGCCCTTCGTGATAATCCATTTGATGATCATTGTGGCTCGGAGTACAACAGCTCGGACGAATATGACGATCGCACCGACATTGGCAACGATTCCTCCTGTGGCAAAACAAGCACTAGTCAATGGGGAGATGAAGAAAAAGGACTTGCGGAAGGGTAAGCACCCTGCGGACAAACTCTATTGTATACGAAAAATGGTGTGGTTATTCATTTAAACCATTCTTCATTAGATTTGGTCCTAATATGGATATGAGTAAAATGGTGGAAGATTACCGGGTAGATCCTGGCGAGCAAGTGGAAGAAGTGCCGATTACCAGTATTCGCCACTGGTGGAGTCGGTTCGTTTGGCTAGCTACGTGGTGGATCCCCTCTTGCGCCTTGCGATGGCTCGGGAAAATGGATCGTCAGGACGTGCAAATGGCCTGGCGTGAAAAAGTCACCTTGTGTCTTCTCATCTTCTTATTCTCGGGGTCCATCATCTTTTTTATCGTCGGACTCGGTCCCGTCATTTGCCAGGGCACCAAAGATCTGTATTCAGCCGAGGATGTCACCAACCACCAAACCATGGCCGATTACTGGGTTAGCATTCGAGGCAAGGTGTACGATTTAACCAAATTTGTAGCCAATGACCACGGTACCCAGGTCTATATGGCTTCACGATCGACCATGGAACCCCTGGCCGGTCGAGATTTATCCAACACGTTTCCACCGCCCTTGACCACGGCGTGTGCCGGCCTCGTGACCGATCCTACCGTAACCATCACGCCAAATGAAACGCTGATCTTGGGCCCTTTTGTCCACTTTTCCGGACCGCAGCAACTGGAGAAAGGCCTGGGCAAAATGCAGGACGCCAACTGGATTACCGAGTATTTCGAACCGACCATTCGTCCTTTCAAAAAGGGCGACCTGGTGATAAGAATGAAACAAATTCAAGACGATTACAAAGGTTGGGGACGGCTCATTGGCAGCATTGATGATAAAGTGTATGACCTGACTGACTACATGGCAACGGCGCGAAAATACCCAATGGAGAGCGTGGACCAGCCCAATTATCACTATCTGGATCCTTCTATCGAGACGTTGTTTCAGACATTTGGTGGCAAGGACGTCACGGAACAGTGGCAGAAGTATACAAAATCCATGGATGAGACCACCCGCATGCGAAACCTGGCCTGCCTCGATAACATGTTTTACATTGGTCGGTTGGACTATCGCGACTCCTTACGATGTACCTTTGTTAATTATCTGCTGCTGAGTTTTGCCGTCTTAATGTCGCTGGTAATACTCATCAAGTTCCTTGCCGCCCTTCAATTTGGCGGCGCACCAACCCCAGAAGATCACGACAAGTTTGTCATTTGCCAGGTGCCCTGCTACACGGAAGACGAAGAATCGTTGCGGAAAACGATCGACTCACTGACGGTTCTCAACTACGACGATAAGCGCAAACTGCTCTTTTTGATTGCCGACGGTATGATTATCGGCAGTGGCAACGATAAACCGACGCCGCGAATCCTGCTGGATATTTTAGGCCATCCCGACACCGATGATCCAGAGTCTTTAATGTTTAAATCCATTGGCGAAGGATCCAAGCAACTCAACTATGGCAAAGTGTATTCTGGATTGTACGAGCATGAAGGTCATGTCGTACCCTACGTTGTCGTTGTCAAGGTCGGCAAATCGACGGAACACAGCAAACCAGGCAACCGAGGCAAACGCGATTCCCAGATCATTTGCATGAATTTCCTCAGCAAAGTGCATTTTGACTCGGAAATGACGCCTTTGGAATTGGAAATCTATTACCAAATTCGGCAAGTGATCGGCGTGGATCCCAGTCTTTACGAATACATCTTGATGGTGGACTCGGATACGGAAGTGTACCCGGATGCGCTGAATCGCTTGGTGTCATGCATGCTGCATGACAGTCGCATCATTGGTCTGTGTGGCGAAACGGAACTTGGCAACGAGGATCGTTCATGGACGACCATGATTCAGGTGTATGAATACTACATATCTCACCATCTCGTCAAAGCGTTCGAATCGTTGTTCGGCAGTGTCACTTGCTTGCCTGGCTGTTTCTGTATGTATAGGATCCGGTCGGCCAACAAACGGCAACCGCTAATCGTGTCTCCTGCTGTTATTCACGGCTATTCGGACAACCAAGTGGATACTTTGCACAAGAAGAATTTGCTCCATCTGGGTGAAGATCGATACTTGACGACGTTGATGATGAAAAATTTTCCGCAGTACAAGATGATGTTTACGCCGTACGCCAAGTGTCGTACAGTGGCCCCTGACCAGTGGCGCGTGCTCCTGTCACAGCGACGTCGATGGATCAATTCCACCATTCACAACTTGCTTGAGCTCATCTTGCTGCAAGAGTTATGCGGGTTTTGCTGTCTGTCGATGCGATTTGTCGTGATGACAGACCTGATCGGAACCATTACATTACCATCGTCGGTCATTTATCTAATTTATCTCATTTACGAAGCTGCCTCGGGTACAGGCCCGGTACCGATGATCGCTCTGGGGATGCTGGCGGGAGCGTATGGATTGCAAGCGCTGATTTTTATCATGAAGCGACAGTGGCAACATATTGGGTGGATGATCATTTACATTTTTGCCATTCCCATTTTCTCGTTTTTCATTCCCATTTATGCCTTTTGGCACTTTGATGATTTCTCGTGGGGAAATACGCGCGTGGTGGTAGGCGATAAGAAGAAACAAATCATTGTGACGGACGACGAGAAATTTGATGAAAAAATGATTCCGTTGAAACGGTGGGCGCAGTACGAAATGGAGTTGTGGGAATCGAAAACGGCGCGTTCCTATGACGATGTTCGGTCGCGATACACGGATTCGAAGCGAAGTTCACTCCAGTCCGTGGAAGAAAGCCATGTGGACGCACTGCAAGTCAAATCGGCCGGCCTCATTCCTCCCCTGATACAAGGCTTTTCCGAGCAAAACATCACCCAGTTTACTGCCGATCTCACGGCTGCACTGCATCCGGTCTCGCAGCAACAGTCACCGTCTTCAAAAGACCCACAGCAACCACCGATGCTCCCGGAAGATGAAGACCTCGAGAGAGAAATCTATCGCATCATGACCAACGCTAATCTCATGACACTAACAAAGAAACAAGGTAACGCTATATTATTGTATGTGGAATGATCAAGTTTCTAATATCTGAATTTTTTTTTTGTAGTGCGTGACCAGCTGTCGGTTTTGTTTGGAGTAGATGTCACTATCAAGAAAGGATTCATCAATGCCACAATTGACAGGATTCTGGCCAATGATGCAGGCTTGTTTAATATGTCGACGAATACAGCCCACCCGCCACCGTAAATAGAACATCCCATATACCCGCGAGACAGATAACCCAATCATTTTCCTGTATCAATAAAACCACTCGTTATCTTTATCATTAACACATTCACACGATGTTTCTGTTGTTTGCAGTTGCAAGGCATGAATTTTTTGGGGCTTCCATTCCCGCCAAAGAGATATGCGCAAGCAAGGCAAAAGAAGAGAAAAAAGTCTTTCAAAGGCATGCATTATAAGACGACAGCATCTTATCCTGCAGAGCGACTGTTCGGAAACTGCTAATTCATCATTCTATTTTACTTAGTAAGTCAGAAAATTTTATATAACGGAATGGATAGAGTGCCCTTGAATCGGAACCTTCGGAACCGGTTGTCATTGCGGAGTTACCAGTAATAATCCTGCAGTTCTCATCGTGGGCGGATATCAATGGCAACAAACAAATCGCTTTAGCTCAACCTTGCAAGAACAAAAGTGACATCTTTTCGGATCGTCACATTAGATTTGCATGTGTTTCCATTAGCTTGATTTTGAATATTCATGGCAGATGTGCGTGTCGTTAAGTCGCACACTCAAACGTTGAAACAAAATGTGGCATAGAGCCACCAGTTCGCTAGCATGTAATTGATTCACTAAAATGGACTTTGTTAATAGCTCACTTGTATGCTTCAAGCCAATTAAAATTTACTGGTTTACTGGATATTAAAATCTTTGGGAGTTATGCACGTTAAATCATGTGCACGGTCTCTGATTAGCTGTTCTTCCAAGTCTAACCAAATGTTTGATTTGATGATGTACATGTTCAATCACATGGATTGCTGCCAATTGATTGAAATCAAGTGTGTATGTGTGTCCCCTTCGTTTTTGAACAAAAGAGAAAGGAAGATTGTCTTTGGCTTTCTTCTACTTTTCATATATCCGATAAAGTTTTTTTTTTCTTTTAGTTAACTGCCATTTATGATGAATATAATTTGTGCAAGTTGCCGTCAAGCAGGCCATGCTCGCTCTACTGATTTCTGTCAAGTTCTTCCAGTGATCCCCAAAGCAACCAGGCCCCAAATTGTTGAACAGTGTCTAAACAGGGCCTCTTTCTGGCCATCTGTAAGGGTTCTTCGATTAACGACAAACATGCATGTAGAACGAACTCGCTTAAGCAGTGGTGCGGATGCTAATATATTGATCAATTTGCCTCTTATCTTTTGCGCATTGGTAGTGGAACGGAACCGTACACAAATGGGAACTTGGTGTCACTTCCACCAGAGATGCTGGTGCCTTCTTCTAATGTCGAAGATCTGATATATGCAGTATATGGCCACTCTTTATAGAAATGCCCTCGAGAGAATTCTTAATAAGCCGTGCCATCTTGGCTCCAACAAACAGACATGTGGCCTTTCTCAAAGAGAAGGTGCTGAACAGTTTCCCTGGAGATGTTTGCGAATACAAAAGTGCTGACAGCATGGACACAGAGGAAAATCAACTGGAGCACACTAATGAAATCTTGAACTCTACAAATTCAGTCAACCTACCACCGCATTCCCTTAAACTTAAAATTGGCTTCCCAATCATGCTGCTTAGAAACATCGACCAAGCAAATGGTTTATGCAATGGCACACGTTTAATATGCCGATCTTTTCATCCGCATATTATCGAAGCAGAAATTGCCAATGGAATCAACATTGGAAAACGTGCAGTGCTATCGCGCATAGCAATTATCAATGATTCTGATGAAAGAGCAATTCCATTTAAACGAGTGCAATTTCCTGTACGTCTTGCCTTCGCAATGACTATAAACAAACCCCCAAGGTCAGACCTTTGACTCCACTGGCTTATTTTTACCGGAACGGGGATTTTCCCATGGCCAACTCTATGTTGCCATGTCCCGAGTTAGAACCCCGAGCTCCATCAAAGCCATGTGTATACTGAAGTTTTGTGATCTTCAAGATCACACGCGCAACTAGTCTAAACAATTAATCTTTGGGAGATTAGCGATTTGTAAATCACATGATCTACACTAAGTTATCGGGACCTGTTAAACCTTTTTTTCTTTCAATCATGCTTCGCTGCCCACTCGCCACGATAATAGGCGAAACAATCAGCAGCAAGATGCCGTTTGCGCCAGTTGTGGTCAAACAGAGCATTGTCGTCTTTCAAATAAAAATGTGAGTAGAGCTCTTTTTGAAGAAAGGTGGTTGATGATACGACTGGCGTTCTTTTGTAGCATCATTCAATTTGGGTTTTCTGTCAGTTATACTGTATATGCCCTTTGATTCTCTTCATTTATGATGATCGAGAGGTCGGTGTTCATCTTTTTTTGTCCGGTACACCATTTGGTTCAAAGGCAAGTCCAATTTCTTTTCCTTTGCTATGATGTAATGAACCTATACTAATTCAACGTTTTTCAATGTCATATAATCCAAGTCATGTTAAGCGATCAATTATTATCGAAAACTCAAATAACAAAGGTAAAATATCTTGACGAAATTTGAATCAATCAGAGAGCTTACTAACTCATTTTTTTTTAAATACCCAACATACTCACACATCTTTCTAGATTATCATAGCCTAGACGGGATGGAACTGAGGGGGTCAAAGTGCTGCTTTGCGCGTGTTTAGAAACAAATCACGACGTAAGGGATGCCATAAGGTTGTCATTAATATACCGAAGTTCCGTCAAGAGTTCTCGCCCAGGTTATGCCCGTGTATGCGTTAGGCTTTTTATCTGAAGAAAGTCGCTCAATGTAAGGGGGCAATCCCCGGTGGCAGGCGGCATTCATTGCACAGCGGGTGTACGGCTTGTTATCAGTATAATAAATAGCGAGAAGTTTCTTTCAGTCCTGTTTAAATTGACCAATTTGCTTGTTGATGAAAGTTTAATTCAAAAAGATTAGCATAGATCACAAGAGACGGGAGATGTTTAGAATCTGAGAAAAGCTGCGAGTTTTTCAGTGTGCGCTGAGATGCGTTTCATTGTTCTTTGCAAGTTATGTGCAAAACTCTTTGCATTGGAGCATGAAGCCGAAGCGTCCACAAACCATTAACAGTCACATTGGGTGCGGCCTGCACAAACAAGGAAATAGCAAAAACCCTCCCACTGATGATTGCATGACGAAAAGCAAAACAATTGAAACACCGAAAAGAAAAAATATTGTGGACGATCTTTTTTCTTTTTTTTTTCACACCACTTTTCTTTATTCTTCTTTCTTTCTTTCGTTGGTGTGCTTGTTTCTTTATTCCTTTTCTATACTATTACAGAGATGACGACTTCACTAAATCATAATCATGCTATTGAATCTGATGAACAGTTGCTGCGAAGGATTCGAGAAGAGGATCATGATACAGAAGACGAAGAACCAGTCTTGGGTGAGAAACGGGCAAGCTACAGTCTCGAGACTCCTCCTATTGTGAATATCCACGGACAAAGTGTACGAAACGACGTCTTGGTCGCATTATTAGATCGACCCCGTGAAATGCAAATGTTGGCTCAACATAATGCCGATTTCTATACGGCGCTTCGTCACTATATTGAAGAAGTCCAAGGTTCAGAGGCATGGCAACAGTTTCAAGATCTCGTTTACTCGCCACGAGAGAAGATTCCAGACCGTCTATGGATGGCTAAAATTAGCCAATTCCTTTCGCACAATCCCGTATTCCTGGGAAAGTTTAAAGAAAGCGTTGGATACGATGACGAAGCCGACATGGGTGCCGACGAAGAGGAGGATGTTGATGAAGAATACGACGCCTTTGACGAAGAAGAAAATGAGATGGTGTCACCATTGACAAAATTCAGTCATACTGGCAGTGACTTCTCCGGTGAACACTATCCATCGCATCGTCGTCGACAGTCTTCGCACAACTCACTTCACTTTGACCCGCATCCGACTATCACCAGTCCCACGTTGCGCGAAGGCGAAGAACATTGTGGCATTAAAGAAAACGGAGAAATTGGCAGTCTGCTGACGCTGAGAGATAATCCAGACACCCAGCGGACATTACCCTTCATATTCCCTGCATTTTTCAGAAAAGTGGAATTGCTAATGTCCCCTTCCACGGCCAAGACCACTCGACGACGGTCCAGCCGATTAGCGGATATGAATGTAGGCGATGACGAAGATGCTGAATACCAACCACGGCATCAACAGGTATGCGACGACGACGACCAAGACATCAATCCATACGATCAATTTGTCCGAGTACTGTGTACATCTCGACAACAACAGCCCGATGACGGTGCATGGATAGAAAATGTTTTAGCCAGCCTTGATGGTTGGCCTAATATTCTGGAGGAATTGCTGGACATTATTCAAACGGCAGTCAGTCGAAGGCACGATTAATATATACTTGTTCCCATGGTTGTATTGATTCCACAAGTCAGTTCATAAGTGCTTGTAGTACTGAACGGGAAGTCTTCCTCTTAAACGCGGTTTATATAGGATGACGTACGGTTGATATTATATAAAAAACATTTGGCAATAAACTTGAGAATGGTGGAAAAAAAATGGTAGAACATGACGGGCGAGAAATAAGGTGAACAAAAGCAGAATAAGTCAGATTTCTTGTTGAACGACAGGTTATGAACAATCAAAGTAAGAATAAAGGAAGCGCAATGACGACAGGCTACAAAAAAAAAAAAAAAAAAAAAAAAAAGGGAAAACTATATAGCAGATATAAAAAAGAAAGGACAAGAAAATAGAAAAGGGGGGAATTTTTGTCCCAGAAAAAAACAGATTACAGGAAACTTGTGTTCTTGGGTCCCGCGTTCGGGTTGGGTAAATAGATCTATCGTGAGTTCATGAATCCAGGGATCCAAGAAGTACGTTTATCACGCTTATCAGGTGATGTAGGGGTATTCTCGCCATTATCCACTACGGTGCCTCCACCACGAAGAGGCTTGGCAATGCGGCCAAAGTTCAAACTGGACATGGAGCTTTGTATCTTTTGCTGCGATCGGGCTTGAGCCAAACGTTCATTCACGGCCTGCAACTGCACGTCGAACTTCTGATTTTGGATAATCAGCTTCTCTTGAGCATCTTCCAGCAATGCTTCCAAGCTTTGGATACGCTCATTGCGGCTGATCAATTTACGCTCGGCAGTGGCCACTTCTTTCTTCAATGAAGCATTCTGTTCCACAAGCTATTGTGCACACATTGTGGAGAAAGTAAATAATAAACTTGCATCAGTCGCTGTATGCGTGTGAAACAAAAATAGACCCCCTCCAACACGCCCATGACTTGCCTGTTTTTGCACATTGGTGAGCTGCTCGAGGTTGCGTTCCAAAAAGGCCATCTTCTTTTGTTGGGCCTTGTTGTTACTTGCGCGAAGCACGCTGTGGTATTGTTCCCGGGTCTCGTCCAGAGACATTTCCAGTTCAACCACTTTCTCGCAACGATGCTGAAGATCACGCATGAGCGCCTTCTTGGTCACTTCAAACTCGGCCAACTGACTGGCCATGGTCTTGCGCATGCGTTCAAAGTATTTCTCTCTGTCAGACAGTTCGCTATCCTGCGAAGCATGGGATTGCTCGGACAAAGCGTTCTATTGATAAGAAAGATGGGTGAGTCCATGAAAAAATATGAAAGTGATGTACCATCCTGAGAAATCTGTCGTACCTGAAGCTGATCATTGGCCGCTTTAAGATCGGCCATGGCGTTGCTGAGTTTTTGATGGTTTTCATTCTTGCGGTCCAACTCTTGTTTAAGGTCATCAATTTCCTTTTGCTGCATTTCCTTCTTGGCTGCATACTGGGCCTCCAATTTCGCCTTGAGGCTGGAAATGGTTTCGGCAATATCGACGTTCTTTTGTACCGCGGCTTCTTCTTCAGCAATGGTTTTGTCCAGAAGCTCTTCGTATTCTTGTTCGAGCGTACCCAAGCGACCTTCCAGATCGGCCTTCTTCTTATCAAGGACCTCCTTTTCATAGGTAAGATCATTGATGGTTTTGGCATGTTGATCCAACAACACTTTGGATTCAGCCAAATCGCGTCGCAACGACACCAGTTCTTCAATACTGAGATTGCCATTATTCTCGGCATCCAATTTATTGAGAGCATCACGGATCTGCCGCTCCTTTTCATTGATTTCGCCCTAATATTTGAGATGGGTTAGAGTTATGAGCTCTTGAAGTTTGTCCTTTTCCATGTGAAACACCTCCAGAATCACAGGTGACTTACGGATGGGTCAAAGCTGGACATCATTTGAGCCATTTTTTCGGCCTTCTTCTTCTCTTTTTCATCGTCGTGGTGGCTCTTGTGGGACATTCTCATTTCCAACAAATTCTTCTTTAGCTCTTCCAATTCAGCCATCAGGTCTTGATTCGCCTCCTTGAGAGAATCGACAGTAATGGCATTCTCTTTGCTCTCGTACGAAATCTTTTGCAACTGAAGACGCAATTCACTCAATTCCGTGGTCATTTGCTGATTCTCCTTCGTCGCAATTTGTTCTTGATCTTTATAGTACGACATTTCTTCCTTGAGTGATTCCAGCAGTTTCTCACGGTTGGCTAATTCCGTTTCCTATTCCATCCCATGGTGTCAGGCCATATCATCCTTTGTAGCTAAGTAAAAAATCATTTTGTAGGTATTTTACCTTTTCAGCAATTTGATCCATGAGTTCGTTTTCGCGTTTCAGCAACTCGTCGCGTTCGTCCTTTTCCAAAACAATGGCGGGCGTGGCGGGACGCGATGAATCGTCAATAGGACTCTTGAATCCTGCGGCGGGAGGCAAGGCATTGAAATCGCCTTTGGTAATTTTGTCCATGGTAACCCATTTGTCTTCGGGGACCGACCCACCCGTTCGCCACACATTGACTTCGCCTTCCAAGGCAGCAATATAGGTCTGGAAAGTGACCGTTTCGGATTTGACCTTTTTCAAAAGGGCCTTCAATTCCGCGGGAGACAAATCCGCATTCACCTTGGCCTTGTTCTTGATACTCTTTGCTCGCATACCGAAACGAAGTGTCGAAAGTGTTTCGGCCTCATTATACGATGAGGGAGAACAGTTAATAATCAGTGTCGTACGCGAGTTACCACCCAGCGATTCTTGCAGAATACGAGTCAATTTCGAATCACGATAAGGCACGTGACTCGACTAAGGCACACGGCAACGAAAAAAAATTCAGCCGGGTTAGCATGATACACGTAATCTTTGACTACAAGATGCCGGGGGGAGGGTTTACCTTTCCATCTGTAAGCGAGTTGATGACCATACCAAGAGCGGTCAGGGATTTGTTAATTTTTTTGGCCTCTTCCAGGGTTTGTCCGGATGCGCCGGTCTTGCCCACCTAAAAAAAAAACCAAATCGATAGAACATCAGATATGACATCTTCAGACTAAAGGGGAAGTGGGGAAAAAAAATAAAGATAAAAAGCTAGTGATGTTGTTACCTTTTCAGAACCTGCTAAATCGACGAGGTACAGTTTACCGCTTTTGGCGGCGCCGGTGTCAATGTTTTTCTGGGTAATGGTGACGACGACGATGGAGTGACTTCGAGAACTCTCGGCGTTCATGTCTGGAGGTTCAAATCAGCATAAAATCTCTGAAACCATGTAATAATAATAAAAATAGTAGAAAGTGCTTACTTGTGGAAGCTACCACACGATTATTACTACCACGGCGCATCACTTCATATACTTCGTCCGAGGAACCGACATAGACTTCTAACAGGCCTTTGACATAGACACCCTTGGTTTTGTCTTCATGGATAGGCAAGTTATCCTGAGCAGCTGGAAACGACCAAGGAGAAAGGAATAGGGAAACACAAATAAAACGGGAAAAAGTAAGAAAAAAAGTTATCAGCATTTCATGCGTTGTTTTATAAACATAAATCATGCACTTACGATTTAGTAAATCTCGAACCTTTTCCATATAAATTTCCATGTAAGACACTTTGACGGTGAATTCCAAATTGCTAGGTGCTGCCATGATACTGGCAAAGATTTGTTCCACAATACGTGGAATGATACCCTTGGTTTTCTCATCATCAATATCCGCACCCTAAACACAAGATAAAAAGAAAAAGTAACGTTAAGACCAATGTTAACCCAGCTATGCGATAAACCCTTGAGGGAAGGCAGAGGGGGGGTGGACACAGTAAGAAGTGCAGTTAAATTTTTTTTTCAGTTACCATCATCGTAAACGTTTTACCGGAACCTGTCTGGCCATATGCGAATACAGTTCCGTTGTAACCGGCCGTAACATCTGTAGAATAACAAGCAATCTAGGATGAGTGTCTTATCTGGCCCTTTTCCACAGAAAAACAGTGATCAAGCATACCATCGACAATAGTTTTAATAGAATAATCAAAAACATCTTTTTGAGGGGTATTCATGCCAAAGACTCTGTCAAAAGCAAACGACCCTTGAAAGTCTTTGCCCTAAGTCAAACAAGGTAGTGTGAGCAACGACTTGTTTTACCATGGTTCTCAAAGTTTGGAGATGTAGGTTTTACCTTTAGGTCGATTTGGGACCCTGATGAATCAATGTCGATGATAGGCACACCGCCCTCTTTGATTTCCAGTGCATTTTGAGGTCGGAAACGACACACGACCTTGATGTTGTTGCCCGACATTACACAATGAAAATCGAAATGGGCTCAAGAAGATGGAAAGCAAGAGAAAAAAAAAAAGAAGAAAAAAAGGGAAACAAGAAGAAAGTATAAAAAAAAAAAGGTCTGCTAGTGGGACGAAAAAAAAAAGTGGGAAAAGGCACAAGAAGGAGCTTAAATAAAAAAAAAGTTGAGACGCGTAGACCTGGTTGTTGTACCATCTGTTTTTCTTTTTACAGGAGAAAGATGAGTTTTCTATCCATCATATTACTGTTCTGTTGTTGCAGATGGTACGGATTCCCCTTTTTTGTTTGCCCTTCTGGAGCTTGATAGGTGTCATGGGCTTCTCGGCCTCATGGTCTGACTCGTTCGGTCTTTTTTTTTTGAAACTTTTTGTACGAAAGCCGATTCGACTCTAAATGTTGAAGATTGAAAGCTTGTGTTACTGAACTGTCCATGTTGCCCTGCCAATCACATCCCCGCAACCGTCCTCCAGCGATCACGTTAGCACCCAACGGTTCTTGTATCAGGAACAGTGTGAACGAGCTATCGACCGGACAAGACTGCAAGGCATCCACAGCAACCATCTATTTTTCCTGAAGGAAAATATGGGGTGCAGCCTTCCACCTTTATCATGTGCTCACCGGAAGCAAAGTCCGCATGGCAGAATTCCAGGGTAACCAAATGCGTATCCTACTCTTTGAGACAGACAAAGAGTCAATATGGATGGTCCAGATGCATCCTTCCGGCTTGTACAAGGGAAGGATACGGCGAGTCGATCCCACGCACCCGAACAAGATGTCATATATAAGCTTTTTAATGATTTTTTCATCATGGTTTATCCTTGGCGGAAATTCTCCAGCAAAGTATCATTTTCAAATCCGATCATGAGAATATCATTCAAAAAATGACGAAGATTAAAAACCCTGTGCGACTCCTGACAGAGTTTCCGCTCCGCCTAGTGAAAAAAAGAAGCTCAGTCCAAATCCTCGTTCCGTTTCTCGTCAGCTCTTGATCATCTTTGGGCAAAAACAACACACCATAAAAAATGGATCCAAAACAAGCCAAAGAACGAACGGCGTGAAAAAATCGAGGAGTACGTCTGATGAGGTAACACGCTAAGCAAGAAAAAAAAAAAAAAAAAAAAACCTTGTTGAATAACGAAAATGATTCTCAAGCCAGCGGGACGATGCATTATCGTTCCGTTAGCCTTGCGTCTATCTTTCAATTTTAAATTTTTTCTTTTTTTCATCTCTTTTGAACTGCATTATCGTTGATGTCTTTCTCTCTGGTTTTTTTATACTTAAACCGAGATAATGTAGTTGGTATTTTAAATGAATAGCTGATAGCAGAAAAAAAAACTTTTTAGGTTGATGTCGTAGTTGGGTGGTTACAGATCATGCTTCTGTTTCTATATCTCTCATGCATTCGCCAGGCAACAAGAACTGGAACCGATCTGCGTGCGTCAAAACGTAACTTGGTAATCCCACCGCCGATGTTTGATGAGGGATATTGCCTAGCTTGGACACCAACTCTTTGTACGTATAAGCTTCGGGAGGCATATCAAAGATCTCGCCGCCTTCACAAATCACTTTCTGAATCCGATCCGGATCCAGGAGCTGCTGGTGGCGGACTCGATCGGCATGTGAATAACTCTGCATTTTGAACTGGAAATCTTGAATCGTTCGAAAACAGAACGAACAATGCCATCCTACACAGATCCTCAAATCAGTTTACGCCCGTCTCGCATTGGTTCACCCATTTTTTTTTTTCCTTTGCGAGTCTCCATTTGTCAAAATTGCTGGGACCGCCCAACTTGCCTGCATCCGATAGTATATTTTTGGTGACCTGGCCGTGACGATAAGAGGTACTGTCAGGGTCGTACTTTTCAATGTGGGCGCGCCAAGAGTTGAAGTCGACAAAGAATTCAAAGGAATACACATAGTTGCGCAGCTGGAGATGTAACTGGTCCGGTACGCCTCCGCAGCTACGAAGAATATCCACTGTTTTGCCACGAATCAACTCGTCCACATCCGACATGATCAATAAATCGCCTCGTTGGATGCCCGCAGTTTTGAGAGCCGCATTCATATGGTGTCGCATCTGATTTTCATTGTAAAATGGCCCTTCATTTGCAGGCAAAGCATACTGTTCCACGGTAAAGTGCCGAACCTTGGAAGCTGCAAAAGCAAATCGATCTTGGTGGTCTTTGAATACGAGTGGTTTGCTGACACCCGTGAATGTAGCGTTGGATTCCAAAATGACAAAAGTATCGACAACGTCCCACAATTCTCGAATGCGGATTTCGAGGAGATCCAGCTCCACGCTAAAGACAATGGCGTCAAATACCCGCGGTCGTTCTTCATCCTTCAGATGAGTCCATCCGTGCAATTGACACAGATTGGCCATGGACACATCTTCAGCGTAGTAATGAGGTAGGACTTCGAACGTCTGTGGATTGGTATCCCAAATTGGACGTGTGTAGTAGCCCAGATCAGTGATCAAGGATGGATCATAGGCCAAAAAGGAGAGAATCGATAAGATCCAAAATACAACCAACAGCAGTAACTTTCGTCGTCGAGAAAAAGAGAGTATCATAACAGGAAAAGGAAAAAGGGGCTATGGGGTAACCCCGGTGACAAATATCTCACCTTTTTATTGCTTGAGTAACATCTTGCCCTTGTGTCCAGTTTGCTTGGCTAAGCTTCATTCCAATTTTTTCGTCTACTGCTATTGTCAATGTCTTTTGCCCTGTTCACCATTTTTCAATTGGAAAATTATTATCATCAGAAATATGACATGCACTTCTTCAATCTATATGAATGATCTTTTTCAAATCAATTCCTTTGCGTTGCAATCCTTTATGACATGTTCCAAGAAGTTGAAGTTGAACCACATAAAAAAAGATGCTGAGTTGTGCGGGATTCAATATGTATGCAGTTCCACGTTATTTCGGACTCAGTTTCTGTTCTCTCCTTCTTTTGAGAGAATGCCAAAAAAAGCTTCAAGGGTCCTCAACACAGACAGTGTGATGATCATTTGCCCACTGGATCTTTGAATCAGCCCAAGCTTGGAGATAATAATAACATCATCGAGCCTGTACTTGCATACGCGATATAATAGGTCATGCCTTGGCGCTAATTTTTTTCCATGACATGGCGCGACTCCATGAATAGAAATGCCTATTTTCCAGAGATTTTTTTTGAAAACAAAAACACCGATGATGATAAAAAAAATTCCCCTGATTTTTCTTCATTCCCCCACTGCAGACTTTTTGCACTATCCAAATTCTGCCCAGTAACCTGCGGGCCTTGCCTCGGTAACTATACCAAAGAGTGGCTTGGATAAGTATCCAATGACGAAGAACCCAAGGCGGATGCGAATTGTAATCTCAACAATCGTGAGATAAATAGATCTGCTGTATCACCCGCTTTTACAGAGCCATCCGTGAAATCAATACATACAGTAAACAAAAGAAAAAAAAACCCTCAGCCAGGCACATTAATAGATTTTTGCAAGTGTGCATGAGATGATTCCATTTAAAAGCTCACTTTCTTGAATACACACACCACTCCACCTTTTTTCCTTTTATTTTTTTATTTTATTTCCTCCTGTCATGAAAAGATTTGTATTATTATTATTATTGTGTTTATTATCATTCATTTTCCCCGCCGCCCATTGCATTCGTCCGCCGGCGAGATTCGGTGGAGGTACAATTTAAAGTTTCATCGCCATCATATTAGCAACCATCTTACTTGATATGTTAGCATGTGTCCTTTTAAGCGAACAGATATACTGTTACGGTGGAGGCATGTACGTCGCCGGTCGCAACGTCAGCACCACACTATCGGACCATTATAGACTCGATATATCCAAGAATTTACATATTCCCCGCACATGGTCCGACTGGGAAGTGGTGAATCCTGGAAACACCAGTTTCCAACTGGAGCCCAACATGTTGTTTTCAACCACTGTGCTCAATAACAACAGTTACCTCATCGACGGTGGACTAGGTTACAACAACGGCACGTCACTTGTGAATCGCACCACGGTCTATCATGCTGATACCAATGTCTGGGAATCGTTACCAATGAACGACACCCATCAAATGTAAACAGTTGCGCCTAACGCTTTGTTGTGATGCATGGTATTAACAGCAATGCACCATAGCTCCATGGGTTCAGCCGTTTTACTAAATAAGGATATTGTCTGGTTCTGGGGCGGATCTGAGTAAGAAATCAGGATACAAATCCTATGCGCATGAACGAAGCTAACGAACGCGTGCCTAGTTTAAGCAATGACATCCCTTTTGTCTATCCCAGAGAATTCAATGTGGCGGTAGGTTGGTAATGCGCACAATGCAGAGGTCCTCATGCTCATTTCCTTTTGTTTAGACCAAGCGCTGGTCATCGCACATAAATATCGGTTCAGTAGACAACAGATCCGCATGGATCCAGCATACCGGTTCGCTTTCCGGAAATAATCGCTACATCTATTATATGGGAGGCGTTACCGTAACCAATACGACCGTAATCAATGAAGACCATCCCGAAGAACCCATCTTTAATGTCACCTCCACCGTGAATCCAATGAATCGCCTTCTCATGCTCGATACTGTGCAACAAAATTGGACATGGATGATCACCAACGGTCCAACCCCTTCTCCACGCAAGTTTCACACCGTAGTCCAACGTGAGTATCGATGAATATCAAAGCACCATGAGAATGCACTCAATATTTTTCTTTATTTCCTCTGTCAGTACCCGATTCTAATAATCTGTTGTTATATGGCGGCGTAGCAACGAGTAAGCGGGAAGGAAACGGATTGTGCGAGACCATCGCTTCGTAACAATATCTTAATTTTTCTTTTTTCAATCACAAGATGGAAGTTTGCCGGTTGACGACTTTTGTTACATATTGGACACGGCGCGCGCCCGTTGGACACCCGTATCATTACCAGTATCGCGACAAGCGGGACCGCGTTACGGTCATTCAGGTAGATGATATACATCTCCAGACGCGTACTCCATTCATTGACTCGACTGCGCCCATTTTCCATAGCGGTTCTATACAGTAATCGGACGCTCTTCATTATGTTTGGTGTTGACGAGTTGGGTTACGTAAGAGACGATTTCTTCATGATGGACCTCAACACGATGACGTGGTCGGATTATTTCGTTTCGATGAATTCCTCGTCGTCGAATCCGCATTCGTCTCATTCGTGGAACGGACGACTGAGCAAAGGGGCGATTACAGGGATTATTATGGCGATTTTCGCTCTGGTACGTATATTCTATGCAAGGAATCAAAGGGATCTGTTTCAAGGGGCGAAGTGCTAACAAATACATAGTTCGGTATCCTTGCCACATTGTTGATCTTTTATTTGTTGCATAAGAAAACACAACAAGAAAAGGAGGAATTGCGACAGTCACTTGGCCTAGAAGGAGGCAAGGCCATGGATAGCGAAGCCCATGTATCATCACAGGATCATTTGACGGCCCCATTCAAGATTTATACCGCGTCTTCCCCCACCATCGTCAACGGTTCACGTACGCACCATGACCTCGATGAACCTCTGATAGAGCCTGTCAGTGGTACTCTGGTGAAAAGATCCACTATTTCATTTGATAACGGCCAAAGCTCCTCTTCAAGGCCATCTTCCCTTAAACCTTCCAGCCGTACCGCGTTGACCTCATCCGATGACCAACCAACCTCTTCCGATAATACCAAGTCCTCTCTCCTTCCACACCCTCTTCGACTGCGCCTTCCGTAAATTGGCCGCATCGAGCATCCTTATGACAATTCAACCCCCTGTCTGTTCCAAGATTGTTTTTAACGCTTCCCAAGAACCCGGAGAATCCAGTATGTTCAGTCCAAACATTTGCCACCATTCCGTCATCCCATCCTTTTCTTTTAATTATCGTTTCGATGCACATCGTGTCATAATGTAAATTTCCATACACACAGTATTTTGCTTGTATAAATACCAATCATCGTATGTGCGAACAGTATTCAAGTTCGCGGATGGAACAGTCCGATAGCGGTGGTCACTCATTCTACAGCAGTTTTCCAAAACGTACAATCGGGCGTACAGAATTTTGGATGGTTCAGAATGGAAAATACTTTGCCATTGCGTCAATGTTTTCTTTACCAACGACTCAAAACCCATTTCCCCGGAAACTTTCCATTTGCAGATCCTCACGTACGGCTGCTTTTATTTTGGAGCCACCCAGACCGGCACTGTAGTCATCCAAACGTGGCGTATGATTCCATCTGACCGAGTGAATCATATGCAGGAGCTACTTTTCTTGTTCGAACAAATGGTATACAGATGATAGTAGCTCGAAGCTACGCAGTGATGTCCAACTCTTTCGCATGGGATAGTCAGTTAACAAAATAAAAAGCAAGTTGCAGAGACAGTTGCACTTGCAACAAGTCCCCTCCCCCCATTTGCGCTTTGATGTCTCTACGTTTTCGGAATCTTTTTTCTTTTCTTCTTATTCGAGCGACCGCTGAAAGTAAAGCTTTCAATACGCACATGATGCAGCCACTCAATGCTGCAGGGGTTTGCGCCTTTTTCTTCTTCCATGTAATCGATGTTTTGTCGTTGGGCTCGTCGGCAGGACGATGTCGCGCTGTAGTAGTTTGGCTGACAAACCGTATATTGAGTGAATAAGGAAAATGTCCCGACTCCGCGCGCGTATTTAAGGTACAGAATAAGGGATCGCCCTGGTCTTTCCGCCGTTTTGCTGATCGTCAAATCATGTTTTGGGCAAGCAAAGAATTCGAATTTAAAGACATTCCCGACTTGACTGGCAAGATTGCCATTATTACTGGGTCCAATACAGGTGTAAGCTGATGATGACGCCTGTCTAAATGGGAACAGAATGAACGCTGATGGGATTGTCTGCAGATTGGCAAAGTGTGTGCCTTGGAAATGGCAAGAAAAGGATGTCAAGTGTAAGTGTTTGAAAGGGATGGCTTGGCGGTTTGACAACTAACGGTTTTGTCGTTGTCTAGTGTCATCGGTTGCCGGGATGAGAAAAAAGCGAATGCCGCGATGGAGGATATCAAGAAGAGCACCGGTAACGATAAAGTGGAGTTTATACGACTGGACCTCATGTCGCTCCAATCCGTCAAGGAGTTTGCCGATACGTTCAAAGCTCGATACGATCGTCTCCATATTCTTATGAACAATGCCGGAGTAATGATGTGTCCGTTTGCATTGTCCAAAGACGGTATCGAGACTCAATTCGCTACCAACCACGTCGGTCACTTTTATCTTACCGTCCAACTGTTACCTTTGCTCGAACAGTCCGCGCCTAGCCGCATCATCAATGTCAGTTCAATTGCTCACCACACGCCTTTTAAACGGTTGGATTTGGAGCACATCAGTGACGAAAAGAGATACAATCGAATCATCCATTACGGCAAAAGCAAGGTACGTGATCCAGTGGCATCTCTTTTTTTTTTCATCATTGACACTGTATCATTGTTAGACGGCCAATATTCTTTTTACTCGGGAATTGAATAAGCGATTACAAGCCAAAGGATGCAAAGTAGGTGGCTCAATAGGTGATAAAACCCCATCCTCATGACATCCACAGCTTATGTGAACCAATGTTGTCCTAGAATGTATACGTGAACTGCAACCATCCAGGTATGGTTCAGTCTGAATTGGAACGACACATTGTGGGAGGTCTGCTTCCCGGCTTTCTTTATCGCATGTTCCAGATCAGCACCGAGGATGGTGCATTGGCTCAGCTGTTCCTCGCCACCAGTCCTAAAGTTGAACAAGAGAATATTACCGGTGAATACTATGTGCGTATACGGTCTAGATGAGTGCGGCAAAATGAAGAAATGAGCGGCTCATGTTCAACTAAATTTCAATCGGTATAGGTTCCCTATGGCAAGCGCGCTCAAACCACCACCATGGCGGCAAGCGACGAAGTGGCTCTCGAATTATGGAACTTTACCGAGAACCTTTTGAAAGAGAAAATACCCGGCTACACGGGTGCAGGCATTTAATGATGTTATATAATAATTGTACACGATTGTAATAAGAAATGACTGGGTCATATTAATAAGATACAGTGTCGTTTTGTTTTGGGGCCTGTTCCTGCTTTTTTTTTCCTCTGGTTTGATGGACGCGCGCTAAAAGGGGTGCATGAATGGGATATCCGATAGTAACTGCCGCTCTTCCTGTCAAAGCAAAATAAAGCGAGGGAGTGTTAAACGTGAGCTAGATATTGAAGTCAAACGTCCCGGAGGTACCTGAGATCGAGATGTATCCATTTGAAGTATTTTTTGGTGACATAGCTTCAGGATCTCCGCAGTTGGTATATCGCGATGAACGTTGTTTTTACTTGAATCTTCATCGCATATTAATGATAGTAAATCGTAAGCCATTTCCTGAGCCTCTGTGTAATCGCGTTGAAGCTATATGTTAAAGTGTCTTGGTTGTTACTTTTCAGCATCCTGTCATCGATTTTGGATAGCACGAACCTCTGTCAACCGACGTTGGGATTCCGTCAGCTGCCGTTTTTGGCTTTCATGCTCTTTTCTCTCTGTCTTTAGCTGCGTTTGCAGCGCTTCAATTTGGCGCTTGAGATGGTCGTATGAGTTGTTATCATGTCGCTTGCCCACTGAAGGGGCCATTCTCAGGTTGGGTTCCGGGGTGGGCGGATCGACGCCAATCGTGAGATGTTCCTGCGATGGGGGTGACATGGACAGCTTACTGAATGGCTGGATGGTCTCGATGAATTGACGTGTATTCGTCTCTTGTTCATCATCATTGACATTTGGGAGGCTGTCGTTTTCTCGTTTTTTCTCCTTGGGTGTAGCTGGTTCATTTTGAGGCGAGGACGCCTCGGAACTGATACTGTCTTTGCGATACAATCCATCGTAGTATAGGAAAGGTTCGGAGGGGTGTTTCTGTCTTGTCGCGAGGCCCACAATGGCGTGAATATCTCGGTTGAATCGCTTTAACCGTTGTCCAGAAGCCGTCAATTGTGATAACTGGACGTTGATGTTTTCCTGCAAGCTGCTGATGATCCGGGTACACATAACAAGGTCGACAGTGGATCGGCGCTTCGCTTCCATCATCTTTTGGAAATGAAGATTGATGCATCGTGTCACATTCTCTTCGTCGGCAAAGAAGTTTTGTTTGGAAAATTCGAGTGCCGAGCTCTCGAGAATCATTCCGAGGGTATCTACAGAAAAGTTGCTGTTTTTGCTGGCAATGGTTTTGAGGTTATGCAAGAGCCCTTCCAACGATTTTATGTAGGACGATGCCTTGGCAGGTTGATGGAGCAGAATGGAAGCTTCTCGGTGGATATGCTGCATGCGTTCTTTTTCATGGTCCAGTTCCTGCGTGATCTGTTGGTAAGTGTCATCCAGCGTCCTTTTTTGGCTGACTAGCGTCTCCAAAGTCACTTGATTCGACAAGGTTTGGATCTTTTCCAACGTCGCCGACGATTGCAACTGGATTCTATCCCAGAACACGCGTTGACTCTCGATTCGCTCGACAGCTGTCAAATATCGCTCCGACGTTGTCTGATAAACTTTGTTCACGCGTTCCATGGTATGATCGCCCATTCTAATAAAACCCAATAAATCAGAAAAACATGGAATACTAGGACTTGGTCGAAACTGTCATAAGATAATTACGCACTCTAGGTGTTTTTTCAGGTTATTGATCGCGGCTGTCATGGCCAACAGTTGACACCGAACTTCGTTGACAATATCGGTTCCTTTGGTGATAGCCTGGGCAACCGGCCGAAAAAAAAAAAAAGCAAAACATGGATTACTATCAAGGTTCTGGAAAATAAACTGCTGACAGGGGCCTACTTGGTTTATGTCTTGGTATTCGGGTATCGGCTGACGTTGAGCGACGACATTGCGGATTTTTTCTTGAGGCACTTCCAAAAGGCCGCGATCGAATACAATGACGAGTTCGGCCAAGACTTTCAACTGGACGCCATCCGCATCGACAAGTATTTGGTGATGAGGTGGTATGTGTTTGATGGCTTGAATATATGACCTTAAAGCGTCCACGCTAAAAATAAAAAGAACAACCAAAAAGTTGAATAAACTCAGGCACCGAGACACCGGTTTTAAACTTTTTCCATGATCACCTCGCTACATCGGTGTCGTGAATGAACAGTTCGTGCCCCGTCTCGGCGAAAATGAGACGCATAGTTCAAAAGGACAAAAAGAGACAAAAGCCCAAGTCAGCTGGCGCAAACTAGGTTCACAACATGGTTCATCGAAACACCACGGATTCCAATCATGGCTGTTTCCTTTTTTGATTAGAGCGCGAAAACACAAAAAAAGAATGATTCGAAATTTTTTTATGTGAACACACTGTTTGTTTGTGCCTTTTCGAGTTTGCTTGCTCGTAAATGATACACTTTTCGAAGTTCTCTAAACTGCTTTACAAAGCTGTCATGATCAAGGTTGCCGTCCAAAAAGCTTTGTGCAACAGATTCGGATAAATCATCGGATTCGTATACACTCGCCTTTAACCGCGTGAGCACCGTCGAAGAGGAGAATCGCTACCAACAGAAACAAATCCAATCATCTCAGTCTTCTTGTCATATTGTTCCATCTCTCTTTCTTCTTACACTGTAGGCTTCCTGTTGCAATCGTTCCTTTTCATCAAACGCATGCTTTTCCTGTCGATATTCATCATTCAAATTCATCACGTCCGTCCTCAATTTGGCCAACTGATCTTCTCGGCTCAAATTCTTGTCTGTAAAGAAAGAGGATTTAATTTCTGGTGCAAATCGACAGATTAGATGATCAGCTTACGTGCAAGATTCTCGTTGCCATTCATTAATTCTTCTTGGACCGTCTTTAAGCCCTTGACCCGTTCCAGAGAGTTGAAGAACATTTCAAACGGCAAATCATTGGACAGCAACTCTTCTACTTCGGCGGATCTGGTAAGGATTGTAACGATTAGCATCATGCCCATCGGGGTCAACCATAACAGCGTACCTACGTTTTATTCATAATCATTGTATATTCTTGGTTCGGAGTAAAGGAGGACATGGCGAGCGGAGTTTGGGATAAGTTGGGTGTTGAGGTGGTGGAAGTTGGTATCGGTGGAGGTGGACGATGGCCATAGCTATTTTGGGAACCACGGTTAGTTTTCAAGCAAACCATACTACTGCCCTTTGGGGGGGGGTTTCTTTTTACTATTATATATACCCTTCATCTTTCTTTGTCGGCGGTCGTTGTGCGAATTCGTCACGAATATCGGCGGCAATTTGCCCAATATTCATCTGCTGATGATTCCAGTGCCTTAGGGTCTCGTTCATCACAGTGTCCGCATCGATCCAGGGATGACGCAAGCCGGTAGGCGTAACGGTAATAACTGGAGGTTCGTCTGGGAAGCGGGGCGGTAAGTTTATTAACAATGAAACGGTATCGTCGCATGGCAAGTCGTAGAGTTGTCCATCCACCACCGACGTCACAATGGTATTATGCGCAAATAACGAAGCAATTTGCTGGTGAGCTCTACCATACAAAAAGGAAAAAGAACCAATATAAATACAGTGGGAATAGCAACATTGAATTGTCGAGCGATGGTTACAGTTCTTGTAAGCTCGCCATGATCGCTTACTGGAGCTAAATGAGGGAAAAAGAGAAACAAAAAAGACCGCCTCAACGGATTTTTCCTTTGATGTTAGCGTCACAAGTTCCCTTGCCACTTTGTCTTGTAATTTTTTGTTTTTTTCTTTTTGCACACATCAGCTCCTTCTTTAGCTTACTTCCTGGTATAATATTTAGATGGAAGCAAACAATCTCCCTCGTCATTTTATGCCTTATGCCTTATACCTTATGCCTTATGCCTTGATTTCCTCCTATTGTCAAGCACTGGCTGCCAAAAGCATTCTACATTGCGGCAAGATAAATACGCATCGTTTGGAATGATGCTGGCGCAGTTGGGATAAAAGAGCTTCATTATTATCGATGAATACAGAAAGAGAGAGAAAGAGTCTAATGGTTCGATTGCAAGAGTCTGGGAGGGAAAACAGGAGAAAGTGGGGGAAAAGAAAAAGAGAATGGACGAGGCTTGCTTATTTTTTGCTTGCGCGCATAATGTAATTGACTTCGAGGGACTCTAATCCTGCCATGCCGACCATGCCATTGCGTGGACTGACTAGCCAATTGCGTCGAATAGGATCCCAAGCAATCCCACGGATATCTTTCACTTCCCATTCATCACCAAAGGAATGTATCGCGTCCTGCAATTCCGCGCTCTTGATGTATTTGCTCCAATCATGCGTACCTTTATGCACTAGTCCCAATACATCTTCGGCAAGAAACACGGTCAAAAAATACGCAATCGGGGTTCGGGACATGGTCGACAGGAATAAATCACCTCCCGATCGTGTCAAGTCGGCACACGTACGTAGAAAATTCAGCGGTTGATGCACATGCTCGATAATCTCCATCGCCAGGACAACGTCAAACGATTCCCCAGCAGCAAGCAGATCCTCTGTCATATCATGAATCAATAATTCGTTGCCCAATAAAGAAAAAAGACAAGGAAAAAACAGGGATGTTGATGGATTACCTGCTGTTGTGTGTCGATATTCGAGACTACCGGGTGCTCTCCATAACATGGGATCTTTTCTCTTGTGAAGTTTGGCCATCTGAATGTTATCGCGTGAAGCATCAGCCCCCACCACAGACCCTCCCAACCGTTTCAGCGACTGTGATTTTAATCAGCAAAAAGACATTATAAAGGTATATGTTGTTGGTTTTTTAAGCCAAGTTACCTCGGACAACAAGCCGCCACCACTACCGATATCCAGCATTCGAAACCCTTCCAACGGCGCTGAAGCGTCTTTGCGTACTTTAGCTGCTAGCTGGTCGCGTACGTAGGAAACACGCGGAGGATTCAGTAACTGCAACATGCCGAATTCGCCGTGAGGATTCCACCATTCCGAAGCCTTGTCACTGAATTTCTTGACTTCGGCGGCATCGATGGAAGAAGTGGAAGCACGCGTAGAAAACGCGCGTGACAAGGAATATGCTTGCGGCAAGCGAGAACGAAGTGAAGCATAAAATGCCATGGCGAATAAAAAAGCTCAAGCCAAAAAACGTTCCAGGATTAGGCAACAATAACAAAATTCGCCTGTCACTGCGACTCGATATTCATGGATGACAACCCAGCTTTTGAATTCCCGCCAACGCCTGGGCATTCATCAATCGCGCGCTCCACCTCTGAATTCTTAAAAAGAGGAAAAGCTGGATAGGATGATGCACGCCCACAAAGTAAACACACAAATTCAGTGCTGTACGCTGTGAGTATTTGTTCAGTTACGCCCTGCGATTTGTATTATCCTTATCAATCCCACAACAAAAACTGGTTCATTTGAATTCTACCAATATGATGATAGCATCCTCAGGCTGCATTAACTGAGCCAACCCTCCAACAGATTTATCAAGTGTCATCAAGAACAATTTTACTGCCACGCGTTGTGACCCCATAGCTGCGATGAGCGCTGAGCAGCCGAGCCTGGTAAAACACTCAAAAAAGAAAAAAAAAACCTGAATAGCGATACAAAGTGGATCCTCCCTGTTGCTATGGCGTATGGTCTCCAATAGATCTTTCCGCTGTCTCTCATTTCATCAAGCAAAGGCTGTCATGGCAACCATAAACAACAACGCACAGCACACAAGTCACCTTGGTGATTTCCCCGAGTTGAAACTTCTGATTTATTTTTTTTGGTGTGCTGGTTGCACCACGGTTCAATGAACGTCCCGTTCCTGCTTTATATTTTCAGACTCCTTCCCTCTGTTGCCATGGGTTTTCCCATTCCAAGTGTCACCGAAAGCGGCAGAAGCCAGTCACATGAAAATTTTTCGGCGGAGATGGCTTTCTTTTGAAATTCCGCTATTTAAATAGTCACAACCAAAATAGCTTAGAAAAACTATAAAAGAAGGGACGATTCGTGGCCTTTGAGTGCTTCTTTGTTGTCTCTGTCTTGTGATCAGATCGGATAAATCTTTCGCCTTTTACTAAAGATTTCCGTGGCTGCGGGACACTAAGGAGACTGACCAAAATTTTTTGTTCCCCCTTCTTTTCTGAAAAGAAAGGAATCTCATATTCATAAAACAAAAAGTAAATGAAAAAAAAAATTACATCGTCTGTCCAAGACATGTAAACAAGTAAACCCCCAGTAGCAACTGCTGCTGCAAGGCGTACCACCTAGAACGATATCGTGAGATGAAATAAAAGACTACTACTGTGTTGCACTGTTGTTTTCCAAAAATATACATCACTTTCCCCTACTATAGTTCTCCAGGCTTCACCTCTGTTTGCTACCCCTTGAATGACTCACTTTGTTCGTTTCTTTCCAGAAAGCGCAACGACTTTCTTGAAGGCGTACCGTACACCGCTTCACTTGTTAAAAGATAGAAGAAATAAAGAATTCATTCTAAACACTCCTTATTACCATCGACTCCCATGTTAAGAGTGGCAATCTGGTCACTCTAGCTGTATGTCATTCACGATGACTGGGACTTCCTTATCCCCTCATGGGTTTCGTGTTGCTTGCAGAATGCTTTGTGGCCGTTATGGTTGGACTGAACAGTGTCTTGGTGCTCGTTAAAAAGTTACGAGACTTTTCGTCCCATCGCTTCCCATATTTACTTCTTTGGAACTTGGTTCAAGAGTACTTCAACAGGGGGTTTATCCTTCAACATCCCCATAATTGCGCGGAAAGCCTAAAACGTCGTAGGATCTATCAACTTGGTCGTATTGTCACGAGTTACGGTTGCTTGCCGTTGATTCTCGGCTCTCGACTTGCGCCCTTTCTTCTGTCAAAGTGAAGTCTGATCATTGATTTTAAACGTGTGGGACGGCTTGACAGTACCTGTATGGAGGATTGGTTTTCCGCTTCTTTTTATCTACGAGCATGATCGGTGAGTCATGTATACGCGCCGTGGGTCTACAACGTTGGAAGTAGTACACGAGAGATTAGAACTCGGGTGCACTCTAGGACCTCTTCCTTTGGTCCTATGAGTACGAAGGGTTTCTGGAAAAAAGCCAAGTAACATCGGATATGCCTAGATGCAGCGGCAATCAGAGAATACTGAATCCGGGCAGTACATCCATAAACCTTGGGATCCCGCAGTTCGCGTGTATTGGTTCAGATACCAAGAGTGATGAAGAGGTGAAGCGCAAACATGTGCCACGGGCATTGAAGCCGAACCTGGTTATAAACTCAGTGCAAAGTTACTTCTGAATGAAATTCCTTGGAAAGGGAAAACACACTCCAGGACCCATCTATCCTACCTTTAGACTAATGGAATCATGATTTATTTTCGAGAATAAATCAAAAGAAAGTCCCCACTGTATCTACATCTCAAAACCTTTGCAAACAGGAAGTTTGGGCTCCAGAGCCAGGTGTTCAAGTTCTGCTTATTAGTGGCCTTGAACGTAGTTTAAATGGTATATACCTAAGACAATGTTGTTTACATCTGATGGAAGCTATTCTTTTGTCCTTGTTGCTTTTCATTTATTTTCAAGAGTTACATTTTGATGTTTCTCATTCTGATAAAATAAGGTGATATTGAGTAAAAAGATGATCCGAAGCATTGAAAACAGAAATTGCTCTAGGTTTTTAATCCTTTATTCCCTTGGAATTGAATAATAAGAGAGAAAAACGAGTCTAGGCTGAATAAGGACCACATACTCACGTATCTCATTAAAAAGAGCTCTTTCTTTTTGCATCCTTGTTTTTGATTTCGCCATAGTCATTGCATAGGACTGGTATTTTTGACATGATAGCTCAATAGACAATAGGCGACATAATTTTACATAGAGAGCAATGAACAGGAATCAGAAAACAGTGATAAATGAATATCTCGTATCTTATGTTGGTAGTTTTCAGATCAGTCATATCCGCAACGACGTCCTCGATGAACGTTACAAATCATATAATAATATTCCCCCCCGCCAAATAATCATGAATAAAGAATTATTTTTTATCAAAAGAAAAGACAATCTTCCAGGTTTGGGGTATTGAAATTGTCCTATTGTCTGTGGAAATGTATCCAGAATAACCAGGTTTTTTTAATAAGAAAAAAAAAAAAAAACGACGACAAAATGCAAAAAAAAATGCGGTTCCGTAGAACCAATCCAACTCAGAAGTTTAGTGTCATCCTTGTGCAGGGGCCATGCTAATCTTCTCTGTATCGTTCCAATTTTAATATGTGTCAGAGGTCCGAAGACTTGACGCCAGCCCCCCCAAACTCTCTATTTATAAATACTTCGAAATTTCATAACCCGCAAGTTGTGGGTTGGTTTTCCAAAAATGGTAATTCCATAGTAATATCAAGCTATTGTTTCTTTATCAAGCTCTTTATTGTATTCAGGATCAATTGCATGCATTCATTTTAGTATTATGCCAAAAAGACATGCGAAAAACGTATTTGGTGTGAGAAATATGAAAAATCTTGCACCAATTTTCGACCTGACAACCAGATTTCCATCAAATACCCGCAAATACAACTATCCAACATACGAAAGCTCACACTCTCGAACCCCTACTATGAAAATACTTAGGTAATAGGGGTAAAGAGATCAAGCTTTCAACGGGACTGAACCCAAGATGAAGGACAGGGGATTATTTTATATAATTTTTCATCTGACCAATCTTTTAAAATGTGGTCTCGACAAACAGAACGCTGCACGGGATCGAGTTGGGGATAATGACAAATGAAAAAACATTTAGATGTGTAGATGATAAAGAAGCTGGCATAAGCTCGACTATCGGCAGCGTCATTCCCCAAATGCATGAGACTCTGACGAATGGACTGCCAAACGGAAAGAAGAGGATCAACTCTTTAGACAATGTCGCAAACGACGAGTAGTAAACTGTGCGCCAATATCATCCAATATTCTGGGGATCCCATCGCCGTCCTCAGAAAAAATCTAATAATCACAGCAATTCTTGTACATATAGTAACCCATCTTTCCAATGGTCAACATGAGAGTCCATGCTTGTACGATGAATGTGACTCCACACATGCCGCAGAACTTTGATCTAGACAAAATTGATTCAGATAGACAGAGGCATGATCACCTTCACATAAAGATATAGCTCGACAATAGATTAACTCATCTTTTTTTTTTTTTATGTATCTCTAAAGGGAAGGGCTTCCCTCAAAAACAAATTTGGTAATATTTCTCGATTTGGATCAATGAACATGGTCAACATGGATGAATATCTGCAAGTCTAAAATCAACGTTGTAATATGGAAATCGAGGTTTCACTATGAGGAAGGCGGAGGGGGAGGAGAAGACGAAGAATTGGAGCTGTCGGATGGCGGTGGCTCTTGTCCAGCTGCTGCCTTTTTGAGTTCCTCTGCTTTCTCCATTTCAAATCGTTCCTTGGCTCTCACTACTTTGGATTGCAAATAAAACGAACCACCCTTGGCAGAATCATTAACCGAAAATAAATGGTCGTAATTCTATACATAAAACAACCAAGTTTAGCCAACTAAATCCACAGCTCCTTTTTGTATGTTTTCAACGAGTGTTTGACGGCTTACCTTTGTCAGTTTTGCAAGATCCGCTTCTCGGGTGATGTTCAAGATCTGGCATGCTTCCTCCATGGACATGCCCGTCTTTCTAGTAAGAGCATCCACTGCCGCTTCTTTGGCACCACCGCGAGCGGCATTACCGGCACCGCTAGCCGCATCTAAAGTGGTTGAAGAAAAAACAAAAGAGTGAGCATTGTCACTTGAAATGACTGTGGATGGGAGAACTTACTGGCCGCAGCTTGCTTGTAAGCAGCGAGGAAAGCACGGCCAACAACTGTGCCAACCGAAACAATGATTTGGGCAATAAGTCTGCCAGACTAATAGACAATAACGGTTAATTACTGTCATTCCTACCCCATGCAAGCTGCCATTACCATAGTGGAAAAGTGTAAAGTTGGGAACTGGAAGGGATGTGAGGTGGCTTATGAATTACATCTTGGAATTTCGGAATCGTCGTAGCCAATGAGAATCGAGTTCCCCGCCCACCCTTCTTGAACGTTCGAATTTCGCCATTATATTACCACTTATAACAGTTTGATACACAGGTAGGTGAGGATATGTGTAGGGCCCGTTATATCGTCTACATGGGCCATTTTTAAAAATCAAAAATAAATATTTCTGAACAGGTTCCCCGGATAAGGAAAAGTGAATATTTTCCGAAGCAATGCGGTTTTTCGACGAATCCCGCCGTCTTTGCGTATCTGAATACGTGAGACTTCCATAGAAAGTACTTGAATGATCTATCAATAAGGGAATGACATCGTGCTTATATTATGAGCACTGTCGATTTATGCTTGTATAATGTGCTTCTGTGGACTCGAATGTATATCCTGGAATTTTTACCTAAGCGGCAGCAGTATATGAAAATGCGATTATCGTCCTGTGCTATAGTTATTTTATAAATATTCTAAGAATATTACCCCATACATCTCATCGGAAAACAAGTCTCACGAAATAATAATGGACCATTCCCGATCTCGATGATCGGTTTCATTTGTGTCTTTGAGAGATCGGCCGTGAGCACCGAGAATCATGTCCACATCGTTGCGTGGCTACTTACTATACAATCGTACCATTCCAAATAAACGAGTCCCACACTTTCATAATCAAGTATATGATTTAATATAAGCTTAGTTTGCATAAATCGCTCTTCGATGAAGACAAGGCAATCACTTTTGGAGGAGAAAACCACATTACATCTTTGTTATTTTTGGTCAAGGTCAAGAAGTAAAATCAAATGCAGCATCCAGGTATATCAGATGGTTGCGGAGGAAATAACACAGTGTTGCTGGGGCGATTGTGGGGAATACTGACAGTGAAAGTTACTGTCACGGAATCAACAAGCGACCAACAAACGACGGCGTCAGGGACAGATCATAATCACAGGGTCCAAGGCATCAATTCGATCACTACTGAGCAAAGTTTGGTCAGCGCCTAGCCAGACAAATTTAATCCCGGAAATTAACTGATTTTGATAACAGCGGGTTGGTTGGTCTTCTTTAAGCCTTAGTTTATGATGGATACAAATTACGGAAGATGGCTAATCAGAAACCAAAACAGGACAGGCTCCAAGCGATAATCAAGACTTTTATTTATGAGATGGCTGATACTGTTCTAAGTTATCCAGAATCCTTCCATTTCTAGCCCTTCGGAAATTTTGGAATCCTCATTCTTTGAGCTCTTTTTTTTTTTTTTTTTACCACCATTTCTTCGTTATCAAGCAAATAATATCATGGTCACGGCAGCAGTGAAGTGCACCTCGGGATGGTGTAATACTGATAAGCGAAAAAGGTTGGAGTTTCTGCGATGATTTTTTGTCTTTTTGGGATCTATAGGCGGCGTTTTGGAGCTCTCGTCATGGGAGCTTGAAAGTATTACAGAGGCTGTCATCGATAATTTAATCGAATCACAGTTATAATCTCGATGGGAACCCATCGTGGCTGGGTGATTAATGATCGTTGCATTAGCAACGCAGTAAATCAGTGCTCATTTACTCGAGCGAGGGATCATTGGTGATCGAGCCATGGTAGATGTCAATGGCAATAGCGGTGCGTCACCGAGTAAAGAGGTGTATGAACTTATTGTCACGGGAGAAAGGGTTTCTCTTCATATTCTCAATCATGAAAGGTGCAAACCTTGAGTATTTGATCCGGTATTTCTGTAATTCTACGGCCTTCTTTCTCCAGACAGTGCTAAAGTTGCGTGGGTTCTACCGTACCCATCTTAAACATCTTTCAGACGCATGCTACGGCATGCCGTTTGTTAGTGCAGCTTGAAAGAAATATTTTCCATTTACACAACATGAAGCGACAAAATTTTGGTGAAATATGAATGTTAAAGACGACCTTCAATTACAGAGCGTGCATCGTTATCCATCTAAGGGCTGCTGATCATCACTTCCTCACGAAGTGCATGTCATAGACCTTTTTTTTTCCCTTTTTTTTTTTTTTGCATGCTTCATCATTTTGCCCTAACACTAACGAACGATCAGACAAATACCTCCTAATTGGCTTAAAGATATACTGATTTGAGCATGAGGGGCAAGCTTGCTCACAGCAAGCTTGCTTTGTAAGCGAGCCTTAAATATGCTCATCCAAAAGTTGAAGAAGCAAACCAACATTTTTTGAGTTGACAAATTCAAAGCACATAGGACACATTGTCATGAAAACAAGAGGTGACATGACGAATAAATTCAATAAAAGCAGACAGGGTCCTGTTGCAGTCGTCGCACGAAATTCATGCAGTTCGAGGGCAACATGTTCTGTTGCCCAGAACACGTTGCCCAGACAATGAGGGGGCACAAACCACAAAGTGGTATTCGGAGTTACTATCCATATTTTCTTGATCTCTCAAAATGAGAGGTCTCAGGAAAGAACACCCCATTAGTGAGATTTATCCAGTATCGATGGATCCGGTCATTGGTTTATGCTCAGATTGTTGCCGGATCAGAACTTTTGATGAAATGAGATTTTCTAAATTTTTTCCAAAGAGAATGTTACAGAAAGACTTTATCTGTCATTCGGGCTATTTACGATGACGAATACATGATCTGTTGGATGAAGTGATGTAAAAGGAAAATCGGCGAAAGAGTATCACCGAGTTTTGAAATTGAGCCACATTCTTTACACTAGACCAAGTAACAACGAGGATTGGCTTGTTGCTTCACATTTTCAATGGAGGGACAAAAACTGTCTGTATACGCGGTAAATGTGTGTGTATGTTTGGATAAAAACAACCAATTAGCATTTGTCTAGGAGGAAATAAACGGTCGCAATCGAAGAGTTCTAATGGACACGGTCGTTGGTCGTCATCAATTCCCGGAAGCAAGTAAAAAGAACATGTATTTGAGAATGACCGATCGTTCAGTGTAAAATGATCCAATTACATTCCAAACGTTGTATATATATATATATATATATATAAGCCTTGTGATCGGAGAGACAGAATCATTAGCTTTGAATTGTATTTTTTTTTCTTTCACACATATGAAGTTCATTGCTACTGCTTCTGCCGTAGCGGCATGTCTCGCTGTGGTATCTGCACAGCCAGTTCAGTAAGTGCTCATGAAAAAATTAAGACATTTACGGTGGAGAAAATACCCGCGACCAACGGTTCATATAAAAGACAAGACACCAATAATTCTCCGGATATTTTACAGGCTCGCTAAGCGCGCTCCCATCGCCACTGAAACCTTCGTCAGCGACGGTCGAACCTGGGTTGAGGTAATTGAAGGTGCTACACAGACCGTCACACGAACAACCACCGTCACTGTTCCAAACTATGTCGCCACCACCATCGCCAGAAGCGCTTTCAGTAAGGATGGATTGCTTTGACGAGCACCGACGGGTTTTATTGATTGCATTTCTTTTCCAATTTTTTTTCCTAGTTGTCGGCTCTGTGGCCAACCTTACCTCGGCTGTTGAAGCTGATGGACGCTTCCAGGAACTCGTTTCCAGACTCGTACCTGAAGCTGCCACCACCAGCGAAACACAATTGATTGTCTTTGCTCCCGGCGGTCCTTTGACTCTCACTCCCAATGCCCCTGGTGGCCGTATCACTGGTCCTCCCGGTGCTGGCTCCGCAGCTCCAACCGCTGAAATCCCTACCACTGCTCCTCCTCCTCCTCCTACTGGAGGTGCTCCTACTGCTCCAGAAGGTGAAACCCCTCCTCCAGAAGGTGAAACTCCTCCTCCGGAAGGTGGAGCTACTCCTCCTCCGGAAGGTGGAACTGCTCCTCCTGCGGAAGGTGGAACACCTCCTCCATAGACGGTTACTCTATTGCGAACCTTTTATCGAAATACATCACACACCCACATTTACCTTTTATAAGCTAGACCGCCTAGATACTCAAACTGTCACCAAAATAAATTTTTTGTGCTTTTCCTCACGGAAAATATGAGGCACGGCAACGATCGATGTCCCAATTCGAAAAAAAAAGATGGTCACAAAAATTTCCAAAATGAACACATTCGATCAGTGGGGAGAATGGGCGGTTCACCATCCATTGCATCCTCGTCTCGTCTTGTCTCGTCTCAATGGAAATCGTTCAGCAAGAACTGCGTGTGGTTTTACCAGGCGATGTCATTTCAATTGACCTTGAGAACATTGAGAATCATGGCACCGTAGTCTTGGGTCCCGGTCTTCGACAGGACGGCGAAAGTATCGTGGCAACGAAACAAGGCATTCTCAAGCACATTCCTGTCAGTAATCGATGGTGGATCGAATCCAATCAAAAACGCGTATGTGAATTTTTGCATGGATCTATTGAACAATGCCCGAATTCAAGTCTTCTAATGTTGCTTTGTGTAGTATGTTGCAGCGACGGGTGAATCCGTCTTGGGCATTGTCACCGCTCGATTGGCCGAATATTACCGTGTGGATATTGGAACGGCTCATACTGCGGTTTTACCCGTGCTTGCCTTTGAAGGCGCTACAAAACGTAATAAACCGAACCTGTTACCACGTACCCTTGTTTACTGTCGCGTCACCATGGCCAACCGAGACATGGAAGCAGAACTGGATTGCGTCAATCCAACCACAGGCAAAGCAGACGGATTTGGTCCATTGAAAGACGGTTACATGTTCAAATGTTCCTTGGGTCTTTGTAGACGGTAACGTATCACAGCCATTGTGTTTTTTTTCTTTCTTTGTCATCATTGCTAACTTTTGGCATGGTGGCGTTGATAGGTTACTGAACCCGAGCACTCCGATATTAGCTATTTTGGGGAATCACTTCCCTTTTGAAATTGCTGTAGGCATGAATGGCCGTGTGTGGATTAACTCAAATACTTTTCAAGATACCATTCTTATTGCAAATGCTATCCAGAACTCCGAATACCTCAGTTCGGAAGAGTGCAAGACCATGGTAGAGGAGCTCATCAACGCCAGAACGTAGTGATTTGTAAATATATCTTTTGTCCACGCCCACATACAATATAAAACCATTTTCTTCATCCATGCCCCACTTCGTGATTGACTCGCGCTCGCTATTTTCCCATGCAATGAAGCAGAATAAGACCAAAAAAAAGGGTAAAAAAAAGACATATGTGGTGTATTTTCAATTAGAGAATGAACATCAAATGGTGTGACGTGTGTGTATGCGTATCATGAACGATGTAGAGTATGCTGAATCATGACCTTCATGATATCTAGTTTTCAATTTTTTTTTTTTTTTTTTTTTTTGGTTGTTGGTTGGCCCCTGGGGAATGGTGTTGCAAACAGAGTCACTCATCGTTCAGTGTGATACATGGATGAACCTGTCCGCCCTGACAGTTCGCTCATGGAGGAATACCGGCCGTGATTGTTCAGAGAAAGAATGCCTTGCATTGCAATTCCCGGCTGAGCAGCGGCTAGGTCGTGGGGATTAACATGGACTTTGGCAGCTTCTGCTGCGATATTCATACGTGCTTTGAGAGCACTGCGTCGTTGCGAATGCATGGGTTCATAAGTGACCGGCGTGTTGCCTCGACCACTGCCGGTGCCTCCACCGTAACTGCTGTTCAGCGCTCCTACACTGGCTAAAAATTGCTCATCCGACATTTCCTGCTCGTGCGGTGTTGCATGGTTTGTACGATGGGTCTTTAACGGCTCTCGATCTGGTAGAATAATTCCTCTTCTACCCCTTGTCTGTCGTCGTTTACGCCTTTGTAACCAAGAAAAATAGGGTATCAGTCAACATGTTGCTCGTTCTGAAATTTTCATCGTGTTACCTTGCGTCTCTCATTCGATCTTTTTCCATTTTATCAATTTCAGCGTCGGTTAATTCCAGGAGTGCGGGTGTAAACCGTTCCAGCGTATCAATATCACGCACAATTGTTTTTAACGAAGGCAGAAAAGTGCCTCGCAAATCGTCATCTGTCACAGGCCCATCAAATTCGTGACCGACAAGAAGCAATGATTTGATATACACGTGGATTTGCTCTCGTATGGAATGTGCGATGGCCGTCCTAAAACACAATTCAATGTTAATCCTTTGTTGATTTCAGCAAAGTACATCAGGGCCCTTCCATACTTGAATTCACCACCCAAGCCCAATTCTGTCACCAAGGTTTCGGCAAAAGATTCGGGAGAATTGCGTGAACAGCTGATGTCCCATTCGAATTGATCCAACAAGGCACGATTCTCCACCGTAATATCGAGCTATACAGATTTCATCGATTATCAGTTTCTTATGCTACGGGTACTCGACTTGATCAACTCCGTTCTCACCTTTATGAGTGTCCTTAATTCTGTATTTTTGCTTGGATTTTGTTGTATTTTTTCGGCTAGTTTATGGGCTGTTTCGGATAAAGACTCTTTATCATCGGTTTCATGGTTCTTCAACTCTTCCAGTGCTTGCTGTCGTTCTTTCTCCTCTTCAGATTCGTCATTGGTGACCATACTTGAAGCGTGCAAGTAATAATCTTGTACTTGATCTTTGATGGACCGTGAAATGGCTGGTACGAATGCTGCGGGAGGCAAACGTAAATCTTCACACATGACTTCCGCAAATTGCTCGGGTGTAATCAACGTTTCTAATATGTGACCCACCGATAGTTCCTGTCAGATGCCTGGGGATGGACTTCATTTCAGCAACACAACTTTTTTTCTTACCATTCAGATTCCAAGTAAACGTATCTCGCAGCTTGTATCCATCCACTTCCATTTCAATGCGTATAGGCACCAATGTATCTTCCTTCTTTGCTTGCTCTACGATATCATGCAACGGACTATACCCAACATTTTGTCAATTAAAACGACCCTTCTTTACATTTCAAAAGACACTTACAATTTAAATTCCACCGCATGGCGAAGTCGCTTTCTTTCCTGAGGGTACACGAGTCGACTATGAAGGCCGGTTTTGCCGTTACGGTAGCCTCCATATCCGGGACCGAAAGCAACAATGGGCCCGCCTTGCATACGTGCGCGTCGTTCGGCGCTCGCATGCTCGATGTCTTTTTTCTTTTCGTGGGCCAGTTGATGATGTCGCTTCGATTGAACATTGAGTGTTTCCTGATATATGCGGTCGCGTGTTTGGTATGTTTTGAGATTCTCTTTTTGCACTTCAGTTTGAACCGGTGTGGCTTCGAGTTGAGGAGCCATAGGCGGTGGGGCTGTATTGCCGGTGGCAGGAGTACGTGCCGACAATTGCGGAGGAATAGGAGGTGCCATGGGAAATTTGGCCATGGGATGCATGGCTGGATTGGACGGTCCAGCGGCGACGGCGGCGGCTGCTGCTGCCGCGGCCAGGTTGGTATGACCTACCGGCACTTTTTGTTGTGGTGAACGAACATAGACATTGGGTGGCATACGTCCTGTTGGTGCAAATTCCATCTTTCCGGGAGCCGGTGCGAAATTGGGTGGGGTGTTTGCGTTGAAGAAAGGCGGTGCAGGTGAGACCACAGTTGGAGGAGCCGCTCCAGGCACCATGGGAGACGCTTGTTGAAACGGTTGAAATCTCGCTTGCTGCTGTTGTTGCTGCTGCATGGCCACCGAATTATACATGGCAGCAAATCGCTGCTGCTGAAGCTGCTGCTGCTGTGAAGGACTAAGATTCTGCATCGGCCGAAAAGTAGAAAAGAGCACGTATCACCAAACGATGCAGATGCGAATAACTCGAATGGCCTTCAGACAAACCGTTTTTTTTGACAGAACGATTGGCTAAAATAACCGTGACGTCACATGACAGAGTCGCTTTTTTTTTTCCGCCGAAGAGACCTTTTCCACACACAAACAGTGTACCTTTTTATAGTCAACGGAAGATGGCCTGGTAGGTTGCTTAGAAAAATAATTCTTGTTTATTTTGGATTTGAAACAAGTATAACATATGTTATGGCGGGATCCGTTCGATTACGACTGCGAACAACCGTCCAGTGGTGCACATAACAATCCGCAGTTCAGACTAATAATCCAGGCAAAAATTTACCGAACCATTCAAGCCTTCTGTAATCATTTTATGAAGGTTGCCTGTTTGAATATGTGTCCTTCAAATATGGAGATCACTGCTATTGTCTTGAGATGGGAAAATAAGGTAACCGGTCAAATAAAAAGGTACATGTGGCAATGTTTTTATACAACATTTAGCCTATATACGGTTAATGGCCCAATGTGCATAAAAAACAGAACAGAATCCATGTAGATGATGGTGAAGGCAAACAGGCAAACCCAGTGCATTGCAAACGTTGAAGCTTGATGAGCAGCGGGGCATGAAACGGTGTATTATGCTATCATACTGCATCATCGTTTCGCGATTTTTTCAAGTTTCTTTTTTTCTTTTTCTTTTTGCTACTGTATCATCATGAAACTTTCTAAAGCGCAGAAGCAAGAAATCAAGGAAGGTACAGTGTTTACAGTATTTATCATAGAGACCCATGGATTCGTTGATGGTTCTTGGAATACTAGTCTTTGAGGATCTTGATACGGAGGATACCGGGTTACTGGACGAGAAGAACTTGTACAAGGCCTTGCGAGCTCTGGGGTTAGAAGTGCCAGTGACCGAACAAGAGATCAACCAACTTCTTGTGGATGTTGGTCGCAGCGAAGAAGGTTACGTTACCATTGACGATGTGTTTGACATTGTTTCAGAGTTAATGGTAAAGGGAGCGTAAAAACGGTGTAAAAAATATGGGGAGCCCCATTGGATTGAAATGAACCATTAGCAATAGACCAATCGACAAGACAATTCACGTTCGGAACAATTGCACAAGGCATTTCAACTTTTAAGCGATCCTCAGCTGAATGGCATTACCTTTAAAAGCTTGAAACGGGCTTGCCAAGTCCAGAATGAATCCTTCACTGACGGGCAACTCAACGAAATGATCGCGGTAGCCGATAAGCACCAGGACGGGGTGATCCTATTCCCTGAATTTCAGCGTATCTGGACAAAGATCGGTTTATGATATTACATGTGATTTGTCTACATACAAAAAAATATTGATAAATAGTATATGGATATAAAAAAAAAGATGCTGTACAAAGGGGGAGGGAGGGTTGTGTTTACATTTGAAGTGAATTGAGCTGAGCAAGGTCAGCTTCTAGATCATGTAGTTGATCGTCTTCTAGAGCATGCTCCATCTCTTCCGTCTGCAGTTGCGCGACATCAATCGGTTCGGGGACCCACACTTCAGTCTCTTCGTCTGTCTCCGCATCCGCGCCCCCGTTTACTTCGGGACCTGTGGTCTCGTTGCTAGGGTCGACATAGACAGTTTCAATCACAATTGACTGGACGACGGATACTTCCTTGGAGGGTTTGGAGGACTTTTTTGGCGATTTACGTTTGCGTGATTTACCAGGGAATGGGCACAGTAGGTCCTGCGGATTAAACCGTTCCGTGGTCCGTGCACAGGCGGAGACTTGAGGATGCCATGCAATGGCGATTTCTTCCAATTCCTGGAGCGTGTGTCTTTGACCCCAAAGATTAAGCGTAGGCAAAGCATCCATGTTGGGTAGTTCACCAGAGGGTAGTTGTGACAAAATAGTATCACGTTGCATCAGTGGAACAGTAAACCCATCCAAGGCGGCTTTGGTACGTCCTTTCTTGATGTGCGTGCCAAATTCCAGATGATTGGTGCTGAACGATTCAAACTGTTGGAAATTTGGGTAAAGCATGACATAACCTCGCAAGTAGACGAGCTGGATAATGAACTTTTTCCATGATTTTTTCCACCGTTCCGAACGACTGTTTGGGACCGTGATATTCAATCGACCGATACCGTCCTCCTTCATATCTTCCAATCGGCTCGTCAGGTATTCATGGAACTCGCGCCAGTGTTCCGGGAAGTAGACGGCACCCCAGCTGCAAGGAACCTGGCTCAGATACGGGGTGTGGGTAGGAAACTGGGGCCGGATGACGGAATTAGGATTGAATGGACGACGTCCTTCAGGCAACAACTCGAGGTTTCTCGGCGAATAGAGACTGATACCAAACATACGCCAAGCATCGGGATGGTTTGTATAACGGTATCGCAGAATATTATACTTGGTCCACACGTAGAATAACGGCGAAACTTCAATGTCGTCTTCCAAAAGAATCGCATAATCATTATCGTGCTGCGGATACCACGACTCAATGATGGCTGGCATCAGTCCACCTTTTAAAATGCGGTGGCGCACGGTTTTTTCGCCTTGCCTCCATCCAAAACTGTTCACCATCATGCGCGTCACTCGATCCGCCGACTGTTCCATATTAATCACCAAGCCAACCGTGTCGCCAAGATACTGAGCGCGCGATGTGGATTGCAGCAACCTTGACAATGAATGCGGCCGTCTATCGGTGATTACCACAAGGTTGACACGAATCGTGTTCCATTCTTTGGTTTTGCAAATATCCGTGAGTGTGCTGCTGCAAACGTATATTTTGGAGGATGCGTGACGATACTTACTTTCCATGGCTTCGAAGGGTAACGTAGGGATCCACAAAGCGTGTTGGACAGCCTCGACAGGCAAGGCAATGGCAGAAATGTTGTACTGGCTCGCAACGGCTTGTAAATGATGGTAGAAGGACGAAACTGCATCTTGCATGCGTATGTGGATGAGGATTCGCGGTCGCAGTGTGTGGACAAGTGTGGCAATTCCTGACGCCGCTTTTCCTGCGGCCAATTGTTCGTCATGGGAGTCGATTAAGATGGTGTGCACGGTGACTTGACGGCAGTCCGTTGTACTCAGTGCCTTTCGGACCAGCTCACCATCTATATTGCCGTAGGGTTGGATGATGGCAAGATGCACAGGTATCGTGTAACGACACATCAACGGATGAAGCGCTTTCACTTGATCCAGACCGTGAGCGACAAACACAAGCGTGTCCTGCATCATGGTCGTCTGTCGTTGGTCCAGGGCCGTGGGACTGGTACGTTTGGCCAGCAAACGTCGCCACGATGGGTTGGCGAGATACTGTTCGCGAACATTTTTGCATGATGCATGGTCTTTGGCCGGTAGAGTATCATCATGGGGCACTATGATGGAAGGAACATTGCCGTGGGAAAGTAAACTTTGACTAATGTGATAGGGAAGAGGAGAGCCCAGCTGGTCCTGTTCAAGGTCGTATCGCAGATACTTTAACCAGGAACGTCGCAAAAGCCAGGCACCGTGGATCATGTCGACAGGCTGGGCCACTCGAGGTAATGTGGTGTCATTATGAGGCAAGCAAACAAACTCGGTATTGTTATCCATGTGATTGAGATTGGATGGTAATAAGGTCGCCTGCGTTCCTATTAACGCATCTTTGTATTCGTCTATACGCATGACATTGTACACGAACTCAAGATGATCTGGACTGACGTGTCCGTCTACAATGTAGATCCACGGTGTCTGGATGTCGCTCACCACTTGCAGCCACCGTGCACTTCCGACCGTGCCGTTTGAAAACGAGGCCGCCGAATCCAAAGGAACGATGTTTACTCCAGGTCGTTTGACATGGCTGGCAACGTAAGAGTGAAGAGAGGGCGGACAGACGATCCACAGACCAGCCAGTGGATGTGTCTGCCGCATAGCCAGGTCCAAGCGGGTTCTCACATGATCCCGTCGATCGATTTCAATGACAGCTGTAATGTCTTGGGTTTGGAAACTGGTTTTCTGATTTTCAATCAGCGTTGTTATCTGCGATGCGTCGTGCCCTCGCACGGTGTATGTCTGTACTCCACGCAAATATGAGGTGTTGTCGTTCAATTTGGCTGCATTTGTCCATGATTCTAAACGGGGTGATCTTAAATATGCTTGATTTGGAAGGTTTTCTATTTTTTGTCTGTGGGGTTAATAATACCTCGTAGCCACGTAGAAAATTTCGGCCACTCCGCCACAGTACTATTTTCAGTCAACACGATCGTGCCTGGATCGCGGTGGTGCCATGCCAATCCCGACGGGGTGATGGTCAAGTAAAACAAAAGTAGCACGGTCGACAACAGACTAAACGCTATGCTGAGCGAGAGAAGCCGACTGAGTCGTTTTGGTGCTCGTAATGACAGGAATGTGTTGGAGGATGAGCCAGGTGACGCGGGTGAAAAGACAGAAGCATCGTCCGTCATTATATGAAAGAAAAGAGAAAAAAAAACGGACCAAAACAAAAAGGAAAGTAAAGGAAAGGAAAGGAGTGGATTCAGTTAAGAGTACTTTGACTGTACACTTCATTCTTATTGCGGGATTCTGCCAAAAAAAAAAAAATAAGCTTTTTTGGTCCTAATACTAAACTTTTGACGTGACACCAATTAATGAAGGCGGAAACCAAGGAATAGGCGATCAGCATGGTCATGGTCTCCTGAAGGTAACTACTTTTGGCATTGCTTAATATACTTTTCGATAGTCTGTACAACAACGTTATGATCATCCTTCAAAAGAACACAAAAAGATAACAAAAATAAAGGTCAGTGTCACTGCAAGTTGATTGTTTTTTCTTTTTCGTTTGGCTCTTATTCATAAGTAGCCACCTACCTCTTGTGCAAGTCCCGACACCGTAATGGTACCAACCACGCCAGTTCCGCGAATTATAAGGGGAAATGCACCACCGTGACCCGCATACTCTTTCTCACTAACAAAGTACTTTTGTTCGATGGTCTTTCCCTGACTCGCACAATAACGTCCCACGTAATAGCTCGAGTGGCGGAACCGCATCACCGTGTTACTTGAGAGAAAATATATATCAGCTACTGACTGCTTCAGCCCATTTTTCTGTAGCCTCTCCAATACTCACTTTTTACGGCGAACCCAGTCATTGTTATCAGGACCCGTTCCCTGCATGGCATAGTGGAATAATTGATGTCCGGCCAATGCGATATCTACCACTACAGGCTTCTTATACGGCTTAGCGGCTTCTATCAGCGCCAAACCCAAGCTCAGAGCATCGTCTGCACTGAATGAAGTGAACTGGGTTTCTTCTTCTTGCTTCAAGAGGTCGGCCGGTGATTGCTTGACGTCCACCATTGAGATTGAATGAATATGACAAAGATTAACAAAGGCGAAAAATAAAAACCAACTCGACGAGCCGCATTTCCAACCATCATTTTCGGCAAGTAAAATGACGTAACAGGAAAGCACCGAAGCATTTTTTGTATTTGTTTGCAGCTCAATGTCACACATAATCCGATGATCTGATGCTGAGTCTGTAATCTGATTCAAGGGACCACCGTGGCAGGATATCACCGTGGCTGGATATCAAAGCGGGGCTGTAAATCCGATCTGTTTTTTTCCCAAAAACAAACACACGAGAAAACACAAAAAAATTCCAGCTGGCTTCTTGCATTCATCGCCTCCTTTTTTTCTTATCTTTTACCATAATTTGGAGTTGAATACCTGGAGACATTTCTCATTCGGAAGCAAAAACCATTACCCATCGGGTTCCGGCGCGTGGTCTTGATGTTGATCAATCACGAAGGGTAACTGAACTGTATCAGTCGACTGCACTATCACGGCATTGCTATGGAGGCGCTACTCCAAAAGACAGTGACATTCTCTCTTTTCCCTTGCACAGTTTCGCTGCATAGATGGAATAAATGTACTCGCCGATTGCCAATTCAACATTTGTAACATTGAGGCACGCACAGACCACAGACGATCGATTACGTTGTATGAGTTTCAGGTCGAAGATCAGAATTTTTATTTCTCAGTTGGCGCCCGCCATCTCAATTTGCTTGTTCGACAGTTTGGAAAATATAATTACATGGTAAATACATATGAATTAAGTTCCTCTCAAAGGAGCGGGCGGTAGCTACTTGCTTTGTTCATCCGCACTGTCATTAGGGACTTGATCTGTAGAGGATGCTTTGGTCTGCTGTCGTTTGTTCACTGCATCCAGCCACTGACTGATGCGTTCTTCAGCGGTGCTGTCATTGACCAATCGAGCAAGACATGCAGACCAGAAAAATGCGGATTCGGTTTCGCGACGAGCTAACAGATTGATGGCATTCAACATAGCTCCCGGTAAACGTGTCTCGATGTAACTGTCAACATGTCATCAGTGGACGAAATCGACTCCAACATAACAGCCAATCAAACCAACATACCATTGAGCCGCAAGTTCCAGATTGTCGCGCCTTTCAAGACTCCCGGCCCACTCTGCAAAAAGGGTGCCGAGCATGGGATCTTTGGTTGGTAAGCGCAGTTTCGCCAATGCGATCGCTTCCCTACTACCATGAGTACCCTGCCGATCAAACAAGTAGAGAAAAAAAAAGATAAACGCACCTAAACATGGACACTCCACGGTAAACTTCCACCGCATCATATACTTTGGAACACGCCAAGTAACACGCCACGGCCAAGTGCACTTGCCCCGTCGCGGCCAATCTTTTTGCTTGTTTCTCCATACATTCCAGCCACAACGTCTTTCCGCCTAAATTCAGTATTAGCTTTCTGTCAGAATTCAGGGAAAACATAGGTCGTTAACACGTACCAATGGGACTGAGAGCCAGTGACACCCAGTCGTAAAGCGAGGGACTTGTGGCGCCCTCATTCTTGGATGCAAGTTGGCCAAAATTACTTCGCATCATCTCCAGAGCAATGGCCATGTCCCCACCAAACGGGGTCGTTTGTGTAGAGGATACCGAAGCAGTACTCTTTTGCTGGCTTTCCAGATGTTTGACTAGACAAAGCGCTGTTAGCTTTTGCTTATCCATTTAAAAACTCATGCATATGAGAACCTACCTTCTCGATCAACGAGCTCTCGTACATCATTTTTGGATCCGAGAATGAGGTGTTCAAAGGAGTCCTCTTCGGACCATGCGGTATAGGCATCTGTCTTTTCATCGGGCGTCCGTAGTCGGTGTTTTAAGCTGGCAATGACTTTGGTCAGATCGCCACCATAGGCGGTCGCTGCTAATTGGACAGTTTGCTTTTGCCGGGCAAGACGATTAACGGAGTCGATGCCTGCGTCTGTCATTCTCAGTAATCGCACTGTGGGGCCTCCTTTAGCCTTCTTTGTCGGCTCAGGATGGTCCGTTGTCGCCAGTTTTCGCTTCTCGGGTGACTCGGAGGGGTTCACGGATTTAGGGTTCAGGGCTTTGCCCTTGGCGGCAGATTTCGCTTTGGCTAAAATGCGCCTTTCCTGCATGTACAGTAGTGGCTGTCCATCTGCTTTGCATAAGAGTACTGCAGATAAATTCTGATCTTTTTTTTCCATCTCTTACCATCTTCTTCTCGGTAGGGATAATCGGTATATTTCCATGAATAGATGAAACGATCATTGGCACCGCTGAATAACTTGTCTTTGTCCAACAGTTGCCAACAAAGCGACTGGACATTGCCGCGATGATTTCTAAAAGCTGCAATACGGCACGCCTTATCGATATCCCATACCTATAAAGACCAGAGCATATAAGTTTTCTTTGTAGTAGTACATCCTTCATTTTCACTAAGCTTACATAAACAAGATTGTCGGCAGACGCCGAGGCGAGGTAAGAGGTGTCTTGGTGGGCACTCCATTGGAGAACGGTTATAGTACCTTTATGCCCACTCAGTGTACTGTGAACGGTCGTCGTCGGAACAGGAATGTCTAGATTAAATTTTTGTTTAGTTTTCTTATCGTCAGTCATTTCACAATAAGCTACCAACCTGCATCAGTATTTACATCCACGGTTGCCATAGAATGCACGACAACAGCTCCAGCCGTATCGCCTACAGCAAGGTATAAAGTGGATCTGATATCTAGATGCGGAAAAAGAGTACCTTGATGTTTCAGTATCCGCCCTATTCACTCACTATTTTAGCACTTACATCGCCAATGCATGGCACTAATTTGACCTTGCAACGCATTCGACACGAAAATGATCTTCAGTGTGTCAAGGCGATAAATTTCCACCAGACCATCCGTGTATCCAACAGCAAGATACTGGGATTTGTCATCTGTAGCGAGCCGCCGTCGTTTCCTTTCTGGGTTGAGCTAACACCAAGATTGTTATTGTGCCGTTACCTCGCAAAGAACCTCAGGTTACCCTTACCAGCAAACTTTCGTACCATACGGGATTCTTTTCTTGCAAGTAAGGAATCAGTTCCACCGGCCGCCTGGAAGGATTTTCCGCGTCATGTACAAACATTTTGTCGTCCACTCCGTAACTGATCATCATCCACGGCGACGCCATTGTTTCTGCCACAGACGGTATACTTGAAGCCCAGGCGAGCAGAGGCGCCCCGCCTTGCTTGTTTCCTTGCTTGTGATATCCTTTAAATGGGATCGCTTTGCTGTTGTAAACATCATATAATCCCATGTTCCCATAGCTGTTGCTGTACACCATGATGCCGTCTTTTTCGGGATGCCACATCACCTGATCGTTATATCGTTAAAAAAACAAGACTCACATGTCACAATATTGTTTGCTGCGGCATTGTACCTGTTCGATATTTCCTGTCAACCCTTTCCAGAGTTCGACGGAATCGTAAAAATTCTTTTTCTTGCGACCTGCTAATGCCGACCCTTCCAGAGAAAAGGTCCATAATCGGATCTGTCCATCATCGTACCCTACGGCCGCCTGACCCGTGTTGTGAGGAGAAACGGTAATGCAACGAGGTACTTTTTGTTGTGTTTTGACAATGACGGCAGGTTTGCGAGTGCGAAGATTCCACTTGATGAGCTGTTGCCATATCAAATGAAAAGACGCGGATCAGAAATTGGAAGTTGCTTCGTATAATGAATGCTTTGTCCTCCATTTTTTGTTTTTACCTGCTTGTCAAGCGAACTTGTTACAGCAACATTGCCACGATGAGCCCATAACAGACTGAAAGCGACTCTTGAATGACACTCCTGTAAACCTTGATTGGCAACAAGGGACGGTTTACGAGGATTCTTGATGTCAAAGCACAACACCAATCCACTACAAAGTGGCTCGATTTAATGAAGGCATACTTTGAATATGGTTTGGATTGTGCTTACATATACGAGGTCAAGTATATCTGGGAGGCAACGATGGGTGACCAATTTAATTCGGTCCAGGTGGTGGATCTCTGCTGCTCGGACCAATAGGTAGACGGTTTTGGCAGATCGAATTTGCAATAGGACGATTCGCTGGGAACTGTCCATACGTGAATCGTCTTGGCACGTCGTGTACTCGATGCTAGCAAGGGCCACTCAGTAGTTTCCTGTGATACACGCTGCCACGCAAGGCTGTGGATAGCGTCGTTGCCTGTAAGCAGACGGTACCGAGCGGTGATTTTCAGTTCTTTATCGATATGCAAGACGAGGATCATGCCGTTCACGTAGCTAATGCAAGCGACAAGTGTCAGAACAATAATAGTAAAGAAGCTGAAGCTCAAGGCCTAAAACACCCATTACCCGACCGCAACATAATCTTCGCCCATATACGAGATGGGAGCAATGGCTCGAACTTCTGCTGTGATCTCATTAAAAGTTTTGCAGGATGGTCCAAATGATTCTCGTACGACGATTGTTCCTGATTTATCACCTAGTTTTCTTCCCTGTTACTTTCTCCACTCCAACCTGACGTTGTCAAATTTGTTTACCAGAAATCACAACTGAGCCGTCCCGAATACATCGTATCACCGTCACCTCCACCTATGGTTTGAGTGTTGGCATCGTTTTGTTTCTGTTGTACAGCACATATACTTCTGCCACGGCCTTACACTGTGGTCACTGTAGCTTATGAGGAAACTTGCGTCTCGTAGATTCCACACTCTGACAATGGGTTCGACGCCTGAAGTGAATAAAAAGTGATCGTGCAATTCGATCGCCTGGATCTTATCAATGGCGGCATCAAAGGCATAGCGGAATGCGAACGTGTCGAGATCGAGCACCACGATCAAGCTTTTAGTGGCATACACAAACAGCGCATTGTTGGTAGCGCAGCAGTTGGACGTGTACCAGTTTGGACAAGGCGGAAGCGCTTGACAGGCCGCAAATCGATCAGCAAACGCCATTTGTCAAAAGATGATCGCGAGCGAAAAGCAAAAAAAAAAAAAAAAAAAAAAAACCAGATACTGCTTTCCGAAGCAGGACTTGTCTGACTCTAAATTCTCCCTCATGGAACTTGCAATCAATGCAACCGTCCCTCATGATTCTTCTTCATTCACTATTAGACTACCACTGGTCGCGATATTTCAAAAAACACAATTCATGAAAAACCATCGTATGATACGCTTTTCTCTCTGGATTTGTCTCCAAACAAAGAGAGAGTGCAATTGGAAGAAACGACAACATCCATAGCGTATGGAGGATGGAAGGGTGGAACATTTTTTTTTACTATCGTACAATTTTTGAAAACATGAGTGAAAAAGAAAAGAAACAACGAATAAATTAAAAATTCTAACAGTTACAGGGATTAAAAAGGGAATGGTGCAAGAGATTCAAAATTACAACGGAAGAAACAATTTTCTTCTACCACTGTGTAATATCGACTTCGGCTTCACCAAACAAACTGGTCTTGGTCGCCTTCAACTCCTGTTCTTCCATTTCGGATTCACTAATAACACTGTGCTGGTACAATTCCGGCAAGACACGTTGGATAAAGGAGAGTAAATGTCGGTTGATTTGATCAAACTCCAGTAAGAAACCGTCATGACCATCGGGCGATTGAATGACAATCATTTCCGCGTCGGGGATATTTTCTGCCAGCTCATACTGTTCCGAAATCGTGAATAGGCCGTCGGATTCAATGCCTGAGTTCATTGTTGAACAGAAAATTGGTGAGTCATCCTATTTCTTTCTTTTCCTTTTTTTTTTTCTTTTTATTCCAAGATGACTTACCGATGACTAAAGTGGGTTGTTGTACAGACGCCAAAATGTCTTCGTAAGCCCCTTCCCGTGCCCGCGATAAATCGTGAGAATCCATCTTACGCGTCAATGCAATGTAACAGTTGGCGTCAAAGCGGTTAATGAATTTGTCACCCTGATAACGCAGATAAGATTGAGCGGAGAATACAAAAGGGGTGGGCATGGGAGGGTCGTTAATGGTGGTGTGATCGCTGCCAATGGCAGGCGCGGCAGGCGGACTGGTACTTTTATGGCCGTCATTGTGAATCATGCGATAAGCTTCGCGAGGCGAAGAAGGTCGAGCGGTCTGGTACTTTTTATCGGCGGATTTGCGGCCAAATCGAGACTCGAAGGAATTCCGTGATCGATAGGTAAGCAGAGCCGACATGCGAGCCGCTGCCAAACCTACGTTAGGTGGCAATTCATCCGTGTAATAGCCATCCCCTGTTATCAACCTTTCCATTAATACTTTCCACATCCATTGTAAAAAAAAAGGGGGACCGTATTTTTCATTTACCGTAATTGGGATCACTGTAGATGGATTGTCGTTGGGCTTCACCCCAGCTGATACCCCAGGCTGAATGACGACCAGAAGTAGCAATCGGGACGATGGTGCGCACATAGTCCTTTCCCATGAATGCCCATTCAAGTACCTGCATGCCACCCATGGATCCTCCAATACAAATAGCCACTTGTTTGACGCCTAAATGATCGAGAATCAGACGATGCAGACGCACGTCATCTCGGACACTGGCCAGTGGGAATTCAGGTCCGTAACGTTCGTCGGTATCGGTGTTGATAGTGAGTGGCGAAGCAGAACCGTAAGGAGAACCCATCACATTGCAACAAACAATGAAAAATTTCGTAGGATCAAACGCTCGTCGGGGCCCCATCAATGGTCCCCACCTTGGGCGGAGTCAAACATTAGCACCTCCACACCGAGAAAATAGCGATCGATTTAATGCATGATAGTGCGGGTTTGCTGTTACTTACCAATCCTCCACATCGGCACTTCCAGTTAACGCGTGGCAGATAACCATGCAGTTATCAGCTTGTTCATTTAATTTTCCCCATGATTTCCATGCGACAGGTACGTCCTTGAGGGTGACACCGGACTCGAGTGTGAATTCGGGAATGACGGTTATATTCTGATCGGGAATGAGCTTGGCCAAACGGTTTTTGGCCAAGGGCGGAGCAAGTTGGTCACCGTCATACGTTGAGTACATAGATGGCAAGTGGTTTTATGCGAGCAGCCAAGCTTTATTTGACGTTTGGGAAGGGAAAAAAATCGATAAAGGTTTACAGGAGATAAAGAGCGAATTTGAATGGCCACGATCTTTTTTGGTCATCCAATGACAGTGAGTGTCGATGACTCGATTGAGTCGTACGTGTGACTGTTCATCAGTTGAGACGGATCTCTTGTTTCTGTTTTCGATGGAGCGGACATTGAATCTCCCGACCTGGCCAGCTTTCCATAAAAAGGACCGCTCTTCTGTCACCGAGTCCTACCGCTTCTTCCCCCGAAAAAAAAAATAACCCGTTATGGCTATTGAAAACCCTTCCAATGCTTTACCCGACCGTACTCGCAGCGGTTCTTTGAGCATGCCGAAACCCAAGCAGCTGCGTCCCTTCAAGACGGCCGAAGTAAAAATCCTTCTTTTGGAAAATGTCAACGAAACGGCCGTCAAGGCATTCCAGAAACAGGGTTATCAGGTAAACAAGAAAACAAAAAAGTCATCATTGGGGATTTTTTGGTCCTTTTGCGTGGTGGTTGAACTTGGTTTGATGTCGTACATTGTTATCTAATCTGTGTTGCCAACTTCTTTTTCTTTTTTCTGATGGCTTTAGGTCGAAACGTATACCAAGGCTTTAGTAGGGGATGAATTAATTCAGAAAATTCGGGACGTTCATGTTATCGGTATCCGGTCCAAGACCAAGCTCACCAAACAAGTGCTGGATGAAGCCCAGAATTTGCTCGCCATTGGTTGTTTCTGCATCGGTACCAACCAAGTCGATCTTCAAACAGCCGCCAAAAAAGGTGTAAGTGTCCTTCGCTCTATGTCTCATTTGAGGCCATTTTTTCCTCTTGCACGTCGTGTTTTTCTGTTACTAGAGCAATGCATATTGATTCAATGTTTTTTCTTGCCCAATAGATTGCCGTTTTCAACTCTCCTTTCAGCAATTCCCGCTCGGTGGCTGAATTGGTGATTGGTGAGATGGTAACGCTGGCTCGTCAGCTCGGTGATCGTAATATGGAGATGCACAAGGGGATCTGGAACAAGGTCAGCAAGAACTGCTACGAGATCCGTGGCAAGGTCCTGGGTATTGTCGGTTACGGTCATATTGGTTCGCAGTTGTCCGTGTTGGCCGAGGCCATGGGCATGTCGGTGGTGTTTTATGATGTGTTGCAAATCATGCCTCTGGGTACCGCCAAGCAACTCGAAACCCTGGAAGAGCTTCTTTCCATGGCCGATTTCGTTTCTTTGCACGTGCCCGAATTGGAGGAGACCAAGAATATGATTGGGGATCGAGAAATCAAATCCATGAAGAAGGGAGCTTATCTTTTGAATAATGCCCGTGGCACGATTGTGCAGGTCCCGGCTTTAATCCAAGGTCTGAAATCGGGTCATCTTGGCGGGGCCGCGGTGGATGTGTATCCCAAGGAACCAGCTTCCAATGGTCCTCACTTTACGGACTACCCCGAATTATTGGACTGTCCTAATCTGATCATGACGCCCCACATTGGTGGTTCCACAGAAGAAGCTCAACGCATGATTGGCTTGGAAGTGTCGTCTGCGCTTGTACGTTTCATCAACGAAGGCGGTTCCATTGGTGCTGTGAATTTCCCAGAAATCGATTTGCGCGCCATTCGCGAGGACGATACCGATGTTGTGCGTCTGTTATACATCCATCAAAATATCCCTGGTGTCTTGAGATCCATCAACGAGATTTTGGCCGATCACAACGTCGAAAAGCAGTATTCCGATTCCAAAGGTGACATTGCCTATGTCATGGCTGATATCTCAAATGTCACCCAAGATCATCTCCAGTCGTTATATGAAAAAATTACTGCCACTCCCGCCAACATCAGAACCAGAATCTTGTATTAGATTGATTTGCCCCTTTTCATCCCTTCCTTTCCTACTGTTTTTCATCCTCTTTTTTATTGTTAATATCTATACATTCATTGTTCAATTGTTCTTTTTTCTAAAAAAGAGAAAAGGCCCTCATGACTAGCTTACACTAATGTGCAAAATGAATTTTGTGACTGGATTCATATAAGTCCTTTCGGTATCCAATGAAATCGGCGCTTGTGTCAATGCGAGACAATGCGACGGGAAACTCACTGAATGTCGTGGGAAAACGTGGATCATCATAAGCAGCCAAGGTGGCTTTTTTTTTCCACAATGGCAGCAACTATTCATGTATGCATGTAGTATATTACAAGTCTCACCACCACCCAGCACATAAGTAGAGGAAAAGGCCCTTACGAAATCCCTGGAACTCTTATAGCACAAATAAACGTACAGCAGATCGCCCGCGGCTATATCGAGCACCTCACATTGATCTGAGCAAATTCTGTGCAAGTCAACCGAGTCATAGTGTGTTGTGTGCAAAGATGCCACCTAATTTAAAGCAAAAAGTGACATCCACAGTTACTTCATATAAAAAAAGTCTTATTTCTAATAATGAGGTGTAATATGTTCTATTGACAAGTGAAAAGAAAAAAAAAGATGTTGTGCAGGAATTACAAGAGAGGGAAAAAATCATGAGATGTTTATGATGCTATTTTATCTAGAACCCAAATAACCATCCTTTTCGAGCAACAAGACAATTTCGTGGACAGCCTGGGATACTGAATCCTTGGTGAGATCAATGACCAAGTCAGCATCCTGAGGAGCCTCATAAGGATCGTCGATACCGGTGAATTCCTTGACTTCTCCCTTGCGTGCACGTTCGTACACACCATCACGATCCCGCTTCTCACATTCTTCCAAAGGTGTCGCAACGTGGACCAAGTAGAAACCACCATACTTTTCGATTTGTTTGCGTGCGTTCTTGCGAGCTTCATCGTAAGGCGCGATAGGAGCCACAATGGCAGCGGCGCCGGCACGTGTTAATTCGCCGGCCACGAACGCTTGACGAGCAATGTTGATATCACGATCGCGCTTCGAAAATCCAAGCTCCGAAGAAAGTTCAGCACGCACATTCTCACCCATCAACAGAGACACCGAACGAGAGCCTTCCTGGTTGAGCGATACTTGCAAGGCACGAGCGATGCTGTTCTTACCGGAAGCATGTAAACCAGTGAAGAAGATGGTGAAACCTTGCTTGTTGCGAGGAGGGTGGGATTGACGGAGCACTTTGACGACCTCAGGGTACGAGAACCATTCAGGGATATTCAAACCGGTCTTGAGACGACGGCGTAACTCGGTACCACTGATGTTCAACGTCTTGGTGTTCTCAGGTACTTCATCGGCCGGCATGTATTCATCGGTATCGGGGCAGTAGGTGACCATCTGGAAGGGAACCATTTCAATACCGATTTCATCCTTGTACTTGCGAACGAGCTCCTGAGCATCGTACGGACCGTAAAAGTCAACGCCTTGGGAGTTTTTACCAGGACCAGCATGGTCACGTCCCACAATGAAATGAGTCACACCGTGGTTCTTGCGAATCAAAGCATGCCACACGGCTTCACGGGGGCCACCCATACGCATAGCCAAGGGCAACAAACTGAGTTCGGCCATACCGTTGGGATACTTGGGCATCAAAGCCTTGTACACACGCACACGAGTGTAGTGATCAATGTCACCGGGCTTGGTCAAACCAACGACAGGATGGATAAGCAAGTGTGCCTTGCGCTGGCGAGCAGCACGCACGGTCAATTCGCGATGAGCACGATGCATAGGGTTACGGGTCTGGAAAGCGACCACGCGAGTCCACTGAAGCTTCTTGAAGTGAGCACGAAGTTCGCTGGGAGAGACTAGTTAAGGTAATTGCGTGTTAGCCCATATCCATGCTCACCATTTCGGATGGATCATCCCCTAGCTTATTTACTTACATCGGTTGGCAACGTAGTCATAGTGAGCAGGAGGCTGAATGGCTTCGAGAGAACCACCGACATAATAGTCCTTAGCAGTGTTGTGCAAATACTGAACGGCAGGATGAGCCAAGTCGTTGGCACCAAAAACGTTGGTAGCTTCCTTGGCCTTGTCGGGCTGATACACATCAGCGACGGTGAGAATAGCCAAAGGCTCGTAATCCCGGGAATCAATCAATACAATGCGACGGTTGGCCTGGATCTGAAGCTCGTCAACCTCGGCCTTGCTCACATCCAGTGTGATAGGCATAGGCCACAACAATCCGTTGCTCAAACGCATATTCTCGACGACACTATGTGATCCCCAATCACGTTTCAGTATCGTCAATCATGTCATCATTCTCTTTTCCCCAACAAACACCGAGCATTATTCACCTATCATAGTCCTTTTGAGTCAAGAAACCTTCCAAAGGAGAGAAACCACCGTTGAGGATAAGTTCAAGATCGCAAAGCTGACGATCTGTCAAGACAAGCGAGGGGAGAGATTCAATCTCCTTACGAAGCTCAGCTTGCTTAGGGGCATCACGGATATAGAGATCCTTGAGCACACCACCGTGAGGAGTATTAGCCATGATATAAAGAAAATGTGGAGTAAAAGAAGCAAGGAAAAGATGAGATAAAATTAAATAGTGAGATGGTACATATATATACGATTAAGATGGTGTATATACTCAGGGACGATGGCGCAATTGGGAAATAGGCCAATGGAATTCCCGCACACACTATAAATGTATGACGTCGAAGATACAAAAAAATTAAGATTCTGCAACTTTTTTTTATTTATTTAAAGTTAACTCTGAACGCACGGCTTTCCCACAGAAAAGGATAACGCCAACCAAACCTTGTGGTGCATGTAACTATTGTAATCATTTGATCGGTTTACTATGCAACCGTATGGGTCTCAGCGAGCAGGAAAGCACAATTTCCCTCTCCTCTTTTTTCTTTTTGATGGTCCGCAACGACTCTATCTCAATCACTGCGGGCTTCCAAAAAAGGCAGCCCCGAAAATCCACGAACAGAATTTTTTTTCGTTAAAATGTTGAGGAACCATCAATAATCCCGCATTTATTTCGCATCAGTTTGAAAAAAGTGGGGACAGAACTAGACTATACGCGGAAGAACAATGTACAGGGCTTTAATTAAACAGACTTGATCAGGAAAACTGTCTTGACAGCCTGCGGACGAGGGCAGGACCTCGGGTCCTTATTCAAGCATTTCGGTCAACCTCGAACCCAAGGACGAGTGGCCTTGTGAACTTGCTGGCCATCAGCCATTCCAAATCTTTTATGCCTGGATAGGACAGAATGTAATAACGAGCGAGGTGCCACCTTGATTGGGCAACCGCTAGCTAGTTTACTGCAGTGTCGCACGAACGATAGACTAATGGAAGAGATCACCGAGATTTTTACTAATTTCTGGCAGCCAGTCGTGTAACCGCATGGAATTTTGATGCTCATTACCCTTCTTCTTTCAATAAGAACGATCATACTGCAGCAGCCTGATCTATCTGCATTGTCAGGAAATCGCTTGCAACATGTCACGGTATTTGCATCATATTGAAGGAAAACGATTGGCCAAAGAATCCCATATCGGGATTTGATCACCTGATCGGAAATCGTAATTTTTCATACATATTTTCTGGAAGTTTGCAGTATAAAATTCTGAATCACACAAGAGCCACGTACATCACAGGTGGTGCGACGGTTTCATTAAGAGAAAGCACCCGTTTCTTGATCAAAATAGCTACTCGCTCTCGTCTTGTTTTCCCAGGAATCGAGCGCGTAAACAAAAACCAATGTCAGCATGAAACGGTGAAGGTTTCAAACCCCTATATTGTGATCCATGGAAGTTGATCGATCTATGAAAGTGGATATGTTATCTGATGGTTCATTAGCTCCTGGTACACAATCAAAGCGCTTGGAGTTTTTCCGAATCGACGGATAATTTTCGGATATCCTTTTTTTTAATGCAGTTACTGTCGGAAGATCCGATCACAGAACGAGCTAACCCTATCTCCTATGTATGTCCAGGATTCCGGTACCTTATGATCACTACTCAACTTTTACCAGCCTTTCCGCTGTAGCGTCATAATATTGCAGTGTAGTGTTTATATTGCAACCTTGTATGTCCTTGGTCTCGACGCATAATTCACCGTCAAATACCGAAAAAAAAGCTTGACATGAAACGTTCCACAACAATGGTAATTGATGCAACCGTGAGAAGAATTAGTTCGGTTTTTTTTTTTTCGCTTTGGATGACATGCCAATAATGACACGGATAAACTCGGCAAGTTGACCAAGCCTTCACAGTTTATGCGAACTCTCGGTTGAACCAAAAAGCGGACATAATCATAGTCAACCTACTTTGATGTGTATAAGACTTACATGTCATAGCATACTGTACAGTAACAGTCCCGGCCCGATTTTGGCATGCTTCGATTTAAGCGTAACTTTTTGTGCTTCCCTGGATAATTCCAAAACTGAGCGGTGGCTGCATGATACTGGGTTCTGCTTTGCCACATACTGTACACGAGCTCAAAGGAGACCATCACCAAATGCAGTGATGATTTCCCACCCTCAATAAGAAAAAAACCGCCAAATAATATTGTCAAGTTTCTAATAATCTCGGTTCGTTTACGCCAAAAAAAGATATGAGAGCTCCATCACTTTTACCAAAAAACGCGAAACCTTTCGTTAATAATTTTGTGGGAGTTTTCAATATGAAAGCGGTATTGTATTTTTGGGAAAACGGTGATCAATGAAGAGAAGCCAACATAAAACCAAAAACTCATCATCATGGAGCGAAAGAAAGGAAATATCCTAAACACTAGGCGATCTTCAGCTTTCATTACATAGTCCAATGTATCATACCAAAACCATGGAGATCGGATCAGCCTATAGTCGTGAAATAGGTGCCGTCTACGATATTGAGAAATAGTACATTGGCAAAGAGTCTACGAAACTGTGCGTATGCGGTCATCCAATCACGGTCAAAAGCTGGTCAAAAGATTTAGCAAGTGACTCGAACGACTGCCTTTTCTCAATAAAGCCCGGGGGGATTACATGACCGATACTGATAGCAATAAATGAACAATTCTACGGTTGTAAATGATTTCTTTTTCGGAAAATCTGGTAATTAACGCAATTATCATTATTTTTAGATTCCTTCTCAGCAGAAGCAAGTTTGCAAGGCATCCCATGGGAAAACAAAACAGCAACACCAATCAGTAAAACTGCTTGTCAGTGACAAAGAGTTTTGTCAGTAATGGAATTCCGTTCCTACCGTAGCCACCCACCCGCTGTGTGCAGCAATCGATGTTGTAGTGAGAGTTCAGTTCTTCATGGTAGCGGAGATCGAACTTATGGCATGGCATGTTTCGTTTCACTCGAACGTCCAACCTTCTTTTCTGAAGCATGGATCATATATGGTACACAAAACAACAATGGATAAAAAGATACATCACTAAAAAGTAGTCCATATTCTACATAATTATAGGTGAACTTTTGCAAAAGGAGGACGGCACTGTGTTGGCTATCATCAGAGTGTCCGGTCCACCAGACACGAAGGGCAAAAATAGGGAAAAAGTTACGTCACGTTCCTATCGGGGGCGGGGTGGATCTTAATTCATTCAAGATGGGAATAGAAAATGATGGACCAAAGTCTCTTTCTTTGCGGGCTTATTTGCAAGGATGAATTTCGCCTGGGTATCTGATTTATCAAGTACTCGCAAACGCCCATCTTATACCTCAAAGTTATCTGTACCCGCGTCGACTTCTCCTGAATTGAGGTACGTCATTGCCCCAACGTCTATATGTTTTCTTTTTTTTTTCTTCAAACATTCTTTATTGAATCTTTTCTTACATGGTGTAATGCAGGAATCAGGATGCCCTTGGGATTAATCATGGGTTTTCTGTGAATACTTCGCCCTTGAGACGATCGCGTGCTGATACTATGCCGTCGCAATCGTCGGCGTTCCCCTATGCACAAGATGGGTATGCCAATTTGGCCGTTTCCCAGCTTCAACAATCACGCCATCGTTCCGGTTCGGTTACACTTCCGGCAGCTGACCGTGATGCCGACAATGAGCTTCCACAGTACGATGTATCCAGTCCTATTGATGAAAACACCTTGGCAAGTACGCTGGCTTCGCTCGGATTGGACGACGATCATATTCCTGCCGCGTCGGCAATTCACCCTTATCCCACATCAAGAAATCGCTCTTACACCGTTACCGGTCGTAACTTCGTCGATCCGCCCGACGTTGGCTTGATGCCGCCAAGTTTACATTTTAACCCTTTTCCTCCTCAAACACGCCAAAGTCTTTCTCGTCCTCGCGCTGTCAGTGTGGGGGTGGCGGATGTGGCGAAGCACCCGTCCCCTTTCGCATCGTATCTCCAGGAACAAGGGTCGCCCCATTTGCAGCCTTCTTTATCGTCGTCGGCTGTTGCCAGTCAACCGTTGAGAAGTTCTCGCAGTAGCAGTAACCTTGCTGAACTCACCAATGACTTTTTGTCTCAGTGGTCATTCCAATCCATGGGAACCAAAGAACCCTTGGCTGACGTTCCGGAACTCGATGGAAAGGTGAGCTGATTTTTTTTCCATGTGCTTCGTATGTCGGGGCGAGCGGGCGTTCCATGATCAAATTTCTCATTTATTTACTGGGGATGATGCATCATGCTTTTTTTTTTTCGTCAGTTGGGAAACACGCCGAGTCTCGGTTCTCCCTCTTCGACCTCTGCCCAAATCCCCTCTCGCGCTTTGTGGTTGGGCAATATCAATGCATCCCTCAGCGTACCTGATCTCTTGAAAATATTTTCAGTGTATGGTCATGTGGAAAGCGCTCGTATTCTGTCCGACAAGGAATGTGCATTTGTCAATTTTGCCTCGGTGGAATCGGCCGTAGCGGCTAAAACCGATCTTGAAACACGTTTGGGAAGCAGATTGGCAGGATCGCCGGTGAGAGTAGGTTACGGTAAAGCCGATGTGAACCTGGCCATCGCACTGAGCAATGAATCGGGACCCAATGCACAAGGACCAACACGTGCTTTATGTAAGTTGTCAATGTGATTTTTTTAAGAAGGGTCACTGGGAATGCGACTTAACGAGCGGTGAACCCAATGACTCATGCTATTCACTCTTCTAGGGGTGGGCAATATTCCTGCCAATACGAGCCCTGCAACGCTTCGATCGATCTTCCAACCTTTTGGTACCATTGAGTCCGTTCGAGTGTTGTCACATAAAAATTGCGGCTTTGTGAACTACGAACATCAGGAAGATGCGGTTCTTGCACGCAAAGTTTTGCAGAATAAGGAAATATTGGCTCCCGGCACCGGCGCTGTGCGTATCGGATTTGCCAAAGTGCCTTCCACACCAGTAGAGGAAGTCGAGGAACCTAACCCACCCCAGCAACCCATACCATCCAATATTCCAGAAACTTACCAGGCCACGCAATGGGCGACGGCCATGATGATGACCAGTATGATGATGAACGCCTCTGGCAAACAACAAACTACCCAGCCTAGTCTTTATACCGCAATTGCTGCTGAACGTGAATTTATCATGCAACAACTTGGATATCAGCGTGCTAATCACGAACAAAGTAAGTCATCCTCTCCTTAAAATGGTTGGTCGGTGGCCTGCGTGCTTATTTCCTTTTTTTTTTCTTTTTTCAAGGCGAACGGATTCCCTTGAGCTATTGCTCAGTGATACCTCCCGTACCAGAGTTGACCTCGGATCGGAAGTTGGAGCCTCTTCGTCTGCGAGAGATGCGACGACGTTTAGAGAATGGAGACACCACCCAGGAGGTGGAAACCATTGCTCACGAATGCATGGATGAAATTGTAGAGCTTTGCAGTGGTACGTCTAATAAGTGGTCCCCCTTATACAGTCCGGAGACTGAGAATGTTTTTTCTTTTCTTTGGGTCAAATTAGACTATATTGGCAACACGGTGGTGCAAAAATTATTCGAATTATGTAGCGACACCACCAAGCAACACATGCTGGAAAAGATCGCTCCTTATCTAGCCATGATCGGCGTACACAAAAACGGGACATGGGCAGCACAGAAAATCATCGATTTTGCAAATACCGAAGCACAGGTAAAGAGTCCATCATCCAGAGTTGGGAAATGTCTGTCACGTAGGAAGCACATGGTACTTATTGCTGCTTCCACAGATTCAGTTGATCCGTAAGCATGTTGCTCCCTATGTTCCATTATTGCTGTTGGATCAGTTTGGCAACTACGTCGTTCAATGCTGCTTACGTATGGGTGCGAAATATAACATGTATATTTTCGATGCGATTGTGGATAAATGCTGGGAAATCGGACAAGGACGATTCGGAGCACGTGCGGTGCGTGCTATTCTTGAAAATTCCATTGTGACAAAGGAACAGCAGGTATGCTCAGCACAGCCGATGGTCACAGTATACCCAATGTAATGCTGATGAATGCTTTTTCTTAGTTGTATGTTGCTGCAGCAATTGTACAGAACGCTATTCTGCTGACGACCAACGTGAATGGAACCCTCTTGTTGATCTGGCTGCTGGATACGTCAGAACTACAGGGAAGATATCGAGTGCTGTGCCCACGGTTCCTTCCGTACCTAGGCAAACTTTGCACCCATAAACTGGGATCTATTACTGTGTATAAGATCATTAATCAGACGCAAGAACCGGACGCAAGTAATCTGTTAACAAAGGCGCTTTTCGGTGAACCTGGAATCCTCGACGAAGTGCTTCGCGATCAAACGCATGGTGTGAACCTCGTACAAAAAATTCTGGGTGTGTCGCACCTCGATCGACGACAGGAAATCGTGCAAGAAGTGAAAGCGAGTCTTCAGCGGCTCAAGGTTCATAATGTTCAAGGCTACAAGAAATTAATGGATGAGCTGGAGATACCCGTGAAATCGAGCACTGATACTGCATCAAATACGAACGATATGACGTGGATGGAGAATCCGCAAGCCGTGGTTATGATGGCCAATATGTATGCGGCGGCCATGACTGCGGCTGCAGCGACTATACAACAAGGCAACCGTTCTTCTTCTGACGATCCCTCGACACTTCCCATCATGGAAAACATGCCCCCATTCGATCAGTTACTCAAGGCCTTGCTCAACACGAACACTACACCAAAACCCAACCAGGATAACGATAAGACTTGAAAAGACACGCCTGATGCTGCCAAAAAGAAAGAGAAGGATCAATTTCCACTGGGAAACATGACTGTTTCTATAGAAATCAGTGCATTTTTTTTTTATTTCTGTATTATTCTCCATATTTTTCAAAAAAGACTTTAGGTTATCAAGGAACGAAATTTGAATTGGATCATAAAATGTACATAAAGTTTGAACAACAGAAGCATTTTGAAAAAAAAAGAAAAAAAGCATAACATGGCCCTTTTCATGGTGCGTCAGCATCCTGCAAGCTTGAAAAGAATGGAAAGGAGAAAAGCCATAAAATAAACCGGATAAGAAAGAGCATGCTGAATGGACCTGCTGTTTTTGTTTTCGCTGCTCCGAGGAACGGGGGGTGCGGAAAAACCTGCTATTGGTCAAGGCATGACCGCAAGTTGGGGTCAGGTGGTGTGCCTAAGCGAGGAGTTGGATGGTGGTCGCTGGACTGGCACATGGAGGAAGAAAAAATTACATTGATAACTGATGGAGTTCAGGTGTCACGAAGATACCATGGATGGTTTTTGATTTCGGGCATTGTCAGACGCTTTTCAGGATCATTGCACAACAGACCATCCAATAAATCTTGCAATTCAGGACTTTCCTTGGTCAGACGAGGCGCGCTGGAAACAATGAACAACAGCGTGAGTAGGCGCACGCTTGCTTGAATTAAAACCAAAGCAAACTTACCGCGAGCTCCGAATCTTCTCGTATAACTGAAGTATGTTGGGACTTTCAAAGGGTAAGTATCCTTCATGCAGGCAGAAAAGAGTGATACCCAAGGACCAAATATCAATGGACGTATCGGGATCATGCTTTCCTATTTAGAATTGGAAAAGTCAATCTATCAAATCAAGCTGCCACCTTTTTTTGTATCATATTTGCAAGATTAGACACCGAATCTACCTTTACGTAAAAGTTCGGGGGCCATGAACGCCGGTGTTCCGGTATAGTTGCCTTTGAAGAAGGAGGATGACATTGTATCAAGTGAAATGGCACTGCCAAAATCAATGAGCTTTACTTGATGCTCCTTAGTCAAAAGAATATTCTGCGGCTTGATATCTAATATGGTTGACCCGATCAGTATTCACATGATGACTCTAATCTACAAAGGGAGTTGTACCTCCATGCAGAATGTTTTGACTGTGCACTAAAAAAAATCCATTTAGAATGTCACATTCTTTAGTATGTGTATAGCAGAACGAGGCTAATTCGCTTACAGTATTCTACGGCAGCAACGAGCTGGCGAAATATCATTCGGCAATTGGAGTCATCATACGTTTTGATAACCGTGAAAGGCTGGATATCCATTACCGTGGCACCGGAGACCATTTCCATGACTACATCCACGGAATTGATATTAGCTTGGAATTTTTCGTCACAAAGCACCGTGTAATTTACCTAGATAAAATTTGTCTATTTGAGGTTCATTGATGCATTCGACCAGACGAACGATATTGGGGTGATGGAGTTGTTGCATCAATGCGGCCTCATTACAGCTGCTGTCTTTGAAAACTTGACGACGTTTACATGGCGCCGAACGTTCCTGGTGGAAGGAGGGCTGTTCGGTGGCTTCAAGTTTTCGATGGGGATAGAATAAATCCAACGATCGGCTTTGTAGATGGATTCGAGATTTACTCAATTCTTTGATAGCCTAAGTCCAGCCAAATATTCGAATTAGTCATGGTTACGGGCAGTACAGCCAAAAAAAAAAGGGCGAGAACAAAATACGTTACATAGCGATGATGCGTCTTTGGGTCCATGGCCATATAGACAATGCCCGAGGATCCGTAGCCAAGGTCATAGAGGATCTTGTATTTGCCAACGTATGGCTTTTCATGATACTTGGCACTCCGTCTTTTGCTGTGACGCCAGGGATTGTGGAATTGAAAAACGTCGTTGAACCAGCGAGTCATTGGACAAAGAAAGGGAAAAAAAGTCAAGTTGGACTGTTCGGAAAACAGAGCGATAAAGTTTGAAGACAGGAGATACAGTTGTGCCTTTTTATAATTCCCGTGATCCAATGATCCTAAAAATGAAGAAAAAAGGCGGCCAAGCTTCTTAAAAATAAAGATACACCGTGAGTGACACGTGCGACCTTTTTGGCACCGTTTACATATTTGTTTGTTTGCAACTTTCCAACGCAGCGTATTGGCGGGACAAGGCTCCTTTTTGGAATTAGTCGAATGATATCATCGACCTGCACTTTCCTATTGGTACAATCGTGCCATTAAGAAAAAAGCAAGCAAGCAACAATAACAACGTCTATGAATAGTTTGTATTGTAGAAAAAAACTTGGCGCCGAGCAATTTTTGACAGTTTTCTACTTTTTCATATGACAATACAAAAAGTAGCACAGCCGACCAAATTCAGTTGTCGTCGCTTTTTTTTTCATATGAATAAGATTCAACTACGATGATCCGTTCACTATCACGTAAAATCACTGAAACCGTACTGTTGTTGGCATGGCACAATTCGTTTTTAAAAGGACCAATTATGTCAATTTTAGTGACACTGATTTACTCTGTCCTTCACTGTCCAACATGATACTATCAAACATAATACAACAAGAGCTTACTATAGTAATTTGGGTAATGTTTTGTAGAAAACAGAATACATCTACAAAATATCCCGCAAAGAACGGTTGTTGTTGCACCAAGAAATATCATATGTTGTTATCATTGCTCAACCATAGCATGCAACATGACACTTTATTTTTGATATCATATTTATATCGATAACATGGTGGTCATTCACACAATATTGTATGACTTTTCACCAAACATTAACTTATATTTTATCAGTTTGGTGGCATATTTTGGGTGAGGGAAGATCGTGGGGATTGAATGAGAGATTATCGTATTTTTACCGCTGATTGATTGGTTGTCTCGAAACGTCACGTGACACGAATAGTGCGGCCATGGTGGCAAATGTCGGACGTCTCCGGTCGGATAGACGACGGTGGCATGGGCCCAGTATGTGAATCCTCCTCTTTTATTTCATACATCCATTGAAATGTACGTTGATGAACCCGATAGAAAGCATGAAACGAACGCATAGACGTAGTGGCTGAATGGAGAGATGATACACTACGACTCTGCGATGGGATGGAATCAGATGGATTAACGCTGTTTTGTTCAACCAACTTAGCATGTCTGACCACGAAGAAGTCATCGACACCCAGGAAGTGGAAGTGGTTGCTGAAGCCACCAAGGGCCAAATGTCCGTTGAGGATGCCCTTCAAGAAGTTTTGCGTCGTGCTTTGGTTCACGATGGTCTTGCTCGTGGTTTGAAGGAAGCCGTCAAGGCTTTGGACAGACGTCAGGCTCACTTGGCCGTTCTTTGCGAATCCTGCACTGAAGGCGAATACGTCAAGTTGATTGAAGCTCTCTGCGCCGAACACAACATCAACCTCATCAAGGTTTCCGATGCCAAGAAGCTCGGTGAATGGGCCGGTCTCTGCAAGATCGATCGCGACGGTAACGCCCGCAAGGTCGTCGGCTGCTCCTGCGTCGCCGTTACTGACTTTGGTGAGGAATCCGAAGCCATGAACGTTCTCTTGGATTGTAAGTTGCATTTTGGGCTCCCAATTATGCCCGCACCCAGAATAAGCTACTCAATACTAATCACTGATTATCTACATAGACTTCAAGACTCGTTAAACGGTCAGATTCCATTGTTGACGATTCCATTGTTCAATAAAAAACATTGTTGCTTCATTTCATTATCTCACAAATTTGTGGCTTCCCTGTTTTATCACTTATCACAAAAAAGATGCATTTTCGTGTCTATCACTGCCCATAATTTAAATCGTGCATATTTTCCTCTGTTCCATGCCAACGAACCCATAGTATTTCGCTCAATGAATTGTTACAAAAAAGTCATCTCTTTATTGGAGTCCGAAGTTCAACCCTAATCCGTTTAGATGAAACCGATCTACAATGAACAATGACGAATTCACGTTAGACGAAACTCGAGTCTTTCCAAGCAAAAATACCGTTGCTCTTGAATTCTTACCTTGTTAGCAACATCGAGAGCATCGACATCGGCGGTCAAGCGGACGTAGGCCTTCTTGTAACCGTCGGGACGGATGAGGGTGTTGACCTTGGCAGCCTCAACATCATAAAGACGCTTGACGGCATCCTTGATCTGAGACTTGTTAGCCTTGACATCGACGACGAAGGTCAAAGTGTTTTGTTCTTCGATCTTCTTCATGGCAGTTTCAGTGTTCAAAGGCTGACGAATGATACGGTACTGGTCCATGCGAGGAACATGGGGAATGGACTTGCGGGTGTACTTGGGCTTGCGTGCCAACTTCAAGGTCTTGGGGCGGTGGAAGTGGGTCGAAGTGCGAATCTTACGGACGCTCTTGCCGTTAACACCCTTGAGGGCGGCCTTCTTGGCAGCGAGAGCCTTGTCTTTGGGAGCTATAAGAAAATGTTGGCCATGTCAATACTTGTCCCAATTTCTCGTTTTCCCTCTCAATCTGCAAAGCTTCGTGATGACGATGGAATCCATTTATCGATTCTTTTTCCAAACCAATCCATCCATCGCTTCTCTAACACATCCATCCGGTGCCTCTCTCATGTAAGCTATCCGTTGCACTTACCAGCCTTGCTCTGGGGTGCCATTTTACAGTATCAAAGAGAAAAAAGAGGCCGATACAAAGGTTGCCTTGGTGCCACTCTCAATAGGGCACCACGCCCGCAAAAAAGACAATTTCGTACTCCGCCGTTCCGGCAATTTTCAATATCCGGCTTCCTTGGTCAGATCTCACATGTGGCCCATCATTCCTATCAAGCTGCATGACCAATTCTTTTTATCCAATTCAATACAAATGGATTTACGAAGAGTATATCATTAGTATTATGATATGTGTCTACTATTATTGGCGTTGTTTGTTGTATATAAGCGAGAGTATTAGGCTCGTCGTTACCGTTGTCTACTTCATTGTGAAATCAGGTCGATTCGCTCGCCTTTGCGTTTATCTGAGCCACTACTCCTCACCTTTTGCAATTTCTTTGTTAAAGCAATACCGCCATCTGTTGTATTCTGTTGTTTAACAGTTTGAGATGGTAAATACCTTGTCAATATTTTTTCGATACAGCTCCGGATCTAGATTTATTTGATTTTTTGGAAGGTGGATACAGTATCAGCTAACGTTTGATGATGCTACAGACTGTACATATTATACAATGACTGATTCTAGAATGATAAAGCAAACGGAACCATTTGGTTCTGTCGTAGATCAACGTACCGTCAGTTGGGATATAATTAAGATCTGGGGATTTTGCCTGTTCTACTAATCAAGCTCATGTTGATAACGTTGTATACATCCTTATATCTTTTTTAAGCTATTTTTTACGATGTTGGTAAGTTGTGTTGGACAACTGAATTGTTGGAGCGGAAATAAAAATTCATGCGTAGAAATTACATTTTGGAATTCTGATACCTCGTTAGAAAATTCGAGGAATTTTCGTTGATTTGGAGTCTTGCACCGCTACAAGAAAGTAATTGGAAAAATTGAAATTGAGATGAGCCGGGACGGCGTCACATCGTACCGAGATGATAACCACAAACCATTCAATTGAAAATACACTGTCATTGGGAGGGAACATGTGTCTAAAATAAATCATCCTTCGATGCCAACACAATGTTTGTTTACAATTTCAGAAAGCTCAAGTAGGCGACCTGGAGATAACAGAAATTTCCAATCTTGACAGCCGAGAGTAATATTCGATCGGTAATCCCGCCAGGAGAAACAAATGGTGCCTGACACTGCAGTTGCGAAACAGATGGATATACCTTTATTTGTCAATACAATGTAATGGGGGGGGGGGCAGAAATGCGACCAAGGATAGCGACATGGGCAATGACAGCCATTTACGTCCCAATACAGCAATCGTTTTTTCTTTGGCACATGCCAAATGATATCACAAGTTACGCCGGAGAATCATTTTCACTCTATCTTCTTGATAATGTGGCACAATATGCAAAAGAGATAAAGTACAATAATATTTTACAAAAGAATAAAGATCGTACATGCCTCCAATGGCAAGCCAAATACTAGGGCTGTCATTAATGTCAGGTTACATATTACCATCGAATGATCTGTCATGGATAAGAGGCAATAATAAATAAAAGGAACAACGAGAATATCCAAGGCATGAAGCCTGTCAAAAGAAAGCAGCTGCGGTTTGGTTAACCACTGCAGGCATCAATTGCAAAGCAGCCTTGACGGTAAGAAAAACAACGATGGCCATGATAGTATCTGTATGAATAAATACACCAAAGCGTCAGTGGAACCATAAAAAAACAGATAACTAAATATATCAATGCTGCACTTACTGAAGACCAGCTGCTCCCAGGGTTCCATCACATAGACAGCTGTCAGCAGCTCATATTGGAGCTTCTTTCTCCGTAAATAATTTGAAATATTGGAATAATCGTTTTCTTTTGAGGTGATCATGGACAAGCAAACAGGAGCAATGGATAGCAAGTGAAAAAAAATGGAAGGCATCATCTACAACTTCGTCTCTTTAAATATGTGTCCATGGTTATGCGGTTTTCGGTAAAATGAAATCACAACTCAGCAGATCTGGATAAATTCATTTTGTATCCATCGGCAGAACTTTTACGATGGAAATTCCTATTGGCTGTTTCCGCCCTCCACAATCCTGGTAAACTCCACAAGAGTGAAAAATCAAGCCGTTATAAGAATGAATGAAGTGACACATTTGACGCCATCAGAGTATGCTTTATCTTCCAATCCACACGATTCAAGTATAAAAAAAGAAAAGGATAAATACCATCACATGACGAAGGAAAAAAAAGAGGACTGAAATACAGGAAAAAAGATAGAGTAAAAAAACGACGGAATACATGCACAAGAGGGAGGGGTTAACGGGAGGAAAAATATAAAAAAAGGCAGTGATAACAACTGGGACATAATGAGCCATATTTTACTAATCTTCTTCAATGCCATTGTAGATGAGGATATTGGGAGAGTCCTTGCCAATGTTGGCGAGACGATCACGGGTGCCCATGGAGATGATCTTGTCCTTGATTTGTTTGGGGGTAGGATTGCCTTCTTCAAAGCTGAGAAGATAAGCGGCCAAACCGGCGGTGTGTGGGGACGCCATGGAGGTACCGGAAATGGTATTGGTAGCATGATCATTGGTGTTCCAAATAGACTTGATGTTGAGACCAGGGGCAAACACATCAACGCACGAACCATAGTTGGAGAAGTAAGCACGTTCGTCGCCAATGGTGCTTGCGCCCACCGTGATGGCCAGTTCGGCTCGGGCAGGTGAATAGTTGCATGCGTCGCGGTTATCATTGCCAGCCGCCACAGCGAAGACCATGCCTGCCTTGACAGCGCCATTGACAATGTTATCGAGAGTGGGCGATTTTCCACCACCCAAACTCATGTTGGCCACGGCACCCTTGTAACGTTTGTTGGATTCCTTGGCTTGCTTTTGCATGCTGAGATGCTCCGAGGTGGCCCAGTCGACGCCCTTGACAACGTCACTCATGGAACCGGAACCGTTGGAACGCAATACTTTGACAGCGACCGGTTCGGCCTTCTTGGCCACACCGAATCGCTTACCGGCAATGGTACCAGCACAATGAGATCCGTGACCGTTACCATCTTCATCGGCATCACCGGAAGGGATCGTCTTTCCCCAAGCGGCACGACCTTCAAAATCGACGTGGCGTACATTGATACCGGTGTCAATGACGAATACCTTGACACCTTCGCCGCCTTCCTTTTCGTACTGGTACTTGCTAAAAGTGCGCAAGTCTAAAGCTTTGCGATGCGAGATACGAGCCAAACCCCACGGAGCCCCACGCTGGAGTTCGCTAGCATAAACCATGGAATCTTTTTCAACATAGGCCACCTAAAAATAGCATAGGGATTGGAAAATGAAAAGAAGAAAAAAAATAAAACGGACATCCGAAAAAGGAAAACCAAGAATGGCGTCAGTGATTGCATAGATAAAAAATGATAACATTTTGATTATGTTATCATGTTGTTGTTGTTGTTTACCTCGTCCGAGCTTCGAATTTGTTGCAACACCTCCTTATCAAATTTGCCAGAGTAACCTTTTAAGGTGGGGGTGTTGTATACGTGGCGAACGCCGTGGTTGTCTTGGTTGCCATTGAGCCATTCAACAAAGGAATTGGTTCGTACACTCATGTTGTTGATCCACATAGTGTGTTGGGCCATGGTAGAATCGTTTACATGATCTTTGAGAACCACAATGTAAGAGTCGGCCAACGATTCTGCTTCGTCTGAAACGTATAAAGGGGCAATGTTGCCTTCAGAGAAACTTGATGGAAGCACCATGGGAACCGCCACGGCGTAACCAGCAAGCATCAAAGCACCGGTGATGATGGAAAGTTTCATATTGGATTGTATAAAGAATAGAGCAACAAAAAAAAAGAAAAGAAGAGATGGAAAAGAAAAAGGAAAACGGAAAAATAGGTGAAAGATAAAAGCCAAGATGTATGCGTGTGAAGCGACTACGGAACTTGTGTGATTTTTAGTGCGCAACCCCGCTCCCCGCGTGACTTGGAAAACGATGACATGACACGGTTGTACAAAATGAAGTAGATTAGGCAAAGAAAATCCATACAAATGATTGGATACCATCCAAGAACATGCTCTTTGGCTCATCGTATGATCTCGTTTGTTATTTGTTTATTTTCAAACGTCAGGTTAACGTTTGTATGGTTCCCCATTTCGAGCCCCTGGACTTGGGTCTCTACCACATCCGATCCACTCACCAAAAAGCTCAGAGAACCCCGCCTTAATGCGGAGGATCCGCTACGGAAAAATCAAAAAGTAATACGTGGAGTATTGAAGGAGTTATGGGTGGGATCATAATAATCCCTACTTGCAAAGGCCTGCGTAAGACCTGCAAGGTTTTATGGTCATCGGTTCACTAACTTGCAAATCGTCATCGGAAATACCCAATCTCTATATGGAAGGGAATCCATAAAAGTCAAGCGGATTCTACCAAATCAAGTAAGACGCATTCAACGAAACGAGTCGATGCGCCGCAGCCCTGGCCAAGCCCAAATACAACAAAAATTCGATGAAATGACTCTCGCATTGCTCACTTTCACAGCCAAAACCCCGCATCCATTTTTTGTATGCCAATACATGTTTCTTTTTTGTGAAGTTGTGAACCTCACTGTTCGCAAGGATGCTGCTACAACACAGTTTAGGAACATGCCACGTCATGCAAACTGGCACAGGCGCAAATTCCCTCCAACTAAACTGGGCTATGACGAATCGCATACAATCTTAAATTTACCCTGTGAGAGAGGCACACTGGGGAAACTGCTTTTTACTGGCAATCCATGATGGGTTCGACCTAACGTCGGATAAGGCTATGAAGCAGAGAAGAAACAGTGCGCGAATGACAAAAGCCAAAGTTTTGTGAATTATGCCATGGCGCAGAGCCAGTCGATCATAGCAGACAAATGAAAATAGGTCATGTTACTGGATGTATCATGTTTGAATGCGTAAAGAGACAGCTCCTGAAAATGTTGCATGCGAGGGCGGCTTCATCAATGTAAGAAAGATATCTTTTTGTAAATGTCCTCGTGATACAATGGAGAGTATTATGTTGTGAATAGAGCTGTCTTTTTTTCCTAGAGTGTCACAGTTGGCATGGGGATGCGATACTCTTTTTTCCTTATCCGGGCATCATTTTTATTTTATTTTTCTAGGTACACGTTCATTCACATTCCGCCAACAAATGGGATCTGTTAATTTTTTTTTCCTTTCTTTTTCTGTGCTGTGCTTACTCGATGTCAATGTCATTGAGAGAAGAGAATGCCATTTATATTCCAATTCATCCAAAACATCAAACATGAATCAGCACGTGAAGTAGGCCTGACATATATTTCTCGATTCGGCATCAATCGTTAACTGGTCATGGTAGGCATTGACGCGAGCTCAATCGTGCGTGCGTGTCTCTTTGCCGTGGAGTCATATGGAGACGTGTATCGTGGCGCATCAGCGTCGACAGAACGTAGCGGAAGACGAGCAGGGTTTTCACATGGGCCACAATGTGGTGATTGTGGGATTATCCGGGAGCGGAAAATCATGGGCTTTGAAACGTATTGCTACTCATGCGCTGCAACAGACCCATAGTCGCGTGCTGTATCTGGATTTGGATGATCGATTCCAAGGTGACATTGATAATACGAGATTCCATTTGCTGCAACCGACGCACCAGCAACTGTTGGTGACAATGGCAGGCTTAGAGACCTGGTTCCGGAATCATGACGATACATCGATTCGATGGGTCCTGGTGGATGGATGCACAGACAATACTATCCTTCACGCATTACAGCAGTTACAGCAAAGGTGGGGATTTGTATCAATCATAGCCAGCCGAAGTCTATCACCACCACCTACATTACACGACTACCGATTCGAAGTCTACAAGGAGGATACCCACATCTGGATGAAACCATGGCCATCGGTGACACCGCCTTTCAAAATTGCATAAAACATGAGGCGTCAGCAAAAATTACTTCATTGGGCATCTTTATTACGCATAAAAATCTCGCAAGAATCACTGTCTGTTACGATCCCATTTTGTCTCGGAGAGTCATACTACAAGAAGCTGCTGCGAAAGAAAATGTAGATGAAAATGTTCAAATCATTATAAAAATATCAACGGGAAGCGAGTCGCGCTCAATATGGATCAAAGATAGTATACTATTTACAAGGAAGGGGGTGGAAGGGGTTTGCAAAGGTGTGTAGAAAACCACTCTACAGTATATGGATTACTTTTGCACACGCTTGCGTTTGGAGGGATGGATCGTGAAGGGCTGCGTAAAGGCTTGCTGCAAGCGTTTGACTTTTTGTTCACCGAAACCTGGACACATGGCCAATTGTTCGGTGGAAGCGTTGGCGATGCCTTTGAACGAGCCGAAAGAGGACAACAGAGTCAGTACGTCCGTCTTGTTTACGCTCTTTACGTTGGTGAGACAATCCGTCATTTTGGTATAGTAATCGTCGACCATGCGTTCACGAATCAAATCCGGTGGTTTGTTCTCAAATACTTTGTACGTTTCCAGGTATCGTGCTGCTTCCTCGTGGCTCCAAGCCAGCATCAGTGTGTAATCCTGCAAAATGGCAGTACGATTCAATTCACGTAGCGTGTCATGGTAGTTTTCAATATCCACAAGCACCAGTAACACTTTGAGCACATAGAGACGAGTTAATTTGGCCATGCGTTCGTAAATGTAATTAGGGTAAAGTCGATGATAACGTAGACTGTCATGTGCTTCCAGTTAGCACTCCAATACAATCCAAAAGCTCGAGATGCGTCACTTTTTTTTTTTTTTTTTACCTCAGATATAAAACTCCCGTGGTTAGACCGACGACATAATCTGGCTTGATGGTATCATCCGGTTCCCAAGGAACATTGTGAACGTATCGAAGGATGGGATTTTTGTGCTGAGTGGGATTCACCAAGATTGCATTGCCTACGCCTCTTCGCACGGCAGGCGCTGATACAATCACCGCGTCCGAGGCCGCCGTTGCTGGCTGAGCGGGTGCAGGAGATATGGTCGAGTTAGGCGTATGAACCGATGATGACGCTGGCCGTGCTGGTGACGAAGGTATCTGTGATATTGCAGGGGCGATATTGGTAACGGTGACCTGCTGCTGCGGCGGCGGCGGTTGGATGGTGGAAGATCCATTGCCGGAATCATTGGCAGTGGATGTATCTTTGCTTTTCCAAAATATGGTTGGTTTGGTTTGCTGTTGTGCTTGCTCAATCTGACTCAGACTAGGCAGCGTGAATTTCGGCTTGTCTGACATTGGGGCGTTGGATTTTCAGGCGAAAACCATTCCGGTCTTGCACCTTTTGGAAGCCCTCTGAAAGGGCAATGATCAAAAATTTAAGCAGTCACTGTTAAAATTGTGCAACAGATTGATCCACGCATATAAAAATAATGGCGGCCATTTCAGACCTTGCATAATAGAGAAGAGGTGTGTTTGCTGATTATTAAGTTTGCAGAGTCCATGCTTGTGACAATAGCATACTCGACAAATCGCTCATATCTGACCAATGAACAAGGAGGCTTCCTCATTGATGACTTGAAGGAAGTTTGATGTCGATAAGCATACAATACAGTCTTAAGTTCTATTGTAGAACTTGAGTGGTCATCGTGAAAAAGGCGGCGGTCAAACATCGTATCAAAATAATACTTTTTATATTATACATTTATGAGTTATCGAATAACTCGTCTATGAATTTGGAATTGTCCTGGAGACCTTTTATTATGGAGACTGTCCATCGAAACATATCATTGCTTTTTCGCTTCTTTTTTTTTGAGGGGGTGATACACTTTCGGTGTGCTTTTGGTTGAACCAGTTGTAATGATCGGAGTGTAAAAATCCCGTTTGCGTGAATTTTTTTTTCACGCTTAAAAAAAAAAGGGAAACTTGGTGGAAGGCGATAGATCTCTCAGTCAATTACCACCATGTTACCGCAAGATTGGAATAATTTAGTTGTATGTAGTCATTTTATGCTCTCTATAAACCGATCGCTCACATTCTACCTTGTATGTAGGAAGAAGTGCACCAGAAATGCGTCGCTTATGATTACAATGAAGAAGAAGGTACGAAATTAGAAAATACCGCATAGTCTTCCCTGTCTTTTGTTGAATGCAACTCACTGTGATTCTTTGCAGACAGAACACTCAGCGAATTCATCATCAATCTGGTCCAGCTTGGCAAAACTCCCGACGAAATCAACGGTGAATTGAAAGAATGTAGGATCTCCTATAGCATGAAGTTTTGCTCTGCTGTTACTGACGGTTGATCTGGTTTTTTTTTTTCGGTTATAGTGGTTGGCTCTGACTATGGTATTGTGTTGATCTCTCTTTCAGCTTTTTGATGGTGGTTAAATCAGTGGGTGAATCTAACATCATGTCATTAGATCTTAATCTGACGGACTGGATTTTCGCTCGCATTGGTGAAATGGAGAATCCTCAGACGACAGTGACGCACAGTAAAACGGAAAACCGGAATCGCATTTTTGCCCAAGCTATTGGAGATGTTAATAAAGAGATGGCACCTTCGCGGTTCACCAGCACGAGTCAGCGACGTGCCGTTGATCGATCCCGTTCACGATCGCCGGAGCGAAGGCAACACCGACCGTCCTACCGCGAAGACGACAACAGAGATGAGCGAAGAGACGTCTTTTCACGTTTAGGAAACAGTCGACGCCATGATCGACAACAAGAGGACCCTGAAGGTAGAAAAATAGGATCCAATTGATGCTACATGAGGTGATCTAACCGTGTCTATTTAGTTTCCATGTCAACCAATGTGTTTGATCGCCTTGGTACCACACAACCTGCAGTGAACAGTCCCCACCCACAAGAGCGATGCAAGTTCTGGCCTTCTTGCGCCAATGGGGAGCAATGTCCCTATTTCCATCCCAAAACACTATGCCCGTAAGAGTCGGCGGTCCTGCCTCACGTTTTTTTTTTTTTTTTTTTTTTACATCCATTGTCTAATAACGAGCATTTCATTTTAGTGATTATCCCAATTGTTCCAAAGCAGCCAACGAGTGCATGTTTATCCATCCCGCCGGTGATCCTGTCAAGCCGACGGCCCCCATCCAGAAACAAACAATGTGTAGATATGATCCTTACTGTACCAAGCCTACTTGTCCATTTCTCCATTCGACAAATGTCACTGCGCCCCCCGCTCCACGACCGATTCATCGGATTCCTGTCCCTTGTATCAACGGAACCGCTTGTGTTCGACCGGGATGTCATTTCACACATCCTAATGACCCTGTACCAGAGGTGGATATTCCTGTAAGTTGCAACAAGTAAAATAGGTGAGACTGTTAGGGAACGAGCAGAATCGACTAACCAAAAACTGTACATAGTGTAAATACGATGGCGCGTGCACTCGACCTGGGTGTTTCTACAAACATACGGTTCCTCCGTTCTCCACCCGTGGCGGTAACAAGACATTGGTTCTCACAGGGCAAGAACCAACAAGCCAGCGGCAATTTTCCGTTCCTGAAAGCGACATTGAAGAACGCATCTTGGTTGGAGAAAGCGCTGATCTGATCATCAATGACACTACAAAAACCCAGAATTCGAAACCCGATACCGAAACGACGGCAATGAGTGAGGATGTTTAGGGGATTTACGCATTTAATAAAGTCATAGACAAAGGGCATCATAATTTTTTTCTCGACCATTGACCTTTTATATTATGAAATGTGTCCATACCTGCAACTGTCAATCATTCCTTTGCAACAAAATGATGGTTCCAACGAATTATTCAGTAATCTGGCTTTTTCGGTCGGTAGAATTGTAGCGCTCGCTTGCAATCTCTCATATCGGATGTTGCTGGCGGCAGTATTGTATGTTTAATACATTGTATAAGATGATCAGGCGTAATTTTTTGCTAGATCGGTGGGAAATCATTGCTAGAGAACTCGTATCCTTTCCTAATACAGAACCGATGCAGATAGACGTTGTTTGTAATGTGGTATGCATATCTCATTGCCGTGAAGCACACCATTGTATCCCATAACAGCGTGATACAGTGTCACACAAAAACCCGTTTCTCGGCCAAGCGATAAGCAAACGACTAGAATTTCTTTCAGAATGGATCCGTGCGAAAGAAAAAAGAAGCAGAAAAAAAAAAGAAAGTAGTATGCTTTAGGCTGTTGCTTCCCTGCTTGGATTGTGTAGCTAATTGACCACACGTGAAAAGAAAGTCTAGTCATGCCACTAAAGAAACATTCACTTATGTTTCCTCCTTTTTATGAGGTGGCGGAATATGTCACATCACAGAGAAGTGGCATTGATAATATGAATGAATTGAAAATTGGGGGGGTGGGAGCAGACATGGCAAGTGATAACTCAAGAGACATTAGCTATTGCGCTCTAATGTATTCACATCGTTTTGACCGACCTTTTGTGTAGCAAGAGAATCCCGTTTTCCTTGATGTTTTTGATTGCGTAAAAAGACATCATAGTGTAAATAGGTAACAAGTCCAAACAAAACAGTTCATTTTTAGTTTCATTCAATGCAGGATCTTTTTTGTCTGACAAAAATGGATGCGCACAATGATAAAAAAAAAAAAAAAAATTCAGCATGGGGACAAGAAAAACGCAGCAAAATAAGTGGACCAATCACATTCAACCACCTCGACTGGAGGGGATTTACTTTTTTTCAATGACTCGTTTTTTCTTTCCGCCGAGGCTTGAGTTTTCCATTCTCATCATCTCAGCATACATATAACCATGGTAATGTGCTTATTTTCTCAACTGTGATGCCATTTCCCAAGACTCATCAATGCATTACTTGAACAAAAAATAGGCCGATAACTCAACACCCAAAGGAACTGTGAGGTAACGTCCGTGACGCTATTGCACGATTTTGAATGAGTAGGCCGGTCAAGTGAAGAGTTTGCTCAAACGCGTTTTCTTGGTTCTGTAGGAGACGTGTGACTGGACGATCCAATACAAATAGCCAGCCTCGTGGTGGTGTACCTGGCGGCAGCACTTCTAGCATGATGCGTATTTATTCTGACGATTCACCAGGTCTTCGTGTGTAAGTCTTTTGGAGTGGATGCATGCATGTGGAGATGGAAGAGAGAAAGAAAAAAGAAAAAAAGCTCCCGCTCATGGGCAGGTTGCTTGGAAAGAAATAGAAATGTCTAATGTTATTGGAACAGGGATCCTGTTGTTGTCTTGGTCTTGTCGTTGACCTTTATTGCTTCCGTGTTCGGTCTTCATATTGTTGGCAAATTCTTGCGTGCCTAAAAACTAGACAGTGTATGTTTTTCCATGTCCCCGTCAACGAAAAAAAACCCTTCCCATAAATATCGATCGTCTATTTGCTTTTTTGTTCCTTCTCTTTCTATTATCTTGATGGTCTTTTTGACTTTATTCTGTTTTCTTCATCGTCAAACTCCACAAGTGTGAGATAGTTTTATACTACGTTACGTGTTACACATCAGCTATAGGATCACAAAGGAAGATGATCATAACAAATTTCTATACAGTATAACCGCTTGATAAGCAAGGAAACGGGGGAATGGACAGTAGTAAGATAGAAGTTGGTGGATCAATTCCAGTGTATCGTCGATATTTTTATTTGGTCTATGACGTTGAGGCAATAAGAGCAAAAAAAAAGAGGGTCATTGATCCGCCATTCATGAACCCCCTTTTGGTGTTTCTATGACGTTCCTACAATTTTTTTTAAATGGCAACTGTTGCTTTGTTTTTTTTTTTTCGTGTACATTTTTGTTCGACATCTTCTTTTTTCTTTCCCCTTCTTTCTTTCTTTCTTACTCTTTTTCTTCTTAACTTTTAGTTGTACATTTTTTTTCTCGGGAGACAGACCCACCGCCGAAAGCAAATCATGAGCCATCGAGACGTGTATAATCCTTTGCTATTTGAAATCGCTTGGGAAGTTGCCAATAAAGGCAAGTTAATAAGAGAAACAAAACAAACGGCATCGATCGCTTCCTTTCTGATCGTTTTGTTTTCTTTGTTTTCTTCTTCTTTTATTAGTGGGCGGTATCTATACGGTGTTGAAAACCAAGGTTCCTGTAACGGTCCATGAATTTGGAGCGCGCTATTGCTTGATAGGCCCTTTGTCTTACAAAACGGCTCCGATGGAAGTGGAGGCTCTCGAGCCACCCAACGGGAAGATTCGGGAAACTTTGAACGCGATGGCCGAGCATGGTGTCAAGTACCTCTTTGGTCGTTGGCTCATTGAAGGCGCGCCGTATGTGTTGCTGTTCGATACCGGGTGTATGTATCATAAACTTGATGAGTGGAAAGGTGATTTATGGCGCTGTGCGGGGATCCCCAGCCCACCCAGCGATACCGAAACAAATGAAGCTATTTTGTTTGGTTATCTTGTTACATGGTTCTTGGGCGAACTTGCCCCAAAAGTAAGTCAAACCCAAAATCGTTGGCAACGCTTTATCGTACAGCGGGAGATCGGTTCGATTAACCTTTTTACCTATCTCCCCTTTTTTTTTTTTCCCGCGTATGCTTTTTAGTATAACCAACCGTCGGATCCTGCTATCATTGTGCATGTGCACGAGTGGCTGGCGGGAGTGGCAATTCCTTTGGTGAAGAAGCGTCGAATTGATGTGACCACGATTTTCACCACCCACGCTACTTTACTGGGTCGCTATCTTTGTGCTGGATCAGTCGATTTCTATAATAACCTTCGTGGCTTTGATGTGGATCAGGAAGCGGGTAAAAGAGGTATCTATCATCGTTACTGTATTGAACGTGCCGCCGCCCATTGCGCCGACGTCTTTACCACCGTAAGCCACATCACAGCTTATGAAAGCGAACACTTGTTGAAAAGAAAGCCAGGTAGGAAAGGAGGGGTTACAGAGCGATAAGATGGATAGATAGATAGATAGATAGATAGCGTGCCCAACGAGAAACGTACTCACCCCGACTTTTTTTTCCCTTTTTTTCTCTTTTGGCAGATGGTGTTTTACCCAACGGTCTAAATGTCGTCAAGTTCCAAGCCGTCCATGAATTCCAAAACAAGCATGCTCTCAACAAGGAAAAGATTAACGACTTTGTGCGCGGTCACTTTTACGGTCATTATAATTTCGATTTGGAAAACACGGTCTATTTCTTTACGGCCGGTCGATACGAGTATCGTAACAAGGGTGTCGACATGTTTGTGGAATCGTTGGGACGTACGTTGTGTAACCAACTATAAGGCCACCCTGTGTTTGTACGCTGTGTTTAACCCATTTTTTTCTCATAGGACTGAACGATCGGCTAAAAGCGGCCCAGTCCAACACCACCGTCGTGGCTTTCATTATCATGCCAGCCCCGACTCACAGCTACAATGTGGAAGCCCTCAAAGGCCAAGCCGTCACCAAGCAGTTGCGAGAAACCGTGAATGAAATCCAGGATCGCATTGGTCATCGAATCTACGAGAAAGCGCTTCGGTAAGTTCGTTGCACACAGATGACGATCGTCAATGCGGGAAAGCTAAAAATGGCTTATCCACATTTCTATAAAGGGGAGAAAAACTGAATGCAGAAGATTGGATCTCGGATGAAGATAAGGTGTTGCTGAAGCGTCGTGTGTTTGCCCTGAAACGACAGACCCTGCCTCCCATTGTGACGCATAACATGGTCGATGATAACACCGACCCGGTCATCGACCAGTTGCGTCGCCTTCAGTTATACAATAGACAAGATGATCGCGTCAAGGTCATTTTCCATCCCGAGTTCCTCAATGCCAATAACCCGCTTCTCGGTCTCGATTACGAAGACTTTGTCCGTGGTTGCCATCTTGGCGTCTTTCCCTCTTACTACGAACCTTGGGGTTACACTCCCGCCGAATGTACCGTCATGGGCGTACCTTCCATTACAACAAAGTAACTGAGAATATTTTTTTGTCTCGGAGAGGCGAAATACTTATAGTTATCTTTTTCTTTTCCTAGCTTATCTGGATTCGGCTGCTTCATGGATGAAAACATTGAAAACTGTGAAGACTATGGCATCTACATTGTTGATCGTCGGATGAAATCTGTGGAAGAATCGATCCAACAGTTGTCCGAGCAAATGTTTAGATTTTGCCAAAAGACGCGCCGTCAGCGTATCAACCAACGTAACCGTACCGAGCGATTGTCGGATCTTTTAGACTGGAAACGAATGGGCCTGGAATATATCAAGGCACGCCAACTGGCCCTGCGTCGATCTTATCCGGATTCCTTTGATGACGACGATGAAGAAGACGAACAGGAAGTTCATGTCAAGATCCCCAAACCCTTATCGGCTCCCGCCAGCCCTCGTATTCGTCAGCATCTGAACGGTTTCTTTGACAATGATGACGAGGAGGAAGACCGTCTACCGATTTCCATCAAAAAAGAATTCCCTGCCTTGCACCACGGCGCCGATGAAAGTCGTGAGCAAGAGCTATTGAGAGAAGGCGATATCCAAACACTCAATAGGCTGACATTGCAGGATAAAAAGCAACAGCGTCATCATTAGAATCGCCCCCCCTCCCAAATAAAAAAATGTGCCTCATTTTCTTGCAAAACTAAAACCACAAAAAAAAAATTCAGACAGTTTTCCTTATTTGGTTATAAAACCCATACAAAAGAAAAAAGGTTAATTTTTTTTTTTTTTTTGGGCTGCTAACTCACACTTTTTGCACTTCAACCGGCCGTCATTGAGTTATATATCCCACCATGAGTCAGGACAAACCTATCCCCATTACTGTGTTTACAGGTTTTCTTGGAAGCGGTATTAGAAACGGGACACATGCAGTTTAGTCCAGTTCACGTACTAATGGTCTTGTATGATTATGCAGGAAAGACAACTACGATTCTCGGACTGTTGAAAAGGCTTCCCGAGGAATACAAAGTGTGTCTGCTGAAGAATGAGTTTGGTGACATTGCAGGTACGTGCATGAGTAGATTTTCCATTGGAAGCCGAATGGACACTGAAGGAAACCACTTGCTTTTTCACAGTCGATAGTCAGTTGGCCAAAGAATCCAATATCGGTGTGCAGGAAATGGTCAACGGCTGTTTATGCTGCGTTCTGGTAGGTCAGATGAAATTAGCATTAATGGAATTGAAAGGTGAGCTGTCGGCATGCAAAAGGGGATCCGTGTTGAGTGAAAGGCACGCAATAACGTGTGACATTATAGAAAAATACAACCCGGACAGAATCATCGTGGAAACAAGGTAAAGATCGTGATGTAAAGAAAAAGAATAAAACCTTTTGGGTTCTGACGAAAAAAGAACTTTTTAGTGGATCGGCGTTTCCTGGCAAGTAGAATGTGATCCTGGCCTGTTCTAATGCAACTGGTCCACTAATTCAATTTTATTAACCGCCTAACAGCCCCTATTGCTTGGCAAATTCGTGAAATGGCGCCCGATGGATTTGTGTTGGATTCCATCATCACCGTCGTCGATTGCGTGAATTTCACCGGTTATGAAGACACAAGCTATACGGCCAAGCTACAAGCTCAGTATACAGACGTTATTCTGCTCAACAAACATGAATTGGTAATACGCTTTTCTTCAATTGTTTGCCTCGGATGATATGGGAGTCAAATTGACCTAATGGGTATACAGGTGGATGAGCGGCAGTTGGATACGGTGATGGATCACATCAATGAATTGAATACGGATACGCCCAAAGTCAAATGCGACAAGGACGGTGTGTCCCCCGATTTGATCTTTGGTCTTGATACACAGTTGTTCAAAGTGACGAATGAAAAGACACACCAGCTCAATGAAATGGTATTTGACCCGCATCATCAAGAGAATGAAGTGGATCTTGTTCAGATTGTGCAGACCACCGATGCAGGCAACAATAACATCACACGCGAACTTCTCGACAGCTTTTTGAAAACCATGCCCAAGGAAGATATCTATCGAATCAAAGGGTTTGTGCGGGATAACCTGGACAAGCTTTATATCTTAAATCATGCCTTTGGTCGCTTTGAATTAACCGAGGTCACCAACGAAGAAACGCTTCAAGAAGCGAAAGACATTCAATTGAAAATCACCGTCATGGGCCAGGACCTTCGCATGTATCAAGATAGAATCAAGAATGCTTTGCTGGGAACTACCGAAGCCGAAGTCACTTTAACAGCAGCACATAGACATTAAATGATAGAAAATAAACACAGTGTTATTGAAAGATGTATTGCAATTGAGATGGGGCATAAGAAAAATTGCATGAAGGAAAAAAAAAAGAACATGAGTTGAATAATGATGAAAGAAGAAGAAGAAAGGGAAGGGGCAGGGAAAAATTACAAATGGATGAAAAAAGTTTTTAAGGCATCATGGACACCATTCTTCTAACGGGTATGTCCAAAGGTTGGTCCGCCTTGGCGGCAATCACTTGAGACACGACGTTCAGAAAAGTGTCGACGGCCACTTGGTCAATTTGATGATGCAGGACAATGCGTGCTTTGGTTCCCATGCCACCGATACGGATATTATGTTCCAACAGGGGCGGCAAAAGATCATTTTGGATGTCAATACCGGCGCGGGATGTATCGATCATGATCATGTTGGTATGTACGGGAATTTGCAAATCGATGCCTTGAGCCACCAGACCGTCCGCGAGGCGTCGGGCCAGTTGATGCGTGGATTTCATCGTAGGCACGACATTTTCAATGCAGTATTTGGCCACTGCCGCCAAAGGACCGGCTTGACGCCATCCACCACCAAACAGCTTTCGGTGATGCCGCGCGCGGTCGATAAAGTCAGCGTTACCGACTAAAATGGAACCGATGGGGGCGCCCACTCCCTTGGAAAGACAGAGAGACATGGAATCAAAGTTTTTACCGTACTCTTTGAGCGGGATCCCGGTTTCTTCAGAAGCGTTCCAGAGACGAGCGCCATCCAAGTGCATGGCGAGACCGCGATGACGAGCCATATCGGATATCCTGCGGATTTCCGAGAGAGGGAAGATCATACCACTGAGCGTGTTTTCGAGCGAGACGACCTTGGTGGGAGCCGAGTACAGATCTTTGGCGATCACATTGGCTTCAATTTCCTCCTTGGTGACGTGGACCCCATTGGAAGCAATGACCGGGCTGACCGAGGCACGGGCATGGAACGAGATACCACCGGCTTCCAGCAAGAACACATGCGCACGAGAATCACAGACAACAGAGTGTGGAGGGCAACGCAAATGGGTCAACAAACCCAACTGGTTGGTCATGGTACCACTGGCACAGAACAAACCGGCTTCATGGCCACAAAGGTCGGCCACGTACTCTTCCAATTCTCGACACGAGGAGTCCTCCTATGCATGACAAGCAGTCCAATGGTTAAATATGCATTTTGATACGGTTTGTTTGTACCCAAAGCTTACCTGGAAGACATCATCAGCTCTGGAAGCTTGCTTCATGACTTCAAACATCTCTTCTGTAGGCGCGGTTTCTGTGTCGCTGCGAAGATCATAAACCTTGGCATGTGGATTGGCGACACCATTGTTCTTGAGCCCATTGACAATATACATTGTTCGTTTTTGCTGGCCAACCATGCGGCGGCACAATGAGGAGAAGCGATTTCCTGTAATGGGCATCATATTACTAAAAGAGGTTCCACTCTGTCAGAAAAAATTTTTATTTGGAAAAAAGGTCGCGAACCCAGCTTTATTTAAAAAGGGCGGGACTGTCTTTTCTGAATGTTCAACATGTTTCATCCTTTCATGCGCCATGGTTGGTGCTGAGCCTTAAATGGACCTGCACACTATCGCGGACCTTAGATTCCTCAAGATATGTTTTCCCGATATATTCAGAGAGTCATTTTCGTGACATGATTTGAGTCAAATTAGTCAGTCATGGCCACCCAAAGCCAGGGACCCTTTCGCTCGCGTCAGCCGGATTCTAATTAACCTGTTTCACTCATTGATTTTTTTATTCATTTATTTATTCAAGTGGTTATTCACTTGCGGTTTATCACATCCATTGGCGTGTTCAGACAACAGGTACTTAAAGCCACTTTCGCTTGATAATTGACGGCCTGAGTTAAAATCAATGTCCAGCATCATGTTGAACGAGATGTATTATAACCAGAATGGCCAGATGACCCTCTCCGGAGCCTCGGTGTAGGGCATCCGGTTGTGCCTTTGATGGCTTGGATGATGGCGTTTGATCCAACTGCCAATGAGAGACGTTCGGCTTTTTTGGTTCCACCAATCTGACTGCTCGCTTATGTTTCATGGAATGGCTTGCTCTCTGCTGAACAGTCCAGCTACCTGAATAAAACAAAAAGTCTCTCCATCTCATGCATCAGATTAATTCACAGTTATCTAGCGTTCCCCTCGAACGTGAGTGTATCTTCCATGATTTGTGGCTGCATAAAATGGAGGGCCTTCATCAAAGCTACGTACCCACCAATATGTAGAACTCGAGATGGTATAACGCATCCTTCTGTTCATAATCCTCTACTTCAGCACAATGCAGACAATGCAAGGTATCGCAACTAGCTATTAGGATGGCGAATATTCCCGGGAATACCTTCGCTATAGCAACTACCGCTTGACTTATGCAATGTCTTTATCAGTGATAATTGACATCCTTGTCTCGTCTTTGATCGACATGGTCACTAAAAAGCGAACCAAAAGAGTAACTAGTGTAATCTTTTATTTTCTTAAGATTCAGCATAACGGCACGAGGATGACCCTGTTGGTATATTCCACAGAGGAAGATATGGTTATGACCATTGTTCTTGATGCTCTTTTGGGCTTTCCAGTAGGGCAGAATGTGCATCTACACAGTAATGAGTTCAAGGATGTCGGCGTTTCATTCCGTGGGGCCCAAGCGCCGTGATTCCCGTCATGGGATCATGCATTTTTCTTTTGTACAACGTCGCTGTTTTCCTTGCTTTTTTTCTATAGACATCTTTTTCGCTACACGTTTATCGTCAAAGCATACGGCATATCTCATGTAACTCATTATGATTAACAATAGACTATGGTGAAATGAGAGTGATTCCGGACCATGGCAACTCAAGAAAACGGTTGAATCACCTATGATTTGGTCAGTGAATATTCCATAGGCTGCCACTGTAGTAGATTTCTTTTGTGTTGCTATCTGTACGGTATCAAAGGAATTCCAATAAAATATACCAGCCGATGTTAAATAGTCTTCACAAGCAAATATTAGTGTGCCTGAGAAAGAGGCACCGTACACTGAGTTTCTAATCGGAATAGTACCGTAGTGTCGTAGTACAGACAGATCTTGAAATGTGAACCATGATTCCCGATGCATGCTCCATGGCACGGTGCAAGTGCTTGATTAGCTTGCAGTGGGCGATGGCAGGCGTCAAAAGCTGAATGGAGTCCTTTGAAATCATGTGATGACGCAATCCCTGTTTTTTTTATTTATTTATTAACGCGTAATCCAGCTAAGGCCTGTTTTCCTTGACTCCCTACTGTTTTTTTTCTTATATTTACTGCAACCTGCTATCATGCCTCGTTTCAACCTTACAAAAAGCTCAACTTTCACTTTACTCAAATGATTAATTTTATGAAGATTCGTCGGTACGGATTTGACGCAATGGTACTTACGATGTTCCGTTTTGATGTTCCCTCTAATGACCAATATTTTGAGTAGAACCGATGATTGGACTGCCGACCTTATCCTCGAAGCGGCTCCAAGTTCTTCAATACGATTGGCATTGTGGTGACGAAGCTCAAAGGAAACGCCACAACTAGGATCGAAAGCCGCATTGATGGAACCCAAGGACGAGGTCCAGGACGTAGTTGTGTCAACTTGGCCGTTGGTTTTGGCGTGCCTGTGTCGGTTTCTCTCTCTGTGGCTTTGGCCACCTCTGCACCCGTGTCTGTTTGCGCGCCCGTGTCGGCTCCAGTGTCTCCCTTGGTATCGGCCCCATTTTCTTCGCACGCTTCTGTTTCCGCGGCTGTATCTGCGCCTCTGTCTTTCACGTCGGCCCCTTTTTCTTCGCCCGCTTCTGTTGCCGCAACGGTGTCTGCGCCTGTGCCTTTCACGTCGGCCCCAGTGTCTTATTTCGTGTCAACGCTGTCACATCGCAGCATGTGGATCCTTCCCAATACACCTTATAACCGAGGACTGCTCACTGGTAATTATCAATCAAACTCAAGAATAAAAGTGTTCTTTCATATATCATAGCGTGTTCCTCGACGATTCTGCATTTAATATCAAATGCAACAGTCTAGAACATGGTTCACAAAAGGTACTCGTGCTACCATTACTCGATCTACCACAAGAGCAAACACAACGTCTATACTAGAAATCTCTGCTGCTGGTAGATTACAGTCAGTCTTAAAGATCCAAGGCCTGCCAAGAAGAGATTGATTGATTGATATATGGGTTCAGGGACTGTAACAGGTCGCTACACTAGCTTCTTAAAAACGATACTCGATGAAATATATGTAAAACCCACATATGAAAGGCCATTATATTGATATGGATCATGCACCTATTCACACCCATGTAAACATGAAGAAGTATATTGAGTATCGAGGAATATAAATGTACGTATCTTCTTCCATACTCTAGAGTTTAACCCGATTGAAAATATTATGGGTACGATAGTGGCAAAGATTAAGATTAAGCGTCATAGGTTTTTGCAGAAAGACATTTTGTCCAGAGATTACAGAGCCTGCAACAATGTGGAGAAAATCACTTGAACGGTTTCGTTTCATATGCTTACCACTACTGGGAAAACTGTCGAAACAAAGAGCCAATATAATGGCCGCAACGACATCAAGGACAACGATACAAGATAAAAAAAAAAGCATATGATACGTTTATAGATTGAAAGTGCGGTCACCGCCAAAAAAAAAGGAGACAAGAGCTTAATAGCTTCTTTTATTTTATTTACAAATAGCAGTCATATTGAAGATAGAAAACGTGGATGCCAGAAAAAGAGCTGCAAAAGTAATAAAAATGGAATAACCAATGACGGCTACTGTTGTTGCTACCATTCAAACGTGCCTGACGACTTCCGCGTTGCATAACCGTGATTTCCAACATGTCTCGCAATGGAAACAAGTCATACATATAGCCGCGCTTGTATTTCTTCATGGACTAACGTCAACTGCCTTTTGAAATCTGGGTGCGCCGGAAGCAGGTGGTAAGGGGAGCAAGAGTGGTCCAAGGCTTCGCTTATCCGCATTTCGTTTTTCCTTCCCTTTCACTCCTGTTCAAATTCTTCCCAACGACCTAGGCCCCGTAATTTGGATGCTTGGGACTTATCAACCAAGGTTTGTCGCCGTGTCGATATTTCGAAGCGGTACCCAACGATATGCTTGTTGCGACGGCCGCTTTCGTGCTCCAGGAGCCTCGTTGAAGCATTGGCGGCCGGGGAGAAAAAGGTCATCTCGACCAGGCCATCTTTGAACAGACGGTCGACCATTTTTTGAAGCAGGGACACGCGATTACCAGAGGTGCGACCGTCTTGAGGTTTTCGAGCATATCCTAGCGTCGCCATCTGATTTTCTTTAAGATGCATAGGGTATAAGCTGCGCCAATAACGAAAATATTCTATACCGACCACTGCAGATTTACTGAATTTGAGATAGGGGGTTGCTTGTTATGCTTCCCACCAACTTTCTTGCAGGGCATTGCTCCTGATCCATTTTACGAATTTTCCGCTCCAGGTTTCAAACGGTGGCTTCAAGAGATGTAATCCTCTTATAGGACGGGTTGTACGCGATTTATGAGCGCCCAATCGCCATGGGATGTTGGGGATTAAGGTCACGACGAAGCATACGTCCTGGCGGAATTTCTTGAAATACGGCACGCTTGCTTTGGGGTATCTTGCGGTCGACTCATTCCCGAGAACGAATCAGCCGGCCTTTTCATGGGTAGGAACTACACCGAGAGCCATGTTAAAAGCAGATGGAGTCATCAAATAGGGGTGTGAAAACAAAAAAAAAAGGCAGATGAAAGGAAAGGAAAAGGAATTTAAAAGAAAAGGGCAAACACTTGGTGCACTCCAAATTCCACGCCAATTTATCAACTTTGAGCGCCTAATCAGAAGCCATTTGCAACCAATCTTCTGACTTGATTTGTGCTTGATAAAAAAGCTGGCCTGAGCTTTCCTTGTTCTTGATGGGTCCATTGTCGGCAACACTCTTACGGATTCTACATTCACCGTAATGTTTGCATGTGAACCAGGTTACACAGTCGCTGAATCGTTTGACGTTGAGTACGATATTGAACTTCCGTTTGTATTCGGCAACAGCGTCGGGAACAGCGGCAGTTGAATTGATATTCGCCGTAGGCCAAACTTGCACAAGATTGTTGAAAGCTTTGACAGCAGCATTGATGCTAGAGACGTTGGTCAAGGTTGATGGAAATCAAAAAGAAAAAGAAAGATCTCAGTTGACGCGTCAGTGCTTCCAAATTTTCATTGACGTGACGTCACGCTCAATTGATTTTGAAGTGATTTGGAGTGAACTGGAGTGGATTTTTTTTGGAGCGCACTGTGTTGATTGAAAAAAATAGCTACAACAACAGGGCGATGACCTGTTTATTAAATCTGTAGAATATGAGCACTACTACTATGTCATAACGCTATTCAATTGGATTGTCATGCTCGACAGGAAATGAAATAGTCAACGCATTAGTGTCAAGCAGTGAAGTGCCAAAAGCCATTGCATCGTGGAACCCAGAAAACACTGGAGGTTGGTGACACCTTGTGCCATGTGGGGAGATAGATTTTTATGGCAAAAAAACACGCAGTCACATCAATTTTCTCGATCAGTCTTTTTTGAAATAAAAAAAAAAAAGGTTCAAATTAGGCTTTGTTGCCAGGTTGTCTGCTGTTACGTTATGCGAAACCTTTTTGTTTTTGGAGGCTCGTCTCACCCCGAGTTGACGGAAAGTGTTTGTCGACGCCTTGGCATTCCGGTGGGAAAGACGAAATTGACGAAATTCAGTAACAACGAAACCAGTGTGGAAATCAAGGAATCGGTCCGAGATCACGATGTCTACATTATTCAATCCGGTTGCGGCCATGTCAACGACAACCTTGTCGAACTTCTCATCATGATCAATGCTTGCAAAATTGCTTCGGCCAAGCGTATTATTGCGGTCATTCCTTATTTCCCCTACAGTCGTCAGGCCGATGTCCCTCACAAAGCTTCGGGGGCACCTCTTCCTCGTCTGCCGCCACCTACCGAGCCCGTCACTCCCAAAATAACCACCGAACCGGTGGGCAACGTCCCTGATTATGTGTCAGCTCAGTTGGTGCGTCGCTTGGAAAATCAAACCGAGAAATCGCCCTACCGTGAGTGGCTTGCAAGATCAGGCACTCTGGTGGCCGATCTGTTGACGACTGCCGGTAAATCAACAAAAAAGATAAGAAAACTTTGATTGTGGGTTTTACTGACTTGGGGAAACAAGGGGCTGATCATATCATTACCATGGATCTCCATGATGCTCAGGTGAGGGGAAGGGCATAACGACCATGAAATGAACATGACGTAATTTAATGGAACTGACGCTGGGATATGGTGCCTGGATTTCAATTGTGTGATGATTTTAGTTCCAAGGCTTCTTTGATTGTCCTGTGGATAATCTTGCCAGTCGTCCGTGTATCATCAAGTACATTCAATTGCAGATTCCCAATTATCAAGATGCGGTGATTGTGTCGCCTGATGCGGGTGGTGCCAAACGGTAGGAATTTTTTTTTATATCAATATGGCAATTGATCAAAAAAGGAAAAAATTTTGACTGATGGGGCCCCCCACCCTAGTGCTACTTCAATCGCCGATCGTTTGCAGATGGATTTTGCTTTAATTCACAAAGAAAGACGCAAAATCTCGACGCAGCGTCATGAATTCATGCTTGTGGGTGATGTTCGCGGTCGAGACTGTATTCTGGTAGACGATATCTGTGACACTTCTTACACCATCACCAAAGCGGCTAAACTGTTGCGAGAAAACGGGGCCAAGAAAGTGTATGCGATTGTGAGTCACGCGCTCTTATCTGCCAATGCGATGGAAAACATCGAAAACAGCATGATTGATGAAATGGTGGTGAGCAATTCTATTCCACTTAATCACACTCTCCGAAGCTCCAAAATCAAGGTATTCGATGTGGCCCCCATATTTTCCGAAGCCATTCGCCGCATCCACTTTGGTGAATCACTCTCCATGTTATTTGACGCATCCCACGAACTCGTCTAAGGGTGTTGCTTCCATCGCGCTTTTCTTTTTTTTTTGTTCTGTTGTTTGCTTTTTTTATATTTCTCTTTTGTATCTCTTGTGTTTTAGCTTTCTTTTTAGACTCTTTCTCCAAAAATCATAGACACGCTCTGATATCATACACCAAATCGCATGTAATGTATTATTAGGCTGCATTCCAATCTGTGGTAGTTGTTCTGAACATTTCATCCTGGATTATAAATTAGTCACGTCTTCGACGTTTAACACTGGATAAAGGACGTTCCCAAGGGGAATCTCGTCGTGATGTATCTTCGGCTGCCAAATGAGTCCACTTTGTTCGGCCTGCCAAACCAAAATTTTTGACCTGCATGACTTTGGGAAGCAGTTCCTTATTTCGCACTTCATCCACGGTCGGCGCAGAATAATCACGGTTCAATACATCGCTGTCCTTATCCTTTGATGGCATAACTGATGTGAGCCTTCTGATACCAATGACTTCCTCTTCATGTAGCAGATAGCTTACCTGATAGAAAGCACCACGATGGTAATATTTTTGCATGAATGTGTGTTGACCCTTCTCTTTTTGTCGGGTCTGTTCTGCACGTTCCATATCCTCTTTCAGTCGAACTTCTTCGGGTAATGCACGACGTCGTTCCAGCTCTTCTTCTTCTCGTTCACGACTATTAAAAAACAGAGGATGGATAAGCAATCGAGTTCACTCTCGGCCATAGGATACGTCGTTATCAACTTACGCAATGCGTTCTTCACGATCCCGTTTGATACGCGTCAATTCTCTGACTTTCCAGGCTTCAAACTCTTCCTCCTCATTCAAACCATCCGTGTCGTCCACATAATCTTGATATTCAGTCAAGTCCTTTTCGGTATCTGCAACCACGTTTCCATGTTAAGAGGCATGTCCACCATTCATCAACTCCACATGACTGACCTTGTTCTTGCTCTCGCTTGAGTTGCTCTGCCAATAAATTATGCGATTGCTTCTTACGCTCTTCGATTTCTTGCTGTAATTGACGTTCCTTTTCTTCCTCCAATTTACGTAATTTCTCTTGTTGTAGTACGGTTTCTCGATGAGCTCTGTAACAGAATGGTTAAGAAGAGTGATCCCTTTTTTGCGGTGCATCCTGTCACTCACTTTGGTATAAACATCGGTTTTGGCAATCGATGGATGGATTCTTCTTCACTGTCGGTTTCATATTCGCTGGAACTTCCTTCTTCTTCACTTTCTTCTTCATCCTCTCCCTCCTCTTCGTCTTCTTCTTCCTCTTGTGCTGTTTCGACTGCTTTCACCTTGTCGGCTAATGCTTGTGCTTCTTCTAATTCTCGCTGTTGTTGCAATGCCTTTTGTTTTAATCGAAGTCTTTCTCTCGCTTTTTCTTCTTCGGCCGTTTCGGGTTCTTCTTGCTCGACAAACCGCCTTCGTCGTCGACCGTGAAGATCTCGTTCGACATCGTTCGCTGCGGCTTCCTGTGCTTGTTTTAGACGTCGTAATCGTCGATCGGAAGCGGCATCAGCTTCTGAGATTTCGATCTGTTGAACACCGGTGACGACATCTTTCTGTACAAATTGGAGTGATGATGGCTGTGAAGGTTGTTGGGGAGGCAGCGGTTGCTGCGGTTGGACTTGTTGCTGTTGTTCTTCTTCCTCTTCCTCTGATTCACTCAATTCATCCACGTAATTGGCTGGCACTTGGCCGGCACGATAACGTTTTGCTTGAACAGTGGGACGCTTTTGCTGTGGACGAAACGACATTAAGAAACTCGACAGTAGGTAAAAGAGACACCTAAGAAAGAGCAGTGAAAAAAAATTAGCAAAAAAAAAAAAAAAAAAAAAAAATTTAAAAATCAAAGCGCCCTTTTTTTGCAGGGAAAATTTGCAAGCATTTCTGGATGGACAGTTAGTTTCAAAGGAAAGCAACTGATTATTTATTTGGTACTTTTTCTACATTGAAACTAGCAGAAAATAAGCGGAAGGTTCAGCTTTGAGAATTAATCTATTGCTTTCTATTATGGTGTATCTTTGAGCAAGTCGGTTGCAATGGCAACTTCTTTCGGATAGGGCGCACTTTGGCAGCCACAGTCACAATTCATCCGCTTTTTCCTTCACAGCCATGTTGCTCGCCATTCTCGCTCGTCGCGCATCCTTCCTCGTCATGACTGGTGTCAAACGATCTAGACCCCCATCGGCCGAGGTCCACGAACGGACCATTTCAAAGGTACATTCTTCCTCTTCCGAAGACGATACCGTTGTCACTACCACCAAAAAGCCAAAGACCAAGAAGAAAGTCTGGGAGCCCTTTGATCCCACTGTGCCGCGTAATATGACGATGCCCGAAACCTTTTCATTCCCGGCAAAACCGGAAGGCAGCATCACTATTGCTTCATACAACGTGTCAAGCATCAATGCGAGCATTAAAAAGGGCTTCAACCGCTATGTCGATGCGGAAAATGCCGATATTCTTTGCTTGCAGGAAACCAAGGTCAACAGTCCTGTTCCTTCGGCCGTCAACGAAGAAGTGTATAAATACCGATATTGGGCCTTTGAAGAAAAGAAAGGCTATGGTTCGTATCTTTTTCATTTTACACACCTGGTTTCTTTTTAAAAAAATGTCGCTGATCCCATATCTTTTTTGACAGCCGGAACCGCCGTATTCTCAAAGTACAAACCTGACAAGGTCAGTTACGGTCTCCCAGGTTACGAAGATAAATCAAAGGGACGGGTGATCAGTGTAACCTTTCCCGCTTTTACGCTCGTGGCTTGCTATGTTCCCAATGCTGGCCAAAATCTTAAGAATCTGCCCGAACGACGCATTTTCAACGAATACATGGAGAAACACATCCGATCCCTTCAGAAAGCCGGACAGTCCGTCATTTGGGCAGGGTAAGTGCTTCTTTCTATTGCCATGTTATCGCTGTCATCCATCTTTTTCTCATCATGAAACTATACCTGATATGTCATCAGTGATCTCAATGTGGCACACACACCAATTGATATTGCCCGACCATCTACCAATGAAAGGTAGGACAAAACTAAATTGGTCAACACGAAGAAAATAGGAAAAGCACTCAAGTCGATGGCTTGCTCTTTTAGATCGGCCGGTTTCACAATCGAGGAGCGACAGGACTTTAGCAAAGTTCTTGCCAAGTCAGAAGAAGGAGACGAACCAGGTTTGATTGACAGTTGGCGTCACTTTCATCCGGACACACAAGGTCACTACACTTATTACTCCTACCGCTTCCGATGCCGTGAAAAACTCATTGGATGGCGCTTGGACTATTTTGTTGTCACCCCCGATTTGCTCGACAAGATCGTTGCCAGTAGTATTCGTCAAGAAGCATGGGGTGCCAGTGATCACGTTCCTCTGGTCCTCACACTCAAAAACATCTCTCTTTCGACCTAAATATATGACTGTATGCAAGCTTGATGCAAAAAAAAAAAATAAAAAAAAAATCTAGTATCACTTCAGTAATACACCAAAAAGAAAAAAGAAAGATGAGGGTATTTATTGGATGCCAGAGTTCTATCATGGATAAGTAAAATAACAAATAATAGAGATAAACAAAGTTGGAGGACGCGCTTAAACTGCATTTGGCTTGTGCTCCACCGTATCGGGTTTCATGGATTGCGCAAGGTATGGTTGCGGTTGATGTTGAGCTGACCATGTTTCCATGGGCGCTGCGGCCAATGCAGCAGGTGGTTGATAAGGAGAGTAATGTTGTTGGTACATTTCAGGAGACGCATGGTACATATCTTGATGTTGTATATGCGGTGAGATCAAGGGTGTCGAATTGGTGTGATAAGCACTGGTGTACTCATCATCTGTCAAGTTCATATACCCAGCTGGGTTAGTCGGTGTTGGCACAAATCGTCGCGCGTGTTGAAATGGGGAAGGAGGAACAGGGTCCAGACCTTGGTTACCTCCAACCGGTGGCTGCTGTAACTTGGGTACAGCATTTTCCGTCATACCAATAGCAAAATCGTCATTCTGTGGTTCAAAGCCATGCTTGTTTCGTCGCCGAGTACGACTAGCACATCCGCCGTGACGATTAAGCCACGTCAAAAAGCCAGCAATCAGAGCTAAACCCACTGCAAGTAGTAATAACGTCCCCCACACGTTAATAATGTGTCAAAATTTCGTCATGTTCTGGTTCTACTTACCCAAACCGCCGACCACTGAACCTGCAATGGTAGCTATATTGGATTTATCACCGTTATTCTCCGGCTTTGATTTCGTTGAAGACGACGCGCTGGGAGAAGAAGTGTTTTGCCCTTCGGTATCGTTGGAAGATGTGTCTGTGGCCGAGGGGTCTTGTTTACCGGATGGTTTGGTTGGGTGAATAATGTTCTTGTCAGTGGGACGGTCTTCATTATTGGATGGCGCAGGTTTATTAGGCGTAGCAGAAGTAGGCGACGTTGGCGGATTACCGTTGGAGGAAGGTTTATCAGGTGAAGGATTGTTGGACGGAGCAGGGCTGGGAACAACCGGTGGAATTGGATTATTATTACTTTGAGTTGGTGCGGTCGTTGGTGGTTGCGTGGACGGTGCTGTCGTGGCCGGAACGGACGACAGTGGGGGAGGATCTGAACTCGCGGGGGGAACTGCGATATCCGACGAGGATGCTTGTGGTGGTGTGGGTGAAACTGCGGGTTCGTTCCCTGAACCAAGTCCTGGTACGAGCCCTAGTTGCGGTGCAGTATTGCCTCGATCAGCGAATTGTAACACCAGTAGTAATAACAGAACGCATGAGCTAATGGTCGGTGGTTTCATAATATAGCAGCAATTAAAAGTTTTTTGTTCTCTTCTCTTTTATCTGCAAAAGGCGACCCTAATGAAGAATTATATAAAATAACTGGTAGTAAAATAATATTAAAAGGAAGGGAAAAGAAAAGACAATTAGTAAGCAAGAGAAAAGCGAAAAGGAAGAAAAAGAGTAAAGGTCAGGCAACATGTGCAATAATAATGGACTCCTTTATAATGATCATAATAAAAAAGTTAAATCTCCTCCCCAGCTTCTCATTCGAAGCCCCTGCCTTGCCTTTATAACGCTACAAAAGTTGATTCGATCCATTTGGATCATTTGCCTTTTATAGACGTTATCGTGATACAAGCGCTTTTCTTGCCAACCTTTGGCTGCGAAGATCTCTTTCAATTACCGGCAATGCGAATACATTCGTTTCCATAGCACCCTTGCAGGGACACTTTTTTTTCGCCTTTATGCGAAAATCAAAGTTCGCCTAGCATTGCTTCTGCAGTCGATTGGGACAATTTTCCACTGTCGACACATTCTATTTTTGGGTACCGTTCATCGTGTCACACATAAATGAATCATTTAACACCATGAATGGTGTATAAAAACGGCAATGCTTAACCTATTTTTCTCTTTCTCCATTGAAATCAGTTATGTAAACAATACAAATCGCAGTAAAAAGCAAGCTGCGTTGCTGTAGATCAGTTCTTTCTTTTTTCTATCTCTCATATTGTTTAAACCAACATGGATAGATCTTTAGTTTTATTTTATAGCCATTCATGAGTGAGCGCCAAATCGGAAAACCAGAATTGAGTATCAACGCAGTTGAGAAACTACGGAAAAAGACGAAAAAAAAGGAACGAAAATAATTGGTTGCCCGCTATTTCTGCACATTTGACTGATGCGCATTGGCCGTACAACTGTTGAAATCACTCACCCTTTTTTTAATACCTTTTATCCTATTTCAAACATATAATCCTTCGTCCTTGTTGAAGGATGTTAAATACCATTTCTGCCCTGCTGGCAGCTTCCTACTTGACAGTGATTGCTGCACAGTTGACGTGTAACATTACAGACCCTTTTCCTACGAACACCGACTTTTCCGCTGTCCTGATCAACCACTCCATTTACCTCATCACCAATCATTCGGTATTTCTGACTTTTCTTGAGATCTCGTTTACCTAGTCTAATCGTGATCTTATCACAGGCCCAATTCGGAATATGGACGTTAGATCTATCGCAAGGTCTGTCAGTCAAAGAGTGCTTACCGTGGCAACCACCCCTATTTTCCGATATCCTCGGCCCAAACGAAACGTCGTATCAGGATATAGTGGCATTTCGAGGATTCAACGACAGTATCTATCTTCAACCAGGACACACCGATCCCCATGCATCGGTTTCTGTTGTACGCTATGATACCTTGGGTTCCTGGGAAATTCGTAAGCCATTGTTTCAGTTCAAATCTTTGCTATTGAAATAGTACTCAGTGTCGCCTTGTTGTTTTATGCAAACAGTGGAAACCCCCGGCACGATCCCATTCGCACGAGTACAGCAAACCGCCTCGACGAACCGGGTCACAGATTTAGCTTGGTTCTTTGGTGGTTGGTCTCAAGCCGCGGACGGGTCAAAAACATATGTGAGTGGTGAAAAGGTCCCATGCTTGCAAAATAGGTCGCTAATGCAAAAGCACAGTATAACCACTTCTATAGTTTCGACCCAAAAGCGCATGAGTGGAACTGGCCACAAGTGAAATATGCATGGGGTCAACGGCCTGCACGTTACGGTCACAGTGCTAATTTGATGCAAGTACATGAAAATGTGGTTAACAGCATTAACACACTAGTTTTAACAATGAAACCGATTGCGCGTAGAATGCATCAATTGACGATTTTAGGTGGAGAACCAGCGGTCTTCAATTCAAGTAGTAATACCTGGGTTACCGCTTTGCCAGGGTTGCAAAGCATACTAGGTAACTTCTTGTCGTAAGTGTAAAGACGGGTGATCATATCTAACTTTATTTTTCCAGTGTTTGACACCATTCAGCTCCAGGCAGTCAGTATGATTACGTTGGGTGATATTCCGCCTATAACGAACGGGTAAATGCCCTGGACGATCCAGAAAGCTGGTTCCCATGACCTTACTAATTCATTATATTGTTTCTTTAGGTTTTCCGCTGTTGTGAGTGAGTATTTTCACCATACAAGAAGGTAGATCCGACTACTGACGTTTTCGCATTAGAACCCGGTTCTTCTCATATCGTAATATTTGGTGGTTACGACGCGACGGCACCCTCGTTCCAGCCTTCGCAAGATGTTTATATTATGGATACATGCACTTTGACATGGTCCAAAGCGCAAACGACCGGTGTTGCACCTGCAGGTCGTTCCCATCATGCTGCTGTCGTGTATGGGGATTACATGATCATTCTGCTGGGAAATACGCTTCCAACAGCGGAACCCAATGACAGTATCGGTATTTTGGATTTACGGAACTGGACATGGGTCGATCATTTACCGCCAATAAATCCATATGAGTCTGTGGGTTCTGCGGCACGCGGCCCTGAATGCATGTTTGAATTTCCCAATATGCCGCATCACGATATTGATAATGGTGGAGATGGCACATCTGGCTCAACAAATCCAACGGTTATTTCCAATCCGAATGGCGGAAGCCTCAGTACCAAGGCCGCTTTCGGTATCGGATTTGGGGTGGCTGGATTTCTGATCGTCTCTGCTGCACTGGGCTACTTCTTATACAGACAAAGGAAAAACGCTCATGTTAATAACCCGCGATGGCTTCCTGCGAAACTCAAGAGAAGTACCGCAGCGAACAAGCAAAACCCAATTTCGCCGTCGTCGGCCAACAATGATTATCCACTGGCTTCGGTCGACTCCAAAATCAAGCAGCCTTCTGATTCCGAGCACCCGTAACAAACCCTCCATCCTTCCATCCTACTCCCGTAATTACTTATCCATGTTATTCTATGTACATTTTGTGTAAATCATCCTTTTCCAATTGTAAATCCATGCACAACCATATATCATACCTGTCCTGACCAGGAACAAAATCCATCTTTTTATCTTTGTAACCCAGACACGAAGAGGGGAGGTTCCATACTCGGATTTGATTGGTTGTAGACGATTTCAAAGGTCGCACAACACTCTCGTCTCAGGTCTTGCACTCTTGGCAGCTGCTTTCTTGTTTTATTGTCCCCTCATTTACTCAGCACGCCCACTGCGATGCATTCAAGGACCCCTGCCGTATCGTCAGGACACGATGACGGCGATAAAGTACCTTTAGGCAGGCATATGAATGTATCTTCATCGACTGGCAAGCTCGCATCGCTTGCGTCTCAGAACAGTGGGTCCGGTCAAACACGTCCGATCCACGCTCGAGAACGATCGTTGCAGCGCGATGACGTTTTTGTCCCTAATCCTTCCAGTCGGCCCGCTTCCATTCGATCCGCATCTTCATTTAATCGTCCCGTGAACAGTCATCGGTTTGTACAGGGGCATCACACGCGCCGACATTCCAACTACTCCAACTTTAGCACGGTCAGTGAAACTTCGTTGCCTTGGACAACCCGCGATATCGGGTTCAATGCCATCTCGGGTAAGCGTGCATGTACTTTATTACCTTTCGCAGAAAGTTACTTACCGTGACGGTATTGTTGTTGTCTGGTGCGGCCTTGTTCCTCGTCGGTTTTTTTTTTTTATCCTTCAGGTGTTCTCAACGATCCTGCCAAACGACCGGCGGCGAGTACGAAACCCAGTAAATCCGATATTCCTCCTGTACCTCACGCCTCGATTCCCAAAATCAAGTCTTCTGATTTTGATGCTTACCTTGCTCACATTACACCCGTTTTTGAACGTTATCAGCAGAATAAATTAGTGGATCATGACGAACCAACGACGCATTCGCCTTACGGTGCCCTTCACAACATATTGGACGAAGAGTCCTTGCCGGTTCATCAGCGTCGCAGTACTCGCAATCCTTACAGTATTCCTCAGATCATGTCTTCCGAGAGCCTCAGCCTGGATGTTGACGATGTGAAATCGTCTTCTCACGAGTTACCAATGATTGAAAATATCCCCAGTATCTTCTTTGAACCTGACTTTCATCTGGAGAATCCGCGGACGTTTGACGCTGTATGCGAAGGCGCAGATATCATTGGCAACAGCGGAGCGAATGCATCGGTATCGACCAGTACGATATTGCAGGAAAAACTATCTTACTACTTGGATACCGTGGAAGTTCATTTATTGCAGGAAATTGAAAATCGATCGTCTTCATTCTTCGAGGCGTTATCAAACTTGCAAGCGCTACATCAGCAAACCATGGAATGTGTATCCCAAATTCACGCTATTCGGGAAAAGATGAAACGGATTCAGGAAACCGAGTGTAAGAACGGGTTGCAAGTGATTCGTCTCCAAATACGACAGAGAAATTTGGAAAAACTCGTGCAAGCCATCGAAAGTGTCAAGGAAATCCGCTCGGCTCAACCCATGATCCAAATTCTGCTAGGTCAAGGGGATTATTTTGCGGCTTTGGATCTAATCGATGAAACGCGACGCACACTGCGACGTAAAACGGGTGCGGTCGATCTGGAAGCCGTGCGTTCGCTGGCCAATTTCTCGACACAGCTTGCGGAGATGCAAAAAGCAGTTGGAATCATGATGCAACATGACTTTGTGAGCATTCTTTTATCGGATATGATGCAGCGAGTCGAGATCATGGATGCTGCCGCTGTTAAATTACGGCTTGTGGAAGCGTCGGACCGAGAAACCACAGATCAGCCGACGCCGTGGGCTCCCGATTTGGACAAGGAGCAGAATTTGGTGGATCAATTACTCCCTAGCACCAAGGGGCTACTTCGTACCGAAATGTTGGGCCCTACTTTACAAACATACAAAGAACAACTCACAGTTGAAATGAAAGGTCTGATGCGAAAGGTACTTTTTTCTAAGCCGTGCGGAGTCTCGTATAGATGAGTAATCGTCTTTTGTTAGTGTTATCCTTCGGAATCCAAAGAAAGTCCAGATGCTAGGTAAGCCATTAATGATAAACCAAAAAAGTTATTCTTAGTTGAACCGATGCTGACGAATAATTTCTAGTCCAAATCTTCAAGCCAAGCAGTTGAAATCCATGGCTTTCAACGATTATTTCGAAATGTTGCAGGGTGTATTTACAACCTTGGTAGTCGCCTTTGAACGTGTCGCCACCTACCATCATTTGCTTGTCAAGGTCATCGAGAAAGGCATGGTACAGCAGGAAAGTGACGATGAATCGGGCGATGATCTTCCTTTATCGTTCAAAAAAGACTTGTTCGAGGTTCTTTTTGCGGCGACCGACATTATCAATATCCGTTGCAGCAAGCTCATTGGTTATCGAAACGATCAGAATGCTTTGTTGAATCCGACCGATTTTTACCGCTTGTCACGCATGATCCAACGGTTTATTCAGGCATGTGAAATGTACTGCAATCGTTCCTGTTTCGGACTTCGCAGCACCTTGCTGTCTCAGGTATGAATTGTGGAATTCAATGAAGTCAACGATACCCATGATTGATGTACAAATTCACTTGGCTTTTAGCAAAAAGCGTTTATCGACCATTTCCACATGGAACGTATCAAGCAGGAAGCTCAATTGATTGAAAATGAACAATGGGTCGCCAGTGAAGTGCCTACCGATTTCCAGCGTATTGTGGATCGTATTTGCGATGGCGGCATTTCTTCTTTTGCAGCATCGGAAGAATCTCAAACGGAGGAACGAAAATCGAGCGAGCAGCCACGGAGTAGCAAGTTACTGGTGGTCAATGGATCGAGCTACTTTGTCGTTGGTTGCAGTTTGCTGATCCTGAAAATGTTTGAAGAATATCTGCGATGCATATTGAACCTGGAAGGCATGGCGACCGATATCATGCAAAAACTCGTGGAAATGCTGAAGGTACGGAAGATTGATCGGGAACTGGCACCGCCATATGGCGCATCATCTGATCATTGTTGTTTTTCATAGCTATTCAATTCGCGTGTATGTCAAGTGATCCTCGGTGCAGGCGCTATGCGGTCGGCCGGCCTAAAAAACATTTCCGCCAAACATCTGGGTAAGTCCCTTGCATGACTGCATATGGTACAGTAAATGATCTTATTTGACTCATGATGTTTTTTTTTGTGACGGGCATTCAGCGTTGGCATCTCAATCCATCGGTATCATGATTCAGCTTGTTCCGTCCTTGAAAGAGTGTGTACGTCGGCATATGCCCGTTAAACACGCCGTTTTGTTATCGGAATTTGATCGCATTGTAAATGACTACCGAGACCACCAAGGTGAAATCCATGCCAAGCTGGTCGCCATCATGAACGAACGTTTCACTGTCCATATCAAAGCGATGCAGGTAAGCACTGGTTTCTTGATTTTTTGAATGAAAAGTTCAATTCTATGAGCGTATCAGGTTCACTGAATACGTATTTTTTTTTCCGGTTTAGTCTATCAAATGGGACGAGGATAATAGTACCGGCAAGAATGCCAACAGTTACATGGAAACCCTGGTGAAAGAGACAATGACTTTGCATAAAGTACTCAGCAAGTATCTTCCAGTGCAGGATTTACAGGTAAGCAAAATTTCTCTTTTTTTTTTGCCTATTCCGCGAGCAATCGTTCATTGGTTTGTTTTTCTCTCTTTTCCACCAAATCCCGCGAATATAGAGCGTGATGTCGCGCGTGTTTGATTCCTTCACAACTCAACTTGTGCAAGAAATCGAGAAACTGTCGATTCGAACCAAACTCGGCAAGGATAGGTAAATATGTTGAAGACTGCGAACCTAATTTTAAAATTCAGGGACTAACGTGTAAGCCATTTTCAGACTGATCACGGACGTCACCTACTTTACGCGTCGACTCACATCATTACAAAACGTGGATCCACCTTCCAATTCGGTGATGGAGGCGGTCAATAAAATCAGCTTGCCCGCCACCTCTCCCAACTAACGCCATTTTTTTATTTCTTCTACCAGACACATTGTACATTTTTGTATTTTTTTTTTCTTTCTACTTATACCTTCACGCATGTTTTCTTCTTTCTTATTTTACCCCCCAGCTCCTCCGTTTCATTCAAAAAGTTTAGAGACAAAAAAATGGTTGCTCGTTTTTGTATAATGTTTTATTTTATTTTTTTTGGATCAAGCATCTTCATAAATCTTTTGCTATGAACTAGAGACTAATTAACGGTCACACTTACCAGTTAAACAAAAAGAGACAACGGATGTAGAGCACAGATCTATAAATTCAAATCAAAAGATCAATACTGCTGTCCATGAGAATGATGCAGATAACAAAATAAAAGATTGAATAGGATGAAGTTTTCAGCAAGTCCAATTAAATCCTAGAAACCACGGAAAGACACGCTTCTTCAGTAGGTTTCCAAGCTCCCTAGAGAACAAGTAATTGCCACTGATTCCACACATCCCCACTCCCCCACGATGAGATCGAATCTTCCCAAAAACTCAGAGAACCCAAGCTTAAGTGTCCAAACAACCTCGGTGCAGAAAGAATGTGGGCCTCGAATCATAGAATGGATATAACTACAATCTCATCACCAGAACTTCATCCTAAATGTCACGAATCGGAAAAGGGGGGAAAACTCACCTATTCCAGACACGGATGGCGGCAAGCCATTGGATATCCAAGCAAGGGTTTCCCATGGTATTGAAAAAAGTTGCCTAAATCTAAACTCCATGTTAGTTGATGATCATGTAAAGATCACAACAAGATGAAAGATCCGTGAAGAATCAGATGGTGATGCATGTATAAATCCGCTAAATTCTTCATGAAATGTCTCAGAAGAGTAGGGATATTTTCGTCATCTTCAACACGGATCTTATCAAGGCATTGAACAGTAGTACTTACCAAAAACACCAATCGGATAGCATCCGTGGTTAAGCTACGTGTTGAGCTGTGGCGTCCTCATGGAACTATAAATAATCAGCAGGTTAGCTACATTGTCTTGCGTTGCTTTCCACAAATCATCAGTAGGATGAGCGATTGGATGGTCAGATACGAGGAATTCCAAAAAGTCCTTTCATCCACATGACCCTTGTTCAGGATATCAAAAGATGGTTCTCATCAACCAACATCCACCTCGCTCATTCGCACTGTAACGGCTATATCGAAAAATCACTACTTGCCTTTTGAATACCATGGGAGAAAAAGATAAAGAAAATAGAAAAAACGCCACCGTTGAACGGCTTTAAATATTTTTTTTTTCTTTGTTTGCTGTGAATGAAAACCGTACCGCGAAAATTTTTCGGTGATGGTCACATCTCGAGTCACAGTTCGAACGCAGCAATGGCCGGGACGGACACGGGAAAAGATTTGAGGGAAAAAAAAAAAAAATCTCAGGGACAAAAAGAAAAAAGAAAAATAGCAGGCGAAAAAGAAACATAATGATCGAGAGTGTGTGCGTATGTTCTGGATCAGTTGAAAATGAAGCCCCTTGGAAAGCGCCTGGATCCCTTTCATAGTCTCCTTTTCTACGCTTAAACCCAATTGCCGCAAAAAGTTTTTTAGGGGAGGGAATAAAAAAAAATAATGCGCATTCAGCACACATATAAAAAGGGCCTGACGACCGTATGGAGGTTAATGGTGACATTTTCACTGTTACAGCACTCGTTATGACGCACACAGCCCACTTGTCACCTTTTGCCAAGGAGCATGAATCTGCCATGTTATCGCCAGACAGTGGTTTTCAATTCACGCCTGAAAAGCCCGACAATTCCATCGTATTCACCGACGACTCCAGTTTTGACAGCAACGAAGAGAAAAAACTCGTACGACGAATGGACTGGCATATCATGCCGCTATTTTGCATATTCTATTTCACCGATTATCTCGACCGAGCGAATATTGGCAATGCAACGTATGTTGTTATCTATAAACTCTCTACTCTTTTTTATCTTTACGATAAAAAAATAATAGCCGCATTCCCCTTAATCACATACTAAAAACAATATATTGACAATAGCTTGGCCGGTATACAAAGTGATCTTGGGGTAAGTAAATGCAAAAAAGAAAATGGATCTGACTATATTAAGAAAAAAAAGAACAAAAAGGCAACAAATTCCTAATACTCTACCTATTCTTAGTTAACAGCCGCCCAATTAAGTACGGCGATATCTGCATTCTATATTACCTATGTAAATGAACCATCTTATTTCTTTGTCTGCATAAGCTCATGCACACGGTGTGGGATAGAACGATTTGAATGGAACTTCTTGCTAAATTTAATGTTTTCTAGATCCTCTGTGAAGTTCCTTCCAATGTTATGCTGAAGCGCATGAATGCCGCTTATTGGTTATCGATATTAATGCTGCTGTGGGGCACTGTCACTCTACTGATGGCCTTTAGCACCAATTTTGCTGGATTACTCAGTGCACGATTGTTTCTGGGGTAAGCATATATAGTAATGAAAACACAACGCATGTACGTCTCCTAACCAAAATAATCAGTGCTGCAGAATCAGGTTATATTCCTGGCATCCTTTATCAAATGTCACGCATCTACAAACCACGGGAATTCGCTTTGAGAGTCAGCATCCTGTTAACCATGGCAACGCTGTCCGGAATTGTTTCGGGTCCTATCGCCTTTGGTGCCACGTTGTTGGAAGGCAAACTTGGTCTACACGGTTGGCAATACCTTTTCATTTTTGAAGGTGCCCCCACGGTGCTTCTCAGCATCGTCTCATTCTTTACGCTGTTTGATAATATCGAGGATGTCAAATGGTTGTCCAACACCCAAAAAGCACTTCAGCAACAACGCATGCAATCGCTGAACAGTGACGACCATGGACCTATTACACGCACCACCTTTGTCATTGCCATCACCGATTGGAAGACTTGGTGCTTTTCCATCGTTTATTTACTCAATGCCATCAATATGACAAGCATGAGCGTGTTCACTCCCACATTGATTGATGGTATGTTATTATTGATGGTTGATTAGGAGTTTTTGGTGATGCAGGTATTGATACCTAGGATTTTTCGTTTTCTCTCCTAGGCTTTGGATTCCCTGTGCTTACCTCGCAGTTATTAACCGCCCCGCCCAGCGTTGCCGGCACTTGTGCGGTTTTACTCGGCGGTGTCTTGTGCAATCGTTTCAATCGACGCTCACCTCTTTTGGTGGTCGGATCCATTATCAATGCCATTGGATTCCTGCTCCTTTTGACACTTAATAGCGCTTGGGGTAAGCTAATTTCTCTTCAATGCATCTCTCTTTTACTGGTTTTTATTAATCGGATCGGACTTTCCTCTTGGTTCAAAGCTCTATACAGTTCCATTTTCGTCATTACCATCGGCATGGGATTACAAGGTAATTTGATGATTCTAAAAAGCGGTGGACCCTGAAATTTCTCACGCGACATTACAGCCGCAGCCGTGGTGGGATGGTCAGCCGTCAATTATCCGGATCTCAATGTTCGTGCGGTTGCCGTGGCCATGGTAGTCATGATAGGCAATGTGGGTGGTGTCATTGCTTCATTTCTGTACCAATCCTACGATGGACCCCGTTACGGTAATACGATGGCTTGAGAATGATCGAAATTACATTATATTCTCACACTTTTTCAATATAGCTTTTGGCAACACTGCCAACATGTCTGTTGCCTTGGTCAGTTCATTGCTTGCCGGTATGACCGGCTACCTTTTATATAAAGAGAACTGCCGACGAGATGCTTTGATGGCTCGCGGCGACGAGAAAGGGCGCATGATGAACGAGGTGAGTTTTGTCTCCACCCATCGATTTTTCTACAAATTGGTCATGCATGCTCACTTTTTTTCTTCTTTTCTGGTAGAATCTTTCCTTCCGCTTCCTCTACTAAACAAACCACGACTAAAGATGATGCCCTATTTTCCATACTATATTTTACATTTGTAACATCCTCATCATTTTATTCTTCCTTCTTTCTTTGTTTTGTTTTTTACAACATTTATTTTTATATTGTTCCTTTTTTTTATGTCAGTCTCTTCAATGATGGTGTTCCTGGGAGGAAAGTAGGGAAAGCTGGTACTAATCGTCATGGTAGTTAAGTTCATTTAGCGTTATCAATAAAATGTCGGCTACATTTCTCGGCGACAGCTACAGTATATTCTCCTTTTGTCTCCAACCATTGCACATTGTCAAGGGAGCGATGTCTCCTTCCATTCCTTTCTACATGTAATCATATTTCCTTTTTGCTGAACAAATCTGTGTGGCAAACATAAAGATTATCAAAATATGTGATACAGAAACTTCGCATAAGCATTTGTTCTTCCCTTTTTATGCGCATGATAAACGCTGTCAAAACTGGAGCTTGCTGTAAACAGTGCAGCTAAAAAGCAGAGTGCAAGCCACTAGGGATGCGATCAACCCCACTAAGTAAACAATTCCTTGAAAAGCTATTTCCAATACTGTTGCCTAGGAATAATGTACAATCTATCACGGGTCCCAGAACATCTCCGTGGTAGGTCATTTAGTATCCAAGGTGCAGTAGGATTAAAAAAAAAGTTCACAGATGGTTAAGATGAATGGTAATTTATTTCTGGAAATGGAAAAAAAAACCAAAATAAATCTCTATTAAGGTTTGTGCAATAGACATAAAACACGTGTGTAAAACAGCTTGTCTCCTCCAACGAATTCATCCTGTGTAGACACCAAACCACTGTAGACTTGCAGCTGAGTCACGTCTCTTTTGACGACAGGATCACAAATGGTGTGCGCATGTCGAACCAATGTATAATACTCTGCGTAAAATATCAAGGTATTCATCAAACTGTGCGCAAGAGGTTACAATGAATGTGGATGTGGCTCTAACATAATCTCGTTTAGCAGTAATTGCTGGCATGCAGCCACGTACATACAAGTGTATGCAGGGGGGAACATTTTCCTCAGTGATCCACTGACAGAATCAAATGGATGAATGAATATTTTAACAACTCTCTTTTGGGTCTCCATCCCTGTTTGAACGTAACACGGATAAACTTTTCCCTAACACATCATTATTTGGTGAACTCACAGTTTAAGGCACGGGTCATTGTCGTCCGAATCATCACTACAGCGGAATGTCATCCCACAGGATCAAAAGTTTAGCCAAACCAAGTCTAGTAGGATAATAATGCTTTTTACGTAAATCAAACCAGTTGTATGCAAAGAGGAAATAGTTAGATCTTTTGTGTTTTGTCTTTTTTCTCTTTTTTGTTTTTCTCGGATAAAGGGAACAAGAGATATAAGTTTAAATATAATCGTCGTCGGAGAAGAACTCGTCGGATTCGTAATTCAGTTGTTCAAAATTGACGCGGTATCTATTCAAGTATGAGTATAAGGCAACCCATGTTCTTCCAAGGAAGGAGAAAGTTCAACTTACCTCAGAATACCACCGATACCACCAAAGCCCTTGACGAATTGGGAACCTTCCTGGGATCGGTTGGTAACAAATTCAAGTGTCGCACCAAAGTCCTTGTACTTTTCAGCAAACCATTCAAGCAAAGGCTTGACTTCGACGATCTCCATTTCCGAGTTGGGTGCTGCTTCAGCACTGGTATCCAACAAGAACTTGCGATCCTTTTCTTCTTGCTTGGTGGGATGGTAAACGGTCTCAGAACCAGCGGCATCACGGAGCACATAACGGTTGGTTTCCAAATTTTCCCATACAATCAAACTTTCCACTGCACCCAATTCCAATGCCTTCAAGGTGTCATCAATACCGAAACAGTATTTGCCCGTATCCTGAGAAATTTCATCAAAGTAGGCCTGGATCAACTTCTTCTCCTGAACAAACTTGACATTGGACAACGATTCGGCGGACAATTCGATGGCCTGATTGAAACCGTTTTCACCACCATAGGATACATCGACGACCTTGACGACCTTTGCCTGCAAACGAGAATCGAACATATCGGACTGTGATAATTCGGTCTTGAAATCGGCGGAACCGGCCAAAACGAGACCGGCCACGTTCACCTTATCATTGGTAATGAAGAAGTTGACGGCCAACTCGGCAACTTTACGCACGTAGTTGTGACGCTTTTCGTCACGAAGACGAGAGAAACGCAAAGCGGACTGACCACCACGACCGTGCTTCTTGGGTAAATCGACTTGAAGTTTGTGAATGACTTCACGCGTATTGCCGGAAAGAGAACCGAAAAGCGATCCGTTACCGTCCATGATGATAAAACCAAATTTAGCATCCGCTTCGAGCAATTCGGATAACGCTTCGGTGTGGAATTTGTTATCGCAAAGGTACAATGATGTGTTGATAGGCTTATGTGGTTCAAAATCGATATTGACCTTCTTTTCCTTGCCTTCATCCGTCACGATGGTACCGCAGTACACCACCAAACCATTAGGAGGAACTTTTTTATATGAAATAAAAAACGTCAGCGTAACCTGTAAAAATAGACCCACATTCCTCGCTCTTCAAAATAACGGTGCAACAGGGTCTTACCTCGTGTATACAATTTTAAACGCTGCTGGGTTGAAGTAATGGCCGACAAGACGGACAAACGATTCACACGAGACTTAATGTTAGAAGCAGTACCATATTCATCAGCCAACATTTTCGCGGCTTGAGAAATCTGGGATTTGGGAGCTATGAAAAGAAAGAGATACAGTTATCAGCAAGTGTTATTCACAGGGACACGAATAGCTCTGGTATTTGACGATACATACGAAGAATAAGCGAAATCATGGAAGTACCGTTACTGTTTGCAAAAGTCGAAAAAACAAGATGAACAAGACCGTATTAGTAAAAACTGGGGTCATGACGAAGATGGGAATTGGGGGCTGGCTTACCCTCGTGCGGCTTCCAGATTTTTGATGAGCTTCTTCATCTTCCAGATTTCGACATTCTGGTCAGTGTTTTGTTCAGCCGCAGACATGTTCGTAGAATGGCAAAATGAGCAGAGCGGATGAGAAATTGGGACTCTTGAAATTCGCCAAAGAAGTGTACGTTCATTTTTTTTGCTCCCAAAAAAATTTCCAAGAAAAGCCACTCTGGCTGGTCCCGGTGTCGTCATAATTTCCTCATTTGGTGTTGTGACTTTTTGTCCTGTTTCCTAGCAAAAAAAAACAACACTGTCCTTATCCCAAACGCCCATTTCCTGAATGAAAGCATAAGGCAAAAGCATCAATGGTAATACTCGGGCCAGTTGCTGTCTTAAATTTCGAATGCCTCACTCGTTGAAACTTGATTTAAACTGTACAGTGCTGTTGACCCTAATCCAGGCCCTGTTCTATTGGAACACCGCCCGTAACCGGTCTGACTCGCATATAACATTCTGCTCAGTGAATGGCTGTTGCTTTTGTTCGAATAAAAACTGAGCGAGCCACTACTTTCCGAGACTGTTCATATTGAGCCATCAGTGTATATATTATTCCGTATTTCAATGTACGCCCTATCACTCTCTTTTCCTAACAGAGTCCACGACGGGTTCCAGACATCTTTTTGAGAAGCTATTTTGTCGCAACGTTTCCATGCCAATGGAATATCTCGGATGTGTTGAATTATTGATTGCTAGGGCTCCTTCTCCATGGAGAACGCAACTGCACCAACCTTTCTCTAAGCTTCAGTTGCATTCAGTCATATAATCGAGGGTGTTTATGGACACCGGTGCCTAATCTGATTCTATACTCTTTTTATTTCTAGCGTGGTGCGTTCTCTATAAGATATGATAAGTCATTGAACTCTGCTTTCTTTTAATTCTTATCGTGTTGTGCATCCATCCATGACGTCGCTGACGTTCACCTTTGGTTAGTCGTTTCGGCCTTCAGCGACGAGAAGCGAATTAAACTATGTAAACATCACATCAAACCCATCAGAACCGTGATACGAAGAGGGGGTTTCGCCGAAACAGGAGTAAAAACACTTTCGCCAAATGGGGTAATAATATCGGCGGTGCCTCTGGTATTCTATAAAAGGTTATTATTAAATGTCTGAAATTTGACGTTGGCAAGCAAAATTTGGTAGTTACCACAGTTTCATTTTCTGTAAGTGAAATCGGCTCGCCCTCGAACAGTTCAAATGAAAGGTTCAATGAGTTTGGAACACAATATTTGAGCCAGATCCTCATTTTTCACGCGAATCCATATAAAGCGAGCATGATCCAGCAGGCGGCATACCATATGGACGAGGAAAGCAATCTGGCTGTATTGTTGTTAAATCGCTTTGACGGGAATTGAAAAGCGATATACGCGTAGAGAGTGGCGCCGAAGACAACGCAGAGTTTGCCATCTCTGTGCTGGATGAAGATTTGAAAGCAAGACCTAAATGGAGCCATATGTATATTTTTCTCTGCGGTCACCAAAGACACTTACCCTGCGTGGAAAAAAAGTTTAGACGACAAGCTATTGTTCCTGTGTACCAGATGGATGTCTTTGAATTCAACACTAAAACGGAAAGGTGGATAGATTGACTGTAGATATGGTACTGACGGGGTGGCTCCACCGATTTGCTGACTTGTTATGAAGAAGGATCTGGATCCCTCCGCACGACAGTTTTGGCTACGGTTCCATTCACCAGAGCTGTCGACTGCTGATCGCGTCTTGTACTGTTTTTGGTGTGAATTGCATAATGTGGAGATTCCGAGTCATTACTGTTCGTCCCGCCTCCAGAGTTAACCCACAGTCCGGCGTCCGGATTAATGGCCCTTTGAACAGATTCCTGTAGCTGCATCTGGTCCCAAAGTGCGTCTCGTAAATCCATTCTGCTGACAATGGGCTTCTTTGTAAATGGGTTCACGTGCTTTTCAATCGTCTTTAACTGTTCGCATGACATGTGTATATAATGAATAAACTCCAATGCCGAGTCTATGTGGGCCAGATCGTCCTCACTCATGGTTTGCCCAGGCGAGGACCACGACATCAATACACGATAGGTGAACTGATACCGATCATATTCACTGTTGGAGATTGTCATTAATAAGGTGCAGTACGATCCTAGTTTTTACATAGTGGACACCTTGGTGTGTAGAATGCATCGCTTTCAACGGTTTTTTGCAACCATTTTGGCGAAAGCTTGGTAAGCAGACCACCTTCCATGGAGTAAGCTGTGCGCCATAAATACGTTAATCCTGCGCTGCAAATCCGATCTTCTCCGTAAACTGAATTGTCCTCTGCAAATTTACATAATCGATTACATTGGCTTGATTTATGCGCCTCGTGATGAACGCAACACATACATCGCCAAGATTATGAAGCTGAAAATACGAACAAAGGCTTAGCAGTTCCAGGACATTCTTCTCAGTGATGCGGTCCTGCTTGCGGCTGTATACATAATCTAATGATAGCTGGAAGGCTTCAGCAGTGATATACGAGTTGTCTTTGAAGTCTAAAGTGATTTTTTCGAAGGGGATTTCGCGAAAGGTGCCTTAAATAAAGCGCGGAAATAGTGGATTTGATCCAGGACTAGCTTATGTAGTTTGTATTCTTTGTCCCACGCCGGCACCGATATTATAACGTCGCTTCCGATACCATCCTTCAGACCATGTTTAAAAAAATGATTGCTCAAGTGGAGCAGCTCATTCAGTTCAATCCCCATCCCGGGAGCCTGACTATTGCGAAGTGGAACTTTTTTAAATTTAAGAACTTTTTTTTGAGAGAATACCTACCATTATTAAAATGTTTGGGTAATTTTTGAAAAACAAATATGTATGATTGGTTGAAACGAAACCAGACAGCTGTTGATCGGCCCGACCTTTGCGCTCGAATTTTTAACATGAAGCGTAAAGCTCTGATGGAAGACTAAAGAAGAACCATGTTTGGGAAGAGTCGTTACCCATGTACACACGGCGGAGTTTTAGAAGCGAGGCTTACTGCATCTTCGTTTGCTTTTGGTGTTACTCCGGAGGATAAGCCGAGAACACTTGATGACTATGATCGTATCGTGTGTGCCAAACTTCCGGACAGAGAGAGATTTCCTGATCTCTACGACACCGTCAGCATATGTATGGTGCACGGTCCGTGTGGAACAACGCATCCGAGGTCTCCCTGCATGGAAAACGGCTCATGTAAAAAGCGTTACCCGCGCTCCTTCAATGAAGCTACTATCGAAGATCACAGTAGTTACCCGTTATACCGTCGTCGCAACAGTGGTGATTTTGTGGTCAAGAACCATGTCTAGTTGGACATAGATGGGTTGTTCCCCACAATCGATACCTCTGTGCAAGATATAACGCTCACATTAACGTCGAAATCTGTACTTCTCTTGAAACGTCAATGCGAACCCACACATCTACGTACCATGGATGCATCATGTCCTTCAGCGGACAGAAAAAAAGGTTCACATACAAGAACCCTGTCCACAATCCTTTGTGTCAACCGCATTCGTATCAAGACATGTCGACGACGTGAGTAGTATGATGATGTCTGATTCATAAAACATACTCATTAAGGACATTCGGTTTAATTTTCAGATTATGAAAGAAAGCAGGCTATCCAATAAGTTGTCGTCAAGTTTAGTTGCAGCTGTTCGCAATGCCTTAAGAAGTAGATCGTCTCTCCAGCTACCCTCGAAGATCCGGATCTCTCCAGAAAGCTCTTTTTACCAGAATTTAGTCCGCTTCATTGATGATACTACGTCTGCGCTGGACAAGAACGAGTTCAAGCCTTTAAAATACACAGATCCGAAAGGCGCTAGAAGATTCACTTTGACGCCCGTCTATTCATTCCAGAAAAGGCACATCACCCTTGATCTGCAAGCTTTTGCCAAACTCCTGGGTTCAATCGGGAGGTCCAGTAAACAGAAGACCTTCACAAAAGAACGTGCCAGGGAAGAGTACTTCCGTTTGTTTGACATGAAGAAATTGGGTTCCCGTCGATGCAAAGCTTAGAATCAGAACGTTGTGTTTTCTGGTAAGCCCACCTAGATTTAAAATGGCCATCCCTGCGTATCATATTCATCGCTTCTGTGGTACCTGACCGTTAGGGATCAAGTCATCACAGATGGGACAGACGTCCAATTTGTTTTCAAGAAGCCCAAGCGCCCTAAACCGAGAGCGCCACTCACTCCTCATGATATTCGAGCCAACTTAGCCAATGCCACAGTTTGGGCGTCGATCCGGGGGTTACCGATGTGTTTGTAGCCGTAGATGGTTGTGAGGAACAGTCACATCGTATCCGGAGATTGTCAACCCGCGAGTACTGCGATATTTGTGGGTATAACAGGGCCACTCAGAAACGGCGGCAATTTACGGAAGGCGCCGCAGTGTCAAGCACATTATCGACTGTATTCCATCGGAGAAAACGTCCGATTTGAACATTTTCGTCGCTGCTGTTGAATATCGGTTGAATCATTACGACACTATCTGCGCGTTTTACGATAAGGATAACAGGTAGTAGTTGTTTGTTTCTCATCTGGACTTTTCATTCTGATAATATGTCATAGATTTAACAAGCTCAAGCTGAAATCGTATATCAACAAGCAAAAAGGGCTGCAGAAATGGCCAAATATCTCCTTGGCGGTAGTAAAAAATACAGCCCAACAACTGCAAGTACAACGGCCCGATCCCAGAAGGAGAAGTGGCGTCCAAAAAATCCACAGGATCATCCACACGACAGGCGTAACAACGTAATCGCTTTTGGTAATGCATCTTTTTCGGGAACGATGAAAGGCAAACTCTCTGCACCAACGACGTCCGTTCTGAAGCGGCTAAAGCAAATTTCTTGGAGGGAAAACGCAAGTCATTATGAGTCCAAAAATGGATAACGAAGTGATAGACTAACGGATCAATAGGCCAGAGCAAAAGTCATCATGATCGACGAGTTTCTCACGTCACAAATTTGCCCGAGATGTCAAACAAGAACTTTGGAGAACAAAAAGGAACGTCAAGCCTGCAATGGAGAAGGAGGCAAGATCCACGCTGTACTTGCATGCAATTCGTGTAATACGGTCTGGAATAGGGATTGCATGGCTGCCGAGAATATTTGCTCCGTTTTTTTACATCAGGCCCATAATAGGAATGAACGACCCAACCCATTCAGACAGAATGAATAGTATGTTTTCTTCCTTTTTTTTTTGCAAAATCAATAAAATAGTCCCCAGCGAAGCGAAAGAATTTGCAGCCCATTGGGGCCGACCCAAAAAGCTCAATTTCATAAGCATTGAAACGGCGGTTGCAAAGGGATAAAAGCGTTTTGGAGGCTTGGACCTTTTGGGTATTCGAAGCGATAAGTTCTTAATTTCACTACGTGAACGATTAATGGGGGACTACCTTTTGGGACATGTTGAAAATGGTGTTTTGATAGGATGATCTTATGTTTTACACCGTCAAATAATTGGGACTTTATGATAGTGCATGCTCCCACCATTTTTTTCTCTTTATCTGCGCGAGTTACTGAGAGATGAGCAGATTCGATTCTCGATTTTTTGCTTTAGTAGCAAATCAAGAAAAATTTTTATGTATTCAAACTTAGGCGATACGTCCATCGCTTATCTATCATTCATTGTGTGACACGAAAGATTTGGTTCGTGGCAGGGTGCTACTCGTTATTGCGGATCGAGGCCGAAAATGGCGATAATGCATTGAATTGCCCATGATCCAACGATTATACCTTCATTCAAGCCGTTGTCGTCCATTAATCACCGCCTGAAGGGGCAAATTTGTTGAATAGCGGTTGAGTACAGGTGCATCTGCTGGTATAAAAATACGATATTTGTGAATGACTTGTGTCGATATCCTTACAACTTCATCTTAAATTATATTACTCGGCGAACCCTATTAGATCTTCCATTTATTCGACCCTAAATTATTATTTTTGAAATGATTACGCCCAATCCGCGTCATATGGACGTTAATTTATCTTGAATAAAGGGACCAAAATATGTATACTTTGATCTGTCTTATTAATGCATGGTCGGTGTGACTATTTTTTTTTCGTTCAAATAAGAAGGTGCCTGTTTTCTTGTTCTTCTTTAGCTTTCGCTTTCCTTCTTCTTCTTGCCTGGTACTTATTGCATCAAGTTCCCATCTGCAGCCATCATCCATACTATGCTTATCCTGTGCAGTTTATCCGGTCAAGTCGATCATCTTCAAAAAGGTACCACCGCGTGGTGTGATTCCTTTTCTTTTTTTTTTTTTTTTTTTTTTTTTTTTTTGGTCGGGAAGCTCATCCTTTTTCCCATCCTTCTCTAGCTTCGGTTTTTTTTTTTCGTTTTTATTTCGCCTGGAAAGTTATACATACTACGGCTATAACATATCTTCTCCATCCATCCGGCAAATCCAACGGTTTTCATCTCTTCAGCCAATCCGGGCAAAGCGATTGTCGTCAAAGGACATCGTCAGTGCTGCGCCTCTCTTTCTCATCGGAGAACGTTTACGCTTCCTTCTCGGGTTTTCCTCATTTGGATTCCTGCTCTTTGATATCGTATTTCATGTAAGTATTCTTTTCGCAGTCTTCCCTGTTTTTTTCCCACAGGATTTTTTTTGTGACATTTTTACTGACGCGACTTCTTATTTTTATTGATCATGTACTTTTCGTTTTTTCTTCTTTTATTTTTACTCGGGAAAACTATCGATATCTGGCCTCCAGCTCAAAATTACCGGCACTTCTGGCCACACCAATATTTTGGCCTACTCAAGCTGACGCCACCGCCCCAAAATTATCCGCCGCTTAACTGTTTCTGCACTCAAATTTTCTTTTCCGCATCAAAGAAGAAGCTTACGGTGGTCCGTATACATCTTTTCTTCCCGTGCACTATTTGATTTAAAGGTAAACCAACCGCAGCTGTTCCACTTTTTGCCGATGTGGTTGACCTGATCATCATTCTTGCATTGGCAGAGTGACTATTGTTTCATTCATGGGAAATCACATATTTTGTCTTCGTTTTTTTTTTTTTTGGTTTTCTCCTCTATCTTCTTTTTACCTGGATAACTCTCACTATCATTGCATCCCCTCGCATCCATAATCCAGACTATGGTTTATCCCGCGTGTATCTTTAACCGGTCAAGTGGATTAAATATCAAAAAGGTACGTTTTGTATGATGTGACTATCCGTTTTTCGACAAGAAAAAACTCACGTTCTTTTTTCTCTATCCTTTCTTTAGCTTTTAGTTTTCTGTCCGGTTTTCTTTTCGTTCTGGCAAGCCATCCATCCCTCCAAATCTTTCTATTTTGTTTCGCGCATCAAATGTTGCCAATCCGGTTTTTGTCGTCAAAAGGGCATCGTCGGTGGTGTGACTCTCTTTTTCATCGGCAACGCTTACGCGTCCTCCTCAGCTTGGCTTCACCTGGATTACTACCCGTGGTATCGTCTTCGACATTTCTTCCCGACCATTTTATTTCGTAGTTGTAGTATGTATATTTATATTTTAGTTATAGTCTTCTTGCAGTCTTTTCCTCCTTTTTTTCCCACAGGGTCTTTAGGGAGTTTTTACAGACGCACCTATTGTATTTACTTTTTTTTTTTTTTTATATTTGTATCGTTTCTTTTTTTTCGGTCGGGAAGCTCTGGATATCTGCTGCCTCACACAACAAAGGTAAAATATCTTGACGGCATATCAATTAAAGAGCTTACTAACTCATTTTTTTTTTAAAATACCCAATAACCTTGGGCGGGACGGGACTGAGGGGGTCAATAAGTGCTGCTGCACACATGTTTGGAAATCATGACTATACGGTATGCCAGAGTATTGACATTAATATACCAAAGTTCCATCAAGAGTCTCGCCCAGGTTATGCCGTATTGCGTTAGGCTTTTGTCTGACGAATGTCGCTCAATGTAAGGGGGCGACGTCCAGTAGCAGGTGGCATCCATTGCACAGCGGGTGTACGGCTTGGGATAAATCGGACGAATTGCATCTCCGGGTTTCTTTTCCCTGGGGATATGAAACACAATGTTGTTACTGCTGATACACAGTATGGTTGTAATGCATTTATACAGTTTCTATGGTGAATTCAAGTGTGGCAGGCCGCTCTTTTATGAAAGTGGATGAAAATGAATGCAAAACGTGTAGATGAAAATCTAGAGAAAAGAAGTGTATCTTGATGACAGGACTTCCCAATGGCAAAAGTAGTCACGAAAGCTTACACGAATATAATACAGGTGGGATATCTATGAGAAGTATTGTACTTCTAGTCCGATGGTTCGAATTGGACTCGTTCGATTGGATAGATCGGCCGTAAGGCCAAGACTGAACAAGGCGTTCTTAAAACGTCCCTCCCACATTAACGCCAATCCCTACAATAGACACCGAGATCGGTAAATGTCCCCAAAAAAACTCCTGTCCCCGAAAATATTGGTGGAATGAATATGCTTACCGATGCGAAACCCAGCCGCAGCTTGATTAATCCCTCCAGTTTTTCAGTCTTCTCCGGAGTCACCGTGATCACATTGTTTTCACGTTCTACGGCGGTTCCCTTCTTCTTCGTTCGCCACTCCAAACCCAACGCGAGATCGCTTTCATACGAGTAAAAACTGAAATCAAACTTTGAGCACAACGCTAATTCGTCCGACACTTGTGCTGCATAGGCAGACGACATGTGGCCCACAATAGGATTCAAGGTATAGGTAACGGTAATAGGCGACGCCGAGGTAGGGTGGGTACGGTATCGTAATCCGGTAGAAACTATGCAACAAGACACACAATCAGCCCAAGGTCTCTCTTCATATTAAACCGAGACTTACGTCCGCCACTTTTGTCGACAATGCCATAATAGACTTCAGTGCCAAGCGACCATTGCCCATAGTTGCTGGGAGGTCCGAAATTATACAGAGCTCGAAGTCCCAATAATCCATCATCCGTAGTATAAGAGCATTCTGAACACCATTTACCCACATCATATTGTAACTGCATCGATATCTGCCAGAGGAAGCAAAAATAAATACTGTTTTTCCTTAAGTACATAGTACCGCAATGTGACTTTTTTTACCTGAGCATTGGCTGAGCGTGGGTTGTTGACGGCCGTAACCAGGCACTGTAGATGGGGGGACATACGACGCACATACATGGCTTCGAGGCGCGCTCCAGGTAAGAACATGCGGCCGTACAAAAGGTAATGTTTTGTTGGAGTATCTAGACAGCGTATTTTTCCATTGTCATTGGACGTTTTTTATGCGGGACAGAAGGGATCTTTTTTTTTACCTGGAGATGGAGAAGGGTGAACAATACGAAAGCGATCGACCATATCCTGGAAATCGACGGTGCCGCTGGTGCCAATATCGAGAGGTTGAGAAGTGTACAAGTAACCGATGCTGCCGTGAAGTGAAGGTAGCGCGCTCATGGTATAGGAGGGTTTGAATTGCGGTGTTGGCAATTTGGAGAAATAAAGTGACAAGCCTCGTGGGGTGTAAAAGTCCAATAAAGCTCTCGACCACATGCACAGATTCGAATACTGGTTCTCTTCGTTCCAACCTGTGGAACGATAGTAGCTTCGAAGACAATATTCCATAAAGTCGTACATGATGGCCAGCTACTACAATAAACTTGACTTGCAACAACTCTTGAAGGGAAAAGCCTTTCCATCAATTTTTGGATTGGCGCCGCTTTTTTTTTCTCTTTTTGGTTGTACCGATTTGATGATCCGAACACCCAGCAATGTATCATTGACAACGAACCATATGATCTCACATTTTATGCGTACTCCAGAATGCTCTTCTACCGCTTTTATAAATGGAAAATAGTGGTGTCAATTGGTTCTTCAGCTTATACGTTCAAAAATGGTCACATCTTCACATCAACAAGGAATGGTGGAAACGCATGCTGTCGGGCTAATCCGGATCGGACAGAGGCCTGATCGATCTTTGCAAAAGGGAAAGCAATAGCATGTCGTTCATTTCATAATCCATTCGCTGGCGATCAGTTAACTGGGCTTCTGCTTGATGGCTTCTCGGACAAAGTTGATAGAAAGATTCTTGTCCAACTTGATGATTCCCATAGATACTGTTGAATGTACTTGTTAACTGCTGAGTTGGTCTCTTAATGCCCTTTGGTCTAACACTTCAGGTGACTGGATCCTCACTGTTTGATTTTTCTTCACAATTCGCGTTAGCTATCATTCTTTACTGATAATGACAATGAGTGCTTTGTAATTCTCTGCCATGGTGAAGAATCTCGATACGATCCCCGGTTGGAGTCCTATTTGATGTTACATTGTAGCTAGTATTCGCTGTTTACCGCTGATGATATTTCCATGTTCAGAAAGGAGCATTATCTTCTTCCGTTGTTCTGACTCCGTTGATTTTACAAAGTGACCGCTCGATTTAAGAATATTTCGATCTAAGAATTGCTTTTAGATTTTCCAACAGTGTAAGCTGTAAAATATTCCAAAATTCGATATAGGCATCAGTCATCACCCTGGACCAGTAATATCTTAAAAAGATCCAAGTCAAATGAAAGTTTATTCTGCTATTTCAATTTTTCACATTAACAAATATTTATGTGGCCAAATAACCTCAATAGTTGAGAATGATGAAGATGAACATGTTATATAGAGCTATGATGAAAGGTTACAGCTCTCAAAGTTTCTCTGCCAATCTATAGAAATGGACTTCAATACGCGTATACCGGCACCCAGTTGACAAACACACCAGCCTGAGTATGCAATTGTATTAATTTCTTTAGAACACAATGTCTCACAAGCTTTAAAAAATGACAGGTATGGCCGATGCGTATCTCGAGAGTTATCCGCTAGCAAACGACTACAAAAAAGGCTGCTCTGATGGAAAAATCCAAATCAGCCTGTCCTCTGCGACATGTTTCTCATTCTGATATATTATCCAGGGGTTTATTCGAGGTTACTCATACTAAAAATTAATTATGCTTGGCGAAGTGTGGACTATTTACTAGCAATGAAAGGAAGCAAGCGTGATGGAGTGACCATTAAGGTGTGATAGTGCGATGTTCAGGACTTAAAAATGGGGGCATATGTGCACGAGTGCAGGGACAAAACATTGACGGCCATGAACTTGGCGGTTGATTTCCATAACAACAAATTCATTCCTTTAAGCAACGGTAAAGATAAATGACTATCTTGAATTTGTATCTTATAACCTTTGCCAAAGAACCAGCCATTATCAATCCTATCAGAAGCAGCCGTGGAAAACAAATTGTGAAGGTTAATGAGTTGTAATACTGTGTTCTCTCCTTGGCAATGTCAGTCACACGTCTAATATTCGAATACAGGTAGCAGATGATGCACTTTGCAAACGTGCGCTGTTTGTAACTCGAAGAGAATAAACTTAACGAGAAGCCTTGAGTTCTCATACCTTGCTTGCCGAATCAATATTTATAACACTTGCAGTTCTTTTCTCTGAACTTGCGCTTGCAGAAGCTTAAAATCGCCAAAAAAAGACACTGAAGGCATGGATGGGCGTCAATCTCGCCATCGCCACCTGAATAAATTTGAAGGTGATCCAAGCTAAACAAAAACCAGAATCTTGTCTACTTGACAAGAGATTCTGAGTGTTGTTCGAACCGTAGGAGATTCTTGATAGAAAAGTTGGATAGATTTCTCCTGCATATATTATAACAACCAACTTATAATATGGTGTTTTTATCGCAGTTATTTGTTCAGCATCCTTATGCGGTGCTATTCATACATGGCCTGGCTGGAGGTGAGCCATGAATTTTTTTTTTTTTTTTTTGTGGCAGAAGCCGTTCGATATTCCTATGCATCGTTCGTACTCCGCCATGACTGCTCCCGTCCAAAAAAAAATTGGAGGGCCTGCACTCGATCGCAGCCAAAAAAAGAGGACGAAGAAAAAAAAGAAGCCAGTGGTCTTCTACAAACGTAATGGCGATACATGATTTGGACGACAGACCCGCTGCTGCACAAAACAATGCGGCAATAGAAAGCGATATGGAGATTTCAGATAATAGCGATGCCGAATTGGAACAACAAGTCTCGCTTCTTGCGCAGCAGTCTTCTGCGTCTGCACCACCGCCACCAAAACCTTCAGCACCCACACCCACACAAGTACCCACACAAGCACAAGCACAAGCACCAAGTTCGTTCAATATAGTAAAAGACGAGATACCAGTGGACGACTGGGTAATGGGCAGAAAGCCTTTATTTTCAAGACCGCCGAAATCGCTCATCATCAACGTGGCCAACGATAACCCGGCCGATAACAAGATTATTGAAGACATTTACGGACCGTTTCCGGAAGTATCTTTCCCCACTTACCAAAGCGGAGCCATGAAAGACACCGAAGAAATGGCTCGAGCTCTTTTGGAATTGAAACAACGGATTGCGCGAGCGGAAGAACTACGACGACAATCGGCTTCACCTGTCACACCAGTAGCTACCCTCGCGACTACCCCACCTGCCAAATCGACGCCCGTCGAATCATCCTCCTTGGCTTCTCCAGCACTAAAAAAGCCAATCACCGCAGATTCATCCTCGTCTAAACCCATCGTGAAACCAATCACGCCACCCAATACCTCTAGCAACCTCGTTGTTCAGACCTCTCCAGACACATCAGCACCAACAGCGAAAATATCTCTTCCTACGAAACCTGCTCGCCCACAAGAACCACTGAAAGAAGTGACGAAAGAACTGCCCAAACAACCGGAGAAGATGATTGTCGATCCAGTTACCGAACCTGTCAAGGCTTCATCCACCGATGTCCCAATGAAAGAAAGAATGAACGAACCAGTCAAGACAGCCATCGATGTTCCTGTGAAAGAGAGTGTAAATGAACCGGTCAAGACGTCTATCGACGTTCCCATGAAAGAAGCCATTGTCGAAGCTGTGAAAGAGCCGATCAAAGAAAGCACGAAACAAGTCACTGAATTGGGTACCCAATCATTGCCGACCAAACCCATCACTCCATCGGCCAAGTCCGTTAATTTATCAACCAAACCGTCGACAACCGAGCCCTCAACTTCAACACGAAGACCCTCCATCAAGGAAGCAACACTCAACGCATTGCAAAACTTGATCGAGATCAATGAGTCTAAGCTGAAGGCTTCATCATTGATATCGGCGTCTCGAGCGCCAGTACCGTTTACGTCTTTTTCGGCTTCGGCCTTAATAGCACCGCCACCACGAGAGCCAGAATCTCTGGCAAAGGTACCGACGTCGCCTTTGGTGAAACCATCGGTATCAGCCCCGTTATCAGAGCTGCCTCCCGCCGAGCCGCATGTTCAAAATACGGACGATATGAATGTGGAAGAATCGGATGATTCGAATGAGTATTATGGCACGCCACCTTCGTCGCCCATTAGAGAGGAACCGACTGAGGAAGAAATTGTCGCCGACATCAAACGAATGATTGCCAGTATTGACCAGCAAAAGAAAGCCATTGAAGAAGCTGAGGAACGCAAGAAGGAGATCAACTTGAAGATTCTCAAAGCTGAAGTGCTTCTTTCCATTGAACGCAATCGGCAAAAAAGTCGGGCAATGGAAGACCCGGTGGTCGGCAAGAAACGCCCATTGGATCCCGAGACGAGCCTTGAACAACAGATCAAGAGATTGAAAGAGGACGATGAACTGAGCGATATGGATATTGCCGATGACGTTTCAGTGGGTAGCTCATCGTCTCCCTCTGCGCCCAATTATGGTGTCCCTGCTTCATCTTCTGCTCCAACTTCCACTGCGACAACCACCTCTGCACCGCCGCGATCGGCCCCTATTTCATCTTCCAGCATACCAGCATCGTCAATCGCTCGTCCTCACGTATCTGCCTCAATTCCCCCTATTCCCTTCAACCAGGCTTTATCTTCCCATTCATCCGCATCGCCTCATACAATCCCTCTTCCATCCATTCCGTCATCGAACTTGCCGCCTATGCATCATGGTCGAGGAACAATTCCTACGGCTGGTAATTCATCGTTTCCCTCTGGCTTGTCCCATTCGTCTACGAGTTCATCAACCTATCCCGTTCCGCAAATGCCTCTTGCAACGCTCTCCATGCCACCTCCCGTTCAGCCGACCGTATCGAAACCGACGGTCTCGCAACCGACGGCCGTAAAATCGACCGTAAAATCGACTGCTAGCGCAAAGCCAAGCGCAGCGGAGAGTATAACTGGCAAGCGCCAATCGCCGATGGTAAAACCCAAGTCAGCCAGAGTGGTTCCTCTTGCGGATGGTTTGCAGCTCACAACGTACATGACCGAACTGGAAGCACTGGTCAAGTTCCGTCTTTCGGAACAGAAACCGACCACCGACAATCAAAACGTCGTTCGACCGCCGCCACGTCCTGCGCGCCTTGTCATTGTGGACGGATTTACATTGACGATGGATTCCGTGCTGCTGAATCGAGATCACGGAAAACCAAAGGAAATGGTAAGCTGAATAGGATCGATTAATTTGAGGGTCTGATCAGTTCGACTGACATATGTTGTTACACAGCCAAACACTCCTGGAGCGGGTTCAACTGACCCCACGTCCGCCATAACATCGACTGACGATGAGGTAAACAACGAAATCAATGAGAGTGGTTCATGTGATATGATTAGCTGTTACTCACTCGGAGCCATGGGAATAGAAACCGTTATCTGATTCGGCCATGACAAATGAGAGTGTGCTTTTGTATCTATTGCAACGGGATAAACCGCTATTGCCGATTCGGTCTCTTGAAGTACGTAGTGCGGTTTCGCGGATTCTCGATGCTCTGCCTCCTCGAGCCGTACAGATCATTTCTCAACGAGAATTATGGTCCACCGTCGATTTCACTGAAGCACGCAACCTTGCACTTTCGTCGGCCATGTCTTTTGGTCATGTCGAACTTTTATGGATTATCTACGTCGAATTGTCCCTCTACGTCAACAATGACGAAAGCGATCTCGCTCTGAGCATCAAGCGAGCCTTGGTTCACGTGCCATTATCGGTGGATGTCCGATGGCAAGCCACACGTACCACCACCGGTGAAACCAATCGTTTGCGCGAAGCCATCAGTATCTTGCGCGCCATCGAAAGTATTCGCAACACCGAAGAATCGCCAGGTACTGTTCATCACAAAAAAAAAAAAAAAAAAAAAAAAAAAAAACACAAAAAAGTCAAGCCAGTATGCTAACCATGTTTAAATTGCACAGAACCGGCAGTCATTTCCAATCTTACCACTGAAGTGTTGCTTCGTGTGCTAAAGTATGAGGGTATGAATGCAATCACGCACTTTCTGATGAAATCACCTACCGCCTTTTCGACGGAAAAAATTGAACCATTCAGTTTGGAGGAAACGCCAATTCATCTGATGCTTGTGGATCATGACATTTATCTTTTGTGGACCACCATCTTGTACCATTTTATTTGCGGACAAATGCCCGATACCGTTTATCGTACGTGGTTCAGCGGCTTGATCGCCAATGGGGATTCCAGCGAACCGAGGCACCTGTATACGGTTGATTGGTCCAGCGTGGTGGCTTCCGGTCCATTGACACGAGCAGAAACCATCGGATCAGTGAATATTCTGTTGTCCATGCTGCGGTATTTCTCAGGTAAAACTCAAGGCAACAAAGCGAAACGGCCCATCCTCATGGGAGCTTGGCGAACGCTGCTGGATCTGCTGGCACATACAGACAGCTATCGAAAATTAGGCACCGTGATCCTTCTTCGGGATGGTTTATCCATTGATGCGCTTCGACCAGAGATTGATGTGATTGCCGCCGACCTGTGTACATCGATCGGTGATCCAGCGATGGCTCGCACACGATTGGATGAAGCCATGAAAACGGCCCGCTTGCCTTCGCAGCTCATGTTGGCTTTCCGCTTAGCATCGTCACTCCACCCAACCCCGCAAAGCTCGCTCGAAACCTTAAGCGAAGCTGCGCAATTGATTGCATCGCCCTTGAAACCCTTTTTCCGACCATTACCGGCCGCCCAAGGTGCAGCTGAACCGAAATATGCCATTGAATATGCCCGCCACATGTATTTGACTGCTCTTGACCTGGATCAATCCCTTCCGATGCGGACCAATCATTCGTTTAATCCGGCGCTCTTTGAACATTGCGCGTTTGCGTGGATCAATATGTTGTATCTGACCGAGATTGGTCGATGGTGTTGTCGAGGCACTCCCACCTATGATATGGTGACAAAACAGATGAAGTCGATTACTAAACTGGCCGTCGATGCCATGGAATCCGAAGATGCCAAACGCCTGGTGTTTAAATTTAGTAGCAGTTGCGGAATATAATAATAAATTGTTTCCAATAAAAAAAAAACGTAAACACTAAGTGGAGTGTATCTAATTATAAGCATTTTACGTATCGTATTCCTGCTACATATTGCTCCAGAATCATCACTTCCACCCGTCATTCTAACCCGTGCCGATCGCTTTGACCCCCCCCCCTCCCCCAATAACCGCACCGGGATTCGTACAATTACAGTCACAATCCGATCCGAATCCGGTGCAAGTAAGCTGTGTCAGCATTAAAGCGAGTTTTTTCTTTTTTCCTTCTATCCTTTCCAAGTCCATCATGCTGCCGACTATACTACGACGATCGTTAACCGTGTCTACTTCACACAGAGCTTTGACTCGATCCTTGTCCACGTCCCATGCCTTGTTGAAACGTAAAGACAATGATCCTTACCCTGATTTGGGGGTTCGACATGCTCCCCAAATGGAACTCGATGAACCATATCCGAATCTTCCACCGATTCCTCGTCCGGATGAAACCATTGAAAACAAAAGAGCACGACTTGTGTATCAATCGCGCAAACGCGGTATCCTGGAGACGGATTTACTGCTGTCGACGTTTGCCAAGGAACACTTGGACAAGTTCTCAGCGGACGAACTTCAAGAATACGATGCTCTGTTGGACGAACCTGACTGGGATATCTTTTACTGGGCGACCAACAACAAGCCGGTTCCAGCGGAATGGAAGGAGAGTAAAGTATTAGACATGATTCGCGAACATGCCAAGAACGAGAAAAAAGTGGTGCTCCGCATGCCGGACTTGGGAAAAGAATAGAATGGGAATAAAAAAGTGAAAAAGAGAATCGCAGAAGAAATGGTTTTATGATATCTTGTCAAACAATGGTTAGAATAGCAATATGGTCCGAGGCAAAGAAAGGGAAAAAAGATACAAAATGTGGATGCGAGTTCCGAGAATACGGACGAAAAAAGAAAAATGGACTAATATCCCGAGGCATGCTAAAATGACCACATGTTCACATCGCAGCCAACGCGGAACAACATCATCCAAAGACCCGCCAAAAAAAAGATGTTCGGAAGTAAAATCATATTTAGGATCATTGGAAGAATCGTTTTGAGTGTTTTTTTTTTCTGACAATTTGTTCTTGACGTTTTCGTGTTTTCTTCCGTTGTCCGAACTGTCAGCTCAAATCCATGAGCGATCTATCTCACTTTTCGACGTCGTCCAATAGTCGACTGGCCTTTAGTCGACACGTATCCAGTTTCGCTCATCAGCATCCACCACTGAGTGCCAGTTCGGGATTTCGGCAGGAAATCTCGCTCCCACCCCAATACAGTCGTCGCATTGAGCTTCCTGACATACCAAGACCAGTTTACACATTAGTATGTCGCCATTGTAAAGTCAAAGTATGCGTACGAGGAATGAAAGCCATTCTCTTGGCAGATATGAACGTGGAACTCTACAGCACCGATACGCCCTCCGATCGGTAAGCGCTATTTTGATCCGACCATAGTTCGAGAAAAATACACATGCGCATGTCATATGCATTGTGTCCCTTGTCACTCACCGTATAGCCGTCGTCACTGATTAGGATACAACTTATGGATAAAGATTATCTGACGCGAACGTGCTTTTGCAGAATTCGAGATGTAGCTTGTCTTGGATGGTAAGGATTTTCCGGAAAAACACGGATCTCGTTTTTGCTAACACAATACTATTTTGGTCTTTTTTCTTTGATTTATTGAAACGATCTTCTTTACGCCTTGCTCACTGAATGGAATTGCATCATGTTTTCTAGCGGTAATATCATCGGATATCATGTTGTGTCGCCATGTCATCATTGCCTGGGCGCTTGTAATAATGGTCATTTTTGGATGTTCCATTCAGATGCATGTGATAATATTGAAAGAAAGGATCCTACAGGAAGAGACATCATGCTATGGTCCAAATTACCACGCGCCGAAAAAGATGTAGATTTTCTGATGGGAGCCTCCATCCCCTATCACTTCATGTGTCGATAATGGACTCCATCATTTTACAGCCGTTGTACCATATCTTTAATCTAAACAATGTCTAATTTGCATATGCGGTGGCTATACGCCAAAATATTGTGCGCACTATAAACTCCAACATAATGGCTCCGTTTCCGCACAGCAAGAGCTATCAACATTGATGCCCTTTTTTTTGACGTATTCGCGTATTACTGTAGAGTCCTGCGCCGCTTTTGCACGCTTTGAATACGATAAAAGCTCATGAGGTGACTGTATGACGCGAATTTTTTTTAGGTAAGCACTTGGGTATTAATCATAGAAATACTCTATAGATCGATCATTATATGTCTGTGCAAATAGTGTCATGGCCGGTGCTGCATTAACGCGTGATTAGTACATCTATTTTCGTCCAAATTTTTTCGGTCAGCGCCTCTGTATCAGATTCTTTTCCACGGGTCTATTCTTTGTTTTAATTCGGTACATTGATGGGGTTCTTCCGTTTTCGCTATCGGTTGGTCCAATGGCAGATTTTCTTGCATTACAGTAGCTAGTGCCTGCCTACTATAAATATCTTACGATGAAAAACATATATACTAGACTAAAATTTGATTGATCGTTGCAATGATCTATTTGTGTGTCTGATATGTGTCACATTGTATGCGAGATGTACCAACGCGACAGCCGAATTTTATACAAAGCCAAGGTGATCACTCAAGTTTTGCCAAGATGATCCATGAACGGAGACAAGCCGCGAATAGGCCATCAAGGACATGACGACATACACCATTATGATATCATCATGTACCGTTCTTTGAAAAATGAACATAGTGGGAAAGCACAAAGGAAATAATATAAAATGTCCAAAACGGATCAATTGCTGATGTCGATCGTGCCAAAATAAAATACATTGATCTGCGAATGTGAATACTAGCTGAAACCATCTAGTCAATTTGCCCTTGTTCGCATTGGTTGGGTAGATCGACTGTCTTATGGATATGTAGATATCTCGGATGACAGATAGGATAATGACGAGCAATTTGTATAATATATGCTAATTGCTCCATCTTGGGACATAACTGTAAATGACTCACTCAGGCTTCAATATGTCTTGATATACATCAGCGCACATATATTTCTTTTGAGTTTTGTAACATTGACGTTTTCCGCCCTTTGCCTTTTCTATTGCCATGACCGATCCATTGAAAAAAATTGAAACGCAAGCACATATCAAAGACCCAACTTTAGACGCATGCCTTGTTACACATGAATGCTATAAAAAGCAGGAACCACAAAAAAAAATAAAAAAAGGCGATCACATCTCCCTGAATCTGGCTGCCAAGCGTTTTTTGCAAATGCGTTTGTAAACAGACTGTCAGTTGCCAAGCCAAAAGGGATCGCCGAGGGTGACCTCAAAATGAGCAAAAAAAGGTGGAGGATCTCTTTTTTTTTTTTTTTTTGTCAGGGGTCATGCATGTGGCCCATTGACTTTGGCATTGATCCTGTTTGGATAATTTTCCTTGGATTCTGCTCCTCTTTTTATAAAAAAAAAATATCATATTTTTTTTCTGCTTCTCATTTTATTACATATTTGAATATAAAAAGAGAGTTTTAGCTTCCTAATCCTTATCCGGACTTGTATTCGTTTTTAATCGGTGATGATTGCCTGCAACAACTCATCCGTGACTTTCTCGTCATGGATCCACCCACAAAAGCCATTATCGCCTACCGGTGCATTATCATCTCTTGGTCCCGGAACCGCTCAGCCGTCGACGCTGGTGAAGAAGTCATCGTTTCAACGATACAAAAAGCGAGCTCAGGATTTCTTTGGTCACAATGGAACCAGCTCATCGGCCCCGGTGCTCTCGGTTTTGGGACGTAAATTATCGCAACTCTCACTACGCCATGTATCACGAGAGTCTTCGGCCGCATCGTTTGTAGCCTCGGACGACGCATGTAAAACCGTGGAAGCCGTAGCCATGGTAGGTTCTATAGCAGCGGCGCTGGCCATGAGTAGTCGTTGTCAATACGCTCCACCTGGGTCTGTGCCGGCCGACGGATCAGTGAATCAACAGTGCCGATCACAATCAAACCATGCACCGTCCTTGTGTGCTGCAAGGTGGCCCCGTTTGTCATTTTCTACTGCTTTATCCAGCCAGACAGAATGCAAACGCACTGCATCAAGTGATCAAGCCATGCCACGAAACCTAATATCGCAACGTCCACGACTACAAACACCGTATCATGATGTGTCGCCCTCGTCGCCCACTCATTACACAAAAGAAGCCCTGTTACATGAAAAATATCCCGCTTATCGTAAAGGGAAAATTATTGGCACAGGTGCAACTGCCAAGATTCGATTGATGGAGCGACCCATGGCCAGTCATTTCAGAGAAAATCAATTATCGTCCGTGTTGGCCATAAAAGTGTACTATAAACGAGATCGTGAAGAGAGTCGGCGACATTACCAGAAACGGCTCATTAGCGAATTCTGCATCAGCAACACCCTGAAGCACCCACATGTAATTCATGTTTATGACCTGTTGAAAGATAATAAAGGACGCTGGTGCTCCGTCATGGAATTTGTAAGTGGTCTTTTTTTTCTACATAATTGGTTTCCTAGCCCTCTTTCTCCTCTTCATTTTCCCCCTATATCTATGGATCGCAACGCCCATGGGTTATTTCCCCTATCTTATTACATCAATCAGACCAAGACCAAAAAGGAAGAAAAGATAAACTGATTGGTGGTTGGATTTTTGATCCTAGTGTGGTGGCGGCGACGTGTTTTCCATCTTGCAAGATTTCAACTTGACGGATGCGGAAATGGATTGTCTTTTGAAACAATTGCTTCTGGGATTGCAGTACATCCATGAGTGCGGGGTAGCACATCGAGATATTAAACCTGAAAATTTAATGATGACACGCGACGGAGTGCTCAAAATTGCCGACTTTGGCGTAGCGGATGTGGTGCAATCGTGCTACACAGAAGACACTCGGGAATGTTACGGACGATGTGGATCGGAACCGTATTGGGCACCTGAGCTCTGGACAGACAGTGCCAAGACGGGCTACGATGGACGAGCAATCGATATTTGGAGTGCGGCGGTGACTTGGCATTGTTTCTTATATCGCTGTATTCCATTCCTGCAGGCCTGCGAAGACGATCCAAAGTATGACGAGTTTTTAAGCATGCGGCCCCAACGACAATGGCAACCTCTTTCGAAATGCACCGACGATGAAAAGGCATGTTTATATGGCATGTTTGATCCCGATCCTTCCACCCGCTGGACAGTGGAACAATGCCTGGCGTCAACGTGGATGCAATCTGTACATATTTGTCAATTTAATGAACATACACATCATTACACAAAGTAAAAAAGGAAAAGGAAAAAATACACTTCAAATAACAATAATAGTAGCAATAACAAGAAAAAATATCTGGCACAATTAACGATGTTACGGTATTGACTCAATGACCTTTTTGTTGTCAGAAAACCAGCTGTGTGCATATTCTCGGTGTTTAGCATTAGATAGAATTGTAACTTGCACATGGGCAAGACAAGCCGTAAGATCTAGACAGCAACCCCTTTTTTTTCATTTGTTGATTGCCTTGCTTCGGTCATGCCATCATTCCGTTCATCTTTTTTCGTCGCGTCGAAAATCCTTGTGTTTTTTCATGTTTGCACCATCATCAAAAAGAAATTGTTCATCTAAAAGGACTTTAGACACAGAGATGACGAAAAAGCAGCTAACTACAGCAAGATGACCCGAGCGCGGAAAGAGAGAAAAAAAAAAGGTTTCAAATTTTTTCGCGTAAGTGGGTAAAACAAAGAAGACGATGGGTAGCAAGATTTTTTTAAAGTAAATGTAATATTAGGAAACAAGCAAACTTGATAATAAAAACCCTGAAAGAAGAAACAAAGGTATTTGCAAAGGATATTAAAAGAAGAAAATAACAAGAAAAAAAAGGGAGGAAACGAGGAATAAAGGATCTACAAGGAAACAGATCAAGGCCGATTTTGCAGGATCATTCATGGAAAAGCTAGCGAAGTATGTGTGTGTGTGTGTGTGTGCGTGTGTGTTGTGATGGTTATTTGGTTTTCACATTTTGGCTCAGCCAGTTCAATCCCTCAAATAACCCATCGCCTGTCGTAGCACACGAGGGATGCACATACCACGCTCGATCACGCATCTTGTTCAATCCAAGCTTTTCCGTCACTTCCGCAGGCGACATTGCTAATGCAAAAATACAAACATAAGAGTTTAGACATTGTTCACAGGTCACAGTAACCGAGCAACCCATTATTCCTCGTAACTCGGTCTTACCTCCAGGCAAATCCTGTTTATTTGCAAACACCAGCAATAGACATTCCTTCATTTCTCGATCCGAGATGATGCGATGCAGTTCCTGACGTGCCTCATCAATACGATCGCGGTCTTGGGAATCAATCACAAAGATTAAGCCTTGCGTGCCCGTGTAGTAGTGTCTCCACAGATTGCGGATTTTGTCTTGACCACCCACATCCTACAGATAACAAGATTTTTTTTCGTCACTTTAGTGTGTTGTTGAATTGACTTGGGGAAAAAATAGGGAAACCAAAAGAGAAAGGTAGGTTTCAGGGTCTGTTTGATTGAATAAGACAGTTACCCAAACGTTAAATTTCACATTTTTGTAAGTGACAGATTCGACGTTGAAACCGACGGTGGGAATGGTGGTAACGGACTGATTAAGTTTGAGTTTGTAAAGGATAGCTAAACAAAGATGATGAATTGAGATGAGCAAGTTTGCTTGGAGAGGTTCGATATCGCCGCTCTCTGACGGTTTCCAAGTAGAGAAAAAAAAACTTACTGGTTTTGCCGGCGGCATCCAAGCCAAGCATTAGAATACGCATTTCTTTGCTGCCAAAGAGTTTGGCGAGAGCCTTGGACATATTGGCACCCATGGTTTATGGTGGATGATGAGAAAGGAGCGTAGATGGTGCGTATGAAAAGAGAAATAAAAAAAGAGGGCTACGGGACCAAAAATTATTTTTGTCGCTCCACTCAGGTCCAAGAGAGGGGAACACGGTGCATCCTAGATTGGAAATCCTCGCTTGAGCCTAATCTCCAACCAAGGCAACTGCACCCAATCGGGGTTTCTTTATTCATTATCGACCTCCCTGTCGCAACAAAGGATCACACCCAAGCCCATAATCTAAACGCGCCTATTGCGCGCAACTCATCAATCTACTGGTATCCTATCCATTTGGTCCAGCTCAACTTCTCCTTTTTTTTCTGCTTTCTTGGTTACTTACAATGTAACCTTGGCTTCATCACGATCATGCCGAGCCGGCGGTTGACGGGCAAAATAAAATACCAAAGTCTATCTAGGAGTCGTGATAAAAACCATTTATCTTGATAAAAGTTAGGGAGTTGATGCAAGAAAAATGAGAATAAAATACAAAAGAGGAGTTGATGGATAATGGAAAAGAAAAATGTTTGATTCTTTATTGTATTACTACACTATGCAAAAATTGGCATTTTCATGGTAACTGGTGCTTCACTTACTAGTGTTTCCATAACCACATCTTGGAATCACCTAGAAACTTTCCCGAAATGCCGGTTTCCGGTGAGCGGTCTGTATTTTTAGTCCTTTTCTGAATATTCCGAAGAAAGCCTTGTTTTCTGGGGACAAGATTTTTTTTGGCAAAGCATCAATGACAATGACAGAGTATTCATTTATGGTACAAAAGAAAAAAGGTACGATTTATTCTTTGACATTCTCGTCGTTCATGAATACCATCCAATCTTTTGTTCTTCACAATGCGATTTCTCGCAGTCAGTAAAGTAACCGACAGTATTCATACTGAGCATCCAACGAAACAGAGCCATGATTCTGGACGTATGCTTCATACAAATTTGCTCTATCTTGCTCAACCGACGAGTGGTTGGGCACTCGCTCATTTTCGATGTCACGGAGGAGAAATCGAATATTTGAATTTGACGGGATCACCAACCACCAGTACCCTCAGAGTCAGACATGATTTCACCTATGCCTAACTGGTATGCTTTCATAACAATTCCGTAACATATAAGTCGATCGCAGCAAGCCTGCAGCACCTACTTCTCCCGTATTGCCTTTCTTTTATTCTCCTAACACTGCTGGTAATAAAAGTAAAGAAGCCCATCTTTCGCTCCAGTCGTTTCCCATCAAGGAATTGACGCACAACAGACATCTTATCTTTTTCATACCCATCTCATTATACAAAGCAAGCTAAGCTCGTAACATGCCTCGGATGATTTGCTAGTCGCTAAGAGGATCTTTCTTCAGCGCAATAGGAAAATGACCAGCACTGATGACATTCTCGTTGAAACAAGGTCACGCCACGTAATAATAGGTCGCTGCTCGGTGCGTGCCGACCACCATGATCAGTAACTCAGTGGAAATGCCAGAGAAGGACCTTCCCAGAACGTAATGAAACGAGAACTTTTGGCAAAGCCTTTTCGCTTTCGTAATGGTATCTATCAGAAAAATATATGGGAGATGCTCGATATCTTCCTGCAGAGTTCCGATAGTAGGGCATTCGGCTGACAGCATGCGAAATCTCGACTGTAAAAGCGACTCTTCCTTGTTAGCTATTTAGTGGCCGCGGATTGCTTGACTTTTTCTTCCCAAGACGTCGTCGGAGTGATCCTGTTCAAACGCGATTAAAGGAAGAGAGTGGTTCGTCGAGCCCGAACAAAGAAAAATACACAAAACGCCAATGCAGAAAAGCCATCCAATCATCAGGCTCCAATTAATCTGACCTAAACATTCGCAGTCGGAAACACTCAGTGTGTCATTGTTCTTTTTTAGAATGCGAAACGATGCCAATGATTCTAAGAAAACTTTTTATTTCTTTTAGCCCACCCCACTATTAATGAATACCTTGTATCTCTTTTCCTCCCAATTTTCTGCGGTTTGATCATAATATTACGATGAGTGTGAAAGACATGGAAAATCAACCGATGATCGCGTTTGTCGGAGGTGGAAACATGGCGGAAGCCATGTTGGGTGGCCTTTACAACTCTGGTTACCCCAAGGATCACTTGGGGTTTTCCGAACCATTCAACGAACGGCGGTCCTACATGACAGAAAAGTATCCCAACGTCAAGTCATTTTCAGACAGCAAACAAGTTGTGGAGGGCGCACAGATTATATTCTTTGCCGTTAAACCACAAATTATGCCTGCAGTGATGGGGGAACTGAAAGAGAAACTGAAGGAAAATCCCCACGCACTGCTAATTTCGGTGGCCGGTGGTGTAACCACGGACAACATACGACGATGGCTGAACGCTTCGTCTAATGTATCCTTGATTCGTATGATGCCTAACACACCCATGCTGATTGGCGAAGGCGCAGTGGGTTTATTTGCCACCGACACGGTTGATGCAAAGCAGCGTGAGCTAACAGAGACCATTCTACGAACCGTTGCAAAACAACTGGTATGGGTCAAAGATGAATCGCTTCTCGATACGATCACAGCAGTCAGCGGAAGTGGTCCTGCTTACTATTTCCTCATCATGGAAGCCATGCGTAAGTGACATTTGAATTATTCACTTTGAGGAGAGAACCACTCATTCATCACCCGTTGGGGGACGGCACGCTTCTAGAAAATGCTGGAATAGAAGGAGGTTTATCACCGGAAGATGCAAAGGCGCTAACGTTACAAACATGCCTGGGTGCCGTGCAGATGGCGTTGGACAGTGGCGACGATTTGGCAACATTGCGAGATAAAGTTACTTCACCTAACGGAACGACAGCAGCGGCTGTGAATGCATTAGAAAATGGAGGATTGCGCAACATCATTGCTAAAGCCATCGAAGCAGCCACCAACCGCAGTCGTGAGTTATCTAAAGATCTTTCCTAACAATCCAGCTTAGAACGCCTCTGTCATTACAATTTGCTTTCTGTCACTTGGTATCCCTGTAGAATTAAATACAAATAACAGACACATTCATTTTGGCTTGTGTGCATACGAAATTTTTCAATCCAGATTCACTATTGCTTTGTCTTTTACAGCCCTGGACTTTGTGTAACTCGCCGAGAGGCTGCGAAGCCCTGCAAGCTTGGCCATATATGGCAAATCAATGTTTGCCACTCCTTGAAGTGTTTGTTATTTTCTAATGCATGTGCGTCCGTCTGTCTTTTGACCCAATTCAGCCAATTAGTCATTTCTGAAAATTTCAGTTTATAGAGATAAGGTTTCCGTAATTCGATCATGCTTTTTCACTATTCGTCAAATGGTGCGAGCGGAAAGGAAGAAATCAATCACTTCTGTGCATGGTCTTTCCCATTTGTTATTCAGCAAATATCATCACATGCCTGCAACTGGGACTCAAGATGTAAAACAGCACATGTTCCGGAATTGAAAATATAGACCAAGTGTGTCAAACTGCGGAACATGTCGGCCAAGATACAGAGAGATTACGACAGCCCAAAATTTGGGAGTTGGGCATCGGCATTTCAAAATGATTATCAGATGAAAAATAATGCTTTCTCGACCATGAAAAAATACGCGTATTGTCCCTTTGAGTGCAAGTGAACGATGGATGAAAAAAAACACGCGATTGTTAGTTGACAACAAGCGGATATACATCATGAATATCATATACTGACACGCTATTTTACTTCATGGTGTTTTCCGTGAACATGTGCAAAACCATGAATGTCGTACAACGAATGCATCATGCTGTCATCAGTTCACACCGCTCATGAGAAAAGAACGTCTTCCTCACAGCCACAAATGCAAGAAAAGACATGTTTTACAGCACGGACACATCATTCTTATCATTCTACAAGAAGGAAAAAGCAATGACAAAGAAAAAAAAAAACTCCAGCGAACTTTTTCTCCGCTGCTACGCGTTTGACATACCGACGAAAAAAAACATCATAAAAAATACCGGCAAACGCATCGCGAAATAAAATAAAAAAAATAAAATAAAAAAAAAGGTCGCGCTTGATCTCTTCCGTGGGACAGCGCGTTTCGCAACATAAAAAAAACACCAAAAAAAGATAAAAAAAAAAAAAGGCCAAGACGTATTGTCATGGATAACCCACGGGACAACTGGTATATAATACAAACGGCAACCGGTTGATAGGTTACATTGTTCTACAATTTTCACGCTCATACTTTGTAAAGCCATCTCGCACTTTTGCCAAAGGGGGAAAGATGAACACAGGAAAAGAATTGTCTCAATTGGTGCCTGTCAAATGACGACATTTTCCTGTAGAAGCCCTTCGATCGAAATGATGGAGCAAAAATAAACCATTAACTATCAGCTATTCAAAGTTGCATTCTTTAAGCGTGTATGCTCGTTGTCATCTATTTATTATCACATTTACAAAAAAAAAGAAAGGAAAAGAAATGATATGAAGAAAAGAAAAAAAGTAAATTCATAAGGAAGCCCGAAATTAAAAAAAAAAGTCTTTTTACCCGAAGAAAGAAATAGAAGAAATAGAAAGAAATAAAAAAGAGGATGTCTTGTGCTTATTTTTTATGAATGGTTTACACATAATGATTTTGGTTTTTTTTGAGCTTTTTTGTTTCATCAAAGTCCAGGTCAACTAGGATTGGCCGCGCTGCATCCATGAAGCTATAATAAAATAAGAAGTATGTTACTACAAAAAGATCATCCAAATGACGCCATTATTTTCTTTGAACAATTACCTGAATCAGGCGAAGACGTGGTGTTGGTGGAAGTGGAGGTACTGGGGATAGGAGTCATGGGTTGGGGTTTAATGAACCCGTCCTGATCCGCTTTCACTTCCTGCAAATGTGGACTTGATCGCTGCGAGTGCGGTTGCGAGTGGGGTTGTTGGTAGTATTGCGCAGTAGGTTGATGAACATCACCATGTTGCATCATTGGACGCGATGTCTGAGGAGAATGGTGCATCATGCCTCCACCGTAATGCTGAGGCATGGGCGAGTGCTGGTATGATGGATGCTGTGCTTGTTGCTGCTGAGGAGGTTGGCTGCCATCGGCGCCTTGACCGGGGACGAGAACAGGGTAAGCCATGGTGGGTGGATACACAGGGTTCACGACGTAAGGTTGAGGCATCATTTGATCTTTATGATATGCTGCATATTGACCGTAGGGATCATAGGGTTGACCGTATTGATTGAGATTGCTAGGATAACCAAAGGGCATCGACGCCGCACGCATAGCAGGTGCATACTGTTGCTGCTCGGGCATACCGTCTTTACGAGAACCCTTATCACCATCTACAGGGGAAAATGTTGATTAGAGACCGTTGCTGTCGTTATGACGATAACAACTTGACACTCACCTTGCTTCTGTCTTCTCTTGTAGGGACCACGCTTGATGCCCTTCTTGCGTTCTTTTCGAACCGAGTTTACACAAGTATCTGCGATACCGTACTTGACGCAACGAGGACAGGGTCTCGCATCATCACACTTTTTGCAGGCTTTTTGGCAGTTGGCTAAAACAATGGATTCCTTGGTCAGCAACCGCTAGCTTACACACCCATGGTCAAAGATAAAAAAAAAAGTCGATGACTTACTGCACGCGTTCTTGACTTGTTTTCTTTTTGTCTGTGGCTGAGTAGGAGCACCTGCTTCCAAGCCGGGATGCTGAAGAGGAGGAAGACCGGCGGGATGAGTCATCATGGAAGGTGCACCGTTGGCTAATGAGGCCACGGGAGGATTAGCGCCGTAAGGTGAGGGGGCTTGCTGGTAGCCCTGCTGATAATATGGCATCGATTGCATTCTTTGAGTATATTGAAGCGGAGTAGAACTAGGAAAGAGAGGCAAGTAATTCAAGGTAAGTAACCGACCGAGAGTGGAAAAAGAAATACAAAAAAAAAAAATACACAGAAAAAAAAAATTGAAACTTTTTAAATAGAAGAGGGAAAATAGAAAAATAGAAAGACGAAACCAAGGCAATCGGAAAAACGTAGAAACGGGAAGGTGCTAGTGAGCAATGAGGGGGGAGTGGTCGATGGAAGGAATCAAGAGTGTCAATGACAATGAAGTGTGTCGAGCACTTGGAGATTGACAGCTCTTGTGAGTAACAAGAGAAATATGCCAAATAGCGTAAACACACAAAAAGGCCCTACAGCGGCGCTGGAAACTGACTTATTTCAAAAAGGCAAAGAGAAGTGTACAAAAGGAACAAACAAGTTTGAACCCACCGAGCCGAGAAGAAGATCAAACAAAAGAGTAATGATAAGGTGTAGATACAAAGAGATCATAACTTACATATTTTCCGGTTATCTTTTTCTCTTCCTGCTGGTGAGGTTTTTTTTTGTTGGGGGAGAAGAAAAGAAAGGGAAGGAAAAAAAAAAAACGCGCGTAACAAAAAAAAAAAATACTAAACAGTGGCAATAGCTGAGTTCCAAATTAACAGAAACAGAAAAATCTTTTTTTTGCGGTTACGTATTTTCTCGATATTTTTTTTCTTTGTCGATATCCAAAGGTTTTTTCCTTTTTATTATGACCCACTTTTTATAGCTTTATTTTTGTATTAACTAACTAATTGATACCAATGTTTTTGTCATGATCGAACTTGTCCTACATAATTATCGTATAGTATAGGCTTTATCTCAGCTGCAGGTTGAAAGCTGACCTTCAATATCCCACGTTGTTTGCACAGAAAAAAAAAAAAAAAGCCTGCACCATTTTCGAATTTTTTTCAAGGGTCGCAACGAATGGCTGCAAAGCGGAAAAACAATTAACAGGGGAACGAAAACAAAACACCGACACCGTAATTCAATGATTGGTGCGGGCTAAAATGAGTAACATCATTGTTCCACCCATCTTCCCTTTTACGGTTATGCCCGTTATATTACTTTCTCTGTTTGGTGCCCTTGAATGGTGCCCTGTCTCTCGTTGCCCGAGTAACGGATCAAATGGTTCGTCAATTCTATTCGGTAGACTCTTTTTAATATACTTAGTCATCTCCAGATTCGTCATTTTGTAGACACCACACGAATCAATTCTGTGCTTCCTTTCTTTGTGGTTTGACCGTCATGGAAAGGAACACCAGTGATGACCGAATGATTTTGATTTATATGAACCTCCGATAGTACGGTCATTTATTCACATACCGCTAAAATCTCAGTTGTCAATTTGTTGCTGTGGTAAGCATTTACCGAAGTCATCCATGGGATGTCATGAATTAGGTATTATTTTTTGCACTCCAAAAGGATGGCCATCGTCGTACACAAAGCATTATATTTGCTCATTTCCAGTAATTCCTGCCAACTCGTAGAGATAGGTACTGAGCATCTTCCACCGTACTTGGTTTGCATTGGATTGCCTATTGTTCGATTGGCATTGATCATTCAACTTCCTACCTTGCGTTTTTTTTTTTTTTTTCGGAGAACCTGGACTGAGTTTGGTCTCTCGGTTGTTTTTTCTCCACAATGTTTTCAGACATGGATCGTCATATCCCTCAATGTCCACAGATCAATCGTTTCTAAATGATAAGAGTATTTTAGTAAAAATAAAATGTCATTGTACCCCATAGTTACTTCAAAAGTAACCCATTAGCCTCATGTGATGTAGATTGCACTAAATTAATATATCAGTGAAGAGAAGGGGACCCCCTTCTTCCCATGGCATCGACGAAATATGCACAATGAAGCCATATCCGCATGCGGAGATGGTAACTCCTGCCGATGCGAGGTTACTAAATGACGAAAACATCGCTCCTCCAAATCGTTTCCCGCACAGACGTATCACCATGCTTGTCGATCCTTTGCCGTTGTCCTTTTCATTTCCCTGGCGGGGTTCCTGATGCAAAGGGTCCAATGCTAAGGACAGACAATTGCATATTGCCTACCTTTGTCATCATCACATGCTCAGGAATCATTGACTATACGTAAAGCTTTTCCGTTTCCCTATATATCGTCGAGCGCATACAAGCAAAAAAAAAAAAAAAAAAAATGCTCAAGCCAAGCTTGCTGGTGGTTATGGAGGTATACTTACGGACACGTGGTTTGGGAAAGATATAGGGCGGTGCAATACCCCTGAATGAATGCGGACATGCTTTGGAAATAAAGCGGAGAAGATTCGCTTTTTCCCTCATGCGTGTTTCAATATAATGAAGCTGTCAATGGTGTTTTACAGCTCCTATTGAGTCTCAACAACCTTCATGCAGATTTTCTTTCAACGCTCTTTTTCATTTTAGTTTTCTCCTTCCGAGCTCAGGTCAAACTTCCGCCTACCATGCATCGCTGACCTCGGTCGGTGTTATCTCTCTCCATCACATCTTCCGCCACACCGTCCATCAGGACACAGAACGTGACACAGCCCACTCTTTGCACGTCTGCCCATCTTCATCCGTCTACGCATGCTCTTTATTTCCCCACACATTCAACAAAGTTGGCACAATCCCATCGTGACACAGTCTTACCTAGAATCCATCGGGCAACTGTGGATCATTTCGTATCCACTGTGCATGTGTATAAACACCAAAGGTCAAGATTCGTCAGGAAGGCTGTGCGGCGTAGTATTGCAAAATCATTGACTGTAGCTTGGAACTTGGACAGAATAAGAGACTTTTGGGTTAGATGCATTGGGTTGAACTGTGAGTTGTATAATCCGGGAAATAATGCTGTGAATGAAATTTGTAACCTAATATTATTCTCAATCATTTGGACATGAGGGTTGCACAGCATAATTGCCCAAACAAGGAACATTGGCCATCCTTTGCAAGAGGTGGGAAATCGGTCGCCATCTCCCATTCCATACTCAGCCGGACCCTGTTACTCAAGTGTCTGGCACACATACACACACTCTCACACACACATCAATCTCAGAGTACACTCCATCTCCGAACGGTCTTGCAACCATTTCTCCCAAGATCGGCATGAACGGGTTCATTTAAATCACAGAAGTCTTGACACATTTCAGGCACATCCATTTAATAACAATCCCGCAGTTGACTTATTTCTCTCAGGTTTTTTATAATTTTTTATTCCGCCTCATGCTGTGCGCATAAATATAAAAAATACTCGTCTTGACGAACTTTTTTTCCCCTTCTTATTCGTTCCGTTTGTACCTTGTCCTACCCTTGCCCGCTGACAATTCACAAGTCGTCATAAATGTAAGACCTCTCTCCCCTCATTCTTGACCCAACTGATAGCTCGGCGATCAATGCCACGCCAATTAACCTCCATGTCGATTTGGAACGGCATCGTCACTTTCCTGTGTACATTACATTGTTCAACGCTTGCTAGGGTTGATACTCATCTTTTCGTTCTTCTCTTGCTTTAGAAGCGCTTATGTCTAGCACAGAGCCAGTGCAAGCGGTTGTAAACATACCTCGAAGACGCCGTAGAACCAGTCCGGTGAATGCACATACAGTCCCGGACACTGCGAATAGTGACAGTCAGCTTATCAGTGATAAGCTCTATGTCCACCTTCCGCCCAACATCTCGAAAGAGGATATTTTCATGGCGTTGCAGCACTGTAATCCGGTAGAGTAAGTCATACCATCCATCTAATTGGGTATTACCAAGGAAATTGACTCGACACCACAGCATCCAGCTTTCTCACCACACGGATCACATCAGTGGACACGTCCAATTTGCCACCGCGGATCAAGGTGAAAACCGATAAACCATTGCACACTGACTCAATCACTCAACCTTTGTTTAGCCGAACGGGTGTATGTCCTTTATAAGGGCATCAAACTAAAAAACGGCGAGTCTTTGCATCTTCGAAGCCAGTTTGATGAACAAGAGGAGATCGTGGAATCGTCAAAGGATGATCGGATACTGCAAGTCAGTGGTCTTCCTCTGGACAGCTCCCTCGACCATCTCTACGATTTATTCCGCCCGTTTGGTCCACTGAGAATGTGCAAAATTAATCCAACGCATCGTAATGCACAAACGAAAACCGCTTCTGTCCAATTTCTACGGTCGGAAGACAGCGAAAAAGCGGAAGCCGCCATGGTAAAAAAGTGTCTCATTTCACATTCAATGACCGCTCTACTAATCTGTCACTAATCTGTCACCGGCAGCATAAGGCATTGATCCGAAAAAATATCATGTGAGTGTCTCTCTTTGGATCGTCAGTTTCACTAACTGACCCTTTTTATTTTGCAGTCATGTTGTCCCTTATGTAGCATCTCAGTCCAATAGAACACATGTGAGCGGTCGACAGTCCACAGTATGTATTAATCCATGTCCGCATACTGTACGATGAATCATTTGCATCCATTTTTAGATTGTAAAATCGAATAATCAGACACGCCGTCGTGGGAAGCCGCATCCAAGTTTGCAGTCAGATCCGCAGACCATGGTGGATTACAGCAACTTGTACATCCGAAATTTGGATTTGAGATTGCGGAGTTCGCACCTTTTCAATGCTTTTCGATCCTTTGGACACATCGTCTCAGCTTGTGTCATGAGAGATCGTCGTACCAAGGACTCCAGAGGGTTCGGATTTGTCAGCTTCAGTACGGCCAATGAAGCCTGCTACGCCATGCAAAAAATGAATGGTACTTGTCTTATGTCCAGACGTATCAGTATTGCCTTTCATGAACCCAAAAAACGCGAACGAAGAACATCCGTGATGGTCGAACCAACCGCGCCAAAGTTCAACGATCCTCCGAGCACTTTTGCCGTATCGTTTAACCCGCCTCCTCCTACATCTTTTCCCGCCGATGCATTATATTATCCAGTTCTTTTCACCTCTGATTCAAATGCCGCCTTATCATTGACAGCCTTCCAACCCAACGCTTTCATTCCATCTTCTATGCCCCCTCTCATGCCGTCCGTCGATGCAACAGGTCAACCGTCCGTCAATCCTTTCCAGTCTTTTTCATGGATGAACGTGTCGAACACTATTCAACCAGACTGTGGAGTGGTTGTCCCTACATACGAGTATCCCGTATCGTTCCCTCAAGAACCCACTGAATATCCATGGAATATGTATGGCACGGAAGCATCGCAGTCCCCATTTCTAGCGGATATCATGCTTTATGTGCGACGCCAACGTCTCTTTAATGCTGTTGCTCAACTCACGGAATTTGAGCCGAGCATCGACACTATCGATATGCTGTTAACTTTGGGCATCGCAGAACAATCCTTATGCTTTTTCAATCCCACTTTTCTGAAAACCAAAGTTCAGCTGGCTCAAATGTCCGTTGAAGCATTCCAAAAAAAACGCTAAACGAAGAAGCCCCAAGACAACCGTCCAAAATCAACAGCCAAAGCACTCAAAGCCAAAGTCATGTACAAACGCATCAGCAAAGTCTCTTTTTCCCTTTCTTTCAATGATCCATATGCCCCCATCAAACATCAAACCCTCTATAGTGTAGTACTTCGTCATTTTCGCAAGCATCGGATACGTATATTCATCACCAAACCTAGGTCGCCTGTCACCATCATCCACATCATATAACCTTCTGCATTATGAGAATATAAATCGTCTTCTTCTTTTTTTATTCGCAATGGCAAAGAAGTGCAAAACAAAGCGGGTCTATGTTTTTCTATGAAAATGAAGTGATTTAGTTCCTGTCCATCATCAAGCTAATGGGAGCTATACAGAATAAGATGCTTGCAGCTGAGCGAAATCCACTGATACAAAAGAAACGCTGATAGTATGACGATATGGATTCGAATCCAGGTTGACATTGATCCCTGAACGATTATTGATCAGTGGTTTACTGCTGCTTGTCAGTTTCCGCCGTTCGGAATTCAGCTGGAGGTTCTTCCAGATCTCGCCATGCTTTCTCAAGCTTGGCACGTTTGGCAGCAGCACGCGCCTTGTTCTCTGCTCGATGAATAAGAAACTAAATAGAATAAGTCAGTATGCTTGCATTTTTTCCGTTTCCACATGGTCGCCATGGATCCCTCCTAGATCCCGTACCTCTTCTTTCAAACAGTCATCCACTGCTTTTTTCGCATCGTTACAGGCACCGATAAACTTGTTGAATGAATTGGCACGATGGCAAGCATCCAATGCTTCGATGACTTTTTCACAACCTTCGTGTTTATGGGAAGCTAACGGAGGATGCATTTCGAATAGTGACGAATGTGATGGTGCAAAAGAAGAAAAATTGTCAAATTTCCAGCCGTCAAGAGCTCGATAAACAAAATGAAACTCGGCATGGGCGGAGATTCCCGTTCAACCCATGCCAGATCGGTTTCCAAGCAAAGCTGCCAAAAAATTGTTCATGTTTTTCGTTTGTTTTTGTTGAAATATATTACAAAGAAAATGACAAAAAAAATAAGCTACAGATAAAGAAAGTGCGACAAAAATTAAAGTAATAGTTTGTACATCCAAAGCCCATTTTCTATGCGACATCCCTGAAAAGGCACATCCCATCTATTCAATATCTTGCCCTTGTTGTTCCGCATTCGACGTCGTTCCTGCTTGAATATCAGCAGATACAGGAGCATCTGTTTCATTATCTGTACTGTGAGAATCAATGGGATGTTCTGCTGGAGCCGAATCTTGAGAGGTCGTGTGGCGTTCTACAAATGTCCATTCATCATCATCGTCGTCTTCCTTGTCAGAAACGTCCATAAGCGCATTGAACGAATTCTTGGATGCTGACGTAGGTGCTTCACTGGTCGTCTTGTTGTTGGTCAAAGGCTTTTCACACCATGTTACATGGTCTTGTTGATTGATCCAGCAGCAGTCTACCCTCGCAGCGGTATGCGTATCGAAAAATGCCATCTTTGTTCCTTTCTTTAGTCGCCAGATAAGGTCTTCCTTTTCCGATACTGGCATGGCATTGTCCGTTTCAAACATAATCACTGCGTCAAAATCATTGACCCATCGAGACGTAAAGGAGACATCGCCGTATAGCTTTCTCAAGATTTCATCGAGATCGGACTTGGTCATACCAAAGGCCATATCCGACAGATACAGGGCATTTACAGGTTGCTTGGATGTCTTCATAACAGTCGCCTCGGCAACGGAATCCTTTACCGGCTGGGCGGGAGGTCGATTCGCTGTAGGATGGTAGGCTGCATAGGATAGGAGGATGGATGGAACGCGACATTGACCCAACGTCTTGCGCACAATCACACTACGTTTCGGTTCTGGGTCCACGGCTTCCGTTGCCAAGTTGAAATGAATACAGTAGCGGTGAATGAATCGTCGGAAAGCGCTGCGCATAGGTCGGCAGTGAAGCGATTGTTTCGAGTCCTGAACGAAATCAATCAACAGGGTTTCGATTTGTTTGCACCAGCTAGGGTTCTCATGATAGAATCCGCATAGCGAATCATCGTAGTAACCAAGATCGTCTGTCGATAGCTGTTGAGCCGTTGTTTCATCCCGGTGAATATCCAAGGCCATGGCCAACCGTCGATTACGTTGTACTTTGAGACAGAAATCGTTGCAGTCGAGTTTTTGATTCGATCCACTTGATTCCGCCGTGGCGTTGCAGGGAATCTCGATGGAATTTTGACCGCAATCACACGTGGCGCGTATTCTTGCATCACACGGTTCGGTTTCGGGGCAAGGGGAATCGCCGTGGCAGGGCGCTTTGCAAGGATGACTACAGCTTCTTGACTTGCCGCAAGGCTGCGTGCATACTTCATTCTCGCCCAGACAAGCGTCAGCGTGACACGTACGACGACATCGATGAAGTTGACACGGCAAGGGTTTATCGCACACTTGTCCACATCGAGGCGCTTCCCGGTAACAGGGCACATTCTTGAGCATGGCTTTACCGCAAACACATGAACGTGTGATCAGGATAGCACAAGGGGGACACGGTTCGTCATCCGGATGACAGTTGTGTTGCAAAAGACGCATATGGCCACAAGGAGCCACTCGTGTACAAGGGTAAGGACACGGTGGTAATTTTGTACCGCAACGCACAGGAGGTTCAAGCACTGTTCGACCACAGTGGCAAGTGACTTCGTCAAATTCCGCCTCTGCAAGAACAAACAAGCAGTAAATCAGTTGCAAATTCATCCCTCAAATTTCAGGTCAATCAACTTACCCAAACACGGATTGCATTTGCCTTTATGACATCGCTCTTGGCATTGATGGATCCCGCATGACAGCGTTCTTCCACAGACGAGGGTACAATCATGGGTGGTATCCAAGGTCTTCTTTTTCCCCTTTTGCTTTGAAGCCGGACAGCATTGATTACCACATCCATGACGTCCACAGCTTCGCATGGTGGGGCAGATCTTGTCACATAAAGGCGGCTCACCACCAGCCGCTTCACACACGCGTGAACATACTGAACTGAAGGTAGTGGCTCGACATCGACAAGGTACATTGACAGGTTCTTGGCAGGGAGCACAAGAGCCTGTGTGGCACCTTTGCTGGCAAGCGTGACCACAGGGCAATAGCTTGTTGCAAGTAGAAGAGCATGTCAGAATAGGATCGGTGCATACTGTACGCGTGTCTTTTCCCATGAGCGCTTCCAAAGGGTGAGCTCCGCAGGGACATGTATCAATGATGGCAGGATCAAACGGACATTGTTCTGTATTCACCGTGCAAGGATGGCATTCTTCTTTACAGAAATGGTTGCCACAAGCATAAGCACTAGAAGAAAAAAATATGAGCCGTCGGGTCGCATTGCGAGTAGGCGCTTCAGTGATTAAATACTTACGTTTCGCACGTCGATTTGCAACTGTAGTATCCTATGTGACCATTGCAATCGGTGGGAGCGCCTTGGCCGCATCTTGCCGTGCGTGAGTGACGACCGCAATAACAGGTTTGAGATACGTCCACTTTGCACGGTTCGCACACGCCCGAATGACACCTTTCCACACATCGATGTTTCCCACATCCTAACAACTCGCCGCAGACTTCGTCGCATGAATATCCTTGGGTGGTATAATCGGTATCAGCACATCGCTTTTGATGCATGTTTCGTCCACAATAGCACGTTCTCAAGGGACCCATGGCGCTACAGGGCGGACAAGGACCGGGATGGCAAGGTCTATTAAGCACACACACACAGATATATACCGTTATTACTATGACTCAATCAACCCCCTAGTTTCTCCAAAAGATACTTACAATGTGCATTCGTGAGGGCACGCTCGGGACTTTTTACATAATTGTCCACAGCTGTGAGGTATAAGAAATTTACTCGGTTCCGGGTTTCTCTCCTTGCCACAGAAACAGAGATAATCTCTTGGTACAGCGCCACGGGTATGCTGGCAACCAGGACATCGCCAAGAGGTAATCATCTTGTTGGTACTTTTATCTGTAAACCCACAAGTGGTCATTGAGAACCCTGTTATTCGCATTTTTTCCCATACGAAAAAAATTACCTTCCAATGACTTGGTGGCCCATCGGCCGATACAGTTCAAGTGGAACACTTTCCAACAGCAATCGCAAGTCCAAGTGTGGTGACCGTGGCGAATGATATCCCAACAAACCATGCATTCGTACGCACCTGTCTGTAATTCGTGAGCAATGCTTGATGCTAAATCCTTAAAATCCGGTGTTGGTAATGTCTGTGTAGGTGCTTTGGCAGGCTTTCGACGAGATCGCTTGGGTTTGGCAGCCTCGGGTCCATCATTTGATGCCTCCTGGGGAGTGGCATCGCTGGTGAGACGAGCTTGCGCACGGTTTTTATGGAAGCGAGGCGAATGCGTAGCGTTATTTGTCTGGTCGCTAGAATCCAAAGCGGTGGACTTGGGCTTGGGCTTGGGCTTCGGTTTGGGCTTGGCTGGTATAGTCGATGCTTCGGATGAAGTGGCGGGCTCAGTGGCAGATGGGCCAGATGCATCCGTGTTGGTATCGGTGGCAGGTTTCTTTTTGTGATGACGGGGACGACGACGCTTTTTGGGCGCTGTATCATTGGTTTGATTTACATTGTCTGCAATAACCTGTTCTGCCACCGTTGATGACCGGTTTTCTGTAGCTTGATCTTGATTTTGTGCAGTGGTTACCACGTCCGAGGGCTTCTTAGAATTAGCGGCGTGAGGTCGAGAACGACGTGAACGAGGCTTTTTTGAGGAAGGCTTATTCTGCTGTGTTAATGATGCTGCAGAAGAAGAACTTTCGGCAGGTGTACGAATAACCACGGTTGAACCGCTTTCTGCGTTAAGCATGGAACGAGTATGTGGAGAAAAAAAGAAGCGGTGAGGAAGGGGCACGGGCTCCGCCTTTTAAATAACTCTAAATGAATTGAGCTTATTGGCCCAGTGGCGCAGTTCATTGGATATTTCCCAGCCGCCGCAGTAAATGCGGACCAGTGGTTTTGTCCAACTCATCGACATAAAAAGCGCACATGCCTCAAATACAGCTTACCAATGAGATTCCTGAAGAACAGTAGCTATTGTGCACTATTTGTACAGAAACGAATCCCTCTTTATATGAGTGTAATATATGCGGGGTCTAACCCACGCTGTGTTTATATGTGTTTGATATCAGTCATGCCAAATGTTCATTGATATTGAAAAAATGTGTGACGCCTTTTTCAATGAATTTCTCTTTTTCTTTCTTTTTTTCTTTCAATCGGAAAAACCCATGTCCAATATCCAATCATGATAAAGGGATACATGACGTAAAACACAAGTGGCTGTATAATACCTCTCTATTCGAATATTTCCGCTTCGTTATAACAGACTAAAGATCATCCACCATCGATATACAATATGTTTTGAACCAAGAGTGGATGGACGAGTGTGACTTGCATTATGCAATGTCCCAAGGTGAAAGGAAAAAGGGACACAAAAAAAAAAAACTCAGGGAGGGGGGGTGTTCAACACACAGTGAGAGGATTCTGAGCGTCAAAAAAAATTGTACGCAAAAAAAAGAGGCTGGCTTTACTTTTGTTTCCCTTTGCCTGCCTGGTTTTCAGCATATTTTTACGCCCATGAACAGTTGGAGACGACTTGCTAGAACTTCGGGATCTCTTCCGTATTCTCAGCTTTGCAATGGGTATCGGTCAACTGTGCGCATGGCTGCTGTGCGCTCTTCGTGCCGCGGAGCCACTTTGACAGTTGTGCGTCCTCTCTCCTTGAAAAGCATTTTCGGCGGCAAGTCCAAACAGCCGACTGAACAGAACAAAATCATCCTTGACCAAGACAATTTATTCCATAAATTATCACAATCGCCCATTGCCGAGTTACGCGACAGAGGTGCCATTATCAACAAGTACGGGGTGTGCCCTGTATGCGACACCGAATGCCAAGGTCATAAAAAGCCACCCGTGTTCGAATGCCCCGATTGTGGCTATCCTACTCACTGCAGCAGCGAACATTATCACGAGGGAAAAGCAGCTCATCAGGAGATTTGCGGTATTTTACGTGAACAAAACGAAGATGACCACGACTTGCGATCAGGAAGAGCCATGAAAGAATTTGAATTTCCAAGCAAGTATTTCTTTTTTTTTTTTTTTTTTTTTTTCTTGTTTCCCCTTTTTTTTCTCTCTCATATTATGAATTTCCTTTTTACTTCACGATGGATGTGGACAAGCAACAAAAAAGGGAATCACGTAGAATGAACTCATGATAAGGAGAAAGAAAAAAAAAGAGAGAGAAAGACAGAGAAAGAGAGAGAAAGAGAACAAAAACAACAAATTAACATGGTCTGCAACGTTTAATAGGTGCTCAAGGATTTGATGAAGCTGTGAATATGGCCAATTGGGATATTTTCTTTTACACTCGTGCTTTCCCATCCATGGATTCCAGTCGATCGATTCGTCACGTTTCCAAGCTACTGACGTATCCAGTGACGGTTGCGTCGGTCCTGCATGAATCTTGTCCCTATAAACTTGGCAAGGAAATTACTCCCGAGGGCATGCGATCGCTTGCAGGTAAACAGATCAAATAGGCTCGAATGTGGAGAAAAAGGGGGCGGGGGATTTGACCAAAGTTTCGGTGATGACAGTATGTATGGAATTATCGAATTTCTAATGAGTTGATATCGGCATGAATGAAATTTAGCGTTGCGAACGATTTTGTATCCACGAGATATTGCCAAGGAGAACACTGCACCTGCACGCACGGAAATGATTAATCTTTATGTGATTGGTGCTCGTGCCGAGGCCACTTTACCGCCTCACATTTGGCTGCAAATGGCTTATCTTTTCCCTCACACTCCTTTCCACATCCATTTCGTTGGTCCTGATGCCCTACCGGCCAATAAGGAACCGCATACGACTTCGCTGAATGAACGATTGATGTTCACCTACGATAACAGCCTGTACCACGACTACCACGAGAAAATTGAGAAATTTGATCCCTACACGGATCTGTTCTTCTTATTTTCACCGGGTATTGGCCATCCTTCGGCCCGTGAGACCTGGAAACCCTCGATTCAAAAAGCATTGGAAACCAAATGTGCCATTTTTCTTACCGGCTTTGATCACGCCGATATGGCCAATGACATTGAAGCCGTCGAGCAAGATTATTCGGGTGAATTTGACTGGATCATGAAGCCTACCGAGAACGAATTCCGAAGTATGAAGCGAGACATCAATTTGATGGATTTGAGACAGACCATTTTCGCCAATTGGGGCATTTGGGGTATCCGTGGAAAACACTACGATGTCACCCACCAACCGGAAGACGATGAGTAGAAGAAAAAATAATAATCAGAAAACCAGAAAAACACATCCTCCCCTTTGATTTTCATGTATCGTTTTCGTCCCTTTTTTTTATATATATTCATATGTCTTTAATAGAAGGTAGATGTATTTTTGATCTAGAAAAAAAGAACTACTGTTTTATGCTACCGTTGCATGGATTCTATCGGATGATACTGCCACGAAATTCAGACTCTTTCACTTGCTTTTCCCGACAAACCCGCGATCATGCGACGCAACGCGTGTCCTTATTTCCCCGGTGCCTTTGTTCAAATCGTCTTGGCAACAATATTTAGGGTCGCTTTTATTGCGCAAAGAGCGATCACCATTGGCTGTATTTAGCCTAAACGCCAAAAAGGCAAATAGCGCGTAACAGGAACGATATAGACAGATCTAGTCCACAAGGTTGGGCGGACCCAGTGGTCCGGTGTTGGCCTAATATGGTAAACCGTAAACTATTCACCTTGTCATACGATGAAAACCAGTCTTCGGAATAACATTGATGGGTGATGAGAGATAACGGTCGAGATGGGTTGCAACGGAAACATGTGCTGCCCACCAAAAAACCCAACACAGGAATGGATGCAAAAATTTCTTGTATCATGTTACACGAAAAAAACCATGGCAAATTCATAATAATAGCTTACATTATGGAAAAAAAACAAACAATGGAAATGACAACGATGACAGCAAACTATGATCATCTACTACCACTCATTGAATATCCAAATTCGTCTTGCCGATCCATTGGGCTTTCAGGACCACTCCAACCTTTTGTTTCGGACATTTTCCAATTTGCAAATCTTTCTTATTTTTCGATGCCGAGATTCTATCTTCGCACGATCCCGCCCTCAACGTTTGACAAAGCCGTACTTTCCCGCATCAAAATAAGCTACCTCGTCTGATAACCGCTCTGATATGTCAAAAGAATAGCCGACCTGCATCCCACTAATTAATACCTGCATGGTGGCTAACCTACGTATCGATCCGCGCGTCCATTCACGCATGGGCAAACGATTCAATGCTTCTGTGGAAAAACCACCAATAATATGGTTTGAATTTTGTTCTTGTAGCTTTTGTTCAACCTTGGCTGCATCGGGTGATACTTCCATGCCTGGGGCAGTGCCAAGCAAGAGAGGGATTTTCAAATGATCCTGAAGATGGTTACTTTATTTAGACAAGGAACTAGAATTATCAGGTAATACAGACTTCTGTCCGCTATTCCATGCATGGAAGAAAAGCCTGCCTGCTCACGTCTGAGTGGGTGTGAAAAAAATCTCTGTATTACAATAAGGTGCCACTAGAACATTCACTTGAACTTATTCGCTCCATCGACCACAGACACAGACACAAACACACACTCACACTGTACCCACCGGTTTCGCCTTGGCGCTCTCGCTCGCTCTTTTTTTTCCCTTTTTTCTCTAAGCTCATCCAACATTGCACAAAGACAGGTGTGTCTCCCCTCTCCTTCCATTTCTCCTTAATTCTGCCTTGTCATTTGGCTCTTGATCCAATCACCTTACTCCTCGTTGTGTGGTCCGCTCGACTCCTTCCCCATACCTGTCTTTCTCGCTTCATATTCTCGTCCTCGTCTCCTGCTTTCTCGCTTTTTTCGGCTTCCGTAAACGCACTTGTCAGCTTCTTTTTTTGGTGTTTACAATATTCTCTGTAATTGCTGTTACTATTTTTTCCTTCTTCCTCTCTTCCATCCACCATTTTCTCTTCCAATTCAGTCGTGTGCTAATTCCACGCCACAACATTCGGCGTCATGACAACGATACCCGCAAAAGATATCATTTGTCGAGTCTATGCTTTATACCCGTATACATCGACGGACCGGTCTTCGCTTTCATTTGAACAGGGCGCCATTATTGATGTCCTAGGTCAACTTGAATCCGGCTGGTGGGATGGCTGGTGAGCATCGAGTGTAAAGGGATGGGCAAAAAAAAAGAGGAACGGGAAGGAGAGATCATAGATCCATGAAAGAATAACATAAACTCAATAACCCTCCGCGTGTTTGCAGGTGTAATGGACAACGAGGCTGGTTCCCGAGTAATTATGTCCAGATATTAGATCCCATGGATGAAACCGGCATCCGACACGGATCCGATGCGGAGCCGCTCGATGTAGGTTTTTTAAATCGTAATGAAAAAAAAAAAAAAACTTTAAATCCCTGGGATCATCTTTCAAACTCAATACTCGCATCTCCATCTTGGTTCCCTTTTTGATCTTCCTTTTTTTTTTTTTTTTTTTAGGATGCTCATGGCTGGCCTTACCGACAACAGCAACCACATTGGTACAACGATATTAACAAGGAAAAGGATTTTCCTCTATCATTAACCCACGACGACATTGCCCATCCCTCAAAAAAGACCTTGCCAGCGACCTGGATTTTACAGACCACAGAAGACGGATCGGAAGTGTATTACTTCAATGTCGTCACCAAAGAAATGCGATATTCAGTTCCTCCAGACGATTTTGACCAAGCCAATCATGATCCCGTTATCATTGCAGATCACTCCATCACGACCTCCCCTTTTTATGCATCCTTCGATGCTCTAAGACCGACCGACCAAGATCTTATCAGCGAAGACCAAGCCATCAATCGACCTGTACGTCCTGCGCGTGCTACTCATCGTTCCGAATATATGGCTCGTCCCATGGACGAACAAAGTATTCTCAGTGCAGCTACAGCCACCACCAGCTCGTCCAGCACAGCCCCCAGTCTTCACGCTTTACAATCCTCTATCGAAGAACAAGTAATGCATTCGACATCAAAATATTTCCTTCTTTCTTTTTGTTGTCTCACAAGCATGCGCATCTTGCCCTTTTTCTTGTTAGATACCACCCAATTGGATCCGCAAAACTACTCCCAAGGGTCGTACGTACTATTGCAATGTACTGACAGATCAAACCACTTGGAGTTTGGATCACATTGATCCAATCACAGGAGCTCTCCTGAAATCGGCAGCCAATGTAAGTTGGCTATGTATGAAAATCTCTACGTTGAAAGATGCTGATCCAATTCACAGGTCTCACCTTCCTCCAGTTCGAGACATACGAGTCACACCAGTCATCGTCTGAGTACTTCCAGTGGTAGTGTGTACAGTCATGACATACCTCCGCCAATGTCCTGGGCGGAACTTTCCAATGTCGTGGCCCAAGCCATTCAGGGTTTGAGAACATCCGTAGAGCAGGAAAAAAGTCACTTTTATTGCGATGATGTTGCGCTGGTCGTCCGGCGGATACGTTTAATGCTTTATGTCTCCAACTGCGTCGACAAGGAAAATTCGCCGTACCTGAAACACAGCAAGTTATTAAGAAGCCATCATCGCGCTTTGCTCGCTGCGATCGCCAAATTGATCCTATCTGCCAAAGTGGCCTCGGCATCGTGGCCCCCTCCGAATGCCGGGAACAAACTTCTTTTAGATGCCGACGAAGTATTGGTCGCTGGCCGCAATTTCATCAGTACAGCGCAAGAAATGCGATTGGAAGTCGTCGACGATCGACCTAAAGTGCTTCAGGACAGCCCATCATTTTTGCAATGGCGGACACCCGTGGATATCACCGATCTGAGCGGCAAAAAAGCCGATCCAGCCACCACCATCCTCGTGCTGGCCGACAACGTCCGTGGCGCCATGACCTCGTTTATTGACAGCATCCGTGAAGCGTTCGCCTCGCTGGATCCAAAGAGCACGTCGTCGTTGTCTCTTTCAGCCAAAATTCGAACCACAGCACCTTTACTCGTCGCTCAGTTCCGCAATCTCAGTAGCACCATTAGCCAGTTCCTGCATTCAGTAGAAGACGCGATCACTACAACACGCTCGGCGCATGCCACTCAGTTTGCTTCTTCCAAGCAAGCTATTTACACATCGATGGGCTCGTTGTTCATTGCATCGCAAATCATTACCAAGGATGATCTGCCACCCAGCGATCTTCAAGCTACGCTTCTCTGTATAGAGAAAGATGTTCAAAGCATCGAAGGAAAAGTGGTCCATATTTGTGCCATTGCTCGTCAGCTGCTGGAAGAATCCAAAGGTGATATGTCGCACCGCGGGCCTTTGCGCTCACCGTCAGAGGACGATATATTGGCGCGACCATCGCAGGACAGCAGCCGGTTCCACATAAATGGCACCATTCCTGAATTCGACCGGGACTCATTTGCCGAACCTTCCTTGTACAGCCCTGTGATGGAAGTGCCTCATGATGATAACGCCTCGGATTTGAGCGACTTTACGACTCAATCACGGCACGCAAAAGATAAACTGGCCAAGTTCTTTGGCGAAGACACGATTGCCGCTGCCAAACGTAGGGATACTCTTGTCACGACCAAGAATGGATTGCAAGACGTCGCCGTGTTAAATCCTGTGGCCGGTGTATCCCACGCGCGATCGGAACGCCCTGATTTCCTCGGAGCCGACTACAATAACAAGGAAATTATTTTCAATATGGAAGGCAACGTGAAAGGCGGTACCGTCTCGGCTTTGGTCCAACGATTGACCCAGCATGATCAGTTAGGTAAGCGCACTGATATCACAACCGATGAAAAAAGAGAGAGCCAAAAAAAAAAACAAGATGATTAAAACGAGGCGTTTCCAATGTTGATATAGATTCCAAGTTTATTACCACGTTCCTTCTCACGTACCGATCATTTTGCAGCACTGAGGAATTGTTTGATAATTTGTTCAGAAGATATATGCTGACACCGCCAGCTGATTTAAACTTTGACGAGTTGGAATTGTGGAAAGAAAAGAAGCTGAAGCTTGTGCGCCTGCGGTAAGCGGAGAGAGAGATGTGCCCATTTCCTCTAAGACTGTACAAGTGTCAGCTCATAAAATCGTTCTTTTGTATCTTGCAGCGTCTTTAACGTGATCAAATCGTGGTTGGAAACGTACTACAACGAAGAAGAAGATCGAATGATTCTTCCACGGTTGTTGGAGTTTGCCGATACAGTGGTTCGCGAATCGATGCAGTTTGGATCGGAACAGCTCATCAAATTAATTAAAAAGCGAATCGATGCCGAGGATGGAAGCCAGATCCGAAAGATGACCTTGAACGTACGGACGTCCGATGTGCCTTCACCTATCCTGCCAAAGAACATGAAACGATTACGGTTCCTGGAAATCGATCCACTCGAATTGGCAAGACAACTGACGATCATGGATTCCAAACTATACAGCCGAATCCGACCGGTCGAATGTCTTGATAAAAACTGGGGGAAGAGCGAGTCGGATAACATTGCAATCAATGTCAAAGCGTCCATCGAATACTCTAATCAAGTCACTGCTTGGGTCACCGATTCCATCCTCAGCAAAGAAGAAGTCAGAAAGCGAGCCAATGTATGCAAACACTGGATTTACGTTGCAGAGGTAGGGTGATGCTTTTTTTTTGAGATTGCTTGTTACTTTCACGAGGACTGAGTAGCTAATCATTGTGCAAACATGCAGAAATGCCGCACATTGAACAACTTTAACACATGCATGGCCATTCTTTCTGCTTTTGATAACAGCTCCATTGGACGTCTGCGTCGCACGTGGGAGGTAAGCAATCTTTTTAGTTGGCCCTGCATGTCTTGGTTTTGCTTCTAGGGATGATAATGATCTAACAAAATGAGGACGGTTCCTGACAGATGATGAGCACGCGAACAATGCAACTCCTCACGGGTATCCGGCGACTGATGGGGGCCAACAAGAACTTTACGGAATACCGTGAAATCATTCATAAAGTCAACCCTCCTTGCATTCCATTTTTGGGCATTTACCTTCAAGATCTCACGTTTATTGAAGACGGCAACAGTAGCTACCTGAAAAAGTCCAACAACTTGATCAACTTTTCCAAACGCATGAAAACCGCCGACGTCATCCGTGAATTACAACAACATCAATCCACACCTTATCTGTTACAAGCGGTTCCCGATATCCAAGAGTTCATCAAGACGCATTTGCAGTCTAGCCGTGACGACGAAACCCTGTATAATCTCAGCTTGGCCGTAGAACCCAGGTAGGTTCCTCGATCATATTGTCTTGATGAATGCTTTGACTAATCACACTGTCTTTTTGCAGAGAAAGAGGCGAGGATACAATTGCACGACGACTGAAAGAGTCTGGTTTATAACCTAGACTGAAAAAGAAAAAGCCTTAAGCATAATAAAACAAAAAAAGTAACAATAAAAACACCAAGATGTAGGAGAAGGTGATGGCTGGCACACACCAATGACTTCGGACCTCCAATATTTTGGAAATGCCCATGCTGAATACAACCGAGAAAGCACTCACTTTTTTGATCGCTGTTGTGTCTAATTTTTTTCTGTTACATTTTGCATTGCAATTATGTGGCGGACGACCATTGCACGGTTTATGTTGGTGCGATCGTTGCAACATGTGCATAAACGTGGCTTTGCAACTGCAACGCGTCACAGTATCAAGGATGGTTGGGAAGCTGTCATTGGCATCGAGGTTCATGCTCAGATCAATTCCACAACCAAACTCTTCTCAGGTAAACTCAAACAGGCCAGGTTGATTTTACCCTATCTAAACATATCAACACGGTTACAAGACACACCGACCTCTTTTAATGACGAGGTGAATACGAAAATATCCACTGTGGACGTCGCCTTTCCCGGTGTCCAGCCAGTAAGTGCCGGCAACGCTTTTTCTCCCAATACAGTCATGTTTCCTGCGAATGCTCATCCTGCTGACAGCGACTAAATAAACAATGCGTGGAATTGGCCGTCAGGACAGCGCTGGCTTTGGAGAGCGACGTGCAAACGGTTTCCACCTTTGATCGCAAACATTACTTTTATCCTGATCTTCCTCAAGGCTACCAGATCACTCAACAAAGACGTAAGCCTCTAGTTTCGACTCCCAAGTCGATGCATATCCTTAGCTGCTTTGTATTTTTTTAGAACCTATTGCTCGAGGAGGCGTAATACGACTGACCGAATTGGACGGCTTACCAGCACCTATTCACGTTGGCATTCATCAGTTACAACTGGAGCAGGTACGGAGGGAAATCATGGGTTATGATCAGTTTCGGTCTCACCCTGTTGTCGCTAGGATACTGGCAAAAGCTTGCACGATATGCGACCAGGATATACCTTGCTAGACTATAATCGAGCAGGCATCGGTTTGATGGAGATTGTCACAAAACCTGATCTACGGTAAGCGATTGAAATAAGCTTGTTCATGTGAAAAATGACATGTGCATTCATCTGACCGTTCGTTAGATCATCATTTGAAGCTGGTCTTTTGGTGAAGAAATTACAAGCTATATTACGGTGTGTGGGATCTTCAAAAGCAAATATGGAAGAGGTAAAAACATCCAAGTGGCAACCAAATAGATGTCGCTGTTTATCGATGGACTCATCGTGAAGATGGCCTTTTTCTTCAGGGCTCTATGCGTTGTGATGTCAATGTATCGGTTCATCGCACCGGTGAACCTTTTGGTACCCGGTGCGAACTTAAAAATCTGAATAGCGTACGGTTCCTGTCCATGGCGATAGGTAAGAGGTCACCGAGAAGAGAATCAATCAAAAGGGTGGGACCATAATGGCGCTGCCTTTTTTTTTTTCTCTAGACGCCGAGGTTGAACGGCAGATTGAGTTGCTGGAGGCTGGTCACACCATTCAAACGGAAACACGCGGATATGATGTGGCAGCAAATAAAACATTTAGACTACGAGGCAAGGAAACCGCTCCCGATTACCGTTATATGCCTGAACCGGATTTACCGACTTTGCGCCTGCCACCTGTAAGAGAGTTTAACTCAATGTTGCGTCCAGATAACACCCCATCCTCACGCTTCTAACGGCTTAGAATTATATTGAGACCATTGCATCCACTGTTCCGGAACTGCCTGATCAGTCTCGAACAAGAATTATGGATCAATACGGAATATCTTTGCATGATGCTAATGTCCTATTAAATGAAGCCGGAAGCTTGGCTTTCTTTGAGCAGGTAAAAAGGACAAAGTGCAAAGGTGATGGAACACGTTGTATTCACAAGTTCATATAGGTCTGCGTTCAACGTAATCCACGTTTGGTTGTAAACTGGTAAGTAATACGCGTTAAACCAAGGAAACCGCCATCTCAACGTTTCTATGGTAATTACATAGGACACTACACGAATTGTTTGGCCAATTGGCCGGTCAAGATATCCCATTTTATCAAAATCCAGTTACTGTTGATCAGCTTGGATCTTTAATCGATTTAGTTCAACAAGGCACAATTACTGGTAAATTGACCGAACCACCGAGTGTGCGCGTTGCTGATCAATATTTATCATGTTTTCTTATTCGCTTGTTGCAGGACCCACCGGCAAAAAGGTCTTGAAGATGATGGTGGAACAACCTTCACCCAAAACGATGCCCATTGATATTGTAAAGGAAAAAGGTTGGCTGCGTATCAGTGATACCGGCAAACTGAGAACGTTATGTGAGCAACTCGTCAATGAACATGCGGCCAAGGTGGGTTTTTCCGTGTGAGCCCCCAAAAGTAGAACATCTTTTAATTCATCATTTATGCTGTAGGCGGAAACAATTCGTCAAGGCGAGCCCAAGATGTTCAATTGGTTTGTAGGTCAGGTGATGCGTCATACAAAAGGCATGGCTGATCCTACCGAACTCAACAACATGCTGTGTGAAGTGATTGGCTGTCGATATGAGGACGTTGTCACTCCCGCTACCAAAGAATCCTCCAAGAAGTCCAAGAAAAAGAAGCCAAGAAAATAGACGTGAATCAAAATTACAATAAAAAAAAATTGCACGCGGCTTGTCTCCGCTGTTCATCGTCCGATTCACTGTCGAATTGCTTCGAATTTGCCTGACTTAATTTGCCAATGCCTCCTATGGATCCTTCGTTGGACGAATATGCTGAGGATAGAGAGGACGATAACGGCATTGCGATTGGCCAAACCATCTTTACGATGGGTGACAAAAGGGTCGGTTACGCCAATGATCACAACTACCAAACATGACAGCTAACGAGTTATTCACGAGCAGAATAACGATGTATGGGATGATACCGAGTTGATTGAATGTTGGGATCAAGCCATGCGTGAATACAGAGTAATGTATTTGTAACTTTGTAACAGCATGCTTTATCGGTCAAAGGACTCACTTATTGTAACTGACAGGAGTATCACAGCCAAGCAGCGAACGAGACCCCACCTTTTGGCTCTCAGTCCAAATCACAGACTAAGAAACCGCAGTAAGTCTTATTGTGGCGTTTTCCAATACACACACATCGACTCACTGTAAGAACGTATCGCAAAATTTTAGTTTGGAAAATGCAAAGCGACGCGCGAATAGTGAACAGGTAAGATCATCCTGGCCGTTGGTTTGCATCCGGAAGATTTAAAAAATATATCTATAGTCTGCTTCGGTTTCGAAAAAGAGCAAGCGATCGAACAAAAGCAAGGCTTCTGTTATTCATTCCTCCGACCCACTGTTGCAGGAAGCTGACGATCAAACCGCTGACTATGCCGACCCCTCGAGTGCCTCTTATCTGACGTACGATCACAGTTATCCCTCAAACGCCGCGCCAGTTCCTCCTCCACCCAACCCTCCTCCGTCATTCCCTTCATCATCCTCGCATGCCAATCCTATGCAAAGTAAGTGTGAACCACTCACAAGCAGTATATATCAAAAAGCAATTATGGGATGCTAATAATATGAACAGATGATGATGCATTGGCACATTTAATGATGGCATGGTATTACAGCGGATATTATACAGGATATTATCAAGTAAGCAGTCCTTTTGCCCACCAAAAAGGAATACACATCATTAACCGTGGTTTTAGGCAATGCAACGCCGATCATGAATATGATACCGTTGGTCTGTTCCATTCACTGAAAAACAACCGTGTTTTATTAACCAAGGTATGGCTTTCAATATTATTTCCTTGATAATTGTATTATTTATTCTTATGTCGGTTTACATTCATGCAGATGTCCAATTCTCGGCAAATGGATATTATTCTCTTCAAATGTTGCCGTTCATACAAGCAATACAACAAATTTTGAAAGAACAAAAGGGTTTTCAATTCGATACATTATTGTTTTTTTTCAGATGATTCCGTTCTTACCAATTCATGCAACTGGGACGTCGATTGGCAGGGAAATACGTCAAGGCGGACCATGCTGATATGATAATATAGCCACCGAATAAATTGCTTGCATCGACCATTGGTAAAAGATTGTTACTAGCGTCATTTGTTATATCCGCCTTGTTCACGGACAGCTTGCGAGGGTGGAGGGGCATTTTTTCATCCTAATCCGAAAAACAATTGAATCTCCGCCCAATGAAAAAAGATTCGCTGTCCCGGTCATGGCAGCAAATGAAAAATTTGACGGTTCGCCTTTTCTGACAAGCAACTAATTGTTCGAAACTTTCGAAGCGTCATGCGTAGTCTTCAACATCTTGGATACAGTTGCGCGCGGATAACCGGGACTTGTCCCGATGCTCGTTCTTACATTACCAGCGATCCGGAAAATCGCACCGTTTTCGTGGCCGTGGAAGACGCTCAAAATACCATTCGAGTGTTGGCGTCCACTTCGGCCTCGGAAGGAGATCCCATGGCATTCGTTCAACTGGCCGAGTTTCCCGCCATGCCTCAGCAAAACAGCAGCGGTGCCATTGTCAGCTTTACTTACCTCTCGGACTTGCAAGTGGTCTGTCTCGCCACGTTTTACGGTGACATTATGCTGATCAGCAAAGAAAAATTCGATCGCGGCGAAGAAGCGGTAAATGCGCGCATGTCTTTCAATATGGGCTCACGGTTGGCTCACAGGATCGTTTATTAGATGGAAATTGTCGGTACCGTCGATGCTGGAATTCATTCCATGTCATGGAGTCCCGATCAAGATCTCGTTGTGTTGATCACTGGTAACCATCAATTTATTTTCGGGATCGACTGAGTGGAAGGACTCAATCGTGTCATAACCACTTGTAGGAGAAAAGAATGTGCTGGAAATGACCCAAGATTTCGACACCATCACTGAATTCCCACTTCATGTTGAAGAAGAAGGCGAAGGTAAAATGAATTGCATGAAATTCCATTTTACTTGATTTTCGATTTGGCTGATATGCGGTGATGGCAGGTGTACAGCATAGTGTTGGATGGGGTCGCAAGGAAACCCAGTTTCACGGTTCCGAAGGCAAACAAGCCGCATTGAAAAAAGTGGACCCAAATCAATTTACTGTGTCAGAGGATGATGATCGTCAAGCCCGTATCGCATGGAGAGGTGATGGCAGCTTTTTCGTCTGCTCGGATATTGATCCACGTAAAGGTAGGTTTCTTTCGTCGTTATGGTATACTTGTGCAAGGACTGCATTTGACCGATTTCGGAAATCATGTCACAGATGCACGCGTTTTGCGAATCTTCAATCGCGAAGGTGTGTTGCAGAACACGAGCGAACCTGTCAATCAGTTGGAACATGTGTTGGATTGGAGACCGTCGGGTAATTTGATCGTTTCCAGCCAACGTTTACCTCACAAACACGATATTGTGTTTTTTGAAAGAAACGGTTTGCGACACGGTGAATTCACTTTACGAGAAAGCGCAAAGTATAAACTTTTGGAATTGTCATGGAATGCGGATTCCACCGTGCTTGCTATTTGGATCGAATCAGAGACACGAACTGGCAAGATGCAGAAAAGCGGTAAGCTATTATTCATGTCAAAAATGGTGCGCAAGAGATAATATATGTATGCTGATTCATTGATCGCTAGTTCAATTATGGACCGCCAATAATTACCACTGGTATTTGAAGCAGCACATCATGATGCCCGAAGGCGAGGATATCATTGGGTTCGCATGGGATGTGGAAAATGCTCTGGAAATGCGCCTGGTCAGCAGTTGTAAGCATAAATAGTTGTTGCTCATCGATGGCCACCAATGGGACTAATTCATAATTTTAGCTGGTCGTTATCACTACTATTCCTTTGCGTGGATGGCGTTAACATCGACCTCGGTCGGTGAAGATAATGCAGGCTATGTGGCAGTGATCGATGGAGGTAAATATCACAGTGCATAAGTCAAAAATGGCATTTCCTCATTTTATTTCATTCATGTTTTTCAGCTTCGGTTCTTTTGACCCCTTTTGTCTACCAAAATGTGCCTCCGCCAATGTGTGCACTTACTCTGAAAACCGATAAAAATGTGCAACAGGTCGCTTTTGGCCCAACTTTGGCGGGAAACCGTATGGCGGTGCTCACCACGGATAAGATCTACTTTTTCGACGTGCCCGCCGATGCCCGCGGTCAGGTGCAACAATTTGAACTCGCGTTTCCGTAAGTGACATGGTGCAGCCGTACTCACAAATGTCTTTTTATTCACTTACTCCACTTTCATGCTAGTCGCTCTGACGATAATAAATCTGGCGTCTATGGTCCACCTCGCCAACTGCGCTGGATTAATGAATCTCAGTTGGTCTATGTTCGCTATGACGAACAAACCGCCACTGACGTACTGTGCATCGTTCACTTTGAATATAATGACAGTCAAAGCGCTGTACTGAACACTGTCCCTCTGAATTTCATGGTCGGCTATCTGCATTACAATGTCAATACCGAGGATTTGATCGCTGAAGCTATGGATGGTTCCGTTTACGAAGGTAAGCTATTCGGATCGATCAAAGCAATGTTTTATTCAGTCTTTATTCACGGTTGGCTTCTCTGAAAGTTCAAATGGATGAATCCGGTTCCCGTGCCTCCAAAATCCACCAATTCCCTGAATTCTGTCCCTGGATTGGTACGGCAGTTATTGGCCCGCAAGCCGATACCGCAGAGGTAACTATTTATGATAATGAAAAAATAATCGAAGCTTCAAATCAACCAAACTTTGGACGAATTATTCTAGCGTTGCGTATTTGGTTTGACGGAACGAAGCAAATTGTATGTCAACGATCGTTTGCTTTCTGCTGAATGTACCTCGTTCTATTTGCGCCGTGATTGGCTCGTCTTTACTACGACAAGCCATACCGCCCGATTCCTTCCCTTGGACATCGAATTTGACAGTAAGTCTATGTCTTTTTTTTTAAATTGTAAGAGTTGGATTCATTGACACAAAAATCAGAATTTATGCTTTCGGACGATATTCCCGATGCTAATGACGAATCGTATCGTCGCCTTGAGCGTGGTTCCAGAATCGTACTTGCTACTCATGGCAAACCTGCTCTTGTTCTCCAAGTACGTATTTTCATAAAACGAGTTGCACGCCCTTTTTTGGGGAAGGGAAGGAATACTGATTCATATTGGATGGATAGATGCCTCGCGGTAATCTGGAAACCATTCAACCAAGAGCCTTTGTCCTTGCCACCATCCGCAAAGACGTGAAAAAGTAACTTATGATAAGCTTTAATCCGATGAGGATGCAATGACTTATGCAATTTTTCCCTTGCCACCTTTAGTATCGCTTACCGATCGGCTTTTATTGCTTGCCGCCGAAACCGAATTGATTTGAATATTTTGTTCGACGAGAACCCGCAGCAATTCTTTGGAAACATTGAGGCTTTTATCGAGCAGATTCCTGAAGTGGACTATCTGAACCTATTTTTATCCACATTAAAGTGCGTAGCGAATCAAGTTTTCATGGATGACTGGTGGTCGATGGCTAACGAGCTCCAATCTTTTAGGAACGAAGATACAACTTTGACCATGTATCGACGCCGTGACCATGTCATTCAGTCCGACGAAGCTTCCAAAATCACGTTTGTATTTTCTTGCGGGGATTGCTTTGCACGAGTACTGATCTTGTATTCATGTATAGGGTGGAAAACAAGGTCAACCGTATTTGTGCGGCTGTTCGTGATACACTCATGGAGCTTGGCCGTGATCGTTACATGCAATCCATCCTATCCACTTATGTGAAGAGTTCGCCACCGGATTTGGAATCGGCCTTGTTATTGTTGGCTGAAATCAAAGGTAAGGCACCAAATTACCCTCTTTTTTTTTGCCCTTTGCCGTAGACTAACACTTTATATCAGAAATCGATCTTGGCAAGGCGGAGGATGCTCTCAAATACACGATTTTCCTTTGCAAAGCCAACAAGCTGTATGACGTTGCCCTCGGCATGTATAACTTCCCTCTTGTCTTGATGGTCGCCCAGCAAGCACAAATGGCAAGTTGACAAAAGTGGACGCAAAGATTGTCCAAATCACTCTAATGCTTTCATACAGGATCCTCGCGAGTATCTTCCTTTCTTGCAAGAATTGCAGAGCTTTGACAAATATTATCAGCGCTTCAAGATCGATGATCATTTGAAGCGATATGAAAAAGCCCTTCGTAATCTGGCTTTTGCAGGTAAATAATTGTCCATATCAACGTATCACCATAGTCAATTTCAGACTGACTTAAACATGTTTATCTTGGAACCAGGCGATGATCGATTCGACGAACTCGTCGAATACATGCAAAAACACTCTCTGTATCTGACGGCGCTGGATGAATATGCCAATAAGCCTCAACAAAAGAAGGTACAATTGAGGATGAGCTCATACACAAAAGTGGCATAGGCTGAGGTTGATAAACATAGGTGATCTTGGACGTGTATGGCGATCATTTAATGCAAACCAGTCATTATGAAGAAGCCGGTATCCGTAAGTATCTGGGTTGTCAATCATTGGTTAGAAAGAAACATTGTCAATTTACCTTTCTTCCTTGTTGTTCGTAGTATTTACACTTGCTGAGCTTTTGGAAAAGGCGTTGCAAGCTTACCGCATGGCCGGTTGTTGGCGTGAAACATTCTCATTGGCTAAGCAACTGCAATATTCCAAGGAGCATGTCCATGCTTTGGCCTACGATTTAATTGGTAATCTCTACTTTTTGTTCATAAAACGCGAAGAGAAAACTCATCTGTGTATAGAATATTTGAAGGATAAACGGCGCTATCAAGATGCTGCTTCAGTTGCAAACGATTACGCCAACGTAAGGATACATTCATTCCAAGGATTATCATAGAGTCTAATTGCTTCATATTGATATAGGATATTGAAGAATGTGTCGACTCCTTGCTCAAGGGTAGTCTTTGGCAAGAAGCGGCAAGAATGGTAAAATTCAAAGAACCCTACTACAAAGAGAGATTATATTCATTATGTTATTTTAGGCTCACGCAAAGGACCGTTCGGATCTGATTGAAACCCACGTCAAGCCTGGCCTTATTGAAGGTACGTTATGAAAAAACGAGGTTGATCACGAGCGATGAAAAAACTAATACATGGAAACATCGTAGGTTACACACAAATGGATGAAGATATCGATGAAATGAAGACTCAGTTCAGCAAGCAAACGGCACGCTTGAAGGAACTGCGTGAACGCAAACCCGAGCCTAGTGAGTATACGATTTTGCTTGGTTGCTGATAAAAAGAGGTCATTAACGATGTGTGTTTGCTATCTTTTTCTTTTAGCCCAAGTTTTGCCAAATGATGATACACTGGACAACATTGATATGTTCTCTGATACCACATCCATGTACAGTCAATTCACCCGGTATACAAAGGGCACCCTGAATACTTCCCGAACATCATCGGTCTCTTCGGTGTCTTCAAAGGCGAGCAGGTAAAATTTTTCGTGGCCTTCTTTGTTCAACACGGAGAGAGAGAAAGAGAACTTATGATTTTGTTGGTTTCAGAAAAACATCCAAACTGCGACGTCGTGAAGAACGAAAGCGCGCTCGTGGTAAAAAAGGCACTGTATTTGAGGAAGAATACTTGGTCAATTCATTAAAGCGTCTTTATGAGAAGGCGAGCACGATGCAAGGTAAGTTTTTTTTGGTCTGAATTCAGTAGGATGGAGATCCGTCAACATTACTGTTATTGATCATGTGTGTGTTACAGCTGATCTTGGTAACTTGCTGAGAGCCTTAGTTCCATTTGGTTATGTGGAAGAGGCGCGGGCGATTCAGCATAAATTTGAAGGTTTCCTGGCGTCTCTCAAGGAAGCCATGGGCACCATTTTTGTGCCTTTGCAATTGGCTAGCAGTCAAGTAAGTTATCTCACAGAGGAAAATTTTTTTTATCATTTTACTCATCTTGATATCGCTCGAATTGAACGATTCTAGTATCAACAAGAAGAAGGCGAAGAAGTCCCCAATCAGCCAGTGTCCATAGAAAAACCAGTCATTGCAGATACCAAATGGAAATTGCAAATTCTGTAAACAACAGTGATTAGGATGGATTAACCCACCTTTCTGCCAAAAAACCAAAGCCCATTTCATAGACCATGCAAATAAAAACCAACAAGCTATTTAATTTCACAGCCATTCGCTGAACTGAATTCCTATTTGTCTTTATTTTTTTATCTTTGTATGCTTCTTTTTTTCAGTTGGGAAGCTCTCGATATCTGCTGTATCAAATAACAAAGGTAAAATACCTTAACGAAATTTGAATCAACCAAAGAGCTTACGAACTTATTTTTTTTAAAAAATACCCAACATTCTCACACATCTTTGTAGGTCTATCATAACCTTGGACGGGACAGAACGGATGGAGTCAATAAGTGCTGCTTCGCTCATTAAAAGTGTTTCATGTTATGCCAGAGTGTGACATCACAGTAGCGGGTGGCATCCATCGCACAGCTGGTGTACGGCTTGTTATTGCAAATTATTCACAAACTAAACTTTGATGGAGATTTATTTAAGATCTCGGTAACGCGATGAATGTGCTGCTCTAGATGGTGATGGTGGATGTCTTGGGCAAGAACTGAATAAGGGGAGGCAAAAGTTAAGGAGAAGGCATAAAGATCGTTTATAGTAGAGATGATTACCTACGAGCTCAAGGTCTTGGATGTATTTTTGGAAGGCCTGGAAGATCGTTTGATTTTCGAATGAAAGCTGCGCGACTGGCAGAGTCGAGATTTTTTTAAGGATTTTCAACTTGTTTTTTGTTGGGGCAGTGCGCACCGTCATCTTTGAAAATGAGTAGTTCACGGTGCTGACCGCGTTGGCGCACAATGTGGCCGTCCGGGGCCATTGTGAAGCTTTTTCGAACCTCGTCGAGGGTCAGTGAGACGGCGATATTTTCTCGATTATTCTCGTAAACCCACGAAATGATACGCGACTCTCCTAAAGACGGAAAAAGGCGGCAAATTTAGTTTGTGATTGTGTCGTATAGGTGACAATTGGTAACCTTTGATAATCCATGCTGAGCCTTTCGTCATATTTAACGCAGCCTTGACCATCGCCTTTGACTTGCAATTTATGGTTATAAGGGTACCAAGGACGAGGTACGGAGAATTACCGAAGTGTTGTAGTTCTCTGAAGTGAATAAGAATGTTGGGGTGGAGTCCAGGCAAACTGTGGTAGTAATAAGGGTCATTTTATAAAGATGAAGAACGAAAAGTAGCTAAAGCTACAGCATGTAGTTCAACAGCATTCTGTAGCCAAGACCGAGACAACGAAAATGGTATATGTTTCCCATTGAATCAGCCATTATCGGTCATCTTCGATGACGGTCTAATGAGCCCGAAAAGAAAGATTACAACAACTTGATGGGCTGAATTCTCACAAAATGTATGGATTGGGCATGCTGAACGCCCTTTTCTGGGATATTTATATTGTCGCGGATCTGATCAGGGCAGAATATTACAGCTTATCACCATCAAACAAACTATAAGCTCTAAATCTACTCACATTAATTGAGCTCTCAACATATCTATCCTAGTCAGAACAGCTGTATCGGCCTTTCTGTCAAGTTTGATTTTGCACCGATTCGCGATCGTCAGTTTTTCATCCCTATTTTAGACGGAGATGATGTCGGACAGCTTTATTTCATGCGGAAACACAGGCAATGAAAAGCAATTACATACGTCTTGGAAGGATTGTATGGTTATTATTCAGACGGTAAATTGATCAGCGCAGCAATAAGGTGGGAATTATTCATCATACACCACGCACCCTCTTTTGATACTGTAAGAATCTATCTTTTGATTCGCAGTTACAAACCTACTTGTGGTCCCATCGTGTTAACGATATGAAAGACACATGAACACGGTCAGGGTATGTTCCACAGCCCTGTCAGCGCAGTAATTCTTTGTGTTGCTAATTGTACGGTATTAAACGCATTTTGAGTGATTATTAAGCAGCAAGCAAATAATGGTGTACCTGAGAAAGTGTGGCACCGTACTCTGAGTTTCTAATCGGAATAGTACCATAGCGTCGTAGCGCAGTCAGACCTAGAATCGTGAATCGTGATTCCAAATGCATTCTCCATGGCACAGTGCATGGTGCTTGTTTAGCTTGCAGTGGACAATGGCAGGCATCAAAAGTGAATGGCGTCCTTTGAAACCACGTGATTACGCAATCCGTGTCTTTTGATATATCAACGCGCAATCCAGCTGAGGCCTGTTTTTCTTTGTCTTTTGAGACGTGCACAGCAAATAAAACATCGGGCCTCATAGCCCCTTACAAAAACAATTCTTTGTCTATTAACTCCCTACTGTTTTTCTGTTACTCTTACTGCAACCTGCTATCATGCCTCGTTTCAACCTCACAAAAACTCAACTTCCACTTATTACTCAAATGAAGAATCTGTTGAAGGTTCGTCGGTACGTGTTTGAAGCAATGTTGCTTTTGAGTCTCGTTTTGATGTTCCCTCTAATGACCAATATTTTGAGTAGAACCGATGATTGCGCTGACGAGCTCATCGTCGAAGCGGCTCCAAAGTTTTTCAGTATAATTGACAAAGTAGTGGCGAAGCTGAAGGCAACGTCACAACTAGAATCGAAAGCCACACTTTTGTGGCAGATTTGATGGATCTCCACGAAGAAGTTCAAGACGTCGTGGACTGTGCGAGTTTGACCGTCGGTTCATACGTGCCCGCGTCTGTCTCTGTTTCTGTGGCATCGCCCACCTCGTCTCCTGTTTCGGCCCCTGTCTGGTTTGGTGTGTGTTGCCGCACCTCCTTCCGCCTCTTCGCCTGTAACTACGACTACCTTTGCGCCCGTGTCTGTTTGCGTGTTTCTGTATGCCCCGGTCTATTCTATGAGGTCGGCTCATGCCTATGCAGCTGCTCCCGTTTCTGCGCCCGTTTCTATATTATGGATCATCACAGGGATTATAGGTGAAATCGATTACAAGAGCTTCCATTGCTTAGCTCCGCCATTATATATGGAGGGTCTTCCCCATGGTTGACTGATGGGCAACCATATGCCATTTTATGCTTCCGGGGTACGACACAACTTGCCTCTCTTGGCCTGGTGTAGGCGCCGAATCCAAAAACTCTGTCTGCTCCACGTTTTGGGGGTCGTTGTCGTTTCCTTCAATTCTGGTGGATAATTATGACAATAGCCAAAAGCTCATCATCGGTACCCATACGTGCACCATGCTGGTGACATCTAGTCATTCAAGTTGGGCCAAACACATTGCAATTTACACCAACTAGTCTATTCATCTTCATCGACCGTGAAAACGTCATGGCTGCCGAAGATCTTTTGAGTCAAGGAGAAGAATGCTGACGAATGAAAGAATCAGATGTGCTCTATCAATTACAGCTGTTGCGATCCAAATTCCATAGGCTTTCAATGTGCTTATTGTGTCAAGCAAGCCTCTATTTCACTGCCAACTTTATCCACCAGCCACTATCAATCGGGACGTTTGCTAACCACCAAGAAACCTTCTTTGTCTTCCTTCCTTCTGGGTGTTCATTATAGTTCTCTCTTTAGTCTCATATCACCTCTTGTTTGTAGTGTTCATCGTGACGAGCGCAGTAAATAAAAAAAAGTACTTTATTATGTTCTACCATGAATTCGCTCTACGTCAAGAATACTGATTCCCAATTTGTCACGTATTTTGACCTATCGGTCTTTGGGTGCACGCTTAGCAAACTAAAGCAAGTTGCGGTAACAGAAATAAGCAACCTTGATAATAGGTACAGTAACTTGAGGATAGATCTCCTACCGTAATATTTGCACCAACTATGACTGCGGGAAGTTCAAGCAACAGGTTTGGTAGTGGTTCTCACCGCAGAGCTTCTTATGGCTCTAGCTCTGCGGTGGAAATGTCTAATAGCAGAACTTAGTGAGAAATTGATATTGCTTTATAACACGAACCACGATCAGGATGTTGCCTAGATCCCGGCATCGTATAATCATTGATATGCGACATTTACCATTAGGAAGACAGCAATGACTCGTGGGCGTATCCACCTGGTACGATTCATCGGCTTCTTTTTGGCCCCTGTTCTTCGGCCTCGCAGAATGGACAACTATAAGAACACAACTTGAGTCAAAATGGCCATTATGCTGTAAATGCGTTATAGAATTGGACTTTTACCTTTTTATCCTTCGTTCATTTTTGGCGGACGTCATTGATGGACGTCTATTGGTCGATTTTCATCCAGTCGACCAGTTCTCCTGGATGGTCGACGTCCATCCAGTCCGTCATTTCTTCGTTGGTATCAATATCCATCGGATCATCGATGTAATCATCGTCTTCGGTTTGTTCTTCCTCGCCCAAGAAGGAGCTTTGTTCTTGGTGGTCGTTGGACAGCTGCACAGGTGTCACCACATGCACAAAAGAAAAGGCAAACGAGGTCGCCTCAAAGCCAGACAGGGAGGATGAAGGCGCGACAAAAGACAACGGCGAATACACAGCTGCGGAAGCAGAAACGGGCGAAGAGGAAGGGATGGGTATAGGCGCAAAAGAAAGGTAAACGAAGTCGGCACAAAGCCAGGCGCGGAGGATGAAGGCGCGACAGAAGACTACGGCGCAGACACAGCTGCGGAAGCAGAAATGGGCGATAAGAAAGTGGCCGACACGGGCGCAAAGGTGGTCGTAGCCACAGGCGAAGGAGCGGAAGCAGGCACCGAGGCAATCAATCGTTCATCTTTGGTCTTGTTGGCCTGCACGGTGGAACCCACATACAAATCCGGACTGTCGACAATGTCCTGAACCTCTTCCTTCAGTTCATTCAATTCCGCCACGTACTTTTGAGTTTCAATACGAGCAGTAGCACTACCCTTCAACTTCATAAGCACCATGTCAATGGTGTCGAAAAACTTCGAAGAAGCTTCCACAATCTGATCATCGGCACAGTCATCATTGCTACTCAAAATTTTGGTCATTTAAAGGAACGTGAACAAGGAATTAGCATCAAACACTACCGTCGGATCTTAAGGAGGTTTTTCATTTGATTGATGAATGAGAGAGGTCAGCTTCTTGAACATCGTTCTTGAGTTTGTACAAATCGATCACGTATTGACGACTTTCGATGTGGGTTTTGGCGTTACCCGCCAATTCCATTACGGTGCCATCAATGGTATCAAAAAACTTAGGTGCGGCTTCGGTGATCAAGTTGTCGGCACAGTTGTTATTGCTACTCACAAATATTGGTCATTAAAGGGAACAGGAAAAACCAATATTGTGTCAATACTTACCGGCGATCTTTAAAAGATTTTTCATCTGGTTATCCAGAGGTAGGTGAGCTTCTCGGACTCCTCCTTGAGTGTTCAACTCGGCCCCGTACTTGCGGCTCCCGGTATGCGGCACGACATTTCCCCTGAGCTTCATGACCATTGCATCAATGGTGTCGAAGAATTTGGGCGCAGCTTCAACAATGAGGTCAACTGCACAGTCGTCAGTGCTACTAAAACATTAGTCAAGGGAACATGAAAAAGCAACATTGCGTCAAAACCGTACCAGCGAATCTTCAATAAGTTTTTCGTCTGATTGATGAGAGAGAGTTGAGCTTTGGGGAGGTTGTTTAGGCTTGGTAACAGTAAGAGTAATAAAAAAAAACAGTTGGGAGTCAATAGACAAAGAAAAACAGGCCTCAGCTGGATTACGAAATCAAAAAACACGGTTTGCGTAATCGCGTGTTTAAAGGACGCCTGCCATTGTCCTCTGCAAACTAAAGAAGCACCATGCACTGGCCATGGAGCATACATCTGGAATCACGATTCACGATTCACGATTCTAGGTCTGTCTGCGCTACGACACTATGGTACTGTTCCTATTAGAAACTCAGTGTACGGTGCCTCTTTCTCAGGCACACCAATATTTTGCTTGTGAAGGCTATCTGACATCGCTTAATAACCACTCAAAATGGGTTTAATACCGTACAATTAGCAACACCAAGAAATTTACTACGGTGACAGGGCTGTGGAACATGCCCTGACCATGTTCATGTACATTTCATCTCCGTAACACGAGGGACCACTAGTAGGCTTGTAACTGAAAATAAAAAGATCATATTTCTTACATGATCATAATGGTCCGTACTGTATGATGAATTAATTCCCACACTATTGACGCGTTGACCAACTTTACTGTCTGAATAACCATACAATCCTTCCAAGATGTATGTAATCGCTTTTCATTGCCTGTGTTTCCGCATGAAATAAAGCTGTCCGACATCTTCTCCGTCTAAAATAGGGATGAAAAACTGACGATCGCGAATCCGTGCAAAATCAAACTCGACGAAAGACAGATACAGCTATTCGGACTAGGGATAGATACGTTGGGAGCTCAATTAATCTGAGTAGATTTTGGAGCTTATGGTTTTGTTTGATGATGACGAGCTCAGCCGTGATCAGATCCACGACAATGCAAATATCGCAGAAAAGGGCGTTCGACACATTTGTGAGAACAGGACTATCTGCATTTTTCAATCCTGCAATATTGTCTCTTATTACAGCAAATTACAGTGTTGCGATATGGTTCTTTTTTCGGGGACGGGGACATAAACCATCATCAAAGATGGCCGACACTGGCTGGTTCAAAAAGAAACAAGAATTTCGTTGTCTCGGTCTTGGCTATAAAATGGTGTTGAATTACACGCTGCTTCTTTTACCTTTTTCATCTTTATAATATGATTGTTATTACTGCTTCAGTTGGCCTGGCCTCCAAACCAACGTTCTCATTTACTTCACAGAAGTACAACGTTTCGGTAATCCTCCGTACTTACTCCTCTGGTACCCTTATAACAGTATACTGCAAGTCAATGACGATGTGTTGGGCTGCGTTAAATATGACAAAAGGCTCACGGTGGGTCATTAAAGGTAACAGTTGCCAGTTATTCGATTCAATCAAAAACTAAATTCGGCACCTTTTTCCATCTTTAGGGGAGTCCCGCATCGGTGCATGGGTGGACGAAATAATCGAGCCCACGTCAGTGTTTCAATGACGTTGGATGAAATACGGGAAGGATTTATTATAAACCATGAAGGCCATATTGCCCGCCAGGACCAGTATGAAGAATCCTTGGTCTTCAATGATATTGATGACACTAATTCCGATAACAAAGACAAACTCGAACTTCTAAGAAGTATTTCTGCTCTCCCGACCTCTCAGCTGTCTTTCGACCGTCGAACTCACCTTCCTGGCCTTCGCCAGTATATTAAAGATCTAGAGCTCGAAGGTAATTACCTCGTCTATAGTCTACCTTTAATACTTCCCTCTTAACTGTTACCTCGCCTCATTTAGTCGAACGAAACGAGCCATCGGCAACCCAAGCTTCGTCACCTCCGTGGTGAATTTTTTTCTTTTTCTTCTTTCAAATTGATCTTTCATCCACTTTTATGTCTTTTCTTTGCTTGCAAATGAAAATTTGTAATAAAGAGCATTCGTAATTAGGCGATTTGGTAACGTTTTCTTTGCTTTCAGGTGTCGTTTTTGAACGCTAGTGCTATGAGATAATCTTGAGCAGTGAAGTATGTCATGATAGAGCTAAAAAACACATGGAAATACTTCTTTACAATGACCGTTTCATAATGGGTCTTCCGAGTGATAGTTTATATGAGTAGAAAAATACAGCAATGTGGGTTATTTTATGCATCGTTCAAATGGGATCGCATGCCAAAAAGACAACATCAATCACAACCAATTAGAAAGCGTATCTCTAAATGTCCGACAGGCCAGTCAAAACGTGCCAACCTCAACCGTGATGCGAGCGAGCCCTATCCAATTTTGCAAACCATCACCTTGTGCAATAACGGATAACCGAGACAAATGCAATGGTGCAATACTTTGACCTTTTTATAAGGTAGAAATTGCTGGCTTAAATATTGAACGAAACGGATGATTCCATTGTTTTCAGGTCTCATCTACTTCGGGCCCTGCCTACGGCATCATATCGTAGGTCAATTACGTTTGGAGAAGAGACGAACATCCTGGAGTATTTGAAACATCATTTACACGGCGTTGTGTTTACCGACGTGCGGACAGAGATCTGATTTAAAAAGGAATTGGAGTAGCCAGCGTCGGGAGGATATAGCAATTGGATACTCGAAAAATATTCAAAGACGGCGAATCTGATCGAATCCTACTATTCGGAAGCCGTGCTGCAGTATCAGCATAAAGACATTATCAATGGAATCCGATGTAACTTTCGCTGAGAATTATAAAAGATATGCAACTAACAAGCCGTACACCCGCTGTGCAATGGATGCCGCCTGCCACCGGAGGCCTCTTACATTGAGCGACTTTCGTCAGACAAAAAGCCTAACGCAAACACGGCATAACCTGGGCGAGAACTCTTGACGGAACTTCGGTATATTAATGACAACCTTATGGCATACGTTGCAACGTGATTTGTTTCTGAACACGCGCAGGGCAGCACTGGTTCCCCCCCCCCCCCCCCCCCCCCTCAGTTCCATCCCGCCCAGGCTATGATAGATCTAGAAAGATGTGTGGGTATGTTGGGTATTTAAAAAAAATGAGTTAGTAAGCTCTTTGATTGATTCAAATTTTCGTCAAGATATTTTACCTTTGTTATTTGAAGTTTTCGATAGCCATTGATCGCTTGACATGACTTGGATTATATGACATTGAAAAAATTTGAATTAGTATACGTTCATTACATCATAGCAAAGGAAAAGAAATTGGACTTGCCTTTGAACCAAATGGTGTACCGGAAAAAAAAAACGATGAATACTGACCGCCAGGTAAGCTTCTTCTTCGATGCGGAAAATAAAATTGCTTCCAGGGACACTTAAGCGATGGATCGGTGGTGTCAGCTTGAGTAGGCAAAAAATATTGACGTGGCCAGAAGTGACGGTAATTTCGAGTTGGATTCCAGATATCGAGAGTCCCCCGAATGAAAAGAAAGAAAAACAAATAAAGTACATGATGATAAAAAAAAAACAATGGTCGCGTCAGTAAAAACCTCATGAAAAACCCTGTGGGAAAAAAAGAGGAAAAGACTGCGAAAAGAATATGTACATGAAATATAAAATACAGAATACAAACTATAAACTACAAAATAAATAATCGGGAAGACATCTCGAATACCATATGATGAGAAGCAATCCAAAGGAGAGGAACATGAAGAGGACACGTAAGCGTTGCTGATTAAAAAGAGCACACCACCGACGATGGCCTTTGACGTCATCCGATTTCGCCAGATGGATGGATGGATGGATGGATGGATGGCGAGAGAAAGTCAACTTGTAGTATCCAGAACTTGTCAGGCGAAAAGAAAACGGAAACCGGAAGCTGGAAGAAGGATGGAAGTAAAGGAGAGGTAAGTCTGTTTTGCCGGAGCAAAATCGATGGTAGACCACTCGACGCTTACCTTTTTGAGGATGGTGGTCAATTTAACCAAGTTAGGTACACGGGATAAGAATGGTCTGGATGATGGATGCGGATGGGATCTTGATACAATGATAGTGAGGTTTATCAAGCAAACAGAAAGAGAGAGAGAAAATCAAAAGAAATAAGATAAGATTGAAGACAAAAATATATGATTCTCCATGGATGAAACAATAGTCACCCCACTGATGCATGAATTCATAGATCGAAGCACGTCTGCTTATGTATTATTCGATTCATTGAAAATTGAAAGAGAATGAAAGGACATATACGTATAACTGACAAAAAAAACAAATTGAATGATGCTACAGAAGAACGCCGGTCGTATCATCAACCACTTTTCTTCAAAAAGAGCTCTACTCACATTTTTATTCGAAAGACGACGATGCTCTGTTTGACCATAAATGGCGCAGACGGCATCTTGCTGCTGATTGTTTCGCCTATTATTGTGGAAGTAGGCAGCGAGGCATGGTTGAAAGATAAAAAAAAGAGGTTTAACAGGCCCTGATAACTTAGTGTAGATCATGTGATTTACAAATCGCTAATTTCCCAAAGATTTTAATTATGTAGAGATTATCATGTGGATTCAAATATGGAAGTAATCGATCCGAGTCAACACATGACTGGATTATATGTTGGTACGGGATTTCGGAGGTCAATGTGGAAGGTTTGTGAATATCTGGGAAGGGGCGTCTATCAAACCGAGCGCAGAAACAACCACTATGCAACAGGGTAAAAACATATCAGCGATAGAAATGAAGCGAGTATGTCGTCAGGAAGAGAGCACGTTGATACGAGTGACCGGCAATTAAGATCTTTGCCGTCGAGTATGAATGATCGCAAACCGAGTGAAGGACCCGATTACCTGCATTTACTACACTCATGGTACCCGCTTGAGAAGGTATAGTGTTGCGTAGTCCGTCCTGGCCCATTTGGTTGGTTCTTCCGGTACAGGAAAGCCAAGAGCATTCGCATTTTGCTTTTACTGCCATACTGCCATACCGACTTGTTATATTTCCATTTTTCCGTCTGTCTGAACCACACATTTGACTTGTTATGATTGGTCTGATTGCTTTCTCCAATGTTTGTTGTCATTAACTTCAAATTTTTGTGACTTCAAATTGAATAAACTGTAGTGTAATGTAACTGTATAAATTAAGATGGGCATGTAAAATGGTGAAAGTACATCTTTGTGAATAAGCAAGGAAAGAGAAAAAAAAAAAGAAACAAATGAATGATTAGTAATGAAGAGAAAAGCTAAAAGAAAATCATGGGAGAAAGAGAGAAAGACCGGAAAAATGTGATATATTTAGCTCCAGACGTCTTCTTGGTAACGACCCGTGTTGCGAAGATTCTTGACATATTCCTGGGCTTTCTCGGTTGAGTGACCACCAAATTCTTTGGCAACGTTGACAAAGGTCTGGTTCACGTCGCGAGCCATGCTCTTGGCATCGCCACACACATAGATGAAGGCTCCCTTTTCCATCAAGTTCCACAACTCCTCGCCGTTCTCCTGCAATCGGTGCTGCACGTACACTTTTTGGGCGGTTTCACGAGAGAAGGCAGTAATGATGCGCGAATCGCCACCGAGGGTCTCGAATAGCTCGGGCCATTCATCTGCATACAAGAAATCCTGCTGCGAATTACGGCAACCAAAGAAAAGCAACGTCGTACCCATGGGCTTGCCTTCCTTCTTCTGCAAAGCACGCTCACGGACAAAACCACGGAAAGGCGCCACACCGGTACCGGGACCGACCATAATCACAGGGATATTGGGATTGCGAGGAAGCTTGAACTGGGAACGACGAACGTGTACAGGCAGCTTGCAGCATTTGCCATCGACACCAAGGTACGATTGACGAGGACCGGCCAGATCGTAAACAGGGTAAGTGCGACCATCATCCACATTGTGTGTAGCCGCATGAATGCGCCACAAAAAGTTGGTATTCACACCGTACACCATGCGATCCACGGAAGCATCGGGAGCATAGTTCAAGGTGACGGCGGTGGCGGCAATGGATTTCGGACTTTCCTTGGAAGACGAAGAGATGGAATAGTAACGGGGTTGCAATCGAGAAACACTTTCGACAATGAGATCAAAAGGCACCGAAGCGAAATAACCAGAGGTAAGCTGGCCGCCGGCAGCCATTTCCAGAATTTCGCCCAAGGTACTCATGGTATCCGCGACCTTGAGACGGTAAGCATCCTTGTCGGTCGCCAACATGCGCAAAAATTCCTTGGATTCCGCCGTAGGGGCAAACTCCACCAACGACATGATGGTCTGACGCGAAGGAGGCGCACAAATGTCAAGATAGTGTCTGAAAGCCGCTCTATAGGTCGTGGGGACAGGGAAAGGATGCTTCTTGGAGGCAGTGGAATCAATGGCCTTGACCATGATGACCGCATCTAATTTATCGCTTAAGCCGAGCACCGCAGCGAGACGGTTAACTTCCACCTCGTTATTGGTAGGCCACATGGCCACATGATCACCGGTTTGATAACTGAGATTGGTATCTGCAATATCGATCTCCACATGGAGACAGTGACGATCAGAACCTTGGAACAATTCGCGCGTGTTAATGGGAGCGGTATACGGACGCTTGGCATCGTAGATGACCTTACTATAAAACGGATATGCATGAGTCTCCTCTGGACGTTCATTATACACTGCCTTTTCTTCTTTTCTCAACTTACGCGCCAGTCTTTGTTTTTTCGCCAATTTCGCCAAAGTAAACATCGTCCTTTTCGTAGGAAGCCAGTTCTTCAACGGAAAAGGTGGGTTGACGGGGGCCCGAGTGAGCACTGGTTTCATCGACACCCAGAGCTTCACAGAAAACAGGCCACATGTGTTCCTGCCAGGCCAAGAAATCTTCTTCCAAAGAACCGTCATCATCACCTTCACCACGTTCTCCCAACCGTTGGGCACCGAGTGCGGTAAGACGCTTATCAACGGTACGGCTCACAGAATTGTAATGTTCGTACGTCTTATTACCCAGACCAAAGACGATGTAACGCAAATTCTTCAAGCTGGATTCGCCCTCCGAAAATTGGGGCTCTTCGTCCATCAACAAATCCCAGAATTCCACGGAGTTATCGGTAGGCTCGCCTTCACCGTAGGTCGCCATGACAAAGAACACAAGCTTATCTTCCGGCACGGTATCCAGGTAGCTCAGATCGTAAAGTTCAATGTCAGCCGTCATACAGTTCACTCCAAACCGCTGCGAACACTCCTTGGCCAAACGAGCAGCATAATCCTCCGCCGTTCCCGTTTGCGAACCATAAAAGAAAATCACTTGTCGGCCCTGACCACGTCCCCCAAAAGAAAAGAAAAAGAAAAAAGTAATAAGTAACCTTCATCAGCATGACTCGTTTTTTCTTTCTTGCGTTACGATGATGGGTTGACATTGTAAAAGAGAATTGGTTCACTTACTTGTTGTTCCATGACCTTGACAAAGTTGCGTTCCCGTTTGGGGGCTTGAGAAGCACCGGTGGGGGCGGACTTGGCATTGGCATCATCTTTGCGTCCAAATAATTTCTCTGCAATCTGACGTCGGGTGAACCAAGCAATGGTACCCAAACCAATGCTGCCTAAAATAACAAGGTCAAGGGTGTCTATCAAGGCCGGTGACGATTGAGCCATTCTTCTTGAAAAGAGAGAAATATTGGAAAAAGAAAGAAAAAGAACCCTAAAGGAAGAGCTCAAACAAAGAAAACGGTAAGGGAAACTTTTTTTTTTGGCACCAGTTCAAATTTGTCGAACCATGAAAATTGGATGTCCACAAGGGACTGCCCGGGTACGGGGACCGAGACATTCTTCGATTTAATTGGCTAGAATAGTCCACTAATTCACTCTCAGAATAATACTTGGGGCACCGATCAGCGAATCCCAAACAAACAACTGTGTTTATCTGATGGAATTTCTGGCTGTCCAGATTTGTACCATCGTGTGTCTCGCGATTTTTCAGAGCCTTCGCTTGGGCGTTTCTTCAGTCTGTAAATATACGGTATACTACCATGTCATGGTATAAGCACACGATAGAATGTTGGAACAGATTAAAAGTAGATGGGACGTTCCCCGCTTACTATCATCAAATAAGGGACTTTGACAAGCACTTGACGCTACTGCCAAGGCAAAGACGGGTTATGATGGAATAGAAAGTCAGGAGAACATGCATATATGTCAGTGATGATCATTGAAAGTGGTATGATTGGCTGATGAAGTGGAGTCATCCCCGCATTGCCATGGACAACGTGACCTTTTTCATCCATGCCGAGAATCCGTTCACCCAAATGGTCAAGCTATTGTCTATAACAATGTTTGTATGCGATAGATGCTCCTATCACGTGCAATCCAAAGTTTTATGACCTAGTTTTATTGTTCTACTGCATGAGGTTGATGGTTCAGCACGGAAAAATCCAGACTTTGCTGATTATGGAAGCCACCGTGAGTTGGAGGGTGCCCTAATTTCCTTGTCGTAGATTTTCGTACTGAACACATCATCCACTAAATACAATGTTAGTAACACAAATACTTTATCTTTCCAAACAGGAAATTCATGTGGATACGAAATACCTTGTCGCTATAGAATGCTTTTCTCTCAAGATGAAGCGCTGATCATTCTGGACGACCATAATACGCCACATTTCACCTATGTTCTCCTTTCATTGATGTCCATGCTTTAACATTGGCAGCAGGAGCTCGCTTGAAATAATTCAGACGTATATTGCGTAGAGTAGACTACAATAAAAATAGCCTAGTAAGTTTGATTGACAGAAATCTCCGTAATGTGTATCCTGTAATTGATCATCAGCATCAGGAAGCAATATCATTGTGTGTTGCCTGACTTTCTTGTTTTTTCATTTCTGTAGCTTACCCTTCGCATGGACCCAGTCGATCATCAGCACCTCCTTTCCAAAACTAGTCCACTAGAAAGATATGCTATTAAATAAGATGCCAAGTTTACATTCCATCTTGCGATTATTATTATTTTTTCCATTGAGGAATTTTCGTTTTGCTGTTTTCAGGCACAGCGGGTTTTGAACATGTAGCGGGAAGAAGCGTTTTTCTCTTTCAATGACTGACATGTGAAAGTCTGACAGTTGGGCAGCAACCTCCCACATTTTGTGCCCCCTTTCTCAAGGTCCCCTCCTTTCTCAACTCATTTTCTATTCTTAAACGTCAGACATCCCCTTTTAGCTTTCTTTTCATTTAAATTACATCTTTTTTCCCTTGAACTTTTTCTTTTTGAATTCCCTTTCCCGAGAATTTATTTTATCAATATTTCCACTTAATCTATCGGTTTTTCTATCATGATGGCTACTCAAGTTGCAGGTTACACGGTGATCAATGTAATTGAAAATCTTCATGGGAAGGTCGTCACAGAAACACTGAAACAACATCCAAACCGACCATTATAGCCTACTGAACTTAATATTACTTTTGAGGAAGCCATGACCCACGCTCAACGCACCGGAGCGTTTCTACAAGAGATGCTCCGCATGCTGGAACCACCCCAGGTTAAAAGCAATGAGATCGCCAAGGTAACGCCCTACGGCGGAAAAATAATGCATAACGAGGCTTCAGCTCATCCCTCCATCCTCGATCATTAGGATGCTTACAACGAGTGTTTGCAGCTCAAGGATTATTTGGCTGATCAGCTGTGGTGTGTCACTGATGCGGATAAGATTGCGGAACTTACGGATGCATTAGAGACATTATCACGAGCTTGCAGCAATTACGATATGATGAAAGATGTCGCCGAAGGAGATTGGTATGGCACTTATCTAATGATGATTTTAATCAAAGACAAAAGAAGCTAATGCCCGGATGTTACAATTAGGGAATTGGTGGATGTGCGAGTACCTAGCTTCTAATAGTTGAGGTTCAACTCGACAAAAATTAGAAAAATGGGTCATACGTTTATATCATGCATTATCACATTTACCAATAATATCAGCAAACAGAAAAAAAACCATATCGTCTCTTAATTGTTGCTTGCTCTATTTGATTTTTTCAAAAAAAAAAAACAAAAAAAAAAACTAACAAAGAAGACTGATACTACCTTTGTTGCCTATTTTTTTGGATCACCTCATTGAAGAAAAAAATCATGCTTCAGTCCGGATCCTGCAAAGGTTCCAAAAATGGCAACCCAGGACGGGCGCGCGTGATCCGACACGTCATCTAAATGTGACGTGCATGTTGCGGCAAAGATTAAACGGAAAAAAAAAATTTTTTCTCAAAAGCAGCATCTGCCCGGCCCATTCCCCGCTGGTTTTTGTCCTTTTGCTCCCTCCCCACTGGTCCGGACAAGTATTAACACGCGGGTCGAACTTGACGCTTTCTACTCCATCTGCCTTTCCGCCTCGAATAAAGTAGCCCTTACCGAACCATCCGCCCCGCGCAAAGCCAACCCACTCCCAGCCGACCGTGCTTATAAAAAACAAAAACGTGTACCTATTCCAGTCATGGAAAGCAACCAGCCTTCTCCTTCTCCCCATCAAGAGTCGTATAACGCCCCTCAAGGTGAATGCAGTATTCTTTCTCCCACACTGGCAGATATTCTCAGAGATGATCGGATTCTCCGCTTCTATCAATGTGTCAAGGATATCAAGACCCAGCAATCTCCCACCCAAACCGCGGCCATGTTCTTTGCGCTGTGCCACGCCCTAGGTGACTCGGTGTCATTCTTGAAAGTACCTAATATGTCCAAAATCATGTTTCGTCAAGAACAACAAATCTTTGCCGTCAATGTCGCTGGCACACAGCAGGATGCTATCCAACTGTTCAATACCCATGATATGGCGTCGCTGGATCCCACCAATTCCGCTGCGTTGGTGCAAAATGTGAATAACCCTCAACAGCATAATTTATTTGCGCCGGGTGCCGATGGCTCACCGCAGCATCTTTTGCAAGCGGCACTTGCATCTGTATCGCCTGCACCAAGCGTAGCGGCCGCCGCGGCCGCGGCCGCAGCAGCAGCAGCAGCGGTGGGAGGAGGTAGTGGTGGAAAACGCAAGCACGGTGATCAGCGAGATCCCACCAAAAGAGCCAAGAAAGCCAGTCCAAGAGATAAAGAATATGCTGTACGACGTAAGTGTGCTGATCCCCTTGATATGGGAATGTCAATAGCGAGATGCTAATGACGGATGAAAAAAATGTAGGCAATGAAATTATTCAGGATTTACTCAAAGTGACGGAAGTGGACTTGGCGCATCAAGCGAATACGGTGGACGATGAAGTGAAATTGATTATCCAAGGACACGAACGAAGCACCAAATTTGGATTATTGTCACCTCTTCATCGATTTGCGACATTTGCGAACTTGCCTGCCCACTTTGACTGCGATTTCGCTCCCAAAAATGCGGGCGTTTATTTCAACTATGAATATTTCCAACTCTATTTAGCGTACCGTGATCTGGAAGCGGAGCGAACACGGCAACAAGAGCAAAACAACAATGGTGATACGCGTACCATTCTTGTCCAATGCCGTGCGGATATAGAGAAAGTACTGGTGAATACCAACTGGGAAGCGATCCGTCGTCGACTAACGATTGGTGAACGTATTTGTCAAGTGTGCGGTGTGGTCGGTCGTGGATTCTTGTTGCTGAGCAAGCAAGTCTCTGGTCGCAAACTGCTTCACAATTTCAATACGGGCGAATGGGGCGATTTCATGCTTGAATTCGAACGGCCTGAGAACCAAGCGTTGTTGCAGACATTGCAAGCCAAATATGCGCCTGAAAGATTTTACGGCAGCAACCCTCGAACCACCGCCGATATGCTGATGGCCCCCGATACCGGCATCCCAAGAGAACCCACATCGGAAAGCAGTATGAACGCATCGGCAGCAGCAGCAGCAGCGGCAGCTGCTCTTGTTTCCGACAATAATGCCACTCCCACCACGTCCAATCCCACAGAGAATGTCAAGGAAGAAACACCTCAAGAACCGCAATGAAACTCCATTGTGAAGTCTACCTCTTTCTATTCGTCCCAATCATGATTTTCATCTCTTCTTATGCATGTTTTCTTTTCAAGTCTCTCATTTGTTTTCACCCTTTTTCCAGTTCACTGGACTTTGGTTTCACTATTTCCTTGCACCTTTAGTTTGCGTCTCGTCTATTCAGTCCCTTAACCTTCTCTTTGTTTCTTCTCTCTCCCATTTGACGAAGTGAGTCTTCGAATAATTAAAGTATTCACTGTGCTACGCTTCAGCTGGATGCCCTTTATTCAGAAATACTGATTTTAAAAGAAATGCAGAGTGTTGATTGTGATGCGTTGTGATTCATATTTTTTACACAGCATTATTTTAGGTTTAACACCGGTCCAAAATGGTGAAACGGGAAAAGCAACTTTTTTTTTTCCTTCTGAGTTTGTGATGGATCATCTTTTGTTGTTACACACCGTTTTTTTTTTCTTTCCCAAAAAAAAAGTCACCCATGTTTTGGCTGAGATAAAGAAGACAAAAAATTATACATTGCTATCTAGTGGAGATCTCATTTTCTAATGTCAAGTTGGGTGATATATTTAATGAAGCGAAACAGAAATTACCATGGTGAATTGAACCGTAGGATGCGTTGACGCTTTTTTTTTCTTTTTATTTCTTCCAATTCATTCAAAGCATGGTCACACTTCAAAATGAAACGTGGATTTAGGATATGCGGGAAAACTCCGACGAGTAATTGTCCCCTTGAACAACACAGTTGCACAAGGCTGGTCACTCAAACAATCAGATTTCAATCATCAACCCCAACTTAATCCGATCCAACGTCTTTAAAACCGAGGATTCAAGACGTACACAGTATTTGCTTATCATTCTGATTGCTTTCTATCATGTAGGTTCGTTGTCATTCCAATTATTTACCTCTTTTCCGCTTTTTTTTTAGGTTATTTATTTATTTTTCTCCTCTGTTCTCCCATGCGATACACTGTAGTTCAGGCAATATGCCGATGAATATGATTTGCCCTCGGATAACCATCATTGCTTGATATGGTCATAGTGCTTTGAGTACTTGACGGGGTTTCACCGTACATTCGTTCAGGATGAAATCTCGCATGATAAATTGGAAGACAAGCGGATCTGTAGAGATATGTATGTTTGGAAGAACACTGCTTGGAAACATCATAATGATGACGAAAAAAAAAAAAAAAGAAAATGCCAGATAATCAATCTCACAGAAAGGTTTCGCCAAAAGCGTGATAAAAAAAAACCAGAAACGGGATTGGAAAACCCGAAATTTCCTTTACCGATGATACTCAAGCATCACCCTGTGATGGGAAGAATCATCCATTGAACTTGTCCCCATCCTCGTCTATTTTTTTCTTTTTTATTATTATTATTATTATTATTTTGGCTCTGGTATGATGTGCCTCTCTGTGCATGCATGCATTTTTCATGTTTATTTGGTTCCGCTTGCTCCACGCTAAAAGATAAATAAAGAGGCCAAGATGCAGACTTTCTTTTCGCGCAAACCTGAGATAATTTGTTGAGCCTGTTTATGACACTTGATAGGCCGCCGAAAACCTCCCACACATCATCACCTTGTGGGGAAAAACAAGATTTTTTTTTATTTCATTGAATTTTATTTCTTTTCATTTGACTTGAATATGAATGGATAGTTAACCCCTAATTTTGGACCCATTCTCCTTGCTGACAAGGGGGTATTGCCTTCTCTTTTTGGCTTCTTTTTTGGTCTAAAGCAGGGTTCCCAATTTGGAATAGATATGAGAAGGGAGAGCTGAATGTGAGTCTCAACCAGCAAATCACCGTATTTGTTGTTTGTGGGAAAAAAAACACGGTGATTAATATCTAAACAAACACATGGCGTGGCGCCGATGAAAGATAGCATGATTCACTAGAGCTGCACTATGCTGCCACGTTCCGGTCCATCCCCATGCCGCTTGTTCGCTGGGATGTTTCGATACACCAATAAGGAATTGGCATCGCTGCCTTTTTCACTAGGTTACGGGCACTTGGCATCCTTCAGGAACCGACATGGGGTTTATTGCGTGATGGCGGGTTTTTCCTGGTTCAGCCATGTCTTGGCCAGTGGAACCAAGTCAAGCTTTCCAACATAGTAAAAATAAAATCCGCAAAAAAAAGTCCATGGCGCGCCATGTGACGTCATTCGCTCATATTTTATGCTGGATGGATGGTGGAATATAAGAGACAGTTCCAAGTCCTAAAAGGATGCAACTGTTGGCAAGAGTCCACAGTGGCACATGATGGAGTATTTGTTTATTGACACTGAGTGCTGCTTTGCTTCAACCAACCCCAAAAAAGTGGGGTATGTGAACGATGGAAGGACTATTTTTCTTGCTGTTTTTTTTTCATGCGGAGTCGAAGCGTTGAATGGTCGGGAATAGGACGAGTGCACCGAAACTTTAATCGGTCACAAAAAAAAAAAAGACGATCGGTAAATGCAGTCAAAAGAATCTTTTTTCTGAAGCAGTCAAAGGTGCTTTCTCTCTTGGCTGTTATCGCAACCTGGCCTCACCTTCTTGTCTCCTTCTTCTCCCCCATCTTTGAACCTCTTTGTTCCTTCGTCTTTGTCCCTCCCCCCTACTTTTTTTTATATACTTGCCCTGAACATTGACACTGACCTGCAGTTATCGTTTCTCTGGTCATCTGTATTGGTTTAAGCTCCAAACTTGTCACTGCTTTTTCACGCACCTTTTGCTTATATTAACTTGCGTCTTTTTATACCACCTGTCGGTTTTTTTTTACACTTTACACTTTACATTTTCATTTGAAGTTCCTTTTCTGTTCTTATTTTTCCTATATTTTATTTTTACTTTGTTCTTTCTTTTCTTATTTCCTCTTTATTTTATTTTTTTATTTGTCGTTAATTTCCTGATCGCCTTCATCATTCTTCGTTTCCCAACTGAGCAATGAAAGCGTCAAAGTATGTCAACTTGCCAATGCGATTTTTCTTATTTCGTTGCTTGTCTTTTTGTTTTTCCGTTTTGATTTGTCCAACGGTACACAATGCTAACATACTACTTGAACGTTTTTTCTTTGTCGGTTTTACTTTTTAAAAAGGCCCACGATGACCAAGAAACGGTCTACGGATGTATCACGGATCAAATCCCAGGCTGTCAAGGCCGCCCAATGTACCAAGGCGACCAAGACATATGAAATAACGGTCAAACGACGAGCGGTCACTGCACGTCGTCCTTGTCCTACACCCCCTGCGGCGATTCATCATGACATAAGCGATATCGCTAAGCGACTCAAACAAAACTTGTCAGCTGCCATGGCAAAAGCTTCTGCTCTCCCATCCATGCAACACGTCAAACCAGATGATACCTGCGGCTCCAGCAACAACCACTGCACCTCTGCTGCGTCTCCGTTGTCGTCATCTGATTGGCCCACCCCCAAACCCACTTTGCGCAACCTTAAACTGTTGAAAGAATATCTAGCATTTATTGCACACGATAGCACCGTTGATATCGTGACGACAGAGAATGGCCACTCAATTCATATAACAACATCCCCCAGCACTGACTGGAACACCGACACTACCACCACGACCCACTCTCCCGCCTGTTCCCCCGATGCCACCGATCAAACCGCACGATTAGGCGCCCACCTCATTGAATCCATGGTCCATGACCATTGCGAAATGGACAAGTGTCTAGACGACCAACATGAACCTCAGGATAAAAAGTCGCAAGGTACGTTATTCAAGGGGGGGGGGGAGGGCGAAAAAAAATTGAGAGCCCACCCACAAAAAGGTGCACTAGGTTATGCACTGCGGTGACAAAATACGGGCAATGTTACTCACAGAAACATGAACGTTTTTTTTTTAGCCTGTCGCGCGACACCATATACGGCAAGCCGATTGGAACGACGTCGTCCTGGTCGACCACCTAAACCGAAACAATTCTTTGATGAAGATCCTTGCAACGATCCAGTCAAGCGAGTGAGGCGGCCATCCAAATCGTCCACCCCCGTGAAACGGTGCACGAAAAAGAAACCTGAACATCAAATCCAATGCATCTGTGACACCCCTCATGAAGAGTTTGGCGCCATGGTGCAGTGTGACGATTGCTCAACATGGCTTCATGTGGAATGTCTGGATCTGGACGATCACGCTTTGGAAGAGACTTTCCGTTGTCCATCTTGCTACATGACGCTGGGAGCTGGAAAACAAACCAAACTGACAAGTTCCATGTCGTGGCGATTTGCTGCGCAATGGCGAAGTCAACGATTAGCAGCTTTGCATAACGATGATGCTGCCACCAGTGACGAAGAGGAAGATGTCGTTGTTAACAGCCACAGCTATCCATTGACCGAGATCACAAATACTCAGTCACCACGGCTCTGTCGTCCATCGACGCCTGTTCCCGTAGTCACGCCGTGTGTATCGATCGATCACAGCAACAGCCGTCATGGTGACGTGACCAATAATACCATCAGCAGAGAAAGCAGCCTGGAACTCGAATCGGATGTGGACGCTCGTACACCCGGATTGATGAGCTGCAATACGAATCCTATGGATTGGTCCACCAGCAGCGAAAATGATAGTCCCAGCGAAGCGAGCACGCCCGATCAGACTTTTAGCTGTTTCGATTCCTTTGAGCCAGCTTCAGATGAAATGATTCACCACGGGATAACGTTGGATCCCGAGAGTTTAGAATTCCTATCTCGTCTGATGTACCTTCAATCCCTGGATTCAGTAAAAAAGGAACTCTTTGCACCAAATGCGTCGGACGTGTTTCTCTGTGAAAATATCAACAACACCATTGCAACGACTACGACGGCTGCACCGCCACCTTCACCTGCGGTGGGGTTTGCACCGGATGCACCACCTTCCAGCATTTGCTCTCAGGATCTTTCGGAGTTCTCGTTCGATTCTGGACCATTTTGGGAGCCATTACTCTTCTAAGGCAAAAAAGTGGGTCTGTGCGTTGGACTGTGACTCCGCCCTTTTGTTGTAAATACCTATGAATTGGCTTGTGGAAGTGATCATCCATTCCGTCCAACCCCACTTCTTCCCCTGGTTTTTTTTTCTTCATTCTTCTACGTGTTTCTCCCCCCTTTTTACTTCTTCGGCCTCTCACACCCCACCCACATCCATACACTCGATCTAACTCTCTTGCTTTTTTTTTTCTCTTTCTATTTCCCCTCGCTTGTATCATACTTTTTATTCCATCATTCTCTGCATTCCCCCCTTTCCCTTTTCCCATATCTCTTTTGTCTTCAATGACAGAAAAAGTCAAAAAAAAAGACGCCCGAAAGTATAATTGTTATTTGTTTAGTCTGAATCACCTTCAAATCGACGATTTTATGTACATATAGTAAAACCCCCCATTTTCCTCAAAAAGCCGATAAAAACAATCTATTCTATCTGCTGGTATATCTATTATGATTTACGTTGGCTATTTATTTCTTGTTGATTGAACTGGAGAGCAAGGACCATCTTCCTTTTTTTTAGCCTTGGTGATCCTACTGCATGCACGCTTTTCTTGAAGCTCCTTTTTCAACAGTAGTCCGACTCATGTTGACCGTTTCTAAAAACGGCATCTTTATTTCAGTTTGTACCGATGCTCAGAACCAGCTGCAGGGAATTTAATCATTTTTTTTTTTTAAACTATGAACATATCTGAAAAAGAAGAAAAAACGCCATTCCACGATAAGCTTTTTTCTTGCAGTACAACCAGGGTCGACGAACGCCAACTGGTATGTACTAATTCATTTAACCGCAGGAGCATCAAAAGAAAAAAGTCGAGGCAAGTGTGACAAATAATTCGAAAAAAAAAGACTGTGCATGTATGCGAAAAAACCGGATCTGGGATGTTGCTGTCAGTATAGTTGTGATCTTTTTAGCTTGGTCCATGCTGCCATGCCGGAGCGTGCTCGTTTGCATGCGTACGTCGCTGGCATCAATTTCCACCTGCATGTTTATTTAACATTTTGCAGATCTTTCATGACGATCCATTCTTGTCTCGTCATCGTTTTTTCCGTTTGCCTGGCTGTAAATTATTTTCTACCAGGCTGAAAATGTTCTAGCCTACAATCCAGTATTGATGGCGCAACATGTTGCATGGGAGATAATCTTATTTTCTGCTGATATATCGCCTCGTTCAAACATGATCCATATTTCGCGAGCAAAAAAATAAAATCCTGCAACACAGAGCAGTCTTCCACCTGAAAAATAAATAGGTGACAATTTTGACTTATGCTTACACGCAAGAATATCCTTGCTTATAAATTTGTTCTCAAAATGAATAATATTTAGGCTAGCCAAAAATCAGTCCACGACAAACCAAATGCTTATGCCAATGTTGCTTCTTTTGTGATCCAGGGGCACTGGTTGTTATATCATGGTTTCCAACGTATTCTTACGAATTGAAGCATCAATAAAAGTGAACATATCATACCATAGTACGTGCTTCCGAAAAATATGAAGGCTAGAAATTCGGCTATTCTTGCATCCAAGATTAATGAGCTCTATTTTTGTGTGTAACACTGCCCCGGCAGCTCTAAACCCTGAAGTGCTCCTTTCATCGCAATATTTTGATGGCTCAAGGTATATTTGGTTCTTTATTAAAATTAATGCATATGTCATTACGGGCGAACACACCCACACTAATATACTTCTGATCTGTGCTCATTGAATGAGATGAAATAAATAATTTAGGACAGGAGTTTAGGGCTTGCGACCCCAGGCCGCATGGATATTGTTGAATGCCCTTCCGTTGTGTATTTCGGTGAGGATGTAACCCCACAGTTTTTCGTACTCTGCAGATGAAATGCCCATAATGTTGGTGAGGAAGGGGCGCATGACTTCGATGAAAGACTCGTAATTTTGTTGCCATAGTGTTCCGATATCTAAGCCCCACGGACCAAGAGGAATGGAGACAAGGCGTGAGTCGACGTCTTTCAATCCTCCTTGTTGCAGAAATTTTGTTAGCTCGATAGCGACTCTCGGTTCGGTATGGCATTTTTGACGCACAGTATCCAGCACTGATATTAAGAAGAATTGTAAGCGTTTGTCTGTTCACGTTCCCTCTGCTCTGATGATGTTCGAAAGGCTCTGCTCTCGCAAATGTTTTAATGATCCCTTAGACTACCTACTTTGCGATGCAAATACCGCGGCTTGAGGTCCCAGTTGGTGGGTTTGGTAATCAATTTCCATGAGCTGAATGTAACCTCCGGGCTTGGTGACTCTGATCATTTCCGACACCACATGTTGCCAATCCGACAGTGTGTAGGCTACTGTGCAAAGTCGCTGTACAACAAGATCAAACGAGTTGTCAGGAAACGGTAAACGGTGCTCGGTCACATTCAAAATGTGAAAGTCGAGGTTTCCAAACACCTGTTTGGCTGGTCGCGGAGTGTCGGGGACACTTGAACGGCAGGTGGTACAAGTAGAATGGGACGAGGAAGTGTCCAACGGACTCATGCATGAACAGGACGGACTATCATCGCTCTGTGAATGGAGGCTGGGAACGTGATAGCATCGTGAACTGGTAGATAGCGGGCTTGAAGCAGCCGATTCTCCCGAGCAGGGTTGGATAGCAGCGGTTGGCTGCATCGCCGTATGAAGACTAGGATGAATAGGCATAAAGTCGGTATGATTATTAGCTGCTGAACAATGGTGCAGACATTCGCAAGAAGAAGTAGCTGTATTATTAGCTGTTGAGGTATTGTTGCTCTTCCTGTAGTAAAAAGGGGTGATTGGGATGTCATCGACGTAGGAAAGGGTTTCTGATGGCAATAGATCACACACATCGACCGCTACAAATTTAGACGCACGGTAATCCAACGCCATATCAACAACCGGATGTCCTATCTGTATGATGAAAATTCATTAGTAAGACATGTTCAACGTAACGCATACCAATCATCGCACGAACCCACATGCCCGGTCCGCATCTAGTAATGGAATATATGAAAATTTAAGGTTTAAACAACGTCTTTTTTTCATAATACGGCAAAATATTGGGGCCATGTCAATTATATAGTTACCCGACGCTCAATACATTAATACCAATCTGTAGTTGCCGTTCCACAGGAGCGACCACATTGCTGTTGCGCAAGCCGATTAGTAAGTAAAGAGAAAAAGAAAGCCCAGTTATTCAACGTTATCTTTTCTAGATACGGCTCTTTGCCTGAGTTGCAGACAATGTTGAAAATAATGGGAGGGATCACATACCCTTCAAAAGCCCATCGCAGGATATAATGCAATACTCGCTGTCGATCTAATTCTGCGTCGTCGTTTGGATAAGGATAAAGCTGTCCCTGTTCATAAAATGAGCACAACGTATCGATAAAATCAACACATGGTGTAAAACAAAGGGAAAAGAACGCAATTTGCCTTTTGGTATTGATATCGTCGGCCTTTGAACCATCGAAAGGCTCCACGTGGACCTGACCCCAAAAATGCCTCGCTTTTACAAAAGATGGCTTCGTTATCTTCGTCGATTTCAGGCCCGGTCCTCGCTTGTGGCAAACCACGAAAAATCCGTCGCAACTCTTCTTTCTCTTCAGTCACAGCACGTTGATTCGGCAGTCCCTCGTTATGGTCGGGTTTCACCTCACTCTTCTCGGCTTCCCATTTGCGCTGCAGTTTACGGCTCGGTTTGATAGGGCGCAAATGCTTGGGGACATGTTTGTTTCGGAAAGACCATGTATCGCTGAACTGATCCTGCTCTTTGGGGGGCTTCAGTGAGAACGCGTTGCCCATTGAATAAAGAAGAACGATTACTGGCGCATGAACTGATGCAAGACGTCTTATGGCGTTATGTTCCACGGAATAATGTACGATATCTTGTTCTTTTCCCGATTCTAGGTCAACGTAAAACGATGATATGGATGCAGTATTTTGTAACGAAACACGCGATAAAAAAGGGGATCGTATGGAAAAAGGGTTTCGAATGAAAGAAAAAGAATAGATGGGGGTTTTTTTCCACGCACCCTACTGTATTAGTTGAAAATGACCAGCAAATGAATTTTATTGGATCGACCCATCAGTCTAACAACATTGTGCAACATTTCACATTACGCCGCAATATGCTCGTTTGGAGCGCGATGGCGAAGTGAACTGCCTGAACCTCCTTCTTCTGACGATGTTGGGAAATGGGACGCTTCTTCATCAGTAGCTGAAGCTGATGTTGTGTTTCTGGCGGTATTGGTGGTGGTGGTGGTGAAAGTGGTTGGAGTAAATGGGGTTGATTCAGTGACTATTTCAGGTGTTGCTGCTTGGTGGTTGTCATGGAATGAATTATTGTCCTCTGCTTGCTGCTCGTTGGCTGGCGTATCATAAGCGTCATTAATGTCGAGATTCTCTTCTGGTTGCCTGTTGCCTTCTATCAGCCAACGACTAGAGAATGATGGGGAGTAAGGTGAGTCAAAATGGCTGTTGAGTGGGCTTATAGCTTATGCTCAGAGACTTACATGATTCGTGGCGTCGCCAGTAAACGCGTGCCGCCACTGGCTGGATCGTTGGGCCAGACATCTTCAAAGAAGTAGTAAATATGACCGACGACAATTCCTAGTGCGTCACCCATGGGTAGCTGCTCCCCCAGCAGCCACGAAAAACAGAGAAGCACCCAAGGAAGATGAGGCGCACTAAAAACCACGAGCCCCAAGAAGTTGAGACGCATATAGGTATTTCTTCGTGCCCAGATATACACCATGGTGAAAGCGAGCGGTGATCCGAGGAACGGCATGTAAGTGGCGGGAACAATAATCTAAGCGGAGCAATGAGTTTTGGTTCCAGTATACGAGGGGCGTGCAACAAGTTCAACTGTACCGAGCATAAAATTAAAGCGATGGCTGAGAAAAGCATTAACCATACGTAATCGGCGGGCTTATTTCGAAAAAAGGTCTCTTCAATCATGCGGCTATATCGTGTCCTAAAAGACGAAAAGAAAAAAAAATGGTCAAAAATGTGATATCCGATAAAGTGAAAGGTTCGATGATTTTCTTACAGAAAAAAGATGTGAAAGACAAAGTCTACGGATATTGGGCCGAAGTATAAAAAGTTGGTAATAAGACGCCACCACTATGCAGGAATTGAGTTGAAAGCATAAAAAGAGGGCCATGTCCCTTGGAGGGTAATTATGAGAATAAAGAATACCTGGAATGAGTGGACGATGCTATCGAAGTTGAGCCATAATTGAAGAGGATGGACAAAGCCAAGTTGCTGACAACAAATTTCGTGAGCTTGATACAAATACTTCATTAGGGTATGGGTGGTTCGCGCAACACTTACAACGGCGAGACTGGTGAGGGAGGCAAGTGTGATATATATGCGAGTGATGGGAGGAATATCGGTATACCAAGTCTCAAAAGGGTTTGGCATAATGGGTTGAAATGCGCAATTCGTTAGGCACAGTTAATCCGGATGAGAATCGCAAGACCAAACCACCATGTTCAACAGTGACGGAAACCCAAAGGGCAATTTCTAGTAACACGGATGAATGTGACTGCTGGATGAAAGCATGTCAAGATGTATCCTCCGCTGTAGCCAAAGGTTTTTAAATGGGTTCAAACGGATTTCATGGGAAATAGCCAAGCATTTTTAATGTAAGGAGGCTGACTGAGGTACAGGACAAATAAACATGCATCTTTTAAATCATGTTGGCAAGAAGCCCATATCATAGACTGGGTCATCAAAATGATGGATGTAAGGGACTCCTTACAATAGCAAATCATCATGCCAAAAAGAAATTTAGAGAATTTTAACAAATTTACAATATCAAATCTACATAATTAAATCCAAGTCATGTCAAGCGATCAATGGCTATTGCAAACTCAAATAACAACGGTAAAATATCTATCATAACCTTGGGCGGGACGGGACTGAAGGTCAATAAGTGCTGCTGCACACATGTTTGGAAATCATGACTGTACGGTATGCCAGAGTATTGACATTAATATACCAAAGTTCCATCGAGAGTCTCGCCCAGGTTATGCCGTATTGCGTTAGGCTTTTGTCTGACGAATGTCGCTCAATGTAAGGGGGCGACGTCCAGTAGCAGGTGGCATCCATTGCACAGCGGGTGTACGGCTTGTTAACAAGCATCATTCATTTACATGTAAAACACATGTTCTTGGGATAAATGGGTTATTTACGTGACCTTTTTCCATCTCGGGCGAGGTATGATTTAGGAAATCGAGTGTGAGACAAAACAGGACAAGCAAAATCCAGTAATTGAAATGTTTGCAAAGCTATGTTATTGCCATTGGACTAAACGAAGCGTGATCTACGTCTGTATGCACATACATTATTAACCTGTATCAAAGAAGCTTGACTTTGTTCATTGACACATGGTATGAGAAAGCCATCCCCTGGACACTGCGTGATAGATAACATAGAAAGACAAACGATTGACGACCACTGCAATCTATCATTGAATATTTGAGGTGGACACAAGGTCGACCAAGGCGTTCTTTTTTGTTGTTTTAAAATGGGTTTGAGAGAAGGTGGGATGTTACAAAAAAAGAGGGTGAGGATCATTTGATCCCGACTAATTTTGGTAAGTCCTTCTTCCAGAAATGCATGGGCGAAATCGGGACCTTATTGAAATTGACGATACTTGGGTAATCATCAGACAATCCATTTTCTGTTTATTGTCGATGGATGTCATGAGGCAGATCCATCTTCCGCCCATTATTCCCTTTTCTTTTTTTTTTTTTTTTTTTTTTCCTCTTCTTTTTACTTATTTCTTTTTTTTTTTTTTTTATTCGTAAAAGCTACCCTCTGCCGCTGCGTGGAAAAAAAACCAACGTCTTTCAATAATATACGTACTTGTCCTTCTTGTCAGCTCATCCCTCCATTTGCCAAACAATGTCGGATTTAGAAACAGAAAACCAACTCGAAACATCCTCCACCGCTCTCATTAAAAGTAATTTGTCGTCGAAACGATTCTCAACTATTAGCACGACGCATCACAAGTGACGCGTACAGAAACTGAATACTATCCTCCTCTTTTTATTTGTACAGATATCATTGAAGATTTATTTTCCTACAGCACAATTCGACGTAAACGGATTCTGGAATACTACTTTTTCGATGATGCCGTTTTGACATCACCTGTGATGAGCACCGAAGGCATTCTGAATATCCAATAGTAACTGGACCTCCTGCATAAACGTCTGTTTTGCCTGAATCTTCGATTGTTGATCTTATTTCCTGCATAGTGTGTATACCGTGTGGCAAGCCCTCAATCGTCACGAACCCATTATTACCAATATTGTATTCGACGGGTATGACTTTTTGTGATATGATTTGTCATTTTGCGAACCGATTCTGATGTTCCTTATTGGAAATAGAAAAACTGCCGTGGTACACCTTGTTCAAAACCTATCACCTGCAATTTTCCCTTCATTTGTCAAGCTGCAAGTGCCCTCCATAACGACCTTGCATTTTCGGGAAACAGAACAAGACAGTGGTCTTCTCAAAATCTACAAACAAGAAGACAGCTGGACACTGGAAGGTTCGATGGCAAAAGCTCTCTTTCTTTTCACATGAAATTAATTTACGTTCAACGCTTTTTTAGGTCTACTGCAATCGGTGCCATTAATCTCTTTTTGGTATAACCATGTTTTACGGGTGGTCATGGGAAAAATTGTCACAGCGACGGGGGACCTGATTGATGCTGCTTTACAGCATGCTCAGAAAATGTCCATGCGCGGTCGAGAAATCCATCGTCTGGGACGCGATCTGGCCATTGAAAACATTGAAAAGCTCGATGAATATCGTGCCAATTTGCACGAAAATTACCTCGAGGGGATCCGGGGTTGGCGTGAAAATTACTTTGAGGAACTCGACACGATACCTCACCGAACGATTAAAGAATCCAATCCTCCCTATGTCGAAAGCATCGCTTATACACCCAAATGATCTAAACCTCCAGCCCTTCGTTTATCACCGTTTCCCTGTCCGTCCTTTAATTCATTAGCTCACAAGTCCGCTTATTTCAATGCCTTTATTTTGGTTGTCTTTTTTTTTTTTTTTTTTTTTTTTTTGGTTCATTCTATTGCGACATTGATTCATTATCTCCATTCATTCATATTCAACATTGCACACAGCTATTTTTTTTTATTTCCAATTTTTTATTTTTTGTTTTATGTCTCGGAACAAAGTCTTTGAATTCGATTACAGAAATACAAACAGAGTCTGCCTTTCTTCCCCGTGAACCGTGAGGGTGATCAGACAGCGTTAAGATCTGAACATGAAAAGGTGCGGTGGTTGGCGTCGGCGGGCATCCATCCTTGTTCCCAACCCAGGAGATAGTCCCAATGGGGGTTAATGTGATTTTCGGTTTTATATGTCCAGAATAACCAGCCATAGCTTGCTTCGAATGCATCCATCTGCCGTTCAATAAATGCCTTTAAGAAGTGCTTGTAATCATCGGTCCATGTTTTCCAGTCTTCGACGCCCTTGCATGTACAGTTGGAGCACACTGGCGGTCGGATTTCGCCTGTGTTCTCTCGATACGTGCCTTCGTAGCGCGTTCCCAAACCTACGCCGTTGAGATACTTTCCACAGTCATTGGTCGCCGCTGAGAATTCGCCGACCATGGTAGGCCCATTCATCTCCGCGGACTTTTTCAGATCGTTCTGCCAGCTGCCGCAAGCAAAGATGGCCTGGTCGTTGCGGGGCAGCGACACCAAATTCTTGTCAAATATCAAGTAGGTATGTGTTTCTAGTAATAAGTCATAAATAAACAGTGTTGCCACTTCTCATGCTATCATGACATACCTAAAATAACGCGTCGATAATAGCCCGTGTTGAAAAAACCGGCCCACGGTGTCAAGCCAAGGAAGCCTTCATGGTATGTCAAGATCGGGCCGCTGTCGGGTCCAGTAATGTTTCGAATGGCATCATAGCTTTCTCGATACCAATCTTTGACGCGTGCTTTATCCAGCATAAAGATGGCTGGTTCATTGAGCACGCCAAAAATGGGTGTAACGTGATCCCACTCGGGCTTGTTGAAGAAAGTGATCATTTGCTCCACAATCTTTAGTGTACGTTTTCCATTCTCTTCGCCGTTGGTACCATTCAACCAGCCAATTTGTCCGTACCGTCCCGAGTGATTCCATCCATTTTGAGATCCAGGCGCCGTGTGCAGTTCGACCATGACGCGCAATCCGTATTTCCGAGCCCATTGGATCCCTTTCAACAGATATTTCCAAGCGACCTTGGGCACAAATGGCTCGCCCTCGAACACCTCTACTGCCCAATGACCGATGGGAATACGGACGTGGTTCAGTCCCATTTTCGCCATTTTTTGAAAATCGTCTTCGGTGACAAATGTTTGGTAATGATGCTCAAGCTGACGTTTCGCTTCCTCGGGGCCCAACTTGGCACACAACGTCCATTCATCCACAATATGATCGGATGGTGGGAATTGGTCAAACAAGCTTGGTGTGATAAAAGGTTCAAGGACCAACCATCCACCGAGGTTGACGCCTCGAATCGGCTGTTTACCGTACGCAAAGGGTTCCTTCAACGGTGGCGTGATCGTGTTGGGTCGAGCCGAGTCATCAAATGAGCCCACATCGGGATGTATATCTGCCAGGTCTCGATGGTTGGATGATGGGTGGCTGTTATCCATGCCAAAAACGACTATAGGGACAACAATAGCGGCGACAATAAACGTGGCAAACATCGCCGCTAGTAAGGACACTTTCGCAGTGTTACGACTGATCCACGATCCCATGCCAACACTCATGGTCGCTGTGTTTTGTCGTTTCATGGGCATTTTCTCAATCGCCTCCTCTTGCGAACTATTCTGAATAGTCGACGGATAATACATGTCACTCAAATCACGTTCCGATGTATCCTCTAAGAAACAATCCTCCACGTTAGCATGCACACGCATGGGTCACAAGCGCAGGAGTTTCCGTTATTACCTGGCATCTGTAAAGTACAACGTGGATAGTTTATGCAAAGGAAAAAGAGAAACGAACCGATGGCCCATCCTCAATGTAAAAACTTAAACTCATCCAATGTGAATCATTGGAACAAACAATGTAATTTCCTATGTATTCACCTATGATAAACGCTGAATCAAACATGATGTTTTTATTTGTTATTTTCATTGCGGGTATGGCATGTCAACGATCAAGCGAGGATAATATAGGCAAACAGATGGAACAGTGACAGCAAACAAATAAACCTCTTTTTTCTGGTTTCTCTCATGACATCCGCCCCATTCTTATTATTCACAGTCGTAATCAGCCGCGACCACGGCCGCGGAAGAATACAGATCGACAGGTGGACGTAAGAAATGATCAAAATAAACATCCAAACGATGAAAATCATCTTCTGTTTGTGGTGAAATCCGGGCACCAATATAGCCATCCGGACGGACGACAAGAACGGTAGGTCTCTTGATTTGGTACGCCGTATACGATTGTTGGTCGTGGTCAAGGTAGACTTTATCAAGACCCAGAGGGAAAGCCGCGTGAACAATGGCCGGAGGCGTCTGCGTTAAAAATTTGGCCACATCTTGCTTGGTCGAAGAGGTAATGTACAAAAAGGAAAACAGACTTTCATCCAACGGAAGCTCGGCTTCAAAGACATCCGATGATGCCATATCATGTCCGGAGCTGGATTCGCTGCTGTGTCGCCGAGAACTGGTTCGTTGCGAGGTACTGAGACGCGGGGTATTGTGCCGTCCTTGCGCGGCCGACGATGTCATTGGATTGAGGGATGGGCCGGTGGAAATGGATCGATACGTGTTCAAACTACTGGAACGTATCAAGCTTGTGTCCGACAAGACAGACGAGCCGGATATTCGACGAGCTGCAAGGACCGATTGCGTGGATCGACGGGCTAGAGGATGAGAGTAGATAGACGGTTCATTACTGTGGAAGTATTGAGGCGACTTTTCGTAGCGATGGACAAACGACTGAGGCGAATCCAGGTGACGCTTCAAGGTGTGGAGCATTGATAATGCGGTAGGATCGAGCAGAGAGCCGCAGAATACCAGAATGACAAACTTCAAGGGCGAGTGTCCCTTGCCCGTAATACGATCCAATAATTGATGATGATTCGCTCGAATACCTTTCCATCGGTCAGCGGATTGATGCGGTGAACTGGCCGTTCCTCCATCTTCATGGCTCACCGTGGTGGCCATCGTATTGGATTTATTGGCTCCCGGATAGTACTGCAGAGCCTTTTTCGTCATATTGTGAAGGATAGGAGTTAGATACCAACCGATGCTAGGCAACTGAGACGCGGATCGCGATCGGGGGCGTTGACCGAAGCGGGACTTGACAGTATACTGAGTCCGTTGTTGCGACATGGTTTCGGTTGTCACCGAGTAATCCAAGCTGGCTCGTACCCGCGTGGTGTCATGTATTTTACCAGATGAAGGTTGTGCTAGCAACAGCTGATAGACGGTATACGGTTTCAGTTTGGCGTTTTGAGCAAGCGAGCCCACCGAACCGAGCTCGAACGGAAGCTGATGTTGGTTCGCCGCGGCCTTTGTAGACGTATGGTGCTCCATGTCGGAAACGAGGTGCGTCAATGACGCGGCGGGGGACATGGTATTATCACTATTAAGATTGATGAGGTTGGATGAATAGGGGGTGTTGCCAACAAAGCAATGTCGATGTCGTGTCAAGTAATAGCCCATTTCACGAGCATATGTCGCGTTCAGCCCTCGAAATACGGATGGATCATGACCCAACAGCTGTATAAACTGTCTGGCAGAACAAAGGAGAGCATCCAGTTTAGCGCGCGCTTCGGTTTCAAACGTATCGAGAAGCAAAGGGGAAGCACGATCGCGCAAATACAAAGCTAGTTTCCAGCATAAATTATGGGCTTGTTCCAAGGCTAGATTATTGGCGAATAATCCTGGCGGACAAATGTGTTGTGTAGCCCCACCGATTAAGAAATAGCGATGGTCAACATTGTATTCTTCACATGTACGATCGTCAGCTGAGCGACCAATCAAAGGCAAGGAAAATGAAAATAAGCTTATCAATCATGAGCTACCAAGAAGAAAGAACCTAACCGGAGTTCTATAAAAAGGGCCACTCACCTGACCACCGGTAGTATGCATGAACGACATCAAATTCAATGTGACGAGGTTCCAGCACATTGCGGATGTGACGTTGCGCAATAAGTAAAGGGACTTCATCATCGATGTGAAGCTTGCTCCAGCTGGGCTTGTGCTCGAAAATGATGTAGAGTTTGTCTTTATGACCTATAAAAAAGCAATTTCAACAAAGACTTGAAAGATACTATGTTTGAACCTTTCATCCTCCGAAGGGAAGAAAGGTGCCGGATTTTTTTTCTCGTCGCACAGATTAACTTTATTTCTGATGCTTTGACAAAACTTGACTATCGTACCTATGATGAAGAGTGTATCTTGGCCTTTGGTCACTGTCGACAAGGTACGTTTCCCAGGGAAGTTCGTTGACACTGTGGCTTCCAGTGTGTAAAATACAAGCGGTGACTTGCCATACTGTTGCGCTAGTCCTGTCAGTATACGAAGCAAAAAATGGAAGCATCAATAAATCATTTGAGCATTCAGGGCAGATCCGAAAAAAAAAAAAAAACCAATTGATTTTTTTGGGGCCATCTCAGCCAAAAACTAGGAAGATGAGAGGGAAGAAAAAAAAAAGAGGGCTCTGACACGTTCAACTCCCATCGAGCGGTCAGTGGGCCTCAAAAGGAAAACATCACGTCGGTGTGATATGGTGATTCAACGCACCTAATTTCTGTCGGACAAAGCTGTTGATGCCGTCCGCACCAATGACAATGCGGGACTTCCATTGATGAATTTGGCCCGATTCGGTATTACGAATAGACGCAACGACGTGTTGAATATATGGATGCTGGAACTTGTATGAAGCAAAATGATTTGTCGATGACAACGATGAAGGCATTGGGACATCTGTGGATGCGGTAGACACGGTTTCGAGATCCACGATTTCTTGTCCGTATTCCACGGCTATGCCTCTTTTTTCAAGCGCCGCTTTGATTTGTTGGCAGATATGATCACATTCGCAGGAGAGACTCCAACTGAACTCGGTTGCTTCGTTTTCCCACACACGATGGCTCTGGCAATCCACAGTCGCCGCACTACTACCGTGGCCTTTGTGAGTGTAGGTTTCGAATCGCCAGTGCCGTACGCTTCGTGACATTACGGCATCCACAAGATCAAACGCTTGCAACAGTTGTAAACTTCGAGGCGACCATAGAAACGCCATTCGATTGCTTCCCGACGACTGCGCTTTATCTAACAAGGGCGTTTATGGATCAGTGATCGAATGATCGCTGAATGGTGCTTTGAAGGTGTCGAAAAGTATACCAATAATGCGGACGGAAATGCCCATGGATCTCAGTAGAAGCGCTGTATACAGGCCAGACAATCCTAATCAAGATCGGCAGGACATGAATCAAATTGTTTTACGATCAACCGCCATCAATGCATTGGACATTTTTCTATCCGTGCGGCAAGTGTCTGTTAGATCATATGTACCTGCACCTAGAATCAAGACTTCGGAATCAATGACACTGTAAGGCATTGGTAATTATGCAGGTACGGTTATAATAAGTAAAGAAGAAGAAAAGAAGAAGAGAAAAACAGAACGAATTAAGGTTTTTTTAAATCGCCTTTCCAAATGAGAAAATTTTAGTACCTCACACTTCATTGCAAAGTTCTAATCCAAATGGCCTCCCACGACCCAGCACAAGCTTCCATTAGCAGCATCCATGCTTCTTGTGCGGTACCTATACGAAATGACTGGCATCCAATTGAAATCGGTCGTTCTGCTCAGACACTGTGTCATCAACCAGGCATGGTACTTGGACAACACTTCCTTTCCAAATTGTTTGCATGATAATGGATCAAAATTTTCGTGTTTATTTGTTCAGACGTTTGCTGAACCAAGATCTCCTTTTTTGGACATCGCACAGTTGGTCTGTCACAACACATGCTTTGATATTTACGAGAAAACATGCGAACGGACACGGAACTAAATGCCAATTAAATGAAATGGGATCAACGTTGCTTATTTGTACTTTGGCTTGTGCCGAAAAGATTGGTTTCTCCGCAAAACATTTGTCATTCTTGTTGGTACATTATTCATCTCTGTCATTTTATATCTTTTTTTTGCTTCTTATTATCCAATGAATGCGTTGTCAAAAAGCCCGGAAGGTGCCACAAGCAGCGGGGAGTTTAGTTAAGAACAGTTGGGGCGGTTGGTATAACATGACCCATTCATTAGCCGTATCTTGATAAATTGTCGGTTGTGATCAACCAAGCAATTGGTATCCGCTTGACGCTGGTATGTGTGGGATGTGCTGTGGTGAAATACTTTATGGCCATGAATCCGAGTATCCAATTATGACCTGTTTATTATGTAAAGAGAAAGAAAAAGAAGAGGGAGAGAAAGAAAGGGAGAGATAAACAAAAGAGAAAAAGAAACCGTAATATCATGGTGATCATCGTTCCTCGTTGTCGCCATCGTCATCATCAAATGGTTGGCAGGAAATTTTAAAGGGTTTTGCTTGTTGGAATCAAAGTGTTATTTAACAACAACCACCAGATTGGTTTGGTTGAACGGCCGCGCCCTGACCGATTCTCACGTTGGACTTGGGTTGCTGCTGTTGTCGCATGGTGGAGCCCATTCTATCTTTGATCTGCTTTGCCATGGTTAAAAATGCTTGCTCCACATTCGTCGAGTTCTTTGCCGAGGTCTCCAAGAAAGGAATGCTCAGTCCATCCGCCAATTCCTAATTCACCAAATAATATCGTCCCGGTTCAGTTTGGTCATAACCCCCATTATTTTTCCACTTTTTCGATTGCAACTGACCTTGGCTTCTTCAGTCGCCACCACTTTTTTGTCGGTTAAATCGCTCTTATTACCGACCAACAGCTTGTTCACACCTTCAGCGGCATATCGATCGATTTCTTGAAGCCACGTTTTAACGTTCTTGAACGATTCTTCTTCGGTCACATCGTATACGACAATGATACCGTGAGCACCACGATAATAAGAGGAAGTGATGGTACGGAATCGTTCTTGACCAGCGGTGTCCCACTAACAGATGATAAGGTTTAGTTTATCCTATTCCTATCAAAACCCAATCGTAGACTCCCATGATGACAAGAAATAAAAAAGCTCGTTCTTACAATTTGAAGTTTCACCGTTTTGCCTTCCAATTCAATGGTTCTGATTTTCTATTGTAAAAAACTGAGTTAAGAGAAAGATAAAATGGATGGTATGTAAGCTGTCTTACAAAGTCGACGCCAATGGTTGAAATGTAGCTTTCAGTGTAGGTGTCATCAGCGAAACGCAAAAGCAAACACGATTTACCGACGCCGGAATCGCCGATAAGCAAGAGTTTAAACAGATAGTCGCTAGAAAAACGAACATGAATGAATATTTACGACAACTCAGATTGCACATCTAACTGTGTATTCAGTTGAAATAAAGTGGCAAACATACTATTCAGGATTCATCTTGACCCAAAAACAGCACAACCAGAGATACTGGATTCCCTTCTTTTTTTTTCTCCCCAATGAATTTGGTCGCGCGCCCGAAAAAACGACGTCAGTCAGTCGGGAACGTCATCAGTTACTAAATTTGGATTTCACTGTTCACTTGTCTTTGCAAAAAAAAGAAGCCAAGTTTTTTGGTGGGGAGGGTGCGAGGGTCCGGTCCGGAAATTGAGAGAAAGAAGGAAAATGAGCATCCCGGGTCGTACGATTTTGGGCTTCGGCGTCCCGAGATTCCAATGGCCGGGTTCCAATGTCCGGTTTTTCCACGCGGAAAATTTGGCAAAGAAGGAAAACAAGAACCCCGGCTGGTTCGGCTTGGGCTTCGAGGTCCCTGAGATTCTAATGGCCGGGTTCCAATTTAATTTTCCACAAGGAAAATATTTGGCCGCAGAAATGTCGGGTGACTGTAGTGACTTCCAATGGACGGGCCATGGAGGAAGTCACTTGTCAGTTATGCATGGACCTATGTGCAAGCACTTACCGATAGAAGGGCGTGAACAAATCTCCAACCCGTGTGGGTTCCGCTCTTTTATTACGTTACACAAGAATGCCATGAGAAGCCTTGGAGATACAGGCACATTGAAAGTTGCCATGAATTGATTGCACGGATATAGCAATCTTGTTGGACCAGGGTTACATTGATTACAGGAAACCGAGGAACATGCCGTTAATCGACTCAGAATATTGCGTTACTCACAGAAGCAGTGGAAAAACGCACAGGTTACCATAACACTCATTTTCTTTTTTCTGATCTTTCGAAATATCATTTCTCGAAATACTCAATTGAACGTGTGATTCTGCAAACTGTGTATAAAAAGGTAGAATTACTTGTTGTCTTTCTCTTTTCTCAAAGCCAAGTTGTACTTTACTTTGGGTACTAGAACCCAGTCCTTTTCCCCTTCCTTTCCTTTTGGACAAAAGAAACCCCGCCACACGCTTTTTTTTTTCAAATTTTGCCTCCCCTATTTACTTTTGGTGAATCATGCGTATCCCCACCAGCCTTTCCTTTGCTGTCATTGCATTTTTATCCGCGACCAATGGAGTGGATGCCTTTTTCTTTAAGAGAGACGTTTCCTCTATTGAGATCCCTGACGTGCGATCGCCTTCCGTAACGTACCTGAACGCTTTTTCGAATGAAGATGATTTTGAGGCGGAGTACGAACTCGTCGATGGCGACGATCATGAATTCGATGTCAATGGACAACATTCTTCCTTGCGCAAACGCGCTGATGGTTGCCAAAAATATCACACAGGTAAGGACCTGAGAGAGCGATTCAGTTTTTTATTTTATGAAAAGGTGACTAAATCATGTGCATTGCTTTTCCTGTATTCAGTCCGAGCTGGTGATACCTGTTATAGCTTAGCGGAACGTTACGGCATTGATCTTTTCCAGTTGTACGCTTGGAATGACCAGATCAACAAGCATTGCACCAACTTATTCGTCAATAAACGCTACTGCGTCGATGGTCCCAAAGCTCCTCAGGCGACTTCCAATACATGCGAAAAGCGACACAAAGGTAATTTCATTTTTTTTACAGGATGATTCATTTTTTACAAAAGAGCTAACAGAGACTTTTTGTTTGCAGTGATCGCGGGCGACACCTGTGTCAAACTGGCCAAAGCTTACAATATTTCTCTGGAAGAATTTTACAAGCTGAACCCTCGTGTGAACCGCGGTGCCTGCGACAACCTCAAGGTTGCCAATAGCTATTGTGTAGCCGCTGGAAAATCGGCTCACTCGAACAAGGCTCAATTGCTTCAGAAACCTTCTGGCGCTGCTGATAAGAACGACGATAAGAACACCGAAGACAAGACTCCTAGCAAGTCCAAGGCATCTGCTTCAGGCAAGACAGGTACCGGAAAACCTACCACGACAAGGACGTCTACTACCACGACCAAAACGACCACCTCCAAGTCTACCACGACAACCACCACCACCACCACCACTACGCAGCGTCCCACTACGACCAAACGAAGCTCGACAAAGACCACGACCACTCGTCGCAAGACTTCCTCGGCCAAGCCTTCTCCTCCTCCTTCCTCTTCCAAATATGCAGAGGACGAAGTCACCAGCTCTTCTTCCAAGGAACAACGCCGAAGAATCCAAAAGGACGTTGCTTTGACTTACTACTGGATTGCTCACCCGGAAGATTATCCTAGCGGCGGTAAATCCGTTCAGATCAAGACTTGCGGCGGCGAAACCATTGCCACGGTATCACAGAACTACGCTGATGCTCTGGTCATGGAAGGTAGCGGTGTGGCCGGCAGTAAAATGGTGAATCTCGGCGGTTGCTCTTGCGTCAATTACCGTTGCTTCATGGAACTCGACAAGAACGAAGACCCTTACGGATTAACTGCTCACGGTAGTCCCTTGCGACCCTACATCACCATTGCCGCTAATGATATCAAGAAAGGTACCAAAATCTTTGTTCCTAGTCTGGAAGGATTGCAATTGCCCGGAACCAATATGAGACACAACGGTTGTTTCCTTGTCGATGGTAAGTGCAGCAAATTCTCTATAAGGATACAAGATCGTGTAACTCACACCAATCACTTCAATCACAGATGAGAGCTGGAGTTTCTCTTCGAACCATATTGATCTTTACGTCTACCGTATGCAAAACTACCGCAAACTGATTGATAGCCATGGCGTGAGCAAAGTGGACGTTTACGAAGGCGGCGATTGCAAGCTTCTCAATTACATGTAACTGTACACCCGATCTATAGATTCTCTACTTTCTCCTTCTTTTCCCTTTTTTTCTGTTTCTTTCCAGTAAATTAAAGAGAACATGATTGTTCTATCCGATATTGATGTTGTTTAGTTACGCCCGTGTGCAAGTGTGAGTGTATGTAGGCGTGCATAAATTAGATAAACAATACCATAGGAGGTTTCGCCGCTCGGATAGGTAACACAAAGAACATTAAGAAAATGGTTAGGATGGAAAGTAAGGAAATTCTGCATCGACAGAACAGTTCGAAAGGGCGAATTTACTCTATCCTTGTTGACAAAGTAGAACCCAGCTTTTTTTTTTTTTTTTTTTTTTTTTTTTTTGTTAATCCAAAGTAACCGTTTCTCCGAGATCAGTGGTGATAAAACGACTGTGCTCATCATTCTGGGCGGCGGTGGCTAATTCTCTTGCAGTGTTTCTATGCTCGTTTCTAGTGCATGTCAAAAAAGTGCCCCAATGAATACCTATAGACAGATGAGGTCGCCCCAGGAGATGATGGGCTTGTACTGCTTCGGCTGGCGTCATATGCATATGCTTTATCGCCTCGTCTGACGTTGAATTGCCAATGGGTATTGCCGCAAGGATAAATGGTGCATACGCCTTGCCAATGGCCTGGAAAAGTTCAGGCACAAATCCTGTATCACCACTATTTTTCTGATGAGCTCGCTGTTCCTTTTTTTCTTTTCTTTTTTCTGTCTTTTCCAGCCAACCACGAATGAGAACAAGATTCGTTACCAGAAAAATACGCGATGGTTCCTTGCTTTGATCACAAAACTACACCACAGAGCACGATTTCGGTCGAAAAAGGTACGCAGCCCACTTTCATGCTAATTATACCAATGGTTACAAAAAATATCCTTCTAACCAATCTGTGGAGGTAAATAGGATAAAAGTTTACCATTGCCGGCACGCAAGCAAATGCAATCTCAGGTCGTTCCTTGTGATGAATTTCTTGCCACCAATCCAACTCAACCACCTAATATGAAACCAAAATGTCAGCTTTTTGCCATTGATTGCCTGTTTTACCCATAATGACTGCCATACATTCTCTACGCCTCGTTTGCGGAACCAGCCTGCGAGGCCTAACGGAATATACCATGTCACGGTATCGCCCAATTGCTTAACAACCTGTTCATCTGAAAAGTATACCAATCAGTTAAAACAATCATTCACTTCGAAATCCCAAGCGGGGTCGTTTTTTTTCTTGTTTTCTGTATTTGTTTGGATAAACAAGGAAGACGGTTTTACCTAAATGGTCAAAATGATCGTGCGAAATTAAAATGACATCGAGCTTGGATCGAATTTCTTCCAGCGAGCATGGCAACGGTCGTAATCGAGGATACCCATAAAACCGATCGACGGTACGGTCGCCAAAGACAGGGTCCGTCAGGATGGTCAATCCTTCGATGGTGATTAAGCACGTCGATTGCCTACGACCAGATGAATTCTTCCACGTTGAAACTCAATGACGCATGTTGCTCGCAACCTACCCCAGCCAGGTCATCGTTACTGCAGGTGGATTACTGCCTGTGGCATCTTGAGGAAATATCACCTCAAAGGCTGGCTTTTGCACCGACGGGAGGTCATGTTCCTTTTGGGTTGTCTCAGTGAGTTTCGTGAATTGAGCGCGACCTATTGTTTCTTTTTCTGTCATACCTCACTCCCGCATGCGGACAAGTCATTTTTATTTTTGCAACGTCGCAACCAGTGCAGTGCTGTTTCCCACCATGTGACCTGTTTCCATTCTGTAAACGGGTTCACGTATTGTCGCTCCACCTAAATGCTGGTTCCTCAATAAACACTGTCAGACTGGGTCATTGAAATGCACTGACCTTGAGGCTTGCATATCTGTCTTGGTGGCGCTTCAAGTGGCGTCGTTTGGATACATCTCGAAGTCGAACAGCTTCAATAAGATCGGATGCGTGGGATGCTTGCAGATAATAGTACAGACAGGCGGACACGGACACGGTCAACAGTAATGTCGGTACGGTGTAAGGATGGTCGAACGGAATAGGAAAATTGACCAGCGATGGCCGTTTACTGACACCAGATAAGTGTGGCATTCGATATAAAAGCTGGAGTGAGAAATTACAGAAAAGCAACAGTTCCTGTTCGCAACTTCCTTTTTCCCTTCTTCTTTGCAAGTCCTTATTTTACAAAAATGGAAATCCGCTCGATTTTTGGCGGTGGGTATCTCCGCATGACCCCGCTCTGGCCGTTGAAAGACATGTAATAACAACAGGCTACAGCCAGATTTAAAAATCCCAAACAGCGTATAATCGCCTTGCCACAGCGTGCTGAGTAGTCTTGGTTGGTCTTGCCTTCAATAATAACCGAACAACGTGGGGTTCGGATGATGAATTCACCAGCGTATTGGTAACGCATGATTTATAAATTTATTATGTGCATAGGATGTTCAAGCGATGGGTCGAATAACAATGTACAGAGGAGATGGGTTTTGAGATCGAGTGTGGGCACGTAAAACGATAGCGAAGGATTTGGAGGGAAGTAGTAGTAGTTAGGGAATCGTATCAAAGTCGTCACTGATGCCAAATGTTTCGTTGAATAGTTTTCGGTCCATGTTAAATTTGTTGACACAATACGATTGCAACGCCCAGATATTTTCTTAATAGTCATGCGTTAGCGTATGAGTGTTTTTTTTATGGATATTTATAGCTTTCCAGTTACCTGTCCATCGGTTCGCAGCTTCTTTGGCAGTTTTAATCGCTTTTTCTGTGGTTGGGTCAATGGGGTCAGTACTCGGAACCTCGATGACCAGCTTTACGTCACTTACGTTTGGCTTCCACCACAGCTGGATCGTTGTCTTTGTATTCTTGCAAAGCTTGCGTGAGTTCGCCATGAATCCGTTGGGCTTCTTTCAGATTCTCCAGAATTGCATCTCTTTCTTCCTAGAAATACCGCTTGCTTAAATTAAAAAATCAAGGACGAAAATCCCGGTTCTAACCAGTCTTACCGATGCTTCGCGGCCTTCTTGAAGTGTCTGAAGCTGTTCCGTGAGTTGATGGTTCCGTTTCTCTTCATGTTCCAGCTTCTTTTTCATTTCCTCCAAAGCCGCTTTTTTCTGGAAGGTAAGTCACAAGTTAGCCCGGTTTGTACCATTCATCACGTATTCTGATAATAAAAAAGATACATGCCTTTTGAGCTGTATCTGACTGAAAGGACCAAAAATAATTGGAAGTGCCAATTTTGTCCATGGTCACTAATCCGTCGTCCACAAGGCTCATCAACACATCCTTGACCGACTGCGCCACTACACAGTAAGTAAACTAAGTTAAAATACAAAGACTATATCGTAGCCAAGACCCAAATTCGTACCGATCCCCTTTTGTGGTCCAATTTTCTCCAGCTCTTTAAGCTGATAGAATTCGCCCTATGCAAGAAAAATTGACAAAGACAATGAGCATGAAAAATTTACTGCATATTTATAAGAGGAACTCCTACCGTGTCGTGAAAAACCTTTTCGAGTCTTTTCCTTTTTTCTTCTGCACTAACGCCTTTGCGCGACTTGACATTTTCAAACGTGGGTACAAGGTTGAAAAATAAACAAATGGTTCTGCTGTACATGTCTCTTACCATGATCTTGATTCAAGTAAAAAAGGCGGAATGGAAAGAGAAAAGAAGCAGTCAAAAGATCCTGCCTCCGCTGAAAAGGGAAAACCTCACCATGGCGTTTTTTTTTATTCCCGACGCCACCGATCGTTGCATCATGTATACTCCCACCAAACGAATTTATGCACCAAACGATCCGTTTTTCCAGGAAGGCAATATCGCCCTGAGAGCAATCTGGTTGGAAAGAGACGCGGCCGAGTCGGGGAACGACGCCGATATGGTTCGAGAAGAAGCCGATCGTCTAGCGCAGTAAACTATCGTTTTGCTCACTGTGTCTTTCTCTTACTTGACTGTCTTGCTTACTGATGCCTCCATTAGAAACTATATACAACCCCCCATTTACTGCGAAATGGCGACATGTACAACCCGTGGTGAATCCATGGCTTTCCCTTCGGTTGCGGCGTACCAGCTCCACTACGAAGCAACGCATCGTCATGTATGCACCGTTTGCAATAAGCACTTTCCTGGCGCGCTGTGGTTAGATCTACACTTTAATGAATGCCACGATGTATTCAAACAAATGCAAAAGGAAAAAGGCGAGAAAATAGTAAGTGATCTAATAATTACGAGATGATGCTCTCTGTTTCTTTTTTCAAAACAATGATTCACAGAGCTGTATGATTTTGTTCAGTATGCATGTTTCGTGGAAGGGTGTACCAAACTGTTTTCTACACCAAAAATGCGTCGGTTGCACCTTGTCGATAAGCATCGCTATCCACGATATTTTCCTTTTGATCTTCCATGGACAGGGACCAAAACCGCCAAACCACGACGATCTCAGCGTTCTCAATCCCATTTCCAAGTTCCCAAGCCTAATCCTTCCGATGGCTCGACGACCAGTACAACTACGGACATGGACGTCGACACTCTTGTCTCCAAATTGTCGGCCATGAAGATCCCTCGTAGTGTATCTTTTGGCCGTGGCAAACCCAGTCTACAAAGGGCACCTCCACCTCACTTCCGATCTACCGATACCGCCATGAAAGGGGTTCCAACTCTTCAACGGCCACCAGCCTCTCCTAATCTCGAATCGACATCATCAACCACCGATACCACTATGGAAACCGTTCCAAACGATCAAAAAGTGCAATCGCCACGCAAACCACGTAAATCCAAAGCACGTACAGAAAAGAATGAAGCCATGCAGTTTTAATATTTTCCGTTATCAAACGAGTCGTCGGCGACGATCGTTGTCTTGAATCACACGTACAATGTTGCTCATCGCCTGTTGATCGCCCAGCCCACGCTGGTCCAGCCAGAAACGAGTTTGGCGTATAGGCGAAGAAGCGCCGGTCCGTTGTTCCTGAGCCAGCTGTTTCTGCAATACTTTCTTGGGGACTTTCCACGTAGAAAAAATGCCGGGAGCTGGGGCTAAATTCCGCAGGGGCAGCGTCGTTTGTTTGCGTCGAGCTGCGATATCCAGTGTTTCGAGTGTGATGACGGTGTTGGGCGAGATGGCATTCATTTCTTTTTTCGCCGAAGGGGATGAGGATGTATGCAGATAAATATTATTGACAAAAGGGGACAAGACATAATGGAGCGCCCCGGTAGAGCAAGTACTGGCAACGAGAGCTGTGGAAATAGAATGCAATATGACATAGCGCATTGTGGATTCTTTTCTTATTAACAAACATTGAACCAAGAAGACGACAGTTGTATGTCAAACACTCACCACCGAGAAACATGTACTCGTTAATACCCGATGCTTGAACTATAAGTAAATAAAAAAATCATAACGTTAGGCAAAAGAATAATGATACACACAAACCACAGTGAAAGCTTACTGGCAGGCGAGTCCCAAAAGTACATGACCGCCGGAGCTGATAAAGAAGAGATCTATTGCCGCAAGAAGTCAATGAGTGCATTGGGTCATGCGAATGGAGACCCTGTGCATCCTTACACCAAGTGTTGACACTGAGAACAGTTTCAGGAACCGGACGAGAGCCGCATTGGGGGTTGTGTAGACAAGTCTTTTGGTTTCTTTGGCCGCTTCCGTGACAGTGGCCGTGGTATAAAGTCGACCATGTACTACAGCCCGACTTGTTCGCACTAATGTCGACAGCATGACGAGAATCGGTTAATAAAAAAGCGACCTCATCCTGTCTCACTCCAAATTGGGTAAATCCCTCAGGTCTCGGCACTAAGCCACCCTACTTGCCACTGTCAACTAAGCTTTTTTGGCCTCGACTGGCAAACGAGAGGTCAATGAGCCGTAGTTGACGCTTCCAAAAGGTATAATCAACATCATCGTATTACGTATGGAAAGGAAATTGAGAGTGTAACGCAATGCAGTGTTGTACTGCAATGTGCAATCAAGTCGTCAACAAACAAATGGGCCAAATTGATTCCCGCCAAAAATCCATTACGCATTCTGCAAGCCCTCATACTCTTCTTTGTTGTATCACGTGTTTGTAACTGTTCATATTATATGTGAACCTAAATACGGTAAAAGGCTTTGATGCTTAACAATGTATCGTAAGCCTGGAATGCGTAGATTTACGCTGTCATGGCAGCGTCCTAGTGAACAACGACGATTCAGCGGGAATAGAAAAAAAAAAAAAAAAGAAATCCGTGGCGATTTACAACGTTAGATTGGGAATAAGAAAAGGAACAACGTTCAAGAAAAAAAACAAAAGCAAAACAAAAAGGTCTAGTGACAATATCATCGAAGAGGGAAAAAAGAAACAAGACAATTAAAGTGAAACTGCAGCAACAACGCCGTTAAATAAGAAGAGAGTTTCAGAAAAAAGGAAAAAGCGCGACAAAGATTAAATAAAAGCGCAGAGACATTATTGTCATTGACAAAACAAAAATATTATAAATAATGGAAGGGATCTTCCTTGTTGCATCGAAACAGAAAATGTATGAAGACATAATCTGAAGAAAATGATGCTGATCAAGGGTGGAAGGAGAAATCTTCCTTGTTTATCCGGAACAGACCATGTATGGAAGACATGACCTGTGAGGGTGGATAAGAACAAGGTTATATAGTGGTGAAGGCGGTTGAAGTGTACAGTGTGTGCCCGTATAAAACAAGCCTGGAGATCCCCGGTATTGCTTTCCAATCCCTCTAGGAAAACTGCTCTACAGCCCTCCTTTCCGTCTACCTGCAGCGCCTATAGACAGAGGTAAAGAGTCTGATCCATCCTCGCGTGCCGCATGCTCCGACCGCCTCGTTTCAATCGACGACCAGTCGACAAGTCATAGTATCACCTAACCTACTCGCACTGACGGCGCATCGACTGAATTGCATGTGACCCACCATAGACACAGTTACACTACCAAAGGAAATCCTCACACCAGTACGTCGAAACTAGACGGAACCCGACATCCCACTCACGGTTTGCTTGTTGAAAGAGCATGCAAGGCTCCCCCGAAATGGAAACTTCCGGCTTCACCTTGACAAGCAAAGGTATCCGAGAGATTCACTTCCCCATGGTGGAGGAAGTGCGGGACTGCGGTTGGCTCCTTAGCGTAAAGTCCCCAAATGCGTTACCCGATCAAGGCAGATGCCAGCTCACTAGATATTGCCCTGCCCCCCAAAAAACCGCCAAGGCATAGCCAGAAACTGACAGAGCGACCATGATGAACATTACGCGATCTAGCTTCGGTGGATGTCCAATACACGGCGATGCAGAGAAAGTGCTACCGACTGACCTTGTCGCAACACCCGCATGTGATTATTCACCAATCAGGCATGTCTCGTACGTGGGGGCGGCTGCCCGCCTCTATCCTCGCTACATAGGTATTGAGGACCGCATCGCATCGTGTGCCGTGAAGGGAGACACCCCCGCTCTTCACTACTTGAAACGGCTCGGCAAACCATATGTTAAAGGCGTCAGTCATCGGATCATTTGGCAATGAATAATATTTTCATAATAACAGAAAAAGTAGTTGAAATTGCTTACCATCGTTCATCATGCAAAGGCGAAAAAGGATATAAATTGCACACTACATGCAGTCAGTTCGTCCTTAGTGCCTTTGCAAAAAAGAAAATCCTTGTTGCCCCATGTCACGCAAAGGGAAAAAAAAGGGCGGTGTCATCAGGCGCGACATATCATGGCAACAAGGCACCAGCCAGTTGACACGAGTTATCGATGACACCTGTGACGTGAAGGACGGGTGATAACTCGCCACCGGAAGAGGGAGAAAACCAAAATCGTCAAAGGGCTAACGATTATACGACAAACCAGGTCCATGCGTCCCGATTAGGACTACATGGGGCAGGGGGATAAATGAGGACCATCGAAAGGGAATCGTACCGTCGGAGGGAATCGTATCGCCGGAAGGAACTCGTATCGTCGGAAGGAAGTCGTATCGCCGGAAGGAAACCGTCTCGTCGGCAAGAAAACTCGTCTCGTCGGCAAGGGGCTTGACACACCAGGTAGCCGCCAGAGAATGAAGAACGACTGCGCCATGTGCATGAGAGATGAGCATGGCATGAGCAGGGACCACCGATAACGTCTTGAAGGTATTCGAGGGTGGTATCGCCATTGTAGAGACCTTGCGTAAGTAGAACCATGTTTGAAGCGGTGTCGTTCTTTGAGAAGAGAGAGAGAGAAAGCGAATAAAGAAGAGAGGACGGGGCCTTTTTTTTTATCTTTTTCCACATGAAACGCAAAAGAACCCCTTATGTTAAAACCCCGCAGCGACTGCACTTAGATCATGATGACGCGTTTGTTGCCTCAAGGTGCCTTGCTTTTAACCATCTGAGCGTGTCATCACGCGCCTTTGATGGGAGTAGAAAAAAGTTCGTGTTTGTTTATGTGGTTTATCAACGTCTGGCAAGCCAAATATCGTGCTTTAAAGTTCTGTAGCTGGTTCATGCCAATTTTTTGTGCGGCGAAATTTTTACTGCGACATTTTCCACCAAAAATTTTTTCTAAGGCACCACATCAAAAAAAAGAAAAAGCTCCTCTCTTTCATACAAGCTAGTAGAGACTCAAACCCATTCTCCAGCATAAAACCTTACGAATCTGTATTTTAGGCTTTGATCCCTGCGTAAGGGTATGGGAGAAATTTGAAGTAGCAAGAGAAATACGCTATAGGACATGCTCGCATGCATCGTTATGCGATATGCCAGCTCAAAATAATGCTGATTTGTTTGGTGCTCGCCATTCTATTAGAGCTCATGGAATCGCATGAACCACTCAGTTATCGTTTCTAAAGCTTTAGAATCAATGGTGTGCACTACATTGTTCATCAGCCACTCCATAAAGAGACGATCATGGTTGAAAAGGACCTCCATGTGACTATGATTCTAAGTGAATTGATGATAATTTATGAGAGAATGATTATTAAAAAAAATTGTTACTCAGGAACATGAGAGAAAAGATAGGAAACGGATTCACCGTTGTGAGTTCTAATAAAAATTATCATTAGCTGGTTTCACCCGAGTCAACCCACTCTCAACTTTACCTGCGGATCGCTTCGGCCAATGTAGGAGAAATGTCAATAATATCAAGCTTGGGGCAAATAGCCTAACATAGCAAAATGTAAGTACGTGGGTCTCCATCCAAAATGTGTAGGTGAAATAAAGGCTCCTTACCATTTTATCGTGATGAGGAATGGTGTTGGTGACGACGAGCTTCTCTATTACGGATTCGTTGATCACTTTGATGGCTTTACCGGACAGAATGCCATGAGCGACGATGGCATAGACTTTCTCAGCGCCATTTTCCACTAGCGTTTTAGCCGCCAAGCCAAGTGTGCCACACGTATCCGCCATATCATCTACCAAAATCGCAATCTTGTTCTGGACATCTCCCACTAGTACCATACGAGACACTTCATTGGCCTTCTTGCGTTCTTTGTGAATCAGAGCAAAGTCAAGATTTAATCGGTCCGCAATCGATGTGGCACTAATGGACAAGGCAGGACAACCGCATTAGCCCAACATATCGGAATCACTCTTCCCCATCTCGGTTGGTCATCATCGACTTACCGCTTAGCGCCGCCAGCGTCGGGAGAAACAATGATGGCATTGGTCCAATTAGGGATTTTGGTGGAGATATACTTTACCATGGACGGTTCACAGTATAAATTGTCGACGGGAATATTGAAGAAGCCTTGAATTTGGGATGCGTGGAGATCCATGGTGATGACATGGTTGGCGCCGGCCACGGTCAACATATTGGCGGTCAATTTGGCGGTGATGGGAGCGCGGCTCTTGTCCTTCTTATCCTGACGAGCATAGGGAAAACAAGGAATGACGGCCGTAATACGACGAGCCGAAGCAGTTTTGCATGCATTGATTAAAATCAATAGTTCCATCAAGTTGTCGTTGATTTCGCCACAACCGGACTGGATAATAAAGACATCTTCGTCACGCACTGACTCACCCACCGTCACAGAGGTCTCTTGGTTGGAATATTTCATCACCGTCGCCTTGGCTAAATCAATACCAATACGCTTGGCCACCAGGCTCGCCAACTCGGGATGCGAATTGCCAGTGAAGATCTTGATCGAATTATCAGACATGACGGTTTTACGTTCAAATGAATGTGCGAAGTGAATAAAGAAAAAGATAGGCAAAAAGGCTCCAATTAGGTAGAATCAAAGCCGCACACAATACAAAAAGGAGTAGAATATATTCGTTTGTAGAATAACAAAAAACAAAGGAAACCCTCTTTATCAAATGTGTGAAGGAAAGAAAGAAGCCGTATAGAATATTTGCAACCAAGAAAATGGTTTATACCTTTCTCAGCGTGGCCCGAAATGATAAAAAAAAAAAAGTCGTATCTCAGGAAATTCAATCCCCGTCTTTTTTTTTTTGTAGAATCAAAGCCGCACATAGTACAAAAAAGAGTAGAACTGTATTCGCAGATTTCCTAAATGAGCCAACTTTCTGGGCATACCTTAAAAGTTTTACATAGAGATACAATGTAATTGACATGCTGTCTACTGGAGTATGGAGAACCAAGTCATGAGGGCCACGCCATGAAAAAGTGGAGATCGGGATTTCAATGCTTATTCTCCACATTACGCAGATCTGTCGTAGAAGCACTCCATTGAACGATTATTCCATCGAAACGTGCGAGCCATAGTCTGCTAAATCTACCAAGTTAAATGAATATAAACAAGCATAATAAAACAGTGGAAACGGCTTTATGACGTTCAAGCTTACATCAGATCAAAATAGTAAATGTGGGGTAAATAAAAAATGGAACACGATGCCCGGGACCACGGGATCCTGGTGTCAACTGAGTCACAAACGGTCAAATAAATTTTTTCTTTTCCTTTTTTCTTTTGGTTGTCATAGCAAATCCCGACAATGACACTCTCAACAATAAGCCAGCCATATAATGTGAAGAGGGTCCCATGCTTCCACCGTTTCAAATGGCTTTCCATTCACCAGAAAGTAGCTGGACTAACTGTCATGGCTTTGTAACCTGACGAGCATGAGGTGTCTTCGGCCTTGTTCAGCCGATACATGGACCGATCCAAAGCCAGAAAATGTGGCAAGAATGCAGGTTGCACCTTGGTCTTAAATTGTCCAACTTGGCGAAAATGAAAAAACTTTAAAAAAGTAGCAGTGTTTGTAAAACCTGAGCGCTTTTTTCTTGCTAATGCCATACGCATTGGACTTGCTGCTGCAATGCTCACTCTCCAAGTAGATCCATCTGACCATAGATAGGACGGTGATGCTCCTTTTTCGCTTATTGCATACAAACCGTCTGGTGGCGGAGACTAGGCGCAGCCGATTTTTTTCGGAAGCGCTGGCATGGAGCTTGTCTGATTGGTGGATGTTTCCGCATGGACCCATGTGACAAAAATGCCTGTTTCGTGATCCCCATATTGCCACCGCGAGGCTTTGAGGGTGAACTAGGAAAGCTCTTTCGGGATCTTTTGCAAATATGTGTTGGCCAGATGATGAAAAATTTCTGATTACAGACTATGATATATTAAATGGGCCCTCCGGCACAATACAATTTTTCGTCTTCCTTAATTTTTGCTGCTGCTTCTACCGTTATGGGCGCGCCTGTTGCCGAAGCAACAGAATAAAGAAGTATCGAACAATGCCGAATGCAGCATAAAATAAACTGTGAGGTTTCACATTTACCACCGACTACAGCACAGTAGATAACAAATACATAAGGACATAATTGAGCCACTGCTATGGGTGTCCCGCCCAGAAGCCAGATTTCCACAACTGAATGTTTTATGTGATCTAGCATCTTTACCACTACTTTGTGACGAATGTGATTAGGTTAGTTAGCAATTAAAATCGAAAAGTCAATTTCATCTAAATGAAAAATATTTACATTGGACAGATACACTTTCATGTCCACACTGCAATGAAAAATGATTCAGTGACTTTTAACCTGAAGCGATATGATCACCTCGAGTTCTTTGATGAAGATCAACCATCGTAAAAGGGGCATTCAAGAACATCGCTGGCGGGATTCACCATAATTACTTACAAAGATATTAATCGCACAGAACAGTCCAATTGAATAGAGTAACCAAGTCCGCACTCGTTAGTATAACCTATTTTGCCCTCAACTCGTTATATTTTACCAGCTTCACAGATCACAAATGGAATCTTGATTGACGCGAGCCTAAGTGAATCTCGGAATCGACTATCAGGTCGCCAGTTCTTCGTTTTGTCGATTGACAATTATGTTGTAAAATAGATCTACGACAATGTGTTTAGTAGAGAGTATAAAAGCATCATCGTGAGAAAAAAGATACTTATCTGAGGGATAACTGACCCTTATTGCCGTTGCTTTTCGCTCACGGCAATGAAGGCCTGAATAAATGCAAATAATAAATGACCGCAGCCACTGCTTGGTTGAAAATAACATGGATAATCAAGCAAAATTTGCTCTTCAATATTCAACAAGCGAATTTGGTTGTGCATGATTTTGAGTCATCATTTCATCCCTTGTGCCCGCAGATCCCCAAAAATGGATCATCCGTAGATGGATCCATATCGATGGAAACCCCCGATCAATTCGTCATCCCATCCTTACAATTGCTGAACCCAGTTGCGAGGTCCCGGGAAAAGGATTCCGTCAAGCAGTCGTTTAGACGTCTTACCAACAGCGCTCTGCCTGCACCCACGTGCCACCATACATGGTTCCCTAGTCCAAGCCTGAGCAAAACGACGGGCCCTGAATCAGCCATCGCAACTTGAGTCACTTCTTCTTCCGGTGGATCCTTCGGCCAAGTGCTACCATTCACAAGAAAACAACTCGGTATCATCCAAGCACTCATTATCCGTAGTTTCATAGCCCCAGATATATTTACCCTTGCACAGTTTCGTCGGTAACTTGATTCCCCATGTCTTCGCGGATGCTCAAACGCTCGTTAAAGGGTATGATATCAGTAAGTAACCATTCATAAAAATGCTACTTATTGTCAACGTATCTGTTTCTTCCTTTGCGCATTATCATGGAAGCGGAGCCTATAGAGTAGTGTAGTAAGTAATTTCGAATAAAATCTGAGTAATAAAGATACTTAGCAATATCGGTACGGAAGGTGCACATCTTGTCTTCGTCGGAAAATAAGCCTTCGCGGGACCAAGCCCGCAAGCGGTACCTACCAGAGTTCAAATGGTGTAATATCAGTAAGTACCCATTCAAAAAAAAAAAAAAAAAATCATTCAATGTATGTTATCTTATCTTTTGTATTCATGCGGCGTACTTTTTGAACAGGGAACCTAATAGTGCAGTGAGTAATTCGAAATAAAAATTTGAATAACGGTGATACTTTACTTTGTTGATGCAATGACGAACCAAGTACCTATGACAAGAAGTAGTGAGTAAATCTGAAAGAAGACCAATTTCCCCAGAAGACTTAGCTGGTTACTCTCGCTTCGGATCGTTCCACCGCCGGATCGAAGCTGTTAAAAAAAAAAAAGGGTTAGTAACATCCCTACAAAATCACAAAGGTTAGTACCCCAACCTACAAAAAAAAGGGTTAGTCACACCCCTACAAAACTACAAAGATTAGTACCCCCAATCCCCTCAGGACACTTTTGGATCGGATCAATTGTAGTAATCCAATCTCTATAGCCCAACAACCTAACACTGAACATAGACACGACATTATTGTTAATCACGAGCTTTCATTTGTGCCTTCTCCTTACCCTGTAATTTTGACCGAGCGTGCCACACGATTATGGCCTGGCTCCACTTTCCCGGACCCTAGCCTCTCAAGGCGCGCTTGTGGTGTGGCCACTCCAGGCCCTGGCTGGAAAAAGTGCCCACCCATTTGGACTTGCCTAGCCTCCCTGTAGCCCAAGCCCACGTCAAACCCCACCTGCCGCCCCAGACCGCACCGGTTGCTGCCGGTAAACAGCGGATACTCTTGCCGGCAGGACTACTCCAATGGCAAAATCACTTGCTTCTTTTAACAAACGCCAGGTTGCCGTCGCTGCTTTTGGTCATCATGGTGATGGGGGGAAAGGCTGCCTTTTCTCTTTTTGCCTTTCCCCCCTGCTTCATGGTACCGCACAAAAAGTGCGGTTTTTTAACAAACAGCGGCAGGCCTGGCGCTTCGTGGTGGGGCAGCCTATACCGGTTGAGCATCCGCATTCGACAGCGGTTGGTGCGATCAAAAGACGGACGACAGGCGGGCCGACGTAAGATAGGGCTACAGGTATGGCATCGTCGGCAAGCCCGGGGACCTGGAGTTCTTGCTGAGCTACACCGCGCCTCGGTGCTGAGAGGCATCATCGAAATCCCGTACTCATGAACCACCAGAAGAGACTGACCAGGAGAAGCCGAAAAACAACTCGCGAAACAAAGGGAAGAGGACGGTCGACTCAAAAGCTTCGATCCCCTTCCCAGCCACCCACTGTGCCTCTTTGGTTCAGGTGGACACCCACCTGGGACCCGCTTCCCATCGTTCCCATTGTCATTTGTTTTCTTTTTTTTTTGGTTCTTTTTTTTTATTGTTTTGTTTTTCTTCAACTTTTTTTGTTTTTGGCATCATAATACATCTTTGGGAACGACGGTACAACGGGTCCTACTGCGTGCTCTGTCGCAATGTCAGGCATGAGAGTGTTGCGGGGGGGGGGGAGGTGGATCGGCGCCGTTTTGGTTTGAATATGGTCCCCTCGGATGCAGTCCAACGGCGCTGATCATCACGGTGGACACCAGTCGTCGGAAATTATTGAGCTGGCCCTGACATTGCTAAGAGACACGCGGCAAACGACTTGCTGATCCTTGGCGACACCAGATCTAGAAACATAGATAAAATATAGATTAATACCAAAAGTCCTCCGTAAAGGCCAGCCCAACTCTTACCTTGTCCTTACTGATTCAGGCTTCATTCGGCGACATTGGTTGTGTGTCGGCGACCGCCGTGGAAATGTTGTGCCCAGTCCGGGGTGCCAACAGGCGCGATGAGCTAATTGGCATAAGTGCTCGGGTTGTGTAGCTGCGCCGCCCGTAATCTTTTGCTGTGGATAGGTGTTCATATTGATCCATGGTTTGATGGTAGCATGGAGAACATAGTTTGCGCGACGGTACGGGAGTTTCTTGTATACAATGATGGTGTCATGGAGGGAAACCCCTCCGCGAATCGTTCATTCGTGTGATAGGGTCAATAGGCGACAGGGTCAGTTGTCGGTGTTGGTCCATGAACTGGAGATCCATACATGAAAGTTGGTCGTGATATTATTCGACAGCAGACGTGAACAATTGATGATAAGGATCTCAGTCCTGGACCCGCCGTTCATTGGCGATCTCACAGGTTGGATGAATCTGTTTGGCTTCCCAATAGGCGGTTGCTGTGGATGTTTGGTCGTTGAAGGTTAGGGCTCCCATGATGGGTTTTTCGGCGTACCACCAGATGGAGGACACTCCAGCATTATAGCGTGAGGAATATCTCCTGGACCTTTCTGCGTTGTACATCTGGATCGTAAAGCGATGACCCGGGATCACGCACCGAAAATCAGTAAATACCAGGTCAGTAGGACCCAGGACCGTATTCAACGATTGATACACCTGCAATTTTACTGCCTGTGAGTCCTGGACGAGGTCGACAGCTTGTGGATGTTGAGGCTGTTGGCGAAAATTGTTTCAAGATAATCTTGTACTAAACAAAAATACAATATCATCTCATTTCCAAATTTTAAGAACCACACGCAAAATTCATAATCGTCTCTCCATCTCTGTATTTTCCTATTTTTGTTCGATGCCTACTAATATTCAGTTTTCGCATTTTTTCTTCACGATTGTCTTGGTGCTTCGGTTTTTTTTTTTTTTTTTTGTTTTACTCTGATTTTACCGCCTCCCACAATCAGGATGCTGATGGCTTGTAGTACTCGGATGACCGCCAAGGTTATCAATCAGCTGTAAACATGGGGATTCTCTCCACCATGTTCCCTGGTTTGGGTTCTCTTGTAAAGGCGTTTTATTACTCAGATGTACTCAATTTTTTCATGGGTTTTCGACTCTTGACAAGCAACCGTCTTGGCGCGTCGAATGAGGTGGCCGTCATTGCTCAACTCCTTGGCCAGCCTGTGCAGGCGCACACATATGTCGGAAGCTTGCAGCGAAAGAAGAATTTCAAGAACTAATTGCCAGTGTCTGATCGCGTAACCAGAGCAACCAACCGGTTGTATTATCTACTCCGTCAGAATACCTTGTGCGAACGGTCATCTATTAAGATAGGTTACTATGGAGTATTCCTAATACAACGTTGTATTTACGAAACTATTTTTATATTGTGGCCACATCTTTGAACTGCTGTACTGGCTCAAACGGTCTCGGTCGGCAAAGATATCTGTCGGCAAGCGTTCAATATCGGGACTCTTATAAGCGCGCCGTATTATACAGGAGTTTTGTGCATAGTAAGCTGTGGTTCATAACATCCCACTCTCAGAGGGTTTTAATCTATTTAACATTGATACCTTGGAGACCAGCTGGAGAATCGATAGGGTGCACGGCCTTTTCTCGGCTGTCTACAATCGCCACAAACGACAGCTGGTCTCATTCAACTGCCGATAGCTTCAATATTAAGAAGCTGCCAGCCTAGTCTGGAACCTACAGGCAGCAATTAACCCTTAATACTGGATACCTCAAAGGGATTCAAGGAGAATACAGCAGCATTATCTGAATTAAACGGGCTTCGTGACCTGGTAGTACAAACCAAGAGAAAGCTCGAAGGCTGAAAGCTTCATCAGAAACAAATGAATAAAGTTACCTTACCGTTTTTATTTAACCTATGGGTGACAAACGATTCTGCCTTCAAAGATCCCTTTCTTCGTGTAGACATCGTTGGAAGAACGATAGTGAATGTCTAAATCAACCCTTCACAGTCTTTACGATCTGTGAGTCGATCGTCAGCTTTCACCGGTGTTCTTTTAACACCTGCTTTTTTATTTTCAAGCAAAACTCTTTGACTAGATTTAAAAATAGTGAATAGGGTCGTCAATACAGTACGTACAGGCATCTGCAAAGAAAGTTCTTTATCGGCTTTGGCCTATGAATAGATACATTATTCATAGTAGTGTAATGGCACGTCATCTTTGGCCTCTCCATGCACCCTCACCGCGGAATCCCCGCTCCCTGTCTCGATCACCAAGAAAAGCAGCACGCCTGGTTGGCCACATTCCTACATCCTTACTGGACACGCAGACTCCGATCTTCAGCAATAGATTCTGGCCCACCTCCATCGTGTCGTCGTCTCTGATCTCTCACCTCAACCATACATTCGTTTGTCCTCTCTGCTCGCCTCCTATCTCCAAATTTAGCGTGGCTCCCTTAACTCATTCTTCTTTCGACTTACTTTTTTCTCTGTCTTCAAGTACAGAGATTTTTAGGTTTTCTTTTACGATATTTCATTCGAGCTGACTGGAGCGGAGATCCTCATTCGAAAACCACGTTCATTGGTCGTAAAAAATAAAGCGCAACTTTATTAAAAAAAAAAGTCCATGTGGCACAGATAAGTAATGCGATTCGGTGCGGCAAGTTGTTATCCAGAGATGGAGTTTTTTCAGACACGACCCGCTTGGCGGATTTTGCGCATGTGTGATTGGCTGGGCTATATTGATTGGAGTGCATTGGAAAATGATGAGCGTATTTCTCGAGAGGTTTTTCATTGGCTGATTTATCCGAATGCAACCATAAGCCAATGAAAGGTTCATGCTTTGGAGTGGGCCGGTGGGAAACCTGATCATCAGGGCTCCGAAGGCTCTCCCTTCCTGGACTATATAAAGCCGGTGTGGGATGCTGCGTTTTGCCGACTTTGCCAAAGTCTAAAAGACTCAAAAAAGGACCTCTTTATTTCTTTCCTTAACCCATATACTTTATCATGAGCGACCTCAACTGGTGCACCTATTGTGACAATGCCATTAGTTCCTTTTCGGTAAGCTTTATTTTTTAGTTTTATGTTAAAGACGCTGTTATTATGCTGTGTGATGTGCCTTATAGCTCACCTTTTAGCATGGGATTTTCTAGAATTCACTCTACTGCAGTGAACAGTGCCTCAAAGCCGATGCGCTAAATCACCATCCTCTTCTCGGTTACGACTATGCCGAATTCAAAAACTTTCCTCGTTCATCTCCTATTGTGTCATCCACAACATCATCGTCCTGTTCCTCATCTCAGTCAAGTTCACCGCCCCTGTCTCCTATTCCAAACTACTCATTCTCACTCAGCAGTACATCCTCGTCCTCATCGCCTTCCCTACTCGAACTAGAAGCTGCATGGTCTATGAACAAACTACGAAAATCATCCATCACGTCATCTTCTACATTGCTTGCATCCCCAGTCGACCGTAGTAGTATCTTTTTTTGATCTGTAATTTCCATTTATTCCCCTTTTTTCAAATACCCATCATGTAAATATCCTCTTCCAAAAAAAAGTCTCCTCATTCCTTTTTTTGGGTATGCACGAAATTTAGCTTACTTTTTTTCCCAATGACATCATTGTCCATTTTTGTATTTTTAATCAGTGTGTGAGGGTCACCGACCGTCCCGGAAGCTTTTGGGATGGAATGGACTTGCAAGTCTTATGAATCGTCGTTTTTAGGAAATGGAAAACATGGAACAAGGGGGAAAACATCGTTTTCAAGCAGTGCCTAGAATTTTGGCTTGAATCGAGTACATCCAAGAGTGTCGCGTATCTTACTGAGATTACGGTTAAGCCTGCCCCTTTTCTCAAAAAAAAAAAAGAATGAGGGAACCGTTGCCGGGGCTGTGTAACAGGTCCCCCTCTCCATGAATATGACGTGATCCAACCGACGACGAAACATTTCCAATTCATGCTTTGGTCGAATTTTCAAAGCGCGACCTGGCAAACAAAAAAGGTTGATATGAAAAAAAAATCGCCGTCGACTTGCACGTTTTTTGTTGTTTAGCGCCAATTCATTAAAATAAATTTAGATACATGAGATGAATGTTATTGCATGGCTTGATAAAGACGCTCTAGCAACTATCCACCATGAGTTATCCGTTGGGACATAGCATACCACTATTGAAACTCTACAAGGTAGTTGCCACGTCAACTCGTCCATGACCGGAAGAGGGCGTGCTGTTCATCACTACCAAATTCAACGCTATTCCGTTTTTAAGGGAAACATGAAACCCGTAACCGGCTATTCTTTGGTATGGATCAATTTCAAGCGGTCTGGCCAGAAAAGCTGCCCCCGATCTTTTCAAAGACAGAAAAGGCAAAGTTTGTCTGACGTTTCTTAATTTCCATCGTCGAGATTGTTCGTCGTCACCATGAAAAATGTCCTAAATTTACTTGTGCTCCGTTTCATGAAAGGAATATGAAAATCGTCTGATAACGTTTCATGGTATTGAAATCGTGCTCTATTTCCAGTCATTTTTTTCTCCTGTTTGTATTTATTAAATTGCAGTGTACTGACGCCTACATTGCTTGTTGCATTAAAAGGGAACGATGTCCGTGCTGGGGTAGACGCCCAAAATATGACGGCGTGGTCCGCTGACATCAAATCTAAACAAGCCGTACAGCACTCCTGATGAGAGAGCACGTTCAGCAACCATAAAAATGGTGGGTAACACATACAACGTAAAATGTCTCTGTTCATCGTACAGTAAAATGCTTCCTTTTGCTATGGGAAGCTCATCGTCGTCGTATTGCCAAACCCGTATATTATCGTTCCAATCAAAATAATGTTATCAATGTCGATTGATACTTGATATAATCGTACTCGCTGAATGACATATTAAAAACAAAAACAGGATCATCTCTTCTGCATGGACTTTATTGGCCTGACTCGGGACCATCGGTTGTCAGATGTCCGTGACAAATGGGCCGAGATCGTCAAGGGGCTCAAACCCCCCAAAAAAAGAATCCAGACAAGAAGTAGGCTCTGGTCACCTTGGTGTGGGACTAACCGCCGAATTGACACTCGCCCCTATCACCTTTTCCAAGGGTGTCGGCGGGCTTCCTTTAATTTTGGTAAAATTTCTTGCAAGTGCCTTGTTACGCGCATCAAAAGTCATTCAAAACTTAGAGGCGTGGGTTTGATGAGTAGAGTATTAGGGGATACATCGGTGACCGTTGTTCGTGCATGTTTATGAGTACAATAAAAAAGAAAAAAGAAATGTAGTTTGGGTATCATTGAAAAAAAAAAAAAGCATATCAAAATAGGTGAGATTTCTACTTTAGTGAGGATTTCTTGGCCTTTTTGCGATCAAGCCGTTCCAGCCATTGCATGGATAGGGTAGGTACGACGGTATAAACGTCCTTGTCATATTTCTCGAGCAAGATTTTGCGCTTAATTTCTTGGTAAATGGCGTCGCATGAAGGCATATCAGACAAGTTGCTCGTCGTTAAGTGGGTGTGGTTGGAGCTAGGCGTACTCGTCGCCAGTGAAAACGGTAGCAGGTACCGAGAATTTCGTCGTTCAGCAAGCTCAAGTTCGGGATCATCCTCCTGGTTTTCTTCTAGTGAATGGTAAGACAGCATATCAAAGCTGTCGCGTTGCATGGAGTTACGCGGCGAGGTTACGGCGTTTGACATCACCAAATTGCTTAACGTTGGCACACTGGTTCGTCGTGCCGAGGATTTCATGGACTGTCTTCGAATCGAAGCCGCACTCCGTGTGCTGTCGGTTGATTGACGTCGGTCTTGCGTTTCGTCCACGAGCTGGATGACGTATTGTTCAATTTCTTCCGGTAATCGCGCTTCGCTGGTTTCGTACCGGTATCCCACCACGCATCGTTTGACTTGAACAGGATTCAACCTGTCAAACCCCTGGAGACTGTGCTTGAAGACAGCTAGGTCCGATAAACCTGACAGACACTGCAGAAGCTGCAGTAACTGAATCACCGGTTGAAGAGGATTGGCAGGATGCATCGGTAATTTGTTTTCCCTCGCCCATTCTTCGAGGGCCGACAGGTTCATACGAATTTGGAGGGCCTTGGAACGGCATAAATAGCGTTTGTTATTGAGGATAGCATTAAACGTTTCGCAGGATATAAAATGGAAGAACTGGGCCATCAACTGCTTGGCAATCACGGGATGGATTTCAAACGTGGTTAGCTGGGTATAGACAGACGAAAGCCATTGCTTTAATGAGCGCGGCGTCAGCTGCGACGTGCTGGAAGCACTGCTCCTTGGGGTGGGTGTGTCTGGTATCCGTTCGAGCGAAGATAATGAAGATCGTGGCCGACTGCGACGGAAAAATCGGTGCCAACTGTCGGCAAACTCGGTCGCTTCCATGATTGCCACTTGCTCATAATCGAAAATCACAGAATGAAGCATTTTGCTTATTTGTCGTTCACCATATACAACGATATGCATGTAGCACTCGGATATGATTTCGGCCAGCCGCATCTGTTCTTGACTAGTGACACCACTTAGACACAAATCCTTTTTAATATAACTGACAAGTCGACACATATTGGCCATCCAAAAACATAATGCATGTACATCACGTGCGGCAGCCTATAACCCATACTCTCAATTAAAAACCATTGCTATTGACATTGCATATGGGCGGTAGCACTGACCTTGATCACTTTGGTTACTTTGAGGATAGCGGCGTCAAGGAAATCGCGTAGTAGGTCCATTTCAGAGTAGTGACAAGCATATCGAGAACAGAGAAACAGGATATTCGCTGGTACCCACATATCTTGCTTCGTCACGGGCAGTTTCACATCGGTCGCACATTCCAGAATGTATGAAATATCCGTTTTTGAAAAGACAAACATTTGATCATGCCAGCAACGATCCCAATCAAACGTCAGAATGCTTTGGAAACTGGCTTTGCATTCGCTTAAATCCAATCCTTCTTCGTCTTCGTGTATCAGTGATGGTGGTGTGGTATCGAGTAATGGATCGTCGTGGTTACTGAACTCTTCCTTGCGATCGTGCTCTTGCTCGATCATGAATTGAGTGTACGGATCAAAGCCACATGGATGGTATCCTGTGGATTCGGGGCGGGAATTGGGGCTAGTGGATGGTCGTTTTACGCTATTGACTTTGGCTGTATGTCGCGGCGTCTTGATTTGTTGACGTCGATGTTGGCGCTGGCGTTGGCGTTTACATGATTCGCCTACCAAGCCCAAGAGATCACCATACTCTGCAAGGATCCAATCAGCGGCTGTGCATTCACTCTTCGATTGTATACGCGGTGACGCTCCGTGAGCCAATAGTAGTTGAATTGTGGTTTTCTGATGTCCAGCAGCTGCCCACATCAATGCTGTCCAACCCTCTAAGATGGGGCCAATGACGGGAGATCATTTAGTCAGTTCTGTGTTACTGCTTCCATTCTTTTGTGTCACAATTCACTTACTCGCATCCTGCATATTGACGTCCACTGACGCTCTCAACAACGGCTGAACGACGGAAATATGGCCAAAGTACGATGCGTACATTAACGGTGTCATGTCCGTATCAGGATCGCTTGTGTTGCTCATCACCGCAAAACTTGGATCGTCTTGCAATGCAGCCAGTTTAGTGAGGTTTCCGGTGCATGCAGCGCGGATTAATTCTTTATGCGCTCGTGATATTCCCTGAGCGTGGGTCGTACTATCAGCGCAGTATCCATGCTCCGCAGCTACGGGTGGTCTGTTGAGGACCGTTGATAGAAAAGGATCATTATCGTCCGGGCCCGTTGACGTTGACGACAGCGATGACAAGGACCATGTCGTTGACATGGACACTGACGATGATGTCGAACTTCGTGATGGTATGGTATCTTGCTGACAAGGCGCCAACGACGGTGTATGAGATGGTGGAGGTCGGTGACGAGGCGGTTCAGGAACCGACAATTGATTCAGCATGGCGCTGAATTCTTGAAAATTATCAGCAATTTTAGCCGAAAGTTCTTCTCGAGTCATAGCATCGGACCCTTTTGCCTGCCACGGTGGGACCGAGATGTTGGTGCGCTTGCGGCCAACCGCTGACAGAGCAGGAGACGAGTGTTCTTTCTTTTTGGGTATCGCTCCGTTTGTATCTATATGTAATATGGAGTACGGACGTTGATTGGCTAACATGCGCCGATGCGCCAAGGCGCTTATGGATGGATCTGTCATTATTATTGGCCAATTAGGCAAGTTGAAAGAGAAAAAAAAAGCCAGGAGAAGATGTGAAAAAGAGAAAATTAAAAAGAATCGCTGTAAAGATAAAAAGAAAATGAACAGGAATACAATCCATATTATATTACAGTGTTGTACGGCTGAGTTGCAACGATGGTAAAAAAAAAAAAAAAAAAAAAAAAAAAAAGGACGACAACGAAAAGGGAGATGGAGTCTTCTTCAGGGACTTGCATAATATTGGTTTTTTCCCATTGTCACCATGGCTTCATGGTTGAAGTTTATTATTCACCATCATTCATACCTGCTTCTGCACTGTTTTAATACACTAGGCTGCGCGGAGACCCATTCTTTTATCAGTTGATAATATACTTGTGCTTGTTTTAAGAATGACCGTTTTTTCTTTTTCTTTTTACAACCATGTGAAATAACAGAAATGATCCATGCTGTTAAAGGCTTTCTGCCATTTTAGGCTGATGAGTCGGGGATTGAAGGCGTGGCGCACTGTTACTAAATTGTACAAATGCCCCCTATTTGACGACGCCACACGTGGAGCGATACGCCTTATTAAAAATTTTGTGCACATACGAAAGATTGGCTTTTCATCTTTTACCGAAAATGTTTCCTTCTTTTTCTGCATCAGCATCGAATGATCGCAATATCTTGAGACTAAATTTAGACAGTCTGGTGACCCACGGCTAGCAACGCTCTAACAAAGAACGTCTGATATATTTTACATGGAGGGCTTTTTTGATCCAATGAAAAAACGATAAACTGGGAGGGAAAACCATATCCCATACGAGCAAACTGGTGATGCGAAAAATTCAATGGCTTGTTAAGCAGTAAGCAAAGTCTGTAGGAATACTGTATACTAGCCTGACGATAAAAAAACAATACAATGACCATGGATTCAAATTCATGACAATGAGGAATAAAACACAAAAACAAAAAGCGATGGATGGATTGGATGTGAAAAAGGAGGGATTTGTCTATGATGGGAGAGAAGCAGCAGGAGCGGGTTTGGGATCTCTTCTTCGTGGTGCTCGTTGCACATTGCGACCATGATTCGGCGTCCAAGGTCCCAAGCTTTCGTTGGAATAGAAATCCATGGGATAGACATCTTGCCATTTGGCCTTGTCCAACACAATCGACGCTTCATATGGCGTTAATAAAGGCTTGGGGAACGCATACCCCCAATCGATGGATAATCGAGGACACGCAATTTGGATCCATCTATTAAAAGGGATTCACCCTTTAGCTACCGCACACGGCCAAAAGTCATATCAAATGTCAACGAAAGTGTACTTACGCATCGACATCATCAAATTGGGAAAGTTTACCGGGGAAAATTTCAGACAACAGGACCAAGACTGATTCTTTGCCTGCCTCACGAATGCTTTGTTCCAGGTATTCCATGATGGACGGTTTGCCCTGTCGTCCCAAGGTACCCAAAATGAGACCGAATTTCTTGGCCTGCTTGGAAAGGCTGATCGCATGTTTTCTCAAAGAGTACATCTCCTCGTGATCGTAGCGTTCGCGAGTGAACGTTTTGCCATAAGGATTGTATTGGAAAGCAGGTAGTTCGGGATTATGAATCATGATGGATTCAAGATGGAAACGGCCGTCACCGATACACACAATAGCATCCATACCCGGCATCTTTGGTGAGGTGCAGCCAAGAATCTCACCAGGCGATAAAGGCTTGGATTGAGGTACCACCACTTGATAAGTGTCAGCCAACGCTGTACGGGCCGCTTGCAATGCGGTTCCAAACTGAATGGTGCCTACAAGCACCAACTTTTTGCCAGGTTCGAAATTCTTTCTGATGGTGGCAATGAAATGATCCGTGTCAATGCCAATATCGACAAAAACGTAAAGCGTGTTGATTTCAGTAATATCGACGGGCACTACAATACGATGAGGACGCTATCCATGTCCGGTGTGTCATTGGTTTATCAACATACCCAAACAACTGTGTCCGTAATGAACGAGAAAATCGCATCCCAAGGCCCGTGCCGTGTAATCATCAATACAGCAGGCGCCGTAAGTCACATCGCCCATGATCAAGGTTTCCGCTTGGCAGAAGCTATCAAACCCAAGTCAGTATAACAATTCCATCTTCGATCCATTTTGGTTATGCTGCTTACACTTCAAGAATATCAGCCAACACGCAGGCAAACATCATTAAGCCCTCCGGCAGTTGAAGAGCGACTAGAGGAGGAAAAAAAAGTCCATGAGATCCCCATGTTTCGCATGTTTTATGGAGTCAAGAAATATATATACCTCGTTTGGCATTGGCTCGTCGTACTCGCCACACGGTTTTATGGATTTCGAAATTGTAGTTGGAAGGAATCTGGAAGCAGGAAAACGGGCGAGTCAGAAAAAGCGGAAAAATTTATGCCGTTTGTCAATTTTTTTTTTGTTCTGTTACACACTCACTTGTTCAATCGCTTTGTTGAGTAAGGCATCGTTGAGAATCTCATCAGGCACTTGATTCATCACTCGTCCAGCTCGGGATCGTGGTGCCTCTAAAGGCCGATTCAAAGAGGTTTTAAATGAGCATGTCCGGTTCCTTGATCAGCATTCATTTTTCCCTCCAATTTTCCGCAGTAAAAAAGGAAAAAAAAAGGGTGCCAATAATGAATAAGTTCTACGTACTTGCGAATCCAACTGCTCCATCTTCAATGGCTCCACCGGCTTCCGCTTCAATATTCTGAGTCTTACGAGCTCGACCGACGAATCGTTTTCTGGGCTTCTCCTGGGTGGTGGCCATAGTGCAAGTGGGAAAAGTGAGAAGAGAGCGGGCGATAATTTCCCAAGCCACCCGTCATGTCAACCGGCCCCAAATCACCGCTCGGTTTGTGTCACCGCCACGAATAAAAAAAAGCTTATTGTCGACGATACCCATGCCATTAGAAAATCGGTTCTCCAAACACAATATCACGAAATGCAGTGAACTGTGTGTATAATTTAAGAAATATATATCAATACTTGACAGCGATGCAAATTGATTTTATTTGTCAACAGCTTGCCTAATGCCATGCTAATAAACCATTCAGCATAGCTCAAAGGGGACGGTGGGATGTTTTAAAATCCAGTCACGGAGTTTTTGGGATTGTAAAGGAAGGGGTGAATCTCAGGCCACATTTTTTTTTCTTGTTTTCCATGAGTTACATTGTATAATGAGTGCCACTTTACGAACCCTACTGAATCTTGGTCAACGCCATGGGGTGGCGCGCACCGCGTCATTGGTGAATCAACGTTGGGTGCAACAAAGTCGTACCTTGCTGGGTTGTACTGCGCGACAGCTGCGGCCTCTTGGTCGGTCTTCGTCCTGGGTTTCGGCATCAAGCCGACGATTCCTGACCACGGCCACTATCACTCCACCGGCAGCCACGGCGACAGCTGCTCAAACCGTGACCAAGGCTACCCCGACCGTCACGAAACCGGTCGTGGCTTATTGGCTTTATTTCAATGCGGGTCTGGTTTATGCGATTGTCGTAGTAGGCGGTCTAACTCGTCTCACCGAAAGTGGTCTGTCCATCGTTGAATGGAACGTGATTTCAGGCATGAAGCCCCCGCGATCCCAACAGGAATGGGAAGAAGAGTTTGAAAAATACAAACAATTCCCGGAATATAAAATGTAAGAGAGGAATTGGCGACGCCAGAGGGAAGACTGGAAGGCATGGGATTGACCTGAACAATTGGAATAGTTTGAACCGTCATATGACAATCGAAGAATTCAAAAACATCTTCTATTGGGAATGGTCTCATCGCATGATTGGTCGTTTCATTGGTGCCACATTTATTATTCCTGGTCTGTTCTTTGCTAGTCGCGGTTACATGACGAAACGAGTCGCCAAACAGACCTTTGGTATCACCGCTCTTTTGGGATTCCAGGTAACATGCGAGAAGCGCAGATAAAGTGGTGAAAGATTTGAAGAGGCTGATCTTTCTTTTTGTGGTGTGGTAGGGTTTCATGGGATGGTATATGGTGAAATCGGGTCTTTCAGAAGCCTTGATGAAGGAACCCGGAGCTGTGCCTCGTGTGAGTCAGTACCGTTTGACGGCCCATTTGGCGACGGCCGTGGCCATTTATGGTTCATCGATTCTGGTGGCGGCGGATATTTTGCGTCAGCATAAACTGGCGACTGGCACTTACCCAGCTTCAACCGCTTCCATGTTGAATAGCCCGGCCCTGAAACGATTCCGTGGTCTCACGCACGGTTTGGCAGGTTTGGTGTTGGTGACTCTGTTATCAGGTGGATTGGTGGCCGGACTGGATGCCGGTTTGATCTACAACGAGTGGCCGATGATGGGTGAAGGTCTTGTACCTCCAAAGGATGAATTATGGTCCGATGCTTATGTCAAACCCAACGACAAGGGCAAATGGCGCAATTTCTTGGAAAACCCTACCACTGTTCAATTCGATCACCGTACTTTGGTAAGTTTTGCAAAAAAAAAAAAAAAAAAAGAAAAAGCACACAGTGTGGCTCATATTTTATTTTTGTCATGGTGTGTCTAGGCTGAAACCACGGCTACGGCTGCAACCGCTTTATGGTTCTACTCTCGCCGTCTTCCGTTGCCAAAGAATGTGCGCATGGCCGTCAATGCGTTGATGGGCACGGTGATTATCCAAGTGACATTGGGTATCACTACCCTTATTTACATGGTTCCCATTGAATTGGCCGCCGCTCATCAAGCAGGTGCATTGGCTCTCTTGACCTCCAACATGTGGCTAGTCCATGCCCTACGCAGAGTGCCTTTGTAAACACTCAAAAGTCTAAACAATAACTTATTATCATTTTCTCCTTTTTACACCCTCCCACATAATAAAGATAGAATATCACAGATTGAACCGTCATTAGTTGCTTGGCAAAGAATGATGCTCACAAAAAGACAACGACTCCGCTGCACCGATTACCATGATCCACCCAAGACTAATCCCCCGATCCATTATTGAATAGGCAACATCAAATAAGTGAGAAGAGACCTAGAGTCTCCCAACAGATTTTATTGTAACAAAAAAAAGGGAAAGGAGGCATTACACACAGATTCCCTCTTTTTTACTTTCCAGATGAACGATGAAAGACCGTTAAATGAAATGGGGAGTTTAATCGAAAAGACCGAAGCCCATATCATCATCGGATTCCTCTTCTTCTTCAACCTTGGCCTCAGCGGCGGGAGCAGACTCAGTAGCGGCAGCAGCGGGGGCGGCAGCAACAGCGAAAGCCTCGGGGTTTTCGAGGTATTCCTTGAGCTTCTCGGAACCAGGGAAGGTGTAGTCGGAAGCGACGGAGACAGCCAACAAGTTCTTGTAACCGTTGATGAGGGAGTGGGGAACGGAGGCAAGAGTGGGGTAGCCGACGGCCAAAGAGACGGAAGCGACTTCGCGGATGGCGGCCAACAAGTTGGCAACCAACTGGGATTCCTCGACATCCAAAACTTCGGCAGAGAAGCAGGAACCTTGGTCAAAGACCTGGGTAACGCTCATACCGTAGGTGAAGGGAGAGATGTTCAACATGTTCAAAAGAACAGCTTCGGAAGCACCGACCTTCTCACCGGCGTGGACCAAAGCGACATCGGAAACGATTTCAATGGTACCACGAGAAATCTTGGTAGGAATACCGAGAGCCTGGAAGAAAGAGGTCTTACCGGGTTCCATACCAGTGTTACCAGCAGGGACAACGACATCAGCGGGGGCAATGGCGTTGGCACGAGCGGGGGCAGCGACACGGTTGGAGACGATCTTGTCACGGATGGTCTTGAGGTCCTCGTTGGTGAAGACGAAACCAATGTTACCCTTGACGTGGACGAGGAGACGTTCCAAATCGGGACGGTCGGCAACGTAGGTCTTCAAAGCACGACGGACCATGGTGTTCTTACCCATGAGGACAACACCTTCACCACGGAGGGCGTGACGGATCTGGTGCATCTGGTTGGAGCTCACATTGTCAACGTTGACAATGAAGATGGACTGGTAGGTGTCCAAATAGGTCTTGAGCTTCTCAAAGTACAATTCCTTAGACTCTCGCTTCGACATGATGGATATTACTGTTCGAGGACTTTTAAAGAGCCTGCACAGAAAAAAGAGAACACGTTGATGATGAGTACACGATACACAAATGAGTCAAGGCCATCATCATATGCTTGATGGATGCATCTTTGATGAATGGATGCGTCCTCCAAGGCATACACTGATATATGGATGGATGGATGGATAATTACCTTGGCAGATAGAGGAAGAAACAGACCTTTGGCACGGCTCAGTGAACCTTAATACCGGTACTGTGACTGACAAATTCTGGCATCCTTTTTTTCAATTCCGATTTTCTAAGCCACTCGGTGCTCGAGCATGGGAAATATCTTTTTGACTCCCCGACAGGACAAGGAAAGGGGAAGGAAAAAAAATTTCTTATTGCAAAAGATCACCAAGGACAGCTGCGGCCCATATCAAGCCAAAAGCGCCCGTAGAACTTTAGATGGATGCCGTTTCAACTTATGAACTATATGAGTAAAATGAACATGCATTCTCGGACGTGTTCCATTAGAAAAGACCATGTTTTATTCGGTCTATCGAGAGCATTTTGATGTTTCTTATTTCAATCCATGGAAATTCCATCGAGTAAAATGAAAATATTTTACAGACCACTGCATCATTCCAATACATCGAACCACGATAAGTACCGCATCATCGCAGTCCATATAACGCATGATTTGCAATGTAACAGTCATGTAGGATTATCAAGTGATATTTTGATATTCTGTTGTTCGAAACCATGGGAACAGTTGACAAATGCAATGGTACATTGGCCCAGGTTGCGGTAAAAAATGTTTACCAACTCCTCTAGCCTTGTCTTTTTTTCTTTTTGCTTTGAGGTCCGATTTATCGGCCATATAAGCCCCACATCGGCAAAGGTCAGTAACTCAATAGTTAAACAAGTCAATCTGCCATCCTGAATACTTGTATCAATGAAAAGAAAAAAAAAAGCTGGATGATTCTGGATTGCCATGTAGGTGACAATAGATCTTGTGCGTTTAGCAAGCATAAACTTTGTCAAACTTGAACATGGGACATCACTAGAGATACTAAGTTTCGGAGGTGAAATCCATGGAATCGGCCGAGTGGGCGGTTAAGCTCGGCCGGAGGACTTGTGATATGTGAGAACATGACGTTTATTTGTTTGGCACTTGTTCTGTTGGAGAAAAGCGAAAAAAAAACCCGGCGTTATGAATTTTTTCGATCGGGTTCCGGTTCCTCTACTACGCACGGATGGTTCATCCGAGAAAACGCAAATGCTGTGATCAAAGCGAATGCATAAATAATAACCACATGACACAGCACGGGCGGAGGAGCATCACATCATTTGGTGTAGGAATCTACAATGAGGCTTGGCATTGACCATTCCTGCAATGCAATAATTTATCATACATATTGCTTTTTGACCCATCCATTTTGATGAATGGCCGCTACAAGGCTAGGCAGGGGCAATGCAAGACAAGCTAAGGCAAGGCAAGACAAGACATTGACTTCATGTTCCGGCGAAACAGGGATCGATGTAAGGCTGTTCTTTCCGGGTTTTCGATTTCCCTAAAGTGTGCGGTATTTTACAGACCACGGATCGGCTGTAAGCAAAGCTGCAGGTACCGATGCTTTGCCATCAAGTAGCATACGTAACGTGTAACTTGGAACTCCATGGCTAGGTACTAATGTTGCTTAGATGACTGTATCAAGAAACTTTCTGATACAGTAGAATAGTCGTTTTTGTAAAAATAAAAAGCATGGAACTTATGGATCCATGGGGAAAGAAATGTAAAACATTTTATACCGAATTAGAGTATCCTTCCGCCATTTTTTAATCAACGGTCCCATTGTCCATATTACTTTGATCATTTTATGGTCTTGGTTGTTCCGGGCAGTATTTCAGGTATTCAGTGAATGACTCTCGTCATCACTCCATCAAGATTTCGTTAGTTCAGCGAGATTCTTAACTCTAAATCCTCGTACCTTAAAAATAAAAAATAAAAATAAAAACTTTTTTTTTTCTTATTCAGCTGACTGTCGATATTTCGGCATGTTAGCTGTAAGAACCATGGACACATTGGAACCTATTTATTTTAGAAGGCCATAGGTACATTTCGTAAAACTGTTATAATTGCCTCATCAGATCTTTTTTGCCATGTGGTTGAAACTCAGCGAGAATGGATGGGATGTTTTTTGTGGAAAAAGGACTCTGAGCCAAAAACATTCCAGAAAAAAAGAAAAGTCAGAATAATGTTTCTGTAGGTTATGAAAGCACCAGTTATTCGTGGCCGCACCTGTCAAGTCGAAAAAGTTCACCCGCCCAAATGGGTTTTCGTCACAAAGAGGATTTTGGCGGCGTTTAGATTGGAAAAAGGACGACCGGAGCCGATGAAAATTGCAAATAAAAAAGGTCCCGGTGTCACACGGTAACGGGAATCGGTTGGGTCCGTATCAATAGGCGCTGGCGGTAGTAAAAAAAAGTTAAACAAATATCACTATGATACTCAACAGAGGTTGCCAAATTATGGTGTTCCTCATTAAATCATCTCTCAGTGCACAGACAATTAAAATGATTCTTTGCAAATCGAACGACGAAAACCGTAAAAAGAAGAGAGGTCTAAAAACTGATGCATTAAAAAACGGTGGATCACCGGAACGATATGCGATGACGCGTTTTATTTACTGTCTCGGCGCAGGTTCCAAATCCGAGAAACTCGGGAGAGTAGACAAAAGGGAAGAGGGAAGTACCGTTGCTTTTTTTTGCGCACTCTTTTTTCATTTCCCGGCCAAATGAGAAAGACCGATTCAGAGTAATATGTCGTTCAAAAAAGGGCTGATGTGTTGCCATCTGAATGAAAAAAGCCAGCGATCATCATTGGTTCCGTTTCTCGTCACTGACGTTGGACCGGAGTTCTTCCCCGCGTTTCAAAGTCAGATCAGGGTCATTCCATTTGGCCGATTGCCTAATTCCAAGTTTCTGCGGTATGGCAAACCTTTTCCGCCCGGCATCACATTACCCCCTTTACACCTATAGAAAAACTGAATGAGAACGAAAAAGAAGTAAACTTACAAAAAAAAAAAAAGCACCTCGTTTCCCCGCTCCGATAAGAAAAAAAAAGCCTACCACACTCGGGACCGGGAAGGATTGTCACCGATAATTTGTGAACTTTGCTTCGTTGTGGGACCTGTTTTTTCTTTTTTTTTTTTCTTTCTCATATTCCAAATCATTATTCCTTGGTTGCTCTTCCATTTTTTTTATTTCTTCTTCCTTTTATTTTCGGGTTTTCATTTCTTTATCTAGCAAGTTTAATACTCTCTTCAACTTCTTTTCGACTGGTTACTTCTTTTCTCAAGACAGTGTGCTGACAGTTATCGACTGGGAAGAGACAAGACAAGCCCGTTTTTATTTATTACTATTTATTTTGGATATCATTGTGGTTGCTCTAGTGACCATTTGATTCAAAGGTCTATTCTATTTTTCATATTTATCGATTTTTGTGTGTGTGTGTGGACATGCCTCCCAGTCCTTCTCCCAATCGTAAATCGTCCATGGCCAGTCCCAACCGGCATCTGCTCGTGGAAAGGTGTTCCACGATTCGAGCCTGCGAACCTTGCAAACGGCGGAAGAAACTGTGCAACGGACAGCGGCCCTGTGCTTATTGTACCGAAGCCAACCTGGAGTGCGTTTACAGTGTGATATCCGATCATCCCCGAGGCGTCTTTTCTACCAACAATGCAAGACGTTTAAGCAGTGGCTCGGCTTGTGAAACCTGCCGACGAAGAAAAACCAAATGCGACGGAAGTTCACCGTGTGGTTACTGCGCCGCCAATGCCATTGAATGCATCAACAATTCCGAAAGACGCAAACGGTCCATTGGCATGCCGCCGGCCGAAAATGAAGCCATTGACAGAATTGAAGATCGCTTGCGTCGTATTGAACGACTCGTGAGTGCTTTTGCCCCTAGTCCTCTGTCACAAAGCACGTCATATACCCAACATGATCCAGCCACCGCCCGTGCTTCTTCATCCATCCACGTTGCCACCCCACCCCGTCCTCAACGTCACTCCGTCCAAGGCATCAGCGTTGCCAAGGAACAAGCCGAGTTACGAGCGGCCCTTCAAAGTACACGAGGTAAAAAATGGTGAAATCCAATCTTCTCCAAAGCAATGTCAAACTATTGCCCAATGTCTATCAGCAGGATGAACTCATGGCTTACTGTTATTTTTTTAGCCATGTCACCGACGCGTGACTCTCCTTATGCAACGCCTCCTCACAGCGGCGGGAAAAAACCGCCCACCATGACACTTCCTACACCGAGATCGGAGCATCCCCCTTACAGATCACTGTCACCACCATTATCTGCCAACGGTGCTGCTTCCTCTCTTTCCACTTCTCCGCCACCTCCTCTATCCCCGAGCCATCCTCATCACCCCGCATCCGCATCCATGCTGCGACAAGCTTCGCAAATGACACATCCCTTGACCTCGTCCATGCTTAATCTTAGCCTTTCGCCTTCTTCGTCGACCTCTTCGTCGGCTTCCATGGCGCAGCAGTTGGCCCCTCAATCCTCTTTATCCGCGCCTCTCTCACTGCAAGCTCAATCGTCCTCGGTGCTGGCTCAAAAAGGGTCATGGTCTTCTCTTCATCAAAAATCAAATGACGCCGAGGCGTATCATCAAATTCCAAGCCCTCCCGTCTCTTCTCGAAGCACGTCATCAACACGAGGCCAAGACATGGAATGGAAATCGACGTCGCCCATGCCGAGTTTGATGGGTACGTATCCGGAATATCCGAATTTCGCATAGTTTTATTTTTATTTTTGGGAGACCGGTTATTTGTAAACAGCGGACCGGTAGGTGGGCGGTGAGGTGGTCATATTGCTTCTCGTTTTTTGTTCACACGGTACCCATCCTGTGAACAATAGCTGAAGAAGGGAACCCCCGGCCCTCAATTGCCAAGAAACAGGAGCAAGGGATATCGGAAAGATGAGAAAAAAAAGAGAGAGATAGAAATGATTGGGCTTGGATAATTGTTGGTTTTTTTTTTTCTTATCGACGTGCAGGAGCAGCAGTAACTAATTCTCTTTTTTTTCTGATTTTCCTTGTAGAGCAATTATCGAAACGAACGTTTGCCACCACTGCGTTGGAATATCCCATCACTCAATTCCCGATCTATCCCCTCACGCCACCTCTTCATCACACGTCGTCTCCCGATCCGTCACCTATGGATCATCAAGCATCCAACTAAGACTTAAAGTATACACACGCCAAAAAGGAAACAAAAAATGAGGCATGGCATCAAAAAGAACCAAAAAAATACCTCGCAAAAAAAACTTTTTTTTTTCTTCATTGTTTTTATTTCATAACTTATCTTTATGCATATGCATAGGTTGTCTGTAAATTATATAAATCTCTTATTGCACTATTCTTATCTTATTATACGTTGTATTTTCCTGTGTATACTTATTTTTTGCATTTGTGGTTCCGATTAACACGATAGTGGAAATGTGTGTCCAACCGGATGTGACACCGACCCGTCGTTCTTGACGGCCGTCTCCGCTTTGTCTCTTTCCACCATTGGATGACAAGTGTAACACCACGACCCAAAAAGAACTCACCAGGTTGACATCATGCGTCCATTCTGTATCCCCCGCTCCCGTTCATGTGTGTGTCGATATGTCTGTCCCATGTTACTCTTTTTCTTTTCTGTACCACAATCAGAAAAAAAAAGAGACAGGTACATGGAACCAAAAATCACGTTATCCTTTTGAGATGCAAGAAAAACCCCAAATCAGACAACAAAAAAACCCATCAAGATCATCTTGTATATCTTTCATCGCCCTGTCATCGGCGTAACTCTTAGATCAAAACCAGCACTGGTTGCACGAAAACACAAAAATCCCCTCGATAAAAATGCTTGCCGCTGGATCTGGTTGCGCTTGGCTACAAAGACTAATACTTTAAATGGATCTCGTTGATAAGTGACTGTTATGCCACAGTTGATTCTCCACAACAACACTAGTATTATCTTTTTAATGTGTGAATTTCTAGGGTTCCAACAGGGTTTGAGAGATGGCATCTGTGGTATTCGCAAGCATGGTCACAAAAAGAGAACCAGTCATTCGTCCTACACAGTTCTCCATCAGTTTAACCCTATTATAAAAACGTCCTTTTTAGTATGGTGGACACGTATTATCAGGTTCGTGTTTAGGGTTTCAATGATAAGAAACGGCAGAATGATACATACTCCATCTATGGCATTTAAGTATGCACATTTTTACGCGACTTTACATAATTCGAACTCTAAAGGTTTTGACAAAAACACATCCTGAAAAGTGGGAGCAGCTCATATGGAGAACAGTTCCGGGAATTCCTTCTTGGGAGAAGATAACCATTTGGAAAGGCGGAGTAGAAAAATCTATGCGCTCAATGTTGGCTTTGCTTGAGAATTGGGAAAATAGCGAGTCACAGGAATCCAACTGTGGACGGAGCCAAAAAGCGCTCAACCTAAAGAACTTTGTTCCTCGATAACACACAATGACAGCGGCAAGGCAAGTCTTGTCGTCGATTCTGCCTCGATTTTTCTTTCGAGTGTCGCAGCCGATTCACAGTCTTGAGCAGGCTCGGGCTGTGTTCAAGACATTGGGAAGCTACGGTGACATGATCGAATACAAATTCATGAGAGTAAGTGGCCACAAACATCATTGAGCATTTGCAGACTTGGAATTCAACAGTATGATCGGTCTTTTAGTGCCCGGAAACACGATCCTACCTACGTCACGGTTTTGTCGTCTATAAGCGTCCGGAGGATGGTCAGCAAGTCCTGAACGATAAATTTATTCGCGTGGACTCGAACCTTTTCAAAGAACCTTGCGACGTCAAAATTGAAAGAACCGTCAGTAAGCCTACTGCAAGACGCTGACATCTGATCTAGCTGTCTAGTTTCATCCTTATCTTGTATTTATTTACCACCTTCATCCGTCCTTCAAACCACTTTGTTCATATTTATTGCATCATATCCTTATTGTAATATCCTGTTCTTACGCACTAGTAAAATAATTTGCTCCAGATCACCAAGATGACCAGGGCGATCAGAACCAAAATGATGGACGCCATAATGATCTTGTTGGTTGCCATGCTGGGAGACATAAATAATTCATTACGGTGTGCTGTGCAGTGCTAGCCATGGAGCGGAATCACTTAAGAGATCAACTTACCGACGGGCCATGCTTTTCAATGTGCGCGAAGACTTGTCAATGTGGGAATCGGCTTCAGCCAGCTGTCGTTGCATTTTTTTTTCTTTCTTTTTAGCGACAAAACGGATGTGGACCAAACGAAAAAGGAAAAAGAAGACTTACGGTATCTCGAGTTCGCAGCATAGTTTCTCGTTGTCCTCTCAAGGTGTGAAGGATGTTGATCCCGATGCCTTCGGTTTCCAACGCGATGCGATGGCTCTCTTGCAGGCGTTGGCTTGAATTACCCAATTGTTGCGTTCCATTGAGTAACCGTTGACGTTGATCGGCACTAGAGGCATCCAAATCATTTTCATAGTTCATTTCACCCAACAATTCATGTCGATCGCTATTAATAGATTGGTAGCTGGGTATCACGGTGGTCATTCGTCGCTGTAAGCCGTGAAAAAATAGAAGAAAATGTTTAGTACAACATAGGCTGCGTGTGAATGATGTCTTTGTACCAAGTCCCGCCTTAATTTCTCGCCTTCTGTCTTGAAAAGCCGCAATCTGGCCTGCAATCGTATTCGGGATGGAGAAGGGATATTCAGGAGCTCCATTTGCATCTGGCTTAGCTGCATGAAAAAAAACCAGAAGCAAAGAGTCAGTGCGATGAACCGTCATACTGCTGTGAGAATCTCTGGAGAGTATACATATGAACGATATGTACAATTTCATCCATTTCATCCATCTCACGTTCAACCGATCGCACGGTGCTTTTTCGTTCCTCTAGATATCAGTTTAAAAAGAAACGGAGATTATCATTTTATTGGACCGAAAATAAGCCAAGACAAAACTCAAAAAGATGCTCAAGAAGAAAATGCTTTAAAAATCCATCAAGTTGCGCGTCATACTACCTCCTGCTTGAATAGCCAGTTGCTCCATCTTTGTCTTGACCGATCTCAACAAATTGTCAAGATCATGTTCGTAATTAGAAAAGACGTCCGTGCTCCCTGCTGACGATGCCATGGCTGATTAAGAGACTTTCTGACAGACAGTAATAATTTTTTAACCAAAAAGAAAGGAAGGAAAGCCTTCACAAGAATAGTACAAGAAAGGAAGAAAAAGGTCGCGAGTCAACAACAGTAATTGTTTCAGCTGCAGTTGGCTTGGTTTCCGTGACGGAAGATGGCACCGACTGGTGTAACCATGCCATGAATTTGGCTGCTGTGTTCGTGTTTGTTCAGACCAACAAAAAGAATAAACCCATCCACGGTGCTTCAACAGCCATGGTTTAATTTACAAAATGGCCATTACCCGTAAAAGTGATTTAAGCACGGGGCAAGGCTAAACCTCTGTCCTTTCTTTTTTTTGCCAAGGGTGGAGCTCCACTCACAAAAAATCTTCCATACCCCTCTCGCGCCCTTGCCCCCAGACCCTGATGTCCCTTTCGGCGATCTTTCAAATCATTTTGGGTTGGATGGTTGACCCAAACTTCATAGGTGTTTGGTTCCTTGCTCTCTGGAAAACTCATGGATCAGCTCATGGAAAAATATGATGTGGGGTGGCCGTCAGAAATTGCTACCCTGACGAATCCAATTATTCAATGGATGTCATCATCGTAATGAAACAAAACGATTCTGTAAATATCCTTCTTCATTGTTCAAGCAGAAAGGAACGATAAAAAAAGGCCAACTACTCAACTACAGCAACCGCGTAAGATCAATGGATAAATGGAAGAGAAAAAAAAACCAATTGGTTTATAATATGGAAATAATAGAAACAATAAGTGAACCAAATCTGTCCTTTTGCAGGTGTCGCGCCATTCCGCACTTATCGATTTAGGAACAGCTCCTTTTTTTTTCTGGCCATCATTAAAATTACAATGGTCACCTCTATTTTCCTCTTCCATTGGGGGGATAAAAAAGAGAGATGAAAGAGAGATGAGGTTTGCAATAGACCAGCCAATCAGGTTAATATCGCATCCACAATGAGAATAGAAGGCGCTGTGGTGAGTAGCCGAAAAGAAACCACCGAACAAGCAGAAAAGGGGGCTGGGAGGTGGAGCCCCACCCTTTTAATATAATGTACAAGATCACGGACAGTTTTCCGATGTGACAGTGGCAAAAAAAAAAAAAAACGATGGACAGAACCCACAGACCCCAAAATGGATGACACTAAAGATAAAATCGAACTTGCACCTGTGTGTGTGTGGTGTGCGTAAATCTATATGTATACGTGAGCGCATTGGACTTATTATTACTGTGATCTTCCATTCGGCTATAAAACATTTTAAACTACATACAAAAAAACAATTTGATTTCCACATCTTTTTTTATACATCTCTTCTTTTTGCTTGCTTTCATTTTCACTCCTGTTCGCTCTTTTTTCTATACTTATCTCTTTCTCTTTTTCTTCTTCTTCTTCTTCTTCTATTTTTCTTTTTTTGGTTCGTGATCGCTTTTCTCTTTCATTTTTCTCCTTTTAATCGTAATTCATTATGCTTGCTTGTCCTCAAGAGGTCTTTTACAAACCCACCAATGAAAAATCCGGCGCCAACAATGGCGCTCCCAACCCATCTTTATCACCTTCGTCCGTTGCGCATGATAATCATTCTCTCCACAACGCAATGCACCTTGTACATAAACAACAGTCTGCCCATCATCTTATGACCACCGCCACCGATTGTGGACATAAAGATAAACGTCCAAGGCATAAAAAGGAACCATGCATGCCCGCCGTTCACGCCAAGGATAAAGATGAGGTGATTATCATTAATTTTCCTCTTTAGCTCTATATTCTTTTTCACCTTTTTGTAATGCAATACGATGGCATGGTTCTTTTTTTTTATTTATTGATCTCTGTTTTCCTTGTCTTTTTCTTCTCTTCTTCTACAGCAGGTATGGCCCCCAGATGTAGAAGCGGCCTTCATTGAAGGTATAGTGTGTATATAAAAAGTGGCTATAGAAACAAATTCGTTTAGACTGACTTGTGATTTTTTAAGCCCTAGAAACGATTCCCAAGCTTGGAAGACGCAAGATCCTGGTTCACGGAAAACCATGTGGTATGGTTGCCAGTGAACGCATCGTTTATACCCATCTTCCATTCATTCAATGATACCATCTTTAATCTAGGTCGAAATGAACTCATTTCTGATTATATTTTCCGCAAAACCGCCAAAACTCGTACACGGAAACAAGTGTCTTCGCATATCCAGGTGTTAAAAAATACAAAGAAAGGGGATCCCCATTGTAAGTGTGTTCGTTAGACCCATGGATTCTTATCGATGGCTCATCACTCAACATTACGTTTTTACCCCTAGTTATGCGGTTATTGACAGATTCGGTGGACATTGATGAAACATACACGTCTGTGCCGTCATCCAATGGCAACCACCGGAAACCTACTGGGCTTGCAAAGCAACGACGGCTCCATCATCATCCTCATCATCCTCACCCTCACCCCCACCCACATCATCATCAGCACCAGCACCAACACCAGCACCAGCACCAACACCAGCACCCACATCCTCACCAACACCAACACCAACATCCTCACCAGCATCAACATCCTTATCAGCGGGGTCCCATGCCGGCCAACACTCACGGTCGCGGGAAAATGAATACTCTCCAGTCATCCGAGTCGATTTCCTCAGAGGAATCGTCCATGAGTTCCACTTCGTCGCCGGCCGACTACGTGTTTGATATGATGTACAACGATCTATGTCACTCACAACCGCTTCCCATGCTCGATCTGAAAGATCCATTCTATGACGTTTTGCAACCTACCGTGTACGGTCTTCCGGATCACACGCTTTACAACGCCACGGACGCCGTGAGCACACCATGCTCAACGACAACCCCTTCCTCCTTTTTGCCGGGGGCTACAGATGATACCCTTTCATGTTTGCTTTCCTCCACAGCTGTTGATATGTCCCTACTGTCCAACGACTTGTTCAATCTTGGCAAGCCCAAAATGGCCCCCACCACCATGTATCCCAGCGTTGCTGGCTCGGATCCTACCTGTCAGCCCAATTCCGTTGGCGGCGCGGTCATGCCAAATGACTCACGCTGTGCCGAAGATGCTGACACCTACTTGAAACATGAGAAACAAAAACCAGAAGCGCTCATCTTCAACACGAGTACCAGCAAAGATGTCACCTACTCTCTATGGCCCAACTATCTCTGTTTCTACCTAGAGTACACACTGCCTTACAATCGATCGGTAAACCTTTCTTCATATTTTTCCCTCATCTCGTATCGTTCACTCACTCACAGTATTAATTTTTTTTGGGTCCGCTTCATCATTCGCAGATGACATTATCGCATACATTGGCTCAATGGTTTCAGTGCGCGCCCAGTGGCATGCCTGTGATCGATCAGGAGCAGGTGGGGAAAGGCAAATGTCCTCCTCCTTCAGAGCTTTCACCTATTCTCCCCGAAGTCACTTTAACCGTCAAGGTATCTATTATTTCTTTGTTTTTGTCATTGACCCATTGGTGGTAGCTGACTTTCTGGGGTGGCCGTAGATGAAATTTGATATGAACCTGACGATTTCGGATTTCTTTTTCAACAATGCCTCGTTCTTTGAATCTCGCGAACGGCGTATCATTGAATGCACCACCACCATTTACTCGTTTGGCAAGGTGGTGTGGCAGTCAAAAGAAGTGCAGCAGGCCATGTGGGTGAACGAAGGCAAATACATGTATACCTTTGTATACGAAAATGAGTTCTTTGATGCGTTCATGAAGAAAATCCGAAAAGTCAAGTCATGGGAAGAAGTGGATAATGCCATCAATAACCTCTGCATTGTCCAGGTAAGCCTACTTGCACCACATAATATTTGGAGATGGCGGTGGGGGAGGCAAACAATACAGAGATACCAAAAAAAAAAAAAAATGTCAGAGGTTTCCATTGTTTCAGGGGCATAAAAATAAGACAAACGGAGATAATGTCATGATGCCGCGGAACACCAGTATCTGATCAAGAAAAACTAATGATATACTTCTTTTTATAACAGATCTTTGATGATATCGAGACCAAGTACCACAATACTACGCCCAATGCTTCCTCTGACATTTTCGATCCTTTATTGTCACTGACGACGACTGAACCAGTGTTTCCTGAAGACCCAGTCTCTGTGCCTTTACTCATGATGATCTACGAATTTGAGCGCGGCCAGGGCACCATTGATATTTCAACCGTAGCCAATCACGTTGCCACCACCAATGATCCTACCAAAACATTGGCGTATCTTGGAGTCAATGTTCCCGCCCCAGTCTCCTCCACGTTGGAAACCGACAATGACAGCAAATCCATTATTGTTGCCACTCCTTCAGAGGTTGAATGAAAAATCAACAAACAGCTGTCCTCTCCTGTCTTTACAAGAACTCACCAGCCAATCAATTGGTCCACATCCATAATCGACTCAGAAAAAGCCATCCTTCCTTTTTTTCGTCCCCTCTTTTGTTTTCTTCGTCTCGTCTAATGCTACCTATTGAACTCATGATCTACTCTTTTTTTTTATGCACACGTGTCCTTCATTCATTTAATCGTTTCGCCATTTCTGGAACCTCCAATTTAAAAACTCACCACTGCCCAACCCCAATTAAACCCCGTTGATCGGATAAAAATAAACCAAAATGCAATTCGCCCCTAAATTGGCAAGTAAATTCCATTCTTCAGCAGACATTTACAAATCATTATAGACAGTTGGAAATAGGATTTTTACATGAAAATGCTATGTACAGAATTATCATCAGATGACACAGAATAATAAAATGTGGCAAACGGAAAAGCAAGGAAGTTCATTCTCCTCAACAAGCAGAGCTCACCGTCAGCTCCTCAAAACAGTGATCACATACGCGGGCCCACTGACCCGTGACAGCGGCCTGCTTGGATAAAGGCGGTAACTGAGAGGGAAAAAGTGGTAATCGATTGCTACTGTGCCAATGGCATAGTAAAAGACCACATCTAGTCATGCAGCAAAGCGAAAGGGACATTAGACAGGTCGTCCTCGCAGGTATTATTGTAAGGCGGAATGAAGAAAAAGCGGATGGTTTACCTTCGGCAGTGGTGTTTACGACGAAAAAAGTTGAATTGAATAACACAGCGGCGCGCATGTGTGGGGGAATCAGATGATGACGTTTGAACAAACTGGCATTGATCGGTGTATCTATCCGGGGTCCATTGCTCCTTTGGTAATAACACAAAGCGGGACTGACGATCTTTTGTCGAAAGATCAAGCATGTACCGATGATGGTACATGGTGGGCGTGGACATTAGAGGATCTAATTCATCTCTTGCGTTCTAAAAAAACTATGGGTGTAAGAAAACCATCGCCCAAAAGAGAATGACTGAACCACGCTCTCTCTCTCTCTCTCTCTCTCTCTCTCTCTCTCTCCCCTACCCCCCCCCATGACTGGCTGTTATGTGCCCCATAGAAGGTTACTGTACCTGATATGTAGAAAAGGAGGGATGGACTAGGAAGCCTGAGCCAGCAATGATCATCCTAATATCGTGGTGTTCGTCTTGAAATGTGTAGAGGAGTTGTCCTGTGCCTACGGTGCCGCCAATCAGCGTGCCGATGTGCAATCGGAGTCGTTGAACAAACTCGCATGGATGTGTGAGCATCCGTGTTTCAGTTGCAGCACGTCGTCGGAATTCGTACGATGCGCGGTTTTCTGATGGCCGTTTTCCGTTCACTCTTACAGCACGGCAGGGATTATTTAGTTGATCTGATTTTCGGTCCAAACCTGCCATGAGTTCCTCCAATACATTCAGCATCAGCAATTGCTGCCTGGCCACCTGTTGGCATTCGTGAATTTTTTCCAAATACATCCGTTCACGGCTCTGAAACACTTCATCGACGGCTTTTTCGTAAATCAGTAAATTGCGAACACGTCCCTCGGTGCCTAGCAATTCATTGGATAACGATTCCAAGGTTTCGGCGTGCCCAATACAAGAGGAAAGCAGGTCGAGAAACTGAGATTGCCAATGGGTGGATGCGCTGTCATTCTCAAAACTCAGCAATGCATCGTATTTTTCGGACGCCCGCGTTTCCACCAGACAATTGGTGGTGCTGTAAAGGGTAGAAATTCTCAGTCGTTTTTCATCCACATTGCTGATGGCGTGGTTTGTCGCTTCACGTCGCCATTGGTCAGGGGAATGCACAATGTTTTGACCGTCATTGGTATCAACATAGGAGGCATCGAAATGGGAAGGGACTGGTGTCACGGCCACGGTGTCACCAGCGGCATCTCGTTGTGTGCGGCATATCCTTTTGGAGTCAGATGCATCAAACCTGCATTCGTGTTGTGATTGGATTTGTTTTTGTTGTGAATATGGATGCTCGTCTCCCAGTAATTCTTGAAGTTGGAAATTTTGCATGGAGCGCGTGATACTGGTGATTTTATCTCGAAAGACGTCAAAGGCGTCACTGTACAGATCCCAGGTGGAAGCGGTTTCGATGCTTTGGTCGTCTTCCAGAAATAAGGCGGATTTCCGATCAGAAGAGCATGACAGCACAGACCAAGGGTCCGGCGCTGACAGTTCAGTGGATTGCATTACGGCACATGAAAATTCGTCTTCTCTGAACGGAAGGTTCTTATATCGATGGTTGGCGGTAGTGGTGGTGGTCGTGCTCGACAGCGTAGTTGAACTGGTATGACTAGATGTGGAAAATATTTCTTCAAAATCCGGTCCACAGGAGGAATACGAAGGGGGATGCGACAAAGAATTCATTCTGTCACGACGATGGTCTCCGCCATGATTCCATTTCTCTTGAAGAACAAGACATGAATCTTTGTCGAACAGCGAAAATGCACCAAGATCGAGACCGTAGCTCTCGGTTACACCCAGCTGCATGATGTCGACGGTATTCAAGGGACCCACTGCTCCTGCCTCATCTAAATGGAGGCTTTTGTTCTCAACTTTCTCCTTTGCAACAACCGTGTTACTGTTTACTGGGCTTGCAGCGGTAGCCTCCTGCCCACTACCATGGAAGTACTTTGTCTCGTTCGCCATGCAACGGCCATGACCATGCTGACCTACTGTTCGAGGCGGATATCTTGGTGCGGAAATCTATGAATAGGAAAACACCATCCAGGAGGATAGATAACATAGAAAGAAAAAATCAGGTTTAACTGAAAAAGAACTCGAGAAAAAAAAAAACCAAGCGAATAACCCAAATGTGGATTTGTTTTTTATACCAATGAAGACAAGCTGGACGGGGCGGATGAGTTGCGAGTATGATCAGACTGATGGGACAAAAGATAGTCACAGTAAAATGCCGTATGCTGCATCGAATTATACAGCCAAGGTAAAGAAGAGTGAATCTGTTCACAGGCATTAAAAGAGAGAGAAAGGGAAAAAAAAAGAGGGAAAGAAAGACCCAAGTTAACTTGCATTTTTGTGGGGAATGCAACAGCCATTGGAAAAAAAAAGTCTTTGCTAACCCGCCCTACATCCGTGTTTCCTAAAGAGAAACAAGGGTCAACAGGCCAAGGGTAAACAGAAAACTCTATATCTTGAACATCATCTTCTCCCTACCCTGAAAAAAAATTACTGTTCCATTGCATCTGAATACCATGTGTCCTAATCCACCATTATTGCCTCACTATGGTTTTTTTTTTTTTTTTTTTTTTTTTTTTGCTATATGCATCAGGCTACATAATGGACAGTGATGTAGAAGGGACCCGCGGGTGATCCATCACTCTTGGTCGTCATGATACCCACAGATATCAGAGCAACATCTTTGTTTCATGTACATACAGCTCGTCAGCTCAACGTAATACATTGTTCTTGTCACGTAGATTGGCTGTAATTCATGGATCACAAGCTGCTTCAAGCAAGGATGCAATATGTTTCAAAATGGCCAAGCACGAATGAAATTTTACAGAAAAACATGAGGACACACAATGTCGGCTGACGCTGTTGGATGCAGTGCGCGTCATTATCTGAATGCATGGTATACCAGCTTGGCGGTGCACATGACAGTTCAGGATGTGCTGGCAAGATTGGTAATAATGGATGAGAACAATGTTCATTTTTTCTGCGATGGAGAACCAATGATGATGCAAGATAACGGAATGGTCGCGTAATGCAATCCAGAATTTAGATAAAAAAGGGTAATTTTCCACCGCCTACAAGGAGAGCATTGTGTTTTTTTGCACTGCTTTCATCATGATTGGTTTGATCCTTTGCTGATATCCCTGCGGCAAGGGACCTGATAAGCATATCCTCTTTTTTCTTTTTGCTCTCTCGCTTCCCTGCGTCTATTTACTGAAATAAAAAATATCATTATTAACGGGGAAATCAAAGCAAAAAAAAAAAAAAAAAAAAAAAAAAAAAAAAAAAACGAAGGAACATGTATTTCCCGATCGATGGCTTACATGATTCGTTTACGAGCTAAACAGGCTTGCTGAGACCATGAGTTTTGGTCGATTCATCATTTAAGAACAAACACAAAAAAAAAGAAAATAATCCTCGTTTCACAAGGCTAATTGTAATGGTTCTACAAATGATTGAATTGAGCAACAGATTTGCGCACAGTGCAGAACAGCACGGACGAAATGATGCAAGATGATTGGATATATGAGTTGCATCACTGTACGACCTTGAACTTTATATGGAGGGCACAAACGCATGTCTCATTTAAGGTCAAAATCCAGCTAGTTACTATGCTGAATGACAGCAAAAAAAGATGGATAGAGTTGTCCCTTTTGAAAGTTCTTTTAGTAGGCTTGTCGCTGTTTTGCGCATCGACCACGGTTGGTCCTCCATGGATGGATATCACTCCTCTGCGACAGACAACGGCACACCGATCCAATCTGTCGCAATGATGATTTGGAAATAGTTATTGTCACGGAAACCAGTGTGTCTAGTGAATCCAGCAAAAAAATAAAATGATGGCATGAATCTGTGCAACCCTGCAAAGCCATTGGCAGTCGAGGTGACACCGTCGTGTTCAGCCAGAGGGTCCACAACCAAGCACGACATAGTCGTAATCGCCGCCCACGGCACCCGTGCTTCGTACTTCTCACTTTTAAGCTACTATTTTTTTTCCTATTACCTTGTCACCCTCCGTTGTCACTCTCTGTTGCCAACAACACACCAGCTTATCCTTATTCTTTGTGTTCTGTGAACATTCGGTTTTCCTTGATTTCTCATTGAGACGAATCTGATCAGAGTACTCACTGTGGTTAAGTTACGCTAGATATATCTTTAACTGTCGCGGCCACTTTTTGTTTATCGACACTTTCTGATTCTCTCTGTTTGCCGGTTCAGTGTCCAATGTCCGCTACGGCTGCGGGAAGGTCGGTGAGTCATGCCGCCATGGACACCAGGAATGGACATCACGAAAAGGAAGTATACCAATACGATGCGCCTTGGCCCATCTACGCCATGGATTGGTCCAAGGTGCCGACCGAAAAACAAGGTTTTCGATTAGCGCTAGGCAGCTTTCTTGAGGAACACACAAACAAAGTAAGTTTTGGAGTTCGGTGTCATCCCAGAAAAAGGAACGGTTTGTTTTTCTCTAAATCCATGCTGTTCACAGTTGCAAGTCGTTACACGAAGCGATTTCAGTCCATCCGATGACAGACGCGATTATTACGACCCGTCGAAACCGCGATCGGATTTTACACCGTTAGCCGAAGTCGACTGTTACTATCCACTCACCAAAGTACTCTGGGAACCACAAAGAGTAATATTGTATATGCAGGTCATGGCTTTCTGATCCATCCTAGGTGTTGCTAAAACATGCCATATTTTTAGGGAGCTCGTGAATCCGATATCCTGGTGACTTCGTCTGACGTTTTACGATTATGGGAACTCGTTGATAATCCTAATTATACTTTCGACAACACCATTGGATCTCGGCGTATTCCATCGGATCAGCAACCTCAATCGCTTATCAAACGATCCGAACTAGTCAATGTATCTATCGCACCCATTTCATTTTATTAATCCAAGAGAAAACAATAGCGTTTGGATGCACGGTGTGCGCTGAATTAATTGGACCGCGATATAGGTCAAACAGAGCGACTTTTGCGCTCCGCTGACGTCGTTTGACTGGAACATGGCCGATCCATCGTTGATTGTAACAGCGAGTATCGACACGACATGTACGGTGTGGAACGTCGAAACATGTCAAGCGAAAACACAACTGATTGCCCATGATCGCGATGTATACGATGTGGCCTTCAAACACGGCACTGCGGATATCTTTGCCAGCGTGGGAGCCGATGGCAGTGTGCGATTATTCGACCTCCGGTAAGTGGATCCGTAAGTGCGCCATTGTCAGAGAGAAGCTGGCGGTGGCCTCGCTTTTGGAAGCTGCACGGATAGACACACTGACTATGGAAGTGGGGGTAAATTACGGATTAGATCCTTGGAGCATTCGACGATCCTTTATGAAGCGCCTCCTGCTGCGGTCAGTCCCAGTTTAGGCACAGGGCATTTCGCATCAGCCATCAGCGAAGGCGCGCAACCGTTGTTACGACTGCAATTCAACCAGCTCAATCATGATCTTTTAGCCACCTTTCACATGGATTCCGATGTGGTGCAGATTCTGGATATCCGATATCCAAGCACACCCGTCGTCGAACTGGCACGAAGCCATCAGAAAAGCATCAATTGTTTCAGCTGGTCACCGCGTCATCCAGGTCACATTTGCACAGGAGGTGAGCACCTTTTTTCTCACAAAATCATGTTTTTTCATGATTTTATGATCTATTTTGCAATGGAGGTTCTTCCAATTCACTGGTTTCGTCCATGTTATTTGTGTTTGCGAACAGCTGAGTAATATGCGCTCGATAATGATTTGTAGGAGACGATTCTCAGGTGCTCGTGTGGGATTTGAATCAAAAAGTATCAACGAATGCAGGCTATACCAGTGGATCGCGGTCAACTTCGCGGCACAACATGCGACACCCTCAACAACCACCGGCCCCGCAGATTGTGCAAGGTCCCGTGCTTCGTTATTTGGCCGACTATGAAATCAACTCACTCACGTGGAGTCAGAGTTTGCCATCCTGGATCGCCATTGGTTTCGGTCGAACCGTCCAAGCTCTACGGTTCTAAATGGATAATTTGCAGCGCTATCCTATAATTGTCTTTTCTTTTTCCCGTTCATCCTGATAGTTCATGGGGGAAAAAAAGGTCATCATGATATCAGCGCCCTCAGCAGAAAATAATACTCGGCTGGACTTGCACAACGCGTGATTTATTTTCCGGGCTTTAGTATACCGGCCAAAGATACCATTCAAAAGCGACAGTAAAATAAAAGAAAAAAAGGGCATTCCCATGGAAAATGGCCACTTTTCTTTTTAATGCCATGGAACCGAATTTTTAAATGGAATACAATGCGTATTGAAAGTAGACGGAAAAATTATAAATATGGATGATGCTATTATGATCATAACAGTAAGAACGGATAAAAAAATAAACAAGGGAAGTTTAAGGAATGACGATGATGATACACAAATAGGACACAAATAGAGCACAAATAGGGAAAGATAGGGAAAGATGGGAAAAATACAAGAAAAAAAATTAGTGTAGATCATCGGAAGCCATGCAGCAGAGCTTTGGCCAATATCCTGACATTGGCCCTTGCGCAAGCCTGAATGGCCAGTTGAAGCGACGCTTTCACGGTGACGGAGACATCAATGTCAACTCCGATTTTGATACTCATGAGGAGCGGGATTTCTACCTCAATTTCTTTGATGTGCGTTTTCAACTCGGTGTCTACAAACACTTCCAACTTGGCCTCAATCTTGGGGAGCGCAACTTTGACTTGGGATACCACGTCCGTTTCAAGATCTATCAACAATTTGGCCAGGTCGGATTCACTTGCCAAGGTTTTATCCGCATAAGCCGCCCTGAATCGGTCTTCCATGCGCTGAAATACATGGACTTCCAATTCATTCAAAATTTCAGAGTCAATCTTGTCTAAGACGTAACGAAAAAGAAAAAAAAAATTAGGCGCACGTTAGTGAGTTTCATGACAAGGACAAAAGGTCGAAGCCATTGGAAGAATTATTTACGGCGGTAGATACCTTGCAGGCCATTGATGGCTGCAGTTTGGATGGCGTTCACCTTGGTACTATCCATCTTGATAATACCACCGAGAATTTTCGCTTCGACACTGAGTTTGGCTCTAATTTTTTCGCAGATCTTTTTCATTTTTTATTTGTCTATTGAGTCAAATTGAAATTGATCATGATGATCCATATGAGTTCTGCCTCTTCTTACCGAACCGGATATTTTTGCGAGAATGTTTGTGTGAATTTGGGTTTTGATATTGGTCATGATGTGAATAAGTAATTGATCATCCACGTGGAACGGGTATTGCTGGCGTTGAAAGGGAGGATGGTGCTGTTCACCTCGTGACAACGACGAATCCAGAGTATTAGGGGGACTGATTAAGGCAATGGGAGCCGCTGAAACACACCATGTTATCAAGATTGACACGCATATCCAGCGAATTACAGAGAACTTCATTGGATTACAAAAAATGAATGGGAAGGGGACGCAAAGAAAGGAATGGCTTTGCGTTTTTTAGATGTAAAGGAATACGTTGATAGAGAATAAAACGAGGATGGGGATGAAGCGAGCGACAGAGCGATGCAGGGCTTATATACAAACCACAGTAAACAAAACTTTATTTCGAGTTCATGTTTCTTGTTTCTATTCTTCTTGAAAAAAGAGAAAAGGGGGAACAAGCCGATCCCTAGATACCATGCTTCAAAGAAGCGGTGAATGGCTTGTACGTCGAAAAAAAAAATAGTAATTTTTCTTCTTGCTCGACATTGGGTAGAAATTTTTACAGCGATCCATGCCTTTTAGCGAGCATTACAACGTTTTTAAGGAGTGGGAGGACAGGACACTACGACGGCGGAGATTCGGGTGGCAATGGTAGATTTTTTAGTAGCGCAGTAAATCCAATCAACAGAGTATAAGAAGGGAAAGGGAAACACCGCTAAGCAATGATGTCGCGTGAACAAAGACGAATCCCGCTTGTCACTAAACAGACCAATGTAGACCTTTTTTTCCATTGACATTTGGCAGGCCAAATAAAGTATTTTTAGTTCTTTTGCATGTTCAAGGAGTGCGTGTATACCGATGGCGTGTGAAACAACCGCAGAAAATAGAAGTAAGGGAGAATTGAAAAAAAAAGTCAAAAGGGGAGTGACAAATCGAGTTGAGCGCGAATGGACACAAATGATTAGAATCGAACCTTCCTTTCATTGATTATCCATAATCACACAAAAAAGGGAGCTCTTTGTGCATTCGGGAATTCGGTATTTGAATATTTTTTAATTGAAACCTGCAAAAAGGCAAACGTAGCCGTGCTCCTACTTAGGTTTTCTATGGTGGTCATGGATCTTTGCCATGGAAACAAACAAAAAGAAGCTTTTTTTTATGCATTTCATGCGTCAAAACACAATGCAACCGAAACAAGCCATTCAAGCGACCGCATCCCCCAAAATAGGATCCCCATCCGTCGGTCTTGCCTATCATTGCCTGGTGGCTGACGTAGAATGATAGTGTCGCTTTTTCAGAGAGAGTTAACCCAAAATGGTAATGCGGAGACGAAGGAGAGGCGTGATTATTTCTTTTTACCACGGGGTGGCAGGGTAAAAAAAAAAAAAAAAGGCAGAGAAAACTTCCCTAGCCGAAATTTAATTTCCCATTTCCCTCTTTGTATTTTTTATATAATTATCTTCTTATTGTTTTTTCCCTTGTTCCATGGTCGATGCTATACAAGAAAGTGCTTCCAGCATGGCTCAAAGTGCGTTTAGACGGTCGCTAACCTTGTCGCATGGAGCCACGTCGTTGATAGCCAGACGGTTTTCAAGGTCCTCTTCGAATCGACAACAAACCAATAATAATAGTCCTACCACAGCCGAAACAAGAGCGGCTCGTCGTTGCACCATTGCCGATCCTATGCAACTGTCTCCATGTGAACAGCCTGCACCACTACCATCCAACCAGACGCGAACACCCAGCATTCACGTCCGCATTGTGCCCAGCATTGAAAATCCCAGTCGAAGTTTGATTTTCGATATTGTCGATCGTGAATTAGAAGCTGGTCTCTACATCAAAATAGGTCGATTCACAGATCGAATCACTTCGCCCAACCATATTTCCTTCAAAAGCAAAGTCGTTTCAAGAGCTCACTGTGAACTGTGGCTGGAAAATGACGGCAAGGTAACGTTCGCTCATTTTTTTTTCTTCTTCTGTATATTTGCCAGCGGCTTTGGTTTTGTTATGCGGAAACAGAATAGGTAACCGTCTCCAACATTGTATTGTTGAAGCGATTCACTTTCTTTATTCTGTTGGATATTGTTTGTTTTCTTTTTTTGTTACTTTTCTTTTTCAAAGTTGTTTCTCAGATGCGATATGCATGGTGGATGTAAAAGCGGGAAAATATGCATGATGTCTAACTGTGACCATCTTTTCGGTTTTTTTTTTTGGCGCTTTTTTGTTGTAGCTCTACTTGCGGGATACCAAGTCATCGTCTGGCACGTTTCTGAACCATATTCGTCTTTCAGCCGCCAACCAGGAAAGCCGACCGACCGAGATCAAAGATGGTGATATTGTCCAACTGGGTGTGGACTACCAAGGCGGTCAGGAGGAAATCTATCGATCCGTCAAAATGCGTTTTGAGATCAACCGAACCCGCAGACCGCGTCCTCTGTCATTCAATATGACAGCATTTAATAACCTGCGAAATCTGACCAGTCCACGCGATAGCTCGATTTGCAATCCTTCTTCTCTCAATCCCTCTGCTATTTTATCACCACCACCGGTCTCTGGACCGGACGATGAAGCCAAGCTTAAATTGGACGATACCAATGCCGCGGTCCCGTCGCACTCAACAGCATCAGCTGATGTCACGAAAACTGATATTGACGAATGCTGCATCTGTCTCTATGCCCTCGCGCCTTTTCAAGCTCTTTTCGTCGCTCCATGCTCCCATTCTTACCATTACAAATGTATTCGACCTTTGCTGCAGAGTCATCCCGGTTTTCAGTGTCCTATTTGTCGGACTTATTCTGACCTGGAAGCAAGCGTAGCGGTGGAAATCGATGAAGTTGCACAACATTTAGGTCTATGCCGACCTTCCCCTTCCCATGGCGATGGCTCCCAGGCGGCCCAAGAATGTGATCAGCCGTCCTCCCCTGTGATGACGGATCAGTCTGACACCGATGTTATGCAGCGCATACCCTCGCTCGAAAGAATCGATGAAAACGCAGTGGCACCAGTTCCCATTCACCCAATGACGGTGACCAGCGGTAATCTGTCCAACATTCAACCCACGGGCGAACCTCTCTGTTCCACCCTCGTATCGTCACCTGCTAGTTTCTCCGGCATTCTTACCAACGGCACTTCCTCTGATCGTAAGTTTTTCTCATTGAAACATGAACCATGGATGATGCATTGATGAGGCTCATTGTGTTCTTTTATTTTTGTTTGTTTGTTTAAAAATAGTACGTGATGCAGCCGCTCGTGATCGACGCACAGTATTTGTCGAGGATACTCAGTTATTGGAAATGTATAATCGATCGATTCAACCCGAGGCGACGCATCATCCTCCGTCGACCCCAACCACCACCGACACCACCACCGCCATTCCTGCCACGGCCGATCCGGTATCGCCTACAGCACGAAGCCAGCGTGGTACTCGGGTCAATGCAGCGGGCTTAATGGAAAAACTCAAGACGGCCCTATTTGAAAAACGAAAATCATCCGCGGTGAATGCCGAACAACGATCTAAACGGGCCAATCGTACCGCGGCGCGCCCACTGTCTTATCCTTCGTTTCTACGCCGATCCAACGACTCCAACGATGATGGTATGATGGATTTGGATGATACCAGTTCGCACGATGTACACTCCTCGGACCTGTCGCAAGGCTCGTCTTCCAGTGGATCGGCTGTTCCACAAACCAATCTTTCACCGATCATTGCCAACCCAACCTTGTCACGCCAATCTACCACCCATCTCGCCGAAATTGCAGAAGTCACCGAAGATATTCCCGCTGCATAAGTGAACAAGTGCTCTCGCCCCTTCCCTCAAATCCGATGAATCAAAATTGTCTATATTTAAAAAAAAAATAACAATCGATTACGATTCTATTCTATTCAAACGATAATCTCTCCTCTATAAGTTTATAATGATAATATCCCCCATCTGCTTGTCCCTTTTTTTTTTTGTAATATATAACGCAGTCCCTCGTTTCTGACTTTACAGTGTCACCTTCTTTTTTTTCTTCTTCTTCCAATGCTTCCTTTGCTTCTCCTTACTAGTTTTAAATTGGTTTAACCTAAACACACTCTTTGCCACATCAGAATAACTGTATCTTGGACTGGCCGATCTTTTCATACCCCGTCGTTGAGAAATAATAAAGATATAAACAGGAGAGAAAATCACCAGAGTTTTAAAAAGAGCGGGTTACATTTAATTGTAAGATGAACCATTGTGAACTTGGTGTCACAAAGAGAGAGCGAGAGACCAAAATCATTTTATTGGCTTTGTAAGTGTGTATCCAAGGAGGAAGACACACGGAGGTTGATGTGTGCTCACAGTGATTGAGTTCTGGCATTACTTTTACCCGGTCATGCTTGTTTATTTCTTTTTTAACACAAGTTTTTCCTTTCATGGTTAAAAACCAAGGTGATTATTCCTTTTCTGTATTCACAGTTCCATATGATATTCTTCTTCAATGCGACGAACAAAGAGTCGCATAAACTCCGTTCTTTCCTTGGCCATGGCTTTTCCTTTGGACGTGCGCATCATATCTGCCAGCAAAAATAGTTTCTCTACAAAGAGCGCAGATGCATCTGAGTAATTCTGATCCGCTTTTTCCAAAGTGACCCATCCATGTAGTCGTTTTACCGTGAAAGTGGTTGATCGCTGTGCCTTTGCCTTTGGCGGTTTGTTGTTCGTATTCGTCTTTTGTCATATGTTTTATAGGATCGAGATTAGGAACAAACAATGGAATATTTTTCGCTCCGCTAAACGCCGCACAACGAAGAACACCTGGACAGACGTGTGATTCTCTTTAATATCCTTAGATTCTATTCCACCGTCTCTGTCAATCACGCGTTACCAAAAGCGCCAATCGCATCCAGCTTATCTGCGTCCTGCACACTGTAATTATCATCAATAATAAACATTAGGAAATGAAAAAAGGAGGCGACGTGCGGTTTACTTACATGTGAAGCTCTGTGCAATTTTTACGCCATTCAACGTCTTGCTGTGGGTCTTGGTCATCGTTCCAAGCTAATTCTTTACGAAAACCAACATGATCTACGATGCGGGCCACGAGACTCGCTCGCTCGTGTGTCAAACCGTGCTCCATCAAAAAGGGACGAATAAGTTCGCCACCCGAAGCATCCCCCTTGTAGTATTTGCGATCACCGACATCGTGGCATAACGCCGCCAACTCGACGATCTCGCAATCCACTCTTTGTCCTTTAGTTAAACAGTCGTTTGCCAGATGCATAGCTATTCAAATGCACGCGTGTGTAAGTGGGCGATCGCGTTTTTTTCAATTCAGGAACCGATCTACTGACCCAGACGAACAACGCGATCTACATGTAGCATGTCGTGTGAAGGATCGAGGTTGCACATGTACTGACTCACCATAGCCCGCGTCTCTTTAATAATAGAATCAGTCATGATGAGCAAAAAAGAAAGAATGAATATCAAACTGTCAAAGATGGTATTTTTTTTCCTTCTGATTTATTCTCCGTCTCATGCTCTTCTTGATGAAGATCAAAACAGTATTTCGCCTATTTTAGCGAAGCACTCGTGATCCAATGATGAGAGATTCATCTTTTTGATAATCAATGATCCAAATTAAAGGGTACACCAGATAATAAAGATCAGAAGCGGATCGCTTTTTTTTCTACTGCGGATACCCGTATGATTCGTTCAGTAACAATGATTCAGGATGTTCTGAACCAGTGTTAAAACCGGCTTTGGGTCTCCGTTGCAGATGGGTAAACCATTCGCCGAATAACATTATGTCAGTCCGAATCCATTGATCGTCAGAGGACTGTTTGTTTAACCCTTTTTCTTCTTCTCTTCTCTTCTTGTTCATCTCACCTCTTTCAGACATACCATGGTCAGCCTGGATAGTCAGACAAGGGCTAATTCCGACAGTGACGAAAACTCGACGCAACTTGACATGGACGACATTTCAGAGAAAAATACAGCACAAGAGGAACCTTATACCGTCTTCTCCCCCACAAAGATATTGGTCATTCTCCTCATAGCCTCTTTAACAGGCATGCTTTCACCGCTGACCGCCAATATTTACTTACCAGCGCTGAACCTTCTCCAAAAGGTAAAATGAATTTGGTCTTCCTTTCGTGGCCTCGGCCAGTCACATGATCTTGATTCAAGTGTTTTTTAATAACTTGATCCGCCTATTCAGGACCTTGACACCACCACGGAGCTTGTAAATTTGACGGTGACCGTGTATATGGTCTTTCAAGCTATCTCGCCCACATTTTGGGGTTCTTTAGCGGATGTGTGGGGACGCCGACCGGTGTATCTTGCCACACTGATCATCTACATTGGAGCCAATATTGGTCTCGCACTGACAAACGTGTATTGGCTACTGTTGGTACTGCGTATGGTCCAAGCGTTCGGTTCGAGCTCCGTGATTGCCATTGGTAATGATTCTATACGATGGATCGTGGTTGATACGTTTTACCCCATGCTGAAAAATGTTTACTTCATGAATAGGCGCCGGTGTCGTGGGTGACATTGCTGAACCGTCCAAGTAAGTGGGGGATCATGTTTGTGTAACTTGGTCGAATTGACTGAAAAAGGAGAAAAAAAAACAAATTCTGATGATCGTCTATCTTTAGACGTGGAGGCTACTTTGGTGTGTACACGGCTGGACAACTTCTCGGCCCGGTGATTGGACCCGTCATAGGTGGAGCGGTGGCTGATCGGCTTGGTTGGCGGTGAGTGCAGGGCAAAGGACATTGTGTTGAAGCAAAAGCAGATATTGATTCGGTGGTCCATGGGACAATTTGCAGGTGGATTTTTTGGATTCTTGTGATCGTGAGCGGCGTGGCCTTGCTTAGTGGATTTTTCTTTCTTCCTGAAACGTTGCGGTCCCTCGTCGGCAACGGTTCCGGTTACGCTAACCCTACACCAGCCCAATGGTTGCGTCGTCGACGTGACAAATCACCGGTCTCTGTTGAGCCTCACAGTACCCATCGATTTCGTCGTATCCCAAACTTCACCGCCCCTTTTTTGTATCTGCTACAGTACGACGTGTTGCTCGCCCTTGCTTATAACGCTTTCCACTACACGGCCTATTACTGCTTTAGTATTACGACGACCAAACTGTTTAGCAGCCATTACGGGCTTTCGGAACTGCAGATCGGGCTGTGTTTTCTGTGCCCTGGTGTAGGATGCGTGGCAGGGTCGCTTTTGGAAGGTCGCATTATGAACCACAACTTTCGTGTTGTGGCTAAAAAGAGGGGCTTCCCTCTAGATAAAGCGGTGGTGGGAGGAAAAGTGGCACTGGAATTTCCCATTTTCCGCGCACGGTTGCGCACCATGTGGATCAATGCCGCTGTAGCCCAAGTGATTTGCTTGATCTACGGATGGTTGATGATGGTGCGCGCCCCTCTGGCTGTGGCTTTGGTCCTTCAATTTCTTGGTAAGTGAAGCATCACACAGATCCAATGGATGTGCGACGCGATATTCAATCGTACAATGAATGGATGTTTTAGTTGGTTATGGAACAACGGCTGTCATGACAACATTCCAAACCATTTTGATCGATTTGTATCCTGGTAAAGGAGCCTCTATCACAGCATCGAATAATCTGTGCCGATGTATACTCGGGTGAGTAAAGAGCAGATCGATGATGCAAGTTTTTCTGGGGATTAACGTTGTGATTTAGTGCGGTATTTACTTTTTGTATGGAGCCGGGCATTCAAAGTGTTGGTTATGGATGGATGTTCACAATTGTGGGGATCATCCTTGTTTTGTCCAACGCTTTTGTGCCTCTTTTAATTCATTACGGATCTCGATGGCGTGTTGAACGCGCAGAGAAAGAAGGCTGGTACAAAAAAGAGGATACCCATTTTTCATAATGTCGTTGCTGCATACCCATATTTATGATATTTATGACACATACTTTATATATATATTTTAAAAAACTTTTAATATAAACAGAGCATTAATGTTGGTTTTTTTTAAAGAGAAAAAGAAATTGTTATGCACAAACATCAAGCAATCAAAATGAGATGATGAAAAGAAAAAAGAAAGAGGATGCGAGGAAAGAGAAAATGATGCAAGATGTCAAGTCACAATAGCATAGGAATATACATAATGAAGCATAGAATCGCGGTATGGATTAAATTAATGAGGATGAGGTGGGAACGAGGAGTGTAACTTATTGAAAGAGAGGCATGGATATGGAAGGAGAGGCAAAAGGTACCGAGGTGGCTTTGGCATTGTGGTCTTGGGAATACATTTGCAGGTGGTGGGCATAGTTCATCATAGAGTTATGGTGGTGTTGCAGATCAAGCTCGTTCAGTTCTTCTTCGCTTTCACATGGAGAACCGACCATGGCCTGAAGAGGAAGTTGACCAAATAGGATAGGATCACACGCCGTTGGATGGTGCTGTGTGGAAGGATCACAGTAGGAGGGATCGAGGGCGACACAGGAACTGGACATGCTTGACATGGTGGACATGGACGAGGTCGGGAGAGAAGCCGCGGGCATAGTGGGAGTCGGGGTTAAAGACAACATGAAGGGTGATGGGGATGCGGATGGGTAATGCATCGGTTCCGAAGACACTGATGGAACGTTGGACGACGGCGCAGGGTCTGATAATCGGTTCAACAATTGTCGATTGGTGTGACGAAGATCCCGAAGTTCATGACGGTACCGTTCCTCTTTTTGCAAAGCTTGCTTGACTAAATCCCACCAAGACAAGAAAAAAAAAGATCAGCATGCCACTCTTGCAAACTCCTCGTTCTTCACAATCCTCTTGCTCCAAGTGTACTTACCAAATTCTAGTGTACGTTCAATGATGGTACTTTTTGAAGGCCGGGTATCATTTTGAAGATTGGGCAAGAGGTGAGCCAGTTGCTGAAATTTGGTGTTTAAACTCTCACGACGCGCTCTTTCAATAGCATTATGTTCCGCACGACGTTCATCTTTTGTCTGCTGTGGCCTTTTTACCAGGGAAACCGCATCAGATTTTCATGTTCCGATGAAATCGCTGTTTCCTAGCGGAGACTTACTTTTTGGTCATGGCCGATGGAAGGTACGTTGCATTCTGATGGTACACAGGGAACACTGTAGATAAGGGAACCAGTCCGATCAGTATGAAATTTTTATTCCCTTTTTTTTTCTCTACCGTTGCATCAAAATACTTACATGGTTGTTGTGGAGGAAACTGGGCAAAATGGGGCATGGCCGTTTGAGACGATGGGGGAGGGTGGCTCACGGTTCGAACGGGCCCCGTGGCCGAAAACTGGAACTGGGGAAAGGGGGTTGGTTGTGGGTAATACACAGAAGACATGAATGAAACTTCGCTCATAGAGGAAGGGTGGGGTGGTTGATGTTCCATTGCCAAGATTATTAAAAAAAAGTTGGTATGACGCCGGGAGATGATGATAAAAAGGTAAGCAAAGCCAAAGAGCCAAAAAAAAAGAGAGAGAAAAAAAAGGCAAATCCGTTATATAGAAAACTGGTTAGAGTTTGCATCGATGATCACGGGCAGTTCGGATCAAGTCTGGATCTTTGGCCTAGGTTGCACTGCTTGGACTCTTTTTTTTTTCCATCGGGACCGGATTTACTTAATCTAGCCAACCCGATACCCAGGAAAGAGAGGTCCTATTTTCATTGTGAACGGGTGCTTTCTTATTTTATTTTTTATCTTTTTTTACCATTCCACGCCCATCCATTCGAGACCGACAACAACAACACGCCATCGACTATGAGAGTTTGCCACATGAGGAGTTCCTTGGAATGGTCTGTGTTTTCACGTCATGAAAAAAAAAAAAAAACCACCGTGCGAATCCGTTTTTTCTATTGGTGACATGGAACCACGCCAGATATTGTTGCATGATATAAAGGTAGGATAACAAGGTAAGCATGGATGAGAAAAAACGGGACGTGTTCTCATGCATTGAAATAGCACGGGGGAGAGATGAAAAATCAATGAATGAATGAATGAATGGGAATGCAATCCTACCCGATGATTATCTCTTAAGTTAACTTTATTTTTATTTTTGAGATGGTTAAACTTTCTGTGTCATCGTGTGGACGGATATTGCCTGTTTTCAACGGTGCGTTGCCTTTTCTGGTTAAAGTGCGACGCGAAGCATTGATCGGGAAAACTTTTTCAGGAACACCCATGACCAAGCTTGACGCCAGTGACCGTCATTATGTTCTTGTTTTGGAGGCACCTAGACTTTCCTTCCCTTCCAATCAAAAAAAAGCTCACGCCTATTTTCATCACTGTCGACCGTATTTGATAAATGAACGAAGGGACCGTGCTTTTTTTTTTTTTTTTTTTTTTTTTTTGGTCCATCACTACTAAACCGTTCTTCAACATCAATCATTCGTATGGTGGCACAATGACGCATCCCTTTTTTGATCAGACTTAGTTTTTTTTATTATGTTTCCTGCATATCCGTGCAGGTTGCTGTTTTTGTTTGTTTTCTTTAGTTATTTTTTTTTGGCACGTACAAAGAACATAACACTAGGTACAATTTAAAAAAAAAGGTGGAAAAAAAAGGTAGTAATAAGTTTCGCAAATGCAATGGCAACAATAAATGGTTACCATCTTGACAAAAAAAAAAAAATAATAATAAAAAAGAAAAAGAAAGGCATGCAAGAGGGAAAAAAAGTAGAGACGAATGAGAAGGGGTCTCGGTCTACTATTTTTTTTTTTCCCTTTGTAGATAAAAAGACAAAAAAGAAAAATGCAAATATAATAAACCTTAAAGAAATGAAAAAAAAGAACAATTCTGCTTAAGATGAGAAGAGAAGAGAGAAAAAAGAAAACAAAAATAGGGAAAGAAGAAAATAAACGTGAAGGGAACACGATTTGGCTCGAAAGAAGAACGGAAAGACGAAAAGAATTGAAGGGGAGGGTATACTATTTCATATGTCTTTTTTGTTTTTCCATTCGGTCTGTTTCCTTCTTTTGAGATAGGATGGGAATATGCCTATTTTCTTTTTCCTTTTTTTCTCTGATTGGAGCTGATGGATGGTTGGGATGGAGGGAGGATAGTAGTAGGTGTAAGCGTAGTGTGTCATATGTCGGTCGTCTACAAGTAGGTGGACATGTAATCACTGAACGAGGCTCGATGTTGACCATTGGAAGCCGTCACAGAAGTAGGATTCAAACCATTGGCCGCACCGGTGGAAGCAGCGGTGGGACTCGTTTTGTCCTTGCTTGTGTGACGATGAATACGGATGTGCTGGTTCAAGTTATCGGATCTCGAGAATCGCTTGGAACACGATTGATAGGGACATTCAAAAGCTAAAATAAGAAAAAAATAGAAAACAGATTAGTTTCCATCATCAATAAATGAATGGCATCATTGTTTTTTTTTTTTTTTTTAGAAAATGTCGATCACTGACTAGCATAGCGAAGGAAAAAAAAAAAAAAACAGGAAATTGGGTGACTTACGTTTTTCCAAAGTGTGAATGGATCGGATATGTCGCTTGAGATGTTCGGATCGCTTGAACACTTTGCCGCAATCATCATGCTTGCATGTGAACATTTTCTGGCCGGCCGCACTGGGATTGCTCGACACCCGTCGACCGCGTGATCGCGTCTGTTTGGCAGGCTTGTTTCCTTGACCAGCATCGATGGAACCATGGACAGAGGGGGAACCAAGACCGTGGGGTTCAGACAAAGAACTGTGGCGGCTGCTACTGTTGGACGAAGATTTGGAAAAAGACGAATTGGACCGTTCACGGTAACCGGTGGTATCAAGTTCGGAAGGGGAAGTCATCACAATGGTAGGGTTGGGAACTGCCGTCGAGGCAGCAACATCCAACATGTTGATAGGGCCACAAGGAGACAATGGATGGTAACCTTCGAACAGAGGAAGCGACAACTGCTGCTGGTATTGCGAAGGAATGCAATACATATCATTACCCATCATGGACGGGGACACGGGCGTCATGGGTCGTTGCAAAAGAGCTTGAGACGAAGGAGCCAGTCCTCCATAAGACGACCATCCATTCGTGGTCGCGGGATATCCATACTCATGGGGCAAAACCGTCGTTGGGAAATAGGCCTGAGATGATGGCGGCTGGCTGTGAGCGAGATCAATGAGGGTACTCAAGCGACGCTTTTCATCCAGAGGATGAGGCTGGTGCTGTTGTTGATGGTACATGTACTCCTCGTAATCGTTGGATGGCGATGGTGTCTGTTGTTCGTAGTCGGAAAGGCTCGCCTCACTCTGATTCGACAATAGCTCGGCGTAACTGAAACGGCGCATGTAATTATAAGTGTCCTGTCGGTACTGATTCAAGCTATCCAATGTCACATCAAAAGAAGGGTGCTGAGCGACAGTGGTAGTGGCCTGTTGGTGCATTTCCGAAGGTGAATACATTGTGAAGAAGAAGCAGGAATAAAAAAGCGACTTTCTTGTGTCTAGGTGTCAATGAAAGAGAAGGGGTTAATTTATATGCTCTCGTCCCTTTTCCTCCCTAGCTTTCAGAAACAAGATTTTTTCTTTTTTTTTACAAGCATCCTTATTACCCCCAAAAAAAGAAATCAATCTCCCTTCTTCCCAATGTCACCTCTCCTCTCAAGCTACATCTCAAAAAAAAAAAAAACACGCACACACATCGAAATACACGCTCACCATGCTTTTTTGTCCCAATGCCCGCGCGCGCGCACCCACACGGATAAAACTGAAGCGATTTCTCCTCAAATCAAGAAAATCACATTGGATCCCGCCAGAGCCACTGAGCGTACCAAGACTTTACCCAATAGCCTTTTTTTCCCCTCTCTCTCTCCCCCCAAGTTTCTCTCTTTTCTTTTTGCTATTTCCTCTTGAATGCTTGTTTGGAAAGAATGGAACTGCCATGGATCACTTACCCGAAAAAGAGGTAAAAAGGTGTGATGGATCAGTGATTGATGGGTGGTTACTTTTTTGTAGCTGTGGAAGCACCGAAATTAGTAGCAAGATAGAAACGAGTAACTAGGAAACTGTGATGATGATGATTTTTTTTCAGGTGATGCTTGATTTCCCAATCTTTGTCAAAAAGTAGGAGCAAGTTTGAACGACCCAAAAAAAAGTTGGTAAAATAAAATGAGAGATAAAAAAAGGGGAATGGAAGGAGCGGTGTGCTGAAGTAAAAAAGCAACAAAGGAAAAGGAAATGAACGTAAGATAAAGAAGCCTTTTTTGGTGGGGGATATATCTATGGCTTTATATAATAAAATTTTCATCGTCGTTTTCATATTTTTATTTTTATTTTTAGTGCATGTAATCGTATGTATTTGTTTAGCAGAAGCTTAAAGTTCCCTTGGCTAGGGCCTATTTTTTTTATGCTACATTATCTGCTTGTTTTTTCTGGTTGTTCAGCCATTTGTCCACCTTTCACAGGGATGCAAAAAGCACCCAAAACTTGGGGGGTCCTCGTAGCTAGATGGCACAACAGACAGGCACACCAACAAACCGGAACTTTTCCTTTTTACGATGGCGAACCGTAATACCGTGAACCATCATAATCATACTTGCAAAAACTCACGGCAAAGGAAAACCACACTGAGAAGCCAAGAAAAAAAAATCGATGTGGTTTTTTTTTTTGTTTACCTCGATTTCCATTGCCTTTTTTTCAAACAAGAATCAATTGATCGACCAAAGATGAAGGATGCCGGATGATCAGCACAAGCAGAACACATCACCAAAATAATAATTATTTCGGTGGCCAATCAAATCCGGTCATTAAAGTTGTCAACAAACACGATTCTTTCCCTATCGCGTAATTCACAGAGTTATACAGTGAGAAAAAAAATTCCATCATACTGTCAACCACATCAATGCTTACTAGTAAGGTTAGAATGGGTTCAAGGTTTGACGAGCTCGAACCCTGCAAGCGGATGATCATCGTCCGATTCCAGCCTTGACGCACAACCACATTGTTTAATCACAGGACCCGACTCGTTCAATCTCGTTCTCTCCAAAAAGTCAACTTTTTTTGTTATATTATTTCCTTTCTCATGCTACGACGGAAGTCTCGCATACATTCAAAACCATTAATTGTAGTTATTTATAAGTAATTTCTACTATTTTTCAGCTCTTAATATACTGCAAATATCATCCTCGTCATCATCCTCTGTGTCATGTTACTCCCTTGTTTTTTTTCAAACTTGTAAATAACAACAATGCCATTTGTACATCCATCACTTCTGTTTTTCTTTTTCCTGTCTCTGGTGTTAAACAACGTTCTCTCTCTGACAAAGTTTCCAATCTATACTACTCAAGGGGTAATTTTTTTTTTTTTTTTTGCGGATGACGATGGATGGCTAGGAGATATGGAAAAAAGGGGGAATAAATTGGCCATGACAGGAAGTTTTTTTTTTTTTTTTGCAATCAAGCAACCAAAATAAAAAACGGTTTTTGGGTTTGCCATATGCGTCAATTGGTTGCCTTTGTACCACGATAAATATCAGATAAAGACGGCACCGTCGTTGGACTGGTGGCTTAATCAGGAGCTACAGCATTGGAGAAAACAAGGAAAGCACCTTTTGATCATGGTGGAGTCACAGTCAAATATCTCAATGCAAGTGTACAAAATAGCATCCAATGAGATGAAAGCGGTCATCTTCCCTCGTTGATGTCCCAGAGAAACAGAGAGTGTGTGAGAGAGAAAAAAAAGTATCAAAACAAGGGGAAAGGAGTTGCAGGGAGATTTGAGTGTCAAAACCAAGCGCAATTGGATTGAAATCAATTTTTGGCACTTCTCGAATGCACGACCATGATCTCCATTAATTCCCAAGAAAGGCTATTATCCCCTACTAGACATTCATCTCACTCCATCCTAGAATGTTAATTCAGAACGTGCTCACAGACCATGAGCTATCCACAGATTCTCTCTGATCATGCATTTTCGCTATTTGGAAATTTGAAAGATGGACAGGGCCATCGACAGTATTGAGAAGTTTCCAAACCATCAAAGCATTCATATTCAAAACCAAACCATGTGTTACCATGATGATTCAACCATATCACCTCATCCTGCTCCATCTTGCTTGACATCAATTTATGGTCCATTGTTGGTGCTGTCTACTATTATTCACATTATCATCACAACAACACCATCCACACAAAAAAAGAAAAATCCCTCCAAAAGAAAATCCCCCGCTCACACACGCACATTACTCCTTTAGCATCATGTATTGCATCCATCTTCCGTCGATGGAAATGCCAGTGCGCGTCATTTGGAGAACAAAGCATGGCGTACAGTAGGGCGCCTGGCACTGTCTCTTTTGCTTCTTCTTTTTTCCTTTTTTTTCTGCCAGCGCTGCAAAGAAATGAGATGAGCCGGTACGATGTCACAAATTAAGGAGAACATCCTCATCCACACACGATGCATCCTGCATGCATGCATGACACTGATCCACCACCATCGCCCAAAAAAAGCTCTTCTTGCCTTTTCCGTTTAAACGAATTATTCTGAATTATCCGGTTCATTTACACGCGCACGGCAAAGAAAAAAAAAATTAATAACTGCTGTTGTTGTTGTTATGGTTGCTGTCATACAATTGTCGTGGCCGACTTCCGGTTAACAAACCCCGCTCTTCTTCTGCATCAATGAGATCCTCCGATTCCGCTTCCACGTTATTTCTTGGTCGTCGGAAAACCGCAATCACAAATCCAAGAGCAAACACTCCCAAGAAAGCCCACTGAGCGTAGTAATACACCATACCAAAGAACGGCGTATTCACCGTAATCCGGTCAATCAATGTAGATGAAACCGTCGGTGTGCATATGTCTAAAGCGTGACATCCAACATTAGTTTTTCCATAAATTGCTTCGTTTCTCGTGTCTCGAGTAAGCTTTTTTTTTAAAGTTTCTCAATGTCTTCGTTACCTGTCGGTCCATCAATGTCACAAGGCAGAATTTGATCGGCATCACTACTGCAATCACGTCGGTCTCCTATCGTATGGTTACACTAAAAATAGAAAGGCAGGCTAAGCCCATCGTGCCCGTCTGTTCTTCTTTTTCATTCATAATTCCCATCAAAAAGAAAATCAAAGCTTACATAGACTTGACTTCCAAAATGTGCATAACCGGGTGCCACCGTTGTTGTGAGCGTGTAATTCAAAGCCAGCAGGCTGAGCATCAACAGAACGGTGGAGCACAGTAACCCCTGAGGTGCAGTGGATCCTTTACCAATTCGATACAGCGTCACCCACAGTACTCGCACGCCAATGCAGATAACTCCAGACATGGTTGCCAAAAAAAAGTACAAGATCAGCAGTACCATAAAGATGTAATCCAAGGGAAACACCTGCAGAAATTCAACCGTGAATACACGTGCTTTTGTCTCTGATATCACACTTTTTTTCTTTTACCTTGGACAAGTTGACGAAAATAAAATTGATGGGATTAAACAGTTTTGGATGACTGATGATGAAACCGCATTCACCACCGCAGATGGAATTGGACACCTTGTCCACACTATTTACATCGATGAGCCTTTGCTTTCAATATCACATCATAAAAAAAATTAATCAGATACTTGCATGGTTAAAAAGATTGAGATCACAACCACCCAGGTCAAACCCAGCAAAGCGAATCCCAAAAGAAACTAACGTTGCACAGATCAGTCATTTGAAAGGTTTCGATACCGGATCAAAGACGTCTTACCTCAAAGGGTCTTATAACCTTTAAAATCTGTCGCCAAATGCTGGCCTTGTCTTGGTTGATGCCGCGTAATCGTCGAGTCAATATTCTATGCAAGCAGTTTCAGTGACAAGGTCACAGTGGAGTCTGGTCATGTGCCAAAAAAAAAAAAACCACCTTTCTTCATCTTCCAACATTTCCAGTTCACGTTGTTCTTTGGCGGTGATGCGTCGATTGGGTCGTCCATATTTGGTTTGAAGAACATGTTGCTGATGCTGCACTGCGACAAGTCGATTTTCCACATCCTCGGACTCCGCTTCAAGGTGTCGTCGACCCTTGATCATATTCAAGGGCAAGATCGATAAACCAGGTGCCTAATAAAACAAGGGTCGATCAACCATATTGTTTCCAACTCTATCCCAACAGATAACCAAAAAATGAAAGGGGCCAGTCCCTTGGGGGGAGGGACTCGCTGTTGCATAACTAGAAAACAGAGGGAATGTGCCTACCGTATATCCAATGAACACGAGCATACCAAGAAGAATGAGGCAGGCGATCATGAATGCAATTGCCTTTTCTCCATCTGTCAAATCATCACATTGTATTTAGGCCCCACTTCACCGAAAAATAAACCAAGGACTGTCAATGCTTACTGCTTTCGATGAGTAGTTTTTTAAACCAATCAAGATCAAGATGTGGTGTTGTCTGTGACGGCTTCAAGAAGAGACCACACAAGAACAGCAACGTGGAAATGATGATAAAGAAGGATGTGTATTTCAATGCACCCGTAATCCTTTCTCGAAGAGGCTGCTCGTCGTCGTATTCTTCGAAATAGAAGTAGGCAAAAGGAATCAAGAGAAAGCTGAATAGAGCGATCAAGCCGTAAAAGACTGGATGGAATTTTCGTTAGTTTTGATTTTCTGTTGATACACTCGAGACTTTCAACGGCTTACTGTAATAGACAAGTTGAACGGTAAAGGTGATGGTTCGCATAATGTCGGGTGACGCCCATTCCTTTTTCAGTCCTGTATGACTGTCGACGGTCGAAGAAACAAGAAAGATGTCAATGGGCAGTAATGCTAGCGTACAAAAAACAAGTCCCAAAGCGATAATGGTGACCGCTGTAGCGAACCATTCGGATTCGTGTTTGTTCTGATAATGGCGGGTAAACCCAGCACTAAAGACGAATAGTCCCTGCGCAGAAAAAAAATGTTAAACGCCATTTCAACAAGGGTACGATGTATAGATAACGTGAGAAACGCCTCAAATGACTTACTGCTGCGACCACAGCATACGTTGCCCATGCTATGCCGACCACTGCAGGCATGGTGTTTGAATTGTGTCGAGTAGTCTGTTGGATGTGAAGGGTGTGTGTGCGTCGGAAGAGCGGTGTGAGAAAATATTACCGTCGGTTTAATGCGCTTGGTGCCGAAACCGGCCGCGGTGAGCCGCGGTGAGCGAAAAGAAAATTTAATCTGAGACGGCATTTTTTTTTTCTCGCCATCCTTTACTGGCAGATAACGCATCACAGATCTACTGAACGACACGGTAAGCGTACGATAAGCTAATAGAAGCAAACTGGGACGTAGCAGAGCAAAGCATTATCACCTTCTAGTCTTTGGCAGAGTGTTGAAATAAATGGTTGTGAGCAATCTATAGTATGATCTGATGCAACTATTACGTTTGGTCTTATAGCTAGCCATGGTTGCGTCTACCGTACAGGCTCAAGATTGAGATCATTTTCCTTTGATTATAATTCTGCAAAATGCATTGATATTCTAAAGCTGAGCTGCATGTGCCTTCGGAACGAAATCACTGTTATACTTAGTAAAGACTCTTTCAAGCCTGTCACAAGTGGGGTCAAAGAAAAAAAAAAACTTTATATCGCGGAATATATTGACAAAGATGGATTGTGTGAAAATCATCTTTTTTCTAGCTTGAATATTTGGATTCAAAGTAGTTGGTGGCGGCTTTGGCGGCCATTTTTTGCATCAAGCTCTGTTTTTCTTCCTTCACTTCGTTATCGTCATCGTCACTGCCACGCTCTTGGAACAGTTTCACCAGCTAGCAGCGGATAATAGTACAGTTAATATACTGATACATACCGGATACGCAAAAACCATTCACTTACCTCGGCCGCAGCCAAACCAGCCACCAGCTTCTTGGCAAGACCATATTTCACTTCCTCGCCACTTTCTTCCTTCTTCTTTTCCCACGCTCTCACTGCTTCGAATGCAGCAGCACCAGCCAACAGCTCGTAACTAAAGTCAATCGACGAGGTGAGAAAATGTCGAAAATTAAATCATGACATTGAAAGTGCCCAGCTTAATATACCTGACATGGGATTTCTTTTCCTTGTACACTTTCTTGTGAGCTTCTCCCAATTCTTGTTCATTCAAGACTTCTCGCTTTTTGTCACCCCAGCCAATCCAGCTGCCAAACCATGCTCGGAGACGCGCACTCTTACTGTCGTCTTCCTCGTCATCATCGTCGTCCACCTTGAGAGGATCACCAAGTTCCAGGTTCCAGCGCTGATTCATCGCTTCTTCAGCTTCCTCTTTGCGCTTGTACACCATCACACGAGCATTCACTTCGCTCTTGCCACCCTTGATGTCCACCACCGTATTAGGGTCGGCCAAAGTGTAAATAATTCCTGTTGGTGCTTCGTAACCAAAACGCTGATCATTGGCCTTGAATCCCCATCCCCCAAAGAAAAAAAAGTTAATAAATTTGTTACACAGAAGCTTGTCCAAGCGGAATCATGCTTCCGAGGCGTCAGCGCTCAGCAAAAAATTATCAAAATGGACCGCTTACCGCATCCTGTTCCTTCATCTGGTCCAAGTAAAGATGCTCCTCGCCTGTAAATATAGCTGTTCATCGGATGAGCGGCTGCATCCTTGTGTCATCGGTACGGATTTCCTCCGTTGCCTACTTACCAGTAAAGTTCGTGGCACGATTAACATCAAGAACAAGACCCGACAGCTTGTTTGTCAAGAAACCTACGAGAACACAACCAATATTAGCCTCTTGTACTCATTGTCCATGTGCTAAGAATATAAGTTGGCTCACCATTTTGATGGATCCACAGCTGGCTGTCTCTTTCAGGAGACTTTTCCAATTTGGTTTTCGTGACAATTCTGGATCCTGGCTATTTCCCATCGCACAAAAGCGACCGTCAGTGGCCTATACCACCGACACGATCTTTTTAAGCACTTACCGCGGCAGTGGCAGGATCTTCGATATCAAGGACCAAACCGTTGAGTCTGGAGATGATATAAAAATATCCAATGGGGAAAACGTTTTCGGTCACGGTCATTTCTCGGCTTGCGGAAAAAGAGGGTCAAGTGAAGGAAGATCCGAAATTGGACCCGGCCGATATGATTTTATATTGCCACGCAACGAGTTGCCTAAATGTCATGGAAACTTCGGTCTAATGTCGTGTCACAAACACCGAGTTAGCCTTCTTGTGCTACCCTTCTAACCCGCCGCAACTTTTACCTTTATTGGTGACACGTCCGATCACTGCTTCTTCCTGCTGCATTTCATCCTGCCAAAATGCATTCGACACACTTTTTGCATGAATCGAATCATATGCATGCATAACATTTTTATGAAAGGAAACGTAGATATGACCTTTTTTTTAGACGGGCTATACATCAAGTCAACAGTGTACGGTATTAGTCACTTGTTGTAATCAAATGGTCAAGAGTAAAGGGAAAAAGCAGCGGAAAAAGTAGACGGAAAACTATAAACCGTGCTGCAGAAATCGGTCAAGTAGTTTGGTGAACGCTCTATAATGTCTTTAAAAGGACCGATGCGACATCAGTTGATTGTTTTTTATGCGACAATAATGAAAAGCCATGTGCAATGAACTCTTTATGGAATCAATCTACAAGCTGGGACAGGAAATCATGAATTTATGGTTTTCTCACCCTTCCAAAGGTATTTTGCTCCTTTTATGTTACATGGACGGCGGATCTATGAAGCTGGATCAAGTGTACGTCTCAAAGATTTGCACCATCTAGTTTTTGTTAAAGTAAGCCACGACACATTTTAATCAAAAGCACAAATGGCAGCATTTTTATCGATCACACACAGCCCAACCTGTTATCGTGGAGGGAAGCGGAGAAGGAGAACACAATTTTCAAGAGGAGAAACACTGGTCCTGCAGGTCAAATCGGTTTACGCGAAAATATAGCACATCGTAAATGGGGGAAATCAAGCTACAGGTGCTGTTTTGCCTTCATGCGTGTTTCAACCGTTTGCAATCCGTAAGAACACTTTCAACGCAGGCAAGAATATCTTGCGGACACGCCCACATTCGTTCGTATCGGCCTTGGTCATTGCGCTCTTCGCGTTCTGTCACCATTGCAACATGGCGCGCTGAAACTAACACTCTAGTTTCCTGGAGTAATACATGATCATTTATTGTCACAGTAATATTGAAGACATGGTTTCAAAAACTAAATTGATACACAGGGACAGGGCAAGGTAGGGAAACATCCTAGCATACAACAAGATCAAAAAAAGTGCGTAAAGCCTGAAGCATGTCGCATCAGCGTTCGAACATAAGCTTTATTGAAAGTTATAGAGTGACTGTAGTGCACATGGGTTGCTCATGGCAGCATGAGTGACATGGCGCAGCTCCTCTTTGCATTCCTTACGAAGAGTGAGGCGCTGAATTCCGCGAGTTTTGTTGCGGGAATCGAGCCAATGAGGTGCATTCGCGGTCATAAAACAGGGTCACAAATCGAAGGTCCGCAAAAGATATAAAAAGAAGGCGTTTCTTCTCATCTCTTTTTTTCTTTTGTGCGCCAGTTCGGAATCAGGGGCTGCTAGGCTGGTGGTTACTGGTAATGATGAACGCTCCGGTTTTTGGTAAAGCATTCGGGGTATGGCGAAAAATCCGAAAACCATCTTCTAATGATAGGATTGGCCATCCTCTGAAGAAGATTGTTTTCGTTCCCGTCGGCTCTTCCCTTTGGGCGCCTGACTAGTCATCAGCGCGGTCATTGTGGAAGGTATGTCGGTGGGTTTGCTTTTTAATCGCAACAAAGGTAAATGAAAAATAAAAAAGGCTTTTTGCCTTTATTATTCTTTTTCTCAGCCCTTTGTGGGTTGAATAATAAAATAAAAAGTGGGCTTAATATCCTGTGGACGAACTACACCACTTCATTTAAAAAGAAAAACCCTTTGCTTAGAAGAGATACAACAGGATAGACTTCTTTTTTTTATATTTATTTGTACCATGATTTCTCTGTTCAATAAAGACGTCCAATTAACTCTCGTCCAAAAGTCCTCCTCTTTATTCATGTGTTTTGCCTGCCGCAGCTCATTTCAGCTATGCCACACACATCCACTTTGGTCAGTTAACGCAAGTTGGGCTATTATTTATTCGCTCCATTGAGGGAGGCCGCTCTTGGTGTCAAAAGGTAGACCCGGAAACGCGACAAGTAATGAGAAAGTGTGTTGGCGGAATCAGATCAACAGAACCTGCTTTAGGTGCTTACTTTTTTAAAGGCGTGTTTAGCTAAACCAGGATTGCGTAAAATAAAATGAATTAGGAAGAAGAGACTTCAAGCCGAGGAAGGGACAGTTCGCCAAGTTTTACACAAGGCGGTGGTACTTGTCAGCATGAAGACCAAATGCGACAACTCACGTTGTCATTCGTGATGATAAGGCTAGAATGATCAGCATTGGGATTTAACACGACCAACACGGTGACAAACCATGGCCGTAGCGTGGTTTACTCCGTTTGAGGCTGATATTTTCAAGATGCCCTTACTGCATAGGATTCGTTCTAATTAAAAGTGCGGTTGCAGCATTTCAATAGACTCGAACAGAATAGAATAACTCAGTTTCAAGTGGAGATGATTGATCATTCCTTTCTAAATCAATCGAATTATGCGGCGATGCTGCTGTTACTGCGTTGGCATGCCTCGTCGAGTCATCATCAGCCTCACGTCCACAGCGCATCTTTTGCCACAGACAGGGGAAATCCTTTTGTAAACGCGGTCGAGCTTCCTCGGTGTTTATAATCAAAACCACCAGGTCGCTGCACAGTGTGTTAGCTGCTGGACACAAATTTCGCGCTCAAATTTTTACAAACATCAACATGGTTTATTTTCGAGGACATTGACATGAGTCATAGCATGACATTAGCATACAACAGGTTAAATTACAAATAAATAATAAATATTGTTTTACAATAGTCTATCTTGGCTTCCTATAGGAGGAGCACCGTGGGATCTGGGGTGAAGGATGGGTCGGGTATGTAATCATTTTCTATTCTTCATCGTCCTCCTCTTCTTCCAAACCGGCTTCTTCATCCTCAATTTCACCAGCGTCAATGCTTCGCTCAATCAGTGGTTTGATCAAGCGGTTAAAGTAAGGATGCTCTCCTTGAGGGTTGGATCGTTGCACCTGTTCAAAGTAGTGCACGTACACATTACCGTCAGCACGACCAAGGGGACTGTTGATCATATAATCGGTCAAGTTAAAGGAGTCAACCAAGGGAATCGCTTGGTCACGCACAGATTTACAGAGCTGATTGGTAACGCTGCGAATATACTCCACTTGGGCGGGGGTGAAGTACTCGTATTGAAGGAAAGCTCCCGCATTTTCCTCAACGGTGTAAAGACCATACAGCATGCATACATCCATCAATACACGCTTGACGTCACCCGTCACCTTGGCGACGCCATCCGCGAATCGGTTGAACAAGTAACCATACGAGTGCAATTTGGCAGCGTAAAGGCGGGATTGAGCTAGCAAATTATACATAAAATTTTTAAGTAAAAAAAGGCATTGGCGATTTCGTCACATAGACTTACAGCATTCTTCATAAGCGTCGTCGATATCGAGTCCGCGTTTACGACAAGCATCAAACTCCATCGCCGCATTTTTTACCACATTGGCACATACAACTTGCCAGCCTTCAATGATGACCTCAGGCGTCACAATATCTTCCATACGTTGCACAGTGCATTTCTTGCCAATAAGAGAATCCAGCTTATTCAAGTAACCCACACCAGGGGACAAGGTCTTGCCCTTCATTGCTTCGTTGAAACTGCTGATCAGGTAACGACCGGCTTGCAAAGTGAGGATCGTATTGTCGCCTTCCCAAGTGCACTGGACCGCAAAGTCTTGATACATGCCGGCCAAACCGGTGTAGGCAGAGTAACCGTGACCGCCGCATGCTTGTCTGCACTGTTCAATGGTATTGAGACAGTTCCACGTACAAAAAGCCTTTAAACCGGCGCTCGTGGAATGGGTTTCCTTGAGCATTTCCAGGACTTGTTCCAAGTCTTTGTCGCCGGACTTGGCGTTCTCCAAGCGGTTCATCATGTTGTTGTACATGGCCGTCATTTCCGCTCCGGTGAACAACATGGCAAATGTTTGTGCCAATAAGGGCATTAAACGGCGTTGATGGATGGGATAGTCGAGCAACTTGGTTTCGATGCCACCGGACTTGGAGCTGGCAAATTGACGACGAACGGCAGCATAGCGAATAGCAATAGATAACGCTTTCTTGGACACATTACCACTGTCAACGACCATGGCCACACGACCTTGAAGAAGGGCTCCATATGTCAACTGCTGCAATTTGGGTTCTTTCACCGCACCCGAGCGCGACACCTTGGTATGCTTTTGAAGCATATAACCTCGAGGAATACGAACGTTGGTAAATTGAATGTAACCGTTATCAATACCATCGCGGCCCATCTTTTTGCCAATATCGCCGATGTTGATACCGGGTAGGGTAAGATAAGTCTTGGGGTCTCGCAATGGAACAACGAAACATTTGGTACCATAACGTTTGCCCTTCACGATCAACTGAGCAAACACCGCCGCATGCGTGGCGCTGTGTGCGGCACCACCAATCCACCACTAAGAGAAGATTCATCGGTAAGTGTCCTTGGTTGCTGTTGATTAGAAGAAATGGGATCCAGACGTACCTTGGTAGCGGTCAATGTCGGAGTATGGATAATAAATTGATCCGATGCTTCATCAAAAGTAGCCGTGGTTTCCAAACCAGGAACGTTGGACCCATGACCCAGTTCAGTCATGGCAAAACAGCCAATCATTCCATTGAGGGATAATGCGCCCTTTTCAAACCAATAGCCGAGTTGTCCAGGTGTAGCGTTGCTCTGCAATGCACCGACAAATAAACCATCTGATAAAAAAAAAAGAGAAAGAGAATGAGTTCAAGTTCCGCGTGGAAATATAGACCGCCCATGGCAGGAGATCCACCTACAGTGTACACCAAAACGGGTCCAAAAGCCGGGATCGATCATGCTCACCACTTCCATGCGCTTTCTAAAAGTGTCAACCGATTCATTTTGAAGATGATGTAATAAACTGCGGAACTAAGTGATTACACATTGCCGTGGGGTTAGATTGAGTGGTTGGATATATCCGATCCAGCTATTCCATTTACCTTTTCCATGGTGCGTTCACGCAATTCACTTTTACTGATATCGTGAATATCATCCATCTTGAATAATGGATCGCGCTCCAGTTCCAGCATCATACGTTCTTTCAACTACATTGCATGGTTCAATTTTCCTGATTTTTTGATGGGTTGATAGTACTTTTTTGGTATTCTTTACCTCTGTTTGCTTTTGACCTCCATCCAGCAGATAGGTCAAATCACGAATGTTAAAAGAAGCTTTGGCCCGTTCTTCCCTCATGCTTTCAACCGGACTAATGACAACACAACATGCTAAATGGTCTTGCCATGACAGTCAGATTCCCAATGCAACACTTACTCGACCAGCTTGGCATGAACTTGCTCGGGTGTCAACTGCTGCTTGACCGCATTTATTCTTTGCTGTGGTGAGGACATGGTATCTTGAAGTTTTGCAAACAATAAAAAAAAGCAACTTTTTGTTCCGGACAAATGATCGAAGCACTACTTATACGGTTGTGGAGAGAAATCGTCGAATTGCCAAATGCGGAATGTACACAGAGCTTTCCCAACTAGGAAAGTTACAGCCAATCAAACCGATGTCGCTGATCAATTAAAAATTGAGAGACCCAAACTTAAAAAAAGTTGTATTATCGAAAAAATAGCCTATGACAGCGCAAAGCACTATATTCTCCTTTAATGGTCGTCTTGGAAAGGATATTGCTTTAACAGTATTCAGCTTGATGGCATTGCAGTAGCGAAGCTTTCATTGCAAGGTCAGAGCACGCAGAACCCTCTTGGCCATAAAAAAACTGAGTTTCAGCTTGCCTCCCGTGATGATCAAAGCTGCTTGTAGCGCCTTTTGAATATCGGAGGAGCTTCTTCATAAGGTGCTTTCTTGACTTGGGCCTTATTGTTGGGAATGGACCTCTTCCTAAATTAAGATTACTTCTACTTTTCATCTGTTGTCTTCATCGAATTCTTGGGCTTTTACTGACTAGCGCAATCCATACCGCGATTGGGTATCGACTGACCTCAGTAAAGGATCATGATTTTCAGGTTCAATTGAAATTGAAAGAATAAGCTGACAGATAGACATATGATGAAATACCCTCTCACATGATACTATGACGCGGTTTATTGACACGTGAAAATTGTGCAACATCTCTGACTTGTCTTTTTTTTTTCTGTGAAATTACGGTGCTTTCAACAAGTAATGTCACACCAATCAAAATCAATATCACTGGTTATACAGTAAATTTGAATGAACATCTATGTCGCTCACACTTGTCAATAATGCGAAGAAACTGGATTTACTCAAAGGCAGACCTTTCGCCGACACTAACGAAAAGAGGGTTGTAACTTGGTGAATGCCTCCAATGGAAACTTGAATTTCCCCAAGAACAAAAGAATTAGCCAACCGTGTCATGTATGGTTGCCCTTGCTGCGAAACAAGTACACCAAAATTTACACCAAAACTTACACCAAAAATCTCCAAAATTACTCTGGAGAAACTACTCCAAAGCGACTGTGCTGTTATTTGAGAAATGGAGAAAGTTGATGGTTCGAAAGGAACTTGATGTTTATTGATCTCTCATATGCTGCATTTTCAACTACAAATTCATCCTACTTCCGGTATACAATCTGATACCTTTGGACGAACAATGGGACCGTCTCTTTGGAATTAGCTGTAATGGTTAGCAACAGCAATGATTTTCCCGCATCATGGCTGAAAAAGGGTATGCTTGGGACCAAACAACGGCTCAGTTAGAACGTGGATTTGACAATCAGTTCTACATCTGGTGCAAGAAAGATGAGCACCAACGCCTGGCCCAGAAGCCTCATTTTGATATATGACAGAATTTATAGAACAAAAGAGACAATTAGAAGCCTCTGAGACTGTTCGATATCTTTATTTCGATTAATGGTGGTCTGCCTATTTAAGGTTCATCTTCACTGATTAGGATTTGAGTGTGATACCAACTCGGTATATTTGAACTGCGAACGCTCTGAGGATAGGACGAAGAGGTTGCCAGAGCCCTGGATCGCTTCCATTTTGGCGAGTGACTGTCAACGACTGGATTGCTGCGTTGGATCGGTATTGACCATGGCAAGTTCAGGCTATGCCAAAGCTTGAAGCGAGAGCGGCGGCCATTTCCTTGACCTGCATAATCAACCGGAAGAGCATCGGGAATGTGCCAAAACCTTCCTGTCAAGTTGCAAATCATCTGTGCATGGCCAAGCTAAGTGACTCTGTAGCATTGCTCGCCAAGGTGATGCATAACAATAGGTCTGAGTTGAGCGGTTTACGTCAAAAAAATTAGTCCTCCTTCCACGACTTTTTTTTTTCTTTTCCTTACCGATGACCAAGATCCCAAGATATAGAGATTTGAAACAAGCTCAGTAATGTTATCGGCATCTTCTTCATTTCAAAAAGAGCTTCACATAGTCAGACACTGGAGCCCGACATGACTTGTCCGGAAATTTGACTTCGCGAGCAGCAATATCGAGTCGTTCCTTCTTGATGCAGGATGGTTGAGCTTGTATTCAGGAAACTTGGCAATAGCATACGTAAAACATGATTGAATAAGAACGATAGTGTACAGTATGATGCACCACGGCTGTGATTTTTCCTAATCCCGTTAATCAAAGGATAAGCCTCCACGTTGGACGCGTACTTGCTGCACGATCAATGGCAATCTCGCACTGCTCCTCGCCCCTACCAAAAGCATCGATTCTATTCCTTAAATTGACGCAGCACCAAGTATTAGATAGACGACGGTAGACAATGGGATTAAAAGCGGGAAATATCCGCCAACTTTTCACCGACTTCCTTATTTTAGTTTGAGTGATTCAATGTCGGACTTCCCCACTGCTCGTCTTCATGCCTTCTCCCAAGCGGCGAAAACTTCAGCATAAACCTGCAGCTGCAAAACCTACGGCTGCAACAGAATCCTCCTCTTTTCTTTTATCTCCCGATGCTCCAATTATCATCTCAAGGTAACCGAATTCTTCGGTATCTAATTACCTTGTTACTGAATGGCGACAACAAAAAAAAAAAAACAGTTACCTTCGTGTGGTGTTCCATGCTCTCGCATTGTTCATTATCACTGTATTCCTTTGTTACACGGTCACCGCTTCCAAAGCGCAAATCGAAGAACGCATAACCCAAGAAATCGCAGGTAGGATCATCGTTTGCCGAAAAACCGGGATTGGGTAAATAAGACTATCCCTTTTTTCCAGCTATGCAGGTTGAAATTTTGGAATGTAAACGCAAATACATCGAGTACGAATGCGCTTCATCTCATCGACTGGATCTATTTCGCGAGCATTGTATTCAGTGGGATAAATATCCTTTTTTTGTTCCTGGCCCTTAAAACTTCGTTATAGTATAAGCTCATATGATTCCTTGACTACCAAAGCACGTGTAGAAATCGGGTTCCCAGTCTCATTATGAGGTACAGTGCCTGGTATGGGTGCACTTGATGATAAGGATTGACGTTGGCATTCTATTCAAAGGAGCAAAATAGCGACCCAAGTGTACGGCGAAATAGTAAACGGTCTCATCGACCCGTTGACTCCTAAAGCTATGGTAACATATTGCTTCACATCGTGATTGGACTACCAATATTAGCTTTTCTGAACCATCCGAATTTTTAGACCGTCATCATTCTTATCGTCTTTGGTTCATTACTCCTTTCTGTGTTTGCCCTTTGATCTGATCATACCATCATCGCGCTTTGGAAATGATAAAAAAAAGAATGCAACATGTTTATATTTTATCAAAGCACAAGAGAACAGTAGAAGCAACGAAGAAAATAATAAGAAAAATGGAAGAATAGACAGTAAGAAAAACAACAAATAACCAAAGAAATAGGTGGCGGGGATGTGAAAAAAAAGAGATAAAAAAAAGTGGAGTTTTTTAGGTTTCTTTAGAACTTGAATTCCTTCTTCTTGGCTTCCTTCTTACTTTCCTGCGACTTCAACTTCTTGGCCTGCCTGCTGGCATGCTCAGCGTACATATCCGATAAATCTTCATTGCCCACTCCCGACGGCAGCTTGGATTTCACTTGCGCTTCGTATTTAGCACGCAATGTCGATTCATCCAAACCACTTTCCAGTTCGCTAGGGTCAATGGCCACATCCACGTTATCGCCCAACTTGCGTTTCGAAGTACGAACACTCGTAGGAGCCGCCATTGGCTTCTCAACCGTGGATAAATCATAACCGTGCTGCGATCCCATGAAACCGGTAATGCGTTTCTCCACTTCTGGGATGACTTGATACAATTGCTTGGGGCCTTCATCTTCTGCTGGCTTTCGAGCTTCCTTACGCAACTCAATGAAATCAGGCGTTTCCAAACCAGACGCCACCGACAACATGCCCGAAGGTGTAACCAAGCCTTCTTTCAAACTTTCATCGGTCGCCGCCGCTTCAGCTTCGTCTTGTGCCTCTTCTTCTTCTTCTTCTTCTTCTTCCTCCTCCTCCTCCTCTTCTTCTTCGAATTCTATATCAATGAAGCAATGTGATCGTTAAGTATGAAGCTTCCTTGTCCGAGTAATCCATTTTATAAATTACCTTCATCCGATTCAAGTTCACCCCACAGTTTTCGATCGATAGGTTCAATGATCTGTTGCAGCACAAAAAAATCACCCTATGAGCAAACATGCACGACGAAAAAACATAATGACATGTCTTACCTCTGGCGGCACAGCTTCTTGTTGCGTCACGCCAAACACATCACCATAAAGTGGTCGATTATACTACAGCAAGCACAACAAAGTCTGATCAGTCTCAAGCCATCAAAGCACCCCTGTTTCATTCTATCGGATCACGTACCTCATCTACCGGAGGTCTACCCCAACCGCCCGGATGATAACCCCATTGGGCACCTTCAGGAATGGGCGCATTCAGACCGGGAATCTTCAGATTAGGATAACTTGGTGGAGGGCCATATCGTTGCATATTGATCAGCCATGGAGGAGGAGCCAATGGAGGCATATTTAACGCTGTCTTCAAATCGTCCGATAAATGGCCAGGCTTCTTTTCCTTCAATTTGGTTTCAAACTCCTTTCCCTCATAATATCTATTCAAGTATTATTACCGTCAGTGAAAACCCACGGTGATTTCACTCCACCCACAATGCAACTTACAATTCGCCATGGATGGTCAACTTGGGTTTCGACTGGAATCGGAAAAAAGCATCGTGTAATTTTTGATAATCGATGTCGAGTTTGCCCATCTTGGGGGCCACTCGTTCCCGCATTTTGCTTTTCAGTTTAGCGGCATCCTCTTTTTCTTTTACCGCATCACGCATCTCCATAATACCAGTATCCTTGATGAAATCTAGATAACATCGCATTACGACGTTAGTACAGGAACACATACCTCTCATTTATCGCACTCTGTAACCTTACCTGGTAGCTCCCACGGTGGCTTCTCGATACCTCTCTTTCCCTGAAGATACTTTCGTTTCTGACTCCAGTGAGCAGGGACGGGTACTGTGTTACGGTATGATTTCAGGTGCACTAGCAATCGAGGATCCATGGCAGTGACATCCCACCACTTTTCAAAGAAACCAAAAAACATCAGCCATCAGAGAACACGCTTTTCAAATACAGCTCAATCCAACCTCGACAGCCTCAGGTCTCTTGACCAATTGCTTCAACTCTGCTACGCTTAATCGTTGAAGTTTCTTTTGCTTCTTCTTGGAAAGAGGAGCATCCGAATCTTTCTCCTCGTCATTATCATTCTCTGAATCCTCTTCAGCCTTGGTCTGTTCTTCGGCAGGCTCCGCCATTTCCACATCTTCCTCCTATCCACGTGCCAAAAAAAAAAGGTCAATGCATGTCATTACCATTCAAACGAATCTATACCTACTTCTCCTGTGGCTTTGCCTTCTTGGAAGTGTTTGAAAACGTCCGAGAACTGTTGCAACATGGCTTCGTCGACATTAGCCATGCCGTCAAAATTCTTTAAACTGTCTGCATCAATGGGTTGCACAACGTATTCGATTTCAACGTCATCGAGCGCATCGTCCGCATCTTTTGCTGATCCAACCAATTGCTGTGTGCATTGGAATAAAAGGTGAGTATGGATCGTTCTCAAAAGAGTGTAATCCGACGTGCTTACCTCTTTTCGTTTGGCCTCTTCTTCCATTCGTTGTTTCTTGCTCTTCTTCTTATTTCGCTTTCTCTGCTTGAATGCCTTCTTTTTCGCTTCATCATTGGATATCGCATTGTCATTGGCCGTCGACGTTTTATCGATCTCGGCCATGGCCTTGTTTGCACTCGCAACTTCGGCTGCCATGGTACTCGTCAAAACTAAAAAGGAACCCAGTGGTCGGTCACTCTTCAAAAAAAGTGCAATTGGGCCCACCCAAAGTTGACGCAGCAAAACGCAGTCACCCAGCGCTTAGGCCCCGAAAGGATCGAATCATTAAATTTCAACCGCGATCAGCACTATGCGGATAGTTATAATGTTCTGTCACAGGGAACTTCTCAAATGCGTATGCCCAGGTGATACACCTTGAGTGAAAGAACCTTTGTCATGATGGCTCTTTCGAGAAAATTCGATTCATTTTGTTCACAATATGCAAAAAAAAAAAAAAGATGAAACGAGCGAATTGCCATTTGCAGAAAGCCAGCATATTTCTATTTTTTCTATTCCTTGACTTCTTTCGTAGGTAAGTTGCGAAGCAACGATTTGACTATTCTCTTGCCGGCGTACAGATTACGAAGACGAATCCGTTCGTTATGTAAGTGTGCATGATCCGACGACTGACCCATGGGTAGGTGAACAGCGGGGGCGTTGCAAAACACCTCAAGCCATCGCACAGCCGGAATCGAACCTCCCTCTCGAATATACAACGGCTTCTGATGCCATTCTTGTTCAATGGCTTTCTCCAAAGCTTTGAAATATTTGTTTTCCGGATTACCCAGCCAATAATCAGCGGCACTTTGGATACCAACCTGTGTCCATCATCCATGCATCATCAGCTACTTTTCCTCGTATCCAATTCCTCTTGGTAACTTACCGAGATTTGATTCTCGGAGGAAGAACTCTGGAACGCTTCCTTCACATATCCTTCAAACTGCTGGCAAATTTCCTTGATATTCTGATCGGGTACCACGCGCATACTGACAGTGGCGGTGGCGCGACGAGGGATAATGGTAGGATTGTTGATAGAGACGTCAATTTTGTGCACTGTCAATGTAGGGTACCGCCACCGTGACATTAAGTTGTTCTTCAATTGTTGTTCGTCCAGTGGCGATGAAGACTTGCCGTCCGCTGTCATGTCCGTACTATTCCGCGAGTGGTTGGCGGTTGAAGGCGTCTTCTCGGACCTAAGGAGCAACCAATAGAATCAGCGCAAGTGAAAATATAACCAAGATAAAATAAGGTTGATTACTTTTGCATCCATTCGATAATGGGATCGTAAAGCTTTTCTTCGGCATCTGTAATAGACCGCACACGGTCATAAAATCCTAATCAAATCAAAAAGAAAAAAGAAATAAGAGAATGTACATCTCCTGATATTAGTCGCAAAACATCGTCACCTGGGATAAGGACTCGCTTCTCATTGTCCACTAGTTTACTCAGCACATGAATAAGGTCAACCAGAGGTTCGGAGACAGCTCCGCCTTCCACACCAGAATGAAGATCGGCTCGGGTATTGGATATCTGATGCAATCCACTCCTGTTAGCTAAGAGCATCGCACAGTTGGATTTAACCCATCTTACCTCAATCGATGCATGTACCACGCCTCGGAGACCGTACGTCAGACAAGGCATATCTTCACCCAACCAATACGAATTGCTACACAACATAACTGAGTCATGATCGTCCCAACCTGAAATACACCAGCAGCCCTTTGTACCTCAACAAGATTATATCCACATCCGCAAAGAGATCCTAATGCACGATACGGTGAGCACACAATACAAAAGCAATGGGTGTTTTTATGTAATTACCTTGTGCTTTTCAATTGCTTGATAAAAGCCGATGCTACCACTTTCTTCTTCTCCTTCAATCAGGAAAATAACATTGGCATCCAATAACCCTTCGTTCAATAATTCATTAACGGCAAATATGCAGGCTAGCAATGGGCCCTGTAGCACACAATTCCAACTGTTCAGTTTTTTGATAAACGCGCTGCGAAAAATGTTGTTCTACCTTGTTATCGGTGGTACCGCGGCCGTACAAATATCCGTTTCTTCCGGTCAATGTAAAGGGATCACTTATCCATTCCTGATTTTCATTTTCGGCATTAATGACATCATAATGTCCATAGATCAACACCGTGGGGATCTTTTGATCTTCTGTCATTGATTCGCCACGTTGTTGTTTGCCGTAGAATTTGCCATACACCAAGGGATTACGTCCACATTGACCAGGAATCTAGATCGTGACAAAAGACAAGGAGCAACGCCTTGAGTTTGCAATAAAATCAAAAGATAACAAGTAAAACCTTTACCATACGACTGACGGCCCCCAGTTGCTGCAACACGTTTTTGAGAAACCGCGCACCTCTTCTGCATTCTTCCAAATACTCAGGATTGCCGCTCACAGTTCGCATGGCAATCCATTTTTCCAGCACATATAACAGAGTGTGTTCTGTGAGGGATTCAAATGTCAATGATTCATCGAGTAAGCAAAAACAGAGCAGTTTCGATCTTACCACTGGAGGGTACATCTTGGATAAGACTTTTTCGTCTAAACTGCTGCGACTCATTGCAATGATTGGACAAGGAAGGCATATCCCAGAACTTTGCATAAAAATAACAATGAGACCTCATGTTTGTATTTTGCTAGACGCCGCGATCGACCTACTTTGATAGAATGATCGCTACTGCCAGTAATCAAGTAATCATCCGAAGTCGTCATGGATAAAACAATGCCATCATGATCATCCATGGATTCTCGGAATTCAAAGCTTTGGCCCCACACCTATTGGTTTCATATGACATTGAGAAAGCACGTCTATGAATATAGTTGATATAATCCTACCTTGATTGTTCCATCAGCCGATGCACTGATTAGGCCAGGCTGTTTGATAGCGATAGACAGAACGTCATCCTAAGTAAGAACAATGAGATACTGTATTCCAGCATAGAGAGGATGGGACGCCTACCGCGTGAGCCATCATCGAGCGGATCAATTGATACTAATGAGGTGGATGAAGGTTATTGCATATCCTAATATACCAGTGCAGAATACAGGATACTCACTGTTTCGAGATCCCAGATCTAAGATACATTTTGTGAGTCATGGTTACTTGAAGCGAAAGGTAGGCATGAGAAGAAACAAAATGCTTGTACCTGAACATCGCCTCCTTGCACACCACAGAACAAATAGCCATCTTCCGACAAGGCAAGACTCAGTACGCCCATATCCGAATTTCCTTTGAGAGTTTTCAAATGATGAAGTTCGCCGCTCTTTATGGACCAAATCTTTACGTCTCCATCTCCGGAACCTATACGCACCCACAACTCAATTTTTCGTCGATTCGTCGTTTAACTTTTTATGACACGTTACCACTAATCAGCACTTCGCCGTCAATGTTGGGGACATCGGTAGAATGAAGCAGACAATAAACGTAGCCGTCGTGTGCGTTCAGATATACATTTTTCTCCCGAATGACACATTGAATCACGTCGCTGTCCCCATTGCGTGAATCGTCGCCATCGTCGTGATTTTCAAAGAATTTCGATTTCTGACTGTTGCGGGGGGTGATGGGAATGATGGGCACGTCGGTGGATGATCCGTGCGTTTGCGGATCGGCGAAATCATACCACTGGCAATAAACTCATCATTACGACCTGTTTCAACAAAATGCAAGGCACGATCTTATTATTTACCTGAATGCTTGTGTTTTGGCTACCGAAAAAGAACATGTTCGATTGTTCGGAATAGACGATCGAAAAGATATCTCCCACATCATGGCACGATTGAATCAGATAAGCACATTTCAACGTCTCAGTGTCCCACACCTAAAGCATAGACAAAGGTCACTATTTGCACAACCAAAATGCCTTCGCGTAACAACGTAGATCAACTTACACGAACAGTGCCGTCCCCTGAGTTGGCGTTGGACCCAATTTATTCAAAATCGTATCGATACAATGATTCGCTTCTCATTCACACTTACCGGAACAGCTGAAGAGCCATTGCTGATCATCCGATAGGGTCAGTCCCAACACGCTGCCGCGGTGGCCATCCAATATATTGATCAAAGTAAATGTTTGAAGATCCCATACCTACGTTTCTTCGTATTACTAGACCATGCCTAATCCGTCAATCATTATTGTGCGATAATATTACGTGAATTTTCGAGCTTTGGCTGCCGCTGAACAGATAACGTCGACTGGCTGCAAGAGAAAGCACCGAACTATCGTCTTCCTGGGAAATGGTGTGTACGCAGCGAGTCGGATACAGTGGTTTCAGACCCGTGTATTTCGAAATGTTGCCTGTTTGGGAATGAAAAGGGTAAGCCTATACGTCCAACAGCATGCACTGCATCTGTATAACGGTGCTTCAATAATATCAACCTAGCGGTATAGGGCTGTCTTTTCGAAGATTAGGAGAGTCCATTGGCAAAAGCAGGCGAGGTGCAAAGAAGGAAAAGGGTTGTCTCTGGTTGTTGAAGCTGTAATTTTCGCCCCAGATCCAACCACTTTGTGTGGCTGATTCGGGCTCTGAAAACCGCAGGCATGGAAAAGCGGAATTTCCTTAATTGAATTCACGGACTCCATGTAACAATGTCAGAACACTCAAAGGTTAAATACGCGAAGCTGATGAAACTAAAAACGCTCTGTCATTGGTGCAAAAGTCATCATAAAACACTCATATTTTCAAATTCATCTGCCGCGATCAGGAACAAGATTTCCCAGCTCTTCGATTGCGATTGCTGGACGATAAAACGTCTCATTGATATGAAAATGATGCTAAAAGTAGTGGATGATGCAAATTTTTTATTGTTTTATGGCATTAAATTGAGGAAAAAGAAAAAAAAAAGCAGGTAGTATACTCACGCGGAAAAAAAAAAGACGAATAAGATTTGAAAGACAACATGCCATCCCTATCGACTGAATCAATCCAATCACCCCACATATTTGCGTTCTTCAATTCATCAATTAACCCCCAAACTCTCCCATACGCTCTACGACGTCGTTTTTCATCTACCATCTGAAGTCATCCCATCGCAATATGCGACCAACGCTTCCACAGCCACGCATCGCGCCACGTTCCGTCCGTCCGACCGGGTACGGCTCCTCTCACATTATGGCTTCATCACGACGCAGGCATTATCCTGTTCCGCTAATAAGGGTATAATCTCAGCCGCAATTCATATAAAAAATAATGAACAAGACGGCACCCCTTGAGCCACAACGTACAGTTCGATCACGAAGTGATCCGTGCCCAAGTTCTTGCAACATTGAGACACGGCACCACCTCGAGTACGGGATTTATTCTCTAGAAATGGAGTGATAGGATGCTAATAAATTACGATTAAGAGAGGTAAGTAGCCACAGTGACCAAGTAATAAGCGTCAACCCTTGATTGACAAGTTGTTTTTGTCATAAACCATTGCTTGCCTGCAAGCCCTTACTGTGCTCCAAACAGCGTTTCCATTTGTTCCAGAGTCAGGCCCTTGGTTTCAGGAATGAAGCAGACACCGATAAAGCAGACAACACAACAAGCGCCGAAGAAAAAGTAGACACCCGACACGGTATGGGCCATGAAGAGAGGAACACAATAGGTGATCAAGATAGAGAAACCCCAATTCAGACCATAGGTCAATGCGAGACCCTTGGCACGGGTACGCATATTGAACACTTCGGCAGGATAGACGTAACACGCGATGCCCCAGCTGAAAGCATACGCCGCAGTGAAAATGTAGACAAAGGCCAGAATGGTATTGCGTGCGCTGGTATTGGTCAATGACACTTCGCCGGTTTCGACATCGACTTGAGTATACGCGCTGAACATGGCGCCCACAATAAACATACTGATGCCCATGAGAGAAGAACCGACCATGAACGCGGCCTTGCGGCCCACCTTGTCAATAAACCATTGCAACGAAAGCGCAGTCACCAATAACGATAAAAGACCAGAACCACCCGTGGCAGCAATGGAGACGGATTTATCATCCAGACCGGCGCTTTGGAAAATCTGAGGTGCGTAATACCAAATGGCGACGGTACCGGTGAACGACGTGGAACTGGAAATGAAGAACGAGATAAGGGTGCGCTTGAGATTGGTACCTTGAAAAAGTTCGGCATAGGTACGTTTGCCCAACGATCTTTCAAACTCGATTTCGGAAATGATCTCCCTCAGATCGCGACGCACAATGGGATGATCGACCGGCAATTCATACAGATCAGCCAGGATGCTCTCGGCTTCTTCCTTACGACCCTTGTCGATGAGCCAACGAGGAGAGAAGGGTAACGTCATAATGATGCCGCCAAAAATCAGCGAAAGGAGCAACTGAAGCAACCAAGGCGCACGCCACTGCCAGTCGGTTCTGAGATAGCTGGTACCAAAAGTGATAAAGTAGCCGGCCACTTGACCAAATGTACTCATCAAAGTGAAAAAGCTGATCAGACGACCACGGATATCCGGAGGAGCAATTTCCGAATGGTAGAGAGGAATAGCATTGCCCATTAAACCAGACCCCCAACCGCCAATGAGACGACCGGCTAACAGACAACCAAAATTGGCCCCAATCACCTCGAGCAAAATGCCAACGACAAAGATACCGGATGCAAAAACAATGGAATATTTACGACTGAATCGATCTATCAACACAGAATTAATACACTGGAAGATGAACAGTTCGAACAAGGAAGGCATTACTTACCGCATAGATAACCAGAGGAAAAGGAGCCCAAGGCAGCGGTCATCAAGAACAAGGCCAGTAGTAAGCCTTGGAGGTAAGTGATGTTGTCTTCAGTGAAAAATCGGCCGGTAAAGAGATCCATCACCAAGATGCCACTGACAGCACCAGTGTCGAAACCACAAATAAAGCCACCAATGGCGGCTACGATTGCCGAGAGGTAAACAGATTTACGAAAAGTAGGTACTGGGTACTGGTCATATTGTTCGATTTCGGTATCTTTAAAGTCATCCTGTTCATTTCGTATCTTGGAATCCATGATGTATGTATTCAAGAGAGTTTACGAAACCAAAAAGGGTGTCGACGAACAGACAAACAAACAAACAAACAATGGAATGAAAAAAAGGCAACGGAGTTTATATGAGTTGAGGTTTTTTTTTTGGTGCTTCTATCGATCCACGCGATTGGTTATGTGGAATTGACTTTTGATTGGAGCTGAGAATGAAGTGAACCCGCTGGCGGAGAACATTTTTCACTGTGGAACTACAAGAAAAAAAAAACGTGTGCGACACGAAACCCTTGACCAATCGAACTAGATGCATCCACATGGACAAAGGACTGTATCAACATCTTTTACGACCTGGCGAACTCAAAAAGGTTTTCGTAGCATTTCAAAAGGTTGAATTTTTTTTACTGACTAAAAGGGTGTGAGCAACTGAGTTTAGTATATGTATTTTTAGTTGTAGTAACGTTCCTATATTCAGTATCCTGGACCCCAGGGAAGTGGGGCGATAAAAAAAAAAAAAAAAATTTAGATCCCAAATGATAAATAAAAATGATCTGTACGATCCATCTATGCATATTTGAAAACCCGACGTCAAAATATGGGTGTATCATTATAGACTACCTGATGCGCTCGGATGAAAAGGATTCATCAGCAATTGACAAAATTTGAGAGTGCTGCAGGATCGATTCATTCTGGGGAATCTATCAAAAACAACATTTTGTTTTGCAACATCATTTGGGCAAACCCAATGAAATGATACTGGATAAAAGGTCCGCTATATTTCTTTGTCAACAGCAAAGCCATGAAGTACAAAGCGATACCCAGTTTATCGATTGTCCAACATAGGACGGACGAACTTTGGGTCCGCTGCATCAAAGCAAACAAACGAAAAATAGATATAGCACGTCTCTTGAAATATTGTTAAAACTGTGGCATGATGTGATATTTTGGGTGGCAAAGGATGAAGTCGATGGAAGTTTTATGGAACAAGATGAACTATCATAAAGACAAGATGGATTTTCTACATGATAACTTTGAGATGGCTTAAAAAAAATACGCAAAATATTTTATAATTCATCTTCGTCGGACCAGACTTCTTCACCGCGCTTTCTGCGTTCCATGCGCTCCTTCTTCTTCTTGCGGAGTTCTCGAGAAGACAGTTTCTCCTTCTTCTTGACAGCCTTGACGGTGTTGCCCTGAGCATCGACCTGGTCTTCTTGTTCCTTTTCTTCAATGGCGGTGGTACCGTTACCGGAGACCCAGTTGTGACCGGAAGCCACGAGTTCACCATTGTCGACCTTCCAAACTTCGGTACACAGGGCTTCAGAGAATTCGCGGTTGTGAGTCACAATCACCACACCGCCACCGTAGTTCTTGATAGCCGTGGCCAAAGCACCGAGGGATTCACGGTCCAAGTAATTGGTAGGTTCGTCAAGCACCAGCATGTGAGGTCGGTTCCACATGGCTGCACCGATCACGAGTTTGACCTTTTGACCACCGGAAAGACCGCGAATGCGAGAATGGGTAGCAAATTCGGGTTCCAAACCCACTTCGGCCAAATGCTTCTCAATTTCCTTGGACGTCAATGGACGGTTCAAACCTAGTTTGGCGGCTTCTTGAGCATCGACTTCAGCAATCTTCTTGGCGAAACCCATGGCTTCGAGCTTCTGACGAGGAATCCACGTGTTTTCCACCGAGGACTTGCCAACCCATGATACTTCGTATTCGTACGATTGCTTCAACTTTCGTCGGCCTACGATTTCGTCAACGACACGCTTTTCGCCATCGATGACAAAGGTTTGGCTCATCTGTTTCGCTTCATCTTCGTTGATCACACGATCGACCTTTTCCAATTCTTCACGGTCTTCACCGGTAGCGTAACGCCATTGGATGTACTCGTTGGGCGTAATATCCAAATGCTTCTCAATATGGTGGAAAGCATGCTGGGCAACATAGGCGATACGCAGGTTGGGGTGCTTCCAGACAGTGCCGATATCGGACTCAATCTCACCCGTCAACAACTTGATCAAGGTAGATTTACCGGCACCATTGGGACCAATCACGGCGACACGGGAAGCCAAAGAACACTGCATGGTAATGTTCTTCAACTGCTTGCGGTCCGTACCAGGGTACTGGAAGTCGACGTTCTTCATCTTGAGGATAGCGCGTTCCTTGGTCTTGATACCTTCGAGGTAACCGGGCTCAGGGAAATTGAACTGGATCTGAGCGGCTTCCAAAGAGTAGTACGAAGCGGCCTTGGGGACCTTCTTGACAAACTCGGACAAGTTACCTCGGTAACGTTTGAGCTTATAGTTGGCTTCGTAATGGATAATGTCGGAACACACGTGGTCCAAGAAACCCGAGTCGTGAGACACAATGATCGAAGTCACGGTTTTCAGACCAAGGAGGTAGTTCTCCAACCAAGCCACATTGACGACGTCCAAGTGATTGGTAGGTTCGTCCAACAACAGAATGTCGGCGTTCATCAACATGGCACGAGCGAGGGCGAGCTTCATCTTCCAGCCACCAGAGAGAGCACCGATGGGCATCTTGTTGACCATTTCTTCACTGAAACCATACTCGCGGAGAATCTTGGCCACTTGGTCACGGTCCTTGGTCTCAACACCTTCGGAGGAGATGATGAAATCTACCAAAGGCGTGTCCGCTTCGGAACCGTCGATATCGTGTTCCACGTAGACCGTCTTGAGCTCGGACTTTGGAGGGAACCCATCGACCTGTTCGTTGGCAATAGCGCGCATCAGTGTGGATTTACCACAACCGTTGGCACCACACAAACCGTAGCGGTGACCACGCTTGAGACGAAGAGAGGTACGGTTCAAAAGGATCTTGGCACCGTAAGCGAGGGAGAACTCACAGTTGCAGAGATCTTCACCTTCTTCATCGTCTTCTTCGACATCCTTGGGAGTCACGGCGACTTCGCACTTGTCCAAAGCAGACGAGGTAAGCTTTTCGGCATCGGCATCGGAAAGGAAGGCTTTAGCGTAGGGAACCAGCGTAGCCAACCATTGGTCTTTGAAGAAGTTCTTGCCGAGACACAAGTTGTAAGCAATGTCTACGATGTACTTGACGATTGGGTTGTACAGAGGATCAAGGTCAGTGGGCAACAAGTCCTTGAAAGCGGCATTCACTTTTTCGGCTTTTTGTTCCTTGGTGTAGATCTCGCCCGAGGGAGTACCGACACGGACCAAGGTGGCCAAAGCTTTCTGAACGACGCCACGGCATTCGGGGTCCGCCACCATATCTTGAACCTTTTCAAGCGCGGGCAACAGAAGAGGCAAGAAAGGCGCGGCGACTTCGGGATCATCGACCAATTTGGACATGTTATCGATGATTAAAGCCGATTTACGCTTGATCGGGGTAGCACGTTCTTGCAAACCACGGCTGAGAAGAGGCACCATAATGGACAACGTGGCGGAATCGACTTCCTGAACAAAGGTGGTGGCGCCAAGCAAATGAATGGTTTCGGGAACATTGTCGGGCTGGTTGATGCAACCAATGACAGCCGGAATGAAACGCTCAATATCCTTGTTTTCAATGAGCGCGCAAATATTACCCATGGTAGCGGTAGCAGCCTTTTTCACATCGATCTTGGTATCCCACATGCAATCGGACACAATGGGAATGATATCGGGAATACATACAAAGAACTGCTTGGGATTCTTCTTGATCAATTCATCCAACAGTGACAAGGCCAGCATTTTGGTTTGCCATTTGCAAGAATTGCCAAGGTTGTCCAAGAGAATCGGGACGACAATACCAGTGGCATTGGCATTCACGGACAACACAAGCGTCTTTGCGGTTTCAAGAGCCGCGTTCTTGACAGCAGCTTGCTTTTCGGCTTGAAGTTCCAAGAGGTTGCGCAAGAAGGGAAGGATAAAAGGTTCAGCCTGACCTCCCACACTAAATGAATTGAGAATTTTGTAAAGTGAGTTAATGATTGGTGTTACCAAGGGAGGAAGAGATTAAATTGTATGAAATAACCAAAAAACTATTTACCTGACATTGCAGAACGCAGAAACAGCGGTAATGGCGGCCAGACGAGCATTGACATTCTTTTTGTTAGTGATATCCTTGGAAATGGCATCAACGATATTGAGCTGTTTAAGGGAACGGACGCCGTTGGATTTCACAATGGTGGCGAGTTCTTCGGCGATAGACTCGCGCTCAGCATCGGAAGCTGCTGAGAGCTTGGAAAGGATCTCCTTCACCTTCTTGGTCTCAACCTCGCTGGGAGACTCGGCGACAGCCAAAGCAGTCACCTTCTTGGTCTTGATGTCGCTCTTGGAGTTGTTATTTGTTTTTTGGGCGGCGGCGGCAGCAGCGGCGGCAGCGGCAGCGGGCATTTTTTGAAATGTAATGATTGGTGGTTTTTTTTTAAAAAAAAGTTTTAGAGAGTGGATGAGCGTTGAAGCGAGGGAGTCCCACAGAGAAACAGGGGGGCGATTGCTAAAGGTGGGGAAACAGTTGGAGGAGCAAAAAAGGTGAAAGAGCCATCCCGTTTCAAGGCACCTCCACATTTTATAGCAGCGAAAAAATTTTAAATGCCCTAACCAAAGTTTACAGTACACAATATACAAGTTGGTTTCTCCGATCCAAAATTTACGTCACCGCTCTTGACCGTTGCCTATTTTGGATATCATGCCTTTTTTACGAATTGAATAAAAACTGAGAAGGGTCAATCTAAAAAAAAAAAATCTTACTGTAAGGAATCGGGTGATGCCAATGTCAGCTTTTATCAGTACTTCCTTGGATGCTGCTAAATGACGATCTGCATACAGGTTGGTGCACAGTATTTGGTAAGGGGTAGTTATATGAGCTATCCAGGGGCTACCTTCCAATTGACGTCCAAAAGCCGCAGCAACACCGCATATTCTCCCATTAAAGAATGGTGTGTCTGTTCTATGCACGAATGAGCGATTCCCACTACAACACTCTTACAAAGCCGGATTTCCTTTTTATTGGAGGTGCGCCATCATTATCATTTGTTATCGTCGAACCACCTGATCCATCTCACCCGTGAAAAAAAAACAATCTTTTCCTCATTTACATCTGACACGGGCGTCACTTTAAATCCGACATCACAAAAATGGTTACACCATTATGCCCGCTGAGCGCTCTTGAAAAAAAAAATCATGCAATGAATATCCGTGACAGAGAGAAAAGGAAAACTTCCTATTTTATTGCAAAGAGGCCTACATGAACCATTTATTTGCAAAGATAAGAACCGTATGGGATTCCCTATTTAGTTTCCCACCTTCTCGATGGGGAATTTTTTTATAGCTCAGTTTGGGGTCGGCCCATGGATAAACTCCGTTTTTATCGGAAAGTGAATAATCAGCGAAACGCTTCAGTGGGGCCCACCTGACACCAATGAAAATGGCATGCCATGTTTTTTTGTTGAATAGTGAATGAAAACAACCCCATAATGGACGTTATCGGACAGGGATCGTAATCTATTTTATTGAATACTGATAATGCTACTACGTGAAATTGGGTCATTACGGAAAAAAAATTGCTGCAGGGGTTTCTTTATCGCCCAAACAACAGCGGAAACTTGGGTATGAGCGGCAACACAGCATTCGTTTTCTGTAAAAAAAAAAAAGAAAGAAAAGAAAAAGAGGGATAACAGCCGCTTTCATCATAAAAGTAATATCAATTCAATGAAATAGAAGATTGAAGAATAAAAGCACATTCCATCGTTAAATCTCACGTAAACCCATCATACTAGTCTTCAAACATGGAACGTTCTGGGCCCATTCATCCGGATTGGTCGACTTTCACTGAAGAGCATGTGTTTTGCCGGTTTTCAATGTTATTGTCATTATTTCACTGTTACATTTGATTGTTACATTTTGATAAACCATGAAAGAATGAAGCAAATTTTGTAAGCATTATCCGATGATGATTCCCTGATCTCCATATGATGATCAATCTTGAGTCCCGACAACAAATTGTGGGGGGGGGCACCCCGAAACGGACATTTTTCACTGCCATAAAGAGTCGCCATAACCAGCGATCCGCATGATGCAGATGATGCATACATAAACAGATATAAATAGCTGGAACCTGAAGTAACCGTATCCATCCATACAAGTCATCTTCACAAATTTATGATCGCTTTTTCAACTACTATGTAAAGTTGTGGATGAGCGTAAAATCACTAGTTTGATAACTCACCCACGGCGAGTATCCAATGTCTTTACGAAAAATTTTCACACACATTAGTGCTTCTCCTTAGTATTGTCCCACAGAATGCCGCTCTGATATGGATGATCAATGGTTAAATACTCGTGTGAATTTATCGAACTAACCGAGGAATGACAGCAAATGATAGAACGATTTCATACAATTTAGTCAGCAAAGCTAAATACATCGCTCGCTATTAACTCGGTCAAAATTGTCACGATCATTAATTGGGTCTGAATGTTTGATCAAATTTTCACAACGCAAGCCTTGTGACACTTCTTGACGATAAAGTATACAAAAGCTCGGGGATACAAATTGTCGGACTACCCCAGGGCCTGCAATTGCTCCATACAACAAGACGTTTTTTCAAACGTGTCTCGCGAATACATTATTTTTCAACAACCCCTATTTGAGGTTGACTCTGGAGTTGGATCTATTTTATGCGAGGTTTTCTCCTTTTTATTGGCTTGATCCAGCGGCATCTAAATCGACATACTTGAATCGGAGAGGACCGTCAGGCTTTTGCAGCATGATTGGGACGCATTGAAGGTGGGAAATTGAGCACAACCGAAAAAAAAGATTCAGTAATGACATATTGCTTACACATTTGAAGTATGTAAGAAGCTGCTGATTGGATCTTCTTGCCCCACTGCTGTTACTGAACAGCTTCAGTTACCACACCGTAGCCCCAACTTTCTCATTGCTTTTATGCCGCTTGTGAAACTGGGCTTTCTTTACCCATTTGATGGAGAAATGCTTTGAGTGCAAAGTTCCAAACAACAAAGGTAAAGCATCTTTGCAAATGTTAGGCCAATGTTGTCCACAAAAAATGGCCGAGCCATGGATCCCTTTGCCGAGTCAAATTCACCAGTACTGCGCGTTTACTCTATTAAATGTATACATATTTGTAACTTTCAACCTGGAGATTAGCCGATGAAAACGTGAACATGCTTCGGGAATGATACTTCGAGTAGATCTATAACAAAAGGTTGAGGAGCGTTCTGACGTAGCTGTCGGCTATATGCTTGTCTGTTTTTAAATGATAACCCCTATATATACTACACAATTTTATGTCTTTCTGGCGTTGGTTATTTGATGGTTATTTGTTACAAAACGTTATTGAGAATGTACGATCGATCTTTCAAGGAAGACATTTTTTTTGTCACTGTTGAAGCTTACTGTACAATATTCGTGACGAGACCTTAAACGTCTATATCATAACTAAAAGACAACAGCACTTTGTTATGGTCCACTTAGAATCTATTCTTTTCATTAAGTGCTTATCACATCAATATTTCTTCTGATGGATGATGGTGAAGCAAAATGCAAATCAAGCAAAGAAGCGAAAGGTTTCTATTGGAGGAGAAAAAAATGGTTTCCATTGGAGAAGAAATTACCATATTAGGATGATGACGTGACTGACTTGTCGCCTGCGCTTGGAGTTACCCTTCAGCGTCTCCTTTCTTGTGTCTTTTTGTTGCTATTTCCATCTGCTTCTTTGATTAATTGACGAGCCAAATTCTGTCTTCCAACCTGTTACAGTTCACCCTTACATTAAGAGAATGTTGAAGGTTTGACCGCATTCAAAAAAGTGGCTCATTTTAATGGATCTTAATATGCAAACTGACTGTTATTCATTTTTTCCTTGATTATAGGGGGACTCACACCACATGGATTTCAATCAGTTAATGGCACAAGCTGCCCAGTTTGCCAAACAACAAGATGCAACACTGGCCGAAAAAGCAGAACAGAAACGACGAGACGAAGAGGAAAAACGAAGGAAAGAAGAACGAGATTTACGCGAACGACGAGAAGCGCAGGCCGCCTTGGCGCAGCAGCGCGAAAAGTTCGAAATGAAACAGAAAATGCTGCTCGAACAGAAACGATATCAGCGTGAAATAGAGAAACAAAAACTTGTCGAGATGAAGTCCGCGTCTCGGTCGCGATCGACTTCCGGTCCAGCCGCCACGGCGAGAAAACCAAAAACCTCGATCCCGTCTTCATCGCAATATCATGCAATAGAGAAGAAAGTGAGTATTTACATGCATCTCATTCTGATCACTGCATGTGCACCATCTGATCTAATGAAATGTTAGAAACCTGTTCACATGTCATTTGACCAACTTATGCGAGCCGCCAAGGAGATTCAAAAACCTTCTTCGGCGTCCGGTCCTCTGGCAAAACCAACCACCAGCAAAATCAGCGCGCCTTCAAGAAAAAGCTCCAATCACTTGCCGAGAGCTGATAAATCAACATCAAGGGACGAAGCGCCGGGGCAATATGACAGGGTGGATACTGGATCGCGAAAATCAAGTGTGAAAGACAAGAAGGATACCCCCACGATTTACCACAAACGAGCGAGCACAACGACGCCAATGAGATCGACCGAACCCATGGTTAATCCCAAAACGCCACTTTCCGCTCGCGATAAGATTCGAATGATGTACAAAGAACCAATGCAGAAGTTGAACACTCAAAAGCGTGATCGACGATCGGTTAGCGAAATTCAGCGTGATTTGCGACATGCGAGAGGCGTTTATTCAGATGAGGAAGAGGACCCACGTCGGGATCCCCGATTAATGACGTCGTCCAATCGATCATTGGCGTCCTTTGCTCCTGTGCCATCGAAATACAGCAGTGGAAACCTTGAAAGCCGTCAGAGACAGATGCTTTCACGATCGGCCTTGTCTCCACCGCCAAGAGCAACTGCTGCCTCCCAATCACGACCACGTAGTCCTGGCATGACGCCTTCAGCAGGCGCTCGTGCTGCGGCAATAAGACGACGTGAAACGACCGAAGCGCCCAGACCCACGGCTTCGGTTCGACGTATGCCCTTCAGTCGATCCATGGATTCACGAAGAATGATAAAACCACGCCGTCCTTTAGCGGAAGAGGAAGAGGAAGAAGACGAGGATCTAGCTTCTTTCATTGTTGATGATGATGAAGAAGAAGCCGATGTCTACAGCGGCCACAACTATTCTGACGAAATTAGCCGTCTTTTCCGCTATGACAAGCGAAGGTAAGTATCATGCCGATGAAATCGTGTATACTGTGACGAGGATGCTAAGCGATCGATTCAATAGATTTGCTAATGAGACGTATTCGGATGACGATATGGAAGCGGATGCCAGTGAGGTTCTCCGCGAAGAAAAGCGAAGGTTTGTATAATACGTCGCACTACGCTAGTGTCATCATCTAATCCAATGTCCCATACTAGTGCCCGAATTGCTCGACGCGAAGATCTTGCCGAGGAAAGAGCAGAAATGGAGCGACTGAAGAGGCGCAAGATGAAAGGCAAAAACAAAGCCTGAGCTTGTTTTGCTTCAATTTCGGGATACTTTTGGCTTTTTTCTTCTCTTTTTCCCTTTCGGGATTAACATGATATCAATGGTTTTGATTTCTTTCTACGATGTGCTTTTTTTTTTAAAAAAAAAAAAATAGGTGAATTACAGCGATGGGTAATAGCGAAGAACTTAGTGTCTTCCAATGTAAATAAATATAGCGTTGTTCGATAGGTCTTTCATTACATATACAGTAACATGGCATGTGATGTTTTCATCTTTGGCTGAAATTGACGGAATGTGGGTGCAGTAATACTGTATGTCAGATATTTTTACAGGTTTATTTGCATATTGTACAAAAATTGAGACTGTCGGATTTTTCAACGGCCCCACAAGTGCTGTGCTTTTGCAACGACAGCATCAATGTTGCTTGAGAGATGTTGTTGATTACCCAAGTAGGTCTGCAGTCTCTCCACCAATTCAAGCTGTTCCTCAGGGCCCATATTATTGATCACCAAGGCAAGAATGGTTCCCACAGAGACATTGTACATCTACATAACATTGCAAAATAAGCCGCCCGTGCTCACGTTCGACAAATCCCCCCCCTGGGTCAAACTAACGCACCTTGATAAAGCTTTGATAGTACATGTAGGCAAAGAGACCCATGAGGAATTGACAATCCATGCGATCAGTAAGACCGCCGTGACCAGGAATACTGTGGCCAAAATCTTTAATTTTGAAAGCGCGCTTGACTGCACTGGCAAAGAAACCACCAAATGGGGCAATCAAGGAAGCAAAGCAAGCCATAACGATAGCGTGGAGTTGTACAGGAGCAATTTTGACCTCAGGGACATCCTTGAAAGACTGGAAATTATGCCATGAGATTATGTAAACGTGTTAGTTAGATGAAATTGTCCATCTTCTTACCAATGCCTTTATGACATAGCGAACAATAGCAGGTAATCTCCAAGCCGCGGCCGTAAATACGGGATTCTTTGGTTCACAAGATACGTGAGACCATGCAGCAGCCCCCAAATCCTTTAGCGAGAGAGAAAACACACTCGTATAAGATACAATTTACGTTTTCCGAACTCATTCTTCCGCTGCTCACCTGAACCGGGCATGTCAGATAGTCGAAACGCATCAAGATGGTGGTAGCCTAATGAATTTCATAAATAGGATCAGGACACACTTTCTTTTGAATTTTCGTGTCCCGTGAAATGTTTACTTACGATGAAGCCAAGGATAAGAGTACAAATAAAGGCTCCTACGAAACCTTCGACGGTCTTCTTGGGACTGAGTTGAATGAGGGGTGTACGGCCCCAGAAGAAGCCGCAGATGTAAGCAAAAACGTCATTGCAAACGACTAGAGCAACAGGTAGAATAAACCTGGATTGAGAAGAGAATCAGAATTCAGTAAAATTTTTGTGCACTTAATTGGAGCAAGAGCAGAAATTCTGGGGTTTTACCAAATTAATCCTTCCAGAATATTGTCGACGATGAAATGGCTTTGAACGACGATGAGGAACAAAGCCATATGTGTCCAACCAAACTGAGCCATTTGGAACCGATATTGTCCTTTTTGTAAATTCATCACAAAGAAAACAAATCCTGCAGCGAAATGTAATATAAGATGACAATTTATTAATATGAGCAGTTACACATCACTCTTTTTTACCCAAACGCACATCACTTACCGATGACATAGAGGATAAAACTGATGAATCGATGATGGGTGGCAAATGGAAGTAATAGTGCATCCACCATGACAATTTCTTTGAAGTAATAAATGATGGATTCACCATACAGGTAGTATTCTGTAATGATCAAGAAATACCTGGCAACAAAGACGAAACCGTGAGTGATATGGCTCATTTTTTATAACCCTTTTCGATATATGCTTTACTTACCAGCTCATTGTTTTGAACCATCGTACATTCTTATCTTTGCCTGGCATATATGCAATCTGAATGACTTCACGATACACAAGTATGGAAATGACCATGACGAGGACAATGGACCATATATAGCCTGACGCGAGTACAAACAAAAATGCGCCGACCATCATTAGGGTCGTTATGGTACGGATCCACATGTTTTGCCACTTCGACTTGGCCTTATCGTTGGCGAGAAGAATGGTCGACTTGGATTCTTCTTCCTCGTTATCGTCGGCGGCAAAAGCGTCGAGCATATCCACTGCTGGACTTTCGGTATCCGAGGCTTTGGCTTTTTGCTTCTTTTGAGTGACAGACTTCCGTTTGGGTGGCATAGAGAGCAGTGGAGAAAAAAATAATTTGGGATATTAAAACGCGTTGCTGCTCCACGCAAGAGACTAAAAAAAAGACAGAAGATCTGGTTAATATGTTTCATAACGTCACGTCATATACCATTTTCGGCAAACGTCAACACATCATAGTTTCAATGTACATAGAGATTGCGCATAATGCGACTGCTAATTGAAACTAAGTGACATCACTCAAATGTTCCATTTTTTTGCTTTCTGCATTTGCACATGAATGAGACCTGACAGTGAGCTTGAATTATTTTTTTCTCAAAAACAGCTATGATATATAATGTTATTCGAGAGATTATAGATCAATTTTAGTGGGCAACACTTACACTTTATATGAAAAGAAGCTTATAATCGGTTAGATCATAGCAAATTTTTACAGTGTCTTCGTGAGCGATAAATAGTGGTGGGAGTTTGGTTCTGTGCCTTGGTTTATAGTCACCAGATAAAAATGACTTGACGTGAGCTGAAGGATAATCGGATGAACGGATGAAGGAAGAGAGAAAAAATGGTACGAAATAAGATGCTTTGCTGCTCACTATAAGTGGCAATAGCAATGTTTAAGTGTTGCATGCAATTAAAGCACAGTAAGGAATCATAAAGCATAAAGCTTGAAGGCGTTGAGGTGCATCAGTGCTGTTCCCTGTTGCAAAAAGTTTTTTGGCAGCGTCCTTGCCGAGAATACTGCAATAGAAATCCAATCTATCCTTCAGATGGCGCAGCATATCTGAATTGACCAGCTGCCAACCCTGTCCATTGCCTTTAACGCTATGTGCGATCGCCCGAAATCCACAGTTCCCATCCGCTTCAAAGCTGAACACCGAAGAGGTTGACTTGTGACTGATGGATGAGTGTACTACGTTCAAGGGACCACCTGCCGTTGACCTTTTATTTTGCAAAAGAAAGTTATGAAGAAGGTTTTTTCTGGCATTACTGCAAAGGTTGTCAGCTGAGGAGAAGAACTGCAATAATCAAAACATAGTACATTCTCGTATAGATAAAAGCATTACTTACTCAACAGTGGATGCCTGTCGTTCTTTATCTCTTTGCGTTTTCAGCTTCTTTTCTTCAATTCCAGAATGAATCAATCCTCTTTTCGTGAATGTCGTCTCCTTTTTTTCTTTCAACTACAATATTAACAATGGAATTCCAGATAAGATTAACCATAACTGTTCATACAGCATACCACCGACACTTATTCCTCTGGAGAGGGATTAAGCATCTTCTTCTAGCGATTATGCGATTTCGGGACTGGTGTATCATAATCGGTGGATCTGATTAACGTCTTCAAGAGAATTCACACTTTGTTCTATGTTGTATATCTTTTACGTGACTTTTCTTCTAAACGGTGCCAGCATGTCGTTTGTACTGTTACTGCTTTCAATAACCGCGTCGTGTACACTGTTTTGTGACGATTCTTGCGTGCTAACATTGTAGGATGAGTTGGAACGAGAATCGATCGCTTCGTGGGATTGGGTGCCTGCTTCATGCCTATACACAGTGTTTCCTGTAACGACGCTGCGGGCTAACAGAGAAACAGTGTGCAATAGCTGCGATACTACAGTTCATGCCGGAAAGTAGTAACTCTCACAATGCTCATGTCTCTGCAGTCACCACATACAACAGACCATCTGCAACAGCAAATCCAAAAATACATATTATAATATGGTTGATATTCTTCAAGTAAGGACAAGTTTTATTCTCGAGTCATCAGCATGCATGCATGTTCCAACAAAGATACGCATGCTGATATATGAAGCTCGAATCTATTTCTTCTGACGACTTGAGTGCGCATAATAATTTATCTTTTGATCTCCGTTAATGCTGTGTATTTTTGACAGCACTGAGTTGCCATTTTTGTCTATAAAGGGTCATATAAACTGTCATATAGCATCGCCTATTCATCTGTCGAATATTCATTCATCCTTTGTAACCGGTTTCCATATAAGGAAGATCGGGAGTTATCTACTTGGATCACATTTTTCCGTCAAATCAACAAGGGAGTTGTTATCTCCAAGAAGCAAGCTCATGACAGATTCTGATGATAGAAATCCACTGAGTGATTTACTTGTTCATATATAATGACAGATAAATTGAATAAGTCATCCAACAGTCTCGCCATCACAATAACTTAACCTATGCGACATAAGCAAAAGATACAGCTGACAGATCTGCAGAAGAGGCATAAAGAAAAAATGATACAATGGATTGATTGACTGCTTTTACAACCAAATGCTTCAAACTATTCAAAAAAAAAGGATATACTGTACATACAAAGAATCCAGTCTGAGCAAACTTTAGAAAACAAAGCCAATCCTGATAAAACCTTTTCATTCGTCGTTTTGAATCAGGAACCAACTCAAAACCACAACAAGAAATATGAACCGCCCAAGCTCAACCCGTGATGAAGATCAACTAGAGCCACCTTCGCAAAGAGTAAGACGAGTCCGTTTTGGTGGCGCACTTCTCGATGGGAAATCCCAACCTCAAACAGTGAGAAAATGCAAACTCTCTCAGGTTCTCACAAACACCTTCAAGTTTCTGAGGGTAAGTCGTTCAATGGTCATCCCAACATAAATTATCCTAACTTGTCTTACACTTCAAGAATGATATTCGAAAATTGAGCGAGAATTACGCTATAGCTCGACGGGAAGCTACCCTTCTGGCCAATCTTTACATTCGACGCTGTACTAACCAGGAGTTCTCGAGTTTTCTGCCTTTGGACCGTCCCACCTTTTGGTACAATTGTATTCGTCTGGTTATGCAGCCCAATGCAAATCTAAGAGTTGCCTGGGTAGGTTACTCAGACAGTACACTTTCCTTTCGTTTCCATGAAAATTTATCTCGCATCTTAGCCTTTGGATACCTGGTATGCCGATCTGGAAACCACATTCTTCAACTTCTACCAACCGTGCCGAGTCAATCCAGGGAACGGACAAGGTAGAAAATAACGATGGACCGAATGTATTTACATAATGCTTAACACATATGATGTATATATTATACTCCTCCGTAATGGCGTGAAGTGTTTCGTGAACTTGGTCATTTATATGCTGGAAAGATAATAGCAAGTAAGCCTAGTCGTCCTTTTGTCATCACATATTTAAATGATTTCCTGGATTATAATAGACAATCAGAGAAGGAACCATGGCAGAGGCGGGAGGCAGACAACGGCAGAGGATGATGGATGACAAGCAGATTAACAATCGAAAAAAAAAAGAATATAGACAACTCACCCTTTGAAAGCAACCGGCTCGAATTCGTCTGTCTATAAAAGGTCAATCAACCACCCACCTCATTTCTTTTCCCACTTCCATTATCAACATTTATAATTTTTTATTTCCCACTTCCATTATCAACATTATAATTTTCCATTTTCCTCTTCCTTTGTCGGCCAATTTTTTTTCCTGGCGATCTTTTTTTTATACTGCTGTGATATATGAGAGAATTTAGAAAAAGAGACAATGAGAACCCTTTGAGACATGTCGGATATGCTTACTTCGATTAATGTGATCTGCCTATTTATACTTTAGTCTTAAGTCGGAATAGATAATTATCAGTGAGTAGTCCTCGGTTATAAGGTGTATTTTGAAGGATTCGCATGCTGTAATGTGACAGCGTTACACGTATGAATTGATCTCGGTGATAGATCCAAGTTATGGATGAAGAGGCTCAATCGGTGTTCTAATGGAGTCGCTCACTCAGAAATGAAAACACGTCCGAATCCCCCATCTTTCTGAGCATTTGATTTCCCGCCGATCAATACCGAAGTTTTTTGGCGCAGGTGTTTCACATAGTCTCTTCATCGTGTAGAGGGGCTAGAGAGCTTGTAAGTTGTCGTTAACAATGATATCTTTTTATACTTTACTCAGTCGTATGAAATTGTCCTGACAGCTCCCGCCCAAGTCTTCTTGGGAAGACGAACTAAAGACCATTTTTGACAATTATTTCAAGCCTTCCACACGTGGTATGATACTGACAACGAACTTTATATATTTATAAGCACTCATTATATGGCAGGCTATGTTTACCCGAAATAGTCGCCCTTGCTCACTGACCTCGCTGACCAGTACGCTTCAGCGTCGCTCACAAGTAAATATATGTTATATTTTAATTGCTTGGCTATGAGAATATAGTAACCAGATATTTATACAGACGCAATCGAGCACCTCAAATTAAATATTCCTCGCTATTTGTCTCGTGTCTGGAAAGCATTTTTTCTTGACTATGCTAAGCGTCACGACGTTACGCTTACTGAAAGCCCAAAAAAGCTGGGTAAGTTAGAAAGTAGTTATGATGGGTAATCGAGATTCTAAAAAATCGATATAGGCGATAAGGCTATTTCCAAGTTATGCGCTTACAAGCCATATGATGTCAATGATTGGAACCATGTTGCCGGTAACAATGCCGATATTCAGTTATTTTACCAGTAAGTTTGAAAGCTGTATATTGAATACATGACCGCAACTAACAAAAATGTTTATGTAGGGAAAACCTGGATGAACGCAACCGCGAGTTTGCGGGTTTAACGCGGCCAGTATAGAAGAACAAACGGCCACAACGATGCCAGCCAACTTAATTCGGTACTCAGCATGGCTTTTACAGAAAGCGCACGAGTTGGGGACTAAACGGTGGTCTCTCCTTCACCAAGTTGGTAAGATATGGTACGGCATTATTGAACATATTTCGTTTGGGCCTTAATCATACATTTTCACAGCGTACGTTCGATTAATGGGTGATGGCTTATTTTATTTTTTAAACGAAGCCTGGATGTCTGGACATCCTGTTCCTCCCGCTTTAACAATTCGTGAAGATCGTGTGGAAAAACTCTGTGAATTACGCTAAGCAAATGTCTATAGTACGAAAAGCACTTAAAATCCGGAACGGTGTCACGTGTACAGTTTATTACCAGAGCCTTGTTTCTCAGATCCTACCGAGACCAAGAATTCAAGCAAGACCTGTGGGAAACAATTTTTAACATTGACAAAATTTGCCCAAAACGGTTGCGCTACTTGCAGGTGGAACCAGGTAAAAGGCTGTGGTTGATACAGCAATACGTTGAAAAGAGACCAACTTGCGACTTTTTTTTTCCTGACAATAAACAGTTCATTCAACAAAGCATACACAGTTTGCCAACGCCATAGAGACAGATAGTGTTATGACGAGCGTAAGGTTCGTTAAACGGTGGGACCAGGGTAAGTTCTTGCAATTGAAGGTGTATTTCCCATTATTCAGATGATTCCCCCTCAATCATTAGCGCCGTACCCCTCCTCAAAGAACGGCCCAACATGACCAATTGGACCAGAGGTCTTTATCATTTAAAGAAAGAACCGACTGGCCTGAACCCTGCCGCGCGTGTCATTGGTATTGACCCGGGTAAGTTTATTGATACTCATGATATCAACTCGGCATACAACTGATTGGTGATACGATAGGCCAACGCTCAGCCATAACAAGCTGTGACACGGACATCAACTTGCATTTGGAGGAGGAACGAAGCAATCACGTTTTCCATATCACCAATGGTGAATACCAGTAAGTACCGCTATTGGATATATACGAGAATAATTGCAAATATGTAACCGATTATTCGATATGTTTAGGCAGCGCAGTATGTTCCGTTGGACAACCCAGATGGAACTGAAAAATAGAAAACAAGCAAACATACAACCATGCTATGACGAAATCTAGGAAGCGGCATCCTCTGTCTTCACGATGGATGCGTTTAAGAAGTATATCGAGGCTATCGCTCGTAATCATCAGAAGTAAGTGGGAAGCAAAGCGCGAGAAGAAGTGTCCTGTATGTTAAACGATTAAATTCATATTCAATTGCACATTCAGCCACCGGAAAAAACGTGCGCTGCTTTACTCGCAAAGGCAAATGGTGCTAGATAAAATGGCCGACACCTTGCTCGGGGATCCTGCCGAGCCCAAAATTGTAAGTTGATGATATTTCACATCTTCTCAACATGTAGTAATGAACAATATGATTCAATAGCCTTGTCAATGGGCTTATAAAACCTCTCGAAAGACGTCAAAAAAGGAAAAACGCTCGAAGAAATGAGCGGAGGCCAGAGGGTGCAGCCATAGTCGCATCTGGGATGCAGACCTGAAGCCCATGAAAAAATATGCCCCAGTTCCAATCAAGGTACGGCACGATGGTAAAATGATATACTCCAGAATACATTGCTCATGGAAAAGTTACCAGGGTTTTCACAGGTTCTTGCCAGAAAGGCGCTCGTCATTTGCGTCGATGAGTTTCGTACGAGCAAGATATGCAGCCGTTGCGACTCAGAGACACTTGAAGTATGAGACGAGCAGATTCACGTATGCAACCACAAGTAAGTATAGCGAACTAGGGCATAGGTTGCATCGTTAACTCATAACAGGAAAAAGTATTGTCGACTCAAAAACATAGATAAAAGGCGTAGAAGACGGTGTCTTGATGATGATGGAAACGTCATTTGCTATTCATCTGAATGCCGCCAAAGCAGACCCGCGTTAGTTCAAGACTTTGTTGAAGTTGAGGGGTGGTACAGATACAATCAAGTAGGCCAATCTTGGCAAAACATTATTTACCCGATTACTGTGCCCCAGTGCAAGTCGGCGAATAACGATGCCAATCCACTGGTAAGCAATAGGGTCCGAATTGCTGTGGCGATATAACGACTAAATCATTGGTTGTATCAGATCTGGGATAGAGATATCAATGCTGCCGTGAACATGCGTCGCATTCTCCAGGCGTACATCAATTCCGGTTGTCGTATCGATTCCAGTCGGTCTCCCTCCAACGACGCGCACAAGCTGCGCTTGACGACGAAAGCCTCGTCAACTAGCCTTCTGGTCAAGGTTAAGTCAGGGTTGGTGAGTCAATTCGAGTTGAGTTTTAAATTGAATGACATCAGCAAAGATTAACCAATTATTATTTTTTATGTGCAATCTCTATGTGCATTTAGCAAAACCCCACATCATCATTGTTCCACCTCAGAGAAGCCCTCGTTTAATTCTCCTACGTACTTTTTTCTCTTTTAGCATCCCTTTAGCAAGAAAAAAAAAGTGAGTGGAATGTTCAAAGGAGCAAGGCTATGGCACAATTGCCTTGGAGCTTGAGCAGTATCGAGAACAGTGAAAACCAAGAAAAAGACGTTTTTATCTGTCAAGAACAAATTTTAGGCAATTTTGCCTCTTCTCACATTCTGTGAATTACGACGCATCGTGCATTCTTTTTCTCTTTTTGTTACCAGTTTAATGATAATGTTTATCAGATGATAACGTTTCCCGGATGATGCTGTATTGTGCTCTCAAGTGCCTTGATCTTTGAATCTTATGCCGCATCACTGATGCAAGTTCCCGGATCAATAACTTATATACGTACAAATTCCATAACAATGTCAAAGTCTCCACAGTGCGACGAAAACAAGGAGAGTAAGCCTCGTTTTGTCTAATGAATTCATCTTTTTTTTATTTCTTTATTTTCTTCGGGCTCCTTTCTCAACTTGGGCATATTTTCTCGGATAACTTTGCTTGTTGCCAAAATCAATGGTTTTGTACTCAGAATTTTTTCAATCAAACTGCATGAGCTGAGAGAGAAAAAAGAATGCCGAAAAAAAAAATATGGAAGGTTCCGGGGAAAACGGGCTGTCAAAAACAATTACCCCACTCTGCTCACGAAACAGAATTTCAAAGAGGCTATTGGTTTCACTTGGGAACGCGTGCGATTGACGGTTCCAAGAGTGTAAAACGTTCAATTGAGGTTTCCCCAGATCGGTGAATTGGTTCCCTGAAACAATGTCGACAAAATGACCAATCCGTCCTACTCTCATCATTACCTACCTCTCCTGCTGCCGTCGTCGTCATCCGCATCCTTCTGGAATCCAGCATCTGATCACGGCATGTACAGCTTGGAAGCCCCATCGTCCCCCTTGCCCAATATCCAGAAACCAGAATCTACCTTGGCTGAACAAGAACAAGGTCTTAAACGCAATTCAGAGCCACCATTACCACCGCCTTCAGCGCGTTTTTCTGGAGAACCCATTCAACAAATTCCGATCCGATCGGAACCTGCATCGCCCGTACAAGCACCTCCATCTGCATTTACAGAAGCCAATGCAGACACGATCGTCAATACGTTGGGAATGGCGCTCATCAATATCCAGCCGCAAGTCAAGAAACGGTTGATGATGAAAAGGCAGGAAAACGGTAAGAAAAAAAGTGGAAAGAAAAAAAACCAATAGAATACCCGCATAAACAATGCGTGCAGATTTATTTGCATCACTTATTGAATGACAGTCGTTGATTCATTCCAACCCTCCTTATTTTTCCCAGGCGCACCTCACATCCCCAACGAAGCGCTGTATTCCCTTTTACAACGTCCTGATGAAAAAGAACCGCCTCATGTCGACCCATCTTCGCCCCAGCAACTCGAACGCATTATTGACGTGTACTGCCTCATGACCAGTTTTATGACAATCTATCTCCTCTTTATCGAGATACTGCTGCAAGATCTTATGGATGGTCATGCCCACACATTTGAAGGTTACATGCAACTCTTTTCCGTGCAAGACGATGTGTTTTACCACCAAGACGATATGTTTATCTGGTACTACTTGTACGCACGAAAGGAGACATCCATCCTCCATGATATTCGTACCAGCATTCGTAAAACCGGGATTCAGTTTCGGTCGCTGACGCTTGTCGACACCATCTTTTCCCGCTTTTATACCCATCATTTTCTGGAATTGGCCGCTCAGAAACATCAAAAAGACCATGGCCAGTTTTATACGCCGCAAAGTGTCGTCCAATTCATGTGGAATCGGTGCCTCGATAAGCAGCAATTGATGCAAAGTGCAAGTGCTGGTCACGTGCCACGGGTCTTTGATCCATGCATGGGCATCGGCTCCTTCCTGTGCGAATTTCTTGCACGACAGGTCGAAAGCTGCAGCGTGATCTGGAATCATGCCGATGTATTGCTACGCTTACTGACCACTGTGATACCCCAGCATGTTTGGGCAGTAGAAATCGATCCGTTTGCTCATCATCTCGGTAAACTGAACGTCATGGTCCATCTCTTTCCATTCTACCGACGTCTCATTGAACTCAAGACACCTCTTACTCAGCGCATGATTGATCGATTACGTCTTTTTCGCAACGATACCTTGAAACTCGATACCACACTTCCAAATATGGATGCCTGGGAACAGCATCAGCTCCACCGTTTACGCGACGCGACCGAATTGAAGTTCGATTACATCGTAACCAATCCTCCCTACATGATTCGCAAGACAGGCTTTATCACCGTCCCTGACGCCGCCTTGTACGATGAACGTGTGTTGGGTGGACGAGGCACACAAGCCTACCTGTATTTCATGTGGATTTGTCTTCAACGGATCGACGATCACCATGGTCAGTTATGTCTGATTACGCCCAGTCAATGGATGGTACTAGAATTTGCTGAACATCTCAGGTAACCCTGTCAATAGCGAATGCTTTACATTTTACCCACCATACTGATGGATTCGCGCTGTTTCTACGACGAAAAAAAAAAATCGTTTAGGCTTTGGATCTGGAAGCATTGTAAACTCTTGGAAGTTTTCCAGTTCGAGCCATACAAAGTGTGGCGCAAAGTGCAGACCGACTCGCTCATCTTTTTACTCTGCAAACGATCGTTTATACCACGACAAGGACACACCAATACGCACGCAACATTATTCTTGCGTCACTTATCGCGTCGAATAGGGTTGGAAGCCATCTTGCACTCGTATGAAGCATTTGATCGTCTCATTCCTTACACCCAGGACCCATCGATCGCCTCCAAGATTGTACCGACGGATCCACTCGATCGGATTCATGAGTCACCCCACGCTTCGTTTGCTTTTTTGTATCCATCCACTTCCGTTTCCGATCAACTGATGAAGTCCACAGCTCACTTTCCGCGTCTCTGCGATGGCGAATCACGACTTTCCGATGTAGCTTCTACCCACATCCCGCTTATCTGGAACCGTGGTCCCAATACCAACCCTGTCTATGCACTCGTTGTTCGAACAAGCTGGGCTATTCGAACTTTTGGTCAGGCTTGCTGCGATCGTTGGTTACGACCCGTCTTTTACTGGAATGGCAAATCGTCAGCAAGGACGGGAAAAGAAACATCCGTGAGCAAAGAAGTGGCGTTTTGGCATAACCGTGACTCGGGTCGTCTCACAAAAAAGGAGAATTCGCCTGCAGAAGCGTACGCTCCCTTTTGTCGCAAGGATCCAGAAGCGGGCGATTCTTTTTTCTCCTTCTACTCATTGATCCTCGTGGATAAAGAAGGAGCCGAAGAACTGGAAACCGATCAGCGGACCTTGGGTGAAAAGGCCACAACCTGTGCTTTGTATCACTATCTGAAGGAAGCACGTCAAGCCCTTCAGCCGACGAAAAACGACCGTACGCTAGCTTGGTGCCATTACAACAAATGCGGCCTTCAGATTCCGGTCAAAATCGTCCACCCCATCAATTTTGGCTACTTCAGTCGAACTCAACCGCGACAGCGATTCTTTGTCGACCGCACCTCCCAATGTGTCACCAACCAATGCATCTATTTCACGATCAAGCCCGACAGTCCGTGGCAATCGGCTGATTATTTTTGCGGCCTACTGAACTCGAGCACCATCCAGTATTTTATTCGCGCTCACTGTTATTACGATCAGCAAGGTCGAACCCGATTCTTTGGAAAAAACATGTCCAAAATCCCATTTGCTCCTCCGATCCACGCCGATGATGTGGATACGATGGCCGCGTTTGTCCAGGATCTTACCGTGACACGCTTATGGATCTACGAAATCATTGAAAAAACACGGTTACGGACGGTCATGGACAAGGTGCGTAACTGCATGTGGGATATTTCGACGACCGACCAAATGCTACTGAAAGAATATGAGAAACACCAAGGTGGAGATTGGTGGTGGGATCGCGATCCACACTCGGATCATTGGGTCGATGCGAAGATACGGAGCATGCGACCACGAAGTATCACTCTGTGCGTTCTTTTGACGCGACTGCTGATGATGGCTTCCTTACTGCAATGTTGCATCGACCATCTCACCTATTTCATGTACGGTATTCCACCCCAGTTTCAAAAGGAGCTTGAGCTGGAACTTGAGCTCTCATTGACGGAAACATGGTATACCCTACTTGGTGACGATGTCTACCTCTTGGAAAAAGATCGTGAAAAATGGCAGCAGAAAATGACTTTCCTTCTACGGTCTCTGTGCACGGATGGCCATTGTGGGGCGTCTTTTGCGACTACAACTTTTGAACCATCATAAATTTCTAGACTCTATAGTAAAATTAATGTATTAGTCGATAGGCAGACTTGAAAAAATGATAATAAGATGATGATAAAATAGGCTCTCTAACACGGGGGATGAAAACAAGGGTAAAAAAAGATATCAATGCACATGGAATATGAAAGGTATTTTCAAGAGTATCGAGGTGGCGAAGAAGAAAGATGAGAGGATGATTCGATCGCAGCGGAAGAGGGTGAGGTAGTCGCTTCCGAATACGTGAGTTGAGGAGTGTCGTGTGATGCTTGGGATGCGTCAAAAAGGATGGTATCTCTAATGTGGCCACCGTAGGCGGGAGGTGGCGGCAGTGCGTCTTGTCTGGGTGCAAATGCAGCTTCGCGTAGATTGGCTAAACGCACAAAAATAAAAAATATTAGATACTTTTTGATCTGGGATAGTCATCTTGACATAGGCAACTTACCGGCCGCATAAAGGAAATCTATTTTGGTATAACGCGATCTCAAAGTTAGACACGATTGGATTTTCTTTTTCCAAATAATCTTAATTACCTTGTTGGCCAAAATTGACTGATACTTGGCATGTTCCTCGAGCCCCTATGGCTGGATAAACAGGAAACTTGAATCCAATCAATGCTTTGCCAAGATTCTAAAAATATAAAAGAATGAGGAAACTCATTAAAAGTTTCATCGCATTCGCTAAATGCGCCAAAAATCCTAGATCGTACCTGTCCGTTGTGCGTGAAAAACACGCAAGCAAACTGCGAAAGAAAACCAACACCAACCACATCACCTTGCTGGATGCAAGGACCATACGGCCGACCTGTCTTTGGGTTACTGGCATGCACTGCGCCTGTGTGGGAGTGATAAGCGACCGAATGCCGGTAACATCCTACTCATTGTGGATCCCAATATTAATCTATCAACGGCCTACTTGCGGTGATTGTATTTCTAAGCGACCGTTTCAGTTTACCTGGCAAACACCACGTTGGATAAGGTTTGGTTGCCAAGCCGATCGCCAAATGGTCTTGGTCAGTGAGTTGCAATATCTTGACTTCCCAATAAACGAAATCTTGTAGAGGAATAGGAAGATTGGTGAGAATGCAGCCTTGACCGTCAGCAAAGACGATTGTAGTGCGATCAATCACGGCAACATTGCATTCTTCCTCCGCGTCCTCTGTGAATTCGTCCTCTACAAATGTCCATGCTGCGACTCCGCGTTCAGCGACCAAGGCGATTTGACTGGCGTCCACCCAGGTGGTGGTGTTCGGAGGATGCTTTCGTTGCCACCCTGCCAAGTAACAAATAGCCAGGAATTAGATCAGCTCGCGTCACAGTAAATGCAAGGTAGTTCCATTTGTACCTATTGTTCTGTCGTTGATTTCATGTGTGTCTGGCGTAGGTACGCTTGGCGAGAACATGGAGTCCATGGGTTGCCATTCTTGCTGGATCGAGGTTGGATTGCCAGGCACGGTAGCTCGACGATAGATGCGAATGCCGAGACCGCATACGATGGCAGCCAAAACAATGATACAAATAATAATCACAGCATAAAATTCCTGTCCAGCCATAAAATAGGGGATCACACGCACGCGTTTTTTGTCTGATAAAGTGGTGGCAAATACAAAAAAGAGGCCACTGCCAAATTGTCATCCATTCTTTCCTTTTCTGTCTTCCTCATTTTACTTTTTGGGATGCCGCTCAGAAACACGGCCTTGGCCTTAATTACGATGATTATGCAATTTCAATCACCACGATGCTTACTGCGCGATACCCAAGCTCACCTATACGTATCATATGAAAATAGCATACAGCAGGAGCTGGCATTTATAAAAGTCGTCATGTTACTTTTTTTGTACTTTACCTGTATCATGAACACTCGACTGCAGAAAAAGCTGTCATTTGCAGGAGTGTGGGGAATAAAGTCACTGAAATATTATTTGCGGCATATTCGCTAACCGGAAGAGACCATTGGGTATATAAACGTTCGGCTAAAACCGAGCATTTGTTGCGTTCCTTCAGACCTCGGTGAACCTTGCAAGTGTCCATCCAAAAGATATGCTAACCAGCTTCTGCAATAATGAAGAATAGTATACCATACAGGCAGTAAGTGAATGGGTAGCAATATGGAAGATCTAAGGATGAGTTCGCCAGTGTAGCAGCTGAGCAGAGCGTGCAGAAATTATATGCGGTGGTGAATGTTTCGGTATGTGCCTTATACCCCATATGCCTCGGACCCATCGCTCGCATATAAACCCTGAAGATCATTCTTTGTAATTCACCATACATCATGCCGGAATGTACACGGATCCATCCATTATCAAAATATTTGCTTTGCCATCCATCGTAACAGAAGCTATGCTATAAATGATCGATTTTTCCAATACTTTGGATTTTTTTTGGATATTTGAGCCGATTGTAATTGAAAACATTACAATCGTCACAACCAAAAAGGTCCAAGCCGTACCAAGGCTTACTTGCAGTTCTATTTGCTCAATGCCGATGGGAAGACATACTTTGGTAGAGCGGCCCATCTTGATTGGGAAGATCCGTTTGATTTTTTAACGGGTTTGGCGATCGGCAGCTCTTTCCGATTTCATACGGAGAATGGTTTCGGACAGCAATGTTTCATGCATCCAAGCAGCCATGAGCAGCGATTAGGTACAAACTAAAACCAGTATATGGTTACTGTAGCATAAATTGATCCATGCAGCAGCAACATAAACTGAGATCCGCGGGACATTGTGATATGACATTTGACTTCCAATTTGTAGTTTCAAATCTTGCTTCCCCATTTGTTGCAAAGGTAGCAAGCCCAACAATACAGGATTATCTTTTCAAACCCTTCCCAGCCGCGCCAACTAAACTAAGGCCAAAGTGGAACGGGTAAATACAGCTGGGAACCATCCCATGCTTGTCTCTTCAGTCATGTATATCGTTAACTAATCTTTGGACTTCGAACGATCGAAGAAAGGACGATCCTATCGGTCAACTCTAATGGGTCAGATACATCGCTTTCGTTGTAAGATAGAGTGCTTTTCACTTTTTCTAGAGAGGTACTGGGATTAGTAGCCCCCGTGATTCCTTAAAATTATCATTTTTTTCTTCTTTACATTTAACAAGCCGTACACCCGCTGTGCAATGGATGCCACCTGCTACTGGATGCCGCACTCTTACATTGAGCGACATTCGTCAGACAAAAGCCTAACGCAATACGGCATAACCTGGGCGAGACTCTTGATGGAACTTTGGTATATTAATGTCAATACTCTGGCATACCATGAAACACTTTTAATGAACAAAGCAGCACTTATTGACCCCCTCCGTTCTGTCCCGCCCAAGGTTATGATAGATCTACAAAGATGTGTGGGAATGTTGGGTATTTAAAAAAAATGAGTTAGTAAGCTCTTTGGTTGATTCAAATTTCGTTGAGATATTTTACCTTTGATGTTTGATGCAGCAGATACCGAGGGCTTCCCGACCGAAATAAAGAAAGGATACAAATATAAAAAAAAAGTAAATACAATAGGTACGTCTGTAAAAACCCCCTAAAAACCCTGTGGGAAAAAAAAGGAGGAAAAGACTGCAAGAAGACTATTCACTAAAATACAAAATACATACTACAACTACAAAATAAAATGGTCGGGAAGAAATATCGAAGGCGATACCACGGGCAGCAATCCATATGAGAGGAACCTGGGGAGGACGCGTCAGCGTTTCCCGATGAGAAAGAGAGCCACACGACCGAAGATGTCCTTTGACGACAAAAACCGGATTGGCCACAATCTGGTGCCCGAACAAAGTAGAAAGGTTTTGGAGGGATGGATGACTTGCCAAGCGAAAAGAAAACCGGAGAGAAAACCAAAAGCTAAAGAAGGGGTAGAGAAAAAAGAACGTGAGTTTTTTCTTGTCGAAAAACGAATAGTCACATCACACAAAAGGTACCTTTTTTCATAATAATCGAATCGACCGGATCAGATACACGCCATAGTCTGGATGATGGATGATGGATGCAATGATAGTGAGGGATTTCCAGGCAAACAGAAGAGATGCAAAACTAAAGAAGAAGAAAAAATTCGGACAAAAATATGTGATTTTCCATGGATGAAACAATAGTCACCTCACTGATGCATGAATGATGAGCTACACAGATCGAAGCATATCTGCTCCATGTATCATTCGATTACTGAAGAGAATGAAAGGGCATATACAGTCTAACTGACAGATAACCCAAATTAAATGATGCTACAAAACACCAGATCGTCGTATCGTCAATCACCTTTCTTCAAAAAAGAGCTCCACTCACAATTTATGTGAACGGCGACGATGCTCTGTTTAACCACAACTGGCGCAAACGGCATCTTGCTGCTGATTGTTTCGCCTATTATCGTGAAAGTGGGCAGCGAGGCATGGTTGAAAGATGAAAAAAAGGTTTAACAGGTCTTGATAACTTAGTGTAGATCATGTGATTTACAAAATCGCTAATTTTTCAAAGATTTTAATTATTAGACTAGGTGGAGCCCGTGATCTTCAAGATCACAATTGGGGATATTTATTGGTAGACTCAGGGTATGCTACCATGGGTGTGGTTAGAATGGCATGAAGGTGTGCCAGTTCTAACGTATGAGGTAGAGGACGCAGGTGGAGCCCGTGATCTTCAAGATCACAATTGGGGATATTTATTGGTAGACTTCAGGGTATACTATATTTTTGGTGAAATGTTCATTTGAAGTTTGTAAAAATGAACTTTCTTTTTTAAGCATTACCTTTAGTGCAGATGGTTTTTTGACTCTGGAGAAAGCAACGTACAACTGTCCATGGGAAAATACTGACGCCGGCAAATATAGCCCAACAGCATCCAAGGTCTGACCTTGTGCTTTGTTAATTGTCATTGCAAACGCTAATCGCACTGGAAATTGGCGTCGTTGAAATTCAATAGGAGATTGCATTTCTGTGGGCTTGAGCTTGATTCTAGGTATAAACACCAATTTTCCTGCATGTTTCCCGGTTGCAATTTCTGCCTCGATCACAAACTGTTGGAATGAGCGGCATATAAGCCTCGTTCCGTTGCAAAGACCGTTGGATGGATTGAGATTGCGCAGCAGTATGACAGGACAACCTATTTTTAGTAGGAGTCGGTGTGGTGGAAGGCATCCAGGATTGATCGAATTGAGAACCTCCACGGTATGCAGCATTTGTTGACTTTCATCACAGACGCTATCTGCGCTTAGATACTCTGTTGCCTCACCTGGAAACTGTTCCAAAAGGAGATCATTGATTGTCTCAACGTCAGAGTTTTTCGGTGTAAGGATAGCGCGGGATGTAAGGTACTGCGAAGAAAGATTCTCTTCCCGAAAGTCATGAAATATAGCTGAAGTCAAATTTTGCAAGTTTTCGCCAGGAATTACCATGCTTTGGGGGATGCTGATATAGCTTGTATTCAAGCGTGTAGGCTCTGTCCCATTACCGATACGTAGCAAGTATTCACTGAACTGTTGAAGTTCCTGTGGACTTTCGTTTTGTTGTGGTCTCTGAACTCGCATATTGGTCGTCAGGCGTAATGTTTGCACATGCGCCCAAGAAGCAGAGCGGTTGATACACATATTGACGATATCGGGACGCGACCCTCGGGGAACCACAGGCAGGACTTGTCGAAAATCACCTCCAAACACTACCAACTTTCCTCCAAACGGTACGGATTCCAGACGTGGGTTTTCAGCTTTGAAGAGATCTCTAAATGTTCGATCTACTGCATCAAATGCAAACCGGTTTATCATCGATGCTTCATCCCACATGATTAGCTTAGTAAGTTTCAGTAAATGGGCAAGCTCCGTTCTGTGAGACACGTTACAAAAGGAATGTTCGTGCGTAGTCAATGGTATCTTAAACCGTGAATGGGCGGTACGACCACCATCCAAAAGAAGAGCAGCTGTTCGACTGGATGCGACGGCTAAAGCAATTTCTCCATTACGACGGACATGGGAAAGTAGGGCATTGAATAAAAATGTTTTTCCAGTTCCTCCAGGTCCATCAACAAAATATAGCTTGCTCCTTGGTGATGCATCGTCAGCTGCACGGATGATAGTGTCAAAGATGATCTGCTGGTCATGGTTAAAGTCCAGATTGGCTGGGTTTGGTAACCTTTGTGCTTCTTCGTTAAGTGACAGCTGTTCTTGAACTAAACGTGGTAGACGTGGTAAAGATATGGAAGTTGGACGGCTATCAACCTCAGGAAGAGAGAATCCAGCAAAATTTTGCAAAGACAATGACTGTGATTGCAGATAATCCTCGATATCCATGATACAGCGTCCGTACATTGTTTCTGTTGGTTCCAGAGATGCATCATTCTGTTCAATTCTATCAGCATGGAGATGATCCTCCACCATATGTTGTCTGTGGCGAAGCCAAAGTGCGTAAGGGTCAGACGGTTCACAGAAAGCCAAAATTGTGCCAAATAGCATCCTCAAGGAGCTGGGTGCTTGATAGATCTCGGCATTTTCCAAACAGTGGTCCCATTCGTTATCGTTGGTAAGCAATCCACGCCTGCGTGCAGCTTCTTGGAATGTCAAACAAAGTTGGCCGTTGACCGTTCGCAGATCCTCAAAGCTAGTTGCTCCAGGAACATGATAGAGAAGGAGGCGAAGATAATATTTTTCCGCTTGCCGCGGCGAGATGTTATATATGCGCCCAATAACAGTATTGTGTCCTCTAACACGAACTGTCCATCTTCTTCTTCCACTTGTATTCCAAACGTAATGTCTTGGGAAATCAGAGTATAAGATGGTTCTTGCTGATGGATCAATCTGGTTTGTTTCGAACCATGCTGTTAATGTCGTCAAAGGTCGGCGGCTTGCAACATTTTGAGGACTCTCATCCTCATGGAAAAAAATTATCTCTTCTCCTGGAAGATGTACTGCAAGTCTTTGATGTGCTGGAAACTCGTGATGCATAGAGAATGAAAAGATTCTCCAACAGGCTTCAGACGCTGACACGTACCGAGAATCAAGATACTGACGGATTTCATCATGGTTTTCGGCCTGGAGTACAACGGATGCACGGTCGTGTCCTTTGAAGACATATTTGTAGATATACTTGACTGATTTAATGGTTGTGCATATTTCGACATTGATGTGTGCGTCATATTTCGAGCAGAGGTAAATATTATGCGGCACAACCCATCGGTTGTCAAGTAAAATCCCATTTTTGCGTACGGTTCTTCCGTCATTGCGCCTTCGGTACAGAGGATACCCATTTTCGTTGCACGTTGTCTCTTCTTGAAATGCACGCGGGAAGTGCTTTGTGCACCGACCGTTTTCCATGCATGGCGATGGATGCGAGGCTGCTATTCCACATGGGCCATGCATCATATGGTTCGTGACAGTTGCATGAGCAGATGGGAACTGCTGTGGATCAGGTATCTCCGCCGATACGATAGAATCGTAGTGCTCTGGCGTCACAGGTTTATCGGCTTCTTTTAAAATGAGTAGAATATGCGCATGAGGCAATCCTCTTTTCTGGAACTCGACGGTATAAACGTAGCCAATTACTTTTCCAAGTGTATGATTTTTTGTCAGATCCTTCAAAAGAGCTCTGAGCTTGAGGTTGAAAACTCGTGCTGTCAAATCTGGCCGATCAGATACTGTCTGTGAAGCAAGAAGCTCATTCCGAATTTCTGGCCATTTTGGATTACACGTGAATGTAATGAAGAGGTCAGGCTTTCCGAAACATCTGACGATACTCATTGCATCTTGGTACAGCTGTTGCATGTTTCGAGGGCTGCCAATGAATGACGACGGAAGGATGACAGGCTGACCGATGGAATTCATATTCATATTGTTGTCGTCAAGTTGGAGAGCATCTTGTACGCCTGAATACACATCAGCACGCAGTCGGGCCTGGTTGAGGCGAAGGTAATTGAGGCGGTTTTGTTCCATCTTGGCATACATATCTACGATATACTGCTGAAAGAGTCGGCCAAAGAGGTGCAAGTGGTGTCCATCATTTCGATACATCAATCTGAAACTGTAGTAGTTCATCACGGTGACTCTGTCGTTTCTGGTCGATCGAGTTTCAATGTTCCACCCAGGGTCGCCTTCAGGAAACATCAGCACGTAATGGAGTGGGTCATACAGGCGATGCATCTCACTGATTGATGTCAGTTGGTTACTACGCCTACAGATCACAATATCCCTTCCAGAGGCCTCTGCGTTTTCACCGATAATGACACCAATTTCAGAAGCATTTGGTGCATTATAGCGTCGTGGATCTGGGACATCGTCAGCTCGAATAATCATTCTGATGTTGGAAGCACCACCATTATCCTGTATGTATTGGGCCATTGTCTTGAAAAGATGGACGAAAGGATTGGTTTCATGCATTAATTGCTGAAGTACTTCCAAGGTGTCTCGCGCGAGATGGCTTGCAATTGCATGTCGATTTGATATTTCGTTGTCAGTATCATGGACGTATATTTGTGCAAATGCAGGTCGTTGGCCATTAGCAGGAAGTAGCGATCCCATCAAATGGTAAACACTTCCATGAATACGGAAGCAGTAAGCGCCCCGTCTGCCATTCATTACACTTTCGTCTAAATTTATACCAAGAGAAGTAAAACTGAGAGCACTACAATAAGCTCTGATCTTGAGCCGGAAATCTTTTGCTTGCGCCCCAGTCCCTGTCAAAAGCGAGGCAATCAAAGGAGGGGTGGGTTTGAGAGGAGAAAGTACAAATTGACCATTTCCACAACAGAGCTGAAACTTAGGATCATTCATAGTACTTCCAGCAGTTTTTTCTCCACTCCACATTCGTGCCTGACAGTGGCTGCAGATGACATTCATGGCTCCTACATTATGAAGATTTGGCATCGAGACATTGGGATCGCGAGCCACATTGGTGAAATTTTCTGTATTTCCGTCTTGATTATGAAGGGGACAATGGCGGTTTGAGCGACGACGATGTCCTGTTTGACCACAACTGGTGCAAACCGCATTTTGCTGCTCATTGTTTCGCCCATTATTTATAGTAGTGTTTCGTGGAGAGAAATTTGGGCAACGACGATTGGTAGAACGCTGGTGATCGTTGCCGTTGCAAGATGGGCAGCGAGGCATGGTTCAAAGATGAACAAAAAAAAAGGCACCAATCGAAAGAATCGAAAGAATTGAGATTCTAATGACTTGGTGTATTGCAAAAAGATATTAAGAAGTTCTGATAGCTTAGTGTAGTTGAAGAAGAAAAGAAGGCACAAAAAAAAAAGAATAATAAGAGGTTCTGAAGAGAGAAGGCACAAAAAAAAGGTTCCGATAGCTTAGTGTGCAAGTCATGTGATTTACAAATTGCTAATTTTTCAAAGATTTTAATTATATAGATAAATTAAAGGCCACCCATATTGATATACTTGATATTCATGTAATCATCCAAACCGTAGCAGGATCCTTCTCTCCCCAATCCGCTTTCTTTTACGCCACCAAATGGTGCATAGCAGTTGGAAATGGCGCCAGTATTGACCCCGACCATGCCCGTTTCCAATTTCTCGGCCACTCTCCAGATACGACCAATGTCGCGCGAAAAGAAGTAACCCGCCAGACCAAATGGTGTGTCATTGGCCAGTTTCAAGACTTCATCCTCGGTCGAGAATCGGAACAAAGGAGCAATCGGGCCAAACGTTTCCTCGCTCGCAATCAACATGTCGCTGGTCATTTCCGAAAGAACGGCAGGCTCAAAAAAGTTGCCGCCTAAATGTCGGCCACCGACAAGGATTTCGGCACCTTTGCTAGTAGCATCATCCAGATGCTTCTTCACCTTTTCCACGGCATTGCTGTGGATAAGAGGTCCATGCGTCGTGTCGGGATCAAATCCATGGCCCACTTTGAATTGGCCCACTTTCTCGGCTAATCTACAAGCGAACAAGGGATAAATGCCTTTTTGCACATAGATACGATTCGCACAAATGCACGTTTGTCCAGTGCCTCGGAACTTGGAAGCGATGGCGCCTAATAAGCCAAGCTTAATCAAAGGAAAAAAAATAGGAACCTTGGCCTGCGCATGTTATCTAGAATAAACTACCTTCCACAGCAGCGTCCACATCGGCATCGTCAAAGACAATAAACGGTGCGTTACCACCCAATTCCAATGATACTTTTTTCATCGTGCCTGAGGCTTGTGACATTAACGTTTTTCCAACCTTGGTCTATTATTCTCAAGTTAAACAAGATCGTTTTGTTGATTTGGCATGGTTATTCAAACGTACCGATCCGGTAAATGAGATTTTTCGCACGAGTGGATTGGTGCAAAGCTCGTTACCAATGTCTGACACATGCTTTTTGGTGGTGACGACATTCACCACTCCTTCAGGAATGCCCACACGTTTGGCCAACTCGCACAAAGCCAATGCAGAGTAGGGGGTTTCTGCCCCGGGCTTAATGACAACCGTACAGCCTGCCGCCAAAGCGGCCCCGACTTTGCGCGTAATCATGGCTGTTGGAAAGTCTAATTGCCCATATCGTTTGCTTATTTAAAACATGATACTTTCTGTTGAGATGGAGTCAAATAATCCACTTACTCCATGGTGTAATAATGCCGACTACACCGACCGGTTGTTTGATGGTAAGGTATCGTTGGTTCGTCATGGGTGACGGGATCACTTTGCCGTAGGCACGTACGGCCTCTTCGGCAAACCATTCAAAAAAGCTGGCGCCATAGGTAATTTCTCCTTTGGCTTCCGTGTAAGACTTTCCGTTTTCCCAGGTCAAAATGGTCGCCAAATCATCCTTGTGGGCAATGACAGCATCGTACCATTTTTTCAATAAATCATGGCGCTCTTTCCCTGTTTGCTGAGCCCACAATGGGAAAGCCGCCGAGGCTGCCTGAATCGCTCGTTGAGTGTCCTTGATATCCATTTCAGGCAACTGTCCAATTTCCTCCCCCGTTGCAGGATCTACATCAACACGTGTACAGTCAGCCATCACACAAATCGCCTGCCTGTCCCTTCCACATGGAGGAATTTTTTACCGTAGACGGGAAATTTGGCCTCAGCATTGTGTGACAGCACCCACTCATTATTGATAAATGCATAATGGCGCATCAAGTCGGCATCCGATAACTAGACGCAGTGATGGTCAGTGGTATACAAAAGAAAAGGCACCTAAATGAATTCCTACTTTTGGAATTTTCGTGGATGATGCTAATGTGCGCCATGCTGATGGGTTGACGAGCACGTGTTTTCTTGGTGCATGCGATAGATTGAGGCAGGAATGTACATAAGGCGTTCGCACAATAGATCGCAACATGGTATGTCGGATTGGAATGAATGAGAAAAACGCAAAAAAGTTGGCGGGAAGAACAAAAAGCCTTGCCTATCACACATTTTGGCATGCTTTTTCGATTAAAAACCGCGGGATGATGGCAATATGACATAATGGCTTGAAGCCTAAACTTAAATCGCGAACAAAGAAATTATTAACATTGGCCGTGGACTACTGTTTGAAGCACGAACACGAATTCTCTAACAAACTCATTTCACTTCATACAAATATCGATCACTGGCGATAAAAATAGAGATAGAAATAAAACTATCTGAATGGTGTGTGAACAAAAAATTCAGGAAATTTGCGTTTTTAACATGTCTGAGACCCCCAGACCCTAAAATCACAGAAATTATGCGAGAAATTAAATTTGTGAATGGATCATGTTAAGTAAATCCGTTCGAAGACTAGGTATTTCTGCAGGAGCCACCCGCATGCAGCAAGATACTCGTAATATGGTACCATCGCCTCCAACGATAAACATACGGCGATTGACTGATGACTGCCTTGGTCATGTTTGCTTTTGGGCGGAATCCGGCGACGATGGTATATATTTTTGAGCTGGAAAAACGGGATCAGGCTGTTAAACCCAGACTCCACGCGTCCCGCTGGCTTGGTCGCCACCGGGTAATACGATGAGTGATATGGCACCTACGACGGGTGATATGGCGGTGACAAAAACCAGCACTTGATCTGTGCCTCCGCTGAAATGAAAATTCGGATGGGTATAATATGATGGGTTTCAGAGCGTGTCGCCGAATTGTTCAAGCATATAGGTTAATGCTCGTCTTGTTTGCTCTTCATCTTCTTCTTCATCTTCTTCTTCCTCTTCAATGTCATCATCGCCTTCAAGGAAATCGAACCCATAGTCGCGAGCATCACTCGTGTTGTAGTCATCATTGGCCAGTGTTTCTTCCGCCGTCTCTTGAAGTTCCTCTTTTTCCATCCCGTTGGAAGGTCCAAAAATTTCCTGCATGATGTGAAGTAATTCTGACGGAATTTCATGATGACCAGAAACGACGTCCCTAGGATCAATGGATCCTGTAGGCGGCACAGGCAAGGAGACTGGATGCATCGTAGGTAGTGAAGGCGGTATCGATGAATCATGGTTCGGCGACGGTGAAGTGGCGGACACCTGCGATGTGGCTGCATCGGCTGATGTAGGTTGTTGCAAGGTGGTATTGTCCAATAAAGGCTCAACGTTGGCTACTTGTTCTTCGGTCAGAGACGCCATAGAACTGAGCATGTCGTGATCACTTTTCAGTTGCTGAAGTTTCTGTTGCCACATTTGCCGTAGTTGTAACAGATCTTCGTGATCAACAACGAGGTTGGCATGGAGTTGACGTGCTCGAGGTCTAGATCCCAGCACGACAACATAGATTTCCTTGGTGAGTGCTTCCTAAATTGAAAGATCGGAACAAGTTCACTTACGCTTCGTGTGAAATGTAGGCATTGCGAAACAAACAGACGGGACGCTGGCGAGTCAAGATGGGTTTGGACTTTACGTGAGGATTCTGGGTTTGTCGCAATCCTGCGCGACTGGTGTATTTTTTTCGAAAATAACTCGGCTTGGTAGCAAGCGGTTGCGGCTGACCCAAAGTTGATCCATGGCTTTCCATACTTGTCGGATCAGCACCATGAGGAAGAATTGGCGGGATCCTTTTTTATTTTTCATCCATTTCCCTGTTCGGCCTTTTTTTTTTTTTTTTACTTGGGCGCGAAAAGGCCTACAGTGACTGCTTCATCAATGAATAGGCTTTCCCCCCTAAAACGTTCCGAACAGTTAAAGGACATACGCGGGAAAAGAAACCAATCCAAAGCAAAGCAATAATCAAGCAGTCAATGAAAAAAAAAGTCATGTGCAATCAATGATTGGTGACAAGGAAGACCGTTGAAGAGATGGGGTGCTTTCTATGCAGCAGTATTGGAAGGGAACGAAGCGAAATTCCGGTGATTCGAAAATGAACTATTGTTCATCCCATAATATAGTACCTGGACAAAATTCCGAGTGTTCATTGTCTCTCTTTTTTCGCTTCTTACCTTTTTCAAATAATTCAATACCGAACCAGTTTTATGGATTGCTTGTCGTCTGTAGCATGAAAACTCTTCAATCAGATAATGAGGTCTGAATATTCAATGCAATGAAATTGATAATACTGCAAAGAAGAACGACACTTTTAATGCAAGTTTTGTTTGCAGCTCATGTCCAAAAAGTCCACCCTCTTTCAAACTCGCTATCTTAAACTTCATGTATTAGGCAAAGGTAATTTTGGTAAAGTGTATCTTGCTGAACATCGAACGACCAAAGAAAAGGTGAATGAGATTATTATTATTCATCAACTTATTCTTCCTTTACCGTTTGAAACGCCAATGACGCTCACTACCATCTTATCCAATCCGCTCTCTAGGTCGCCATCAAAGTGGTGGACAAACGCGCTTTTCAAAAGAGTGATCAAATACAGCATGCTGAAAGCGAACAATCGTTGTGCGAAGCGTTTGCAACACGCATGAAACATAAACATATTGTCGACGTACACGAAGTAATTGCCGACGATCACTCTATTTACATTGTCATGGAATATATGCAAGGCGGAGACTTGTTTGAACAAATCAGACAATCAGCCTACATTGCTGAGCCAGTAGCGCGACGATGGTTTCGAGAAATAATGGAAGCCGTACACTTTATTCACAGTGTAGGTACTGAAGACCACAAAACTAACCAGTGGGTCAGCCTCATGCAATTTCATCCTCTTTTTTTGCTTTTACTTTTAGCATGGAATCGTGCATCGAGATCTCAAGCCCGAGAACGGTGAGTCCCTCGCGTTGCATCGAAAGGAAACGTCGCCATGTTGACTGATAGATACTAGTGTTAATTGATAAGCGACAGCACCTTCGCCTGTGCGATTTTGGATTCGGTAAAAAGGTAGCGATGCAGCAGCAAGTGCTGAAAACGTATTGCGGCAGTCCATTTTATGCCTCTCCAGAAATGGTCACGGCAACACCTTACAAAGGACCGCCGGTCGATATGTGGAGTTGTGGAGTCATCCTGTACTTGATGTTGACAGGCACTTTGCCTTTCCAAGCTTCCAACATGGGACAACTCTTTCGAAAAATTAGCGTAGCCCAGTATACCATCCCGCGAAGCGTATCCCCCGATGCTTCAAATCTCATCCACCGCTTGCTCTGCAAAAACTCGAGGGAACGCATCACGGCGATACAGTGTTTACAACATCCGTGGCTCGCTCCCTCGGCCCCACCGCTTTCTAGGTACACCTTGCTCATGTCTTCACAGCTCACATTAACAGAAAAGTCGAAACCGGCCCTTGTACCTCGCAAGCACACTTCGTATGATGCGATATACAACAAAACCGTAGCTGTAGCGTGCGTCTCCAAACCCCATGATACATCCCGACCAATCACCACCGCTCCGAAAAAGTCGCAAGTGGTACCATCTACAACGAAAAGCACGCCTTTCACGGAAAAAGAAGCATACCATTCTGAAAAGACCAAATCGAAGGGTGTGGTGCGATTTTTCCGTAAAGCATTCCATCGGCGCCCACCTCAGTAGCCAGATCCAGGGATCCCGCTTTATCCGGGTATCCCATGTCTATGCAGCGCAGGAAAAAAGAGGATTTTTTTGACAAGCAGTAAAGACATTAATGTACAAGTAGACTGTGTAGACAAGTTGGCATAATATATCAATACGAAAAGAATACAAGGATGCCAGAGGGGAAACGGTGGATGGCAATAGTCACGTTTGGGCTTTTTTTTTTGTTGGGTGATTGAAAAATATGGCGGCGACAACGGTGGACAACCGGCCCAGCCATTCATTTTCCTTGGACTTTTTTCGTTTTGTTATGCGAGGCATCTCCAGAGTGCTTTACGGTTGGGGAAAAACCAATGCGTTACCACTCACACGCACAGCTCAGCAGGTGTTCAAATCGCCCGTGTGTCTTAGTGAGCATCCAGAGTATGCATTAAAGGTGAGTTGTTTGCCTCACCTTGACATTTGGAAAAATTCAAGGTTATTGATCCTAGCAAAAACAAGGACGATGAACAAGTGACCCACATTGCTGGGGGCTGGGGTCATTCTTTGATTGCCACTTTGTCCAATGTATATGGGTTCGGCTTGAACGGCAGTGGTCAACTCGGTAAACCTCGAAATACAATCATCACAGATCGCCACGCTACCTCTGTCACTGGAGTCACCCACGTCGCATGTGGGCGTGAACATTCCCACTTTGTCACAAATAACGAACAAGGTAAATAGAGAAAAAAAAATAGGCTCCACTCCAAGAGATCCCCAACTAAACATTTGTATCGATTTAGGCTCCAACTTGTATTCTTTTGGCAACAGTATGTATGGTCAACTCGGTATCGGGTTGGATAAATCCACTCGACCGGGCGACTTGATCATTGCAGATGAACCCCGCGTTGTCAATAATTACAAAGGCATGGTACGACATATTGCTTGTGGATTAGATAATACCGTTTTCGCTACAGGTAAAAAAGGGGGTAGCAAGCAAACATAAACGAGATCATAATGCACTGACAGTGTTGTTGTTTGATTAGATCACGGCGTATACTCTATGGGATGGGGCGCAGATGGTCAATTGGGCTTGGGAACCTCCAATGATAGGAATACGCCGTCGTTAATATCCCTTCCCACATCAAAAGTAAAGAAACTTGCGGGATCAACGGACTTTACGCTTGCATTGATGGGTAAATGTCATGATTATTAATCAGTATGGGGATCATGCCAAGCTCAATTAATATCAAAATGATTAGAGGATGGTAGCTTGTGGACTTGGGGAAATTCCGAATACGGACAAGGCATGCAAGGCGCCAAAATTGATCGAGTAAGATTAATTAGTACAGTCGGTTATTTTATGGTTTTTTCCTGTTGCTCAAACTGTCGTCCGCCTGTGCTTTTAGATGTTGGACCCTGTGCGAGTCGATGCAAGCCATGTCGTAGATATAGCTGCAGGAGGTCCTTTCTCCGTTGTTCTCACAGGTAAAATGATGCATGACACAAAATGGTTTTACAGAGATTTGAGATATCTATGAATACATAGATGATGGGCGTGTCCACACATGCGGGTTTGGTGCGCTGGGATTAGGGCCAGAACGATTGGAATCGCTGGTACTGGCGGAAGTTGCCGGGCTTTCCAACATTAGACGCGTGTATGCTACGACCGACTATGCTGCTGCTCTTTCAGGTAGGTTTATCGTGGATTTAAAAAAGCTGCGTTTTGCATGACTGATAGCTGGCTACAGACTCGGGAGAACTGTATACATGGGGTTTGAACGGTTACAGCGGGCGATTAGGTTTAGGAACGGAAGATCACGCTTTCGTGCCTCAACGCATTCCTCTGGAAAGACAAGTGGTCGACGTGGCTTTAGGCACCACCCACGCTCTGGCTTTATGTTCTTCATGAAAAATAACGGTATAGAACAACATTCTTTGTAGGAGTATTAATCAATCTTGTTTATAGATTACATTATAGAAACCCCATTTCAAAAAGCATTCTTCAGGATTGCAAGTCCAATTTTGAAAGAAACATTGCACGTATTTTTTTTTTCTGCTCTCACAGGGTTCGGTTAAATTTACTCACAGTGGCATCCAACATGAACCCTGAGCTATTGATGTTTTTTTTTTCCTGCCCGCCCATTCATCATTGTGGTGGCAGTTCGTTCATTATTGCTGTTGAACGGCCATCATCAACCAACGGATCCAATAAGCTTCAAATTCAATAGGCAACAATGGCGTGAGCAAAAAATGTTCCAAATATCATTACATCCTACACATGAAGAAAAATCATACCGTCTAATTGCATCCTTTTCTGATGGTTTGCTTTGCAAAGTAAAAAGAGGTTGTACACACTATTGGGATTAAAGTGTCCAAGGATAATGATGACTTGACAGGATACTGCCGGTCTGAATGTACCCAGTTCACTATTACAATCTATGGAATGCAACTTTTACAAAAAAAATTATCTTGTTTCATCCATATCCTTGATAAAAGTTTATATCACGCCATCATTAGAATATCGATAATGGCATCTTTCGTCATACTTGGACGCCTTTTTTTTCTAGATCAAAAACGAGCGATGTCATGCCCGAAATGTCATTTTGCAATTTTACAAGCAATGTTTTCAAGAAAATTTATTTCAATATGACAATTTCTCTTAAAAGCGCACATACAGTTATAAAATGATGATTCCCGTTGAAGATGAACAGAGGTTGCCAACGTTTCTCTTAAACGAGTGCCTACCGTGATAATTCCTTTTTTGGTATTTTATCAAAGGATTCATGGCAGACACTGAAGAGCTGTGGCTGTCCGACGATTTAAGCTATACCAATGGTCGACGACGAATAAGAAAGACAAAAGCATTTCAATGCAGAGGACATGGAAAGTGTCGAATGACGTTTTCTCGCAGTGAGCATCTGATTCGTCACATTAGGTAGTCTTGACTTCAATGAAAAAGATTCCGGTGACTTTGTGTGCTCATCAACTGTTCATCATAGAAAGCATACCGGTGAGGTAGGTTGTTTTGTATTTCCCAGAGAGACAACCAAGAGACAAAAGGTGATTGGGAGGGCATGCCAGAGGAATATATAGTTGCAAGGGGCGGTTGTTTAATATTTTTTCCAAAGCTCTACTGTCAAACCCACACTGTGTTCTTTTCTTCTTTTTTTTTGTAACAGAAACCGTATACTTGCATCATTTCCAGTTGTACAAGAAAGTTTACACGATTTGATAACATGATGCAGCATGCACAAATTCACGGCAAACCGAAAAAGAACCGGCGTATATTATCAACCAAGTCCAAGAAGCAGGAACCGCATCGACGTCGCCATCGCTCGATTTCATGCTCCTCTTACTCGTGTGAAATGTCTTCGGATGGAGAAGCCGACGATATGCCTTGTCTACCACGATCCCTCACTCAGCCTTATGGTTTAATGAAGAGCGGGATGATTCTCCCCCAATTAGCCAGTTATTTAGTCGATCATCCCGATGCGCCTCCAGAAAGTTATCTTGATGCCATCGACCTGGAAATCCCGCGCCAATCGATGGTGCGACAATTATCTATGCAAGATCTGTGTCACCCCCTCGACCGTTTGGCGGTGATGGATGTCCATACATCTTCGGTACTATGTTCGGACGAAGAAATTGATTCTCCTGTGGAAGAAACGGATGAAACGATGGTTCAGATAACCCAAGATGAGTTTGAAGCTATTCAGGGATTTGGTCGATTCAGGCTAGGATATATTTACAAATATTAATCAGGGGCTCAGCAACAAAAAAGAAGGCCATGTCGAGATGTTTACAGTGAATATATTTTTTTGGTTTCCAGAAACTCTCCCCTTTGCCTCTTTCAATAACCATCCCTCTTTTTTACTTTTTTACCTTGTCTCCATGATCCACTTTGCATCTTTTCTATATGTCGCTCTCCCACGCCGGTCTGTGCCAATATTTTTTTTCCTTCCTTTTCCTTTGGCTACACAAAACAACGACATTGCAGGTTGGCTGCATGACATCCCTCCCTTTTTTTTCCATGCAGTGATTATCCTTTATAAATGGAATCGATGCTTTGACCCTCCCACTTTTTTTTTCTTCTCTCTTCTCTTATTCCTTGTTGTCTGCAACTTTTTTTTATATATATTTCTACTGTCGTTCGTTTTTCCTTTCCCTTTTTTTTTATTCGTATAATTTTTTGTTGTGGTTGTTGTTATTTGTTTTGATTCTCTGTTTTATCATAATCTTATCATTTGTCTTATAATGGCCAATAATACCAAGCGATCTAGTCGGCATCAGCATGAAAGTGGTAAAATAAACGGTGTCGAATACTTGTTTTTATTTGCTCGGTTGTATTGAAGCTTCAAGTTTCTAACACTTTTCCTACGATCAGCTTTCCAGATCCAGCCTGGATTATCACCTTCCTCCTGTCGCTACGATTCATCTCTCGGTCTTCTAACCAAAAAATTCATTGCTTTATTACGTTCAAGTGCTCATGGGAACCTGGATCTGAACCGTGCTGCTGCTCTCCTTAAAGTCCAGAAACGCCGCATCTACGATATTACCAATGTACTCGAAGGGATCCAACTGATTGAGAAGAATTCCAAAAACCACGTGCAATGGATGTATGTAGAAACAAACCATCAGGGCATACGCTACTTATTTCTTTCCAAACCAACCCACTCACCATTTTATTTGCCATGATATAGAGGTCACGATAATGCCTCGGAATTGGAACATCATTTAGCACGCTTAAAATCTCGTAATCAAACCCTACAGCAAGAGCGGGACCAACTACTTCATACGAAGCAAAAAATTGATCAAGAAGTCGATGATATTCTCAAATGTCATGCCTCGCATTGTTACTTGACCCTTCAAGACTTGGCCCGGTTCCAAGATTTGACAACACGTGCCCAAGATGACAACAAACAGTCCATGCCGAATGACGACGACGATGACCACGCCCCGCTTTTGCTGGTGGTAAATGCTCCGTATAACACCGATATTGTCGTTCAACAAGAAGAAGTACCATCGTATCCGACCTCCAGAAAACGTCATAACAGTTACGAGGCGAGTCCTCGTAAAAAGGTGAGTTGGCATCCCCCCCACACACACAAAGAGATGGATAAAGCTGGTCACTGATCTGTCGCGTTGCTAGACAAAATGTTATATTCGAGTGCCTGACGATGACTCGGATCAAACACTCCAAATTGTGTCATTGCGCCAAAATAAAGCCTCCTGGCGAGGAAAATAAAGACGTATGCTTAAAAAACCACGACCCACTTACAAATATAACAATCACCCCTGATTTGTATTGATCACAACCCCCTTTGACAAATTAACTTTCTCTTCCGAAAGTATTTTTCTTTCTTTCGCGGAGATGTTCAATATTTCCGCCCTATCGACTCTTGTACAGAGGAAAGCGCTTTTTTTTGTTATAATGGTGTGCCTGAACATCCCCTACCCCCATTCTCCGCTTTTTTCTTTTCTTTTCTTTTCTTTTCTTTTCTGCTGGAGCATCCTATTTCACCGTACGATGGATGTGACTGTTAAATTGAAGGTGGGGCAGAGTTGTAGGTAAAGTGGCCGCAGTGGCTTGCCAAAACGGGGAGGTCTGTTTCTGCAAAACCATGTCTACTACACCTACTCCTACAGAACGGTTTGGTCAGCTGCCGGGTTTACCGCAGCTTCCAGCATGCCTTGAATTTCTGAAATTAAAGCAGTTCCCACTCAAAGTATTCCCACCCGTCGATAAGCCAGCCACCCTCACCAAAGACACGCTGTACATTTATGGACCCGGTTGGCGCAATTCCTGGGCCAGCTTTGACGTCGACTGTTTACAGATGCAGGTAAAAAGCAACTTCTTTCAGACGACGCTCTGTTCAAGCGGCCTCATATGAATCTACCTCGTCTTTGTTTTAGATGTATCTTAAATTCTGCGACGTCGATTTCGACATTGTCAACAGTAATGAACCTCACGCTTCTCCTTCTGGAAAGTTGCCATTCTTGGTGACGGTGCCGGGAGCCGTGTATGAGAGTGCGAAAATCCATCAATGGTTGAAAGATACGGTAAGGCAGCAAGAAAACCTTTGATTAGATTGGATGTTTGTAACAAGAGAATTGACAATTTTTCGCATGAATAGCAAAAAGAGAAAACCTTGCCGAGTGCGACTGGTGAACAAGCTAAAGCTTTCATTGCCTTAGCAAACTCTAAACTATACGCAGCATTGGTACGTAAATCGGGATTTTACAAGGCTCAGTAGCTAAAATTAGACTTTTAGTTATTTTCACAATGGCTTGAACCCTTGAATTACTCAGAGATCACCTCGAAGGCTTATTACAGTCAAGTACCCTCGCCCATCAACTGGGTTCTCGCCTATCGCAAAAAGACCGATGTAGTTCAACGATTACTCACAGACCGTGATATTTTGGTTCGTGAAGAGGTATGTAAATCTGGATAATTGGCATTGCTCCGTGAGGAACCAGAGGACTGATGATGATGATGCTGTCAGATTTATCAAGATGCTGCCAATGCTTTGGAAGCATTATCTGTCAAATTAGGTGACGACACATACTTTTTTGGGGAAAGGTACGCGTGACAGACTCTTATCGTATCTGGGACGCAATGGGGAACTGATTTTGGTCTGCTTTATAGTGAACCGACATGGATGGATGCTGTCATATTTTCTTATCTCCACGTAATCATGGGCGCACCACAATTCACAGATGGCACATTTTCGGATGAAAACAAACGACAAGCAGGCACTTTACGAGGTTTGGTCCGAAAGCATGAAAACTTGGTCCAATATGCCAAAGCCATCTATGAAAAGTATCTCAAATAATCGTGTTCTCGTCATAAAATAGAGTGCTTTGTCTTTTTGGTTGCAAGTAAAGTGATGAGGATTTGGTTTTGCTTTGTTTGTTTCTTTTTTATATGATTATTATTGTTATGCTGCCGCAGTTTTCGCTTTCTTCTTTGGTGTGACGGGTTCATCGTCTTTTCTTTTGTTAGATTCGGGTATCGCGTCCACACGGACGGCTGCACAGTACGTGTATTTTCGAGTTTCTGGATGTCAGGGAAAGAAACACATGAGTACGTCGTCCTCATTTTTGCAGCATACATTCCCGCATCACGACTTAATTTCATCTTTTACCTGCTTTCTTTAAAAGTCGCAAGTAATTGTACCCCAGAGACGCTTCGACTTGTGCTTGTGTCATGCCGCACAGAATGCATCTAAAATTTCACCAAATAAGCGGAGAAAAGATGAGATCGATGATGATAACGAAGCCAAAGATTCACCTACAGCATACGCAATTCCGAAGGTCGACGAATATCCAGTGCTTTGATGGCTTCGCTAGATAGAATAATGTTCTGTCCTCGCGTGACTTCCACTAAACGTCGGAAATTGCCAAAGAATACAGCGCGTTTCTTTTCGTCCACTATAGATCGAGGAAGCGTGAATTGACTGCTCAGTTGTGGTATCCTTGTGCTACATACTTCGTGTGATCTGAGAATAGCATATTTCAAAGAACACGCCACGATTGACGGCTACTTGCGCAGCAACATAGCCGGGCGATATCCACCGGTATGAGAAATCAAGCGTAATCAAATCCACATCGTAGGTTTGGCAAGCATGCTTGCATACATCGATGTTGATCGGTTGGACGGCTAGAATATCGATTTGACTGAAACTACCCGTCTGATCTCGTCGTTAAACCTCACTATAACCATGCAACCGTATAAAAATCGATCAATTTACCAGTTGATAATTGCGTTTCGTATCTTCTGCCACGACCGTGATCCGCGTTAATTGTTGGAGATTTTTAAACTTTTCCGGCGCGATCGGCTCGATTCGCTTTGTTATCACCAACCAGTTTTAATACACCTTTTAATGGACAATAGATTATAATATTGCTTACTGTAATCTTTGGGCTCAATGATTCTCGAATAGTTTTATTTAGTGCGATCGTGCCTTTTTCGACTAAGAAGTGATCGCCAAGTCAGTCACGGCTCTAGCATGGTCACAAAACGGCGAATTATTTCTACATTACTTGACGAAATGCGTCCCAAGATGCTTTCCAGTCGATCAAAATCCGCTCGTTCGGGCTGAGTAGGGTATGGAATATTGAAATCATACAACATGATAGTACTGCGCGGTGGCAAAAAAGAGTGTTCGCAGGTCTCTTTTTTTTTTTTTTTTTTCCTTCAAACGCGGGAAATCCTGTGTGACCAAAAATCGGCCGGGCCAGTTTGCCGGTCACATCACGTGAATTTGCCAAAAGGCTTTTTCTCTTTTGTGCGGTCAGGAAACCACAAGGGTCGCCTTGCAGTAATTTTTTCACGGCAATATGAGTGGACAGCGAGTATTGCTTTTATGGAGTCAAGCACGGCAACAACTGACGCCGCGTTATGTATCCTATACACGCTCTCTTCAGACCAGTAGCTCCACGCTTCGAGACAAGTCTTCTTCGGCGCCCTCTCTGGGAGGACTGGGTAAACCGATGATGGGCGGTCGATCGTCGACGGCCGTGAAGCCGACCAAGACCGATTGGACCCTGAAAACATCCGATGGAGCCAAATCCAAAGGTCAGACACCACACAAACGATCGCACCCAAAACGCCCAGATGGAGGCCATCGATCCAGAGATCAAGCCCAGCATCAAGGCGGACGTAAGATGGCACCCAAACGTGATTGGCAAATCCCGTCAACCAAGTCTGGTGAAAAGGTGGAAAGTGAAGTAGCCAAGCAAGCCGAACGACAGCTGAAAAAGCTGGCCAAACCTGTTCGCGAAGAAACGGTATCGCAACGTAAAGAACGAAAGCAAAAGGAGGAAGAACTAGCTGCTATTCTCAAGGAAGAAGAACGTTTACGTGAACAGATGGCCAAGCGAAAAGCCAAACAGCGAGCAAAAGAGGAAGCCGAGAAAGCCAATCAGATTCGCGACGTCTACATTCCGGAAATCGTCAATGTCGCCAATCTGTCCCGTATTCTCGGTGTTCGTTTAGGTACGACTTTGTAGGATCCCATGGGGATTGTGGTGAACAAGATTAACCTTGCTTTTCTTTTTTTTTACCTTCTGTAGAACAAGTTGTAAGAACCATGGAAGAATTGGAAATGGAAAATACATCTCATGATCACAGTAAGTAGACATTAAAGGACACGCTGTGGACGGCTAATCAAGCGGAGCGTGCGAGCGATGCATAAAAAAGGGGGAGCGTTGAAAGGATGGACGGGTTAGGGATGCGAGAGATGCAGTGAACGAATAAAGTTTATTAATTCTCTTCCATAGTGCTATCTGCGGATGAATCCAGTCTGATTGCCATGCAGCTCGATATGAATCCGATTGTGGATTCCAAGCAAGCCCTCGACCTTTATCCAAAGTAAGCCATAGCTTGAAAGAGAAAATGCGCATGTGGATGGGAGATGGTGGATATTGACAGTCGATTGCATCATAGACCTCCCGCTGCGGATCCCTCAGCCTTGCCTGAACGACCACCTGTTGTCACCATTATGGGCCATGTTGATCATGGTAAAACCACGCTGTTAGACACGCTTCGTAAAACATCAGTCGCGGCTGGTGAAGCGGGCGGCATCACTCAACACATTGGTGCTTTTTCAGGTAAGACGAAACAAACACATCATACCGAAAAAAAAAAGATCAAGGATAGTAACCCGTAGGGGCGTTATTCAGTGCAACTGCCGTCAAAGAAAAAAATTACATTTTTGGATACGCCTGGTCACGCCGCCTTTTCAGCGATGCGACAGCGAGGGGCCAATGTCACGGATATCGTTGTGCTGGTGGTGGCGGCCGACGATGGTATTATGCCTCAGACTCGTGAAGCTATTGAACACGCTCACAAAGCCAATGTGCCTATTGTGGTGGCCATCAACAAATGTGACAAACCCGGCGTCGACACGTCTCGTGTAAAGCAAGATCTGGCTCAGTACAATGTTCACTTGGAAGAAATCGGCGGCGATGTACCGAGTGTGGAAGTGTCGGGTTTAACCGGCATGAACCTTGATCAACTGGAAGAAACCATTTCCACCTTGTCTGAAGTACTGGAACTACGTGCTGAACGCGATATAGGCGCTGAAGGTGTCATCATCGAATCCCAAATTGAAAAGGGTCGTGGTAATGTGGCCACCGTGCTTGTGAAGCGAGGTACCTTGAAACCAGGTTCAGTCATCGTCGCAGGTCGTACTTGGTGTAAAGTCCGTTCCATGACCGACCATCAAGGCCGACCGGTCAAAGAAGCTTTACCGGGTATGCCTGTCAAGGTGATCGGTTGGAAGGACGTGCCGAATGCCGGTGATGAAATGCTTCAGTCACCAGACGAGGTATTAACCTTTTTTTTTTTTTGTTTTCCAAACAAAGGAAAAAAAGTGTAATTTTGCCAAGTAACACCGTTTCACTAACCACTTGGGTAAAAAATTGGATAGAGTACGGCCAAAACAGTGGTGGATAATCGTGTCACGCGGTACCAACGTGACCAGCAGTTACGAGATTTGGAAGTGATCAACGACAAGCGTCGCCAACAACGTGAACAGTTGGAACAGGAACGATTAGTGGAAAGAGAGTATAAAAAGGAGATGTTCTTCTTCCATCGGGGATTGATCGACACCGTGCCTGATTCTTTGAATAAACGATTAAGCGCCATTCAACAATCAAGTGAAACCGAAGGATCTCCTGGGGATGATCGATTAGAGTTCCGTGCCGTTGTCAAAGGTAACAAAAAAAGAAACAAACTTTGAAATCGCTATTTTTGAATGTGGCTCAGCCTGTACTTACTCAGCCATTTATTTGTTGTGGGTTTTGTTTTTCTTTTAAGGTGATGTCAGTGGTACAGTGGAAGCCGTAGTCGATTGCCTGGCTGGATTACAGAACAAACAGATCCATGTCAAAGTGATACAGAGTGGCGTAGGCAATATTACCGAAGGGGATATCCAGCTCGCCGCCGCGTCCGAAGGCCAGGTGATTGGGTTTAATGTGAAAGCCGATAAACGCATTCAAGCCGAAGCGAGCAAACGAGGTGTCAAGGTCCGATCGTATTCCGTCATTTACAAATTATTGGAACAAGTAAAAGAGGACCTGAGTGACATGCTTCCGCCTATTATCAGCACCCAAGTGATTGGTGAAGCCAGCATTTTGCAAACCTTTGAAATCAGCGTCAAAGGGCGCGAGACCCGACCGGTGGCGGGTTGTCGTGTAACCAACGGAGTCATTCATCGTAATAGTCGCGTCAGAATTATGCGTAATAAGGAGACAATTTGGGAAGGTAAGGTTTTTTTTTAGAGGTTTTATCATTTTTGTAACGCAGCGCCAAAAATACCGTGATTGACGTGTTCCGAATAGGCGAATTGAGCGCATTACGCCAGGTCAAAAAGGATTTGACCGAAGCCAAAAAGGGCCTTGAATGTGGCATATCCTTTGAAGGATACAACGATTTCCAACCAGGCGATACCATTCAAAGTATTCAAACCATAGAAACTAAGCAACATCTGTAGAATCATCTTCATGTTCCATTGTGCATCCAAGAAAAAAAAAAGGAGGGCATTCCACCGTGCAAAAGTACTGGAAAAAAAAAAGAAACGAACGATAATTGCCTTCCAGTAGGAAAACTCCCCCCCCCCTTTCTGTTCCATTCTCCTGTCATCGTGTCCTTTTAGCCTCCTTTCTCTTCCCCCCCCCCGTCTTTTTTTTTTCTCGGGTAAAAACAAGGCTATTCATAGAACTTTTTTTCATCTCCCCCCAATTGTATAAAAAAAGATAGAGTCGGAGATTCAAGTTCTGTAACACTGGTTGTCAAGTGCCACGGTGCCGTATACAGCGATTGGCTGACAAAGGTCGGTATTCGTTTAGCCGGCCCTCAATGGATATAAATACACTGAGGATTGTTTGCAACGGCTCAAGATCTAAAGGGGTTTTCTTCCTTCATTCTTTATAAGAAAAAACGAAAACGAAAAAGCGGGATTATCATACTATTTATTTTATAATTACTTTTTCTTTTTAATCATCATGATGGACGTTTACACTGCAGACCGTCAGCAATCGATTAGTCCTGCTTCGTCTTTTACTTCGAGCACATCACACAAATCGTTGTGGACCAAGTTATCGCATCTTCTTCACCGAAAATCCATCTCCTCATCACGTCGTAATTCTTCAAGCACGTCCCAATCCAGTATATCTTCCAATGATTCAATGGAACGATCGTCATCGCATCGCCGTGGACATCGTCGAAAGGTTCTCGTGGACAGCATGACAAGCGACACAGCTCCGATGGTGATCCCTCCTTTCAGTCCCACTTACTGCAAGCCGAACGAATTCCCCTACTCCAATTTCTACGTCAAGCTTCCCGATGGTCGATGGATGATCCGTTATCGTTCTGGCAACCGTGACATTCTTCGCACCGATATTGTCGATGGTTGTTACATCTAATGTCCCTTGTTGTTGGTGTGTGTGTATGGGTCGACAATGCATCAATTTTTTTCTAATCCCTTCCCCTCCGGCTAATTTACCTTACCCTCGTCTATTGTATATCATTCATTTCCCTCTCATGTATCATAACGCATCTTTTTTTTGTAATTATTTATTCAATCTATTATTAAAAGAACTGTTTTTGGCTCGGTTGATCTCATAAATGCCATTATGTTTCATTAAAACCAGCACCGATTCAAAAGCAGGCAAGGGGGGGGGGGAAGGGTTTTGATGATGGGGTAAAAACATGCTTGTTGCTATTGCCATTTGCAAAATCCATGTTTCGAGTTGAAAGGAGTATGTACGTGAATCAGAAAAAAAAGAGACCCCTGGACTTGCTTTTTGCGAATACTAGGATCTTTCAAAATCGAAACTCAAGAACCCTTCTTCGGTTTGCGTGCCTTTGAAGGGTATGGGAGATCGTTTCTGCTTTTTCGCCCTTTTTTGGAAATGGGAAGGGTAACTCCGCTACCCTTTTTTTGATAATTTTACCTCAAATTGATGGGACCGTTCAATCTCCGTCCCGGATAAAGTATCGGCATGGGATGCGATAGCCCATGATTAGAATAAAAATCATTGCGAATGGTTTCGATAATTGCTTAGTCAAGGGCAATTCCCTAGATCAGATCGAATTCAGCACCGCTCGGAAATCGACAATGAAAAAAAAAGTGACAAAAAATAAAGGAGAGTACGGCCCATGCCATGATACCAGTGTATTCAAGTAAGGGGGAGGAGCACATACGGTATTGTTTGAACTGTAATGGGTATCTAGCGTGATCTGTAACCATTGACATTTAGGTTTGTACGTTGTACATGACGCCGGCGATGGTGGGTGATCACGCTATGCCTAGATCGACAAAGATCACAAGATGCACTAACCATACTAACGATGCTCTTGCATGCATAATGATAGAATCCTTGACCGCATTGCACTCTTTTTTTCTTTTCCTTACCGGTCATGTCAATGTAAATATTATCTTTTGTTTTAATTTCTTGCCGGCAAGTCGTTCTTTTTCATTTTACGCTCATCGGCTTTTGAAATGCTGACGTGGATTCTAGTGTACATACGAAATATGGTTTAGACCCATTGGCAACAATGTGAAAGGGTGCAAACGTAACCCACACTTCAATCATTGAAGCACCATCTATTATCCTTCATTGTGTGAACTGGGTATATTCTAATCTTCCCTGGCAATGCACAATTTCATCTCTTTGGAAACAACTATGTCGGAGGTCGAAAACCGGGGCTCGGCTCTCGGCACTGGGGCGAAGGCACTTCCGAAGTGATTTGTAATCGTACTGTGGCCCGTCCATTGCCTGCCTGATATGAATTATTCATCACCATATTCCACCACTTTTCCTTTTTTGATGATAAACAAAGCCAATGGTTCCGCTTTGTTTTTTGTCAAATTTAGTTTACCCACCGCTTGAACGGAAATGGCTGTCGCTTTGGCTATTGGTCACTATGGCTTTACCTAGACACTGTGATGAAAAATGTCTTTGCTCTCCACATGGACCACTTTGTCGTCATTGATTCTGTGGCTGATCCCATTTTACCCCTATCGCATGATGAAGTTGAATTCATTTTTGTATCGGTTTACCTAACGTGGACCAAAACATTCATTGAATCTCAGCGCTCTTTCGCGTGCGCAGATAATAAATCATGCTAATGACGTTTCGTTGCTGGATAAAGCTGGTCTTACCGTGCACATTATTACCGCGCACCGTTCGTCGCATTGCTAGAGGTAGAAATGAAATTTTGTTACTTTGCAGAGTGGGACATTTGGGCAACTCGCATTGTTTTCCGGAACAGCCATCGCTTTGTGTCACCTAAAGTTTCTCAATAATTTGTGGCAGTTTCAGCCTCACGTTTATGCAACTTTTTTGGTGATGACAAGTTTGTCTACCCAAAGACTTCACGGTGACATTTCCATTACTCATCTACGACAAGAAATAAAAGGCATATCGAAATAAGTTTTTCTTTTGCTTGATGACGGTATGGCTTGCCCCGTGCTTATCTTTTCGGAATTCACCCGGTCTTGAAACGATGATATGAATTTTCCCTAAAAAGGAAGATTTGTTTTTAGAAACTGGTTTAAAAAGCATTCATCATGACGCGTCATTGACTTTATTCTGGGAAAACTTTAACCTTTCAGTTCTTGAATTATCCTTGCGAACATCCATATCAGATATGTCCATCTTTCATCCGGCCCGGTTTAAGCACAAAACGCCGGTCTCAACCCTTCGCGGACAACGAGACTCCCATCACCGCTCACAATCATCACCATCTCCGGTAGTTGGACCAAAAAAAAAAAAAAAAAATCGCCAATGCATTCACGCGCAATACCATCTTTTTCGACATGAACAAATAAAATAAAGTTTTTTCCCGATGCATTATGGATGATTGGATACAGTATAATACAACCATGCGCGACATTGTCCGTTTGGTGTAATTATGAGGAAAAAAAATGCAATTCCATTTCAGTATGTACAAAGAATTTTACAAAATCAATCCTTTTTTCGTTTCTGGATGATGGACAAACCATCAAATAGGGGAAGCACGACCACCTGTGCTCTTGGATCACTGTACACATGTGCATTGAAAGCATGAGCCTTTCGAGCCGTCTTTTTGATATTCTTTGAGGCTTCTACAGGCTGCGGATCGATGTAGCCTGCTTCCCGATGAACTTGGCCAAAGAACAGAACTGATTGGCGGGAAACATGAAAATGCTCGTATTTAGGTTCATTGTCCACTAATTCATCCGCATTTTCTTACCATTGTCAGCCAAGAGGCAGCCCCGGTCAGACAAGAGATTGTGTTGCATAATATGCTCATAATACTGGATATAGCCCCCCTTGTCCGCATCTTGTGGACGGCAACACAGGACAACAAGTTAGTCGCGCACGAGCAGTCGGACACAGGAGGCATCCATCACCTACCGAGGAAAATCATATCATACTGCAAGTTTGGACGTTCTCGTGTCAGTTGAATAAGGCTTCATTTGAGAAAAAGAAATTGTCGGAAAAAATCAGTCTTTTGATAGTCCACGTCCTAGAGAGGAATACCTTTCAATGGCCGGCCCTTGCTTCATTTCCACTATATCATTAAGACCCGCTTTCTGAATATACTGATGCGCAATTTGCAAAGGCCGCTGGTCTAGTTCGAGCGTTGTTATGGTGGCTGCCGATTCCAAAGCTGACGCCATAGCAATGGTAGAATATCCCGTAAAAGTGCCAATTTCCAGGACTCGACGAGGACGCAATAGTAGGGTCAACTGGTGCAGAAGTTTGGCCTGACATTGGCTGACCATCATATGTGCGTTCCGGAATTCCTTTTCTGTTGTTTCCGCCACCTTTGTTAGGACTGAGTCGATAGCAGCCGGAAACGGACTACTCAGGTCACAGGTATACTTTTCCTCCATCAAGCGCAAACGCTGATTGTTGTTGCTCACGCTGTTCTCTACCGTGGCAGTGGAATGCCATCGAATGGGAGCACCTAGCCATCGGTGGACCGGCCTACATGGCTTGATGGCTAATCTAAACATTACAGCGTGATGGGATCTCTGTCGTTCAATTTATGCATGAGCCTGATTCTCCGTGTTCTTTTGGGAAGCTTGCCCACTGCTAAGCCACTCGGATATCGCTCCTGTGTCAAGGCAAACGCGGGCGACACACCTATGCAAACAAGTTTACCTCTTACTATTTACTGTGTCGCCCAATTCATGGAGTCGAAAACGGTTTATGACGAGTGCAACAGTGCGTTGGACATATTGGCCCAAGTAGGAGACAGTGTGCGAACATTGCTCCAGATAGTCGCCGGTCAAACCGCGAAAACCCTCACGGCCGAACCCGACCTTGCGGCTCTGCAAAAAGCGCGCAAACACCATGACCAACTTCTTGCCAAGCTGCAAGCCAGTGCCGAGAAACTCGCAGGCTACCAGTCAGCAGTAGACAGCCCTGATGCGGCCATGACCGACTCGTCAGAAATGGAGTCGTTGGCAAAAGAACATGAAGAGCTTCGCAAGGCAAGCAACAAATGAGAAACCTTGTATCATTTTGCCTGGCAGAAGCCTGTTGACACTTTTATTACCCTCAATTAGGAATCCGTTTCTGTGTCGAATGAACTCAAGGAAATGCTCAGTCAAACCTACGCTTTACAATTCCAAATTGATATGCTTTTGGCATCATCCCGAGACCAATCGTTGTCTACTCTGAAATGACGATAGAAAGCTGGACTTTCTCTCGCTTGTATTCACTCAATGGTCGCCTTTTCTCCCTGCCATATCCCTGCCTTTCCCTGTACTTATTCCTTTTTTTTTGTTTGGTTTAAGTCAATGCCGTTCTCATCACTTTATTTTTTGTCATATCATCTTTATTCGTTCCACACGCTTATTGCCTCTCCCAGGGAACAAGGATTATAATTCCTGCCCCCAACAACTGATTATGTGAATGGTTCGTACCATGAGATCACCTCACAGCTCTATTAAAATCTCTTATGTTATGATATAACTAGTCTTGGGCGTTTTGGCCCACTGTTGATCCACTCAAGCTGAGTGGGACCATAGGCGTATCGCTTCGGATAGCCTCAATAGTGTTTGTATCGTTATTTATTTTGAATAACACGTTGTCATTGCTTTCAGGCCGCGGATCGAATTGCGGTAAAGTGACGTTATCTGTGAAAGCAGTCTGGCCGCACCTGCCAAACCAATGGCGAAAACATCTTGCTGATCACGATTCGTGTTGCGTAACCTCTGCGCACGGCAGGACAGTTTGGATTGATGCATCGGACTGCACCAGAGACTTGCTTCGTTTTTTCATCCGATAATCTTCGTTTCGCTAACTCTGTTTGTTGGAAACAATACACAAGCCTTCGATGAGCAAAATTTGTTATAGCGACTGTCGTGTTTCTTGAGTGTTCTGTCCGCATCTTCTTCCCCCCCCCCCCCCTCTTCGTGCATGGCATCTGATGCGAGAGCCCACACCGGTTACAGCGTTTCCAATGCACGTCACTAAGTTCGTTGGAACATTTCGATCAGTCATTTGCGCCCGTTCGCTTGACGCCAGCATCGCATACGCTCGCTTTGTACGCAATGACTGCGATTATGCTATTTTCTTTGAGTTGCGATTATGATAGAAATTAAGCAATGTGTCTCTTGCATCTTCTTGTAACTACAACAATGACAGTGTGAGTTTAGTATATCCACTTGGTTCAAGAAAAATCTGCACACTTTGAAACTATGCAATGCTTGTTCCTGCGTTCAAGCGTGCGAAATTAGGTTACGGCTCAACATTTCTTCAGTGCTTTTGATCGAAGGAGTCATCTATTTTCCAGTCAGTCAGCCATTCTCCAGATGTGAATAAAACAATACCTTTTTTAATTTTTCACGTCTTCTTCGGTGTCTTCTTGCAAATGATATTTCTTCGATGTTCTTGGCACGTATCTTAGCCGGTTTCGGAAGCAACAGCTCAGAATCGGTAAGAACGTCTCCTGCTTCGACGTCAGCGCCAGTTTCAAGACAAGCGTACCTGTAGTATAACTGCAAGTGCCTGCTGATGGTCGGTTTGGTCAAAGGCACGGTCACTGACATTGTTTGGATTCCGTAACCCGTTCCGGAAAAAGTTACGGCATGCTGTAACTGGCTGATATCCATTCGTTTGCGCTTCATCCATGCATTGATGAAAGGCTACTACAGGCACGGTATCACGTTTAGTTCCCCTCGGTGGGTTTATGCTGGATTGTATTAGTTCAATCAGTCCCTGGTTCAAATGTATAAGATATAACGTACCTGGCGTTGCAATAGATAACGCTTGTTCTTTGTCTTGCTTAAAGTTTTCCTGCATTCCAGAAGAGCATAATTCTCCTTACGAACCGCAGCCTTCTTGTCTTGCAACCTTGCATAATTTTTATCAGAACGGTTATGATAGAATTGGTCCTTCAAAATTCTCATCTCCTTTTGGACCTTTCCTCTGGTTGTCACGATCTGCTTTTGACGTTTTTGGAGGCTATCGATTGTTTCGCTCAAGGAGTCCATCTGCTCCTCGGCTCCGTCGTTTTGTACCGTCGCGGAAGTGGGTCGTGCTTCTTACGTTCATGACGTTTGTCGTATCTTGAAATCATGTTGTAGCATTGGTGGTTTATCCATGCTCCTTGCAAAATGGCCACGTGTCTATTTGCGTCGTCATCTTCATTTTCTTATCGTCGTTGCTGTCATCGTGCCAATCAAAATTGGTCACATCGATTTGCATCTTGGCCTTTTTTTCCCCTTATTTTTGGTTCGAGGCTTTTTTGTTCTTCTTTGCGAGGGCATGCGTGACCCTGCTTTTAAGATATGTTACGAAAAATGTCGTCAGAATTTTCAAGCAATATTCGGAGCTGAGGACGACCGCTGGCATTTGCCCTTTTCGGCTTGTCGTACTTCGCACTCTAGCCACCGGAAGATGGCTGTGAAGTCCCGTTGTCACGGACAGCATGGGCGTTGATTTTCGCACACGATTCTGCTGCGGACCAAGAGGAATAAAAGTGCTTTCTCCTGGACACGTCGTTATTTAGAAGGTATACACGAAAAAATATGTTTTATACAATACCTGTAAATGAACTGACGTTGTGGAGAATTCCGATCCAGCAGTCTCTGTTGCCAAAGACGCGTGTGTGGGACCGACTGGAGAAAAGAAAAACTTTGACATTGATTTGTAAAGATATGGCCAATAACGTGAGATGTGATTCTATTATCGTAACTATGAAGGGTTCATCCCTTTTTGAGGTGATATCAAAGTTGTACAAAGGGTTCTTGCGATCATTCAACAATCGAGCCACATCCGAAGCGAGACTCAGGCTATGGTCAGGCTTGATGTCAAACCTTCTTAACAAGATACGCAGTGCCTTCTTTGTATTTTTCATTGGCCAAAGCTGTTATTTCTGTGGCCTCATGTGCATTGCTGAGCTTCTGCTTCCAGGACGGTTGATTCAGATTTCGGGAGAAGCAATCCGAAGGAGTAACGAAGTTCAAGTATGCTGACCAGCTCCAATCATAATGGAATCGAGAGGTGAAATCCATCATAGAAAAGAAAGAAAGCAAAGAATTACTTATTTTTTATTGTGAACCACTTTTATATGATGTATTAAAAATCCGGCATGTGACAGTCATGCTTTCCCGTCATTCGTCTCAAGCGAATGGCTCAAAATTTTATGGGATCTTCCGCTGCTCACGCCAATGGAGCTTCAGGCGATAAGTCTCCAGACGTTTAAGACGGCTAACATGCTGGATTTAATGAGGTCACCAGCATTCTAGTAGCTGGAAAGGACACTCATCTGGTATAGACGTTGCTTTTTTCTTTTCCAAGGTGCATTTGGGCTGTTAGGACGGTTGGCGTTGCTGACTTCCAATTTGCCACAATGCACAGTGAACAAATAACTTTTCATCAGAAGCAATCCCCTACGTAAGACTGATAACGGAGTCGACTTTGTCAATGCATACAGAAAATATGAGTCAGTCAGTACTGATAAAATTTTATGTTGATGATAAATAAAGAGCTATTTCGTGCTTGTGATACACATACTCAAACTCGGCGCCCAAGCTTGTGTCTCCAGGAACATGTTCGATCTTGTGTCAGATCATATTCCAGTGGACTTCAGGCAGCATGGACTTGCAACAGGTTTTTATGTTAACATGCGTCAAGATATATTAACATGCCAAAATGAATCTTCAGTATTTCGTCTGCGACAGACAAACAATATTGTATGCAAAGTAGTAAGGAAATCGTATGGCTTCCCGCATTAACGCATAATGTTCATCGCATCATGGTAAAGTTAGCGCATGTGCCTTGGGCTGCCAATAAGAGTCAATGGCAGCATGACTCTTTGGCCAACGCTTTGGTGGTCGTTGTCGCCGTGTTCCACTGCATCTACGATACCTCGGTACAATTCCATAAATGGATGTTCCACCCGAGATCACCATGCAGGAGCATGAGGACATAGTGAAGCGCGTCGTAGTATTGATGCATTTCACTAATGCGTTGAGGCCCATGGCTTTTCGATCGGAGCACAATATCGCTGCTATGTTGTGTGATCGTACTGTCTACCAGGGTCACTCCAACTTCGCTTGCCGTGGGTGTATTGTATAGACGAACATCAGGAGTGTTTTGTGCGCATATGAGCAATCGCACGTGCCAGCTTCATCTGTTTCACGTAAACCTTGGGCCATCGACTGCAACAACGGGACAAACGGGTTGTCTTCCGTGAACATATCTTGGAGAATCAACAGCGTTGCCTTCTGAAAATAGGCGTCACAACGTTCTAGTGTGCCAGCTGGGTGACAGAATCGTATATATACTTCTGAGCGAATGTGGGAGTGCGGCTCTCAGTTGGTGGAAGCAGATCAGTGATCCAATGATAGATTCCTTCTTAAATATAGAAGCAGTACGCTCCACTGCGATTGTTGGCAACTGATTCATCCAGGTGAGCACCTACCGAAGTAAAGCTCAGATTCGTATTGTAGGCGGTGGATCTAGTCACGGCAATCTCTTCCTTCTTCATTGTCGCTATGAAGGAGACGGGCGACGTTTGGATGCGTAGGCTCCAAAGGTGGAAGGACAATGGTACCTTGGCCACAGCAGAATTGGAACTTTGGATTAGAGATGGATCCAGACATGCTCTCTTTGACCTACATCCGTCCCTGACAGAAATTGCACACAACATTCATGCGGCCCCAAGGTATGTCTACTGTAAAGGTCAGCATCATTAGCGTTGTATGCAGGTTATCTACGAATGCATCCCGCAGTATCATTATCGTTTGCTTCCTTATGGACACTCTCCTAGGATTCAATGCGCAAGCTGGATGGGTACTTTGCTGATGCCCCACTTACTGGCACGTAGAGCAACGGACTTGTACCAATCCTTGGACGGTAGCAACATTGGGATGTGGGGGCAGTTTCTAGAGGTGGAGCGAGTATGTCCTGGCAGACTGCAAGCAGTGCAAAAAAACATTTGAGAATGACATAAAAAAAAAAAAAAAAAAAAAAAGAGTTAGGAAATAGATCATCTAGCCCAAGTAATGCGTTTCAAATTGAATCGATGTATCACGGTCCACCTATTCGAAAAGGGGAAGCGCAGATCATGAGGAAAAGAAAGATCAACTCACACACTGCAGTAAACCATCTGCTTCATTTCGTTTTACCCAATCAGAAACGTTTATTTTTCAAAATTACCCAATCAAAACCCAGTGCGGCTGCTTTATGACAGAAAATTAGCGCGCATAACTCAAACATTTTAAATAAAGGCAGTTGTACAGTTTATTCAACTTTTGGAGTCACAATAAAAAAATCGGGTGTCAAACAGCTGCGATGTATAGAAAAACAAGGGGGCAGTAATACAAGAAGCATCGAGAATCTTTGGTTTTTTTTTTTAAGGGGGGCGGTAATAGAGCAGAACTCGAAGTAGCAAACAAAAACTTTTCATGTCTTACAAACCAAATGTGAAAGGACCGTAAACCTAGACTCGGTACAACAAGAAGCTTTTGTGGTCTCTTGCATCTGAATAAGGAGGCCCTCAAAACACCAGCTGCAATGCACAGTAAACAAAAAAAGAGAGAGAGAGAACAGTGTTCCACGGAATGACAGGAAGCAATCAAGAATCGTGATAATATTCTTTTGGATAATTCGAAGTACAGGAAAAATAGGGACCGGCTGATATCAGAAGTGAAAGGTGGCATAATCCATGATCGAGAACTCCTGTTCATTCACCTTTTACTATTTGATTGAAGAGTTATATTGTTCATTTGCAGTGCATGCAGTTATGAATGGAAATGTAATATTTGAACACTTGCCACTACATTTGTTTACCGCCATGTATCAACTTCATTCTAAAAATATCAGTTTAAATACGGATGAGTCCGCAAAAGTTGCCACTTCTCAAAATGTGCGTTACATTATAACAAGAGATTCTCCGGTCGTATGCAACGCGGATATCAAAGTGGTCAGCCTTTATCAGCTTGAGGGGCCATTTATCCTAGAATAGAAGAAAAATAAATGGATACTTCTAAAGATCGAAAAGAGGCAGCAAGGTAAGCGACTAATCAAATAAGAATTTTACGACTTTTAGATATAGGGTAAGCTCCCAAAAATGCTCTTAAGTCAACTAGCTACCTCTTGTCTCGCTTCGCTTCGACTGAATAAGCCCCTTCGCTACGCTTCGGGTCATTCAACAGAGTTAGCGTCGCCAAGGGGGATAATGGATGTAGCAGGTGTCTAGTCAAATTTTCGCTTAGCTAAGTGGAGATGACCAACCAGCAGGCGGGAGAGTAGAAAGAGGAGGATGGTGAAAATGATGAATAATTCCGCAATACAAAAATGACTGATCCCCGTTCCGATTTCAAGCCAACTGCCAAAATCAGAGACAAAGTAAAAGAAATTGATCGTTTGTACGTCCGTGATACTGAGCACCACCAAGAACAACGCAAACGAAGGCAGATCCAAACTAGCCCCCATAATCCCAAGCACCGCCGAGACTACAAAGAAGGGGACCAGCACTTTGATGATCAGAAGCGCTCCCATAATGAAAGGATTGAACACGGTGATCAGACGGTAGACGCTGGCTAATGAGAAACTGCTGAGCGATGCAATATTGCCGGTACCAAAGAACGCCACATTGATGAAGAATAAAAACATGACCACGATACGACCGTCGCTGGCCTGCAAAGGCCGTGTCTTGATGTCTTGCAGAGGACGGTACAGTGCTCGTTCCATTTGGAGCCACAGCAACACTGTCGTGCAAAAGCACACGTAGAATAATGCTTCATACGAAATGCTTAAAATAATCATGAGCGGAAAGAAGGTTTGACAGATGATCAGTAGCCGAGTGAAATAGTCGGTTTCGGCCGGTCCACGGTAAATGAAAGGAAACACACTGGAGATGGCTAATCACAAGAAAATGAGAATGAATATGTGCTGCAGAGTGAAAAAGGTGTCAAACGCTTTTGCTTACCGACGATCGCTAAACTGAGTATCTGGTTGATGAGAGGCAATCCTTGACGATTGGCAAGACTTGTCGAAGTAGAATACACGAGGACCATGCTCACCGCGATCGTAGTCATTTGGGCCAAGGCAATGGTAGTTTGCATAGGTGTGATACGTCCGGCCCGACGAAGAACCAACGTGGCATACCCGGAAAGCATCAAGCCAAGACAACCGCCGCATAATCTACATGAGGAAAAATCAATATGAAGCTCAATGGAGACGCGTCCTCCAGATCCTTACACCATGAAAATATCCTCTCCCTTTTCAACGGGCAAAAGCGTAAATATACTGGTGCATAGACACGACAAGGCCCAGCCTAATCTCAAAGAGCGTGATTCTTTTTGCATGTGCTCAGCTGCTACCACGGGCCACGCTGTCAGAAGCAGAAACAAAACCGAGAGAACTTCGCGTTGAAAGAAGCTGTACACCTAAAAATCCATCACGAGGTCCATCAATCATACTGCCGTAATGGATTTATGTTTCACTCATGTCACGTACCAAAGCTTCCATACAAAAAAGGGTACCGAATATCAACAATCCCAACTTTTGCGCACCAAAATGACGGACCGATCCAAGTGCATTGACCAGAGACGCACGGTTGCGCAAAACCTGATTCCAGAAAAATACGGGGAATAACACGTAGGCATGGTAGATGAGAGGCATTTTTTGATAAACAATCATGCTGGCAATCAGACCGAAAATCGCCAGACCGATTGCATCCAGCTAAAATAAAAAATTTGCACACGCATTGTGAGATACGTCGATCCTTTCCCCTTCATCAGAGACTTACCTTTCCGAACCCATCGGCAGGCGCTGTTGTCTGTTCGCCCAATACGTAGTGGCGAAGCACGTATTCAAGGCAAAATATACACCAGCCGACGTAGCCCAAGGTGATGATGCTACGAAGGAAGAACCAATCATAAGTTTGAAAGTAACGCAAACCTCGCAAGCTGAGATCGATCAACTCTTTTGACATGCGTTCTGCCTCGGCATAATCTTTGGCATCGATCAAGGACTGAATGTTGGCCATGAAAGCTTCGGGACTGTGATCTCCTGATAATGGTGGAAACGGTCGAAAGAACAACTCGGAAGCCGCCTTTTCATCTACACAGTAGCTCGATTAACAAAAAACTCGACCTCAGATCCATATGATTTTCGCTGCGTACCGTTCTTCACTTGGTATTGAGCCAAGATTTGTCGAGCATTGGTAAACGCTGCCTGGGCCTTGTAATATTCATCGGCTTTGAGAAACGTCAGTGGAAGTTCACCGACCGAATTGACGGGAAACGGAACACCAATTAAACTGGCCATTAAGGGAGCAATGTCGGCTTGCTTAATATCATCCCGCTGTACGCGGTCCAATCCCCAGGGAGCCGAAAATTCATCATGATTCAGGCCCGTGTACAATGGTTGCCGAATTCCCGCACCCCATGCAACAATAGGTGTTCGCGTATTATCGGGATGACCATCACCATGGGCTCCACGATTATTCATACCGTGATCCGCCGTGAATACATAACTTGTTCGTCCATCGTGACCATAAAACTCCTCCACCATCTCTACCAGGTCTGCAATTCCAGCATCCACCAATCGAATATTGTTGTGGTATTCCTTTGAGTGAGGACGGAAACCGTGGCCGTTGGTGTCCAGACCGAGCAAATGTAAAAAGAAGACGATCTTCTTTTGCCGTAGTTGACGATTCAACTCTGGGCTGCTGGTTGCGTTACGGAAAAGTGCCTTGACATGATCAAACACCCACGTATCCAAATGCGATGCCTCTATCAAACGACGATCAATCATGCTTACTCTACATGTACACGGCTCGCTGGTCCTCTCTTCTCCTTTCTTACCTTCTGAGAAATCTTCAAATTCGGGTGGGTACATGAATGTCTCGATACGATTGGGATCACTTGCACCATGTTGAAACATGGGCAGAATATCCGGTGAACCAAACGACCAGGTGTGTTGAGATTCGTTAAAGAGCGAATCGTAGTTAACGGGATTCATCGTCCATCCTTATTATGCAAAAATACGATATTAGTGAACAAACTAAAGCATGAAAAATGATAGCCTCGAGGTAAATCTTACCGGTGGTCACCGCACTGACATCTTCGTAAAAGCCTGCAATTATGGCGACGTGACCTGGCCGTGATTCTGTGGGCACACGAGTGTGAGATACACCCCAAGCACCTTGCTCTTCTATAATCTTTCTCAAAAACGGTGCACGAGTGGTCCCATCTTCCAGCTCAAACAGTTTATCGGCTCGTAATCCGTCGCCTAAAAGTAAAATAGCTCAGTGACGCTGCTCGACAAGTCTGCATTGAAAGATGTGGACTTGCCGACAATAAGGAACAGTCGATCGGCCGGTGGCGCAAGAGGACTTTTATGAGGGGTCATGCCATGCACCAAAGGCGACGTGAAATAAATGTCGAAAATACTGAATAAATAGACGACATGAAAGACGATGCCAATAAGCAGCAGCGTCACACGCGACATCATGGTTGATTCGTAAAGGGCTCAAGTACCAAGGCCCCCAATTGTCCTGAAAGAAGAAACACGAGCGATAAAGCAACCCAAAACCCATTCCGGAAGCTGTCTGCCAAACCAATTCAAACGCCGCCCCATGACCCTTGAACCGCACTATTATTGCAAGGGAAGACAAGATAAAATTTTGCATGCTAGAAAGGATACTTCTTGATAAAGTTATATTTTCCGAGATGATCATGAATGTTTTTCTTTGTATTATATTTCCCTGAGAATATTTGTATGTGGAAAAAAAAGTGATGCAAATGTTTTGAGTACAAAAAATAAAAAAAGAATTGGAAACTGTAATTAAAAATACAAGGAAAAGGGGGGGAAAAATGGAATACCGTTTTACGCTTTGCGTGCAAAATCAATGAGACATAAACCGTAGTGAATATGTTCCGACAATCGTCCAAACTCTTCCTTCTGCACCTGTAGGATATCATTCAGCTTGTCGTGGATAGGATTCGAAGGATTAGCCACAATCAAGTCACCGTGAATCATCAGAAACACATTCAACCATGCTTGAGCCAGCTCAAAATTCTTTCGTGTACGAAGCATATACGCAATAGCTTCCATGAAATAGTTCAGTTGCGTCAAGTCGCCATCGATTGGCATGGTGCGCATTTCGAGATCAATAGCCGAAGGATTCAGCGTCTTTACATAGGTTATAAACTCGGAATCTACAATAAAACATCGGTGGGATCAGCCAAATGTTCTTCACGACGACAATGAAATCGAAATAGAAAACAAACGACCAACTTACAATCACTTTGTTCATGTCCCTGCCGCAGAAAACGGGTGAATTCAGTCTCGGTATTGAGCTCGCTAAATTGTACACGATGCGACTCTGTGGCGGTTTCCTGTTTTTCTTCTTGTATGGCGAATCGCGGTGCAGCACCCGGTAATGTCGGTAAGAAAAACGGAGCCTTTTCAGGCACCTTGGGCGCTTCCGTCGGCTTGTTGCGTTGTTTGATTGTATCCAAATTCAAAAGGTTCTGCCATTTAGCTCGAGGTTCCAACGACAATGTAATCATTTCATCAGCAAGCTGTTCAGCGGTGGCCAGATTGTCGGATACAACGATCGCCTCTTCTTCTTCTTCGTCATCCACTAGTGGAGCATTTTGTTTTAATTACGATGTTTCCTTTTTGTTATTCTTTCAAGCTTACCTTGGACCTCATCCAATCCACCCAAAGATGGCAATGCGAGTAACTCAACCTCTTCATCATCCACAATGCTACGTAAAGCGATATTCGCGAACTGGGTACGGTTGGCCCACAAAAAGATACCGACATTATCCATATGCGATGTGGCTAAGAAATCGCCCTTGGGGGAGAAAGATAAACTGGTCACAATATCTTCCACCTTGAAGATATCCACCATCATGCTTGAAGATAGATCCCATGTACGAACCGTGGAATCCAAGGAAGCAGATACAATCCATCGTCCATCGGGGGTAAATGTCTAAAAAAAAATCGGTGTAAGCCTCGTACTGATCACTGGTTCACTCTCTGAAATGCTTAGTACATACCATGTCCGTAATTCTATTTCTATGGCCCCAGAACTCTCTGACTATTTTTTGAGTCTCGATATCAACCACGCGGATGCCCAAATCATCGCAAACCACTGCCACCAGATCGTTATCACGGTGATATTGAATCGATGCAATAGGTGATTCCATTTCGATGGTATGCAGCACTTTGGCTGACTTAAAGTCCCAGATCTAAATCATCATGCGATGCGATTCGATCAGTATTCAAATATGTAGAAATAACGTCGCCTCAATTGCTGTTATCTTTTTTACCTTGATAGTTCGATCGATGGATGCGCTGACGAGATAACGATTGGTATAATCGCTTGCCAATCCAGAGATTGCTTTTTTATGACCTAAATAACGAGTCATGTCAGTTATCAGCGTGTTTTTTTTTCCCGGAATCATAGCAGCCATCTTCCTACCATCGGGTCCACCAAACGTTTTGCGGTGAAGACCGGATTGCATATTGTACATGTCGATCTGACCAGACGCGCAGCCCAAGAAGCCATAATTGCCGCAAGCGCTGATAGCCGTGACTTTGACCGCACTCTTGTCGGTGCTCAGTAACGTATGTTTACCAATCGATTTATTCTTCATAGTCCATGTACGACCACCATTGTCATTCAAGTGTGCAGTCAGTACGTTATCCCACTCTTTTTCCTTGCTTCGACCTGTAAAACAAAAAATGCCATCAGCAACGTGAAAGTGATATTTTCAATCAGGAAGAAAAAGAGAAAAAAAAACTCACCGGCATCAAAATCGGTGATCAATGGGAGTCTCAATTCATCCATGCGAAGATCCTTTGACTTGGCCTTTTTGGCAAGATGACCTTGAGATAATTCAAAACTCTGCGCATCACGATAAACGGAAAATGCCCGCAAAGTCTGATCACGGCCTGCACTAAGAATGAATCGGCCATTTTCGTCGTAGTATCGAATTTTCGTTGGAGGTGCATGATGTCCACTGCGTTGCTTGAACGCATGAGGAACGGCATTGTCCTTTTCAAATTTCCATTGCTAATGAGAGAAGGACAGATACAGGATCAATTGATCGGTTCTAGTATAACCTTTCGTTTTAATTCTCACCTTGACAGCGTTATCGGCGCCTGCAGTGACCAAGACGGGTTGTCCACTCAAGAAAGCGATGGAAGAGATCAAGCCATCATGAGCTCCTCTCATAATATGAAGCAAACGACGATTTTGGAGGTCCCACAGTGCTACATCTCCATGCATACTCGCAGTTGCCATCACTTGTTCCTCGTCTAAGGGTGCAATAGATCGTCAATAATGACCATTTGACGTGGGGGGTTTGCACGGTCATGATGCCAAATTTACCTGTTCGGAAGGAGATTGCTGTTACTCGATCGTTTTGTCGAACACTATCGATCTTTTCGTCCATCTTGATATTATATAAAATAACGCTTCCTTCCAAAGTACCGACAGCCACCACATCCACCACCGGCGATTGCGTCAAACAGGTAATTGGCGATCCGAATGATTTGAACTGATAAATCATCTTATTTGTTCGGATATTCCAAATCTGCATCGTGCCTTGCGTGCTCGAGATTAAAATTTTGTTGAGGTAAGTACTGGGGTGAATCATGGCGGAAGCGGTGAAGCCGGCATCAAACTCGATTTCCGTATACATTTCTGCGTCCATATTGTGAGCCTTTGTGAATCTGGAGTGTGAGCAAATTTTTTTAAAAAGACGCTTACCACCTGATGACACATCCCACATTCTCAGTGAATTGTCATCACACAATCCGGCAATATAAGATCCCAGCACCAACAATTGAAATATCGTAAAGCTGCCTTCGCCACCCACTCGAGAGATCTGTCATTGTAATAGATAAGCACATTAAACAAAAAAAAACAAATGAAATCGCAATGCCAACGGGAACAAACCTCTTTTCCACGCTTGGAGCCGATAATGGTGTTGCCGCAAGCAGTGTAAGTGACATTGTTGCCGACGGTCATGGCAGTAATAGCCCGATCAGTTCGACTGCCGACAAATAAAAGGTTCATTTTCTCCAGCTGTCAAGTAACAATAGTGCGTTAGTACCACGGCAACCAAAACCAATGATCGCTAGTTGTGGAAATTACATTGTAGATTTGGAAATTGTAACCGACGCAGGTGGTCAAAAAGTGATCTTGACCACGAGTTTCAACAACAAAGGGCACATCGTTGGTCACATAGCCAATGGCACGGAAAGGTTGGTAAATGTGCGATCGTGCAACGGTGAGTTTACCGTTGGTCGACTCCACACGCCGTTTCTTGTTCTCGTTATTCAGATCGCTCGCAACCATTGACAAAGATCAGGCCTTTTTTCCCTCTCAATTTCGAGCAAGGAAAAGAAATTTGTTCCCCTACTGGCGCCACTGGCTCACGAAAACATGTCACAACAGAGAACATCAGCGGAGATTCAAAATAAATTCCACACATTGGATTTCCCGGAGACCAATGGTTTGATTTGCGGCTGGGGAACAATACGTGGATCAAAATGAACAACAATGAAAGAAAAAATGTATAGCAAAAATCATTGGTTAACAAGGTATTAAAAAAAATGTTGCAATAGCTACACTATTGTGTCTATCTGGTCGATTTGCGCATAGTAAAATTGGGGAGCTATGTATGTGATACAAAATAAGGGCAATAAAAAAAGGGTGCGGCACACTATGCCCAGATCTGATTTTCCCATTGTTTGAATGTAATTAAAGAATGGATATGTGAGTTTCTTTGTTCTGTTTTGCAAATAAAAAGTAGATTGGAGGCTTACCTTGAGATTGGAATCCCAGCTGGCTGTACAAAGAGCCATACCATCGCCGCCGACGCCCAGACAGGATACACGGTTTTCATGAGCCGAAAGGACACCGACGCGTTCTCCTTTCAACGTATCCCATACATTGCAGTTGTAGTCGTCGTAACCTCCAAACATGAGACGTCCAGAAACAGAAAACGCAATCGATGTGATGCCGCATAAAATGCTTTCGTGGGTGTAGACACTCATTTCACAGTCCGCGCGTAAATCAAACAGTCGGCAACTTGCATCATCCGAGCCAGTAGCAAAAGCATCGCCGTTGGGAAAGAACTGAACACAGTTAATATCGGATTCGTGACCTGCAAAAGTTTGAACACATCGTTTCGTGCGGATATCCCACACTTTGGCCGTAGCATCACAAGCACCGGTGACAAACACATTGGGATTAGGTCCTAAAGATAAGCTATTTAGGGAGAAAAAAAAAGGTGTTTGACGATGATATCAAAAGGAGCAATTAGAGAGGAGTTATTCGAGGCGCTGTGATAAAATATACCTCATGACATCGCCGGTATGATCTGAAAATTCTTCGGTTTTGACACCTGCATCGATATCCCACAGCATACATGTCATATCTCCGGACGCCGTGAGGATTTGACGATCGTTCAAGAACCGACAACAGCTTAAATAACCGGTGTGTGCCGAGAGTTCGCGCGCAGGGCGCTGAGGACCGTCTCGGGTTTTCAGGTTGTAGATGGAACAAATATTGTCGAGACCACCACAAGCCACAAAGTTCCCCGACGGGGAATAAGCGCAGGTCATCACCCACGACGATCGAAGTGAAATGGCGTGCACTTTGTTCGCTGAATAAGCATCCCAGACGATGAGTTTACCGTCTTGCGACGCAGATACCAAGTGCCTTTTATCGGCTGCCCAGTGCATCGAATAAATTTTCGCCAGATGGCCTTTCAGTGTTCGACGGACTTTCATGATGATGCGGGGCAGTGGTTCCACTTCTTTCGCCATCTCTTGTACTGTAAACAAAGAGTCTGCCATGTTAGTCATCTGGCGCAGAAACACTAAACTGTATGCTTAAATACTTGCACGTTGTGTCGGCCAACGCTTCCTTTCGTTGTTTAATTCTTTCTTTAAGCGCTTCGGCCTCACGTCTTGCTGCGGCAATGCGACCTGAGATATCGCTATCATTATCTGGATTCATGGCAGCCAAAAGAAAACTAAAAAAAAAAAGCAGAAATGGAGATGCTTTGCAAGATGCGGACGAGATGCACCGGAAAAAAAGCTTGAAAATAAAAAGAAAGGGGCCTATGAACGGAACAGGGAGTGTACAGTTTAGGAGACCTCGATTTGCCCAAACAGGAAGTACACCATCATTGTATTTCTCTTGCTTCAAAATGAACACTTGCCCTAAAGGCCACTGGCGGTATTTCTTATCATTGATCTTTTGACCTTTTTCTCCGCTTCGTTGATACGCGGTGTGCCTCAGGATAACTCATATTGCGTTGTGCCTTTTTTAAGCGCGCTATGCAGACATTATAACACTTAATCAGTAATCCGACCTATTGTGTAAGTTGATGGATACCAGAGACTGGTACATGTGCTCTGTAACTGCCTGTATTCGTCGCCCCGATGCAGTAAAATCAGGAACGCGATGATCGCATCCATTGATCGACCCTTCTTGATCCCGGAAATACATTCCCCATATCAAAATTTGAGACAATACGTCATTGCCGGCACCTGTAGCCTGAACCCTCCACATTTGGGATTCTATCCTTGTCATCTACCTTTTTTCTAAATAATGTACAATCTTTAGTTGAAACATAGCTGCTTATGAGATAAATAGGTGAGCAACGTTCTTGTTTTTGGGCTTGTATCTACTTCCTCGATCCATCATTGCAAACTGTAAAGTCTTAATTAGAGGTGGTGAGAACAGAGATGTGAATATATTTTCAACTTTGTCGGACTGACATGTACACGAATAGGGTTAATGATACATTTGGTGTACAGAGAGCCACAGGAAGGATGCTTAAAATAAAAAAGAAATAAAAAAAATTCAAGCATCACCATTAACGCATTGTCACCAATTCTTCAGCAGCGGTAGGATGGATGGCAACGCAATTGTCGAAATCAGCTTTGGTAGCACCCATGCGTATGGCCACACCGAATCCTTGCAGAATTTCATCGCTGTCTTTACCGAAAAGGTGAAGACCCACTACCTTTTCCTCGGGACCGGCCACCACAATCTTGTATACCGTCGGTTCTTTATGATCCATCATGGCAAAGTACATGTTAACAAACTTTGAGTTGTAGACCTTGACGTTCTTGTCACCGTATTTCTCCCGAGCATCCGCTTCGCTCAAACCGACGGTGCCGGCAGTAGGATGGGCAAAGATGACTGTCGGGATGTTCTCGTATTCAAGTCGTGCATTCTTGAAGCGCTCGCCACCAAACAAGCGATCACTTAGACGTCGACCAGCAGCAATGGCCACTATCATGCACAAAAATTACAAACCTTTCATTCCCACTTTGACCTTCGTGCCATGCGATAACTTACCAGGCGTCAATTCGAATTTACCGCAAGCATCACCCAAAGCGTAAATACCTTTGGTGGAGGTTTGCTGATAATCATCGACATTGATGTAGCTCTTTTTGCCGGTTTCGACCGCAGCGGCTTCCAAATTCAGTTTGTTGACGTTGGGAGCGCGTCCCACCGCCCAAAGAACGCAATCGGTTTCCAATTCTTTTGCTTCCCCATTGACTTCATATTGCACGGTGATGGGACCGTTTTCACCCTGCTTTTTCTCCAATCCTTTCACTTTGGCTTCATAATTGAATTGAATACCGGCTCCTTCCATTTCCTTCAACACGTTATCGCGGATCATGGTGTCGAAATGACGGAGAATGGTCTTGGTGCGAGAGAAGACGGCTGTTTCGGTACCGAGTGCATTGAAGATTCCTGCCAATTCAATGCCAATGTAGCCTGTTCCAACCACAGCGACACGCCTTGGTTGTTCCTCCAAGTCAAAGAATCCATCCGAGTCGATACCGTACTGGGCCCCAGGAAGTTCCGGGATGATGGGATGACCACCTGAAACAGAGAAAAGAGAAAGAGAAAAAGGGTTTGAATGTCATGATCAATCGCCAAAAAATATGATGGGACGCTTCACCTGTGGCGATAAGGATATGTTTCGCCTGCACATCGAATGCCTCGGTGTCGGATTGCTTGACGCGCACCGTATTCTTGTCCACAAAGCTAGCAAAACCGTGCAAAAGATCGATACCATCTTTGTGAAGATTGTTGTCATAAATTCCGTTCAAGCGTTTGATGTATGCGTCACGTTTTTTCTTGATAGTGGCCCAATCACAACGAGCCTTGGAGTCGACCTCAAACCCGTAATCGTGAGCATGACGGATGGTCTCGGCCATGGCAGCTGGTAGTTGAGTTTATGTAAGCTTTCCAAACGTGCTGTCAGTGCAATCGCTTATGAACACCTACCGACATTCCACATAATCTTCTTGGGAACACATCCCTCGTTGACACAAGTACCACCCAAGCGGTCTTGACATTCGACCAAAGCGACGCTCACTCCGTGATTGCTGGCGGCACGTCTTGCCGAAGCCATACCACCCGATCCACCGCCGATGACGAGATAGTCGTAAACTTTATTGGGAGTTGGAGTTACTGGAGGCATGCCGGTACGTAAAGCAGTATAAATCTGGTAAGCGCGTCGGTTGCTGTTAGCCAGTTTTGCGTTTTGTTATTTAAAAAAAGGGAAAATAAGAAACAGTTGACGTGCTTGTTATATAGGGTGTCAATGCAAAAGCACAAATAAACTCAGCAAAACATACCCTTCGAATTTATTTTCTTTGAAGCGCCTATCTCCATCCAATCATGAGCATCATACGTAATATCCAATCATGGTCATCCCAGTCAATCAAAGGCATCGCAGAAAGATATGTGGGTCAATGATGGAAGTTCCACAGTCTTTGAATTGTCCAGATACCACTTATTAAAGGGCGTATACGCTGAATTTCTTGTTCCCTCTACCCTTGAAGCAGACAGCCTTGGATGTACTCCATTGGACAAAACATTACTAAAAAGACCCACAATAAAGTACTATCCCGTAGAATCGATGACTTTGCTTGCAAATTTATTCCTTATGTAACTGCTGAGTTACTGCTTGCAAAGCGTCATTCAGATCATTATCGAGCCTTTCCTTCACAAGTGTTCCGTCTTCTTTGAACCACGAAGCGACGTTCTTTGTCACACGGTGATGCGCTGACTTGTTTGATTTGTCGGTATATTCAAAGACAAGTTCATAATTTGGGGAATAGCGTTCCATTGTGCCGGATATCTTGAGTGTGCTGGTCGCATTACGTCCGACAAATACTTCGCTCTTCACGTACAAGTAGTCGTAAACCAGTGACAACCCTTGAAGAAGCCAGAATGCGATCACACAAGCGAGCGTGACTTGTTTGGCCGACTCAAAAGATGTCTTGTACTCGTACAGCACAGCTCCGCCAGCAATAAAGCACGAAGCATAACCGAGCAGGAGCTTGACATCCGTGTGCTGATGGCTCTGCTTGTAGTTTTTTTCTGCTGTAAAATACTGAACCAGTGCATATTAGAGAGTATGATTTGGAATCAACGCGTCCCATTTTCCTTTGCACCTAAATCCACTTACTCTGCATAGCTCATCGTCAACAGCGTTCTTTACTTGGGTATTGTCATATTTGCTGATTTGCACTTGCTCGGTTTCCGCTATTGAAATGGGAAGGATTTCCATGAGTAAATTTCATAAGTGGAGGTTGAGCTGCTTAATGCCTACTTGTGCTTGCCATTGTTGCGGGAGGAGGAGAAGGAAAGAAGACGGTGTGCCATGTGGTTGGCTGGAAATCGAACAAAAGTCGCGGAGTCGGAAACAACCGTGCATGTCAACATGAGCTTTCTCAAAAACAGCCGCACTGGTACTTGGAGCTTTCATATTATGCAGCGTTTCTCTCGACACTTTTGTTTCTTCATTTTCATCGTTCATTCACTGTAGAAAGACCCTTTTATGTTACTTTTTTGGTTTGCTATTATAATCGTCTCGGTGAATTCGATAGTTTCCTTGTATAAAACCATCGCACGGCCGTACTTATGAACGATTTGGGTGCTTTGCGATTAGCCTGCAAGATAGATAGGATGAATTGTATTAGCATGTTCTTTTCCTTTTTCCCTGAGAAAATAAAAAAAGGTCAACACAAACACATAACTATGAATTATATTCATTCATTCCCCTTGAAAATTCTACAACGCTTTATTTTTCTGTCTACGTACTACATACAAGCAAATAAAAAAAACCAAATAAACTAAATGCCCAAATTAAAGAACGCCTATTGTGTGAAGCATTTGCTTTAGTTCTTCTCTTCCAAGAGACTGTGACCGGTCATTTCCTGAGGAATATCGATGCCCATGACACGCAAGATGGTGGGTGCAACATCAGCAAGACAACCCTTGGCGTCCTTGATGTACTTGTACTTGTTGGAGGTCATGACGAAAGGAACCGGGGAGCATGTGTGAGCGGTGTGGGGGCTCTTGTAGTCATCCGACAACATCTTTTCGGCGTTACCGTGATCGGCAGTGACAAAGAGAATGTAACCGTTCTTCTTGCAAGCTTCGTAAACGGCACCAATAGCGGCATCGGTAGCCTCAACACCCTTAATAGCAGCTTCGTACACACCAGTGTGACCCACCATATCCGGAGGAGCAAAGTTACACATGACGAAGGGATACTTTCCGGATTCGATGTTCTCGACCACCTTTTCGCCGACTTCCTTGGCGCTCATTTCAGGCTTAAGATCGTAAGTGGCGACCTTGGGCGAGGGAACAAGAGCACGATCTTCCTTGTCGAACTGGGCTTCGGTACCACCGTTGAAGAAGAAAGTAACGTGAGCATATTTTTCGGTTTCGGCAACGTGCATCTGAGGAATGCCGTTCTTGGCGAGCCATTCAGCCAACACGTTATCCATGGTCTGAGCAGGGAAAGCCACCTTGAAGGGGAAGTCTCCCTTATACTGGGTCATGGTGAAAATTTCAGTATCCTTGGGAACAGTGGCATCAAAGGGACAGGGAGAGATACCGAAAGCCTGAGTGATTTCACGCATTCGGTCGGAACGGAAGTTGAAGAAGAACATAGTATCGCCGTCCTTGATACGACCTTCCTCATTGAGCACAATAGGCTTTAAGAATTCATCGGTTTCACCAGCGTCGTAACGCGATTCCACAGTCTTGACTGCATCGTCGCTCTTTTCACCCTTGTCTGCTTGAGTCAAGGCATCGAAAGCGATCTTGATACGCTCCCAACGCTTGTCACGGTCCATAGCATAGTAACGACCGACAATGGTGGCAATCTTGCCGTAACCGATTTCCTTGATAGCATCCTGGAGTTGCTTCAAGTACTTGGTGGCCGACTTGGGAGAGGTGTCACGACCATCGCCGAAGAAATGAATGTAAGTTTCGGGAACGCCCGCTTCCTTGGCAGCGCGGATGAGAGAAATCAAATGGTCAATGTGAGCGTGGACACCGCCATCGGACACCAAACCCAACAAGTGAAGACGACCGTTGCCAGATTTGGCACGTTCAAAGGCACCCTTGATGTTTTCAATCTTTCCAAACTCCTTGTTCTTGTTGGCAAGATCAATACGGACAATATCCTACACATAATATTTAAATTTTCCCCATTAGAAATTTGGTCCATTGACATCATCTTCAGACCCTTGAACCCAGCCACTTTCCCGCGGCATATTTTTTCTCTCTCTACTCTCTCTCATTCCGTATGCTAAATAATTTTTTACCTGGTAAACGACACGACCAGCACCAATGTTAAGATGGCCGACTTCCGAGTTACCCATCAAACCATCGGGAAGACCGACGCTAAGACCGTGAGCAGCAATGGTCTCGTAAGGATATTCTTTCTCGAATTTGCTCATGACGGGTGTTTGCGCGTTGCGAATAGCATCACCCTTGGGGTCCTTTGCCGGGGACACACCCCAACCGTCGATACAAATGAGACAAACCTTTTCCTTAGGCGTCTGTTGAGACTTTGGCATTTCTCCTCCACCGGGCATCTTGTATGTATAATATTTTTTTTCCTTGAAAGAAAAAGAAAAAGAATGAAGAATAAAAAGGAAGTCCCGTCGCGCCGTCAAATCCCGACATGGTTTTATCATCGGTTAATCAACCACGTGACGATTCAATTAGCGCGTTTCAACTTTGATCTTCATGATCTCAGAAAAAAAAATGCCTTCCGTTTTTTATTGTCCGCTCATTGGGATCCCGACGCACTCGTTGGCCTGTTGACGGGAAAATAAACAGTTGGGGCGCGCTTCCCTTTTTCCAGTGGTATACTAACATCACTATTGGATTTCTTGCCATTGATAATAATAGCCTGTCACTGAATTATACTTTTTTACTGATAAGCGGTAGAAGATGATAATGAGTATCACGCTTCACAAATTTATATGACTCAGTTTCCTTTACTCTTTCTTATCTATCGCAACGGTTGTTTAATCGCCAGGGTTCAAGTCCGAATAATATGCCGCCATCTTTTTGGACTTTGCACTTTTTGGTCCCCAAACTGGGTCACCACCGTCACCCAACGTAACATTTTTGCCTGGATAGTATGGCAAGAGTGCATTTCAAGCATCGTCGTATGTGTAACTCGCTTGATCTATTCTATGGCCTGTGCGCTGGCAGTTCATGGGTGCTGTACTGTGCTGTGCTGTGCTGTGCTGAAAGATTCCTTAATAGAAATTTCCATCCAGAAAATCAATAGGACCTTTCAATTTTTTGGTTTGTCAGCCACGCAACAGTCAAAGCAATGCCATTGCAATTCTGTATCGAATGGACATGACCTTCTAAGTATCCCAAAATTATCATTGTTTTATTATTGGATGGCTTGAATAACCATACATTTTGTATCTACATTGTGACGACCGAGTGAGACATAAAAGACCTTTGAGCTAATGTGGTATCAGTCCGAGCCGTCCACTATTATGCGTTGGCAGCCTATTGTTCTTGTGGTCAAATTCTTTCATCGATAATGTTCAGGCATGATTTTACGAAAGACGCCTATTCGCAGTTGAAGATATGAGTCAGTGCTCATTCTGATGTGAAAAAATCAAAAAAAAGGCATCAACTCACCGTCCACAATGAAGCTTGTTAACCCCCAAATCTCACGGTCGCCCTCAAAGCCGTCAGGCATTTTATATACAGTGTATTTGTGTTTGCTTCCTCTGAACGCTTGCATTTGTCGAACATCATCCCTAAGAAGATAATCCAGAGACAACGTGAATACGGTGGATACTTCGTCTGGATTGAATTTTAGTGCGTCCGGATCAATCGGATCACGTATGAAGCCCACGAAAGGGTGGACGCAGAGCGAGCCTGTCTTGTTAGGTACCGATGAATATCGGCCCAAGATATCAATCGAATCCGGTGCTATGCCGACCTCTTCAAAGGTTTCTCGCAATGCTGTATGTTCGAGCGAAGGATCACTTGCATCTATCGTTGATATCACGGCCGGTTTTTTTTCTTTTTAGTTGATCATGACGTCATTTTTTGTACCGATTTGCCCAGTGACCGACCTGCCTTGCCACCTGGAAAACTAGTTTGAACAGACATCAGGGCCCTCACTCGTACATGCAACCAAAATACTCTACTATTTACCTAATTTCTCCTCGATGAGTTCGTAAATTCAGATTGCGTACTGTGAATAAAACACTCGGTTTGTTGTCAACTATACAGAGGGGCATAAGGACGGCCGCATCACGGCAATCCTTCTTGTAAGAGAATTTGAATGTTGGACAATTGCGAAGTCGTTGACTAAAAAGTGAAAGTGTTTGCGTGTCGAATACAATAGGCAACGTCCGAGACAGCATCGGTAACAATAAAAAAATGAGAGTATAACTGAAGAGGGTGAGAAAATAATGTCCAAAAGAGGCACTCTGAAAACATTGATTGTCCGTATTGGAATTTTTTGATCAATTCCTCTCTACTCCGTAATAACCTTTTTCTCCGCCAGAGAATCAGGTTTCTCTCTTTCTCGATTGATCGCTTTTTATTTTCATTGTCATCCATGAATCGTTTCTTTTTTAGAGGAGTGGAGAAGACAAAGTTTAATCATACCACGGTTCAAGCTCTTCGCAAGTGCTGTGGTTGCGTCCACTTACGATTCGGATGCGCCGTAGCATGCATTATATGGGCGGTACAGTAACATCCATCATTTTGCAAAAAAAAAAAAAAAACGTGATGGTCCAATCGGTATTGATATATTCTCCTTTTTTTACAGACCCTTTCCATGTATTTTGCCATTATATCTTTTCAGACACGCAGTCGTAAGTGGGGTTTCTACAGTACGATCCCGGTTGATCATGAACTTATCACAAAAGATTAGCCTTTTTTTCGTTCATGGATAGCACTCCGCTGCTCATTTGGGGAACCGCCAATCTTGCGCTCAGCATTGTGGCTATGGGAAGCCTTGTAGCCATCTATCTCGTAAGTGGGATGCTGCTCATTGCTTTTTTGGTCTTTTTTGTCAACAAGCACTGATCAACTCTTATCATTTTTAGAATCGTTGGGAATATATTCGGACGGCGTGTCATGCTATCATTGTGGCCATATTCTTTGTTGTGGCCGATACAATTGTCAATGTCATTTTATTTGCGACCCGTGAAAACAGATACGCAGACTCATGCATGGATTCCAGTATTGGCCAATTGCAGCAAGGCATTTCGCAAACATTGAACAACAGCACAGATTTTACCTTTCACTTCGAAGCCACCGATTATTACAATTGCCACCGCACATGGGAAAGTGAAGTTAAATTCTCTATCATGACGGCGTTGCTCATGCTTATTTTTTACGCAAGTATACGATTATTATTATTATTTTGGCCCGCCGCAGTTGTGCGTTTGGGGAGAACAAAAAAACTAACATTGACTTTCCCACCTACCACAGGTTTATTGGGCCATGTGTCTTCATTCTCTAAGTATCAAAAAATGGATGTACCTAAGCCAATATGGCATGCCGCCGCCACCTATGGAGCCGCCCATGGCGCCTTTACCACCGCAGCCTCCAATGATGATGCCCCCCACAGGAATGCCTATGACTAATCGTCCAAATGTCATTGTTCTTAACAACGAAAAGCCATCCAAAAGAAAATCGATACCGGAATTGGTCAATCCACAACCCTTTTCACCTCCTCCGCCCTACTTTTCTACGGAAACCAATCGGTGTTTAGATAAGGCCGAAAAAGGACGGTCGCTGTCCTGAGGGTATGACAAAGAAGATGCTCTCATTACACAAGTAGTAGGCACGACCAAATGGCATCCAGTTACGGTATCACCAATCTGAGGACATGAAATTTTTCATGTTCCTGAAAGGGACCAGAGTAGCCTGACCTGGAGATTGTTGAACCTGCAATTCTTTTCTCTATTTTTATTTTGTTTTTTTTTCTTCTTTTCGTCAGCTGGATCCGTCAGGACCCATTTTTGTACAGTTTTTTTTGCGCATCCTCCTTCTTTTTTCGTTTTTTGTTGCTCTTTTTTTCTTTTCAAAGAGCTGCTAGATACCATGTCTCTTCCTTTCCGTCACCCACCATTCGTTTCACATTATTCATCAGATAACAATAAACAGCCCACTTTTTTACGATCAAGGAAACATGCCATCTCAGCCAACATCGATCCTCTACTGGCTCGCGCACCCCCTTTGGGCAACTACAGTATCAACTATGATAACTTGACCATACGCATACCCAATTACGTATTTGAAAACCCCACCATTTTACCCGGCACATGCGCCTCCATGGGCTTGGCCCTAGGTAGAAGGTGAGCAAGATATACCTTTTCTCTTTTCATTCCTCTATTGGATGTTGAAACATCGAGAAATCAATGATATTTCGCTACTTTGCTATGCTGTTACTAACCTGCGTCAAGACTCGTCGACAACTTACCTGTCGTCGTTAAGCTTTCGCCCTATTCGATCCGTTTGGAAAGAGAGTATTATGTAGCACGTCGACTTTACGCTCAACCGGACGGACCAAATTATATTCCCAAAGTTATTGAACTTGTCTCACTGGTGAAAGACGGATTAACAGCCTTGATCTATGAAGATCAGGGCCCATGCAACGCCATTGTGCCTTCATTACTCGGCTTGGATCCATACAATACCGACAGTACCGCCTATCGACCTCCAACCGTCGACGAATTTCTCGAATTTGCAATAGAATGCTGCTCCTGTCTTCATTTCGCTCATGCCAATGGTGTCGTGCATGCCGAATTGCGTCCTGTTGCATTCCAATGGCGAAAAGAACTGCAATCAGTGAAAATCTGGAATTTTGGCGCAGGCCTGAAATCATATGAGGAATTACTGCTCAGCAGTTGGCGGCGAGCTTTTAAGGATGCCAAGGTTGTCGGATGTGAAGATCAAGAACAACAACAACTCTTGCTGTCAAAATCTCTGGAAAATTCGCTATCCTACATTAGTCCTGTAAGAAAGACGCTCTGAACGCTGACATACCAAGATCCCACTCCTTAAAGTCTTTTTGCATGTTTGTAACTTGAATATACAGGAGCAGACAGGCCGAACATCCAACGTTTTGGATCATCGGACGGATTTATACTCGCTTGGTGTCATGTTCTTTGTAATGTTGACGGGACGAACCCCTTTCGAAGGCTCGGCAATGGATATCATTCATGCGGCGTTATCATGCAACGTCCCCATCATTCATTCGATACGAAAAGACATTCCTCCAATGATAAGTTTAATCGTTGATAAACTGACACGAAAGGTACATTTTTTTACTTGAAAAAGAGAAAGAAAGAAAGATATCATGTTGACACCCGCCGTGCGATTTCGTTTAAGGCTGTGGAAGAACGATATGTAAGCGTATTTGGCTTACGAGAGGATCTTCTCGAGTGCCAGCGAAGATTGAAGGATATGGACACTCCAGAAGTAGGATCTAGTACTAGATTATGTTTTTTATTTTCTCAAAAGAAAAAAGCTGATCCAATAACTACTTTCTTTTACACAGTCATCCTCGTTTTTCCCTTTAGGATTGCATGATATTCACTCTGTATTTCAGTTTCCTCAGACGCTTTTCGGAAGAGATCGTGAAATTGAATTGTTTCGGACGGTGATGAAACGCGTCAGCACCGCTCATGAACAGAACATGAATTTGCAGCGTCTGTCAACCTCCTCGATGGGGGATGACAGGGAACACCTGTTGAAAGAAAGTACTGCCCCTTCTGGCCATTTGGATACAAACACAGGCTGCCAAGTCGTCGTAGTAACTGGACCAGCCGGCGTAGGTGGGTCATTACAGCATCTTAACGTTCCTTGACACTTTCCCGATGCTAAGTCTATTTAGGCAAATCCTCCGTTATATCTACGATCCATGCCCAGGCACGGAAACACGGATTCATGGCTATTTCAAAATTCGATTCCAATCAGAAGCGACCTTACAATGGTCTACTACGCAGCCTATCATCCATTCTTCGCCAAATGTTAACCGAATCCGAACCGGTCATCCGTAACTTTTATCGAAACCTTAAAGAAGAACTAGGGCCTCAGTTTAGCAATGTGCGACTGATGCTGGACATGGTGCCTGAGCTAAAACCGATCCTCAGCGATTACGATGAAACCGCAGAGAAAACCGACAACGACGTGTTAACGAGTATCGACAATATGGAATCACGCTTTCATGCTGTAAGGGCTCAATATGAAAAAAAAAGAGTTTGCTTACATCATCAAATGATGTCAATAACGGTGTAATCTTTGTAGGTGTTTCTTAACGTTATTCGCACCATTGCTCAAAAAAAATTGATTACACTGGTAAATTATGATTTTACTGAACGGAACCATTGCCATGGATTAGCTTACTTATTACAAAGCGTCTGTAGTGCTTGGATGATTTGCAAGAAGCTGGTCAGAAGAATTAGAGCATGTGTATGTGTGTGTACCACGGTCAACTCGGCTAACGCATCCAATATACTGTAGATGAGCCTTCTCTTCATTTGATCACAAGTCTTATTCAGTCGAACGTTACCATGTTGATCATTCTCACTTCTCGCGACGGAGAGGAAATGCCGGATATGGTCAAACATATCAAAGATTTCACCGGTCCTGCTCAAATAATGCATATCCCGCTGACTCCTTTAAGCGTAGATGCAGTGAACCATTTTATTAGCGAAACGCTTCATCGCAATAGCGAGGAGATTCAGTCTTTAGTAGACGTCATTTTCCAGCGCACGCGAGGCAACCCGTTCTTTATCAAACAGCTGCTGATGATGATGAAGCGAAAGGATGAGATTTGGCTGGATTGGCGAGAAAAGCAGTGGAAATTTCGTCTCGAGGGGTCCCATACCAGTTACCCGCTTCGAGGATGGTATTTCACTGCAACAGAGGAAGGGACATTTGACGTCAGAAATCTTGTGGGTCATCTCCGCGAATTGGACCCCAATGCTCAAGTATTCCTCATGTGGGCCAGTCTGATCGGCAACTATTTTACGTTTCGCCAAGTCAAGTGGTTAATGATGGCTATTGATTTCTCGGGAACCGCAGACGATGATCACAGTAACGATCAGCACAGCGATATCAGTGATGCATACAGCATCAATGATCCAATCCACTGCATTCAGGAAGATGACGAGAGTCTGATTATACCTACGGATTATCGTCAACCAGGCATGGATACAAGCGGGCAAAACATCTCCGGCTTATCAGCAGAAGAAGAAATGCGGCGTTCCAATCAAGCCATTACGGGGCTACAGGTGGCCTTGCAAGAAGCTATTATTGTATCTAAAACCGCCAACGATTTCCATTTCGGTCATGATCGTTATCTTCAAGCGGCATCGATGCTGATCGAGGAAAAAGATCGGGAAAGGATGCATTTAAAAATTGGGCAAATGCTGATGTTGGATCCTGAAGCGGATATTTTTCTTACCGCAGATCATTTCATCAAAAGTCTCGATCTTATCAAACGATTTAAACACCGTACAAAGTATCGTCAGGTACTCATCAAGGCCGGCACTCAGGCATCCTGTTCTGGCGCTCTTCAGATATCCAAGACATACTATGCCAATGCGATGCTCTTACTGACGCATTCTCCGTGGGAGGACGGTCCTGACTCGAGCTTTCAAGAAACTTTGGACTTGTACATGAAACTGACGTACGCTTATTGGTGGTATAACCGTCATACGGAAGCCACTCGTTTACTGGAAGAAATCATGCTTCGTACCGCGGACCGACCCATTGAACGTGCCCAAGCTTGGCGAATTCAGGCCCGCATGTATTTTCAGCAACAACAAAACGATAAAGGTCTGGAGACTATTATGACAGCCTTGGTCGAGTTGGGTGTCGCAGGCTTGGACCCATCGATGATAGACAGTATCGACGATACCTGTGTCGTAAAGGAATATCAGCAACTCAAAGCACAGATTCTGGAAGTTGGATTTGATGCGTTGGCCAAAACAGAACGCTGCGAAGACCGTCGGATCCTCGTTGTCATGTCACTTCTTAATGAAGCCTGCTCCGGTGCTTATTGGATGCGACCTTACCTGGTCGATGCTATTGCTGTAAAGTTGATCCAGTTATCGTTGCAGTATGGGTTCGGCGCGGCGACGGGAGGTGGTTTTGTTTGGCTTGGATGCACCGCTTCACGCTTGGGCGAGTACTCTTTTGGTGCGCAATTAGGAAATTTCGGTTTGAACATCAACGATCAACATGCAGGCAATTCCGAAATTGCACGTTCCATCATTATATACCATGTCGCTTTGGCCCAATGGACTGGATGCCATTATCGGGATTACATCTATCAATATCAGCGTGCTTACAAGTTTGCCATCGCTGGCGGCGATAAGGTAAATTGATGATGGTCAAAAAAAATTTTGGATGATGGACGTTTTTTTTTTATTCATCACGCATCAAGCTCTTTGCAGCGATGGCTCTGTTCCAAGTCGCCTCTACGCTTTATTTTACCGGATTCAATTTATCAGAGATCCATACGCATTTGAAAAAGAGCATGGATGAATGCAAACAATCAGGGTCCCAAGACGTGGAAATCCTCAATACAAGTTTGTCACGCTGTATCCTTGCACTTCAGGGCAGAACTGTGATCGAAAGGACCACCCTCATAGATGATATCATGGATGCCAAAGATCCATTTCAAGAATCAAAATTTCTGGAAACGATCTATCGGCGAAACATTCATCCTGACAACCCTTTGCATTGGTAACTTCCTCAGGCCTTACACCAAAAAGACATGATGAAATGTACTGACTGTATACGTTATTGCGCTTACCAAAAAAAAAAAGCCATTGGAGCCTTAAAATCATGCTCTTTTTCCAGTACGGGTATCGACAAGAAGCTGTTGATCTTGGATTCAAATTGTTCGAAACCTCTATACCGCACCCAGGGTAACTACAGATCATAGGAAGGGTTCAATGCATTTTACTGACGTTATGTATTGCGCAAATTTGAACAAAAAAAGACATCGACATTACGGAATTGCACTGTATTATCATTCACTGGCAATGATTGCGTGCCTTCGCCAAGATGCACTGGACAGATCGGTGAAGGAGAAATATGAGAACCAATTGTCTTGTAACCAACGAATTCTTGGCGAGTGGTCAGAAAACTCGGAAGTTAACTATAGAATGTATCACATGTTGGTGGTAAGTAGATTTCTTCGGACCGCACGAGCGAAGCTGTTGCAAAAGAGATAACCATGCAATCATACACAACTGTAGGAAGCTGAGCTGTCGACGCTCGAGAATAATATGGCGCGTACCAGTCGTCTATACAACGAAGTTATTGAAACCGCCCTCGAGGGAAACTGGTTCGCATTTCTAGGGCTTGCTTACGAGTTGGCAGCGGAGTACTACATTCGAGCCAAAGTGAAAATGCTGGCCCTTCCGCTGTTATTACGATCCATTGAATTCTACAATCGATGGGGCGCTTGGGGCAAATCGCAGTACCTTAATAAGCGGCATAGCGATCTTTTGGGAATCCATGCAACCATGACACAAAAAGTAGAGACTGAAACGCAAACTGAAGAACACAACGCTATCACTCTAGCGGGCACGCTAGGAGAAGATGATGATTATTTGCGCGAACCACCTTTACGCGAAATGACGCCGGACGAAGCTGCTCAGAATCTGGCGGAATCAGAAAATACTTTATTTGCTCTGGATATTGTAGATCTCACATCGATTATCAAGAGTTCACAAGGTATGCAGAGACATACAAGATGTAAGTACATGTTGGTATTTACATTTCTACCCTAGTGATATCGAACGAAATGAATTCTTTTGACGATCTCTTGAAAAAGATGATGATTATCATTATGACGAACGCCGGAGCCGAAGCGGGATCCATTGTGATAAAGGACGGCGCTTTTGGGATCGCAGCTCATTCTGGACGCTTGGGCGTTTGCGAAACGTTTGAAACGCCCATTCCTCTCAACGATTCTCAAGGCTTAATTTCCACCCTTGTTGTACAGTATGTTATTCACACTGGAACCATGCTCTTTATCCCCAATATCCAGCAAGATACGCGGTTCGCAACAGGGAAATGGTTTGAAAAACATGGCGCCAAGTCTGTCATTTGTCTTCCCATCATGCACAAAAACTCACTCGTAGGGGTGCTGTACCTGCAAGGCAGCCTCAATACGTTTACTCCCAAGCATGCCACCGTCCTGTCCCTTTTGTGCGATCAGATTGGCATATCCATCACCAATGCTTTGCTTTTTAAATCCGTACAAAAAGCCACATTGATCAATGCGCGAATGGTTGAAAGCCAGCTTGAAGCCCTGGAAGAGGCCCGGCAAAGCCGTGAACAGGCGCTGAAAGCAACACAACTAAAGTCCAATTTTCTAGCCAACATGTGTAAGTAGTTTTAGCGGCGAAACAATGGTAAATGCATACTGATGTTCTTGACAGCGCATGAACTTCGAACACCGTTTTCCGGGTTTTACGGCATGATTTCATTGCTAAGCGAAACCCAATTGGATGCGGAGCAACGGGAATTTGTCATGATTGCCAAACAAAGCTGCGAAATGTTACTTCATATTATTGGTAAGTCTGTCTACACATTTATCTGCCAATGGCTATCCGAGATATTTATCATTTCCTTTTTGGCAACATTAGATGATCTGTTGGATTTTTCAAAGCTTGAAGCGAGAAAGGTGAAACTACACCATGGTCTCGTGCACCTGGACGATCTATTAGTGGATCGTATGGAGCTACTGATTACTCTCGCGTCCAACAAAAATCTTGAACTAGCTTATTTCATCGATTCTGCTGTACCCTGCCTCATTTACGGCGATGGCAACCGTATTGGGCAGTAAGTAACATATGAACGTGGTATGGCTCCATTCTTATCTAGTAACATTTGTTTGTGTGGTTTAGGATATTAATGAACCTCATTGGTGAGATGATTGGCATAAATGCCGGTGTTACTGTGGCAAGAATTAACCTGATGATCATTGCTAGGAAACGCAATCAAATTTACTCATGTGGGCGAGATCCTGATTACGATTTCTCTGGAAGACAAGATACCGGATAGCGACCCACCTTTGGCCGATGACGAAGTCATGCTCAGGTTCTCTGTGCAGGATAGTGGTATTGGTACGTATTCTATTCCGATTGATACGATGACAAATGATTGATATAAGCTCTAGGCCTGACGCAGGAAGAAACAAAGTGCCTGTTCTTACCCTTTAGTCAAGTGGATGGTTCTACTACAAGGCATGTTGTTGGCATGAAAAACTGACTTGAAGCAAGTATGCTCTAACGAGCTTTTCTTATTGTTCAACAGAAATTTTGGTGGCACTGGTCTTGGCTTATCTATTTGTCTCGAACTTGTGCGACTCATGGGAGGAACAATATGGGTGGAATCTACTGAAAATGTCGGATCGACATTCCATTTCAACATCCGAACCCGAAGAGCAACACAGAAAATAGATGCAAATCATGCAACAGAATCACCAGAAATGGTAATCCAGCAATTAACGGAACAGCTGGGGCCTCGTCAACTGCTATGCGTAGCTTCCCGATATTGTAGTATGCTGAAGAATTTTCTGCCGAATTGCACGATTGATTGCAAGGATTCTATGAAGCAAGTTTTGCAAAGGTTGGACAGTCTATCTTCATCGGATGCGCGGTTGTACGATATTGTCGTATTTGAAACCACCCTTGGCAATGACATTGAAAGCTTTTTGGAAAGCATCGACAACAATGCTTCTTTAAAGGCTTTAAAAGTCTTGATCCTCTATACCCCTACTGTGGACAATATCCGACAACAAGTGTTCCACGGCATCCATAACTCCCGCATCATACGCCTATCGAAGCCTTTGCGAAGATTAAAATTACTTAATGCGCTAGCGGAAGCCTTCAAAAGCACCGAGGTACCTCTTACTTGTCCAAGCCAAAGCCAAATCAAGACAACAACAACGAGTCCTGCAACTAATGAACCTGGAAGAGAAAGCAACTCGATTTGTGTCAAATCCTCCCGATCTACGACGCAACCATCGCTATTCACTACGACTGAGCTTGCCGCTTTTCGAAACAGGCACATATTGGTAGCTGAGGGTAAATTTTCATATGATAAAAAAAGGTTTGGACGACAAACAAACTGACTGGAGTCTCTTTCTTAGACAATCCGGTGGCGCAAAAGCTTCTCGTCAAACAATTGGCCAAGCTTGGATTTCTCGTAGAAACCTGCGACAACGGCAATGAATGCGTGGATACATGGCGGAAGAGAGGTCCCGGATACTTCATGCTTGCATGGATTGACCATCATATGCCTGGATGTGACGGTTTGGAGGCCACAAAAAGAATCCGGTCTCTCGAACGGGAAATGCAAGTCAAGCAGTCATTACCTATTATTGCATTGACAGGTACGCGTGGACATTGGTTAGCATCGGGGAAAAAAGCCTAATAATGTATGATTTGCATGCTCGTTGTTTTTAGCGGACATTCAGCAGACGGCACAGTGGAACTGTTTACAAGCGGGAATGAATGACTATGTTACCAAACCACTGATGCAAAAAGATTTAGCCAACGTTCTTCGGCGATATTGTTTATAGGCGATTTCCTCCAAAAAAAAAATACATGAGTAAATAGATAGATACGTACATACATACATTTTTGCAATAATTGAAAAGTACAGATTGATTTGGAAGTGTATATGAAGGCTTATCACGTAAGTAGATGGACCAGGGCAGTTGGGGTAGTGATGAAATGATAATGGTAATCATAGATCAATGTATTGAAATAAAATAAAAAAAGAGCATGAAGTTTTGAGAAACAAAGAAAAATAGACGAATTAAAGATAAATAATGAAATATGCGGGTATGCAACAGATGCCATGATGAAAGTAAAAAAGATGGATGAGAATGACTATTACGCTGCAAATATCTTTTCAAGAGATATCTTGCTAGTGATCACTTTGATGTTCCTTCTCTTCGGCAGCACGATGGTCTCTGAACACGCGTTCCTCCAATTCCATATTGGGCGATGACGCTTTTTCCTTTCGCTTCTTCAGAATTCCCGCGTCCCTGTAACCCGGAATCCAACCAAAGAGAGTACGTCCAATGGCAGGCTTCTTCACACGAACGAACCATAACGGAATGGCTAACAGACCGACGATAATACAAATGATGTACTGGTACACACCGGCCGATCCAGCATCCACCAAAGGAGCAATCACCAAGTAAATATCGATGATGACGAAAAATACAGCAACAGGCAACCAAATCTGCGTAGGAACTGCGGGTTAGAATCGATAAAAACAGCACCCAAAAACTGAAGAAAAATTTTTACCTTGAAGGGACGTTCCCAATGTCTTGTCTTTTTCTTGAAACGCATCACAATAAGTCCAGCAATGGTAAGACCGTAGAACAGCCAGCAAATGAAACTGTACATCTTGGCCAAGTAACTGAAATCACCGGGAATACACCAGATGGTGCCAATGACACCGACAAAGAACAACGCGCGGATAGGCGTGTCATGCTTGGAATGATAATGGGCAAACAAGGGAGGCATGAACACGCTATCTTCGGTCGCCGCTGCCACGACGAGACGAGAAGCGGCCCACATGTTACCGTTGACCGCACCAAAGGTGGAAAGGACGACCATTAAAGCAAAGAAGTAGGCACCGGCTTTTCCCATGGTCACCATACCCAGCTGCATGGCCACGGTAGAAGAAGTGGCGACCGTGGAGACAGGAAGTGTGGCAAAGTAAGCAATGTTACCAAGGACATAAACGGCGGTGACGAGCACACAAGAAATGGTAATCGCCAAAGGCAATACTTTCTTGGGATTCTTGACTTCGCCAATACCATAGTTCAAGTTATTCTATCCGAATGGTTAAAATACTGTTTCTTAATCAGTTGCAAAGTACCGCCGACTGATACTTACCCATCCGTTGTATGAAAAAAGAGCCATGTACATTGCCGTACCGTAGTCGAGGGCATTGCTGGAGCTGTTGGCGAACGCGTTTTCGAAATTGGCGGTATTTCCTTTGCCGAGCCAGATCCAACCAATAATGATAATCATGGCAAGCGCAATCAATTTTGCAGCGGTGAAAATGTTTTGAACCCAAGAACCGGCTTTGCGGGCAAAACTGTTGAAGAGGACAACCACCCAAATACAAGCAATCGAGACCAGCTTAATAGCGTAATCAGGCATTTCCACGATGGTTGGATCGTCAGGGTTGAAGTAGGCCATTTCCAGAATGTATTGCGCGAAAACATTGGCAATCGAGGCGGTGCCGATAGGATTGGCCAGGATCAAATTGCTCCAACTGAAAGTGAGGGCCACGCAGAGACCCATGGAGGATTTAAGATACTGATATTCACCGCCAGACTTGGTAATCATGGTACCCAGTTCTGCATAGCAAAGCGCACCAATCATACTCAGTAAACCACCAATAGCCCATACCAACAGAGATGGACCGACAGCATTGACTTTGAGGGTAACCGGACCCGGAGAAGCGAAAATACCACTGCCAATGATGAGACCAACAATCTAAGTCGAAAAGAAAAATCGATCGTTTTAATTTCCTCCAACTATGAACCCGTCATGCAGCAAAAAGAAAAATTGTTCGTCAAATATATACCATGCCACAACTACTAAGAAGCCCCATATGGGGTTCACGACCTTCATCTTGTATAAAAGAAGAAGCACAGTATGATTCAACTCTTGAAGGCTGTGATTCGATCGACGTAATGGAGTGCCGTCTCGTGGTAGTCTCTCCAAGATCAACCGATGCCGATTTCCCTGCCGGGCTTGTATCGGTATTCATATGAGCTATCTCTGTCTTCATCGATCGTTCAATATCGGGAAAAAAAAAGAGGTAGCCAGGAGTATGCAAAGAGGAAAAGAAGCAGGACAATCAAGACTTTTTTAGTGTCCTTTGAAGGTTAAAAAAAAAATAACAGAAAAAAAAATTTTGACAGGCGAATCATTGACGGTGGAGACAACCATGTTTCATTTTGGTCTTTAATTTTAAAATGCCGAAATCAAACTTTGCCAAAGCCGAACCGTGGATATAACGCAACGTTTGAATCCGTGCTTCGATATGAACGAAAAATCAGAATGAAAAAAGTTTATCGTGTTTCTGATGGTCTCGCATTCGACCCGATTCCTGGCTACGTTCGTCGACGCAACCGCCAAGCATTGTAGTCTGTCGGTGCATCGGTGAATCGACAAAAGCCAGGAAGCGGGCGATGCTTCATTCAATTTCGCTTCGGAAGCAAATGCACGGATATCCTTTTTTTATTTATTTACATGAATCGACAACTATCATTTGTTCTTAGAATAAAGTTATTCCCACGGCTCCTATAAGGATTCGCGTTACGTCGATGGATGTTTTTTTTTTTTTTTTTGGACGTCGAAAAATCTTTACGGCTGAGAACGAAATGCTCGATGACTCAAAACTCGCAAACCAGATACAGTTCGACGATCTGAACTCCGAACAGCGGACGCTCTTTTTGAAGAATGGAAGATCTGAGCTCCAACGGGACCCTCGGCCGAAATCCAGGAATTCACCGCATTTTTTGGTTGGCGCTCACTAAGACTGTTTGGTTCCTCATCAACGAGAAATGTGATCATGCCTCAGAGCCGCGCTATTGTTATTGAAACTCCATTTTTCCATCTATAAACTAATCAAATAGAGCTTTTCTCTATGCCCATCTCATATCTTTCAAAGGCGCGCCTCGTCGAAAGAATATGTCTGCTATCAACAATGTCAATAACCTCCGATGATCCATTTTGCATTACAGCTGCATGCAGAGAAAATACCGAGATTAAAATGATCCAGAATTTTTAGCAGCAATATCACCGCTTTAGAAAAGCTATGTAAAGAAAACAGGGGAACTTGCGCCGATTTTTCTCCAGAAGTTTCCAATCGCAATACAAAATGTAGTTTTGCACCAGATAGGATCTATTAGCGTCAGCATTACGTACTATCCTCTAAACAACCTGCGTCCCGCTATTACTTCAATCTCCAAACTCTTCCATATAAACGGATCACCCGTCGCCGAGCGACTTATCCTCGGATACAAAACACCCTCCGTATAACAACTCGCAAGTCGCAACAAATGGGACGTGGATTTAATGCGCAATTTAATGGCATTCGACAAGTCTCAGTTATCGTCTGATCGATTCACAACATGTTCTAATAACCATGGCTACGGTGGGATGACCAGGGTCCGACAATTGGCAGATTACAACATAGAGACATATCAAGTTCATCGAAGAAAATGGGCCCTAATCGGCGCCCCTATCATTTCCGAGAATGCAAGCAAGTCCGGATCGAGTGGATTTTGGAATTATCAAGACAATTTTGCTCGATAACAACTTTAGCGAACTTTTTACCGAGATGACAATTCCAGCAGTATTGGCTACTGCGAGATTGTTACTCATCGATGAGGGATTTTCATGGCGGCATTTATTTCCGAATGGAACATATCATACCAATTTCATATCCGAATTTTCCTCTAAGGCAGTAAAAAAAATCATGGCAAAACAATATTACTTTTCATTATATTCCAATTCAGGCTTCAAATACATCAAGAGATCTTGATTTTGGATACAATACATCCCTCACATCCATAACGGTGCTTCAAAGTTGAAAAAGTTTTGATATCTTGTAACAGGTAGTCGAGCCCAAAGCAGATGCCACGTTTTCTCTTCTTTTGCAAGCCCAGCAGTCTCGAAAACGATGAGGAACTTTACAAGCTAATATGCAATAGCCATTTTCAGAAAGAACAGTCATCATTCAGTGAAGTCAACGTCCTTCGGACAATGCTCTCACTTGATCGAGCAAATTGCTGGTCAAGCTGTGCATTGGTGCGGAGTCTGATTTAATTTCCCAATATATTTTGGACTGGCTTTTCTTATCGCTTTTCAGACGCGTATTCCCTACTTTATATAACATGGCTGAAGATTCTAGTCATCGTGTTGGAATACATGGCGAGGTTTCAACATCTCAATTCAATAACAGGATGTTAATTGATAGTGGGAACGGGCTAGGGGAAGATGGGCCTCTGATATCCACGACAGCTACACCTCGTCACTTTCAACCGCCATCCAGCGTACCTCATCGACAGAGTCTATTGTTAGCGTCCAATCGACGGGCCACGATGCTCTTCCGCACCATGGACCATTCTCAACCGCCCGTTGAAGATCAAAAAAATTCAGCGGAAGTGAATGCCCGATTACGCCGCGATTATGAAACTGTTCAATCGCTCAACCGATCAATAGAATCCATTATTCAGGATTTCCAGGAAGCCACAGGCAAAATTCAGGTAACCATTTTATTCACGCACTTTGGCTCGAAAAAAAATCACGAACGTAACGTCGCTGCTCGCAGACTTTTGCCGATACAGTGGATCAGACCAACCAGCTGTTAGACGTATGGATGCACATTTTATCGCAGACTGAACACACTAAGCGACTTTTGGAAGATCCCCAATGGCATGGGAGGGATACAACCGACTCTGGCTCATAAATCTCTAGATTACTATCAGCAAAAGAAGAAGAAGAAAAGGGACTATACGGACATCATCAATAGGCTACTTTTCTTTTCCCTTTCTTGGGGAAGTCGCAGGGCGACTATCAATACCTTTTAACGTGTACATATTTATTCCTTTCAATCGTAAACTCGTTTTCATGTGCCCTTATTGTCCCTTATGATCACCATCGTATATAATTCTTTTTCTTTCTGCTATCCCGAAACGGAGTTGAAGTGGTTCATCCGATTTGTCGCTTTCGTAAGGACGATTTCAGCATCATTTGGTCCACGACAATGATAAAATCACCGTGGAGTGACACGACGTGGTGCGGACGGTGTCTTGCAGACATGTTGGAAGCTGCATTCAGTTTATATCGAGAAACTTATTTGGTGCCAATATAACGCGCGTGACGTCTCAAAAATGGAACCCTGAAGAATTTACTGGAAATGTTTTGCAACCTGGTGCCTTTAATTCCCAAAGATTCACTTTCATAATCTCTCGTTCAATTTTAACTATATCACCACCTCATTTCTTCGAAACACCGAGATTTCTGCAGCTCTCGAGGGACTTGTCGACTTCCGTGCACCTGGTATTCGTTTGTTTGGAACAACTGGTTCTGCATCGGGTTCAGAATCGGAGAGATCGTATGGAGTTTTCCTGTCATGCCTTTCTTCTTCATGCAGGATGCCTGCACTATGAAGGCGAGCGCTTAAGGATACCCAGATCTATAGTGGCGAACGAAGAACCGCTGCAGCAAGATACGGCGTTCGTTGAACCCTCAGAGTTCTTGAACGATGCCGTTTTTTCGGAGGATCTCACGACGAACCCGAGGAAGAAACTTGATTCCCCAATTGGGAGCATGGAGATCAACCAGTTGATGTGCGTCTCAGCCAGGCGAGAGCGATACATTCGTTGGACGTGCCAAGCTCCACTTGCGTAACTGCGCAAGTGCATCGCTTGCTGAGTACCTCCTTCGCTTCGTGCCGGTCAGCCATTTCGGATCGGTTATCATCCCTGCGACCAATGGACATGCTCAATAGGTCTTCCCGGGATTGTCACCTTTGACCATGGAGGAGTTTCTCATTTGGGTTGCTTTGTTCATCGTCATAACAACGTCCAAGATCGGTTAACTGACCGCCTATTGGTGAAGTGGGAGCTACCCTTTTAACTCTCCATTTGACTTTGTCAATATATGGCAAATGAATTGATTCCAGCAATTGACTAAGATGCTTGTCTTGAGTTGCCTGATGGTAGACGGTACAGTTTTGAACAGTTCTCGCAGTCCATGTTGGGTGTCTAACAGATACGGTATACTTACGTAACGTAGGCAAGTTGCAGATGGCCTTTACCAGCTCAGAGGTTTGTGGATGCTTTCAATGACAATCTGAAAGACGCTCTTACACCTGGCGCGCATCTTTGCGTGGATGAATCGATGAACCAATGTCCAATCTTCCCAAGATCCTCCGTAAGCCGCACCCTATCGGGCAAGAGTTCAAGACGGTGGCAGACACCACCACCTGTTGCATTTTGCTGTTAGACTTCACTTGCGACGACACACCCAAGAAATTCGACGATCCCTACCCAAAGACCGCGCGACGGTGTGTCGTCTGGTTGAACCTTGATTCAACACTAGCCGCATATCCCTTATCTTTGTAGAGCTCTCGCGAATCTTCTTTTAACAAATGTGTGCATTTTGATCTTGTCACTTTATCGAATCCAACGCATTTCATTGGTTGGATCACGTGATTGCATTACACATTATCAAGGTGCTATTATATCTTGAAAAATATAAGCTGATTTGGCCGAGTTGGTCTAAGGCGCCGCACTCAAGTTGCGGTCTCGCAAGAGGCGTGAGTTCGAATCTCACAGTCAGCACTTTTTGCTCGCCGCGACGGCGGAGTTATAATCTTTTGTTGTTTTGTGCAACTGTCAGATTTGAGTGCTCCTTTAGAGTTCCGTTTGAATCTGTAGTTTGTTGATTGATTTTATTTCTACCATAACATGGTCATATTGTCAGATTTGAGTACTCCTTTAGAGTTCAGTTTAAATCTGTAGTTTTGTTGATTGATTTTATTTCTACCATAACATGGTCATATTTATATTTTCCTATCAAGATACGTTTTTATGTCTACAATCTTCAGGAAGGTTCTCGCCAACTTCCTGCACAGTTTTCTACTATTACGAAACATAACCAATCAAGAAGTATTACGGACCACTTTAATGCTGAACGGATTCGGTCTATATTTCTTCCGTTTTCCAGGCAATACCTTTGGTATGCCTCGTTCATCCATTGGTCCTTCATACCTTCTCGAAGGTTCCTCCAGACATCGATCTGCGGACGAGCCAATGCGCTGTCTTCCGTATTTGCTAAATTTTGGTATAGCAAATCTAATCGGCGCAAAAGAAGGACCGGCGTAACTGACAGCGTTTAGAGATGTTGAAGGACGTTAGGATAACTTGAAGAGGGGATAGGTAGGTTATTTAATTTTTTCCGAGGGAACAGAAACTCATTTTTAGACATATGCGAAAACAGTAAAAGCTTTACTCCTTTATCATACCACTGCTCGATCCTGGTGCCTGGAGTAAAAAGGAACGCTGAAAATTGCATTCCATGTGGAAGGTAGATTGGATATTACTGTAATGCTCGTACACGTAGGTTTAAGCAAGCGTTGGTTCGTATTCTTTGGTGAGTGTGAATACAAAGAAGAGTGGGACAATTTATATATTTTACAATCTGTTTTGTTGGGGAAGGTGGCCATCAGTGGCCAGTTTTTAACCACTTTTTTTCAGCCTAAAGTATGAGAATAATGCCAGAATAGTGCATTGTAATAAAAAGTTAGGGTTTGGGTATCGAATGTAATGGATCTTCGTACGGTATACAACTTGTGTGAATCCGTTGAAAGTGCCCAATAGTCTGTCAAGTAGCCATCTACTACATTACATCATGCTTTTAGATGGACCAATATCAACCCAGCCTAACATAAAAGAATACGAGCACAAAGTTTATACTCGGCTGGGGCGAACATCCGTGTCGCAAAAGTGAAATTGTCATAGCGAGAAAAGTCTATGCGTGGATATTGCCACAGCGAAGGTGTCGTTATTGATCATCAAAGCCGCCATCAAAGATTTCGTAGGTTCATTGAGAAGAAATGGCCAAAAGATAACAAGCATGTGAGCGAGCATCCATACGTGCCAACCATCATCTCGACGACGGTGTTGGATAAGGATAATTGCAAGAATAATCACATTAGGCTGAGATACTATATTACTTGAGGCGAGCAAAGATAGCAATGTTTTATTTCATCTGTGAAAAATACTTCAAAAGCTGTATAGACTGATGACCCATTCATCAACAATTCTCTTATACCATAGACAATGAATTACTGAAAAGTAAAAGTCCAATAGAGCTGGAAAGGAAAAAAAAAGAGCTTTAAATAAAGAGGTTACATTAGGAAAACAATGCGAAGAGCCTAATCGGTTATTGTGGTTCGATTTTATCGCATGTGATTCTGTTGTAAGCTTTTTGTGCAACTCAAAAAAGGGCAGGTTACAGTGTAATTTTTATTTTTTATATTTTTGTTTTTCGACCAAAGCCCTTAAACAATATCAGCCTCCAGTTTTTATGGTGTCATGACCAGTTTCTTTCCTTGCACTTCTCCATGTTCACCAAAAGACAACCACGACCGGGAAGAACCCAACGCATTTGACTTGACTTGGCGCAACTACCTACCTTCGATCCATCAGGTGTGCCCTTGTCTGCCAAGCCGTTGCTTCACCCGCCAACAGCAGCCTATTCGCTTAGAGGAAGAGGATCCTTCCGTACTTCTCTTTGATCCCAACTATTATAATGACCACATCGTTCATCGTCGATCGGATTATGGTTATTTCATCAACGACCGAGAACTTGGTTCCGAATTTGGCGACTATATGCCCAACTTTGTCACGAGGAATCCGTTTGGCAAGTTAAAACGAAAAAACAAACGAAAGAATAAGCAGAAATACACAGTGATGGAGCCCGAAGAGGACCAAGAAGGACCCATGGTTTACGAAATTTTTGATGAAGATGAAGACCAATTAGACGCGGAGTTCCTTGGCGATGAACAAATTGCCAGTATCATCGATGACCGAAAAAAGGTATAATTTTTATTTTCTTGTTCTTGCCATCTATCAGTCTCAGTTTGGATGCTGATGAGAAAAAAATATACGTCCATTTTAGGCAATGAACATGTATGATGAAGCGCTCTATGAGAATGATACGGTACGCATGGGGCCTGTGGTGCAGGAAATGCACCCAACGTCAAGGCAACAATATTACGCTGCGCGGACGATGCCTTCAACCATGATGGATACCACTGTTGATCAGCATCATGATGATTCATTCCGGGTTTCCGAACACTATGTTGAATCGTCAGAGCAACCCGAACCTGCATTTGCTGCTCAGGTTTTGCTAAATGAACATCTTGAAGACTTGAACGAAAAATTGACTCTTATACGAAACAATATCATGAACATTGGCAAGCTTGACAATTCATCAGCTAAAAAGACGGTAGACGAAGAGAACACACACACAACGGCGCTACGAGACATTGGCCAGCCTTCATCCTCGGATAGGTAAGTCTTAATAAAGCGCGTGTTAAGGATGCTAATATGGTAATTCTAGAGCTGCGTTTGATATTGATTCGATCACTTCAGAAGCCTTGAGCGAATACGAAGCTACGTCTAAAACAATTTATTCACACGAAGAAACCGAGTCTTCTTCGCGACGATATTCCAAACTGTCTGAACTTCAAATACCACTGTCGGATGCTTCCCACTCCACTGCTCCTTTCGGCTCTGACCATCATCCGTTTTCGTATTACTCATCCAATAATAACCATGCCGATTCGTACACGGAAAACAGCGACAACGACAGACCTTCATCGTTAAATCTCAACCTCCGTACTATTCTCGATCTTAGCAAAAAATGGTTCAGCTAGACTTGACACCCACTTTTCTTTCCTTGATTTCGCATTCATCCTCCACTTTCCCCTCCCTCAGTTTTGAATTTCCTTTAACTGATAATAACCTCATTCCTATCGCTCCACCTGTACACGTACACTATATACATATACTTATGCCTACTATATTCCTTTTTCTCATTTTCAGCTCTCTTCCTCTTTATGCAATGAACGTATATCAATTGTATCTCAAATTCAAAGAATCACTTTCCACTGCCTTTTTCAAAAACTAGATAATTGTTTTTTCCAGTGGACGATGGCTGATTTAGGCTCACAGCCTTTCTGAAATGGTCTGAAGAAGGTAAAAGTGATGTGCTCAGGGAATGAAACAGGTATACGAAGCGATTGCTAGAATGCGCTGGTGGTATTCAACGGCATCGATTGGCGCTTGACCTCGTAGATGGCCTGCATCCGGTTGCTTATAGCTATCCACTGACCGATTATGAATACTGCTGTAGACTATCCATGTATCCGTCAGATACGATTGAGAGAATCGAAGCTGCGGTCGGCGACAAAGCAATACACTAACTTTGATCGACAGCAATAGACCCTATCATTCTCGATGCTTCAGCTATTCAATCATCACCATCTTTCATCAATCATATCCGCAACTCGCAGTAAATCCACTCATCACAGCGAAGGTGTGATGAAGATTTCCGCCATGAAATTTATGTGGAAACTATATTTCGATGTATGATTGACGATCATATACCGTTCTTTGAGAGGGAGAAAAAATAAACTTTCAGCTTTAATTTTACCGATGGCTATGTAGTTCACCCGCAAATGTTTCAAGAGTTCTATCATTTTGTGTATAGTTGATGACGATGTCTCTTCTGTTATATTTGCGTCATATATGGTACATATTGACAGGATGCTGCAGAGCAAGTTTTGATATTGTCCTGTTCACCGATAAATTTGCAAATGGCTCCTAAGTTTGCTTGCTGTATAATGTTCATTTGACGTTACTTTTTGGAGAGGCAATGATGGACAACTAACAGAAAGGAATTGTATGTATATATTTAAAACCCTATAGTTACTATGATATAACATCAACGTACACCGCATCTTTATAGTACAGTGGAGTATGACTGGTGTCTTTCAAATCAGATTTTGATTTCCTCCACTGGAATGATAAGTTTTGACAGTATTGTTATATCTCTATATGAGGGCCGATTTCAAGTGTGCCAATTATGAAGATCAAATTAACGCGGCTGTATTTGTTCCAGGTTCACTTTTCATAATATTGCAATTCCGACACTTCCTTTTTTGGTTATCGTATGACACAATGATGATGAATAATAAGCAAATAAAAAATCCGCAAAAGGACAATAAAACCAACTATTTTTTCCTCCTTTCTTCGCCTTTATTTATTACCACTATTCAATGCAATATATAAACGATTTATTTTTGCAGAAGCAAGAGTCGCGTACCGTCCAAGTGGACAAGGAAAAGCATATCTATCGCAACCGCAAAGCCCAGGATGACCTCGTCAGTAGCCCCATCTTCCCGAGACTCGAAAAATCAAAATGCACGATCGCCAACGTTTGGAACGCAGTGACCGATAAAAACGCCCAAAAACGAGCATTCGGCTATCGTAAATTGGTTAAAGTATGCATGTTTTTCAACCTTTTGTGTGTAATGAGTAGGTATCTAATGATTTGCGCACAGATCCATACGGCCGAAAAACCTGCTGATCCCAACAAGCCTGACAGCAAGCCCAAAAAATGGTCGTCATACGAGTTAGAAGATTACAAGTGGATCAACTACGGCGAAGCCAAGAAACTGAGCGATAATATCGCGGCCGTATTCCAGGAAAAGAAACTGCAGGCCGGGGATAGAGTGCTGCTTTACGCAAAGACCAGGTTAGACTTAATACATCATGCAGAGTTTATCCCGTTTGCTAATCCAATTATCCCATTTAATAGACCAGAATGGATGCTTACGGCTATGGGTAAGTTTACGAAAACATGTAATCATTCAAATGTTTATAGCCTAATTGTGGATATTATCAGCTTGTTGTATGCTGGGCCTTGTCATCACCACCGCTTATGATAGTATGCCACCGGATGCCGTTCAGCACATCGTCACGGAAACCGAGCCCAAGGCAATCTTTACAGAGGTAGAATGGGTTCAAACCATCTGTATATTTTGATATCCAACTAAAGATCCTGGACAATGCCCATAGACATCGCTTATGGGCAATCTGAACAAAGCTTATACCAAGCTTGACAAGGAGAAGCAACCAAAGTTAGTCCTTTACACTGGCGAGGAATTCGAAGCACCCGATGATCTTGAGACCTTTAAAAAGCAGAAATCCAAAGATGTGGAAATGATTCATATGCACGCTATTTATGAAAAAGATGCCAAGCCTAGCAAAACGAGCACTACGAAGCCTGACGATCTCGCCCTCATCATGTATACGTAAGTAGCGCTTTCTATTTCGCCTTGATTGTGACAATTTCTTCCAGGATCACCAATGATTGTGATTATTGTAGTTCTGGTACTTCCGGTACGCCCAAGGGTGTGGAGCTGACCAACGGCAACATCATTGCTGCCATGGCTGGTGCCGAGGATATTTTGCAGGACTTTGTGGATGTCGAAAATCACAGTTACATTGGCTTTTTGCCTTTGGCGCACGTACTCGAGTTTATTGTGGAGTTCATTTTCATCACCATGGTACGATTTTTATCATGCATAAATTTGGGAATTGATCACTTAATCACAACGATTGGTTGTTAGGGTATCCCTATTGGATATGGAACCGCGCGTACATTGATGGATGACTCTGTGTGCGGTCGAGGTGGTAAAGGCAAAGGCAAGGGTGATTTGAAGGCATTGAAGCCTACAATCATGGCCGGTGTGCCTGCGGTATGGGAGCGCATTCGTAATGGTGTAATGAAGGAACTGGATAAGCAGAATTGGCTCGTGCGTCAAGCGTTCTTAGGTACGTGGATTATCATGGGAAAGGGAAAGTGCTGTTACTGATAACAAGTGCTGAACAGCTCTGCTTCAGTTGAAGTGGTTATTGTTGACATTTTTTGGAAAAGAAAATGTCATTACCCATATCATGGACCGCACGGTGTTTGCACCCATTAGAGCAACCACCGGTGGCAGATTAATGTATGGACTTTCTGGCGGTGCCCCTTTATCTTATGATACCCATAAATTTGTCACTTCTGCCGTGTGTTTCTTACTACAAGGTTATGGGTACAGTACACCTCATCGAGTCACTTGAAGGGAATGTAAATCTTATGTTCAATCATTTCATCCTTAGCTTAACGGAATGCTGCGGTTTAGGTGCTATTACGGTTCCCGCGTTGGGCATGGTGACAGGGGTGATAGGTCCTCCTTCGCCTTCTATCGAGTGCCGATTGGTGGATGTGCCTGAAACAGATTACAAAGCCGAAAACGGAATCGGAGAACTGTGGGTTCGCGGCCCATCCTTAATGCGCGGATATTATAAACGATCCGATCTTACCAAGGAAGCCATTACCGAAGATGGATGGTTCAAGACAGGGGACGTTGCACGTGTCAAGGATGATGGTACTATTGCAATCACGGACCGTGCTAAAAACCTTGTGAAATTGGCCAATGGCGAGTATGTTGCACTCGAAAGTTTGGAATCCAAATACAGAAACAACAAAAACATCAAGAACATCTGTATCATTGCCGACAGCGACAAAGATCATATTGTGGCTGTGGTCGAGCCAAACGAAAAAGGTGCGGACAAGGACAAGCTGCTGAAAGAACTGCAGCAGACCGCCAAGCAAAACGACTGCAACCGAGCCGAAACTGTTCAAGATATTCTGATCAAAGATGACAAAGATTGGCAAAGTACGTATCTTACCACCAGCGGCAAACTGAAACGCAAGGATCTCCACAAAGACTACAAAGATGACATTGAAAAGATGTACAAATAATTTGGCAGTATGACTTTTTTTTTAACTACAAATACAAATATTGATTATCCATATCTGATGGCTTCTCCGTGGATATCACGTTGTTGTTGTATCAAAGTTTAATTGTAAGAGGCTAACGCATTTTTTTACACACTATGCAACCTTTTTACTTGGTCACTCCATTAATGCTTTTCACCGGTGAGAAACGTTTAGTGGCGGTTACACAGTTGTCTGAGAATATTTCTTTTAAAAAGGCAAAAACCCAGTCGATGGCATCAATTTGAGTCATATTGTCTTTTTCATTGTTCATAAAGCATTTTATTTTTCTCAGACCTCGAGTTCATTTTTTTTATCTCATGTTGTATTGGTCAATTATAGCCGCAGTGTGTCTCGCACTGCCAGGTCTGCAAGCACAGACTGGACCGCAGTCGCAGACGACTATTATGTACAAGAAACCTATCAATGACCCACCGTATATGGATCGGGCTCGTCTCTTTCTTCGTCGCCATCCTCTCATCGACACTCACAATGACCTTCCCATGTACGTTGGTCAACTTTGGATTCTCCCAAGAATGGACTGACTGACGCTTCTATTAGGATGCTGGCATTTGAAGAGAACGGGAAGATTAATCACCTGGACTTCAATCACTTGGAAGGTCATACTGATATCGAAAGGCTGCACAGAGGTCACTTGACGGGCCAGTTTTGGAGTATTTATTACGATTGTGAAGACACGAGTCAGAATCAAGTACTTAAAGCGATGGAATCCATCGACGTTACCAAACGTATGATCGCTTTGCATCCCGATACATTCCAACTCGTCACCAGCACAAAAGAGTTTCAAGACGCCTATCTTCACCGTCGTATCGGATCAATGATGGGCATGGAAGGCGGTCAAATGATTGATAATTCGTTGGCTGCTCTTCGTCTTTTCTATGATCTTGGTGTTCGCTACATGACGGTAACTATAAAAAGGAAAAAAAAAGTTCCGCTGATTCCTTCTGACAGTTTCAATAGCTGACACACAACTGCCATACACCTTGGGCTGAATCGTGCTGTGATTCTTCGGAGCCTTTATTTGGGAAAGGGAAAGGGTTGTCCACGTTCGGCGAAAAGGTGGTGCTAGAAATGAACCGTCTCGGCATGATGGTGGATATCTCTCATGTTGCCCACTCAACTATGCATGCTGTCCTGAATGTTACACGAGCTCCTGTCCTATTTTCTCATTCATCCAGTCATGCATTATGCCCTATTGAACGTAATGTACCTGATGAGGTATTGAAACGACTGGATGAAACAGATGGCGTGGTTCAGATCAACTTTTACAATTCCTTTGTGCGTTGCGACAATCCTGAGGAAGCCACATTATCCGACGTGGCAGATCATATAGAGCATATCGCTTCGGTAGCAGGCCGTCATCGTATAGGCTTGGGTGCGGATTATAACGGCATAGAAAAAACGCCCGTGGGGCTGGAAGACGTAAGCATGTACCCCTCGCTATTCGCCGAATTGATGCGCCGAGGCTGGACACAAAGGGAGCTTGCTGGTCTGGCCGGAAGAAATCTGCTGCGTGTGTGGAAAGGCGTGGAAAATGTCAGCAAATCCCTGTCCAACCAATTACCCGATGAATCAAAACTGTCGGATCCTGTTTATTTGGTTAAATCGAGCGTATAAAGGTTAGCTTGAAAAAAAAAAAATACCAATGCAATGCTTGTGTTCAGACTAGTCAATAAAGCTTCGTTATTCCCATTCGTTGTTTATTTGCCATCCGGCATTGATTAAATCCTACATAATGCGCTTTTTTACGGCGTGGGACACAGATATCATTCATTCGTGACATAATTCAAATGAATCATCGGAGCATATGGCTGTCCTCTTTTTGATTGGAAGCCGAGGCAAATGCCATCCGTCATTGCCAGTCCCGGTGCCATCCCGCCTCCCCCTCCCCAACCCCCTGCCCTTTGATTACGCGCGGTATACTCTTTACTAGACTATCCAGCTTTTCTGGGGAATAATCATACATGCATAGTGACCGACACAAGGTAACTTATCGAAGTTTATTTCAATGATAGATGCACATGAGAACAAACTGCAATCATAAAATATTCTGGATAGAAAAGTAGTCACTCGGGCCAGAGATGCGCCGGTTAAAAACCTAGAATCCCTTCCATGGATCACTTTGCTAATTCTATTTTTTTTTCTCTCTCTCTCAAGTCTCCGATGAACAATAGTAGCTGCGCCGTGGATTCAATACGTCGTCTTCCGGATCCTGAAAACACAAATAATTACGAGCAAATACCCTTTGCGTTTGTGGAAGAATGTAAACTGTCATGCACTATGGTATCATGGATAAATATGCTCACTGTTTCCCGTTCTGTCTTTGTTGTTATGGATGACAGTATCTTCAAAGAATGTTTTCCTGCGGTTACCAAGTGATTTCTCACCCTTGGAAAGAATGATTTTGCAAGCAACAGGAAATCTCCAACGATTGCTATCAGCCTTTTACAATGTTCCGAGCCGTGTAGAGATTATATACAATAATATCATACCATACACCGATCACCAAACTGTCAGCAAAGGTGTTTGCAATACAACGCAAACTCAGTTTGAACGAAAAATCAGAATGTACTTTGATGATAAAGTAGCCTATGACGCCGAATCCATCCTGTTAGTGAAAGATCAAACCGTACTTGAGCTCATCGAAAAGCATAAATACGGCCTGGGTCAAATATTTGGGTAAGTAGCGCTGAAAAAAAAAACCAAAAAGATTTGGCGTCTTTAACTCCATGACAATTGATAGTCACACACATCGGACACCGGATTTCGTGTTACATTCCGTCGGACGTCATGGCGATGCGCCTGGTGCCTCCTTCTGGAGAGATTACACTTTGACCATTCCAGATGTCCTGGACTGCTTTATTCGCGAGACCTTTGTAGAGGGTCTCGTTGAGCCTTTTTCCGGTAGTCGCTCCACCGGCACAATTTGGTATCGAGCTTCCAATGATACCTCGAAGCAATTTATAGAGACCAATGGCCAGCTATCGTCAGAGGTTCAAATAATAAGATAATAGAAAAGAAAAAACCATAGAAAATAATCTAACTATTTATTTCTTCCCAAATGTAGGGTAATATGTTGTCTCCTTTGATGTCGTTGCTTATTCATGGGATTGCTTTACTTTGTTTTCTAAAAATGATGTAGTCCGGAGACATAACACAATGATAGCTCAAAGTTTTCAGGAAACACAGCAATCCTCTCTAGTTACCCACATAGTCTATATCCCAACTATACACATACCCACAAACTGTTATCTTTTTGTAACTACCGAGAAATTCCATCTGACAATATCTAATATATGAATACACCATTGCCACTGTAAGCTGTCATTTGGGGAGAAGAATGGGGAAGACTAATGTGGTATGACCACCATCGATCGCACAAAAATTCGGGGAAAAAGACGTGGTTTATATAAGAGCAATGCTTCTCTCTGTAATGATTGTTTGTGTGTATACCGGTATTGTCTGTGTATTCAGAAAGGGTATATGTTGCGAGTCGCGGAGAACCTTGGACGCCGTTTGACGAACAAACTCGACCAGTCGATCTGAAAGCACAGGACAAGGCAAACCAACAACATCAACTGTCGAGCCTTGAGCTTTATTGGTCGTCATGGATCGATGGTGCATGAGAAGAAAAAAAAAAGTCGCTTGCTGCCCTCTAATTGATTGGTTTGCTCGGTCATTTTTCTGCCAAACTTGTCATCGACAGGGCCGAGGCTTTACAATCTGGACCTGATTCAAACGCAAGGATATTCGGACTTTCTATTTTGGCATGTGAAACTCTCGATTGGCTCTCTGATAATTGGTTTTTGACAGAGCCGCTGTGCGTGCGTTTGTTGAAGAAAGAACAAACAAAGAGCATATAAAAATAATGACTTTGAGAGTTAACAACAAAGGATGCAAAGGAAGATGCTGGAATCTTTTATACGCATTAGAAGCGTCACACGGACAAACCTAAAAGCTGATCCACAGGTCAACGGTAATAAAAATGATGCTGATCAACTACCATGAAAAGAGTTCGATTCCCAGTGATACAATCCTACTGCATGTCATCTTAAGATCAAATAGGAGTACCGTAAATCATGATAATATGAAATGCGTCAGGTGATAGACCTATCGTGGCTTTCAGCCGCCTACATTTTTTCTGGGTTGTTCTAAGCTGCTGAATAGACCGGGTCGTTTGTATATAACCTTCTCATAGTGAAAGCCAAATGTTGATGATAGACAATACCATTTTTGGAGAGTAGATCATGGAGAAACAGAGAGGTGAGCTGAAGAAAACATAACGGGTTAGATAAGAATAAGTGGCACACCAACCCATTTTTTTTTTTTTTCGCGTGAAATCCAGAAGATTCTTCTTGCGGCGGGGTTTTCCATCATTTCGAACGTGCGAGAAAGATTGTGACTGTTTTTGGGAGTGCTGTGATTCATTTCCTCGTTTCTGAGTGGAGCCTGACTTTGGTTTCCTAATTTTTTTTTCTGAACCAGAAGGGCTTAAATAGCAATCGTTCTCTTTCCAAACCCCCTTTTTCTTCCGTGAATTCTTTCTTTCTCTTTCACATCGTTAAGCAAGAATGTCTGCAGAGACCGAGACCTTTTCCTTCCAAGCTGAGATCAGCCAGTTGATGAGCTTGATCATCAACACTTTCTACTCTAACAAGGTAAACTATCATTTCTTTTTTTTTCGTTGAGCCGTTATGACATGGGGATGACTGCTTCATGTCATGTCAAAAAAGACGTGATTTTTTGCGTCTTCCTCCATTGCTTTTCCGTAATGACCATACTCATATCACGCTTTTTGCTTTCTGTTGACAGGAAATTTTCTTGCGTGAGTTGATCTCCAACTCTTCCGATGCTTTGGATAAGATCCGTTACCAGTCGTTGACCGACCCTTCGGTTCTTGACTCTGAGAAGGAACTCTTCATCCGTATCACTCCCGATAGAGAGAACAACATCCTCTCCATCCGTGATTCCGGTATTGGTATGACCAAGGCTGATTTGGTCAACAACTTGGGTACCATTGCCAAGTCTGGTACCAAGGCTTTCATGGAGGCTCTTTCCTCTGGTGCTGACATTTCCATGATTGGTCAATTCGGTGTCGGTTTCTATTCCGCTTACCTTGTTGCTGATAAGGTTCAAGTCATCACCAAGCACAACGATGATGAACAATACATCTGGGAGTCCGCTGCTGGCGGTTCTTTCACCATCACCCGTGACGAAGTCAACCCTTCTCTTGGCCGTGGTACTGAAATGCGTCTCTTCATGAAGGAGGATCAGGTAAACTATTCTTCCACACCACGGGCTACACAGCCACTCCCTTCGCTTTCTCAGATGATGCTAATCTTTTTTTGTCATTCAATAGCTCGAATACCTTGAAGAGAAGAGAATCAAGGATATTGTCAAGAAGCACTCCGAATTCATCTCCTACCCCATCCAACTTGTCGTTGAAAAGGAAGTTGAGAAGGAAGTTTCCGACGACGAGGCTGAAGAAGTGAAGGAGGATGAGAACAAGCCCAAGATTGAGGAAGTCGAGGATGAAGAAGACAAGAAGGAGAAGAAGAAGAAGACTATCAAGGAGAAGACCATTGATACCGAAGAGCTCAACAAGACCAAGCCTTTGTGGACTCGCAACCCTGAGGATATCAAGCAGGAAGAATATGCTCACTTCTACAAGACCCTCACCAATGACTGGGAAGATCATTTGGCTGTCAAGCACTTCGCCGTTGAAGGTCAGCTCGAATTCCGTGCCATCCTTTTCGTTCCCAAGCGTGCTCCTTTCGATCTCTTCGAAGGCAAGAAGAAGCGCAATAACATCAAACTCTATGTCCGCCGTGTCTTCATCATGGATGACTGCGAGGAACTCATTCCCGAATGGCTCTCGTTCATCAAGGGTGTTGTCGACTCTGAAGACTTGCCCCTCAACATTTCTCGTGAAATGCTCCAGCAGAACAAGATCATGCGTGTGTTGAAGAAGAACATTACCCGTAAGTCCATCGAGATGCTCATGGAAATCGCCGAAGACAAGGAGAACTTTGACAAGTTCTACGAGGCCTTTGCCAAGAACATCAAGCTCGGTATCCACGAAGATTCTCAGAACCGTCAGAAGCTTGCTGAATTGTTGCGTTACCACTCTACCAAGTCTGGTGATGAAATGACCTCTTTGAAGGACTATGTTACCCGTATGCCCGAGAAGCAGAAGAACATCTACTACATCACCGGTGAATCCCGTGCTGCCGTTGAGAACTCTCCCTTCTTGGAAGGTTTCAAGAAGAAGGGTATTGAAGTTTTGTTGATGACCGATCCCATTGATGAATACTCCACCACTCAGCTCAAGGAATACGACGATAAGAAGCTTGTGTGCATCACCAAGGAAGGTGTCGAAATTGAGGAAGACGAGGAAGAGAAGAAGGCTCGCGAGGAAGAAGAGAAGAAGTTCGAGGACCTTTGCAAGTCTGTCAAGGAAATCCTCGGTGACAAGGTCGAAAAGGTCGTCATCTCCAACAAGCTTACCGACTCTCCCTGTGTTCTCACCACTGGTCAATTCGGTTGGTCCGCTAACATGGAACGTATCATGAAGGCTCAGGCTCTCCGTGACAACTCCATGTCCGCTTACATGGCTTCCAAGAAGACTTTGGAACTCAACCCCCACCACAGCATTGTCAAGGCTCTTGCCCAGAAGGTCGAAGCCGACTCGAACGATCGTACCGTCAAGGATCTTACCACCTTGTTGTATGAGACCTCTCTCTTGACTTCCGGTTTCTCTCTCGATGATCCCTCTGACTTCTCCCGTCGCATCACCCGCATGATCTCCCTTGGTTTGAGCATCGATGATGAAGAGCAGACCCCCGAGGAGACCTCCACTGAAGTTCCTCCTCTTGAGGATGCTGGTGCTTCCAAGATGGAAGAAGTTGATTAAATTAATTGAATTTCATATTACTTTTTTCATTCTCTTTTCTCTCTCTTTTCTTTTTTAGCTTTCGCAAAAAGAGAAAAAGAATTGCTGTGTAAATAAAATCCCGTCAACGATTTGGGCACTTTGATTGAATACTTTACGGTATTTATTTTTCTGTCGCATTATTATTCCAGTGTCGCTTACTGGCTTTCATTCTCATAACTACATCTTATCGTTTCTATGACAGTCTTACAAGGAACCCATTAGTCACATCGACTTGAAAAAATAAGATGACAAGGTCATGTGTGGATTCTTTTCATGGCATAGACTGACAAATGCAAAGATAGCTTAGCTGCCCATGGCGAATTAATTTCGTACGCTGGGACTATTTGCAATTTCGTGTTGTGCGGACGCATGACAGAAGATGAATATCTTTAAGAAAAGTCTGCAATCCAGAGTTAATAGAAGATGCAACATCATTCATTACATGTTTATTATACGGAACACAGTGGAACAGGATAATTAGCCGTAACAAAAGTACTGAGAGTGCATGAATTCAAATAAATCCAAAGAATGTCAGGTAGGTAAATTCTTCCCATGTACACTGCCGGTATTAACGAAAGTCAAACGTCAATCTTGAATAAACTTGAGTTGCCCTCATTGTTGTGATGCTTCTCCCAGTCTTTCGTTTCCCTCAGATTTTGACCGGATGGCGAGTTGCAAAGTTAAGAAATTGATATTTATGCGAAACTCAATGCAGAATTGTTTGTTTTCCAAATGCTTGGGATGAAGGTATCAACATCATAAATTCGAAGCAATGTCGTTCAGTAATTTATGCAATTGGAGGGTAGGGCGAAAATGAAGCATGCGAAAAAAAAAAGTACAACTATATAGCTATTGGCAATACGGGCTGATGTGCGAATGATTTGCGGTGATGGTCTGAGGAGAGTTCTCGGAAGTTTCGGCATGCTCGAACACGCCACTGGGCTTTTTGTTGTTGATTTGGAAAGATAGGGGACGTTTCCGACGTTTCATTGCTCATGTGACTATGGTGGTCGGTTTCAGATCCAAAACTGCATGACTCTATTTTAGGAAAAGATTTCATCGGGGAAAGTGATTAATCTGATGATAAGGGTCGTTCGTAGCCCGTTCAAGCCCGTTCAGACCCTCTGTCAGTGATTATCTTGTTTCTTTTTTTCCTCGTTGATGGATTAGTTAGGGTTGAGTTCGCATAGTATAAGGATAGAAAGAAATCGAGAAATCTTTGAGCATAAATATCTTTAAAGTGCAGGGCCAGTGCATGGCCTAGCCAAAATATTGTGCAGAATTATTTCGATGAAGCTGCGAATAAAGGTCTTCATTGAGGCCAAAGGAGTTGCACGTAATTTTGGGATCTCTTAAGACAGAACCGTAATAACTAGTGGGCTGCTAATTTAGATAGCCCCTTTCGGCTTGTTGCCATGCCTTGTCATTGGGGGACTGGTGGCAATGGACAGCAGATTTCTTATCTACATACGATGAACCAGCCGCAATTACCTATTATTCTAGAATAGGAAAACCTCTTAAATGTTTATAACAGTGGAGAACAAAGTGGTAACAAGAGAGCGATATTACTTTAGATAGGGGAAAGAATTTATTGGATGATAAAATAATGACATTTGTATATGAAAAATAGAGACAAGTGAAATATAAGGCTTTCTCTAATTTGGTATTGCTATATATAACGGAATGAATATTGGCTGCTGTGATGTGTATATACAAGGAATTTTCTCGCTTAAGAGTTTCTAAACGGAAGAAAAAGCGTCGCCATTTAGGCAACAAAGGGGCATGGATTGGCGGACATGAAAGAGGCGAACACAGAATCGTCTTCAAAAAATTCGTTCAAAGTTTTCCCGCTTTGTCCCGTCAGGGCCTCCAAATCGCGAGTGACTTCAAATCGACGACCGTGCAGCTTCTGCTGAAGACCCCACATCTCCAACAAGAACACAACGTGCTCTTCATTGCCGATGCTATCACATAGGATTTGTTTGAGAGTGGGCATATCCATCGTGTTGACGGCCACATCACGGCGAAGACCGATCAAGACACGTGTGCTGAGTTCCTGGAGGGTCAATAATTGAGGACCGGTCACTTTGTATGCTTGATTTCCGTGTCGTGATACAGGCGAGTGGGCGATACAAGCGACGGCGCGAGCGATATCCAGCATGTTGGAAGTTTCGACGGTATTTTCAAGGTAGCGATGCGGAACCGGGAAAGCGTTGTGCTCCATAATATATTTGCGGAAGACAACGAGATGCTGATGAAGTATACCCGGATAACGTAGAATGGTCGTACAACGGCTGTCAAACTGTGAACGCAAATAAGATTCAATTAACATGAATTGACTGCGGAAAGTTTGTGGTTCATTCAGGTTAAGCATGGAGATTTCCGCCGAAGGGGTGACTGGAGGCGACACGGGATCCAAGGGAGAAAAGGGAGTCAAAAAGATAATGTGTTGGATATTAGCTTCCTTGGCAGCGTCGATAAACCTAAGAGAGATAAGAGATATGAATTAGTGAGTTTGAAGCTAGTGTAACCATGGAAAAGGTAAAACTCACTTTTTCCCATAATCGTAGGCATTGGAACGATTGATTCGGTGGCTCAAAGGATCGATGACAAGACAAAGTTTGGTCACCTTTTGCAAGGCACTGACAGCGCGCGCATGATCATTGAAGATGTCAAAGGCGACTAATTCAGCCCCTAACGCTTCGACCTGTTTGGCTCTTGCTGTTGATGCATCGGGAACACCAGCGTACACGGTCTGCGCAGCGAGATAATGGTACTTTTGAGGAAAATGAAGGATTTGCTCGACAATGGCTGAAGCTTTTTCACCATCAGCACCAGAGACGAAGATGGGACCTTTACCGAGAATTGAAGTAGACATTAATGAAAAAAGAGATGAAAGACTGGAAAAACAAGGGAAAAAAAAGGACCGTTTTTAAGGTTTTTTGAATTCATAAAATTGGCGCAGCCCGTCCTTTTTGTGTCAAAATTTTTTTCAGGGTTTCAGTCACAATTGGCTGAACCGCCGAAAAGCCCGGCGCCCAAAGATATCCTTTTTTTTTCATCGGATATCGATAGTTCACCATCTATCCAATCAAAGGCCATACTTTAAACTCAGTGAAAGTTTACCAATCTCAGAAAAGCTTGAAACATTTTGTTAATTATGGCCTGCACCAACCGCTGAAGCGTTCATGAGGGAGTGTCCATGGCCTTATTACCATTCTAAAAATAATAAGAACAGAGATGAAAATGTGAATCATTTGGGTATTTCGTCATGAATGCAGCTTAAACATTCTTTGGCAAAGGTATTGATTTTCTGCCGTCAGTTTCACCTCAAATACGTCTGCCAAACCCGCATTTGATGGCTCTAGTTACGCCAACTTATTCACAATAACAGATAGGTTGGATATCAATAATAGCGCAGCATATGGGCCAGGAATGACTTTGCCCCAGCTGCTAGAAAAACGCCCTATGAAGCGCTGCCGCTGGTCTGTGTGCATTTAACACTGATGTCCGGATAACATCGATAATCACGTGGCAGTTCAATGCAAAGTACTCAACCTATTCTAGCGAAAATTGTACTGATTCGATTTCAAGACTGACATACTGTGTGAATCAAAGTCTATGTGGCGAGCTTTTCTGTTCTTTTCAGCCTCTTGATGCAGCACGTGCAGGTTAAAATGGCCAAAGTAAAAAGGCAGCCAATCAAAGCTAGTTTACCTAGTGGAAAGGTCGCCACCCGATTGGCAACCTGGCTTTATTGCTGATGAACCTCACGGGCTGGTACGCCGCCGTATGCCATTTATCTAGCTTTATCTTGATCATTCGCCATGCGTTTTGTTTTCCACACACCACTTTTGCCCAACAGTTTACATACTATAAAGTTTTCGAGAATGTGTCATATTCAGCCGCAGCAACAACGTGATTCTGTGGGCAAAGAACCTGCCTTGAGAGACCAACTACTTTTTTACTGGGGTAAGCTAACAGCGGGTCGCGGATCGGAGCCACGAGACTTGCAAATGTTCGCATATAATCGCTCCGTTGGTGCGAACTATGCTTTAATTTTGCACCGGAGTCTCTACAGACTATGCTGACAAACCAATGTAGACTCAACTGACCGAGACGCTCCACAGGAAACACCAAAAAAAAAAGAGGGATGGGTGCCCCCAAAACGCAAAAGCAACTGTGTGAATGGAAAATTTCAATGCTCTGTCACGTGAAATCATTGTTAAGATTACATATCCGGTTTTCGGGCCATTGGGTTAATCATCAACGACTCATTGTATCGTCTGATCTCCACATGAGTACTTCTTCTTCTCAATCACCCTACATCACACAGCTACAGTTTACCCGGGCACTTTCAGTCATTGGATCTCTCCTTGCTGCAGGCGCAATACAGCCCACAGCGTCGGAAAAATTGACGCTTTATGGGCTCTATAAGCAGGCCACTGAAGGTGATTGCCACCTTCCTCGTCCCTCCTCACGGCAAGTGGGCATGTTTGCAAAATGGTAATAAAAATATATTCGACTTGGAAATAATCCATGTCATCCAAATACTCGCGTCATAATGTATCTAATAAATTTTGTTCACATCATCAAGGCGAGCGTGGGATCGTTTGCGAGGTATCAGCCCAGCAGAAGCTCAAAAATACTACGTCGATACACTACTTGAACTCTTGACAGATGTAAATACAATAAGATCGACAGCGCCTATTTTTTCACGTTGTTTTAATGGTTCTTCCATTTTTTTTCTTAGTTTATCAAGCGATATCCCGAGCATGAAGATATAGCCGCACTAAAGGAAGCGCTTACATACGTGCAAATGGAGAACGAATCGATAGCCGATGGGCCAGGTAGCATATATACATTTTTTTGGTTAGTACACTATCTTTTACTGACTCCAAAATGCCAGCTCCAGATATGTTTGCAGACGTGTGGAACCCAAGCGATGTTGAACAAAGCGATGCCGAAACGAGCGAACTGGGTTCCGAGCGATCACAGCAAAATTTCATACCGTCGACAATGCAACACCGAAACAGTCTTCCTCCACACATGCATTTACATCAACGACCTCGCGCTTTAACTTATGCTAATGGCAGTACTTCCGTCTTTTCCAACAACAGCCCCCATCATGAATATCCTCTGACTCCCGAATTGTCCCCCAACCCGAATCAGTATACCACTTACAAACGTTATATCCAACCGATGGACTTCTTAACAAACCATCCGATGCAGGATACATTTTCGGATACGGACACGATCGACCGAGAAGTTGCCGCTACCACGTCAGGATTAGCCATTGCTTCCCCCAGACAACACCCCTATCACAATGCCTGGCAGCGAGGACGCAAAAGTGTCACCGATGGAACTCAAACAGAGACTACAGCGCCTCCAGTGGCTGGACCCATTCAAGCTCCTGAGCGCTTATCCTCGTCTGAACAAGCACTGGAAAATTTGCAAACTGAAGTGGCAGCTTTATGCGAACAATTGGACATGATGCGTCGATCCATGACAGAACGAGATGCGCAAAAACGACAGTATCGCTGGACTTGGTTATGGTTGATCAAGACGATTGCGAAACATGCCTTTGCAAATGTCATCATTCTATTGCTGGTATTTCTTGCGTTGTGGCGACAAAAATCACCCATAGCCTATGCTATTATTGGCTATGTTGGGCCGCGATTGAAAGAGATCATGCGGTATATGGTCCGTCGCGTCGTCTTTTGGAAAGTCACTGTTTAAATATCCTAGTCATTGGAAGTTCCCTTACCGTGTATCATAGTCAACCCTTTTCATGTAAAATTCAAGATCGAAAAAGCTCCTCATACAAAATCCAAACTATGCGTTATAATTTATTTGATATTGTTACAAGAAAATTGATATTGAACCATCAATCCCGCAGACCCGACAGCGCTTTATGTATTATAGATTGTCATGTCGCCCATCATTAGATCATGGCCGGTATCATCTATTAATAGAGAAGTGATAAGGTGCTATATCTCGAACAGTGCTGTGCGCATATCAGGATCAAGCTTTTTTAATCAACGTTGTGTGCTTTGTACAGTGTTAGCAAAATTTGTTCATAGAAAAAGATGCGAACTTAAAGAGGAGTAGCACACTAATAACCTGCGCCGAAAGTCCGTTAAGCAACAAAAGTAAGCACCATGAATAAAGGTGGATCAATACGGTATATAACCCAAAAATCTCGAACAGTCACTGCGGCAGTCGTGGTGAACAGAAATAACGTCTCCGCCTATTCTGCTTGTTTGGTTGAACAATTTCCGCATACGTGACTTTTGGGACCGATTCATATAAGACAACTGTATCCCATTTCACAACTTTCATCGATGGCTTCTTCCATTCCGGGCGCCACCACAACCGATATATCTCTTCTTCGAGACATTCGACCACTCATGCGAAATGTCGATTGCGAGGTCATTGTTCTGCAACGAGGTAAGAGAATCTGCTCCTTTATTGGTAATGACAATATCGAATCTGTCTGCTAACAGACGCAGTGTCGGATCCACAGATGACCCGCGATGGCGACACGATGCAACGCATTCAAGTAGCTGATCGTTCAGGATCTATGCTATTGACGGCCTGGGGAGATGCAGCAGCCAGTATGTGCCCCGGTGATATTCTACGTATTTCAGGAGCGTAAGTAGTTCCCTTTTCTTTTGGGATTTTATTCCGCTGTTACGATATTGATGAGGTTCTTTTTTTTTTTTCTTTTGCAGAAACTGTGCTCTTCGAAATGGACTGATTATGTTGTTCGCCGTGAGAACGTGTAAAATCAGACGTGTCGGTCAAGATACATTCATCTTTGCTGAAAAACCTAATCTGTCAGAGCCGACAGAACCATCATCACAAGGAAGTTATGCTGCAACCAGTGTTCGTCCCAACGTTCCTATCCCTCCTAATATACCCAGGCCTCTGGTCACCCACGGACAGCCGGTACATCAGTCTGTAACTCCCAGTGTCAATCCATTGCATAGCCAAAATAAGCAGCGACCTGCTGTGAACCCGGCAAGCATGCGCGGTCGCGGTCGAGGTCGAGGTCGAGGCCGAGGTGGAAGTTCTGCTGTGAGAGGATTTGCACATCCATCTCAAACACAGCGCAGTTTTCACAATCCAACCACAATGGAAAACCCCCAAATTAGAGATCCAAGGTTGAAACGTAAAAGAGACAGAGACGACCAATCATAATTACGCTTCAACTGGTCATTGATATTTATGCAATCTGCTCATTATGCGCTGCAACAAAAAGCGCTTGTATACAGTTATTTCAATTTTGTTTAGATCGATTTTCTTTCTTTCATATACATGTAATTTCCATTTCCCACATTATTCCTTCTTCTGTTCTTCCGGTCATCCGTTTTCTTCTACTAGTCAAACACGACAAAATACATTATGCGTTATCAACGAACACTGGGTAACTTACCTTCTCATGACGATATTCACTCTGCTTCTGCGTCTCCAAAGAACACGGAAACCATGACTTCACAGCAAAAAATAGAAGAAATTTTGAAGCGACAACACCAAAACGACGAAGAAGGAGCAGAAAACAGCTTGTACGAACTGAGACTCGAAATACTGAGGGGCGGTTGTCCTCCAAAGGTAAAACTATATTCGCAATAAAAATCCAAATAGATTGTTTTTGTCTTACTGATGGTCATACGACAAGTTGCGGGGATCAGCGTGGAAATTACTACTGAGGTTAACCAACGTATCGTCGTCATGCTACGTAAATTTGGTTCATCGAGGACCGAGCCCAATGGACTCCAAGATCCGTAATGACACATTTAGAACAATGACTACCGATGCGAGTTTTATTGAACACGTATCAGAGGATATGCTAATTCGCGTGTTGAACGCTTTTGTGTGGATTAGCCGTCAAGGTAAGTTTAACATGGATAAAACAACATAAAGGGTTTGTTACTTGGATATCGATGATGCAAGTAATTGATTATGGGTAGAAGAACGTGTAGGCGATACTTCCGAAGAATTGCAATTACGGTCTTTATTCCGAAGCTGGTATTCGACGCCTGGCGAATTGACTTATGTTCAAGGAATGAATGTGCTTGTTGCTCCTTTCCTAACGACCATGACCGAGATGGAGGCTTTCTTTGCTTTTTCCACATTTATCTGGAAATGGTGTCCTGTATATGTGGAGCATACATTGAGAGGCGTTCATTGTGGTTTGAGGGTAAATTTTTCTCCCAGTCTTATAGCGAAATAAGCGATCATACTCACAATATGGATATTAGCTTTTGGATCTGTGCCTGCAATCGCTTGATCCTATGTTGTACGGTTATTTACGAGGCAGAGGTTTAACTGCCAATATGTATGCGTGCGCTTGTAAGTAACTTCGCGGGTCACCCCATCTTGATTTCTACGGATAACTAAGAGTTGATTTTGTACAACAAGCTGTGTTGACCTTTTCGGCCTGCACGCCTCCGTTATCCGAGCTGCTTCAACTATGGGACCTGATGCTAGCGTGCGGTACTCACCTGAATATTCTTTTCATCATCGCACAGTTGGCTCTTATCCGTAAAGAATTGATGGATTGCTCAAGGTAAAGCAGCAAATCGTGCCAGGGGCAGCATTATACTAATACCCTATGACAGTCCTATGAAGATTTTGCGGAAACTACCGAATCTTCAAGCACAGCCTATCATCAAGATCGCTCTGGCTTCTTGCAAGAAACTGCCGCCCGATCTGTACGATAAATTAGTTCGCCATGCTTACGATGAAACCGTGTCCGATTGTCTCGGAGTCCAACTGGCCGCTGGCTCTTCAAGTATGCAAGATGATTGTACTACTGTTCCTCCTTACATTGCCGAAGCGGCAGGCTACACTACAAATGACTGCGCTTAGCTTTAAAACATGGTCACGCACAACAAGAGACAAAACTGATAAACGAATAAAACTTTACTTTTGTCTTGACACAAGGTTATCAATCAATAGAACTGGTTACTTCTTATGGTATATCCTCTTTGAAAAACAAACCGTTTAAGAAAAGGTTAACAAATTCTTACAGCCTTTGCCTTCGAACGAGCCCCCCTTGTTCATTGCATACATCTTGTCTTGCTTGTGTGTGCGAAAGTATCCAATAGCGAGCGTTCTGACCGATGATTGTCTTGCGGATATCTATATCGCTTACGCACCGCGTGTGTGTCAAAGCATACCATCCTCTAAATTACTCATCCGTGACTTGACTTGGTACAAGCTCTCTTGGGCGATCGCTTATTGACAGTCAATGATTGGATAGTATCATTCAGGCCCAGTTCAAGCCACCTGTCACGCATGAATTACCGCAGGCGGTTTCCCCGGCCTTCTTTTTCTTATTCGAGAAAGTGAAAGAATATGCAGTCTGGTGCTGAAGAGTTGCCAGAAGAAATACCTGGCATACTCGAAGGCATGGCTTCGGTGCTGAATTGCCCTGTATGGTACGTTGATCGCCTTGCAGTCAAAGTTGACGTTTACCTGATGGCTTATTGTGACGTACTAGCGACAACTTGTTCAACGATGCAATGTACGCAAATTGCGGTGATCTCTATTGCCGAAATTGCCTCGAATACATTCTAAAAGCCAATAATTGCACTTGTGTTGTATGTGACGCCATGTTAGACCAACATCACCTGCAGCCAGCCGAAAATATCCAAAACATCGTTGCCGAGTTCGGACGCCTGCGGTCGATCTACAGCGATCTTAAGACACAAGGTAAATACAGATAGTGAAAGAGGTATTACCGAGATGGAAGAGGAAACAAAATTTATCGATGGCGATAGTTTCGAATTCGAGTCTCTCGGATGGTGACATGTCTCAACCGCGAACGCTCGATCGACCTCCCTCAGGTATCTCGATAATCAGTGGGTTATTCTTTACAAAGAATATGTAGTATTAAAGCACCCACGCATTTTGTAGGCTTCTTTCCACCTTCTCCATCCTACTCGCTGTTGTGCTTTTCTGTAGGTGCGCGTAATAAGGTTCATGCTAACATGATTAAATTGATATTTTTTGTTCATCAAGCCCAACTTTGATCCGCCAAGCTGTGCTTCGCCATCGTGTGCCACGACCCTTGATTATGACTCTGATGCCACATTTGTTACTTCACTGCAAATGAGAAATGGTAATTATACATTGGATCTGGCATGCGGTGCAAGCAGAGCTAACCAGTTTATTGTATTTTAGCGGCTAATGAACAAGCTGAGCTGGAGCTGGAGCAAGAGCATTCTATATCCACTGACAGGATCTCTATATCATCAGACGACAGCGAAGACGACTTGATAGTATTAAGTAGAGAACCGCGTCTCATTGACGAAATATCACCAAGGCCTACGAAAAAACGGCGGAGCGACTACCTTATTTTTACTGCAAGAAGAGACGCAGAGATGGTAAGCAGAGAAGAATGAAATCCATTTTTTGCAAATGCATGTGCATAATCTAATGATTTAATCTCAGATGACCATGCTTGCAAAGTTGGCCAAGTTTCCGAACGTCCAGATTGCCCCCAAGTTCTCCAATCAGGTGACGCATGTGATTGTTCCTGTGGGTAAGTTCAGTATGGCACGGGGCGTCAAAGCTTCCCAAAAAATGTCTTGAAAAAGAAAAACATAACGATTCACTGATGAAAAACAAATAATGAATAGATGAGAATAATCGAACAAAGCGATCTCCTATTTATTTAATGGCACTGCTGCTTGGAAAATTCGTGGTCAATGATCAATGTAAGTCGTAAGGCCACAGGTGCATTCAGCTAGCAAGGAATAACGTAAATGGATGAGGGAAAGATCCGACACGAGATGCTGATAGTGAAACTAGGGATTATCATCTGTTGTAGGTTAGACATCATGGTGGACGCGGAACCTTATGAAGTGATTGGGGACTTTGGTACCCAGAATACGGGTATTCCTCGCAAAGCACGGTTACATTTGGCCAGCGGTGTAAGTGTCTCATGACCAAATGAATGCCAATCTTACTATTTGTTTATTGAACTTTGGGCAATTGTTGTAGCAACGACGACTGTTTGAAAACATGGTAGTAGCATTTTGGGGCGAATTTACGCCACCATTGACAAGAAAAGATTTACGGACACTCATCTTATCAGGCGGCGGTCAGGTTCTCGCATCAGCTGATCAGTTGCCATTGGAAGGGGAGATCATCTGCGGCCCTAAATTACCACGCTTGCAGATAGACGAGATCAAGCAAAAGTACAGCAAAATACCCATTGTGGCGCCTTGGATCTTGTCGAGTATTGCCCAGTACCAAATTCAAGAAAAGTCTCTGTTCCATGCCGGGCAGAAAAAATACGCGTGAGAAGCTTTGCGTCTGGAGCATGCTTTTACAAGCAACCACTGGCTTTTAAAAAGAACAACCGGTTTATTTTTTCTTCGTCCGTTATGTTTCTCTAGCAAATTTCCATCTTTCGCAACTTTTTTTCTTTTTCCCTTTGACACAATGACGTTCACGCTGCAGGAAAAACCTGCAAATCGATCACTATTTCCCTCGTATCTGGCCTTCTTTTCAAAGAACTATGCATCTGCTCGCGGCGATTGTGATGATTCCTTCCTCAAGAACGAAAAATTAAGCCGCCATAACAAAGTCAACCCAAGAAAACAACTGCTTCATGTGCGCCGCTTACGACGTGAACGACTGCCTCAACGAGTATGGTGTGATCTTCCAGAAATCGGCCGAATCCAATGCCCTTAGGTCACCATGTCTTTTTACATTCAATGTATCTATCAAAAATTTTCCATATGTTGCACTATCCTTTCGTCCTTCCTTGTCGTTCTCATCACACTTTGTAGAACCTGTGTTTTATGCAAATATATTCATTATTTTTACAGTGATGCGTTTGCTAGTGGATGATGGTAGATTCAGGTATATATACGGATGGTCCCAGAATGTTGGTTTGTGCCATGAAAGAACACTGCACATGAACTACCGGCTATCATACCGCGATTTCCGAAGGACCGCATGCGTCACATAAACATAGCATAAATTTCTGATGCATGTCATCCACATACCCCATTTAATATTTAAAAACGATAAATACCGTATGGACGCTTATGTTGAGAAACCCTCTAACCATGACTTTATATTTTCTTCCTGCAAATCAAAAAAAAAAGCAACATCATTTTTTAAAACCAGAAAATCATGTGGTGATGTTTGATTGTAAACGAACCTTTTTTATTTTATTTTAATCACGGAAATATGCGTGTAAGATGCAAATGATATAAGATGGAAATTTTATTACGCGCTTTCAGGAGCGTAAAACGGATAATCTAAATAACCTGCTTCGTCCTGTGTATAGAAGGTGGAACGATCGTACTTTTGCAGCGGCCAGCCGTTCTTGAGTCGCTCGGGCAAATCGGGATTAGCAATGAAGGAACGGCCAAATGCAATGAGATCACCCGTCTCTGCTGCAACTTCAAATGCCTTCTCGGGATGAGTCGTGTAACCACCAGAAGAGACAATAGGGCCTTTCCAGGCTTCGCGGAAAGGATCAATAGTGTTCTTCTCTGTACCAGGTTCGTGGTAAGCGTAATCGTCACGAGCTTCGATAAAGTGGATGTAAGAGAGCTTGGGGTGGCGACGTTGAATTTCCTTGCAAAGGTATCCCCAAGTTTCATATGGTGTGTCGTCCTTCATGTCTTGGAAATCAGACCATGGCGAAAATCGGATGGCGGTGCGTTCAGGACCGACGGCTTCGGCAACAGCATCCACAACGTCCAGGCAAAGACGGCAACGATTTTCAATCGGACCGCCATATTTATCGGTACGGATGTTGCTCGAGGTGTTGATGAACTGATCAATAACGTAACCATTGGCACCGTGAATCTCGACACCGTCAAAACCAGCCTTGACGGCGTTTTTAGCAGCTTGAGCGAAATCGCGCACGATAATGTCGATATTTTCCTGATCCAGTTCACGGGGCTCTTCATAAGGCTGGCCAATTACATCCACACCTTTAATGGCGATAGGAGAGGGAGCCCAGGGCTTTTCGTTGTTGGGCATGCAAGCCGAAGTACTTGCACGGCCGATATGCCAGATTTGGAGGTAAATGTATCCGCCTTTAGCATGGACGGCATCCACGATGGTCTTCCAAGCGTTGATATGTTCCTCGGTGTAGATACCGGGACAATAGGGATAACCTCCGGCTGTGGCTGAAATAACGCAGGCTTCACTGATGAGGAAACCACCGGGGGTGGTGCGTTGGGTATAGTAATCGGTCATCATTGGTGTGGGGATATGGTCCTTGGTGTTACGCAGACGGGTAAGTGGAGCCAACACCACGCGATGGCTGAGCTCCATATTGCCAATCTTGGTCGGTGAGAAAAGAGCGGGCGTCATGATATTATACAATGAAAAAGAATGTGAAGTATGGTGAGTTCCATTGCAATTTTTCTCGTACACTCTTATATTGTATAGCACAGAGCACGGAAGGGCATTTTTCCGTAGAGCGGAGTCATTTCATAAAAGAGAAACGACGCTATACTACCATATTTGAAATCCGCCGATCAACGACTTATTCTGATAGGGTGCGAATAATGAACAAAGTGACACTACCTTCATTTACAATGGTACTCAGTGACACGCTGACAAAACCAGTCGCCATTCACCGACCATGGATTATTCATCAGGCACATCAGCCAGTAACAAGGCGAAATATGTCGAGTATAAAACTGAGAAACGTGTTAACGTCATTTAGAATGCCTGCCATTGATCGATGTTCGCCAAGCCATGACAACTAAACGGAACTTTAAAATAAAAATGATTCCATGAAATCAGTCAAAGTGATGTGCAGAATCGGTAGCACGAACAAAGCCTAAACATCAGTCCCTGATGGTGAGCTACAAAATTTACGTCAAACTTCACGTCAAAAATTTAGGTGATACCAGGTTTGATCAGCCGTAAGAATGGCTTTTAATGTTTTAATCTGTGAAAAAAAAGAGGTTCTATATTTATCGGAAAAATTGAAAAGACAAATGATGAAAGGCTTTCTTCAAATTTTAGCAACAATAGAGCGAGGAAGACACCGACAGGTGGTGAGCAGCCATTGAACATATCACGTTGTTTTTGAACAGCGCCATTCGGGGGCGTTTGGATTGAGGCCTTTTTGAGAGGCCTTGACAATCGATGTATTGGATGGTGCCGTGGCTCGTTTTGTCCGCTGAGGAGATGCTGCTCTTGTCAGGGGAGGTGTAATAAGAGTGGCAGGTGCGTCATAAGCTCGCTGATGTTTAAATGATGCCATGGTCGGTATTTTCACTCGGCAACTGATAATTTCGCCATTGCAGTTGGAGTCAAAGATAAGATAACCGTCTTCCTCCTTTACAGGGGAATCTTTCACGAGACTGCTCGTCGAAGGCGATGAATGTGGTGTAGGAAGCTTGCTGCTCTGATCAATCACCGTTGGCTTTATCACGCTTGAATTACGGAGATTGGGCGGATACGTGTCTATCATGGGAGGAGCAGGAGGGAGTTGCCGTTCACTCAATTTTCCCTCTAGTGATTGAATCCTTTGATGCAGATGGTTGAGCTCAAGCGCATGTTGTTTTTGCAACTCTGTCACACTATGCTCCACCTGTTCTCGTTTTCGTTCTTCAGCACGTAATCGGTCAAGCAAGTCACCATGCTCCGTTGCCATAGCTCGGGTTTTTGTTTCTTGCAAAAATCGGGCATCTTGCAGCTGTTGATACTTCTCCAAAAGCTGGCTATTTTGTATGAGCAAGTTGCGAAATCTTGAGGATATACTGTCGGCTTTGCTCAGAGCATCTTTGAGTTCCTCTTGCAGTTTCGTCACCTCGTTATTCTTGATATGCAGTTGATGCATGATATCGTTCATCCTATCTTGATCACCATTTCGGCTCTGCATAGCTTTGCATCGTTTTTCCCAAGCGGCGGTTTCCTGTTGCTGCTGGTGGAGAGCTTGTTTCAACTGCTGAAGTTCAATCTCCAGGTCGTTTGGGTCGTTGATTTTCAGAGTCAGTCGATTTGAAACCGATACCATGCCACCATGATTTTCTTCGCCATCGTGGGGATCCAACGCTTTGAACTGATCATGATAGGTGTCCGTGTCCTGATGTTTGGTGGAGGGTTCTCTTTTATTGACTATATTATGAACGGCTTCGGTGTCTACCATGGTATCGTCTTCCAAGTCAGCGGGTGAATAGGCGGAGTGGGTTTCAATAGATCGAAGTCGCTGGTCAAGCTGATGAGTGAAAAGTTCCAGATTCAAGGTACGATGTTCCAAAAGCGAATAGCGATGCTGTTGCTGATATTCTGTTTTCAGTTGATGGTGCCAAAAATGATTCAGGGCCGGACAGGAAGATGAACCTCGACGTGATTGAGGAGAGCACTCCGTATCCGACGAATGGCCGCGCAACCGATCCCTATTAGGGACTGGGTTGATCAAAACCTTGCATTCAGGATCCATTGGATCGTTGAACTTTAATAACCTAGTTGAAAGTGGACACTGGTCTCGCTGGTCTTCGCTACACTAAGGCAGTTCACGAAAAATGACGTTTATATTCTTAGCAGGTCGAGGTTGGTCGAATTTCTGGTGAACTTACTTCACTACGGGCAGATTCATGATTGGTGTTGCTGGTATAATCAATAATTCGTACTATGGCTGGATCGTTTAATACGGTGCCAATAGTGGTATGACGCTTCAAATGACGCTGTTGCTTTATGGAAATTGAATCGTCGCTCGTAGTGCTGTGGTGAGTTCATTGATAAGTATCTACCGTATGACCAAGCTGTATATCATGCCTTTTTTACCTTGCTAGTTCCGTAGAAGAGGTTGGGGTGGGTATTACTTCGTGTTGTAATGTGCGACTGGGTGCACTTTTGGAAGGCTAGATAAGAAATTCAACGTCAAAATCTGATGTTCCATGTCTATTTTCCCCTCTTCTTATTTCAATATTTTTTTCATGTGTATGGATGAACTTACTTTCAGAACTGGACGTGGTATATGCATATGTAGGAAGGAAGGACAAGTAGAGTGAGAGTAACTCGGTTTGTTGATCCGCAGAGCCGATCCTCCTTTGTAGCGCGGCTTTAACTTGTCACGATCGTTTTGTAACTATAAAAAAACCAGGTCTCAAGATAATGCTCGCAGGAACAGATTGATTACAGATGGTAAAGTTTTCCGCATCTTCGCTTGTTTCCCTTTTTTCTTCCTACCCTTTTTTGACTGCCTCTCTTTTTTGAGTTTTCTATTTCACAAACGAAATAGTTTGTTCCCCTCCCCTTCTCCCGTTTCCCCATTCGCTCCTCCTCCTCGGGGATCTTCACCCTCGTGGGCTTTTTGGTGTTTACACCTTGATATCTTTCGGTATGCAGTCCACAACAAAAAATAAAAATAAAAAAGAGTAATCAGAAATAGAAAACTTTACATTGGCACATTTCGCATACGCTAGTAATAATTTCGACGGGTGACTTGGATCGCTGCAGTTAACCGTCAACGCATCTTCGTCGAAATAACCGCAAATTTTGCTATCGTCAGGCACGGGTATAGGGCTATTCATTGCCTACAAAAAAAGTTAACAGCTCAAAAAACCAAAATGAAAGGACAAAAGGAAAAAGAAACGGGAGCAGGGAAATATTAAGGCAATAAGCTATTTCTGTGTTGTTGCGTAAGCTGGAGAACATGATTAAGCTTCCCCTAGTCACACATCCCATGCTGCTACGTGATAGGCCATGTTTTTTTCACTGTATGACTGCAGGGTTCAGTGTGTGTGTGTGTGTGTGTTTACATGAAGCTTTTGGCTATTCTAGTTCAACGACCTACATCTTCCGAAATACAGCAAGAGGAGCTTGCACTTATATCCTTTCCTTGCTCACATTAACTGCTTCTGTAGAGAATACAGTAAAAGGAAAGCTAATAAGACTAGGACCGCTCGACTCAATTCAAACTTAATCACAAATGATGGTATGCGGAAAAGGGAAAATCAAACATCAAACTTGAAAAGGTCATTAGTCAATCTTGAGGAGCCGTGTGCTCGTAATTATGCATATTTCGAAAGCGTATCACTTATGTCACGATATCTTGTCTCCCAAAGAATACTGCAAGCGACATGCAATAAATAGCTCCGTGCTTTTTAGATCGCGGCGATATCAACTCATTTCGTATCGCCAAGCAAACGCTGCTAGGTTTAAACACATGCTCATTTCATGGTGATAGCAAAGGAAACTAATGATACCGAAATATCATTTTCGAGGAGGACAAAGTTTTGGAAAGACAGATGCCAAAAACGACAATGTCGGAACTGGGATTCCGAAGGTGATGTGAAAAAGCAAAAAGGTCCATGCATTTTTTTTGAATGTTGGCCGTAGAACAGAGAGCCCTGTTTTTGGGTTGTGGTACAAACTTTGCAGAGACCTCACGGTCGACCCAATCCATGCTGAGTTTAGCTGACAATGTGGAGATCTGGGGACCGGATATGCCTGTTTTTGGTTGCTTGGCTTCTCAAATTCTCTAATCTCTTTTTTGGTTTTATTTCCTTTTTCTTTTCTAGGTGATCGATGCCATGTCGATGTTCCTTTCCAAGTTTCTGTCAGGAAGGAATAACTCTAAATCCAAGCTTGAGTTACTGATAGAAGCGTGGACAAGTATCCAAAAATATTACGAAACTGCTGCTGGTATAGTGTTTCTGTTACAAGGTTGCAGCGGGTTCACTTGCTTGAACAAAACAAGTTAACTAGAAATTTTTTGTTATTTATCATCATCCCCATTTCATTACGTTTTAGATCCCTTAAAAGATGCTGTAGATCTTACCCCCATTCCTTGCTGCTTACAAAATATCGTCAAACTCATTCAGGCTGAAGAGCTTGAATGTCAACGAGCTCCGGATGGACTCGAAACCGGTCCCTGTCTGGAGTACGTTTTACATAAACGCGTATTGGAAGAACTAGTGGAATTCGCCAAAGTGGACGTAAGTCAGCGGAGAACAGCAACGTGAGACGGGTCACTCAGGAAGCAAGATGATGGTGGCTAATCTTCAAGTAACAGACACCCTATGGCATGCGAATCCACTGTCTCCGATTCTTCTGTAGTCTAGTCACCAATGTCCACGCGCAACTGCTACCAGAACGTGCAGTGCACGTACCATTGCAAAAATTTATCGCCTCCTGCCACCGACTCATCACACACCACTATGAACAACTTGCCATGGATCCAGATTCTTGCTCCGAAGAACGACACACTGCGATTTCTGATTTATCGCTGGAGCTCGTCAAGCTCATGCACGGCATTTTCTCTCATTTTAAGGGTACCAATGCTGCCATGATGGATCTTTTTTTCGAGAGAGGCTGGTGTCGCGGCCTGGGCGAAAATGTCTGGCGAAGTTCCAAAGATGGCAAGATATCCCAAAAGCGACGTGAAAGCTTTGATGAAAAGATCGCCTGGAACATGTTCCTGACGGTAAAGTAAAACCTCGCCAACCCCATTTGATTTTTCAATTCACCATCCGCTCATCTCAAGCATTTGAATTCTCTGGTATAGCCGCGCTTTGATATGTTCACGCACCTCATTGACTATATGAATATTCCTGGTGAAACTGGCGAAATTGCAAGAGAAGCAATATTGTTTGCATTAAGACTACTGGATGGTGATCCAGAGTACGTATGCTATGTGGTGGAATATTCTGGTTTATGCGAAGTCATGGTACGAAACATTTCTCTTTCTTATATCTAATGCTTGAATTGCCATGTCCCATCCAATAGCTGATTTCGTTTATTTTCTTCCAATGAAAATCAATTTATGCAGGCTGAAAGACTGGCGTTATTTTTTGCATGTCTTCCAAAAAATACAGGCGCTTTTTCAATCTCCAGCAACAACCGAGTGGTACCGATCCGACCCCCACGACAACGTATCCAATTCTCTGTACCGGCTGTGATTACCAGTAATAGCTTAATGATTACTGTGAATGCGCAGAATAATTTCAAGAAGAAGAGAAGAAAGCGAAGTTGGTTCGACGCCAATTTTGTGCGCACCTTGGAATCAATGCAAGATCGCAGTCGGGTCCTAGATGAGTTTTACAGTTTCTGGGAATACCTCAACGATGTAGCACGTGTGGCCGATAAGCGTTTAATGACAGCACTCATGGCTCAGCTTACGACTATCTTCTGGCATCCTGTTATCTGTACAGCACTAAGTTCCCCTTCAGCCGAAGCGGCCACCGCCGCCACGGCATACACAACAGAAATGATTCGTTCGTTGACAGATCAAAAGCTGCTGCATTGCTTTCTCGTAGTCCTCATTGGTGAAGAAGGCGGCGTCGGAAAAGATCTCGAAGCTGAAGTACGTAGTGCGCAATCCAGACATGACTTGCTCGATGATGACCATGAAGAAGGCTCCGATTCGACGGAAGACGAAAATCACATTGAAACCGACAAAGAGTACAAAACGAACGAAGAAGACGAAGATCAAGAATTAACCCTTCGTATTCTCCTCATTAACCGAATCGACGCCGATTACCATGAACTGGCTTTATCCACGCTTCGGTTATTCGATACAATTTTGGAAACCTATAATCAATTTGCCATCTACAACTTGGTGCTTCGTAACTACCTGGATATTACATCTGACGGTGAATACATTGAAGACCAACTGAAGAGTGACATGAGTATCAGAGACGTCACCGATACATCTTCTCTGGGGTCCAAGGCCGTCGATGAGCGTACAAGCACGAACGAAAATGACAGGGAAGAAGAGGGTGAAAAGGACAAGGTCGACGAACTTGCTATTGCAGATGCGGAAGACCGTCCAGATACGGGTGCTGACCACAAAGACAGTAAAACAGAAAAGGTTCGATGGCTCGTGGAGAGGTAAACGTATGATTACCGGGAATAGGTCAACTATACAGCTCACTTTCGGTTTTCAAAAGAGTTTTATCTTTGTTACCATTAGAAGACGAATTGGAACGAATGAAGAGTCCTCCATTATCGTCAGTCATCCCCTCAGACTCGTTCGCTTCGATTGTTCACGGTCGCGACGCTTCAATTTCAAATGATGGACGAGCAATTTCCGCTCACAACGAAACGGCGAGCCTTCACAGTGACCACAGTGCAAACGACCTGCGCGATGTGGTTGTCCCTGGCAATAGCTACGACGATTATTTCCACGAAGCAAGAGAACGCTTCCAATATGGGTTGCTGGCACGGAATTTTTGGCAGTTTCCTTATCCACCGCTTAAAACAAAGCGAGATTATGAGCGTGAGATCGAAGATCGCAAAGGACGTCCAAAGCGGCCAAAGAGCATGATGGTCACAAAGGAGGAATTAGCGGCCATCGATGATCGAGCGACGGAGGTCAGCAGTACACACGGTAGCATGATCAGTCAAGCGCGATACTTGGAAAGTTACGAAGGATTATTTTTGAGTCGGATATTTGATCAGTTCTTCCGCATGTTGGAATCATCCATGGAACAGAATTTGCTGGTGACAAGCATTCTACAAAAAATCACCGGCATCGTCGATCCGCGTGTAGACGGCGTGATTTGTGATTTCCGTGCCATCCGTGTCGGTTGTGATGGAGCCTTGTACGGCGGTGTATGGACATTGCCAAGTGCCAAATCCAATCGCCGCAGCTTATATTCATTGTTGGAACAGGTAAAACTGGTTTGATAAATTTTGAATGGGTGGCGGTATTCTCATGACAAAAATGTAGGTGACATTTGAAGCATTGAAAAGGGCACAACTTGTACCAAATTTTGAAACGCGCATTTCACTTGCCAAAAAACGTGGAATCATTCCTGGTCAGCAACAGCTGTTATCGACGACGGCACAGGGATCGACATCGACTTCGAACGGTCACTTGCTACGAACTGGCTCTTCTTTTACGCTGACACCGTCCATTTCGACCCCAGCTAGGGAAACATCGAAAACGTTATCACGCCATCCCAGCCTATCTCAGCTGGTGTTTTCAAAAACATCCAACTCCAATGGTGGCTCGACGTCTAGCTTACTTCCTATATCTCCGCGAAGCCCTTCATCTCCATCTGCGACCAAATCTGCCAGCGTTCTTTCTGGTAGAGCGAATCCTACTATATCTTCCATGATAGGCGATCGTGATTCGCCTACTGTACCAATATCTCCAGGATCGAATTCGTCGTCGTCATCCTCGTTTTTCCAGCAATCGCAGCGAGCCAATGCTACGCCGGTCACCATGACCAACCCATTTGCGAAGTTGTCTAATTTTGTGAATTCATACATTGTACTTCAAGAATTTTGCAAAGAGTTGGCGGCAGTGATTTTGGTTCGACATGCGACAAATTTCAATGATATTCGATTCATACAGCAGGAGATGGCGAACGATACGGCGGTTCATGACTGGATGGAAGAAGACGATGAAGATGAAGCTACACGAAGACGTAAATTTGAAAAATGGAAGAACCGAATCTCTGTGGTATCGACCATTGCTGATTGGCGAAGCGTACGTAGCCTGGATACCATTGATGAAGCGATCACTTCTCGGGTTCCCTCGGCGACAACAGCCTCACTCGATGGAAAACGATGATAAAACTTGATTCTCAATATTTATAACTTTATGTTTATACATAGCTTTTTTTCGTCATAAAGACTTTTTGCATTGTAATCTATTTACAACATGAAAATGGCATGAAAAATAATTGTAGAAACTGCGCAGGACACCATTGGCGATAAAAGGAGACGAGCGATCACAACGGCGCCATGATGCCAGCAATGAGAATCCCGGCTGCGACTCCGACATTGAGACTGTCAACGTGGCCCATAAACTCGGTGGACACTTGGCCTGGAATACTTACAAAATGATGACAGCATGCTTTGACATTGGTGCGTAACCCTACACCCTCGTTGCCAAGAACCAGTACAGTGGGCGTACGTTCAGAGGGACTGGACGAGTGCACTCGAGCCGCTATGTTGGCAACTGATTCGCAATTCGCTACGTGACCTGCAGCACCAACGATCGACCAACCTTGTTCCGATGATGACTATATTTTAACGACTGTGAGTACCTTCCGATCCACCTACTTTACAGCATTCGATCTTTCTACCTTTAAGAACCTGACAAGGCTAGAAGTAGAGTAAATGTCCATCACTTCCATTGCGCCTGAGCTTACTTTGGATACAGCAGGGCTCAACGGTGCACTAGAAAAGGCAGATTGTGTCAATATATCTCGCGCGTGATCCGTTCATCTTTTTTCATAATAAACTAAACCTGCCTGTTTTTGCTACACAGTAAGACGCCGTCTACTCCGAAAAAGTGAGCGGTTCTAAATTCACAGTTGTCAGAAAATGCTTGTGATGGGTATATCTGGAAAAAGACAGAAGATACCTCAAAATGGAACCGAGATTCTGTGCAGTGAGAAAGCAGTGAGTAAACCAAATAAACGTATTGTTCATACGGGATGTCGTTGCGCGCATACCTGGGGATCCTGCAATTCGTCCAGAGCGATCCAAAGCGGGGCACGGGAGTCTAACTTTTGCAAAATAATATCGTTTTTTGCTGGATTCTTGGGTGTAGCAATATAACTGCGAGTAGAAAGATGCATTAATGCGGAATGCCTCGACGATACAGTTCGGCTTATTTCCACCTACCTTGTGTCCTTTATGGACAAGCTTGTTATCGGTATCGTTTCACGGATGGAAGCCTTGAGAACGACACCCTACCGCCAGCAAACAGTTAGGTTAAAATTCACTTTCCGTTTGCCCATACATTGCGGTTGTACCTGATGAGGCTTATTCATTGTCAAGTTGTTGAGATAGCCTTTATCCTTTGTACGTATGGGTATGTTCAATGCTTTACATTGTTGCCGGATCGTTTCAATTATTGAGCTGGGCTCTATTGTCAATACTTTGGGCATGTGAGTATTATGTAGGGTCGCAAACGTACCTGTCAGTCTTGTTATTGGTAGATCGATCTCTCAGTAAAACCGAATCGAAATGTCTCTTTTTGGCGAATAATGCTGACAAAACGCTCGAGTGACCATAGACATATTCAAAGTCGTCACTTTTAAGTAAGCGTGGCTGGGTTGTGGAGTAAGAACGTCTGCACAGGAATGTTGAATGGCGCAAAGCGCGTGAAGTCATCAGCATAATGGTCGTGTCTTTGAAAGGAGAAATTTTTTTTCTCGTTATGGCTTTTATTGCACTTCGTCCCTTGCGGAAACAAAAATCGCGCATTGAATTCTTTCTGATCCATTGAAAGGAGAAAATACTCCAAAACTATGCATATCTATCAGCCATGTAAGAAATATATTTTCGATTAGTTGTTAAAGTGCATACATTTGAAAGTTTTCAAACCTTCTGTCTATTCTATGTCTTTACTTATATCAGAAAAGGTTAGATATCCGCAGCGTGCGCTCACTGAAAAAAGTACATCTTTTCTGGTCGTGGAAGGATCACCGAGATAACAGATTGAAAAACCTAGTCTACGAATTTTACTCCGTCGTAGCAATCGACACCACCCACCTTAGCAACACGCACTGTGAAATCCTACGTCTAACATTTTTCAAACGGTGTGTCCTTTATTTTGACTACGTAAAATAGATTGCTGGTTAGTTTTGATGAGTTTAACGTCTGTACGTTCCACGATGCTGCATTTGGTAGAGATTTTCTAATTCCGCTTCCAAGGCCTTTAATTGCGCATGCTGAGCCTCCAAATCTTTGTTGAGACGATCGCGCTCAGTTACCAGCTGTGAGAAAGAAAGAAAGAAAGAAAGAAAATAGTTTAACTAGTGTCCTTGACGGATCTCTATTGGGCAAGTACCTGAGTTTCCCATTGTCGGAATCGTCCTTCTTCCTTTTTCACTTGTTCTGTAAATTTGGAGCGCAATTGTTCTTCTCGTTCCTTGAATTTGGGATTCTCAAACAATTTTTGCCTATGGTTTGCCAAAAAAAAACAAAAAAGAACGTTTAACCCTTTTTTCCAACACATATCACTTCCACACTTACTTTGCTTCTCCAAATTTCCTTGTTTCCATTTGTGCTTGGCGGTATTTTTCATAATGCTCCTCTTCGGTTGTGGAAATCAGGTCATGCATATGCGATCGGATCAATAGTTTCCGTAACTTGGTGAAATCACAATGATCCTCGTTCTCTACTTCTGCGACACCCCATGCATATTGGCGCCCCTTCACAGTTCGGCCATCTACTGTTGTCACATCATCGGTCGCTCCAATCACAGCAAACGGCATTGCAGTCATGATAGACTGGTTGACAGCAGTAGTATCTTCATTATCTGATTCAATTGGGCAAGAATATACGTGGATATCTTGAGCGGCGATGACGTCCAAAATCTACCCCAGATGTTGAGTTTCTCCATATATGTTATGCTGTCCACGAGAGAACGAAAAGAAAAACAAATTCCCCGCGTATCTGATAGTTTGCCTACGTTTCGTTTGAATAGAGCTAGATTTCGAGGTGTGAGCGTATCTGCCTTGGCAATCACAGGGATAAGGTTCACTCGAGAACCAAGATGCTTCATAACTTCAATATCTAGGGGTTTAAGCCTACAGAAATCAAAAGTAAATTCGGTAAGATCTGGATCTATGAAAGCGAGAGAAACTTACGTATGGCCGTTCGGGCGAATGAAATATAAGCATGCATGCACTCGAAGATCGATTCTACCAGCACGGGTAGGTTGTTGTTCTTGCTCCATGTAGCTTTCATGCTGGTCATCGATAAATTCCACAATTGGAAGCCAACTGTCTCTATTGTTCACATAATCGCCAAATCCGGGTGTATCAATAATTGTCAATTTGACGCGAAAATTCTTCTCTTCAAGCTCTACATTGTTGGCGATATTAAATAGCTTCTCTTTTTGCAATACGTTAATATTAAGCTTCACTGACCTGCTTTAGTGATTTCAATTTCCACTGTTTGTTCCAATTGGCTCGTATGACGGCTCGACAGATTTTTGGCTTGTTTGATGCCTGTTGTAAATAGCGTATTCACGAACGTGGTTTTACCGACGCCTGACTCGCCTAGCTCATAAAGAAGAAGAAGATCAATATAAGCTCATCTTAGCGTCGTTGGTTTACAAAACTTACCGCATACCATGAGGGTGAAGTTAGCACCTCGTTGCGAAACAATCTTATGACGTTGGTTCGGCAGATGAGCAATGCCAACGGTATTCGGAATGACGGCTGAAGGTGACATGAGAGAAATGACGACGATGAACGGGGAAAAAGCAAAAGATATGAAGGGCACTCTCCACTTGGAATCAGCAAATTATTACATGTGTGCCAGAAGGCCTTTAGGCTCAGCTTTAGTCCTTGTGCAACCCACTAATCGAGATTTGGCACATCACCTCATGCAAATCCAATGACTCGCCAATATATCCAGCCCGCCTTCCTATTCACTCTTGGATGTAAGAATAAAGGTCATAACTCATTCTTCAACCCTTGATTCAGCACACAAGCAAGAAGATAAAGACTCAACACGCGTGGTGTATCTGCGTTTTATGGATTATCGTGATAGTTTGCCTAAGAATAGCAGATACAAATTGCACTAATAAAAAACCCAAAAAAAAGTGATATTACCAAAAACTAATCGATCATTTGTGCAAGTGATTTGCTATCTGACCATTGCTGACGATAATAAAAAGTAGCAACCGAAAGCACACTGATACTCACAAGATTCTGCGGATATGTAAGGCATGGTGAACCTCGCGCATTGTTATCACGAAGCGGTTTAATATAACGTGCCGTGTCTATCAAATTGTATTTGCTTCCTTCCTCTTTCATGCTAGAAGATTATTGCAGATACAATTTAGCGAGTTAAAAACTAAAAGTTTTTGCAACGCGGATTTTCTGGCTTCGCCGTAAGTTTTGGGAAATGCAAAGTAATATTTCGTATGCTTCCTCGAATCCTGTCTGTGATTGGCTGAATTTTTAAGCAACATCCAATCAGATTTATTCATTCAACTAAGTGATGACGACACAGATCCAAAAAAAAAATTGAATTGGGCGAAAAGGAAGAAAGAGCAGGTGAAAGCCCAGGGACGCCAATTTGTATCGAACGTTGTCATGACCGCGCAAAACGATTGCATCGCTAATGCTGGCAAGACAGCTGCCATTTCGGGTGGCCTCGGATTGGTAGTCTCGGCCATGCAAAATACCGTGCAGAAACATACTGAAGGTGCCAAGGGCGTTGTCACCAGAACCGGTGGCACCATCGCTTTCTTCGGTGCGTTATGACCCCATTACTGCCAACCCACGACAAAAAATTGGATTCCTTTTTTTTTTTGCTAATGGTATCTTCAATAGCCGCAATGGGTGGTATTTTCACTGTGACTGAATGCCTCGCCAAAGATATCCGGGGTGAAGACGATCCTGTCAATGCTGCCATCGGTGGTTGTGCTGCCGGTTTATTAGCTGGAGTCCGAAGTACGTAGACTGGAATAGTCGAGCAACACTACTGTCGTACTAATTTCATTCCTTTGATAGCTCACTCGGTCGCTAAAATGTGTGCTGCTTGTGCTGGTATTGGCAGCACCATGTTTGCCTATGAATATTCTGGTACACTCAAGGGCACGATGGCTGATAAGACAGCAGCGGAGAAGAAGGAATTCCGCGACTCATTTTTCAAGAGCTACAAGAAACCCGAAGAGGTGTCCTCTTAGATATTTAATTTCCACGCCACTTAATTTAGATTCATGTGTAAAATGCCACCAACAAAGAGAGCCATAAAAAGACGATAAAAACTTAGACACCCCCATTCCTCGATTTTTATTGTAAATGATTAGGATTTCGACAATAGTGGACGGAGAGCATCTAAAAAGCGACGGCTAAACGCCTCTTCAGAGAACTTTTGGGAAGCAGCAGCACGACCGGCGGTTGCCATGGTATGGTATTCATTTTCAGACAATGATAATGCGTCGTTCAAGCGATCAGCAAACGTGTCCACAGAATCTGCCAGGTATCCTGCATATCAAAGAACCATGAGCGATGGCTGAATACAGTGCTTCTCAAGCGAATTACCTGTAGCCTGCCCATTCACAGGAACAACAATATCCATTTTAGGGCCAGCCGAATTATGGGCCACGGGGATTAATCCTGCTGCCTATGGATATACTGTCAGCTTGCATTCATTCGAGCGTTCATCAATGCACATCATACCATGTATTCCACCACACCGATACCAAAATGTTCATTCCACATCGTATGTAAGCCAACCTTGGCTTCGCTAAACTGTGACACCAGGTCATCGAAGGAAACATTGATTTCGAATCGCACACGGTTCTATAGTATACGTGTCATAAGTTTTCTGCAAACAACGCAACCATTCGTAGAATCGTACCTGAATACCCAGTTGAACACTTTCTTTTCTCAGGTTTTCTATCCTCTCTTCGTCTCCCGCGTTCCGAGAGCTTCCGATCATCACCAGCTCCGCAGATGAGCTTTCCCACTGTGGATATTTTTCTAGCATGCGTGCCATGGCTCGAAGCTGCATTAAATGGTCCTTCTCAGGGCTGTCAACAATGAACTTGATGAATATCGTGCAACACAATGCTGTTCTCGATGGCTCATAATTACCGAAACTGTGCGACGCTGACGATTCTTGTTTTACGTTTTCCCAACGGCAGCTGTCCCAAGCGGTGTGTATCGCATGGAGGGTAAACGATATTGGCAGTGGTATGCCATAAGCGATCAATATGTCCTTTTGTCCATGTCGAATTCACCATCACCGTTTCAGCGAACGATCCGCAAAAGCCATACATTTTTGCAAATATGTGATAGTATCTACAATACTCAAGGTTCAGACATCTATGGACAAACCAAGCATAGCAAACAGGGCAAGGGCAACTTACACAAGCTTTCCGGTACTCCATATAGTACTTAGTGATAACTGTCTGCTGTTATTATATTGTTCTCGACGCTCGTATACACGTTGTAGCATGTCAGAACTAGACAATCGTCAAGCATTGTTAGCAAGACATGGATTTGCATTCTTGGATCATCTATACCTGATAGTGGGGTAGTGTACATAGGCAGCAATTTTGCAATCAGTAAATGCTCGCACCAAAGGATATGTGAATCCATAACCCATAGTATCTGTGAACATTTTTAGTAAAAAATCTGCTTGGAGTAGTACGCAGCATCAGTGAACTAACCAAAGAAGATATCTGGAATACACTTAGACAAGGCTTCATAAGCTAGTATGGTCGACGACAAGCTTTGGAATAGCAAAGTAAATCTCGGATATCTACGCTCAATTTAATTAATATTTGTAGTCAAATTGCCAAGATTTTGATCGTAGAATGAGCATACCTACTGTCTTCGACGAGATATCGTTTGGTAAGATACATAAAAGCCAGCTTACGAGGATTCAAATCAATGTTGAATCGGGCCTATATAAAAGATAGGACAGATCAATATAATTAACAAGATACGCGCCAATTTCCACACATCAGCTTTTAAAAGAGAAACGTACTTTCACTTTTTGCAGAATTTGCTCGTTTGTCGCGTCCACATCGCCGGTATATACTACAGAGATCACGTTCGGATACTTTTTCTGCACGTCGCGAATGGCTGTCCATAATACACGTTCACCGCCGCCTCCGGCATTACTATTTACAATAATGAAATGACATATGAACATTTATATACCAATATTGTACTTTCTCGGTTCAAGTTACCAGTAAGGATGAAAGAACCCTAACAGGACCGGCACAGTCTCTGACCAGTCTGTTTCTTGTCGTAATAACCGCAAGTTATGTATTCTTTGCTTCTGTAACTGAAATTTAAAGTATTTGAAAATAAACCATACGCTTCCACAGAATGCGACGATCCATGTTACGATTATCATCCTTGCGATGTCACCCAAACGGAACGTGAACAGAACAGTCGGCATTTTGATATGCCCATATTTTACATCAATAGCACAGTCACATGCTCAAGGCGAGCTTAGGGGAAAAAAAGCCTGCATGCATTGGATTCAATAAGCTTTTTTCCCTATCCATAAATGGCCACCAAGTATAATCTGAAAAATCCTGGTAATGTTCATCTCTGTCATGTCACTGTAATTATGACCGTAACTTTGACACTCAAATTTATTGTTCTGCAGCCGTAAAGCGGATTATGCAGGAAGCCCGAGAACTGGCTATGGAAGAATGCTATGAATACGAAGCCCGACCGATCGAGGTAGCATGTCAAACGTGGCATAAAAAAAACATTACTTCTGAGTAAACAACAATTAGAGCAATATTTTTGAATGGCATTTCACTGTTCGAGGGCCCGATGGCACTGAATTTAGCGGTGGCAAGTAGGTATATATTTCCAAAAATCCTCATAGAGGAAGTTTCCCAGTTGACCCAAGTTTTTGCTAGATATCACGGCCGTATACTGTTGCCGGCAGAATATCCCTTCAAACCGCCGGAGTTGATTTTTTTGACGGTGAGTCTTCTATAAGCTTCCCTCGATCGCTTGGCGTAAAATTGATATTGACCTCTTTATCAGCCAAATGGACGCTTTGAGCTGAAATCAAAGATCTGTCTGAGTATCACCGGCTTTCACCCCGAATACTGGCAGCCTGCTTGGGGCAGTAAGTATTATTTATGCCATCAACTCCTTTCTTATCTGCATTATTCATGCTTGTGCCGGATATAGTTCGAACTGTAATATTGGCTGTCATGGGATTCTTTCCAACCGAGGCTCGAGGTGCCATTGGCGGACTCGATTATTCAAAGGAGGAACGTCGATCACTCGCCAAAAGGTATACTCTCTTGATGTATCTTTATGCACAGGACATATTCATTGATCGTTCAATAGGTCGAGATCATGGATATGCCCTGACTGTCAAATGAGCAACGATCAGCTACTCACTGATACCGTCCAACCATCATCCTCTCGTCCGAGAGACGAGGATCCTGATTTACCAGCATTTTCATTCGTCTTGAAGCGTGATCAGGATGACGCCAATGGAAATGAAAGTACACACCAAACAATACGAGATACCAAGGATCATGATACAGACCAGTCGCATAATGCAACCAGTACAAACGAACGTCATCTGAAACCCAGCACGTCAACGGCGGCTCGCCATGGTGCTACCGCAAGTCATAGCGCGACAACGTCGCCACAACGACCCCCGATCTGGTTAGATGGACTTATCGTCATGTTACTTATATTACTCTTGGGTCTAATAATAGAACGCTACATTTATTGAAATAAAATGCAACCATCAGAAGACGCAGATCAATAAAGAGGTCATGCGATGGCAAACGGTATCACAGGTGGAGACTACAGATATATACAAATAGATGAGAGAAACAAAGTAAAAGTGTAAGATTATGCAACGTGCTTGAGATATCCGGCCTTGATCAGCGATTCGACGTCGGTCTGTCGAACGTAATACTGACTTCCCTTGACAAGGTTCAACGTGCCGTATTCGGTATTGATCTCACCCACGTCGCGTACCACGCGTACTTCAATAAATAGATCCATGGGAGGGTCCAAACCCACACCGCCGTTGCCACCAAGGTCGATTTCAAGAAAACTCTGTTTATAGGCGCTCACCATTTCGCCGTACTCTTCCATGAACTTGTGTTCTGTTGGACCTAATGAGGTCTTGATTTCTCGTTGAAAATCACTCTGGCGTCCGACATCCCAGGAGAGCTCTTTCAACTTTTCAAGTCGCTGACGATGGTATGCAAAAAGAATGCGTTTGTTACGTTTGATAGCAGCATGATGCATCATGACCTGTGTCAATTGACTTGGTTGACCTTGTGTTGCTGGATTCTCGCGCATGCTTCGTAAGACCGATTCGGCTTTTGCTTGGAGCAGACGTACTTCACGACAGATACGATGGACAAGGTCTTCATTGTAAGGGGATACGAGCAAGTCTGCTGTACGCTTGGCTTCTTTGGCCAGTTTGTAGCCTGATTCACACAGTGTCGACATTATATATGTTTTTGTTATTCCAAGTAGCGGCACGAAAAAACACGTCAAGGAAAAAAAAAAAAAACTCGCAATATGCAAATTTGGGGGGAAAAAAATGTGCAGGTCGGGCCAAACTCCGGACAATTCATCCGGTTCATTGAATTGCAGCCGAAGTGTCCAGTTAGATTGTAGTTGCTTCTTCTTCCCGTATCCAATTATATCAAGCTCATATCTTCCGAGCCTATGTGTCTCCTGACATGGTTTAATCATCTGTGTACAAAGAGAATTACCGGATCACAGTACAACCGCACAATCTCTCATCACTGGGGAATAGCCATGAATAGCCCAGCTTGACCCATCTTTGATTGCGCTTTAGCTGCTCGATCCAATTTTAGTAAGTCCATGCTGACCAGCGCAAATTTCAGATAGAATATCAAGCTACTCCACATATTGCCAGGACCCTTCATCCCCTTCTTCACATTGATTTCATCAACCTGTTTTTCTCGTATTTTTCACGCTGTAGATGTTTTTAAATGTTTTAGTTTACAAACAAAGCATAGAATGGTCGCTAATTCCTTTTTCTTTTTTTAAATAGTGATCTTGTTAGCGCCCTTTGCGGGACCGTGATCGCCGTGAGGAGTGAATTCGACAGGAATGTTATTCGGTACGCTCAGGAACTCCTTCAGTTGGCGACTAAATATCATCAAGAACCCGAATTGTTTAATACAATCTCCATCAAATCTGAAATATTTTCTTTGCGTGACGCTACTTACCCTAGTTTCTCTATAATCTCGTTGTCATCTGAGCTCTTGATCCATACAGCAATTCTATAAAACACTTTTCTGACGGATACGACCGCGCCACAGATTTGATCTTCGTAGGCAAACTGTTCACCGATCATGGCCAAAATCTACACGCAGAAAATGGCTCACTTAGTTCAAGGTTGGCGAATCAAGTACTTGTAGCTGAAATGCATACTGTGTAAAGCCAATAGTCGTTGATAGCTTCGCCGGTTCTATTTCTGGGTAACTGAATACTGAACTTGCCGCCATTGGCGTTGGCAGCATCTTCCCACTCAGGTCGGATGCCCTTCTTGAAAATATGGTAATTGGAGCTGACGTCGAGGTGGTTGACTTTGACAATGTTATTATACACGCTATAATACAAAAAAGTTGTGTGGTGTCAATCTTCACGATGCAAAAGCGTGTTCAGTGGCTCTAGTCAGTTTACCCCCAGAAATCTTCGACAGTGTCTACGGAGACGATCTCCTTCAAGTTTTGCGACCAAGATTGGGCATTGGCCTTTTTGCCTGGATTATCAAACCACAAGGTCCAAGTGTTGTGAAGAGGATGCTTGACATTGTAGTTAAGACGGTCATGGAAGACGGTGGTGATCGGTTCGTCGCCGGTGGCGTTGGCTGATTTAGACTCGTTCTCTGCTGGTGCGGTCGCATCAACAGTAGGCTCTGTTGTAGTAGGCTTTGTTTCCGCTTCAGGCGTAGCAACGGCAGGGCGTGTTTCTTGGTCAGCCATGGTGTGTTCAGAAAAAAAAAAAAGAAAAGCCGAAAAAAAATTGTATAGTGAACAACACATTGCTGCTGACGTTGCGGTTCGGACGTCCAATATTTCCGGATCGGATATGTCCGGATTTTACGGCGATCTCTTCGCTCTGCCGTACGAACTTCTCCTGCGCATCACCCAAGCCCAGCGGCGTAAAAAGTACAGCAAAGCCAAATCAGTACTCCTTCCTTTCCATTGGTAGTATGAAGGTACTTACTCGATACCAACGATTACTGCATCTCCTCGTTATTTCGACAGATGGATTGCATTTCTAGCGGAATGGATGATCGTGATGACTGATGGATATGTCTTTTCTTTTCTCATTTGTAGTTGAACATCGCCAACCCAGCCACTGGCTGTCAGAAATTGATTGAAATTGACGACGAACGCCGTCTGTAAGTATACGATCAACAGACATAACATGGAGATGTGCACAGTGGATAAGAGGGAAGGAACGAAAACAGTGGCACGCTTCAAATAATGTCTACAGCAATGGCCAGTTTGGAGCCTCTTTTCGACACCAGCTTATGCTTGGACATTGGGTTGAACGATGAAAAAAGGGCAATAGTGTGGGACATAAATCTTGGTACTGAAGGCTAATGGTTTCCCTTTTCATGTTTCTAGTCGTGCTTTCTACGACAAGCGCATGGCTCAGGAAGTGCCCGGCGATTCCCTTGGCGATGAATTCAAGGGTTACGTTTTCCGCATCTCCGGTGGTAACGACAAGCAGGGTTTCCCCATGAAGCAAGGTGTTTTGTTGCCCCACCGTGTTCGCTTGTTGTTGAGCAAGGGTCACTCTTGCTACCGTCCCCGCCGTACTGGTGAGCGCAAGAGAAAGTCCGTTCGTGGCTGCATTGTCTCGTCCGATCTTTCCGTCTTGTCCCTCGTTGTTGTTAAGCAGGGTGAGCAGGACATTCCCGGCTTGACCGATACCACCGTTCCCAAGCGTCTCGGTCCCAAGCGTGCTTCCAAGATCCGCAAGTTCTTCAACTTGACCAAGGACGACGATGTTCGCAAGTACGTTATCCGTCGCGAGATCCAGCCCAAGAACGCCGACAAGAAGCCCTTCACCAAGGCTCCCAAGATCCAGCGTCTTGTCACCCCCATCACTCTCCAGCGCAAGAGACACAGAATCGCTATCAAGCGCAGACGTGCTGAGGCCTCTCGTGAAGCTGAAGCTGAATACAAGCAGCTCTTGGCCAAGCGTGTTAAGGAAACCAAGGAACGCAAGTTGGAGAGACGTCGCACTTCTTCCATGCAGAAGTCTGCCTCTGCTTAAGTAGATCAAGAATACTGACTCGTTGAACCGTCATTAGACGGTTTCATTCTCTGCAAGCTCACGAATAAAAAAAAAAGTCTATTTTTGTCACATAAATTCGCGGTTTTTTTTTTTTTTTGGTCCTCTTGAGCAATCATATGACAAGACATTGGATGAATATTCAATCGACCTTTGCGTGCATAAAGCAACACAATGTCACAATATAGAACCATGGTGAAGAACCGTCAATTTGAGGTGGACATGCCGAATTAAATACCATGGTGAATCAATCCATTTGAAAATTTCTAATGATTAGTTATTGGAAGTGCAGTGTTCAATTGCTGTTTGTTCCGCCAATAGGTTGTTGCAATAGTTGATATTTTTTTGCCTCCTATACTTCCATAGACGCGTGCTTATCCACGTGCAACCGTAGACTTGCCTTCAAAGTTTCTGCTGATCCGGCCTTTTGCACCGTCAGATTAAGTGATTGCCGAATAGTCAGGACTCCAAAACGAATATTCATATACCGGCAAATCCCCCATGCCACCAAACGAAAGCTGATTTTCATTGCTGAATTTTACTGAGAAATATACATATCTTTTTTTAATTTTTTGAACTCCAGTTGCAACACACTGTATAGAGGAGATCTTTGAAATAGCTTTATGTACGTGTTATCATGTTATGAGTTCTAAAATGTGCTTAGTCTGGCCCGTGGTGATTTTTTTGGTGCGATTGTCAAGTGGAGAGAAATATTTTTATGATTCATAGATACATTGTTTTCAAAGTGATCCAAATCCTCCATTGGCATTCAAATTTTTACGTATGCAGGCAATAAGTTTTTCAGCTTTACATATGACGGCTGATGTCGACAACGGCGTGCGTGTCTGTGTATCTTCAGAAGTGAACAGTGCGTTCCTCTGCTAACCCGAATGTTAGCATTGCTAAAACACGAGTCATGCGTTGTCCTGTTGGGTTTACCTTTTTCGCTGTCAAGACTTCCGCGTGTCCCATGCTGCACATCAACGCAATCACTAATTTTAATGCGGGCTGTAATAACTGTTCATATCGTTCTGTAGATGGAAAAAAAAGGGTAAAATAATTAGTATTGAGGTAGAACGGAGCTCGAACAAACAAAGTTACCTTGTAATGTAAAATTATGATCCGGAGGCATGATAATAAATTGGCAATGACTGAGGACATCCAGGATACGGTTATCAATAAGTGTTTGAGCTCCTTCTTTGCATAAAGCGAGCCTTAAAAAGAGCGACATTTTGGCTTCGTAAATATATAAGGGCACCAGTGGCGCTAAACCGATAAACTGAGAGTTAGCCAGCAATCAACCCTGAAATAAAAAATCTTCCCTTACCATCCACTTGCTCCAAAACATCTCGTAACGCCAAATCTTCTCTTCGGAGCATGTCAATCGTATATCGTAGAAAGTTTTCCTTCAATAGGAAAGAAAGCACGGCACCGTTTTTCACACTGCTCGCCAAGACGTAGAGTGAATTCAGCGTTGTATAGGCGGTTGTTTTCCAAATATCCAATCCATCGCTTGCATCCCGGCATAGAAGCTCCAATAGCTTGATGTGCTTCGACGATACCGATTCCACGAGATACAGTTGCAATGCTGAGGAGGAGGAAGTGCTGGTTTCCCGAATACATTGTAAAAAGCTCACCAATGCTGTATACATATCTCCTCGAATAGCCACCGTGGTTCCATCGCTTCGGATACAGTCGACCATGCCTTCAAAGATGAACTGTAATTTCTCGTCTGGCCATCTTAATATCATGTGATCCGCTTCCGTCGCATGTCCAGCATGCCCGTGTTTCAACCCACGCATGTCTTCCAGTAACCGTTTCACAAGTGTCAGAATGACTTCGCTGAGGCCTTTCAGCACATCCGTATCGACGCCGACGGTCAATCGCATTTTTGGTAACAGCATGGACAGCAAACCGTAGATGATGTGTTCTCGCATTTCAAACGGGAACATATCAAAGCATTCCGCCAGAGTCACTTGCACCACTTCTTTCCATGCACGTAAATTGTGCAACTTGGCGTGAGCAATCTCTCGTCGGTGATTCTCCGCCATCAGGTTCTGAAGGATGCTTCCCATTTCTGCTTCCAGCTTTTGTTTTTCTTCATCAGACTTGACCTTGCCTTCGGCTTCCTCACGAGACTGTTCGCTTCTCAAATGCTGATAGATGCTTCGAATATCGTACAGTTCGCAACCGTATTCGCTTCGCGACGTGAATTTGTCGGCCCGGAAATCTTTAAAGTACGTAGGTATCATAGCGCCAGCCGTTTCCGCTAACTGATCCAGCCAAACGAATTCAAGGGAACTGACAATTTCAAACATTTTCATCAATGGTTGCTGGAAGGATCCCGGCGAAAATGAGTAGACGCGTGGGTGGTCCGTTTCCATATCGGTATCCGAATTGAATCGCTGCATTCTCTCATCTCGTCCGTACAAGAGTTCCAATAAACGTATCACGTCCGATTTTTGTCGCATGCATGCTGTCATATGCAATTCGAGGGCGACGGATTTGAGAAGCCATGCACGCTGATGAAGTTGAGACCGCAACGCAAAAAAATCGCTTGTTACACGGCTTCCATCGGCGGAAATGATTTCTCCTTTGAAAACTGGCGAAGCCACGGCGGCCGCTGTTTCCACACGAGCTGCCATCGCTTTGAATTGACGGTAGAAGAAATCTTCTCGATTTCGCAAATAGCGCATTATGACGGCGGATGATGATTCTCTGGCGCACAAGCGATAGATCAGCTGGTAGCACTTTTCAGCTAGGATGGGATGTGTCACAATCAACAGCAAATCGTCGTTTGTCTTATCGTCCTCGAGCATGCGATCTTCATCAGCTTCCCTTGAGTCGTGAATGCCTTGTCGCAATAACTGCAATATCGTATGCAAGCATTGAAGAGCAGCAGGATTGTTGAGAGGATCGCGCAAGTTCGACGGTGGCCCCATGACATCGTATCCGAGCAAGAACTCCGTAATGGTCGGTGAGGATTTATCGGCCAATGCATTGTCAAGCAACATGTTTACAATCGCAAAACGTACGGAACATCCTGTGCGCGGCATGAAATCGTCGTCTAGGTTATATCGGTTCGCCAACGTTTCTTCCGCTTGCCAGAAAGGAATATTGTTCATGTCGTAGTCGTAATCGTCGTACGTCGTGACTTCAGGCTGATCGATTTCTAAACGTTCACTGACACCGTGAATGATAGAAAACGCATCCTTGTTCGCACCAAGCGCGCCAGCGAGTTTTAAACCAAGACCACCCATAGGTGCATACGTCCCTACGAGACTACTTTGCTTGATCTGTTCACCTGAGCGTGGCTCCGACGAAAGCATATGAATTATCTTGGTGCTGAGAAGACAGATTTCTTCCTGATCTTCGCAATTCATCAACAAAGAAATTTGCACAATTATCTTGGTATGATACAACATCAGCTGGCCGAGAGACACCAAGGATGGAATCGCAGGGATGCTACGACCGCATAAACTAAATTCGGGAGACGACATTCGACTGGATAAACCGGTAACATAGGGTAAAAGAAGGTTACAGAACACATTTTGAATGGACATGACTCGGTATAGCAGCCTTAAGGAACGGAGCAGAGATTGCTTGTAATAGACATTGGCTTCTGATTTGCTGGTCAGAACGGTAGCTGCCGATTCAATGATTTTGAAAATCTCGGCCGTGACGCGACTACCAGACAAGATACGGATCATGACTTCGAAACCAGGATGGGTTACATACTCGAACAGGTGTTGTTCAAAAGCGTCATATATCGTGGGCTCGGTGTTTTTCTCCTGAAGATTGAGTATTTTTGACTTCTTCGAGGTTTCTTTGCGTTTGACCGCCAATGCTTCCAAACGCTGAAGGTCAAGCGACGCGACACTGTTTTCCAAGACTCGGAGGCATGCTTCTGTTAATTGCCATTTGCTGCCAGGATATCGGTACGGCTGATTATTCACCATGAGAAATATGTGGTCGATCACCATTGCAATGTACTGACTAGCTCCAGGCACACCCGAGTCTTTACCCAGGTGGGTGTAAATCGTGTTGTCGTACGGCAGAAATCCGGAAATAAGCTTTTCTTGCTTGCTCTGCTTGTGGATAGCCGAGCCAAGAAGATTCACCACGGCCAAAGTTTCCGTGTATATGCCAAACGACCTTTCAATCTCCAACTCCTGAAGAATCCCGGGCGATTGGTATACAATACGGTCGGTGATCTGGTTGCTTTCCACGGTTTGGAACTGCAGTAGATGCTTTCGTGGCAAAAGGAAGTCGCTTGTATCCAGGATGTACCAGATAGAATCCGAGATTCGTTTTCCTACGCCATTGGAACCACCAGCGTACGGCGAGCAAAAGGCCGTTAGAACATCATACAGTGCTGCACGCAGACTTGTCGAGGTTGCTCGGCTGAGCATCATGGTGATGGTGCCCAGAACATCCAAATGAACGTCTTCCAGGAAGGCGCCACGTGCTTGAGCGGAATATAGCACGACTTGTTTGAATAAACGAAGGAAGCTGATCAAGAGTTGTTCCTCGTCGGGGGGAAGGAGCATAGGCTTGTCATCCGTTGCTTTAACGAGCAAAGGTCCGTAGAACTTGAGTGCTGCAAATAATTTACCCCAGGAATAGAGACCGCTCTTTTGCAGATCCATACGATCGGTTGCTCCGTGGAAGAATCGCAGGGATTCGTCGGCGCAATTCAAGCCCGCGGAAATGGAGGCGAAAAATTCGTAAGAAGCGGCTACTGTTTTCGCCACTTTGATGTCGGTGAGCCACTTTGTAAAACTGAGAAGTCCATGGTCGTCACGACTCCAAAACTTTCTTCCGGCATCAGGTCGGTTTCGATAAATGCTTGCTAACAAGTTTAGGAAATCTTCCAAATCATGGCATTGAGTGGTCTTGTCATTGGTACTGGTCACTGCACTACTCGTGGTTAAAGGCATCTGTGCAGGTAAGCTCGTGTCTTCTTCTCTGTATTTGATTTCGCGGAGTACATTCGACATGCGATGGATGAATGCATCGCACACGTCTTCCAGTTCATGGACCACAAACGGTTGAAAGTCGCTTCGGATCGTGGCATTAAATCTTGTAAAATCGCTGGCATCCACTTCCCATCCATCGGCTGTTTTGCTTTTGGGATCACAAGCGTTCACTTTCAGCACACTCCGATCCGTTTCGATGATCGCAAGATGCTGTTTGAAATATAAAAGATATTCGTCCATGAACGCAAACACTTTGGTAGAAATGGCGCCCTCCACGAGTTTTTCAATGACGTCGTCCGATAAAGACAGGCTTTGCATGATGCTCGGTTTTCGTTCAGCCACATGAAGCAAGAAGTCGACCCATCGAATGACGATCAAGGATTTCAGTACAGGGACCTTCCATAAATTGTTGGTAATTTTTTCTTGGAATTTCTTTTGGAAGACCTCGTCGTTAACGATCCCATCCACTCCTCCCATTGCATCATCAGGATGGCTGCTAGGCGACAATGCAGCCACAAGAACGAGTAATAAATAAGCTGTTGCTGTATCGGTCAGATCGCAATGTTCGAGCATGGTCAGAATTTGTAAGATATCGTCCGATTCAAACCAAAACAAAGAAGAGAGATGATACAGGATTTGACGAAGGTACAAGCGTTCATCGATCAGTCGTTCCACGCGTGCCGCCATGATTTCCTCTCCCAGCTTTCCACTCCCAGTTTCGTTGGTGGCTGACGTCAATGGCTGCGATGTTGTTGTACTTTCTGAATGATGGATTGATTTACTGATACCGTCTATACGCTCTATGGTTTGCAAAAGCTTCGCTGGAAATGATACGGTCGGTGAATCTTTGCCGTAACTGTTGACGGGAACTTTTTCGTACACAATATCGGCCATAAATTCGTAAGCTACAGAGCGCACTTCGTCGCTTACAGAAGCATCTTTGGCGGTCTTGAGAATCGCATCCAAGCACGCTAAAATGTATCCTTGCTCCGAGTAGTACGATAGAATCGCAGCGTCCACTGCACTACTGCTCACTTGCGAAGCGTCACCCGATCTCCTCATTAGCAAACTGGCTGCAACATGTTCGTTGATATCCAGCTGATCGGAAATAAACAAAGCTTCTTTTGAGAATGCATTGCTAACCCTGTGAGAGGTACGATTGACGTAAGCTTGACCTATGTAATAAAAGAAAAGGTTACAGACTATTTTCACAATGACGAAATGAACAACAGTCATTGCAATACCTGATTGCAGCGAGCTGCGATGACTCATATTCTTGGGGGGATCGTCCAAGAGCGAAAGGAGCTTTTGTCGATGAAGTTGTAGTTGGTGTCGAAGGAAGTCGGCCGCAGCTTGAGCGTCGGTGGCTGCCCGTGCCTGGCAGATGACATTATGCAGAGCACGAGCGTCTTCCACCCATACCGGGATATCTTGATTCTGCGTCATATATAGGTATGCGATTGCAGCTATGACTGCTGTTCGAGTACAATAGAAAGTCTAGCAGACAATGTCAATAAAGAAAGGCGCTGTGTGACTTGTCAAACTACGCGACCGTTTGCATTCGTAAACGGAAAACACTGAAATTGAAGCTGTCCCAAATTGAGGCACACAGTCTACTGTGACTGCTCAAAGCGCGGCTTCGTCGAGAGGGACTAATCGTGGTGTTCTTCAAGTGCCAGCCCATCTGCCTGGCACTTTTTGCACCTCTTTCGTCACGAACAGTGCTCGCTCAAATCATGCCTCGTTTTCTTTTTTGAGATGTTTACTTCATATACTTAGGTTCTTTCGAAGAATAGAACTCATACGGAAAATTGAGTTAATCTTGAACCGAAGTGGATAGCCCTTGTGAAGCGCATATATGCCTGTTCTATAATGGAAAGTATCACAAAATCATTTTGTCCCAAAGTTTTGGAACTTTTTTTTAATGGCAACAATGTACGTTGAAACAATGAGAGCCGATAGGCACATTAGAGCCTTTCTTTGACGAGGCTTGGAAATTGATTCTGGTTCCTTTCGACCCACTCTCCTGAACCACTCACTCTGTCGACAGCTTCGGAGCAAGTGAGAGTAACCGCTACATATGTTAAAACTTTATCAATGAAGTTGATAAAAGCTCCTTTGACCTATTTTCATTGATTCTAGAGCACGCATTCTTGAGTTCATACTAGAAAATATAATTTCCCTCATCTTCCAGCATATCAAATGCTTATTGATTCCGCAAGCTTTTCAATACTCGTTCGTCTGTTATGTTACTTGTCCATATAAATCAATCTTTAGGCTATACTAGCATGTATACTTCAATGAAACTGTCTGTGTCCTATATCATGATTGGAGCTGGAAAAATTATTTAATAGCGTACAGCAAATCTCAAAATACTGTATCCTCATGACTACAGTATCATTCCATTCGGTATGAATATCTAAGCTGGTCTTAGATAAGGTAAACTGCAGGCTTTTCAGAGCAGGAATTTGGCAGGCTGCTTCAGCTAATACTTTTTTTGCTCGCTGTTTGGCACAGAACGTATTAATCGGTCCATTATGCATTAGACTAAAAGTTAATGTGAGAAAGGATATATTTTAAACTATGAACTCTTGATGGTTCGTTTATTGATCCCTCGACAACCTTCAAGGGACAGTAAAATGATCTTATTACAAAGGCTATCCACTAAGGTTTACTCCTATTCATCATCATCTTCCTTGTCTTCGTCTTTTTCATCATCGTCTTCGTCATCATTATCTTGATCATCATCATCTTCTTCTTCTTCTCCTTCTCCTTGGGATGCATGCTCCTCATCTTCTTCTGGGGCTCTTCGCTTTAAAGCCTTAGTTTCTTGATCTTCTTCTTCTTCGTCGTCATCTTCGTTCTCATCATTTTCGTCTTCATCATTTTCGTCTTCATCATCTTCGTCTTCATCTTCGTCTTCATCGTCTTCTCCGGTGTCTCTGCGCTTTAGCGGGGAATCATCTTCTTCATCGTCATCGTCATCGTCATCTTCATTTTCCTCATCTTCTCCGGTATCTCTGCGCTTTAGCGCCTTCTTTCCTTCTTCATCATCATCTTCTTCATCACCGCTTTCGTCTTCATCACCGCTTTCGTCTTCATCATCGCTGTCGTCTTCATCATCGCTGTCGTCTTCATCATCGCTGTCGTCTTCGTCATCGCTTTCATCATCGTCTCCGCTTTCATCGTCTTGCTCGCCGACTTTTCCATCTTCTTCGGTTTCTGAGCCATCGACCATTTTGGTGATATCGGTGGCCTTGGAGGCTACATCTGCCGCGAGATCGACATCGTCCTCTTTACGTCTTTGTAACAGAGAACCACGTGTAGGATCGGCGACTCTGTATTTTGCACCACTATTAAGAGACTTGTGAATATTCCCTGTATCCGTTTCACGTAAAAAAATCGAATCTTTCACTTACACGTTTGCTTGTTTTCCTGCTGCAGCCTTGGTCTTGCATCCACCGGCTAAGTCTTTGCAGTTAACATTGGCAGCTGTCTCTACGCCATCATTGTCGCCACGTTTAATGAAATCCTATAATAACAAATTGTGAGCCATTATATTTATGAAGTAAAGTTCGCAGTTGAGATATATACATCAGGCATATACATCCTAGTCAGATAAATGATGATGAGCTTCGTGCATTTCGCATGTTAATATTCATATTTACCTCTGTGCAGCAATGATTTCACGGCGCGCATGTTTGCTGGCAATGCTAGTGCCATGACCACCATTGCTATCGGCGACGACGCACAGTTGGTATCCAAGAGCCAACAAAGCAAACAGTATGGGTGTTTTTGTGAAGTGCATTGTTATTGAGAAGAAAAGATTCAAGTCTGATGTGGAAAAATATTCTGCTGGCAAAGTTTCTGGTATTTATGTTCTCGAATCATAACCTGACAAAAATAGGATCCCCTTCGGTCTATAAAGATCAGCAACTTTTTCTCCATGGCAACTTGCAAGATAACATCAAGGGGTAAACTTGCCTAGATGTTGTTGTATTCTACGAACCCCCGCAAGCAGTTGAAGGTAGACTATTAAGGAGTAACCAATGTACGTTGCATGATTTTGAACCTTGTTGAAAGGAGATCGCTCATATTGAAAAGGATCTACTGAATTAGGTTTTAGGAGTTCCTTGGATCGCCTTCACAACCGTGCTGGCTCCTAGTATGGCGTACGCATGTATAATACCGTAGTACAATGATCCCATATACAAGTTTTATTCTTTGTGGTCGTCTGCAAACCAAGTTCGCCAGTAAAAAGAAAATGGCGCTGTCGTTATCATTATCACGTCACCTCCGTATTCATGCTTCAGACGTAACTCCTCCGATAACAAGAAAATGACTGCATGAAATACAGGAGCTAGGGGAAAAACTTGCAGTTTAGACCTTTTTTCCTTGCGGGAATATCATAACCAAAATAATGTTTTTGCTCGTCGATCGAATGTCAAGAAAATTTTCATTATATCTTAGGATACCCACGCATCTGGGCGATTATATGTTTTAAATTTTATATTAGGTTATTATACTAGAAACTTCACCCGGTTGCTATATTTCGCACAATATGTGGGTATGTATACAGTTAGTCCATTTGAGAATGGTGAGCTCAAGTTGCGAGACTAGACATTAGGCTTAGACATCTCCTGTGGCGCACTTATCCCGTACTGATTGATTTCGGTCTCGGGGCTTTTCAGCTGGATTGCATAAAAAGGGGATCCAAACCCGCAATTTTTCTTTCATATTGCTGTGTTTTTCAAGCCTGGAGGTGAATTCAGTTATTCATATCAGAAGAGAAATAAAAATTGCATTATCATGACTTAGGAAAGTATCAATCACATTTAAGTATAAATGGATGTGTCCGACAACTCATGGAAACTAAAAGACGTTGTTGAACCTTATTTCCACACTTGGTGCACAAAGCTGGAAGTATAGGTTGCAGATCTTGAAATTTTTTGGTTCTCGAATTTATTTTTGTAGTAATGATCTTTCATCTTTTTGTGCGATTGTACTAATCCGTATCAGGAATCGGTCAAAAGCTTCGCTCATCTTAATATCCGTTTACTCTTAATTCTACTTGTTTTTTTTCAAGCGTAGTTGCCCATGGACACCATATCCTAATGCAAGCTCGTGATTACTGTACCGCCCCGTCTCTGCTCATTATAATGTACTAGCAAAAATAAAAACCTGCATAACATATGATCGCGTCCTGCACAACAAAGATATACGCTGAGCCCCAAGTGGAACCCTTAACGGCATCCTCTCGCACACATCGCTTCTCCCTACATCTTGCATAAAATGGTGAGCTGTTCTTGTTTGTGATGAAGTAGAAATTACGTCCGAATATATCAACCATAAATAAACACGCTTTAAATGAAGTGGTATAGCAAATTTCTTTAGCGCTGTTATAATCGAACGAGAAAGTAAACAAATGTATCTATGAACACGTAAGATCAACGGTCGGTGCAGCAAAGCAATACAATTTTATTCCTATTGCTTCCATGTAAAATCATACACTGCATAAGTCGATCGCATTCGATTACTTTATTGGTGGCAATAAAAATCTGCAGAAGATCCTCAGTTACGTTGATGGTGGCAGCATTCTAGAATAAGAATACATCGGTGACTGTGATTTTAAGCGAACTATTGATGGAAAATGTCACCATATTATAATATTTTGTTTTCGGTATATCCTTATCGAAAGACAGAGAGGCAGGTATTACTCTTTTTTTGCCAGGGTTCTAAAGAGAAAGCGACCATTGTATTATAGCATTCGCTTCGGAGACAGAATTAGGTTGAATAAAGCGATCCTTAGCCCACAATGCTAGGTTTACCCGGCCATAGTGATATCATCTACGCTACTGTAACAACTCTAATTAGAAAAATTTTATTCCACTGCTCCCAAATATCCTTTGCGCAACGACTATTACCGTCCTTGGCGCATTATGTATACACTTCATTTTTTCATCGAGTTTATGTCTTATGATCTCGAAAATGAAGTAAAGGCACATTGAAATTTTCGTTCATTTCAGATAGCTTGGACTGGTCGAGGATATCATACAGAAATACTATATGCAAATATACAGCGACCGCAGCGTCAATCAGTAGTATTTATTGTATTCTCCAACATGGTCATAAAAATTCAAGAAATTCATTTTATAACCCGCCTCAACAACGTAATGACGTTCAATTGTATTTTAGTAATATTAGAGAGTTTGGCTTAATCAATGTGATTCCTCTTATCTTGGATAAAAACTTGTAGTTTTATCATTTCAGGCATTCTACGATTAGTAGCTTAGTGAATATCTTTCCTTTTAAAGCTGATGTCATATAATAGCAGTTATACAACAAGCAAATTCAATAAAAAGAATAGAAAAAATGGTTGCTTATTAGAAATATTTGTATAAATGGCGATGGAATCAAACTAAATGATTGGTGGAAACGAGCAGTCACAACAAGATTGATGACGTCATCAACTTTATAATTTTACTATTGTCTAAACTCTTTTTATGTCGAAAATATCGAAGCGCGGATGGTTAAGTGGTATAATCTTCGCCTGCCACGCGAAGGGCCCGGGTTCGATTCCCGGTTCGCGCATCTTTTTAGTTTTGTGGATCGACCAACAAAATTATTTTTTTCCTCCTTTTTTATGACTCGCACGATCCATTACTCACTCATCGATGAAGCAACCTATTTCCTTTTGTTATGACTACTTGAGCATCCTTCTATCATATGCATTTGCTCCTACCGAGACATGAAAAATAAACCTGGGAAAAACCGCTGTAGGTAAAATGAAAGCGAAGGGTCGTTAAGTATTCCATTGCAAACCTTTGCGAGACAACGCGAAGCAGATGCGATAACCCTTTTTACTCTGAATTTCAGAAAATTAGGTAGTTATGGTGGGGGTTCTTTTTGTTTGTTTCACATATCAAAGGAATCGATCTTGGCTTAACCAGCGCTGATATTTAGTTAGCTTTTGACATGGGAGAGTAAGAGCCGGAGTGCAACGCGCCATTTCTAGATTTAGGATTTTATTTATTATGTAATCTCATCTATACACCGTACCATGTCTGCAAGGCTGTACTTATTACTAAAGGAAGTGCGTCGAACTGTTGTTGCCATTGTTGTTGGCCTAAAAGTGATTTATATCCCACTAAAAGCTAAAGACAGCAGAAATTCGTCAGTAGAAGCATGATTTTCCCCATCGCTCTTGGACTTACCGTTGCAAAATTCTCTCTTAACGATAGATCTTCAGTATCGTAGGTGCCTATGGCTAGACACAGTGTGTGAAATTCGGAAATAGCGCCTTCAGGGTTGGCTTTGATGATGCAACACAGACCCATAAACGCCGATACTTTTTCTTCGCTGTCACGAATAGGCATGAGAGACAAAAGCCACGGGCGAATAAACAAAGGAAGCTGAGGTGCAATAAGATCAGCTCGAACAAGACCTAGTCGGCCGATGGTGATGGCAATGTTTTCAAGCAAGGTACGAGAAATATCCGTGTCCACGATCAAAGGCAGCAATCGTTCGAGGACAGATTCTATAAATGGTTCGAACCCATTTCCTAGACAAATGAATTGTGAATTTCTGCAAAACACTATTTTGCCATATTAACAGTAAATAAAGACACGTACCCCATTTCATGACAATCTCACCAAATGCCCATATGGCATTATTTGCGGCCGAGGAGTAATCTTTGGCCTTCTCTATTTGTGTTAACATATAGGGTATAAGCTCGGGTAGAACCGGTAATATTTGGTCAAAACACGATGAAGCAAGGTCACCGATCAAAGCATAAGCTGACTGCCGAACTTCCGCGTTCTCATCCTAACACATCAATGATAAGGTAATGAACCATTTTTCCAACGCAATCAAATTGCCTTACAGTGATACAGGCAGGTAATAACTGAAGCACGGAAGGGGTTGTTGAAGCTATGAGAGGACCAGCAGGAGAAACGATCGATTGCAGCACACTTGATATCAGGTCCAATGATACGATTATAAAATCTTTGTCAGGCTGTTCAGCTTCACGAATTCCAGCAGTCATTTGTCCTGCGTCCAGAGTATTATAGACAAGTTTCACACAGCGTTTGTAAACAGGCTCAGCATACGGTAGGAAGCTCTCACCGAGGGCGACCGCAATAGATGACATGCACTACGAGTCAATGTCAGAAGGTTTTGCTCACGGTACTTTTAACACGTAGAATAACTCACCTCAAACAAAGTAAATAGATCGCGACTATCGTCTGGTATTTCTTGCCACTTTTTGGTGAGAGGGGGCATAAGAATATTAACGTACTCCAGAGAATTCAGGGCGTCCCCGGTGACATCCGCCAATGTGCCTACTGTGTCTGCCAGTAATAGGAAGTTCTGGTGCTGATATCTCTGCCAAGCATTTGATACAGTCATAAGGATAGGTTGCAAGTAAGGGACAAGTTCCATAGTAAGATCTTCTTCATAGATAGCCAGCGCTGCACAAGCTGCAGCTTGAACCTTTTTGTTGTTGTCCAGTAATCGATCCAGTAGTCCACGAATCAAGGGCTCCAGGTATAAGGCTCGGTTAGTTTCACTTTGCTCGATAGCTTGCTGTATCCATGTACTGTAACGCCCCAGAGTCCAACAAGTGATTGACCGGACGAGGAACTAAGAGTTTTAGTGAGAAGCCTGTAAGAAAGGCCATTGGTGACCGGGGACAGCAATTGAGGGTAATTACCATTGGATGATTCAATTTTTGGAAAAGATAGGGGATTAGTTCGGGCAAAATGGAGGAAAGTGATTGCATGCCGCCTATGCAAAAGTTCGTAAGAATGGCAATTGACAAAAGATCAAACTTGACGGTACCTTCAGATAAAAGACCTAATGCGTGGATACCACATTCTTGATTTACCCAATCCGAACTCTCCAATTCCGATTTCAAAAGCGGTAGAATAAGTTGTACCAGTTCGCCTTCAAAGGCTGCACACATTACTTCAAGGGCGTGTGCGCTACATTGTCTGAGATTCCATTCAGTATCGTCGTCGTCATCATCATCATCATCATCATCATCGCTGTCGTTTCCTTCTTCCTCTTCTTCATCGTCGTCTTCGGCATCGTCGAGCTCCTCCTCGTTATCCAATCCGTTGATATTGGCCTCAGTCAAATCCTTCTTATCGGAACGTTGAATCTCAACCAGGGTAGAACGATGAAAGCGCGGTTTGATATCCTGATCGCGATCTGCAATATGAGCATCACTGCTCTCGTCATTCAAAGCGCTGATCTCCATTTCCGAATACTTCATGCTTTGCAGCAGCACAGGCAAAATCTTGGGGAGATAGGGTTCCAATTCGTCTCGTAGATGATCTTCTTCTGCAAATACGAGCCAGAATTCGGACGCTTCGAGTGCCAAGTCCGAATTATCGGACTGCGTACAAAAGAGCATATATTCCACCAAGTTTGGCATATGTTGCAATAGTGACTCTGGATACACACCGAGTAGATTCACCAAAGACTGACACACAGCCATTCGAACCTTGATATCATCATCCGTTGCTCGATCGAACAGGCCGCCAAGGTAGTCATTAATACGATTCATTAATGAAGGAGGACGTACGATGATGAATAAAGAAATCGATTGAATTGCATAGAGACGGAATTTCGGATTCGGGTGGTTGAAGAAAGTGATAAGTTTTGGAATGATATATTCTAACGGTTGCGAATCCCCAATCTTTTCGGTCAGATCATGAGAGCAGTCCTCGCATACTTTGAGCAATGTATTGAGCGCATTCTAGAAATAACAGAAACCGATTCATAATCCAGTTCGTCACGGCGAAGTAACTTTGACCTACTTCTACCACCCCCGCGTCGCTGTCGTCGAGTTTTTGTAGAAGTTGCTCAAGAGCTTGAGGCCACTGACGAACATGTCCTTTGGCAAGAATGGCGGCGATGACAAGACTGACCGTCTTTCCTGTTTGATCATTTGTAATGTGCTGCAGGCAACAAGCTTTGACGTATTGTAGCACGTCAGGAGATATCCGCTCATAGTATGAGAGGACGTTATTCTTCAGGGTCAAGCCCGCAACTGCTCGAATGTGTTGATCCACGTGTGGCATTTGCGTCAATATGTACACTAGGTAGTTGTTGTAATCAGGCACCGCATTGAAGTACTCGAGCCTCTAACATCCATGTGTTTGCATTAGCGTCAAGAGAGACTAGCGAAAGAAAGATGCGGATTTTACTTGTTGAACAAAGCTAGTATTTGTTGGGTTGATTGCCTCGTTTAGCAGCGCTAATAGATCGGAAAGACCTTGGTCATTTGGCTGCCAGAAGCTCATACTGCAAAAAAGACTGAACAACCTGCCACCCTTGGTGGATTCATCATAGAAATAAATGTCATTTCGGAGATACAATAAATGGTCGCTTGTGTTGCTGGGTGGCCTTTAAGTGAAAAAGGGTTCGAAATATTGGTATCGTTTGGTTCTTAGATAAAAAGCATGGTAGGGTTGCTTGAATTCTGTATTGCTTCTGGCGTATATAATCTATCTAATAGCATGCTAATGACTAAACGTCCATTCCATTGATGTAAGCAAAAACGAAGCCGTATTTTTAACAGTTGCGCATGACGGGATCCATGAAGGGAAGATCAAGTAACTCATAAGCTTCTTCTTCAGATTGCACATTAATACGCTTTTTAGGTGCAGTGTCTGTAAAAATGCCGTTACTATTAACGGATAGTTGCTTTTCCTATAGAATTTTTGAGGCAATGAATATGGACGCTGCATCAGTGGACGTCATAAAAGCCAACCTTTTTCGCGTAATCGCGCAAGGAGCGCTCATATTGTCTAGATCCCGTCCACCCGAGAACAGCCGTGGGATATTCTGTACGCGTTGCAACAATCAAATCCACTTGTCGGAGGATCGATTTGGAAGGCTGTAGAAAGGCACAAAAACACTTGCATCGTAGATTAATTTAGAATGGGCTGTACCAGAATCGTTCGCAATACTTACTTTTTCCAAATCATCCATTGCTCTTTTCTTCTTCCGTATTGTGTTATCTTCTCCAGACACGTCTTTCTTTGGTCGATCAGCCGAGAACCATAGTATGTGTTGGATTAAACCTTAACATATCATTAGTTGGGTTTAGCCTGATGTTTTTGATGAATCCCTTGGTGCCTACCTTTTTGTTCTAATCGTGCTGTTAAATTTCGCAGTAAACCAACGGTACCATCTTCGCGGTGGCTGGATATAATGATATCCAGATCACCGTTTTCTATTTTCCCTCGTCTTTGAAGGGAGAAACCGTTTTAATCGATGCATGTGCTTGCATAATATTCGTAGACCGCATAGACCAACCCACCTGTATCCTCCCACGGGTTTGACAAAACCTTCAACGTTCAGCGCAGCCACTTCCCGATCGATAAGAGCCACCAACTCTTCTACATCTTCTCTACTCATTCTTTGATAGCAAATTATTGATCGTTTAGCATGCAAAGAAAGTATCCTGGTTCAGATAATTGACCTACTTTTGTATCAGATCAGGAAGAAGCTGAATTCCCAGTCTCACTATAGATGTTAGCTTGGCATTGTCCAAGACTTCTTGTAGAGTGCGATAACCCATGTCCCACCAGATCTTGGCTGTAGCTGCTCCGACCCCTAGAATAGTCGCGGCGTATTAGAAGCAAATTACTTCTATAGGAGGATACGTGACGTAGTACTCACCAAACACTTTATTGAACAGGCGTAATGTAAGGAATTTTTCGTCGTGAAGCAATTCGCTCGCTTCTGGTATAGTCCCTGTTTGAAGGTACAACCGTACCAGCTCCGTCATCTTTTTGCCTATACCTGTGTGATAGTGAGCATAACGGGAATAATTATCCGATAAGGAAATCTTTTTTTTGTACCGATAATCTTGGCTGCCTCTTTTGACGATCTTATTTCTCGTGGATAAGCCTGCAAGGCAAGAGGGTGTGAGCTATTGTCCAGTAACACGATCAAAAATACATACTTTCATAGCGGCAATAGCATGACGATAGCTGAGTGCATTTTTATCTTCCTGGTTAAGTTCACGTTGCTCCTCCAGCAACTCCAGATAGGACACAAGTTGTTTGTTATAGCGTGGTCTATACGGTGTAGGACGAAAGCATTCATATTTTGTGTTATTAAAACCAGGAGCCAAGCCAATGTCTATCCTTGTGGTGTGAGATAAAGCATAAATAGCGCCTGTTCCACATACCCTCTCCATCATTGTCGTCCATCTCAGAGTCGCTGTCCATGAAAATCGGTTAAAAACAAATGTTCGAAATAGTTCCTTTGGCGCATAACCTACGTTTCTTGGGTCGTATCCTCCTCCTCCTCCTTGGAAGATGAAGTAGATGGTTCTGCTTTCATATTAGAGAAACGTTGATTCAATATGTCATTTAATTGTGGTATATGCGGTGTAGAAAGTTTTTGGAACAAAGTATCAGTCGAAGGTTTGTTCACTTCACGTGCAACATGCGGCATTTGAAGTGAATATGGCTCCATGGGAAGTTGTGCATGTTTTTTTTCACTAGAAACAAGCCATTGCGTTATTCACTCGTTCAATTGGACAAGTTGTATGAAACGTACCACTCTTTAACCCAGTCGATATTCACTATGGGTATCTGGTAAGAATTCATGAGCATTCTTTCTTCTTCTCAATTTTATGCAATCGTCTATAGGGTTTATTTCACCTGGTGATTCTTCAAATGTCTTCGAATACGCCCCAGGGAGGTCATTACTGTCAGAACCATGGCAGCGTTGGTTTCACTATCACATATTTCGCCACCTTTTTTGCAAAAATTAGAAATGTTCAGTGTTCGTCCCACAGTTGTGCTGCTTGCAAGTGTCCCACCATGCTTTTCGATCAAATGTTTAATGGCCGCAGCAGTATATGGTTCAATTTTAACCGGCAAAATATATGCCTTGACGCCATCGAAGAACTGATTGTTACTCATTGAAAAGCATGATAAGAAACTGACATTCCTTCATTCGTCATATTAAATATATGCATTTCTTTTGGGTTTCAGAACGTCATGAAATTGCGACCAAACTCCGCCATTTTTCTTGTTCATTCCAGTCGCGCAAAAACCACCAAAATACGGGTTTCCCTCGAGAATATTACGTCAAAAAGGGGCAGATCACAGGTTGAATTATCAGAAATAATAGATAAAACAAGACAGCGCTCTATTATTTTGGACGGCTTCATTTGGAGAACAGGATCATTTCATGGGGGAGGGGGCAATCATCTCGTCGAGCAAGGACCTTGGTGGCACGATGTCTACGACATTTACTTCGAGAACGACGACTTTACTTCGAAATGGTTGTGTTACCTATTCTGCATCGGCGTCTCCAATTCATTTTGATTTGCCGCCTGTCATGCCACAAGGATGAAAAAACCAGTCGAAAAAAGAGTAATAATCATTCAACAGCTTTTACGGTGAAACAGTGGCAATCAAACTTGCTTTTCTTTTGCGCTTTTTCCGAGCTTTTTTTTTTCACACCCGTGCCCGGAAACTATGCCTACTACGCCCTTTGCTTGGCAACTATGGCAGCCTATTGTTCGTAAGTGCTTCTAAGTTTCCAGACAAAGACAGCATATTTACCAGCACTGACGATAAGCACCAGATGAAACGTCAAACGAACCACCTTTCTTTACTCAACAAATACAGCACATACCACCTTGGCGAATTGATTACGGCTGGCTATATCCCGATCATACAGTGAGTCTTAACTGGCTAACGAATCGCCGCTATCGAAGTTAGCAGCTCACATTGCTTACAATAATCTTGTCTAGGATCCGATAAATCCATTGGCAGCGTACGAGGTTGAATATACAACCAATTCTTTCTCGAACGATGCGTATGAGGCACAGTATATTCCACCTCCGCCTCGTGATCCGCCTAGAGAAGAAACTCCACCCCCACCACCTCCATCATCTATGCCGTTATCAGAACCTTATAACCATATCGCAGCCGCTTCTGCATCTACAATACATGCACAAGTCGGAGATGATACACACGAAGCTTTGACCAGAGATGCTTCGGAAGTACCACATGTCAAAAAAGATACCGTACCTTTGGAAACAAAATTCGGCAGGTTCATGGGGAAACTGCTATTAAAAAGCAACAATACGAAGAAAACATCCAACGGCAACAATAAATCAAGCAATCATAGTGCTAGAAAGGATCCGTCAGCAGTGCAAACTACGTTGACTGACAGTTATTCAGGCTATTTCCGAATCGGGAAGAAAAGGCCCGTCACGGAAAAGCTGAAACTTTGCTTCCAGCTTGGTGCAAGCACAAAATTATCTGTAGGCAACAACACGGACAAAAATCCCAAACTACTTGCCGTGAAACATGAACCAAATGAGTCCCAAATGGAGAAACCAGCAGTATTTATATCCGAGGAGGCCAGCAACCACGCATCCTCACCCATAACAGCGACAGTGGGGAAAGAGCCGTGTGAGACGCCTTGTCGAAAATCACGTTGGGATATTCGGCCCACCTCCTGCGACAAGCCAAGCAACGCGGACAAATCTCCAAGCAACGATGACAGATCTCAGCAAGGCGCTGATATAACCCTCTCCATCAACGATAATGCAGAAATTTGCGAAGATGCAGATATGGATTCCATTCAGGACGATGATTTGAGTTCACTTAGCTCACTACAGTCAGAAGATGACGTACTGGGACCATGGATCGAGTTGGGATTGATCGATCCTCACAAAGACCCCGAAACCTCTTCTGTAGCATTCAAGGACGATGGACATCCGAGCGTTCAAACGCAGAACATCAAGGTAGAAATGGACTGGTGCAGTGATTGCGATATCTTGCGAACCAACGATCGTCAGCCATTTGATATTGTTCCTATGTGTCAAAAATGCAAAAGGGAATGGGCAATCTACTCCAAAGTGTTTCTTTCCGATTTAAAAGAACAAAGTCATGAAAACAAACGACGCAAACGGACTCCACCCAAAGAAAAAGTAAAGGCTCGCGTGAAGCCTACCGAATTCGTTCCATCGACCAATTGTTCCGCATATACTTGCAACCCAACAGCCAAACCAAGCCCGATGACCATCAGAAAGAACCTTTCTACAGTCCGGCGAACCAGGCCTGTGAAGCGCAGTAAAGCGATCCCGCCTACGAAATCGAGGAATTCTCGCACAACCGACAAGCGAATGGCTCAAAAGCAGCTACGTGCCAAGGTTACAAGGAAGAGTCAGAAAACGTCGAAATCAAACGTAAAGGACACAAAACAATACGAAAGCATCCTCAAAGATGACACATCACTAACTGGTATCGAAGAAGCGACCGATCGCGACCTGGGGTTTCACTCCAACATTCATGGATTTACATATCAGCAACAGGTGGAAGTGCTTAATATTAATGGGCACTGGTATCGAGGTGTTCTGACAATGATGCACGAGGGAAAAGTAAAAGTGAGCTACCTAGACTGGGATAATCAGCATGAATGGATCATTATGGGTAGCCAGCGATTGCGGCCGATTTCATCAGAGGATACTGAAGAGGTTCTATTGACAAACGAAAAAGAAGGCAACACGGAGCACACAGCAACCTTACATGAGGATAAAACCTCTGCTATGGATGATGAAATGATGAACGATATTGGTAAAGACAAACCACAGGCAATACAAAACGAATATATGGAGTCTGAATGCTGTACTTTAGACACAGAAATCGATCCTCACACATGTTATACCGATACCAATGAGGAGACGCTGCAGCATTCAATACAGCACAGCGTGTTGAAAGGTGTCCAAAGCAAGGACCTTTTAACCATCGGACCAAAATCAAGGGCCAACAATGACTATGTCAGCTCGACTCTTGATACAGATCCATCGCATATTTTCAACGACAACGAAGTATTCATGACACGTCGCATGGCGCGCGAGCTGATAGACGAGTATGGATTTAAGCCCAATTCTTTTGGATACCGATATAATCGCGCCGTGGCCGTGACGTTCAAGGGTCCCAAAAAAGCGATGCATAGAACAATGGAATGGGTAGGCTACCTTCGCGAAATGCGCAAAGATGAAGTTAGAGTATGGTATCCTACATTGAGCCAATCCGAGTGGTTCCGTATCGGTAGTCGCCGTCTTCGTGTCTTGACCGAAGAAGAGGAAGCCCTATTCGGTTGTGCACCGGACGATCCCACGAGTGAGCAATTGGAATTGACAGATGATGCAGATAATATGGCAGAGGAACCAATCCCTGACGAAAACGTCAAGTCAGATACAGAAACTCAGAAACCGGCGAAGCAACGTTCCAAGGGAAAGAAAACACTAGAAGAAGCTGTAGAGATTGTCCCAGCTGAGGATATGCGAAGCGGTAATGACCCAGAAGAGACGGTATCTATGCTTTCACAAGAGAATATCGAGCTGGAAACGTCGGCCAACACGCAATCGGATGGGGTGCCCAGCTTCTTGACTACAGGTGCATTTGCCACTCGACGAGCCATGCGCCAATTGAAGGATGAACATGGATTCGTGCCGAACCCTTATGGATACGCTTACAACCTGGCAGTAGAGATTCTGAACACGCGCTCGTCAAGGAAGAAATTCTGGGAACGTGGACATTTGGTTGCTATGCAGACCGGAAAAGTCAAAGTCCGCTATGATGGATGGAGCGAAGTATATGACGAATGGATCATGGTGGGAAGTCGACGAATTCGTTTAGCTCCCAGCGACAGCGAAATCTCACCGTCTACGAAGCCATGTACATCATTTACCACGAGTCAAGATACAAATAATGGCACACTCTCTATCACCAAGAATGATTTACTTATCACGGAGGCAAATCCTGAATTAGCGGATGAGAGAAAAAAGAACCGTCAAAGGCGACTTTTGGGTCCGGAAGATTATCTGAAGCTTGGACTGTTGGTCAATGAATCGCAAATCTCTCAAAAATCGCGAAGAGGCCGCCCTTCCACGAAAGCAAGCTGTGAGAGCAGCAGCAGTGCTCCTAAGGCAGCAGCAAGTCAAAGCAGCACAGGTCAGATGAATGAAGATGGAGATTTTTATGAGACTCAAGGGTTGGACGAATATGACTTTGAGTACGCGCATGGTGATGATCACGATTACAGCCACAATCCCAGGAAAGGTTTGAGAAAGACGAAAAAGGAGCTATTACATCAGAAACGCGACATTGGATCATCAAACGGCAAATTGAAGGTACTCGAAGCGCCAGTCATTCCCGTTTCTTCACGGCGACTAGCGCAATCAAAACGTACGGAGCATGACTTTATTGCAAACGTGTATGGGTATGATTATATGCAGCATGTACAGGTGCTCCATCTAGACAAGCGATGGTACGAAGGGCGTCTCGTATCTATGGAGCGCAAAGCGGTGCGTGTGCATTACTGTGGATGGCCCGACGCGTTTGACGAAAAAGTGCGGCTGGGAAGCCGCCGTTTACAGGTGATTGAGAATGATCACGAAGTGTTATGCATCGAGCCGAACTACAGAGAGCGATTTGAAACATTGCAGCAACAACAGACGGAACACACTGTTCCTATCGAGATGGAGGAAACATTGGACTTGCAGGAAACATCTGTTAGACGTAATATAAGGCGGCTGACATTGAGTAGTATGGAGGAGATCGGCGCCGACCAACAAGTGGAATATCATAAATTGCCTGAAGACGAGACGGAAATTGAGGAAATCGATAACTGGAAAGTGTATTGTAACCAATGCAAGATTGTCATCAAGCAGTTTCGCTATTACTGCACTTACTGTGAGACGCCTTCTGAAGGGTACGATTATCAGAGCTTTGAGCTGTGTCTACAGTGCTTTGATCAGAACTTCCCTTTTTGGCATGAGCATCCACGCTCAAGCTTTGCTGTCCAAGCCGTCATTGACACTGACATCGGGCCAATGCCCATCAAAGGCGAGTTAGTTACCGTTTGGGAAGAGGATGTACTTGAAGCAACATCAGTCGCCGAAGCTCACGGTGATGATGAGCCACCGGCGAGTGCCGTTACCGCGAGTCAGATTTTCACGGGTGCCGCACCTATTGATATCGATCAGGGCTACAAATATTTGAAACGGTGGCAGAAACGCACTGTATGCGCGTTCTGTAATGACGATGATGATACATCAGAAGAACTGGGCCATTTTATCGGCCCGTTCGTCATTGCTACGTTTAACAAAAATGGTGCCGAAAAGAAACGATCGTTCTGGGCTCATGACGCATGCGCACGGTATTCCCCTGAAGTGTTCTGCACGCCTGATGGCAAATGGTATAATGTCACGCTAGCGCTTCGACGTGGGCGAGGAATGGTACGTTATAGCATATGGCGTCTACTGTCATGAGATTTTATTTATTTATTTTATCTTTGTAGAGGTGCTATGTTTGCAAGGAAAAAGGAGCTACGATAGGCTGTTTTGAATCCAAATGCAACAAAAGCTTTCATTTGTTCTGTGCGCAAAAACCTGTGAGCTACTTTAAAAACGGCGTTATTTTCTGGTGCCCAACCCATGAAGCATATTATAACAAAAAAGGTAAATGGGAAAAAGTAACGGTCATTGGATGTTGTGGATTAAACTACCTGCAGATACCTATGTCAACATCTTCAAGTGTGACGGATGCGAAAAGCAGATGGAGGAGGAGTCATGGTTTACTTGCTTACCATGTGCTTCTAGTTATTTTTCTTCGTATGATTTATGCAGTGATGTAAGTCCCGTCTCTGGAATGAATACACTGAAAACTAATGCAAGTGTTAGTGTTTCGAGAAATTCCCCGCCGATCATGCTCACGACGAAGATCAATTCGAGGAAACATGTAAGCAGTTTGACTATCCAAATAAAATGTCACATTTTATGTCTCATCGAGTCTTTCAAGCTTTTGCTATTATCAAGGAAATGGAAGCACAAAAAGCAATCGAAGCAGCACGTGCTAAAGAAGAGGCTCGCGCGCACAGTAAGTACCAGTTACCGGTATATGAAGGTCGCTTGCCATTAAACGCCAACTGCATCACCTTGTTTTAGCCACGGTGAAAAAGCGCTTGTTTCCCAAGCGCCAACGTCGCAGGCCCGATGGAAGCCTGGCAACAAGCTGTTGCTACTGTGGAACATACGACGCAGAAGAGTGGCGAAAGGGTTACGATGGTGGAGTGCTGATGTGCAAGCAATGTTTTGACTTGGCGTTGCTGATTGATAGTGATGGAAAAACTGCGGAAACTCCTCTTATTGTCGATGCCGAAGAAACGCAAAAATACGTTACATCGATTGATGACTACACGCACAAGCCCTATTTAACAAGAGACGCTCTTTCTGTGTCTAAATTCAGCCACACAGCTACTGGACCTCGGTTAACCAGTTACGAGCCACAACCTAACCAATTATTCTCGCTAGTGTTCGATTCTACTTATTATGATATTCCTGGAAGAGCTCCTCGTTGGGCGTCCCATTCTGGCACAGATTATCATGGTAAATAAGACCTACCATTATGCCATCAAACGTGTAGGATGCACTCAACTTTTTAAATGCGTAGGAACGTGGTTGCCACAGACCGTACGAAGGTGAGGTCCAGTGCTTATCATTTGAAGCAAGTGTCACGGCTACTTAAGCATCGAATCTAGAGCTATTTTGAAATACACCGCAAAGAATGACCGGGTATTGTCCAACTTTTTGGGAAGAGGTACGAAAAAACCGCGAGTCTGCCTCACAGCTTCTTCTTACTTGAGGCTACAATTTAGGCACAGATGCTATTGAATGCTTTCTGCTAAAGCGCAGGTAGGCCATTTCGACAAAACAAGACAATGTGGCTGGCATATATTAACCGCTTGATAATAATAGATGCGTTGGTCTGGACATCAATCCGGTATGGAGCACCAATTCAAACCATCTAGTAGTCAATGCTGTTTTGACATTATAAATAGGCCGCCGTCGCGCTTGCTCAACGCAACTGTTGCTTTGAAATCCCGGCAGGCCTGACATCAGCAGAATATCGGCCCATTGTTGCTCAGGCAGATGCGCGTCAATTATCTGGCGCTTTATTTGCAGATGATTCGTTCGATCACATCCTCTCACATCCGCCTTACAAGGACTGCGTAGCTTATTCAACTCATCTGGAAGGTGACTTGTCGAGGTACTTGTTGTGCCGGAGATCTGGTTCAAACGTTGTACTCATCTGTGGTTATATATATGTAGATTTATAAATATCGAAGACTTTAAACAAGAATACCAGAAAGTGGTGCATGAGAGTTGGAGGTAAAAAGGTTGAAATGATGTATACAAACAGATCGAGGGTTGACATGTGTATGCTTATAGACTCTTGAAAATGGGACATCGAGTTACGCTCGGTATTGGAGATAACCGTGAACATTGTTTCTACATTCCGGTCGGGTTTCACTTGATACGCCAGTACATTGACAATGGATTTGAATTGGAAGAACTCGTGGGTATACATGGTTCCGGAAAGAAACTTGGAACTGATGGAAACATAGATTATCAAAAGACAACGATATTGCTCGGCGTTCGGCCTGGGAACTTATCTTTGCGTGCAGTACGATTTTCTGGTGTTTACTCACGAGTTCATTGCAACCTTTCGAAAAATACCACTGCTGAATATCAACAGGATGACGAATTATGACGGTAGGATGACCTGGGAAAATAGTTCACAGCCAAATATTGAAATGGAATCCATAGAGATGGAGTGTTCCGATCATGTACGGGTGACACATATTATGAAGGGCGTGCCAACGTCTGCAATCGCACGGAAAAGTGTTGTCATGGGAACTGTATGGGTGTTTAAGCCTACCGATCACTTCCGCTTCGAGCAACTGTGCGTTTCACGCATGGTCGAGCGGTTCGGAAAGGATGACGGCAATTGGGAATTGGTGCAACTGGACTTTATGTCCCACGAAGTATGTTTCTCCTGATAAAAGCAGCTCAGACGATTGGTCGCTAACATACAATACCTCATAGGCTCTGCAGCGATCAGAGCATCAAGAGACTCTCCGCCGCAGCAAAGGTAATGTAAAAGCTGTTAAAGCTCCCTTCTATGTGTTTATTAACGAACTTCCCCACTAGCTGATACCCTCGGTGACAATCAAGACGATCCAGCCTCGCTATCCGCCTATGAACAAGAACGTCTCAAGCGAATCGAAGAAAATAACAAGACACTATTGAAGCTGGTATGAGGGAACTGTCTTTTAATCTGAAGAGAATATTTTTAACTTTGATCTGCCTCTTTTGACAGGGGTTAATTTCAGAACTCAGTGAAGAATCTGACGATGTTATCCATTATGAGACAATGATGACCAAAGAACCTATAGAAGACGCGCCATTAGTGCTTATGGTCGTGGGCCACCAACAAATTGAAGCACGGCAAATTGGACTTTATCGTGAAAGCATTGTGCAAATAGCTATGGAAGCTACGAAGAAGCTTGCGCCGCAGGGCATGCTGGTGATCGGAACGCGGGATATACGACAAAATGAGGATGGCAAACTTTGGCCAATGACGATGCTTGTACTCGAAGATATTGAACGTGCTGTGGACCGCGATACGATGAAGTTGAAAGAAATGGTTGTCGCGGTACCTGATGGCTACTCCAAAGATCGACGTCGAAAGACTACTGCAGGAGCTTTGGTACAGGATGATGACATAGACATTGTGGATGAGCATCTTCCAATTGTCCATGCCATTTATTTAATATTCCAGCGGCTATAATTCAACCAAACTGATGAACCGTGTCGTAGCATTACAGAACGGCAACGTGGTACCCCTCTCTAATTTAGGGTGATTGCTGAACTCAATGGATGCAGTTCAGTTCCCGCATCCACAATCGTTGTCAAATAAAAGGAAAAACTGATTTCTGTGGAACCACTTGCAATTTAACACTCCGTAAATACCAGAAACAGAAATACATGTTATAAATTCCTCTTCTTAGTCATTAGTATCTGTGTATCCCAACAAGATATACCATATATGATACTCGTACCCTGGAATAGATTGGGAACCAAGGTGTATTCTATATACACAGCGAATCAGCTTGATCGTTCCGGGAACAACCCGTAAATTGTAACGTCGAGTATCAAAAGTATAATTGCTTTGGGAACTACATGAAGAAGCAGAGGCGAAAATGCAATTCATACAAGGATACATTGATGACAGCTTTAAATATGCTTCGGTTTCGAAAGTCTATGAGCACGATGGAAACATTTAATCTCATTGTATTTTGGCGTATTCTGTGTAACTTGCACAGCAGCAATGTTTCCCGGATTTCTAGACATGAGTATGCAAAAAGTCTCTTTTTCATTTGGAGTGGATGGTAAATTCAGTTACATGGAGGTATCGCTGAAGATTGAATCTTGATCAACAGCTTATCCCTAAGGTAGCCGCTTTAGATTCGTATGGACTGTTTTTGAAACAAATATCATCGTTCCATCTGCACAACTGATCATCAGTTGCATCTTCCCCGTTCTTGAACTAAATACTTGTATCAGCCGATATGTCTGTCCTGCGTGTCTGTTTGTTTGTCCCTCGATTGAAAGTCATGTTTAAAGTGGCATCGGTGTCTAATCCTTTGCTAAATCACCAATAAAAATTTTGGGAGACGATTTCAACCGAAACATGTGAGGTGGTACAAACCGACCAAAGCAACGGGTTCACAAGCAGATTCTCAAAGAGAACATCGACATGGTAAGCATCTGAAAGCGGAAATCTGAAATTGCGGGATTTTGTGTTTCTGTACAGCGGAGCCCAATGATAAAGCCCGGGACAGCAACAAAATGGTGATGGTGTCCAACGATCACAAGATCTACAGGGGGGTTGACTTGACCTAGAAAGAAATAACCGATTTGAATTCAGCTTGCCATTTGCTATATTTGGAGTAATGCGGCGTTTGAATGGTGTTGACCCCTCTTTTTTTTCGCTGTTGGGCGATGCAACTTTAAATGGCGATAAGTTATTTTGTAAAGGAGAATCCTACACGGTAACATGTTATAGATGGACTTTATTGGATATGCAATTGAACTTTCTACTGCTTGTTTGGATAAACGAACCATGGTTGATGATACTGACAGGGTGTCCCATTAAACGAGGTTACAAAGTGTGGCTGAAGAAAGAGATTTTGGCTGGTGCTTCGGCCATGAATGCTCGGACTTTGAGTGTAACATTCGACGCTAAGCACCCTTTTTTGACTTTAGTTGCCAAAAATACATCGATTATATTTTAATCACCTCATTCGGTCTGCTTCAGTTCCCTTTTTATTGCGGTTTTCGTTCTCGGTTTTCGTTCTTTATTTATTTGCCTTCTTTTTTTGGCAGAAGAACTTCACTTTTTTTGGTTTTTTTTTTTCTTCTCTTCTCATTTTTTTTTTCTTTTCTCTCCGTTGACCATTCTTCTTTACTGCTTCCAATCTTCTCTCCAAGTCACAAGAGCACGTAACCATGAAATTTGGAGACCATTTACAGCAGGAGATTTTCCCACCGTGGCGACTATCTTACATACAGTACGATGTACTGAAAAACGAACTCAAGACCCGGCAATTGGACCACGGGTGGAACGACCATGACGAGAGGGAATTCGTTCGCTTGCTAGAAAATGAATTGGAGAAAGTATACGACTTTGTCACTGCCAAACTGGGTGAGGTGGAAGCCAGAATCAGCTACTGCGAACGGACTCTTCAGACATTCATGAACAATCAAACCTGGTCTTCTGAACAAAACTGGACAGTAATGGATGATGCTCTGACGGAAGTGCTGTTCGATGTCAACGATTTGGCTAGATTCAGTCGTCTGAACTATATCGGTTTTCAAAAAATTTTGAAAAAGCATGACAAATGGACCGGACTTCAACTGCAGCAGGACTTTGTCGAGCAGCTCCGCGAAAAACCGCTTGATAATCAACGATTCGACGTTGCTATTGTGTTTATTTCAGCACTCCACGACTTGTGCCGGGTGAAAGGCAAACCACGAACCGGTAATGCTGCGTCGGGCGGCGATCAAAATGCATTTGAGCGTGCTACTGCCAAGTATTGGATTCATCCGGATAATATTACGGAAGTGAAATCGATCATTATGCTCCATCTGCCTGTCCTTATTTTCAACAAGGACAAAAAATTCGAACCTTCGGACGCTGCTATCTCATCGGTGTATTACGACAATGAGGAATTCGACTTGTATACGGGCCGTTTACAACGAGATGAAGGAGCCGAGGCCATTCGCTTCCGTTGGTATGGTCCCATGTCATCAAGCAGCGTATTTATCGAACGCAAAACTCATCACGCTGCATGGTTAAACGGCGCTTCGGTAAAAGATCGGTTCCGACTCCATGTGAATGAAGTCGAGCAATTCGTCACTGGCGAACTCACCGCAGATATCTACGCAAACCAATTGGTGGCCAAAGGCACGGATCCAAAAATGGTGGAGGATAGTCATTTCATCGCCAAAGGTGTCGAAACGTCGCTTCGAGAGAAACGCCTGCAACCCGTTCTACGTGCATTCTATAACCGAACGGCGTTCCAATTACCTGGAGATCAACGAGTTCGTGTGAGTCTGGACACCGATCTGACTTTTATTCGCGAAGACAATTTTGATGGCCAGAAGCGGCGTGGTCCACGCCAATGGCGTCGGCCCGATGTCGGCATTGATTACCCTTTCAACTATCTTGATGACTCTGAAATTCTCCGTTTTCCATACGCCGTGCTTGAAACCAAGCTCCAGACCCATTTAGGACAAGAACCACCGCAATGGTTGACCAAGCTGGTGGATTCCCATCTCGTTCACGAAGTTCCTCGCTTTTCCAAATATCTCCATGGTGCTTGCTATTTCCATCGTCAGCGTATGCCTTTGTTGCCATGGTGGTTGTCCGAGATGCAATTGGATATCCGTAAGCCTCGATCAAGCAACTTCGGTTTGACCCGGTCCAAGTCCTTCAAACCGCTCATCGATGGCAAGTATCGTCGTGCGATGGAGACCGAAGAACGACGTATGAGCATCGTAGCACGTTCGTTGAGTAAGAAGTCTCGACCGTCCGTCCGCAGAAACGTGTCCCCAGCAGGTCAACCCGTCGAGGTGAATCTTCTTGACGATCCTTTGTCAGCCCAGGGTAATCGCAACCAAACGTTACCAAGACCCATTCAACTCCACGATCGACAGTCAACGACCGGCGATACTTTGGTTGGATCACCCTTGTCGGACAAGCACCTAGTTGATCGAAGCGGGACTCCTTATACCTTCTATTCCCAAGATGGACCAGCTGTTTCCAGTGTATCATCGCAAGATCCGCTATGGAACTTTTCAAACCACAATAATCACGACGATCCTAACAGTTCGACATTATTAATAGCAGGCGAACAACCACTTGATTACGGATTACCGGCTAACAAGGGAGGCAAAAAGAAGAAGAAGAAAGATCAGGACCTTGAGATGCGCGAATTGGGTGAACCGGTGGTACCTGGTACATTGGTAGAGGATCAAGTTGTGGTGGACATGGATGGCACTAAACCCAAGGCGTGGCGACGTGCCATGGGCGACAATGGCAAGCCAATGTATGTCAAGGATCCTAACAACAAGGGCGGTGTTATTCCTATCAAGAAACTCAAGGTGGAACCCAAGGTGTTCTTCGCCAACGAACGTACTTTTATCAGCTGGCTCCAATTTTGTGCCTTGCTGTTAACCGTCGCTCTCAGTTTATTGAATTTTGGTGATGAAGTATCGCGTATTGCCGGTGGCATCTTTTTGGGTATTGCCGCCCTGATTGCTATTTACGCTTTATACCGATTCGAAAAGCGAGCATGGTAAGTCCTTTTTTTTATATCCTATTGATTCAAGAAAAGTGTGCTAATACTCTTTCATAGGATGATTAATCGACGTATTATTGGCCGTTACGATGATCTGTGGGGTCCTGCTATTCTCTGCATTTTGTTAGTAGGCGCGTTGATCGTCAATTTTTACTTGCGATTCCGTTAAACCTTCTTTTTATGATATTATTTCGTTGTCTTGTTATCATTGCATCCTTCATTATATCCCATCACATGTTCACACTATCTACAATATATAAACACATTTGATCATATAACGTGTATTTACTAGAATATATTATACTTTCTATTTGGTACATTTTCGCAAGACAAAAGACATGTATGAGGTAAGCGGGCTCCTTTGGTGGAAACCCCCCCCCCCAAAAAAAAAAGAGAGCGAGAACATCAAGGTATCGTTTTTTGGAATCACGGGAAGAAAAAAAAATAGGAATTGGCTAGTGGTATTACATAATACATGCGCTAAAATACAGAGGTAAAGATACTTACTGAGAATCAGGATTGAAGATATCTGGGAACACTTCCAGATTATCAGTGAGCTCGCAGATATGGTGAAGACATCGTAATGGGTAAATAATATCAATAAATAGCAAAAGGTTGACCAGCAAATAGTCATCCACCGTAACGCCTCCCATCATGTAGTACAGATCGAGGACAAGATAGCTGTTGAGTAAAGCAGACCAGAAAATGGGCCAGAGAATCTGCAGAGGATCGATTTCGAATTTGGACCTTAGCCATGGCGATGTCGAGCATATGGCTATCAGGGTGCATAGTCTATTCATAGGATAAATAGTTAGTCATCATGCGATGTATTTGTAATATAGTTAAATAAATGGTACGCACAAAGGTTTGGCGCCAGAGAAGGAATAGCGCGGTTGCCATGTGTACAAAAGAAGACTTGAAACACCGGCTATAGACATGAGCAGAACCAATAAACCTTCTGGATAAAGCAACTTTGCAGCTAAGAGAGCGTCAATGCTGAGATTTAGTCCTTTTCCGTCAAATTCTCATTGTAAGGTAGCGCAACCTACTCAGATATGCGAGAATCATCGCCACCAGCAGTGAAAATAAGCCAAGCAAAATTGATTGGACATATCTTGATAGCTGGTAATACTGTGTCCAAAGCTCCCACATCACTAATATGGCCAAAACCAAGGTAGGGAGCAACGGTATCCACCATGCATATTTACTACGGTTTTGTTTTTCCACAGCTCGTTCATCGTTGCATTTTTCTTACACCGGCTATAATGATTTTTTCCCTTACCTATCCTGCAACCATTGGTAAATTGGGCAGAGATGCACGAGTATCAAACAAAGAGCAACCGCACACAAAAGTTGGCACAAGCTGATCAACAACACCCTACGAATGAATACTATGTCAGAGCATCAGCGAACAGAGACCCAGGTTTTAACAGCGATGAACCCAAATGAGAAGTAACAGTGCCCATTTGCGTTTTATATAATTTACCCATTTGGGAGACGAGAGAAGACTGATCGACCGAAACGCCAAATACATCTTCCTGTTGGCTGGATTCAAAACGTTCAAGCAAATGAGACTGGTTTACCGAAAGATATACAGTATGATTGTATAGAGAAGTCGTGTTTAAGCTCTGAGTCATCGCCCCCAAGCTGGCACGTTTCTCCTCGTATGCATAAACCAGCGCTTCAGCGCAAAAGAAATGGGACCCACAGACGTGCATTGCATCGTTTCTTTTCTACGTGACATCACTGAGTAACCCAAATTTGCCCCTTATTTTTTTTACTCGCTTGTGCTCCCGAACCTCCCTCCTTCACGAGTTTACTTCTCCCTTGAGATCAAACAAAAAAAGAGCGTGTAATTATTCTTCCTCCTATGAAAGAAATACAGTTTTCTTCCTTTTTCGCTGCCTTCCTTCACTTTCCGACATGACCCAGTTCAAGTTGCCATGCGGATCTGTAACTGAGGAATCGTTGCCATCATTAAACCAAGTCCTTCAACGCCAAAGTCAACCACCTGTCTGCCTATATAACTATTACATAGTACTGCGCGATCGTCTTCAACTCGAACTGTTGCTCGATTTTTGGTTAGATGTGCAACAGGCGGACATTCTTTACCGACGGTATCTGAAATACGCTTCCCGCGCCAGCAAAAATCCTGCTTCGACGCATGAGACAAATTCACTCACGAGCTTGCCCAGCCCATCAATACACAGTAAATCAATGTCGGCTCAGTTACAATCTGAATCGGCGCTACTGACCCATATGCTATTGACCCATCCCCGAATGTCCACAGCTACGGTATCCACGGTTTACAGCCGATCCACTTTGAAAAAGCCCCCGCCTACGAAATCGGATATGACGGATACTGTCGAGCGGATCTACCTTCGATACATCGTACCGAATGCGGAAAAGGAACTCATTCACCTCCCAAGCCATATTCGCGATTCCATCACCAAGCATTTTGATAATGCTGCCTCGCCAGACAACCCCATCATTTTTGCTGAAGCAAAAACATACATGCACCAACTTTTGCAAGCTACATTTCCATTTTTTCTACGATATAAAGTATATATGAACTTGACTCTCCACCAACAACTAGCGCGGTTAGCCTTGGGACTGTTTGCTTTATTTCTGGGTTTTTCCTTAGAGTTCTCCTTGATCTTTCTAAATATCCATCCCTGGCAAAAGCGCTTATGGGTAATGTCTCTTATTTTCTTCTTTTAAGTTTCACACTCCCTGATTTTTTCGTTCTGGTTTTTTTTATCCCTGCAGGGTGTTCTTCCAATCGGAACTGGCGTGTTTTTAATCTTTACAGGTATCGCCGGTATAGACCCCATTTGGGTTTGGGGCTTCAATATAAGGTACAGTACTGTCATCTTTTGTTCTTGTTAGGCCGGCCAGTGGGAAAAGAAAATCATCTTCCACTTACAATGACTGTCTAGTGAAACAACAACTTTCCAATTCAACTCTATACAACAAGCATACGTTAAAAGAACATTAAGGATACGTTCGATCGTTCTGTCAACTTTCATCCTGTTCGCGGTTGTTGTTGTCTCCCTTATTTTCTGCGTTATTCCAGGGAAACGACTGTGAAAACACGTCGATTTTTACCCACGACGAGAGTAAATACAAACAAGACCAAACAAAGAACTTTGGAAATTACGCCAACAAGCTGCCGAGCCAACGTACTTAAATCATTAACAAGCCATACACCCGCTGTGCAATGAATGCTGTCTGCCACCGGAGGTCGCCCCCTTACATTGAGCGACTTTCGTCAGACAAAAAGCCTAACGCATACACGACATAACCTGGGCGAGAACTCTTGACGGACTTTGATATATTAATGACAACCTTATGGCATACGTTGCAGCGTGAGTTGTTTCTGAACACGCGCAGGGCAGCACTGGTTCCCCCCCAACCTCCCTCAGTTCCATCCCGCCCAGGCTATGATAGATCTAGAAAGATGTGTGGGTATGTTGGGTATTTAAAAAAAAATGAGTTAGTAAGCTCTTTGATTGATTCAAATCTTCATTAAGATATTTTACCCTTTGTTATTTAAGTTTTCGATAGTCATTGCTCGCTTGACATGGCTTGGATTATATGACACTGAAAAACGTTGAATTAGTATACGTTCATTACATCATAGCAAAGGAAAAGAAATTGGACTTGCCTTTGAACCAAATGGTGTACCGGAAAAAAAAAAAAAGATGAACACCGACCACTCAACCATTATAAAATGAAGAGAATCAAAGGACATATACATTATAACTAACAAAAAAAAAAGATCAAATCAAAACACCAGATCACCGTATCATCAATCACCTTGATCTCTACCCACATTTTATTTGAACGGCGACGATGCGTTGTTTGACCACAACTGGCATAAACGGCATCATCTAGCTAAAAGTGGCGCAAAAAAGAATTAACAGGTTCTGATAACTTGGTGTAGATCTCGTGATTTACAAATCGCTAACTTCCAAAAGTTTTTCACTGTATAACTAGTTGCGCGTGTGATCTTGAAGATCACAAAATTTCAGTATACACAATATTATTTGTATAAATGTCGTTGCCAATATCATGGGACGCATGAGAGACCATGGCTTTGATGGAGCTTGGGGTTCTAACTCGAGACATGGCAACATAGAGTTGGCCATGGGAAAATACCGGTTCCGGTAAAAATAAGCCAATGGAGTCAAAGGTCTAACCTTGGGCTTTGTTTATAATCATTGCGAAGGCAAGACGTACAGGAAATTGCACTCATTTCAAATGGAATTGCTTTTTCATCAGAATCATTGATAATTGCTATGCGCGGTAGCAGTACACGTTTTCCAATGTTGATTCCATTGACAATTTCTGCTTCGATAATATGCAGATGGAAAAATCGGCATATTAAACATGTGCCATGCATAAACCATTTGCTTGATCGATGTTTCTAAGCAGCATGATTGGGCAGCCAATCTTAAGTTTAAGGGAATGCGGTGGCAGGTGGGCTGAATTTATAAACTCAAAATTTCAATTAGTGTGCTCCAGTTGAAATCCTCTGTGTCCATGCTGTCAGCACTTTTGTATTCACAGACATCTCCAGGGAAACTGTTCAGCACCTTCTCATTGAGAAAGGTCACATGTCTATTTTTTGGAGCCAAAATGGCACGGCTTATTAAGAATTCTCTCGAGGGCATTGCTGATAAAGAATGACCATATACTGCATATATCAGATCTTCGACATTAGAAGAAGGCACCAGCATCACTGGTGGAAGTAACACCAAGTTCCTATATGTGTACGATTCCGTTCCATTACCAATGCGCAAAATATAGGAGGCGAATTGATCCAATATGTTAGCTTCCTCACCACTGCTTAAGCGAGTTTGTTCTACACGCATGTTTGTTGTTAATCGAAGAACCCTTACAGATGGCCAGAAAGAGGCCCTGTTTAGACATTCAACAATTAGGGGCCTGCTTGCTTTGGGGATCACTGGCCAAAATCCACTGCCTCTCGTTATACGCAAAGGTCCCTAGTTTCCTCACTGCCTGGAATCCTTGAACATGCGGCGGTCGTCTCTCACCCTATAATATACCTTCATAAATAGCATTGCCATAAATACTTCATTCCCCATATCTTACATTTATTCTTTCTGCTTCGGTCCTTTCTTTCGCTGTCGTTGCTTTTTTTTTTATTTTCGTCCTGTTTTCTTCCGTAGGCTTCCTTCTCTGCTTGCTGTATTTTCTGCCATCATTGATGGTCACTTTCGCCCTCTCCCTTTGCACACCTTAGTACAGATGGAAACGGCCTTCGCCAGCATTCGATCCGTTGAAACCCAGTATTTGCGGCAGACTTTCATGAACGCACGTAAGGTACCGATGTCACGTTAGTGACACGGTTGCACCGTCGGGATGTTCAGGAATACATCGATTATATGTGTTCCGTCCATCTTCTTCTTCAGCGCGGCTGATGAAACCCGGTATACGATGAAAATTTCTTGGTAGAACAGCTTCTGATCTGATACGATACGTTTCCTCCGTGGCCATTAGGATGCTATATAAGGATACGTGCGTTCCGGATCGCCACCACATAATGGTATGTTGGTAAGGATTCCTCCTTGAACCCCACGATTCAAACATCGAGCTCCGAGTCGTGATTGGGACTCATTTTGAGACGCGGAAGTAACTTTCGAGCGATATCGCATCGGTTTCGAAGCCAACGGTCATGATCAGGTCGCAAAAACCAGTTCCTTCCATCGTAGCGGATCTTGCGATTGTTCGAAGCTAAAAATGTCAAATGTGTTTGGATAAAGTTCTAGATCAGCGATCTTTGTTGACACAATTTGAAGCTATAAAGGTGCACATTGTCATATCATCCACCGCCTTTCTTCAAAGCCCACCCCGTTAAACTCGTTCATGCCTGCCTATCCAAGTTTTTCGAAAAATCAATTTATTTACAGTCTATGGTTTTTTCTTCATATTATTTTTAGTTAGGTCTTCCATCCAGTTGTTCCAATGGATATTCTTCGTTTTGTATGTTGCTCTCCACAAATCCGTCACGAATTGCATCCCGCTCCCTTCGCTGCTTTTCTTCTTCTTCTTGTAAAGTCTCGGTACCCCATTCCTTGGGCACAGTCAAATTTAAGAAGATGGCCATGAGTGAACCGATACAATAACCCGTATTCACAATCGTGGTTACGGCACTCAAAAACCCTTTCAGCGACTCGTTATCACCTTCATATTTGAACACATGCGTAAACCAATTGGGAACAAGAATGGTGCCCATGCCGAGAGCCAGCGACGCTGTGACAATGAAACGATCACGTCGCGTCCACGGCAAGTACGCCAGGATACGAATTCCAGACACAGTCACGGAAGCGAACAAGAATGCGTTCATGCCACCCAATACCGGTGACGGAATGGCAAGAAAGACTGCAGAAATCTTGCCAAAGATGCCATAGAGTAAAATAAATATACAACAACAGTAGCCGGCAATTCGATTCGCACAGCGTGTTAGAGCAATCACACCGTTGTTTTGCGCAAATGTCACCAAGGGACTGATCGTCATGCAAGCGGCAATGAAAGAGCTGACACCGTCTGCCAAAAGACCACCTTGAATACGTCGTTGGAAGGGCGGGCCATCCACTTCCACACCTGAAACATCACAGGACGCGGTAATGTCGCCTAATCATATGCGTCACGGCAATTATGTCAGTACTTTAGCAGATGAAACACCTGCTGTCCCAAATCAGTACATACCAATGCTTTCCAGCATATTATCCAGAAAAACAATAAGAAAGGGAATAATAGCCGGTCCATAGACCGTGATCGGGAACGTTTTGACCCAGACAAATGTAACAGCGGGGGCCGTTTCCACCGTCGAAGAATCGACATAACCTGTAGCAGCGGCGACGATGGTTCCAACAATTAAGCCAATCACGATTTGGGAACTCTTCATGAACGGGGAACCGAAATTTTCAATAAGAAGGATAGTGGCAAACACAAGGAAGCCTAAACCCAAGAATTCCGGACTACCCCAGGGTAGTGCATGTGGCGCATCGATATTGGGACATTTCGAGAAAAAACCAGTAGCGGGACGAGAAAGGCAACCACCGGATCCACCAGCCCAATCCTGCAAAGCTGTGCTAATGACTGAGCAACCGATCAGTAGAATAGTCGTACCGGATACAATAGGAGGAAATAAACGCTTGATCGTCTTTGGAGGTAAGAAGCTCATGCCAATTTCAAAGAACGAACAAACCATGGAAGTACCGAGAACAGCGCCCCAGGCATGTGGACAAGGTAGGTGTTGTAAACTGCCGTCCTCCAACGTTTGCGTAGGACAATAGCCGCTTGAATACATTTCCTTGATCACTGCCGCGGTGGCCGGAATACAAGCGAAATTAGGACCGACAACACTCAACAATCCAGTGCCGAGGTAGTAATTTGTTCTCCAGATTTTGAATCGTGTAATTTGAATCAAGGACAACAGGGCGGACGTAATGAGAGCGGCTGATAAGAGGTATTGTTGATCGGCTTGGGTTAGATTTAGTGCGGTAGGACCCGAACCCGTCATGATTAAGATTGGTGTTACCACACCACTGACCTGTCAATCACGCAAATACCAACATGAATTGAGCTGTTTCCTAAACGAGTAAGCCACGATGTTGAACTTACCATAGCGAGAGAGTGTTGGAAACCCATCACGATAGCCAACCCAAGCGGTAACCGACTGTTCAAACCCCAAAACGGCGTACGCTTCTTCTCTTTGACGAAGATGGAGGGAACACACATAGCCTTCCAGTCGAAATCACCCCACCATCCCTCCCGTGTGGTTGCTTGCTCTTTTACGAGCGTCCATAGACTCGGAGGTTCCGCCGGTTTATACGCTTGGAACTCGGTGCGAATCGTCTCACGGTCTGAGATGGACGGTATATTAGATTGGTGCTTATTATCCATGGGATTACACGATCCACTGATAAAGCGGTTCGAAAGCTATCAAGGAATGCAGCAGGAAAAAGAACAAAGAGACATTTTTTTGTCTCGACTGCATTAGAAAACAAAAATAAAAAAAAAAATTAGAAAAAAAGCCATCCAACCATGACTAACGTTTTTACCATTTTTGGTTATGATCCTTTGACTGTCAACTCGTGAAAATTTTTAATTCAGCGACCGAGTAGTCATTGGGTCGGTGTCTCATTTCCCTTCTTTATTGGCCCGTGGTTTAATGCCGCTGATGTGCCACTGCAGAACTCACCCTATTTGAGCGCTCCGATATCCCAATTGATGGCTTGGTCGCCTTTTTTTTTATTCAGTTATCGATCGCGAATATTACGGAATTGACTATTTGGGTAATCAAGTATGTTGGGAGACGAATTGACTTGTTGATGGAAGCTGTTGTAGACCGTGTTCAAAAGACTGCGTTCGTCGTTGCCGTGAAGATCAGCACTCAACTCCCAAAACATCGCTCCTCCCAGCTTGCGATCTTCGATATATAGACATTTTTCTTTTGCCACGCGAGGAGAATCAAACGTAACAAATTCACGCGTTTGGTTATCATAGGTCCAAGAAGCTACATTCTGCTCATCATAGTATTCGGTCGCACCCGGCTGGGGTAACTGATTATAGTCGTATACACCTTCCTCCCAGGTGCCTTTTGGAACTCCGGAAAAGGGCGCGCCTAAACCATCGGTTGCGGAAAATCCACGTCCATAAAGTGGCATGCCCATGACAAGCTTTTGTGAAGGAACCCCATGCGAAGTAAAGTACGTAACGGTTTTATCGATACTCTGCCGGTTTCCGTACAATGGCGATTGATGGCCAGTGACAGCGTCCCAGGACCCTGCAAGATCGTAGGCCATAAGGTAAAACAAATCCACATAGCGTTCCATTTCGCCAAGGGGTAGTAGTGCGTAGGTCTCGGGACTGCATGACATAGCAACGGATAATAGGTAAGGTGTCCCACCTGTATGCGATCGTTTCGTATCGAACACATGCCGGACTTCCTTTAGCAGCTCCGCAAACGACTGAGCCTCTTTAGCATTTTTTGGGAACTCCCAATCAATGTCTATAGCAAAGAACGAAAATTAGAAGCATAACGGATCTCGCAAATTGTCCAATACTTACCAATACCATCCAACCCGAAATTTTCTACCAAATCAAGAGCGTTTGCGGCAAAAACAGAGCGCTTGACGGGATCCGCTGCAACAGCTGCAAAGTTTCCTGACCATGACCAACCGCCTACGCTCAAAGAAACCTTCAAGTGACGGTTCAGCTGCTTTAGCAGATAAAATTGATGCAAGCTACCGTAAAGATTCTCCTCTTCATCGTTCCAGCTGTCAGCCAGTTCATTGACACTGGATTCTGTATGATAAGAAACAAAAAAGTCAGCCCACTATGATGACCTTTCAAAAATTACACCATTTCTATTTTACCAGCATCAAAATGCTTATCTTTGTCAGCCCAGTCATCCTAAGAATGGTATTATTCATTAGTCGGCTGTTGACAAACGAATTTATACCGCTCTCATTGCACTGTACCCCTAGCACGATCGTGCCGTTATCATGGACGTTGGCAAAAGCGTAAAGAACGTGAGATAATTTTGATACATCTTCTTTGAGATGAGCAGGAGTATAGTTGCGATCGTATATTGCCCAATTAACGTAGTAAGCCGCCACGACATGCTCGGGCGATGAAGTAGGTCGATGGAATATATCAGGCGAGGTATACCGCGGTCTTTCGTGAAGCCATCCCAAATAATATAATATCGTCGCCAGAGGCAAGGTTATCAACGCATAAATGCTATAACGATTAAGCATTATGGCATCAGGGTAATGGAGAAGTGAAAGGGTTGAAGAATTGGAAGAGAGAAGAAATAGGTAATACAAAAAAGTTGGGAATTTCGAGAAATGACTTTTTTTTTATTTTTCTGCGTCGTCTCTGTTGTTACTGTATATGAATGATTTAATGGGCAACTTCTTCGGGCTCAGCATCGTACTTGGCCAACTGCTCGGTCAAATCCTCATCGACTTTGGGTGCCTATATGAAACAAAGAACTCTCCATAAATATCCATCACTGTCGACCCGTTAACGATTATCGAATACATACGGCAGGAGGGGTAGGCAACTTCAATTCCTTAACCTGAGAATCGTCAACCTTGGCCTGTATATCATTTCAAATACGTCAAAATAAAAGCAACGAAAGAAGTAAGTGAATCCGCTGGAATACACGACATGCGTTTGCGAATGTCAAATAGTCAACTTACAGCAGGGGCAGGCTTGTAGTTCTTGAGTTCCTTGAGGAACAATTCCTGAACGACATCTATATAATAGAATAACAAGCAACCAGTCAGTTTTTCTCACCATCGCGAGGAATATATTTCTTGGTAATTTACCCTTTTGCATGACGGAGGAAACGGCAATGCTACGGACGGCCATGGCGGGAACGGCAGCACGAACGTTAAGAGGAGCCTAATGAATGATAAGTCAGAAAAATCATAATAGATGCAAAAGTGTTCATTGGCTGCCGAGAAATACCTTGATGGCAACGGAGCGGACGGCGATGCGAGCGAAGGACATGGTAGGCTTTTCTTATTCTAGTGCGAACGAAAGAGTGACCAATATTTTCTCGTGAAAAATTTAAAAAAACCAAGGGCCCCAAGCCAAACAGATTGGTCTAGCGGCAATCGAAAAAATATTCAATGGCTGGGTTGACGTCATCACCTGTCGCTGCCTGCGCGAGCCCGAGGCTTTTTTTTCTTCCTGGCAGGCACAACTCCTTCGCAACAAGAACTTGAAATTATTCTTTCTCTTTTGTATGTTTATATTGTATTCCATTATCCCTATTTCTTAAGCAATAAGCGCACCATCCCCGTGGAACTTGTTCCGTTGAAACTTGCCTTTAAATTTCCAACGGTCTTCGCACGCCAAAAGAGGAAACAGTTACTACGGCAACAATTTTATAAATCTAACGAGAGATAGCCTCTTACGGCCGCAGAAGTGACGCACCGCAAGAAACGATGTGTTACTGCTTTACGTCATGGCGGCTGCAAGGCTGAATGCTAGTAACGGGTTATGAGGCTCTATAGGCATGGAATATCACTGGAAACAGACCAGACGTATTTTTTAAGTACCTCAGAATATCTTTAATTCAACCAAAATGTTCTCGGAACATAGCAGCATGATAAAAGCGACTGTGGCACAGAGTCCCAAGGGGCTTGAAGACCAATGAACGCATTGAACTAAGACTTGTCAAGTTGACGGCAGACTGTTGAAGAAATTGTTTGATTAAAAATGAATCCGGTCTTGCTTGATTTTTAAAAAACTCAATGATCTCTTCTTGTGTATGCCGATGAAAAGATCCGACATGCGATGCTGTCTACCCTGTCAGAGAGAACGTTCAAAAAAATCTACTTTAGACTTCAAGAATGATTCCTTCTTAATAAGTATGTGCATTGTTCTTAAAAGTCTTTTGATTTATGCAGAATGCTAATTGTATTTCTTTGAGTTTTATGATATGGAGTGCATGGACCATTTTTATGAATGTCGAAATCATCCCACGAGTGACTCGCCATCTGGGGAAAAAATGCGGGGACGCAAAATGAAAAAATCAAATTAAAAAAGCGCTCGTTTGACAGAAAAGAAATCAATCTTCTTTATCAATAAACCGAAATGTCGGATTTCGTCTCGAGCAAGCGGCAACGAGTTAGTAAAGCTTGGTAATCACATAAAAAGTTACCTTTATTGGCGTTCTATTGTGTGTACATACTGATCCTTTTTTTAGTGAGCAGTGTCGTCGAAAAAAGATTAAGTGCAATGGCGACATGCCCCTGTGTGCCAATTGCTATACTTTGGGCCTGCAATGTACATACAAAGAATCGACCAAGAAGGTAAACACACTCACATAAGTATCAATGATGGATGAAAGGGCTAAAATCGATTTTGATATTCTAAGCGTGGGCCACCCAAGGGATACATCGAAGCTATTGAGGGACGTTTGCATCGTCTGGAAGCACTACTCGGCAGTGTTATTCAGGAGGATGACCCTCGGTCACAAGCAATCTTGAAAGAACTTAATGCTCCCTTAGAAACCGCCTACGGTGAAGTGGTTAGACCGAGGCCCATGCGAAAACCAGACATGTTGGGTCCAGGGGAAGAGGAATCTGACATGCAGGATCTGACTTTGGATCCATCTTCGGCTGAAAGTGTTAATGATGTCTCGGATAAAATAACCGACGACAATGACGAAAATACCAATGACAATCTTGGAAATCTTTCCATCGACGAAAGTGGTCAACTTCGCTATTACGGCAAATCATCTGGCTTTTACATGCTTCGCAGTAGCAAGAATTTTCAGAACGGGGCTTTTCACTTTAATTCCAAAGGCTATCGTTCTCGATCTAGCGAGCAGGATTCCGTCTTGAATATGCTCTCGGTCGATCCGTACGAGTTACCGCCTCAAGATTTATCCGCCCATTTACTGGATTTATACTTTGATCACTTTTACCCGCTTTTACCTCTGTTGCACAAAAAGTCGTTTCTTGAATCTCTGAAAAGCAAAGATCATCCACCGCCATTGCTTTTATTGAACGCCATCTATGCAGTTGCTTCTCGTATTTCCCCTGATGTACGTGTTCGTGCCAAGCCCGACCTCCCGGATTCAGCTGGTGACATCTTTTTTGAAAGAGCTCGCATTCTCCTCGATTTTGAATGGGACGATTTCCGGCTTTCCACCGTCCAATCCCTCTTGCTGATGAGCAGTCATCAAAACGGAGCCCTTAAAAATATACGAGGATGGCTTTACAGTGGGCTGGTACGTAACATGATATAGTGGATCAGTGTTTTCGAAAAAAACAAAAAGCTCATCGTTGTTTGTCTCAGGCATTCCGCATGTCTCAAAATTTAGGTCTCAACCGAAATTGCGACAGCTGGCATCTTTCCGAAACTGAAAAGGAGGAACGGAAACGAGTATTTTACTGCTGTTTTGTGGTTGACAGACTTACTTGTGCTATGCATGGAAGAGCGCCCATGATCGACGAACGCGATTACGACACACCGTACCCTATGCAGAACGATGAAGATGATCTCGATCGTTCGCCAAGAATCATGGATAACTTTCATCAATTAATCAAACTATGTGAAATTCTTGGTGAGGTTTTATGCAATTTATACACGGTGAAAAGCAGAAAGCGATTATCCATCATGGCGACCCCGGATTCCGTGATCTCGAAACTGGATAAAATGTTGAACAACTGGATGGCAAAACTTCCACAGTCGGTTCAGTATCGGCCACCCAATACAAGAATGGCCGAACACGCACCTGCCCCCACATTGGAATTATGCCAGTTACACATGTTATTCTACACCACTGTCATCCTGCTGCATCGTCCCTTTATTCCTGGACCGACACAAACAACCGCACTTTCCGCATTTCCGTCTGCCGCCATTTGTACGTTTGCTGCCAACAAAATCTTGGATATTGTTCAGTTATTGATGGAGGAGAACCGCTTGAAGAATGTCAACAATTACGCGCTTTATTTCATGTTTACGGCTGGTATCATTTTCATCAACGATGCTGCGTCGACGGACAGCATGTTTGCATTTGAAGCCAAAATCAGTATCAATAAAATCATTCGCGCCATGGATACGGTGGAAGCCACTTGGATTACTTCCGCTCGTCACTGCAACATTCTCGGTGAACTGGCGGGACTACGCGACATCAACTTGGAATGCGTAGATGAAAACTACACCAAACGACCGCAGCAAAGAGAATGGACTCCCTCTTTATCCATCACCGTCCCGAATTCTCCGGAAATGGACAATGGATCGCCGGAATCTAAGCCTCGCGTCACCAGATCTTTGATGGCGTCACAGACGAAGAGCTCCATGTTACCGTATTATCTATCCGGTTATGCCACAAGTAGTGGCCCAGCAACCGATTTCGAGTCCAAAGATCTATTGCGTCAATCTAGCCATTCCTATCAACCCAGTCCATTACCAACATCACGCACCGAACATTCCTCACCTCAACCGATTGCTCTACCTACTCATGTTGCGGACAATTATGCCAGTCCGGATCAGGCTCAATCCCTTGATGTTGTTGGCACGGCGTTTTGGAACGTTCCCATGTCTTTTGACATTGATGAATGGAATATCTATTTCAACAAACAGAATTATCGTCCGCAGACATTGTTATCACAAGCTTCACCACCGTATCAATCGAATCCAAGTTCAAGTGCGGAGGATGCGGCACAATCACAAGCCTTTTACCTGCCATCTGATACACGGCAAGGTACGCAGGATCCATCCAGAATTTGGTAAAGGCCCTGTCCCATTGTATCAAAAGTTTTCTTCTTCCCCCTGCCACTATTTCACTTATAATAATCCAAAAGCTGTTGGTGTTGCTGCCTTTATTTTCAGCTTAATCTATAGAATTTATAACTATTTAATCGCCTACTGTAAATATTCCTGCATCGTAATTTTTCCCCGTAAATATATTCTTTTGTTCTCCATAATGTAGACAGCCATCTGTTGATAAGGATCACGAAGCATTTTCAGGTGGCATTCGTTAAGACAAGTCTGTTTATTGCCAACCGACGCTGACAATTATAAAAGGACGTTTGAGTAGACTTTTGAGGTGAATAACCACGTTAAATTGATCGACGAAACATTTTCCACAGGCTGCTTCCGTTCATCATTTCTCCGAGGCTCGATTGTTACTGGGAGTAAAAAAGATTTATATGGTTGAAACATCGCAGCTTCGGTTTAATTGTTCAATTCAAATCATAGACGTGCTCTATTCAATGCATGCCGAGCATTATATATCATCCATTGCTGATATAAAGCAGTCGAGAGAAGAAAAAAACAGGAAATTAAAATAAAAGCGCATAACTTGCATCTGCTCAAAATCAAAGAACTTTATAGGAAAAACAAGAGAAATTATACACTACTAGGATGTTCACTGTCTCTATCGATTACTTTTGAACGCTCAATTATATAATGGCGATATTAAGACAATAGTGGGTAAAGAAAGCGGACCATTAAATCGTTAAGAAAGGTGAGAAGAAAGTTAATCCAGTGAAATCCTAATCACGACACTTGCAACTTGCCAACTTTTTTTTTTTTTGACCAAGGCATTTTAACGCCTCCGACCAATCAGCTTCGCGGAACCATCTACCTCACTATCACGTGATTTCTTTCAACAATACTGCTATCTGAAAGTTTTGTAAAATTTACAAAAAAGGAAGCTGATTTGGCCGAGTTGGTCTAAGGCGCCGCACTCAAGTTGCGGTCTCGCAAGAGGCGTGAGTTCGAATCTCACAGTCAGCACACTTTTTTGCGCTGATTAGCTGTCGTAACCTTTTTGTGCTCAGCCAATCAGCCTCAAGATTCCTTTTCCAGCTGTTGTCGTATTTACTGGATCTGATAAACTGCACGATCACCAAAGTAAATAGACGAGGATTGACAATAAAACGAATGATGATGTTTATTCAATGTTTTGGGGTTTCTTTTTATATTCTATTATGACAATGCTATCTATTCATGATATATCGACTATTACTCATACTGAGCTTTGTTGTTGATATTTACGAACCGTGAGTCATTAAAACAAAACGTTTAGAGGACCGCTAACAGGTCCGACACTGTCGTATCCTTTTTTGGTATTTCCTAAAACGTTCACGGCAACACTTACGTTTTTGGTAATGACGCTTTGATCACCTTCAAGCAAAGGTTTCCTTCATCGAACAGCTCGGCCGAAAGGCTGAGCATTCAGAACCAAAATACCCTGCCAAGCCGTACTACGAAATTATTATAGATTAACCCAAAAACATATAAATATCCCCTCGATCAAAACGAATAAAGATTATCAATTATCTATCCTCCAATTCTGGTTTATTTCTTCATCTATCGTCCGTGGAACCAGTATCCGGAATAGATTCAGCAAACCCCGAAAACGACACAGCGATCATTACATCATGATCGGCCATCCATCCCAATTCGGCAACCTTGTCAAGAAGTCCTGGCTGGCTCAGCACACTGCGTCATTGCTGTAACCTTCCATTTTTATACCATATCCTGTCATCAATAATAGGATATCTAACATATAAATATCCTTCAAACCAAAATGAATAAACATCATCTTATCCTCCCGTATTTTATTGTTCGCTACAGATTTAGTCTACTTCTCTGGCCATTGGAATTCCAGCCTAGATCCTGACGACGACACGTGATTCACTGGATCTATTCCGGATACTGATTCCATGGACAATAGATAAAGAAAGCAGAATTGGAGGATAGATAATTGATGATCTTTATTTGTGTTGATCGAGGGGAAGTATATATGTTTTGTGTCAATCTTATTAATTCAGGTAAAATCGGACCATTTGGTCCGATTATAATATTTTTCTCTAAAAAAATAAAAAACAATTACATGTCACTTTTATATTACGGTAGAAGAAGATCTCAGTAACATATATCTGTTCTCGCGAATCATAAGAATGAATAATGGAGCATCTTTTTTTTACAAGGTTCTTCTGGAGTCGACTTCCCAAATTTAGAAATCGGACCAAAATGATCCGATTGTTGAAGCGGCTGTGGACCACAAAATAGAAAGGCTTTCGTCGTTTATTTTTTATGTCTGATAGAATGATACATAGGTATTATTACTATTGCCTTCTTTTCTCCTATTCTTTTTCTAAAGTTTCGGTATGGCACCTTTTGCACATAGGATCTGTACTACACGAGCACCTCTTTTCCACTTTCGTTGAACCCTTTCTACGAGGAATATGGAAGTAAATTTTATTTCAATAGAGGCAATGAAATAATCAAATATGGTTGTAGCTGACGTGTCTCGATTTTTGGAGCCTGTGAAATGTCTCAGGTATGGAGAAAAAGCGTATCAAGAATAATCAGACCAAATGGTCCGATTTGAAGTACCTGCTTAAATAAGCACATTTCTAAGTTGTAAAAGGACAGTGACTCTGCAAAAAGTATTACGTTCTCTGGTCACAAATTTGTGAATTTGGTCACAACTGCTCACAAATGCCGAACAGCACAATGAATGAAATTTTTTAAATTACTCATTCCTCTTGCGAATGATCTTTCGTCTTTCAAAAGAGCTGTCTACAGAGATAGATGTCTTCTTATAATTTTATAATGATCCATTATTGACTGTAAGCAGACATAGATTATAAATCTAGTGATTCATATCTCTTCTAAGAGTCGTTTCAACATACCTTATATCTTTCTGATTACGATCTTTATTCTTCCTTCTTCACCAAACATTACATTCTCAATTGCATCGATGATATTGCTACATTTGATTTCAGAGGATACCTGGAATAGCTTACCGCAGACGCAGTTTGCATGGATATCTGAGTTCGCATATTGCAGCTGATGTTTGCTTTACATAAATTCCAGTTGCTTAATGTAGGTTTTCCCAGCAGATTTCTCTCCTCACTCTCTATGTTTGAAGAACGCAACTGCTGATCCTCTTGCATAATCTGAGTCCAGAAGAAGATTCATATAATGGAGTAAAATGCTCAGGATTTTGGGACAGACTAGAGAAAAGAGTTCTCTTTTTTTTTATGAGTAAAAAAGAAAGTCGCGGCACTATGAAAAACTTGCTCAAAAACAAAGATACAGTGTGATGGCAGTCGCCAGATTCGCTCATTATGCACCGAATGCAATATGGAGCTAATGGAGCTCGTATATTTATTTCACCGGCCTTTATTCTATCTGCAAAAATAGATGTTTTAGATTTATTGAAAAAAAAGGTCCAAAACGACTGCTCATGTTGAAATGGTGAATGCAATGCGATGAATTGCGATGCGATCACCGGGATTTCACAACAATAAAGGCAAGAAAATAGGCTTTTCAAAGAAAAATAATATCCGGACAGTATACAGCAAAAAGCTGCAGTATCAATGGAAAGGTGACAAAAAAACGGCATAAGTTTGGACCATTTTTTCACCTACTGTACCGTAAAAAAATGATATGACAACTTGCAGAGTCAAAAAAAAGTGTTGTCTGAAGGAACAGATTACGTAATTGTCAAGCATTTACATACATGAATTGCCGGTCGTGTGTAATGGGACAAGAAAAAAAAATGAACTGACACAGCTTTGACTGACCCGAATGAACCGACTCCGATAAGGAACTCTACTTGGGGCGAGTGACCCCAACAGAGAATAGTGCTTGGAGGGAATCTGCTTTAATTTCTTTTTCACCTCCCCACATACACTGTTTTTGTTACTTGGCGTATCTGCTCATTGCTGGCATGTAAACTAAAACATGTTCAAGCATCAGCTTTAGTAAAGCAGATCATTGTGTAGTTTAAGGCTTTTACTGTTAATGGTTTTTCAGACAAATGCTGTCGAGGCCGGCTGTTGAGAACAAAACAGCAAGTGTTGTTACCTCCTCTTTTTTTTTTTGGCTTTAATCTAATGCAACTATTCCATGAATGAAATGGTTTGAAGCAATGTACCCCTGGATCCAAGAAAACTTGAGCATACCATTTCATCTTTGCTTTCCTTTCATTTTTTGTTTATGCACAGCTGGCAAACTTCATACGATCCAATCCATCTTCGAGTACAACATGTTTTGCCGAAGCGAATAACTACTTTTGCGCATTGACAAAAAAAAATTGACATCGCTTGCTTGTCGAGTTTTACTGCGTAGTTGTCATTGCCGTAGGTATCGGGAATTATCACATATTATGCCCATATTGAATTCAAAGACCTTTATCCGGTCTTGGCGTATTCATAATTTTGTTGGCAAAACCGTGTAGGTATGAGTCAAAAAGATTGATTTTCTTTCTTTGTGTATTTTTGTGGTTTAACACGTTATCCAGTTAAAGTTAACACCGATGATGGGCTTTCCAAGGGTCTATTGCAACTTCCAAGATATAGCTGTTTATATTTGGTTTCCTTTTCGTAATGCGTAGCCACAGCTCCATAAACGTCTACCGCTCGTGTCGGTCACATGGTTTTTTTGTTTTTCCCATAGAAGTCCACCCCTTTTTATTTTGAGAGAAAAAGGTCGGACCACCACATGAAAGCGGAGGTTGACTGCTTTATTACTAGTTTTATGCAGCATCCATTCGAACTCAGTCGTACAATAAAGAACTCTTGAGAACATTTTCACGGAATTTCACACATTGACATCTGTCTACAGATGGAATTTCATGTTCTATCAATGTTATCAGAATAAACTGTTTTTTAAGGAGGATCCCTGAATGTATTCGAGTTTTTCGTGACATTGCTTATCAGAGATGGCGCGCAGATCGTCTGGTGAGGGTGAAGTTGCCTTTTTTGTCAGAATCAAGATGGGTGGCAAGCCAGATCAATATTCATTATCTTGACCACAATAAATTCATGTTCAAGAGAAAAATAACAAGCTGGTATTGCCTTTTCCTTTGGTTATTGTTTTCAATGACCATCGAGCCATAGAACCTTCATTTTCTTTTCCCAACTCCATATCTAACAATTTCTCAGGTTGGTATCACTATTATCAAATTCTGCAAAATGATCCAGTCAGTCACGCCTTTTTTGTTATAGAATGCTTACTCATTTGGCAGGCCCTCGTTGCATATACACTTGGACCGAAGCGATAAGCAGTCATGGGTTGATTGGGCAACAACACGAAATGAAGGCACCAGCTACTTTGCCAGTGCCATGCGGTATGTTGGTGCGTCGCGAACACACCCCTGCTACAATGCACTTTGCCAATTTGCCCCCGAAGGTGCCGCCGACGATGGATCGTGGCTGTACGATGAGGAATTGATGACTCAGGCAGCTTCACAGTGGGGTGCATGGATGAAACAGTTCCTTCCCGCTGATCACTTTAGCTCCCAAAACCAAAGGCGTCGTGTCATGCAACGGTGGATCCAGCAGCCTGGAGAGTACGACTTTACGGCAACCATGGAGGGTCGACTTATCTATGTTCCTGCGACCTGGTCTGCCCGGTTACGTTGGCTCGATGGCTCGGTTGAACGCACCTTGCAGCTCAAGTTTCCGAATTCCCTATTTGACAGCAATCGCAGAGAAGATCGAATGTGCAGACTGCGGTTCCTGCCTGAAGGCATTGGTCTCGAGAGTGAAGATGGAGAGCAACTGGGGGTACGAGCGTTGCGCAACCTGACATACCTGAGGGCGCAAGAAGACGGAGCGCACCTTGTTCGCCTTTGGCAGCAAGAACGTCTTCGTCTCGGCGATACCACCGCCGGAACCGAAATCATCCCAGGTCATGCCGACGTCCCAGCGAACCAGCGTCGCAAACCGCTGCAGGTCAGTTCGGGTGAACGATCGAAAGAGCCGTTCAGGCAATTCATCTATGATACCGATGCCCTGGGTCTCCTTCGCCGGTTTCTAGACCAACGGTTCCTGCAGGGTGGGTACGTTAACCTTGCTCCACCCAATCTGCAGCCTCATATAAGTACCGAGTCGATCGCCTTTCAGGCCGTTTTTGACCGCTTCTTACGACGTCATACAGATCACCCACATTATCATACATGGCACGCCTGGAATAGCGATATCTCAAAATGGGGCCGCCATTATTTCGTTAATATTGAATTGCTACGTCCAGGATCCACTAAACACGATCATTGGGAAAATCTGCCAGCAGGGTCTCGTCGCCGTTGCTCCCATATCCGTATCGCACCGAGACCTTGATCTGCTCCTGTCGCCGTCGTCTTTCCTTTTTTTTCTTTGAACTTACTTACCTTTTGTTTTTGTCCTTTTGTCCTCTTTTTCTTTTGTCTTTTTGCCGTTTTGTTTTTTCGTCTGTTTATCTTTTCGTCTTTTTGCTTTTGTATCTTTTTTAACTTCCAGTCCCTTTTTGTTTTTTCAGTTGACCTTTTTTTGTATTTTATTCGTATTGTCAATATATACATTATTCTGTCTGTTAATCAATTAGTCGATATCTTTATATTTGATTAGTACTTGAATCTCGTTTTGCATGCAAAATAGAAGAACTGCATCAAAGTTTTGTAAGAAGCAGCCTCTATGAACACAACAACGGTGCGCATGCTAACCTGTGCATCATGACCATTTTAGTTTTTCGTTATGTTTCATTTTATAGACAACTGTTCAGTTGACCAATGAAGAAGCCATACTTTCCGTGATCGTCAATTGTTTCCACCTTGTCGAATCGGAAAATACAGTGTAGTTTAAAGATCATCATTCGCGACAAGTAATAAGAAGACAACGACACAACAATTGACAAGGCGTTATTAAATAAGGAATATACATGGCACAGCGAAAGGCAACAAGACTGGACACCGCGAATACCAGTTTTTTATAATTTCCAACTGAGGTTTTACCGAATAAGAAATAATGTACGAGGTATACTAGACTGAGTGATAAGAAAAAAAAAATATAAGCAGCGGTGTTCGGTCCAGCAAGCAAAGTTTGAACCATCTCATTTCCACTTGCAGTTGCTTGGATAGTTCATTCCACCTAATTCAGTCCGTTAGCATCAAGTCATTAAACAAAGGCCAACTATAATCGTTCCATTCTGCTGTTGCGACTTGTTTTTCTTATTTAGTTTTTGACAGTCATTTGACAGTCGATGTGTATGAAAAGTGAATACAGGGAAAAAGCATTCGAGAATTAGAAATTGCCAGCCGCAGCAAGTTAGGTTTGTCAGAAAAAGAACAAGAGACGAAACCAAATGCACAGAAAATCCAGTTTTCAGATTTTTGGTCATGCATATCAAAAGAACGCAACAATATTAATACAATAGATAACAAGAAATGTATTATGCACTGATTACGGGAGGATCAGTGCAAGCTGGACAAGAGGGTGGTGTTAAGTGCTTTTGCAAGACAAGGACAAGACAAGACAAGAAAAGGAATATTACAGGAACAAGATAGAAACAGGAAAAGAACCAAGACAAGGTCAAGATAAGATGAAGAACAAGATAGTACAAGAGAATACACAATTCTTGACTGAGGTTAATTTCATGAGAAGAGATCGGATATTTATACTAAAGGATCGGATATAGAACAGACAACGATAATAAAATAATTAAATGAAATGCAGAGCATGACATGAGGTAAAGCATAGATCAGCAAAAGAAGAGGACAACGGTAAGAGAGGAATATAGAGACCAAGTAAAAGGGTATACGCATGGACCAGCACGGCAACAGTGGAGAGCGTGCTTGGGCCAATAATACACATGGTCGCGCAGTTATGGCCAAGACAACGTGTACGCGGGAATGGTCATGACAGATAAAACGAATATCTAGATGGATTCCATATTGGATTGATGATGTTCCTATCGGATATATAATTTGATTATATAGATATATGACTGATGTATTAATTTTCGAACATTTTGAATTTCTCAAACGTCAGCAACTTTTAGCCTTTCGGACAGCTCCATGCCTACATTGTCAATTTTATTGCTCATGTATATTTTCAGTGCATCAACTTAATTTTTTTTATAACTATTTCCTCCACTTCAAGAGAAAAAAAAAAGATGTTTGCTAATAAATATATTTTCGCTGCTCGCAAATCGAATCCTTTCTAATATACCCTCAACCGTACCTTGTGTCCCGATTATTGGACCAACTTTCCATGCACTTCAATGCTGTTTTGCCCCAAAATTTTCGCCCAAACTTTCACAGTTCATAATATCGATGAATTCCCTTCCAAACGGCAAGCGGTTGGGGTCAATGGTGTAGTGGTATCATTCATCATTTGGGTTGATGAGGCCCCGGGTTCAAATCCCGGTTGACCCCATTTTTGCATTGCTTTTGGGTGGGGAAAGTATATTTTTTTGTGATGGGGAATGGAGAGAATGTTGAATGGAATGGCAAAAATTTTGATGAAATTGTCAGATTTGAGTACTCCTTTAGAGTTCAGTTTAAATCTGTAGTTTTTGTTCATTCTTTATTTCTACCATAACATGGTCATATTTATATTTTCTATCAAGATCATTTTTATGTCTACAATCTTCAGGAAGGTTCTCGTCAACTTCCTGCACGATTTTCTATTATTCCGAAACATAACCAATCAAGAAGTATTGCGGACCACTTTAATGCTGAACGGATTCGGTCTATATTTCTTCCGTTTTCCAGGCAATACCTTTGGTATGCCTCGTTCATCCATTGGTCCTTCATACCTTCTCGAAGGTTCCTCCAGACATCGATCTGCGGACGAGCCAATGCGCTGTCTTCCGTATTTGCTAAACTTTGGTATAGCAAATCTAATCGGCGCAAAAGAAGAACCGGCGTAACTGACAAAATAAATGGGAAATTGGGGAAGAGAGTGAGAACGTAATTTTTTTTTCTTTGTGTGTGTAAATGGAGCACTTACCGCTTGTGGATTGTCAAAGGCAAGCAAGGCCGATGACGGCGATTTATGAAATGGAGACCATGCAAGAGTGAAAGGAATGTCGAAGGGGGAAGAGGAGGGAAAGGTGAAAAAGAGACGAGTAATAAAGAATAAACGTAAAAAGTGGAAACAAAGAACCAAAAAGATAGGAATAAAATAGAGATAAAAAAAAATAAAGAAGTGCAGGCGAATAATGGTCGGTTATGAGACGCCCGGTTGATAGAAAAATACTATTGGCGGGAGGAATGCGAATGATTATCGCCGGGGTTGCAGAAAACGATAATGTTGAGGGAGATTAGCGTGCACCGAGACAAGGTTGGTTGGAACAAGTGGTTGCCTAAGCAATAGCTCATGCTATAACCGCCATGGGGAAAAGGTCATGGTGACAAGGTAATTAGACGGGGACGACGAGAGAAAAAAAGCGCAGGTTGCTTGTCTTGAGAGTGTCAAGTTGAAAATAACAACACACGCACACACCACCACTCTTTTTTTTTTTCACGTTGTCGGAACGATGGGGCGATGAGGATGAGCAAAGCCACATTTGATATGATCGAGTGATATCCCAAAAAAAAACAATCCAAGGTACACGATACAGTGAATACGGCGGCTGCGCTGCCCTGGATGAGATGGCATTGAATAAGAGACGTTGGAATCGGCGAACATTGGGTTTCTTTATAATCAATCCGGTTTTGTACTAGTGTCTGCCGCACGATCGTATTGTACGCCATACAAGACAAGAAGGCATTGTATAGAAAGCAAGTGGGAAGGATGCTATGGAAATTGGTCAACGGTGTGATCTGCGTTTTTACTTTTTACAGTTTTAATGTTTTTCGATCCCGTCAGATCATTCAAATTACATACCAATGAGTGCACATATTCGCTGTTTATTTTACTGCTTGTAGTTGAAGCTGGCGGTTTAAAATAATCTTGATATACAGAAAGACCCAAATGATTCTGTAGTTTGGGATATGAGGGAATTCTGGTTTGAATATCATTCCAAGAAATAAAGATGTGCGATTCATTCTGTCGAGATTGTGTATAGTTGATTCAAGGATGGAATATGCTCCGACTATGCCGAAATCGGCACAGTAAAAACGCCAACCTTTCTCAAAACTTGGATAAATATGTGAACAGTCTATTCTTATACAAAGCAAAAATTTGGCATCTTGGCTTTTCGGTTGTAATGGTATTTTTTTTGGGGGGGGGTTGGTTGGTTGTTAGGGCTTCTGATTATTGGAGTATAGAGTATTTCAAAAGCTTGGGTCTGAGAATTTTTTTTAGGTGTGCCGATATCGGCACAGTAAAAACCATCCATTTTTCTCAAAACTTGGATAAACATGTGAATAGTGTAATTCTATATAGAACAAAAGTTTAGCATCTTGGCTTTTCGATTCCATTATTTTTTTATTTTTTTTTGGGATAGAGCTTCTTATGTTGAAGTATAGAGTATGCTCAACAACAAAATCGACCGAGATGAAGCGACTATCAAGATGCGGTTAAAAGGTCAAACTTCAAGGAAGGAGTACCGAATTGTGAAGTCGTTCGCTATGATCATGCAAAAAGCACCCGAATACTGTATTAGCGATACAATAATGGCGCAAGAGCTCATCACCCGGTATTTGGAGCCGGCATTGGCACCTTTATTTGACGACATCCTGCAGGATACACTATTTCGTTGGACTGCCACAATTAATCAAGAATCAAAAGCAACCACTGCTATATCGATTAGCAGGAGCAGGCCAGATGCTTGTGTCTCTGGATTGCACGGCGTCACTTGGGGCATTAGCCGAGGCTTCGGCGAGGTGAATCTTCGATAGAAGCCAACAATAACTATTCGGTTGCGCGGTATCTCTTTCGACTAGGCATATTCGCCAAAAACGCTATTGATCTCAACAATATGAAGGGATGTTTGGTGTTCCAATCGGTTGGCCGGCACACGTTTTTTTATCTGGTGACTCTTTTGCACGATGGGATCTATGTGATGTATGAAATCACGAAAATTGAAATCCCTATGTGCATCTCAGACTTGCCATCCTATTTGGGACAAATTGGTCGACTAATGCATGTTCTTACGGTTTACCAGACTATTGTGTCCCAGCTGATCAGAAAGACGTTGCAACCTACATTCAGGAAAAAGGAAATCGATGACTGATCCACAACACGACCGAATCCTTGATCCATCAAAAAGCAGGAAACGGCAGTCCATCACGACATTTCGCCTCCAATGATTCCCCATCTCGACTTTTTCTTTGAAGGCGATTCTCTATTAAAAATAATGTATGTAATCGACTTGAACACATCATCAACAAACTGTATATAATAAACCATCCACAATATTCGTTAATTGATAGTCTACAATGGACCGCGCTTATTAGGTTTGTCACTATTGTGCTTATCTCTCTATAATCGGTCGTCACTATACTTTTACACTTTCAACATACATATTCCACACTTGGTATAAAATAGTCTTCAAACTCTTGTACATCGTTTGGCCACAACTTGGCTCCTGTTAAAATTAAATAGTCTCTGAAACATTGCGTTTTTTGCGACCATTGCCTTGTAAAAAAGGCCGGGCACCTTCCGACTGTACATAAAGAGAGAAAGGTTGCTCTTTGATTTCAACAATGTTATATCCTGTCACAACAAATTACAGTATGCCTTGCCGCTGTGGAGATACGGATCATCGGTAAATTACGAGCTCATGGTGTGTCCGTTGAACACCAGGAATACCAATTACTGAACGGTTTATTCAAGGGCAGCCGTTTATTCAAGAAGTACAATCGCAGCAGTTTCTTCAGGTACTTCTCCACAATAGTTATACCACTTCGCTTGATAAAAAAATTATCGAAAATGCACTAGAAAAAAGAAGAAAAAAAGAGAGAGAAAAAAAAAAAGGGACCTTACCCAGGCTTGGCCAATGTGGACGTGTGGGACCACCATGAACCACAAGCTCACGGAGTTCATTAAGAAAATCCCAGCAATAGAACTGCTGAATTATCGTCTTTTTCGCCGAAACTGATGACTCTACGATCTGATATATTATCTGGTGCTCACTTACAACGAACTGAAACTGATCTACCTACCGCAATTTACCAATCGCCTTACCAACAAGCCGAAAAATTCTAACAACGTGTTGGATGCAATCAAACACACTCAGGTATCGCAGATGCACATGAGCTGTCACCATTTCTGGTCCGGAGCTTTAAAAAGCGAATTTTTATTTCCTTTTTTATCTTTACCTCCTACTGCCATAAATGGAAAGGAAGTAATCAGAAGTAATCAGAAGTGATCAGAAGTAGCCAATCAGAAATAATCCAAGCTTTTTAAAATTTCTGGTCCGGAGCTTTAAAAAGCGAATTTTTGTTTCCTTTTTTATCTTTACCTCCTACTGCCATAAATGGAAAGGAAGTAATCAGAAGTAATCAGAAGTAGCCAATCAGAAATAATCCAAGCTTTTTAAAATTTCTGGTTCGAAGCTTTAAAAAGCGAATTTTTATTTCCTTTTTTATCTTCACCTCCTACTGCCATAAATGGAAAGGAAGTAATCAGAAGTAATCAGAAGTGATCAGAAGTAGCCAATCAGAAATAAGCCAAGCTTTTTAAAATTTCCGGTTCGGAGCTTTAAAAAGCGAATTTTTGTTTCCTTTTTTATCTTTACCTCTTACTGCCATAAATGGAAAGGATGTAATCAGAAGTAATCAGAAGTAGCCAATCAGAAGTAATCCAAGCTTTTTAAAATTTCTGGTCCGGAGCTTTAAAAAGCGAATTTTTGTTTCCTTTTTTATCTTTACCTCCTACTGCCATAAATGGAAAGGATGTAATCAGAAGTAATCAGAAGTAATCAGAAGTAATCAGAAGTAGCCAATCAGAAGTAATCCAAGCTTTTTAAAATTTCTGGTCCGGAGCTTTAAAAAGCGAATTTTTGTTTCCTTTTTTATCTTTACCTCCTACTGCCATAAATGGAAAGGAAGTAATCAGAAGTAATCAGAAGTGATCAGAAGTAGCCAATCAGAAATAATCCAAGCTTTTTAAAATTTCTGGTCCGGAGCTTTAAAAAGCGAATTTTTGTTTCCTTTTTTATCTTTACCTCTTACTGCCATAAATGGAAAGGAAGTAATCAGAAGTAATCAGAAGTAGCCAATCAGAAGTAATCCAAGCTTTTTAAAATTTCTGGTCCGGAGCTTTAAAAAGCGAATTTTTGTTTCCTTTTTTATCTTTACCTCCTACTGCCATAAATGGAAAGGATGTAATCAGAAGTAATCAGAAGTAATCAGAAGTAGCCAATCAGAAATAATCCAAAGCTTTTTAAAATTTCTGGTCCGGAGCTTTAAAAAGCGAATTTTTGTTTCCTTTTTTATCTTTACCTCCTACTGCCATAAATGGAAAGGATGTAATCAGAAGTAATCAGAAGCGGTCACAAGTACTTTATGCCATGGTCGGATCAATGAAAGCTGAATAAAAAATAAAATAAAATAATACCCAAAAACAAATGATTTATTGGCTTATGTATGGGGAATCGGGTATTCCGTTTGGCCACCGACATAATACACCAGACTAGCCAAATCTCCAAAGGAAGTTGATCAAGGCAGCACCGTCAGGTAGTCATTTTCCTGGCTCAGTTATCGATGTCCCTAACACCACATATGCCAAATGGGTAACGACTGCCCAAGTTGATTAATGACTCATGTTTTTGATTTCTTTCTTTACTGGTAACAAGCCGTACACCCGCTGTGCAATGGATGCCACCTGCTACTGGATGCCGCACTCTTACATTGAGCGACATTCGTCAGACAAAAGCCTAACGCAATACGGCATAACCTGGGCGAGACTCTTGATGGAACTTTGGTATATTAATGTCAATACTCTGGCATACCATGAAACACTTTTAATGAACAAAGCAGCACTTATTGACCCCCTCCGTTCTGTCCCGCCCAAGGTTATGATAGATCTACAAAGATGTGTGGGAATGTTGGGTATTTAAAAAAAATGAGTTAGTAAGCTCTTTGGTTGATTCAAATTTCGTTGAGATATTTTACCTTTGATGTTTGATGCAGCAGATACCGAGGGCTTCCCGACCGAAATAAAGAAAGGATACAGATATAAAAAAAAAAGTAAATACAATAGGTGCGTCTGTAAAAACCCCCTAAAAACCCTGTGGGAAAAAAAAGGAGGAAAAGACTGCAAGAAGACTATTCACTAAAATACAAAATACATACTACAACTACAAAATAAAATGGTCGGGAAGAAATATCGAAGGCGATACCACGGGCAGCAATCCATATGAGAGGAACCTGGGGAGGACGCGTCAGCGTTTCCTGATGAAAAAGAGAGTCACACCACCGACGATGCCTTTGACGACAAAAACCGGATTGGCCACAATCTGGTGCCCGAACAAAGTAGAAAGGTTTTGGAGGGATGGATGGCTTGAATGGCTTGCCAGGCAAAAGAAAACCGGAGAGAAAACCAAAAGCTAAAGACAGAATAGAGAAAAAGGACAGGTAAATTTTTTCTTGTCGAAAAACGGATAGTCGTATCACACAAAAGGTACCTTTTTTCATAATAATCGAATCGACCGGATCAGATACACGCCATAGTCTGGATGATGGATGATGGATGCAATGATAGTGAGGGATTTCCAGGCAAACAGAAGAGATGCAAAACTAAAGAAGAAGAAAAAATTCGGACAAAAATATGTGATTTTCCATGGATGAAACAATAGTCACCTCACTGATGCATGAATGATGAGCTACACAGATCGAAGCATATCTGCTCCATGTATCATTCGATTACTGAAGAGAATGAAAGGGCATATACAGTATAACTGACAGATAACCCAAATTAAATGATGCTACAAAACACCAGATCGTCGTATCGTCAATCACCTTTCTTCAAAAAAGAGCTCCACTCACATTTTATGTAAACGGCGACGATGCTCTGTTTAACCACAACTGGCGCAAACGGCATCTTGCTGCTGATTGTTTCGCCTATTATCGTGAAAGTGGGCAGCGAGGCATGGTTGAAAGATGAAAAAAAGGTTTAACAGGTCTTGATAACTTAGTGTAGATCGTGTGATTTACAAAATCGCTAATTTTTCAAAGATTTTAATTATATAGATAAAAGTCATCTTTTCAGTCTCGATGACTTCTTGATATTTTTACCCCATCTCAAAACATCATCTTTCTCCTACCAGGTCGGGAATCAATAATATTATTTCTGGATTCTGCGAAGATTTTTGATTTCGAACAGCCTGTTTGCCAGCAAAATCTTGTTGCTTGCATACATGGCCACCAAGTATAAAAGAAGTTGTCATGACACATGACCATGGTTGCCCAATGATAGAGTGCCAAAAAAAAATCATAATAATTGTTTTTTATTTCGGATTGAAAATATGAGGCTATTTATTTCTTGGTTGACTGATCAATGGAAAATGATGAATCGGCTAATAGAAAATGGTAAGGCGGCAGGTGAAAAAACCAAACACAGCCGCAGGAAAAGGCGTATGGGGAAAATCAGGGCAGCAGAATCAGCGGCCATAGTCGCAAAGATGAATTATTGTAACAACGTACAACTTTGCTATTGCCACTTATGGTGAGCAGCAAAGCATGTTGTTTATACCTTTTTTCTCTCTTCCTTCATCCGCTCATCCTGTCATACTTCAGCTTTATTTCCAGCACACTATTATCACGAAATTTGTTTTCATATAATTTGTAAGTGCTTGCCCACTAAAATTTATCTATAACCTCTCGATTAACATCATAAAATAACTTTTTTTAAAGAAAAAAAAATTGATAATCAATGTCCCAAAGTAATACTGTCACTGTCGGATCCGATTATGATACATCGGTGGTTTCCGCTTTGCGGTTCCGGATCCAGCTCTAAAACCTGGATAATCGTGTATTCTCTCTCGTGGTGAAAGAAGTCAATTAGCTGTGAATACCCATCCATACAATGCTCCTTTTTCTTCCCTAGTATAAGCATCCTGGCGATCTCTAATGTTGCTAGTGCTAACGATGTATGTTCACGAATGTCTGTTTCTGTATTGGACTTGTAGGTAACATTGATGAGCAAGCTTTCGGGAATTACTTGAGTCTTAAAACTCGACTTCTTTGTGACAGCAGAATATCATAGGAAAGTGGCTTTGGATCACACAGTGGCGTTAATGCAAGCAGAGGATCCGATTCCTTCGACCTGGATATTCAGCCTGACCTTTGAACAAGTCTTCCAGATCGGACTAATATAATAACGAAAGTAAGTTTATTGGACACAGAACAATTAGGTATTTTGTATTGATAATGAGAATGACAGCTTGAGATCTGTGATATTGAACTAAATATTAAATCTAGTGAGTATAGATCTGAATCGATGAAGATCTTGTCCTTCATAGCTTTTCGATTGTTTATACTGTACAAGAGGCTGTCCATAAGCCTCTGGAGAAGAACTGGTCTTATGACGATGTCAAAGAGAATATTCGCTTAAGATGAGGTTACATTTCAGGCAGTTTGAATGTAGTAAATCAAGGATAGTCACTGTCGCATTTGTGAGCCTGGAGGAGCAACTGCAGGTGAGCTCACCTCGTTAACAGTAGTTTTCAAGCGTCCAATACAAACCTTCATGTATGCGTTTTTTGAAATAATAAAAATTCTAGTAAGGGCGTCCCAACCACTTTTGGATTGGTCGCATAGTGGAAAATCCTGACACAAAATCATCAAATGTTTCTGCGTGACTGACCAACCATCAAACACAGTAGGGCGTCCGGATTTTTCTTTTTTTTATCGTATCACTTACCTCTTCTTCCATTTATACCTCCATTATACTTTACGACACAATGAACACCGCGGACGGCCCCTCGTTAGGACGCCGACTCCTGCCGCTATCAAACAGAGATTCTTAAATATCGACAAACTCGAAAAATCAAAATTGACCACAATCTCCAAAACCAGAATTCGCCTCTTGCGTAAGACGTCCCTATAAACCCACCGTAAGAATTTTTTATGGATGACTTTTAGAAATAGTAACTTCTTCGAAGGTTGGTTGAAGATTATATCTTATGAAAGAGAGCGCGTTGGATAGAGTCCAACAGTTTCATTTTTCATTTCCACCCATTAATACCGAACTGTTTTGGCACAAGTGATTGTCTTTGTTGTGTCTTCCCGTAGAGAGTCGAGAGCACCGGTAATCTTTCCATAACGAATAAGATATTCTTAGTTTGCTTAGTGTAACTTTAGCGATTTTACCCAACAAAGATTCCTGCTGCTTATAGAGCTACCGGTTCAGGAAAAGCCAAAGCTTGGGTCTGAGAAGTTTTTAGGTGTGCCGAAATCGGCACAGTTTTTACTTGTCTCTACCCCTTTTTTTTTTTTTTTTTTTTTTTTTTTTTTTTTTTTTTGCAGAGAGTGCTACTTTAAAATACCTTAGCTTATACGAAAAAGCAGCTAGATTTTTATCACGTACCTCAGGATTGCTGGTTGTTGATACGCACCGGGTAATAAAAGATTTTCAGCAAGAAAGCTGGAAATGCAAGGCATGGTCGATACAATTAAAATTGCAGGAGTGATTGTACAAAAATAAGAAAGGCACCTGGTTCCAAAGTATTTTCAGTAAAATCTTGAAGGTTCTATCTTTGGCGTTGCATTAGGTTTTATGGCATGTTTATTGATCATGTTTTTTAATATGAAAGTGTGCCGATTTCGGCACACTTGAATTTACACCAAAAATTGAGAGGTATGGCCTACATGGTTACGAGAACCGATGGCGGCTACCCAAGGCGACAGTTGAGCATAAAACTGAAAAAATAATACATCTATGGAACACAAAAAAAAGCCAATATAAAAGGAGAGTAGGAGAACACAGGCTATTAGGCTACCTTTTATCCATGATTCCCTTTTGCAGCATGCTTGAGTGGTATCGCAATGGAAGAAAGGTGCCAGGGAAAGCTTCAGGTGTGGTTCACAAGAGGCAGGAGGAGGCAAGAGATCTACCACCAGACTTGGCGGGGAGTAGGATTGCTAGTATTATGCGCATCAGGGCTACAAAACTGGTCCAATTGCCAGAAAATGGTGCCAAGATCTGATCAATAATTGGAAAACCAGGTGGAGTATGAGAGGGGCAGTTGATTCAATACATATAAAGTCAATGTGAACGTCAGAAAAACGTCCGGACAGAAGATGGGAAGAAAGATTCAGAGAGCACAAGGAACCACATGGCACTTCATGGAATGGGAACGCGTGGTGCTATCGAAATCACAGCGACAAGGGCAAGGTTTCCTGGTCACTACAACGTACGCCATCGGACTAAGTGGCGACGATCAGCTCGCGAAGCAGTACGGTGGCGTTGGCAATAGTTACATAGCCAGGTGGTCAGGCATGAAAAAAGACAGCAGTTTTGAAAAATGATCAATAATAGATTCGGCGTTGCTTGTGGGTGTGACGCCAGTGGCAGAGAGGCAAAAAGACCATCATCGGGCAGGTAGCTCCTCCAAAAGACAGAATTTCAGAATCCAAGGATATCAGCACAAAATGCCTTGCTCGGGAGGTTGCAAAATGTGAACAAGCAATTTAGAAGAAGGACTCTTTGTGGCCGGCCACAATCATTCAAAAACATTGGTTCAAATGCGTTCAACCTTCTTGTGGGAAATTTTTGGCATAAGCATGATACAGCAACATCGTATTTCCAGTTTGGGATGGACAAAAAGTTGCGTAGAGGCGTGCTGAACGTAATAATAGAGGTAGGAAACTTTTCGATTTTAAACTCTGGCGTGAAACCGAGACATGGTCAGCAAGGTGTTGCGTGCTCAATGGTGGATCAAAGCAAAAAGTGGCGAGACCCTTTGGAATGGAACGGGACCCCAAGGTAAAATAAATTCATCCACTGCAGAGATCGGATCACTATACAGGGGGAGGTGTATAAAGCTTTCAAGTAAACATCAGTCGTCCATTGGCAAGCCCTGCCTGATGGACACCCGAAATGCCGACCTTTTCAGGGCAACCCGACCTGAATCATTGACAACGTGCATTGCTTTTTCTGTTAGTGAAGGATGTGGCCCCATTGCTCAAGGAACAGAGGACCAGATCCGCTTGGATGACTGCATAGAACGTTGCCAATTATCAAAGATAACTGTCTGTCTTTCATGCACAATATATGAAAATGGAAATGTGTCCGGTGGTGCCTCGTCGCTAGACGTTCGTCGATATCTTTATTGTGAGAAACAAGAAAAGGAAACAGTTTACGAGGAATTGAGGACGAACAGTCTCGGAATAGAAATGCATCCTGATGAAAAGCGACATGATACAAAAAGAGTCTGTGAACTTTATGAACTTGTCTTTGACGGATCTTGGTTCAAATGTTGAGTGAGATGTGTTTGCACAATATACATAATTAAGAATCCCATGATAAGGCACAAAATAGATACTCAATGGAGCGACAGCACCAGTGATGATGGCGAGCAGCCCTGCTTTACGAGTTCCAGAAAGTAGACATCCTTCTCGTAATAACAGATGTAGTGCGATGCAAGTTGGGCAAAGAGATTGTTTAGCTTTATATGTTACATTTGCTCTCCGTCGTATTTATGATGATTAGTCATCGTCCAAAAAAATGCGTACTTGTGGTCACATTGACATGACGCCTCGTACGCCGTTTTTTGATTTCGATGGCGGTTAAACTTGAAAACTCTATTGGATTACGGTGCGAGAGAAATATCCCAAATATAAAAGTGTCGCTTTTCATTTTAAGCGTACAACAAAAGTATTTTCGCCGATCCTGTGCGATGCCCTGCCTGTGCATCTTTGGGCCATGCATTTTCAATTTTTTTTTCTTTTTCCTGTATGCAGAATCCGCCAATAAACAGAAAAATGCAGCCACATAAGGACTGCACATTGTTTTCTTGTTGCAATTGGTGCTGTGCAAGCTCAGGTAGAATAAATGATAGGGAAAAATGATAAAGATGAGCCTGATACGGAGATAGGCTCTCTGGAAATAATTGAAAAACCGGGCGCTGATGCTCATTCCGGATATCTTTGTTGTTGTCCTAAACTCAGAGGTCATCATAAGAGAAGGGATGACTCCGAATTCTCGGAGAATGATTTTCGTTTTTTTATTTATCTAAACACCTTATATCGTGGGGATGGAGATGAACTTTTGCGCGCACCATCATCTATTGGTGATGTCGAATGAGGATAGTAACAATCAATTTGAGAGTCCTCAAGTCGGCCATTCAATTGCACAAGGTGCGATTCGATCCATTCAGTGGATTTATGCCATTTCCAGGCAGATCGGCAATCGCATGCAACAAAAAAAGACGACATCATGCTTTATGCTTGCATGTTTACGTGCAGCAATGAACATAGAGAAGCAGCGGAATAAAACATGACATTCGGCAATATGTATCTCGATAATGAAAAAATAGTATTTACCATATACAGATACGAGTTTGGTACCAAAAATTGCAATGACTTCATGGATGATTTACGAACCTTAAAGGTATTGCTTGACTCATCATGGAGGTTATTTATGCTGGACACGGACAGTCATGCCTGGCCATCGTGAGCAATCTGTATGAAACCGTGATGAAAAAACAAACCTTATATAATGTGAGACTCCTTCTCTTTTCTTTTTATTCACACGAACACTATTCAACCCGTCAGCGAGCTCGTTCTTTCAATTTGAGCACGAAGCTGTGTGACATTGACGTAGAGGACAGATGAAAAGGTTCAACAGGATAGCTTTTTTTCCATTGCTGCATGGAAAAAAAAAAGGTCCAACCACGGCATCACATGTAAGAAAGTGCCGCTCAGTTAGCGTTGCTGAATTTGTCAGCTACCGCAGACACGTTGTCCATTGGTGGCTTCTGTTGCTTGCCTAGTGTTCAAGCGCAGAAAAAAAAAGACCAAACTGTATAAAGAGGCGACCACGCTAGTCGGGTAAATAATTAGGTTCCCGAGAAAAAAGTTTAACGCGCTCATTCACCGATCCCCGCTCTCTGTAAAAAAATATATAAAAGAATCTGATCCAAAAAAAACATGGTTGAACCCTGATTTATCACGGCTTATTCGTCATGGCTCAACCGCAGCATCGAAAAAGCACTTCATCCTCATCGTTCGATCCAGCCAATGAGTTGACTATTACAGCTCCCCCAGATCTCGAGAAACAATCGACAACCGAGAAAAATACAGATCATTCATCCCAGTTGGAAAAGCTGGATACAGTTCATACAATTCATACAAGTACGTAGGCCTATTTTACTTATCAAATGAGTCGAATTCACGTCTGGTCCTAAATATTATTATCGTAACAACAGATGTAGACGCGGGTAGTATCATTGAGCCACCTTCAGATGCGGCTTTTTATGAATCGATTCCAAATGGTGGTTATGGCTGGTAAATTAGTATTCTGATTCGTGCTATATAAAACCTTCCAAAAGAATGTTTCAAACTAATGAAGATCGTTCTTTTTGATTTTTTTTTAATTTTTATCCAGGTTCATTGCTGTCGCTGGATTCCTGAGTAATTTTGTCATGTTTGGCGCCGCTTCTATCTGGGGTACGTATGATTTCAAGAAAAAATTTTTCTCTGCGTGCAGAAACAGTGATTCATTTATGCATAATTTGTTGGTCCCTTTTTTCATTATAGGTGTTTTTTCCAATGCATATGCAACTTCGATTCTGCAAAACAAAGCAAGCAGCGTCGAACTTATGGGCGTCGGATCCACAATGATTGCCTGTCTCAATTTGCTAACTCCGTTAAGTCCTGTTCTCGCTAAACTCGGCGCTCGCGTTGTCATGGCGATTGGAAGTGTCATGATGTCTCTCGGTCTCATTCTTGCAGGCTTCAGTTACGAAATTTGGCACTTGTACCTCACGCAAGGTGTGCTTTTTGGCTGTGGCGCCTCTCTTGTTTACATGTCCATCGTGTCAGTCGTCCCTCAATGGTAAGAGTTCAATCTCAAGAATTTTTTTTTTTAAAAAAAAACGAAAGACTGATCCCCGATTAGGTTCACTACGCGACGTGGTACCGCTATGGGTATTAGTTCTGCTGGCACAGGCTTTGGCGGTCTCGCTCTGAGTCCAATGGTACGTTTTTATCAATTGTAAATATTATTCATAAAGAGGAACAAGAATTAAAAATGTCATGATCATGTATGTAGGCAAGTTCGTTAATCGCTCAATATGGATTGCCTTGGGCCTATCGCATTATTGGGCTGATGTCGTTTGGTATCTGTATGATCTCTACATTTTTGATGCGAACCCGTCTCCCGCCCAACTTTAGAAAGCAACCCATTCGATCGCCCATCAAACCTGAAATGCTCAAAGACATGAACTTTGTCCTCTGGTTGCTCGGTGCCGTAATTGCACTTACAGGATACTTTATTCCACTTTACGTTCTTCCCAGTACGTAGCTATCCATATTATAGGAATTCCACCATAGCAAAACTAACATGCGTTTTCTTTTCTAGAATACGCCGCTTCTGTTGGTGTCAGTGCTGCTAATGCATCGACGATTGTCGGTGTGGCATGTGCCTTGAACGCCATTGGCCGTCTTGTCTTGGGTTGGGTGGCTGACAAGATTGGTCGTTTGAACATGTACATTATCGCCAACATTTTTGCCGGACTGTTTTGTATGCTTCTTTGGCCTTTTGCAAAGACGTATGGTGCACTCATGGCATTTGCTGTGCTGTGGGGTACTGTATGCGGCATTTATTTTGCATTGGTAAGTTACAAAGCATCATTACCTAGTTTTTTTTCTCTTGGCTCATCATGCTTATATTCCATCATTTTCATTGATATAGGCGCCTCCGATTACCGCGACCATTGTTGGTATGGAAAAGACTTCGTCAGGTTTAGCTATTCTGTTTGTTGCCAGTGCCGTCTCTTCGGTTGGCCCCCCTATTGCTTCGGCGATTCAAACGGCAACTCCGAATGAGGGATACATCGGCGTACAAATGTTCGCTGGTTCCGTGTACATTTTTGGATCGCTCATGTGCATCGTGCTGAAGATCAAAATGACCAAATCAGTCTTTGCCGTTATTTAAGTCCCCATTCCCTAAAGCATACTATTCCATTTATTTCTCTTACCCGCATAACAAGAAGCATTGTACTATATCATACAATTATAATTTTCTCTCTTTTTCTAATACATGTATATCCAATAGAAGTTTTTTTTTCTTGATTTCCTTTTTGCTTTCGAGGGCCGCGTTTACCCCACACATCATCAGCCCCTGAAGATGACCCATCCGCCTTTGATTTGCCCCTTATTGTTTTCTACTTTATTTTTTTTTCCCATCGGTCTATTGAAACAATAAGAAGTAAAACTTGAGAGTTTCTCCATCTATTTTACACAGCCACGTCCATTTAATTTTTTTTTCTCTGCTTTCACCGTTTTCTATTGTTCCTCTTTCTTTTTTTTTTTTTGGTTGCTCTTTTTTTCTTTTTCTTTTTTACCTTGTTAGCATGACAACCCAAGAGCCGGCCAGTGAACGTACTCGGTTGCTTGGTGTGAGTTCAATCAAGAATCCAATCAAGTACACGTCACCTTCGTATGTTCAAGAACAACTCGTCGACCTGCGTGAACATACAATTGATGTGCGCGAGCAAGTGATTAATATCGTAACAACGTCGGCCGATACGGTGACTACCATCAATCCCACCAAGGTGGCTCATCCTACCGTGCCTTTGGAACGGTTGACGGATAAGGTGCAAGATATTCTGGTCTTTGGCGACTTGAAACAAAAGACGCGCGTCGAAAGCAAGGAGAGTGGCAACGAAACCGTAAAAGTCAGCCAACACACGGAAAAATCGACTTCACGTGGCATCGGTGGCGAAAGCAGTAAGAGTGAACTGGTGGCCAGTGCATTTCGAATGGCGAGCGACCATTGGAAGGATAGACAAGAAGCCAAAGGCAGTAAAGGCTCAAGCCAGAGCTTGGCTTCGTCGTCATCCGTATCACTAGGTAATGCATTACGACTGCCTGAAATGGGATTGCCCGATGTGAACATGCCCAACTCCGCCGAACATGTATGGAGTGTCGCCAAAGGCGCCTCGGTCTGTGCCGTCATGTCGTTGCTCAATGAAAGCCACAAAGGATCCGCGGCAATGTCCGACACGGCCAAAGCCAATATGCAGCAGCTGGCCCTTTCAACACTTGAAATGGGCTTACGGGATTCATCCGCAACCGACCACGTCGTTCGAGAAATGCTTTGCAAAAAATGGCTAAACGGGACTTCCGGTAAGTGCCATTTTGGGAACAATGACGATCTTTCTTTTCTTTTTTCTTTCTTAACCCCGTTTTCCCCATTTAGCCTTGGAATGGGCGATCAAAAATGATTGCCAAATCTTTCTCAAAGATCCACGCGTTGCATCGGCTATTGAGGTAAGCCCCAAATAAAGTTACGGCCCATGACGAGAAAAGACAAGCGTGCCAACAGAATCTGTGTGGGTTCACAGGATACCTGGAAGTATGGTCCCGATTGGAGGGCGGATCCCAATCATCCCAGTGCAGTATGGAGAAATGGCAACGACAATAGCAAACCACCCACATGGACGGTTTTTATCATCACTCGACTGTTTTACAATTATCTGGCCCGGTGGGCTTCTCCTAGGTAACCAGACAGATATCAATCCGTCGGGTGATACGGTGCGTACTGATTGCTGTTTGGCATGGCAATGCAAAAGATATCAAGATTTTATCGGCCTATTTAGTCTCTTCGTGTACCTGCTCCTTCATTTAGCCACGGTGATAAACGAAGATTACACGGATTACGAACCTTACCCTTATGAATATGCATATTATTTCTTTGTCATTTCAGATACAGTGTTGGAGGTTTGGAAGGTATGGAAGCGAAACCACATGATTCAGTGAAACACATTGTCTGCTGGTTTTTAACCTTTTTCTTTTTTTGGGGGGGGGGAACTCACAGTTACTTGCTCATCCTATCCAAACATTGCGTCGAGGATCGAGTTATTTGGCACTGATATGCGTTAGCTTGCTTACAGCTGCCATGGCACTTCGTTTTATAGGACTGAACGGAACTGATTTGGAAGTGCAGGCCGGACAGTTAGAATTGTCTCATGTTTTGATCACCTGCGCGACCCCTTTAATGGTGCTTCGACTCTTGGGAGCGAGTAATGATCTTTCATGGTCAATTGTAAAGTTACAATTTACCATTGGTGCATGTTTCGCGGACGCCCTTGAAATCATGCTGGCCGGTATAGCGGTTATCCTCGCCTTTTGGTTGGCGCTTGGTGCTCTTCAACATAATGATATGTCTTACTGGGACATGCTCCGTTACTTGATTCTTGGTGCTCTTCAGTAAGTAGGGTAAAAATAGTGGATAAAAACATCCGTCCCTTGAAGCTAAGCTCCATTTTTTCTTTCCGATGGGGCCATCAGCTCACCTAATATTGGCGACACCATTCAATATCGACCTTTTTCCGCGGGCATTCTACTGGCCATCTACATGTTCCTCATCTCGACGTGTGTCGGCTCTTTCCTCACCGCGTCATTTTTATGTACAATGTCAAATATGAAGTCGCGTCTGGCCGACAAGAAGCAAGGCATGGCTTACCAACGCGCGATGCGGCCGGCTACACTGGATGCTTTCATCCCCAATACACTCATTGAACTGCCTTTGGCGATACTCAGTGGCTTGCTACGATTGATTTTACGGCGTAAAAATCGGATCGTATGGTTGGAACGTACCCGACAAGTGCTTTGGTACATGGTTTTCTCGCCTGTCATTCTTATTATCGGCTTCTTTGATCTGTTATCCTTTATGATGCGAGCGGGAAAGCGGATCAGTGGCCTGAAACCTAAAATTGTACCCAGTGTTCTTTAAAATCAGCTTAATCTGAATAAAAAACGGTTTGAGTGTTCCTATGGTAACTTATGCCAGCTTCAATTTTTCTCTTGGAATAAAAGAGCGCTTACATGCTTTCCACGTGTAGATGGGTCGCCGCTGACCTCGGTAGCGGCCTTGGAAAAAAATTGTGAATGAAAGGAAGGCACAGATGGAATGGTTCGTTGGTTTTGGCTGGAGAAACCGGAAACACGGTTGGGAATGGGTGATAATTGGCGGGATATGAAATTTGCAAAGCCGCTTCTTTTTTCCTTTTCATATGGGCCTTGATGGATTCTGTATCTTTTTTTGTTTAGCCTTGCCCCTTGTTTTTCCATCTCACATCATTTACTGTTTCGTTCAAGCCAAGCAATACTCTCGTCGCCATTGCAAGCTTTCGTCTCATTAGAATAAGCCCATTGAAAAATAAGACACAAAACTGTAAGGACCAGGGACGACATTGGATGGGCCTATTTTTTTTCTATTGTTTCGTTTTACTCAACGTCTTTGGTTTTTGCACGCTGGTTTAGTCCATCTACATTGACCTATTCCTCACCATGGCGGCTGAATATAAACAAAAGCTTTATGAAATTCAAAGAAGAGGGGAGAACAAGACGTGCTTCGACTGTGGCGCTCCTCACCCCCAGTGGGCAAGTGTGTCCTACGGTATTTTCATCTGTCTAGACTGTTCTGGTGTTCATCGCTCGTTCGGTGTGCACATTAGGTTCGTTCTATTGCCTCTACTGTACTATTTTTGGTTCGAACCTTCCAATAACATGTACAATGACATCTCATTCTTAGTTTTGTGCGCTCCATTGGTATGGACAAGTGGTTTGATGATCAGTTACATAAGATGGACGTAAGTGAGAAACAGAAGTTTCGAACAAGTGGAGCACAGATGACAACGACACATCACTCAATCCGTTTGGTAGATTGGCGGCAATGCCAAAGCCAAGGCTTTCTTTGAATCGCAACCTGATTATTCGCCCAACCTCAGTATGACACAAAAATACAATAGTCATTTTGCCGCCCTTTACCGCGAAAAGGTAAGAAAGGAAAATAATGGATGCCCATAGGGTGTCACCAAAACGCATGACGGGCTGACTTCGCTTTAATATTTTATCCAATGACCAGCTCGCGGCTGAAGCTGAAGGTCGATCATGGACGCCTACACCTAGCACTGCGTCGGCCAGTAAACGCGGTACCGCCGTGGCAGCATCGACACGTTCCTTGAATTCCACCTTGGGCAACAGTCATCGTAACGGATCGTCATCGTCGTTGTCAGCGCAACGGTCTCCGATGGGGCGAACATCGCCTGCTAGCTTTGGCAGTGAATCTTCTGCTAATGGAGGTCTCGTGAGTGATAAATCAAAGAACGAGGCCTATTTTGCCAAGCTCGGTAGCGCCAATGATTCCAGGCCCGAGTACGTTATTTTTTTGCATCATTTTTGGTTCTTGAAGCTGAAAGGATGGGGTCTAATATGCATTGCAGGAACTTACCTCCCAGTCAAGGCGGCAGATACACGGGTTTCGGCAATCCTGCTTGTAAGTGTGGAGCTTCATGAGACGGGATGAGAGGGGATGGTTCGAACGAATCTTAAAGATGGCTGACCTGTTGGTGTAGTTGAAAATAAGCCATCCAACAACTACGGCAGTGGCGCGCCACCTGATCTCCACGATATGATCTATGAACCTTTGCAGGCACTTTCAAAGGGTTGGACGTACTTTTCAATGGGAATGGAAGAATTGGGCAAGGTAGCGGCTGAGGGAGTGCGAGCTGCCGCGCAAGGAGCCGGTCAACTCGGTCGTTACGCTAATGAGAACTATGTAAAACCTGCGCAATCCACTTTGAGTGATCCCGAATTCAGAAATAATGTCAACGGTTATGTTCACAGCTTTAGTCAAAAGGTAAAAACGACAACACTCTTTTCCAGTATACCGCAGACTAATGAGAACATACATGGCCCTTCTAGACTCAATCTTTGTATAACGGACTCGGCGCAAGCAATACGAGCTCGTCTCACAGCAGTGCCAACAACCAAGACGATGGCGATTTCTTCAACAACACCATCTCCTCGCTTCAACAGGAAAAGAGTAGTCCTGCCAGTTCCGGTTACTCATCCCCTGCGCTCAATGGCTACGGAAGCTCCGCAACAACACGATCCAGAACCCCTCTTAGACAATCTGCCGCGAAAAAGACTTCGAAGGATGGCTCGGATGATGAATGGGAAGGATGGTAGAGCTGTATCTTCCATCTTTTTTCCTCCCTTTTCGCCCGCTAATTTTTCAACCATGTCAAATCCTGCTTTCTATCTTCATTAGAGTTCTTCTATTCTTTCTATATCACTTTTTCTTCTTCTTTTATCGTTCTTCTCCTTTGGATATCGATTGGTCCTTCCTCTTTTTCTTCCCCTTTTTTTTTTTGGAAAAAAAAAATACTCAGTAATACCGTTTCAGTTTATTTGTAGTAATCATCAGACAGTAAAATTGTCTAATGCAATGCCACAAAGATCAAAAGGTTTCTCATGATCTTGATTAAAAATAATACGAATCGCTTTGAAAGCCAATACATCGGGGCATTCCATTTCTATCCTTAGTCGACCTAGTGATACTACTTTATCCACCATCTTCAAACGGCAGTCTACCTACCAGTAGATGAAAGTGTGATAAATGAATTTTGTTCTTTTGCTCAGCACGTTATGAGGGTGCTTACCCAGATATCTTTTGGTAAAACAGAGATGCTCCATGAATAGTTGGTGGTATTCGTCGATGGCGGTAGATGCAAGTCAAGATACCGTGCACGAATGGTTCCCACCAGATTCAAACCGAAATAAGAGCCTTGTTTGGGTGCTGCCACAAAATAAAGCATGAGGACATGTTTCAAGACCTTGATCGCATCCTCATAAAACTACTCACGCAGGTACGAATGCCAGCAGGTGGTGGGATTGGAATCCACGGCACGGTGAAACGCATGCAACGGCCAGCCGTTGCGAGTTGGAACGTCACTTTCGTAGTAAAGCGCTTCAAAATGACTGAGGCTTGTGAAATTGTCGGTACTAAACGGCAATAACTGCGGGTTCGGCATTGGGTCGATATCGGTGGTAAAAATGCATCTATCATTTGTACAAGATGCTCTATGATGCACAACATCAGGGTTAGAAAAGAAAACGGGATCAGGTTGAAAAATCAGTATTACATTTGGAAATGCAGATATTACCTCGAATTGCGATCTGTAAGAGGGGGGAACGCTTCTGGTATTTCCGTCTCGATATGTGTGTTGTTTTGCTCCAGGGATTGAAGAGCGCCATACTAGAGATGTCATGAATTCATGAACTAGCTGTTATGCATAATAATCACTTACCAATGCTCGATGCAAGTCTGGATTCCTGAATAGGTCGGTCTGCGGTTGGGTCGGCAGGATCGGGTTGGCGAGTAACCACGGATACTGGTTCATCCATAGCGAAAAAAAGATGTCGGCCGTTTCCACGGTAGATAAGTGGCTATTCTGCAAAGGCAGTTGTGATAGAAATTGTTGTGCAGCAGATTTGGACACATAACTGCCAAAGCCAAGATAAACATAGCCTGTATGTAATTGACGTTCCGTGTTCGCAAACCGCCAACGGACGTGGTCGACGTAATGGCCCGGGTCCACCGTGGCATGAACAATGTCAGGGTTTCGTAAAAAGTTTGTATACAAAGTATCCATATACGGATTTAGCCATTGATCATCCTGGAAATAGCAATAATCTGTAGTAGCTTCCGCACAGAGACTGAACCGGCTAGTGGCACTGTCGCGTCCGTGCGGGTCGAAATATCGGACAGGAATGGAAATATTGGTTGGCTACGCTCGACGCATCAAAAAACACAGCTTTTTCTTCCGAGACCACCATGTTTCTGCTGCGCTTCTTACCTTGACAGTCGCACCTGCTTGATTATAGATATGGATCTCCTGTATGAATGGGTATTTGGAGAGATGATTCACGACGTGCTCAATGCTGGAATCATTGGTGAAGCAATGAACTATGGCCGTGACAATCTTGTAGTTATTCAGGGCTAATGCTTCGGGAATAAATAAACTTGGCGTATAGGTGCTTTGCTGCTCCACAATTTTGGAGTTTTGTATTTGAGCTTGCCACGATGATTGTCGGATGGTGCCGTTGAACGTGAGCTCGACGTGAGTATCGTTGGCATATGACTGGCGAGAAATCCAGAGAGAAAACGAAAATAGAAACGCGACTAAAATGATTCGTATATGTATTGATCGCCTTTTCAGCGTCGATAATAAGTCTTTCTTCAAAGAAATATTCACAAACTGGTTCTCTATTAATAACATAGGGTCGAAATTCACAAACTGGTTCTCTATTAATACCATAGGGTCGAAAATGAGACCGTAACTCACAAAAAAGGAAGCGATTGTTTTTTTTTTTCTGAATTTTCTATTCGCTGACGGCGTTTGCAACTGTTGCTTGAAGCTATCTCGATTAATGGTGATTGGTTAATTCAATCAAAAAAGTTGCGAGGGGTTCATGAAAAAAGTTTAATGGGGAGGGGAGAGCTTTTTTTTTTTTTTTTTTTTTTTTGAAAAAAAAGGTGGTTGATGTTGTTTGCTTTACAGTAGTCTTTGTTGCTTATTGTCTTTTCTAGGCTTCTCGACCCACTGTCTTCGCCGAAAAAAGGAATCGTCCGCTGATCGCTCCGCGAAATCTAAATGCAGAAGGTTTGTGTAATGGGACGAAGCCCATTTGGCGACCACTTATTCAAAGTGGAATCCCGAGCGATTCACATATCGGCATCTTTCCAAACATCCCGCTTATCCGTTGAAGTCCCGCAAAGCAGCTTCCTGCACGGTCAGCATTTTGTTATGACGATCAACAAGTCGCCAGGCCAATGGTGACCTATGTTCCCATGATGTGTTTAGCCTTTTTCCAAAGGTGCTGTCATCAGGTAACCTACGATCAGAAGGCTGATGTGCAAAATGAAGCGAAAGATCGTCATGGGGCATGCCCAGATGAGGAAATCTCAAAAAAGGGGTCTTCTCACGTGACGAAATCCATCCCTGTTCTAGGTCCCCAAGGATGAACTGATATTGATTGTTTCATAGGCCAATAGCACAGAGTGTTGATGAAATTTATTCATTGTGTAACAAGTCAACAGTGCAGAGTACAGATGGATGTGGGGATACCTCAGCCATCAACATCCGCTGCCACAATTCAAAAAAGATGTAACCTCAGTCACCAGACGTCACAAACCGATGATCGACGCTTGCCATAGCAATTCTACAAACATCTTTTCATTTGAGGTTGCAATCAATTGTACGGGCGGCCAAGGTCACTGACGATATGAAAAAACCCGAAAAGGCAGACAAGTATTTGGCAAAGAAGAAGACAGAGATAGCCCAACCAAACATGTGCCAAGGGGTGTATGGGAGCTGGCGGATAAAGTTGGCATTGACAATGGAAGCGTACGCGAATACGGTACAACAAGCAATTCTGTTAAAGCGACGATTAGCCAGTGCGAAGCCTGGAAAGCGTATGCTCTTGAGCATTTTGACTTGGTCGCGGCCGCAACAGATCTGAGATTGCTTCAGAAAACCACGAAAGAAAACGAATCGCAACTCCGTACTTGCTCAATGAAACTGCAGAAATTTTTTCGATCGGTCTTGCAACCGAAATGGTTGACCATTCATGGAAACGCTCGATAAAACTGCTATATTATTAACCGACGATATTGGCGAGCTCAATGCCATTGTTAGGGGAACAATGCTTCGTTATGTCTCATCGACAACGACCACAGGTTATCCGTTGGCATCACTTATCCCAGCCGCAGCAATCCGTGACAGCAGATTTTTGAACCACGAAAACTGCTTACCAGTCGATCCTCCACAAGAATTTGAGGATGACAACGAAGATTACACAAGGATTTTTAGTCAAGAACACATTCAATATATCCATCAACAGTACCTGGGAAGCTCCCGAACCTCATCGGCAGAAAAGCATCCGGTGTGGAAGAAACTGCATGTGGATGGCTTCAGCGACGACCCCAAGATGCCTAGAAGTCTATCCCAAACGACCGGCGCGGTACAGGTCTTTGCAAGAAATACCATGAAGATGTGGAGCGGAGCTATTGTGAATAAAGCAGCTGAATATGTCGTACGAATCCTCTTGCGTTTGATCCTTGCTCCGACGAGAGAAGCTGTCCATCAAAGCATGATCAAGAAAATGTCAGAAAAAAAGGAGCAAGCAACCGATCATGCGTTAAGAGACAATCGCAATGTGCAACGAAATCTTCTTTATTTTGAAAAAAAAATACTATCATCAATGTGAAAATCATTTGACACGTTGCCGGGACGAAGAAGAGTATCAAAGGTGGCAGACCCGTCTGTACCAGTCACAAGTACGCTTGGCTCGGATTGACGTACAATGCAAGGTAAAGTTGATTTAAGAATTGGTTTAATGGTTCTCATTCTAATATACATCGTAGCCACTGACGCAAAAGGGTAACCGAAAGCAGCGTAAACAAAATTCTTAAATCTAGTTCGTTTGATACACTTATGTAACTCAAATTAACCGGTAAATGGATGTAACGTATCAGATCAATCGTTGGTTGAAAATTGGGTGGACCCAAATTAGGCAGTAGGATCGTCGTCCAATCCGGACTTGGAAACAACGATCGGAGCCTTGAGGGGCCAATATGTTGAATCGATTGGTCGCGCAAGAAAACAAAGAAGGTGTGAGGAGAAGAACATGATCACCGAAAAAAATTAATTGACTGAACGGAATCGCAGCTGTACTACCAGGTATTTGTCAGTATCATTCACAGCAATTCCATCTGGACATGCCTGCCATCAGGCTGAAGACCCTTTGCCTTTGCATTGCCAAAAATAAAAACTACAACTACAATACTACAAATAAGCTTTTTGTAAGCCCGTACCAATTAACTGCTCTCATTTGATAAATCTTCAGGTTACATTGTTGATTCAAATAGGTATACTTGTGTACGTACGCATTTTGTGGGGAGGTTGAGCCCCGGTTTTTTATTGGTCTACACGTCATTATGAGCTGTGTATGGTAGACATATTGTGAAAAATAAACACATGGCCATGGGAATGCCCATTAATAGGATCGTTTTTCTGCGATGCGTCGTCGGACCAATTTCAGGCCGGAGTGAATGATAGCAGGGACTTGAAATGATGTCTACTGTAAAATACTTGTCAGTGGGCAGAGCACTACGAATCCGGGAACCGTCAAGTCAGTTGGAATATTACTGCAAAAGCTCCCAAAAATAGGCACACGAACCCTAATTTAAAGATAGCAGCATTGGTTTTAATTGGGTTCCAAGCAATGTAATGTGTATTTTTGACTACAATAAAAATTGGTGGAAAAAATAATAATAACAAAAAAAATATAGTCGATGGTAAATGAAGAAAGGAAAATGATATCTGTACAAAGGGAATGATGCTTCATAGAACGGGTGTCAGTTCGTTTAGGGTGACGTATTTTGGATACGCATCAAGCAGTTATGACATTTAAACACAAGGGCATTGGCCAGACTGTACTTGTTCTTCGCATGGGGCCCTGCGCCCATATTGTATTTGCCAGTGTCATTGGCGGTTAAAATCACCTGGATCTCCTTTTCCGCTTCTTCATATTTCTTGTCGAGCATCAGCAGTCGTGCGTTTTCGTAACGTGAGAAATAATAGATATAATGATCAAGACGGATGCGATTAGCGTGATCCAAGACCTGCTGGATTGACTCTTGGTGAATACGGTGGAGATGCCCAGCATCATTCTTTGCATTTTCTTGTTCCAATAACGAGCGGGCTGTCAATGCACGCAAGTAGTAGGCCAGGCACAGATCATCGTCGAAATTTTCGTGGTTCTTTCGACCCGGCAATTTTTCGATTTCTTCGTTGATGACGTCCAAGTTCTTAGAGAGAATGGCATGCGGCATAAAATCAAAGGCCGTGAAAGCATTGAGGATTTCAAGATCGGGCATCAGCAAGTACTTTTGACTGAGGAATTTGCGGGATTTTCGTGACACGAATTTCTAAACATTCCCGTCGATTAAGCTGAGCGTCAATACGGTGCCACCCGCAGTAATCAAAAATTTATTGGGGAAATTCGTTTAAACTTACCTCCATTGGAATAGATTTTCCGGCAATCTTTTGCTTTGAACTTTCCACCTGTCCCATCAACTCGTCGACGCGGTCAAGCAACTCCTTCTTCTTGTCGTGTTCCTCCTCCTCGGACAATGACTGAGCAATCAAGTACAGAGAAACGGCTTTCAGGTAGGTATACACGGCCTTGGACCAGTTGCTCTCGTCGCACAGTTTATGATAAATGTCGTAACTCTTTTGCCAGTTCTTCTCGACAAAACTGATGACCCCCAATTCCCAGTAGCACATATGTTGCAACTGCTTCCAGTCCTTTTGTGTCTGGATGGCTTGGTCATACTGAGCTTTGGCCTTTTCCAGTTGGCGCTTGCTGGTGAGTAATCGACCATTTAGATATAAAAAAAAGACGCCCGATGGATATAATTTAAGGTTGTACGACAGAACCTTTTCTGCGAATGGTTCGTTGACTTGAGACAAGGGCATCATTTTGGATAAGACGATATGATACATGATGAGCACCATATCGCACAGCTGTCTTCGCAGCCCTTCATCTGGGCCTTGTGATTCGGGCATCTCGTCATCCCCTAATTCGTCCCAACCGCCAATGGATTCCAGAACAGCTAAGCCATGGCTACGATCCGAAGAGAATCCGATAAATTCAGCGACCTTGATCACGGAGCTGGGTAAGAGCGACAGGATGATGTTGAAACAGCCAATTCCGAGCGCGACTCCCGAAGTGAAGTGGTCGTCGAGTCCGTACGTTGAAATATCCTTGCCTTCCGCCGCTTCTTGCTTCACAAAATCGACATATTTTTCCAGATTACAATAGGTAGTATAGCTGCTGCGGATACTTAAACTTTCTCGCAGGAAGCCCATCACGCTCTCATCGTGGATCATACTCAAAAGTGCTTTCAGCAAATATGCTTCGGCATATACCAGTTCCTAATGAAACCATCGATGATGAGTATCTAACAAAGAGCGCAATAGAACAAGAATGAAATAGTTACCGCATGTCGTTCCACTCGGGTCATTGATTTGATGTGATCGAGATTGCTGCTGCCTTTCATCCACGTTGTAATGTGACCGAACCATCCTCCCGGTTTGCGTAATGCTCCGGCGAGCTGGATTGTCTTTTTGAGCGACGAGAGGGTCGTCTGTACGTCACATTGTTGAAAAGTCATCATACACTTGAGAAACAAGATGAACGATAAACCGAGAGAGTAATACATGGAATCAGGTTTCTCCTGCAAGATGTTCTCGGCCTCTTGGATACGGGAATCAAGGAATAAATCCAGGGCACGTCTCACTTGGAGAATATCATCGATCAGATCATCGTCTGAGGATGTAGAGGAGGTGCTGGAGACAGAGGTCGACGGACTGTGGGTCCTGGTACTGGATGGAGACGAAGAAAGTTTATCGGTAAAGGAACCGAGACGTGATATAGACCGCAGTGATGGGATCTTTTTGTCACTGTTTCCGGGTCGAAATAGTGGAAGGCTTTTCGACTTTGATGGCATAGCAATAACGTGGATCGAGAATAGCTGAGAAGAGAGCAAAAAAAAGATGGCTTTAAAAAAAAAGAACCGATGTTAAACGATCCACACCTGAGATTAAATGAAAAAAAAAGGTTAGTGCTAGAGTATCGTCAACGGCTCGGTAAAAAATTTTTACCTGTTGGGAGGGTTTCAAAAGAACCACTGATTCCCGTCGCTCCGATCGGGGCATGGAAATTACGGCGCAGCATTTTATCCGTATCTTTTTCACTCACGAATTACGAACCAAATACCATGCAACATATAGTAATCTCATACGAATGGGTGGGAAAAAAATATAAGCGCGTGGTGACATGTTGACGGTTTCATCGCTTGGACAACCAAACAAACAAAATTGCATGCTGATCATTAAACAAATATGTCTCGCCGAAAAATCTTTACAAGTGAAATGAAATTCATGGCGTCATTCAATATCATAATTTTCCTGGTGAATGTGAAATTTGCATATAAAATTGGGAATATTGCTGAGCGACTCTGGAAAACCCGTGAAGCGGATTAAAGATAGTTTCTCATAATCCACGAACGGTGTTTCAATCCTGCTTTTTATTCAACATGGCAGCCAATCGTCATGGTTGCCTTTTCCGGGCGAGTCGTGGGATGGCTTTCGCATAAACATATCATGTCAACAGGGTCCATAACAACAAAAATAAAGCTGTACCAGCGTTTCATATGCATGGTCCAAGGCTGAACAATAGAACCACGATTGAATGACTTGGTTTCAGCACCGATCGATCCCATTTTTGGTTCAACGATATCTAACTGATTTCCTCTTTTTTCACCAGTTATCTAGTTAAAAGATTAACTCTATTTCTTCTTATGACTTTGCAGCTGTCCGACTTCCTCATGGGTCACTTTTTTCCATGAGATTAAAAAATAAGGTAGTCTCAGAATCAGTGACTGGTTTTCAGGCAACTCACTATGAAGCGACGGTAACCATCGGAGACACATCTTGTGAGTCGGTTGATGAAATTCACGGTTCTGCAGCAAAAAAAAAAAAAGGTTGATCGGATGCTACAGAATGACGGGCAGCAAGTGACTCTCGCAACACTCTACAACCGTGATGCCAAACATGGGCCCAATAAAATTCTTGCTGCCGCGTAATGGGTTACACCAGGAGTTTGTGCTTTATCCATGTTTGTGCAAAAGTGCCGAAGTATCCAAAATGCCAATGCGCCGTCTCCAGCCAATAGAAAGATGGCTCGCCCGTCAGGTCTCTCCTTTCACTTCCAAGGTATGCCAAGTAGGCTGAATCATTCCAACTTTTGACGATATGAAAAACGCTGCTTATAACAACACCATTAAACAATTTATTTTCTTTGTCAAAGATCCGTAGAGTTTGAATTTTTTTACGACATCGGAAAATAAGGGATACAACGAAGGCCATGGGTCGGTCTTGGCCTTCTTTTTCGAAGAATACAGGGGCAACAAATGAGAACAGACCTCGTGTAACGGCCTAAAAGTGGATGGACCGGGAACGGCCTACCAACCATGGTGAGAAAAACGTGTCATGAACTTGACAGACCGAGTTTCCAGAGTTACACATGGAAGACCAAGACAAGGTCCATCGCAGAAGCTTTTTTTCGTGTATATAAAGATTCGGCATTCTATCCAGCTTATTTTTCTTCTCATTGCATTTCCTTTGTCCGTTTATTCCATTATTTTTTGTTTCCTTTTCTTCTTTGGCTTTCTACCGTTATGCCCAATAGCAATACTTCGTTTTCGACGTACACAACGATGATGCGGGTCAACAGCGGCGGCCGACCTTATGCAAAGGTAAATTTCGAAGCCATTCTTCATGTATCTTTTTTTTTACACAAGTTTTAATAACATGTCAATTCTTTTTTTTTTTCTTCATTTTGTTTTCTTTTTTGACAGGACCTGCATGATTTATTTTCAGCGCTTCTCATTCAATTACCCCTGACGGACCATCGTTCACTGTTCCGCACCTACCATTCGACATTTACAACGGACGAAGCGGTGGAAAGACTGAATGACTTGAAATTTACTCACATTGTTCGCAGCCCGGATCCTGCCGACCCTTCACGTCAATTGGCGACACGAACCACCACCACTTTTAGCATGTCGCGCGATATGGCGAAAACCCTCGGTCAGCATTTTCTCAACGCACGCCTGGCAGAAAACGTCACAGATCCTCAAAATCGAACAATCAAAGACAAAGGCATCTGGCAACCGACGCCCAAGGGGAAATTCATGATCCAGGATTTCAGCCAGCGCGCCCGCGTCTCCATCAGCCATATGCAAGAAACCCTCGCACGGATTGAATCGTTCAAAATTGTTCAATTTGAACGCCTGGCAGATACAGATCAGCTTTCATTTGCCAGAGCCAATATGACCAATGCATTCCGAGTCATGATGGATTGGTTACCGACCGACGTGCTGATGGCAGACGATGTAGGGGGTAATTATTATTTTCACAACAGGCCTGACTCACTGAGAGACATATCAATAATATCCCTTTTTTTCCAATTAGGCATCAAGGAAAAATCTTTGCAGGATTATAAATACACATTTTATGGCTACCAGTGCTTTGAATGGATCAGCGAGTATACCACGGTGGTGTCACGAGAAGAAGCTGAAATGATTGCTTCAGAATTTGTTCTCTACGGCTGGATTCACCAGATCATTGATAAATCGAGTCGAACGAATGGCGTAAAAGAAGACGCGGTCCTCTTCAAGGCGACTCGGTCTACCCTATACTATGTCACCGAGCGAGGCCGCAAAGTGCTTGGTTGGGCCAACGGCAATGACGATGAAGAGGCCGAAGTTGAATCCAAGAAATCCGTACCGGCTATGCGTCGTAGCTCCACCAAGACAAGTGGAATCAAGAACGACTATGTGAACCGACTCTTACCCACCGAAGAAACCGCGCCGGCTCCAACCATTCCCACCGCTACTGTGACGGAGAAACGTCAACGAGCGACGTCCATGGAAGAGAAAGAAGCATTGAATCAAGCCTACGATTTCGGTTTCAACAAGCACAACGCCGGGTCGGCACCATCGGAAAAGGCAAAGAAAGAAGGGTCCGCGGAAGAATCGGCTTCGGAGCAAACACTGCGTCAAGGGTCTATGACACCAATGGAACGCGCCTTATCCACATCGTCGCATTCGTCGGCGTCTCAGGACAGCGGATTTGAAGTGATGGTGTCGTCCCCCGCCAACTCGCGGCCTTCCAGTATGGTGGAAAACGGTTTCGGTGAAGATGCCCCCAAAGACTCGCAATGGGCTCGGTTACGGCAAATCCTGGAGGACCCTCTTTTACGCATGTATTTCCGTGATTTTATGAAGGCGAACTTTTGTGAAGAGAACGTGAATTTCTGGGTGGATTACTATATGCTACGCAAGAAATTCCGTCACACCAACGGTGAATGCACCGAGTTTTTATCGGATTGCTACGCTATCTACGACAAATATTTGGGCCCCAATGCGGTGTCGGAGGTGAACATTGACCATGCTTTGCACAAGGAAATTTTAACGTTTGTCGGATCAACCTTCTCGGTTGTCCCTGGCGAGTGTTCAAGGGATTTACCATTCCTGTCTGCGTCTTCGACGGTGATCCAAGCTTCTGTGGCTATCAACATGCCCGCCGGACCTTGCATCAAGACGCTGCTGCGAATGTACGATAAAGTAAACGAACACATTTGTCGACTCATGGCTCAGGACTCGGTGCCTCGGTTTGTGAAAACGACCAAGTACCAAGAATTGATGGCTCACCATCCACCGTCACCTTCGATCAGTCGCGATCCCTCGCTGGAAACGGTAGCCAGAATGGTGCCACAAACGGTTTCCGAGACGTCGTAAAAACCTTGTTTTAAAAAAAGAGAACCTGTTATTTATTTGTTTTGATGTTATCTTTATGCCCACAACACTCGTTTTTTTTACGCTATGCACATCCGTTCACCCACCCACCATCTCTCAGGACCACATTCGCGCGCAAGAGCAAAAATATCCACAGACACAGACACAGATCCAGTCACACCCGCAGCATTCTTCCAATTACCTGTTTCTTGTTCTTTATTACTCTGTACTTTTTGATTCTCTTTTAACAAAGAGCACCCTTCGTTTTTTATTTATTTTCATCCCCTTTTCATTCACTTTTTCATTTAGCATGTTGCATTCATTTTCAGTTGTATAGCTTGCTTTCCTTTTTTATTTGTAACTACCATTATTACTTGCCCTTCACAATCATTGCATATTTTTACTTCCTCACCCATTGCCCTCTTTCGATACCGTTCTTAAATTACATGTATATCATCTGTTCAAAAGTAAAAAAAAAGAGCCCAATCTAGGCTCTTGTTTCTTTCATATTTTTTCTTTTTTGCTTCAACAAGGTGCAAGGTCGCAGGTGGTTCAGACGGAGCCTGAAAGGCACCCGTGAATCCAGTTGGAAAGAGACCCGCTCAAAATAAGACAGGCTGTCCACGACGCACAGACTCTTATCCATTATAAGTTTGCTGTAAAAAAAACCAGCTTTTTTGATAGTGCTATATTTTTGTAGCACAATTGCATTTATGTACCTACCTTGCAGTCTGAATGGTTCACCAACTATAGGAGGTCAATAGAAAAGAAGGATATTTCAATAAGATCACCGAAACGATGGAAATGTCCGAGCTCTCCTTCTGGAAACTAGCCTTCGAAACCGAACGCCTTAAAGCTAACGATTAAATTCATGAATCAAGCGGCTAATGTGAGCTATTTCTATCCGGTTAAATGTTTCCACAGCTTAAAATACTTACTGCGCGCAACATGGTCGCATGTCACCCGTGTGGGACCACAAACCAATAAACCTGCAATAACATTCATGCTAAGCTAACGGTAGACATCGACCCACTTATTCTCATCCATTATCAGTAGAAATAATCATACGTTCCAAAGCAGACACTTGTTCTGCGAATCCACTGTGCAACACAAAAATCCCAGTCTCGAGTGGCTTATTTGTACATACTGTAGATTATTCTACTTAATATCTGTAACGGCAATGGCTCGTTGAGAGATATTGTACACCGTAAACTATGCGCAGCCATCAAACTCCTTTTGTTCATAAGAGTAAGACGGCTTGTAAAGGTCTACATTTAATAATTACAAGATTGGTCGTTCCACTGAGAAAATATCCCGAACATTCACAGCAAGGCCGTTAAGGAAGTTGCCATCCATATTATTTTCTTTGTGAAAGAAAAAAGAGTACGCATATGTTTGAATAAACTATCAAGTTTCATGCAATCTTTTTTTTTTCCGTCAGAGTTGACCGTGATTTAGGCCATGTTTTATGATTACAAAATTTTCAGACTCCGTCTTCATGTAAATTGATCAGACAACAGGTTTTTCGATTCATACTTGAGTGATTTTCTAATATTCATCATCTTCTTATAATGCGTGTTTGACAACGTCGCAACCGTGCTGCTGAAGCCGCCGCCGCCGAAGAAGCTGAGAGGGAGATCAAAAAAGCGGTAGAAGGACGGGTTCTTTGAGTTGCTTGTTTCAAACGAGAACGACCGTTGTTATCGTCACCATCGTCGTCGTCATCATCGTCATCACTACTGCTACATGAGTCGTCGTCGTTTTGATCAATCGTTGAAACTGTGAGCGAGGGCATGGACATGACTCGTTGTTGTTGTTTATGCACTGGGGCTAGGAGGTGTGAATCGTCGTACTGATCGGTCAAACGGCTGTACACTGGAGGCTTGGGATGTGGTGGAATGGGCGCGTCCGTGGAAGGAAGGATTAGCTGAGACGCCAGTGTCAATGATGCATAGGCTTTGGGAGATGGTGAGAGTTGGGGACGATAACTGACGATCCTTGGGTAGCAACGTGCGATATCGAGCGAGATTCTAGCACGCGCAGGAGGCAAGGCTTTATCATATTGAAGACTACTGTAGCAGTAACGTCGATCTCGTTTTCTGGTCGGATCATTTATCAATGGGGCTAAATCGTCACCGTCGCTTTCGATGTCTTCCTGTTGTTGTTCTTCTTCTTTCTCTGGTTCTTCCACGATAGACAACGATTGGTAATTCAGATCAGCGGATTTGGAACGCTGTAGACAGGTTTTGGTAAACTTTTTTTCCGCTTGATGATTAGCGTTGCCATTGTTACAGAAAAAGGTATCGGGTGACGGTGATGATGTGGAAGATGAAAGCGGAACGAATTGGGATCTTGATTCCGACCGGAGCTTTATAAAACGGGATGCATACTGAAGCAAGCTTTGCCGGCGTCGTGGACCCGGCGGTCTTGACGCTGCCATGGCTCGATTCGAATGACGATTCAAGGGAAAAGGAGCAAGGAAACAAAAGGATAGGAAAGAAACTGGGCTTGCTCACCAAGCCAATGGAAATAAAATAAAATATTGAATGCGACGATCACTCACACACGCACACGCAAAAACAACAATAGAGATAACTATAGAAGAGGGAAAAAAAAAGAGACAAAAGGGAAAATCGACTCAGCAGCCAATGCCATCTATCTTTTTTTTTCCTCTCTTTTTTCTTTATTCTAAACATAGGAGCACAATGATTGATGATGTCCAAGCAGCAGATAGATTCATCTACTTTGCGCTCCCTGCATTCGTCATCGCCGTTACAGAGCGTAACTGGGCTCCTTATGGTTGGGTGAAGTTCATCTCTTTCCGTGGAGAGTCTTTGTTTGTACTGCAATAGTATGGTCTTTTTTTTTTCTTCCTTTGAGTACTCCTCTTTTTCTTTTATGTGTATATGAACTCGTTAGCTCAGTAATGAATATAACTATTTCCAAACACATTAGGGAAAAAAGTGGATAGACTGACTGAGCAACAAGTGCAGGATGAACAGGAGGTGTTTCACAGATCAAAGTAATATTTGAAATTGAAAATCAAAAAAAAATAAGCAGATCATTGCTAAATTTGGCAATCAAAATTCACGGCGTGAAAGTGGCAAAAATCACCACAGCACTTTCTTGTAATGGATTACAGTGACATCTTTTTCATGGATGTTCTCATGATAGAGTTCGGACACCCTTTTTTTTCTTTTCTTTTTCTACTCAAGTCAGCAACCATGCGGCCTGTGTGTATTTTGGGAAGTGATAGTCCCCATTTTATCATCAAGTATGAAATAATTTACAAGAAAGTTTAGGTATCAATTTACAGTGATATACAAGACAAAATAAGAAAAGGGGTTGGGGGGGGGTGTTTAGAGAGTGGTTGCCGTAAAGAAATGAATGAATGAATCAGGGGAAAAAACAAGGTCACCGTAATGCTTCATGCATCTAATAACGGCGTGACTTCACTTGTGCTGATGCAAGTTATGTCTCGCTTGCATATAGGACACTAACAACAGTAAACAATAGTGTGATTAGACAGGGTTTTCATCATTCAGCATTATATTATTCAACTTCATCCTGCTGATGGCCGAAAACTTACAAATTTCTTTTGAGTGGTCAGCCAGGCATCGACGCACGAGACGTGAAAGTCGTGTTTGCAAGGTAACACGCGCAATTCATCGCCGTCGGCGTAATCTTCCAAACAGATGGCGCACTCTTCGGCTTCGTTTTCACGGATCTTTTCTCGACTGAATATTTTCATGGTGAGTTTCATGACGACATCGACGGGGGCCAAATCTTGCTTGTGTTTTTGTCGTTGACGAATTTTCCATGACAGATAGATGAACGACATCATAATACAGGGTGATATAATGACGATAATCAAAACATCGAACAGTGGCCTTGATGAGAATAGTTAATAACCCCAGTTAGTTAAAGTAGGCCCAAATTTCAATAGCTCCTGAGGATTCAGTGGTTGAATTGAACTGAATTGCATCCATCGAACATTTACCAGGTAATAAAGTCTTCGGGTTGCATGAGAACCATGAGTGGACCGTCGACGAGTTTGGTCAAGCGTATCAGAGAACGATATTCACGTCGTGTAAGGAACATGCTGGGGATCAGCACATCGGTGGTGTCACCTAATGATTTTCCTAATTAAGTTTTTTTGGAGGTTGGAAGAGGGGTCTTTTGATGAGCCGATTCCTTACCAGGCGCATACATGGTAACCCAGCTTGAATGATCAGGATCGCCCACCACCACGGCAATGGCGCCGCTCTTTTGCATATTCCGCACTTTAGTAATAAAGGAACATTGGCCTCGTCTGACAAGTGCAATCCAATTATCGTACACGGGTTCGACCACATTGCATGCGAACGGGTCTTGCGGTTCGATCAAATAGCCGAATTTCCCGTTTTCCAATAAACGCGGACCAAATGCAGCGGTGCGACCAGCGTAAGTTTCATTGGTTGACTACAAGGGGAAAAAAAAGAGTAGGCTCTCTTTTTAGAATTCAATCAATGGGGGTTCGTGTCCAATGGAAAATCCAATGCAAAAAGAAAAAAAATAACAAGTACAATCACCTACAATCACATGAACAGAGGCTTTGACTAGACCTAAATAAAGTGTCAATAAAAGGAGCCATGCAATCAACTTCATGGCAACAAGGCTTGTAACAAAAGCGTAAGAGAAGCGGTCTTGTTTTTTTTTGCACCGCACACACACAAAAAATAATGAAAACAAGGAAAAAAAAAGATGCACCCAACAGAGAATAAAAAAAAAGAGGAGCAAGACAATAAATATAAAGAAAGAAAAAGAGAGAGAGAGAGAGAGAGAGAGAGAGAGAGAGAGAGAGAAAAAAAAACAGGATCTGAAAGGCAATAAGAGGGAGGTGAGAGTATATGCTTTTTCCTGCAATGCAGTGTGAACCGAGCTTTTTTCAGCAAGATGGGTTTCACACTCACCCACCGATTCGTCATTAATTCATTCTCCGCCGCCCCTCTGTTAATGTTGCTTTTTCTTTTTCCTGACATTTTTCCTTTTTCAACCTTTAGTCTTTGTCCATTTTTATTACTCTGCTTTGTTCATTCCTTTCATATTGTCCATGTCATGGTCAATTCATCCAAGTCTAAACGTCGCGAAGTAAACGACTCTACTTTAGCACAACGTCTGCGCAAATTCTCTCTCTCACGACGCTCATCCGCTACACCCATCGCGCCCACTTCCCAAGTCGTCACCACCAATACCATCTACAAAGATTATGACCCTGCCACGGGCAACAAAATCATCAACGATTACATGATCATTCGTGAAATTGGTCGTGGGGTTCACGGCAAAGTCAAATTGGCCCAAGATATAAATACCGGTGAACTTGTTGTATGTGCATTTTGACCCCTTTGGCCCTATCCACCCTCTTTTCTCTCTCTTCTCTATTTTATCTTTTTTTACCTACTCTATTTCAGTGCTCAATCCAATCAAGAACCCCCCTTTATCTTCTTTGAGTGTTATAACAGGGATAAGCAGGCACTGCTCTTTTTTTTTCCATCTTTTTTTTTTCTTGCCCGATTTGTAAAAAGACCATCATCTGATCTCATGTTCTTCTTTCGTTCTAGGCTATCAAGATCGTGGACAAGCGCACCAGGAAAAAACAGCATGGTTTGATTCGTGGACAGGTCGACAACCCGTTACTGCAAAACAGAGAAAATGAACAAAAAGTACGACGCGAGATTGCCATTTTAAAAAAATGCAGTCATCCTCACGTTGTCAAACTACTTCAAGTCATTGATAATCCCGCCAGTCGTAAAATCTATATGGGTAAGTTTTCTTGTCATGCGCTGAGAAAAAAAAAAAGAAGACAAGTCATCCGCTTGGTCCCATTATTCAAAGAAGATGCACTAACTTTTTTTTCTTTTTTTTTTTTTTTTTTTTTTTTTTTTTTTTCATGCACAGCATTGGAGTATATGGAAGGAGGCGAAATTCAATGGCGAGATGAAGACGAAAGACCCGTGCTATCCCTGGATCAAGCCAGAAGTATCTTTCGAGACGTAGTTAGCGGACTTGATTACCGTAAGTAACAGACAAAAAGGTTATCACCATCTCTCTTGTTGACTGAGCTGTTTTTCTTCGTTTGTGGTTGTCATAGTCCATTACCAAGGCATTATTCATCGGGATATCAAACCTGCCAATCTGTTATTGACGAGAGATCAGATGGTAAAAATATCCGATTTTGGAGTGTCTTATTTCAATGAGTTGTTAGCGGGAGATGACACGGAGATTGGGACACAGAAACAACAGACCATTGATCGTGAACTCGCCGAAACCGCAGGAACACCCGCATTCTTTGCCCCGGAATTGTGTGCGATTCCAGAAGATGAAGGTGATCGCCACTGGGGACATATATCCAAAGCGATCGATGTGTGGGCCCTTGGTATCACGCTATACTGCTTCATCTTTGGTCGTTGTCCCTTCACGGCCACCACCGAATTCGAACTATTTGAAATCATTCCTACCGCCCCACTCACCTTCCCTGATCCAGCCGACACTGGAATCCCCATATCCGACGATCTCAAAGATCTGTTACACCGCCTTTTGCATAAATATCCACAAGAACGCATCACGCTCGACGAAGTGAAGGTTCATCCTTGGGTCATTGCGGATTTACCAGATCCCACCGTGTGGTGGGATGAAGCCGATCCTCGAAGGTATAAAGCCGTGGAAGTCACAGAAGAAGAAGTTACCCACGCCGTGACCATCATGGTAAGCCGCAGTCTCACCTAGAAAAAGATCTCACTTTCTAATCTGCCTGTTAAACAGGGACGCCTGCTGAAATCCATTCATCGACTCTCTCATTCACTGTCAAGTCTGACTCACAGTTTTGGTCGACATCGTTCAAAAAGTACTTCACTGCCGTCCCCCTCGTCTTCATCGTCTCCGTGTCCTTTGTACTCCACCGTATCCGCTCCTCCCCCTCCGACTCACGATGACAATTCGCTCATCACCCCCTTGAACTACGCAAAGACATCCGCTTCCACTTCAGTGTTGCCTTACCCCATCGATCATCGTCCTTCCTCTTGTTCCTATCTCTCCGATTCGTCAAGCTACAACAGTTCCGATCTTGCTGAAGCCGACATCCTTCCCAGTCATCGCATTTCCGATTACGACCGATACAGTTCTTCGGCCTCGTCCTCCTCGGGCCTCGTCGTCTCTTTTAATCGCCCTCGTCTGACCCCCACTCCCTCCAGTATTTCACATTCTATATCCAACAACTAATAATAATCATCTAGCATCATTTGGCATCTTTGATTCATCCCCTGACATAAACAAATCCCTCGTGTTACGGTTCACAAAGCCGCTTTTTGTTTTTTAAATTTGGGTTGCAGGTGGCACCTGAGCAAACAAAGAAAAAAAAATAGTTTCCCTTTTTTCTTGACAAAACAAACCATCGTATCACTCACTGCAGTTCACTCCAAAAGACAATACATACCATAAAAATGACAGATACCTAAAAATAGATGTGCATGCTGCGGTCGACATCTTAAGCTTCAAGTTCCTGCACACCGCCCTTTGCCTGTATACAACACCTCAGGGCCGAAAAGGCAACTCGTGCATGATCGTGCCTTACAGGTATCATTTGTCTAAAAATCATGTCACATTCACATCTCGCAAGCAGTATTCATATCAGTATTCTATCCACGTTCAACATTTATACTCCATTATCCTTTTTATTGTAATTATTCATACTCCACAAAGTGAGTATGTCCGGTTGCCTAATAATCCTATTAATATGGGAAATCAATCACAGGAAAATCCCATTGCTTACAGAGGCATGAGCTTGTGCATCTAATTCAGAGATTGAGTGCCAATGGACATAGCAACAGTTGCAGTACCTAACTGACCTTTTTCACCCTTTAACCCTTTTTGACATTGTTGGCATTTTAGTGTAAACGTAGCAACATCGGTATATTTGTGTTTCTTGTCATAGGTCCCATAGTCAGACTTAAAGCACACAGTTCATCGTAACATCTTTTTCTCTGTACCTTGCGCAATATCTCTGCCAGCTTCTGTGCTGCTGGCAAAAGAGCGTCATCGCCGACAGGAAATCGGGTTTGATCGAAATCCGGTGGGCTATCAATGGTGGGTGCCAATCCTACAGCATCGTAATCTAGATGATAAAACTGGTTAGATCATGCCATGTCATGTCATGTGGGATGTGGGGTTTACTCTTGATCAACTTACGAATACCACTATACAAAATAAGTACACGCTCTGCATAAGCGCCTTCGCCTACAAAGACAATTGCTCAGTCCTCATCGCATTTCCATTGGATCAATAAAGCTTGTTGGTTACCGAATTTGTCAATGCGTCCGGTTTGCACGTCTATGCTGTCGATTTCTGCCGCGAGCCTTTTCTATCAGTCACAGGTTCTCTCGAGAACAAATATAGAATGTCTATTTATACACCCACCAATGCCAAAATGCTGTGAAAATATAGACAACTCTATAAAATCACCGTCAATTGACGCGATTACAGCTGCCTGGATCACGAGATAACCTACCAATGGCGCCTCCCCATGCCGAACTTTTCTGAATCCATTCCATATATTTGCCTGCACCAATCGTCAATGGGCCAAGCAGACACAGGTTCTCAGCAAATCAAATACCTCTTTCTTGACTAAAGTATTGCCCGTTCAGTAATTGTTCATTATTGTACTGTTTGAACTTACCCAAGCATGACATCGGAATATATAGCAGGATTTTCGCCAATACAGGCAGCAATCACTGATTGAATGCGCCCCAAACATGTGAGTATTTTTTTGGATCAATCTCCCGCCCTCATCTGCAAACTACCTTTTCGCAACTCATTGGCGACCTGAATGTCATGCTGTAAAACATAGCTAACCGTCCCCTTTTTAGTCCACCGTAGTTATCCGAAACCATATTATAGGTTACCCTAGGAAAAAGATGGTAGTATCACAGGATCAGACCGCTTGAAACCAATGCTTTCTCTTTTGGAGCCGTAGTTACCAATTGATCGGAAAAGGCACGAATTATCGTCTTCCATTGTCTATCAAAAATTCATCTCTAGACTAGTTTTTCTGGTCCAGTTTGGAAGCGCCACTTACTCGGACACGTAAAATTCCCCCGCGCATTTGGACAGCTTCCATGGTTTGTGGATCAAACGGTAACGTTGTCGTTGTCGTTGTCGTCTGGGCTACAGGGGCAGGCGATGGGACGTTGGTGGTCTCTGTAAGAGTGACATTGAGTGTGTCGCCATCCCGCAAACCGCACGCTTGTAAAGTCGCGCTATCGTCAGTGAAACCTTTGGGCGGATAACCGCCCGATACTAAGTGGGTCGTCAATGCCAACTCTTGTGGGAACTTTTTACAATGGCAGGGCGAACTCACCTCGGATGCTTTGAGGTGTGGTTATGTGGATAGCTTGCGCAATAGCTTCCCGTAACTGCGCGATTGTATACTCTGCTTGGAGATTGGTTAATGTAATGCTGCCTTGCGGATGACGGATGCGAACTCGCATGGTTAGCGTTTTTTCTTTGGCACTGCACAAAAAGAAACAAAAAGAACCAAACGCAGATGGAAGATAGTGGACAAATATGGAAATGAATTTCCCCCCAGACCAGCGTCACAATTCGGGCAACAGCATGAAAATCATCTTGGTTCCCAAGATTTCGCTCGCATTGGATATACATATTTATTACACATAGTTTTACAATACATAATGATGAGGGTTATCTTTTTTTTTTTATCGTCGGGAACAGCCTGCACAGGTCCACATAAATAAACGCCATATAATGGTGATGCCTGCTATGGCCGTGACCGCCGCGCCTCCGTAAAGAAAAGCATCGTGAACCACCTTGCCACAGATGGTGCCACAAGCACTAGCACTAGCGTCACGCAATTGTTCTGGTAGCTGATCACACTGATTCGAACATTTATCGCTAATCACCTTGGAAGCGACCATTAACGCAATTCCTGCCGCTAAAAAGGCAATACCAATGATCATACAAAAACAGGAACAACAGGTCATGGCCGGGTTGTAACAGCAGCAGTTACAGCCCCTTTCTCTGGGTGTTTGATATGGTCGTGGCGCATATGATTCCGCTTCTTTCTCGGGCGCAGGCGCTACAACCACAGGTCCATAGTATGTCGGATCATTATTCTTCTTTTTCTTATTTTTCCTGGATTTGGAGTTCTCAGGTTCAGGTGCAGGAGCATGTTGCACCATGGGCGCTTCCGGTGAATAGGAGGCCATATCGTGTTCATCTAAATAGTCATCGGTCGCTACTGTGGGTCGCTGACGGTCATAGGAGTTCGGATCGGTGTACGGTGCTGGACGGTGCACCGGCTCCTCGTGGTCTCGTACGTAATCGTTCAATGGGACAGCATGCGGATCATAGTATCCATGCTGTTGGACTGACAAAGGTCGTTGTTCTTCGTGTTGAGCGGATATCGGAACAGCATAAAATTCATTGCTCGGCGGTGCATGGATGGGAGGCGAGGTATAATTTTCGGGAGGATACGCAGGATAGGGCGGGGTATACGGGGACTCATGGATATCTTGTGATGGATGAGAAGGGTAATAAGATGGTTGCGGCGGGGCCGAAGCGTATTGCCCTGGATGATCGTCTTGAGGAGGCGGAGGAGGCGGACGAGGATACTGTCCAGCGTAAGGGTCCGAAGAAGGTGGATACATGACTACTGATCAATACCTCTTGCGTGAAAACAAAAGGTGAAACCAGAAAAAATAGAAGAGAAAGAGAGCCAAGATGAAACCAGCCGTTCCTTTTTTTTTTAGAGTCGCTTAATCGGTGATGAACGTTCAGTCACGCCAAGGATTGTTTCTTGCCTGAATATGGTTTGGATGGCCTCAAACTCGACCAGTGAAAAACAGGCTTCCAAATTAAGATCAACTGGGAAACGCTAAAAATAGTCTCCGTTGGTTTTCAATCACATTCAAAACAAATCCTTGGCCCCATAATCATCAACAACATATCACACACGGATATCCGATTTGCATTCTTATTCGTCACAGAAAGAAAGGCAAAAGTGGGGCTGGAGTGAGAATACAGAGTGGAATCCTATCGGCTGACTTTTTGGTTGGACTCAGCCAGCCATGGGCTCAGCGGCAGGGACGGTCAATGAAACTGCGAAACTTATATTTTCTTTGTTCCTGGACAAATCCAAATCAGCCTTGAACCTAATTCATTGACAGCTATACTTTCTTGTTATGTTTTCCAGAATGACAATGTCAAAAGCGTCGAGATAGCGTGGCGTCAACGCTTCAATATTATGATTCAGGAATCCAACGTTTAAAAAAATATCGTTTCACGCCCTGGCTCATTTGCAAGTCACCGATCGCAACAAGACGCCATTTTTACGATTTTTGATCGTCGAGTAACAAGGCGCACTGTCCAACTGGAATTCGGACTTGTTAAAAACATGAATCAGAGGATTCTCGAAAGCATCACAGTAACCCTGATCATCGAACTTTATCAAACTGGACACGTTATGCAATTTAGGACATCATTAGTCGAGCTTGCTCCAGAATACGTTGAATCACATTGTTAAACCCGCCGAGAACATAAGGAAAGGGATAGCTCGGCCATGACAAGGCATCAACACTGTTTCTACGCCGGCGCGCATATGAAGAGCCTCTTTTACCATGCCAATAATATTTAACCGATCCAACCACCAGCGAGCGGATCAGCAATCAATCACACGAATGAAAACATAAAGAAATTTGATTACCGTTTGTATCCTCCTACTTATTCTGCCGAGCTTAACACAATAAAACAATTCTGGGCAGTGACAAGAGTAAGGTTAAAGTGATAGGTTTTTGCAGGAAGACATTCTGTCAAAAAGAATTACAGAAGCAAAAGTGTGAAGAGTCACTTCACAGTTTCGTTCCGCATACCTACAAGTGCTGGAATAAATGTCGAAGCAAAATGCTCAGGTAATGCCAATATCGATGTAATAAAAAGAAGATTCAGCACACCACAGATCATCGTGTACAATGTCGTGGAGACATCACTGTCCTCGTAAGCATTGCACAGATGATCGTATACCGATATTATATCCAAGATCGTGTTTACTTGGCCCGCGCACCGTGAATGATCGGATGAGTTCAGCAGGGATCAGCACCTGTCCGATTTCGCACATGATATACACGCCGTCGTACATGACATTCACAAGATGAAGAGAATACGCGGCGCCCAACCAATTGAATTGCCAGCACACCCTTCATCGTTTACATCAATGAAGTTTTTAGCAAAGATGCCTAGGCGAACAAGGTCCTTGGCAAGCAGATATTTGTTCTCCGCCTGGCTATGGCATTTTGCTTCACTGAAGCCACGTGTGACGCCCCATAGGCCTGACAAGGTAGCGAAAGAACTGGATCATACACCAATGAAATGACGCTGAAAAGCCTTCTGATACATTGGTAGTGGTTTGTCTCTCTTGAGAGCTACACAAAAACCAGTTATATTGAACGCTTGAGAATTATTGTTAACGTGATACCCTATCTCAATTTACGGATTTAAAACGGATAGAATATAATGGAATCGGTCATTTTGACTAATTAATTTAATTAAATAAATAAATATGATGAGCAGGAGCGTCGCTTTGTTACATGAAGTCGTCCGATAGTTTGCGCAGTTGATCGTTTGACGATCTTGCAATGGGTTTCATCATTTTTGGCAATTTGGGACATTATTCGTGGATTTCGTGACAACCGAGTGTTGATTTCTGAGTCATGAGGCGGCGTCGCTGAGTGAAATGTCGAAACGTGTCAAATTATCTTTGAAGTTTGTTATCTTGGTAACATGTATAGAACAAAACGACCATGCGTTATCTTGCGTTGCTTCGAATGCCGAAGTCGCTTTGGTAGAAAAGACAATCTAAGACGTCACTTGCAAGAGCACGGCTTTGAAGTGAGCACTTCTCGTGGTGGGCGCCCAAGAATTTCCATTCACAAACCCTCGAATGTGGACATCATGTACTATGGTTGCCCTGGTTGCTCGTCTTATTTTGAAAGCCTGGATCAATTGGCCGAACACATTGATGTCTGTGATATATGAGAGAATTTAGAATGAAAGAGACAATGAGAATCCTTTGAGACTGTTGGATGCCCTTTATTTCAATTAATGTGATCTGCCTATTTATACTTTAGTCTTGAGTCGGAATTAATAATTATCAGTGAGCAGTCCTCGGTTATAAGGTGTATTAGGAAGGATCCACATGCTGTGGTGTGACAGCTTTACCTGTATGAATTGATCTCGGCGATAGGTCCAAGTTATGGATGAAGAGGCTCAATCGGTGTTATGGAGAAGCTCACTCAGAATGGAAACACGTCTAGATCCCGATCTTTCCTGTTTGGGAACACCAGTCTAGGATGGATAATACGACAAGTAGTGGATATACCACAATGTCCACCTGATTAACCGCGTTCAAACGGTAACAAGTTCATCAAGCATGCAAGTAGCAACACGTGAAAATGGTTCCACGCAGGAACAGTCCGCAGCAGACGCGTCAGAAAGTGGGGCAACAACATCGTCAAGCATGTCACCTGAGTCCATAATGAACCTTTGCTGTCCAGCTGGGCATGACCGGTATATCGTTGAAGGCTTTGATGTTTCCAAAGGCTTCTATCAATTCCAACTGCTGGCGCAAGAAAAGGCCATATCCCTAAAGGCTTACACATGGAATCCCATGTATACCATCTACTATCACTTTCATTCATCTTCTTGGTGATACCTGGTCACTTTCATAACGACCTCAAGAAATTCATTCCAAGTGACAAATTGGCGAAGATAGTCAATGATCTCAATACCCAATTCAATATTGGCCAGCTCAAAGTGAAAAATGAGATCATATGCCAACTAATAGACGTCGCAAGTGTACGTGCAAAAGAATAAGAATGGTAATTCACAAAATGCTTACAGAAAAAAAAAATATCTCTTTATCTAGGATCTCCGCACTAACAAGCTGGACTGTGACAATGCAGTGATTGAACTCCTGTTGCTTCGCAAGCAATCTACCAAAGAGGAATACAGGATAATTAAATCCTTCGCCTCATTAATTCGATCACTTCCAAACGAGGCCGTATCCAATATGATTCTAGAGCAGGAGTTAATCAGTCGCTTCACAGCACCGGCCTTGAACCCGTTGTTCGATGATCCTCAAAACGACAATTTGTTCCGGTGGATTGCTGCTATAAATGAAGAGATGAAAACTTCCAGCACTGTCATTGTCAGCAACGAACGGCCAGATGCATGCATCAGTGTATTAGATGGTTCGATCTGGGGTGTCACACGTGGCTTCAGTGAAGCAAAATGCCATAGCCAGGTAGAGAACAAATATCTGCTTGCCAAGGATCTTGTTCATCTAGGCATCTTTGCTAAAAACTCCATTGATGTGAACAATATAAAGGGTGTTCTCGTCATGCAAGTGATTGGGCACCGCGTTTTCTTTTACATTGTCAGTCTCATGTACAATGACATATATGTCATGTTCGAAATCGCACAACTGTTAATCCCTGCGAAAATATCAGATCTCTCTTTGTACGCGGGACAAGTCAACACAATCCTGGATATAATCTGGGTGTACGATAATTTATGCAATGCTTATGAAGACAATGTTCTCCCCGCCACATTGAATGTCCGAAAGCGTAAGACACTGTCTTGCGAAGAACATGATCACGTTGTCAGTGACAGCCGAAATCGCAAGCGACTGTCGATCACCACCCCCTCTCTCCAGTAATTCTTTTTCTTCTTTTATTGGCTCCATTAGCTAAACTCGATTCTTCATGACGTCAATAAAAATTCAAGTCAATCAGAGTTGTTCCCGCATTAAAAGGGTCCTCAAAAACGTTCTCAAAAATGTCCTCATAAGTTTTGCCCAATCAAAATGTCCAAAAGATCCTCAAAAAGGTCCTCATAAAACTCTGCAAAAAGGTCCTCAAAAAGGTCCTCAAAAAGGTCCTCAAAAAGGTCCTCAAAAAGGTTTTTAAAAACGTCCTCAAACACTGAAGAGAAATTTTTAAAATTATCAATGTAGTAATTATATATATTAAGTTGGTCATCTATTACTAAATTATTAGTTTACGTATCATTGCGCATTTCAGATATGTCACATTTATTTAATTTATCTGATATATAATTATTTATATTTTCTAATTTTTTAATTTTTTTTGAAATATCAACTTCATGTATATCATATACATTTGATTTATGTGAAGATAAAAATTTTATATGATAGGAACATGCAATATTTCTACATAATCTTTTACAACTTCCTCTATTTTGTGATCTCTTATATTCGCAAATATATGTTTTTGTATTTGAAAAATTATTTAATTTCCCATTTGGGAAATATTTTTCATTTCCACAATTTTTGGTGGTGTTAAAAAAATTCATAAAATCATGTAATAATTCTTTTTTAAATTTCTTTAATAATTTATCATGGTAATTTTTAAATAATGTAAATAATTCAACCTCCATTTTTATTTGTTATTTTTTATATATAATTAATATTCATTTTTTTAAATTTTCCATCTCCACCATTTTGGGTGGTCTTATATTTTTTAAATCTATTTATCATAAATATTAAAATTACTATCTTTACCATTTCTTAAAATTGGTCACCTGTAACTACATTTTTTATTTTCATAAATTGTTTTTATAAAGTCCGGCAAATAATGTACCATCAGATGAATTCATATTAATTATTTTATCTGATTTATCTGATTTATATTATATTTATACTTAAAACAAATATATTCTGCTATTTCTTTATATTTTATAAATTTTTCATTATTGTAATCGTCTTTTAATAAAACATTTATTAATAAAATACTATAACTTACTAGTTGTGTTAAATTTTCTATTGTAAGGATTTTGGGATTATTTAAAAATTTATATAATTTTTCTGTTATAATATCTTTTGTATTATTTTTATTTTTATCATAATCAAAAACATTATTTACAAAATTTATATAATCATTATTATCATAATTATTATCTTTAAATATGAGATTATAAATATTACAAATTAATTTATATTCCTGAAGATATCTTTTTTTAATTTTTTTCTTATTATTTATTTTTCTATTATTAAAAAAGTTTGATTTTAACTTAATATCTAATTCATTAGAAAAATCTATATTAATATTGTAGTTTGTATTTTTCCTGAAAACGTCCTCATAAGTTTTGTCTAATTAAAAATGTCCAAAAGGTCCTCAAAAAGGTCCTTAAAAACGTCCTTATAAGTTTTGTCCAATCAAAAATGTCTAAAAGGTCCTCAAAAAAGTCCTCATAAAACTCTGCAAAAAGGTCCTCAAAAAGGTCCTCAAAAAGGTCCTCATAAGTTTTGTCCAATCAAAAATGTCCAAAACGTCCTCAAAAACGCCCTTATAAGTTTTGTCCAATCAAAAATGTCCAAAACGTCCTCAAAAACGTCCTCAAAAACGTCCTCATAAGTTTTGTCCAATCAAAAATGTCCAAAACGTCCTCAAAAACGTCCTCATAAAACTCTGTAAAAAGGTCCTCAAAAAGGTCCTCAAAAACGTCCTCAAAAGTTTTGTCCAATCAAAAATGTCCAAAACGTCCTCAAAAATGTCCTCATAAAACTCCGCAAAAAGGTCCTCAAAAACGTCCTCAAAAACGTCCTCAAAAACGTCCTCAAAAAACTCCACAAAAAGGTCCTCAAAAAGGTCCTCATAAGTTTTGTCCAGTCAAAAATGTCCAAAAGGTCCTCAAAAAGGGGGTTGATGGCTATGTGTATTTTTGCTTCGTATTTGTGGCTTACCTTATTCTTATGGCTTTGAATGGAGTAAATATTGGCCATTACATGAGCTTTTTGTTTCCACATTTTCTGCCAACGCTTGTTAAGAATGCCCAAGCGAGACCGTTGAAATGACCTGTCCTTCACATTTTTGTAGGCTACTGTGATTTTTTTTGATAAAATATCTTCCTGTAAAACCTATGATGTTTAACCTTACTGTTTGCCACTACCCAAAATTGTTCAGTTAAGTTCAGGAGAATAAGTGGGAAGATACACGTTCATATACAGTGACTCAGGAAATTGATCCAATGTTCGCCGATTTTTTACTTTATTGCAATTATCTCCACAACTATCATACGTATTGTTTCCGTTAAAAAAATATGTTGTAGCCCTAATTCATAGCTTTAAAACAAAAAAAAGATGAAGTCTCTAGCATAAGTAGATGATGAGTAATCGTTTTTTCCGCACAAGTACTCATTGGATCAATTTCCTGAGTTGCCTACTTTTCTTGCGGACAGTCACAATAAGTAAATAGAATCGCCGAATTTTTTCTCCTTCTCACTTCTTTCAGTTATTTATTCCGATTCAAGGTGAAATCCGCATCCATTTCGCTCAATTCCTTCATCCGATTCCTAATTGACCTAATTAACATGATCATCTGTAGATGCATCCGATTTCACAAGATAAAATCAACAACAACTTCGCGAGAACGTTTCTCACAGAGTTATTGCTTCACGTTTCAACGTCAGTGTTTCCACAGTCGGACGAATTCGCAAGCAATTAGGCATTCCTGCCACTAATTCCGCTGGACGATCATCGCTGATTACCACACAATTGGGACGCCTGATCCTTCGACGCTTCAACACTGGGGAGTATAAAACGGCTGTGGACGCCAGCAGACAACTCTCCTCCACCACGCCTATTGCTCCCCAGACGATTCGGGACTTTTTGCAGGCCAACAACTATAAGTCCATGCATAAACCTGACGCCTTGCCCTTGACCCCCTCCAGGAAGAAAGCTCGCCTTGCCTTTGCAAAAAGATACCATTCTTGGACTGTTGAAGACTGGAACAGAGTGGTATTTTCTGATGAAACAAAAATCAATCGCTTGGGATCAGATGGTAAGCAGTGGACATGGACACAGAAGGGGCAACCACTTAGAGATCACAACGTCAATCATGTTACCAAGCATGGAGGCGGCAGTCTCTTTCTTTGGAGTTGCATTACTGCCAATGGCCCTGGTTTGATTACCAAAATTGAAGGAGGATTAGATGCAGCTTTATACTGTGATATTTTGGAGGATGATATGCTTGGTAGCCTTCGAGAATATGGTATGCAGATTGACGATATCATTTTTCAACAAGACAATGACCCTAAGCACACATCCAAAAAAGCAAAAGCATAGTTTGAATCCAAGGGTATTGAAGTACTCCAGTGGCCCCCTTACTCTCCTGATCTGAATCCAATTGAAAATATGTGGTATTATCTGAAGTGTCAGCTTGCTGATTATGATGAAGCACCCATATCAATGGAAGAGCTATGGAGGCGGGTCCATTATATCTGGTACAACAAGGTGACAAAGGAGGCATGCCAGAAGTATATTGCCACCATGCCTCGACGTTTGGAGGCGGTCATCAAGGCCAAAGGTGGACAGATTGATTATTGATTCAATAAGTAAGTGCAACTCAGAAAATTGATCCAATGAGCGGTCGTGTGGAAACCTTGATTACTCATCATCTACTTATGCTAGAATCCTCATCTTTTTTTTATTTTAAAGCTAGGAGTTATAGCTACAACATATTTTTTATTTGGGGTGGATAGATATGGTGGTTGTGAAGATAATTGCAATAAAGTAAAAAATCGGCAAACATTGGATCAATTTCCTGAGTCACTGTATTTCTTTATGTTCTAACTAGTCTTGGGTGTGTTGGCCCACTGTTAATCCACTCAAGCTGAGTGGGACCATAGGCGTATCGCTTCAGATAGCCTCAATAGTGTTTGTATCATTATTCATTTTGAATAACATATTGTCATCGCTTTCAGGCCGTGGATCGAACGGCGGCAAGGTTATGTTGCTCTTCGAAAGCATTCGGACCGCACCTGCCAGACCAATAGCGAATGCAGCTTGCTGGTCGCGATTCCTCGTTGCGTGTCCTCTTCAGACGGCAGGACAATCTGGGTTGATGCATCAAGTATTTGCTTCTTTTTGCCATTGGGTAATGTTTTTGTCGCAAGTTCTGTTTGATGAAAACAAAACACACAGGTCTTGGATGAGCAAAATTCGTTTGTCATTACAACAGCAGTGTTTCGTGCATGTGCAGTCCGCATCTTCTTTCCTCCTCGCTGTGCGTGACCTCTGATACATGATCCGACTCTGGTGCCCGCGTTCCCGATGCACATAACCAAGGTATTTGCCGAATCCCCGCTGGTAATTTGCTTACGTTCTTTAGATGCCAGCTGTCGTAAACTCGCTTGGTCCACAATGATTGTGTATATGCAACTTTTTTAGACTTATGATTGCGGTAAACGCCACGCAATGCATCACCTGTATCCACTTGCAACTATAACCAGTGTGACTTCAGTGCATCCACTTGATTCAAGAACCTCTACATACCTTGACTACTCAATGCTTCCTTCTGCGTCCAAGCACTCCAGATCGGGTCTTGGCTTAACAATTTCTCAGCGCTTTCGATCGAAGAAGACATCTATTTTTTAGGTTAGTCATCTATCCTTTCAGTGTAGCAAAAAAGAAAAAAAAAACAATACCTTCTTCAACTTCTCACGTCTTCTTCGGTGCCTTCTGGAAAACGATACTTCTTTGATATGTTTGGCACTGATTTTAACTGGTTTCGGAAGCAGCAGTTCAGAATCACTGAGAGCATCTTCTGTTTCGACATCGGCGCAAGATTCGAGGCAAGCATATCTGTTATATAGGCGCAAATGCCTGCTGATGGTCGACACATTCAATGGCACTGTCACTGACATTGTCTTGAGTCCGTAATCCGTTCCGGAAAAAGTTACGGCATGCTGTAACTGGCTGATATCCATTCGTTGCGCTTCATCCATGCATTGAGGAAAGGCTACTGCAGGCACTGTATCACGTTTATTTCCCTCAGTGGGTATTTGCTGGGTTGTATTAGTTCATCAGTCCCTCGATTCAAATGTATAAGATATAACGTACCTGTCGTTGCAATAGATAACGCTTGTTCTTTGCCTTGCATAAAGTTTTCCTGCATTCCAGAAGAGTATAATTCTCCCTACGAACCGCAGCCTTCTTGTCTTGCCAACTTGTATGATTTTCATCAGAACGGTTATGATAGAATTGGTCCTTCAAAATTCTCATCTCCTTTTGGACCTTTCCTCTGGTTGTCACGATCTGCTTTTGACGTTTTTGCAGGCTGTTGATTGTTTCGCTCAAGGAGTCGATCTGCTTCTTGGTTTCGTCGTTTTGTACCGTCGCGGGAGTGAGTTGTGCTTTCTTATGTTCATGACGTTTGTCGTATCTTGAAATCATGTCATAGCATTGGTGGTTTATTCGTGCTCCTTGTAAAATGGCCACGTGTCCATTCGTTGAAATGCGGTGTTTGAATGCCCATCCATAGCCTTTGCATATCTTATGGATCTGTCCCAAATCAAATATGGATGCAATGACACCAATGGGATACTTCCGCGCTTCCACACCAGTGATTGGATTGGATGGCCGTTTTCCGAGACGAATTCATACATGCCTTTTTGCGAGCCAAACAATTCGTAAATGCTAGTTTCGTCAAGGTGTAGCACATGCTCCGCTGAAGGAGAGACTGAGGGATGAATTTGTTTTGTGAATTTGCTGTATCCCGCCAGACGAAGGATCACATTAGAAAGTGTGATAAACGGTAAGAGGAGGGCAGGGTGCTTCTGCAGCTTTCCGTTCTTGGGATAATAAGGTGCAAGTTGGTCTGAAATCAATGTAATGACTCTGTATTCCTCGTTCGTCCAGGAGATAGTTCGCGGTGTGTGCTTGTCAATACGCGATTTTGTGCCAGTTCCATCAATACTTGATTCCGTAATCAGCTTCTTGACCACCGCCTTTATAGCGTTCAAACGATGACAGCTCAGGTCCTTTAATAATGTGTTAAATGCAAATTCTGAGCTGGACTTCCCTTCTCGTGACTCACCTGATGGTCAACGAATGTAGTTTGTTGTTCTTCGGTTTGACGGATATCTATCCCCTCCTCTTCCTCTAATCTTTCTTCTTCGTCGTCTTCTTCCTCAATGAGCTCCAACAGATCTTCTTCATCGACATTTGGCACATCCGATATATACAGCGTTTCTGTCGTATAGGTAGGGTCTATATACCACTACATAAGAATTACCTCGGTTTAAGCAGATAAGAGACACTAGAGTAGTTACACACTATTTGTACATTCAAATCCCGATACCAGTTATTATCTTTGAATACCAGATACTAAAGAGATCATCTCTTTCGAGAATAAACAACAGTCTCACCGTACTCAACGTCTCTATCCATCTATATCACAGTTTCGATTTCATCGGTGATATCGCACATAGTCACCTCTCTCTCTGGCTCAGATTGTACATACAACCGGCGTAACCTGATCAGAGACTTTTCGCTATCCTGAGCTTGCGCTAGACTTTTCATTTCTTGCTTGATTCGCCGTTTCAACGCCTTCTTTGTTGCACAGGGGCATTTTCGTTTATCATTTCTTTTACGAATCGTCGACTTTCTGAGTTTCTCTTGGTATTGACTTCCACGGGCTGGAGCCAAATGTATCCACAATAAAACGCGAACTACTCGATCCAAGATTTTTCCGGGTGCTGCGCGGGACCATAGAGTTTTGACGTTGATAGAATATTCCTTGATTGCAGCATTGATCGTTTGAGAGCAGCCAGGCATATCTGAAAACGATTGCGCCATTTCTGGTAAACTCTTGCACCAATCGAACCAGAGGGAAGGAAAGTCACTTGATTCTTTTTTCGGTGTCGCGGAATTTATAAACCGCGAATATAAAAACTGTAAATGCCGCAACGATAGAAGATCATCATGCGCATCAAGCTGCTTCTTGCTGGTACCGTCCTCGACTCTCGCATGCAGTCTATCTAGTAACCTATCAGGTATCGGTGGAATCGGTATCATTTTGAAAGTCCCGAGAAATTTGCTTTGCCATTGAAACGCTGGCGGGAAAAGATGATGAAAATTGAATAAAGCTGGTGGTGTCTGGGTGTTGCCATTTGGCGATTTGCTATAATTCAAGCAAGTGAGATAAGTAAGCATTGATAATTTGGAGATAATGCCGGTAAGGTGAACTGAAAACTTGTTGATGCTTTGCAAAAAGTTATCGCGGTTAGGGAGATCGGAACGAATGACTCGTGGAAGTGGGACAGAACAAGTACGAATAAGTTGTTTGGATTTTTTCGGATCCGTGACAGGATCGTCCGTCTGTTCATCTTTATCTTCATTCTTCGATGCTTCAATTCTACTGCGAATACTGTTGAAAGTATCGTCGAAATGATTCATGACATACTCGCGCCAAAGTGCCATGAAGTCAATCTTTTCTTTGATGAGCGTTCTTCTAAACTGTTCCCCTTTGAGATCATCAATTTCCTTTTCGGCAAGCGCCGTGCACTCTTTGTATACTCCACGGATGAATCCCATTTCCAGCAATTCGGCTTTAATATCCTATGAAGATGTTTGCGCGTCGTCATTTTCACCGTCATTTTCTTCATCGTCCTTGCTGTCATCGTGCCAATCAAAATTGGTCATATCGGTTTGCACCTTGGCCTTTTTTTTGCCCTTATTTTTGGTTCGAGGTTTTTTTCGTTTTTTCTTGTTCTTCGTTTCGAGGGCATGCGTGACCCTGCCTTCAAGGTATGTTTCGAAAAATGTGGTCAGAATTTCCAAGCAATATTTGGAGCTGAGGACGACTGCTGGCATTTTGCCTTTTCGGCTTGTTGTACTTCGCACTTGAGCCACCGGAAGATGACTGTGAGGTCCTGTTGTATACACAGAAAGCATGGACGTTGTTTTTCTCAGACGATTTTGCTGCGGACTAAGAGGAATAAAGGTGCTTTCTCCTGGATATGTCGTTATTTAGCAGGTATACATGAAACATGGATATGTTTTTACAATACCTGTAAATGAACTGACGTTATGGAAAATTCCGATCCAGCAGTCTCCGTTGCCAAAGACGCGTGTGTGGGCACGACTGGAGAAAAGAAAAATTTTGACATTGAGCTGCAAAGATATGGCGAGTAACATGAGGTGTGGTTCGATGATTGGAACTAAGAAGGGTTCATCTTTTCTCGATGTAATATCGATGCTGTACAAGTGATGTTTGCGATCGTTCAGCAAGCGAGTCACATCCGAAGCGAGACTCGGGCTATGATCAGGCTTGATGTCAAACCTTCTTGCCAAAATCCGCAGTGCCTTCTTTGTATTTTCATTGGCCAAAGCTGTTACTTCTGTGGCCTCATATGCATTTCTGAGCTTCTGCTTCCATGTCGATTGATTCAGATGACGGGAAAAACAATCCGAAGGGGTAAGGAAATTTTAGTATGATGACCAGCTCCAATCGTAGTGAAATCGAGAGGTTAAATCCATCAAGAATAGAAAGAGAGCAAAGAATCATTTTTTTTATTGTGGATCACCTTTATTTGATGGATTTGCAGTGAAACCACGATGCTTTCCCATCATTCGTCTCAGGCGAATGGCTCGAAATTTTGTGGGATCATTCCGCTGCTCACGCCAATGGAGCTTCAGTCGATAAGCCTCCAGACGTTGAAGACAGGTAACGTGCTGGATTTAATGAGTTCATGGGGTATTCTAGTAGCTGGAAAGGACACTCGTTTTGGTTCCAGACGTTGATTTTTTCTTTCAAAGGTGTTTTTGGGCTGTTATGACGGTTGGCAGAAATTGCCATACTGCATGGTAAATAAATAGCTTTTTCAGAAGAATCATTCTCCACCCAAGACTGATAAGAAAGTCAACTTTATCAATGTTTACAAAACATGTGGGCCATCTAGTACTGAAAAAAAAAATATTTGATGATAAATAAGTGCCATATTCGTGCTTGTGATACATGCTCAAACTCGGTGCCCAAGCTTGTGTCTTCAGGATTACGTTCGATCTTATGTCAGATCATATTCCAGCTATGCTTCAGGCACCATGGACTTGCAAACAGGTTTTTAACATGTAAAAAGTGGATCTCCAAATTGAATTGATCTGCGTGCTCTGATGATGAGGAATGACAAAAGACACAATCAAACCTTGTACATTCGTCTAAGACAACATATAAAAAAACGGGCAGTTGAAGTGAAAAAACTATTATCAGTTATCGAATATGAATGAAAGTAAAAGAAGCCAAAGACATCTTCCTTTCTCTTTTGTTCAAAAAAAGAAGAGCACACACACACACAAACACACTTGACTTTTTAACCAATTGGCAGCGATCCATGTGATTGAATATACACATCATCATCATCAAACACACATTAGGTTAAAAAGACTTGGAGAACAGGTTTTTTTTATCTTTATTTTTTATTTACACACATATTGGTGCCCAAATCAAGTGTATTGTTTTTGCTTTTTATATGATAGCTAATCAGAGACCGTGCACATGATTTAGCGTGCATAACTCTCCAAAGATTTTAATATATAGTACTAGTTGCGCGTGTGATCTTGAAGACCACAAAGTTTGGTTCGTTGGATGTGTAGTAGGGATGTTGCTCTGAGGGAAGTGGGAATAGTAGCTGATTAAGGATGTGTTTGGAATGGGATATTCCATTTGCAATATTCAGAACTCCGCACTCGAATTTGTGTATCCAAAGGTCTCGCTTGATGGTACTCTAATCTTTTGTCAATAAGCGGTTGATTTTTCGGTAAGATTTAGTTGATGTGCGCATAAATCTTTGCGTATTCAATGGACAACAGAGTAGTACAGTCTCTTTTTCTTTTTTCCCGGGGGTCTTGCCCCCCCCCCCTGACCTACCGCCACATAGCGATCATTTTCTTCATCCACGACAGAGGAACAACAATATGTACACAAAGTTAGGAACAGAAATAGTCAGACATCGATATAATATTAAATGGAGAGACAAAAATAGATAATAGAAAAAATCGTACTTGGGGAAACATAGCATAAGGATAAAATCAAAAGGAACATAAGGACAAAAAGCATACAGTAAAACATAAAGGTGAAGAATAACTTGAAAAATCATAGCAAAGGATGAAATTAAAGGAGCATAAGACAAAATACATACAGTAAAATATAAAGGAATAATAAAAACAACAACATAAGGTAAAGACGCCACCAGGACCATCAACAAAGAACAATCGGGCTGATTCGTTGCTTCCATGCGTGACACTCTGGAGAATTGCGTGGTATACGGCATGTTGATAACGGTTTAGGTACTCGTGTGTTTGGGGAACATTGGCAGCGTCTGCGATGAGATCGAATTGTTCTCTTACCAGTCTGGGCTGACGGCGAAGTGTGCTTCTGCCAATTTCTTGGCGATCAGGAAGAACAAAGCGATCATAACTCAGCAGTGAACTCGATTGGCGGTTCAGATGCTCTTCAATGTCCAGCAAAGCGCGATCGTACACGATTTGGGGCGGCTCAATTTGATGATCATTGTCTTGACTTTGATTGCTCCAAAAATGGAAATAGTCTTCTGCCAAATGCTCGCGGAACTGCATCCAAAGCGCAAACGGTTCAGGAGCCTGAAATTTTCTGTCATTGCCGGCATGATACATTGCTGCTGCAGCATGATCGTGGTCCTTGTAAACATACTTGTACAGGTATTTGACGCTTTCCAGAGAAGTACAGATTTCGACGTTAATGTGAGCGTTATATCTTGCACAGAGGTATCGATTGTGGGGAACAACCCATCTATTGTCCAACTGGACATGGTTCTTGACCACAAAATCACCATTGTTGCGACGACGGTATAACGGGTAACCCCTGTGATCTTCGATAGTAGCTTCATTGAAGGACGCGGGTAACGCTTTTTACATGAGCCGTTTTCCATGCAGGGAGACCTCGGATGCGTTGTTCCACACGGACCGTGCATAATGCATCTGCTGACAGTGTCGTAGAGATCAGGAAATCTCTCTCTGTCCGGAAGTTCGGCACACACGATACGATCATAGTCATCAAGTGTTCTCGGCTTATCCTCCGTAGTAACACCAAAAGCAAATGAAGATGCGGTAAGCCTCGCTTCTGAAACTCCGCCGTGTGTACATGGGTAACGACTTTTCCCAAAACATGGTTCTTCTTTAGATCTTCCATCAGAGCTTTACGCTTCATGTTAAAAATTCGAGCGCAAAGGTCGGACCGATCAACAGCTGTCTGTCAACCAATTCAAAAATTACCCAATCAAAGCCGACAAATGTAGCAAAAACCCAATGTGACTGCCTTGTGACGGAAAATTAGCGCGCACAACTCCCAAACATTTTTGATAATGGTAGGTATGCGTGTGGATGGGTGCGTCATGCATAACTATATAATGACCTTTCATATGTGGATGTTATCCATTTTATCAAGAGTCGGTTTTTTACGCCAATCGTGATCAAGCCTACGGCCAGAGATTGCGCCCAAATTTTTTTTGTTTTGTTGTTTTTGCTTTCGTCCAGGATTAGTAAAAATAACACCGGGACCTTTTTTCCACTCCTGACGTTAATGTTTAGGTCAAAAGCAGGTTCTTCAAGGAACATGTAATTCCCAGAAAAAGACAAGTGGAGTGGAATCAGAGAGCGGAATCCCATCAATTGACTTTTTAGTTGGACTCAGCCGACTATGGGCTCAGCGGCAGGGACGGTCAATGAAAATACGAAATTTATCGTTCCTTGGACAAGATAAAAAAAAATTCATATCAGCTTCGTTGACAGCTCTATACTATTAACAAGCCGTACACCCGCAGTGCAGTGGATGCCGCCTGCCACCGGAGGCCGCCCTCTTACATTGAGCGACTTTCGTCAGACAAAAAGCCTAACGCATACACGGCATAACCTGGCGAGAACTCTTGACGGACTTTGGTATATTAATGACAACCTTATGGCATCCCTTACGTCGTGATTTGTTTCTGAACACGCGCTTCGCATATTACAAGCTGAATCAGATGTCGGGTTGCTATCGGGTCGTCGGTTAGGGTCAGTGACCCGACGACTCATTAAGGAACCCTGGACACTGTTGCCACAACAGTTTCTAAGAATACTTGCAAAACTGGTTTATGAGTCGTTTGATACTTGATTTCTGCACGAATGCAGCGAGTCGTTAACGAATCCTAGACACACTTGTCACAACAGTATCTAAGAATAATTGCAAAGCTGGTTTATGAGTCCCTCTATACTTTTTTGTTATGGTTTCATTTTGGTGCTTGTATTACAAATTACAAATAGCGTCAACATCAGGGTCTATAGGTGGGAATACTTGTAGTAGTTATACATGGTTGAGAAGGTCAATGATGGGGTTCATATTGGCGTCACCGAGAATGACAATGTCAAAAGCGTCGAGATAGCGTGGCGTCAACGCTTCAATATCATGATTCAGAAATCCAACGTTCAAACAAATGTCATGTTTCACGCCCTGGCTCATTTGCAAGTCACCGATTGAGTCCCCCATCAAGATGACATTTTTACGGTCTTTGATCGTTGAGTAATAAGGCGTGCTTTCCAGCTGGAATTCGGACTTGTTGAAAACATGGATCAGAGGGTCCTCGAAACCATCGCAATAACCCTGATCATTGAACTTCATCAAATTGGACACGATATGCATATTAGGCATCATGAGTCGAGCTTGCTCCAGAATACGTTGGATCACATTCGCTAAACCCGCCGAGAACACAAGGAAAGGAATGGCTCGATCATGGCAATGCATCAGCACGGTTTCCACACCGGGTCGCATCTGAAGTTGAGCCTCTTCTACCATGCCATCGATATCTAACCGATCCGGCCACCAGCAATCAGCCATCATTCTTCACGCGATCAAAAACTAAAAATTCGCCCCTTGATGTTTCATCACTCACCTTGATGCGTTATTTTCTGATCAATAATAACTTTGTGCGCTTGCTGCCACCATTCCACCATGTAAGGAACCTTGTCGTCATAAGACATCACCTTGTCAATCTCAATAGGATAATACTTGTTTAACAGGCGAGCGGTTTCTGCTTTAAACTGTCAACCAAACAAAACGGTGTTACCTACTGGATTTCCCATTCGCTTTTATTTCATTTTTTTAGGCTTACCTCTGGATTCATCTTTGAGTACCGAGCGGGAATACCATGCGAGGAAGCATTGCGCTCGAGAGCGTCGGTGACTTTGTTCCGCACCCAATGACGAGACATGGTCATGTCGAAATCTATTCATTCGCGCCATGGTGAGCTCCGACTGTCCCATATTCCCGGTTGTCAAGTATACATACCACTGATGAAATGCAAATCTTCCTGGCCTCCACTGAGGATCTTTTCAAGCTTTTGCTTCGTCGCGTTAACATTCTGGATTCTGACAGTTGGATTCTGCAACAACAATTGTACTACTTGCTGTGAGGAACTATGACTGACAATGTCATTTGCATTCTCAAGCGTGAACTTACACAACTTGTCTGCTTTTTCGGAGGGTGTCATGATATATGTGATATAGTTACTAGAGAAAAGAAGAACAGCAATATCCGATCCAATTTATTCGCCTTTTTCGCAACTTTATTCAAAAGACAGCCGAGAACCCGGGTGTAAATCCGGCACAATGATTACCCATTAGCATCGTCATAAGAGTCATCTCTCTTGTTCTTGATCGGACTATTTGCAGCAAGGATCTGATTTGTCGGTGGAAGTTCTTGTCACATAGCAAAGCGATTGAGACCGGATAGCGCAGTCAAGACATGTAAATCAGTCAGTTTGACACTATAAAGCCTTGTAGCGTAGCAACTTTTTGTTCATAATAAATTGTAGAGTGGCAAATTATTATTCTTTGGCTCGTTTCGTGTGAGATTGGGCTGATCCACTGTCAAGCGACTGGGCCTATCTTTGCTCATGATTAACAAACCCTTATAAAAACAGCATTTTTGCGGTTTTGTCAACTGCCTATGCTATCCATCTTTGCGTTTGCCGAGAATGGTATTTGTGCCATTCGTTTTGCATTGTCTCATGTCTCGATTTGATGCATAGCATTGTGTTTTTACAAGTGGCTGTAGTTGGCTGACGCCTTGATCCAAGAGTCATGTACAGCGTTTTGTTTTGCGCGTCCATAGAAATATTACTTTATTCTGTTCCCGTCCATGCTCGTAATAAGAATGGATCAAGTACTGTAGCTTTCATAATCGATCTTTCAGTGTACACCACTTACACTGTCTGATCCCGATATTTGATACTACATAAAAAAAAAACACGACACCTTGTCGCATGAAGGTCGAGTCTATTGGATGCGGCGTGCATGAGTAAATAGATTTCCGTTATGAAACTCTCAAGCTGTTCATTCTTTATTGTCATTGATTACCATTAATATCTTTAGTCACAAAGCAAGATAAAAAGGTACGATAATCTAGACGCCATTGGTGTGAAAATTAAAGCTTGGGCTTTGACTCATCTCCAAAGTTCCTTTCAGACATTTTTCGACGCAGAAGAAACACGAGAAAAGAAAAAAAAGAGCAAAATAATGTGCAAAAGATTAAAGAGTGTATTAATTTGTATTTACAGTGGAATTATGTACAGCGAATGGAAAAGGAGACTAGATTAAGTTTACTCGAGGACAAGATCAGCTACGGCAGCAATGACTTTTTCGGGAAAGACTCTTTCGGCCATTTGGTCAAGGACGGCTTTGGCTTTCTGGACCATGTTGTTTTGCATGTAGCTGCGGACCATAGCTTCATAGGTACTGGGTTCGCGGATCACCTTGCAACCGACAGAGGGGGTTTGGGAGAGCTTGTCGTCGGACATGGCATTGAAGATGGCTTCGGCTTGATCGAGCATGGACTTGTCACCGTAACCGCGGATAAACAGGTTTTCGATGTAAGGCGAACCCGTGCGAGGAATCGAAGCCACCATTTCTGCGTACAATTTCTCGGCCTCGTGCAGCTGATCGTTGCTGATAAGGGTATCGATCATGGCTTGGTAAACGGCTTCGTCCGCAGGCACCTTGGCTTTGCGCATTTCGGCAAACACGCGATTGGCACTTTGAACATCGCGCTGGAGTGTACCGTAGGAATAGATCAAGGTAGCATAGTGGGTAGCTTGCGGGCGAAGACTGTCGACACGTTCCATTTCAGCGAGCATGCTGTAAGCCTTGGGCATATCATAAGGGGCCATACTGGCGTAAGCTTCCATGAGCAATCGGTACGAGTGCGGCGAAGGCTTGATGTGGCGACGGCGAAGTTCGGCAAAGTATTCCAGCACACGATCACGGTTGGGTTGCTGATGAACGTAGAACTGCATCATGTTATTGAAAGGACCGACACGGGCTTGATAAGAAGGGCTTGACAACATTTCACCGAAAAGGCGGCGCGCTTGACATTCGGAACCGGCACGGACACAGGCGGAAATAATGGCACCGTAAGTAATCGAGTTGGGCATCACTTTGAATTGCTGCATTTCTTCGAAAAGCGCCAGCGCCATATCGAGCTTACGGGCCTTGGCGAGCTTGGAGATGATCACATTGTAAAAGAAAGTCGTGGGCTTGACATTGTGGCGTTTGGCTTCTTCGTAGATGGTCAAAGCATCACTGGCTTCATCGGTGGTACACTTGGCGCTACCCAACAAGAGACTTGCGTAACCGTTGCCGTCAGGGTATTGACCCATGGCCTTGATGGCATCGTAGTACTTTTTGGCATTCATCATATCGCCTTGCTGAGCATAACCAATGAGGAGACTGTTGGAGATCATGTACACGGCGCGTGGGCGGTCAGCATCGTTCAAGTTTTCAAAGTGCTGCATGCAAAGATCGTACATCACCAAAGCCGTAGCCATATGCCCTTGCTTACCCACAAGAGCAATCGCATCGCGCATCACCTCGGGAACCGGAACCGCCATGGACAGACCAAATTGAGTTTGAAGGATGGAAACAGCCACTTCACGTTGACCTTGCATCACGGCTTTCATAATCTTGCTGGAGGCCACTTCGGCTTCACGGGTCATCGCCGGCTTGCAGGGCGATCTGGGACGACGGACTAGCTCATGGTCTTCCTCGTCGAGCTGGAAACAAGCTTTCCACATGGCCACGACCTGATATTCATCCGATTTTTCCAAATGCGCCAAGACACGAGAGTAAATGCTGGAGCTGGGCATCAGACCATTGTCACGCATGTCGTCCAAGAGATCCATGACCAGTTCACCGCAGGAGGATCCATCGGTGCAAAGAAGCGTGGAATCATAGAGCATGGCATAATCGGCGACGGTCAGCAGGCGTCGGTGGGACTTGTCGAGGCGATAGCTTTCAACCACGTACGAGGCCAGATTGGCAGGCAAGGTATGGCATTTCTGGCCAATGGTGTGAGCCACAGATAGGGTTTGACGGAGACTTGATTGGCACCCAGCCACGATCTTCAAAGCGGCCGAAATGAGATTCTTCATGCCCTTGGAAACGGAACGAGGCGACATCACAGTCAAGACGGTGTGAAGAGCGCCGATGGCTTGGGCAATTTCTTGCTTGGCAGCAAAGCCGGTGACAATACGTTGAGCAAGAACGGGTTCGGGTTCCAAGCCCACCGAGCGCATGTCTTCGACGACTTCCAGGGCCTTGTCACTACGATCATTGGCAACACAGAGCAAGGCGTAGTTGGCAAGGTTACCATAGGCTTTGGCAATGTCGGTCTTGAGCAATGCTTCGTAGATACCAGACGCTTCTTCAAAGTGGCCCAAATGGCAGTAAGCCGCAAGAACAGGACCGTAGCTGCTGGCATCGGGCATCGGCTCCCCGGTGGTTTCCATTTGTGAAAGGAGTTCCTTGGCCTTGTCCATCTGACCTTGCGCACAGTAATGGCGGATAATGGAGTTGTAGGGAATAGCGGTCATCTTGACTCCGTCTTGCTTCATATCACGTTCAATTACCTTGAAGGCATTCTCGAGTTGACCGCATTTGAGATGCGAATCGACCAACGCATTGTAAACGTAGGAAGCATCGTGAGGGCCTAAGGTCGACTTGACAGCGCAGTACTTTTGGAAATACGAGCGAGCGGCATGGATATCACCCGAACGACCAAACAGATTGATGAGAGCAGCAAAGGTGGCGGAATTGGGCGAAGCATGAGCCGATCGGTCCAGTTTCTCAAACACAAAGAGGGCATCGCTCGTGTTACTGTAGTGGGACAGTACACGAAGCAGTTGATTGTACACTTCAACGTCAAGTTCTTGAACAAGACCTTCAACGGCGGCTTGACGGAATACTTGCAAGGCCTTTTCGAGATTCTTTTCATTTTGCAAGGTCTTCATGTCATCGCACGGATAACCGGTACGCTGGCTTTGACGCTTCAACATGGCCACTGTCTTTTGCACTTCGACGTCACGCTTGCATAGAGCACGGATTACCACGGTGTAAGTATAGCTGTTGGGTCGAATGTGAACCCTTAGCATTTCGTCGTACACTGGAATAATAAAATAAATATGAGTGAGGAATAAAAAGGACAAAAAGCTTGTCAAGTAATACCTTTGAGCAATTGAGTGAGAGGAGTTCCTTCACGACGAAGTGTGCATTGCGAGTCAAGCACAAGGTTATAGGTGTGGTAGGTCAAAGGGATGCGACGTTTCTTCATGGTACCGAATTCGGTCATGACCGCCTTGAGATTGTTATCGCGCTTGGCATTCAAAATACGTGAATTGGCTTCGAGCGAAGCGGGATCAGGCTTGGTAAAGGAGGGCACCTCTTCGGGCACCGTGACGGGGGATAAAGGTGGAGTAGGAATATCGGATGCAGTGGTTTCAAAGATGGTCGATTGCGATGGTTTCGAATCTGTCTCGGATGACTGGGGTGAAAGCGGGCGTGCAGGATAACCAGCCTGCTTTTTGTTGTAGTGGCGCTTTGAAGACGATGACATGGAACGGGAAGATGAGTGTGAAGAAGAACGTTGAAGTTTGTTATGGGTGTAACGAGATTGTTTGGTGTCAACAGTGACAATCGATGAATTGAAAGCGGCAGTCATGGTTTTAGTATGCATGTTTGTGGTTGTTGTTATAAAAGATGGGTAAGAAGTAAGGAAGAATGGTAATAGGAATAAAAGATGTGAATAAACAAAAGTAAAGAACGGGCTCTTGCAGGCTGGAGAACGGGTTCCTTTTATAACTTTTTTTTTATTACTGTTCTTTTTTGAGCTGCGGGTTTTTGGGGGAGTTGGGTTAAGCTGAGTTGAATAACTGGCTGATGTTTAAGGAAGGAGAACTGATAATCATTTTTCGGGAATCGGATGTTCTGGGACTTGCGATGTTATCAGATCTATTTTCCTATTTTCCCTTTTAGCCCCCAGTACCCCGCAAACCAACCCGCCCGGCGCTCGCTCAACACTAAGCTAATTTAACTCTACACGCCCTGCTTGCTTGTAACCTTAATTACGACTTACTTGCCACGTAGAGCCTTGATGTTGAGCTGGAGACTATCTCAGGATGGCAACCTTGTTATGACGCGTAACAGCTACCCAACGGTCCACGGAAACGGCAAATAAAGAAGCGCGACGGCACCAATTACAGCAAAAACTGACCGTGGATTCTCAAATTTGTGTCACGCAAAACCTTGGTCTATTTTTCTATTAACCTCGTCTCGAACGGGAAAAAAGATCTGATAAATTTTTCCAGTGCCATGGCGGGTTTTTAAAAAGTCGCACCGACGGCTAATTTAATCCCTTGCATCCGTTTGTTTTCGCCCCACCCCCTTTTCCCCCGCCGATAAATCTCATTACAACAAGCGCCAAAATGGAGGCGTGGGCCTTGGTGAAAAAGAGATGGGGTCACTCCACGTGTATGCAAGAATTCGTTAGAAAACTGTTTGGAAGCAAAAACCGTGTCTTGCAAACACGGAGATGGGGGCCTAAACTATTAGCTAAGTTTTTAGTCATGGATCACATGTAGAATTGAAATGAGGAGGACTTTTTTTTTCTTCGCCGCTCATTGAGTGTGTGACACGAACCCAAAATGCTTTGTTTTGAAAGAACGCGCATGAGCTGCTCCATCTTGGAATTCTAGCGTGTTTATCAGATACTTTTTTTTTCCAAGCGCCGGTTGGGTGGGGGACCGGAAGAAATCATCCAATCAAACGATGCAAAGTTATCAGATTTTTTTTCGGCTGAGGTTGAAAAAGGATCTGATAACTTTTTGCCATTCCTCAAGGATCCCCCTGCAGACTGGACGACCGTGTCACGCGATCTTTTTTTAAATTCCCGTGTAAAAAAAGATCTGATAACTCGCAAGATGATCAGAAAACTCTCTTTTCTCTCACATGGAGTTGAATCTCCGGAAGCTCGATTAAATTAAAATGATCGTGACCCTTTTTTTACACAGAATGATGAATTATTAGGCATACCAGATCCGGCCGTCATGATTGGTTTATATTTGATACCGCGTCTTGGCATCGCAGCACTGCTTATGCTTATAACCTAGGCCATCAGTTGCTCTTTTTTCTTTTTTGGCACAGTCGCCGATTGATGTCGGCTCACATGTTCACTAAAAGTGGATCCCGCTCCAGTGCGCAGCCGCGCGTTGGGGTTTTAGACTTGGCAAGTTTTACATTTCTCATCGCGTCAAGCGTGGGAAACACGATGGATTCCATAAATGCATTTATTCTCACAGCAAAACGGTTCAATCGTAAGACCGGCGTGGTCAGATTTTCTTGGTTCCATTCTGTCAGTAGAAAACAGGCTTATCTCTTTAGCAGTCAACGACGCAAGCAAACAGCGACATTATATCCGAGCTCCCTTTTCTTTATATATATTAAAAGGCACGTCGGTCGGATGGGAGAACGCTTTCGATGATTTATGTGTACGTAAAACCTTTTTTTTTTTTGGTTCAAATGTCGCGTTTCTTTAAACGAAATCAAGCCTACTGCAACCGATGCTGCAACTGATACTGCAAGATGATACGCATTCGCGGATATGACAACCAAGAGAAGAAGATACAGTGTTACTTTGCGACCTTTGTCTTGTCTATGAGGCGAACAGCAGATTATTTTCCTTATCCAAAATCTGGGCAGTTATTCTGCGTTTGAAAAGCTTATTTTTGGAAAATGATGGTTAGATAACGCGGGAGAATAGGAGGCTCTCTATAAGACTCTGATAATGCGCAGCACATCATCATCACGGGTTATGTAGTTGCTCGTTTCCGTTCCGTATACCAACACGCACTCGTCTACAGGGTCGTCCTTGCACCACCAACGACATATCTTGCCTTGAAATATAAATCAGATATCATGATAGTGTCGGAAACTACCGACAACGGGTGCTCATGCAGACATTTTCGGTAGATTTATTCTACCACTTTCCGTTATTGCGCACCAAATAGGCACAAATATCTACACGGCCAAGCATAGTGAGGAACACCGTCGCCTGATTAAACGTATAAGCCCACCGTCAGTCAATCCGCCGTAAAAGTCATGGCGCCGTCGCTGTGGTTTTTTCTCCTTGTTGTTAAGAATCAGCATCCTCTATTAGCCAATTTATTTTTACATGATAAGTCTTCCGCTTGATGATACCAACAAATACGAAGGTTTCGTGCTATAATTGAAATCAATTCACCCACCTCTGTTCACATGTAATAAAGAGGCCAGATAGGAGGAGCTTTCATATTCTTCACTGGAAGAGCAAAGCAGTCCTCAGTGGCGTCGCGGCTATATACATTTTAGCCACAATAGCAGTAACTGTTTATCCGTGTTCAGTTATGTACCAACTGTGAAGAAATAGAGACATACAGTATGAGCAGTTGTTGCCGGACTATCATTCCTGCCCAATAGCATCGGAGTTTTAACTGGGAACGCGTGGCTTAGGGTTCGCTCGCGGATCCATCTCTGCCAAAATGAAAAAGAGAAGAATGGGCAAGGCGGGGCGATCGCTTCAAGCTTTTTTTTTTTTAATTTGCCATGACTGATACTGAAGCGAAACTTCCTCAAGTATAGTATTAACAATCGTGAATTTACGAAGGGCGGTCATTACTGACACCTGGATAGAAACGATACTATCGGCAGCGCGCTCACGCCAATCCGTTTTCCGATCATCAACTGGAATAGTAAGCACTTGATTTCCGTGGATGGCTGCATCCCTCATTCCTCACTCGCTTACGCTTTTGCTTTCTCTTCATTTTAGCCCGGCAAGACCAGCACTTATGGACTGGTCTCCTCATTACCCTGAATTTTACCCTGCAAAGGAGGGCACGGTTCAGAAAAAGGTCGAGTTTGCCGATATTGGTTGTGGCTATGGTGGTCTCTTGATCGCTCTGGCACCTCTGTTCCCCGACAAGCTCATGTTGGGTAAGCTTTCTTTTTTTTTGCGACAGTTCTATAGTGTGAACATGAGCTTACTTTGCTTATGTCTAGGTATGGAAATTCGAACCAAGGTGCAAGAATACGTCTACGAAAGAATCAAAGCCTTGCGCGTGCAGCAACCGGGCTCGTATCAAAACGTTTCCATCATGCGTATGAACGCCATGAAGTTTTTGCCCAACTTTTTCGAAAAAGCACAGGTGTGTTATGCATACGACGCATCCTGTTTTACACAAATGCTGATGATGTTGAAATGATTTCTCTTGATGCAGCTGTCAAAAATCTTCTTTTTGTTTCCCGATCCTCACTTTAAGCAACGAAAACACAAGGCGAGAATCATTAGGTAATGCGGGAGAAATCAGAAATGGATAGCAGAGAACGGATGCTGACCCATGCGTCTTTCTTGCGTAGTCAAACATTGCTCGCTGAGTATGCTTATGTTCTTCGTGTTGGTGGTATCTTGTACACGATTACAGATGTAAAAGATTTGCACGAATGGATGGTCAAGCACTTGGACGAACATCCTCTTTTCGAACGAATCTCAGACGAAGAATGTGTATGTTGCAAAGCCAAAGTCCATTGATTTTTTTTCTTTTTTGGCATGACAGCTTTAACCATTTTGGGTTGATAGGCTCAGGATCCCGTGGTACCTCACGTTCGAACGGCTACCGAAGAAGGCAAGAAGGTGGAGCGCAACCAAGGCGACAAATTCTTGGCATGCTACCGACGCATCGAAGACCCTTACCAATCATAGAAATCGAAGTACAATAAAGAAAAAAATCATAACAATGTATATTTGCAAATAAACAAAATGCGAAGACATATAACAACATGGAATGAGTTTTTTGAACTTATTATCAACTGTACAGAGGGGGGAAGCGATGGAATAGAGACTCCATTTAGTACCATTTACCGGGAGCCATCTCTTGTCGGCTAGCGCGGGTAGGGATAACGGAGGTTTGAATACCATACGTGTCAATGATTTCCTAAACAAACGAAAATGTCAACTTTCGAGATACCAGTTGATCGACAATGTAACCACAAACGAAATCTCACCTTCCACAATGGAATATCCAGACTCATGATAATTTGCTTTTTCAACAGATTATTGGCGAGTTCATCGGTGGTTGGCGGCGCGCGGGTTCCTAGGATTGCCAAGTTAGGGGTCCCATCCATCTCGCTGTGAAAAATGCAGATTGTACTCACCTAGCATGGGTTGGCCACTGGAATCATCTATTTCGGCCACACCATTTCGTATTAAAAAGGAGACATAAAACATGTTTTCTACGGATTGCGAAAAGGCTTCGGGATTGGTGATGAATTCAAAGTAGTTCATGGGGCCTTGCTCATCGAGTATTTTATAAATTTGATTGACGTTGTTGGAAGTTTCATTCTCTTGCTGTTGAATGTCCTCTTCTCGAAGCTGTTGAGCAACGTGGTGAAAAATTGAGTGTGAGCAAAAAGGTAGAGACTGACTGGCGCTTATTTACCATTGTGGGCTGTACAAGATCCTCCTTGTTCTTGACAAGCCGTACTTGTCTTGTTACTCTGCGTTGCTTTCGTTCGACAGATAACGGACCGAGCCTAAATCAAAACAAGAACAACATTGATACAGATCAGATACTCAAAGCACAACTTAGTAAAGTTAAGGAGATAGAAAATACGTTACATGAAATCGATGGTACGCGCTCTCTTTCCGTATTGGATCGCACGTATACCAATACATTTCCAATCCAAGTGGGATTCATTATCGTCATCCAGATCTGCTTCAGCAGTTCGTCCCAAGGTTTTGATCTTGGATACAAACTCATCAATATTGAAGAGTTGGTGATCCAGCCTTAGATTACGCGCCTTTTGGGCACCTAATCCAGCTGACAGTACGAGCAACTTGGAATCCAGCGTGGCCTCTTGGGTATTTCTCACTGTTCAACCAAAAAGCGTCGTCAGTTATCTTGAAATAGCCCACTGTCAGGTTTGTTCAGTACCTTTGGAATACAAAGCATTGGCTTTTTCCAATGTACGAATCAAGCCATTATTGGCGGCATCGGTTAAATCGCGCTTGCTTTCTAGGGAAGGAAGAGATTTAACTCGCGTAAGCACTCAAACTGATAGGGTCAAAGTAGGAAAGTCTACCTTCAGTTTTTGTAATCAATTCACGATAAAGCTGACGAATCTCGCGTCGTTCGTCTTTATTCTGGCGCGGATTATATTTATTCGCATCACGTTCCCTTTCGAGGGTTTGAGTCAGCATGTGGTAGTCGCTGTCGTCGACTTCCTCCTCCTCCTCCTCTTCTTCTTCTTCTTCCATATATTCGTCTTCCTCATCCGAATCGTCAGCAGAATTATGGTGTACGGTTTCTTGCGCACGTTTCGCAGCGGCGGTAGAACTTTCAGCAGAGGTCATGAGGGAATAGATCAAGGAACAAGTGGGGGGGGGGGAACTCGGTTCGGAGTATGTGTGTCAACTCAGTGGACCCCGTCCCAAAGAAGCGCGAGTGGCTTGTTAATAAAGCTCCAATGTGCATGACAGAATTCCTCTTTCATTTAAAAAATGCAATACGTGATTTTATTTATGACTGTTGAACCCATCATTTTCCCTCAGCTCAATCGATCACTTTTTATTGCCAACCAATGTCTTGTCTCTATCTATGATCCATTTTACAAGGGTTTTTAGCCTTTTGTTCGTTGACACATCGCATGATTATCGCATGTTAAACACAAAAATGCAGAGTTAAGGATATCACTTCATATTATCAAAGAGCATCTTTTAATTGATCGATATTATACGGTCAACTCGACCTTGACGCAAAGCGGGATGCTTTGTCACATTTTCAGCATGCTCATCATTACTTATACGGCGATCATGCCACAGCAGTATATCTTCTAGGACGATTACCATAAAAGCCATGGGATAGAAGAGACGATCAGTGAATGGATATATAACGTGTTTATGTCTGTCAAGGGTCTACAAGTGAGTAGTTCTCAAAGCTAATCAAATGAACGCGACACAGAGAGCAAGAGAATTCTACGTCACAAAATTAAAGATACGAAAAAAAAATTGTGGGTGAACGAAAAAAAAAAAAAAAAAAAATATTATGGACGAATGGAGTGGAGGCCAGGAGACGTTGCTCTTCTTTCGATAGTGATACGTAGTCGCAGCACCACTTTTCTTTTGTCTTTTTGTTTTGTGGATTTCCGCCTGTATTTCTCAACTCAATTTACCCTTTTCTTTCTTAAACTTCCTCACTCTTTTCGAATTAAGCTATGACCACGAATATGAACTTTGGTCCTGATTGGTACGCTTGCTTAGATTAATGCCATTCTCTCTCCCTTACTCACCCAATTCATAGGATGCGCGGCAGTGCATCGAAAAAACCTACGGGTTTGGACTCTCAACCTTTGTCGTCGCTTGGCTCGACCTCCTCGTCTCGTTTGTCTTCGTATTCCCAACCAACGGGAACCCCCGGTCATTCCCCATTGACCCATTCCGAGGGTCACAACGGATTGAATCAGCATTCCCAATGGCCATCATCCACTGCTTTCGCTCCATTGAACGATGAACCGTCTCACAGCGAGTCGATAAACCCTTACAAGTATTCCAAGGAGTTCATGCTTAGCTTATACAAGCCCGTCGAACCTCCCATGGACTTTGAACGTCATGAATATGTCGTTGTAGAAGACAGCTTGGGTCCATTGGCTTTCATCGACTTGACAGACGCCGAGAAAAAAGTAAATACTCTTTTCAATCGAAATAATGGAAACCCTATTTCTGCTTATTGACCTTTTTTTTCCATCGTAGCTATTGTCCGGACCTGTTCATTCTGAAGTCTCCCGTCGTATCATCACCAGCACCAACGACAAATCCACCAACGGTCAACGCAATCGGGAAAACTACGCTAGCCCCATGCAAAGTCCCGCTCCCGACAGTGCTACTACCACACCGGGACGGCCAAACATGTCACGTACAAAAGGTACAAATTCCTCTCCCTCACCCTCTCTATATTTCTACGTCTTTTTTTCCCACCCTCTACTTGTTTTCTCGAGTCAACTGGCTCGGCCAGATGCACAGAGAGATTAATGGCATGTTGGTATCTTTTTTTTGTAGGACGTACAGGCGATTACTTTTCTAGAGATCGAGATCTGCAAAGGGTTTACAATGAAGGTAAGCTTGGAATTGCAAAATGGGGCGATAGGTTGAGAACTAAAGGGATGTGGCTTGCAGATACCCTTAAGCGTCGTGAATTGACTAGATCGTCGACGGATCCTGCTATTGAAGGCTTGCTGAAACCGAGTGACAATGAGCAGGAAGGGGCGGCGTGGACGAGTGTAGAGCGGGATTCTTTTGGTTCATTTGATGTCAATGGTGTATTCCGCCTCGCTGACGCGGCTGGCTCCGGGTCCGTGGAGGAGGCCGCCACATCCTGGCAAGGATCCAGTCTGACCGGTCTCGATGAAGGTCTCACCGGGAGAAACTATCATCAGTCCGACGGCAAACCGTTCAGTAACGGTTTTGATTTGTCTTCCGGAAATCTCGGCAGTCTCAGTGGACCATTGCCCGGTTCGCCCGCCATCAATGGCATGTTTGATGGATCCGTGGGCTCGGGTGTGTTTGGAAAAAACCCTCGTTTTGGTGGTGGGGTCGATACCCCGACCTCTATTTTCGGTGGTGGCTTGTCGGCGTCGGCAAGTCCCAGTGCTTCGCGAAAACCGGCCGATCAGTATCGCTGGTTCTATCGTGACACTTCCGGTAATGTTCAGGGACCTTTTGAAGCGCAAGAAATGCAGGAATGGTATAAGCGTCGTTTCTTTTCACCTAACTTGATGGTCCGACGTGAAGACGAAACCAATTTCGAACCATTGATCGCCTTGGTTCGCAAGGTCGGCACGGAAGAAACGCCTTTCCTCACGGACTTTTCGGGGCCAGCCACCTCGGCTCCGGCTTCGGCCTCGATCTCGTCGGATCCAGCTCACATGCCACTCAACATCACGTTGCCGCAGCAATCACGCGGGATGATGGATCATTTCGGACTCAATGGATCAGCTTCCAGCGGGTTGTTGGTGGGAGGATCCGTGGGTGATGTCGCTTCACCTGGAGGTCATCTTTTCGGCAATGGGCCACCTTCGGCCGGAGGCCTCAACAGCAGCAAGTACCATCCATTTGGCGGCGTGGCGTCGAATTTCATGAATCAGCAGCTTGGTTCCAATCCCGGTTCGCCTCAATCGCCTTCCATCTTGCAAGGAGGCGGCAACCATTTCAATGCGTTTGGTTCATCTTTATTGGGCGGTCCACGGGAAGGCACATCGCCTTGGCTTGAAACGGCTCGTACCCCATCCTGGTTGAACAATAACCCCACTGATCTATTTGGTGCGGCCAGTCCTCTTGGCGTGCCTCCTTCATTGCAACGTCCGTCGCAACCATCTAGCATGAACCCGTTGTTCGCTCCCAGTATGGGCTCGCCCGGTTTGTTCGATTATCAACGTGCGATGAACGAACAACTCGAGCAGCATCAGCAGTACATCCAAATGCTGCAAGCCAAACAGCAACAACACATTCAATACCAGCAGCAATTGCAGCAACAGATGCAACAACAACATCAGCAACAGCAACAGCAACAACAACAACAGCAGCAGCAGCAACAACCACAACAACAACAACAACAACCGTCGCCGTCACCGATGGAGGGGGGATTTTCATTGCAGCAACCACAACAGCCGCAGGAGCCACCCTCATTTTTGAAGAGTGCGTCTTCTCAAGTGTTGGAGCAACCTATCAGTCGTATGTCTCCTGTCATTCGCTCGGCAGCTGTGGGATCCTTGGGTGGATGGGGTTCTGCCCCCGGTACACCGATCAACGAAGCGCCTTCGAGTCCTTGGGGTTCAATCGTCGGTACAGCCGTTCCCTCCAAGGTGTCGGAAGAACTACAAGCCAAAGCTCCCGGTAGTCAGTCTCCTCGCGTGCCTTTGTCGCCCAAACCCGCCGTGGAGCAAGTCAAGACCCAACGACGTGTAGAAGACGAACCTTCCGTGGTGGCCGAAAAGGTCACAAAAGCAATGTCTGGACTGCAGTTGGAAGAACCGTCAGACCACCAAGTCGCCAGCCAAGCGTCGTTGCCAGCCAAGACCAGCACCACCACCAGTGCTGCTTCGCCAAAGAAGGCCCACGCTACGGTGACTGCGGTCCCGGTGACGAAACCTGTGGTGTCACTGAAGGAAATTCAAGCCGAAGAACTTCGTAAACAGGAAGAGGCGAAACAGCAAGCCAAACCCAATGGTAATTTGGCGAAACCGACCAAAACAGCCGGATGGGCCACCACGACGGGAGCTCCTTGGGGTGGAGCCACTACCAAGGGTCCTTCACTTCGAGAAATCCAGGAATTAGAAGCCAAAGAAGCTGAGATGAAGAAGGAAGCCGAAAGGCGAGCGACGGAAGCTTTGCATTACCCGTCATCCAAGGAAGAAACGACTGCAGGTACCATGTCATGGGGCGTGGTGGTTCCCAACAAGAGCAGCGGCGGTGCGGCCTCTTCGTCATCGGCGTCTACCACCCCTGCTTGGGGATCGACGACGGCTCCCAAAAAGACATTGCGTGAAATCCAACAAGAAGAAGAAGAAGCGATGAAAAAGGCCAAAGCCAAGCAAGCATCCGCCGCCATGAATATCCCAACCGGTGCGACTGGCAAAGCTTACGCTGCCGCAGCCAGCACAAATGCTCCAGTAAGTAGTGGTACTTGTTTCATTTTATGGAAACGCTAGAAAACTGATGGATTTTCGTTATCATCAATTAATAGAATGCTAGCCCCAATGGCGGTGCATGGATGACCGTGTCCAATGTTCGTACGACTCCCAAACCCTCCGTTTCCATGGCGGCTACGACTGCTACGCGATCTCCGTCGCAGCACAGTGGATGGGAAACAGTGGGTACTCCTAAAGCTGCTCCCGTTACCGCTTCGGCGCCTGCTCCTTCAATGGTTCGTTCCGTGACCCCACGTAAGCCTGAAACAAATGGTCAAAAGTCCCCAAGTGATGACTTTTGCCGTTGGTGCAAACAATCGTTGCGTGGATTAAACTCGGGTGTCAATGGTAAGTTGACAAATGATATAAAAATTGATGGACCCCCAACCGTGATATTGATTTTCGAACATGTGTAGCCGAGGAGATTATGAACATGCTGCTTTCGTTCCCCTTGGATAACAGTTCAGCCGAAATCATTCAAGACATCATTTATGCCAATTCGACTTCAATGGATGGTCGTCGCTTTACTGAAGAGTTCATGAAACGTCGCCGGGCGGATATGGCCGGTAAACTGCATGTCACCGTGCCCATGGGTGGTGTGGATGGCGATGATTCGTCTTTCCAGGTCGTCACAAAGAAAGGAAAAAAGAAGCAACCCGTTGTCTAAAAAAAAATCATGCCATGACTAATTACAAAGAAAAAAAAAGTATCCATCGTCTTTTGCTGTGTATGGTGGATCCATTTCATAGTATCTAATAAAAAAACCAAGGAACGAGTCGTTCCGTCTGCCGATTGGCGGCGAGCTAACAAAATTGTTATCTTGTGGTCTTGGACATATCTTGTTTAGGTGTCGCTGGCTTTCTTCCGGAGCAACGGACCTTTTATGCCGATGGAGACGACTCAAGGCCGTCAAGCAGATTATGTGCATTGTATCCAAGGGCTTTCTTATTGATCATGAACTTCGATAATGTTCTATGCTGATCGTGCGTAGCGGCTCTTACTAAAATACTAAAGAAGATGAAGAAAAAAAATTGGAAAATGAACCATGTGATGGAAGTCTAACAATTCTGTGATAAAGTACACATTCCAATGCCATAACAGCCCATCATAACTTGACGACCATAAATGTTCTCCTAAACATCGCCATAACAATTGGTTTCTTACCAAGAAAAATGTCAGTTGTTATGAGGCTTTTTATCAGTGTGCCAACCAAAGTCTTTTTTTGAATCAAATCCTCAAAATAGACTGGCATTTGATTTCTAAACTGTGCTCTCTTCAATAAGGGACTGTTTGCTTCGGCTCCTCCACTTACTGTTGATGGGAAAAACGGTGTGTTCATGTGAGGTTGCCGGCAAATGAAGGCCAATAGTATCATCAGCGTCGTTTGCGCTTCGATTTAATTACAGCACGGGACTTCATATAAAAACCCTTCTTTGGAAGACATGGAGGTACGCGATGTCGCGGTAAACCAACACCTGTAATGAAGAATTTACAGTGTTTTGTTCCAGAAAAAGAAAATTCAAAACCCACGTGGCATTTTCGAAGCTTCTTTCCATTAGGTTCTGTTTCGCAAAAATAAAAAGGCAGTCGTAATAATGGCCTGCAAAAAAATCACCTATACAGCATCCTAATCACATCATGCGACATATAATAACAGTGAAACAAACGTACAAACCTTCAACTCAGGGCTGACCACTAACTCAGTGGTAGTAAAATGACAAACCATTACAACTACAAAAAAAAAAAAAAAAAAAAAAAAATAGTCCATTGCGATTTTCTGACAACGGAACGCAGGAATACGAATGTTTTACGTCGTTTTGAGTATCGTGGAATGGAAGTAAAATAGAGTAAGAAAAAACTTGGTTTCAGGACCCTGCTCTCAAGATCGGGTGTTGGAAAGAAAGACCAAAAAAAAAAAAAAAAAAAAGGTTGTGTGAGACCGACAGGGTTCTTTTTTGAAAGAAAAAAAAAGCGGCAAGAAAGGGTTCGGAGCTGAATGCATGTTTGAGTGCAAGATCCAAGCGAGATTGGTGTTTTTTCGGGGTTAGATGGATTTTACAAGGGAAAAAAAAATAAAACGCCATGAGAAGGAGCAAAATATACAATACAGTCAATGGATGGGAGACACAACGCTAAGAAGAACAAGGATGAGAAAAAAGGAGAAAGAAAGGAAAAAAGAGAAAAATAAACCGGATGATGATAACAAAAAAGTAATATACAAAATTTCCAAGCTGGGTGACGTTTTTTTATTCCCAAAATTTTCCCTTGGGGGACCCAACCTGTAAATCCATCGATGAATTTCTTTTTTTCCTTCTCTCATCCCACCCACTCGTCTTCTCCATGAATTTCAACATCTTTAAACCAAAGCAGAAAACCCCTCATGATCTCGTCAAGCTCGTCAAAGACGCCATCCACCGACTAGACGGATCCGACCGACGCAAGGTACTTTATTCCTCCATCAGGAACACGTACGCGCACACGTAAAAACACACACACACACACACAAAAAACCGCACACTTGGTCTCTTTTGTTTTGGTTTTCTTTTTTACCTCCCTTTCATGAAAAGCAATGCACTGTAGCGCCATGACGTGAACCGCACCCTCGTTCGACTGTCCAGCCCCGAAAAAAAAAAGTTGAATTCGTTACGCTATGCAACAGTCGTTGTATTATGCAGTTACGGGCTGTCTTCATTTTGTCTTTTTTTTACAGTTTCCTTTCCGTGCGTGTGCGTGTACTGTGGACCTATTGCACTGGGAAAGGAGTGGGATGTCGTTTGCAAGTGATGGATTCGGTCCCTGAAATCTTACATTTGCTTTGTATCACCCGGTTTAGGCTACAGAAGAGATTTCAAAGTACCTTGTCGCAATGAAGAATATGCTTTACGGTGAAGATGGTAAGTTGATCACTCTGGTTTGGAAATTAGGACCATGAACCGGGCTAAAATATAGGATGTGTGTGTGTGTGCGTGTCTGTGCAAACCGGCTGAGCCATCTTTTTTTTTTTTTTTTTTATTCGGTAGACCATGAACCCAGTCCCGATCTCGTGGCCCAGTTGGCCCAAGAAGTCTACAGCAACGATTTACTCCAACTACTCGTTCTCAATATTCAGAAACTCGAATTTGAAGTGAGTGGGACTTGGCAAATGTTGGCTGCTCTCTCTTTTTTTTTCGTGATTTTGGTGTGATGGCATGCGGATGAAAGAAAAAGAGAGAAAGGTCAAAACTCGGAGGTTGTATGTTTGGTATAACTGAGCAACCCGCTCCAATCTAGGCGAAAAAAGATGTGGCACAAATATTTAATAACTTGTTAAGACGACAAATCGGTTCGCGATGGCCCACCGTTGAATATCTGTGCACTCGCGAAGAGACCTTGTTTATCCTGTTGAAAGGGTAAGTGTAAACAAACCATTTACGCAGGAGCGTCGGGTCCAGGAACATCCAAAAAGATAGGAGAAGACGAGGAGGAAAAAAAAAGTAGGATTGACTGATGTGGGTTCTTTGTCAACTTTTTAGTTATGAACAACCTGAAGTTGCGTTAAACTGCGGTTTGATTCTTCGTGAATGTCTTCGTCACGAAGCTTTGGCCAAAATCATCTTATATTCCCCTCGGTTCTACCTGTTTTTCGAATACGTGGAAACCAGTACTTTCGATATCGCATCCGATGCATTCGCATCCTTCAAAGAGATCCTGACAAAGAACAAACAACTGGTCTCTGAATTTCTTGATACCAACTACGATGAAGTAAGTTTTTTTTTTTTTTTTTTTTTTTTTTTTTTTTTTTTTTTTTTTTTTTTTTTTTTTTTTAATTTTCAGAAAAAGAAGAGTGTCAATAGCTCATGTTACCGGGACTTTTTTTTTTTAGTTCTTTGAGCATTACAAACGATTGCTTACTTCACAGAATTATGTTACAAGACGTCAATCATTAAAGGTAAGGAAAGCCAGTGTGCACGGGATCACGCTTGAAACGTCTTGCAAAGTACACGGCCACCCAGATGGCCGCGCGGAAAGCGGAGCCGAACGATTAATCTATCTTTTCGCTGTGAACAGTTATTAGGCGAAATTTTATTAGACCGATCCAATTTCACAGTGATGACCCGATACATCAGCAGTGCTGACAATCTCAAACTCATGATGAACTTGTTACGTGATCGTAGCCGAAATATTCAATTTGAAGCTTTCCACGTTTTCAAGGTAAACCATTCACCGTCATAGTCCCCAACACTAAACAACTATCAGCTCACCATGTTGTTGCATTCAGGTGTTTGTTGCCAATCCAAATAAGAACAAGCCCATTCTGGATATTCTCATCAAGAATCAAGAGAAATTGATCACGTTCCTGAATAATTTCCATAATGATAGGCAAGGTAACGTCGCACCGACCCTATTTATGATCATGTCACGGAAATTCATTCTCCATTTTCTTCTCGACCAGATGACGAGCAATTCAACGATGAGAAAGCCTTCTTAATAAAACAGATCCAAGATCTGAGACCGGAATAATCCAAGACAACCAACAAGATCAAAAAAAAAAAAATCCCAAAAACCGATAATAAAACATGGAAAAGAGATAAACCTCACGATAAACAATTCTTATGCATCCAAAAGAACCCAAAGAAAAAATTTTCAATCCATGTCATCGTACTACTGCTTTGTTATTTCGTTCGTAAATGATGGTTATTGTTGTTAGATTTGAATTATGTTTTTTTATCACGTACATACGCGTGCGCATGCGTGCGGTTGGTGCGTATCAATTTTACATGGAAGCTTTAGCGAGACCTAGGCCTGCCTTGACCTTGGCCACCATCTCCGGGTTGTAAATCAAAGTGACGAGATCCTGAACAAAACCGTAACCTTTGCCTCCGCTCTTGATAGGGTAGTCGAGAATGGGAGGGATGGGGGTCTTGACACCGGGAATACGATCCGTCGTCAACGCCTTGGGGACACAGAGACCACGCAAGCCTTCGGGACCCGCAAATCGGCCATAACCTGAAATACCGACGCCACCAAACGGAAGGCTCTGGCACAAATAGTTGACGGCAAAATCATTCACGTTGGCCATACCCGCCTTGAGTTGCAAGCAAATCTTTTCAGCCAACGCTTTATCCGCCGAGAAAACCGACGATCCAAGACCGTAAGGGCATGCATTGACCACGCGCACGGCGTCTTCAGGACCGGTATGCTTCATAATTACCATGATGGGAGCAAACGTTTCGTTATTCGCAATCGCCATATCCGGAGTCACATCCACAAGCAAAGTAGGTTCAAAATACTGCCCAGTAGGATACTTTGGATGATGATAACGTTTACCACCGTGAAGCAAACGAGCCCCACGCGACACGGCTTCCTGAACCAATCCTTCCAATTTTTCAAACTAGATCCAAGCATTGGGAACCTCGTAAGAAAAAAAAATTGTCGGCAAGACCGCCCCGGATGAATACATTACCTGATTACCCATGGTCATGGCACCACAGTCGACGCCTTCGCCGTCGGCAAGAATGGAGCCTTGGCGGAGAGTGCCGATGCGTTTCTGCATTTCCGCCACGACTTGATCGTAAATTTCGGCCGCGACAACGATACGTTCGATACCAATACAGTTTTGTCCACAGTTCTGGAATACGCCACGCATCAAGACAGGAATGGCTTGCTTGAGATCGGCATCCTTCAACAACACTGCACAATCCTTTCCACCCAATTCCAATAAGCAAGGAACAAGATATTCCGCCGCGTTGCGTTGAACCAGTTTGCCTACACCGGGCGATCCGATGAATGTGATGTGATTCACTCCAGAACGAACAATGGCTTCACCAACATCGGCAAATCCACTGATAAATTGAACCAATTCGGGATCATGACCATGCGCCGCCAAACAAGCGCGCACAATCTCCAGATAATACTGAGAAGACCACGCCACGTATTCGGAACACTTCACAATAATACCATTACCAGACATCAACGCCGAAATCACAGGTCCAAGAGCGTTGTGGAATCTAAAGGAATCTTCCACTGTGAATAACTGTGGCCAACCAACCAACTAGGCAGAGAAAACCATCACACCATCAAACGATTTTACTTACGGATAGTTCCAGCTGACCAAGGCGGCCACCACGCCCATGGGTTGATACACGATTTTGGCGTGCTTGTACATCATCATTAAACCGGGATCACGGTAATCATCCGCAAGTACATTTTCGCCATGGTCAATGGTCCATCGCAACTTGGCACACGTGGTAATGACTTCACCGAGGGAAGCATCAATCACTAGATAACCACAGTCAACGGTTTAGAGTAGATACTTGGCCAACGACGTAACGAACATGTATACTTTACTCGTTTTTCCGGTATCTCTGCAACCGACCCGACAAATAGTTTCTTGGTTTTCCAAGACGAATGCAAGCAGGCTACGCAACACAGCGCGACGTTGTTCAAAAGAGGTTTTGGCCCATTGCACCTGAGCTTCCTTGGTTCGTTCATAGGCTAACTGAACTTGAGCAGGGGTAGGAGCGCGAATATTACCGAGATGATAACCCGTAGCAGGGTCGTAGCAAATAATGTTGGAAGGATCACTGGGATCCTAGATACAGGGGTAAGCTCGCGAAATTCCATCTCAAAGCATCTTGAGCAAAAAACAATACCTGAAGACTAGGTTTTTCGAGTACAGGACCCGTCCATTTCGGATCCGCGGCTATGCAAAGATGGTCAGATACGCTGTGAAAAGAGCTTGGTATGTTTCCTTTTCTTTTCAGTGGTGGTCTGTCTTACCAGCGGGCGGTCTGACGTGGAATCTCTTGACTGAAGGCTTGTTGAATACTGTCAAAAGCACCCAGCCGAGGAAAGCGCCGAAACCCAAAGTGAGCCAATGGGAGACGGTAACCTGACCATCCAGAAAGTCCATCGTCCGTTGGAGATGATGTGAAAAATAGACAAGGAAAAACCCGCTCCGCTCAATCGTCCGTTTTTATTTTTTGAGGCATTGTATTTGGGTCGGAGAAACTCAAAGTTATGGCAACGCCGCAAAAAGTTTCTCTTTTTGTTGTGGATGGAATGGTAGAAATACAATAAAGTACAATGAACAATACATAAAACGTATCAAAATATAAATTACATATACAAGAAAGCTCACGCACGACACCCAATTCGGTTTCCAACGCGTACCTGAATGCACAAAGAAAAAAAAAAAGTTAGTTGGCTTTCTTTTCTTTTCCGCGTTTCCATGGTATTCATATCCGTTACCAAAGATTCCAATGGTTTTTCGGAGTTTTGCAGCAAATCATTGTCGAATTGAATGGCGCCCTTTTCCCATAAAACGACCAGTGTGCTACCACCAAACGCAAAATAACCCAGTTCATCCGTTCTCGCCAAATGCTGTCCCGATTTGGCCGTTAGGATAATCGATCCCACCATCATGGCTCCTATACAAACAATGGCCACTTTGCCAAATTCATCGGTATCCATCTGTACAATAGCACGCGCATTATCGCCATACACATCCAATCTAACCAATTCGTTGTTCATGCGCCCGTTAGAGTTTCTGCTTGCCATCAACCTTGTTTTGATTTTTAATGCTTACGTCGTTCGAATGGCCATAGGATTCACCGTGTAGTATTGCCCTTCGATGATGGTGGTTTCTGTAATGACACCGTCCACAGGACAATGAAATCTAAAAATGGACATACCTACTTTAGCCGTCGTCGCCAAGAGTTTATGCATGCCACTTTTTTCCGGGCTTGACTTGCCTGTGATAATCTTGGGGCGCTAATCGGAAGACGGCCAACGAGCCTCCTCCAAAGTGATCGCCCTTGTCCGAACCCAGTAGCTTTTTCAAGGTAAAGTCGGTGCCTTTGATCCAGATCCGCGTCGCATCGTCGACGGTTTGAAAAGCCAACATACGACAATCGGCGGGACTCACAATGACGCGAGGATCATCGGGACATTCGCATGGACGCGCATCCGGTTTCAATTTTCGGTAAAAGAATTCGTTGAATGTCTTGAAACTCGAGATAGGGTCACGCACTTCACGCATATCCAATTTATGGAACTTAATAAATGGCAGAATTTCGCGTGCGGATTGCGGCGAATCGAACCGTCGACCTTGACGCACTGTCATATTCGTCAAGACACGTTGAGCTGCCAATAAAAAAAAGGTGGAAATAAGCGTCTACCACCTTGCTTTGGCGCAAAATCAATCGGCCAGCCCATCTTACCTGTTTTGGATTGAATGCCAGTTTTCATGCCTTTATACAACAATCGCATGCCTAAGCGAACATAGACACTCATGCGTTCTTCGATCAATTGACCAGAAAGACGATCTTGGATGATGATGTTGGCATTATTCTATACAAAATTGGTTAACAGAGTGAGGACGTCAGTATGGCTTTTATGGGTGATTTCACTTACACGTCCAAGAGCATATCGGCCGTAGCCTACACTGCTTACGAGCTTGACAAACCAGCGACGTTGAGCATACGCCTCGGTGACAAAATTCCCCATCAAGAAGCGATCAACCGTCGTCCAATCGTCCGCTGCACAGGTCGCCACGTGGGTGACGATATCCATTTGAGCTCGTTTTGCCAGATTCGGTCGATGGCAAATCGGACATTCTTTTAATCGAATAATCTTTTCATTAGCCCGTTTTCCATGCATTGCTGCATCGCCCGTGGTATCATCTTCGTCATCGTCGTCATCATCTTCGTCTCCTTCTTCTTCCTCGTCCTCTTCACCCTCTTCGTTCTCTCTGTCTTCATCCTTGATCGCGTCGGAAGAGCCTGAGGACAGGGTAGGTTGAAATGGTAAAACAGGATCATCCATGTACTGCACACCCTGTGCATCTCTTAAAGGTTCCACTGAATCGTCATCGTCGTCCTCATCTTCTTCTTCCGTAAACACCGTCGACGAATATGTCTCTTCAAAAAATGGACCAAAATCATCGTCAAACGTGGAAAATTCGCCTCCATCTTCTTGTTCGGACATTTCGCTTCGATCTGGTTGAGGAGGATACTCGGACGCATGTTCATCCACCACTGCCACAGGAATTCCACTATCGGTGGTCATACTCGACTCGGAAGTAGCCGTGGATGGTTTTTCGTCCACCGACAACATGAAATTCTCCAGACTCTGAACAAGCTCGTCCATTGAAAGAGCATCGGCTTCATCATTGGGATCTTTTCCGTGCTGGGTCCAGAAACTGTCGAGGGTCGCTTCGGAAATCGTCGACCCCAGACTTTCCAGCATGCTTTGTACTTCCAATCGATTCATCGTGCCACTCTCGTCCACGTCATACGTTCGAGCCAGGGCCAGCCAAAAGAGTCGGCGGATTTCTGCATAAGGTACAAATTTCGCACGGATGGTGAGGGTAGGATGGCGATCTTGCCATTTCTCTTGCTTCACCATCTGCAGTGGAATCGTGTGCAGCCCCATATCGGCTTCAATGGCATCGGCCGGGATAGCATTTTCACTAATACTATCCCGTTTGGTCTTTGATTCACGTATAATGCTCATGATCGGCAGTTCTTGCCACGCCACAAAATCGTTGCCGGAGAATTTATCCTTATCGTACACGGCAAACTTGAGCTTATAATTGGCCTCGTTCTGTCGCACGTGGAAAAAGAGCTTCTCATTCCAAACGGGATTAAGATTGTGACGAATAGCCCGCGTACGGAACGTCGATGTGCCGTAAGTGACAATCACAAACGGATCCATATCGAACCCCGTCCGTGTCACTAAGTGGACGCAAATAAATCAGTATTTTTTTTTTGAGCAAAAAAAAAAAAGGGGGGGGGAGTCGGATGGGTTACCATTGCGTTCCGGTGGCAAATCTTCGGCATGAACGATTTCGAGAAAAGTGATGCCAACCACATCTGATCGAAATTCGGCAATATGCTCCCTTTTTCGTCCTCTGAAACCACGGCGACGAAGTCTTTTGACACGACTCTTTTTCGGATGATCAGAGGCCGACGTTTCACCAACAGAGGACGAGGAAAGGATCGAAGACATGGACTCTTGCGATTGCAGCGGCTGTCGACCCATTTTTCGACGTCTAAAACGGCCTCCTCGGGCTTTCCGATTTTCCAGTGACAAGTCTTGCAATGACACTTCTTCTGAGGGGGTCAACTGAGGTGTCGATTGAGGCGTCGATTGAACTGCTTCGGAATCGGAACCTCCCGAGAGCACAGCATCGCTCTCGTCGATACCCGGCGACGGGGGGCGAATCGACACAAGCATATCCCATGCTTGTCGTATTTCAGTGAATAGTTCTTCACTCATTTCTTGGCCCGGTAGCACAAGTCCCATTTTGATTTGGATCTTGGGATAATCGGATTCCGTATCCGAAACGGCATCGTCCGTATCGTTTGTGACACTCAGCTGACTTTGATGAGACGGTTGCCATTGCGGTCGTCGTCGTGGACGTCGTAGCCGGAATCGACGGCGATGGGTGGTCGTTTCAAGCGCGTACCATGTGGGCTATGGATGATAAAATAAGAGTAGAATTTCATTAGTCTGTCGACGAGAGTAGCCAGGATATGGATCTATGTTATTAATTACTTGGTTGCGTGGGTCATCATAGGCAATGGTATCATTATGACAAAATAGATCTTGCAGCGCCAAATGAATTTGTCCGATGAAATGAGATCTTAATCGTCCCTTGCTGCACACCATCATTTTGAGCCCTTCGGTCCACAGTATTTCGGGTCGTTGTCGACGTTCATCCAGTAAGCTCAGATCAAAGCTGGTGACCCACTCAGGGCCCACCGATTTCTTTACAGCATGTGTTCTTTCCCGATTGCCTCCACACATCACTACAGTGTAAGGATTACAGTTGGTTTCCTACAACGAATGTGAGAAGGAAAAAAAAAGGATAGACAACCATTTCCCGTATGAAAACTTACTTGTTCCTTGGGGGCGAGACATTGGCCACTCAAAATGGTGACTCGCAACATTAACTGGCTGGGATCGATCAGTGGGGGGAATTCTACTGTCAACGATTCATCGTTACAATCGACTTGAGATTGAGAAGGTTTGGGTATATCGCCAAGCGTGGATTGAGAACCATTCATGGGTTGAGAGCCCACCGGGTCAGATGTTGGTGCCTGATCTTGGCGTCGAGCCCGATTTTTGGGTACAAACGTCCATCGTCGACCGTCCGATCGGTGAAACAAGCGTAAGCGACGACCCGAGCGAGCTTCTCCCGAATGCATGTCCTTTACTTCATCGTGGCTCATTGGAATATAGAAACACCGGATTTTTTATCAGAAATCCCCAAGTTCACCGCGCAATGACGGTTTATCACCACCAAACTGTAGAAAGAAAAAGAAAAGGAATATATAAAGTAGAAACGAAAATGAGGAAACGACAGATGAATCCTTTATTCTATGGAAATTTTCAAGCCCAGCATCACACTTGAACATCACCAAAATCGCCTTCAATTCCGGGTTCCAGCAATGCGGCATGCCCAAGAATGGTCACTGCCGAAGCACCTTTTTTTTGCAAACCGTCAATATGACATACCCATGTCTCCAAACATAGAATTTAATTGCAACGTAGCTTACCAAGAATCCAGAATAAAGTATTTGTAGCACCTGAAAATAACAGTAAAGTCAGAGTGATACCTATGTAACTGGTGTAGAGTGTGGATGGTGTTATGGTAGTGCTGCCAATGGAAAAGGGGCCATTGATTCGACTGATGCCATAGTAACCTCCCACAATGAAAGTCATGGTAAAAAGCAGCCACGCATTGGTCATGCTGGACGGTATTGGAAAAAAAAAAAAAAAAAAGGTCAGACAGCGTGTCACCACCTAATGACGCAGAGTATCACTTATTTACACAGCATAAGCCGCCAGGCAACAAAGGATGATGAGATAGTTGACGGAAAAGTAATGAAGATTATAACTGGACATGCCCAAGTTTTAGAACGCGTATAATAACCCATTGCTATGTTTCAATCCAACCTACTTCCAGCGTTGACGGATGATGGAAAAGGTCAACGTCGGTTGAATTCGGTTTTTATCCACAAAGTCCTTCAACGGCCGCAAGTTGGCAAAATGCTCATTTTTTAATCTCTTTAACCAGGATGTATGCTCAGAGGGGATGTGAATGGATGACACGGTCGATTGGCCAGGAAGAAGGATGTCGGAGGTTTCTGTGGTGGTCATATTAATCGATGTGATTAATGGTCAAAAAGCAGAGAATGGAGGACTTTTTCACTTCAATCGATCCTCCAGGAATTGCCAGTAACGTGGACAATATATCCATGTATGGCAATCCATAAGTCGCTTGCAATGTCAATTAGTAAGGAACGACGAACATCCTTTGTTGATGCAATTCCCTTTTTCTTCCATCGTGTTCTGCTTCACGTCACAGCACCTGTGCGTTGTAAGTTACACGAGCTGACTTTTCCTGGTCTTTTTTACAGTTCAAGGCCAAAAAAAAAAAAAAAAAAAAAGCCAGAAATCATGCGGGATTCAATCGGGAAAATTTGTTTCCTGGCTTGGCAAATGGAGTTTGAAGCGTCTTCATTATCCAGTCGTCTGAACCTTGCGGATGCTTTTTGACCCTTCATTTGACAACCTAACCAAAACACCTTTAGTTTCGGGCCCACTTTTACCGCGATTCCTATTCTATCGTCTTTGAATGACATCCTGTCGTCGCCGTATCATGGCTTACAGCAAACAGAAGCAACAACACATGACCACGTCTTATAAATGAAACGCGTCAAATAGCTTTATTTATAGAAAAAGACAGACATCGTTTTGAGACAGCTTGCTATGCAACAAGGCGAGAAGAGTGGGACGGGGGGAGGAAGCTAAAAACCGCGGAATATGAGCGGCTTTTCTGCTGTATTTCTGAAACAAACTAAATCCTCGCCGCAGGTTTTGCCGGCGAATGTCCATGGTGACGGCGGCCAACTTCAGATGTAGCGTTACAAAGGCATCTGTGTTAACAAACTGTGGGCGTGCTTCTAGCTTTAGAAACAGGGGAAAAGCTCAAATATGTCGAGATGATGACAAGTTTCGATCATTGCCGATTACTCACATGATTTCTCACAGTATACCGAGATAAAGTTCAAAAATGGGCCGAAAAAGGGAAACAGGAGGTGGAGATGCTCCATTGTCATTGAATAAATTCACCGCATTCCGATGAAAAAAAATATATATATATATAAAGTTCAGCGCTAAACCTTAAAGCACTAATGAATGCTATCATCAGCATGCCCAATGTTTGTGGAACCCTGGCTAGCGCGATGATCGGCATTTGCACGACCCTGCGGGAAAGACTACAGTAGAGGATTTTCTCGATGGTTCCTGCCATAAACAAAATTGGGAATTTAAATTTGCCAAACAGAGACCAATAATGTAGACGATATTAAACACATAACTTCATTACAAGACTCGTTCACGAGTATTGTTCTCGTGATTGGAAGGCGCGCTTTCGCAATGTGGTTGTTTGCGCTTCAACCCAGCGGTTATTGTATTTGAGCGGAGGGAAAAAAATGCATTAGTGTCATATTTTCATTTTAGCATGACACTAAAGAGAAAGTCTGTAAAAAAAAAAAAAAAAATAGAAGCCATCCAGGTACCACGCGACAAAGGATGATTAAGATGTTCCAATTTGGATTTATTGAACCAAAGACTTGCTTGTACATGGGAGAAAATAAAATGAAAGAGTTGAAAGAAGTAAAAGAGAGAAATGGAAAAAGGGAATTATGTACAAGAGCATTGCATTCTAAGAGCTATTAGATAAATAGGGCTCAGCCCAAAAATAAGTAATTAAAAGGAATTTTGTAAAGGAGTAGATTACTTGTAGTTGGGACCCTTGCCGTCTTGCTCATCCTGCGCGCGATGGTTCTCGGTCTTTTCGTCGTAAGACTGAGCAACCTGACCCGCAGCAGTATTGGGATTGGGTTTTTCATAACCGGAGGAACCAGTAGTGTCAACTCCATATTGCTGGGAAGCGGAGAAGTTGCTTGGCATGCGACGGGAACCGGGACGGCTGCTGCTGAAGAACATTGACGAGCGGGGTCGCTGAGCCATGGATTCAGCATCGTGCTTGGAGTCATAGAGCGAAGTGGAACCAATGTGAGAAGCGACGGACTTGGCATCTTCTTGCACGTCCTTGGTAGCGAACAACACTTCGATTTCTTCCAAAGACTTGCCGTTGGTTTCGGGATACCACAAAAAGATGGGGATCAAGAAAAGCACGTTGAGAATACCAAACATTAAGAAAGTCCAGTACTTTGCGTATTCAAAGAGAACGGGGGCAATTTCGGCGACGACAAAGTTACCAATCCAGTTGGCTGCTGTCGACATGGAGTTACCCTTGGCACGAAGTCCTGTGGAGAAAATCTCGGAAGGATACAACCAAGCTAAACCAAGCCAAGCAGCACCAAAGATAAAGTTGTAAATCATGACAAATGCAATAACAGCAGGCGAGTATTCGCTTCTTCCGGATTCAACGGCATACTGACATCCACCGACAATGAGCAAGGTCACAGCTTGACCAATCAGACCACCATACATGAGTTTACGACGACCCAATCGATCAATGGTATAGATAGGAGTGAAGGCGCCCAAAAAGTAGACGATACCGTCGATGCCAGTGAACAGCATGGCCTTTTCCGTGCTCATACCGGCTTGCTTGAACACATCCGTCAAATAGTAAGAGATAACGTTGATACCACCGAATTGCTGAATAAGCTGACCACCCATGCCCAAAAGCACACGGTAACGGTTGTTCATCTTGCCCTTCTTGAACAGTTCAATGTAAGAAGAGACACCTTCACGTCGTTCAAGTTCGATACCATCACGGATTTCTTCCCATTCAGCGATACAACGGGGATGGTTAACATCTTCATCGGACCAGAGACGAGCAAGCACGATTTTACAGTCTTCTTCCTTTCCGTGAGCTTGCAACCAACGAGGCGATTCGGGCAAAACAAAGGAAGCCACACCGAGAATGATGGCGAAAATCATTTGGAAAGCCAAAGGGAAACGCCAGGCAAAGTCACCCTGGACAAAGTAGAGACCGTATTCGAGCCAGTAGGCGATGGCAACACCGACAGCGAGCAAGGAAGCTTCAAAGGCGACGTGAGTACCACGGGACTTGGGAGGCGACAATTCGGCTTGGTATACTGGAATGGTGGCAGTATTCATGCCGTTTCCAAGACCAGTAACGATACGAGCAATAATCATCATAGGGACATTGATGGCTGCGGTTTGAAGGATGGCGCCAATGCAGAGAATAAGACAGCCAAGACGAATGGTTTTACGACGACCGATCAAATCACCGATTTTGCCAGTAGAAAGAGCACCCACCATACAACCGATTTCATACAAGGCGACAATTGCACCCATCAAGGCGGAACTGGGGTTACTCATCTGATCGATGAACAGTTGATTGGCAACAACACCAGACATGACACCCTAGCACCATAACAATGAATATCTTTTGCAACGAAACAAATATTTGAAGTTTTTTTCTTTTATTATATACGTTACCTGGTCATAACCGAACAACAGGAAACCAAAAGCGGCCAGTAATGTGGATGCCGCGAACAAGGCATTACCCTTAAGTTTCATCATTTTGAATAAATAATAAAGAAAGAAAAACAAAAAAGATAAACAAGAGCAAGAAGGTCGGAAGATCTGTGCCTTTATATATGTAATTTTTTGCAAGTCTTATCTTATGACAATTTGAAACTCACAATAACCATTTAAAATGGCTTATAGACCAAACATCGTGTCCAAACGTCGCTAGGTGATGTCAGTCCGATCATTAAAAAAAAACCAGCGGGATTTTCATCCAAAGAAACATTTAATATTCAAACCCATTGGCTGGATTCAACGTCATACCCATTCACTGTTTCGCCTTATATCGTTTATGATTTGTCGTGCATCTCAGCCCTGGAATAAGTTTCGCATCAGTACCTGACCATGTCATTTTTTTTTCGGTTTTTGATCTACACTGAAAAAAAAAAAAAAAAAAAAAAAGAAGAGACGTCTATCCGTAACCAAGCGATTTCTAGTGAATAATAAAATAAAAGAGCCACTAAAAATCCAAGGCGGGAGGAGAAACAAAAACCACGGGATTCTGGGGATGGGGACCAACGCTAAAAAATTCTCTGTTGCCGGTACCTTCTGAGTCGAGCTTCCCATCTTATTTTTTCAATGGACTGTTATGGACAAATAATAAAAAAGGGACTTTAGAAAAAAAAAAAAAAGATCTCAGTACAATATCGTTTATACATGTGAGAAACCGATCCAACGAAAAAGGAGCTTCAAAAAAAGAGCAGTGGCTATACCAAATGCTGCAGCAAAATCCCGCTTGACCAATGATGCGGCGGGTCTCCATTCTCTCCTCTTTCAATGCTGGCTCTACCCACGGATTTCAAATCGGGAATTCCCAAGGACAGTGCGCCCGGTCATTCCAGGGACATTGAAGGTGGTTTGATCATTTTCCAGCGATGGAAAAAGACAGAAAATACGATAAAGAAGAGGTCTGAAGTCCGACATTCAGGATTTCCATTTTAGGTTATATCTGATGTCATGATTTTCATAATTTTCGACGTTATGCGTTTTGTGTCTCGTTTTTTTGTGTCGGAGGAACAAAGTTGCCCTTTTTTTCTTATCCCTGCTTATGGACGCACGACGCCGAACGCTTCCTGTCGCGAGAACTGATCAAGAAATTGAAGATGGAGAACACACCCGAGTGGAAGAAGAACAGCAACAAGCTGGACTTTGTCCTTCGGCCGAACAAGCCGAAAAACGGGATCATCATGACGGCGCGCCCGAGAAGTCTCCCGAGACACGCCATTCCATCATTGACCAATTAAGCAAAAAGACCCAACAGTGGCTACAATTAGCCCCCAACGATAGTGACGGCGGCCAATTTCAAAGCCGTCATAGTATTGGCTTTGATGTTCCCGGTGCCGTCGACACCATCATGACTCCAAGCAGTAAGGCATTTTGACCCTTCGCTATCTTCTCGGACATTCGTGTTAATTTTGGAACTTTTCTATTTATCTTCGTAGAACTGAAAATGGAACGACAGTTGGACAGCAAACTCGCCGTAATTATGGGTATATTATTGGTTCTTCCCGGTGCTAGCCTATCGACGTGCATTTGCATTAATCAGAAATTCCCCGGTAGTCGGTCTTCCTGCACGTGGTAAAAGTTACATTGTCAAGAAGCTAAGACGTTATCTCAATTGGTTGCAATACGAAACCAAGGTGAAATACAATACCATTTAATGGGGTGAAAGCATACGATACCTTGCTGTTAACGTGGGGGTTAACTTTGTAATGTTCTTCTTTTTTTTTCCCAAAGGTGTTCAATGTCGGAAACTTACGTCGTGTCCACGAGGGCGGTCATGATCAGTCTGCGAAATTTTTTGACCCGGACAATAAGGATATGAAAAAGATTCGTGATGACCTGGCTTTGGAGGTGCTGGAACAAATGATTGATTGGCTGAAAAAAGATGGACGTGTGGCGATTCACGATGCCACCAATTCGACCATTCAGCGAAGGTAGGTTCGCTTTTTTTTTTGGTTTTGAACCATGGGATCATGTGAAAAAAAAACAGAGATTGATCAAGGCGTCTTTTAGGAAATTGCTAATCGATCGATTGGAAAAAGAACCCGAAATCAAAGTTCTGTTACTGGAATCCGTGTGTACAGATAAAAATGTAAGTCCTGTTAAACGGCATTGTTGAAATGCAAGGGTCAAGGAAAATGGAAGACTGACGTCCCTTATCCTATGTTAGGTTCTGGAGCGTAATTTCCGATTGAAACTTCTAGGCCCTGATTACAAGAACAAGAATCCTGCAGAAGCGCTTTCGGATTTTCGATCGCGTGTGGCAAATTACGAGCGAGCATACGAGCCTGTGGGAGACTGGGAAGAGGAGCGCGATATCCAATATTGTAAATTGATCAACGTGGGCAAGAAAATGATTGCACACAGCATTTCTGGCTATCTGTCAGGTCAATGCATCTTTTATTTGATGAATTTTAATTTAGCAGGTAAGAATAAGCATGCAAAATAAAACAGGCTACCCTTACTGACGGTTGAAACTATTTTTGTGTTACCGGGTATTAGAAAGACAAATTTTCGTCACACGACATGGTGAGAGCACAGATAATATAACTGGACGCATCGGCGGTGATGCCTCGGTAAGGGCCGCTCTTCTTGATGCAAGCAAAATTCTGGTTAATTGATTATATCATGTTAGTTATCGGAGAAAGGACAAAAGTTTTCAAAGGCATTGACCAAGTTTGTCAAGGAACAGCGCGTATCGTTTGCATTGGATCTTGCACGTCGCAAGATGAAAGAACAAGATGATTGGAAGACGTATGGATTGGAACCCTTGGACACGGAAGACGAATTGTTTTCGGGCTCCATCAGCACGGAAGCCGCTGTGAAAGCCAAAGTCGCGGCGATTTCCAATTCCCAATTCACTATTTGGACCAGTATGCTAAGACGCACCAAGGAGACCGTTGAGAACTTTGACCCGGATGAATATGATATCAAGGTAAGCCCCCATATCAAAATCGGATGCGTGGAATCCATACTGATACTGACAATCAATCACGATCCTCCTGTCAATTCCTCATTTCAGCATATTCGTTTCCTGAATGAGATCAATTCTGGAGTAAGTTAATCCTCCTCATAGGATATAGTACCATGCCTATTTACATGTTGATATGTATTAGAGTCGAGAAGGCATGACATATGACGAAATCAAGCATTATTATCCTCAAGAATTTGAAGCAAGGGAACAGAACAAATTGCATTACCGATACCCTGGTATGGGAGGAGAGTCCTACGTCGGTAAGTTGATATCATATAGTTGAAAGGGGTCTTTGGGGTGGGTATTAAAAAAAAAACATTGACAGATGTCATTCATCGACTTCAACCGATGATTATTGAATTGGAACGTATGACGCAATCTTGCCTTATTGTCACCCATCGCGTCGTTATGCGCATTATACTGGGATACCTTTTGGATTGGTCACAAACGGAAATGCCACATATGATGGTCCCTATTCACACGTACGTTTTGAAAACTATGGAACTGCATTGTTTTCCTCCCCACCTCCATCCATTTTGTTTTTTTGTTTTTCTTACCCTGCTGACATGTTGTGTTTTGTACTGATATAGTGTATATGAGCTTCGACCGAAACCGTATGGTACCGAACTGATCAAATGGCGATATGTGGACGAACAGGACAAATTTGAAAAGTTTTAATGATCTCCGCTATCGCATTTCATAAGAACCATCATTTGGATTATCAGGCACTTTTAACAGGCAACCCTTTTTTTTCAGTTGTGTAAAAAAGTCACTGATTACTTGCAAATCCAATGCACAGTCCTCAAAAATTTGATGGACAAATCAAGCAATCATAATAAAAAACCCCAATTGTACATTTTCTATTATTTTTGGTTTCTGCGTTCATTTTCATTGGCCTTGACAATATGACAAGCTTCACTTATCGTGAATAGAAAGAAAAATCCCTATATTCCTCGAATGCGTACAGGATGTGGCACAATCATTTTAATAAAAAAAAAAAGTTGGCAGTCTCAATTTCCGTCATTTTCCCTCACTTCGTCTTTGCTTCTTCTACAACCTTTTGATGCTTTTTCTTTGACAAAACAATGCTACACGCACCAATTTCAACATTATAGTCGTTTATTTGTTGATGTAAACGACTGGTTAATACCATTAACGCAGTAGAAGAAAAGCTTTGTGTGGGTAGGTTCTTGAAGCGAATGAGGCGGAAATCTACCAGGTTTTTACGTGGCGCGAGCAATGAAAGCAATGTAAAACCTCGAAACCGGCTGGACGTCCACCAAACATACTGAAAGATATACAAGGTATTTGAAGAATATGTTGTAAAGAAATACAGAAGTTAACCTCAGAAAGGAAATCATGAAGGAGCAACCGACAAAGATGTCTAAGTCCAGGTTCAACATCAACTACATACTGCTGTCCTGCACAGCAATATGGCCGAAATACTGGCGTTCATATTTTAAGTTTATTAAAGTGCGACGCACTTCTCATAATTTTCGCATTTTTCGCCAAAATCTACTGTATGCATCGGATAAATATTCTTCGGTGCTTATTTCGATGCTTTTACTTAATTCAACTGTTCAGTTTGTATAGGTATACGCCAGACCACCACAACAGTTGACCGACTCAAAACCTCAACATGTAAATTGCGCTCTTACATTGTTTTCGTCATTTTGGTCAACCGGGAACGCTTTTTTTTTTTTTAAAAAAGGCAATGTATTGTGCTCAAGTGTGTCGGATCGTTTACCCAAGCTATCTGATGTATAGTTAAAATAGATAAAAATCCCTACAATGACGGCGTGCGGAGGCAACTCCCGGAGGGCGGTTTGTCGTGTAAGAGGAATGATGTTTTTTTATATCTTTTTCCGTTTATTTCTTTTCTACGATTGGACACATATTGTCTGGTGAACTTGACTATTTTAAAATTGATCAACGTTTTATTTGACTTTGCAATTGTCTAGTACCATTTGCATGATAATGTTTCGATTGAATGCAAAGGAGAAAGAAAAAGGATTAGGCACTGATTTTATTCCGTGGGTGAACAGATGCTGCCAAAATTTGACGTTGCATTTCCTTTTTTCCTTTGCCTGTTGTCCTTTTCCTTTCCTTCTATTTTTTTTAAGAGATTCTGCTTTTTTTTTGTTTCGTGTGTTCAACTCGCGTGGTGTCAAACTTTTGTTTCTTTTTTTCTTTCACCTTTCTGCGAAGATGGGGTCCAACACGTGCGAATCTATTCAATCGCAGTTATCACGGTTGCCAAAGTCCAAAGCGACAGCATCAACAACAGCCATTCAACCGTTGGAAATCACTACCACAGCTGTTGTTACTAGCAATGGCGAAGGTTGGGAAGGACGCTGCGACGGAAATGGAACAAGTGAAGGTACTACAGTGCGTCCCGCAGAAGAAATAGAAAGACGCGGTGAACTGCAAAGGAAACAATCACATCACCACCACCATCATCACATCAAGTCGCCCATATTTGAAGCTCAAAATCTGCAATTCAATGCTTCGGTTTCCCCACTCGTATCGCCTTCAGCCCAGGAAACTCCGTCCGGTGCAACGGACTCGGCTCTTTCCGTGTTACCTTCCTCCCCCATTATTAAGGGTCCCTCCGAGGCCATTGCAGCTTTGCAGAACGCAGTCAACGGTAAGTCCTCCCCCTCCCTCCCCCGCGCCTTCCTTCCTGTTATAACAAAGGGGGAAAAAATGAAACCACCGTTTGTAACGGATTTTGATCAGCATCCAAGACCAAAGGAGCCTCCAGCGAAGTGAGCAGCAAATCGTTGGCGGAGCTATTTGAGTCTAGCTTTTTTTCGGCAGTATTGTTGGTTCAGTGGTCGAATGTGATGGGTCCCAAGGTGGAAAGGGTATGGTCCAATGAGCCGCTGGATGAACGACTGCAACAGATCATTGGAAGACAAGTACTCAACGGAGAAATGGGACGCACCTTGGCGTCCGCGGAACCCAAATGGGTGGTGCTCCATCGTCAGGGGATTGTATGTACGGCGTTTCTGTACAATGATTCCACGGCGTTATGCGCCCTGATTTTGGTGGTGCCTGTGCGTTATCTGCGCAACTTTTCGCAATATTTTAATGTCCTGTGTACTTGTGTACCACGCCAGTTGGTGGAACCACTCGTCAAGTTACGCAAAATTCATCGCCGCTTGGCCATGGTAAGCATTCCTCTCCCCCCCCCGGGGACCGATCGTGCGCACGCGTCGTGCCAACTGAACCTTTTTCTTTTTCCTACAAAGACATGGATTGCTGCTCTTGATTATTTTGCTTCGTATCGACTTGTTCCTTTTATCCGCATGATTATGGAATTGGAATCGGTATCACTACCGACGGAATGTGTCAAAGTAAGTCGGAGCCCGGCAAAGGAAGCGCCAACCATGCAAGGTGACAGCAATAAGACATTCATATGCTTTGCTTGTTACATCTCAGATTGGTCACACCATCCTTGATACTGAATCCAAGCAAATGCTCGATTCGTTGTTCATTGCAAAGTACGTACGACATTTTGATCATATTCAGGTTGCTTATCGTGAGGTTGAAGGGTGATTACTTCTCATTTACAGACAAGCGGATCCACCGTACTGATCGGCAACACTCTCACCAGTATGAATATGGTAAAACAATATTGGCACACAGAGAAATGCTCTGATGATCCAATGTTTGATTAAACAAATGTATGTTGGCTTTCTGTAGGTCATTAATACACTGGCACTGTTTCTATCACCCGAAGAACGAAGTCGGTCAAGTCACGCACAAAAGAATCACAAGTACATGGTCAACCTCTATCTACAAGGAATCTTGATCCAGGTAGAGGCTCATGAAAAATGGTCATTGAAAGATGATGAGCTGACTGAATGCATGATTTGACGACAGGATATTGAGCATACGGAACCACGGCTGAGTCTGTCTGTACTAAACTCGGATGTTCCCACCACACTGGTTGACATGCAACGATTGACGGTCAAGCATACTCCCTTGTTTCCGGCCTATCAGCAGCTTCAGAAACGATACCATGCATGGCTGGATGCCAAGTTTGAAGACGAACTCGCCGCCTATGTTTCAGAGCAACCGCGCTCTTCTTCTTCCGATACCCATCCTCATTGGAGGTAAGCCCTCCAAGCAATATCGCAAACATGATGGCTCTTGTGTTGTATCCCCTTATTCCCGTATTCTTCTTTTAGGCGTCATTCGATTTTTCATCGTAGTGACAGTATTGCTCCCATGGTCCAAAACCTGCTTGATGACCTGCGGAAAATCCCGGCTCGCATGCGTGAAGCTTATATAAGACAGTGGCGTCGATGGTTGATTCGCTACGCCGTCGCACTGATCAAATATGTGGATGAAGAAATGTACGTTCATGGTCTACAAAAAATCACAGATCTCTCATCTTTTTGGTTTCTAGACCGTCGGGTATCCTTCATGCTTCAGCCGAGCATGATATCATTCGCCCCATCATGCAAGCCCTAGGATTGAACGATTGGATTGATTTTTCCATCGTGCTCACTCAAGCCGAAAAATTGCGGCCTGGTATCATGGAATTTATACACACGCACGGCAAATGGCAAGCCTAATCTTTCTTTTTTCCTGCACGGAGTATGTGGATGTTTGTAAATAGGGTTGTTATTTAGATATTTTTTACGAAATGCAATAGAATGAAGAAAGAAGCGAGATAAAAATTGAGGTGGTAAAATATGACATCTGTGTACAGATGTCTTTCAATGCAAAAGGAAGAAAAAGAGAGAGAGTTACTATGAAATTTACAGGGATGGTTCCAATACAACTTCCATCAACATGCCATTCTTCAGATCAAGTGACAAGATCTCCTCCGCTTGTTGTAAATCATCGGCAGATACCTGAAAGAAAAGTCAAAAGGATTAAAATTTCATGGTTTAAGCAGCAATTCACGTCACAGATACTTACAAGGATGTTGGCACTTTTGAAGGTGCTCAGATATAACAGATTGATATGGGCTTCGCTAGCGAGTGGATGCGAAATGGATCGGACAATACCACATCGATCGAGATGGGAATTAGCCAAGTTCACTTGAATGACGCGCAAGGACGCCGAATCCTCGTCCTGAAAAATGTACTCTTCTTCAAACAGATCAAGGGTGCGCTGATCAGCTACCAGAGAAATACCATCACTGCTGGCTGTATATGAAAAGAACCGTGTATTGTCGTCCGTACTATGGTTGAACAAACATCGCCAAGAAAAAAAAAAAGGTTAATTTTTTTCCACTTGAATCCATTCATTCGCTACTTACGAATATCCTTCAATGATCAATTCAGGATAACATATGATTTTGAGCATGGTCATTGCCCATTCCCTTCGGTAATGAGGATTAAGACCGACACAACGAAGCTCGTTTTCGAGCACATTGCTTTCGAAAAAAGTATTTTCCGCCTGCTTGTCCGGCAAGGGTGGCGCCAAAGGCAGGCCGGCATCAGCATCCAATGATAATTCGGGCATCGCTTGTTCCAACGACACCTCTTCCAGATCTTCAAACTCAAAACCATGCTCTTGCAACGCTTGCACAGCCTGACGCAGTCGTCGATCCTTGACCTGGTGAGAAAAAAAATACAAGAAATCAATTTTGAATGTCCCTTCTTATTATATGTAAAAGAAAAACGTTTACCAGAACAAAATCGGTTTGATAGGTCGACATGTAGAAAATCGAAAATTGGCCCTGAGCCAACGTTCCAGAAAGATCGCTAATTCGTTTTCCACTTAAATCTGAGCTTACAAATGAGAAATTCACGGAGGGGAAAAAAAAGAAGCATCAGATAAAAAAATAAACATTTTGCCCACATTGAGAAAACCACATTTTTTCCCTTTTTACCTTGACCGCCTTCATCGTCTACTTGAAGAATACGAAATATATCGGATGAGATGCCCATATCCGGGCATTGGGCTGCCGTCAGAGCCGGTACAAAGTCACGGTCAATCACTTGCTGATTAGCGACAATAGAGATCTCGTAGGCGTTTTCGGTGAATGAGAAAAAGTAATCAGCACTATAAGCGGAAAAGCGTAAGCGGATCTGAAGGGTGCGCTTGGCTATGGCGAGGCGCGTGCCACTGATATAAATAAAAGTGCCAAGAAAGTCAAAAGACCTACTCGTTACTGTCTCGGAAAAAGCATGCCTTGATAATGGCGTGTGTGACGTGAGGTAAATGAGAACGAGGAAAATGGAGAAGCTTGACTTTGGCAGGAGAAAGAGTGATCATGAGAAAAAGACAACCACCATTCAAGAAACCTAAGCGAAAAAGAAGTCTAATCAACCAAAATTAATCATTTTTTTTGTCTACTTTATTTTGCGCGTCACATTTCATTGGAAAAAAACTTGCATTGTGCATTGCACTTTCGACGGTGACACACAAAATTTTGGCTCAGGGTGGGGAACACAAAAAAAAAGAATCCAAACCCAGTCAGATTGAGTCACGAAAAGGGGGGTTTTTTCCCAGATGACTCTTGCCTTTGGTTCCCGTGCCATCGTTACTTGTTTTATAATTCTTTTCTTTTTTTATGAAATAGAAGAAGGTAATACATCTTTAGCAATCATATCACGAAGGATATTCCTTAAATACACCTTGTAAATGGTGATTGCACTGGGAGGTTCGCGTGTGCACGGTACGCCATTCTGTTCGGCTTCCGCCTGCTTGGCATGCCAGGAATCCAGCTGTCGAAAGAATTCCTGATGAACATGAGCAAGTGTATCACGTACGACGGGAAACAACGGAACCGTCCAAACGTCAGTATTGCATTGGGCTTTGACGACAATAATGTTATCATGCTGTTCGCCGGGCCACATTCGTGTTTCGTCGTCCAGTATCAGCGGCAGAGAATAGGACGATCCGAGGGTATTGTTCTTTAATGCGCAAAAGGAGTACAGTGCCAGTAAGTCTTTGGGAGGTCGTCCAGGATAGGGGGATCGTTTGATGTAATCGTGTTCACTTCGTGCCGAATAAAGAATGCCCCGGATCCGCGTTCGCTGAGGATCCAAAACGTTTACGACGTTATCCACATAACTTTGATCACTAATTCATGGTTCACAAGTTAGCCAAGTTGTTTTTTTGGTTGTCCTCATCTGAATTCTGTTTTTTTTACCCCAAAGAACACACCGATATATCGAAATATTGTTGTGCCCATTCTAAAAAGTCGTGTGCTCGTTCTGTCAATACCACACGCTTACCATCCCCCAACATGGCCACTCGATTGCCATCTAATTTCAAAGAAAAAAAGAATATAACAACCATCAGCATGACCTGTCTCCATAGTCTTGCTTCTTTTTTTGGCTTACATTTGTGTACGTCTTTTTCTGGCACAAAACGTTCATCACCATCGCCTACTAGTCGCACCATGGTATCGTCCAGATCCAGCACGAGCGGCAACCGCCTTTGATATATTAATTCTTCCATGGAGCCTCGAACGATACGAATCATTTCTGAATGTTTGCACAAGTATCCGAATAACCATTTTTTATCTCGCGAAGGCTTGAGATGAATTTCGTATAATTCGCCATCTTCGGTTCGTCCAACAGTGTATGCGCTCTGCCATCCGTTATGTCGTGAGTTTTCTGTTTCAAACAAATCGATCGTCCTTTTCTGCCTATCCTTGCTGTATTTCCTTCTTACCTTTCTCATGCCGTACAGGTCATCAAACCATGGATGATCGGGGTATTGAAATACAAAACTATGCTGTATTGCGCGTTTGGCCATTACAACGAAGAACCCACGAGGATATGCACCTTTAATTTCATACATGTCTTCTAACAGCAATCTTGGTTCGCCACCACGATGGGAGATCTCACACGTGTGCAATTGGACAATCATATCTGCGGGTTGTGTATCTTGTCTGGACCTGCCAGAAGGTAAAGTCTGAGGTGAATCATTAGTCACTTGTTTAAGGGACAATTTAGGTTGCCAAATAGAAGGATCCGCATCTTTAATACTAGGTTCAAGACGAGGACACGTAGCGCGGGAAACTATAACACACAGACACACACGAAAAACGTCAAGTTAATAAAAGTATAAAGGGCAAAAAGATCCACCCAAAAAATTTTCTTGTCTCCTTACTTTCGTCAACCGTTGACGTTTCCTCGGAACTCTGTGATACGGAAGGCTGTTCAGCGCCAAATGATATCGTATCGTCTGAACCTGTTTTGGATACTTTGGTACGTTTGGATGCCGTAGTGAGAAGATATTGAACCGTGGTGCTGAGCTCCACCAAGGACTGATAAAAACGGGGAAGGAGCAGAAAAAAAAATACCATATACGTCAGAACGGAATGTCAAATTGTCAGGAACGAGAGCCATGTGGCTTACATTTTTTTCAGATGCATCCTGAGAACGTTTTAAAGGACGGGCTGATTTTCGTTGAGGAGCATCGTTGAGTAATGAAGACAGATCCATTATCGATAGATTTAAAGAAGTATAGCAGTAACCTCCGTTGGGCGAAAAAGGGATGGGCTGGGAAACCTCAAGACGGGGAAATTCTGTGACTGGTCCCAATAGTTCGCCCAATACGGTGCCCTGGCAAAAAAATTGTAATCCCGACAAATTTGTTGACTTCCCTAATGTCTTCTTCATCTTTCAGTTCATTTTTCTCGGGAAATGAAGAAATAATAATATAAATTGCAAGGTAGCGAAAATCATGACTTGGTCCTTTATTGGCGGGGAGTGTGGGGGATCTCGTTATATTACTTTGGCCTTGTAGAATGCCTGCGTAATCCTGGAGGGAAAATGCGCTGAAACTGACGACTTCCTTCATCAAAAAGAAGAGGCCACCTTCATGCTTCATGAGGATGACTTCTATTTTCAATAAAGTGTATAATACGAGTTGAAAGATAGTTTAACGTGCCATGCTTACGTCTGTACCAAAGTTATGTGCACCTGGTGTATCCGATCAGCCAACTTAAGAACACTTGAAAAAGACATCCCGATCTCTCTCTCTCTAACATTATCTGAGAACTACTGCATGCAGCTATTTCATGTGATGAGGCCCCACTCTCTTATCAAAGGATATGACATGAAGCGATGAGAAAAGACACATGGCGTCTTTTTCCTGCTTCATAATTGGACAATAAAGGTTTAGCTACAGTACGAGGGATTTTTCATGTCTATCAAATACGACGCATCTTCCATCCATCCATCGCGCCATACATTTTTTATTGCTCAGTTTCATTAACATTTGCTCAAATCACCTATCCTGTAAAAGTATACTAAGGATGGCCGCAACTGTGATATCAAACGACTGAACCTCCACAAATAGCTTGCGCGCCGAAAAGCTTTTGTGGCCTATAATGAAACTTTTTTTTGAAGGGTAATGCATTTGTGCTCCCAAGTGCCTTCCTTACTTTTTGAATATTATGCCGAATCACTCATTTGCTTTGTGTGCTTCTACTGTGTAGTTTAAATAACTGAAGAACATAGCCCACGCCTTGGCGGTGTGCGGTGGCGGCTCCCACAGTGTGGTGAAAACAGTTTTTTGTAAGTAAAAACAAAAGAAGAGTAAGTGTGCCTTGTCTAATGCATCCATCTTTTTTTTTGTATGTCTTTGTCCTTTGGTTTTCTCTCTTACTTGATTACTTAAAACAACATTACCTTGCCTCTTTTAAAAATTCTGATTTTTATAAATTTTACCCAGATTTTTTCAATTAAACTCTATGATACGCTCGGGAACTTCAAAGCTAGCCCACGGCCCATGAATTTTCTTGTTCCAAAAAATAAAATAAAAATAAAGACTACAGCACTAGTTGTTTCAATGAACAAATCAACAATACATACTACAACCAAGCATGTCCGTATAGGATCGCTGCCTTTTTCTCAATATGTGTAGTGTTTAATGAAGAACTTTTTTTCTCGTTGGACTTACGGTTCACAGTTTTGCCACTGGATCCAGTCTGGTTAAAACAGAACACCACACACGTCAGAACAACCTGTGAGCATTGATGGCAATCCCGATATTGGTGCAAGGTGCAAGTAACATTGTATTATTAGATGTGATTTCAGAATTCATCAAATTTATCTTTGCTAGACCTTACCATCTGGGTATCCTCCACCTTTGTGGGAGGTCTTCGTTATTAAATTGACTTATTACAATACCATACTGTCTTGACCATCGCTTTTGTTGAGCAGAATCAACTCTTTTTTTTTTGAGCAACTTGTCCTGAATGATAATGAAGCTGTGAACCACTGGCATTCACGAAACAAAAAAACTGGACCGGGGAAAGGCAGTCAAAACAGAGTCACAAGGTTAAGAATGACTCACTTGGTGTGGAGATCAGAACTAAGCGGTCTTTTTTAAGAAACTTTCTTTTTTCTCGGTCCTACCTATTTCACATTTTTTCGTTACCATGTTATCTGCGCTTTCAGTTCGTTTGGGCCAGCAAGGTCGATTAATGCAACGCCGTGCTTACACTAGTTACGAGCATTTGTCCGCACGAAAACAATCCTTTATCCCTAAAACCGGTGTGTATCCTGCCGGGTTTCGAGCTGGAGGTGTGCACTGTGGTGTGAAGAAGAATGGTAATAAAGACGTGGCGCTGGTCCTATCCGATCGTCCTTGTGCTGGTGCAGCTGTCTTTACTACCAATGCATTCAAAGCAGCGCCTGTCCTGGTCAGCAAAGCAACTCTCGCCAAGAACAATGGCGGCCTTTACGGTGTCGTGACCAACTCGGGCTGTGCGAACGCGGTGACGGGAGCCCAAGGTTTGGTCAATGCAGAAAGAATGCGAGCCGTAGTAGACGAACTGGTCGATGCTCCTTTGAGTGCTTTAACCATGTCCACGGGTGTGATTGGACAGCAACTGCCTATTGCCAAGATCGAAGCCGGTATCCGCGACGTATACACCAAACTGAGTGCGGACCACGACCAAGGCTGGATGCAAGCCGCCGAAGCTTATATGACCACTGACACCTTTCCTAAACTGTTATCGGGCGAATTCAAAGTTGGCGCCAATTCATTCAGAATGGCCGGTATTGCCAAGGGCGCAGGCATGATTCACCCGAATATGGCGACCTTGCTGGGATTCATGGTCACTGATGCATATGTGGAACCCAAGTTACTTCAGGAAGCACTTCAATACGCTATTGATCGCAGTTTCAACGCCATCAGCGTCGATGGCGATATGAGCACCAACGATACTATCGCTGTTCTGGCTAATGGCGCTAGTGATGTCCGCATTGAACAAGAAGGTGAAGCTTACACTGTGTTTCGCGACGGTTTAACTTCCTTTGCCGCCGAATTGGCCCAATTGGTCGTCCGCGATGGCGAAGGCGCTACCAAGTTCGTCACCATTCACGTCAAGGTAAAAAGGCATTGCCATTTGAAAAAAAAAAAAGGCAGTGGCCATTAAAAAGGAAAAAACTCAATTCGCTTTCTTTTAGGGAGCCGAGACGTTTGAAAAGGCGAAACAAGCCGCTTCTCACATTTCCACTTCCATGTTGGTCAAGTCGGCATTGTACGGTCAAGATGCCAACTGGGGTCGTATCTGTGCCAGTCTCGGACATTGCGGTTTTGAAGTTGACCCTTCGCGTGTAAGCGTCTCGTTTGTCCCTGCCGATGGCTCCGAACGTTTAAAGCTGATGGTTAATGGCGAACCCGAAGAGGTGAACGAAGAGCGAGCTTCTGAAATTTTGAAATTCGAAGACCTCAATATCGAAGTCGATATTGGCTTGGGACAAAGCGATGCCAAATTCTGGACGTGCGATCTCAGTCACGAATACGTCTCCATCAATGCCGATTACCGTTCCTAAAAGAAAAACACTACTCGTTTTGTTTTGCTTACCATTCCCCTCACACAACTCATCCACTCATCAAATAAAAAGAGCTCATAGAAACAAATGGGTATTACAGAGATGCTCTTTATCACTCTGCAATAAAGGAAAACGACACCCAATGTTCCTCGACGACTCTGGCTGCATTATTTCACAAAATGGTTTTGTTCACCCAATCGAGATCTTTCCCCACCGCTTGGCCTTTTAAGCCGTTGCCCGAGCTTTTACAAACGCTACTCTCCGTCAAACGCTGACATAGAATTCAATCAATTAGTATACAACCGGCACGCAGACATCAGTTTGTCCTTGTCCATCTTGCAGACAACATTCTCTTGCTCGCACAGGGAGGCAACCTCCTCAAAAGGAAACCCAAATTTAATGGCACAATGGTTCTTCCGAAAAACAGTCAACCATAGCCAATCAGAATCCATAATCACGGTCACGTGACTCATTGCAATTAATATTGATGTTATACATAAATATTTTCGGAAAAATATCGCTGATTTGGCCGAGTTGGTCTAAGGCGCCGCACTCAAGTTGCGGTCTCGCAAGAGGCGTGAGTTCGAATCTCACAGTCAGCACTTTTTTTATTACCCGCAACGAAATTTTGGCCAATCAGAATGTCGTATTTTGTTATTGTTTGTGACCTAATCTGGATACGGTTTCCACAGCTAATAGGCACACAATGCAGAATACTAAGACTCGACTTTCGACTAAAGATTACGAGTGAAACCGATGATTTTCTTTATTTTGGTGGCACTGAGATATTTTATATTCTAAAATTAGTAAACGTTATTTGCAATTCCCAAAAAGGAAGCGCCGAAAAACTGAGGCACGACAAGAAGATAGCTTTTCCTGTCTCTTTTTTTTTTGGCACCTGGGAGGACCGTGTTGTCGTACTTCACTCAGATCTAATATAACGACAAGACCACCAGAGTGGAAAGCAAAAGGATTAAGGATAGGAAAGATGGTTGCCCTATTTTATCAATTATGAAGGGCGTATTCGGACTACGAATGCCATGAAAGAATGTAAAAATATTTTCTTCCATTAAACGAGTGAGTGAACACACGTCCGTTTTTTTCGAGTATTGTTTGCCTAGGATCTATGGGACAAGGTTCTATTGAGAAAAGGTTATTTGGGAAAACCAAAGTTAAATAATATGCAGAAAGCGTAGGGCGGGGGAATGCCATGAAAGAATACACTATGTCTGTGATGAAACAGCAAATGAATAAAAAAAAACATACAGAAAGTGGCATTGTCTTTATCCGCAATGACGGATTTTCGGGGACTACGAAGCGAAGCGACCCAAAAAAAAAAAAACAAAAAAAACTTGAAATCATAGGGTAGAGGATCCGTGAGTATTATACCTCCAAAAGAGTATATGCGAGCAAAACCTACGGCAACGTTAAAAGACAGAATCTGTGCGGTGCATTGATAGAAACCATCAAAACCAATAACTGATTGATTAAGTTCTATTACGGGACGAAAATTTCTTTGGGAGAAACCGTAAGGGATCAAATCGATCTGTTCTCATTGAGTAGCTCTTGTTACGTCTTCTTTGGTAAATCGGCGCCTCAGCGGAAGGGTTGGAGAGCTATGGCTTTATTTCAACAGTTCTAGAAAATGTAATTTCGCAAGATATACCGGTAAAAAATATCGTTAATATGAGCATCCTCCATTTGTACCATTTGCTCTGGCATTCATCATTGCGCACTGCCAGACGAAAGTCGTGCGCAACGGAGACATGACTTGGCTGATAATATGTTAGTGCGATAATTAACATGCTGTCGGCCTGTGATGGCATCCACATAATCCATAAACCTGCAGTCAAGGCAAAAATTTGTTGGGTCTAAAAAGATATAAGGCTTTTGGTCTGCATTCATTGATAATATGTGAGTGGATTTTAGCCAGGAGTCCTGTTTGTTTTTTCTTTTTCCTGCAAAGACAGCTGTTCAATCGAGGTGCGATCTGCAACGCCATCGGTGTAGCGCCGATTAAAATGGTCGTTCTTGAAGCCAATCAAAATGGATCATTGCGATTTGGAATTGTCAAAGCATGATTTTTTGGACACCCCATTTTTTTTTCTCTTTCGATTTCTTCTCACTTTTTTCAGCCGTTACTGTTACTTCTTGACCGTGCCCTCCAGTTTTGGAGGTGCCAATGGTACTTTTCCTTTCTCATCTTCTCAATGCTAAGTCTTGGGACACGGTTTCCCAGTCGTCCTGCGATCGCCAAGTGCTGATTCTCACAAAATGGACAAGGGGAAAGGGGAAACGTTTTTTTCAGTCATTGAAATCTCAAGGCCATAGAAAAATATTCACAAGAAATCTCCAATACGGTTATACATCGGTCAAGACGCCCTTGCAACAAATATTAACTGAGGCGCTTATGATGAATCAAATCATAAACCTATGGTAAGTTCCATGCACAAGCTTGTTAAAAAGTCAAGGCACTGACATTGTATGCTGGTTACGGCGAAGGCACTGTCTTTGCTTCTATCACACATCCAGTGTTCAAGCTACCACCTATGCATGATTTTTATTTGGAAATTGCCGTCTCCGTGCCATGGTAATTAGGCTTTGTCTCATTTTATGCCTTGTTCCACTTTCTGTTCCCATTGCCTACGCGCTGATTATAATTTTTGAATCAGTCCCAAAAAAAACCAGTTTCCTGACGGTCGCCACACTCAAAACAAGAAGAACGCCATGCTTATTCATTACTATCCCCAAGAATGGCGTGTCCCCACTATCAAAATGGCGCCCAGTCTCAGACACATCTAAAAAATGCGGCACTGACCTGAACCGAAGATACTGGCGCAGCCGATTTGAAAGCGCCACCCTTTGACGCCACCGCAAATATTCAGCCAATCATTTCTCCGATTTACATTTGAATTGAATTGCCCCCGCAAAGCAGCCACTTCTCTCAACGCACTGGCGAAATATTATCCACGCTTCACACAATACTGCTGCACTTTTTTTTCTAGCAGTACGACTACTCTCCAAATCTGCCCTCCTTTTTAAGGAACCAATGGACTTTTATCCCTCTTCTCTTGTCAAAGTAAGTTTTACGATCTAATGTCGCCGTCGTCTTGAAAATCACAAAGAAACTAACAAGAATTCCAGGGAAAAGTATACATTATTCAAAATTCGAAACGAAGTCCTAAAGCCTAAACAGTGGCCCTCTATCAATCGAGGCGTTCTCAATCTGCGTCTATTTTGATGGCAGCAGATGTTGATTCTGAAGATAAATATAAACTTACAGTAAGTCTCACGCAAATCCATTTCAATTGAAGCTCGAATCACTCATCTTATAACGTCGTTACAGCAGAGACGTTGCCACCGCCTTGATCCGATTCTCAGAAAATACACAAGATCAAAACTCCATGCAGTCATTGCGAATCCAAAACGGAACATACAACATAAGTCTTAAAGGTGGCTAACCAATCGATCAAGGCGCCCTTCTCTCTTCATCTCAGGCGTCTATTCAAAGAAGAAATTTGATACTTAAGGTAAGCCTCAATTTCATGCAACTGATTGAACCGAAAACTGACGCTGTATGCTCGCCACAGCGCCACACTATCAAGCATTGTAACCGAATCTCGCAAACTGTGCAACAAAAAGCATTCCTGCAACCGTTTTGAATTCAAAACGAAATATCCGCCCCTCAAAGGTGGCTCTCTACCAACCAGACGCTTTTCAAACTATCTACGGACGGCGCAGGTGTCTATTCAGAACCGGCAACTTAAGCCTACGGTAAGTGACATGAAAACTCCAAGTGACCGAAATCAAAAGCACTAAAGTCATATGATCTTTTGTAGCAAGCACACTACGTGTCTTTTCGAGCCCTGCCAAGCAAATGCAAATGGAAAGCGTTCCTACCGTACTTTGGAACTCAAAGCCTCAATCATAAACAAAAGTAAGTACCCATATTGCATTGTTTAGTACCAAAAAATGCTGACGCTTTTGTCGTGTGGTTTAAGCCTGATCATCTAGCTATCGAAACCTGCCGCCCCAGATCGCACCGGTTGCTGCTGGTAAACAGCGGATACCGTTGCCGGCAGGAGTACCCCAATGGCAAAACCACTTGCTTCTTGTAACAAACGCCAGGTTGCCGCCGTTGCTTTTGATCATCGTGGTGTTGTGGGGAAGGCAGACTTTTTCTTTTTTGTGCCTTGACCCCTTCTTCGTGATACCGCAAAAGGTTTGCGGTTTTTTAACGAACAGGGGCAGGCCTGGCGCTTCGTGGTGGGGTAGCCCATACCAGTGGAGCATCAGCATCAGCATCCGGATCCGGTAGCGGTTGGCGCGATCAAAAAAGGACGACAGGCGGACCGACGGAGAGTTTGGGCTACAGGTATGGCGTCATTAGCAAGTCCGGGACCTGGAGTTCTTGCTGGGCCACACCGTGCCTCGGTGCTGAGAGGCATCATCGGAATTCCGTACTCGTGAACCACCAGAAGAGACCGACCGGGAGAAGCCGAAAAACAACTCACGAAACAAACGGAAGAGAATGGTGGACTCAAACGCTGCGATCTCCTACCCACCCACCCACCGTGCCTCTTTGCTTCAGGTGGACACCCACCTGGGGCCAGCTTCTCGCCGTTCCCATTGTCTTTTTTTTTCTCTTGTTTTTCTTTTTTTTCACCTTTTTTTTTCGCAATTTCCTTTTCACTTTGGGAACGACGGTACAACGGGCCCTACCGCGTGTTCCGTCGCAAATGTCAAGGAAAGGGCATGTTGGAAGGTTAGGTTGATCGGCGCCGTGATATCTTGTGGTCGATGGTCCCCTTGGATGCAGTCCAACGACGCCGATCATTGTTGCGGGAACCCTTACCATATAACTGGATCGAGCTGTTGTAGCGATAACTTGTGGACTCTGCTTGAAGTCTTTTCACCAGGCATTTGTCGGACGAACCATGGGACATGATCGGTATTGCTAAGTAACGCGTAGATAAGTATCATACGTCGACGAATAAAATATTCCTACTACAACTTGCCTTGATCACATTGGTCGGTGAGCCTTGCTTGTACAGTGGTCTTGGTGAAGACGGAAACGTTCAAAGGGAAATACAAATATGAAAAAAATGAAGGTAAAGAAGAATAAAGAAATATACTACACTAAATAAAAAAAATGAAGAATGAAGAAACATAATGTGAATGAATGAAAGAATCAGATAGAAATAAAAACATAATAAAACAATCTTTTCTCTTCTTTTTTTTTTGTAGCGGGAAAACATCGCTTTTGTTTCATCTTTTTTTCTTTTGTTGCCCTTTTTTCGCTTTTGTGGATGTAAATGGGCATATGACCGACTCCTAAAGCGTCTGTGCGCGGAAATGGAGAATTGTGTGTCGGCTTGTGGATGGATTGGGGGTTGACGTGGGCTACAGGGAGGCTAGGCAAGTCCAATGGGTGGGCATCCTGCCACCCAGGACCTGGAGTGGCCACACCACAAGCGCGCCTCGAGAGGCTAGGGTCCGGGAAGGTGGAGCCAGGCCATGTTCGTGTGACACGCTCGGTCAAATTTACAGGGTAACGAGAAGGCACAAATGAAAGCTCGTGATTAACAATGATGTCGTGTCTATGTTCAGTGTTAGGTTGTTGGGCTATAGAGACCGGATTACTACACTTGATCCGATCCAAAAGTGTCCTGAGGGGATTGGGGGTTACTAACCTTTGTGGTTTTGTAGCGGTGTTACTAACCTTTTTTTTAAACAGCTTCGATCCGGGGTGGAACGATTCGAAGCGAGAGTAACCAGCTAAGTATTCTTGGAAAAATTGGTCTTTTTTTTTCCAGATTTACGCACTACTTATTACCATAGGTACTTCGGCCGTTATTGCATCAAACAAAGTAATGTATCACTGCTATTCAATTTCTATTCGAACTACTCACTACACTATTAGGTTCCATGTTCAAAAATGTGCCGCATGAACAACGAAGATAAGTTGACATACACTGAACGATTTTTTTATGAATGAGTACTTATGATATTACACCATTTGACGGGTGGTTGCGGGCCTGGTCCCGCGAAGGCTTATTTTCCGACGAAGACAAGAAATAGTGGCAATACGACAGTCGATTCCGGGGATATCAATCAAGATTTCAGTTATGATTTGTGATATTGGTAAAATTGTAATGGGATGGCTGCAAAATCGTTTATCTGACAATAAGGAATTGGGACACTCGGTCTACTTGCATCGGTTTTTTTTTTTTTTTTTTTTTTTTTTTTTTTTTTTTTTTTTTTACGAATAAATGTGTTTCCAAAGCTCGCATGCCTTTCAATTTTTTGAATCGGTTTGAGTTCCTGGTCCCGGAAATCCGTCGTCGCGTATAAAGTGAACAATAACTAATTTGTGTTCATTTGCTGATCTTACAATGCATAGCGTGTTCTACATAAGTTTTTGTCAAGTATTCGATGGATATCGTTTTTACAGTCATGGCAACACTATAAATGATGGAGGAATTGGTCAGTATCATGTAATGCTTAACTTGTTACACGAAACGACTGCCGAGCTGTTTTAATGCCATATTAGGCAATTGCAGACGCACGTCTTTATACTGCGCCCCGGTAACATTCATGAGAGGAAATAGCTTCATTGACATTGATTGGGATTCAATGCGCCAAACCGAGGTTCAAGCCTCGCTTGACGTATGAGGGCGTGACAAACCCACCTTCCTCTTTTGCTTACTTTTTTTCTTTCTTTTTTAGGTGTCGTGGCTGAAGCGGATAACGCCCGAATATGGTAATCAGTTTAGCATCACCTTGCCAGGTGCATTGATCCTTTTCGCCCGCTCAGCTCTCAACTTCCACGCCTCAGCCATGATCCTCTTTTAGACACGCATATAAATATCCCTCACCAGAATGATAAAATAAGAATCATTTTCCATACTCTAGATCCTCTTGTTATTCCGCTCTGGTGATCTTTTCGGTCTATCAGGTCCAAGTGAGGTACGACGACAGCGATGCGGATGATGAAATATTCTGAAACATGAGTGAAGAATAGGGCGCGCGATCTTTTCTGTTTTATCCTTGATATTCTTGCTGTGATGCGCAGCGTCCAATTGAATGTTACAAGACCGTGCTTTTGTACACACAGTACGTGTTTGTCCGTGAATGTTATGCGTGGAATTTTATCCACGAAATGAATTTATTGATGAGAATTAAATAGAAGGATATCGTTGTGGAGATGTGTATATAGATTATTAGTGGTCTGTGGCGTCATTATCGGGGCTAACTTGGATCGTGGGTACATGGTTTTCCGGTTGGTCGTCGTCCGACGAGCAAATGCCATGGTCACATAAGCCTTCGATGCTGTCACTATCATCATCGACCGGAGATTGGCCGGCCATGAGGACGGTTTGCGTATACTTGTGCAAGGCGCCCTCCAACTCTTCTTTACGAACAGGTTTGCTCACATAACCGTTCATACCTAGTAACAACAAAAAATAGACGTCAAGAACAAAAATAGTCAAAATATTTGAGAATATGAGCTTACCGGCTGCGTAACACTTTTCTTTATCACCCGGCATCACACAGGCGGTCATGGCGATGATGTATGGAGCGACTCCGGAGGTGGCGAGTTCTTCACGAATCTTGGTGGATGCCTCCAGACCATTCATTTCCGGCATCCATATATCCATAAAGATGAGTTCAATGGGGTGGCCGTCCTCCTTGGCTTGCTTGGTCAAGTCCACCGCTTCCTTGCCATTGGAAGCCGCGCGGGCGTGAATGCCGAGTCGCGAGAGCATGCGCGACAACACTTTTTGGTTGATAGGATTATCATCCACGAGTAATGCTTGCACCGCGTCGTAAGAGAACGAAGAGGCGCGACTGTTGGTATCCAGAGAAGGACGGAGGGAGTTACTGGATTGTGAGCTGGATCGCTTTCGCTGAGCCACCGGTTGCATGGGGGAAGTAGGTCCGCTCGCCGTGCTATCCTCAGGCGTTGTGATCTTGTGCAAGACCGAGATCAACTTGGAGTTGCGGAACGGTTTCGACAGCATGATCACCGTCACCGAAGCTCGGACTTCAAACGGATCGGCCGCTTCTGCCTGAGGGGTCGACAATCGGCTGTGATCGCGGTTCTGTCGTCCGAGAACGTGTGTATCCTTGGAGAACTGGGTCTTGGGATGCTTCAGTCGAACGTCATTGACACACAAAGTCGGCACATGTGACAAGAATGGGAATTCCTTTCTCAACACTTCGATGGCATGTTGACTGGTGCACGGTTTCAACTCCTCAATATTGTTGAGATCCACATCCACTATGAGGGCCGACGGTTCGCACCCGTTGGGCAACGATTGCAGGTATGACCGGGTATCCGCTAAAGTGCGTGCCTGCACATCCGTCATACCGAGATATGATAGCCGGTTCCTCCATGCTTCGCGATCATACGGCTTATCACACACCACCAAAGGATACGGACACTTCACACACAGTTCGCATAACTTGTTCTGTTGGCCATACGTAGGACTGTCGGCCGCCTTTTCCAACATAACTCGGAAATAGAACGTCGACCCTTTACCGTATTCGGATTCGACCCACTACACACACAAAAAAATTCACTTTAATATGACCCATTTTTTGGTTTTCTTTTATCTTCGTTACCATATCACCACCCATCATTCGACAAAGTTGACGACTAATGGCCAAACCCAAACCGGTACCACCAAAGTTGCGGGTCGTCGAAGCATCGACTTGCGAAAAGGACTTGAACAACTGGTACATTTTATCCTGAGGAATACCGATACCCGTATCATGCACGGAGATCTGGAAGCATGTCAATTCGCCATACGGATGTTCAGGCTTCTCGCTTTCTATCTGTATCAACAACGGATCAGACGAAAGCTGGTTATCTTCCTCCACATTGTATTGGCCCGGACTCGGCAAGTCATTAGACGGATTCACTTCCACATGGACAAGCACATAACCTTCTCGGGTAAACTTGAAAGCATTCGATAACCTACAGAAAAAAATTGAGTTCATCGATGTCATTTAATTCAATTCAAAAACAAACAAGGAACTTACAAATTCAGAATAATCTGGCGTAGTCGAACGAGATCGCCATAGATTCGAACGGGAACATCCAGATCAACATTGCACCAAAGCATCACACCTTTTTCCAGGAAATTGGGCGCTACAAGCTTCAACGCACTCTCGAGAACAAATGTCTGGTTGAAGAAGGAAGTTTAATACAACTCTAATATGGAGAATGCAATAAATAAGTAATTTTGCGACATACCATGTCCAGCATGCTGTGTTCAAGAGTCAACTTTCCGGATTCAATCTTGGAATAATCGAGGATATCATCAATAATCGCCATCAAATGGTTGCCTACAGAGAATTTGAGCGGGATTTGGGTGATGTTCAGTATCATGCATTCCAGGATAGAGTTAATAAAGTGTATTTACCAGATGATTCAATCGTTTCCGCACAGTCAAACAGGTCCGGAGCCAGGTCACTTTCCATCAAAATGCGCGACATACCAATCACAGCATTCATGGGCGTACGGATTTCTGTAAAACGGATGAGCTCCTATTCTGCGATGCTATTCTTTTTTTTTGGCTTCTTTACATACCGTGGGACATATTCGCGAGGAAATTTTGCTTTGCATTGGCGGCTGCTTCAGCGACTTCCTTGGCCGCCTTTAGATCTAAAAACGAAAAATGTCAATGTCATTATGCAAAATAGATAAAATGAGAAAATACCTTTTAACAATGTCTGTGTTCGCCCTCTTTCTTCTTCTAATTCCAATGTTCTTTGTTGCAGATTAGCGGTGCGTTTTCGGACTAAATTCTCCATATCATTCGCATATTTTTCCAATAAAATGGCCAAATTATCCACTACACTGTCTGACCCAGTGAGGTAAGGATCGATATCCTTCATACGATTCTAAACAAGAAGAGGGGAAAATCAGTTTACAAATTACTGTTTAAATGCATGGCACGGCTAGGACTTACCCTCAAAGATGTAAAAGTGGGTCTCAGGACGGGGTCGTATTGCCAGCAATCGCGAATAATGACGTTAATCTTATCAGAGTATTCATCGTGACCCTGAGGTTGCATGAACGGTTTCAGATCCTCATCACAAACACGATTAAACACGTCCTCTGCGCTCGCGCCTTCGTCGATTTCCTGTTGATACGGAAGTTTACGTGTCAGAATCTCATTGATAACGATACCGACACTGTAAACATCGGCTTCTTTGGTAGGGAAGGAGAGGTAGACGCCCGTTGAACTGCAAACGACGGATTCCGGTGCACGCCACGACAGGGTATTGTTGTTTTGGATGATCTGCGCCTGATCGCTGCCTTGTTTATCGGTGGTAAGATAATTTTTGCGGATCCCCGACACCACATTCGGATCCAGCTGCGATCGTCGGACCCGGTTCAAACCATATCCAGTAATTTTCAACTCCCACTTGCCGGTGATCATGCATGATTGTGAGGTCAAATTACCGTGACACATGAACCGTGAATGTTGCAAAAATTCCATGCCTTCCAGCAAATCATTGATCAAGGAAAATCGGAAAATCCATGTTAAATCAATATCTGGATTGCCAAGTACTTCCGCAAGTGATCCTTTGGCACAGTATTCTAAGGAAAAAAAATCCGCGTGGTCGTGTCATTAACGGGTTCTTAAAGGTGAGTGCCGCTAGTATATGTTACCTTCCACAAGATAGGTTCCGTGAGTTTCCAAGCAAAGACCAACCAACTCGACAAGTTTGGGATGCCGGCAGCACTTTATTAGGCTCACTTCATTTCGCACCTCGTCGTCCACGCGGATCCGTTTAAATCCAATTTGTTTGACAAATACAGGCAAATTGCGACTAATAACGCATAGAAAAAAGGTTATAAGTGTGCGAAAGAACAATGCTATTTCGTCACTTACTGGAATCCACGCATGTGCTGTAGCACAGGACGTCGTTCTTGGGTGTTATTATTGCTGCTACTATGAAACGGATTAACATGGAAACCAAGGACATAGCAGGAGTCTTTTGTAGCTGATAATACTTACACCAAAGAAAGTTTGGTAGCGTCCAGCAGGGTTGGTTCAACGTCCAAGAAATTGATATTGTCCACCGAGCGATTATGCTGAGCAACGGAAACCGTGGATGGTTTGCGAGAATTGCCATCGAGGGATCCTCGTCGCGATCCCGGCACGAGAAGTAACGGCGATTCGGAACTCGACGATGGGACAGGCTTAAAGTGCTCGTGAGGCGATTGCACCAGGCTGTTGTAGGAAAACAACCATGTATCATCGCTAAAGTTCGGACGACGTCGGCGATGGTTCAAATAACGCCGAATGATAAAGAACAGGATAAATAAACCTAGCAGTATACCAATGGGAAGAAAGATGGACAGATACAGTCGTCGGACATCGGCTTTTTTTGATTGAAAGTAGGATGCACATTCAGGTGCATCACGAGCTTCGACGGCCTCACAGGAAGTACACATGGTAGCCCCCGAATGCGAGAATGTGCCAAACTCGCAAGGCCGGCACACGTCTTGATCTGGATGCGGATTGTAAGTATTGGGAGGGCACAAAAGGCACTGAAACGATCGTCGCGGGCTGCCGTTATCATCCAGACAAAAGTAACTTCGCGACATTTGTACATAGTATTGGCCTTGAGGACATAAATGGTCAATATGTGGCGCACTGATCTTTGAAAGATCCCAAGGGGTAATCGTGAAGGTTTTCGACAGCAAGATATTCAACAAGGACAAGAACCCAAAGGAATACGTATTCAAGTACCTAGAACCCAGCAACAATGGTTATATTGAGTATGTTCCCGCAGTACAACCTTTTCTTTTGCTTATGCATACCAAAGATCGTTGACCCGTCCTTCAAGATAGGCCTGTCCTTGATCATATAAATCTGCAGATGTATACATGGTGGTGGTATCTTCCATATATCCTTTCAGCATACGCTAGAATGTCAAAAAAAAAGTCAGACGTCGGTGATCGATTGTCGAATACCATGACCTTTCGAGCCCCATTTTGGCCATGGGGGTCTGTTTGATGCTTACCGAATTGATGATGTTGAAGATAAACTCGGAAAACGTGATAAATGCGTCTGGATAGTAATTTTGCTCGTACATATTGCTCATAATAACAGCTAACTCCGTGTCCATGGCCGAGCTAGTGGAAATATTGATTTTATGCACCACTTGTTGTATCGACACATTCGCGGCTCCCGGGATACGGCTGTATTCTCGGTAGAAGAGTTCGCAAAAATAACTGGCTCGCCATGGCGTTTCTTCAGAAAAACAAAGAGGCCTTTGATGCCTATCTCGCACCACCGCCCGCGCCACTTCCCTAGCCAGCCTTCCGGCGTCGGCCCGATGATTAAACACATTACTATACATAAGCATAAGATTATTAATTTGGGCAGTCGACAAGCCAAACGAAATATTGATTCTAAGCATGGATGTTAATGAATGACTTACGGATACGTGGTGCCAAAACTTTCTTCCATAAATGTCCCAATCGCCACTAATGGTATCCGCGTCTCGTTATGATGAACCAAACCGGTGTCCACCACGGTCGGATCACTCGATTGAAGGATAATGCCTGTCACGTCCTCCTTGTTATATTTCTCCAATTCGTATCGCAACTGTGTCGACAAGCCTAATAAAAATGGACAATGTAAGCAGATGCGCATTTGGTATAATAGACAACACATTAAATCCTAGATACCTAGTGGTCCTTGCTGCAAAAATTAAATAGAAATCCGATAGTTAGGCCTCCGTACAGAAAATGAGAAAAAAAAAGTATGATTTCTTTTTTTACCTCAATAACATTATAGACGGTCCACTTTAATTTTTGGGCGAGATCGTTGACGCCGGCCATGATGGAAGCGCCGTAGGAATCACCAAAGGTGTTGGGTATAACGGCACCAATCGAGGCGTCGCGAATGTTTAGTGGGACTAGGGTGGTACGTTCCATCTGCATCATGGTATCCAAGGTGGCGGCGGTAACAAGGTTCGGTCCGGTGCTGATGGTTTCATTGGCAAATACGTCATGTCCAGAAATAATCTGTTGTGACAGGCAGCGGTCAGTCAATACGGAGTAATGTAACAATGAAAATAAAGTGTACATACTCGCAGATACATTAAGAATACGGGTAAAGCCGCCTGTTGGTAGGGCAGTTGAGAAATCGCCAGCGTATCATTGTGAACGGCAAACAACTTCATCATTTCGGCGCCACCAATGTCAAAAAAGGCACCAGTGACACGGCGATCGGGTTCTTGCTTGAGCAAATCTTGCACGGCAGCTGACACAATATCGGTGCCAACCTAACACAAATAGATCGAGTCAGCAAAGCACAAATTTCTGGGTTATTCAATGGGATCAACGTACTGCGCCGCCGAGGGAAATGATGGAGTCGAAAGTGTCGTTTTTGAGAAAAGCATCCTTTACTTTGAAAATGGCTTGACCGGTATTGTTGTAGTCATTGATGGAAATGACGTCTGATATGTGCAGAAAATCCGACAGCCCTTCGTTTCGAACCTTGTACGTGCCATCATCCAGGCTGCTCAACTCGACAATCAGCGGCCGTGTGTAACCTCGGTCGCGGAGTTCTTTTCCCAGCAGTTGGCCGGACTGAAGATCGTCTTGTAACACTCGAGTAAGGCCCAGCTGCTGAGCGTAATTTAGCCCTGCATTAAAAACGATCACGGGGATGTTACGATCAAGCGCATATTTGACAGCCTCGCTCACTTGCTCGCTTGGAATGGTGACAATGATGCCATCGACCCCCTAAAAAAGAAATGATCCAACCAATGATTCAGTCCATTGCCCATGTTTGCATGATCGCATTCACGATCATCGCATTCACGATCATCGCATTTCAATGGATCATTACCCGAGTCACAGCCGCATAGATATCGGCTTGCATTTTCTCGACGCTGTTGATAAAGTGGCGATTCCATGTTAAATCGATATCGAGAATGGTGGCGGCATCCCGTGCGCCTTGCTCTGGATTATGAAAAAATGTGACTATAGCCGAATCGTGCGAGATCACAGCGATGCGTTGTCGTGGTTTGGTGCCGTTGGTGACATTGGTCGATTTGCAGTGAGGTATCCCCGATTTGGCCGCCAACGTCGTATTAAAATAAGCAAGCAGAAAAATCAAACACAACCATAAATAATTATGGTATGCCATGAGGACAGCTTGGTTGTTTGAGGGAGAGAAAAAGCCAGGCAGTGGAAACCCAAATAGACATGGTTTTGGCTTGGCTACCGAACAGACGGATCCACCCACTGCATCTGAAACATGCAGCTTGGAAAATTCGATATTCCAGAAATTTTGGGGGTGGGGGTTTAATTCGTTTTTTACAAAAGAAAGTAGATAGCACTGGTGTTAAACAAAAGAAAAACAAAAATCTCGCGCATGCCGGCGTCAATATGATGGCATGGCAAATCTTCTGTCATTTTTATTTGCATTGAAAAAACAAGGCTTGTCAGTCCTATGATTGTACGCCCCCGTCCGCTTGAATTATAGAGACAAGGTCCGTCTGAAGTATTGTTCCAGAACTATGAAGAAATCGCAGCATCATTGAGGGAATATTAGCTACAATCCCTGACACGGATGACAAGGATATAAACATGGTTGTATGTCCGTTATTGTAGCACAACCACCATTGCAAGCCTGAGAAAGAAAATCGGTTCATTGGTTCCATAATATGATTCTGTAATAGCACGATTGGCGACATTTTTGACCATCTGTTTCGCTAGAGCAGTAGTGGCATGCTTGAATCTTATAGATTTTTTTCTCGTTTGATATATCGGGTTAGCTCATGTAAAATCTTTCGGTTAACATTAAATACATTAACATTCCCGTATTCGCATGGAATAAAGGAAACGGTTGTTAAGAGCGAGAATTGACCAATAAGAAATCTTCTTTTTCCGTGTTTTATGCGATGCCAGAAATTTCGAAGAACCGGCTTATCTCCATGCTCTTGGAGTGAAACATGCCCTGTGAAAGAAGAAAATTGTTTGAGACGAAACATGAACATCCAAAATTGAAGAAACCCGCCACATCCACATTCGTACCAAAAAAAAAAAAGTTGTTTCATCAGTCATTTTAACGTTTTGCTCGCTCAATGCACTGCCAGGACATGATACAAATGTAGGCAAACTGGGAAAATCAGCGGACCTTCATAATGATCGATTGGGATGAAGGAAGCTTCTTCTCTATTGATCGATGTTCAAGTCTTATTGTCTTTTAGGAAGAAAAAAGTCTCGACGAGCAAATCATGGTTTTAAACCGTCTTGAGATCTAAAACTACCATAAACTGCAGAATTTTTACAACCAATACCGTCCCGTCTTGATGTTGTTTGCCATTTTCCATGGGGAAAAACTCAAATCTCGATTAATTTGTTTCTGCGGACCGTGTTAGAAAGAAGTGTCCATGGGGTAATTCAAATCATTCGTCGAAAATAAAATAATGTGGTGGAAACGCCTTTTTCTTTTTGCTTCTCTTCATTTGATGCCAATGCGAGTTAAAATAAATAAATATAAATAAAAAGTAAAATGCCACAATGCCAGTTCTGGAGACATAATTAAAGTAATATCGATAAAAAGGGATTACATAATAGAACATAAGGGTTTGTTCAGTGAGGGGATCATTATGGAAGCGGAAAAAGCATATGAGGGAATAGCACTTTTAGTTTTTACATAGAAAGATTGTCGGTGTATGGAATTGCGTAGTGTGCTCGTGGCAAGTGTATGTGTACGCGTGGGTGAATGTGTGTGTGGGAGGGATATAAAAAGATGCGGTGGGAGTGTCTCGATGACAGATGGTGGTAATAAAGACTCTGAGTAAACATAAATTAACGAGGACCAAATTAAACAAAAGAAAGACCAGCTTTTTTTTCTTTGTTCTTAGAAACTGTGTCTGGCATGATATTGGCGTTTGCGGATCATGTGGGACACTTTGGCGGAGCGAATCTCACAGTCTCTCCATGCGCGTTCACCCATATCTTGTGCAACCGATTGCCACGCGTGTCTGAATAGCTTGGAATGTTTCTTCACCGCGAGAAGAAGCAGTTTATCCTCGGTGTTGGACCACTCACGATGTTCCATGGCTTTTGCTTGCAACGTCTTGAATCGACCCCAGCAACAACCGCGAGAACGGTGCGGAAGATACGTGGTCGAAATCATGGCCCACGAAAGTCCCTGAGCATAACCCTGCTGCAATAGGAAATCTTCTTCAGGCGTCCACGGTGTTCGTGTCTGAGTAGAAGCACGTGTCCACTTGTCCGTATACGAAGAAGAAGAAGAAAAAGAGGGAGAGGAAGGTGTCGTGGTCTTTATCCCCGTCGTCATGGCATGAGGATACATGGGAAGGTGGGGCATGGACACGGGACGAAGAAGACAGGGTGAGATGGACGGACTAGCATCGAGTGACGGTGACGACGGAGCTGAGAAATAAGTCCCCACCGAAGAAGGGCTGCTACCATTGGAGGGTGTCGGTGTCAATGCAGCGGTTGACCACGGTGGAATACATTCCAATGGATAAGGGTCCTTGTTCATGTAATGAGTTTGATCCATCAAGCTTTCCTGCTTATGCTGGATCGAATCGGAAAGTGGAGGGCAAAGTAAGCTCTGAATATCCATAACAATGAAAATTGAAAAAAAAAGAAAAAAACCTATAGGGCAAAATCGTCTCAGTCAACCCCGGTGGTATATATAGTCTTTTGTATTTAGGTTTCCCTCGCTCCATTTTCTCCTAGCTCGCACAGATGAAAAACAAGGGAGAATGAGTGGGGATCCCTCGGGAGAAGCGACATGGCGAAATTCAACCGACAAAAAAGTTTCAACCTATTCCAAGCAAGAAAGCATCATTTCCTCCTTTTAGAACATCATCTTAACTTGACCAGACGACCCATGGCTCGATAGCTTATCAGTAAATTCTATTGTCTCTAATATAATACTCGATCCTCGGTTCCTACCCAAACTTTATGGCGTGAAAAACTCCCCTTTTGTCATAATCAATGAGTAATCTTTCGCGGGATCCCCTTTCCGCCTCCTCCTTTGGCCCCACAGTCTTCAAGCTGCATCGGCTCAACTCCTCCTACTGTTATCGTCAGGCTTCCTACATATTATCATATATCCCAATCCGCATCCCCTGGGGCTTTTTTTTTCTGTGTATTTTTTTTTTCCTTGCATGGCCGATTCTCATGTTTTAGGCCCCAATTGACTGACGATTCCGAAACGTGTCTATTGTATTCTAGGCTTTCCGATCATAGGTTTTCTTTTTTTTTTCTCTCTCAGCGTGCCTTGATCCTATCCTTTGAGGTTTCCAATTGGCCCTTGTTGATGATTCCACGTTGGTGGGATGAGTCTCCTCCTCCTGGGCGGTTTAGGTACGAGGCAAATGCACCTTTATTAAAACATCATCACATAAGTTGTAATCTATTGTTTATCATAGTTATTCTCCGGCATTGCATTTAACTTTTTTTTTAAGCCATCCCTAACAATCATCACTTTTTGCAGCCGCATTTTCTCTTCAAAGCATGGTGGCCTTTACTTTTATTGCTTTTGATTGTGGTTGATTCAATACGATCGAGGTCTTGTTACTGTGGCCATTGTACGGTACTGGCCATCCCTTGCTTATTCTATTAATCTCCTTTCGTTTCATGTTTTCGTTTTTTTTTCTCCTTCTCCTATTTCGTATTTCTCCCTTGTATTGTCACCTCGATCGCTCCTTTTGTCTCCAACATGGTATGCATTAGCGTGCGTATGCAGATGCATGCAATGTAAAAAAGAAAAAAACAGCCAAACACACTCTCGGAAAAAGACTACACAAAGGATTTTCCGTTTCTTTTTTCCTTCACTTACGCCAGCCAAAAAACAAAGTTCCTGTTTGCACTTTGACGATGAATATTGGGTGTAAACCCTTTTTTGCTGTTGACAAACCGGTTTAATCATTGTATTTTTTTTCTTTCTTTTTAGTTTTTCAGGGGTTATGCTTTCATTGTAGCAAACGTTTAACCGAGACCACACTTGATGAACTCTGCTTATCCATCAGCAAACCTCCACTTTTGTCTTGCAAACACCATCTGTTGCCATTTTATATCCCAGAAAAACAAAAACGTACCCGGCACAAGTGATCCTATCGTGCGTGCTCAAGCGTCCCACATGCTGAAAAAACAACAGCAATGGGATCAATTGAAAGAAAAAAGAACGTGGCATGGTGTCCATGTGAGCCCGGTGATAAGGAGTTAAGAAAAAAGGGTTCTTGGATGGTTTACACAAATCCTCCTGGGTTGTAGCTAACGCGAAAAGGAGGGATCTGGATTTTTTCTGAAAAATTTCTGTCTTTTTTCTTTACCCTCTCACACACCAAGCACGGACATTGCAACTTGAAACCATTCCTGTACCAGACCCTCCTTTTTCATATTATTTTATTGGTTCTAGGGAGCAAAATGCACAAAGGTTCATCATTGTTTTCAGCTTGCTTTTTCGGAGGTGAATATGGTTAAACCGGTGCCGTCGTCAGGTCGATGCTGTATATACAAATCGGAGTTTTACTACTCATTGGTAGCACGCTGGTCTATGAATGAGAACGGTGCGAGCCGATATAGATGGGTTTCCCAGAAGGGGTATACTGTAGAATCAGATCAGCTAAACGATCGAGTATTGATCTTTTTTTTTTGGGGGAGTTTACCTCATAGTTGGAATCGAATATGAGTCCTGACGGTAATAATTCACTACGGTAGAAATCTGATGGACATGTCAAGCATAAACGGAAATCCAAACTGTCAACGTCGTGTGACTTACTGCTGCATTGGTAGCCAACTCTAATGTTTCATTCTTTAGGTCAGTGGATCCTTCGAGCATACATGATGCCCCTTGACAAACGCTTACCGATGCGGAATATAACTTGCGAAAACGCCCCACTAATAATAATCGTTGCGTGAGATCTTTAAGGTGGCCAATTTTCATTCTGATATTCTTGAAATTACCTTGTCTCCACATCCATGTTTTCTTGCCAACTAATAAATAGAGTAGGGATAGTTCAACATGTCATATCCCTTGGTGATGCACCGTTTTTAAATGATTTTTTGAGACATCACCCACCTCTAGAAAGATGGTCTTTTCTTCCTCGGTCCAATCTCCTGTCCATTGCTCCTATCGTCAAACGATGGTGTAAGATACCATGGGCCGATTGGAGGATGCATATTGTATTTTCTCAACTTACAACCCCCGGTTCGTTATGGCGGTAAAAGTACATGTTGGGATTCTTTTTGAACATGGCTTGCGCGACGGCTCTCGCATTCGACCGACCTCCGGATCGCTTTTTGCCGGTACCTAATGGATCTTTGTACGAGAATTTACCTCCGCCATTCTTTTCCCAGGCATCAGCCGCCGATGCTTCGAACTGATACTTTTCAACTAGTTCGGGATTGATCCAACCGCTAAAATGCCCGTCCGTTCTTATCGCCCGTTGCCGCGTTTCTTCATCAAAGTATTCGTCTGCCTTTAACAATTTACCATCCCACAGTTCCTCTTCTATCAATCCATGTATCACAGACTAGATTCATCATTCTCAATACTTTTTCCTCTGTAGAGAACTGGGGCTTTTCTTTTTCATCATGTACCTGGCCATTCTCGTGTTTCGGGATATCAATATTATTGTCGGTATCGATCTGAATTGGGGCAGGATCCAACCCTCGTAAACGCGAGGACTTGCGAGACTGTAGCACGGGTTTGGGCGCTTTTGGTTTTTCTATCACATTCCCATATTATATATCAGACACTTGAAAATCATTAGACAACCGACTCTTGACAATATTACCTATCCTTTTTCGTGTCTTGGTTGTAATTCTATATGCAGATGCATTCATAACTGGAGTTACTTTTTTTTCTGCCGCTTACCACAGCCACATCAAGAAAACAATCAGTGTGCCTACTTGACAGATTCTAAATTCTTGGACACAGCCGGTGTATCTTGTAATGCGACGCGCGCTTCACGCAAGTTAAACTCGGCTAAAAGCTGACGATTGCGTTCGATATTTTCTAAACGTTGTTGTTCTATGGAGAATCAGAAGGACCCAATTAGAAGAAGAACGTGACATTCAATAAAGTCACAATTGTCAAGTGTACCATAAGGTGTCAATTCTGCTTTGGTTTTAGTCATTGTATAAAAAAAAAAGGACAAAGCAACCACTATTCATTCGCGCCAGTCAAGGGGTGGATCACTGCCCCGCGCTGCAGTGGCTTGGATTTATGCAGCGACCTGTGATTTTTTAAATGGTGAAAAAAATGCCTGTTTTTTTATTCTAGTGCAGTTTTATGGTGAATGGAGAGATAGATTTATTTGAGATGAGTGGTCTCGCCGTTATGATAGTAGCAGAGCAGTTCCACGCGGAATTCGGCAAGTTGATAATAGAATAATTTCTGCAAAATGATAATGAATGATTAGACATCCAGTGAATGCTTGATGTGGGAAAAAAGGGATATAAAAGACTTACCAAAAGATGGGCCTGGTTTGTGGAAAGAATGTCGCCTTCTTTGCAAATGGTGTAATCCACGGGTAATGTGACAATACCGTTCTTTAACATGGTAGGCATACCAAGCGAACGCAACAGAGGTTCCATATTATGCGGCATAGGATCAACGCCACGTTTTACTGGACCTTCAGGAATCACCACGGTTTCGTTGGCAATGCAGCCGGAACGAGCATAATCAGGTTGTGTGTAGTTGCTGAAGTATTCCTTGACATCCTCCACTGTTCGGTTGGTGAATAATAAACCGACTTCACTGTGCAATTGCTAAATTGCATTCACGATGTTCAGTTGTCCCGTCAATCTAATCGCATTTCTTTTCCCCCATCCGTCAAAAAAAAAAACTCACCTGTGCGATCTTTGAAATACCGTCTTTGTACTCTTCCTCGGGAGTCGTTCCAAGAGCTTTTGCCATGACTCGGTTTTTGCCATAGAAGAAACGAGACGTTTTGAAATCATTACGCACCTCTTTCAAGAATGTATTGCGCATATCCTTGACCGAGAAAATCCAAAGGTAATCGTACTTGTCGGCACATTCACGGATCTACCCATCAATGACTCGGACATTAGCCAACCTGTCCAATCCCTCGTCCGATCACCCGACATCAACCACACTTACATCTTCAATCAACTTTTCCTTGCCCTCACGGCCTTTCTTCTCGGTCTGAGTCAGAGCAACTACAGTGACGAAGCAACCATAAGAATCTTGAATTGTACATTATGAGCATTATAAGGTTACATACCGACGGTGGAACGTTTTGATTTGGGCATGATAAAGAACTATACGGTACAACAGAGAGCCTTTTTTGTTCAGTCATTTTTTTTTCCTCCAGTGCCTTTCTGGATCCGAACATTTTTGTCCCTTGTGACGGGTTCTCTGACGATCAAAGCCACCTTTTGACTCGTATCATACTGAGTTTCAATTATACGCATGACAGATCGAATTCCAAGCCGGCTTTTCCATCTTTGACCAGTACATCCAAAACGATGCGTTATAAAGAGTTCTCGGGAGGCTACAGCACAGGGTAATGCTGAAGCATAAAAACTTTACTGGTGTTTTTTATTGAATAGATTCATACCTAGGCCGAGTATTTGGTTTTGATGATGTCTGTAAGACCAGCCGTGGCCAAACTCATCTTTATTCACTTTGATTTCAACATTGGCTGTCATGAACACGGTCGCAATGTTTTATTTCAATACCTTCATAACCAATAGTATCTACTAGCATAAAGTGCCTATTGCTGAGCATACCGTCAAGAAAATCGTAGCTGAAACGCATCTTCTGTTGTGTCTGTGAATGACCAGATAGAAAAGTTTGGACACGGCCACAATAACGGTAAGCAGCTCTGATAATGTGTGATAAGAAAGTGCCTTAACAAATTATAAAACTTGTTCAAATTCCTGCGGGTGACATTTTGGAAGAACTATACAGCGTGCTTCTTGTGTCACGCTCTTTAAGGTTTATTGCCGTTTATGGTAGGGTAATGGCTGAGATGGCTGGGATGGTTTATTGTCCCTGAATGACAAAGAAAAACAAGTTTCAGGAAAACATCATGGGACAGCTCAATGAATAAGAATAAGCTTGCTTAAAGCAAATACATCGTTACCGACAATCTGTCCTTGGTCCATACGACTCTACCTCGGTGGGAATGATGCCAAAGGTATCACGGTCGGTTGTTGCCAAGTAGCACAATATCACGAAATGGAGAGCAGCCTCAGGTTGCTGTAATCGATACACTAGATTAGATACCTTGATTTCGAGCAGGAAGATTCACGAGAAACAGTACAAACAATCTACAAATCCCCTTTGATGTGCGCAAGATGGGTATAAATAGCTCTGGTGACGATTCATTGAGCTTGAAGGAGTGAAATAAGGGACGCGTCCACCTACGATACAAGATGATTCGAAAGACCTCACACAAGTCACGATTGAGATACAATTCTGATGGATTCTAGGTGTCAAATTCCTTAAAAACATAAATGAATGCAATAATTGGGATTTTCATGAGTTGTTTAATGATACTTCGGCCACCATTCCGTCACAAGGCCGTATTGATTGCGGGAATGATCTGATTGGCCAGCCCAAACGGCGAAGAACCGAAAATGTATTCATACCACATGGCAGATTTGCGGGATGGCACCGTTTAGGTCCGCTTTTTAAAATAATGCTCGGTGGTGATACGCTATCTGGGTGATAACAAGGACGAGCAACGAGTCTAAGGAAAACCGTGAAATGATGGTGGCTAGAGAATACGAAAAAAAAAAAAAAAAACGTGATTTAGAAAACACTGTTCTAATAAAATACAGCTGGCTCATTATTCTGCATACAAATGGTTCTGTTGACAATGACGCGATCGATAGGATCTATAAATCGAATCATAAAGACAACAATCATTGGACATTACCACATCATTCAATACCTTGATAGCTAGATAGATACTCGTATTAAGCGTTCGTTCATCTGATCCATTCTTCTCACCGCAAAAAGCAAGAGATAATTGGGCGGAAAAAATCATATGACGAAGCAGTTGATCCAGAGAAGATCACGCAGATACACTCACACACACCAATATCGGTTGATCCATCTGCAAGTGAACACGCTTTTCTTTTGATTTGGCTGTGTCTCTGTGAGCGGGTCCAGTTGTACAACTTGGGTGCCATTGCTATTCACGGCTCAGAGACCGGAATTTCAATAGCGTCAAAAAGTCCTTGAAGCTCGTCCTGGGCCAACCAATTCTCCTTTTCCTTCTTCGCCCATATCTGTGCCCCTGCTTTCACCCCCACGGGAAGCACACATACGATCACGCACAAAACCAGATCCAAACTAATAATAATAATTATCAAGTGTCAATTCAAATCCCACTCGACGATTTGATATCATCGCCAAGCCCCGAACAAACAAGGCTGTTTCTTTTCTCTTCATTTTCTCTCTATTCCACCCGTTGATACCCGTTGTCTCATGCTCAGAAAGAGTTCACCTTTGGATGATTATGATATTATCGAACAGATTGGCCTTGGGTCTTTTGGTACCGTTCATAAAGCCAAGCATAAAACGACCAACCACACTGTAAGACAGTTGCAAAAATAGGTTTTTGGATCAATAATCATGATCGTATTAAACTTGGCTCCCCACCCCGCAGGTCGCCGTCAAGATTATGAAGAAAAAGTTCACCACCGCCTCGCAGTGTCTTCATTTACGCGAGTACAAAGCTCTACAGCATCTATCATTTCATCCCAACATTGTCCAGCTTCACGCCACATTTCTAGCTCCCACCAAGGAATTGTTTTTTGTCATGGAGCTAATGAACGGTGGCAACCTGTATCATCTGCTCAAAGAACGACGGGACACCAAGCGAATCATTGAACCCTACGAGGTCAAAAGCATCTTGTACGTTTCACTGACGCCAAATCAATGAAATGACCGCACCAAGCCTATTTCTCACCCATTCATTTTTCTATTTTTGTCCCAGATTCCAAATTCTCGATGCTGTGGCACATATCCACCATTTTGGGATTTTTCACAGAGATATGAAGCCCGAGAATGTCTTGATCCATAGAGTGCCTGACGGAACGGTAGAGACATCGATGATTATTATCAAGTTGGCCGATTTTGGGCTGGCCCGAGAACTCAAGAGCAAGCCACCTTACACAGATTATGTCAGTACTCGATGGTACGTGAGTTGAAACGTCAACCCGCATTTCATGAAGTTGACACCTCTGCTTTCTTAGGTATCGAGCACCTGAAGTTTTACTGCGGTCGAATGCGTACTCTTATCCTGTGGATCTCTGGGCGATTGGCGTGATTTTCGCTGAAATCCTTTGCTTGAGGCCCTTATTTCCCGGGGACTCGGAGATTGATCAATTGTATAGAATATGTCAACTATTGGGAAGTCCCGCGGGATGTCAAGGCGCCCAACCAGCACGAAGGAAAAGATCCAAATCGGAAAAGTTGCTCAGGACCGGGTTTGAGCGCAAACGGTCTAATACCACCACGGACGTGCCGGTGCTACCTGAAGCAACAACGAGTCCCATTGTCAGCCATGGCGGCGGGGAATGGCGAGAAGGCATCAAACTAGCCAGCAAACTTGGATTCGAATTCCCACCTGTACGCACATGTAGCAGAAAAAAGATAAAAAAAAAAGCGCGCACCATGTCATATACTCAAACTTTTGACTAGACGCCGCCCATAAGCCTTTTTACTGTGATCCCACGGGCCACCGAGCCGCTCATTGACCTTCTTCGCCAATTCCTCTTTTTTGATCCGGCCAAACGTATCAAAGCCAAAGACGCGTTGATGCATCCCTTTTTTCTTGATCAAGGACAGCCGTTTAAAAACCCGGCTTATCAAGGAGCACGCAACGCTTCTTACGGCACCAACGTGGCGGACTGTCTCGATGATCCTTCCGTTGTCCGCAGGGTGCATGGCCCGTCTTCTATTGCCAAAGATTTCAAAGACGTTTTCCGCCTACCCAAAGCGAAACTAAAGGACCCGAAATCAAATGCCAAACCATCGAAAGACAATGATCCATTCCCCTTGGCATCTCCGCCCAAACATGGCATGAATAATCCCGGTATTGATTTACCCTTCATTCCACACTCTCCACTACAAGTTCACTCTGACTGGGATCAAGCAAAACAAATGATCATGGATAAGCCCTGCGACCCCGTTGGTGGCGGCGGCGAACCAACCGGCGGTAACAGTGACATTCATACGGGTAACCAAAGGTTATCTGTACAACTGCCATCCATAACTGAACAGACTCTCAATGACAACGACAACGCCTTCTCCTCGTCCTCAACCAAACGACATAGTCTTCTTGATCTTTCTTTTATTGACCAGATAACGATGTCTCCATCCAAACTAGAACAAGACATGGCTCGGAAGACCGGCGTAAGTACGATTCACGAGTTGACAAGTTCAATGGGGTCACTGGACCAATGTGTATTCACCATCCGTAAATCAAACAATCGAATCGACGACGTTCCAATATCAAAACAAGGCGATCAGACGTATCGTTGGCAACCAACCGATGAGGTTGTGTGGCCGACGCACCGCGAACTCGTTGTTCGCCCCAGTTTATCGATTCCATTGCAACCTGTAACGAACCGTAGTGAGTACGCGCCGAATGATCGATACGCCATATCAGGAAACACTGCCCATGTTGCGCCCAGGCGACTATTAAAGAAAAAAAGCGATCATTCCCTGCTGAGCCGGAGAAAATGTCAGTTGCAGAAAGAATGGCAAACTCCGGAACCTCCGTCTTCCAAGATACCTCGAGCAGAAAGTGTGCCTGATATTTTATCCAGACATTTTTCGTCTCCCATGCAAAGGTCAACAGCCGAAATCAAACAACGCGACGGATCCGAGAAAATAACAAGACGATCGCTGTCGATGCGCCTCGACGGATTTCTGGCCCCGGATATAATGTCTTCATCATCCGTGAAAAAGAAAATGCCCCGCTTGAATTTTTGGACCAAAAAACATACAGCCACCTCTCCTATGCATCTCATGAATCGAACAAAACCACCGGTTCCGGACATGGCCGTCACCACGTGAAACCTCACTCCTCCGTGGCAGCCTGACCGTACCAGCCTCACTATACAAGCCTGATCATACGAGGATCCACTATTGTAAATAAATTATTACCTCACTGATCAACGTCGCATTATCCAACAGGGTTTATTAAACCAAAGAGCTCGTGTAAAAAGAAAAAAAAAACAAAAAAAAACAAAGACACAAATTGTAGTCAAAATTGGCCAACCACCTGGTTGGAAAAATTCTGTATTATCGTGCACATTCACCCTCTGTAAAAAGCGTTGTCAATATCAAGAAAGCAAGATAATATTGGTGACCGCAATGAAACTGGAGGACTTGTTTTTTTGAGACCATATATAATAAAGAGACCACTCGGTGGCTGTTAAAAAGTGAATCAAAATTAACATGAGGTACGCGTGGTTTTCAAGCGCAGATCAAAAGCTTTAATTTGCCATGCTTGGACTGGAAATTTGTAGAGAGAAAATGGTTTTTTTGCTGCACAGCACGCTGATTTGAAGTCTGTGTAGACTGACGGTAAGACTCCCTTGTCAGTCCAGTGAAAAGCTTGATATCCTGTCATCACATGAAGCGATATATTCAAGTTGTTGTATTCGTAAAAAGTCGGAACATGGAGATAACTGCTTCTAAAGGATACTGTACAATTCAGCAGTATAGGGCTAAGATCGTATCAAAATGTAAGTGTCCAGTGCTAAATGCGGAGTTGGAACATTTGAGGGCAAACAGGCAGAAGTGCTTCACAGTTTCTTTTTTTTTGGATTCTTTCCTTTCTAGGTTCTTCTGTTACTGTTGGTTTACATAGTTTCTTTCTTTTCGGTTTGTAACCATGGCGTCTGGAACTCCATCAACGGATCCAATGCTTGAGGACGATGCGTACACGATTGGTCAGTCCTTGGAGAAAGAGCTTTTAGGAAAAGGATATCGCATGGAAACCCCGTTTGGTTCGTCGCTTGCCGCCGAATTACAGTCGGCTACCGCCACCCCATCCCCATCGTCTCCTGCTGTTTCAAAGTCACCATTGTCGGACCGTTTACCACCGAATGCTCTCAGAGATACTCTCAGTAGTCGTTCTTCCACCCAATCCGAGTTACAAAAACTTGTGGTGGGGGATCCGGCCATGGCGGCGGCAAGGCCAGATACCGATCATGATGCCCGTCTTCCCAGAGGCGTGTCGCAATCGCTCGCAGAGGAAGCATTCTCTAACCAAACCAGCCCCATTCTTTCGCCGCTTCAATGGTCTTCTGCCATGAGCACTTCCACCAGTTTCTACAATCGCAGTCGACGTAGTTCTTTTTCTTCTACATGGTCGTCATTGGAAGTTGAGGAGGACGACCCTTTTGAAATGCTGAAGCGACAGCTGGAGGAACTCAATTCAGCGGTCTGGGAAACGAAAACGCTGCACAAGCGGTTATTGAATACACTACTCTCGGATGAAAGCCTTCACCTACGAACCATGAGCAAGACGTCGACCTCTGGCACCGCCAATGACTACGCGCCTTCCTTGGAACTCTTGATTACGAGCGTTATCACGTTGATTGAACGGAATTCACGCGATCGCGAACGGCACATTTACTCTTTGCGGAGCTTAGACAACGTGATCCGGAAAGAGAGCACATGGATGACCGGTGATGTCATGAAAGAGTTGGAGATACTGTTGGCGTCGATGCGATCGACGTTGTACGATCAGACTTACTCTTATGAAAACCCGCTTCCAATGATCCGGAAACTGAGTTTGGACACGGGCGCCATGACCGAGTCCCTGGAAGAGTTGAAAGAGCTGATGTACGTCAATAAGCGACAGGTCCAGGAACTCAACTCACGACTCCGATCGATTGCGAAAACGGTGCATGAAGTGCGCAAGGATATCCGGCGGATCAACAAGTTTCTCGAAGAAAAGGATGATGAGGACGCAGTGGTCCTGGAGAAAGGCGAAGTGGAAGAGCGGCTGCGGGAGATCATGTGGGGCTTGGATGACCTCGACGAAAAAAGCACCCTCAAAGTCAAACAGTTGCAGATTTTCTGGGAACAAGCCATCGCCAACGCGCCTCTGGAGAACTACACCGTTGCATAAAAAAAAGAGCTCCAACTATTCCCCTTGCATCTATCTATATACCTATCATCCCTTATAAAAGCTTCGATGCTTGTATGATTCCTATTCCCCCTTTCGCTCACTCATTCTTTCACAAGTAAACAGAAAACTTGGTTTAATCCTTTTGATGCTTGCCTAGAAAGTTTCACATGCATGCGCAACTTATTAGATACGTCGAGTCACACCAAATGTAAATAAGCCGCAGCTTCCAACGTGTTATGACCCGTTTTGAAACAAGATGGCTTTGAGTGATGCACAAGTTGTAGTCTCCGCCTCTTGTATTGCTCAATACCACAGCGACCGACCTGCTCCCCGTTCGCCTGCCAGTTGAGACGTTCGCAATGGTAACCAAATTTTAAACCACTGTAGAAAAAAAAAACCATAGTGACGTTCAATGTCTTTTCACCGGGAATGCGACTTGTCTGTGAAGTCAATGATAGACATTATGTAAGGAAAACCACATTTTATCTCGATAATCAAAGATGTGGGAAAATCAGGTTGAACTGTAAATTAACCATTCTCTCAAGCTTGTGGAGGCGAGCTAAGAAGATTGATCTGTACATTAAACTATAATCACCTGAATTTTTTTTTTTTAAAATTGCAAAGTATTGCGAATGACGCAAAGAAAGTTACGCTATGCAGCTGCGAATTATTGTAGCGGTAATGAACTCCTCATGAGGCTGGAAAGGCTGATTTCAGAAAAGTTGAGGGTCAACAGAGGATGGGTGCAGCTCCCAGTGAAGCTGAAAAATAAGCAACATAATTTGAAAACCATCATTTTCAATCTATGTTGTAATCCCCTAATGTGGCGCGCTGGGAAATACCATAGGTGTGATGCCGGAAATAACTGATGAGGAAGAAGTAGGAGTTGTCGTCACCTTTTTGAACCGTCATATCCTTCATCAACTGCAAAAGCAAAGTATGATAATTGCAATAACTGAGACTATTTGAGGAAGACGTATGATTTAATGTAGCATGATAGCCTTGATGATGATTGGAGTATGCTCGATGACCGGCTGGCTGTTGGTACGTTTGCAATGCTCCCGTAGGCAATTCACGGACAAATAAGCATCTAGCGTATTATGCAACACATAAATGGAGTCATCTTTTTTTTGCATGTCGATCATTAAAAAAAAAGATCTCTCCTGACGCCAGTTTTTTAAAGCGCCCTCTCCTTTTTTTTACGGATGCCATATTTAGAAAATATCCACAAATGGTACACTAATTGTATTATGCTATTGTTGTATTATCCCAAGCAGGCAAATACTGCTGCCAATGAGTGTCAGATTTTGTAGCAACGTCGAACTTGGTATTCGCTGTATTTGATTGAGAAAAATGAAAAAGGGCTTTTCAAAAGTAGAAGAAATGGTATATGCTAAAGAAGATAAAGGAAAATCGATACAAAAACAAAGAGTGAAGAATAGCTATGGAACAGAACAAAAAGATTGTTTTTACTTTTTTTTTTGTCTTTTCACATGTTGAAAAAGGCCACATCTCATTGCCTGGAGGATGGCTTTAATTTTTGGAAATTCAAGAAACCGGCTTGATTTCGGGTCACCATCTTTGCCAGATGTTGTCGCGATCGCCATTTTTTTAGACCCGACTTTGGACGCCAGCCATCCGTGTCGCTGAGATCTTCCAAAGGCGTGCTGATTTCGATACTCTGACGTATACGAGGCAGGTGAAATGATCGGTGTTGATCGGAAACCTGTTTCGGGTTTGGGTGCAAAAGGCAATTCGGTCGTCGAAACTCGTAGAATGGCGAGGAAGGTCGGGTCATGGTCTGACTGAACATGGCTCGCAGACGATCATCGGCATCGCTCCAGTGGGCTGAACACAGTCGATATTCAATAGGAAGATAACGGTCGCCTCTTTCTACTAGACAGGTGCGTACCACGTACGACTCGAAATAAGGCTGGGAACATGACGTGCATGGTTTGGCCGATTCTAAATAGCGAGTCAAATGGTCCGGCAGATAATGACGAGGGATTTTGACGGTATCGCGCAGGATGGTGCGTGCACAAATTTCCAGTAAACTTGGAGGATCATGAACAAGGTCATCGTCGGGGTCATTATCTAGTGGACAGTCATCGAGTTGCATGCGTCGTAAACAGGACAGATTGGATATTTCGGCCGGCAATCGACGGAGTGGATTATAAGATAAATCGAGTGAAATCAGACCAGTGATGGCTGTAATTTCAATGGGGATTTCGGCCAGTTGATTACTGTCCAAACAGAGATCTCTCAGGTTCCTGAGATAGCCGATGCAAGGAGTTAATCTTTCAAGTTGATTGCGGGATAAATCGAGTTGGGTCAGTTTCCCAAGATATCCAATGGTATCGGGAATCTCGGTAAGCTTGTTTCCCGCCAACGATAGTACTTGAAGATGGTGCAAATACCCAATGGCATTGGGTACACTTGTCAAAAGATTGTCGGATCTATTTCAGATCAGTGATTGTCAATAACAATTCACACAACATGTTTCCCTATTTCTTGTTTTCCTATTTGCCACTGTCCTATCCAATGTCTCTATCTTCTTTTTTCTTCTCCTTTTTTTTTTTTTCGTCGAAAATTTTCTCCCTTGCAGCTGCATCATGCATGTGTTTCGACTTACAAGTCTAATTTGCGGATCATCGTCAGTAATCCAATGTTTGGACTTAGGCTTGCCAAGGCCCGATTCGACAGGTTCACCTCCTGCATTGATGGATCCGACGCCAGCTTGGTTACATCGGCAAAAGTCAATGGGTCGGCTAGATGGATGTTTTTATTGTCCTCGTCCTCGTCATTTGGTTTTTGCAAATTATTCAAGGGACGACCGTCGGTATAATAGGTTTTGTCAATGTAATTGACGTCTCGCACGAACGGATGGTTTGTTTTTTCATTGCAGCTTGCATAGCCAGAATCGGTTCGACCCAAGGTGGGTTGACAGAGTATCACGGTCACCGATGGATCGGTTGATATTTTCTCATGGTTTTCCAATGGTGAGCAGGTGTCAAATGCGTATTCCTCTGGATAATAGAGTAGACGATCAATGCTGGTATGTTGATCTTCAAGGAAGTCTGTGGCAGCAGCGTGACCAAAGACATAGGAAGCATGTTCTTTACTGATTCCTTGGCCCATTGTAAATTCAGAGTAAAGAAGAAGAAAGAAAAAAGTGAAAAAAAATAAGGTCAAGGAAAAAATAAAGGTGACGATGGTGAGAGTGGAATAGTAATAAAAAGATAAATGAAAACAGATGCCGAATGAATACATATTATATTCTTTTTAACCTGAGAATAAGGAGTCAATTGATGATGATGAGAAGCTGTTGTATTTTAAAGACCGGCTTTTGCCATTTTGCCACTGATTGCAAGAAAACAGCACCCTCGTTTCATTGTATGATTCTGTAAGCCATGTGGTCATCTAAATATGATGCTTTATGCAAGACCATCACGTCGTCTTTTATGATTTGATTTCGAAGCTCGTGGCTATTCTTTATGGCCACGTGTATTTATTGTGCACAATGGCGTGGCAAAGGAGACCTCTCAACCCAATGATGGTGTATTTTATTGTATTCCCAAAACTATGGATACGATCCCATCATGCAAGCAAAATCGATGCCATTACAATCTATCTTGAAACAACCGTGTTAATTCCTCTTGCTCGATTCAGCTCTGCTCACCTAAAACAGCGACGCCTCAGCCGGAGCAAATAATAAAAATAGAGAATCAGCCGATTTAATCATGATAAATCAACCCGCTAAAACTAATAAACACTTTTATACTTGCCCGCCAAACCGGAAAAAAAATACGGGCAACTCGGGTTACTTTAACAAGAGATTGGGAAAATGCATCAAATTGCCTGCTGGCCATAGTGTGACTCTTTTAATTTTGTCGGCTTTTTTTGTGGACAACCGCCAATCTTATTATTATTATTCTTTATTTTTTCGTCATCATCGTGGGGTTTTCCTTTTAATTCTTCGTCATCAGCGAGAGGAGAAAAAGAAATAAAGGTAAATGTGAGTTGAAATTCCTTTTTCTCATACTTGAAGTCTTTATGATGAGCACGTAAAAGGTTCGAATATTTGAACGCGTGTGTCTCGCTTTATTCTGACCGGTCAATGCAACATTATACCAAACGAAATCCGATAAATTCCATTGTTCGTATCTTGACGCTCGTCACGAGTTGTTGGATGATGCGCCGTAAGGCCGAACATAGATCAAACACAGTGAGAACAAACTTGTTCTCTGGCGTCAGTATTAGATTGTCCATCGCAAAGACTTGCGATACTCGACGATAAAGGATGACGCGACATTTTTTTTTCTCTTTTTGGCTTTTCACCTGAACTAGGAAGACCAAGTTATGTCTTTTTCTAGTGGATATGCAAAAGCTAGATTAACCACCAGTCTGACTGGTCTTTTGGTCTCGTCCCACTCAGGATCCAGTTTCAGAGTCATGATCTGGAGTATCAGTTATACGAGACAACATTCATTCGTTGCAGGAAGGAATAAGCGGGCATACTTGAAAGCGTTCAAACAAAACATGTGAACAAATCGGCTTCACTGACAGACTCTCATTCTTTTTTTTTTTTATTGTTTTTCTTTCTTTCCGGCATATATCTTACTGGTTTGCTTTTTGCATAGATTCACATCATCCCTCCTTTCAGTCTGTAAAAAGAGTGAGTCACGAGAATGCAGTTGTACTCCATCGCTGTCATCTTACGTTGTCGGTTCAGTGGAAGATTATCGACGAATCACCAAATCAGCCGGTGATCCCACTCAGGAAGACCAGTTGCCTCCCCCTGCTGAGAATGAGATTCGCATTTCTCAATCGGGTAAAATAAACCGTTATGTGGAGATAGGGTTAACCATGCTCAAGGTAACGTGTGGGCGATTATGACGCAGCTTGATGAAATCACATTCACCGATTTTATGAGATACAGGAACAGCAAAAGTCGAATATTGTGATTGTGGGCAAAGGTGTGTCGGTGAACAAAGCCGTTTCCGTGGTGGAAATCATCAAACGAAGGATGGAAGGCACGCTACATCAATACACCCAGCTAGGATCCGTCAAAACGGTGGAAAAATGGGACCCCGTTCAAGGCAAAAAGTTGGAAACGTATGCATAACGAACCAGATTTTTTCTAATGTTGTTGTGCCAAATTACCAAAGTTAATCGGATTTTTTTTGTCGTTTAGCATGCTTGTACACAAGCATATACCAATGATCATCATTCATCTCTCCTTAAATGTCATGCCACAATTAGAAGAATCGTCAGGGTAAGACAAATTTAGTCTCTGCATAGGTCCGTGAATTTAACCAGTATTGCTTTTCAGGTATCAGCCTCCAACAGGAAACGATATCTACATGTAAATTATCCAATCACACCTCTGTAATACAAAAAAATATCATTATACATCCATTTCTTACAACACTCCAATTCCACTCACTCACCCAATGTCTCGCACATTTTCCACGCTTCCATTGATTCGTACATTCTTTTATCAGTGACATGGGGCAATAGAGATTGCAAAGTTCCTTTTTTTATGACAAGCATCAGAGCTCAAGGTAGCCTTTCATTCGTGCTGTATTTAGCCCAGTTTTATGGCTTTTCTGAAGTATTGTCATAGAAGGACCTGTGCAATGACACAAATCCATCAAACTAGTTTGGCTGGCCTGATATGTCCCGCCAAAGCTTTTTAGCGGTAATTCATCAGTGTCATGTCACGTTGATACGATGGCCTCCAATAGCTACGAACCAGCGCAGTCAAAATATTGGAAAAGATGGGAATGACCTGTTGCGCGCAATCAAAAGAAATGATGATCGAAAATCATAAATGGCACCTCCAGTTGAATGCAGCACTTCTTTCTTTTGTTGATATCTTGTCACCAACGCATCATTCCGCATACTGCAACGAACTTAAAAAGTCCAAGACAATTCAGAAAGACCCACCAGTGCAGAAAACGCGTAACAGTGAGATATGGCGGAACGACATGTCCATACAGCGGCCCACGTTGTCGATATTGGAAGCGTCAAAATTCTAAAATGGGGTTGATGGAAAGCATTAATTTTTCCATTGTCAAACACGCTGCCGAATTGACCGTCGCTGTGATACTTGTGAGACCAGCAAAGGAAAGCGATGCAGGGATCGCCTCAGTGACCATTACGTAATGTACCCAAGAAACTTTTTAGGCGTCGTGTTGTCCGTGCACTGCAGTGATGGTGGTGTGATGTTGCTCGTTCACTACGATCGGCGGGCGGCGGCAGGTCTATTTTTTTTTGGGGTCCTAAAAATGACACACCATTTATATCATTGATTCTTCCGCTGTGATTCGAAGAAAATGAAATGAATCTGATTGATGAGTGGAGATCGGGAAATCGGGATGCGAAAAACGGCCTTGGATGTTCAACCAATCATTACGCTTATAGTTGACACCATCTTTCAAGAGGTGATCAAGTTTAAACCCAGATTCATCGCAAGATAAGATTCAGGATCTGCGATCCGTAGAATTACAGGCGTGCGAAAATTATGTTTAGTATGGAATGACCATGTATAAATGAAGCTTATCAGGAATAAACTATCGAAAATTTGTCAAATTCAATATTAAAAGCGTCAAAGCAACAAAACAACGGAAAAAAAGCGGAGGCCAGGTAAAAAGGCGGTTCTGCAAGTTTACATTAGGTCCATTCAGCAAGGAAGGATTTCTTTTCCCGCAACGAATGATTTCCATCTCAACAGAAAAAACAATAAAAAACTTTTTTTTTCTGATACCAAGCATTTTTGAATTTCCTCTTTCTTCTTTCTGTTCAAAGAGTTCTTTTTTTCTCTAATCTTCTTTTTGATTTTTCTGCTTTTTTTGACATTTGTTTGAGTCAAAAAAAGTTTTGTTACTGATTTTTCTTTCGAAAAAGGAAAAAAGAAAAAGTTACAGCGTACATCCGGGTCTCTGGCCACAACAAAGAAAATAACGTCGTTTCGCTATCCCTATTACCTCTATCCACCAAGCTTCAGAACGCCATGGACAGTATCAAAGTTCCGGTCGACCCACAGTCGCCCATCACCTCTATCGAACACTCCGAAACCCACTATTCGAGTGATTCTGCAGTAACCGCCACCCAAGGTCGTGGGTTACAACGTGGCTTAAAAGCCCGTCATATTCAAATGATCGCTTTGGGCGGCACGATCGGTACGTCGAATTTCCTTTTTTTGGAGAGATAAGAAAATTACGGTTCAATGGAAATTTTTTGAAACAAATTGTTCCTGATTATCTTATTAATTCTAATGTTTTCCCTCATTTCTAGGAACTGGTCTGTTTGTGGCGTCGGGCAAAGCCATTTCAGAAGGTGGTCCCGGTGGCGCTTTGGTAGCCTATGCTATCGTTGGTGTTCTCGTTTTCTGTGTCATGATGAGTTTAGGTGAAATGTCGGCTTACGTTCCTGTCTCCGGCAGTTTCAGTCACTTTGCTACCCGATTTGCAGACCCGTCTCTCGGTTTCATGGTCGGTTGGATCTATTGGGCCAACTGGGCTATCGGTGTCGCTGTCGAATTAACCGGTGTAGCTCTCATCATGGAGTTCTGGGTACAAAATATCCCCAGTGTCGTGTGGAGTATTATCTGTCTTGTCATCCTACTGGCCATCAATGTCTTTTCCGTCAAAGGCTACGGTGAAATCGAATACTGGTTCTCTATGGTGAAGATCTTGACCGTGATCGCGTTTGTCATTGTCGGTATCTGTGTCGATACAGGTGCGGCCGGTGGTCATTACATTGGTGGTAGCAATTTTCATTTACCTGGTGGCGCGTTTCCCAACGGATTCCTCGGTGTCTTTAATGTCTTTGTCACTGCCGCCTTCTCGTTCAACGGTGTGGAAATTGTCGGTATTGCTGCCGGTGAATCGGCCAATCCTCACAAAACGGTGCCTTCGGCTGTCAAGCAAGTCTTTGTACGCATTGTCTTGTTTTACATTCTGTCCATCCTTATCATCGGTTTGGTCATTCCTTACACCAACGAAGATCTTCTTAAAGCGTCGTCTTCCAACATTGCCGTCAGTCCATTCACATTGGTCTTTCGTGCGGCCGGAGCGGCGTGGGCCGCCGATTTGATGAATGCCATTATTCTGATCACCATGATTTCCGCTGGTAATTCTGGTGTCTATTCGTCAAGCCGTACCTTGCTGGCATTGGCTGAAGATGGCTATGCTCCTCGCTTTTTCAAGCGCGTCAACCGTTGGGGTATCCCCATCTGGTCCGTTTTGGCGACATGTCTGGTTGGTTGTCTTGCTTTCTTGACAAGCTTGTTCGGTTCCGGCGTGGTGTTCAACTGGTTGACCAGTATCACTTCGTTGGCCGGTCTCATTACCTGGATTTCTATTGCTATCACCCACGTTCGTTTCCGAATGGGCTATAAAGCACAAGGCCGTCCCATGAAGAATCTTCCCTACAAAGCTCCTTTCTTCCCTTTGACGGATGCTTTCGTCATTGTGATTGGTGCCATTGTGGTGTGTGGTCAAGGTTATCAGACATTCTATGCTCCGATCGATGCCAAGAACGTCGTGGCTTCTTACATTTGCCTTATTGTTGCCGTGGCGCTTTACGTGGGTCACAAGATCTTCCGCCGTCCTGCTTTTGTCAAGAAATGCGACATGGACTTTGATACCGGCACTTGGAAAGAACCCGTCTTTGATACAGGCGTTGATGATGAAAAATACAATGCTGACGGTACTCTGAAGCCTTGGTGGAAACGTTGGGGTATCAAATTTATCAATATCATTGCATAAGAAAAACCCTCTTAATACAGTGTCTCTCTTATCTGTCTTTTTTTTTTTTGTTTTTCATTCATCTTGTATATTGTTTCAACAACATGTTCCTATTTCTCTACTACTCTATGTAAATATCTGATATCCATTTTTCTTTTATTGTCATCAATTCTCCCCCTTTTATAACCAATCTTTTATCTAGCCATTCTAAAAAACATAGAAAAAAAACGAAAAAAAAACCAAGAAAAAAAAACCACGTTAATAAAACTCTTCACTTTCAACAAGTTTAAATAGTCGATCCCAAACCTTTTTTATTTCTTTTTTGCCATGTTTTTTTTTCATCTTGTCTCCTTGATGAGAGGGAAAAAAAAAAATGAAAATCCCACAAACGAAAAAAAACGTGCTTGCGTGGATTTCAAATTCCGACATCTTCCACATAAACAGACCTTGCACTTTTTTATCTTTTCGTTTCTTTCTCCTTTTTCCTTGGTTAGACTTGTACCAAAAAAGAGTACACAGGTATTATTTTGTTCTCTCTCGTCTCTCCAAAAGAGCTGAATTATCAATCTGTCTCTTACGTCATTAACCTCATCGTGCATGTCGCCAGTAGAATTCTACAAATGCAAACCATCAAATGCGTTGTTGTGGGTGATGGCGCCGTCGGAAAAGTCCGTATCCCATTCCCTTTTTTTTTTACCCTTCCACCAAACGGTAAATGGTGGCCATGTAGAACGAACCATACTGAATCTTCTTTTGTTCTTTTGTAGACTTGTCTTTTGATATCTTACACTACGAACAAATTTCCCTCGGAATACGTGCCAACGGTAAATATACCATTTATTCAGAGGTTTCCCTTTTATTTTTATGGGCTGAATCATGGATGGTTTGGTGAATCACAATGAGCGATTATATTTTTTGCTGAGCCGAAATTGTATCACTGGTGGTAATTGCTTGCTATGGCAATGTATTAATCTTTCTTTTTCTTTTTCTGTTTTGTTACTAGGTTTTCGATAATTATGCTGTTACAGTAATGATTGGTAATTAAGCCATTCTTTCATTTTTCTTGTTCGATTAACCGCATTATTCACGTTATTGGCGGAAAAAAAGAGGGTATACATGCATGCGCTAACATTTTTTTTTTTTTTTCAATGATCGATGACAGGTGATGAGCCTTATACTTTGGGACTTTTCGATACGGCAGGTAAGACGGCATTTCTTTTCCTTTTATATCATCTACGTCTTGGTTATTCTATCATGGTTGTGGTGACTGGATTCAACTGATCATGGAATGATGGCATCAGGGCAAGAGGATTACGATCGTCTTCGTCCATTATCGTACCCACAGACGGATGTATTCCTCGTTTGTTTCTCGGTAACTTCACCCGCATCATTCGAAAACGTCAAGGAAAAGTGGTTTCCCGAAGTACATCATCACTGTCCGGGCGTGCCTTGCTTGATTGTAGGAACCCAGATTGATTTACGCGAGGATCCGGCTGTGATCGAAAAATTGGCCCGCCAGAAACAGAGACCCATCAGTTTTGATGCTGGTGAACGTCTTGCAAGAGAATTAGGTGCGGTCAAGTACGTCGAATGTTCGGCTCTCACTCAAAAGGGTCTCAAGAACGTGTTTGATGAAGCCATCGTGGCAGCATTGGAACCCCCAGTCAAGAAGAAGTCCAAAAAGTGCTCGATTTTGTAAAAGCATGGATTCCACATCATAATGCTTACCTGTAATTCTATTCACTTTTTTTTTTCTTTCTCCACACTTCTTTAATATCCACCTCCTGATTCTTTGGATCCTTTTTTTTTTCTCTCTCTCTGTCTTCTTCTTCTTCTTCTTCTCTTATCCGTTTTCCTCCTTTTTATGTCCGCCATTTTCGTTTGTTGTTTCTGTTCTTTTCTACTTATATCTTTCCTAAAAAGATGTCATGAATCTGAATCCGTTTTTTCCTCATCATTTCTGCTCTTTTTTTTGGTTTTCATTTTTGCTCTTTCGAGTTTTTAATCTTGCACCATGCACCCTTTCTTTTTACGTTTTACCTTTTTTCTTCTGAAAAGCACCCCCCCAGCTGGAGTCCATTGTCAGATTTCGTGATGATTTCTTGCTGCTCTTCCCTTACCACCCTTATTCTTCTTTTTTTGGGTATTCACCCTTATTTTTTCCTTCATAATTTTTTTTTTTTAAAAATGGAAAACGGATGTTCGAGAAAATTGCTCGATCCATAATGAATCAAAGTAAAGATCAGAAATAACAAAAGCAAAAACATACTCGAACATGAGATCAGCATCGTTAGAGATATACAAAAAAAAGGGAGGGTTAAGAGGATATTGTACGAAGTGTGGGCGTGTGTAAGAAGTGAGTATAGGTGTGGGTGGTTGGTTGGTGACTAGGGAGGATGGTGAGTTAAAAAAAAGTAGGGTACTGTAAGCGTGCGTGTGCAGATGAACGAGAAGGAGAAGATGGGTGGGAATGGATCAGACAAATGGAGTCCCCACATAAGATAAAAACATTACAGAAAGTACTGGCTTCCAGGAGCCGCCGCCAATGTAGCATCGCCTTGCACATCATTTTCTAGGAATATTCGATAGTCGCTTTCCACAATTTCGGTTCGATCGTCCGGCACTTTGAGAATAGCTGCTTTGTTTCCACATCTATAGCAATAATTGGGTGCTGACCAAAGCGTCACCAGATTCTTTTCCGCAAATGGATAATTATATCCCTCATCCACCAGTTGATGCGATCGTACAATCAAGTTGACACCATTATTATGGCAAAACTAGTCGCCGAAAAAATAAACCAATCCGTCAGTTACCATCCTGCATCAAAAGTAAAAATAACAAAGACTTACTGCGTCGGTCGGTATGTGTCCAAACAGATAACCTCCGCCACGGGGACTAATGGCCCAACTGTCTATTTGGGCCTCGGGATCCGACCACAACAGATCTACATCAGTGCATTGTAAATACCATGACCCAAACTATGTTTTCTTTTGAAACTTCTTCCACAACTTACCGCACGGTCCTCCGGTTTGCGGCAGTTCTTGCATACGAAACAAGGTCCTAACGAATTTTTTTCATATGAATACACAATGTTGACCGACCGCCACGGGTAAATGGCCGAGATTTTACCGAATCGAGTCTACTGATGGCAGTTCCGGAGATAAGCCTCCGTGAACACAGAAAATGGATCCGTCAATGAGCTGACAAGTATAAAAAAGAGAGGTCATAAGCAGTTAGTCAGCCAAGAAAAAGAAGTAGCCGCAGCAACATTCGTGACGATGGGTTCGCTCCACTTACAGCAGCCAAAGGCAAGTAATCGAAGACGGTGCAGCACCATTCCCAGACTTTTGAACTTTGATATTTTGCAAGACACTCATCTAATAATTGACATGGATGCAAGATGAACACGTCAGCGCCCATGCGAGTCAACGCCATTCTGACTTTCTCAAATACCATAAAATCCATAAACGCGCGTCACATTACGACTTTCGTGGTTGCCTCGTGTTAATGTAATTCTATCTGGATATCTGGAATGAAAATCAAATCATTAATGAATATACATGTCATTGAATGCTTTCACTCCCTCCCGGAAACCGGAAGAAAGAAAACGACCGACACTTACTTGACTTTCAACAAGAGTAATAATGTTAACGTTTCTAAGGAATATCGACCACGGTCTACAAAATCGCCCTATGGTGGAGGAAAATCGGTCTTGTCAGGCGAGAGGGTTCTTTTTTTTTTTTGACGTGAAACTATTCTCCTAGTCTCTGGTGTATGACTGGGCTTATTGTTTTTTATATACCATGAATATGTATGAGGTATCAGGTACGTCGCCGCCCACTTCAAACAACTTGACAAGATCATAGTATTGACCGTGAATGTCGCCACATAAAGTAACCGGGGCTCGTACAGGAACTACCGTCGACTCTTCGGCCAGAATTTCCTTCAACTGTAGCATCCATGCGTCAGTTCACAAATGTTACCCAACGGCACCATCCGTTGACTACTTCCGCATTACCTTGTTGCACAGTTGACGCATGTCATTTTCTGGAAGATATTTACAGGCTTTTATGGACTCGAGACAGGCGTCGACGTCCATATTCAATAACGTATTTGAAAGCTGAGGGAGGAAAAAAAAATAAAGAAGAAAAAAAGGAAATGAAATGACGAATGTAGAAGCGGAAAATGAAAAGCGACAAGGCCAAAAAAAAAAAAAAAAATCGTCGGTGCCAAGCTGTAAATGGAAACCGTACTGAAATCAAGACTTGATTCTCTCCCCGCTGCTCCATTCCACACAAATACCCAACCATCACCCTTTTTACCATGAACAGTGAACTATACTGCATTGCTCTCATTGGCAAACAAGTGAGTTTTATAACCGCTCCTCGCTGCACCAATATCCAATTAGCTCGATATTTACCCTCTTCAGAACAATCCGCTTTACATTAAAAACTTTAGCAACACCCATCCTGACCTTAAATACCACTATATCGCACACACATCGATTGACGTGATAGAGGAACGCGGTAATACCTTGTCATACGGGATAGTAACGCTCTCGTATTGATTTTCTTTCAATGACACTAGTCACCAATGGACCCAAGAATCTCGACCTCTATCTAGGCTTACTCTATGCCATGGAAGATCTCGCTGTGTAAGTTTGTGACTTGAACAAGTGGACTCAGTATAAGTTCTAGGCATTAAAAAAGCAGTGGATAGCTACGGTTACATGACCAATACGCGTGTAAAACTAGTCGTGGTGGTCTCTGTCACGGATGGCATTATTCGCGATGCAGATATGAAATCGGTAAAAAGAGAGAATTTTAGGATCAAGGAGGATGAAAAAAAAAGAAAGAAAGAGGCGTGTTACTGACGAATTCATATACGGGATAGATTTTCAAAAAGATTCATTCGGCTTATGTGACTCATGTATGCAACCCGTTTTATCATTTGGAATCGCAACAATCACTTCACAGCCCGGCATTTGTCCGTGCTATTGAAGCCATAGGCTTAGACATCAATTCAAGAACCACACTTGAAGTATGAAAACGAAAATGAAAAAAAAATACCACCAAAAAAAAAGATAACAAGAGACGAGAATGGCAAAATGTTGTTTACATTATTTGGAATGAAAAATAGCGCAGAGTTTTTCTTCTATATCTTTACAAGCGAATGAAGTAGTAGCCATCGAGGCCATTTTTTTAAGCAGCCACGGTAGCAGCTGTTTCCTGAGTCTTCTCGTTCTTGGCAGCTTCAGCCTTTTCCTTTCCACCAAAACTATTTTATAGTTCCCAAACCATTAAATATCGTCATTCTATTTCCCGTAAAACCCCGTCTCAACACTTACTGATTATATTGAAGGTATCGGTATCCCTGAGTTAACTGAGCAATTTCGTTGGTAAAGTGACAAGCGAACAACAAGTAGTTCTGAGGCTTCACGGCAATCGCAAAACGCATAAACAGACCCGAGTATAAACACAAAGCTAAAACAAAAAAAAAAGGACGGTTGGAACGGTGGGAGCCGCGAATGGACGGGGAAACCATTTAAAGGATTACTTACCAAGAGTCATGTTACCCGAGATTAAACTGGGATCTTTTTTGAAATCACCAATGGCTGCAAGAGGAAGACCCCAGTTAGCGACGGGACCCCAGAAATGCTGCAATGAAAAGAAGGTGTTAGCTCGGTGAAGCCAAGGATTGCAGTATATAATAAATGTTGAAAACATACGGTGCTATATAAAAAAAATAGGGTCGTGAGTCTATCAATGGATTGGACTTATTCAAGCATAATATCTACCTCATCAAATAGCTTCGGAACTCCTTGGAGGTAAGCTTTTGAACGAATCTGTTGGCAATGGAACCGGATGCTTGAGACATGGTGGGGCAACGGAGATGAAAAAAAAGAGGGGGAAATTTCAAAAAATGTACCAAGATAATAGCCAGATGGAAGGAAACCGACAAGTGACCGTTCAATTATAACTGCCCAAAAGTCCGATACTTTCATTCTTAGTCGTGCATTATTCGACCTCCGCAAACTCATTCTGATCTTTTACCGCCCTATTTTCATAAGACATGACCACACACAGTCGACCACTGGAGGATGAAATATCCAACTATTATTCATTCATCTTATGGATCTAGTAGTCATGCCATGATTAACGTTTTCATAGCAGTAATTCAAAGGAGATCAAAATCTGTTATCAGTCTCGATTGGGTCATTGTCCAAAATCAGATGTCACACCAACAATTAAGAGTTCGGATAATCACACAAAAAGATTGGTCTCTCACATCCTAACTGCACAGATCCGAAATTCTCTGTTTCCTTTTTTTTTTCTATTGGGATCAGTGGGCAACACGAGAAGAATAGCTCCCAAGACATCCTGGAACATATAATGCATGACATCAGTTGCCAGCGGTGACAGGTCGGTCAATGAAATTAAGGGTTGTATCATGAAAGTATCCGTGATAAGTGAATGAGGCTCCTACGCATTCCACTTGCAACTATAATATGCTGGATCATTACGGATAAAATGGTCCCTCTTTATGCGTGGCATTTTTTCTTTTTACCAGCAACAAAATCCTCATACAGCCAGATCTTGGTCGAGGGTGGAATACTTCTTTTTGAGAAGACGTATTCCGTTTTTGGAAATGTCTTAACTGTTGCATTTTGTATTGGTTTCGCTGCCGGCTAAACCGTCCCCAGTTTCACATCCTTTCGCCAATCCGGGAATATCTTTCTGTCCAAGCTTGACAAAAACCAGGTGGTCTGGGATAAAACATCTCTGGTATCTTTACCTTTTCCTCGTTACGCCCTGCGTGTTGTTGATGTGTTTTGGTCTTTTGTTTTGTTATTGAGACTGCCATAAAATCAGTTGAGCACCCTTTGACAAATTATTCTGCTCTCAAATGCGTCCTTGCACCTTGATCGAAATTGATAATGATTAAAAAAGTAGGAAACAGAAAAATCCATGACGGTTCACATCACCGGGTTGGTGATAAGATAACAAAATCAAACGTTTTTGTTCTCCTTTATGTTCAAAAGAGAGAATATAAAATAGTTTAATGATGGTATATCGCAGAAAAGAAAAAAAAGCGAATTAAACATTGCCGCAGCGACAACGCTGTCATTACAGAAGAAGCAAGGTCCAGAAAAAGAATTTAAAGTCACAGACATTGATGAACGAAGAAAAAGCGCGACAAAGTTAAATTAAAAAAAAAATGGTAGTTGCAATATTGTCATTGAATTATGTAAAAAAAAATATTATACATATAATGGAAAAGATCTTGCTTGTTTATCCGGAACAGACCATGTATGGAAGACATGACCTGTGAGGGTGGATAAAAACAAGGTTATAAAGTGGTGAAGAGCAGTCGAGTGTACAGTGTGTGATGTATAAATCCTATGCCTGAAAATCCCCGGTATTGCTTTCCAATCCCTCTAGGAAAAACTGCGTTACAGCTCCCCTTTCAGTCTACTTGCAGCGCCTATAGACAGGGATAAAAGAGCCTGATCCATCCTCGCGTGCCGCATGCTCCGACCACCTCGTTTCAACCGAATACCAGCTAGCAAGTCATAGTATTACCTAACTTACTTGCTCTGGCAAATCGACCGAACTGCATGTGGCCCACCATAGACACAGTTACAATACCGAAAAGAAATCCTCACACCAGTACGTTGAAACTAGACGGAACCCGACATCCCACTCAAGGTCTACTTGTTGAAAGAGCATGCAAGGCTCCCCGGAAATGGAAACTTCCGGCTTCACCTCGACAAGCATCCCGAGAGAATTCACTACCCTGTGAAGAGGGAAGTGTGGGACTGCGGTTGTCTCCTTAGCGTAAAGTCCCGTAATGCGTAGTCCGAACAAGGCAAATGCCAGCTCACTAGATGTTGCCCTTCCCCCCAGGCGAAAACAAATCCAGAAACTGACAGAGCGACCATGATGAACATTTACGCGATCTAGCTTTGGTGGACGTCCAATACATGGCGATGCAGAGAAAGTGATGCCGACTGACCTTATCGCAACACCCGCATGTAATTATTCTCCAATCAGGCATGTCTCGTACGTGGGGGTGGCCGCCCGCTTCTACCCTCGCTATATTGGTAGCGAAGGCCGCATCGCATCATGGGCCGTGGAGGGAGACATCCCCGCTCTTCATTACTTGAAACGGCTCGGCAGTCCATATGTAGAAGGCGTCAATCATCGGATCATTTGGCGATGAAATAATAATAAGAAAGAGAAAGAGTTAAAAAAATGCTTACCATTGTTCATCATGCAAAGGCGAAAAAGAATATAGACTGTACACTACATGCAACCAGTTCGTCCTAGGTCCTTTGCAAAAAGAAATCCTTTTTGCCCCATGTCACGCAAAGGAAAAGGGCGGTGTCATCAGGCTTGACATATCACAGCAAAAAGGCGCCGGCCAGTTGAAACGAGTTATCGATGACACCTGTGACGTGAAGAACGGGTGATGACTCGCCACCGGAAGAGGGAGAAAAACCAAAATCGTTAAAGGGCTAATGATTATACGACAAACCAAGGGCCATGCGTCCCGGAGGACTACAATGGGTGGGGGAAGTAAGAGGAAGGAGTTTTATCGTGTTCGTATCGCCAGAAAGAGATCGTATCGCCAGAAAGAGATCGTATCGCCGGAGAGAGTTCGTATCGTCGAGAGAGAGGGGCTTAAAACAGCAGGTAGCCGCCAGAGAATGAGGAACGACTGCGCCATGTGCTTGAGAGTTGAGCATAACATGAGCAAGGACCACCGATAACGTCAAAGGTATTTCGAGGGTGACATCTCTGTTTGTAAAGACCTTGCGTAAGTAGAACGTTGCTTGAAGAGGTTGTCGTTCCTTTGAGAAGAGAGAGAAAGAGGAGAAAAAAAGAGAGGATGGAACCTTTTTTTTTATGAAACGCGACAGGAATCCGTGAATGTTTAAACCCCGCAATGACTGCGCTTTGATAACCGTGACCCGTTTGTTGCCTCTAGATGTCTTGGCCAGCAGTTTGAGCGTGCCATCACGTGCTTTTGATGTGAGTGGAAAAAATTTGCGTTTGTCCATGTGGCTTTATCGACGTTTGACAAGCACAAATATCGTGATCTAAAAAGCCGTGTGGCTGGTTTATGCCAACTTTTGATGCGGCGAAATTCTTACTGCGACATTTTCGACCAAAAATTACAAGGTACCACATCATGTTGCCAATCTATCTTTCATACAAGCCGGCAAAGTCTCGCCCCTTCTTCGAGCATAAAACAATTACAATATGTATTCTACATTTTTCGTTACCGCGTAACGATATAGGCACAAAGTCGGAGTAACAAGGGAATATGCTATACGACATACTGGCGCGCATCGTTGCGCAATTCGTACATAAACTATTTCAGAACAATACTGATTTTGCTTGGCGCTAGCCATTTTTTTTGAGTTCATGGGTCCGTATTATTTGATTCGCTGTTCTCTGGGTGTCTAGTTCTTTCATAATCGGTACACGTATGGCACCAGCTTCTGGAAACGTTCCCATGGCAAGTTAACTGATGGTTTCGACGGCCCTGGCGATCCTCAGCTCTCCATCACTGAGGTTTCATTTGTCCTCAGGTAGCAATGGCTGTAATGTCATAATAATAGGAAGCTAGCAACTACGATAATGAGCATAGCTGTTGAACATGCGCTTAGCGTCTGATTAAAAAGAGGTAAAGGCTACAGTTGTACCGGTGTAGGAAGTTGTACCTCTTTGCCTCGTCAAACATGTTGAGCCAAATTAAACTGGACCGTTGTTAAGAACGAGAAATCAGGTGGAAGAAATTATCACACCGTCAAACTTGAATGCACCAAATTGTATTGTACCTGCGATGGCCTAGAAAAACAGAAGGCACCATGGCATGACCCACGGTTTAATCTAACCATTTTATCAGTCAACAGGAGAATTACCTTTGCTTATACTGTAGTCGTCAGTTTACAAACGAGCACTTGGAACCGAAATTATAAAAGTGGACCGTTTGGTCCATGAGCTTCCTTCCGGAAAAAAATTAACCATTGGTAGAGGTGGAATTTATAACCTAGGCAATCACTCAAAAAATCTCCATTGTCAATTTTTGAATTTTGGCTCCTCACAGATCTCTGTGTATTCAATGCATATTATAGTATATTTTCAAAATTCGCGTGATATGAAAGATATGGATTTGTCTAATGGCACGTAAAGGAAAGCCGGATTATCAAATTGTAAGGATGGATAACTGACCTTAATATCTTGTATTTTACACAATCCAGCAGGTAACAAAAAAAAGTAACATAGTTTGAATGAACCGTGTCTTTGGACCATTCATCAACGGATGATCTTTGTCTTTTTATGCATGGTTGTTGAGGGTGTGCCTGATATTTCCTTATTCGGGAGGGAGAGAAAAAGGTCCGTACAAAAAAGAAAGTCGACGACGCAGTCGGAATTTCACGTCATTGGAAGTCATGCGATTCCTCAATTGCTTCGCTGGCCAAAAAATCTTGCCTTTTCAGTTGTTCTCTTCTTTCCTACCGCACCTCGTTGTTGTTGCCAATTCAACAATATGGACCATGACGCCATTCCCACGTCGGTTATTCAGGACGACGAACAACACACGATGCACTATGCCCAGTCATTGCCGTATGTCCGTCTTTTAGACGGGGAAGCCGATCAATGGCTTGGAGATATTTGCAACAACTTGGCTCTCTGCGTCAAGGCCCAGGATTACTCGGTGGGAACGCTGGCCTGGGTGAAACGATTGGGACTGTAAGTGGTCCAACGATGGCGCCATCTCGTTGCCAGTGAAGGGAATGCAAAATAGAATACAAACTCACCCGTATCATATCAGTTATCTAGACATGAAACATGCTTTACCAAGAGCGCTGCGAGCTCATCTCGCGAAATTGCTGTATGCATTGACCATTACCCCCGGCATGGATACCGTACTCGTGGAAACATGGGCAAATACTTGTGTCCGCCTGATAAGGTGGGTTCACTCAATAATCTGTCCGGCATGGCCCACATCCTAACATTGGTGCTTTAGAAAACCAAAACGTCTGGGTCCTGAAGATCTGACATTACCTTGGAAACCCCTGTATCAGCTGATTCATAAAGCGATCTTTCCGAAATCAAGACAAAGGACGCTCATTTCAGTATCGTATGTATTTACCCTCTTGATACACTGCCAGCAAGCAAGCACGTAAACAAAGCAAGCGAAGATGAAAGAGACCATTGACACACTTCTTTTGTGTAGAAAACATTTATCATCAGTGCTTCGTTTGATCGAATATGGACAGCGATTCTTTGACCCTCATGCTACGCAAGAGATTTTGGACGAGTTTTTGCCGAAATTCACCACTCACTCCGTATCGAATGCCATCATGGCTCAAGGGTACCTGGTGCTCTTCTTACCCACCGCTATTCCGCGCCACTCCATCACACATCAGCCAATGGCCCAGGATGCCATGGCACCCTCGGACTATTTACCCACCATTTTCACGCTTTGGTCCATTTTTACCTGTTCATCTACTTACGATGCCCAGTTTACTGATATGCTGGCACGGATTGCCGAAGACAATGTCGATACTCACACACACCGACAAGTGGGGATCTTTACCAAAGACCAAGTCAAACAAATCTTTACCGTCTGTTTGCGAATGATGAATTTGCCCGTCGGCAGTCGAAGCGATGGCGGCGGTAGTATGGGTAGTGGCGCCACCGGTGGCAGCTCCACAGGCTATGGGAACAATGGCCTCAAAGTAGACATTAAGGCTGGTAACAGTTTATTTCTTCGACGCAAGCCGGTATGTAGCCGCCCCCACTTCATGATCGTTTAGTGAGTATCGTCTCATTCTGATGTTATGTCCACTATATTTTAGGAGAAATTTAGATCCTTGGCTCGATTTATGGTGTATACCATGTTCCCTGAACGCGGTGATGCATCGAATGATACCGAAGTGTGTTATACGTTGGATCTTTTGCGAGACTTGATTCAAGCCATTGAACTTTATTACCATCCCTCGAACCATGGATCGTGGTCATATTACCTGACCACCTTTGCGCGCCATTTAGCCGCCGAATTTTTACGAAGATGGAGAGAAGGTAAGAGAACATAACAATAGAGGGGGTAAAAAGGACAATATCAAATCTGATGGGTTTCAATATAATAGAGCAAGAGGAAGATTGTCAGACGCCCGCGGAACGCAGATTAACTCCAACTATTCGAGACCAATTTGTGTTGATTTTACGTCCGGTGACGTATCTCAGCATGTTTGGCAAGGATCAATATACTGTCGGTGCCAGTCAATCCACGTTGAAGTATCTTTCTTGTAAGCTTCTCTTTGTTTTTTTTTCTTTGTTCATGATCGATTGAGTATATAAACGGATGTGTTAATGGTGCTGCGCTATCATTCTAGGGATTCAGCCTTCATTGATTTTCCCTGGATTGCTGGAAAGGATTTATCCCTCCTTGGAAACATTGACAGAGGTAGCGTATTCCTCACAGATTGTTGAATGTATGGTTTCTTTTTTTATCTAAACAAAAAAACCTTGTCACAGACCCATCGTACATCAAGCGCTTTGAGCATTTTGGCCGACACTGCTCTTCCTCTCTTCAGTCGCGATCATTATCCTGCAGGCGGAAAACATTTGCTCCCTTTATTGCATCTCGCACTTCCCGGCATCGATATGAACGATCCCATCAAGACCATTGCATCCTTGATGTTTATTGCCAACGCTGTCATGTCTATTCCCGTGGTGGATTTGGCAGATAGTGAGAGCTATTATAATCCTGCCGTCGATTACAGTCATCAGCGGGAAGGCATGGATTTGGATGCAGACCAGGATGCTGAGCTGTCGCGCGAAATGGAAGATCAGTTGTGCCGCGCCACCACAGGAGAGTTTGAAGAATGGCTAGCGAAATTCATGCGTCGTGTATTTACCATTGTATGTTGTCTTTTCTCTTTTTCTTATTTCTTTGCTCTTCGCCTCACCCTTTATCGTTTCTAGTTTGAAAATTTGCCGCAGCATGACAGGAAGAAACAGAGTGGGGCGATGGAAGCCGGGTTGACGCAAACACTGCTGGTACGTAGATAGCCAAAAAATACGGGTATCAAGTGAAACTGGAAAAAGACGATTGATGGGTTGATTGGTTACTAGCATGCATGCGATATCGTGTTTGGTCAATTGTCGGAACCGTTGTATGATTTAGCGCTTCGTATGGTGGTGGATTTTGCAAGCGAGCAAGTGCTTCCGAACGCTGTTCGTGCCACGGGGATGCTGTGCGATTCCATCACTTCGGCGAATCCACAAAAAGCGGCCAAGCGATTTTTCCCGTTGTGCATCAATAATATCATGGTGGAGCTGGAACACGGAGCTTCATCCACCATCACTAATTCCTCGACATCGAACCCGATTCAGTCAGATTCCAGTTTCCATTGGTATCAAAACATTTTATTCTCGGTAGTTTCTATGATGGGTAGCGAGCTCCTTCGATACAAAAAGGACATCTTGGCCGCATTGAAAGAAATGGTCAGCAAATGTAGAAGTAGACGTGGTATCATGTGGACTGGCAAAGTCCTGAGAAACTGCTTACGGACACTGCTCGAAACCTATCCCATGGAATTCCGCAGTGCCACTCCTCGAGAATGGGCAGACAAAGGTAATCCATTAAGATGAACCATTGGAACCATGTGGGCTTCTTCACGTTAAAATCGTGACTGATGATGTGTCTGTCTGTGTGCATGTATATAGAGTATATGGGTCAGTCTTACAAGACGTGGGGCAAACCGGGAGATCCGGCTGCTCTGGAGATCCAATGGCACACGCCGTCAGACGAAGAAAAAGCATTCGCTTCTGAACTTCTCGATACATTCCTTGATCCATCGCTCACACGATTGCAAGAACTGATGACCGACAATGCCCTGCAAGATAAGCCCAGTAACGCACATGCGTTGACCAACGAGTTTTGCCGACATTTGGCGGTAATTCGCAATTGCTTGATTGGCAGTTGGACCATGGTGGAAGATGATGGCATGGATGACGCCTCGGTAGATGATGACAGTCATACAACGGAAGAAAATGCCTTGTATTACGGTACATCCCATCGACTGGTGGCAGGGTATGCTTTTACCGATTTCAACGATCCACGTACCCAAAAAGCACGATCCTACCGCAAACGCATTGGCGAACTGATCCACCAAGCCGCCATTCATTTCAAAACGGAACGAGAAAACGACGTGGAGAGTATTAAAATTCTCATCAAGATCTGTCGTACCTTTTTATCTGAGCGTGGCGTTGAAAAACTCCACTTTGAACGCAGTAAAAGCAGTTACAGTTATGCCAAGAATATTTGCAGGACGCCACTCTGCCATAAACGATATCCTCGACATCTACTAGGTAACAAAAAATAGTGATACGGTAAATCGGTGTGGATTGCATCGGGATCTCAACAAAACTCTATTCATAAAGTACGTCGTGCTTATAATTTGCACTTGCTACGCCTTCGACAAAACACTCAGGGTCGATTAAGAACTACGCTCCACGATGCGCTTTTACGTGATTTGCTGGATTTCTCATTGAGCGCTTATCCAGAAATTCGCAAGTAAGGAGCTCTTGACACAAGAATGAATGTCACGTCACTCAACCTTTTTTCACCTAGGATGAGTCAATCTGCGTTGCCAGCAACAGCACGCAATTTTTTGGGTTCCAAGTCCATCATTATTCCCGTCTTGTTAGAAGCCTTGCAACCGCAAACCAACGGTAAGCGTATTATGACGGGTAGCTCGAAAAAAGCTAATCCCTAACCTGTTTTCTGTTTGTGTATTTGTGTCGGGGCTACAGTGGAAGCGTCGGTTGCTTCGAATCGAATGAAAGGATCTCTTTATTTGCTGACGCACAAATCGATCTTGATGGCCTGTTTGCGTGATTGGCGCTACATTCCCAAATTTATCACGACCCTGTGTCAAGCTCAACATGAAGATAAGGTAGGCTACAAGTGGAAATCATCACCGGGCACAGTAGGCAAAGAACTCAACTCGGCTGATAGATCTCGATCCAAGAATTGATCCGCAAGATCTATCTCGAGTACGTGACTTATTTCAGCGGCTTGATGTTCCGTGTGCTCAGTCCAGACGACATGGACGAGGTGTTGAAAGGAATTGCGCCAGTGGAGATTGAAAAATCCGAGTACATCCATCAAAAGGTGGAAGAACGTGAATCCATGCAAATGGAGGCTTACCGTGGACTGGTAGACGATCTTTTATCGCTTCTACAGAATGATCGCATGCATTGGCGATTTGCGGCCATGGCTGCCAACTTTTTGGAGCTGTTTTTGAAGCCGGAGCTTGCCCCGACAGCCGCCTTGGCCGATTTTGCCAATAAGTGCACCTTGTCAGAATTACCGCCTCTGAGACGGACCGGTGTCGAAGCAACGAGCCGTCTTTTGCTTTACATTAAGCAACGCACCTTTGCCCGTGGTAACGAAGATCTGTTCATCACTCATGAAACACGTAACCCGCTGAAATACGAGGTGACGGTGGGAAAAGACACGCTTCATTCGGCACCACAACTTTTGGGCGCATCGTTTTCAGAAACAGAGGACAACGGTTCAACGTAAGCTTTCGCTTTTGGATAAAGTTTCCTTTTTATGTTTGCATCATGAGGATAAGATTAGCTACATTCGATGTTAACATTGGTTTTTTTTTCTAGTCCTTTGATAGATAGCACAGTGACGGGTTGGTACGTTTGGCCGGCGTCGTACGAAGCGTATGCGCCTTGCACAAGTGAGAGTTTGTTTGCCGAGGTAGATGAAGCGAGCCAAGGCGCTTTCGACCGATTTCGAGTAACGTTTACTTCCGAGAGTTACTGGAAAAAACTTTTGGAGTACATGTCGCAGGAATTCAATCAGAAGCAGGAAGACTGTTTCGGCGTAAGTCACGGGCGATTCTATGTCAGTATTTTCCAAATGTTCCAAGATGAGCCTATCGCGACGGTGCGACCTGTCTTGGAGGAACTGTGTTATTCCGCAGATCAAAAGAGCAGGCAGCGAGCCGCGGCTGAACTGACGGGAGGAATCATTCGAGGTAGCAAACATTGGAATAGCACCAAGAAGCAACGCCTGTGGGACTGGATCATTCCCGTCCTGAGAAAGACCTTGGCCAATATTACTCCCGACTGTCTAAGTTACTGGGAAAGTTTTGTACGGTTTTGCGCCGTAAGTCGAGCTATTTGATCTTTCTGTTTTTCCTGGAACCCTCTTCCTTTATGTTTAACGGGTTTTATCCTCTTTTTTTTTCAAAAAAAAAATACAGGCCAACCGTGATCCGAGACGTATTCGACCGCTTATCGATTTGATCCTGGAAGCCGAGTTTGATCCTTCTTCCGATGCGGCGTTTTCGGAATCGCGGAAATTACTATTGATTCGTGCTTTGATCACGTCGCTGAAATGGCGCAGTCTTCCAGTCTGTGATGCACCGTTATCAATGTATATGCAATACATACAACATCCATACAAACAAGTTCGAGAAGTCATTGGCGGAAATATCAACAGTATCATGCAAATACAATGGGTACCTTCGGCGCCGTCGGTAGCTGATCTCATCCAGAGTCATCATGACGGAGATGGCGTAGGTAATGTGCCAACCCATCTGCAAGGCCAAGCCGAGCAGCAGTTGTCGACATTAATGAAAAATATGGATCAATGGTGGGAAGAAGCCCAATCGCAACCGATGGCCGCTTCCAGTCATTTCGCCAATGCCAGTAAAACAGGTACGTTTCACAAAAGAGAGAGAGAAGAGCAAAATCGCGACGGTACAGTATGCACATGATTTAACGGTTCATCCTATAGTTCTGTGTTGGCTTCATGCGGCCTTGACGCAGTGGCGTGTCGCTGGAACGTTGGCTCTCGTTGTTCCCTTTTTACCACGCATCTTTCAAATGCAAGAGATCAATGACGATCAGGATCTGCAACAAATGGCTGGGCGCGTATTGCGACTGATGGCTCAGGTCTCTTATCCGCCTTCCATGGTGTGCACTATGATTGATCAGTTTGTGGCAATTCTTACCACCTCATCGAGCTGGCATATGCGTATCCGAGCTTTGCCGATCTTGCAAATCTTTTATTTCAAACATTTATTTGTCATGAACAGCGATCAAGTGCTGCGTATTATGAGTGTGATCAGTAGTATGCTGCTTGATTCGCAAATAGAGGTAGAATTTCTTGCCCCGGTATCCATGGAATCACTAGGTGAAACTGATGACACGGTTTTTCATTTTAGGTGCGTCAATTGGCTTCCGTGACTCTGGGTGGATTGGTGCGATGTTCGCAGCGCGATGCAATCAGTATGCTGAGAGCTCGTTACTCCAAGTTATTGAATACCAAAATTCCCAAACTTCGACGTGATATAGTAACGGGTAAAGCCATCGAGCCTGCCGGGTATGGTGAAGCGATCCTTCAAAAACATGCAGGCGCCCTCGGTTTATCATGTCTCGTCAGTGCCTTTCCCTACGAAGTACCCAAATGGATGCCAGATGTTCTTTGCCAATTAGCAAGCTGTCAATCCGATCCAGCCGAAATCCAAGTAATTCTTGTGTAGTATTAACGTTATGACGCGCCACTTGCTGATGTGATGACTCGTGTATTTTTTTAGGCAACGATTCGCAAGACGTTTTCGGATTTTAGACGAACGCATTCGGATACATGGCATGAGGATATGAATCAATTCGATGAAGATCAGCTATCCATTTTGAACGATATGCTCATTTCTCCCTCCTATTACGCTTAGACACCTCCAAAAAGAATAGTAATCGGTAGATCAAATTTATGCATGTGTAAACATTCATTTCATCACATCCTTTGTTTCAAAGAATCGGTATAAAAAAAAACTCTAAAATCTAATATTCTTGCAGTAAAAACTTCGCCGCCTAAAAAGTTGGCATGAACCAGCCAGGAAGCTTTTTAGATCACGATATTGTGCTTGCCAGACGTCGATAAACACACATGAACAAAAAGGAAATCTTTTCCACTCACATCAAAAGCGCGTGATGGCACGCTTACACTGCTGGCCAAGACATCTAGAGGCAACAAACGGGTCACGGTTATCAAAGCGCAGTCATTGCGGGGTTTAAACATTCACGGATTCCTGTCGCGTTTCATAAAAAAAAAAGGTTCCATCCTCTCTTTTTTTCTCCTCTTTCTCTCTCTTCTCAAAGGAACGACAACCTCTTCAAGCAACGTTCTACTTACGCAAGGTCTTTACAAACAGAGATGTCACCCTCGAAATACCTTTGACGTTATCGGTGGTCCTTGCTCATGTTATGCTCAACTCTCAAGCACATGGCGCAGTCGTTCCTCATTCTCTGGCGGCTACCTGCTGTTTCAAGCCCCTCTCTCTCGACGATACGAACTCTCTCCGGCGATACGATCTCTTTCTGGCGATACAAACACGATAAAACTCCTTCCTCTTACTTCCCCCACCCATTGTAGTCCTCCGGGACGTATAGCCCTTGGTTTGTCGTATAATCGTTAGCTTTTTAACGATTTTGGTTTTTCTCCCTCTTCCGGTGGCGAGTTATCACCCGTCCTTCACGTCACAGGCGTCATCGATAATTCGTTTCAACTGGCCGGCGCCATTTTGCTGTGATATGTCAAGCCTGATGACACCGCCCTTTTCCTTTGCATGACATGGGGCAAAAAGGATTTCTTTTCGCAAAGGACCTAGGACGAACTGGTTGCATGTAGTGTACAGTCTATATTCTTTTTCGCCTTTGCATGATGAACAATGGTAAGCATTTTTTTAACTCTTTCTCTTTCTTATTATTATTTCATCGCCAAATGATCCGATGATTGACGCCTTCTACATATGGACTGCCGAGCCGTTTCAAGTAATGAAGAGCGGGGATGTCTCCCTCCACGGCACATGATGCGATGCGGCCTTCGCTACCAATATAGCGAGGGTAGAAGCGGGCGGCCACCCCCACGTACGAGACATGCCTGATTGGAGAATAATTACATGCGGGTGTTGCGATAAGGTCAGTCGGCATCACTTTCTCTGCATCGCCATGTATTGGACGTCCACCAAAGCTAGATCGCGTAAATGTTCATCATGGTCGCTCTGTCAGTTTCTGGATTTGTTTTCGCCTGGGGGGAAGGGCAACATCTAGTGAGCTGGCATTTGCCTTGTTCGGACTACGCATTACGGGACTTTACGCTAAGGAGACAACCGCAGTCCCACACTTCCCTCTTCACAGGGTAGTGAATTCTCTCGGGATGCTTGTCGAGGTGAAGCCGGAAGTTTCCATTTCCGGGGAGCCTTGCATGCTCTTTCAACAAGTAGACCTTGAGTGGGATGTCGGGTTCCGTCTAGTTTCAACGTACTGGTGTGAGGATTTCTTTTCGGTATTGTAACTGTGTCTATGGTGGGCCACATGCAGTTCGGTCGATTTGCCAGAGCAAGTAAGTTAGGTAATACTATGACTTGCTAGCTGGTATTCGGTTGAAACGAGGTGGTCGGAGCATGCGGCACGCGAGGATGGATCAGGCTCTTTTATCCCTGTCTATAGGCTCTGCAAGTAGACTGAAAGGGGAGCTGTAACGCAGTTTTTCCTAGAGGGATTGGAAAGCAATACCGGGGATTTTCAGGCATAGGATTTATACCGGCACACACTGTACACTCGACTGCTCTTCACCACTTTATAACCTTGTTTTTATCCACCCTCACAGGTCATGTCTTCCATACATGGTCTGTTGCGGATAAACAAGCAAGATCTTTTCCATTATATGTATAATATTTTTTTTTTACATAATTCAATGACAATATTGCAACTACCATTTTTTTTTAGTTTAACTTTGTCGCGCTTTTTCTTCGTTCATCAATGTCTGTGACTTTAAATTCTTTTTCTGGACCTTGCTTCTTCTGTAATGACGTTGTCGCTGCTGCATGTTGAGCTCGCTTTCTTTTTCTTTGCGATGATACCATTACTAAGAATCTGTTTTCTTACTCCCAACCCGATGATGTGAACCCTCATGGATTCTTCTGTCTCCTATTTTTTCAATCATTTTCAATTTCGATCAAGCTGCAAGGACTCCATTAACAGTGCAACAATTTTTGATGGTTCATTTATCTTGGCATTACTAATTGGCTGCTTAAAATGCATATGCCGTATGATGCAAGTCAAACAGGTGGGTTTTAAGAGGTCTGATCGGATAATGCTGTCCGCAGCAATTATCACTATTTTATCTGTCCAAGGCCCTTTATCGGACACTGTATATCTGAACCCCTCTAAAAAAAACATAATGAGTTTGCAATGAAATGAAAATAAAGTATCAATTGAGCGACTTAAGAATCGAAATTGACAAAAAAAAGGTGTGGGTGATAGTCAAGCAAATGCTGCTGCTTGATGAATTTGAACTCAGCTGTGAAATGAGTGGCTAAGCCAACAATGAATGGGAATAAAATTTCCCTTGTCAACAACACGGTGGAAAAAAGTTGGGATTTCCACCTAAAACTTCCTGTCCTTTATAACCACCATGTCTACTAGAGTGTACATTGGTCGTCTTGCACGTGATGCTCGTACCCGCGATCTTGAACGCCTTTTCAAGGGCTATGGCGACATTGTTGAAGTCAATGTCAAGAGCGGATTTGGATTTGTCGAATTCCGTAATCCTAGAGACGCTGAAGATGCGGTGTACGATTTCCACGGCACGGAATTCCTTGGTGAAAGGTATGTGAGCCTCACAATGTGGAAATTGATCAGAATGGGGAGCGGTTTCAAAACAAGTCAATTAACATGGATCTAGATTGATCGTTGAATTAGCTCGTGGTACTCGTCGTGGTCGTGACGAACGTGGTGGTCGCCGTCGTGACGATCGGTAAGCATGGTGACCGTGGTGGCTGTTATATATATGTATATTTGTGGTCGATGATGACTAATTATGTCAACCTGGTTATTGGGTGTTGATGGTTGTTGTTGCAAATAGTCCGCATTATCGTTTAGTTGTCGAAAACGTTGCTCCTGGAACAACCTGGCAGGTACGAGCCTCTTTTCCCACTCCACTCTGCGGATACGCTCCCTCTGTTTTTTCTTGTGAAAGAATCCATGGCCAATGGCTTTGCGTGTGATTTTTTTCTTCTTGTTTTTGGTCTGTCCGTGTTGGAAAGAAAAAAAAGGAAAACCAAAACATTCTGGGCCGTTCTGTGTATCCCTTCTTTCACCTCGTTCCGCCTCAAAAACGGGTTGGGGAGTTTGCTGTTATCTTTATCAAAAATCTTGTCTTGTTCTGCTTTGGGTCTCTAAATTTCCTTTGCTTCCGACTCTGGACTTGGCCTCCCTTAGGAACTCAAGGATGTGATGCGCAAAGCAGGTGAAGTCACCTTTGCCGATATTCTCAAGAACCGTCCCGGAGAAGGGTAACGTATTTTTTTTCATACGAATTGAATGAAATATGATTATTTCTCATCCAGTATGTGTTTTTCTTTAGCGTTGTGGAATTCTCTCATCGTTCCGACATGGAGTATGCTCTCAAGAAGTTGGATGACTATGAATTGAATGGTGAACGTTTGAGACTCCGTGAGGTGAGTCACCCAAATTGTCTGTTTTTGAATTGGAAAGGGGATCAGTATGTTAAAAAGGTTTGCGACGTTGTAGGATAAGGGACGCCGTTCTTCTCGTCGTTCTCGCAGCCGTTCGGTTTCTCGCAGCCGTTCGCCTCGTCGTCGTTCTTCTCGTCGTCGATCGCCTTCGGCTTCCGTGTCGCGCTCTCGTTCGCGTTCGCCTGCTTCTCGTTCGCGTTCACCGCCTCGTCGTCGTGATCGTTCCGCCTCCGGTTCCCGTTCCCGTTCGCCTCCTCGACGATCCAGTCGTCGTGATCGTCGCGATGAAGACGACACCAAGGATGCAGAAATGAAATCGCCTGCATCGGATCGTGAAAGATCCCCCGCTGCTGCTCGTGACCGGTCCATGTCTCGAAGCCGTTCTCCTACCCCTGATCGCAACGAAGAAAGGTAAGCATCAAATCATTTGCAAGTCAAAAGATGCAGTGATACGGACAGGTGTATTGACGCATAATGGTGATTATTAGTGACAACCGAAATTAAGTCAGTTTCTCTTTATAAAATGTGCCTGAATTTTAGTCTTTGAGTTTGCTATCAAAGTTTGTCTGAAAGTTTGAAAAAAGATATTTGACATTGAACAACCAAAAGAGGAATGACAAAATCAAGGAATCAAGGAATCAAACATGTGAATGCGTTCAAAATGTTATTAAAAATCTTTTAACTTTTGATATGTTTGCATAGCCGACCATTTCAGGAAACAAAAAAAAAAGAGCGAGTGAATGAAGAAAATTACGTAGATGACAAGTCTATATTACAAAAAAAAAAGGACAGCTTGGCTGTGAGTCAACCGCCAGATTTTAAGAGGAATTAGATTTGGGAGGAGATGGATGGCTGATCCGACGACGGTTTATTATTCTTTGCAGAGCCGGCCGGTTGGAGGGCCGTCCGTTGAGCGTCTTGCTGTATTTGATAAAGATAGACAAGGCTTTGAATCAAGTAAGCGTGGCCTTGTTCAATCTGAAGCGCTTTGTAGCATCGTGTTAAAGAGTGCATGGCTAGCTCAAACACACGTGCTTGATGACCGTGCATTAAGCGGGCATTATTCAGCATGTTGGCATAGTAATTCTGTCCGACGTGGGTAAAATGATTGGCCAAGCGTACCAGAGAAACGGTCCAGATTCCCTTTTCCGTGGCCTCGTTTTGTTTCTTTCGCCACCACCAGAGAGGTCGATACCGTGGCATCTTGCGTTTCAAAAGGACAGGCCAATCCCAAACCGCGGGCTCGAAAACGGGCTGGGCCATGCTAAAGATGGATGTATCCGATGCTCCTGGAGTTTGGCTCCCTATACTGCAACGGCCACCACCACCGGCACCACCACCACCACCATGGACACGCTCCCCACTTGCTCTGCGACCCGTGCCTGTGCCTCCTGCTTCCAGCCCCCTGGGTGATCGTTCCCAAAGAATCGACTGCGGTCTTGCAGAAAAAATCCGGTTGGCGAGATGCTGCATATCCTGATGAATGCGGCCTTCGTCGACATTGAACACATGTTGATAGTTGCCGGCCATGCGTGCTAAATTCTGCGCGACATTTTCTTCAAAAACGTCACCAAAGTCGCGGGCAATGTCGTTGATAAGTTTGTGGCATTCCAGCTCGGTGGCCGTGGATTCTTCAAACACCAAATAAAGTTTGTTGAGTGACCCCAAACCTAGGCCAAGGCTGGTCAGGTGCTGCCGAGTCACCTTGACAACACGACAACCTTGCAACGGCGTGGATGAAACCAACGACGTAATGATGGTTTCGATCCGGGCTCTTTTCCATTCTTTGCTCAGTTTCTGGAGGGCGCCCAAGAGTTCGGTCAATTCTTGGTGGGCTTGGCCATATTGATCCAGTTGTTGGCTTTGACGCTGGATTTCTTCGAGTAGCATGGCCCGCTTTTGATCGGATTCCATGGGCCGAATACGCATCAAGTCCATCTGAATTTGATATTTGTCACGTAGCTGCATGATATAACTCGCGAGCGAGTTCCATGCATGATTATCTTGAGACGACGGCACGTGATGATCGGCTAATGCTTCAGCAATCCGCTGAAGATGACACTGATCGGCTGGAGTAACGATGCCAAGGTTCAATTGGCCGGGGGACGTCAAAAACTGAATCGATTGCATAAACGCACTGATCGGCAACGACAGTTGTGCGCCATTGAGATCGTGCAATTCCGACAGAGGTTCAGGTACAGGGATTGGTCGGCTGTGCTGTGTGGCGGTCATCGCTACAAAGGTTAGGGAAAAAAAAAAGGAAAAAATGTAAGATGAAAGATTTAAGATGAAGGAAAATAAATATGGAGAGTAAGAAATGAAAAGTGACAAGAAAGAGATAAAAAAATAAAAGAAAAGGCAAACATTCTTGTAGTAAAAAGGGAAAACGACCTTTTAGCGTGTAAGCGTGGAGGCGATTTTTTTCCCTTCCAACTACAGCGCCATAGGACCAGAAAAAAAGAGGACCCCAAATTTTTATCATCCCACTAACCATTTCATGCTACTTTTTTACACATTCACCATCGTATCACCATTTGACTAATTTGAATATTATGTAAGTTCATCTTGTATCCTTACATGATTGGCTTTCAACTCATGCTTCTTTTTATTCTTCATACTGTTGAATGGTCCTTCCATCGGACCCCAAAAAGATAAAAAAAAAAAAAAAAAAAACTACTTCCATGTCAGCTTGATTTTCCCCCTTGTCCTAGGATATACATTGCATCCTACTTGACACTCGGCCAAATATAGTTATGCAGCTGCGAACGGACATTATTTGGTCAGGCTTAAGCACAGGATGAGTTGCTCTTTTTGCTACTACATGGACTCCAGCCTTTCTATTAATGTTCACTCTTCTTTTTTTTCCAATACTTTTCTTTCAACCCCTACGAAGCTACATGATAACCTGACTTGACAAAGTATGCGGGCCTTTTTTTTTCATTTGATTTTTTCACGTTATCTAGTACCAAAAACAGTACTCGGATGCTATGGCTGGAATGAATCATCCACCTTGAACCTTTTAGAGAACAACCATATTAACCACTAACGGAAAAACAAATACAAACGCTCTGTCTTTCACAGCCTGTATTTACATCCACGCCCATGACTATAAATAGAATGCTTGGAAATTGCAAGTTCCCTGAAAGATTGGATTTGGGCGGTACCTAGGCGGCATCAAGGATAGAACCTTACTGTAACGAAATGTGATAATTGCATCTCCTAAAAAAATTTACTTCATTCTCCATAAATGACAGCCATCTAGAGTACCTTGTTTATAAGATAAGGATGGGGTCGGGTGGCTAAGGGGACGAATTCTTTGTGAGCATGAATGGCACCATCTTGTCCACCAGCAGCTTTTAGCCTGGTTACCTAAAAAGGCATGGCGGCAACTTTACCTTTCTTACTGTTTGTTATGCGTCGCAGCCACATGCAATAAAAAAAAAAGGAAACCCAAAAATAGAAAGAGACATTGGCAGCCGTCAAACCCGCCTTCAACTGAGGCACCAAACCTTGATCGAGTCACACGCAAATCAAGTTCAATGCTACCAGCCAATCAAAGTATGTTCATAATCCAACATTTTCAGGACACCGAATTTAATCATAAACCGCGTTCACTTTGTTGCAACAAATGTCGCATGAACTTTTTTACATAAAATAATGGAATATGTGGCTTTATTTTGCATACAATGTTTTTAAACCATCCCTAGATGCCTATGTATGCGTCGATTCTGAACGCGATGTCTCGGTTCTTTATCAACTAAGTCGTCCAGCTGGAAAAGAGGCAGATCTACAGGACCGTTCCTCGAAAAGCATTTGAAGCCTTATTCATGAATACTGTCGGTCTCGGCATGCCGCTTTTTGCAAACAGCTAGTTGCTGCTGTTAATGTCAGAGCCCTGCTGAGTGATTTCAGTATTGGTTGCAACAATGGCACATGATCGTTGTCTCGTTGATTATGCAATTTACGAGCATAATAACCTATGATAGTAATGTGGTCACCTTCTTGATCTGAGCGCTGGCGAAACTTTGAGCAAAGGTATCCGCGGCATGATCACAATTCTTCATCAATTGAATGTGCCCTGGCTACTTCTATGTTCTGCCAAGCACTCCTGTGTAACAATCTAAGGATCGTCTTGCAGCTCATCAAGATTGTGGTGTTGAGCCGGGAGTCTCCTCGCAGCAAGCGACCGCATGCCGAAGCAGATTTTGACAATCCGTCTCTATAAAATTGTACGTCAAGAAATGGCAGCGCTTTGCGGTTTGATGACCGAGCAACACGAACGATTTTCATGATGGTGATAACATTGATGACAGAAACAAGAATGATGTTTAGATCTTTCTTCGTTTATCATCCTTCAAGGCAGTCCTTCGTGCAAAAGTGTTCGGTTGGTAATATCGCCAGGATTTTATCGTCTTCAGAGATATACCGCGGCTGGGCTATTTTTTTGTTCCGATGCTTGGTAACCTTACCAACTTCTGGGCAAGGATCGTACGAGAGGTGTTAATAAAGCACCAGAAACTAATGAAAAAGAGATTGTTATGCCACGAATTACCGGGGTAAGTACAGTTGATTTTAATCGGGGACAAGAAGCTATAGTATAGTTACAGTAGCACCAAAGCGGATCCTTTTCCTTCTTTAGTACTGATTTATTCCAGGCTACTTTGTATTATTTCCGATGTAATCGGAGCTCTTCAAGTTGAACAGGACCATCATAAGAGAAACTAGTGACTTGACTGCGTAGTTAAAGTCTGTGACGTTGGGTTTGAAAAAGCCAGAACGCAATTATGAATATTGTGCATTTTATGATTCAGAAAATTCAAGAACTGAAAGTAATGGAAGTGACATGTTTGATCGCTAAAGCCCAGTTTCTAAAAAAAGGTTGACTTGCACATTTCTGGAATGCAAAAATAATGTTTGATTGATACGGTATAATATTGATTGACTACGGCATCCCTTGTTGGGAGCACTGTATGATGTTTCTATGTATAATGATACAGAATAGAAAAAAGAAAAAGGTTGAGAATAAAAATAAGAAAATGTGGAATATATGTACATGAGTGAAACAATAGTGATGATAAAAGGTCAATACAATGTCATCATTAGACGATAGAGTTTTACACGAGAGAATACGGAGCAAAAATGATGAACATGGAGGAAAACAGATAGAGATGCGGTGATGGAGGGATTTTTCAGCCCTTGAAGACAGGACGTTTAGTGGGCCGCTTGGAAGTGGTTTGACGCGTGGTTGTTTTGACGGTGGTGGTGGAAGTGACATTGGTAGTGGTTTTAGGTGTGGTTTTACGCATCATACTTGGCCTTGGGGGCACTGTCACAGTGGGATTTGTCAAACGTCGTTGATGCGACGGGATTGCTTGTTTCGGTAATCCCTCCTGAGACGAAGGCCTTTGTCCCTTTTTCAGATGTTGGATCTCCGCCAAGGTTTGATCCAATTGCTGTTGCAGCGTCTTTTGTGATTTTTGGCTCTCGTGCGCTTGCTTTTCCACCGACCGTTGCAAGAGATTCATCATTTCCACCGCTTTTTTTACGCTTCCCGTAAGATCCTGACGGCGCGATGATTCATTGACGATGGATTCTTCGAGTGTCATGACCCGATGCATCAAATGTTCGTACGTGTCATGACGTTCAATGGTCTTGCATAGCGTCTCAAATCGTTTCACAACCAGTTGATGTTCTTTTTCTGCTTTTTCACGCCGTTTCCGTTCCTCGTTGAGCAAGATTTCGAGTTTTTGCATGCGTTCTTGGGCTTTTTGTTGTTGGTGTTTCAAAGTAGTGTGAAACATATCGACGAGTTGGACCATGCCTGAGATGGGAGGAGGCCGGTCCGAGACCTTGGTATGTTTGACATCCTGACGCCACATATCCTGGATATGGTTGGCGACTTGTTGCTCCAATGTATGATTATCGGCGGTCGAGTCCTGGGTGGTGAATGTGTTTTTGGCCCGTTTGTTACGGTGCAGTAGACTCCGCGGAACGTAGTGGATGGCCGGCGAATTATCTAAAGGGGGAACGAGCAAGCATGAAACCGGTCGCTGGGAATTCAGAATCGATCGACGACCTTGTAAACAAAAACACAATGTATACATGAATGGATATGTTGGATTTGAAACAAAATGCATCGGTTTTTTTTCGCTTACCAATCTCGCTTTCAAAATGCAGATCAGCGAGGGGAGAATGAAGTGAAGGCGAGAGCGAAGCCGATTTCGGCAAGGGAGGGACGGTGATGGTCGGTGGGTTGGGTTCGGAGGGTTGAGAAGATAGGCATGGTGACGGTTCCGGTTTCAAGGGGGTGGATCGTTCGACGTCTGTCATCCAATCAATGACGGCTTGATCTTTCTTTTGGCGTTGTTGATCTTCGCGTAATTTATGACTGGAGAACCATTCAGCCATAGCTACTTGGTCTGGCACAGGAGGCGCGACAGTGGAATGCATGGCGGTGGGCGTGGCTGATACGTGCGGATCCGAGGAGGAGGGTGGTTGGGTGGAATATCGTCGTCGTTCGGCAGTGGATACGGCGAGTTTCTTTAAAAACCTGGATCGTGGTGGAAATTCGTAATGTTCTTGCTCGGCCGTCAAATTCTGAGGAATAAGGATCTCCTGCGTTCCATCGGGATAACGCTGAATCGTCACCTAGATGAGTTTCAAAAAAAAAAAGAGAATAAGCTCAAAGCTTTCTTTCTTTTGGGAGATCTTTTTTTTTTTTAAGTATTCAATGGTTTATCAGGTAAAAAAGTAAAAAAAAAAAAAAAAAAATTCAAAAGAAGAAAGAAAAGAAAAAGAGAATCTGGAGAAACAGTAACGATGATAGAGTTTAGACATGGAAAAAAAAACAGTGAGCGGAAAAAGGAGTTCTATGATAATTCCGATGACACCAAACCACCGCATTTATCATGTGTAACCGTGCAACGCCTCTCAATTTGCCCACTAACAGGTTGTAACCCATGAAAGAGCCAACGACAACCCACAAGAAAAAAAAAATGGGAAAAATTTCGCCTCATCCTCCTCGACATATAAAAGAGGGGGGGTGGGTCTGGGGAATCATCCGCAAAAAAAAAGAATCAAGGGTAATGAAAGATAAAGCCGCCCACCTTTCTCCGGTCTCCCCACACGAATAACAACCGAGATTTGCGTCTTCGTTGAATGACTTGAGCCATGGCTTGGGCTGCACGTGCAGCTATTCGTCGCTGTTGTTCTGTTTTTTGGTCCATCACACTGCTGCCGGAGGATGCGCGGCCCGTGCGCATGGTCGGCGGTACCGGCTGATGCGTACTGTTACTGTTCGTCCTCGTTTGGTGTCGAGATGGATGCATTTTTCAGGTTTTTTTTTTGTCTTTTTAAGAAAGCAATTTGGAAAAGAAGAAAGAGAATAGATCCCCCCCTTGTTTTTTCCTGCTTATTCCCAAAAAGAAACAACAGAAAAACAGTTTCACCCACAGCACCCAAAAGTCAATCCAAAATGACCACACAGCGATTTCAACAAGAAAAAAAAAACGAACAGCCACTTTGTTGCTCTTTTCTTTTTGCCTTTTTTTTTTTTGTCTTTTTTGATTTCTTGTTCACGGTGAATGATTAGGAGTCAAACTTATTTTATAGCAATAAAGAAGACAGATTAGTCGGAAACAAGAAAGAGAAAAACCAAAAATAAAAAAAAGTTGGATGTAAAGAGAGAAAGAGAGAAAAAGGAAAGGGGAAATTGTAAAAAAAAAAAAGCATAGTTAAAATTTTAGCGAGAAAAAAAAAAGGTTTCGAGGCAGCGTAGTATCAGCGGCGTGAAATGGGACACTGTCGCATCACAATATACAATCGCATCTTTTTCTTCTCATTTCCGCGTGAGAATAGAGTCACTTGGCTTAATTCCCCACGTTGATTCAAGACTGTTCCGCTGATTGTTGTCATGGTTTTCCCACAATCCATGGATACACACCTCATTTCTTCTTTTTCTTTCTTAATTATGCATCTTGGTAGGAGTCAGTGGTGGGGGTAGTTTAACGTGGCTGCCACAAAAAAAAAGAAAAAAAAAAACGAAAACGTTAAAAAAAAACGTACCAAAAAGATAATTATAAAGTTCAGTCATACAACGATCCTCGTGACTGTTTTGGGAATTCACTTACCCTGCCTCACCCGATGAGGTTTGTGCTTCAGGCACCTCATTCGTATCAGCAAATGGATCAAATGGATCTACAAGCGCAGTACTCGAGGCCTGATGTTCTGGCATCGGCATGCGGGTGTCTACGCTCGGACTAAAAAGCACACACAATCCATGATGAGACTCGGCCACATCACCAACATCGTATTTCTTTTTTTTTTCTTTTTTACCTGGATTGCATTTCTTTAAAGGGATTATAACGTTGTTCCAAGGGCGGTGATGCAGATCGTCGCGGTGATGACGATTCTCCCGCTCCGCTGGCACTGGCTTCAGATGCATTAGCGTCGGTCCCCGTGGCCGTTTCAGTCTGTATTTGTGCAGCGAAAAATCAACAAAATGTCATGTTATCAGTGAGGCTCAACTGATCAACAATGAAATGCATAGACAACGTGGAAAAACAAAGCTTTTTCGTACCTGACGAGTACCACGAACATTTTCCACACACGAGTTTTGTGTCGCTTGATCCACCGCACTTCGTTCCAACATATCGTCGTACGCTTTAAACGTGCTAATGAACTCATTATTCGCTTCCAACAATGCCGCTAATGGTGACATGTTTGCAATTTTTTTAGAGTTCAATTTGTGTAACTTGTCTCCTTGCCCAAACAAAAAAGAAAAAAAAAAGTTTTGGCCTGCAACACTTACATATGACGTCGGGTTCATCGCATGTTTGCAGATGATTGGAGATAATGGTCTGATACGACTTGCATTTTTCATAGAATTCCTAAATTCAAGGAAAATCTCGGATTGGTTTTCTTTGAATTTTTGAAAAAATCAGCCTTGGTGGGGTTTACCTGAATTAACTCGTTTTTGGTGATATCTTCTTGTGTTGGATCGGTGAACGACAAGGTTTGGGAAAGGAGTTGTGCATTGTTCTTGGCAACCTCCACGTCACGCATAGCATCTCGAGGCTGCAATAACATGATGAATACACCCACACTTCTTTGGTTCTTTTTTTTAGAGCCAATGAGCACTCTTTCTTTTTTTTTTTTTTTTTTTTACCTGGCTTGCTGCGTGGTCGCTGGCTGTTCTGTCACCATACGATTGCCGTCCACGACGTCGATCGGTCGGTCTTGCGGCCGATCCACTCATCAGCATATCATGAACATGTCTTACGGCCTGGAATGAAGAATCATAACCGAATTGACTAACCCAATTTTGCAAACATTGAGCCAGTTTGGCAAACACACGTTCGTCCGTCGCCTAAGAACCCGAGTAGATGGTCAATATTATTCTGTTGTCCACCCATTCTAAATGAAAAACCAAAATGCCAGCGCTTTGTTTTATCTACCTTGTGAGCGGCCAAGTTTTCCAAGTCCTCGCCAAATGATTTTGCCGAGAGTTGGTCTATGCATCTCTGGGGTAAATGATCCTTGGTACTTTTTAGACACTCTGCCTGTTTTGCTGGAGCTACTTACTCTGAAACTTTCCTCTGCAATTTTCGGCCAACGCATTTAATAACTGTGATAGGAAATGGAACCGGTTAGACGCCGTGCAACCGCCCATTGAGTCCCACTATAGACACTGGGGCTACTTGCCTCCAAAGCAATCACTTGCGTGTTGGGATTCGTAGACAGCATTTTCTTTTGCAACAGTTTACGTGCTTCTTTGGCCCCCGTTTCGGTATTATTCACGACATCACATATCTGAAAAACCAGCGACCAGTCCAGTTCGGTTGCGGAAGGGTCGGTCGCTTTTTCTACAAGCGTCCAAAATGAGCCCATCATGGAACCATGGGCAAGCATGCGGCGACTCTCTAATGACAAATAGACGACATACCAATATTGGTTGTAATAGTGGTAGGTGTAATCTTTTTTGAAAATAGCGGCATCTTTTAAAACGAGTGAGCAAGTGGAATTCAGAGAAGCAAACGATTGAAAAGAAAAGGGAGGGTTCAACCGCAACTGCAAACAAATTCCGAAATAGGAAATGGAGAGAACTATATCCAGCCAAAAAAAAATTTCGCGCATGACAAAAAGTGGGCATCATTTTTCCTTGTCAGTTATCTTAGAGACGAAACATGTTATCAACTCACCCAATCCAATGTATTAAGCGCTATAGTTGCTCTTATGTTACTGTGGGAAACAAAGAACGACCCCACCGGATGATTAGAGTGAAAACATTTTTTGGCAAAGACGTGGTCACGGTTATGCGCGCGGTTAATAAGGAATATTGGGGAATGCCAAGATTCAATCCTCGGTCGCACATGATGTTTTGTCACACTGACACGGTAAAAAAGAAACCATTGTGTCTTTCAGTGTACATCCATCTCCTTTTTAGCTAATTCGACAGTAGTGATCTACTATTCAACCGCGCGTGTTTGCTCCTGGAGAGCTTATCTGCAATTGCTGAAGCTTGCCCCATTTCGTCATGAGCAATAAATTGTTTCTGAATCAAATATGGCGATGCAGGTCCACCTTTTTCGTCCAATCAACAATCCAAAATGATACTATTGGATCATGACATGATTCACTGTATCCTTAAATCGATTCGCTTTGGCGGCCGTTGAATACACGCATATTCACAGCCACAATTAGCAATTGCCGACTCCTGTTGATTGCTGCAAACTGCACGTGGGCGGGTTGCTGCCTGCATAGTGTTGAATAAAACCAGGAACCGCCTTTTTTTTTTCTTGGTCTATCCATTTTGGACGATCAGCATAGGTAAATGTGCGTCCATCTGATCGCATGGATTCAATTGACTCATTCAGAACGAGGTGCAAGGTTCACAAAACAACGTATGCCAAAAAGTATTTTACTTGATGCCAGGCCTATTGAGTCCCCTTCTGAAAGATAGTAACCTTTTGTAGAGCAGTTGACGATGTCTACATGTATGCTTGTTATCTGCAAACACTGGGACAAACAGACCAGTTAAGGGCAATCCGTCCATCGAAACCAATTCACATGGATTTTTGGCAAAACTCAAAAAACTTTTTGAGTGACAGTCTCAATTTTTTGAGAGCTTTGATGATGCTTCTAAAGGCGCGATAAAGGGTTCGTTTATTGAACTAACTGATGGATGCAATGCCATACTTCAACCACCCTCTTTTACCCATGACAGAAGATCCACGGTGATCGGCGCTTGTTCATGAGGTTTCCAAAAAAGGAAAAATCGTGGCCCACCCAATTCATCAAAAGTTTTCTTGCATTGTGGCTTACCGCGCTTTGGCAGGTATTCCATCCCTTCTCCACAACGACTATGCCTGTTGATTTACCCATTGATGATGCTACGTTGAATCCTGTTCAACTAGACAGTATGTATCACGTTTTTGGATATCAAATGGTCGCGACCATGTGGCTGATTGTCTCGCCTAGTTTTTCAACCGCTGCCGTGTCTCGCTCCTTACGATCTTTCGGAAATTCTGCGATTGACAGCCGTGGCAGCTTCTCCCATACGACAACCTGCCCATTCAGACAAACCAGCGTCGTCGGCTCGCAGTGACAATTTGTATTGTACCGCTTGCAAAAAAAAGTTCAAAAATGAGGCGACATGGCAAAGTCATTTGAAAAGTGCAAAACATCTTGCCAACGAGAAAGGTGCGCGAACATCATACCGTCATGTTGACTTGCGACATGTAGATCTTATGAATGATTTTGACAGCCGCAAAGCATACTGCGGCGGTTTCAAAGACAAACGTCGCAAAGTCGGATAGCAAAGCAGGAACGAATCCGGAAATCCAAGGTAGACCTGCCCCACTGCTGTCGCTCTTCTTTTTCTGATCCAATATATAAAAACTATGATATAGCTTTGACGCAGAAATTGAAGCAAGTGTCAAAAATGACGAGTAGCAATCCATCCGCAGCAGTATCTCAGTACTGGGGTCTCTCGCAAGGTAAGTGAAAAGCAGATCCACCAACACTTAATTCAGTTGCGTTGACTGATGATCCCTGCTGCCCAGCATTTTATACCCACAAACGACCCCACGATACCAAAAAGGCGCTGTTAGCTTTAATTGAGTTACTGAAAAGTGCCAGTATTTCTGGAATGGGTGCATCTCAAATTAATTCCACTTTATATCTTGCTCGACTGGCGTTGGCACGGTTATCATGTCTGTATCATGATTTGGATACCGCTCGGTTGACCTATCTCGCCGCAATCGAGGATAAATGGAAAATCGATCAAAAGCAATTATTGAACGCAGCGATGGTAGGCGATGCTGGGGAAACATTTTTTAATTTTCCGTTGTCTGATATGTTGTTATGTTTGTGATATTTGGCAGCGAGCATGCAACTTGCCGGTTCGCGAATTGATGGAGATCAGTGAGCAATTAGCGTCGAGGTACATTGATCGAGAGAAGAAACGAACCGAACCTGCGAAACCCGTCAGCAATCCAAATTATGCCATTTCCCCCATTCTATTCGAATGCGCATGTTTATTTGCACAAGAGGCCCATTCACTGACCGTGGCTGGCGTGCCGTATTCATGCGAGAAGATCGCACTGGTCTTGTTCCACACAGCAGCAGCGGTTTGCTGCTACGAAAACAAGTAATTATCCATCTTTGACTTGATTTACGATACTGAAACGTAACTGACACGATATTGTGATTTAATACAAAAGACTCAGTCAATCTCATTTATTATGGATCGTTAGTCAGGTAGGCGTCAACATCCGTTGGATGTCGTGCAAACAGGTTGGCTTATATCCAGTGTTACACTATTTCAACAGATATACGATCAGTTGAACGCTAGACATCTTGGCTGTGATGCAAGAATGCTGTACATCGAATGCGCTATGAAGGATGGGGATTCCTCTCCATCTTCTGATCTGCTGCAGAACATGTTTTCCACGTTATTAACCGCCACTGAACTGGGTATGGACGATTTGGATTACAATGCGTGTAACTCTATATTCACAATTATTGATGAACTGTAGATGATTACACGCGAATGAAATCTGTATCCTTACAGATCCGAAAGATGCTAAAGGAACATTTTGACGGTGCAACTTACGACGACCTTCAGGTATATATAATGCAAAAGGTTTATTTCTGCTGCACATTTGATTTACTCTCAGAATAGATCCTGGAGCAACTTGGTTTAGCTCGTCAAAATCTGGATTACGTGGCTCTAGAAAACTTGGCTCATGAAGTGGATCATATGGAACTTTTACTGGAACAAGGCAGCGGCGAGTCTATTTTGCATCGGTGTTCAGCGGATCAAAGATTAAATATCTTGGATCGATTGAACTCACTACTCGAGCTCTAAAAAAATCATCCTCGCATTCAATACTCTGATAAATAAATTAAAAAAAAGGATCACTCAACAAGAGCATCCTGTTCTTTTTATACATAAACTGTCGCCGTCTGATTTATCGTGGCATAACCCGCCTTCCTTGCTACGGCATAAAACGGCTACATAAGGTAGCAAATTAAATGGGAATGGAAACATGTCAAAGATGCAGTCACGGATATACCGATTCGATTTTCGGTAAAAGCATGATCCTCTCTCTACCGACGCATTGGACCTCACCCATTAAGCAACGGGTCTTGTACCACCAGAAAACTGGACATTTTACTTTGCACATGTGCCTTGCTTTAAAGGGCGATGAGACATCATCACCTTGAAATGGATGCCTCTCTGCGGAAACGGGACTCTGTTGAACGCTTAAAACTCGTGATCAGAGCCATATTCGCCGCAAAAGCGAAAAATTATTTAGCTCTATTTTTCATTACACACGCACCCAGCACGCGCCGAGTTAAATTTTAAGTGGATGCATGTAGCATGAAAAAAAGGGCGGTGCTTATGAAATTGTGATCTGGTGCGACTGTGGACCAATGTCACACAACCCACTTTCCCTATGGATCGGGCGTGACAAATCAAATAGCCACTATTTGATTTCTCCTGAACAGCACCGGGGAGACCCTACAGCTTTTTGCATATGATCAGCTTTTTATAAAATACAGTATTTCGCCATTGTCAATCATTCGAATAGCAACCTTTTATAGAGACGAGCAAGTATCGCCCAACTCTTGACATATCGAGGCGTCAGGACATGATCGGAGCTGGTAGGTTTAAACTCGCATATTATACTGCAATCTCACGATATGCTGCGGGTGGTGTAAAATTCGTCGCCGGGAAACTATACTATAAACGACCATTTTAGCGAATGCACAGCCACTTATGAACTGGGCTGATTTGGCGATACCACTGTTTGACAATGCATGCAAGGAACCGCACATCTGTAGCCCAGAAGAAACTGGTCGTACCGATTCACCCCAAAAACGAACTCACAAGAAAAAATAAACTATAAAAGGCAAATTTTTCTTTTTCGTTGTTGTTCTGATTTCTGCAAACATTCAGGTTACCATTTCTTATTTACCAAAATGAAGTTCGCCGGTCTCGTCTTTTTGATGGCTCTTTTGTGCTATGTGGCCCAAGCCAAATATGTTTGCCACTGCAGCTCCAAGACCAACGTGTCTCTCCACAGCAATGCTCTTACCAAGAAGTCTTACAACTATGTTCATACCAAGGTCTTGAACTGCCCTGGTGACAAGTTCCAGTCCAGCAACATCATTATGGATGGTATCTCTACCTACGACACCGATGGTAAAGCCTGTGCTCAAGCTTTCATGAAGGCCTGCACCAGCTATGGAGCCAAGAGAGGATGGTGTGCTAATTTGTAAAACACACAAATACTATCATAAGTCAATAAACGTCCATTGTCATTGACCTTGTCCTTATGCTAATTTTATTGCCATCACAATGGTTGTCTTGTAATAATAACGTATATAGCCATCAATTTGCTGCCCAGATTATAACAAGTCTGCTAGTATGCATAGTGTCTCTTTATAAGGCGCTCTTACTTGTGAAAAAGATAAGAGAAGGTTGCCATCGATGCGTTTCGTTTTCTTGTGTAATTGTAAAAAAAAACCGCATATCATTGTTATCCCGATTGATCTTAGAAACACAGGCCCTCTGTTTACAGTAACTTTTATTGATATCCATCAGACAAAACCGTGATCAACTATCAAAGCGCTTGCTTGCCTTTTATTGCATGCTTCTTGCTTTTTTTTTATTGGAATGGGATGGATTAGGGATATCAGGTTACTGTCACTAGAGTTTTATGGTTAGAAGGGTAGGCTATTTTCATCACACTGAGAAGTGGTTCTGAAGCCTTGACAAGTGGATTTAAAAATGTCGGTGCAGGTGGTATTGTCCGTTTCATATATTAAGACGTTGTTGTAGGCAGAGTGAGAGACACGAAGCTGTTCGGTGACGCAGTGAGGGTGCACGTAGCGCATGTGGGTTATGGCCTGCCATGTGAACCGATTATGAGGCAAGCTTGTATAGGATGCGTGCTTGCAGTGACAGTTGAACTTTGCTTGGCTGGTGTAGCACAAGAGGGCGATCAAAAACAGCACAGAAACGAATTTCATATCGAGGTGTGGCAGAGTGCGGTCGATGGCACGTCCACATCATGTCGCATTTATATACATTGATAGAATGGAGTGCATCGTCAAAAAAAAAAGATCATCTGTACATATAAAAGATGCACCGATTTTTTTCAATCATCCCTACATAAACAAACATTCCCCATCATCCGTTGCAGGTTCTCCATTCCAAAGCAGCACAAATTGGGTAATGCTTTATGCAGTAAGAGATCCCCATCGTTCCATCCTTACAAAACTGAATAGAAGTAAATTTACTTGACACTTTCAAAAATTTCAAATGATCTTGACTTTCGGCTCCATGCTTCTTTTGACTATTTCCAAAAGGACCATCTCACTACTGCCCTCCCACATCCTACACAAGATAGCATCGGCGTACATCATCCATGGTATGATATTTTGTGTTATTTGTCAATGAGCTCCTAAAAACACGGAGAGGTAATCAAAATGAACGATGCATCTTTATTCTCTGAAATGATCCTCGATCATTCGTCACGCCAAAAATCGCTGATTCGAGTGAGGGGAAAAAAGGTCTGTGGGGAGTTGTTAATTTTTCAACAATTTTGATCCAGCACGTGACCGCTCCACCCGACCGGCGGATCCTGCGACACCACACACGCGTCAGTTTGAGACTGCTTTTTAGTTGCAATACGTAATCGGGTTGGGTTGCTTGCGCAGTTTCCGAATTACCATCCCACCACTTATTTTTTATTTTGTTACCTACTTATTCCACTTTTTAACCAAGCATGGCCAATACGGATTCAGTAGAAAAAGTTGACAAAGTCGACGCTATGGAAGTCGAAGAAACAGAGGAAGCCAAGCAATTGCGGCTCCAGAAAGAGGCCACAGCGTCCCTTATTGCCGGTACCTCGTCTTATGCCCAAGGACAACGCCATATCTACAGGACCCCGCTAACATCTTTGTCTTTCTTTTTATCCCAGATTTCAAACGTAACTTTGGCTTGCTTGAGCGTGCCGTGGAAACCATCGAGTCACGGTTTACCACTCGCGTTTTGCGAACATTGCCTTCCATTCGTCGTCGTTTAACCGCGCCAGTCTTGGCTCAAGTCATCTCTGAATGTTACGGTCCCAGTAAGTCAACATGGATCGCCATGTTTTTTCGTTACAAATGGGTTATTCTAACGACAATACTAGACGATGATCAGAAGACACGGTTATTGCAATACTTGGGACAGGTAGGACCGACGAGTTCTTTCGGTCAGGTTCTGTGACAACCGATGACTAACACAAAGAAAAAAATAGGAGGGCAATGCTATGGAAGTGGATACCGCTGCCAACGACAAGAAAGGCTCCATTCTTCCTGAGATTGATATGTACTTGCATCTCAATGTTCTGATTTTCTTACTTGATAACAATGAACTGCAAAAGGTAAACCTCGGGAATGTTAGCCATGGTAGAAAACAAAAACAGTCAGCAAAGGAACGATAACTCATTGGAATCAACAGGGTCGTGATCTCGCCAACATAACCGTAGAACGCTTGTTGCAACTGAATCGCAGAACCTTGGATCAGTTGGCTGCGCGAGTCTACTTTTATCACGCCCGTTTCTACGAATTGACAAACTGTCTTGCCGAAATTCGACCGTGAGTGACGCATTTTCAGTTTTGGTAATGTCATTGTTAAACATCCGTGAAATGTGTAGAATGCAACTGGCTGCTCACCGTACGGCTACATTGCGCCGTGATGACGAAACACAAGTAAGTACCTGGTTTTGAAAATTATTGGCAAGTGAAGACCCAGGTGAACTTAGTGCACCCCATATCATTAGGCTACCTTGCTCAACTTGTTGCTTCGCAACTACTTTTACCATAACCTTTATGCGCAAGCGGATAAACTGGTATCAAAGAGCACCTTTCCCGAAAACGCCGATAACAATCAAGCCGCTCGTTACGCATACTACCTCGGTCGTATCAAAGCTTTGCAGTTGGATTACACCTTGGCTCACACTTACTTAACGCAAGCCATTCGCAAAGCGCCACAGACGAACGCCACGGCAGGATTCCAACAAGCTGTAAGTAACTAACAGATAACCCTTGACTGAAGGAATTTTGATTCACTCATTTGCCCTGTTTATTATTCAATATCCTAGGTGTATAAATTTGCTATTGTTGTTCAGTTACTGATGGGAGAAATTCCCGAACGTTCGCTTTTCAGACAACCTATCCTGCGAAAAGCCTTGTATCCTTATCTTCACATTACTCAAGGTAAAAAATATATATATATATATTCGGTGCACAAGGATACTCATCCCGAAAAATTTCGGTTTACAGCTGTGCGCATTGGTGATCTGAACAAATTCCAAGAATGTCTGGCGCAGTTTGATGGTGTGTTCAAGAAGGATAAAACATATACATTGATTTTGCGTCTGCGTCACAATGTCATCAAGACCGGTATTCGCATGATCAGTTTATCGTATTCCAAGATTTCGCTGAGAGACATTTGCATCAAATTGCATCTGGATAGCGAAGAAGATGCCGAATTCATTGTTGCCAAGGCTATCCGGGACGGTGTGATTGATGCTACGCTGAATCACAGCAAAGGATTCATGAAGAGCAAGGTTGGTATTTGCGTCTCCACCATCTGCTTCTCTGGGAACTGTATTGACAGAGAGAGAAAACTTTGTTTTTGTTGATGTAGGAAATTGTGGATATTTATTCGACCAACGAACCGCAACATGCTTTCCATCAGCGTATCAGTTTCTGCTTGAACCTTCATAACGATGCTGTGAAGGCGATGCGTTTCCCTATGGATGCGCACAGAAAGGAACTGGCGAATGCTGAAGCTGCACGTGAAAGGGAACGAGAATTGGCTCAAGAAATCGCTGAAGGTGATTTGGACGACGAAGGCGATCTTGGCGATTATTAAACCATCCTGATGATGACAAAAGAAAACATTTGACCAAAAAAAACACTATAATAAACCTCTACAGAGATCGTAACCTATGAATTTAACAGTATCAAAATATTACCTTGCCGATGGTTCGAGCTGCCAATGTCAAGGCAACCCCATCAATTTTTTTTCAATTTGCATGGACGCACTACAATGAATTAGTCTAACTTTTACGTTATACATCGATTGAAATCATTTTGCCAATCACAAGACAATAGAAAGATGGGGTAAGGTCTTTTTGCGTGCATGTTGTAGCAGCAGCCTTCCTTTGATAATGAGTTGAAATCGTTTCATTTGGCCAAAAACCCACCGATATCACAGTTGAGCATACAAAGAAAGATACGTACATATTGTTGCCCATATTGTGCGTTTGATTTAGTTGATGGAAAACGTGAAACAGGCATGCACACACTGGTATCAGCTGCATTCGTGTAAAAACATGCAAAATTAGGTCAAAATCTTTATAGAGGGACAATATAGAACCCCCCCCCCAACCAAATTTTTCAATTTCCAGCAATTATAACAACTTCAAAGCGCGGTGTTGATGATCCGACTTCAATAAAACAGCATCCGCCGCTGAAGATATTGTAACGCAACCGACTCTCTGCAAGAATTGATCATGAACAATGAATATATGAAGCTCCAATTATGTTACTTTTGTGCATGTCGCATGGCGTCATAATAAATCCTTAGCCTTCCATACCATCACTTCACAAAAGAAAGCTGAGTTCTTGTAACAAAGAGCATCTTACTTTGTTAATGTATAAAAAATCGGTTTACATTATGAAATCATGAAGAAATATTAATGGCAAAGTGGGAGAGTGAAGATAAGAAACAAGGAAAACAAGCCCACAGATGGATTACTTTTTTTCTTTCTATCCAATGGCAGTTTTGATTCCATAGAATAGGAAACTGATGGGGGGGTGATTTGACCACGGCGGTTAGTTACTTGACTTTCTTTGATTTCTGCGATTTCTGGGATTTGGGTTCATTTTCTTTCGACTTTTCCAATGAAGAAGAAGAGGAAGCAGCTTGAGTGAGTGTGTGTTGTTGAGTAGATTGAGGATCCTGTTCAGGGGTAGGCGCCTTGGGATGCTTGATGTAAAGACATCCAATATCGAGATAAGTGCAGATTTCATCCACCACGTTGGAGACGAAATGAATATATTGAGTGGCGGCAAACATCAAATAAAGGATCAACACGCGCTGATGATCAACCACCATATATCTATGATGAAAAGAAAAAAAAATCCATTAGGAACCACGCTTGGGGTTGGGGATTTGAACACATCTTTTTACGTACTGGCTGATCGTGTCTTCATAGCTGGCAAGGAAGTATCCACTGGAGATAATCAGGGTGACGGGAACATCGACAAGAGGGAACTCAAGATGGGTCACATGAGCGAGGATCATGATTCCGACTTGATGCGCGAATAATAAGCCCAGAATCAGCATAAACAAAGCAAGATGATCAGTCACGATATCGGGCCACACGCTCATCCACTTGGCACTCCAGATGCACAAGTTGATAAAGGGGAAAAGTCCTGCCAAAGCCTTCCAGACAGGTTGATCCTTGCGGGATAATTCCGTAGGCCAGAATTTCACGCAAAGCACATTCACAATGCTAGCAAAAAAAGATAAAGTTCAACATCTCACATTCTGCCACAGCCGGTGCTCCGTTTTCTTCTTTCTACTTACGCCATAAGGGTGTTGGAAATGGTAACGAATCCACCAATAACAATCAAGACATGGTTGAGCTGCATACCGCCAAAGAAGCGAGCGACAGCATTGGTGGACCAATCAATCATGGGGAACACTTCCACACCGGTCAATGTCCAGAAAGCAGGACCAAACACACCCGAAATGAAGTGAACACCCACAAGCATCAGCACACCTTCGACGGGACCGCTGAAATAGCCCAAATACAGCACACCGGTATGGTATTCTTCCCACGTGGAAACGTAAAAGTTGGCCAAGGAAGCACAAAGCGAAGCGACGGTCCACCAGCTTTGTCCAAGATACGTAGCCGAGGCCCAAGTTAAAGTGCCCAAAGTCGTATTCAAAGCATCACAGCCTAAACGATAAAAGCATTCAATAAATCACCTTCACGGCTGCGCAGCTGCGCCAAATATTGAGGTTCGCCTCTCATCACTTACAATGATCGAATAATTCTCCCAAAGGGCCCGAGGTGCCAGTGCGACGAGCTTGTTTGCCATCGATAGCATCGAGCGATTGATAAATGAAAAGACCGGCGGCAAATCTGTAAGAAAAAACAGTCAGACACATGTTCAAGTGAAAAGTCTGTGCTACCGTTTATCAGTTGGATAAATAAAAAAGTTGGACCATTACGTATAGTAAACCCACTGAGGGCATTCGCCGAGATCAGGAGAAAAGTAAAACAAGGTAGCCACATTAGCGATAATGCACGACAAGCCCATGAGCGTAATAAGGTTAGGACTGTAAAAACAAAAACAAAAAAACGAAAGATAGCGTACAATCATGAGGTTACTGCCAATTTCAATACGGTGGAATTGATCCCCAACTTACGCGACAGACAACGGAAAGATCTTGACGAGGGCGTTCCAGTAAGGTGCCAATATATAGCGAGAAACTAACGACTTGTCCACACCGCCGTAACGGTATTGACGCAAGCCGGGTAAGCGGTCTTCTGGAATATATGTCATTTCACAGCTTGACTAGAACCGGAAAGAAAAAGCAGCAAAGAAAAAGCCAAGGTTTTGCTTTTTTTTTTGGGTGGGGAGGCGGTTTTCTGCCAACTGGATACAGCAAGAGCACCAGCCAATCAGAAACGGGCGGAAAATCAAAGTGCGAAAAATGACCCCGAATTGTCGACATGTTTGGCTTTGTCAGTGGTTTCACGCAGGGAACTGGCAAAAAAAGGTGGTGACCATGCTCTGTTCCCGGATTTTTCCAGCATTATCACGAATTCACCGTAAAAGCCCTTTTGCCATATTTCACAAAGAAGAATGATAAAAAGGGGTGGTTGCCATGCACTTATTGAAATGTATCTCAGCTGTTACGGTATATATGATGTCATGGTTCCTTGTTCAGTCACTGGCGGCATCAACCTTGAAGTGCCCCCCCACCTTCTACTCCAGGTTTTCCGCGGCTAAATCGACCTAATAAATAACAACTGATCAACGCTGAAAAACAAAGAAATGAACAAGGCTCCTGGAGATAAGGTGTATATACAGCACTGTAGGAGTCAGTGAATGCTTCGTTTGAGCTGTAATTCAAGGGAACGTGTGCCAGTAAAAAATCCGCGATAAAAAAAATATTTACTGTTGTCATGGACATGGTTGAAGCTATGTTGGAAATGATAATTCAAGTTGGAGCCAAGTCAATGGCTCAAAAAGCACAAGTCAAAGAAGCATGCGGTGTCTTTATTCTCGGTAAATACGAGATTGGACCAGATCTTTGTGATAGGTAAGCGCGATTTTTTTGGGGTTACATGCCATTGTGGTTGGCTAAAATTTTCCTGGCCAATTTTTTATTTTCAGTGTTCTCGGTGCTTCATTCTAGCATCTGCATAGCGTGATCATTTCTCAAACATTGAAGCCAATGAGACAAATATCATGACATGAAAATAAAAAAGATGACTTTGTAAGATTCATATGGTGAAAAGATTGATATGATCTGATAAACAAGCAAGTTAAAAATAAGCGTGTACATGATGTAAACTACCAAATCGAGTTTAAAAAAGAGTATATTCACCTGTCAGTTGTAACGAGCACAAGGCATGTGCGCTTTGAATTCATACGGATCGTCCACAGTGTACCGAGGAAGGATTAAACATCAATACAGATAATCACATGAAAGAGTGTCGTGCTGAGATTCATTTGTCGCACTGACGACCGAGGTTGGATGAATGCGGTGAAAAAAAAAAAGTCCAACTCCGCTCTGTCGTCTTCCCAGTCCCTTTCCTCGATTTTTTTTTTTTTCTGACTCAATCCAATGTCCTACAAATACCTTCTCGGTCGACTGGGTCATCCGCTTTCAGCATCCTTTTCTTCTAACTTTAAGCGACCTTTTACCACCATGATCAAAGAACGTGTTTGTCTTATTGGCTCCGGTAACTGGTAAGTGAGCGCTTCCCATTTTTTACTTGTCTTTCCCAACTTTTGAAGTGACGTGCTCATCGTGTTTCCATTCGCAGGGGTTCTGCTGTTGGCAAGATTGTCGGTCAGAATGTGTTGAAGTATCCCGCCATTTTTGAATCCGAAGTACGACAGTGGGTGTTTGAAGAAAACTACAAGGGCGAGAAACTTACCGACGTCATTAACCGAGAACACGAGAACCCAAAGTAAGTTTCCGTTATGTTGTCATGGATAGACCGCTTTTCATTTGTCTCACTCGGATGATTCAAAGGTACCTGCCCGGTATCAAATTTCCTTCCAACGTTCGTGCCGTTCCTGATTTGATCGAAGCATGTGAGGGCGCTTCTGTCCTCGTGTTTGTCCTGCCCCATCAATTTGTTCGAGGCGTTTGTGACAAGCTTCAGGGTCGCATTGCTCCCACGGCCAAAGCGATCTCACTCATCAAAGGTCTCGAGATCAAGCCGGACGGTGTCACGCTATTTTCCGAGGAGATTTCGCGTCTTTTGGGAATTAACGTGGCGGCCCTGAGTGGCGCCAACATTGCTAACGAGGTAGCCATGGAAAGATTTTGCGAAACTACTATTGGATGCCGGTCAGACGCCGACGGTCAGCTGTTTTTCAAACTGTTCAACACACCCTACTTCCGAGTCAATGTGATTCGTGATTATGTTGGTGTCGAATTGTGTGGAGCGCTTAAAAATGTGGTCGCTGTGGGTGCGGGACTCTCGGACGGATTAGGGTAAGAAAGAGGGAGTCTGTACATTTGTGACTTGGATTAAATGTAGACTCATGCATGAACTCATTGTAGATACGGAAGCAATACAAAGGCTGCGATCATCCGTTTGGGCTTGATGGAAATGCGAAAGTTTGGACAAACTTTCTTTGGGGGTGTCGAAGATACCACCTTTTTTGAGTCGTGTGGTGTGGCGGATTTGATCACGACGTGTTCGGGGGGCCGTAACCGTAAAGTGGCCGAAGCGTTTGCGCAAACAGGCAAGCCGATTGACGAATTGGAACGCGAGTTACTAAACGGCCAGAAGCTTCAAGGTACATTGACGGCGGAGGAAGTGCACTCATTTTTGGCCGCACGCAATATGACCTCGGAGTTCCCATTATTCGAGACAGTCTATCGTATCATTTATGAAGGTGCCCCGATTGAATCGATTGTGCGCGATATCTAATTTGGATTGTATTTTCCTTTTTCTTTCTGTTACTCTTTTTTTTATGTTCTCGAATTTCTTTCTGTATATACCATACATCATATTTTGACTCCCTTGTTCCAATGGATAGACTAGACAAAGGGGTTGTTTCCCCCATCATAATCATTCCAAAAAAAAAAAAAAAAAAAAAATAACAATAAAATGATCCAATTTTTTGTCATTCAACAAAAGGTAGTGATTTCGGGCCGTAGCAGAAAATGGAGTTGACAATATGAGCAATCCGGGATCTATCTTTTCATTCCGTTTCCAGAAAAGCGTGTCGTGAAACACACTCGATTCGATTCATGCTATTGGTCGAATTAAACCAGCAAGCTGAACCACTATTTAGCATGATTGGTTTGAGCTTAATCACGTTGGTCAAGAGATCGCATCCATCTTCACCCATTCATCAATATTTCAATTTTTGGAAATTACACTACATCATAGGCCCGATAAAGAGATGGCCACTTTTTTTTCTCTTGTCATCACAACATACAACTACTAATGGGTCAACCAGATTTATGACGAACAGGGATGACTCTTGCAGGACTAATGTAAAAATTATATTGCTTTGAAATCAGAAAAAAAAAAATACTTTCTTTGATGACAGGTAGACTTTATTATGGTTTTTCTTGGATTTTTTTTTTCTGGTGGAATCGTTTTTGGTACCTGATCTGGGTAATACAAAAGTCGATTTTGGGACATTTTGTACCTTGTGGCATCGGAAAAACCTAGATCACTCATGGAGGTTTTCATAGGACAAGGCTCGCAATGAGAGGCACAGCGGAATTTTGTGCTGCCTTACACGATACGTCATGCATCTACACGGAATGAATCATTCCAGTTTTTCCTGTATTTTTTGAGTCCTTTATTTCGTTTTCATTCTTTGCTTTTTTACTTGCCTAGCTGCTCTTTTCCATCCCCATTTAGCATGATTGCTAACAGCGTTTTACGGTGACGGTAATAAAATCCAAGGTCTTGGTATACATCTCGGATCAAGCCCATCCATTCCATAAACCCATTCGGGGTATCGTTGATCATGACAGGTACGGATGTTGCTTTATCTGTCTCTTGTTGTTTTGATGACGCTTCGACGTGGGATGGTGCGGGTCTTGTTGGCGACAATGATGAAGAAGTCGGGGCGACCGAGGTGGGTAAAGCCGCTTGCTGACATAGTGGAGGCGTGGGTAGAAGCAGAGGACTTCCCATGACGACCGAACTCAGAGAAGGGATATCGACGTCCAACTGAAACTCGGAGGGGTGGAATAGAGGGCGACAGGGGGGTAAGGTGACTTCAAAGTTGTAATAACCCACGTTTTTACTGCGGTAGACGGCAATGGATTTGTTTTGAAACATCACCAGGGGGTCTCTCGGTGGCCATTGCAAATGACCTTTCTGGCGCACCTCGACAGCAAATTTCATCGTCGTGGATAAATCTTTGGCGATTAATGAAGCGGTCCATCGTTGCTTGCTCAACACCCATTCTCGATAGAAACTCCCAGAGAACAATGTGAAAGACACCAGTAGGAGTAAAAAGGTTGCAGTATACCGCCATGAGCCCTGACTGAACAGGGTGGAGGAGGTGGGTTCTGGTAACGATTCAATGCTTGCCGATAATTCTTTGGGTGGAGTGGTGGAGAGTGCTTTTTCAGGAAAGTCACGGCTGGCCCGTTTCTTGCGTTTACTTTCGAGATAATCGGCAAACGTTTGCTGCTCAAATCCGAGCACGGTTCGTAAAGAGAAGATGGGATACGAAGCAGGATCCATGCCATGTTGTTGCATGGCCCAGACACTTCCCATACGTTGCTGCAGTTTGGGATCGCCGGTTGGTTTGGGATTCTTTCGTTTGAAGGAGGGTTTGGGTTCATCGTCTAGATTGGTGAAATCGATGCATTGGACTTTGTAGCTAGCGAGTAAGTGGGCCAAGTCCTTTTTCAATTGTATTTCGGTGAGGTGATAATCTGGGGAATCCATCGGTGTTGCATCGTTGGAGACAACCACGGGTAAAATGGGAATGCGAGATTCCCCAATCGACCATAGAGCACACAATTCATCGTCCACCGCTTCATGATATCCATCGTAGAAATAAACGCATAAATCGATTCCATTGGGGGAGGTTTCCGGAAATGTGGTATAGAAAGGTGTCCTGCGAGCCGTGTGTAGATGTTCCTTGACAAAAGCAATCCCCTCCTCCACACATTCAGTCGATGATCGTGTAAAGTCGGCTTCAATCACAAGGAGACCACTGTATTCTCGTAGCACGATTTGATGCTTATCTTTGTGTCCTGTTGGTTCCCATGTAACATGGAAGCTTTTCTCCTTGAACTCCTTGGGATCAGGCGCGGACCGATGAGGCAAAGCATACATTTGAGCGTAATAGGAAATGGCCAGTTTTTTAAGCAGCAAGTGTTTCCCTGGATCGGCGGTGGCTCCCAGAAAAAGAGTTCGAACGGTTCGTGACGCTCCGTGAGAACGAAGAAGTGAGCTTTCCGTTTCCTGCTGTTCAATGTCATTCATGTGTTCCAGTAGATCTCGATCCGAGTTCCAGCCTTTGAGGATGCTCGAACCGCTTTCTACGTCAATGGATCCTGTGACGGGAGTAGTCTTCATGGTGTCCCTCACAGTGTGTGGCTGACTGTCCGCAGTCGTGTTTAGGGAGTTGTGATTTGAATTGCTGCGGCACATGGATGGTTTCGACGCAAAAGCCAATGAAGGAGAGGATGAGCTGAGATAGGATGCGCTGGAAAGGTCTTCAGGCAAACGCTGGAAATGACACGGACGCAATTTTCGTCCATTGGGAAGTTCTCGTTGGTGGTTTTGGGTGGATGTTATGGAAGAATCTGTGATATGCATGCGTTGTTGGCCATTAGTTCTCAACGACCCATTCTCTACTAAATGCAGCCACATACCATTTCCATAAGCTGAATCATGATTACCATAATGATAATCACCGCTGGCTGTCATTGTCAATCAAAGACGTTTTGTCTTGGTTTTTGAAGAAGAAAGAAATAGTGCCGGTGAAATCAATCAGATGAAATGCAGAGGACAGCAAAAGAGAAATTATGCCCACGATAACAAACCCAAGTCCTAGGTCAAACAAATAAGAGAAACGGATGGATAACACCAGTAAAAGAAAGTGATGTGTCACTAAGTTGGAGCAAAAGAGAAATAATGTACAGTGCTGGCTGCTGAGGAATGCGCTCTCGACCAAGAAAAACAAGCTTTTGAGACGAGCTTGAAAATTTGTTTAGGAAAAGCAAGTGAAAAGAATAAAACAGGAATAAACTGGGAAAAAAGGGAATAAGGCGTTATAACAGAAAGAGAAAGGGGAGATAACCGTTGCTCCGCAATCCACCTTTCTTTTTTTTTGGTTCCTTTTGGTCGTTGCGTGACCACCCCTCCCATATGTGAAGAATGTTTTTCGAAATCAGCCAATCACAGGTCTGGAAAAGATTTTGACAGAAAATCGCTCTATACCAAATTCCCACTCGCCACCTCTCGCGCCAAAATGCATCTCCATGGCAAAACAATAAAGTACATGCCCTGGTGGCTGCCATAATACGATGGTCAAAGCAACCATCAGCACGTTTTAACAGATTGTGGCGATGCGAAAATTGCGTGGTGAATGGGGAGCATAGTGCATTTATACATTTTGTATCCGATATACACGACGGACCAAAGTAAATACGATACACCAAGCTCCATACCATGTTGTTATTATCCAGAGTAGGTGTCAGTGTTTGCAGGCGTTATCTTCTGTGAACCTTTTGTGAAAGCAGCATTGATCAAGCGACGTCAAGGCATGGTGCTTGCCTCACATGACCAGTGCCGTAAAAAGTCGACCAATGACATATAAGCTGTAGATGAATTTTTTCGACCATCAACATGCATGGTAATAAATCGGGAAACAGGAATGTTCACGGATCGGATCCTCTGTCATGTAGTTTTCCTTAATTTCTTTTTAAATAAAGATCCCCATGGATACAAACACCATAGATACAATCGTGGGAAAATGTCGGGTCTCATCATCATCATCAACATCATTCGTCATGTGGTCTGATGTGGCAATTTGAGGGACAAAATGTTTTAATCAAGTATATCTTATTATCGTTAAGCGTAGGTAAAAAAAAAAGCCGTCTGACAGGCGGCTAAAAGATGGGTCATCAAGGGTGCCGGTTATGGCTGGAAATCGTCGAGGATAAATTAAATAGAAAAGAAAAGCCAATCTAGAAACAGCATGATCGTTCCTTTCTCCGTGTTCGCGTACGCTGGGTCATTCGCCTTAAACTTGAATCGCCAAATTGCACACCACTACCACTACGTTCCGGGTCAATTTGCCCTGATTTTCCGATGGTTGTCAATGAAACGCTCTATCTGCCTGTCATCCACGCAAGTGTCATTTTTATACCTGTTTCGATCTTGCTCAAAATAGATCTTGCACATTTGAAAAACATTTCCTCAACACCATCACCGGTTAGTGCACTGGCCTCTAAAAACATCAGTTCTGCGCAAAGTTCAGCCATAAGCGTGTTCAAAACATACAGCACTCGAGTGGTGTTCATGTTTTTTTTGAGAGTTTTCATACCATGTTCCTGGGCGAATCGACTCGCTTCAATATAAGAAACTTCACGTTCATCGGCACGATCGGTCTTGTTACCGACGAGTATAATGACTAGTTCCGGGTTGGCCAGTGATCGTACATCTTTGAGCCACGATCGTACGCCCAAAAAGGTATCTCTACTAGTGTTCCCAGACGAACGCGTTAATCAAAGAGTTCATGGATCCATACTCATGCATATCATACCTACTTGCAGATGTCGTAGACTACTAAAGCGCCTGCTGCCCCACGGAAGTAACTCTTTGTTAATGCGCTGATTTCACGCACTTCAGTACCGATGAACAATCACGAAACCGTCTTCTTTTTTTTCTTTTCCATTTTTCTCAAAATGATCCACCTTACCGAAACCGTTCCTACAAGGCGGGTGGAATCATAAGGCGAATTTTATTTTTTTGCTTTTTGAGAAAGATCCATGTTCTCATGATCGATAATGAACTTTTTTTTTTCAACACATATATATCATATATACCTGTCCTGCAGTATCCCAGATTTGGAGTTTGATGGATTTTTCGACAATGTGAATAATACGCGTGCCAAATTCCATGCCGATCGTATTCACTGAATCTTTCTTAACTGCACATAGAGGGGGAAGGATGAACTCGTTAACAGACATATGTTTACACACAGAGAGAGACGAGCGTCACCGTGACCATGCCACCGAGTTCAGCCCATTACATACATTGATTCTCTAGAAAGTGATGTAAAAGACAGGACCTACAACACACGACATTCAACATGTTTTTATTTCATAACTGACTCTCCAAGTAAAGGAAATAAAAAGACTTACTTTCCTGTACCGGAATCGCCGACGAGCAGCAGCTTTAGTAAAAAATCTAGCCAAAAAAAAAAAAAAAAAAAAAAAAAAAGTCGCCCCATAAAAAAATAGTCCAGTAACAGCACAATAATATGCAGACGAAACGTTTAGTAAGACACACGCAGTCCAACAGAGTCCAAGTCTTGTTTCTGACAGAAGCGCAAGCATACCGTAGGCATCGGCTAGCATCGACATGGTGCCAGTGATAAAAAAAAGGAAAACAAAAAGAAAAAAGCAAAGCAAAAGAGAGAAATGAGCCGAGAGAGAAGAGGAGAGGAGAGAAAGAGGAAAATAAAATAAAAAAAATAACCCGTCCGGAAGTGCAACAGGAAAGGGAAGCGTCGTTCAACAATGTTTATATTCATTCTCAGCCGCTTTGCCTTGGTCAAAGCAGACACAACCTTAATTTGAAAATTTTTGATAGCCTTTTGCTTTATTAACTGTCATGACCATTCAAGGCAAGAAGTTCTACACACTTGTTTTCACATTGGATCAACCCAATCAAAAGGTAACAAACCCCTCTAAAAACTCCCATTACACAACTGGAGCTTGTGTACGACCGACCACGAAACTCAAGCAGGTTCGTCACGTCAGATTCTCCTCGGCATGAAGAAACGAGGATTTGGAATGAATAAATACAATGGCAAGTGTTTCACTCGACGATCTGTACTCTTTTTAAATACGCGATGGATGATAATGATGATGGGTTTAAAAAATAGGCTTTGGGGGCAAGTTGGAACCGGGCGAAACCATTGAAGAAGCGGCGTATCGTGAATTACTGGTTCGTTCAATGAGATGAGGTCTCATGGTAATTGACTTTCCGCACAGCGAGTTCATGTGAAAAAAAAAAAAAAAATGGATAGGAGGAATCATATATCAAGGCCAAAGATATGAAGCATGTTGGGATCAATTTATTCACTTTTGAAAATAATCCCATTGCAATGGAAGTCCATGTATTTGTGACCCTGAATTATGAAGGAACGCCCCTCGAGTAGGTGCTTTCTGATTATTATTATTTTCAGGTTCACTCAATAATGACGGTAGAACTGAAGAGATGAGACCCGAATGGTTCTCATATGATGCTATCCCATATGATCAGATGTGGACCGATGATCGATTCTGGCTTCCCATCGCTTTGGACGGTAAAATGTTTATTGGAGAATACTATTTCGCAGAGGTAACAATATTCATTATTGATCCACCATACCATGCCACCACGTTCTGACCGTTCTCTTTCATCCAGGATCAAAAGACCATCTTGTCCGAGAAATTGGATATTGTGCATGAATTACCACGGGAATTCGATCTTGACAAACGCACCTTTTAAATCAACCACCTGTATCGATCCACCCCAACCCCAATTGTCTTATCAGAGATAACGACCAAATCATTAAATCAATAGACGAGTTTTTTTTTTATCCTTTTGGTTTTCTAGGCTAGTGATGGAAGACATTCTGTTGGACCGTTGAAAGGTAGCCCACTGTGCTTACACACTTTTGGCCAGCAGGCGAGACACTATGGTAGTGTTGTGGTGAATGGGTTGTGACTTCGAAACATCAGTCAATCCATTACGTTCATTTGTATCATTTGTTTCTGCTGAAGAGAAAATCCCAACCTCATGGATGGATTTTTGGAAAATCTGCCTTTTAATCGGAGTAACACGCCGTTAGGAAGAACCAAACACCCCACCTTTCGTCATGATTCGCAAGAAACCGTTTTCAACAAACCTCGCATTGGAGTTCCTTTCTTACCATGGATGTAAGTCTCGGTAAAAGAGGGGAAAGGGATGAATTTCGTCATATTACTGTGTATTGCGTGAGAGTGGTCTTGCTCAACTGACCTGTGATTCAGAAATTTCTCATTGTTCAACATGTCTGGCCAATAAAATAATGGATCTGAAACCACCGAAAAATCTGGCTTGCCAATGAGACCTAGACGACGGATCACCGCCTTTTTTTTACCCAAATGACGAGGACCACGTTCTTGCGCTTTTATCAAAGTGGACCCTGAACGATCAGCTACGATTGGTTGCGGCGGTTGAATGGCGATATGAAAGGAAAAATGTCTAGAAAGATAATGCACTGGACCTGGCAAAGGTGACTGGCCCAATGTGAATCAACATTTAATCATATTGTGTATTTTCTGGGGGGTGGGGGAAGGGGACCGAACAATATGAATCAACACGACACACTAGTCTTACTGGTTCTTTCTGTTTTTTGGTTTTCTGCTCTTTATTACTCTTGCTTCCTCCATTCCTTACCATTCCCCCCCCCCCGCCCGCGCAATCCCATTCACTCATCGCTGGTTTCTCTTTTGTACTGCTTTCCCTTACTTTGCTGTGTAACCATTTGTGCCTGCTGTAATTTTCCCTTTTTATCTGTATTGAAGGATCAAAAAGATAGTATTCGCCCGAGGAAGAGGAGATAGCTTCGAAAAAGAGTATGGCTGGCCAAATCTCCATGATCGCTATTCCTCCATCTATGCCATTGCACATGCCGCCTCAGCCGGGATTCCAGGCACACGACAAGCGGGCCCCCAAGAAAGAGCAAGAATCTCCTGCAGTTCATCCAAATTTGGAAACTCGGCGACTTGCCCCATGCGACCCGCCCGACCGGTCGAATCCATCGTCCACGACCGAACCTTTCTCTAGTAACAAGAATAACGATGCACCGACGTCTACTGCTCCGCCAGCATCTTCTGGTCGCGCATCCGACGACACTAGCCAAAACATATCCGATCATCAATGGCTCAGTGAAGCCGGATACACCATTAAATTGCCTTCGATTCCCGCTTTCACTAGTACCGATTATGAAAGCGGGATCATTCGCGAAGTCCACCATATCATCATCTGTGCTTCGACTATTTATTGCATCAGTATCTTGCATCGGATGGCTTTTTCGACCTGGTCATGGCTGCATTCTTTAGATGTGCTGTGTTGGTCGACGGCCACCTTAGCGACGTGGTGGCATCCTTCCGAAACCTCCTGGCGTCGATATCTTCACATTTTGCAGCTGATCGCCCTGATCACCCTGGTATTGCATGTGGTTCAGGTTTGCGTTTTTTGGAAATGGCGTTGTTCTTATGGTATGCTCCCCACCGCCGTCTCAGTGGTCCTCTGTTATATTGCTCGACGTATGTACAACGTCAATGATCAACAAGCGGATTTGATGCACAAGCATTGGCAGCATCAACAGACAGTAGCGCATAATCGAATGAAAGAGACGTTCAATATCGTTATGAGCGATCGACAAGCGTTTTTCGAAACGATTGCTCAGGAGATCCAGGATACCGCCTTCATGACCACGAGTTTACTGGATCAATTTTCACCCAGCATGGTGCTCAACAATATCCATGAACTGTTAAGCGCTTGCTCCATCGCTATTCCTATTGCCAGTATTTCTGCCGTCAACACCGCCATCCACCAAATCTATCATGTCAGTAGTAACCTGTATCTCATGTCGAAGTTATTACGCCAAAGCCGCGAAGCCATGACAGCTCCAGCGGACGTTGTTCGAAGCACAGCGCGACAGCAATTTGATCTCGGCGATCTCGTTCAAAGCATCGGCGATACCATGGCCGGAATGGCCCTGAAGTTTGATGTCCATCTCGTGGTGAACCATTGCGATAATGGGCTGTACTATGCCAACGTTCTCGGAGACGAAGGCGCTATCAAACATGCAGTGATCAACGTAAGTTACCAATAACGTTTCACTAAATGGCTTAGTGGATCAGCCAAATACAGTGACTGATGCTGAGAGAAATAGCTTGTTCGAAACATCCTGGAAGGCTGCACCCCGGGTGCTTGCATCGAGTTGGGTCTCAACGTTGCTGCTATTGAATCGTCTTCCAAGTTTGATGTGACCATCGAGATTATTCATACCATGTCGCCTGCCATTCCCCTGGGCTTGAATGCCGCTCTCTTACCCAATGCCAACTTTACCGTCCATTTGCTAGAATATATTGGCGCTTCACTCTCCACTGAAGCGTTGGGTGACAATCGCACCAAGTTTGATATCAAGTTGACCATGGAGGCGGGCGAGATCATCGGGCATCGCCCGTTGCACATTGATCGACCTTCGCAGATGCTGGACAAACATTTGGACGACATTGAGTACGCGAATGAACCGTCTTCCAAAGAATTGCTGGATTTCATTGGTACCTTGAAAGGGTCCAAGATGGTATTGCATGCGCCCGAGCAGAGTATTTTTGCCAAACATCTAACCAGCTGCCTGGCCAGCTGGAATGTCGATATCAGCCATATCCCGGTATCGGGCTTCAATGAATCCCACCATGGATCTGATACCTCGACCGACGCGACGAAACACGACTTCAATTCCGACGCTACCTCGCCCAATGGGTCCTGCGCTTCACGGCATTCCAGTATTTCATCGTCCGTTTCCGAAGCACGGTCCATCGCCTCGGTTTTTTCCAATCGATCTTCCGCAGGCAGTGCCAAAGTTCCGTCGCCCGCCATCGAAGAAGAACACTTGCACTCCATCCCTCCGGCTTTTATCCTGATTGATGATGATATACTGTCATTGAAGCGAAAATTGCGGGAGTGCTATGGCACGCCTGCAAGCCATGTCGGCACCCATCCTTCTCCGGCGCGCGGTCATCGATCGCTCAAGAGTAACATAAAATCGCATGGTCATCAGGCAATGACCACCGGCATCATCTTCTTCACTTCGCTAAAGAACTTTAAATACATACGCGATACCATCCATTGGCTGTCCATGTTGCCAAATTACCACCCGGCTTCCACACCTCGTGTCGTGGTCGTCCCGAAACCGGCCGGCCCACGACGTTTCTTGACAGCCTTGTATACAGCGGCCAAAAACGTGATTGTCGAGCCCCAGTTCATTCCCATCGCTACCTCACCGGTGAGTCCGGTGGTGACGCCGTTGTTAAACTCTTTGGGACCGACGACGCCTTCACAAGAAATGTGGACCCTCGGTCGCAATATGCATGGACGACCACGACTTACGCCTGGTCCAGCTACAACCGACAATGTCACTGAACGCGACAACTATTTCGCCAACCACCGAAGAACAAGCAGTGCCAGCACCCCAGGCCGACTAGGCAATGCGTCATCCGTCGCCTCGTTGGCCCAAGTCAACCAACCAGCGTCCAACAGTGTTTCGTCTCAGGGAAGTACCGCTTCCGCTTCGTCCACTGCGTCGGATTCGAGCAAACGCCGTTTGCGATCTCACAGTGGCGCGCATGCCAGTGGACGACGATCATTTTTGGAAATGACGCATTCGGCCTCCACGGCTCCACCCCAACCACCCCAATCCCCCAAGGAACCGCGGTCACCTCACCTGAGTAATACCACAGATCGTATGCGAAGAATGAGCAGTTTCACACTTCAGTCGCCCAGGTCGTCAACAGCAGAACAGGAAGAAACTTACGGGACGGAAAATGACAATGGAGAAACGAAGGGAACCGAAAAGGATCTACCGAAAGATGAAGCAAATAAAACAAACGAGGTACCGTCCCCAGAGCGGCCGGAGATGGCTGAAGTGTCGGCGTCAGACAGTATGGTCAATCTATCAACGTCTACTCCTGCCCCGAGCGCAGAAACCGACAAAAATCATCAAAGTCGCTTCAAGCTTAGCAACCGTAAACGAAAAGCTAAAAACAACACGGCCAACAAATCCAACAGTCCGCCTATCAATGTGCTTATTGTCGAAGGTAAATCGATTAACCCCCTTTTCGTCAGTGTGCTAAACTTCTTTGGCTGACGAGTGAATGTCTTTTTAAGATAATATGATCAATCAAGCTATTTTATCCACCTGGATGAAGAAACACAAGATCAAATGTTCGGTAGCGAGCAATGGTCAGGAAGCCGTGGATAAATGGAAATCGGGAGGATTCCATCTCGTGCTGGTAAGGCCAATAAGAGAGAAAGTGCCTTCTGTGGCCACTTTGGAGAGACAAATATCAATTCTCTGACACGATGTGGTAGATGGATATTCAATTGCCGGTAATGAATGGCTTGGATGCCACGCGAATGATTCGCACGATTGAACGGGAGCAGAGAACGGGTGTTTTACCCATGACGCAAGGTCAAGCGAAAAAAATGATTCAAGAAAATATTGACGGAAAGAAGGCCAAGGATAGTTCTGCTGGCGCGTCGTTGTCGATGCCTTCTGTCTTCCGGTCGCCCGTCATTATCGTAGCGCTTACAGCGTCGTCCCTGGAATCCGATCGACAAGCGGCGCTGGCAGCGGGGTGTAACGACTTTCTAACCAAGCCTGTGAGTCTGGAATGGCTGGAGAAAAAGATCACCGAGTGGGGATGTATGCAAGCCTTGATTGATTTCGAAGGATGGAGAATGTGGAAACGATCGGCAGATGCGGCATTGGCGTCGGCCAACCAGCGCGTCACCGCAATAGAGTTGTCGGCGAATGCCGCTAAATCCGAGAACGCGGGTGCGGCTAACCCTGAAAAAGAGCAGCCCACCTCTGCCAAGACAACAAGTGCAAGGAAAGGAGTTTTGTTACGAGGCGCTTCGGAGTTGGTACAAAAACGACGAACGTCTTCCATGCTGGGCGAAAAGGCCATCAGTCGTTTACAAAAACTCCAGTCCGTTAAAAGTTGCCCCGAAACCAAGTTTGTTACCATGGCTGTTTCATCTCTCGTTCAGGAAAAGAATGCAGTGCAGCAGGAGGCGGCGGGGTAGTGTGTGTATATGTTTATTACGGTTCTTTCCTCCATTTCACAATAACCCCACGTGGTTTGTACAATATCGGCGATGAGATGCAGTTAGTTCTTCTTCCCTTTATGCATTTACATTTTTTTTTTTTACATGTTGATTTTTTATTCGTTAGTCATATCTACTTTTTTTGAATACACAACCATCTACCGTAGTGAAACCATACGAGATGATCAAAAGCACGGTATGACACCAGACGTCAGATCGACAAAGTAGGTCGTACCGTTCAGTCAATCTAATGATGAACACAGAGTAATCAAACGCAATGGGCTTTGATATTGCAATAAAAATTTGGGATGATTGAGTGTTACAATAAAAAAAAAGACAATAAATAATCAAAATAAAAATGTGTGACAGAAAAGCATGAACAGGGTTGAATGAACAAGGAGAACATAATTCACTATATATGATGAAGCAACTGTAGGGAACACAAAGCGGAAAAGAAAAAAAAAAGGGGGGGGGGAAGGGTGCGCAAGTTTTTCCTGGAAGATAATAGTCGGAAAATGAGGGAGGTCGGGCATGGTCTTTTTGACGGAAAGCTAAACATGGAAACCCTCACGCTTTCTCTTTCCCATCCATTTCAATCCTTGATTCTGTTGTGGACGGATAGTTGTCATTCTCCTTCCTCTCCTTTGTGCAAAAAAAAAGTTCCAGTTTCTCATTGTTATCATCTGTTTTTTTTTTCTGAAGATTCTTCTAAACCTCTTTTTTCTTCTTCTTCTAATTGTTGTACTTCGTTCCTCCTTTTTCTTTCCTTTGACTTTATTATTGCTGTTGCCAGATTACTATCATCGCAGCAACACTGTCTACTTTCACTCCTTTATTTACTAGACTCAATAACGAAACCATCTGATTCAGATCTCTTGTTTTAATCTTTTTTTTTGTAGTATCGTTGGCCTCTCTTTTAATTGATAAAGATGACCAACACTACTTTTCAGCAGCCTCAGCGGTTCACTCCTCGCCCGGCTGCCAAAGACGTCGCTTTCTTTGATGAAGACGATTTTGACGATGATGAAGAAGTAGATAGCTTTATCACCGATTTCACAAATGGGACAATAGATTCTTTGGACGCTCATCGAACCGATGATACGCTCACGTTGGCGCGATTTCTGGCCAACACGGGCCCTGAGGAGTTTTCAAAAAATGGCAAAAAACAGAATCAACAACTGAAGCGAGCCTCACGTTTACTGAACCGCCTCCGTAAGCGACCGTCTACCAAATCATCACTAACATCGTCGGCGACACTGTTGAATACTTCCATTGCCGGGGCACCAAAAAAGACCCACATCCCACTCCCCGTCTACACTCCTCCCAGTCTCACCTCGACTGAATCCAGCGAAGAGAATTCTCAATCCGAGCCACAACCTCGGCCTGTACAGAGGCCCAATTCACGTATTACAGCGACATCGACGTTACGTGATTCAGGAGTGTACAGTGAAGTGTCGGATAAAGACTCAGTGGCTCCACCGGTACCTCCCTTCCCATCTACTACCGCGGCATCGGTCAACGAATTGCATTTTCCCGTACCGCCTTCACTTCCTCTAAAGTCGCAAGCCCGTTCGCAACCACGACGACCTGCCCCATTACCAGCTTCAGTGGCTTCGGCCGCTATTGCTGCTGCGTGTCGCAACAGCGCTGCGTCATTTGACTATGAACCACGCACATTATCCATTTGTTCCAATCTGTCAGACAAGTCGGTACTGAGATCAGTCCCTGCGGCGGCCCTGAAACGTCGGTCCGTTCGAATTCGGCATGCTCAGGTGCAGACGCAAACCGCAACGGGTCAGCACCAGCCGCCCTCCAGCGGGGCAGCCTCCAGTCCGGAAACGGATCGACGAGCTTGTCCTCACTGTCATCAAGTGATTTCGCCGTCGGTTCCCTTGACAGCCACCGAGCCACGACGTCTGTCGTGTCCTCCCGTGTTAGCTTCCGGCAAGTTATTAAAAGCGGTTACGGATAAGCTGAATGAATCGACCATGACCGACGAAGCCAAGATGTTGCTGGGTATGATTGAACAACTCAAAATGCAACTGGCCGAGGAACAGCAGTCTCGTATGATTCTCGAGAAAGCTATCATGTCCCGTCAGATGGAAGGAACGCACAAAATGGACCAGGTAGCCCGTGAAAAAGATCGATGGAAAGGTGATTGTCTCTGGTTGAGTGATCGCATAGCCTTGCTTCCCGAATAAAGTAGGTCGGTCATCTTAGGGTTTACATAGTTCTCCTTCCCATTCTCTTTTTTTTGTTTCACTTGCCATTCCTTTTGTTTATGTTCCCTTTTTTGCCGTGTTTCTGTTTTTTTTCCTCTCCTACTTGTGTTCTTTTTGTACCTTTCCTTTCTCTCTCTTTTTGCTTCCTGTTTGCTATAGTAACGAAAGTTAATTGAACCCAGTCCTATCTTTATTCGCTTGTTTCTTGGTGAAACCATTTATCACCTTGTCTCTCCTTTCTTTATTCTCTCCATCCATTCCTTATTATCTTATTATTATATTCAGAATAAACTATTCATATAATCCTGCTGTTCCATTATATGCACTAATGCCTGTTATTTTTCTAAATCATCAACATTTTGCAGACATACTGCTTCCAATTTCCGGTTTTCACTGTTTCGATTTTCCCACCTTTTTTTTCAATTTTGCCAATCTGAGATTGGTCGTTTTTTTTTCTTTCTTTTTCCTTTTGAAAAAGACAAAGGTAAGATGACACCGATACTGTAACCCATGTTTAGTGGGAACAAGTGACAAGTGATGATATTGGTCAGATCAGTTCAGTTCAGTTCATGTGGCCAAGTGAGCAAGAGTAACCTACCGGATGATTATGGAAAATTCACTTTTTGTTACCATGGAATGTGGATGAAATTGTGAATCACGTTGAATCGTTCCATTCATCGTATAAAGAGATGATTCGTCTGATAACCCATGGATAATGGGTTGTGCAGACTTGGATTTTTTATGGCAATCCATTCAGATCTATTCATTGTGGCAAGGGCTATTTCTTTTTTTCTTCATTGAAATCACGCTCTATCTCCGACTGTGCCCATTGGTTGTGACCTCGCTTTTTTCTTGGTCGGGTCTGTCAGCGAGAGAGATAGACCAGCACTGGGGAAATCATCCCATTTCCATTTCTTATTTTTCTTTCTTTATCAAACCAACTGTACTACCTTCATACCTTTTTTTTCTTATTTCCGCTGTTCTCTCCATGGGTCAAACCTATTCCAGTCAGAATAATCATACCAATAACACAGATAACACCAACAATAATAATGGTCGACCTCCAAGACGACGCACAGCACAGTCAACAGGAGGCGCTTCATTACGGAGAAGAGCCGTAAGACCACGAACCAGAGCTCAAACCTTGAGATCAAGGCGTCATGATCCTATCGATACAACTGGTCGAAGATCTCGTCAAGCGGCGTCATCCTCTCGTAACAATGCAACGACAGACCCATTGGCGTCCGCAGGCGCAAGTACCTCCAACCCAACTAATCCTGCCAGAGTTCAACAGCAATCACCAAGCACTCCATCGGCTACCTCTATCCCGACCGCTGATCCAATGTCATCTATTCATTCGACTCTAATGACGCATGCCACAGCTATTGCACAAACCGCTGCTTCTCAGATTGATAATCGCAACAGTAGCTTCCATCGGCATACCACCGCCTTTTCTAGATTTATCACCGATGTCATCACGGAAGCTGTTATGCAATCGTTCAATGAGCGTCGCGAACAGCTGTTTGGAGAAGGAAGTGAAGAAGCCGCTACCATGTCTTCGTTATCTTCCGCAGCCTTACCAACCACATCTCTTCCCTCGTCTTCTTCGCCATCGCCGACCTCACCTTCTGCATCAGCATCAGCTTCGGCATCGGCGTCGGCCGAACCGCAGCAGCGAATAGGAATGGATCTTTCAAGCGATTGGTTACAAGAACAACAGCAGCAAGCTGAGATTGAACATGGAGAACATGGGAATAACTCTTTCTTCCGGTTTGTACGGATGCCAGTGACAGTGAATGAAGACGATCCATCCGCGGAAGCGGTGGCTGCGACGCATGAACAGGACACCTCCACCGACGTTGCTGGTCAACGTACGATCATGATGCCGGTTTTTATTCTCGGTTATCGAACCCCGGTCCAGCATCGACGAACGAGAGTTCCACCGCCGGAATCAGCTGCAGAAAACGAAAATCCCAACTTGCGGAGGAGTCAACGTATTCGGGAACGACAACAACAACAATCGGCTCGAACCGAGACGGAAGTCAGTCACGGACGATGGGTCGTGTATGTGATTAGCGGTACCAATTCGGCCGGCATGATGCCCTCCATGCTGGGCGATAATCCTTCCTACGAAGACCTGTTATCGTTGGCTAATATCATTGGTCCCGCACGACGAATGACGACGACGCAGGAAGCGATCAATGTCCACATTCCGCTCCACGCATTCACAGCGCAGGTGAAACAGTCCATGGTGGGCGATCAAGATCGGTGTCAAGTATGCTTGGATGATTTCAAAGCGCAAGATCCAGTACGCGTTTTGACATGTCATCACGGATTTCATCGAGATTGTATCGACAAGTGGTTGATGGAGGGGAAAAACGAATGTCCACTTTGCCGTGAAGTCCCGGTACCTTCCTAAGAATAGACAAAATGTCAATGATAACCAAAGGATCGGTCCATCAAAAAGCCGACCCAAAAGAAACATTGTGACAAGCGATCCGGTTTAACAACCCCACGCTATTTATGATCATCTTTATCACCATCGGAAATTGCCATTATTATTTCGTGTTATTTGGTCCCACTGCATCTGCCTTTTTTTTCTTTTTTATAGCCCAGTATATGCAACTCGAAAGATGCATGGCTCATAGTTTAGACTGGATATTGTTGAGATCAAACATAATAAAATAAAACATCATGATAACAACAACTGTATTGACCGTCGCTTAAACATCAGCAAGCATGACACAAAAACGGCCTGGAACTTTTATTCATGTGACTGCATGTTCAAAATTTCCAATCATCTGTGCGCAGTTGACCTTTTTTTTTGTCGGATTGACCTCTTTATCAAGTTGCACCATGCTGAATTTATACACGGCTGCTTACGAAGGAAAACTGTTTGTTGTACAGCAACTTTTAGAAAATGAACCCACTGCTATTGAAAGTAAAGATGAGGTATGTACATTTGGGTCATTCCCCGTTCCGTGACTATTTCAACACGCGTATGATGGATCTCATGACTTTGGGAACCACGAACCGCGAATGGGTTCAAATACTGTACTCACGTGCTATTACGGATACGCAGGATGAACGCAACGCGTTGCATTGGGCGGCCATGGGCGGACGTCTCGATGTTGTGGAATATCTGCTAAATGAAGGAGCCAACGTAAATGCGGCGGACGATGTAAGAAAACAGAAAACGAACGCTCTGTGAGGCGTGAACTGAGTTTCATGCAAATTTTCGTAGTCAGGCTGGACGCCACTTTTGATTGCATGTAAAGAGTCAAGGGATAATCCATTCATGTCCGAAGAGGTGGTTAACTAACCGTTATTTTCCTCTTCCATTTTTTGCCACTAGCTTCGTCTGGACATGGTAATGTCGTACAATGTCTACTTGAACACGGCGCTGATCCGAGTGTCCAAAATGAAAGTGGACAAACCGCATTGTGCGTAAGCCAAAAAATTTGGGTGCCCGCTGTTGTCATAGTACAAACGCACTAAGGGATAATGTTTGTTCTTATCTAGGCACTACGCCGCATCCAAAGGCAACGTTGAGGTACACTGTTTTTTTTAACAGTCTCCAAATGACTGAGCGTGTGTTGTCAGACAAAATCTCATGACTTTTCTCCTTTTTGTAGGTTTGTCGACTGTTGCTAGAACACAAGGCGGCGGTGAATGCGATCAATAAGATAAAGCAAACACCATTGTAAGGTTTCATTTGATTTACCATACACAGGTTGAGGAAGTGGCTTGAATCTTAACTACACTAAATATAGACATCGGGCGGCTGCACAAGGTTCCACTCCTCTTGTCAACGCTTTGCTGCATGCAAAGGCACGTCTGAATCCGAAAGACTTTGAAGGGAACACGCCCTTACATCTTGCTTGTGAAGAAGGTCATGGTGATACCGCTGCGGTTTTGTTACAAAATGGAGCGGATGTGGATGCGTTGAACCTCGAGGGTAAATCGTCCTTGGATCTGACCACGGCACCTTTGCGATCGTTTTTGAACCGATATATTGAAGAGTGAGATGGGGAGAGTGAGGTTGGGTTGGGGGGAAGAATTTCTGCGCTTGTTCTTTCTTCCGGTCAAGGATTGTCTCCTCAATCGGGACGTTAACAATTTGTAAGCCAGATGCTGTTGTTGGTTTGTAATTGTGACACGGGCTTGGCATCCACGAAATTGTTGTGAAACGATAATTGACGTTACCTACGGACGATGATGGATGATCTTTATTATTAAAAGCGATCAATCAATATTTGTTGTGATTCTTTGGTAGCAATATGGAGTTCGATGTTGCCGCGGCTTGAGATGGAAACTCCTTTTTTCTTTTTCATATGTCTTGCTCCTCGGGTGTGACTTGAACTTCGGATAAAGTGAGGAAAAAAGGATATTGGCAATGCAGGTCATACAAAAAAATTCCGTGGGCGGATTCGGCATCATCAATATCAGGCAGAGATCGACAGCAGAAAAATAGGAATACAGAAAAAAACTCAGATCATGTTGCACCACTTCAGAGCAAAAAAAGGTTACATATAGTCATAATCCATCTGACTTTTTTTTGATTAACAGCAGGATATATAAACGATTCAATTACAGAACATTATAAATAAGCAAGCCACTTTTCTGAAAAAGGGAGCAAAACGAGGGTTGGTGGTAAGAGAGAGTAAGAGAGAGAGAGAGAGAGAAAAGAGGCATAAAAAAGGGCAAGACAAATCATGAAAAAAGGGATAAAAAGAAAAAGAGATAAGAGAAAAAGGAATCAAACATATCGAAAATGAGTGCACAAAGTAAAGATCATAAATATATTTATGATTTCCTTTGTTCTGATTTCTCTCTTTCTTTTTTCATCTTACAATTGAGCATTTTGGAGGACGGATAAATGATTCAAACAGAATAAATTAATAAAGGCTTCACTCTCTTCCAATCTTTCTTGAAAATGAAAGGGAAGGACAACCAGCATCCAAATAATAAAAAACGAAAAATAAACAATATACATGAAAGGATGAAAAGAACACGTTGGTCGCACTTTTTTGTTTCTTGTCTAATAAAACGTGCCCATGGTCATCGTGTGTTGCAAAGGCGGATATGACTGAAATTGTGTAGGCGGGTATGGAGGGGGTGGCATCACGGTAGCCGAGTGCTGTACGTGCTGTGTTGGTTGCTGCTGCTGGTGGTGATGATGATGATTACTTTGTTGTTGATGCTGTTTCATCGCTTCTTCGGCGGCTTTTTTGGCAGCTTCTCGTTCCTTTTTCTGACGCCTCCATTCTTTTCGCATTTCTTTAAATTCAGTGGGATGCCGTTTGGGACCCTAAACGTTTCAACAGAAAAATGAACGTTTGATTAGTCATACTATGTACAGGGAATCATTTTTTTTCATACGTTATTTATTTATCTATTTATTATTTTTTTTCCTCGTTTTCCTTTTCGGTTGGGTATACTTACGTGTTTTTGCATACTCACATGAGCGTTCAGATGGTTCAAGGTGCCATAAGCCTTTGTACAACCGGGCCAATTGCAGTGATAAAGTCGTTCAATTTCATCATATCTTCGGCGAGGTCTTTTTTTCTGATTGGTACCGGGGATAGCCACAAACGAATATATTTTATCGGACGAAGTACTAGAAACTGAGGTCTGACGTACGCGACGAGTGTCGTCGGTGGGACGCATATACCCGGCAGCAGCAGCCGCGGCCGCGGCCGCTGCGGCCACACCGGCTGCTGTGGAGGGATCACCGTTATTTGAAAACATGGCTGTCGTGTCGATGGGGAGCATCGGTTGCGGCATTGGAGTGAAACTTTGTTCCACCAACATTGGATTCGTTGTGGGGAAAATAGTCGCGGAGGGAACGGCTGGTGCAGCTGTAGCAGACGGTGCCGGAGTTGTTGAGGAAGGATTGGCCGTTACCAAGGAAGCTGAAGGCAACAAAGGATCGGTGGGCTGAGTAGAGGTGGGCTGAGAATGGGCCAAAGCGTAATCGCCATAGTAAATTGGTTGAGAAGGATACAGACTATTCTGTGTCATAGGTTGACTGGTAGTCAAAGGTAACGTTGTTGCTGTGGGTGGAGGTAAAGGTGGAGCCGCCATTTGTTGTTGCTGCTGCTGTTGTTGCTGTTGTTTTTGTACTTCAGCAGCGACGGCTGCGGCGGCCATGGCGGTACTGGTAACATCGCTGTTGGATGGATTTCCTTTACCACGGTTTTGTTCAGTTAATATGTGAGATAAAGGTGGTAATGAACGAAGTTCAAGTGGCTGGAGATAAGGTGCTGTCTGTTGCCTTCGAGCCAGTAAACTGTTTTCCGCGGGTGAAGCTGCAGCTGCCACATTGCTGCTGGTGTGTGTTGATGGATATCCTACTGGAAACGAAGCCGGGTGTGCCATCGTGGTGCGGAGTCGACTAGACACAACTTATATAGAATAAAATGCAACAGGGAAAATAAAATAAAAAAGAAACGTAGAACCAAAGTAAAGAAAGGATCAAATATAAGTAAAAAAGTCAAAGGTAGAAAAAAAAAGGAACGAGAAGCAGAAATTCAATATTTAAGGGACACTGTAAAAAAAAAAAAAAAAAAATAGAAATGAAGCTGCCTGTGTTTGGCATATGCTTTGTTGCGGAGTTATATATGACGTCAAAAGTAAACCGGGCACCGATGTTTGTTACTCCTTCTTGAACGGGAACTGCTATTTGTAGCATGCAATTTCTTTTTCATCATTTGAGCGGGATTTTTTTTTTCTGGAGATGACGCAACCGGCTCTCCTGAATAACTTGCTTTTTTTTGTGGCTGTCTCTATCGTTATGAAATCAGGTTGTGAAGAGATAATACAGTGGAATAGATTTTCCTTCGCTTGGAAAAAATGGAACCCACCATTTCAATCCTTGGAAAACCTACCATTCAATCAACAGAAAATCCCTTTTTAAGGTATATTGATCATCATATTTGGGAACATTCATGATCGATCTTCAAAGCGGAGAATCATTCACAGCAACGATGTCTCAATAAACTTTTTTTGTCTATCATTCATATATTGTTTGAAAGATGCCTCGCTCATTTCTCCTCGACAGAATTCTTACAGCATTCTAGATTTACATGCCACAAATCAGCAACACACTTTTTAATACAAAGCTCGCATTCAAATTACCATCCAATTTTACTGTGGATGAAATTACAACCCCCTCTCCACGCTTGCCAAGCTTCTTTTTATTCCCAAAATGTAATAAATCATGCAGCATCACTCAAAAGCTCCTCTGGCAAAATAAACAGGATCACCCGCACCTCATCTAACTATCACTGCAACGGTTACGTCTTGCACTGTGTTCTTTGTAAACCTTACTAATTGATTGGTTCGCCAGGATTCAAAAAACTGATTTGACCGGAAGCGGTTATTAAAACCCACAAACTGGGGTCACAAATATCGCAACAGAGAAACATCCAACGACAACTTTATGAAACACAAACAAACACCTTGCATAAAATTGGCTTCCCATATTTAGGTTACCACTGTTGATCTGCATAATCTGATTTCTTTCATTACTGTTGTGCTGTTTGATCTGTTACCATACGATGAACAAATGACAAGAACAATAATAGCTGAATCCAATTCTTTATCACGGAGATCTTGGAATAACAGCAGCGCCGATTTTTCGGATGGTCACGTCATTTTTTCAATAAAGGCAGCTTGAAAATCCCTTGCTCTAGTAGTACAATGGCGCATGAATACATCGTCGAAAGCAACCATATAGAGTAGTCAATTACTGATCGCGCCACGATATTTTTTAAACACAAGACATTGAAGCACACTAACTATAAAATACGATGATTAGACACCCACTGTTGGCTGTGAACCATCGACAGCGCAAACCAGAATGTGCCACAGTTTACACCGTTTATCCCCATCACATCCATTATCCCCACTCGTATGCACATCACTCCAGCCGCTGAAAAACAACAGAAGACTTACGTCATTTTGACATTACCCACGGATTTGCGAAAAAAAAAAGATCGGAAGATCCAAACATGGTTAGGACATACATAAGGTTATCCAGAAAATTTATATTCTTCCACATTCTCAGCTGATCTCACGAACGCGGGAACGCCAAATTTTATTGAAATGCAACAACAGTAACAACAAGCAACAGCAAACGTTTTCATCATCATGTTCATGTCAAGAGGATAAATACAAGAACCTCAGTTTAATTTTCTGCTATCGTGATCATTCTTTGCGATGCTAAAGCGACAAACCAAACAACAACGACAACAAAAATAAAAATAAAAATAAAAGGGCTCCACATAGGATAGGCGACGGATTGGGGAATCACATCACCGAGAAAGATCGACAGCGAAAACGCCGCCTCTTTTATCTCCGACAACACTAGTTTCTGCAAACACGACGTTTCTATCCTTCAGATATTGCTCGACATTTGGTTTCAATTTACTCTGTTTCTTGCTCAACCCCGTACTGCCGGAATGATGCCCTGTGCCGGTAACAATGTAAATGGTACCTTGATATCCCTTCAATTTATCCAATCGTTCCTCAAGAATATCCAGTGCTTCATCCACATGCAAACCGTGGAGATCAACAAATGCTTCGCTTTGATTCCGCTGCTCAAAAATGCGTCGGCTGGCTTCGGTATGCATCTCTTGCATCAAACGGTTGTAGTGTTTGGCTTTCAACGAATAGGCTTTTGCCTTGGCACCGTCGCCGTTGAGGTAAAATTCCGTTGCACGACTGAAGAACCGATTGCGCAACATACCGTATTCGATGGCTTGTTTTCGCTGCCAAAAAGAAAAAGAATCAGTGTATCAGTACAAACATCACATGTTCTTCACCTCATTTTGCTCTGCTCCACACTGTTCTCCTTTTTCTCATGTTTCAAGGTTCACATTTGTATTTACCTGCTCAAGATAGGTCGCATTCAACGCGCTCCCTGTTTCCAGCCATGGAATGCGAACAGGTTGCCTTAAACGTTGTTTGGAAATAGCATTGGTCTGAACTGATTTGAGCGATTTTTTGTTCGCACTGGTGTTGCTGGATGCTTTTTTCTTGGCAGCTTCGGCAAAGTTGATGATCTTCGCGGCTGGTCTTGCCGACCGCATTTTCGCAGCCGATGTGAGCGAGGGAAATTCTTCTTGGGATGATACGGCCACTTGGGGAGATGACTTTTTGGTGGGTCGACTGGATAGCTCTGGGTAATCATTTCCATTAAATTTGATCTCAGGCTTGGTTTCCTTGGTGATTTTCGTCGCTACTTCTTGTACGTCAATGTAATGTGAGAACTCGCATGAATCACCCTTGAGGCACGATCCTTGCAACCTATCATGATCAGCGGAGTCCCATTTCACAGTCAGCTATTCATTGTGCGCGCCAACTTTTTTTTTATGTTTTTTATGCTTACCAGAACTTGCACACCTTGACTTGGAGATCGTGAGCAAACCAGCAATCTTTGCGATAGCATTCACCGGCGAGATAATGACGACACACTTGGCGTTTTTTAACCACTGTATCAGCGGGCACGGGTAAAGGTGGAGGCATCTCGACTTCGGTGGTGTTTCGGTGAATGAGATATTCCATGGCTCGATCGACATCGTAATCGTGCTTTGCTAAAACCTGGTCGAGTTCATCTTTGCTCAGATCAGTGAAGATGGATTCCATCATTTGGATGGGTGACATGTCTTCGCCGACGTTATCAGCCTGAGTTTCTTCTTCGGACGGGTTGGTAACGGAAAGCGAAAGTAGGTTCATGTCTTGAATAGTGTCGTGATCCAATAGTTCGCCACGATAAAATTGCAACGTCGGATCAAAATCACTTTCGTCTTCATGCGAGTAAGGTTCGAAGCGGTCCCAACAACGCGAGTAACGCATGTATTCCTCTTCGTGCGTATTAAAGGTGGTTGTTTGTGGATCATTGTTTGATTCTGTTTTCGATGGTTGTTGCTTTTGTTTCTGCTTTTGCTTTTGCTGATCCGCAGGTTCTTCTTGTACGTCGGCTTTCCATATGTGCTTCAGGGATTGGTCGGTTGGATGCGCAGGTGACGATGAGTACCATGCTGTTCTTCCATTCAATGGCCACGGGTAATTATTGTTATCGTCACTCTGTAATGCGGGTTCTTGTTCGGCGTTCATCTCATCCAGGAGATGAGTACTTAATAAGTGGTCGCTCAACTGTGTGTCGTCGTAAGCTTGGGTATGTTCTTCAAAAGGGTTAAATAGTTGTGGGGAATGCGTTACTGAGCTGGGAATAAAAGGTGATGCACAGGCTTGTAAGGAGCTCAAAGAGGGACTTGCAAGCTCATAAGTAAGGGAAGTCGCTTGAAACGTCGGGGATTGTCCAAACAGCTGCATTAGAATCGAACATCAGTACACTGTCATTCAAGGGCACCAGACCTTGAATCTGAAGTTTGCTCGTTGTATGATACTTGCCTGGAATTCTTTGGCCCGTGGATTTAGACTATCATCTTTATTATCGGCTGATTTACTAAAAAAGATAATAAAGTTCGAATGAGCCACTGGCTATCCATTTACTGGAGCTGTCGAAAGAAAAAAAAAACCTACTTCTGAAAACGAGTGAATGCTGAATCCCAAGTGGAAGAGAAGTGTGATGGATCAGTCATGCCGAGATTGTTCAAGAATGCTTCTCACAATGTTTGCTTGATATCGGCTTCCTTTTTTTTCCCCACTTCAGGAAAGCCGCCGCGGCGGCGGGAATTCAATTAGGATGATGACATCACGCATGCGCCCCGTTATTTAAGACGTGGCACACCCTCAGGAACGGACTTCAATTTTTTAAAAGCATGCCTGACATATTTCACCGACATGGAGACCAGCAATTACATCGAAAGTTGGCACAATCAGCTCAAAACGACGTACCTGCAAAGTTTCATATTCTTGAAAGCAGACGTGACATATTTCACCAACATAGAGACCAACAACTACATCGAAAGTTGGCACGATTAGCACAAAACGATGTACCTGCAAAGAAAGCGCAACAGACGTCTTGACCGCCTGGTATACATTCTTGTCAATGACGTCCATGAGGATTAGGAGCAATATTTCGCGTATAGTGCTCAACAGAGGCAGGATGGGGCAGGCACAACGAATGGTGCGCGCCAGAGAAATTGCTGCTGAAGCGATCAACCCTCTTGTAAAGCACGACATGATTGCTATATTTATATTTACTGTATTTATTTATTGTATACAAGGAAGCATCTATCATCGGATCGGTGGCCTGCTTCCGCCAACGGACAACCATACTCCTGCATTTGCTCAACTGTACATTTACGACTCTGACACCCAGTTGGCACACCGAAACGCTGTGGCGCCCTATTTACAAAATGCAACACTGCTAATTCTCCAAGATCTGCTGATGGAAATTAACCCCTTTGTTCCACTGTTGCTGTCGATGGCCCAAGTTTTACGTGAGTCGGATGGAGCTGTAGACGTGCGATTGCTGATATGCGCGGAAAACACTCCCGATGCCCGCCGATACAACGCACCCACCGCAAGCGAAATTGGAGTAATTTTGGTCGATAGCACCATTACGCCTGATAGTAGCCGCGATATTGTGCTCCGATCGAGAAGCCATGGACTTCAACGTATCAGCGAGATGAATCGGCCGTGGTGGTTGTAGTCGTCGTCGTGGTTGTTTTTTTCGCACTATGATGCTCTCCAGTACGTCTTGATGTTCCCACATGGTAACTTGGTTGGAATATCCACGCACGCTCCCCTGGCGGTCGCAGTATCACGGTTATGCAATGGTACAGCTACCGTTTGATGGTGCGAAGTAACGGCCACGATCTGCATTTGTTCGGACGCCTGTTCCAGCAGTACATAGTTGATATGTACGCCAAAATGGAGCAGAATCGGCTGACGTATTTACGGCTCAATCAGACGAACCTGCGAACGGATCTGTACCGAGGTGTCGTAGATGCAGCAGAGCTGGGTGACAACGACCTTCAGAGCGTCGGGCAACGAGTGATCTTGCCATCCACCTTCATAGGAAGTCCCAGACACATGCGGCAACTCTATCATGACTCCATGAATATTGTACGTCGATGCGGACAGCCCGATCTTTTCATCACTTTCACTTGCAATCCTCAGTGGAAGGGAATACAGGACGAGCTGGCTCCTCTCCAAACCGCTGTTGATCGGCCCGATCTTTGTGCGCGAGTCTTCAATATGGAGCGTAAAGCTCAGATGGAAGATCTAACGAAGAACCATGTTTTGGGAAGAGTCGTTGCCCATGTACACACAGTGGAGTTTCAGAAGCGAGGCTTACCGCATCTTCATTTACTTTTGGTGCTACATGCGGACGATAAGCCGAGAACACTTGATGACTATGATCGTATCGTGTGTAGGTTGTCTATTGATACGCAAAAATTTATGCGCACATCAACTAAATCTTACCGAAAAATCAACCTTTTATTGACAAAAGATTAGAGTTAAGAGAACACCATCAAGCGAGACCTTTGGATACACAAATTCGAGTGCGGAGTTCTGAATACTGGAAATGGAGCATCCCATTTCAAACACATCTTAATCAGCTACTATTCCCACTAGCCTCAGAGTAACAACAAACTACAGACCGAAAGAGCATAACTTTGTGATCTTTAAAAGATCAACACGTGATACTATTAAAATTCCTGCCAAACTACAAACCAGTCGCCGCACGCCAAAATTTGCGAGCTAAAAACCAGTTACATGGTGTTCCTTTTCATCATATGGATTTGGCAGCTACTTCGCTTGGTGTTATCTATTCATTCAAAGATGTTGGGTGGAGGTTATGGAAAAGTTCAATAGGGGACAGCTTTCTGCAAAGGGCTATTGTCGATGTCGATCTCGCGTCTTTGTAGCATTATATTTAATAAGTTGTCTTTGTCAGTAAATGTGTGTCCTTTTGATTTTTTTCTTTCCAGTTTCCGGTGATTAAAGGTGCATGAGCAGAAATGCTTTACCAATGTAGCTGATCTGGCGACATTGCTCATTGTTCATTCATTGGTGTGTGTCAATTTTTATTTATTTTAAAGGCGATCATTCATACTTATAGAGCTCTATTTTCATGCAGTTTCTTTTTGCTTTTATCAGATTTTTATTTTTGGAGCTTTTTTTCATTTAGAAAGTGGCCATTCACACGTCTTTTGTAGCTTTAATTTTTATGCAGCTTCTTTCTGCTTTTTATCTTTACAGTCTTTATTTGCAGTTTTTATTTTGGACTTTTTCCTGAAAAAGGGTGAATTCATTGTTCTTTGGAGATCTATTTTTGAAGCTTTTTCTTTTTCGCTTTTATATTTAAAGCTTTTATTTTTGGAGGTCCTTTGTTCTTTTTGTCTTCGTTTTTCTCTAACGTCGGTTCACCTAAGAAGCCCTGGTACTATTTATTTCATCAAGTTCCTAGCTGCGTCCATCGCCCCGACTATGGCTTTCCCGTGTAGCTGACTCGGTTAAATCGACCATCACAATCAGAAGGTACCATCAAATGGTTTTTTATCAGTTCTTCAACAAGGAAAAACTTACCTGTTCTTTTTTCCATTCTTCCTTAGCTTTTGGTTTTCTCTCCGGTTTTCTTTTTCGCCTGGCAAGTCATCCATCCCTCCAAATCTTTCGACTTTGTTTCGCGCATCAAATGTTGCCAATCCGGTTTTTGTCGTCAAAAGGGCATCGTCGGTGGTGTGACTCTCTTTTTCATCGGCAGCGCTTACGCGTCCTCCTCAGCTTGGCTTCACCTGTATTACTTCCCGTGGTATCGTCTTTGATCTTCTTCCCGACCATTTTATTTTTGTAGTTTGTAGTTTGTAGTTTGTAGTATGTGTATTTTTATTTTAGTTATAGTCTTCTTGCAGTCTTTTCCTTCTTTTTTTCCCCACAGGGTTTGTAGGGGGTTTTTACAGACGCACCTATTGTATTTACTTTTTTTTTTTTATATTTGTATCGTTTCTTTTTTTTCGGTCGGGAAGCTCTGGATATCTACTGCCTCACACAACAAAGGTAAAATATCTTGACGGCATTTGAATCAATCAAAGAGCTTGCTAACTCATTTTTTTTAAAATACCCAATAACCTTGGGCGGGACGGGACTGAGGGGGTCAATAAGTGCTGCTGCACACATGTTTGGAAATCATGACTGTACGGTATGCCAGAGTATTGACATTAATATACCAAAGTTCCATCAAGAGTCTCGCCCAGGTTATGCCGTATGCGTTAGGCTTTTGTCTGACGAATGTCGCTCAATGTAAAGGGGGACGTCCAGTAGCAGGTGGCATCCATTGCACAGCGGGTGTACGGCTTGTTAGAGCTTGACGATACTGATCACGTCGCAGTTTATCAAGTGCAGTCTACGAACGAGAACCAATATGAAGTATCAATTCAAAATGGAGTCATTCGCACCTGCAGCTGCATGTATCACCAACAACGTCAATTGGCCTGTAAGCACCTGTATCTCATCAAGAGGATGACGATACGCGAATATTACATAGAGCTGGTAAGTTTGAAGAAAAAGAAACTGGAGCACTCCGTTTTATTCAAACTGTATGTTTTTTTTTAGATAACCCCCACTATGCTCTTCTCTGCACGCCAAATGACCATGAATCTGCTGGCAGATCATATCCTTGGACGGTTTTCCGGTGTTCCCCTTGGTACTAAAGGAATAGGATACATCGTATAAATATAATCTAACGTTGTGTCTTATTTAAGGAGGGGCAACCTTCGTTGTACAAGACCAAAAAGAAACAGCGAACGTCCAAAAATGTCAGCGGCGACGACAGCATCACGCGGCTAGGACCCAAGACCAAACGTCTTCTCTTACGGCGACGCTGACCTTAAAACCATCATACAAAGGTCATGCTCCAGTTCCGGTCAAGGTAAGAATAAGAGAATAACTGGCCTCAAAAAAGGAGAAGTGTAGTTAATGATACTATCGTTAGACTTTCTTTTTAAGCGTGGAACCGGGATATCAACGCGTGCAGGAATATCCGCGACACCCTCGTCCGCTATATCGAATTTGATTGCCAGCTAAGCTCCAGACCGCAACAATTTTTCCGACCGCGGCAATCATGATGACAGTTGCATAGGGAAATTTGGAGCAGAGCTTTGATGTATCCCCCAAAAAAATGAATAAATTTTAAGTCAACCCTTCATGAGTTGTTCCGGGTTGAAATCTTTGTAATTGGATTGACCCGATAAAATCTTAGAAAGACCCTGGTACAACAGTGATGTGAATGCTCCCTCGATTTGCCTACTCATATCCTTCCGACGATCAGCCAATCACACCATTGTCTTCCCAACCATCCACTATCAGAATGCCGTGGCGAGTATCGGTGACCGACAACTGTTGTTGGCAATAATCCCATTCACGTCAGTTTAAACCATGTCAAATCAAGTCAAAAACCAATGCTTTTTTTTTTTATCAGCTTTTTGCATTGTAACTGATCGGTGTCAATCTTATGTGCTTCCAACCTTCAAATTTTTTTCTGAATCGACGCGGTAAAAGTGAGGGCCTTGGGTTCAGCGACGCCAGAAAAAACAAACAAGCGATTCCTGACGAAAATAAGAAAGAAACTGCATCCGTAAGAATCCTAACACTCGGATTCTAGCAAAGGACGCGGTACCTTTTTCTTTCATTGATTCTTCTACGATAGTACGGCCATACAATGATTAGCATGAATCATGGATGTACAAATTCATCAAAGCCGAGTGTATTGGTGATCGGAAATCACGGGGTAATACAGCGGGCATTCAAAGGTGTGGCAAACTCCGTGATGTGCGTTCTACGTATTCCAGATACGATATGACCTATAAACCGGAAAGCACATCTTGAATTCCTATCAACACGCCATCTGCGTTGTAAAAAGATTATTCAGGTGAATTATATTCTATCATGTAGTCAGTAGTTATGCTTCTAGCACCATAAAAAACATTGTAAGGATGATGCTTCATTATTTTTAGGAGACGACTCGTTAATTACAGTCTTCCTTGTTATTCATGAGCTCGTACCCAACTATGACTCGACATTTACGTAAACGAAATGCATCTTTTACCATATATGCATCGTGCCCCGGCGAACTTGGAATAATTGTTGATACGATGTCTCTAATTCATCCTATATCTTTGATCAGATTTTGTGAGTTTTTTCATATGAAGATGTAGATACGTATTTTCAAATGTTGTATGTCAATCGAAGCATGTGCACTAAGACAAAATCCTTCGTGAGCAACTGTAGTGCACAGCCACTCATGCACTCGCGGTGAGACTGAGCATGAAATGACAGTGCAACGGTCGTACAAACGTGTCACGCCATGAGAGCTTTTGAGAATATCGATTTTTATGAGGTTACCATCTGACCAAAAAAGGGGTTTCTTGGAGTTGCATCCAACATAAAAACCTAGCTGATAACTGACCATCCATTACCATTATCAAATCGAGTGATGACTATTTTGTGCTTCTTCAATTATTTGAACAATAGACTGTTGAATTTATAAATGCGAAGATTAGAGAAACGCATTGTTTTTTCTGGTTGCATCATGTATTTGGGTGGCTGCAAGAATGAATTCGGAGGAAAGCGACAAGTGCATCTTATGTTATCCTTTTCCCCCTGATAACCCTAGGTTGCCTGCATTATCTGTCTTCTATTTCTCCTAGCCACGAGGTGGGTTTTCTGATGGCAGCCATCGTTCTAAAAGAAGCAACGATGTTTGACAGGTATTTTTAGATTATCATCCAAACGACGAAAAAGAAGAAGCAAAATAAAATGCAAGCTTCAAAAGACTAGCATACGCGTACACTATTGTACTAGACTAATCAAAGGTGAGATGTCGTCAAGGTACGGCTGTCATTGGTCGTGTGACCGGTAAACAGCAGCGAGAAGGACGGATAGTATTTTGATTCGTGCATGATGGGGGCCGGTGATTCAAATTATTCATAAATGAGATGCTTTGATGCTTATTTTTTCAGAGGCACTCTAGACCATGATTTCGAAGAATTATTACCATGGGATGATTGGCAAAAGGAGTGAGAGTTATAGAATGAGTTCTAACCGGTGCATAGATTCATAGAACTTTAACACAGAATAAAACTTCGGGCATCATCCCAGATTATAGTTATACCAAACAGCAGGAGCAGAATGCACTTGCAAAGAAAACAAATCGGAGCAAGTATGACCTGCATATCAGAAACCAACCCATCTTTTCCGCCATTTTCCCCACTGATCATTGTATGATTCATGACACTGCTATAAAAATAGCAAAAACCTTCACATTGATTGGAGAAGTAGTCGTTCACTTTGGATACGATCCATCTCTCTCCTTTCGCTGTTCTGCGAAAAACCTTGTAGCTAGAAACATACGGTCATGTCGATCGGTTACCGGAGATCTGTTGATTAAGAAGACGAAGAAAAAAAGATAACAAAAAGAAACAAACAGTGAAGAAGAAAAAAAGCAACATAAATAAAGGGATCGCTGCAGATAGTAGTAGTAATAGGGCGACGGGTGTATGAAGAGTTTACACTAATGGCTAACTCCTTCCTGGCCCTGCCCTCTTTATCCCCTAGATTCCCCTTCTTAGCAGCTCCAGTTTCTTGAACAATCTTTAAACACCCCCCCGTTTTCCCCTCGAAAAGCAACAAAGAAATAAAGCAGAAAGCATGAAAGTAAAATGATGTTGCTTCGTATAAAATGACGATATAAATTGCCTCTATTTCAATCCTTTCACCTTTTTAACGCCACTGCTTTCTCAACTTTCTCTCTCTCTCTCGAGATCCTTTTTATTTATTTATTTTTCTTCTAAAAGATCCATTATGAGATTCACTCTTGCATGCGGAACGCTTCTCGTGATGATGAGTGCTCTATCGTCTGCTCAGCCTATTGATAAACGCGAATCGGGGGTTGACAAGGTCGTTCACACCATTACCGGTTTGTTCAAGGGCTCGGCGACGTTTTTCCATCCAGTATCAGAGGGTGGACCCATTGGTAATGACTGAATCTTCTCGGTTGAGATTCATTTCTCGTTCGTATATATTAATGATTCATTTACGTTGTTATTACAGGTTCATGTGGTCCAAAGGAAAACGACAATAGCCCGATCTGTGCTTTGGTAAGAGATAACTATGATTATTTCTCATTGGTCGTAGGTTGCTTACTGACACTACAACTATATTCTTCTTAGAATCTTCATCAATATGGCGACGAAGACAGTAAAAGTCACTGGTGCGGCAAAAAAGTGCTCATCAAGCATAAGAACAAGCAGACAACGTGCACAATTACGGATTGTTGCCCTGGTTGCGGACCAAGTAGGTTTTACCTTTGGCTCCCTATCCATGATTGGCAAGACTAATTTTCCCTTGTTTCTTTTTTAGATTCGCTCGATCTTACTCCGAGAGTGTTTAGTCAACTTGCAGAATATGATATCGGCGTGATCCCCATCACTTGGTGTATTATTGGCACCAAAGGTTGCTCCAAGTAGGAGCAAGCAGGCAAAAAGCAGAGGAAAAAATACCCCCCGTCATGTATTGATTTTGTGAAAACCCGCCGATGCCCTTTCTCCTCCTCGTCAGCCGTAGCGCAAAATAGGCGATCCATTGAATCTCGTGTCTTGTATCAACCCTTGACAAGCATGAATGGATTCCTTGTTCTTTTAATGTATTCTTAGTATCGATCTTTGTAATTAATATACCAGCTTCAAAAATAAAAATAAAAATAAGAACAAGGAAAAGGCAAAGGAAAAGGAAGACGACACATCAAAACGGAGGACGTGCATATCGAAACGACATCTGAACAAGACCTGGAGGTTGAAGTTTAATACGGCAAGAGATACGTGAAGCCTAATTCTGGCATGTATTCTACAGTATTCCCGCGCTGTTTTTCAGTTACCGTTTTTCCAAACGTTTACGGCAAGAAGCTGCTCCATAGACCTTTTACGTCTACAGTATAATACATAGCAGTTTCTCCCATCGTATGGTGCAACCCATGCAACTCCGTCGTCGTTCGTGACTCCATTCAATACATGCAGCGTATGTGAGCACGAAATAGCGTGGTTTAAACTGCAGATCCCCCTGAGTAATTGTCGCTTTTAAAATTATCCCTCGGTGCATGACTGAACAATAGCTTGTTAAGGATTTTAAAAAGTTGCCGTCTTTCCTCTTGCGAAACGTCGAAGAGACTTTATAATCAGAATACTCAATTACAGGCGAATGGAACTTTTGCGTAAAAGAATATACTCCATACCCCATACGACAATGTGCGCTTATAATAGATTACACCCTACAATATGTACTGTGAAGCCTGCTTTTTAATTAAAATTATTCCCATACACATACACATAGATTACGATGATGCTGATATCCGTGATTTTTAATTTCAAGTTCCTCAAAACAATATATGCAGCTATTATCATTAGCAAAGCATCCAAAGGCTTTTCGAAACGGACATTTCGCCTTCCATGAACAGTCGATACAAAAGGATGTCAGGGTCGTTTCAGGCGTGCGTTGCCAACCATTGCTTTGACAGTCTGAAAAGAGACCAACAGATGAATGAACTGTTGCTTCACGATGTCCCACGCAGTACCGCAATTAATATGGGTTATACTTTCTGTCACTGACTGTTGAACATATATGACTGACAATCTCTACATAATTAAAATCTTTGGGAAATTAGCGATTTTGTAAATCACATGATCTACACTAAGTTATCAGGACCTGTTAAACCTTTTTTTTTTATCTTTCAACCATGCCTCGCTGCCCACTTTCACGATAATAGGCGAAACAATCAGCAGCAAGATGCCATTTGCGCCAGTTGTGGTTAAACAGAGTATCGTCGTCTTCCGAATAAAAATGTGAGTAGAGCTCTTTTTGAAGAAAAGTGGTTGATGATACGACTGGCGTTCTTCTGTAGCATCATTCAATTTGGTTTTTTTTTTTTGTCGGTTATACTGTATGTCCTTTCATTCTCTTTCGAATAATACATAAGCAGACGTGCTTCGATCTATGAATTCATGCATCAGTGGGGTGACTATTGTTTCATCCATGGAAAACCATATATTTTTGTCTTCAATCTTATCTTTCTTCTTTTGATTTTCTCTCTCTCTTTCTGTTTGCTTGATAAACCCTCACTATCATTGTATCAAGATCCCATCCGCATCCATCATCCAGACCATTCTTATCCCGTGTATCTAACTTGGTTAAATCGACCACCATCCTCAAAAAGGTAAGCGTCGAGTGGTCTACCATCGATTTTGCTCCGGCAAAACAGACTTACCTCTCCTTTACTTCCATCCTTCTTCCAGCTTCCGGTTTCCGTTTTCTTTCGCCTGACAAGTTCTGGATACTACAAGTTGACTTTCTCTCACCATCCATCCATCCATTTGGCGAAACCGGATGACGTCAAAGGCCATCGTTGGTGGTGTGGCTCTCTTTTTAATCAGAAAAACGCTTACGTGTCCTCTTCATGTTCCTCTCCTTTGGATTGCTTCTCATCATATGGTATTCGAGTTGTCTTCCCGATTATTTATTTTGTAGTTGATAGTTGATAGTTGATAGTTTGTATTTTGTATTTTGTATTTTGTATTTTATATTTCATGTACATATTCTTTTCGCAGTCTTTTCCTCTTTTTTTCCCACAGGGTTTTTTATGAGGTTTTTACTGACGCGACCATTGTTTTTTTTATCATCATGTACTTTATTTGTTTTTCTTTCTTTTTATTCGGGGGACTCTCGATATCTGGAATCCAACTCGAAGTTACCGTCACTTCTGGCCACGTCAATATTTTTTGCCTGCTCAAGCTGACACCACCGATCCATCGCTTAACTGTCCCTGGAAGCAATTTTATTTTCCGCATCGAAAAGAAGCTTACCTGTGTTCCGTATTCATCTTTTTTTTCCGGTACACCATTTGGTTCAAAGGCAAGGCCAATTTCTTTTCCTTTGCTATGATGTAATGAACGTATACTAATTCAAATTTTTTCAATGTCATATAACCCAAGTCGTGTCAAGCGATCAATGGCTATTGCAAACTCAAATAACAAAGGTAAAATATCTTGACGAAAATTTGAATCAATCAAAGAGCTTACTAACTCATTTTTTTAAATACCCAACATACCCACACATCTCTCTAGATCTATCGTAGCCTGGGCGGGATGGAACTGAGGGGGGGAACCAGTGCTGCCCTGCGCGTGTTCAGAAACAAATCACGTTGCAACGTATGCCATAAGGTTGTCATTAATATACCGAAGTTCCGTCAAGAGTTCTCGCCCAGGTTATGCCGTGTATGCGTTAGGCTTTTTGTCTGACGAAAGTCGCTCAATGTAAGAGGGCGGCCTCCGGTGGCAGGCGGCATCCATTGCACAGCGGGTGTACGGCTTGTTAGTTCATTCCAATCATCCTCCACACAATGACGATATACAAAAAAGATGATTTTTTAATTCTTTTTTATTTTTAATTACTCTTTGTGTATACTCTGAAAGACATGGATCACTTAAAGAGTGCGGGAAACCTGCCAGACACGGATAAGGTTATCGGTGTAGCCAGAGAAGAGAGTGCTGCCATCAGCAGACCAGGCGACAGAAAGACATTCAGGATCGCGGGGCTTTCTCTTGCCGATTTGAGCAACTTCGGGACGGAGTTCATCGACAACGGACTTGGTTTCGAGATCCCAGATCTTGATGGCGTTGGCGGTGGCAGCGCAAAGCCAGTAGCGGTTGGGAGAGAAGGTAAGAGCGTTGACGACGGAACCGGCTTCGAGCGAGTACAAGTGCTTGGACTCGTTGAGATCCCACAACATGACAACACCGTCCTTACCGGCGGAAGCGCAGAGGGAACCATCGGGAGAGACGGTAACGGTGTTGACGTAGCCGTTGTGACCGATGAAATTGGAACGAAGCTTGAGCTTGGTAAGATCCCAGACCTTGACGAGCTTGTCCCAGCCACCAGAGACGATGACGGGATTGGCAGGGTTGGGAGAGAAACGGACGCAGGAAACCCATTCGGTGTGACCGTTGTCGGTGAGATCGTACTTGCATTCACCGAGGGTGTTCCACAATTTGATAGACTTATCGCGGGAACCGGAGACGATCTGACGGTTGTCGGCAGAGAAGGAGACAGACAAAACGTCCGAGGTGTGACCAACGAAACGGCGGGTGGTGGTGCCAGTGTTCAAGTCCCAAAGACGGAGGGTGTGATCCCAAGAAGCGGACAAGGCGAACTGACCATCGGAAGAGATGGCAAGATCCTCAACGAAGTGGTTGTGGCCGAGGAGAGACTTGCGGGCAACACCGTAGTTCATTTCCTCTCTATAACAACCAACCAAAAAAGAAAATGGTTTAATTTCAATGTTCATATCCCAATCCTTTTTATTTGTCAATTTACCTGGTAAGGTGCCAGACGATGATGGACTTGTCTATTAACGGAGAAATGGCATAACAAAGTATGAAAAATTAGCTGATCATCGCCACCTAGATAGCTCTTATAATTTCCAGCTGACCGATACATACCGCGGGAAGCAGACAAGACCATGTCGGGAGCTTCGGAAGTGGTGGCGATGGCAGTGACTAGATAAGAATAGATTGGTTACGCGTATGATTCCATCGAGCAAAGAGTAATTGACTTGAAGCAAAAGAGATGCAAGATCTCTTGACATATTGTTTAAGCATTCAAGACTCAATGCTTACCCCAGTTGCCGTGACCTATGAAAGCATACGGTAAGATGGTTTTGTTCTCACAATAGGTGTCTCGTAAACAGCGGTTCTGTTGCATACTGTCCTCCCACCCATCCTATGCTTTTTTCCATCTTTCCCACATCCATCCATCCGTACAATCATCCATCCATCCATCCATCCACTGATTCCAGTTAATAACACTAGTTTCCATTCGCCCATCTACGCACCTTCAAGCGTGCCGCGAAGACTAAGAGTGTCCATGTTCTGTCGTAAAGAAAAGAGAAGGAAGCTCAGGCACCCATGGGAATCACCGTCAAGTCAGTTTGCTCTCGACGGGCATTGAAATGCTGAATCAAATTCATTGACCAATAGGAATCCCAAAATGGAAACCATTGAGCGGCCCTTTGTGCACTCAACATCAAGAACTGCGAGTATCATCAAAAAGTCAAATGAGCCAAGTATCTATTGATCACTAATCACAAGAGCATTTTGGACACTTTACTTTTATGATTAAACTTTTGAGGATGCAGCTGCTCAGTGCGACCGTTGCTGTTTATGATCCAAAATACTACCTGAAGCTTTGTAAATTGTCGCCTGTAAAATGCACGTTCAGAATAAATGACATGGTTTGCGTTTGGCCTTTGCGTATATCTATGTCAAACATGTATTCTTGACACTTTGAGCTCGTGTCAAATGTCTCCGTATTTCGCGAATAATCGTGTACAGTGGCGTGGGGGACGGAAATACTGTAACTTGGGACTACTGTGGCCGATGTTCCGGAATAGAAGTCTGCAGTGCTTTAAGTGAGGTTTCGTACGAGCTACATTCACATTGATTGCCGGAATAACGCATTATAATTGGGCCACGTTGCCTCTAGTGATGTTACTATCCCGGAGAAATGTGTTGATGAGTCTGAAATAATTGAACTGCAAAATTGTTTTCATAGAAAATTAATCCAAAATCCTAGTTGTTGAAGGATAATTGCGATAAATTTTAATATCACTTAAAGATGTCACATTCGTTTGTCGTTGAAAGCCCTCTGAATCGTTGACGGCCCGATTAAATCCATATTGACAATCCTGTGCCGTTATCCGTCTCTGGTTGTCAGCCTTGTCCGATTGTTCCAAGACGAAATTCAAATGAATGAAACCAACTTGTCCTGTCAAAGCACGGTATAAAGACAAGAATTCCATACAGCAAAAAAGCACATTTGGCGTCATGCTGCCGGCTGTTACAGCGATTAAGCATCTCACTCACCATTCATTTTCTCATATCAGTCGCAGTAAGTAAAAAAAAAACGAATGCTGCTCAAATGGTTTGCCATGCATCGAAGCATCAGTAAACGTAGGAGGAGGCTCGATGTCCTATTTCTGTTTACACTACTTTTTATTGGCTCCATGATCTTTTTTTCTAGTTATGTTTGCATGGTTCCTGTTTAATCCCTTCTGATGTTGAGGTCAGATAAATCCACGTGAGTGCCCGCGGTCAAGCCACGAGGACTAGCCATCTCGAAAGACCTATGCCAATAATTAATACGGGTGGTTTCTTTTTTCTTTTCTGTTCAGTATATAAGAGTCCAATAACATACTCAGGGTATCGCATGCGGTAGATTAAAGGACGTTGAGCTTCTTGTGCAATAAGTCTAAAGCAATATTCATATCAGTAACTGAACACATTTTGCCATACACCTCTTCTCATCCTACCGATATTCCGCAAGCTTGCCAGCTCTATCCAATTGAGCATCAGTGGCACGATCGTTTTCTTCGCTAGGGGTCATATGATATTCAATCCATTTGGTGATAGGATGTTTTTCCTACGACAATGGTCGTGTTAGAATCATCATTGTTCGCATGCGTCTCAACTGAAATTTGGAGTACCTCGCCCGAATGCGTAATATACTGGTCAACGCGATACCAGACTACACCGGCGATAGCAACGAGCACAGTGTTTCGCCAAATATTAGCGCCAAATGCTAGGAAACGCACAGAGTTAACAGCTGTAACAAGTTGCCGCATTTGAAAATATGCGATTTAATTTTACATTCTTCAGCGAATTGATCGCCAGCATTCTTGGTTTGAGAAGCATATCCGCGTCGCAAGCACAATCGACTAAGACGATTGCTCAAGAGACGAGAATTAAATAAAAGACGTGAAGCCATGGTGTGATGAAAGCAAGGTGGTGAATGTCTGCACAAACGAGCTCTTTTTTTTTGTTTTTTCGCCGTGCGATGATTGTATTTCAAACTCAGTTAGCCTCAACCGGCTTTGGACCCATTCCATCCCGACGTGGAGCTCTCTGGTGACACCATTGGCTGACGCTCTCCTCCTCGATATTTACAAATCATGGGTGAATCTAACTAATCATCTCTTTTAATTACTACAGCGATCTATCCGTATTTTATTAGGTAAAGGGTCAAAAGAGCAATTGCATCCCAGTAAACAGTAGGACGGTGAATCAGCGCAGCAAGATCTAAAACTGCCGTGTCGTATCAGGAACATTGTCCTCCGTTAAAAGGTAGCTCAAAATGGTCGTGCATAGCATTGAGAAATACTGCATTTTACAGATGCTGTTACAGAGACAGCAAATTGACAGAGATCGGTCACTGAATTTATCGCTCATGATGACAGAGACTGCGCTGACTTTATTGCTTGATCCCATATTGGGCTTTATATTCTCTCATAAGTTTCAATTCTTCGGTATAGGTGCCCTTCTCTTCCATGTATTCGACAATGTTGTCCATGCTGATGATAGCACGCACAGGCACATTGTTCTTTTCTTCTACTGCTTGGATAGCGCTCTTGCCAGAACCATCGGGAGCAACTTCCGCGCGATCGACAGCCACAAGCACGCCAGCGAGAGCAGCGCCATTGTCCTTGATGATACCAATCGACTCATTGATGGCTGTACCGGCCGTGATCACATCATCGACCACGACGATCTGACCTGACAAGGGAGTGCCGACGATGTTGCCACCTTCACCGTGATCCTTCTTTTCCTTACGATTGAAAGCAAAGGGAGCTTCCAAGTTGTGTTCTGTTGAAAGAGACAAAGCAGTGGCACAGACGAGAGGAATGCCTTTGTAGGCAGGGCCAAACAGCACATCGTATTTGAATCCGGCATCGACGAGAGCGGCAGCGTAGAAGCGGCCAATGGCGCCCAACGTTTTACCGCTGTTGAACAATCCAGCATTGAAGAAGTACGGCGAAACACGGCCGGACTTGAGAGTGAACGACCCAAACTTTAGCACATCGTTGGCGAGGGCAAACTCGATGAATTCACGTTGATAGTCCTTCATTATTTGTTCCAGTGGACGAAAAGGTGAGCCCCAGAAATTTTTTATACCGGTTTTTTTTTTTGTGACCGCCTAAATTTGGACTTCAAAATCTTCCAAGTGTAAATGGCTATCACGCTTTTAGTTTAGTTGATCTACCATTATTTAACAAGCCGTACACCCGCTGTGCAATGGATGCCACCTGCTACTGGACGTCACCCCCTTACATTGAGCGACATTCGTCAGACAAAAGCCTAACGCATACGGCATAACCTGGGCGAGACTCTTGATGGAACTTTGGTATATTAATGTCAATACTCTGGCATACCGTACAGTCATGATTTCCAAACATGTGTGCAGCAGCACTTATTGACGCCCTCAGTCCCGTCCCGCCCAAGGTTATGATAGACCTAGAATGATGTGTGGGAATGTTGGGTATTAAAAAATTGAGTTGTAAGCTCTTTGAATGATTTCAAATGTCGTCAAAATATTTTACCTTTGTTATGTGAGGCAGCAGATATCCAGAGCTTCCCGACCGAAAAAAAAAGTAACAATTCAACTATAAAGAAAAAGTTAAACAATAGGTGTGTCTGTAAAGAACCCCTAAAATCCCTGTGGGAAAAAAAGGAGGAAAAGACTGCAAGAAGACTATAACTGAAATACAAATACACATACTACAAACTACAAACAACAAAAATAAAATGGTCGGGAAGAAGATCAAAGACGATACCACGGGAAGTAATCCAGGTGAAGCCAAGCTGAGGAGGACGCGTAAGCGTTACCAATGAAAAACAGAGTCACATCACCGACAATGTCCTTTGACGACAAAAACCGGATTGGCCACATTGATGCGCGAAACAAAGTGGATAGATTTGGAGGGATGGATGGCTTGCCAGGCGAAAAGAAAACCGGAGTGAAAACCAAAAGCTAAAGAAAGAATAGAGAAAAAAGAACGTGAGTTGTTTCTTGTCGAAAAACGGATAGTCACATCACACAAAACGTACCTTTTTGATATTTTATCGACTTGACCGGTTACAGATACACGCGAGATAAACCATAGTCTAGATGATGGATGATGGATGCGAGAGGATGCAATGCTAGTGAGAATTTTTCAGGTAAACAGAAGATAGAGGAGAAAACCAAAGAAAAAAGAAAAAAACGAAGACAAAATATATGTGGATATCCCATGGATGAAACGATAGCCACCCCACTGATGCATGAATTCATAGATCGAAGCATATCTGCTCCATAATCACTCGATCATCGAAAACTGAAGAGAATGAAAGGACATATACAGTATAACTGACAAATAAAAACAAATTGAATGATGCTACAGAAGAACGCCGGTCGTATCATCAACCACTTTTCTTCAAAAAGAGCTCTACTCACATTTTTATTCGAAAGACGACGATGCTCTGTTTGACCATAAATGGCGCAAATGGCATCTTGCTGCTGATTGTTTCGCCTATTATTCTGAAAGTGGGCAGCGAGGCATGGTTGAAAGATAAAAAAAAATAATGTTTAACAGGCCCTGATAACTTGGTGTAGATCATGTGATTTACAAAATCGCTAATTTCCCAAAGATTTTAATTATGTAGACTAGTAGCGCCTCTTGATCTTAAAGATCACAAAGTTATGCTCTTTCGGTCTGTAGTTTGTTGTTACTCTGAGGCTAGTGGGAATAGTAACTGATTAAAGATGTGTTTGGAATGGGATGCTCCATTTGCAATATTCAGAACTCCGCACTCGAATTTGTGTATCCAAAGGTCTCGCTTGATTGTGTTTTCTTAACTCTTAACAAGCCGTACACCCGCTGTGCAATGGATGCCGCCTGCCACCGGAGGTCGCCCTCTTACATTGAGCGACTTTCGTCAGACAAAAAGCCTAACGCATACACGGCATAACCTGGGCGAGAACTCTTGACGGAACTTCGGTATATTAATGACAACCCTATGGCATACGTTGCAACGTGATTTGTTTCTGAACACGCGCAGGGCAGCACTGGTTCCCCCCCTCAGTTCCATCCCGCCCAGGCTATGATAGATCTAGAAAGATGTGTGGGTATGTTGGGTATTTAAAAAAATGAGTTAGTAAGCTCTTTGATTGATTCAAATTTTCGTCAAGATATTTTACCTTTGTTATTTGAGTTTGCAATAGCCATTGATCGCTTGACACGACTTGGGTTATATGACATTGAAAAAATTTGAATTAGTATACGTTCATTACATCATAGCAAATGAAAAGAAATTGGACTTGCCTTTGAAGCAAATGGTGTACCGGACAAAAAAAAACGATGAATACGGACCGCCAGGTAAGCTTCTTCTTCGATGCGGAAAATAAAATTGCTTCCAGGGACAGTTAAGCGATGGATCGGTGGTGTCAGCTTGAGCAGGCAAAAAATATTGACGTGGCCAGAAGTGACGGTAACTTCGAGTTGGATTCCAGATATCGAGAGTCCCCCGAATAAAAAGAAAGAAACAAATAAAGTACATGATGATAAAAAAACAATGGTCGCGTCAGTAAAAACCTCCTAAAAAACCCTGTGGGAAAAAAAGAGGAAAAGACTGCGAAAAGAATATGTACATGAAATATAAAATACAAAATACAAACTATGAACTACAAAATACAATAATCGGGAAGACATCTCGAATACCATATCATGAGAAGCAATCCAAAGGAGAGGAACATCAAGAGGACACGTAAGCGTTTTTCCGATGAAAGAGAGAGTCACACCACCAACGATGACCTTTGACGTCATCCAGTTTCGCCAGATGGATGGATGGATGGATGGATGGCGAGAGAACGTCAACTTGTAGCATCCAGAACTTGTCAGGCGAAAAGAAACGGAAACCGGAAGCTGGAAGAAGGATGGAAGCAAAGGAGGGGTGAGTCTGTTTTGCCGGAGCAAAATCGATGGTGGACCACTCGACCCTTACCTTTTTGAGGATTGTAGTCGATTCAACCAAGTTATATACACGGGATAAGAATGGTCTGGATAATGGATGCGGATGGGATCTTGATACAATGATAGTGAGGGTTTATCAAGCAAACGGAAAGAGAGAGAGAAAAGCAAAAGAAAAAAGATAAGAAGACAAAAATATATGATTCTCCATGGATGAAACAATAGTCACCCACTGATGCATGAATTCATAGATCGAAGCACGTCTGCTTATGTATTATTCGATTCATTGAAAATTGAAAGAGAATGAAAGGACATATATAGTATAACTGACAAAAAAAACAACAAATTGAATGATGCTACAGAAGAACGCCAGTCGTATCATCAACCACTTTTCTTCAAAAAGAGCTCTACTCACATTTTTATTCGAAAGACGACGATACTCTGTTTGACCACAACTGGTGCAAACGGCATCTTGCTGCTGATTGTTTCGCCTATTATCGTGAAAGTGGGCAGCGAGGCATGGTTGAAAGATGAAAAAAAGGTTTAACAGGTCCCGATAACTTAGTGTAGATCATGTGATTTACAAATTGCTAATTTTCCATTTTCTTAACTCTTAATCTTTTGTCAATAAGCGGTTGATGTGCGCATAAATCTTTGCGTATTCAATGGACAACAGAGTAGCACAGTCTCTTTTCTTTTTTTCCCGGGGGTCTTGCCCCTCCCCCCCTGACCTACCGCCACATAACGATCATTTTCTTCATCCACGACAGAGGTACAACAATATGTACACAAAGTGAGGAGCAGAAAAAATCATTACTTGGAAAAAACATAGCATAAGGATAAAATCAAAAGGAACATAAGGACAAAAAGCATACAGTAAAACATAAGGGTGAAGAATAACTTGAAAAATCATAGGAAAGGATGAAAGCAAAGGAGCATAAGACAAAATACATACAGTAAAATATAAAGGAATAATAAAACCAACAGCATAAGGGTAAATACATAAAATATAAAAATGAGGAAACAATATAACATAGCACACTGCGCGAATGACATCCGTCTCAACGATCCACCTGCTCGCTCGCAAATACTTCGTTGTACACAATGTGCTTAGTGTAAGCTCCAGTCGATCGATTATTCGCGTCACGGACAATCATGATTTTTATTGCCGACGGCCTGCGCACGCGCGACATAGCAACAGAAAGTTGCCCATGTGAGAAAACTGGAACAGGTAGGAAAAGGCCGATCGAGTCAAACGTTTGTCCTTTGCGCCTTGTTGATCGTTATGGCACACGCAATTCGGACTGGAAATTGGGGACGTTCAAATTGGATGCCAGTTTCATCGGATTTGTTCGTCAAGGTGATCCGCGGTATAAAGACCCGGTTCCCCACGTTCAGCCCAGTTGCAATCTCTGCCTCAATGACATGAGCTTGTTATGTAGATACTGTTCTATCTTTTTATTCATCACATGGTTTCTTGAACAGAACCGTGTAATACATGTTGCAATTGAAAGAAAAAATTAAGATTATGACACGGTGGTATTCGAGTAGTAGATGATGTATCCTGGCAAGCCGTACACTTGATAACCCGCTGCCTTCGCCATCTTGGCCATGGCTTCACTGTCCAACTGATGCTGATATGGATATGGTGCGTATAATATACCGGAACGATGGATCTCAGCTTTGGTTAAACTACATGTGGACCCGATACCGTCAAGTTGGACTTTTTGGAACGGATCGGCGGCATTGGATATATCAACCATGAGTAATCTGTGTGTTTCAAATTCCCACCATCCTGTGTCGAGAAAATACATAAAAAGTTCGTGAATACGGACATTGGAGTCATATTATTTTTCTTTCACTGACCTTCCATAAAAATGAAATCTTCGGCCACTTCATGTTGTAACGATAGTGATGTTTCTGTTTCTTGCCAGTTCTGCCTGTCGAATCCCAGAACGTTGTCGCCGGATCGGATCATGGTATTTGGTACGACGATGTCTACATCGAGCTGAATGAGATCCTGAAGAAGGGTTGCCGGTACCTCATCTAGATGGATATCGAGCCACAAGACGTGATCATGATGAACTTTTAGTGCCGATTGGATAAGATAATTGCGTGCTCGAGCCATGGCAGAACGCTGGAGAGGCTCCAGTTCGTACACCGGTTGTTCGGTTGGGAAGACCAGTTTTAAATCATCATCCAGCGTTTTAGCGTACAGATCGACTGATACGTGCAAATTGGCCCGTTCTACGTATAAGCGAACTGCATGTACGGTGGTGGGAGCAGGATCCAAAACCAGGATGGCCAAGTCGATGTTATTATTCGGATAGGCCAGTTGCTCGATCAAGTTTAGAAAATGCTCCATATGTTTTAGGCTATCGGCTTGCACTATGGTTGCAATGAGAACATTTCCCCGATGTTCCTCGTTGAGATCTCGAAACGTCACTTCTGCGAACATGGTATCAGCGAGAGAATCTCGGGCATTCGAAAGTCGACCATCCAAGGGAATGTCCACGGTAGTTTCACATTCGGGGCGAATGGTGCCAGGAAGAAATGTAATCCCGGTAATTAGCAATAGTATCACTAGAAAGATCAGGAATCGACCATTAAATAGCCGTCGGTCCACCGATGGCCGTGCGGACGGCTTGGAATCATCCATCCTTAATGAACAAGAACGCAAGCTGCCATTTTGGGACGATTGCAATTGTGCCAGCCGAATAATTGGGTGCTACAAACTCTGTGACGCGGTTTCCGAAACTTCATGCGTTTCATTCATTGAGTCGAATGGTAAATTCCTTTCTGACATAGCTGCTCACTAGCATTAAACTATTTTTTATAAGAGTCATTAACGCTTGGCGAGGGACATAAGAATCATGCTATGGCTTATATTATGAATCATTGGGCAATGTATTACGCATGTATTGCTTGTTTTTTTTATTGTCTACATTCGATTCAACAAATTATGCAGTGTCAACAATTCATTCCTACTGGAGGGTGATGCTATCAAAATCTTTGTTCTTGATCGCTTGTTTACTATGGTGAAGCTGCAATAATCGCAGGTTCAAAGGTGTAGTACAACACAGCACTGCCAAAAGAGTCACTTCATGAGAAAGGACCTTTATTGCCAAACACTCCACAATCGTGAAAAGAGGGATCACTGTTAGTAGTTGATATTCCTGAAAGATATTTACTCTCGGATAAAGCCGTAGGATCATGGGCAAGGGACTTGTGCCCTGGGTCGCGCCAATAAGGCATCCGCAAATAGGGCGACATTTCTTTTTGCATAAACGATATCTTTATAAGGCGTTGGCGTCATTTGAAAACTTTAATTTCCAGTGTTCGACGACCTTGGCAAAACTTGATAAACTTTCTTGTTCCTCAATGTCCGATACAGCAGGCACCGTGCTTCACGAACAGCATTCCAAGGAAAAAGAAGATATGGCTACTCAAGATACTGCGGCCGTCGACAATATTATAACGTCCGACGCAACCATCCATGTGGATATAGAGAAGGAAACCGTCTCGACCCCCTGGGAAGAAGATGGCCCTATTTCTGATCATCCATTACAAACATCGACCCTCGATGCTTCCGCTTATAATGACGGCAATCCTTGGGCACAGCAAGACAGCGCACTCTTAGAGGATGAAGAAGACAACAGTCATGTGGATACACCTATTATACCGACCACCACGGCTGAGGACGTTAAACCTGCAAGTGGAAATACTTGCCACAGCAAAGTAAGCTCCGCTGACAAGATCACCGTCATGGCGGTCGTGTGATAACATTTAGGAATGTTAGGGATTCCACAATGCAACGGACACCAGCCAGATCGTCGATTTGACTATTTCGGGTCGGTTGCCGGATTGGCTTACTGGAGAAGTGCTCACCATCGGTCCTGGAACGTACGATATCAAGTATACCCGAAAGGTAGAAATTGATGGTCAGCTTCAGAGTGCTTCGGCACTATTTACCTTTGGCCATTGGTTCGATGGGTAAGTCTGCGCATCTGTTAACAGTTAATTAAGCGACATTAATCTCATGGCTTTATAGTTTGCCTTTGGTCAATCGATACGATTTCAACGGCCAGCGTAACAGTATTAGCTATCGAAATCGTCTTACCAGTCGCCGACTTATCGATAAGATTCGCGATCATCATGGCTATGCTCCTTCTCACCCCGCCAGTTTGTTCAAGACCAATAGCAATCAAACCATTCTCGCCAAATTTATCCGATCCGGTACGAAATTAAACAAACCCGATGCTGAACCTTGTGCCGCACGCATCTTGCCCAACATTCCGGGACTGGAAGGACGTTTATTTGCACAGAACAGCAGCAATCATGTAAGTTTATGCCGACCACCCGGAAAACTCCAGTCTCTCATGCAACACTTATTGTTAGTTTCAAGAACTCGATCCGTTTGATCTGAAGCCGACTCGATTGTTATCGTGGGATCAGATTAACCCACAATTCAAGGGTTACAGTTCTTGTCCGAATGGAAGATTTGATCCAAAAACGAAAGAATACATCAACTTTACCATGGATATCGGCTACAACTCCACCCGATACAATTTCTTTTCGCTAAACGAGCAGAACATAAAAGGGTCGCTGGTTGCTTCAGTGGTTGCACCTCCGGCCTTTGTGAATAGCTTTGCGCTCACTTCAAACTATATTATTCTGGTAATTGGCATGTGTGTTGCTTGGTGAATTTCCTTTTTCTAAACCTACTTGTTACCTGGATAGACCATCTTCCCCATGTTGGTCAATAGCGGTGCTGTCAAGTTTACGTGGAACGAAAGTATTTTGGACTCATTCTCTTTCTCCAAGACCGAGCCTACTTTATTCTACGTCATTTCGAGAGAAACCGGCCAAACCATATCTATTTACCGATCTGATCCTTGCTTTGGGTTCGTATGGCAGTTGTGCTCTCGTTCAATCAGCTTTCTCATGGTTTTTTGATTTGTTAGCCTTCATCATGTTAATGCCTTTGAAGACGAAAATAATAATGTGTTTGTGGATATAGTTTGCTATCCCGACGACACCATTCTTCATCAGCTGACCACCGAAAGTCTGCGAAACCCGAACAACATGAATCCTCCTCGATTAATGCCGTCCGAAGTGCGACGATATTTGCTTCCTAGCGTTGAAGAAGAACACGCCACCTATTTAGCCAACAGCACATCCTTGTCATCTGCATCTACCGTCACATCTCGCATTTCGTCCATGTGGAGCTATATACGAAAATCGGAAAAGGAAACAAAGAATCGTGCCGTTGATACCAACAAATGGTATGCTTGGATGACGGTGGCTTCGTATGAAAAATTGGTCCAACCTTCACTGGAATTACCGCAAATCAATCCATACTATCATCTGCGGAAATATTCCTACATGTACAGTTTGGGATTCTCAGCTTCGAGTTCCATAAGGGACGGCGAAATTTGGGACAGTATTGTCAAGACGGTAAGTGCTTATGGGGATATTTATTTTTGATGATCAATTATCCTAAAACATAGTGTTGCAGGATGTTCAAAATAAGTCTATTATTGCATCTTGGCATGAAGAGCATTGTTATCCAAGCGAACCTTTGTTTATCCCTCGTTCACCTGCTAACTCTGACGAAGAGGTCGCGGAAGATGAAGGCGTGCTTGTCAGTGTTGTTATGGACGCTATCCGGGACACGTCGTTCCTATTGGTACTCAATGCTAGTACTTTGGAAGTGCACGCACGAGCTGAATTAGGCCAGCTCATTCCTATTAGTTTTGCTCATGGATCTTACAGATTACGGCAATAATATCTGTGATCAGAACTATGACATCCGTTTGTATACTTATTTCCCTCCTCTTTTCCTGTCTCATACTATAAATCAAATACAAGTAGAGCATTTAACAAGATTGAGCTGTATAATATGTTGAAGCGGTAAGATCGGAATTTCGCATTATCGAGTCCAGTCGAAGAAACCATATATCCAATGTACGATCCCATCATGCCATTAAAGAAGGGTGGGTTTTGTTCAGATCATTCTTGGCTTCGATAAAACCATGACCACCGTATTGACATGGGCGATGGAAGCCGTGATCATACGACAATCCATAACATGTGGTTCCACATGGATATACTGTAAGAAGTAAAGTTTCCCACAATATGCCTCCACCCATCTCCAACATTTAGAAATACGATATATTACAAAATGTGTGCCAAGCCTGACCGAAAGCGTTTGTTACATGTGTGTGATCTCCATCGATCTGATAACTTGTGATCTTCTCAGACCACTGTCGGACTCGCTTGCCGTTCTTTTTGCTGGTTGGTTGGATGAAAAATGAACGCCGAACGGAATTGAATTTTTCACCAACCACGATGGTTCGTCTTCCAAAAAATATTGATGAGTGGGAAAAAAAAAGCTCAGGGCTTCTTTAAAACCATGGTAACGGCTACGCTACGACCGATATACGTGCGAGAAGTTGTGCTGGATGATCTCAAACATAATGCCACCGTGCATCGAGTGGTCAATGATGCTTATCGATCTGAAGGTATGCTATGCCCTATTGAGAATATGAAGCGTTCTTTGAGGACTAACCTTGTTTCTGTGACCTTGCAGGTGGTTGGACAACGGAAAAGGATATGGTCAAGGGTGACCGAGCCAGCGTAGAAGACATTGAAAATGCTGTGCGATGTAACGGAAAGCCCAACTTTTTGATGTATGCTTTTGAACGTAGTGATCATGGGGAAGAATTGGTTGTGGGCACCATTCAGATTCAACCCTGCAATGGAGGCACCGAAGCTGAAATCGGCTTATTCTCCGTCAGTCCTGCTCATCAGTCTCGCGGTATTGGAGGCAAACTTTTATCGGCAGCCTTGCAGAAAATGGAGCAACTTGGGTACGAAAATGCGGTCATTCAGGTGTTGGAGAATCGTCAAGACATTCTAGCATGGTATCAGAAGATGGGATTTGTGAAGACCGGTGAACGAATGCCTTTTGTCTGGCCTGAAAAGCTCAAGATACAAGGTTTACATTTCCTTATTCTGAAGAAGCCAATGATAACAGTTTAAATTTTGGCTCGCACCAAGTTTTTTTATTATTTTGCATCCCCCTGAAGAGCATTTTGTCCCGTTTTGGAGAAATATGGATCCAGTTTAGAAATACATAAGACATCTCTCATTGAGTCATTGTTATTAATGAAGCACGAGAAAACAACAGAAACTTCTCTGTCGCTAGCTGCGAAAATATCAAGCACTGATTGGATCAACACAACAATACCGTAGCGGGCACACTTAACGACCTTCAACTCTTGTTTGTCTCACCACCCTTCCTTTTTAAAGCTGATACTCTGAAACCGAAGAAAAATAAACCTCGCTTTGAAGGCCACTTAATAAAGTCAAATTCAGAGCATACAGTCGTCGGGTTCTCGATCATCACTCTTATATGTGCGGTGCAGCGAATAATTTTCCAATGGGGCCTTATCTGCTGTCCTTTTCTCCAAATTATCATACATAGGGCAACATGCACTTGTTGTCCATCCAGCTTAAGATTTTCTATTTCAATTATCGCATGTCAAATATGCCCGAATTTCAACCAATTTTTTTATCTTTGAAGAAGCGGGCACTTTTGGCAATGGCGTGACCGAACTTTGTACAATGATCAACATGGGTGCCAATCCAGCCGGGCAGTTTGTTACGTATTCGTCCTGTCGAGTAGCGTTTATCCAGCAACACAATCACCGCGTAGTCATTTTTATGACGAATAGCGCGTCCTATGCACGATGTATTAATATCTACCGCACGATGTTTGCGACCACTGAGCTCTTACCAATTGACTGGTTTACACCGCGCATACAAAGATTCTCGTAGTAATCCTGACCGGCAGCAGCGCCGTTTACTTCTCCTTCACGCTTGAAAAATGAAATAAAAAAAGAATTTGCTTAATTTCATACGCGGTCTAGGTTATGCAGGGGAACGTACCAAATGCTCTGAAGCAAACTTGATTTTTTCGCGTAATTCCAGGGAATCCTTATTACCAAAAGGTAACCCGACCATGATAATACCTCTGTGAAGACATTAAGCATTTTGTATCTAATGATATTGTTCCATATGCTCACCTTCCCAGCTGATCAGAGAAATTGATCCCTTCCGACATCTTTCCATTGACCACGCACAATAACAGTGCGCCCGTTTGTGATCCAGACGACTAAGAGAGAATTCAGTAAATGAAGGCATAAATTTGATGCAGGCCAGTAAACAAACATACAGATTTCGATTCAATTTGCAGACTGTAGTCCCGCAAGGTAGCTTCTACCATGTTCGATTCTTTGGGTTCCTTGAACACCTAATCAAGGAAAGATACGATGGTCAGAAAATGACAAAAACTCACGGGAAACGCCCAACTCACCTTTTTCTTTTTTTCTATCCGCTGCAAAATATGACCGCTATCGGCACTAGACCAGCGTTTAAACACCAATTCAAGGTATGAGAAACTGGGGAAAAAGCAGACCACGCCATCCGGGATGATATTGCAAAAGTTGATGATCATTTGACCGGTCTCATCTATCTGTATCGAGATATTGGTGAGTATATTCCGTTACAGCGTGCTCCGAATATTCACTGTACCATTTGCATATTCTGTCGATTGGTAAAGTTAAATAAAAGCGGTCCACCTCTAGGTCCCTCGTCTACGGCTAAAGTCAGTAGATTCGTCGAAGGGATGATATGTCCACAGGAAAATTGGTTCAAGCGCTCAGCAGGAATCTCGTATAAAAGCGTACGCGTAAAATCGGAGATCTTTACAAAATGAGACGTTGACCATATAGCGCAATTAAGATGTTCATTGATCGAAACAATGGCACTTACTGGTTGCATGGTTCCACCGGCAAGTATAATGCTGCGCGCTTGATCGACGATCGGCTTAAATGCTTCAGCCGGGTTTAAGAGCATATACTTTATGAAAGGTTCCGAAGCTTCTTGTCCTGTAACATTCAATACGATGCGACCGTCTGCGTCCGGATTGACAAGAGCCATAACAAAAGATTCTACTTGTGTTAAAATGGGTACGCCCGTCGAGGTATGGGATACTTTGGAAGCTGAGCCGGTTCCCTGGGTCTGACCATGGGATGTCTCATTTTGCAGGCGTTGATTTTCTTCTTCACGCACGTAATCGACAAATCCATTCAGCTTCCGTGCAAGCTTGCTTTCTTTCAAATACTTTTGAATTTTGAACATGTTTATGTGGTCGATACCAATCTGGTGCACAAAATCATTGACACGCAGTATTTGATCCCGTTTCTCCGCCGGCTGCAATGCCTGTGCCATCATTTTGATAATGTTCATGATTTGCTGTATGTATACAACGTTCTTGCCGAGAAGCCGCGTTTTGTATCGTTGTAAGTACATTCGTAATTGGGAAAAGGCCATTCGCATTTGTGATAACGATAACGTCACTGTATGGATAGAGTTGATGGTGTCAATCAAGTTGTGTGCTTCATCGATGATGACAACGTTTCCTTTCAATTCGATGCCTAAAGACTCTCTTGTGTTGGCGTGAAGTAAATGTTGATACGGGAGAACCACCAGCTATTCAACTTGTTTAGAATTGGTACTGAAAGGCGACATCGTTCTATCAAACTCACTTGCGAAGGGGGCAGTGTTTGTCGGGTACCATAATACGGACATGTACTCAAATGCTTGCCAATATTTCCCAAATCTTCAATATCATGAACATCGGCCTGGAAAATAAAGTAAATTCTGGAGTTACGGTGGCATTATTCGAATCGAATTCAGTATTACCAGCGCATGATCACGAAACTCATTCCATTTTGACTGTTGCAAAGAGGACGGTAAATATTGGCACTTCTTGTCAGGATCACCTAAAAGCACCGTAAGTATGTTGTCCAGAATAATTTCTTCATCTTTTTAGCACGAACTTTGTCCCTGCATTTCCAGGCAAGCCTCATTCATTCGATTAAGGTTTTTCAATTTTTGTACTTTTTCATTGATGCAAAGGCCTTGTCTAGATCCAAGAGACAGGACTCTGATCTCGTCTGCATACTTTGTTTTCTTGATCTCGTGCGCAAATTGTGCTAATTGCGAGTGTGTTCGGGAAGCATAAAAAATCTAGACGAAAAAAAAAGTCAATGGCATATACATGGCAGATGTTATTTGGCAATACCTTGGTTTCTGCAAGCACATCTTCTTCTGCTGGTAGGTCCTCTCTATTGTCATTTGCAGTTGTGCTTTTCGATTCCAATCTAGTGTCATGTCAGAGAATGACCTCTTTCCACTTTTTCTCGAATGATGATACTGTACCTCGCTAATAAGCTTTGCACTTCCTTTGACAGGTGTCCCTCGTTCCGTCGAGAGCTCTGGTTTACAGGGTACGGCGGCTCCTCCTCGTCGCTGTCGTAGTTATCCAAGAGAAATGCTTCATCTTTTGCGTTTTTCGCGGCTGGAGAATCCTGTGAATGGTTTAGTTGTTGGATACATTGGCATTACGGTCAACTTACCTTCTTTGGGCGTTTGAAACGCATGGATTTCTGATGTGTACACAAAAGATGATTGCCCGTTTGCTGCGCCATGCGGACTCTCTGAATTCGCTGACGTAAATCTTCTCTCTGACGATCTCTTGCTTGTCTGCTATTCAACAGATCATCGTTCGCCGGGAACGATTTTAGCCAGTCCGGTTCATCGTCGGCTAGGCAAGCTTGAGTGCTTTTGGATCGATCGATTTCCGAGCGAAAAAAAACGGGCTTACCTGCATTGGCCGTTTCCGCAGTAGACTCTTTTGTTTCGTTGTCGAGCTTGGTTAGCCATGCAAGTGAACCACAGATCAAACTCAATGATTTTCCCTAAGAGGGGCGATCGTCAGTGACAGGATCGAGCGTTGGGATTCATATACAAGCGTACCGTGCCGGTTGGACTTTCAAAGATACCGATTTTCCCCTTGGATAAGGTATCATATAAAGCCACCATGAACTCATTTTGAATAGAATACGGCACATAGGGAAATCCAAAATCCTCTACGCTCATGATCCCAGCATGTCGCGTTCAAAGCAAGCTTTCGGGGTCGCACAAACTCACCGCAGAAAAAAAAAATCGGGATACTCCAAAACAGGGAATTACCAAAAAAGGATGGATCATGACTCCCCAAACTTGCCCGCACCCTGAGGAGTAGTGTCAAATTTGTGTATACTTCGCTCAAATAGTACAAAGCCGAAAGGGATGAAAAACCGAATTTATTGGTATATCTGTTGAATACTGGAGATATTTGAATGAGTGGGGTGATATTCGAAAAGAAAATGCTTATTGGGCATTTTCACTCATCTATACAGAGTTTTGACCAAGAGAATGACAGCTGTAATGGATGCCTCTCAATTCGGGATCAGAAATCGGGCGATGCAGTGAAACATGAACAATCTTTGATTGGAAAACCTCATTGTCACGATAAATCACACTTGGCTGCAAGTAAAGCAATTAAAATGATGGCCTATTAGCTACCTTCAAAAGGAACATATTATTCAGCGACCAGCTGTCTTAAATTATCTAGCCTAAACCAAATAACGACTCAACAGAAGAGAAAAGCTTGTCATCATCACCTTTTTCCAAAAAGCTCTTTATTGGCTGTCCTATTCAGTAATTCATCTCCGGAGATCGGACTTTGACTGCTTTTAGTGAAATGATCGACCTGAGTTTCATACAGCTGCAAAGGTGTTCTTTCACACTACATCACCTATTTGCCATGACAAAGACAGACCCTTTGGAGCGTTATTCTATCCGAGAAGCCACAGAAGAAGATTTGCCTGCCATTTTGGATATTTACAACGAGCAGGTTTTGAATTCGACTGCGTTGTTCTTATACGATCCCATTCCGCTTCAAGACCGTCAGTCTTGGTTCAGTGACAGCAAGCAGCTCGGCTATCCCGTTATTGTAGCAGTCGAAAAGAGCACCGAACAAACTATTGCTTATTGCTCTTTAGGTGTCTTCCGATCTAAGCCTGCTTATTGCTTGTAAGCCGACACCAAATGACATACTTCCACTGTCATCGCTCTAAAGAACCTTCCTATTTTAGATCTGCCGAAATCTCCCTTTATATTCACAAAAGTCATCATCGTCAAGGTCTTGGAAAAGTACTCTTATCGGAAATGATTCGAATTGCTCAAGAAATGAGATTGCGCAGCATTATTGGTATGGATTACAAGGAGGGATTCGCATATACAGAATAGCTGAACTGTTTGGTTTTAGCTTCAGTAACTGCCGACAACGCTGCCTCTCTTGGTCTTTTCGGAAAACACAAGTTTGTGCTTGCAGGAAAGTTCCACGACGTCGGATACAAGTTTGGCTGTTTTCTTGATGTTGAATTCCATGAATTGATTCTTGACGCTGCGCCGAAGGTTAATGCACAAGGTGTACCTGAGTACAACCCATTTCCTTGGGGTCGTTACACTTATGGTGGATCGGCTTTGTAAGATATGCTAGTAGGCTATGGGTTGTCCAATACATATTATAGAGATAGATTCTAGAGTAGAGCATGCTGTGATATTCATTTCTTACCTTCATTTCTATTGAGTTGTTGAGCTAGACCGACAACCGACAGTAGTTTATCTGGAAATAACATTCCCTGGACTATTGAACTTCATCTTCATGCATTAAACAACCTCCGCAAAGTTGCGCTGTATTCGGAAACTCGTGATATACAGCTTTAGAAGACGTTGCAACTACAAATGCGGAAAGGAAGAAGCAACAGGATGCTTCTCGTTGCAAGCAGGTGCTTGTGCCAAGCCATCTCCGCGATTTCCTGTCGTCGTTAGCAGGATGCTTTTTCCTTCTCCAAACTATACATTGGTTCACTTGGAACAGGTCTCTCAAATATTTTGTCACGGGACGCCTCGCATCGTTCTTGATGAAAATCTACTTCTGAGTTAGACCAATGCTACTGTTGATCTTTTTCACGCGTTTGCCGGGTTTAAATGTGGCTTGATCGTATCGACGACTTCATCTTTCATTTATGTTAAAAAGATTAATGGTATCGAAACACCGGAGGCCATCATGCTCTGTTATCCAATTTTTTGGGCAGACTTCGTAATCGCATTTCTGCTATTTTTCTTTGGGGAATGGGGAGGGGGCTACAGAGCTGTATTGTACCTTTTATTGTTCTAGCTGTATTGCTCGATCCTCCTGCCTGTGAATAATACGAGCTTTTACGTTTAATTTTGTCATATGCCGAAAACTCAGGGTAATACATAGCAATTATGGACACATTTATTGCTATCTTATGCCTTGATCCGGAAAAACCTCCAGAGGAGCTATAGTCATATATCATCGGACGGATGAGTATTAAAAAGTTATTTGGCGCTTTTGGACCGCTCTGTTATAATTCCACATACGCTATTACAGATGTTTCTGCATAAGTAGTATAGAAAAGCTTATTTAAATTATCTACGGCACATTGTTACATTGACCATACAAGGAACCAAAAGCATAGGTTGCATTACTCGCGGGAGCAGACCTTACACCGAATTCTTCTTGATCTATTTCACAAAAATAGCATTGTCTGCGCTTAATTGGATCCAGATACTATGGAGGGAAAAGTGTGAAGACAAAGCACAACTCTTGACACTTAAGATCGATCATTATCAAATTTGCGATGATAATACGATGACTGGCAATTTCATTGCAATTGCAGGTGGCAGTATTGACCTTATCTGCGAAAACTTGGAAGCTGTGAAGATGCTTGTTATCATCATATCGTGTATTGAGAGGAATAAAGGAGATCAGCGATATTGTATTATACGGGAACTTTGAAAGTGATTTAGCAGTACGCAAGGATAGGTACATGAGGGAGAGCTGCTGTTAAACCGCCATCGACCTTGATGTCTTGTCCTGTTATATAAGATGCTTCGCTGCTTGCGAGAAAGGTAACCATATTGGCAATCTAAAACAGGTGTCCCAGATTAGCAATGCCATGGAATGTGAATATTTTTATGGAGTTACCTCAGAAGCTTGTCCATAACGTCCCAATGCGGTCGATTTCTCGGCATTTGATGTCATTGCATCATCGCGCTGGATTATACCCAAAACTTTATCAGTCATTGCGGTCTCGATGATACCCTGATAATAAAATTCGATAAGCATCAGTAGAACCAGGGAATGAAGCACGATGAGCAAATTACTGGACAAATGGCGTTGACACGGATATTTTTGCCTCTTAATCTCCATGCTGCTGACTGCACTATATTGATGACACTAGATATGAAATCAGTAGTGTATTACTGATTAAATGCCATTATAAGAATACTTGCGCTGCCTTGGACGCTGAATAGGACATTGGTCCAGCACCTGATCGAACACCAGCCACTACACAGAACATTTATCAATCTAAAACTCTTTTGCGTCAGACTATGCAGGTTTTGCATACCGGATGCAGTAGCGATGATGGATCCTCCGCCTTGTTTCTTGGTAGCCGACACTTTCTCCATGGCAATGGAGGCATATTTAATGGCAGCAAAAACACTGGTGTGCCGTCAGCTGTATTATTTATCTCAACTAGTGGTGAGAACTTACCTCCAAGCATTGATGGTCATGGTAGACAGGAATTTCTCACGAGTTTCTTCTTCCAGTGCTCCTGGAATTGCCACGCCAGCATTAGCAAAGAAAACGTCCAGCCGTCCGTACTTTTGTAGAACTTCTTCAATGACGTTCTGAATCTCTTCATCACATGAAGCATCCATTTTTTTTGGAATGCATTCAACCCCTCGACCGGTAATGTCGTTAGCTAACTCGGCGAGATTGTCGTCGAAAAGGTCGACGACGTAAATAGCCTGTGGTTTGCGTTTGGCAAACTCATACGCCGTTGCGCGGCTGTCACTCATTTAGCATAATCGCGCCAATGCTTAAATTTCTTAATATGTTTACCCAATACCACTTAAAGAGTTGGCGCCGGTAATAATGCATACGAAATGATCCATTACAAAAGAAGAGTAGTCGACGAAAAATTAAATGAAAACTAATCAATTAAAATCAACGAAGCTAAACATGCATGAGAAATTCGCACGACAGCTTATATACCTATTAAGACGACTGCGGAAACCCAGCGGAATCTGGCTGTTCCTAAAGGCCGAAACCCGCTCGATGTTGATCGCCGGCTTCGAGCATCGCATTGAAAGTCAAATAAAATGGTCCAATAGGAATCCAACACGGTGAACACGGTTTTGGACCATGGCTGCACCAAGCGTAAAAGTAATCACGCTAATTTATTCTAAACATGTTCATTGAGCAAGACTAGAACTGGAAGAATTTGGTTCACTGTTCCCGGTTGGGCTTTTGAGTCAGTAACTATGAAGAAAAAGGGCGAAGAATAACCTCAAGCGAACGTAAACAGACCTACAAACGTTTCAGAGCTTAATTTCTGGATGAAGATGTTATCACTGTATGCTTACAGTACGTTATTGCCTGCGAGCAAAAATCTTGAAAGAGGCCTGCACACCACCCTTATTCTTCAGTATTCCGATGGAAGTCATATTACTCCAGTGTCAGTGGCACCGGTGACCAACATCGTACAAAGATCATAGTCTGTGTCACTCAGCACCAGTTTCAGGTGTTTGAGATGAGCTTCCTTCTCTGTTTGGGTCTTCGTAACCATGGCAGTCAAATGCAGCCACAGTAGCAAGAATGTCACTTTCTGCATTGCTTTTCCTTTTTCTCTGAAGGGACTTTTAACAAGTCTTCATTATTGTTTAACTACCTTTGTGCTGCTGCTTATTCAAACTCGTTTGAAAAAGTACAATATCGTTCTCGCAATTTTTTAAAGCAGCCGCACATGCTAATGCCGTAAAAGTCGAGCACGGCAAGCATCAGAAAGAGCAGACAAAGTAAAGAGAACATCAACTATGCGCCGTGGACCGTATGCCTGTGTTCAGACGATTTACATGAAGTTAGTTTTATGTTGATATTCGAAAGGATTGAACCAAGAACGATTCCTTGCAATATCCCTTTGAAATCTATTGCATGTGAAGCCAATTTTGTTGAGTATGGACACGTGCTCAACAACGAAGCGCTATTTAGACACATCTTTGCTTTCTGATTATACGCGCTCCCATCTATTTCTGCAGTACGTGTTTATATTTTCCCATGATCATATTCTGATAGAGTCCGAGAGCAAATCGGACAGGGATTTTTCTGTGGGCCCAGGAGATAATCAATATACAATAAAGCATGCTCCCTGCATAGAGAGACATCGGGTTCCTATTCCCGGAATGGATATTCTGATGTTGATAATCGAAGAGCTAGTTGACAGAGGTATCACATAGAAGCGCAGGGTTGTTGAGATGTCTTCAAATTAAAAGTGTCACGAACAGCTGACGAGGGTGAGCTCCACACTGAGGTTGATCAAACCGTGGGCACGCACAATCTCTTGAAATGATGAGTACAGCACAATTTTGTGTATTCACAAATTATGCAGAGGATGCGGCGCCAGGCTAGTAGCAAGTGCAAGCAACGCGTTCTCCAACATATGGCCGGTTACAGTGCTGTGGTAAGATAATTTTGGATATTGGCATTTATGGCAGAAAACTTGGGTGTCATCCAATTAGCCTCATTAAATTGACTGCAGCAAATTGTCAGGGAGAAGATAGAACCTTCCGACTTTACTTTAACCAGATTAAACGGCATGTAACTTATCGCCAATCGTAAACAATCGAGTAACCCATTTTTTTCGTGGAAGATATGACTTTTTTACACCATGTTTAGGTCATGTTTTCATTAAGAGCAGTTTTTGGTTGTTGTTTTTTTTGCATGATAAGGCCGCATTAAGCCGTATGATTTGGTTAGAGAACTTTGTGTGGAACCTTATTGAACCATAACTTCTGGAGATACATGATATGGCAAAAGTAAGTTGGACGCATTTGCTTCCTTCTGGAAGCTAATCAATCTTGTGCAGGGCTTTACACGCAGTTGAGCATGTCCATGACTCATCAAGCAGCGCTGCATCCGTTTCTGCATCGACAGATATAACGAAACAATACAGTTTCTAGACCGCAAAAAATTCAATGATTCTTCAGGCGATTTAGATGAGGGAAATCCATACGAATTAAGTCTTAGCATGGAGGTAGACCCAGAGTTATCATATTAATATTTGTGTTACAGCATCAAACACAGCTTACTTCATTGGTTTCTCATAGGTGAGTCTGTCGGAGAAGAAACCTGTAGCTCTGTGCGACCGACTGGCATTCAGGCACATAAAAACGGAGCATTTCATAAACTACTGACTGTTATGCCAAAATTTGATGCTTGGCAAATTGTTATACGTTTAAAAAACAGGTAAACATCAATTCAAGCAGATGACAAATTATGCTTGGTGATATTGTATATGTGGACACATCTGTTGTAGGCCCTATTGGACGTCTGAACATATTACAATGGTGGAGGACAACGTGAGATCCCCAGATTATTCATGAGTATGACCAACAAAAGGAGACATTATCAGCAAATGTTCTTTCTAAATTTGGAACTGATCTGTAGTTTTGCAAAAATCCATTGAAAGCACTTTACCAAACAAGCGTATACACAAAAGCTTCATCCACTTTACGATGTACACACATTACAATATTTATACAAGCGAATCACAAGCAATCAATCTCCACAACCAAGCCTTGGACGTTTCCAAATCAGAAAAGCGAGAAACATTATCGATCTTACAAAATTAGCGGTGCTCAATACGGACAGAAGAAAAACGGCTACAAGTTTTATCAGTTTGAACAGCTGAATTACTGAGCAAGGAAAGCGATGGTATGTATCGATTATGTTACAGTATCTGTAGCTAATGGCGTGGTCAAGAACTTTAATCTTAAAAGTCTAAAATATCGTCACTTCTTGAGAAGCCAGAACTATTTTTTGTTTACCACATACTCCCAGGTGTAATAGATGGGATAGCGTCATATTGGTATATTCCGATAATGGAGGATATTTTGTACGAATTGTAATTGATTGACACATCGCGTTCGTGAATAACGAAAGCATTACTCACTATGCTCGTCACGCGTAAGTTAACACGAGCCTGGCTTTTGTAGCATCAACGTACGGTATTCATTGAAAACAATTGTGCGTTTTTTCTTTTAAGGCTCCACAATAACGATAAACAAATGGACTGACCATACTTTGCACCTGCAATGTCTCTATTCCTTACCGTAATGCATATCTTTTTACTTGAGTACCACCTGAAGCTTGCTTTCTTCATCATTGACCGAACGTTGGTTATATATCATACTCAGGCACGCAAAGACATATTTAGGAGCTCGACTACCCGTCCATCATGATCATCCGCACAAATGGCTGGTGCATTATATTTCGTCGATGGATGAAATTCTCTTCTTTAGCTGCCTAATTTGACTGCGTAAAATCGAATGACAATTCACGCCTGAAGGTAGATCAGGTATAACGGCAATGAAGTGGTACGCGCAGGTCTTCTGGTAAGGACAGCTTATAGAAATCCCGAAATATGGCGATTAGCCTCGTTACTTTAAAACTGAAGAATGTCATTGGATATCCATAGTACCAATATATTAGCATATTGTTATACCATTCATCCCCCTCATCCTGAGTTACTGCTACTTTGGACCACTTTGTATCCATGGTCAATACCCAATTTCTCAACATAATAGAGAGGGGGAACAGGAACAGCGCCATCAGCTGACCATTATCTACCAACGATTACGCAAGCGATCCCACCACTTGGTTTGTTCTGCACATAACTGAGCTCGTACACAACCCCTTCTCGATATTCCAACATCTCATTGCCTGGAGTGATGGCGTACAGATAGCACTTTGTCAGTTTTTCGTTGCGTGAGGCAATTCAAAGCCATGCATACAAAGCTTTACAGCAGTAATCGTTTTATTACTAGCGGACATAGCGTAGTTCGCGGGTAGTCAGCCCTCACAACAGCAAGTCAATACAGATGAAAGTTGGTTTGGATAACAAATAGATGATTTTGGCTTCACAAACAATTAGAAAGAGGTAATCACATTTAGAACGAAGTGCCATAGACTTCAAAAACTTTTAGGACCCATTTACAGGCATGGGCACATACGTATACGTTCAATCATTATAATTGTCGATCTTAGACATTGGTGTTTTGTTTCAAGCGATATGCAGTCCTTCCGGAACCAAAAATTTTCTGAACAACTACAGCTCCACAGAAAATGGGCTGCCCTTCTTCGGCTATGGCAAACATTCCCAATGCTGCTCCTTCAACTGATGATGACGATGTAACTCAACAATCTGTGTACAGCTCGACTACCAACCTCGATGTAATACCTAACGTGAATCGCCGAGTTAATCTTGACAATACTGTCGAGGCTGTGTACAGCAATATTTCGCAAACTGCAAGCGACAGACCTCCATTATCGCCAAAGCAGACGTCTGACAGTTCACTCGCTGTATTCGAAAACAAATGGCCCGTTGCAGCGTTGATCATTCCTTTTTCAATTGCTGGTCTTCTGATTCGCATTGGCTTACAACGACTTGAAACATATCCTGGCGCGCCTATATTTGGTCTGCTTTACGCCCAGTGGGTAGGCTGTGTGATTATGGGTTTCGTCGCTGAAATCAAGCCAAGTTTGTCTGCAGTGTACCTTCCGCTCGTTGGTGGAATCTCAAGTGGACTTTGTGGATCCATTACAACGTTCTCTTCATGGCAATTAGGGATCTTCAAAGCTTTTGCGAACTACGATGGAGATCCCCATTCGACCGGGAAGAACGTCCTGGCGGCCATCTCCCAATTGTTGGTGACATTGGCCATGTCTCTCAATGGCGTCGTCTTTGGTTACCATATTGGTAAACTCTACAAGGCTTGGATACTGCAGGGCCGTTCTCCAGCAAAATTACGTATAGTTCCGGCCGGATTTTCTCTACAGTCCTTGGCGAGGCTAGACTTCGGAATCATAGCTTTCGGCATCCTCTGTTGGTTGGGCGTTATCTTTGCGAGTGTATTTGCACAGGGTCAGCGGGAGCTTGCATTTGCTTGTGTGTTTGCTCCTATTGGCGCTCTTTTACGCTGGCAATTATCATTCCTTAATTTGTGGAGAGGAGGGGTTTTTCCGATTGGCACCTTCGCCGCTAACATCATAGCATCTATTGTTCTGGCAGTTATATCCTTGTTGCAATCGGGGGTTCCAATGTCCCTGATGTCCTGCTATGTTTTGACAGGTCTTGCTGATGGTTTTTGTGGTACATTATCTGTCGGGTTAATGAAAATATAGACACTTACAGAAGCAATTAGGTTGCCTCTCTACTGTATCCACCTTCATGGTAAAATATCAGATGCAGAAACTCGTAGGATGTATTGAAGTCTCATGCATTTGTTAGATTGAGCTTACAAGTCTTCCTGTAATCCACTCTTATACCTATGGCATGACATCTGT